TATTAAGTCTTTTGTCATGGAATAGGTATTTTGGCTACAGCATTCTATTAAGTGACACTTGATACTGATGTCAGTGATGGCTGTGCTGAGCAATCAATGATGGTCCTAATTCTATGAGATCTGCAATCAAGTGCCTGGTGGCATTAATGAAGTGGTGTATATTGATGTGGAATATGAGCTGGGATGGATAGTTAGTGGTAAAAGTGAGTATTGCCATGATTGCAATCATTGACTTAGGGAAAGTCCACTAAGTGGACAAGGCTTTTATTATAATGCTAAAATCTGTGAATTCTGAGCATACAGAGCCTTGAGGCTCATCAATACGCTGATGAGCCTAAACTTCCATGGCAACAGCAAAAACCAAAACTCTAGAGGAGTTTACAGCAAATGGTATATAGCAGCAATAAAGGCTTTGTTGTTGTGCAAGTGTTTCAGTGCACCTCCATGCGATGAATTCCTCAAGAACACAAGTATACACTGCAACTTTTCAGTCAGTGGAGTAGTACTCTTAACAAATGAGTACTAGAAAGTGTTGGCTGTAAGCCAGGAAGGGTCTCGATGTACAAGAAGGAACAGAATCCAGTATAACTGGGAATACTGGCAAACCGTGAATGAAGTGATGGCAATTAACTAGTAAAAGCCATGGGCAGAATTGGCAGAATTAATGGAAATGCTGTCAAAGAGAAATACTGTTGGCAAGATAACAAATACCGTGATGGCAAGAGATAAAGACTGTAGTCAAGAAACTGGCAGAAATATAAAAGGGAACTAGTGATGGCAAATGATGAACAGAACTGAGCGATGATGAAACTAAAACTGGACTAAGGTTAACTGTGGTAAAATGAAACTGATATTGATCCTGAGTCTACATGGAGACTATTCTATACTGAAGCTGATGGCAAGATAACAAATACTGAGACTGGTGATCCTATACTAAAACTGATGGCAAGATACCAAATGCCGTGACTGATGATCCTAATCTGTGTCCACATGGAGATGTAACTGTACTGAGCTGAACTGGGATGAAACAATGGCGACATAGAAAGTGAAAGCTGGTAAAACAATGCTGGCTGGTGAAAGTGAAACAATGCTGGCAGAATAAAAGATAAAAGCAAGTTGTGGACACAAAATTCCATGTATTGGCACAATATGAGCATACACCAATACTGTTTAGAAGAAAAGCCATGACAGAGAGTATAACTCAGAGTGACTATGCTGTTATTGTCTGTCTCCTAGTGGGTACAAGAGATAGTGGTTGTAGCAACTTAGTTACTTGTCATTGATAACCTGTGTGTCCAATAACTACTACTACACTAGCTTTTATACTACAAGTCCAGAATAAAATTAGAATACTTGAAATGAGTCCTTAGTAAGTCCTTAGTACATCAATTGATAAGAAATGATATAAAACATGTGCTCCCAGAGTTCTAAAGTAACAGCACCCACACAGTTTTACCACATATAGACTTGGTGATCAGAAAGAATTCTGCCAACATATGGACTCTTGAGCTGCTGTGTTGCTGCAGCAAAGTACACTGAAGGTAGTACACTGAAGTAGATGCATGTGGCATTGTCTTGGCATTGTAATAGCCTTAGGAAAGCTAGTGGAAAGGTCACGGTATTAAGTCTTTTGCCATGGAATAGGTACTTTGGTGGTGGCATTTTATTAAGTGATGCTTGATGCTGATGTCAGTGATGGCTGTGCTGAGTGATCAATGATGGTCCTAATTCTGTGAGATCTGCAATCAAGTGCCTGGTGGCAATAATGAAGTGGCGCATATTGATGTGGAATATGAGTTGGGATGGATAGTTGGCGGTAAAAGTGAGTATTGCCATGATTGCAATTGTTGACTTAAAGAAAGTCCACTAAGTGGACAAGGCATTTATTATAATGCTAAAATCCGTGAATAATTCTGAGTGTACAGAGCCTTGAGGCTCATCAGCACCAACCAGGAAGTCAAAAAATACCTTCAGATATTCATAAACTACTGACAGAATGACTGGACTGAGTGGCTGCCTCTTGTCGCCTTTACCCACAACAACCAGCAGCACTCCACCATGGGCTTCTCTCCCTTCAAGGTCAACCTTGAGTGAGATGGAGACCTATTCCCATCAAAACCCCAAGAAGGAGAGGTGCCTGTGGCCAAGGAGTTCATCATCAAGCTTGCTGATATTCATAGGCTAACTAAGGCAGCTCTTTAAAAGGCTACTGATGCCATGAAGTGATCTTATGACCAACACTGAGAGGAGGCAGTGGAATATCAAATTGGACAAAAAGTATGGCTAGACACCTGAAATCTTCATCTCCCATGAGCTAAGAAAAATCTCAATGATAAACGAGTAGGGCCATTCATGATCACTGCAAAGTATAGACTCTCTGCCTATAAACTGGCCCTCTATCCTGCATGGCAAATTCATAATCACTTCAATGAAGCCCTCCTATCTTCATACTATAAACCAGCATTTCCAACCCAGCAACAGCCACCTTCCCCACTGCCTGAGCTCATTGATGGCAAGGAGGAGTATGAAATTGAGAAAATCGTTGATACTAGAGATCAGTGGATCAGATGTAGATGTCATAGGAAACAAGTAACTGATCATCTTGTCAAATGGAAAGGATATTCACATGAGGAAAACTCATGGGTCACCAGAGCCAACCTGGAGAATGCCAAAGACCAGGTACTTGAGTACGAATCTCACCTTGGACAAGTCTTTAACAATTTGGAAAGTGAATGTGTGAATGACTCTAGCAGTGAAAATTCTGATGACAAGTGAGACATGGACTCAGTCAGGATGACTGAGTCTTAAGGAGGGGGGTAATATCATGGATTCTACCATTTTCTTTATCCTTTTCACTTCATACCCTATTGACTCATATCACTTTAGTACTAAACTACTCACAGCTGTCACATTACTTCTATTCAGACAAACAAGCAACCTTCTAGACCTCTAGCATTCAGACCATAGTATGTACTATTCTTAGGACACCTACTCTGTATTTAAGTAGTCTGCACTGTGGCCTTATGCCCCAGCTTTGGCTAAGATTCTATACACCTAGCTTTTGGCTCTAAAGCAACCTCACCTAGGCTACCTAAGTCACTGCATTGGCCAAACCTGCACCTGCTCACTGAATGCTTGACTGAAGTATAAGTCACATCACAAGTTTGACCTTGTTTATTATGCTAGTGTGCAACATAGACCAAGATGACAGTAGCTATTGTATCAGCAAATGTGAATGATACTGTAAAGAACAGTCAGTGATGGAGAATGAGGTTGGAAGAACTCAAACAAGAGTAAGATGAAGCTTAAAACTGAGGCAACAGTGCATGAAGAGGGTACAGGTGATGCAGTAAAGAAGGGACAAGAAGGAGGTGGAAATAAAATAGTGCACATAACATATATTTTTGTGTTTAAGGACAGGTGGTCTCCTCCTCCCCCTCCTCCTTCTGCCATATTGGGTAATAATATAGCTATATTTGAATAGCTTAGTAATACTATTTCTATTGACATCATGGTCTGAAGTTGCTGGCCAGGTTGCCATGACTCACTTTAACAAGAAAAAGGACATTTAAAACACATTAGATGCTTTAAGAGCTTTACAAGGCATCACATTAAGATCAAACCTTCACTGTGTTAAGCACTAACTCTAATCTGAGCCAAGGCTGATCTCTATCCTGTCACTCGCATTCGGTGATTCAGTGTTAGAGAGGCATTGGTAGATTGTGAGAAGTTAGGCATCACTTATAGCAAAAGCAAGAAGCTTGTAAGAGTTAGGAGTATATAACCTTAGCCGAAGCTGGGGACTAAGGCCACAGCATAGGCTAGCTTAAATACATGTTAGACTCATACTAAAAATAGTATCTACAAGGGCACATGCAGCGAGAAGTGCACCTTTCAACAAATGAGAAGTGAGGATACTAAAAGAAGTGGACTCCCAATGAATGAGAATAAAGAGTGCATATCACCTGTATCTGCACAGGACTCCATTTGAATAGGCTGCATCCTGTAGACCACCCTCGACTAGTGGTCGACTCCTGTTCAACCACTAAGAAGCATGATGCCATTAAGAGAAGCATGATGGTGCATGCGGGTTGTCAGTCATCCAGGATGTGGCAGCTGTGAACTGGGTTGATGGCAACCAGGTAAACGGGTAAGAAGTGTGCCGGCAGAATATCATGGGTCTGAGAGATAAGATAGGTAGGTCTGGGGTTCTGAGGGATAAGGATAAGATAAGATAAGGAAAATAGGGGTAAAGTCATAATACACTGTATGCTGCATTACATGCTCTTGTAGTACTATACAAGGCAGTGTTGGAAGGGCATGGACCAAAAGTCATAAGTTGCTGTCCTGACTTTTGAACTAACCTGAGACAAGTCCAAAAGTCACTTTTTGCCTTGACTTTCACACAGCCACAGAATGTTATCACCTGATGTTGTCCCCACCATAACAAGAGGGCATTGCACAGCCATCATGGTCAGTCGACTTTGGTTGAGAAGCTGGACAGAGGCTAGCTTTGTGAGGCCATGAGAAAAGGTCAGGTCAAAAAGTGACCTGCCTGTCACTGACTTGTGACTTGCACTGGCCTTTGTGACTAGTCAGTGACTGGCACAACACTGATACAAGGTAAGTTGGTGTTGTGTTTAAGGTCAGGACCCCTCCCCCCCTCCCTCCCCTACCCTCTTTGCCAGATTTTAGCCCTGCCTCCCCCTTAACAGTATTATGATGTTGTATGGCTGTCTGTTGGAGCTTCTGATGGCAACAGAACAACCATACATCATACCATACAAATGGCCATTAGGGTGCATTCAGCTTTGGTCTGTATTCCATATAAGGGTTACCAAAAACCATACAATACAGTGATGGCACGCAGCCCTGCTGTGGCCCATGGGGGTGAAACCCCACTTTCACAGCTATACTACATTTGTCATCAGCTGCAGAGGCTTCCGAATAGGATCAATCTCACGGTTAAATCCAGTATAAGGACCGATTTCCTTCCTATATATACATATAGGACTCGGAACAACATTGACTTAGTAACCCTTAGCGCGCAGTGACGCGTGACCGTGACGACGCGTTTTTGCCTTGCTCCTCTCATCAGTCGCGATGTCGCAAGAGGCAGAAGACATCAAGCCCAAGATCAACATCAACATCCAAACCGACGACGGCACCAGTACGCTCTACACACTCCTCCCAGCTCTTCCCCGCCAAATACGCGTCAATGCATTATTACAGAGATCACAGTCCTAGTCCGACGAGATACCAAGTTCTCCAAAGTCTTCCAGGCAGCCGAGGTGCGTGTTCGCGGTCCGAGGTGAATGGTGTACCGTTCTGAACTACGGCGATTTCTAGAAAAAGTTTGGAAAGGAGCCAGGTGGGTGTTGCTTGAGCTTAACTGACGTGGGTTGGCTGATCGTGGCGGTGACTAGGCACGTTCAAGTTTACATACGAAGGGAAGCGAGTACAGAAAGACGAGACCCCTGCAGATGTGCGTAGCCATTGTCGCGTCTGGTTAGCTACGGCTCTGACGGTACACTTAGGTTGACATGGAGGATGGCGATACGATAGACGCGCATCTAGGCCAGGTACTATCCATTTTGTTTATTCTATGCTCTACGGGCTCACTGGTTACTTAGGTTGGAGGTGGACATAAGTGGTGACGAGCGAAGGAAGTAAACAGCCAATATTTATTATATGTACAGCACAAAGGGATCATGAGGCAGGCTGGCCGAGTAATGAAGCTCTCTGCAGAGAAAGTCAACCAATGATAGTGAAAGGAAAGGACGGCCACTAACGAGCTGTAACACACTTGCCCGCTCTGTAGGCCCCAAAGCGTTGATCTGCTCCGGGGTCATCTGTATAACGTGCATAATCATAGCCTACGAAAACGTGGTTAAGAGAACGACAGCGAATCGATAGCGAACGCACCTTTTGGTCATCAGGTATAGTAGCGAGAATATCCAAGGGTGGTGCTGGCTGTTGCCCGGCGTAAGCTGGGTATGACGGCTGAGGTTGGCTGTACGTTGGCTGTGGCACTGGCGGTGTCGGTGTCGGTGTCGGCGTGACGACTGGTGGTGGTGGTGCCAATTGTGCTTGCTGCTGCCCATACTCTGCCAATATCCTCTACTTCCTCCAAAGTCAGCAAAAGGCGATACATTACCCACTGATACACACCTGAAAGACATCGATATCCACGGCATCCATGGTAACCATAAGCGTGATCAAGGCATAGGCAATCTGAGGTTGAGCATTCAATATTTGCTTTGCGGCGGCTGGCGTTGTTTTCTGAGAGGCATTAGCAAAGTTTATATGGGATGTATGAAGAGGAGAACCTTGAGTTGGAGGAGGAGTTCGAGCAGCTGGTCAGTCTGATTTGTTTGGGACATGGTGGTATTAGTCTAACAAGTTTCTATTTACATCATTCTCTTCCTGAATCCACCACGACACGTTCCCAAGGCCAGACTCCGCCAACTCATCTACCTCAACTTGGACGTGTATGACCTCCCCAGCATCAGTGTATATGCTCGACGCGACTCCGAGGTTGTGGTCAGGGCACCCAGAAGATTGCGCGTTCGTTGGGGAAACGACGGTATGTGCATGTCGTCGAAGAATCCTTACTACGAGGCCAATTAAAAAGGAAAGATGAAGTCTGGAGATGTACGTCGAATAGACTCGGCATCCGATGACTTGACCTTTGCGGGTGACGAGACGACCAAGCGAAATACGACTCCATTATTCAAGTCAACTCTTATACTTGCTATCGCGCAGTCGACGTACCTTTATAATACAAAAACCCAACCCATAACAAACCTTCCCTTCCCCTGCCTCCGTCAAGATACACACGATTCACGTACTTTTCGTTGAACGCCGTTTGAATTGCACCTCCCACCTTGAGCTCGAACATAACGACAATAATAATATGACAAGTACAGTAATTAACCGTCCTCTATAGTTAGTAGTATACGGAATCAAACATACACCGCATAACACCCAATCACCGGCCTATGATCACTCCTCCCCTCCAACTTCCTCATCCCCCGGTCATCTAACGTATCATAACTCAAACAAATAACATCGCCCTTCCTCCTCCCACTCTCCCTCTCCCTCTCCCTCTCCCGCTCCACCTCAACAGTACTCGTCCCATGCAATAAAAACGGAAAGAAACGCCACCTAGATGGCGGCGATATCCGTTGCGTGTGATCCCGAATCGCCCTTTCCAGAGGTGCAAACGGGTTTTGTTCAGAGTTGGTCGTAGAGGCTCGTCGCGCTGGCGCCGGCTCAATCGTCGAGCCCACAGAATGCCGCCGCCGTACGTCTATGTCGTTGGATGGTGTTTCTCTAATAGGAAACTGAGCAGTCGAGGGGGTATAAGGTACGGTCGTATCCTCCAGTACCTGGGTATGTGGATGCTCAGACGTAAAACGAGAAAATGGTGATGTATTGTGTAAAATGTCGCGAGAAGCTTGCCGGGATTCCGCTGTTGAGGGAGGAGTTGTAGACGCCAGAGAGCCGCTCGATTCCCTCCGTCGAGCAGACAGAGGTCGGAACGCATGAGCAAAGAATTGCCCCATTCTCGTCCGTGCCCTTGAAGGTGGTTCCGGCCATTCCTCCCTGGATTCGGGTTCAGGAACGACCGTAGACTTCCACAATATGCGATCGCACCTAGACGCGAAATCAGTTTGACATATAACGAAGAATATCATACATACCAGCTTGGGACACGCTTCTTGTGAGACGAGTCATAAACACCCTTGTCTGCATCGCCTACGCCTTCTTCATCGTCGCTCGGTACACTCGACCTTGTTGAACTCACTCTCCCCAAAGGCGGAGGCTTTAGCAGTCGTGATTCGCTACCATCCAGCGAAATAGCCCTCTCCTCCCGTAAAGGCGTCCTGAGCTCGCCTACAATATCCACCGAGCTGTGCGGTTTGTGGTTCTTCATAACCTCGACGTCCGGGCTATGTCTCATCTTGAGCCATCGAGCAGGAGTTGCTGGAATGCTCGGCGAAAGCATGGAGAGCCATTTTATCTTCGCCTTGTGTGCAGCTAGAGATAATGATACTTTGCTCCCCGGTGTCGTACTCTGCGACACAACTGGCGAATCCAACTCGTCGTCGTCACCCTCAGTGACAAGTCTCGAGTGCATGGATGTCCACGCCGACGAAGATAACGAAGCATTCTCTCCTTCACCTTCTTCATCCACATCGTCATCATCTCCATAGTCTAGTTCTTTCTCCTTCTCTTCGACTTCAGTGAGCGGTTGTGATTTGTCACGCCAACGATCCGGTCGAGAGCTGTGTTTCGGTCGCTTCAACGTGCGCAACACATCATACTTGAATGTCGGCGGAAAATCTATGGGAGCCTCTTGGAAACCGACAAATGCTTGCTCCTTCTGCATGATGTCTCGTAGCTGGTCAAACGCCAGTGCTTGCGCATATTCTGTTTCGGAGCGTTGGAAAAACCCAAATAGTATAGAAAATCCAACATACCTTGCCGTGATATCAACCAGTCGGCATGCAACCGTGAAATATTCAATCGAAAATTAAGATCGCCAAATATAAAGGTAAAATCGAATTTGTCCGTGAGATCTGAAAAAAACGTCAACTGCATGTCAACACCACCTGCTAGGGATCGAACCTTCCGCCATCATGCGTTCGTCGGTATGGGATAGAAAGTCATCTACCGAAAGCTCGGACTAGATGGAAACGTCAAGTCCGATTTACGATGCGCGAAAGTCGGCGCACCTTGATTTTAGCAAGATTGGCTAGGCGGTGATTTACTTTGCCTTCGTGCGCCGTCAAATGGCAATTGAGAAAGAGAAAAGACATCCCCTCTATCTTCAAGCTAATGCCGACGGCGCCCTTATTCCCGACTCTCCCTCCAATGAGCCCGGCCGTAACAGCAGATTTGGATGTTCCTATTCAAGCGGTTAGAATGACAGCCGTGTGGCGTGATGGAACCCCACCATCAACATGGCTTTTCAAATCACGATGAATATAGACAGCTAGATATATGCCCATCATACGTTCCTTGATGAGTAGTTGGTAAGGACCCTTCCGGGGCTCCTTGGACGTTACGCGTGGAGTGAGAGGTTTGGGCATGCTGATATCATTCGTAGTAGGCGAGGACACGCGCATGTTGCAGGATCCACCGTGGCATAACCAATCTTCTACCATTGACGTCCAACCGGAGGGAGCTTCGTGTGGCGGGTCCTCTGCGTTCTTCTTCGACTTGACGGTATCATCCTTGACGGAGTGCTTCGAAGAGCGGTCCTTGTCCTTGTCGTCCTTTTCAATTAGCTTGAAACCGGCGCCCAGACCCATGGGCATGCCTAGCTACTAATTAGACATGGAAGCTGTAGGACAGCGTCGCGACTTGCCAGACATGGAAGGACACTCCTGGCCAGCACTGCAAGACCGTTAAGCGGGGAGGGCTCGTGGCAGATGAACGTGTAACGTACACTACGACAAGGTGGTAAGGATGGGTGTCGTCCGCAGGCAAGACAGGAAAGGAGTCGGCTGACGAAGATGATGCCGGCGTGTACAAAGGAACCTTGCCCAACAGCTCCTCAAGATCTCCCTACAAAAGTCAACATTGGTTGCTACCAACAGCCACCGCAGCAAGACACACCTTTGGGACCGAATCGTGCATATTCCATGTTAATATCCTAATCTTGAGAAACTTTGGCGAAGGAACTGTCGATTTCGCAGTAGGCGGCATCTGCGGTATCTGTCGGTCATGAACAGTCGAGTCTGACGATGCTGGTGCAGAATGGGGGAAAAGACCGTGTAGACGAGCAAGAACTGTTTGCTGCCCTGGTACACGTTGAGGTCCGTCGTTGGGTAAGAATTGAATGCCTCTCACCTTGCCTGGATGGTACGGCAGCAGCAAGAGGCATGGTCAGTTACATCTACAAGGAATGAATGAAAAGGTGAACGGATACTATTGCAATTCAGGCGTCATGGTGGTAGTGATCAAGACTGAACCATACAAGCACAAACAATCAGAGGCAATTCACAAGGCTACGATATATTGCATCCAGAAAACAAATACATCTGTCTAAGGAGAGATGGTGACCTCGACCTCAACACCCGGCTCCAAGCTGATAGATGTCTGCAGCCAGCAGTGAATAAAAACAGCTGAACGACGGGAAAGAGACTTACAATTTGCTTGACAATCTCACTGGAAGAGTGGAGGTCAATAAGGCGCTTGTGAACCTTGAGCTCGTAACGGTCCCACGTCTTGGAACCCTCACCACAAGGCTACATCGAATACTAAGCAAAACAGACTGGAACAGAGAAGACTACAACGCACAGTCTTACGGGTGGTGATCTTGAGAACCTTGGTAGGCAGACGGACGGGTCCCTTGACACGGAGCTGCTTGTCCTTGGCACGGTTGATGAGGTCGTTCGAGACTACCCAAACAATGAGAACAAGAAATACAGACAACGAACGAGCACCAACACTTTTCAAGGTTCTTGACGTTGCTGCTCGTCAACGTGATACGGATTTTGTGGATTTTGGCGGCAGGAATGGGCGCGCCGGTAGCATCGTATTCTTTTTCTCCTTTAGCGACGTAGCTCATGATTGCAGATGAACCAGAAGGTGACTGTAATAAATGAGAAAAAGACTGGAAACGAAATTCAGAAATTCGCACCTAGAGGATCTGTGTATGCCCAAAAAATTAAGGTTTACTCTCCTTATATGGTTCGGCAATTCCCGAACCTTCTTTGGTCACGACCATCATGCAAGGTAAATTCTCCAATGACTCTTCAGTTCCAATACTGACGCTTGGCAGGATTTAATAAATACTATCCTCCTGACTACGATGGCGAGAAACATGGTAGTCTCAACTCATACAGAGGTAAGCGTCTACGCCATCGATACAGGTTTATCATCTCACACGGTATAAGGGAAACACGCCCTCGGAGACAGAGCACGAAAAATCGACCAAGGAATCCTAATAACTCGCTTCGAACTTCCCTTCAACATCTGGTGGTAAGTCGCACTTCCCACCGCGCCCAACCCAATATAACTCACCACTCACACGCAGCGGGACATGCAACAATCACATCGGAATGGGCGTCCGTTACAACGCAGAAAAGAAGAAAGTCGGAAACTATTACTCTACCCCAATCTTCTCCTTTCGGTGCAAATGCCACCTCTGTGACGGCTGGTTCGAGATCCAGACCGACCCCAAGGTAAAAATACCTCTTCCCTGGCTTATTCATTCCCCCCCTCGGATTTGTAACACCTGATTACAGAACACTCGATACGTCGTAGTCTCGGGAGCCCGGCAAAAGGACGAAGACTGGAATCCGGAGGAAAATGGCGGTTTCGCCGTTCACGGCAAGTCCCAGGTCTCTGTATCCCCGAACAAACTCGTAAACTCTTCTATCCAGATACCGAGGGTGCTGCGGCTCCCGTTGATCCCCTCGCTGCTCTTGAGAAAACTACCGATGCCCAAAATCACCTGACAAACGTCCAGGTACCTAGGCTCGAATCACTTCAGACAGCCTCGGAACATTACAACGCGGATCCCTATGCTCTTTCGTCCAAAGTCCGCAAAGTGTTTCGTCACGAAAAGAGAATCGAAACCGCTAAGCGGAAAGCAGACGATGAGATCAAGGGCCGCTATGCTCTTCCAACAGAGATGAAACTCCTAGAAGACGACGAACAATCTCATAATCATGCCAAAGAAGAATGGCAAAGGAGCCGCTCCGAATTCGAGGCGAGGGAGAGAAAGCGGAGAAAGATACCAGTCGGCTCCTCCCTCACTTTACCCACTTCAAACTCCAAATCCCAAACCATCACTTCCCTACGTGCTCGCATCTTAGGCAACACCGCAAAAAACTCCACTAAACATCCACGTCTATTAATGCCCAAGTGATTGTACACGGTTTTACTTTTATTCTCTAACTGTATCCATAGTCCATTACTTTACATCTGTAGCCAATCCCAACCAATATATATATTTAATGACAAGCATGGGACCAGTCGACAAGAAATCGATAGCGAGTAAAACAACACGTAGCAATACACAGAGCAGGATGGGAGGAGATATTCAAGAGAAAAGAGTAGTACCGACAACAGAAATCGTTGGAAAATAGAAATGAAATAACTCCAAAGAACGATAGGACCATAAGATAATGTAAACAAGTAAGAAGGCAAATTAAACACGCACGAGAAATCCAAAGATATAAAAAAACGTTAAACAAACGACTACAACCTGTCCCCCATGCTATGACGATGAGGTGAAGATAGCCCATGGCTGATCCAGTGTAGTCATAGGACCATCCCATTTCCACTCTGTCGACTGGTAATAGGCTGATTCTCCTCCATCAACCTCCTTAAATGTGCCTAACCGAAGTGGATCAGACGGTTCATCCGTTTTAAAATCAGAAAATGTCAACGCATGGTGCGCTGGGTCCGCTTCCGAGCCAGATTCAGGACTGGGATTCGTCGATGATGACGATACGAGGTCTGGTGTAGGTGCCTTTGATCCTTCGTCATCATTCGCCTCCGTCTCGAACAACGAAAAGTCGAAAAATTCGACAAACTCATCCGCACTAGGTATGGACGGCGTCGGTTCATGCCCACCAGTACTGCTCCCTTCACCGACTGACGACGATGTCGACGTCCCATCGACTCCATCCGGAGCCGCACTATAACCCTTCAAGATCATGTCCAAGGTCTCTGATATATCAGACGATAACGTTGACTCCTGCCCCTCACCTGCCATCTTAATCAGCTCGGTCATCTGCTCCAGGAATTGGCTGGCATCTTCTTCCGTTCTGATGTTCTCAACGGTTTCCTCCCGCTTCTTCAATGCATCATTAGGAGGTCCCTCCCACTCCGTCTTCGCCTTCTTCGGGGGTGACGGCTCGTTTGCAGCGGATGGACCTGACGGCGGCGTCACGGCTGCACCAGATCCACTCGCCCCACTCGGCGTAGACGATAGAGCAGGTGTCTCTTCTTCTCGCGGTCGCTTAACTCCATTCGTCGGCATGGGGTTAGGAGGTTGCGCGGGCTCAATGGTAGGAGTAGACGACGCCTTCGATATCTTACGCTTGGTAGTCTTGACAGGTTTATTAGGTGCCTTGACTTTCGGCGACCTGGGAGACGATGCAATGTTGATAGAGTTTGTAGCGGAGGGTGTCGATGCATTCGGAGTAGGTGTAGAGGCAGCTGGGACAGGTGGAGGAGTGGGAGAGGCCGCCGCCACTCCAGCAGGACTAGATGAAACGGGTTGGATCGGCTTCTTCTTCATAGCCAAAGATGGAGTCGGCGGCGCGGCGGTTGGTGGCCGATTGATGTTTGGTGGAACATTGGAATGATGATGCGACTGAGGCTGGTGGACTTGCTGACTGTGGTGTATCGCGTTCGGCTGTTGTGAAACCGGGGGACGAGACATATTAGAAGCAGGAGGACCATTGACGACGGTTCCGCCTGGCGGCGGTGGAGGCGGTTGTTGCTGATGCTGTTGCTGATGCTGTTGTTGCTGCTGCTGTGCCATAATCGTCTGAACCATGGCGTTGAACCTTTCATGGCCCTTCTGAACCTCGCTAAGCATGAGGCGAAGGTTATCCAGATTTACAATGAACCGTGGATTGTTGGAAGTGAGAAAACTGCGTTGCTGTTGGACAGTCACGACCTGGAAATCTTTGTTAGATGCCAAGTTTTAGTGCAACTGAGGAGCTACGTACTATCACAGCCAGCCGCTTGACCCAAACATCATTCTTGCCATTTGCAAACAGATATAGCATAGGGAGCTTATTCTCCAACTCCCCAGTTGCTCGATGCAATTGTTCAACTACAGCGTTGTAGGCCATCCGCTCTTCAGGAAGCACCCTTACAGAACCAAGCGCAGCCATACCTGGGAATTCATGAGTTGTGGAAGAAACTCTGTGGTAGAAGTACTCACGATTGGCAAGAAAGTCTTGCTTCACTTGCGATAACATAGACGAGATTCGCGACAATTGTTCCTGATTTCCTCGCATAAACTGGGGAATAATGGTGTTGTTAGGGAGATGAGGTCGATGCTCCATCATGCCCCCGTCAGTAGTACCGTTTTGCAAAGCCGGATTCGGTATGAAATGCGGAGGGGACGTTGCTACATGGCCAAGTGGATTAGATGGGCCGGCAGGACTCTGTGACGGCGTAGCTGTAAATTGTCTATTGTTCGCCGCAGCAGTTATTCCTTCTGACGGCGGTTGTACAGGCTGATTCATCGATGCACCACGCAGGTTGCCACGAAATAGATTCTGCTCCGCAGCCGTACGTTGTATATGGGCACGATGATTCTCGATAAACGTGATTATGTGCTCCTGGACGCCTTTTGCTCGCAATTCTGCTGGAGAAAGATCGGCATACGCCATGACCATTTGCATTTGCGGGCCATTCACCGATTTCGCGGGATTGGGGTTGGCGAGCTGCTGAGCTGCCATGCTAACCTGCTGCTTGCGCCTCGATTCCAGGACGGTCGTGACGTAGACCATATCGAAGTGTGCAAGATGGTCCTTGTATATTTGCTCCAATTGATGAGCAGTACCTGGCCCCGACTTCGCAGGCTCCGTGTCGTTACCTGGAAATTGAACGAAACCCAAACGGGCAGCAATGGCCGCCCAGAGGTCTTTCTGAGCGACCTGCAAAAAAATGTGAACATAAGTAGAGCTCAAATTGACCATGACAAAAGGCGAACCTTAGCTGCACCGCCCTCCTGCATAACATGTGTGTGAAGAACATGAATATCGACCGGTCTATTCTCGATCGTGGCAACGGTCCTAACGTCGCGATTCAAACCTTTGGATGTCAAGTAATTCATGTAAGCAGCCTCAAATCTGGTCTTCTCCAATGGTGGCGGATGTGCAGGGCCAAACGAGTTCGATATTCCATTGGGGATACCGGACTGTCCACCTCCGGTAACAGTGTTCATATTAAAAGGAATACCGCCCAAAGGAGTTTGTGATGGAAGATGTTGCGAAGTTGACACAGAACGGTTAGGAGGGATCATTTGGGGGATGTTGTGGCTCTGAGGAGGCGGCTGGGAGTGGTGTTGAGAAGGGCTAGGCTGGAGATTCGACTGTTGAGGTTGATGGGAGGCCTGCCCGTTCCCGAATGAAGAGGCCTGAGAAGCCGGCTGCATCCATTGTGGCTGCGACGGCTGGTGGGATTGTTGATTTGCTAGATTCATGTTATGCCTGAATAAAAATAAATATACTGTATAGGGAAACATGAAACACGACAGACGCACATATTATTATTACTTGCCAGCTGAATGACTCTTCCCAGCATCTCTTTAGCCTTAGCAACCTCATTCTGTTGCGTTTTAAGCTGAGCATAATAAGTAACGTCAGACATTCCCGCACGATTATTCTGCAGGTTACGAATGTTGTTCTCGCCGCTGCCGATTACGGTCCGCAGGGACATGATACGGCTTTGAAGTTCCGGGGGTAGCTGAGAGCGCATCATACCATTGGGAGCCATAGTGAACTGGTGGGGTCGCCCACCCATCTGGGTTGGCGGGTTGGCTGGAGACGCTCGCCGCAGAGCATCATTAGCGCCCATCGCAGGAGCGAATATGTCGCCCTGTCCAGGCGGGTTGACCGATTGCGGCTGCTGCTGCTGCTGCTGCTGCTGCTGAGGTTGCTGCTGAGCATTTAAACGAGATGGAAACGACATGGGGCCGTTCTGATTCTGCTGGTTCGCAGCCATACCAATGAGCTCGAGTTGCCTGTTATGGTTCTGGTTGTTCGTAATGGCCTGCATCATGGCGTTTCTCGCCTGCATGGAATTCTGGGAGAGTGGCGCTTGCAGACCGCCACCGTTAACTAGATTTGGGAAACCAACAGGCTGCCGCTGGGAGGACGGATCATGGAAGGGCGGCTGCTGAGATGGGCCGCCACTCGGACCTGCGCTCATTTGAGGAACTCCGAGAGGAAAAGACTGCTGTTGTTGACCATGGGCGCGGGCAGCCATGTTCTGACTTCGAAGTAAATCGGCCATCTAGAAGTAGAAAAGAGAGGTCAGCATAAGGATACGTAATGATAGCTTGAGAAGAAAGTGTGCTGGGTCGATAAGAGCGAGTCGTATCATGGGTCGATAAGCCACATGAGCGGTAAATGGACCTGCGAGGGCAGCAAATGCCACCAACGATCCCTGTAAAGACATGGAGATTGATAGGGAGACATGCTACGCTACGGGTCCAGGGTGTACCCCTCCACAGAGTAGACGGACCAACGGTGGACGGTAGCTTGAAAAATAGCCAGAGTAACGAGACTTGCCTGCTGACCAATTTGTGGACTGTTCACATCCGCCCCGTTATTCGGTCGGAATTGGTTCTGCAGATGCTGCATCTGGCTCCAGAGATGAGACTGCTCTGAGAAAGACGGCATTGGCTGGTGGTTATCCTGGTGCTGCTGTTGAGACGTCTGCTGCTGCATCTGATGTGGTTGGAGCATAGACGGGTTGAAATTGGGCATCATCGAGTACTGCGAGAGACGGTCTGCCATGATTCCGAAGATCAGAGGTCTGCCAGCGAGGAGGCGTCAGGCGAAGGGCTTTACAGACCGCCGTGGCCGGCGAGCAGGACGACGGCGACGGAAGAGAGGAGAGGGAGGTAATGGGAGCGTAGAAGGAAAGGGCGTGGCCTCTCGTCGGTGGGAAACAGGAAGGGTGTCAGGACACAGTACTAGGGCTGTGGCTGAGTAGGTTTGATCTTGTTTGGTAATTATGGCCCAAAATGTCCATGTTTGGGAACATTCTGACGAAACGACAGACCGCATTCTACGGAATTTCCTGCAAGTGTCCTAAATAGGCATCTGCTCCTTCAAAAAATATTTCCTGGTTGCCAGCCGCGGTTCTCCCTTATCTCCTCGACGCGAGCATAATGTCCGCCGAGGAAGATCATATCTATAACCAATTGTTCCTTCCTCGGTGCCTTGCAAGTGTGGCGTACAACTTGCATTTTCTAGTCCAGCAATGTATATTATTACTATGTAGTCGTCATGATGTACAGCGAAAGATCCAACGTCGTTAAACTATGCATGTCTAGAATGTGGCCTTTAATACTCAAAGGTGAAGCCCTTTACGGCGCAAGAATGAATAATGCAGTGTGTGCTACATGGTGAGAGATAGAATAGTACAGAGAAAGGGACACGTAGCGCCGACTATAGACTGGGCCCAGCGCCATCCTTGTCTTCCTTTGGTGTAGAGATTGCTGGACCAGCTTCTAGGATAATGTCGTCGTCGTCATCGTCAAACTCATCGTACTCGTCATCGTGTACCAGCAAGCGGGCAGATACATCCTTGGCTTTACTTGGAGCGTTTGGACCGACTGCCAGGATTCTATCCTCATCCTCATCCTCTGTAGCTTGTGACTGCGTTTCCTCAGCAACGGCATCTGCTTCCTGTCTGAACCAGTAGCGAAGACCCACAGGGATCATCACCCCGACAACCACTGCGGAAAGACCAAAAAAGTTCTTCCAGCTGATTAGATGGAAGTCATCGGCACTGGTCATTTCATCTAAACCACCGCCAATAGTTGTGTGTATGACGGTGACGCCTAAGATACCGAGAGCGGTGCTGATCCAAAAGGGAACGAGGCCGATGCCTACATGCGGACACACAACGTTAACAACCCAATGGGGCGGCAGGGGGGCGATGCGAAGAACGATCAGATAGGAAATGATGTTAGCCTTGTTCGCGGCTATTGTAACGGACCATTTTGTCAAAAGGGCATGAAACTTTGGGATGGTGAGGAGGGCTGGACCAAGCGCTGCTGAGATGAGGTAGCATAGGGTAGCGCCTGATGCAACGCAGACACAGGCAAGAGGTAGTGCAAAGGGAACTCCCCAAACAGCACCGCCGAGGATGGAAAGGTACATGGAACCTGGCAATGAAAATGCCTGCAAACTACCTCGAAGAGTCAGTTCCGACACTCAGACAGATGTTAGGAGACGAACAAGAGGTATGTTGTCACATAACAAACGAAGATGCGATACGGATATATGTCGCGGTATTTCTTAAGGAGAGTGTTGAGTGCTTGCAGTTGAGCGAAAGATTTTGGAATTCGAAGAGATTCTCGATCCGCACTACAACCAAGTAAGGACAATATTCAGGGCATTGCCATAAAACGTACTCTTCAACAGTAGGTAGTGCAAGCCACAGGGTACCGCCCAGAAATATTGTGCTGACAACAAATATGGCGGCCATCTTCAGTGTCGCATTGAAGATCACTCTACGTGACGATGGTCGGGACGGGGAATGGGGCAAAGCGCCGTAAGATGGTGCTCCGGCACTACGCAAAGGCGTGAGGTCGTCGTCCTCATAGTCACTCTGATGGACGGTGTCGAGAGTATATACCGACGCATTCGAAGCGGACACGATTTGAGGAGGCGGCATGGAGGCAGCAGCGGAGGTGGTGGTGAGATTTCAATGCTGCAGCGGTCGCCCTATTTGGATGATGATTCAGCACAGTGACGATATCTATTTGGCAACACCCCCGTCGGAGAATCAAATATCAGAGTAAACTAAAACCTTATTCTGCTTGTCAACACAACTTCCTCCACCTCGACCCAAAAAATTATGGTGAGTATCCTGGCCCGTCTCGCTACTATCTTCCTTTTCTAACAGTGTCGTTCAGGACTCCTCAAAGGCCCCCGTCAAACTGGCAAAAGTTATCAAAGTGCGCACAGCATGCACTGACTGGGCCTTTTGCTAATAAAGTCTATAGGTCCTAGGCAGGACTGGCTCTCGGGGAGGTGTTACCCAAGTCCGAGTAGAATTCATGGACGACACGTCACGGTCCATCATACGGAATGTTAAGGGACCCGTGAGGGAGCAGGATATCCTGGCTTTACTCGAGAGTGAGCGTGAAGCTCGGTATGTCTCTTTTTTCTTGCCAAACACTGAAGTTACTCAATTTCCTGCAGTCGTCTACGTTGATTGTACCCATTTAGTTTGCTTTTTATCATCCATGCTGCAATCCACAAGTTACTGCGACCTTCAGTTGTTCATGTGTGCGTTGCACCCATATAGGTGCTGTGAATATTCCCGGCTCTGGACTCCAGTACTGCCATTAAGCCGTCGTGAACACCGCCTTCCCCATGTAGCATTTTGACCGTTATACCTCCCTTATTCTCCGTGTTCCTTACTGGGCCTGCATATAACTCTTGGCGTCCATTTATATATTCTAAGCCTAATTTGCGTGATTCCTCATTGGCTGCAGGACTAGAACGTGCCTGTAGTTCGTTTTGCGTGGGCCGTTTTTTCACAGTTCGGACTTAAATGCGTATTTATATTCAGGAGATTGTACCGCTATGGCGGGAGCTACCGTAATAGCCTGTTCCCGTGATACCGTCAAAGGCTCAAAATTGAACAATATGGCGTTTTCAACCGACGTTTCCGTTAGCGCCATCATACAAAATTACGATCCCGTGGCGCTTCAAATAAAAAGAGCAGCGTAAAATGTTCCACCTTTCCCCCCCAAAATCAGACTCAAGCCCATGGCAGCAGATACCTACCGTTCTGAAAAAGAATCCGTCAATGTTATCAGGTGCCCAATCTATTCCCACACATCACAACATTATTTAATCTGTTTCCCGCAGAAATTTCATCCCAGCTTGGTTCGCCGTCATCATGGGTACCGGAGCAGTCGACATCCTCTTCCACGTCTTTCCATACGGCAAAGGCTCCCAAGGAATGAAAATCATGGCCCTCATCTTTTTCTTCCTTAATCTATCCCTTTTCATCGTCTTTGCCTTTATCTCTCTAGTCCGTTACATCATGTTTCCTGACACCTGGGGCGCAATGATCCGGCACCCTGTTCAATGTCTCTACACAGGTACCTTCCCCATGGGGTCCATCACTATCCTCACCATCGCCATCGGCCTCATCCATGACGACTACAATTTTGGCGGTAAGCCATTTATGTATGTCCTCTGGTCATTCTGGTGGATAGACGTCCTGTGCTCCTTCCTCTGTTGTTTCGGTGTCCTCCACTATATGTGAGTACCCCAACCCCTCCGTCCCTTCATTTTATATCGAGCCCTTCTCCAGGAAAACCGCCCATACTCACACACTGGAAACCATGACACCCGCCTGGGTACTTCCTGTCATAACCCTAATCGTTACATCCTCCGGTGGAGGTGTCGTAGCCTTGTCGATCTACAAATATTCCCTCAACCACGCGCTGATCACCGCTACTCTCGCGATTTTCATGGTATCCATCGGCCTATCCGTAGCCTTGATGATTTTGACTATATATCTACTTCGCCTGATCCTTCATGGTCTACCACCAGGCGCCACGATAACCTCTGCATTCTTGCCCCTCGGTCCCACAGGCCAGGCAGGTTACTCTATCCTACTCCTTGGACAATTCTTCGAGACAGTCCTGCCCTTGCCCTACGGCTCCTCCAAGCTTCTCCGTGGTGAGAATACCGGTGCATCCATCAACGTTGTCTGCACGATCATAGCTGTCGTGCTATGGGCACTGGCGTCGGGGTGGTTGTTTTTTGCCCTTCTTGGTGTCCAAAACATCCTGCGTCAAACGCGCATTCCCTTCAAAGTAGAGACATGGGGACTTATTTTTCCAAACGTGAGTCTACCGTTCTCCTTTCCTCCCGTTTTCTCACAATCGTACAGGGCGTATACGCGAATCTAACTCTGAGTCTGGCAAGCACTCTTGACTCTACGTTCTTCCGCGTGTGGGGATCCATATATTCGGTCGCAACTTTGATACTTTGGTGTTTCGTGGCCACACGGACGTTAATGTTGATACGCAATAAGCGTATATTCGAAGTCCCATCGTAATTGGATAGTAGGCCACTGCATATCTCGGCGGAATATCTTCTTTCACAGGATATTGACTAAACGATACAATATTCTCTAATGGGGTCCATGCCGAACATATACTGCATTCTTACGTCTCCAATATGGACGAGCATGATATTCCCCCTCTCGTTGTATGACCTTCCCATCCAAGAACTTCGTGAAGACCGTATGGGTCCACATGAATACACCATAAATCACGTCCTTGATCTCCTGTAGATCCTGATCGCACTTGCTCTCCCATCTATCCTTCGACATCTCTTCCCTGCTTCCTCCACGACCGAAATCGATAATCCGGAACGACGGCGTAGAAAGGGAACGCTCAGTTGGACGCGCACTTAGCGGTCCAGGCTGAACAAGGATATTTCTCTGGGTGATGGATCCCTGGATGAATCCCGCATGTTGTAGACGAACGACGAAAGAAAATATCAACTCCCTACACACTAATATGAGCTGCATAATAGAAATAATGCATCATACCACACCTGTCACAGCTTTCCAGCTCATCGATTTGAATCGGTTTGCCGCACTCCTCCATCAAAAGCAAAGGACTGTACACCTCTCGATCCTTTGGATCTTCGGGAACATAATATCCGTAGAACTGAGGGACAACAGCTGGCAGCGGGTTGATTCCCGAGCCATCGTACTCAGCTTCCTCCATGTAATGATATCCACTCCAGGTCTCCTTCAAGTATCTGGGGAGAGACTGATACACTTTCGCCTCATCAGCCAACATCCCAAGTGATGCGTCATCAGACAAGGCTATTTTGACTGCAACTGTGACATCGCCGGTAGGCGAACCTGTGAAAGGGATGTTAGGAACACTCAAACGTCCTTTGTACACTTTTGAGTGGCTGCCGTTCCCTAACTTATTGGCGGGGGACATCTGTAGTTGAGCAATGCACGTTTCCGTCGAGGTAGTCTTCTCCGAGTTAGAGACGGTTGCAGGAATCAAGCGTTTGTAACGTTTGGTATTCGACAATTTTGACGAAGAATCCGATCCAGATGCAAGAACAACACAGTTATCAGAGTCGATGACATCTAGAACCGAGGGGAGCCATTCCGGGGCGATATATTCCTCAAGTTTAGGTGGAAGCATCTTCTCTGGCAGTCAGGACTAGTGGGGATAATATTGGGGCGTTACTTACCTTGTCTTCTTTCACTTCGTCCAGTGGAGTAGAGGAATCACCTCCGATTGTCGTTGATTGCTTCTCCGTCGGAGAATCGGAAACAGTCGCGGCGGCACAAACGTCGTTGGAAGCTTTCTCGTCGCATTTTGAGTCTCCTTCTGCATCTGATGTGCTGCTGTCGGTCGGTGGGATGGTCCCAGAGATGAGTGGCCAGGGTGGCACCAGCACTGGTTGGTGTTCAGTCCTTCCAAGCGTCGTCCAGCACTCTGCAAGCACAGTAAAATTCGTCTTTTGAGTGAGACCAAAGGGTATCTTTGTTAAGATAACAACAGCTCAGTCAGTCACACGAAGATGTAGTGAACAGCTGTATTAAGTACGCTACCTGTTAAGATAACAACAGCTAGATGAGTGTAGCGTAAGAAATAGGTAGTGGATGATAATATGAATGATATACGCACCTCAGTCAGTCACACGAAGATGTAGTGAACAGCTGAGGTGCGTAGAGGGGCAAACGCCGTAGTTATAAGGATCGGGAGAAAGGAGGTATAGTCTAAATATAGTAAGTAGGAACATCGAACGAGAAATAATGAGAATACTGGTAGGGTAGGCTGAATCCTCGACAATCTTTGGGAAGAGCAGCCATTTGAAGGTGCAGAAGAACGATGTAAAAACACACAACAATGGTCAAAAAACGCGTCCAGGAATACGTGAATATCAATTTATACGCATCATTGTTCCCGTCACGTGTGCATAACATTTAAGTTCTCTAAGTGACTCTTACTCCAACATCATGATGTGTTCAAGCCTGTTCAAGCTTTGCTTCGGTACTTGCTCACTGTTGATTCGCATCAGACCTAGAGCTAGGATATTAAATAAGAATAAGAAAATATCCAGCTCAATCTCACATGCGTCATTCTCTCTTTCTACGTGACTACTTTCTCAGGCGCACACGAGTTCCAGATCATCTTTGACTGCGGATTGTGGTACCAGGTTGATGTCCTTGAAGCAAAAAACTCTTGGCACCGTCATTTTTCCGTCGGCTGCGAATAACCAACTGGTGCGAGGGCCAGCGGAGAAATACAAAGGGCGTTTCACGGCCATGGCGCCACCGGAATGCTTCGGTTGATACTCATATGGTGAACGTACTCGTACCTGGCCATACGACCCAGGTTTCTTCTAGGCATTTAAAGGGTCGAGCAAAAGGTGCAGAACGAACTGTGGCAAGATAGAACCAGCCATAGAAAGAGGAGCATATGGATTGCGAGTTCTGAAAAATTCTGAGTTGAAGTCCCTTGAATTCCACGTGAAAATCACGTGGTACGCGCAGCCGGCAATCACCCAAATAAGCAAAAAATAAGCATTGAGATCTGTTGAGGCCCACATGGACCTCTTTCATCGTCGGCTATCGTCGGTTTTGTACGATATCGAAGTTGACGAGAAATATCCGTTGCTGCACCTCATGACAGCGTACCTCTCTGAATATCTGCTGGTACGGCAGGCCGTGGCTCTCCTGGTGATCTTCTTGGAATGCAATATCGTTCTCTGTAGAGCTTCGCTGAAGTCTGTTCGCAGTCGCCCTCCTCAGACTGTGAATATCAATTTTCCGTTCTTTTGCTCCCATGAGACTATGTCTGATATCCCTGGGTCAAAATAAACCCCTGGTAGATGGAGAAACTGTATAAAAAGGCTATGGACGTGCTTGTTCACTCAGTGAAATCATTCATTCGTATCCTCGTTCAAACATGCTCTCTCGCGCTTTTGTTCTAGCTGCACTCTGTACTTTCGTGCTGTCCAAGCCATAAGTCTGTCGCCCTGTCTCGGTTTTTTGTACCTTCCTTCATGCCATCTCAGAGCTGCACGTGTACAATGTCGCACTGCGACTAACGAGTTCCCTGACTCGCCAGCATCTGTCTCACTGTCTAGTGCTATGACCATTTCTGCCGGAGAGACTTTTGAGCCCGATGAGCCATACACCCACTACGACTGCGGCTCCGGTGCTTGCAACGGCCAAACCGAAGGAGGCGATTCCGATGCTGTCTTCCTCTTGGAGGAAGGCGCGACTCTGAGTCGTGTTGTTATCGGAGCCAATCAAGCCGAAGGAGTTCACTGTCTCGGTATCTTTCTTTCCTTCCATTTCCACTTATTCGGCCTGACAGCAGGACACAGGATCGTGCACTTTGTCGCATGTCTGGTTTGAGGTTAGTGGCTACCCAGTGGATTTTTTCCCGACTAATTCGCTAAACCCTTCTATTTAGGACGTGTGTGAAAATGCCATTACCATCAAGCAGACGAGCGGGACATCCAGAATAAACTATGGTGGCGTATGTTCTCATCTTTACCTTTATACAGCTCGATTCTAATGACATTGCATATCTTCTAGGCTAAGGTATACTCACACTCCTGTATTTCATCTCATGCTTACTTTCCAATCTTGTCCTATAGGGTGTTGACGATAAAGGTAGGCCACACCAATAAACATGCAATGCCTATTTTTTATTTTTTTATTTTTTTTAAATCCTAAGTATATTGGTTACACATGCGTATGGTCCAATTTAGCTACCTGTGTTACTGTGTGTATAATGTCATCGATTAAGTCAGCTTAACAAGCTGTGCACTTATGTTATGGCACGAAATTATCCCTCGCCCTCGATAACTTGGTGCGACTCGGGCACTGCCACCTTTTCCCACTTTGGGAAATCCTGACCTCTGCCGAGAAATGGCCGCAATCTATCCGTCACCGTCGTTTCTTCACCAGACCCTTCTCATGGCCTAGTCCTACTTCCCACCAAACTCCATCAATCCCAGTCCTTCTCCGGTCTCTCTTTCCCAGACCTGCCTTACTCCGCCAAGATCACCAACACAGTGTGATCAATTGATGCGGGGGCGATGTGCCGGGCCGGGGTGTGCTTGGATCACCACTCCATTTTGTTACACCTGGGTCCCAACCAGGCGGCAGCCTTGCGGCACGCGACTCCGTTTCCCTGTCTTATTCGAAAGATCACTGGAAGGGCCTCGAACCGATGCCCAGAATGGCAAGGAGAGATAAGATTTGTCGTGTGATTTTAGAGGGGGTAATGGGCGTGACTTGATCATGTTTAGAAAGGGAGGCTGCGTTTCACGTGATTCGGATATCAGAAGTGGTAGAACCCGGAAAGTGTCTAGAGTGTTACTTTCTGGGGGGTGGGGGGCTCGAACTCGCGAGTGCGAAAATAAATATTTTCTGTGTGGAACGAGGTACAATCGAGCAAGCAGAGGTAACCACTACACCATCTGCCCCCTTGCAATGCCCATTAACTGACAGTTTTACTGTTAAGTTGTCCAACATAATGGTAGGGCCATATCTATTTAATGGGCTGACTCGGGATGAATAAACTTTCCGCACCTACAGGTGGAGGCACGGTATGTTCGATCCTGCATCTAGAAACCTTCCTTCGACTAAATCCAAACCCAGGTTATTATCAACTCCGTGAGTCGACCATCCTATGAATACCAGTCCCGACTCAAATTCCGACTGCCACCGTTTTAGTTCTACGTTGAAGACTTCGGAAAGCTCTACCGTAGTGTAAGCACTTGCCCTTATCGTGGCGACTCATCTGTCCCTGATATACCTATATGTTAGTGTGGTAACTGGTAAACGCCATAATTCCTCCTCTTGAACATTCCTTACATCTGCGCACGTCTAGTGACACACAATACGAAAGGCACGTCCAGATTAATGATGTGTGGGCTGTCGATGGTGAGCCGTACCTCGTTTTTCGGTACCCAACGCCCTTGTTCACTGGGTATGTCTGACTAGGCGATGTCCTTGCTGGTATCAATTCGTAATTCTCACTTTATCCGACTCGATCGCTTGATAATAAATGATATTTAGGAACTACGGAGAGTGTGTAATTTTACAGGTGTTTCAGCTCAATCTGCTTATGACATCGATAGCACTGCGACGATCCGCACCACCCAAGTTGATAATGTCGACACGATCTGCGAGAGGTGAGAACTCGATTATTTAGATTCCTACTGAAATTCCAACGGCGAATTCAAGGTATGAGGGCAATGACGATGGCGATGAACCTGAGGAGCTTGGTTCTGGTCCTGACAGCAAAGTGAGTAACCACTGCTCCCAACCGTTGTTACCATTAAATCTGGCTTCTAGTATTGCCTCTACTCGGATGATGATATAACGGAGCTCTGAGTCCTTCATCTTGCCACTGGTTCAGGTTCTATATTTTGTAAACACAATGAAATATAACTTTTCTCTGTTGTGTGCTCTGTATCATCATGTAAATAAGCCTAGTTTTTAAATGCTTCTAGACAGACGGGCAGCTATGAGATATTGTTTGCCGATTCTGTTTGCTCTCAGAAATTGCTCGAAATAAATGTTTCTGTTTTCCGGCCCGGGGTCCCGTACACCTCCAACTTGCTCCAGTACGTCGATGCTCTTGAGCACCCTTGTCCCTTCAATCTCCTTAGAAATCGTCACCCTACTCAAAAATAACGGAATAATAACAGACAGAGACCTCTTATTCCAGGAATCTGCTCTCGACATATACCTAAAGTTACCTCGCGACGCGTTAACACTACCGCAACTTCGTGCATTCATCGTACGCGTTACAGAGCTGCTTTCTGCCCCAGGAATTTGCTCTGCTGATATACCAGATGCTCCTCATTCAAAACTACTTACAGGTGTTGCCGAATTGGATGCTCTCACGGATGGCTTTGCTAGGTCGCAAATAGTTGAAATTTCTGGGGACAGAGGATCAGGAAAGACGGTGCGTTTCTTCTCAAAAATACTTGTATAGCGCTAATAACCGGAAAGGCATTTGCGTTGAATTTGACTGTCCGTTATCTGCAGGCTCAGCGGGACTCCGTTGCACTATGGATTGACACGCGTGGCGAGTCCTCACCTGACCGAGCCTACCGTATCCAGACTTCAATGGACCCAGAGGTGAGATTATTCTTTACCTTGAACAATGGCTATGTGTTAATGAAACCAGGCCTCAGACGTCTTGGACCGGCTGCAGATTTCTGTGGCATTCGAAATTGAGGCTGTCTATGAGGTTCTGTGGGCACTTCCAGCGTTGCAGCAACGCGTCGGCTGCATCTTTATCGATAGCATTACTCCTATACTACGAACCAACCTGAGCGCTGTTTCATCTCAAGGGCATGCCATCATGAGTGGCTTCATGCAACAATTACGTTCATTGGCCCAGGCTCTCTCTTTGACAGTTTTCGTGAGTGTATTAGCATTTTCAGTGCACATATAACTTGAGCATTTCACAAGGTCATCAACGACGCTACTGCCCTTAGAGGAGATAATTCCCTGTCCGCCTTTGATTGGACCACGAAGAAGCCAGCTCTCGGCCCCTCGTTTTCCTTCATGAGCGATTCAACCTTATGGCTTTCAAGATGTCAGGATCAAGGCGACGCAGAAATCTATGTCGCTGAAATGCTTCATTCCCGGTCTACAGTTAGTTTGTTCAATCTTCCTTGATGTGAGCTTACGCAAGTCGTAGCATTCGAACACTTGGACGTGTTTTCGGATCTGCGATGAAGTATTGAAATCTGCTTAATTTTCTGTTCTAGTCCGCCCTCATAGCACCTTTTCCAACGCTATCACCTCCTCTATTGCGCCGTAATGTTTGTTCACCGCCAAAGCATCCCAGGCAACTCGTTTCAGCGGCGCCCGCACTACCGTCTCACCGTAATCAAAGTTCCTCGAAACGATACTCTTCACACCTCCGATCCCTCCAATCTTCTGCACAGCCCAGTCTGCATGTCCCATCTTAGCTTGCAGTGCAGTGGCCTCCTCCAACTTCCCCTCCCGGTAAAGCTGTAGCAGTTTTCCGTGCAGCTTGGGCACGATGTTTACAGATGCACCTATCAACCCTGCACTCCCTGAAATAAGACCATGAAGGAAAAAATCCGTTCTTCCCGCAAAAACGGCAAACTCGGAGGGCGAGAATCGTGAAGTGAGCCGCTGAAGTTTCCCAATGTTCCCACAAGAAAGTTTAGTGCCTACGATGTTTGGATGTGCGGCAAGAGTGGCGATGGTGTCCGAGTCAAGATCCTGGCCAGCTGTAACGACAGGGAAGTTGTAGATCATGGTAGGGATGGGGGAGGCATCGGCAACCTGGCAGGCTTGCACATCATATGGATAGCTGAGAAATCGGAAGACATACCTCGGTGTGGAACTTGATCACGTTGTCCACCGTCATCTGTGGGGGCCAAGTAGATGGTGTAAGGACGAGGACATGGGATGCACCGGCTTCCTTCGCGTCAATATTAAACTGCTTCGTCTCCCTTGTCGACTGAGCACCCGTTCCAGCGATGACTACAGTATTCTGAAACCCATTCTCATCCAAAGTCTTGCGAGTGAGCTTGATCGCCTCTATACGTTCTTCGCGCGAGAGGAGCTGAGCTTCTCCATTGCTGCCTTGTACCAGGATTCCAGTCACGCCTCCCTACTCGATATTAGTTGTCTTTACTTCGTTTAGAGACTATTGTGCACCTTGGCCAGTCTTAGGACATGTGCTTTGATCGCTGGGACATCGAAATCCTCGCTCTCGGTCATAAAAAGGACCGCAGGGACGTAGTATCCGGGAGGTGGAGGGATCGACATTCTGATGGTGGATCACAGATACGGTGTTCGAAGGCAACGCGACACGGATGTCTGGCGATTTCGCAGCTCGGTACTAGGGAGATGACTGCTTCAAGCTCAGTTATCGAAACTCAAATTCCGTCAGAATTCCGGTCCGCAACTACGACCACCACGTGTTTCATTTCTCATCAATCTTTCAATCCGATTCGAACTTGACACATGTTCTGGAGATAACAAAGGGACCTTCTATACCTCCATCGAGTCCGAAATATTTTTGTTGTTTTTGCTCATGGTTGTCACTGAACTCCAAGTTTCGTTCGCACGCAGCCTGCACTTCTTCAGTTATAACACGTGGTCTCTCAGATCTCGCGACTTTTGTCGGGAAAACATATTTGGAGCAAGGTGCCATGTTGCTCAGTCTTCCATCAAGGTCAGCTTACCTCGCTGGCTGCGCGTCGCGACATCTTTGATCAACTTGGATGACCTTCATGATGGAATTTTTGTTGACTCTGGAGTCTGAAGAGCTGCTAGCATCTTTGGGAATAGCAGGCAGCTCTGAGCTCGCTGTCTTATGCCTGCAGGCAACGCCATCGTCGACTTGGACTTGTACGCGATGATCTCTTCCGCGGCGATGGTTATGGCACTGTTGAAAAGGATGGATATGGAAATTCGTCGGACACAGAACGACGGTTGTAGATGCCCAGCTCTCATATCTGACGTAATTACTAGTACGAGGAGAGAGGGCATAATGCACGCTCACGGCTTAGAGCGCAATGTACTGAAACAATGAAAGCACGAGAATCATAAACAAGCGATTCTTGCTTTTCACTCGCGTTGTAAATAATCAAAAGACGTCAAAATATACAAGTGAAACTTTGGGTAACACTACGACTCTTGCCACAAATATGTACTGGCGAGATAATCTGGGTTGGCCTCCAATTCTACTCAAAGAATGAGGGAAAAGTTTAAAAGGAGAATGACTTGCCAGAGGAAGTGGTAGCAAAGGAAACACTGACACAGCATAAAGGGTAATTGTGATATTCGAAGTAGGGTAGATTGTCGGCCACGTAAGAAGGATGACACTAGATTTGATCTTATCAATCGGCACAAATTATCATGTGAAAGCGACTAGCGTCCCCACAGGGCACGCTGAATTGAATTAGCGCTACGTCTTGATCCCCAACTACCACTTTCACCGTCACCATCATGTCCGACCTCAAAGTAGACGGTTTCAAGGCTCGCTGCTCTCGTTATCCATATCAATTACATACTGACGCGTGACGGTTACCAGTCCTCTGCCTTTATCGCCGACCTTGGCTCCTCCTTTGCAAGCTACTCCGACGCCGAGAAGAAGAATCAGATCAAAAAGGTGCTAGCATCTGTTTCTTTCTGTCATATTTGCTCTTAATATCTCTTAGACCAATGGCGTATTTGAGCTGCAAGTGACGAACGGCGAGGGCAAGAAGGCAGTCTGGACCATCGACTTGAAGAACAAGGGCGAGGTTACAACGGGACCGCCTCCAACGAAGGCCGATATTATCATCACCGTTTCGGATGATACTTTGGCGGATCTGGCATCTGGAAAGGTGAGTTGCATAATTTGCTGGCAGACACCTTGCAAGCTGACGCAATCCTAAGCTTAATGGCCAAAAGGCGTTCATGACTGGAAAACTCAAGACAAAGGGAAACATTATGCTTGCAACCAAACTTGACGCTGTACTCAAGGTAAACTCTCTTCAAATCAGAGATCAAAAACGCGCTCAAATTGTGCATAGGGTGCCAAAGCTAAGCTATAGTGTATACAGCATTTCTACCATACCGTTACGGGTTCAATATGCAAGGATTAAAGATATATTGCTCGTGAATTAGTGAGTGGGGAACATGAAGCCCGAACAAAAACCAAGTATAAAACAATAAAATAACTACGTTAAAGTCGTTAGAACATGTTTCCGAACAAACCACGCTGTCGACGTGGTGCCGGTTGAGGATCAGCTCGAAGTGTTGACAAGCTATTCAGCTGCTTCATGACCTTTGGGAAAATGAGCACGAGGTCATTGAACCATGCGGACTATTTACCTCTTCCAATTTATCCTTCCGCTGCTGCAAATCTAAGTGTGCTCTCACAGCAGGATTTTCACGCGCAAACTCGATAATCTCTTGGCGATCCAGGTCATACAGTAGCCGGGAGTCAATTTCACGAGGGAACTGCAAAGGGGGGTGAAAATCGCGCCCTGACACAAGGAACTGAACCCACCTGATAAAAGAACTGGTCCAACAATTCGATGTTGATGAACATGGCGGACGTGTAAGCTAGCTTGTCAGCTACGACATTAAGAAATGCCTCAGGACAAAGGACATCGTTATCGGGCCCCGCCTTGCATCGCTTGGAACGCAAGGCTGCCAGACGCAGTTTCAGGATGTTTAGGCGGTCATTGTACAAGATGGCATGACGAGCTGCAGACGGCATGAGCTTCTAGCCCGACACAGCAAACAGGCAACTCACCATCCAGTATCTGAGCAGGAGGATACTTGTAAGATTCTGGAACCGGCTCAGGTTCCTCCGAATCCGACTCCCACTTCTTGGCCTTCCTCTTCCTGTCTTCCTCCTCCAAACTCCTGACGTACCCAATTAACCCACCTAACCGTCGGCTACCACCAACCTTCTTCCTCAGCTCCTTCAGCTTTGTCTCACACATACCCAGCTCCTTCTCGAACAGATCAATAGCTTTCTGTCTTCCTTGCTCCCACTCACGGTCCTCCACTTCGACCTCGTATTTAAACGGTTTGATGCAGTTTTCGACCTGGTCTGACGTGACACCGATTCGATCTCTTAGAATCATGTGTGAGAACTGGATGAGCCTCTCCGCAGCCCGTGGATGGTAATTGAAAGGATCTGCTGATGCAATCGAGTCGATTAAAGCCCTCAATCCATCAGCGACGAGAAGCGTCGAGTCTCGGCCAACACCCGACTTGGTCAAAAGCGACGATGCAGCTTCCAACTTGTGTCTCCAAAAGCTGTCTACATTCTCGGGCTTTACACGAGGGTCTGCTGCCAGTTCGCCAAGTTCTGGTGCACGCTTGTCAAGCCAGTAGAGCTGCTCAAGCACGTCCATGACTTTGTCATCCAGCATGTTCTTTAGCTTCTCCCGAATGATAGGTCGACGAAATTGCTGCATGGCATCCTTGAATCGTAGCTTCAGCTTATCCATCGTCTCGGCAACGTACGACTCTGCTGTGATGCGTCTGTCATTGTATTGCACCTTGAATTGATACGTCGCCTCTTCGAGTTCAAGTTGTACGGCGTTTGTAATGCCATGTAATGACGACGCCATGGACGATTCCAAAACCTCCATCAACCGGCGTCTCAGCGTGCCCGTTCCTACCATTAAGGAAGACGAGCTGCCAAAGATATCTCGGTGTGAAGCAAAGTAATCGCTCTCGGCCTTGCGTATCAGCTCGGTCGAGGTATGCGGCCGTCCCTTGTTATCCGGAGACTTTGACACGACGCCGACATATCCCAAGTGAAGGGGGTATCGGTTACCAGACAAGATGGTTGCGCCCTGTTCTGGTTCTACCAGATCCATCTTCGTTATTACGCCGATGGTGCGAAGGCCCAGCGGATCAACCTTCCGACTGGCCCTCAAAGCAGGAGAATTGGCAAGATCGACATCGGCAGCACATACAGCAAGGATAATATTAGGCTCCTTGATGTATTTTTCACAGAGGCCGGCAATCTTCTCCTTGAGCGATTCTGGCTGGTCCATGGAAGAAATTTGAACATATCCGGGAAGGTCAATGAGGGTAAGGTCGGGTACATTGGGAGAGTATATTCGGAGGTCGATAGGTTCATTGGAAACGGCTTCGGAAGTGGGTACGGCGAGGTTGAGCTCAGTGAGGGTGCGCTGGATGGCACTGAAATCCTTTATTTGACCCAGGCTCATGCCAGGGAACTCGCCGTATTCAACAACCTTTCCATCGGTAGCGGGTGTGTGAACCAAAGTTAATTCGATGGGTCGGCGCGTCACCATGTTATTACCTCTGTCATGCATTAGTACATACTAAGATATGGAAGGAAAGCAGACGTACTTGGGCAGAAACTCGTGCCCTACGATCGCCTCCAGAACTGAACTCTTCCCGGAGCTCTGACTTCCAATGACTACGATACTTGGCAGCTTGAGCGCGTCGCTCTGGTCTATGCTGAGTAGCATGCTGCGAATTTCGATAAGCTTTCTCGTCAGGTGCATGAGGCCATTTTGTCGGACATCAGGAGTGGAAGGGGATTCGTCGTTGGGCGAAGACATAGTTGCAGCGACAAGAGCGGCGACTGCTGCTTCGTCAGTCGGTGGTTTCTTGTTGGATTGTCGTTCGCCCTCGTTACCCTCGCTTTCACCGCTGCCTTCCTTGCGCTTCCTCTTTCCAAAAAAGTCTTTAATAAACTTGGCAGCACCTGTCTCCGGTATGTCTGGCAGCTTGACTTCTGAGACGCGAGACCGAACGGCCTTCAAACCATCGGTTGCCGAGTCGAACATGTCAGTCGCAGTGTCTTGAACGGTATTAAGCCATGCCTGTGAACGACTTCTCAGCTCTAAAAAAAATTAGCCATGAGCGTTGAAATACACAGACGCGATACCGTAGCGCACCTTCAAACTTATAATTCGCATACCCAAAGCCCCCAGCGCCTATCGTCGCCCCCGCTATAGGCACCCGGAACGCCCTTGCGACAAATCTCGGTATTGACGAGTACGAAATGGCGCGAACATGCATACGACGGAGATTCTGAACCGGCGACGCATATCGATGTCGGAGGGATCCTGATGCGAAAAAGGTGGTAAACTGGCGGTGCACTGGACGTGGCAGCTCTGCATGTCGTCGCGAGGTATTCAGCCCGTATGTGACGGCTTTCTGGGCCTTGAGTAACGACGACAGTGGTCGTCGTGTAGCATGCATACCGGCAACCACATACGACGCTTGGTGCCGCTTTGACTATGTCTTATGTAATACCGACGGTTATGGTTCACTGCGGCTTGCGGCTGTTTGGCAAGCTCCTCTTTCCAACCTTCATGGCGGCTTCGGAGCTGCCCGAGAATACACCTTTACGTCTGCCTTTGCGGTCCAGAGCTTCTGCAGCCCGGCTATCTAGTCTCGAAATTTCTGTTCATCGCAAAGTACTCACTAACCCTGTACGTATGGACATGCTATGCTGGCTACTACGGCCTCGTGTGTCTTTCATTTACAAACTCGGCCCCTCTACACTTTCCCGCTACGATGTATAATCTATCTTTGCTCGTAACCTTTATTTCCACGCCTTGGGGTGGTATTTCACGTTTCCCTTGACATTGAAAACTCTACTACACGAAATTGGCTGCTTGATTCCATTTTATATCGTCCAAAGTGCGGTAGGTATAGAGATAGTTCTCGTCAGTCTTGTAACTTGTGACTCAACTGCAACGCAGACACCAATATTTCTTTTTATAATCAAGACAAGGACCCAACGACCACTACGCTTGACGCAACTCAGTTGCATGATTTTACGCAGCCTACAACTGGGACTTCATATAGTCTTGCTCCAAGTCCCATCCGGAAACCTTCTATCAGATCGCACAGTACCTGGCCCCTTGATTGTCTGTCTATGCTTTGGAACTTGTCAGATCGAAGACGTTGAAACCAATTTGTCCATGCAGAGCTACTAAGAACAATGGCGAAGACGATAAAATTACATGGGATTAGAAAAAAACTGCTGCTTAAAGTGATCCTAGAAGAGCGGGAGCGTCGAGCTGAGAGATGAATATTACTCTTCTGATGTGGCGGGAGATGGTTGATCACGATATGGCCGGAAATGCCCTTCAAGAACTCTCTGCTCAACGTTTGTCTGTCGGTGGTTTTTTGTTGGACTGCTGCTCGCCTTCCCCGTCGCCTTCCTTATGTAATTTTTTGCCAAACAAGTCCTTAATGAACTTCGTAGCTTCCTTTGGAATGTCTGGGAGCTTGACTTCTGAGACACGAGACTCAACGGCTTTGAAGCCTTTGACTGCCGTGTCGCCAACATTGGTCGCAGTGTCTTTCACGGTACTGATCAATGCCTGTAACCGACTTCTCAGTTCCAAGAAGCGGTTTCGAGTGTTCGCATACGCTGACCTGTGCTGCGTCTGGGCGCTTAACTTCTTCGGAGGCGTGAGACCAAAGGGCCTTCAAGCTATTGACTGCTGTGTCACCGGTATTAGTCACAGTGTCTTTCACGTTATTGACCCCAGCCTGTATCCACCTGTCCAGCATCCACCTTTTCAGCTCTAACATAGTCATGAGTGTTCGCATATGGCTAACGACAAGTAGCGCACCTCCGAACTTGTAACTCGCATACCAGCATCCCCCAAAGACTATTATCACCATCATTATAGGCACCCGGAATGTTCTTACGATAGATGCTAATGTTGACGACTCGGAGCCTAAAATGTGCAAATGAACGCGAGAGGGATTTTGGACACGCGATCCATATCGATTTTTTCGGAGGGACTTCGTTAAAAAGGAGGTGGTGAACTGATGGTGCACTGGCTGTCGCAGCGAAGCGCTCAGTCCATATGGGGCGGCTTTCTGGGCCTTGAGCATCGACAGCAGTGGTCGCCGTATAGTTTGCATACCGATGCTGCTTTGACTCCTTTGGCTCTAACCTTAGACGGGTTTATGTAGCAAAAACAGCCCACTACGACCTCTAACAAGGTGCTGGCTGGAGATGAGAAGAGTCAAGGACGAGGGCAAGTTCGAGTTCATCAGCACCTGATGATCTGATACTTACTAGCGCTGGGAAAATTATGTAACTTTGGTACAATAGAAATCACTACTTCTTGCCGAGCTTCCTGTAGGGGACGTAATCTCCATGGCGCTTGAAAGAAGAAAAGTGAGATATAAACAGTCTTGGAATTTTATGAAATCGGAATGATCGACACGAAATGCTTGCCATGCTCTCACACTAACATTCACGGCACAGAAGTCTCCGCACGCCAGAATCAATCACGAACCCAAGACCTTCAATCTCACTGTGCCTAAACGTGCTCTGGATACAACTGAAGACGTGTACAAAGACCAACGTCTCTGGATCAAAGGGCATCTACAGACTATTCATCGACTAATCCTCTACAGGAAGATACTGCTGCTCAAGAAGTAGTTCCAACATATAGTTACTGAATCAAAGGGCTCACCGAACATTTGCGGCGTAGGGAAACTGAGATGACGACGAGAAAGTACAGCAAGGCAAGCAAAGCGACGGGCAAATACACAACAGTGCAATAAAATCGGCAGAACAAAGGTGGAAGGTTTAAATGAGAGAAATGACTCTACCTCGTAATAGTAGTAGTAGCAGTCAAACTGAGAACTAGGCAGCTTCGCGGCAGCGGCGAGCTACTAGCGTCGTGTGCAGTTCCACGGCGCGTACTGTGCCACGGTATGTAGACCGCATTTCGCGAGGCTCTAAGTTCAAAGTTGTTGAGCATCTAGCTGCAGACACCATAAGAATAGCACCCGTCAGCACTTTTCCTCTTACCATGAATTTCTGTGTGCCTTTCGAGTTTCGAGATAATACAAGAATTTTGTTGGACGTCAAGTTGATACGGACTTGCCCCTAACCCTAGATGACCTTATGTAACGCTGACTCCATAATAGGCAGTGCTCTTCTATCACTACCTCCCACCATCGTCAAGCATGGGTTTGCTTTTATCCCTCCCTATTTTCGGAGGACTTAGTACCATTGCGACGTCATGCCTCGCTGGACTCGCCTTCTGCTGCACCTCGACGGCTGGTACGCAAGACCGTCCTTTCACCGTCCAGTACTAACACGCAGCAACAGCATCCATGTTCTTCAAGTCTTGTAATTGTAATTCGTCAATAGCGACTCGTGTTGGATTTGCAGTATGAGAAATTTGCTGTCTCTTGGATGTTTCTCACTGCCTCTCCCAGATAATATTCTGTTTGAATTCAATACTCGCCTGGGTAATGAAAACAGACATCGCCATAAAGCAGATAGAGAAATGGAGCTACGACTACATTAAGATGGATTGTGCAGGCGATAAATGCTACGGAGTCCTTGCGGCAAGTCTTTCCATTGAGCTCTTGACGGTGTACTTACCCCCAAATTAGGTGCACCGAATCTGCTTTGCTCTTGCTCTCGTCCATACCATCCTCAGCCTTTCGCTCATCGGTGTTCGAGACACTCGTGATAAACGGGCTGCAATTCAAAATGGGTACGCTTTTCAAAAGTCACTAAATGCTTGTCTCTTACATCTCTCAGATGGTGGGGCCCCAAAGTTCTCCTCTGGCTGGTCTTCGTGGTCGTTTCCTTCTTCATACCAAATTCGTTCTTCATGTTCTGGGGAAATTACGTGTCAATGATTGGCGCCACTCTCTTCATCCTCCTTGGCCTGGTCCTTCTCGTCGATTTCGCTCATTCGTGGTCGGAAACCTGTCTAGACAACTGGGAGAATTCCTCTACAGGCTCCAATTTCTGGCAGTGGATTCTCGTCGGATCTACTGCGGCGATGTACATCTTCACAATTACCATGACCGGCCTCCTGTACGGTTTCTTCGCTGGTTCAGGCTGCACGCTGAACCGTTTCTTCATCTCGTTCAACCTGGCACTCTCTATCATTGTTACGATCATGTGCGTTCACCCGGTTGTCCAAGAATACAACCCCAAGTCAGGATTAGCACAGTCAGGAATGGTTACCGCCTATTGTACATACCTCATCGTCTCCGCTGTGAGCAATCACACGGACGACAACCAGCCGTGCAATCCGCTGAGAAACGGAACCGGAACTCGTACAGCCGCAGTCGTTCTTGGCGGCGTTTTTACGTTTTTGGCCATTGCGTATTCAACGACACGCGCTGCTACTCAAAGTCGGGCTTTGGTTGGCAACAAGAGCAAGAAGACTGGGCCGGTGCATCTGCCAGGAAATGACCATCTAGATGGTCATGCTGAGATGGGTGTAGTGAATACGCAACCTAGCCGGACAGAGTCACCGCGATATCAAGCATTGTTGGCCGCCGTCGAAGCCGGGTAAGTCATACCGTATCTAAGTGGATTCTTTGGTAGCTTATACTCTGTAGAGCAATCCCAGCATCGGTTCTCGACGAAGAAGAGTCGGATGAGGAAGACGAAGTTGTCGGTGAAACGCGAGATGATGAACGTTCAGGAACTCGTTACAACGTAAGTTGTCGTTTTCAGTGGTTTGCGTTTTCTACTGAAGCTCTTTTCCAGTATTCCTGGTTCCATGTTATCTTTGCGATGGCGACGATGTATGTCGCCATGCTGCTGACGGACTGGTAAGTGACGTTCTTATGCTTAGAAGCACAAGTCTCAACGAAATCTAGGAATGTTGTATCCAACAAACCGATATCGACACCTGTGGATCCAAACTCGGACGTTTACATAGGACGGTCTGAAGTGGCGATGTGGATGCGAGTTGTGTCTAGCTGGGTGTGCATGCTGCTGTACATGTGGAGTCTTCTTGCACCTGCAATCATGCCTGACAGGTTTGCCGATGACTACTAGGGATTTTACTATATATTTTTTGGATACATTCTATGTTATATTTTGAAGATAATTGCATTGACGAAACATTAGCATACTATTGGATGAGGTATCGGCCGAAAGTCCGAAAGAGTCATTATTTGTCTTTTGCAAGACGCGACTTCGACAAAAACTATCTGTTGGGCAATGCCAGCCCTCTGCTTTCGTGCCCAGCCTTGGGTGCGATGGTTGCAGTCCAGGACGTTCGCCACGACGGTGACCACGCCTTCGAGGACACCACAGACGGTCATCGAGAAGGTGGTGCAGCGATATGCAGTCGGATTTCCTGAAGGAAAGGCAGTCAAGGCGGGCGACTACGTGATGATACGCCCAGAGCATGTCATGACCCACGACAACACTGGTCCCGTCATATCCAAGTGTGCTTCCTCTTTTCTTCACCTCGACGACGTCCTGACCGCAAAATCAGATTCAAGTCCATCGGGGCGACCAGGATACACAATACCTCCCAGCCCGTCTTCACTCTCGACCACGACGTGCAGAACAGGTCCCAGAAGAACCTCGCAAAGTACGCTGGCATCGAGGCCTTTGCCCGGCAGCATGGCATCGACTTTTACCCGTCTGGTCGGGGAATAGGACACCAAGTCTTGGTCGAGGAAGGATACGCCTTCCCACACACGCTCACTGTCGCCAGCGATAGCCATAGCAACATGTACGGCGGCGTCGGATGCGTCGGCACACCTATCGTTCGGACAGATGCTGCAGCGCTGTGGGCAACCGGGAAGACATGGTGGCAGGTCCCACGAATGGTCAAGGTCGAGCTACGCGGTCGCTTAGCCCCTGGTGTAACGGGAAAGGACGTTATCGTTGCTTTGTGTGGATCCTTCAACCACGACGAGGTCCTCAATGCTGCCATCGAATTCTCGGGAGACGGTATCCCAGCGCTGAGCATCGACGACCGCCTCACCATCGCTAATATGACTACAGAATGGGGCGCCTTGGCTGGCGTATTCCCTGTCGATCAGGTCACGTTGCAATGGTATGAAGACGCGGTTTCAGGGATGGAGGCACGGACATTCACCTCTGCCTCGGATCCTTCACTGATTCCTCCACCTCCGGACCATCCTCGTCTGAATCGTCAGCGTTTGAATTCTCTCCGTGCCGCCAATATCACGTCAGATCCCGACGCTGAATATTCTTCGCATCTCATCTTTGACTTGTCTACCCTCGTTCCCCATGTATCTGGTCCCAATAGCGTCAAAGTATCGACTCCTCTCCCAGTCCTCCAAGACGCACGGATTAATATCCAGAAAGCATATCTTGTCAGCTGTACCAACTCTCGGGTTTCCGATTTGGCAGCAGCTGCAGCCGTGATGAAGGGACACAAAGTCGCTCCAGGCGTAGAATTTTACGTCGCGGCTGCCAGCTCTGTTGTTCAGCAGGAATCCGAACGGCTGGGTGATTGGGAAACACTCGTCTTGTCTGGCGCAAAGGTTCTCCCAGCAGGATGTGGTCCTTGTATCGGACTTGGAACCGGGTTATTGGAAGAGGGGGAAACGGGTATCAGCGCTACTAACAGGAATTACAAGGGACGAATGGGTCATCCCAATGCTCAAGCATACCTTGCTTCGCCCGCTGTTGTTGCGGCCAGCGCTATCAAGGGGTACATATGCAGTCCAGACTCCTTAGATCCTAATGCGCTCCCAAAAACCAATACGCCTATATTTTCTATCTCTGATGTACCGCCGGCAGCAACTGTAGCTTCTTCCGCTACTGAGAACCCCGTCCTCCCAGGTTTCCCGTCCAAGTTTACCGGACCCCTTCTCTTCGCACCGCAGGATAACCTCAACACCGACGGCATATATCCCGGAAAGTACACCTACCAGGATGATATCACCCTGGAACGGCAAGCTGAAGTCGTGATGGAGAACTACGACCCCTCCTTTGCCTCAACCGTGTCTTCCATTCTCAAGAGTCAAAAAGAATCTCCCGATTCAACTGAGAAGAAAGGCGTCATTCTCGTGTCGGGGTACAACTTTGGCACAGGTTCTTCTCGTGAGCAGGCCGCGACAGCACTCAAAGCTGCTGGTGTGCCCGTTGTTATTGCGGGTTCCTTTGGTGACATCTTCAAGCGGAACGCGATTAACAATGGGTTGGTGTGCCTTGAGAGTCCGGAGCTCGTCAAGGACCTCACTGAGCAGTACGCCAAGGGTGGTCAACGAGGTGCGGGCGGGAATGATGGCGAGTTGACTGTCAACAAAGGTCTGTCTGTCGGCATCGGCATGGTAGATGGAAAGGTGGTCGTGACTTGGGCATCAGAGTGTCAGAGCAAGACTTACCACGTCAGGCCCATAGGTGCAAGTGTACAGGAACTGTGGATCTATGGAGGCCTGGAGGGGTATATTCTCAAGGAAATACAGTCCCAAGCCCAATAAAAAGTATATCCTTCATTAATTTTGACGAAACATTCATGTTGTATCCATAGAATTCAGTGATGTGGCAAAAGTACAGATGAGTTGTAGATAAGTAAATTCGGCATACACAAGTCCTGTTTTTTGGGATCGGAGGTATCACAGAAAAGGGTTCCATACACTACGATCCGAATCTTTGAAAGTGTTAGCTACGTCTGGCCGTGTATCGGGACAGAATTTGTCTTTCAGGACAGCGAATTTAGAGTTGTACTCGTCGATACCAATGTACGCACCGCACATACGTCGTTTGCCGTCAAACGCCGAGCGCCCATGAAGAACACGGTGGTTATTGACAACGACAGCGGTTCCAGGTGTCAGCTGGACCCAGTACTCCGAGTCTGGGCTGGTCAAGTTTTGGTTCCATTTCCTGATAGCATCATACCACTGATCAACGACGAGTGGATCAAGATGGTTCATGACGCTCCGATCATCGTTGTTCCAGCGTACTTGGTAAAGTTCACCTGTTTCGGGGTCGTGGTTTAGAACAGGTTGTGAGGCGTGATATAAATTTTTGGCCTCTCCCGCAGCATGCGCAGGAACCGGAACGCGGGACAGTAGGGAGTAGGCTTCGGGATGGAGTTCTTTCAGGATTGAAGCGACGTAGAACCCATCCACAAGTAGTGTCGCACCACCGGAGCCATCAGTGTGCGAAAGAAGATGGAATAGTTGTAAGCCGCAAGGATCAGTCTACATCGTTATTCAGTAACTGGAAATAGAAGGACGCGAAAGGACATACAAAATAAGTGTTGTCAGTGTGGGCACCGAGTGCCAGTGTAGTGTACGCTGTGTCACCTCTTGCAAGATCGGAGGTAAAGTCCCAGAATTTCCCATCTGAGGGTGGTCAACTTGAGGTGAGGAACAGTACAAAAAAATGAACTTACATTGAGTCTCGCGAATGAAGCCAATGCGCTCAGAGAGTTTTTCTGTCGCCTCTGTAGTTTGCGGAACATCCGACACAAATGAAAATCCAAACTTGTCAATGTTAGATAGCCATCGAAAGAGGCCAAGTTCGTCGTTTGCCATGACTTCCTCGTAGGAAACTGTTGGCGGTGATTGTTGTATTTTTGCACCCCACAGTATTTTTCTATGTACAATGAGGACTTTGATGAGCAAAAGGGTGAAGAAAGCTCACCCAGATAATGGTTCCGTCGTACGAAGTGGGGGATCATACGAATTTTCTTGTAGCCATGACCACGGGTATAGAGAAACATGCGCCGGCCAAGTCACCTGTAATCCATTCGGCTTGGATTCAACAGACAATGGCCTGATATCGGCGGGTATATCAAAAGTGTTTACGAGTCGCTGTTTCGTGACCGCGTGAAAACATCGTTCGCATCGGCAATGATCACGGAGCCATATATGATGACTGGGACTGTAGTAAGTCTCAGAAACAGGTTTAGGGTACAATCTACATACAATCGAGACCATGTCCTCGTATCCCATCCTATCGCGACTTTGCGGTCGTCCATACTAGAGATAGGCAGATCATCCGTCGATACATTTGGCAGAGGCTGGAGCTCTTCGACAAAAGCTGGAGACTTGGACCGCAGCGCTGCAGCAAATGCGGCGGTTCGCGACGGCGTCCAGTGATACACGGGTAATTTTTTGGAACACTGTGATATGCATGAGAATTGTGCTTGATAACCTCCATCTAAGAATATCCTACCGAAAGGCACCGAGCCAACGACCGACTTTCGAGGCGCATTGGCTGCTTTGCCAGGTTAGCAATTCGAGCAGACCACATCATTGACGAGCACGTCGACAGACGATGGGGAACGATGGTGATGGTCGACGTCCAAGTAAGACCCAGGCCTTGCCCTCGGCAAAGCTAGTGATGTCAGCGCAATTTGGTAATTATTATCTTATCAAGTCACGTCACGTGTACCGTGTCACATCGACGGGCCGTCCCTGCCGTCCCTCCCGCTCACTGCTCAACAAAGAGTCAAATGTTTTCAAAACGATAAATAAATATCATACACAGTAACTTCATAACGACAACAAATAAACATCGAAAATCCAGGAAAAACATAGTACAACCGCCTCATAGCAAAGAAAACAGCGATGAGTCCACATATCACAAGAAGAAACGCCTACTCCGTCCTCTGCTTCTTCCCGTCACCATCTTTCCCATCTTCATCCTCGCGGGGCCTCTTCTGGCCAGCATGAGCGCCGCTCCTAATCGTCTCTATCTCGGCTTCGATCCTTTGTCGATTCGCTCGCTCCTCCTCCCACATTTTTCGCATGTCCTCAAGCTGGGCTTGCAAGTCTCCCATCGCTTGATCCATCAAGAGCTTCTCCAGGGTCCACTTCTCAATATTTCTGGCTTCGTTCTCCTTGAGGTGGTGAATGTATTGCACTGCGCGCGACAGGATTGCGCCTTTGGCTTTTTCACCAGACCCGTTGGGAACAATGCGACCGAGTTCGTTAATGCCTTCGTTGATATTACCTCGGCGGCGGCGCTCGACTTCTTTCTGTACTAATCGTCAAAGAAACACTGCTGCACTGAAATATAGACGTACATGATTATCTTTGCGTTGCCTCGTCCACTCGTCACTCCCCATGGTAGCACCGCTCTTTGATCGCCTCCCGCCAAGGTTAGGATTGGGACCCTGGTTGATAGGTGGGGCGTTCTCAGGCTTCGGAGGAGGCTTGGCAGCGCCCTCGCCTTCATCGCTCCCCTCCTCTGTCTCTTTTTGCTGTCCTAGGTTGGGGGGACCTCGAGGATGCGAAGACGGACCAGGGTCGCTTATCCCAGGTCCAGGAAAGCCAGGGATGACGCCAACAAAGCCTTGCTGCTGGGCCAAATTGGATAAAATCTGGGCGGCATCGGCCTTGGGACCTTGGTCGGTGACCTGGGTTAAGAGTCAGAATCGAGAAGGGTGTAATAATGTCACATGAGAAACGGGGTGCTCGTCGGGGGCGTGATGACCACGATCACGTGTGGGATACAAGGCGCAACGAGGACGGCGTCGGTATTCTCGACATTGAATGATAAATAGAAGGCTCCTAGAGCGAAGAAATGACGAAGGGAAGGGGGAGCATACCTTGAATACTGGCAAATTACTTAACAAGGAGAGAATCTGCTCTCTCCCAAGGCCCAGAGAACTCAAATCTGGGGTCGTAGTGGGAACGGCATTTGACGGAGCCGCTGGTTGACCAGCCAATGCTGGGTCATGTTGCGCTGCAGCCTGGGGCATCGTTGTTGACTAAGAGTACAGAATTATTGCGTTACTGCAGTGGTTCGATAACTGCAGCTCAATAATTGTTCGTAATGAATCCTCAAAACACTATAGTAGAAAATAATTAATGTCTGCATGAATATGGCGGTCGACGAACGAAAGTGACCTGAGACTTGGGTTTGATAACAACCCGCAGGGCTGAATAATATAAAAAAATTCGGATCAATAGGCAGAATGGGTAGGAAACCACTGCAAGGGCCACAAAAGGGATGTATTGTAGTATGCCTGCTCGCTGTTGTCGACAATGAGCAGAATATACTGGTCGCGTCGAGGTAAAGTGGGGGGTGATGACTTTGGGAGGCCGTCACATGGGAATCACGCCTTTTGTGAGAGACCACGGGAAGGACCCCGGATACCAGATATATCTTCCCACGTGCGTCAGTCTGTTCTCCTGGGACTTTTAACTTTCGATATCTTGCTGGACGAATAAAATAAAGTAATCTTCAAGTTCCCCGAGGAACTTTTTCTGACAGTTTGCTGCAACAGTGCAGTCTGTCATCCCCAGAGGTATTCTGGGTCCCTATCCGGGTCAACTCCTGGCAATACCGGGGCGGATCTCCGTATGGGTATTCTGCGAAACAATCCCATGCACTCAAAGCGGCCTGAAGATTGAATGGAGTTTGCTGTGGGTCTATCTTCAGGAATTCAACAAGTCTACAAGACAACAGACGGGTATGTATACATAAATATTGAATCAGACTGCTATATTTCTTGCTCATTATAATTGTATTCATAGAAACTTCTAGAGTAGATTTGCAGAGTATAACATCTTCGCAGTGATTCGTTGACGTCGTTTCCAAATAAGGAAGCCTCCAGGAAGGACCGGCATTTCGGCGATAAGCGGTACAACTCAAATAGTCTTTCGGCCGAAAAGCATGACTCGAAAATATTTTTCAGTTCAGACTCTAGCTCTTGAATCCAACCACCATGGCCTCTCTCGCTACCCGTTCCGCCTCCCAGGCTCTCCGTGCTGCCTCTCGTCGTGCTCCTCGTGCAGCTGCGGCCAAAAATGTGCTCAAGTCTACCCAGACCGCTTCCTACTCTCTGCTCGCCAAGGCTGCGACCAAGCCTGTTCAAAAAGCAAACATCCAGGTATTTCTACTTCGTTTTCGAGATTCGTTTGATTCTAAATAGCTCATCTTGCAGGGTGTCCGTGGTGTCAAGACCCTCGACTTTGCCGGTACAAAAGAGGTTGTGTACGAGCGTAGCGACTGGCCCTTGGCAAAACTCCAGGACTACTTCAAAAATGACACTCTTGCTCTCATTGGATACGGTTCCCAAGGCCACGGACAAGGCTTGAACGCTCGTGACAATGGTCTCAATGTCATCGTTGGTGTCCGAAAGGACGGCGAGAGCTGGAAACAGGCTATTGCTGATGGCTGGGTACGTGATATCTCAATCGTTGCGTTGCAAACTTTTCTAACACGGTTCCTCAGGTCCCAGGCGAAACCTTGTTCCCCATCGAGGAAGCCATTAACAAGGGTACCATCATCATGAACCTTCTCTCCGACGCTGCGCAGTCGCAGACATGGCCCACCATCGCGCCTTTGATCACCAAGGGCAAGACCCTCTATTTCTCTCACGGTTTCTCTGTTGTGTACAAGGAGGATACCAAGGTCATCCCTCCCCCCGATGTTGATGTCATTCTTGTTGCTCCAAAAGGCTCCGGCCGTACCGTCCGAACTCTGTTCAAGGAAGGTCGTGGTATCAACTCCAGTGTCGCTGTCTTCCAAGATGTCACCGGCAAGGCCAAGGAGAAGGCCATTGCCCTCGGTGTCGGTATTGGATCTGGATACATGTACGATACCACCTTTGAGAAGGAGGTCTACTCCGATCTCTATGGTGAGCGTGGTGTGGTCAGTTGTAATTTTTTTCAGTAGACGCGACGCGACTGATATTTCAATCGATCACAGTTGATGGGAGCCATCCGTACGTCTTATCTACGCTTCACCTCGCTTGATGTTCTGACGTATGATGACAGAGGGTCTCTTCCTTGCACAATACCAGGTTCTCCGCAAAAACGGACACACGCCATCGGAAGCTTTCAACGAGACCGTTGAAGAAGCCACACAATCCCTATACCCTCTGATCGGACAGAAGGGGTAAGGTGTTTTTCCCGTGCTAGCGCTGCCCTGCTGATGGAACAACTCGCTTCTAGTATGGATTACATGTACAACGCATGTTCCACAACAGCCCGTCGTGGCGCTCTTGACTGGGCCCCCGTTTTCGAAAAAGCTAACGTCCCTATCTTTGAGCAACTATACGAGAGCGTAAGGAACGGTACTGAGACCAGGAAATCCCTCGAGTTCAACGGTCGCTCCACCTACCGTGAAGACCTCGCCAAGGAGCTCGCCGTCATCAACGACCAAGAAATCTGGAGAGCCGGTCCGTTTGTTCCGCCTCTTATTCATATCAATTGTGTTCTCACGACCACTTAATTGTAGGGAAGACTGTCCGATCATTGCGTCCGGATTACAAGCCGGAATCGGAGTAGACGCCTCGTACTGTCTATCCCAAAAGCATCGCTGGCGTCGTGTTTACTCCCTCGCGGTGCAGATATCTTATGTCGAGTTCGAGTCTTGTATGAAGTACGCTGTCGATCTATCTACCGGGAATGCAATTGTTATTGGAGCCGAAGCCCTAACCGAGTGTAGCCCACAAGGATTAATGCAAGTATTGATGTTCAGGTAGGCCGGTCCGGTACCAGGTGTATAAAAGCCAGTTCGTTTCTTGATCATCTTGATCGTCTCCTTCATGGCTACACTTTCATCTCTGGTTCAACTTCTGTCCCAGGGTCTTTCTCCGCCTCGGTTGACAAGTTTGGCCTCACCCATTCACGTCAAGGATGCTGCGGCTCCTTCGGATTGGGTCGAGGAGTTAAATAGCCGCCACAACGAGCGTGATTGCTCCTTCGATGCAGCATCACACGACTCTCACCAGCAGGATCACCGTCAGTTTCTATCAGAGCACCACAGTTCCCCCGATGTCCGTGACAAGTTTGCATTCAATCAACGACTTAGGCAAAAGCTTGAGGAGGCGAAGAAAGATAATACAATGATTAAACAGGATATTTCTGACCTTAGATCCACCTTGCGAGAGCTCTCTGTGTCTACGTTGCCTCCTTCTAAGTTCGAGCCTAAACCTCTAGTTGCCCCGCCAACTTTCCGGCATCCTTACAAAGGAAGTATCTGGGCTCTTCAGCCCGACGAGATCCACTACCGAAACGGCTTGATACTACCTTCACTTCCGCCACTAGTGCGCCACGAAACCCGACCTGCTCAGCCATTGTCCTCGCCTGCAGGGCCACAACTGTGCCAAAGTCTTATCCAAAGCCATGTCTCCTCTCTTTATCCAGGCTCATGACAATTTTCTGCGACTCCGCCTATGTTCGTTGATTCTGAGATTATGCAGCCCATGCTCTATCAGACCTCGCTACCGTCTGCCACCACGATTTCCGCACAGACGTTTGAAGAGAATACGAGCATGCACTCGCCTCAAATGCCGGTACCGACGGTACGCCACCAAGCTCAAGCCCTCCCTAGTCAAACTCTCGCCCCGACTGTGTTAAGAAGAGAAAGGTACACTATACCTCCCCGCAGACAAGACCCTGAAGTGGAATCAACCCAGCAGTTTTCCGGTAAGTGAATAGTGAATCGATATCTCACGATGTGATTTCTTATCCTCCGTAGAATCTTCATCTCAGGCTCGGAACGAAAGTCAACAAGTCCATCACCCTGACGCATCGCATATGAGTGCGACTAATTGCCACCTTCTTTAGCGTGGTGCTAATCTCTGATACGTAGACTCTCCTGCACAAGCATCTATGCCTCCAGAGAATCGAATGACGATCGCTCTGCTCCTCGAACGACCGAGATTGAAATACAAGTTGCCCAAGAACTGCCTTAGCTTAGAGAACCCTCGATTAAGCGACCCGGCTTCACTGTGGTGTAGATACTATTCGTTCTACACCGGAAGGATCCCCCTTCCCAGAGGAATCCGGCCCACAGCTCGTGGGTTACCAAGATACAATGATGTGGTAGGATGGCGAGCTTTCGTATGTTTCCGTCCACCGACAGGGATACACCTCGAAGATTCGGCCGCTTCGCCCCACGTTCTGTTTCTGGAGGCTCTTATGACTCTGTTCTCATCGGCCGGTGCATATCTCGCTATCTGTAAGCGGCTCAATCTGAAGTGCAACGAAACTGGAGTGCTATCGGGATATAAAGGACCGTTTATGGTTGATAATCAGGAAGAGATGGTTGAAGAGGTAGCAAAGCATCTCAACAACTGTGGTGTTACCGTCCTGTTTGCCGAGCAGTATATATTACCTTTCATGACGGAGCTGAAGAGGCAGCGAAATATTGTTGAGAATTAGGTAGATTTCGTTCTGGAAGTAGTACATTTTTATTGAACATCTTGAAATGCATCCGTGTCAAGTTCGGGCTATACGCGACATTTCCGCCGGTTGGGAGCATACCCGGCACCGGCGACTCTCAGGCTCTCGCTTAACTTGTGCTGATGCTGATGGAAGACTGCTCTTCCTGTCAACAGCCATGGCAAAGGACAGCGTATACGACCAAGCACGACAAGGCGGCAAGAAAGACTATGCAAAGATTGCCAATGCTCGTCTCGACAGCATACGCTCACAGTTCACCCAGTCGCCGAGAGCAGGGAAACTGAAGAATAAAGTATGTATCATCACCGGAGTTGGGTCGCTGAAGGGTATTGGGTGCGTATTGTCGACGTATACGTCCTTGCAGCTCTCATTTCTGTATCACAGGCGTGCCTCGGCGCTACTGTTCGCGCACGAAGGTCAGATGCCATTCAAAACTGCATCCAAGTTCTCTGGCCAACGTGGTTACAGGCGCCAAGCATCTCTACCTCATCGACTTTGACCCTACCAACCTTCCTAATCTCAAGGAAACGATTGAGAACAAGTATCCAGACGTCAAGGTTACGACATTGCAAGCGGATGGGTCAGACGAAGCTGCGATTTCAAGCGTTTGCAATCAAGCACTAGAAGAGGAAGGCCGCTTGGACGTGTTCTTCGCAAATGTAGGCTCTCAGTATTTCGTTTCATATTGTCGACCTCATATTCACGTAGGCGGGTATCTCATCCATGAAACATGTCTCCCAAATTACCGCCGAGGGCTTCATGAACATCATCAAAGTTAACGCACTCTCGTCCGTCAGGCCATCTTTCGCAGTACAACCATGATTTATCCTTGTCCCAGGTGCTTTTTGGCGGTCAAACACGGTTCAGCTGCAATGAAGAAGACCAATCCATCCAAAGGTAAAGATGTGAGCTCAGGGAGTATCATTCTCACAGCATCTGGTAAGTATACGTGACAGATTCTCACAAGACTTGCCTGACCATATTTATAGTTGCTGGTCTGCGTTCCGGAGCTGGTCCCGTGGATTGTGAGTCCTAATTATCATCATCTTGTTGGACAGCAGTTGTAATCCTTCTCCACTAGACAGCGCGAGTAAAGCAGCGTAAGCCCATACCTACTCATTGGTATTCTGCGTCTGATTATTCTCCTCAAAGTGTCAACTCTATCGCCAAAACTTCGTCGTACCAGCTCCAAAAAACAGACATCCGAGTAAACTCCATATGCCCCGGTCTTATTGAGACCGCCATGACAACTGCGACTTTCGATTTTGCAAGGGGAAGAGGCACCGATAGTAAATTGGGACAACTCAGTGCCCTTGGGCGTTATGCCATTCCAGAAGGTAACAGGTTCACCACCTCAAACCACACTGGCGCTAAGATTGCCTCTATTAGAAATTGCACCGTTGGCTGTGTATCTTGCTTCAGGTACATTACCTTTGTGTGATTGTCTTGGTTGGACTCTGACCGAGATAATGTAGACGATTCGAGTTATGTCAATGGACAGAATATAGCAATCGACGGGGGGCTTTCGGCGTCCGTTCCAGTCGTCCCAGGACGATGGGTATAGGTAAAACGAAATTCGGTATTTACGACTTCATACATACAATGCTCTCTGGTATGAGATGTCGGTTGATACCGCATACGGCTGTCGCCATGGCCTATTGCAACTTGTCGCAACGCGCAGGAATAATTTATAATTTTGTCATCATGAATGTCGCTGTAGAGTTCTCCAGATTCTGTCTTCAAGAGAACGCAGAACAGCCGATGAGGTGTTCAAACTCGTCATGAAGTAAGCCACGTTCCCTAGTGTGCGGAAATTCACACCGAAGGGTGCTCCCCCAGGTGCCGCAGAGAACTCGTTTCCTCCATCATCATATTGATCTATTGGGCGGAACACTGTTTCCGCTGAGTGTGAAGTGTATCCTAAGAGGAAGGATCAGCAACTCTGCGAAAAAGATACAAAAATTTAGAAGATTCACCAGCCTCGTCGTCTCGGATCTTAATCGCAAGCACCGTCCCCAGAGTCATCACCTCATCCACATTATCCATCCTAGAAACCGTCTCTATAAACACCGGGTCCCAGAAACTCCAAACAGAGTCACCCTCGCTCTTCCACTGTGCTTGAGCCTCCTTCCACGTGTCGCTCCCCGAAAGACCATCAATCATCTTCAACGTCTCGTTCGCAACCTCGCATCCCATAGCATGGGCCGTGTAGGAGTGACCATGAAGTAGCGCGTCGGCTTTCTTGTCACTGAGGAACGCCTCGTAGATCGAGTTCGAAGCCAGTGTCACAGCGAGAGGCAGTAAACCGCCGGTGAGGATCTTGGCGTTGACAGAAATATCGGGTTTAACACCAAGGATGGACGTGGTGCTCTCCATACCGATGCGGTATAACCCGACGAAGACCTCATCGAATATGACTGGGAGACCTGACCATGATGATGATGAAGATGATGATGGCCCACGAACTACGTCGACGAGAACACGCTGGAACAAGGGGTCCACGAATAACATCCCTCCTGCTCCCATGACCAGAGGCTCCATCACGAGGGCGCTGAGTGTGTGTCCTTTACGTTTGAGTGCATCCAGCGTTTTCTCAATACGCTCCTTGTAAACGCGTGCAAGAGGGGTGTCTAGCCTAGCAGCAACATCATAAACCCAGGCCAACGAATCACCTTGGACGACTGATATCTCTGAGGTAATCGATGGGGGAATAGATATCACAACCTTTCCTTGACGCATGGAAATCGTAGGAGGGTCGAGCCAATAACCTTTTGCGTGATGCCACTCGCACGTATAAACCCCCTCCTCACAAGCATTCATCGCCCCAATAGTATCCCCGTGATAGCTTCCTTTCAACCCAAGGATGCCTAACGACTTTTTCTGCACGTCGTCAAATTCTTTCCCTTCCCGGATTGTGAACGCGCGTAAAGCCATTTTGAGAGCAATCTCCATTCCAGTGGAACCATCATCCGAGAAATAAGCCTTAGATGCCCATCCTTTGCCAGGACCCTCTTTTACTAGTCGCTCGGCAAGTCGAAGAGCAGGGAGATGAGTGGCTCTTGGGAACATGACATGCCCGTATCGTCCGCTCGCTCTTGCGGCAGCCAGAGTAAGAGCAGGCTGGGTGTGGCCAAAAGCTTGTGTCCACCAGGATGCGGACCCATCGAACTGGGGCTGCAAGACGGAGGATGTTGGTGAAGATTGGTGGAGGACGGTAAAGAAGTCCGAGTATGCGCTATCGATGACATTGACATCTTGCTCCGTTTGATAATGCGAATGCTGGACGAAGGGCCACCAGATCGAATCTAGGGTACGACGAGGCATTGATTCCAGCTCCTCCAACCTATTCTTGTAACAAGCATCCAGGTGCTCGATACTCAACATTATACCATTTTCGTCACCTTCGGTAAGCAGAGACCGATAATATTCTTCCGTAGACGCGTGATTTTGGGAGGTATCTAAAAGTAAGGGAGGAGGAGCGTTTACGGTCGAAACATGGACTCCACGATCCGCAAAGTAGGGCTTCAAATACTCCCAGTTGCGGTAATACTCGTCGCGGAAGAGCAGGATAGCATCGACCAGGAAACCGCGGAGGACAAGCGATTCGTATGCAGAAATGGTGGACGAGATACCGCCAAGCTTGGAATCACCGACTAGAATGGTGGGAAGAAAAAGAGGCCGATAGCAATCCAACTGTGTTGTGCCAGAAAGAGTAGGACTATGTACGCCTGAAAACACCAAATGTTAGCACGGGGGTAAGAAGACACGAGTCAAGAAAAGCAGGAAACCATGCGCCGACACTCACTGTCCAAAGGCTAACTCTCACCTCCAGCAGTTTCCACATACATGTGGGAAGGATCTGGCGACGCTGCAGCGCACTGTCTAATGTGATGGGCAATAGAATTGATGACGGTCTGGTCTGTGGGAATCTGGAGGGAAATCAATCCACAGAGAGCTGGTACTCGATAACAATGCGTACTTGAGTTTCGTCGTTGCTGGTTGCGAGCCTGGCTGCAAGGTGAGGGCTCACGGGTTCTTGGTACTGGTACAGGCAATCTGCACGGATCCGGTCCTTGAAGGAACCGCTATATCGTTTTATATGCCTTTATATAATTCATTTAGAGAAGGATGGCGAGGGGGAGCAAGTCACTTACTCTACATCAGCGCTGTTGGCGTCACCGGTACTGACCGGCTTCAAATAAAAGACAGATTTTCCAGCTGCGGCCGATGCTCGAACCAGCGCCGACGTCAAGATGGTCTTTCCGACATCGGTATTCGCGCCAAAAACTTGGTGGACGCGTAAATGTTTGAAAAGAAGCGACATGGGCCGTCCGCCGTCGTCGTAGTCGGAGACAAGGGCAGATAAGATTAGATGCAATTTTTGATTTTGATCTTACATATCGTGACTCGACTTGCTTTCCTTTCTCCCACCACCATGCCCATCCTTGGCCTTCCGGAATCATTCAAATCAACGGGCCCGGCTCATTTCGTCATTGAAAAGGTCATCCGGCCGAATATTCTAGCCTTACACCCGTATCGGTGTGCTCGAGATGACTACAAGGAAGGGATCCTGCTCGACGCGAACGAAAATGCCCTAGGACACTCCATATCACCTCCATCCGATGCATCAGAGATAGACGCTGCCCTCGAGCTCAATCTTCACCGTTATCCTGACCCGTCCCACGACCCCATCAAGGAACGAATCGCGACCTTGCGCTCAATTGCTGGCGTTGACCATGTCTTCCTCGGTGTGGGGTCAGACGAGGTCATCGACCTCCTCATGCGCGTCTGTGTCGCGCCAGAGCGAGAGAAGATCTTGATTACCCCACCGACGTACGGGATGTACGCTGTCTGTGCCCAGGTGAATGATGTCGGCGTCGTCAAGGTTCCTCTTGAGTTGAGTGGTGCAAAAGGAGAAGGCGGCACTACTGGACGCTTCAGCGTCAAGGTCGACGAGGTGTGAACGTTTCTTTCAGTAATATATTTACAGCTGATCCGATTACCCTGAACAGGTCAAAAAAGCAGTAGATGCCGATCCTTCTATCAAGTTAATTTTCCTGTGTTCCCCTGGGAATCCTACGGGAACCCTCATTCCTCTATCCTCTATACGGGAAATACTTGATTATCCAGGTTTCAGGGGTATCGTAATAGTAGATGAAGCCTATGTCGATTTCGCCGGCGCCGATGCAAGTGCGGTATCTCTTGTCAGAGAATACACCAACTTGTGCGTTATGCAAACCGTCAGTAAAAGCTTCGGTCTTGCAGCCATTAGGTATGTCTTTCCCCGATATACATCTAAAAAATCGAACTTACCACTCGCTCGACAGATTGGGTATAGCCATTGCCCAACCACCACTAATACAAATCCTCTCGAATACCAAAGCGCCTTACAACATATCCACGCCAACCGCCCACCTCGCCTTGTCCGCCCTGTCTCCCTCAGCGGTAGACGCGATGCATTCCAAAATAAATACCCTTATCACTTCCCGGACTAAATTGCTCCAATCGTTGTCCGCACTCGCGGTCCTCGGGCTGGGTCCTTCCGTAGGTGGTAACGACGCCAACTTCATCGTGGTTCCGGTTTTATCCAAAGGCGGTACCAAACCTGACAATGTCAGGTCACAGAAAGTTTACAAATCGTTGGCAGAGGAGAATGGTGTTGTAGTCCGATTTAGAGGCAATGAGCCAGGATGCGAAGGCTGTCTTAGAATTACGGTCGGGAGTGAAGAGGAGAATGAAGTAGTCGTTAGAAAGCTCAGAGAAGTACTTCAGCAGTTGTAAGAATAGAAAGAACTAGACGTGAAACGTTCTGAATTTGACAAGAGTTTGAAACTCAAAAGTCCACCATTCCATGAAGCGTCAAGAGAAATACCGGAAACGAACTATGGAAGAAGAACAATCAGACACCCGCGGATTCTACAAATTAGCCAAAAATACAATATGTAACAATGCAGCAATCAGCTCCTCCAATACTGAGCCAAGTCATGAATCCGATCCAACACCACCGTAATATACGACGTCTCATTCAACAACGTCTCGAAATGTTTAATCGCCTCCTCCTCTGTAAGATCTAACCGAAATTTCTCCTGCAACTGCTCGTGTACATCCCGGTGCTTGATATCCGGTATGTTAGCATCTACCATCAACGATACCAAGTTCAGTATAAGATTCGCGTTCTTTCGCAAGATCGAGAACGCCGTGAAGCAAAAATTCTTGAAGCGGGCATAGTGGGGTGATTGTGCGCCTCCCATTCCATCAACCATTTCTTTGCAGACTTTGACCGCGGGTGGGAAGGGTTTGGGATCTCGTCCTAAGATGTATCCAAAGTCGACTGTAATTCATGAGATAAGATGCGACACTCCATATATGCATAGGCTGCTTACCATGGAAAAAGTGCCCTAGAAGCTCAAGATTAGAAAGTAGAAGCAGTGTAGTGAGAGGGTACGCACCATCAGGAGCGACCAAAAGATTATCTAAATGGCGATCGCCAACACCGAGCAGGTAGGTCACCACACAGTAGCCAGCTAAACCATCAATCAGAGCCAGCTCAGCGAACTTACTCAAAAACGTACCACAGCTCCGCACGAAAGTATCGACCACACCCGGCTCGACCCCTAAGGTCCCGACACTTCCCTCGTCGGGGTAATTAGCGCGAAGATAATTAAGAAGGTTCCCATGCTCGCTAACAATAGCAGCGATAGTCTTACTAGGGATATACTGCACCATTCCCTGCAACGGACCCGTGGCCAGGACATCATACGGGCTCAACTTCAAATCCAGGTTCTCCTTCCTCAACAACCGATCCATCAGCGTAAAGAGCTGTATGACAAGCTGATCCTGTCGCATATCATCGCCATCCTTGAAGATCACAGGATATTCTGAGCCATTGGAGCACTGGAAATACAGCAGCATCGGGTACAAATTCGACTTGAACACCGACGACCTTTCTGCGATAATACCGGTGATTTCGATGCGAGCGTTGAGAGGAAGGGGGAGTGGGGGTATGGAGTTCAAGCCATTCTTTGAGTCGTTGATGATCGAACGAAGCTTTTCAATCTTCTTCGGTCGAGGATCCTTGGATGTACGAAGCTCTTTGGCACGCTTGGCCAGTGTTTCAACAAGCTGTCCTTGCCGTCGCATTAATTCGCGACGGTTGGAGCCATCGGGTGACTAGGAATAAGTATCACTCAGCAAAGAATTAAAAGATAGTCTGAGGACAAACTTACCTCTAAGATCTTGTTCATGAACTTGAACACAACGCGTCCGTACATCTTCGAAATCACCTTGTCTTCAAGGGCCACCTCCACCATGAGATACCAGTATAACCGATTGCCAAGAATAGGGTTCTGTACGCCGCGAGATATGAGGAAGTCTGTGAGGCCACTGTCATCGTATGATATTGCGCTAGAGACAGATCTCGACGACCGTGCATCGCTGGCGGCGCTTTCAAACTTCAGGGCCTGTACCAATTGCAGTAGATATAAGAGTAGTTCCTGCATGAGTCGATATTAGATTAAGGTGAAACCAAGAATTTGCACACTTACATCGTCATCTGCTCTATTCAGTTGTTTGACAGCGAATGCTCTTACGCGAGAATCCACCGTGCCAGGACCAAGCAGTTCTAGTGCGTCGTCTGTGTCGATCTCTGTCCACTGGGGCAGGAGTTCTTCTACTGCTTGTTTCACCTCTGATGGATCGCGCCACGTCACAGAATTGAGAAACTTGGTAAGGCCTCTCTTGTCGCGGGCAAGGTAAAAGCGGAATTTCCATATCAGATCCTTCTCCTCGGAATTGAGAGGCTGACTAGGGGCATAATTCAGGATTTCACCGATATTATCACGAATTTTGGCATTCGGTTTGAGTTCTCGGTCGTATGGGCCGCTTCGGTGACTCCGAACGAGTCGCCGGTGTTTATCCTCCACGGGGTTCTCTCGAACGATGTCAGGATCAATTATACTCCAGAGATGATGAGAATCATGGGTGGCTGATGACGATGATGCACCGGGTACAGGAGTTGGTGGCGGAGGTGCTGATGATGTGGACGCCGCCGGTTGGGGAGGAGGCTCTGGCTCGTTGAATATTACGGGAAAATCGAATCGAGGCAAATCAATGTAGAGATACAAGTTATCGGATTTCTGGGTTTCTGCAGCGTGTACTTCCTCCATCTTTCGAAACGTCATCTTGTCGAGCCAGTCTGACTTTGGGAGGTCACCACGCTCGTATTTCTTCACGAGCTAAAGCAGGATGAGAATGCATACTGCAGAAAGAGCTTACCATACGGACCTTTTCTAGCCTACCCATCTCGTCCCTCGACCCATATTTGCTTGGGGTACTTGTTTCCGCAGATCCGTCGGCTTCTACGCCCTGCCAGAGTAATAAACGGTGCTTGCCCCGCCGCAAAGTCCTAGTTCGTGTAAGGCACGCTGTAATAACAGAAACTGTGGTCGCACCATTTCTTGCCAAAGAGTCGAAAAGTCGATCCGCCAACAGGCGTAGCTGTTCTCGGTCCAGCGATATCCCACACGGTAAAGGTTATCTGAGAGTTGAGTGGCAGGTCACAGTATCGAATGGGAAGGGTTATCCACTCGTTCCACCTACAGCGTCGTTAGTAGGCTAGCAACGCCAGCATAGAGAGAAAACGAACGTGTATGAATTTTTGAACGCCTTGAATGCAGTTCGAAAGGGAATGGTAAGGGGTTTGTTGTCGGCGACGAGCTGACAGGTTACGTAGAGATCTGACAACGTGCTTGAGCCTAGGATGTAGTGAAATTGGGACAGCAGTATCCAGCAGCACTTACGCAGACTGAACACCGTGAAAGCGCAGCTCTGGCTTATCCAGCAGCTCGGTAAAGGTCCTAGGATGTCGAATGCCCTCAAGTTGGTTTCTATCACGAGGCTGAGTCAATTATACACAGAATATTGTGGCCCTTACATTCGAAAGGTGACGGGCATTTTGAGATTGGAAAGGGTAGCAAAGGTAAAATCATCGCGGTTATCCTTGTCCATAGTGGCGGGAAGAGAGGGAGAAAGGCCCAATTAGGGATGCTGCTGCACGCGTCTTATCCTAAATACGGCGCAATCGCGACACGAAGTACGCAAAAACACATACGAGAGTTGTCCCTTCTGTAGAGCTGCAAAGTAGAATAGCATAGCAATAAGTAGTGATACGGTTCTAAATAATCTTGGCGTTTTAAGGAATACTATCTACATACTCATTGCAAAATACGAGAGCTGCACTACAAGGAGGCATAAAAAGTACAATTGATGAATACATGTTTGATCTTTGCCTTCAGAGCTTCCTACTCTATGTCTGCGAAGCACTGAAAATGTCATTCGTACCCTGTATCTTTTCATGGTCGGCCAAATTAGCTTGCGCCTCGTAGACGGTTATTACGGGATTAGATTTGCGCTAGGAAAAAGATTGAACATAAAAACTGGGCATAGCAGGAGACGGCACACCTCAGTCCATTGGCCAAGAAATCCGACATAGTAAATTCTAGTGGTTTCTGCACCCTGAGAAGCGGGGAAAAAGAGAGTGATAGAAGAAACATTGGAGAATTTTGCTGCTCTGTAGAAAATTAGACTCATTGACAGCTACTAAGAGATCCACTTACTTGACGGCGTATTCTCCTACGTCTCTGCTTTGAACAACATCAAATTCCTGCACAGGCATCTTGTCATTAACATCTTCAAAGTCCAAGGCGTCCTCGTTCGCGAACTGAAGCGAGCGTTAAGTTGAAGAATACAATACGCGCATAGAAGACGAAGCCTTACAACAGCCACTTTCGCTGGTGTCTGGTCGGCGGGCCCGGTTTTCAATAACAGAGAGCGAAGCTTGACAGAACCGGTGAATGGAATCCGCAGAATCCTACGCTACGTAAGATGAGGTACAAGCAGTCATTCGTGCGCATACAGCTGGTCGTCCGCATCAGATTCCAAAGACTGATTCGTTCTTGGTTACAAAGAGACGAATAATTTGAGGGACTCGGTGTCACCTTTTCCTCGCTGGTTCGTTCATGCCAAGGCTTGATGACTTCCGGACCGTCACCAGTAGCATTCAGTGCAACGACATTGTCGCGATCGATATGCATAAAGAGGTTGTCATTGGGTCCAACGTCAGAAGTGTCATGGTCGTGGTCACCGTGGTCATGGTCGTGGCTTTCATGGCCGCAGCTGGCATCGTGGTGGTGAGCCATGGTCGACGTTGGAGTAGAAGAAGCGACATGTAATTTGACGGCAATTGCTTGCCATTGCCCGTGCAAGCAAACAATGACGTCATAAAAGAGGAATGCCGAGAATGTCCCGTTTGGTCCCGTTCCTCCTCATGCAGCAAGCGATCTAAAGTTGTTGTAAAGCGCAAAGGCGAAAATATCTCTTTAGATTTAACCCTGCGGTAGTACGGCTCCTCGGTGTACTAGGATGCTCAACATCTTTGAGAAATGTACTGATAATTGCGACTCTCACCTTGTTAATCTCATCTCGCTTACGCGAAGGAACCGATCACTCCCGGGCCATGGTGGCGGTCATGACTAGAACAGGAAAATAGAATCCATCTCTTATCCTGTTCACCACCATGTCCGGCATTTACAAACAGGCATTTGCCATCGGTGGACTCGAGGTCAAGGTCCTATCAAGGCATGAAGAGGCGGATCCGAAACCTGCCTTTGTGCTTTTTGTTCTTCACGGTCGACATGGACACTCTGAAGATCAAAATGTGACATCCATAGTCCGTGGCTTATTGCAAGAGAAAAATAACGATTCTCAGCGTAAACTATATATTGTGACCTTTGTACGCGCAAATCGCTTAACATTTTGCCATCGTCTTCTTAATACCCATCCACAGGACCAGAGAAACCATGGTCATAGAATGGTGGATCCCAGAGCTAATGAGGGCTGGAGCAAGGTTGCAGCCAAAAACAACGAACAACATGCGTAAGAATCTCACTGTACACTTTCATCTGTATCTTATTCCTCGGTTGTTACAGAATAGACATGTACAGCTTACAAAGTACGGCCATCTCTTAGTGTGTCGAGTCTAAGCTCAGCCTTGAAAGCTGGAACGGCCAGGGACGTATCGTTCCTCATCGATTTTCTACCGGCCTATCTGTTCCCTGAGCAGGAACGCATTATAGCCGACTGGGGAGTTACCGGTGTCAGTCTTGGCGGACATTCTACCTGGATCTCTTTGAGCCAAGGTAAGTCTCCACCTCTGTGCATGCGAATTGCCTTCAAACACCTACAGAACCTCGTTTGACAATTGGAATACCTATCATTGGTTGCCCAGACTATCTCACTCTTATCTCAGCACGAGCAGAGAAGTTTGGGATATCTTTAGAGAAATCCTCATATCTGCCGGACAGTCTCCTGATGCTGATACAGCGCTCGGACCCGACTTCCACTGCATATACATCCGATAACTCCTCGAATCCCTTCTTGGGCAAGAAGATCTTGGTCTTGTCAGGAGCTGACGATCTTCTTGTTCCGTGGTCGGCTAGCGAGCCTTTTGTGACCGGGCTGGTCGTCGGGGAGAAGGGCGCAAAGCACGTCTTCGTACAGGAAGGAGTCGGCCACAAGTGCACGCCTGAAATGGTCCAGCAATTGGTCGAGTTCGTTCGCACACACTCTAATTAGATTGTGAAATAAATAAATGAAAATGAATAAATAAATACCATGTATGACTAATCGCGGGTCATGTTTGGATAGATGTAGTGGCGGCTTGTGCAGCTGTGCCATCGTTCTGTTCTACGTCGTCGACATCGTTCCATCCAGCGACCACGCCCTTTTATCTATTTATCGCACGGATTGAAGACCGGCGAGGTCGACATACTCGTGCCTCAGCGCGTCCTCGACAATTTTCCGAGTTCAGTTTGGGTCCAGTGACGAAGCCGGCCAGGCCTGATTCGCTATTCATATAAAAGGACACCGTCGCTCCGCCAAGATGCCCCGCCGCGCTTCCACCCGTACCACCACCACCCACGTCGAGCAGCCAATACATCAGCCCTCTGCCGCCTCTTCTGCTGCCCCGGCGTTGCCCTCTGAGCTCGTCGTACTCCGGACAAACTGGAAATGGGCCGCGTTAAGTCAGTTTTTCTTCACCTTTTCCCAGTTAATGGCCATGGACGACCTATCATTGAACGTGAGCTCTATATACCAGCTGTTTATGTATCTTCTTACCGAGCGTGCTTTTTTACAGGACATCGAAGAAGATCTAGTGCAAGGAAACAACATATATCTGCCCCGCGTCATGCAGAGACTATTGTATACACTCTCATACGATCGTAAAGTGACGTGAGCGCCGCCATTACCTTTTTTACCACAAAAGTCGCGTACTGATCGCGTTTTAGGTCGAGCAACTGGCAAACGGCCCTGCGAAAACAGTATTACAAGCGTGACCCGGCCGCGAACCCGATAGGACCTGAACCGTTCCTTAGCGCGTCAAAGTCCCACACTCGGACAACTTCGCTCGCCACACCCGATCCCCAATCTCGCGCAAAGACTGAAGACTCTGAGATGGTCGACAAAGTCAAGAACGAGACGCCAGCTACGTCTGTTCCACCTGAAGAAATCAAATCTGACATTGGACAAAACGAGGAGACCGTCAAATCTGAGACCCCTGCCGTGGAAGAGCTTGCACAGGAAGAAGAACAGGAAGAAGAAGAGTCCAGGGATTGGCTCGAGTTGTCCATGCTCGAAAAACTCGACTCCATGTATCTCTTGATGGAATGGCAGTTCCAAAATGCAACACGACTCCGCACTCTGATGAAATCGGATGACGACCTGGCAACCTGGGTGAATAACCTATAGTTTCTTATACCTGAGTTTCGTTACTAAACTTGACACAGCGGATCGAACCCATTGGGTATGACTCCAAGAGGAATGCCTACTGGCTAGTGGGTGCCGACCGATTGTGGATACAACGAGAGCCTCCCAGACCCCCGCGGTCTTCGAAGAGCCTTAAACGCAAGAGACCAGAACCCAAGGTCAAGAACAAGAAGGGGAAAGCTGCCACCACAAAACGCGCGCGCATAGAGCCGCCTCCCAAAAGAGGCAAGGGAAAGGGCAAAGCCAAGGAACCTTCACCTCCCGTTGGACGTCGTGGTCGCGCTGCCAAAGCCCAGGCAAACATCAAGCTTGACGCCCAGGCTAGGGAGTTGGCGGAACTAAACCGACAGGCTGCTGCTCTTGATCGGAGCGGTGGTGGTTTGAGAACGTCAAGTAGACGACAGCCCGCACCTCCACCTAAACCCACACCAAGGGGTACGCGGAACAGCGCACGGTTAAGAGGTGCTCAGAACGACGATGAATGGCAGGCGGTTCCGGAGGAGTGGCTGAATGAAGGCGTTAATGGCAGCAGGAACACGAGAAGCAAAAATTTGATGTCTAAAGCTGGTTTAGAGAGCGAAGGGAGTAGTATCAGTGATTTAACTGACCTTAGCGAGGAAGAGAGTGAAGAGAAACCTGAAGAGGAAGATGAGGACGAGGAAGAGGATGAGGAAGAAGATCAAGAGGAGGCAGAGACAGAGGAAGACGAGGAAGATGATCTTCCGGAACCCGTCGTCGAGCAACCAGAGGAACAATACCAGACACCTGCAGACTTTGTTGAATGGGAGACCGTAAGTCAATTTACCTTTGATTGGCTTTGTCTTACCGTCCGTCAGATATGCGTTACTCTGGACGAATGGGAGCACGTAGCGGAGCGCTGGCAGAATGCTACCCATTATGCAGAGAAAGCACTGTACAAAGTCTTAACAACCTCTATTGTTCCAGTTATCACCGAGGAGCTTCGAGTACGTGTTCTCGCTGAACTGACCGTGATTTGTGTGTTTGACGTGGATTATAGGAAGTCGCCCGCAAGAAAAAGATTGAGGAGGCTGTCGTACATCGCAAACGTTCATCTCGCATAGCTATCAAGGAATCTGTGCGCGAGGAAGCTCGCCTGGCAATTGCGAAGAAAGCTGAGGAGGAGGAAAAGATGAGTCGAGCCAGACGTGCTGAGGCCAGGCAGCAGAAGGAGGAAGAGGCCCGTCAGAAACGGGAGAACGCTCGCGAGCAACGAAGAAAAGAACGAGAAGCCCGGGAAGCGCAAGAAGCCAAAGAGGGAAGCGAGAGGTAAGTATTCTGCGTCTTTTGTGTGGACACGTATTGACTGCCTGCTTCAGCGCTGGCACACAGGTCGATGTCGTCGGTAATGGGACTGCTGTCGAGCGACAAGCCAACGGCCGCCGCGCTTCGAACGGTGTTGCCAGTGGATCTCGTACTCCGGCTGGCGAAGACTGGGAACTGGATTGCGAGATATGCCTTCGTCGTGGTATCAATCTCGTAGGCCATTCCTCATGATATCTCTGCCGTCGTGCTAACTTTGATCTTCTGTTTCAGGATGATGGAGTTCCTATGATGTGTTGTGGATCATGTTCCAAGTGGCAGCATATATCTTGTCATGATCAAGCTGACGTTCGATCTGGTCGCCCAAGAAGGAACTGGGAGCAAGTTGAATTTATCTGCCGAAACTGTATGCAGACAAAACGACAATCTCACTATTCCAATGCGCATCCACCTCCTGCAGCAGGTCGCGACCAGTATCTTGCGCTGCGTACTCCTGGATCTGTCACGTCGACAAGCAGCTCTTATGGCAATTACAATACTCCGGTGTATCCCGGATACAATCCCTACTCACAACCTACCAAAAGCTACAATCACCAGCAAATGTCCGATGTACGTTCAAATGCTGCACCAACTCAGCCATCCTATCCGCCTCAGACGAAGGCCATATCATTCACCCACTACCAACCCCAGCAACGCGGTTTCTCTCAGACACATTCTTCTTATAACGCGGCTCCTTATGTGCAACCGTATGGACAAGCAGCCCCTGCTGGACAATATGGGCAATACGCAGAGTCGACAACGAATGGATCAAATGGTTATGCATATCCGGTAAGCTGATGATCGATTATCTATTTATCTTGAGAGTGACGGGTTATAGCGTCCTGCACCTAGTGCTAGATGGAGCGTTACGACTCCAGCACAACAGCCTCCGGGATATAGCGCCGCTCCCTATCCCTCTACAGAACGGTCTTCAGCCGGTGGGCGTCCGTATCCAGATACCCAACAATGGCCACATCAGCCTACACAAAAGATGACGGACGCATACAGCACTGGCTATCACCCGAACTCTTAAATTGATTTATTGAATTAGACAACACCTTGCATGTTTATTGGATCTTTTATACTGCGTGTTTGGATAGATAGGTGTTTTTTTTTTGTTTATTCTGTATGTGTGTACATGACCAAGAGATGTAATATGATACAACTAGTAATACAGCAGCCATGATAATGGCTTATCGAATTGTTTCGTACATTTTGTATTCCGGATGTTTGAAAGTAAATATGTCTTCGTCAAGAGGATCTTGTTCCCTGTAAGATGTGTTAGATGGAAATTTACCTTGGGAAAGGACATACTCGATAGGTCCCAAGACGCGTAGACCCCGGACATGGGTATCTTTACCGCTCTGGTGGTTGGTCATGACGATGATCTGGAGCACGTAGGCGTAGATGGGTTTCCTAGAAAAAGGTATCAAGATCATCATTAGTGAAATTTTTGGCCTAAACGTACAACCCATCACCGTCGTCGTTGGGTTCCGATGATATATCAAACGTTAGCCAGCCATCTGGCTTATCCAGTGTAATTATCCGAACATCCTGCAGATCCGTCGAACCAGTTCCGGCGCGAATGGCGAGCGTCGCGGGGGTATATGAGTCGTCCAAGGGATGACTGAGGTATATGCTCAGTTTCTAAGCTGATCTCGTCAATAACAGCGGCGTAGCTTAAAGACACCAAGGCGCACCTGGACAGGCATTTTTCGAGGAAACTCGATGGTGATGAAATGAGGCTGGGGGCCATCCGAACTGGGAGAACTTGAATAACGACAACAATGTCATTTCCAACGCGTCGGGACTCACTGCCAAAACGTCTCAGGATCACCATCACGCAAGCACTCGACACCAAACCCGAATTTTGCAGAGGACACGGACCATTTGGCGCGTGAAGAGATATCTGGCCAGGGAAGGGGTGGCGGTCGTTTCGTGGCTGAAATATTGTTGAGTAACGGTGATTTTAAGGAATAATTGTGTGGCTTTTACGTGAGAGGAGAAATGGAGCGTTGAGGTTGGTGTCGTCGACGAGAGGCGCACTGGTAGGAAGGGGAGCAAGGGCCATCGTGGCCATCGTGGTAAGAGACAAACCGTGATCGCGTTACTTGCCTTTGCCTTCCATGGAGCTTCCTGTCGAAGATTACCGCCGGTACGGACGGCAGATGATCCTCGATGGATTCGGTCTCCCAGGTATTTCCTTCTTACCTTTCGACCACCACCATCATCGGTTCTTAGCCTTCGCTTCAAGGTCAGCTCAAGCTTCAGAATTCCTCCGTCGTCGTCGTAGGCGCTGGTGGACTCGGATGTCCAGCCCTTCAGTACCTCGGTGCAGCAGGATTTGGTGAACTCAGCTCTCCCCTTCCTTCGAGATACATGCTGACGTTGTCCCAGGCAGAATAGGCATCATCGACCACGATGTCGTAGAAGTATCTAATCTACAGCGTCAGATTCTACACAATGAAAGCACCCTTGGACTTCCTAAAGTTGAATCTGCAGCACAGTCGCTTCGACGGTGAGGGGTGCCTAGCAAGCGTCGCGCCATTCAAGCTCACCGGATATCAGGCTGAATTCTCGCCTCAACCTGGACGTGATAATCGAGGCCTTGACACCACAAAATGCCCTCACCCTTTTGCAACCGTACGACATCATCCTCGACTGCACAGACAACGCGCCGACACGGTATCTACTCTCGGACACTGCAGTCGCGCTCGGTAAACCACTCGTCAGCGGGGCTGCTCAGAAATTCGAGGGACAACTCTGTTGCTACAACCTTGGTCCCGACGGTCCTTGTTACCGGTGTCTGTTCCCGACACCCCCAGCCCCAGAAACAGTGGGGACATGCGCAGAAACAGGAATTCTGGGTGCAGTAACTGGAGTCATTGGCAATATGCAAGCACTAGAGGCAATCAAAATCGCTACTGGTTTACACGGTCCGTAGTTTCTTGGACGCAGTACTTTCCTCGTCAACCGATATCCCACTGCTAGATCAGAAACCGTCTCTCCTCATTTTCTCCGCGTTGGGTTCACCCCCGTTCCGTAGCATCAAACTTCGGTCGCGCAAGGCTAGTTGTCCTGCGTGTGGAACTGAGGGAGAGAAGGTTGGTGCAATCAGAGATATCGACTATGTTCAGTTCTGTGGAGGCGCTGCTCCGGACTGGGAGAGCCGCGGGATGGTTGAAGGACTGTCCGACCGGCGAATACGCGTTCGAGTACGTTCATTATGCCTCTACATAAAACTGGCATTGAAATCACTGTCTTAGGACTTTTCTGACACGGTAGCAAAGAAAAAGGTCAAGATTATCGATGTTCGACCTCCGACAGAATTTGGGATCTGTCGATTACCTGGTTCAATAAGTGCGTGGTCATCCCAAACGAGCAATTTTCGAATGAATAAATTTGCGTAGACGTTCCTCTCAACGACCTTGTTGCTAACCCTGCCGAGCAGCTTCCAAGCGATAACGAAACGGAAATATATATCGTCTGCCGCCTAGGCAATGATTCACAAATAGGCGCCGATGCCCTACGGAGCGTTCGAAACGATGGCTCCATGACCATTAAAGATGTTATTGGCGGTCTCCGTGCTTGGTCAAGAGACATTGACACAACATTTCCAGTGTACTGATCTATCCCGTTCCTACACGTTGTACATTTACAATGAACATTATGTTCTTACTCTAATTAACCTATTTCTCTGGAAGAGGTATCAGCATCAGATGATTAGTTATCATCAAAGTGACTTACTTCCTAGCTTCAACCACTTCGGCACCTTCTTCTCACCAGACGATGAGCTTGAAAGGGCTGGTATCTTGGAAGTGGGTTCTTTCGACGGAAGTGTATCCGGCACTTCTGGGGGCCTAGGCAAGTCGACGGCTTGCGAAAGAACATTTGTGATCAAAGGTGCGGGGACATGCGACCCTTACAGCCCAATCAGTAACAAAGAGAAACATTGTTAACGCTGCATTTACCATTTAGAGAGTCGTCTTCAAACCGAATGAGAAGTACAGATGATGGTGCTAGCTGTAGCTGTGCTAGCGTCAAGTCGCGAACCTTGAGATCAGAAACTTTGAGGTCCCGCTTTGGTGGCTGATCTGGGCAACGATGAGCATGCATGAGCAATACTAAAGTTGGTGACTCGTACGCACAGAGAATAAACTTTATGGGCTTCACGTCTTCTCGTAGTAGCCCCCTCACAAAGGCGTAGACAGAGCGGATCTTGTCTGTCGAAGAGAAGACCTTCTCCAGCTGTGTCCTATCAGTGAAACGTATGCGTATCGTTGTCTGCACCATGATGAGCAACATTGCAAGACGAGCTGTCAAATGGGAACGCACGTTCGGCCATCGATCCCGCTTTGCCTTCTCCTCTGCCTCTCTCACAGCCTTTAGTCTCAACGGTGTATTCGTAAGCGCCTGTGTACGCGCGGCCAGCTGTGACTGAGCAACTTTCAAATCTGCTGCGGTAGGCGTGAAATATTCGTCTGGTAGTGCAGCTACCGAGAACTTGTCGTCAAGGCCAGCTTGTAGCGAAGCGAAATCTTTACTTACAAGGAGGGGCAGCTGACACATCAGAAGGTTTATAGACTTTGAAGTTGGGCTCTGCCTGAGGCGGCGGCGCATTCACCGAAGTGTCTGTATTCGTTGTTGAAGGGCCAGCAGCCGCTTGTTGTTGTTCGGACATAGGGGTATGCGTTCAAGAGTAAAGGGTATTACAAACTGGGGTGTATTTGTTCAACACAGGATACAATCAAAACGCGATCACGAACGCTCTCACGTCAAAAAAGAAATTCAGATTCAAGAAGACTACCTGTAAGAATACGTGAGCGACTGACGACGACAAGGACACAATAAAGATGAAAAATCAGGTAGAAAAAAAGTTGTCTCATACTGTCAGTCCCAGGATGCACTGGCGGGTGATCCCTTTGGTGTGAGAGCGACAGCAATCGAACGCAAATTACATGAGTAGCATCATAAAGAAAAGAGAGGAAGAAACAGAAAGAAACGCGACTTACCAGCTGCAGATGGTGGAAAAGAGAAAGCAACGCACTGCTTTGTATAGTTGTGTAATATTTGGCCGTGCTTGGCGATGTGGCCGGATTGTGCCGAGCCTGAGATCTTTACCTTGACTTTTTGAAGTTTACTCGCATAACATTGGGTACTTTCCTTTTTTTGTTCCTATCTCTGGGCCGGAAAATAGGTACCTTGTCCTCGTGATATCAGGGATGGCCTATCTTTAAGCGCAATTTCTATTTTTGCCTCTTGGTATGACCGGCACGCTAGCTTCGACTCTCACAGACTCTCACGCAACTGCTATTTCTGCCTCCTCTACTGCGGTTTTCTATTTTTACCGTCTGTGAGGCACAAATGAGTCCGTTTACTTGCATATATAAAAATTCGGGTATGAGTAAGTCTTTTTCTCGCTGTCCCCCATGATGAGCTCCGAGTCAGTCCTTGTCACTCGTCAACTGGATCCCACGCTCTACGAACTGGCAGGAAACGAAACTGCGTTCTTTAAGGTTAAAACTGGAATAGAAGATGATGCTGCACTCAAGAACCATATTCTTACTATCCAGGAGGAAGCGTACAAGGTTGCTTGACTTATCCTCCCTGAGTAATAAAGACCCTAACACGAGACGATACAGGTGTTCCCTTATCCGTGCATTCGCCGTTTCGCCTTTACCAGGTAAGCAAGCGGTCCCCAAGTCTGCCGTGTTGACCATGCTTGACTTTCAGCGTCAAGGTTAAAGATTTCGAGGCAGCCGTGCTATCAACAGTTCTTGAACCTCGGAAAAGATCGAAAGGGAGCAATCTATGCAGACATTGGATGTTGCTGTTCGTAATTCTTTCATATAACGTCTGCTTCGCTTTGATTATCTAGCATCTGCATAGTCGGTAATGACCCCAGAAAGGCGGTCGCAGACGGCTATCCTGTAGAACAGGTCATAGCTTCCGATTTGCATCCTGGTATGAATTCCTTCCTCTGAAATCCGTTCTGCAGAGCTTAAGCATATGGCACAGAATTTTGGGAACTCGGACATAGACTCTTCAAGAGCACAGCTGAGACTTTCCCAGCGCGCTTCATCCCTGCAGACATCTTTCAGTTGAAAGGTCTAACGAGGGAAGGCGGAATCCCCGTCCCGGAGCTCCCCAAAGTACAGTCTTTAGCTGAACTGCGAGGAAATATCTCCGCCATCCATACTTCGTCGTTTTTCCATCTCTTCGATGAAGAGAGGCAATACGAAGTCGCAAAGATCATGGCGGCACTCCTGTCATCCGAGCCGGGGTCTATGATATTTGGATCACATGCTGGCCGGCGCGAGAAAGGTTTGCGTACCGAGGTCGATTCCAGGAGCGGCCGCAGCAACAACATGTTCTGCCACTCCCCCGAGAGTTGGCGATCGCTGTGGGATGGGGAAATATTTCCTAAGGGCACTGTTCGTGTTGATGCTGTCTTGCATGAACGTGAACGTGCAGATATCCTCGACCCGGGCGTCAAATTGTACCTCCTCATTTGGTGCATAACAGTTTTGTAGATACGTTTCTTGGCTTTGTACGGCGTCTGTGATGCCAATGTTTTCGATGCTCATTATCCTCACATGAGATCCGTTGAATAGGTACCAAAGGTACTTATGGCTGCGAATAAATCTCTTGCGTATCGAAAAGTTCACGAGCTCTCTCATAGCTGCGAAAACCCCTAGACATTCGCGTACCATCAGGATTTCGATGTAGGAGAGTTGCATCAACGCAAGATTTTGATCGTGAGGCCAGCTCTTTAGTACTAACTTGCCTTCGTCCTCGAACATAAAAAGCGGAATCGAGACATAGTCCACCAACCTATATGCCATACCAGTGTGGTACTGATGCTATCGCAAGTGCAACTTTATGATCAACACAAATGCGGCAACAAGGGAGAGAATACTTATTAGGATTAAACAGACACTAGCCCGTCGTATTTCCATTCTACGAATCCTTTGTGAAAATGCATCCGAGCCTATATTCTGCCGCCGTGGAGCAAACAACCGAGGAAATATGTGTTGCAGCGAGAGGCACAAGGCTACGGAGCCGATTATCCATGATAGGAGGCGCAATCTCTGTTTTTACCACTTATAGTAGACTCGCTAGCCAGTCGACGTTCGCAAGCTTACACCTCGTAATGCAAATTCCGTATACGGTTGTTTGGTTGTTTGGTGAAGTTTGACATGTTTTGACGTGAAGAGGTGAGCTTGCGAACGGACTGGGCAATACCGAGACGTTTTAGAGGGTCACACATTCTGTGACTTGGGACTTAGAAAAATTTCACTGATTTTTGTCTTGCAGCTTATTTTCAGCAGCCATTGCACTTCCCCCGTCTCCAATTTGCTCCAGTAGGATTAGTATGCATAGTCTGCCTGTGCACAAATTATTTTAAATTCTATACAATCATGATTATGGAACCCTCTGCTTGCTCTCTACTTTGCCCTTCAATGGCTCTGTCCGAATGACAAGAACATGATGACCAAATGATGACATCATGGGAGCAGACAGTTGAATAATATTTTCCACGCAAGGCGACAAAAATAAACTGTGTAGATGGTTCAGTGGTAAACAAAGTATAAAATGCGCATGTATACAATGCATTACGAGGGAAGGGAGTGGACAACTATTAAAACTGGCGGTGAAGATGTGAAATTTTTATAAGTCCCAAGTCACAGAAAGCGTGACCCTCTAAAACGTTGCGGATTTGCCCAGCCGCTTTCGCCCAAAGTGATAGCGCAGCCACGTGGGTGAAACGCCGGCTGGTAAACGAGCCTACACTTATAGTACAACCTTTCCACACGGTACGCTAGCCTCGACTCTCACGTAGCTGCCATTTCCGCGTCCTCTACCGCGGTCCTCTATTTTTACTGTCTGTGAGGCACAAAGGAGTCCGTTTACTGATATATAAAAACTCTGGCATGAGTAAGTCATTTTCTCACTGTGTAGTATCTCCCCCATAATGAGCCACGAGCCTACAGAGGATGAGGATAGAATTCTGGCAGTCGGTCCAAACGCTCCAAGTAAAGCCAAGGATGTATCTGCCCGCCTGCTGGTACACGATGACGAGTACGATGAGCTCGACGATAGACGACGACATTATCCTGGAAGCTGGTCCTGGGTCCAGCAATCTCTACACCAAAGGAAGACAAAGATGGCGCCGGGGCCCAGTTTATAGTCGGCGCTACGTTAATTGAGTTGAATCTGCATTTGGTCAAGGCCATCAGTGGCATGTGAACGTGTCGTGCATGTGGGCCTGCCTCGTGCTGTCCTGACACCGAACACCACCAGGATAACCACCAGCCAATGCCGCCTTTCTCAGAGCAGTCGAGCCAGATGCAGCACCTGCAGAACCAATTCCGACCGAATAACGGGGCGGATGTGAACAGTCCACAAATTAATCAGCGGGCAAGTCTCGTTACTCTGGCTATTTTTCAAGCTGCCGTCCACCGTTGGTCCGTCTACTCTGTGGAGGGGTACACCCTGGACCCGTAGCGTAGCATGTCTCCCTATCAATCTCCATGTCTTTACAGGGATCGTTGGTGGCATTTGCTGCCCTCGCAGGTCCATTTACCGCTCATGTGGCTTATCGACCCATGATACGACTCGCTCTTATCGACCTAGCACACTTTCTTCTCAAGCTATCATTACGTATCCTTATGCTGATCTCTCTTTTCTACTTCTAGATGGTCGATTTACTTCGAAGTCAGAACATGGCTGCCCGCGCCCATGGTCAACAACAGCAGTCTTTTCCTCTCGGAGTTCCTCAAATGAGCGCAGGTCCGAGTGGCGGCCCATCTCAGCAGCGGCCCTTCCATGATCCGTCCTCCCAGCGGCAGCCTGTTGGTTTCCCAAATCTAGTTAACGGTGGCGGTCTGCAAGCGCCACTCTCCCAGAATTCCATGCAGGCGAGAAACGCCATGATGCAGGCCATTACGAACAACCAGAACCATAACAGGCAACTCGAGCTCATTGGTATGGCTGCGAACCAGCAGAATCAGAACGACCCCATGTCGTTTCCATCTCGTTTAAATGCTCAGCAGCAGCCGCAATCGGTCCATGCGCCTGGACAGGGCGACATATCCGCTCCTGCGATGGACGCTAATGATCCTCTGCAGCGAGCGTCTCCAGCCAATCCGCCAAACCAGATGGGTGGGCAACCCCACCAGTTCACTATGGCCCCCAACGGTATGATGCGCCCTCAGCTACCCCCAGAACTTCAAAGTCGTATCATGACCCTGCGGACCATGATCAGCAACGGCGAGAACAACATTCGTAACCTGCAGAATAATCGTGCGGGAATGCCTGATGTTCCTTATTATGCTCAGCTTAAAATGCATCAGAATGAGGTTGCTAAAGCCAAAGAGATGCTGGCAAGAATCATTCAGCTGGCGAATAATAATAATATGTGCGTCTGTCGTGTTTCATGTGTCTCTATACAGTATATTCATTTTTATTAAGGTATAACATGAATCTAGCAAATCAACAACACCAGCCGTCGCAGCCACAATGGACGCAGCCGCCCCCTCAGACGCACAACATCCCCCAAATGATCCCTCCTAACCGCTCTGTGTCTACTTCGCAACATCTTCCATCACAAACTCCTTTGGGCGGTATTCCTTTTAACATGAACACTGTTACTGGAAGTGGACAGTCTGGTATCCCCAATGGAATGTCAAACTCATTTGACCTTGCACATCCGCCACCATTGGAGAAGACTAGATTTGAGGCTGCTTACATGAATTACTTGACATCCAAAGGTTTGAATCGCGACCTTAGGACCATTGCCACGATCGAGCACAGACCGGTCGATATTCATGCTCTTCACACACATGTTATGCGGGAGGGTGGTGCAGCTGAGGTTCGCCTTCGATCATGGTCAATTTGAGCTCTACTTATGTTCACATTTTTTGCAGGTCGCTCAGAAAGACCTCTGGGCGACTATTGCTGCCCGTTTGGGCTACGTTCAATATCCCGGTAACGACATGGAGCCTGCGAAGTCGGGGCCAGCTACCGCTCATCAATTGGAGCAAATATACAAGGACCATCTTGCACACTTCGATATGGTCTACGTCACGACCGTCCTGGAATCGAGGCGCAAGCAGCAGGTTAGCATGGCAGCTCAGCAGCTCGCCAACCCCAATCCCGCGAAATCGATGAATGGCCCGCAAATGCAAATGGTCATGGCGTATGCCGATCTTTCTCCAGCAGAATTGCGAGCAAAAGGCGTCCAGGAGCACATAATCACGTTTATCGAGAATCATCGTGCCCATATACAACGTACGGCTGCGGAGCAGAATCTATTTCGTGGCAACCTGCGTGGTGCATCGACGAATCAGCCAGTACAACCGCCGTCAGAAGGAATAACTGGGGCGGCGAGCAATCAACAATTTACAGCTACGCTGTCACAGAGTCCACTTGGGCATGTAGCAATGTCTTCCCCTCCGCAGTCCATACCGAATACGGCATTGCAAAATGGTACTACGGACGAGGGTATGATGGAGCATCGACCTCAACTTCCTAACAATACCATTATCCCCCAGTTTATGCGAGGAAATCAGGAGCAGTTGTCGCGAATCTCGTCTATGTTATCGCAAGTGAAGCAAGATTTTCTTGCCAATCGTGAGTACTTCTACCACAGAGTTTCTTTCACAACTCATGAATTCTCAGGTATGGCTGCGCTTGGTTCGGTCAGGATCCCTCCTGAAGAGCGGATGACCTACAACGCTGTGGTTGAACAATTGCATCGAGCAACTGGGGAGTTGGAGAATAAGCTCCCTATGCTATATCTGTTTGCAAATGACAAGAACGACGTTTGGGTCAAGCGGCTGGCTGTGATAGTACGTAGCTCCTCAGTTACACTAAAACCTATCTAACAAAGGTTTCCAGGTCGTGACTGCCCAACAGCAACGCAGTTTTCTCGCTTCCAACAATCCACGGTTCATTGTAAATCTGGATAACCTTCGCCTCATGCTCAGTGAGGTTCAGAAAGGCCATGAAAGGTTCAATACCATGGTTCAGACGATTACGGCACAGCAGCATCAGCATCAGCAGCAGCAGCAACCGCCCCCACCTCCGCCAGGCGGAAGCATCGCCAATGGCCCTCCTGCTTCTAATATGTCCCGTCCCGCGGTTTCACAACAGCCGAACGCGATCCACCCCAGTCAGCAAGTCCCCCAGCCTCATTCGCATCATCATTCCAATGCTCCACTAAACATTAATCGGCCACCAACCGCCCCACCGCCCTCTCCATCTTTGGCTATGAAGAAGCAACCGATACAACCCGTTTCATCCAGTCCTGCTGAAACGACGATCTTCAATACCACGCTGAAGATAGCCGCCGTATTTGTTGTCAGTACAATATTTCTGTGGCTTGCACTACTGGGTCCATGATTATCCCCTCTTCTCTGGTCCGGACGATTTTGGGGTCTCGGAGTCTCAATGTTAGGTCATAATTCGGAAATCGAGCTCCTGCCATTAACATGTTGGATTTGTATTCGGACTACAATTCGCGTTTGTACAAGGTCAGGTTCAAATTCAGACAGATGGTATACCGGGCATTGTGGTCGGAGCCAGCATTGTATGCCGTGCTATAATAGCGTTGAGTAGCGCAATTTGAATATTCTTGCTGAGAACAATGACTTGTCTCTTTGCGTGCTTTCAATGCAGTCTAACACCCGTGATATTTAAAGAGGGTTTTTGACAGTCACGAGTGACGACTCACAATCTCGGACGAATCTTAGCGAATTTTGGTGACTGCAATTTTTTGCTCTCGAGTTGCCGGCTGGGCTGCCGTGCCTCACTATAGCAAGGGCAAAACGGATATAACACATATTGAATGTTTGTTCAAAACATCACAAAGTGTCCTATTGAGCTCAAATGATCGCTTCATACCTCATCAGGCGTTTTCACTTGCTACGAACTAGCAGAAAACGTAGCTTTGTTCTTTAAAGCTCAAATTGGAATAGAAGATGATGTTGCACTCAAAAGAACCATGTTCTTACTATTCAGGAGGAAGCGTACAAAGTTGATTGACTCATCCTCTCCGAGTAATAAATGCCCTAATACAAGATCATACAGGTGTTCCCTTATCCGTGCATTCACCTTTTCGCCTTTACCGGACAAGTAAACGGTCCCTGAATCTGTGGCGTCAATCATGCCTGACTTTCAGCGTCAAGGTTAAAGATTTCGAGGCAGCCGTGCTATCAATAATTCTTGAACACCGGAAAAGATCGCAAGGAAGCAATCTATGCCCGATATTGGATGCTGCTGTTCGTCATTCTTACATGTACCGTCGGATTCGCCTTGACTATCTAGCATCTGCATAGTCGGTAATGATCCCAGAAAGGCAATCGCAGATGGCTATCCTGTGAACCAAGTCATAGCTTCCGATTTGCATCCTGGTATGAACTCCTTCCTCTGCACGTCTTTCTGCGCAGCATAAGTATATTGCACAGAATTTTTGGGAACTCGGACATAGGCTGTTCAAGAGCACAGCTGAGACTTTCCCAGCGCGCTTCGTCCCTGCAGACATCGTCCGGTTAAAAGGCCTAACGAGGGAAGACGTTCCTGTGCCTATCGCAGAGCTCCCCAAAGTACAGTCTTTAGCTGAACTGCGAGGAAACATCTCCGCCATCCATACCTCGTCGTTTTTCCATCTCTTCGATGAAGAAGGGCAATACGAAGTCGCAAAGATCATGGCGGCGCTACTGCCATCTGAGCCGGGATCTATGATATTTGGATCACATGTTGGTCGGCGCGAGAAAGGTTTGCGTACCGAGATCGATGCCAGTACCGGCCACAGCAACAACATGTTCTGCCATTCTCCCGAGAGTTGGCGATCGCTGTGGGATGGGGAAATATTTCCCAAGGGCACTGTTCGTGTTGATGCTGTCTTGCATGAACGTAAACGTGCAGATATCCTCGATCCCGGCATCAAATTGTACCTCCTTATTTGGTGCATAACAGCTTTGTAGATACGTTTCTTGGCTTTGTACGACATACTGTGATGCCAAAGTTTTCGATACTCTTTATCCTCACATGAGATCCATTGAATAGCTACCAAAGGTCCTCATGTTTGCGAATAAATCTCGTGCGCATCAAAAGGTTCATGGCTTCCCTCACGGTTGTGAACGCCTAGACATTCGCGTACCGTCAGGATTTCGATGTAGGAAAGTTCTATCAACACAAAATTTTGATCGTGAGACTGGCAGCTCTTTAACTTGCCCTTGCCCTCGAACATAAAAAGTGGGACGGAAACATAGTCCACCATATTCCGCTGCCGTGGAGCAAACAACCGAAGAAATATATGTTCTAGCGGGAGGCACAATGCGGCTAACGAGCCAATTATCCACAAGAGGGGACAAGCGCAATTTCTGGTTTTTCCCACTTAGTATGACCTTTTCTACACGGCACGCTAGCCTCGACTCTCACGTAGCTGTTATTTCTGTCCTCTATTTTTAATGTCTGTGAGGCACAAATGAGTCCGTTTACTTTATATATATAAACTCTGGCATTTGTAAGTATTTTTCTCACTGTCTAGTATCTCCCCCATAATGAGCCACGAGCCAGTCCTTGTTGCTCGCCAGCTGGATCCTACGCTCTACGAACTGGCAGAAAATGAAACTGCATTCTTTAAAGCTCAAACTGGAATAGAAGACGACGCCATGCTCAAGAGTCATATTCTTACTATCCAAGACGCGGCGTACAAGGTTGATTGACGTTCTCACTGAGTAATAAATACCCTAATGCAAGACGGTACAGGTGTATCCTTATCCGTGCATTCGCCATTTCTCCTTTACCAGGTAAGCGAGCGGCCCCCGAATCCGCCGTGTCAATCATACCTGACTTCCAGCGTCGAGGTTAAATATTTCGAGGCAGCCGTGCTATCAACAGTTCTTGAACCTCGGAAAAGATCGGAAGGGAGCAATCTATGCAGACATTGGATGTTGCTGTTCGTAATTCTTGCATGTAATGTCACTTTCGCCCTGACTATCTAGCATCTGCATAGTCGGTAATGACCCCAGAAAGGCGGTCGCAGATGGATATCCGGTGGAACAAGTCATAGCTTCCGATTTGCATCCTGGTATGAACTCCTTCCTCTGCAATTCGCTCTGCACAGCTTAAGAATATGGCACAGAATTTTGGGAACTCGGACATAGACTCTTCAAGAGCACAGCTGAGACTTTCCCAGCACGCTTCATCCCTGAAGACATCTTTCAGTTGAAAAGTCTGACGAGGGACGGCGTCCCTGTCCTTGGCATCCCGGAGCTCCCCAAAGTACAGTCCTTAGCTGAGCTCCGAGGAAACATCTCCGCCATCCACATCTCGTCATTTTTCCATCTCTTCGACGAAGAGAGGCAATACGAAGTCGCGAAGATTATTGCGGCGTTACTGTCATCTGAGCCGGGGTCTATGATATTTGGATCACATGTTGGTCGGCGCGAGAAAGGTTTGCATACCGTCAGGGTCGATTCCACGAGCGGTCACAGCAACAACGCGTTCTTCCACTCTCCTGAGAGTTGGCGAACACTGTGGGATGGAGATATATTTCCCAAGGGCAATGTTCACGTTGATGTCGTCTTGCGTGAACGTGGAAGCGTACATACTATCCTCGATCTCGGCGTTGAAGTGTACCACCTCGTTTGGTGCATAACGGTGCTGTAAAATAGGTCTCTTGGGTTTGTACAACATCAATAGAAGGGGGCGTACTTTTATATCAGCGAAGTTTGGGGGACCTGTCGATACTAACTCGTTATCTGTACCACGAGATCTCAAGTTAGTATTCGTGGCTGCGAATAAACCTCGTGCGAATCGAAAATAGTCCATGAATTCCCTCAGGGTTGCGTAAATGCGTAGACATTGCCGTACCATCAGGGTCTCGATGTTGGAGAGTTTGAAGTTTCATTGGGACAGAAATTGTTGAATCGTGAAGCCAGCTCTAACCTCTTTGACTTCCTCTTGTCTTCAAACATGAAATGCGGGATGAAGGCAGTCTACCGTCTTATGTGGCGTGCGATGGTACTGACACTATCACAAGTACAACTTTATGATCAATACAAAGGCGCCAACAAAGAAGAAAATACTTGTTAAGATTAAACAGACACTAGCCCATCGTATTTCCGTTCTACGCATCCTCTTTGATAATACATCCGAATCTATATTCCGCCGCCGTGGAACGAACAACCGAGGAAATATGTGTTGCAGCGGGAGACACAAAGCTAACGATCCGATTACCCACAAGAGGGGACAAACTTGAGAGACGATGAAGGACAAATGTTCAGGATCAGAGGAGAAGACGTACGGAATCCAAAAAGACACAGATATTTCACAGGAGGAGGATCTAAGCATGGCGGTGTATATGCTGGAGGTGGCTGCCATCCTCTCTCGTACGGAGGAGGTGCGTAGTCTTCTTCACTTGATATCGAACAAGTCTAGATAGATATCGCTGAGCGGAGGAAAAAGGGGAATGGTCTTTTAAACGTACATTTTCCTCCAGCCCCACTTCCACCATATCAGTGCATGAGACAGACATTCTCCTCCTTGACTTTGGGTGGCGATCCCAGATAGAACCGCAAGTTTGCAAGCTCCTTTATGATATGGCATGTTTGATTGAAAGGCCCGTTTAACGGCATAAAATGACCGTAACCTAAACGACCATTGTACATATCGCTCTGAAAACTCCGTCACTTGTATTTTGTCTGTCTGAATCCAAAATTCTTGCTGGAGGTACTAGCAGACTGACATAGATTTTGAGGACGAAAACGCCAGTCATAGGCTGGCTGAGCGGATAGAATTCAGGAAGTGTACACCTTTGAGAAAGTGCTGCGTGTTGAAGGCATGAGTTTCTACAGACACCGACAGACTCGGCGAAGGAGCTGCGGCTTACACAGATTCGCGGTAGAACAGCACGGAGCTGTATTGATACATTCCAGGTCGCTAGGTGATCATATGTAGCCCCCCCTCATCGTACCGGTAATTTATCCGGGTGAAGTATAGATTGATGCTTAACCTTACCAAGATCGCCGCGGGTTGAATACGCCGAAATCAAGGTAGGAGGATTATTGAGTCGGAAGTGAGCAGACATTCTTCAATGACTAGCTTTGCAAAGTCGCAGCATTTATAGAAATACCGGCCTAGAAAGCCTAGGGTTTAAGCAGCACGTCACAAAGCAGCGGCGGTATGACGGGGCAGTATGACGAGAACCGCGCTTCGCAGGGTCGGTACATCATCACGGAGTTCAAAAAGTGCATAGAGACAGAACCATTGTGAGGCGATGCGTGTAATCCCATTGAAAGTCCTGTCACGAGGTTTCAGGGTATCGAAAATTGCGTTGCGCAGTATGCAGACGAGTCCTTTATGGGAGGATGGATATTATAAGGGCGTATTTGGTGATCGGGCCCGAAAAATGATAACATTTATCGTGAAACGATACAGTGAAATGAGAGTGGGAACAAGTATTTATATATCCGATGCTTCGAACAGCCTGTGCACATATTAGAGACGGAAACACAAAAAGAAAGGAATCCCGTACAGAAGTCTCAAGCGATATTAATAGCATCGTAATACCACAAAAATTCTCCGTTCAACCCCGGCTCGAGGATATCAGTTACACGGTCCCGTTCTTTCTCAGCCACAAGTGATTTGAAGTTGTTGTAAAGTGCCACATTGGTAGATTCGACATTTCGATAGTACAGTTTCTTTCTAATCCCAGTGAGGTTTTGAAGGTATTCTAAGGTATTTGACATCGTAAGACGCTCTGGGAGTAGATTCCTTCGCGTGGCATGGTCTGCAAGGCTAGAGTACGTGAATCCGATTCCGTACTGGAAAAGAGACGGCTTTGGTCTCGTACGTCGTAGCAGATAGACGGGAGGTATGTCATCCCACGGCTCGTTCGCGATGATGTATTTGAAAGAGTACAGTTCTTCAATTTCAGTCCCAGTGTAGATCTGAGAGATCACCATGAGGCTACTCGAGGAACATCAGGGAAAGAGTTAGCTCACCGTGTTTTCTTCTTCTTGTCCACTTTCGTTGTATGTAAAGGAACTAATCGCCCCATTGATTTGAAGGTCAAGTTTATGTTGAATCGAAGTGCCCCTTTTCACGGAGATCGAGGCTGAGGTAATCACCTTCCGCTGTAAACATCTGGTTCGTCCTCCAAGAAAGTCTATCAACATCTTCATTGTCATCATATACTATCATTGGAACCGTTTGCTGCCCAACAAAAATGACCACAGCCAGCCGCACACGGATGTCCTATGAAATTGCTCATCCTGCCCATCAAAGTATTTGTGGTTTCAGAGGCTTGCGCTTCAACCGTGCTCACAGCGCTGATGGTCGAACTGCTATCATCATCTATAACCGTCCCTGTGGAGCTACGAGCAACTGATCGCCCCCGACGGTCTTCAGTGGCAGCTGCAGTTGGAACAAATGATTTGGGAAGGTGCACCATTGGTCGCTGCATGTAATACCGCTGGTAGCAGACATGATGGCCACCGTGAGAGCATATTGAACACTGGAAAAGAAGGCCGCGAACGGGAAGCCGACTGCCAAAATTTCATCAATCGCCGAATAAGAAAATTTGAGGAAAATATACCGTACCATATGTTGCACATTGCCGGCGGCGCTTTGCACGTCGAACAGAGCCAATAGCCTGCATTGCGATCAGTGGTACCAAGAGGCAGAGCCAACGCTTTGCGGCATCGACCGCATGAAGTATAGATGGTGGTTTCAAGCTTTGCATTCAAAGTATGAGCACTATGGCAATAGATCAAAAATGCATGTTCACCTGACTAGCCTCCCGAATCTCCTCAGCTTTACAGACCTTCCGCAAATACGCAGCACAAGTGTGTAATCGTAGCCTAGTAAGTACGTCTGGATATGAGATACATCCTCGTTAACATTCAAGTGCGGGATCTTAGATGGCAAGACTTACCAATGTAGGAGTCAAGGAAACCGACAATTCTCCGTTTATCGATCCTTAGTTCTTTGGCTGCTATAACAGACAACATCGCACACATTTGCATGTCACCCTTGATTGTGTTAAGCTCAAGATATTTTGATACGCAATTTTCACTTACCTCATCAGCAAAGTCATCGAGAGCGTCACGCAAGGCCTCCCATGCTAGCTCTCGACATCTTTTCTCTTCCGAGCGAACAAGATCTTCGCGTCTATCCGTTACATCGACAGGAACAGAGGGTGAACCACCATCCCCTTCACCTAAATCCAACATGACCTCGGAAATCGTCATGCTCCTATCTTTCTGATGAGATAAGTCACGAACAGTCTCCTCGGTCTTGATGCCATTCGAACTTTCAGGTTGGACACCTTCTCCCACAGTAACGGTTTTAACACTACTCTGTGAAGCCCTGCGCGTCAGCGGTTTCGCAGAACCCGGCCCTGGCAGAGAAGCAAGAGTCGAACTGCGGCTGCGAGATTTCCTTAGAAGGGAACTCCGTTTCGTTGATCTCTTTGAAGAGCTGGATCTCGAAGGTAAACGTGGTGGTGAACGTCGGGGCGACTCATGATTGTCATCATATTCTGAATCAGTGGAACGAGGTGATGGTGATGCATCGTCATCATCGTCGTCTTCGTCGTCTTCTTCATCGTCCGTCCAGCGCTGATGGCCAACGACATGGGAAAGTGGACTAGGGAGCACTGATGACGACCTCCTTGCGGGATGATTAGGCGAGAAGGGTATTTGAGCACTCTCATCGTCGCTTGTATGACCATCACCTATTATTGGTTCATCTTCGTTCCCGCTGGGAGATGAATCGGAGTCATCCAAAGCACCTTCTCCTATGTGTCGAAGACTGCTGGTACTTCTGTCTCCCGGACTTGAACTGTGTATCGACACGGACGGCCGACGATATACAGAAGGACGCCGCATCACTGGGGACTCTCTCGAATCCCTTCTTCCTAGCAATGATGGCGTACCCGGAGGGAGAGGGGAGACACCTTGTCTCGGTGAGGAATTCTTTGATGATGATGGGGTTATTCGGCCTGAACTAGAAACACTACGCTGCGTAGATCCAAGGTCAATATTGTATCCGGAACCTCGACCAGGGCTAACTTTCTTCGTCAGAGTAACTGACGAATCTGTTCTCTCGAGAGGCAGACTGTGCGTCGCGGGGGATGGAGGCGGCGGCGCATTACCAGGTGTCGAAGGTGATTTCACGGAATTTGCATGTCGACCGGCATTTTCGTCTTCATCCTCAAGATCCGGCATTAAGTCAGTCAGCGATGCCTCAACAAGTAACCACACTTGTCCCGCGCAATTTTTTCCACTTTGAAAAGCCAGCTGATTGATATCAGCATATGTCCGTAGACAATCATAGTCGAACCTCACCTGTGCATTAAGAGCACATATTCGCTTCCGATCTTGGCCACTGATTCGGTAACTTTTCGCTAATCTAGTGAAAGCCGCTACTTCATGTTCTGCTCCGGGTGGATTGTAGGTGCCCGACGCCTGGCATTCTGGGAGGTAGGAACTGTCTCCCAGAGCTTTGAGTTTTGACTGTGTATTTTGAGGCATCCGTTCGCGCTGCTCCGGAGATCTTTCACCATTCCGTCAACGACCCAAAAAAATTGATACGAAGTCGGAAAGAACTTACATGTCGTCATAAGGTGCTTCCCAAAGTTTCTTGTCGTCGGACACGAACGCCAGTGAACCAGAAGCCTCCCAACTTGCGGAGACCCTCGTAATCGCGTCAAGAGGCTTGGTAGCATCTCTGAGATCAATTTGAGAGAACATTCCAGACGAATGCTGGGCCCAAATGACATGTGAATCTCCAAATGTCATGTCTGCGATGCAATCGTGAGTAGGCCAAGGACAGAATCCACGAGCAAAAAGCACAACTGACTTGTGACACCACCTTCTATCGCAGAGCCTGTGACAGACCATTTTGCTATCCAGCCTCTTCGCACATCCCAGATCTCGATGGCGTCACCCATCCCAACGACGACATTGGACGCCTTGGTTGCCTTGAATCCCGATGCCATCCCGGAGCTGTTATCTTTGTTTACCCCATTCTGAGATGCATCCCGACCGCCAAATCCTGCAAGATCAAGTCGGTTTCCTCCTCTTTCAACAGTTCCTGCAAGAGCAGGTGGTTGGGACATGTCTGGATTAGAACCCGTTCCTAATTCGGCGTTCGACACTATAGCGATCTCGCATTCGTACGACGGACGCCACTGAACTTGACGAACTGGAAACGAAGGATGTAGAGTGTAGGTTGGCTTGTGAGGGATATGGATCGAAATCGATGGCCAAGTCAGGTCCCAGACCTGTATCAAAATTCAAACAGAGAAAAAAGATGTACGTAAGTATATTGACCTTTACACAGCGATCCAGTCCACCAGAAACTATCCACCCTAGACCACCGTTCGTCATATCCCCACCTGGGACCATGCTTGGAGCACCTGGCATCGCATTCGAAGGCGTATGGCACCAATCGAGGGCCGTCACCGGTGCTGTATGCGCGACAGGTATACGATCCAATTGTCCACGTTGACCCATCTGTAAATCCCATCTACATGATGGGATCAGGACAAGCCTTGTCGAATAGATATATTGACGTACCGGTACAAACTACCGTTATCCAAACCGACCACAACTTGAAGCGGGTGAGAGTTTACAGGAGAAAATACTGCACTCCGCACTGTCGTAGGGTGACGAATACGATTGATAGACTTGCTAAGATCTCTGATATCCTTCCAAATATTCGCGTCAGTACAAACGTAAAGCGTGTCAAGAGACTGACCCATATGCGCAAGTCACCATCAGACGAGCCAGTGACGCAGTAATGGTGGACAATGGAAGACACTGAAAGTTTGTGTATGGAACGTGAATGGTCCTTCGTCCGTCGTTCTGTATAAGCAGCGTGTCAGATGGAATAAAAGAACCGTTTATGTTGCATTACTAACCGTACTTGGATTTCACTATGTCCCACATAATAAGTTCTCCATTACGAGCGCTGGTCAATATCTTGTTGCTGAACTCTGTCGCCTGTGGGAATCAGATGAAATTGAAAATGGACGCAAGACATACGACCGTGAGCCCAGGCGACATCAGTGCTGGCACTGTCTATCTTGAGACCACTGCCTTCCCAGAGATTGCGAGAGGCTTCTACTCGATGACCTCCACGACCAATAGCAGCCTTATGTTCGGATGTTCTGGCCTGTGTTGGGTCCAAGACGGTTATTACGCGAAGAGCTATACAACATTCATCAGCTCTTCCTGCCGACAATCACACGAATACCAACATTCTTTGCCGGCCACTGCACAGCGAGAACCGTCTTCGCTCTTGCATATAGCACTTCCACCGTTGGCGCAGGCTCTGTGTAGGCGTACGTTGCGGCTGGGCCCAGAGTATCCATGGGTTCGGGAGTCGGAGAAGAGGTCGTTGAGGGTCAGCGATGTCTGGATGCTGAGCTGAGGAGCAGACATAAGGTCGACGCGTCCTAAGCTACTCGTCGACAGTGATGCCGGCAATCTGGACGATGATAGCAAAAGGCAAGTTGCACCTCGTGACAATTACTACCTGCCCATAATTACATAGCTCATTGGGTCAATGCTATGGGTATTGCAAGGGCATGTAATATGATTAATAAAGTCCTTCGAACGCCTAATGATGAGAGGGAAAAAGCAAGATACTAAGCAAAATGTATGCAATCCCAACACTGTTAACAATATCTTCGTCCATTACTCTCATGGAAGTATTGTCCAAACACCGCCCAGCAAACAGACCACCGTCGTCGCGACCAATCCCATCAATGCCTTCTGCGATACCAGGACCACTGCCGCCGAATTCGCGCTCGAGGCGCTTACAGTTCCGTATATTGACTGGTACTGGCTAAAGGCCATTATCGACCCAGTAGCAGGGGCTGTTGAAGGTGTAGTGGCGGGGAATGTTGGCGTGAAAGTGTCCTCTATCAATGTTGTGATTCCACCGATGACGGTGGTGTATGTGTAGGGCGTTGGCCCATGAGGATCGTCGTTGGTTGTGGTTGCTGGGGCACCAACAACGCCACCACCTTGAGCGAGTGTGGTGGTCGCTGTTGTAGCCGTTGTCGTAGCCGTCGTAGCTCTAGTACGGGTATTGGTGGTCGCCGTCGTCGTCCCGGTCAACGTTTCTCTAACAACGACGTTATTAAATATGACATGCTTGGTCGAGAATACTCACAGTGTCTCCGTAGTAATAACCCCCAACAGTGTGTTCGTAGAAACGACGATAACCACCGACTCGGCGTTCCTGAACGCATTCTGTATGTCAGCAATGCGAGCTTTCATGCGCAGCAGACTTACGCATCAACGATTGTTTCCGTCAGCTGTGCCTCTGCAAAGGCAGCAAAGAGAGCAACAACAGCGAAGAAGAAGGGGCGCATTTTGGGCGTGAAGGTCGTGAGCTGGGGTACCAGGGAACTGACGGCGATGGGTGGAGCAACGAGCACTGCAAGCCGTTACAGAAAAGCGTGGGAATATCATGCCTCTTGTTTGGCCAAGTTACTTTCCAAGGCTCTCCTCCTACCATGTTCGAACCAATTCGAGGCGGCACTCGCGGTGGACAGGCTGAATTCAAGTGGTCGGACGTCTCTGCAGACAAGGACAGAGAGGTAGTTTCTTTTTGATTTAATGATATCCATGTCTAACAGCTTGGTAACAGAATTATCTAGGACACAGTATCAATGCGCCAACTGGACGTTGGCAGAAAAACAAGGATGTGCACTGGTACAACAGAGACGTCTCAAATTCAGAGGCAGAGAGACTAGAGGAAATAAGAAAAGTAAAGGAAGCCGAGGCCGAGGCCCTCTCTGTTGCTCTGTACGTCGAGCCTTACTATGACTGCTGGACTAATGCTGACACTGACTTATAGTGGTTTCGCTCCAAATGCCAAAGGTGCTGTCGCAAAAGATGAGCCTACTCCTTCAACTTCAAAGCCCGTTGAGAATGCTACCTCCCCCGATCAAACCGCGTTGGACAAGGAAGAAAGACGGCGTAGAAAGGCTGAACGGAAAGAGGAGAAGAAGGCAAAGAAAGAACTGCGTCGTCTAGAACGACAAGAGAGGCACACCAGCGTCGACACCCGAAGGAGAAGGGAACACTCCAGCTCTCGTTCAAGATCGCCTCGCACCCGTTCTCGGGAACGAAGAGACTATGATGATCGTTACCCTCGACGTCGAAGCAGATCACCTGCAACACCACCTTATCGTGATCAGTATCGAATATCACCAGAAAAGTATGATGATATATCCCGGGAGAGGGAAAGGGACCGGGACCGTCGAAGATGGGATGCCAACTCGAGAAGAAACGAGCCAGGCGCCAGATGGGGACGAGAGTGACCTTGTATGTTTTTCCGTCTATGATTACCTTTGTATATAATGTTTGGTCATGCTCTATGAAACCATTAGACGATCGCAAGATTCCCTTTTCCTAGAGCATTCGCTCATATTACGCGAGGCCCTCATGGCGGTATCAAACTCAGGGAACTCGACACAGGAGGTAAGTACGTCCCTGACATATGACGGGAAAAAATAAGGAAGCGTGCGTGAAGGTCCATAGATTGGTGATGTTACGCGAGGTCGTCTGATACCCACTACCATTGACTGAAATCAACAGGGTAGCTCGCATGAATCTCTGCTATGCACAGCAGCCTTCGTCTCGCGAAATGTATACTCTGCCGAGGTTTTGACAAAATCAAAGTTATCAAACAATACCTCCCCCCAATGGTATGATACTTAAGTCGCGTTTGGAACTCGAGCTCAATTCAAGACGCTACAAGGAGGTAATAAGTCCGGAGATACATCGAATTAATTCGTATGTATCACTACATCATTTTATAGACTGTTTACATAAATTAGAACATGCATATACACCATCCGTTGGTTCCAGATAGACCTGGGCCAAAAATCAGAGAGACCGTAATTTATCCAATAAGATTGCCCATTCCATAACAGTTAGCCCCTTCTTTAACGCTTCATCTCTCACTTCCCTATCCCTGACCTCCTCCGTAAGTCGCCCAACCGCGCGCAGGTGCTCCACGCTTCTTATCCCCAGACTCACCAGCGTTGGCGCGGCATGAAGCAAGGACGGTTCACAAGATGATAAAACGTCCTGGAAATTGGACGTAGCTATTGATTTTATGCTACTTATCGTCGATCCCGAACGAGTGGGCATAAAGGGTGTAGGTGATCGCATGCTTTTGTTCGGGGTGGATGTACGCAGTGGGGTATGCGAACTCGACGTCCCCTCGACATAGGGCGTCGTCGTTCGAGCCTGCAGCGTTGGACCTCGTGGACTATGTGATGTCCCGGAGCGAAATTCCTTGGACGAGGCACGGTCACGGGGAGGGGCTCGAGATTTAGATGCCGATGAAAAAGACCGTTGCCCGTCGGAAGCGACAACATATTGGACGGGTGAGGCGCGACTGTGTATGCCGTTGATATTCTACAGAGAAGAAAATATTGGTAAGTTTCCTTTTTATTTAAATACATTATGGCAAGAGTCCTAACTCACCTCGTGCGATAACCAATGACTCACTGGTGCCTCCTGGCTTTTACCGCCCCTCGCGCTCGGACCTCCAGATGAACGACCCTCAGTTGTCTCTTGCACTTCGTAGTCGCCTTGCGTCATATAATAGACGCTCATATCTTCGTATTTCGCCTCTTTTGCAACCCTCTCGCGCCATGTCGAAATTGTTACAGTTCTCTCGGGCCCGTCTTCAAGAATCTGATCGTGTACGACGTCAAACTCCTGTCCAGCCTTAGGCCCTGTCCTTGGTGCTTTCCTGCCTGTACTTCCATTCATCCTCCTAGCCTTTCCATGATCCAACACAGACTCGCTGACTCTCCTCAGCCTCATCGGGCTTCCGTTAAGCCTCTCTAGCGCCAGCCTACCAACGCCCGAGTCCAGGACCTTCTTCGACCCCATTGACCTAGGCATGTCGCGTCTGGTGGGTTGCTTGTACTCATAATCACAGTCCTCCATACCGAACTCGTCATATCCCCGCGTCGGTCGTTGGCTAGTACTCGCGATACTGCGGTCGCGACGATGGAGTTTACGCTCAGAAACACTAGGGGCGGTCTCTGTCCGAGGCTTCTCTCCATAGTAGTCCGTCTCCACGTCAGCCTGTGGCGCGCCAGTAACAACAGTATATGTCACTGCATCAAAGTCGTCGTCGAGAGGAGGAGACGTGGGCGCCCAGGACTCTCTGACTCTCGTGCCCCACTCGGTCTCTGGACCTCGAGTGGTACACTCCTGCGTTATGGCGTCAAAGTCTTCGTCGAGTGGAGGTGAAGTTGGTGGAGGACGAGGTCGACGAACAAATCTTTTCCCTCGACGATCGTTGACAAGATAGAGCACCCCAGATTCTGCACGCAGTCCAAGTGTCAATTATACTTGTTATGGTGCTTTGCAACGGGCGCTCACCACTGGCCTCGGCCCAGTTGTGCATTTGCGATGTAATTCGTTATTTCAAGTATCTGTCGGCGTGAAGTCTGGACACAATGAGAGCGCGATGGAAGGAAGGTGTATGGGTTCCATATGTACGGGAAGTTTGTATGTCGTTCCAGCTTCCACGGGGCTTTGGCATGCACTTCCGAGATGTCTTGATACACGTGTTGGCCACACCTCAATCGATATCATCATCCTGATGATCTTGAACTAGTGTCACGCTTCCTCGGACAAGGCAATAGAAGACAGTGATTCATGATTTCATTCAGCCTTATTCACCCACGCAATGACCCGTAATGGCTACGACCACGCACACTCCCAGATCCATGCGTATGCACGCACGAAACGACTCTTTCCGAGTCCCGGACCAGATAATTCAAAGCTTGCTTTTCATCCGCTTAGCAATCCGTTTCTCATACTTATCAACCAGAATACGGCGCAGAGTCTTTCCGGTGGGTGATTTCGGAATCTATGTCGTATTGATGAATTCGTGACCTAGAGAGAAAAACTATTAACCCACCTCCTTCACAATCTCGATGCCCCCACGAAGCCACTTATATTTGCTCAAGCTCTCTTGATGCCACGACTCAAGTGCCTTGATAACTTCAGCAGACCCCTTTTTCTTACCAGCTGGGCTCAGCACTACCCAGGCCCGAGGGACCTTTTCGTCTGACGTCCGTCCCCCGCTTACCCCGGCTACGGTTGCATCCGATATCAATCCCTCCGGATGCGCCAAAAGGACATCCTCTATTTCGACAGGCGAGACCTGGGATCCTGAAACTTTGAGAGTGTCCTAATGATGACAATGAGGAGATTGCTTCAGTCGACAACGAATGGCAGAGCTTTACCTTCGCTCTATCCGCGAAGCTGTCGTTGGCAAAGTTAAAACGTCGAGTCGCTGAAAGACAGGGAATAACTCACAAGAAGTATCCATCTCTGTCGATGGTGAACTTATCACCTGTCCTTAGCCAACCATCGTCAAACGCCTCCTGGGTTGCCTTCTCGTTATTCCAGTAGCCTGGAGAAACATTGTGGCTCTTAATATATAACTCTCCAACTTCATTAAAGTCCGCCTCGGTACCATCGTCGCGCAAAAGCCGAGCTTCGACACCAGGTAGTAGAACGCCTGAAGAACCTTTGATCCGTTTCAGGCGACCCCCCAAAGAACCCGAGGCGGGCAGTGTGAGTGCGGCAATCGTAGCTTCAGACATTCCGTAGCCTGGTTGGATGGTCAGTGTTGTTTTATCAAAGAGAAACAAATGCACCTTCGGTGAGTTCGACGTCGGGTGGAAGGGTAGTTAAAAATTTGTCGGCTAACTCTTTGGGTAGATAAGCGGCTCCACAACCAACAGTTTTCACGCTCTTTAAATCTTGTTTATTGAGCTTGGGATGAGTCGCTATTTGATGTACGACCGAAGGAATGAGCGCGAGGTTTGTGACATGATATCTATAAATTTGCGTTAGAATTACCATGCAAAGCAATAATCTTCGTACTTAGGTATAGCTTTCATAGCGGCCGCTAGGTTCCACTTCGGAAATATAACATACGTGTGGGGGACTATAAAGGGTCGAAAGCAGTATACGTGTAGACCATAGCTGTGGTGCATAGGAAGGAATGCAAGTGTTATTGGTAAGCCTTCCGGCGTGTCGATGGGCTAGAAAAAAGTTCATCGTAGGTTCGAGAGGTAAAACGAGACCTACCGAAGAAATGGGATCCGCCGCCTTGCCCATTACGAATACTTGATAGATGGAATATATCACATTTCCATGGGTGATCATTACAGCTGCGAACCATTTGTGAGTCTGCGGAAGAATATAAAACGTAGTGAACCACTTACCCTTGGGTAGGCCGCTAGTGCCACTAGAAAAAACAAGATATGCCAGTGTATCCTTCCGTGCAGGACGAACTTTGTTCTCATAAACCGGTATGTTGACCTTGACATGAGATATCATATCGGACAACGACTTGCGGCCCCTGATACGTCCTCCCAAAATGAATATCTTCTTCCTTGACAAGCCAGCCTCTTTTGCTTGAGACAATACTAAAGGAAACAGGCGGGCCTGCACGAAAACGGTGGTCACTTTAGCGAGCTTTAATGCATGCGCGAGTTCGAAAGGAGTGGAATATGAAGATATCAGTGTGAAAGGCGTCGCCAGGTACAACAGTGATTGCACTAGTACAACATAATCCTAGATTTTAATGACTTTAGCACTGGTTTAAATTCGCCAACAATGATGAACTTGCTGAAGAATTCTCACTGATGATTCCCACCATTTCGCCATGCTCAGCACTAAGACCCAAGCAACCGTCCGAGACCGGTCCTCCTAGCGCAGCAGCCGCGTCTTGCACCCTTTCTCGAAACTCATAAAATGACCGCTTTCTGCCAGTAATAGTGTCAATGTGAAGTGTGTAATCCTTCCACTCTCGCTGGTCAGGTCGATTCAGCATGACGTTGTACGCATTGTTGTCCATGGGCGATGGCGGGTCCGGGAATGGTGACTGAACGTGCATGGCTACCCCAGAGAAAGACGGAGAGGGTACGAATGACACTCATCTTCCCCACATTATCACTTTTAAGAAGAAGGAAGCAAGCTGAAAAGTTTCGGCTCAGTGTATAGCCGGTACCTGTAACCGAATTGCCGGATCTTCAAAAAGCGGATAATTATAGTGGAACCGCCGCTTGTACGTCGCTCTACGCCGCTCCAGCGTAGGTGTCAAGAATTAAAGTAGCTGTAGAGATCGACTAAATGAACTCGACAATAAATGGATGCCTGATAAATGGTGCAAAAAAAACAATACCGAACGACTCGAACTTAACAAGGGTCCGGAAAGAAGCTGCTTTCCAGCTCGTGTTTAACTTTGGGCTCAATACGGGCCGGCATTTCACAAGTCGAATGTGAGGTAAAGATGCGAATCGTCGACTACCATCCGACGGATCAAACTGAGAACCGATGAAGGGATGTGCCCTTTTGCCCGCAACGCTTGAACTGCTAATAGTAGACATTTTTGTTCTTTCTGTTAAAAATTTTGAAAATACATCCGAATTTGAACGACTTGCTGGTTTGATAGAGGGGTCGCCGGAACGTGTACACTTTTCGATGGAGATATTTCCCAACGTGAGATTAGATCCAGAGTCTGCTGTCCTTGCAGCACGACTAGGAACTTGAACTTCGTAAACACACTCGGACCGGAAGGTTTGATTAGATTACAGTGCTTACCATTCATTGTAGACCATATCTTTGGGAGCATCGTCCGCGAGGCAGTCAAAGCCGAGGCCTGTAGATGCGGCAGTACCTCCACTGCTATAACTTTGAACCTTTAACTTGGACAGCTTCTCAGCGCCCAGCCATCAAGCTTCACCTATTATCCCGATTGAATATGCAGTTAAGCACCTGATCCCCTAACTGTTTTCTGGAACACTGCTAGTCGCCGAGGTCTTATCGCACTCCAGTGACTCCACAGAATTACCGCAAAGGACGTGGCCCGTATCAGAAAATTCGATCACATATTAGTCTAAGCAAACTACTTCCATGATGAGAGCATGGACAGCATGCAGTTGAAATCGAGGCAAGTAACGTGGCTCGACACAATGCGAAGAATGCAAAGATGAGCAAAGTCATACTCGGACGATAGCAATGTGCGCCGTAGAGATAATACCCGCGCCGGCCGGCTAAGAACTGCGTGAAAGAACGCATCCTACGAACATTCATATTGGCAGCTTCGATCAAGCCCTAGTGAACTACACACCTGGAGAACTTACACAAGGCTGGTGGACTCTTTGTTATCATCGTGTTCGGCACGACACGCAAGGATATGCTTTTCAAATAGAAGTCCTTGTAATAGTATACTTACTTGCGATGTCAGCACATCTGACGTCGAAACCAGCACACCAAGGGATGGGATAGCCCATCTGCGGTGGATATGGCCTGAAGCTTTTATCTGATTGAAGTTCAATCTAGAAAAAACTTTGCTCAACGATCTGATAAAGCCATGAAGATATATGATACATCAAGTCTCACCATCATTTTTCTGGAGCCGCATTGATCACAGCTTCATGGAAGTTATATACTTTGTATCGGGGTGGTTATTGGCTATTGGCATGAACGATAATGAGAGCTTTCAGATGAAAAAGTGGTTGAGGAATGAAAGGTTAAAAAAGCAACGAGTGAAAATACTCGAGCGCGAAAAATGAATTGGTAGGACATGCGACTCGTGGCCCTGTAATCGCCCGCCAGAGAAATATACATTGCACAGCGGGCTGCAACTACATACTCGAAGAAGAAATAAGGGTAGGGAGCACAAGCCCTATTGATCTTCAACCCCAGCGACGCTATGCTTGATCAATTCGACGACGTCTGCGTTTCTTGGCCTAATATGACAGGGAAACGGTTTTGGACGGCTAGCCAGACCGGACGTATAGTCTCTAGGTGGAATCACTGCCTTCCCGTTCGACCCAGTGACAGGAAGGATGTTGAAGCAATGCAGGGTTGTCGCAACGTGCAACCAAAGAGAATTTTCGGCCAGGAAGCGTCCTGGGCAGATACGACGACCCTTTTAAAATCCCCGGTCAAGGCGAATGTACAGGAACGGGTATCTATGACTTACCCAACCAAATGCAATGGTATTAGGTTCGCGAGGCCCTCCATCTTTGACGTCTGGTGCATGCATGAAGCGTTCAGGCCGGAAAGCCATTGGATCAGGATACATAGTCTCGTCATGCGACTATAGAAATATTATCAACTGATTGTAAGGAGTATCGATACTGCTAAGTACTTACGATACCCCATTGATCTGAGAATTACAATTATTCGAACAGCTGCAGGAGAAGAGCAGACAATCACGCACTAACGATCATGGTCGTACCTAGAAGGGATGCATTCACTTCTTCATGCGATCTGGGAGGCATGAATAAACTTACCCTCAGGGATAAAGTAACCTTGATAGACCTGACAACCCCAAGTCAAAGATACTAGAGTCGCGGAAGCGATTATACTCACGTCGTCCTTCATTAGCCGGTGGGGAACGCCGAGGGGAATGACTAGAATGGTTAAGGTAATTTCATAAATAGCCCAAAAACAGGAGAGATGCACACCCTGCTCCCAACGATAAGTTTCTTTGACGATGCAGTTAATATACGGTAACGAGTCCCGGTCAGAGAAAGTTGGGAGACGATCATTCCCGATAACACGGGTCAACTCCTCTTGTGCCACCTTTTGAACCTGAGGGGCATGAAGCATTGCCAAGAAAAATGTGAGTACTGATGCTAAAATGGTGTCGGCACCAGCTAAGGACAAGGTGTGTCAACCGCCACATACTTAATATCCCCAGTAGAAGGCACGTACTCGCATACATAACCGCTGAAGCCTTCTTGATGATATTAGCCTCTTCGACAGTATCGTCTGAAGATAGTCCCTTCGCAGCCATTAATGCTGTGAAGAAGCTCGGACGTGCTCTACCCTCCTCAAATTCCTTCTTCGCCCAAGCGTAAGGCTTATCCTGAAGATCCTGTGCAAGTTCCCATCCCTCTCTGGCAACCCGTTTGAAACCTGTGCCCGGGAACCTAGAAAATTCCGTATGTTAACAACCCCAAACGAGTATGAGTCGCCTACCATTCTGGGACGTATTTGAGGAATGGTAAGAAGTCCACAAGATAAGCCCCTGGTCTAGCAGCTGATACCATGGCTAATTGCGCTTCTTCCGCGATGCGTACAAATTCATCGTTCTCAACAGTTTGGTATCCGAAGGCTGGTCAGATTTCAAATAGGCACTGGTCAAGCACGAATCATCGTTCCTGACTGATAAACACACCGATCATCATGATGATTGCCCCCGTCGTCCTATCAGCAGCCAGTCAATGACTACTTAAGTGTTAGCAAGCAATTATAGAAAACATACGTCCGAAGATGTTCATCAAATCGTTCCGGGCTTTGAAGGAGCTTTGCGAGCAGTATAGTAAGCTCCCTCTGTAACGAAGGGAGGTCAATTCGTTAGGCTGAGGGTGTTCAATGTTTAATCCGGTGCATACCGTCTGTATAGGTTGATATCCATCTGAGGCGCGAGGATTGAAGCCATGATGAAAAAGCTTCCGGCTCTTCTTATACTCGGAGTCATAACTTTGGAAACCCATATTGAAGTTCCAGCCCATCCTGCATAGAGATCAGCGCACTCTTATGATATACTTTGCCTCAGAACGTACAACTCTTTCACCATCACCATGGGAGGCCTATCCGAGTAGATCGACGATCGGGTATCGAGTAAATCCGTGGCGACTTGTGCGCTGTTTATAATGCACATTTTCTGACCCATGATTTCGAGCATCATAAGCGGCCCTGCATGTACGGTTTAACATTTCTGTCAGAAGGGTAGACAGTTCCGGCAGACGTGCCATATTGCTTTCCCCATTCTGTGAACTTGAACCACTCTGTCCGGTAGTATATCAACAATCGATACTAAGTTGGAAGAATGTAGATTTCCTTACCGTCTTTAGTTGGCATATCAGGGATATTCCCAACGAAAGGGATGAAGCTCGGCTGTGGACCGGGGGGAGAGGGAAGTCCAAGAGGGTTCCTCGAATGTCTGTAGTATAACTTGACGGCGACAGCGACGGCAACGAGAAAGACAACGATGTCGACTAGTAGCATGGTTGAGCTAGTAGTGCCCGCCCAGAGCATCTTCTTGCCGAAGGTTCCCAATGAGTTCATTCAGAGATGGCACTGGAGAAAAGAAAGAAGATAACCCTTGAGCAGCGAGCTAGCGATTGCTGACTGATCAACCCTGGATTTGACATAAAGAAATCCAGCTGGAATTAGATACATGCAGGAAACCATCATATATTGATGCTTCTACTAGCCGAAAGAGCGAATCGGATGGAGTCCAGAAAAGGCTCCCGTTTGAATGCTTCCGCGGGGATGAATGTTGATGGTGAACCACAGCGTCCAAAAGGGGATATCAACAACTCCGACGACGACTCGTCTTTTCCATACTTGTCATTCGGCTTTAGGCGGGTCTTTTGCACCCTTACTTACTGCTAAAGCAACGACCACTACTACACTTATACAGAACACGACCGCTAAGGCTAACAACAAAAGGAAGTATTCAAACGCGTATCAGAGCTTCCTCAGGTACTTACCTTATTCGGCTTATTCGTTGTCAGGTAATCGTCGGTGCTGGTGTGGCCCGCACAGCCTTTTCATCCGCCGAACACCACCATCAGCACCATTTTTGGTCCAATAGTAGGTTGCTAATGATGAATCTATCTTCGACTACTGGAAATTTCCGATGGGAAATTCATATTTTCAGCAGTAAGTTCAACTTGGATCGAGCTTGGAATCTTAAGGATTGTTCCATCGCTTGGGTACCGAGATGGGACCACATGCACACGAATAATTCCGGTTGCCCCAGAGCTGCCCCGACACTTCCCTGAGCGCGATGGGGGGAAAGGTGCTGTAAGATCGTAACGGGTTTACAACATCCATTCAATCCTTCGGATTCCTCCATCACTTAGTATATATAAGGCCCCAACGTCAGGCTTCATAGCTCCCTTGGCCAGCACGCTATTCCATGTCATCCAGCAACCCACCACAAAGTGTCGTCAATGTGACCTTCGGGCCCTTAGTGACTGGGGTCTGGATGCAGCAACTGGTGAGTGCCACAATGGCATCCCCATATGTTTAAACTTCAATGCACTCGCTTTTCTAGCTCATGGGTTTTATACTCGCTCAAATGGCAGATTATTACCGAGATCATTTTAATCACGACACATTATTCAACAAGACGATAGTCAGCCTTCTGCTATTTTTTAATCTTTTCATAGGCGGATTGGACTTGTGAGTACTGCTGTATGTCACATCACTTAGGTGCTTCCAACTCAAATTCACTCAGTCATGTTCTCTACCGAACATCCGTTTTGGGCTACGGAGATTACGAGGCCTTCGACTTGCAGCAATGGACGATGTGGACGGAACCTGGCTTCACCGCTATAGTCGGATTCGTAGCTCAAGTATTTTTCCTTGTTCGGTGAGTACCTTTACCAATCCCTTTATACGATGTAATTAAGTGCCCTTCTTTCAGGTGTTGGAGGATAACCAAATCAACAATCACCGTTGTTTTTCTGACAATCCGTAAGTTGTCACGTCCGTGGCTTCAAGTTAGTGCTAAATGCTATCCTCCACTTAGTTGTCCTTTTCTCGTTCGGCTCTGGGCTAGCGTACGTAGGCTAGTCCTTTCTGACGGAAGATGCTTAACTGATTGAACACGCTTCAGCGTATCCGGCTCTTTCATTGAAAAGAAGAGATTCAGTCTTCTAGGACAGTTCTCCTTGCCCATAACCTTGTGGCTAATATCTGTAAGTTAGGTGATGCATCGCGCAGTAGCTCCTTTATTAACTTCTGCCGTAGACGAGCGTCGCTGATATTGGAATCGCCAGTGTTCTGGTCTTCTATCTCCTCCAATCCAGAACGTCGTTTAAGAAGACGGACGCAGGTGAGCCTGTTGCATGCTGCTGTATGTACTGCTAACTCCCACCCCGCCTGTCAGTTATTTACCGCCTCGTTCAAATGTCCATGGAGACCAGCGCCTTCACCGCCATTGTAGCGCTGTTAAATTTGATTCTGGTATGCTTTCTATAACCAGGTGTTCCCCGACCGTTCCAATCTGACATCTTGAAGTTCCTACCGCTGCAAGACACCGCATATCAGTAAACACTTTCGAAGGTCTTGCTGCCGAAAATATCTCACGATGCATCCTAGCCTTTTACCTCAGTTCTCAATGTCGCGTGTATATACACTCACCGTCATGGTCACGCTTCTATCTAGAACGTCGCTTCGGGCGGTTTTAGACAGTACCGGACACGCTTCCTTTGCTACAGCCCTACGCGATGCAACACATGATCCGATGCATGGGAGAATAAAGGTGAGGTATATAGTTTGGCTTGTTTTCATCCTGCTAAGTCTTTACACAGGTCGGGGTTAGCACAACCGTTATGAATGATGCAGGTCTGGAGAGTGAACCCTCGAAGAATGCTCATGATATTGAGCTCTCCTCCGTTGAACGTAGTGACCGATCTCAACGGTGGGAATCAAAAGGAAGTCGGGGCTTGTAGATCTCATCTCTGCTCATACGGGGCTGGTTGGTCGCTGTTTTCCTAGTTTTTTCAGTATATAAATTATTGTACAATGTCTTGGATAAATTAAAACACCCTACAGCGAGCTAACTATGCAATTTTAGGTGACCGGCTGACGTGGGTGGCCCAGACTTTGTATTATTCCAAGGGTGTTCAAACTAAGTGTCATTCATCTTACCCTTGACGACGCGACAAACGTGAAGAAGCGTGCTTGTCCCTTTGTCAAGATTTAGCAATTGGACGTAATTTTTGAAGGATCAAATCGTGTTGGTACCTGGGGGGGGGGGGGGGGTTCTGGATCGCAGCAGTTTAGTTGTCAGGAGAGGAGAACGTCAATCCAATACGAGTTGTGAGCCTCGTGTTTGGGTTAATTTAGATTAGTTTGTCGTTTCAAATTTTGGAGCTTACCCATTTTTCAATTCGGTAGATTGCGCTTCGGGGTGGTTAGCAACGATACTGGGCTCATTTCAGTGAATTCCGCCCAGGTGCAAAATCGGAGTATTGTGATCCTTCATACCAGAGTATACGACTAGTGAGGTTAAGCCAAAATATCTCCCTAAGACTCCAAGTGAAGAGAGGACAAGGTATCTTTTCCCCAAGTGCCCCCTTGCTTTTCCCTTTTGAAATCATGGCATTAATTTGGACACAAAGGTGTACGGCACTCTGAAACCACGCATGTATCGAGGATACAGTATGTGCCGTAGACTATAGAATTGTATTGAGCATTTGACCACGGTTATGTATGTCAGTTATGATCGCCGCTGCTAGTATTCCATGAATTGAACAGGCTCATCCTCAGGCGAGGGATGTCATGCAATTTAGACAGATAGCGCTTCATAATATTTGAGACTGGTAACGACGAGACCATCACTAGCAATTCCGACTCCATAAGAATGGGTTTGAATGAGGCCTAATGTTCGGAAGCGTTTGAGGTGAAGCAAGCAGACAATCGAAGTGGCGGGCATGGGCACAATTACGGCCCCAGTCGAGAACTCGTCCTGCCAGGAGATAGTTAGGCAAGTCATGATGTCCGCTTTTCTTTGAAACAATTGTTTAAAGCCTAGAGACCCGAGTGCAAGGTCAAAAGATTATAATGCTGTCAAGGACTAGTAGAGTTTTCGGCACCTCGCGGTTTTCTGACGATACGATCTTTCTTTGGCGAATCGGTCACTTCAAGCACTGGAAGACGGCAAGATGATGAAGGGCGAGACGATTGTGGGAAAACGGTACTCGCGCTTTGCGGGTTCCTGACTATTGAAATACCCACTTACCTCTGGGAAAATGTGGTATATTGTTATCCTTGTTCATCCTGATGTCCGACTACCTTTACTTCGCCGTTTCCAACCTTACTTGAAACCATGCATCCCCTTTGGTGAAAGTGAACAAATGCTCCTCGCTTTGTAGCCTCCAAGAGTCATTCAGGGCGACCATCCTCCGAGTCCACCGACAGCAATTGACATGTAACAAATGGTTTCTCAGCCGGGGCTCATATCAAGAAGCATCCGGCACATCTCCCTTAGGGTCGGCCAAAGGTGCGATATTGCTGTTGATGCATTGTGCAGGTCAGCAAGTCCTCACGGCCTTAGGAACAGCTACTCAGTAGCATATCTTTTGAAAACTGTTTCGGAGATGTAAATGACAACCTCTGATTGAAAGGAGAAGAGATTTGAGGGAAACGTACGTCTGTAGTGGAAAAGACAGCCGATACACGACGACGGGACTTTCGACGAAAAGGCAGGTCACGCGATGGAAGGACTAGAGGCACTTGCATTTTTCCGCATCATTCAACTCCTTGCAGGAAACCGACTCTACTACCGAGTCGTATCGGTTCATTTCTAAGTGTACCTTCAAAATGTCAAGCAGGGTGTAAGATTCGCCCAATGGGCGCGCCTCATCCACTCCTGTTGGGGATTTTTGACGAAGAACGAATATAACGACCGAAGCGATTAGTTCAGTCTTTCACCACTTCGAAAAACCAGAGTACGGCTGCCCGGAACTGAACAACAGAGATTCTACTGCCTAGATTGGCTGCAAAATGGTTTATGGAGGCTGGTGGAGTGTGAAATCAACCAGTGGCCCCGACGATTATTATTAGCTATTGCTTCAAGTTGGGCTTCTACAATGGACCCACAGTGCCATAGCGAACTAGGTCATGACTTTGCTCCTATGCGTTGGGAAAAGCTTAACTAGAGAAAGCAGGCGGGGTCGAGACTTAAGCGTCTCGGAGCTCACGGTAGATTTGGGCGGCTTGCCGTTAAGAGGGGGGAAAGCGCATGCGAGTCCTTTGGTGTTTATGGGGGTCAAGAAAGTTCGTCTTAGGGCCGGCAATACAGGGCTAACGTGTGAAACTACACAACGCAAGCCGCGTCTTCTTGACCCACACCTGAAAATCCTGTGTTTAGATACAGCAGGTTGCGCGGTAAGCGCAAGCACAGATAATGACGGCTAAGTATTCGCGCGACTACAACCAACATCAGTTAAACAAAAGAAGGCTGAAGAGATTAACATCACTTTTCAACGGAGTTTTCGTGACTGTTGACATGCGGTGCCTCCATTTTCCGCTGTCCTTGAATCGACAGCGCTGCATCGAAGTATTTCTTGGCACACTGGTGTTTTGACAACTGATTCAGTGTTTACGAAGTTGTCGCGGTTATGCAACATTGACGTTGTGAATAGTCCCCCGTAGCGACATGGACATTCAGCCATACCATATACTCTGATGTATCGAAAGAAATAGTATATTGTTGTGTGCAGAGAGACAAGGTGAGTAGAAATTAAGACTCTTTACAAAGAAAGGTACTGACCTTGCTCCACAGAGAGTTCCGGATGCCTCCGACTGCTGACTAATAAGAATTGATGGATGCGCACAGGCCACCACCGTCGCTGCCGATTCTAACTCCCACCATCAGTCTCTACGTAACTCTTCGTTTCTTTCCAGATTTCCTTTACACACGGAGAGATTGAAGACCTTGTGTGGATGATTATTCCTAGCATAGCCTAGCGAGTCTTGGAACAGCGTAGTCTTTCCAGACTAAGGAGAGTGCGCGAGTTGTTCTTCCAAATGAAGAGGGCGTATGCCAGGCCATGAAGGAAACGAGATTTTTCAGCAGGTCAAGTGAAAATGACGACAGATTCATTTCCGTACATATCGACCAATCCATTTTGATTGTCACCTGCACAGACGTTTATATGTCGAGAGAAGGTCTCGTGGATGGAATTTTACATGGGTGCTGCTAGCCCATACGACAGTGACGACCCTTGTCATAATGGTGCGACGACGATGGGAGATTGTATCTTCAATTCCATGTTTGGACCCACCCACGTTCGTGCCCAGGAAGCTTGATCTTCGGGTGTTCAATGCCTCCATGTTTTCATTATAGGTATCCTTCATCTAGTGAGTTTAAATCTATTACCGCCTAGTCCAGATCGTGGAGCTGACTTCAAACAACAGCAGTACGTTTCCTATGTTTTCACATCACAGAACCTAGTTCTCGGGGTATTCATCTTTTCCGCTTCCATTTCACCGCTTCCATCCTCTTGTGTGTGACGTTTGCATTGAGAACGTCCTGAATACCATCAGAGACATCCCCGGCGACGTGCTGCGGTCGCTTTTGTGTTCTCGAATCGACGATTGCGTTAATCAAGGTCTCCACTCTTCTCCGCACTTTGGATAGAACCATGTGCTTGACAAGGTGGGACTACGACCGGAGGTTGCCTCGGCCGATAGTGTAACACCTCGACACTGAATCCTTCCCACAGGTAATTTCTTAGTCCTGACCTTCGTACCATCATTTGACTGTGCCCCTCCTTCCATCATCACAGATCACCTCCGATGACCCCGCCGCTCTCAGGACCACGTTCATGCACAAACCCCACGAAAATTCAGAATTTATCCGGAATTCCAGGAAAGAGAGTACTTGAAGAGACTCCTACAGAAACGCTGTCTCTGTACTTGGACCGTACTTCATATACAATGGCTACCATACTTCTTCTCGCTGAAACTGATAAAATCGTTCGTCGCAAAGATGTCGGTCGAACAGTTCTCCATTGTCTCCACGGCCTTCACTCCATCGAAACCGCTCTCTCTATCTTTCATTCCTTCATTTCCGGGTCGTACAATCACGCCCCATGCTCAGACGTCCTCGCAATGTTCGATCCGCATGTAGGCGATTGTGCTTGCCACATGCGTGCTCAGATGCTCTGGGATCTCATCGAGGACGTCTCCTCCTCCCCAGAGAAGAGGCGATTCCTTGAGCAAGCAGTTCAATTACTCAGGGAGAATAGAGTGAAAACTGCTATCCTCTTACAAAAACTTGCAAAGACCAACGGGAACACAGGCCCTTTAGGCTTTGCATCTATCATCACGCTATCCGACATATTCCAGAAGATCGGGTTTCGCGCGTTCATGACGCTGGTTGACGCCAACTCGAATTCATCTGGGACAAATACGCCTGCAGCGGAAGTACCCTTCGTTGGCCCTGGCACAGACAGTGAGGGTAATGCCCTCTCTGGATTGGACGCTATCGTTGACAAATCCTTCTCACCTGTTGAATCACCCTCCTCTGACACCTCTGAATCTTCATCATCCCCCAATCGCAGTCACCGCTCGATCACCGTCGACGTGAGTTGGGACCCCGCCGATGCCTGGTCTATCGTTCGTTTCTTAACATTTTCGCATCTACTCTCGATTCCCAAGAGGGTGATCTTCAAGCCTGGCCCTCCCGCTGGCATGATCATTCGGGTCGAACCTCTACTTTCTTACACCGAGACTGAAGCAGCACTGGATGCGCTTAACCTGGTGGAGAGTGTGTCGTTATCCAGCCTTATTCGTCCAGGGGACAGGGCGAAGAAGACGACGCTCGTCAACGAGTGCGAGACCATGCAAGTATATATTTCCCAAATGTCAGTAAATTGGATGAAGAAAGCTACGGTCGCATTAAGCCTCAGTCCAGCGGCTCAGAGGTTAGCATTATATTTTGGTTATAATTTAATCCTGACTTTGTTTCTTCAGGCTGTGTGGCAATTACGCTGTTCCCAACACTCGTCAAGTTGCTTGCGTTTCCTCTTACATATCAATCCTACCTGTCCGTGTGGCCTGGCTGACGAAGGGTGTACCCATTCTCGTCGCAATTGAGCGATTCTGCTCGGATGGTAAGCTAGCCGTCCTTTCCTATTACCTGATGTCTCATTCCCATCCCTCAGGCTATCATATCATATTACATCGCGTTACCCGAAACCCTGATGCTTGGGACGAATATAAGTCCGTCAAAGACCAAAACATCACAGCAATAGGCCACGCCAACTGGTTCGATGTCACTCCTGTCTCCCACGACGAAATCATCTCGTCACCATGGGCTGGACAGCCCCATATCGTCCTTATCGCTGTCTCTACAGATGGCGATCTCGAAGATTTTTACGGTCGACTGACTCACGATAACCCGTCTTGCCCAGGAACTAGTCAGCCGCATAACGGACCCTGTCAGGAGATCGAGAATTATACCAACATCATTGAAAAAGCCAACTTTTCACAACTCCTCATGCTATTATTCGGGCAGCATGAACAGTTTCCTTTTCCTTTGCGAAGTCAGCAAGACGGGTACGCATACGTCGCTGACTGCATCAGGTCGGAGCTCGGTGAAGAAGCGCGCAGACTTTTTATGAAGGCATGTTTGGAGGCGTATGAATATGGAACAGGCAGGTCTACAAGAACGTACTCGTTTCAGCACGTGTACCTAGAGCTTCCCGGTGTTGTGGGAAGGCAGGTGAAGAGCATGTTGGATCGAAAGGAGAAACCTCTTCTTGGTTTTGGGCGAGAACTCTCGAGATGATAGAGGCGCCACGCAATTGCAGGACCGTTTGAACCATACTTTGTTAATTTGTCTTGAGTGCTAGAGTCCGAATTGGATGAGGATCCGTGAATAAAAACCATTGTGTTTGCGAACTTACGGTCAGCCAACTCTGAAGACTGGCCAATTTTGCAAGATTATGTGCGTTGTTTCACCGTTTCATTTTATGGGGATGACAAGGCCTATATTACACCCTAGCGTCAATGTTCGACTAGCGGGAACGATTGCAACCTGAAAATGTTCAGCTCGCAAGTCGTAGGTCTTGGGCAAAGGGTACACCTGGCGTGATGGCATTGGATGAATCAAACTTATGTGTTGCATCCTCCATAACGCGTTGAGACATTCAGACTCCTCCGCTACAGCTTTCCTCTCACGACGAACGGCATATCTCGATATTGTCAGACGCGCCATTGATGAACGCGTCTGTGGCAGAATCAGAACGCGTCTGGTTTGCAGCTTCAGATTCTGCAAACCAGAACACGCTGTTTGGCGACCTCCGCTTACTCAAGGTCGAGGGATGGTGATAGTAGTGGCGAATTAGCGGGTGAAGGTGAGTTCAAACACGCAAGTGCTACCTTTCTGCTCAACCCTGCATGTATCTAGGTCTATCAACTTGTAGTAGAACCCTTGAAACCAATAAATTCTTTAATAAAATAACTGTATGCCGGCACTTGGCTCTGAGTCTTTGACTGACCAACTGACGATGTGCATTGGCGCTGGCATGTATCCTGATGCTTATACAGTTCGCAGAAGGTAACATATTTTATTCGAAGCAAGGCGAATTTGTACATAAGAAATCAAACATATAATAACGAGTTCACAGGTCCCACTCTTGGTTGATAAGCCCTAAAGCTTTCTCACTCCTAGGTTTTATCGTGCATTTGAACGGAGATGGGTGACTACAGGCGAAATTATGGAGGCAGGAAATAAGAGGACCGACTTAGGATATGCTTACCTTACAGTCCCCGTGGTTTGCTCCATGTCTGGCTCAAAAATGACACCGTTCTCAGAATATTTGCTAATATCAAATACTGCCAGCACCATAGCACATGAAATGAAGATAGAGGCTTCAGCGAGCTCTCTACCTAAACGTTCTGTCAGTAAGAGCGCGCTCGCAACTAGGTACGACATACCAGGACATGTCCTGTGAATGGACTTCAAGACATCAGCATCCCTATGAGAAGGAAGACAACTCACCGACGACCAAATCCGAAGGCTACATTGGACGGATTAAAGGCTGGCTCCTTTCCCTCCGTTCGGAGAAATCTTTCAGGCTTAAACTCGAAAGGTTGGTCGTATACCGCGGGATCATGCAATATTTTCCTATTAACAGTGAACGGCTAAATGTAAGAGATAGGCGTCCGCATACCATACGTTTCCCAGGACAAACGATCCTCGCGGGATAAAATAACCAGAGTGAACATCGTCCTCGCTAGCACAGTGGGGTACAGCTGAATCCAAGGTGTGAGCATAGATAATTGACAGCAACATATATATCCACCTGTAGGTCCGACAGTATGCCAACGTGTAACCTCGCGTGTCAGAGCATCGACGTACGGAAGACGGTCTCGATCAGCAAATCGAGGTAACCTATCGTTTCCGACGATCGTGTCTATCTCTGCTTGCGCCTTCGCCTGAACTTCAGGGAACATAATCATGGCTTTGAAGAATGCGTAGATGGACGGTACGGTCTGTTCGCTGTTAGACTGTATATGAAATAAACGAAGAAGCGAAACCTACGGTACCCGTACCGGCTGTCGAAAGAATGAGCATGGAAGGATGGAATTAGTTGCTTCACCGACCTGTGTGAATAGATGCGGCGAGCCACTTGATATCATATTCCTCTTCCTCACTCATTCCACCTTCTAGGTAACTAGACGTAAAGGAAAAGGGAGCCGAACCTGCTGCCTGCAGACTGGTGAGAAGCGCTGGGTGTGATGCATGACGGCTCTTACCATTTGCTGTTTCGCATAACTATAAGGTTTTTCCACCATATCCACGAGTGTTGATCGCCATTCCTTCGCGGTTCGCTTGAATCCTGCCCCAGGGAACCAGTCTGGGAGGTAACGTACTGACCGTGTTGTGTTTAGCCACAAAACGCGTAGCATAAGCCGAGTCGCGTACAGATCGGAACAAGATTGACCAAAAAACCTCCCGGAGTCGTGGAAAGAGAAAATTGATTCATAGCTTCCATTACCAACGCGATGAAGGGATCGTCGTCCTCTTCAATCCCATATCCGTATGAAATCCGCAGGATGATGGCCCCGGCCATTCTTGAAGCAATAGACAGTCAGTATCGCTCTCATTAGAGATGGAACGATTTTACTCACTTCCGAATATGCTTTGGAAGATCTTCCGGTTTAGCGTAAATTCTCTTTAAAAGACGATGTGTCTCTTGTTCCTCGACCGGTAAGAACTGCTCCATTGCCGCCTTTTTCCCGAAAAGCTGATGAATCTGTCGGCGGTAGCTGCGGAAGCGTGCACCGTAAGGTATAAGACCAAGTATATTCTTCCAGCCAACGAGCTCGCCGCCCATCTCTACTATGGGCCTATCAGAATAGATGGAGCCTTTCTTGTCCAAAACGTCCATAGCCATACTAGCCGAGTTTAATATGACTAGACGCTTTCCAGGGGTGGAAACCGATACGATGTCGCCTTATGACGCACTACTACGTGAGTATTGGCAATCAAATTTGTGTTTACATTTTACCGTATTTTTCTCCCCATTTGGCGAAAGTGAGCCATTCTTTCTCAGAGGGCATATCGAAAAGGTTCCCGATAAAGGGAAATCCCTTGGGACCGGGAGGGAATGGCGCGTTGGGACGTTTTTGGTGGAAACGGCGTTCGGCTAAGACGAGAATGGCGAGTGCAACAGTGATAAGCAGGACAGAGAAAAGCATTGTTGAAGACCATAGCACCGTACTAAGGCACATTCTTTTATACTGCAATATTATCAACTTCTTAGTACTTTAGGAAGAGAGAGCTAAACCAACTCAGGTCGTACAAACCATGCTTGCCAACTCGGAGTTCAGGATTACTGTAGGCTACACGGAGTAACCACTGACCAAAATGACCTTTGTTCTAGAAGTAGATATGTTTAGTGTTCATCAGCCGTGACAAGAATCTCTGGCCACGAAAATCCGAGATCTGGAAAAACGGACAAACTAGTACAAGCGACATAAGTCCGGTTTCGTTTTCCGACGACAAAGGGTGCCGACGGCAAAGAAGGACAGGAATGCCTGGATCATGACGAATGTGCGAGCCATATGCTCTTTTGATGAAGCAAGGTGCTACATGGTGCTACGCTCCCCACACACATTCCTAATTCGACTGAAGCCTGATTAACAAGATACTTGATAGTAGCATCGCAGACCGCGTAGGGTCCTGCCGCTGTGACTGACATCACGGTGACAGAAACCATGAAGCGCCTCACGAGTTCAGAACCCCAGGGAGTGAACGAGGGCAGTAAGCATTAAGGCTCGACATCAGTACAGTGGTCCCACAGAGGTGGTGGAGGTACGTACTAGAAGCACGGAGAGCATCATGGACATATTTCGGGAGAATGCACTGAATATGGGATATCCTGAGTAAAAACCACAGTTGTTCCACCAGGGCAGGTTGACGTTCGAAGTTCATGGAAGGTGGGTACAATTGCAGACACATCTGCCAAAAAGCGGTCCCATGGGCATATAAGACGGCTTCTACTCCTGCAAGCAAAGAGGATGTGGACTTCATTTTCGACTGACAGCTTGCACAGTCGACACAAACACCATTTTTGAGGAACAAGCTTCCGATAACGACCCTTCCACCTTAAGACCTCAATTCAATCCCAAGAATGGGAGAGAAGACATGAGAAGCCGAGTGAGAGCCTTTCAATGAGTGGGGAGTAGAAGAGATGTCGGGACAGACAAATCTGCGTGAAATCCACGAAGGAGACGGCCCTTTGGGGAGTGGTCAATAATAAAACTCAAGGCATTCTTTGCGGCGTCTTTAGCAGCATCCATGACATCATCAATGTAGGTAAGAGAGACGCCGTCCCATCAATCAAGGTACCGCGAGGCGGTGGAGAACGTTTATGGTGCAAGGTGCTTAGTGACCGCCTCTGATGTGCAAAGTCAGGAACCGAAGTTGGGGTTAGCCGACTTTTTTTTGCTCTTGCCAAACACATTCTTTTGATAAGACAAGACGATTGGCTCGAGGAATTTCGATAAAAATACGTGTAGCGTGAGATATCCACATCCAATTTGGCCACGACGGATCAGTGGGCCGTAGCCTCGATTGGATGCTCTGTTAGGCCCCGGGATGCTCCCAGCAAGGTGCGTCCGGCAAAATGGATGATTTTGAGCCTCAAATATGAAAATTTTTTGGCCTAAAATATCTAACTCAAACAAGATTTTCGGCGTTCCGGTCGGGCCGGGGATCCCGCTAGGCCAAAATTTATCGTTTTAGGCACTATTTTGCTTTCTGGATCAGACGGTTCTGCTGGATTTGGCTCGTTCTATCGCCTCAAAATATTCAATTACAGCCCTGCTGACAGACATCACAGCAAATGTCTTAACTTATGCTAACTGGGAATACTGTAGACCACAGGCAATGTGTTTTCTTCACTGAATCTACTGCCAGTTTCCGCAAATCAGCATAAAAGTTTTCAAAAAATTTCCCTCCGGGAATTTGGCCACTGCCCATCAGAGGTGGTGACTAAGCACCCTGCACCATAGAAGATCGGAGATTCATGAAGCTTACATGAAGCCTCCTTCCCTTGCCGCACAAGATCAAGTGCAGTGGACAGCGCCAAGCGGCCGTAATGATGCAGAGGCAAAGCCAGATCGGAATGTGTCTTCGGTGATTCTCCTGCCCAATTGAATGTTTAGTGATTGCCTCAGACAATGTTTTCATTCCCATCGTTCTCAGTGTGGCTGCAGATGTGAAAACTGCAACATTGGCTGCTCGCCTGTATTCCAGTGAAGAAGCTGAACGAGGATATCATGCAGTTTGAATACCAGACACCAATGAACTAATGACATATTGTGGTACTGATAATTATGAGAGGAGTTTGAAAGATCATCGCAGACGCCAGTTACACCACCTACACCGTGAAATGGAGTACAATTAAGTCACACTATCCAAGGGCTCTGTCCTGCATCCAGTTCCTTATTCCTCCTCTTGTAAATGATCCTTAACAGCTCTACACAAGCGGCCCCCATCAATAGCACCGCCGCATTCGTATAATGCCCCGTGGGGTACCCAGGTGCTTCGCTCGGTTTGTATATGAAGAGCGCTGACGATAAGTATATGAACGAAGAAATGAGAGAGAGCTTACCGATCAATTGGCCCATCGCTCCAAATGCTATGTACATTGGGATAGCCAATGTGGTCGCATTTGTATCCCTCAGATTTCCTGTAAACCATGCCACTAACGAGGGGGTAGACATGAAGGCGAATGTTGTTCCTAGGCAGAGCATAGCATAGCGTGCTTTGAATGACATCGGTGGCAGGGATCCTTGAAGGGTTCCTCTCGGCTCTGGCATTCGAAAAACTCAAAAACCTGGACGTACCGTGCACAAGAAAGGTCACCCCCGCTAGTGCCATCGACACCATCGCACACATCGACCAGACCCGGTACCTATCTGCTACCCACGATATCGACACAGTCGCTACAAATGCTACTGCAAATGGCGGGACAGTAAATAGCTGTGCATCTCGCCCCTCGTATCCTAATCCATCGACAATTGTTGGTGCAAATAGTGATATACTCGTGAGCGGTACCAAGACCACCAGGTCCGCGAAGTGATGCAAGTAAAGCCTCCAATCCAAAAAAGTGGATTTAGCACCCGCCCACGTCACCGTAGCGTGCCCCACAGACTTGGAGGACTCTTGCTCGAGCCGAAGGATAGCAAGAGCACGATCGTCTGGAGAGAATCCCGATGCCTTCTCTGGGTAGGAGGGCAAGAAGAAGAGCACCAGTATTGCCAATAAGCATGATGGTGCGCCTTCGATGATGAATAACCACCGCCATGCTTCGAGACCACGGTTGCCATTCAAAGCTCCTACCCCATATGCAATACATCCACCGAATGCGGCTCCGAGAGGTCCAGCTGCTATTATCAGCGATAGGCGGAGTGCGCGTTCTTCTAGGCGATACCAACTGCAGAAAAATTAAGCACAATTCCATAAAAGAAAGAGTGTGGGAGAGGCGTACAATGTGAATACATAGATCATGCCGGGTACGAGACCTAAAATCAGATCTGTCAGTCACATACATGGTGTGAGACTCGCTACACACCTCCCTCGAACACTCCCAGCAAGAATCGTAGACCAAGCACTGTGCTATAATTCTGAGATGCAGCAAGGATCATGACAGTTGCTCCCCATCCGAACATAAGAAACGCAAGCCAGATTGGGGGGGAGAAGTGTTTGAGCAAATAATTGGAAGGAACTTCGAATAGCGCATACGAGACCACGTAGATCGCAAGTACGGCAACAAACTGATGGTCGGACATGTGCAAGACCTGGAGGATCGAGTCACCGGTATCAGCATCGAGGATTCTGGCGTTTCCCTAGAATGAAGATGTGTCATCTTTTATCGATGTTGCCGGGATAGGAAGAGGGATACTCACAATATTGACTGAGGCGAAGAAGCTGAGCATGTACATCAACACAAAAGTGGTGATAATTCGAAGGTCAAGTTGCCAGAGTAACCTGGCGCAATACCGATTTAGTTCATGTTCTTATAGAGTCGGCAAAAAAAATACAGACATACTTCTTCTCTGCAGCACGGTCGATAATGCCCTCACCTTTAGCTGCGATTACAGTCTCGCCATACTCTTTGTCATCTGTTGGAGTAGGGATAGCAGAAGAATAGCAATGTCTTGATTCCATGGCGAACGCGACGGAGTACCATGATTTGATGTACGACCTAGTCTTTATATGACCTGGAGGATCGTACGTCAAACTTACTCGGCGTGTGTTGTACTTGTTCGGGCATGTGCATTGTGACTAGGCTTAATGTGCGATAGCCTGTCCATTTGAATGGGCACCATACGAGTCCGAATGCCACAGCCCACGAAACGTATTGATAGTCTTTGTATACAGTCCGTAAACATGTCGGGAACGCCCGTGCCAACGTGCATCTCAGCAGCACCATTAGAGGTGTCACTCATAAGTTTGTTTCATGAAAAAATTAAATAAAGTACCTATTATGAAAAATAAAGTCTCAAGGAAACAACGACCATATAAAGAGGCGAGTAGAGGTAAATACTAAAGGTGCGGGTCAAGTCATCGACACCTCTGCTGTAACTCTTCCGCGGCGACAAAAAATCCACAATCTTGTTACAACTGGATGCGAGCTTTGCTCAGGTATTGGAGGTAAATAGGCACATGGTCCAAGCTCGACGTTTCATCTTTTCAAAGACTTGCTATGATAGGCTGCGTCGACCAGTGAGGGCTAGTGAGGGACAATGAAGCAGTGTGAATTGGTCGACTCCGCTAGTACAAGTGAGGAAGGAACCCCGGGACTTATGTAACCGGAGTTAGCATGGGATCCTACTGAAACCGTCTCGGTTCCTGTACCTGACTTCCTCGCAGATATCATTCATATGCCTTAAATTTCCTGTTGCTCTTATAACGTTTGTTTACATAGGTTTCCTTTACTCTTTCTTTGTTTTTCGTTACGAGTCGGCGAGGTCCACAGTAGTTTACTATTGTTTACCTGAGCTTGTATTAGCAGAGTCGACCAATTTACACTGTTTCATTGTTTCATTGAAGCCGAACTGCCGCAGCTTCCCGACATCACCTACTATTACGTGTGGTGTAGTTCTACCCTGAATCTCATTCTCTATGGCCGCAAGTATAGGTCTATCTTCTATCCACTCTATATACAAGGTCCGCCCTGAGTCATTTAGACTACAACTTCAGTGACTTCGTCGTCTAAATTTGCTTCGCCCTGTTTACACAGTCCAACTGGGAGTCTTCGTCTGGGTTTACTGTGCCCCCTGTTCTAATTCAATACTGGCACTTTTCTGGTCCTTCTTACTCTCAAAGAGACTATTCAGCTCTTGTTGCGACTTCCCTGAATGTCATGGTGAGATATGTTACCCGACAATGACACGTCGCATATCATAGAAACTTTCATTGACCAGTTCGTCCATCTCTCCGCTGCACACGTATGAGAAGCAAGGAGCGTTGAATGTTTTGGAATCTGCCACCGAAAAATGCCCTCAGGCCAAGCCTCGTATCATTCTGTCACTAGTCACTTTGAACTCCCGGGTTGGCTTTCTTAAGTCAGCACTGAAGCACTCGAGTCTCCCCGGGTGATCTAAAGATGCCGTCCAGTACCTTGTCGTCTGTTGACAGCCGTGTCATGCATGCGTTACATTCCTCTGTGGTTCACTAGCAAAACACAACTTGGTTAGTACTAGTTTTGATCGCAGCACTGTATGATTACTATGCCGACGATCTAATACGGATCAAGGTTAGTCCCCTACTTCAAGGTGTCTTTGGCGTTTATCTAATGACGGGTCCAGTTTGCCATATTCAAATGTAAACTACTCCGTGGAGGCAAGATTCATGGCCCTATGCACGATACGCACTTTACGCGATTCTCGGATGGATGAAGCCTTTTCTCAGGCATGTCATACAAGCTGAATGCGCTCACAGCCTCGAGATGACCACATATTGCTAGGGAAAGTACAGTTCAATATACCGAGTTTTCTGTTGTTGCGTTATTGCTTCCTAGAATCAGGGCGCCTGCATCTGATTGCTTGTGAGTATGATGCTCGCGGCTCACCTCTCTGTGGACCAGTTTACTGAGGTCGTTTGGTAGGTTTATTCGCTTCCAAGTGACGACTGAGCCCAAATTCATTGGCGGTCACCCGATCCCAGCTCGTACCTCCGTTCTGATAGATGTGTACACCTTGGGGCGCAAATCGCCAGTGTGGGGGGATGATGGCGATGCATTCCGGCCTGAGCGGCTCGCGAGCTTGCAGCCTAGGCTGTTGAAGGCGACGTAGGTATATGCAGCGGTAGGTTTATGTACACCCCGACCGCAACCTTGTGAAGAAGTTCGGTCGTATGATGATTATCCGTGCTGGACTTCTAACAGACTTCTTTTATTCGAACTGAAATGTACTATGATACGTTGCCCGAAAAAAAATTTGCACCCAGTGCGTATAAGTCGCCTGTTCTTTTTTTACATCTTGCCGAGTATTGCCGAGTGGCTGTTCCCGAGAAATGTCCAAATCGGGCTTATCTGTCTTATCAGATAAGATGAGAAAATAACGCAACTGGCGGAGCTGTTTATTTCTCTGACTCCTACCTATCCTGTCAAACATTTTACAGCCTATACATAGCATTGAACAGCGAAAACAGCGCACAAAGGTAACAACTGTTAACATACAGCACGAGTTGGGTATTTATCCGATTAATAGGTGTCCAGCTTTCTGCATTCTCATTCACATACTGCACCTATTCGACAATGTTGGCGACAGCGTCGACCCTCAAATTGTCCTCCAGAGTAGCGCGGCATGTGCTTATTGTTGGTGGTCAGCGACAAGGAGCTATTCAGGCCGTACGCAGGACGCCTGCTCGTGGCATACAGTCAGTTGCTCAGACAGATAGGGTGCGACAAATATTGTATTCTCAAAATATACCTAACGCTCGCCCAGGAAACTATCACTCGTCTTCTCTACTCCCTTGGAAGCAAGCGAGAGGTTGAACGTCATCTGCGCATCTTTTCGTCGTCGTCGCATCCCTCACAGCCCGCCAAGTTCGCTGTCATCAAGGTTGGGGGTGCTGTACTCGATCAACTAGACGAGTTGGCTCTGAGCCTGAGCTTTTTGTACCGTGTTGGATTATATCCCGTCGTCATTCACGGAGGTGGACCGCAGCTCAACGAGATCATCGAGCGTTCTGGGGTTACGCCTGAATACATCGATGGAATCCGAGTCACAGGTAGGTGCCAGCTTTAGCTACATGTCACTTCTAACACCTCGTGTAGATGCCAAAGTACTTCAAGTTGCTCGCCGTGTTTTCCTAGAGGAGAATCTCAAATTGGTCTCAGCTCTTGAAGCCCTAGGCACCCGCGCACGTCCTATCACCTCAGGCGTTTTCACCGCCGATTTCCTTGACAAGGAGAAATATGGGCTCGTGGGAAAGATCACAAAAGTCGATAAGAGGCCGATAGAGGCTTCTATCAGGGCGGGTGCACTGCCCATCCTTACCAGTCTCGCTGAGTCGCCGGATGGTCAGATCCTCAACGTCAACGCGGACATAGCCGCCGGTGAACTGGCAAAGGAGGTCGAACCTATGAAAATTGTCTTTTTGAATGATAAGGGTGGTCTGTTCCACGGTGTTACAGGAGAGAAACTCTCCGTGATCAACTTGGATGAGGTCCGTAGTTTCTCCGTTTCCCCCGAACATGCATTTTATTCTCTATCAGGAATACGAGACATTGATGAAAGAGCCTTGGGTCAAGTACGGAATCAAGCTCAAGCTTCGTGAATTCAAGGAGCTCCTTGACCATCTCCCACGCTCGTCGTCCGTAGCTGTCATATCAGCCTCCTCTCTTCAAAGGGAGCTCTTCACCGATGATGGTGCAGGAACCCTTATTCGTCGTGGTTATAAACTTTTCAAGCATTCCTCCATCGACGGCATTGGAGCTGACAGGTTCCGTCAAGTGATTCACGATCGTGATCCAGAGGTCCTTTCAGGCGATCAAAGCGTCACTGGAGTTCTCAGCGAGCTGAAGGAAACACCACACACCATTTATGGTGATGAACCCCTCGACGTCGTCGCAGTTGTCTCTCACCCTGAAGGCGAAACTCCCGTCATGACCAAGCTCCTTGCTTCGCGAAACGGAATTTTGAACAACGTCATAGACAATGTTTTCAGCGCCATCAAAAAAGACCACCGACGACTCTTCTGGACCGCACAAGCCGACGATGAAAATCGTGCATGGCATTTCGAACGTGCGGATGGAAGCTTCACGCGAGCTGGCAAGAGTCTTTTCTGGTATGGCGTTCAAGACGTCCATGAGGTGGAGAAGATTGTGAAGGATTTTGAAGCGAAGGGTAGGATCCAGAGGTCCTACCTTCCTGTTGGTCCCTCTCAGGCTCCTCGAGTAAACGCAGACGCATCTCCCGCTGGCACTCGTTCATTCTCCACCTCCGTTAGGCGCATGGCGCCCGGCTCGGTTCGTGGATATGCGACCGCTGCTCCTTCTGCTCCAGTCACAACGGAGATCAAGCGTCTCGGACTGATCGGTGCTCGCGGATTTACTGGACAGGCATTGACCAACCTGCTATCGCAGCATCCTTATTTAAACCTTACACATGTCTCCTCGCGCCAGTTGGCTGGATATCCCTTGGACGGCTACACCAAAGCTCCTGTTACGTATACCAACCTCTCTGCTGATGATGTAGAACGAATGGAAAAGGATGGTGAGGTGGATGCCTGGGTTATGGCACTGCCAAACGGTATCTGTAAACCATTCGTGGATGCTGTTGATCGCGGATCCAAGGAGAGAAAGACTGGTTCAGAAAGTGTTATCGTGGATTTGAGCGCGGATTATAGGTTCGAAGACGGGTGGGTTTATGGACTTCCTGGTGAGGGTTCTTCTACCAGTGTATAATCATCCAAAGTGAATAATGAAATATTTCTTTTTTCTCAATATTTTGGATTGCGGCCGTAGAACTGTATGGTCGCGACGCGATCCGATCCTCCAAGCGGATATCAAACCCCGGATGTTATGCCACATCTGTGCAGATGCTCGTTGCGCCCTTGGTTAGTTATATTGAGCCTGGTATATGGCCGACCGTATTTGGTATCTCTGGGTATAGCGGGGCGGGGACGGTTACTGCGACGGATCCCAGTGGGAAACCGATTAGTTTACCCAAAGTCGATCCCTCCTCTCTTGGTGGTGGCGTACATCCGTACTCGTTGACGGATCACATCCATGAACGTGAAGCAGGACGACATCTGTCCGACTTGGTGTCGTCTCCTATCAAAGTGGCATTTATTCCCACTGTGGCACCGTGGTTCAGCGGCATTATTTCGACACTTTCGATCCCCCTCAAGGAAATTGTCACCGCTAAGGAGGTTGCAGATTTATATCGTGAGAAGTACGATGGAGAGAGGCTCGTGAAGATCCAATCTCAGGTCCCCACTCTCTCTGATATCGAGGGGAAGCACTCTTGGACTGTCGGAGGATTTCAGGTGCACAGTGAAGGAGATAGAGCTGTCGTAGTCGTAAGTCGTGACAGTTTGCATCTTCGTATCTATATGAACACTTTGTTAGGGCGGGTTGGATAACCTTCTCAAGGGTGCAGCAACACAGTGTTTGCAGGTTCGTATCGTCATACCAGGACATCGATGCTTGTTAACATATTTTGTAGAATCTGAACATTGCACTGGGTTATGACGAATACGCGGGCATCTTAACTAACTGAACGGCATCTACTTGTTCGATAGATCGTTGTCAAAGAAAAAGTATTCTAGTTCAAGTTTCGCATGGAATAAAAAATTATTGTCATGTGAAGAATGGTTGAACAGTTGAAACCATGTATTTAACCATTGGAAATCAAAGAAATCAGGGTGGTCTCTTACCATTTTGATGGACTTTATTGTCAACCACGTCATATCCCACACCGACCTTCTGATAGTGCTGTGTATAGCTACAAGTACTAGAGTCTGAAATATTATACATGAACTGTACGCTGGCGAGACGACGTACACGGGCGAATTCGATCATCTCGAGAGTTCTCGCCCAAAACCGAGAAGAGGTTTCTCCTTTCGATCCAACATGCTCTTCACCTGCCTTCCCACAACACCGGGAAGCTCTAGGTACACGTGCTGAAACGAGTACATTCTTGTAGACCTGCCTGTTCCACATTCATACGCCTCCGAGCATGCCTTCATAAAAAGTCCACAGGCTTCCTCACCAAGCTCTGACTTGATGCAGTCAGCAACGTATTCGTACCCGTCTTGCTGGCCTCGCAAAGGGAAAGGGAACTGTTCATGTTGCCCGAATAATAGCATGAGGAGTTGCGAAAAGTTGGCTTTTTCAATGATGTTGGTATAATTCTCGATCTCCCGACAGGGTCCGTTATGCGGTTGACTCGTTCCTAGGCAAGATGGACTATCGTGAGTCAGTCGACCGTAAAAATCTTCGAGATCGCCATCCGTGGAGACAGCAATGAGGACGATATGGGGCTGTCCAGCCCATGGTGACGAGATGATTTCGTCGTGGGAGACAGGAGTGACATCGAACCAGTTGGCGTTGCCTATTGCTGTGATGTCTTGATCTTTGACGGACTGACGTTCGTCCCAAGCATCGGGGTTCCGGGTAACGCGATGTAATATGATATGATAGCCTGGAAGACGGGAATGAGATATCAGGTAATGGGAAAGGACGGCTGGCTTACCATCTGAACAAAATCGCTCAATTGCGACCAGAATCGGTACACCCTTCGTCAGCCAAGCCACACGGACAGGTAGGATTGATAGGTAAGAAGAAACGCAGGCAACTTGACGAGTGTTGGGAACAGCGTAATTGCTGCACAGCCTGGAGAAACAAAGGTCAGGATTAAATTATAACCAAAATATAATGCTAACCTCTGAGCCGCTGGACTGAGGCTTAATGCGACCGTAGCTTTCTTCATCCAATTTACTGACATTTGGGAAATATATACTTGCATGGTCTCGCACTCGTTGACGAGCGCCGTCTTCTTCGCCCTGTCCCCTGGACGAATAAGGCTGGATAACGACACACTCTCCACCAGGTTAAGCGCCTCTAGTCCCGCTTCGGTCTCGGTGTAAGAGAGTAGAGGTTCAACCCGAATAATCATGCCAGCGGGAGGGCCTGGCTTCAAGATCACCCTCTTGGGAATCGAGAGTAGATGCGAAAACGTTAAGAAACGAACGATAGACCAGGCATCGGTGGGATCCCAGCTCACGTCGATGGTGATCGATCGGTGACTGCGATTGGAGGATGATGAAGATTCAGAGGTGTCAGAGGAGGGTGATTCAACAGGTGAGAAGGACCTGTCAACGATAGCGTCCAATCCGGAGATGGCATTCCCCTCACTTCCTGTGCCCAGACCAACAAAAGGTGCTTCCGCTGCAGGCGTATTTGTCCCAGATGAATTCGAGTTGGCGTCAACCAACGTCATGAACGCACGAAACCCAATCTTCTGAAATATGTCAGATAGTGTGATGATAGATGCAAAGCCTAAAGGGCCTGTATTCCCGTTAGTCTTTGCAAGGTTTTGTAAGAGAATAGCAGTTTTCACTCTACTCTCCCTGAGTAATTGAACTGCTTGCTCGAGGAATCGCTTCTTCTCTGGGGAGGAGGAGACGTCCTCGATGAGATCCCAGAGCATCTGAGCGCGCATATGGCAAGCGCAATCGCCTACATGCGGATCGAACGATGCGAGGACATCTGAGCATGGCTGGACGTGATTGTGCGAGTTGGAAATGAAAGAATGAAAGATAGAGAGAGCAGTTTCGATGGAGTGAAGGCCGTGCAGACAATGGAGAACCGTTCGACCGACGTCTTTGCGACGAACAGGTTTGTCAGGTTCGGCGAGGAGTAATATCGTGGCCATGATGTGGAAACACCAATAAAATAACAAGATTCTATATGTCCTTGAGTATCCAACTAACGCTCTAAAAAATTCCAAGTATAATTTGGGTAAGCACAAATATGCACAGTCCCAAATCATCGGACGTGATGCATGGAAGGTTAGAAGTGAGTATATTGAGAGTCCACGCAGCAAAATTCTCTGCGCACCAACGTGGGTAGCGCTCACGGTATTGACTGTTATTGGTAGCTGCCTCGGTGACAATTCGGACTAGACCGATGTTAATGGTGTTGACTCAAAAATAGAAGGAAGATCTTCACGCGACTATGGCGACGGGTCCGGGCGGTGGAATTTCTGTGGGGGTACTCAGGTCTCCTCGTGTTGAGACGCGCGCACTGTTACGACATCCGAAGCTGTACTGCAATATCAATTACAAAGTTCATGATTATGGGAAGAGCGTACCCGGAGATGCTAACACCCGGAGAGCAAAGTTCTCTTTGCGAGGATATGAGTGGACTTCGAACGCGTCATTGTAGATTTATTGAGGGAATCTGACAATACTCAGAACTGCTCCACCTTGCTCCCACCAAGTAAATTATGCGATGCTTACGCAAAAGGGGGAAATTATATGAAACCGTGGAGATGCTGATTTTCCGTGAGGCAGTGTGCTTGGCACAAGAGCGTAGATTGAAATGTTAGCCATAATGACGGACCGGGGTCACTTGGAGAACACTCCGAAGCGTCCATGAAATGGCGTCGCAGAATCTCTACATCGCATACAATAATAAGACACAGATCCATCTTCGACATTTCGCTGAGATGAAAGAGCATTGCTAGTGTGCAGACAAATCACCTTATGCATCGTAGCATGCCCCTTGCCAGCTACTATCCAGAACTTAATTCAATGTTAGGACGAATCAGAACGTTCTGACATGTCAACGTTCAACTCCGGAAGAACTTCGGGCCTGACCGCACAATCATTTTGTTGTCAAAAAGAAGACGAGACGAGACGAGAAAATACGGTGGTGGTGGTTGGACACTAAGTCAAGCGTGACGCTGTTCAAGGCTTATTACCTAATCCATAGTGTTCAATTCGAACGTCACGCATCAAAATCGGAGAACGGAGATAATTTTTTCCGATTTCTTTTGGATTTTTTGGGGCTGAGAATTCTTGGGTCGCGTTCGAATTGAACGAAATAGTACAGTAATGCGTATGCAGCATAAATCATACTATTTCAAGCGATAGTACATTCAATAAGTGAAGTAAATCCAGGATTTCTCCAAATATTTTCAACTTTCAGACCCGCTTTTCCCAAAATGCCCTCGAACTCGCTCTCCGTCCTCTCCATAGCTCCTACCAACGTCATCATTTGCATGGATACCATATACTTGAACCGGTCACTATCAGCATCTAAAATAGCTTCAGCAATGTAAAGTCGGGAGTCAGAGATTTCTTTCATAGCTGAACAGATAAATTGAAGGATTCGGACGCAATCGTCGTCGGACCAGTCGTGAAGGATAAATCGCATAAAGTAGATACGACCCCCATGACAGTCAATTGCGGGTTGCGGAGTGAAAAAATCGTGCGGCATAAATGTCACCCGAGGCTTGCATTCCGGTGCATGCTCATCCCAGAACTACGTTTATAATCAGTCAAACTTAGTGAGTATATAAGAACAAAATCCTCACCTTGGGCGCAGCCTCAAGAACGGAGGCTCTGTCCTGAATAATCACTTTAATCTTAGGGAATCGACGCGTAAACTCGATCCCGGCGCCTCCGATCCCACCTCCGACATCGATTATGGTGATCTCCTCGCCATGTTTAGTCCAGTCGTATCCATAAATGAGGGACCCATGGAGGAGAGGTTCTGCACCAATCATAGCTCTATTGAGACGCTCTCGGGCGGCAGTTCCATCCGGAGTCTGATAATATTCCCAGATCGATGTACCCCGCAGGATCTCGAATGGTGTCTTGGAAGCACCCTCAGTCTTTACTGCCGGGACGATGTGCACACCTGCATGATATGCGTCGTCGCACCTGAACAGGTGAGAGATGAGAGATAGAATCAAAGAAATGCCAACAAAAAAATGACTTGCCAATGACCAACAAAGCCATGCAAGTTCTTCTCGTGGGCAGACAAGAGAATCGAAGACATTCGGTTATTCGCAAACATGTCTGATCCAAACGTAGTCTCTCGAAAGAGACCACGGTTTACCAAAGTCCGCATACACTGGCCTGGTCGACTTAAGTTAGTACGTGAGAATAGACGGAAAAAAGACATACGAAGGCGAGTAGGATCGGCATCAACTTTGTGAGCGAGTTCACTTAACGATACTTGCTGCGCCCCCAAAGCATCCGCGACTCCAAGTTCTGAGACGACCTGGAGAGCATTGCTCTCGTGAAAGGCTCCTCCGATGGTAGTGATGTGCTCAGACGGATCAGCTGCATATGACGCTAGCTTATCACACAGTTGTCCAAATTTTCTGTATGCGCGAAGAAGCGACCCAGACGACGGAGCAGCCTGGCTGGAAGATACGAGAGAGGGATCTCTGGAATCGATGTTTGTAACAACTTCACGTTCAATATCATTGAGGAGAGTATGGAGGTGAGCCACAAGAGAGGTAAAGCTGGGAAGCAAGGCAGAATTGTTACCGGCCATTGGTCAATGTCTTTGCCGAGTCGATGCAACTCCTCTAGTATTTAGTAGTATAAGTGCTTGAATGAGTCAGAAAAGTCCCGAGCTTCGAGGTTCCATGCAACCTGTAGAAATTTGGATAAGTTACACCCTAGCCGGCCCTTGGGAAACAGCAGTACGAGACGTCGATACATCTTCGAAGTACATGAGGGTGAAGAGGGTGATACGTCGGAAGTTGAAATGCCGCCGAAATCAGAAGAAGTTGAAATGCCGCCCGAGATCAAAACAAATGGTAAACCGCGTCGTCGTTCAAACCGAGCAAGACCGAGCGTGGTAGAATCGAATTTGATTGAAGTTCTGTTTACCAAGTCCAATGCATACTCTCGTAACTTAGCGTGGATTGAATCAACGATATATGGCATTATGTAGTTTCCTCGTTCGGGATTCCTACAGTCTTGCTTTCCCATTGTTGTTGCAATATGGGTGCCTCTGTCCTCATCGTACGTGTCTGTATTATCAGCCCTCCGAGTCATTTTCCTCACAGTTCACAAAATATTGCTTAGGTCGGTTCTGGACTCTCAGGTATACATTTATCTTCTACAGCATAGCTTATCTGATGATTTTATTTCCTCAAGGCCTGGTTCTTGCTCTAGCACTCTTGCGCAACGGTGTATCCGTCCGAATCATCGATAAAGCACCAAAGTTTGGCGTCGGCCAACGCGGGTGCGGAATCCAGGTAAGTCTCTATCGACACAGTACTGAGTTGTACCGACACCATTCTTCCAGCCTCGTACACTCGAACTCTACAAGATTCTCGGGATTCTTCCTCAAGTGCTAGAGCTTGCTCGCCCTGTCCCAATCATACATCTACACTCCTCTCCCGAGGGAAACAATCCCCCGAAGATTTTGGATCTCAACGCCGCAATGGAAAACACGCCACTGTATCCATGCGTATGTCAAGCCCTGACATCTGTCGTGTAGCTCACGCATTATATACAGATTAACCCTATGATCTTGGGTCAAGATCGTCACGAAGAACTCATTCGCTCGTACCTACGCCAAGAGTACAATTGTGAAGTCGAACTTGCCACAGAGCTAGTCTCATTCGAGCAACAAGCGACGTGTATCATTGCTCACCTTTCTCATGGGGGTGGAACAACAGAAACCGTTGTATCGGACTGGTTGGTCGGGACTGATGGCGCGCATAGCACCGTCCGCAAGCAGCTTGGTTTGACATTTATGGGAGAAAGTCGAACTTCAGATAGTCTTGTAGTCGGTGATGTTCATGTGAAAGGTGGGTTGGGGGACAGGGAGGTAGGCCATCTCCATTTGCTCATGGTGGACTCTCATGATGATGTACGTCCGTTAGCACTGGCCCTTTTGGGGAAATGATTTCGTTCGCAAAGTGTAGCTGTGTTCGTTTGGTTCCTGTAGTCATTACTCTCTGACAAAACTTTGACAGTGTAAGCTTGCGACCCTTCGAAATCAAGGACGACGACAGATACAATTTTATGATGGGGGGTCTAGACATTGATCACGATAAAGTCGCTTCGAGTCGAGAGGAACTTATCAAGCTCTTTTATGAAGTCTCCGGAAGAAGGGACGTCGAGTTCGGGGACCTGATATGGATGGGTATTTGGAGGTACTGACAATAGATTTCATCGATGACGCTCTTTCTGACGCATAAACTAGGCCGAACATTCGTATGGTTGACAAGTTTGGTAAAGGAAGGGTCTTCGTTGCTGGAGGTAGCCGTCCTTTCTTTAAACAGTGTCCTGTGTTCAACCATGTCTAGATGCTGCGCATGTCCACCCTCCCGCCGGAGGTCAGGTAAGTCACACCAGCGCCCGATTCTCATTCCATCTCACTCCTCATTTAGGGGATGAACTCAGGCGTTCAGGACTCGGTCAGACACTGTTATTCTGCATATGACCTCATTGTAACTTGTTGTAACAGCTCAACCTTGCATGGAAGCTCGCCCTTGTGCAGAAGAACATAGCGCCCGTGAGCATCCTCGAGTCGTATACGCAGGAAAGAATGCCAGTCATTGCGTACATGCTCAATATGACGGATGGGTTGATTAAATCGACGATGAAAGAGGGCGGCACTGGTGAAGGGTTTTCTCGAGATTTCAACCTCCGACAGCTCGGTGTCAATTACAGAGGGAGTACCCTCGTCGTTGACGAGAAACATACGAGACGAGGTGAATTCATTGACCCTTACCGATCAGGCGAAGATGGGACTGTTCGAGGAGGGGATAGGGCACCAGACGCACCCGGTCTGGTCGCGGTCAACGATGACTCCATATCGACGAGTCTATTCGAGATTTTCCAGTTCACCTGTCATACCGTCCTCATTTTCTCCGACCCGAAGGATGATCAGTCGGACATCCTGAACATATCCACGTCGTATCCTCAGGGTCTCGTTCAGAGCGTAGTTATCTACCCGCAATCAACGACGCCACCTTCCATGCTGGCGGTGCACCGACTAGCTGATCATGTATTTGCCGACCGAGATGGATTCGCATACAAGAACTACAACATCGTTGGTTCGGACGCTACCAAAGTCGTTGTAGTAAGGCCTGATGGATACATTGGCGCATTAATAAGTGGCGCAGATAGTTTAGCGAGCTACTTCGGGGCTATCTTTTTAGGGCAGACCATGTTTTGATGTTGGCTTCCGGCAAGTATCTAGTAGTAGAACCGTTGAAACTAGGAAAATCTGTAATAAAATGATTGTATGCCAGTGAGAAGGTCATCCATCAATGGGGGCACGACACAGTGGAAGGAAGAACTGAAATTTGGAAAAGAAAAAAAAACGGGGTGTAGATTTGGTCCAGTTTCGTCTTCTGACGGCAAAGAAGAACGACACGTCGCTGGAAACTGTGTGGGTTCAAATCTTCGTGAAGTGGCGGTATGCCCCACCGCCTGAAGCAGCCTGAAGCCTTACTGGCAAAGCTGAAACCCAGCGTCTTCGAAGCAGGAAGGAAAGGGCCACACTACGCGCACGCACGTGCCAATTTTTCTACCCGGTTCCCGAACCATAACGTACGAGTAAACTATAAAGCAGCTTGTCAGCTACTGAACCAGTGTGCTGCGAGATTCAAGCTGAACCATTCCATTGTATCTGCGAACCAGAAGATTCGGAGAAATGAGAAATGAGATCTCGAAGTTCATCTGATATAGAGTACTGTACCATTTTGTTCAATTCGAACGTCACGCGTCACAGCGAAAGAAAACTGAGAACGGAAATAAAAATTTCTCGATCATTCCGATTTCTTTTGAATTTTTTTTTGGTCGAAAATTCTTGGATCGCGTTCGAATTGATCGAAATGGTACAGTAATATACTAGTATTCCTCTTAACAATCGAGGGGCAGACAGTGGGCGGGTCGAAAGCCATTAGTGATGTTGCAGCAGCAAGCTGCAGCAAGTCACAATTGAGCTTAGTCAGCACTTTGTCCCTTGCGAGTCTGAGCCGCCGAGCGTCTCTGCACATTTGTTCAGGCGTTGGAGGCAAAGTCATATGCTCAAAGGGCCTCTAGCTTGATGTCTCATCATTTTTCAAAGGTCTTGCGAATCGTGACGATATGTTGGCGATTGTGCTGCTTAACAATGGTAAATGCTGCTCACCTGGTATGAAGCTATTTGCGCCGTACGAAAACAGGACTCGGAGACGCTTACTACTAGCCGAGATTGCTACCGGGGCTAACAATAGACAGGAAAACAGTTCCACAAATGCTACCAACTCGCTACATTGCCTTCATTATAGGCGTTACTTCCTACACGGTGTCTGGATCTGCATTGAACCCCCGTTCTCTAAGTATCTTCTGTCCACTCTATATTCAAGGTTTCCCTGGGGATTGGCTCATGTTCAGCTGCATTTGATCATCCCGACTACGACCTGGGTAACTTCGCCGTCTTAATTTGCTTGGCCTTTTCAGGGTCTCTGTCCCTCACTGGTGCATATTATTGTCTTCAGAAGATATGTAAGTTCCATATACTTCTTATACATAGACTTAGTACATACTTCTGGAAGTGTGTCTGACTGTGTCAATGGAATCTGTGATCAGGTGTGCCCAAAGCGTACCTGATGTTTTTGCGGTTCAACGACCGTTCTAAAACCTATCATCGATGACAGAAGACTTGTTGCTGTATTGGGATTTCAGGAGTCTCCGCACAGAAGACTCTGTCCGGGATTTCTATAACCCCTTGTCAAGCTAATGCCCCTTCTTGAATTGGTGAGCACTATTCAACTCCCGCGGTGACATTCTCGAATGCCAGGGTACCGATAATAACGCGCCGCATGCTAGAAATTTTTTTGACCAGATCTTCAATCTCATTTCAATGTGGAGCATCCGTGGTCATATCCAATCGCCTCGCTGCATGCTACGAGAAGCAAGGAACGTTGAACGTTTTGGAACGCGCCCAGAAAATGCCCTCCGTCCAAACACCACACCATTCTGTTACTAGTTACCTTGGACCCTGGGTTGTCTTTTAAGAGTCGATGTTGAAGCATTCGAGCCTCCATAGGTAACCTAAAGATGCCCTCCAGTATCCTGCAGTCGGTTGACTCGACCGTGTCGTTCAAGCATTACATCCTTCTCTGGATCACTGGCAAGGATACAGCATGGTTAACACTTGCCTTGATCGCTGCACTGTATTACTATGCTGACGATTTCATACGTTGGATCAAGGTTTGTGGTCTGTCTCAATGCATATTTGACCTTCATCTGATGGCGTATCTAGTATGTCGCATTCAAATGCGAAGCACTTCGTGGGGACAATATTCATGGCCCTATCCAGGATACGCGCATTACGCGATTCTCGGATGGGTGAGGCCTTTTCTCGGGCATGTTATATAAACTGAATGCACTCACAGCCTCGAGATGACCACATATTGCCGGGAAAAGTACGGTTCAATATACCGGGTTTTCTGTGGCTCGATACCTGAAATGTATATTTATATTTGTCTATGTGCTTCTTCATCCTCATCGGCTCCTTGACAGTGTCTTGACGAACCCAGAAGATGTGCGCGCTTTCTACAGTCGCGATGGCAGGGCTCACTTGAAGAACCACAACATTGGATTTGGAGATTACATTGGAAAGTTAGTGACAATCTTTCCTCGAACAGAAGTAAATCACTAACTTGATCATAGAATGTTAGGCCACTGCGTGGGAGTCAAATACGGTAAAGATTGGAGTAGACTTCGCTCTCATATCGATCCGCATTTCTCCTCCTCTGTTGCTATCGATTTGCTGCCTATCATGAATGCGGACGTCTCGGAATGGCTGAACACATTACCCATGGCGATGAAATCTCCCAACGAGCGTACAAAATTCAAAGTGCAAGCAGGGGAGCTTGTATCCCATTTACCTCTGAAGATGATCGCCAGTGCGATCTTCGGTAGCCTGCTTAATGATAAGGTGCATCACTCATTGAAAGACCAAGTTCCATCTAACGGCGGCCACTACTAGCTTCGGGCAGAGCTGATCGATCTTTTTATCCTCCATGAACGCCTCATGACCCGTGCAATCTTGGGAAAATTCTACCAGTGGACTCTTGCGAGTTACCTACCTACTGAAGCTAATCGCGACGCACAAGTTTTCCAGAGAGATTGGTGTAATCTCTTACGTCGTTGTGCGCGAGAAGCGGAAGAGGTGCGGGATCCCCTTGTATCTTCTTTTCCGACGCACTCACGACAAAACGAATTAGCGAAATATCAAAACTGCAGTATCCGAGCTATACAAAACGATGCAAGAAGGTGGAATGTCGTTTGTTGAGTATTGTCACTCCGTCGACGAGATCTTGTTTAACAACGTCGGTGCGTATATGATCCTTTTTATTTTTATACCCTCGGAAGCCTAATGAAACATTTACGAGCAGATGTGACAACGATCCATATATCCTGGATCCTCATCAACCTTGCTCAACATCCCGACGTACAGAATCGTCTAGTCCAAGAGATCAATACCGCGCTCAAAGATGACACCCATGGCTCCAGATCTGAGAGGACGAATGCATACCTACGTAGGACGGACAGCTTGTTGCATTATTGCTACCTAGAATCGGGGCGCCTACATCCGATTGCTTGTGAGTATGACGCTCGCGGTTCACCTTTCCGCTGATCAGCTTACTGAGGTCGTTTGGTAGTCTATTCGCTTCCCCAAGTGACGGCTGAGCCCAAAGTCATTGGCGGTCACCCGATCCCAGCTCATACCTCCGTTCTGATAGATGTGTACACGCTGGGGCACAAATCGCCGGTGTGGGGGGATGATGGTGATGCATTCCGGCCTGAGCGGTTCGCGAGTTTGCAGCCTACGCAATATCGCTACTCCTACTGGGGGTTTGGTATTGGCCCTCGTGAGTGCACATAATGCCTTAGATGCATGCTATATACTAATGGCAACACAGGTAAATGTGTGGGTCAACACCTCGGGGATAAGATTGTGAAGAGTGTGGTCCACCAGATCGTCGAGCGGTACACTGTCTTTGTTGAAGGCGACGTAGGTATATGCCGCGGCAGGTTTATGTGCACCCCGGCCGCAACCTTGGTCTTGGAACCGAAAGAATTTGGTTTGTGAACATCGGCTACCTCGACAGTCTTTGCATTTGGTCAGAACCTCGAATCCAATACTACTCATATGTTTGCAGAAAACCCTTCCTGTTCGCTTGGTGCTCCAGACAGTAACCTATATCAGTTTACGTCGCGCTCTTTAATATGATTCTTGATTTTCAATTCCTTTTTTCGGCCACCATAGTGCTCAATCAGTGCTGTTTGGTCGGAAGATCAATGAAGCTCGCAACACATTCAATACTGAATAGGAGATGAATTACGGCTTGTCTATTCGTTCATGCGGGTCGTTCCATTTTGTCATGGAAGACAATATCTTGAACGTTAGGCTTGGGCAGGGAGGAGTGGAGTCACATCAATGTCCAATGGCGTAAGAGGAGGCCTAAGCTAATATGAGACAGGACGTTCCTGATTTGTCCTCTTGTCACCGAAACCATTACATGCGGAAATATGGCACTACCTGGCACCAGACTGGTCGGTTCTCCGAGATGGGATTGGTTGAAGATAACGTGGATCGTGGTACAAACATATCATATTCGGCTATAGATTAAGAAAAGTGAAAAAACAAAGCTTCGGCGATAGGCGTTCTGTCTATGCTTTACCGAATTCAGGCAGTTTCGATGTTGTGTCGACTAAACAATGATACTAGTAACTTACTCTATTCCACAGACGTGTAAGTCGTGGATGAAATTCTCACTCCATTCATCTGCAGCTGACGAATTCCGTGGAAATCAAGACGCCGAATCCTATCTCCTTGACCAGGATCTAAATCCGACACGTTCCAGTGAAGAGAATTAGGCATGAACCCAGAAACATAAACAACTAGTAATCGTAACAACGGTTAATTCATCGCCTGTATCATAGGCAGGCGAGACAAGAGGTGCTATATCTCTGAGAACAAGACAAAGATCATGACGTAGCCGGACAACTTTAAAAGTTAAAGTAGAGGAGGACGACTTCTGTTTCAGCGATATCCAATCCAGATGCAACCTGAATGGTCTCAATATTCAGCTCCCCTTGTGCTCGCGCATCGCTCGTTTCATAAGTTTGACCGCCCCAGGTTAGCCCCGAATCGTCGTCGGCATGCCTGAAATCATGGTTCAGAAAATAATGATCAGTTTCCCGGCAAGTACCAGTAACTCACCCGATTGCTAGTCTCTTGACCTGCATAGTTGTCGGGAGCTGTCCATTCCCCGAAAACCCGAGATCGAGATGAATACTCGACCGAGGGGTAGTTTGTGTTTTCAGGTATGCTTGAGAATTTATGAGGACGGCCCGGACGAGAACACCGCCTTCGTAAAAAGCGTATCCGGCGATACGAGAATTGGCTATTGACAACTCTACGGCCTGAGTCTGGCCAGAGTTACCCATGGCCTCTCCGATTATAATTGCGGCATAGTACTGGGGTTGGACATGAGGCGCCACAGGTTCGGCGAGCGTGGAACCATTGAGGATGGATCTGGTCAGTTGGGCGGGCTGGATCTAGCAAATAAGATATAGATAATTATTAATGGGCCAAGGGAGTTGTCGGTACCAAGTTGTATTTGTATCCTACGCCTTCGTGGAAAAAGACCTGGGATATTCCCAACTGTGGCCTACGAATAAAATTAACCGCTCAGTTTACTCAGACCTAGAGGAAAGAAATACACTCACGCATATAAAGCGTAATCCAACGTCCATAACGCAGCCCCAGCGGTATTGCTAACGCCTGGTGCGCCCTTCGGTACCACATAAGATCAATACAGGCGGAAGCACTGATTAACGTCAACGTACATGGCAGGCGTAACTGTTAGTTTCTCCAAGGATATAATCCAGGCCTCGTTTGCGCGTTTCTGCGATGTCTGGGGTAAAGATCGAAAGATTTCCACGGATGGTACTCTTCGTCATCAGATCCTGCAGAAGACCGCCGCTACCTTCGCAGAAGGAACCTGAATACCGATGCTCCGAAAAACTTGATAACATGTGTAGCGCTTGCATTGAATTCAGGGGAATAAGATCCTACCTCGTAATGAAGGCGCCCGGTTCAGAGTTGAGTATACCAGCGGCGTAGATAGCCTGTGGCGAGAAGCCGGTGGTTGAGTGAGACGAGCCAGCAAAGCCGCCAACGAGGAATTTTGTCTGGGATGCCGATGAAATTCCTATAGCTTTGGAAACGTTATTGGCGAACACAATCCACCTATGATATGCAATTATTAGTAAATTTATAACATGCAGGCGAGCAATGTGAGATGCTTACTCTTGCGTATAATTAACGGGAGTCCAGTTGGAGGGACGTGCACCGTTGTTGACATACAAGTCAGCTTCATTACCGATCTCCACAAAATCAAGAGTGACTCCAGCATCTTTCATAGCAGAGGATGAAAACGCTTTCGCAATCGAACGCGCCTCGAGATATGCCGCAGTGAGGTTCTTCTGTCCAAAATTGACGCCCCATGTTACATGTGTTCCTACAAGTATATGATCAGCCAGATATAGCATATGGCAATTCGGAAGTCGTACCAGAGGGAAGAAAGCTGGCTGCTTGATAGAAACCGTCACCAACGGTGACATTTGTGGCTTCGGAATAAGGAACCGTCGTAGAAATAGCAGGGAAGATCGTCTCTGAAAACTACCAGTCCCAGGACGTCAGCAACAAGTCACAGAAGGTCTAATGGAAGATTTACCTCGACGTTAGGATTGAAGTTAGTATGATCCTCGCTGTCAGCTCCAATTCTGATGTTAGGTGGTGCCCCAGTAAGGGTTTTCAGATTATCCAAGGCGTTGTATAGAAACTGGTTCCTCGAGGTCGTGCCAGACCAGTCTGTCCATCTATCCTGCTCGATGGAGAATGACAGGAGACTGGGAGAGAGTTTCGGAGCATTGGGTGGCGCCGAGAGTGGTAGGGACACCTCTACGGCTACCGACGCTGTAGAGGCCAGCAAGGAAGAAAAGCAGAAAAACCAAGGTTGATGAAAGAAATAAGGCATGCTTTGGCAGCAGTAACTGCGCCTCTGATAGAGGATATATACGAAAATACCTAGTCCTGTGATCCAATAGAGACAGCCATAACGGTGAAGCTTAGATAAAGAAGAGCGCATATTTATGATCTCGCGAAGTTCACGTCAGTAGGGATGTAATAATCGAAGAAATTGGCGCAAGGAGCGGCGGCGAGCTTCCCAAAAGTATGGGATTCGTTTGCAGTGCGGTCAAAGACCCTTGTTCGCATGGTAGCACAAGTCAGCTGGGCGCGGCGCTGGATGCACGTGGCAGACACCAAGGTAACGCCGGTTCCGGGCCGGACGGTATGATGGCTGCATGCATCATGTCGAAAATTCGAGTTTGGAAGGCTTCATTGAAAGGTAAATCATTGCCCTTCATTTCGTTTATTGACAGTTAAGATATCTAGAGGACGCAGATACCACACAGGTATCTTCCCAAGTCCTCCCTTCATATAAGTAAATGACCCGTACACCTTCATGCTATGTGTCCATGTAACAACTGTCCTACCTCAAAGCATCTTACCCCTGGAATGGTACTTTTTCTCTTTGTGTTAACGCCGTCTTTAGTGCATCAGAGCGTTTCCAAGGGGAAGAAATGGGGACAGAATGCGAATGTCGTTAATGCCATTGATCATTCATGAACTGGCTGATGGTTAACTTGATATTACTCGAAATGCTGCCATTCTGTACGTACGAATTCCTTGTCAGGCTTGTCGCCTTGGACTCAACGCAACACAGATGCCAAATGTTATGATTAAGACAACAGACGCTGATCTGACAGCTACGGTCGACGACGGTCGGTGAACCTCTGAGCCTTCAGCATGCGGTCGGAGTGACGTTTTACCGCACTGGTATTCTAACTGCTCTATACATACGTTCACCGCTGTCCATGCCTCGGCACTGACACATGACTGGGACCTGTTTGAAGAATGCCAGATTTCTGTGGTTTACCATGTCTTGACCACGTCCGAAGCCCGCTGCCTCAGAATGTCAAGGATGATGCTTTAATTCTTGGCTTCAAGGTGCTCAATAAATGTTGAAGACATCCCTTTCCCTCTATAATATTTTCCAGTCGCGGTTGTCGTGTTTATAGATACTTTCCGCCTATTCTAGAGTCATGAGTACATGAATTCTGCCAGAGCAGGCTCGCCTGTTAACCTGTCTTAAAAAGGAAAAAAAGGGCCAGCCTAATATTTTCTGGAGAGAATATTTCCACCAAATTGGGACACTCACATCGTTCCAAGTACCATGGCAGACGTTCGGGCGCTGTTGAAGGCCAAACGTCAGGAAGCGCGTATCTCTCATCCTCTAGCGTCGTACTCTTCTTCTGGCCAACTTCGATGCTCTGCCTGTGGCACTACTGTCAAGCATTCTAGCGCATGGGAAGGTCATTTGGGTAGCAAATCACACCGAACAACTGTAGCTCGGCTGAAGGAGGAGGAGAGGAAGAAGGAAGAGCAGAGATTGAAGGAAGAGGAGGAGAAGAACAAGCTTTCTTTGGGCAAGCGCAAATCTGCTGATGAAGACGTCGACATGGCAGACGAGCCAGTCGCCAAGAAGTCCAAGCCCAGTCATGCACCACAGGGATTCCCTGCTGATTTCTTTTCGGATCCCTCTCTTGCGCCTGCACCTTCAACGTATGAAGATGGTTCCGATGACGAGGATCAACCAGAAAAACCACTGGCTGCAGCATCCCAGAACCCTCCGTCAGGTATTGACAAAGAATGGGAGCGATTCCAGCGCGATGTCATCAACGCGACTGAGTACCGGGAGACCTACGAAAATGCTACTGTATTCGCGGAACCAGTCATGGTTTCGGAGACGCCTGAAGGCTTTCCTGTACAGGAAACAGAGGCGGTGGTGGTTGACACAACACCTCTCGATGAAGAAGAACGTCGCAAGCAGAAGGAGCAGGATGAACGTGAATTAATCATGGATAGACTACTGGATGAAGAGCAGGCGCAGGAAGAAGCTGACATGAAGGTGACCGTGATGAAGAGCAGACTCGACGCGCTGAAAAAACAACGGGCGGCGGCAAAGGCATCAAAAGTTAAGGCGAATTCATGACTGCTGTACGTCTCATCGCTTCAATTCAAATAATATACATTGTTCATGCCCTTGCATTGATAGCGTTCAGCGATAATTTTGTATCTACTATCTCCTCCTTTTTCTCACGCACACCTATCCACTGCAACCAATCTACACCTTGCTTGTGTATCATCATCAGACCCAGTATCAGCGGCAAATACCACAGACTATGTCGGAAAACGACCCTGGCTTGCTTCTCGCCGCCCTGCTGCCACCATTTCCACGCAGCTTGTACACATACAAGGTTTGGGGGTAGCGAGGTCAATGCAAAGGCCCATGTTGTGAGTCCGGAGAGAGGAACGAGGATGGAGCATATAGAGGTTAGGAGTATGGCATGACGCAATGCAACAAGGGCATTCTTTTGAGGGTTGAGTACAGATAGCATTCGGTAGCCTGCCTGTGCATATGAACCTCGGACAAAATATGACAACGAGTTGAAATGCGGAAATTGCCAACTAAAGAGGAGCAGTGGGAGAACGAAGGGAGCCAGGGGACTGTCGAGTACTGATACGTCCACTGGACTAGATGATAAAAATTCGGGAAGAAAGAGAGGAAAGGAAGAGGATATTGGGGGAAACAGCTGTCCGCCGCAAGCTGTCCAGCCCATGGCAGGTGGTATTGCTCCAACGACGGCACCGACCCACGTATTCCATATGCTCTTCCGTTTCATCCAGGTGTAGATGCCGGCGTAGAGCACTATATTGCTCAAACCCAGGATTGCTGTCGTTGGGTTCACCATCGTCCACAACAGTGCCGGGCCAGCTATTCCCGTAGCTACTGCGAACATGGTCGTGTGAAGAGGGCTAATTGCCTTTCGCACCAGAGGGCGCGACCGCGTACGGGCCATCTGCGCGTCAAAAGGAACCTCTTGTAGCATATTGAACGCATTAGCCGACGAGGCGCACAATGCAGTTCCAATCGCCGTCGATAGCAGAGTCGGGACCGTCGTAGGAAGTGGTGAGAGCGCGACGCCACCCATCGCGGTTAGACATACGAGTATGCTGAGATGCGGCTTCGAAAGCTGCGCATATATCCCAAGTAATTGAGACGGAGAGGATATTTCGACCTTTTTGAACGCCGATGTCGGCACTCGCGGCGACACTGGCTGGTTGAGCCTCAGTAGCTGCGGACGACTGGACGTCGTGGATTTTGATGCAAGCCATTGGCCATTGTGGAAGAAATACGAAGAAAAGGCAGCATTTGCGACGGTGGAGGTGTGTCTTCTACCGATACAAGCTGCAAGCCACATTGTGGGAAAATCAGGAAATTTCCTACCTAAAACAGAATATTACCTAATATTTTGGGGCGGAGACTGAAATAACCAGCGTTCGCACTGGTCGTCGACGTTGCCGGCTTGCTACTCGCCAAAATGCCTGGTACGCATCTGCTTCCACCAAATCTGCTAAAGTTATTCGCTCCTCGGCCACCACTACCATATGCACGACCTCTCGATAAGGACATTAACCGTGTCAAAAGCAAGAATGTCTCCGGTGTTGCTGCAATCCTGGAAAAACTCAAGGAGTCAAACACGGAGAAGCTAATAGCTGGAAATAAGGACGGGGATGGGATGGAGGAGGGAGAAGAGCCTGTTTACACCTATGCGGAAGAAATTAAACGTCAAATAAGACGTGAAGAACGGCGAAAGCGGAAAACGGAGGAGTTCAAAAATGCTAAGGAAGTTTGTAAGTATTCTGCGCTTCTTTTTTCTTGACAATACTCACTTGATACCCTTTTCCATGCAGATAAACCTTCTGATGATCCGGAGGCGGTTGGTGACCCATACAAAACATTATTCATATCTCGTCTAGTGAATATCTCCTTCCAGTTCGAGTCGAAGCAATTTCTGACCTTTTTTTTTTCAGCACAAGAGCGCTAATGAAAACGACTTGCGGAGAGAGTTCGAAGGTTATGGTACCATCGAGAGAGTACGTATCGTCCGTGACAAAAAAAGCCGGAGTCGAGGCTACGCTTTCGTTGTCTATGAACGAGAACGAGACATGAAAGGTGTGCAGTCATAGAGAGATATGATCCGAAAGTTGCTGATCGTTGCTTCTAGCTGCCTATAAAGAGTCCGATGGTCTCCACATCATGGGCAAGCGAATTCTTGTTGATGTCGAGCGTGGTCGAACGGTCCGTGGATGGAAACCCCGCCGGTTGGGAGGTGGTCTCGGTGGCCGACCTAAACGTGTAGAAGTGCCTGCTGCTCCACCTCCTTCACGCGGTGGTTTCCGTGGAGGCTTTGGCGGCGGAGGCCGAGGATTCGGTGATCGTGGTGGAGGATTCCGTGGTCGTGGCGGGTTCAGCGGCGGACGTGGAGGGGGCTTTGGCGGCGACCGTGGAGGGGGCTTTGGTGACCGTGGAGGAGGTTATGGCGGTGACCGTGGAGGAGGCTTTGGCGGTGACCGTGGCGGCGGAGGCTTTCGTGGAAGTGATGGAGGCTTCCGGGGTGGTGGCGACAGAGGTCGGGATTTCGGCGGAGGCGGATTTAGGTATATTTTCTTGTTTATCACTCTATGTTTTGATGCTCACCTTTTCCAGGGGTGGCCGAGGGGCTGGTATTGGCTACCAAGGTGGAGGCGGCTTCAATGATCAGTCGAATGGATACGGACCTCCTTCCGGTGGTGGGTATGGCGGCCCTCCTGGCGGTGGCTATGGACCCCCAGGCGGCGGGTATGGTGGTGGTGGGTATCGCAACGACCTCAAGCGTGGCGATGGGCCGGGTGGTTACGATGATAGAGATTCCAAAAGGCCACGATACTAATCTATGGTCATCTGTCGAGGTATCTCTGGTTATCCTGTTCGGCTTCTTTCCTGTCAAGGTAAAAGTCTACCCCCGGGTAGGATTTTACGGTTGGTGTTGTTCATTTTTATTTTTTTTCCCTATTATTCCGCGTAAGTATCTATACGTCCCGGCGGGCATGTATATGAGTGTCAGGCAAGTATACATATGGTAACGAATTTGATTGTACATGTCCCTTTTGTCCCCAAAATCTGACGACTCTAACCAAGTTTCAAGCACAAGACGTCGTCGCGACATTGACAATGGCATAGCCGCGTTCGGGTTTTGGCGAGGATGACGCTCATTGGCAATTACAACGGACATTTCCGAAACTGATTAATGACCGTACTCAGAAAATTAGCTTCGCGGGAGGCGATTTCAAAATCTGGACGGTCTGGCTACTTGCATCTCGACAGTCTTTGATTTACAACTCGACGTCAGGCTTTTTCCTTGTTGTCGGAGCCAATGCGACATGTCTACGGAGGCCCGACTTCTCCCCGGTACTTCAGGCCTTTAGGGGACTGTCGGGTGATTTGGATTTCGGCCGTCTGCGCGTTTATCAATGTTCTTTAGATGAAGTGAAAACTGACTCGGCGTTACCCTATTCTTTGGGCACTGCTTTCTTTGTGTGTTCCACTCGAGAAGAAATTGGGGGACCGTGTCCTTGATGTTGTTATCGGTGCCCCCGTCATCAACGTAGCATCGTCCCTCCATGTGACTGCGCGAGAATCGTACATTCGGCGTACGTCTTGTTCACCGTTCCCCACGGAGATTTATAAAAGTTTTTGCGGTAGATCTGTTGGCTTCTAAATCTTATTTTTTGGTCGGTCTTCTTGCCTGCCCTTTCTCGGGTTCGCACGCAGTTACGATGATCCATCTGATTTGTTTTCACGTGGTCCACTCGCAGACGCCTGCGTACACCGCTCTTTGCCGCTATCAGGGTGAGTACCCAACTGTGCAGAATGGACAGCCAGGCTCGGTAGCATTTCATGACAGGTTTGTTTTGAGTACAGTCAAGCAAAACTCTCAGGGCTGTCGGTAAACGTTCCAATCAAACTTTTCTCATAACAAATTGCGAACATGCATTTGTGCTTGACTCAGATATGTCAGCGAAAGGTAACAGGAAGGACGAGCAATTGGGACTAAACAAGACAAAAATCTCGTTACCCGGTTGATCAAGATTCGAAGTACCCTAACAGGTAACTTGCTACATTCAGGGATGGTTCTGATGCGATTTTTCTTGGCAACGTCCGTCCATCCGCCCGCCCAAGGCCGCCTCGACCCGTTGAAGCCCCTGCAGACGGACATTGACTCGACCTTTTGGCTTCCTAGATGACATCCGTGTGCATAGTGCCTCCGAAATTTTAATCTGGTGTACATACACCCACCCCAGTCCCGAACTGAGAACATGTTCCCAACGTATTCAAGATTCGGGCTCGTGTTCCTGAAGTTCAGCTTCAAGTCAGGTGCAGACTGAGATAAGCACCGCATCTAGATCCATCGGTCTACCCTGAGCACACTGACGACGTGCCGCGTGCGATGGTACACGGATCAGATCCCGCTTTCCTGTTGGACATGGCCATCTTTTAGCACGTCGGTTAGGTTATATGGTCTCTTTTTGTCCATTTCATGATGAAATTTTTAATGTGGACAGTCCAGACGAATTTTACGGGGACAAGCACACCGCCACCAAAACCGACGGCTTATGCCTTGCACAAACTAGACACCCCCAACCCTTCTGATCCCTATGCCACCAAGTTCCTAGATCTGATCGAACTTCTCCTCCACGGAATTCAAGTAGACTCTTTTTTTGTGTATACATAATCTCCTAACATCCTATCTTTCCTTCACCTGTCAACTCCCCCCAGGTCACTACTCCCACTCCTCACCCTCACCGGCTAAACATAGTGGTATTATTAGTCTGGATTAATCCACGAGGACCGTGGTACATACTTTCTCGGCCTTTCCCCTCCATTGTCGCTACAAACGCGCGCCTGCGTCGCGGAGACCCGAAACTCACGTTATTGCAGAGGTGTGGAGTTATCATTCTGTTGAATATCTTGGACGTCATTAACGTGAGGGTAAACAGTAGCCGGCGACATGACCAGTCGGCGAGCGCCTATGACTCGGTCGACACGTTCCTCTCTTCGAATTGACCCAGCCTCTTGCCATGAATCGGATGCATCTGGTTCGCCTTCTCCGGGAGTGGCTGCTACCTCCCAGTCTCCGGATACGCCACTAAATTCCAATAGACCTTCCCCGAGTGGTTCGGATTCAATCGACGACGAGAAAGACAAGGAGCCGGCGTCTGGTCCCAAAAGGTCTAATTCTTCCACCTCCATAAATAGCAAAGGCGAAAAGGAACGACGAAAACGCTCGCGGGTAACGGCAGAGCAGCTCGTCCACCTTGAGCAGTTCTTCGCCGTCGAACGAAGTCCGACCGCGGCGCGTCGGAGGGAAATCAGCGAAATGCTTGGCATGGAGGAGCGCCAGACACAAGTTTGGTTCCAAAACCGGTTAGCTCACTGAACACTTGCCGGTCACACTTGCTGAAGTTTCTCTCGCTAGTCGCGCAAAGGCGAAGATGCTGCAGACCAAAAATAAAGACTCCATTCAAACGGTCTCTCATCACCCCGTACCGCAGCAACAAGCAGACATCATTGTGCCTGAATCACCGCCTAAGCTGCTAACCGGCTTTCAGGCCGACTTGGAACGGCTCATTCATGAGAATGAACGTACGTCGTCAATAACACCCCAAGAACCCAACTTACGACATTTCTCTGCAGCAATAACGATCATTCCATGTACAAACTTGTCTATTGGCACATGGCGACGCATCGCATCAAGTATAAGCAAGCACGACCTTGTCGCCTATGTTTGCGAAAGTAAACAGACCTTGGCTTGGTTCATCTCATCCAACGGCTGCGGCTTCAAAATGGAGATTCCTTTTGACACTATCGTCGAGAGTGAATTTAACAATGCAGGACCCGGGTCAGGTCTTGCCTCTTTCACCCTGTCGCGTCCTCCGACATTTTTTCTGGAACACACAGGATCCGCCTTTAATGAGGAGCCCCGCCGTCGTACTTGGTCTCCAAGTGCTGATTGGACAGAGGCTTACCAGGCTACGAACGTGCTACGCCACGAGATTGTTGGCTCTGCGGTGCAGCTCTCGCATCTCGTTCAGGCCCTTCAAAACAGGACGCAGACTTCTGTCATATATCTCCATACTCCTGCGTATAAGGGGGCTCCCTCAGTTGAGATACCGCGTCCTCCGATGGGAAGTCTAACGGACCCTCAGACTGTGTATTCCTACGCGGCTAGTGGGCAGCAAAGCGCTGATTACCAGGCGCCTTCGTTTAATGGCGCTCCGACCATGCCTCCCACCTCCATGGGTTATGCGCCCAAGCCCGTTAACACCGTCGTACCCGCTGTGACCTTCACACCGTCAACATTTTCCGCGCTGAGCACCGCATGTGGGATCCAAGATTCCTCTAGCTTCGGATCACCGTATACTGAGTACCAGTATACTGCCGGACATCAGATGGTGACGGAGAGCACTAGTGACTACGGTCAAAACATGTCCCGGGGTGCCCCGCCGACTCATACCGGACCATATCTGGCTCAGCCCGTCCCCCGTGCTTTTTATCGGGAACATACCCAGTTCGAACCCAGTTACCAGGCCGAGGGGACCACCTCTGAGTATCAGATGAGCGCACCGGTGGATCAATACGTCCCGGCCTCCCCCCCGATTTTAACAACTCCATTCTATCCGCCTACAAGCATCACTCAGACGTACTCTGATGGTCAAGGTGCCGTAACGCCAGGCGTACCCGCCATCAAGTACGAAGTTGATGATGGCTCCCTTCTTCACTAGATTTAACGCCGAACGGCGCCCAACTCCCAGTCATTCATTTATAATGCTGCATTTTTCACACTGTAACTATAACATACTTTCCTCTCCTGGTCCTTTCATTTGTCACTTGTCGTTCGCCGCTTTCGTCGTCACCGCCCTCCCGAGGTCTCTCGTTATGGACTAAGTATCAATCTTTTATAATTTCGTTACTGATTCATATTTCACTTTGTAGCCCACATATATCGCATACTTGATTCACCTGCTTTGTTATTACGTGCAGATATGTACCTTATACTCGTTTCGTTCTTGCAAGTTGTGCAACTGTTGTTGATGCTATTAATAAAGTCTCTACGAGTACTTTCCACACTGTTCGAACAATGAAGAACATTCCTACGGAGTTTTCTCAAAGTCCGATGTGATCGAATCCAGCCTCTCCCTACTGAGCCTAGCGGTATAAGATCGGCTAACAATGTTGACTGTGAGATTTCAATTTGTCAGATTTCTCAACGGCAGATCAATACTGGACATCCATACAAGTGTCCATGAAACGCTCCATGCATCTTGTCAGGCATGTCTGGTTCGGGGTCAATTGTGTATTACAAAAACGGAAAAAAAATCCCTCACTTCTTCAGAACTGCTGAGGGAAGCCCCAGGCCTAGGAACACATGCCTTGAAACAACGCTCGTTCATGTTCTATATCCGAAACATTTAGGTATTAGTTGGGGGGGAAACAAGCGAGTACTTGCATTCATGAGCAGTTGAGCATTTGCCTGCGCAATTTCCGTGCGTACGGCATTCATTATTTGTTCCTTCTTCTCGTTGTCTGGCAAATCTGTAAGCATAGTCTAGGCAAGTCGGTTATATGCCGCACCACTGGGAGGCAACGAAGACGACGAGGATTTGGATCCAAACGGTGACTTGAAGAAGTCCGACATGATTTTTCAGATATTCTGGTGTCCTGGTGGTAAGAGATAGTCAACGTCGCGCGGAGACGAAAATATTTGATCGAGGCTAAAATAGGCAATCACTCTTCGTCATCGACGGCGACGCAGACGGCTCCTTCCGCCTTTTCCTTCTCGTCCACCAGCATATACCATGGGTGCAGGAAAGTCGACTGCACGTACAGATCAAGCCGATGAAGTCGTGGACTACTACCAGCTGTTAGAGGTCGACGAGAATGCTACGGCCGACGAATTGAAGGTGCTCCAGGCTGGATCCTTTTGCGTATTTTCCCATTCTTACGGTCTCGAAGCGCTCTTTCAGAAGACTTGCTCTGGTTCACCATCCAGACAAGAACCCTAATGATGTTGAAGGTGCTACGAAGCGATTTGCAGCGATGCAGCAGGCATACGAGGTCAGATCCTCAGGAAGTCTCTTTGAAATATACTCATCAATCCTCAGGTTCTCAGTGATGAACAAGTGAGCTACAGAAAATCACCGGCTGTTGGCAAATAACCGAGCTACACCAAGTAGGAACGCGCGTGGTACGATTCACACAAGGCATCATTACAACCTGAGCCCGATGCAGAAACGGTGTTTGAGGATATCCGCAAGGGTGCCCCACCACCTCGTGCACGAGACAGAGGCCTCACTGTAAGGCACCTTGCCCGTTTTTTTGATGCAACCATTTGGTCTGGATTCGCCGATGACGAAAATGTATGTTTTATCGAAAATAATCTCCTTAGCCGTGTACTGATTTTCACACTATCTCGTCATCCTCAGGGATTTTTCACGATCTATCGAAACCTGTTTGACCGGCTCAAAGCTGAGGAGGCCATGATATCTGATATCGACCTGCCTTCCTTCGGGTATTCTACTTGGACTTGGACACCCGTTCACAAGGGCGAAGACTCGCCCGCAGCACGGACATTCTACAATGTGTGGATAAACTTTGTTACAAACAAAGATTTCAGTTGGTGCGATCAATGGAATCTCACTGAAGCGCCTGATCGGCGGGTTCGAAGGTATCTGTATTTTTTACGTGTATGGTTTTAGAGTTCTGAATAAACCTATTATTTTCTAGACTGATGGAAAAGGATAACAAGAAGGTTCGGGATGATGCGCGCAGAGACTACAATGACACCGTTCGGGTGAGCAAGCCCTTACCTTCTCATTATAATCATGTAACACGGCATTATGTAGTCTCTGGCCAAATTCCTGCGCAAACGTGATCCACGCTACAAGGCCCATCTTGCTCACCAATCGGAAGAAAATCAGAGTCGCGTTGCATCAGGAACTTCAACACCCCATGCTGGTTCTTCCAAGAGACCTGCTCAACCTGCTTTAGATTCTTATGTGGAACAGGACTGGCAGAAGATCGACACAAAAGGAGCACATGATGATGATCTGGAGTGGGCCATCGGCGAGGGCGAAGATCCTGAAGAGTGGGAATGCGTCGTGTGTGGCAAATCGTTTCGAAGCGAAGCAGCGTGGGACAGCCATGAAAGAAGCAAGAAGCACCTCAAGGAGGTCGAGCGCTTACGCCGGGAGATGCAGGAGGAAAATGCTGAGCTCGGCCTCAATGATCCAGAACCAGATTCTTCGGAAGATGAAATTCCGAATCCCCCACGGTCGCAAAGTTTAACTCCTGACGTACCAAGTATAGAAGAAGACCCTACCGCGGTTGCTAGTGCCTCTGATGGTGAGGACCAGCAGGTCAATATCGGCAAACGAAAGAAACGGAAAAGCAAAGCAAAGAAGATGCCGCCACCGGAACCGTTGACGAAAACCCAAAAAACGAGGCAGGAAATTATTGACCCTTCCATTCCAGAGGCGCGAAGTCAACCTCGAGACCAGTCGCAGACCGTTTCTTCGGACGACACGCGACTATCGAGCGTGGCAGTGGAAATGACGAAAAGGGAAAAAAGACGCGCCAAGCAATCGAAGAAAGCTGAAGCTGAGAAGAACGCCGAACTGCAGGTACGATAAGATTTTTCACTGTATTGTCTTGAAACACCGTCTTACGGAGCTGCGTCTCGTGTTAGTTCAAATGTAACAATTGTTTGGACGTTTTCACAAGCAAAACCCAACTGTTTAACCATATCCGGGAAATGGACCATGCCCTTGCTGACGACACTCCGAGTCGGGGGAAAAAGGGGAAAGCAGGGAAGCGGTGAGGCTTCCGGCGGCACATACAGATTGTGGTAGATGGCTAGATTTTGTTTTGAATTACGATAATGTAGATCTCTGCTAATTCAGCTGCGGTACCGACGAAGCAGTCTAGATGCACTCAAAAACAAATGCGCCGCCGACGTTTTTGAGAGATTCGAGCGGCGGACAATTTCCGGAAGAAAATCTTTACCACGGCACCCACTTGAGATTCCCGAGCGTTTTCTCATGATATCACGCCGCTATCATCCCTGAAAAAGGGTTTGTGTATAGGCGCCGAGACGAACACCGAACAGGAAGACCGAAACAGACCCACCGTGAATGACGTTAATCATACCGGAACGCTGCAGGAACAATCCTGAGAACTTTAGCTTCCAGACAAGCCCATCTGTTTGCCGGAGGAGCAAGTAATAATCTGTATCCAGCTCATTTTCGGATGGATACAGAGACGGAGACATATTATGTTTCAATAACGCGTTGTCGCGACGACCAACACATTATGTAGTACCCGCAAAATGAAGAATACAAATGGCAATCATCCCATTCATAGGCATACTAAACTTTATGTAAACGGAAAGGCCGCGGCTCCAAAAAAACGACCCGGAAAACCAAGGACGGACAAGTCATCCCATCAACTGAGATACATCCTCCGGCGGATATTTAGTCTGAGAGAACGTGAGGAGCCTAGAGGGCGAGGAGATATTCAGTATAACTCTGAAACAGCGGGGACCCGCTTCCTAGGACGTACCGTTTCAGACTCTGAATATATTTGCGACTGACTTCATCGTTCAGCACATGCGCGACTTGATCTGATGAGATCTTCTCTCGGGCAGAACGTTCGTGTATACTTAGGAACCGGAGTGAGCCATGGTTTCGTAGCATGTGGAGGAGGGAACAGGAGAGGACGTACCCAACCATGGTCACACCGATAGGCCAGGGGGCGTTACCGATGGACAGGCGCAGATATGCGTCGTTTGCGCGTTGATATTGCCGCTTTTGCATGTGGTGGACTATCTCAGCCATACGGGCTAGGACATCTGAGGGTAATGACTAGAGGAACGAACTCAGGATAGAGTAATAGGTGGACCTGGATGGATTTGTTTCGTACCCTAGAACGTAACTGCTTGAAGAGAGGCTTGAGATATTCTGCAGATTGAACTTGGGTGGCAGCAGCCAGTTTTCCTTGGTGTGTTCTCTTGATGTGGTCTGTCGAGCGAGGTCAATACGTTGAAATGAATGTAAACCAACATTATTCATACCTGGTCGCTCGTCCATTGCCTCTCCCCACTCCTTCAGCACCCGCTTCAGAGCATAGTAAATAATAGGATACAGCTTGTCCGGGTCTGTTTTGACAAGGTCGAGGTCGAGTACAGTGTTGGACGCAAGCTCGGATTCCTCCTTCTTCTTGCCCTTGTTAAGGGTTCCTATACTCTTCATCTCTCTCTCCACATTCTCGACATCCTCGAGGGCCTTCTTGAAATCATTCTGGCCACCTTGCCGGTCATGGCCTTTTTCCTCAATCAACTCTAGCGCTCGTAGCCGGAGCCGTCGGTCTTTGTCCAACTCGGCGAATAGTCGTATTGGCTGGCCCTTGGCTCGCAGTCGGCGTATGGTCTCTTCGACGGAGATGTTGAATGATGATTCGGGTTTGGGTGAGTCAGTGTCGCGTGCTAGTGAACTGGGATGAGGAGAGTTGGACGACCTGGCACTAGCCTGCTCTCCATCAACAAATCAGGACCTAAGCCTTGTATAATATACGCGACATTACTCACTTTCGCTGCCTTTGCTGCAGCCGCCTTTGCTTCTGCCTCTTCCCTGGTCGCTTGTTCCTTGGCCTCTGCTTCTTCTCGCTCTTTGCGTTCCTGTTCCTCCTTCAATCGTTCGAGGTCGCCACGGCGCATATACTTTGTTGGCCGTTCAGAGGAACCGCCCTCCAGTGCTTTTCGTTTCGAGGCGATTTCAGCCTTGAGTGCGTCCATGGTCAATACTAGTTAGCGGTAGATTTGGGGGTCGGTGGTCTAGACAAGAAATCTTACGTAATATATTTCTCTTTCCGCTACCACCCGGGTGTTCGTCGACTACCTACTCGCATCCATCATGTCTGAGGCCTCTGAATTGTCTAGGTATTTCTGTTCTTTGATTTCTACATTTTTCTGGTATTTATCGTGTGCAAAAGCAAATACGTTCTTCAGACCGTTGGGTTCGACGGTGAGCCTATTCGTTGGCAGTGATAAAGAGCGACTGATAGAAGAATCACCAGCACGTTTCCCCAACCAGAACCAGACCCGTAACTGGTATTATCATTTGTGCTGTGCATACATCGACCTATATCTCATGCCTGCTGTTCAGCTTCCAGAACTATGTTGATTACTTCAAGTGCATCAATGCCAAGGGCGAGGACTACGCTCCTTGCCAGCAATTCAAGAGGGTCTATCGCACTCTCTGCCCTAGTGCGTATTTCCACTTATTTTCCCAGTCATTTGCTGATACAATTCTAGATGAATGGGTATGCATCACGTCCACCGTCTGAGTAAAATCATTTCCTGACAGCAATGTTCCTTAGGTCTCCAAATGGGACGACCAGCGCGAGAATGGCAATTTCCCTGCTTCCCTGGACCCTTGAGGCGTGTTAATGCATGACCAGAAAGCAGAGACCGGAGGAAGGCTTTGTACGTTAGACAAGTCCAGTATATTGTTCCCAGAAATACCCTCCAGGTCACGTGGAATTTAACAAGTTCTATCTCTTCCTTTATTCTCTTTGTGCACCGTTAGACCAATATCTTTCCCCGCTCTGGATCTTTTTATTCATACGGGGTTCCGCCTTGTTCCAGTGCCATCATCATCTCTATATTACGTTGATAAGAAACGGCCGGTCAATCACCTCCCTTCCAGCCATCATGGACTACAGCAACGAACCAGAACACTCGGAGTTACTCGTGGTGCAAGCACAAGAGCCGTTCAATGCGGAACCGTTGTCTGCTGCCCTCGTTGAGTTCCAATTGACTCCTGAGGAGCTTGTGTATTGCAGAAACCATGGGCCCGTCCGAGAGTTCTCAGAAGACGATTATACGCTCACCATCAAAGGAATGGTGGACAAAGAAGTGACCCTGTCGATGAAGGATATCAAAACGATGTTTCCACAAACCAGGGTGATTGCAGCGCTTCAGGTGAGGCCCTATTCCGTCGACCATGAATCCTACCAACAGCGATGTGCCTGTAGTGCGCCGGAAACAGACGCAACGAGATGGGTGCTATCAAACGTGTACACGGCGTAGGATGGGACGACGGTGTTATTGCCAACTGCAGCTGGGGTGGGGTACGACTCTGTGATGTGTTGAAGTATACCGGGATCCAGCAGGACAATGCACACGTATGCTTCACGTCGTATGCCACGCTGTGCCAGGATGATGCCTATTACGGCTCTTCGATTCCCGTTGAGAAGGCGATGAATGCTGAGAAGGATGTTCTGTTAGCTTTCGAGGTCCGATTCTGATAAGTATGCTTCGCACCATTTCCAGGCTAATATGCAGATAGATGAATCACGAGGCCTTGCGGGCAGAACATGGTGGACCTCTGCGCCTCATTGTCCCAGGTGTGTTAGGTGCCAGATGGGTGAAATGGCTTGATACGATCATCGTTTCCCCGGACGAGTCGCCCAATTACTATCAGCAGACGGACTACAAGGTCCTGCCGCCGACTGTATTTCTGTTTCCTCGTAACCATTCATATCAATTATTAAATTCATTCATAGATCGAAACCAAAGCTGACGCTAAAGATGTGTGGTCCAAGTACCCTGCCATAGAATCCCTTCCGCTGAACTCGATCGTTGCTTCGGCAATTCACGATCCTTCATCATCGGCTCTCTTTGTGAAAGGGTACGCTGTTCCGGGATCAGAGGGAAATGTTGCATCTGTCGAAGTGTCGATCGACGAGGGTAAGAGCTGGGTATCGGCAAAGATAACCTATCAGAAGGGACGATGGAGTTGGACATTGTGGGAAGTCGAAGTGTTTGATGTACCTCAAAGTGGTACTGTTTTCTCTCGTGCTATTGATGATCTTGGAAGGGTGCAAAATAAAGAATGTATGTGGAATATGCGGGGCGTAGCATACAATGCTTGGGGACAGAAGCGTTGGTAACATTCAATAAGGTCGACATTAATTGACTGGTTAATCTGTATAATTCATGTCGGGATTCTTTTACAGTTTGTTCATTTCATCAAACGCTTTATAAAATAACGGTCGTCTTCCCACGAACCTTCTGGGAAATGATGTCACCTTCCCTTCCTGCCACGTCCACGATCCACGTTCGTCCGCGGCACCATCGCTCGCTCCCTCTTTCCATGGACGTCGCTTGCTCTTCTCCTGATGCCTTTGCTTTCGGTCCATAACTCTACGCCTGTGTCTAGCACACCTGACTGATTCTTCTTTTCTTTTACTTTCAAGATGTCTCAAATTGGCTTGCATATCAATTTTCCGTACGTAGTTGGCTCTTGGATCTTTCTCCGCCCTCACTGACATTGAGCGTTGAACAGTGATCTGTCGGATCCACCTAGATACTTTCTTTGTCGATGTCGTCAGCTAATACACCTGTTTTGCACTCGTCTCACGTTCGCCTGATTTTCCTTGCCCTACTTCCCAGCAAATGCAATATCAGTTCCACGTTGAAATTTCGTATGCAATAAAATGACCACTCACACGAATTTCCTAAAGTATCGGTTTACTCTCTGGAAACTACGTTGCACGCTTGTCCAGCCGTTTTTCACTAGGCCAAATCCTTCTCGCAACTAGCTGAGAAAATGTTACTCATTTCCGGTGTTGTTCTTTCTTGGGACATCTCTGATAGAAAATCTGGGCCAAGGGCTGTATCCGACTTGCGCACTCCTGAACTTGATCGTTTACGCGGATCTCGAAATTAATGAGACATCTTACTTACTAGATGCCGGGATGCGTGTGCCTTCCATCTACCCCCGGACCGTCGAGTAGAAATTTTTCCTTTCTTTCCCAGTCATGACTCAGCACGCGCCGCGTACCGTGTTCCAGTCCTAAGAATTCCACGTGATCTCGTCGATACATAGATGGATACCTTGCTTAGTAAGGTACGTTCCTTCCTTTCCTAGTCGACCAATTCACACTGTTTACATAACTGTTTCCCTCCCTAGTCGCGTATCCTTGTCCGAGCCCTGAGGAGGTTAGTCGCTCTATCGTTTTCCTGTCTCTGTACTATTACTTAGTTTCTCGTTGGTGCAGGTGCCCTTGGTCAATCCGTGCTTTGTGGGATCCAGGATCCTTGGTACATGCGAGTCCCAGGCACTGTACCACATTGCACGGATCCACAAGCCAAAACTTTGACAGGGAGGACAAGGGCACGGTGAACTTTGGGCGAGGACGTCGCTAGAGTGCGGTTTTTCGGCATGGTATGATTACTTAGTGGTAACCCACTCGTAGGTCGTTGGGATCGGCATCGTAACGCGTCCCACCTGGACCTGTCGAGACCGAAATGACCCCGATCAAGAGCTGGGCACCGTTCCACCTGAGAAATCTCAGCCGTCATAAACCGGCTCGAAAATTCTATTCATGTTCACCACCCAAATAAGTAATGATAACATGCAATGGTGATAAGGGTAGGTACACGCGTGAGAGTGAGAGTGTAGCACTACTATACATGCTTTTTGTACATGAGGAGTACATAAGTAGGAATGAGTAAGTGGTAGTACAAAAGTTGGTACATAAATGAGAGAGGAAAACACAACACATACATCTGTGTTGTGCTGCTGCTAAGAGTGAAAAGATGAATAAAAGACATGGATATATGAGGATGGTCATATGGCAGGTGGTATAACATGGATGGCAATCATGGAGTGGTCTAGTAGGAGGGGGAGTTGGAGAGACACCGGTGGTGATGATAACAGTGATTCCGACTCGCGTTCAAACACTCAGGCACCATAGCATCTAAATTGAGCATCAAGAAGGGAACTGGAAGACTCGCTGGCTCAACGTACATGGGTACTTCCTCCACCCGTTCCTCGGCGGGCAAGTCCGGTGGGGAGTTACTGCCTCTCGATAGAGCAGGTGTGACATCACTATCCCCATCGGAGTGCACTGGGGAACCAGACCCGTCTGCGGCTTGGAGCCCCCAAACCAAAACATGCCTGTGCCCTCTGCTTCGTCTGTGGTAGAACTCAGTAGCAGAGGGATGGCATTGGGTTTGGCATAGTTGGCCAGCTTGAAGCCTTTCAGACGATGCCGAAGCGTCACCTCTTGGGAACGGAGCGGAGCTCTCAAACGACTCGTTTCCCACGACGCTCGTCACATATTGAAATTCACCTTTCTTCAATAACACGATTGCCGTTTTTGGACATGTCTGTCTTGCCGAGGCAATTCGTCTGTAAACGATCGACGTCGACGAGCAGCCGTACTACAAATCTCTCTCAGTAACCATCCAGTAACCACCAGTGCTCATTCTCAGTGCTCTCTCCCAAGAAACCTTTTATTGCGTGTGCCATGGCTTTGGGAAGACTCGTTCACTATGCGGTCGACGCAGTATTGCTGTCGACGGTGCTAGCAGGCGTACGGAGGTCAAGTGGGTTTACGTGCGTGGCATTTAGTTTAGTGCCGACTGCTGGCTGATTATGTGCAGCCCAAATACCTCAGCGATTACCGAGCCCACACTGCGCTCAGTCGCTGATACGTTCCTCAGCACAGGCGAGACTCTGTTTGATCTCATCCAGATGAAGTCGATGAATACCGAGTATTTCAAGAAAGACTCGAAGACTGGGTCGAGGAGTGGATAGCGATGGTCAGGGATGGGCGTATGCGTGATGTTAACGTTGAACCTCTCGACTCTAATATCTATCTGTACTACAACGACCGGATCCTAGCAAAACAAATGATTATATGCACGAATAGTGCAAGGATAAATATTCTTTATCTATGTATGCAGGCAATCAAGATATGTTTAGATCTATCGAGCTTGGTACAAACAGTAATAATATCCCGACATGCTGTGGGAATTTGTCATTCAGCCAAGGTTGTCTTCCTACCACCATGGCCCACGATGTGACCCCCTCGGAGAACACCATTGCCGTCGCCTTCGTCGTCGACGCCTCCCTCTCGCTCGCCGCCCAATGGCACTTCGTCATCGGCCAATACGTCGCCCCAATGCTCAAGCGTCTCAGCGAGTCCAATCCCGGTTTCAGAGTAGGGAGAAAATAGCTTATGCTGCGGCGCCCACTGTCTAATTATTAACGACTAGTTTCGTATGGCCTTCGTTTCCTACGGCACCGCAGATACTCGACCTACGCCCTTACTGTGCAAACGGTTCTTCGCCGACTTTCAGCCTGTGACCAAGCTCATCAAGGAGGAACCCTCAAAGCTTGGTGTTGGTCAGTCTTCTTCAGGGTCCCACGGAATGTCGGCCCTAGAGGGCTTCGTTGCGGCGGTAGAGGTTAGCAATTGAATTAGTTTCGCTTACACGCTACACACCTTAACGTAAGGTCTAGATGTTTGATACCCTGCAGAGTTGCTATATACCACCTGATCCAAATCGTCCTCCACTCTACCACATATTCCACATTGCGTCTTCTCCGCCAGACGACGTTGAATTTCCTCTGCACAACCAGCTGCCAGAGCTAGACCGCATTACTTGGGATACTCTACCGGCTGAGCTCCAGAAGGTGCCTGTTTCATTCCAAACGCGTCGGAACTGCGTTGCTAACAGGTTTCCAGAGAAATATTAACCTCAGCATTATCAACCTGGACTCTTCATCACTTCCCAAGTTCTCAGAGCTTCAGTCTTCGGTAGCATCTTCATTTCCTCTGACAACATGCACTTACATATCCTTTAGGCCGCTTCTGGTCAGAAGGTGATGCCCTGGTTTTCAGTGCGTCCCCAGGATACACTCTGCCTTTCTGGATTTCCCGTGCATCAGGCCGCGCCGCTCAAAAGTAATGAGTTCCTTTGCTTTCCGTTGTCACTTGTTTCAACATTTCATTTTAGCGACCCCCCAAAAGCGTCCTCATGAAGTCATCTCTGTCGACGACAAGAGTCCCGATGCGAAACGCGTACGACTTTCCCAACCCAATGAAAAACCTGCGCCCGCTACCGTTGTTGCACCAACTCGTCCCTTACCCCCCTCCCAGCCTCTTGCGAATCCTATTCCGCCCCCACCTCAAAATATACCGCCTCAGATACCGATGCCAGGTCCACAACAACTACTTGATCGCTTCCGACAGGAAGAGACCAAAATGCGCGAGCTAAACAAAGCGATGGTAGAAGCTCGTGGTCGGGGGGACATCGCACGCGCCGAGGCCATTCAGCAGGAGATGGCTAAGAGGCTGCCCCAGCACCAAAAGCTTCGTCAGGTCGTCGCCACCATACTGAGAGCTCCACAAATGGCCGCGATGAGGCAGCAGCTAATGCAAGGACAGCTAGCCAATCAGGGGAACTCGGCGAATGCGACCGCCAATCCAACTACCGAGACCCTGAAAGCTCCACAAGGTTCATCACCCGCACAAGGTTCCACGGCCGCGTTTCCCCCCAGCGACGGAGCAAATCCTCCGGCAAACAATTTCGTGCCGCCACAAGGAATGCATATACGATCTATGTCAAATCCCGGTGAGGTCGGCCAAGGGTTCAATGCAGCTAGGATGCAAATGTCGCCCAGTGCGGCTGCACAGATGCAGAAAGTCATTGAACAGCAAAACCGGACGGGACAACCCCCGCCTCAACATCTAGGAGCGGGCCCATCAAAGAGTTCTCCTAATATGATGGTGAACATGCCTCCTGGTTCAATTACGTCGACGCCACCGAACCATCCACCGAGTAATGCTGCACAACCACCCCAGTCGCAATCACAACCAGCTGTCAAAACACCAGTGTGGCAAGGAACGCTCCGCTGGAGCGGTGTTGATGCAAGTGGGAAGCGGGAGATGCAGGCGCATGTCGTGGCGTACTCTCAGAATGCCGTTGATTGGTGATTATTTCTGTCTCGCCGTTTTGTTGTTTAACTGAGGTTGATTTTAGTCATGCGAATACTTGGCCGCCATCATTCATGCTTACGCCTACGGCACAACCTGCTGTATCCACGCAGGATTTGCAGTTGTGGGTCAAGAAGACGCAACCTGTGTTGTGTACCTTTGCAGCTCAGCCCCGTGTCGCCGACCTCAAGACGAACGAGCTTCATTACAAGTCTCTGATTGCGCTTCTTTTAAGTAAGAAAGTTGTACGTGATATTATTTACCTTTCTCATATATAAACTCACTTTGTTGGCAGTATGCTCTCGCTGCGTGGACGCGGCCCTCAGGCGTCCAGGACACCAACGCCCTGTTGTTCCCCATAAATACTCACGGACTCGTGGGCGCTTTCTTCCCTATCCACGGAATGCCGGAACTCCCCAAGTCCACGAACCCCAATCCCAACCCCATGCCTCCCAACTTTCAGATGCCACCTAACATGATGGCAACCCTAGCCAAGTTACCCCCGGAGCAGCGGAACGCGTTTATGGCCCAGTTTGCCCTGGCTCAGCGGGCTCGTGCTGCCCAAGTGCAAGCAGCAGCTAACAATAACGCTGCGTCTTCGTCGGGGCCATCTGGTTTCACAGCCCAACAGCCTCCACAGACGATTCAGCAGCAGTTCCAGCAGCATCAACTACAGCTACAGCAGCAGCAGCAGCAACAGCAGCAACAGCAACAGCAGGCGTCGCAACAACAATCGTTCGGTGGTGGACAGTCGTATCCTGGGGCTGGGATGGTTCCCCAGGCGAACAACATGATGAACTTTAATGCACAGCAGATACAGATGTCCGCGTCACTCCCGAGACCTGTGCAGCCCAACGTTCAGGGTGGGTTCAGCCATGAGATTTTACAGTCATTTATGCAGCGTAGTGCTGAGGGTGGGGGAGGCGCATAGTCGTAGTCGGTAGGATCTCGGGAGCGTATATATCTTGGTTGTATCGGTATTACTATTCGCAATTTCGCATACATGTAGACTGTATTTTTATTTTGTACAACATAATACCTACTACCATCGTCATTCGGGACGGACGACGGAATGTCATAGCTACGAAAACCCAAAAGCTTCGTCTGTAACTGTACCTGACTCTTGGCGGATTTTATTATTTTTCCCTTCTTTCATTACTCTTGAGTCTTATAAGTCGGTCGATTTCAAGGAGTCTAAATAGGGATGTCATGTGAGGCAGCTGGCACAGTACCGATTCCGAATGCAGTACTTCGTTAAATCAGTATGGGATTCGTGTGTTTGCCATGCTGTAAAGGACAGTTCTGTTGTCTTTGTTCAGTTATCGATGGCTGTCAATACAGGGCCCTCCGTCCTCAGTAGTCCGCCTCTGAGCTTGCTATCTCTCGGTGAGCGTTCGTCGGTTATCTGCATCATATCAGATCCTCAAGTCCTCAATTAATCGACCTTTGCGGTAGATGGTGGCGGTATTCGAGGTGTATCTGAACCCTTAATCCTCGATGAGATTATGAAACGCATACAGACACACCAAGGCCTTCCAGATACCCCCAAACCTTGCGAATATTTCGACCTCATTGGCGGTACTGGTACTGGAGGGTGAGCCGTTATACCTCTCAAATATAAAGCAATGTCGAAGCTTGTCTTTAGGCTGATTGCTATTATGCTAGGGAGGCTGAAAAGGTCTACCGCTGAGGCCCTTCGATCCTACAACAATCTCTCCAGGGTGGTGTTCCAGGCGAGGAAACCTTTCGACAGGCACGGCAAGTTCAAAGCAACTGCACTGGAGAAAGAGATGAAAGAGGTCATTGTCCAGGCTGGGTACAATGACGATCAGAAACTGTTGGATCCCAATGCAGGAAAACACTCGAGGGGAAATGTGTATGTTCCCCGTCGTTTTCCATTCTCAGGATGACCTTCTAATCCGTTTTGATAGTTTTGTGTGTTCTATGACGAGAGTCAACCTTCATTCTCCCCAGCGTTTCCGCACGTATCGAGGGCTCCCAAACCAAGGACCTGACTGTATGATATGGGAAGCTGTGCGCGCTACCACAGCGGGGCTAAATGTCTTCAAGCCGATCAAGATTACCGGGCCTGGAGGTTTCAGTGTCGATTATGTAGGTGCAAGCCTAGAATTCAACAATCCCACACAACAGGTCAGAGACGAGGCCAAGAAACTTTTTGGAAACGACCGCCGTATCGGCGTGCTGGTTAGCATCGGGACGGGCCATACTAGTCCTCATGGGTTCCGACAGTGGAATAGAATGGAAAGAGCACTGCCATCGGAGCTCATTAATGTTTTGCAGAGTATCGCAACCGATTGTGAACGCGTAGCGGACGAAGTGGCAAAGGAATATGATAATGACGACATATATTTTAGATTCAACATTCTTCATGGCGCTGGAGGAATTCCTTTCGATGAGTGGAAGAAGATGAATGAGCTATCGGCCCATACGACTTCTTATCTGAGAGGACCAGAGGTTTCAAAGCAGATAGATCGGGTTGTCGCTTGCCTCTGTCGCATTCAGAAGGAATGGAAGGAATGGAATTTAGTTAACCGACATGATTCTTCAACAATGTGCTCAGAGATGGATCAGTTCACTATTCCAGTACGTTGATTTCACAGCCAGATACATACCGTTTGAACTGACGAGGCATTCTAGACTGTGGATCGTTTTAGCATAAAGCTTCTTAAACAAATCTCCATCGGAAACGATTATCGATTCCATTCCGCCAGCCATAATGGTAAAGTTGTGGCTGTAAAAATCTTTGAAGGAGAAAATGCCGCACAGGTGTGGTGGCTATCTATCTGTCCTCGTCGCCAGGTCTGATATTATACAGCGCTGTAGAGCAACCGCCGAACATGAGGTTGAAGCGATGTGCGTGTGGCTTTCGATTTTTGAACTTCATGAGACTTGACCTGGCTATTTTGCATCTGCGAATTTCCAGGCACTCAAACGTCCTTCCTTTAATAGCAAAGTCGCGCCCCGAGGAACGAATACCCTTCATAATATATGACACGAGTTAAGTGTTGCGATACTTGCAGTGAATGTGTCGGATTTTGAATAAACTTTGTAGACGTGCAAGGAAATGCTGCACAGTTCATTGCAAAAGCCATTCCGTCTAGTGTTGAGGAGTGTTTTATTGCGGGGGCAACGTTTGTATGCCTAATCATTCAGTTTCCTTGATGGAAAGTTGACCCACAGCCATTAGATTTACAGCATTTCTGTACGTGTTCCACAAGTCAAGAAGTACGTTTGCAGATATGTGACCTGGCAATATTGTTCTACCTGCAGTCGGCATTGGATCATCTATATACTCTCAATATTCCCCTCCACCATATTGGTATCAAGGTAACCTGGTTGACACTAACCCATTCCTATCACTAATTCTAAATCGTGTCAGGATTTCGCCGTTTTCATGAATGGCGCTAACACAGTAGTCTTGTCCTTCAATGCTTGTGAACTTTCGAATTCGGCACTTTCACCGTCGAGCTTAAATGATGCAGCTTTCGACGTTTTTGGTCGTTTGTGTCTCCAGGCAAGCATATTCTGGTGACTTCTCAACGGGGCTTCGTATTCATGCAGTTCTGAATCAGACGTTCAACGACGCGAGTAAACTATTATACAGTAAAGCTCTACTCTATTCCTTTGCACCTGAGCTTATCGCGATGTGCAGGAGATCAGTCTGTCCACCTGTTAGATGGTCCCAAGGCTGTGCCTGAAATTCCGGATACTTTAGAAAGCGATGACGATGATTCCTCTACGGTGTCTAGTGACTCGACAACAGATGCTGAAATCTCTTCCGAGGACTTTGGGGAGGTCTCACGGCCGCGCCGAGAGATTATATGGGTGAGTCTCACTGACGACACCATCACCTTGAAAGATGTCTCTCGGCAATACAAAGACATTCTTGAATCATTTCCCTTCTCCCCGTTTTATTTGGAGCCCGAAATGCGCACTGCCGGCGTCTATCGGTTAGTGCATAGATGCCAAGGATACCGACGAGAGGAGGTAACATTCAAGCCTGCAATCTCAGACTGTAAGGTCGTCATGTATGTGACACCTGCTCTTCACGAGAAGTGTGTAGTCTGCGGAAGAGACGTTGAAGTATTCCGTTGTATTTGCGGACGCCGTATGTCACTAGCCAGTCTATCGATGGACATACTGATAACTCGGGCGTCAGCGGATGATGGGTTTTCCCCTACTGTAAAATGCGTTAAATGCCACTTAGTGTGGGTTCATAGCCGGTGCAGATCTAACATTTGCTGGGTGTGCGTGTCGAGTGATGTTGTGGAGCGGGTGCAGCTGGGGCAGCGGCGGGAGCTGGGGCTGGTGGAGCTGTGGCAGCAGGAGCGGTGGCAGTGGCAGCTGGAGCGGGTGCTGGAGCGGGTGCGGCGGGAGCTGGAGCGGGTGCGGCGGGAGCTGGGGCTGGTGCAGTTGGGGCTGCCGGAAGCTGGGGCAGCAGCTGCAGTGGCAGCTGAGGCTGGTGGGGCTGGTGGAGCTGGAGCTGTGGCAGTGGCAGCTGGAGCGGGTGCAGTTGGAGCTGCAGCTGGGGTAGCCGGAAGCTGGGGCTGGCGGAAGCTGGGGCAGCGGCAGGAGCGGCAGGAGGAGCTGCAGTGGCAGCTGTGAGGTTCAGCCATGGGATTTTACAGGCATTGAGGGTGGAGGAGGTGCGTAGTCAGTAGGATCTCGAGAGCGCATATATCTTGGTTGTATCGGTATTACATATACTATTCGCAATTTAGTACTGCACAACATAATTCCACCAAAGCGACCGTCCTCCTCGACTCCCAAGCAGACGAGAGCAAAAGACACATGAACGCCTCTCTATGACACCTCCACGATCCTATCGCTACCACGCAGCACGGCAGCTGTGATTGCAGCGTTCGCGAAGCAACAAATTGAATGCGAATGGGCATCCCTGTGGAAGAACTCAACAAAAGGGAGCTTCACGAAGTGCTTCGACAACGCCCCACCATCCGCTAAGGTCCAACGGCTATACAGCTCCCGTCCAGAAGCCAGCCTCCTCACGCAACTACGCACATCCCACTTACCCTTACATAATAGCTACCTCCACCGCATCAAAGCAGTAAATTCCCGCAACTGTGACTACTGCAATGACCCAGAAACAGTATCCCACTTCCTACTATCCTGTCGCCGCTACATCGACGAAAGGTAGATGCTACGCCGAAGAATAAACATCGCTAACCTCCAACCTCGTCACCTAATCGCCACTGTACCCCAAATCATATACACTCAACTATCAGCTTTGTAAACGCCACGAGACGCCTACCCGAATACTTCAGCACCCTTGAAAACCATCCTCCCCCGTAGAAGGTAGCCCAAGACGTATGCTCCTGAACAGGACGATGTGCCTCCATTGGGCATGCGAGGGGGAGGAATAGTTCGCAGACATACCTCCCACCTCTGCTCCAGAGGGAAGTGGAACATCTAAATATATTCGAACATGTTGTTACTACGAAGTCCCCACGGACACCTGCGAACCCAGATCCTCAAAACCGCGCGTTCCCCCCTCCCCAAACTCCCGAGCCAACCCGGTCATCCACGGCACAACCGACTCTCCCCTGGAACAGCAAATCACCGCGTAGATACCGTGACTCCCCCCCCCCCCCCCCCCTTCCCTCGTAGAACTAGAATATCCGTACTCAGCACTGTAGACACTCATACAAACGTCGCAAGAAAGACGAACGCTCTCCTAGATACAGAAATACCATACTATCGGATTACAGGGGAATCCGAATGCATAAATCCCTCGTTCGCGACGGTCTTGACGGACCACCGGGCCGCAAGTGTCCTTCCTTTTTTGCATGCCACCAGGTCCAGCGTACAACTGGCTCTGCGTTCTTTCGTCTGCTGTTGATATCCTCGGCCATGCGGCACGTATAAGGGCTTCGCAGATTGCTGGACAGCGTTCAGTGCTTGCTGCAAGGACGAAAAGTCGTGACGCGCCGGCGCCGGAGGAAAGGAAAATCACAATCGAGGAGAATGTACGGCCGCTGGAAGGTGAACGACCGGAGGTATTTGTGAGTCTGAACACGTTTGATTAGGTTTTTTCTACTAAAGGTAGTGGGTGATTGAGCCAGCGGCGTCGGCTGCAGCCTTCATTCCTCAGGAATTCTCAGCAGATGTGAAGAGTGTGGAAGAGGTGCGTCCAAATGGATAACCAACACTTTCTCTCTGCCTCATATTTGCTAGATACCACCTATAAATGAAGCGATACCAAACCACAACGAAGACCCAGTGGTAGAGCCAATTTCCTACGAGACCGTGTCCTCGACGCAGTCAAATTATGCAGAAGAAATGGTACAAGCACATCCAGTCCTCCCGACGCGTAACCTATCTTCGTCCAAAGTCCCGTCATCACGTATTGGACGACTCTTCCACTACGGAGGTTCGTTTCTCCTCAATTTGTCCCCCCCACACCCGATATTTATCAATTCTACAGGGCTCGCTGCCTCTCTTAGCTATGGTGCTGCCTCAGAATTGCTCCGTCGAACAGGCGACAGTCAGAACTCTGAAGGCTCTGTCATGATGACCGAAGCCAACATAAAGCGGCTCGTCTCCAAGCTCTCGCAGATGCGCGGAGCAGCGCTCAAGTTGGGCCAATTTCTTAGCATACAAGGTCTTGTTTCGGCTTTGCCGTGGATGGATGTACCTTTCTGACGAACCGAACCCAGACACCCACCTCCTTCCCCCGGAAGTGGATAAAATATTCCGGAGAGTGCAGGATAGCGCGCATTATATGCCGGATTGGCAAATGGAGGTGCGCCTTGGGTCACCTCTGCAAGTTGGGCTCACAAATCCTAATCACAACGACAGAAAGTGCTGCAAAAATCTCTCGGGGCAGACTGGGCTTCGCATTTCGACTCTTTTGACCGCATCCCATTCGCAGCAGCGTCGATAGGTCAAGTACACAGCGCCGTTCTCACAGCATCCGCTTCGCCCACGGGCGAGCCGTACCAAGTAGCAGTCAAAGTCCAGTTCCCCAATATCGCCGACTCGATAGACAGTGATCTGGGCTATATCAAGCTCTTGCTAACCGCGGGCAAGTTTCTGCCGAAGGGACTCTTTCTGGACAAGACCGTTTCTGTAAATACTTTCTTTAACAACTTTGCTAATTCCGGCGCTGATTTGGATGGGATACGTGAAGGTTATGAAACAGGAACTAGCAGACGAATGCGATTACTCCCGGGAGGCTTCATTCCTGCGTACTTTTGGATCACCAGAGTACCTTGGGAATGATCCGCGTTTCAGGATTCCTTGGGTATGGGAGGGAAGTACTGACCGTGTTCTTGTAATGGAACGGATTGACGGGATCAGCGTCGGAGAGGCAGACGTCAAGGCCTTGTCCCAGCCAGACCGTGATACCGTGCGTCTTGCCATCCACACACTTTTCCCTACTTATTCTCCAATCAGATTGCAGCTTGCGTGATTGAACTGTGTCTGAAAGAGCTCTTCGAGTTCCGGATGATGCAGACTGATCCCAACTGGACGAACTTCCTGTGGGATGCGCGTACGAGGCGGATGGGGCTGGTAGATTTCGGTGCTACGCGGACGTATTCTAAAGAGTTCATGGACGGGTGGCTGAGGTTGCTCCAGGCAGCTGCTTCTGACGACTGGGATGCTTGTGTTGAATGGAGTTTGAAGGTAGGATATCTCACTGGCCAGGAAAATCAGGTTTGCTAGCTCACACTGTAATGTTGCCTTGGCTGACATATGTTTTATAGATAATGCTAGATGCACATGTGAAATCCATGACACTCCTTGCCGCGCCGTTTAAAACGTCGACTCCTCAGCCGTACACATTCGGTCGAGACACGGACTGGGCAAACATCACGGCTCAGATACGGGATAATATCCCGGTCATGTTGGAGCACAGGCTTACACCTCCGCCGCAAGAGACGTACAGTTTGAATAGAAAGCTCAGTGGTGCTTTTCTCCTCGCTTCGAGGCTCGAGGCGACAGTCAACACGAAGGATATTTGGGACCGTCTCGTGGGTCAATATACGTTTAGTTAGCTAGAGAATTAGAATAAAAATGCCAACTGAACTTGAATTTTCAAATTTACGCGGCCGATCTCTGTGTTTACCTTCACCTTCACTTGAAAGTCAACCATGGACACCTTTCACTCATTAGTCGACATCTCCAAGCCTTCGCTGTTCCTTTCCCTCGCAGCAATAACCTTCAATCCAACCGCATGGAACATCGTCGCGAGAAACGGCGAGTCCAATTTTTTTCGCCCATCGTCGTCGGTCTCACCATCTCTCCTTCACTCCAGAGTACAGAAACAAAACCATCACGCGCATTTTCGGTGGCAGCCCAAAGGCAGGATGCTACTTCCTCGCTGTGATGATTTTTTCGTTCGGGATGCTACGGGATTATCTGTACGTCGACCCTCGCACCCTTCCCAGTACACTCTTGTCTCACTGCCACGGGTCAGGTACCATGCTGCGATGGCAGAGCAGCCCAAGGTGGAGCTGCTACCAGAGCCGTATAGCAAGGCACTGCCGTTGGCGCTGATGGGTACAGGACAGCTGTTGGTGGTGTCGTCGACGTGGGCGCTGGGTGTCACTGGCACGTTCTTGGGAGACTACTTTGGTATTCTTATGGACCATAGGGTTGAGGGGTACGTTGTTTCCATGTTCTCCGTCGCCGTGTCCTTATCATTAACGTGTACTAGATTCCCGTTCAACGTCCTGAACGACCCCATGTACGTTGGGAGCACCATGTGTTTCCTTGCTGGAGCCCTGTGGTCAGTCTTTCTCCCCCGTTGTCCTGATTGCTCTCACTGATCCTAGATACAGGGAATCTTCTCCTGCAGGACTGTTCATCACACTCTATGTATACATTGTCTATATTATCGCTCTACGATTCGAAGGGTACGTCATCGAGCCTTACCGCAAGATCAGCCACTCATGTCTTACATTCCAGACCCTTCACTGACATGATGTACTCAAAACGCGCCGAAGAGCTAGCCAAGGCGTCCAAGAAAGATTAATGAGTTTATGACGCGACATGCTGACTCTCATCAGTCATATTCTAGATTTTCGGGAAGCAGGCTGGTTTCAACTCCAGTGTGCGTGAATAAATTCCCTAATATCACTCTCTTGAATTCCGTATATACATCACAGAAGTATAAATTTAATGTCTAGATTTGCTGCTGTGTACGAGCCCACCAACCTTATTGGACTACTAAGAATGCAACTGCAACGTCGACCACGGTCTCAAACCTAGTTACATTCACAACAGCATATAATACATCATACATACACGTCAAAATCGATACACCAAAAATAAAATGGGTCATGATAAATGTACCTCAACTCACGTCCATATCAACGTCGCCCTCAGCATCGACGTCAGCGTCAGCGTCAGCATCGGCATCAGCATCAGCATCGTAGGTTGCATTCTCCGAAACAGAGCGCTCCTGGCCTGCATCCTCGCTCGTGCTAGCCACAGGTTCTGATTTGACCACCTCCATTTCCTTCTTCTTTTCACCTTCAGTATCACTTTCCATCTCCTCGAACGCAATCCTAGACGCTCCATTTAATACTAAATCCTCAAGAGGAAAAATCGAGACGCACTGAAACGCTTCTTGGCACTCCCGCAACAGCTTTTGACGATTCCTCCAGTTCTGTCTTCGCGACGTCGGAGATATCATGTCTTCGTCCAGTTCTGCAACATACGTAGGACCAAGTGCTAAGCAATCCTAAAGAAGGTAGCGTACCTTTATGCTCGCCCAGCATTTTGAGATGCTCTACAGTGACAAATTGCCACGACTTTTCCTTGTCGAAGAAATTGACCGTATAAAAATGGACATCTTCTGTAATCCGCTTGGTTTTCCTGTACTTTGCAACAAACTCCTTTTTCCTGCTGAGGATTTTCTCCGGTAGCTCTGGATGATCCTCGTCATATATAACTGCTGGCCACCACGGATAGGTTCCTATAAAATGTATGAGAGCTCAGACAGTGTCAGAATTGAAGACGTCACCGTACCAGCCTTCGCCCAGACTGAAAGAAATATAGTGGTGTGAATCTACTAGACCATGAATTGTGGGAAGCTTACCCAAGGTGCCGCTTTCCAACTTTTCGCCAGGTTTGAGATTGATGCTCCCGAGTGTACGATCGAGAGGCGGAGGTCCCTCGTTGAGTGACTTTCGTTGCTTGTTCTTCGCACGACGAGTAGTAGGTGTAACAATTTCCTCAACAATGAAGCCACCTCTATCTTGATCTTCGATGACGTTGTAATTGGGCATCCGCTTGAGATCATCGACATTACGACCATACCGATCCCTGACTTGACGGGCCTCTTCAATACGTTTCCGGATCAAGTCTTGTTCTGACTCTGAAGGCTGGTCGGCATCATTTGCTGTATCCTCCGGTTGGACGTTATTCGCCGTTTCAGGGACTGGAGCGTCCTCGGATACAATAGTTGCCTCTGTCGGAATATCAACCTCTGCCCCAGTATCACCCTCCGCCTGAGTCTGGACTTTGTCGGACGCGTCCACGTCATCTGGAGCGGGAGCTTCTGCTGGAGCAGCATCTTCCATCTCAACATCTGCTTGCTGGCCGCTGATATCTCCAGTCGGTTCAACGTGCTCCTGAATCATTTCTTCATGGCGGGGCATGATATCATCCTCTGTCGGTGTAGATTCTAGCTCAACATTCACAACTTCGGACTGCGACTCCGGCACGCCCTCAGGCGGGTGAATAACATCGGTCGGGGCGTCGACGTCAGTCATTGGCGTATCATCGTCACCTAGCAGCGCAGATGGAGCGGCTTGGGGAGTAGCTTCGATGTGGACCGTGGTATCTGCCTCTGGAGACGTTTGCACCTGAATATCCACTGCTGGTTCTATGCCAGCATCAACACCGACCTCGTCATCCAAGGCAGCATCCGATATATCAGGAGACGTTTGCGCCTGTATGTGGCCTTCTGGTTCTACGCAAGCATCACTGCCGACTTGGTCACCCAAAATAGAATCCGGTATATTATGAACATCGACCTCTGCACGTATTTGGATGTCATCGTTCGCATGATCCCGTAAAGGATCAGAATGGACCTCGCTGTCGTCTGGAAGGGCCTGGATGTCGACATGAGATTGCGTAGCGGTCTCCGGAGGCTGAGTATCGACTTGAGGAGGTTGTGTGTCCACCTGTGGAAGTTGTGTATAAACCTCATCGGTCTCAACTTCGCGAACTTCGGGAATTTCAAGTTCAGGCACTTCGTTAATTTCTGGTTCGGGAACCTCGCTGATCTCTCGTTCGGGGACCTCGTCGATCTCAGGTTCATGAACCTGGGCGACCTCGGGATGAACCTCTGCATTGACTTCTGCTGTACGAACCTCAGTATCGGCATCAAGTTCAGCATTGATCTCTGCCTCAGCTCCAGGTTGAGAACTGATACTAATATCAGGTTCGACGTCATTCCCAATTTCCGTTTCAGAGGTGCTTGCTTGACGATCTGTTAGAACAAGAGCAATCTGCTCTAATTTGATGCCGGCCGTACGATCCGGGGTGGCAGAGCGTCGGGTGTCCACCATAGGTTCATCCCTCACAGCTGAGACAGGTAAATCAATAACCATGGGGCTCTGCACATCTTCTGGCGACGGGGAGAAGTCTCTAGGTCTTAATGGTGAGGGAGGTGTCGACACGTTCTGAGACGTCGGTGAAGGATCACGCTGTGGCGATGGCACCATGGGCGTGAGTGGCGGTTCTGTTGGGACGTCAAGAGGTCCTTGTGGTGGGTACTCCTCGTGTTCCCCATCAAGGGTTATGTCCGATCCATCTTGTGGAGATCCTGTCGTGGATACTTCTTCTACAGGCCTTTCCTTGACGTCGTCTTCCGATAGGGTCTCTGCTGGCACCTCCTCTTCGACGTGTTCTGTTGGAGTAGCTGGCAGATCCTGAGGAAGCATATTGTTCTCCGTGCTTAGTGTCAGGTTCTCGGATTCGCCCGTACTGAAAACGCCCAAAGACGATTTTGCACGACCTAGAGAGAATAATACTCTGGTGAGCGAACTTAGGCAGATAAGCCAGTCAAAATGACGCTCACTCTTCCTCCTTTGCTGAGCTGAGAAGAGAGAGACTTATTAGCCAAAAGTCTGCGTCAAATACGAGAAACAAAACATACTCTTCTTCGATGGCACTGGTGTTGGTTGTGGTGCAGCCTGTGTCGATCTTCGGCCACGCTTCTGGCCTTCAGGCAAGATCCATCCAGCCTCAAACATTAGGAACGAATCTCTATGTCCAACAGAGTCGACCAAAAGCGGCGTGCTCATTTGTCCGCTTGGCAGGTATTGTAGGACCGACGTGGATGAAGACGCTTCTGCCTGACCATCTGAACCTTCCTGACCTTGGCCTTGCTCGTCTAGCTCGTTATCCGTTGTATTCGAAGTAGCACGACGACTTCTCTTTGGTGCGCGAGATTCGGCGTTGACAGCTTCGAGGGCAGCTTGTTCAGCTCGCCTAGCCTCCCGCCGAGCATTCTCCGCCCTGCGATCGCGTTTCCTTTTCGTAGTGGCAGGCTTCTTTTCTTTGGATGGCGGCGGAGGTTTTATCTGACCAAGTTCGTAGCTGAAGAGGGAAGAAAGGGGATCTTCGTTGATGATGTACTGCACATCATCCTGCAAGGCTTCTTTGGATAAGAGAAGTTCCAGCAGCGGGAGAGGTGTTTCAAGATCCCCGATTTCGGGTTTTGCGTGCGTAACATCCACCTCCATAGCATTCATGTCCACCGCCGAATGGTGGTTTTGTCCAGATTCCGCTTCGGGATTGTCTACTTGCATCTCATTCTCTGCCGGGGCAGGTACGGAGGATGTGGACTGTAGGATGTCAACCTCCATGGCACCTTCTGCTGGAATGTATTCGGACGACTGGGGTAGACACTGTTCATGAAGCTCCTTGAAGATAGGCTCCGCAGCATTAAGAATCCGTTTGGCTGTGTTGGAATAAGGCGATCCGGCCTTGTTATAAACAATGGCATTATTGCAGACGAGATAAATATCATCCTGGATTTATTGAGATGTCAGCTAAACTCAAAAGAATCAGGTAAAGGTAACACTTTGAAGGTTTGGAAGTCCCAATATTCATGCCGGTCTAATTTTCCCTCGATTATATTCCAGCACATGGGATGCTTGATGATGTCAAAATAATCGGGAACCTTGAGCTTCGAAACAGGATTCTGAAAATACCCATTCTTATCGACGCTATATGTTATTATTTGAGATTATGAACTCATTCCCATAAGAATGACTCACCTTACAATACGTTCAAAAGCTGAGCGTAGTCGTGGCTCGTGAGGGAATATGAATTTTGATAGAACATCTTGAATGAGGTGTAACTGATCAAGTTTACGCATCTCTCGTTTGTAGCTCTTGACGGACAACCGTTTGACATAGTCAAGATCCTTACGCAGACGTTTAAGCATCTGCCAATAAGTTCAGATACGAGATCAAAAAGTAATTGTTGAGCCTTACGGTCTTCTTCTGAATTTTTTCGGCGGTAGTCTGGGACTGATTCCTTGTGCTAGAAGGCCAAGCCTCCAAATGTAGTCGCTTCAAAAGAGGGGCGCCTCTCCTCGCTTCCCTCTTAAGACTCCAATATTTGCACACGAGAATGATGAATTCGACCTTTTTGCGTACGTTAATCCTCCCGATGTATTGGGCGATCCTGTCTACGATGATCCACGGAACAAGAGGCGCTCCTGTCTGAAAAGCCTTGGCATGGGCACGAGCAGTATTGGAGATCTTCTCGACGCTCTGTTCTTCTTCTTCTGTCTTTGCTGCCTCTCGAGCGGCTTTTTGCGTTGGCTGATTAGGAAAATGAGTACTCATAGCAAAGACCACTGCAGATCACGTACGGTAAGGTGTTTGTCACAGTAGCATCTGAGCGTCCCCACAGGTTCGGAGCCTTGAAGATTTTTCATGGGAAGCAGAAACTTCTCTTTCCGAGCGCAAGTTACATGGAAAGGCGTGTAGCAGTTTTTGATGGTACATTGTATGCAAGCTCCCGTTCGAATTTTGCATACGCTGCATTTCTACGATGGACCGCATCAGCGCTCAAGAACTAGGAGAGCAAAACTATGTCGACGGTACCAGTCTCTTCATCCTGTCCATAAGCTTGTCCTCCAACGCGATCGTTGGATCCATGTAAACCTCGTTCTGGACGGTCATCTCTGGAATCCACATGGCACATAGAAGGTGAACCCATTGCCCGTGGTCAGTCATCTTGAACGCGCCACCCTCATTTGGACATAGAAAGCATTCCTAGCAGTCAATGTCAGGAAGAAGTGCTGGGAGAGTTATGCACAAAACTGACGACAGGTGTTTCTGGAGAAGTGCTACACTTGCGACACAACCAAATGCCTTCTGGGATGTAGGGAACACCATAGCATTCTAAACATGCAACAATTTCAGGAAGTGTTCGGGTAACAGACCACGCGTCAACGCACCTTGATGCACAGCCAAATTGCATCCATCGCAAAATACGATGGCATTGCTATTCTCGCCCTCCGCATCGTCGCATATCGCACAAGTAGAATCTTCTGAAGGCATATCGAAATGAGGTTTAGGAATGTTTTTGGTCTGATAGATCATGTTCAATATCCACAACAACACAGAATGGTATTGCAACGCGTACCAAATTGTACCATTCTTTCTCCAATCGGTCCATGATAATCTCAAACGTCTCATAAGAAACAGTGTCCACCTGCATCTTCTTCCTGTCCGCATTCACGGCAATCAACCATTCCTCGTCTATCAGGTCAATGAGCATCTGTGTTCCCCGGCACGAATACGGCATACCTTGTTCATCCATATCATACTCGACCTGTGTGGCGAGGTCCAGCTCCAGTGGTTCTTGGGGCGATGTTCAGCATCGAGCAAGTAATCAATATCCGCAAAAACGAACCAATATGACGAACGTAGTGGTCAGGCCTTTGATAGTTTGACAGATCATTAACTGAAAGCTGGAATTTTCAGCAACAGTCAAAAGGAAAAGACGCGTGGATTTGGCGTACATCCATAAGCCTTCATTTGGTTGTCGTGAACACCATTGTTGACTTTGGAAGACTCTTCGACTTTTTCGAACTCTGCGACAGGTAGGACAAGCGGTGGTGGTTGCATTGGTGCCACAGACTCCGAGGCTCGATTACCACGCGCCATTGTGGGACGTCCAATTGGCCCGTGTCGTGGTCAAAGGGAGTAAGAGGTAACGTCGCTCATTTGTAATAAGTCTGTTTCATATTGTTGCATTATAAAGGCTTTGTAACGGTAGTGTTGGTTGGTCGATTAGCTCAGTTGGTTAGAGCGGTGCGCGGGTATTCTTGGGTTCGATTCCTACTTTGGCTATTAATTTGTTCTTGTTCTTTTTCTATCTTCCATTATTGCGGCGGTAGGTACTAGGCACTGGGCCGTGGGCAGTGGGCACCCGGCGCGGCGACAGTGCATATAAGTTGTTGTGCGACTTGGTTAGAACTTAATAGAGCTGAAACTCCACTGTAGCTTCCCAGCACTAGTGCTCAATATATTCGTTAGATTGGGCGTGCGCTGCATAGGAATTGTGATGTCCGATACCAGTGAATCTCGATATCGTTAACTTTCTTCCGGGGCACCATTATATCTGTGTCCTGCCTGGTAATAGTAAAACGAAGCTTTCTGTGCAGTGCCTGCAATTCGTATGCACTTACTGTCCAGTAGCAAAGGATATCCCGGTGTAATGTCGTATAAGAACTCCCGTTATAGATACAATAGTAGTGGTCTGGAGTCGTTGCACTACACTGCTCGTTCTTCCACGACTATCCTCCCAACCAGCTTAACCTCTTTCTTCACCGCTTCCTCAATATCCTCAGCGTTTCCGCAACATGACTGTACCCTTCCCAATACTCGTATTTCTCTGACAGCATCAAAGGCACTCCCGAGCCAGGCCGCCAAGACTCCAACACTAACTTTCACCTCCAGCAGCTCCATTTCCACCACCTTCACAAGTCTCAGCGTCATCCGTATACCATTCGACGGCTTGGTTGCCGCTCTCGACAGCCATCCTTTATCAACTCGGACCCGTATGATCACCACAGGCCTGATTTCCTGCTCTCTGAAACACTCTCTCATGGCCCTGAACACTGCACCTGTTCCCTCCCAATCCAGCCCTCTTCTTGGTGTGCGCCTGGGGAACGTCCGCACCTCCTTCAAATTTGGCAGAGGCCCTTGCACAATATGTAGAAGGATCCTCCACGGTGCTTCGACACGCACCAGGTCTGTTAATTTCGGGACAGGCGCAGATGGTCCAGGTATGTACTGCTCCTCGTCAGACAATATGAGTATCTTTAACTTGGGTAACAGCGCGAGAAACTCGACGAGATCATCAATGGTGATATCCGGACACCCAGCCACATGCAACTCTTCGATGTCCGACGCGTATTGAGCAACTGTGGGGAGCAGCGCGGTCCACATGTGTCCAGCAAGGCTGATATGGGATATGGTCAAAGAAGTGATGGTAGTCAGGACGGATAGAGTCCACTGGGAAAGTGGAGGAAGTAGGAGCATCGACGATTGGATATCCAAGGAGCGTAATTCATTGGGAGTGGTAGCTTCGTCAACGAGAATTGTCAAGGAACCCGTCTTGACGCGCCGAAACATCCAATCTGGCCCTCGTATCGCCGTGCGCCTGCTGGTGGTCAAGACGTTCAACGGGTAGCCTCGACTTGAACGACAAAATTGATAGGCATAATTCATTACTTTCCCATCCACCATGCACAGATATGTGCATGATTTCTCCAGTGCCAGATTGAGGAGATCACCGATCGCAGATGACCATAAATCCAACAATGCATCGGTAACATTGACGCTACCACTGTTCCAATCTCTGCCGCGAAATTTCAGCGTCATCCTGTTGACGGATTTGAGCTTCAAGAGAAGACTGTGCAATCGTCGAACGGTTGTAATGATGGTAGCCGGGGAAGACGCCTCAGTTTCCGGAAGCGCGTCGTCAAACGTGCATACCAGATGTCTGATTGACTGGACAAATAGAGCGACCCGGAGACCAGATATCGCATCTGGACGGAGTTCAGTGACGTTTCGAAGAGTAAAGCTGCAGGTCTCCGTAGGATGGTTGATACCAAAGCGAGCTAGATACTGTGTGAGACAAATGTCGTGCAGGCGTTTGCACGTGAGAGAGATTGAGAACAGCTGTGAGACTTGGTCCTCGTCGAAGTGTTCTCCGAAAATCTTGTATAGAAGCTCGTTGGGCAACTCGAGCAGGGGGAACGGCATGGTTGTCCTTATCTCATGCACCTGGCATGGGTAAAAACTACTTAAGTAGCTCGCGTGATCTCCGTCGCGGAGCCAAGCCTCATGTCACTGCTCGGTTACTCAGTTTGGATGCCGTTAACTCTCCACGTTTATGAAGTAGCAAAGAGAGTAATCCTCAACCTTTTCTAGCGACCATGTCTTGTTTGCATTATTAGTGAGATGAAAGTACTAGCGTTACAAAAAATTAATCTACTTATAAGCGGTACAGCCTTAACTTACAACCCAAGCTCCTTACCACCCCATTGGTAACTGACCTTCAACGGGTCCTCTGCCAAGGAACTCTCGTTCTCGACATCATCCACATCGTCATGAATCTCGTCAGACAAAAATCCCATGTGCTCGGCATGACGAGGTCTCCGCATTTTGACACCCAGATGTCGACTAAGAAGGGAAAGGACGTACTCGGGATCGATGATCATATCCTTCCCACCGGATCCACTTGGTTCAACAATCACAGCTGCATATGTCTGAGAAAGCACGGAGGCTTCCTCAAAAATAGCCATCGATGTGAAGCTGGTGGGCATGAACTCGATTATGAGTGTCCCTCTAGCAGCCCAACGATGGTGGTACATTGCACCTCCGTGGGGACCGACCACCGCCATAACGTTGCTGTTGAACCATTCAAAAAGGTCGGAGGCGGTAGCAAAGTCCTTCTCGTTAAATACAACAAGCTCTTCACCCTTGTCCCTCTCTTCAAGTAATTTCCTGATTGCATTGAGAAGGTCCGGCTCATTAAGAACCTTACGGCCACCGTTTTTGGCACGTCCATTGGACCGCGACATATACACGATCTAAGAAAGCCATTATGGTATGAAAGAAGCAATCGATCAAAGCCGCGTACTTTATTTCGCGTTGAAGACTCCTTCATGTAATCAATCGAGAACGCCTCAAGGGTCTTGAGCGACAACCAAGGATGCACCAATACCGCACGACATGAAAAAATCAACTTTTCGGCATATGTATCCTCTTTCTGGCTATGCAGCACGCGTTCCGGACGATATCCTAGGCCTTCCCACAGTTGATCTACAAAGGCAGTTCCCCGTTTTCCTGTAATTACATGCGGGTGCTCTCCAAAGGTGAGATATGAGCCTTGCATCAGGATATGCGTGACACGGTCAAGGTGATGCTGAAAAGAGTTGGAGTCCGGGGAAAGGACCACTATGGCGCTTTGCCGAATCGCAGGATGCCCAGGTACAGCGACGACTTGCTCTGGATCGAATGACCGTATATCTTCTGACGACACAAGGCTTCCCATACAGGCCTCCGGAGACCAGCTATCGTATCGTTTCGGATGCGTGTAAGAGACATTTCCAAACACCTATAATTGATCTTAACATACCAGTCATGAATTTTTGGAGAATACTCACGAAATTCTGGCCCGACTGGCCTTTATACACAAGCCACCCACTGTCTTGCAATGTTCCCCGCTCTTTCGCTCTCAAAGCGGCATTTCTCCAGCGATCCTTGTGCTCCTCCACTGCAAAACGGGGCTGTCGAATCTCAAATGCCGGGTATAATAGTTCCTCCGCGTATAACACTTTCTTCGACGATAGTTTTTGCGCTACGCAAGGCGCGTAATGGGCGGGCATGCCAAAGATGCACTCGTTTAGGCTGAGAGGACTCCACGCAGCACTCGGTAGTAACCGATTCCCGTCTCTCGTCGACAGACGCCTATACTCTTCGATACGCCGAGTCTCATACTCGTATGTTATAGGTAGTCCGCGAGTTGACCGATCATGAAAGTTGTAGACTGTCCCAGACAACAGAATGAAGGTAGTGAAGCCGGCAAGTATGCTGAAGGACCGCCGTATTGAAAGAAAGACCATGCTGTGAGGAAAAGAGTGGAAGAGTAAAGTGACGAAGGAAATAGATGATATGAAATACTTGCGGCGCAGCAGCTTGCAAAGCTGCGGACCGTTTTCTGCCCTTGACCTACCCTTGACCCGCCGAATAACCACAAAGTTAAAGCATTTGCATTCCAAGCATTTTCAATCTTGACCAGCCCTGACGTGGTCGATACAGAATCGCCAAGTATTCGACAACAATGTTCTTTTGCTCGGGCCCCACCACAAGGCTAGCCCAGATTTAGAACTTGCTACCGCGCATATCCTGGATAGAAAAATCGGTAGCGCATTCGAGCCTGTTGCCAGCTGTCAAAGACTTTGAAGGCCGCCAAGGGCTTCCACGCGTCCGTAGAAACTTGGAAGGCAGATTCCAGAATGGACAGTGACGACGACACGCACTCCGACATCCGCCTATAAATCTATCACGAAGGCTAAAGAGTATTTGCAAGCAAAGCAGGAAGCTGTTTTCACAAGCCCGAAAAGCCATATAATGTCAATGACATTCGAAGTCGTGGCTCAGAAGAAAGTGTCAGAATAGCGGCCCGCTGGTCAATGCCGCGCGAGTCTCAAAGAAATTATTTTAGGACATGAAAGGATATTCTTACCTCTCATTACACCGCACTATGAGGCACATTTTGAGATAAGCGATAATTCTACAGCGTCTCACCCGGTTTTCAGCAGGAAATCCTCGCAAATAGGCGAGAGTTGTCCGAGTTCAGCTATCTATTTATCTGGATACTGTGTAGACTCCTGAAAATATTTTTGTATAGCGAGCAAAGCAGAATATAGAGGTCCTCAACCGAAGGCCATTCGTACGGCGAAGTTTTGGCTGAAGATACTTATCAAGACGACTTGGAGGCTCGAAAATGGAAACTGTGTCATCGGCTGACTAAGCACCGCTACAAGTGGCTGGCGGCCCGGATACAAGGCCTCCTCTCAGACTACGATGTCGTGTTCAAGGCATACTCTTGCGGTAAATGCGGCCGTCCTCAGCAACGATTTTGTGCGTTTTGGAGAGAATATTGACTGGATTGCTTCGATTATGCGTCCCACTCGTGCCTACCGGTACATCTACCTGGAGAACTGGGGCAGCGATGAATCCCCGTTCGTCAGGGAGGAGGTCCCGCGTGACGACGAAGGCGTTCGGATTACTGTGAAGGTTCCAAAAGCCACCTGGGCTTTTCGTCCCGATCCAACTATCTGCCAGGATCCTTTTCAACATTTGCGGACTCGTCCCTTTGTCCGCGTAGAGTACGAACGGACGTTGTCAGACATACTTGAGGCCATAATGACGGGTAACAAAAATATAACCGTAGGCGATGAGGATGAGCCGAAAGAAGAGGATCTTGGCAGACAAGAGCACGCCGACAAGCCAGCTACCAGCCCTAAACGCTTTCGTGAGGAAGAGTCAAATGTGGACGACAGAGAAAGTAAGAAACGGCACGTGCAGGACATTGGAACATCTTCCGACGCTGGTGATCAAACCGTGACTATTGACCGCCCAGGTGACGAAGTCCCAGCGGAGTATCCCAATCCGTTTCTGGGATACAAAGCTTCAGCGCCGAAAGTCAAAGGTTTTATTATCACAGGTCATCCTGGAATCGGTAAAGTAGCATCACCCATTTATTGAATTTGACTGACTCTCAAATTTAGGAAAGACCATCTCCCTTTACTACGTCTTCCTTCTGCGGCTACAGGCGTCTCAGCCAACAATCCTGATCACCCATCCCGACAAGGTCACGATATTTCTCCAACAGGGCATCTTCTCCATATCGATGGTGGATTTCGAGGAAGTAGTCAATCTCATTCCTATCTCTACATGGTGTCTTGTGGACTGTAACGAGAGCCTGGAAAGGGTTCCAGAAGCAATCGTCAAGACACCGTTTTTCATCTTGCAGACAGCATCACCGAGTAAACATCTTCAATTGCAGAACAAAGCTTTAGGTATCCTCCAGTATGTCATGAAACCGTTCTCTCTATCAGAACTCATAATCGGGTATGAGAATTTCATTCCCCCCTTTTCCCATTTCTGAGTAATATCACAGGCGGAACCGAAGTCTCGACGTTAGCGAAACCCCTTCAGAAGAGTCACTACGAGAATATTATCGACAGTATACACCTTCAGCTCGCTTTGCCTATCAGTACGCGGGCAATATCGACAAATACAGAACATTTGTGCAAAGTCTCGTCAGTCATTGGACCATTGATCACCTGAAAACGTTGGTTGGGGCTTTCCCTACCAACGTCGACTTTGTTAGTGAACAAACCTTATACCATATTCTTACCGTCACAGTCGAAGCTGGAGGCCAGCGAAGCATTCCTCAAGTCGACATCGCTAGTTGTTACATCAGTCAACTCATAACCGAGCAGCTTCAACCTTCGCCTACTGTTGGAGCTACCGCCCTGGGATGCTGCCTGTTTGGCGTCAAGTTGCACGAGCTGCTGGCTATGGCTGGTCAGTAGAAAATCTTGGCGTGGACTTGAGCTGCAGTTCAGGCCCTCGAGGTCTAGATTGCAGAAGCTTTTCTTTTTTCAATTCATACAGTGCTAGTGAGAACGCATTGTTACAGGAGAGATGTATATAATTGGTAAATATACATGGAATAAATGTGGTCGCATAAATCACAAACGAGACAGCTTCAAGTCCGAAAAACCAGGCTCACTTGTAAGGAAGGATGTTCGAACTTATCGAAGTAGCTTAGAAGAATGTCGGAATGGTGACCCGCTCGGCGGTGCTGACTTAAGGAAACGTCAATTTCAAAGACAGTATTCTGCGATACGAAAGAATTTTCCTGTGGTATGTCAAAGATGTGCTAAATAGATCACCACGCAGGCTCGGCAGTGAACGTAACTCAATACTTATACCAAACAACCCTTACGATAGTTCAGTACGGAGTACCGAATTACTGCTGTAAATTTCAATTGGCTTGATCCATCCGATAACACGTTGATGTAGAGCTGAAAGCTGAGGCTCCTCTGCACGAAGGCTCTCATCACACCACACTACGAAGCATATTCTACATTCTCTGCGTAGCTACAGAATTGGCGGTAGCTAAGGACAGAACATAAAGCTTCAATGACCTGGGTTACTTGATTTTCCAGTACCCCGTGATATCCTGAAGCAGTTCTTGAGCAATGAGCACTACTCCGAAAAGTAGAGATAAAACTTACATCACGAGATATGCCACGACGACGACTCTACGAAATTAGTGCCGAAGCCGGGATCTCCTCGACCAGGGTCGGGCGCCCAAAACCATGCTTCTCGCGAAATAAGCTTTGCTGTAAGCGACAAAAAAAAGTACAAGGACGTACGTCGTAGGAGTGGCGTGCCAACAACGCCTAATACAAGGTGAATGAAGGCTGTGATGTGAGTTTGATGTCGCGGCCGCAACAAAACTAAAGAATCAACAGATTCAGCGTCGGCGACGGAACACAGATATTGTTGCATCTCACATTCTGGTGTGCACCAACGGCCTTGTTGGTGTTTGCATAGCCGACCAGTGCCGGCTTCGATTTCTCAGTGGCTGTTGATTTCACAGCAGCCTACTCGTATCCAAAACGTAAGTGCGAGTCCTGATGGAAACGTTTTGGCACATACTTCAAACAGCTGAGACATTCTCAACTCCTTAGGCCAAAATAAAATTTAAGGCCAATTATACTGGGATAAACATTACACATTGCGTGTATCATGCTATAGAAAACGTTTAAAAAGATGGGTCATCATCCACGAGAAGTGACACACGGTCCCGATTTCAATGTAGTCTCCACATGCGGTAGACTTGAATATATTGAATCAACGATTGATTCATTGATACAGCATCTGACGGCCCTATGTTAGTTCTGAATCCAAGGAGATAGGAACATCCACACACACTGAGAGGCAAACTAAGCCCTCGCTGTGTAAAAGCTGATTTGCTAGACCTGAACCGGTCCCTCTTCCTAAAGGGACTTGCGGAAACCTGCGCTGTTCTGACATAACATGATCACCTCAATGCTTTGACCAATAAGCCGTGAGATACACTTACAAGAGCAGGCATGTCTGTGTAAGAGCTGTCAAGTGACCCTAGGCGAATGACAGTCAGACTTCGGACTGCCACGGGTAAAAAATTGGAGGACATGATACCTTCCGGATTCGCAACCCCCATAGCCAACCACCTACCGCAGCCGCCAGCGCTAGCGCTGCTAGTGGTAGCTGATATTTGCTAAAAGATGTACTGTACCTGAAAAGCAGCTAGTAAGCACAATTATACGGGAACTAGAAGGCGCTCACATCTAGATTAATTTTGTACAGCTCTTCCCGAGCCAAGTACAAATTGTGTATCACCAAGAATCCGAAATCTAATAACAGAGCGGTTTGTGAGTTAGCAAACAGCGACCAAGTACAGCGTGAGCCGTGACCCGCACCTCGGATGCGGTGTACAACGAACGACGCGAGTCTGTTCGAGGGGGGAAGTCGATGTTCGCCAAAGAGAGACGGCAGTCCGTTCGACCATTATGAACTCAGCAACTTGAGGGCCGGCACGATCAACTCGTCTCCTTTACGTAACATGTTACGGTCATTTTGAATATCTTTTATTTAGCGGGGCAGATTTAGCGAACCGAGAATGTCTCCTCCATGTTTGCAATAACAATTACATAAATTATTAAGTTTCTATGCTTGTACCCCTCGACCATCAGGCCCTCGCAGTTAATAGTGTACTCCTACTTCCCGACCACCCTAGACGCATAAATATAGGTACCACTGCCTAATACTCCGCGGGCGGATAATCAATGTATCCCTTCTTTTCAGTTTCCATATCCCTCCCAAGGCCGTACAAAGTAGTAAAATCCAGATGTGCGTCCAACGGCTTTCCATACTGCAACCGTTTTGCAAAGTCCGGATGTGCAATCCACGGCACACCAAAAAATACACCCGCAAGCTTTCCTTCCGATACATACCGGGCAGCCTCTTCACCCGTAAACGCAGCGTTCCCGAACGCTAGCGCGTTCTCCAACAGAGGCGCGTACGTGGATATGACATCGTGCTTGATAGCGCGATGGCTCCCGTCGATGATAGGGTCGAGGAACTCTGCGTATCGCACCAGGGTGACATAAGCGATTTTGAGCTTATCGACTTCGGAGATGAAGTACTTGAATGTCTGTAGGGTTTCCTCCAAGGGCATCCTATCCAAGACAGGCGAGGAAGAGCTACTGAGTTGTTAGTATCAAATACTTACCCGACGTCGTTGTATCCCCCCGTGGGATTGAGCTTAATACCTACTCTGTCTGCACCCCATACATCGATAACAGCTTTGAGGACCTCAAGACCGAATCGAGAACGATTCTCAATGCTACCACCCCACTCATCCGTACGGTGATTTGAGGTGCTATCGAGGAACTGATAATATAACAGTCAATATTCATATAAAACCGAAGAGAAAAAGATAAGGTACCTGAGGTATCAAATACCCATTAGCCCCGTGAATTTCTACGCCATCGAAACCAGCTTCCTTAGCATTGATAGCTGCTTGCTTGAACACCGAAATGATGTCGCGCGGATTTTCGATAGCAGTAGGTGTTACATAACCAGGCGCACCAGGGAGAAACCTGAACTTTCCTCCTCTTGCAGAAATCGCCGAAGGAGCATATACGGGCTAGATGCAAAGACATGAATTGTTGTAAAGACTCATTCCAGGCAGTAGAACACACCAGTCCGGAGGCGATTTGTTCGGGAGCATCGGGATGGCTTACTCGTCCAACTATAAAAACATCGGTGGCACACTCATGGAAGAAAAAGTAGAGAACTGACGGTGCCAGAGCTGACAAACTCTTAATCAGAGCGGTAGCAACTGGTAAGATGAATATAGTACATACCTGAGCATATATGACACTCCCCTCTGCATGCACAACGTCCGTAATCTTCTTCCATCCCATGGTCTGCTCCTCGGACCATATTCCGGGAGCGTTTTTCCACTCAGTTCTAGATCCAAAAGTCAAATTAGCATCCCTACGCCCTTCAGAGACACAAAACCCATACCCTTGTTGAGAAATGAGGATCCCTTCAGCAATGATGAGGCCAGCACCACCAGCAGCGCGTTGCCTGTAATACTCAACCATGATATCATTCGGAACATTAGTAGGAATCGAGCGGTTACGCGTCATGGAAGACATGAACACTCTGTTCTTAAGCGTGATAGGTCCGAGCTGAAGAGGTTGGAAGAGCGTATTTAGTTGGGGGTTCGACATCGTGGAGAAAATTAAGAGATTCAAGCATAGAGCTACAGCCGCCTTTTATACCTGCCCACGGCAAGACGGCTAAGAAGATAGCGGGCATACTTCTGAAATTGGTTAGAACAAAGATACATCCTAGACATTCGTGACAAAGGGGGTCAGTGAGTGAGTCGCGAGCCTGAGTTGAAATCCGAGGCGGAGGAGTGTATATAGGAGGACTCCACGGTCTGGTCAGCCGAGAAGGATAAATTCTTTTCAGCAGACACCCAGAGACTAAGTCTACCATAGCGAACGTGGGCGTGCAGAGTCAGAGAATATTAAGCTATACACTAGCTGGATAAGATCCTCAAAGTTCCTCGAACCACGTTCCATTACAAACCAATGAATGTCCAGCTGCTGCAAAACCTTTGTAGTCAATCATCGAAAACCAGAATGACAAAGTAAACATTATTGCCTCGGAGGAAGACCACAGCGCCGAAATAAACGAATTTGTCCTCGGCGGAAAAGACCAAGTTAGTCCCGCTAGATCGCGCTCCGTCGGAAAAGTGCGATCTGTAATTGCCGTGCGTTGGATAATCAATATATCGCAATAAGTTATTAGGTGTACACCTCGTAGAAAATTGAAACATGACAAGAAAGAGCAGGTAAAATAAAAGTAAGACTATTGACTAAATTTATCAGTCCGTCAAGGCACTAGTATGTGTACATACTTCCATCCGGTGGTGCAGCATCTACCGATAACCCCCACCATAACCGTCATAATTAGGTGGTGTTGACCCCCCATACTGGGCGGCGGGTTGTTGACCTTGACCAAGCGTGGCTTTCACCTTGGCATACGGGTCGGCGTACTGCATGGTTCGGCTGACTTGAGGACCCAAGTCAGGCTCAGGCAGCACCGGGACGAATGAGCTGGGCGTTGTGGTACTAGTGTACGGTGACGAGCCATACCCAGCAGAGTATCCACTCGGTGCGGGATCAGAAAAGGCTCCGTATTGATCCATACTCGGTCGGCCTGAGTATGCCGTTGATGTTGGTCGTTGGGCACTTGCTCCACTGTATCGATTGGTATCCGAGAAGGGATCCTGAGCAGTAACGCCACCGGTTGGCTGTGCATGATGGGGAAGACTGGTGCTGTCGTCCTCGTCCTCATCATACTGAGTGACCGACTCATGGTCCATTGGAGGTGCAAATGGCTCGTCCTGAGGTTTCCTTCCTCTCAGAGGCCGGCCTCCGCTTTTTCTCCATTCCCAAATCAATAGTCCAAGAGAAGCAGTCCAGAAGACTGCGCAGCAAGAGATCAGAAAAACGGAAACAAACATACGAATTAAATACGCACCAAAGGCAAGCCACAGGAAGATGGCACCAGCTTTCTTGGTATTACACCAACCCGGGAGGCCGTTCTTGAAATCTTCGCTCTTGTCAGCATTCGGGTCATTGTCAGCGTTTTTGCACCCAGCTTGGGTCCACGCTGAGATCGTAACAACAAATCTAGACCAATGTCAGCTGAGGAAGCGTCTGAGAGTATAGGGTACACACGCAATCAATAAACTGAGAGATGTCTCCGCCCCCGTCAGTATGAACCCCACCCTCAGCACCTTCATGGCGCGCGCCAAGGTTGCAAGTTTATCGTATTTTTCGTAAATAACAGGCACTGCGAGCATAACGGACGCGACAAGCATGCCAAGGACAGTAAGGAAGAGCGTGAAGGATGATAGACCAGCTGTGGGGAAGGAATCAGTAACACGCGGACCCACGACGCGTCAGCGGCCACGACTCACAGGGTCCCACACCGTACTTTGCTTGGAAGGAGGCAACGCTAGCAAAACACGCCATCGCTAGGAAATTGAAGAATATTTGCGAAGCATGAAACACGATGGCTGGTTTGGAGATGATCATCTAGAGGACGCGTCTGGTCAGCACATGGCACAGTTAAAAAAGAGTAAAAACAGCAGAAAAGGATGCGAACATAGAGCCAGAGGACCCATATAAGAGGGATAAAGAGTAGGAATACGAGTGCGCTGGTGCCCTCGCCCATGCAGCTACTGCAGACGGAGATGAAGAAACATGAACACTTATGTAATCATATGGTTGGTTCCTTGGGTTCATGTTACGTTTAGCAGGCACCGTGTCCGGCACAGTGACATGGATGAAAGGAAACTGGCGCAGAATTCGACCATATTAATGATGCTCAGCACTCACGTCGTCCTCGAATCTCGCATGCCCTATCCCTCCGTTGCCCAAACTCGATATCCCTGTAGACGATAGTGGTGGTATCGAATGCTTCCTACCACCACCCGAGGGCAAAATCCTCTCGAAACCATCTTTAATCTTGTCAAGAACGGGCATAATGTTGCTGCTTTAGCGTCGAAATGTCGTTACTGTCGTATGTTGCAAAGCGCTATTGGATGTGTTTGTCGGCCTCTATGGCTCGGTAGAGTAAGCAGATGGTGATGGTTAATGAGCAAGAATGTAATGGGTGCAATTCGAGCAGAGCCTACCGCAGCAGAGTGATGCTGCGTGGGCGGTGAATATGTGGTTCGTGGTGGTCGGTGTAAAGGATAACACCGCCACGTGCCGCCCGCTGTCGTCATAGCTTACACGCTTCCGGAATCCGAAGCCAATCACAAGCCTGAACTTGAAAGTATTCACTGACATAAATATTCATTTATAAGACCTTACAGACTCTTACAGAGCCCTCTGCGATAATCAACAAATCATTGGGTAGTGACAGAGTCGAGCAGCTGGCTAAACAGCCTCAGCGGCAATTCCATGGCAATGACAAGCTCGAGGTCAACGATACAAATCAGTCCGTCGTGGATCGCACCCGCTCAATTGGTGAAACTGCACTGATCATGATCATTATCCGCTTTTTACAATGCTGGAGTCAGTGTTACAAATCAGAGATAGTTCAACTTTGAATTGCGGAGGTCCTAGTCGTCCGTACCAAGCCTATTCTCCCCTAGGCAGACTCTGAAATCAAGACAGTCGAGTTGTATACCAAGCCTTACATTCTCCGTCAGCTTCAATTGACTTGGCAGCGGGGAGTTCATACTCTAGACATCCAATGTATATGGAGAGCTCCCTATCCACAACGTGATACGCGGATGGAAATAAAAGGGAGCCTAAACAACCTGGCGCCACAGTCGCACTAAGTATGCGCGAGTAGTGCATCCAGAAACCAAGCCGAAGTCTAGCATCCAGAGAAATTCACTATCAGTACAGGTATTTTTAGTCTAGGAAATTCGATTGATGAAAGAGGATACTGAGTATCGAGAATTCGGCCTTATGCGTAGCAATCATTTTTGTTGGAAACATTCATGTTCATGACAATCGGCTACCTTCAAGCTATCATCACGCTAACCACGGCAGAAGCAAACACATTTAGACCCATCGTTATGTGATATATCGACGAAGTGGGATCAGTGATATTTCCCACACACACAACTAATCAAGAGATGAGAACAATAAAAGTATCACCGACGCGACGCGTTCTCAGGGGCCATTGATATCCATACCATTAGGCTCAGTCTTCGATAGTTGTTCCCTCTAAACAACGCGTAAAAAGAAGAGAAGCGAAGCGAAGCATAATTGTTACTATGATCTTCAGGCCACCGCTAACCTTCCCTCTTTACATTTTTAATCGAGAAGCCCAACCCAGCCCGCTTCGACGCATTTAGTGGATCCAGGGTAGTGGAGAGGGTTGAGTATATAAGCACGGTACTCATGATTCGAGAAGCACGAAGCTCGTCTTGCCCTCTCAGTTTCGTTCCGATGTTTCAAACTAACCTCGGCTACCTGCACCATCAGAGACCGCAAGCCCGCACTAATTCTGGGCATGTGATATCTGCAGTCACTCCCCAGATGTGGCAAGACATGGAAAATGGAAAAGATTTGTCTCCATCAAACACCATTAAATATTCCCCAGCAAATTCACAGCGTAGCACAAGCATAGTAAACGACATGATAGCCTCGTTCTCTCCATCACCTTGGAGACGGCTAGTTCGCCCATACCCAGCACATACTTCCCAAAGTACCTCATTGAACAAGGAAGAATCCTCTGAGTCCGACGTGCCATTGGAAACCGAAGCCGAGGAATTGGTGAAAATGCATTTCTGAAGAAAGAATACCACCGACTTCAAGAACAGCTAGAGACCCTTAGAAAATGTCTTTTCTCCTCTAGGACGTACAGAAAAGAGTAGGCGGGAGTGAGTAGTCCAAGATCGTCTGCGATATTTCCATTACCGATGACGGCTAAGATGCAGCAAGGGCAGATCGGATGCAAGCTGGGTAACAGAAGTTCGAGAATTAGTGTTCTGAATAGTGGTTTCCTCTGATGATGAGTAACGTGAATACCACCTCGAAAGCTGATCAAGACTTCATTCAGACCAGCATGCACGTCTTTGATGCCATGCGAAAAAGCTGAGACGTTTCAAGGCACCTGACCGCTATTTTTGCCAATGCGGTGCATGCTGGGACAACTTTTGAGGTACAATTGAACGAAGGCAGCATGGTAACGTTCACACCGAGTCTAAAACAAAAGGTTTACTTATTTCTAAAACGTAATACATGCACCTCTATGCAGACTTCGCGTTTGAGGGCATTTGCTCTTGAACAATAGCAATAATATCTTGAAATCCGTGGGGCTGACCAGGAGCGTAGCGTTCGTATGTTGGCTGTTTATCAAAAGCAAGTTGGGCGACAGAAATCTGGGAAAGAATGATGAAATCGCAGACCCACACTGAAGAGGAACGTACGAGAATATCTGATGTAAGACCTTTAACAGGTGATGCAGTACTTCGGAATCGGTGCATACGGTACGGCGAGTTTCCCAACAGAGGGACCAACGAATCAGTCGTATTCTGGTATACTTGTCAGAGGTATCATGTTGACACTGAAATTGACACTCACATGAAGCTCGTTTTCATAAAACCAGTCTTCGGAACCGAACGCAGCTAAGGCATCGTGTTTCACAATCATCGGATCAAGGAGAGCTTCCAGTGGATGACTAAATATACGAGACACTTCGTCTTCAGAAGCGGTTAGTCCTTCCAGGATGCTGTTGTCAGTCAACAGAGCGACGACGGGGGTGACAAGCAGTCTGTGGAGCGACAGGAATGGTTCGAAGGTACACAGCGTTTGAATGTGAGGGCAATCCAACGGAAGGCCGACTTCCTCGTGCGCTTCTCTATACTTGTAGTCCATATGTGAGGGCTCAGGCATTTAGAGAAACGGAAAAAAACTTACGGCTGTGTGGGTGAGATCTTGGTCTGTATCGTCTACCCTACCACCTGGCAGGGCGGTCTGTCCAGCATGAGTCCTCAACAGCTTAGATCGAGTCATCAACAGTACGCGTAATTGACCAGCATCCTCGTAAAGAAGCACAAGAACAGCGGCGAGTGATGACGAAGGGAAAGTTGAACTGGCAAATGTATTGGTACTTTCCGCAATAGAGACAACATAAGGTAAGTGACGGACAGATCTATATTCTGGATTCCGTGGCTCTTGAGACAAGCGACGGCAGCCTGATTCCAATCTGTCCAATCCGAAAGTGACATGGTAGTGGTTCAAGGTCAAGAGTTCCGTATCAGGTGATTTGTCAGCGATAAGCTTGTTCAGTGTTTTTGTATGTTTACCAAGGCCATCGACATTGTACCACCACCATCGCCAATGGGCGAGCGAAACCCTCCTTCATCAGGACTTCTATCAGGCGTTTTCCACTACATATCGAACGAAGTCGACGCTTTTATCACCAATGCCACCGGAGGGACGGTCAAGCTAGTGCGCCGCAACCCTTTCTTCATCTTGAAGCCATGAGGTTAATTTGACTTGCATTTTTATTCTTGTTAGCATCAAGACCGGCCTGCCGAACCACGCGTCGACGAGGCGCCCAGGGCTCGTAACACATCCCGCAGGACCAATATTGCTCAAGAGGACGAGTATGCCTCCGAGGATGATAGCAGCCTCACCGGTAGGCGTAAACATGAACGTCAACATCGGCGCGAGCTGGCCCGCGCCAAACCGATACCAAATACCAAGAAACGCGTCAAACAGAGGGCAAAATATATCGACCACACAGATGAAGGTACGCTTAGCGTTACGGCAATAATGTCGAGCTCACGTCAATTTGACAGTGCTTTCGGCATCTGAGCACTCCACCTCTCCATCACCGTCACCTCCTCTTCCGGCTGCTCTCCGTCGTAGACCATCGATTACCATGCCAGGGTCCCTGTTTCCTCGCTCACCATCACTTGTTCCAGAAGGCCTTAACGAACGACATGTACGGTTCAAGCCTAACGTCGTTAGCCCAACTCCTGCCCGTCCGGTAAACGAACCTGGTCCTTCACAGTCTCGCCCGCCAATGGCACCTTCTGTTAAGGCAGCGGTTGATCGGTTTCATGTCGAGCGAGACCACGCGGATCCCTCCATTCTCCTCCCAAAGACCTCACCCCAACGCTTGACCGGTCAGTCTTTTGTGCGGCCACTTGTTCCCCGGAAGGTATATGCAGACGGAGAGTCTTTACGCGTATCTGATGACAGTGACGATGACGATGACGATGACGAGTACCCTCCGCGTATAAGTGCTAGCGCCAAAGGCAAAGGACGCGCCGTTGATTATTTTATGGGCGGAGACACTTCGGGACATATTCGTGTTCGAGGTAAGGAACGGGAACTTGTAGCTGCTCGAGAGGAACAGCGAAGAAATGAAAAACGTAGGACGACTGAAGCCAACGCTGGGGATGTAGAGAAAGAAAAGAACAGTGACAAAGAACGAATACGAATGCTAGAAGAGGAAATCAGGAGACTAAAAGATGAGGTACTTACTTTAATTTCTTTCATGTTCAATGTTAATAAAAGAATGTTGTACCCAGCTCTCCCGAAGGCCCACGAATGGTGTATCGTCCCTCCCCTTCCCTCCACCGCCACCTCCACCTCCACCTCCGCCACCGCCTCCGACATCTTTTAATACACGAGTGCCAACAGAAATTGGTACGCCACTCTTTACTTCGGCAAGAGCATCATTAAAACCTGCGCCAACGCCTACCGAGGCACCCATAAATCCTTTGTATGCTCCACGAAGACAGGGTATGCCGACCGTCGGTGTCACACCAGATAAGATGGCAGCATTCTTGAACGAAATGAAAACCGTGCGACTCAGGAAAGTATCTAATGGTCCTTCGGCGCCTGTTTCTCGTCATGAAAGTAGCGAATCTCTCAGAGAGAGAAGCTTTTCTACCAGCAGTAGATTATCGCAGCGGATAGACAGCCTATACTCGTCTTCGTCTTCAACTGCTTCGCTACCCCCGACGCTCCTGTCTTCTATAAGGAATCTTGGTGACGATAATGCTATTCCTACAGGCGTAAAGAGAAAGCGGAATGACACTGAAAATACACTGCAAGACGAATCGGGTGAGTGACTACTCCCCTTGTACACTAGCGCGTTTTCTCAAACATCCCTAGATGCAGCTGTCAAAAAGCGAACTATTGCAGCTTCGTCTGATTCTAGCTTCGCTTCGGTCTCTAGCTCAACTTCTTACATACCTACAGCCGAGAATACAGTGACCATTCCTCCTTCTTCATCATCGTCCAAATTACAACCATGCCCACCACCCTCACGTATTCCACGACCTATACAACGCCCTCCTGTTGGCGCGACGCCTTCTCTCTGTTCAGATAATGACGGTACGAGTCTAGATGACGCTCCGCCGTCAACTCCGCCTTTGGAAAATAGACCGAGCTTCCTCGACTTCGAAGTCCCGATCCGGGGTGAATCGGACAATCCTGACGTCGATATGGATGACGAAAGAGAAGAATCGCTTTCTCGTTTGCCAGCTTCTCGACCAGCAACACCTTACAAGCCTAAACCTTCTGTAGACGTCTTCGCTAAGCGTCCACCTGTGTCCCCACTACCAGCGCCATCACCTCGCAAACCGCGCCCGCCGTATAGGCAATCTCGGCCCACGCCTGCTCCCCCATCCCGTGAGGAGACGAGCGAAGAAGACCCACTGTCACTACAACCCTCTCAGCCTGAAACCGATCCTGTTCCTCGTCCAGCATCCGGGCAGACTGGGAAGGACATCTTTCTCGCACAGGTTGCTCAGGCGAAGAAACTGCAAGAGCATACTCGTCGTAGTAGCGTGGCGTCGACCTCTGCAGTGTCGCGGTCGCGGGCCTCTTCCGCCTCGAGGACTTCTAAAAGGAGACCGACTCTGGATGAAGAACTATGGGAGGCCGATAAGCGATTATTGATTGCGCAGGCTGATGGTGACGAGGAAGACGACCTTGAAAGCGGTATTTTCGTGGGCGTCGGAACACGAAGTAAGACCCAAGGTTTCTTGGCTCATGGCGGTGCCGGTGGTCCTCCAGTCTTTATGGGTGTTGGTTACGTGGAAGGTGCGGAAGAAGAGGAGGGCGGTGACCTCAGGAACGAGGTACAGGACAAGCGAGACACTGATGGTATATCCGAGGAGCCATCTCCGTCACGTCGGAAGAAAAAGCCAACCAAGAAAAAAAGGGGGAAACGCTGAGTTGTACTGTAATCTACTTGTGAATATCTGTACATGTGTTATCTGTTTTCTTGGTGCATCTGTTCTGAGGACTGGGTTCCTGTTTGTTGCTGGGTAGTCGTATATCTTATCATGTTTGTTTAAGTAGTTTATTGTATTAGTCTTTACTTAGAATATCTTGGACTCAATGTATACGAGGTTTAGTGAATGAAAAGAATGTAAATTGATATATGAAGCTAAGGGATCCAGTATAATAATAAGGTATATTACAGAGCACGTCAGAATCCTGACGAGAAGTGGACTCTCTTCATCCGAGGGTTACCAGTAGGAGCTGCTGTAGCTTCAACAGAAGCTGGGGTACCAGTTTCAGGTACTACCGTGTTGATCGTTCGAGCTTTGTCTACGACATGTCGGGAGTCGGTCAAGGTAGCAGCAGGGGTGGCAGTCGTGGCGGTGGAAGCAACCTTTAGGGATGCGCAGGAGCCATGACTAACCCAGACACCAGCGGCACCTGAAATACATGTCAGCAACTGAACGGTACCAATCCTTGATGCTAACGATACGTACCTCCGGGCGTGTCTGAATGGGTTTTAGCAACCAGTTAGTACGCTTAAACAGTACAATAATAAATAGAACCAACCATTATACGACCACCAGGATGCAGTCCACAATTGGCCATTATAGGTGACTTGGTTTCCGCCCACGTACTGTGAGATGTGAGAAATTACTTATAAGAGGAAAAGAGCACCCGTCTTACCGTAGTCGTGCTGCTCCAAGCGGCAACTCCGTTGCAGCTTGTGCTTCCTCCGCTGGACGTCGTAGTTGTTGTGGCTGAGGTTGTCGTAGTCGTGGAAGTTGTAGGAGGTGTAGTCGTGGAAGTCGTCGTTGTGGTCTTGGAAGTAGTAGTTGTGGTCTTGGTTGTCGTCGTAGAGGTTGATGTCGTTGTAGAACCTCCCGTGAGGGCGCTCTTAACAGCAGTGTCAATACGACCGTTGGCTAATAAGATACCATAAGCTGGAATCAGTCTATGAAAAGAGGACACGAACCATAAGCTTGCGAAGCATCCCAGAACATGACACCACCGAAAGAAGAATACTGGTTACGAGTCTGAGTTACGATGTTGGCCAAGGTTGCAGCATCGACATAGCCGCTCCCTGCAGCTGTTGAAGAAGCAGGAGCACCAATGTAAACCTTCACGTTGGGATTAGGCGAAGTATTCTTGGCCCAGTCGTCCCTGTAATGGTTATGTCGTTGAGCCGATTCAGTGCAGTATTAGAAAGTGGCCTAAGCATACCAAGTTCCGAAATTCCAGGCCTAGAAAATGGGATTAGCGACTAGACCACCTCATGGGAGGTAGGAATCGGCTTACGTTGGCGTTGCCATAGTTCTGGAGACCACACCAGTTGTTGTAGAACTAGAAAGATCTATGTTAGAAATTTTCTGTGTACTGTGCGAATCCAAACCAATTATACCTGAACGTATATAGCGTCAAATCCAACCGAATTCAAGACGGATCCCAAGTTCGCATCCGGGAAAACACATTGGGGTGCCGCAGTGATGTAGTACCTATGGCAGCTCAATATAATATATAGGAACGGGAGAAGAGTGGAAAACTCACTGCTTGTCCGCTCCACTAGCTAATGACCGAATCTTGTTCACGAAAGCCACAAATCCGGTACTGCCTCCACCCTCAATGTCCAGGTCAATTCTAATGACGCATGGTCGTCAGGTCGGAATAACCTGCTGGATTTAACAACATACCCGTCCAACACCGCATCACCAAATGGCCGCGTAGTACTGGAGCCCCCTAAAAAGAGGTCCCATATGGTCTGCGCGAATTCTTCGGCCTGGGAGTCACTGGAGAATGTAGCAGCGCCGGTGGCACCCCCAAGACTTAGAGTGATGATCTTTCCGGCGGCTTGGCACGTCTGAATGTCCGATGCCATGAACTGGCAGTTCGCCAGACTCGTACCACTGAATACACTATTGTCTACGGAGTTACAGGTCTGTGCATCGTTATATGTTAGTCCGACAACGTAAAATGGCCAAGAGACTCACGTTGGCCAAATTGATCTCAGGAAGGTTGTCGGTTCCAAAGAAAACGGTCAAAAATGCTAATGGGAAAGTACTGATCGTGTCATCCTGTATCGGCGGCGGAGCGATTAACTACAGACTATCGAGAAGGAATAATTTAATCTCACCTGGCAGTAGAAGGCCAAGTTTTGCTGCCATAACGATGTGTCCGTGCTGGTTGCGCCGTAGGAATTCTGACCATAATATCTGCAAGAAAGAAAATCAATGATTGCTGGGAAGCGGGAAGCGGCAGAAGCAAGTACTCTACAATCTGTACAATACTAACGTCAGTGATGTTCTTCTGTAAGAGTCAGGACGACTTACATTATCTGTGCGAGACAGATCAAAAGCCGACGCGGTGAGGAGGTTTCCTGCAACAGCGAGAGCGGCGGCAAGTTGGGCTAGCGACTTGAGGAGTGTCATTCTGTACTGATATCAAGAACGAGGAAGTAGAGCCTGGGGGATAAATCCCTACGAAAAACAGTCCTTTTATACATATGCAGACAGCCTTATCGGAAGAGGAACCCGAAAGTGTGAGATTTCGAGCTTCACATGGCACTGTCAGTTAGTCGCCGTTTGGGTTCTCGTAGAGATTTACTTAGAATTACTTACGTGTTCGTTCACTTCCTCGGGGGATTTCTCGTATATAAAGCTGCATATTTCATGGTTAGCGCCCATGTTGCATTTTCCGCAGATGTAATTCATTTTTGCGACTCACTTCGTTCGAGAACGGCCCCGCGCGGCGCGATTCTAACGGAAAGTCCTTTAGAGATGAAAAGAGAGTCGTCGTGACCCGTTTATGCGCTGGCTGCGCAGGCCTTGGAGTCCTTCCTCATGGATTCAATCTAGAAATGAGATCTAACATGTTGGAAACCAGGAGAGGAATCCATTTTAATGTTGCGTCGTTATCATCTGGTGCAGTTGGCTGTGATAATGCGAGGTCAAGAATAACGTGTACTAGTTTCACGGAGAGGCATCCATATGGTTACTGTGAACGAGATACCCGTAGGTCGTGTGCTGTTCACGGGTAGCTAGCCTGAACCCGGCAGTGACAGAGTAGTCAGAGAAAGAAAGCAACCAAGTTGCCAAAAGAAAGTGCTCCGCAGTGGCGGCCGCGTCGACGCAGTAGCTGCCAGTGAGCAATAAAACTTGTTCAAGTAGCCTCTATTCCTTGTCAACGGGAGACAGTCAATCGTACAGCGAAGCTCGACTAGATTAAACCGAAGATCCCACGCAGATAGCCAAAGAGCTTCTGCCCAAAGCGTACATGTGCTGGATGGTGCTACCAACCTTAAGTTAATGGTACCTTTCGGAGGTACCGACGTCTACTTGCTGCGACGTTGAAATCCGAGCATGGAATGTGAATGGGAAAGTGACAGTACATATGGTACTGCACTCTCTTGCAGTACTGCCGTTGATCCGCAGCAGTACTTAGGTTCCATATGATGATGCAAGCTCTTCCGGGACCGACCCAGGTGATAATTAATGCCTCCCTTACATAGTTCGCTTCCCAAGGATAAGCGATAAGGAATGCATCATTGAAGCGGTGGCAAAATAGCTTTGCAGCTCCAGATTAATCTGAGTGTCATACAATAATAAGCGTGTCTAGGTACAAGTCTACATCTATCCTCGGTCGTAACAGCGGCTCAAAGACACAGTCCAGTACAGTCTCAACAAATAACGACGGCACAAGCACAGAAGCACGCGGCACACTCGCTTACCAGCGATCTTTCCGAGTACCATATCCACTGTCACCGCCGCCATAACCACCTCCACCACCTCCACCATATCGTCCGCCACCGCCTCCGCGGCCACGACCACCTCCGCCATATCGGCCTATCAGAAAATGGTTAGTACCTACTCGTCATGCACAAAAAGGAATACATACTTCGGCCGCCTCCACCACCATACATGGTCATCTCTTCAAGTTGAGGGGGTACGACAGCTTTAGCTTCCTTCAAAATGCTCACGAGTTCTCGGGCAGACTTGGCATTATCAGTGGTAAAGTAGGTGAACGACGTTCCCTTCATGCCAGCACGCTACGGAGAATCGTCAGATACAATGTCCGATGAAAAAAATAAGATACATACCCCAGTTCTTCCAATTCTGTGAATGTAGTCTTCGCAGTTGTTGGGGAAATCATAGTTCTACACAGAACAGGTCAGCAAACGTAAACAATAGCTGAGAGAGAACTCACGATGACATAGCCTACATCCTTGACATCTGAAGAAGAAAGCCAGAGCCAGGATACAAGCAATGCGAGCCAATACACACAGATACATGGATTGACATGAAATGGCAGAGAACATGAAAACAAGAGGACAAGACAGTCAATAACATGCACGGAATCCAATAGGAATAACAAGCGCTTCGAGTAATAAAACTCAAAACAAAAGAAAAACAGGGAAACATCTCGGAACCACTACCAGAATGCACAGAAAGTCCTAGGGTCCACCCCAGCCCTTGAGAGAAGGACTGAGGCACGACGAGTCCAGAACACAGACAGGCAAAGATCTTCTACGCGCGAGAACCGAGAGGATGTTAGTCGTAACGAGTCCATGACTGGAACTCCAAACGATCCGTAACCGTTTACCATACCAAGAACTACTGCGAATGTTCGTTGGGCTGAGCCTACACATGCGTCGAAGCGCATCGAAGGACCAGGCTGGAAAGGTCAGAGGGACTCCTCTCGACGTACACGTGTCCAATCTAGAGCGCCTGTCCAATGCCGGGAAACGCGCCCCACGATCTAAAAGTCAAAACTGTAGGCGGTGTCGAGTTATTGCGTTGGTCACGGCAATAGTTACCGTTGGAGGGTAGGCAACACGAAGAAGACCGCATCCGCGGCTACCTCCTTATGGTCTCCCGATAGCGCTTGTAAAAATGAAATACGTACCAAGCCCACGAGATGCGACATCCGTGGCTATGAGAATCGGTGAACGACCGGCTTTGAACTCTCCCAATACCCAGTCACGCTCGCGTCTGAAAAAGGGACCATTTCAGCCGGTAATATCACAAGGGGAAAGATGAAACGTACTGTTCCTTGTCACCATGAATGGCCAGCGCGGGCCATCCTTCCTCCCGAAGATACTTCGTGATGTCATCTGCGACACGCTTGGTGCCGACGAAGATGAGAACCTTGGCATTTTCCGAGCTGATCTTGTCAAGATGACGTTCCAGCTTGCCTCGCTTCTCAAAATCACTGCAAACTTCAACAATTTGCTGGATGTTATGATTGGCAGTTAGCTCCATAGATCCGATGTTCACTTGGATCATGTCCCGAAGGAAATCCTGAAAAGTCGATATTAGTAATAGAGAGCCTGACAGTAATGAAGTACCCACATTAGCAAGTTTCTGAACGTCCTTGGGCCACGTAGCGCTGAACATCAGAGTTTGCCGGTCAGGTCGAATTTGTCCCACAATCTTACGGATTTGAGGTTCAAAACCCATGTCGAGCATGCGATCTGCTTCATCCATCACCAGATAAGTAACTCGACGCAGGTTGGTTTTGTTAGTTTCAAGCATGTCGATGAGACGCCCAGGCGTGGCAATGACGATTTCCACACCACGTTGCAGGTCACGGATTTGGGGTCCTTTGGGAGCACCACCATAAATAGCTGTGTTTCGAATCCGGGAGTTGGATCTGCGAGCAATCGGAGATTAGTCACGAAATGGAGATTTTTTGTAATAGTCATACCCAAATTTGGTGCATTCTTGCTGGATCTGTACCGCCAGCTCACGAGTAGGCGCCAGAACAAGGGCAATCGGACCATCTCCTGGAGACAGGAGCGGTTGCCTATAAATGATCGATGAACTCGTCATGATAAAAGTGAGGGAGAGTAGGCCTTACGCATTAATATGTAGCATGGCCGGAAGAGCGAAAGAAATCGTCTTTCCACTTCCGGTCTGCGCGATGGCTACGACGTCACGCCCACTAAGGGCCATCGGCCAGGCTTGACATTGAATGGGTGTAGGAGAAGAGAAACCTTGTGCTCGGATAGATGTCATGAGGTAGTCTGGAAAGCCAACTTCTTCAAATGATGAGACAGGCCTTGGCACTGCACGACCTTGCACCTGGTGACAACCATGTGTCAGCCTCGTTCCAAAAGTGAAATAAATACGAACTGACCCTGATTTCCTTGGTTTTTCTGAAATCCTCGACCTCTCGCTCGCTACGTTGTGATACTCGCTTATCTTCAACGTAGAAGTTTTTCTCGAAATGCTCGAGTTTGGTGCTAGTCCAGTCGACAGTGCGGAGACCACCACCAAGATTGGACATTTTGTCGTCATGACCGCCTCCCCAACCTCCTCCTCCACCATAGCCTCCACCACCACCATATCCGCCGCCGTAACCACCACCACCACTGTAACCGTTATAACTCTACAGAGATGTTAACAATCAGAAATGAAGAAATGAAAAAATCATACCATTGTACTATGGGATAAAATAAAGGGTAAAGGGGAAGGTGATGGAAGAAAACAAAGGGGAATGAGGGAGTAAAATTTCGCTAAACCGAGGAAGTCGATCACATGACGAGCCAAACAAGAGGCACAGCCATCCGGAACACGGGAAATCGATTTCCTCCGCCTGAATCACAAGACGCGTTATCAGTTATCGTCCACAACGTCTATAGAGCAGGATTACGGTAGAAAAGAATAACTATGTGTATATGCTAGTCCCTTGAAAATATATAACGGTATATTCGTTCGCATAGCGTGAAGGGTATGTGCAAATGTAACAAGTGAAAACGAATAAAAGCTACAAGCAAGTAAATGTGCACGGAGAAAACATTACATGACGATGCAGCTATCCTTCCCTCTCTTTGGTCTCTTCTTCGATGGGATGCTGTGCGGGTACCTATTTCGCATCTGTCTCAATAGATCCTCGAACACATCAGACACATGCCAGTTCCGTTTGGCGGACGTTTCATAGAATGGATGTTCCCAACGATTGGCAAGGTCCTGTATATAACCTTTCTGTACTTCGCGCTCGTTAACGAGATCCAATTTGGTACCGACAACGACGATAGGGATGTTCTGTTGGCAGACGTGAGCAAAAAAGGTATTCTTGGCGAAAAGGTGATCTGACAGTATCTCCGCCTTTGATTCTGTATATCTGCTGCCGCAAGTGATCGACCTCCTTTAAGCTGGCCTCTTGAGTCAAGCTGCGGACGAGTAAGACCAAGTCGGAAACCACAGCGCGCTGACTCGCCTGAAGACAAGGACAAAACCCAGTCCTGCCTGCGCAGTGGTCAGCGAACTGTATGAGTGATAGACGATACCACGAACCTTAATATACACTTCATTGAGACTCGTGAACTGTTCAGCGCCTGCAGTGTCCAATATTTCTAGCTAAAGAAACGGAACATGAGTAAGCATTCGATGTGAAAGAGGAAGCAAGCACAGCGTCGTTCTACAGTGCGAGAGTGAAGATGATGGGCGCTGAACGACGACAGACACATACCGTAGAGAGTTCTCCATCAAGGTGCACGGTCCGTCGATACTCCTCTAACCCCAATGATCAAGCTGTCGTACGACGAGCCACTACGAGTCGACCGACCTTCAATTGTGGGATCATAGTAATCAATGAACACATCTCGTATGTATCGCACTGCATACAACGAGGTCAGACACAGCCAACAGCCAGCTGTACGAGGCAGACCTGTAAGCGCAGACTTCCCCACACCTCCAGCTGGCACAAGAACAGAGATCAGCCAGGCATCGATAGGCCTACAGGAAAACAGCACCGACCCCCAAGGACGACGACGTTGAACTTGCGCATTCAGACGGTCCTCGACGCCCTGTGCGTCGCTACTGACGCCGACAGCGAATCAAAGTCGAAATGGGTAGCAGAACTGAAATAGACAGGTAAGACAAAGAGAGCATGGCCGTGAGAGCCGTATAAAAATACCGCCAAGCAGCCCCAAGCGCGTCCGTGCAGGGCCGCGGCTCCTTCCTCTTCGATTGCCAGTTGCCACCCACACGACACACCATGTCCCGACCAAGGGTATTCATGGACTTTTCTGTCGACGGCCAGCCATTGGGCAGGTAGCCTGTCATGATTTCCCTGCTATAATTCATGCTGACGCGGCGCATATACAGGGTCATCTTTGAGCTTTTTAGCGATACTGCACCGAAGACATGCGAAAAGTGGGCTCAATGTTCAGCCATACAGATCCTTTTCTCACAGATAATTTAGCTTCAGAGCCCTATGTACCGGAGAAAAGGGCGTCTCGTCGTCGGGCGTGCCGCTCTACTACAAGAGCAGCATCCTGCACAGGTGCATCAAGGATTTCATGATTCAAGGAGGAGGCATGTGTCTCTCTCTCTACCGAACTTGGCATATCTGACCTTCTAACAGACTTCACTAAGCGCAACGGCACTGGTGGCGAATCGATATACGGAGGCATGTTCCCTGACGAAGACCTAACCCGGCCTCTGGATTCGGAAGCCTTGCTCTGTATGGCGAATAGAGGTCCCGATACCAATGGTTCTCAGTTCTTCATCACCCTGAGGGAATGTCCCCACTTGAACGGTGCGTCATATCTCCATTTTTTTGCCGTAGCATACACTCACTTACGCCACAGGCAAACACGTCGTATTCGGCAAGGTCATTCGCGGTTACGACGACGTTGTCAAAAAAATTGTCGATGTCCCTGTGGATGCGAAGGATCGTCCCACAACCCCGGTAACAATCACTAGTTGTGGCGAGCTTGAGCTTCGCAAAAAGCAACGTAGGTTTCTTTTGACTGGCACTCCATCAACCTCACGTCGTGTCAAGCCTCCAAGCGTGATCGCTCCATCTCAGAAGAAAACGAAAACGAAGACCGCAGGAGGCGCTCCCATCACCGTTCTCCCAGTACAGATTCAGAGCCTTCGCGTCGTCGCCGCAAGACGTCCAAGCGAAAGAAGCGTAGCGAAGACACGAAGAAGGACGAAACGCCATTACAAGAAACCGAAGAAGAATACGACGCAAGACTCGAGAGGGAAGAGAATGAACGAATAGCAGAGCAAAGAAGGAAGGAATTGGAAAGAATCAAGCGTCAACGTGAAGCCGAACTTGAGCCAAAGGATGGCGTACGATTCAAAGGTGTGCCTTTCATGTTTCATCCTTCATTTCAGCTAATGTCCCTTATTCCAGGGCGAGGAAGAATGAAATTTATTGACCCCGAGTCTACATACAGATAGTTACATGCAATACCGCCGGTCCCAGGCATAACGTACAAAAGTTATACCAGTCACGACGCACAGACTCACCACTATGGGAGTCATAATATAGTGTTCAAACATGTCACCAGTATGGTCTCTGTTTTTTTTTAATCGATACGGCTTCGTTCACTATGGCACAGCACCGAATTCCAACGAAATCAGGTCTCTTACCAACTGCCAGCATGACTCCTTGGACCGTAGCTTGCATCATGAAGTCATTAATACACATCGCTAGGCAAGAGGTCCGTCTGCTAGGTGTTGGGCGTAGACTCGGTACACCCCCTTCGTCTACTTTGTTTGGTGATTCCCCAAAGTCCCCCTCGCCTGACTTATATATACCTTACCCCTCAAATTGCACATTAGAGTAACCATGGTTACCGGGCTGCTTCCCCTCATCATATTACTTAACTGGATTCAATCTGTCCAATTGCAATCAAGAATTAATACTTCCTCGCAAATACTTGCTTGATGCTCTCATCATTGAATTGCCGGTCTACTAACAATACCGTACTCAATTGCACGGTTATGAGGGTGCGAATCTGTCCCTAGTACAAGTTCAAAAATATACCATCCAAGTAAGAACGACGACAGGCTGTATATTTAGTTAGTTTTCAAAACCACTGTAAGTTTCATTGCAGCGTTGAGAATAAGCCCTCATGATATATTCGTAAAGTCGAGCGACGTCCAGACGATCTGCTCGAACAAAGCCCTTTAAATTATGGTCATAGCTGATGACGATTGTACAAAACTATCAAGCATAGTTGAGCCATACAGCAATAATAACAACGCATAAGTATTCGTGCATAAGACTACATAGAAGCATACTTCAAACTTCTACCTGCGCCACCTGCGCAGTAACCGTCTCGACCTCAGCATCTTTTGGTGGGTCAGACTCTTGACCTTTTTTCTCCCTCTTCGCCGCCGCATGGGCGAAACTGAAGGAGGGACGTACGTTTGACGACGGAGCAGTTGTTTTGGGTATCGCATGAGACGGCTGGGGAGATGAAGGAGTCGAGGCGGGTGGGGTACCGGTCCTGCTTATGGTAGGACGTTCAGACGCAGTCCGTGAGTTGGTGCGCGACATTGTCAGTCGCTCTCGGTTGTGCTCACGGTCCTTTTCGAGACGTTCAATAACTTCTTGCTCACGCCCAGAGACATCGACTGGCCTATGAAACGATATGTGTCAATTGGGGTTGCGGCCGCGAAACATAGGCGCTTACTTGGCTGCTCCGAAGGGGTTAGAGCGGGCAGATGATGCCGATACGGAGGATGTGGGGCCAATCTTCGGTGAAGACAAGGGACTGGGAGTGCCAGAAGCGCTACCAGAGCGTGGCAAAAGCTCTAATTTCCGACGCATTGGTGTAGGTGGAGTCGAGTTCGTTGCTGTCAAAAAGTCAACCTTCGCATACTTATTGCAGTATGATTGAACGTACGGGAGGTACTGCTCCTGCCTAGCGACCTAGACTTTCGCCAGTCAAAGTCATCGCCTGCCGGTTCCCGAGGTGGGCCCATGTCCCCACGTCCTCTCGAACCAAACCGACTTCCACTGTCTTCCGAGGGCTTGAATTTACTTCCTATCGTCCACGAATCCTCCCGATCAGCGGCACCACTTGATCCCTCAAATCCGGGGTCCTTTCTGCGTCTAGTGGGTCCGTCATCCTGAGTATGGGCGGGGCGTGACGGCATGTTTGAGCGCCAGTCGCTTGGGCCCTCAGAGACGCTTGGTAACCTATCGTCACTACGCGGTCCATCGAACCGACGGCGTGATGAGTCTCGCGATGGCAAGTCGGGCAATGGCCCATCGCGTCGCCACGGGTTGTCAAATTTACCATCGTCTCCGCCACCAAAGCCGGAGCGTTCCTTGGCTACAAGGTTACAGTAAGAACGTTTACAAAGACGCTTATCATCACTGAGAAGGGGACTGACGTGGTTCGGCAACACTAACACGGATCGTTCTTCCTGAGAAATTCTGTCACACGCAACGTCAGTGGACGATGGTCAGCATGATTATACCCGGCATAACGTACGGAACCGCTGCGCGCGAGAGCATCCTTCAGACCGTCCAAATCCTCAAACTCGACATATCCGAAACCCTTTGGTTTGTCATCTCTGTCTTTGATGATTTTGACAGATTTCGGCTACGGCATTTGATGAGCGAGATTCAATCGTACGAAGCACGGAAGGACGAACCTTGTTCGCAGCGAAGAAATCCTCTAACTCAGATTCGACCAAATCAAACGCCAGATTCCCGATGAAAGCTGTGTATGGGGGTGCAGTGGGAAGTGGGAGGTCTTCGCGAGGGGGCCCAGAGACACGATCCGCTGCAGTGATCCGAGTCAGTCAAGGGACAGAGTAGAAATAGAAATGGCGTACGTCGCGATGACAAGAAATCATCACGTCGACCGTGTCTGTCTCCCGGTCGACCATAGTCGTCGTCATTCCTTGCAGCGGCTGCTCAGACATAGTGAGCACCCCATCATCGCAGATGGCACGCATAGCTTACGAGCAGACGGCAGAGAATCCATCTCGTCCGCCCATGATCCCAGGGCTGGATGGTAAGACGCTCAGTCAGCAGCCAAAGTCGCGCCCGGTATTTACTCACCGCTATCGCCCAGGAATTCATTCAGCGAAATTTTCTTTCCTTTTTTCGGAGCTGCAGAAGAAAACAGACAGTAAGAGAATGGAAGGCGTTAAGGGACAGTGTGACACACCCATGATGTTGCTTGTCGGAGGAAGGCGTACAGTCCAGAAATTTTGCTGTGGACTTTGCCTCTATTTGCTGACATACGCATTCGGATGCGGTTTCCGCCAAAATCCGGGCCGTCCCCTCATCGATTTTGCGGATATTTACCTCAGGTTTTATCTCGATTCCGGGGCACAAACTGGCACAAGCAAGGTTCACGTCTCAAGGAATAAGGTAAGGACCCCATAGGGTATATGATATTAACTGTGAATACAAATATCCAGAGAGCATAGTAATATAATTTAAGCTTTTCCAGCAAACATTTTTTTGATCGCTTCCGTCGAATACGACTTGGGACGCTCAAGGGCTGAAAATTTCATGGTCAGTACAATCACGGGGCCGATCAATGGAAAAGACATACGGGCACCAAGGGCACGATCCCAAATGAGCTGGGCCGCGACACCGAAGGCACGGGAGACACCGAACAGAACGGTGTAGAACTGCATTTCTGTCAAGCCGTAGTGGGTCAGGAGAGCACCAGAGTGGGCATCGACATTGGGCCAAGGGTTCTTAGCCTTTCCAGCCTACATAGAAACCGTCAGCCATCGGATCAGTTAAATGGAGTAAAAAAGGCGTCTGACCTCGAGAAGAATGTTCGGGACGATCTCGTAGATTTGGCCCACAAGCTTGAACAGAGGGTCCTCAGGGAGATGCTTAAGTGCAAACTCACGCTGGGCGGTGTATCGGGGGTCTGTCTTCCTGAGAACTGCATGACCGTATCCTGGGACGACCTTGCCTCCCTTGAGTGTCGCCCAGACATACTCCTTGACGGCGTCGTCCGAAGCGTTCTTGCCAATGGTTTCCTGCATCTTGGTCAACCACAGGAGCACTTCCTGGTTGGCCAAGCCGTGGAGAGGACCAGCCAGACCATTCAAAGAAGCGGCAAAGGCAAGGAAGGGATCTGAGAGAGCAGAGCCGACTAGTTTGCCGGTGTGAGCAGAAACATTTCCACCCTCGTGATCACTAAAGGCACAGTCGTATCAGGAACGCTGCAAAGCCATGTGGGAGTTGCATACCTGTGAATAGTGATGTACAAGCGAAGAAGCTCGACAAATGCATCATTTTCCCCAAAGCCAAGAAGGGTTGCCAAGTTGGCAGAATAATCCTTGGCGGGATCAATTGCGGGAAGCTTGCCTTTACCGAAGACGTTCCGGTAAATTCGACCGGCAATATTAGGAAGTTTGGCGATCCTGTAGACAGACGCGCGGTCAGTGACGTCAGGAAGATTTTCATAGGCAAAGACACTTGCAAGTCCATGGAATCCTCGAACGTGGGACCCCAGTAATCCTTCTTGGAGATACCATTTTGATAGGCCTGTGCGAAGGCGGAGTTGTGATTGAGCTGATGATGGTTTCAAAGATCAGTCCATCACGGGTCTAAAAGTGAAAGAAGGCACGCGACACGTACGGCGGTGACAGCCAAACTGAATTGGCTCATGGGATGGAGGGTAGGAGGGCACCTGTCCAGGATCTCCTCAACAAATTCAGGAATGGCAGCACGCGCGGCCCAGTCTTTTGAAAGATCCGCGACCTGTTCCTGGGTAGGGATTTCTCCAGTGAGGAGAAGCCAGAACAAGGCCTCAGGAAGGGGCTCCGAGCCGCCAGGAGCTTTGGGAAGGAGCGCTTGACACTCGGGAATGGTCTTTCCACGGAAGCGGATACCCTCATCTGATAGGGGGGTAGTGAGTAGCGGTTAAGGAAGGAAAATACGGAAGGGCGCGCACCAGCGTCGAGCACTGATCCCTCCCAGATGAGCGCAGGGAGACCGCGCATGCCTCTGAAGAACAAGTGAGAACACGAAATAAAAGTTTTTTTAAAAAGCGTACCCATAGAGCTGGTCGACGACTACCGGTCCAAAAGACTTTTTACCATGCTCAAGTCGGGCTTGTTTCACCTGGAATGATGACTGTCAGCTAGCAGTTACATGACAGCAAAAAATACGTGCATTTTCTTGTTCTTGAGGAATGAGCTGGGCCAAACGCTCTTTGAGGGCACTCGATGACGGAGCCGTTGTCGAAAATCGGGCCGAGACACCTGCTGTCCGACCCAGGGAGGAACGGGACTATTGCGGGGGTGGGGTAAGGTCCAGAACAGTTGGAAATAAAAAGAAACAAGGCTTACCAGCTGCAATATTGAGCGAGACTGGAAAGCCATGGTGGTGGTAAGAGAGAAAGTCGTGACGAGGCGAATGGAGAGGAAGGTGGGGATCCCCAATGCGTTGCCGGGCCTTTTTAAATTCTCGAAAATTATTTCCTAATATCTCCGATGACCCCTGTCCACGTGATCGCAGCCAATCGTCCCGTTGTCAGCCATGATCTGATGATGCCATCGGCAGCTGCCGCAGGGGTTGCATTCCAAATTCCAAAGTCAATTCTCTCTCCATCTTGCTACACAATGGGTAAGAGAAAACGAACAAATACCAGCGAAAACCCCCCTGCAGGCACTAGTACATCACTTTTACCCCAGGTAAGTATTCCCGGTTTCATGTAACCAAGTCTTATTTTTTTTCCAGAAAAGATACTACAGGCAACGCGCTCACGCGAATCCATTTTCTGATCATGCCCTGGAGTACCCAACGTCTCCCCAGAGTGTCGACTGGGATAGCCATTACCCTTCCTTTGCCCGCTCAGGCAAGGTGCCAGAGTTCGCCGACGTCGGTTGTGGCTTCGGCGGCTTGCTGATCTCTCTGGCTCCTCTATTTCCCGATACCCTTATGTTAGGTCCGTCGTCCATATTTCCGTCGGCATCGCCATCTGATTGTCGTGATATCCTTCTGCAGGCCTGGAAATACGTGTGCAGGTCTCTCAATATGTCGAGGACCGTATCAAGGCCTTGAGGGTAGCTGCCGAGCCTTCATCACCGGCGGCCCACTACCAAAATGTCTCCATCGTCCGTGCAAATGCGATGAAGTTCCTACCCAACTACTTTACGAAGCATTCGCTTTCTGCGCTCTTCTTTCTGTTTCCCGATCCCCACTTTAAATCACGGAAACACAAAGCGCGTATCATCTCACCCACTCTCCTTGCCGAGTACGCTTACGTGCTTCGTCCGGGCGGCATTGTATATACTATCACCGACGTAAAGGATCTCCATGAGTGGATGAAAGCTCACCTTCAGGCATTTCCGCTGTTCGAGCCGGTTGATGAAGAGACACTCCGAGCCGAGGGTAAGGGCCCCATTGTGGATGCCGTGTACACTAGCACGGAGGAAGGCAAAAAGGTCGAACGGAACAAGGGCGATAAGTGGCTTGCGTGTTTCAGGCGTAAAGAGGTCGCACGACAGTAATTTCTCCAACTCGTTGCATCCACACCATCGGCCGATTCTTACGAAGCGGCGCTCACGCATAATACCCGCCGAGGTACCTTGGGGGTGCCTGTCCTGTTATGTTTCTTCCGTGCGGCCCGATTTACGGTTTACTGCGATCAAGCCGCTCTTTACTTGATAGCTTAGTAGTGTCCCATGATGGAGGGTCATATAGAACGCGACATTCGAATTCGTAGAGTTACAAAATTACTTTGTAGTGTATCTGTATCAAAATGCGTCACGTTCCATGTTGATGAAATAAATCGCGAACTCTAGAATGAAAAATCAGGGGGAGAATTTGAATCTACATGCCATATATCGGGAGGTCTCGCGGGGAAGAATGCGGGGTAACAAATTTAACAGTGGTGGCTGAGCTTGGCTGAGTCCAGAACTTGGATGTTGAACAGATGATTGACTATACAGAGAGCACGAGTCTTCCAAGATCGGACTAGCAGGTTAGAAGGAATGTCATAGGAAGTGATGAACTGGCCAAGGGTTGACAATAATATCAAAGATCTCGGTACAAAGACAAGTTTTCAATACTCGTACATCTGCTCATCTTCCTTCTCCCCGACATTTTGTGTAGCTGACTGCATCGCCGAGATCAGCATACCGGTCCGTGACCGTATGGCAGCTCGCATCTCTCCATGAAAAACCTTGCCCGCTTCGCACGCCAACTTGAAAATTTCTTCGAAGCGATCAACATGGAGCCGCGTCTCCATTGTGGTGAGCGTCACCTTGCCTGTCCGCGGCATGACTGCAACGGTGACGTGAGGGATGTCGTTTTCTTCAAGCGTCGTGAGATCGAGCATAGGCGATGTCGAATGCACGCCGCCCGTCACAGCGCAGACAAAATCGAGCAACGCGATGCCAGCGCTAGCAAGAGCAAGTGTCGTGGCATTGATACAGGCCTGTAGTAGACCCCCATCCTGCTGTAGAACCTGCACAAAGATATCGATCTGCGAGCGTGGGTAAAGATTTGTCTGCACGACAGGCTCGAATGTCGACTTGATGGTCGCCGCCATCTCAAGTATTCGTCTGTAAAAAAAGGCGGAAAAAAGCAACGATAAATATTAGGTGCTCACCAGGACTCCCCCCTACTCACTTGTCACCGCGAGAGCGTTTCCTGCGTTCCCCCGTGCTGAAGGAGGCGATGCTGACTTCGACATTGATGTTGGCCCTGTCGTACAAGGTTTGCGACCGCATCTTGGCCTCTCGCGGCCCAAATACTGATACGAGAACCTGAGTCAGGCCATGGGTAATAATGGCAGATCCGTCTGCTGTGCCCTGCTGGGACAGATCTATGGTGATATCGCGCAACTCATACTGTCGCCGTCCGTCCGAGCGAAATCCGCCTTCGTTGAGTATTTCGACTCGCGAGCTCTGCATTATTTGTAAGTAAGAAAAAGAACAATAGAAATGTCTAAAAAAGCATACGGACCATGCCTGTTTTTTTTTTAATTCTTTGCCTCAGGTGATGGGAGCGGAACAGACACGGATCTGTGACAAGCGTGTTTTGAGTTGAAGAACGTAATGCAACGTCCAAGAATAGCCCCTAATAAGTTGTCTGACCCGCAGTATTCTTCATCTCCTCCATTCCTTCCTTGTCACTTACCATCATCTAGACTCTATCATGGCGCCTGCTGATATCGCGGTGCCAACGTCGATTCTCGACACGGATCTCTACAAAGTTCGTGTCGCTACAGTCTGCAGCCGAGGCTGGCTCGAATTCACTGGAAATCTAGTTGACTATGCAAGCTGCCGTGTTGGACCATTTCCCGACAGTGACAGCAGTATACAAGTTTACTCTACGCGATAAACAAATATCCTTCACGCCTCATTTTGTCGACATTCTCAGAGGCGTCGTATCTTGTGGGTATCCAATAGCCACAATTCATTGACAAGTTCATTCATGCCACCTAGGTTTCGCCGACATTACTCTACAGCCAGCCGAGCGTGAATGGCTTCAATCAGCCTGCTCCTACTTCTCGCCTGAATATATAGACTATCTCTCGGCGTACCGTTTCAAGCCTGAGCAAGTACAAATCACGTTTGTCCCATCCGCAGACAACAGTGAGCGAGGCACTATTGACATTGTCATGTCTGGTCCGTGGGTTGAAACCATTCTTTGGGAGGTTCCCATCCTCGCTTGTGTAAGCGAGACGTACTACAACACAATAGAAGAGGACTGGAACTATGATGGACAAGAAGGTGCGTCTAGACGCTACTGCCTGATAAGACCCGATGATTAAAGTTATGAATGTCAGATATCGCGTACAGCAAGGCTAAGGCTCTCAAGGAAGGTGGCTGCGCGTATATGGAGTTCGGCACCAGACGCAGGCGAACTTTTCATGCGCAAGATATCATGGTAGGTGCTTTGATACGCGCCTCTACCGAAGTGCAGGGCAAAGGAAGGTTGATGGGAACCAGTAATGTGTGCTCATTACAGCCGATCGGATTGAAAACCTTGATTGACCATATGCATGCTGCAGGTTCTTTTAGCTCACAAATACGGTATAGCACCGATGGGAACGATTGCTCAGTATGCCCATCCTTGGCTCGTCGTTCCTTTCTAAGATTGACTCTGACCTATAGCGAGTGGTTCATGGGGGTTGGTCATTGCTGTGTTGTGTGGAACGCGGCTAAAAAATTTGCCACAGGTTGCTGCCCTGAAGGGGTATGAAACGGCAAATACGCTGGCTCTGGAACTCTGGGAACAGACTTTCCCCGACTCCAAAGCACTCGTTGCGTTGACAGATACGTTCTCAACTGGCGCTTTCTTCGAGGTGAGTCATTTTTGCCTCTGTGCCAGTATTGGTAATTCGATAACTCATTCACTCACTTCAGAGTTTCATTAAAGTCCCCGAACTCGCTCGTCGGTGGACGGGGCTTCGACAAGACTCCGGTGATCCCTTTATCTTCTCACCGCGCGCTAAAGCAGTGTACGAGAAACTGGGTATCGACCATCGCACGAAGACCATTACCTTTTCGGATGCGCTTGATGTTGACAAGGCGCTCAAACTGCAAAAGCAGTCGGAGGAGATCGGATTTAAAGGTAGCTCTATCGTCTCTGACAATCAGTTCCGTCCTCATATATTCTGGATGTAGCCTCGTTTGGAATAGGAACGTTTCTTAGTAACGACTTCTTCAAGGCATCAAGCGGAGGCAAGGAGAAGAGCAAAGCAATGAATATGGTCATCAAACTCGCTTCCGTTGACAACAAACCTTGCGTGAAGATTAGTGATGATCTGACTAAGGTGGGCTATGCACTTATCTTGCGACGGTCACCAGGTATTAACGGCATGGACTATAGAACACTGGAGACGAAGCGGAGGTACAAAAGGTGAAACGATTTTTTGGATTACCTGTTTGAATTTGGGAGAGCTTCAGTTTCGTTGGATGTTAGATGGACCCGCCGTAGACGTAAGTATACCGTTGGACCCATAAATTAAATGAAGGAAGCTGATTTCTGTAGCAACCATGTATTCATATATTAACGTGATAGAATTTGTACAATGGACTGGTCTATGTACTTATCTGCGGCTGATTCGCGGATGTATGATAATGGCGTCACTGAGGCGCCACAGCATCGGCCCGATATCCGAGCCTACTCAGGGTTGCGGACGAAACAGAACCAAACTTGCGGCACTTTGTCATATGCACTCGCATGTCTCCCTCCATTTGCCGTGTCGTTGAGGATGCAAAATACCAGACCAGGGAGATACGGGCAGCAAGGCGGGCCAAGAAACAGCCATGGATTGTCCTCAAGCTCATGGTCTTCATCACCGCCGGTATCATGATATATGCTGCCTACGTTTACATTGGGAGGTTCTGCGTTCCGGGTATACGGCGGGAGCACGCGTTCGTCAGTAGAGGGGCCTCCAGTACGTGCTATTCTATAATATCATTTGATTTTTCTAACTGTCTGCAGTCGCGATGCTGGTGGTATTCTGCCCGTTGTACCTCTGGATGCTATGGGCGTACGTCATGGTGCGTCAGGGATGCCGAACTATATTGAATTTGACCACAGAGCAGGATTATAGGTTGTCATTGTGTCTCCAGGATATGCTCGTGATGTTCGTGCATCTTACTACCAGGTTTCTTGGAAACTGACAGTGTTGTAGCATGTTCCAAGGTCGCCGGACCCACCACCCTTGACGCAGTCACCCTATATACCACCCGTACCGCCTTCGTTCATTGGACCTGATGCCGACGTTGAATCTGGCGCGATGGGTAATCCAGCTAGGGCAGGAAACGATAGCATTGCAGGCCCGTCTTACGAAGAAATGCACGATTCAAGACCTGTTTACGACAGTGATGAAACTGACGAAGGTGTAACACATAATAACCACGTTTCGCATCCACCACCTGTCCAGGCGTCTACATCGCTACCTCCACGGAGCGATGGCAACTGGACAGAAGACAAAGAACTCGACTTTCGGATACGAATGTCTATGATGCATATTGAACGACGACCACCTACGAATCCAGTCCTCTTACCCGCGTATCGCTATTGCACTAGGGACGAATTGGTCAAGCCACATCGGGCGCACCACTGCAGCGCTTGTGGCACTGTACGTTCCTTCTTGATTACCTACTTACCTCGAATTCTTACCAAAGCTGGCTAGTGCGTGCTTAAGTACGATCACCATTGCCCTTGTACGTATTTTCCCATACTTCTTACGCATGCTGACATAGTTTGTAGGGATTGGTCAATGTGTCGGCGCGCGAAACCACAAGTTCTTCATCAACTTCAATCAAGCCACTGCCATATTCACCGCATATACCTTTGCCACTTTACTGACGTATAATATACGATCCGCTACTGCCACAGGCGGCGACTTGGACGTTCAGCAAGTAGTTATCATTGCACTGTAAGTCCCTCGTTTCACCCGCGTGCATGTCTTAACTTTGGTTGTATAGGAGCGCTCTTTTCTTCATATTTACTACAACGCTATTTATCTCCCATGTCCGGCTTCTGTATCTTTCACAGACTACGGTCGAAGCTATGTATGACCGAAGCATGAAAGAACGCGAAGGGCATATGCTCAATGATGCCTTTGGTCTCTGCGGGTTCACGTGAGGTTTCCATACGTTCCGCGCGTGTGGTCTTCTGATGTATTGCCTTTATAGCCAAAAAATTCGTCTGCACCGTTCGTGGGATGTAGAGTGGGGACGGATAGGAAAAGAGGGTAACTTATGGTGGTTAGGCTCTGGGAGAAAAGGCTGGGAAGACGTGATGGGGGATTGGTGGGTAGGATGGATATTCCCTGTTGGAAGAGGGCTGTCGGATGGACTGAACTACACCGCCAATCCCAGATTTGACGAGGCAGGGAGATGGAGGAGACGGAAGGAGTGGCCTGTGGAGTTGCAATGACATTAAGCGCGATTATCTTATTCCCTCACCATGGAACACTATCTAAACGCCCTTGTTGTATGTGTGTACATCTAGTATTTGCAAGTTTAGTAGGCATCTGTGATGATACTTAATCCCACAATGGCATGCTTACGGCTAGAGCATCGTACCTGTAGTTCCAAAATGGTCATTATACCAAGTTGTTCGGCGCAAAATCACAGCCTAGAAAATTTCTCAGCCTCTTCTAAACCGTGACGATTAGCTTAAAAGAGTATCCAGCATAGAAGGTCGGAGTAGGTGTTGTGCCGAGAAACAATACCAACTGCGGCATGTTCGAATGTCAAGCGGCTATGCATTCTACACTAGATGGCCTGTCGGAGTAATATACGGATGTTGTAGAAGCGGATGGTGCGGAGAGACCAGTGATAAACTCCACTTAAGGACTTGGGTTGTATGGAAGCCAAAGATCGGTCAGAGCCACACACCGACGAAAAGCCCCCCAGAGAAACATGTACCCTGAAAAATTCGGAGGTGACAAATGTAAAAATATTGCTGTACGCTCGCGACGCATAGCGGTCTGGCTGCTTACTTCACCCATCTTCTTTGGCGTGCAACGTAGATGAGACCGATCCGAGTTGGCACTGATATTGACGCTCAAAATCGTATTCAGCAAATGAGTTGTTGGAATTACAAAGTGCATTGCGTATAGTTATTCTCCAGGTTCAGATCCTGTCTTGAATGAGAGAATATCAGACAGGGTTACAACTACGCATCAACGCGCTTACTGTAAGAGTAGTAATCCGCTTGTGGCTATCTATACCCAAACGTTACAATTGATTAACGACTAAAGAATGAGAATTGTGATAGAGAAAAACGATATGACAAACTCCCGATAAAAGCTAGATCTGTGTGAAAGTCCATACCAAAGATGTGAAAGATAAAGCGTGTTTAGAAAATAGAGTTGATGATCCCACTTCCGACAGCGGATCCTGAAAGGGATCAGTATCGAAAGAAAGGATTATGAAAAATGACAACAGACCTGCTCCAAATCCAACTCCTCCAACAGCAGAGTGAGCCAACTAGACATGCGTTCAGTGTTACCGGACTGATGGACGGATAAAGACCACTTACAGTATTCTTCAGGCCGCCCCCTCCGAGTCCGAACTTGGACTTCTTGGGCTCCTCGACAGTGACTTGGGTGGTCACCTGAGTTGGAGCTGGCTGCGGCGGTGGCGGCTGATAAGCTGGGTACGGAGCGTTGTATTGCGAGGGAGGGGGACCGTATCCCACGGGTGGTCCAGGAGGAGGCTGGTATAGTGGATTGCTATAAGGTGCATTTGGGGGAGGACTGTAAGGTGCCACCTTCTCAGCGACCGTATCGGGTGGCAACCGTTCGACATAATTCGAGGGGAACAAGCCCTCGACACCATTGTGCCGTCCTGTCCACCAGTCAGCATTGGCTTCTGCCACGATTTCGATAACATCGCCGGCCCGGAACGAAAGATCGTGAGGGTCCTGTCGTGGATGAGTATTTTGCATGAATGAGACTATGAAAGAGAAACGAGCGCAACTTGTCTGGACTCGTTGTATCCCCAGATTGCCCTGGCCTTGGAGACAGTAGTAACTGGCGGTGAATTGTACGGCTGAGGAATTGGAGGCGGCGGCGGCGACCGTACGAGCAGATTCTGGGTAGACCTGGTAATGTCGGCTACAGCTGGGTCCTGAGGCAACTTGGCAATGATATCCCTGGCATCGCTGGGAGAAATCTTGTTTTGTGAGGCAAGAAATTCGATGTTCTGCTTTGTCTGGGAAAGGATATGAGCAAGCAAGGCAGAGGAGTCCATGGTCGAGATGGTGGTAAGAGCCAAGATTCACCGGGCCGTCGGCCGTAAATTAATTGAATTAATCGATTCCAATGACAGGCTCGCAGGTAAAATGAATAACATTTTCTTGTATAGCAGAATCTAGTGTAAATAATCTCTGACTACCTAGGAGATCTTTCCAAATCTTCAGCTTCAGCAACGAGGGCCGCGGTACTGACCCGTGAATGTCCGCCCCTTGCCTTACAATTAAGAGTCTGCAGGCTAGGGGAGACTACGTATTTCTCGAGCTTGTCGATGACTATTGCCACTCGTTCAACCTCACAACTCCTCTTCAGGAGTAGCACACGCTGTCATACAATAAGGCATGGAGGCAACTATATTCCCGCTGAGTCGTCGATTTCAAACAGTAGACCCTTTTTATGTTCTAAGTGCAGTGACTGGGAATGTTTGAGAGGTAAGACATGTATACCTTGACTATTCCTGCAGCTTTTCTTTACCTTTAACAAAGCGCATTCCGCTCAGACGGAAGCGTCAACAACATCTACCGGGGGCTTATGAGTGAAGATAGAACTAACTAGTACAAAAGACTACGGGCACTTGGTTACTAGGCTAAGACGAGCGCACGTATGCCGACCCAAGACTAGCTAGTTCGCCATTAGCAAATACCGAATGACAGTTGATAGCATGATCGTACCTTTATCTACTTTCTCTACTTAGGTTCCGCCTGGACGCTCTCAAACCTGCAAATAATGCCCCCAAGTTCGCTCCAGCTCTCCTCAAGCGCGTTCAAGTATTTGTCAAGACTCTGCTATTTCTCCTTAAGCTTCCGCTCCTCCTCCTTAAGCTTCTGCTCCGCCCCCTTAAGCTTCTTCTCTTCCTCCTCAAGCTTCTTCTCTGCCTCCCTAAGCTTCTTCTCTTTCTCTTCAAGCTTCCGTTCTTCTTCCTCAAGCCTCTGCTCTTCCTCCTCAAGCCTCCGCTTCTCTTCTTCAATCTCCCGTAGGCAATCCTCAAACTGATTTTTCCTCTTCTTCATTGCCACTACCTTCTTCTCCAGACTCATCCGAATTGCTGTGGATAACCCCTTGCACAAGAGCAGCATTTGTGTCACTGGTGCCTTGCGTTTATCTGGCATCAAGGCAATGTCGGCACGAATAGCAGTCTCGAAGTTGGCGATTACTTCTTGGGCAATCTCCTCGTCTATCAAGCCGTCGCAAAGCGCTGTCAGGATATTCTCCATGGCCTTGGTTCCACCAGGTAATAACGCACAGTCGTCTCCAACGAGCCGGACAGATGCCACCATTCCGCGTCGCGCGCAGGAGGGCCCAACTTTGATGCCGTACGGGCTCGAGTCGCCTTCTGTGATGCATAAAAACCGCGAAGTTTCGATGTAGAGAGCAGCGAACTGCATGCACGTGCCATGGTGCATGAGACTGCAGTTCTTCGCGCTTTGCATTATTGACATCGCCAGAGAGGCGCAGAGGATGATGTTCATCCTTCACGGTGGTATATCGAGCTTCTGTACAAGGTCGTATTTATCAAGGTTGCGACCAGTGTCTTTGAGGTCAGCCCCAAATGAGACAAGGTCGGCGTCACTTGTGCCATAGCCCTTCACTTCTTGATCTCGAACTGAACGTTCTGTGTTCTTGCTTCAAACACCGTAGTTAGCAACAGCTCAATAATAAGATTTGACTGTAAGTACTGACGTTGCGCTTTCAGATCTCTCTCCCTGATTGAATGGTTCGATAACCATTACTCTTGAATCGATCTTTCCCGCCTTTACTTGTTCGTCATCGCCCGATAGGATATAGACGACCACGAGCTCATGGGAAATAGCCGCCCGAGAACGGTAGTGTTCCATGCGAGTAGCGTAGCATGATTCAAGAGCGGAGAGACGGCCTGAGTCGTCACGGCCGTCGTAACACGAAGCTATCGTCTCGCACCACCTTGCTATGGGTAAAGAAAAGCGGATGGGTTGAACTACGCCAGGTATCAACCGATGAGGGTTCTGCACGACTATCCCAGACTTTTTTTTGCTGGTAACCAGCGAGTCATGACGAAAAGGGGCGAAAGAGAAGAAACCCATCGCGTCAGCACGTCGCAGAAGCAAGTTGGCTTTGTAGTTGACGATTATTAAATACTCTCCATCTAAGACTTGTGTTCAAGTTGTAAATCAGAGACATGGGTTTCCCAGCCTCAAGGAGGGAAGGAAGCGAGCGTGAATCACTCATGTTGCTATGATGACGAATACAACTAAGTTGGGCAGGGAACGGAGCTATGATGAGACTTACTGGGATGCACAGTACTCTTTACTGGACCTAAACATCATTTCGGAAAGTGCAGAGTAGACGTACTTCCCCGCGCTCCCTACTAAAACGGGAAAATCACGATGAGATACGTGTATAGGGGCCCCCTGTGTACGCGCCAGTCAGCTGAACATTGAATGAGTGCAGGAAATTTCTCATCGATAATTTGTTCAGCACTAGTGATTGGATAGCACGTATTTTGGTGACCGTGATACAGCACATGAAACGAGTAAATGCATAAAAACGCCAGATCTTGCAACTGTACATTATCCCTACATACATATAAAATCAGTTACGCGTCGATACAATCATCGGTTTAATACAATAAACATGGTAAATACACTTCACGGTTATGTCAAATTCACATCTCCCTCTTAACACGTTTCCACTGGTCCGATCGTCCACTTAAACTTGTACCTGCTCGAGCGCAAACTTCAGAATTGTCAAAGGTACGAGACTTAAACATACCAGAGCCATCATCCATTTCTCTTTTAATTCTGATCCGTGGATCAGCGGTTGGGGCTAGTACTGCTGTTCAGCAAACTAACTGAGGAAAAAGCACAAATGCTGACCAGGCTGGGTTCTTCGCGGGTCCCTCGTTCTGCCATCATTAAGGGACTGATCCACCGGTTCGCGCTTAACTATTGGTCTACGTTGATCACGCTGCGCGTCCTCGTCATGTTGTCTCTCGCCCTCTCTGCGCCGTTCGTCATTTCTCCTTCGCATATCACCATTAATACGGCGGTCCCACTGGAGCTCGTGTCTGTCTCCGTTCAGCCTCTGGTATTCCCTGCGTACCCATCTTGCTTTATTATCATCAATGTTCTGTCGTTCTCCTCTCTCCTGCCCTCCGGGCAGACATGAACTTAAGAAATCGTCAACTTGCGAAGTCGGAGAAGCCAGCATCATGTTCCTCCGGCCGTCGTCGGGTTCTTGCTTGACTCGCACTGGTGATGAACTCGAAGCAAGCGTCTGGCTTCGCTCCCTTTCTCGCCTATACTCTCGCCCTTCACGACCTATGATTAAAGTCAGTCATATGGAGCTGTAAAACTGCCAGATACCAACCAGAGAAATTTCGACCTCTGCCGCTAGGCACCAACCCGCTATCCACGGCTGCGCACACATATAAGCCACCATCCATAGTAGCGATAGCATTGGAAACATACGTTCACGCTTGACTTGTTGCACAGCCTGGTTTGACTGTTCTTCACGCTGCACCCTTTCCTCTCTTTGCATCCTTAAGAGATCAGCCAGGATCCTCCGGCCTTCTTCCTCGTTGTACAATGCTATAGCTTGTGAGCCTGAAAAGGTCTAAAAGAACGAGAGGAAACATACGTCGTGATTGCTCTTCTTGCTTTACATTTATCCTTCCTTCAGCGGCTTCTTCATGGAGTGCTATACAGGTTTCCATCAGCCAATGGACAGATGGGATTACAGAAAGCTCACGACGTGGGTCTTCACTTTCTTGTTTGACGCATATGGGTTCCCCGTCGCGTTGACGCATTCCTGGTAACAAAGGGGTCTCATAAGGCTGCCACCGCTCCACGTGTTGTCGCTCTTCCGAGTTACGATCACGTTCCAAATCACGTAGCCCATCCATCTGCTCGTTCTCCTCTTCGTATGGGTCCCTTTTGATCATCGTCCGCGGATCATTATCCTCCTCTTTGAAGTCAGCTTGATCCTCGAACTTGACAGGAGGGTCTTCCATCTCATTTTTGACATGTTGCATTAACTCATCCTCTTCTTCGTATGGATCGCGTTTGATAAAGGTTTCCGGCGCAGGCGATGGTGAAGCTGCAGCTGCGGGGGGAGATTGAGAAAGAGGTGGTGGTGTCACTACTGCAGACACGTTACTGAGAGACGCGTTTATTGGCGCAGGTGTGGCCCAGGCATCAGCTGGTGGCAGTTTCAGCAGCCACTTGACTGGATTCGGTAGCGGCGCATCAGGGAGAGGGTAGTTATCGCCGCGCCGACATACAAATTCATCTGTCAACGCTGGGGTATCTTGGATAAAATGGTCAAACTCTGCCAATGGAAGTGTCAAGAGAAAATACGGAAGGAAGGGTACAAAGCGCACTTCGATCCAGATCGCCATGCCTCTTCCAGTCATATTCGTATACGGAAACGACATGGCCTTGCCAAGCGTTGAGAGCCCTTGGGCACCAGAAGAAACGCGATGCATAGTGCGCACCCAGTAAGCGACGACCAAGCTTAGTCAACGATCTGTCGTTCGTCCCAGGGATGGTGGTGGTGAGAGCATCGCCGCCAAATGGCATGTCCACGAAGACCTGCTCTCGACCTCCTTCCGACGTTCTCCACATTCCAATAGGCTGGATACCGCAAGCACATTCTACCCAGCTAGCCAGGTTGTTGTAGAAGCCCCGCCATTGTTGAGGGGTACACCGGGTGAAGCCTTCCGGAGGCACGCCCCAAGGATTGACGATGACGAGGGCGTGTCGATCCGTAGGCACAGGGTATTCCTTGAGTTTTTTAGGAGCCTTCGTCTTGGCCATGCTTGGAAAAGTCTAATTCATGGAGAGAAGGGTATCGAACGAAGGGTATCGAAATGTAAGGGTATGAAGACGGTGGTGGTATAATACACGAGGCAATTGACCAGCCCTCAAGTAAGTCCTATTAGCGATCGCGTCACGGCTTTTGCTCTCTTTGGCGAACATCCATCATCTGGATACGACCCCCTCGGTAAGCCACTCAGTTTCTTTCTGATGCCCATCTAATGATGCTACACGATATCAGATCAAACAGGTCGTTGTATGCAGGACCAGACGTGGTCCCTGCTGCAGTTGTCGTGTTAGCCAAAGCATCGACGACATGATTGCCAGAATGTGTGCAAGTGCTCATCTTTACCCACCCAAATACTAATTTCTCTTGTCAGATGCTGTATTCTCGGTGATGAAACGTGCTCAGCTCAGATAAGAGCTGCGTACAACCCAATGTAAGCGCCTTCTCCCCATAGAGACATCACCGTGCTGACTAATTGCCTTGCAGGATATACGCATCATTTGGGATATAACGGCATCACTGGTAACACCAGTATTGTCGTGAGAGGCTCCTGTGATCCCTGAAGGTGCTCCACTTTATTCTTTGGTCTCTCCCATCCAAATCTCACTATTATCGTCGCAGGATCGCTCGAGCCTCCGAATTAAGCCAGCTCTTGTATGTACTTGTTGCTGGTCAAAGTCTTCATTAACCATCGTCATTCTAGGACACTGCGTTAATAGAAGCGGCTTTTGAGTAAAAATCAAATACCCCAGGTCATCATGGCTTTATTTTGCCCCTCGGTGCGCAGTTACCCTCGTCGTCTTCAAGTCAGCTAATGGTTTTCAGATCTCCATACCTCGATCGTTGTACAAGCATCTTCGACTTCTCATGTGGAGGAGGAGTCGATGATGAAGTTAGGATTGTACGTTCGTCCTCACATATATGCCCATCTTCTCTTACAATATTGTACAGTGTGTCGCAGTCTGTGGTACTTATCCTAGCTGAGATGATCTATCTCTTTCAATTGAAGGGAGATAGGTCATATCATATCCTTGGAGTGTGTTCCATCCCTTCATTGCTTCGCTACTGTACTTACTTTGGTGCATTTAGATTGCTCCGTAAACCTGAGCTCTTTCACGGGCCTCATCAACTTTGGCATCCGGGAACTTCGCCCGGTGCCTTGGTTATGAACCCAGGATGTGAGATTTCTAATCAGGTTCTACGTTGAATCCAATGTTTACTTATTCTTCAGTTTCCGCTGCCATTTGCGATATAATCCTGGTAAGAATGCCTTCATCTACCATTGCAGTGTTGTAGGTGTTATTACTTATGTGTACGTCTTTGTTTTCTTCCCACCTACCGATAAAGCTGATCCTCGGAGGAAGCATGCCGGGGCGCGCACCGACCATGATATAAGAGATTCCGGTGACTGTCCACTCTCCGTGACTGCCACCGTGATCCACACGCGACGTGGGTTTCTGTTCTTTTTGGTATTTGGCTCATAATGTTTATACTTCTTTCTCAGAATCTCGCGTTACTGTTTGAAAATCAAGTAACCCAGGCCATTGAAGCTACATTCCCTATTTGAAGCTATCATCAATTTTGTAGCTACCTAGAGGAAATGTATAATATGCTTCATATCGTGGCGTGATGAGACTTTTGGCGGACTTGATGCGACATTCAGTAGCCCTTTAGAGAAGCGTGCGTCAACAACCCAGCTTCGATACAATTCCATACACGACAAGTAACCTCAAGTAACGCCAGCGGTATTATATTCGAAGATCGTTCTCTGCCGACGTGTCGATTGGCCGATCTTGAGAAAACTCATGAGAAGAAACTCCTGTATGCCACTGGTGACTTCGTGCCCCTCCAGCCTTCTCCGAGGTTCTGGATGTGGAACTTTGTCCTGGCCTTTTCAGAGGAGTGGTGGTGGAGAGCCCAGTGGTATTTGTTGGGGATGGCTCCAGATTAAGGGCTATGTGCGCTGGTTTCTGGTGATGGACTCGTCATGAATAATGTTGAAGGTGTCGCTACCGAAATTTACAGTGGCCCTTGAATTTGTCTGCTTGCCATCACGATTTCGAAATCGGCATACAGGCTCTTGAGTCTTTCTTTAGTTCCCTCAGGTTTTTCCTGCCAGTGTTCATTGTTCTGTCACGGGCTCGGTGGTTTTCTGAACTGGCTCCGAACATCCCAAGCTTTTGGTCTTTACCGCTTCTTAATCGTCTCTACGGTGCTTTCGTAACCTTTGCCTGGCGTACTTAAGCATTCTTCGAATCTATTCCTCCTGTCGTACCTGATGAGCTGCACTTTGCATTCTTTCTTCAATAACTTATCGACAATCACAAGTTACCATATGGGCTCAGAAGGTCTTGAACTAAGGCTTGCCCTCAAGGTTCCATATACCTAGATTCTCCCACGCAAGATGTTCCTTCGACTATAACGTTCACAGCAGTGGATACGTCCCCTCGGTACGTTCGTATTCTCTGGACCCCTGCGATGTGTATGGAGTGACGACCTCACTTCAGATCCCACCGGATCGTTGTATGGGTGGGACCAAAATGTAAGCGCTACAATAAGCTTATCGCGGCATCATCGTCTGACGCTCACATTAAGTCTTGGTCCTCACTGTCGTCCGAGGGATGACATAGGGCGTCGGCGGTGAGCTTCCCTTTACTTGTAGAACTGGTTATTATTCGAGACTGAGGGCAACATCAGATATCGCTGAATGTCCTAGGTTCTGTATCCCGTGAGTACTTATAGCTATGTTACTTGCATTCACACCCAATAATGTACCTCATCTTACAGAGAACCATGCCCGCGTTCGTACATTCCACATTTATTCGAAATCGTCGGCGTAAGTGCTAATAATCATCACTTCTACAGGCGCGGGCGGAACTTGAAAATTAAATACCCCAGGCCGATGATTTGGAGTAGCGTACTTGGCATGTATCAAGGAAATGCATTGTGTGCTGCTTTGAGTCAATTTGGAGATTCTGAAAGTAAGAGTGATTATAATTGTAGGGAATGACTCCGTGAGAGTGCTACGCTATCATAATGCAACACGAGATGAGAAAACGAGAACAACGGTCCGTATTCAACACTTTGGGTCCGTGCGACCGGGCCGACCGTCCGCAGCCTGCCCTAAAGTCAATATCGATCTATCCCCGCGGACCCTTTTCCTGCTCTTCAGCAACCACAACCAGTGGTGTTCCCTCGGTGCGTTCTTCTCGTTTCAATATGCTTTGCCACAGCTGAATTTCTTTCAGATCAGGGTCACGCTTGGTCGTTGTACCCGCGAGCTAACGTTTTACGAAGCGGTAAGCATCTGACGTCCATCCTAGTATCCCGGTATTTAACCCTTTGATAGTTCGTTCAGCAACCGGCAATGACACATGTGCCATTGCCGTCCCCGCGGTGTATGAATGCTCATCTCTCACATCTCCTTCTTCGCTGAGTAGTAACAGAGCGTATTAGCCGTCGTGGGATCGAAACGGTCGCTCGTCATCCAAATCGGAGGACGAGCACTGTATGTAACTCGCTCCGGTATGTTTTATCTCACCCTTCTGTAAGACATCGCTGATTGTGTTCTAGCGCCTATTTGGACTTGGATGCGGGTTTGTGTGATAAAAAATCAAGTACCCCAGGCCATGTATAAGCAGCACGTAGCCATTGTCAATCGAATGCAGCTTGCTTGCTTATCTGATGACGACCCTGAGAATCAAGTTCCTAAAAACTTTGAATTTTTAATTGGAACGAATCGTGCGCGTGATGCATTATAATGCCATCTACGAAATACAATGAGCCAATGATAACTGTACAGTGCAACAAATATATTAGTACCCCAAAACCAAAATGAAATGCAAGATTAAAGACGTATCAGTGTTCCGACCACTCTGATAAGAATATACACCCAATATTAGCCAGAAAAAAACAAAACCCGGAATAGAACAAAATAATTGATCAGCGAGGCATACCCTCCTCTTCAATCCTTTCAATGATCTCCGCCAACTTGTAGGGTTTAATGTACACCCTGTCCATCCCCGCTCCTAAGGCGGCATCCACCTGGCCCTGTCGCGCATTCCCCGTGATTGCGTATACGCATAACCGTGGTCCTGGCAGCCTGCCGGTCTTTTCCCAATCCCTAATGCGTCCTGCCGCATCCAGTCCATCCCTGCGAGACACGGATGTGTGAAAAGGAAGCGCATGAAGACAGTGAAAACTTACAAGACGGGCATTTCCAGATCCATAAGGACGACAGAAGGATACCGCTTGCTTGTATCGGCGATACATGACTCAAGGTACTCAAGCGCTAGAAGGTCTATAAGACATAGCAAGAAAAGTTTGCATTGGTACTCACCTTCCAGCCCGTTATTTGCTGTCGCAGCATGAAACCCTTCGACACACATCGTAAATGGCGGCATATAGACACACAAAAATTGTTCAGACTCACCGGCCTTCTCGAGCTGTCGTCTCAGTAGCATCTGGTTAATTGGCTACACAGATTTCCTCAACATTTGTCGTACAGCACAGCAAAGAGGAATGCCTTACGTTATCTTCGACGATAAGAACAGCCAGCTTTGCTCTGGAGTTCGGTGATAATGCCAAAGCTCCGGAAGGTAAAGATGTTTGTAGTGAAAGCTGTGACACACTCTTTAAGCCCGCGGTGCCATTGAGCGCAACACTGTTCAGGGTTTTCGGCAGTCGTTTCGGGCTGACATTACCGGTACACGGAGCATCGGGAGCCTTCCTAGCCTCAATGAAAAAATGAAACGCCGCGCCTTCGCCAGGAGCGCCTGAGTGCTGTATCTGTCCTCCCTGAAGCTCGGCAAGCTTCTTGCACAAGTACAAACCTGAACTTTCATTCAGCACCGAGGGTCTTGGTAAAATAGTGCATGCCTACCTAAGCCAGTCCCGCCAATACTACCGGACCTCCTCACCCCGTCGCCAGTATGCACGTCATTGAAGCGTGTGAACAAACGCGCTTGGTCGTCTAAAGGGATCCCGGGACCAGAATCAGAGAGCTTGCAGGAGAGATAGACACATGACGAGTCGTGTTCCATCGCAGGTGATATCGCTGTACCGAAAGGACGTTTGGGAGAGAGGGCTACGTGTAAGCGAACGCTACGTTCCCCGTCCCATGATCTATAGGATGCTTAAGAGAGAGCAATTTAGGAGTCTTGGAGATAAGGCGTACTCTAATATTCGGCAAGAATTAGAACTAATAATTCTGCATTAGTAGGGGAGTCATTTTATCGGGTTAGAGAACGCACATTAAGTTCACCAGTATCTGGCAGAACCTATTAGTGATTGAGGTGTCATTACGTAGATAATCCTGGAGATAAACCTGAGTTTACCTAGTGGGATCCGCTATGATACAGGTTTCTCTTCCAATATCACCACTGACAGCCAGCCTCAAATTGACGGACTGCGCCGCAACTTGCACGGAGTACATGTCCAATGTAGCCTGATGAAACCGTTCAAACATTCACGAATGGAGATCAGGGAACCACGCACCTGAAGTTCCTCTAGTAAGTGAAACGTTACAGGACTGACACTTAAGAGATTGCTATCCAGTCGAGAAACGGCGAGGATATCACTGCAAAGCGTGCGATGATTAGATCGGACAGATAAACTTCGGAACAAAATGGCATACGCAGCGATGATCGTTTGATGACGAGCGCAAAGTGCAACGGAAGATACTGCATGATTCGCATCTCTGAGTTCGATGTTACCTTCCTCGAACTACGAAAACTTTGTCAGGAAAACCAACCTGCTCTAGAAAGAAGTACAAACAAATTTTTCTGCATCGTGATTGCTATTCATGTTTTGCAATGCATATATGATCTCTTGCAGTCGAGCGACAGACCCACTTACATGATTGTTAGCTTATGGTATGGTCTAAAGCATAAGTAACGCACGAGAGAAGCTCTGCGCTTTGTACGATAGCGCTCAGTGGATTTCGCAGTTCGTGCGACACGATGTCAATGAATGCCTCCTACGATATAGAGTCAATAAACCAAATGGTAGAAATCCAGGAAATGATAACATACTTGCAATCGTCGTTGATGAACTGCCTTATCCGCTTTCGCACGCTCTTCACTCAGTTGCTCAGCAGCAATCCGCCGTTGCTCCGTCTGATCCGTCAGTGTGCCAACTATGCCTGGGTTAGCCAGGAAAAGATCCAAAAGTGACATGTGTACGTAGCCGTCCATCACTGAGGGCGATAACCTCAACGAACGCGTTTTTCCCGTTTGCAAATCTAGGAACAGACTTAGTATTGAAGAAATGGATCGAAAAAGTAAAAAGATTCACACTGCATCAAACTGGACGGGTTCGCCACTAATAATGGGTACGTCGAGACAAGCTTTGGTAACCGCCTCTTGGGTTTCCGGCGCTGATCTGATATGGTTTTGTCAGAAAGATGTTACGGCTTGGGAAGTCAGTCACGAACTGGTCTATGATAGATTTGAATGCCAAAGGCAGAGTCCGAGGTAACGCAGTAAGTTTAAAAAACCGCTCGTTCTGCGGAGAAAAAAATGAGCGTAAGGACTGACTGCGCAATGAGAGCCCAATCTCACAGCATAGGTAATCAAACCGTGGTCCGCATCATCTGTTTCGAAGATGGCAACAGGCGATAGTTCACTCATGCGCTGGTAGCGCTGCTGTGTCAACTTGAGTTCAAAGGTCCGATCTCGTACTTGTTTCTCGAGCTCGTGCCTCTGTTTCAGTGTATGGAGTCGAGTTTGAACACGGTTAAGTAACTCGGACGAGCTGAATGGCTGCGAAGCGTCGTACTTTAGTAACTGAGGTACACACATCAAGGCCGGGATCCAACTAACCTTCAGCAGGAAATCCACAGCGCCCCTAAAAATACTATCAGGTGGATCCTCTGACCCCGCACGAGCGCTGAGAACTATGACAGGGATAGCCTGAACATTAGGATCTGGGTCGTCCGCTAATTTCTGAAGCAGCTCAGTTCCAGTCATCCGTGGCACTGGTCGGACAGTGAGAATGATGGCGATGAAGCGGAAGATGAAACGAACTGACTCATAACGTCGGTCACGATGAGATCTGGCCGCTCCCGTGTATGAATATAATCTAGCGCAGCCTGACCGTCAGAGACGCCGACGACATTTTGAACAGCGTTCAGAAGAATCGACTTTATGTAAGAGCGAGCATCCTACAAAAGTAACAACGTTAACTCAAGTCAGTGGTAACAGTCAGAATCGTACAGCATTATCCTCGGCCAACAAAACGGTGAACAGTTGGGGCGTTATAATAGCATCGGTTGAAGAAGCGTGGCTCAGCTGTGAGGATGTGTCTGAATCTTCTCCCAGCCAACCCGCCGCTTCTTCGACAATACCGGCTGCATATGAGCCAGTTCCAGATAGTGCCATTCCAGAGGAAGGATCGAAGTCGTGGTTGACATCTTTCTCCTGTAGATGGTCGCATCCGAGCGGTATTACCACAGTGAAAACGCTGCCACAACCCATTGTGCTCCTGACGGTAATCGTGCCCTGATGCATCTTGACCAGCTCATTGGTCAGGGCAAGACCAATTCCAGTTCCTGATCACAGATGTGAGATGACATCGAATAGGAAAGTATTTTATGTTTGCGCTCACCTTCGATAGTTCTCCCATCCGAAGCCTCTACGCGATGGAATCGCAAAAGGATTTTATCCAGCTGATCTTCGGGAATGCCGCAACCTGTGTCTTCGACACTCAAAACAACCTCGGAAGACGTGTATGCTAGATCGAGGTTGATATGTCTACGATCATGTCGTAACTCAGAGATATGTCTTTGACTAAGTCTATAGTACTTACCCCGATTTTGTGTATTTCACAGCGTTCGACAAAAGATTGAAAACAATTTTTTCCCACATCCCAAGATCTATGTATGCAATACGCTCATCAGCACTGTCGCCACATGTGACATTGTAATCTGGTGGGAGATCAGCCAATTCATTCCGGAGATCCTAACGTACACACCGATTCCCGCTTTTTCAATCGCAGATCGAAACAGGGAAGCCATATCAGCTGTTGCCGGGCCTAATCTGACAGGGCAAAAGCACGCCTAAGAGAAGTATTCAGAAATACCGTTCCACAGCATAAATGGGGCGTATCACCTGCAGCCTCCTTGCTTCGGCGCTAGAGAACAGCATCAGTGAATTGACGAGTCGAAGTAATCGCCCGCTAGCACGATATATTAGTTTGAATCGAGTTCTATTGATAGGATCGAGAGATCCACGGTCGGCTTTAAGAGCGTCATCACAAGGGGCGCGAATGAGAGTGAGAGGACTATGATACGATAGATTAGCGGCAGATGATAGTCAAATATAAACCGACGGACGTTCGCAATTCATGAGAAACGTTTTGAAAGAATGTTGTTTTCGCTCGGTCAAGAGCACGTAGTTCGTCAGCACGCTGAACCTCTTGCTCAAAGCTCTGCGTAGCTGAGAGAGCTGCCATCAAATTTCTGACAATTGTGTGATGAAAACCAGAGTAATCATCATCGTACTGCAAAAAAATATCAACAACTATCCTTTCTAAAAAGGAGGTAAAACTGACCGGCCGCCGCGTATTCAAACCGAAAACCATTAAACCCATAGGTACGCAATCATAAGAAGTACACAATGGCACTAAGATGGCATCGCCGGTAGCATCCTCCCATCCTCTAGCTTCAAATAGATGAGGACATGGATTTGGTGCCCTAAGGGATTCGCGGCCGCTACATGCTTCGACAAAAGGCCAATGACCTTGCTGGGACTTATCCGGAGAAAGTTCCACTTCCTGAGGTGAGGCTATAGGATGCCCAGGCTCAACACCAATCGACCCAATGAGTTTGAGGTAAGTAACATGAGACGTGTGTGAAATGTCACTGTTGGTTCGCTCTGAGTGTGTGTCAGCATTTGATGACCCGTCAGTGGATGCCGTGTAACCGGTATAGCACAGGACATAAGGAAAATCAACCGCATTCTCCTCCAGCACTTCCAAAACAGCTTCCCATACGTCATGAGAGGTTCTGGCGGGAGCACATCGTTCTGCTAGAGCCCGGACGATCCTCATACGGCGTTCTGAAAGCACCTTGCTTGTGGTTTCCATGCAACTAATTGTAGTTAGTGACTCGAACGAAGAACACGCATAGAAGAACGTACTTATTCACTATACCTCCTACGGTTCCATCTTCGATTTCGACGGGGACATAGGACCAGGTATAGTAGGTTTCGATAAGGTCGGGCATGGAATCATCTTCAGTCGGCACTGACACTGAACCGTGCGCAACCTCCTGTCCAGATTTGGAGTCAAAGAAAAGCAAGTCGTCCGTTCGGCTGACTGTTTGTCCTTGATAGACTGCGTCGCAGTGCTTGGAAAAGGTCTCCCATATCTCACTAAAAGCGATTCTTCCCGGTTTTCCAAGCATGTGAGGATGTTTCGATGCAGATCCCTTAGCCCAAGCTTCATTGTAGAGAAGTGTGCGTTCTGGTCCCCAGAAAATACATCTAAGAGCTGATTAATGAATTTCAAATGATTGAAAGAAACAACCACGCACGACTGTGACGGATTCGAGAGCATCATGGACACAACGGACTTGAGTGACTGAGGCCAGGCATGCATGGGTCCAAGCGGCGTCGACGCCCAATCGAAGCCAAGATGGAGCCTTCCCATCTCTGACGAACGGACACCAGGAGCAAAGTCAAGTATTGGTGGTGCCAACTGCGACATCTACACGGATTCTCAGTAAACGAAACAGACGAGAAATCAATCGTACGTACGCTAGGTCTGACATCAATCGTCGGGGCAACTACGACGCCCATAAGAACCACCCATCGCAACGATTGAAGCTGCAGAGACGCATAGAGAATGCTACCGTCGACGAAAGACAAAAGCAAGGAGCTTCCATCCGCCTTGGACATATGCGAGAAACGCGAAATGGACCGCGCCAGTTCCTGCGCCCCTTCTGGAGACAACCTAAGGACCCCGTCGGAAGTAAGTGCATCGAATGCTTTGTTCGTCCAAACCGGTACAGGCACCGCGTTGCCGCCAGACACGGACTCCACGTCATATACCGCTGCAGGATGTCCCAAAGGAAGTAGCGACAAGGCCGGCAACAGTGAGAGCTCCCGCACGGACTTCATGGTCAGCGAGAGAACAATTCGTGCCGGATAGGGTCTTGCGGGCCGAAGGACTTTCATACCGGATGACCGGTGACCAAGCAGCTCCAAGCAAACTTTAGCAGTGGGAAGAGGAGGATACTTGATGCTTTAATTCGTAGCAGAGCTGGAATAAATGCGACTGTGCTGTCTCATCTCTGTCATCTCAACCTGCGCCCCTCAGTATATGTGTTTCAGGCTACCATCCTCTACCCCCCCATCCTCAAAGAAATACCCCAAATCACTTTAACGACAGTGTGTTGCAGTATTTAAGGTTTAACATTGATAACATACACCCATGTTGAACATAGAACCGGCCAAGGTGAAATGTCATGTACAGCACATGATCGCGAATGATGGAAGCTCTACAAGGAAATGTCAGCGATCTGCGTCAACCCTTTATTAACGTAACAGGCAATTACACGAAACATGGTTATGTCTTCAACGTCTCAATTGGGCCCAATGAACTGATATAATATCCGTCTTACGAGTCCCGATAGATGGTGAGGCTCCATCTGGTATGTACTCTGCAAGAAGATGAATACACTTCCAAGTGCTCCAAGAGACACGACGCACCATGACCATCGCCATTCCCAGCGCCGACAGCTAAATCCGGTAAGCAACATCATATGGATCTGGTGAGTCGACATACCAAAGCTTCCCCAGCTTTACCTCCCTTGAATCCACCAGGAACTTTGCCTGTTGCGACGTTCCAGAAGCTCTCAAGAGCTTTCGGTAGCACATACATTGACAGCTCCGCACGCCTCTTCTTCTCCTCAATGAGCAAGCTCAATCCAGTCGCAAGACCAGGCCACCAATACGCTGCCCTCGACATAAACAAAAAATCTACAAGCCACTGCGGGATCTTGAATATTGATTTGGGTGACATGGAAGTGAGGAATTCGTGGATGAAGGCGCGCGCACATACGAGGCCTGAAACGGCTCTCGTCAACCAATCCAGATGAGCGTAACGTAGAGACTGTACCTTGGTATGTAGCGACATATACCCCGAGGAATGTGCAGCTTCGAGCAGTTCCGAAACCTGCTTTCGCGAGAATCTTCAAGGGATCTCGCATGAAGGCTTTGGTTCGGAATAGAATTGGAGGCAGAAAATGCAGAGCACCGTAAACAGGTAACATAAATCTGGCCACTGCGAAGAAACGAGCGAAAGGCACGTCCCAGCATGAGGTCTGACCCGGATGGAGGCCTTCGCACGGGCAGTGACAGCCTGCTTCAGATGACGCTATGGAGCCGGGAGCACCAAGATAAAAAGCATCTCTCTTTGCCATCAGTGAGGCAGCATTCTCAGGCGTCACCTTCCATTTCTAAGAATGAAGATCAGTATACGACAAGAGTTGAAGCAACGCCGCCAACATTACTATAAAGAAGCTTGTCAAAATCGTCGGGGTTGAATGTACGCGACCGCATTAGATCGTAGTTTATGTTGACTCCTTCTTTGGGAGCTTGTGATGCCCTGACAATCCTACAATGTACTTAAGTCATACTCATACGATCTCGATATGGAACTTTAACACGTACCAAGCGCGATACGATCTGGGTAGTGTGTCCGGTCGCATAAACGCGGCATATAGGACCTGCGCATTACTGAGAGAATGTTAGCATGAAAGGGGGGAGACTTGCGAGAACGTACATCAACGCAAATAATATTACATCTCCAAAGGGTATTGTGATATTCCTGGCGGTGGTATACGCATTAAAAGAGCCTTGCAAACCACGAACGAACATCTGCTGGGCTATTGTGACCCTCCTTCCACGAGTCTCAAACAATACAGCCAGGCCGCCGGCCGTGAAGCCAGCTAGAGCTGCATGCCATCTCCTTGTCTTCTTTCGCACCAAAACCTGTTGAGCTTCGGTACTCAATGACAGTCGCTGAGAACGTCTGCGGTGGCGGGGGGAGGGAATGGGAACTTGGACAGTATGCCACGCCGCTTCGTCATCATCGAAGAATGGATTGGATGGGAATTTAAGTGTAGGCATGAGGAGAGGCAAGGCATTGATAAGGAACTTGTAGACGGAAGTAAACGTCCCAAGCATAGCAGCGAACCGCCATGTATCTGTCCCAAATATAGCGCGACCGATAATTGGAAGCCGCTGTTTTCTTCGAGGAACAGATTATCTCCTGTTGATGTATCCAGTCAGAGCTAGTACTTACTTGGGAATCGAGCGAAGTCTGATGAAAACCAATATCAGGTTGAACGCAGCCCGGATATTGAAAGCAAGAGCACCAGAGCCTGCCAATACTTTCAGAATGCTGTTCTCTAACGACAAAGTCGATACGCACGTATTCCGCCAGTAGCTGCATGCTTCAGACACCCGCTCAAATCATGCAATTCGACCACCGGCTCTCCCCTAACGCGCCATACCATCTTGCCTGCCTCCCGTAGCCTCTCCTGGTGGTTTGCCAACGCGACAAGGTTCTCGAACGACGTCATAGCCCTCCTCGTTGTAAAAATGGCGCTCGACGGCGTAGGCGGAGTTGAGTCAGTCGAGGGCCTATTCATTACAGGTAATGCGATCCGGAGAGGCACCGGGCTGCCGTGCGGAGTCGAGTATGGGGTCGTAGCCCCACTGCTCTCGGCTGCGCGAAGGTCTCCATCGTTGTTCATAGCGTCGAAGGAAACGACACGACGGTCTTGGAGGAACGATGGACACCGCGTAGAATCATGTGAATTTCGAGCCGACCTGACCTGTACGTCATCATCCAGAAAATTTCAAGGGCACACCTGTCGTGGCACTCGATGAGCAGGGCGTCAGCGTCAGTGTCGTCGATGGACGCGAAGGAGAGCGATTTCAAATTGAGCCCACTTTGGCTACAATGCAGTTCATTTTGTTCTTCGCTTCCACGAAAAGCTGCAGGTTGTGAGCGTTACAATAAATTTCAACACAAGGCAAAACTTCGAAAGAACTCAGCCTTTTATACTGCAGCTTTAGGTATTCAATTGAACGCGAATCCGTACAAGAATGGCGAGGGCATGGACTATTGAACAATGAGGTAGCATGATCTGCGTCGTCGCTTCGCCGCTGAATCTAATCAATATGAGTCCGGGGGAAATATTGTTGGGGAAGAAAAAGGCGATATTGGGACATCGAAAGACTTAGACTCTACCTTATGTCTTTATGATGAACTACCGTCATTGTCCGTGTTGCCGAGGGCGGTCAGATGCTCAAGTGCTCAGCGCTTGTAGTTCATATCATTAATTGTTGCTCGTATGTACTAAGATGAACATTGAATACCAGGTAAACCGGACTAACCGTAGCACTGAGGCGGTGGAGTAAATATAGAGGTAAGTAAGGAAAGAAACAAGGTCGGGCCTGGAAGATTTCCCCGAAGTTGAGGTTGAGGTCAGGTAGACTCTGCGCTCAGTGACATAATTTCAACAACTCCCCTACCAGTTTCACCACCCTCATGAACCGCAAATGTCGACCAATCTGTGGTGTTTCTCGGTTGAGTAGGGAAGGTGAATTGTCGAATTCCATACCCTCCTGCCTCTCCGAGTCCCCTAGCAGAGGATTCAAGATATCCGCATCGCCATCATTGATGGCATAAAATGACGGCGTATGTCCTTTGTTGTCCTTGATAGGCCTGTCTGTTAGCTTCTGTGTCGATATTCTGAGTTATTTTGACCCGAAATTGGGTCCTAGATCTTTGAGAGGCTGACTGAAGGATCCATCGCGAACGCTCGGCCCTCCGAGTATGGCTGCCAACCACTCAGGATTGACTGCCTTGAAAGATGCTTCGTTGACAAGCCTGTTGAGCGCTTCCAAAAAGATACTGAGGCCCGTTAGGTCTTTGAGCAACTGTTCACGTTCTCAACGTCTCTGAGATAAGAAATGACCGAGGCTGTGGCTTGACCAGAGAAATGAGAGCGGAGGCAAAACCAATGGCATCCATGAGCTTGAATATGGAAAGGTGCCTGTTCCACTAGGTGGGGGTATGAAGCGACATAGTCAGAGTCTATCACAGTATACTGTTGACACAGAGAGCAACGTTTTGTAGACCTAAGTTCTAGTACGTCGACGCCATCAGAGTTAGGCTTTAGCTTGAACAGTCCGACATCAGAGCCACTAGAGCAAGAAGCAAAACGAATCCTAGGTTCTGTAGTCACCCTCTACATTCGCTTGTAAGCTTTAGTATAGTCCATGATGGCGTCAGAAAGGAACAGCTTGAAGGAAGGAACAAGACCAACTCTGAGTTTGACTGTGATGTTCGGTAGCGTTTGGCGTCCTCAAGACTTCCGGTGTCATGTCGGAAACCGGTCCGACAGGAAACACTAGGAAGACTGTAAGACTGTTGTATTGGTCGAAATCGGACCGAAATATGAGCTGAGTAAGCACTTAGTAAGCTAGTCAGCTGCCGCAGGTGACATGTCATGCACGGCAGACAAGCTGAGTAAGCACTGCACCGCGACACGCCTACTAGCAGGAATACTCTGACTAATGCTTATGCAGGGAGCCCGAAGGATGAGTAAGCTAAGTAGCTAAAAATAGGACAGCTAACATGTATAAAAGGAGCAGAAAAATTGGAATAAAAAAAACTTTTACACACCACAGAGAACACAGCATTAAATTCAGAACTTAGGCGGTCAGAAACCGCAAGCATTTTAGCAGTCACAAAATCAACCGGATTTTGTGAAATCAGTCAACAAACAGTCAGAACATCAGTCAGTAGCCAACTACCGTACAGTTGGCAAAGCATTATTAGCAGAATCAAGAATCAGAGACCGAACTCTGATTATTTTCAGTACTGAAACCGTTCAACGTAGAACGCCCTTGGAGTCAAGCAGAGCATAGCATTCGTGCTGATTCCCCGAACTCACACTATCGTACTAATATTCACAGTACGATAAATTTCTAGTCACTCATAAATTCTCGTGACACCGGCCCTCAAGCGGTATGTCATGCATTGCAAGCAGCGCTTGATACGACCCGCCCGCAATGAAGTGATATCTTACTCGCAGGTACTAGTCATGAAGCTCAAAGGATGTATTCGAGCATTTCACCTCTCAATTGTTGCACATCCCGCATTCCCTGTGACCAATCGAATCTCGATCTGAGATTGTATTTTGCATTCTAAGTATTCCACATAATGATCATAGTATAGCTAAAAAAAACCGCCCCGTCTCTGTACGATGTTTTACAGTCGTACTTGAATAGTTACGAGCTCCGGATCCATGGTGTCAACGATACACTTCAAACAGACGGTTATTGAGTTTTCTTGTCCATGCGTTTGATTGAAGGAAGTCCGAAGCGATAGCGGACAGCAAATTTGCGGGAATCATCCTTCATGCAGAGCGAACTTGGGCGCCTTATTGGTGAAGGAGTTTCGGGAGCGGTGTCAGAAGACTTACATAACTACGAAAATATGAGTTGCAGTCGAAGAGGTGTTATATGCACTCACGATGGGTCCCAGTGAACATGTAATAGGTGCCCAGACCCTGCATATATTGATGAGTTGGAGCGATATAGAAACGCTGTTGCAGTCCTTACAGTCAAGACGTGCCACCAAGCGTGTCCTTCGAGCAAAAATGCCAACGGCCATCCGACTGAAACCTTAAATCTTGTTAGGTTGTCGCAGAAGATGTTGTCTAGGTTCCAGATGAGGAATCCGAATACGAAAAGGCCTGCGCCATACGCAAAGATGCTTCCAATTTGTGACTTCTTGTCGTCAGGTATTCGAAAACGAACTTCCGACCACTTCAAGAGGTATCTGATCATGAAAGCTGTGCTAATCGCGAGAGTTCCGAAAGCGACCTGGTGATAGACTGGATTTCGGTAGACGATGCTGCGCGGAGAATTAGAAAAACGTGAGGAAGTGACTTCATGCATGCTCACTAGCTCCAAGTGAACAAAACGTCGAATGTGATACTCAGTACAAGAGAAACCATGCTTTGACACGAAGTTATGTCAAAACCAGGGCTGTCGTCGTACAGGAACCAGCAACTTCCGGCAGTGACATAGATCATGGGGAGTTCGTCCAGGAGTTGGTAGTGATACAAAAGCGTAGCGTGAAACGCGAGGCTCCCAAAGCCAATCAGAGCGAATCCCTAGGGCGGGCGTCAGAAACGGTGATGATGTGGCAGAACCAGATGGCTTACACCGAAACCAACAATGTACCTGGTCGGCATGAGTTCGCGTCGCGCATTGTGTGCTCCATATGCAGCTAGTAGGATGAAGAACAGGTTGGAGACTGTGTTGGCCATTTCCGCGATATAATAAGAGAACTGATAGTTGGCCTAGAGACGACTGAGAAAAGCGCGACGAGGGCGAGTATACGACGTACTTCGCACCAGTCGAGCGTAGCCGTTACGGGGCCATGATATCCATCTAAGTTTACAACAAGAGTCGAGGTCGCCATGGTCGGTGATACAGAAAGAAAATACAGGGCGTTAAGGATAAAAGACAAAGCGAAGTGCCGGACGCTTGACCACCTCACGGTCAGGGACCAGGGTTGCAGACGAGAGGCTTAGTTTTCATTCTAAAAATACAATCCCATCGGAGATTGGTACCAGAAATTATCTAAAATGGAATAATTCCGCCTCAAATTACTCTCCCTAAATATAGTACGTCATCATCATCAGGCGATCCTTTCGGCACCAAATCAAGTGCCGGGCATATTCAAGGATCCGGTGGTTTCGTCGTAAAGGCGGGTTCCAAGGGTAAGGAGCGTTTTCGTAGGCCTCTGCACGCTCGTCGAGTCTGACTGGCATCGCCACATCATTGCAGGCTCCGCCTAGAAGCGCCGCTTCATTCGGGAGGGGCGACTTGTTCCGTCTCAGTTTTCGGTGCTAGATTTCTAGCGGAGGCCGAATATCTGAGAGACATCGGAGCAGTTGTCTCATTTGCACCCAACCTTCGCCCCACAATCCAAGGTGAGCTGAGCTTCGCTCGCTCCCTCACTTTTATGCTCATTCAGCGCAGCTGATACCAGGTTTCAAAGGCATCGCCTATTTATTAATTTACAAGCCGTTTAATCAACTCTTTTTTCGTCACCCTCCCACCACTCCCTGAGATTTTCGGCATTTTACATAGTACTGTACAAATGTATATTAGCCTATCACGTCCCGCAATGTAATGGGGGCTTGCGGAGGCAAGCCCTGTGTCACGCTACTTTATTTCTCGCGAGAAAAACCAGAGGGGGCCAGAGGTGGGTGGTTGACATGCGCCTGCTGACCAACCCATCATGACTTACCTTCTACTACCATCATGGGCCGAATTCGCCTGGCCTCTACAGTTTTGCGCATTCGTGACGGCGGCGACGTATGTTGCATCCATTGTAACGGCTAATGTATCTCAGGTAGGCTCATGGCTCTCTTGGTTAGGTCAATAGCTGAATATATGCACCTAGGTCGACCGTCTCTGGACGTTTCTTCCGGTCATCTATTCCGCATACTTCGCCTTGCTGCCTTTGTGGCCAAAATCAATTCAGCCGTTTCCCTTGTGTCCATATGTACCTGACGAGCTCGTGGCCTTCGCCAGCGACTACAGCTTGCGCGCCGTATTGATGGTCGCGCTCGAAATTATCTGGATGTACAGGCACGTACTATGAGCTTCGTTCTAGCTCGTTGCCATGTCCTGACATTCGTTGTTAGGCTGAGCTATAACACCTACCGTCGCGGTCTGTTCAACTTGAAGGACGAAGATTATCGATGGGCTGTACTCCGCACCCAACTCCCTGTGTGGCTCTTCCAAATCACCAACTTCGTTTTTATCTCCGGAATTCAGAACATACTGCTCCTGTCACTTGGAATTCCAACATACATCGCTGCGGTACAGCAACCGCACAAAGATCTTGTCCCTTCTGACGTCGTCCTTGCATTATCCAGTCTTGTCATACTTTGCATTGAATTTACAGCCGATAATCAGCAGTATGCTTTTCATGCCTACAAACATTCATACCTCAAAGGCACGGACGACTACGATGAAAAGAAGCAGTGGGCTGGTGCTCGTCTTAACTGGAACCCAGCGGACGCAAAAAGAGGATTTGTGACCCGTGGATTGTGGGCGTATTCTAGGCATCCAAATTTCACTTGCGAGCAGCTTTTTTGGGTAAGGTTTCTCATTGTGCTGCGCTCTGTCCTCATATCGACATTCTTAGTGGACAAACACGCTCTTCCCTATAGTTGCGCCGTTCCCGCCGGACGTTCCCCACTGTTCCTTTACTCGATGCTTCGACATCTATCCATACCTAACTACGACGCCTATAGCAGAAATTCTCAGGGATGTGTCACCATTTTGGCCTCTGTTTCCAGCTGCAAGCCTGAGCATCCTTTTCCTCGCGTCTACCAGGTACACGGAACAGATCACAAAGTCAAAGTACCCTTCGTATGCACTCTATCAAAAGAGAGTCGCAATGTTTGGTTTCATCAAAACAATGGAAATGTCTCTATATTACAGGCTTAGGGGAGGGGAAAGGAAGAAAGAAATTGAAGAGGCATTGTGGGGCTCGGATACAGGCAAAGACAAGCAGCAATAAAATTTTCTTACGTTCTGTCCTTCTCTAGTTTCTCCACGCTGTACTAAGTAGTAGTAGTAGTCGTCGTCGCACTGGCAAGCGGTCTCTAAAAAGGAAACAGCCAATGTTTTCTGCGCCGTTGCTACCAAGCCTTGTCAATATACTTCATAGTTGCATCGCAGACTGCGTAGGACCCTGCCGCTGTGACTGACAACATAGCGTTGAGAACTATGCAGCGCCTCACGGGATCGGATCCATACGAAGGGACTAGGGAGTGAACGAAGAGAAATAAGCATTAGGGCGCAACCGGTTATAAATAGCCACAGCGGGATTAAATATCTCGATGACGACTGCAGACGTGACAGAAAGTGTGCGTGCCTTATGCTGACTAGTCCGGCAGTATGAAGGCTTATGAAGGATGTAATTGCCAACCTCTAGCCAGGTATCTAAAAATATCCCAAAATTCTATGTTTGCCTTCCCATCTTCTAATTTCTGTCCAATCATCTACGCTCTCAAGGATCTAGATACAACTCCTTCAAAATGCGTATGGTATCTACAGGACTGGCAACTGCGTGGCCAATGGTCCGAGGGTCGGTGAAAATTTCGTAGTCATTTCCTCCCTTGGAGTAGATGTCACTTCATGCTAGTACATTCAAACATTAGGTTTACCTTGTACGTCTTGTCCCCGAAGAAATGAATTTCTTCGAAGCCTTCATCTTCGACGTGACGAAGTGCATACGTCTTATCCCAGCCGCGAGGGAATACATCAAAGGAGATTTGGCCACCGATTGAAAACGTTAGATCGTAATCGGCAAACTTCTCCTGGAGAACCTTAACAAAGGCGGCTCGTAGTCCGTGAATCTGGAGCAAACTTAGTTACGTGCATGGGGATACGGAACTTTATACCTTGTCATAAGCTTCGAATTCATCGCGTTCCTCTTTTCTATGCGGCTGTCAGAACTGTAATACAAGGTAGATGATATAACATACGTAGCATTGCGCCCAATGGGACTGACGTTAATCATGCCATTTCGGAATTCAACAAAAGTACCACTGGAATATAGAAAAGTCAGTCCAAGTATAGTATCACAAATAGGGTTCTGGTGCTGACCGTTTCACCGGGACGTCCATATCAGCGAGATAGTGGAGAATAAAGTTTACAAGCTTCTTGTAGTTGTCCTCGCCGAGATACTTGATGAATGACTGAGATTGAAGCGGGCCTCCCAGCTTGTAAGCGGTCAGGCCGTTTTCGGCGAAGGCGTAGTCAAAGTCTTCGACAACTGGATTTGATCAGTAGAGAGGAAAGGAGACAGTGAACACAGCTCACCATTACTTCCATCGACAGACAATTGCTCTGAGATTTTGACTAGATCAGATCCTCCAATGAAACCTATGACAATTTTTGTCCTGAGCTCGCGCAGGACTTGGATCATCTCTGGCGAGGCAGTCTGGCGACGAGTCAGCCAGTTGCAAGAAACAAAGGCGTTTCCATACTTGTCGAGCAGGAGTAAGCGTTCCATCGACATCGAACAAGAGAAGCTTCTTGTGTAGTCTATCCGCAAAAACTGAAGAAACCATTAGGGAATATGGTGGTCCACAATTGAATCTGATCAGACACGTTCACATCAGGAGCGAGAATTTGAAATCAACATCTCATGCAAGCATCATCATCATCATCATCATTACACGGCACGTTACCACTTGGGCACGCCGGACGCAAGTATACAAGATGTGGCACTACGACATCCCTCCACTTGCTAAACCGCTCACACACCCCTCAAGCCGAGCTTACGCACTTGAAACAAGCCCGCAGTAGAACTTGAAAAACCTGTAAGCAGTAAGACTGTATTAGTGGCCCCCCAAATAAACTCACACCTCCCGAAGCATCGGCACTGCATAGAAAATTTGAAGCACATTATAAGCAAACATAGCAACCAAGGTAATAGTTGATCTTTCAGCAATCAGTTGCTGGAGGAAGTACACGTCGTCAACTTGATCAAATAGTAGAAGGACAGAAGGGATTCTACCCGACATTGGACAATTCGGCCCATATCTCCTTTCGCAATTCAATCAAGTTCACCGTCCCATTGCAACGCAAGAGGGCATGTTCAGGCGACTCAACAACAGTCCTGCAGAACCGATATTTCCGGTGATCTCTCGTTACTTTAGGTTTGCCATATTCTGACCATCTCATTCTCTCTAGTGCGAGAAGATGATTGGACAGCAAGAGTCGTGTGAGAGCCGTACGATGTTCCAAAACGGGTACATCAAGATAGTGGCGCATATGCAAGACAACTTGAGCAGGAGGCTTATTTTTCTGTGGTTCCTTGCGTCCGTGAAGGAGATAGAGCTTATTAGTGCTGTTGATTTCATCCTGTAAATGCTGACGAAGCTGAAACAACATTTATATGTGGCTGTGCATCCTTTTTGCTGACTAACCAATGCTGAATTTGGGCAAGGACCCTTCTCCCACCAACCATTATGACCACCAATATCCTCGTCTCTGCATTTGCTCCCTTCCCCTCCTTGTCGTTGGCAGTGCCGTCGTTGACGCCTGTATCATCTATCTTGCCTTTGCTTGAAGAGAGGTATCCTCTTCTTCCAGTGGACTCACTTCGACTCTCCACCCATTCTGGGGCTCCTCTCATAGACGAAGCACCTCTTTCAACACTCCTCAATGACTCTGATTTCTTGACGCTTCGTCTCACACCTCGACTCCTCGGTGGTAAGGGAGGTTTTGGGTCTCAGCTGCGGGCGGCAGGTGGGCGTATGAGCAGCCAGAAGACAAGCAACAATGATTCATGTCGGGATCTGAGTGGGAGGCGATTAAGCACCATAAAGGAGGCGAAGAAGTACGTATAACTGCAGCTTATAATAATCTCTAGCTAATTCTTCCCTAGGCTGGCTGAGTATCTTGAAGCAGAACCCGAGCGCGCCGCTGCCAAGGCTGAAGCTCAGAAAGCAAAGCTGGAAGCTCTTGAGCGTAAATTAGGCATCGAGCCGAGGAAAGGATCCAGTAGCGGAACAAGCACTCCAGGACAGTCCGAGCCTACACCGCTGGCAGGCAAGAAGCATCGGTTTGACGATACGGAATACTTGGAGCAGAGCAAGGAGCTAGTGGATGGTGTCAAGAACGCGGTGTCTGCTGGTAAGTAGCTCTACGTTTATCATTCGCAGTTATCTTACTATGGTATCTAGCCCTACTGAAGAAGAAAAAGAAGGCGAAATTGACACACGATACCTCAGTAACCGACAAGACTGTTAAAACTCCTGCGGCTACTGCCTCTAACGTTGAAGCCGTAGGCGCCTAGTTTTCTCTTTGGGACATATATCTAGTTCTGTATTTTGATAGTTATTCAACTCGAAACCGCTATTTCCTATTGGCTTGATGCTTGTTTGTGAGTCGGCGCAGTTATCAGCAGCAAAATGTAGTAATTTCTGGTACCAGGATCCAACTTTATTTTTCGAGAGAGTCAAATCGGAATGTGGCAGTGCGAAGGAGAGGGTCAGTCTGGTCAAAGCTGTTGGCTTGAACATGTCCATGCTTCAGCTTCTCCTGAACATTGACCGATGGAACAATACTAGATGCTTATCATATTAAGGCAATGCTTCATTCATCTCATTGAAAATTTCTCGATTCGATGAAATATCTTCTCTGGTTCTAACAAAGATTATCTGCCGTAAAGATCCTGAAAGTTGGATGTCTCCATACTACATATGGCAAGTTCTCTGAGGTTACGTTTGACAATCGGTGCTAATGCCATGTTGCTGGTTTAACAGGCGTCTTTGCACAATCAAAAGTTGCATCCGAGTTACATAAAACACATTGTCCTGGCTCGATCACGCAAATCAGGGTCCAGTTTACGGAGTGGCCCAAGTCAAGCCATTGAAGCTTTAACCAGACAAAGACAGACCTCGTCATGTATATAAGTCACTGCCAGAATTCCCAACGTTCTCTACCTCATTCTACTGCCTCCAGCCTTCCTCAGAACGCAAGTCTTGAATTGCAATGGCATTCTTCCCCGACAGTTCCATTTTCAACCAGGGCGTCGACGGAATGCTCCTCAACCCTGGGGCATCCAGCATGGACACCGAGTCGATCTCCCCAGCACCCTCCACCGTAACTGGTCCGTACTACACTCCCACCGGCGAGATCTCCTTTACCCCACCACCTATAGTGGAAAACCTGTTCATTTTCGGAGATCCCATGTTCTACGGCGATTTCCACCCAGACATCACCAACGAATTGTCGTACTTCAATTTCTATTGTCCCTCGCTCGAACCACCTGCCGCAGTGCCCGCCGGCGATAGTATGTCGTATTCCGGGAGCCCCAGCCCCCCGCAGGTTGCGAACATGGACGAAGACGCGGAATACGACCTTGACCCAGAATACGACGGCAACGGCGGAGGATCATGCGACTCGATGGACGAAGACGCGTCGACTGTCACCCTGTTTTCCCAGCCATCTCCTTCGTCAGAGTACCGCGACTGGAGTCCATCCAGCTCTGTCTCCGATCCTTGCACCATTGTCGACTCTGGAGACGTCGGTTATCGTCCTTCTGCCGATGACTCTTCAGATACATGCTGCTCAGGTGGTGATGACTCTGACTACGACGAGCCTGCGACTGACACCCGAAAGCGCGCGCGAACCCCGAAGGCCACCTCCGAGTCGCCCAAGCCAAAACGCGGCAAAAAGGCCAACTTCCAACAGTCATCCGAGCGATGGTCTTTCCACGACCGGGAAGTACGAGTGCGTTGCATGTACCCCACGTGCGACGCCGAATTATGGTCGATCAACAGTGCCGTCGACCACTTCCATGAGGAGCACGCTGAGGATGAGAGGCCCGATGCCGTTCGGTGTTCGTACCTTGAGTGCGACGCCACAGGCAAGAGCGTGGGAGATATAAGGAGGCATTTCTTGTCTCAGAGACACGAGGCGCACCGTTTCAAGTGCGACGCATGCCAGATGATGTTCACAAGGCGAGATCCTATGCTCAGGCATATGCGGAACTTTCGGGGCAGGTGCAAGAATAGAACTGCGAGAAAGAGTCCAGTGCAAAAGAGTCCGGCTAACAAGTCGACTAAGAAGAAAGTCAGGGCTCGGAAGGCTTAAAGTGACACGACTGGCAATGACATTTAATGCATTCACTTCCTTCACGTAGATAGCAATTCATTTATGCGCCTCATTTAGAATTTTACATAATTAGATCCTATATAATTTTATGTCCTCAATATGGTCCTATGTTCAATAAATCGTCTAGAAACCTCTCTACAACCTAAGTACCGCTGTCCATTGTTGGCATCCGAGTCGTCTTGATCTTATTCACCTGAAAGTTGAAAATTGCATATCGCGCTGAGACTATAAATGAATCCTCTTTGATAGATATGATAAAACTGAGAAAATATTATGTACGAGAAGGTTCTTATTAAATTTACTGAGGATACCAATAGGACTTGCATATGTAGTGTAGTCAATAAAAAAAAGGACCGTTGAAGATGCCCGATTTCAAATGCGTCCCGTATATTCTAGGTCGGATAGTCAATTTCGTGGCGCAAGAGGCCGACTTGACGATTGCGTTCGAAAGAACATTGTTCGTTGGTTTCCCATTGCCCCAAGTTCGCCCTCTAATGTGTCAGCCGAAGTACTCGCATTTTTCGGGTGTGACGCTCTAGATGCGTCGGATAGCTCCAAGCTCGCAGACAGGGACTCTTGAAAGATAGCATTCATTTTCGCGGTGACATTACGCGTTGCTCGAAGCCCGTATGGAGAAATCTCAGAGCGATTAGGCGAGTACAATGGCGCCTTGGTCATTGATGGTAGTGAATGTTTTCGGGATGCGGGAACCTTTTTTCGATGGGTTCGGCTTTTCTTCAGCACTGGCTTGATGGATTGGCGTCGTGTTGATGGCGTGACACTGAGTCCTTGATCAGACGCGAGAGGCGTTCCAGCCGATTCATCCCACTTCGAATGGTCCTCTAGATAAGAAGCCTCCCCGTCGGAAACTGTGAAGGTTGGTAGATGGCGTTCCAAGTCTTCTTCCTCGAAAGGGTCGTCGTATTCACGATCAATGTCTATGCCAGTCCCAAAAGCGGAGAAATAGGTAGGCAGTGGCAAGGCGGTCTCTGTATTACCGGGGGAGACGCAGAAGCTACGCGGGTCCACAGTTACACCTTCGTTAATAGCACGAGGTACTCCTGAGAGACTGGAGCCCGAATATTCCCAACTAAGGCCGGTGGACATGGTTGTGTCGACAGGTTGCAGACAAGCGGATAGACAAGGAGGAGGAAAACTCTGTGGACAGTAGCCCAACGAGCTCTGGGACTTCAAGTATTCGACATATTGCTGTTGAACGCTGTCAGAGAAAAGCGTAGATATCAAATTACGAGATACACACCTCCTCAGACAACAAGGCGCGCACGCCATCGCGCTCCACAGCTTCGACGTTGAAAAGATGACTTTCAGGGATCCACCTACATGGAATGTACGCCGTCCCTTCAAGTTCCAAGCCAGGATGAGTGAAATAAACGAAAGAGTTCTTTGTGACGACAGGACGAGAGTTGTAGTGTTGGATGAATTCCGTTCCAATAGGTTGATCCCAATCGAGGTCTACGTGCTTGGGAGGCTGGATATCCGATGGCACGAAGCCTGTTTCAAGGTTTACTGGTGTGGTATGTTGCTCCAGATAGCGTGAAAGAAAGTTGTCACTGGAGTTCCCGTATTCCGGTGGGGGAGCTCCGAGAGGTCTCTCCAGAGAAGGAGCTTCGAGCACCTTGAATATCTGTTCCATGAATGATATTCAGGTCGTCGTTGGCGAAGATGTTTGCAGAAATGGCGTAAGAATCGTGAGTAGGGATAAGCAGAGAGATTTCTAGTTCCCAGGCGTTATATGTGGCATCTGGACAATGCGGCCAAGTCTTAAGGTTCCATTAAAGATGGTGGCAGAAGCAGTGTATCCGACAATAGTTTCCATTCACCGTGACATAGTTTGATGTGAAATCAGAAGGCTTGATTCTTGCCTTTATGAAGTGTGGCACAAGCTACGAACAAAAGTGTAGAAAGCCAAAGCTCAAACACTGTGCCACGATCACGTGAATAACTCACAAGTGGTCGATCAGCGTGTTTTATTAAGGTTTGCCCCGTTATGTCGGCGCTGAACATAAAGAGTATTCCGGTGCATATCGGCTCGTGAGATGTTTTTAAGACAAACATCAGCGTTAAAGAAAGGAATTGTTGCCCAGTCACCGTGGCTTCGGAGATGAACGCTTGTCATGAGAATTGCATGAGAATCAGATGGATGAGATCCAAGTCCCAGTCGACACTAAGCCGGATTATGGAACTGGGAAATGTCAGCACGACTTCGTGCTACCATAAATAAACTCGCAGCACTTCAGGACTAGCTGCATGGTTCCAAGTCAAAAGAAAATATTGGCACCTAGTTCACCAGCTGTCTGATCGCAGGAATTCAATGTTATGGAAGCGCATAACCGAGAAGAGAATACTAAGGCTCTGCACACTTTTCCAAAATTTCTATGGGAAGAATCGTAACTCGAGGTGAGTCTCGGATTGTCTCCGAAGTCGTAAGAAGGCTCCAGAGTATGGCATCTAGTGTTGACTAATAGGCTGTCTTTCAAGTCTTGAGTCCTTACTCGTCCACGAAGCTTCGATATCGTTGTAAGCTGCAGGCGCAAATGGTCAAAGACGACAAATGTCACAGTGCTTGCACGCGTTCAAGTCAAGCAAGGTAGGATCTTTGGCAGTTATATTGACTTGGAAGAAGATGTATGTTATCGACATGACAACACATGTGGGGTGAAAATCCGTCACCGACGTGCTCGAAGCCCAGTGGAAGAAGAGAAAAGTGGATATCCAAGCGGAGTTCGAACTTCGTTCTCGAAGCAGTCGGCACCACTTTGGCACCACTTCCGAAGCACTTCTCCAAAGACGGACTGGCCTTGGCCCTCAAGGTCAACAAGAAAAGCCGAGGATTTTATGTTGATTTGTCAGAAGTCGACCTTGACGTGACAAGAGCTCGGTAACCTTCATAAGGAATCCCCGGCACCATCAATTTCACGGATTTCACGATGCAAGTAATGTATTCATAAATGAGTGATGATTGGCAGAGATGCCCTAATATGTACAATTGAAAGAACGAATAATAGAGGGAAAGAGTTTAAATATATATTCCTCCACGATCGGCGCTCAATGCTCAGCAGGTACTAACCGCTTTCCAGACACCAGCTGAACCTCCGGGGGTATCACCTTGCGTCCACCAAGAAGCAGTCCAAAGCTTTCCGCCTGTGGAGCCAAGTCAATATCCACCGAATAAACGCCAACGAGAAGAGGAAAGCCTACCATAAGATACCTGGTTGCCGCCGACATAGACAGCTGTCGAATCCCATGCTGAAACGCCAGAGCAGCTTCCGCTTCCACCCGTAGGTGTCGAACTAGCACTGGTAGTGGTCGTGGAGCTCGTAGGCGTGGATCCGCTCTGTCCCATGTTATTCCTGATGTTGTCCCACTTGCTGTTCGGGTAGCTGATATGGTTCGGTGTCGTGTCGAGGGTGCCGAGTACACCAGCTGCGGTACCAACGAGGGACTCGGAACCCACTTTGTCCGTCGACAGCTGGGAAATGGAATGTCAGCTTGAAGACTCCAAGTAGCAGCATGCCAAAAGATAGTAGCACGAACCTCCCAGAACATAGATCCTGCCATGCCGTTGTCCTGGATGTACTTGCTCTTCAAGGAAACGATATTCGGGGTATCGTATGAGACCAATTCCTTCTTAGAAGAGTCGTACGAGTAGCTCGTAACATCGGTGACATTTTCATAGACCTGGGCGCCAGCCACTGTTATATTGCGTCAGCCAAAATCGAGGTCATTAAGCCAAAAACATACGAGGAAGCGCTTTATATGAGTAAATACCGGCCTCGATAGTTCCCGCACCAATCTGGATAGAGAGCATGATGAGATAAATAAACACGAAGAGCTGTAAAACACGTACACCGTTGTAAGACTGGCCAATACCGTTTGTGTTCTCGAATGCCCGGCCATACAATGGCATACCCATTGTGATCTTACTGATATCCGCTCCCGCAGAAACGAAATGTTTCACTGCAGCATCAGTGCTCACCCCTGTCCGAGCACCACCATAAAGATTGGCTTGGTTATCAGCGTAGGTCAACCAGGAACCGGCATAATCGTACGCCATCAGGTTCCAATGTGTCAGAGCTTTGTCCATCTGAGGAATAACAAGGTTGGCGTAGTTATTTGGCCCGGCAGAGACAGCGGCTGAAAGTTGGTATGGAGTGGTGTCGCCCTTGGACGTGGCAAGTGTATCGAAGGCAGAGCGTAACTCGGTCAAGAGGTCGGCAAAGCCTTGACCTTCCGCAGAGTTGGAAGGATATTCAAAGTCGATGTCACTAGAACAGAGACTGAGCACAATTGCCTTGATAGAGACGAAAAATACTGACATGCCATCGAAACCGTAGTCCTCAACTAGAGTCACAGCGTTGGAAACAAAGGTCGAACGACTCGAAGAGGAGGTGACAAAGGAGAAATGACCAGATTGTGAGTATGTCCAACCACCAACGGAGAGAATAACTTTGAGGTTCCGGTTGGCGAGCTTGATAAGGTACAACTGCTTCAAACATCCGTAAAGGTTGTTCCCGCTATCGTTCCAGCTGTCTCCGTCGTAGTGTTTCTAGTACACCTGAGTAAACAATACACAATGAGCAACCCGATATCCACTCACCTGCTCATCAGCCCAGGAGTCAGTGAGCTTAACAGCTCCTGTAGACGGATCCACATCCGCAAACGCATAGAGAATGTCTAATTTTCATAAACGCACATCAGAGAGTCATTCAGAGCAGAATATAACCGAGCGTACGCGTCAAAGTATTCGTAACGATATTCTGCGGTTCTGCAGAATCACGTCAGAAAGTTTCCATATCAAAGCGATACTAGAATACTAACGGAAATTGGCTGCATAGATACCCCAGTTGGTGAAGTATGCCATGGATGCCTTGCCGGTATCACGTTTCTGGATCCTGTTCACCTTGGGGTTTTCCTCTATTGCGTACGTGGTCGGAGGTTCCATGTAGCTGGCGGGGCGGTGCATGACCTGAGTCGCATTGATGACAGCGACTGCAAGGTAGGCAACGAAGAGAAGAGAGCGCTTGAATGTAGCCATGGTATAAGGAATGTGAAGTGGAGGGGTATTGAGCTCGAGGAGAGCAGTGGGTCTCCGTGGTTCTCCAGATGCCTCTTATATATGGCCAGCAACCCGTTCCGATAGATGATTAAGTTGCAAGCTAGTGTCGAGGCACAGTCTAATTCAACTCAAACTGTGACCCTCATGCTGGGAGCGGGGGAACATATGGAGTGGACAAGTCTGTGATACATGCAAAACCCCGAAAAGGCCCCCGTAAGGAATTTAGTCAAAGACACATGGGAACAAATTTGCCAGGAGAGAGATGGTAATGTAAGAGTGGACGATAGAGCTTACTCAAGAGACACGCGACAGAGAAGGCAGAAGAAGACCAGGATGGAAATAAGCGCTCCGATTATTACCCAGAAGCTCAGGTGAGCCTTCCGCCGATAGGCCGGTCATTGATAAAGACTGGGAAGAGAACGGGCACTCATAGAATCGCATCCGTCGATGCGCATGGAAGACAGAAAGATTCATCAATTAACAAGAGCTTTGATTGCGGCACGCGGTTGTTAGGCGGAGTAAGACCGATTGGTCCAGGTCATAGAGAATACCAAACCGGAACATCGTGACAGAATAAGGACCAGAATCGGAAGCGATATATGGCCCATTGCGTCCAAGCTAGCGACAGCCAAGCGGAGGTACCCATGCGGACACTAATATTCACAGACTTTAGACACTGACTAGGATCCGAAGGCAAGAACGACGCGAGAGTGTCAAACCCGAAACGATTGATTAAATGCCATGTAGCGGGATTGCGTAGAGTGCAGAGACGAGTATCATGCCGTCGATGTAGGCAACAGACGGGACTACTGTGCATTCGTCGAAGTCAAAAGCGAAAACGACGACCGAGAATGATGACGTCACGTCAACGGATCAACCTAGAGCAACTTTGAGGGCCTTTGAGTCATTGGTACTCAAACTGAGGCGACGGCTCAAGTCGTCTTTTCTCACCGTAACCCAGCGCATCTTGTGGACTCCAAGCGCTCTGATGCCTTGTGATATCCATTGAATGTGGCCGACCTTAAAGACCTAACGTTTCACAATTTAGCCAAGCTGCGTCAGGTGCTTGTGCTGTTATCGTTCAATCCTGGATTCCCTGGAAGAAGCCAGGAAAAATGACAGATACGGTCTGCTTGATAACCTGTCAGGTTCCCCGGAGATTCTGCCAAGCACTTTGCGTATCTTTAGGCGTTCATCTGGGATTCGCAGTTTTTGACTACCTGCGTGCGGGGTCTGCGTGAGTACGTTGTTATCTTTACTTCAGATCAGCTTGAGGCACTTACTCATCTTAACCTAACGTTAGTGTGTGCATTGCATCTTGAGAAGCCATGTCACCTGTAGCCTGGAGTGTCGACATCGTAGGGCACCATGCGGAAAGAATACTGGTTCTATCACTAGATAGATGTTATTACTAGCCTGTCTCGAAGCCAACTGAGAAAATTCGCACCATCAATTTGCCGAAACGGCGTTCAAGGGGGCCTGTTATCTCTGAAACTGAACTCGTGTGATACACCTCAGCTGGACTAGAATCCCATCATGAGAGTTCTTCAACCGATTCGCGTATTCCTTGCAAGCTGTAGATTTATTAGGTCTGAGAATACCAATCTGATTTATAAACGATGACAACATTCTGTACATGAATAGACCGTCAGGGGAAGGAAACACGGAAAAAATCGTCCATTGCGAATATGTTTTGCTCCGCCAATACACTACACATGCTGTTAGCTAAAGACAGCCTGTAAGAATGCGGCACTGACTTGCAGAAAATGACGCGACGCGTTCATCGGAGGAGCTTTAAACTATTCCACCAGACATACGCCGCGACGGTGGCCAAATTCAGTAGGGCCGGCCCAAGCTCAAGCTGAACGATTGCGTAAATCCAAAGGGTACAGAGTGGTGGTATCTATCAAGAGCTATTCATTAGCAAGCAGCGACAGAAACGCGAGTTCTCACCTGTCTAATGTTGACATATAGGGAACCACGACTCAACAGATATGTCACCCTACACCCAATACCTACGGAGGCCAAGAAGAGTCCGATTTGGAGCCTGCGGTGTTCCTTGTATCTCATCGCTGCAACCATTGACGTTAATCGCTCTGCTTAAAAGAGAAATCGCGCAACACACTATAGAAGATGAGTAAAGCCAGTACTATAAACATAAGCGCATATAATTACGATAAAGTGTAGAGCAAACATACTAGGGACATTTGATACCATCCTTTCCACAAGCACATCCAACCCTGGATGTTTCCCATACTGGTGCCGGATGAGTCTCACCCATTAGCTCGTCAGAGCAAGCAGTATCGACATCGAATCGTGAACACCTACATCTCCATCATCAGGAGCAAGAATGAGAATGGAACAATCATAGTAATAGCATTGAATATTTCTTCGGCGAGTGGAGAGTCTTGTTCCTCGATCTCATCGACGCCTGGCCCGTCTGGGACTTGAGGATGATCGGATTCTTGCATAAGACGCCATTTCTCTTCCTTGGACAGAATCGGCTCTTGCACCGCAGAGACAGAAGGAACCATGGTTCGTCGTTCGACCATGTGGTAAGTGCTGGTAAGTGACGAAGGAAACAAGTGGCTGTGCAATGGCTGTAGCCCGACCCGACCCCGGGAATTTCTCACTTGGGGCACCGAGGCGAGCCTAGCTTGACGTAGGCGCTTGTTCAGGGTCCAAGCCCAGGCCTCATCGTTGAGTCTGGTTTACGAGACTTGAGTTAAAGAGCAACAACGATGAAATTTTTGGTTGACAACTTATATATCCTAAATCCATCCTAGTTTTTACATGATATCTACGGGACTTTGCAGATAAAATTACTATATATGCTATGAGCAAATTTATTGAAAATTCATGAGATAGTACGTGAAGTGTAATATAAGGAGTGATAAAAATGATAATACTGGCTTGACATGAACGTTGTATGAATGCTCTCGTAAAATTAAATCATGTTTGCTTGATCAAGCCAGCGTCATCAACTTCAATGTGACCGGTACCTAAAGAGTGGAACTTGAGTAATGTACAGCATCAGAGATAGACGAGGAGACATACCTCGGACGAAGCCTTCCTGGTCCTCATTCGACAGTTCTTCGAGTGTCCTGCCCTTGGTTTCAGGGAGGAGCAGTGTCGAGAAGATACCCGTCAACATGAATAGGGCGAAGATTTCAAGACTGAAGTTTACTGTCAGACGAATCAGACGTCTCACGAGAAGTAGTCAACTCACATGTGCTTGACAAACTTGTTAGTGCCGCCGATATCCTTCAGACGGGCGAATCCAACTTGTGCAACGATAGCACCGAGCTTTCCGCTTGCGGCGGATATACCGTGTGCGGTTGAGCGATAACGAGTTGGGAATACTTCTCCAGGAATGACGAAAGTCGTTGTGTTGGGTCCAAAGTTCTGGAAGAAGTTGGCCAGACAGTACAGAAAGACGAAGGCGTCAGAGGCAGACTTGGTCTTGGTGAGAGCATCATAACCGAAGCCTGCGGGAGGTGTAAGGTGAGATAAGCAGTAGAATAGGATTTGACATACCCATGATTACGAAAATTATGGTGAGCATAATGAAGCCCATCAACTGAATAGGCTTGCGACCCCACGAGTCGATGAACAGGAAGCAGACCCAGTACCCAGGGATGAGGCCGGCTGCGGAGAGAATCAAGTTACCGACAGCAATATTCTTCAAGTTGTCGTAAACCTTCTGTGAACCGCTGGTTAAAGGAGTGCCAAAGCCAATAGCTTCCAGGATGATACTGGAGTTGAGACCTAGGCCGTAGAAAGCAATCTGAAAATCATAAGAATTTGGTTGTCGGACTGGGAGGGGGAAACTCACATCAAGGGCGAACCATGAATAAGCTGTGCCAAAGAGAATTTTTCCGTTCTGCCACTGGCTGAAGTGTGCCCCGAAGTCAGCCCATGTCGCCCTGGGTGCGTCCGCACGTTGGATAACGGCATCTGGGTTTCCATATGACTTTCCCGTTGTCAGAACATTTGAGATGTCAGCGGAAGCTTGTTGGATGTTGCGTTCGACATCCATGGTGAAACGCGGCGTCTCGGGAATGGTCAAACGGAAATAGAGGGCAATGACACCAGGGATACAGCCAATTCCAATGAGGAGACGCCACATATAGTCCACGGAATGGTAATTCGGAGGAGTATCCTTGAGAATGGAGCTCTTGAAGGCAGCAGTGATAATCAAAGCCACCAATGATGCACCTGAAATTTGGGGGTCAGTTATTACCTAGTAAAATTTCAAAGGAGGGAAAACATACTGAAGTTACCCCACCCTTGTGAAGCGAAAACTGCGTTCATCATGCGGCCACGTATTTTCGTAGAGGCAAACTCCGAGGAGATAATAGCACTGAGAGGGTAGTCACCGCCGATACCAACGCCCATCTATACAGAAGGGTGAGGACAACAAAGGGGAATCATAAGAAACGACGCACCAAGAATCGCCAGACGATAAGAACACCGAGAATATTTACTGCATGGCCGGAACCTGAAACTGTTTGTCCAAAGGTGGCGATGATCATAAGAATTAATTCCACGCCATCTAGTAGGAGGGCGTGATGAGCATGGCGTTTGCCTAGAGAAGTCTTTTAGCTTACACATCCGCTTGCGTCCTAGATGGTCAGCAAGCCATCCAAAGAGGAGTTGTCCGACAAGTGTACCAACAGGGGTGGCAACTTTGAGGCCAAGGTCCTGGTTAGTGTTGAGCTTTTGATCTGGAATGAAAGTTAGGGCGGGGAACGAGGGAAGGGCCGGATAATACATACTGTGACCGTAGACATATCCAATCATGGTTGCGCCAATGTTGATAGCGAAGATATCATAGCTGAAGTTGCGGAAACATTAGAGTAAGGCAGGCCAAGAGTATTGTTGACATACGCATCTGTGAAAAAACCGACGCCTGCAACAGCGCAGACCTTTACATGGAACCACCTAAGAAAAGCTTAGATAGGGCCTGCCAAGCAATGGAGAGGGAAGTACGTACGAAAACCTGGCATTGTCGACCTCTGCGAGAGCAGCACGACGGCGCTCGTCAAGGACATAGGCGGACTTCGCGATGGGAAGAGAGCCATCGGTGGAAGCCTTTTCTGAAGCCATTGGGAGAGATGAGACAAACCGGAAGCGCTAGATCACGACCTTATATTGAATGTCGAACCTAAATAGGACCCCAGCGAGGCGCCGAGACAGTTTTCCACCACACGTTCGTCGTTTTCAGCCAATCAACAATCGCGCACACGACAGTGGCCCGATCAAAATGAACAGATGAGATCAATTCCGATACAATCAAAGCTTCTCCATCAGGACTCCGGCAGTTCCTGGACGTATACGATAGAAGATGGGTCCACAGACCACTAAATTCAGCACCGACGACCACCAGTAGAGAGGAACGGAAGTATTTTTTTTTTTCAATTTTCCTCGTCTTCCAATAGTCGGTCTATTTTCAGATTGCAGCATTTTCGCACGTGCATCCCTGCGACGCTCGTTTGTTGTGCGCAATGTGGTCCCAATGGCGGGACGGACCAAAAGGAGGACACCAACCCCTGGAAGATGCAGCTATATATGGTTAGTACCACGTGGTTTCATCAGCAGCGGACACCCGGCGTTCAACGTTTAGACAGGTTTAGACCTCCTTCAAGTTAGTACTTCCATTGTCGCATGATATGTCAAACCGTCTGCGTGCTCTCTCGCTGTACAAGGAGCTGCAGAGGCTAGGAAAAGATTATCCAGATCCCTCGTGGGTCGCTGCTTCAACTGTATTGGACGCCGGTTGAATGCATGTCTAGATACGATTTCAAAGCTAGAGTTCGGCGGATGTTCGAGAGTACGCTATTCAATTTTCCGTCATGCCCTTGGCTGCCTTGGCATTCGGCCGCTTAGCCGTACTCACAGAAAACCGAAACCTGACCGACGATGCAGAGATCGAGAAGGCCATTAAGTTTGGCGAATATATCAAGGAAGGCGAGTTATTTGCTCATCCAAGACCCCAAGTACTAATAGAAACATTCATTCAACAGAAACCCTCGCTTTATACTCTCTCCGAAAATATAGGCATCTCAAGCGAATGTACCCAGACTCAATACCCAGTCCGGGTAATGAGCCCCCTGTGACTTAATACGACTTGCTACGGAAGATTTGCGGAAGATGTGATAATTGAACTTGTATATTAGATCGTGGTACCTCAGAAGTGTACAACCGCATACCCTAACAACTGTATATCAGGCCTCAGGCACCGAACAACTTTCTACTTCTTCCAAGCCCATCGAGTAACAACTAAGATAGCCGGGTCTTCTCAGTTCCTTTTCCACGGTTACCTTCTTTGCCGGGTCTCGAACAGTTCGTCAGCACCGCTCGTTGGACCCATTCGACCTCGATGTAGCCCTACAGAGCCATGCTACTCGCGACAAACGTTCGTTATCATGATGTCAACAGTTACTACTCTGGAATGATCTGCACGCGACCGCTGCAGACCGTTCTCAGTTTAATATCTCTCATGGTCCTCTGTCGACTCTGCTTTGCTGCCAAGGTGTCACAGACTGGCATTTGGCATCTCATTGATGATGCTGGCTTTGAACTGGCGAGCTAGTCCCTCAACAACTCTAGGTGATGACGTTGACTGCATTTTAAGCCAGTGAATGCTTCCTTCGAGAACCTTGATCGGCAATATATTTATCGAATTGCACTGCAACTATACGATACCCTTGTGGGTCTTCATAGAAGGTAGAGATCGTGATCAGATCTCACCCGTCAGCATAATCTCGGGGGAAGGGGTATTACCCTTACAGCTGTATGATGGACTTGATGGCAAATACTCATCTGGGAATGACTTAGGGATGGGGTCCGCGGGGCTCTCCCACTGTATATCGACCGAGTCGACCAGTTCCATCAATATAAAATTTTATCGCCGTCGTTTATTCTACGCTTTAACCACTGTAAGTATTGGAACTTCTGAAACCAACGTCAAGACTTGCGACTTGAAAAGTTGAGACTCGAACGCACAATGGCGGTGATTGCCATTTTTGGATTCAGCATCACGTGTCCCGAGTTTCCCTAATCATCTCTAATCCTTTTCTCAGACTCTTTCTCTTTGGTCGGTTATCCTATCTGTCGCACTTTTCTTGATTGCAACATCACTGCAGCTGTGATACCCTTCGACTGGGAGGCATTATTTTGACTTCTATCAAACAAGGTGCGGCTGCACATCCGGGTGGTGGGACACCTGCTTATGCATACTGGAGCACAGATTTATTGCATCGTTCTCTTGCCATGTCTTCCGACGACATTCAAACACCTATAGATAACCTTCGGGCCACAAAGGTAACGCGTTCATCCTGGCGCCCTTTCTTTTCTTTGAATATGTATCATAGCGGAAATTAGACGACGCGTTCCAACATCTAGACGATACTGTTCAGCCTGCACTCAAGAAATCCAATACGAGTCGGTCCGTATATTCTACCCTTGCAAAGTACGGGATAAAGTCCAAAGGGAGCGCGAATGAAGTGCCGTACGCTCTAATCTTTTTAAATCCTGACTCCAAGCTAAGACTAAACTAGGCAAGAGACATACAAAAATGCCCCAAAACTCTCAGCTATCCTCACACGTGCTGCTACGCGTACAAAAAAGTCTTTTCCTTTCAAGTTTTCCGAACCTCGTCCACCGTCAACTATCATCTCCAAAGAAGAATACCGCCCTTCATCAATATCCTCTTTTCTATCTCGATTATCGACCTTTAAACTCTCCACATACTCAAATAAACCGCCTGCCATAGATGCAGTGGCAGCATCGAAGTGTGGGTGGGTGAACGACGGGAAAGACCGGTTGGTATGCGGAGTATGCACCTCCTCGTGGGTAGTGGCTAGCAAAGAGGGCATGTCGCGAGACGCAGGTGTGTGACGATCTATTCTTTGGTGGTTTTGAAGGCTGAAACTTGCAGCCAATGCCCTCATTGAGAAGCAGAAGGTTCAGCTCGTCGATGCGCATAAACCAGGCTGTCCGTGGCGGATGAAGCAGTGTGACGGTGAGCTGGACAATCTTTTTGGCCGATCTATTTTGACCACAAACTCAGCGTCTATCTACCGTATACCTCTTCAATCACCTTCCATTCTGTTACGCGATATCAAGGCGAATGCCACTTCCCTTGACGCTCTTCTTGACGACGTTGAAATCAAACACCCCCTAGTCAGTGTAATATTCTTCCCGTTTTGAATTTTTACCAACAACGGAACAGACATCCAACCAGCTTATAGCACTACGATCCACAATCAAATTATATACTCTATCATTGTCTGTAACTGTATCATCAACTCAAACAGACCCACCCTCGTCTTCTTCGCCGTCTGCGACATCTGAGGAACCATCGGAGAAGACAATTTTGGTGTCTCTCTTCGGCTGGAGTATAGCTCCTGCAGCTGAGCGCCCAGCATTGACACGAGCTAGCTCTTTGGCTCCTCAAACGCCGCCACGTTCACGGGAGTCCTCCGTCGTCCCTAGACAGTCACCTAACCGACTAAGCGTCGGGCCCTCGACCACTCTGGCCCCTCCAAAACGCGATTCTGACACCCTCCTTCAATGCAGCCTCTGCCAGCGACGCATAGGGCTCTGGACGTTCGGACTCCGGCCGGAGTCTTCAACTTCTAGCCGGGCACCGACGAAACGACCCTTTGATCTACTGAAGGAGCATCGGTCTTATTGTCCTTACGTCGTGCGATCGACAGTGATACCCACACTTAGCCCTCAGGCGCATCTCATGAGTCAGACAAGCTTGACAGGAGGAGCGGAAGGCGCTCTGGAGGGGTGGCGAGCCGTTGTAACAGTTGTGTTGAGGTACGGGATGGCGCAACGATCGCATTTGACGAGTGGGAGAAGGCCGTCGGAGACTCATGAGGGGGGAGAAAGTGAAAGAGAAGTTGTCGATGGAGGTATTGAAGCTATGGTGGAGGGCGTCAAGGCTCGGGGAGTGAGTGGCTTATCACTTTTGTCAGATATTGAATTAATATCGTTTTGTTTAGGGAAAGGATTTACTTAAATACGTTCGAGGACTTCTGGGTTGATATTTGCGGAATTTTACATTTTAGTATCTTGTTGTCAGTGGTATTATTGACTAAGACGTCTGGACACCAATGCGGATAGAACATACAAAAGGTGTGGCGCCGCTTGTCTTGAATATGAGTGTAAACTTCCCACCTGAGTTTAGCATACCGTTGTAATAATACCAGGCGCGTACCGGTCATCATCTCCCATGTAAAGCTATACTGATTCAATCAGTATAGATATCATTCATTGGCAAGCATGATTCGGCTTTTGGAGTTGCACCTAGGATTCCCGAACCGTCGAATACCAGCTACAATGTCAATTACACACCTATAACATACCTGTCTATCAGGGTTATTGTTACTCTTGGAAGCTTCACGTTGTTGGAAAACGCCAAGCACTGTAGCAAATGACCCTACAGCCGCCGAAGTTCGAACCTATGCAGCTGGCCAGCCATTGTCGGGATTTTCATCGGCGTTTCCTCTCAACAGCTGACGCAACCTCGTACTTTTCCGCGTTGTACGCGAGGTCCGCTCGGGCCGCAGCGGAAGGGAAGGACGAGTACAAAAACTCCAACCACATGGAAAGAGCAGGCAAACGCGGTTCAAGATGTTGGCGCTGTTTCTGTTATGTATCATCTCTTTCCAGGTGTCGTCTGCTTTGGGGGTTGCGACGTTTACCAATCCGATAAAGTCGAGCGACGGCTCGGATCCTTTTATGGTCTGTTGCGCTCCTTTCTCTCCTGATCCCAGCTTAGAGGAGTCGTTTCCTGCTTTAGGTATACCATGAGGGATATTATTGTGCGTATCGACACTCGGAATCGGAGTAATAGATCATGTGTTGCTGGCGATGCTGATGGAGCATAGATTTAACCACAACCACTTGGTCCAATATTCAGATTACTCGAGCGACGACTATCAGTGGACTGAAGACAGCTACCCCAAAAGTGGTCTGGTCAGATAGCACGTCCAGTCGATGTTGTAACGTTTGTAGGTAACGTTCAACCAGTGATCTGAATCATGGCACCCTGATTTCTGCTTGAAGGGGCTCCCGAAATTCACTGGTAATCTTAACTATCGTTTTTGATGGTCATGAGTTGCTACACAAATACAGGCAACCGACCGAGGCCTCGTGGTACATGTACGTCCCTATTCCGTTTCTGTCGAACCGAAGCACGATGGCTAAGCTTAAGGCTTGGATAGATACTACTCTGCCGGATCAAGCGGCACGCTTGACAATCAGCACATCCATGTCTTGAAAGGATCCTCGAATATTATATGGGACTCTGCCTGGAGCTACGCAGGTAAGGAAGTAATTTTACGGCAGAAAAAGATTGTTCTCAAATATCTGGTATCCAGGACGCATAGTCATTCCTAACCGTGATGTTTGGTCAATCGACGCCACAGTCCTCGTTTATGGCGATATTCGTTATCTCGTGTTTTCAAGCTGGGACGGTAACTGTACGCAATTTCTATCCTTCCAAGTTGAGTGTATGACCAATCTCTTTATCTTCAATGCAAGATCAATGTCTCTGGATCGCGTACGTATTCCACTGAGAATTCATATTGGATTCGTACACTAACATCCCTTCGGACAGGCAAATGACTAGCGCAACAACGGTCGGCAGCGCTGTCAAAATCTCGACTCCTACGCTTTCTTGGGAACAGGTCGGTGCTAATGTGAATGAGGGTCCAGGTGCGACTTGGAGCTGTCTGTTTTCGAATAGATCCCTGCTCACGGTTGCATATCAAGCGGCATTGTACCACGATGGACGAACGTGGATCGTGTTTTCGGCTTCGAGCTGTGCAGGGACAGCTTACTCCCTTGGACGGCTGGAGCTGACCGGCACCAATCCTCTGAGCCCAAGCTCTTGGTCGAAATACAGCAATCCTATTTTCACATCTGCGAACGGGTGAGCTTTGATGCCATTTCTGACATTGGACCTTCTCAAGGATTGATTGTCTTAGAAATAACGAGGTGATTTATTCCCAAATCACCGCGTCCTTCTCCTGACCGAAGTCCCTCCAAATAGCCCGGTCACAATGGGTTTTTCCTAAGCCCGAGTGGTAATGAAATCCACATGGTAAGTTAATAGTTTTCCAGGTCAGTTGAGTTATTTTATATGCTTCTAGGTATATCACGCTTCTTCAACCGTCCCAGCTTTGTGTGACGGAAGCAGGTATACCATGGTCCAACGTGCGTCTACCTCTTTAATCCAATCTGGTTGAATCTTAACGAGAAGTTTAGAGGTTACATGGCATACAGATGGGACACCGAATCTTGGCTCGCCCAGAGCTCTTACCGACAATGTTCCGGAACCACAGTAATCGCGTATGGTAGACATTCTTCATGAAAGCCGAATCTTAATATTTGTCACACAACCTAGCGATGTCCATTTTATAATTTAAGATATCAGGCATATCAGGAGCCTATCGGAGTAACAAAACAAGGTAGATTTGAACCTTGGACGCCAGCAGGACTGCGAGTAGCGAAGCAAAAAAAGTAGACAAAACGGCAACGGAGAACAACATATTTCACGTTTTGTGTTCTTCGTTCTTCGTAGCAGCAAAAGAATTTAAATAAATAAATAGAAGAAGACCGAGTTTTTAGTTCATACAACCTCCGACTTGAGAGGGCTAGGCAGATCAGCATGGTTGTAAGTAGCTTCCCTTTTCTCCTTTACCTCGGACAAGGTACACGATTGATCCTTTTCTTAGTCGGTCTAACCAGATCTGTGTACAACATGCCTGACTCAACCCGGAATCCCAGAGTATGTGCCCGATAGTTCAACAGAAGAGAGAGGAGCGGAAAACTTCTGTTAGTTGCCCTAAGTATGTTCGTAAGTCTCATGCCATCAAAATAGATGTTGAGAATACCTCAATATACAAATGGTATCATCCTCCACAGGGCAGTGACCTTATCCTCGCCAAACTTCTCAACATACCATTGCCGGGTCGTCTCAGCCGTCACACCGAGATTGACTGCGACGAACACGAGAGCGGCTAAGATGGTCTTGTTGAACATCTGCCCAGGTGGTGCCGCGATTCCTGCGAGTGAGAGATAAATCAAGCACTCAGCAGTATAGTGTGGACAAGTGATGTATCGGAAGGAGGGATGCGTAGGCAGGGAATACTTCTTCAAGGAAGCCAGATGCCAGTGACATTTGTTCTGCATCCATGACGCGAACAAGAACAATGGCAGAAAAATTGCAGTGCGTAGGCTGGGAGAGGATAAGGCCAGTTTCAATGGCGTAGAACGAAGGGTTTCTAAAGATGGTGTCAAGATCACGAGAAGATAGAAAGCGTGTGTGTACTCACGAATACCTTCCACCCAAACAGCCAATCCCATGCCTGCGTAAAAGGCCCAGCCCAACAACCAATGCACGAACCACATCTTTGCTTTGGAAGGCTTCGCAAGAAGTATGGATTCCAAGAGACGGCGGCATCCCTGGGTAGACATTAGCGCCCACGTCAATAGTATCTGCTCTTTCGACATCGCCTTCGTAGGGTCAATCTTGGGTGCCAGAGCTGCAATGGCTGAGAACAGGCGTCCATTGCGAAGAATCTCCTGGGCCCAAAATGCAGACGAGCCGACAGAGATGAGGTAGAAGTGAGTGAAATATCTATGAGGAACTTGGAGTGTCGCTAGGTAGTCCAAGAACGAAGAAAGGGAGCTTTTGGATGACTGCTGTGCATTCTCTTGCGCGACTGTTCGAGATCCATAGAGCAGAAAGCGCCTGCGTAATGGTGGGACCGCATTGACTGCTAATACCTGGTTACCAGTCAGTCAAAGGCAAGGAGAAATTTATTCAGAGTAGGACATACCACGGACGCACCAATGAGAAAACCGCCACGTACGCTTTGTACTGGGTCGACCGCCATGGCTGCGAAAAGCTAGGCGACGTGGGCCTGCCATATAAGTACTATTGCCATTACATCAAACATGTGCTTTTCTTCTTCGTGCCATCATGGTCCGTCGCGAGGACGGCAATCGACAGTTGCCTTGATAATCACGGGCAGTACCATGATGGTAGGGGGTACTGTATTGACTTGCCCTCTTTGGGTCTCGGACGGCGAGGAGCACGGGATCCTTTGCTAGCAACCACGATGACATTGAATACGCCTCTATATCTCCAGAATGCTACCAAGGCAGCGCCGGAGACGAAGATACGAGCTTCTATCCTTGCTACTGCGCTCGTCGATGCCCTGGGAGGTCCAGCCGAATTTCACGCCCGGTTCTCTTTCGATATTGTCGACACCATGCTCCCCAACGACAATTTCTCTCTTCCTCCAGGCGTGTGGACGGACGACACATCGATGACCCTCTGTCTAGCACGGTCACTTGCCACCTACCTCCCTGATAACTCAGCACTGGCTGGGGGATTCGATGAATGCCACCAGTTAGCGGCGTACACACAGTGGTGGAAGCGAGGCGTACTCTCCGCCACCGGTAAATGCTTTGACATCGGCAACACAATTTGTAGAGCTCTGACTATCTACTCGAGCAATCCGACAAAGAAACCACTCAAACACATCCAGAATGAGCTTAGTGGAGAGTTCTCCTGCGGAAATGGAAGTCTCATGCGCATCGTCCCCATAGGACTGGCATACTGGCGTGACGAGAACCAAGCAAGGGATTACGCGCGAAGAAGCAGCGCCACTACGCATCCCAATGAACTTTGCAAGGAAGCCTGTGAAGTCTGGACAGGCGCAATATGCATGATTATGGCATCCGCGACGGCCTCAGAGGGTCCCGATATTACGAAGCTTGACCTACTTTCATATTTCGCCTCATTTCCCTATTCCCATCCAAAGCTGCATGGATTGCTCGCCCTTCCTTCGTCTGCACCTTCGCCTCCTTCAGCAGCGAAAGCTTTGGAGAGCTACTATCAACATTACCATCCCCTTATGAAGCTCATAGCAGAATGTGAATCCGAGGCCAAGAATTCAAAGCTTCCGTTGCATTTGCCCCAGCCCGAGACGTTGCCGTCCTCTGGTTACGTCGTCGATACTCTGATTGCCGCCCTCTATTGTTTCTTTTCCACCAGTACATTCGAGCAAGGCGCTATCGTTGCGGTGAACTTGGGCGATGATGCTGATACTGTCGGGGCGGTTTATGGTGGTCTGGCAGGATGTTGGTATGGGTCTGAGCCGAGCAGCGCCTCCGATACCTTCTGGAGTGCCAAGGTAGCGAATTGGCACGAGAGTCTGGTTAAAAAGGATGTCATTTCAGAAGTTTCCGAGGCATTGGTCAGATTTTCAGAAAGGCTATCAAAATGAGCCAGCAGGTTTTGAAGCGAGTCGTCGGGTATTAGGAATGCTATTCTTCCTTTGTACTATGGTCCAATATTATATGTTAATTGAGTTTGATTGAACCTGGACCAACAGAATTAGAGAGTACATGACATGTAGATGTTACCGAATGCTTCAGAACTCTTTTCGACAATGTATCGGAATGATAATCGCAAATTTCCGGCTATATTATGGTCCATGTCTGTACACGTATTTTACATGGTCAAGTGCAGTTGAACAATTTGTACTCCAGACTGATTCTGTTAATTGAATGTCGAAGATATCACGAGCCCTTCACAGTAGCAAACGGGAGATCCGAACTTTCGAGGCAGTAAAGCTGGGCGGGCTGCGCAAAGCGACGAACGGCAATGCTATATAGAACAACGAACCTTCACGCGTTCCTTGTAAGTCAGCATAGACGACGAAGCAAAAAAAAAAAGGCCGCATTACCCGTTCTGTTGGCTCATTTATTGCTCTGAGCCGCCGACGGGATAGGCTCTGTCAGCGGATTCTCTTCTCGAGCCTGGTCAAGTAAACGATCCAATCCCTTTTCTTTCAACGCTTTCTAATGCCTAAGTAAGTAAACGTACGCAACCAGTCAAAAAAAAAGCAAAAGCACACCTGCGTGCACCCCTTATACTCAGCCCACACCTTCCCGCACTTTGCCTCGAATTCCTCTGCTTTTTTACGTGAATATGCCTCCCGTTGTTGTTGGGAAGCTGACGCTGCTACAGCAGGTTCGAGGTATCCTTCGAACCAGGAGTTGAAACATGAATCGTATTCACGTTTTAGAGGAGTGCACTGGGGGGCCAAGCTATCTGCCATCTTACTTTGAGAGAAACGTAGGGATCTTGGCCGAAGAACGCGTCGCGACCTAATGGCCGGCAATTCCCGTGAGGTTTCGGTGAATTGCCCTTTCTGGTCTTGTCGAGGTCTTGTCGTCGACTGCGATAACCTGGGTTTGCTTTCTTCCAATGCTGCCGTGATCTGTAGCGAAGATGGGGATGGGTGTGGCCTGGCACTTCTCTTTAGGTCCCCAACAACGAGGAACAATTGCCAGCTAATCCATGCACGAGCACTCGAGCCTCTACCTTTGCTACTGTACTTGTCAATGCCTTACTATATATTCTGTGTTGTTTTGTTATAAGCCGCGAGCAGCGCTCTATTAAGGCAGCTCGCAGACGTTGCCGAGTCTCGGCTCCTTCAGACGACTCAGAATTAACAGAGATTATTTTCTGGGCGCTTCTATAGTCCCAAAAAAGACTAAGTGTTTATAGCAAGGGAGATCAATATTTGCCATAATATCTTACGGGTAAAGACCCCTGCACCCGTTTAAATATTTCAGCCGATAGAAAGGAGTAGTAAGACACCCTAAACCTATGTATGGATGCTAGATGAAGCAGACGGCAGACGCTTCGCCCACGTACTGTGTGGCTCTTTGGAAGCCATCCACAAGTCCCAATTTATATCTCTGATCTCCCCGCGATGCTGATATATATATGTGCTTTGACAGAGGTGGCGGAAACCATCAAGTGTAATCCAACGGTGACGATCAGGAAAGTATCTTTTATTTAAGAACCATGGCCAGCCCCCAATGAGATTGACTTTGCGCAATTGCTCCAATGTTTCTACCCAGGTTGAAGGGTGTGGACGCCGCAAAGGGTCCGAGTCTGTCATGGAAATACCTACGTCCACTCGTGTCTCCCCTTTGTGGCGTGCACTTTCGGTAACAGACAGGTACCGGTGGAAGTAGACCCGGACGCAAATGGGAATATCACAGAGTTGTGGTGAAAGGGGATTTCTCCCTATGCCGATCCAACCGAGCTCGAAAGAGATGTATGGGACTTGCGGAAAGAGACTGTTTAAACCGATGTCGTTGGGCAGTTTTGCGAGATAGCCATACACTCTCTTCACGGCTGCATCGTCTATTTCTTTTCCGAGGTAGACGAAGCAGGTAATGGTACGAGTACGCTGGGGAATAAAGTCGTAGTAGATAATGGATTTTTGGCGCCCAGCTATGTCACATAGATAGTATATGTATGCAAGGTTGGTGATGTGTAGATCCTGAGAAGCAATAGGGGCATAGATGGTTTTCCACGTTCGGTTAACAAGGGGGCAAGTGGTCATGAAGGATGTTCGGGTTGAGGACGGCATTACAGAGTGCCATGCCTCACAGATAATTAGTTCTACAAGCTCTGGAGGCAATGTAGTCATGGTGAAAGAACAAGATATCGACTATTATGTAACTGGGAAGGGGCGTCGTAGTACCCAGTAGTCTCAGGCTGTCTCGTCCAAGTCTCGTCGCCCCAGTATGATTGTCCTGCGGGGATGATACACATGAGATTGAGTTCATTCCTGCTACGTTAGTAGAAGGTCTTATAGGGGATGGATGGTAGCCGAGTTTTTGACAGCTCCCCGAGCCGAATGTCATCGGACTTTCTATGTGTGGTAAATTTGAACGGCGTGCCACACATAAATTTCTGTTAAAGTCAGATTCTCGGTGTGGCAGTTTCTTTGTTTGTCACTTTGTTTACTGTGACTCATGTTACTATCACGCTCTCCACGGAGTTGCTCGGCCGAACTTCCATTCAGCTCTCCAAACAGCGATTCTGAGAGAAAATGCGAGCTGGTGGCGGCATCTGCCGCCACCGAGCGAGGCTTTTTCGAGCAGCACCCTTATTACTGTTAGTTTTTGAAGTCCTGATCATAACTATTTACTAACTGATTCAATTCACCCACAATCACCAATGGCATCGGCTCTGATTCCAACTCTTAGGTTCAATCGTGTATAAGTGAGGTAGTTTTTGGACAATGGATACTTTCATGAGGAGCGAACGTAGCAGGCTTTGCCCCAGAGCGGGCCTTACAGGAGTTATTTCCACAGAGGAACTCTCAGATAGGCTGATTGTGGATGTATCAGAGCAGCTCCTTTGACGGGTTGTTCGAATAGATAGTGAGAGCCCCCGCCAAGGTAGTGGTGATGGAGCAAAAGAGCGCGTCATGGTCTGTCGGCCGGCAATTCCCGAGACGTGCCGGTGACTTGCCACTTCTGGTCATCACCTTGCGGTCCCGGTCCCTGACTCGCCTTTCTTCCTTTGCCCGTCGTCGAGGAATCTTCCTTGTCCACCATGGACGGAGGCAACCTGACTCCCATCTCGCGCCCAACGACTGTCTCTGTAAAGGTAGACCCAACACTCAAGGAATGCGAGTCTGATGGATTTGGCGTGCGTTCTTGAAATATGCCAAATACAATGGATCTGATCTTTTCTGCTTCCAGTTCCCGACATTCCGTCAGCTCAGAAAGCTGGATCGCGTCGTTCTGTGTGCAGAAAATCTCGATGTCGGATCACCGTTTGCGTATCGTCTTCTTGCAATTGCAAACACCAGAGGCTGGTTTGCGGCCGCCACAAATACGGGTGCGTGTCGACGCGACAGTTAAGCAATGAAACCCGTTTCACACCATATATCCAGGTATAATACTATCTCCACTGAACGAACTGCAAAAATCTCTTGAATCCGATGATACCCAGCCGGTTTTCAAGCCCCAAAAGACCATAGCCCTCTCAGCGCAGCCTGTAACCCTTGCCTTTGCCTGCAATGAAACTCGGTTTCTCGTTGGTCTGGCACAAGGAGAGGTCCTTCTCTACGACGTCGACAAGCTCTGCTCCCCCGGATCTGATGACTCCCCATTACACGCACTTCGTACCTCCAACAGCCCTGCGCGTCAAATCGTTCCAAATCCCAGCAGTGATCCTACATTAGCTGAATACATAGCCATCGTGCGTTTTGATGGAAACATAGAAGTTGTCAACTCGCAGTTTCAGTCTCAAGGCGGATGGACAGCAAGGGAACATGAGGCCCTACCGGTGGCAGGTATGTTGAGATTGTTGTACACTCTTTTATTCTAACGATATTTCAGCATCCTGGTCTCCAAAAGGCAAACAGCTTGCAATTGGCCTGCGGCTTGGCGACATCTTGACCTACACTCTGAGCGACAAGGCGATGCCGCAAAAGCACATTCCACCTACCGCCCAGAGATCTACTTTGGTTTCGCTGGACTGGCTATCGGGCGGATTTACATTTCGCACAAGCTATGCCCCATCTAATCCAGAAGCTGATGTCTCTACACAACATGTTGTACATTTGGATACGCGCCAGTCTACAGTGACGACTACGGATCTCACACATCCCTTTCGCTTATCTGAACGACTCAACCAAGTTGCTCACGTCGTCGTACTTCCTAAATGGGATGATGAAAACGCTACTGCTGAGAGCACAAAGGGCCTTATGGTAGTCGGAGACATGTCCTCAACTGATTTCGAAGTCTTCGGGCACATCAGTAATACCTGGTATTGTTATTACCAGGAGAATCCTCTCTCCATCCCTCTCAACAAAGAACAAGAGGATACAGTCTTGTTGTCTCTTGCCGTTGACTTGGTCAACGGAACGGAGAATCCTATCATGTATGCTTATCTTAACGATGGAACCATACAGGGTTGGTATATGGAACATTCGAAACCTTACGCTGGGATGGTTGGGGGAACTGCTGCTGTCCCACAGCCAACCAGCCAACCAGTCCCTCCTGAGCCGAGTTCAGGATTTGGTGCCCAGACACCACAACAGCCGGCTTTTGGACAATCTTCCTTTGGGCAGGCCGCTTCCTCCCCGTCTTCAGCATTCGGTCAAGCATCCTCAGCCTTTGCGCAGCCGTCATCTACCTCTTCTGCATTCGGCCAGCCGTCGTTCGGACAATCATCAGCTTTTGGCACCTCCTCTGCCTTTGGTAGTACATCCACTTCTGCTTTCGGCCAGGCGTCGTCTTCAGGATTTGGGGCGCCAAGTCCTGGAGCGTTTGGTACCGGCACAGGCTTTGGGTCATTAACCACCACTGTGACTAACCCACCTAGCCAAGAGATCTCCATGGCGGATGCTGCGCCATCATTCGGTGGCCTATCTCTGGGGGGCAGCGATGATTCCAAACCCAAATCTACAGGAGGGTTGTTCGGCTCTCCGGCGCCGCTGCCTCTACCACCGGACCACTCCGTTAACAAACCATCCCCACAACTTTCTACTACTAGCTCAGACTCTTCAGGCTCAACGATAAGACCAGCCACAGGGTTTGGCGCTTTCGGAGGGGGCGCATTCGGTGAAAATTCTCCGTATGCCAGGGCAAGCTCAACCCCATCCACGTCTGCTTTCGCGACTGCACTTGGAAACAAGCCTGCTGAACCTCCCAAATCGGCCTTTGGACAGACAGGCTTTGCGACACCTGCAGGAAGTAATGCGCCAAAGTCTGCGTTTGGACAGCCTGCATTTGGGCAGCCTGCATTCGGACAACCTGCATTCGGACAACCTGCCTTTGGACAGTCTGGCTTCCAGAAGCCTATGGTACCTGCAGCGTCTGCCGCGTCAACAAAAACTAGTGGTGGATTCGGTGCGTTCGCTTCGGGACCATCTACATTTGGCGCTGCGTCGGGTACGCCGACAACAAATACGTCCTCGACGAAGGTTACGGGAGGCTTTGGCGGGTTTGCTTCGGGTGGGCCCTCTGCCTTTGGAAATACATCATCCTTGAGAAGCGCAGCCACAGAACCACCAAAGAGCGTGTCGGAAGCTACCGAAGTGCCTAAAACTTCTGTATTTGGCGGTGGAGGATCTCCAGCTGGGAGCACAGGGCCGTCTGTTGCAGGCTCCAGTAATAATGCGCCTTCCAACGCGTCGCCTTTCGGAACACCGAGCAAGCCTTCACCGTTCGGTGGAAGTCCATTCGCATCGGGAAGTTCACCCTTTGGCCCTCAGCGTGCGAGCATCTCACCGGAAACAAAATCTCCAGCACCCATAGCGTCTCCACCAGCAAGTCCACCCTTAGCATCATCTTCCACACCGTCACCGTTTGCCTCTCCCTCTCAGCCAGCGCCAACCACCGGGGCATTCGCGAACCTGAAGTCATCCTCGTTCCAGCCGGCTGCAGGTTTTGGCGCGTTTGGCGCTTCTAATCAGGACACTTCCTCTCCATTTTTCAAGGCAGCTGCAAATCAGACACCACCCGTATCGGCATTTTCAAATCTCCAGACTACACCCACCAAGCCGCCCGCCGTTAGCTCTTCTCCAAGTTTTGGTTCCCCTTCAGCCTTGGGTGCTCAGAAATCTGCGTTCGCGCCGCTATCAGGTACCAGCTCGCCCACTTTTGGCTCGCCTTCCGCACTTGGGGTAAAGCAGTCCGCCTTTCCGCCTTTATCTTCATCTCCTTCAGTATCTCCTACTCCTGCTAAACCCTCCATTGGTGGGTTTGGTGCGTACACGAAGTCTGCATCGCCGTTTGGCAAAATTCCAGCGCCTCAATCCTCATTTTCCGATATGTTGAAGGCCAAAGATACTGAATCTGAGGAATCAGACAAGACTTCACCGCCGCCTTCTACACCAGTCAAAGCGGAGCCTTCCTCGCCGAAGCCCTCCCCTCCCGTACCAGCACCTTTGCCTTCAACAGCTGAGCCAGAGAAAGAGAAAGAGTCTGATGCCCCCGAAATGCCTACACCTGCAGCATCTACCCCTGCCGTCTCTCCGTCATCCGCCGAGACCCCGCCCAAAGACAAAGGGAAAGGACCGGTCAAGGAAACTGACAAAACACAAGTCGAGTCTTCTTCAACATCGCCGGAATCCAAAGAGCTGTCAAAGGAGGCTTCTTTGTCGTCAGTGGCCAGTTCATATGTTGATGTGTCACAGGAAGACACCGTTGATGGAGATGTTTCCGATGATGCTTATCGGGATGGTGCAGAGGATGACGATGATGACACAGGATCTTTTCTCTCAGAAAGTATCAGTTCTACTGCTGGAGAGGATGATGAAGATTACGTACCCTCGGATGAAGAAGCTGAAGAGGAACGTTCACCTACACCATCCCAAGTACCTCTGCCGCCATCGCGCTCTCAGTCTAGCACCCCCCAGCCAGAATCTGGGACACCTCCCCCAGTACTGCCGTCGTCGACGGAGACTATCCTCCCACCTATCAAAGAGGAGAGTACTACTCCACCGGGTTCTCCTGAGAAGCAACCGGTTGTCGTGCCTCCACCCACTCCTGCAGCAGCAGCATTGGGTTTGAGAAGGCCAAACACACGCCCTGTACGCAGCTCGCCGCTTGCAAACGCTGTGGTAGGAGGCGACGAAGAGCAGGAGGAGACGAAGGAAACTCTCAAAGCCGTAGCACCAAAGCCTCGTCCCGCTTCACCCAGACCTCCCTTTGGTACACTTCCGCTGAAACCATCCGTAGAGGAAACTGTGACTCCTTCCAAGGAGATGCGACCAAAGACTCCACCGTTGCTATCAACGATGGGAGGCGGTGGCGGGAGCTTGTTTGGTAACAAGGCAGCGCCTGTACCAAAACCGTCGTCTTCGGCTTCGACGGCGGTTTCACCGTCTCCATTCTTATCGCCTTTCGCTCCTCCCCCTGGTGCGACAACGAAACCGTCTATGCCCCCGCCCTCGCTTCCAGGTGGAAGTCCCTTCAGTAAACTACCTCCGCCTGGACCTGCATCTACTCCTCCGACAACACCATTTACACCTCCTCCCGGAAATTTGTTTGGTAGGCCACTCGCGCAACCCGCACAACCCACAGAGCCCATTACTCCCACCCCTTCATCCAAGCCTGCTTTCTCCCTCCAGGATTTCCAGGAAGGTATGCAGAAAGAGTGTGCAGTTCTATGGGTAACCATGAGCAATGAACTGGAATGCGTCTGTCGTTTTCCCTGTTATCTTTAATATTACAACTAACTGTATCTTATCAGCTCCAAAAACTCGCGCAAAAAGCATCACAGCAAAGCGAAGTAATCAATACAAAGACCGGTGGTTCCCGCTTGAAAGCAGACTTAGGCAACTCAAGCCATTGGTATCCCGCGGATGCATTGAAGTACCGCGAGACGCTCCTTGGTTATGCGGAAGACTTGGAGCTTCTGAAGGAAGGTCGAGAAGAGGCCAAGAAGATTCTGAAAGAACTAGGCAGTGGAGTTGTAAAGGGTTCGTGAATTATTACTTTTGATTTGCTTCGTTATACTTACCGCTACGTGTAGCAAACACGAGGAAAGAGGAGATCGAGCGATTCAATCGTGCAAAGCAAGACGACAGTTTTGCTAAAATGCTAAGGAGCCGCACCTTGGGTCCGGAGCATCTAGAGACTCGGGTACGTCTGAGAGGGGAGCTGATGAGAAGAAAAACGGAAGTATCGAAATTGGAAAATGTGTTGAAAGACTATAAGAAGAAAGTATCCTCTATGAAGAGCTATAAGGGCGTCTTTAGGTAAGTCCCTCTCTCGTTGATCTTGGCGCCCCGACTCAACATTTTCTTGTTCGTAGGGCTCCGTCACTGGACACTGTCAATAGGACATATCGAAACATCGACATCGCAATTCAACAAGAAAGAGATGCTATTGATCGTCTGGAACAGAGGTTATCGAGAATCGATTTGAACAGCACGCGGTCGTCTGCTCCAAAGAGAGACCCGCGCCTCCCTGACCTCCCTTCACGACCTCGCGCGGTGCTACCGCATGCGGCAGTGACAACCGCTGCTGCTCTGAATGCCGAACGCTCTGCCCAGAAGCTGAAGCAAGCACTACTTGGCTTGCGCAAAGAACCATTGTTAAACCAGCCCAAAGCTAATGCTCCGACTCCTCCGGTTGCATTTTTGTCAACGTCTCAGGCAAGCGGGTCGACAAAAGAAGGCGTAGTTTTTAACACTCCTATCAAGATTGAAGGACCATTATTCGGGAATAATGGTGTTGCCGATACCAGCTCATTTGGGACAGACTTTGAATTCCCTGATGACGACGACAGCTTCCACCTGAGTACGCCCGTGCCTACTGGGCGACGTGGAGCGGGGGGAGGAAAGAAACACGGAGGCGGGTTGTTCAAGAAGAGTCCCAGCACAGCCACGACATCACCAAAGGCACCGACCTTTGATTGGGGACCGTTGCCTGCGTTCGACTACGGAAAAGCTGGTAGTGGATCGCCTTTGGTTATGGGAATTAGTGGAGGGCCTCGAAAATAGCTACTTACTAACGATATATCGACACTGTGTATTGTTATCGCTTTGAATCTTGCATGTACTTCTGTATTATCTTTGATATCACTACAAAGAGCTTCTATTGGACATACGTTGAAAGTCAAGTATAGCATAGATATTCACACATATCCCGATGCTCTTGGGAGAAAACAACCAAGGCGTGTGGCGATTATTTTGCAGCCATAATACATCGAGCAATGATGATACCTATCTGGGGTATTCGAAATGTCTGGCAGCATACTCGGCTGGATGAACATTATCAATCCGTTTGACCTGTCACATTTCTTAGAAGTAGCCGCAACAGCAATTCACTAAAGTACTGTAAAGGAAATATGTAAATGCACCGGACATTAGACTGGGTTGCTGTCTGGCTGGCAGCACGAGCAATGCAAAAGGCGCCGGTATAAATCGATGATAGATGAAAGAAGATTCAATAATCCAAGTGTCACCAATTTGCCATAGAGAACGGAACACTCTCCACCTCCTGCTCGTATTCGACTTCCACGCGGGGACCCTCTACAAAAGGAATTAGTACACCTTCGTTAAAGTTATGCAAGACGCTTACTTTTTGTCTTTTTGTCTGGTCGTTTGCGCGTAGGCTTCGACGAGGATGGAGGCGGTGCTTTCCGTTTTCCAAGAGATGTTTTAGGCCCGACATTTTCTCTTGACTCGCTAGCGGAGCCATCATCATCCTCATCGTCTTGTCCCTCGCCTTCAGAATCCTCGTCCTGTATTGCATTAGATTGAACCCAATTACAGTAACGCGGATGAACACTCACAGCAGCTTCCTCCAGATCACTCAGACCATCGTCATCTTCGTCCCCGCTGATATCACTGACAAACTCCCGGTCGCCCCAATCATCATCCATTTCTTCTTCAAGCTCTTCCTCGTCTTCCTCATCCGTTTCATCCGCCAGCATCTCCAGCGTGTCTTCGGCATCCTTCGAGCTCTCTCCATTCTTTTCCCGGTCAAGGATGGCCTGCCAAACCGTCTCGTTGACGTTAAGCGGTGCATCACCGTATGCTTTTGATTTCAGACGTTCAATGAGTTCTTTCTCAATTGAGCGTTCTAGATGAGCAGCAGAAAGCGCCTTTCTTTCCCGAACAGCTTCCCGACGATCCAATTTTTTCTTTACCCCAATGAGCTTAGGCCTGTGAAACGTGAATTGAGAAACTCTCGTTTGTTGGTTAGGATAACATACTGTTGGCGTAGCTGTAGTCGGCGCATTTTGATAAGGTACTGCGTGATTTTCGTTACACGCTGCTTGCATTTGTGAATGACGAAATTTGGCCAATATATCAGCTCACTGTCGATCTAAAAGGAATTAGAGAACGCGAAGGGAAGGATGGGGAATCCCTCACCTGCTCAAGAGCCTTCGTATAGTTATTTGACAGTTTTACTTTCTCCCACATATGTGCCGGTGAATGTGCGCGTTCTATGGTCTTCATGTACAGATACAAAACACCTGGATGCAAACAGTAAGACCAGTGGAAGTAAAGAACCGTCGGATAGTGTACCTTCTTTCTCCCTAATTGTTGCATACTGAGAGTTCGCCAAAGGACAAGACTGTCGGTTGCAGAATCCCGTTACATTGTATTCGTTTCGACAAAAATTTTGTGTTGCAGTTCTGGCCAAAAATGAGCACTTTGAAGAGCTTGTAGATAGGAACAACGTGCTTGACTTTGTAGGAACAGAACTGGTTGTTGATGACAGACCATATCACGTCGTCGCTTTGCATGGTAGATGAGCAGTACGAAGTACAGAAGAATCAAAAAGATTTCAAGAGTTCAGCGTTGCTTTGGCTTGTTTATTTCTAAAGAGGTCGGGGTACGGGCCGGTCCCATCAACCCCTATATAATGTACGAATACGCACTTTTATCATTGGCTCTTCAAGCTTCAGTATCTGGAGGAAGTCAGAAAAGCTGGCGAGGTTCGCGCTACAGATGTTCAAAATCCAAGCAGACTCCATTCGACGTCATTCCACAACTGGGTATGACGTGAATTTCATGAAACCGTTCTTTCAATACCAAACCGCTCCAGTTCAAGGTCGGAAATGATAATTTGTGGAGTTCCAGGAACGCGACAAGTTATATAGCTAACTTGGCAAGTTAACAACAAAATAACGGTAGCAAATCAAAAGGGTAAGTATAACAGTTACATATTACTTCAAATGCGCTAGTGTGATCTCATTAGTTCTAGAATTTAGGCTATGATATACATTTTTGAGAAAGACGTCCCCAACCTGTATGACAATGTGTCACTACCTCTATGAACTACAGATGAAGGAGCCGAACTTACAAGCCAGTGCTTGGGCCCTTCAGGGAGCTCCCTTCCGTGACTGATACCAGATATACAATCTACGGTGTTGTTCTCGTCCACAGGAAAGAAACCCAGGTCACGGGAGTCGATAGGAAACTCCTTGTCGCCAATAACGAAAGAGACCACAACACTAGTCTGGCATGGAATGATCCACGAGTCTCGGTCAAATCGCGCACCGGGAATCTTTTGGTGTATCGAATATACGTCCTGGTACAAAAAAGGTCACAAGGCAAGTCAGAACATTGCATACGGTCATATATACCTTAGGTTGCGCGAGAATAAGGGTCTACGCAGTAAATGATTGTGTGAACATGTCCAACGTAACAAAAAACTTACCGATCCGGTGTCCAGCACTGCGAACCTGTTTTTCAGTCCCAAGCTTTGTCCATTTACCCTTATATCGTCTAGAAGAACCTCCCAAAAGCCTCGTACATTCTGGTTCTTCACTGTGATAGTAGTATTCGGTTGAAATTTAGACGGATCCATGCCGCCCAGCATCAGTTCTCCGTCATTCTTTCCGTCAGCAGCACGTGGAATTTTGAACGACACCACTTCATCTTCTATCTGGTGTGCTTTATAGAGCGCTTCGACCACCGTTGGCGTTCTTTGACGGGAGGCCACCTGTGGTACCATCAGTGAAGGTCTTTGGGATGATCATCACTTACTGTCTGTGCGAAACCAAGGAGTCCATCAAACGGTATACTGTCTCTGAAACACAAAACATGAGCGAAAGGAAAACAGGATAAAACACAAGCTCGTACGCTGTAAAATCCGCACTTTCGTTTTGCGCAACGCCAAACTTGTGTGCTTTGAGTTCCAAGCCCACGATGGACACATCGTCGTGCGCTAGAAAGCCGGAAACCTGGCCTGTGCCATACCAAATACTCCAGCTCTCATTCGTGCCAACAAATGTCTTGCTTGAGTGCGGACCGAGAAACGAATGATTGCCCTGATGCTTGTCAGATAAAATGCATACTACGGAAGAAAACCACGTACGCAAGTGCCCCCATCGTCGCATCGACAATCTTCGGCACCAACCCAAAAGTCCGCAGATCCAGTATCCATTAGAAACTGATGGGAAACTGGCGGGGTTCCCAAATCCACTGGGCCGTAGTCTATTCATGAACCTGGGTCAAACTGTTGTGTACGCCGTACATTATTGAATGACTGACATCCTATATCATTGGCCCTATTCTCCAAAGGTCAGTTGGCTGGTGCACAGGGATCGTTGCAACCTACTTACTGAATTGACAGCTTTTCTGCAAAATCTCCTCTATCTTTTCCCTGAAACGATTCTGGAATATATGGCAAAAGGCGGTCTCTTAGAAGTGATTGAAGCAGAGGAGGTTGCCCTTGCATGAGGGCGAGACGTTGATCGCATCGGTTCACATGCTGCTGATATACCTGCATGAAAATACACCGTAAATTAACATCCAAAAAACAGGATAATGTACACTTACAATGGCGGGAAGAAGCTCACCATTTTCCACCGAGCTGGATACCCGCTGGATTGGTATCGAAATGGACCGTGGCCGTAATATAGGCTCGCCCGCGACGATGGCGACGACGAAAAGGCAGAAGACGAAAAAAAACTTCATTTTAACGCGGCATTAAGCTGGAGCAAGGAAAGAAGGGAAGGGCGAGCAAAAGGCAACCAGAAGAAGCAACCAAATTGATGCTCGTTTTGATTCGGATTCGCGATCAAAGAAGCCGATCGCATTTAGCCCAGACGCCACAGTACATATCCACTTTCCATCCAACTTAGTCGGATTGCAACTGTTCGCTACTCCAGCGCTGTAAAATTGAGCACGAATGTCAATGCCTTGTCAGATTTGATATCCGATGGGAACAGCCATTGGGCATCAGGCCAAAGCGAAGATCCATGTCAAAATCTAGATGCAAGTTTGTCAGCCCAGTGTAAGTGAGCAGAGTCAGGTCGTACATTGTATGTTTATTGTAAACCATGCTGTAGTTGTGGTGATACACATTGGAGGGCCTTGCACCGAGAAAACTAGGAAAAATAAACGAAACGAAAAACCAACATACAACAATGCGATATAGTAACCGGCACTGTAGGATGGAGAGGCGTTGTTATGTGTCACTATTGGTACTACGTACGTTGAAGGTATACTATGCGGGGAAGGGGAAAAATGCAAAATGCCATCATAAAATAACTGTAAAATGAGATATGCAATGAGAGCTAACGTCACTCGCGGTTTCTAGTTATCCAACCTTCGCGTGAGCTTCCAGGATCCATCCATGCCTTGAAGTCTGACACGAGCGACGTCACATGCTGGTTAGAACTGTCGCGTAAATTCCGAATGTATGTCGGAGGGTTGCCAGTCGGTAGTACACATAGATGCAGAATTGATGTTGAGCTTGACGATGTAATTAACAACGTGTACTATATCTCATGAACGGGAATGTTCAATGAGAAGTATGGATGGTTCAGCGCTTCTCGAACTGTGATGCGCTGCGCGGGATCGAAAGCTAATAGCTTCTGTACCAGATTCAGGAACTGGCGATTGATAGCGTCAGTCTGAGGTATGACCTCCTACGTATGAACAATAACGTTAACAACGTTCAGAAATGTGAAAGGAGAATCGTACTAACCGAGAGTGGTCTTGTCGCACGAACGTCCTTCTTGCTCTGTCGTGAAGCTTTAGGCTTAGGCCAGTCTAGTTTCGAACCTTCCTTAAAGAATTCGGGTTTCGTGCGAGCACCCTGCCGGGAAAAGCGCTCCGGCATCTTGCCCATGACCATCTCCATCATCGCAAGATGTTCCAGATTATCATGGGTCTGGAAAAGGGCTATTCCCGTGAAGAACTCGACGAGAATACATCCAAGCGAGTACGCATCACAGGGATAGGACCAGCCCAATCCTTTAGCAGTGATTAGTCCTCAGTCTCGAGAAGATAAACAATCACGGACCTAGGATGATCTCGGGCGCCCGGTAATGACGAGTTGAAACAACTGTCGAATGATATTCGGACTCAAACGTGGCTGAACCGAAATCTATGAGACGAATGTCTGTGGATTGCAGTATACGTTTCGCCTTGGGGGGGGCGTTGCGCTAGGAGGGCCATAAGCACTGTTTCAGGCACAAGAAAAAAAATTAAAACCTACCTTTCCTGGCACAGGAACATGCACCACCTTGTAGTCATTGTGCACTAGCAGTATGTTTTCGGGTTTCAGGTCTGTGTGAACAAGCTTGAGATCGTGCAAGACTACCGGCCCAAGTTAGTACATGACGGAACCAAAAATACAAGGTTACTTACATGCGACACTTCCCAGTAGCTGTCGAGCGAATGATTGAATGTGGTGCCGAGGAAAAGGCGCAAAGTCGTTTTCCTTAAGAAAATCGTACACACACATTCCCAGGAGTTCCGAAACCAGACAGATGTGATTCCGATGGTCGAACCATTGAATCAAGTGGATACATTTGCTGCAGAAAGTCCATTAACATCAGCAAAGAAGTGAAATCGAAGTGCTTACTTGCGGTTCAAAGGGTCGCGCTCCTTGAGTCTCTGTAAAACACGGACTTCGATCTTGCTAGCATCGCGATACTTCTGTATAGCTCGAATAATCTTGATAGCAACTCTAGCATTGGTCTCAGTATCGATGGCTTCGACAACCTTCCCAAAGGTGCCCTGTCCAAGCAGTTTCACAGTGCGATCTAAACGGCTACATCAGCTGTCGCCCTGAACGAGTGTGAAATCAGTACTTACAACGTCGATGGATCATATCATTGGGTACGATAATGTAATGTCCCTCTTTGTCATCACAGGAGACAGATCCCTTCGAAGTCTATGACAAGAAAAAGCCGTTGAACACGTCATTCAAAAGTGTGGTCTGAGCGCGACAACTCACCTCATCTGTCGCAGCTGCGCTTCTGGTATCCCAGGATTTAGTTTGGGTAAGAGCCTGGGAGTGGTGGCCGCTTGCTACAACTTTCTTGGCAGGTAGCGCACGGACCTCCTCGAGATGGTCCCGTTTCCGTTTCTTCGGTGGAGGGGCAACGATTGCGGAAGATGAGCTCGCCGATAAAGCCTGGGCCTCTGCAGCAGCCCGAGCACGAGTCCTTATGGGCGCAGAGTACAGAGGAGGCTGGTATGAGGCAGAAAAGGCGCCAGTATGAGTGGTCGCAGGTGACATAGTAGGCGGGGGTGGTGTATCCTCAATAACGATGACGTCCCGGAGCTTCCCATCATTGTCCAGCTCCTGTACTTCACTGTAGCTGACGGTATACTGGTGAGCACGTTTCCGTTTTCTAGTGACCACTGGCGGCGTAGGAAGGACATTAGTGGTGTTGGGATTGACGCCATTGAGTGACTGGAGCGAATACTGAGAAAGCATTTGGGGCGGCAACGGGTGTACCGCAGCCTGCATCGTCTGGGTTGCTGTGAACGACGTGATGGGCAGAGAGAAAAAGCGTCAGCAGCTTCGGCGGGGCAGAGCCAGTTGTAAGTAATCTCTCCGTCTGTCTTGTTTGGTCCCTTGTTTACCTAAGCCACTCCAACAGGCAATTCACTCGACGGACTTGCGGCAATTCGACATTCACGGCCAAGTCCGTTACCCGTTCCCCTACCGCCCCCTGGCCTTCTGTGCCGCCTCTGATCTTCTTACAGCTCCACGGCTGCAAAGGGGGTCCCTCTGTTTTGTTCCCAGCAAGAAATCTTTGTATACCTTTGCTAGACTGCCGGTCTAGATGAACCTCGCTATCTGCCGGTCACATCATTTATGGAACCGTTTTCTAGTCATATCTGCCCGCGGAATTGGCCTTCACATGCGCCAGATACTGTTTTCAGCAATGGCACGGTATATGCCACAAATATATCACTGTCATCATGAAATGTCACCCAAGTACATATATGGGCGTCAATGGTGATGTGGGTGATTTACACGCGATTCGACTTCCACATAACAGCCTTTTTACTGAAAGTATCGCCCGTATACCCCGTGCATGCACCATGCATTTTGCAGGTCGCCTTCAACGGCATGATGATGGGGCGCGTTGTTCACACGACACCGTCTTTTTCACCTTGATCCGGATGCTATGACTCTGCTGTACTAGGTACTGCAGCTGTGTTCCCTATTGTTACACCTATAATACAAACATACATATGCGGATGCTTCGTCGTAGCCATTTATTCTGTCGGAGAGACATTCCGAGTGGAAATATCAATCGACATGATATCCTGAAGACGTGGTAAATTAGCCAAACTTGAATCGAAGAACGTGCAGAAGCCTGACCAATCCTCGTTCCTTCAGCTCAGCAAGCGTAGGCATCATTCCCAGCCTCAAGAGCTGCAGCGCCTTACTGGCCACGGGGTCATTTTGCATGCTGATAATGAAAGCAGGTCATCAGCCTTGGTCATCACAGGTACGATAATATATATGCACACCTGGCAACAGCGATGATTTTACCACCCTTGGAGTAGTAGGCTATGAACTGAAACAGGTCCGTCTTTGTCTGCATCTGAAAAAGAGAGGGAGGGCACCTACCTTTAATTCCCCTGGGTCACCGACAATCGTGACTTCGTCATGACCGGCACCGTAGCCACCGTACCGGAGTTGTTGACCCTCTTCGTTACATCAGCTGCGTGTCGGCAAGCGGAAGTTGAAACCTTACGTGCGCTCCAAAAGAACGGAAGCTTAGTGTAAGGCCGAGGAGTACCAGCAATCGACCTTCCCAGTACCCGACCTTGGTTTGATGCAACCTGAGAAGTGAAATTGAGAGGACACGCTCGATGTCAACAGGATCAAACTTACATTCCAATGTTCGATGCGGGCGAACGTGACGACTCGGTCTTTTTGCACCACTGGTGCTACTGCAATATCACCTACGCCGGGATGATATCTATCAGTGGCGCTCCCTATAAGTTTGAAGTCGACGATCATCTTACCAATTGCAAACACACCCTTTACTCCAGGGGGTGTTTTAATAGCCCTAAGATACTCATCCACCTTGACAGAACCATCAGCCTCCAATTCAATGAGTCCCTTCAAAAAGTCCGTGGCCGGGCGGACCCCGACCCCCATGATAACGAAATCGGCAGGCAGCGTTTCGCCGTTAACAACAACACCTGTGGCGAGTTTGTCGTTGTCTTCGTGAGATACGATCTTCTCGACTTTGCTAGACATGTGGAACTTGACACCTTGTGATTCGTGATACTATCATGATCGTCCTCAGAATATGGCAGGGTACAAGATGAAAACCGGCAAACCTTCATAAGCCCCTTACCAACCTCCTTACCCAGCACGGCCTCGAATGGATACTTCTCCATTCCAATAACATCGATTGATTCCAGTCCCCGTTTGGCTAGTGCAACGACAAGTTCCATGCTGATGAAAGAGCTGCCGATGACGACGACTCTTTTTCCCTTCTGTGCCGCTATGATGTGGATTTCAATGAGAATCAAACGTAATTCCAGATTAGAAGTATCGGCTTACCAGCATCAACCTTTCGAGCGTCCTCGACAGTCCTGAATGTAAATACATTTTCAAGGTCTGCGCCTGGTATAGGTAGTCGCCGAGGAGTTCCTCCAGTTGCAAGAACTAATTTATCGTAAATAAGTGAGTCCTTGCCATCAATAATGACTTTGCGATTTGGAAAATCGATCGAGGTCACAGTCTGCACCAAGTTCTCATGAGCTCGGCAAGGGTTAGCAATGAAACTTTACTTACGACTCCGGTTCGAACGTTGGTCCCAAACTTGACTTTGAGTTCCGCGGCATTCTTCCACTCCAGCTTAGATGGGTCTGTAATTAGTGCTTTGCTCAGTTTGGTTCTAAATGGATCGTCAAATGACAGAGCAACTAGAGGTAGATATTTCATCGTACCGGTCAATTGGGGCATATGGCTCTTTGGTTAGGATGGTAATAGGATATTTATACCCATTCTGCAAAGTGTTCAGGATATCAGCCACTCATAAAGAGAGGAACCAACCTCTCTCAAACTTTCCACGAGACTGAAAGCCCCGGCACCACCCCCAACGATGATCGTTCCTTTGCCAACAGCATCAAAGCCCGTGGTAGATAATTTGGGAGGCCTAGCCATCTTCTCCTTAAGTGTGTATGCGGGGTTCGCACTGACGTATATCTTGCCATCTTTGACGCGGGTTTCGAAGGAGTGAATGCCAGCCGGAGCGGGAGCATCCTCTATTCCAATTCTTATTTAATAGATCGGGGCGTAGGGAACGAGTCGACACGCACCAATGTCACCGGAGGAAACATGAAAGCAAGCTGACAATACACGCGTTACTCACGAGGTCTGCGATAAGACGGTTACACTCACCTCCGTGCCAAGGGCTTTTGACATACAAAAACATCAAAATTTACGCGTCGAGCAGAAACGAGGAAGTAGCGGACCATGTTACTTTTCCATCGTGAGTGAGTACACCTTTAGCAAGAGGTGCTCCGTAATGGGTGCAGTAAGCACTGGTCGCATGTATCTTGTCTCCCAAACGCGAGAGAAGAACCTTTCCTTGCTCGAAGTCGACTTCCTTCCTAAAAACCCTGCGTTTAACCTCATGCTGTCGAGACAGGGAGATCGAGTCACATTTCTCCATCTTTAAGCTCAGATTCATCGAGAACGGGGAGCGATTTGGCAGACATTGTTCGAATAGGCTGGAGACGTAGGAGTAGCGGAAAAGGGGCTTTCTTTACGGGTAAGCCTAACCGCACTAACATTGTATGGGAACGTACCCACAGATCTAGACTGTATATGTAAGACAGAATACTCCAATCAGAGGCGGCTAATTGGTCATCGGTTTCGGGTTCAACTCGTCACGATGGTCGTCCTGAGGCAGATATATGATCCACAATGCTGCGGTTGAATTTCAGTGTTCACGATGAAAACAAAAGCAGGCAAAGTTGACTAAAAATTAGACATAGTGTTCACTAGCTGATGCTGCACGATAACGGCACTTGTGTGGCCTTCTTTGGTCAGCTTTGGTCTCGAGTCGCGGCGTGACTGAAACCTTAGGGTTAGGGTTAGGCGGTCTTGCGATGAATCCCTCGCCGTCGCGTCTCAGAACTGCCTGGAAGGGCAAGGAAAAGGCTGTTGACGCGCCCATTAACGATGACTTTGGTGACATTGACCCAGTCATTACCTATCGACATTTGCTATCTCAGAACCTCGGTGTTCGAGACCCACTTCGCGTTATCGCGCTTTGTGACAGCGACGCCTTCTACGCGGCATGCGAGATGGTATTCCTTCCCTCGAAACGCAAAGTCCGCTTAGCTAACAGCGAAGGGTACAGGTTCGTTTGGGAATAGGCGACAAGCCTCTCGTAGTTCTTCAGTGGGACTCTCTCATCGCCGTGAATTACCCTGCCCGGAAGTTCGGCATATCACGCATGGACAAGTTGAAGGACGCTAAGCAACGGTGCCCGGATCTTGTGGTTGTGCACGTCGCTACTTATAAGGAAGGAGAGAAAGAACCAGGCTACTGGGACAACATAGATTCAAGAACGCACAAGGTGTCCTGCACAAGTTTGGTTGCTCCGAAGACTCCCAGCTGACTATTGTCAAGGTCTCCCTGGACTATTATCGACGAGAAAGCAGTAAAATTCTTGGGATGTTCAATGAACATCTTCCCGATGCTGAGATCGGTATGAATTGCTCTGATTGATCTGCGTAGAAGGATTGAACGTATGAATAAGAGAAGGCTTCCATTGACGAGGCTTTCATTGACTTTACGAAGCCCGTTCGAAAGATTTTACTCCGGAGATATCCATACCTCTCAGCCATTCCGGCTGATTCTCCTGATGGAATGGATACCCCGCTTCCGTCAGCCCCGTCGATATCTTGGGATAAGGCTGGTTTCCTCATACCCACTGACCCACTTATAGCTGTGGATCAAGAACCGGGTTCCCATGCCACTTCGAATGAGGAAGGTATAAAAAGCACCTGGCATGACGTCGCTCTCTCTATTGCCGCTGAATTAATGGGCCAGGTTAGAGAGGACATAAAAACAAAACTGGGGTATACATTGTCAGCGGTATGGTCCAAAACTTTTCTTGGTTTAGGGTTCTGATTGAATTTACCCAGGGCATCGCGAGAAATAAATTTCTCGCAAAGGTTATACATCAGCTAGCTGCCTCCGAAGTGACCATCTGACCTAACTGTCCTTCAGCTTACCGCATCCTATCGAAAGCCCAATAGTCAGGTGTGCCGGCCTGTATAGTATTGTGAACCGAAGTTTCTGACGAATGACCAAGAGCATCCTGCGTAATGCCGCCATTCCGGGTTATTTGAAACCCATGGAATTCCAAAAGGTGCCGAATATCTTTTCATCTTTTCTTATGGTACCTTGTTTAAAACCGGTGTAGATACGGTTCTTAGGTGGGAAACTCGGGCACGCTCTAGCGCAAGAATATGATGTTTCGAAGGTGGCGGATTTACTGTGAGTCCCTTGACCCCAATGATCCGTTTTTAAATGAATCCGTCCTCTTTAGCCCGGTTAGTCTAGGCAAGCGGACTTTTCGGAGTGAGGTTATTGCTTGTTGATGGAATTACACAGACAAAATGCAGCACAAATTTGGCGAGAATGCTATTTGGGTCTACGAGGTGCTCCGGTGGGCACTCTTTTCTTTTGTGTGAACTCTGATCAACATGTTTTAATCGCACAGCGGAATTGATCGTTCTGAAGGTCGGGTTCATGCTAAGCTGTATCAAGTCAAGTATTCATGGTGTTAGAATAGTCAAGGCCAAGTCCATCGTCAACAAGAGCATGTTGGCCGCAAAAAATCTACCGAAACCTATCACCAAGCAATCGGAAGGACACCATTGGATTCGGGTTTTGGCCGCGGAATTGGCCTTGCGACTCAATGATGCGAGAGAGGCCAACCCTAATCTTTGGCCAAAAACTCTGGTTCTCAATACCCGCAGAGGTTCCGTCCCAATATATATCCGTTTGTGACCTTAACACTTACGGTCATTTGTAGGAGGATATGAGAGTTCCCGTTCCAAACAAGCCCCGTTTCCATTTATCCGAGAAGTCACTGTGGATGTCATCGCAGCCGCTGGTAATAAACTCTGGAAAGACCTCGTTGGAAACTCTACATCCATGAGGGTGACATGCATTCAACTTGCATTCACTGGTATAGAGACTGCGGAAATCGGACAGCAGAGTATTGACGGATTCTTAAAAGCTGACTCGAGCTCAAAACGCGGACGAGATGAAGACTCCCCCGAGCATGTTACAGAGCTTACTGCGGATCAGTCGGCGGCCGCAGCAAGACAGGATGTAGCCTTCACATGCGCGCGCTGTAGGAAGGATATTCCGTTCCCTGGTACTGCATCAGCATCGGAAGAAGACCAAGCCGATCTACTAGCCACCATACGGATGGAGCACAGCGACTGGCACTTTGCCCAAGACCTCGCGAAGGACCCTGGTAACCAATTGCGTGTCTCTTTGAAAGAGCCAGCCATGAAAAAGAAACGACGGAAGGAATCACCTAAAGGCATAGAGAAGTTCTTCACACGAAAATGAATCTACCGTTGGGAAGGAGACTTGCTGATGGTCGTGAGGTCCGCATTCGTCGAAGACCCATCGTTCTATAACTATCAGCATCAAGATCAGAAAGAATATCATGGACTTCGCGTTCAGGTTCCTATATTTGATCAAATCTGACTCAAGCTTTTTACTACTGATAGTAAAGGGCCGATAAACCAGAAAATATGCAGAAGAAACGGGTTTGTTCATTTTGTTTCTGTTCGCCAAGCTGGAATACGGTTTGAGTGGGTGCCGACGCCCGCCAGGCCCCAGACTTCTGATGCGGCTGCCAGCGCCTTGTATCTATTTGCCGCACTTCGGCATCTCCGAGCTGAGATCCAACATTCTCATTCAATTCTCATTCGGTTAACCTTTCAACTCGGAGAGACCTCATCTAGGTAATCAGCTACCGTTTCCATCTCTCAGAAAGAAAATTTCTCTGCGCAGTTTGTCTTTGCCATCTCATGCCGAACCGTTGCCGGGTTTTTGTTCAGGTCCATGCACGCAACTTCAAACTTGAACACTTGAACACAAAGGGAGGCCCATGCCCTTGTATATGGGATGCAACCGCTGACAATACAAGGGTATTGTAAAGCTTCAACGCCACTGTCGGACTTCCTACAATGAGTCTTTTGAACTTAAGTTCCATTTGAGGCATGCAAAAAGTCGGTCTCAATCGGGAAGTCCCGTTGTACTATATTACGATCATGACTCTACCGACATCACTTTCTCCCTTTTCCCCCTCCTTCCTTCTCCGGCTTTTCATTTTTTCCTTCTTTTGGGCGGGTGTTCTTCGGATTCTCTAGCAGAATCTTCGACGAGAAGAGGCGCAGGACGACTGTTCCGTCGTATATCACTCTCTTTGCGCTACGGGTGCTGGACTTCATCTTTCTATTCGGATCAACCATACGGGACTTCGGACGATGGCAGGACATTACCCTCAGACCTTTCCCATCGAGGATAACGAGCTAGCAGGTGTCATTGTGCGTACTACTACAAATTTCAAACATATATTGATGGACTGACCCCTGAATACGCTAATTTGCAGGTAGTGAATGTGGTTGCGGTGCTTTCGACTGTAGCACTGCTCTCTATCATAATTCGGCTAGCATGGCTTTGCATCCTCCGTGTCACACGACGTAAAAACATCACTCAATCTCGAGAATATGTCTTCTTCAATACTCAGCTCGGGTATTATGCTGCATGTCTCCTTATCGCAAACATGTTCAACAGTGCGGCCGGGCTTATGGGGCTGCCATTTTTGTTGGCAAGGCGCATTACAGAAGGTATGGTTTCATAATATCTACTTTTCCATGTTCTGACCTTGTCTTGTTACAGGCGGTCTTTGCACCACACAAGGTAGCTGTTATCCTTGACCCTAGCGTCTCTGAAGAATTAACGCCATGCTTCATCAGCGATGTTAATGCAGTTCGGGAACGTGTCCACTGCTTATTTCACCGTCAGCATCGCGGTTCACACGTTCAATTCTCTGGTGTTACGAAAGCGTCAATCTGCCGTAATCTATTCAATGGTGATATCCTTGGGGTGGATCCTCGCTGGATTCATAGGTAATTCTGAGCAACCCGTTTCTTAGCAGTCCTTCTCACACTGTCCAGCTGCTCTACCCTTAGCTCTTCCGCAACGCAACGGGCCCATTTATGGCCAGTACAATCTGACGTGCGGTGTGAGGGATAAATATCCAGTTCCCCAATTCTTGCTTCATCTCTTACCGGTACAAAACAAAATTCTTGGGTGGCACATTGGTCTAACTGTTGTCACTTTCCTAGATATTCATCGCTTCATTCTTTTCGGCGGTGCTATATTCTCTCATTTTCCTTGTGCTCCGTGGCACATTGGTCATCAAGGGTGGCGTTAAGATCTATCTCAATCCAAGCGAGCGATGGAATGGTCAAAGCGGCGAAAACTATCACCGTTTCATTGCGAGCGTTGCCAGAAGCATGTTATGGTGGGATTTCTATCATCATTTTAGCTGTTATGCTTAATCACATCAATAGGTACCCCGTCGGTGTGTATAGCTAATCAAGCGTCTCTTCTCTGAATTCTCATACTGTTTTAGCGTACTGTGTCGTGCTCATACCGTACTCCGTCACAAAGCTACTCATCCTTTCGGGCTTTAGTGTCCCATTCCAGGCGCTAATTTTTGCCTACGTATGCTGGTTCTTATTGGGTAAGTGCTTCCATGTCGCAACGAGCTTCGTCATGACCGGTTGCCATAGGCGTTATCAATGTCGGGCTGCTCTTCAACACATTCAGCAAATTGTATCCGGTATTTGATACTAAACTCTCTCGCCAAGATATGGAGAGTTTCGGAACCACTGAAAAGTTCAAACGCCTCACGCTCGCTGCCGAGCGCCAGGCGGAAGCTGATGGGCTTCGGGAAAAGATCTATCAGTATCGCTATACGAGCGGTCGTTTGGCAAGCGCGTCTGCTGCCCCTTCTTACCCTGAAAATGTCGCTAGTGTTCAAGGCTTCTATGGTTATCCCATCTCTCCGCAACGCGTTTCACCCGTATCTCCGTTCAACGGCAACAACGCTTCTGATCATTACCGGGCATCGCCCCTTCCAATGTCGCCTCCTTCATCCCATACTACCAGCAGTCATTCGCGGCAGGACTCGGCCGATTCGCTGCTGAATCTGCCTGTACCTCCTCGCAAGACGCGTTCGCCCCCAAGCTCACGTTCGCCCCCGTTTATTGCTCCCAACTCCTTCCGTGCACTTCAATCAATCGATCAGGGTCGCGTTCTCACCCCATCATCGACTAACCGCCCTGTCAGTCCATATGTTGGCCAGTCGACGCACAAGGTTTCCGGGTCTGGATCCTCCTCGGAGGTTGATATCGCCAGTTGGCTGGCTCAGCAACAACCTGATAGATCCGTGCCTCGTGGGCTGAAAATTAAGCCTTCACTTTCGGCGGTAAAGACCACATATCCAAGCCCGGTTGCGGTCAACCATCGTCCCCGAGCTGTTCCTTCCACGCCAAGTGAAAGTCCGACGAGCAGCCCGACAGGTAGCGTGAGGAGGCCCAATCGGAGTCCTGTGAGTCCAACTGGAAGTTCAGTGCAGTACGTGGTAAGAAATACGAGACCGGTGCCCCTGGTAGGCCCTCCCCCCTTGGGTCGCCACGCCGGCAGAGTGTCTCCCCCCTTTTGAATTTACAGCCACGGGATGATCGCATGCAGGCCATGCGAAAGAGCATGAAATTCGTGTAGCATAACTAGGCTCGTTTGACACGGCTTCGAACGTTCTGTTATATGTATTAGTACTTACTGCCAAAATATGCTGGCTTGAGGGGAAAATGTCGCGAAAACAGGGGCTATTTGGTATCCTCTTTCAGTTGAAACACCGGCCATGATGTCAGAAACGAAGTTGGATAGACTCGACTATGTTCCACCATGCAAGCCGTCTGGGCCAGGTATTTAGGACGCAGCACTGAAAAACTGCGACAAGGAATATATGATGGCACGGTTTTTCTTATCATTGCACAATATCTGACTGACACGCTATCTGCAGCGGTTCATATGACAGGCGCAGACATACCAAGTCGAGCTCCGCGTACTCTGTTCAGCTTCAACAACCGCGAAGACATACGACAATTTCTCAAAGGATGCGACGCTGACATCGGCGGCACCTCGACGGTGAACTTTGATCTCGACGAGTCTCCCAAACACAATGCGGCCATTAGAAGGGCAGCCACTGGCGTATTTTACGGCGACATGCGCCTAGCGGTAAAGCCAGGGATGGAGGGGCAAATAAAGGGAGGATACGCTGCTATTCAGAGCAAGGTGCCGTTCTATTTGGGCTCGCGAACGTTACCTGAAACTAAGGCGTGTCAATAGCGCCGCCCAACCCTCTTCGGCGATATTCTGGAAGAGATTGAATATCATTCGTATCTGGCTCTTCGGGTTCGCGTCGCTGGAGACCCCAGCACACACAATTCCTATTTTGTGAACGTACAAACGGACAGTATGGTCCAAAACGACCTCTGGCAACATCGGCTCTATTTTAAGCGGAACGATAACACCTGGGAAGATATCTTTGTGAGCTTCACTTTGCGCTGCCATCAGAGTACGGACCATTCAAATCTCCGTGCAGATTCCATTTGAAAACTTTGTTCGCACAAATTACGGCCAGATTGCGGAAATTAAGTCGGTGATGAATCGTAAAAAACTTCGCAGTATCAACATTTCACTCTTGGGAGGACATAGCGGGGTCTCCGGAAAATATGAGCTCGGGATTGACTCGATTCGTATAGTGAATGAGGAGGATGTGAAGTATCCGCTTGTCGGTACGCTACTTCACTTATCGGAACCATTCTGTCACTCATTTAACTCAAAGCCAACCAACATAATGAGAAGACAAGTGATCAGGGCAATTCGAATTGGAAGGATCTTTATTGACAAGGTAGCAGCCAGGAAACGTCGTATCCACTGACCTCACATTTGCTTTCTTAATCTAAGTTGCATTCTTAGCGAGAGGATAACATGAGAGATATGACACAGGAAAATCGTAATCATGACAAGAGTCTAAGGATAAGTATACACAACCATTTGGCTTTTAGAGAAACAGAGGGATAAACTTGTGGAATCCGGATGAAGGCATGAAGGCTGCAAAAACCAAAAAAAGACCAGCAAAGAAGTCGAATATGACAGATGGGGAATGCGATGCAAGAAAACAAGAGGGGAGACCGAAAAGAATCAAACGACTACGCAGCTCGAGCAGCACCCTGGTGTTCCTTCTTCGTTTTCCTTCGTACCGTATGGGCCAGGGGTACTTCCGCCAGGGCCCGGCATCATCCCAGGTCGACCAGTTTGTTGTTCCTGCACCGTGGCGTTAGTTAATACGCGTGAGGGGATATAAAACGCCGTACCTTGTTATATTTCCTGATTTCACGGACGAGATTGCTGAAAGCCTCATCTACGTTGATCCGTTGCTTCGCAGATGTTTCAATGAATTTGCAACCAAAATGCTTGGCAAGGTCACGGCCCTCTGAGTCGGCACATTAGCCAGAATGGAGTACTGCTGTTGAAAGACGCGTACCGTTCATGCCGACTTGTCGTTCGTATTCTAGGTCGCATTTGTTGGCTACAACGATGACAGGGAATGTGTCTTGATCCTTCACCCGGAGAATTTGTTGATGGAAGGTGCTTATTTCTTCGAACGAATTTCGAGACGTGATGGAGTACACCAGGAGAAACCCTTCGCCCGTACGCATGTACTGTTCCCTCATGGCACTGAAAGAAGCACCCCGTTAGGACCGAGATCATTTACGTGATGGCGCAAGATGTGATGGAAGCAGGATAAAATTTCTTTGGAGAAAAGGGTGAACGAGAAAGAAAGTGACGGCACCGAACGGTGGATGGAGACTGGGGGGCTGGGGGGTCGAAATTAGATCATGCATGACGCTCACCCATATTCCTCTTGACCGGCTGTATCAAGCACGTCGAGTAGTGCAACTTCATCATCAATCACACATTGCTTGCGGTAAGAATCTGCAGGTTGTATTAAGCAACAGGAAGGGTGATGATATCGGAATACTTGCCTTCGATAGTAGGGTCATATTCGTCCACGAAATGACTTTGAATGAACTGAATGGTCAATGCCGACTTTCCGACACCTGTTATGGTCAAGTAAGACGCGGCTAGGATAGAGACTGTCCATGCACTCACCACCACCACCGACAACGACAAGCTTGTACTCTCGTAAGAATTGGGCCTGCCCGGCCCCCTACACATTAGACTAAAGAGACCAAGACGAGAACGGCATAACGCACCCTGGTCGCCATTCTGCCTTTAGATGTTTGGCTAGGATATACAAGGGAGAAGAATGAATATAGAGAACAGCAAAGTAAGATGAGTGTGCAAAGGAGGGGATACCGCACTAGGGTCAAGTAGTCAATCAAATGAAATAGAAACACGACCAAATACGATCAGTGAAATGTTGATGCTTGCTCGGCATATCGTGCCGCGGCATCGTGAACAAGTACACCTCTCCTTGTCCTCCCGCAATTATATACAGCCTTATTTCAGTTCCAACAAGTACTTCAATTCAAAATATCATATATCAATCCGCAAGAGTTACCCGCAGGCTGGGAGTCTGATAGTGTCTCCTATCAAGGAAGGAAGGTAGGATCATAAATCACGCCTCTCAGGCTGGACTCGCCCCTAGCAGTTCCCCTGGCTCTTTTCGCCTTAACCGATGTCGATGAGGTAAAAAGGTAATAGCCTATATTGCTCGCCTTTATCGATATCGGTTAACCTGGGTGAGTCTGGATACGATGAGTCTTTGTCGTGCTTGTGCTAGAATTCAAGTCCAGTTTGAGTAGGACCTTGTGATTCACACGCAATTGGTTGCCGCTTGAATTCCGAAAATTAGGAGTGTGAAGAACATTCATGCTGCGAGCCTGAGGTAACAGTTGATAACATGACGACATTCCTTTCTTCCATCCAGGTTCGAAATCAAGTCAATCATCTCAGCCTCCAGACGACCGTTGTTTTTTCGTTTCGCTTCGATAGCTTTTTTCCCTCCTCCTACGTTCCTTTGCCGCCCGTTCTAGGTTAGCAACACGCTTCTTCGTCTCTTCCGACGTTTCGTTCTTGATCAAGGCCGACGCTGTGCTCAAGATCACACTGTGTAGCTAGGAACAAACTTGAGATCCTTCAAGACATAAATCGAGGAACGCGTACCTTCCCTAAGCAATCCTCAACGTTCTGTGATTGAGATCTGTAGACGGTAGACGTGATCATGATTGATTTTGTGGAGGATACATAATGAGGCTAAGGTTGAACAACATTGAAACCCTGTTTCTTATAGACTGATGCCATCAACGTACAGATTTCTTGAGGCCGGGTTGAGCCCACAACGGTATCCATTCCGCATCAATGGAACAACGAGCAGTCGCCTTGGTGTTGACCTTGTTTACATTCTACAATTTGACGCTTAGTCTTCCGCAACGGATATACAAAGCTGTATAAAATCGCACACCTGACCACCTGGACCCGAACTGCGCGAAAAGGACAGCTCCACGACATTTCTGGGTAAAGTAATAGCTTTGAATTCAGACAGCCAAGAGCGGGCCTGGGTGCTGTCTTGTGGTGTCTCCAAAACAGAAATACTGGGCGGAATGGGGAGTGTGGTTTTCCCGTGATGTGCTGTTCGAACTTGACACAGCCGGGGTAGGAGCTGTTCTACCGTAAGCGGACAGCCCAAGACAAACTGTCGGAAATGTAGTTGCTTGAGCATCACTCAGCACCCGTCCTACAGTGACATGTTCGAGGTCTCTCCTTGACGAGGTCGATGTCACGAACGAAAAATGCCTCGGCTATACCGGGCCGGTTCCTGAATTGGATCGGAGAAAACCGAAACCACGGAGTCGAAGCTCAATCCACAAAGTTCTTGCTCACAGGAAGAAGAAATCAACCAGATTGGATCCGCATAGTCAACACGATCTCCTGAGAGGCGGGTAAGTAACAATAGAAACATCCTTTCACACGAAGGTTCTTTGGTGAGTACTGTACTAGGAAAAATGCAGTTTCATCTGTCCAAAAAGCGCACTCCAATTCAAGTCATCCGATAATTTCCTTCGCTCGAAGCGACTTGGATACTTCAATCGATTTCCTCCAACTCGGTCTCGACTGTCCCTCCTATCCCGAACGTGTGTTCCCATGTTTCACAATGTCCGAACGTGGGCATCCAACCGGAACGCCCACTCGATCCGGAAGCCGGATACTGGTTAGCTAGATGATCTCTTACTTCCTTTAGTGAATCTGGACTCATCGTCGAAGAGCTGAACGTGGTTGTTTTTCCGCCTGGCATCTGGACAGGGACTTGGAAGGCGCCATTTCGAGTCGAGCCTCCGACCATAGACGGTAAGCTGTCGGTGTCTCCTACATCGATGACGGAGCACGGAGCTCCCGGCTGGCAGAAGGGTTTATGATTCTTCCAGTCCTAAAGAAGGGCTAAACATTGACATGCTCTGGGATATTCAAGTGATTGCACAAACCTTCTTTTCTGTGGCATCATGATATGATAAAATAAATAGGTGTTAAATGGTTTAGAGCCAGACTTACGACACCTAGGTTCTCAAGTCAACACGCCACTTTTCGAGAAGGGAAAGAAGGGAACATACTCTTTGCTGCAGTAATACGGTTTCTTATCTGAATCGCATTTCCCCGAGCCTGCGGTGTAAACAGTAACAGTGGAGCAAAAACAACAACTGATAGAACACATACATCGGGAGAGCATGCTTCCAGAGTCCGCCGCAATACCGCAACCAACGGTCGCGCATCTGTACCGGTTAGGGCGCGTCATTCGTTTCTGGTCCATCTTTACCTGTTCTCTTTTGACTTGCACATCTCGTTTTCCCAGAGCTCCCCATATTTCTTTATACTGGAGTCTCAAATCAGCAGCACCCCCCGGGCCCTCTGATTGCGGTATCATTATGTTTTGGGCAAGGAACAGTGCCCTGGGTGCACTCCTTTCTGGAACCAGCTTAATGGACTCGTTCGCGTGCCAGGCGGCAGCTTGCAGGTAACGAGACCGAAAGTCTTCTTTACAATCAGTGTACCACTCAGTAAGGGCACAGTGAGCGGTAGCCCTCAAAAGGGGGGGCGCGTTCGTATTCAGCGCTGCCAGAATAAGATAACGCCTGGCGAGCGCACGGTTAGGAGAACAACCGCACCCGATACTAAGCCTAATTAGATGTTGAAACTCGTGTCAGGAGTGAAGAAGAAGAGCAGACCAAAGGTACAAACCTCAATCCATAATCCAAGGCCGCCTCCGCATTCCCTGAATCAGCCTCAGACTTCAGCACATTTTCGGGTTTCGACCGGAGCTGGTCGTGAATAATCCTCGCCTCTTTCATAATCGTTTCATGCATGGCAGAACTATCGTACGACTCGGACATGTCCTGAGGACGACAATTTATGCGTTTCTGGGCGTACGCTATAGTCTTGTCGATGATAGTGTCGCCGGGGTCAAGGACAGCAGGAGGAGGCGTAAAGTTGTGGAAACCAACAGATTGGGGAGTTTGGAATGCAACAGAATCCATTCGGTTCAAACCAAGCTGGCGCTTCAGTGACTTGAAAAAATCGTCGAAGGCGACATAGGCCATCCTCATATTAAGAGGCGATACTGGTATCTTCCACAGGACCTTCAGGACGCCTAACTTTTTGAACTCCTCGGCAACGGCAGATACAAGATCTACATCATCTGTGGTTAGCTTCCAAGGAGCCAAAGGTGGCTTTCCCGCGATCGCAAAGCTGGTCGAAAAAGCGCGAAGCAGGGCTTTCGCGATCTCGGGTGCAGCATCCCTTCCCGTCTCGGGAAAAAATGCCATCAGTTTCTCACCATCGAGAGGAAGTTTCTCTGAATGGACCAAGCCACTTCCGGGCTGCATCAAGAACAGCAGATGATAAGGGGGATCTATTTGTATGAAACGCAGGTCGAAGTGCCATTCGTTAGAAATGCGGCCGGAAGGCATACGAGGAGGACGTGGGAGGGCATTGAATTTCTCGACGTCCATGGAGAACGTAGTAGTCGAAGTTGAAGTCACTTTAAACTTAAAAGTTTCCAAGCCCAGGCCTGGCTTGTTTATTTCCCACGCCCATCAGGTGCGAGCTATGACGCGTCCAACAAGCATACCATATAGTGAGTAGCTTTGGTGTCAATTTGAAAAGCAAATGCGAGCGACTGTGACCAGATTTTATTCTAGCTTATTCCGGCCGTACCATACCGCGTCCTCGGCTTCAGTTATGTCTTACGTGTCGACGTTGACGCGCGGAGTCTTTACTTTGGACCTTTTCTTCGCCGTCCTCGTCATTCGGTCGTGTCTCCTTCGTTTCTTACGACAACTCGGCCGTAATTGTTCTAACATGTATAGAGAATGTTTGTGTCGTTTTCACCGAGTACGCTGCCGTTTCTCTGGTTCCCCTGCCGGCCCGTCTTGGCTCCAGTCCGCGCAATATACAGGCCATCTGGTTTTTAAAATCTTACAGCTGCAACGTCAATGTTCTATTTCCTATCCGATGCATCTCAAATAAGCCTACAATCATTCTCTGTCAAATAATTCTGCTGCGCTCTCAGACGTGGGTACTTTTTATCGATCAAATCATGTAACCGTTAAATCGGGCTCTCGCACGATGTTGCTTACCCCAACAGCTCATCTATAGTCCCATTGACTTTTAATGCGGTTCATAGTATTGATGGTTTCATGATACTTCAAGCCATAAAATCATGCAAGTCTCCCAGCAGTCGGATTCAGAATAAGTAGGTGCCTATTATTACACCGAGGACAGTACACTGACTCAAAGTGCACACTTGGGTGTTTAGTACATTGGCATCAGCTTCCCCCGCATAACCGCATCAAGGGCTGCTGCGAAAGTTCCACTCGAATTCTTTCTTTCTCCGCCCGGAAACCGGTTTGTAAGCATGATGAGATAGCTTGTCGGACGGATAACAACACATATAGGACCATGTCAAAAATTGTATGGTGCCCGTTTTTGTTTCTTTCTCACAATAGTCATGTCGAAGGCATCCATTCATAGCGAGACCAAGTCCGAAGAGACTGCTGCGGAGCAGGATGGCCATCCTTGGCAGCGCGCACGGTAGGGCAACGGGTGGCTAAACTTTTCGATATCACGCTAATCACTGAAGTACTGATCGATTAGATGGCAACGCATCCCATTTATTTCATTGACCGCGCCTCCGCCCAAGGCATCTATCCAAGAAGCTGAACTTTTGCCCGAGACCCAGGCAAACTGGTTTGAAATTCTCACCTTTGGCTGGATTACTTCTCTGCTCGCTCTCGGTTATGCTCGTCCACTGGAAGCTCCGGATCTCTACAAGCTGCAGGACAACCGTGGAGCAGCATTCATCGGTGACCAGATCACTGCGTCCTTTGAAAAGAGGCGCTTGGCGGCGGCGGCATACAACCGTCGTCTATTAAATGGTGACGTCAAGCCCGGCATAAAAGCGTTGTGGTGGACCCTTCGAGGAAAACGCGCCGAACGGGAGAAACAATGGAGAGACAAAGATGGTCAGCGCAAGCCTAGTCTCGTCTTAGCTATAAACGACAGCGTGAAATGGTGGTTCTGGTCTGCTGGTATCTTGAAAGTGCTCGGTGACACAGCTCAGTTCACTAGTCCCCTTCTCGTCAAGGTAAAATGCTTCTTCATCATACCAATCCTTTTGATCTCTCATTCCGGCAGGCCATCATCGATTTTGCTACAGATTCTTATAATGGACATCGGACGGGCGACTATGCTTCCATCCCACCAATCGGCAAAGGTATCGGTTTGACCTTTGGTCTGCTGGGATTGCAGGTTGTTTCGTCGCTAAGCACGCATCACTATTTTTACCGGTCTGCGTCCACAGGCGTTCTCATACGTGGTGGTCTAATCAACGCGATTTATGCTCGATCCCTTCGACTAACCTCTCGCGCCCGGTCCAAGCTCCCGAATGGTCTGATAATGAACCACATCTCGACGGACGTATCGCGAATCGATTTTTGTGCAGGATTTTTCCATATGGTATGGGCCTAAATCACGACATAGTGGACCGTTCGTTAATTCATTTTTGTCACAGGCTTGGTCTGCGCCGATTCAACTGATCATATGTCTCGTTCTCCTTCTGCTGACTCTGGGTCCTAGCGCTTTGGCTGGTTTCGCCTTTTTCGTGGTTGCAGCTCCGATTCAGACGATGGTTATGAAGAAATTGTTTGCGATCCGGGAGAATGGTATGAAATGGACCGATAAACGTGCCAAACTTCTCCAGGAACTGCTTGGGGGCATGAAAGTGGTCAAGTTCTTTGCGTGGGAAATTCCGTTTGCGAAGAGAATATGGGAGTTTCGACAGAAGGAGATGTCGTGAGTACTTTCTCACATCATGAAACCCTGTTCTGATTCTATGGGAAGCTTCGTTCGCTCATTGCTCCTCGTGAGGGCCGCGAACAACGCCGTGGCTATATCTATGCCTGCGTTGGCGTCAGTGGTGGCCTTTCTTACTTACTCCGCGACTGGACATGAACTTGAAGCATCTGCCATCTTCACTTCTCTGACTCTATTCCAACTCCTTCGTTTGCCTCTGATGCTTCTTCGTGGGTGCTCACAATCGTTTGTTTACCTTGTGCGTTTACCCCGTGTCTATAGCCACATCCCTCTCCGCCATTGCTGATGCCCAAAATGCTACCCAGCGTCTCTATGACGTCTTTGAAGCAGAAACACTGGAGGAGACCATTGATCGCGAAGATGATCTCCATGTCGCCGTCGAGGTCAAGAATGTTTCCTTCACTTGGGATGCACCCCCGCCCCAAGCAGCCGAAGGAAAGAAGGGTAAGAAGGATAAGAAGAAATCGAGGGGGAAGAGAAAGCCAGAAGCCGTCATTTCGTCGACGGGTGAGGTCTTTGAACTTAAAGATATCTCCCTTAGTATACCGCGCGGACAGCTTGTTGCTGTTGTTGGCGCGGTGGGTTCTGGAAAAACCTCTTTACTCCAGGGTATGGTTGGTGAGATGAGGCGGGTTCCGAATATAAACGGAGATAGAGGCACAATTAAGTTCGGCGGGAGTGTTGGATACTGTCCCCAGAGCGCATGGATACAAGTGAGTTCCTCCATTTCATTTTTGGGCTTTATACTCAATAAGGCTTAGAATGCGACAATTCGAGATAATATATGTTTTGGACGGCCTTTCGAGAAAGACAAATATTGGCAAGCCATCAAAGACTCGTGTTTAGAGCCTGATCTCGACATGCTACCTAACGGAGACATGACAGAAGTTGGTGAAAAGGTACTGTAGCGCTGACTGAATACTCACGGACCCAATGATCCTGACAAAATACAGGGCATTTCGTTATCAGGAGGTCAGAAACAACGTTTGAATATCTGTCGCGCGATTTACTGCGACACAGATATCCAGATCTTTGATGTAACTCGCCAAGTTATCTGTCAGCCAGGATATAGAATCTGACAATGTAACAGGATCCTCTGTCGGCCCTCGATGCTCATGTAGGAAAAGCGGTCTTCCAGAACGTCCTACGGGAAGCAGCACCTGGAAAGACGCGTATATTGGTTACTCACGCGTTGCACTTTCTTCCACAAGTGGATTACATCTTCACTATTGCGGATGGACATATAGCAGAGCGAGGGACATACGATGAACTCATGCAGAAAGACGGGGAATTTTCGAAATTTTACAAGGAGTTTGGGACCGGAGAGGAGAAGGAAGAGAGGGAGGAAGAGGAGGAAGGGGAAGAGGGAGAAGCTATTGAGGGCATCATGACAGACAAAGAGAATTTTCAGACGAAGTTTACTTCAGGGCCTGGGTTGATGCAAGCGGAGGAGCGGAATACTGGGGCTATAAGCTGGTCTGTGTATAAGCGGTTCTCAGATGCTGGCAGAGGGCGTGTCGTCTTACCCATCCTCTTTTTCTCCATCGTATTTGTTCAGGGTGCGATGGTGATGGCATCTTACTGGTTGGTATACTGGCAAGAAGTGTGGGTTTCGATCTTTCTTTCGGAGGTTCGCGGTACGCTGACTTTGCCCCAACTACTAGTAAATGGGATCGCCCACAAGGGTTTTACGTGAGTTTCGTCTCTACTTTATGAGGTGAAAAAAGGTCACGGAATTGGGGTAGATGGGCATATACGCAATGCTAGGTGTGGTACAAGCCCTTGCAACCTTCGTCATGGGAAGCATGTTTGCCGTCTTGACATATTTCGCTAGTCAGCGTTTGCATAGTGTGAGTCGATGGGTGCTGGTTCATGGAATCATTTGATTTACTGTGCTCCTTAGCTAGCTGTCGACCGTATCATGTCTGCACCCATGTCTTTCTTCGAGACTACGCCACTTGGTAGGATCATGAACCGATTTTCGAAAGGTATATTGGTCTCTTCCCTCATTGAATGCTGTTGACATGTCTTGTAGACATCGATACAATTGATAATATTTTGGGAGGTGAGTTTCCTCGTTCCTCAGAAATCACATATTTTTGAAGAACTTCTTCAAGATTCGCTGCGAACGTTGGTGGGGCCTGCTTCATCGGTCGTTGGTGCTATCATATTGATAGCGATTATCTTGCCGTGGTTCTTGATTGCTGTCTTTTTCATTCTCATTGTATACATCTATGCCGCTGCCTTCTATCGAGCGAGTGCCCGGGAGTTGAAAGTACGTGGCTTCGCCTTTTGATGATGAAAAATACTGACGCTTCATCTTTTCAGCGACTTGGTATTATTTCTGACATGTGCTTCTTTCGAGTATTCACTAATTATTTACAACGCAGATGCCGTCCTGAGATCATCATTGTACTCTCACTTTTCTGAGTCACTCACAGGCTTGGCAACTATCCGTGCATATGGCGAGTCTGAACGTTTCCTTAAAGAAAATGAGGAACGAATCGATGTGGAAAATCGAGCTTATTGGTTGACTGTCACCAACCAGGTCTGGAAGTCTTTCTGTTAGAGCGACGCTTAACTAATGCCTATTGCTATCTTAACCTTTAGCGCTGGCTGAGTATACGCCTGGACCTTTTGGGGGCTCTTCTAACATTTAGTGTCGCGATGCTGACTGTTGGAACGAGATTTAGTATCTCGCCAGCACAGACAGGTCTTGCGCTCTCGTATATTCTGAGTGTTCAGCAAGCGTAAGTTCTTGGATTTAAAGAATAGGCTTGTTCGGCATTGAACCTGATATTAATTATCTTGACAGGTTCGGATGGCTTGTCCGTCAAAGCGCGGAGGTCGAAAATGACATGAATTCGGTAGAGCGAGTAGTACACTATGCGACAGAAATTGAACAGGAGGCTCCGCATGTGTTACCCAATAGCAAAGTTCCTGAATCTTGGCCGTCTGTGGGTCACATAGAATTGAAAGACGTGGTATTAAGCTACAGGACTGGACTTCCCGCTGTCCTCAAGGGTGAGACATTACCCTTTATGCTGTTCTCAGCATGTTTACTATCTATTTTAGGTATAACTATGACTGTCAAAGCTGGAGAAAAAATTGGCATAGTTGGACGGTAGGTAGACTTGGCCGTATATCCATGCTGCTAAATTGAAGCCTCGCCTCCTACAGAACTGGGGCAGGGAAAAGTTCTATCATGACTGCCCTATATCGCTTAGTCGAACTTTCCTCTGGATCAATTCACATTGACGGCGTTGACATCTCCACCGTTGGCTTGACGGAATTGCGAAAAAGCCTGTCAATCATTCCTCAAGATGCTCTATTGTGTACGGTGTGCTTTCCCATACACGTGTGTGTTCTTGCTAACGTTAACGCCCCAGTCTCTGGAACTCTCCGGTCTAACCTTGATCCTTTTAATTCACATGATGATGCGAGACTATGGGACGCGTTGAAGCGATCGTACCTTGTGGAATCGCCGGCAAAGGCAGTCGCAGATGAAAATGGCGATGTATCTACCCCAATTAACAGATTCAGTCTCGATACTGTCATTGAAGATGAGGGTGCAAATCTATCCATTGGACAGGTAACCATTAAAACCTTCACGGGTACGACGGAACCGAAATGCTGATAGTCCTCTTTCTAGCGGTCGTTGGTGTCCCTTGCGAGAGCTCTGGTTAAGGACTCCAGAATACTCATACTTGATGAGGCTACAGGTTGGTCGTCTTTCCAAGCGCGTCTCTCCTCGTTCCGAAGCTAATGCCATCTTTCACAGCGTCTGTCGATTACGAGACTGACAGAAATATCCAGGACACAATTACCCACGAATTCCAGGATCGCACGATTCTATGCATAGCTCGTGAGCCAGCTCGTTTTCCGGCCGAGAAGTTTCAAGCTAACGATCGTGATCCTTAGATCGCTTGCGCACAATCATATCATACGACCGGATTTGTGTTCTTGATGCTGGCGAGATTGCTGTAAGCTATTCATTCGCTAGCATCCCAATCCAACCGGCTCACAATCGCGTCAGGAATTCGACACCCCCTCACAATTATACCAAAAGACCGATGGGATTTTCAGGGGAATGTGTGATCGGTCGTCGATCACACTAGATGACATCAGGCTCAGTGCTTCAACCACGAAATTTCTTAATAACTGATACCTTTCCCCGTTGTTCACGTTCACGACCGTAATGAGATTGTACATCTGATTCACGCATCTACTCGTTGGTACTCCATGGAAGCATAATACCAGCGGCACTATATTAGTGGATTTACTAGCCGCAATCCTCCGCGAGCCTGAGGAGACTAGTACCATCTAGGAAACCTCGCGAATCTACTCAGTTCTCGGTTGTCGGTCGTCCTTCCAGAATCTAAGGCAATACAGATGAGAACAATGTTCATATCCACACTTGGTGAGATACGTATGGTTAATAACCAGTGCGCGGAAGTAGAGCGTTTTGAAATGAATTCTGGTATTATCAATATTATGTCTATCCCCATTATCTGTACCAGGGTTCTATTCCGTCTCCGCATCAAGTGAAATTGTGGTAGGCGTGCGTAGATACCCATATATCGTTTTGAACACCATTATTGCCGTAATAGGAACCCCAAAGCCCAGTCATCCACTAATGACCATTTGTATAAAGGATTACAAGTCGCAAAATTGATCTTTCGTATAGTTTCCGGGTAAAAGTCGCTCTGATATCCGAGATGTGTCTGGCACAAAGATAATGTCCCAAAGAAATACCATTACCCATTATACACACGTCCTAGACTAGTCTACATAACCGAGGCTTCTTCCTTCTCTATCCATCACCCAGCAATTAAGCCAGTTTTGCCAAAGAAAGTTGGTTCTTGTCGACATCGGTCGAGAAGTAGGCTGATTTGAGGAAAGTATCACCAACCTAAAGATTACCTTGATTCAGCCACTTTCCCATCATACAAGCACAGATGCACTTACCAGCCATTCCCCTTGTCCGACATTGCCTGAAGAAATTCCTGACACGCACATACCATTGGGATCGTTGATGTCCAAAGGTGCGAAGGCGAGGTCTCTAGGATCGATAGCAAAGGCAGTACCTCCAAACGTCAAGGCAACACTAGCGTTGGTGGTGCAAGGCACGAGGAATCCGCCCTGGCCATCTGAGGCAGCGCCGTCGATATTGCTGTGGATCTTCTCCGCATCAGCAGCAGGAGCGATAAGAAGAGTAGTTCCAGTGTCCAAGATGGCTGCCTGGCCTTCAATCTTCAAGTCGGTACCATCGACGGAAGCACCATCCAAGGCAGCGATCCAGAAGCCCTGTTTGCTGATGTTGTCTACAGTCACCAGGGTGTCTGCTTGGAACTTGGTGTCGTCGAGACCACTATCAAGGCGGGATGAGGTAGGTTGGATGAAACTAGAGGAGAAACGAACATACCCAAAGGTAATCTCTCCGTCATTTTTGTCATCAGCAAGGCGAGAAATCTTGTAAGACGTGATAGCTGCGCTGATGAGGCCGTTCTTAGCAAGCGACTCGACAGGCGACAAGAAACCTTGATTGGAAAGTGTCTATACATGTCTGCTGTAAGAATGATTATCTGTAAGAACGAAAGATTGAAACATACTGATTGTGCGAGACCGATGAGACCATCAAATTCCGTATTATCGGAAGCGAAGTCGGCAGACTCTACCTCGGCAACGCCAAAGTTATGAGCTTGCAAGAGAAGGCCAGCGATGGTAACATCATCTGCAACCTTTACGCCTGCCACGGTACCAGTACCATAAGTGATGTTCCACTGCTCGTTGGAGGTGTTGAAAGAGCTGGACCTCTGCTCGCCGAGGAACGTATGGTTTCCCTATAGAGAGGATCGGTAAGTGAGTTTGCCTTTCAGAATGAACATGACACATACGCAGTTTCCTCCACCTTGGGCCTGGCAGTTATCACTACCCACCCAAAAGTCAGCCGATCCAGAGTCCATGAGGACCCTAAATTGACGAGGAGGCGTTCCAATCTCGACGACGGAAGTATAGCCCACATCGTTAGCCCTAGATAGGTGTATGCGCTCGTCATCAGTCTCTCTAAACACGACAGAGGGTCCACTTACAGTATATCCAATCCCAACGAGTTGTTGGCGGTTGGTGTGTTCGCGTCTGTCACACCTCCATTTAAGAGGGCGTTAATTTCGGCATCCGTAAAGCCACTCGAGGCAGAGGCAGAGGTGGCACTTGCAGTTGCAGAAGAATTCCCGTCCTCGTGCAAGCTGAGAGTAGGCGTGTCCAAGGTCGTCACTGAACTGTGAATGTACGGATTGTAACGTTTTTGAAGTTCGGTCGTCGTTTCATTGGGATGACATGCGTGGACGCGTTTGTGAAGACTGGCTCGAAGCTCTTCATCCGTTGGACCGACTCCAGAGTCTGACATAAGAGCAAGACGTCGATGGCCACGGTTGATGTGTTGTTGCAAAAGCTGGAGAACTCGATTACTTTCAACTACCTTGGAATAAGGGCAAGGAAACGCACCACTTGTGGATGAAGATCGGTCCGTCGCTGCTGAAGTCTCGTCAAAGGAAGCGTCAGGATTTTGTGTTTCTTGCTCAGAGGCGCAGCCTCGACATCGTGAAGCGTAAAAAGCAAAAGGAGAGCGGAGAGGGAAAGCGTGAGTTTGAACTGCATGGTTCAGTCGTCGATAGCTCAGCAAGAGAAAGAATGTGTAGTTGAATAGTAAAATGCCTGTCCAGAGGAGAAATGAAACTCAACCAGGAGCGAAAGAAAGGAAGAGAGGAAGAAGCGATGATGTGGCCAAGAGGAGAACCTTGGACTTTATACTCGTCCGATCAAGCATGGTGGATGGAGAACAATACGGATTACGTGTGTCTGACACGGCGTCGACGGGCAAAGAACAATGAACCATTGTTACAGAATGGGGAAAAGACACAACCCACGCGGTGGCAGTGCTAACTTTCGGTGGCACGCATCTCAAATATTAATGTCTTTCAATCCCCTATTATATTGGCATTCCCGAAGAGTCTAGCTATCGTGGCATAATAAATATCTGTGATCCAAGGTGGCTTAAACTTTAAACAAGCTTCGCCAAAGAAATACTGTTATTGTTGACGTCCGTGCTAAAGTATGCGTTCTTCAAGAACACATCACCAACCTAGGATGAATCCAATTAGTCAAGTAACCCTCAGACAACACAGAAACAAAGACTTACCAGCCATTCGTTGTTAGCTCCGATACTCCCAGCAGCGATACCAGAAACACAGTCTCCCGTGGGATCATTGGCATCCACAGGTTGGAACGCCAAGTCCCTAGTGTCAATCGTAAACTCTTGGCCTCCAAAGGTCAGAGCGACGCTTGCGTTGGTAGTGCACGGAATGGTAAAGCTACCCTGACCAGCCGATTGGGCACCTGAGATCAACTGGTGGACAGCAACAGCGTCGTTTTGGGGAGCAATGATCAAAGTGGTTCCAGTGTCGAGAATAGCGAGACGACCAGAAAGACCGGTATCGGTTCCATCAACAGTGATAGAGTCCACAGCACCCTCCCAAAAGCCGTCTTGGCTCTGGTTATCCAAAGTGACAAGAGTGTTGGAATCGAACTTGGAAGTGTCGAGGGCACTGCATATTGATCAATCTCATAACCCAAAGAACTCGGCGCAAGAAGATACTCACCCAAAGGTAACTTCACCATCGTTCAGGTTGTCAGCAAGTCGAGAAATCTTGAATGATGTAATCGCAGCAGAAATAAGACCGGCAGCAGCTAACGATTCAACAGGTGTCTTGACGCCCTGCTCTGAAAGTGTCTACAAGAATCATTCTTTAAGAACCACTCTTCGGAACAAAGGGTGGAAAAAACAATACTCACGGATTGAGCAAGTCCCATCAAGCCATCAAACGGAGTCGTATCAGAAGAGAAATCAACAGACTCGGTGGTAGCAACACCAAACGTATGTGCGTCCAAACTCAGACCAGCCACAACCACATTATCCTGGACAATGGTGCCTTGGACATCACCAGTGCCGTATGTAACTGCGAACTGTTGATTGGAGTCCTTGAATGAACTAGAGCTGGTCGACCCGAGGAAATTGTGGTTACCCTAACAACACCTGATTAGAATCAGTGGAGAAGGAGGAAACTTTGTACTTACGCAGTCTCCACCACCCTCTGATTGGCAATTCTCCCCACCAACCCAGGTATCAGCAGATCCCGAGTCCATGAGCAGCAAGAAATCTTGTGGAGGTGTGCCCATCTGGATCGTCGCAAGGTAACCAGTATCATCAGATCTAAGAGTAGAGTAAGATTAGATACAAGTCAATGGATATCAGTGATAAGTCTCACTCGATATCGAGTCCAAGTGAATTAGCAGTCGTTGGGGTGTTTGCAACCGTAACATCAGAAGAAGCGGCAGACGAGGAAGATCCAGATGTAGAAGCAGCGTTAACAGCTGAGGTAGCCGCATTTGCAGTTGAGTTGCTAGTACTAGTTGAGCCGGTAGAACCGTTGGCATTGTTTCCCCTGCAGACATTCATCAGCACTTCCAGCAGGAAACCCGTACCCGAACGTTACTCACTGATTATGATTATGCTTCCTGCCAACAATCGCGTTGACACGACTACCGCTTACCCCCTCCCGGTTGAAACGCTTGGAGTTCCCGGGAGGAATGTACCTATGATACCGTTTGAAGACAGGATCATTCTCCAGCGACGCCACCCTCCTTTCGAGGTTGCGCCGGAGTTCTGCGTCAGAGGGAGCTTGTCTGCCAGTCATTCGGGCAAGACGACGAAGAGCGCGGTTGATGTTCTGCTGGTGAAGCTATTTGGAGCACAGGATTAGAGGCGAGCAAGAGAGATCTGAGGCAAAACGTACGATCTGGGGATGAAGATCTGAGCGCTGCTGAATGCGCTTGAGAGGGAGTGTAACGCTGCCACCGCGCTTAACGACCGGGTGGGCGTCCGCATCCTGAGCGGACAACGCAAAAAGAAGGCCTGCCAGAAGCACACAGAAAGAAAGACTGAGGTTCATATTAGGAGAAGGAGAGGGAGAACGAGGTGAATGTGGGGAGGTGGTGAATTGAAAATGAAAGATTTTAAAGGAAAGCAGTCAAAGGCCCGGCCTTGAGAAAAACAGATAACGCCACTGGCAAAACACTGGGAAAGGGGAGAAAGAATGAAGTCGTAACGAAGGAGGGCCTGCGATCATATAAGTATGCGGGACCTGAATGTTGCGGTGATCGGCGACTTACCCCGAATAGTACATTTCCTTCCGTTGAAACGGAGGAAACAAGAAAAGATCGAACTGTTCCCACATGAAATGGTCGAAGTTCAAGCTCGCAAAATTCGTTGTGTACCATCAACACTCTGCAAAAAGGTCCAAGTTGGAAGAATAATTCGCCTCGAGAAAATTTATGCATGACTGACAGTTTGAAGCATTTTGAAAGCTAACTGAGGTAACTGCGGAAAAACTGCGATATTATAATGGGCGTTGAGCAGGTAACGAGCCGGGAGCCGCGTGTCCGTCCGCAGCTGTGCGTGAGTATTCATTGGGATGCCGGCACAATAGAACTTCTGTCAAGAACAAGGCATAAGCACTTGGTATCCTCCGGTCAGATGTTGTTCGTAGGATGGTAACATACTATGAGATTGTTCCGATGATTTGCGTCGCACACGATCCAGAGGCTCACACAAGGCTCACTGGAATTCTGAATGGCAATACTATTACACATGACATTATGCATGGACAGCCAAGACGTTTCCACTACAGACGGGAACGTGCTGCTGCGTCATCGAGTTGGGGATTCATCGGGCGCGACTGTTGCTGCATCATTTCCAAGGTGTCTCGATATAGATCAGCCTGCGTAGCGTGAAGCACTGCATCAAAGAGTATTGTATAGAACCCATACCTTGATCAAGCCCCAAACACCGTGTCGCGCGTTTACGCTGTTCGCTCTTGCTACTTCTTCTGCTTTAGCCAACACATCAGCGGTGTTCCCGGAGACGATATGATCCACAAGCCCAGCCTCCAGAGCCTCTTTTGGCGTGAATTTATGGCCTTCTAACGCTATTTTCCTTTGTAACCGACCGTCACCAACCTTGGCACGAAGGATGGCTGCGAATGAGAGAGGCCAGATAGCACCAAATAGGACCTGATTATAATCATTTTAACTCGTGAAAATAGAACGCGATACAACTACCCCACCTCATTCATGCACATCCATGCGCGTCTCTTGCTACCATCAGTCATGACACGGTAGTCGCATGCCAGAGCCAGCATCATTGAACCAGCGAAACAGTGTCCATTAATAGCAGCGATGGTTGGTACTGAAAGGTGAGACTTAATTATCAAACTGATTCGTCAAACCAAGGATACTACATACTCGGGAAGGTCAACAGCCTCGCAAGAAGAGGATTATATGTAACTGTTCAAGCGGATCAGATCTTGCCATCGCAACTATGCATATGATTGCTTACCCGGGAAGAAGTTAAGGTTGGCGATAACGCTAGGGTAATCAAGTCCTAGGATACCGGTGAGCCATTGCCTCAGGTCCTTCATAGACACACACCATTACTGAAAAACTTGTCTTGGTTCCTGGCACCAACAAATATCAGCGCTCCTTTGGCCCCTTCCTGATCCTTGTTCTGCTGAGCGGTCCTCCACTGTTCGCGCCAGTTTCTTTCCACGGCGTCCAGAGCGGGCTTGATACCGTAGTCAACCATTTCAAGTGTCAAGCGGTTGTCATTCGAGTGGTGCAGTTCGATGATCCAGAGAGACTCATTGGCTGGAAAGACGCGTCAATGCTTTCTGTACGAGCCTGAAAACGACTGCCTACGGTGCGTAAGTGTGATGAGAGGACCGTGGGCAGGCAAACTGAGTGGGTATGTCATGGTAGGAGATTAGAAAGACTCGGAGAGAGGGAAGGCGCGCTGGCAATTGAACGGTCAGAAAGAGGAGTTCGACCGGTTACCCAGGACCGACATGTGATTCCCTGCTGACATTGGAGAGTCCCGGATTCGCCAGCATAGATTTGGTCCCAACATCACAGCGTAAGTGCAGGAAAGAGTTTACGGCGATCTACCCTGGAATTTGAACCATATTCTGGGGCAAAAAGAATTTGCGGGATAACCGGCAGCGAATGCCTCTGCAAAACAGGCGCAAATCTACTACTTGCCTTCTGCAACCATGACCTCCGTTACAGACGAGCAGAAGGCTGCAATCAGAGGTGCTTTCATTCTCCCATGCATCTGTGTTGATACTAAACGGAGGAACAGCCAAGCTGGAAGCTCGGGAAGAGCACATTCGTGAATCATGGGTCAAAGCGATGGAAGCTCGCTTGGTGCGAGATGAGCTCGAAAAGTGTCACAGATCAGAGGGCGTCAACCATTACGAGAACTGTAAATGGCTCGCAGACAAGTACCTGGTTATGCTGAAGGAGAACAAGGTGTTTTTAATCCTTTAGATCCAGTAGCTCTTACTGATTCGACGCCAAGGTGCATGGGTACAGGCATATAGACACTATGTGATTCCAACAATAAAGTGTTTTCATCCCTTTCCAGTTGTGAACATATTCCGAGTTACTCCACATGTCCAGTTCGGTCGTCATGATGGTAACGTGTTCCAGGAAATTTATCATTAATCCTATTCTACAGTTGTGGTATATGCCCTCTTATTTGTTCCCCAGCGCCCCTTCCACCATCGCAGCTGTATGTTCCCAAAGCTTTTGCCTCTGTTCTTCATCCCCAAAGTACCGCTTCTTTCCCAGATCCTCCCCTCTACTTCCGACTCTGAACGCGCCTGCTGCCTTCTGCAGGGACCCATGCCACATATACTCTGCGCAATCCTCCGGTGGGATCGAAAATGGGTAGGCCAGACCCATGATGAGCGGTGCAGTATACCGGAACACTGCGGAAGGTGACGCATAAACATAATTCGTACGCACAGCTCCCGGATGTGCGTGGATGAATGAATGGAGGGGATACCGCTGTGCAAAACCCTAGATGCGCGTCAATGACCAGCACCAGTTACAAGGGAATCTGATACATACTTCAGACATCAAATCCAGGTACGTTGGCACTCTGAGCCCCACTTTTGCGGCGGAATAACTCTTTTTCATGTCCAGGTCATCCATATCGATGTTCCCACCGTATCCAGGTGCCATGACAGTCACCACCTTGGATCCCTCCTCCTTCAGTGAGCTCAGCAAATCCTTGACAAACTTCCATTTCGCATAATACGCGACCGCCATTTTCTTATCCATTCCCTCTGTCGTTTCCTCCCTCCCCGCCGTGGTAAGGTATCCCGTCGTGAGGACGAGAAAGTCCACCTTCTTTTCCCCAAGACGCTTCTTCACCTCCTCTGTAGCACTGGCCACGTTGGACATGAGGCTGGCGTCGCAAGGGACGAATTCCCGGATGGGTGTCACTGATGAAGACGGGCGAGGAAATGAGTCGATGATCTCCTGTGCGGCTTTGGCGTTTCGTCCGACAATGATGATATTAGCGTTCCCTTGGGTGTGGGAGGCGAGGGATTGGGCCATGGCTCGACCGATTCCGGCGGTACCTCCAAAGAAGACGGCGGTAGGTGCGGTCAAGGAGGAGAATATAGAGGCGTTGGATGCTCGTATGCTGGCGATGGACATAGTGGTGATAATTGTTCTACCTGGCAGAGGGAGACGGTTAAGTATGCAATTTCTGCCGGGTACATGACGCGTACTAGGTCGCGTGTCCGCTCGGCACGATGGTCACTGCCAACTACTGAAAACCGGCCGGCGGCATCCGAAACTATGCATGTGAAGACTTGGCGCTGATGTTGCGCGCGCCAATCAGTTTCCCCGGCTGGTACACATTCTTCGACTTTTCACTTGTGACACAGGTGACGAGCTCAATGGCAAAGCCGCTGTACAGGGACTCCACCAAATCGCACCTAAGGCGAATTCTCATTCTCTGTGGGAGAGGTTTTGAATTTTCTACATACCCAAGATAGCCGCTCTCCTTGCTTTTGCGCTGCTTCGATGCGTTTTCGGTATGGAGGGAAAAATGCAGGTAGAGGACATACGTACGCACCCGCCCTTGACGATTATTTGACTGGGTATGGTGAGAAACATGAGAGAGAGGGACATACCTCAAAAAAGTGGATCGTTGATGCAGGACCAAAAGAGTACGTACCACCGAAAGTCAATTAGAATTTCTTTTGGGAGAAAAGTCGGTTCCGTAGTGACTATGGGACCCTGTAGATCCAGATACCTTGCCGCTGTCATGAAAAGTACGTACAGGGACGCGATAACGTGAAGACAGCCAAAATGAAGAAAAACTAGGACGATATCCTCTTGCCCACCGACGTCGTCCCTTTCGTCCCCAGTCCCATCGGCCTCAGTTACTCCATTGCCGTAACGTGATATCTGGTCAGGACCGTAGACTGTCGTCGACAACATCTAGTGCTTAATGGCCATGGCTCGGGCTGACGAAGAACAACCTAGTATCGGCCGGCTGCATTTTTGTGTTGTGACTCACTTGAAATGGCGATCACCTCATTATTACCACCACCACTACATACTACCCTACCCATGAGCTAGTCTCATTTCGTATCTATACCACTAATGTCCGGTTCCTCTACCCCGTCCTCGTCCTCGTCACCCTCCTCGTCGCCGGCATCATCGCCGCCGACAACGCCCCCAAATCTTCATCAAAACACCATCGATCCTTCGGCTCCATGGCTCGTACAGAAGTTTGGCGGAACCAGCGTTGGAAAATTTGCTGTCAAGATCGCGGAAGACATTGTATCGTGCGTTTGTGTTGTGTTTTCCTTATGCTCTGTCTTACAGTCATATAGGAACTACATAGACTCGAATAAAGTCGCTATTGTATGCTCTGCGCGGTCCGGTTCTACCAAGGCGCTAGGAACGACCAACCTCCTCCTACGAGCCGCTTCTGAGGCCCTAGTCCGTCGAAAAACTGGCGGAGTCAGCACACCTGGAACTGGTACGGTCACACCGACACTTTTCGGCCGAATCAAGGATACGTCGCAGTCTCCGCCTATGTCTCCTGTGAGGAGCAGATCCTCATCAGATCACCAGCGTCAAACATTTAACTGTCTCGCTCCGTTGTCCGTGCCCCAGGCAGGCCAGGAATTGCCGGCTTACAATGTTACAGTTGACCTCATCCGCCAGGAGCACATCAATGCTGCTAGGGAGAGCGTTAGGGACCCTGACATCCGAAAAGAGCTCGAGGCTGAGATAGAAAGCGACTGCGATTGGCTTCGCAGCTTTTTGTTTGCGTCGCAGGTAAGTAATTTGAATATCTATTAATTTTCACCATTTTTTCTCAACTATATCAAGGTCATCGACGAAATCTCTCCTCGTTCCCGAGATAGTATCATCGGACTCGGTGAACGTCTGGCTTGTAAATTCATGACAGCCGTGCTCCGGGATCAAGGCATCGACGCCGAGTATGTTTCACTGGAGGACATCGTACCAGAAATGGACGAGGACTCCTATGCTGATGGCTCCTTAGACCAAGCCTTCTACGACCGCCTCGCCATCGCCGTAGGCGAACGCATTGAAATGTGTGGGCAGCGCGTCCCTGTGGTCACAGGTTTCTTTGGACCTGTTCCCGGCTCGTTATTACGACAAGTCGGAAGGGGCTATACGGACCTGCTTTCCGCCCTCCTGGCCGTCGGCGTCAAAGCATCAGAACTGCAGATATGGAAAGAGGTCGACGGGATCTTCACTGCGGACCCTCGCAAGGTGGCCACGGCTCGTGTAATCCCATTCATCTCGCCCGATGAGGCGGCCGAGTTGACGTACTATGGGAGCGAAGTCGTGCATCCTTTCACCATGGAGCAGGTCATCCGGAAGAAAATCCCCATTAGGATCAAGAATGTGGAGAATCCGGCAGGCTTGGGGACTGTCATTTACCCAGACCTGGAGGAGGGAGACGAAGTCCCGGTCGCTAGACGGTTAGTCACAGATCACGATGCACTAGGTCAAGATAACAAGAGGGCGACCGCTGTGACTATCAAGGAGCACATCGTCGTGTTGAACATTAATTCTAACAGGAAGAGTGTCTCGCATGGATTCCTCGCTGGAATTTTCTCTACGCTCGATAGATTCGGAGTCGTGGTGGATCTTATCAGCACGAGCGAGGTGCATGTCAGTATGGCTATCGAAGATGGGCTAGTCCCGAAAATTATGGACCGCCTCGTTAGGGAGCTCCGTAAGAGTGGGACGGTGGGTTCATACGTCTATCCCTTCGATACGTGACTTCTGATTTTCTAGTGCAGGTGTCTGTGCACCAAGATATGGCTATCCTTTCCCTCGTAGGGAAGCAGATGCGCAATATGGTTGGGATTGCGGGAAGCATGTTCACCACGCTTGCGAAGGGTAATGTCAACATAGAAATGATAAGCCAGGGGGCTAGTGAGATCAATATCTCATGTGTCATTGAGGGAAAGGACGCCGTCAAGGCGCTGAATCTGATACATCAGAGCTGCTTGCAGATTCCGCCACCATCGCAAGGAAGAAGTGAGTTTCCCTCCTTCCTGGCAGATATACTTACACGATGCTAATGGTGCATGACTGAAGTAGGGCCGTGGCTTTTCTAATTGCTAGTCGCGTCGTATATAAAAGTATATTTCGATATAGAGAAAGTAGAAGAAGTTTTTGAGAGCGGTCTGTTGGATTATAATTGTGGTATGTAGTAGCGTTGAGCATCAACTGCTTGCGCACCTCACAGTCTTTCATAGCTACTCTTCATGTATTGTTTCCAGCCTATTCGACAAGCGGATCGAAGTTACATGAACATTATTAAGGATGTGTTTATGACGGCCTTGCAACCAAACAAAACAAAGTATTAACAAAAATTAACGCTACGGCTGAGACTGACAACTGTCGCAGTGGACAACTAGAGTACTCATTAATCGCGATGTCAATGCGGTTCCTGATTGTGGATGATGTCGACTGACTCGAGCCGGGAGGAACAGAAGCAAACGAAGAAGCCTCCATAAAAACCCCCACGAGTGCACTAGAATTGAGCGCTTGCCTAGTATTATCTAGCTGTATTTGAATGTAAGCAAGGTGTATCCTACTGGACTTGAGTCAAAGCTATCGAGTTGCAAAGAAAGGTAACTTCAAATGTTAGAACCTGGGACCAGTCCCCGGCAACTGCCACTACTGGATTCAAACTCCGACAGATTCAGGTTCACTAAAGACCAACAATTCGTTGAAGACCCACTTGTTCTGATTCTCCTGGACCTCCTAGCGACGGCCAGCTAAGTTCAAACCTACTTCTGTCTCCATACCACCCTCAGACGAACCCGGTCCGTCCCAAGCGACTAGTGCTCTATCTAGTCCCGCCAAGCTAAAAGTAGGGCAGCCGTCGACAAGTCCCTTCATCAGGGAAGACAATGTTACATCCGAAGTCAACGAGAAAAGCGTTGCTGCCTTTGCCACAGAGTACCTCACTGCGTTGCCTGAGGGATTCCTTTCTCGCCACAAGGTGTCGATGCGGAAGTTTCACAAAGAGAGAAATAAAATGTGCAGGGATGGTAACAAATTGGATGAAGGGCAGAAATACCTTTGTATCATCGAGATGCTCAATCATGCCAGCTCCATGGTCTACGGTATGTTTACAAAGCTCCTTTTAATAACGCCGTACTAACGTGCGATGAAGAGGAGATGAGCGCCCGCCCGAAACAACCTCGTCTTCAGTTCATCAATACTCATGCCGCTCCCCTCGTTCATCACCCAAAGAGTTTCGTTGATAAGCCAGACTTCTGCGCTGTCGACGCCGACCTTGTACCGGCGTTAGCTAAGAGCACTAAGGGAAACTATATTCAAATTCCCTGGCACAAGACGAAATCGGTGGGCGAAATGAAAACGTCGGCTGAGGACGCGAAGAAAGCTACACAGGCCATGAGGTACGCTGGGTTGCATAACGTATCTCGCCCGGACAGGCCTGGTTGTTATGCCCTCAGTGCTTCCCCAAAGGGTTATCAAATCGGCTGGAGCGATCCATCTGGCGGTCATATATCAGCGACGATTGCTTGGAACCACGAGGAGGGGAATCTCATCCTCAGATATGTCTATTCTCTATATTTCCCGCCTAGTCTGTGCGATGTCGTGGACCCAACTGTCACTCTGGTCGATCGGACCACCAACGACTCTCCTCGGTGGAACATCCAATGCGAAGACAAGACTTATACAGATGGTCAGACTATATTTGTCGGAGAGCCGTGGAGTCGGCAGACGGTGATTTACAGGTTTGAGGACAACGATGGCGTCAGGATAATTAAAGATCAATTTGAGCATGTCGGCCGCAGGTTCCACGAGTCAGCGTTGTATGATAAGCTAGAAGGAGCGGCCGGATGGGTGACTGTCGTTGCCTCCTGCAACGTGGGCTTGACTGTAGGGAGTGACATGTCCGCTCGAGTCAAGAAGAGACTGGTGATGAGCTCGGGCGGAGAAGCTTTGGATAAGGTCCGAACTACAAGGCTGTTTTTGATGTCCATGTATGACATCCTGGAAGGTAAGGCATGTTTCTTTTGGGCGTTGGTGTACATGCTGAAAGAAATTCTTTCCAGCCCACCGGTATGGTGTCATTAAGGAACGGGTGATGCATAGGGACATCAGCTTTCGAAATATTCTGGTTAACCCATTTGGCATTCCTGTGGAAGCACCGATGGAACCTACATTTGTTAACACTATTTTGGACATTACTGGCAAGCGACACTCGCCGACTGCCTTGATATGTGATTTGGACAATGGCTGCGTCTATAAAGAAGAAACGTACCCTGATATCATCCCAGATCAGCTCAAGAGCCGTACAGTGAGTTCATAACACCATAGCATTGTGATCTCTACTGATGCAAAGACAAAGGGAACACCTATGTATATTGCGCGCGCAGTGGAAGCTGGGCGCCTGGTTGTTATCCCCGCGGCGCATCCTCTCTTTATGCCCATGCCCGAGATCAACAACAAAGCTATTGCAGAAAGTTATGCTAGATGTTTTTTTTTTTTTTTTTTTGAATCCGATTAGTACGATATGTATCGTGATCCTACACGCTAGCGTATGGTGGGATTATGCTACTTGTCTATCTCTATGCTAGATGTTATAAGGGGGAAACTGCGCATCTTCAGAGATAAAGAGGGAGAATATCACGGTGGTCATCTGGATGTGTCAAGATACGAGGAAGCTTTAAACAATGATGACGAAGCAGAAGCCATGTTTTATCATCAGCCACGGCATGATGTTGAGTCAGTGGGATGGTGCATCATCGTGTTTTGTCTTCGTTCGCAGCCAAAGGATGGGAAAGGTGTTGATGACTCGCTTGGAGAGCTGAAAAAAAATATGGGAGAAGTTATCAGGGTCAGGAGATATTCGGCATATTGTGCTCGGGATGTCATCTCAGAGATGGGAACGGACCCTCCACCCCCGTTTAAAATTCCTGGGTCAATTCCTTCATCGTCTTTGTATGCAGATGCTACCCGAGTATGGATTTCTCCAACCCCCTCCTGCAGAGGACCATTTACACGAGGCCTTCCAGCGGTTACTTCTCAATCAAATTTCTGAAATGGAAGAAGACGTCGAGCTGGACACAGGAGAGCTCCGTAAAGTTCCTGAGTTACGGCAGGCAGAATATCGGTACATTGTCACAACATATGGTCCTTCAGTTGGCCAATGTGAGAGAGAGTTGGCCATTCGTTAACTTTTTGACTCTGATTCATTTCAATTTAGCGTTAGGTTCTCTGTCGAAAAGCAAGAGACAGCCAGCAAAGAGATCAGCGCCGAGCGAGGGTGGACCCACTGCCAGTATGTGATGACTGATTTCTGTCTCGCTGTAGGCAACATACTAAAGTCATTTTGCAGCACGCCGAAAGCGAGCCAAAAAAGCCTAGGAAATTGTCGTGCGAAGATGATGGCATGAAGTTAGCCACCGAGAAGATACCCTTTCAGACTCATAGGATAGAAGTTCCGATAATCCTCTTTGTTAGACCTACACGTTATTATTCAATAATTATTCAGCTGTGTGTGCCCTGTCTGATCCATACAACGAGTAGTACAAGGCATACGGGCACTCCCAAGTTCGTGATCCCACTCATCTCGCCCGATGAGACAGCCGAGTTGACGCACTACGGAAGCGAAATCGTGCATTCTTTCACCATGGAGAAATCTCCATTAGGATCAAGAATGTCGAGAGTCAGGGAGAGGAAGTCCCGGTCGCGAGACGGTCCACGATGTACTGGGTCAGGAGAGTAAGAGGGCAACTTCTGTGACCATCAAGGAGCGCATCATTGTGTTGAACGCTAATTCTAACAGGAAAAGCGTTTCCCATGGGTTCCCAGCACTACACTCGGTAGATTCGGAGTCGTGGTGGATCTTATCGGCACGAGTGAGGTGCACGTTAGTATGGCTATCGAAGATGGGCTAGTCCCGAAAATTATGGTCCGTCTCGTTAGGGAGCTCCGCAAGAGTGGGACGGTAGGCTCATACATCTATCCCTTCGATGTGTGATTTCTGATATTCTAGTGCAGGTGTCTGTGCATGGCCATCCTTTCCCTCGTAGGGAAGCAGATGCGCAATATGGTTGGGATTGCGGGAAGCATGTTCACCACGCTTGCGAAGGGTAATGTCAACATAGAGATGATAAGCCAAGGAGCTAGCGAGATCAATGTCTCATGTGTCATTGAAGGGAAAGACTCGGTCAAGGCGCTCAATCTCATACACCAGGGTTGCTTGTAGATTCCGCCACCATCGCAAAGAAGAAGTGAGTTCTCCGCGGCAGATATACTACACGATGTTGATGGTGCATGACTGAAGTAAGACTATTCTAATCACTAATCACGTCGTATCTAAAAGGATATTTTCGATATAGAGAAGGTAGAGGGAACAGTCTATTAGATTATAATCATGGCGTATTGTAGTGCTAAGCATCAACTACTTGCATACCTTACAGTCTTTCGTAGATATTGTTCATGTACTGTTCGATATTTTAAAACACACAGACCGAAGTCGAAAAGTCTTGTGTTCGGAAAAGGCTACAGCTGCAGAGTTGTGAGGCAAGTCACCGCTATGGCAATAGCTACACCCAATACGACTGCAAAGGTCATACTTGATGTCTCAGCAAAACGTACAGCCGCGGACGACCTGGAATTAGCAGCATGTGAGCCGTATGCTTGACAAGGATCGCACGGAGCACTTACGACGCCGACGCGGTCTCTGACACGGAAGAGGTCGAGCTAGCAGAAGCAGAAGCAGAAGCAGAAGCAGATGAAGACGAAGTCGTCCCCCCATTCCCTACAAGTGCACTGGAATTGAACGCTCGCGTCGTATTCGCCTGTAGTGTCCATTGAATCCCACCTAGGATGTGGCCCATGAACAATTCGTCCTTGGAAATGAATGTAAAGTGAGTATTCCCATCCCCTTTCGATAAAATCACGGGGAACGGACCTCCCACGTCTCATTGAGATGTCCAAGAGACGTATAGAAACTACGCCCAGCAGTGCCGCCGCTCGTTACACCAGCACCATGTTCCTGATACCACGCTTGTGAAGAGTAATTAGCTAGCGATCCTGATCGTACACATTATTTTTACCGATAGGATGAGGTTCTCCTTGATCGAAACGCCGCGTTCCACCATCTAGAAGATACCTCTCAGTCACATTCTTGACGTACTGAGTGACGCATCCACACCAGTATAACTTGATTCGTCTACTGTGAGAATAACGATGGCTCCCACAGATCTAGGATCCGATTTAAAATTGTATCTTGCCTTCAGAGTCAGTCGGAGGCTTGGTCACGGTCATTTTTGTAGGCGGGCGCACATTTCATCACGGACCGGCCAATCGGTAGGAAGACTCTCCGTACTGGGATGAGACGCGTCCAACACAATAATGGTCTGAAAGTCGCTTAGGGCTCTTGCGTGTTACTCCATGAGGAACTTGGGCGTACGGCATTTTGTAACTCAGGGTGATAATCAAAATAAGCACCTTCATGACATCCGTTTTAGGTTCAGAGAGCACGAGGCGGTAGAGCTCCGTTTTTCCTCACCTAGTTCCTTTCCATAAAAGGCCGTCGTATTAAGGGTGTCGCTAGCCGAGTGGATTCCGACAAAGTTTCCCCCGTTGTTAAGATAATTTTGAAAGGCGGTCTTCCCTGTATCGTCCAAGACTAGCGCGAAGAGACTATTAACCCCAATGGAATTGAAGCTATGAAGATTGCAGGCATACCTTCTCCCGTAGTACTCAGGAAAATAACGACATCATATCCCTCTAAACCCTGGTCGGTGAAAACACCCTTGTCCTCCGTATGCACAAAGTCGACATTTGCCGCCGACCCTTTGGCTTGTAGAGCTTGAACAGCCGTGGGTATTGAATCATGTCGAAAGGCGGCAGTCGCAGTATACACTAGTGCTCTAGCTGTTGTCCCAAATGCAGGGATCGTACATGTCGATAAGAGCGTTAGAAGTAGCAGAGAGACTAGGCCAGAGGTGGTGGTGGGAATCATGCTACTGCAAAGGCATTGAGAGCGGCCCAAGAAGAGGCGAGAGCTACATGTGTCCTGCTGATGTGATCAGAAGACGTCATATCAGAAGAGTAAGCGCAGATTCTCATGTCTTAGATCGTCCCGTCGAGTGGTCCAAAAATCAAAACTGTTAGATTGACCTTGTCCTTTCCAGACACACATTCGTGTTCGGACCTCCAAGCGTGCCTCACAGTGTACTTGTTCGCCTCTGGAACCTGGCGGGTTCCCTCCTTTGAGGGAGGCATCTGATCCAGTGCACGGCCGGGATGCGCCGACATCTACCGTTGGTTAGCTAGCTGGAGCCTCGAGACGGTGGTTTGCGATGAGACACCCTTCGTGGGCAAAGTCGTCTACCCTTGACGCATGGGTGTGTGCGCTTGGTAACGAACACATTTTTTACATGTTCGGTCATTAATCGCCTAATCACCACTCACCTCTTCACAGGATCGTGCCAGGAATCAAGTTCCTGTCATTTAGTAGACTGCATTAGGTTCAAGCACAGCAGTGAAATTTTGCGCATGGTCTAATTCGTAGTACTAGTACACTCGTGCGTAGATCCAGTCTCTGTTTAGAGCGGTCAGTTACATGAGTTGCTCCCAAGGTCGAATACCTTACTTCAACAACGTACATATTCAATCCACCTCCTCGGACTCAACAGACCGGCTTACTAATCCAGATCCTGATCCGATATCCAACCTTTCCATCTCCATTGTAAAAGATTCAGGTAGCAGCTTGTCGCGACCTGCGGCGTCAGCTTCGGCTAAGTCTCTCATTTCCTTTAGGAATTCCGGACTCATGGTCGAAGAGCTGATGATAGTCGTTCTTCCATCTCCAAAGTTCATCGGGATTTGTATCGAATCTTTGTTATTTTCTGATCCAATTGAAGATGGGCCCTTGACATCTATAACCGAGCAAGGGGCTCCTGGCTTGCAAAATGGTTTATGGTTTTTCCAGTCCTGGGTTCATACACGTGAAATCCAGTCCTCCGATCGAAGAATGTAAATTGACCTTCTTTTCTGTTCGCCCCGACGTGGAATAAAAGTAAGCAGGAAATCAAGAATAAACGAGAATACTCACGGCACCTAGTAAAACATTAGCCAATGTAGCCTCGAAAAAAGGACAGAGGAAGCACACTCTCTGCTACAATAATAGGGCTTCTTGTCTGCGTCACATTTCCCCGAACCTGAAATTGTTTATTAGAACCATATCAATAAAGAAAATAGAATAAGTAAATACATCGAGAAAGCACGCGTCCAGAAACAGCTTCAATCCCACAGCCAACAGTCGCACATTTGTAGCGATTTGGGCGAGTCATACGTTTCTGATCCATCTTGGCCTGACCCTTCTCGATGTCCTTGTCTCGTTTCTCAAGGACAGACCACAGCTCCTTGTATTGAAGATACATATCAACAGCGTGCTCTGCCTGAGGTTTCATAACATTCTGGGCGAACGACATGGCAGTCGGAGAGGTCTTTCCTGGAACAAGTTTCACGCTCTCGTTGGCATGCCATGCTGCCGCCTGCAGGTAACGGTGACGAAAGTCTTCACTGCTTTCGGTGTACCAGTTAATTAGGGCACTGTGAGCGATCGATCTCTTCTCAGCGGGCGCTTCGGTATCGAGTGCGGCTTGCACCAGGTAACGTCTCGCAAGAGCGCGATTGGGAGTACATTGGAGTCCGTTTCTGAGCCTACACGACAAGGAATGAGAAATAGGACTGTGTCAAATATCAGAAAGGCCTTATACCTAAAACCGTAATCCAAGGCAGCCTCTGAGTTTCCAGCATCCGCTTTGGCTTTGATAACCCTTTCAGGCTTTGACTCGACCATGTCCAAAACGTTGTCAATTTCCTTCCCGATTTTAGCTCCCCAGATGTCCTCCACGGATTTAGAAAAGTCTATGGGAATGCAGTTCTTGCGGATGTTAGCATATGCAAGTGCGGTCTCGACTAAGATTGTATCGTCGTCGCGTTCGTGACGCACATTCGCTGCTGCTCGCGACACGGAAGAAGGAGGGGTAAAATTGTGAAACGCGATAGACTCCGGACAACTGACAGCCGCAGATGCCACTTCCGGAAAGTTCATGTGGGACTTGAGGCCTTTGAAGAAACCTTCAAAGGATTCTCTGGCGATGACCGCGTTAGATTGGGAGACGCTTATTTTACACAGTTCCTTTCTGACACCCAGTCTCTTGAATTCGGCTCCGACGGCGGTGGCTAGATCAGTATCCTCCGTCGTCAACTTCCACGGAGCCAAGGGAGTCATTCCGATTTCCCCAAAAGAGGTTAGGAAAGCACGAATCAAGCCTCTCGCAACTTCCGGTGCAGCTTCCTTTCCGGTTTCTGGGAAAAACATCATTGGCTTACTGCCAAGTATCTCGGTGTGAATGAAGGTGCTTTCGGGCTGCACCATGAAAAGCAAATGAGATGGTGGATCAAGATGGATAAAACGAAGATCAAAGTGCCAATCGTTGGCGACACGGCCAGAGGGGGCACGGGGAGTACGAGGAAGTGCGTTGAATCTGGTCACATCCTGCTTCGACATGGTTGTTGACATGAAGGAAACATGCGTAATTTTCAAGAAATTAGGTGGCGGTCCGGATATCCGTGTTGACATTAATTTAGCATGCATTCCCCAGAAATAAATATAGGTCTGCAGTCTGCATAGAACAATTTTGAGGGCAAGCTATTACTTCCGGCCTTTCCGCTTCCTCCCTTCCGTACCGCTAGTCTCCCCACCGCTCAGCTCATCACCACTAGCTGGCCCACCCTTCTTGGCCTTGTTTTTTCGTAAGTGATGCTCCGGGATCCATTCTTCCTGATAGCCTCCAGCACCCGTAGCAGTCACAGAACCCACGGGTGCGCTAACGGAAGCAGCCGTGCGTCTGGGCTTCTTGGATTGGGGGACAAACGAGAGGTACGCAACGTACGCAATGCCACCGAAAATGAGGGACACCACAAGGTACGTTGTCAATCTGGACTGATTATGAGAAGCGCAAGTATTAGCGTGTGTTTGATTTAACGTACAGCTTGAAGTCAAAGATTGAGATCTCGGGCTCCACGATAGTAACGATAGAATCGTAAGCGGATACCAAGTACTTCTCGTCCTACCTAGATTTTAGTAGAGCATGCGGCATTATTAAGGCGATGCTCACTGCGAACGAATGTTCCAGCCAAAGATTGAGGCGCAGATCTCCGGGCTAGAACAAATATCAGGCAAGCACATGGAATACAAATTCAATCAGTTACTTTGAATCTGTAATCTTTTTAGTCTACTGATACAGATTTAACGATATAATATAACTCACTCGCTGTAAAAGGTGAAGGGAAGCTGGAGCTTGACACCCTCAACAAGTATGATGCCATAAGGAACAGCAGTAAGCTAACCAGAAGAGGTTGGCCGATACATCAAGGCAAATAAGTCCAGAGCGTACATTTTTTACCAACGCATTTGTATCAGGATGGTGCACCGAGCCTGACATGCTGAGAAGAGTAACATTCCGGTCGGATTTGTTTTCAATAGATAGCAGAATTAGATTCTTCTCTCCATTTACAACGTCTGTCTCGCATTCAGTTAAAACGAAACAGGTACCAAAATGAACGATGAGACCCACGGGCGAAGGGATTATCATCTGGCCATGATGCCACAATGGAAATTTCGGGTTCAGTGGGTCCCTCTGATGGGGCTCAACACAGAAAAATGAAGCATGAGTTTAGAATGCAATGCAGGACCGCGGGGGTACGTACTGGACTGAGACAAAGCCACCTGGGCCAAGGCCGCAACGGAGGCAAAAGTTCCAAAGAGCGCTGAGAGACGCATAATTCCGGGCCAAAAAACCGAATTTCTGTATCTGCAACTGACGCTACGACGAACGAGTACAAGCTGGTTTTCGCCACGTCCGTCCCCTCCACGTGGAACATTTCACCGAGTCACGTGGGGTAATGCGGATCAATATCGGATTAACTCAAAAGCTGTACTTAGGTACGACCACTTGAGATTGTTCTGCTATACCGGACATTTGAATGAAGAGGAACACGTTTACTTTCAACAGCGATATTCTCAGTCTCGTGATACATGTAACACTACTCCACAACCTTGCCCATTTCAAGCAGGGTGCCCTTTCCGCTTCAACAATTCCCGAGCGGTTTCTTCTACATCACCGCTAGTATCAGGAAGCCAAAACGCCTAGCACAAAGTCAGCATCAAACAAGAAGCATGCACTGCTAAGAAAGACGAACCAGCTCAGCGCCTGCAGAACACATCATTGCGAACCGCGGATTGAATTTCACGCATCTGGATGGACCTGGATGGCCTTCCAGAGACGCCAGCGGTTGGAGCCGCACAGGCGCTGCTCTCAAATCTACCGGACCACTCTTTTTGGGAAGGTTTTGTACATCCCAGACGTGAACTTTACCGTCCAAACTGCCGCTAACAATATAACGACTATCCGGCGTCCAGCTAACTTCCTCACCACTTCCGCCCTTTGCGGGTTCAATAGTAGGGGGCGCCGCTGTTGACCGTCGTTCGAGCCCTATATGCCCTTGGAGCTTGGCCAATAGATGTCCTTCAAAGGCATCTAGAATATAATGTGCATCACCTGAACAACCGACGAGAATGTATTTCCCATTTGATGAAAAGGACAAAGAAGTCATGAAGATGGGTCGAGGGGGATAGCTGACGAAAGACAGAGTTGGATCTTCCAGAGTAATGACGAGAAATGGCGCCTTGTCGTAGTTAGCATGGTCGTACAACAGTATTCTGGAATAATGATTGACAGCCACGGCGAAGACAATACCAGTGGAATCATAAGCAACGATGGGTGTTGAAGGAAGTGAAAGTAGACCTCGACAATTGGGACCGCGAAGATCCCAAAGGCGAACAGTTTTGTCCATAGATCCCGACATGAATCCATCATCTACAGGAGACATTTCCAGAGAAATGACCCGGCCCTTGTGCCCCTTGAAATACTGAAGGTATTTGTTGTCGTGCAGTGAATGGTATCTGACGGTGTCATCTTCCTTGGTGGACGCATGTATTATTGCGGTGTTTTTATGGGTGAAACGCGGGAGATCTACTCCATACTTCTTGGAAAAGAGCGTCTTTAGAGGCCTGGCATCCCGACGTGAGTGGAGAGTCGGACTTGAGTGAACAAAGGAAACTCACTTGCCGCTTTTGCAATTGTACAGCCTAAACGTTTCGTCTTCTGCCGCTGTAATTACCTGGTCCCCTCTATCATCAAAGCATATCCCTGTTATATGCCGTGGGCCTTGGTTGCCAGGACGAGGCGGAAAGCTAGGCGACGGTTGAGGCAGGCTATCGACGGCGCCTTTGTAGATCCTGGCCGGCTTCAATTTGGTCTGGACGCGTAGTTTTGTGTAAGATTCGAGAAAATATCACGACATTAGAGTTGGTTCACCATGAGATTATTCGTAAGAGAAAGCGGGGGATGCTGCGGGGCACTGCTCGTGCTCGCTTGGGGGGCCATGAAGGACGGAAGCAGAGAGATCGGAGCTTCAATTTTTTGCCTTCTTTCCACCATGAGCGACGGCGACGAAGTGGCGAAACTTTGGAAGGTCAACCGGACAATACACGAATTGGTCAAGGATAGAGTCAGAAAACGTCTTGCAAGACAGGGACAGGCCACTCATTACCGCTGCAGGGCTTCCAGGTATCCGACGACGAAATAAACATGGACCTTCAAACTTTCAAGGAGAACTACGTCAGCCAGAGCGGCTCAGTCGAGTGCGTACTACATCTCTGCTCGCTTTTACAATCCTCAATTTCTCGCAGTCGGACGCAGTTGAATTTCTATACCAATTCAACATCAAATTTCGACGACCAAATATTCGTATTTTTCTCCGATGAGAAAAGTGTGGGAGTAAAGTCGATGCGAAAGTAAGTATTCTTGGGCGGGCTCTACTTTATCTGCTGACATGTGCCTATAGGCTCATCTCAATTCTGGAGGAGAAATCTATACAACGAGGCATCATCGTCTTCCCAGGGAACATGACACCCACGGCCCGCAGGGTTGGTCAACTTCTCTAGGGTCCATTCCATTCGCTTCAACTTTGATTTAGGTTATCGTGGCCATGGCCTCCCAGTATCGCTTAGAGGAGTTTTCCGAGGCGGACCTTCTTGTCAACATCGTGCATCACACTTTAGTTCCCCGGCACGATGTCTTGACCCCCGAGCAAAAGAAAATTCTACTTGAAAAATAGTATGTATTTTAATCGATTTTCATTCGTGTACCTTACCCTTCGGTGACTAGCCGGCTTAAGGAGACCCAATTGCCACGCATACAGCTAGCGGATCCAGTTGCACGATACTATGGACTTCGTCGAGGCCAAGTCGTCAAAATCACCCGACCGAGCGAGACGAGCGGTCGGTATGCAAGCTACCGCATATGCTTTTAGGTTTTTAGATTTTTAATGTGAGTGTACTGATTTTCCGTACGCGTTTCACTGATCGCCTTGCCCAATTTTGTAGACTGTTTTTGCTTTGTTAAATCAGCATGTATACTAATTTCTGCTCGATGGATGTACAAAGGAAGACGTTTTACCCATCGCCGTGCCTCAACCGAAGGCACCACGGTCGTAATCTCTAACAGATCTTACCCCCCACTAACTGCGGTATTGGTCGACTGTTGCGCGGTAACTCCGATCTAGGCTGGCTTGCATACTCTTCCTCATTTGCAGTCAAGCCGCCCAATAAGTCGAATCTGAATCTAATCGCTTCTGGCCAGGTGGAGCAACATTGAATGCCGAAGTGACCTGCACTCTTTGATCACGCGTGAAAGCTTCAACAACGGACTTCACGTAGTCTTACGACTTTCTCGCCGCACCACACACGTACTCATACATATTTTGACGAACACGACGTCAGGCATGACGTTCCTTCTATCTCTGAGCGTTTAGATCTTATTCCTTCATCTCCGCAAAGTTTACTGCGCGTGACCAGCCATCTTTTCCCCCCACCTCGCGAAGGTACTGCCCACGGTAAGGGTCATATTTGTCATTGCCGAATACTAATGGGTTGGAGTGTATTAGCTGACAAAGGGAGTATATTTTTCCCCACTTCAGGGAGACTTGCTCCTCGTCGATAAATGGAGCATCCTGTCGGTGTTTGTTCGACTCACCAGATATTCACCGTATGATGAACCTCATCCGCTCCCAACCCAATTTCCAGAAAGCTGTCTACCCGATTTTTTGTACAGGTCCACCGGTCTCCAAACCGAATGGGAAACGTCTCAGTCATCAGATCTACAGTGTTCATTTTCTCATGACCAAGTCGCCTGCAACCTCGCGATTCACGGCCAATGGCTTTGGTAAATGGCAGTACTTTCGGACCGTTATAGCCATAACATCACACTGACATCATGAAGTTCCCCTCAGATATAGGCAATGGCATTTACCTATGCCTCCTCGACGATCGGATTGCCCAGTTTGTCCCCGACCCTTCTTGTTCTTAGATCCGGTACTTCGAAGATGCCCGTACTGCCTAAGCATAATTATGCATAACGATCACAGCTTGCGGCCCGGTCTCAAGCACCGATCATTATCAAAGCTCGGTTCGTTCCTCGTGGCTCGGTATTGCTTTTCTCTGCGCATTACAGCTAGGATATAGGCCGTATATTCTAGGGTCAATGGCATGTGTAGTTCTATTTTGGCCCGTCTACGGTTTTACTTGTCCCGTACGTAAGGGAGCGGGTATCCACCGGAATGTGCCAGCCTAGCACAACGTGCATTCGCTCACCAAGGCCCCTTAGGCCTCCAATCCATCTCCTGATTCCGCCGATGCCCGGTGGTGGGTCGAATATCTTTGTGAACCAGTGCAGCAGGTGGGTTCTTTGTCGAACTATCGAGACCAAACTAAGACGTTTGTTGCATTACAGGTGGATCTCTCTGTACATATCTGGTCAAGATATATGCTAGTACCCCTTTGTCCACAACCATCACCACATTGAGAGTTTGAGCGTGGTTTCATTGATCGCATTCTGTAGCTGCTCACGGAGAAAGATGCCGTGCGAGATTGCCTAACCTAATCAGAAAGTTTTAATTTTCTTTGGAAACCATTACCTTGGATTAGAATTGCTCAACATGGCGATTCATGTCTTGGTTGTCGATCTACCGTTGCAAGCCGTGTCGTTCATTGAAGACACGTCGGCGGCCTTCGTGTCGTCTAGATAAAAATTTCTGCATCGAGGCAGGTGAGCATCAGTAGTTTGTCAAAAGATTCTGTCTCAGACGTTGTGGGATCGCTCCGTCCAGGACTGTTGAGTGCATGCAACTACTATGATTGGTTAATCCTAGTAGATAATTTACCTCCATGTAGAGCATGCACCGTTACGCGCCCTACTGCGCTACGCGATCAGGTCAGGTTCGAGACCTTCGTTTTGCTATAAAATGCTGCCATCTGGAACCGTGGTCGATATTGGTCCTTCCAACCCCCCCTTCCTCTAACCACCATGTACTCCACCAAACAATTCTATCTTCCCGACCTGCTTGCTCTAAGCCCTTTGAAGGGCGCAACCAACCCTCATTACATTAAAGCCGGTGCTGAATCCTCTCGGTGGATCAATAGCTATAACGTCTTCACAGACCGGAAGCGCGCCTTTTTCGTGCAAGGTTGCAACGAGCTTCTCGTGTCACATACCTATCCATATGCTGGTTATGAACAGTTCAGAACCTGCTGCGATTTCGTGAGTTTTTAGTCTAGTTCCAACAGTTATGCACACGCTGATGTCAATATTGCAAGGTTAACCTGCTCTTCGTTGTCGATGAAGTGAGCGATGACCAGAACGGTCATGATGCTCGCGAAACTGGTGAGATATTCCTCAGGACGATGAAGTACGGGAAATGCAGCGACGACGAGGTCCTGTCCAAGATAACGCATGAGTCAGTCTAGATCTCAATTGGAACCGCGCGTACGATCTGACCAAAGTGACAGTTTCCGGGAACGGTACATGCGTTTAGCAGGCCCTAACACCGCACGAAGATTCCTGCAACATTGCCAAGATTATATTGACTGCGTGTCAAGGGAAGCTGAGCTCCGCGAGCAGGGTGAAGTTTTGGACATCAATTCATTCACCGACTTGCGTCGAGAAAACAGCGCTATTCGCCTCTGCTTTGGACTTTTTGAATATGTCCTCGGCATTGATCTACCTCAAGAGGTATTCGATGACCCGACATTTATGGAGGTCTATTGGGCCGCGGCGGATCTCGTCTGTTGGGCCAACGTGAGTAATATGTTACTCCGACGTGTGATAGCAACTTATCGTATTTCAAGGATGTGTATTCCTACAACATGGAGCAGTGCAAGGGCCATAGCGGGAACAACATCGTGACAGTTCTCATGAAAGAGAAGCATATCGACCTACAACGAGCTGCTGACTACATTGGTCAATACTTCAAGGTCTTAATGGGTCGTTTCATGACGAAGAAAGCGGAAATTCCCTCTTGGGGACCTAAGGTGGACGCGGACGTCGCTCTATATGTCGAGGCAATGGGCCACTGGATCCAAGGAAATCTCGAGTGAGTGGCTCTTCGGTTCACGGTAATCAGATTATTGACGTCCGATTTTTTTCCTGCAGCTGGAGTTTTGAAACTCAGCGATATTTTGGTGCCGAACATTTGCGAATCAAAGAGACCCTGCTTGTCACTCTGCGCCCTAGGGAATTCCCATTAGATTCGGACTCTGATAGCGATTATTAAGACCGTTACGCCCTCCGAATCCGATACGGACCCATACAAAAGTTTTCGGCCATTATGTATATGTATTTTTTATTATATCTTAGTATATCCTTGCATTATGTTATGATAGCGTCTTTATGTAGTACCAGCACGTATTCGATAAATAATACAGCGTTTTCGGACCTCATGACTGCTTTCCATTCTATCACTCGGAGCATAACTGCCCAGTGATAGATTGTTTGTGAATGACGGCGACAAATTTGATCAACATCCATGGCTCGCTAGCGGCTAATTAGTATTGAAAACTTCGAACTACCAACACTCTAATCCCAGGCTAAATCATATTACAGGACGGGGAGAAAGAAGTGCCTGAGGACAGGGCTGAAGCCCCCGTGAGCGGCTAAAAAAATGGAGATTCTAATAGAGAAGGCAACTGTAGCTTGCACATCGGCCCTAGTTGTGCATGCTTTATTATTATTTCACGTACAGAAGCTCCCACATTGACGGTACCTGCCCTGACTATTGAGTTTCAAGAAGCCAAGTTGCGAAGGTCCCTCCAAGGAGCATAAGGTAGTTATCAGTGATGATCTTAGCAAGCTCACACTCCTGAGTTGTAGGAACCCCTAACGTCGTACCTGCACAATACATCGGGCACGGTAAATCGAAAACTCCTTGCCGCGTATGACGCACTTGTCTATAGCTGGATTAAATGTTCGTATCCTACATGTTAGCTACCCATATCTTACAAAGAAAATTACGCCAAACCATCAGATCTAAGCACTCAAGCCTACACATACAACCATCTACCCAGGCTGTCTGCCCATTGTGATAACTCCAGTACTCGCTTCGTCTGGAATATTGGGCACAAATTCACGCCGCCACCTCCCGGAGATGGTGTCTCAGGCGGCGTTACCTGCCCTGGGGGAAGGTAAGCTGCACTTCCTGCTGTCCGGTAAGGTGACAGGATCCCCAAGCCGCTGCCACCAACGGACGTAAGGTACGGGTCAAACTGCTGTGAGACAATCTCATCAAGCAAGGCCTTGAGCGCCTCTTCCTTAAAGTCTAAAACTGTCATGTCAGCCTCCACGTCACTCAAGCAAAAATGACGCCGACCATCAGGGATAATAGTAACGGCACAACCGCCTCCACCAGCGCCTGTCAGTTTCGTGCTCAAGCCATAGGGTGCGGCACCTGTTGTTGATCTGATCAACTCCAAAGCAGGGTGCGACACGCCGAGGGAAACTAGGTGCTTATGGTTCTCACGTATCAGAGCCTAGAAGGAGTAAGATGCTTCAACCCAAACCTAGAGAAAAAAGAACGCTCACCGAGATCGCAGCCAGAAGAACCTCGCGAGGCATCTCAGGGTCAGCAAGTGCGCGCCGAGCTTCGTCACTGATACTTTGAATGGATTTCAAGAGCCCTGCAACCACCTCAGGTTCCTAAGAGATGACGAATGAGTACTCGAGCCATTGCCTTGGAGCTTTCAAACAGAAATTCTCACATCAATCTTCTTTTGGCCAACGCCAGCTACCAGCTTCTTGGTGTCCCTCGGCACTTTTGAATTCGTCAACAGGAATTTAAAAGATTTAAATCTGCAGGGTTGTAAAATTTAACCAATGTGTTCCTCCGTGAGGGCTGGAAACGTACCCTGCGATGCCTTCCATGCCACTTTTCCTTTCAAATCCTGGTCTGGTATAGGCTAGAGCACCTCCGAAAACAGCAACGCTGTTATCCACTCCACTTGGGTTGCCATGTAGAATTTTTTCTGCCACGAACGCCCATCGGTTGATCTCTTCAGCTACAGATGAAGGAATTGCCCGTCGACCTTGATGTGAGATATGAATGTGCTCTGAGGTGGTCGGAGCCGGAAGTGGAGGGATACTGATCCGTTTGTGAAGGAGTAAAAGCGCAGAGGCCGCACATGCAGAGAATGACGCCGATGAGCCTAGTCCTGCCCCAATGGGCAGAGTGGAGCGTGCAGTGAAATTGAACGATGGCCTAATCATAATTTGTGAGTGCCTGATACCGCCGGCTAACCTGAAAATCTTACCTCACGTCACCTCTCGTTAACACAAGGTACATGTACAGGAACGCAATGCTTGCGACTCTGGCGTGCTTCTGGGCCTCGGTGAGATCTTTTAAAGGGCCGGAATTTAGTGCGTCGACTAAAACTTGATCTAAAATCTCGGGATGCTCCTCATCTATCGCAATGGGTTTAACAACATGCCATGGGAGGTCGTCGATTGTCCATTCGTAGTAAAAGTTGTCAATGTCGGTAAAATGTACGGAAATCTTTCCATCAAAACGGGGCGTGGTGAGACCATAACAACGGAGATCTACGGACGCGGCGATGGCGGTCTTCACAAGACAGACTTAGCAACTAACATGTAGGAAAACGTGGGCCACTGACCACTCCGTGAACAACGGCATGTTCACCGAATAGGATGACTTTGCCAGGTGCACTGACAAACCATTCGTGATCATCGTCGGTGTCCTTTAGGCCAAGCTTTCCAACGGCCCGGCTGATAGCATCATCTTCTACCTGTCGGACTTTGACGTACTTGTTTTGGGAGACATCCAGTTGTATGGCGCCAGCATCGATGAGGGCATGCTCCAGATCGTCTAAGAGATCCGATGGGTCTTCAATGCCAACACATAAACGAATTAGGTTTTCGGGAAGTCCGCGGGCTGCGCGAGTTGCCGGGTCTATAGATGCGTGGCTGGACAAATCTGGCGTCAGATGGGAGAGACAGTGCGAAAAAACACCGACGAGAACATACGACATGACACAAGGCATACTGATTAAGCTGTTGACGCATCCGAAACTGACGCTAATTCCCCAGAGTCGCGTACTACCAACGATTTTCTCGCTTAAACCCTTGTCGCCCGTTTCGAAGCTCAAAACTGCGCCATTTCCGTCGGCAATTCTTTGGTGAATCTCACGACCGGGATGGTCGGGTAGTCCAGGATAGTGCACTACGAAACCTAAGGAATGGAGATACGTCGCGACTTGAGACGCGGATGATTGTTGACGGTCCATGCGAACAGCTAGAGTCTTGATTCCACGGAGTAGAAGGAAAGAATCGATTGGGGTGAGTGCATTGCCAACAGCGTTGATGGTGAATGCGATTTGCTGCACGAAAAATGAGTAAAAAGAACGTAAAATATTAGCAGGACGCGCGCCTTGGCAATATCGTCTCTATTACAAGTAATCGCGCCAGCCATGAGATCATGGTGACCACTAAGATATTTGGTTGCACTGTCGTACACCACATCTGCTCCGTGTTCAAGTGGCCGTTGCAAGTATGGGCTCATCATGGTGTTATCGACAACTACTATAGCGTCGGGGGCTCTCTCCTTGACGTCTTTGCTGATCTTGGCCAAGTCAGCAATCTTTAGCAGAGGATTAGTTGGTGATTCTAGAAGGACCATAGCCGTTTTGGTAGGATTTAGAAGGGGCAGGAGAGTGGATGGGTTCGTGGTGTCGACGTGATGCACGGTTACGCCGACATGAGTCCGGATGTAGGTCAGCAAACGATTGGTACCGCCATAGAGGTCGTCGCCGGCAATGATTTCGTCACCCGGCTTAAGCAGGCGCAGTATGACATCTAGGGCCGCCATTCCAGAAGAAACAGCAAAGGCATGGGCAGCCGAAGAAATTTTGGCGATGTGGTGCTCTTTCCAGGCCCGGGTTAGAGGTATTATTGAATACAAGGGTCACTAGGACGTACCTAGATGGCTTCGTGTAGGATTCCCACTCCTCGAGTAGTCATATTCGCCGCCAACGCCCTTGAATGTCGCGGTCTGGTATATGGGTACCGAGCTGCTCCCATATTGGTCTTTGTTGCTGGGGTTCTCGACCGTCGCACAGAGAGTCGAGAATCGGTAGGGCTTTCGCGGTCTGAAGGGTGATTCTGGCTCCGGAGTGGGCAGGTCGTGGATAGGAAGCTTAGGCGGGGCGGCAGACATGGTGGACGAAGGCAAAGGAATCAAGGTGACATACAAAAGGCAAACTTGGGAAAAATGGTTCGGTTCTGAATTTTATCGAGCCAGCCATTGGCTAGTATTGGGTCTTGATTGCGTGCTTTGTCGGACTTCGGACCCGGTTTCACCTTCCCCATCCATCATCATGCCTCCAAAACGAACAAGAGAGCACCGTATGTACCGTCGCTTTTTCTAACGAGTTTACTAATATCCTTGCTGCAGATGTACGCCAGGCCAATATCAGTACTACCGCTCCTGATCCTCGGGCCGTCGCAGAAAGAACAAGAAAACATCTGGACCAATTGGAAGTATGTAATTTTCACTGAGGCTGGCGGCCCTTTCATGATAAAATACACGTCAGAGATCCAACTATGCCGAGACGAGTATAATGTCCGTCACCGGCGACGACAACGAGCAAGGCAAATATGGCAAGAGTCGCGCTAGACAAATTGTCTCCGATAAAAGAAATCTTAAGCTTCTGGGTTCTTCACCCGCCGCAACTAAGAAGAGATCTACAATGAACGTTCGTTCTGCTCTGCTATATCCTAAAAATCTCGCCACTTTGGTTGAAGAATCCGTGAGCGACCCTTGCATAGAAATGCCGGACGCGTTTCGCTCATACGTTTCGAACAGAATATTGCATCACTTCCGGCATCTGTTCCCACATACTTAACTGCCCAGGCTCCTGCCCCCTCCTATCCTCCCCGGCTAATTTGCTCCGTCTGTGGTTACTGGGGTCGTTACAAGTGCCGAAAATGTGCATTGCCTTACTGTGATCAAAATTGTGAAAGCGTTCACGCAGAAACGAGATGCGAGAAGCGCGTCGTCTAGTCTTTCGGCAGTATATCCCGTCGCCCTTCGCACCGCACTCACTTCTACTTGGTCTCTACGACGGTATATATCCTCAAATATTTTTCACGTATTTATTATCTGCGTATGCACATACATATGCAGGCATCGAGTATTAATTGGATCGAACCATGCTTTATTTTGTCCCTGATTTGGCGTAGTCACTTGAAACTTACTCCTTGGGCAAATGTTTACTCGTCTCCGGTGGCTCGGGTGGGCTTGTTAGGTGCTCAGGAGCATGCTGAAATCCGCTCAAAAACAAGAGATTTTTTAGTCTTGCGGCAAACGTTGTGCCATGACTCAGATATCAATCCACTACGTATAAGTACAACATGGCTCCGGTAGAGGCAGCGAACGCTCTCGTTTTTTAATCACTTCGTTCCCTTGAAGTGCTGGAATCCCTCTGCTCCCTATGCTTCCTGAGCAGACGATCTAAAGCTTCCTTCTGGCCAACGGCCAACTCTCCGGATTGGATGCCAGAATGATATACGCGAAGGAGCGAATCAACGTCATCCATAGACTGTGTTCGGACGTCCGCAAGCTCCTTGATCTTGGAAGTGGCATCTTTGATCTGCAAGGGCCGTGAGTTTGTCATCATGCATACACCCAAGATGAAAGACATGCCTCTTCGTCGGTAAGTGAAAGACCGAGTTGCTCAACGCGCGACTTGACGGCATTCCAACCGGTAAGGCGGTGTCTGAAAGTAGTCTGATGAGAAGGAAAATTTACGCGTGAAAAGGAAATGAATCACCCAATGGAGACGTATCTGGTCAGACCAAAGTCCTCTGGCTTGAGGATCTCATAGGTGCTGGGGTTGTTCAAGATGGCCTTGGCGTGAATGCCAGCCTTGTGCGTGAAAGCGCAGTAGCCACTGCAAACAACTTGAGAATCTCTATGCGGGAAGCAAAATTTTCTCTCTCACGTAATGGGGTTCATGAATGGAATGTTGACCTCGACAGCCTCGGCGACCAAATTCTCGATTTCACGAAGCATCGTGAGGTTATACTTGGACTTGACATACTCCGGGTTTGCGGCGTAAAGGCAGGCCACGAGACCACCTAGTGGAGTGATTCCAACACGTTCACCGATTCCAAGAACGGCTAAAAATGATTTCGGTAATGGAGACTGTCCAAAAGGAATTGTAGGGACGTACAAGTATCGATGTGTGTTGCACCCGCTTCCAGAGCAGTGTAGGCATTGGCAATGGCTGTTGCGGGGAATAAGATCAAGTCACGGTAAACCGGGGTTTGTGAACCTACCCATCCCAGTGTCATTGTGCAGATGGATTTCAATGTCACATCCAACAACGCCCCTCAACGTCCTGACAAGGTCATAGACTTGTCTTGGGTTCGCACAGCCCACAGTATCCGCAATACCAACACGGTTCACACCAATCTTGTCGACAGTCTGATATATCGATAAAAGATCAACTAGATCTGACCGGAAAGAATCCTCTGAGGAGAATCGGACTTCGATTCCCTTGGACTTGACATAGTTAATGACCTCAATGGCGGTCTTGGTGATATACGCCATATCCTTTCCATGGGAGAACTCTCGTAGAAACGATGAAGTCCCAATAACGACATCGACACCATCAACGCCTGATCGACGTTCAGATGACTCGGAAAAAGAAAGGAATACTACGAACTTACCGGTCTCAACGGCAATTCTAGCGTCATCCATATGACACCGAATGTGAGTCAGAATCTTGGCCTTGAGACCAAGCTTGCAAATGGCTTCACAGTCCGAACGGGACTGCTCTGATGCAGCCGGCGATGTGAGTTCTATGTACTCCACACCAAAAGCGTCGAGCGCCTTGGCAATAGCGATTTTGGTTCTGGTATCAAAGAAGGCATTCGCAAATTGCTCTCCCTCTGTCGGACGCACGTCAGATCGTGAAGGCAGACTTGGTTAACAACGAACCTCGCAATGTGCTCTCGATAATATTGAAGTTAGATATATTTGAGAGAAAGTCGGACGCACGAGGTGCGTAAGGATTTTGGCGCTCTTTTTCGAGACGTTGAGCGTGGCCATTGCGGTTCGACGATGTTCCCCTTTTTCCGTTGGCAGAAGCCCCATTTGCCAAGGGAACTTCGACCATTTCAGAACGGTCGGAAGAGAGACTGTCTCCGTTTTGGTGGGGGCACATAATGGTAGTTTTTGAGGGGGATGTCGAGGAAGGGAAATAGATGATGATAGTTGGTCAAAAGAAGATGAGCTCTATATAACAAAATTTCTTACTTCCGCCGAGTCATTTCAAAACTGATTCCATTTCGTCATGGATCATCACGTGAAGATGCGTCCAATCACAGCGGTGGAATTAAGCCGATTAGCCCGAAGCACTGGCGGGCGATACCTCCGATCAAACGTTTTACCCGCAGAAATAATCAGATTACAGCGACGTACAACATAGGATTATAATATATGAAGATGAAATGAGTATGTACTTGTACGAGTTAATAGTGTGATGCTAAATATCAAGGTTCCCCAAGAAGGAAAAGAGTAGACAATATGACAGGATACAATGTGAATTGCGACCGAAAACAAGAAGAATGTGTTACGAATAGAAAGAAAAACTGTCTGTCGTTATGATATTCCCAGCTTTTGGAACATTGCATCTAGAGTTTTGAATGCGACAGGCTTGACAAGACTATGATAGGCCGTCAACGAACCAGCGGACTAGGGCAATAAAGAAAAAAACGTACTATCCATCAACACCCGCTTCAAAAGCTCTCCGTTTATCTTCGAGGGATGACATCCCTGTCAATGCAAGAATTTTTGTTGGATGTTGACGACGGTCGTTATTCGTTTCGCTAGATTCGATCTGGCGAATCTCTGCTGTTGCGCCAACACCTACACAAACATTAGATGTGACCACCGAAGTATAAAAAAGTCTACCATCAAGTATAGGCATTGACAAGTCTAAGAGTACGACACTGTTGTGTGTCAGACATTGACGGAGAATCTCGACGACCAAAAACTCACTCAAAAGGACCCTCTTGTTGATACACCTTAACCCCGTCTCGGCCATCTACTGCATCCCGGAAATCGTATCCCTTCTTGGCTAGCCATTGTGTACTGAAATAATCAGCACACAAAAAGATGAAAGACAAAATATGACATACAGCAAGCTCCGCAGGATACTGTTATCCTCCACGACCAATATTTTGAATCGGCTCACCCTAGTCTGTATCGTGCCAACAGAGGACTTGAGTAGTGTTCCTCCCGTCCCAACGTTAATTGTCGGCGAAAATGTTTCAGACTCATTCGGTTTTTCTTCCTCTGTTATTTGCTCCGAACTCGATCCCGCCGTGCCTCTCTCCCTATTCATCAACCCCCCCTTCCAAGATGTGGATGGCAAAGGATGCGCGGTAATTGATCTCGGAAGAGTGGGTCTTGACATCGGGAATTTACCAGTCTCCTCTGAATTGCGCCTCGTCGAAATTACGGACATCGACGGCGAAGGCGTAATCCCATCAATGGTCACGTCCGGATGCAACCCTTCCATTCGGTCGCTGAAGTTGGCCCCAGGGGATTGTGATTGAATCTTCAGCGCATGAATACAAAGCTTGAGGGCTGCTTGAAGACGAGAAGGTCCTCCTGGTTTGTACAGAATACGGCAAAATCCGCCAATCCGTTCATGTTCACTAGCAACAGACAGGACCTTGGGGCTTCCCCGCGATCCAGAAAGAACGATAAACGGTCGCATGGTATCGTGCCGCTCTGTTGCGTTGATGACAAGGTCCACCTCCTCGTTGATTATCACGATATCTCCCAGCTTTGATTCTTCCTCCTCTCGAACTTCAAAACCCCATGAAGTCAAATATGACCTCAAGACGCTTTCAAGAAGCTGGACTCCACGATGGTCATGTCCGAATCCAACGAGGGATACAGAAGCAGGATGGTCGCAGTCATCAAACTTAAATGGTCCCATGTCTGCCCCAAATCCCTCGTTCCCCTCATCCGTTAGCTCTGCGGGGAAGGTCACTTTGATCTCCGTGCCAACACCTTCATCACTCCAAACGTCCACCTTTCCATCCACACTTTCAGACCGGACGATACTGTGTACGATAGCTAGACCCAACCCGGTTCCTGTTTGTAAGGGGTTTTCTTGTGAGAATGGATGGAAGAGGTAATTCTGTCATAGGTCATGTTGGCTTCAATTCCTGTTTGAAATAGGTCATACTTACCTTCAAGAAGCTGTGGCTTATGCCCTGTGTAAAACACTACGTTACTATGGTTCTGGGCGGACATAAAGTGATGACTAAACGTGCCTTGCCAGTATCCAGTACAGAAAGTTCCACTCTGATTTGATTGGGAGGTAGATCTTCCGTACGAGGCAGTTGCCGTAGACCAACGTGCACGTAACCGTCCTGAATGTGTCATCAGTACTGTGAATCTCGGGATGAAAAAGGAACTACAGTGGTAAACTTCAGACTATTTCCAAACAAATTCATCAGAACTCGTCGAATACCGCCCTTCTCGCATTTGAGTAACCACCCCTATGCAAACGACAGATGAGAATCAGCCGACTTTGTTGTGGTAAGTGAACACACCTCTTGGCGGTAGCCGATCTCGATGACGGTCTCGACATGCTTGCTTCTCACTGCTAAGGGAGCGCCATCTTCCGCCGGCGGAGAATACACACTACCGATCCCAGTGTCACCGACGATCGCCTGACGAGCACGATGCCCAACCCAACAGCCATCTACGGCTTCCTCGACCAGTTGCATCAGATTGACCCTGTTCAGAAAGTGTGAACGTTAACGCATTCTTATCTTGTTATTCAAGACCTCACGTTGTTGGTACAATAACGTTCTCTACTCCTCCCGACTTGGAGTTTCCACTCAACTTGGTGAAATCTAAAACATGATTGACGGTCTCAACCAAAGAAGTTCCACAAGCTTGTATTGTCTGTAAGAAAGATGCTTGCGAATGATTGAGATTGCTCTCTTCAAGTAACTCCGCGGCAGCCAAGATCTACGCAGGTGGAGGTTACTGCTACATTCGAAAAATGCCGAGAAATAACAAACTCCATGCAAAGGCGTTCGAAGTTCATGAGATATGCTAGAGAAAAACATAAGGCGCAGTGAATCCATCCAAGGGAGTAGCTCGTACTTGGAAATAAACAAGCTCTTTGCCTTGTCAGCTAGTATCATGCGTCTCTTGAGTACCGCAGATAAGATGATGACACCTGACAATATCAGCATCTTTTAGAAGGCACACACATATCCGCACGTACCTATTGCTCTCAGATAAGAAAGTTCATGTCCTTCCAACTAATGGCAATGAGTACTACACGACGAAGATGTAAGTGGCTAGACTGACAAATCGTTTCTGGGAATCAGACGAATTATACGCGCACAGGAGAGCGAAAGGTCTTTTGTCAATGTTGAATATGGGTACAGCTAGAGGGCAACGTTAGTTATCTGCGCGGCGTGATGAGGAACACATACTTAAGGCGTACTCAACCCTCGTCGGTAGGAACGCCCTCCAACTTGAATCAACGATACCCTCCATAACTCTCCCTTCTGGCCATTTGTCGAAAAATCGGCCTAATCGACCCCACTCCTCTCCACTCAAACTTCTTACTTTCGTTTCCATTGTCGGATCACCGTAGTGCATGACAACGCTCACGCTACCCTCGCCGCCCTCCAACGAGGAATGTGTGATCGGAGGTGACGGGGACGCTCCCGCGTCCAGCGATAAAGACGACGACAATCCAGATCTTTGTCCATTTATTTGCAGGTCACCAGGCATAACAACGGGAGCATTCGCGTTCATATCACAATGGGACACATCCATGACAATGACGCCCTCTACGTCGAGTGTTCGCTGCACTAAGCGTGCAGCGCGAGAATATACGATATCCATGGAGCCGGCGTGCAGAAAAGATTGGTGCTGATAGCTGGAATAACGTGGAAGGAGGGGAGGCCGGGAAGAAGGCTCCGTTGAGGATGGCCTAGTGCTCGGCATGGATGCGGGAGGAAACTGAAGACGCGACGGTGAGCTTGGAAAGGAATGTGTAGTGGGGCTGGTAGTAAGGAGAGTTTCTGCACAGTAATCGGGTGCAGCTTGACGGGTTTTTTTCTGCTGATCAACACGAAAAGACGAAGGTATGGAAGGTGTTGGTTTAGGCGTGGATGATGATGAAGCCGGGGCTGATAATGAGGAGACTGGGACCACAGTAGGTGATGCTTCCCTTGAAGGCGAGTGTTGGTGCCGCGGCATCTCATTTTCAACGTCGATCTCTATACATTCTCGACTGAACTGTTCCATCTGTATACAAAATCGATGAGAAACCGGAGGAATACTAAATGGAGACTTGCTGATTTCTGAATCCGATCCCGTATCCTGAGCTGTATTTTGTCTCTCCATAACTCCATCTCACGCATTGCTATGGCTGCGAACTCCTTCAGCGTGTGCCGGTGTCTTGGCGTGAAATCATCTCTAGGTGAGTCATCGATGACGACGAGACTATTTGCGGATTAATCAACCGCAAATGATAACTTCAATATATAACTCACGTGCCAATGTTGTAACCGTCCTGTGTCCTCAGCGGTGCACCCGCGTAAAAGCGAATATTCGGTGGGCCAGTAACAAGAGGCTAAGCACTGATTAAAATATGCACATGAAGAGAAAGCATTCACAAACATTCGACGCAAATCTCCAGTCACGTTGTGCATCTAGGATGATCATTGGTTCATCGTCTCTGAACGCCAGGCTATCAGAACACAATAATAAAAGACGGAAAAAACCACCAACCGCTGTAAAATGGAGTGTGCACAAAACGATCGCATTCGTGAGCACGGTGAAACCTTGATGCCCCCTACAATAGTACGTGTTTAAGCACAATTAGATCTCCGAAAGAGATGCACACCAACACTCTGACTTGAAATACCTGTACCGAAGCGGTGAGATCATAGAGGGACAGCAGCGGCATGTGGACCACTCACTGGTCAGTCCCGTCAATCAGACAAATAAACACTCCTTTCGTGTTGAACACTAATTTGGCCAAATGAGCTATGCGATCGAAGTTGATATCTGACGCAGTATTCCAGAGATTGAACTTGTACAAAGCTCTCCTTCGTTCCATCTCGTCAGGAGGGTCTGCTGGTGCAAAATACCCAAGCTCATTGTACAACTGTTCGTCGTTGACTGTGCGCTGAGTTACGCTCGCGACATGCGCTGTAGGAGCCAGTGGAGCGGGTAGAGGAGCAGAGCTCTGCCGTGTTAAAATCGTCCTTCTTGGAGGTGTTGTAGATGTGGATGATAGAGGTACTGACGGATTTTCTAATGCTGATGAAGCAGCATGGCTAAAATAATCAGCTTCATCTTCCCCAGAGTTGTGGTCATCTTCAGCAGCACTGACACCCTTCCAAAAGTTCTTGAGCATGATTTTCCTTGTCCCGCCGGGGGTCATGACCAATTCGTTGGGAGAGTCGTCGGGATGTACGCCCGGGACGACAACAGATACGCCCTTCATGGGATCCGTGTACTCCTGCTCTGGACTAGGAAGGGCCAACGGAGAAAGGTTGACATTGGTGCCTGCCAAACGAATTGTGGCCGCAGAAACGATGGATGCAGCGGGGTATTTAGAAGACGCCAGAGAAAGATATAAATCAGGCTTGGCCTTGGGAGATGCCGTCGGAGAAGGCACAGACGGTGAGGAGAACGAGTTCCTCAGTCTATGGGCAGAACCGGAATTCCTCCCAGGTTTGCGGGTTGGGATTGTCGTGATTTCGATTTCATCTGGTTCACGGACGCCCGTCGGTGGATTTGGAGTCTTGTGTGGGTCCCACCTACCCAAGGAATAGGCAGAAATGAAGGTGGGCCAGTCACAAGACTCTTCGGTCGTAGAGGTTGCTGGCAACGTTGGGGTATTAGCAGTGTCAACATCGTCTTCGACTTCCTGAAGGGTCTGCATGCTGTTAGGAAGAAGGACGGCGTGCTCACTGGACGGCGCCGTCGATGGTCGCTTTGTCTTCATCCAGACGGTGGTCAGCTCGGTCCTGGGGCAAGATTGACACTCATTGAGGCTGAGCTCCACTGCTGTAAGGGAAATGCCGGTCCATCAGAGCTGTGATGTCATGTCATGCCTCCTTCGAGGGCAAAATAATTATCGGCACAGCTTGCCGTCCCGAATGCCTAAATTTGGTCACTTCCGGCCAAAAGTCTAGAAGCTAGATCTACTAGATGCTTCGTTAAGATAGTACACCAATGTTCACTGCTCACCCCTTCTCCCTCGAAATTTGAACCGAAGATTCACAACAGAAGGCGGAGAAATTGAGGCCAAATCTACTTTGGCCTCGCTTCGCTTCCATCTTTGGAGTTCACCGTTTGATGCCAGCCGGATCTCGCATGCTCAGCCCTTTTATTAACATGCTATTCATCCTTCATCCTCCTTCCTACCCTCCAACATGCCTCGTGTCATAGCCGTAAGTCTTATTCTTCCTCTATGATTCTTGTTCTTACCTTTCAATCAAGGAAAAGTCCATGTGTTTGCGAAAGGTACCAAGTGGTGCGCAGTGTACCGTATGCAGCGTTCACATTCGACGCAAGGGTGACATGCCTAGACACATGCGTACCCACGCACAAGACAAGTCGAAACTGTAAAAGAAGTCGCTCTCGAATTTCTCTAAATGAAATCTTACCTTCTTTTGTAGGATGCACCGGTGTCCCGTATGTGGCTTTGAGAACATGCAGAAATCAAATGTGGACACGCACATCCGAACGCAGTACGTTTTATTCGCGTCTTTCAGTGCCCCAATTTCATCCGCACGTTTGCAGTACACGCCAGAAGTCCCAACATTGCCCAGACTGCACCTTTTGCACCTCTGATCCTGGTTCTCTGACGCGCCACCGTAAACGACTGCACGGTTATGTTCCCAAACAACGCCAGTCGCGTGATGCTCGTGGTAGAATAAGCCCTGTAAAGACAATGACCGCCACACAAACTGCACTGGCACCAAAGGCTACCTGCACTCTTGTTTCTGATTCAGACCAGGACGATGACGCAGTCTCGAGGTTCTCGGTAGAATCAGAAGATGACATTCCAGAAGAAGCCATGCAAACTTTAGAGATTAACAAACCGGGGAACGCACTTATGCCCGATCATTCGACGCTCACAAAGCATACTGATGTTTCAAATAATGTTGGCGTTTCATTGTTCTCTTCGTAATTATCTATATGGTCACCCATAGGATTATTGGACGATCACCGATAGATCAATGTGCGCCTCCTGCTTTTCTATGTACTTGGTGATATCCTGACCTCCTTTCGTTATATCTTTTATAGTCGCACTACATCATTAGACACCATACGCCTCACGCTATACATATCCCACACCTAACACCAGCGTCACTAGAACCTACCACTTTGTTACGATTGTCTCTCTGACCTTGTCATCTTTAAAGTGAATTGTCCCCCAGACCTGATCGTACCTGTGCTGATGTACCTATTCACCTACCCGATGCTACCACTTGAAGCTTGAAGAGCTGGACAATAACATGCATATTTTAAGTTATATAATGATCTGTGATATTGTATCTTTCGTGACAACAATATTTTCTCGTAGTTGAGTGTCTTGTTCTTTGCTACCACTGTTTTTAAAACCTTTGTCTAGGCGTATAAGGACACGGCAACACAACCTCTCAAATACCCGAGTCATATTTGATATTTCGGTACCTTCTTGTGTGTGTACCCCACGAGGCTTTCTCAGCTTCAAGATATTGTGCTTCCCTAACCTCCCCAGTATCAAGAGCCCATACAGGATGCGCGAAAGACCCTCCACTCGCCATGGATACGCCCCCGTCACAACACTGGATACCGAACGTAATTCCCGAATTACGTTCAAGGCCGTCGAAATCATGGCTGCGTTGATTCACGACTGTCTCGTGGGCATTGAGACTCTGGTTAACGAGGAGAAGCGCCCATCACTTTTCCTTAACCGAGGCGCTTTAGTTTCTCTTGCCATACAGAAACTTGATCTAGACGATCATGTCACCGAGCAGGGCTTCAGCCACATTCCATGCCTCGCAGAAATACGCGATCACATTATCGATGGCACTCGTGTTGATACTGTTCGCCATCGGTTCCAGATATTGCAGCAGCTCCGAAGCACTATGTGGGATGCAGCCCGGGATTGGACCGATACTATGCTTGGCAGTTGGCTATTGCGCACGACAGACAATGTTGGCTTTCATCTCCGAGTATACGATTTTGTGAACGATATCCATCGCAGCCTCGGTGTCTTTCCCATCGATAAACATGCACTTCGGGATTATCAGGATACGATTCGAGACTTTTTATGTGTCCGTCTGAGAGTCGGCGTTCCCGTAATCAGTGAGGATCGCAACGGGCAGCTCGGAGATCAGCGAATGGCAGCCCTCCTATACGATGTACTTCAAGGGCTTCACGCCCTTTTACACGATCGCCGCAGTCACGGGAATATCCTGGAACGACTCGTCTCATTAGATGCAGATGATCTATTTACTGAATATACTGTCGGGTTTGACGAAGAACTGGTTATGGCTCGAGATATAGTCTGCGGTATCCTTCCCGGCCCATCCATCCTTATTTCGAAACTGCTCTGAGGAAGTTCTACATTCCAGCGCTTAGGACTCCAGAGATGATTCGTTTTTGTGAGTAGCGCTTTGCATGTTTACCTGTCAAGAGCCTCTATATCTGAGAGTACTTTACAGTTCATGACAGAAAAGATCTTCAGAAAGTATGCGAAGCCGTGGCTTCGGAAGGACCGCATATAATTGAGGAACTTGACACTGCGCGACACGCTGTTCGTACTATCTTAGATGACCTCAACGATCTTTCGCGGGCGTCTGCGACTGAAAATGGTCGAAATGGAACTCCACATAATGCACCTTCCACGACTACTCTGGATCCTGTTGAAGATGACAGGCCAGCCTCATCAGTCCGTCGTCGAGTCTGTTCTAGGTCTCGTTCTCGACATAGAACAAAGTGAAGACATGATCATGTTCACCATGTTCACCATTTACACTGGTGCGATTCCACTACGTGTCCTTCACGCCGCAGGCGAAGCCGTCAAAGTGGTTTCATTCCTGATCTTCCCCACGCCGTCGCTCCTCCCCCTGCTATGATCTCTCAGCCGGAGCCCACGCAGCCACAACCAACTATTCCTCCGCCCGAGCGCACTGTTGATGTGCCACTTCACCCATCTACGATGATAAACGGCTTGAACAACCTGATCGGGGACCATCCTTTCCGCAACATGTTTCTTTGGGACATCATCTTTGTGCCAGATACCTCTCGGACGTCTTTTAACGGGCGAACCTATCCCCCAAACGTAAATCGGGTGCCTTTTACCCTGAAACAATACGAAGCGTCACTTTTACGACTAGTAACCCTTTGCTCAAGTGGTGGATGCATCCTAGGCGATGGGGTCCACTGAAGATCGACGTACAAGAACCTATCACTGTAGGAATGGTGCTAGAAAAGATATACGAGTATCTGCGCACGCAGATGACGATAGACGAGGTAGCGCTGATGCATGGGCCGAATAGAACCCTTCTGGAATGGTCGCGGTGGAATCGAAATAGCGATAAGCTCGGGTACCAACCACTCGGACGGGGGGACTTCTTGAGGAGCGATGTGTTGGGCCCCAACAGAAGGCTCCGAGGATGTACGATATGTACAGAGGATAGAGAAGAGAAGGTCAATATCGAGTTCGACACAATCCGAATTCCTACGTGGCGAAAATGATGGATAATACTTGGAGCTACGGATTCAAATGCATAGTTGGTATCTCTTCACAGTTGTTGGAATTTTGATTTCTCACTTTGTACTCTGATGCCAAGTCTTGACTCGAAAGCACTTTTGCTTCGGCGTATCAATAATTAACATACAGATTTCCACCCCTCTTTTCAAGATCACCTTAGATTCCAGAAAGTTAGCCAACTGGATTCATCGAGTTCTCACTGATTTGGGTTCATGTACATCTTCGTAGGTAATCTTACAACGTCAACAATACATCTCCAAGTACCGACCATTTTGTGAACCGTAAGATTACATTACTACAGTCTAATCATTATCATGAACCTGAACATCGGGCAAACGGTGTTCATTGTCAACTTTCGTGGTAGAAGCGAGTCTGATGTCATCTAGTGTGATCGATGACCGATCACACATTCCCCTGAAAATCCCATCGGTCTTTTGGTATAATTGTGAGGGGGTATCAAATTCCTGACACGATTGTGAGCCGACTGGATTAGGACGCTTGAATGAACAGCTTACAGCAATCTCGCCAGCGTCAAGAACGCATATACGGTCGTATGATATGATTGTGCGCAAGCGATCTAAGGATCACGATCGTTAGCTTGAAACTTATCGGCAGGAAGACGAGCTGGCTCACGAGCTATGCATAGAATCGTGCGATCCTGGAATTCGTGGGTAATTGTGTTCTGGATATTTCTGTCAGTCTCGTAATCGACAGACGCTGTGAAAGATGGCATTAGCTTCGGAACGAGGAGAGACGCGCTTGGAAAGACGACCAACCTGTAGCCTCATCAAGTATGAGTATTCTGGAGTCCTTAACTAGAGCTCTCGCAAGGGACACCAACGACCGCTAGAAAGAGCACTGTCAGCATTTCGGTTCCGTCGTACCCGTGAAGGTTTTGATAGCTACCTGTCCAATGGATAGATTTGCACCCTCATCTTCAATGACAGTATCGAGGCTGAATCTGTTAATTGGGGTAGATACATCGCCATTCTCATCTGCGACTGTCTTCGCCGGCGATTCCACAAGGTATGATCGCTTCAACGCGTCCCATAATTTCGCATCATCATGTGAATTAAAAGGATCAAGGTTAGACCGGAGGGTTCCAGAGACTGTGGGGCGTTAACGTTAGCAAGAACACACACGTGTATGGGAAAGCACACCGTACACAATAAAGCATCTTGAGGAATGATTGACAGGCTTTTTCGCAATTCCGTCAAGCCAACGGTGGAGATGTCAACACCGTCAATGTGAATTGATCCAGAGGAAAGTTCGACTAAGCGATACAGGGCAGTCATGATAGAACTTTTCCCTGCCCCAGTTCTGTAGGAGGCGAGGTTTCAATTTAGCAGCATGGATATACGGACAGGTCTCCTTACCGTCCAACTATACCAATTTTTTCTCCAGCTTTGACAGTCATAGTTATACCTAAAATAGATAATAAATATGCCGGAAACAACACAAAGGGTTAGTGACTCGCCCTTGAGGACAGCGGGAAGTCCAGGCCTGTAGCTTAATACCACATCCTTCAGTTCTACGTGACCCACAGACGGCCAAGATTCAGGAACCTTGCTATCGGGTAACACATGCGGAGCCTCCTGTTCAATTTCTGTCGCATAATGTACTACTCGCTCCACCGAATTCATGTCATTTTCAACCTCTGCGCTTTGACGGACAAGCCATCCGAACCTGTCAAGATAATTAATATCAGGTTCAATGCCGAATAAGCCTGTTCTTTAAATTCAGGAACTTACGCCTGTTGCACACTCAGGATGTACGAAAGCGTAACACCCGTTTGTGCCGGAGAGATACTGAATCTCGTCCCAACAGTCAGCATCGCGACAATAAAAGTTAGGAGAGCCCCCAAAAAGTCCAGGCGTATACCCAGCCAACGCTAAAAGTTAAAATCGCGATAAGTGTCAATTAAATATCAATCTAAATAAGAACTTTCCAAACCTGGTTGGTGACAGTCAACCAATAAGCTCGGTTTTCCATATCGATTCGTTCCTCATTTTCTTTAAGGAAGCGCTCAGACTCGCCATATGCACGGATAGTTGCCAAGCCTGAAAGTGACTCAGAAAAGTGAGAGTACAATGTCGATCTCAGGACAGCATCTGTATTGTAAATAATTAGTGAATACTCCAATGAAGGGCATGTCAGAAATAATACCAAGTCGCTAGAAAGATGAAGCATCAGTAATTTTCGTCATTGAAGGGTAAAGCCGCGTACTTTCAATTCCCGGGCACTCGCTCGATAGAAGGCGGCGGCATAGATGTAGACAATGAGAATGATAAAGACAGCAATCAAGAACCACGGCAAGATAATCGCTATCAAGATGATGGCACCAAGGATTGACGATGTCGTTCCGGCGAACATTCGCAAGGCATCTTAAAGAAGTACGTTTAAACGCATGGTTTTGCACGGAATAGAACACTCACCTCCCAAAAGATTGTCAATCGTATCAATGTCTTCCGAGACCGAATCAGCAGAATTCAATGATGGAAGAGACGAACATACCTTTCGAAAATCGGTTCATGATCCTACCAAGTGGTGTAGTCTCGAAGAACGACATAGGTGCGCGCATAATACGGTCGACCGCTAGCTATAGGAACGCGATAAATCTGAGGTGATCTCATGAACCACAGTCCAACAACGCACACTATGCAAACGCTGGCTTGCAAAATACGTCAATATAGCAAACGTACTTCCCATGACGAAGAATGCAAGGGCTTGCGCTACACCTAGCATTGCGTAGATTCCCATCTACGCCAACTCCGTAAGCCATTTTTCGCCATGTAAAGCGCAGATGAAACTCACATAAAACCCTTGTGGGCGATCCCATTTGCTATCGATAGAACACAAAATCAGCACACTGTGAACTGTATAAAAAAGAACGAGACCTACTCTTCCTGCCAGTATACCAGCCAGTATGACGCCATCACTGTAGCACCCTGGACAAAGACAAGAGAGAAAAACAATATGGGCAACACGATATGTCCCCTGCCTGCATCTGAGTACTGCTTATACACAGACCAACTAATGGCGCCAGTATTCCGTTCCTCCGCTTGCATCAGTGCAGGCCCCGAAGTAACCTTCTTCTTAAGATCGTCCTGAGGCTCTCTCTCCTTTTCGATGTCTTCAATAGTCTCCTCTTCTATCTTCTCCTCCTCTTCCTTCTCCTCTTTACTCCCGAACTCTTTGTAGAACTTTGAAAACTCCCCGTCTTTATGCATGAGTTCATCGTAAGTCCCTCGCTCTGCTATACGTCCACCCGCAATAGTGAAGATGTAATCCACTTGTGGAAGAAAGTGCAACGCGTGTGTAACCAATATACGCGTCTTTCCAGACGCGGCGTTCCGCAGGACATTCTGGAAGACCGCTTTTCCTACATGAGCATCGAGGGCCGACAGAGGATCCTGTAGAATCGTCAGTATAATATCCTCACCGACAATAAATCGAATTACATCAAAGATCTGGATATCTGTATCGCAGTAGATGGCACGACAGATATTCATACGTTGTTTCTGACCTCCTGATAACGAAATGCCCTGAATTTTGTCAGAATCGTCGGATCTGAAAGTTTTCGATCAGCGCTACAATACCTTCTCGCCGACTTCTGTCATGTCGTCATTAGGTAGCATGTCAAGATCAGGCTCTAAACACGAGTCTTTGACGGCTTGCCAGTATTTGCCTTCCTCAAAGGGACGTCCAAAACATATGTTGTCTCGAATTGTCGCATTCTAAGCCTTATTGAGTAAAAGGTCGGTAAAGAAAATGAGGAACTCACTTGGATCCATGCGCTCTGGGGGCAGTATCCAACACTCCCGCCGAACTTGATCGTTCCTTTGTCCCCATTCACATTCGGAACCCGCCTCATCTCACCAATCATACCCTGGAGCAAAGACGTTTTTCCAGCACCCACGGCACCAACAATAGCAACAAGCTGTCCGCGGGGTATACTAAGGGAGATGTCTTTCAATTCAAAGACCTCCTCCGCCGACGAAGAGTCAGCTTCGGTCTTTCTCTTCTTCTTCTTATCTTTCTTCCCCTTCTTCCCTTCAGCCACTTCTGGGGGTGGCGCATCCCAAGTGAAGGAAACGTTCTTAACCTCAACAGCAACATCGAGGTCATCTTCGCGATCAAAGGTGTCCTCCAATGTTTCTGCTTCGAAGACGCCATAGAGGCGCTGGGTAGCATTTTGGGCATCAGCAATGGCGGAAAAGGATACGGCTACGGACATAGGTAAACATACAAGGTAAACAAACAACAGCAAGCTACTCACGAAGGAACATCAGAGGCAAACGAAGGAGTTGGAATAAGGTCAGAGAAGCAAAGATGACAGATGGCTGAAGCTGGTGTCCAGTTACGGAGTAAGTGACAAATGCGAGTACTGACGCCAACGCAGGCATAGATAGAGCGACGGCATTGTTAGCAGCCCTCACGAGAAGCAACGAGCGTACGAAACTTCGCATAGAATAAGATTTATCTTTACTCGACATGAGGTGAGAAAGTACTCACGACATCTCCTTCTGTCGAAACTCCCATATTCTCTTCGCAAACGGGATTTCCCATGCAAAGAACTTGACCACCTTCATGCCTCCGAGCAGTTCTTGGAGAAGTTTGGCACGTTTGTCGGTCCACTTCATACCATTCGCCCGGAATGCAAACATTTTCTTCATAACCATCGTCTGAGCTGGGGCGGCAATCACGAAAAACGCGAAACCAGCCAAAGCGCTAGGGCCCAGGTTCAGCAGAAGAAGAACGAGACATATGATCAGTTGAATCGGCGCAGTCCAAGCCTGTGACAAAAATAAATAAACGAGCGGTTCATATGTTGTGTTTCAGGTCAAACCCATACCATATGGAAAAACCCTGCACAAAAGTCGATTCGCGACACGTCCGTCGAGATGTGGTTCATTATCAGACCGTTCGTGAGCTTCGATCGGGCGCGAGAGGTCAGTCGAAGGGACCGTGCATAAATCGCGTTGATTAGACCACCACGTATGAGAACGCCTGTGGACGCAGACCGGTAAAAGAAGTGGTGCGTGCATAGCGACGTGACAACCTGCAACCCCAGCAAGCCAAAGGTCAAACCGATACCTTTGCCGATTGGTGGGATGGAAGCATAGTCGCCCGTCCGATGTCCGGTGTAAGAATCTGTAGCAAATTTGATGATGGCCTGTCGGAATGAGAGATCAAAAGGATTAGCACGACAAAAAAACAGCCTACCTTGACAAGAAGTGGGCTGGTAACCTGAGCCGTGTCGCCGAGCACCTTCAATATACCAGCAGTCCAAAACCACCATTTTATGCTGTCGTTCATAGCAAATACGAGGCTCGCCTTGCGTTGACCATCCTTTTCCCTCCACTTCCTCTCCCGCTCAGCTCGATTTCCTCGAAGAGTCCACCACAACGCTTTCATGCCGGGCTTGACGTCACCATTCAACAAACGGCGGTTGTATTCTGCCGCGGCCAAGCGTCTCTTTTCAAAGGATGCAGTAATCTGTTCACCAATGAACGCTGCTCCGCGGTTGTCTTGCAGCTTGTAGAGATCCGGGGCCTCCAGTGGGCGAGCATACCCAAGGGCGAGCAGACCAGTAATCCAGCCAAAGGTAAGGATTTCGAACCAGTTCGCATGGGTTTCGGGCAAAATTTCTGCTTCTTGGATGGACGCCTTCGGAGGAGGTGCGGTCGTTGGAATAAATGGGATGCGTTGCCATCTAATCAATCAGTGATTAGAGTGATTAGAGTAATATCGAATAATTGAGCCAACGGTTGCCCTACCGTGCTCGCTGAGGATGGCCTTCCTGTTCCGGGAGAATGGCAGCAGTCTCTTCGGACTTGGCTTCGCTATGAACGGATGCCTTTTCAGACATGACTGTCGTGGAAGAAGCAAGAATGCACACGCATCACACGATCTCCAGGTGTTCTATATGTAAGTGACTTTTTACTAACCCGTATGTTGTCGGCACCGGGTCATCATGCTTACACGATGACATTGTCTTTCCTCGACACGTATCTCACACGGCACATCTACGAATCAACACTGTATTTCGAATAAAGATGCGGCTGCAAGAACGCCTATATAGGTCGAGAGTTTTTCTGAAGAGATAACGGTTCAGATCTGTTAGATTGGTTCCTAGCTCAACGGCTTATCGGCCCGGAAACCCGACAAGTGAACTTCCCATCTCCCAGGCCTTCATACGGTTTGTTTTCCAGCAACTCTTACTGGACAGCAAATAGGAAAGACTACCATGAGCTCGGGAACTACTCCTTATCCGTCCTTATCTGCAATCTCAACCAGTTCATAAACCGTCGGCAGTTACAAGGCACTTGCATTACGGCTGAGATAAACTCTGGTTAACACGCTATGGCTCGAAACCGACTTCTAAAAGCGCTAAAAGTTACTCACCTGCTTGATTTTAGGTTTGGCATCCTGGCAACTCATACCGCCGACCCGGACGCTTTGAAGTCACGGTCTCATGATATTGCCGTACGCGTGGAATCCCTGATTCTCCCTGTTACCTGATTTCCTCTCGGCGACCACGAAAACAAAATAAGGGCGAATCTTTTGAGTCTTTAGTTCCTCCTATAAATGACCTCAGACTTGCCTGATTGGCGGTATTAATTACCGACATAGTAGAAGGCATGAAGCCCAAGTGGCGACCAACGTTCTGTCGACTCGTGAGACGCGCGATTGTCTCTGCTACTCACGCGTTACAAACCCAAACGATCTTCGCTCTAGCGCAGATGACTCGAATAAGGTCGCTGCTGCTGCGGGGGCATTTCTGAATCGCTTTAAAGTTTTCTGCCCATTCGCGCTACCTGCCTTCTGAACGTAACCCTTTTACGACAAATAACCGGGTGTTTCCTTCGTGTTCGAGTCTCCGGACCTTACTGACAACACCCTGTCCATATGTTTCATTGTCAAGATCTATCGCCTTGAGAGTGCAAATTCCAGCGACAATCGACTCGGCAAAAAGGGCATAGTTCATCCGTGGTCCACACTCGTCCCATGGGACATTCTGTGGCGCTCCTACCGATCGACTGTATTACGGCGCACAGACCTCAAAAAAAAAACTGTATCGGACGTCCGGCGGGTTGGATCCGTAAAGTGATTGTAATCGATAGCAAAGTACAGTGAACTGAAAGCGATGCGAATAATAAATAATCGGCATGTGTGAGGATCTAAAACCAGGACAAATACACTGAGTAGTTTGATAGATATGAACAGATGCGCAAGTAAATCAGGAAAATAAAGGTCTAGTCCGCTGTGAATACCTTCTTCAAATAGTCGCCGGCTGCAGCCTTCACAGAAGGGTCGACGTTGGGGTTTTCCAAGAGGGCCTGGAAGGGAGACATTGAGCATATTTAAGAACGTGATCTGAAATGTACCCACAATAGCCCTATCAGCCTTCTGCTTTAAATTCGCAGTCTGTTTTGTATGCTCAAACTCTGCCTGTTCCCTCTCAATTCTCAGCCGCTCCAGCTCTCTCCTCTGGGAACTCTCTTTCTCTTCTCTCTCTTCTCGTCTTCTCAAGTAATCCAATTTCATTTTACCGGTCTGGGTTTGTATCTGCAAAAATTGCATAAAGGCGTTTAGCATGCCCTGGGAGAGTGCAATGTTGCCATGCGGTTCGACGGCAGTACTAGTCGTGTGATTAGTGTGACTTGAATGGGGGGATAACGGTATTGGCGGCGGCGGTGGAGGTGGGGGTGGTATGGTTGCTGGGCTCGGAGCTGGGGGGGCGTTAATGAATGTTAACGGTTCATGCGAGCTGCTTAGTGCTGCGAGGTTCGAATCGAAGTCGATTCCGGAATCATCGACGTCTACGGGATCAGGATCATCACCGACAGGCCCAGCACCGTTGACCGCGGAGCCCACGCGCTGAACGCTAGGACGCGTGGTCGCTGGATCACCGTGCCATCTGTGTTCCTTAGCATAACGAAATGCGAAAGCTCGGATAGATGGCTTACCGCGTGTAGAATAGCTGATACCAGCCCACACGATGCCAGTGATCTATGGTTCTTGCGGTGATGTTGCCGACATCACATCCAGCTTTCTTGGCGCCCTGAAGACGTCTCTCGTACTCCTTGAGGCGGTCGGCTTCACTCAAACCATTGATGGATACGATGCCGCCATTTAGCTGGTGGGAATGCCACGACTCGAACGCGTAGATCTGCTTGAATAGATTAAAATTGCGTTCGTAACAGCCTTTAAGCGCCTGATAAGTCTTCTTGCTGCCAAATACTTGAATGGAGCACTGGATCCAGTCAGTCAGATCAGGACCGGGGATCAAGGTAGCATATACTCACCTCTCGGAGACAGGAATTCTTGGTAGCACGGAGTGAATTCCAGTGATCATCCTGGCCAGGGCCCATGAGCCAGTTGAAGAGCTTGGACTTTTCGTCGTCAGTCCAATGCTTGGCACCCTGGCCACCGTCAAAGCCGTCTACAACGGAGTCTTCAGCATCACGACGGCGTTTCTGCATGGAGAGCTGCTGCTGCTGAGCACCGTCGACGAGCTTTCGTTTGAGAGACATAGTCGGGGATGTCTGGCTGGTGAACGACGAGGACGAGGACGCGCCGCCGTTCTGTGGATGGGGATGATGAGGATGGGGGTGTGCATGTGGGTGGTGGGGGTGGATGGGAGACGGGGACGGGGAGATACGGTAGTCGCTGGAGCGCTGGGGGTGGTAAGCTGACGGGGGCAGATGGGTGCCCAGGGCTTGTCCGAGACTCTGGTGCGACTGGAAAGGGGCCTAAAGCAGCTCAGCAAACCATTTCAAAGAAAATCAAAGCTCCTCTTACTGAACCATCCAGTCCTCCGTCCCTGCGCGAGTCGCTCGGCGTTATCGTGTACTGCATCGAGCCAGCCTCACTACCAACATCGTGTCAGTCCCTGCCAGCCGTCGTCCACGTCGCACCAGGCGACGGCAAAGAGAACGGGAGTAACTTACTTTTGGGTAGCCATGCTGGGTTGGATCGCTCGACCGTCGTTCAGCCGTTCAGCTCGTCGTTCAAACTGACCCAAGACGAGTGGTTCGCCTGTGCAGCTATTGCTTTTCCACGCCACAGCCAAACAAAGAACATGGCAAATCTTTCAAGGTACCCAAATATTAATATCTAATACATACTACTAGGTTGTACTTCCAGCTCCTCAACATCCGGATCATAGTCTGCGTCTGCGTCTTCTTCTTCGAGGTCGCCCACTGCCTTCACTCCTGCTCCCACCACAAATAAAGTATCATCACTCGGGACACTCTGCCGACTCGTCAGACTCGTTAATGGCGTGCCGACCTCTTCATACTTTACGTCATCCTCGTGCTCACCCTTTCCCACTGTCGTTGCCTCCTCCGCATCATCTCCATTCACGACTACTGGCCGATCTCCGGGGAAGGAAGAGACAGTTGCAGCCTCCGAAAGAGATGCGGGTTCAAGGCTTTCAACTTGAACCGTCACCTCGGCTTCTGGACTTTTGATCGGTTCCGGTGGAGGACACGGAGATGCAGGGGCCGACGCTGCTGTAGCCCCCTCAGTTGCAGGCGACGCGTTCATCCCCTCCTTCGCCGTTCGCTGTGTTACCCTGTTCCCGGTCCCCGGAATAGTCACCATTAACGCCGCCGCTTTTTTATTTGACTTCGCAGCCTTCTCTCGGTGCTCTTCTTCTGCTCTTCTACTCTCGCTCTCGGGTGGATTTTTCTTGGGTCGACCACGGCGTCTCTGCGGGGCGGGATTGTTAGCGTTGCCATTCTGTTGGCTTCGACGCCTGGGTGTCACCGTTACGGAGCTATCAAGATCTCCGTTCTGACTATACGCCCCCGACATCGTTGCCACTAGCGACTGCGGAAATGACTCCTCGTCAACCCCGTTTACATTCGCGGCGCCGCGCCGGTTTTGTCGACGGGTCGGTGCAGCCGGACGATCCAGGGTGTCAACCATAGGCACAGGGACACCATTTGATTGCGACCCGGGCTCAGTTGGCGAGGGGGATGGCGGAGGCACATCCATGTCATCAACCTCCGATGTTGGCTCTTCCAGGATTGGCGCTGAAACAGAAGCGGTTCCCTTAGCCACCTTTCTCCGCCCAGTCGCCTTCTTGGGGGGCTGAAATGGCGTCGGTGTTGTAGACTTCGCCTTCGACCTCGCACGAGTCGACTTTTCTACCACGATATCATCTGCAAACAGATCCACTGGCGAGGCTTCCACCTCCGTTGGCATGAATGGAGAAACATCATCCACTGGGGTGACATCATCATCAAACAATGCCAGCCCGACGGCCATGGCATCGGCAGCTGAGCCCTCATTCTCTACTACCTTGTCACCCTCAGCTGTCTCCTGCATCTCTGCTTTGCTCTCCCTCATCAGCAAATAAGGGCTCCACTTAAGTTTCTCAGGCTTCAGCTTCAACTGACCCTTTGACTCCCAATGGCTGAGGGCCCGATCCACCTTCTCAGTATCCCAGCTGATTTCGTACCGTAGAGGAGGAACGAACGGTCCCTTTGGTTTTGGCTCCTCCTTGGTCATCGCTCGTTGCAGCCGTCGTGCAATATTATTTCGCGTCCCACCTGTCTTGCGTCGGTTGATCTTGATAGACTGTCCCGGAGAAGGCTTGGCTACAAGGTTGTCTTCTTCGAGAATAGTGATCATGTCCTGTTGAACAAGCGTGTTGTAGACGTCTTCTATTGTCATAGACGTCGCTGCGCTTATGTCTGTGAAAATTGTCAATAAACACCGCGAACCTCTGTTGATTCCGTCACCTTCGAGCCGCGGGTGTTCAGGTCCATTCTCGAGGTATCGCATCAAGGATAACGTCCAGTAGTTCTTGTAGCCCAATGCACCCAGACTAGACAGTGGCTTTTCCGGAGAACCCAGCCGCTGTTCCTTTTTAGATAACAAGTAGCCTGAAATGAAAAGTTAATTTACCGCCTCTCAAGAAGCTACTTGACGTACTGAAATCAATGAGGAAATTGCCCCATCCCTGGCGTTGACGCGTCGGAAGCGTCATTATGCAACTAAGGTTGTAGTCTTTAACGCTACACTTCTCCTTACTAAAATATCCAATGAATCGAGCCCCATCGTCATCCACCTGAGTGATCACATAGAACAGGAACGGCTCGACGTCATAAAATAATGATTTATGATCAAGGAACATCTTGGAAAGCAAGCATAGATTCTGGCAGTAGATCTACGACGAGCATAGTCAAGCCAGACGAAAGCGGCTGCAAGATACGTACTCACCTTGTTCTTTCGTCCATCAACCTCAAATAATGATATATCGCCATCCCTGTATATCTCATCCCCGGGTGGATGACGTGCTTTACATTTCATCTGAAGCACAAAGTGAAAACAGGCGCATATACACGAAACAAATTGACTTACCCGATGTCGATTATATCCAAACTTGCTCTTCATATACTTCAAACAGAATTCGCATATCCACAGCTTTCCGTCGGGTATGCAAGAATACTCCTCAGAGAATGGGGCATCGTACCAGGTCTTGACGTCGTATCCTCCGATATGGATTACTTTAACGCGTGGGCCAGAGATTGGTAGAAGTGGCGTCGGGGTTGAGGGACCTGGTGATGCTGAAGGGCCAGATATCGGTGCAGTTTGGTTTGCTAGTGCTGCCAACCGTAGTCGTGTTGGATGTAATACAGAGGAAGAAGATTCCGCTTCTTCAGATGCTGATGTGGGTGGCGGGGGCACCCTTGCTGCCAGCTTGGCCTATAGGCAAGCTAAATTAATTTACCAGTACCTGGGAGGGAACACATACCTCTGCCAATTGGCGTGTGCGATCAAACCTCTGCCTGTCCGGCCCATCTATTGTCGTCTTCATCGTGTCCCTCTGCTCTGGCAGCAAGAAATCATCAAACATTCCTTTATCCTCTTCTTCCCGCTCCTTCCCCTTTCCTTTTTGTTGAGTGGATAATCTAAAGGTTAGACGCGGAAGAGTAGATATCGGCGCTGTCGCAGAAGAGACGTCTGTGCGCCTTCGCTTGGGCTGACGAGCAGATAGGGTAACCTCATCTTCGGAGTAATCTTCGTTCCTCGATTGTGCAGCTTTCCTCTTGGTAGGTCTCTTATTTCTGACGGGCCTTCCTGTTGCAATAGGCGTCTCCAGCTCCCGCTCAACATCGACTTCAACGTCGAACTCGGAATCGTCTGTGATTACAGCTAGAGCCTTTCCTTTGCCCTTTCCCGTACTTCGAGTCTTCGCACGACCATTTTTTGAAGCGACGTGAGATCGCGACGATGATGCGACAGATGGTTCGCGGTGGGGAAGTGGGGAAGATGGTTGTTGAAATGGAGTATCATGTTGAGGCGTCACCGGCAACTCTTGATCCAGGAGCACGCACTGGGGACAATACCAAGCACCTTCGGGATCGTCTTCAACAGGGGGGTTCATGCAATACATATGCCAGCCTAGCCGAAAAGTATCAGCACATATATAACAGGAACGCGAAAGGTTACTGAATACCTCTATCACACAGATCACAAAACAACATCCTGTTCTACAAATAGGTGAACATCATTTTATTCGCATATAAATACGGGCACGTACTCCTCGGCCTTTCTTCTGACATATTTCACACTTCTTGCAGTCCGGGCAGGCCCATTTAACGGAGTAGAGAATATCAGGACGGGTAAGGACAAAATTCTTCATGCATGAGGGATGAACTATTGCGACGGCATGAGCTGCATAAGATTACGGACCGGAAAGAGACTTGCCACTATGACCACACTCGCCGCAGGAAAGCATGGGCTCGGGAGCGCCACGGCTGTTTTGGTTATCATTCCCTTTGCATGTGCGGCATATCATTTCGCGTATCACCTCTTTCCTTCTTCGTTTCGTGGGCGGCGGAGAAAGGCGAGCCTGTGTTTCTGGTACGGGAAAATAGGCTGGGGGTGGCTGAGCGAACGGATCACCTTGGGGTCCCTGCGAGTATGGTAAATATTCCTGTGGCCCGTGACTGAACGTGGAGTTCTAGAGAATACATCGAGGAGCACGTTAGCAATGAACGGCTGAACTTTGAAGAAAACGATCAAAATACGCCAGAACGCGACGCGCCTCGACCATCGACTTGGATATTGTTAATGCAACTCACATCGACGTCAATTGTACTCTGCTCAACCGAAACATGATTGGGCGCTCTCGCTGGCCCGCATAGCGCAGGATCTATTGGAATATCGTCGAAGTTGCTGACGGGGGTGCCGCACTCATTTGGGGTCTCTCCATCCAATACGACAGCTTTGGTGTATGCTAACCCTTGCATGGGTTGAAGAATGTAAAGAATAACGCCTACTGCGTGTCTTGGGGGGAAGGAAGGCGATACAAGGGAGCTGCACAACGTCGTTGACGTTCCCAAGGTGTTTGTGCTTATTTGTTCTTTGTGCGCTAAAGTAAGCGGCACCGTTCGAATGCAGCGGCACCTTTCAGGCTCAGGTTGACTCGTACGGGTCAATGCCTGCAACTACAAGAAAACTTTGGCCGTCGATTCCTTGCAGCGCGACTAGTCATCAGTGACCTTGGCCCTTCATTAGGGAGCCGTGCACTGCTGGGAAAGAGTTCAAGACTTGTCGTAAGAAGATGGTCAGCGGACCGCGTTCGCACCAACGACCTCCGTTCTCGCCAGCACTGCATCACGACCGGAGGAATTTGCGACTCACAGCGTGGAACTGGTTGCTAGACTGTATCGAAGACAGTTCACCGCTTGGATGCGAGGCTTAGCCTCAGGTTTATCAAGAAGCTACCGCACATTCTGCACTAGTCGACGCGGAGCGACTACTTCCGACATCAAAGAAAAAAAATCATCAAGGGTTTCACAACTGAATGTGCTGATGCATACTTACAGCTTGCGAAATCATGAAGGAAGTCGGTGTCAAGGAGCCGTTCTCCATCAGGAACTGGTCGAGAGCCCGGAATATTACCTCCTGTCGTGAATGAATAATGGCTTCGATTGAGTGCGAGTTGTCGCGTATCTTCACGCAGCTTCTCAGCATCGGTGACTATAGGCCTACCTTTCCCGAGCTTTACTCGCCCTGTCGAAGCTTAGGTATATTGAACCGTCTAAAGGGGAAAACGTGAGACATTCTCACTCTCCTGCGAAATGATACTGCGCGGTAGGCAAGGAAGATTCAATAAATCTATGAAATGATTGTCCAGCACTCCGAGAAACGACGGCGTTACAATGGACCCAGTTGTAATGAAGCACCCACGATACAGCCTGGACCAATCATCAATCATAATTCTTACATCGCAAGGCATGACAAAAGCCCACCTCGGGGCAAGAATTTAGTGGATACCGCGAGTCTAGGCGAAAGGCAGCGGCGTCACTTTCGTACCATTGGACATGATGATTCATGATCAAGAACGAAACGTAATTTCACGTTAATCATGGCATCGATGCATTGGACGTACATGATGAACGCCTCAGAATGAAGTCAACCAACGGACAAGTAGTGGGGTAAAGTAGCATTAATGTACATCCTAACAAATATATGCCAGAGATAAATGGAGGTAGACTACAGTGAGAATGTAGAAAAACTGAGATGTGAAAACAAACGTTCAACGCGAACCCCGCACAGATTACTGCTGTCGGCATTCTGGCTCCATATCACCGTCGTCATCGTCATCGTCATCTTCCCAATCATCTTCCGTTTGACCGAACTGATATGTAAAACCATGAAAAAACTCGTGGCCAGCCGGCAAAGAATGGGCACGCACATCCACAATATCACTTTCTTCAAAGTCTACAGCATCAACAATTTCAGGTTGGGGATCCAAATCAGTTTTCTTGGGTGGTAGGAGCGCCTCCAAAGCCTGTAATTTGGTGTTCGTAAAGAAAATAGAAGTTTAGTGACAATTATCCCACCTTCCGATCAACATTCTTTAACCATTGTTCATCTGGCATCTCGACCTCGAAGACGACGAAGAGATCTCCCTTTTCGTCCGGCCTCTTGTAAATAGGCATGCCCTCACCTCGCAGCACGATCGAATCGTCTGACTTTAATATCTTACCAGGAGGACTAGTAACTTTGATTCCCCGACCATCGAGGTGTGTGACAAGTATCCGAGAAAATCCAAAGAGAGCTTCCGAGAGTGTGATTTTGACATTGGTAAGGAGGTCGTTTCCTGATCGCTCGAAAGATTCGTGATGTGCCGCATGAAGGACAAAGACCACATCGCCGGCGGGCAAACCGGGCTATGGTTGAAGATGTAAATCATGTTATGTCGGAAGGATTAACCATTAAATACCTCTTGGTCTCCTGCGCCAGGTAACACGATTCGCTGTCTGTCCGTCATACCCTTTTCAATAAAAATTTCTTGGCGAGTTTTTTCGTGCACGGTTTTCTCGCCCTTGCACTTTTTACAACTAAACAGACGTCATATATCAGGGCATGAAGCGGAAGAATCACTTTACCTATCTTTCGATCTGATTTTCTCTCCCTTGCCCTCACAATCGTGACATGTTGCTCTTGTTGTTCCGATCCGTGATGAAGACACCTACAAATATATTTATCGGAAGAGCTTCACACTCCATCTGCTTGTACAAACCTGGTTATGGACAAATGTCCAGCCCTTGCCTTCACATGTGGCACACTGCTTTGGCTTTGCATTTCCTCGGGTCCCGGTTCTAGTCACACGTCAACGATGCCTCTAACGAAAAATTATGCGACGTACCCTTTACATGCACCACAAACAACGTCTTTCTCCATATTCATTTTCACGGCCTTCCCGTTGTAGAGATCTTCAAGCGTCACGTCATATGAAATGATAGAATCTTGGCCTTTTGTCCGACGCCGACTTGCACCTCCACCAAGATCAAACTCAAAACCGAAACTTGAACTTGAAAAGAATTGACTGAAAATGTCGTCCATTCCAGCGGAACCGCCACCGCGTAGACCCGCCATTCCTCCCGCATCGTAGGCAGACCGAGAATCAGGGTCATTCAGGATGTCATAACTTCCAGGAATTCATGAGGGGACGATGGCAGCGGCAGGCAGGTCTGCGACTCACGCAGATGCCATCTCTTGAAACTTGCGGCTTGCTTCTGGATCATTGATGTTCTAGTCGGGAAATGGTTCACCGTGGACTACCAATGGAGTACTATCAATCACCTTATCCTGTATACTCAGCTGTTCAAATGGTATTGACTGGCAAGGACAGCACCACATACCGGATGGTGTTCTTTTGCCTGATGGAAAGTCAGACCAAGATGTAGACATAAGCATGAGCACACATATGCACACCTTCTTGCGATACGCTTTCTTTATATCGGCTAGCATGAATAAAGAAGTGAGCCACCGTAATTCATGGTCCCAAGGTCCGCACCTTGGCTTGCATTTGGAGATATTCCTAGGAGATCGTAGAGCTCAGTGTCTACCGGCACTGAGAAAGACATGAGAACATTTTACTTCTGAGTAGATATGACCATACTTTGCAGGATAGGAAAGGGTGGAGAGGAGGAGCGCCGAAAAGCTCAAACGCGCGCGTCTTGCCGTGGGTCGGCGTCTCAAAAAAAACGTGGGAATTTTTTTTTATGCTTTAAAAAGCGGCCCGTGTTCAATTCCAACGTTTGCTGTCGACGTCAACCCGCGAATGCGTTTCCACTCTTGTGAGTAGCCTTCCTCTGTCTCTATGAAATGATGCTTTCAATTTATCTACATTGTCCGAGTTGGGCTGTTAGCCCCGTGTGACGAAAAAATACGACTGATCTTTGTCTTTTTCATCATTTGAACGTTCATTCTCACCTACCTTCTATTATTACAGGTCTGTTCTCTGTTGCAGGAAGGGTTTGATGACGGAACGCATATGCAATTTTGCGCGTAGTTTCTTTTGTAGTGCTTCACAAACAGAGCCTAATTCGTATGAATAGAAAAAATGAACCTTTATTTTGAAGCTTCGAAAATCCTCGATAGTCTAGACGCAAGAACAGGGTCGATCAAAGGGGTCCTTGCTACGTTGCCTGAGAAGGACCGCAAGAGGACTTCTGCCTTGGTCATTGAGACACTGAAATGTACGGACATCTTAGCTATACCCTAAACTTTGTCTGACGCGGCATCTTCAGACAAAGCTGTACTGACCCAAGTGATAAATGAGACGAACCTATTACCGGGTTTCTACAAAATAATGAGAATCGATCGAACTTTTTTTCGGCTGCCCAATATAGTAATTCCCCATCTTGGATTCCACCAAATGCATAAGCACTGCGAATTATACCTTCCTGACGTACAACTTGGCTATATTCCTCCGAATTATCCATCAAAGGCTCTGATATCACCACCCAGGCCTTTGGTTTGTGATCCTCGTGAATCCGCTAATCTGGTCTGTCAAATCCCAAATCAGCGGTATTTTCTTCATCACTGCAGGCTCCATTGCATGACTTGATGACACCAAAACATTGTGTACTGCTTTGGGAATCAATTCTAAACTGTTTATTCTATCATTACTGTTGCTCTTGGTGTTGAGTCGCTGTTGAAAGAAAACCGGTACCTATGAATTACTATATTGGGCAGCCGAAAAAAAGTTCGATTGATTCTCATTATTTTGTAGAAACCCGGTAAAGGACGAGAGAAAGAAGATAACCTCTATGAATCTTGCTCTGGTTCTTGTTCATGACGTTTTGCTTGCGGGTGGTATCCAGGCTGGCGACGGCCCCATCAAGCAAGCGATTCTACGCCACAAGACGCGTCTGAATGGCGAATTCCAAAGAATAAAAATTAAGCGTGGCGTAAGGTCGAACCTTGAATTAGCCCACAATGGGGATGACCGAGCAGGTGAGCGAAAACATTCCATTTAGTTGTTTCCCATGGAAGAGATGCTAATCGACATCGACTTTCGCATCGCTGCAGCGCAAATACCACGTTACGTAAGGGTCAACACCCTGATGTGGGCGTCGGATCACGCCATGGACGCGTTCGTCTCCAATGGCTATGACCTCACGGATCCTTTTACATCCAGGCAGGTGTCATTAGTGTCCAGAACGTAGAACGCTTCTTATCGTAATCCTTAGTCGGAGCTTCGCTAAGGATGAGCATATTCCGAACCTTCTCCTGTTTTCACCCCAAACCACGTTCCATGACGACCCTTTGTACAAGTCTGGGAAGATCATTCTACAGGACAAGGCGTCTTGTTTTCCGGCCGTTGTTCTCTCACCGCCCTCAAGAGAAGGCACCTATGTGATCGATGCAACGGCCGCGCCAGGCAACAAGACTTCCCATCTCAGCGCGATCATGGGCAACATTGGGAAGGTGTGTCCCTTTCGCCACCTGAGACCGTTCCCCCGGCTAATCAATGTTTAGCTGTTTGCGTTCGAACGGGACCGAAAACGATTCAAAACACTCGAAATGATGTTATCCAAAGCAGGTTGTCAGAACGTCGAGACTCTGAACCTCGACTTCCTTACGGTAGATCCTCAAGACGAAGTATATCGCAAGGTCACTCACATGTCAGGGGGAGTTTGCCAGCTGAACAGGTACAAATCTAACTCCTTGTAGTCTTCTAGATCCCTCCTGTAGCGGCTCTGGCATAGTCAACCGCCTTGATCACCTCTTAGAGACAGGTGAAACTCATTTCATCCCCGATCGGTTATATTTATCTTTGTATCTGGTTGTCAGAGGCAGAAAATGAGTCCGAGAAAGACGAACGTCTGACAAAACTGGCCGCTTTTCAACTCGTGATGATCAAGCACGCAATGAAATGTAGGTGGTCCAATTCATTCTGTCATTATGCAATTAAATTTTTGACTATTGACAATGCATGATAGTTCCCGCAGTCAAGAGAATTGTCTACTCGACTTGCAGCGTCCACGCGATGGAGAACGAGCACGTTGTTCGTGATGCTTTGAAATCGGAAGAGGCTGAAAGCGGCAGATTTAAATTGGAGGCTCCAGAAAATGTCCTGCCGCAGTGGAAGCGCAGGGGACTTCCAGAAGAGATGGACAACCCCAGTATATCATTCTCAAAAAAGTGCCAATTTTATACTCATCTTTCAACAGGTGACGCTGCTTCGTTGATACGCTGCAGCCCCGACGGCGATGCTACAAATGGATTCTTTGTCTCTTGTTTCGTTCGGAGTGACAGCAGCACCAGCAACGCCCAGAAACGAACTTTAGACGAAAAAGAGCGCTCTGTACAACAAAAGCCGCGGAAAAAGAAAAAGAGAAAGAGTCACAATAGCTAGCACGTTTGTATCTTTGAATCAATCGCACGCATTTCGCAAAAAAAAAAACATATCATTGGGTTACAGTTCAAAGAAGTAAAACACCTGAAACCTCGCAGCTTGAAAAGGTCTCCGTTAGTAGGGACGCCGTGTCCACGCTCCCATCAACCATGTCGGACAAAGTATACCTACAAACAATTCCCACGTACAGCGCTCTGTGGATAAAGAGGGAATGAAATCCGAATGTAAAATGAATAGGCCGAATGACCTCTTCGACTGTGAAAAGCTGAGCTAAGAAGGTGAGAAGAATTGATGTTTAGTGCTGCCGTTTGTCAGAAAATGAGGAATAAGATCAGAAGTTTTCGATTAGCTGGTTGGTTGACTATATTGGCCTTGATAGTAGGAGGCGTAGTTCGACGAATAATCTTGAGATTGTTGAGGATATCCTGAAGCCTGTCCATAGCCCTGCCACTGGCTCCCATACCCGGCAGATGCCCCACCGTATCCACCACCGTATCCCGTAGCACCCGGGAAACCACCCTGCGACTGGTTCTGTGGTATGTTGGTTACCCAAGCTTCCGGACGACGCCAAGGTGGAATATTCGTTCCCCCTCCAGTGATATCGTGACCTGCACTAGGTGCAGCCCAGGAAGGTTTCGAAAGGTCCACGCCAGAACCGCCTGTGCTTTCTCCCAGCTCGGCCATCAAGCTGGCATATTCAGAATCAAAGCCACGACTGTTCATGTTCGGTGGAGGAGGAGGGGTGTGCATCATCGGTGCATTGGGATCTTTGTTGACGGTGCAATCGCGAGCCATGTGGCCAGCACTCCCACAAACACGGCAGATAATGTTAGCAGTGAAATTCCGCTGCTCAGGGCAGTCGTATTTCCGATGACCGACGCCACCACAGTTCTGGCAAACTTGGTTCTCGTCATCACGGAGGGTACCGTTGAGCGCCGCAAGCTCGCGAAGTTGGTTACGCTTGTGGTCGTTCTGACCTTCAGGTGTGGAAGCGGCCTGAGACAAGCGAATCAGTACGATCCAGAGCAACAAAAAAAAATTGCTTACTGTCTCAATGACCTTATTGATCATTTTTACACAGGCCGCCACCTTTTCTTCACTATCTCCAAGGATGAGGCAGTGAAGGTCCTCTTCAGCATCGTCTGCATACTGGTCAGGACGTGCTTTCCCTTCCTTAACGCTACCCTTTCCACGGATACTAATCTTCGCCCCACTCTCTCTCTCCATCTTCTTCAAACTGTTACCACGAGGGCCGACGAGTAGGCCAAAGAAGTTAATTTCAGGAAATTCTTTGACGGGGATATAGACCTTGTCCGACGGACGCTGTGAGCGCTTTTGTTGTTGGTATTCAACAGGAGGGCGGAAGTTAGGATCATTTTTCATGGCGCGATCGACGAGTTTGATACGCTCGTCTTCGAGCTTTTTACGGTAGCGTACTTCGCGTGTATTGGTCCTACGACCATGAGCGTCATATGTAGGAGGAGGGGATGGGGATCTAACGAAAAGATGAGTATATGCTCAGCATTCACAAGAATATTCGAACTTGCCTCTCGCGTTCAGGTGGAATGAAGTCGTTTAGTCGTAGTTTTCTGTTAATTTCTTCGAGCCTAAGGTGGATAGCATAGTTGTCGAGCTGAGCCTGAGATACGCCAGCAGCAGAGATGGCAGTTGGGAGACCGGGGATTTCTGTCTTGACTTCACCCCAACGACTTCGCCGCTTGCGAGGGGCATTCGGGTCGACTAACGTGAGTGATAAACAGCAATAGGTTAGTGTTAGTGTTAGTATAGGTTAGTAGCATGAGCCTAGCCCCAAACTGGGTACGACGAAAACGCAGAGACCTCGAACAGTGCGTTACAAGGATACCAAATATCGCGTTTGCGCAGAATGGCGGGCTATGAGGTTAAATGCGAACAGTAAAACTTACCTCGTGGATCGCCTGCTGGGGCTTCATCCCTGCCGCGTTTTCCAGGACTATCATGGTCTTGATATGGTCGAGGGTAAGCTGAAGGTGAAGGTTGAGCGAGCTGGGGAGGAGCGGCTTCTTCGGATGGAGCTGGTCCAAAACGCCGCCGCTGTCCGAGTGGAACTGAAAATGATTCAGAAGCCCGAAACTAGATGAAAACGCAGAAAAAACACACCTTCATTAGTACCAGTTATCTGGCGAGTAGCAGGCCTCCACATTCTGTCTTAAACAAGAAAAGGCGAAAAATGCGGGGAAGATGGTGGTCGTCGACACGAAAAGCAAGTCATCTGTAAGTCGCCTGCTTCCTCAAATGGAATTAAAACTCCGCTGCTTATTCATCACGATGGACGTCACTGGCGGGCCCGAGCACCTTGACCGATTCGTTCTTGTCTCTTACCTTCACGTTCTTCATACCGATTTCTGCTCTTCGACAACAGGTCGAAATGTCGGGGAAGCGTCTAGCCGAGTGTATGTTCCGGCTATGTTCCTAAGCAATCGTACCCCAATTTGACGTTCTTTACGATTCTTTAGCTTCCGCTGGACCTTCTCAGCCGTCAAAACGAGTAAGGAGAGACCGTGACGAGGAGGATTATCTTGATGTCACCAATGAGGACGATGTCATTCCTCCTTCTCCTCCGGATACGACCCTCGTACCTCGCAGCGCCACCATCAACTTCAGCGCCTTAACACGAAAGCTTGCCCAGACAAGAAATCCAGCCGATTCTACTGCTAACTTATCTTCCCTGGATGCTCATCGGAGGCAGCAAAATATCCTCGTCTCTCACATCTTTATGGAACAAGACTTCTCATGGCTTCACCTGAAACACGACCATGCTTCCCGACCACTCTGGATCAGTCCCGACGATGGCCACATCATCTTAGAAGCCTTCTCACCTATTGCCGAGCAAGCTCAGGACTTTCTCACCGCTATCAGCGAGCCTGTTAGCAGGTACGTATTGACTTACAGTACACTTAGGTACATGCATGTAATATTTTCCCACTTCAGACCGGCCTTCATCCACGAATACACTCTAACTCCGTACTCTCTATATGCGGCTGTATCTGTCGGCCTTCAAACTGAAGATATCATTGAAGTCTGTGTGAATTGCACTTGTTCGAACTGTTCTCGCTGACTAACTGCCTGAAGGTTCTCAATCGCCTTTCCAAGGTATGATGTCGTCGATAGGGAGGTGTTCATATTTTCACTCTTTGTCCACAGGTTCCTGTCCCTGACAGCATCATTTCTTACATTCGTGATCGAACTCTGAGTTACGGCAAGGTCAAGCTCGTTCTCAAGCACAACAAGTACTTTGTCGAATCAAGTCATCCCGAGACCCTTCAATTATTGCTCAAGGACAGAGTAATTCGAGAGGCGCGCATAGTGTCTACCCAGACTGATACTAGTATCAAAGCGGCTACTTTCACTACTTCTAAAGCTCCCGTAAAAGGGAATCTAGTTATTCCGGGCACCAAAGAAGCTGAAAAGAAAAAAGACGAAGGTTCCAAAGTCGGACCGTCTAACGCCGTTACCGCCGCCAATCAGTCTGATGCTGATCTATTTACGTCTGTCGTTGGAGTTGATGGAGGCAAGTATCTCAGATCGGCAGCCATAGTAGAATTCTACAATTGACTGAGTTTTAGACGAGATTGACGAGGACGACGACAATGTCCATGCTTTCGAAATCCATGACGCAAAGATCGACGTACGTCTTGGACATCTCACCTCATTCACAAACCTTATTTTGTACATGTAGGATGTCAAGAAACAATGTACAGTGCTAGACTATCCTATGCTCGAAGAATACGATTTTCGAAATGACACTGTGAATGCGAACCTTGATATTGATTTAAAGCCCGCCACCGTGATTCGCCCATATCAAGAAACTAGCCTGAGCAAGATGTTCGGAAATGGGTATATAATTTCCGTGAATTCGATTCTCGAACGTGTTCTGAAAATTTTGTCACTCAGTCGCGCTCGTTCAGGCATCATTGTGCTTCCTTGCGGAGCAGGGAAGACCCTTGTTGGAATCACTGCCGCATGTACGATCAAGAAGTCTTGCCTCGTACTGTGCACATCCTCGTAAGCCCTTCGCCGTGTCATTCGTTAGATAATTTTTATGCGTTGTTAGTGTGTCCGTCATGCAGTGGAAATCACAATTTATGCAGTGGTCGAATGTGACTGACCGCCAGATCGCGGTATTCACCGCGGACCAGAAGGAGAAGGTACAGCTTGTTCTTTCCGCTTGCCGCACCTGAGTCTGAGAACTTCTCTAGTTTGCTGGCGAAAGTGGGATTGTTGTATCGACCTACTCTATGGTTGCAAATACCCACAACCGGTCCCATGAGTCTAAGAAGATGATGGAATTTTTGACCTCTCGGGAATGGGGATTCATGCTACTGGATGAAGTACATGTTGTACCCGCTGCAATGTTCCGTCGGGTCGTCGGAACGATCAAGGCGCATTCCAAACTTGGTCTGACTGGTAAGCCACTTTTCTCTCTTCGAAGAAAATACAAAACTCATTGTCCGACTTATACAGCTACCCTTGTCCGTGAAGATGACAAGATAGCGGACCTGAACTATATGATCGGGCCCAAGCTATACGAAGCGAATTGGATGTCAGTTGCTTACCATATGTCCATCACTGTAGTTAAATTGTTTAATGACCGCTTTGCCTTTCTAGGGATCTTGCTGCCAAGGGACATATTGCGAATGTGCAGGTATACATCAGCCATACCTTAATTTTTTGATATCAAGATCGCTGAGTTCGGTTCATAGTGTGCGGAGGTATGGTGTCCAATGACACCCGAATTCTATCGTGAATACCTTCGGGAGCAATCTAGAAAACGCATGCTTCTATACTGCATGAACCCCAACAAATTCCAGGCATGCCAATTCCTGATTAAGTATCACGAGGATCGAGGAGACAAGATAATCGTATTCTCCGACAATGTTTTCGCTCTGGAGGTAATGTCATTTCCGAAGTCATCGACAGCACATTCACCACGTGTCTAGGCATACGCGAAACGTCTGGGTAAACTCTATATCCATGGTGGTACTGGACAGGTCGAACGGATGAGGATACTTTCTTGGTTCCAACACAGTCCCCAAGTCAACACCATCTTTCTCTCTAAGGTTTGACGCTTTTCCTTTTCAATGTCAAGGCTATTCATTCTGTTGCCGAGGACAGGTCGGAGATACATCTATCGATTTACCCGAAGCGACATGTCTGATTCAGATATCATCCCATTTCGGATCGCGCCGGCAAGAAGCACAGCGTCTAGGTGCGAACTTTTTTCCTACAAAGTCCTCCAGGGATGGATAACTGTATTAAATTTCTAGGGCGCATTTTGAGAGCGAAGCGGCGGAATGATGAAGGTTTTAATGCCTTTTTCTACTCCCTCGTATCCAAGGACACGCAGGAGATGTTTTACAGCACGAAACGACAGCAATTTTTAATTGACCAGGGCTACGCCTTCAAGGTTATCACACATCTGGATGGGCTCGAGAACCTACCGGATCTGGTGTACCGAACCAAAGATGAGCAGATCGAGCTTATCCAATCAGTGCTCATTGCGAATGAGACTGACGCGGATCTGGGTACCGATATTCGTGCTGGAGAAGGTGATCTTGCAGGTACGATTACCTCAAAGGATTTCGGTCCGACAAAATTCCCCGGCGCCCAGCGCACGACTGGATCACTGGTGGCTTTGAGTGGAGCGCAGCACATGTCGTATGTCGAGCAAAACAAGTCCGCGAACAAAACGCTTGCACGTGCAGCGGCCCCTGTTCCGCAGCGACATAAGGTGTTCGCCAAACGCGACAAGGAAGTGGCGGCCGCGAGAAAGGCAGCGCGAGCATCAGGGGCGGCGGGTCGGACAGGATGATGTGTCGGGGCCTGGAGTTGCCTGGTCGGGGTTTCGAATATGTTCAGGGTTGTGGTTCTGGGGAGTTGCTTTATCTGGGAGTACAAGCAGTCTCTCACGTGTAGATTCGGAAAGTGGGAACAGTTCCGAAGCGTCTTTGTCATGCCTGCCCTGGCGAGGCTAATGTTGCTTATCACGGCCTGAGAATGGGGGAGCAATGCAATGCATGCGGTGACCAAAGTGTTTGAAGGCAACCGCAACAAGAGGAAGCTGTCAGCAATGCAAGCTGTAACAGGCAAAGTTGCTAAGAGAGCGGGTATGCAGACAGGGGGCGGGGGGAATTTTCATTTATTGATAGGTCGGTTCAGAGGCCCAGGCCGTTGCGATCGAGAGGACCTGCAACCTAATCCAGTTGCCTTCCTGGGCTCCGGTTATGTTTGTGACAGCCGCGTGACGCAGATTCGACTAGCCCGATGCGTCGTCGTAGTCGGGCCCTTTATATGTTCATCCGATCCTGCTTGGTACCCTTTTGAACACCCATTCCGCTCCCCATTCCCGTCTTCCTCCCGTTTCTTTCTTCATGTCTTCAAAACGCGGTCGCAAGCGAAATGATAACTTGCCCCCTAACCGTGCCAGGGATGTCCAGCGGGCCTTTCGCGCACGACGCGCTGCTCATTTACAAGTTCGTAATTTCCCTTTAGGGAGAATTCAAATTTTCCACCTTATCCATAACACTCATTTGCATTTCTGCGAAATAGGCTTTGGAGCAGAGAGTGACCGAACTCGAGGAGGAGAACAATTGCTTGCGCCAGGCTCTCAACCTTCCGCTAGCAAATCGTCCAGCTCTTGGGAAGGGGCCCACTGGCAAGGATAAACCCAAGACATACGAAATGAACACTGGCGGCACTTCCATACCGCTGCGGTCCAGTCGTGATTCCTCCAGTTCTCCTGGCTCGACACGCGCAAGCTCTCTTTCGCCTGGTAACCTTGCCACTACGGTCCCTCCGCGTTCCGTGACGGAAGTCGAGGGTGGTTCATGGGACCAAACACTCATGATTAATGAACAGCAGTCCGATGTTCCCAGCTCGTCTGCCTCATCTTCCTACCCTCTTCCCCCAATGAATCCACCTCCAATAAAACAGTATACGTCGTATACGAGCCCCGTTCCGACGTCACGAAATTCCCTCCCCAGTAGCGTGTACATCTCCTCCCAGAACAGCTATTCGCATTCAGCCGACCGACCTATGTCTTCGGCGTATACGAACAGCACGGGCTTTGTAGTGCGCGATGTCCGAGACGAACCTCGCTCCCATTATTCTTATTCGCCGCAATCTTCCTTTCATGACAACTCCATGCCCTCCCAGAGCCCTCCGAACACCGCCCCGCCACTGCATTCATCCTCTTATCATTCACCACGCGAGACGTCACTTTCCTACCCACCCCATCGACGCTCATTGACAGAGCCTCAGCAGTTTTCCATAAACCAGGCATATCCGCATCTGCCAAATCCTGTGCAGCATGGGATTCGTCTTCCTTCCCCACCAAAGCTGCAGGACAGCAGTCATACCCATATGTCTCGGAACGCGTACGGACCTGACGGTCGTATCAACCCGATTCCGTGATGACCCTTAATGTCTTTGTGCGTCGCCCCCCCATATTTATTGACTCGCGGACTTGTTACAATACCAAGCAAAGAATGATATTTTGTATCGCTATCGCATTTGACACAGGGCCGACTCGTATACTTACTTACAGCTAAGTAGAGATGTAAAACACCTCGTATCCTATACCGCACACTTTACCTACCATATCCCTGGATAAATCATACCGGTGACCCCTTTTACGCCGGACTTGACGGAAATAATATTTTTTACGGGCGCCATATGACTGCATCCGCCTAAGATTTAAAGCTCAGTTGTTTAGTCTTTGCACTGTGGCGTCGGCATCATAAAGTGAGACAATCAGAAGGCCACGTGGTGGAACCGGACGAAAAGATTATCAGGGCGATTGACTGGATGATCACAATTTGCTGTTTCAGGTTCGAACTCCTTCCGGAGATCCGCCAGCGATATGTCAGCAAGTCTGCACATTGCAGAACATACATGGCTCGATGCGTGCGCCACATCGCGAGTAAAAGTACGTGTAGATCAAGGTTCCACTGCATTGCTGTGACATATTTTGTTCCATACATGCCATGTAAATATCGGGTAACAACCAAAAACTGCACCGGCGTTAACACACTATATATGTCAAAATGTTCGATCATGCTGCGACCGAGACGGGAAAGGAGGCGAGGGTATCATAGCGGCATAGCAACATGAGAAACATGTGTTAGGGCGCGAACCGAATTTACTCTGCGTTCAGAGTGCACCAATCCACTGTCCCATCGGACCCGTACTTCCGCTCCAGCCATTCATTGGCTGCTTTGAAGTGGCCGTTTCCAAGGAACCCTTTATGCGCAGAAAATGGAGAAGGATGCTGTTGAAGGTAGAACGGAATGCTTCGATGAGAATGAACGGTTTAGTGTGGTGGCTTGGACTTACGGCGCTCGTCAGTATCAGGTGCTTCGTCTGTAGGTTCAAGAGAGAGGTAACCATCAGTTAACGGGCTTCCGCAAGAAGCAGGATAATGTATACAGACCTTGTCAAGCTTGGCCACTCGTTTGGCCGCCCAAGCCCCCCAGGCCAGAAAAACGACTCCTCGGCCGAGGCCCGTATCGGCTTGGGCCAGTTTGCTGGACAGGTTGGCACCGCCATATTTATCGATAACATCGACCACTTTATCTGTGAATTGCTCCCACCCTTTCTCGGAATGTGAACCTGCTGTGTTGGCTCGAACGGTCAGGCATGTATTCAGCATGAGGACCCCATTGGTTGCCCAGGCTGTCAGATTTCTGCATTCTTGCGTCACAGACCTGCGGAAGCCAGATAAAACGTGTATTGCTCACCCATGTTTTGGGGGAGTAAACTCCGGGTATTCCGCCTTAATTTCTGCGTAAATCTGGAAGTGTCAAGTCAGCAGACGACGTGGCAGGTCGAGGCTTTTCATGAGGCCTACGTTTCGCAAAGAAGGCGGAATTGCGACTCCGAGAGGTACAGAAAAACACAGCCCTGTGGATCAAATATTTTCAGACGGTTGTGTGACTAGGCCGAAGGTATCGTATGCACCATGAGCTTGGCCACGGCCGTGATAGGGGTCTTGTCCAATGATGACCACCTTGACCTTTCCCAAGGGCGTGCTCGACCACGAGTAGATATCTTTGGCTAAGGACCACCGTGAGTTGATATGAAGATGTTGGGTATGCATTAGATAACAAACACTCACGGGGTGGGTATACCTTAAGCGGCAGTGGGCTATCGTGAATCCCTCTCACGCCTTCTTCCCATAAAAATCTTTTCAAAGATAGAAAATAGGGTTTCTTGATCTCATCTTTCAGTAATTTAAGCCTGTATCATCATATACTAAGGATCCACGCTGAAATTCATTAATTGGAAATGCGCCTACCAGCTTTTTCCCATGGCCTCGCATTCGAGTTTGAGCAGATCCCGCTGTTCATCGGTCATAGATTCTTGGAATCCTGACATGGAAAATGGGATGGAATTCAACCTTTGAACGCCAAAGCCTTTAGCTACTCCTCTGGTGCTGCTCGACGCGCCCTGACGCGCCGAGGAAGCTGGCGAGAGTTTCAGCTTCTTCGCAGAGGGCTCGGAGGCATTTTTTCCTTGCGAGTTCGCGAACATATCCATTAGGGTTCGCTGTCGCTTCACGGAAGTAGAAGCTGCCGTTGTCGTTGTCGCCGACACCACGGACGTAACAGTGGGCTTCCCTTCCTTGTCGACACGAGGAATATCGAGGTCTTCGAGATAGACAGTAGATTCGTGGGTAGATTCGCAGGATTCCATACCAGATAGTGGGAAGTAATGGAAGACAGGTTGAGGTAAAAGGACAAGGTATGTATGTCGCGTCGCGTCGGTGGCGTGGGGTCCTAATTTGGTGCGCGGCCGTTGCCGGAGCGAACTGGAGCCACGTGGCTACCTTACTTACCCAGAGTGTCAGCATTGGCTGCATCCGAGACGCTCTGCGAATGCCCTTCGAGGATTGACTTCCATTTACTTGTTCAAGCGACATCTGCCAATCTGCCTCGTTCAAGGTCATCACCGTCTCCGCCATCGTCCACGCAGGCTTCTGGACGGGGCGATTCCGTCCGTAGGATACCTCAAAACAGCCGGTCAGTTCGTAAGAGACCTACCATCTTAGTCAATACTCCCGGCGCTGCGGCCAAGGCTTCGCCTTCATTGGATTGGAGTACGAGCTATCATGCCGGTTCATCGAGGTGTGTGTCTGGGGTGTCGTCATCGTCGTCGTTGGTGGCTGACTGTTGATTCAACAGTGCTGCCTCGCCTAGGGAATCAGACACTGACGACGAGACAGAAGACGAGGGTCCTGTACACTCCCGTGGACGGGCGTTTTCCCAAAGCAGGTTGACTACCACGCACCCGCCCTTGAAACGGGCACCTATACCTCGGCTAAATCGATCCCCAGAGGGAGCCCCGCCTAGAGCACCAGAAGGTCCCGTTCCTTTCACGCGTTCTCGATCACCCGCTGTTATGCGGTCAACACCTGTCAGCGGAAAAGCCAACCCTCAACGCAACACGTCTCCTGCTGTCTTTGCGAACACAATGACGGCTGTACAGGCGCCATTCACCGTATTCCCCTCCCACTTAGAACTACACCTTCGGCTTCCTATCTTTCCTTGGTCATGGACATTTTGTATCGAAAGTAAAAAAGCGGGAGAAAGCTTTCTAATCATCGGATCTCTTATTTATGCAATATCAACATTCTCGGACTACCAACCTGCAGCATCTTCTCAATTATCTCTATCTCTATATAATTCATGGATTGTCACAGGTCGCGCTTTTCCCCTTCTAGCTTGTTTGCCCACTCATACCGGTTTTTAGAACTACAAATGCTCATTGCTATCTCGCTACTGTATATCATGTGGACTCATAGTTCAATATCAACGGGCACGACGTTGAAACATCAAGTAACCAGTCCCATCTCAATATCTCTGTCCCCATCTGTTCCACGCCCTGTAGATGGTCGTAGCCCACGGCGAAATTCCTTGTGGGATTCTTCAAAGAAATCTGATTTCGCGTTTCTGTGGATGTCTGTCCCTAAAAACTACCGGTGCGTTTTATTTCGTGAGCTCAATCGTCTTCTTAATGGAATGTGTAGGGAGGCATCAGATGATGGCATTTTGACTGGGCTATTGTTTGGGCCCCTCATTGGAAGCGCGCTTTTGTATTCTTCCTTGACCCAGTTGTCATCATCATCACCCATACTTCTTCCATCCACTTGGCGGATCGAACCGCCTGCCCGACTCAGCAATTCCAAAGGGTCGTATAGTGTCCTGGAGGCGCTAGTCCTTTCCCGTTACAACCTCATTGATCTATCCACGCTGTGTTCGTCAATTCTTTTGTTTCACGCATGTACCTCGAGTTGGTTGGAGACTCGATACCTCAAGCGACGCGATGTCCCCGAGGGCGAGCGAGGGTCTGTTCCGCGCAGTGAAGGCTTGAGGTCGTGGTACTATGTGTTATTTACTATAGTCGTTAGTCTGAGTAGCTTCACAACCAAGATCATACTGCAAAAGATCGGATGTGGTATTTGGCACCGTGAGTCAATCGGTTGATCTCAATCTCTAGATTCTTACCTTGTTGCAGATATAACGCTATTTGAAGTTATCTTAGGGGCGTTGTTCTATCAGTTCACACTATACATTTGTCTCCGCTTGGCACATCGTGTTTTTACGCTGGGCGAGCTGGGCCTGGTGTGTTTCGGCGGAACTACCCTTTTGATGGAGTTTGTAAATATCAATATCTCTAGAGTGAGCGGGCTTCACAAATCAGAGTTGCGCTGACAACTCAACAACGCTTTCCAGATATGGCCACTGACAACGCCCTTCATAAAGACATACCGTCTTCCGACGCCGCTTCTCATTTTTCAAATGGCGCTTGTTGCTGGATCGCTTCTCAGTGGCTTTATGTTATCTCCGATCCTTGTTCTCTCCCGCCACATAGCCCAACGACCAGTACGTCGCCTACGAAAACCAAAAGATAAGCTACGGCAGCGTCGACTCCTTGCGTTGGGATTCTATGTTGGGCTATTCTTGATAGTTGTAGGCTTGATCGGCTTGTGGACCCGTTGGTGCCTAGGTAAACGTGATCCTTGGCTTTGGGTCATCTTTTGGCTACTGGAGGGCAAGAACAAGTGGAGCCGACCTGGGCTCTTGGTATATTGGGCTCTGTTGGGGTCGCTGAGTGTTGCTGGATGGACAAGGCAGCTCGCCAGATCGAAGAAGTTCCGCGTATGGAATACAAATGGGGAGAACTTGATCGTTCCCGGCGCCGTCTTGACCACCTCGCAGCCCTCAGCGGAGCCGACGCCTACAAATTCCAATGGAAATCCACTTCCCTCTCCACCGATACTGGCATCTGGAGGGTCTTTAGGTCAGATCTTCGTTTTGCGGCACTCTTCCAGTGCTAACATTTCACAGCCACTGATCTCTTAGACGCGGCCGATAAGCACGTACCAACTTTGAAGTTGAATGCACGTCGAAAATTCTTTCATGCGTTGGCTGTTGTGATGTTCGCCCCCGGCATTGCCTTTGATGTACGTTTCCGCCTGAGTCACCTTTAGCTGTGTCTTTTAACAGCCATTTTTTCCACAGCCAGCCTTCACCCATCTCTGCTTTAGCGCTGCCTTTGCACTCTTTACTTTCGCTGAATACGTTCGTTATTTCGCCATCTATCCTTTCGGCGCGGTCGTACACCTCTTCATGAATGAGTTTTTGGACCACAAGGACAGCGGTACCGCAATTCTAAGCCATTTCTACCTCTTGACAGGATGTGCTGGAAGTTTGTGGCTTGAGACGTAAGTCTAGCGGCCCTTTTCGTGATCATGCGCTGATTGCTCTATTTCCAGACCGTCGCGACTTCTTCAGTTTACTGGAATTCTTGTCCTCGGCATCGGCGACGCATTGGTATTTCGTCTCGTATTTCAAAAAGTTTTTTTGTTGAACTGCTAACGTTACAGGCTTCGATCGTGGGTAAACGGATTGGTTTACACCGATGGACGCCCACGACCTCCAAAACTATTGAAGGTAGTCTGGCGTTTGCCTTGTCTATCGTTGCTTGTGCTTGGGCATTACGACTTTGTGGATTTGTCGATCCTTTTTCTGTAGGTTTCGTGCTCTACATACGGTCGCAGGTCCACTGATGCCCTCATAGACCAAACGATACCTATTCATGGTGGCTATTTCAGCTGCACTGGAGGCTTTTTCAGATCAGAACGATAATTTGACTCTACCATTGTATTTGTGGAGTATATTGGTATTGGCGGATACTTAGATAGGTAATTCGGGTCATACGTCCGGTTTCCTAGATCTCAGTGTACAAATCTCACAAATTGAATAGAAGGCTGGAAATTTCAATAATCCTCTTCCTGTGCCTTTACTCCTTATGTGCGCGCCGATCATCTCCAGTGAGACCGATCAATGAAATGGCGGGGGCGCGATCACGTGTACACAAACTAATTGCAAGTAGTATACGAGAGGGTCCCCCATAGTATACAGCACAATGCATCTGAAAATGTAAAATTTATGGTCTATCAAACGCCTCATGAAGGTAGGTCCGTCGCCGCTCTCTTCAAAAAATGATGCACAGCAACCCTTACAAGGAGGTTATCCTCAAGATCTGTCTCCTTGATGTCCCTTTGCAGCATGTTCTACCGGTTTGTATATCAACTATCACACTCGACAAGTTATCCCGTACGTGGAGGTTCAAATCTACAGTGCTATAGAGATCTACTTGGACGCCGCCTGCTCAATATCATTAAACGATATGTTGCTCCGATCGCAAAGCCCGCGGAATATCCCATCGTCGTGTAAAAATAGATTCAAGGGACTGTCGAACTCCTGCAAAAAATGGTCAAAGTCTGAGGAACATCCATGAGACTAGCATCATACACCGACCCGCCCTTCTTCCAATACCAACACACGATCGTACGAAATGATCGTTCGTAGGCGATCTGTCAGGAATTCATTGCCCATATAGTCAATACGAAAAACTCAGCACATACGTGCGATACACAAGAGAGTACGATCTCGGAATTGATGCTGGATAGTCTGTTGAATCTTCTGGTCCGTTTCGACATCAACAGAAGCTCTAAAGGTGACGGTCAATGTACTAGATATCACATTGAGACAATGATGCACTGACGTAGCCTCATCTAAAATGACTATTTTTGTGTCCTTCACCAGGGCACGCGCTAGACTGAGCAAAGATCGTTGTCCGACGCTAAAATTCGACCCTTCTGGCTCCACCACAGTGTCCAAGGTGATACGATTCTGGTGGTTTTCGACTTCGGTTGTCGAACTGTTGGCAGTTGATGGATCTTCGTCTACAAGAAAGGAACGCTTGAGAGCATCCCATAATTTTGCATCATCGTAGATCGAGAACGGGTCTAAGGTAGATCTTACGGTCCCTAAACGTGGATGTCTCTGGATCAATAAGGACACAATCTGGGAGAACGGAAGGTACAGACCACTGAACAAGATAGGCTGATAATGAGATAGGTCAGCGGGCCAATGACAAAGGTAGGGCCAATCTCACGTCCTGCGGGATCATCGCCATTTTGGAGCGTAGACTTTTCAGACCCATCTTCGAGATGTCGTCCCTAACAGTTGTGAGGCATGGATCCAGCACAACACGAGCAACTGGGACCTACCTGTCGATCAAGATCTCACCAGAATACTCTACTATTCGAAGAAGCGTCAATATGAGTGACGACTTCCCGGCGCCCGTCCTTCCAACAATGCCAATTTTCTCGCCACCCTGGATATCTAGCGTGATTCCACGAAGCACCTGAGGCATGCCAGGTCGATAACTCATCGCGACATCTCGGAACTCAATACTACCGTGACTCCACTGAGAAGTTGCTTTATCTGTGTCCATCTGATAAGGAGCCTCCTGGTCAACAACCTCTCCTTTGCTATAGCTGACAACTAGAACAAATCAATGTACTTGCATAAGCCCAAAATCAATATGTTCTTACCTCGTTCCACGGCATTCATATAGTTCTGTAATAGTCAGCAACTCCTCAACCATAAAGGTTATACTAAGTTACCTCGACTTCGGCAGATTGCCTGGTCACCATGCCGCATAATTGAGTCAGCGTTGCTTGGCATGAATAATCAGAAACGACAGGTTGACTAGACAAGTTGAACCCTTACTTGAATATGTCAGTACCAGGCCAATCTCGGCGGGACTTATTCCTGATACGCCGACGACAGCGAATATCGCCACCTGGACTTCACAATCAGTGTTACTGATCAAAATGGCGAGACTCGACGTACACAAAGAACCAACGTGGCACCTAAAGCATCAAGCCTTACGGCTAACCAGCTTCTCGAGACTCAGAGTTTAGTGGATATGACACTGTATCGAATACCTACCGCTGGTTGGTGACGGTTAGGATAAGCGCCCGATTTTCGAGATCGATATAAAATCGATTATCATTTACAAATCGCGGAATCTCTCTATATGCCCGAATCGTGGGTAGGCCTTAACAACAGCGGTCAATAACAGCGGTCAAAATGGCAGAGTTATTACCTGTCAAAGACTCAGAGAAGTGCGCGTATAGAACAGAGCGAAGCATAGCATCTAATCTCTTCATCTCTCGGGCACTCGCGCGATAGAACGACGCAAAATATTGGTAACCAAATGCGATGATGAACACAGCGATAACTAGGAAGGGAAGATGAGCCGCAATCCATTGAAGAACCAATCTCGCACGGACTGAAATAGTGCTCAAGAACGGTGATAATTACGACGGCTCCCATGACGTTGGACGTTGTGATCACGACTACAGGCGATTGAGGACATATCAAATGTGATTGACCGGAAAGAACGAACATAATCTCATGGACGCTGAAGATAATTTAAGCAACAACAAAAAATCGAGTCTGCTTGACTTACTAGGGAGCTGGTTATCAATTGCTGGATCCACGTATATCAAAAGCAGAGCAGGGTAACCTGCAAATATATTACTTACAGTCAATGTCTTTGCCAAAGATTCCCAAAATTCGTCCCATTGGCTAGATGATGAGTGTTACCCTTCGTGACAATAGTTATCAAGGCCAGCCTTACCGTTGTGTCGAAGAAAGCCATCGTAGCATGGAAGATGCGCCACAAGGCACTCTTGTGCAGGTTCCTCGATATAAGCGACGACGTTATATCGATAGAGATACCTCTGTAATTGTTTGCATGATCAAGAATTACCTCCAAACAGAGGAGATAATATGGCGTACAATATCATCGTAAACAGAGCTTGTGATAACCCGAGGCCTGCATAAAGAACCTGGTAGAAAGAAAATTGACGGTGAAACGCGCTTTCAAGGTGTCAGTCTTGTTCGGATCGTGAACAGGACAATCAACTCACTTCGCTTGCCACCAAACCAAAGTGTAAGAACTAAGAATTTGACTACCCTGCATTAGGGCGACTGCGAGTGCGACAAAGGGAATGGTTATAAAACCTCCACCGGCAGAGAAGTAGCTTCGGTAAACTGGTGGAAGATGTCAGGTGAATTCATATGATTGTAAAGTATGCTTACCCGCCCATGGTAGGGAGCCAGTTGTGCGTCGCTCTTTTACAATGAGTCTTCCTTCGAGTTTACCTGTACCCTTAACACTCGCTTGAGCGGATTTCGATTTAATCGCTTCTAGGCCCTCGTCTTCGTTAACATTCGATGCCTCTGAAGAAGAGCTGGTTCCACCGAATTCCGTCACCAGTCGAGCAAAATTTCCATCGTCCGCAAGAAGTTGCTGATACGTTCCTTGCTCAATTATACAGCCGTCGTCTAAAGTGTATATGTAATCACAGTGTGAGAGGAAGTGCACCGCATGCGTAACGAGTACCACGGTCTTCCCTTCTTGGACGAGGGGAAGAATTGCTCCGTGAAAGAGGGACTTCCCAACGTGAGCGTCGACTATGCAAGCAAGTCAGCACGGCATATTCGGGATTATAATAGAGGGACTGACCAGCAGAAAGTGGGTCATCAAACAGAAGGATTTCGGCATCATAATACAAGGCTCTTGCGATGTTCACCTGAATATACTAAACTTTCACTGATACGAAGTACGGAGAATAGACTCACTCTCTGCTTCTGCCCGCCGCTTAGATTAATACCTTTCTCCCCGATCTGAGGTTGAAACTTGAGATGAGAGTGTGCAGATACCGCAAAAGAATATACCTCGGTCAAATCTCCATCCGGCAACATTTGTAAGTCAGGAAGTAAACAGGCTTTTTCAACTACTGCCCAATACCTCGCTTCATCTAATGGCTGTCCGAAGAGAATGTTATCTCTCTAGAAGATTGTCAGCACCTTGGGTGTCAAAGAAGACCGTGCCGAGAAAAACACACCAGAGTAGCATTCTGAATCCAAGCTATCTGTGGACAATACGCTACCGGACCTCTGAATGAAACGTTGCCAGATATTCTTCTCATTTCCCCGATCAGACCTTGAAGTAGACTCGACTAGACGCAATACATCTCGGCAACATACAACCAATTTATAATTAATCTTACCTTTCCTGAGCCAACACGACCGACAACGGCAACTAAACGCTTTCTTGGCACTTCCATATTGATACTCGACACACGAAACGGATGATCGACAATCTTTTCAGTCGATGTACCGTCTTCCAACTTTGTGAGATCAGGTTCGGCATTGGAAGAAGGTAGTTCCCATTCGAAAGTCGCAGCAGCTACCTTCAGAGCGGGACTTTGTTGAGAGTTTACAACAAATGAAGCATCCGCCATTATTTCTGCGTGGAATATGCCAGATAGTCTTTCAAGCGCGTTTCGTGCATCTGCAGTTACAGACAGCGCCCTCGGCAAGAACATCATGGGTTGACGCAGTAGCTACGGAACGAAGCCGTATCAGAAAGGATGATTGCGTAAGTTTGGGACTCAAACCAACATTAAACAGACTCAAGGAAGCGAAGATGACCGCAGCATCAAAAGACGCCGTTGTGCTGGTATAAGTGACGAATGCGAGGGTGGAAGCCAAGACAGGTATTGAATATGCAAACGCTGTGCTGATATGAATCGAATAAATAGCCATCTATAGAACACTGGATACCACGTACTTCGCTGATTGGGCGTGGTGCATTTGGCGAATGCCCACTAGTTCCTTGTCCCGGATGTTGTTAATGCGTCCCAGGAGTGGTTCTTCATATGTGAAATATTTTACAATCCGCATAGCGCCTTGGTATGCATTCAGCGAGATTTGGATGTTCAGAAGATACGACGCTACCTAAAACCTCCAAAAAGGTCTTTGCTCGTTCATCCGTGAATTTCATGGATCCTGAACGGATGGAGAATCGGTGCGCCATGAGGCGTTCTTGAACTGGGGCGACGAGGAGGAAAAGCAGAAATCCAGCCAGCACGGAGGGTCCTAACTATACCGAACAATATACGTAAAGGCCTATGAAGTTTTTTGGATACTTACCTGAACGAGCAGGATGATCAAGCAGACCATCACCTGAATTGGAGCGGTCCATCCTGGAAATGCTAACTCAAGCCTCTACGACGTCGGGGAACATCCAACATACCGGCATGCTGTACAAACACTCAATAAGGGGTACAACAGTCGAGGAGTTGAACCACTTACGAACCATTGCGAAGCGGCGTCTATCCTACTGACCTGTGCCGAGAAGGGTTGAGTTGATACAAATACGGAACACGGGACTTACATCGGTGGATATGTGATTGATGAGGGCAGCGTTGGAGAATTGAGTTCTAGCCTGTCCTGCGGATCTTCGTCTAACATCACCGGAAAAAATATCAATAATAGCTTACCAGTCAACACCACACCTCGTTTATAAATCGAATGAATGAGTGCCGCACGCGCTAACACGCCGGTGGTCATAGAGCGCCAGAAAAACTAGAAGAATCATCCAAATCCAGTCTACAGCAATATTTATTGTTTTACCTGGTGCGATGCAAGGCTTGTCAAGATCACGATACAGAAGAGTCCGATGGCCATTCCTATCCCGCGGCTGACATCAGGCGCTTCAGTTCCTTCAAGACGGGCACTAGCACGAGCTTTGGCGAAATTGATGATAGCCTTTCCGTATAGTGTTAAACGTCGCAAACCGGAGAAGAAGAAATTTTCTATTAACCTTGACGAGGAGGGGCCCCATGAGTTGCGCCGTGTCTCCAAAAACCTAAGAAAATGAGATCCTTCTCGGAACGCAGTGAAAATTAGCCGACGTACCTTAAAAGCACCACCAATCCAGAACATGCTGCCGAACACATCATTGAGGGCCCATGCCAGACTCGGGTTTCGTCGTGCTGTAACGGTTTTCCACCGATTCTCTAGGAAACGAAGACGATCCTGATAGCTAACTCCATATCTCAGCGCGCATGCAATCCAAAACGCGCGTAGCATAATGCTCGGCTTTATTTCTCCAGAATCCAACATTGCGTTCCACTCCTGAGCACTTTTCACTCGACGTTCCCATGCCGCATCTAATTGCTCTGAAAGAAGTCCCGACTCTTGGCTGGAGTGCAACTTCCACAGATCCGGTGCTTGGAGAGTCCTTTGATATCCTAGCACCTAGAAAAAAGGCGTTCAAGCTACAGGTGTGGATACGGTTTAAATGCATTACCATCATTGGGGTGATCCAAGAATAAGTTAACTTGGATAAGAGGGAGGCACCTTCAAGCGGGATAACCTGAATATCTTAGATTTGTGGCATCGGACACGATAAATGATACGCATACCGGCGCGTCAGATAACGACGTTCGTGCTGGTCCAGGCGATTTGTTGGAAAGCCTGAGCGAGATAAAGTCAATTCGTTGAGTGATATATAGATAAAAAGTGTTACACTACCATATCTGCCACCATCGCTTTCTTGTTCGAAGTTTCTGCATACCAGTATCCAGTTCTAGTCGAATCGACGCATGACGCGTATCTGAGGGATCGGCTTTGTTTAACTCAATACTTTCGACTTTTTCGTTCATGATGGAGGGTGTAGTATAAAGCCTTCCTGTCTGTACGTCGTGCGTTATATAGCGGAAAGATCAAGGAACGATTACGTGCACTGAGGAACTTCAAGACGACCAAGGGTAAAATAAGGGACAAGAACTGAACAAGGACCGGATGTTGCGATTCGAATAAAACATGGGAAATTACCACGAACGTGAGACGCGCAAGCAGGCTTCCAGTAGCATTTAGTCATTCTAGATAGGTAGATGAAGAGGATGATCAAGGTATTCCAAAAATGGCACTCTGATTACCGTACTCAGTGCGCGTGCCTGAAAACCCAGTTCAGCAACTGAAATTTTCTTGGTCTGTGCCTTGTCTCTTCACAGGGCACTTGCACTCATTACATAAAGCCCATAAGTATAATGGCCATTCAGATTTACTTTGCCAGAGATTTCTTCCAAACTACTACTCCGGCTGTATTGCGCAGTGCTTGACTTATGACATCGGTACTGGTTCCGACTTTCAGCTTCATAGACTGTCTTCTTGCATGAACAATGTTAATCTAAACTCATCATGCTCTCACTGAATGCGTCCGGTTCTCACCGGAATAGCTTCGGGAACAAATGGACAAACAATGGACACTTACCCGTGTACTCATGCTCACGATATCAGGATCCTATTAGGAGTAGGGTGACTTTCTTTCTGAGCCAACCTAATGGTAGTCGTCTCTTTTTTTGCACGCAGCCAAGTCACGAGAACGCGATTCGCATCCAGTCGCTCTTCCGGTTCTGTGTTTTCTCATAACACTCTATTCCGTTCCGCTATGACTGCTCATCGGAAGCTGTTTTGCTCACGACATCCTGTTCCAAGTCCTCTTTTTGATGCTCCACAGCCGTTCATCGCGCCTTCCTAACGGTCTTTGAACAGGGGGAAAACTGACAGGTGGCTACCGCAAGCAGACAAAATCATGCTAAAAGACTTTCACTGGGATGTTTTCAACCCATCCCGTAATTGTCCAAACCCCTATCGGCTGCATCGAGGCGAAGTACACAAATATAATCTTACGGAAAACACCAGGTGAACTATCAATATGGCTTCGAACGCAGAGTTGACGATATCTTTCAGGTTTCAAACCGATGAAAACAGAAAACCTTCCCACGTCAACTAAAAAAAACACTGGTGTTCTTTACCGCTCGCTGTGGACCATGGTATACGTCGTTTGCATTCGTCATACGGAATGGATCGCCACATATTGCCAAATGAGGTCTTTTCCAATTCACCCACTAAGGATTCGCAACCTTCCGTGATAATCCCTGATTAGCCTGTTTCAGCACACCTCCGGTATCGATTAACTTCCTCAACATTAAATGCCGACGCTGCTTTTCTTGGCACCGACATCGTGTCCTCCCAATGCTATCTATGGAATAGCCGTCTAGTAGTATTCTAGGAGAGTCGAGAAACGTCGGTGCTGATTCGTGATGTTCTGATTTTGTCACTGATTTAAGTTGTGGTTTATTGCTCCACCATCAAGGTCGTACCTTTTCAACAGAAATGACATGTGCGTAAACGGAACATGACTTCTTCCCGCAGTTTTATGTTTAGTCCGCATTCCTACAAATAGCCCTCCTTATTGAAGCCAAGGTATTCCCCTCATCCACCAACATGTCATTCCAACCAGAGAACGTTGTCGACGACGCTACATTCGCTGTTTCTTCTCGTCTTCTTTCCTGCCTAGTAACTGAATCGTTGCTGCGTGCATTTTACGTCCCGCTCTCCCATGGAGATCGCGCCACTGGGATACTCATAATTCTGTCTACCACCTCACTGTCAGAACAGTCTGTCATCAACCGAGTGCTTCACTCGCGCGACATCTTTGCCGTTGTCCCCCTTCGCAACACGCCAGTTCTCTCCAATGTTGAGGCGGATAAACATGGTCGATCTGTCGGCCTTGTAGATCCCCTTGATATGCTCCCCGAAATTTATGAGCTTACTCAGAATTCGAACAGTCACATAAACGTAAGAAGATGCTTATCTTGCCTGCTTCTCGCCGTTGATTTCACCTCATAGGACGATCTCTCCAGGATGGTGAAGGAGACTTTGCTGCCTCCTCACTGGGACCTTCAATCAGTGGAACTGGTTAAAATAGGTCATCCATTGCATCTATGGCGAAAGTTCGTCAGAGACATGGTTGTCCAGGATGCCTCCATTGAGGAGGAGATCCTAAGCTCTTTCCACTGGCAGTGTAAGTTCGTGGGAGTAGTACACTATGCCGCACATTGACGAAAGATCAACAGTGGCATCATTCAAGAATCCGCCTGCTTGTCCAACACTGTTGTCTGCAGCTATTGATTGGGAGCAAAGCCTGGTGGCCGGGCACCCCACCCACCCAGTAAGTGTACACAGCAACAAATGATCACGTTGGCTTACGGACCAATTCAGATGCATAGAGCCAGAACGATTCCATTGAGTCTCTCTAACTACGACTGGTACAACCCAGTCATACGCTTCGCTCGTGTTCCCCGTTCGCGCTTGGATATTCAAGGGCCATTCGATGTCATGAGCCTGTCTCTGGCCCAAAAGGCCGCCCAGCGGGCAGGGAAAATACTAAGCATCGATGGCACGACTGTTGTTGTTCCTGTCCACGAAGTTCAAATTCCGAACATCATGGCGAAATTTCAGGGTGTCGAGATCCTACCGCCGGATATCAATATCCGAACCCGTGGGCAGGCCAGCATTAGGTCTGTAAATTTTTGTGAAGCTTAGGCGATGTCCTGAACCTATTTCCTAGAACCGTTGTAATGTCAGAATCGCCGGGAATGGCGCTCAAACTATCAGTCGGAGTCAAGATCTCTTCTTCTTTGCGCACGATATCCCATTTCACGGCCGACTTTGGTCCCAGATTCTCATCAGAGATCATTCCCAAGCTGGTAGTTGATCATGAAATTCTTTCCATCGAACGGGAACCCGCCAGCGCTGTGTACAGCGGTGTGGATCCAGAAGTTGCTAAGCATTTCACGGCAATTTTCAGGGAAACATATCAACCTGCACATGGTGAATGTGTAATAGTTTGCGCAGCTTTGCTTGAGGTAGGCCACAAGGACGTTCCTGCGGGCGTTTCTGCCGTGGAACATGTATTTAAGCTTGGCACCTATGAAAAACGGGTTGAATTCTTAGAAAGGTGAGACGATACTTGCCTTTTTCCCGATTATCGTCATTCTAACATGCAAGCAACAGATACATACGCATTGCCTGCCAGGCGTTGTTACCGCCACTAATCTACAATGGCGTGGCATTTGAAGCCCATGCACAGAACGTCCTCGCACGGTTCGACATCGAGTCCGGGAATCTGCTCGGATTCGTTGTACGCGATCTTGGGGGCCTGCGAATTCATCCGGCTACGTTGGCTGAATCTACTGGCGTCGATTTTAATTTTTTGCCGGGTCACTGTGTTGTTACCAGCACTACGGAAGAGGCCTACCCAAAATTCTACCACACCCTCATTCACAATCACTTGCAGCGACTGATCCGGGTCCTCGGGATGCATTACAATGGCTGTGGGTGGGAAATCCTTAGGCGTCACTTGAGTGCAATTATTCCTGCCGACCACGAGCTGCGTAAGACCTGGTTGGATCCTGGGAGCGAGATCGTTTCTGGGAAGTGTTTGATGAGGATGCGGCTACAAGGATTGTACCGGGATGTAGGTCTTTTCTTCAGAATTGCGTGTTAGCAGCCTGACTATCATACGATATAGATGGTATTCAGTCCTTTCCCAAACTTGATTCTGTACCGTCCTCCAAACCTGGAGACGGGCTGCGAAGTGCCTGGTCAAGAAAATTGAAGACCCTGGATGCGTTGAAATCTAATCAGAATATGTAATTCATAGCGTTTGTCGAAGAAAGAAAGTGGACTCCTTACGATAATCAATTGTGAATCCTAAGTTCTTCAAACCGAGGTGGGTATCTGATAAGATGGAAGAGACGGAGGCGAAAAGGCGTTTATCTGATAAGATCAGAAGACATCCCGTGAGAAAATCAGCCGCCATGCACAGCGCCAGAGACACTGCATCGATGGGCACCGAAACACTGCGCGACGGACAGCTTACTGCCATCAACCACAACCTCTCTCATAGAAATGTCTGGAGACGAGCTCGGCACTCTCATTATCGTTGTTCTCAAAGCCCGAAACTTGATAGATAAACACTCTTTTTACAAGCAAGACGTTTATTCTCAGCTGATCATCAACGGTCAGTCCTTTGACGCTTGATTAGTTGGTTTCATCTTATCCAGCCAAAGGAACGACAAAGAAAACGGAGGTCGATGTCAAAGGGGGCCAGCATCCTGTTTGGGATGCTGAAATCAGATTCCCGGTTATGAAGGGTACTGCCGACAAATATCGGAAGCTAGAATTGTCCTGCTGGTCGAAAGAGCCCAGAACAGATGAACTACTTGGGCAAGCGAAGATTGACATATCAGAGACGTTGAAGACGGGCGAGTTTGACGGTAAGCGACTGTTTCAACTCAACGTTAGACATCGGATTGATGCGTATGCAGACTGGGTTTTGTTGGACATTGACGGCGTCCAGCGAGGCGAAGTGTATCTGGAGATCACTTATTACTCCAATGCTCCTCCGCCACAGACAGCTCCTGTAAAAGGTCCGACGCGAACACCAGTGGCAGCTACCCTCGCACCTTCGGGAGGCGGTCCGCTGAACAGAAGGCCGTCGAAATTTCCTGCCGCTGATAGACTTGCACGACCAGCTTCCTACTACCAAGTTCCAGCCGCTTTGAAGCCATCGGTTCCGGGAAACAGGGTCAGTCCTCGCAGGGATCAGAACTTACCCACACTTTCTGCGGAATCGCGCTCGTCTTCCCATTCGCCCAAAGGCCGCGATGCTGCACTTCCGCCCCTGCCTGAAGAGAAGGTCGGACGTCATTCGAGAATACCTTCTCAACCCCAGATAGTCCCGTCTTCGCTCCGTCCTGGAAATGGCTCAGCCCCCAACTCACGTCCAACATCTGACCATTTACATCCTTCATCACTTCCGCCAACACATACAAACTTTGGATACGTAGCTCCCACTGCTAATTCGTATGGAAGCATCACACGGCCGCCAAGCTCGCTCCCAGCAGCCGACCAGTTTCATCCTACCTCACCTCCGCCATCTGTATACCCACCTTCTACTCCTGCTCCTTATGGAAATACCCTAGATGCCGCTTCTCATCACCCTCCTACGGGCCCGTATTCCGGCTCGTCCCTGCATGTCCCACCCAATCTCCCAGCGCCTCCTAAGCAACTCAATCCCTTGTGGTCCGATTCCGAGGCACCCACGGGCCCGGTCTCATTTCCTTTGCCGAATGTCGGACCGCCTGCGCCTCCTTCACCTCAGACACCGGCAAACTACGAGTACAATTCTCACCCTACCTATCCCGGCGCGCACAACGGATACCTTCAGGCACAGCCGACCTATCGTCCTCAGTCAGCAAACGAGCGCAGTGGTCTTCCTGATCCGTATCTGATCGCTCGCTACCAATCACCCCTTCCTCTTCCACCAGATGCTCAAAACTCGAAGCCCACGCCTTCACCGCCTTCTCCCACACCTGCCCGATCATCGCTTCCATCTCCAACGCCCGGTCCTGATTCATCTCGTCTTCAGGCACTGAGAGCTGCAGAGGCAGAGGCAGCTCGGCGGAAAGAACAGGAAGAGAAGGATTTGGAACTGGCAAGGCAACTCGATTTGGAACTGAATCTTGCGCCCTAGAGGAGGACGGAGATACATGGAAGTTGAAAGCCAGCGTTGTACTTTATCTTAATTTTATAGCCATATCTAAGCCCCCGCCGATCTTGCAGTAACAGCAAGGCTCGACGTACTGAATACTAGGTCCACAGTTTGTAGTATAAGTAGTGTGTGATGACTGAGGTTACGATGAGTTAAATATTATGCGCTGTCCACTTGTGTAGTAGTTAATCTATCATTATTGCGCGTCGTAAATTTCTCGGCACTAAGTTGTCCGCGCTGCATTCCTTTTGACTGCCTCAAGTCAAAGAAGAACGTTAGAAGATAGAGAGTGAAACCGAAAGAGATGGTCCATTCAAGGACGGCTAATGAATATAAGCGACCGACCAAAGAAACATGTGTAGTGGGCGAGAACAAACCTCCGACATTAGTACTTTGGTACAGTGCAACTCCGAATGCAAAGGCCAAGAGAATAAGGAGGGTGGCTATGATAGCTTTGGCGAGATATGCTATTTTCAATGTCCTGACATGTTGGAAGTCTCTGCTGAGCCATCGGAACTGAGGTGAACCGCTATCAGAACAGTATACGTACAGCATGAGCGCGAGCATAGTGCCTACCTCAATTACAGTAAAAACAGCACTAATGGCAACGCCGAGCATGAACACGAGCAAAAACACTCGATGAAGAGACGTGTAGCGCTTTGTGTCGAAGATAGATAGTAGAATGATCCCACATCCCCCAATGAATGAACCAAAGATCGACAGATATCCAAAATCTCGTTCCCTAGTGCGCATGTGAGGCACTAAGCTGATAGCCGATGAGCTTCATTGAAAGTGATGTAACAACGAACCCTACCGGCCAACATGTCTTAAGCCCCGCTCGACACATAAGGACAGGAAGAAGCACACAGCGGTTATGGAACAACCAACTATAAAGAGCGGCTTGAGAATATCGGCGCCTAACACGAATATGTTTAATAGACTGATGCAGAACGTTAACAGGCGGATTCTGCACCAATATCAGATATGTACGCGATGGAGCCGTCCATGGACACTATGAATGAAATCAACATAGGTTCGACCTCGCTTCAGAGGAAAGGAACGAACCATAATGTGGTCGTCCAGTAGCCAGCCATGTTATCAGCATGGATAGTAAGGTAGCTGACGAATACTATGAGAAATCAGGAACACGAGGTAATGCCGGGGCCACAGTACAGAACCACATGAAACCCCCAAGAATAGGTATCCAGACATAAATCCAATGTTGATGTTCGCCACTCATAGAGACCAGGTTAAGGAAGAGGAAGATTTAGAGAAGGGAGAACAGATAACACCGAGGCCCGAAGAACGGACATGTTGTAATATGTGAATTTCGATCCAAGAATGCCGGTCGACACGCGTTGACATCATTGCTCCACGAAAAATACGCGTATCTTAAACTCAGCATGATGCCTTGGGGAATCTTCGGCTGCTAGCACCACTGTGACTATATGTCGCTGATGAAATCTACACCGGATAAAAGACAAGGATTCGGAAGAGAACGAGAATGTCACGTGCATGGAAAACTTCGAAATTTGTCCACCTCCCTGAAAACCTGACTGGTGACGTAACCGTGTTAAACGAAGATTGTCGTGAGATCTCCCAGTGGACCCTCCAAAGGTACCCTTGCCAGGAAACTTGCAATAACAAACCATCCGAGTCGACATTTTCTGAACGAGTGTACCTCCTTTGAATTCACTTGAAGAGGACCGGCATATTTGATGGCCCGGGAACGTAAGGATGTTGGTGAGCATTCCAGCCTCAACAGCAATTCTCTCGCTACTTCTTGATAGCTAAATTTGGCTTCATAGATCTTGGAAGTGTGCTCGTCAAATGCAGCACTGATTCAGTCTGGCTTTAGTGTTGCATTATTTTGGACATTTCGTTACTCGGTGGTGTCCAGCGTAATCGCGGTCAAGTTGAATGGAGTCAAGCTACGGTACTGCTCAAGACCTGTATCCAAGACATTGATCAGCGCCTAGTAGTAGCCAACCATTGATATCCATCTCCGCAGCCTATTACTTAAGTACGTTTCTTCACAGATCCTCTGATACGCATCGTATACAAGCACTCATGGGGCCACCTTTACTCGTCAGCTCCGCGAACAGCCCATCACGTTCGCCATTGAAGCGCCAGGTTCCGATTGCTATATTATGGGGATTGGAGAGCCTCTTCTTCAATGGTCGTCTCAGCGCTGTCTTCTTTCTGGCCCTACGCCGTTGCTCTCTTTGTTTGGGCAGTGGTCAAAGTTATCAGGATTGGTCATCGTGAATCAGGATTACCTCCAGGCCCCCCGACTGTGCCTGTACTGGGAAACTTGAATATTTTCCCTACAGAAAACGTACATTACAAGTACGTCGTCAAAGATTTTCAATGAACAGCACCCACACGCTTACATTGATAGGTTTACTCAATGGGCGAGGGTCTACGGCGGAATCTACTCGGTAAGTCGACGGTTGCCTTAGTGGGTTTCTACTGGTCTGATTTTGAAATATCCAGCTGAAGGTCGGACCTAGCACGTTGATCGTGATCACAAGTCCTGTCGTAGTGAAGGAACTAATGGACGGTCGAAGCACATCTACTTCGGATAGACCGCCCCACTACATGGGGACACTGATCACCGGTGGTCTAAGTATAGTGTTAGTGGGAAACTGTCAGTCAAGGTCATTGACAATATGCATATACTGATACTTCATTGCCGTAGCAAAAGTATGGCGAGCGCTTCGCAGGGCAACTCACGCGATGTTGGCTACACAGCCCTCACTAGAACATCTGGTCATTCAGAAGGCGGAGGCCGCGCAGCTCATGTACGACATTTTGCGATCACCTGAAGTTGGTTGTACTCCCTTTCCCTTTGTTTCATCCAGAGTTGATACTTCCATGACAGGCCTTCTTTACTCACATCCGCCGTTACTCGAATTCTGTCATTTTGTCTGTACTATATGGAAAGCGTTGTCCGCGCCACGAATCTCCAGAAGCGAAGGCATTTTATACAGTGAATCGTCTATGGAATCACGCATTGGAACCTGGAGCGCATCCTCCTCTAGATCTGTTGCCTTGTCTGAGATATCTGCCAGGATCGTGGAAAGACCTTTGCAAGCAGGTTAGGACACTGCAGTGCCAGCTGTACTTTGGTTTACTCGATGAATGTCAAACACGATTGCAACGTGGACAGGAGACTGGTTGCTTCATGGAAAGTGTATTACAAAACCAAAAGTTTTTCGGGATGGACCGTGAATTGACCGGGTAGACTCGAATCTTTTTCATGTTTCGAACAACCAAGATTAAGTTCATTTTAGGTATCTTGGGGGTGCGCTTATCGAAGGTGGATCTGATACGACGTCCTCTTTCCTTCATTCCTTGATTCTAACTTTGATGGCGTTTCCTGACGTTCAGCGAAAGGCGCAGGAAGAGATAGATAGGGTTCTTGGTGATCAGAGGATACCAACCCTCGATGACTTCGCCAGTCTCTCATACATACAAGCCGTCATTAAAGAGGTGAGTCATTTGAATTAGACAATTTATCTTCCGAGTTTGAACCTGATGCATCCTTCTTTCGGGCAAGACTCATCGATTCAGACCAGTTGCTCCTCTTGCCATACCTCACGCGATGACAGTAACTGAGACGGTAAGGGCTATGGTCGTCCCTTTGCATATTCTCAATGTTGTGTCAGTATCATGGTTACACAATACCGAAAGGTGCTACAGTATTTGTCAATACATGTGAGTTTTTTATCACTGTCCTTTCACAATTTCCTAACCTCGGGGAAGGGGGAATGTTCCATGATCCAGGTTCGTATCGAAATCAGGGTGTTGATGACTATCGAAATCACAACTCTTTGATTAGACGCGTTCGAAAAACCCGAAGTTTTTGATCCTGGTAGATATCTAATAACAGAACATGGTACGAAGCCTGGCGTCGATGATAGTTGCTACCGGTCAACTCTGGCCTTCGGAAGCGGAAGAGTAGGATTTTAATGCGTTGTTCCTCCCTATTTGTACAACTGAATGGCTTTCTAGCGCATATGTCCTGGTATAAATTTCGCTAATAATTCTTTGGTGTGTGCCTCATGCCTCATGCCTCTGCTGCTGTTTTCTTTTACTGAGCTTACTATAGGCGCTCAATGTAATGAGTCTCATGGGCTTTTCAATTTTCTCCGCCTCTTGATGTCGCCACTGGTAGGCCGCTTCCAGTGGACATTTTTGCCTACTCAAAGGTGCGTTTCGTACAGTCAGGTATACCAGACTAAAGGACATGTTGTACAGGGTATAACTACTGCACCTTATCCATTCCAATGTCAAATCACCCTGCGCAGTGACTCTAAGGCGAAGCTGATCAAGGTAGCTTTCCTTGATGCGGCAGATACATTCGTCAGATTCGAGAACGACATATCCGCCGAAGATAAGGAATGGATAAGGAATTATAGATCGCAGTGACGATGATGTGCGATTGTCTGAGCGCTGGTAAAAAGGAAGATACCTGGAGGTAGTGTTCAATCACGAGGTGGCGAAGACAAGAATCGCTGCGACGTGTTCTGTGCTACTTAAAATGATCATTTTCATATTCAGACGGGCGGTCATCTTGTCATGTTTTGAAGATCAACACTCGGGAAAGTTACAAGACACTAGGTCCAGATGTCCAGGGTTCAGTGTGGCTATCTCATAGACAGGATCTTAGCCGATTTTCAGTGACGAGCACTGCATTGGTTACCCAAGTGGACCCTATGACATCACCGCCTAAAAGAACATTCAACGTTACGAGAAACTCTCGTGGTCTATCCGCCAATAGGACAACTCCTTAATATGTCCCATGAAGCTAGCTAACATACGGGTATTCAATGCCCGACCGATAGCTCTATATATTTGGCTCGATTCTTGTTCGGAACCAACGTCTTCGTCCAAATGACCGTCACAGAGTGGACTACTTCGTTCTACATATTCGCCCTCTTCCTTTGGGTGGTGCTCAGGTTGAAGAGGATTGGAAGCCGCGAGCCAGGACTTCCTCCAGGACCTCCGACTGTACCCCTGCTCGGGAACTTGCATATTTTTCCTGCGGAATATGCGCACTATAGGTGGGCCAAGATTCAGTCTATTGTCCTGACAGAATACTAGTTTACTCACCCACTCCAGATTCACGGATTGGGCGAGAATTTACGGTGATATTTACTCAGTACGTTGGCAGCAGCTTCCGTTCTGAATTTTACTGAAAAAAAACTCACAGCTCAAGGTCGGACCTGGTACGGTAATCGTTATCACAAGCGCGGCAGCAGTGAAAGAGTTAATGGACAAGCGAAGCGCCTCCACCGCAGACAGGCCACCAAACCACATGGCAGACGTCGTTGCCGGTGGCTCGAACATGGTGTTGTCACGATACTGTAAGAAGGAATCACCTGATGAAATTTATTCAGATCTTGATATGACCCTATTGAAGCGGATGTGTGGAGGGTGCTTCGCAAGAACGCTCACGCGGTGCTGACTCCCAAAGCTTCCCTTGAGCACGTTCCCATCCAGAGTGCAGAGGCCACGCAGCTTATGTATGATATATTGCAAACGCCTGAGGTATTCTCATTTCCCCATTCATCGTGTCGAAGTTGAATGACTCCGTAACAGGCCTTCTATACCCACGTTCGCCGGTACTCCAGCTCCACCATACTCTCCATCACCTACGGAAAGCGATGCCTGCGCTACGAATCTCCTGAGGCGACATTGTTCTTTAAAGCACAACATTTATGGGAGCTCGTGCTGGAACCTGGAGCGCATCCCCCTGTAGATCTTTTGCCTTTCTTACAGCACCTTCCGGGAGCGTGGAAAAGTCTTTGCAAAGAAGCCAGACGGCTACAGCGCCAATTGTATTTCGGTTTACTTGACGAGTGTCAGGCAAGACTTCAGCATGGCCAGGAGAACGGGTGCTTTATGGAAAAGGTTCTACAGAATCAAGAACTCCTTGGCTTGAACCGTGAATTAGCAGGGTAAATATCTTCGTTGTTTCCTTGGCTCCGGCGCTACATCTCCGTAGGTATCTTGGAGGCGTTCTCATCGAAGGCGGTTCAGACACAACATCCTCGTTCCTGCAGTCTCTGATCCTAGCTCTTGTGGCATTCCCTGAAGCGCAACGAAAGGCCCAGGAAGAAATGAACAAGGTTGTGGGTGATCAAAGGTTGCCCACGCTCGACGATTTCGCCGATCTACCTTATATACAGGCTATCATCAAAGAGGTCTGTTTACCTTCGAAGTTGCCAACGGGTCGGTTTCCTCATGTACCCTTTCTCTGGCAGACCCATCGGTTTAGACCGGTCGCTCCCGTCGCTATTCCTCATGGGATGTTGGCGGCCGAAGAGGTGAACAATACTCTCATTGCTTTCTGTTGCAACTAAGTTGTGTTAGTATCGTGGGTATATGATACCGAAAGGCGCAACAATCTTCGTCAACACATGTAAGAGTTTCGATCTCGACTACCATCCTCACTTGTTGATTTCGAGTAGGGGGGATATTCCATAATCCAGGTAAGAACCCAACGCCTAGCTTGAATCTATCAAGGTCGCAGACATTTTGAACAGATGTATATGACGAACCCGAGGTCTTCAATCCAGACAGGTATTTGTTAACAGAGCATGGAACGAAGCCGGGTGTGGATGACAGCCACTTCCGCTCGACTCTTGTATTCGGAAGTGGTAGGGTGAGTCCTCCTTGATACAACCATAATAGATCTCCAATGACACTCAACAGCGCATATGTCCTGGAATGCATCTTGCCAACCACTCCTTGGTAGCTAAACTTTCTTTCTGGAATGAATCGTGTTCAAAGCGTGTACATAGATGATCAACACCATGAACCTCATCTGGGCCTTCCAGTTCTCTCCTACGAAAGATCCTGTGACTAGTGCAACCCTTCCGGTAGATATCTTTGCATACGAAAAGGTATGTTTATTGCGTCCGTTCTACGAGCTTGTTAGAACCGTTGCTACACAGGGAATTCTCACCGCGCCTCGGCCGTTCCAATGTCATATCGCACCACGAAGTGAAGGCAAGGTCAATTTAATTAAGAGAGCATTTCTCGATGCCGAGGATGTGTTCGTCAAATTCGAGAGCGGAATAACAGCAGAAGATAAGGAATGGGTAGAGAAATACAGGGCGCGTGTCATGTAATCAAACGAAGGGATGTGGAGGAGTGACAGTGGCATTGAGAAGGGCCAGGTCTTTTTGTCGCCGCTACAATGCGCGTAACACTCTTTTTTTTTTTTTTTTCAAGTGGCAGATGATGAAACCTGAGCCAGGTACTGCCAGGTAACATGGAAGAGGACAAAGAGTGTATATATATGATTTAATCAGTGCGACCACAACCTTCTTGTAAAGTGACAGGACGGGGTAACTTGGCACAGAAGTCCATATGAGCCGCAAGGGAGTGGGCCAAAAAACCTGTGATTTATTTAATGCCGAGGAATATTGTACTCGGGCGCAGAATAACGACAAGATACTGAGTAAGCGACGCACTGGGCGTAGCAGATATATATGGCATCACGATCGGGCGCTTCAAACATTCATTAAAACGCCATGCTATTGGAGAATGATATGAATAGAAAGTGCCTAGGGTATCGATCTCAGATGTAATAAGTGAATAGAAGTATTATCTCCGAGCCAGCCACGCATCAGTGCTATAAGCGACGGTAAAGGTCACCTAGCACATGCAGTCTTGGACCTACAAAGTGCTTCCTGGGTCCCTAAGTCAATCCGGGGTAGAATATCTTGCGGTACGACAGGAGCAACGGGTCAGAAAGGTCACGTGCAGAAGGAACGGTATACATGAAATTAAGTTAGGCGTACGGCAAGAAGCCAAGTGAAACAGAGAGGTGCTAATAGTCGTTTGAGCGAAGCTAAGAAAGAAGGGAAATTCGACCATTAAATGGAAGGCTGAAATGACCTTGATAAGTAGACCGTTCTCTCTATCCGAGTAAAAGGACAACTTTTTCTGATAGTCTAGCATTTCTGGAGAAAAGTATGACGATGACGGAGTTATAGACCAGAACCACCGGATCAAAAAAAGAGATCAGTGGTGGTCGTCATAAGTACACATGTGTCGTTAGCAACATTCTTCATAGTTCGTGGCTTAGAGCAAACATTCCTATGGTTGCGTGGTGATAAGGCTTGTACCATGCGCTTATAGAATGATAGCATATCGAGATGCCAAGTCGATCTTTTGGTCCACGTTAACACTACTGGATAGAGGTATCGCAGATAAGCAGTTCACCGCGGTGGCGGGAAGGCGGGCCCAGAGGTTGACCGCAAGGGAATTAGGGTCGGGACCGGGCGCTCGGGATAAACAAAGTATAGCGCCACATGACGTCAAGGGCGGCGGACTGCGGCGTTATTTTGGTTCCGTCGGATGACCTGTTTGCTTTGTCAATAACAAACTGTTCACTTAAATTCAGAGAAATACTGGGATCAAACCTGAAGACAACCAAGTAGGAATATGGGACTTGGATCTGCAATAGGATTAGAAACGGGACAGACCGCAGGCGCATAAAGCACCAGAAAAGGCAGAAAGGCGTCGCATGCTTGACACGCGTGACGATACCGGTGAGTCACCGACACGAGACAACGCAGTCCAATTGAATCCGTTGAGTCCGTGATTGCTCGATGACTCGGTTACCGGACATTACAGATATCCGACAAGGCAAACATTTCCAGCAGAAGAAGTCAAAAGAAAAAGTCAGAAGACTCGAAAGACAAAAACAAGCGCCTACACTCGGCGGACAATGCGTCGGAACAAAGAACAAAGACGGAAGAAGCACGGAACTGAGGAAAAGAACAAAGGAGCCTGCACAGCCACTTCAGGGAAGTACCGGGTTATGTAATCCGGGACTAACACGCAGAAGTATAAATAAGCGGAGGGTCCCACGTTGGCAGGCCTTTTACCCCTTGATGTCCACGTCGATTGCTTTCACCCCTTCGGTCATTTCGTCGTTCCCTACTTGTAATAAACGTCTTTTCTCAACGTCTGACATTACTCCTGCCACCCCCGAAGACGAGCCGCCCTACAAGAAACAGTGCAAAAGAGCCTCAATGTCCGGACTCAGGAGAACCCGCTCGTTCCTTTCGCTGTCGGACCTACCCCGGCAGGAGGATCTACAACAGTCGATGTACCTGCCACAGAGTAGAGGTAGAAGCCGGGGCCGTGGAAGGAAGATGAGCATGTCACTGGCAGAGGGGGACTTTCGGGCGTGTTTGGAAGCGTCTATTGCTTCGAGCCTCGCGCCTATAACCCATCCATACAGCAGCGCGCAGCGGCCGCATGCTTTCTCACCGGAACGGATCGCGTCTAGCTCCTACACCTCAGCGCCACGTGTCTCTTCTCCCTTATGTCCTTCACGGCGCCCTTCATTCATATTTACTTCATCTACCCCCCGTCCTCGCAAGGGGAAATGCGAGCCGGACCTCCATCGTATCGCCATCCAAACTTGCATGCGTTCGACGTCCGAAGGCCAAAAGATTCTGGCAATGGGTCCGCGGTTGGCCATGAACATTGTGTATGCGACTCGGGAGTTGGAACGCATGGTTAAGGAACGCGGACTGGAAATTTTTGACAAAAGGATTGAGGAGGACATTACCATGGTTGACTCGACAACTGAGCCTTGGATCAACGTGTCGGGGGAGCGGACAGGCGATGATTGGGAGATGATCAATTGCGGCGCATAGGCTTGTCACGCTTCGACCCCACTCGGACTCACTGAGCGCCATCGCACTATCGTTTCGGGATTTTTGGGACATTCATCTGTACTTTTACACGCATCTTGGGTTTTGTTATTTATGTTGTTTTCTTACTGCTGTTGTATACCTATCAAACACTACCTTGCATATTCATTCTACATACCAGACTAATCCTACGATATTCGTCCCCTGTATCAAATAAGAACTTTGGAAATCACTGAACTGAATACAATGGTATGCGTGCGCAGCCAGACTGTGACTTCATACCCATCTTGAATCCCGGCGTTCCGTATTTGAAACATCCCTGGCGGAAAATAATTCCATTCCTATATTGCTGCGGAAAAACTATAGGGGTGCGGGTGCAAACGCTAAAACTTTAAGGTCGCATGACTACCGCAGCCCTTGCTCTTTTTTCGTATCAAAATGCGCCACATAGCTTGTGGAAGAGTGGGGCTTCTAGCCTTGAAGGATGGTTACAGAACCTTATATTGATCCACCGACAAGGTGTGTCCTTAGAAGCACATGAGTTCTAGAGATTCCAGCGAAAGGGAGAGCACCAAGGCTCAATGGAGATATCTTTGACACAGAGAAAGCCAGAATGAAATGCGTCGTTACTTGGATAAAGGGCCTGGAACCAGTTGCTACTCCGTGCTCACCCCGAACCCTTTCTCGTGACACACTTTAATTCCAACCTCTACACTTGGTTCGCTCTAGAATGCATGAGTTTGGACGCCGGTTTCAGAGCTAAGAGCAAGAAGTAATCATTAAAACAAAGCTGAAGTCCTTCTTGCGGTTCGGAAGAGTGATCATCTTCAATATGCCTGGACTTTGAACTGATATCGAGGATCCTGAACAGGTCCTTTAGAGGTGGGATAGCACAGAAGAGAGTACCAAGCTTAGCGAAGCCTGGAAGAGAGACGAAAGATTTCTTATACGGTGTTGAGAGAGGAATGACGGACAGGTGACCACTTTCGGCAGAATAGCTGTAGTATTTATATATGAATAAGTCCTCATGAAGAAAATTAAATGATGCAAGAAGTCGCGTAACGGAGTGATGAAGATAAAAAGGAGGCAGAACAGAGTCCGCCAATAATCGATAGTCGGGGTACGTTGTACCGAGCTCTCCAGAGAAAATCAACCTTATGTCGGAAGAGTCGGATGCTAGAATCCGAGGTCAACGAAAATTTGTTTCTCCATTAGAAACCATCGAAAAGGTCGGAAGGTGAAGAGGTGAAGTGTAGGTGAAGTCCAAGTCTAAAAGATCGATCTGATCGATCAACGAGGTAAGTATCGGCAGATCTGTGATTTTTTTTTGAAGGACTCCAAGTGGCAAGGACACGGATTTACGACACAGTTACTTCGTCACTTCCATATGCTCTCATCCCCATAGAAACAAAGATGTTAGTATCGATGGAATCCGACGTCGAGCCTGAAGCCAGAGGCACGTGCGGTGTGATCTGGTGAGAGGTGTCACATTGGATTGCGGGCCGGAGTTCGACTGCACTCAAACGACAGCTTAGTTTCCCTCTTCATTGGTTCCATCTCTATGCGGTCGCATCCGAGTTTGTATAACAGTCACATCATAGTTTTAGTTTTCAGAGAGACACCTAAAAGGTGTTTGGACCCATCGTATCTTGACTCACCAAATATCTCTGGTAGTATATCGCTTAGGACAAGCGCTTGTCACCATACACGAGTCTTTCGCGCGGAAGCTGAGTTCGTCTCCCAGTCACAGAGTGATTTTACCTCCTGGGATGGGTCAGTGTGGCCAGTTTCCTCGGCTGTTCATTCCCGCCGCATATTTCCGCTCCTAATGATGTTGTTCCAGTTTAGTGACAAGTCCGAAGTCGTTGCCTGGTGATTATCTGACTTCCCTACGTTGTACTCAAAATAAACAGACAGCGTTGTATTAATTGGAGAACAAGGATTTTCTGAAGGTGCTGTGCTACAGCTTCTGGTACTTAAGATACAAGAAATGAGAAACCTCGGTGAATCTTCCCCAATCGCCAATTGCTGTCGTTGTAGCACTGCAAGTTCGTACGTTCCCCGCCGCCGTCTTCTTTCTAATTATACAAGCTCATCCTTGATTAGTAGAAACCCCTCTCACGACCGACTGCTCTATCCACTGCCGTATATCAATCAACTAAACAAACATGTACATCGACACAAACGATCGGAAAATACCACCGCGTCCCACCCTTCCTAGCGACAAAAATAGTCGTCCTCGTCCGTTACCCAAGCGTCTCCTTGAGGCATCAACTTCTTCTCCTCGTCCTCTCAAAAGAACCAAGACGGCCCCGAGTTCGAAGGATGGGCCACACATACTGCACTCATATAAACCACAGCCCCCTTGGCCTTTTCCGTATGACGAAGACCAGTCCGACGGCTACGAATCCTCAGACTCTTCGTCCATTCAGTCCGATGACACAGACGAGGATGATATACTATCAGAGTCTGAAGAGTTTCTGCTGGGTGCGGCTGGCACAAGAGAAAGGACCTCCCAACGCGGCGCGCATGGCTGTGATACGGAGGGCAATGATGCGGGAGTCGGCGATTCTTCATTAAGCCCGATGAACTCACAGACGGCTGCAGCTGTGGAAGATGAGCCTTCTGAAGTTACGCAGAAGCATTCTGTAGAACGTCAAACCGATTCGGCGTGAAACCGTACTCTTTTCTTAGCGCTCTGTACTTGTCTTCGATTGGTCTGTAATAATTGTATCTTGGCTGAAAGCGCTGTTCCGGCAATAAGCAACTCTCCTCCAGCGGATCTCTTCCCGAGGTCAAATTCAAAAGGTCATACGTCAATGCTTGTTCTTCGGAGCCGGGAGAGGACCAAAGGCGATGTCTGAGGCGCAAATAAAGCTGTATGCGGCGCCTGCGTTATTGCCATGGCTTCTCGAAGCCTCAACAGTATCTTGTAAAGAACCGGAGGTATTTGGGTAGAGGGTGGAAGCTGAACGGGGAGGATGATATACTAACACCAGTGAACTAGGTTTAGCTGTGCATGGCAATAGATACGGGAGAAGGCGACTATCGCACATCGAAGCTCGTATGGACCATGTACAGCATTGGTCAATACATTGCTTTTGTGAACAGGTGTCGATGGCGCGGGGAAGAGATGTGAAGAACCGCGTGCTATGCCGGCTGGGCCATATGGAAAGCGCAGCGACATGCGATGGCCCCGCGATTCGGAATTACCAGTTGTGTTCCGTCCTGGAGTTTGATACAAAGTATTTGTTCCGTCGCCGTTGAGTCCGAGGTTATCTAGTAGTGGTAGTCGCACCGGCAAACGATTAGTCTCGGACGGGGACGAAACTAATCCAACATAGGACGACAATCTCCTATATCTGTGCGCAATATTGTAGCGACCAGTGGTAGGGTTCGACCTCATGGTCAAGTCTGAAAAGAGGTTTGCGTCTCTCAGCGTCCTCTCACGACACTAAACATAACACTTACATGAGACTGACGAAGAAACAGACTTTGCACTTACCAATTCAGTATCTCTCTGCCAAGAAAGACATCACGAGGGAAAGATGAAGTCCTATCGGACATAAATATAATAGAAACATGGCGAGACGTGAACGTCGGATGGCAGTGCAAACCGCTTACAGTTCCAGTACTTTGTACTAGCTGTGACTGTAGACGGGACAGTCGCGATTGGTTAGGCGTCAGATGCATCAGGCTTCTGAGAAGGCTTGGTCGACGAATGTTGGTGGTGCTTTGCTAAAAATTGACCGTGATTACGATCATATCACAAACCCGATCATCAAGGCCTTCTTTCCTTCCTTCCTTCCTTCCCTTGGCTACTTCGAAAAGTAGTCACTCGTCTCGCGGATCGAATGCTCCCATTATTGAACACGTCTGCTCGGCGCTCGGTGCTGTCCTATTCCTTCCTTTATCCCTGCGAATGACGATGTCTGTCATCAACTTCTCTGTACACGCCTTCGGGCGTCTATCTTATCCTTCCCTCGTGCTTTTAAAGACAGGAGGATCACTATGAAGGATTCATCACTAGATATGCCTGACCCCCGCAAAAGTGAAGATGAACGCGACTCTAGCGATGCTCCTGCTGCAGAGATTCTGTCATCCTTTGCTCTGCCTCGACATCGCAGGTCACTTGGACTGAGAACTGGTCCGGGGCGTGTTCATTCGAAAGGTCTGTGTCTAAATATATTGTCGAAGAGCTCTCCTTTACAACCTCCCAACAGGTAATGACCCGCTGGACTACGAACAACGATATGCTGAAGATGCAAGAGGCGAGGAAATGGGTCCATTTGCCCGCATCTGGAGGATCTTCCTGGATGAATGCACGAGATTTGACTCGGATATGGTTGATGATTGGAGAGATCGCCTGGATGTGCTACTCGTATTCGTGAGTCATCATTTTGGTCTCTCAGTATCACTGCTGACAATATTTAGGCTGGCCTTTTCTCCGCTGTCGTCTCAACATTCGTCGTACAGACTTCTCAGAATCTCCAGGCAAACTACGGCCAAGTCTCCGCGTCATTCCTGTTCGAACTCATCAACATTCAGCGTGCCATTGCTAATGGAGTTCCAGTCAACGATATTCCTCGTTCCGAATTCTCCCCTTCCACCGTATTTACACCCAGTGTTCTTGATTCATGGGTGAATTGGCTGTTTTTTACCAGCTTATCCCTCAGTCTCAGTACTGCCTCGGTAGCAGTACTCACTAAGCAATGGATACATCACTATGTTTCTGTGCCCTCGGGAACTCCGAGAGATCGCAGCCGGATCCGTCACTTTCGATACATAGGATTGCAGAACTGGCATGTGCCAGTAATCATTGGACTCCTTCCTGTACTCATGCACGCCTCCCTGGGCCTTTTCCTACTTGGCTTGACCATCTATCTTGTACCATTACGCATCGAGATCGCATATACGGTCGGCACTATGTCACTTTTTGCATTTTTCGCTTATTTTGCCACGACCTTTCTTCCTCTCTTCTACGCTCAATGTCCTTACAAAACACCCTTGTCTGCTTACGCATATTTGTTGTACAGTCAATTTCGTCATATCGTCCTTCCCAAACTTTTCCGTGCCCCAACAACAACATCGTCGCCTCGAATGTTCTCCATGAAGGATGCGGAAGCGCTGGCGGTGAGCGACACTGCCTATACCACGGATGCTCGCGCATTAGCTTGGCTCCATTCCATGTCGTCCAATCCAATTGTAAGGAGTGTCTCCATCCAGTCTATGAGCGCTCTTTCTCTCAAGTCCACGAGCACGCTGAAAAGCGAACTCGTAGATATCGCAGCTTTGTGCCAACAAGGGATAAAGCACACTTTTGAATCCGAGTGGTGCCCAGACAACCAAGATATCATGGAGGCGAGGGTTGAGCGGTTCCTCCGCGCATATCTTCACTTTCGGACGGAACCGGGACTCATTTCATGGCCCTTTCCCCGCCAACCACATCTCGATATTCATACACAGCTCATCTCCTTTGGTGTCATTGAATGGGGTACCGCTGTAAACCTACACCCAATCAGTTGCCGATATTTGCGTGCCACCATAACGGGCTCATCCAAGGAGCGGGCACAACGCCAACAACCCATTGTTTGGGCCCACATCTTGAAGAATGTTCTCTTGGAAGGTGTCAGAGGGCTGCTCTGCACGGAGAGCAATCATTTTGACGTTCACCTGTATCGAAAACTGCTTCAAGCATTCCCACAAGACTTTTGGTCCCCCAGTTGGGTCGAATCTCCCCTTGCTTTCCGAAGCGATGCGGTACAAGGTATTGGATGGCAATTCTGTCCGCAAATCGAAATTCTCGATGTTCCGGGCTGTGACTCTCCTGTCTCATTCTTAGATGCCGTCCATTCTTGTCTTTACCCATACCTCACCAAGCTCTTAATCGAGCATTTTACAGGAGGGAATAGTCGCTTTTCGCTGGCAAGAATAGCTGATCGCAAGCATCCAGTACAAATCCAACTGCTCTTGGCGGTGCTCGAGCTGTCATGCGAACGGGCGTGGATTTGGAACGATGCAGGGTTATTAGTTTCCACGGTTCTCGCTTGTCTTGAACTGTATCTCAAAGACATGGACGCTGACGAAGCCACTTCTCCTGCCAACCGAGAAATATGGACGGCCATCTTCGAAAGCCTCTGCTCGGTAATGCAGTCCGATGCATTTGGTACAATCGATGGTCATATCTCCTGGCTCGACCAACGGTCCATTCTCGAGAGCTTCACGATGTGTCTTATGAGAATAGGCACCCGAAGTGAGGATCCACCCTGCTTTGCTCCATGGCCGGTGTTGGCGCGAAAAATTATTCAAACTCTCCTCGAAGATCGCACTCCGCAGAGACCAATGCGGGCTGGACATATCTTTTCTCACCCACTGATTGCACCATATATGTACGAGACTTTCGTGCGGAATAGGTGTTTTGATAGGATCCGGGAGACGCCTTGGACCTTCCACTATTTGGTCGTAGAAGCGTACGTCGATGGCCTTGAGCATTTATCCTACCCGATAGATAGGCAGAGCGCCGCGCAGCACCTTCTCACGACCGACAATCTTCTTGTTGTTTTCAAAACCGTTGCCGCATCTGGGTCAAAGGAATGTTTACAGAAATTAGCAATGATTGGACCAAGAGATCCTGTATGGGAAGAGATCTCCGATGCATTCGATAATCGCGCATCAGATGAAGAATTTTGGACGCCATATGTATACGACTATGAGGGAGAAGGTACCTGGGAAAGGTATACTCAAATGGTTGTCGATTTTCGGTTTTTTTTGATAGAATGTGCGACATCCGAGTCGAGCATTGGTGAAAGTACCCTCCATGTAGGTCGCCTGAATTTTGCTTCTTGGGTGCAAGTTTAGATTGACAACCTTCACATAGATATCCACTGAGGAGCAGTCGGCCATCCACCTGCCACCTCCTGACCCGGAAAGATTTTCGCGGAGATGGGTAGTCTGGAGACGACATCCTGATGGGACGGGAAAGGGTGATGAATGGGTGGAGACGGCATGATCGCAAACAAGACCCAAGATGCAGCAAGGGGACATTTAAGCAACCGTCTAAGTACCTATATTTGTTACTTGTTTTCACCTTATTAGCCTTGCCGTCGAAGATGAATTCCGTCCGAGTCGTTACGTCGCCAAGACGCAGCTGGTCTGTCAACTACGACCGTCGATTTAGACCCGCTCTTGACTCTTGACAAATCGTCCTGACAGCTGCAGGAACATCTTGAAGTTTCCCACTACTACAGGGTAGATAGATTCAAGTGTCGTTGATAATCGACTTCGTCGACTATATGATTATTGACACATCTTGTGGCCCTTACAACAGCGACTTTATTCCGCCGATCGTTTTCACAGCAAACCGCAGTGTGTTGCCCCTCAAGCTCATCGTTTGTCGACGTCCTTGGATCGGGCTGCAGTCCGGGAGGATCGCACGCCCAGTTATACATACTCCCAGGCTATCATGGGTCGAGCACCTAGACCTAACCTCGTTCGCGCTCCAGAGACGGTGCATTCCACGCCTCTTCTCGATTCTCAAGGGTGTATTTCCGGTAGGGAACTCCAGATCCTTCGAAAGCTCGCTCGCAGTCTTATGGTTTTCTTGGGTTCCATTACAGTCGTCAACATAACGCTTTATGATAGTAGGGGACATGGGGATCCATCTGCGGATTTTCAATTCCGAGACGGAAAGCATCCCAGGATTTGTCAATAAAGTACTGGTAAGAACTCTTCTCTGTGTGCCTTTTTCACAGGTGATTGTAAAGCAGCAATCCCCGATACGCCGGGCTTTCGGGGCTTGCTAATAGGTTGTCGTCCCGCATGCACATGATAATCCAGAGCTATCCGGATATATATCTAATGACCGCGCATGCAGACTTGGGTCGGCAACGGATCCGAAGATTTCTTTGCAGGTACTTAGGAGCAGAGGAATTAGCTTCTCAATCCTCTCTTGGATGTTCTAGATGTTTGACGCTTCTTTCTGGGCCACTAATATGGACCCTTTTACTGATTCTCCGATTCGGGCTGACATCGTCGGTTCCGACATAGCGAGCCTATTCCCTTTAGGCTGCTCCATGATTCTGTCAAGCGAGCTCCATCTTGCAGTGAAGCCCCAATCGCCACCTTTCCAATCATGCTAGATCACGTCGTCCATCGATTGCAGTCTTAAGGTCATTAAAGAATGCCTTCTATGTTTCAGTCCAGCTAAGTAAAAGTATAATCTATCTCCAACCAACGGTCCAATCACCGTCTTCCCATTAAAATCACCAATCTGGAGCCAACGCCTATATTAATCATTCGTCACAGCTACAACTTCACATCGGAAACATGTAACAGGGCCGAACCAAACAGAAACAAGGCTAGTAGTAATAAAATGTTCAAGTAAAACAACAAGCAGAAGATGAAGATGTTATGTATGAGCACATAGGAGATAAAAGTGAAGCTTTTTAAACAACAATCGGAGCGTGAGCGATGTCATTTTCGAGCATAGGAGCGAAAGGCGAAGGCGCGGCAGATGGACAGCCACCACAGTCAGCAAGTTTCTTGAATATCTATTGAGAAGACATGAGTAGCTGAACGGAAAGCGGATGAAGGAAACACTTGCCCTGACAAAAACTTCCGAAGACTGGCCGCCACTTATCTGCCATCTTTCATTGATGAGTATAGTCGGAACACCATTGAACCCCTTGTTCTTCGCTTCTTCGCACAGGTTGTGAACCTCATCCTCAAGTTCGTCAGACAGAAGGAATTCAACGGCCTGGATAAAAGATGGTAGGCACGGTGTGACGAGGAGAATGAAAACGCACGAACCTGCTCCTTGGGCATGATCTTAACATTCTCAGCGATTTGAGCAAGAACGTGAACGTCGGCGACGTCTTGTCCTTGGTCGAGATAGGCTTTGAATACACCACAGAGGAAAGGAAGCTGTAGGTTTTGCCCGCCGAGGTGATACGCCTTCCTTGACATCCGATGGGCTCTGGTGGATGCACATATGACGCCAGTGAACGTGCTAGAGGCCAGTCTAAGTAACGACCAAAAAGCAACAACTCCGAACTCACATATTGATTTTCCGCTCCTCTGCCCACTTCATAACAGAATGCTCCGCAAAGCTCTCAAACGCTTCTCTGCCCAAGTGTTGCGTGAAAAAATCGGCTCTGCTAAGCTTGGGCGAGTCTTCGTTGAGGATAGTACGAGGAATGAGTTGGAAGGGTCTGAACTCGATATCGAAGTTCAACGGAAGACGGAGAACAGCTTTGCAGTAGGAGATGGCGCTGAGCAGTTCATGATGGCCTATGTAGCAGTTCGGGCAGACCTAGTGGTAAAGGCTTGAGAGGATTACCCCAAGTAAAAGTATTTTCCAGCGTACCAGGTCATTGACGACAGTTATCTTGATGGTTGACATTACTGCCGGAGGGTGAGAAGGTAACGATGGACTGAAGCCCTCGAGATTGGATTATAGGAGTCGCAGTATGGGGGAGATAGCAGGGGGAAAAAGCCGATATATGGAGAAGGATGCAGTCAATGGCGAAGGAAGGGCGGGATGATCATCAAAAGTGTATATAGCTGGTAAAGTGCTTACACAGGTCCCTGCGCGAGAATGGGTCGCTTACTCAATGGCTTGGCACCTTGACAAATCATTCGTCACATCGAAGACGTCACATGCATATGCTTTTGGAAACCGGAGGCCTTAAGTTCTCTCACGCCCCCGTAAAATAACCCTGCTGCTGCCTTCAGATATTCCCTATACTCATTCCAGTATCTTAGAAGTGAGGAAGGACGAGGGAATGTTCTGTCTCCCAGCCCCTTTGACTATGTCATCCAGTCATCTCGGTCTTCGGTATTATTACCGGGTATATTGATAACCACCCACTGCGTCTGAACGGACGCCGCCGCCGGAATATGTTAGTAACGCTAAGCTGCTTAGACCTGCGGCGCGAAATCGGGGTATATTCACCTGCCAGCAGTAGCTATTAGTATGTACATGGTTCGGTGTTCTGGAGTGTGTGAGAGAGCTGAGAGAGCTTTTACAACACGGAAATACTAAACGAGGCAAAAACGGAGTTCACGGAGATTTGGGAGATTTAGATTTCAATATTGTCCGAGAGCGGAACTTGAACAATAAAGATAGCGTATCAGCGAGGGAAAAGGCAGTCGTGTTTAGAACTTCCTCACCAAATCCAGCCTAGTCCCAAAAACTGTCGTCATCATCCTCGTACTCAAGACCAGATGGCCAAGGTTCCACATAATCGCAATCCTCGATAGTAACCATTTTTTCGAGCAGTTTTAGCTCATTCTTGGAACGGAGAGCAGATCGGCTTCGACGATCAAGACGCAGAAGGCGAAATGCGCTACTCTTTTTCACTCGAGCAGTGATCAAGCGAATAAGCAAATCGATATGTATAGGTTCCATTTCTCGTATGGAAAGAGTCTCCACCTTCTTCCAAAAAGCAGGTATGCCATCGTTTTCAGTTTCATCGCCGGTCCACGACAATATTAACAATATCGAAATGACAGCCAGGTCACAGTCGATGCTGGTGAGCGACGGAAACGCATCCACAGTGTGACCTAATTGTGTGCTGGGAAATGAGCATGCGCTCAGGGTGAGAGACCGGACGTTGGGAAACCGACTGTCACCCAAATCATCAATATCCCTAAGAGTAAGGGAGTGAATCTGGGACAAAGGTAGTTGGGCCATTAGCATATGAGAGCGGTCGAGTTCATTGGTGCCGCTGATACGAAGGGACTGAAGGTTTGGAAGGTGGACAGGTGTAGATTCTCTTGGCAGACCGGGTGTTAGCTTCATTCTGGACAATGAGAGATTGATTAGTTTTGTCATGGACCCAAGGAAAACCCGGCACTGGTCCAAATGCAGTTCATCCATATGAGTCCCATCTATGTGAAGTGTCGTGACGTTGCCCAGGGGCGGCTGGAGGGGTCCTGAGACGCCAGAAAGCCGAACGAATGATAAAGAACCTGCTCCGCCGGATAGAATCTGAGGTTTCACGAGTTCGTATTGTGTTTGTTGGTGAGGATGATGGGGTTGGAATTTGATTCGGATAGATAGGCGTTCGAGATGCGGCACGGCTAACACTCGCATCTTTTCAGCAACATCCTCGATCGGCGAGAAGTTGTTAGCTATGGAAATGGAGAGTTCGTTGCATCGCCATAAATGTGCGGCCATGGTATCAAGTAACACTGGCCAGGGAAAATTTCCGTTGACCTGCAAACGCATGCTCAGCAGGCACTCGTCCGACCGGCTCAGATACATATTTAATAGCTTCAACTTCTTGAAAAAGGAGCCATCCGTATGCTTCAACCCTATGTTGATGAATATGCTACTCCAGAGCATAGGTGTACCAGTGGCAACGGCACGCCAGGTACTAGAGACGTGAGAGGCAGTGATGCCAAATGGAGAGCGGGAGTGGATGGCATCTTCAGAGCAAAGCATGAAGATGGAAGACAACACCTCGAATGGAAGAACGGAAATGGGCGCGCTTTGATTGAGCAACTGCTTGTGTCGCGCATGAGCAAGCTGCAGCTCTTGGTCTACCTCATTGAACTCCTGAAGCAGGCGTTGCTTCCGGTCCTCAAGCTCTTTGATACGGCTTGCGGTATCTCTCATTATAGTCTCTCGGGTTTCTTCACCTGTCAAGGAAGGGTAAGTGCCCGTTGCTCGATACGTGCTGAACGAACACACATTCCATGACCACTGATTCTCACCCTGAGAGACCAGAGCGTTGCGAGCATATGCTATTTTCACCGCTCAGAAAACGCGTTTCGTGAACAATGCCACGTTGCTAAATGGAATGTTGGATAAGAGTGGTGCCACAGCAAGTGACCAAGTGTCAGGAACGTATGCTACCTATACATAGATAAAGATAGAGCATACATCAAATTTGAGGGAAAAGGAAGTCTTACGGCTCACAGGCTAAAAGTACGTGACTACCTTGCCTGGGTCGTGTGTCACTGGTACTGGTAGTCGAGAATGATCAGGGCTGACGCGCTGGCGCTGCCAGGCGGGCCGGCTCAGGTCCGCCAATGATCCGGAGGTTTGATCCGGGCGCAGCGCCTCACAAATGGTGCTTCAACAATCATCAGGATCCCGGCATGACTCCAAGACCGCCCTTACACGACAACCACAACAAAGAACGCCCATCTTGACGACCATTCCTGCATTGTTATGTGTTTATTGTGACATAAATTATTCCTGCAGGCTATTGTCACCACATGGAGCGAACAAGGCAACATCCTCCCAAGTCCCTCTTTGTCCGCCCAGTTGACAGCTTGAACCAGCTCAGGGAATCATATAAGTCCCTTCATCGACAAGATTCTTTATCTCTACCCGGAATGTCCTCCTTCCTCACCACGAAGAACTCCAGATCTTTCTCTTTGACATTTCCTTTTGGCTATCAACTCGACCTCAAGACTAATGTTGACGGCATGCTTTCTGTCAAATTCGGTAACCCACAAAGTAGCGATGCTGGGTCTCTCGGTGCCTTGGGTAGTTCTACCGAGACGATTGACAACCTGGAGGCAGCTATCATCGACCGGCTTCCCAGCATGTATGACAGCGAAATTGTATGTCCCTTTCTTTTATGAGTGGCTCTTCGACGTGTTGACCCTCATCCTACAGACGGATAGTACTGAGCCCATAGCAAGAACCCCATCTCCAGTTCCGACGGAAGTTATCGAACCTGACCCCGAAGACATCGCCCAGACACTCAAGAGGAACGGCATCAAAATGCGCGATTATGCCTATGAGGCTACTATTAAGCCTGTGGCAGAGACTTTTGATGCTCTCATCGGTATATCGGAATACGAGCATCGTTTGAAGAATACACATCCTACACGACCTCACATCAATGGGAAGACTCTCCACCGCCTGCTCGAAACTGGATATATTTCGCTTGAGGAAGCAACGACGAGATGCCACTCCCAGGATATGTCGGCGTTGGCGGAATACCGTGCTAGCCCGAATGCGTCCTACCCGTGGCGGGCGTTGCCTTTGAAGGAGGAGCATGAAGTGAAGTCTTGGTCCGTAGAGGAGCGACAGACATGGGTGGCCAAGTCTCAGGTAGCACTGGCAGCAATAGCGTCTCTACGCTGTTACGATCGGTGTGTTGCACGCGAGCGCGCTAGGTTGGAGAGTGAGGAAAAGGACAGGCAGATAATCGAGGAAGCCATGCGGCTCTACCGGGAGAGAGAAAGTGCAGAAATAGGGGCGATGAATAAGAGAGCCCTAGATGACCCCGAAAAGGAGCTTAGTCCTGGCAAGAAGCAGAAAGTTGCTCATGACCTACCCGTTGCATTGCCATCATCGACGACGGCAGCCTCAGTACATGCGCAGCCAAGTCCGACTCCACTCCCGTCCGCCCCTGACATGGCGGCGCCCGCGCCACTCGTCGCCTCTCATCGCCGTATAGGCAGCACCACAACACCGTCGGGCATTGAACCTAGTGGCCCGGTGAGGCCTAATTCTTCAACATCACTCCTTGTAGCCCGGCCAGCCGCCGAGGGCTTGGTAGGACGGCGACTTTAGCCAACCTCGATTCATGACTCCTCTGGGCGTCTAGTGTTCTATCGAGCCGACCTTCTCCTTACTGCCGTTCCTTTGTCAGGCAATTACGAGTCACGGATATGCGGACTTTTTCAGATGAACGATACCGCCAGGTTGTAGGTCAAAGATGTTTAACGTAAATGTATCAGTATCCATGGGGTCGTCTGTGTAACTGTAGCCCTAGTATTGCTAATCGGATAATTCACCATGCTTGCCGTGGGTAGCACAGAGTTGCTCCCTGAGTATCGCGCTTTGATCCTGTTCACTTAGGTCGGAAACGAGGATGCAAACGCCCCACAACGTGGCTTCCAACTCATATTCGTATTTGAATATATCTGTAGGTAACAGATGAATTGGGAGTCGGGGCATTCAGATCTACCGTACTCGAGGAATGTAGAATTCGCCTTGAGAAGACTCAAGGAAAACACAAGCGATTAAGAATTCCTCTTTGGCAGACTCGCTGAACGACTGAAGAATAGGAATTATTAAAGGCGTCCATTCAAAGCCAGAACTGATGGCTGATGGAGCGCATTAGAATCATGTTTACCTATCACGACGAAACAGATCAGTCACAAGATGAAGGAGATACAATGCATGTACGTGTTGCGGAATACGTGCCCCAGTTTGAGGGTAGGAGAGAAGCCTCCCACGGTTCATAACAGTTCATGTAGTAGTGGTACACGTTTCTGAAGACGGCGCTGGCTGGGAGAGGATTTATGTGTACAAGGGCCTTCATTGATGGGGTCGATAGCTGACATATTGTGCGCCAAGCTCAGTATACATACACCCCGTTTACAAACTGGAGTGTACCTCCGGGGTAAGGATTCGGGATAGCCAAAGATCGACAGGTAGCGAGACCCGGTTCAAATGGATGACCGGCAGTGAGTGCAATCGGGGCATCATGAAGATGGTAAGGTGCTCCGGGCCCGGTTTAATGAAAGCATGCTAAACTTCCTGTGAAGGCTGCAGATTCCGACCTCGACCACTAGGTATATGCCGAAAGGGTGAGCCTGAGAGCAGGGTCTAGAGGTGGGCGTTGTTTCGCTAAAAGTGCCTTGTACCACGGAGTGCCGACAAGGATGGTCTTTGTGAGACCCCGGTACATTACCTTATAGGTGCAAAGTTTACGTTGTTGAACAAGCTGAGAAGACTATCCAGATCTGGTAGATTTTCATATGGTGAAGCAAAAACTGGTTGAGTGTAACGGGCGCTAGTAGACCAGGAATGATACAATCAGTCACGGCGGCATTTTAACAGAATCATCAGAAGAAAGGCGAGAAAGGCGCCGCTAAAGGACAGAGCAGTAGGACGAGTCTCATGACGAAATATTGCCGATGGTGCGAGCGGTGGGCCACATAGCATTCATAAATGGCAAGGGCATTGCATGCCGATTGAACTAGAAGGTAGAAAGGCAAAAGCAAGGACAATTGTGGGCGACGTCGGTGCGACACAATAGGAGACGGCCGGCAGTGCCACGTGGTGAAACGGGATACTCTATATAGAAAATTCAGGTCCTGTGTGGTTCTTTCCTTTTACTTTCCACTGGGCTTGCTCCCAGCCATACCCTTCTCTTTCTCTTCCCGCTCACTATTACTGTCTACATAGTCCACCATGGCTACACCCCATGTCATCGCATCTTCGTCTCCGCACCCTTCACAGTCCTCCACGTCGAATGGAATTGTTGGAAGCCACTATCGGGTTGGAAAGAAAATTGGGGAAGGATCTTTTGGTGTCGTGTTCGAAGGTATGCTCTACTTGCTCAATATACTCGACTTTCCTTGTCGCCGCTTGTTATCCAAAATCTCGTTTCAAACCATGGGCTACGTATCCTCTTGGCGCTTCTTGTGCCGACCTCTAGGACCGCCCGGGGAGCTGTATGGCCAAACAAGGGATTTCGCGCGACCTTTCTACTTTGTTTGCTGGCTCTTTGCTGCTGTGCCGTTCCTTCTGTCATCGCTGTTACGACTGTCATTGTGCCTCTCAACACAAACTAATCATCTGTGATGCAGGCACCAAGATGCTCTCTAACACCCCCGTCGCCATTAAATTCGTAGGTCAATTCACAGTCCCATGTCTACTGTCTCCAACAACTCTTCGCCAGGAACCTCGTAAGTCCGACGCCCCACAACTTCGAGACGAATTCAGGTCGTACAGAACCCTGAATGGCACTCGTACGTACAAATGGTTCTTTCAACGATTTACGTTTCATCCATTTGAAAAAATGCAGCTGGTGTTCCACAAGTGCATCATTTCGGTCAAGAGGGTCTTCACAATGTTTTGGTCATCGACCTCCTTGGGCCGAACTTGGAGGATCTTTTTGATATGTGCGGTCGCAAGTTCTCCATCAAGACAGTTTGTATGGCAGCGAAACAAATGGTGAGTGTCCATGCAGGGCGCCCTCAAATTCCGAAGCTTGGCTTCGTCTTTCGTACTGTTTCCGAGGGTACCATCAACGAAGGCTCCTCCTCGCCGTCACATATGTCACACGCTAACATCAGTCGTTTCGATCTAGGTTACTCGCGTGCAGGCCATTCACGAGAAGTCTTTAATCTATCGCGATATCAAACCAGACAACTTCTTGATCGGTGTGCCGGGTACCAAGACAGCTAATACCATCCATGTTATCGGTACGTGACTACAGCTTTATTCTTTCTGTGTGCCTGTGGAGGCGGCTCAGTCCTTTGCCGTTCTTCTATCCTGGGCCATTAGTGATATTACTGAAACTGATGGTTTTCTTAGACTTCGGCATGGCAAAACATTATAGAGATCCAAAGACGAAGGTGCATATACCTTACAGGGAACGAAAGTCACTGTCTGGCACCGCGCGATACATGTCAATCAATACTCATCTCGGGCGCGAACAGTCAAGACGCGACGATCTTGAATCGCTTGGCCATGTATTTATGTACTTTTTGCGGGGTGGTCTCCCATGGCAAGGTCTAAGGGCGGCAACTAACAAACAAAAATACGAAAAGATCGGGGAAAAGAAGCAGACAACGGCCATTACGGAGCTTTGTGAGGGATTCCCTGGTAAGATATCTTACCTACATATATTTACGAGATAGTTGAATAATTTTTGCAGAGGAGTTCGCCATTTACATGAACTATGTCAGGAAACTTGGGTTCGAGGAGACTCCCGACTACGATTTCCTGCGGGAACTTTTCACCAAGGTCTTGAAGACCTTGGGTGAGCCTGAGGATGGCGTGTTCGATTGGATGCTTCTCAATAACGGTAAAGGCTGGGAGGCTAGCAACGTATGTGATGCATTTTTGTCTACTCTCCTAGTTTCCATATTAATGTATCCTCAACTAGTCGAGCTCGCACCACCTTGCTCAAGCTCATGCTAATGCAGCGTCTCCTCATGCTCATCGCGAACATCGGCGAGACCGTGACCACGGTCACCGACGATCGCGTCAAAATGCGGACCCCAGTTCTACATCACCTCTTGTCCTTAGTCCGGCACCAGCGCATGTCAAGAGCAGTAGCCGGCGACCTCCTGCTCAAGAGAGAACGAACTCAGCTCGTGATATTGGTAGTGTTCAGCCTCTTGCCCCAACAAGTCGACGGACTAGCCAGCAGCAGCGGGAAGCAAGTGCTCTGGCAAGCGTCGGTATTCCCCCTCATCCTTATGCCGCTGCTCCCAGCCCAAACGGGTATCGTTCAGGAGCAGGACGCGAGTACGGACGACACTCACCGAACCCGAATGGACTTGCCAATCTCCATCCCAACGGTTCCGAGTCATTCCTGTACAACCAAGGAAAGAACGGAACTAACTCTCGAGATGGAACGACAACTGGCGGTACGGGTACGCGAGATCTGCATGGACATACAGGTGCCAGAGGAATGGCTGTGTACGATCGCGATCAGATGGCAAGAGTTGGAGAGCAAGACGAGGATATAGGACGCAAGAAAGGCTTCTTCGCCGTGTTTTGTTGTCGGGCATGAGACGAACTGCTGCGGGATGGTTATTCGTTTCATGCCCGCGTACGTGCCATGTGGTATTTATGTGTTTGGTACGCTTTGCTTTCTTACCTGCATACAACGTTTAATAATGATCGTGTAAGGTTATGGCACTTAGATGACGATTACGACTGCTCTAAAACATATACACCTAATAATTGTTTCGCCAAGTGCATCACAGTCATCCTCATTCACGATCTTTCAAGTCTGTTATCGCTTTCATATAGCACGGTTCTGGGTCTGCATTCGTAATGTAGTTAATCAAGTACATGATGATCTCGCTTTCCTTCATGAACTACGCATCTCTATATGTAGGGTATTCCACGTTATTTTTTTTCATTTAGTCTCATTCATCATTGTATTATTTACCATCATCCGTACTGTTGAACCCGCTGGAACATGAATTCATTTCATTGCATACCTTCTTACTTCGTCCGGGTTCTCTCGGTTCTTTCGTATTCCTCGCATTGTGTATTGTCACACTCATGTCACGATTGTTGCCCCAAAAGGTAAAAGTGATCATCACCGTATCTCCCTGCAGCTCTTCTATTCTTAATTTCGATGGCCGATAATGATATCTCTGTTTCACGCGAGGTTTCCGCAGACCTGGCAAGGGCAGCAAATGCTCTTGAGAACATGCAGTCACAGTCTCATTCCTCTACACTTGGTGCCTTGCTCAATGTTCCTCCGGCACTTTTCGGTGCTGGCGGACCAAGGTGGGTGCGACTACGCACGTTCATGACTTCTCTCACCGACATATCGCCAGGCTGAAGCAATTCGATGAATCTGCTGTTAACAGCAGGAAGGGATCGCAGGCTCCGACGCCTCCACAGTCAGTAAAGGGCATCGGAGGCAAAGGTGCGTTGTTACTTCTGAACCAGACAGGGCCGATTGATAGGCGTTTCATTGTGTAGTTCCCAAACCTGATTATTCGGAGAGTAAAATCGTTGTCGCGATGGTTAGATACTAGGCGGTTGTTCCTTTATCGATGAACCAAGCTAACGTGTTGCTTTTCCTTTTGTTAGGTCGGGCTTCCTGCTCGAGGAAAGTCCTACCTCAGCAATAAGCTCATGATATACCTCAAGGTGCACATTGAATTCTCCCGTGGCAGACGGAACACTTCTGATTCTATCTGATACAGTGGCTGGAGTACGATGTGAAGGCATGAAACGATTCATATGTACTGGGACGGTGCCTGGTTTTGACACCATTTGTCCAGGTGTTCAATGTTGGACAGCTTAGGCGAACACGAGCTAGACAAAAGGCACAACAGTGCGCTTCATTTCCACCTCATTGAACCCTTGCTGATCTTGCCTCAGAAGCGGGATTAAGGAAGACCATACGGCTTCTTACTTTAGTCACAACAATACCGAAGCGACTCAATTGCGGGAGCGTTTGGCAGAGGATAGTCTTGAGATGCTTATCAAGTGGTTGAAAGAAGGGGGTAATGTTGGCATTCATGGTATGTCCTTTCATAGATTTTTCATGCTAAGCTTGTAACGGTAAAGTCCACAACAGACGCCACAAACAGCACACGAAGTCGTAGGTTGGTTCCTGTTCTCTTTGAGTAATGTTTCAAGGTATTGAACACGTTTCATACGCAGGGCCAAAATCCAGGCTCGTGTCGCGAAGGAGAAAGGGATGATCCTTATATTTTTGGAGTCCGTATGCGATGATCCTGCTATCATTGCTGCAAATGTGGCTTTGAAGGTCAGTTCGGGAGATCCTGACTACAAGGACACGTCTCCGGAGGTGGCCAAACGCGACTTCCTTCGTCGTATTCGTGAATACGAGAAAGTCTATGAGACCATCACAGAGCCTTCCTTGTCGTACTTGCGGATAGTTAATGTGGGTAAGGAAGTGACACTATCACGAATCAATGGGTATCTCTCTAGTCGAATCGCTTTCTACTTAATGAACCTTCATGTGAAGCCACGAAGTATATATTTTTCGCGGGTATGTCTTTTCCGAATCCCCGGAATTAAATGTGGCTGATTTCGATCTTATAGCACGGGGAAAGCCAGTTCAACGTTGAAGGGAAAATCGGTGGAGATGCCCTCCTCTCTCCTCGTGGAATGGAATACGCAAAAGCATTGCCTGCTTTAATAACGCAGAGTGTAGGAGATAAGCCATTGACGGTTAGTGTCCATTGTACATGGATCGCTGTGCCTACTTATTTCTGAGGTGATGATTAGGTATGGACATCTACACTCAGGCGTACTATTCAAACCGCCCAAGATCTTCCTTACCCAAAACTTACCTGGAAATCCTTGGATGAGTTGGATGCCGGTGTATGCGACGGGATGACATATGCAGAAATTGAAGTGAGTATACAGATGTCATTGTCCTAACCCATCCATTTTTCTGACTCCTTATAGGAAGCGTATCCGGATGACTTCGCCAATCGAGACGAGGACAAATTCAACTACCGCTATCGAGGTGGGGAATCTTATCGCGACGTTGTAGTCCGACTGGAGCCCGTTATTATGGAGCTTGAACGTCAAGAAAACATCTTCATCATTGGACATCAGGTACGAGTTGTGCAGCTCCGTTCGGTACCCCTCAGAAAGGCTGATACCCCACAAATCAGGCTATCCTTCGCTGCTTGTAAGCATGCTGATCTGCGCCGCTTTCGGAGTTGGTGCGATTAACTCAACACTTGATGTAGATACGCTTACTTCCATCACCTTCCGCAAGCGGATCTTCCCTATATCAAAATACCGCTGCACACCGTCATCAAATTGACGCCCAAGGCTTACGGCTGCGACGAAGAGCGGTGTGTAGTGTATAAGTTTTGGACTTTTGTGGATGAGGCCTGATAACTCCGTTGCAGCTATCCGCTTCCAATCTCCGCGGTTGACACCCACAGGCCAAAACCGAAGTCGGGGAACCAGCCTACGGTCCACGTGTCGTCTGCGCGACAATATTTTTCTGAAGACGTGAAGAATTAAGTAGAGGCTGAGATTCATCGAAGGATTATTTGGGGGATATGAGGCTGTCTTATAGATGTCTAGGCCACGGGATACTGTACACATCGTATTAGTAGCTTGTTCTAAGTAATATTGGGTCTCGTCCACGATAAGCAGACAAGCAATGACACGATTCGCACGAAGACTGCTTCCCTCAAGTCGAGACTGATAGAAGTTCGGCAAGTTCGAGCCCCAACGACAGGCAATACCCGGAGTATTCACGGAAGTCGTATGAGCCACGGTCTTGAGTTGTTTCGTGGCATGCTACAAGGAGCAGTTGACACGTATGGGCGCAGTCAGATATTCAATATTCAATGTTCACGGCTCCATATACAAGCAGTTTCCCCAAGACTCCACTCCGGTGTGATCACGGTCTAATTGAGTGGCGTGACGTGATCGAAGTGTTACCCCAGATCAAGAAACTGTATTGACACGATTAAATAATCCCAGGCCTTATACTGCCTTATATACCAGCTCCCATGACCATGTCTGTCTACTCTTGTCTGCCCACCTTGCCTTCTGCCCTCACTCTGCCATCCTCAACGATATGTCCTTCACCATTGCTCGCTCTCTGGCATCTAAAGCACGTCCTCTAGCGCAGCGCTCGTCGGTAGCGACGCGCTCGTTCCATTCACCCTTTGCCATTCTCGGATCGTCGTCAGTCACAGCGGCACCACCATCAACCGAGGGCTGGTACGAGAAGCAGACAGAGCAGTCTTCAGACGTCGACGCGTATGATGGTCACCGCACCTATGTCGTCTGTCCCGACCCATCCAGTACTCCGTACCATGTCCCATTGGGCGCATACCCGGTCTCCTCGCCTTTCTCCGAAGGGTCCTATTCAAGTAGCGCTCGATTCAGTTCACATGGGAATGGGTTTGCGCATCCAATGACCACTTGTACTGCGCAGAAGACCGAATCAAAATGAAGACGTTGACATCAGCGGCCCAGGTCGGTCTCAGGTAGATATTTCTCCTTGAATTTTCTTCCACTTAGGCTTACCCTTTATGTTCACAGTGATCTCGAATCCCGAAACTCTTTCCTCCTTTTTGTTCATAGTTGTCTTTCTGTATCAAGTACCTATTGGTGCATCTTGTCATCGCTGGTGTATTATTACTACATATCTTCTTTCTTTCCAGCGTACCGACAGACCTACGTACAATCGTGTGGCTACCTTTTGATATGTTCGCACTTCAATTTGAATGGTCGACGCTCCAATTTGAATGACTAGAAATTGAATCAGAAGGGTTACCAAGTTATGCGACGTTTCACCTCGTGTTTTTCCGTCTTCCCCCGCTCGCGAATCTAGGTCCGTACTGTTTCCATACACTTACGTTATTTCTTTGAGTAGCATACGGCTAACGCTTTCCACAGGATATAATCTTGCAACTTCGCGCTGGATTTTCTGCATCCGACTATAATGTGGTTTTTGGATAATCATATGAGCTCCCACACAAGTAGTACGTGGTGATACTCCAACATTGTCGTAGGCTGGATATGACTGAGTATCTCTATGTGAAACTTGGTGCGTCTTGGCAAATTTGCCTCTTTGCCGTATATAATTTCATTCCTTTTTTCCAATAGTAATATTCGCATCCGGGACTTTATGCAGGGACGACAGTAGAAAAAGCCTCACAAGGTACAAAAGAGCAACCATCTCTTCCGTCCTCTCCTTATGGCTGCCACCGAACAAGTAGTCTGGATGATGCTGACCTGGTCTCTGTTGTCTTCGATCTTATGCCTGTTCAGCACTGTCTTTGCTCTCAATGCTGATGGCGTTGTTGTTGCGGAGGCTTTACGGTCCACAAAGTGTGCTGATCCATCTATACGAAAGGAATGGCGCGCACTGTCTTCCAGCGAGCAGGCTGATTGGATTACTGCTGTTAATGTGAGTGTGAAAATTGAAGTGTCGAAATTTGCTGTGAACCTGTAAACAGTGTCTGTCGCGTGTCCCTCATGATCCCAATGTAGCAGGAACCGTAGACCGGGACATCTCCCAAATCCCCGCCTTGACCAATGATAGCTCGCTTTTCGATGGTGAGTACCTTGTTTACGATTTGTCGTCCTGGTTTTAATTGGCATTCTCTCGCAGACTTCGTTTATCTGCAGTACGTCTCATTACTGTTGAATACACCTTCTTGCTGAGTATGTTGAAGTATGGACCTCAATATCAAGGTAAAGTGTGGCACGACTGATATCAGATTAGATAGTGCTCATCTGTACTGTCGCAGATCCATTGGACTGGCTACTTCCTGCCTTGGCACCGGCTGCTCACGTTCAAATTCGAGCGTGCCCTACAGGATCACTGTGGATACACCGGAACACAACCGTACTGGAACTGGACCCAAGGTAAACGGTCTCTTCAACATTTCCCCTTGTCCTGATGCTAATAACCTCCTCAGACGCATACCAGTTTGCTAACTCTACGATGTGGGATGAAGATCCTGCTAGTGGACCAGGCCCTATCACTGGCGACGAGGACAATGATTTCAGCTTGAGCACGGGTGGATTCTCCAATCTGACGCTTGCTTATCCTAGTGAGCATATCTTGCGGAGAAATATGACTTTGCAGCCGTTCCTGGTGCTTGGAAACCTTTGGCCCGATAATCCCGACGAGACATTGTGCGTACTTCAATGTACAATATTTGTTATATTTGATAGATCTGAACGGTATGCAGGGACTACTATCAGTACGTGGATTGGATGTTCGCACCCGAATATGTGCAGAGTATGGTGGTGGACAACATTAACTACACTGGTGACTTCAAGGCATTCCAATATTTCCTAGAAGGACCGAAGGTGCGGCGTCGTTTTCAAGCTGTGATGTGATCATGCTGAAGATGAGCTATGAAGGGACCTCATGGACCCCCTCACTGGTAAGAAACTTCAATCCTCTCTGCCCACCATTCTTAGAACCCATCTTGAAGTGTAGGCTTCCCGGTGGTGACTCATCTAGCCTTTGTCCTGAAAACTACACTGAATGTGGCGCCGGCGGACCTAAATGGTCTAACAACGGTGAGTGTAGAGACCTCGGAGGAATACCTGTTTCTAACAATATTGGTTGCAGACCCCCTCTTTTATTTGCACCATGCTGTGAAGATTTATTCAAGACTCATATCACATTACCGCACTGACACCAATCCGTAGATGATCGATAAGTTGTACTGGGAGTGGCAAAATAAAGATCCGAGCAACTTCTACGCTTTCGAAGGAGGCTCGGTTCAGAGTATGAGCACTTGGGCTGAATACGTTCAATACCCCAATGGCGCAGCTCCGTGGCTGAACGTAAGGAATGAATTTATTGTTGCGTTGCATCAATTTAACATTTTGAGACAGTTGAACAGCACTATTCCTGGTGATGGTATGTGGGACGCAGAAAACATCACGATCTGGGACGTAATCGACATCCAGAGCGGAATCCTCTGCTATGACTACAAGTAATTAGAACTTAGAAACGTAGATGAGATCTGCTTGAGCGCTGCAACATTATCTAAATGACATTGAGCAAAACTTTGGAACGTGCAACATGGTCAAGGTTGGATACCAAATTAGTAAACGAGCACCGAATCCGATCATTTCTCCCCTTGTTCAGCTACCGCCATGGAATCGAATGACATGCAAGTCGATGTCGTGCCCAACATCGTCCACGTCCCGCTTCCAGTGCTACCATCTGTGCCACCGCCTCCAGACTCGTACGACGATCATCGTGGTACAAACATTCCTATTATCATCGACAACGGGTCTACCACCTTCCGCTGGGGTTTTGCTGACTCAGAGGTGCCTAGATTTGGACCTAATGCTATATCCAAGTACAAGGAACGAAAGACGAATAAACCTCTCCTTCTTTTCGGCGAAGCCATTGATGTAGAAAGTGGGGCTAAAGCACAGACGAGAACCGCTTGGGAAGGCGACGTCCTGCTGAACTTTGATGCTTTGGTGTGTTCACATTTTTGGTTTCATACAAGGGCAGTACGATGAACGGGCTTCGAGACGTAGGAGAATGCCCTGGATTATGCGTTTGTCAATCTTGGGCTCGATACGCCCACTGTGGAACATCCTGTGTTAATGACGGAAAGGTTGAGCACACCGTTGCACTCAAGGGCTCGTAAGTACTTTTAGCCGTGCCTATCCATTACTGGAAACGAATGAAAATGCTTTTGCTTTAACAGTGACTTCGGAGCTGATGTTCGAACAATATTCGGTCCCAGCCTTGTCGTACTGTATCGACGGGCTGATGTCATTTTATGCAAACAACAGAAAACCGGAAACTAGCAACCCTTTCCAGTTTGAAGAAGATGGTCTGTGCATATCTTTTAATACAGCTTCGACCGCTGTGATGCCTATACTGAATGGAAAGGGTGTTCTGAGCCATGCAAAACGGTATGTCCTACTCAAGACGCATGAATTTCTTGACCGAGATGTGATCAGCATACCTTGGGGGTCGCTTCAATCTTCGGAGTACCTCTTGAAGCTCATCCAACTCAAGTATCCCAACTTCCCGACACGTGTCACGACAACGCAATCTAATGTAATTTCCTAAAGTATTTTTCCCTGTCACTACTGATCTCGTTCAAAGTGGATGCTGCGAAACTTTTGCGATGTATCGACTGACTACTCGGCGCTTCTCAAGTCTTTAACAGACCCTCTCAAACTGCGTGCATCGGAGACCATCATACAGTTCCCCTTTGCACTCCATGTAGCTGAAGAGAAGACGGAAGAGGAGCTGGCCAGAATTGCAGAAAAACGGAAAGAGCAAGGACGAAAACTTCAAGAATTAGCGGCAAAAACGCGAATGGAAAAGGCACTGCGTCTGTTTTACGTGTCGAACTTGTCACTGATATCCATATGTGTAGCTGTTGCAAAAGGAGAACGATCTTCAACACCTGTTGGAGCTCAGAGAATCCAGGGCCGAAGATGGAAAGAGAGAATGGAATGTAGGTGGCCGGTGGACTTCCTTCTATGTTCGCATCTGATTATGCGCTGTAGAACAAATTGTCCGCTGAGGGCTTTGATGATGACGCTCAGTTGGATGAGACGATCAAAAAGTTGGAGTCTGACCTCAAGAAAGCCAGAAAGAAAGAAGCTGCAGACGGTGGAGATGATCCTATGGTTCGTCGCGCAATACCTTCCTTTGCATCGCTAACGATTGTACAGGAAGAACCTTCTTTCCCGCTCGTGGACGTTCCGGATGCCGATGTAATTGTTTCCATTAGTGCCATCATAATCGCTTTTCAACTATTTTTCAGTTAGACGACGAAGGTCTCAAGGAAAAGAAGAAGCAAAAGCTGATCAAGGCGGGATACGAAGCACGTGCACGAGCAAGGCGCGAAAAGGAACGCGAAAAGGAGGAAAAGGAACGTGAAGAGAAACGGGAGGAAGAGGAACGTGAAGCAGATTTGGGCGGGTGGTCCAGAAAGCTGCGACAAGAGCAAGAAGTATGTCCTTACGTATCAGTTAATTATTATCTTGTGCTGACCACTCTTATATAGGCTCTCATGGACCGAATCAAAAATCGTTCAAGGAGAAAAGCTGCGTTGAGCGATAGAAAGAGTGCCGCCGCTCAGGCGAGGATGAAGAGCATTGCAAACCTCGCTGCAGATGACAGGATATCCAAAAAGAAAAGGAAAGGGGTGGGAGGTAGGACTGCTCAGAATAAAATCTCCCCGGACTGATCTCGTCCTAGAGGATACGTTCGGTGCTGATGATGCCGACTGGGCGATCTATCGAAAAATAGTAAGATTGAAAATTTGCACTTTGATATGCCCCTCTTAACTTAACTTTCCATTAGAACACCGCTGCACCTTCATCTGATGAAGAGGAGGACCTAATCCAATTGCAGTTAATCGAACAGAAGCTTTTAGCTCACGATCCTACTTTCACGGCTCAGCATACGCACGCGTCAATAACGGCCCAACGGTCCGCACTGCTAACCGCTTTCAAACCTGTCTATGAGGAGGGTGATGTTGAGGGTATGTTTTTATGGATCACCCGGTAACATAAATCTAACATGGAGAGCAATAGGCAACACACGTATTCATTTAAATACAGAAAAGTGGAGAGTCTGCGAAGCCTGGTTTTCGCCGGGGATCGCAGGCGTTGATTCTGCAGGCGTCGGGGAGGTCATTCAGAACATCTTGTCTCGTTTCAGTGATGCCGAAAAGGCGAGACTCGTCAAGGCAAGCTTTGTTCTACGTGACTGCTGGACGCGTGCACTTATTCATTCCCCTTAGAACATATTTCTCACTGGGTCACCTTCGCAGTTTTCTGGGATGATCCCAAGACTGCATAACACTCTAAGGCCCTTACTTCCCCAGGACATGCCGGTCAACATTGTAAGGGCGGCAGATCCATCCTTAGATGCGTGGAAAGGCATGTCCTTGTTCAGTGTAACCTCGGAGTTCGAGAAGACTTGCTTTACCAAAGCCGAATACGAGGAGCACGGTCCAGAGAAGATCAGGAAGTGGTGGGGAAGTAATTGGAACAACTCGTATATATAGCTAACGTGCATCTCTTCCCTGTACATCTTTATTGAGCTTCTGTGCTTCTTGGGTAAATGTCATACTTCCCTCATTTCTTACAGAGCCCTGAACGTAGGTTTGGATTTGCATCGAAGGATGCGATGCTTTCAGCTTAATTCTAGACCTCAATCTTACGAATACGCGCTCCCCTTTCTGTGAGTCAATCGTTATTCCTCAGTGAAGTAGCAGAACTAATTGGCAGACCGATTCCAAGTATCACAAAACGCTGGTCGTAAATAAGTGCGAGTTGACATGTTTGAAGTACGGACCACAAGCATCGGAACTGACAGGATCTTGAACGCGTGGAACATAGGACGAGAGCTCTAAATTGACGGAGACCCGGGCTTGTTTAATGTTAGGTCAACGCGGAAATTCAAAATGTATCGTCCTAAATGTCGTTTATTGACAAACGAAGGTCCTGAAGTGATAAATATACTGATACATGTGTCTTACTTCTAGTCATCGATAACATACGTCTCCCAGAATAAGGTGGCGAGGAGCAACCACCGCCTAGACCCATTCAAGCGGTTTTAACATACCTATGTAGCACACATCATCTATGTCAACAAAATAACCTCTTCTGAGTAGATATCATACACTCACGTCGCATCGATCTGAGTCACCTGCGGGAGCGCCAACATGACTTTACGACGATAGTTGACAGGATCCGCTTTCTCGCATGGGTTCCCCTCAAGATATATGGTACGAAGAGCAGGGAGATCAGGGAAAGGGGAGGACAAGACGGAAGCAGGGATATTATTGTTGTTCATCTGATCAAGAGAGATCAGTTTTTCGATGGTTAATTGGAGAGCCAGTTATACCCAAAGCTCTTCCAACTGCGTCAGGTGGTCGATTCCTTCGATGGCAGGAACAAAATTGTTCCCAATATCCAGTGTGGTCAGATTCACCTGTGCGTTTGTTAGCCGGTCCACGTTGAAGGGAACAAATGACTCACGTTGTCTTGTAGACCTTCGAGCTTCTCGATCCCGTTGTGAGAAAGATACAACTCTTGTAAATTGACAAGGCCTTCCATTCCCGTTATTCGAGTCAGTCTATTGGATTGAAGGGAAAGAATGCGAAGGGCCGTTAGAGGCGTGAGCGCGCCAGGCGGTATAGTCGTTATTTTATTCTTGCCAAGCCAAAGTTCCTCAAGCGCGGTCAAAGAAGACAGAGACGTTATATCCTATCTTTCCTGCATTAGTATTTGGTCGATGGAGAATCAAACTCATACGCGTATGCGATTCCCGCCCAGCTCGAGACTCTTCAATTTAGTACACATTCCCAGATGCTCGATCCGTGAGATCTTATTCTGCACGAAATATACCGTCTCAAGGTTTGGTAAGCTTTCAAGAGCATCGGGAACGTGCTTCAACAAATTGAAGCTCAGGTCGAGAGTTATGAGTGAGGCCGGTAGAGTGGTTATTCCGGAGTTCTTGAGCTTGTTGTCGTAAGCATCGAGTTCTTCTAGTAATGTTAATGACGACAAGGCAAGGGGCTCAAGAGTAGATATGTGGTTTTGCCGTACACATAGCCGTTTTAGGTGCTGTGCAAAACGAGGGAGGTGGAGGGGATCCAGTGAGCCTAAACGGCAGTGCACAAGATCAAGCTCCGAGGTCGTTGCCGGCCAGGAATCGAGAAAGTCGGAGGAGACTTCGTCATTTTCGTCGTGTTCTGGCTCGGGAGAAGAGGGTGGCGAAGGAAGTACGACGCGCGCAGAGATAGGCTCTGTCATGGCAATCGATGAGATAGGTTCTTTGTTTGCACTTGTTGCCGGATGGCGCACTTCCCGACGATCGTGTCTGGGCCGACGATTCTCGTACTCACAGTTTTATTTTGTTCCGTCAAGAGAGATTGTATACTGATGTGGTCTCATTCAGAGAATGCAAATTGTACAGAAGACAAGCATTGGTATGAACGTCCACAAATATCTCGGGGGATACTCACGGGTCTTGGAAGTTGCAACCGCTATAAAATCGGAAGAAATGTAGGCTGAATTGGCAGCGCGACAGTCTGATGGCGAAGCATCAAGACCGATTACCAGTGTAACTCTCGTACGTTACGCACGGATAGCCCGCAGGAACCAGCCATGCCAAGGAAGCCAAGACACCACATCACATCGTGAAGATGTTCGCAGAAGAGATATAGTTACGGAATGGTGGTGCTTATTTTCCGCTGATCATGGTGGATACTTTCAACGACTTGATCTTGTTCGCACAATCATAGTAACTGGGACATTCTAGTAAATCGTACAGCGAACGCGTTTCCGGAAGCGAATGACCTGGCTCTCCTTACCATGTCGCGTCCGTCTGGGTCCGTCTCGACATAACGTACGCTACGTTTATATTAGTTATCTTGGGCGTCCCTGCTTCGAACCCTGACGACGCGTATTCCAAGACCGCTGAAGAGCTGCTTAGCATGAGGGGTATGGCATTTTATGCGAGTTCAGCGCTGGAATACCTGATGAACTGGCGGTGATTGGTCAGGGACTGGGAGAACAAGATAAATTATCGCTATTTTCAAAAATGATGAGATTCTCGAAAAAGAAAAAAAGTTTTGACCCGCCAGATGCCAGCCCGATCTCAGCCTGCACCATCTGAGACAACCTACGACTGTCGACGAAACAACCTATGACGTTGATCGTCATGGCCCCTGAGTGCGGACTCGGAGGTCTTTTTGCGGGGCCCAAAACTTTTTAATTTTTTTTTTGGATTCTCATCATTTTTCGAAATAGCAATAAAAAGTTTTGGGCCTCGCTAAAAGGCCTCTGAGCCGCTACGATGATCGACGTCATAGGTTTCGTGGATTGTCTCAGATGGCGCAGGCTGAGATCGGGCTGGCCATGGCATTGGACGTCGTGTCAAAACTTTTTTTTTTCTTTTTCGGAATCTCATCATTTTTGAAAATAGCAATAATTGATTATGTCATCGTACCTTCTATCCCTTTCACAAAGATCCATCTGTCGACCGTCATTGCGCAGTTCTCATACTAGCGATTTTACATCACGAGCAAAGCAGGCTCTGGACTGATACATGATTGATCAGAGCCGACTTTTCGATACCTCGAAAATCCAGCTATGTGTCAATGCTCTCAAGTACCTGTGGTACTGGCCACTGCAGTCGATAGACTTATTCGAGCCCTGCTAAGATACTGACCATAAATTGTGCTCAAGGAAGTCGAACTCTCGGTATCCATCATAACCAGTCTCGGGCCCCGGGTGTGTTGTGTCACTGCGGATTCCAGGGCCTCCACTGTGCTTGCGAGATCGAACCACCGATCGTACGCGTCTTGACAAGCGAGTCCGCTTAGAAAATATGCCGCCCGTGGTGCGTCTTGCTGGAATCATCTCTCACTCTTGATGCTCATGCGATTTGTGCTGTTTGAAGGAAGTCCAAGATACATTTCAAATGTCTTGGTGATAAGAGACCAGACGGTCTGATGCTGCGCGTCGGGAAAGGGTAGTGCCCTGCTGCGTCGCGCGACCAGACGGAATGCAAATTCTGACTGTTGCCCTTCCTTTGAACAAACCCATCTGCTGCGCCGGATAAGTTCATACTCCGCCATTATAAGAACTCCAGCCCCCAAATTGGCTTATCTGTATCCTCTTTTCTCTCTTAAAACCAGCCTCAGGCTGAAATCGCGTCCTCTCTTTCCTCATTGTCAAAAGCCCTTCGTTCAGCCCACTTACCTTATACTACCATGAAGTTTTTCGTCGTGTCCGCTTCTCTTCTCTCTATCCTTCCCGGACTATATGCTTTGACGATCAACACACCGTGAGTTTTTTTCCATCTTCTACTAACTCGCCAAGGCTGACCGTCAACCTCAGCTCCGGTGTTGCTGAGTGCGGTATGTTCAGTTGAATTCCCATACCTCGCATAACGCTGATTTGCTCTTCTATGACAGAGCCCTCGGCGTTGTCCTGGAGTGATGGTACCGCGCCATACTATCTATCTATTTATCCAGGTGTGTACGACCAATTGTCGTTTTCTTTCATGTTAGCTGACCTATGAATAAGGCGGCGTAACCACCGGCTCGACCGTAAGTATATCTTCCCTGGAAGATTCCATGACAATGACCTTTTTCCGCAGCTCGAAAGCTTCGGCGCGACTAATGACACTTCTTACACATGGACCTGTGACATAACTGCTGGTACCTCAGTGTGAGTGCCTGAGATAGTCTTTTGCACTCCTGTTCATTCTGAACTGAATTATTGCTTAGCACCTTCTCCATCAAGGACAGCACAGGATCGATAGCGTACACCGATGCGGTGACAATCCAGGATGGCTCCAGTTCCAGGTTTGTCGTATCAGCGCCCAGATCGCCTTTTTCTCTCTGACTTTTTGCCACAGCTGTGCATCTGTCACTGGCAGCACTGAAACTTCGACCTCTGGGTAAGTGAGTCGACGTGGGGATGACGCGATTTCTCATACCGTTTATCAGATCGTCCGATTCTACTACCACGGCTACTGGGACCGCTGCTACCACCTCCGCTACCACCACCAGGACAGGGACCACTTCTGCAGCTGCCTCTGGCTCAAGCACCTCTTCGAGCAGTTCCACGACCACAAGCGCCTCTAGTGGTGCCATTCGCAATAGCGTCACATATGGCGTTGCCGGGTTCTGCGGTCTGCTTGCAGCCCTGCTCTTCTAATCTTTTAACTCTTGCCTACTCACGATACTTGGATGTGGATACCGAGCCTTCTTTTGATTGTTGTAACGGACTTATTTCTGTCTTCAAGCCCTTATGACCGTTTCTTACATCTCCTTTGATATGAGAACGAATCATTTATTATTCTACATACGTTTACTCAAGTTTGATAACCTCTTTTTCGCTCTGTAGTCCCATCCAGTCAATGCCATCATAGTTTTATGAATGCTTACCTCAGATCAGCTCGTGTGCCTCATATTTCTCCAGAATTCTCGTCTTTGGCTTCTTTCTAACCACTTAGTCTGACCTCGTCTTTCGCGAAGGACACGGACACGTGATTGAGTGCCTGATGCCCCATGTGATCTTCTCTTCAGAAGCTTCGGCTCTTTTCGCCGGTATCTGGCCTCGTGGTCTAGAGTCTTTTGAGTTTCTTGCGCTATTCTTCCATCTCCCGCCACATTCTTTCGAAGGTCGCAGAGGACAGTGCCTCCTCTTTTTCTCCAAGCTCGTTCGGATACATAATTTACGCGCGACTTGCTGCTACCTTCCTCCAGATTTGGTAAATTTCTTGAAGGGATACACGTAGAGGATGGCGACTGCTGTCGTCGACCCCGTATTACAACCGATAACGCTCGCTAATGCTCCTGTGAAGGAGAAAGCGGAAGACGTTAGTGGAGCTGCGCAGAGAGATACCGAGGTCGACCCTAAGATTGCGGCGGACAAACCCAGGGACGCGTCAACGCTACCAATAGTACACCCAGAGAACAAAGAGAACGCGGGCACGCAGGAAGAACAGGTGCATACATCTTCTTCACCTTTCAGTCCCCTTCTTTCTTTTTGTCTAGCTGTCGGTTGTTCGCTGACTCTTTTTTTTGACATGTTCGGTAGATGTCTCTCTCGGTGTCGGACGATAGTACGGTTCCCAAAGTCACGCCCACAATTGATGACACCATCGAGGTTAGCATAGTTCTTTATCTATCATCTTGTGTCTGAATTTTTTTCTTCCTGGCCGCATTAGATACCCACGGAACCAGGTATGGATGAGAAGGCATCTTCTATACCCGTTACAGTCGCACTGGTGCGGTTCTTTGACGTTTGTGATCCTCTTTGCTCGTTGTTGACGTGTCCGTATAGACGAGCGATATGGCATCGTCGATACTAGTCGAACGTTTGGAGGACACGCAAATCAAGGTTTGCTCGTACTCGATGCTTGAACTTGGTACATTTGACTTACCTATGTATAGAACGATAACGACCTCGCAGGTGCCATCGATGTATGTCGCCCCTGTCAATGATACCATATGGTCTAATCTTGCTCAATAGTCACCCATTGAGATATCGCCCCTCCCAGCACCAGTTACTCCACAAGACACCAAGGTGGACGGCATTCCTACCCCAACTTTCGAACACCAAGTGAAATTCGTCGCTCCAGAGCAACCAGATTTTTCCTCGAAACCTTCCGATGTCAAAACTGACGTAGTGGCTATTGATGAGGTTGCGCCGGATGCATTGGAAGGCATATCGTCTGCTGATAAGGCCACGATGCCCGACAAGGTATCGGTGGCAGGTGAAGGTGTACCACTTGTTGCAGACACGACTGTTGTTGAACGGTCGCAGACTACGAAGGACGAAGCGATCCTCGGGGAAGAAGCTATTGGTGAAAAGGAGCATCCCGAGGTAACGTCACCAATGGCTCAAAATGAAACGGAGCTCAAGAATATTCCAATCCCTGATTCTGTGCAGTCAGCCCAAGAGCACCCTACAGTCACGGCAACATCGGACGTGAAAAAGGATGCAGTGACTGAGGACGCCATTGTCATCGAGAAAGCTACGCTCATTGAAGAGAAAGAAAAAGCGGCGGCGGCGGAAGGAGCACTTGCCGTTGAAGCGGCTTCCGCAACCATAACTTCTGAGGTCCCTGAAGCACCGTTAGTATCAGTCCCGGAACCACAGATAGCAGAGGAGGCATCAAGTGACGAACAACTAGTCGGTGCAGGTGTGGTTGGACAACCTACGGTCGTCGCAGATAAAATCCTGGAAGCGGAGGGGACCACAGTTGAAACCGCGAAGACTAACGAAGGTGGAAGAAAGGAAGACTTGCAACTCGCGACGACGACACCTGCGAAGACAGATTCGATCGAGGACGAGACTCCGACTGTGTCCGTGGTTTACACTACAACAGTGGAGGAGGGGGAAGCTCCAGTGATTGAAGCTGGGAAGGACAAGCTCGAGAAAACCTCCGATGCGGAGGTTGTTCCCGTTGTTGAGGTCAGAGAGCTGGACAAGGGAGAGGTGCTACCTTCAGTCGCAATTTATGGTGAGCCTGCTCCTCCAACCGAGGAGGCCTCGATCGTGGAGGTTGTAACTGGTAAGGAAGTTGGACCAGCGGAGGCGGCTGTTGAAGGAAACCAGCGCTCCAGTCCTGTTGTGCAGACACCGGTAATCGATGAACCTCTGGCGGTTGTTGGGGACGTTTCGGTCGCGAAAGTATTGACGGGTGCTGATGAGGTCGAAGAGGAAAGCAGTAGCTCGGCACCAGTGACAGAACCTACGTCGACTGCTGAGGACGATCTGACATTCGCTACGGATGAACCTGTCGAGGTTGTAGAACCACTAGAGGAAGCATCCGCTGCTCATGCTCCATTCATTCCACAGCTGTCTTCAGCTAACTTATCCCTTGATGACATACACGAACCTGTAAAGGCGGTGGTAGCTGAGGGAACGTCTGCAAACGAAGCTGCTGTCATACCGACTGGTGATGCTTTGGTGGTAGAAGAAGTTGCTGGAGAGCAGGTCGTAGCTGGAACCCACAACGTGGAGAGTATTGTGGAAACGACGCCCATCCTGGTGGATGATACTCCGGCGAACCACGTGCCTGTTGTTTTGCCGGTCCCGACAGAAGCATCGGTGGGGGGAACAGAATTACATGTCGAGAAACAGCTTCTGGTAGAGGACACTCTTATCGTCGAAGAGATATCAACTACCGAGGAGCTTTCCGCTGTGGAACAAGGGGTAGAGGTCTTCAACGTTTCCAAGAATCCTCCTGCCGTCGAAGAAGTAATGGAGGAAGTCTCCATTATCAAACCATCGTCTGCCGTGGAGGAAGCTACCGTTGTCGACGAAACTTCTGGCGTCCAAGAGGATGGCACAGCTATTACAGAATCGGTTTTGAACGAAGGTATTGCCCAGAAGCTCGAGGAACGCATTGTCAAGGAATCTCGGGATCCAGTTGTCGAAGAGGTTGCTACAGCTGTGGTCGAACCTGCAGGTATCACAGAAAAAGCTGTTGCTGTGGTTACTTCTCCCGTCGAACCTATTTCACTCGACAGTATACCCCCTGCCGACGCCGCACCCTTTGTTGACAAGACCTTGGCCGTCCCCACAGCCGCCGATGACTTCCCCACGGAACAAGAAGGTAGGAAACCATTGGCAATTGACATGCTGTCCATTGAGAAAACACCATTGACTAAAGACACTCTCGTAGGAAAACTTAGCGGAAATCCAGTAGAGCCGGTAGTATTTGAGAAAGCGGATGTCATCGAGATAGAGTCTACTCTCAAGGCTGAACCGGACGTCGATCAAAGTTCTATCGAGGCGCCTGTCGATGTAGAAACTGAGAAGGGGCATGCTAAGGATGCATCCATCGAGGATATCGCGGTCACGGAGCTGGCTGCCGAGGTGAAATCAGTTGCAGAGGAGCTCGTCGTGGCCCCCCGAGATCCCGAGCCCGTTGGAGACGGTGTTTCTCGTGAGGAACGAATCGAACCTTCAGTCATCGCATCTATCGTCGAGGGAAGAACCAAAGAAGATAGAGTCCATGCAGCCCCTAGCAGTGAGGCTGAGACAACAGTTGTCGAGGCATCTGGTATCGAGAGGAACGCAGTTGAGGAGGAAGAGCCCAAATATTATGCGCCATCTAGTCAAGAGATGTCTTCAACGGAGAAGGTTGTGTCCTCGGTAGTTGAGGAAAGGGCAGAAGAGGGGCAGACCCCAGCTCCTGTCGATCCATCCGTGATCGAGGACAATAACACAACTGATGAATCTCCGTCTGTCGACTCCTCCATCCAAGTCAACGATCCGACGCCCGTCTCAACCGTTCAGGCTCCTGTGGTTATCGACGAAGTCGATCTTCATAACACTGATATAGCCTTGGCATCAGCCCCTTCCCTTGATGAGATAGCAGTGAACCCTGCTTCAAATCTTCCTTCGACTAAAGGAGAGCTCAGCGTCCATGCTACTGAAACTGTCAGTGATCAGGACCAACCACTAGTTTCCGCCGAGGTACGTCACTATTTTTTTGGCTATCTAACCCTTCCTGACCTTCGTTGACAGAGCAATGCCGGAACACTGCTCACACCTGCCGGAGCTGAAATTGAGCGTCCTAAGTCGCCATGGACGCCATTTTACAGTGTCACTACTCAAGGACCAGGTATACCTGCTGAGGAAGACATTCCAGCGATAGAAGAGATGCCCCTACCTCTTTCTCAAGTCCCCGTAGTGGCTCTTACTCCGGTCGATTCTTCGGCTCCTCTTGAAGAAGTGCGTTTTTCGATTCGATCCTACTTACCGCATCTGAACGTAGTTCCATGTGCAGACACAAGGCTCATCAGAAATTCTAGAAGATCGTCCAAAATCGCCTTGGACGCCTTCCTACTCGGTATCTGTTCAGGGAAGTCCACTTCATGATACAGTAACTCTGGACGAAACGGAGCCAGTTATCGACACTGTCGTTAGCGCCCATCGGGATATCCCCGCAGCTGAAGATCCTGCTAGTTCGCAGACTGGTGTCTCTGTCTCCGTCGAGACCGCCACTGAACCTGTCAAGGATGGAAGCCAGGAGGAGGAGTCCATCGGTCGACCACAATCAGCTCTAGTTACTGAGGAGCAACCTGAAGTGGCTGACAGGGTGACATCAACACCCGCACCTGAGCCCGTTATTGAGAAACCTATTGGTGTTGTCAAGTTGCCTGTTGAGGAGGAGCGTACCTCGTCCAAAGAAGTATGTAACAAACGGGCGTCAATTTCCACCTCCCACTGAGATTCGTTTCTTACAGCTGGCGACTCCCGATATTGGCATAGAACGTCCAGCCTCACCACAAATGCCATCTTACTCTGCTACGCAGGAAGAGCAGGTTCCTACGGCACCAGAGGTTGAGAGAATATCAGGTACATTGTTGGTTCCCGAGGATGTGGTTGACAAGGATTCATCTCAAGCTAAAGAACCTTATGCGCCCGATGCACCAGTGCATGAGGTCACTGACGAACCCGAAGTCACAATTATTTCGGAACCCGTTGTCATCACTGAGAACGCCGCCGCCGAATCACCCACTGAAGCTGTCGAGGTTGGGGGTCATGATTCTCATGCTGTAGAAAAGCCTGTTCAGCCGGTCGCTAGTCCGATTATCGAGCCACAATCCGAGAAAACTGAGGGCATGGCTTCGACACCTAAGCCAGACGATGGTCTCGAGAAGTATGATGATGTTGAAGTCTACGTGAAGTCGCATTCCGAGGAGACCCTTATTTCTTCAGAAGAGGTAAGCAACATGGTCACTTCAATATGTAACCGGCTGAAGTTCATCAGACCCAGCTACCTGCTCCTTCCACTAAGACTGAACATTCCGACGCTGTGACGCTATCCTCCTCTCTTCAAGAATCGGATCTGCTATCTACACCATTAGCTCACGGGGATGTCGTTGTCGAGAAGACACCCGAGGTCGAGGGGCCCTCTGCCTCAAAAGTGTCAGTTCCCGAGGTTCAACCTACAAAGATCGATATCGTGCCTCAGAAATGTGTCGATGCTGAGGCCGAGGCTGCTACAGAATTATTGCCCATTGTTGCTGAGCCTTCCAAGGGTGGCGAGGACTCTTCTTCTGTGAAGACAGCAAGCCTTCAACAGGAAAGCGCTTTAGAAGTGATCCCAACGCCCGATGCCGATGTGAAGCAGCACGTGCAGGTTAGCACGTCGGAGGAGGTGAGCAAGGAGTTCATGTCAACGTCCAAAAGGCTGAAGTTCGATTGTAGCTGTTGGCTCCTGCGACTGAAATTGAGCGTCCTTCCTCTCCATGGACGCCATCCTATTCTGTCACTCAGCAAGGGCGCATTACGCCAACCTCGGAAGCGGAAAGTATACTACCGACACCTGAAGCCCAGGCACCTGTTGCTGATGAGCTCAACACCCCCGCTGAGCCAACACCCGAGGACCCATCTGTGAATGTTGAGCTGAGTAATGAGACGCCTCAAGAACTTGTGGTACGTAGTTTACTGCCGTCTTTTGAACATCAGCTCATCGGCGTCAGACTGTATCTGATGTTTCCAGCGGAGAAGCTGCAGAGAAGAACAATGAAGATGTGCAGCCGTCAACTGCCACTGATGTTGAATTTTTACATGAATCAGACACGGTGAGAGTTCTAGAATTATAAGCAAAGCTCGTCACTTATATGCAATTCATTTAGACTTTGTTGAGTCCAAACGTTGAAACTGAACGTCCTTCGTCACCATGGACTCCTTCATATTCTGTTACACAACAGGGCCGTGCTTCTCCCGTCCCTGAATCCGAACTCGACGTCGAGTCTGCAGAGAAAGAAGTGCCAGTCAAGGACGGACTGGATGAGAGCGCCGCGTCTTTCCCTCCAAAACTTCAGCATCAAGTCGAACCCGCGGAACCCGTTGCTGTTGCACACGCGCCAGAACCCGCACCGAAGGAAGAACCGATTGACGACGAATCCAAGTCGTTGGTCGGAGACGAAATCGCGTCATCTGTGCTTGAACACGAGTGTGAAGCCGCTGCCACACAGCAGGAGCAAGCTGTTGCGTCGTTGTCTGTACCGGCAGTGGAGGAAACGCAGGTTGGGGCCAGACTCGAATTACATGTTTCATCTGTCCCAGAGCCCGATGTTGAACCTGTCGTAAAGGAGGAGCCTGCTGAAGATGTTCTTGACGTCCATGCTGCTCCACCCATACCTGAAGCTGGAACAGACTTGGAACCCGCTGTGAAGGATGACATGGTTGGCGTTGAAAAACACGAAGAAATCACTTTGTCGTCATTCGAAGATGTACGTGACTTGGAGTCCGCAGTGAACGACAAGCAGGCCGTGGAAGGACAGGAGGAGGCAGTTTCTGCTGCGCCGGAGAGTGAACGTGACGTCGGGTCTTCGGTGAAGCATGAGACTGTCGTTGTGTCTGAACCAGTCAAGGAGGAAGAGGGCAGCGGAGGCGAACACACCGTCTCCAACACGCAAATACTTGCAGACGAAAGCAAGCCTATAGTGAAAGATGAGTCAGGTAAAGCTGGAGATGACGAGGAAGCTGCATCACTCATACCAGCATCCATCGAAAGAGAAATACAGCCCGAAACCGGACACGAACAACAAGCCTCCTCGCCTGAAGTGGAGTCTCTGGCGAACGACGAGCTCGTTCAGGAAAAGGAAGTCACTATATCTGCTCCTGAGCCTGTGCGTGACAGCAAGCCTACGTTGGAGGATGCACCAGTCAAGAACGAAGCTGAGTTGCACGTCGAGAAGGCTGCTTCACCTGCACCGGAACCAGAACTACAGAACGTAGCTCCAGAAGTTGTGCAAGAAACTGAACCTGCAGTCAAGGACGACACTGCCGAGGATGGTCAGGTGAATCAAGTCGTTTCACCTACACCTAAATCTGTCAAGGAAGAACACGAAGAGCGAGGAGTGCCACCCACGGAGGAATTGTTGGCTAAGGACGAGCCCGCTGGTGATGAGAATGGTCAACAAGCTGCTGTTCTCGTGCCCGAACCCGAGAAGTACATCGAGTCGGTAGTCGAGGAGAAGGTTCAGGACGAGATGATCAAGGAAAGAGAGGATGAGAAAGGCATACTAGCTTCTCCTGAACCTCTGGCGGAAATCAAACAGCGCGAGGAACAAATTGTAGCACCCACGCCGGAAGTTGGACGTGAAATCGAGTCTACGGCGGTAGAAGAACCAGTCGCTGCACTCGAGCCTGAGCAGCACGTTGAGCCCGTCGCCGAAGCTAAGATCGAGCAAGTCACCATACCCGCACCCAACCTGCATCCTGAGGTCGAGGCCGTGGAGAAGAAGGTCGAGGAGCCAGCTGCAGATGTTCTAGATGAACAAGCTACTCTACATGTACCTGAACCCGAATCAACTGTGATCGAGGACGAGCCCCCCGTGCCAATCGAGGTCACGCTTGTGGCCGCCGATAAGCCAGCATCGTTACCAGACACCGACACCGAATCAAAAGCTAACGACGAGCAGGTTGAAGTATCTGTGACGAAGGAAGAACCTGGGTCTCAGAAGGATGCGGCTCTGCCGACACCGAAAGCAGAAGCGAAAGCCGAGGAAGTACAGATTGTGCAAGAAATCGAGTCATTAGCAGAGGAGGTGGAGGATGGACACGAAGTGGTTGAAGAACACGATGAACAGGGAGTCTCTACTGTGCAAGGACCAGCGGAGGATGAGCCCACGCCTGATGAACAAGCAGCTGCCCCCGTGCCTGCCACTGAGCAGGGTGCTGAGTTGGTGGTTGAGGCTGAGGACGAGTCTGTAGTGCCTGAACCCGTGTCTGAACCAAAGGAGACAGGCGAGGACGAACGAAATGACAAAACCGCCCCACTTTTGTCCCAAGATGACAGAGAAGAAGGACATGTTGAGCAGCCTGCTCCAACCATGGAAGAATCACTCGAGGTCGAACAAGCCGTTACCCAGCCCGCCATAAAAGAGGAGAAGGTTGCCGTTGAACCTGTACCGGAGTCGCAGCAGCAAATTAAGACTCTAGAGAAGGAGGTGGAAGCGCCAGCTGGAGATGTACAAGAACAATCAGCCGTGTCCGAGCCTGCTGCGGTCAAGGACGATCCAGCCCCGCCAGAACTCGTGACAGAGATCAGGTCACTAGTTATCGATGAACCCAAGGCTGAGGACGTTGAATCGGCGGTGAAGGGACAAGCTATTCTGTCTGCGCCTGAGCCCACCGTGATCGAGGATGAGCCCGTCATTTCACCCGTCATGGCTGAGAGCGAGCCGCCAGTTGTCGATGAGCCGACCATTGAACTAGATGTCGAGCCCAAGGCTGAGAACGCACAAGCGGAAATTGAGTCGGAGGCAAAGGATGAAGAACAACCAGCCGTTCCGCTCGTTGCCGCAGTCAAGGATGTGCCCGTAATTTCAGCACCAGAACTCGTGACGGGGAACGAGCCAGATGTCGAGCCCGAGGTTGACGATGTACCAGTGGTAATCAAGTCAACGATAAAGGATGAACAGGTTGAGGACAAGTCGGAGGAACCAAGCGCACAAGCCGGAACACCTGTGCCTGCTATCAAGGACGAGCCTGAGCCACAGGTTGAAATCGAGTTGACTAAAGAAGAGGATCGATCCGTGGCTAGCGAAGAACAAGTGCCTTCTACCTCTGTTGAACAAGCCAAAGTCGAGCCCGCTGAGGAAGCACCCGAACCTGCAAGCAAGGGCGAAGATGTTGCTACTGATTCCGTTGAAGAAAATACCACCGATTCTCGTGAGGTGAATTTCTGTCTTACCTTCTTAAGCGTCATCTAATGGATGAACCCAGTTGAGCGTCGACACATCATCAATCGCAGATTCTACCAAGTCCCCATGGACTCCTTCACATTCTATGACGACTCAAGACGTAGGATCGCCCGATGTGGAAATGAAGAAAGATCTCCCGGGACAAGCCTTCCCTGTCACCGAAGAAGACTCGAAGTAAGCTATCCTTTCCGCATGCTTTCCAGCCTCTGTGTCTGACAAACCCCAGATCGGTCGGATCGCTAGACACGGTAAACGAAAGCGCAGATGTAGTGCCTGACACGCTCGATGTTCCATTTACGCGCAAGAGGTTGGAATCGAGTGCTTCTGCGCGGCTCCTGCGGGGAGCGCTACACAAGGTACCGGAAGGCCGGGCCTCGTTGGATATGGCTCAGGGAGAGTTTACGAAGCCGAGTTCACCTGTCAGTGAGACGAGTGCGGTGGGGATTGTGGAAAGCCTGACTACTGCTACCATCACCACCGCCACCGCGGCTGCAGAACAAGAAAGTTCTACTTCTGATGAATCTGATGGAAGCTCAGATGATTCTTCGGAAGTTGAGCATAAGGGGAGGTGGTGTGTTGTTATGTGAATAGCTATACCTGTTACGACCATTTTACGATTCGTCATGCCTTTCTTTCCATCCCGGGTCATTCAAGTTTCACTCTCTACTCTTTAGATCACTAATCCTCTTACCTATGCTTTCATTCTATGGATAGTAATCCGTGTTCAATCAATTCTGTGGAGCTCTCGCGCATATATAGACGCTCACAAATAAGTTGAATGCGTTATTAGCTTCCGTCCTTAACTTGATATCATACCGTGGACCAAGATGAGCGGGACGAGTGATACATTTCTCTTTCAACCCCGCAAATAGATCCTCCCAAGTACTCACAGGTGACCCCGGATCGCGCATGTGGAGTAGCTATGGGGAAGTTTAAAAGGCAGGTCGAAGCAAGCGAGTAATCTGATGGAGAAAGAAACGATTCAGACATTCGAGCACGCCCCCGCCGTCCGGGACGCTGCACTTGAACGAGCCCTAGTGCGCAAACTGGACATGCGGGTTCTCCCAACGGTGTTCTTGATCTACATCATGAACTACATCGACGTGAGTTGGTCTGTGAGGGCTCTTCCACGAGTGCTGATGGGTTACATTCGCAGAGAAGCGCAATCACGACTGCGAGACTCAAAGGACTCGAGGACGACCTAGGGCTCACAGGTGAGTGAGTAGGGATCGAGAAACTATAATTAACTCGGAGCAGACCTGGACTACTCGATCATACTGTCCGTATTATACGCGACATACTGCCCAGCACAGATCCCCTCAAACATGGCGATCAACTACGTCAAACGGCCTTCATTGTACATCAGTGGATGTGTCGTCCTATGGGGCCTGATCAGCACCCTGACAGGCGCAACACACTCCTTCCGGGGAATTCTCGCGTGTCGACTATTCCTCGGTATACCAGAGGCGGCGTTCTACCCAGGGAGTCAGTGTTTGTTCGTTTTCTTTTGCTATCCACGTTAAACGACAATAGCCATGTACATGTTGTCGAGCTGGTATACGAAAAAGGAATTGGCGTTCCGGTCTGCGATTTTGTTTTCGGGATTGCTCATTTCGAATGCGTTTGGAACGGTGTGTTGCACCTTTTTGCGTGAGGGTTGGGCTGATGGGGCGTAGTTGATGGCAGCGGGTATCCTTTCTAAGATGGAAGGTAAACATGGTATACGTGCTTGGAGATGGTACGTCGAAATCGAGCATGTCAAAGCTCGCCTGATATTCCGCAGGCTGTTTTACATCGAAGGATCCATCACAATCTGCATCGGCCTCTTAAGCATGTGGCTGCTCCCCGACTATCCGCGCAACACACGCTGGATGTCGCCCCAAGAACAGCACTTGGCCCAAGCTCGAATTGCAGAAGACGCCGGTGAAGCGGATAAAGACAATAAAGAGGACAGTCCGCTTCACGGACTGAAACTGGCACTCAAGGACCCGCTGGTATACCTGTTTTCGATTATGGACACTGCACAGATACTTGGACTGAGTTTTATCAACTTTTTCCCGACGTGCGTGTCACAAGTACGATGATCGGTGTATGTGACTGATTCCAAGCAGGTTGACGGAAACATTGGGGTTCTCAACTACGGTTTCGCTGTTGCTCTGCGCGTGAGTGGCTCATTCCATTCCATTTGAAGTGACAGAGTACTGACTAGTTTTGCTTGCAGACCTCCTTGGGTGTTTACTGCGATTGTGTGTTGCTTAAATGCGTGGCATGCAGACAGGACTGGGGAGCGGTTCTTGCACATTTCTGGGTGGTGGTGGGTAGTGATAACGGGGTTTATCATCGGGTTGTCAACGATGCACACTGGCGCGCGGTACGTGTCACTATTCCTGATGGCATGTGGCTATATAGGTGTGTAGTGGGGTAATTGAGGTGTACGGCGTTAACGACTAGCAGGGCTCGCGATGACGATGGTTTGGGTATCGAACGTCATCGTCCGTCCACCAGCAAAAAGGGCCGCTGCAATTGGTATAGTAAACGGAGTCGGAAACTTGGGTAGTCTGTGCGTATAATCTCTTTTCTCTAACCCATACCCTTTCAACTTGGATGTAATAGGATGGGATCATACACATGGAAGGAAGCTTGGGGACCCGAATACCACCAATCCATGGCTATTTCGCTTGCTGCACTTGTATTCAGCACGGTGCTCTCCATAGGCATCAGACAGCGTCTCGTAAGGGAAAACAAGAGACTCGACAATGAAGACACAGGAAAGATTGATTTTAGTCGAGTGGAAGAAGCAGCAAGGCTGGAGGGGATAACGTTCGAGCAGGCAATGGAGAAACGAAAAGGGTTCCGTTATTTGTATTAGTAGCCTTGTCTGACAATCAATCACCATTAATATAAACCCATAACTCATCGCCTGACTCGACTTGCCATGGATCGTCGAGTACAGGAAGTTGGTGTTCCTGCGCAACTCGCGCCTGCATTGAAAGAGGAGTAGGTTGATGTTGAACCCATAACAGAACTGCAGCAGGAAATTAAGACTCCGAAGAAGAAAGAGGAGCAGGCTGGGCGCGTACAAGGGTGAGTAGCTATGCCAGGTGCAGTACGCCGCGTATATATATACAAACGATGGTCAACGGTCAATGGACGATAGACGATCATCAAGTGAAGAGGATGAGGGTGGATGATGGATGCTGTGCAAGCCTGAATGCTGGCATTGATATAAAGGCGGAAAATGAGAGCAAGAAAGCGTATTAGATACCATGTAACATGACAAAGTGAGGGTCTACCAAAACCGACGTTGAATGTCGAACGATGAAATCGAAGGCTCGGACAGTGGCATTTGCGTATGGTACAGACAGCCAAGGAATGCAAAGCACCCAGTGGATGTGGCAATGAAAACAGCAGTACAAGAACATCGAGTCCACGACATACGGATAGTCACTTGTGCGACACAATAGTTAGATATCCAATTTTCAAAGGCAAACAGTTCCTCATTGATTGTGATAGCGGCAGGGTTGAGCATTCATGGAAATCACAGAATATATCCTCCAGCTGCTGTAGTTGTCGCGGTTCCGATGACCCTGGCAAAGACGCTGCAGTGATTAGAATCCAAGTGGGAGGAGAAGAACTCCCCATCGGATAAATGGCCCGGCGCATCCGGGCCCTGGAAAAATTTCACGTACCACCCTCTTTTCCCGCTTATTTCGTATACAACGGCCGTTTCATAGATACTAATCTCATCCAATCTCATAGTTATGCCGACACGACTGGACTCTGATCGCTGTGTTACATGCGTGTTCACGCTGAATTTATGTATTTTTTTCCTGTTACATTAGTCAAACATTAGTAATAAATAAACTTATGGAGCCAAATGTTCGCAACGGCTCCAGGAGCCACAGACCAAAACTTGAAAAACTCACTCTGTCAAAGAAAATCGTTTGAAAGTTAGAATCTCTCACATCTCTCGCGGAAACAGGAAGCGGTGGGAAGGGAGAAGATTCTCAGTACGATTTTTCACGTCTTTTTATCGTCCTGGGTGAGTGAATTTTCACTCCGTACTCTTAAGTTAGATCACTAATCCTCTTATTCATGTTCTCATTCTATGAATAACAATGGGTGTCCAATCCTCTCGCGTATATATAGACGCCTGAAAATAGGTCGATTGCGTTATTAACTAACTTGTGATTTGGCGATAGCACACTCCGGGGTCAAAAGGAACGGACCGAGCGATAGTAATCCCGCAAAGACATGCCACCAACACTCACAGGTGATCTTGGTCCGTCTGTTACCCAGCATGTGGGATGACTGCGAAGAAGTTCGTCTTGCGTAACTTGAGTCGCTTAAAAGGCAGGTGGCTCAAGCAAGCGAGTTATCCATGAAGGAAGAAGATACGGTCCAGACGTTCGAGGACGCGCCCGTCGTCCGGGATGCAAGACTCGAACGAGTGTTGGTGTGCAAACTCGACATGCGGATGCTCCCAACGGTATTCCTGATCTTCATTATGAACTACATTGATGTGGGCGTAGCATTTATCCAGGTACTCGTACGCTGATGGTTTTCGTTTGCAGAGGCTCGCGATCACGACTGCACGACTCAAGGGGCTCGAAGACGACCTAGGACTCACAGGTGAGTGAACGAGGATCGACTCGAAACAACACACGACTAATTAGCCGGCGGGGGGACAGACCTAGAATACTCAGTAATCCTGTCTGTCCTCTACGCAACCTACTTCCCAGCCCAGATCCCCTCCAACATGGCGCTAAATTACATCACACGGCCCTCACTCTACATCGGCGGATGCGTCGTCTTCTGGGGCCTTATCAGCGCCCTGACGGGCGTGACGCACTCCTTCCGAGGGATCCTCGCATGTCGACTGTTCCTCGGTATACCAGAGGCGGCGTTCTACCCAGGGACGATGTACATGCTCTCGAGGTGGTATACAAAGAAGGAGCTGGCGTTTAGGTCTGCGATTTTGTATTCGGGATTGCTCATTTCGAATGCGTTTGGTTCGGTGCGTGCGTCCCATGGTTTTGTGGTTGGGCTGATGGGGTATGGAACGTAGTCGATAGCAGCAGGTATCCTTGGTGAGATGGAGGGTAAACGAGGAATACGCGCTTGGAGATGGTACGCCCAGATTGAGAACATCGAAGTTCAACTAATATCCCGCAGGTTATTTTACATCGAAGGATCCATAACAATCTGCATTGGTCTCTTGAGCATGTGGCTGCTCCCTGACTATCCACACAACACACACTGGATGTCGCCCGGAGAACAGAGTTTAGCCCAAGCTCGAATTGCAGAAGACGCCGGCGAAGCGGACAAAGATAATAAAGAGGACACTCCTCTGCACGGACTGAAGCTAGCGCTCAAGGACCCGTTGGTATACGTGTTTTCGATCATGAACATCGCGCAGCTGCTTGGTCTGAGCTTTTCCAACTTTTTCCCGACGTGCGTGATGGGATAGTGAAAAATAGTATATGTCACTGACCCTCCAAGCAGGTTGACGGAAACATTGGGGTTCTCGACCACAGTGTCGTTGCTACTCTGTGTGTGAGTATTCGAGGTTTACATCGATGACAGTGCTGACTCCCGCTTGCAGACCGCCGTGGGTGTCTTCTGCAATTGTGTGTTGTTTAAATGCATGGCATGCAGATAGGACTGGAGAACGGTTCTTGCACATTTCCGGGTGGTGGTGGGTGGTGATCGTAGGCTTCATCATTGCGCTGTCGACAATGCACACTGGTGCACGGTACGCGTCGCTGTTCCTGATGGCGTGTGGCTATACAGGTGCGTAGTGGCGTATAATATTGGAAGTATATGGCGCTAACGATTAGCAGGGTTCGCGTTGACGCTTGTTTGGGTGTCAAATGTCATCGTCCGTCCACCGGCAAAAAGGGCCGCTGCCATGGATATAGTAAACGGAGTCGGAAGCTTGGGTTTTTTGTGCGCGCAATCTCTTTTCTGCCATCCGTTCTCATCCAACTTGGTTGTAGGATAGGATCATACACATGGAAGACAGCCTGGAGACCTGAATACCACCAGTCCATGGCCATTTCGCTCGCTGCACTCATATTCAGCACGGTGCTCTCCATAGGCATCAGACAGAGTCTCATAAGGGAGAACAAGAGACTCGACAATGAAGACACAGGAAAGATTGATGTTAGTCGAGTGGAAGAAGCAGCGAGGCTGGAGGGGATAACGTTCGAGCAGGCAATGGAGAAACGAAAAGGGTTCCGTTATTTGTATTAGTAGCCTCGTCTGACAATCGATCACTGTCATTAGTATAAACCAGTAATTCATTGCACGACTCGCCATGGATCGTCTCGTATAGGAACGTAATGATCCTGCCCAACCGGCGCCTGTATTGAAGGAGGAGCAGGTTGATGTTAAACCTGCATTGGAGCTGCAGCAGGAAAACAAGACTGCAGAGAAGGAGAAGGAGGAGCCGGCTGGGAGCGTACAAGGGCGAATAGCTATGTTTAAGCATGCCAGGTGCAGTCCGCCGCGTATATATATAGGAACGATGTACAATGGACAATGGACGATAGACGGTCATTAAGTGAAGAGGGATGAACGCTGTGTAAGCCTGATGGCCGGCATTGATACAAAGGCGGAAAGTGAGAGCAAGAAAGTGTGTTGGATGTCATGTAGCATGACAAAGTGAGGGTCTAACCAAACCGATGTTGAATGTCGAACAATGAAATCGGAGGCTCGGACGGTGGCATTGGCAGTGTGGGTACAAACAGCCAAGGAATGCGAAGCACAAGTGGATGTGGCAATGAAAATAGCAGTACCAGAACGTCGAGTCCACGACATACGGATAGTCACTTGTACGACACTATAGTTAGATATCCAATTTTCAAAGGCAAACAGATTGTGATAGCGGCAGGGTTGAGCATTCGTGAAATCACAGAATATATCCTCCAGCTGTAGCTGTCGCGGTTCCGATGACCCTGGCAAAGACGCTGCAGTGATTAGAATCCAAGTGGGAGGAGAAGAACTCCCCATCGGATAAATGGCCCGGCGCATCCGGGCTCCGGGAAATTTTTCACATTTATCATCTTTTGGCCTATCAACCAACCGGCTGTTCCTTTCGCTCTGCACTTCATCTGCGATTTATTGAAGGTCACTTATGGTATACTTTGAAGGCACGAATACTTACATAGGTTGTTTTGCCAGCTCTCACATACGAGCAAATCACGTCGATCATCGAATCAATCCTGAGCTCCTGAGCTCCTCCTCTCCTCCGTTTCAACCGAGTCATCCCCAACTACAGCAGCTGTGCGCAGACCAAACGGAGTGGCGACGTTGGAACCAGTTCTTATCCTCACTCTCACTCGATCTGCGGCTACGTTTTATTGCTGTTAAGCAAAGACACCTGTTGTTCCTTTGGCCCTCCGCATTCTACAGTCCCTTTTTGCTATAAGTATCGGAAGAGATCATGGCGCTAATCCTGCTCAAGAAACTACAATATGCCTCCCGTCGATCTCAAAGGATCTTTCTCCAAAATTACCTGGATATCTTCAGTCGCGTGTTCCGTTGCTGATAATCCAGGAATCTTTCTTTTCTTATGTCTAGCCTTCATATCCATCGTTGCATATAGAATGTCTCCACCACTGTCCCCCCGTACCCAACTCGAGCAACTGAATCACGATGTTGACGATATCTGGGACCTATTCAACGCGTCTGGTGACGATGTGGGCCCTGATCGTCGTCGCTATCGTCGCGCAACATATAACCGTTTGAAACAGTATGATTCTAGCTATTGGATAGGAACCTGTTCTAACATATTTTTAGGATTCAAATGGGCGCCTGCACATTTGAAATATGTCTACTCCAAGTTGCGAAAGACGATGCTTCGTGGCGTGAATATTTCCGCTCCGCAAAGAAAGTGTACTTCAATGCGCGCGCGTCTTGCAAGGAGATCGACGCCATCCGAATCAATGTAAAGGTAAATCATGGTTCTGTTTGATTCTTTTTAGTCACTGATATCTCCATATTTATAGATAGCAAATATGAAAATTAAGCAACAGCACTTTTGCGACGAGAAGCACTCTTACGAGGGTAGTGACGAGATTGGACCAGAAGCAGCGACTGAGTGAAAGTCTGAGTAACTCTGATTTGCAATCGAGACCTTTTGTACCACCCTCTTTTCATCACTTCCTTGACTTATTTCGTATACAACGGCTGTTTCATAGATACTAATCTCATCCAATCTCATAGCTATGTTGACATGACTGGACTCTGATCACTGTGTTTTGGCATGCGTGTTCACGCTGAATTTATGTATTTTTTAGATTTATGGTAGCCAAATGTTCGCAACGGCTCCAGGAGCTACGGTTGAAAAACTCGCTCTGTCAAAGAAAATCGTTTGAAAGTTAGAACCTCTCACATCTCTCGCGGCAACAGGAAGCGGTGGGGGAGAAGATTCTCGGTACGATTTTTCACGTCTTTTTATCGTCCTGGGTGATTGAAGTTTCGCTCCCTACCCTTTTAGATCACTAATCCTCTTATTCATGTTCTCATTCTATGAATAATAATGTGTGTCCAATCCTCTCTGTTATGGATATTGGGTACCTGTTGATTCGGTGCATGAGTCAACATATGCCCATACTCGGCCTTCTCGGTCTTAATGGTGACTCCCTCATACTTTCTCTTACTTTCTCTATCCTTCGTACTTGACTCTATACTGGAATACCATGGAACATTGTAGAATAATAATGACTTGAACCTTCCCTTAGTATATAAACTCGTAGATAACATTGTATTAAGAATCTTTTAGCCAATCTATCACTTTCAACTTACCACCACTGCGTGAACCCTCAGCTACGCTTAGCGCTTGCCTTCACCCACGGCCCGTAATAGCTTCGCGCTTACAGGCTTTCTATATCGGTAATTGCTCCGCGCTCACCGGCTACGAGTCCCCTCTAGTAATTGCTTCGCGCTTACTGATCTCTTTATCTCGCAAACCGGACCACTCAGGTCTCCTCACGAACCCTTGCCGGAATCCATTATATTCCCTAACGACATACATCTCTTCGAATTATTTCTACCTGGCTTCGATCACGACATCTCGCCTCGTGCTCGCATATCCGGATTTCGGCAGAATCCTAACACTCTCGCGTATATATAGATGCCTGAAAATAGGTCGATCGTATTTTAGCTATCCTGTCATTTGGCGATAGCACACTCCGGGGCCAAAAAGAAGGGGGTCGAGCGATGGTAATCCCGCAAAGAGATGCCACCAATACTCACAGGTGATATTGGTCTGTCTGTTACCCCGCAAGGGGGTAACTGCGAGGAAGCCTGTCTTGCGTAACTTGAGTAGCTTAAAAGGCAGGCGGCTCAAGCAAGTGAATTATCCATGAAGGAAGAAGATACGGTCCAGACGTTCGAGGACGCGCCCGTTGTCCGGGATGCAAGACTCGAACGAGTGTTGGTGTGCAAACTCGACATGTGGATGCTCCCAGCGGTGTTCCTGATCACCATTATGGACTACATCGACGTGGGCGTAGCGTTTATCCAGGCACTCATACGCTGATGGTTTTCGTTTACAGAGGCTCGCGATCACGACTGCACGACTCAAGGGGCTCAAAGACGACCTAGGACTCACAGGTGAGTGAACAAGGATAGACTCGAAACTACACATGACTAACTAGCCGGCGGGGGACAGACCTAGAATACTCAATAATCCTGTCTGTCCTCTACGCAACCCACTTCCCAGCTCAGATCCCCTCCAACATGGCACTAAACTATATCACACGGCCCTCACTCTACATCGGCGGATGCGTCGTCCTCTGGGGCCTTATCAACGCCCTCACGGGCATGACGCACTCCTTCCGAGGGATCCTCGCATGTCGACTGTTCCTCGGTATACCAGAGGCGGCGTTCTACCCAGGGATGATGTACATGCTTTCGAGGTGGTACACGAAGAAGGAATTGGCGTTTCGGTCGGCGATTTTATATTCGGGACTGCTCATCTCGAATGCGTTTGGTTCGGTGCGTGCATCCCATAGTTTTGTGGTTGGGCTAACGGGGTATGGAGTGTAATTGATGGCAGCGGGTATCCTTGGTAAGATGGAGGGTAAACGAGGAATACGCGCTTGGAGATGGTACGTCCAGATTGAGAACATCGAAGCTCGACTGATATCCTGCAGGCTGTTTTACATCGAAGGATCCATCACAATCTGCATCGGTCTCTTGAGCATTTGGCTCCTCCCCGACTATCCACACAACACACGTTAGATGTCGCCCCGAGAACAGCAATTGGCCCAAGCTTGGATCGCAGAAGACGCCGGCGAAGCGGATAAAGATAATAAAGAGGACAGCCCCCTGCACGGACTGAAGCTCGCGCTCAAGGACCCGTTGGTATACATGTTTGCAATCATGAACATCACACAGCTGCTTGGACTGAGCTTTTCCAACTTTTTCCCGACGTGCGTGGAGTGGGAGAGTAGTAGTATACGTGACTGACTCTCCAAGCAGGTTGACGGAAACACTGGGGTTCTCGACCACGGTGTCGTTGCTACTCTGTGTGTGAGTGTTCCAGCTTTACATCGATGACAGTCCTGACTCCCATTCGCAGACCTCCGTGGGTGTTTTCTGCAATTGTATGTTGTTTAAATGCATGGCATGCGGATAGGACTGGAGAACGGTTCTTGCACATTTCTGGGTGGTGGTGGGTGGTGGTCGTAGGCTTCATCATCGGGCTGTCGACAATGCACACTGGAGCACGGTACGTGTCGCTGTTCCTGATGGCGTGTGGCTATACAGGTGCATATTGGCGTATAATATTGGAAGTATATGGCGCTAACGACTAGCAGGGTCCGCGTTGACGCTGGTTTGGGTATCAAACGTCATCGTCCGTCCACCGGCGAAAAGGGCTGTTGCCATGGGTATAGTAAATGGACTCGGAAGCTTGGGTCTCTTGTGCGCAATCTCTTTTCTCCCGCCCCCTCCTATCAAACTTGGTTGTAGGATAGGATCATACATATGGAAGGCAGCCTGGGGACCCGAATACCATCATTCCATGGCCATTTCACTTGCTGCACTTGCACTCAGCACCCTACTCTCCATAGGCATCAGACAGAGCCTCGTACAGAAGAACAAGAGGCTTGACAAGGAAGACACTGTAAATATTGATGTGAATCGGGTGGAAGAAGCAGCTCGACTGGAGGGGATAACGTTCGAGCAGGCGATGGAGAAACGAAAAGGGTTCCGTTATTTGTATTAGTAGCCTCGTCTGACGACCAATCACTATTGATATAACCCATATTTCATTACACGACTCGGCTCACCATGGATCATCAAGCAGAGGAACAAGTCGATGTTGAGCCTGTACCGGAGCTGCAGCAGGAAATCACTGTACCTGCCAGATATACTCGGCACGAGGGAGAGAATTGAGGCACTAAGCCGCTTTATCGAGAAATCAGGAGCATTCACGAGGACAGGAGAGACACGAGTGCCAAGGGTAGCCCCAGAATTTCAAGAGGAAGAGAGAGAATGGTGGGAGGACGAAGAAGAGGACTCGGAGGACGAGCACGGGTAACCCGCAGGAAGAAACAACCCCCACGAGCCCTACTACCACGCCACGCACTACGAAGACGCTTATCAATCTCACGGCCACGGCCAACCGCAGACACAGACGCCTGCCCGAAGTGAGGGCAAACCACTACAGTTCGTTGTTGCACTCCACACACAACGCCAACACACCCGTATACTGAAAACAGGCATGGCATCTGTACAAGCACAAGAGTCGGTCATGAAGAAGGTACTAGTTGAGAGTGAAACACAGAGTATAGTAAAGAAATACGTACTCCTCAGTCTGACGACGGTGGTGAGGAGAAACAAAAAGAAAAGAAAGGTCCATGGTCACGTGCAGAATAACGCGTAAGGGGATGATCACCGTCGTGCCGATCGGATCAGTCCATCATCCAACATTCAGGGCTGAGGTCGAGTCAGAGCTCAGGCAAGGCTCAGGATAATAACCAGCCCTCCGGCCCGCTATTGCGATCAAGCTACAAGGGCAAGCTCATAACTTCACCTGCACCCGAACTCGTGATCCAGCTGAGCCTCAGCCTGTTGAACCTAATGTCGATGTAAAAAAAACCAGCCGACGCGTAATTTCACCGAGCACTGAAGGCATACCGGTTGAAATCTAGTCAGCGGAGCAGAGCCAATCTTTCCCGAAGACGAGGAAGAACAAAGCGCACAATCCGCTGCACCTGTGTCTGTTATCAAGGACGTGCCTAAGCCGCAGGGTTGAAATTCGAGCTAACTGAAGAAGAACGATCCGTTACTAGCAAGCGAAGAATGATTAAGTGCTTTCTTCCTCCGTCGAACAAGTCAGCTGAGGAAGCACCCGAAGCCGCAACCAAGTGATTGCTACTGATTCCGTCGAAGAATCCACAAAGAAGAATGTCTTGTTCCAACTTATCGGAATACCAGCGACGTAAGTTGCTACCTTGCCTTCTCAAGCATCACGACTCCCTATTGGACTCCTTTATATATATTCTAAGAAGCTGACTGTCGATATTATCACTAATCCTCTTACTCATGTTCTCATTCTATGTATATCCAATCCTCTCATGCATATATAGACGCCCACAAATAGACTGATTGCATTATTAGTTTGTAGCGATGACCGGTGATTCGATGATAGCGCACATCGGGGTCAGAACAAACGGACCCAACGATAGACTTCTCCTCCAACCCTGGAAATAGATCTTACAGCTGACATGCCCAGTCCTGGACCCTCTGTTTCCCCACAGGCGGGGAAACTGCGGGGAAACTTGGATATTCGCTGTCATGCGTAATTTATCACTTGGGTAGCAGGCAGGCAAGAGTCCTAGCTTAAAAAGTAGGCTGCTCGAACAAGCGAGTAATCAATCCATGATGGAGAAAAATTCCATCCAGACGTTCGAGGAGGTCCCTACCGTCAGGGATGCAACACTCGAACGGGCGTTGGTGCGCAAACTCGACATGCGGGTCCTCCCAACAGTGTTCCTGATCTTCGTCATGAACTACATCGACGTACGCGCGACGTTTATCCATGCCTTCATACATTAATGGTTTGCGTCTATAGAGGAATGGGATCACGACTGCACGGCTCAAAGGACTCGAAGACGACCTAGGACTCACCGGTGAGTGAGAATCAATAACGTCGAACGTCCACCAACTCACCAGGGGAGCGCAGGCCTCCAATACTCAATAATCCTCTCCGTCCTCTATGCAACATACTGCCCAGCCCAAATCCCCTCCAACATGGCACTCAACTACATCACACGGCCCTCACTCTACATTGGCGGATGCGTCGTTCTCTGGGGCCTCATCAGCGCCATGACAGGTGTGACACACTCCTTCCGGGGAATCCTGGCATGTCGATTGTGTCTGGGTATACCAGAGGCGGCGTTCTACCCAGGTGCGACGTACATGCTGTCGAGGTGGTATACGAAGAAGGAATTGGCGTTTCGGTCAGCGATTTTGTATTCAGGACTGCTCATCTCGAATGCATTTGGTTCAGTGCGTACACCACACTCGAACGATTCCGTGAGAATTGGACTGATAGGGCGTTAGTTGATGGCAGCGGGTATCCTCGGAGAGATGGAAGGTAAACGAGGAATACGCGCTTGGAGGTGGTACGCCCAAATTGGGCATGTCAAAACTCCAACTGACGCTTTGCAGGCTGTTTTACATCGAAGGATCCATCACGATTTGCGTCGGCCTCTTGAGCATGTGGCTTCTCCCCGACTACCCACACAACACACGCTGGATGTCGCCCCAAGAACAACGACTAGCGCAAGCCCGGCTTGCAGAAGATGCCGGTGAAGCAGATAAAGACAACAAAGAAGACAGCCCTCTGCACGGACTGAAACTGGCGCTCAAGGACCCGCTGGTGTACGTGTTCTCGATTATGAATGTAGCATAGTTGCTTGGACTGAGTTTTGTCAACTTTTTCCCGACGTGAGTGCAAGTATTGCGACGGCGGTTTATATGGCTGACGCTAAGCAGGTTGACGGAAACACTGGGGTTCTCGACTACGGTGTCACTATTGCTCTGCGCGTAAGTCGTCCCAGTTACATCGTCCGTAGTGCTGATTGACCGCAGACCTCCATGGGTATTCTCTGCAATCATATGTTGCTTGAACGCATGGCATGCAGACCGGACTGGAGAACGGTTCTTCCACATTTCTGGGTGGTGGTGGGGCGTCATGGCGGGGTTCATCATCGGATTGTCGACAATGCACACCGGTGCGCGATATGTATCACTATTCCTGATGGCTTGTGGCTATGGAGGTGAGTAGCAGTGGTGTACTGGAGATGTGTAGCGCTAACGACTAGCAGGGTTCGCGATGACACTAGTATGGGTATCCAATGTTGTCACTCGTCCACCAGCAAAGAGAGCCGCCGCGATCGGCCTAGTAAATGGAATCGGAAACCTAGGAAACCTGTACGTGCAAATCCCTTCTCCAGCCCATCTCCTTCTCACTCCTTCGTAGGATGGGATCATACACGTGGAAAGCATCCTGGGGACCCGGATACCACCAATCCATGGCTATCTCGCTCGCCGCACTTGCATTCAGCACCCTACTCTCCGTCGGCATCAGACAGAGTCTCGTAAAAGAGAACAAGAGACTCGACAAAGAAGACACCAGCAAGATTGATGTGGCTCGGGTGGAAGAAGCAGCAAGGCTGGAGGGAATAACGTTCGAGCAGGCAATGGAGAAACGAAAAGGATTCCGGTATTTGTATTAGTACTCGTCTGACAATCCATAAACCAGTAAGTAACACATTGCACATCTCAACTTTGGCAAAGTTGGTGCTTATGCAAAGTTACCTTGCATAAGTGTTCCGGTAAGTAGAGTCCTAGGGACTGGATCGTTCTCACCCAAGAACTTGACGTTTCTTAAAAAAACCGTAACGGCACTGAACTTGAGAATTGTGTCTGGCTGCTTACTATTCAAGTTTCGTTCGAACTAGTCCGACCATGATCAAACGTCAATATAGCTGTCGCAGTGAACGTCACCTTTGCGACATCAAATCAAAAATGAGTGAAGTAGTCGAGTTCAAATAAACGCACCGGCATCTAGCCATGACGTTGGTTCAATGATCGAATGTTGCAAGCTGAACGTGCTAGTATTCCAGTAACATCTTAGTTATGCAGGGAAGAGAGAAGAGCATACTGTATCCGTCAAGACGACAGTACGTGCGATTTTCATATCTTCTGAACCTGGACCGCGAGCATCGACGTGTGTCCCTTCCATGAAGCTGGGCTCCCTCTCAGGCTCAGTTCTGAATCCTATTGCCTCTCCATATTCACAGAGCGAGATTGGAAGTATGTGACGATGGTACGTTAAAGAGGTCAAAACGAACGGGCCGATTCTCCTTCAACCCTACAAATAGATCCTGCAGCTGACCTGCCCTCCCCCCGGACCGTCTGTTTCCCCACATGTGGGGGAACTGCGGGGAAGCTTGGTTAAAAGGCAGGCACTGGCAAGCGAGCCATCAAATCAACGATGGAGAAAGATACCATCCAGACTGAGACGTTCGACGCCCCCGTCCGGGACGCTGCACTCGAACGAGCCCTAGTACGCAAACTGGACATGCGAGTCGTCCCAACGGTGTTCTTGATCTTCATCATGAACTACATCGACGTGAGCCTGCTCACCGAGGCCCTCGCACGAGTGCTGATTTTCGCAGCGGAACGGGATCACGACTGCACGACTCAAAGGGCTCGAGGACGACCTGGGACTCACTGGTAAGTGAGAGATTTCGCAATAACCATGATCATCCACCAACTCGTCTCGGCGGTGGCAGACCTCCAATACTCAATAATCCTCTCCGTCCTCTATGCAACCTACTGCCCAGCCCAGATCCCCTCCAACATGGCACTAAACTACATCACACGGCCCTCACTCTACATCGGCGGATGCGTCGTCCTCTGGGGCCTTATCAGCGCCTTGACAGGCGTGACGCACTCCTTCCGCGGGATCCTCGCATGTCGATTGTGTCTGGGTATACCAGAGGCGGCGTTCTACCCAGGGGCGATGTACATGCTGTCGAGATGGTATACGAAGAAGGAACTGGCATTCCGATCGGCGATCTTGTATTCAGGATTGCTCATCTCGAATGCGTTTGGAACGGTGTGTTGCGTGCTTTTGTTTTGTGAGGGCTGGGCTGAGCTGATGAGGTGTAGTTGATGGCAGCGGGTATTCTTGGTGAGATGGAGGGTAAACGAGGAATCCGCGCTTGGAGATGGTATGTCGCGGTCCAAATTGAGAGCAGGGAAGCTCGACTAAAATCCTGCAGGCTGTTTTACATCGAAGGATCCATCACGATCTGTATCGGACTCTTGAGCATGTGGCTACTCCCCGACTACCCACACAACACACGCTGGATGTCGCCCCAAGAACAACGACTAGCACAAGCCCGGCTCGCAGAAGACGCCGGGGAAGCAGATAAGGACAACAAAGAGGACAGCCCCTTGCATGGACTGAAGCTCGCGCTCAAGGACCCGCTGGTATACGTTTTCTCGATTATGAACGTTGCGCAATTGCTTGGGTTGAGTTTCGTAAACTTTTTCCCGACGTGCGTGCAAAGGGAGACCAGTGGTATATGTGGGGCTGACACTTAGCAGGTTGACGGAAACGCTGGGGTTCTCGACTACAGTGTCGTTGTTGCTCTGCGCGTAAGCCGTCCCAGTGACATCGACAGAGCTAATTGTTTGCAGGCCTCCATGGGTCTTCTCTGCAATCGCGTGTTGCTTGAATGCCTGGCACGCCGACCGGACTGGGGAACGGTTCTTCCACATTTCTGGGTGGTGGTGGGGCGTGATGACGGGATTCATTATCGGATTGTCGACAATGCACACCGGTGCACGGTACGTATCGCTATTCCTGATGGCGTGTGGCTATGTAGGTGAGCAGTGGCGTTCTATAATGTTGGAGGTGTGTGGCGCTAACGAGCCAACAGGATTTGCGATGACGCTTGTATGGGTGTCAAATGTCGTCGTCCGTCCGCCAGCAAAAAGGGCTGCCGCGATGGGCATCGTAAACGGAATCGGAAATCTAGGAAACCTGTACGTGAAAGCCCTTCTCCAGTCCATTCCCTTCCAACTTGGTCGCCCTTAGGATGGGATCATACACGTGGAAAGCAGACTGGGGACCCAAATACCACCAATCCATGGCTATTTCGCTCGCTGCACTTGCATTCAGCACCCTACTCTCCATAGGCATCAGACAGAGCCTCGTACGGAAGAACAAGAGGCTCGACAAGGAAGACACTGTAAATATTGATGTGAATCGGGTGGAAGAAGCAGCTCGACTGGAGGGGATAACGTTCGAGCAGGCGATCGAGAAACGGAAAGGGTTCCGTTATTTGTATTAGGTAAATAAGTAGCCTCGTCTGACACTCACTGTTAGTGTAAACCAGTATTTCATTGCGCGACTCGCCATGGATCATCGATATCTTGTACAAGAACTTAATATTGATCCTTCTGAACAGAGACGTAACGACGTACTTGCCTTGTATTGTGTCCTTCGAGTCCTGCTATTTTGTTCAACGAAGTTCTGCACCCATCGGAGTTTGATCGGAGATCAAAATGGACTTGTATCCTGCCACTGTCGACAATGAAACCTCTCTCTAGTTTCCTTCGCTCCTGTCACCTCCATTGCAGAGCTACTTCTTGGATTGGCCCTATGCAGTATTCCAACCCCAACTCCTAGTCTTAATAAAAAGATGGGCTGTTTTTGTGCTTCTGATAAATAAATCACCTTTTCCGCTACATTTTCAGTGCATTACATTTTCCTGAGTCTGTTTCTTCCGGACCACGTAGTGAAGTTAGCGAGGCCACTTTCTTGCTCGCCTGTGCGTCGACTGCTATCTGTTGATCAACGATTACCAATTCGATCCATGACCTACTCCTTTCGAACAACATTCCCTGTACACCACCGGTCCAGCGCGTCGGCCCTTATGACAGATTAATCACATTTTGGTTCCGACAGTGTCCGTCAGAGGAGTCTCCTCATTTCTTGCCAGCTTCTGCTGAGTCGACTGTCAAGGCTCCGTAAGCAGGGCCGCATTGATCCTTATAATTTGCCTATAATCTGAGGGGAACAATACCTCGGTGCGGTGCTGTATTGTCCAAACGAGCTTTGGAACAACAGCTAGCTCGATTCAGATCTGTGCAGTCCTTTCCGCGAGACTGCATACACTACGATTTGCTGATTGGACTAGCTTCGCTATATAACTGTAGGTACTGGACAGCGACACGACCTACAGCCATGATACGTGTGAGTCACAGATGGTTCTTCCGTATTCCCGCAGTCCTTGATTCGTCGTGTTCAGCGGTCGCGACCTGAAGCATCCGAGATCCCAGGTCCATGCAGGCTGAACCGACTGGTAGCTACAGGAAAAAGAGTCTTAAAGTTGTTTGCGACCCGTGCGTACACGCCACCATTGTGCGTTCTATACTTGAATCACGAGATCACTATCATCTCACAGTATACCATCCAGGGCGCATGGCAGATAGAGCTCTATGCCGTAATGGATGCCAGTAAAGATAAAAGCGCAGGATATGCTCCGTGAAGCCCTATTACTTGGTCGCTGTGAATTCAAGGAGCCGATATTTAGTGGACGTGTAGAATATCCATGACTATGGAATATTCTCAACTGAAAGTGTTACGAATCGCGGTGAGGGTTGGGCTACGCACGTTCACTCCAAGTACAACGAAAGAACCACGCCTAATGCCGAGGACTGTTATCTCTCGTTGATGGAACATGCATCATGCCGCCAGTTTTCAAAACAGCAGAGCCATATCTTGTACCTCTCTCTGCTGCCCGAGGGAGTATTTCCCTAATTTTTGCATACATCCAACTTGTCTTGCACCTCTATGAGGCGCTGAGATGTCTTCCGTAGGCGTGGAACCGAATTGTTCTCCGACGGTATGGATGTCTCAACATGGTTGGGTCATGATGACTGACGATACCGGCACACATCAATATCATTGGACAGTGAGCTCGGCGCACTCTTCTCCGGTTTGTCTTCGCCGCGTCTTCAGGTACCCATCACAACTTCGATGGAATGCTGAGCATGCTTGCTGCCTGCCGGTTAGGTCACTTCCTTCTCGTCCAACTTCGTTTGTCCGATAGTTGTATTCAGAGTCAGGTAACTCAGGTTCCTTCTCGGTATCGGTATCGACGCCAAGTTTTCTTGCAGGTCGGTTTGCTTTGGCGACCAGTAAGGAGATCGATATCAACACAATATGCCACTGGCTCAAGCTCTTAGATTCCATGATCAATATCGGTTTCGTGATTTCGGCTTTCGTGGGCATCTTCTGGCTTTAGTCGTGTTTCTCCCCGGCTGGGTGTGACAATAAGACAGTCTCGGTGAAAGCCATCCCCATGCTGTTCTGGTGTCTCTTCTTGGGGCTTAGAATGCATTGTCTGGCGCCTTCGGATGGATGAGTTACAGGCTCCAGCGGTACAAGAAAAGATTCTATGAAGCTTGTCCGTATTCCTTACATGCTCGTCCTGCCTCATAACGGAGTATTGTTGTTCGCTATTTCCTTCATCTGGTATGTTAATCTTCAACACCGTGTTTCATACTAAACAGGTCCCAGGTTTGTATATGATGTCATCGGCGTGAATGTCTATACTGGTTGATTCGAACTCAGAACCGTCTTGTCCCGTCACACAGCCTTCTCACAGCACCCCCCTTCTTTTCGCAGCTTCTTCCGTCGTTATAGCTTCAATATTTAATACGTGAGTGCGTACCGCTTCAGAATGTTTTCTGACTAACCTACTGTAGATAACGGCAATATTGTGCATGACTTCGGGCACACAGCAGTCTCTGACAATACCCATATAAATATCAGTTCATGTATTGCCGCAGAGATGAGCCCACTTTTGATAACTGCACTTCTTACTCATCAACCTTCTTTCGCCTTCCAGAGGAAAGCAACAGGAGGTGCTGTGAACAGGACCACATCTCTCTGACAGACTCAACGATCTTGATTCTTTCTTGCTTGTATAAGCCAAAAAAAAAACAAAAAAAACAATTGCAATGTCTACGCTGGAAAAAGTAATTGGTCCATTGAGTGGAGTATGGAAAAGTATTCGATCGATATTGTTGGCCTTGTGTACGCAGACATATTTTCAGGACGTCATCTCCTCCTGCTATTCATCTCATTATTGCGAGTTACTAGATTGATATTGTTGGCCTCATGTAAGCAGACATGCAACCAACGTCCCCACTCTCAAGTCTACGCTGTCGTATTTTCAGGGCTTAATCTCCTCCTGCCATTCATCCCAGTATCTGTGCGTCGTCATCTAAAAACACGCGCGCAATGTTCTCATGCCGACATAGTGGGCTCTCCATTTCACCTTCGCTGGCGACTGGGAGAAGGACACCGTCATTTTTGTTTGTGCGTTCAAATGCTATCACCTTAGTGTGAAATGTTCAGAACAACATAACAGGTTCATTTCTCGCTATTATACCCCTGGCCAAGGTAAAGTTGATCTAGCGACTAGCCGTAAACCAGTTGGCGTGATCCTTTTTGCATGATTTAGCTTCTGGACTTCGTCACTGATGAACTCTCCTTGAGAGTTGGACAGACCCTAGCGGGACTTTTGAATGTTACCTTCGTAGGTGCCGGTCATACATCGCCTTATCTGCGTTTCTCAGAACTTTCGTCTTGCAGGGAAACGCGTACGTCATTGATGCAATGATATCATAAGCCGTCACTAAACGAAGGTTATATCACCCAGTGTAGAGCTGATCTTCTCTGTAAGTCTCCGAGGAAGCCGTATCGATCATACCCAGACTCATTACTTACATCAGATAATATCCCTTTTAAGTTGTGAACTTCAAATCGTGCAGTCATCATGTAAGTCCATGGTTTTGTGTATTGCAGCTATCTGTCCTAGTATAATGTGACTACTAGAACGAAGCGCTAATGCTTGTTTTTGGTAGTGGTCAGTATCATCCTCATTAACCTTCGTACGTGCCTATCTGTTCATCCTTGGCAGTTATCTTATTGTATGAAGTTTTGATTCTTGGCATGTGTTTCTTCGTCGGAGGGATCAAGTTCCAAAAACAAGGATTTGGACAAAGTACGTAGATCATCTCTTGGCGATCTTAGTCTCTCTTGGCGTTAATCTGACATTTCATGTACTCAGTGGCTACCCAGCTTAACTCTTCTCTACTTGCCATCAGCGTCATTGCTGTTCTCTCACCTGCTGCTTTCCACTTCTCGGTAGTCGGTGATACTGAGGCTGACGAAGCCTCAGATATCCTGAATGTTAGCCATGGGGTAGGTCTCCCAGTACACCTCTGCTAGATCTGTATTGACGTCATTTAGACCTCAATCATCCTGCTATTTAGTAAGAGTACCCGGATTTAAGCCTACGCAGAAGACTAAAGTCCACACCAGTTTACATCTCCTACTTGGTTTTCCAGCTTTTCTCTCACGCTTCACTGTATGCAGACGAAGGTGAAGACTCAGTCAAATATACACCGTACGGACGGTCTGTAGTAGGTGAGGATAGTGATCTTGAAAGTGGCTCTGCACACTCAGGAGAAGAGGTCGAACAACCCCAGTTGGGTCTATGGGTCACCGTCGGACTGCTAGTTATTGTCACCGTGGCAAGTCTGCTTTATCTTATATACTCTTGAACCACGCTGAGAAGTTATGGTATATTAGCTGGTCGCATTTACCACTCAGTGGCTTGTGGACTCGATCAACGGCATAACGAAGAATGATAATATCAATAATCAGTTCGTTGGAGTGATTCTTCTTCCAATCATCTGCCGTACTCCCGATGGTGTCACTATTGTGACAACATCAGTAAAAGATAAGCTTAACATAAGTTTAGGCCTTACTGTTGGATCGAGTATCATGAGTGGCACTTCTCTTTTTCATGGAAAGCTGGCTGATAATTTTCTCTAGCAAATTGCGCTCTTCATGATTCCGTGAGCATTAGCAGTCCTTACAAGTGGTCTGCTGCTAATCTTGTTTCTTAGCTTTATCGTGACTCTTGCATGGATCCTCGATAAACCGTTAACCTTATTGTTCGATCCTTATGAATCCATAGTTCTATTTTTCACAGGTATAAATCTTTACGCTCATTGAAAGCGACGGTTCAGTTTATTGTAGCCATAGTTCTAACTGTTAACTATGTCGTGCAAAGCGGAAAATCTAACTGGCTACAGGTTCGTGCATCAATGCTTACTATCATTGAATGACGACTGACCCATAGATACAGGGCATGATTCTAATGTGTAAGCCTCTGTTTCCACAATGAAAATCTCTTTCAATTGAATATCCGACGTCAGGTCTATATGTGATCCTCGCCGTTACGTTCTGGTCCTATCCAGGTATGTTTTGTACCATTTGATAATTCCCCTTCTTTAAACAATGATCCTCCAGGAATTGATCCCTCCGGTGGCCTCTTAATGCAATGTACTACTTAAACCGCTATATTCTTAAGGATACCCAAGTAGAGTGCCCGCCGATGCAGGACTGACCGTTATTTTTATTTAATATCATAACAATAGGGTTGAGACATTGGATCACTTTGATGTGTAGCTTAGTCCTTTCGCTCGCTGCATTCTGTAGCATTCATCCGCTGCCAAGGAATCCTCGTGTTGGGCGATTCTCGCATAATATTGCTGTAGCATCAGAATCATAGCTTCGCTCTCTCCGAACAGCATACGCAAGGACAACACCGTCTCGTTATCACTGAAGTCACATCGTGATATGATGACGCGACATGCACGGCTTGCAGAACACGACTTTGGTCCCCCTCCCTTTCATATCAACCTGGGTAAGCAAATGACGCCCGCAAATTGAACCTTGGAATGTAAAAACAAGTTTGCCGGAAACGCCCATTAAACAAAGCCCGTGCAAGATCACCCTGTCACAGCGAGTTTAGGAAGATGACGGGCCTTTTCAGATAATGTAACAGGAGGAATTATTGACGCGCAATGGATTCGTCAATCCGGAAAAAAAAAAGTCCAGTTTGGATACGCCAAAATTGACAAGTGATATAGATCACAGTACAAGCAGACGCGTTTTCTCTTCCACTAGAGCCCGCGGTAGCTGCTCCTCGGTCTGAAATGCGCGTTCTTCGTGACACGGCACGGCACGACAACGGCGTAGACAGGAACGCGAAATTGCCTCACGCGCATCTAGTTACCTTACGCCACCTTTGCGAACAGATCAAATAAATGTGCATGCATCTAACCCGAGTCCTGCTCATGAGGTGTGAATACTTGAATGCTTGAACATTAAAGCTAGGGTTCCAATAATGTCTTAGGTAGGAAACAAGAAGAGCGTACTCTAGCGTACCGTGTTGCCAAGACAATGCATGTGAGATTTTCACATCTTCTGAACCCAGAACATCTGGGCCGCGAGATGTGTTTCCTTCCATGCTGTTCTTCATGTCCTTCCAAGCTGGCTTGTAGATCCCATCCTGTCAGCTCCTGCTACTTCTCCGTATTCACAGCCCCGTCCCTCCGCGAAGAGGGCAGCTGCCATTGGTATAGCAAACAGAATTAGAAGTACGCGTATCTCTTCTCCAGCCTAAGTAGGATGGGATCACACACGTGGAAAGCAGTCTCAGTGGGGACCCGAATACCACTAATCTATGGCCCACTAGGCGCACTCGCCTTCAGCACCCTACTCTCCGCCGGCATCTCATAAGGAAGAACCGAAGATTCGACACCAGCAAGATCGATGCGACTCGGGTGGAAGAAGCAGGAAGGGATACCATTCGAGCAGGCAATGGAGGAAACGAAGAGAATTCCGTTATTTGTATAAAGTAGGCCCTTCTGACAATCACCATTAATATAAAACTACTCGTAAATCATCGAACGACCCAACTCACGATGGACGGTCTCGCGCAAGAACTCATCGACGAGATCATCGACCACCTAGACAAGCCTGACCTCAAATCATGCTCGCTCGTCTCCCGGTCGTTCCTCCCCAGAACCCGCACGCACCTCTTCCAGCACATCACCATCCCCTCCCAACGAAACCTCCAAGTCCAAGACATCCCCAGAGCGTATATCCGCTCGATACACCTCACCGGACACGTCGGGGTCCCCCTAGACCTCCCCAACGTCTCGCACGCCTCCTTCACGTCGATCCTGTACGCCTCTGACCCGTTCATCCACTCCCTAAAAGGCGTACACACCATCTCCCTCACGGGCACATCCATCTTCATCCGCGACCCCGCAGTTCTCTCCGCCTTCCTCGTCCGCTTCCCCCATCTCATCACCCTCAATGTCGACTGCTACATGCAGTTCCGCTGCTGGGAACAGCCAAAAGACGTGCCAAAGATAGACAAGCTACGCGTCGAGCTCAAAGGCAGCTACACTCGCTGGGTTATCGCCCTCGCGCAGAATGTCCGGCGCCTCGAGCTCATCAACGCATCAGCCACCGACATCCGCCAGATCCTCGATGCCCCCACCAGCAACCTCCAACAACTCGTCTTGCGCAACTTCCAGATAGGCTTGGGGTTGCTCGACATGAGCAACCTCGTCCAGCTATCCATCGATCTCCCCGATCAGCGCGCCGTCGACTGGTGGGAGGCAATCCTCCTCCTCTCTCCCCCCCGCCACGTGCACATCGCACTCCACATCCCTTCAGGACTCCCACTAGCAGCCGCGCTACCCAAATTGGGCGTCGAGGTCGTCGTTGAGCCACACTGCAAGTTGACAGAAGTAGAGACCCAGGAATACAAAGCCTTACTCTGCCCCGTCAAATCGTAATATAATTTTAACTACAACCCAATCCAGCTACTCCGACCGCCAACATTATGCAAGCCAGTCTGTCCAATCTTAATCTTTGCTCGTCCTCCTTCCACCTGTCCGTGCACAACCGTCTCCACTGCATCAGCCATCGGACTCGGCGGCGCGTTCAACAACGGCGAAGAGCTCGACGCTTGCAATGTCATCTTCGACCCCTTGGTCTCCCCTTCCAAATACCCCTCTGCACACCATTCGTACCATACCCGTTTACCATCCGTCAGTCGCCACATACTCACATGCAGTTCCGAGTGAGCAGGCAAATACATTGGATCCTACATCCTCGTTAGATATCATAATGAAATCTGTGTGACAATACACTCACCCTGATGGGGAAAAACATCGGAAACCAACTAAGCATATCCTTACTCACAACCTCCTTATGATCAGGATGAATACTCAACCCCACCGTATCATACAACACCGCCTCGAAATACCCCGCAAACCCATGCAAGACCCCCTCCTCCGGGATATCAAACACCATCTCCGCACTCCGAACATTATGCCCATTATCCTTCGGGGGCTCCAACGGCGTCGGGTTCATCGCAGTCAGCGTGTAGCGCTTCGACATGCCCTTTTTTGACCTTTCTTCCTCTTCGACCTCGAATCGTGGGTGCTCAAAGCCCCAGCAGTCGGCCACAGTAGGGCTCAGGCGCCTCACGGCTTGGAACATCACCACATATGGGATCTCACCGCCCATGCCTGCTCCAGAAGAGTTTCGTGCCTCATTGTATAATTTTGAAGATGACAGTGGCGATAGATGCGCCGTATACGAGGATGGTATAGATATCGCCGATGCTAATCACACTGAGCATCAATGAATAATATAAGATACTTGCCACTCACGTTTCATCCACCTCTCCACCCCATCTAAACACTCTGGCGAGAGCTCATTATCCCCAAACGACCCCAACAACTCGCTAATCACAATATCCACCTTTTCAGGCATCTTCACAGATCGCATGTCCCCAAACAAGAGATGCACATCCGGGAACGTCTGTTGCAAAAGCAGATACGCCGATGGGTTCTTTTCGATGGCGTACAAAGTGTACGACTTGCGCGAGGCGCGTTCGAGCGCCGCAAGCGCACGAGTGATGAGCGGACCTCGTCCTGCCCCAGAGACACATAACACCCTAGTACACAATTAGCACCCCACCTCTCTTTATTAAAGCAAAACACAACACACAAACGCTCCATCCCAACCCTATCAACAACCGCCCTATAAATCGCCTCCTCATAATTCGCATACTTGACCGGATCCTGCTCAAACGTCTCATACGTCGCATTCTGCAAGTTATCCTGCAGGGGCTGCAACGGCGCCTGCAAAAAATCCCCATAGCCCCTCGCATATGCCTCGACGCTCCCCTCCCTCGCCCCCGTCGTCCGAATCAGATGGTCCACGTACTGCGCGTACGCGTCCCTGCCCCCCTTGGAGTGGATGCCCCCCTCCGTATGCGACAGCACGAACGACACATTGGGCACGGCCAACAGAAGCCCCCGCACGAGGGCCTGGGTCGTCTTGGGTAGGACGGGGTACCCCTTGGCGTTGGAGATGAACGAGTGCGCGGAGATCATCACGTGGGAGAGGGGCTCCGCGGCGTAGGCGGAGGTGATGGGCGGGAGGAGCGTCGGGAGGGGCGGGGTCAAGTCTAGGGCGAGGCTGAGCCGGGGGTGGTACTCGCATAGCGTACGGATGGAGTCCCAGGTCTCCCAGGGCGCGCGGAAATCAGGTGTAGGGGAGGGAAAGTAGATCGGGAGACGCACGGCGAGGCGGAGGAGCGGGGAAGAGGACAGAGCGGCGTAGGTGGCGCGTGCGTAGGAAGGTGTATGCGCGCGGTGCGGGACGGGGAGGATCGCAGAGGTCAGATTGAGGAACGTACAGTGCGCTAGCTCCTGGCGTAATGCGATCTCCGTATCGTGCCGGACTCCGGCGTCGTCAGCGTCGAGTTGGAGCCAGGGGGAGAGGAGGACCGTGCAGGTGGGGGAGGGGGCGGTCGGGATGAGGTCAGAGGGTTCAAAGGCGGGGGCGGCCCGCCAGGTTTCGCTGGATGCGTCCCCGCGTCCGGTGCACATCCGTTTCCATCGGGTGTGCCATGCGTCGGTCGTGAGTTGGACGCAGCCGCTCGTGGGGTCGGTGGATAGTAGACAGACCGACATGTCAACACTGGTAAATACAAAGCGGGGCACAGCCACAGTCGACTAGGTATTTCAATCGCCGATCGCGACATGCGTACTGCAGAAACAGCGCCAAGAAAAATCCACAAGTGTTTAGGTAACAAAAATCTTGTGTACATGTGCATCAAAAGGCTTCACTGCCAATATCTAGATTGGCCGTTTTAACTCTTTGCTTTTACCACGCACGTCCTACACGACTAGCAAGACTGACAAACAAATCAATGCAATGCAATGTCTACACAAATCCGTACAAATCCAACCTAGTAGTAGTAGAATACAATGATATTAGCTAGTGATGTTAGCTATGAAGTAGACTACAGGTAGCGACCAGCGCTAAACAAAGTGACATAGATAAACACATTTCCTGACATACCGTAACAACAAACAGATAATTTCGCGAGGTGATATTATATGACCTCACGAATGTTTGTTCGCAACATGGCGCTTGAAGTTATCAATTCGCCATGTTACAAGGTTGCCGCAGTGGCACGTGTAAGGTTTACTTTTGCAGTGTTTAACGAAATGCCGGCTGAAATTCGGGGTAAAGCATTTGTATGGGAGACAAAACGGGCAAGCCGTCACTTTGCCATGACGAGAAAAGAGCGACTTGTGGTATTTACGAAGGTGATCGCCCAACTTGCAATAAGGAAGGGCATTACCTGCGTCGCCGCAAGCATTGAAGGGGCAACGTAGTTCACCTTGGAGGAGTACCTCTCCAACGGCAGAATCTGTACACAGAGGCCTGTCAGAACCGGTAAACGATGATGTCCATGAGATTGATGGGAAGCTAAACGTACTGTTCTGGTTGTGGGTAGGTGTTGGTATGGACGTTACTGTCAAGTGAAAAGGGACAGATCAGAGAAGGCTGAATCTTAAACAGGAGGATCGCATTACCCATCCCTCATCTGCGATAGAGGAGCAGGAAGCGGCGGAAAGTATTGTGTAGATGGCAGCGAAGCGGCAGCAGTATTAGCCGCTTCGCCAGTTATCACACTGAGAGCAGAGAGATAAAATGAGACAACGACACGGAATAAGAAAAGGATCATATACCCAGAGGCTGAATGGCTGAATTTGTATGCGAATTCCCCCATGCTCGGACCATTGGCGCCAAGAGAGGACATCCTTTATCCATCAAAAAATCAGTGAACGCGCGGGCGAAAGGGAGAAGATCGTCCCACTCGTGTACAGGTTGATATGTAGGCCTGGCAGATCTAATCAACATTAATGCCCTTGACATCATTGGAAAACCAAACGCACTGTCTCATTTGCCCTTGCGCCTGCGAGTAGGGGTCAGTAAGCCAGTTACTGACGAGTGAGAAGATACAGATCAGAGAAGGCTGGATCTCAAGTGGAAGGACTGCCTTACCTGTTGAATGTCTGCGACAGGTAACCAAGATATTGCGGAGCATGTTCTGCAGACTGCTGTGAATATCCGTAAAACTGGCGGCTAGAGTCCATCCTTTGGCGGTTAAAACTAACATCGATCTGGTATAAATACAATCTTCCTTACCGCGTGGTGTTCGTCACATCTTCCTCTTCTTACTTCCCATGTTCGTATCAAAGATGGCCCTTGAGCCTCCAGATCAGGCTTGTGATCGAGACGTCTCCCTCCTCCTCCTCCTCCTCCTCTGTTCTCCTGGCCCATCTCATGGCATCTGCATGGTCTCCCTCATGTATTCCGTCCACGTCCCTCTGTCATCGAGAGGAGGCGTCAAGGTCCAGCCTGAGTCTGACTTGAAATGGCGCACAGAAGATATCTTCTTTAGGTACTCTGGTTTCTGCGGGGGAGAGAAAACTCCATAACCTATGCATCGCGCATATCATGTCAATCAAGTCAGCTCGACTCGGACTCTGTACCTTTCCACCGCATCCTGCACTTCTGCTCTGGACCCCCGTCCTTCCATCGACTTCTCTCGCCGCAGCAGTATTAAGCAGATAACAGCGCGTTCCTTCAACATAGACGCGCTGTCACCTCCCAGGTCATTATGGCTACAGGAAGTCAGGAAGTGGTCTTGTATCACAACAGTAGCACATACCCACTTATTTGTAAACAGGTACTCCGTGGCATTCGTAGCATGATTGACTTTCCACAAATCTTGTTAAGACTTAAGTAAGTCAAAACTTAGCAATTAGTAGCTCGCAGTCGTAAGGAAAAAAGCCGTGGCCCTGCAAATTTACCAGTCAGAAGTCGAACTCTGGAGATGAAGAAGTTACGAAATGCTCCAACTTTTGATAGACCTGCACACAGTCGACCTTTGTTGATAGCGTTGTCATAAATAGAACGATGCGAACCAAGCGGGAGTAACTAGGTCTGTTTACGGTGTTTGTCGTCGAAGTTCAGACGAACCAGTTCCGAGTCATTCAAATAATGATCCATCATCCAATGACCTTCTTTCAACGTGACATCTGTTTGCCGGCCTGGGCGGCCCGAGAGTACGATGACGTTTCACTCTGCACGACATTCTTCTCTAATTTTCTGGCAAGACACGTAAGGTATACTTGTATAATATTGAACTGGAGACGTTGATACTTACATAGGTTGTTCTGTGCCAGCTTTCACATGAGCAAGCCGCGTTTGGATATCGCGTCTTTCTATTACTATGAAGTCCTCTCCTCCCTCCTCCCTCCTCCTCCTCCTCCTCCTCCTCCTCTGCTTCTGCCGTCCTCATGCCATCTCACACTACTCTGAAACGTCCAAGCATGTTCCCTTGTTTCGGCCCAATCGGGGATAATAAACACCTCGATTACACTAGACCGAGCAAAGTGGGAAGGTTCAGAACCTCATCACTCTCCTCCTCACTTGTTCTGCGGCCAGGCTTCGTCATTGAGCAATGTGGCTTCACCCTTTACATCCGCCCGTTCTCGTTCAGAGGTTATAAGCATCAGAAGAGACCATGACACCTCCTCCCACCAAGAGTCTCATACATCATCATGCCTCCCATCTATCCCACAGCCTCATTACCCGATGTTACCTGGATATCTTCAATCGCGTCATCCGTTGCTGATAATCCAAAAACCTCTCTCGTCTTGTGTCTAGTTCTCGTAGGCACGATGGCGTACAGGATATCTCCACCACTGTCTCCTCATACCCAGCTCAAGCAGCTGAATCGTAATATCGATGATGTGTGGGCCCTGATCAACACGTCTGATGGCGATATCGACCGTGACTGTCGCCACTGGCGTTGTAAAGCGTATGACTGGTTGGAACTGTATGATTCTAGCTCAAGTTGGGTATCAGAACCTCGTTCTAACTTTAAACGTATCTGTAGAATTCAAATTGATGCTTGCGAGCTTGAAATATGTCTCCTCCAAACTGAGAAAGACAATACCGCTTCATGGAGTGAATATTTTCTTTCCTTGAAGAGGGTGTATTTCGGCGCACGCGCAGTCTGTAAAGAGGTCGAGGCCATCCGGACGGATGTAAAGGTGGAATTTTTCGCTCTATCTCATTTGTTTTGGTGACTGATATTTTCATGTAGATAGAACACTTGAATTCTCAACTGCAATACCTTCGGATGAAGAAACACATTGTAGGGCCGAAGTTTATTCGGGAGCAGTCTGAGAGTCTGACGCCCTATGTCGCGTTGTAATAGAGAGTCCGAGCACAGCCATGGAAAGTCGACTGCCGAGTGCGGCCATCATATACTTTTCGAGCATCTCCATCGTATAATTGAGTTTGGGTCGTACCAACAGTATTATTTAAATACTACCTTGAGGATACTATAATAGTATCTGACAAGCGATACAGCAGCTCCATCGTTGCTACGAAATGGAGACAGGAAGACAGATCATGGATGGTGAGTATACACAATTCCCGTAGTCCACCCCACCAGCCCATTGATACGCTTCCGCGCGGCTCGACGGCTACTTTTTACGTTCCAGTTTGATGAGCGGACCAAGGAACATACCGCACGCACAACGCGCACCTTATGGATTCAGGAACATACGCGACGTTACGGAATACCGCGTAAGCAATGAATTGCGGCGGAATCATCAAATCAGTTTTTCCATTCAACAGACGTCAAACTACCGTGTTCTATTGGCGATCGGGGGATGGGAGGCCTAGGACACTCGACCTTGGAGCTGTAGAGTGAGATATAATTTCAACGTGAGAAGTGAGTAGGGCCTAGTATACCCATGTGCTCAGTAAGTGAAAGGCGAGAAAGGGAATAAAGCATACCTGTGACTGTCGTTTGTTGAGCAATCGACTTGCGATCGACGATCAGGGACCTTGGCATCACTGCATTGCTATGCTGGGGTCTTTAATCCACTTTTCGTATAGCAATCTCTGCTTGCAGAAACTCCGCTACTTGGGGAAAGTCTTCTGCGAGTGATTCAATGGGCTAAGGAGGCAGTTTGGTGGCCACAAGTGAGTGGAGAGAGCAGAAAGACACACCGATACGCCTTCGTTATTGGTCTTATCGATGACGGCGCCATGATCGATGAGCCAACGAGCGGTAACAACGTCTTCTACTACATAGAGAGGCGTCTCGCCGTCGTCATCAGTGATATTGACGTCGCCACCGTGGGCCAACAAGAACTCAAGGACATGAATGTGACCATACGAAGCTGCTGCGTGCATCGGAGTATACGTAAACTCGTCTGGTATATTAGGCAAAGTTCCAGCCAGGACGAGTTCCTCCACACGGGCCAGGTCCCCATCACCAGCTGCGATCCAGATGTTGGACATGAGAGCACGAGAAAAAAAAAAACAGGGCTCAGTTACATAATCAAGCAGTGCCACGTGGGACGATCGAAGGCAAACTTCCCTCTTGATCGATCGTAGCTGACTACCACGACAATCCCTCCCAGACGAGAATTTTTCATGTCCCCTCCCGCCGGCCCTACACGGTGCTACTGGTCGCTGCTCTCTGGCGACTTGCAGTTCATCTATCTCGACCCGGTGCTGCAGTACCACCTAGCGGATCAAGCAGAAGCCTTGGCGGGCAAATCGCTGCTCGACTTTGTGCATCCAGACGAGCAGTCATCGGCCAAGCATGATCTCGGTACCGTCCTAGAGAGCCGGACGCTGCATGGGTCAGTGACGCGAGTGAGGTTCGCAAGGCTCTCCAAGATTCGTCGCGACCTGGGGTACACGGGCCCCGCATCCGACTTTCCCGCGGCAGACAAAATCGCTGTGGACGCCAACTACATGGCGGTCGACGTCGTCATCAACTGGGCGGCCGAGGGCCTCGTGCTCTGCTTCATTCACGCTATCGTCGACATCGACCCAGCAGCGGACAACGACCAGACGAGCAAAACGTCCTGGTCGAATTGGTGCGGCACCCCTGTACTGAACTCGGAGCAAGTCCAGATGCTCTTCAAGCGACTCCTCATGTGCGCACCACAGACAGCACCGACAGCACGGGTCTTCCAGATTCTTAACAACAACACTGCCAAAGATCTCGTCATCTCTTGGCCACCCGCCGACCAGCCCTCAACTCGCGAGTTTGCCCGTCTCGCCAACGACATCAACGTCAACGTCGTCAACACCGACGCCAAGACCTCTTGTACACGCAGATTCAAGTCGGCTCAGCTCGTGCAGGACGTCGGCCACGTCGAGAGCGTCTTCATTCCGCATGGTACGTGCGTGCTTGCCCCACCATCGGATAGGGGCTAACATGCTGACTGGACCGCTGACTTTCTATTAAAGGCAGCGTCATATTTGCATGCCACAAAGTTGATTCGCCCCCTAACTCTACCATGCCTTCTTCCTACGACCACCACCACACTCCGTACGCTCTGCCTGGTGCTACCAATGCTCCCTATTATCCAAATCCAAACCCCTCAGCATATTCATATCAGCCGCCCCCGCCACCATGGGACAGGTATTACCCACCGTACGAAGCCGGCAGGAACCATGAAGGAGGCGGAGCAGGCCAGTATACCTATCTTCCCCCGCCGCCCAGTCCCCCCGAAGATTCAGTACCGCCTCCCAGACGCCGCGTATCGCCTCCACCACCAGGACAGTCCCAAAGGGGTCACGGAAACCGCCCGGTAGGCGTGCTCAAGTGCAGTAGCTGCAAGGCAACTAGTAGCCCCGAATGGCGCAAGGGACCCAGTGGCAGGAAAGAGTTGTGCAATGCGTGCGTAGATCTTTCACCCCCTTTTTTTGGGCCTTGGTCTCTGACTCCTTTTTTTGTTTATCTTTTTTTTTTCTAATTGTAGCTGCGGTCTCCGCTACGCCCGCTCCCGCGCTAAAAAGGAGGGTAGTGTTCCGAGCTCCTCGCAACACCACAAGTCTTCTGGTAATGGGAGGAAGGAGAAGAGTTCGTTGTCGCTTAATGTTGTCAAGAGGGAGCGTGAACAGAACTCGGCGACGCCTCCGCGGTCTGCTGGGTCGTCTGTGGCGTCGAGTTATGACTATGGTGGTGCACCGGGGTATGACTACTATCGTTCTTATCGCAACGGTGGAGGAAGCGGTGGGAGCTCGCCTGACGGTGGAGGAGGAGGAGGAGGAGGAGGAGGAGGCGGGGGCGGTGGCAATGGCAGCTTCCCTAGCTATGACGACGCACCACCACCAGCAGGAGGAGGAAGATACTATGCGCATACAAGCCCGTTGGCTGCACCTCCCACGACAAATGGTGGCGTAAGCTACGAAAGAAGGTACGAGAAGTGGGACAGAGACGATGGAAGGCGTTGATTGATTGATATGCACTTGGACAACTGCAATTCCCTTGTAATTCTACCTTACAGCTCTTCTCCCTAGTCCGTTTTTTGTGTTCTCCATTCTGTAATCCCGACCTCTTTTTCACTCTCCTCTTCTTGATATGCAGTAAAATGGGGTGTATGGTACGGATTCGAATGAAATTGTGTATAATCGGGGATGACTTCCATAACTTACTATTTTGCTCTTTACGTCGTGGCGCCTGTAAAGTTTTCTATATAAACGATGAACATGCGAGATGTGCATGTATGCCCTTCTGTCATCGATGGTTACCCTAACACACTCATACCTCGGGGAAACTGGCTCCAAACGACCTAGGAGGGAAATAATTTCCCCGGCTGATAGTTCGCGCATGAAATCTTGTGTCTGAAGTTGACATCATAGACGAGGACAAGATCGCGGAAGTGGGAATATTATTAGGTTTTATCTGAGACCGACGCTGGCGAATAACAGACACATGGTTTCGTAGGGAACATTCCGAGGTCACGAACGGGGGTGTTAACCCTTGTTGAATAAAGGAGTAACGCGAATGACATAGATATTCCATAGACCTTCAATACAGTATTACGCCAAGAACTTGGGCCGCAGCAATTTTGAAACAATGCCTTCCGTCACAGGTTGAGGAGGGGTACGCGCCAGCGTTGCTGGCGGTGACTTCGCGTCAAGGTAATCGGTGAAAATACACGATCGACGATCAGGATTTATGGCAAGACCGAGTCGTGTCGAACGATCGTGTAATGCAATGTGTGATCATTGCTCACGTTCCTGCCCGCGTCCCTGAGGATCGTGGCTGTTCCGCCGCGGGGGGGAACGGAGCGGCCATAAGGAATACCATCGCTTTTTGAGAACGGAGATTTTTCATCGATGCTTGATTCTTAAGGCCATATGCATGGACATTGAGTCTAAGTGCAACTTCCCAGAGCTAGCTGTTGTCGGTTAACTAGTATTGTCACCGGTGGCCCGACTTTAGGCCGACAAAACGGCGGGTATTTGCGCTTATTTACCTGGACCGTTAGATTCGGCCCGGGCCAACCTTCAGCTCGTCCTGAATGGCGCACACCGCAAAGTCCAAGGCCAAGGGCATTAGTGCCAGTTCATTCCTGGACCTCAAGGCTGAGATTGCGAAGAAGGAAGAGGAATTCTCTAGGAAGTCGTCCTCTGGTAAGAAATCGCCCAAGCCGGAAAAGGTGATACCGCTCGAAATCCTCCTAGACTCTCAACTGACGATGAAATCTGTCTAGAAACCCACAGTATGGGCTAGGAAGAACAAGGGGGTCAGCAGTCGTGCTGCAAGAGACATCGAACTGGAGGCTGTCAGCAAACCTACGCTTGATTCGGCACGAGCGGCGCTGGAACGCAAGGCGAAGATATATGACAAATTGAAAAAAGGGAAGAGCGGAGGATTGAGCGAGAAGCAGTTTGATGCCCTTTTGGTTGACGTGAGTCTCTTCTCTGTCTCTGTAATCAACCAAGCCTTACTGACGTCTTCTTAGTTTGACTACAAGCCACCTGAATGGGAAGACGATGAAGATGATATCGATGAATCGTTAACAGTTCCTCATGCACCGGATGTATGTATTCCCAGCACGTATTAATCCCTTTCCGTCACTCAAAATTCTGTCGTAGGACGAAAATGATCCTATTATCGAGTACGAAGATGAGTTTGGACGTATACGGACTGCTCCGCGGTCTGAAGTACCAAGAGAACTCCTCCCTGGCGTCCGTTCAGAAGAGGTAGACGAAGACGAGTGCGTTACCATCCTACACAATCTATCTTGCCGATGAATTCACCTCACTACCCCAGGGACATAATCATCCGCAACCCTGTCAACCACTTCCCAATATACACCCCATCCGCAGACCGTGTCGCCGAAATCGAGAAAATGCACGCAGAGGAGAGCAATCCCCTCGGGGTGCATTATGATGCCACGAGCGAGGTCCGCGCGAAGGGTGCTGGTTTCTATCAGTTTTCGGGTGATGAAGAAACACGGCAGAAACAGATGGAAGAGCTACGGGCGGCACGAGAGAAGACACAAGTTACACGACAAGAACAGGGAGCGGCGGATGTCAGTGTCGAGGGTATGGTCGCTAGTGGGAGCAGTACTGGCGAAGGCGTTGGAAAAGGTGTGGAGAAGAGGAAAAGAGAAATCGAGGAACGGAGAAGGATGATTGAAGCTAAACGACGCAAGCTGAAGGGCGAATCTGCGGTTGTCGATAACTCGGCAGCAACAACTACAGCGGTTTCCCGCAAAGATGATGAAGAAACAGTAATATTTGTGGCAGGAGCACCAGAACCCGAGCCCGACATGACCCCAGATCCGTTTGCAGCCTTTGAACGTCAGCAAGTTACAGAGAAGAGCCGGAGTAAAGGCAAAGGAAAGAGCAGGTCGGATGAGGCGGATGCGTTCCTCGCGTCTCTGGAGAATGAGATTCTTCATAGAAAGAAAGGGAAATGATGCTTCTCCACCAACCCAGCGTGTTGGTGTGATTCCGCTCACAGCCCTTATGCTGCACAAAGACTTTGACATCCTTTCGGGGTGGATCCCGTTGCTGCCTGACGTCACGCTTAAAAGGGCCTTTCGTGCGTGGAGGGTAGTTACAATAGGTTCCGTGGAATGGAAATTGTACAACAGTCTTATGTGCTCAGCTAGTAGTACTTATATACAACAGTGAATGCACGAGTATGGATGGGAGGGGATGTCCAGGAATGAATGGATGAGTGAGATGAGAAAGAATTGAAAAGGTAAGATCGTGAAAGGAATGGACGCCGTAGCTAAAGGGCGACTGAAAACGAGTCCATGCATTAGCCACCCGTGCCAACGCAGTGAACCTGTCCTTTGGTGATGGGAGAGATGGGATAGAGGAGGGAAGATATACATCTATTATGAAAGAAACATAAGTATCTCCATCGGTACAGTCATAAAAAGACGAACCAGTAAAATCAGACAGTATGTTAATCGTGTTCAAATCGTTTATGGGCATGATCTATCATCTTATCTGAGAGCGACGGTATGAGACGCGTCATAAAAGTATGAAAGGAATAGCGCACCAACGGAAGCAAGCAAAACGCAGACATCCACCTCGTTGGACTGGAGGATCTTTTACCTGAGTTTGAGAATTGCGCGCAAAATTATCCTGAAAGAAATGTCAAAGCCATCCAGAAGGGTATGAGCGAAATCGACACGCACGAGATTATAACTCTCCGCTCCAGCGCGTAGAGGTACGGGCGACGAGGACACTATCACAGGGGCTACAGGCACAATAAGATGCGTCCATCAAAGAAAAGTGACTGAACCCTACCGCACACTCCGACGAGCACGAATGCTCTCCAGATGATCTTGGACTGCATATCTACCAGTGAGTATGGCCAAGGGCCCAGAGGGAAAAGAGCTAAAGGAACAGAAGCTGGGTACGTGTATGGAGCGTACGAACTTAAATGGGACAGCAATGGATTCGATCATCAGTCAGGCGTCTCCTTTATATTTTCAACAAAGAGCATCTCTTGAAAGGGCATTGTGAAAGGAACTGAGTTGCTCGCTTATTCGAACACAAGGGGAGCGAATATATGCGGCGCTCGCGTTGCTTAAAAATTGAACAATGTCGTCGAGATGTAATGGTTACCCATATTATTCGCCGAGATGAGAGCTTTACAGCATGGTGAAGCAAAGAGAAGGGCCGGCCTTCATCTAAAAGGGGAAAAAGTGCCGGACATTCGTCGCTTGCCACCGGGCGCAGGAGAATACGGAAGACGAACAAGGCAATGAACGTATTCGGCGATGCCAAAATAAGATAGTCGTTTCGGAGGTAGAAAGCGCGTATCGCAGGGTGAGAATACACGTGTACGAGAAGGTAAGCACCTGCCCATTATGAACTTAGAAAACACCGGCAGCCGTATGATAAAGCCATCCACAACGTATCGATGGACAGAGCCTCCCGCTGATCTCTAAGTGCAATCACGCGGCATCTGGGTAACATTAAGAATAAGGGACAGTGAAGTGAGAGAATATGGTACCTAAAATAGTGATCTTCTCGGCTTCAGCTTCAACCACCAGAAACTGGACAAATGACGGCGACCTCGGCACCCTCTGATAGCTCGCAATTCGCTGGATCATCGACCATTTCTTCATTCACACTCCACTGGCATGTTTCTAGGATTTTGTCCAAACCAGTATGGGGATGCCTGGAAATCAGTACATCGCGTAGATTCAACAACGAGAGACCGCGCAACGGAATAGGTACGGCCTCTTCGGTCCTTCCCGTTGCCGTTGAAGCCCCCGCAAAGTACAACACTGTTATTTCTGCGTGTAGCTCCATGGTCCACCAGATAGGCTTGGTGGTCTTGATCCAGACCGTGTCTGAGGATGGAACAAGGTGGTTCGACGTGGATACCATGGCATCAAAGGAGGATATGGTCTCCGCTGAAAACGAAATGAAGTTGATAAGATGGAAGAGTACGAGTCACACACTGAGATTCCACTGCAGTCCTGTTGTGGAAAGTGTCGTAGAGTCTATGCCTACTGGAAGTAAACCACATGTCTTTCCTAGGACAGAGTGGTCAATCTTGATGGAATGCTCTCCCTAACGTATCAATGAATAAGTGGGCGAAGGGGTGAGAAAGAGACGGCAGACACTATTGAGAACCCAGCCAATGTTGTCATCTGTTACGGCAAAGACTCGCTTAGAAGGGTCCTTTCGAAGCTTATGGAGGTAGGACAACGTGTGTATCGTCTGATCCAATCGCCCAGCAAGCCCGCCGAGAATGATAACTTGCCACGGCTAGGCAGGTCCTGTCAGGGAAGTCACCTGCGGAATCACATTTCGCAGCGAGAGTAGGATACCTCTTCACCAGGAACTTGCACAGAAGACAGGGCTTGCATAGACTTCATGAGATCGGTGGAGTCTTGGTCGCTACTATGGACAACAGATATTCCCTGTGTTACGTTGTATCTCCAGTCAAGCGACAATAATGGCGGGCGCACTTTCGACGTGTAATAGGTGCGAACTTCGGTCCGTATGGAATCAAAATCCCCCGTTATGAGATCTGGCAGATATCTGTGGGCACGAACATCAGATGATGCATGTGAAAGAAGGAATACTACTCAACAACTCCTTGCTCTCAACGGTGTCATGCAGTCTGTTGGCCCCTCCATCAGCGCAGCAACGCCACTGCGAGGATGTCCAGAGACGACGTAAAAGTGCTGGAGAAAAGGGTTGGTTCAAGATAATTAACGCTCGCTTGGTTGAATCACTGGCGCCGCTTGGCTGGAGAAAATCGACATTCCAAGAAGTCATCTTGAACACGACGAGAGGAACAGGAATGGAGCTGGCAATCACGTCCCAAAACAGGCAGCTTGAATTGGATAATCTCCCGCGAATACTGTTCTCTTCCTTCCACCATCTTCGAATTCGTCCGGCTTTGATAGTCACATTGTTTTTTCCTTTCAATTCACATCCTATCCTACTGCTACGATGTCTCAGCGCAAGATTCCTCTCCCTGATTTTCGTGGAAGCTTTCTCGCGAACCGCCGTCTACATCTTCTCGAGCTTCTCGGTTCAGGCGCGTATGGGAAGGTTTATCGTGCACTTGATACCGCCTCGTCTCCCAGCAACCCGGTATACTACGCTGTGAAATGTATGTTCAAGCACGAAAAGGGGACACGCGGAGATCTGCAACAGCTGAGAGAGTTCGCCCTACACGCCAAGGTCGCTGTCCATCCAAACATCGTCACGTTCCACGATGTCATCTATGACCACGCCTTTGTCTATGTTGTCCTCAACTTGTGTTCTGGCGGTGACCTTCACTCTGCAATCATCGAGAAGCGCCTTTTCTACAAGAACGACGAGCTCTTGCGTACCGCCTTTCTGCAGATCATCGACGGCGTTCAGTTTTGTCATCAGCAACAAGTATTTCATCGCGACCTCAAACCGGACAATATTCTTTGCTCAGCTGATGGAAAAGAGATCTTTCTTGCGGACTTTGGCTTAGCGACGCACAATGACCAGTGCGAGCACTTTGGCTGTGGAAGTATGTTCTATAAGAGTCCAGGTTTGTTTTCTATGTCTATTCCATTCCTCTTCCTGCACTCACCTGCATTCATATAGAGTGTCTTGGTGAAAAGGGCCAGAAAACATACAGCACGCAACAGAGTGATATCTGGTCCCTTGGAGTTGTCCTCGTAAATCTAATCACTGGGCGTTGTCCATGGAAAATCGCGAGAACCGAGGACCCATCATTCAACTCCTCTCTCCACGAAGAAGGCTATTTCAGGCGCACGCTTCCTATGTCACCCAAAGCTGTCGCACTTCTAAAGCGCATATTCCATCTTGACCCTCTCCTTCGAATAACGCTTCCTGAGCTTCGTGCTGAAATCATCAAGATAGACACCTTCTTCATCTCTGATGCTGATCTCTTGCTTGCGGATGATCAAGTCAAAGTGGTCGATAGCTATTTCACCTCTCCCCAATGCCATCCAACACCGCGTCAGCGCAAGATGCAACAACATCCTTTTGCGTCACTAGGCGATATTGTATCGGTTCCTCAGCTGGACGTTTCCCCGGAACCGGGGCCAGCTCCTCGTCATCGGGCGCCTTGTAATACCGCCTTGTTCACGCCTCCCAGACGAAGGTCCTTGTTGACAAAGGTTGTAAAGAAGCTCAAAGCGATATCACGGACTTCTACTAGCTCGAGATCATCGTAGTCCCACTGTCGCTCCTTTGGTACTAAGGTTTGCTTTTTTGTTGTCGTTCCTGGACTTTGTGTTACCGTTTCCTTACCTTATTTCCTCCTGGTGAGGAAAAACTGTTGTCAAGTTATTTACCGCAAAATATCCTAGAATCCTGGTTAAGAAAAGGACGAGTGTTCATTTGAAAAAGTGAATAACATGAGATGGAAAGCGTATGCTTATATCCAAAACAAAGCAACGATAATTGAGAGCTATGATACAATACATACCTTCTACATATGATAGCAAAGGAAATTTACAAAAGGTATATCATCTAAGAGGCCTGATTGCGGCGGGACCACGAAAAGCTCAACGCACCAATGACTCCCACAACAACAAGAGCAGTGCCAGCGCCAATGAGGCCGGGAAGGTAAACATACCAGGTAGAATCCAAGTCATCCACCTTAGACTGGTTCTCAAGTAAGGCCTTCTCGTCCCTCTTCCGTCGACGACGAAGGGAATCGACATTCGGCACCGGATCATACTGAAGTTCAATGGAGGGCATCTCCAATTCTTCAGCGTCCATTACAGTATGTGGCGGCAAGGTAGGGATATCGAGATCAGGCGCCAGTGCACGAGCACGGTCAAAGAACTGCCCTGCGGCTTCGCGATCTCGTTTCCAGGTCATCGTGCCCGTGTCTGTCATCTGGGCACGAGCGGGTATGCGGATAGACGACAGGCTGGAGTGTGAAGAAGACAGGAGGGTGGAGGCTGCGCCATCCAAATGAAGCATACCGGCTTCCAAGTAGAGCTGTGCGAGGCCTCTGGGCCCGCCTATGCATTGAATGTAGTAGGTAGTGGTGCCGCGAGGTGCCTGTCCCTGGTTCTGGTACTCTTCAATATTAAATTCTGTCTGCAACGGCAGATAGTGAGATACGAGTTTCATGGTTGATGTGGGAGCGTGAGAGAGGTGCCAAGCACGCCTAAGGAGACGTAAAACAGGGGGGCGCTAATGAGTTAGGGAAGGGAATGTACAAATGGCAGTCACTTACAGGAAACACTCGAATGCCTCTTCCCGGTCCTTGTGGATGTCGAACTGTTCCATGGCAAGCAAGACCAGGCTAGTGGGGTCCATGTTGTATTGATGTTCCAACTCGTAGCTCGCGTCAAAGATGACCGAGTTGCGGACGTAAGGCGCTAAAGTGTCCGGTACGGGTCCAACGATAAGAGAAGGCCAGATAATTGACTGATCCTTCTCCAAATGTAGGGTCAACAGCCGGCCAGATTGGGAATGCAATGACTCGACCGATGAATAGGAAGATGCGATACTCTGAATGATGTGCCCTGGGGATACAGCACGAGAAGCAGTGCTGGAATGAGGTTTCCGCCGAAAAGAAAACCCACGTTGCTCGTCGGCAGAAGAAAGCGAAGGGGAGGATAAGGCAGGTGATGATGCAGAGAATTCTTCCGCGTCGGACGCCTGACCACTCTCAAGAGATGCCGCAAAGCTGCTGGAAATTTCTGGGTCAGAAACGAAGGCATAGGATGAATGTGTTGACGCCATCGACGCAGTAGAAGTGGTTCGCTCTCGAGCGGAGAGGCGAGACGAATGGGGTTCAAGCTGCCACACAGAATTCGTCACGTCGACATTGCCGTACAGTCTCCCCTGCGCTACTCTTCAATGAGACTGCACAAAAATCCAGGAAATCCACTAACCTTAATTATGGGGGCCTGCCCTCGAACGCCTGCAATGAGATAGTTGCGCTCTATTACCACCTAACCACACACCAAGGTCAAAAACATTGGACATCGTTAACAGCCCCATAGTACATACCGACATGTCTTCTTCTTGAGTATCATAAGGAACCATGAGTAGAACCGTAGCCTAGAAATGAGAATAGACAGTGAGCGTCAGGATTATCGCGCCAGCCGAGCTTAGATTGACCTGGTCGTGAGACTGTAAATTGGCGACGTATTAGTGAGTGCCTTTCGTGCGAATTCCGAGCACGAACCTGATGCCAGGAGTAGGAGTAGTATCTGGTGTCATTGAGTTTGTCCATAGCAGTTCGTAAGTCGTGAGGGAGTGCAGAAAGAGGGAAGGCGAGCAAGTGGCCAAGAGACAAGCACAGTTGTACGGCACGGCTTGTTGCAGCGGGACGGCCACGTGCACGCTGTTCTCAGTTCTGATGTCTCTGACTCAGTCCCTTTCGGCAGCTATATACGCCTCTATGTAAAGTAAACATCATACCCGGCCTGCGTCTACAGCATCTGAATGCACGCAGCATGGAACCCCGTTTCGCAAAGTAACTCCTTTTCACCAGTCAAGCCTAACTGGTGCTTCATGGGGATCATCGCTCATAATATGCGCTTAGATGCAGCTGATCTATTTGACACATCATTATGAAGTCATCCAGCGCAAAAAATGAAAACTAAATGAATACGATTCTGGCATGGGGAATACAGTGATAGATGTATCTGCTTTCGACGGGCTCTCGATCCTGCAAGGCATAAAGGAATGTATGAATAGAAACAAATAGCGTGTTCAAAATCTAGAAAGGCGGCCTAAAATTCTCCTTATAAGCCGTCGAGGCCGGGATATTTGGTGCACATTGCCGAGAGAATCATCAGGAACTGGGCATGGGTTCACTGGAGTGCGATTGCTGACTAGTGGTGTTGGTGTGCTAGAGAGTTGCTTCTGGAGATTTGAGAACGAACTGCGATCAGGAAGGCTCCGATAAGCCATATCCCTAATAAGCTTGGGAGCATGAGAAAGGTCTTCGGGCGACAGGAAGAAAGTATCGAGTCTGAGAATCGCCTCGCGAAGTTCAGGTAGGGTGATCCGCTCGCCAGAACGGATGACAAAGATACGCAGAAGGACATTGATAACGCCAGGCGAGAAGGGAAAGCATTTCTGAAAGAAGGTCGAATCACGAAGGAAAGCATTGAATAGTACATCAGATGTCCTTGCAGTTTTCCACGGACAACGACGAGAAAGCATGTTGACGAGAACGATCCCGAGCGACCAAACATCACTCCGTCTTGCCGAGTACGTCGGGCTCTTCCATTCCTCGCCAATGCATTCTGATGGTAATCAGCCATCTAACGTGGTTGAAGGGTCAGGTCAATGAGCTAACCTGGACTCTGATATGACATGCTACCGCATCCAATGTGTTTGCAATCTTCTAGTGTTGTCGCCAAACCAAAATCAGCAAGGAAAACTTTAGTGAAGTCTCTTGAACACAGGACATTCTCTGGCTTGAGATCGCGGTGGAATATACTCTTCTTATGGCAATATTGAAGGGCGTCAATGAGTTGAATGAAAACGCTTTTGAGAAGCGCGTCGTTGTCGCGCAGAAGATGGGTTTTGCCTATGGCGTTGTAGAGGTCTCCGCCCGAGCAGAGGTCGAGAACAATGTATAGATAAAGTCCGTCATAGAAGGCCTTATGAAAGGTGATGATGTTAGGGTGTCCAGATACCTTCGCATGAGCCGAAAATTCTCGCTTTTGGAGAGCGTCGCGTCGCGAACCCTTCTTGTATCTGTGCGTACACTTGACAGCGTAGTATTCCTCAGCATGCTTGGGCGACGTGATATCGACAGCGCGATAGACTTTCCCGTATGAACCAGCACCGAGAAGCTCTAGAAGGAGAAGACGACCGTTCGCAACCAGGTGACCGGCAAAGTCAGGCAAAGGGTGTGTAGAAGGCATAGCGTGAAGAAGAAAAATGGCGAGATAGAAATGTAAAGCGACTCTCAAAGCCGGATGAAAGTGAAGGTGGTGGTAGGAATGAAACAGCGGCGATCAACAGGGCATTGTTTTTGAAATTGGTTTGTCGTCTCAAACAAACTTTGTCGCCGCGACCACCACGACGCAGAAATTTGCCGCCTCAAGGCATTGCTTAAGGGGGAAAGTATTCTCTTTTTGTTCACTGACATTGATGCAATGAAGCACAGATATTTGTTCCGTGCCCGCCCAAGTGCCGAGACCGGGCGACTGCAGTACTTGACTCTGTCCCCTTCAGGTTGCTCTATCTCCCCTGTTGTGTCGTCTCGGGATCTTTGCTACGCTGGGAAACGCATTTCATCGTCTCTCTTCTGGAATAAAATATGCAAATCGCGAGGAATGGAGAGCCTTGACGCCACGTTCATCCGGACCATCTCCGCCCGCCCAGTACGTCACGATACGCTTCCATGGCTCAGATTCACCGATATTACTTAACTGCACTCTAGTTCCTGCCGCTTTTTTCCCCTACGACGACCACACCATGCAGCGTCTTCCTAGCCTTCCGGGAGAAATCGTCGACGCAATCATAGACGAATGTCACGCAGATTCCCATACCCTCGTTTCATGCAGCCTTGTCTCTAAACAATGGTTTGCATCGAGCCGGTATCACCTCTTCTCGACCATCGAATTGTCATCAAAAAACTCGAAGATTTTCTCCAAACTCTTGGGATCGCCTCTCTGCACCATCACGCCCTTCCTGAATGAGATCTCTTTCCATGTCCAAGATGACGTCCAATGGATCCTTGATCTTCTCTCAGAAGGATCTTACTTCGGCACTGTCAAGACGCTCAACGTCTTTTTTTATGGCGTCGACCTCAAAAATTCGCTCCGGGACGCCATCTTGTCTCATTTTTCATCTATTACATACTTGCGCGTTTTTGCGGCCACCATGGCGTGGCGTAGCCTGGTTCCAGACGTTCGTTTCATCTGCTCATTCCCGCGTCTCGAGAATGTCCTTCTCTATGGCCATCACCAGAGCGACTTCCACATTGATTCATCGGTCCGGTTACCGCCAAACATCCGCGCATTAAAGCTCGACCTTCCGAGCCCTGCTCTGGACGGAATCATGCAGTGGTTGCTTGCACACGAGAAACTTCCAACAGTTTCTTCGCTGCATATCTTCCGAGTGCAAGCGGGGCATTGTGCTACTCTTGAAAAGTATACACAGGCTTGTCAAGACACGCTAGAAGATCTTATGATTCTTCTGCATAAGCGGAGCGCCGAGGAAGAAGGTACGACCAATATATCGTCAGAGCGTCAGAACTCACAATATCATACTTAGTCAATTTTGATTTGCGACCCAATACAAATCTTAACAGCATCTTCCTGTCAGCCATTGGCCCGGATGCTATCAAAGCGGCGGGAGCAGTTCTATCTTCTCTTTCATCGCCATACCTGCGAGATGTGATCTTGCGCGTTCCATACGTTCATCTACGGCAAGAAGGATGGGGGGGTCTCGATGCGATGCTAGCGTCCCACATGCAGTCGGTTGCCTGTACAGTTGTTACCGACGATACTCGAAATTACGGCCCTGAATTAAGGAAGAGGTTGCCCACCTTGAATGCATCTGGAGCGCTTCAAGTCGTCGCTCAGAGCCGCTCCAAGATCGCAGCTCACTATTTAAACGATGTCTACTCTCGGTTTAAGGTAAGCGCTTAACGTTACTGCCGGGTGTCCACAATATTAAATTCTTTCTAATATAGCCTTTGTCTCAACTGAGCGTCCTTTCTTCGAGTTGTACTATCTGCTAATACAGTTTGAGTTGAGTATATATGTAGCCACCCACCCACACTCAATTACCCATTAATTAGGCCTAAAATATTGCGTCAATCGATACTAATTGTCCATTCCATGTATTGAAAAGGTTGTGTTAAGGGTATAGAATTGTGAAAAACGGTATAAAAAATGAAAAAACAAAGGTATAAGCGACGTGATATATATATATACAAGCATCAGGGTTTAACCTGACCAGTAGATGCGTGAACATTAGATGCAATACGTTTAATCCGGTCCTTCTCCGCCTCCATGTGCTGTATAAGCAACCCATCAAGGCGCCTCAGAGATTCCTGATCTCGTTGTTTGTGCTGCCACGCCTGGTCACTCTCACTTAGAGTAGCAGGCGGCCCCTGCAGGCTTTTTCTCCCAGACAAAGAATCTGCATGAGATGGACCCGGGTGTTCCTGCGTGTATCGAAAGAAATCAAAGGACGACGTTAATGTCGGATGATTAGTTTCTCCGCTCTTTCGTGATAATTTCTCGGCGAAGAAAGGCAATGGCCGAGAGATATGACCAATAGGCTGTCTGGAATCTACAGCTCCAAATGGTAGTGATGGTCGAGATACGTATGGCGTAGAATGGTTACCAAGCCGCATCAGGAGTGTTTTATGGGTGCTATGGCTTCGTCCAGTAGATGTTGTCCGTGTACGCATGACATACGCTGGCGGTCGTTGTTGAGTGATTGAATTCTCTACTCGAACATCATCGTCGTCGCTCTCGTCCGACGAGTCAAGATCGTCTATAGCATTTGGTTGTGACTGGATGGAGTCGAAGAAAGAGGTTAGAGAAGATGGTGGTGGAGCTGATTGGATTTCGGGAGCAATGCTATTTGAAGGGATAAGTAGAGATAGTGGTGGCGCCCCAGGTCGACGTTCTGACAACGGGGAAGGATGAGGAGGGGGGGAAGGGAAGGGTGGGGTTGTCGGTGAAGGAGCAAGAATTTCTTTCGGCGTGTCAGTAGTTGATGTATCCTCCGTAGGCAACGGCTCGGTAGTCTTAATGTCACAGGGAGGAATGATCCTATGGTGTAATGATGAGGAACGGGGAGGTGGGGACAGAGCAATATTTGCTAAGGAGGAAGAGACTCTAGGTGGTGGAGGTGAGACTGCTTGTGCGCGAACAGTGCTAGCTCGACTCAGAATTACAGGCTGTTCAGATGAAGGAACGTGAGATAGGGTGCTTCGCGAGTGACTGCTGACGCTAGTCAAAGCATCTTGGAACGCTGAAGCTGTCGGTGAAGGTTGCGAGTAGTCTGACAACGAAGTTGATGAACGATGGACGCGTTCTCGGTCGTATTCGCTATACAGAGACTCTGTATGCACACTTGTCACCAATCGCTCTCTACTGGTCTCGAAAGAACTTTCTCGGTCGGACTCCCGCTCCTCCCTTGACTCTCGTAACTCCATTGGTATTGGAGGAGGTGTCATAGTTAACATCCTACCTACTCCGGTTTCATAAGCCTCCAGCAGCACGGATGATGACATGCTTTTTCGCACAACTTGAGCAGCCGAGGTAGTCACTGGAGGTCTTGGGGGTGGTAGAGACTGCTGCGGAGCACCCAAATCAGCCTGAGAAAGCGAATACAGCGGATTGATGATTCGGCGTGGAGGTGGCGCAAGGGGAGTGAGAGGAAGCGGTGTTTCAGCCCGGAGAGGCAGCGAGCTCGGTCTGCTGTCCGGAAGGGGTTCGTGAGATGAGAGCTCACGGCCTTGCCCACGACGGGAAGCTCGACTGCGGGATGATTTCGGCCTTGACAATGACGAGTCCATAGTGGTTTCCAGAATGACGGGATTGGAAATAATTCTCTGGCCCAACATACGTGGAGGAGTGAGTGACGACGCCCCTGACATGGGAGAGGCGGGAGACGTCGGAGAACTTGCATGTAAATTTAGATTATCCAGAGAATGACCGACAGCCGCTTTGAGTAAAGCTTTTCTCCAATCATCGTCTGGATCGAGAGAAGACATTCCAGGGCTCACTGGTGGGGGAAGGCGATCGGCCAATAGCGCCGCCCCCACGGAGTCATGCACACCTAGGCCGTGGAGAGCTGACGCTTGAACAGCAAATGGATACTTAGACGAAGGAAGAGGAAGGTCCACGGCATCTGTAGGATCAATAACGTCGTCGAAAACTGCTTGATTCCCTCTCTGCGAACCCTGGTCGCGTCTAACCCCACGCGCCTTCATGTCTTGCTCAGCCTGCTTCGCCGCACCAACAAGGTCTGACAGCTTCTCTCGTACAACCACAACTCTGCCTTGAGGATTACTTCCGTGGTGCCGTGAACGCGGAGTATGGGACGACGACCGTGGTCGAGCATATTGGGAATAGCCGGAAGCAGTGGTAGAGTCCGAGGCCGTTCTAAGCGCAGGCATCAATACATCAGGTAGCGGGCTAGGACCCACTGGTGTAGTGGGTTTAGATTTTGACTTTCCCACACGGAAAAGGTCTAGAAATGTTGGGGACGCTGGTTTTTTAGGTGTACTGGGCACCGAGGCGAAGTCGGAAGCAGAGGGTTTGGAATGCGCCGGTGGAAGGAAGTAGTTATTCTTGACCAGCAGGCGCAGACGGTAGGAAACATCGTCTTCGTCGTACTCTTGGAGATCATCAATAACCGGAACGTCAACGTTCTCTCCCGTTTCCACTATAGATCGGGGAGAAGGCGGAGACTCTGTTCCCGACACGGTGGACGTTGAAGGAGGATATAGAGAGGTAGAGGTCCCCGTTTGCTGGGTAAAATTAGATAGCATGGAGTCGCGCGCATTCACGCCTGCTTCTGGACCAGATTTCACAAATGCCGAGGGATAAGGTGCCGAGGCTGGGGATACTGCGTCTGATGGTAATGAAGACTGCTGAAACGTTTGCGGCTGACCGTGCTCAATGAGATAAAATTTGTATGCCATACGGGCCAACGTACCATCGCGGTCTCAGGGGACCCTTCGACTGAATTTCCCGTAGAATCACAAATGTCCTCGTGGTTTCCTTCAACCAAACCAGTCGTATCTGATAGCTGCGCGTCCGTAGAAACAGGCCGATGGGGTGAACGAGCTGGACGTGCAGGTGGTTGAGAATCAAAATCGTGTGGACTGCCGAGAATGTCAGATTGAGGCTCCGTCACCATTTGGTTGGCAAGAAACGGCATGTCACTATCCTGGGCCCGAGTAAAAGTGGCGTCCGGGAGAGGACTTTGACCTCCTGTGACTGTTCGAGAACGAGTGCGAGTCCTTGGGCGACGCGAAAGACTGACCCCGCTGGCTATACTAGAACTACTCCCAACGGATCGAAGTGAAGGGGGACGTTGCTGCTCGCTCGTCGCCATGGGCAGCGACGACGACATGTCCGTCGTTGTCCTGAAACAACGTCGACGAAAGGTGCCAAGGGCGCGATCCTGCTGTTGCCATAAGAGGCAACGACCGTACTTTATGCCGAAAAGTCCGGCTGGCATGACAGCGGTCCGTTCTTTGCCTCTCACCACCATCTCAAATTGCAATGTTTCTTGAACAGTGTACACTATTCTTGTCTCTAACCACTTGTGTACCCTAACACTTCTCTTAGATCTACCACAAGCGGCTGGTTGGCTACCGCTATGGCAACTCTTGATATCCGTGACCGCGGTTTTTAATTCGGTACAAAATTTTGTGACGCTCAAGTTGACACGGAAAATATACCCCCGGGCGGCCGGTACGATTCACTGCATGCGTCATACCTAACGGTTTCTAATTAGATCACAGTGACCGGGTTGCAAGCCCGAACATTTGCTGTATGGACACTTACCTCTGCTATTTTGCGGGCATATGCTGCCTACAACATCAACGAAAAACAGTCTGTCAACGTTTCACACATCTGTTTAAAATTTATGGCATTGATCGTACTACCAGCGTATACGACTTGACGCTGTTCACCTATCTCATTGCCTTTGGACATTTTTCGTCTGAGCTTCTCATCTTCCGCACCGCTACCGTCAACCCGGGCCTAATCAGTCCCGTTATTGTTTCAAGTAAGAGTGCAACGGTCGCGCGGTTATAGTCCTTCTGATATAGTGCTTCAGCGACTTCTCTTGTTTGGATGATCTCGCAATACGATTTCTACGTAAAAAGTTCATGAACGCTGGATTGAGTCTGTAAGTGGCGATGCGCTTTCTCGTTTACGAGTTCCAAGACTCATGCATGTGCTATGTTGTAGAAATATATCAGTCAGCTTCCTCGCTTCCATCTATATTCATCTGTCTCCTCCTTTATATCTTGCAAAGCAACCGCCGTACGTTTACTCAAGAGAAGCAAGATGATAGCAAAAATACCCATATAAATTGGAATAGACCTGCTGAATTTTTCCCCGTTGAGTATTCTCCAAGTCATGCATATACCCAAGCGGATCCCCTTGAACAGTTTGGTGGTGTTTAATTCGGCATTCTTGCTGGCGCTTTGCTGCTTCTCACTTCATTGGTTTGGGGTCATGCATTTTTGTCGACTTTTTTGGCGGTTTTAATCTTCTTTCTCCTTCGCGACCACGCTACCATCAGGTACGGAAAACAAGAGAAGACAATCCTGGCCTTGAAGCGCGATCACGGTCAACAATAACGACAAAGAGTGATTCACCTCGCCAGATTACAACATACTCGTGGCTTATGACAGACTTTCGATGCTTTGATCGTCTAGACGGCAGAATCACCGTTATTAAAATATCGGCATCTGGCCGTTAATAACAAGTCGGCTCGCTCGTAGGAAGTACTGAAAAGTTACTGCCGAACCCCAGGCCATGTTTCTTCCAGGACTGCGCACCAGTTCATGTGTAATAGCCCTGTCTTGTGAGGATCTAGGATGACCATTTGACCAAGGGACTGCACTTGAAACACAGCTGGAAAGATCAATCGATCACGCGCAGGGTATCTTTCTCTATAAGGGGGCACAAATGCCACCTCTTGAATATTACATCCTGCCCCGCACGTTGGATGGCGTAAGACTGGGAAATCAGAGGTATTCCTGTGATCCCTTGATGGAGCCAGATCTGACGAGATGGGCCAGGATTGGTCGAATTGAAGAGCAGGATCACGATATGAAATAAACTTTGAGAACCGTTGAGGTCACTTGAGGGGTGCCGACCTGAGTCGGTGCGGAATTCTGGCGGAATGAATTCCTTTTGGACCGGAAGGTGAATGGGGCGGGAACTAGCTTGCCCTCGGTATGTAACGACTTACCACACGTTTGCCTTCGCCCTGAGCTATAACGAGGCCAAGAAGTGATCGAATGGTATAAGCTCGGATGCGCAATAATCCTGCAACATGATCCATGACATTGATGATGTGAAGGGTTCTGACGCACGTGACGGGCTCCTTTAAAGATGGCCGGGTCTCAAAAAGACACGCTCATGTTCCACAGTCTCTGTCAATTTCCACCACTTGGCGTCCCCTGATACATTTCCCCCTTCCCAATATCCAGTCACTCGCGTTACTACTACCATTTAATGAGTTCTACTGCTCCAATCCAATACCCTCCCGAACTGCTCTTTAGAATCTGCTCTCATGTCTACTCTGCTTGCCTTCCACCTATTAATTCATCCCTGGATCCACTCATAACCACAGAATGTGGTGTTCCTACTTCATTGCCGTCTTCAGTGCCTCCTGGGAATTGGTCCGAACCTATGAGTCGACGCACCCTTGCTAACCTTTGCCTCGTGAATCACGATTGGTATGACGCCGCAAAGCCATGGCTCTGGCGGAAACTAGAGGTGCGTGATTTCGTGCTGCTCAAAGGACGTCGTGCTGAAACTCATGTAGGTTCGACTCCCGCGCAGTTGGCTCTCACTAGTGGACGAGATCGCTTGGGAGTATGATGAAGAGACTGTCGACCAAGTCATGGAGAAGACGGCTAAGGCTGCAGCAGAGACAGCAGTTAAATCTGGTATATCCTCTGTTCCCACAGACAAGGAGGCAGCACGGAAATTACAAGAGTCCATACTCTGTTCTATTCACACGCCGGAGGATGCCATTTCTCCCGACTTGTTGTCCCCGATGGCCTCCCGGGAACCCAGTCCGCGACGTTTCAGACACAAGAGTAAAAGTCCAGCGCGCTGGGAGCTCGTTCGTTCCATTAGTACTGCTATTCAGGATGTAATGGAGCGGCAGGATCCGGCCGTATACAGTTCGTCTGTTTTGCCATGTCTCATTTCCATTGTTCTCATAGTCCGCTACGCAGTCCCAACACCTCAAGACACGCGTCCCGGTCGCTTCATACGGCATCTCGATTTCAACCATTTCCGTACAATCGGCATGCGCAGGTCTGTCGAGGAGGGTGTAAATAGCCGCTTCGTAACCGGGGACCGTGTTGAAGCAGTGCTCAAAGTAAGCGATGTCACGGTACTTCAGAGAATAGCCAGCATAACTGATCACCTGCGGAAAGGAAATGCCAAACCTGACGACATTTGGCGCCACGGAATATATGGATGGTGCGCTGACCTTTGCAGTTCTAAACGAACTGTTCCTTCGCGGGGCTCCTTCCCGAGGCCGTGGTCGAAACTCTCGTGGCCGTGCCCTCACCGATACCCATGACATCGACGACGAAGATAGAGAACGACGCCGCCAATGTTTAGACCTCGAGGCTGTGGATCTCACAGGATGTGTCAGTGCGGTTTTCGTCAAGGCCCTGACAGACTTTGTTACGTGCCACATAATTCAAAGCGACGCCGAGTCAGAGAATGGGGAAGATTCTTCTAGACGTTCACATTCCGAAGATCAGATGACTTTTCCTGGTCTTCAACGACTGGGCCTGCGTGGGGTTAAATCAATTTTGCCGGACATCCTGACACCATTTGTCCTTGCCTTTTCTTCACTTACCCATTTGGACCTATCCGGTACTCGCGTCACTCCAGAACTGTTGGCGGAGTTGGGGAAGTCATCTACTGTGCGTTTGAGCTCACTCGCTCTCGCACGATGTGTACGGTTGACCGGAGAAAGCATCAAAACTTTCCTCGTCGAGTCCCCTGTCAGTGCTGGAATCTCAGAACTAAACTTGTATGGCGACGCAACGTTTGGCTGTCCTCTTTCCCATGAGGAACTGAAGACCATCGTATCCTTTGCTCCTTGTTTCATAAGTAGGGAGCTCCTGTACCTTGATCTGTCGAGTGCGCCGATCGACGAGGAGATCCTCCAAGCCTGTGTTACTCTTCCAAAATTACGTTCATTCGGCCTATCGCATATTCCTGACGTGCATCTCGGTGCAATCGCAAACTTTTTGCAAGCAAAAGCTAGCAATGTCGAGGTGCTAACATTGATTGGCACATCACCAGAATTAGACTGTGGCATGAGGCCAAGATCCGGGGAGAACGGCGCTCCTCGAGGATCATCTCGTCAGTCGTGCATAGCTCTCCACTCCTATATTATCCGGCCGCTGTGTTGTCCGCCTTTTTCTTTTAGCCTCACAGTGCCTTCGGGATCGAGGCCACCACCGACTCGACTTAGAGTTGTTGAGCTGTCAACAGCTATGCTCTGTGGACTAGGGGCTGGGGCGGGCAGTTGGAGAACTGTGCGCAGCAAGGGTGGGAGAGGATGGTATGTGGACACCGCATCCGGCTGGGTAGCGGAATCTGGAGAGAGTCAGCTGAGAAGAGATTTGGAACCTGAGCACCCGTTGAGGGTCGAGTTAGAGAGGTTATCAGAAGCGAACGGAAACGTGAGCAGCGGTGTTGGATGGCATGCAAGAAAGATGGAGGTACGTTAATGGCACTTGTTTGTCGAGCCTTGTTGACTTGGAATTTTGATAGATCCTGCATGGGTACGGAATGCTCGGGCGGGAGGATGGGCTATACGGCGCTGTTTCATTTGCGTACCAGGGTTGAAGCTGAAGAGTTTCACCTAAACAGCACAACTAATCTACAATTTACAAGCTGTATACATAGAGGAGTACGGTAATCAATTTGCGATCAAAATGTGGGTGAGGACCCTAATAGAAGGAAGGGTGTAGTTGTTATCAGAAATGACTGTAAGAGGGTTGTTAAATGACGTTTCATAGATGCGTTCATGATCAAGTGGACGAGAATGGGAATTTGAGAGCCTATTCGCAATATCTGGCTCGACGACATGCTGCGCAGAAGGGCGGAGACACGCATAAAAGGCGTGGTTACCGTCATACACGTGGCCATATATAATACTATGTTCGGGTCTATTCTCGACCGCCGCACAGCTTTTCAACAAAAACAACCAACAGCTTTCTAACAGCACCCACCTTCCTTTCCCAGCTTCCGTTCTTCCGTCGTTACAGCTTCAACATGCAGGGTGTGTGCTACCACTTCAGAATATTTTCTCACTGACCTGCTGTAGATAACAGCAGTACCGTGCATGACTTCGAGCACACAGCAGTCTCTGATAATACCCATACAAATATCAGTTCAGAATCTAATGCGGAGACGAACACACCTTTGATAACTACATCCCCTACTCAGCAGTCTTCTCTCCCCTGCCGGAGGAAAGCGACAGGAGACGCCGTGAACAGGACCACCTCTCGCCGTTCGACTCATCGATCTTTCTCACTTTCGCGAGCTAAAACTGTGATGTTCACACCGGAGAAAGTAATTGGTCCATCACCCGGAGTATGGCAAAGTATCAGATCGATATTGTTGGCCTCGTGTATGCAGACAGGCAGCCACTCATCCTCAGGTTTTCGCTGACAGATTTTCAGGGCTTAATCTCCTACTGCTGTTCATCCCAGTATCCGTGCGTCGTTATCTAGAAATACTCACGCGATGTTCTCATGCCGACATAGTGGGCTCTCCATTTCGCCTTCGCTGGTGAGAAGGACACTGTCATCTTTGTTTGTGCGTTCAAATGCTATTATCTTGGTGTAGAATGTTCAGAACAACATAACAGGTTCATTTCTTGCTATTATACCCCTGGCCAAGGTAAAGTTGATCTAGCTACTAGTCGTAAATTAGGTGGCATGATCTTTCTTGGATGATTTAGCTTCTGGCCTTCGCCACCGATGAACTCTCTATGAGAGTTGGACAGACCCTAGCGGGACTTTTGAATGCTACCCTCGTAGGTGCCAGTTATACACCACCTCATCTGCGTTTCTCAGGACTTTCATCTTCAGGGAAACGCGTACGTTATTGATACAATGATACCATAAGCCGCCACTAAACGAAGATTATATCATCCAGTGTAGAACTGATTGTCGCTGTAGGTTCCCGAAGAACCCGTATCGATCATACCCTAACTCAATTACTTCCATCAGATAATATCCCTTGTAAAATGTGAACTTCAAATCGTGCAGTCTTCACGTAAGTCCATACCTTCACGTCTCCGCTCTTGTGCATTGCAACTACTCTGTTCTACAATGTGATTACTGGAACAAAGTGCTGAGTGTCAATATTTGTTTTCTGTAGTGGTCGGTTCTATTCTCAGTAACCTTCGTACGCGCCTATTTGTTCATCCATGGCGGTTATCTTATCGTATGAAGTTTTGGTTCTCGGCATGTGTTTCTTCGCGGGAGGGATCAAGTTCCAAGAACAAGGATTTGGACAAAGTGTGTAGACCATCTCTTGGCGATCTTAGTCTCTCTTGGCGTCAATCTGACATTTCACGTACTTAGTGGCTACCCAGCTTAACTCTTCTCTACTTGCTATCAGCGTCATTGCCGTCCTCTTACCTGCTGCCTTCCACTTCTCAGTAGTCGGTGATACTGAGAATGACGAAGCCTCAGATATCCTGAATGTTAGCCATGGGGTAGGTCTCCCAATACCACCTCTGCTAGATTTGCATTGACGTCATTTAGACCTCAATCATTCTGCTATTTAGTAAGAGTACCTGGATTTAATCCTATGCAAAAGACTAAAGTCCGCACCAGTTTACATCTCCTACTTGGTTTTCCAGCTCTTCTCTCATGCTTCACTGTATGCAGATGAAGGTGAAGACTCGATCAAATCCACACGTTACGGAGCCAAGAAGCACAAGGCTGAACCACCAATTGAAATGCAGACACAAAATATTGGCACAGTTTCCTCTGCAACTAGCGCGACGATTGCGCCTCGAATAGAGCTTAGAGATACTCATGATGTTGAAAAGAACTCCGCACATTTGAAAGAAGAGGCCGAGCAACCCCAATTGGGTCTATGGGTCACCGTCGGACTACTAGCTCTTGTCACTGTGGTAAGTCTGCTTTATTTTTATTTGTTCATGAGCGCTGCTCAGGTATCTATTAGCTGGTCGCGGTTACGGCAGAATGGTTAGTAGATTCCATCGACGGTATGACGAACGGTGGTGCGATCAGTAAAGAGTTTGTTGGAATGATTCTTCTTCCAATCGTGGGAAATGCTGCTGAGCATGCCACTGCTGTGACAGTGTCAATGAAAGATAAGCTGAATCTCAGTCTGAGTGTTGCTGTTGGATCAAGCATCGTGAGTGGTACTTTTCTTCGTGGAGACCTGGCTGACAATTTCCTCTAGCAAATTGCCCTCTTCGTAATCCCGTGAGCATGGGTAGCTCTTACAAATGATCTGCCGCTGATTTTGTTTCTCAGCTTTATTGTGACTCTTGCGTGGATAATGGGCAAACCATTGACATTACTATTTGATCCCTACGAATCTGTAGCCATGTTTCTCGCAGGTACGGACCTTTCTGAGTTCATTGAAAGCGACGACTCAGCTTATTATGGACTAGTTCTAACTGTCAACTATGTTGTGCAAGATGGCAAATCTAACTGGCTAGAGGTTCGTGCATCAACCTCCATTACCACCGAATGTTGACTGACTCCGGATACAGGGCATGATTCTAATGTGTAAGCCCTCGTTTCCACAACTAGAATTCCTTCCAATTGAACATCCGACGCCAGGTCTATATGTGATCCTCGCCGTTACGTTCTGGTTCTATCCAGGTAGGTCTTGTACCATTCGATAATTCCTCTTTAAACAACGGTCCTCCAGGAATTGATCCCTCCGGTGGCCTCTTAACGCAATGTACTACTTGACTAGCTATATTCCTACAGATACTAAGTAGAGTGAGCACCGGTGTAGGACCGGCCATTATTTTTTAACAATAATATTATGAAAATAGGGTTGAGACATTGGACCACTTGATGTGTATATTCCTAGTCTTTACGCTCACTACATTTTGTAATGTTCTCATACAGTCACGTAGTCCCCAGGAGTTTCCGTACGACATTATCTTATTTCATGATCATAACTTCGCTCTCTCTGAATCATCCACCAATGTTACACCAGCAGATGCAAGGACAACACTGTCTCTTTCTTTCACCTTGGTTACTAGAGCAACATGAGTACGATGATTGGTAGTATGCATTATGCGCGACATACAGAACACGACCTTGGGACCCTCCTTCCACATTAACGTCACTAGTGTCTCGCCCGGGTAAACGACGCCTGCGAATCTAACTTTGATGTCCTTGAAAGGACCGAACGTCTTCAGTACATGTTTACCGGATATGCCCATTGAGCAAAGCCCATGTAGAATAGGCCGGTCGAATCCACCAATCGCAGCGAATTCGGGAAGAATCTGAGGTGATCAGGTGAAACGAGTTATTTCAGAGATTTAGTAGGAGGTACTGACATGTAGTGGGTTCATGTCGCCACTCAATCTAGAAAAGTTTACCTGAATACGTCAAACTGACAAACGACACAAATCATGCGACAAACCGGTACAAAGCGGCCTGCGTTGGGGTCGTTTTCTCTTCCAAGACAGTATCTGGAGCCCGTTTTGGTATCGCATTCGCGGCGGTAGCTGGTCCTCGGTCTAAAATTCGCGTCCTTAAGGACACATCCAAGGCGGGATTACGAGATGCTGTTACCTTTCCCTACGCGCTTTCCACCAAAGCGGCCAGAACCACGAATGAAGACGGTAGATTGATTCTCGAATATGAGGGCTCCGGTATGTTTGTCTCGGGTTTCATTGATAGTGGTGACAGCAGCCGCCTTTCCCTTATCCAAGGCCTCGAGTAAGCTAAGATTAAACCTGAGTTGGACAACTAGAGAATTTCAACGACAATAATTCTAACCGGACTCGAGTGACAAGTTCACCGCTAGTGGGGATCGGTGCTTTGATGCTGAGGAACTGCTCGCCATGGAGTAACTTGGCCTATAAGCCAATCTGTAAGAGAACAAAGCGAAAGTGCATGAAACCGACGAACAGGGTTGTAGTCTGGAAGCCAATCTGAAGGGAAACCACTGCTGGCAAGAAACTGGGGAATGACACCGAACGTCGGGATTGCGCTAAATTCTTCGTCTCCCTCAAAGGTCCATTTAAGCTCCTTTTCTGTAGCACCTATTCCCAGATTGTAGAGTATAACATCGCGCTGTATGCCGGATGAGAGGTCGTGTCAAGTAAGATGTAGGGACACATGCCTCGGTATACGAGTACTCAGTTGGCTCAACTATCATCTTCTTGGCCTCGACGACAATATCAGCATCCTCTGGATCAGCGAAAGGGTTGGGATCTAAAAAGTTGACCATGGTGGTAAGGGAGCAAACAGGTCTAAGTAAACCCGCACGTCCTCTCCAATAAATGGGGGATGCCGGCGATCAACGGCAAAGCCATGACGCCGGGGAAGGGTGAAGAAGAATCACATGAAACTGGACCGATGAATGTCGGGCTTCTAGTGTGCACTTGAATCGGGTTTATGTAAAATTTACACAAGTCTAATTGGTAAGAGCTTCTTGTTACTTGGTCTCTCTGACCCCTCGCTGCTATGCAGACGTTGAATCTCTGCATCCTTGCGCGTATGATACCAGCCTCTGAGACGGCTCCGATTTTATCATGTGAGCGGCAGCGACTTGTGCGAACTGAATATGTCTCAGTTTGCTCGGATGACGAATATCCCCTTGCCAGCCTCCAGGTATGATCTTTGCTACCTCTTTGCAGGATGTGCTGATAGCTCTCATCGTCTCGCCAGATTCAAGAGCAGCCTCGTGTTTTAGTCTACCCTCCCTACATTGTTGTATATTAGTGTACATTAGTCTCACCCAGTGTTCAGTGCTCGCGCTCATCCACGAAAGTGCTCTGGATTGTAATTTAAATATTATTTGTTGCCCGGCTGGGCAGTTATTGGTACACGTAGCGACCTTGCGAGCCACTCGATAACCGATTAGAATTGTTTTCAAAGTGCAAAGTTGGTAATGTTAACGAGGCCTTAAAAAACCACCTGAATACAATAAATATGTGTTATACTAAACATTGATGTACGAGTCGACGGTATACATTGAATGAAGGAAACTCCCTTCCTACGGATTATCACGAAGCTCGGTCTATCCTACAATTTTGCTTTAGCAGAACCGTTGTTGTCGAAGTTCTCGACGACCTATAAAACAAGATCAGATACCAAGTATATTTGTTCTGAGCTTATCTATACCTTCTGCATCGCATCTGCTGTAGTCGTAGGATACGTAGCTCGCTCATCTGCCACAAAGTTAGTACATTAGGGTAGGGGAATAGGGTGAATACATTACCGAATGTCGTAATGTCTTTCCACTTAGTCACAACATCCTCAGGCGTGTAGGGCTTGTTGGAAGGGAATCCGTAGCCGCCAGATCGTTGCCAGCGCGTTTGAGCTGCCCATCCACCTAGCACCTCAAACAACGAACCGCTGGTTTCCTCGTTATCTGGAAGCAGTTATCAGCATTGATTCAATATGTGAAAGGAGACCGCACCTTTACTGGTCAGATATCCCACCAGAGGCGCAATGAAATCCGGCTATTGAATCATGTGAGTCAGCTGGAACCTTGTCGAAAGGACTGGCTACTGGCACCAACCTTGAAGGCATCCACCATCTCTTGAGGCCTGAAAGGTAGTCTTTTGAGTAACAGGATAACCATGACTTAGAATTCCTACTAACCATACCGTCGCTGTCATGGCCGTTCCGGCGGATGGAGCTATGACGTTGGCAAGGATATTGTATTTACGACCTTCAAAGGCCAGCGTTTTGGTCAAAGACATGATACCGGCTTTGGCAGTGGAGTACTAAACGTGTTGTTAATATATGAATCATACCGCACCGAGGGGTTATGACGCCTACATTTGCCTGTCCAAAATTACCGTCTGTTGAACTAACTTAAGACCGGCGAGTCTTCGGATGCTGAGAATACTCACATATACCAACCTGTGAGCAGGTTGTTACAATACGGCCATATGTCTGTTTTTGGAAGATCGGCCAGACCGCTTTTGCGCACTATTGAGATGATTTGAGCAGGCGTCGTGGTGAATCAACGTTGAATTGACCTTAAATGTACCCCTACGCATGATCCATTCAGTAACGAGAAGGACAGAAGCGTTCAAGGCAAGACATACCGAAGATGAACTGCAAGAACAACATCCCATTCTTGTTCTGTCATTGCCTGGAAAGACTTGTCCCGAAGAATACCAGCATTAGCCACTAAAACATGAACACCGCCGAACTTCTCCAGTGCGATTTTTACGATTGCATCGCCATCTTCGGCTGAATGCACAGCTGCAACAGCCTTACCGCCGGCTGCATGCATTGGTCAGTGAAGAACTGAAGGTATGAAAGGTAGAAGCTGATACCGTTGATGACCTCTTCAACAACAGAGTTCGCCCCCTTCTCGCTGACATCGTTGACTACGACATTAGCACCGAGCTTTCCATACATCAGAGCATAGATGCGTCCCAAACCAGCACCAGCACCCGTGATGATCACGGTTTGCCCGTCGAAGCGAACTTCGGGCTTTGATTGAGGGTTTGAAGGAAGCTTTGCTGCCAAGGCAAGTTTTCCTTCGGCGTCAACGTCGGGTACTGATGTAGGGCTGAATAGAGAAATAAGTATGACGCACCACATCCTACATGAACAATGACCCACTAGTAAGGTTTTGAAAAGTCCACAATCTCATCCCATCTTGCTTTGATCTAGTAAAGATCTGTGAATGCAGAGACAGACGGTCTTAGTGAAAACGTACAGCGGAGGGTGTAAAGCTGGAATCCGTCTTGAACACCGCGCCATCACTTCTTTCCCATCGAACCTCGGCAATGAAACCGGCGCCAAGCTCAAACACTCGCCCTGAAGCATCGGGTCCCTCAGGATGGCATACAGCGGCTACAAACGGAGGAACAAATTCCGGCTAGTGACAGGCCTCAGTAATGGTGATCGATGCTTCAGGAAAGGACACAGTACCCCAAGCTTAGCTAGCATTTCTGGTGGCATGATGGTTTCCGTCATAGGAGAAGCGGCCATCTACTCGACTGTAAGTAATCTGCACGCAAAATAAGACGAGTTGTATAATTGTGACATACCGGGGCGATGGCGATGGCTTTGATTCCGTATTTAGCACCTTCTCGAGCCAAGGTTTTCGTAAAGCCAATGAGACCCATTTTGGCCGCGCTGTAGTTAGCTTGTCCAAAGTTTCCTATCACAAGATGAATCGCCATTTCTTCCCATACTTTGATATTGTCACTTGCCATAGATTCCTGCAGCGCTGGCTGTGTTGACGACGCGTCCGAACTTCTGTTTCCGGAAGATAGGCCAAGCAGCTTTGGTACATGCAAATGCCCCCTTGAGGTGGACTTCCATGATTTGATCCCACTCTTTGTCCGTCATATTCTTGAAACTGACGCAAGGTTTAGACTTAACGTATATGAAGGTGGGAAATAACACACGCTTTGTCCCTCAAGATGCCTGCATTGTTGATGAGAATAGTGACGCCTCCAAAGGCATCCACGGCGGTACTGATTACGGCTGCACCATCCGTGACGGATGATGTGTTGGCAACAGCCTTTCCGCCAGCTAAGACATGTTCAATCAATGCGGATCCACAAGCGAGTGGCAGGAAGAAGACCTTTGACGATCTCGTCGACTACTTTCTGTGCTGCTGCGGCATTGAAGTCATTCACGACGACGTTGGCACCGCGGGAGGCAAAAAAGAGGGAGTAGCTGGAGAATAGTATTAGCAAGAGACAAGTCAGGATGTTTTGAGGTTCTATATACTCACGCCTTGCCCAATCCACCGCCAGCACCGGTGATGATTACAGTATGACCTTTGAATGATAAAGACATGGTCGACGTCGTTGCACTTGCAGGGGTTTCACGTATATTCCGGGGCAGGAGTATAAGCCAAGACGGCGTTCGCATGTGAAATCCCCATACCCGGACCTATACGTCATGACCGGTCACGAGACCCTGATGCGCGTTGCTTTCGGGCGCTTCGAAGTTCGTGTAGATATAGCTTCGTGCGTGCGAGCGCATCGGTGCTCAACGCTCAGCACTCAATAGTAAAGGAGATGCATTGCGATTAGGTACAAATGACGGAATGTACACGACGCGTCCCATGCGCATACAAAACACACACACCAAAGGGAAGTGCACTACAAGCGGTAATGTATACACGGATGAAGAGGGGAGTGGAGAATCCACCGACGCGACCAGGATATTAACAAAAGGATAAAAAAGATAATTGTAATGCGCGAAGTCGTGGAACAATACAAAAAACGTACAAAGCAAACCGTAGGATGTGCAACCGAGACGATCTCGCCTGGATTCAACCGTATTCATAAATATGCGAAAGCGAAAGCGTCTAGAGAGCATAGATAGGTAGATGACACACAAGAGAAAAGATGAGGTGTGAATTGCGAGGAAGAAACTTGAGAATGATAAAGGCAGCGAACTAATGGGACAGGAAGATTATGGTGATAGATCGGAAAAAATGCGATGAAAGTGCCAGAGAGGATGATATGTAGACAGGTAAACGAAAGGACACATTCACACCTGGTCATCACGGAGCATTGTATCTGTGCATCCAGTCCCATCGACGACCCCTCGTGCCCACTTGATTGCGAAGGTAGATGCCTTCAGGAACTTTTTATTGGCGTACTTTTTGACAAGATACAGCCGAGCGAAACTTCTTTCGGCCAATTTTTCGATGAGAAGCTCATGACCAGGGACCAGTTGCTCCTCTGTAAAGCCAGAGTGGAAAACAAATGCCTCGTTCTGGCGAAAAAGGGTTAGTCCCATGCAGAGTAGACAAAGAGGAATCTTACCCAGCCACCCCCCAGCATTATCCGCGACGTGTACATCCCAACAGCTGCCACTAAACTAGGCTTTGCACGGAGGAATCGATAATCGAGGAGTGTTGCTTCCACCAGGAATTTACAAAGTGTCCTTGTCTGGATTTCGTAGTCATCCGCTCGACTGATTTTACGCATCCAGCTGTATGGAGAGCAATAATGCGATATATGGAAGCCTAGAGTCTGCAGGATGATGCGTTCGCCTTTGAGAACTTCGTCGCGAGTGTAGCCGTTTTCAGCCATCGCCACAAACTCATCCACTGACGGCGCCATGATCTCTTCGTACTTAGCGGCGATGAATAAGGCAGAGATGCCGACAAGCTGAAGTCTGGCCAAGGAAACAACTCGCTTGGACAAAAACCGGTCGACGATATTGATTGCGATCCAAACAGTTTCCGGAATCATATGGTAGCGCAGATGAGCTTGAAGCAACCAGTCCACAAGCGTCTGTCGCATCTCCCAGGTAATCTCCTGCTGAGAGTCCATGTAGTCGGGATTCGGCATCACTTCCTCCTGTGAGACGTTATTTGTTAGTGATGCAGACAAGTGTTTAATATTTGCCGGGCACACCTCTAGCTTCTGCATGTACTCAAATATTTCGTCCGCATACTCTGCAACCATAGCGGGGTCATAGTCAGGGTCATCTTCAAAGACTTCGCGAATGGCTTCAACCTCTCGCGCGTACTTCAATCTCCGGTGTGTGGGCGCATCGGGCCAAACATAGACCTGCGGAGTTTCAGTTTCTTCCTCTTCCTGAGCCTCTTCTCTATCCTCAACGACTATCATAGCTTCGACTTCTTCCTCGCCTTCAACACTCATCTCATCTTCATCTCTCTCTCTCCTTCTCAACTTGTGCCTGCTCAGGAGGTGGTAATGCATGCACCGGGACATCCTCAATGTCCATATCATCTCCTGCGTCCTCTTCGACATCTTCTGCTGGGTCGTCATAAAATACTACTGGTGGTGGGGGAACGCGAGGTACACGGCGATGACTGAGGATTGGGATATGGGGACGTGGGGCTGGAATGATAGGTACGCGAGCATTGACGACGTTAGCGACGGGAGGCGCCACTTGAGCTCGGGCGGGACCTAGTGGGACACGTTGAACGGTAGTTGTGCTGAGAACTGGCCGAGCTGGTTTGAGTGGTACATCTTCTTTGTTACCCAGCACGGACTTGCTGGTGCTCTCCTTGATGAGGATACTGAGTATTAACAACGAAACGGCAATCTTATACATACCTTGCGATTAACCGCCTTCAGCGTGACCTCGCCCAAGGCGGGTCGAAGAAGGTTAACCTTGACACCGTTAATCTCCTTTTGAGTTAAGCGAGACGACGCTGAGTGCTGGCGTATATGTCGACTTGTAGCGTTTTCATCGGTCTTTCCGCGTTGAGGTAAACGACGTTGGGGCGCCTAAAAGACAGTGTGAGTGAGGACGCGAAGGGAACGAATCTGCCACTACTTACGCGAGTGTTGGTTGCCATTTGAAGGAGCGAAAGCTATACAACGAATACGAGGAACACGACGAAGAGATGGTAGAGAATAGAGATGGTGAATGGAGATAGAACAGGAAAGGAGATGGGAGGACAAGGAGGGTGGAGATAGACCTGGACTTGGACCAGCGGAGCCAAATCCCTCGTTCAGTTTACCAAAAGAAGCACGGACAAATTTACCTCCGTCCAACACCACGTGATCGAAATGTTCCCACGGTTTCACGCGTCGCTACTCGTGACCTCGTATAGATTTCGCAGGATTTCATTTTACGTACGTTTCATTCATGCCTTTCATGCGTCGAAGCAGCGTGAGGGGCCTGGGGGAGTAGTGTCACAGGAAGTGGTGCAGTTCCCTTACAATATCCCATCTAGATTATGTACGAAAGATAGAAGATAACACATCTCAACGTCTCCTTCCAGAACCCCCCGACGACGGACGAGGCATACCCAACCCCCGTCGGCCGAAACTGGACGTGGCACTAGTATCCAACGGCTCCACTGCCCCTCCTTCGACGGCGAGACCGAGGGACTCTCCTGGCTGCCACCCTTGTTTCAAGAGCAGTTTGTGCCCAACATTCGTCGAAGGTAAGGGTACGCCTGGTTGGGAAATGGGCTCCGCATCATGCGGGGTGCCTGGGGTGGTTCGATCTTCATTCGGCGTTGTGGAATTCCAGGGTGTCACCCCAGGTGAATCATCTGCACTTGAGGAAAAGAGGGCACGTCGACGGGCAGAGCGGTCCATGTATCGATCGACCGTTGACTTCGAGCCAGAGCCATGCTGTGAGAGTAGAGTTTGCTTTAGCAAAGCTAATGCCTGCTTCGGATTCTTGGGATATGGTGGGTGCGCAGGCCTCACCATCCCATTCTCCGATCGCGTTTGCTGCTTCTTCCGTTTCGACGGGAACAAAGAGACTTCGTCACCTACGTCTCTGGGGGAACATTCCTCGCAGGGCAGGCTCTGGTGGATATGGACTACAAAGGTAATACCACCCATACTTAGACGGTCCATGTTAGAGAGACGCCGAGGAATGCTAGCCGCCCGAGATGGTGATAATCGTATACCTCTATCCTTAGGTGAAGCATTTGAGGGATCATCAGAAGAAAGGAGGTATGTCCCATGCATCGAGCCCATATCGATGACGGCCCATTCCTTCAGGTGTGTGTCCCAGTACACAGTGGCGTGAAATTTTGATATCTCCATCGCCTTTATCCGAACTTTGGGAGTAGAAGAACCTGGAGGCAGCGCGTCACGGCCAAACTGCACCTCAGAATATCCATCAACCAATACGATTCTGCCTGGCCCAAGGGCTACGGACGGTTTATCAACCATAAGACGACAGACAGGTCGCTCTTGGGTATCTTCTGCAGGCGGTGGAGCGTTCGTCTGGTCAATGGAAGATTCAATCAAGGAGGGTTCTCCGGGCCATTCGATCGATGGGTGATGCGAGTATCCTGTAGCACTGCTAGTGTATGAGGTAGGGGCTCTGGACCTAAAAATCTCGCCTTCTTCCATGGCCCGTACGAAGTTGGAAGTTTTGAAGAAATAAAAAGGGCCTATATAAGATGAAGGAAGAAAGAATCAAAGGAACAAAGAGCCATGCTTACATGGGTTGATGAGAGGTAAAATAAGGCGGTCTCAAACTTGAGTCTTCCCGTCGTGATGATGGCCGTGGAAGGCAAGTCCGCATAAGTATATGTATATTTGTTTCCATTGTGGCCAAACACAATTACACTGCAGCCGTTTCCCTTATATGTACCCCAACTACGATGGAAATCTTATCTGAAGTGCGTATCAGTTTCGATATGTGCCGTGTTATGTGTATATCTGCTTCAACATAGGACACCTTGAAACAACTTCTGACCAAAGAGTGGTTGGTCAAAGTCGATACACTCAAGTCTATACCCTATCTCATCGTTCGTTCGTTTCCTGTACGCCGGACACAGTCACCCAATATTGCTCCTCGGACTCTTCTAGAAGTTTTACGCGTCTACAGCTGACTTGACATGCTGTGTACTGATCACCGATACCAAGTCGGTATGGGCTGAAGGTGGCGTCTATTTTCTTATGTGTCGATCTTGTTTGTCAAGCGTCTAGTCCCTCAGCTCTCTCTGGACCCCAATTTTCACGCCGGTGGAGAGGACTGAATAGCTTGGAACTGATGTCTGCCTCAGACTCAATGGTCGACGAAGAAGAATGGAGGGCACATACCCTTGATCTCCTCTCTAACGCACATTCTCTGGGGGGCATCGCAGACCTCTTGTTTGAAGTCGTCGAAACTAACTTCTCGGTATCAAAATTGTTCAAATGTCACAAACGATTCTAATGCCCTGCTTCCAGGATGTTGCCTGCACTCTCGAAAACCAGTCATTCAAGTGGCGATGGGAGACTTGTTTCCTTGGTTATAAAGCTTCAGCAGAGATTCTTTCTAAGCACCTTATACTCCCACTCATCAGCATGAGTCATTTAGCATTTTCCTCCACGAACTCAGTTGGTGAGGTATCTGATGTAGATTTGACGAAGGTGGGTTGCTGAACTTATGCATTTGGACAAAACTCATGCTATTCAAATCCAGGCCGTTGACAAGCTTGGACGGACTGCTAGGCGTAATGTGGACATACATATCAAGAACGCAATATCAAAGCCTCGTATAGCGACAGTTCTTCGCCGTATTACAGCCATGTTCAGCTTTGCATCAGAACTTCGTAAGTCTTTGATAGTGATACATCTGGGCTAATAAACATCCCTAATGCTTGACAAGCGATTATACTTACATCGGCTGAAAAACCCGACTTTGAGGCGTTACCTCCACCATCCTCAAAACAAACCCCTGAACCTCAGGGTCGTCAGTCGACCCATACACCTTCACCGCCTATCGTAGGTCTTTGTTTTTGGCTTCTTGCGGAGTCATTGTTGACAGCTTTTATTCCAGATAGTGGAGAATAAATCTCTGCGAAATAAAGGCAAGCCTATCTCACCAGAACAGTCTGAGGCCGACGTCCGTCAAAAAGAACCGGAATCAGACTCGGCTACCGATGACTCTGATGTTGAAGAGGAGGATAGTCCGGACAAGGGAAAGGGCAAAGCCCCCTCGCAACAGCCAGAGAGGCCAGGGTCTCCTGTACTAACGCCCGCTAAGAAGCGACAAACCCGGCTACCATCTTCAGATACTGATTCTTCACCTGTGAGACCGCAGAAGAAGGTGAGGGCAAAATCATCCTCCAGTGACGAAGATAGCGGAGGTGAACGAAATGTCCAACTAAAACGAGGAACCGTTTCTGGGGAGACCAGACGGGGAGTGAGACAGCCAGTGAAAAGAGGGGGGAGGCGGTTCTAGTTAACGGAAGAATGTGTTTGCCGCCCTCGACTGCCGATGTGAAATGATGTACTCTTGAATATGGAACTCCGACTCCGAGATGGGAGGGACCAGCGCCCTTGTGATGACATTCCTTTGGCACGACGTGCTCGAGCTCATGCGTAGCAGAAAACAGATTTTCCAAGCCAGCAATAATGATAAGTGTGAGTATCAGGCAAAACAATTTATACAGCAGTGACAGCACAGCACCGGATGTACCGAAATCCTGCGTCAAGATTCTGAGTGCTTGAGGGACACATTGTGAATCATCGGAGCGAAGGTAGCGAACGAGACGGAAATCTTTCGGGCGTATGTGAGTGAATGCTAGACCCACGCTCACAAAGGCCCTTGTATTTAAATTTCAATTTGGATAGACTTGATTTTTTTCGGAGGGTCACGGGATCTCCCGTCTCCTCTTAACCCTCAGCGCTCAGCCGGCAAGTTGAGTAAAGTGTCTCTGGTATGGACGAGCAAAGGTCTTTTGACGGTGCAGATGAGTCTTTGCTCGAAGTAAATCATTTTACTCGAACCTAGACCTAGGTCTCACGATCTTGTAGGCTGCCTTGAACCAAGCATTTACTCCTCCACCTCGTCGGAGTTCGACGGACCAGGACGACCATAGCACTTCAAGGGACGACGTGGCGGTTACCGCTGCAGACACACCATCAGCGTCAAAGTCTCCGGAGCCTCTTGTTTCCAGCGAGGTTCTGGAGTCCTGGAAATCAGAGTATGACTCTCAAGTAGAAACGTGGCGGTCACAGTCTGCCGAAGCTCGAGAGAAGGCTGAAAGAGAACGAGCGCGATGGGAAGGTGTACGTGCGAGGGTACGTGAGTCATCTCTGCAAGATTCAAATGAGGGCTGGGAAAGGGTTGGAAGTAAGGGCAACAGTCTGGCTCCTTCCTCGGTATCTGGACTTTCGTCAAGTATCGCTGGTTCTAGCAAGGATATCGTAACAGTCGAGCTACCAGCCACCGTAAGTACCTTCTCATATGTCTGACCCTGCTTCTAAACCTACATTAGCCCCACATTCTCGGCCCGGGTCCTCCTCCCTCGCAGAGCGAAGACTCTCAGAAATGGGAGGATGTTCCTTCATCCATAACTTCATCTTTCCCCTCAATGTCCTTCCCCGAACATACGGAGAATTCTTCCCCAACCCGACAGCGTTCACAGGACACCAAAGTACCCGTTTCTGCTACACTCGCCGTCTTCGATTCTTCTCTGTCAACGCGTACTCGTGTCAAAGCATTATTTTCTTCTTTAGCGATAAACTTCCTTCTACCTTTTGTCAATGGCGTCATGCTTGGATTTGGCGAAATATTTGCGAAGAATATTGTTTTGGAGTGGTGGAGGCCTGGTTCGTCATCTACGATGACAGGTATACGTGGTGGACAGACCTTTAGGACGCGGAGGTCGTGACGTACTAGCTTATGAGGGTTTTTCATTTATATCGTAGGTCAGTCCCGCCAGCATTTTTCTTTCACCAAACGGACTCCATGACAATCCATAGGTAATATAGCCATGTTAGGATGCTACTGTACTCATTGTGAGAACAAGACGCATGTTTAATGCTTCCCGCATGGAGCCAACCCCAAAGTATTGCCAGCCACCAGCAAATGCTTGAAAAGCTCACATTCTGAAAAATTTCCTCTGCAATTTGCCCAATCACAGACCAAATCGTGAGCCCCCTCATCCTCTACGAGAGCATCGGCTTGGTTTAATTTCCAAAATGGCGCGCCGAGGTATTCGATCAGAAGGTGCTCTCCTTGTAGTGAGGTTGGTTGGCATGATTTCCTTGCCTTAAATCGGTTCCGTACGTTCATACTTGCGCTATCACTACGAGCATGGACGTTACTTACGCCACATGCATTCAGAGAGGAGAGACGATGACGTATAAACAATACCTACGAGTTGCCACGACAAAGTCATTTGCTATAAGTATCCTTTGGTTACCAATGGTAATGGAAGTAACAATGTGTGGATACTGTACACAGTGATTCCACATTAATGACAATGCTCGACTTCTAGGCCACGAGCCGTGACTGCGCTAATGATGACCTTACGAAGACGAACATTTCCTTATTACCGACGCCATTTTCGTGTTCAAGCCATTATACATCAGATTCTTGGTCACTATCAGAGTGACTGTTTTGAGACAAAGCCCTGATCTCCTCTCAAGAGTCCAAAGTAGATGCCCTGTGTGTTTTCGGAAGAGACGGGCAATGGCTAGAGGAAATCCAGACTGATCCTGTTAGTACGGTGACGCAATATAATTATTGTTTGATAATATGTCGACGTTGTGAAACCGAAGATGAGGATTCCTTGCTATAAATACGATGATAACGAGAGCGATGATTCGAAGAAGTCTGAGCAGGTTGATATTTTTTCACAGAATTACTAAAGATTCGAGGAAATGAGTTCCACGAAAAATTTGTAACTGATGCGACCGGAGGTGCGGCGGCCTTGTCCCGGTTTCGTGGGAACAGGCCGTATTTGTTTCAGCTCTACTTTATCCCCCTTCTTCACGACGACTACAACAACGTCGTTTCATCGCTCAGATCTTACAGTCTCTTGAATGCTGCTTTCGTTTTCGTCGCACTATTCGTTCGTATTGGCCTTTTTTTTTCAGCAAGGGATATCCGTTGTTGACTGCTTTACAGGCTTTGATTCATTTTGCGCCTCTTCTTCTGGCGCTTGTACACTCTCTTCACCCTACATTCGTTATCGCTCCGTTATGGTTGCTCATCATCGCCTTCGTCGCCAAACGTCGGATCCATTACCCGCTATCTCTGCTGCTGGTATTGCCAGCAATGGGGTCACTGTTGGCGACGTCAGTAGTACGGCCACGACTCTGGCATATGATTCTTCTGCAACCGCCGCCGACGTCGATTCTGGTGTGTCCGTCGTGCTGGAGACCTTTTCATCTGCCGCGAAAGCCAAATCTACTGCTTCTTCTTCGTCATCATCATCATCCGTACCAACTGCCGCCGACGCATCAACTACAAAGGAAATTCCCATTGGCACAGTCATAGGCGCTTGTGTCGGCGCTTTGGTGGGAGCTGTATTCCTTATTGTCCTGGGCATATGGCTTTACAAATGCGCCACACCCAAGGTGAAGTCTAAAGGACTGACTCCCACCATGTCTGCGAACCGCAATGCTCGCGGAGAACACGAACGGTCACGGTCACGGCTTGAGAACTGGGACAAGCTTGTGGACCAACCTCAATCAGAGGGTAGATATCACATGAAGGAAGTTGATGGTGGGCTCAGTGTAGCTCCGATGGAAAAGCTTACTATGTTCAAGAAGTCGCCGAGCGTGCGAACAGCGTATACTCACACCACTGAGGAGCCACCGCATTTCGACCTTGAACCCCATCCATTTTCCCCTTACCATCCAAATCTTGCCAAAGAGTTGGCATCAACTGATGTCCAAGAACCCGTCAAACCGTTTGCCGGTAGAGCAGATTCCACAGCCCTCTCCTGGAACTCCACAGCCAACGAGTCCTTCCTGTCCCTTCGCTCAGTCCATATGTCGGGCTCCATGTCTCCGTCGTTAGATATGGCCATTCCAACTCCACCGTTGACTTCTTCGGAGCCACACCGTTGGGAATCAGCTGAAGTGGTCAATTTTGATGGTCAACAGGCCGAAATAATTGACGCTGATAAGAATCCGTTCAACAGCCCCACGGAGCGAAGGAGAAGTTTCGGCAATCCCTTCTTCAATGCTCAAGGATCTTCCGCCCCATTCCGCTCCAAAACTCCTGATGTGCCTCGCATTCCGCGTAGCGAAAAAGGCAAGGAGCGGGCTGTGAACCCCTTCAGCGACGATCACGCCTCAGACCCGGTACCTGCCCATACAAGCGCAACGTCCTCCGTCGAAAATGACCAAGCCATTCATTCGCTCATTGCAGCTCTCGAAGGTCGAGAAGGCGTCAGTGACGCTCACCTTCGAGCTCCTTCTCTGCAGACCTCCCTCTACTCTTCCGCCATTTCTGTCTACAGTGGTGATGAATCTGTCGTGAATTCTTTCCCTTCCCCTCCACAGTAACGGTTTACGGTATTCACTCCTGCTTCTCGGTCATCTCATCACGGCACACACACCTCACCCATGTCCATTGACTTGCAACAACACACCACATCCCGGAAATCAAACTGCCAGCTTCATCCTCCCTCTTTGTCGTCATATCTTACTTTTACGATCTGGCATCGGTTTCTTCCGCCATTTACTCTGAAGAGCTTGCTTCTTTAAATTGCTTTTCAGACGTCAGGACACCGACTTCTTGCTCTCATCGACGCGCTTATTTATCTATATTTCCTACTTCAATGCGTACTCCTGTGGTAGTTTATGCATCTCGAGTCTGATCTACCTCATACTTCGTTGTACATGTATTCAACATTCGTCAGCAATTAGTTGGCACCTATACCGTTATTGACAGCTGCTGTCGCCAGGCTTCGTTCATCGTTCGTTGACGAGCCTCAGTGTATAATTATTATGTTGATTTTTCAAACCGTTTCCGGTGTGTTTGGGACAGTGTGGTATAGGTGCGTCTTCTATGCTGGTGTAATAATGTTCAACATGTCTGGTGCGCAGCAGGAAGTTACCGTACATGTGGTGGGAGCATGCTTGTCAAGGTGTAGCGGGCAAAAGGCCTAGTCCTATGTGCGTTCTGTGTTTTGAGAAGCCCAAATGGTATGGTTCTATTGATGTGTGCTTCACAAAAGTAATTCGAATCATTGACCGTCTATGTTTGTTTTGATGTTCACTGCCTCAGACAGCCGATCTTCGTTGATGCCTCTAATGACCCATGGAGTAAGCAAAAAGAATAGATAACGTGCCGTGGCAAAAGCATAGATATAATGCCTGAGAAAGTGCTCTGGGCATCACAAAAGCTCCTCTCCAGCCCCCTCCTTCATGTCTAAGACAGAAAAATGGGCCCATGGATCCGGTCTGCCCTCCTTGCATGCCAACATGGTTCCAACATATCGAGAGCATGAACGGAGACTTCATCCCAGTCCACCCCCTACGGACGACACCCATACCCAGGGTAAGCGTTGTAGTTTTTCCCGTTGCTACATTCCTTATTGATCGCCTTTGTTTTTAGTCGATCGGTGCTACAGTCCTAAATCCATAGAGGCGCAAGGCAGTAATGACATGGACTTGAGCTGTACGCATCATTTCATGAAGAATTTGCACGCACCATAACATATGCACATAGACCAGGTACCTCCCTTAGTACATTCGCTGCAGAAGGCATGGCAATCCACAGCGCAGAGCTCCTTGTTTTTGGTAGGTCCGATCGTTCAATGAAATTGATCGTCGCCTCAAACTCTTCCTGTAACCAGTGTGCAGCATTGGCTTTATGCTCCGTCCATATCATGTCGTATTCACAGACCATCCTACCTCAGCCTGATGCGTTCTCGACTTTAATGGCCTTTTCATATGGCGGAATCATTTTCAACTGTACAGCCGCTGTGGCTTCGCTTGTCCTCGTCGATAAAATTGGGTGTGTACCCATCTGGGCCGCAAGGAGGAGTCTTGATCCGCCGAATGCTGGCTGGATGTCTGCTAATATTGACATCCTTGATCGTTTCGGTATTGGATCATCCTGGCGGTGGATTGTTTGGTATTGTAAGAGTCTTTCTGAACGTGGAATGTCCGTCAACTGATTAATTTGGTGTTAGGGATTGTCAACCTCTGCGCCGGGTTTGTCTGTGTAGTTGTGCAAGTTTTCATGCTTGTATGGTTACAAGAGGGTCTCACGTCTCTCAAAGTCGTGTCTTCGGTGTTACTGGCTACCTCTTCCATTCCTTTGGTAATGTTCGCTTTTTCTTCCTTGGTATTTGCTTTCCGTTAGATACACAGATCCTCGATTAAGTTATGAACGCCTGTTAGAGTAGGTGTAGTGCAACTGCTGGAGTAGAGTAATTTATACCTTGCTAAATAGCGCTTTAATATTTGCTACTAGTTCTTTTAAAATATATAATTACATACGGTACGTACCTCCAACTTGACGGAAATCTGGATGGATAAATTAGGTACTCCTTGGCACGGACCGATTGCGGCTGTGCACATCTCAATCATCGGGACTGTCACCTAGGTACCAAACCCTTCTGCTTTCGAATTCCTCATTTCCTCCTGGCGGTCATCTGAATAGATTCCGAGTGGTCCTCGCACCGCGGTAGCCTTCCTTCATCTTACATCGCGCCCTGATTTGGCTTTTCCTGTTGCACAAGTCCCTCACTGTTATGAGCTTGCATGGTCTGGCCTTCAACCGTATGTATGGGAATATTCATTGAATATAGATGTTGTCAAAACGAATTTCTGCATTGTGTAGATCCTCTTTCTGCCCCGCCAACCAATACGGTCACCACTGGAAGCGCTGCTTATGGCAAGTCTGGCTACCTCATTGTCAAGTCTAATTGTCTAACCATATGCCAGATTTTGGCGATTACGAGCTAAGATATGGCGACGAGAACGACTTACGGAGTCAGCATAGGTTTAAGTTCCAGGTTGAAGATTTGGAACGGGTCGCGAGGTATGCCACATATCATGTGAGTTTTCTTCACTGTGGTCGTGGGCATAACACGTTGAAACTGAATCCTGGATAGTCTACTGTGTGTGCATATCTCACAGTATTCATCGTCCTCCTCGCTTTTTTCAAAGATATCCCCCGGGCGTCTATAATGGCCACTCCGTTCGGTGTACTTTCCGCAACATCACTCTTATTCAACACCGCTGCCGCCTGCATGTCTTTTGTCATCACTCACAAACTGCGGTGTATTCCTATCGAGTTTCCTTTGAGAAGAACATATCAAGTGCCAGAGCCGTCTTGGAATCTACACTATATGCACTATCTTGTTCGACATAGATACCGAAAGCATTGTCAGTTTATCCGCTCTCTCCCGAGTTAATTACTGTTCCTTTACTAACTATTATTTACTTCCTAGTTGTTGTCGCATTTCTAATAGGCTCTGCATGTGTTATGTTCCAGGTTCTGTTCCTCGTTCGCATGCAGAGATCTTATCAGGCTTCCCACATTGCAGAAATCAAGTCGCAAATCGAATATCTGCGGGCAATGATAGCGTCGAGGGAATCAGAGTCGGGTAGCCGGATCACCCCGCTTACTTCGTTAACGGCTGGAACACACCCTTTTTATCACCCTATGGCTACGGCAACCATGTAGTACTACATCACATCCTTTTCTTCGAGAATCTGCTATTTTACGAGTTTGTATGTCAATTTGTGCATGTACCTAAATTATTTTGTTGTATAAAAGGCAATATGACTCGATTCGGTTGGTTGCAGCCGGAAGTTAGAAGCAAGGTTTATGTAATCATTTTGTTTTCGCTCCAGCTCTCTCCTCCAGTCCCCTTTGACCAGAACGCTGAAGTATGGCAAAGAAGAAGAACAAGCAGGTAAGATAATTGCTCTATTTCTATAAAGCATATACTCATTTACTCAGATAATTCGGCCATGGTGTTGGTACTGTGAGCGAGAATTTGAAGACGAAAAGGGTCAGCACAGACGTTTGCTGGTTTCGCTGGCGTACTGACAAGCCTCCTTACAGTATTGATGCAACATCAAAAGGCTAAGCATTTCAAATGCAATATGTGCCCACGAAGACTCAATACCGCGGGAGGATTGGCGGTGCACATTCAGCAGGTACACAAACTGGAGCCCGAAAAGTGCGTTCCAGGTTTAATTCCATCTTCCCTGATCTTATCATACTATTCATGACAGCCTACCTCGAATTGAGAACGCCATGCCGGGAAGAGATGGCTATGAGGTGGAGATATTTGGGATGGAGGGCATACCTGCGCCCGATGTGGCTGATTACAAGCGGCGAAAAGAGATTGAACTTGGACTGGCGGCTGGCTCCATCTCCCAACCTCCAGCCAAGAGACCCAAGACAGAGAATCGTCCGATGTCAGAGGAAGAGCTGAAAGCCGCTCTAGAGGCTCACAAAGCGTTAATGGGCGCTGGATCCAATGAGCCGGCACTAGCCCCAGCGGATTCTAGTTCAGGTGGTGTCTACGGCGCGCCGCCTCAGGCATATGCCGCCGCTCCTACGGTTGCCCCTCCCGTGCCACCTGTTGGAATGCCTCCCGGTGCCCCTCCATTCCTGCCACCTGGTGTTCCCGGCATGATGCCAGGTCAACCGCCATTTCCACCGCCGTTCCCAATGCCCGGCTTCCCTCCTGGGTGAGTACATACGCGACTATGCTGCCTTTAGCATTACTGATTTATCATGATGTTAGTCCGCCCCCTCCTGGGTTCCCTCCAATGCCGCCTTTTGCTCCGCCTGGAATGGTACCAGCGGGGATGCCGCCCGGTGTTCCTCCTCCAGGTGCTATCAGGCCTCCGTTCCCTCCTGCTCCGACCTTTGTTCCTCAGCAGCAGGGATCTGCTTCTCCATACCCACCGCCGCCACCGACAAATGGATCCATGACTTCAGTACCCTCAGCTAGTTCTAGTGTTCCAGTTACTCCGCCGCCACCTACACCGTCGTCTCAAGCTCCATCTACTCCGCACATGCCGGTGCTTCCCGTTCCTGCTCTCAAACAAGTACTACCGCCGTTTAAGAAAGAGACCGATCTGAAGTTCCAAGACCCAAATTTCTCACCTGTCAGTGCTTTTTCTATGTTTCAACTAATCCTGTTTGATGACACCATCATGTACAGGATGAGCTGCGCGCATACAATCCGAAGTACTACGTTGCTAAATCTACTGATAAAGCTCAGCAGGGCGAAGAGTCGAGGGGCAAAAAGAGGGCACGTGCTGAGGATTTCTTGTGATCAATCGCTGAAGGAGGATATGATGAAGAGGGAGACCATTTGATCAGTCCGTCCACCCCACCCACCACCGTTTGCTATGGCTTGTTTCGAGACTCATCTTTTCACTGGTCACAGAAGCGTCAGCAGTGGTACGAGGACTTTTTTGCCTTTCTGTTGTTTACTTTTCTCTGCCCCTTGGTTGCAACTCGAGGTGAGCAATATACTCCATAGCGATACGTGTACGGTTGGTCGTTCCTCCATTTATTCTATAATAAAGTTTATGAAGCACTCTGAGCAAAAGGTTCGTGGTATCGTTGTAGTCCTGCTATAGAGTTGTATGATTTCATGTACAAAAAGTCCTATCTTACGGATCCGATGATCAGTTTCAGATAGGATGAGGCACCACAGATTGACATACGGAGGTTCTGACATTATACGACAGAAATGGATGTACAATTGTGACGCGGAACTTGCGGAACCAGCCCTCGAGGCGCCTGAGGGCCACATGAAAGATGCTAAGCGCCGCTCCGAAATGTTGGATAAAGCGTGGTTACCGGAGGAAAGATTGTACAGCCACAAGCCGCGATCAACTCAAGATCAACTCCTGGGACGGACGATGTCTGTATTTTCGCAAGCAGTGCCTTTCGAATTAATAAGGAGAGGCGCTGCTAGTATGATATATGGACGACACGTTGTATTTTTCGCTGGTGTGGACCTAGGAACAAACGGCGTGACCATTACAGCTGCCAGGTGTGGTCTCTGCCGACGACAGCCGGTGATCCCAGAAGACGTGATTACTGTTTTCGATTAAAGGCCAAGCCGCGTCCTTTGGGTGTTCTTGCGCCTTGTAAAGGCAAACTTGTTTGACTTGGTATCCCTTTTACTTTCCCTTTGAAGTAACTGACGGTTACTTGACCGGCTTACGCTTCCTGCATCATCCCGTCGCGTTACTTTCCTTACGACATCTGTTTCTCGACCGTGACGCTGCCACTGCTGCTCCTTCCGTTTTACCACCATGTCCGATTCCTATAATTCCAGCCAGTCCTGGACTTACCCCCGCTACGGGCATGTTCAGTTAGAACATGAATACGGTTTATCGACCTCCGACCCTTCGCAAAGGTCTTACAACGATGCGATCCAGCCTCAGCAGAATTACAATCTCTCCGGCTCGTATGCATCCAGTACGTCTTTTGGTCAGTCCTACGTCTCTGGACCGCAGTCGGAACGAATACCATCCTACCCGAACGATGGACAGCGCTCCAGGACCGACGCTGGCCTCTACGTTCCCGAAGCAATGTTCGGCTCATCGCAGCAGAATCATTTCGCCAATGCCTTTCCTTCCAACTCTTCCCTTGGCTCGGATTCCAATTTTACCATGTTTAATGGCGCTTATACCTTCCCGCCTGATAGTTCCATCTCCACAAACCCTCGTTCCGGCACATCTGAACGAATAGCCGCACCGGTTCTGTCTACTTCCCCCGCTCCGATGCAGCGTACGTTTTCGGCGGGTCCCGCTCCGCAGCCGTACTTTCAGCATCCTTCTATCCCCGCCAGCAGCAATTCGGCTTTGTCTCCTCAACCCAAAGCTAAAAGACAGCGCCTTCCTGATGGCGGAGCTGAGGAGGACGATGAGGTTACGGGCGAGAACAAGGACGATATTAAGGCGAAGCCGTGAGTCGTCCCCAAAAAAGCCTTGAATGCTTCTTTTAACACAACGACAGCCGCGCTTGCGCCCGATGCAAGAATCTCAAAGTCAGATGCGAATTCAAAACGGATACAGATCCTTGCAAACGCTGCTTGAATGGCGGACATGAATGTGTAATTCCTGGCAAGAAGAAAAGGCGTGTTCCACCGTGAGTAATACGCGGATTTTACACGCTTCCACGACTTACCTTCCCGATAGGAAACGTGAGCACTTGATGAATGAAATCCGCGAGCAGGCCGAGCATATCCAGAGGCTCATGGCTCAGCTCGACGAATCCAATAAGAAACTCCAAGCGCCCCCAGTACCATTAAAATCCGAAACCTTTTCGTCGCAAAGCCCATCCCCTTCTTTGCACTCTCCCGTACTTTCACCATCCTCTACCCATGGCTCATCATACTTTAGCTCTGAGGCACCTTCTGATCCCAAGGCTAACGTCGATGCAGAAGCAAATAAAAAGATTGAGGCTTGGATATCCCAAGCGCGATCTAGCTTCGCAGAATTCGAAGGATTCATTAGTATCGGATTACCGAAGAGTTACGTCGTGGACCACGATCCTGAGGATTCTAGTGAAGAGGACGTCGATGTCAGCCACGATGAAGAAGGGGGCTACGAGTTTGCTGTCGTAGACTCCGATGCAGAAGGATGGACTCCGGACGCCATCGAGAATCGTAAGAAGAATTCACGCCGACGCTCATCAGGGTCGAGTGTAGGTAGTAATGTCACTCGAGCAAGTACTGGAGCTCGGAAGAAGGACTCTGGCGATAAGTTGGCAACCCTACCTAGTGAAGCGGTGCCATTTGGATTGATGGCTGGGTTAAGTCTCAAGAAAAACCGACATAGAGGAGGCAGCGTGGAAGCCGAAGAACATGGTGATGACAAGGCGAACGTGGGAGTTGCTAGTGATGAGTTCTTCACTAGTCAGTGTTTGTTAGCCCAGTCATTTTCCTTATGCTCACTACTTCGTTAGGGCCTGCATCCAACGCGCGAAGTACTGAGCTTAGTCAAGCTATAGAAGCTCCGCATATTCTGACTCGTGGTATAATCACACCCCTTGAGGCCGAAAAACTCTTTTCCATGTACGTCTTTCCGGACAGTGTCTAGTGCAGTCCTCACCCCCGTACAGTTTCTTCGACCGAATGAATCTGTCCTTATCTTTAGTGGACCCAGTGTTGTATACGGCCCAGCGGACGTGTCTTCGAAGTCCTTTCATGTTTACTGTTAGTGAGTAGCCGTATATCTCCAGGATCCGAGAATCGCGCATACTTATTCTTCTTAGTATGTGCAATAGCTTCCCGGTATTACGCGGAACGTCCCGACTTATATCCTCAAGCCATGCATTTTGCTCAGCTAGCTGCAGGAACTGCCTTAATAGGCGGACCGAAAAATATCGAGATGTGTATCGGCTACATACTGCTGAGTTTGTACCCCGTCCCATCCAGGAGATGGGAGGATCAACGAGGTTGGTTATACCTTGGGCTTGCTATCAGGTTTGTGCTTTGGACATCCTGCTTTCCCTTAACTGAAGACAATTACGTAGAATCGCTACCGACCTAAACCTCCATCTCCCGAACACTGCAAAACCGTTAAATGAGAACCACGCCCGAGAAATGCTTAATCGCACCCGGGTGTGGCTCAATTGCTTTAATCTAGACCGATCAACCGGCTCTCAGTATGGAAAGGCGCCAATCATCAGCAACATGGACTACACAGCCAACCATTCCGAGAACTGGTGGCAGAGTTCAGTCTATAACCTCAAGAATTTCGATATTCATATCAGCTGTTACAACGCCGACCTCAGGGTAATGGGCAGGTTCCTGGCACGTATTTACAACGATCCCAACCATCCGACCGGTCTCAACAAGGTCCGTTCCTTTGACGTTTCATTCTTCGGATGTCAGTGACATGTGCGTGCAGGAGGTTGATATCTCTCGCGTCGCCACGGAAACGGATGAGGAACTTAAGGAGCTCAAAGAGAAGTGGATGGCCCTACTGAACCAGACCGACCTCTCTGATCCTCAAAACTATTTCCGTATCGGACTGCTCAAGCTGGCCTTCAGTTACGCCAGATTAGTCGCGCTGTCTTTTGGGTTCCAGCATGTCTTTAGCAAGAAATACGACGTTGAAAATCCCTTTTTGATCCGTGTACGTCCCATTCCTATCTCTGTCCCGACCGAAATTAAATGTCGAATTTAAAGTGCCTTGCTGCAGCCTGCGACGTTGTTGACGTGATGGTGAATGAATTGGGTCGGACCGAACAAAGTGGGCCTTTTCCCTCTTGTCTGGTAACGCCGCTCATTATACACCAGGAGTATATCTTCGACACGGACCGGAAGCGCAGAAGGTCTTTACAACTTTTGCGGCAGCCTTTCTAGTGAAGGTATGACATACCTTCCGTCTTCAATGGGGTTGTTACTCAAGCCCCTTCATTATATCAGCTTCTCCAACCGAAATTCGCACCATACCTGTCTCCCGAGCAGTGTGAACATATACGGGGCCGGGTTCAGAATGTTATCGACCTGTTTGGTTCGCCGGAGGTTGCAATTGACGACCGTCACGGACCTAAACTGTACTCCCGTTTCTTGAAAGGCCTTCTTGCAATGGTTGTTGATAGCCGCGGCAAAGTCCGCAGACCCAAATCGTCCTCGTCGATGCCCACGACGGAGAATGCGAGCCGTTCTTCATCGGTCTTTGCTGCTTCGCCTGCAACGACAACTCATTCCCTCTCGCCTCCTCCCTCGCAAGCGGCCATGTCATTTGAACAGTTTGCTCCTGCTGGCGGCGTTGCGGATCCGTTTGCCCCAACCGGCCTTCCAGTTGAACAAATGGACACCATGCAAGGGTTGCTTGCTCCCGATACCGAGTATTTCAGACCGCCTCTTCCGTTTGATAACGACATTTTGCAGAGCATGCAATCTCTTACCGATCCTTCTGTTTGGCAGGATATTGCCTTACCTGGTGCGTGTGTTGATCAACATCACTATCTTTGAGTCTCATTCGTTTTACACACGCAGGCTTTGATTGGATGTCGAACTTTCGCGACACCAACTTCTCCTCTGCTCACCCGCCTCAGTAGCAACAAGAATTAGATTCATAGAGCGTCAGAATTTGAATATGGGTCTTGGTCTGTATTATGGTTTTCTTCTTGTTGTACTATGCAATTTGTACATGTACTGAATCACACTTTACATCAAATATCTGTACTTTATTGGATACAAGGAACAATAATTAAAAATCCAGGTAAACGAAGAACCTAATAAAGAATGTATTATACTATGTTTTACAGTCTAGAATCTTGAGGCATGTCACGTAGCGCCTGCCTTACGCCAAGATCACTTAGAACATCCTCAGCTCCACCCAGAAGCGCATCAAATGGCACCGTGCGATGGTACTAACAATTATCAGCCAAATATGACTAGCACGCAACACATACTACTCACATGCTCCACGAATCGACCCATGCCTGTACATGACGGTGAGCGGAGGTACAACTAATGACATTGATATACATACCAGTTTTCGTAATTCCACGCCCGCCAAAGATCTGTACAGCATCTCTTGCAGTTTCCTGAGCGCAAGCAGTGGAGTAACTCTTCAAGAAGGCAATTTGCCTAACGTGCAAAAAGGTCAATTCAATGTCAGCCAGTTGCGTAATGACCCTACCCGGCGAGTTTACTGGCTTGTTGTTTGTAAGACTATGCATGCTCGTCAGTTTGATAAAGACCGGCGTATCAACCCCAAACGAACCATATTGCACATCTGATATGTAATGTTTTCGAGCCAGTTCTGTACACCTGCAGATAATCAATTGTGAGGAACTTCTTATGGCAGTAAAATATCTTACTCTCCGCTCGCGATATCATGCCGGCCAATTTATTGCGTATGACAGCTTGAGAGTTGAGAGGTTTTCCAAACGCTTTGCGCTGTGCGGTCCATCTGATGATTTTAAGTTATATCATTACCATAGAGGGGACCTTCTTACTGGAGGCATTCATCGACTGCAATATATAAATCGAGTTAGTCAATCGTTTTAACGGCGGCGATGATATGCATACCTATACTTCTTTGACTTCTTGCAGAAGAGCAACACATTACCCACCGCTCGTGATTGAAGTTACTAGGGGGGAATTATCAAGCTAATTGACGTTAAACAGCGAATTGCATACCTGAGTATAACGAAGATTCCACCGCCCTCTTCGCCCAGAGTATTGCCAACGGGAACCTTCACATTGTCGAACGTAATGAAACCGGTTCCTGCAGAACTCGAATAACTCGTCTTTACTGGACGAGTCTCAACGCCTTCCCCTCTCTCTACGAGAATGACAGTAAAGCCATCCTCAGTTTTACAGCCGACGGTGAAATAGTCAGCAAAACTATTGAATGTTTCAGATAATAGTAAGACTGAAAATTGTTAGCTTACGTTGCGTTGGTGATCCATTTCTTCGTGCCTAGGATGCCATGAATATAAAAGAACGGAAGATGAAAGCGAAGCAGTAAGTACCGTTGATAATCCAATGCTTTCCGTCCTCAGTTTTCACTGCGGTAGTCTGTAAGCCCATAACGTCGCTGCCGGCCTGAGCTTCCGAGATCGCCAGACAAATGAATTTTTTGGCAGCGAATACTTCCGGAACGATCTTTGCCTTCAACTCCTCACTTCCAAAGTTAAGCACAGGAGGTAACCCAATGACCTTTCCACCAAGAAGACCTGGATAAAAGGATTAAAATGTCGAATAAATAGTATGTGTGAGTGTACCATCTCCGTATCCGCGAGCATTGCAGCGTGCCAACTCTTGAGTGATAATCAACTGCAAACGGAATAAGACTGATAGCAAGGACAGTCAGTTGACTATAACACTGACTTCATGAAAATAGTCAAATTCTTCGGGTTTCACGAGACCGTTCATTAGTTTCAGTCCCTTCAAATGCTTTCCTGGACCCATTCGCATAGCGTGCATATTTAGCTCCCTACGCAACATAAATCAGGACGAGTAGATGACATCATCAATGTTGACGTACGTCATCTTATCGAACAAACTCTGCGATGGTCGCTTGCCATCCTCTTCGTGGATCTGGTGCACATGTTTAAATCAGTACTCAAAAGCATGCCTTTAAATCAGATGACGTACCTCAGCATCAGGAGTCACGAATTCGTCTGTGAATTGGCGCATTGCAGCCTGGAACCGTTTGTGGTTCTGCGGAGAATTGAGACAAGCAAATTTATGGTGTTGAAGCAGCGTACCTCCGAAAAGTATGGACTGAAGTAACCAGGCGTTAGCCATGTTGGCTCTCCGTACGGTACCTTGCTAAGTTCGCCGATAGCACGAGGATGGATAGAAGGCTCTTCTCCCTCGATGACGCCGATCTGCAACCGCTGATACTGAGGCTTTTGCAAAACCTCATGACGATGAAGACCATAGAACGCTTCGGTTGCATCCTGTCCCGCTAAATTATACATTAAGCGGGTGTCGAGGCGCTACATATAGTTCACGCACCGACTTGGGCGTCAAGAAGAACGGCAGCGCCTCCGGGATGCATGTCCTTGAAGCGCGATACATCAAAAACTCTGGTGTCGATGATTATCCACTTGGCATGAAATGTCAGCCCCTACTGTACTCTTTTCACGAGACTATCGACGCACCAAATCGCCATCCTTGTTATGCTAAACGGTCGACGTGTTATCAACACAATAAGCCTTAGAGAAATTGATACCGACTTTGGCGACTTCTTCCCTGGAGAGTTGCTTGGGTTGCTTCGAGGTCATAGCGAAAATGGAGGTATGGGTTGAATGAGCAAAGATGGTGGTGATGCAAAGCACAGACACTTTATATCATCTCGGCACTTTGAGAGCGGGTACGTTTCGCATGTGATTTACCCGATCTAGGGTCCTCCACGTGCTAACTCCCGGTTCATGAATGACCAATAGCCGGACGAGGATTCGTGCCACCCTCAAGTTTCACCAGTAGGGATACCCACCGTCCCTGTACATACGGCGGATACGGGTACCGTACCCGTACCGTCAGGCCTTCGAGGAACATTTTTACGGTACGGTTTACGGTACGACATCAACCCGTACAACCGGTAGCGTAATACGGTTTTACGACCGTAAATACGGGTATGTGCACAAAAGCCCAGGAACCCGCAATACAGCTCAATCTTTGACTAAGAGTGTTTCTATGTGCTCATCAAGAAGCAGCCCGGACATCGTTTTCTCTTAGTGCGTGCTATTGAATACCTTTTTGGCTTCAGTGAAGGAAGACAGCCTGATTCTGTTTGCAGGATGACCAAGTTCATTCTCTTTGAAAACTCTTTGGCATCACCAATTAGGCTGTATCAGTTATCGGAAGAGTCATGAAAGTATGTTTTTATTCTTGATAGAAGTCAATAGTCATCTCATAGCTTATATATATAGTATCTAGCAGTCATTTGTCGCTGCAACACCCGTAATAACTGTATGACCGTAATACGGCCGTACCGTACCGTCGAGCATCTCAGGCAAGACCATTACGGTACGGTTACGAGTCATCCGTACCCGTCAAGTGCCCGTACACTTTGCGGCCGTACCCGTATACAGGTACGGTGGACATCCCTATTCACCAGTTGCTCCATCTCACTTTGAAATTTTATGCGTTCGTGAATGATGGATGAGTACATATTGAAAACTATAGCTTCTGTTTCATTATAGGCTCTTCAATTGCTCCGTCAAGTAAAAGTTGCCGCCACACACTATCGGAAATGCCTATCTCTCTTAGAATCTCGCCGCTATGCTTTCCCGGCATCAGAACGTGAGTTTCCTCGCCGAGCGATGGTTTCTGCTCAAGTGACGCAACTCGTGGATGAGGCTGGGGGATCGACGAGCCGGACACGTCTAATTTGCCGGCCTCCTCCAGTGTGAGTACTGGAACCGTACATGCATCCGTCCCTACATTGAAAGTCCGGAGTGAGTACTCAGTACGTTACAGATAGCAATGATTGACCATGAAAATTTGTTGTCCAGTACTGTCTTGTCTCGCTAAGAAAGCCTTGCTCAAGGAAGTGCTTCAATTTCGGCCATTCCTTTCGATTCAGTTGAGAGTCGGTGGTAGGAAACCAGTCATTCGGAACAGAAGAACTCTTTGGAAGCGATTTCATGAAGATATCCAAGAAGGTTCGAAAGAACTGAGGCTCAAGGCATCCAACAGACATCCATCCGCCATCTTTACATGCATACAACCCGTAAAAGGGTGCCCCGCCGTCTAAAATGTTCGTGCCTCGTGGTCCATCAAAGAACCCCACACGAGCCAGGGAGAGCAAGAAGGGAAAAGATGATAGATATCGAACGCCAGAAACCTAGGCGATATATTAAAATGGAAATAGAACAGAAAGCGCAATAGCATACCATCTCAGTGTCCACAACTTGACCCAGACCTGATTTACCGCGCTCGATGAGGGCTAGAAGTATTCCTAGGGCACAAGTTAGACCTCCCCCGGCAAAGTCGGCAAGGATATTAAGAGGAAATTCTGGTTTTCCAGACGTTCCGGGTAGCATCTGGTCAATATTCATGTCAATTGGCATGAGAATGAGTATGTATAGGAGGCTGACCGATAAAATTCCGCTGAGGGCTAAATAATTTATGTCATGGCCTAAAGAAGCATTAGTCGAGATGGTTGGGTATACTTCTCATGGAACACGGACCAGCCATATCCTTGTGCGGACCTAAATGGGTGATCAGTACTACAATAATTTCATCAAGGAAGCATTGAGTACCAGACCTCGAAAATCTGGAAAGAGCTTTTGAAAACTGAAGATCATGACAGGGATTCGACTACTCACCCAACAATACGAGCATATATAAGCCGGCGATTTAATCCCTCCCTCCCCATAAATACCTCCGGTCCTAACCCTAGCTTCTCCATTACTCCAGGGCGAAATGGATCGATAACGACATCTGCGGAGGCAATCAAATCCTTCATAATATCTCTCCCACTAGTAGTTTTCAGGTTGACAGCCAGCGAGCGCTTTCCTCTGCACAAAATGTCATTAGATGAAGAAGAACACTTGTCAATGCGGATGACATCGGCGCCGTTGTCAGCTAAGACGAGGCCGGCAAAAGGTGCGGGAGCAAGACCGGCGAACTACAGCAACAACAGCATGTGAGTTGTGTTTGAGGGCCGTTACAAAGTTGTATACCTCTATCACTCTTAGACCGGACAGAGACATTAGCACAATTTGTAGGAATCACCACGCTGAACCGATAAAACACCGTGAGCACGACCGTTGATTGATTGATAAGCGTGGCATAATAACAATCCTGACTCACGGGTCTTTGGTCCTCGGCTCTGCGGTCTTCAGCTAGTGACTCTAGTAGATCGTCTCGCCGCGGCGATGGTGGGAGAAATCAACTACCAGTGGATACATATATCATATACGGAATGCCACGATCACATGCATGATGGTACAACCGGGTTAAAAATAGCTACACAGCTGATGCATTAAACTTCGACACCAAGGACGTGAACCATGATGAACGAGTATTCTTTTCACTACGACTTCCTTTCTTTGCGACGGAAAGGACCGGGCCTGAAGGTGCTGTTGAAACGAGGGTCTATTGCTGTATGGTCAGATGGGCAAACAAGAAAATGTCCAGACAAACCGGTGTTATACTGACAAGCGTAGATAAGCTGTCAGTACTTTGGGAAACACAGGGTTCCGGCATGGTAATCTTCGAAGGGATTCGGGAAGAGTAGGGTGCCTCTATTGTCCAACAAACATTTGAGGCTGTTCCGAAAGACTTGTGTACCTCTCGGAGAACTTCCGGCCACGCGCTCTGTTTTTCTTCACGTACATACCCCGACTGCATCTGTTTCTCGGTGATTTTTACTCTGGCATGGGGTGCATCTCTGGACCTTTCGGCACATTCGATAAAACCGAACACGTCTAAGAAACCGATGAATCTGAAAGTTATAGCTGTGGAAGCGACGATTCTGACCTTTCCAGACGAATGTGCTATTCACCGTGATTTCCCAGAGGTTGGTAAACGACCTTAGTGACGGACTTCGGAGGACAATATAATTCCCAGATTCATGGTCATGAAGGCAGTAGAGCACCAGGCGTTTTGACGGCTGTGAGATTTTGGCAAGAGGACGGTCAAAAGGAAGAGGCTCTAGACGATCTTTTCTCTGGGTGACTAATTCTTTTATGGCCCCGGGCAACATCCGATCGTAGAAATGGAGATTTTGCCACATTCTAGGACTCTTGTTCAGCTTCATAGACAATAGGACAATGTCCAACGTATCGCTGCCTTTGCCTCGGACTGGTATACAAACGCTTGGTCAATCGTCGCCGTCTTATACATCAGACGATGAATACCAACCTTCGATAATCTCTTGCTTAGACTCATCGTCGATATCCTTCCGTACTCTGATGTCAATGTTCATTGACGGAGATTTATCAGCTGAGGAGCATGCCTGAAGCAAAACTTTGGCTTAGGAAAGCAATTGTGTCGGAAGTAACACGTACCAAACGTTTTAGGTGTTTGTGTAAGCGCAAAGATTTCTGACCTTCAACATGCTTATCCTTATTTTTTGCGTTGTTCATACGTTCTTCAATGTTACCAAGAAGCTGCAACCAGAATTAAATAATTGATGTATCGTGTACCAGGAAGAGACTTACGCCTTCATCGAGCTGCAAGATTTGACTCACTTCGAGGATGGAGCTTGTGGCTTCCTTGAACGCCTCACAGACGCCTGAATTGGCACTTGCTGCTTCCAGCGTTTTCTGTGCCTGGATTAGAACCCTAAACCAGGAGGGGATTCAGGTTGATACCAGATGCTATATAGTAACTATCCTCTTACCTCTGGACTGAGCCATAATTCTTGTCAGCAAAAAATTCCGTTGAATGTACTTCTTGAATGATAGTACGACAGCAGCGGACTATCTCAGTTGACTGAGCGAGATTAGCTCGACTGGTATGCGCAACCGATTGGCGATAACTTCGAAGGAAGGTGAGGAGGGGCATTCTTCAAGGGCACGCAAGGGGACCGCAATAGAAATGGCGGCTTGAATACCAATTTGTCATTACAAAAATTTGCGGATCACCTTCAAAAAGTGTTTTTTTTGGTGAAGTCGACCCGAAGTTGAGATATGTACAGCACGTTTCCTGTGAAAAGAGTGGAAGAAAGTGGGATTTCACTTGAAAGGGCTTCTGATCGTTTCAAAAACATCAGAACATTCAGCTTCCTCACCATTACATGAAAGAAATCCCATGCAGGAACAAGATTACGGGACGAGGATGACGACGGGAAATGCCGAGAATAATCAAGCCAATCGGGACTCAACATTTAGCGCTTTAGCGCTGGCCATGCTTCGTAACGTTAACGATGTCTTTCCGACTCTTCACTTCTATCTCACTCATTGGTATCACTTTACCTAGCAGTAAAAAGGGTTGCTTCCAGCATGCGTGTGAAACAGTCGAGATGTTGCGATGTGTTACTAGTGGGGTGAGGGCCAACGCATCTGTGTGGCATGTCCGAGTCCTATGTGTCTTCTTTCCGTCAAGTATGCCAGATTTCATATATCAGTGGCCCGCCTGTATATGAACACACCACGGTCTTTGCCCATCTTGTCTCGCATCATGTCGACATCATCAATTACCATCCTGTAACGAATGTCTGCCTAATGCAATGCCATCATTAAATCATACTTGGTTCTCCGCATCTACAAATCGCGCGGTGAAGTGTCACGCACGCTCCATAATACGCAATACCGGCCAACCGAGGTCCGGTACTCTGTCAAATTCCCAAGGGTACACCGATCCTGAAGGAAACTCCATGAGCATTATCATGCAGACGTGCAATGCTCGAGACTGATTGCGTGTTCCAAGAAGCATGAAAGACAAGATCCATTTTATGAACCAAGTCGGTGACATAATCGGGACTAAGCAGCAAGAGGTTCGAAGGGATGATAGAGGGACTGAAAGGTATGCAGAACACGGGAGAAAGAAAGTTTCAGCGGAGTCAATCGCAGGAATGAATACCGAGGCAAGTGCAAGGGTATGAGGCGTTGCAGCTCTCGAACAGATACTTCCGACCCGAGGAATGATGCCGCGGAGGAAATTCCCATGAGCATGGACGTCGACCCAAACAGTATCTTGAAGGGATTGGCAGGAAGTAATAACTTGGTTCATACAGAGGACAACAGGGTGAGCTATTTCAGGGGCATAATGGAGTGAGGCAAGAAGTGAGTGTTACACCCCAACTCCAAATGGACCCTGTCTGACTGGCGGTGACAGATACGTGAAAGTGAGGCAGCATATGTTCAAGATAAGTGACATAGCGGAAGCGCAATGCTCCGTCATATTCGTGAAGTGCCGAGGAGGCAGCGTAAGGATGAAAATGATACTGCGAGCGATAGTACTCGTGAACTGGAAATAGACGAAGTAGAGATGACAAATGATCTGGCGTAACAAGAGGAAGGACAGAAAGAAACGACGAATATAAGAGAAAAAGACGGAAAAGAAAAGCAAAAAAGGAAAGTCGAATGGGAAGGAAAAAAAAGAAAGAAAGGAACCAGGTGGAAGAGGAAGAAAGCGAGCACGTTAAAGGGAAGTGAAACGGAAAGTAACGGGATAGGCAAACGAGTAAAGACGGCATCGAATAGAAATATTCCCACGGTAAAGCCAGGTAGATGAGTCGGCAAAAGCCGATAAGGTTTGATACCTCGAATAGAATTTCCCACGATAATTCAAACTGGCATAATAACCGATACCTATATACATAGGACTCGGAATTCTCCGATGTCAGCAGTGCTAAGCGCTTAATTCATCTGGTCGTCTGCAAGGTGTCGTAAGTGCATCGTGCAGCAGACAATTCTGGCGGTCATTAGTATGTCTACCGAGTGGCTGTCTGACTTAAAAGATCCACGGTTCTCCCTCTCCTCCTTTGAGTTGTTTCTGCAGACTTGTCCTCGCCATAATGTCTCTATACGACCATCTCACCAAGCTCAATAATGCCGCTTTTCCTGCTACAGACGTGATCAAATCACTGATTGATATTCTATCTCACGAACTATGCGCTTCCAATCTTCGACGAAGTTCTCATACTTTTTGCGCTTTTATCTCGAGGTCTCGAGACTTATGTGACTATATCAATTTCCTCATCGGAAAATCCATCACCGAGGACGGCTGGACCAGTTATGATGAATATACTGCTATGATCGAACCTCTAGAAACGTATGTGTTGCTATCATCATTGAATCGTTCTGATAGGGCGCATAGCCTTCTTTTATCTATTTCCGAGGTTACAGATACTTCTTGTGTCGAAAACTTGACAGATACAGTCGAAATAAGCGAGTGGATCGACGGTGCAATTTCATGGAGCGTTGATCGCCAGAAAGTCAAAGACTCCCTATCCTCTGTCTGCTCCGGGAAAGCATTCCAAGTACGTGCACGTAGTAGTAGTGCCTCCCGTTTCTGCCACTCACGTACCTACAGTCGCTGGCACAAACCGTTACATCGGAAGATATTGCACATGCAGCGAAGCATGACGATAATGTGTTCATGGACAACCTGGTTCGAGCATTGGAGCGCCGTCTAGCTGCAAACTGGAAGACCAAGTTCTCCGCTGACGGACACAAGCACCTTATTTTGATTCAAAAGGAACTACGAGGAATTCGGTCCAAGTTTCAGAGCTGCCGGTTGGACGTATGCAGTTGCATGCCTACTTATCAAGACATCGCTACTGAAATGTATTTTCGTTCTAGGAACTTATCGTTATTGCAATCAAGTCTGCTATTCTTGTCAATGGTTTGACCGAGGTTACCATCAATACGTCCTTAGCTCGGGTTCGGGAGCGTTTCGGATCCTTTGCAGTGATTTCCAAGGCGTATGAGTATGTTCTATACCGTCATTACTCCCGAATTGTTTTTCTAATAAGATCGGATAGGTTAATTAAATATATATCCGTCAATTTCGACCAATCACACCTGTCTGAGATGCAGGAGAAATATTCCAATCTCGTCATCCTTCTTAATGAAAGTCTCGGTGAAGGTATGTTGTCACGGCTTGAGAATGATCGCGATTAACCACCCAGCACAGACTCTCCCGAAGACATTGGAATGCCCGAGAGCTTTCGGGAGCTTCGGAAGTTTCCTGGCCAAATCAGGCCCCCCTACTACCTCCAGACCCTGATCTTGGTGCAGTATTGTAATACTCTGGTTAGTCATTACCGTACGACGAAGCCAAAGCCATTACGAAAGCCTGTAGACGAGTCAGCGCACATTTTCTTGTACCTCTATTCGCCGCTAATGTGTATGTTAATTGTAGTGCTCTTTCAGCTACTGTAACTGCTCTGCAAGGTGCCGCAAAGCTGGGAAGCCAGACCTCGAGTGGGTCAACCTTTGATTTTGGATCTATGCAGTCTGGAGAGGTCACAAGCACCTATCAAACTGCTACAACCACGATCCAGTCCTCTTGCAGCTCTTACAAGGTGTGCCCTTTCTCTCATTTATTTTCAGCGTGTAGCCTTCATTGGTGTATTTGCAGATCGAATTTGATGCCTCACGGATGCAGACCGCGAAAGAGAATGACAAGAAACGATTACAGGCATGGAAAAACAGGATGAAGGTTCGCTACATTGTAAAAAATCCTATCGCCCTCAAATAACTTTGACTCCTGCAGGCTAGGGATCGAAATGAAAGCAGAACGCAGCTCAGCATCGTCGTCAAATTCAAGGACGCATCCGGAAGGACCTCGTCTGCCAGGTTTTCAGATCTCACGAGTGAGTCTAATATCTATTTTTGCTAAACCATGTGTACTACTTAATATCATTTGCTTAGTTTCCGTCCTGTCAACTACATCATTGGACGTTATCCTGTGGGAAATAGTTTCTCGCATGGAGCCTGGCATGCGCGATCGCGTTCGCAGTAACTCCCACTTTGAAACGGCATCTCCTCGAGAGGTTCTGGAATTGTCCGATCCCGTATCTAAAGTTGGACCGCGCAACTTGCAACTTATTCTAGACGCCTGATCAACTTGAGACAGCCACCTTACTTGTCATGTACCAACGTTGTTTTCGAGGGTTTTCATTTCTGACTCACTCATTACATATGTTTTGCTCGGTCGCTTTTTTTGTTTCCCCTGGAGAGCGTCTTTACAATATACATCTGTTCTCTCAATCTATGCTTGGACTGATATTTTGGATCAATTGTCTTTGCCGTCCCATGTGCTGTTTCATCTAATCTTCGTTACAGTCAGTGCCTTGCAAATAGGAACTCGGTGGAACAGGATAGGTTGGTAGGTGGCATTAAACAGGACATCCGATGCCTCTAAACGTTCAGCATTTTTGATCTGGTGAGTAAAAAATCATGGTTTCGAAGATTGTACCTTCATTTGCCATCTTTTGTCGGAAAAGACGTAATGGAAGTAGGAAGCAGTAGGAGAATTGAATGCAGAACTGTATGACAGCTTCAAGTCGTAACACAAGCACAAAGAACAAGCGACAAGACCATCGGCCAATTGAGAATGTACTTTTGTCGGATTGCATCATTTTTCGAAGTAGCAATTTAATAGATTAGAGTAACGAGGTTGTAGATTTACTAAGCACTTCGAAACTTCCTTCGTGTCAACATATCAAGATGGTATTGAATGTATACTAACTAATTATACCTCCGACCCCTTTGAACTTGAAGGACTAGACCTGGCGTCAATCTTTGAGAACTTAGGAAACACCCTACACATAGGCAGAACTGCAAAGACAGTAACTGCTGTCACGGTCACTTTTACTGCCTTCGTCTGGGAGATGCAAGCGAATATAACGACCTGCGTAAATAGGCACCATACGCCCAGGATAAGTGAGATAATCCCTGAGGAACAAAATCAACTTTAGATTATAATCAATCCATATTTTGAATAATACCAACAGTGCCATCGTGTCCAGGTCCAAGTTCTCTTCATCCCATAGTAGACCAGGAGATCTTGGGATTCGTTCACAAAGCCTGCCTTCGGTTTGTCTGGGTCCGCAGAGGCAATATCCGGAAGGTCGCCCAATTCGTCAATAAGAAGTAAAGATGTGATGGTCGCGCTTGCATTCAATATGATGGCACCGAACGACGTGATATAGACAGCGGTAAGGGCACGAGGGTTTGCGTTCTGCTTGAAATCGTCATCGTTTGCAACGTCGTGGATGACTGAAAGTAGGCCTGCAGCTACTGCAGCGAGCAAGCTTGTCTATCCAAAGCATTTAGCGAACACATCGTCTATATATTGGGACGGACATACAACGACAGCGGCGCTTGAACAAGTAGATTGCCACCCTTGCCGAGTGTATTCGACAAGTGAAGGGAGCTCATCTGCAGAAAAAGGTCAGTTAACTTTCATTGCCTTGATTATCCAACTTGGACTTACAGCTTAGATCTCTCCGAGACATCGTATGAGGTGTGGCGACGTAGCGGTGTAGTAGACTGATTGACGTGCAGATAAGCAAGGAGGCTTTCAAGTGCAGTTACCAAGGACAGTCACCTGGTATGAAAATGTGCGAACAGGAATCTGAGCAACTATGTCAAGGAACGGATGGTCAAGGGAGATTTACGACTTGGAAGAGCACCCGTGTCTCGACGCCTTGAGGTTAGACGGAGAAATGTGTGAAGTCTGCAAGAATTATGGCCATATATGACAGGACTCAATAGACGCCAAGGGTCGCAAACGCCATGGTACCAACGCACGGAGGATTCGTAACCCCAGACATTCACAAAAACACAACATGTGGGCTCAGAACCATGATCCACGCTGAGTTCAAGTGACAGAGTTTCACAGAAGAGGGTTGAGGCAGATTCCTTCCGATAGAATAGACGCCAACTGCAAGCCTGATAACGGAGAAGCTGTGAGCCACAGATACCAGACATATGAGGCCTGAGGCCCCGTGAAAAAACCGGCATTTCCAAACGCCCGATCACAAAGCAAGGGCGAGCGTGGGGTGAAATGTGAACGTTTGAATGGCGCCAGTGAACCAGAAGATCCGTTTGAACAACGTTTAGAAGCAATTCGAATGGTAGTAAGTAATTCAAGTTGGGAGAAAACGGACTGGGCCGCGGGCGAAGCAAACATGCGTCAACAAACGTTACGCGTCACTTTCACGCGCCACCTTCATCTAACTCACCGTCATGTCGTCCTCTGCATCTACTTCCAAGCCTGTCGAACCAAAAAAAGAGAAAGATAAAGAAGAGGAGAAGACAGAAGAAAAGCCACAAGTTAACACACTGGGCCTGCTGGAGGAAGACGATGAGTTTGAAGAATTCGAGACCGCAGGTACATCCAAACTCTCCGTTACTCTGCTCGCTCTCATTTGAACGCTTGATATCGCAGATTGGGACGATTCCCAAACGGATATGGCACATCTAAATGGTGCCGCTTCCGGTGCAGCAAAGTCTGGTGGTGACAAGCTCTGGGAAGATAATTGGGATGATGACGATATAGAGGATGAATTCAGCGTGCAGTTGAGGTACGTAACTCGACGTGATATCTGCATAATACTTGTAATAATTATTCAACCCCAACTATAGGAATGAACTGGCGAAGACTGGAAAAAGCAGTGGGAACGATATGGAACAATAGGCAACTCCGCGTCCTATCACGCAATATACAGTCACATTTTACGTGAAGTTTATTCGTCAATCTGGTCAATCTGTTATTCATCCAATAATGCTGCGCTTGTCATTAGTTACAGTTTGCACCAGTCGTAAAGTCATCACGAAGCAATATTGCGATCATAAAATCGCGATTACACCGGAACTTTCTTCTCGTCTTCTTCTACTGTCTCTGACGAAGTTTCGCTCTCAATGTCCAATCCCATATGCGAGGTATCAAAGCCCTTCGATTCCAAGTATTGTCGGAACTAAATGATCGTCAAGTGACGTCCAGACGACTGTTTCACCACACTTACAGCGATGTCTTCCTCAATCATACCATCATGACTCAAGGGTTTGATGAAAAAGAAAGTCACGATGGCGCTTAAGATGGCAAGACCACTACCAACCCAGAAAGGACCCGTGTTTCCTCTGGTCGTGTCCTCTCCGCCGAACGCTGCGATGGTCCATCAGGAATTTCCTAGACCACCCAAAATATGAACGTACCATCAATCATTGGAGGGAATGCTGAATACATTAGGATCAGTGTTTGCCAACTGCAAAATGGCTTGGGTCTCACCCCATGTCCCAACGAAAGCGCCGACTTTACCAACGGCTGCGGCTATTCCATAAAATTGTCCCCGAATAGCTGTAGGGCTCGATTTGCTCGCCAGAAGACCGATGTTGTTACCGGGACCTGTTGTTGGTGGCTTAAGAATCTCATCGTAGAGGTCTACGGTTCTTCTCACCCAACTCTCCAAAACTCAAGAAGATGCCATAAACGACCTAGCATGATCTGAATGAGTATATGGCAGAAATGTTGCGAAGAAACTCACGGCAAATGCAGCCACGTGCGAGGCAAGCCTAAACGTTGATCAGCTATCGGTTAACATATGAAGTTGACCTACTTTTCGTAGCACCCGCTCATGATGAACCCGATGATTGCCTGTGCTAGGAGTCCCACAATCTGCGGGCATGTTGTATGTATATGTGCTTATATCTGGGAACAAAACTTACCATAGTCCATTTTGGCCCCAGGAAGTCGACAACGAAAGCTCCAATGATAGTTCCTGTTGTAGGTGAGTAACCCTGCACTTCTCGTCCGCACACATCGCTTTACCTGGGATATAGAAAAGACTGCCGCGAACGGTCAAATTTACGAATGAATAAAGGAGAGGAATAGGTACTTAATAACAACGTTCCATCCAAATACGATGCTAAGCTTCTCAGAGCCGCCAGTAATACTGGTATACTGTCAGATCATTGATCCCCATTAAGACAACAGGCACCTACTTGTTCACCACGGTGGAAGAATATAGTCCGAACTGCACGCTGTTTACTTAGTCCACCGGAAAACGGAGACGGCAGTCTATTACTGACCGGATACCTGAAAACGGGTTAGCAGTCATTTGATGATCGAGATGAAATGCAGGCACTCACACAATGAAATCATATAGGAACCTAGTAGGAGCTATTCAGTACGGAACTTGGCCGTTGAGGAATTACGTACCAGGTAAACGAGATAGCGGCTAACGATACTCCATATCGACGCAGGACAAGCATGTAAGGAATGCGAACCCGCTTCATAGAATCTTTCTTGTATCGCTCAGACTCGTCCATCCGAAGACGCCAGATGAAAACGGCCAATGCAGGGACAACTCCGAGTCCCAAGGAGAGACGCCAAACAGCGCGGAGGTGGTTTTCTCCGAAACTGTCCCATCATCACATTCAGTCGGACAGAAACACACTCAAAGCGGAAGGTGCTTACATCCAGTATAGCACCAAGACAACGAAGGCCGAAACCACAAAACCGAAGTCAATCATGGAATCTGCGCAAGCGTCAGCCAGTGGCATGTTGTTTTAATATCAATCTCCTCACTGGTCGCCAATGTAAACCACCGATGCTGAGCATTCTTACTTATGGTGGATTCTTCAGAATTCTCTGATGCAGCCACAGATCCGCAAGGATACTCTGCGCCGATACCGATACCGAGAAAGAACCTGAATACAGCTATGACCAAATGAAGTTGGACGGAAGGGATGCAACTGACCGGCAAGCAGCAAGCATACTTAGCATTCCATCGACACTGTGATGGGCGCCTGAAGACGCGGCGGACAAAGCTGAGAAGAGCGCGACAATGCCGGTAGCCGACATCTAAAAGTGGTAATCTCAGTCGAGGTGCGGTCGGGTGGGTGTTACGACGGACTGACCATGCCAAATTTGCGCCCAATTTTATCGGATAGATAGCCTGAAGGTATCTTGATAAGATGCAGCGAATTCCTTCGACTCACGACGCACCGAAGACGAGCATCCCAACAACTGTACCAGCAAATGCCAAGCTACTCACGAGAGTGCTATAGTTCTTGGCCTTGATCACTTCATTCCCATAGATACGTTTCAGAACTACCATCTCTTTTGAATGCCGGTTATTCTAAAGAAATGTGAAAAGTACTGACGAGTGTTCACTATCGTTTGCAGTCAGTCGCGGTTGACTTCACTGTAGAGGTATCTAGCTAGGCTCACCACTTCCGATGATGTTATTGGCGTAACCTTGGACCAGGACCCTCAGCCAACATGACCGGAATATAATAGGATGCTCATACCGTCGGAGAACAGCGCGGTTCCACACCTATAGAAAATATTTCAGGGCTTTATGAAAGGAAGACAGTGACAAGCCGGACGTACGCAAAGATTAGGGAAACACTCTTCAGAGGTGCCATCTTAATTTTTGACCGTCTCAGGGAGGGGAAAGAGAGGAGAGTCTTCAGAAGCGTCGCAAGGGACGGACCTACTTTTGAATATTTGTATACTGATCCATGATGATCAATGCATGCTCCATCAACGGCAGATAACAGTCTTCGGCGTTAAGTGTGCTTCTCTGATTTTACTTAGAGCGAACGTGCGTGCGGCGTCGAGCCTGTCCTGCTTCGGATTCGCAGCACTTTCAGACGGGAATCTTCCATAGTTATGCACAGTCCACAGACTTCAAGTTCTCTGCAACTTGAATTTTTCAGCAGCGCTGACCATGTAATAGCTCGAGCTTTCCCCATTTGTTATGGTGCATATCTAGTTCCCCTCACGGCTTGAACAATTACCGACGTACCACTTTCGGTTCCCTATCAGATACCGTCGTGCATAGTCTGAGTCTGAGTCTGAGTCTGGGGTCAAAGCCTGTCGAAGTGCTTACTGGTATATTGACATCCGTGAGCCTATGGCACGAGGACACGGTCCACCATGTGCTACATGCGCTCTGGATGGTGTACTGCATGATAGCAATCTCGCGATCCAAGTATAGAACGCGCTGTGGCGCATTAGTGGCGCGTATGTATATTACTACGCATGGAACGTCAACTGCTCTGCTCTGCTCTGAGAGCACTTTTTCCTATCTGTACAAGCCATTCAAGGCCTCGCTAGTCCTACGATACTTCAAATGGCTGCGTATACTCTGCGCGATCCGCCCAGGAACACAGATTTCAGAGTACGGAAGGATCATAGCTCTGGCTGTCAACGTCACGGTCCCGTGGTCTCCGGGCCATACTGCGATGCTGTAAAGCTTCAGCGTTCCTAAGCCTTTGAAACGTTCAATTCTGTTAATTACCCATGTCACAAAACGCCTCCTTGATACTAACTCTACAGCCGAACAATCCTTGCAACACTACCATCACTGACCAGGAAGACGGCGGTAAAACCGTCTATGAAGTCTACACTCGATACGAACCTTCGACAACAACATTTGTCGAAAATGCAGCCGGAGATGTCATAGCCTCATGGAAGTGGAGAGAAATTCGGTCTGATATTATCACTCTCGGTGGAGCGAGTCCTACGCCCGTCAGTTCGTGGTTGAAGAAGAGCATTGTGCCCTTGAAAGAGTACGTGCCTTTGCATAAAATATGTCGCCTTCCACTGATTTTCTACAGCACTGTCACGTTCGAAGCCCACACAGGGTATAAATACAAATGGAAGGGGAATGGGCCAGGCCTTTCCTTCGAAGTGAGTGTTTATATTCGCGCGCCCCTTTAATTGTATGCTGGAAGCTAACTCGCTTCGTCAAGCTCTACCGTGAAGACGATAAAATACATCCCATTGCCCGCTTCCAGAAACCCTCACGAAACGCGAAGTCAACTCAGACGCCGGCTCGGTTGATATTTGATGAACGCGGTGAAGAGATTAGGGACCTCGTTGTGATATCCTTCCTTGTGCTGGAGAGAAGTCGAAGGGAGACAGAAAATTCTACAGCCTTTATTGTCCAGAGTATGCAGAATCCCCTGTAGTTACAGTGCAAGCCGGTATGCAGAGTCTCCTGTAACTACAGGACGGTAGCGCTGGGGAGATGCGTTCTGCATAGCGAAGAAACCCACTCTGCATACTCCTAGAAAAAAATTACGTATTCGTATATTGCCCCCGTGTCCTTTCACCTTGCCGTCATCATCGCAAACGATGAGGAGACGTCCTCTCGTTGTCCTCCCGATGCCTGGTTATTAAAAGGGATTGACCAGTATTATTATCAAATAAAATGAAAATAGTTAAAATATAGTACAGCATACAAAATGTAGATAAAATGCGGTGCAGGCGGGTGTGGCGGGACGTAAGCGTCGATAGCATCCATGAAGCCTCATGTAGAGGGAAGCAATGATATCGATGGCGCAGTGATCGTTGCGTTATTATTGGGGGGGGGGGGTGATGTGAGCGGGAAAAGACGGGTGTCGGGATAGGGAGCCGGTAGACGATGACCATGGCATCAAGGGGGTAAACAGAGCAATGGTGCATGTTGCCCGGTCCAAATAATGAGGGATGCATGAGTTTGAGGTGGGTGAGTGAGCTGGGCGGCGTACGGGAGGCCGATGTTGGACACGATGCAGCAGGCGGCGGCGGGGGTATCCGTGATCGCATATCCATGAATATGGGTTCGTTCACAACGCCTTTGAGCCCTCATCCAATGCCTCAAATGACACGGTCGTCGTCAGTGTCGTTCACCATCAACATCCCGACCTTGCTCTCGCCCTCCTGCCCGTCCCTAGCACACCCCTGCTTCCACTCCATCCCCAGCCTGCTATTTGGCATGGTCACGCCCTATACTCGAGTCCTCCCTACCCCTCACGCCATCGTCGTCATCCTGGTCGTCGTGATGGTTGGCTTTGGATCCATACGCCCTCCTGGCGGCAGATGGAGGCGGATCTTTAGTTATCGAGTGAATGAGGCATCGTTAATGCATTCGGAAGCTGTGGTGAATGGCGATTGGCCCCGATTTCGATGTGGAGGATGCTAGGTGGGTCGCAACGGCACCAGGACCGGGCTTAATGGCGGCGGCAAGAATTGGTGGGCGCTGTAGTAAAAAGGCAATGGTGGTAGTGCACTTCTCCATCATTTGGAAGGGGAAAATTATGCTGCCTTGCAGGAGGGCTTACGCGCAGGCGAGTGGGGCTTGATGCGCGATATCCAGGCCATCCAGGGGCCACCAGATGGATCAAAAGTACCTATAAAACCTATATTAGCATTAAAAATAATGAAATATACCTTCATTTCCATTCAAACAAGTAGTGGGGGCAAGCAGGCGACTACACCATGGACCGATGGTGAGAAGGTGAGACGAGAAAAGAAGGGGGACAGCCACTCGATCAGTATCCGGTTTACCGGACCGGAGCGATTGAGCGAGCGGAATGGATGCTCGGGATGTATCCTCTGCTCGAATCCTTTGCTCCGAAGCCCCCAAAGCTGACGGAATATACTATACAAATAATCTAGTATACATTTGTGTACTTTTTATAGTATATAATCTATCCCAACCTTGATTTATCTGCCATTTATGGTGAATATCACGCATTTTAGGACATTTCAAAGATGCATCATTTGTACACAGATATGTGCAATCTTTCCAAGGGTAAGAATGGTTGAAAATAAAATTTTATGTATGACATTGTCCAAAGCAGGTGTCCGATCCATGGTGATCTGCCTTTATGTGCCTTGTAATTGCATTTCTCGTTGAAGTGAACTCATAAAAGAACATTACATGCACAATCTCATCTGGTGCAATTTTGTCTGACTGAGGTATATTTCCGCCAGGGCAGATATACATTGTGACACATATCACTCCAAATAAGTATGGACCATGCCTCTCTGGGAAATATACTTCAATTTAAGCATGTACTGTGAGGTATGCCTTTTACACATGCCTCTGGCATACTTTTGAGATCATAATTCATGTCTACATTAGCACAGGATGGAAAACATGCACAGAGAAGATGACTAGAACATTAAAGAAGCTAATAAACATTTTGAATTATATTTTCAAGCACTGAGAGAATTTCGGGACTGTACAATCTCGACCTATTTGCTTACTGTGGTCCCTGTGAATGGGGGTGTTTCGGAAAACTCCGGAAAACGTCAGAGTACTTCTTGTCCTTAGTATCCATACATTATATGGTACAAACAAGATAGAGCAATTATACACTGCTTCTTTTGTCATATTTTAATTGAATAAGTGCAATATACTGTCTACTATCCCAAAATTCGCCCGCTTTCGCAATTTCCAAACCGTATACCAAACTGGGAATGGTATATTCACACGGTCTGTGCATCCATGCCGATGCGCATTCAGTCAAATATATGGTAAGGGCAGGTGTAGAAGTAGTTTGGAAGCAGTACTAGTAAGTATATCAAATAATATTTTCTGAGCCTGCTCTTCTTTGGCCCCCCTAGCAATGAGCAGAAGGGCGGAAAATTCAATATCCCAGTTGCCACCCAGTATCAGCCAGTATCAAAACGGGAGCATTGAATATCATGTGAGCACCAAAATGATGTCAATAATTAATCGTTGGCGATTGTACCCACCGTTTTGGGGGCTGTGGGCGGAGGGGCGGAGGGTGGGGGAGGGTATTGTGGCGTAATTAGGATGTGGGAAAATTACAGGACCCTGAGTATGCAGAGCGTTGTGCGCAGCTCTTCCGACTCTGCATACTCCATTCGCCTGTAGTTACAGGCAACTCTGCATACCAGGCTGCACTGTAACTACAGGGCCACTCTGCATAATATGGATGCTATAGCCTCCGTGTTGCCTATTAGTTATCATTCTGATTTCTGCTAACAAAACTCGGAAAGTACAAATAACTTGCGGACGATGCTAATAATAGATTCTTATCTCAAACATCCTTACACTGCCACATTGGTGCTGGTTCTTTATTCTGTTCGCGCCATCGTCGCCTCAACATGAGCTCGTACCCCACCTTCCCAATCATCCCAACATATACTCAAAACCACAGTATCTCGTCCCAATGGAAACACTTCCTTCCCAGGATCCCCCTTTCTCACACGAATTCCATTTGCACCACGGGACTTGGATTCAGGCCACGCTTTATGCCACCTCAGAACCCCCTCCTGCTTGAACCCCATCCTCTTCGCTGTCCTAATACTAGCGACATTGGCTGCACTGGCCTGCCAAACCACTCTCCGCAAGCCAAGGCCACCATCCTCAGGAAGATCAAGTGAGTGTTTCAAGAGGATCCCGATCGCGTTGGACGTTACATGCGTCCTCTGGAACGCCGGAGCGATAATCACGAAGATTTCTGCGACCAAGTCTTGGGCTGACGAGGTTCAATAGCCGATGACTCCTGCGTATCCCTCCTCCTTGGTTCTGTCATACACCGCGAACATAATCGTCCCCTTATCTTCCGCCTTCTCGTTCTGGAAAGTGGCCATAAACTCTTCTTCATCCTTGAACGGACCCATGGGGATGAAATCGTAGCTGCTGACATCAGAGCAGGCTGTAATTAGTAGTTTCGTGTGAACAGCGAACTTGATACATCATGAGCGTCAATATATCTTCAAGCCCACTGGCTTACATCGAAAGGAACCAACTTGACGCGCTCGCTCTCCAATACCGCCGGGATGGGAAAGCAGAACTTATTCGCTGGAGCCATCTCTTGAAGTGATGCGCAAGGGGGAAATGGACAGCCCATGACTCGTTACCTTGCCTGTCAAGGTCTCTGTGGGTCTACGAATGCCATCCGAATCATTCCAAATGCTGCTAGGATACCAAGTAACGTGATATTACGACAAAATCACGACAGTTCTCGGTAACCCACTCCACTCCCCCAGGGGCATACAACCAATTGCTGCACTGCGTTTTATCCAGGACACAACGTTCCACATACGTATGCTCAGCAGGTCCCCTATCCATCGGCGAAAGACTCATGCTGGCGTACGCGATTATACGGTGAAAAACGTCTGTCTTCTCCTTGGAGCGTGCGATAATAATTTGCTCACATACACATAGTCTACCATTGAGAACAATGGATATCGACGTTATACCTTTGCAGAGTCTGAGTGATAAGCGCTAGCTCTTACACTTGCACCATTGTCCCTCACGTAAGCTTAATCCAACGGAAGCCATGCCCCGTAGACCGTATTGCACAAATTGATGCTGCAACACGACTAGGCTGGAAAGTATTGGCAGCCTTGCGATGTTCAATGTCAACGCGACGAGGTGAGCACTTTATCGTTTCACCAGTAAACTAGATATCGTCAGACCAATACCGCGGCGAATAGCTTTGTACCTTACCGAAAGCTGTATCAGCTGCTCGTGATGCTTTCGAGCGAAGCCATTAACGAAAACAGCCTCTCCTGTTGATGCATGTATTTCTATTTCCGCAATTTGTTCACCTCAATATGTACTTGTAGTTTCCAAGTGCGAATATGAATTGGCTTTACCACATCAAATTAGATATCTTCTTAACTATGAAAGGAGACCGCTAGGCAATTGCAAGCAAAGTTACCTTGCTTGCCAAGGTCTCTCCAGGTCTATTACCCGCGCTTCTTGATCGCAGACTCAACTTATACACCGGCTCAGTTGATATTTGACGAACGCGGTGAAGAGATTAGGGACCTCGTTGTGATATCCTTCCTTGTGCTGGAGAAAAGTCGAAGGACGAGAGAGCATTCTATTATGAATAGGGCGGATGTTCTGACCCAGCCAGCCTTTGGAGCATTATGACCGTCAATTCGCTTAGTCTGATCATGCATCATGCAATGCCAGTGACATATCAAGAGTACTGCAGTTTTTAACTTTCAAATGTCGAGTCTACATACATTGATTAGATATATGATACATGTACATGAAAAGCCCTCCGAAACTATTACACTAAACTAAACAATCATCACTGACCAACACTGGAACATAACACGCGCGGATTGAGGTTAACGGAACGCGCCCCACGATACCAGTGACTCAGTTGAAAGTTGGCACATCGAAAACATCCGGGCGATCTGACAGAGTCATAAGTATTGTACACAAAATAACCCATGAACCATACCTTGTCCATTGGCATAAATGTAATCCTTCTCCTTCTGCGCGAGGTGCTTGAAATAACTCTCGGTCTCATGTGCTGTTACAGCAACCTTAGGATTGGTGAGAGCACCTCCGCGGACAGCAGCTTGGGCAATGTGATAGCGAGATGTACGATTAGAAAGCATCATCTATGAAATATGTTCAGGACACCCTTCAATCAAAATCGAAACCAAACTCACATCAAATGGCGAAGTCGTCGTGCCCTCTTCATTGTATCCTTCGATTGTTACCCTGTCAAGTCTGGGTCGGCCAAACAACAATCCCTTCAACTCAATGGGGTATCCATGGTAGTTGAAGTGAATGGGTTTGTCCTCGGTGAACAAAGTATTAAAGGCGTTTTTAGACAATGCATGAGGGTGCAAGCCTGTGGCGGCCAGAATCATCAGATCAGTGACATTCACTACGCGTACGCGAAGATCAGGAGTATATTTGCGGAGAAGAGAGGCCGCTGCGATGACTTCAAAGGTAACTTCAACGCCGATACCGACGAGAACACTGCGGTGGAGAATAATATTGAGCAAAATGGAACGAGAAATAGCAAACTGACGTACACGTCAGGGTCGACGCCATCATCAACACTGGCGAACTTCCAGACCGAGGCGCCGGCGACACAATGCTATTGGATGAGTATTTAGACATTCATACTTGGCACTTGGTATGAGATGAACTTACTCGGTCGGCTTCTTCGGCTGAGAGCCAGACAGGCGTAGGCTGCTTGCTACCGACCATCAGGTTGACGTAGTTCTTGGCCCTAAGGCAGTGGGAGACCGTGGACAAGAAGCAATTGGCATCAGGGGGAAGATATACACGGGCGGAGATAGACTTGAGATTGAGTACGGCGCCGATGAACGACGGATTCTGATGTGAGAAACCATTGTGCTCCTGCCTCGTCCATGTCGACGTCTCGAGATAGTTGATAGATCCCACATCTTGCCTCCAAGATGTCTCAGCAGCCTAGGAACAATAGCTTGAGAAATACACAACCAGGTAATGGTGGATACGACGCACCATTTTCGCAAACTTGGCGTACTGCACCATCATTGTGTGCACGATACCCAAGAAGGCTTCATAACTGGGGAAGAGACCGGTTCGTCCGGTGAGCGTATATCCTTGGAGCATACCTTGGCAAGTGTGCTCGGACAGAATCTCGACGACTAAAGGGTTATGAGAAGACGTAATCTAATGCTGGCAACACTAACCTCGACCGCCGCTTGCTCTGGAAGCGATATCCCATTGGAAATTACGACCACTGTTCTCGAGAACAGCATCAAGTTTATTGGAAACAAGCTCATCTGGAGAGAAAATCCTGAACGTAGAAGGATTCCTAGGGGAGAGATGAGGGATCGGCATGTGGTGTTTTGAACCATCAACTTACTGATTGACAACCTCCTTCAAAAACCTTCCAATGGCCTTCATGCAACTTTCCTGCGATCCCTTCTCTACGGCCAGATCACTCCACTCAGGAAGATCGAGTGGTACATACGCCTTGTAACTCTCCTTCTTCTGGCCGAGCTTCTTCTCAGAGTCGTCAGGAATAATGCTGAGGATGTCATCTACAGGAGCACCCTCAGTAGTGAATAACTCCTCTGGCTTGTAGCTCTTCAACCATCTCTGTAACGCCGCAAGTTCTTCCGCAGAGGTCTTGGCATTCGGCAATGGAACCTGGTGAGAGTGGAAAGACCCCTCTATAAGTTCACCGTGAAACGATTTGGGTCCAGCTAGACCCTTGGGAGTGCGAAGGATTATGACAGGCCAGCGGGGCTTGACGATCGGGTTACCGGTCCGAGCAGCTGTTTGAATTGTCTTGATCTCGGCCAATGCCCATTCCATAGACGCAGCAAGATCGTTGTCAATGTTGTCAATATCGGAAACGATGCGCGCTTGATAACCATACCCGCTGTTCCAACAAGGTTAGGATCAACTGAAAAAAGACATGGAAAGGAGAACAGTACGTGAAAAGGGCGGTCATCTCCTTGTCATCCATCGTTCCATAGATGGTACGTTCCGAAATCTTGAAGCCATTAACGTGAATGATCGGGAGAACCGCACCAGACTCGGCAGGGTCGATGTACTTGAATCCGTGCCACGCTGTAGCAGTGGGGCCAGTCTCGGCTTCACCATCACCGACGACACAAGCTACGACTAGGTCCGGCTTATCCATGACTGCTCCAAAGGAAACGCTAAGCGCGTATCCCAACTCCCCGCCTTCATGGATAGCTCCCGGAGTTTCTGCATTAATGTGACTAGAAAGGCGCCAGTCAGGGCATGAATCAGAGGATGAAAGAAAACTGGAAGTCACCTCGGGAATCCGCCCGGAGCACTGAACTTTGAGATCAGCCCTCGAAGGCCTTTGTAATCTCGAGTATATTCTGGGAGAAAGACACTCATGGAGTCTTCGAGCCATAGACAAGACAGAATAGCGGGAGCGCCGTGTCCTAATACGCATCTCATGTGAGTAATAAAGTACAAAAAGAGGTAGAAGTATTTCTGACCAGGACCAACAACGTACAACGCCTCCAAGCCGGTCTTGCGGATGATTCTATTCAAATGGGCGTACACCATTACAAGACCAGGACACGTTCCCCAATGACCGAGAAGACGCGGTTTGATGTTCTCATATGTGAGAGCCTTCTCGCAGAGAACATTGTCCTTTAAGAAAATCATTGCTATGAATGGTGGTGATAAGTCATCGTTGCAACGCGTCGTGTTGGCTCACCTGCAGCAATATAGTCGGCTGCACGCCTGAACCTTTGAACAGCCTTCAGTTCATCAGCAGGCAGGTAGTTATGGGTGTTCAACTTGACGCTAAAGTCAAGGAACGCTTCAGGGAGCTGCGAAGGGTCTGGCAAAGGATTGGGTTGAAACAAGACTTGGCCAGGCATTGCAGGAGAAGAATAGGTAGATAGTAGAAAGAAAGGAGTTTGACAACCAAACGGGCCATTCCATGGTGAGGCTTTATATAACCAACGTTTAGCTGGAAAGGTGATATCATTGGAGGAACGAACCTTGTAGTGATTTGCCTAGGCCCTTCTATGGGACCCCTGACACCTTCACCTCGGGTCGACGTATCAGAAAATTCCTGCGTTTTGCAGTTTACTTTCTACAAGCAGAGTGAACTGTATTGCCGCTAGGGCTTATTGTTTTACGTCCCTAGTCAGCGGATCCAAGCTGTAAGCCTATTGATATCGGTCGGAATCGTCTTTTCAATGAATGTTATTGCACAGAACGGAAGGGTGTTCCTACTCCCTATCGCAGCCTATCGCAACCCCTCGCGGTTGATACTTTGCAATAGGCCCGACAAAAAAATGCACATGCAAATGCTTAACCAGAGCTAAATCGTGCATGATAGTACCTATTTGGGGCAAGAGCTTTGATATATTTAAGTATGAATTGAGACATACCAAGCTAGCGAGGTTCGGGAACTCGGGCTCGCGGAGTTGTTACTGACAGTTGAGGAATTGCTTGGTTTCTTGGTCTGGGCCAGGATACGAAGATCCGCCCTCAGCGTACGTGCCATATAGTACTTGTACCGCATACTTGGCCTGGATCCGCTTATTCTCCATCCAGCAGTGCTTTCAACACATCGAACGCTTGCGCCGGGTTTTCTATTTGGTCTCGCAAAGCCCAGATCAAACCCAGCAATTTACTTGTGACCACAAGACACCACTGGGCATTTAGGGTCAATTGGTTTCGTAGATCAAAAGAAACGTTGGTCCCCACATTCCCCAACAACTATGTCTGATATCACCCCTGCTTCGAGAACGGGCCTAATTCTCTCTGCTAATGCCGGTTCTTCTTCGCTCAAGATATCTCTCTATGAACTCGTAGGCGACAATTCAGAGTCGCCCAAGCTGTTGCTGACTTCGTCGATCTCCAATATCACTGCCCCACCAGTCAAGTTTTCGTTTGCACCGTCGGAAGTCTCATCGACGCCTCAGATCAAGAATGAGGAAGTTCCGGCCATCACAGAACATGCATCCGCCTTTGCCCATTTTCTCGACTCGCTCGAGTGCAAGGCGAATATCGACAAGAACAGGATTGTTCAAGTCTGCCATCGCGTTGTTCACGGCGGGGACTTTACTGATCCTGTCGTCATCAGTGACGAGACTTATCAACATATCGAAAAGCTATCAGATTTGGCACCTTTGTATGTAAATTCACGCAATACTTATCATTACTAGCTCAAGTTTTACATAGGCACAACGGAGCCGCTCTTGCTGTTATCAAGGCCTGTATCGCCGTCCTTCCCAACGCAAACTCGATCGCGTTCTTTGATACGGCATTTCATCGCTCAATCCCGCCGCATATCGCAGGCTATGCCATTGATCAGACAGTCGCGAAGAAACGAGGTCTAAAGAAATATGGATTTCACGGTCTCAGTTGTGCGGAGAGGTTTCCGTTCCCTCTTCCTTATCATCGCTCACACAGTCGTAGATGCGTTCATACTGCGCGCTGTTGCGCAATTTCTCAACAAGGCACGCACGTACCCCACTTTATGAAATTGCGAAGATCGGCTAAGCTAATTTTAATTAGCCGCCATCCGCGCTCAATTTGATTATACTCCATCTCGGCTCTGGCGCGTCTGTGTGTGCTGTGAAAGAGGGGTGTTCTTACGATACTTCAATGGGTTTGACACCACTCAACGGGCTTCCGGGGGCAACGCGTTCTGGCGCGATTGATCCCAGTCTCATCTTCCACTACACCAACAAAGCGGGAAGGATAAGTCACGATCCCAAAGTCGCTACGCAGCTCCACGTTACCCAGGTTCGTTTCCACCGCGATATTTAACATGTATATCCAATATCGCGTGAAATCCACAGGCCGAACATATCTTAAACTCCAAATCTGGATGGAAATCTCTGACGGGAACGACTGACTTTGGACTCATAACTAGACGCGCGAAGGAAGGTTCTGCTGTCGATCAACTGGCTTTTAATCTCTTCAAAGATCGTGTTTTGAACTATATCGGCTCTTACCACTTGAAGCTTGAGGGTCAGGTTGATGCGCTCGTTTTTTCAGGGGGGATCGGGGAGAGGAGCGTTGAGCTCAGAAGTGCCATAGGAGCCAAGTTAGAATGCCTTGGTTACTCTGGAGTGGGAGACGCCAATGAAGACGCCGATCATAAGGAAGGCGTGGTCATTGATGTGAGTAGAGGTAACCCGGAGACCAAGAAGATTTTGATATGCCGCACAGACGAGCAGGTAAGTGCCTCCCCCGTAACGTGTACTTTACACAGCTCAAGCGTTTATACAGTTCGAAATGGCAAGACAATGCGCGCAAAGCGACAAGTTCTGGGAGCGTGTATAATATCACCTGTCGATCTGCTGTAATACTCCTTGTTTCACAATATACTGTATTGAGCGCTAATCGTTTTTCACTCGTACTGTGTTGAAGTCCTTCCTAATAAGCTCAACGCCATGCCGTCGCCATTGTCCTGAGGGTGAACGTTGTGATATAACTCTCCTTCCTCTTTCCCTCTGCGTTTTTTCTCAAGGTACAGGAAGGAGGCCACGAGATGATCGAGCCTTGTTGAACTTGCGATGTCACGATCGTATATCACTAAAGACGCCGGTGAACCTCGTGGCAGAGAGCTGCTAGGGGGGTGTTGTTTGTGAAATTTGGCGACAGGTGATGCGATGTTGCCGGAGTATAACTGTATAGTACGCGTGAGCTGTTGCGACTCATTCACTTGGCGTATTCATACTAACTGTCAAGGATAGACCAGCTGAGTTCCCCTTCCATTGATATGCTTTCCAGGTTTGGTCCTTGAAGGACACAGTCCTAAAAGCACCGTGGCCAATACATTAGCCTCTCCCTCCGGAAACTGCGTGCAAAACACGTACGTGTTGAAGGGATTCAGACTTCTCTTCAGCCAGCTCGTGACGGGAATTGGGATATTGTCTACGAACGATACCATATCCGGCCTGTACCTATGCCATTCGAATGAGGCAACAGTGGTCTCCTCTCCAACAGTCGATGGACTATCTATCGGACTAGCTGCCCTTCGTACCAGGGTTAACTGATGTTTTCGTTGTTCGATGGTGTCAACGCTGTAGTACAGTTGACCGGTGTTTCCGTCGATGATATCTGTACGTGTTGGATCATCTGGTTGGAAAATGAGCGAGAGCGCTGGACGAGAAGTTTCGAAGGAATTGTCGATTGATTGTGACCGTACGGACATGAGGGCAGCTGCTTTACTTGACGCATGAAGGGAAGCTTTATGATAATCCTCATGTTCAAACCGAGACGAGTCATATGAAGTGATGTCCGTGCAACTATGTGGTTGATTGATCATGAGAATGAGGCGCTGTCGTGAGGCCTTCATGCGGTATCGTTGGGTTCCGAAATGAGGGAAAGGCGCCGACTGATTTAGGTTGGGCCGAGTAAAACAGAAGTGAATCAGACGGTGATGCCTAGTACTGCAATAGCATTGAGAGCTTCATCTACCAAGCCAGGTACATACATAACAATAATCGTCAACGATGCGATCAAAACAAAGACGTCCTTACTATCATATATGGGCCTCCTCTAGATCCTGCTCCGCCAGCTCTCGTATCCGGTAATATACATCATTCAACTCTAGATCACCCAACGTATCGCACTCGAATATATAGTCTTGCACGATGCTCTCAACCTCGTCAGCCGGCATACCCGGCCATCTTGATGAGACTTCGTCTGCTGTCGGTATTATGAGGGATACATCCGGGATGGTCTCGTAGCCATCAGGTTGATCGGTTTGCGTAAGGATGTGACAAAACGTGGCATACAGAGCCGTGCTACGGAAGCGTTCACTGAGCTCGCTATCAGAAACATTAGCTGTTTGCCGAATGGTGTTCCAGCTAAGGAATAAGAATATAAGCATTGAGAAATTTGGCGCTGGTTAAACACACTCGTCATGGATATATATCCGTCTCCACACAGTTCTGAAGGCAGATGTTTTTCGAGCACGAGGAATGTTCTACCGTCACGATTATGAGTCTCGCATGAGCGGTGAAAAATCTTCACAAACCTGAACTCCTGCGAGTAAGTGAAGTGCCATGGCAAAGTCACCAAGCGTCTCATTGTTATCTTTGAGAGACAATACGTCTACCGCATCCTCAACTGACAGGACCTTTCCTTGCAGCACATTCCGGACAAGGTCTTTAAATATCTACGGCGCCGTCAAAACACTTTTCAAGAAAAAAACTTGAAACACACCCGCGTCAATGCCGGCCGATCAGATAGACGAGAAGCCTTTTGCTTAATGATTGCGTTTGTCTGGCTGTCAAGAGATTGTCGACCCTTCAATGTCTCAAGCACAGCGTTAAACTCTTCAAGCAGGCTCTCATGAACGCTGACGAAATCAAGTCCATCATGGAAGGCTGCAAAAATCTGTCAAAACTGTGGTCTTGACACATGACGTCAATGACAAACCATCCGAAATGTCCTCATCGGAGGGCGCTAAAGTTTCTTGTTCATGTGCAAGATGCGACAACTTGCCGATACTAAGCATGAGCTAAAGGTAAAGAATGAGTATATGTTTCACAAAGAAACGACTCCGTCCTACCTGTTTTGAGGCTAAATTGGTCGCTTCGCCCGACTCAACCAGTAGTGCCCGGGCTGCGGCCGCGTACCGTCCGTGGCCCAAATCATGAATCCATGATATTAGCGGATTGGCATTATCAGCGAAAAACTTGTCCATATATCCTGTGTGGGAGTCACTGAGAGAGAATAACACTCGCAATTCGCCTTATGTCATGTCGTCAGCGCCAGACTGGTTCGGCAAGGATGTCCTTACCATGCTGGATATACCACCGATAAAGCTCAGTCGCAAACTCATCTTTGTATAGTTCGATATAATTCTGGATTCGGGGCGCATTCGGATTTTGCTCGGGGGGATAAACGACCTCCCTGTGGCATAATGCCGCCAAACTGGCGAAATCACGATATTTCTCGGCAAGAGAAAATGCGGCTGTTGCGTGTCCGTTCTTTCCTGTTTTAAGACAAAAATTAGAAGGGACATGAATTCGTTTCAAAAGACACTTACTCAAGGTCTCTAGCACCTCTGGCCGCAAATGGGTGAAAGTGTTAAGAAGGATGCTTCGCTCCTGCTCCACCCCTGTCTCTTCGGACCTGTATCAAGGTCAGTATGAGGCTATTGTGATTTCAATAGGGCAGACCTCGACAAATAGTCTAGCCGTTCTTGCATACATGCAAAGAGTATGGCAGCAAGTTCAGGCAGTTGTTCTGTTGTTTCGTCTTCCGTTATAGCACGCCCTGCACCCGCTATCACCGATTCAACTAGCCGTGTTGTCGCATCAAACAGTCCCTGGACGACATTAATGACATTTACGTCGCTTGTCCATGGGTTTATCATAGGGGGGTCAATGCCATAGACTCCCTTATTATATTCCCGGTAGTCGAATGCCGACCTCAGCACCGTCTGCCCGCAGTCATTTGCTGAAGGTATCCGAAATGAGAAGCAACTCACCAGTACGATACGATTGGCCTCAGCTATGAACCCTCCTGTATTCCCACCTGTGGCTTGTGCGAGCTTCAGTGTTATGTCAGGTATCCGTTGAATCAGTACTCCGATGTCAGCTATGCGAATGCGGAAAAACGTCCGTATCACATCTTCGTGGTGACCTTCTTGGATATCATTCATGTAGGACAGGACAGTATCGTGGAGCACACTATGACTTGGGTGACTCGTGCTACTCAACGTTATTTTTACTGGTGTGAGAAGGGCAGTCAATTTTAGAAATCATAATTGACAAACCTAAGAAAATCGTTGTGTTGCACCCACAACTGATGGGAAGCGTACAGTTTTTCTGCATCTGTCGCTAGGTTTTGCCGACTTCTTTGAGATATCTGTACTCAAACAAGCATGTAAATGGAATGTTTCCAATAAACCATCCCCACACAGACCTTTCCGAGTACGGCATTGTCATTGATGAAATGTATCAAAAAGCTGAGACGTTCCTTGCGACTTGTCAGGTGGGCGCTTAAATCGTGATTTCTTTGTACCAGGATGGGATCTATGAATGCATTGACGAGTATTCTAAAGCCTGACAGTGAAGTATTTACCTGACTGCAATATGGCTTGGCTTAATTGTTCGGCACCTCGCATCAAGCTTTCTTCATCAACATCAGGAGGGAAGGTAAATGTCAATGGGTTCTACAGGAAGTTGAAGAGAGTAAAAATCTGATGAAATTGTCGCTACTCACGTTCGTGAGGGAGCCATATAATACTGCCTGCGTCATGACAGACTTGATCGAATTAACCGGCCCGGTCCTAGGGTGAATGAGCATCCATTGAAGGGGAAACATTAACCAACGTACTGTGCGTTTACAGTCTTGACTCTGTCCATGTCAATGTGAACTTTCATCATGGTTGCCGCCGTCAGTATGAGGACAGCGCTGTCTGAATGTGTGATGCCAACACCCAGTGTCCGGTCCGCCTTAGATTTGAGCTCCAGCCGATCTTTGTATTCAGACTCTGATAGAACAATTAGTCACGATAGATGAAAAGACGAGCGGACTACGCTACCTGTGGCGCAAAGAGCAATCGCATCTCCAAACTGGATGACTACGAGTTTTCCGTCCTGGATTAGCTGCAATCTAGGATGCATAGGAGCTCCGGAAGACGAAGTCTGTCGACGTTGCCACAATCAATCACACCGGGTCTGTAGAGATATAAGAAAGAACTCACGCTTTGGTACGGAACACTTCTTACACTGTCCACAGTGAATGCATCGTTGGACAGTGTAAGGTGAATCAATGAATAAATTCGCCTGATTCCACTTGTATCCATGTTCATATATATGTGTTCTTCTTCGCCACCGGCATACGACAGCAAAACGACAAGCCTCCCCTGCCTAAGATGATACGATGAATTCAATCCCTCTCATATGCAAGCAGATCAAATGTCTTACCTATCAACTGCGATGTCCAGCAACTCCAGATCCACGTTTGCATCGTCTTGTTCCACGCTATTTCCAAAAGCGTCCCTCAGGGCAGCCCTAATAATTTCTGAAACTTCGTCATCACGAATAATGTCCTCCCAGCCCTCCGCCTTGAGCTCCCATAATTGTATTCTGGTGTCGATCAAAGCCCATATTTCTCCTCCGTCAACGGTTGCGCGACCAAGGGCAAGGGCGCTGATATTCCCAGGTTCAGAGATCAGAGGCGTCTTAGATCCAGAAGACACGAAAAAAGAAGAATAAAGACGACTGAGCGACAGAGAAGATGCCGGACGCGCGAATGTGTGAGACGCCAAACGCAGATTCCCCCCAGAGTATGTCAACGTAAGTCGAAAAAGAACACCAGAGGTGGTCGAGGCAATATAGGTCTGGGGCTAATGATAACTCTATTGAGTGAACTGTTGCTGTAGTCAATAATGATGTGTCTTACATCAACGCGAACTAAATTTGTGACGAGCTCGTCCGGGGAGAGGCTGAGCGTAACAGATGAAAAGTGGTCTCCACCTGCAAGGCCAATGCCGATACTGTCCCACATTCGTATTTCCCCGGCAGGCGACATGAGGATAAGGCCAGGCTCGCGCGCGGTACTGTAGCTGCTGTAAGGGATGAGGCCATAGAAAGGTGGTGATGTCTGGTTGGAATCTTCAGGACAACGAAAGATGTAGCATGTTGGCGTTCCCCTAATGGCCTACAAAGAGAGATTACAAGGAGAATCAGTTAAAGACGTTGGCAGACGCACCTGTGAATGCTGCCACACATAGCATGTCTGCTTCGAAGCCACCAGAGCAAACCCGGTCAAGGTATCAATTCCACCAGTATATGTACCACCGTAAAAATCTGCTGCAAAGTTAGGGGTGATTCCAAATAAACGGTCGAAAGAACGCACCCGCGTGCTTTAATACCAGCAAGACTTCGGTTGGCAAATTAGCATAGAACGACACGGCCAGTTGCTCCGACTTGGCCAAGTAAGAGACTCCGGTGGACCTCACTGTAGTCTTGTCTGAAGACAGGGAATTCCTGTCGTCGATATCCATGGCAGAATCAACGGAGGCGCGCGATTCGTTGATAAAAGAACCGTTGTCCGACGCATTGATCGGTGTACCTAGTCGACTGTTATTCACGGGAATTTTTGCGTTCCCCGGGGACACGGGCACATGACGTAGACGTGCTGAGCGACGAGGGGCTGGCGAAGGTGAGAATGTCGCCATTTTGGAACGGAGGTTGACCGAACAAAGTTTTTGTTGGGACAAGACAAGGCGACGGTGTTTGCCGATGATTGCCACTTTCATCAATTCAAATTGTTCTGTAGCTAGTTCAAATTTACAGTATTCAGGCTGTACTTACTATCTCCTTCGCTTCGAATACAGACAAGATATACTTAGATAAACTTTCTGAAGGTTCGAGGGTTGTTGGGCTTCTTCGACGTAGATATCTCTCACCGAAGAGATCTTTTATTGGTTGTGTTGGCATTGCAAGTCAAATTTCTCCTTACAGTTGCACCTTCATAACTTTAAACAAACGGTAACATCCTTCTTCTCATCTCGAATAGGCCTCCTTGAGTAATCCCAAGGCCTTCTGCAAGTTACGGCATTAGCTTTGTACAACTTCTGTCAGAAAGACATACCTCATAATGCGGTAACAACGGCGAAAGGTTTTTGTCCGAAACGCGAAGTCTTTTGACTTTGTCTAGATGGTCTGCATCTTTTAGCATAGTCTTGAAATACCGTGCCTGGAAAGGGGAGGAAAGCAAACAAGCTCAATGGTAATAAAAAGGACTCGCGAACCTCTTGCTCTTCGACCAGTGTCCATGCGTCACCGTGACGTCCAGCTCGCGCGGTACGGCCCACACGATGCACATACTTACGAATATCAACAGGGGCATCATAACTAACAACATGAGAGACATGCTGGATATCAATTCCCCTAGATATTAAATCCGAGCATACGAGTCTGTTGACAATGAATCAGTATGAGATAAAGTAGTCAAATGGAAAAATGTCCAACATCTGGATTTCCTGGGCCTTGAATTTCTCAAGGACCGACCTTCGGTCTGCTGCCCCAAGATCGCTCGAGTAAGGATGAATGACGATAGGCTTGTAACTACTGTCATGATCGTTTGCGCGAGACTGTTCGAAGTATTCGAACAAGCGGACCAGCCGTGTAGTAGACTCGGCAGATTTAGTGAACACGAGACAGTTAAGTACACTGTGGGCATGAACGAGATAGAAAAAGTGCAGAGGCTTCTGGGACGACTCGCACACGATCATGTGCTCCTGATGAAACGAAAGATATAAAATGTACAACAACACTTGACAAGATAAACTTACAGTGAGGGATTCTGGCATTGTAAATTGTTCCATGACCATGTCCAAGAGACCCGAGCTTGCGTCTTTCCCAGATCGGCTGCTGTGGACGATAAAATACTTAGGATCTCGAAGCTCCAAGACCGCAATCTTTGAAGGGTCGCGCGTTAAGGTAGCAGAGAATAGGAGCTTTTGGCAAGAAGTTTCTTTTGGTTCATAAACATAGTTCGGTCCATCGAGAATAGAGCTGTGAAACGGGTGGAAAGCGGGAGCGATTGCATTGTGACATGGAACCGGGACTGGTGTATCAAAATCTGGCGTGTCAGGCAAGTATCCTCGGACAGATTTTGATGGTCGTGTTGCCAGCAATACCTGAGCAAGCCAGTCTTGAAATGATTGCGCCAGAAGACGATCCGCTTCGTCGATGACCTATAAAGCGGATATTGATGAGAACATTCACCACTGGAAAGCTTCAGACGAACTAGATATCGTAGGTGCTGGAGAGTGAAATTAGGTGTGTCATTCATATGGTCAATCAATCGACCGGGTGTACAGATAAGCACGTCAACTTTGCTGGATCCGCCTTGTAGACTGATAAAGGGATCGTATCATTGACTTCCCTGGAATGTGTTGGACACTCACTTGCTTGTCCTATCGGCGATCAACTGAGATTGTTCGTGCGAAAACGAATGCTGCCCAGTCGCTGTACCAATCTGCATTGTCGTTCGAAGAAAGCTATAACGGGTAGGACGATGAACACTGACCCTCAGTCCACATCCTTTAGCTACGGCTTCGAACGTCTCTTTGACCTGGTTGACCAGATCGCGGGTAGGGAGAACGACGAGAGCTCGTAGACGAATGACTATTCGACTTGAAAGCGTCTAAGGGCTTGATTAGTCACGCAACATACACCGTATACCATTGACGACCTACTTCCACAATAGGTAGAACGTATGCGAGCGTCTTCCCACTCCCCGTCGGCGCTGAAACACATACATCTCTAGGAGGACTGTGCGGACAATATAACGCCCGTTTTCTTGCTTCCTTGGGTAATAAAAATGGCAGTAATGATGTTTGTACTAGTGCAAAGATTTGGAACGCGTTCAAGAGTAAAGAAACAATGAATCAGCACACCTGCAAATAGATGAGCTACACCAAGCTCATGCAGCCGCTTCCGAGAACGTTCACTCAGACTAGTTCCGCCATCATTTTCGCCGCCGAGTGGAATAGGCAGACTTGTTGATGGATCTATAAATTCCGCGTCAACCAGAGCTTGGTCCAATCCTTGAAGCGCAAGATCTTGGCGTGAAGGAAGATTTGGCAAGGCAGGCAAAGGGAACAACGGGAGCGTTCCAGGTGTAGGAACGGAAACAGGGTCGGGGGCACTCGATGTGATAGGTACTTGTTCTTCATCAACATCCATGGTACTTTCTTCAGGCGCTTCCACTTTCCGGCGTTTCTTAGGCGGTTTCAAGGATTTTGGGGTCTCCTCACGCGGTGCATCCATTTGAATGTCTTCATCGTCGTCTTCCACTTCTTCGTTGTCCTCCCCTTCATCCTGCGAGGTCTGGTCTCGATCATTGGCTTTGGTCGGCTTCCTTGTTTTTCTCCGTTCCCTCTTCTTTTTCAGATATCTTTTTTTGGCCTTGGTTTTTTCCTAGGAATACTAGATGATGTCAACAATTCTTATTCCGGGAAGGGAAGGACACTAACTTTGGGTTTCAGAGCGCCTGCCTTCGCGACTTCAGTCATTGATGACGACTGGATAAAAAAATCAAACACAACTTGAGAGGAAACAAGTGCTTTATAGAACGTACCTATACGTCTACTTCACAAAGTAACGAAAGGTCAATTGAAAGAAAGTCCAAAGAGAGCAAAGCAAGAGTGTCACGGAGCCACAGTCACGCGTGACTTTCACGACCTAATCGCTTGAATCACAACCTCATTTCCTCAATTTCCTTCTATTTCTTCGGATACAGGCAGTCTACTTCGCCATGTCCTCCTTCTTTGGAGCGTCGACGTCCACAACTGCGGCAAACAGCAGTAGTACCGACAAAGATCTTGAAGTTGCTGACCCCCCGCCAGACTCGATTTCATCGTTGTCCTTCTCTTCACAAGCGGACTATCTTGCAGTTGGCAGTTGGGATAATAGTGTACGTGGTGATTTAGCTAAGAAGTCGCGTATTTAACTCTCTTTTATCAGGTAAGAGTCTATGAGGTCGGAACCAATGGCCAAACGCAAGGGAAGGCGATGTACCAACATAACGGCCCAGTTCTAAGCGTCTGCTGGAACAAGGTATGTCCAGTATATCTTTCTTTTCAATCTCCTTGTTGACACGATGGGTGGAACAGGAGGGGAACAAAATATTCTCGGGTGGCGCTGATAATCAAGCTAAAATGTTCGATGTAACGACTGGTACAGCCATGCAAGTGGCTCAGCATGATGCTCCTGTCAAAGTTGTCCGGTGGGTTGAATCACCGAATATGGGAGTATTGGCCACTGGGAGCTGGGATAAAACGATCAAAGTATGTCCTTGGACGCGTGTTCTGGCTGTTGTGATGTCTGACTCGGTACAGTATTGGGACCTCCGCGCTCAACAACCCGTGGCCTCAGTCCAGCTCCCAGAACGATGCTATAGTTTCGATGTACAATATCCTCTTTTGGTCGTTGGAACAGCTGAGCGTCATATCCAAGTCTTTAGCCTCAACAATCCTACCACGCCATACAAGGTATCGTGTCTTTTATAGGATCTTGACATTGCAATTGACATGGGATAGACCATGGTGTCGCCTTTGAAATGGCAAACACGCGTTGTGTCCTGTTTTACAGCGTCCCAAAACTCAGGATTTGCCGTTGGTAGTATTGAAGGACGAGTGGCTATCCAGTAAGTTTTGTTCCGCGTCATATACCTTCAAACGCTGACTTGGGCTTAAAGATATGTGGAAGACAAGGATAACGGGTAAGGTCTTCGCTTTTTCCGAAAGAAGCTTGCTGACGATCCATATGTAGAAGCAATTTCTCCTTCAAATGTCACCGTAAGGACACAGTGCCCAATTCAAAAGACCAGGGAATGGTTTATGCCGTCAATGATATATCATTCCATCCGGTGCATGGAACTTTTTCGACATGCGGTAAGTTTTTCGGCTGCTATGCATAAATACATGAGCTTGTTTCTCATGCTGTTATCAAGGCTCCGATGGCTCCATCCACTTTTGGGACAAAGACGCTCGCACTCGTCTCAAATGTAATTCTAGTCGCTCTCCATTACGACATCTCTTGCTAATGTCTGTTGTAGCATTTGAGATCAGCAAGGACTTCCCCGGACCGATCGCTTGCACAGGATTCAATCGTAACGGTAACATCTTTGCCTATGCCATTTCTTATGACTGGTCCAAGGGGCATTCGGGTATGACACCTGGGCATCCCAATAAGCTGATGCTGCACGCTTGTAAGGACGAAGAGGTCAAGAAACGTCCCAGAAAGTAGCGCTTGTACGATATATGTTTCCATACAGTAATAGCAATCTAGCTCTGTCCTTTGTTTGGCAATGAATGATTATTTCCGTCCCCATGATATTTGTATGGAGGTTTAACGCAAAGAGATATACATTGGAGGTTAACGAGCGAAGTGCAGTATATAGGTAACATATGCGATATAAAATAAACTCATGAGTACGTTACCAGACGCCTTTATTGAAATCAGTTCTGCCGAAGTACTCCTACAATACTACAACACTAAGGATAACTTTGGGAGCAGCCAGCCATCATCAGCTGGCATCCTTGGCCGTGATTCGAACTATGAAGACAATTGTCCCAATTAGACTGAACAGGCTGATAAGGATCAAGCAAGTGCTCGCCCATTTCATCTCTGTTTTGCGCCTTAGTAAGCCCTCGTTGGGGATTAGTGCCTCAGGTTTTGATGAGAACATCCATGGAAGAATTTGATGCAGAGGTGAAAGGAGTGCGAGGGCTCTAATTATCCATGAGGGGGGAAATACTAGAAAGAAATCAGGTTATTGAGGCGTGTCGATGATCGGGAGTGCTGAACGTACAAAATCCGAAAAGACAAAGATACTGGACCGATGAGTAGGACATGCAAGCAGGGGCTGTAATAGAACTATAGGGTGGGGGCTCCTGATATTCGTATGGAGGAGGGGATACGCTGGCGTCTCCTTGTTTTTCGGCGAAGCACTGAAGGTAATTCAGAAAATAACGCGACGGTAATGATACTGTGAAGTGACACACCTGTTGAGCACCAGTCTCTACATCGATATCAACTTTCGAAGAACTTAGGCATCGGTCCATTATCGATGTCTATGGACGGATAATGTAGAAGAGAAACAAACGCTGGCGATTCATTCGGAGACAGAAGACAGGCTGTTATCACCATGCCCTGAAGGGTCCCGAGCGCCCTAATATAATTGAATGAATCTGATATGTGACATTACTTACTGAGGGCGCTGAGATGGCAGCGCGCAAAATAGCGGACAACTAGGAAATTTCAAATAAGCTTGTCTGGTTTTGCATATTGAAACACGGTTGTTGCGAGGGGTACATACGAAAACAGCTGAAAACAGACGCTGAGTTAAATTAAAATGAACATTCGACTTGCAACTAACCTGCAGACATCAAATTTAGGAGACTAAGCTTAAGTCATGAAGAAGATTTTACCGTCAACGATGTGGTGTCCAACGGTGCCCTACCAAGGTATCCTCGCATTGTCAACAGTTAAGCGTGTGAAAGAGGCGCCCAACGAGACACGGATCACGGAAGAATCGGCGCAACCTGAAACCCATCCTACAGTGGAGTTGCAAAGTATACGTATATCAAGATCAGTCTTCAAGGTCGCAGACATAATTTCTTGCGCCTTCGAGTATAACAGAGCCAAGTCCGTGAACAATAAGGACGTCAGTCATGAAGGTAAGAAACTGCGATAAAATTGGGGGATATTGTTAGCGTCGACGCGGACCAGATCTACTGCGCAACGCTGAGTTTGAGGGTACGTTTGAGCCCCCAAAGAAGCTCCAGTTCATAAGCTCGGTAATGTTTGTATCTTTCATGGAAAATCGAAAGTGCTGGAGCATCGAAGATCTGATAGTCAAATCAGTAAGACAATACACTTCCTTCGAAATCATGCAACCTTCAATTTTGTCGTCATGATACTTAGCAGTTATAGTATATGCAGGGGAGGGCCAAGAATGGCGTACTTGGTCTGTAATTCGTAAGACATTTCAAGAATATTGCGGACAGACTCGAAGACGGTTCTCTGGTTTTCTCCGCTGAACCTGTCACGGAGGACCGAGTGGGCCAGGCAGTTTATCCGCGTTTCAAGGTATTATAATAAATTTACTAGTGCACCCGTGCTCAGCCCTACTCGGAGGGAGTACGGGAGAGTACAAGACCTGTTTGGCGCCTAGATGGTCTTCGACTTCTGCCGCAACGCATCTCACAGGAGAGAACTGCGGGGAACTCGTGAACTACCTTTGGGGTATTAATGTTGAATTTTCGCTACTGGTATAGTATTCATAGGTTGCACTGAACTTGGCTTGGTGCTTCAAGCTTCAATGTTAACTTCGAACTAGGGTCTATACTTTAGCACAAATGAGCATCAGATTCAATAAATAAATCTTTCCAGTATTGCGTGTCACTTACACGGTCAAAGGACCCATATATACAACTGGGTCCACTCGCTGTCTGTTTAGCCTGCCGACGGGAAATCAGAGAATCGTTGGCCCCTAATGGTGGAGACGCGGTACATTCTTAATCTCACCAAATTCGTGGACGAGAGGAAAGGGAAGTCAAGGCTCAAAATTGTCAGCTTGTGTTCGGAGGGTAAGAAGCCGGGTACTATGCTAGATCGGAGAGATCCGGTCCATGAGCTGGAGTGGCTGTGTCCACTGTCCTCTTTCAGCGTCTTCGGCCCTAGGTCACTAGTTTCTTCCGAGGTCCGGTCAATCCTTTTGACTGACATTTAGCGCTTCACATTCACCGTCACTACCGCCCACCATTCATATGCGATGTCTCGGAGCTCAGAAGTGGCTCGAACTCACCACCGAGAACTGCTTCCGGCGATGCTATCGTACCAGAGGCTGGACGACTGTCCTTGTTGTGCAGTGGACTCACTGCCGTTGTCATCAATGAATTTGAGCGCAATGCGAAGGCATCGTTTAAAGGGACTGTTGGTTACATGACGCACTTTCTGCTGCTGCTCTCGTGAACCTATCCTGGGACTCAACGTCCCCGTGATATGGGCTTCCATAAAAGAATCTAAGTCACCTGCGTCTCTCGCCGGCACTAGTCCAGAGGCCATCAAGGCCGTATTGAGGAAAGATGCTGGAATCTCGCCGTATGGTCTGTGGGCCCCTCTCTTCGCCTCGGGTTCAGCATAATGTCCACCAACAAGTCAAGCATCGAACTGATCTCCACTCTTCTCTTGCTCTTCTCAGCTGTTCGCTCAGCTCGCCGTGTTTGTTTGATGGCCCAACTCCGCAGAATTTAGCGATGGCGCATATTCACATTCTCAAGAAGACAAAATGTCTACCCATAGTTGTCGTAATTCTATTGTACCTTTACTTTGCACTGGGACTCTTCGAGAGTGCGGGGGAGGGGCAACCCAGAATCCGCAAACATGTTAACCATCCAAAACAGCAGTACCGACCATGAAACAGACACTATTCTGCAGTTGTGCTGAAGGAGTCTACTAACCTCTGCTTGCGAGTGGCTGGGAGAAGAGTATTCACTAAATGGTAAACCTGTCTTTATTCGTCGGTTGAACTCATACGTCATAAGCTACTCATGGGGGGCTAGTCGGGCGTCAAGAATACCATCGCGCTGAATCATTCTTCTAACGCGACCGATCGAATTGATGGTGAGGGATTATCATCACCCTTCAAGAATATTCTTCATGATTTGTGTATTGCCGAGTTAACATTCTTGTGATACATATGGCAGATTTTGTCTGCTTGTAGGTCTCAATGCAAGGGCATGTAGAGAGAAGAATCAAAACCGTCAACCAGTGCCTAAGATAGATGCTCTGGGCGGTACTACGGTATGTGATTGAGCTCTCGATGTCTACGCTGGTGTCTTCTCACGAAATACCGGTCACCGGGTCAAGAGCAAAGGCTTCGAACGTGCTGGCAACCGCACAGAATGTCGCGGCGTTCTCCAATTGACCTCTTGTTCCCACATTTTTATAGAAACCTACCTCTTTAACAGCATGGTCGATACCGACGCGTCGGACCTGGTAGTGAGGACAGCTTTATTTGTTCGAATGTTGGATATCCGTTAAACTTGTGATAAGCCCTCCTCTGTACTGTTGAGTTATGGTGCCTAACTCCTGCGCCGGCGATTCTCGTTTCCGTGTGGAAAAAGAGCGCAGTAGAGAATATTTTACCTTCAGGATCTCCGTTCTTACGACCAACTTACGACAGTCCTGGTTCAGCGCACAGCCCCAATCCGTTCTGACCGGATGCCGATACCAAGTCCGCTAGACCACTACCAAACCGCCGCATTCAATACTTTAGCCTTCCGTAAACGTAAAATCGGTTGTGTGGATTTTTTCAATGCTTAGTGGTTCCAGGTGCCACTGAGTTGCTGGTCAATAATATCAGCCTTCGTCGGTCGACTCGACTAGTCGACCGTGTGCGGAAGATCAGTGCCAAATATAGTTCGTCAGATTTCAACTTTCAATACTGTGGCACCGAACTATACATGTACTGAATTATATTTATCTTAGGACTCAATGTCCATTATGTGTCCGCATCAAGAACCATCTGATTTCGATGACTGTCATCAACACGACGGATAGAGAGTGGCACGCCGCAACTTCCTGTAACCTTCTTCCAAGGTTTATGGCCGCATGCGTGTTCGCTGGATCGCTGGGTGTCTTGTGAATTGGAATAGGTTTAATGAACAAAGCGCAGAATCAATTGACTATCACATAAATATTCGTGGACGGCGTTTTACTAGATCCTTCTATCATACAACCAACAGTATATGCATCGTGGTAAGTCTGCTTTATTCACTGAGACCATACGGTTGCTCTGTGATATCTTAGACGTAGGCCCCGAACTTCTCAGTGTTGTCACAACTGGCGTATCCAAGTCGAGTTTCGAAGTTTACAACGAAGTAAGTGGTTTGAAGCACCCTTGTAACACTTCATCTGACAGAAGAAGTAATCATAAAGCAATCCAGATCAGTCCCATGTATACACGAGCTATGAATACATCGGACAATCAGACATTTCCGTTAGACGACGCCTTCCGAGCTACTTCTTTCTGCAAACGCGCTGTCCACACGTTCCCCGCAGCTATCTCTTGAGGTATTATGCGGGGAAAGAAGCGCTAGTTCGAGGAGTGCGGAAAGACGTGAATATGTTGCCCGCTTCGGACTTTGCTTGACTGCATAAAAGCGCGTATCAACACCGAATCATTCAGTATATTCATTTGGCTCCTCCATCATGTCTTTCTCCTCTAAAGAAAAGGAAATTGGCACAATCGAGGTTTACGAGCATGCACCTAGTCAGACTAGCCTCCAGTCAGCCATCGACGCCGTGTCCGCCATCGATTCCCAAGGGCGGGAGCTTGCGGAGCGGAGGCTTGTTCGTAAACTTGATATGAGATTTCTGCCTATGGTCACTCTAATCTACCTCATGAATCACATTGATGTGCGTTGGACATTCTCTCATATCGATTCGTAGTTGAATACTTGTTTCCAGCGGAGCGCCATCACGACAGCGAGATTGAAGGGGCTTGAAGATGACTTGGGCCTCACGGGTATTGTGCACTTTTGGACGTTCGACGCGAGGATTTTGCTAACGCATGCATCCAGACCTTCAATATAATATCATCCTTTCCGTTCTCTATGTCACCTACAGCCCATCTCAAATTCCATCCAATATGGTAATCTCTTTTCGTGACCAAGTGAAGATTGTTTAGCGACTTACTATGCACACAAGATCTTGAACTACATTCAGAGGTGACGTGTCTTCCGTTCAGAAGGTGCATTCTGCGCTCATACGATTTAGGCCTTCACTATACATCGGAGGATGTGTCATCGCTTGGGGTGTTGTTAGCGCGCTCACGGGAGTAAGGATTTTAACATAATTTAACCTCAGTACCTCTCATCAGGTTTCATCAGGTCACTCACTCCTTCAAGGGAATAGCGATTTGTAGACTTTTCTTGGGCATTCCAGAGGTAAAAGGCACTTGCGTTCTCTCTCCTTGTCGATTTTAACCGTGTCCAGGCTGCGTTCTATCCAGGCAGTAAGCTATCCTTTAACCGCTCTTCCATTTTCTGAAGACCTTGAATCGACAGCCATATACTTGCTTTCAAGCTGGTACACGAAGAAGGTGTGTACTAGAAAACGACCCATCCTTTTTCAAACTCACCGTATGATAGGAATTAGCCTTTAGATCTGCCATTCTGTTTTTTGGCCTTTTGGTATCAAACGCATTCGGCTCTGTGCGTTTCATCCCATCGTGGAGTTCCTTGAATGCTGACCGTTCTATTAGTTGATGGCAGCTGGTATCCTTGGAGAAATGGAAGGAGTGCGAGGCATCAGAGCCTGGAGATGGTAGATATATATGTCACTATATGGCAACTGTTTCTGATCAGACCGTTTCATGCAGGCTTTTCTATATCGAAGTGAGGTCTTTCCTGAATTTCTTAAGCCATACTCATTATGCATATGTAGGGGGCTGTCACTATCTCTGTGGGCTTCATGAGCATGTACATTGCCTTCTGCGACATTTGTAAGGCATGACTGATGATTCCCTCTATAGGTGGTTGCTACCCGATTATGTCTGTGCCGCTTTTATCGATGTTGTACTTTTGCCGAAGAATTAACTTCTTAGCCCCGTAACACGCGATGGATGTCTCCAGAAGAAAGTCGACTTGCTCAAGTGCGCCTCGCAGAAGATGCCGGTGAGGCCGACAAAGACAACAGTGAAGACTCGTATGTGACTATCATCATTGGTGCATTCTGATTGAACTCTCGACAAATTACAGGGTTCTCCATGGATTGAAACTGGCTCTGAAGGATCCCCGAGTCTATGCGTTTTGCCTTCTGAATATCTCTCAAGCTTTGGGAATGAGCTTCACCAATTTCTTCCCCACGTCCGTCCTTGATCCCTCTTTCCTTGGTGTCGTTGCTAATGTCCTGAAACACGTCAGATTGACGCAGACTCTTGGATTTTCCACCACCATTTCATTACTTCTTTGCGCGTATGTTTCCACGTAGGACTGCATGAACTTTCAATAATTTACATGTTACAGTCCACCTTGGATCGTCGCCGCCGTAGTGTGTTTGTTCAATGCGTGGCATGCAGGTGAACAATATTATCTGTTACACCACAGACGGACGGCTGACTTACTGTTGCTCAGATTCGACCGGTGAACGGTTCTTCCATATTTCGGGCTGGTGGTGGGCTGTTATGATGGGCTTTATCATCGCGCTTTCGACCATGAATACTGCGGCTCGTTATGTGTCATTGTTTTTCATGGCTTGTGGATTAGTTGGTCAGTTTCTATGTTTTTAACCGTATTCAAGTAAAGCCCATCAGTGCGAATTTAGGCACCAGCATCACTATTGTCTGGGTGTCTAATTCAATTCCTCGGCCGCCAGCGTAGGTCTTTTGCCTTACCAAATAATTGCACTTGTCCGACACACATGATTCCCAGGAAGCGTGCGGCTGCGATTGGCATGGTCAATGGTGTCGGGAACCTGGGCAGTTTGTACGTCAATATCTGTTTCCTACTAGTTTCATCACACAAGCCATCGCTTTTTCAGGATAGGTTCTTATACTTGGAAGTCCGTTTGGGGTCCTGAGTACCATAAGTCAATGTTTATCTCTCTCGCTGCATTAGTTTTTAGTACAACGATGTCCCTTTGTAAGTGCTGGTCCACATTATATCATCATTGGGCGTCTGTTCACATGCGTTCCATGCCAGGTATCCGCCAGAGTCTCATACGCGAAAATGAAAGGCTGGCGGCCAACGAGAATGCTAATATTGACAGTGCTCGAGTAGAGGAAGCTGCTCGTCTGGAAGGCATCACATACGAGCAGGCACTAAAGAAAAGGAAAGGGTTCCGATACTTGTATTAGATGTCGGCGAATGTATACTAGACCGATACCATTCATGCATACCTTGTGATAGATTTCGACGCGATTCCGAATCAAACAACAATTTCTATGATAGTATCCGATCCGTATTGTCGATAGTTCAATAGCTCCTCAGCCGTTCTCCGGGTGTCTCAATCGCAATGCCTGCCGTAATGTTGATCGTCTGTCGTGCTCCTCTCACTTTGCTGCGCGTAAGCACCTCGTGTGCACCTGTAAAACTAAGAATGGATTCCATCTATCGATAAGATTTCCCAGTCAGAAATGGATATATACTTTGAGAAGTCAATCATAAGCAGAAGGAGCAAGAGCAATTCTATTTAATAAACTGTACAGTACCAGATTCGTAGTAGTTAACACGTTCTATTCCAACTCATGTTCACCCAATTAAATCCCAATCATGAAGCTTCACGATTTGAGGCCGGCCCGCTAGTGCCTCCACCAGCTCCTTCATTGATGCCCACCATGGGTTCTGTCCACGGCGATTCTTCATGTCGGCATGATGTACCATATCCTGCACAGGTACCCACTTAATCGAACTCGATTGGATTGTGATGACAGCGGCTGAATCAGGACTGGCATGTCTCGTCTTGGGATGCTGTTTCATCAGCTTGTCGTGCTCTCTTTCGATAAAGGCCATGCATTTCAACGACAGACGAACTGCGCGCGCGCGATCTGTGGGTGATGGTATACCTCCTTGCAACGTATGGCCAAGAGAAGCAGACCGGGAATCAAACAGGTCACGGCCTTCCTCCTTGAACACCTTTGTTATCACAGGCGTTGTGTATACCTGAGATGCGGCCTCGTTTCTTTGAGATTGAGGAGTCAGTAATATCTCCATGACAAACCCGGAAGACCTACTGAATTACAAGGCGTCCTTCACTTTTCCCCTTGACATCAAGGCTGTACCTCATTTTCAAGTACCTTACATCGCGTCTTAGGGTGTCGAGGGATATGCCTTGTTCCGGGGTATAAACGAGAGATGCGCCTACCTAAGTTCTATTTAGTACTTTCCTCAAGCCTCAGCAGATGATGATGATCACTCACCGCCAACGCACCCATGGTGGCAATATATCCACAATTCCCTCCTTGGGTTTCCACCACAAACACTCTGTTACGGCTAGCGCTAGCACTTTGCTTGATGGCATCGCACGCATCTACCAAGGCATTCAAGCTCGTGTCGCTCCCCAAACTGTAGTCTGTCATTGGGACATTGTTACTGATTGTGGCCGGCAGATGCACCAATGGAATATGAAAAGCAGGATAATACTTCCTCCCTTCCTCTAAAATCAGTAATGCGCTGAATGCCTCAAATCCTCCGATCATCATGAAAGCTTGGAAAGAATATTCTTGGAACTTTGCGGCAACAGCTCCCAGATCGATGGAGGGCAATACTCGATTTGTCCCCAGTTCGGAACCACCTCGGGCCATCCAAGAATCGACGCCGAGCCACGACATCTCCGAGATGTTATCATCAAGAAGACCACGGAAGCCATTGTTGATCGCGAAAGGTGTGTGCCCTTGGCGAATACAGTATCTGACCGCAGCACGAGTAGCGGCGTTCATACCGCCCGCAGGTGCTCCCATGCTGTTATATAGTTAGCGATTAAATTATGCTCCTGTCGCCGGACTCACTGCAAAATAGCAACACGCATCCTCTATAAATAGAAAATTAGTGCGGTATGTGTGACAGAAAATACTTTCAACGCCTACCTGAGCCGGAGGTAGCCTCTTCTCTTCATCTAATACAGATACAGCATGGAAACCCTCTAAACTTTCGCGGAACTCCGGGTCTCGAAGCGACATGGCCTTCTCGAAATCTTTATCCGCGATAGCCGTAGCGACTGCCTTAGTCTTTCCGGTCGATGAGTATAAGGCGGAAAAAGACTAGTAAATATCACACCATTGTGACGGCCCCAACTAACGGCACCCTCGAAATCTTGTTTTCTTGCATTCCAATCATGTAAGACGGTGTATCCGGTGTGGCTTCCAACAATGCATCGATTGCCTCCACAGCTTGGAGAGTAGGCTTCGTACTGTTCGTTGGACGCATCATATATCATTAATCTTACGAGACTCACCAGTATACGATCCATAGCACACGGTTTTCCACCTCTTTGAGTATGTCCAAGCGTCGTGACCCTCGTATCAAGCCCCAGGCGTTCACTGAGTACATCTTTGACGTACTCAGCTCGGATGGGATTCAGATTGCAATCAAGGGCGCCCTCTGCGACAATCACGATAGTTTTTCGTTTACCAACTTCTCGATGCTGTGATGGGTTAAGATCAGCTGGACCAAACCTGTGAATGAATACGCATACACGATGGATAGCGGCACACATTTCATCCTCCCAAGGCGTGACTTTCGGAGGTCGCTCGGGAATAAAGATAAAATCGGCACCACCGCTGGCTTCAGAGTTAGTGGAAGATAGCCAAAATCAAACTTGTAGAATACCTAACACCAGCAAGAAGAGCCAGCCACCCGCAGTGCCTCCCCATGACCTCTAAAACGAAGGCTCGTGAATGACTGGTAGCAGTGGAGTTGATGTTGTCGATAGCTTCACAAATCCGATGAAGGGCGGTTGGCGCGCCGATGGTCAAGTCCGTCAATGACATGTCATTGTCAATGGACCCAACAAGGCCAACGATTCTAAGATGGCGATGCGTTGTAGCTTGGGCTTCGGTGATCTTGGCTGTATGTACCATATCAACAGAGCTTCGCTAAGACGAAGAATATGCGTACACTGAGATTGGAGTTCACCAACTAAACTAGGCCATTCAGCGCGGAAGACATCCGCTCCTGTGAGGGAACCGTCTCCTCCACAGACAAGAAGGGCGTCAATGCCTTCCTTAATCATGTTATGGGCCGCAGCTAATCGGCCTTCATGAGTTCTAAAGGCAGCAGAACGTGCCGTGCCAATTAGTGTACCTCCCTGCGGTGTTCCGATATTAACAGATAAACGCCGATGATGACCGTCACAACCCACCTCGGCAAACCATGCCCTCACGTCGTCCCAACCGACACGTACGATGTATCTCCCTTTGAGTGATCTGCCCTTGGAATTAGAGTAATCACCCATTCCATTCTTTAGCAATTCCCCGTCCCCAAAGCGAAGGTTTTCGACAAGAGTGACGTCGACACCTTCGGCAATCTGTGGGGTGTCTTGGACATGGGGCGGTTTGTCTTCAGTGTTTCCTAGAACTAGGCCTTCGTATCCTTCTCGGACAACCCACATTTCACAACCTCTGTAAAGCTTTAGATAGCATGTTCTGACGAGGGACGATGTAAGGGCTCACTTTATAATGCCAGCTTTCACAGCGGCACGCACGACTGCATTCATACCGGCGCTATCGCCGCCAGACGTCAGTATTGCGATCTTCATGGTGGTGTAGAAGAGCGTCAGTAGATGCGTGTAACGGTGGCGTTCGCAAATACAGTGGGTCTCGGAGTAAAGAAAGGAATTTCCCTCTGCTCAACATCACTAACGCACGTGCTAGCCTTGGCCAGCTCACCACAGCCTCGAACGAACCTCGAACGGTGCATCTAGGACATCGCACATCCAGACAGGTATCATCAGGGCATCCACCGGCCATTGGACACGTCGAATAATCGTGCCTGAAACCGAATTGACGCGGAGGCCGCGACTCGGACGCGCTTTTGCCAATTGCTGCCGTCTGTCACAATCATGGTGCATGCTCGTTTCAACGATAGGGAACCCAATCCCAATCCCCATATCAACTTCATCACAGCTCTTCCAGGCGACGACCAAGATGACGCAAGGCAGCTATTACGCGCTCTTGCAGCCCAAGTACGACCCGTGATGAAAACCCACGGCTTCGCGGTAAACAGTTTTGAAGAGGTGGGATCTTTCCTCTGCCTACCCTCCAATCTCACACTCTGCGCAGTATGAACATAACAATGTTTTTGCGGGAAGAAACTGGAACAATGGCGAAACTGTCGGCGAGCATCGCGAATTTTCTTGCCCTCTCCATTGCGGGACTCCTTATCATGAACCATCCAGAACTCGTTCTTCGGCGACCTGGAGGATCATTTTTACCTACCTATTGGCTCATGAGCACTCTCTGTCACGAGGTTAGTTGTATATTTGAATGCTCAAGGAGGGGTAATTAAAACGAGCTCTCAGCTGGCCCACATCAAAGTATGGTCACCCATCTTCCCATTAGAGCTCCTTCTGATTCTTCAGCATATGAACCATGGTCCTGCATTCCAAGCACTGTGGAAATTGCTTCGCACTGAAGTTCGTAAGCTCCAAGATAGAGGCTACTATGGCGATGGTTCGTGGTTTTCACCCAGTATCTTGGCTTCACCGTCTGAGTTGCCATCAAGGATATTGGTCCGCAGGAACGCGTCTTGCCGACTCTGCCAAGGTAGCTGGAGAAGGAATCGATCCCGGGGATCTTCCGGAATACATGGTATGGCGCTCAAGTTGTAATTAACTATGATCTCCGATGTCAAACCTTATTTCAGTGTGGTGGTGCTCAAACACGCTCTCGTCCCTCCGCGATGCGTCGCCGACGTTCTGGCCGGCGTGGCGATGTTGTACCATCGAATCACACGGGCCGACAAACCGCGAAAAGGCGAAAAGCTGGGGGTCGAGTAACTTCGAAGTACGCCTTCCAGGGCGAAGGGTCATCGTTGATTAATTCGAAAGGTGAAGAAGGGGTCAAGGGAACCGGTTTTAAAAAACAGGCCGGAAGGTATGTTTTTTCTATGAGCCACGATGATGCGGTACTCAAGTTCGCCGTGTAGTAAGCGCGCCCGCGAAGAGAGAGCATTGGCTGCCGAACGCAGACTACAAGCTCTACAATCACGTAAGTTGCACCCAGTAAATATTAATCCTGACCTGACCGGTTCGCAGATTCAGCGATCAAGGAAGACGTTAAAGAAGAGGAAGAGGACATAGCAGATCGCTCTGACTCCGAAGTAGAGATAATCTCAGAGACAGACGGAGAACGACGACAGGCACTTATTTCCTCCGAGAAAGACAACCTTCACAACCTGAAGTTCTCATGGGAGGAATTCAAAGATGATTTCATCTTCACGGGAGATGGCAAGGATAATATCATAGAGATCTCATCCGACGAGGAAAATGTGAAGGGAGAACCTTGCGACATTCCTGTTCCTTCGGGATCAACCTTTACCAGTGGAATAAACAACAAAGCAAAGCATAACAAGAACAAAGGTAAAGAGAAGGAGAAGGGTAACGCAGCTTGGCTTCTATTCGCAACATACATGGACTGATTACCTTCTCAGAAAGTCCTCCGTTAGGCCTAGGCAAGCTAGCCAAGACAGAAGTCGATTTCCGGAAGAAGGAAGCGCTAGGAATGGCTCCTACCCAAGGCAGTAGAAAGCTGGGTGGTCAGCCCAAGAGCAAAGAGTCAGGTGATCGTGTCCAGCCTCATGTCACCAAACCTTTGTCAGAAATCGAGATCTCGCCTACGGAGCTTTGGGAGTGTGCTGTTTGCACTCTGTTCGTCATTCCTCGGAGTATCTCTAATAAAGCTGATCGATAATATGACATATAGGATAAATAAACCTCGACATCTAGCATGCTCTGCCTGTTTCACGCCCCGAGGAAATGACTACTTGTACGACAAATATCACGGCAAAGTGTAGTAGCCAAGATGGCAAATATAAACCAACTGTATCATATCACATAGACATGTGACAAGGACAGACCAGGCCCCAAACCTAGCGTTCCATACTTGTGGTTCTCGAAAGCAAAGAGCAATGTCATTAATGCGACGACAGTGGTTTTCATTCTTCAGTGACTATTCGTTGGATAGAGTAAATCACATTGAAGGTAATAATGGCGTGCGTCGAGTAGATAAATGCACGTTTCGGAGGCATCCTCTAAGCAGGTTGAGCAGAGAAATAAGTTCAAGTTATAAACTAAATTCAGATGGTAAGCCAGAGCACACGAACCTGAATAGTCAAAGAGTCTGGCCAGGGAACAACCTTGCCCTTTCCGTTGATATACATCTGCGATGTGCAGCCTTGTCGCTTTCCGGTGAATCTAGGAAGGAATTAATAAACCGAAATGCAATCAAAGGGCAAGATTTACCGGTTGAATTTCCCAGCACAAGTTATCCCGGGGAGCGAGAGGATTTTCGTGCATAATTTGGGGCACTACCTGTGATTACCCATCATTAGGATCATTATAAAACAGATCAAATGTGTAAACGTACTGCATTGAAGAATGGCCCTGAAAAAATACTGCGAACGACTTAATATGCGTACAAGTAAAGTATGATAAGGCGTACCCGTAATCTGCGAGCCCGAGGGTAGGAAGAGCATTGACTGGGCGACTTTTGTTTGCGCCAATGATGTCCACGGAGATCCTGGTGCCAGATTTGACAGAACTGTCATCAATAAGCGTCAAGTCGCGCGGTGTGACACGGCAGGTAAGAGTCAGGCATGGATCCACAGCTACAAAATGTTCAGTTCTCCGATCTGACAATTGAAGGGCAAGAAATTCACCCAATGCTACATACACATGTTCCAAAACCTTATCATCTCCAGCTTTGTTCTTCAATTGGGCCATTTCTGAGTAGATCTTCTTTCTGGATCTGCCGCTCCTCATCGAGGTAGTAATTCACTACGTGTGCGACCGCCTGAGAAAATCGGGCCGCATAAAAGTAGTTTTTTAATACAGCACCGATGCAAGATTTAAATGAACTACCGGGACTTTGTGCTGCTTCTGTAATCTATTCAATTCGACAGAATAAAATAATAAAAGCACCTTCATTAGTCTTCGTACAGCATCATCGAATGAACCTGGCATGGTATGTGCAAGTGCAACATCCACCTGTGGTGAAAGTAGCGTGGATTGATAACAAAGCGACAAGCCCCGACGAAATTTTAGGTATCAGGAGTGCGAGAGCCATCGCGAGACTTCGAAAGAGACCTGTGAGCAGTTCTACACCGTTAAGTTAGGAAGGAAGTCTGGCGCCAGGCGCCAGGCTCTGTCAACTTCAGATACACTTACAAGACTCGAAACAACCTAACACCACGGAAATCACATACGTAGCAAGCAGGTCAAAATTAGGAGTGGTCTACCAAAATCCAAACGTCGGACATCGCGCCATGCTAAAATTTCAAGTCATATGCGCTTCACTGGTAGACCATAGGCGTCAAGGACGCACCAGGATAGTATGTAATCCTATTATGGGAAGCACCACACCGTGTTCTAGCCTACGGTAGAAGAAGAACGGTAGACTGGAATCGAAGGCAAACGCCAATCTGCTTTCTGCGATAATATTAGTACCATCACTGAGCGCGGGGCCCTACGCATACGACGAAGCCACTTGGCCTATTGAGTTTGCATTATATATTCTGAAATGGTCGGATTGTAAGCAGTATTACGAACGACGTGAATGGCTGTGAATTAGTCTTTTCGTCGGAGTTGCACGTCAAGATGTTCAAGGAAGGAAGGAGATTTCAAGCTCCCGCTATCTTCTCAGAAAGAACGCCTGTCTGTCATAGCTACGAGTGTAACACTCACAAAGATCTTCCTCCTTCGCATTCGCGGATGATCGACATCTTTGTCGCCAGGGGACAAGTCGAAAAATACTGCAAGAACTTTCCCTTAAACGAGCTCGGGACGACAAGTCACAATCCGATTTATTCGTACAGCGAGTGCGGAAAACAGGTCATCATAATCTCTATCCGTAGGCGGAGGTAGAAGAAAGTGGTATAGTAACAAAAAATGTTCGCTGTGTTCCTCGCTGGTACTGCTGGGACAGTGGAATATGCGATTAAAAAGAATAGAAGGGTACTTGTTGCGTGAAAAAGAACGGATACCACACAAAGCAGCAAAAAATGTTCATAAAAAGACCAAGACCAAACGACCTTTCATCATTTTTGGACTCACGCAAATAGAGCGACAATAGCAGCACCAATAACACCAGCAGCACCCATGCTTGAGAACTGAGAGGGGGCGGCATTGCCAGAACTGGAGGCAGAGGCACTCGCGCCTGCTGAGGTACCTGAGCCAGCAGCAGATGATGCACGAGAGCTGGTGCTAGCACCAGACGTCGCCGCCCTACGAACTATGAGACCGTTGTACGAGTTAAAAGGAAAAGAAATACCTTGAAGTCGAGGCCCCAGCAGGTGAGGTAGAAGTCGTAGCACCAGCAGCACTAGTCGTAGTACCAGTAGTGGCACCGGCAGTCGTGGAGTCAGTTGCACCAGATGTGGAGGAACCAGATGCACCCGATGTCGAGCTAGCACAATCAGTTGCTAGAAAACTGATTAGTAAGCGAAATTAAGGTTAATCAACCAAACACATACAACCACCGGTTTGCACAGTGACGGGCGCAGTCTGCTTCACGGCTCCAGTTTGGTCACGAACGTTGAAAACGAGCGCAGTGCCTGCAACAAAGCAATTAGCTGAGAAATAAAACGTGTAAAGCGCAGCTACCTTGAGGGAAAGTGACGGTCCAGGTAAGCGAAGTGCCGCTTTGTTCACCAAGGTTGGCAAGGGCGTTTCCATTGGGGTCGGTACCAGAGGTGATACTGAAATAGCGTCAGTATTGAGAGGTTCAGAGGTCAGATGTTAACTCACGTCTAAGAAAAAAGCTTATTATATGCCATCAGAAAAAATTAACAAGGGCGTACCAGGAAGTAAGGGCCTAGGGGAATACCGACGTCAGTCTGCGACCGCCTAGTACAAAAATGATCATACCAGTTCCTCCGGTCCAGCTGAGGAGGGTAGGTAGGCACTGCGTCAGGCCGGAGCTGCGGAAAGGTGAGCTGGCTGGTGCTACTGCGCACGAAAAGATACCCACGGAGTGTTGATGGTCAGGTCGCCCTGGGCCAGAGCACTACCGATGAGCGCGAAGACTGCGGACAGGCTGAAGAGGGAGAATTTCATGGTCGGTTGAACTGTTGAGGATGTTGGGAACAGGGAGGAGAGCTGCGGGGCGCTGCGGATGATGATGGGAGGACAAGAAAAATGCCAGACAGGACACGCCACCTGCCTTTATAGGACTCGGCCGCCATGATGTTATGTAAGCAGCAACAAGGAGCAACAGGAATCTCCGAACGGCTCAATTTGCTTATCTTGGCCCGAGCCAAGCTGCATGATTCGGCCTATCTTTGGACTTTTTAACAGGAAACCGCCTTCTATTCAAGCACTATTGGCTCTAAGCGTCTATAACGTACTATTAAAATGTAGGGTATTTCAGGAAATATATCTTTCTTAGCATTATTCAAGATATAACGTGTGGCCTGCCCTGGCCGATGACAAGCCCATGGTGACGTTGTCCGGAGTCGAGCCCAGCCCCGTCAAAAGTCACAGGAGCTGCAACCACTGTCGTCATGCTTTGGTATCTTCCAGAATGGCGCCAAAATGAAAGGTATCATCAGCATTTGCTTGGAGTGGGAGTGCTCCCCATTCAGTCTGAATCAGTCTGACATACCAACCATCTGGTTTCCACATGTGCATGATTCCGTGATTCTGAAATTTGATTCTAGCCTGAAGATAGCCTCTCCAATTTGATTCTATCTAATTCGGGAGTAACTCCAGGTGACTCCATAGGTGTCGTGCACAGCCAAGTCTCCGTATTTATCTGGTGTCTATGGTGCTAAGTCGTCGAAAATGCGTGCTCCAAGCGTACATCAGAAAAGAGTTTTGTAAGGATATGGGTCAAATCAAAGTGTGCACTGCTTCAGACCCCTGTTCGGTGATACGGGGTTGCATGAAAACGTAATTCAACTGGTTTTCAGCCGCACAAGGACTCGTGGACTCGGTAGAAAGGCACACTAAAACTTGGACCTATTGCAGGGAGAACCTCTTGATAAAATCTAGTTCCCTCGTTGTACATGCACTTGTCCTCGAGATTGATTTTGCTGCCTACTAGGTCGTACGAGATCCCAAAAAAATTAGGTAAAGGGGATTCTCATTAAAGAAGCACAGGGATAGAAAAGTTGAACATTCTGAACGTTCAACGTTCAACGTTCAACACGTACATATCGACTCTTTGCAATTGATGGATAAGTGAGTGCAAGTATAGGTGTCTCCAAATAAGACGAAGGTAGTCCGGTCGTCAATGCTATCTAGGTATTAACAGAACAGCGAGCTCAGGATCAGAGCAATTTGAAATCTCATTGGTTCCATAACAAGCGCATGAAGAATTTTGAGGTAGATTGTTTTGAACAGAAGCTTCGCTTGATTGCGACGAATGTTTTATGGTTCTCCCTGCAAGATGTGAAGGCGTCCAGTACGTAAGTTTTCAGTCACGCTATTGCTTTGGCGTGTTATTTGTAGTTGTTTGAAAATTCTCTTCCTTCTACCTCTTCCTCCTTGCGTGTGGCTTTGACGCATCCCAAAATCCTGGCCATTTCTACACCATATGTGTTTCCGTAGGTAAGTATTTTCCAACTCTTCACTCAGACAGTACATTTTGACTGATGATGACTCGGCAGGCACAGCTTGTGAACGTATCGCTGCTTCCTCGATTTTCTTACAGGCTGGCCTTCTTCATCCCTTTGCCATTTGATTCGGTCATTTGCATCGAAGAGGTCCGTACAACTCCAACCTGCGTGTAGGATTCGTCTGACGTTACGCCAAGTGCCATGATCGACAGCACCAATGCTCCTTCCAGTCCTCAGGCGCAAGATTCGCCGGAGTCTCTGTTTGGATCTCCGCCACTTTCTCCAGTCATCCAAGGTAGGTCACCATCACCATTGCTAGCATTGCCTGGCTCTAGCAGCAGCGTTGGAATTGGTCGGGGCTCTGCACAAAACGTGGGGACCATTGCACTTCCTGGTTCCCATCTTGATTCTGAACTTCCAATCAATCCATTAGCCTTGTCGTTGAGTTATTCTCCTCGGCCTCCGGCGCAAGAGCAAGCCTCCGCGGCCCCGTCCAAATGGCGGCAATCTATTCATGCCTCGACCCCTACCTCTGCAACAGCAACATCATCAGCCGTATCTTCGTCGTCATCCACGCCAACCTCCTCCAGGTCCTCTTCCTTAGTGCCCAATCACATTTCTACAGCAAAGAGAAAGAAAACATTAAAACGAAAGGCGACGACATATGAGCGTCCACCTCCACCCGAAATTCCTCTTCCAGACCCCTCCGAACCGCCACCTTCAAATTTTCTTCGTAGTCAGATCGCTTTGCTTGGAACCGCAGGCCTTGTTGCTGGTGTCAAACCCTCTACCATCACGCATAAGGACACGCGAGGCATGACATCCAACAACCCGATTGTCATTGATGATACCCCACCACCACCTCCACAACCAGTTTCGAAACCTCTATTATCCCTATTTCCTGCTATGAATTCTTTGGGTTTGTCACACCCGTCCAACCAAGAGATTGTTCGAATACTGGTTCGGCAGAAGACGATATTTCCGTTGCTGGAAGAGATATTGAAACTTATTGCGAGCGGTTCAATACGTCCGTCACATTCATGGAGGCGGGATTATCAGCCTGGATCTGCGAAGAGGCGGAAGTTACGTCACGTTCCAGCTGGTGCAAATGATTGGGACGTACCATACCCATTTGCGCGAGGTGAAGGCCCGGAGGAGTATGATGCAAACTGGGCAAAGGAAAGGTGCAAGCAGCTGGTCTCTCAGCTGGTCGGTCTTATCAAGGCTGCAACTCGAAAGGCTGCTTTGAAAAGCTACCTTCACCAGTTGAAGTTGAAGGAAGCATTACCAGCCATGTACACTTCACGTGACGGAGAATCTGCAACACCAGAGCCGTCGTGCAAAGCGGAGGACGAAAATGACTTTGCCAGAGCAGCCGCACCTAACTTCCTGTCCACTCCTCATCCAACAAATGAAACGCCCACGATCTCACCGACCGACGTCACTTGCAATGAATACTCCACTTCGCCCCCGGCTGCCCCTCGCGCAGCTTCGCCTTCATCCCCTGTCGATACCACAGATTTCTCTCAGAACGTAACCGTGGACCAGCTCCTCGAATCCCTTCTCGCCGTGTCATCTAGCGATGGCCCTGTATCGGATCTAGATTCCTTGCTATCCAGTTCTACTTCTTCCAGTGTTTTTACAGATTCGTCTAGCGATAACCAGCAATGGCTATTCGATAGCTGGATGCCTATCTTCGAATCTTTTCAAATTCCTGAGTCTGGGCTTGTGGACCTCCCTCCGCTCTCTCCACATACGGAGAATTCTTTGCCGTTCTCCCCACTACCCGACTTGCCCGTGGACTTTGGAAATTTGGAGCCCCTTGAAACAGCCCCAGAAACAAGTGCAGCAAGCGCTACAGAACTGTGGAGTGACACATTTGACGTGTCTACATCCATTACCGTGCCACTAGACACAGAGGTATCCGCAAATGTTGTCCAGCAAGGAATTAACCAGGAAGCCTCGTCTTCTCAAGCACATGAAAACCAAAATCACCATCCTCCCCATGATTCTGTTATCGATCCGGTTCTTCTGGTTCACACACGACCTTGTATCAATACATTTTTGCAGGTTGATGCTGGCCCACCGTCGCTGGTTTCGTCCCCGATGCCCTCCATGAGCTCCATGGGCGACCTGGAGCTGTTAACTCCAACCTCGTCAGTCTGGGAAGTCAATTTACCGGACATTGCGTCAGCTTCTGGATCTATAGAGGATGGGTTTTCCAGCTCGGTGCGTATACCCGACGGCAACCTGAAATATTCTCAAGGTATGTTGCGCCGTGCCATTCGAAATAACGCGTTTGCTCATTTACGTTTTGGAAACGAAGGGGTGAGCTTTGATCCGGAGACGAGAAAGAGTGTAGAGGAAGAAGCGGATGTGCGGAATGTTTTACCTATGTTGGTGTCGTCGGTATTGCCCACCCATAGAGTAGACACACCAACTCTCGCTCCGCCACCAGTCTCAATTCCTGACATTGTAGCACTTCCAACCCCTAGGGTTGCCTCGAGAGAACAACTTTTGAAGCAGGCGAATACTCGTAGGGCGCAAATAGCTGATGCGATTGTGAAGGCACGGACAGCTTTGTGGGAGACAACGATTGAGGGTGGAGTTTTGGCGCATTTGGCGAGGTATTATAAGTCGTAATACAGGTAGAGTTTGTATCATACAAACATTTCTCTGGGTCCTTTGCGTTCGCCTACTTGGTGATTATAAGTTTGAAGCTAAAGCGAAGCAGTGAAGTCACAGAGCTTGAGGGATATTCTTTTCTCGTTCCTGCAGTCTCAATATATTGATAAATAAAGTTCTGGGAAGGTCCATTTTGTGGACCGTTTAGAGAGGTTTAAATAAACTTTGAGAGACTCAGACTCGGACCGAAGCGCACTGCTTGTACCCATGCACGTGATCCACGCGACGCGCTTGCTGATGAGCCAAATAGGAACAAATGCAATTTCAACTGTGGAACAGTACTATCCATGCCGTCCCCCGGGTCACTTCAAGATATTCAAGAACGAGACCGTCAACGAAGAGCCTTTCAATCCCGACTAGCGACATCCCTTGAAGAAGAAGACGATCCCCTTGCCATTTATGTACAGTTCGTACAGTGGATAAACAACAACTACACCGATAATGATCCAAGCTCGGGTTTGCAGGAGGTCCTGAAGGAAGCTACCGCGACATTCAAAAACGACAGCACATACAAAAACGATCTTCGATACCTCAAACTATGGACACAATATGTACGCACCATGGATCGTTCTGCTGGAATTGCCGCATACGCGTCGTTGGTGAAGAATCAAATCGGAATATCGTATTCGATTCTGTATGAGGAATATGCTAAGCTACTGGAGGCAGAGGGAAAGTGAGTGGCGATACCTATCCACCCGAGAAGATTCCTTGATCGTTGTCCCAGATTCTCGGATGCTGAACATATTTTCCGTTCTGGTATTAAGCGCCAGGCTCGTCCTGTAGAGCGCCTCAAGTCCCGATACCGAGATTTCAGAACCCGCAACGGTTCAGTGTCTTCATCGGCTGCTGTAGCTTCCACCAGTGTGCCCTCTTCTAGTACCCTATCCACTGGCCCGACCGCTTCAACCGCCCAGTCGCGCTATGCCTTGATGCTCGCTCCGCCGGCACCGGGAAAACGACCGGAAAAGCTACGCTACAATACCTCTCTTCTTTTTACTGAAGAAGGTGTAGAGTATAGCATCCAAGAGGCTCGAGCGCGATCGATGGGGCTTCTGGGCAAGAAGTGGACTGCGTTACCGACAAGTAGGATTGTTTCCGCTTCGTCTTCCACCTCATCTGTCCGAGTAACATTTGATGATGATGGACAAAAGTCTCGCACCCAGGGTTATGGAGCACGCCGGAAGAGCATGATGAATGGGGAACCTACGGTCACGATAAATACCAAGGAAGCCCTTGCAGATGTCTTTGGAATGTACAATTCCCCGGATAAGACAATGAAGCTTTCAGGCCCAGGTAGCAAGCATGCCCCGTTGAGAAAGGTAGAGCCTATGACTTATACACCAAAACAAGTCCAACCATCCACGGAAACTCAAGGTGGAGGTATATTCTTTGTCATTCATTTTCACACCCACGCGTTGATTTCAAGTTATAGGCTTTAAACCCTTTGTCGATGAGAATGCTGGCTCCACCCGAAAGGAGAATAAACCGAAGGTGAAGCTTAGCTTCTACCGAGAGATGTGTTTCTGACACAAATTTGGTAGTTTACCCCATTGGTTGATTCGAGCGAGAACAAGGAAATGGTGCCGACAAACAGGCCCACTTCAGTGCTCAAAAATGCCCCAACTTTTTCTGCTCCAAGCGCCTTCTCGTCCAGAGGCCTCAAAAACAGAACAGCCTCAGAGCCTGACATTATTTTCTCAAAAGTCTTCACCCCTGCAAATCCCAAACCGACTTTGCCTCCCCTTCGCGAGGCCTTCACGGAAGACCACGGAAGGGCAAAACCCAAGCCTATCCACACACACGAGCGCGCAAAATCCTGTCAAGATGTGCTTTCACCTCCATCAGATATTCGTCCTGCTGCGTTCACTCCTTTCATTGACGAAAACAATCAACGGACGCCGTTCAAAGTTTTCAGTCGCCCGCCGGAAGCAGAGAACGTTTTTACTCCTAAAACCCCTGCCTCAACTTTCAAACCATTTGTTGACTCCAAGCCGACATTCACCCCTTATCGCGATGAGCCGACGCCCAAGTTGGACCAGGGAATCGATCCAGTTTCTCATGCTTCCTCTCCGAATTCAATATCGGATGTTTCTACCGAGGCAACCGAGACCGTCGAGGAATTGCCGGTCGAAGAAGCGGAAGAAGAGACGGAGGAGGATAGCTATAACGACGACTTTCCACAAGACGGATATGTGCCAGAGGAGTATGAGACACCTGTGGAAGGTCATGATGAGTCTGTCGAGTACCCAGACGGAGAAGGTTACCAAGACGTCCCTCTCGGTGGACGGTTCGGGCAGTTCAACGTCATGACACCCATTACGGAACGTACATTGGAGTATACCAGCACTCGTTCTGTGTTCACCAGTACTCCTGGCGGTCAGCATCATGAAGAATATGACTTTCTGGACAGAGAAAATGAACAGGCAGACGAGGACGAGAATCAATGGGAAAAAGTCCAGCCTTGGCCGACGAATCCTCCTAAACATTCTTCTGAGGAAGAGCTTTCTGCTCTAGAGGTACAGGCAGGCAAACTCAGTCTTGCAGATGCATTGACACTGTCAGCCAGTTTCCGGCCGTCCAATCCGTGCAACCCATTTGACCCTTCGATTTTATCCACTATGCTATCCCTTGTATCGTCAGATGAAGATTATTATGATCTTCGAGATCAACAGTCGAACCTATTGGACGGCCTTCAGAAGGTTGCGAGGAAGGCGAGGAAGACAAGTGGAGGCTCGCACACAGGTGTGCTGGACTTTTCTTCATCACTACCGGTGACATTACACGGCCGACGATACCGAGTTCTGGATAAGCTCGGTGAAGGAGGTTTTGGGGCTGTGTTCCAAGCGAAGAGTCTTGGAATATGTGACGAGGATGAGGACGAGGATGATCTTGAAGACGACGAGGACGACCTCCAAGCTATGATTGCACTCAAAGTTGTGCGGCCCCGGAATATCTGGGAGTATCATGTGCTGCGGCGATTGCACTCGGTTCTTCCTCTTTCTCATCGCCCATCCGTTGTGCTACCTCATGCCTTATTTGCCTTCCGAGACGAGAGCTTCATGGTAATGGATTTCTGCTCGCAAGGCACGCTGCTTGGTGTCGTGACCAAAGCCGTTGCAGCTGGCGTACACCAGCAAGGCGCGTGCTTAGATGAGCTCCTTGTCATATTTTTCGCCATCGAATTGACAAGATTATTGGAGGCCATGCACAAGGAAGGATTCATTCATGGTGATCTTAAGATCGACAATTGTCTCCTGCGCCTAGAAGACGTTCCAGGAGGTGCGTCGGCTTGGTCAAGCGTCTATCAGGCCTCGGGCGAAGGTGGCTGGAGCAGTAAAGGAATCAAGCTTATTGATTTCGGCCGCACTATTGACACCAGGCTCTTCCCCTCTGGACAACAGTTCATCGCTGACTGGGCCACTGACGAACGGGATTGCTTTGAGATACGGGAAGACAGACCCTGGACGTACCAGACGGACTATTTTGGTCTTGCTGGAATCGTTTACTGCCTTCTTTTTGGCAAGTATTTCCAAAGCAATTCCATCATCAATTCTGGAGGGCGTTACAAGATCGCAACACCCTTCAAACGGTATTGGCAGACAGATATATGGAACGAATTCTTCGACTTGTTGTTGAATCCTTGTCAGATCAGGGAAGATGGAAATTTACCTCTGTGTTCGGAGCTGGAGTCGATACGAGTGCAGATGGAGACGTGGTTACAGGCTAACTGCAATCGTACTAGCAACACGTTGAAGGGTTTGTTAAAGAAAGTCGAAGTGGCATGCCTACGTTAAATATTTCACAGTAATTTGGTTATAATTTATATGGTAGTGTTTTAGTTGGGCGCTTGCTATGTAACAATGTATCGGTACAGCCAGGGGACTGAGCTGGGTTGCGGCAGACAGCAAGATAGCAATGATATTCCAGAAATCCACAACAACAACGATGATGATTTAGCGCTAGTTACACACCTCGATACCCAGAAACAGCTGATATGGATCTCAGGAAACAGAATAAACTCCGAGCTCAGCCTGGACATATTCATGGTGGCATATGAACATATGGGACACGACATCAGTTCCATCATGCATGTCCACCCATTGGTACCGGCGTTGGACCTCCCTCGTACCCATGAGGAGGCACAGAAGGCGGAGGCATCATCATACCATATGGCACTGCATGTTGTACTGCAATAAGTGAGACAAAGGGCGTCATGGACGAAAGGGCGTATGACATACACTGAGGACTCTGGTGGTAGTATGTATGCGCATGTTGCGGAATCGGGGTTGGAGGCATCGATTGCCGAGGACCCGCACCGTTTGCTGAAGGATAACCGCCCGGAGGTGGTGGTGGAGGCATGTAAGCTTGCGCTGGAAAAGGTGAGACTATTTTAAGACGAAAACGACGATATTACACATACGAGGTATTTGACCCATTCCTGGTGGAGCATACATAGCTATAATGATATTGAAGAAATCTTTAGTCAATGTCTAGACTATAGCGAAGGTACGCACCGGGAGGATAAGGCATTGGCGGCATGAAGGGACCAGGCATATAGGCACCTGGCGGACCAGGAGGCGCCATCCCTGCCATCATTGGGGGCTAAATGGATTTTCGATCAGTGATCTCCGTCGCAGTGGAAGTAAAAGACACTAACCTGGCCCGGATATCCGTAAGGAGGATAAAATATATAACCCCCACGAGCCGCGGCTTGTGCTGCCGAATCTTCTTCGTAGGAAGGAGGTGGCATTGGAGGCGGGGGTGCAACCATGTGAGGAGAGTGCTGAGGAGGCTGGTGCGGAGGTTGAGGATACATCGACAGGTATCTTTTGCCATTATATGGCCACATGGCAGCTATACCAGTTAACCGAATAAGCCTCAATATTGATGACTCAGAAGAAACAACCTACCGATTCCAGACGCATCAACAACTTTGTTGTGCTTGAAAGGATTGAAATCGTCCTTGATGTTGACGGGAGGGGTTTTCTTAATGAGTCGTGTACCGAAAAATGGGTTGGGAGTTGCCTAAGATAAAGGGATAAGTATAGTTACGCAAGGCATCGAATGGATCCGTTTACCACATCTTTCGGCTTAGGAGAAGCGGAGGAGGAAGCAGGAGAAGGGGTCCCCTAGACGAAGAATTAGGGAAGGACAACTACTGATGGTCACGCATAGCCACATACCGGCGTGAAAGCACTCGCTTTGGGATTAGGCCTGAATGATGAAGCGTTGGCATTCAATCGTGCAGATGGTGATTGTGGCGGTTTTAACGGAGCAGTATGCGCAGAATCTTGAAGTGGGGTGGGCGAGGCGGCGGCACCATTCGCGTTCTTAGCCGCAGACGCTGATTGAACGGAGCGACTCTTGGGACCTTTGAAAGGCGGTATCGCCTGGATGACCATAGGGATGGGCTTCTTAACTGTCGATTCCGCCGGCTTCGCTGTGGAGGCAGCAGGCTTCTGTGTTGCAGCAGATGCAGCAGCAGCAGCAGGTGGCGCTGGTGTTTTGGCGGCAGTCGACGTTGCGCTCGGCTTCCTCGCAGGGTCAGTAAGTTTGGCGGGATTGGCTCGAGGCGCGCCAGAAGGCACGTTCGATCCGATGTTACGGGCTTGAGCAGAGGCAGCATCTTTGCTGGCCTTCTCCTTAATAGCTCGCTGTTTGTCCTCATCCTTAGCAAGGATAGGGACCAGGTCATCAGGAATAGGTTTGTTGAGCTGCCATTGGTATTGAGCACTGCCTTCAATCCTCGACCGCAAGTTGACTGACCTTGAAATTCTGACTGAATTTCACCAGTTCCGCCACGCGTTTCTCCATTTCACTCTTGACTAGAGCCTGTCGTTTCTGTGTGAGCCGTTGTTTTTCGTTGGTTACGAAATCACGGAAAGCGGGTACAGCATCCGCGGGCGGCTAGGGAGACATTGAATTGACACCGCATACATGGAGAATAAATGCCAACCTTAGTTGAACCAGAGGAAGGGGCGGGAGAAGAAGCCTTGGACGACGAGGGGGGAGACTGAGACTGAGAAGCAACAGCTGCACCATCTGGACCATTCACAGAAACTTTAGGAACATCATTCCTTGCCGCATTGGAAACAGGAGGTAGGGCGCCAGGCTTCCGGGCGCCTGGAGGAACATATGCATTAGTTCCTCTTACAACAGCTCCATACCTTTAGAAGGAATGAATAACAGCATTAAATCTCAGAACTTGAGCTTACTTGTCCTCCTCGTTGACGCCACTATCATCCACGGTCTGATTCCGTTCTTCAGCGATATGAGGGTTGCTTGAAGCAGCCTAAATGATACACATGTAGATAAGTAAGATGACTCGACGTGTCTGCACTCACCCCGATAATCTCATCGGCGATGCGCTGAGCCTTGCGCTCCCGTTCCTTATAATCCGCAGTAGAACGATCGAGCTTTGTTGTGTATGCATCCTCATCGAAGCTAGCAGTGACTCCAAACAGGGTCTTATTAACAGCAAACTGGTCCCAAGACGTGTTATTGGCGCCGGGGCCAAACGTAGCCTCGTCGCCTTGGGCATACTGGGCAGGCATGGGAGCATCAGAAGAGGGTTGCCATGCCTGCAGTTCACGTTCTCTAGAACCGAGCTTCTTTTGGCTGATATCTGAGTCGGTCCGAAATGCTGAACACAGGATAAAAAAAAGCTCTTGTTATGGAAAAATAGATACTCACTTTCGCCGTTAGTCGGTTTAGCATTAGCTGGACCCGACGCCCACCTCTCGATGTTGGTAGAAGCTATAAAGATTTGGTCTTTGAGTTGGGCACCAGGGTTGGAGATCTCTTTAACATCTTTGAGGGTGACACCGGTCGTGTCGCCCTCACCGCTTGTCGAAGATATGACGCCTTCATAATGAATGGACGTCTTGGTCATAAGTGTAATAGTGGTACCCTAGAGATCATGAGCGTGGATAGCAGAAGATGGAGGAAATAACGCACAGTTAAACCTGAAAGTGACCGAAGGATGCTGTCTTCAGGCCTAGCACCATTTGCCAGACCCGAAGGGGGACTCGCGGGCTGTTGAGCATTTGGAGGGCGCGAAGGAGCTGGAGAGGCAGAAAAAGTAGGAGAAGCCCGCGCGCCTGTCCAAGCACTGAGAAATTTGAGTGTTAGAGCCGGCCAGGGGACATCCAAGGACAATAAGCATACCGAGCAGGCTCTGCGCCTTTCCTGAGAGGCTTTGGCTGTCGAGCAGTTGTGGTCATATCGGAAATTCAAGTGAGAAATAACGGCGACAAAGGCGCTGTATTGGAGAAATAAGACCTAATAGCAGACTAGGCTGGGGCAGATAGCGACGTCGTAACGAACGTTGACCAGCACGAGCCCACGATACGAATGCGAGCGTGAACGCTGACGATGCAGCTGAAATGGCGTCGAGCAGACCGTCGAAGACGACGACGAAAGAAAGTGGGACGGGAAGAGAATTTGGCTAGACTGTAAGCTGGTTACGACTTGACCTCTTCGGACATGGCCGACTACTTTCTGGATTGTGGGATTCACTGCTTCGATACAGCCCCCTGCCACCCATAAAATTGTTTCCGTCTTTGCCATCTCGGTTTCATTTTACTTTCATTCGCATCTGTCTCCTAGTGCAGAGATTCTGAATTACCGATAGTCCTTCACATTCCACCACCTGCTGTAGTTTTCAAGGAACAGTGCAATCAGACTGCCGAAGCGGAGTTTGAATAGAGTCCCCGGGGTCGCGACGCATGTCTGATCATCCTTCCGCCTTGAGTTTCAACAGTCGTCAACACATCAACAACTGCCGCTCCGCCGTCAAGTCCTGAAGATCATGATGATATGCCAGTGCATCGATGACACACGCGTCGCATATAAAATAGTGAAACTGTTTATTTCATAAAAATCTTATCCTCTGGAAAGACAGTTGGTGACAGGTCCTTACATGTACAGATCCAGATCTGGTTACGTACAGTCTATGAAGGGGAATCTGAATTCAGCCTTCAATATCGTTAACGGTCGGGAATTCCATTGGTCGCTCGCTCACGACATCGACGTCCAACTATTGAGTTGACCAAGGATGCGTGCGGGGGGAGCCGTATCTTGCTCCTATAGATACCCACGTGTTGAGGATCTTACCCTCGAGGCACCCGTCCTCATGGCCCTATTTTGATTCTATACAAAAGCTCATCTTCCGCATTCTAAGTGTAGTACAGACACTGCCATACAGCCCAGGCTAGTTCGAGGCCAGCTATACTCGCCTTCAATCAATCGTAGTGTATCTGTCGGCTTCTAGGCACCTATCTAGGCCAAGGTTTTCTCATCGCCTCTACTTAGATATCGATTGACAGCTTCCCGCCACCCAACACGCGAACTGTATCAAGGAGCTCGACCGGCGGTAGATGGTGCGTATTGATTGTTTCTCAATCTCTCGGCGCCTAATATTTCGCGTCGCCGAACCCTAACATCGAAACAAAACATGTTACGTTTATCTCCAATCTGGTCGGATAGAAACTTAAAGACTTGTTTTTGTGTTTCAATAAAAAAATCGACAGACGTGTGTTTTTGAGCGACACCGCGACGCTGTCAAAACCCAGTTCACCACAAACGCCGCACCCCGCCACCTCCTGCAGCTGCCTCGCTTCCTCTGATAGTCGATGTGTGCAACATTGAATTAAGCGCAGAATTTTTTCCGTTGCTCAGGGCCCTATCTTATAAGTATGTAGAAAAAAAGTTCAACCTGAAGGAGTGTACGATAATGTGACTATTTACTAAACTACGTACTCGGGTGTCGGTCTTTTCCGATAGCCGAATGCACCTGATTGATCACCGTGCTTTGCTTTACCGGTTGTCCAAATGGTGCATATGTACCACATACGGTTCACATTCCATCCTTCCACAACCACAACATGTCTTTCAAGAGCATCGTACTCAACGAACGGCCCAAAGGTTACATCGGCGAAACCACTTTCCGTTCTGAAAAGTGTCACCTAAAGGACTACGAACCCAAGCAAGGACAGGTCCTCGTCCAAGTAACATGGCTCTCCTTGGACCCAGCTATGAGAGGATACCTCAATGACGTCCGCAGTTATATGCCCCCAGTACAAATCGGAGAGGTTCGTTGTCACCGAATCTATTCGGACAGCTGACGGACGTGTCATAGACCATGCGTGGTGTCGGACTCGGTGTGGTGATAAAGAAAGGCGAAGGAAGCCAGTTCAGGATCGGTGATATCGTTTATGGAGGATTCGGTACGTGATTTCGCTAATATTTGATGATGTCCTACCGACGAACAAGGACAGGATGGACGGAATACGCGGTCATGGAAGACAAGAAGCTGAAGAAAATTACGTGTGTCTGGTGTTTATTACTTCAAATTGTCGGCGGATCGCTGAATCGGACCCGTTCAGAGTCCCACCAGGCGCAGAACCACTTGACTTTCTCAACTCTCTTGGACTACCAGGTGCGTCAGAGTTATCCAATCACTCTAGCTTCTTCTTAATGCCCGAGTTCAGGCATAACCGCGTATATTGTGAGGATTTTCTCAGAGCACAACCCATCATGATACTCAATTTGAAGCCAGGGCCTCAAAGAAGTTTGCAAGATCAAAAAGGGCGAAACTCTGGTGGTGTCTGGAGCTGCAGGTGCTGTCGGGTCACTAGTTTGTCAACTCGGTAAACGTGCAGGAGCAAAAGTGATTGCCATAGCCGGAACGGATGAGAAATGCAACTGGTTAAAGAATGAAGTTGGTGTCGACGAAACACTGAACTACAAAAGCCCGACGTTTGCTCGAGATTTCAAGAAGCTAGGATATGTTGATGCCTACTTTGACAATGTTGGCGGTGAGTCGACATACACAGAAGTTATTAGGGTACATTCAACAGGGTCATAGGCGAAATGTTGGATCTGGTCTTGACAAGGTTGAACAAAGGCGCGCGCATAGCCCTCTGTGGTAAGTTGGTCTTTTTTACTATCCCCGGCTGTACTAATTGGAACATTTATAGGTGCTATTTCAGCATATAGTGAGTAACACAGGCTTTCAATGTACTTACTGGTGTACTAACTGTCTGCGTAGACGAACGTCCAAAAGGATTGAAAAACTATCTGACCCTCATTTCGCAGCGCGCAACGATGCAGGGCTTCATAGTGCAAGCGCTCTTGCCCTTCTTTCCTTCCCTTCTACATGCTGACTATCGATTTATCAGTTTTGATTATGATTCAATGTTTGATGAAGCTGTTACCGAGATCTCAAAAGGACTTGGCGATGGATCGTTGAAGCGGAAATTCCACGTTATTGAAGGACTGGAGCGCGCACCTGCCGCCCTACCCATGCTTTTCAGCGGGCAAAATAACGGGAAATTGTAAGTTGATTGCCTCATACATTACCATCGCTAGCTGATGTTTCGTTTTGCAGAGTTGTCAAAGTGTCGTCTGCACCTCAGTCGAGGCTATGAATGAATCGGTAATAGTTACATAGTTACTTGAATACCTACATGCTCGCAATTTACGACATCTGATAAACGAATCTGACTTCTGTGTGGCTGTGTTGGATCGATCATATTTTTGGACCACAACTTCGCGTCTTTTTGTGCAACGAACACTGATCTCCTAGTAAACTATGAATTCTAGATGACAAGAAGGACGTGCTCTACCGATTGTTGAAGATGCCCTGAAGATCTTTCATATCCAGGATATGTGCACCAGCGTCTTCCAATTCGACCTCGACCGCTGCCTCAATGGCAGCTGCTGGCGTCATTCCTCCCCCATATAGTACCTCTAGACGGTCATACGTCCCGTGGGCACCCCGTATCAACAGCACCTCGTTGCCACGAGCCACAGCAGCGCTACAAGCTACGCCGATTCAGGGCTTAACCAGAGGCAAAGGCCAAGTAGACTCACTCGATTTGAGTGCGAAATCCGAAAGTAAACCTATGATCACTATCTCGGCATGCGGATGGATAAGGTCACCCAACTCTGTGCCGGTGAAAGCGTTGTTCTTCAACTTATCAATAACGTGCTCCTGTGGAAGCGGCGCGTACAGGAGCTCCCAGCCCGGAGTATTTGGTTCATCAGCGTCTCCTGCATCTCCCGTATTTCGAACGTGAATTATCATCGGTGGCGGATGTGCGGTACGAGCTGAATTCAATATTTGTTCGATATTTCTGCGGATGGATATCGACGAAGGGACACCTGCTGGCGGATCAGCAAGGAGAGCGACTTGAACGTCTAGGAGGAGGAGAACACGCATTGGATTGCTGGGCATCGTAGAAGGAGGTCCTGGAGGATGTGAATGGAAGCTAGACCTTTACAGCGTTTCTGGTCTAGCACGAGGCAGTCAAGAAGCAGTCACAGGGCCCCGATCACATACTCGCCACTGTTGGTAGAAATAAGATTCAAAGTAGTAGCTGCTCGTGCCTAATGTTCCGTGATTGTTATCGATCAGAGTCTGGGCCATGCTAACTCTTTCTTCAACCTACTAGTTACGGTCGATGCAGCGCTTAGCCATGTCTATTGATGCAGCAGAAAATGTTCTCCTTTGAAACATAGATGTGCCCCAAGTGTCAGAAGAATTAACTATCTACCCTAAGTATATCCTAGCATATCCAGCGCTTATCTGGTAGTAGGCCGGCGGGAGAAAGTCTTCCGAATCGACGTCAGCAAGTGACCATTCATCTCCGATTCGACCCATGGCTCCAGGAATTCGCAGTGTTCCGATCAACCAACCAGCGTATGTATTTTGGTATTATTACAGCGCTTCCGGAAAATAATGAGAATCGCCAGAAATGACGTCGTCATGTTTGCCATGTGAAACCACTTTGTAAATACATATACATCGTTGAACCGTTCGCGTTAGCCCCTGAGCCATCCAAGAAGAAGAGACGTCGCCAAATGTGTCGAAGGGTTATGACCAAACTGAGTAAATTTATCAGAATAATCGGTCGATGTAACTGATGACGCCATTTTCTGCCATTCCCATTATTTTCCGGAAGCGCTGTAAAAAAAGGACATTTGAAGCCAACATGTTCAACGGCCAAATCGTTCCGGCATTGCTTCTTTAGTTCGCCTGATCTGCTCTTCGCCTCGTGTAGGATGCACATATGCTTCGTCGTGTCATCTGCCCTTGAACCGGCTCCCCCCCTCGGTCTGACGACAACAATCGCGTTTGTTTAGTTTCGTCATGAAAACAGTGCCATGGTATCCTTGGGCTTTCGCGTTCTTCCTGGGTACCGATCTGGCCTGCGCGGAGCAATGCCGTCTTCAATACAAACAATCATCGACGGTATCAACTGGAGTGAACGTCACACCCCCCAGCAGCGGTGCCTCGACGTCCTCCCGACCAACAGCAGCAGCGACGCAGTCCGGGCCAACGTCCACGCCATCGGCAACTCCGTTTGACTATGGGAACGAAACTATACGCGGGGTAAATCTGTGAGTGTCACCGGCCTTTACGGATCAGAATAATTTGCTGAAGCTGATAAAGAGGTGGATGGTTTGTTTTGGAGGTAAGTACACATTAGAGAATCCTTACAGGTACTGATCTGTCCTAGCCGTGGATAACTCCCAGCATATTCCAGAACACGAACAACGATGATATTATCGATGAATACACCTTTGGGAGCATGCAAGACTATGACCAGGCCCTTGCTGTCCTGAAGGAACATTGGGACACGGTACGCGTCTTGAAATTAACTGCGTCCTCCGTGACTTACCTACTGATCCTCAGTGGATAACCGAAGATGACTTCGCAGCCATCAACGCTGCTGGGCTAAACCATGTTCGGTACGTGGCAAGCTGTCTCATGACATGCCATACCCTCAACAGTTCTGTCAAAGTATTCCATTAGGCTACTGGTCAGTCCCCATGACGTCCTCGGACACTAACAGCGGCACATCCGTCTCGCCTTATGTCCCCGGTGCATGGCAATACCTCTTACGCGCACTCAACTGGGCAAAGGCTCACGACGTTCATGTCATCCTGGATCTTCACGGTGCCCCAGGGTCGCAGAATGGCTACGACAACTCCGGACAGCGCACGTCCAACCCACAATGGGGATCCAACGCCACAGACGTCGCTCGCACCGTCGACACGGTGAAATACATCGCCCAGCACATTGGTGGGATGATCGATGTACTTGAACTGCTAAACGAAGCAGCAGGGTTCACGTCTAGCGCTTGGGCTGCAGTCATCAGGCAATTCTTCCAAGACGGCTACGATGCCGTAAGAGAGGTGGCACCCAGTGGCATGAAAATCATGATTGGCGACGCGTTCCTCACTGTAGACGTGAGTTTGGAACGAGGCATATATATCTCCATTTAAACATTCTGACATTTTGCAGGCGTGGACGGATTTCCTTACCGCACCGAATGGTACCGGCGTGATGATGGATTATGTGAGCTTTACTTTATTGCAAGAGTCTAAATTCTGTGCTCATTAGAACCTCTAGCACGAGTATCAGATATTTAGTGACGCTGAACTTTCACGATCTCTTGACGAACACGTATCCGTACGCTTGCTTTTATCTTTGTTATTTTGTTTTTGTATTAACATATTCTGCAGTTCGCATGTACTCACATCCCCGATCTCACTTCGTTTGCCCGTTCCAACCTATGGACAGTGTTGGGTGAATGGTCGAACGCGCCCACAGACTGCGCTCAGTGGTTAAATGGGAGGGGTGTTGGTGCACGGTGGGACGGCACGATCACTGCAAACTCCCAGTACCTTGGGTCTTGCAATGGGTGGACGGGAAGTTCGAGCAACTTTTCGGATGATTACAAGACGTTTTTGAGGAAGTGAGATGTCTTTTGCACATTTCCTTTCGTCATATGGGAAACTTACGTGCATGATTAGATATTGGGAGGTACAAGTCGAGGTTGGAGAAGCTGTACAAGGATGGGTGAGTCGGTTCTTTGGCTTGTTCAGTGTTTGCTCAGTCATCTTCGCAGGTTTTCTGGACGTGGAAGGCCGAGAACGCTGATGAATGGAGCTATCAGAAAGGGCTCGAAGGTGGATGGAGTAAGTCCTAGAACTGTCTCCTAGCAAGTTCGTCTCTAACATTCCCTTCAGTTCCTACAGATCCTACAGATAGATTATATCCAAACATATGTTCATAGAAGCATATCATGACGGACGATACATAGATTATAATTCGCCGGCTTTGCTCCTTTCCGAGCTTTTTAGAGCAGACTATCCAACCAGACATTATTCGATGGCTTTGATATTGCACATGATATATTGTTGTACATCATAAATTATCCATATTATTGAACGATGGCATCAAGGTGACTCGAAAAAAAGTTTAACGTTCAAGGTCCAGGAGAGGCCGGTGGCTGTGCTCCAGTCAGTCAACAGAAATACAAAACTATTAGAGTGACCTTACATCATCTGCATTACAGATTGTCCCCTTCGGGGTGACATACGAAAAAATTGGAACGATACAGAGAAGATTAGCATGGCCCCTGCACAAGGATGACACGCTTTCCCGGAGTGGTAGATCTACGGATCTCAATATTTATTTTATTTTGCGTCCAAGTCAATCTTTGTGTCAGTCTTGAGTCTATCAATTTTTTTGTCCTTGCTTTACGTTGTTCGGTCCGCTGATTTGCATCGGAAACAACGATTTTCACTTCGAAAGTACAGGGTACAACTACAACGCCCCCCAGGGATGTAGCGTGCAACATTGGACTAAAACGTAACTCGACCAGTTGTTCAACTCAAAGGCTCCCGCGGATACTTCCTACAAGCTGCAAGGTACTCCCCTTCGTCTTCTAGCGAGAACTCGACAGGCTTAGTTAGCGGAATGATCCCTTCGCCTCTTTCTTCGAGCTCCTTTATCCTCTTCATCGTAGCCGGGCGTTTCTTGTTAACGCTGTACAGCTTGATGCGATGGCACGAGGACGTAACATGAAGATCCCAGCTGTGAATTGTTCATCAGTAAATTCAGTAGCCCTTCTCAAGTGGACACTGGAATGGCCTACTTCCACGCGGAACGAACAAAAGTCGGCTCTGTGTTATTGGAAGAGTCCCAAGTCCTGACACAGAACTCAAGCCACCCTTCGGCTTCAACGGGGATATCGATCTTCCATAAGCGCCAGGTGTGGTAGTGCTGGGAACCGTATCAGGAGAGATATTCCACTGCTTCACGAAGTAACGTACCTTCTCGGTCATGTCATCAGGGTCGACGGCATACCAGACGCTTCCGCTAGCAGTGAGAAGACGTTAGGTCCAACACAATACCCGTAAAAAAAGCCTGACCCATCAGGAGAGACCTCGACTCTTTCGACCCAGTTTCCTCCTCCACTATACGCCCAGCCTCGTAAAGTTATCGAGCCATCATGAACGATGACCTCCTTGTCTTGCGGAGTGATAATGGCGCTCCTGTAATGCGAAGGTTAGATTAAGCATACTACTGTCCTACTCTGAGCAAGATCCACATACGACACGGGCATCTGCTGGATGGAGAATCCATTTGAATATTTCGCGTTCTGTTTTCCAATCTACCAAGATGATTTAGCATCCACCCAAGGAAGTAGAGCAGAATCCATACCTGTGAAGTGTAATACAGATACTCTTGCCTCTGAACTGGGCCCATGCTAGACTCGGTGAGAGCGTTGATCCTGTACACCCACTTGCAACTCCTAGCGCCGATATAACCAGTGACGACAAGGCGAAGCGGGTAACCATGAGACTTGGGTAACGGCTCGCCGTTCATCTCCCAAGCTAAGAGCACTTCCTCATTTTGTCGGACCTTTCTCCAAGGAACAGAGACTGCGTAGTTGAATACATTGTTCTTCCTATCGGAAGGTGAACGTAATGCAATCATAAGAAGGGATGCACCTACTTGAAATATGTATCAGCACCGATAAATTCGAGGTGTTGACACTCGGGCAGGACACCACCACAGGCCTTTTTCAAAACTTTCTTCAATGGCACACCGCGATATACAGCAGTCCCGCTAAGGAAAACAGTCAGAAAGTGCGACTGCACGGGTGGAATAGGAAACTAACATGGCACCCTCACCTATACCAGAAGTCGTTAGAGACACAGCAAACTAGAAAGTCAGAAACTTACCCCACGGTGCGTTAATGAGCTCGTCTCCATCTCCCGGATACTGATTAATTTGTTCAATTCGGCGCTAGAATTCGACGTTAGACTCTGTCGAAGGTAAAAATGAATTAAAGTATGATTACCGTTCCACTGCATTGCAGTGTTACAGTCACTTCGGTCTGTCTGAACGACGGATCAGAAGGAAGGGACATTTATAAGATCGCATACTCACGGAAATTTGGATGGATCCTTGATATCTTTCATGGTTAGTTTGACGGGTTTGTTGACGAGCCCACCGATCTCCAACTCGAACGCGTCTTCGTCGATATCAGGAATGCCGCCATGGTTTCGAATGCTGGTCCATACGTTATATTTGGAGGAAGATCGCGAAGACCAAAGCACTCACAAATGCCACTTGTTATCGGTAATCTTTCCGGATAACAGTTGATCGCGTCGAGTCTCTCCGTTGTACGGAAAATCCAATAGATGGATAAGGTCAGGCTTCTCCTTGAGCACCGTCTCCCAGCTAAAGTCTACGATACCCTTCAAACCTAAGAGTTCGTGATACTCCTTCCAGCGATGTCCGATTAAGATGGGATTAGTCTTGGGAAGGGGAACAAACTGAAATTCTATAAAGGATGTCAGTTCTACGGTTCAGCAGTGGCATCGACGTAAAAACCTGGAATCGGCGTGAATTCGGACTGATGAGCTTGAAGTATGTGCGACGCGACCGCTTTGCGGTTGGGGTACTTCTCCCACTCGACATATCTGGTATGACATCAACATACCGTATCTGATGGTCGTGTAAAGACAAACCCCCTCCATCCAAGTTTTTCCTCGGGGAAGAGTCTACTGACATCGAAAACCTTGGAGCTGCTGAACGATAGCTGCGATGGACTCAAGAGTGAACCGTTAGCTTCTGAATGGGTAGAGCTTGTACTCATGGCGAGATGGGAAAGGACGGAGATCTTTACTACTTCGGTAGTATATATATCTCCAGAACGTTGGGACAGCGGGACTTTTCGTCTCCACAATCATTGAACGTTTCGGCATCTGATACTTCGCATCCTGTGGACATTGAACGAGTGCCCTTTGAAGCCACCATAAGCTTTGGACTTTCAACCAAACCATTGACAAATAGTGAATAAAGGACACGAAAGACATGTAAAATGAGAATATGTACCATGAAAGCACTGCGAAATCGCATATGTCCATCGGTGCCAATAAGAGCCAAGAAGTATGTCATGGTCAAGGATAGCCAGGGTGTTCACACGACGCCCGATAATATAACTGAGAAGTAAGGCAGGCAATGTCAATGTAGAACTCGGAGTAGGATACCAAGACACAGAAAGCAGGAGGTTTGCGGTGATTGGTTGAGAACTGATATAGATATCATCAAACGGCTTCTTACTGTAGGCAGGTGATCATCTGTCTGCAGTAGGTTCACCTATTTTTTCCCCATGTCATACATAATTCTTGCGTCCATCACTAGAACCTCGTCGATTACCAGTCCCCGGTCGGAAGAGAAGCAGAACACCTGTTGCTCGTATCCAATTATTGTATGCATATTACAAAGATCCTTCACTGGATTGTAGTAGAGAGGAATGAACGGTGTGGGGTACAATATACAAAACTGAATGACAAGCCTTAATATTACAGCAAGACTGACACACAGTATCACTATCAGTATATCTGAGGCGGCCAATCCGGAAGAGATGTGAGCGCCGCATTGCAAGCCTCCCGAACACGACGTTTACTAGCCATGTCACCCGACTGGCGATAATTCTGAAACACCTCGTGCATCTGGAACGAGGATGCGGCCACGGAATCTGTGATACAATTCGACGTCAGTCAGCGGGAAGTGAAAAATGAACTAGAACCGTACCAAAGTTAAAATCGGCTTCCTTTACCAACTGTGGTCGTTATGTGTCATTCATTGATATACAGACATAAATGAAGATGTACTGTACTCACCCCTTGAAGACGCATAATTTCCTGCTGTATCTGCGCAGGGTGATATCCACCGCCTCCATATTGCATCTGCACCTGAAGCTGTCCGATATTGTCCTGCAGCTCCTTCTTCCTTGCCTCCCATGCATCCTTGACTGCATCGAACGTGCCCAGCAACTGCTTCCAGGCATATGTGTCCCACGACTCGAGTTCAGCCTTGTGCGTCCGCAGGTATTCCCGCGGGTGTGAAAAGCCTGTAGGTGATTTGGACGTTATCGGCGTTGGTGGCTGCTGCTGCTGCTGAGTGGGAGTGGGATTCGTCGTAGAGCCATCCCATCCTTGACCGAGAGATGAATAAGGATCAAACTGTGCTATATAACCGGGGTTGTTCTGGAGCTGTTGTTGTGCTGGATTGTATGCCTGCGGTTGTGATTGAGCCGTTTGTCCTTGCAAATATCCGTAGCTGCTTCCTTGGGGGCCTGATGCCACAGGCTGGCCCATCCATAGCTGACCAAAACCAGAGGTTTGCTGAGGGCTGACGGGGCTTAGATATCCTCCTGGTGAACTGTATCCCGAATTATATTGCGGCGACTGCTGCTGGAAGCCCGTCGGTTGCTGCTGCTGATATGACGAGCTTACACCGGGCTGAAGCCACGATGTGAACTGGCCGTTGGAAGGGTCTGCGCCTGAAATATCGGGAAAGCGACGCTCTGAGTTGGTGGGATCGGTTACGAATGGATTGTTAGTGATTTCTGGGCCAGATGTGCCATAGCCATTGTACATATCAGAAGAAGAACCAAGAGGATAGGGTTGACGATGGCGGTGAGAAGGTGAGCGGTCGGTTATACTGACTCCCGGCTTACGGATGGCTGATGCTGTGCCGCTGTCTAGATTTGCGTCTCTCCAACAATAATCCACATACAAGGTATACAGTACATTCTTGTAGGCTGTCCATTAATCTCTACAAATATGCTACACCGCCGCTTTCATTTTCTCGGGACCTTTGGCGCCGGTATCAGTCCAAGAACTCCAAAAGTAAGCATATAAACGCCGGAAGCTACAAAAGACCAAGAACATTAAATTCATAGGACAGCATAAAATGAAACCATACGCACCAGCAACAATAGCTTTCAGGTATCCTAGACCTGACCATTCTCCCAGGGTCACTACTAGGAGTAACCAGCCTCCAACAATTGAGGATGTCAACAGCTAGGGATGGCTGAATGAGCGCCCAACACAGTGCAAGCTGTCACATACAGGTATTACGGTTGACAGAAGTCCCGATTCCCTCCAAGAGCGAAACTAGGAGCTCCGTCAGCCAAAGGAAACGTCCTCGACGCAGCGGCCACGCACGTTTGGCTCTTCTCCCTTCCGCCAGGGAGTCAACATAACATAGAGGAATAGTCCGATAGTCGTGAGGCCCAGGAAGAGGCTACTCAAAGCCGCCGTCCTAGAGACTCGTCGTCAGCATTAAAACATTAATTACCTCACCGTGAACTTCACGCGCCTGCCCCAAGTCTGCTCTTGCTGCTGGATTTCCCAAATTTCCTTCCACGTTCCAAAGAAATAGGTGATAAGAACTCCAGGTATCACCAGCCTCAGCTGTCGAATCTGGTGCTGAGAGGCAAGCATATCGTGGAAGTAGTCGAGAACCACTCTAACCCCAAGAAATGGGTAAGCTTGAGAATTCTAGGGCCAGAAGCCCTTTTATCACATGTTATTTGATCACCATGATCAGGAAACGAGAGGCTCTTGCACGCACATCCACACAATGACGCATGATTCACGATAATCGTACAAGAAATTCAAATTACATACAACGACTATTTCCACTTTAGTAACTACTAGCTTTACTTTCCTCCAATAATTTGGAGGAGACTACTAAGTCCTTCCAGTTCCGACATGTGATTTAAGCAGAAAACTGAAGAAATTGTGAGGGAAGTTGAGGGTAAAAAAAAACAATGACACGAACCTGGACAGTCAAAGAATCCGGCCAAGGAATGACCTTACCATCCTCACTCAAATACATCTGAGTTGTGCAACCTTGGTGTATTTCGGTGAATCTAATAGGAACGTAAGAAACAATAAATGGCGCAGAGCATGAACACATGCCGTTTGAATCCCTTCTTAAGAGTAATGCCGGGAAGCGAAAGAATCTCATACAGGATTCTTGGCGCCACCTGAAGACATGCATTATTAGACGGATTCTAACAGGCGGTTGAGTGCAACGTACTGCATCAAAGAATGGTGCTGAAAGAAGGCTGTAGAGACGGATATTCAGCAGGCGCGTGAGGTCGCTGATGATACAACTCACCCATAGTCCGCAAGTCCCAGAACAGGATGAGCACCAGCTGTTCGAGTTTTGTTCGCGTCAATGATGCTCGCATACACCTTGGTGCCGGAGTTGACGCTGGCATTGCTACTGAGCAGCAGGTTGCGTTGCGTGAGGCGGCTTGTCAGGGCCAACGGTGGGTCAGCGCCTAAGAAATCGAGTTCAGCTATGACCGTTGTAAAAATGAAGGGCTTGAAACTTACCCAGTGCTTCGCGGACATATTGCATGACCTTGGCATCTCCAACTTTGTTCTTCAGCGCAGCATTTTTGACTAAATCTTCTTTTTGTAGCTGTCTGTCCACGTCAAGGTAGTAGTTAACCACATGTGCGATTGCCTGAGAAAAGTGGGCCGCTGTAGGCACGAGCTCGCAGAATAGGGAGGCAGCTAGAGCGGACGCGCTGTGTCCAGGGGTGCCGTCTGTGCGGTTGTGCTCAGCTTTGTACACGTTTTTTAGGAAGGTCTTAGAGCGGTTTTCGGGGTCAGGTCCAGTGCGAGAGGAAGACGCGAACCATGAAGAAAATGCGTGGAGGTTGTCTTTAACCTTGTCGAAGAAGCGTTTGTAAGTAGTCGCTGAACTTTCACGAAGGTGCCAGTCGTTCGAAGGATCAAAGTTGACGTAGAGGTATCTAAATCGTAGCGGATGAGATAAATCAGGGGGCAGAAATACAGAAATACTCACTGGGCAACGGTAGCAAACATATCGTAGTACTGTGACGCGGTGAAGGTGTCCTCAGAGCTAGTAGACGCGAGTGGCAAGCCCGCCTATTCTCGAGTCAGTCGACATTCAAACCAGAGGAAACTGAAGGACACGAACAATTTCTTGGCAGATCCACTTGATTGGAAGAACATTGATCACATCTCGCACAATGTCGATGTTCTTTTGCTTTTGACCGAAGCTCTTCTTTTTAATGAGATTCTCGGTGGTCAATGCGAAGTATGACGTCCATCCATCTGCAGTGATATATTTTGAGATCTGGATGTATAATGAGATAGGTTCGACGGTAGTAGGAAGTGAAGTTGCACACCAAAGATCTGTTCGGTGCATGCCCGATCATCAACTCCTGCAAGCGCTTCTCACTTTCAAAGTTCGGGATCCCGAGAACCGTCTTTACGTCATCATAAGCATTCACTGCTACCGTCACCGTCGTTGCAGGACGGTTCCAGTCATACTTTGCTAGGACCTGAGGCGCAATACTTTTGGTCCCCTTCATGTACGTCGGGTCCAGGAAGGGAAAGTGTGCATAAACAGAACGAGGTGTATAATGGTTAGGTAAGGTGCGGAAGAGGAGTTTGGTGAGAAGACCGCCATAAGAACCGTCTTCCTTATCGAATTGGCAGTCTTGGTAGCCGAATGCAGTGAGGTTGAATGCTAAGAGGTATGCGTTAGTTTGTAAGCAGAGTAGATATAAGCGAAAGTGACCCACGGGTGAAGTCGACGGTCAGGAAACGGTCACCACGAGTGAGACATACCGCATCTGCAAGGATGGCTCGCGAGATTGTGTATCCAGGGCACAATCCGGCGCCTGGCCCTGGTTCTTTAGTTTGCTCTGCTTGAAGACCGACCTGAATCTGGCGTTAAGCTTGAATCAAATAGAAGCCTGCAGTGAGACGCACGTGTAGCTCGAGGTTTTCGATATCTCCGTATAGAGATGCAGCTGCATCCTAGAAACACATCAATGCCTTCTGGCGGCTGTGACTGAATGCGATACGTACAGCAATATCTTTATCAGGGTTCCATTCCGTAAAGCTGGTGTATGCTAGAGGATATCAGTCAGTATTCCTTTGAAGTCTTACAATCCAAGGTCGCTCTCACGTTTGAGTCCTATGAACTTCCTGAATTCATTCAGCTGGGGACAAATTAGACAGAATCGACAACATCAGAGGAAGCTCTATTCACCGAACAGGTTCCCCAGCTACGCGCTTGGTTAATTCCTAGTACCTCGACTACTCTCAACGCTTCGGGAATACCGCGGGCTTTGAAGGCACCGGCACGGTTCGATGTTGCATCCTGAAGAAGCTTAGCAAGATCTTCGTCCTTGAATCGCCCATCGTTCCCCCGTTTGAGACTAGGACAAATGTCAGGTTTTAAAGAATCGTTCACCGAGAGATGGACGGTTACTCATGGAATGTCCATTGTCTGATGTCCGCAGGGGGCTTCAAAGCCTGCCCGACTATCGCATGGAACTCCTGGGTAGTAACCTGCCAAAGTAGACATTAACTAAAACCGTCAGTCAGGTGAAGGTAAATAACGTCACCTCTGCCGTCCCTTGACTCTTGAACAACTGACGGAATGTGTTCTGTAACCATTGGGTGTCATTCTGAGAGAGAGTAGCGTGCCATCGGTAGAGAAGGTTGAATTCAACCGATACAACATTGCCTTCTCCTCGCGGCGAGAAAGTATGGTCGGATCGGCGAATTTCCTGTACACGCTCAATGGAGATCAAGCTAAAGTTGATGCAAGTTTCTGTACCTTGAGAGGATCCAGACGCCAGGAATGTCCATCCCGAACTAGTCCAAGGATAGCACCTACGTAATCTAGAGAGCGCCGGATTAGCTTCAACAATGCTTACATACAGTAGCGACTTACCGCCAAGGATTATTTGCATGAAGTAGCCACAGTTGACAAGACGGGTGCGAGCGAAGATTTCATCGTCCTGAGCAATTCGGCTAGCTTCGTCTGTGAAGGTTTGGGTGTACTTTCCATGCTCGTTAATGGCAAGAATTTTTTCGGCAATATACTACACGCAAGTGTCAGAGCGAAACAATTTTTTGAAGAACGCAAACAAACGTTATGGTTTCGACATAACAAAACCAGAAGGGCGCAGGAGGCCGCCGGCATCAAGAGCAACCTGCTGTCGGCAAACACATCATCCCACAGTCTTCCTGTCCCGTCTTTCCTTCGGACTTTGTCGACTTCTGCCTCCGAGGATCCATAAAGAATGCTAAGATCGAGATAGCTACTCGATTTATTGATATTCCAGTCATTGGAGTCTGTGTTGAAACAGCTATGGATCACGAGGTCGGCAAAGGCGAAAAATAAACTGGAGATGCCGCCGGGATGTTCCTTGAATTCATCACGTCGCAATAATGTGTCGAATACAAGATCGGGGTCTGGAAGGCTGGAAGCGGGGATACTGCGCAATGCTGGGACGGAACGAGCGTAGGGTACTCCAGCCTTTCCCATTGCAGGGAAGAGGATGTTGTAGTTGGAACCATCCGCGGATCGAGCAGCATAAATTGGGTTGGCGATAATTTCAGTAGGTGCTGAAAGGTGCGTCGCAGTGCCGCCAACATAGCTGCTGGGTGGATGAGGCAGGTCTTTGTACACTGTAATATTGGTATGAGGACAAGAAAACGTGTTCGATAATACCAGGTATCCTCACAGGTATCAATTAGGAAATCCTGTATCGTCCCCGAAAGGTGTTGAAGTGTCGATCCTTCAGACTCGCTCAGACGCGACATCAACACGATGAGCTTCTCGAGCTACACAATTGACCGGTGTCAAAGCATTGAAACAGTGTGGAACCATTGCCATACCAGAAGATACCGGTCATTGAGACTCTCGGTATGGACGGCTGCATCGAGATATGCTTTCTATTGTGGTTGTGAATACAGCCAATGGCGACAACAAGAAAACCCTCACGAGGTCAGAAGGCTTGACCAAAGGATCCTCGACATAGCTCTCGAGCTTCCTAATCGCTTCTTCAATAGAGCCCAGCATTGTTTGATTCAGTAAGGGCCGATGATACAGGGATGAATAAAGGGAAGGGCAAGGAGAAGAAGGAAGGAGAGAAAGCTGCCTTTTGTAGGTGCTCTCATCAGAAGCGCCCACTGACGCCTGTCTGTCATAATCACGGAGGCTAAGACCGGAGCCGCGACGAGAAAGGCTGCGCACAAATTCATACAACGTGATAGGACTGAATTTACACCAACCCTGCACTGCTAAAACACCGCCCCGCATCAATCACCAGTATATACCTCCATTCCATCCGTCAATTATTTAATTCGTCATTAGATTTCCCGCTCATCATCAATGATGGCCCACAATCCAGAACACTGCCAGGTATTCTGAACGAAGGCCGCTCATCGCCAGTCAGATTGGAGCATAGCCATACTCATATATTGTGTTGGTGATATACATATGCTAGAATATTTCTTACCGTAGGTGTATGTAAATGAAAGCAAGGAACCACAGATCAGGAACGTCCAAACAACGTTCTCCTACCTTCCTCCTTCTCCTGTGCCTCTGTACCTTGCGTCAAGGTCGATTTCCAATGACCATGGGCCTTCTGGTACATCCTCCACGTCTCCGAAGTCCACATGTTCTCCTTCAACTGATGAGCTTTCTGTCGCGCGACTCGCGTCCGTCCTATCAGTGAGTTCCCTGCATACGATATCAATTGACCCCCGATCTCCTTCAATTCCTTAGCTTTATCTTTCGCTCTCTCATGGCGGTGTTTAACGGCCTCCCGAACAACTTGGGATGTTGATCTGGATTTATAAAAGATAGTATCCGTTTGCCGTCTGATCGCTCGGGAAAGCTCATCAATCGCTTCCATCAACTCTTTCAAATCATGTTGGACAACCTCGATCAGTGCCCTCATAGTAGAGTCCAAGATGTGCGAAAGTGAATCCACGGCGCGGATGCTGAGTGAGGTAAATGACTCCGCAGACTTGGACAGTTCCTTGGGCGCCACGATGGGACGCGCGACGGGCGCTGGCGAACGGATAACAACATCCTTTGATAATCCCATTCTCTCGGACCAGCTGAGGGGCTTGCAATCGCAATCATCAGATGGGTCCTTGGGGCTATTAGCTGGGGTAGAATCGGCGGTCTGAGCAACCCGTCCTGCAGATGGACTGCTGCTCGCTGAAATAGCAGTGGAACCGCGATTGTACAGAGACAGTGACGCAGACTGAGGAACAACTGCAATGCTTGTGGAAGAACGCAGTGAGAGCGAGGAGGATTGATTGGTAAACACATTCCAGAAGGGCGTCGGAATGTGTGTTCTAGCGGTTGGGGTTGGAGTCGTCACAGATGAGCTTAACGCGGTATTAACAGTGAATCCGACTATCAAGGACAAAAGGGCGAAACTAGAGACGGAAATTAGAACCTAGATAACATTAGGGTAGACTGACATACAACGTGACTGCGTGAACGGAGGTAAAGTGTTCGGATAGTCCTTTGCCTGGACGCTTCTTGGCAGTGATCTGTCTTATGCCATTATAGACATCAACGGCGTGAAGGCGTGAAATTTCTTCCATGCAAAGGACAGGCGAGCGTAAGCCCTTCTGCACGTGTAGAACCTTCTCGGCTGGAATACGTAGTTCAGACCATGCAGATTCTGCGCGGTCAAGAGCATCCAGGTCGACCCCGTCTTCTCCCGGAAGAGGTGCAGCAACGGGAAGATGAAAAGTATGCACAGGAAGAAAAGAGAAGGGTGTGCAAGGAAGATATATAATTCCAAGGGAAGGCCGGTTCGAAGAAATCTCCGAACTCGGCTACGATACATTGATGTTAGTGTCAAGAAAAGAGAGGAAAGATACGCACGCTATCTTGACCGGTTCTGTCGTAGACCGCGACTGACTTGAAAATATCTGTGGAGTCCGCGATAGAGAAATGAAGCAATTGCGCTGTGCCCAAGGCCATATGTTCAATGGAAGCGAGACGGATGCCTGCTCCAAGAGAAGCCTTTCGCAGCAAGTCATGGACTACGGTCCACTTGACAGAGGATGAAGTTCCATACAAAAATATGTCGTATTCCACATCACCGAAGTCAATATCTCGGGTGTCTGTAGGACTCTCGGGTGTGGGTAACAGGCCCGGATCCGTGACAGGCGACGAGTCATTCACGGTGACTTCCGTGATAGCTTCTTCACCCTCCAGGGAGGGTAATTCGTGGTTCGACGAAGAGACATTGTCGTATGAACCGCTCAATTGTTCATGAGAGCTGGTCAAAGGATCGGGGAAAGACAACTTGAGGTCTCGGAGTGAGCTATGAACAGTAGAGGGATGTGAGCTGCTTCGGGAGGCACCCAAGGTGCTTATCATGCTTTGATCCAAAGCCTCTCTGACACGCTGCTCTTCTCCCTCTAAATCGAGGAGAGGTCCCATGAATAGGCCGTCTGCCACTGCTCCTGTCGACTCGAATTCGTTAGAATGACCTTCGTCAGAGCTATCATCAACAAAGCCTTCCCAAGCATCTACTTCACCATCTCTAGAGCTGCCAATGCTCATGGAGGAGCGTCGGGAGAGAGGTATCACTACCTCATTGTGATCACTGTCCCGCGACGATACCGACTCATTGTCATCGGATTCGCGATTGCTGGCGATGTCGAGCCAGTCAGAGTCAGAAAGACTGTCCTCAGACAGTCCAGGCGATTGAGGATAATCTGACATATCGTAAGTAGCGTCGCTGCTAGGAGATGTATCGTTCATGGTGGTCAGGAGTAGGGAAGCTGAAAGGGCAACGGGAGAGCCGAATGAGTAACCTTCGGCAGTTTCGGCGCTAGTAATGACATAAGAATCAGATTTCAATCTTATCAGATAACTTTTAATCTTGTCTGCCAACTACTCTTTCCTCACGACTTTCATGTCCTCCTTCTTTCTTACGCTCCCGGAAGATGTCTTATTAGCAATTTTCGCTCGACTTCCTGTCGAGGATCTGCTCTCTTTAATCCAGGTACGTAGTTCTCCTTCTTGGTATTGCGAAGATTTGTCATTATATTCAATGATCATGACACGCAGACATGTCGTGTCCTCCATGCATTGGGCTCCACGGATTATGTTTGGCACCAAATCAAAGTCGATCTCCCTCTGGACGTTCCTCCAGGCAAGGACATAAAATTAATTTCCGGCCCAGAACTCCATCGAGCTTGGGTGCGAAGTTTACGTCTTGAGCGCAACTGGCGCAGACATGCTTCGCGACTTAGGAAGATGTGCCGCATCATGCACGGTGGTATCGTCTTCCGAATCCAATTTCTGGGATCCCAATGGTTAATAACCTTGTCTCGTGCTCCCACAAGCGCATTGTGCCTCTCTGTTTGGTATATTGGTGTACCAGGCAAGGAACGGCGGTATCTGTCGATGGACGTGCCGTCCGCCACGACATTCGCTGCATCCTTGCAGAATGATGGGCGCGATGCAATTGTTGCCGTCCTCATGGATGGTACTCGAACGACGTGAGGCGTTGATCGCTTTCATCTGTATTCTACTTATCAAGAAAACAGCAAGGTCAAAGTATATTCCATCGCGCTCGAGAGTGATGCGGATAGCGAGCATTCGATGACCCATTGTCCCCAACTTGTGAGTCAGATTTCGCAGGCCAAATCTGAAGGGACCCCTGGCGAAGTCCAGATACACGGGGACATCGTGGTTGTTGCGATAGCTTACTTCGAGAACATATTCAATCCGCCGACATACCGTTTCATTGTTCTCAGCATCAAAACCGGGACCAAGATATCAATCAGTCCTAAACTTCCAGAGGTATAGTACCTCTCATTCCACGCTTCCCTGCGAAATTAATTTTTAAAAAGCATTTCAGCCATGTTCACTTCAGGCTCTTCCCGCGCCACATGGTGATCGCCGGGATGAAACTTCACGAACGGCTCGTCGTTCGTATCTATGATTTATCTCCGGTGATAGCCAGACTATCTGGTCTTTACCAAGGCAGCAGTCCCACGAATGATCTGGACACGTTCAGTCAATATACCGCAGAATACGAAACAGATGATGTTCCAGCGGATTCAGACTATACACTTTCAGACGGATATCTGAGCCAGAATTTTCCGTGCATGACAGCCTTATCTTTCAATGCTTCCGCGGGATCATTACATCGTCCAGGAACCGCATCGGTATTCTCCTTTCCTTCAGAAAAGGGTGCGATGTGTCCCAGATCGCATGGCGCCATGCCTGTGCATGTATTCCACACACCAGCTAGTGCAGTGTCTGACATTGTCTGCATCGGATCCAGCGGCCGACGAGCAGTGTGGTTGGAACGTCGTTGGGACACCGACGTGTTCACACTAATGAAAGGCACCTTCTCTCCGGAACAAAAAGGGCCAATCATCGTTGAAAAGCTGCTTCCTTCGAATCTAGTTTTGCCGTTTGAGGTCTTTGCATGTCAATCCTTGGCCTTCGAGGAAAGTACAGGACGAGTTTGTCTCGGCCTCCATACTGGAGAGTTATATATTCTCTACTTGTGAGTGTCATCCGTCCCTCTCCGGCTGCATCCTGACAGTCCACTCAAAGCTAACACCTGCGCGCCAAGTTCGGATCCGCAAGCTTAGCGGACCGCACCCCCGGCACAGCCACCTTTACCGTACATTGTCTTCTTAACTCAACCAGCAGGACTGTACGCGTTAAGTAGACTCGTCGGACCAATGACTGGACCAAGTCTTGGCAGAGAAACACGGTAGGGGTATGCTGTATCTCGGTACAATATAGCAAAGAAGTAGGCTTGCGGACCCGGAGTTACAACCACGTTTACAACGACATCAAAATTGATATACCTGTTCATTTTGAAACCATTGACAACTTTCAACAACTCCGTCCAGACTCTGAAAGTAGCTTAGACAACTTGGACATGGGCTAAGCTGTGAGAACGTGATCGCGTTGCTAAAGATATTTTCATCGAGACATCTGTCATGGGGATGACCTTCTTACTTATATTCTGAAAACAAAGTCCTGCTGCCGTCGCGTCTCGCAGGGTCGCGATGGAGCTGGTCGTGTGAGAACCACAAACGATAGCGAGTGACTCATACAAGGAATCCGGAGATCTCAGATTTCAAGTCGCACGTGATGATTTTGTCCCAATTGAAATCGATCTTTTGAAGATCCATTTCTGTGTTCTGATTCTGCTGTATCCCTATTCCTCTTCCTTCTGCTGAACGGTTTTTTGCGTGTCTCAAGGCTCAGCGCTCAATTATTGTCCTCACTATCTTATTTTGGACATGGAGCAAGAAATCGACAGGGTCGTGCAAGCAATTACAGTTGCATCTGATCCTGCGCAAACCCCGTTGCATCCAGAGGCTTTGGCCTATCTTTCCACCATAGAACAAAACGCCACAGAAACATGGAGAATTGCACTATCTCTATTCGTCGACGCCACTTCTGAAGGGGTTCGAAAATACCCACCACAAGCTCGTTTCTTTGCTTTGCGTGTGTTGGATGCGTTCTTGGAGAGTCGGTGAGTAAGGGCATCTGCATTTCTTCGGTGGTCTTCTCTTCTCGTAAATCGCCAATGCCACAAACTTCAGTGCGCGAGAGGGCGCATGCTCTGAAAAGTGTTCTAGTGTTCTGGAGGATTTTCATTTGCTGTGTTGGCCGCTGTGTGGCTGATTGACTCATGGCTTCCCCCCCCAGGTTTGAACCCCTGGATCAGGAAACATTCCAGACACTGCAACAAACTCTGGTATCGTACATCCAATCCGAGTATGTCTATGGATCGTCGGAATCCAGTGCTTCATGTGCGTCAACAGTTTTCTTGTACTCTTGTTTTGCTAAATTTTATGCCAGTCCTTCGCAACAAGTTTTCGCATACTTTGACATTATTCTTTCTCTGCACTTATATGGAACAATGGCCAACCTTTTTTGCCGACATATTCACTCTTATACGATCCTCGGAATCATCATCCTATAATCGACATATCTCACTCCTCTTCTTTCATATCGTACTAGAAATCTCGGGCGAGGTTGCAGATCAGATGATCAAAGCTGCCCGGCAATACACTACCATACGAGCAACGCGAGACAGTCGCGTCAGAGATGCTGTAAGGGAGAGGGACGCGGTGAGAATCAATGAAGCAGTCTTGACCATCGTGGCCGAAGGGTCGGAGAGGATGGCGAACATGCGCAAGGATCAAGGTTCTTCTGCAAATCGGGAGCTAGATGAGGTTATTGAAGTTGTAGACTGGGGTATCAGAACATTCGGATCCTATGTGGGTGCGTGACAATCTATACTTTCACTTTTTACGATCTGATTCTTTGCATACGCAGGGTGGATCGATATTAATCTGACAATTACACCAACTACTGTGCCCCTTCTCTTCACATTATTAGCCGATCCTTCGCTACCTATCCGACTAGCCACTTGTGTGGCATTACTACGCATCGTCGCTAAAGGCCTTAAAGAACCTGGTGACAAGCTTCAACTAATTAAAGTCCTCTCTTTGGGGCAGGTCATAGATGCTCTCGAAGCTAAGACTCGGCAGCAGCAACTAGAAAGAGGGTCGGAAACTGATGAGGGAGAAGAATCGTACCGGGAGTCTTTAGGAAAGCTATTCAATGTGTTTGGCTTAGAATTGACAAAATTAGAGGTGTGTACAATTCCAATTTATTTCAATTGGCCGGCTTTCATCGTCATCAATAGGATTGTCCCAACGGGCAAGTGCGTTCTGAGGCTACCGGCTATCTAACTCAATGTCTACCTGTGCTGCTTCGATTTATGGTGGATGAATATGACGATACGTCCTCCACCATATTTCCTCTCCTTCAGGCTATCCTTGCCAATGTAAGAACGCATCTCTTGCTATTCTACAAAATCATTGATGATTCTGTTATAGTACAAGCGCAGTCGAAAGGTTTCTTCAGATCCTATCGATGAATCAAAACGATCCTTCCTTTCGTCCCTCCTACAAGTCATATTGGCAAAGATGAAGTGGGATTCTGAAGCCGATCCTGATGATTTGGATGAAGATGACAATGCCGAATTTGAGAAACTTCGCAGGGTATACATTTTGCTAATCATCATAACTGTCATTGACAAAAAACTAGGAGCTACGCAATTTCATGGACTCCGTGTTAATCATCGATCAGGACCTGGTTACTGACGCAGTGCGCACTTTGGCGATGAACACGATGTCGGCTTATCAAAATGGCGTGCCTATGGAGTGGTACGAAGCCGAACTGGGCGTCTACATGGTATACATCTTTGGGGAGGTCAACAAAAGTGAGCCCCTTTGAATCACAATGACCGACAACGCTGAATAGCTGTAATACAGGTGGAGGGAAAGGTCGTGCCGCTTTCTGTCATACTCCCTCTGTCATAGACAAGGAGAAAAGGAAAGGTACAAACTACTCGGAATATGCCCTGACCACTCATGGGGAGCTATTATTGGCTCTGGTACAATCGGGCTTGTCGGGTTATCCGCATCGAACAGTAGCTCTACAATTCTTCGAGACAGTAACTCGCTATACAGACTTCTTCAAAGTGCGCAAGGAGTGCATTATGCCAACCCTTGAGGCTATGGTCGATACACGGTGGGTCTGAGCAACACCTTCTAAGCCTTTTTTAATCGCTATTCAGGGGTCTACATAATTCCAATCAAACATTTCGATCACGTCTCTTCTACCTATTCTCCCGATTCATCAAAGACAGCAAAAACGACATACCACCAGACATCTGTGTCACACTCACTCAAAGCATCCGGGACCTGCTTCCTATACAGATCCACATTCCAGAACCTGATGATGTGGAAACAGATCTTTTGACTGATGCAGCAAGAGATCCTGCGTTCGATTCTCAACTCTTTCTCTATGAGACTGTCGGAACCCTTTGCTCGTTATCTGCCAAGAGTTCAGATCAGCCTGCGGCACATTTGTTGTCCTTCGTAAAGCCGCTAATGGATAACTTATCGGAGAGTCTTCAGGCTTGCAAGGGGACTCAGGACGTAGGGCCTATCGTCACTGTGCATCATATCATCATGGCCCTTGGTACTATTGCGAAAGGATATCCTGACTATCCCTCGCCAACCCCTCCCGGGTATGTTTTACCATCATTGGATGTTTTCGCACAAGTGGCGCAGGCCATACTTGTATGCCTGGAAAATATGAACGTTTTTAGAATTGTTCGCGATGCGGTTGGTAGTTTATATGTCGTTTTAAAGTATTCACTCAACCGTTGAACAGACGCGCTTCGCTTTCGCTCGGATTTTAGCGGCTGCTGGACCTAGTGTGACGCACTACATCCCTGCTCTCATGAGCAATCTACTCGTCCATTTCCAACCAACAGAACTGGTTGATTTCGTGAACTTCATCGGCCTGTTGATTTACAAGCTTCAAGTTCGTCGTCTCTTTGCTTTGCGATATCTCTGTTCCTCACGTATAAACCTTCCTTCAGAATGATATGTTTGCTGTACTCGATGAGCTCATCGGCCCGCTCAGTGGACACATTGGTAATATATTGAGACAGCCCATAAGTGATCCGGATGATCAGCGAGCACACCTGGAAACTAAAAAGGCATATCTGGCACTACTGAATAGTGTCGTCTCGTCGAAGCTGCAGAGAGCACTCATTTCAGAACGTAAGTGCATGATGAAATAAGAGATGTTACTCTTGCTCATTACTGGCCTTTTCAGGGAATAATCCTACGTTTGAACCATTGATGCAATCCATGATTGGTATTGCTGAAGATGCGTCGGACCCTCCTAGCCAAAAGTCTACTTTTAATTTTTTAAGTCGTTGCGTGACGATCTGGGCCGCCCCTCCTCAGACAACTACGGTTAGCAATGAACCCGCAGAATCCTTGCCGGGATTCGAAAGATTCGTGTATGAAAGACTTATCCCGACTGCCTTCCGCGTACCTGCTGCACCAGACTTGAACGTAAAGGATGGTCAAGTTACGTTGGTGCGTCTTCGTGGATTCTCTTCTCGGTACACAGTTTTCAATTTTGTCACTAGGTCTTGCAAGAAGTTGCCAACTTCCTGCACACTGTTGCTAGAACACGAGGATCAGAGGCTTACGATTACCTCTTGACCGTCTTCTTCCCTTCACAAAATTGGCCATCAGAGACGGCTCTTGACTTCACTACGAAATTGCGAGATCTTGATGCAAAAGGTTTCCGAAAATACTTTACGGAGTTTGTTCGTTCGTCACGTTCGAACTCATAGCACTTGGTTAGATCTTTATTCTTACTGCCCTACTCTTTCCTTTACTTTCCATTAATCCGTCTTGCACTGCCTCCTATTATGTTATCGATACAAAGCTGCCACACGTATTGTGCCATTATTCATATTCATGCTTTACATATGTACTGTTTGCATGCGCATTAAACATTATGTCCCTAGGAAAAATCGCCGTAGTTCGAAACTAAGATTTCGAGGAAGTCCTTCGCTGGTTCGAAGTGACCGATATCGTTGCGTCACTTCGGGTACGTATCTGTATATCGATCGGTACCGAATTTGGTAACTTGAGCCTTCACGCATGGTCATCACTGGTAGTTGCTGAGCATTGCTGTGAAGCCACTCTTGTTTTCTGCCATGTCGATACGTACGTCTTCAGTGATATCTGGCATCCTATGTATTGACAGCTTGCAGCACGGCGAGGAAGAGTCAGGATTGTACGTGTCCCTTTGCCTACAGTGGTCGAAAAACAATCTAAGCTATTCTCTCCCCTCAAAGGTAGCGCCACGTAGGGTATATTCATCCATCAATTCATGATACAACTCGGCTGATTCTTTCTCAGCATGGCCCAGAGTTTTCTGCACAACAGACATGGTCAGAATTGTCTAAGAACATCAAGGAAATTCAGAACCACAACGCCTCCAACCTTTCGTTCGAGGAGAACCACCGTTTCGCGTACAATATGGTTCTATATCGGCAGGGAGAAATGTTATACAAAGGTGTCAAGTCTCTCATATCAGAGAACCTAGAATCTCTTTCAAGAGAGCAGGTTGTGCCAGTCTTTCCTTCCGGCGCGAGTCAGGAACCGCTGCAGAAAAGTAATGAGGCGGAAATGCTCTTAAAAGCATTGAAGAGCATATGGGATGACCATCTAAGCAATATGTCAAAATTGGGGCAGATTCTGAAGTATATGGTACGCCATCATCACGGTTAGCATTGATCATTGCTTCACAGACATCGCAGGATCGCGTGTATACCAAATCCGCAGAGGTACCAGAAACTTGGGAAACCGGTCTCGCATTGTTCTTAGAACATATCTTCCGCCCACCGATAAAAGAGCATGTCGTAACAGCGATATTGATACAAATCGAATTCGAGCGCGAGGGATACACTATCAATCGTTCTGCCGTCAAGGGCTGTGTCGATGTCTTCCTCACTTTGCATGCTTCTGCGGGTGGCCCCACCGTATACAAGGATGATCTCGAGCCTGACATTCTGAAGGAGAGCCGTCTGTTCTATGAGGCTGAGGGGAAAAGGTTGCTTGTTTCATGTGATGCTCCCGAGTATTTGCGTCGCGTATGTTTCGTTCTCTTATCACATTAATGCTGTTGCTCAACTTCCTCAAGGTAGAAAGTGCCTTTCGGGCAGAGGAGTCCCGCGCGCATCACTATCTGTCGTCACAAACCGCTTTACCCTTGCGCCAAATACTTCAAGACTGTCTCTTGACAGCACATCTTGACCATGTCATATCCATGGAGAACTCCGGTTTGGATGTCATGATCGACACAGACAAGATAGAAGATATAGCAAGGCTGTACCAGTTATACTCGATGGTCCCTACGGGAATGACTTGTTTGAAACGTGCTCTCAAGGACTCTGTTTCTAGACGTGGCCGTGATATCAATCAGTCTTCATTGAGCGCTGATTGGGATGAACCCGACGACGCCCAAGAAGATAATGCTAACGCGAGGGGGAAAGGGAAATCCAAGCCCAACGCTTCAGTTCAGACATTGGGCCTAGCTCTCAAATGGGTTCAGGATGTGCTTGATCTTAAAGACAAGTTTGATATTGTATGGAAGCGTGCATTCGGCAGTGACAGGGATCTTGAGAGCGCACTGGATGAGGTAACGTCATTTAGATTCAATTTCTATATCCACTGATTCCTGGATTCAGGCATTTGGATCGTTCGTCAATGTTAACAGCAGGTGCTCGGAGTTTATTTCGCTCTTCATAGACGATCATCTAAGGAGGGGGCTAAAAGGGGTAATGCAACTCCTCTTACTATTGACGATGGCTGAATTTCTTGCCAGAAAACCGATACAGAGGTGGATCTAGTCCTGGATAAGACCATCACTGTGTTCCGATTCCTTGGCGAGAAAGATGTCTTTGAGAGATATTACAAGGGTCATCTTGCCAAACGTCTCCTTCTCAAACGGTCCGTCTCGGATGATGCCGAACGCGGGATGCTAGCCAAACTCAAAGTTGAATGCGGTTATCAGTTCACGCAGAAACTTGAGGGCATGTTCAACGACATGAAGGTGTCGGCTGACACTATGAACGAATTCAAGAATTATCTACAGAAACCCGGAATTTCGGTACGTAACATTGTGATGTTTTGGCAGCCTCTTGATCTCATTTTATCCTCAGGGTCCCTGCATCGAATTATCTGTTATTGTGATGACCGCAACGTTTTGGCCAATGACCCATTCCAGTTCGCCTTGCACGATACCTCCACAAATGAACAAAACGTGCAAACAGTTCGAGCAATTTTATCTGTCGCGGCATTCTGGCAGACGGTTGACATGGCAGTACTCCCTCGGAAATGCCGATGTACGGGTCAAGTTCAAGCAACGGAAACATGACCTCAACGTTTCGACATTTGCTCTGGTCATCCTGCTTCTCTTTGAAGACGTGAAAGACGATGATTTTCTCTCTTACAAGGTATGAATCTCATCTTATCTTCTGAACTCAGATCATGGACCTCCCATAGGAAATTCAAGAATTGACGTCAATAGACCATGCTGATCTCAAGCGTCACTTGCAATCTTTGGCTTGTGCCAAGTTCAAGATCTTGAAGAAACACCCACCAGGTCGTGATGTTGACCCGTCCGACTCTTTCTGTTTCAATTCGGATTTTACGTGTCAACTTCAAAAGATCAAAATCAGCACCGTCTCTTCGAAGGTAGAAACCTCGAGCGAGAGGAAAGAAACGCGGGATCGGATTGATGAAGAGCGACGTCATCAGACTGAGGTATGCGCATAACATTGGCTGATCTTCTGTACTAATATGCTTTCAAGGCGTGTATCGTACGAGTGATGAAATTGCGTAAACACATGACGCACAATGAACTTGTCAACGAGGTGACGCCTCTTCTGGCTGGCCGATTCCAACCCAATCCTTTGGATATCAAGAAGCGGATTGAAGGTTTAATCGAGGTGAGGATTAGTTTCCTTCTTGTAGCCTGTCGTAGGTGACTAATCCTTCATGCAGCGAGAGTATCTGGAGCGATGCGAGGATCGTAAATCCTACAATTATCTGGCATAAATCATACCACCCATCATCACTGTATCTCAAACCTGCACTGTATTACCTGTTTTTCAACCGTGTGATCGCTGACCTGGCCTTTCCCCGTGTCTAATCTGTGCGGTCGATTGAAAAAGGGAAACATTATATACACGGGTATATACTGAATTCAAGAGTAAAAGATGTCCATGAATGACCCATTACAAGGCAACGTCCAATACCCCAGCGGGGAAAGAATGGTAACAAACAATTCTCATCCACATGCCGCTATCCTATCCTAATGCTCCGCTCACGCAGTCTGAACAGGGAGAGTCACAAATCCCGCTGCACTCTGTGCTGCTGTTAAAGCACTCTGCACAGAAGTGGGGGAAGTAGCGTCGTTCCAATTTGATCCTGCCGCCACCACTGTGTTATTTCCTACATCACGACCTAATGTCCTAGCTCAGAAACCCAATTTCGAACAGAAGAAAACAGAACAGTACCTGAGAAGCCAAGGTCGGAAGAAGAGAGCGAGCCGTCTGAGTTGGTCAACTGGGAAATCTTGCTAGCGACGTTGCTATCAAATCCAACCTGTCTGCCTGATTGGCGGAGTAGGTCGCTGCTGAAGCTGCTAATGCTAGAGGAGAACTGTTCAAGGACAATCGTCTGAACCTCTACTTCGCAGATCTGTTCCGTGATAATCCTAGTCCGAATAAATATTAAATCATGAATCGACAGGGAAAACGTTGTGGGTCACCTCTTTGCCATCTCCTGAAGGATAACCAGCTTTTGTTGGATGACTTCAATCTGCTGAACTTGGCAGACAACCTGTTGCTCTTGGACCACGACGACTTGAGCGTTCTGAGATCCGCTGAAGTTGTCGACACCATTGAAGTCGTCAAACCCGCTCAAGGACTGCAAACCGCCCCAGTTACTCAACGAGACGTCATTGCGACCTAGAAATAGTGCATGAGGACCGGGACGGCTGGGATAGTTCGGAACCTACGAATAGCCTCACGTCGCTGCCACAAGGGGCTACCGAGGACAACAGACGCCAAAGCCAAAACCAGAATGAAGGGAGAGAACATAGTGACAATGACGAAGTGGATGTGAAAAAATGGACGTGCTACCTACAGGCCACCTATGATTAAGGATTTCGCTCTGCAGTGAAGTTCGACTTACCTAGAGCAATCAGAAAGCCGACCGGGGCAAAAAGAAAGAAGGCGAATGAACGAAAGGTAAGAAAGAGAGAAAAGGATTCTAAAAGGCAACCAGGCCAAAGGAAAGCGACGCTGGGTTGGAACGAAGGAGTTTGTTATCATCGCTTGTCTCTCACCACCTTAAATACCAAAGGCGAGAATGGGTAAGCCTTCCAATTCTCTTGGCATGAAATATACTTGTATCCATAGCGATTACAGTTTGTATGCAAGTCTGAACCCGCCAACCCCGTTGGAAGTTGGAAGGAGGTACCCGTTGATTCCTCCTTGACAACAGACCGGGTGATATATCATGTGTCTGGGACGTGGGATCTAAAGCATTGGCACGACCTTGGGAACATTAATGCGTGGAATTTACTTACTGAGCTTTCATTAGGCTACCTAGAACAGTGATGGTATGATCCTCAACGTCGAGAGTCGAAAAGCAACCGCACACCTACTTGATGCTACTAATTCATTTTCCCAACCACGCTACAATATTCACGGCGTTCTCGGGCAAGGGACGGAAGCATTAATGACAAACTTAGATGCAGCGCCGGAAGAGAGCAAACTTTCCCAGCCTCGGGACGAGACCCAAGATGTAGGATGTTCTGTTACCCACTCGGGTTCGACGATTCAGGGAGTTACTTAGCAACTGGTTCGAATGGCATCTCGGGGATGCTGATTAAAGGTGTTTACTATCTGATTCGGCTCAGCGCTCAAAGTATCTGATGATTGAGTATAGGATGAAACGTACCTGCAAGAAATTGTTCCCTCACTTTTGTCCCGGTGAGATGGATACTTCCTCGCGTGTTTCTCATTGGAGCTCAATGTAAGTTCTATTTGCTGTCACCGGCATCCGTTGTATGTACCCATGAACAAATTGCTCATCAGTAGGGATACAAGGTATTTCGGAAGGAAAGAAGGAAGTTGTTTTCTTACTCGACAATGTTCCTCAACAGAGACGGGTCGGAGAACACCGACTGAGCGTTTCGACAGGGGCACTGAATAGACAGGAAAGAACATGACATGCTCGATCTTCTCTGGACGCTTATCCTTGATGGAGACCTGACATCTTATCACCCTTACCACCATCATTCTGCTCCTGCGTTTTCAAGTTGCTTCCACGGTGTCAATGATAACGATGGCACAAGTTTTGACTGCTGGATATGTTGACCAGAATGGTATCAATAAGGATAATAAATTGCAGCGTTAGGAATACAATGTTGGTGATCTATAGTGCGCTCTATAGCTCATCGCGCACTGAACCAGAAGACGCGAAGGCTTCCGTCAATTCTGTTACACAGGTAAGAAAAGTTCGACTATATAGGCAAGGATGATGAGGCTCACTTTTCCGAAGTTGTGGAGAAAGTTGTTTCGGTAGGACCACATTATATTCTACGAATAGGTCTCCGTGAAGATGGCGGTTCTCGAACCGCGGCATACCTTCTCCCTCGATGACTTCAACAAAGCCTAGAACACGTCAGGAGTGAAGGAAGGGAAGGAAGGGCTAAATCAAATGTGACTTACCTGGCTGCGTCACACCCTTTCGCTGTAGCCTGACAGTATGTCCGTCAAGATGAGTTAGGTTGCGGTCAAAGCCTAAGAGTGCCTATGGGACTGTTAGTGGGTTGAGAAATGGCGATGGAAGCTAGATCAGACCTCATCGATACCAATGGTTTCCTTCCAGTACAGACTTGCCTCCTTTCGCCTCCAACCGCCTTTGCTCTTTCGGCTCCTCACTCTCAAAACGACGTCTCCTGCTTCCCAATCTGGACTCTCGTCACCTTCACCTTCAAACACAACTTCATGTCCCTCCGGCATCCCAGGGGTAACTTCCAGCGTATAATGCGCAGTGTGGTCCATGACTTTATGTCCATCGCAATGAGGGCATTTACGTGCGATGACCTTGCCTCGTCCACCACACTCATTGCATGTTGTCTGGCTCTGTGCAAACATTCCTGGGAATATCTGCCACCAAGGAGTCAATTGCATAGTTTTGAATAGTCGCGAACTTGGCATACCTGTTGCTTGACGAGTTTAACACCCGAACCTCCACATCCCGAACACGTATGTATGTCTCCGTCTGTTGCAGCGCCTGATCCTCTACAGTGGTCACACAATATTCGCTTCTTGATCATGAACTATTACGCGATTAAGTACGACGCGTCAGATAGACCAAAGAAACACTTGCGTCTATGCTTTGGCCCGTGTACCTGTAGAAAAAGAAACAATTAAAGTCATTCTACTGGGGTCGTATCGTATGGACGCACATATCAGCGAGGTCCACTTCGAATTCGGTTACAGACGTCGGGCCGCGACGTACTTGACTTGATGGGTCTACAAAGCACGTCCATTTGAACTGATGTATAGAATATTAGCATGGTCACTCACGTCCTCCACCAAAGAAGCTTGAAAACACGTCGAAGGGATTTGCTTGACCCTGGCCTCCTTCGTGGGCCTTTAAGCCTTCCTAAGAGCAGAATGAACACGACGAAAGAGTCATAACGGAGGTGTTTGATTACCTCGCCATGTCGGTCGTATATTTGACGTTTCTAGAGGACGTAGATGATCCGTCAGGAGCTGAGGAGTCAGGTGAGACGCACCGTTGGATCCGAGAGAACTTCGTAGGCTATCCCGGAGGAACATTGAATACGTGGAAGGGATGTTCAGAGACGAGAGACGCACCGTGAGCTATCTCTACGAATCTGTCTTCCGCATCAGGATCCTTGTTCTTGTCGGGATGGAATTTCCTGCTTAGTTTCTTGTAGGCATGCCGTATATCTTTGTCTGACGCAGATTTATGTACTGTCGGGCACATTATTAGACATAAATGCAAGAGACAAGCTGGGACATACGGTCTAGAACTTTATAGAGGTCGGCAGCAAGGGCAAAGGAGGAGAGTAGGATCAGAGTGAGCCCTAGAACCGAGAACATGACGACGAGTAAGAAGACACGAAACAAGAAGCAATCCCTACCCGTAATTTCGTTCCGGACACGTATCTATTTTGATCACGTGAAAATTCACGAAATTATTTTTCCTGATCAAAATGACAGTAATTGCTATTTCTTTCTGTGACTCACATGGCCGACGAAAAGTACGAACTTATTACGAGGCGTTTGCAAGAGGTTCTTGGCGGCGACATTATCAAAGCGATTCTTGCAGAAGGACGTTCGCCTAAATGCTACTGGGGTGAGCAGTGATATCCTTCCGACCTTGATTATTTCTGACAAGACTAGGGTCCGCACCGACGGGACGACGTGAGTGTTGTAGCTCTCAGGAATCGCACAATTGATTCAACTTTCATCAGCCCATCTGGGATATTTCGTGCCCTTGACCAAGATAGCTGATTTCTTGAGAGCAGGCGTCGAGGTATGTCCCCCACCTCCGATCGTAACAGATCTCTTATGTTTGATTTCAAGGTTACCATTCTCCTCGCTGGTATGCCATACCTTTCATCGACCCGCCTTTAATAGCTGATTGTCGTTCAGATGTGCACGCTTTCCTCGACAACCTCAAGGCACCTCTAGAACTCGTCGCCCACCGGACAAAATACTATCAATTCATTCTCCTTGCTGTATTCAACTCTTTAGAAATACCCGTCTCGAAATTGCGATTCATTGAAGGGTCGTCATACCAATTAACGAAGGAGTACAATCTTGACAACTACAAGCTTTGTGCAACGGTCACCGAACATGATGCAAAGAAAGCCGGCGCCGAGGTTGTGAAGCAGGTCGACAGCCCTCTGCTTAGTGGCCTCTTATACCCCGGTCTCCAGGCTCTTGACGAACAATACCTCGGCGTTGACTTCCAGTTCGGTGGTGCCGATCAGGTAAGTATGAGTATAGTTTTTGTATCCATCCATGGCTTAGATTGAGTGACTTAGCGGAAAATCTTCACTTTTGCGGAACTCTACCTACCTCGGTTAGGTTACGCGAAACGCGCACACCTAATGAATGCTATGGTTCCCGGTCTCGCAGGAGGCAAAATGTCTTCATCAGATCCCAACTCCAAAATCGATTTCCTTGACTCTCCTGAACTCGTGCGGAAAAAGATCAAAGCGGCATTTTGCGAGGAAGGAAATGTTGACGACAATGGGGTATTAGCATTCGCAGAGGCGGTCCTGTTCCCTATCAGCGAACTGCGACGAGACAGGCTAAAAGAAGGGGTGCAAGGCATATTAGAATCCTCACCTTTGTTCGCCACAGCAGACGCTCCTGAGGGCACGTTATTCACGATCGACCGTGATGCTAAATTCGGTGGACCGACACACTACGCCAGTTACGCAGACATGCGGGCTGACTTTGCATCCAAAGCCCTCCATCCCAAAGATTTGAAGTTATCCGTCGCGGCTGCAATTAATAAGCTCTTGGACCCCATCCGAAAGAGTTTCCAGGAGAATGAAGAGTGGCAGAAGATCGAGAAGCTGGCATATCCTGATCCCAATGCCAAGCCAGAGAAGAAGAAGAAAAAGGTGCGCCTCGCCGAAACAGAGTATGGTTATGGACTAAAGTTCTTGCAGGAAAAGGTGTACCATCCCCCACCTCCCGGTAAGGGAAAGAATGCGAAATCTGCAGAGCAGGCATCAGTCGCAAGCGAGCCCACGGCGAACAGCGAACCTGTAGCCGCGCCTGCATGATAACGCCAGGTGCATACATCGTCGCGGGTGGAGAATGACGGAAGGATAGAAGTCAAAATGATTGTTTGTACGACCACGAGCCCTACCGAGCTTCTTGCATTGTACTGTAGACATCGATTGAGGCGATGATGAGCCATACTCTTAGATCGCAATAAAATCACAGATTGCATCAGATACACGAGTAATACTATAAACAGGTAATAAAAATACTGGAAACCATGGATCATGGGTTCATGCTCTGGATCCTGATCTCCCCTTCCCTTTGCGACCGGCAGGTTTATCGCTCACTTTCTTCGGGACTTTCGGTCTGACGTTGATGCTATAGGACCGTAATCGTAAAAACGCATCAACACCCTGCCCCATCTAATACCAGAATTAATACAAATTTTATGACCATAAAGGAGACTGACCCTTAGATATTGATTATGCCATCCTCCTGCGTTCGGCAGAGACACCTCCGTGAACACGTCCAAGAAGATCAGCTTTGAAAAAAGGTGTTCGATAAGTTCCTGGCCCAGATGACTACCAGCACCACGCAAAGAAGGGTCGAATCTCTGGAGAGTGGCACGTTCCGCGCCTTTGAAGATCAAGCGACACTGATCCAAGGTTACGTTGTGCTTTTCTAGAGACCTGACGAGCGCGATTGCATCATGAGCCTCCTTCGTCACATTATATGATACCATGGCCTCCCGATTAGCACAATTATTGCACCGACGCCGACAGTGTTTAGCGTCGAATTTCTCCCCAAAGAACTGAAGGAGATGGACGCGCCGACATTCGGAATCGTTTTCGCAATATTGCATGACCTCTCTCAATTCCTGGATTGCGTTTTCCATTTGTTCACGCGTAGAGCCTCGTTCCTCGCAATTTTTGGTGATCATCGTCTTTGCGTTGTGGAAGTCGCGATACGAGTAATCTGTCTATATATAAGCACTTTTCACGGCAGAGATATGCTCTGGAGCGTACACAGGATACAATCCGCAGGCAAGCCGTCACGACCTGCACGCCCAGTTTGTTGATAATATCTGATAAACTGGTCAGTTATAGGCACTGAAATTGAGAACAAGAGATTAACCCGTCGAGACTGGTAGGCATATCGTGATGAATGACGAATCGCACTACAAATGTTTGTTATGTTGTAAGAGAAACATTTTATTGACTGCGCTTGCCGTCAGGTTTATCAATGCCCATTCCAAAAGCAATCTATGAGCCACGTTTAACGACAAGAGTAGCCAGAATAGACCCAATACTTGCCGTTGCAACAATGATGTGGCATTGACCAGTTTGCCACCCAATTTGTATTCTCTCTTTATCCGACTCATCCATCTTGGCATGGTAGTGCCGCGCACTTAGCCCTTTCTTCTGCAGATCTGCGGCAACCTTTTCGCATTTATCTCTGGAAAGACAGTAGATTACACCAGTTTGACCACGATGATTCTCCTGTACATATCTGTAGATTTCATCGATCATGTTCTTCTTCTTGGGTGTAATAACATAGTTGAGGTTTGTGCGATTGAATGATTGAGAGAATAGAGCTGTATCTTTGAGCTGTAATTTCGCTAAGATATCGTCGATCATCTTCTGGTTGGCAGTGGCTGTCAAGGCCATTATCGGCACATTTGGATAGTTACGACGGAGCGAGCCCAATGATTCATACTGACAAGGGGTAACCTATGTTCAATGCTGCCAGTATAATATTTAGACGCACTCACCGCCGCCCGAAAGTCTTTGCCCCACGTTGTGATGCAATGAGCTTCATCAATCACAAACCGTGCGAGCTGACCACGACCATATAGGTCTGATAAGACGCTTTGTACAGATCCACTCTCCTTCAACTTCTCTGGTGTTATATATACGAGGTCTGGCTTCGCAGCGCCTCTCAGGCGCTGTAAAATATCCTTAGCATCGCTGGAACCTGGGCTCCACCGCAACACGTCGATACCCTTCTCTTTCAAAGCGTCAACTTGGTTCTGCATGAGAGACCTGAGAGGGGACACAACGAAAGTTACACCCTTGGTTCGGCCACCTGAACATACAGCGGGCAGTTGATAGCATAAGCTTTTCCCTCCACCAGTCGGCATAAGTACGAAGACGTCCCGGCCCTCCATAGCAGCGATTATTGCTTCCAGCTGATTCTGTCGGAAACTCTGGAGACCGTACACGCTCTTGAGCTTCCGCGTAACCTCTTCGTAATACGGACTTTGCTTCAACACTTCTGAGACAAAGCCAGAAGACTCTGAAGCTGGATCGGGTATCTCAACAATGGAGTCATCTTCGAGGTCGTATTCAGGTAAATCCTCAAAGTCATCCCATAATACGTCGTCATTGTCGTTAATTACCAGAGGAGTTTCAGATGGAGCCGTTGTAGAGCGGCTTGATATTCGAGAGAAGTTGTAGGATGAATCGTGCGGCAAGATGCTCACTTCCGAACTTATGGTCGAAAGGCTGCTCTGGAAATAAGGTGAAGATATGGAAACTTCTGAGTCATCCCCAACGTCTGCGCTAGTTTTGACAGTCCCGATGAGTTTTCGTATACTTTCTATACGATTTGACAGGAGATCACTACTTGTGCATTAGAAACCTGGAGCATACGCGAAAAGAGATAACAAACATACCGAATGCCCTCCAAAGTGATTATATCAACACTCTCATCGTGAATGCGATGGTAGTCATCGATAGCTTTCGCATTTTCCTTGCGCATTGCCTCGTTATAGGACAACATCTTTGACAAAGCCGGAGGTGATCTCTGCCAATATTACGTCAGGACGGAAGAAAGAGAGTGTGATGAAAATAATCGCACAGGTGCGTGATCAGAATGGGAAGACGACGATGATTTAGATTTGAATGGTTCTAATAACGTCTTGAAATCCTTCTCTACTCGAGAAAAAGGATTGGGGTCGAAATCCTCGCTCAAGTCCATGTCCAGCCAGGGGGCATCTTCATTGCTCTCTCGCGTGGAGGGCGGAGAGTGTGATACGCGCTTTGCTTTGGATTTGGACGGAACGGGACTGATGAAAGAATCCGCCACGTTCTCCTTGTTGGACTCTACGTTTTTGGACCGCTTCGAGGAGTTTGTTTCGGTGACTGCAGTGCGCTTGACGCCTGGAGAGGAGGAATCCTGGATAATGTAGGTAACCTCTGGGGCGTCCGTTTTCCGTTGCATCTTCACATCGTTCACAGAGCCAATCTTCGATTTGCCAAAGCCCGGTGTAGCGAAAGACGGCAGAGAAGGCACTCTGCGAGCTACAAAAGAGTCAGACAAGGTATTGAGGAGCAAAGGAAAACATGCCTGTGCTTGTCACCGGGTTAGACGATGAAGCTGTGGCAGGCTTGAATTTGGAACTCTATGCCAAATCGTCAGTAACGTCAATGCTCTGTATAAACCAAGGCTAGGGCGACGAACACTGGTAGACGACATTGGTCTGGAAGACATGGAACCGGATCCCGTTGAAGAGTTACTGGAGCGTTTCCGAAGAACATCCTGGAGATTGTTCTTTGGACCAGACATGAAAGAACGGAGGATAGGAAAAGTCACCCGTTGTGACTGTCACTAATGTGACAAGTAACGAACGCGACGCGTCCGCGTTGGCCGCGTTGATTTCACGTGATATCCGCCGTTACTTAAGGCGGTAATATCTACCGTTGTGTTATTAGCACTCTCCCTTCAAAAACCATGCTGTTTTTTAAAATCTAGCACTGATTTTGATTGAATTAGTTACTGCTTGCTGTAACATTGCGAGTCAACATGTTTGGGTGCCGGCAATTCCCAGCTAAGCCTGTTCAGAGCTATGACGGGTTAATTACTACATGATAAGTTAGAAACTGGACGAAAACGCTCGAAGATGTGCGAATGCAATTTATACAAAGCCTATGAGAATAGATGGTCCGAGATATATAGTAAAGCTACAGGCAATAAGAAACAAAGGAAGTGTGTCCTCGATAATGGGGTGTGGAGCGAAACCACACCAGAAGTCCAGCCGGGTGGTATACCAAGCGTAACAGAAGCTACCGATGCTGTGGAAGTGATGGTAGTAACTACTCCAGAGGTGTCAGTTACGATATATGTTTCCAATGCGTCTGTTGGGGCTATCGTAGGCATCGCCGAAATATTGGTGGCATATTGCGCGAATATAGGACTGTAGGTGGTGTTGGCGAGCTCGGTAGCAACGATCCCGCCTGTGGGGGCACTGATCGACGAGTTGAAAGTATAAGAGGGTGTCGTATAGGTGGGCGTTGATAGGAGAGAGTTTGGTAATGCTGTGGCCACCGTAGCTGATGCAGAAGAAAGGAATGACGAGATCATTGCTACGGACTCCGTGCTATTAGTCGCATTTTTAAGAGGATAAAATCCTATCATGGGCGGCTCCTTGGTATTGATCCCGTAACTGACCGACGATAAGATTTATTCTCATCAAGACGTATTGCAATATACTTTACCTGAAGGCAGCATAAACAGTTCGAAGGAAAGGCACACCTGAAAGGGGATAAGCTACAGTATTAAGCGTCAGCGATGACAAAGACCGACCCATCTGCCAATCAATGCCATCTGAACTGGGCGATGTGGCACCTGGCCAAGACAAACAGAGATTCGGGTTATCGGACGCAGGCCCGATAAGATAGTCCGTGGGCTGAAGAGTGAGAGTCTGCTCCCTGAACAATCCTATTAGACTTTTAAGACCAATAGAAAATAAACGGCATACCCAAAGGTAAATGACATAGGAATCAGCGTATCACAGGGTATGGCCCATAATCCTACTGAAACGTGAAAGGTTTCATGTCGGTAGCTATGGCCCGGTGTTCATGAAAACTCACGATTGGTATCAACGAGTCGGGAACCGCTAATCGCAGCAAATAGGCGCGATACCTATCATATGATTAAAGACTATACATGTCGGAACGATGGGAGCTTACATCTTGGTAAGGTCCGTATATACCGTTGTTTCCGCTGCGGCAATTGAGTTGTTTGACTTATAGCAGAGGCAAATAAGGCTTACACATCAAACATTGCCAGGGAGGCATTATTCGTGATATTTGGGTATGTCGGTGAGGGCGCCAGAGACGATCCGTTAATCTGATAAGTGGTTGAGTTTTTGCTGATGTATAGAAGATAAGACATACCGCAAAACTATCCAGGGGAATAGCCCATTGCAGGTAGCTGGACACATTGTTCTCCGTGCCAATGGGCGCAAATTCTACGACCTCATGCCACCCAACATTGGTGATGTTAGTGACTACAGATGAATCAATAGCACCTAGGAAGAGGTTATAAAGATTCTTAATAAAATGGCAAAATGACGTACCTATAGAGAGCGAGCCTGTGTCATTGCGAGTGAGACTCAAACCAAACACGGGATAATCCAAGACGCCTTGCTGCGCTAGCCGGATGAAAAAAGGGGTAGCTAAACAGTATGGTCATTTAGATGCCTGCATATGGATCAAGAAGACATACAATTCGTAACAGTGTTAGAAAAACTAGAGAGTCGAGGAAAACCAAGTCCGAATATGCCACTGATATCGTCGGTAAATGTCACGTTCGACGAAGTCATAAGGCCTATCAAAAAATCATCCACGTCCTAAGTATATCTGACGTTTCAAAAGAAGCCGGACCAACCAAGGGCTTGGTTTGATACCGTCAAGTTGGCAAGCTGAATGGTTTCTTTCGCGACGAAACCTTCCGCGCCTACGCAGAGGTCAAGGAAGGCTACGGTTCAACAAATCATAACGTACCAGTTCCATCTGAATAGCTAACACTGAATGCCGTCGAGTTGTTGTTGACCGTAACGAAGGTACCACTCTTGTATTGCAAGGGGTAGCGTGGGACTGCTTTGCAGACGTCCGTGGTACATTGGGTAGATATTAACCATAAATCTGCGGATGCAGTGTCTAGCGCTACCCGAAACGTTGTCGCGCCAGCCTTGAGGATAGCGAAATATGCTCTGATCCATTGAGTGAGATTCATGATGTAAACTCAGTCGACATACTGAGTGGTGGCCATGCCCACGGTAGTAATGCCAGCATGCGCGCCATTGACATTGACGTCCCGACGAGCGTACGATTGAAGAGGAAGGATGAGTGGTGAAGACCTGGCCGCATACCGAGCAGCAACACCGACAGCTTGGGCGAAAACAAAGAGCCAGGCGCAAGTCGTGAAAGCTGACCACATCATGGATCACCAACACTTGGCGTACATCCGAAATGAAAAGGAAAGGTCCGGAAGTAAATATATGGTAGAAGACAAAGGAAAGACGCAGGTGGGAAAACACAGCCAAGAAGTCCGCAGTGGACGTCCTGATGAAACTATTTCTGACAGGGCGGCGGAAACCATGTGGCTAAAATAGCCGAGCAGCGCACTGTGCCGATATAATGGCACTACGAATATACAATTCTGGATTTCTGATGTTACAGAGTAATCGACAACAAGTTTTAGTACCTGTAGTACAATGAGAATAGTACATCCGACGGGAAAAGATGGTCAACGATATCCGGCCCGGAAAGAAAACAAGATATATAAGGAGAGCATATGAGAACCACGGAAAGAAATATAAACAAGAACGAAAGTTTAAGGATAGAATAAAAAGTGTATAACAATCATCGCTTGGCGAACACCTTCTTCAGAAGACCAAGCACTTTAGGGACATTCAATTGAACATACTCCAGATCCAGAAGGTGTTTGTTATCCTTTTGCTGCGGAAGAATCTGTCATTGCCCTGGAACTGCCATTGAAGAAGCGTGCAAACCTTCTCAAGTAGATCATCAATCTTGAGGTCCATCTCAAGGATTGCTCTTTCTCTACCTTTGTAGTGCAGAGCGATAATGAATGTCCCTGGTGTAGGCGACGTTATGTTGAAATAGATATTGGGTCGCCTAACCAGGATAAGCGAGGTGCAAAAAGATCCTGATACCCACTTACCGATTATCGGGTACGTTGCTCTCAACTATGATACCCTCTTTCTCGAGCTGCGCATGAGTAAATCTATATGGGCCCAAAACGACAGCTTTGGCCGGCTTCTTCTCCTTGCCTCCGACAGTGATGACGCCCACTCCAGTACTGCTGCCCTTGTCTTTCGACGCGGTCAAACGTACGTTCTGAAGATAGGCTTTGTACTGTTCCAGCTGCGAGCGCATGTAATTGTTGTGATCGCATATGGTCTTGTAGACTGCCTCCAATGACTTGGTCTCTAACAGGACTTTCTCTCGCAAGTTCCCTAGATGCACGAGTTCAGCTGCGACTTCATCCTGCATGAGTTTGTAACCGTCAGCCTGTTCAACGATTTTCTGTTCTTCCAACTCCCGCAGCATCTCCTTAACCTTGATGCCTTTCCGTACAAGAGTGGCATCTTTGGTTGTCGCGGCACGTTCGGCGATGGCAGCTAGATTGTATGGTTGCTTCTCCGCCGCGTGAGGTATCGATCGAATGAGTTGGACAAAGATCGATTTCGTTTCCATGTATAGCATGTCACTTGACGACACCGTATCCATCAACGCACTTTGAATATCCTGAACGGGCGTCTCCCAGCGGCTATATAGATTAAGCTCGATGGTTCGGTTCTCTTTGCGCGGAACCTGGAGTGGCGCAGCGCCAAGCTCGTCTGTCAAGATACGGAGATGGTGCTTATCGTTTGGCGACTGAAAGAGGGTTAATGGCATGCTGCAATGTCAAAGGAATGCACCGCACCAGTGTTTCGACGTGCTGCAGGATGAGAGAATGCGTATTGTACAGCTCATTCAGAGTGATGTGAATCATCAAATCCTTCTTAGAAAGCGCCATATACTGATCCATCTACAAAAACAGAGTGTCAGATGGTGGATATTAGTCGAAAGAGTCATATATACCTCAAGTGTGTCGAAGAAGTCGCCTACTTCACACAGATTGTTCAAAAACTGATTGATGCGGGCTTTGTTGTTCTCAACGAAAGGATTGAGAGTCATCATGTAGACTTCCTTGGCATACGACGGTTTGTTTGCCAGATTTTGCAGCATCTTAGCAATCTGAACAGATATTAGGAAACAGAGATAAAAAGGATCCTAGTCGAACTAACCAATGTCAGTGTCCGCCTTGGATGTTTCGCCGGAACTCCTTCAACAAGCATATATGCTTGCGGCGTTACAATAGCGGGATTGATGAATCGAAGGAAGAAAAAGCCACCAATCAAAGAACAGATAGCATAGTCAGTGGCCTCAGGATATTTGCGCTAATCGCATAGCTGACTTAGCTGTGATATTCTTGTTGGAATGAGCCCACGCACCCGTGTCAAACTTCTGATCTGTTTGCAGATCCAGCGAATACCGTAAGGAACACTCTCTAGGCTCTCGATAATGGTTAACAGAAAACTGTTGGCGATCTCCATGAGCATCGTTAAGCGCGGTGCAATAATCGCCTGAACATCAAGATTTTCGGCAGCAACTTCCGGGGCCACACCGCGAGGAAGATTTGGCGGAAGGGACCCAGTCTCTTCCTCGATTTGGTTGATCATTTGTTCGTAAACCTAAGCAGAGTCAAACAGATTTCATTGAGGTCCAATAAATGACAAGGACAGAAATCACCTTGACCGGATTAATTTCCAGATTGAGATCTTTATGCTCAATCAAGCTATTGATACGCTCCGCAAGAACGCTCTTGAGATAGCTCTGTCCTGGACCCCGCCGGGTATAAGTGGTCATCATTCGAGAGACAGGGGTATTAGCGCGAAGCAGAGAGCCAAACTCTGTGGCAGTCTCAAACTGGGCTGATAGAACTGACTGGAACATCGTTAGAAGGAGGTGTTCTTCTCTGCTTTCATATTGGTTGCCGTATAGCGTGAACATGACCGTTTGAAGGAGGGTATCAATCTCAGACAGACTGACCAGGCGACATAGAGCGGCAATGTGTCGGGGTTCTGATTGAAGAAGGAAAAAAAGGTTAGAGTATTGTTGGAGCCTCCGGTCGTCTGGGTAGTGCCCTTCCGTAGGATCCACTTCTTCCAGTGTTCTCTCCACTTCGCGTTGCTGAATAAAATCGCCGTCAAGGCAGCCGGGACGCCGTTAGAGCAGATAGTACACACCTCATCCAAAGCCATTCGGTTCTGTATCAATAATGCGATCCGAGAGTCAAGATATCGCACATCGCGCTCGAGGACGAAGTTCTTCTTGGACTGCGCAGAAATTTTGCCTTTTAAGTCACGCAGACGCTTTTGAGCTGTTCAAACAGTTGTAAGTGGCCATTGTAGCCGGACATGAGAGAGACCGTAAACGACGTACCTCTCGCCAATTCATCCTCGACTTCAACATCCTGCTCAGCAGCCATGCTAAAGAGTGCTGTTACGCTGTAGCGATTAGTGTTTCGATTGGTATGCCGCCTCCCAGACATGGTGCTAGGTGATCCAGGTTGGTCGGGATAGGACATGATGGTCGTTTAAGAAAAATGAATAAGGATATTGGAAGCTGAACAAGTGCTGTTTGGGAGATGTGACTGGAGGAATCGGGATGACTAAAGCAGCGCCAATGCCTGTGAACCTGCAACAGCAAAAGAGCTTCAAGAATGAGGACAAACGAGGGATTTGGGTATCAAGACAATGGAGAAAGATGAAGATGGTGACCTGAGTACTGGGAAGTCCTTCGGCTGCCACAAGCACAGCCACACACCTGTCAACATCGCAAAATGCCGTGCTTGGCCGTCAATATTTCAATATTGACCGCGTAACGTTATTGTCTTTGCTTATTTCGATGATGCCGTCCAGCTTTTCTGAACGACTCGCGGCAGTCTCATCACGTACCATGTGCTGGCTACGGAACCTCTAGAACTGCAATGGCAAGGACTTATTTCTGTTTGCGAAGGAACAAACCTAGTTTCTTCATGTGCAGAAGGAGGCCATTTCAGTTAAATATTCTACTCACATCCAACACGGCCAACTTGAAGTTTCCCCATCTGAATGCGGCTCAATAAGCGACCCTATTCATTAGCAAGTCACTGGACTTCCTTGACGCCGTCTTTTCGCGATCGGTTGCTCTTGTTTCATCTTTGATATCGCTATAAATTGGCGGTGGGCGTCTGTTCCTGAAGAAACATGCCATTTACATGCATTCCAAAACCATCTTTACGGAAGTACCTCCGGTATACATACGGCTAAGCCAATACTTCGAAGGCGCTAGCCCTCTCATTCTCTAATTGACCCCGGAAATCTCAGGGCATCATTTGCGGTGGACAATGAATAATTGAATCACAGATGGAGAAACAAGATTGAAACATGACACAGATTATAGTCTCATACCATACACTATATAGTGTTATGATCACTAGAACTGTATCGTATGTACTGACAGGATCAACGTATGCAAAAAGCAAGACGAAACGAGAATTGATGTAAGACCCTAATGCCTGGGTTGGATGTGGTCAACGGGAAAAGCGCCTTCTTTCCACCGACCGTTCGTACTGGCATACTTGACCCTGTAGCCATAGCCCAGCTATTTCGCAAAGATCAGCTTTACATCCAGTCATCGAATCGCCAGGCACCTACTCTATCGAAGAGAGATAATACGCTAATGATTATACCGATGACCCATCTGCGGCCTTCAATTTGCACTTGAACTTCTTCATTCTGTCAATAATTGAGCCGCGTAACTCCTTCATCTAGGTTTGAGAATAATGATACTCACGAGACCGAATAATTTTGTCTGCGGCGGTGGCACAATGTCAATGGGAAATAGACGGACTGATTCAGACGTACCATGCTACTGGTTGCTGATTGCGTTGAGGTTTGTGGATTTGAAGTAGTGGAGGACGAGTTAGGACGCCCGGGAGAAGAGGAATCAGGCGGGTCATATGAGTATTGAGGTGTAGTCATTGGAGAAGGCTTCTGTTGAACATAAGGAGTCGCAAAGGCATTGCTCTGCATGTAAGAAGGAGGGTTCTGTTCATAAGAAATAGGTGACGGTCTTTGTGGTCCTTGGGGAGGATAATATCCAGCGGGAAGACTATGGAATGCCATGACACGTCGAGGGAAGCGACCTGATAGAACCAAGACCCTGGACTTTCCCTATCCTTTATAGGTTTCATATACACCTCTAGTCCATTTTCGAGATCCATGGGAACCAGATAAGCGTTGTGGCCAATACAGCAGCCTGTTTGGCAAACAGTTTAGTCCCGAGAGTATAGGCACAGTATTTTCAATTCAATGGGAGCCCATGCCGGCAGACAGTCCATAGTATGATCGAAGCGACAGGACCGTTTCAGAGTTCACAGAGCCTGATGATCGGCACCGTTCCTGTGAGCCGCAATATCGCGTCCAAACCACGTCGATATGTGGAAATGTTTATACTAATGACGCGTTCGCTGATACAGCGTTATTGATTGGTCCAAGCACGCGCAGCATCTTTCTTTACTCCGTGTCGGTGCATCACATGGATTGTGAGGGTAAACGGCAGCGGGAAGGCAATGTTCGCAACGTTATTTCGATGAGAGCTAAGCGTCCAAGCATGGAATAAATGAAAAAAATTGCTTGGCGACGGAAACGACAGGAGTGCCAGAGGCGCACTGGTGTAATCTGTGATGTCAGACGTCGACGCCACAGCTATAGTAGTAAACTCGACTGGTCAGAATGATAATATCGAGCTCTGAGCTTAAATGTTATACACCATGGCGGGAGAAGAGAATCCAGAGAGAGCTATCCGTGGTATTGAAGCTGTCCACCAGCTGAGTGCTTATTGCTGTGGACACCGGATTGAGGTAGCTTGAGAGAAAAAAGGAATGACGTTACTACTACTAGCGGAAATTGCCATGATGTTGAGAAGATCGGTTTCGGAGCGGCCCGAGTTCCCGCAATCAGTAACGCGTCAGCTCCCTCATCTTCTCCAGCGCATCCAAGTTCCTCGGCATGGTTCCACTTCATGAATCTGCCTCAACGGCCGGTATTTCTTTGAAAATTACATAGGTAGCGTCCACCGCAGTCTAACCGAATTCCACTCACGCCGACATCAATCGTTGCCGAGTTATCACAAGATGCCGGGGGGAAGAATAATGCGTAGTAGTTACTGTTTAAGCTTAGGATGAGTGCCATTCTTTTCACTGTCCAGTCTTCCTTTTCTGATCATATTTATATTCACCGTTCCGAACAAAGATTTCTTTCAATACTATCGGCCAAGTCGGCACTGCTCTCTTAGAATTGAATTTAATAACTGACAATAACTTTTAACATTTCAAGCGAGGCAATTTTATGCTACAGGTTTCCGTTCCAGTCCGAATGTCATTCGGTCTTTAAACGTTACTTCGGTGTACGGCTAAGATCTTGTTGCGAAGGTTATAACATGCGAGACCTTCGCAAAGTGAATGGGGTAAAGCGACCTGATTTACTTAGGGCATGGAGCTAGAACATCGTCACCTCACCAACGTGCAAGCACCGCCTGCTGGTAGCTGTTCCAGAATCCAGATCCTGTAATCTACACGCCCATCCAAACGTCACTTGACCGTCATGAATCATTCCTGACCCTGGGCAGCGCGGTATGTACCATGATGTCCTAGGCACTTCCGCATGTCTTGTAAAGAAGGACTAAGATTGATGAATTGACTTGTCGTTTCTTTAATATATAACGTTCCTCCAGAATTCAAAATGAAATAAGTATCATGACTTTGAACCTTGATTCCTTTTTTGCGTGCTTATCTCTCTGCCCTATATAGATTTTATCCAGTTCACTGAGTTCTTCGATCAACAATTTTCCCAACGATCCTCGCCTCTTTCAGGAACATATGGATGTTGAATAAAATATCCCTGACGGGCGATTGAATCGGCCCATCTGAAGGCGAACAGCACCCTTTTGTCTCATTGGTTCAAGTCAGCAGAGTCGAGAAAAGACGAATCGCGCTGCAGGTACGGAGCTCGCCTTAGTCCTTCAATACATATGCTGTCATGGAACCTCACTAAGTATGGTAAGCAACCTCGCTCTTTCCATGAAGCAAGAGAGCAGATGATCCTATTTGTCGCAGAAGACCTTTCGCGGCGCGTTTTAGAAGATATCTAGGTAAGGGAATCAGATCAACGATTGTGGAGCGCCTATTGGCGTCTATCTATTCATTGTTGCTAGTGCCATAGACACACATAAACCAGCGCTGATGTTGACAATAATGTCAACATTCTATCTATACGTCTCTCACTTCTATCGCGTCAGCAGCGATTCTTGTAGAATTCGTTTAAGCGTGGGCCTCGGAGATTGATCCAGCTGAGGCGCTAAGTTGCCAGCTAGGTGACGACATCCTCCACGATGGCCGTCTGTTTTTCCAGCCTGGAAAGGGGAAAGACGTTTATTGTAGAAGGAAGTAATTAGAGGTATTAGGTTCCTTACTCCTCGAACTGAGAGGATAGGCGAAGGTTTTGAGCTTTCCTTGCTAACCAAGTATCAATGTCCCTCACTTGTTCTAGCTCCTGTTCTCCTCTCCCTTACTGTATGAACTCAATCTTTAACGGGAGACCAGGCGGCAGGCACAACCTGTGTACCTTTACCCCGTTCACAGTCGTGCAATCATCAAAAAAACTCAATTGCATCCTTCGAGGGTGAAAGTCTCTCATATGATTGATCGATCACTGGCTTACTAGAAAGAAGACACGCGTTACGCGTTGGCCATCCCTGAGGACCTAAAAAGACAGGTATGGATTTTGTTCCGTTAAAAGTGGAGCTCTGAGAGGGATGTCGATGAAGCCGGGGAGTCATTCAGGTTTTTGATCCATCCATTCGCCTCGTGAAGATCTCGAAGCTCAGGCTGCTGTCTCATTGGCTTAGCCGACGTTGGTATTCTGGCGTGAAATCTTCTCGAAACATTCTTATCATTGTAAGCGTGTCCAACTATAAACCCACTCTTATCCCACCCTAATACAGCTCAGGATTTAGATAAGCAGGATACCCCGATGCTCAACGTGCCTCGACGGAGGGTGATCGAACATCGAAACAGGGTCGCTTCAACTTTGTGTGCTAGTATGTATTGCTTGCGGGCATCTATGACAATGTACGTGAATATTAACGTTCAGTCTAGGGGAATACAGTCCTGCACATCAGAGCCCGATCGTAGATACTATTCGTCAGAATAAGATTGAATATACCAGATGCCTCAGCAAGTGGAAAATGGCTTGTTATTGCTGTCCTCCTCTGGTTCATGTTAGGCCATGTTGATCCTATATCCTGGTCGAAGTCGATGTGGATCTCAGCCTTGCGGAGATTTTGATGCATGGGCCCGGCTAGCCATGCATCAACCTGGGCCCACCTCGTTGCATTGCAAAAAAGCTCTATGACGGTGGGGTAGACCTTGAAAGGACCCCTCACACTGACGTCAATCTGAACTTCTTCTAGCATGGGAGATCCTATGCGGGAGAGCGTATTGTCAATATGGCTAACCGGAGTGAAATGCGTGTCGCCACTTCGAGTAGAGAATTTGAGGAACCGAAGGTTAGGTAAGAGATGCGTCTCATTGGATGCAGTAAAGAATGCTATGACAACATTGAACTGAGAGTTTGAGGGTTTGAATGAGAAACGTACAATAGGATATGTCATGATTCAAAACGTTCACTTCTAGATGTTGCAACGAGGTGGCAGCGCGGAGAAGAGGCGCCATGGCCGTTTGATAGTCGAAATTGTGGGCCCAGATGTGTAGCCGACGTATAGAGGAAAAGTCGAAGGGGGACTGCGAATGCGTAAGCCAAGGGCAGATAGCATCCAACGTTCGAGGATTAGAAAGATCTAGATATAAGGTGTGGATGACTGCCTTTCGTACACCCATGTCAGGATTGAAGATATGTGGTAGTCGCATTCGCGGACCAAGCGTGCCAACGCTGGTGAGCCTCAGCTCTGTTACGGAGCTCGAAGTCCAGCTCAAGAGGGGAGTGAGACCGTAATAATCGTCTGCTGGAGAAATGTTGATATCCAGTCGAGTGAGCGACTGCAATTGAAGCAAGCCATGAATTGCAGTCTTAACGCTGGAGGAAATCTCGCGGAGATATCTCAGGTCAAGCTGAAGGTGCTGAACACGTTGTGGTGCCGAAAGTATCTGGGACAAGGGGGGAGCTTGGCGGAAACGGGCAAAGTCCATGTCAAGACTCAGACGAAGGGACCGAATGAGCTGTGGAATGTAGATGCCGTTCGTAAAACAGTCGTGAAGACGCTTGCATCGTCTGGTCAAAACGCGGGCAAGATCCCGGATATAATCTTCATCACGATAACTCTCTATCCCGGACCGGAGAGTATTTCCCAGTTTGATATCGATATCTAGTGTCCGGAAGATGTAAAAGCGACTGCGAACTACCCAAGATTTGCAAACGAGGGAGCAGTTAAGTAAAGTAACGAGATCATCTTCGAGATTGTCGATGATTCGCTCTACGAGTTCCTGTGGAAAACCGCTGGTCACTGCAAGAATGAATTCGAAAAAAAGACAAGAATAATGAGATATTGGTGACGCTTACATGTATATGCGTGGCCAGCTTGTCTTTTGATAATTTCAGGCATGGGTGTGACGAGGAAAGACGAGTGGCGTCGATGTCCTAATCCGGGTTACCCTGGTCCTGCGTAGACGACAATGTACTTTTACGTTGCATTGAAATAATTCCATTGTTACATCCAGTTACATTCTATACAAGATACTTTCAAATCGTTCTGCATTCATTTATACATTTACGCCATTACTTCCAGCACCTGATAATACAGTTAGTGAATATTCAAAGCAGTGCGAAAAGGCACTTGTACGCACAAGATTTCATAGTTGTCTCTAACAACATGTTCACCTCCACCAAAGGATACGTTGCATCCACCCCTAAGGAAATTATTAGCCCGCTACTGTATCCAAAAAATCGCAGAAACATACAAGTGAGCGCCCGTCTTTCCTGGCACCCTAATCTCGCTGACTTTGGCCACGGCATGGTACAACGGCGTTCCATCTTCCTCGTAGCCGCCTTCAACCGGCCTCCTGCCAGCCGGGACATGGCCTTGAGAGGTGAGTACAAACTCCATGGTATCGGGAGTGAACGGGAGGAGATCGTAGCGCCCCTGGTGGCCCACCTCGCCACCGCCATAGGCAACTGAGCAAGGGATATGAAGATGAGGCCCGATCTTGCATGGATGGACTGATTTATCGAAAATGGCAGAACCAATGTAGACTGGGGATCCGTCGAGATCATGGCATGGAGGTGGTCCAGCAATATTCTGCTGCGGGAAGGCAGAGGACGAATGCAACGGAATACGGAAGCCAGAGCTGGGGGGCTGCTGGATGGGCGCCTGGTGACCGGCAGACGGGGCGCGCTGCTGTTCGAAATGGGGCTGAGGCATCAAGGGCATCACCTGGGGGAATCCTGGAGTGCCAGTATGTTCCATCTTGTCCTTCTTGCTCTTGTCTTTCTTGTCCTTCTTATCCTTTTTATCCTTCTTCACCTTCCCGTACTTCTTGTGCGAAGAAGAATCAGAGTCTGAGCTGGAACTGGAGTCTGATGAATCGATGCTCTTGCGACGATGGCCTGGTGACATACTGTACGAGTTTATGACGAAGATGAACCAAGTAATATAAGGCTGTTCAAGATGCGAGATGGCTGTTTATATCAAGTCGAAAGAGGCAGTGCATCACTGATGCAATGCAATGCTGTTATAAAGCTGTGTATATAATTAAGTACCGTATACGAAAGATCCCTCCATTAGCTTGATAATATACATAATGCACGTAGATAGAGCAGTGCTGAAATCACCCTTCCAGCTCAACAACAACGTTGATAACCATGATAGCCATGTAAGAGAGTATCAGAAATATGCCCCACGGCCGAGATAGAACATAGCCGTTATACGGCACTACGATGAGTGTCGTCACCAACAACGCTATCAGTCCTACTGTACACACAAAGAGCGTGGTTCCAAAATTTAGCTTGTAGGGCTCCGATGTATGGGTCGTTATATACATCCCGGAGATACCTACGCCAAGGAGGATGTTCAACATCGGTCCACCAAAACATGCCGAGAAGCCCATGATGGGGGCAAAGACCTAGGTAACGAATATCATTATCAGAAAGGACATGGCCGTTGAAAGATTGATAGACTTACGGCTACACTCATATTGGCCACCAGATCAGCCAGTGAATTGCCCACAGCAAAGATGGTCAAACCGATGATGGCATCTGATAGCCCAAAAAGAAAGCCAAAAGTCTAAGGAAGTCTGGTGTGAAGACGAACAGCAGTAAGAGACGATGATTTTCATTACCTGTAAGACGTTGACAACTTCATCAGCGATGGCCATTATCCACACTACAGCAACAAAGAAGCCCATAGAACAGCGTGTCATTCGAAACGTTGGGTGCTCTCCCTTCTCCGCGAAAACAGCCACCAAGATGGCCGCTGCGAAGCCAGTAATACCTGCAGCAAGTAATAGCCATGGAAGCTGGGAAGTTCCGCCTACGAAACCAATAAGATGATACACCAGCTAACGAGTGGAACGAACGAACTGAAAAGCACACCAACACAGAACAATGGCCCCAGGACACACTGAGCAGCTGTGAGCCACTTGTTGAACGTGACGCCGTGCATATCTTCCTGTACTTCCTCTTCGGCAATCAACACTCGCTCGATCCCTTCTTCCTCAAAGCCGATTAGATCGCGGTCACTTCCTAGTGTCTTTTCCAAGGAATGATGCGAGTGACCATAAGGCGTTACGACAACAGGTAACGTCAATGTCAACACCATGACCGCAGGAGCTGCAAAAACGGACGCAACCTTTCCGAGCACACTCTGGCTGCGGAAACGATGCAGGGATGGAAATAGGGTATGATAGATCTCTCCTAGGATATAAAACATGCCATGCGGAGATGGCGGAACATACGTCTGCGAGTCCGTCTCGGTATCAGATATCGTTTGCCCGATGGATGGGAGTGATGCCGTCATTGTTGAGGGAGAGGCATTGTCCAAGTAACGCCCATGTTCATGAATCTCCTCAGCTTCCTCAGTGGCTGGCGTCACAAGAAGCTGGGGTGGACGTTCGTTCAAAGGTAGTCCTTGGGTGGTATCCCATTGATCAATCTCTCTAATAGGTGTGCGAGGACGCGACCGAGAGTGGGAATAATAATGACCCCCGGCATAGGGCGTCTGACTTTCAAACATGTTCAAGGATGAACTGGCTGCCTCATGGCGAAGCGACGTCACTACTTGGCGAAACTCGAGAGCGCCGACTAAGGAGAATGATGGCATATGTGTATGACTATATGAAGAGGATGGTGATGGTGAGCGGGAATGCGGTCTTGGAGGAAGGTTGGTTTGTAGTCGCAGAGGGCCAGGGGCGGATATAGCGCGAACTCGTTGAGACGGCGGTACCGGAAGTGATATCCTCGGTGGCGATGAAGAAGCTATGACATTTGGATTTCATTGGGGATATAACAAAAAATATATACAAGGCTTACGGTCGTCCCTGTAAGGCTCTTGTTGCAGTGTCTCATCGTCTGCGTACTCTGAACGTGCCAAGGTTTCGTTTAGTCTTTGCATACTACGCCTCCGTCCCCACCACGTTCCGACGACGACATAGACGACATAGATGACATACAAAACAATCATGATTGCTGCCTCCCATGGCCGGATTTGGCCATCCCACAGGATGGCCAAGAGAAGGCTAACCGCAACAGTAAAGAATCCCACATCACGTAAGAAATGCCCCCGGTTTACCTCAAACGGCTTGATGATACACATAGACCCCACAACGCACGAGACGATGAAGGACGCGGCGCCTAGCAACTCCCCGATGGCGAGGCTTCCGGAGTTGGCTCGCATTGCTGAAAACGTGGAGAAGACATCCGGACTACCATTCCCAAATGCTAAAAACGTTACTCCAGCAACGTTCTCGTCAAGTCCCAGCAACTGGGCGATGGTAGCAAGATTTGGCGTGAAGAAATCTGAGGCACTGATGCCGAGGGTCGAGAACAGAAAGATGAGCCAAACAATAAGGCCTACGAAAACGAGCGGCCGTAATTGAGGCTTTGTGCAAAAGTAATCCCGGAGATAGTTGATGGAAAGAAATGTTCCGGGGCTTGGGCATTGGGTCTCGACATGGCTGCACTGAAGGTTGGGAGGAAACGCAATTGGGCGACACTGAAGATACCGTTATACAACCATGTCGCGAAAAGTACTGGGAATTTACCTCGTTCGCCAGTGGTTCGTCTGCTAAGACCTGTAGATTCCTAAATTCCAACGAAATGCGCTTGACCAAACTGTTCTCCCCGTGAAGCAGTGACACATCTGATACTTGGCCGTAGCGACTCCGTGATAGAAGAACCGCGTTCAGGACCAGAAGAAATACGAAAATGAACCGAGACGTCACGAACGACATGATAAAGAGGGAGGGTCAGGCAATGGAATGCGCATTACAGAACCATGTGTTCAGGCTTCCGTTAGCCGACGTAAATTTTGTTTGGATCTATTGATTTCGGCCGCTCATCGGACCGTCAGGCCGTCAGTTGTTGGTCAGGCGCGTCATCTCTGACATAAAAAACTCAGCCTACCAAGGCAGTACAGAAGAAATAATTTATGGAAAATAGCACAAGTACATCTGCTGCTGTTACATTTTGGAACTACATGTCATATCCTTTGCCTGTAATCACCTTGACCAAGAGGATTCGTCGTAATCAATCATGGTATCTCCTAGCACGTTAGCGTGCGCCTTCCTTCAAGATGGGTATATCCTGTATGAAATTGAAGGATATTAAGTAGTCGCCAATATAAAGAATGTAGTTGCTACCATCAGAATAATCGTCACTGTGTTCGTTGAGTGTCAACCACGCTAAACCGAACTTCAGAAGACTGTCGGCTTGCTTGCGTGCTGATTTTCTGTTCAAAGGTATTAGGTACTCCTTTGCATACGCTATATATGGGTCGTGGACTCACAGTGCATGAACCGCTTTCTTCACCGGAGCTTTTGCTTTCGCCTTGCCTCGGTATCTTCGAAAGACAGTGAGAAAGTCCAAAAAATTGGTATACGAAACATCGCTTACTCGAACAAGACTGATCTGGCCAGGTTCAGCATCTGTTGTGCCAAACCCTGGCGATCCTATACGGAAACTTGTGGATGTAGAGCGACTATCCTTTCTATTGAAGGTATCCCGCAAAGCTCTTCGTGAGTTCAGTGATGCCAGCAGCGAATTTGACCATACTAGGATCAAATAAGAAAGGTCAGTTGAGAGGTGATTGATTGGGAGACGTACGCTTCCCGATAACAAAATCAATAGCGAAAGAGTAGAAGGAGGTAGGCTTGGTAACGAACTAAGAGGGATGAGTAATGTTGGGGGTCCACTTCAGAATGACATGAGCGTACGACAATAACTTCAACAACAGCCACCAGTCTAAACACTAATGTATCAAAATTTCAAGCACCATAACGATATTGCAACTTACGATGTCAGTAGACAACGTGTAATCGCATATCCAATGAGAGTCTTAATCAGATAGTTTGTGTTTGCGAAATCCGTCCGGCTCCGCTCAAGCAGAAGGCATAGGCCGAGAGCGATTAAAATATCGGAAAGAATGGCAGTGATGCCAAACGGTAACACAGCAACAAACTGACAACTTCCTTTAATTAAATAAATTCTATCAGGAGAGGAGAGCTTACAAAGGCTTCGTTGAGCCTGCTAAATTCTTTCTTGACGAAACTGAAAGGAGGTGAGGACAGGAATTTGTGCAAAAGGAGGTACACATACAATTGACCGACAGTTTCTGCCAAATTGGGTGGTTGTTAGCCGAAGGTTAAGCTAAGAGACCGGTAATTTCACCTAAGCCAAAACCTAGAGATCGTTTAGGATTTAGAAATATAAAAGGAAAGCGAGACTTACAAAAATGGGCGAAGAGCATCGAGCCCTGAACAGATGTCAGTTCCGGAATTAGCCTCAAGTAGGGTCGGGACGGGACGAACGATAACAGAAGTCATCCACCACTTGTACGGTTTGGGACACACTGAGAAGCCACGGTGAAAAACTGCGGGAAAGTAGGTTAAAGTGGAAAGAGAGCGTACACCGGTGTATCCGTTGAGCGAAGAAGCTAAATTATAGAGATCACATTCTGCAGAGCGGAAGAGATGAGCAAAGAACAGACCATTGCACCAGGAAGCTTATTATCACCTGGAGAAGGATGAGCGAAGGCAAAATTACTCAACTCGTGCTTACATTGACCAGTAGCGAGGACTTGGTTGTGTCAGATTTTTGCATCACAAATACCGTCGCCTTTTGAGCTGCTAGTAATACTCACAAAGAGAGACCTTGATTTATCATCAGGAATGAAGTGCATTGAGCGAAGGTGGTGCACTGACCATGTTCCTTCTACTAAATGGGCAGGATTTCCGAATCCAGCGATCTTGAATAGAGAGGTAAGTGCAACGGTCGCTGTGAAGATCCGCGGACTGACCAAATACCAGTGTATAGCATGGCACACTGCCAAATTTGAGAAAGGCGGTGAAATGAATGTTATTCGTGCTCACTGAATACGACGTGGACTGTATCCAAACCCCTGTAGCGAACAGGATGAGTTCACTAACGAAACTATTTGCATACGGACGTACCATATTAACGCCACCTAAGAGAGCGAAACATGTTATACTGACGGACACGAGTCATGGACATAACCGACGAACAAAAGATTTTATCCCGGAACTATCTTGTGGGTAGGTCATGAAGTAAAAATACGCCTGCAACACTGGTCAGTAATGCATCATAATGGCTGAGTAGAAACAAACCTGTAGCGTTGTAATTCCGTAGGTGAGCATTGTGACCAACGCGCCGATGAGCATCGCACCTACGTGGTTTATGAGCACTGAAGAGCATCGTACGCGTCGCGTTTAAATACATACCAAAGGTATCGTCGATATTGATGGCCTCCATGGCTAGGGGGGTATAGAAAGGAAACACAGCTCACTCCGGAGTAACTGTGGTTTTAAGAGAATCGTGTGCTCCAGTTATTCGGATCTCGAAATCAAGTTGGGTATAGACTGCGATGATGCCGTTGGATTGGCAAATTGAAGATCAAGCACAAATAGGCAAAGTCCGACCTGGCACGGCCGGTGACCTTGTGCACTCTGACAGCCGTGTCAGAAGGATGTCAAGATGAAGATGATGAAGAAATCTAGTCTGATATGAAAAGAGTGATGTGCATATGCAAAGCCGTGCGAATAATCAAGGAAAAGCAATTTTGAACGTGATCGCGGTTGAAAAGTAGCTGCCGGCCGTCAAGCAAGGTCTGATCAACAACTGTTTGGGGGTGATGCCGTATTGCTGCTTGTTTCCAGTCCATCTCTCAGGCGGTTCATTTGAATCAAGGCATTCCTTCGAAACACATACTGCAAACACTTTGTTCCAGCGCCTCGCCTCGTCCCGATGGCATTCCGAAGTAAACTGGCTATATTCGTCCTTCTGACGGTACCATTCATTTCTTAGTCCATCGTTCTCGAACCGACGTATCACGTTTTCAGAGCTTTTATGTTTGGCGAAGCCAGTACACTCTCCGGAATTCCATTCTCACATCGGCCCCGCTCCCCGACGGTTATTTCCACGGCGGCAATTTCAGCACCCAATGCGAGACTCTCAAAGACGAGTCCGGCAACGACGCTCTCAAGTTCTGTGAGGACGCAACGTTCTGGGACCTTCATGACAATGAAGCCAAGTTGGAAGAACGAAAGGTTCTTATATCTTGTGACTCGGGCCGAAAGCAGTGGAACACCGTTAGTTCGACGACCTTTCCTTGGCAATCTTGACCGGCTGACCGAGTCCCTACAGGTGATGGGGCCGTTACACAAGCCCGAACCTCACGGCTCTCTCTGGCTCTACTCGCCCGACAGCGAAAAGGTCGCTACGGATAAGCCGAGCTCTCTTTTTGGTTTCGGAAAGACTGCTGTTGTACCCACGAAACCTCAACGTATCACATTGAAAAACTATCCAGAAGGCCACGACTTCCATCCTTTGGGTGTCAAGATTTGGCCATCATATGCTGGCAATTCCTCCAATCTCTTCATTGTGAATCATGCTGGTCCTCGAACCTTTATCGAACAGTTCGTCATATCGCCCTCCTCCCCGACCGTCGCAACCCATATTCGCACGCTTTCATCTCCCTACTTTGTTTCCCCCAACGCTCTCGCTCTGACCTCTCCGAATTCTTTCTACGTTTCAAATGACCATCTTGTCACTCGGAGATGGCCCATCATCGGCCACTTTGTGCCTATCATGGAGACGATTCTTGGATTACCTCTTGGATGGGTGGCCCATGTCACTCTGGATTCTGATGCAACATCTTCCGTTTCGATCCAGACCCACGTAGTCGCCGCACCCTTTATCCCATTTCCAAATGGCGTAGCCGTGTCTGCGTCCGGTACTCAGGTGGCCATTGCATCCACATCGTTGAGTCAAATCATGATGTATTCGAGAAATACCTCCACCAATGAACTGGTGTTTCAAGAAAGCATTCTTGTTCCATTTTGCCCCGATAACATTGATTTTGACGACAATGACTCTCTTATTGTTGGCGGCCATCCCCATTTCCCGACTTTGGTCAAAGTGGTTAAAAGTGTGGCGCCGCACGCGCCAAGTTGGGTGCTTTCTATTACACCCCGTGCCAGTGAGAGCAAATTGACCGAACCACCGGTCAATTACGATATACTGGCACCGATTTCTGCCGGCAGTAAGGTCCCCGCACCGCTGAACTGGGACGTCGTGACATTACTCCAGAGCAACGGCGTCGGTTTTTCATCTTCTACGGTCGGTCTGCAAGATACGAAAACAGGCGCCTTGTATGTCTCTGGGTTGTATGCGGAGGAAGGACTGCTGGTTTGCAGACCACCTCTGGCCTAAATCTAATCCTTGAATTGGCAGCCGTTGAATTGCTGACAGGAGGAATGTGGCGTTATTATCGTGAGTTTACAAATCTTGATACAACAGAGCCAAAACTTAAATGTATGTATTCAGATATATATAATAAAACAGAAGAAATGGACCCACAAGTATTGTGGGGTGTATATATCAATGTAATTGTACACTATGAACCCGAGGGAGGAAGGCGGATAGCATGAGAAGGAAGGCAACACAGCAAGATTAGGGAAGGAAAAAAAAAAATAGAACAATGTTTATAAATCATCAAAAGAAATTGGGCAATAAAGTTCTGTAGAAACGAGATCAGGCATTGCAAGCTGTCAAAGAGAAAACGGCACTCACACGGCACCAGCACCAAACAAGAACGCCGCCACCCCCCAAGCCACTGATTTGGTCTTGGGTTCCATCTGCCATCGACTAACCCTACTGTTAGTAGCGATGACTCGGGGTTCAGTCTCTTGCTCTTTGGGTTCAAACTTCAACACCTCCTCTTCTTCCCGTCCTCTCTTGCTCTTGGGCTTGACGTCAACATCCATATCACTTTCCGTCTTCAGCTCGGTCTTGAGCGCACCCCTTTCTGCTTTCAGTCCCTCGATCAAGGCCTTCTGCTCAGCAACATCTTGTTGATGAAGCTGTGATCCCATTACATCTTCAACGTTCTCTCCTTCTTCGTCTACCACCGTCTGTTCTGATCCACCCGGGGTATCGACAAGCTCTCGTCGAGTGCTCTTTCTGGGCGTCTTTGCCCGTGGGGACTTCGGCGGAGCTATTGAGACTTGGGGTGCAGGACTCTTGGTGCGAGCAGATCGTCGGAGGGTGGGTGGCTTCTCTAGAGATTTAGCTGGAGACGGTGATGACTCTTTCCGGCGTTTTGCCGGATTGGGAGCGGGGGATGGAGGGGCCTTGGGCGGTGGTGGAATGGATGATCCCGCCGGGGAGGCGGGAGTGGCTCGAGGAGCGGCGGCAGCGCCTTTTCCAGATCGCCTGTAGTTGGCCGTAGGATCCGGCCTAGCATTGACAACAACGTTAATGAAACCACCTAATGAGTAGGCCTCTGCGAGAGACAGAGCCAACTGCGGTGAAACCCAAGTGCCCGCCAGACGAATGATTGAAGTGTCTCGGGACGATCCATTGTTGCCAGTCAGGTCAAAGTTATCCTTCACCCAGGCTACCTCTTCCTTCTCTTCTTGCTCAGAGGCGGTTGGGAACGCAGCGCGGAACATGGTGGTCAAGCTAATTGCGCCAGTGTCATATCGCCTGAGGATGAAAGCGTGCCCTGACGGCTATCGTCGCTTTATCGTCAGCAAGGGTTGATGAGATAGATGGCAAATACGTACTGTCGATGTCTCTATCTTCATTCTGCCCACCTGAAAAATCATACCGACATTAGCGCGTCATGCAAGTCACGTAAAAGGAAGACACGCACGAGAATGTCTTGTCCTTGACAATTCAATATTTGGTACTTTACGGGTGGCAAATTGCCAGAATCAACTGCATAGAATAGTTAGACAAGTACAAAAGGTACATCGCGAAACGCACGAGTCGCCTTGAGGTGAGGATTAAGCCCGGAGGGCATCGGTGGGCGAAGGGACATCATGGACGATATAGGAGATCGTGGTCAACAACGGTGTCAACAATAAGGCGTGGGATCCGGGTTAGCGATCCATCAAAATAGGGACAAATAAACCCGGAAACTCGCGTGGCGCACAGACTATTCTTAACTCGTTCGTAAACTCGATCAATGAGTCTTTCGACTACTACACAGTGAGCAGAGAATGGCCGATAAGCGACTTACACGAATGTTGTATCTATAGAGAAGGAGCAACCAATCAATCAGCAAGCGTGCCTCCAATAATGCCAATTGTGTAACGTAAAGATGCGAGTACTTTTATCTAGATATTAAATAATCGACATATTGGCAAGCTTCAACAACGCCATGTAACATTAATAATTCAAGTCACCGATAGAAGATAAAACAATGTCTTCCTGTCAGATCTGCTGTCGTCTCAACTTTCTGAACCCTGCATTTGCAATTATTCCCATGCAACCCAGCTAATGTCCAAGCCCTGACGCGGACGCTTGAACGATTCGAATCTTTCAACGACAGAAGAATCAAGACCCAGGTAGTAAACTTCAACGCGTAGGTGCTCAAGCTTCATCTAGAAGTAATCACGTCTGCAAAGATGTTGCCAGTCCCCTTATCATAAATATCATCCTCAGGATAGGTGGTGGCATAGAGACCGAGACTGCGGAGATAGGGTAAGAGACCGATATCCGCACAAAGATTACGAGCAACAAGTTCTCCAAAGGGCACTTCTTCATAATAAGGATCATCAAACTGGCCCGCAAAGCAGGCAGATACCCCACGGATGGATTCGGAATCCTCAAACTCGAAGAAGTCATCGGATGCAAATGACCCAAGATTGGGAAGGATAAATAAAAGCAGGAGATCGCCGATGTTGCGAACGCGACGAAACTCGATTTCGCGCAAAAAAGTGTGAACAATGGGTATGCCTGGCGCGCTGTCGTCTTCGAGAACCCAGCCACAGGTACAACGTGCGCGAGTCGCGATGATTTTAGTCAGATACAACGCTTCTTTGAGGAGGTCAAAGATCTTTTCAAGGGTAGTAAATTCTGTGAGATGTACAGAGCGAAGATTGCTCATGGGAAATGGATGCTGACGATAACATGATCAGTCTATTGGGGAGCAACAGAGAAAGCATTAGATGACGCTGTGAGTGAATATTCAACATAACGTGCTTTTGGATCATCTCGAGGTGCATTTTTTGGAGAATGGCCTTCAAGGATAATATTTGAAATGCGGCTGTGCAGTATGACGTATGCACGTGATCCGTGGTTACCTAGAAGGGCCGAGTAAAGTAAAGATTGAAAGCTGATGTACGACTACGAGCAGCACTATGCGCCCACCGGCGACTTCTACGCGCTTCTCCCGCCACAACGCAAGGATGCTCTCTCAAAGGCAACACGCGATCTCATGGCCTTAGAGCCTCCTCCTTCTCCTTCAAAGCATTCACTCAACCAGCCTCCACCACCTCCCCCAAAACGATTCAGACCCACCCCGCCGCCTCAGGGCCCAACAGCATCAAAGTCGACCCTTCTCAGTCCCTCTCAGAAAAAGGCCAACCATATTCAGAGCGAGCAGAAGCGACGGGCGAACATTCGCCGCGGATACGAGGCACTCTGCCAAACCGTCCCTGCTCTGCGCGAGGCCATCAGACAGGAGGAGGCAACAATGTCAAACGAGTCGAGAAGTGAGGTGAAGCGTCGTCGACGAAGCCGACAGGGAGGAAGCGGCGGGGGAGGGGGCGACAGCGAGGTGAGTGCCGACGGACGAGCAGGTCCTCGGAGTGAGAATGTCGTTTTGGGCAAAAGTATGTCATCCGTATTACTCCTCGCTTGCCTCTGACGGACTCGTATTCAGCCATCGAGTATATTCATGCCCTCGTCTCAGAACGCGAGGCCCTTCTTGCCCGCCTTCATCATGCGAATTCCCGCCTCCCGACACCGTTACCGCCGCCTCCGAACGCCCTTTGGGAACGCAGATGGAATGGAGGCGATTCCCGAGATGATGACGAGTCTGATGAGTATGCATATGGCTCCTTGTCCCCGTCTCCTTGCTGACTGTTTCCTAGGTCCGATTAAGGCTATTTATTCACTGTAACATCAGTTGATACCACCATATGCAATCTATGTCGATCTCATTCAACGACAATTCTCATTCAGCACTCTTTTACTCTACCTCGTTCTACTGAGATCCGAGGAGTCCCGGTCCGGCCTCCGTTCTAAACTTTGAACAACTATCTGCCCTTTGATACACTAACGCTTCTGTGCTTCTTGCAGACTATCGCTTCCCACTCGCTCCAGACTTTTTCTTCCCCATCTGGCTTGTCGTCGCCATCGACTACGAGTACACATGCTCATCTCGACATTTCATCCCAAGCCTAGCTCACTCTCTCCCACGTCCTCCCCATTTAGCCTCGCTCTACAACCAACTTCATCCTAACAACATGGGCGATGCTTACAAATAGTATGCTTCTAGCTTGCATACGAGGCCACGAGGGTAGCACATTCACACAGTACCCGACCAGCCAAGTGGCCCCGCCATCTACACCGAATTTTGAGTTGCAAAAGCGTAGCATCCATTGAAGAACCACTCTACGAATTCGGCACCATGTATACCTTTCCATTCATTATACCTTTTTTCTACCAATCACCTATTCTCAGTAATCACTGGGAAGACGTCCTATAGATCACGAGGTTGTCCACAGCTCTTGGACGGTCTTGTTGAAGTGTAGAAGCAAAGGACCGAGCATCTGGCTAGCAATAATTAACGCGATGTCGACGCGTGACATCACGCGTCAAAACTTTGATCCCAAATGCACATATACATTTACGTCTGTTCCGTTATCATTAAACGCCTTTGATCCCTAAATCCTCCGCTATGATTACCGCGGCTTTCTCTCCAATGATTAGCGCCGTGTTATATGTATTCGCACCGACATTTGATGGCGCGATGCTCATATCGGCGACTTTGAGATTTTGCACGCCATAGACGTTCAGACGCGCATCGACGACTCCATTTTGGTCCCGAGGCTTCATCGCACATGTCCCGAGCTATCATCCATGAGTCCAGATGTTCGTTACTATGCTTGAAGACTCACCGAGTGCCAAGTGGTTTGCACTAGCGTGTTTGTTGCTCAGGCTCAAGTAAGAATAAAGACAGGATTAAGCACTGACCATTTAGACGATGGTATACGTCAATCGCTTCGTCGTCTTCATCCGTATACCGGATGTCCGGCGCAGATATCGCTACTGGACCTTGTGCTCCCACATCCACAGCCGCCTTGCTCCCTTCGGGAAACTGAGGATGTCCCGGCCCGAAACAACCGCGATAGGCTTCCATGCGTCGAGCAAGTTCCCTACCGTGTTTGTATGCCCATCTCAAAGTGGCTAGGTCTGCAGGACTTTTAAAAAAGGCTGCGTGATCGACCGTAACCAGCAAATGGAAGGTGAAACGTACTCATCGAGGAACCCGGTTGTCAAGTCGAGAGGAGCATACGGGTTGAGGCCGGCTTGTATGTGCACTCGACCTGTGGAGACGGGGTATTCCTTCGAATCAAACTGTCAGTGCCCAGTCCCCATGAGTTAATTGCCTCAACTACCGTGTAGTAAGCCATAGAGAAGAACTTGCGTCCGGGTTGTCGTGGAGGATCGAGGAGGACGTAACTTGCAAATCATAATATTAGTTCCGGGGTATGCGGAGGTACGACAATACCTACGCAGACAGCGGTCCAACCCACACCACCGGTTTATCGGGAGCGTTGACAAAGAAGCTGTTCCATCGATTGGTGAACGTCGGTCCAAGGATTTTCAGATCCCTTTCGTTCGGCCTGAGCTTTGCCCCGGCATCGAGACCGCTGGAAAGAATTCAGTAGGCAGAAGCAAAGCAAAGAGAGAATCTTCAACTTGGACGCCATTAAGCCCTTTCCGTCTTTGTTCCATTGTTCAGCATACACTGCCGCCGCCGCAATGTCTCAAAAAGGGTAGAAAACGGGGGATAAATGATGGGGCACGTACAGGTAGGGTCGCCGTGGAATATCTCATCCAGGGTGTCACTTGTCTCATCAGTGCAATAAGGAACGAAGAGACAGTTATGATCTGCAGCAAATCAGCAAGTATAACCGGTCCCCTCTGAGTTGAAGATACCATTATAGTTCTCTCCCACTCCCGGGAGGTCAACAACCTGTGGTATATCGTTCTTGTGCAGAATTTCTGTAGCTCCAATTCCCGATCTGTTTGACACCGGCATGAGTGGTCTGCCGGACTAGCAAAGCTTAAATGATAATCACCTTTCCAAGATGGACGGAGAGCCAAAGGCACCAGCAGACACCACGACGAGACGCGAGGCGAACGCTTGTCGAACCGTATCTTCTCGAATGTCAACACCTTCATCGGTATACTCCACGCCAACAGCGCGTTGTTCGCTGTCCAAAACTCATGATCACCGCGGTACTAACGTCAAGCGCATAGGTCCCTTACTCGAAAATGACCCGTACAACTCGTTGCTTGTCCAATACCTTCAGGTTCCGGTTATGTTCCTGGTTATAGATAAAGTGGTGTGCGGTATCGGACCGTTTTCCAGATGCTGGGTTGATGAACCTGATATTCATTTTCAGTGATGTGATCCTCATTGAAGGTCGAAAATTACCGACTTCTGCCAAGGCTGTACGTGGTGACCATTAACAAACCTCAAGGGCAAGAATGTGTGATACGCACTCCATACCCATTGCACGTCTTGAAACCATTGGGATCAGCAATGAAACCGCGGTCCGAATCGTACTTTGCTGCTACAGCAAGATATTGTTTTCCAAAATCACCTGCGATATTCTCAGTGGAGACGTTGATAGGGCCACCGGTACCGTGAGTTTCGAACCGGGTACCGCCTGGGTAGTTTTCCACCTTGAGACAATTGAATTAGCATCAACACCCAAGCTCGAAACCCAAACTTGCGTACTTTCCTCGCCAAGGGAATCAAGTCACTTGAACCCCATCCGGAATTTCCATACAAATTTTCCCAGTCATCAAAGTCAGATGCAGCTGCTCGCGTATACATAAGGACTGGCTCCACAAAATCACGTAAGTTTCAGTTCCAATTTAGAGAATTAAACTTTACAATTAACACCCGACCCTCCTCCCACGCATTTAGCGGACGGAACAACGGGAGACCGACCGGCAATAGCCTCACTGGGCCTGCCCACATGGAACGTGAAGACTTCTTTTTGCTCAGCCAAATTGCGGAAGTAACGAGCTGGCTGGACGTGATCTTGGACGTTTAGGATATGGGGGCCTGCTTCAAGGATCTGGGAATGTAGGGGTTAAGTAGTAAGAAGAAGAAAGACGGGGTGGTATTTACGAGGATCTTGAGTGAGGGATCGGCAGCAGCCAGGCGTCTGGAAACAACGGTAAGTGTTATCAAACCAAGAATACTGGGGGCTCACCCAGCCGTTACGCAAGCGCTTGTGCCGCCTATTGAGGAACCGTTTGAGGCCAACGAACGGCAATAAGTACAACGAACCACTGACCTCCAACGAAGATGATGTCGTATTCCTGGGTCATTGTGGACTCGAAGTGAAGAAACGAACATAGGCGCTCTATATATCTTCTGCTCGATGACTGACCACCTGACCTGTCCCCATACGGTGGAAAGTAGGAACCACGCAAACGAAAGAACGTGAGGAATAGCATATTCTCCGAGCCCGAGGCGCCCGTGCTGATTATCTAGCTATAAAAGTGAACGATATGCGCCACCAACGCTTGCTTGAACTCGGAATGCCGTCGTTAATTGACTAGGAAGTTTCCTGAGCGCTCCGAGAGTGTTCATATACAGAATGAAAAAATAGGTTACGTTCCTGGGGTTTTACGGTCGTTTTCTTTATGGACGGAGTGTAACAACAAGGATGGAAGGGTAGGGTGAACTCGAGGACCTGTAGATTGAATATTGCATAACAAGCGTAAGTTCTCCTCGCGACTTCCGACAATCCAGGGAAGGGACGAACGTTAATTGGTATCTGGCGACAGGAAACCGAGATCCAATATGAACACTGCGCTTTCGCATCAACGCCGAGAGACACCACTCATTATTATAGAATGTCACGTCGAGTGGCACCAAGACCCAAATCGAGTCGGCTAGAAGCTATCTTGAACATTAACAGGTAAATCTATATATATAAAACTGCTGTTCGTTACCAAGCGCACACCCATGCGTCAAGGGAAGCCGACTTTGCCCACGGACGGTGTCTCATCATGAACCATTGGTTCCGGGTGACAGCTAGCCAGCTGACGATCGACGTCTCGATGGTCAACGCATCATGGCCATGCACTGGAGGAGATGCCTCCCCCCCAAAAGGAGGGAATCCGCTGCGTTCCGCATGCGAACGAAGTATCACGAGGCACGCCTGGAGGTCGAACACGTTCACATGTTTGGTTAGTACGGCCTGGTTCTAGTGGCTTTGATTTTGGGCGCAGGCGATTTGAGACCAAGTAAGATCGTATGCCGAACGAGATGATGCCGACGGAATTCAAGAGAACAAGGAGAGCCAGGCACCCAGGAAAAATATCGAAGTGGAGAATTTCTCGAGCCGAGTGTTGAAGTTACATGCTATAAACCGGAAACTTCCTCTCGACCTTCACCGGCCATATCTTAAATAAAGCTTTTGCTGAAATAGATCCCGGGCTTAGAGGATAAAAAACCTGAGGGCATTAGACCTTGCTCAAGGAAAGGATGAAAACCCGTACTACTTACTACTCCTGAGGTTCTTCATACTCGTATTGCTCGACCAGTTTTGGGGTGGTCTAGAACTTGAAGCTGATGGCAAACGGACATAGGGGGCAGGATCATTTTGAAAATTCGCTACAACTCCGGGCCGAGTTGTCCGAGGCTACCAGCCACCCGTAATCCGAAGATCTCTGACCATGAATTTTCCTCGCGTCGGTATATTTCTTGAAGGATGAAGAAAAGCTCTATTAAAGTGGATGTTCGGCGAAGAGCTGGTTGTGCTCGATAACTCGATGTCTTCAAGCTGAAAATTGGGACTGGAACAAAGGCGCGCTTGTCAAAGCTCGGGATAGATGAGTAAAACTCAGGAAAAATGTAACGGCCATTCGATTATGAGTTAAATTTCTCAGAAATAAGCAATAGTCTAAGCTTTCATGTTAAAGAATATCCTACGCCTGATGTCGACAACATGGCAGCCTCTTCTCCACTCAGCAAGATCCTAGATCTGGGTTTAGTCAACGAGGAATTGGATCATCTGTACGGGTTTAATGTCCGCGAATATTATCAACTTCGCCGCATTTAGGGTGGTATAAGAAGGAAGCCAAAACAGCCAGAAACGCCGAATCAATCATCTCACTGTTACATATACAAATCTTACTACGCATCGAATATAAAAATTGGAAACCCTTCTGCTTACACCATTTAATTCACCTTCGAAGGGGTCGTCCGGAGGTAAAGCTATGAAAATGGAATTTCATTCTACGAACAATAAATAACACACATGGTGGACCTTGTGCTCAGGGAACAAGGTTTCGTCTCATTGCTTCGGATACTAGCGTGAATGTTAACGTCGTCACCTTTGTTCCAGTTAACTGGGGTGGCAATACGGTTCTTATCACCCAACTGGATGGCATCAATAACACGAATGATCTCGTCCTAAGAACAAGATAAATCAGACATAAATTAAAAAATGGACAGATGTAAATTAAATGTACGAAGTTGCATCCAGAGACGGCGGGGTAAGAGATGGTCAGGCGGATGACCTTTTTGGAGTTGATGACGAAAACTGTACAAATCTGCATTCATCGTGCTGGCACGGAAGACATGTCGGACATGCAAACATCAACGTACAGTGAACGGCAATCCCTTTGCATCTCTGTTGGAAACATCATGGTAATCCAGCATGTCGTATAGGTGGGAGATTTTTGCGATCAGCGTCAGCAATCTGGGCGGTATTTCTTCAATACAAAAGTGCTGAGTCCCTTGGAATCAACACAACACTCACGATGGGGTATTCAACGTAGGTAGGTCCTGTCGTGTTTCCACCATATACTTCAATGTCTTTAATCCACTGGTTTTATTCCCCGAGAACGTTCGCAGAGATACCAATAACCTTGACGTTGCGCTTAGCAAAGTCAGGTGCGTGCCGAGCAACTTGTACCCAGCTCAATCGTGTTGACAGGGGTGAAATCTCCTGGTCGAGAGAAAAGGACGCCCTTCACATGGCTTAGCCTCGGTATCGACGAAAAGCCAAGTCAAACCCTACCCAAATTCGCCCAACCACTCGTGGAAATTGATTTCGCCCAGCGTGCCAGTCTCTGCCTCAAAATCGGGGGCGATGCCAGTGCTGAGCTTGATGCTGTCCGGTTATTGAAGTAGTTGTGGTCAATGAATATTGATTTCCGAGTCCACAGGACTGCTCATCTTGCCGTGGTTTCGACATTGAGACTCAGATTCGCACATCGCATTTTGGTGTGAATAGACGTAAATGTCAAACCACCTGGCCGATCCTCATTCGTTGACGTGCGGTGGGGTTCTGGCCAAAACGTAGTTCAGCCATGACAGAAGCAAAGGGGAAAGACTTTCCGTTAATAATAAGAGCTTCTATCTGTGGGACACATAAATTACAAGTTGAAGTGCAAGAGAAGGACCGAGATACGTGATGAGAACGAGGTTCAATTCCATTGTTAGGTTCCTGCATCTTTGGGCCTCTAAATTACGAGGGCATTGACTTGTTCTCGTTCGTCATCTAGGTGTGTCTCAGACTCGAAACAAAGTGATTGGCAGTTGTTCTGACCACTGACAGATGTTCTATCCAGATTCAACACCACTACAGGATCTGTGAGTACAGATCTCGACAATGAGGTCCAAATACATTCGCGATGTGTTTTGCAAGATCACTACTCAAAAATCCTGAGTCACAAAGCGTAAGCTAGGGTCGGCGGTTAGGTGGAGGAACCTCGTTGAGAAGTAGCAAATACGGAACGAACTGATGGTGGGGGTGCCACATACCAAGGATAGTTGGGAGGAGGATACGGAAGATGGCCAGGCGCGCCGGAAGATGGCCGTCCTGCACCTGCACTTTCGCTTTCCCTTCTTGTTGTTCGAAGACTGTGCCTGCGATCTTCTTCTACCGCTTACTGAAGGTTCTTCCTCACCGTCTTGCTGTTTCGGTTTCGTCGTTTCCAAGTACTAGAGAAACGAGGTCTCTCTTCAGAAACAAAGGAGCTCGATAAGATTCTCGTCAGTGGCCTTACAGCACACCGCGACCGTAGCATCAGATTTATTGCAGCACTGTGTAAGCAACAAAGGCCCCGTAAGTTCTCGCAAGTCGGGTAAGTTAACTATAAGTTGGCTATTAGACTATACTGTCAGATGTCGAATAAACCGAATGGTCTGTGTCAAAGAAAAGAATAAGCTTACCATCCCTTGATTCTTGGACTTTGAAATGCGAATTTTCAAAGAACTTTCTGTAATCTTCGCTTCTGCATGCACGGTGGACGTGGGCGATTGGCCCCGACGTCAATGTGAGGGGTGCCAGTAGGGATAGATGAAGTTCGTCATCGTAGCCACGGAAAGTGTCAGGAGTGTCATCGTCATCGTCGTAAAAGCTGGTGGTGTCTGTTGACCCTGATTTCAGGAGGTAATGATACTGCCTCGCGCGAGGGCTTATGCGCAGGTAGGTGAGGTAGCATGCATGCTATCCATAGCTTTTGGGGCTCTGGATGCATTTGAAGTACCTAAAGAGCTGTATCAGTAATATTACATGAATTTTACCCATAAAAGTGAGCAACAGAAACGAGCGGGGGGGGGGGGGGGAAGAAATGAAGGAATGGTGGTGGAAAGGAACGAAAAAAGGTACTACATAGCCACTCGATGGCTGTGCGGCTGTACGGTCCGAGACGATCGAAAGCCTAGCGGAATTCATCCTCGGGATGCTTCCACTGCTGCTCACAGCGGCCCACTTCGCCAAGTCAACTTCTTTATATTATTCTTGTAAACAGAAGATCATCTCGTAGTAAGTATTTGTTATACCCTTTAATATTCTACCCTGATCATTCATCATAAAAGACCAAAGCTCTGAGCTCAATGGACTGCCGCAAAGGAGATCCCTTTGGCGTATTAGGATCCACAAACGAACTGTGCGCATTGAATGTTACCTTCGCCTCATCCTTGGTCGAGTCGAAACTATACCTCAAAGATAAGTCGATCCAGTAAATCACGAATAGTAAAGCACCGTACCACTTGAATATCACTACCTCCTCGGGGGTCATTCCTCTCAAGTAGACCCATTTATGTCTCGCATTCCACTTTACAGCATAGGTCTCCCCAGGCCCTCCAGGAAACTTGAGCGTCATCGGGAACAAGTCAATATTCTCATCGACTGTGCTGGAATCAATGAATCCAAGCGGCGTATCTAATGCTGGGTTATCGATCGGACGCCACAAATTGAGTATCTGGAATCGGTGCTTGACAAGCTCCCGCGCCTCGCTCTCTGGTAAATGACGAAACACCCGAGCCCTGGCTGCTGCTGGTGTTTGGTCGATGTGGACATTAAACACCGGCTGGCGCTTCATTGGAGACTCTTCCGTGTCTCCCGGATGATGTCTGCGAATGGCTAGTCTAGTCAGCTGCTACTCCATAAAGTTAATGCGAAACGGCAAGGAACGTACTATGATCAAAGATGAAGACCTTCGTCGCGCCCGTGAGTTTTTTGTACAGCTCCTCGCTTTCGGGATAATATTCTTGGATAACATCGTCATCACAGCCGAAGGCCGTGTGCTTGGATGTGTGTCGGAAGTACTGGAAACCGGCCTTGTCGAGAAGATACTGATGCTCTTTGCCGCGAATGTTCTCGATTCCAACGGTAACGTTGTGTCGGATATAGTTATGGTCGGTTCTATCATTGATATTCTTGTAAGCGCGAGTACCGTCGGGTGGTGGGAGATAATATGGAGCAGTAATTAATGTGGGAGGGTCTTCAGCTGTAGCCATGGCGTGCAAGTTGTTACTACCTGTATGGCACAGTGGATCTTATATGAATTCCTTTAGCCGTATCCGACCACAGCGTGTATTGTTCAAATCGTGACGAGATAATTGATCACGCGGACGGAAACTTTGATATTCACATTCTTCAACTCCGAGCTAATACTGACATACTATCTTTAAAAGGAGACATCATTTCAACAAGTTTATCAAGATCTTTACATCATCTTACTCATTCCCGGGAAGGCATAGACGCCAAAATGATATTGAACGTAGTTCCCTTGTACCTGAAAACCCCCGAAAATCAATCTTCGATGTCACACATACGAATTCAGAAAGACATACCCAAGACGGTCCGATCCTGGGTCATTGAAAACGCTGCAGGGTGTAGGTCATTAGTACTCTAGGCTCTCGTCGCGATTTTCTGATGAGAACGTACATGTATCCCCGGTCATTCGGAATCTTAAGCTCTTTCTCAAAGAAGTCAAAGAAACCCTTGCTAAAACCAGCATTCTTTTCCGTCGGGATGCCCAATACGGTGAGCTGGGGTGCCATCGTATTATCAGTCCACCATCTGGCTGACCTACAAACGTGGTACGTACCACATTCATGGTGAAGGCAGGATCGTACGTGCCGCCGAAGATCATGCTTTCATCGTACTTGTATGTCACGGTGACATATTTTGTCATTCCGAGGATCTCAGCGCTTTTCTGAGAGACAGGTAAGTCAGAGGATATGATTTCAAGAATAACCGGGACGACGAGACCTGGGACAAGGCAGTTGTGAATGCCTTAGCATCCGGGACCTTCGGAAGGGATCAAGATCAGCGTGGGCTCAAGTGACAGAAATGTGAACAGGATTCCACCTTGACGTTGGTAGTGAGCTCGATGATTGGCATTGTGAGTCGAAGTAGGTAGATGCTTTGGAGTTTTGACTGTTCAGATGAAGAATGAAGGTCGATTCAGCGAACCCTCTTATAGGTTTCATAACGAAACTTAGATGTGATCCTCACAAAGGCTGGGCAATCATCGGACGCCGGGGTCTGGCTAGGAGAAAAATCCCATTGGTAGATAACAAATCTGTCCCAGGTAAGATTGATATCGAGCTGGAAGGTCAGGGCGTCAATGCAAAGTATACCTGCTATGGATTCTGTTGAATACAATCCGGTCACGACGTTGATGGATGAGCGATAGTTTCCCCACAGCAAGACGCCCACTTAATGGATGAAGAGGTAAATATAACCCGATCACGATGTTGATGAACAGAGTGATGGCTTTCTGACAGCGGGGCGCCTGCGCAATGAATTGAGAAGCGGTGGTTCGTACTGACTCCATTCTCCACGGCAGTACATCAAAATCACTTCCTTTAGAAGCACACAACATCGTACCCCAAAGAGCCCGTGTCCAGTTTCCTTCGATGATCACAAGCGCGGAAAGATAAACTTGAAAGAGCGAGCAGATCAGGAATTGATATTATTCGTGGCAGACGGCGTATGTTAAGTGACAGGAAGGCCTTCCCAATCCCATCTTCTATTACATTATTATAGGCATCTCAATTTAGTCCGAGACGTCTTCATCAGTTTCTACTCCGTCGAGAAAGGACCTGAACAAGTGCTAGAGTCAGACCGCTGACAACACAGCATATCTAAGAATGGGAGCGATCAGAAGCTAAGCATGATAGAAGAGAAAGCAAGTTCACCCCGCTGAATAGCACAGGCCGTAGCCATTGCATCTGCCCGGAATATTCACCAGTGACAAGGGCGCCGCTGATAGGAGGTCCTAGGAAAATGAAAATGCATGTTTTAGTGTTCGTTGACTTCGGATGCCAGTTTAATATTTCTACCAATCATGCCTCCGATAGCTGAAGAACCAACATGAATATCTTTAGATATTAACATAGAAGACTGCTCACCTGCAATACCAATGCACACCCCGAGTCGTGCCCTGTGAATACAAGGTGAAGATGTACTAATACTAAGGGAGAAACAAATATGCCCACCCTATTTCGGAGACATTCTTCGTGAGGTATGCAATCATCGGGCCAAGGAGGGAAATCACTACAACACTGTTTGGTAGCAGTCGCTTTCAAGGAATCAATGACCTACCTGCGCCTGAGAAGAAACCATAGAGGACAGCGAAAACCATTATCGAGGCCGGGTTTGTAATGGCGACCCAAGCAAAAATAAGCACCCCACATGCAACAGCACATGGGATAATCGAGCTGAAGACGCCAATACGGTCGACAGTAATCGTTGGCATGACACGTCCAAAGGCACCTGCGCCATTCAAGAGCGCGATCTGTGAGGACAAGGTGATAAGTTTGAAATGACAACATCAATAGTATGACCGCCCTACCGTATAGAATGCCAGATTTTCGTTTACGCCATGTTCAATGGCATTCAACTGGAGATAAAAAGTAGGGAAATAGACTCCTAAGAAGAGAATAAAGTTTCCCGCAATGGCGATAAGATATGCTTTGTCGGTGAAGAAGTGTCTCCAATAAGCCACCTGCTTAGCGAAGCTTACATCTCCAAGGCGTGGTGGCAAACGAGTCGTCATCAGTGCGTTTGCCAGTATCAGCAATCCAAGATTAAAGAACGCGCTGATCCGCACACCCCAACGGAAACCGATAGATCCATGAAAGAACCGGTTCAACATGATAGGGTGGACAAGACCGCCAATGGATGATCCAGATCCAACAATGCCCATGACGAGGGACCGACGTTTCTTGAAATGATGCGAAACGATTCCAAGCGCGGGAACATAAACGATCCCGACGGCTATGCCCAATCCAATACCTTGCGCAAGAAAGATCTGAGGCGCCATGAGTATCGACAAGAGGTTTAGAAGAACCTCAGTCAAATACTTACTTGCCAAAATTGCTGCTCTTGGGTGAGGGACGTCATGAAGAGGCAAAATACGAGTAAGGCCGACCCTGCGAGCATGACAGGCCGGCTATTATCAAGTCTAAAAGAGAGTACAGGGGCATTACGAGGAAGTTGAACTTACAAGTGTCCCTGATCCATGGCAAAACCTGAATATATGCCTAATGACCCCAGACCCAGTATTTGAACGCTACCTATCCAACTTGGACATGTCAGAGAAAGCGGAACACCGGGAAAAGTGACGGAAGACATCGCACCTAATCCTTGAAGACGAATGGTCGCTCAAAAATTCACGGACATAGTAATCTGGGGTTGTACAGTGTCAACTCGGATTTGGTGTAGAGGCCTTCAATTAATCTACCTTCATATACACCATAGCAATTGACGTAGCTGCCATGTGTTCGTTATTGAGTTTTAACAAACATCAAATGCAATGCTTAAAAAAACGAACCCTGAAGAGCAAAAGACGACAAGAAACCTAAGAGGGGTGTGAGCGCTTTGGAACGAAGCATCTCGAGGACGGCTTGACATACGCGCCAACAACAGTCATCCATGCCCTCAATCCACCGTCGGGGACGTCGTGAGCGTCTACTGTCGGTAATGGCGCCATTTCGTCCTTAGAGGCTACCATTTCGTCTGGGGAAATTTGTTTTACAGTCACCACTGATAGCTGGGATTTCTGCGTAGTAGATGCGTGTTCTTGCTCAAGGGGAGACATTCCGATACAGTAATGAAGCCCAGCTGAGAGGTCTGGAAGAATGGCGATGGATAGTCCAGAAACTTGGGCATGCTGTACGCATCGTGATGACCGAAACTATGCAGCGCATGGGTCGATATCTCACGGTACAGGTTCAACCGTAGAACGGAAGTCTGCTCATCACACGGAGCGCTGAAAGGTGATCCCGGTCAGGAATGAAAGAGAAATGAAATAACGAACAATACAAAGCAGTCTACACGACAATCAAGGACCGTTCAAGGCTCTCATCGGCTCAGGGTCGGAGAACACTATCGGCAGTCGAAGAAGCACAAACCGGGCTGTTAGCCGGGAAATCAGAAACGCAAGCACTAGCCGCTACGTACTGAAAATAGTACTTGAAAGGTACGAACTCCAGAGTAAGGGCACTCTACTAGAGTCTGGACAAGGTCACGGAGCATCGGGCCGGGATAGTGCCTCAAACTTCCAACCGTGTGAACCATCATACATATTGATATCACCGCGACTCGTCAAGTCTCTAGAGTGCTGTGGGTCTAGTATGGCGACCCCAAGGACTCCGAATCGGTCGTCAACCGTTCCAATGGACGAAAGAAATACGCGTATTTACGGCCATTTCAGGCAGAAGAGCTCGTACACATTCTCTAAATTGAAACATGACCAGCTGCTTTTACAAGTGTGTTTGTCTTCGCTGTAACGCTGAAGAGCTCACTGATGCATTCCACTAGAGAACCTGACTTTGATACGCTTCAGCTGTATGCTGGACATGAACTCGGACGTAGCTTGAATGCAAGAGCCGTACCAATTTACGCGTCCACAAGCTTCTGTTTTGATAGCACTATGCATCAGTTGATCACGGCTTGTCTCGTACTGAAGAACAAAAACTAGTAGAGTGAAGGACTGTTTGGAATAAAGTATGAACCTAACTCAAACTTCAGTCTGTGTATTCTCGTATATCTAATTCTACTGTCGTGCGTATGAGTCCCACCTCATGCTCGACGCCTTGATTGATATCTTTATAGGACGTAATTGAAAACGTATCGCCGCGCTTGAGGGTGGCATGTCCGCTCAGTTTGTTGCTCTGTTAACTCTAACTAGTGCAGGCGACAACATCGTTTCCACGTAGGTCAATATCTTTAGTAGAGTAATGCTTTGACACGCAAACTGTCTTGTAGTTCATTTCTCTATGGTGGCGTAAGGTTGGTATCTCTTTGCCCAAAAGCTGATCTCCGTCCAAAGAGCCTGAACCAGCTCAAAGGTGCGCATATTTGATACACCCTCACGGCGATCTTCTCATATCAACAATGGATAATTATATTCAAGAAGTTTGGCATCCAAGTCAGATTTGTAGTTGATAATACTCTCGGTATGGGTGGTAGGTCTCGTTAGTATACGCGATACGCTCCCCTGATAATGGAGACACAACGTAGGATACCTCTTTCGTCCCATTGATTACGGCGCCGGTTAGTCGGTATGAGCCCTCCTTATCACGTATCCTTTTCACTTGACCCTTCCTCTCTGCATAGTACAAAGCGCGACAAAATGGATAGGTGGTCACGGAACGACAATTGCGGGTATCCTTGTCAACTCAGGTATTTGAGATGCCGCCATAACACCGTTATACATGAGGCTTAGCTGAAGATGTAGGCCACTTTGACTGGAAAGCAGCCTCAGACCGATTTCCTAGCTTTAACACACCCTCTGAAGGATTCCAAAATGTAATCTATGCAGACCTTGGTGATAGCAAGGCATTTCTTCTAAAGCTCGTTCAGAAATACGTCTCAGTCTCTTGATTTGCTTATGACTAACGGTCGCCTCAGATGCTTCGTGAGGTGGGTCCCGCGCTGAACCCCTTTGCAGCCTTTCTTCTGTTGCAAGGTGTTGAGACGCTAAGTTTACGAGCTGAGCGTCATTGCGAGAATGCTATGCGGCTCGCAAAGTAAACAGATTTGACCCACGCTCTCGAACAGTAACCTCATCTAGTTTTAGATTCCTCGATGCTCATCCCAAGGTCAGCTGGGTATCATACCTAGGGTTGAATTCACACCCTAGTCATCTTCGAGCGAAATCTTTGTTCCCCCTGGTCTATTCGGCGGCATCTTGTGCTTTGGCGTCAAGGGAGGTGTCAAAGCATCAAAGATATTCATAAACAATCTAAGATTAGCCAGTCACTTGGCGAATATCGGTAGGTCTCGACCACTTCTTTCCTTATCAGTCATGTACTGACCTTCATGTAGAAGATGCGAAGACGCTTGTAATTCAGCCGGCAGCCACGACACACATTCAGTCATCAGATGAAGAACAGCTCTCGACTGGCGTTACCCGTGATCTCATTCGAGTAAGTGAATTAGTTCCTGGGCGGCTTAAGTTCCGTGGTGTTCAATTGAACTGCAGGTGTCCGTCGGCACTGGGGCCGTCAGCGATATCATCACGGATTTCGAGGGAGCACTGAGTGTTTTGTGACCCCGCAGCAATAGCCACCATTGTACAATATTATCAAGATCACATCAACTCTGAGCCATGCGGAATATTCTGTTTTCCTACGTGTGGGATAAGCGCCGATGGTCACCATCAAGTTCGGTCTTGCAACCCCGATGGAGGAATATTATAACTCACACGTTTTGTGACGCGTGAGTAACGACTTTCAGACCCAGAGTGTCATATTAAAGCAGGTACAACAGACTGGGCGAGGCTTTCATTCACAAATTATTGCCACAACCTCCCAGAGTAACTATGAGTGCGAGCGATACTAGCCCTCCCGGTGCTGCATGGGTCGGGTACGATATGGAAGCAATATTCTCTCCTTTCTACTGGGGTAAGGGATTGTCCTTCACTCACGTCAAAATTCACTTACCTAGATATCAATTACAGGGACTGTCATTTCCTTAGTGTGCGTAGTCTCCCCCTGCCAGGGCCACCTTTCTCATCTTGTGGACTTGTACAGCTTGTCGGGAATCACATTTCTTCAGGCCTACACCTATTTCCCTAGCAAGGATAGGCGCGGTGTTCAGATTGTCGTATGTCTAATTCTCTTCCCTCTGTTCCAGCTACCATCCCTGAAAATCCCTCCGTCTTCCAGGCCGCGGTCATGATGTCTGTATTCTAATTAGCTCCCTAAGCTTCGACCCTTTAACCGACCCTCGTTTAGCGTACTCGATATTGCCTCCACCGTTCTGTGTGCTAAAGGGATGTATATCTACTTCGTGAGTTTCTACATTATTATGGTTGATTTATCAACGAACTCACGCATTGGCAACAGATCCCTCATTTTGGTTCAATGCTGCCGCTCCAAACCCTCACTCCGTATGTAGAGGCGTGAAGACTGTTACATGAAGACTAATCTTTCCATAGCACCATCGCCTCTGAATGCTATCTCGCCGTGGTCATTACTTTCCTGTAAATCACGCCTAGTTCAAAAATTTCCCTCCTGTTCATTAACGCTTCGCTAGCTCACAGCTCTACTTTGCCTGGCAAATCTGGATGGGTGAGATTTACTTTGTCCCTACATTAAAATTTCCTCCTTTCGCTGATGCCTATCAGTGAGCCAGGATCGTAGTATGTTCAAGTATATTATGTCGGGGCTAGTTGTAGGTGACCGAAGTTCGTTCTTCATTGGCTTCTCTGATAACTTGGGTGGTTTAGATTCTCTTCGGTGTCGTTGCTTTTGGTAAGGATTTCCCCTGCATCATAGAGAAAACTGAGCTAACTCACATGGCAGTTGGAGGGATATGTTCGTACCTCCCGTATGAATTCAGCCGAATATCTTGATCTGAAGTAATCACAGCATGCGCTACGTTCATGATCATCGACAAGATGTACATTCTTATGAACCGCAGCGACCGTTTCACTGTACGTCATTTGGAGCGTCGTGTTGTGGAACTTGTGGGTTAAGACTTCTATATTTCTGTAGATTGCCGTTGGCATAGCTAAGGGTGCTGCCGCGGTGTCAGATGCGATTGCTACGGTTGCACTGTGTTACTCCCTTGGGAGTGCACGTACCGGTTTTGATCGGTGAGTTCGCCGACCCGAAAGCTAGTAGCGCTCTGACAGGAGTGGGAACAGCACAGATTCCATGATCAAAACTTTGATGGGATACGTCGTGGAGCGTGGCATACTGGTAACCCTGATTCAGACCCTGTTCCTGGTACTCTTCTTTGTCAAGCCTGGGCATCTTTTCTGGTGAGTGGATGCTCATGAGCTTGCGATATTTAGAGCTGAGCTTCTCTGAAGGCTTTCGCTGCATGTTAATGTCACCCGTCTCTACGCCAATACCTTTTGTGAGCTTCAGCATTCGTTGGATAATGATCATTGACTGATGCCTTGTAGTCGCCATGTAAGTCTTTAGAACAGTTGTCGCCTGAGCCGTTGATTCACAGGCTATAAAGGCTTAACGGAAGGGAACGCCTCAAACGCATAGGCAATCGGTCTCAAAGCACATACGTGATGTCAATGGGTACAGACAAGGACCACGCGTGTGTTGTCAAGCAAACTGGAGGCGAAAGCGGAATGTCATTCAACACGGTGGGCGCCGAGGTAAGAGGGTGTATTACATGGGATGTATCGCAACCTGACTTTCCTCCAGACTAGTTTGGGTTCCGTGCAGATTGAAAAGAGTACGGTCGTTGCAAGCTTCTGACCAGGATCGGGCTTCGTTGATTTTTTTTCCCTATTTATTGAGTAGCTTGATTGTTGGCCGGTGCATTCCTGCACATGGCATACAGAGTACGGTTACGCGCAGCATCCTAGAGTGCGCATTATGTTACTATCTCGCCCAGAATTGATCATATACAGCTTCATTCGTTGTTTACAATACACTGACAACGGGGATATTCCAGAAATACCCCAACAATCTTAATGTTCCTGACTATGTACTTCGAAAAGCTTTCATCCCGTTGCATGACAGACGAGGGGACGTCCCTTCCACATGCGCTCACACAGTGTAAGGAGGCGGGATATGTCATGTCCGTCCAGTTCCCAACCAGGAAGCACGAAGGTCTACGCAAATAATCAGACTAGCTGGAGTCGCCGGGGAGAATAAGGACAAGAGGATAAAGGGTCTCGATGCTACGCCGCTCTGTAATGTCAGTACAAGCGCTGAACAAGACACGTAGATGTCCCGAAGATTGATGAAGTATCTATAGATCCAGGACGTCCCCCACCAATAAATGCGACTATCATTTTTGATGGAACGTCAGTATAGCTAAGTGGCGCAATTTCGCGTGGCCGGTCGAAGTGACACCCGGCAACGAAGTGAATAGCATAACGGAGGCGGACCGGAAAAGATAATCAGAGAGTTCACAGGCTAAATGATGGAGAGGTAGTTGTCGCAATGTCTTCAGAAGCACCTCAGACAAATGGATAGCTCTTGTGTGAGCCAGTGCTCTTGAAGAAAGAATGACGAAAAGAGGACCAAGGGATCGGCGACTTTCAAGAGCAACCCTGGTAGCATACTTGTCGCAGTCCTTACCCAGAGGAGATTTTTGAGATAGCTAAAGAGAATCAAAATTCTGCTAGACGATTGAAGTGGGATGGTCAGAGGGGTAAATAAGCAGAAGTTGGACGACTCGTGTTTGCTCTGAATCGGCAGAATCGGGCCGCTCGTTTCGAAGCCAACCACTGTTAGGCTCCCGGCTCGATAACTTCTTGCTCTACCAATGTGGTATTCGGATACATTCTGACTGAAACTCCGGAGACCTCACAGCCCTTCTCGCCAACAATATCCAGCTTTGCCGCAGACTCATTTCCGATTCGATGCCTGGGGTTCATCATGACCACAAGTCTCCATCTCGCTGACTGGACATCGTATATCGGGTGCTTGTTGGGAGAGAATATTCGGATTATCTAGGACATTACGACGTTTTTGTGAGTACATTTCAGCAACTTGCAGGAATGTCTTGTATCCTTGGTTCCCCGACTGTCCTTGCGAGGGACGCAAGAACCTGGACTGTTGTGGTGCTTGGTTGTTCCAATACGTGCATATACGTTTCAACCACCGTCGGAAAAGTCAAGTTTCAGTCTGATAAACTGCTCTCACGATAAATATAGCAATGAAGACGATGTATTTTTGTCGGTGAGTATACAAACATAGACGAACTTATTTTAGAATTTTCTAGCGCCTGACCTTGGACCGCAGCATCAGCCTCCATCTTAAACATGCGTCTGTTCCATGCTTTGCGAGACTACTACCGCTGTCGTCTACCGCACCGGTTCTTGTGGTCGTTGCATATACCGACAATAAGCCGTATTCATGAATTATGATACTCTCCTTAACGGCCGCCGTCCGTCACCTTGCCGAGGTTTTCGCTCATCATCTCCATTTCTAAGCCTCAACCCTCGTCGTTAGTCAAGTGAAGTCGACGTTGCTATCCCTCGCGGCTTCCGTACACGGTCACATTCTGATCCCCAAGCCTAGCAACTGTATCGAATTTCCCAGGGAACTATAAAGGCATGGAAAGTCATGCTACTCTTACTATGTAAGCACAATTTGGCCCCATCTGCTAGTCTCTTATGTTCTTCGGAATTCAAGCGACATACATCCGACGTTGATAGTCACACTGTTCCCCCACTTGACCCGTGCTTCTCGAGTCTCATTATATATACTCCCTCGGCTGGAGAATGCAGAAGCCCAACCCCCAAAGAACTAATAACCAATGTGGAACCAACTTGCTTTCCTGACGACTTTAGCCCTCATGGCATCCGCCCAAGCCCGACCGAAGGCGTACCCTCGCCAAGGTGAAATCCACCCCAGACACTTCACCGGAGACTGACCTACGCGCCGAATAGCTTCTGGTACCGTGTCTGTCAGCGCTTCTGCGGCAACAGCCACCTCGACGATTCCTCTCCATTCCGCTGCTCTTGCGGCCGGGAAGCTCTACTTTGGCTCTGCGACTGACAATCCAGAACTCACCGATGAACCATACGTCGCAATTCTCAGTAATAGAAACATGTTCGGACAGATTACTCCCGGGAACAGTATGAAATGGGCACGTTCTAAAGCTTTCACCGCTTGTGCTGTTATTCATATACCGTTCACAGGACGCGACCGAACCCTCCAGGGGAGTTTTCACCTTCGCGCAGGGTGATGTTATAGCAGACCTTGCATCATCTAACAGTCAGCTTCTCCGTGGACACAATTGCGTGTGGTACAATCAGTTGCCGAGTTGGGTGTCCTCGGGTGGGTTTGACAATGCGACACTTACGGAAATCGTTGCAACGCATTGCGGTACATTGGTAGGACATTACGCTGGAAGAGTGTATGTTGGTTTCATTGTCTGTTTTCCGATCGATAATGCTAATGGACATTATTTAGGTGTACGTGTTTATGTTTCACTCCTCAAACCTCCCATCGTTAATGAAGGAATTTAGATTCCTGGGATGTCATCAATGAGCCGTTCAACGACGATGGGACTTGGCGTTCGGACGTTTTCTTCGACACCATGGGCGAATCTTTCGTCCCAGTTGCACTGAAGGCTGCACGTGCCGCGGACCCCAATGCCAAACTTTACGTGCGTTCAATTGACCCTCAGTCGTCGTCAATCAATTAACTCTCCTATCGCAAGATCAACGACTATAACATCGAAGGCCTTGGTGCTAAATCCACCGCCATGATCAACCTCGTCAAGTCCCTCAAGGCTCAAGGTGTCCCTATCGATGGTATTGGCATTCAGTCACATCTTATCGTCGGAGAGGTCCCTACGACTCTCAAAGAGAATTTCGAGCAATTCACTGCCCTGGGTGTGGAAATTGCGATTACTGAGTTGGATATCCGGATGACTCTTCCAGAAACTGATGCACTTCTTGCTCAACAAAAGGCTGACTATGAGACGGTCATCTCGACGTGCGAGGCAGTGGAGAAATGCATCGGCGTGACTATTTGGGATTACACTGACAAGTATTCGTGGATTCCTTCCACCTTCCCTGGACAGGCGAGTCATGGGATTTCTGTCCTTTACTTCTGAATTCTTACCTTTCTCTAGGGAGCTGCATTGCCGTGGGACGCGAATTTGCTCACAAAGCCGGCGTATGATGGCATCGTGCAAGGGTTTGCTTCGTAAAGACTGTCAATGAAGATATAATTGAGTCAGGCTTGTCTACATGAGCGAAGTCGAGACAATATACCTTCGATAGCACCATGAAGATCACTTGCTCCAGATTGACAAACGGGCCGCTCGTCCCTTCTATGCGGACCGACTTCTAATTTCCTCCCATGGTTTCACTGTTCATATATCACCTTGGCGTGTAAAAAGAAGCTCAGCTCGCAAAGCTGTAAGTTTTCCTCTCTTAGGGAACCTCTGGACCGTGCCTACGAAGTGTCTGTTCAACATCTTCCCCCGTTACATAAGCCTGAACTTTAAAACTAATCACACGAAGGCATCTTAGAGTGGGGATAGGAAAAATATTAGAGCCTCCGTAACTGCAGACCGTACGAGCATCTACAAACGGTCCGGATCACCAAAGCAATGAGTTGCTAGAAATATCCTCATACTTAAATCGTCATTCAAAATCACCTGCTTCTCGTCAAGTCCATCGTGGGCATGTAACTTCATTGGATAGTCATATTCTGTACAAACCCTCTTTGTTAATTATACTTATCCATAGCCGTTGTCGCCAGATTTGACACTGGAGCTCCGGGGCAAAGACGTCAGCAGGTAAACAAGAACCGGAACGAACGATAGAACGGCAAGACACCATGTATCACTCACTTCGCCTCTCATCCCCTAAGAAGGCGCACCTTTCCCTAGCTAAGGACATGTTATCCTCTCTCTGTTCCTCGTCTTCTTAACGAACAGGCTGAAAATATAGCAGATACATGAGAACTAGCAGACATAAACGTGTCCTTCTCAGGATGCCGAGATCGGATGAAGTAGGTTCGCCGTTTTGAAACTGGTAGTGAACGTCGACTTGTTCATCTAGCCTTGTAGTATTTTTGTCCTCCTGTAGCCATCGTCGTTCCAATCGCAGCCAGAATGTGGAGGAAAGAAGTATGAAGTCGCAGATTCACCAGATATTGAATGTGTGACGAGACAAAGATACCCAGTGACTACAAGGCATCAGCTGGACTCATTCGGCGCGAATTATTCGACAGCCTGATTCCTCGTCGACCGAACCCAGATCTGGGATCTTGGAAAGTGGGAAATGAGCCATCATGTTATCGATGTCGTCGGATACAGCATATTTGTTGCAGGCCCTGACTACGATTAGTCCTCGCTGCCGGTGGTATTTCTCCAATCTCAACTAGTAGCTGGGATTTCAGCGCAGAGGTGTGTTCTTGCTTCAGAGTCATTGCGATACAGGATACAGGAATAATTCCCAGAAGAAAGGCAGTGAATGGTTTAGGAGTTTGGGCGTAGTCCTAGCATTATGGCGACGATAGGTAGGCATCTCAGGCCCCAGGGTGACCTTGCAGGCTTCATGGCGGTCGTAAGATGGAAGTTTGCTTGTTACACAAGCATCTGGAAGGTGATTCTTGTCAGGAATGAGATAAAAATGAAGCACCAAATATAACGGACAATACAAAGTGGTCCATACGATGACCAGAGGCTGTTCAACTTGAGTCTGAGAACAATATCAACAGTCGGAGAAGCACAAGAAGAGATCTCAATGTCAAGTGTCAAGAACTTGAGACAGCGGCAGGCGTAAGCCGCCAAGTTGAATGAATACTGAAAGACTAAATGCGAGCGAGTACTAAAATAGAGGATCCACCCTAGTTCCGAGCTGATGGAGTGGCGGGCCGATATCCGAATCCCGTTCAAAATCAACAACACGACACCTGAGGACGGCGGCTCAAGGGAATCTCAATGAGACGTCGAATTCAACTTGACAGTTCCAACGGAGGAGATCGCTTATACCAAATACGCATATCTGGTCCTTTAGCTTCCACGCACTTCCTAAACATGACTCTACATGACTGGCTGCTTTCACAAGAGTGTCCGAGTTCAATGTAACACCTGAGGAGCTCGCTGATGTCTTCCCGCACCTGATGCATCCGACTGTATGCTGGACACGAATCTGTACCTAGCCTGGATGTAAGAGCCATACAAATCCCACGTCCACAAGCTCTTACTGTGTTGGTACGGTACGTCATTTGATCATATCTTTTTTCCGTGTTGAAGAACAGAAACTATCAGAGCGCTCTTTGACAAGACCGATTCCGCTGACAGGACAGGACAGGCTCAGATAGATTTGTATATTCTCATATATTCAATCTTATTGACATGAAAGTTCGACGCCTTGATCAATCTTTGCAGGACACTGCAGCGTCCAGAATGTCCACTCTTTAGAATATCTCAGGTGTAAGTGTTGTTAACTATGGACGAAACTATATATGACCATTTCTGGACGAGATAGTAACATGATGCGCACTCTAGGACACTGCACGTAACCGCACTCTGCGACACCCATGTGCCATGTACAGGAATCCAATGGCCAACAATCAAGCTACTTAATAAACAGAAAGAAAAAAAGAAATCCTTTAACGAGGCCTGGTCTGTATCAGAAGCTTGCAACGACTGTACTCTTTTCAATCTGCACAGAGCCCAAACTGGTCTGGAGGAAAGTCAGATTGCGATACATCTCTTACAATGTACACTCTTACCTCGGGGCTTGACACTGTGTTGAATGACATTCCGCCTTCGCCTCCAGTTTGCTTGACAGCCTTGTCTATGCCCATCGACATCACGTATGTGCTTTGAGACTGATTGCCGATGCGCTTGAGACGTTCCCTTCCGTTAAGCCTCCATAGCCTGTGAATCAATGGCTCACACGACAACCGTACATAGACTTACATGGCGACTACAAAGCGTTAGTCAATGATTATTATCCAACGAGGGCTGGAACTCACAGAAGGTATTGGCGTAAAGACGGGTGACATTAACATGCAGCGAAAGCCTTCAGAGAAGCTCAGCTCTGAATACTGCAAGCTCATGAACATCCACTCACCAGAAAAGATGCCCAGGCTTGACAAAGAAGAGTACCAGAAACAGGGTCTGAATCAGAGTGACCAATATACCACGCTCCACGACGTATCCCATCAAGGTTTTGATGATGGAGTCCGTGCTGTTCCCCCTTCCTGTCAGAACGCTTCTAATACGCCTTCGGGTTGACGAACTCACCGATCAAAACCAGTACGTGCACTCCCAAGGGAGTAACACAGTGCAACCGTAGCAATCGCATCTGACACCGCGGCAGCACCCTTAGCTATCCCAACGGCAATCTACAAAAATATAGAAGTATTGATCCACACGCTCCGTAACACGACGCTCCAAATGACGTACAGTGAAACGGTCGCTGCGGTTCATAAGAATGTACATCTTGTCGATGATCATGAACGTAGCGCATGCTGTGATTTACTTCAGGTCAAGATGTTCGGCTGAATTCATACGGGAGGTACGAACATATCCCTCCAACTGCCATGCCAATGAGCTCAGCTTTCTCTGTGATGTAAGGGAGATGCTTACCAAAGGCAACGATACCGAAGAGGACCTAAATACCCCAAGATGTCAGCTAAAACAATGAGGAACGAACCCCGGCCACGTACAACTAGCCCCGACATGACATACTTGAACATACTACGGTCCTTGCTCACTGATAGGCATCAGCAAAGGGAGGAGATGTTGATGTAGACAAAACGCGGGACTCACCTGTCCAGATTTGCCAGGCAAAGTAGAGCTGCGAACTAGCAAAGTGCCGATGAACGAGAGGAGATTAAGTTGAACTGGGCATGACTTACAGGAAAGTGATAATCACGGCGAGATAACATTCAGAGGCGATAGTCCTACAGAAAGGTCAGTATTCACTCAACGGTCTCCACAACTCCACATACGGAGTGAGCGTTTGGAGCGGCAGCATCGAACCGAAGTGGGGAACCTATTACCAATGCGTAAGTTCAGCTGATAAATCGACTACAACAATATGGAAACCTACAAAGTAGATATACATCCCTTTGGCACACAGAGCGGTGGAGGCAATATCGAGGACGCTAAATGAGGGTCGGTTAAAGGGGCGAAGAGAGCTAATTAAAATACAGACATCATGACCGCGGCCTGGAAGACGGAGGGATTTTCAGGGACGGTAGCTGGAATAGAGGGAAGAGAATTAGACATACGACAGTCTGAACAGAGCGCCTATCTTTGCTCGGGAAATAGGTATAGGCCTGAAGAAAGGTGATTCCTGACAAACTGTACAAATCAACAAGATGAGAAAGACGTTCTGGGGCGGGGAGACACTACGGACACTAAGGAGATAACAGTCCCTATAGGTGACATCTATGAGTATAAATTATGCCGCGAGCGACGGTCAATTCCTTACCCCAGTAGAAAGGGGAGAATATGGCTTCCATATCGTACCCATCCCATGCAGCGCCGGGAGGGCTGGTATCACTTGTATTGAGGCTCATAGTGTTACTCGGGAGGGAGGGGGTTACCAGTGAATGAAAGTCCCGCCCAACCTGTTGTTCCTTCTTTAATATGGCACCCCGAGTCCTAAGGAACGACAATGTTACTCACGCGTCACAAAACACATCAATTATAATATTAGCTGAACTTGATGGTGATCATCCTACGTGTAGGAGAACAGGATATTCCGCGTGGCTTAGAGTTGATGTGATCTCAATGATGATATTATGTTGTACACTGGTGGCTATATCTGGGTCACAAATTGTTTAATGCTCCCTCAAAGTCCGCGATGATGTCGCTGATAGCTTCGATGCCGACGGACACCTACGACTCAATTAAACACCACGGAACTTGAGCCGCCCAGGAACCAATTCACTTACTCGAATGAGATCACCAGTCACGCCAATCGAGAGTTGTTCTTCATCTGATGACTGAATGTGTGTCGTGGCTGCCGGTTGAATTACAAGCGTCTTCGTATCTCCTACAACACAAAGGTCAGTCTAGTCCATGACTGATAAGGAAATAAGTAGTCGAGACCTACCGATATTCGCCAAGTGACTGGCTAATCTTAGATTGTTTATGAATATCTTTGATGCTTCGGCACCTCCCTTGACGCCAAAGCACAGGACGCCGCCGAATAGACCAGGGCGCAACAAAGATTTCGCTCGAAGATGACTAGGGTGTGAATTCAATCCCAAGTATGATACCCAGCTAACCTTGGGATGAGCGTCCAGGAATCTAAAACCAGACGTGAGTTTACTCTTCGAGAGCATGATTACATCTGTTTACTTTGCGAGCCGCATAGCATTCTCGCAATGACGCTCAGCCCGTAAACTTAGCGTCTCAATACCTTGCAACAGAAGAAAGGCTGCAAAGGGATTTAATGCAGGACCCATGTCACGGAGCATCTGCCAGAGCTGTCTGTTAGTCATACATTTGTACATTTAGGACTAAGACATACCTCTGAACGAGCTTTGGCAGTAAATGCCTTGTCGTTCCCAAGGTCTGCGTAGATTACGTTGTGGAATCCTTCAGAGGGTGTGTTAAATCCCGGAAATCGGTGTGAAGCTGCTTTCCAGTCAAAACGGCCTGCATCTTCTGTTAAACCCGGTGTATATCGGTGCCACTTCAAATACCTGAGTCAACAAGGACACCTGCGATTGTCGTTCCGTGTCCGCCGATCCATTTTGTCGCGCTTTGTACTAGGAGGAAGGTTCAAATGAAGATGATGCGTGATAGGGGAGGCTCATACCGACTATATCTGCGCCGTAATCAATGGGGCGAAAGAGATATCCTGCGTTATGTCTCCATTATCAGGAGAGCATATTGCATATACTAACGAGGGACCTACCACCCATACCAAGAGTATTATCGACTACGAGTGGAAGGTGGTGACTGTGCGCAAGCTTTCGAGACGTTAGGATACTTGCAACGTAATGGTGGTGAAAGATGTACCTCAGCCAATTCCTGGATAGGTGCAACAAGGAATGTCGGATTACTGATAGATTCGGTGTAAATCGCTTTCGTCTTGCTGTCGATGAGTGCGGCATAGTCTTCTACGATGTCAGTGCTGACAAATCTGACTTGGACGCCAAATTTCTTGAATATAACTATCCATTATTGACATGAGAAAGTTGTTGTGAAGATATACCAAATATATGCACCTTTGAGTTGGTTCTGGCTCTTCGGACGGAGGTCAGTTTTTGGACAGAGAGATGATATGCTTGGTCCTTACGCCACCATAGAGGAATGAACTACAGGACAGTTCGTGTGTCAAAGCATTATTCTACTAATGATATTGACCTACGAGGAAACGATGTTGTCGCCTGCACTAGCCAGAGTTAAGAGGGCGACAAACTGGGCGGACATTCCAGACGCTGTGGCGATAGCGGACATGCCACCCTCAAGGGAGGCGATACGTTTCTCACAGACGTCCTACAAAGATCGATCAAGATGGCGACCATGACGCAGGGCCTCATACGCACGACAGTAGGATTGGATATACGAGAATACACAAACCCATTCGAGCCAGTACTATCCTCTAGGTCAGCGTTGAGGGTAACGGAAGTTTGAGTTAGGTCCATACTTTACTCCAAAGAGTCCTTCGCTTTGCTAGTTTTTGTTCTTCAGTACAGAACAAGACGTGATCAAATGACGTGCTGTGTTGTCAAAACAGAAGCTTGTGGACGCGTAAATTGGTACGGCTCTTGCATTCATGCTACGTCCAGGTTCGTGGCCAGCATGTAGCTGAAGCGTATCAAATTCGGGTTCTCTACGGGAAGACGTCAATGAGCTCCTCAAGTGTTACGTTTAAGGGGGGACGCACTTGTAAAAGCAGCTGGTCATGTTTGAAGAGTGAACGGTCTCTGCCTGAAAGGGCCGTTAAAGGGGAAGAGGTAAATGCGCGCACTTAGTTGGTCCGTTGGAATGGTTAGTACTTTGAAATCGACGTGGATACCTAGGAGTCTTTGGGGTCGCGGTACTAGATCCGCAGCAACACTCCGGAGACTTAACGAGCCGCCGTGATATCGATAAGTACGGTGGTTCACACAGTTGAAAGTTTGACTCGATGTGTTCCAAGGAAGCCTAAGCATCAGAGGCTTGACGAGTCGCCTTGATCTGATGCATACGGTTCACACAGGCTGATGTTGGAGACTTGAAAAGTTGCCGATATCGATAAATACGATGGGTCCATACAGTTGAAAGTTTGATAGGGTCGAAGAAGATGAGAGAGAGCCGCAAAGAGGTGCTTCATCATTGTTCGGCCCTGTTCCATATGTATTATGTAACCCTGCGCCTCGCCGCTTCGGTGCGTCCCTTATTCCGTACCTTTCAAGTTATTTTTAGCATTCGGTTGTATAAGTTCGTCATCATCCGACATACCCGCAACGCTCACATTCTTGATCCCTCGCCCGCTTTATTTTTCTTCGATTTCTGATGATATTCTCCAACTCTGAGCTACCGAGGGCCTTGATTATGGTACTGTATTGTTCCTTACCTTTCGGTGATTCATATTTGTTTCATTCTTGATGGGATCAACTTTCAGCTGTTTGCGTGATGAGCTTCCTTCCATTTTACGATCTCCACTACAGGAATCTGCACCGTGAGAGATCGACCCACACGCTGAATCATTTCGGGCATCACCCTGTTGGGTACAGCATGCTCTAGTTTCTGGACTATTCATTGCCTCTCAGCACGGCTTCATTCCAGAATGCCTACCGACCAAGAACTTGAACACACCTCTACACCGAAATCCCAGCTATCGGTGGCTACTGCAAAAGTTTCTCCGGACGGAATGACAACTTCAAAGGACGAAAATACAGAATTACATACAGTACATGCTCACGACGTCCCCGATGGCGGGTTGAGGGCATGGATGACTGTTGTTGGCGCGTATGTCAATCTTTCCTCAGGGTGTCTCCTAAAAAGGCTCATACCTCTCCTCCTAGGTTTCTCGTCGTCTTTTGTTCTTCAGGGTCCGTTCTTTAGCATTTCGGTCGGTGTTTGTTAAAACTCAACAACGGAAATATGGCAGTTACGTCAATTGCTATGGTGTATACGAAGGTAGATTGACTGAAGACCTCTACCCCAAATCCGAGTTGACACTGTACAACCCCAGATTACTATGTCCGTGAATTTTTGAGCGACCATTCGTCTTCAAGGATTAGGTGCGATGTCTTCCGTCACTTTTCCCGGTGTTCCGCTTTCTCTGACATGTCCAAGTTGGATAGGTAGCGTTCAAATACTGGGTCTGGGGTCATTAGGCATATATTCAGGTTTTGCCATGGATCAGGGACACTTGTAAGTTCAACTTCCTCGTAATGCCCCTGTACTCTCTTTTAGACTTGATAATAGCCGGCCTGTCATGCTCGCAGGGTCGGCCTTACTCGTATTTTGCCTCTTCATGACGTCCCTCACCCAAGAGCAGCAATTTTGGCAAGTAAGTATTTGACTGAGGTTCTTCTAAACCTCTTGTCGATACTCATGGCGCCTCAGATCTTTCTTGCGCAAGGTATTGGATTGGGCATAGCCGTCGGGATCGTTTATGTTCCCGCGCTTGGAATCGTTTCGCATCATTTCAAGAAACGTCGGTCCCTCGTCATGGGCATTGTTGGATCTGGATCATCCATTGGCGGTCTTGTCCACCCTATCATGTTGAACCGGTTCTTTCATGGATCTATCGGTTTCCGTTGGGGTGTGCGGATCAGCGCGTTCTTTAATCTTGGATTGCTGATACTGGCAAACGCACTGATGACGACTCGTTTGCCACCACGCCTTGGAGATGTAAGCTTCGCTAAGCAGGTGGCTTATTGGAGACACTTCTTCACCGACAAAGCATATCTTATCGCCATTGCGGGAAACTTTATTCTCTTCTTAGGAGTCTATTTCCCTACTTTTTATCTCCAGTTGAATGCCATTGAACATGGCGTAAACGAAAATCTGGCATTCTATACGGTAGGGCGGTCATACTATTGATGTTGTCATTTCAAACTTATCACCTTGTCCTCACAGATCGCGCTCTTGAATGGCGCAGGTGCCTTTGGACGTGTCATGCCAACGATTACTGTCGACCGTATTGGCGTCTTCAGCTCGATTATCCCATGTGCTGTTGCATGTGGGGTGCTTATTTTTGCTTGGGTCGCCATTACAAACCCGGCCTCGATAATGGTTTTCGCTGTCCTCTATGGGTTCTTCTCAGGCGCTGGCAGGTCATTTATCCCTTCAATTCGGCTGCTATTAAACGGTATTACAGTGATTTCTCTTCTTGGCCCGATGATTGCATACCTCACGAAGAATGTCTCGGAAATCGGGTGGGCATATCTGTTTCTCCTTTAGTATTAGTACATCTTAACCTCGTATTCATAGGGCACGACTCGGGGTATGTATTGGCATTGCAGGTAAGCAACCCTCTATGTGAATATCTGAATATATTCAAATTAGTTTCTAGCTGTCGGAGGAATGATTGGTAGGAATATTGATTGTCGTCTGAAGCCAACGATTACTAAAACATGTACTTTCGTTTTCCCAGGACCTCCCATTAGCGGCGCCCTAGTTACTGATGAATATACCGGGCAGACGCGGTGGCTACGACCTGTGCTATTCAGTGGGGTAAACTTATATTCCCTTCTGGCGTCCTCAGCTTCTGATACCTTCATTACTAGATATGCTGCGTTGTCAGTGGTTTGACTCTGGCGCTTGTTCAAGTCCTTTCTCGACGGAGTAAGTAGAAGCTGATGATGTCGTCTAGAATTAAATTGAGATGTCTCTGCGTTAATAGAAGATCAGTTTAGTACTTACCAGACGCCGTGTACCGCACGGTTGAACATCAATTCCCGATCCACTTACCCCCTAGGTTCATTCTTCTGGTTTTTACGCTTGTGATAGCAGCCACAGGCACTTCCAGGGTGCATAATTTTGCGTTCTTCTAATAGGGAATTGATTTTGATGTGCTGTTGGTGGTAGGTGTTTATAGCATACGTATCGTGGCTTCTCAAAGTATTATCTAGGCGCGTACCGTTCATCAGCATCGTGATCGGGCGGTGTCCGTCTCTTGGTTAATTGAGTAGGTGACTCGCGGCGGGAAAACTACCACTCTCCATCAACATCGTGACCAGGTTGTATTCAGCAGATTTACAGCAAATTTACGTCGCACTGACGCCGAGACCTTCAAGCATGATATATCAATCTCACCTGAGAGATACTTTTATCTACCAATGAAATTTCGCTCCTAGACGGACCCCATTCGAAGATGTCCCATTTCTTGTCCTGAGGACCACATCTTAAGTTTCGCTGTGAAACGTATAAATGGCTGGATGAATTGGCCTTCATTCCCTATCTGACCAGTCAGAACTCCAAATCATCTACCCTCTTTGACTCACAATGCCAATCATCGAGCTCACTACCAATGTCAAGGTGAACTCTGTTTTCATCTCGATCACTCGAGCTTGACCCCTTCCGAAGGTCCCGGATGCGAAAGCATTCACAACTGCCTTGTCCCAGGTTTTATTGACCCAGTTGTCCTCGGATTTATATCCTCTGACTTATTTCTCCCTCAGAAAAGCGCTGAGATCCTTGGAATGACAAAATATGTCACAGTGACATACAAGTACGACGAGAGCATGATCTTCCGCGGCACATATGACCCTACTTTTACCATGAATGTGGTACGTATTACTGTGTGTAGGTCAGTTAGATACCGGGCTGATGATATGCTTATACTTCAGCTCACGGTATTGGGTATCCCAACGGATAAAAATGCTGGTTTTAGCCAAGGCTTCTTTGAGTTCTTTGCGAAAGAGCTCGGAATTCCGAATGACCGGGGAAGCATGTAGGTGTTCATCAGAAAATAGAGCCGAAAGTATTAATGGTCTGCACCTTTCAGCATTTTCAATGATCCAGGAGCAGACCGTCTTGGGTATGTTTTCTGGATTCGTGTGGGAGATATCGAAGATTGATTTTTGGGGCGTTTCAGATACAAGGGAACCACATTCAATATCATTTTGGCGTCTATGCCTTCGCCGGGCTGAGAAATAGGCAGTCTCCAGGACTTTGATTGAATTGGATTGATGTTGTTGGAGTACGCTGTTCAGCTCAGATAAGCGGGACTCCGGGATTAGCAGGGAACCCTCGCAAACATGCGAGGGGCTCGATTACAAGGTATCCTACTTTATATACTAATGCTAAATTTAGAAAATATACTACGGAAAGGAGGGGTGGCCGTTGGAAGCACGGCGCATTTGGTATTTCAACAGATGTCTCCTTTCCAAGCTATGCCCGTATTAGCTATGCTTGGAATTCCTGGACAATATTCCGGGATCTCACGGGATCTCGTGCGGTCGTGCGAGATCTCGTGAGGCCCCGTGGGATCTTGCGAGATTTCATGAGGTCATCTGAGGTTGCCTCATGGAGAGGTGTCAATGGGCATTCACAATGCCTACCCAGCCGACCGCGAGCATGACCGGGCAACATACACTCATTTTGGCGCCATTCTCCTTGATACCCCTTCTATAAATGCCTTGTTTTTTTTTGTTTTTTTGTTTTTTTTGCTATTTTGATTATTTTGATTATTTTTGTTTATAAACCCGTTTCGCACCACCACGAATCCGAACTTCAACTCAAACCTCAACCATGACTACGGCTCAAATCGAGCGTGTCAATAGGTCTTGGTCAGAGCTTTGCCATTCGGTCAATCAGGTTCTTCAGGCTGGCAATGGCGACCTCCACCGAATTCAGCTGCAACTCAACGAGGTTGCCTATTGGGAACAGTATTGGACAGAGGTCTGTCGCAATAATTATCATCAACACCTTATTCTTTGATTAATATTTGCATACCACAGGCCCAAGTCTACTTCTCAGATGACTATGTTGCGATCATCAATGCTGGACTTCTCGCGATGAGGACTTCATTAACTTCAGAATTGTTCATCTCCAAGGATCCTCCGAAGCACGCTCCCCTCCTCCAGCCACGATCCAAGGTATACACGGGACGGAGAGGACGTCCACCTGCCGATATAAATCCTACCATTTTGGGGGTGCTCATGGAGAGCCATCGCTCCCCCCCTCGCATCACTGATCTCTTTGACGTTTGCCCCCACACTGTCAGCCGTCATCAGGAAAGCAATGGCCTCTGAGAGCCCAGAAACGCGCCCTTCCAAATCCTCATTGATGAACATGGCCAAGAATACACAATCCACACCCCTACAAGACTGCAGATGGCTGACCTGTCTGACGAGGAGCTGGATAAAGAGGTTGAAGAGATCCTTCAATGTTGTCCTGGCTATGGGTGTCAGCAAATCAAGTCGGTGTTGGGTAGGCTAGGTCATCGTGTCTCTCGACAACGTGTCGAAGCCTCAAGGAAACGCGTCCAAGGCCTGCCACTGAAATCTGGCAGGTGACCCACAGCCAGGACCAACTACAGTGTCCCTGGCGCCAACTCCATGTGGCACCATGATGGAAATCACCATCCGTTTCCACCCATGGTCACTTTTATCATCTACTAATCATCAAGTTCTAGGCCTGATTCGGTGGAAAATTGTCCTCCACATATTTGTTGATGGGAAAACACGTGTCGTGGTCAACATCAGAGCAAGCAACTCCAACTGACCATACATTGTCCTCATGGTTTTCATTGATGCAACACTTGTCTGGGGGGTTCCCATACGCTTATGTGGTGACCACGGTGTTGAAAACCTGTATGCGGCTCAGTGGATGGAGAATTATTGAGGAGTATTGAGCAACGCATACATTTGGGGCCGGTGAGTGGATTCAGTAGCTCAAGATTGTCCTGTATTGATAATGAGTACCATAGCTCAGTTTATAATACGAGAGGAGAGCGAATGTGGGTAGAGACTTCCAGAAGTTGGGCCGATCGCTGGCACGAATTCTTCACGGAGCTCGAGGCTAGCTACGGTCTGGACCACGAAAATTCGGCACATATCTGGTTGGTCCATCACCTGTTTCTTGCCGATATAGACGAGGCTGCCCACCAGTGGGCGGATGAATGGAATCATCACAAGATTCCATTGCAGGGTAAGCGATCCGAGATGCCTAACAATATGTGGTTGGAAAGTCAGCTCATGGATGGCTTTCGTGGCCTCGAGCACATCATGCCGACAGACCCCCTGGTTGTGGATCCACTTGCAGCTGTCCCTAACATGGGTGTCAATCAGGAGATCCTTACTCTACTACAACAGCATCATCAGGCTCTTACCCCCGATGTGCTAGCTCACCTTCAGGACGGCCATGGGGATGCACCACTACCTGTCAATCGTGAGTTGTCTTCTTCAACCGGCCGAGCACACATTCATGTTACAGTACCCACCCAATCTTTGGCGTATGTGCCTTGCGAGGCCCCTGCCTGCCCCCTCAGCCCTGCAGAGGTTGATGTTCTAAACCAAACTATGGCTACCAGTCCAGGAATGGCAAGCAATACCTGGGAGGCCCATTGAGTGTGCTGGATTCATGGCTTAGAGACTCTGAATGCCATATTGGCCCACCAGCGGGGATGAGGTCGATTCTCAGTGTTGTGATGTGACAGACACACTGGTGTGACATGTAACACCTCTACGGAGGGTGATGTTTATGTAATCTAGTCAGCCGATTCAAGAACTGCCATGTTAGAATATCATTCCTATTGTGACGTGACAGACTGGAAGGTCTGACCGTTCACCTGAGAAACCGGTTCTTCTGTTCTACTATATGAAGGCAAAGCCATCAAGGCAATAATAACTCTGCTTCATCTAAGAGATCATCGTTCACGGTTCCTGCACTTGCCAATTCGACAGCTGTGAGCAGTTCTGCATGGAGCCAGTTGTGGCTCAGCTGAAACTCATACGTATCCTCATCAGCATCGGTCATGACTGCCATGGCCTCCAGGACGTCGGAAAGTTCAAAATCCATGTTGATAATGCATCCTCTGGAGCGACAATTCATCGGCAGCAGGAAAACCACCCTTCCTACATTCGGCAGCTGGATATCATGGTTAGATGGCAGACACTGGATGCCGGATCATGCCCACATACCAAGGGTGTCACCCAAATTTTGCAGAAGAACTGGGGTCCACAGTATTAGTCAAAGTCGGACTCAAGGATGGTGCTGCTTACCTGTATACGAGAGGATGTGTCTAGTGTAACGTGAGGAAATGCTGCCACATACAACATCTCGTAACGCAAGGAAGTCCATTCAAGCACGGAAACTCCATGTCTATAGAGGACAGCAGAGTTCCAGTCGATGTGTGTGTGCCCTGTCTGCAGCACATAAGTCTTCAACAAGTTTTCAAGCCCCTCCAAAACAATTTGATACCTCGCGAAGTCTTCTACGGGATGGCTGGGATGAAGAAGAACTATGAAGTTTGGAATGATGTCGACTTCAATCGTTGGGATCCCTCTGAAGTGACCAATAGCACTGTGGGATCCAGTCAGAATGTTGTAACTGGCACCGAAAGACAACATACCGCGTAAGTTGCCTTCCTTGTTGTTGGGTCAGATCAACGACAGCTTGCATACTGGGAAGCATGATTCGTTGTGGCAGGAAAAGAGAGGTTCGCCCCTATAAGAACGAGCCTCCGTGCCTGATCTCTGTGACGGCTGTTGCCCACCGGATAAAATAACCATAATTTCAATATGTATTTGAGACTAAATACTAGTTTTTGGGCAGTACGTTCTTAAAAAGCAATTCAGCATGTGAAAGGGAGAGGGGTTGTTTGACATGAAAGAGCTCCTCCTCTGTCAATGGGTTCGTTGTCAAAGTATCTGCCCGAGATGGCAGACCTTGCCAGGTAGCAATTGTTTCCAACATCTCCCACTGCTGCCGGTCCTGTGGCTTGACCTCATCACCGAAATCATAGGCACTGAGATAGTGTCCGAGTGACTGTACCTTTTTCCAAAAGCTGAAGTAGTGCTCAAACGTCTTTTGAGAACATTCAAAGATTTCAACCTTGTGTAAACTAGTCCAGCTTTTCAACCATGCTAGCACACCTGGAAGGCTGCCCCACTTCCCCATGTGCAAGGCTTTCTTGTCGCTGCCAATCTGTTCTGTGATCGCCATGAGAATCGTCACCCCCAAATACACCCGGAATGGCTCGTTGTACTCTGGGTCAAATAGACTCTGCACCGGTTGGATCGTCCCTAGAAAACGCTTGTCCCAGATTTGCCATTCTTTTGCTTCAGCAGGAGCTTCCACAGTCCCTGCTTCTGATGATGCTGGTGCTCTGTGTATATATACGATGTGAAGCTCATCTTGAGAAAGCCCGGTCTCCACAAGTATCCTTGCTGTGTTGGGACACATTCAGCACTTGAGCAGGGGAGTCCTGTATAGTGAACTGCCCTCCTCGAGGACCTTGTCCAAGAGGCCAATCTCCCTGAATGACAAATCCTCCCCACCACCTTCATGAAGATACAAAGGTCACGTGGAGGTTGACACCATCCAACCGGAGTGATCTAGCCCTTGCAGAGCACGTCCCATCCTTCCTCCTCCTCTCAACAAGGCACCTAGAGCTTCACCTGCAACATAGGTATTCACCATTAACAGTGCAAATGACATAGTGAGGTTGACTTACCCACTAATCCCTCCAGCATGCCTACATTATATTCCACTTGGGCACAATCAGTTCCTTCCAAGTTCTCCATACAAATGAACAGGTTGACTGGATGCCTGCAATCTGGGTTCAGAAGAGCATAAATGAAAGTGAAAATGGTCGGACTTTACGACCAGCGCAGGGTTGCCCTCTTCCAGATTGTCCTCTTTACGAAATTCATCATTGACAGGCCCATTGCCACCGGACGTATCGCGAGGCGGGACACCTTGTCGTATTGTAATTTTTGTCAGACTGGAGACTGAGACTTGAATACTTACCTGTTTCTCCATCCCTATGTTCGCCGTCTGCCCCAGGATGCAACATGTCCTCTTCACGGACAGAATATCATTCCCAGTTCCGCTGTTGAGCAGCAAGCTGACTGGCAGGCACAATGTTCGCACCTTTCCAATTTTTTCATGGAGGAGACGAAAACAACAATTTCTGCCACTCACTGTTCTGAGCAGTTTCTGCTGGAGCTTCTTCATCAGGACCAGGATATAGATCTCTCTCCAACTGATCTGGATCATCTGAGAAATGAGCCCATCAGGATGGGTTTGAAGGCAATTGTGTACAAGTACGAACCGTCATTCGGGCTCATGCCCGACGCCAAGTCAACATCATTCACTTCATTGGGTGAATCAGGATGTCCGCTAATATCATTCCTTTGCGTTGGAGATTCTTCATCGTCTAGGTCTTCAGGGCCTCTGTTATCTATCAAGTGCGTCAGAAGGTCACATCAAGCAGAAAGCAGGTGCCTTACCTCTCCCTGTTGCACCTTCCGAACCCTGGTGATCCCCAAGGCTTTGTTCACTGCTCCCACCAGTGAATCTCGCACGAAACAAGTCCGATAAAGTCGTTAACGATTGTTCTTCCCTGGAGGTTGGTACACGTCCACCACTGACTCTTGCACTAAACAGGTCTGATAAAGTACCAGTGTCAGTTTCGGTGCAAGCGTGTCATGGCCGCCATACCAGTTGTGCCCCGGCATGACAGTTGATCCAGGAAATCAACCTGTCCTGCCTCCTCGCCCGTGTTCCTCCTGTTCCTGTTCCTCATTTGTGGACTTCCCTCAATGACTATAGGCGAAGGTGGCCGAGGAACCAAGGGCGGATCACCTGTGGACTTGTCAATATGTATACAGTGGAGGATAATGAGCCATGTACCTGGTTGTCTCAAACATGCAGGCAGCTGCCGTTGATGGCCAGATCTGGTTGAAGAGGTCAGTGGAGGAGGGATGAAGTCAGTTTCTTGACTTGAGGCCATTTTTTTGTGTGGTAGGAAAGAAAATAGGCGATACAGGAGCTCCAAGGATGGCTTGGTTGCCGATAATAGAACTGTATCGCCATATGTCACAAGTGTATGGTTTGTCACAAATAGTGTGACACATTCATTGGATTCATCGTAACTACAAAAGTACGCTCTCACAGTCCCTGGAAAACATCTGTGCTAGAAAGTATAAAATGTCTAATCTGTAACAGTTTGCGAACCCTGCTGAAGAAAACATTCCATCACGGGAGGACGGAGGAGCTCCATAGCGCATTAAATGCCAGGCAAAGGCAATAATGTAAACTCCGCAACTGATGGAATCCTGCTGCCGTGGGATTCCCTGTACATTATGAGTATGGGTAGAGCCTCCCTGGTTTTTGGAAAGTGAGACTGACCTTGGCTATCTCAAAATGGAATGTATTGTCAGGATCTGGAACCACCAACTTGAAAGACGACCAAAAGCTCTGTGGGGTGGTCCAACGTCAAGTGAAAATGGCGCTAGGACATTTATTTGGAGATGGCTTACGGAATAGATGGCTTCAAGAACACCTTTATCGGTATTCAAACTATTGTAGCAGGTCACACTCCGGCTGGCGAAATCCAAGTGGAAAAGCAGCCAATGCTTGTCATGGTGGACTGGGAGAGCAAAATTTAACTTGCTGAATTCCGTATGTTCCTGTGGACTCGTGATAATCAGGTCACTAAGGAAAAGCTGCTCGTACCTTCAACAAGGCTCTTAATCCCTGTGGCACTGCTTTCTTCGAAGTCACGACCAGGGAGTCTGCTGTTCCCCAAGACGGATATTCTTGGCACAGTAGATGCAGAGTAACGCTGACCAGGTCATCGTTGAGCCATGACCCTTTCACCTTTAGCAGGCGTCTCAGGCTATCCGCACTCAGCATGGGTCTGGCACTCAAGAAGCGCCATCCTGATGTGTCGTTGATGTCAATGACATTGGAGACACACTAAACGAATTTAATCATCCTACCAATGCAAAGGAAAATCTTGGTCATGAACCTGGTACAAATCAGAAGGATCTGTGACACCTTGGACATCTGTTAGAAGGGGATGTACGGGCTGATGGTTCTCTAAGTAGGCCTGCAAGGCCTGTTTAATCTCGTCTCGCCACTGTGAGATGGCCTCGGGAGACTCCGGTTCAGATTCTATTTCCATGTCTGGTTCCTGCTCGCTTAAGTCGAGAACTTCTTGATTGTCGGGGAGGACTGGGGTTGACCCTCCTTTCGAGTGCAACTGGTCCACTGTGTCGACTATGTTTTTGACCAGGTCAGAAGGCAAAGGATGTCCCGTCAATCCGGCGAGACTTTGACTGGTGGATTCGATAAGATCTTTCAGATCGGGAATATCCGCTACCATGTCGCTCTTGTGCTGTTTGAAGTCCAATGCTTCCGTTGGGTTGTCATGTTCCAAACCACGTTTCAGAGGTAGGGGCGGCAGAGGAAATGAGCTTGATGATGGGAGGTCCAGCACCATATCGACCATCGGCTCAAGCGAAGATCCTGCTCCTGGCGACGGCGCTGAGGGAACGGCAGGCGGCTGATGACCAGGTACAGACTGGGGACCGAGTTCAGGAGGCACTGACCTGCTCAGGTCTTCAGTTGGCCAATCAATATCTTCTGGAGTGGCATCAAGAATGGGCACTGTAATGTTCTCTCGACAATTCTGTGCTCGAAAGGCTTGCTCCTCTTCAAATTGTGCCCATTCCTGGTCAAAAAGCGCACCTGGGGACAACGAATTCCGGGACTCTTCAACACTTGCCATCTCTGCATCATTCACTCTGGTTGCTTTGTCAGGGTCAGGATCGTCAGCATCCAATTCCTCGTCCATGTCTGCCATGCCATGAGTGAGCGCGTCCTTCGATACACTGTCCTCATCACTAAATCCTTGAAGTCCATCATCATCTGATTGATCACTGTCCATGTCATCTGTGCCATGAGTGATCAGGACTCTAGAATTGTCGTCCTCATCACTGTCACTGCGGAGCGCATCTTCTTCCGAATCTTCCTGGTCCGTGTCATCGCTGCTACCGAGCGAAGATGCACGACGTCTCCTCCGGCGCGCACCGCTTTGCTTGGATGTAAATGACTCATCACTGTCGCTACTTCCAAGTGCTTCATCCTTTGATTCATCACTGTCCTTGCTACTTCCAGGTGAAGACTTATATCCCCTACTCTTGCACAAAGCTTTCTTCCCCCGTGGACTGACAAGAATCAGAGAAGGACCAATCTGAGAAGGGCCTCCTGCGTCATCCCCCGACAAGTCGCTTAAGGATGAGAGATCAGATTCAGGGGCGGACTGCCACGCGAATTCGGCATAGGTGAGGATGGATATTTCTTCAGGGATCTCTGCAAGCCACGTTAGCCAACTGCTCCAATTTTCGTTACAGCTACTCACCGTTTACCGAAACCACTCGAAACGGCAGTTCCCAAAAGAGATGGGCCTCCTGCTGTCGATCTACCTTCAACGTCCTCGCCATCAGTGATGACCTTTTTCCAGTACACCATCAGGCATAGTAACAACACCCTCATGTCCCGGTGTTCTACGTTGGTGATGGCAAAGCACAAGAACGTCGTGTGAATCCAACCCATGACGACCAAACATATACCTGATGATGGAAAGAAATGTTGCCTGAACACTAGGCAGTTTGACTCCGTAACAACAGCATGTAAAGTGTTTGGACATTGAAACCTGGTTTGAATGTCATTGGATGAGATTGTGATGGAATTGTCATGGGGCGCATGGTGGAAGCCCAGTCAAACGCACTCACCAAAGAGAGCCTGGCTCGACAATTATCACTTCACATTCATACACATTTGGGTCGACCTTGCTATCAGCCTGGAAGTCATGAATGAACGTATCCCAACTCATGGCTTTGCTAGGCTCATCCCTCTTCCGGATTATAAACCAGAGTTTCCTACCGACCAGACAGTGTATTTTCACAGCCGATCCTCCATAGTCAGTGTGAGGGGGAGTCACTGCACCGGCTACAGTAGCCAGTCCCCAAGACAGAGCAGCAGCGGGGAACGGAGCGGCAAGGAGATCAGTCCCTATCGACCGGGTGACTTTACACGCCTCCAAATGTGAGGCGGCCTGACTGTAAATTGGGTCAGGCTGGGTCATAAGATCATACAACAGTAACCTACTGAAAGAATGGGCTCTGCAATGTGGTATCAGGCATTGGCAGGGTAAGCGCGTTCAGCACTCTCCCAGTGCATCCTTTTGAACCCTCTCAGAGGACCATTCGAAGGGTAGAAGAGATCTCCACGGTCGGCAACACAGAATCAGGGGTGGCATCAGTTACACGCCGTACGGGCTCTGTTCCAGACACCGGTATCAGGTATGCTTGATGATGAACCAGTTGACTGCGAAACGCACCGTGCACAGGAATCTCCGTATCCAAGTCCCCCAGCTCCCATGCGGTGCAGGCGTTCCATCCCCAATTGCGCCTGTCGGTGGGCACCCCAGTCACCAGGACACTCCTCTCACGAAAATAAGGCTGAATGTTTAAATCACTGGAGTACCACATGTGGGCAATTTGTGACGACCCGTCCGTGCGATTGACCCAGGGAGGGGGATGTTTGCCGGGTGAGTCCATTCTACAGGCAAGCAGAGATTTTATAATATCGCGATCAAAGGGGTCCTGCGTGATTGAGAGGTGAGTGCCTACCAGTAATGAGCCAATGGAAACGTCATACCGATGCCTTCAGGCAATCAACACTAAATTTCTCCCAGCACTCAGTGGTAGGACTGTAAACTTTGATGTATACCGGTGCTTCAGCCCTTTCAATGTATTCACGATCAATGCTGGGTGACCTTGGGTGGTGTGAAGCTGGTGGGCTTACATGGACTTGAGGACGCCAAGTATGCTTAGGGCGTGGTACAGACCCCATTACAGGCCCTCTTGTTGAGTTGACCTCTAAATAGCTTGTCCTCCAGACGACGTCCTCATCATCATTGACCTTCTCAGCGTGCTTGGCCAGTTCTGCCTTTGTCAGCCGGAGACGAGGTGGCTTGTTGTTACGGTTTATTCATCTCTTTTCTTTTTTCTTCGTATTACTCAGCCTGATTACTCGTTTGCGATCATGACGGACGCATTCTCACAGTACTATTTTTAGTTTACCAACATGTATTTAAGTAGAGCCTCAGCTGGTCCAAACCCCAGCTTCGGCTAAGGTTTAATTCACCTAACATCGAACTCCGTTCTTCGTGACTATCTGTCCCATCGACTTTCATCGCCTTTGACTTGCTAGAGTATCGTCTACCGAAGTGCGAGTAGCGATCCTAGCACGATCTAAGTCGATAGAGTTAGTGGCTAACATTTAGCCGAAGCTCATCCTTAGTTGCCCAACGACTCACCGTTGCCCAACATACTCCCGATCATTCTCTTAATCGTCGTCGCACTTTCCGTGCTACGATTCCTTCTTAACGACCCACTCGGACTGGTTATTGTAACCATCCTCCGAGTATTCCTCGCCTGCGTATACATCCCGTCTCCACTGTTTGCAGGACTATTCCTGCTGCTTTGGGTCGGATTCCTACGCCATCATTAAAAACACGAAACCCTTCATTCTCGCTCTTCAGCTCGCCTCTTTATTAACAATCTTGTTGTTAATAATAACGAGCACTTCCGAAGATTGTGAAATCTTGTTGATGAACGGCTCCAACTACGAGACCGACCTCAGCCTGATCATCGCGATCCTCATCGTCCTCACCATACTCGCTGTCTATCAGCTTGCATGGTCAATCGTCGACTTACACCAAGGATAGATCCACTTACGGATGCCCTGGTCCGACTCCATTCCCGCCGTCTTCGCAACTTTTATTCTCTTTTTCTTGTCACTTATTTTGTACCGACTACACCGCTGTTTTCAACGACAGAGGCGAGTCCGCGCACAACTCCCGTTCCATTACGTTCCCAGCACCCCAGCGTATCCTCCGCCGGTAATTCATATTCCTGCGGCATCTCAACAGACAATACAAGATGTCGAATCCGCCGCCTCCGGGGAACCTGGAGGATCCCTCTACACATCGTCGCGACCCAGCTCGCGATCCTCAGAGTCGAGCACCGACTCCTACAGAAGCGCTACCAACAAGTCAGTCGACTCAATCGACATCACCGATACCCGGGGGGTATTCCTCGACAGAGGAGACTCACCCGTACCAGGCCTCTTCGATCAGTCTCCAGTCCAGGGCGAGTCAAGCACCGATGGAGCCCGAGGACAAGACACCAGGCATCTGGTCACGGGCGAAGAAGGCTCTGATACCGAGTACGAAGGGGACGACCTCTCAGAGTGGGAGAGGACAAGACTCGATGACCTCCTCAACGACATCTACCTGAACACGGAAGAAGATGCAACCGATACCGGAGACAGTTACAGCGGCAGGACAGGAACTAGGTGGACAGATGCCGTCTGGAAGAGTGAGAGTAGGAGATACAGGGTCGCCCAGGAGGACGACTACGACAGTGATTCCGGAGAGCTTGAGCTCGGAGCCTCCGTGGCTACCACCAGTACAGCTCACTCACAGTCTGTTCCAAGCTCCTGGCCAACCGATAGGGGAGAGCCGGTTGGCTGGCACCCACAAACCGGTTGGGTCTACGCCGACAACAGGGAAGCGGTTACTGTGGCCGGAGTCCCGCCCGGAAGAGAGTCCGACCAGGTCTCTGAAAGCTCCGAGGCCGCAACGATCACTCCCCCCGTCCCCCCGCACGAGCCGACGAGTGGGGAGCTTTGGAGCGAGTTCCCAGACTACGATGCTGAGGAACTTGGAACAATTACCGTTTCCGAGCAACTCGCCAGAGTCTCCAATTGGGAACCATCCGTCGCGTCGAGAGCCTTCGCCGATCCCATACCGGCCTCTCAGCGTCCATGGCCCCTCCTCTATCACACGTACGTCGAGTCCCTCGGACTCACTCGAGATGCCCGGCTTGCCCCAGAAGTCGAGGCCCGAATGGAGCGAGGCAGAGCGCATGATGCATGCATCCGACGTGCCAAAGAGGACGCACTCCAGGGACCCAACGGCTGGTGGGACTTACCCCTCGAGCCCGATGCCACCGACGCCGAGGTCAGGAATCGAATCCGAGCTGCCGCCGTTCGCTACTCCGGGGCCGCTCGAAGAGCAGGCACTGATCTCGAGGCCAGGGGGAGAGCCTGGAACGCCTACCAGGCAGAGATCAGCGACGAGGATTCCGACATCGGGAGATGGAGGCGGAACAAGGAGCTCGACAGACTCACCCGAGAGAGGAAGGAGGCTAAGGATGCCGAGTCGACCCCCAAACAGCGCCCTCAAGGTGGAGGTGATGACAGCGGTCCGAAACCTCCTGGTCCACCCCCTACACCCCCGGCCAACAATTTTTAATATCTTACCATGGCATGGACTGTACAAAATCATGATGGAGGACATGGAGAAGGACTCCCAGTGGCTTCTGACGGAAGCGGGAGAGGACTACCGTGACGCGAAACAGTTAGGAGATGTTTACCTCGCGAAGAACATCTTGGAGGTGGAAACCTGGCATCGGGCTGCTTTGGTATGGAACCTGGCAAACCCCGACCAACCAAAGCAGGAATGTGCGGCCTATCGACAGCCGCAACCAATGCCCCACCCGCTCGAAACCGAAGAGTTCTGGGCGGGTGCAGGCCCCGACGACGACGATATGGACGACCCGGGCACGGGGCCCTCGGACAAGGGCAAGCAGTCCACTGTCCCGCCCCAACCACCGTCGCAGCCCCCGCGTCGACCAGCATACCTGGGCGATTACCCTCCGCCTGGAGAGAACTATCGACTACGGTCACTACCGCGACCGCCGAACCCTCCAGTACCTCCCCGGGCACCGTCACCTCCGGACCCTATACCACCATGGACGCTAGTGGCAGGGAAGGACGGGAACCCCTGGAATGACGTGAAACCCAAGTTAATCACGCAGCCCGAGTATTTCACCGGGGAAGCTACCGACATCAATCGGTTCCTTCACCATTGTGAAATGTACTTCCAGGTTTTCCCGCTACATTTCACCATGAACGACCAGGGCCAGAATCCATATCGCATCACCTTCGCGCAAGGGTATCTATGGGAGAAAGTGAAGGACTGGTGGGGCGACCAATATTATCGATATCAGGATGACCAGGGGCATTGGAGATTCCCCACGTGGGCCGAGTTCTCCCATGACCTCTCGGTAGAATTCCGAGAAGTAGCGGAGCTCGCAATCTGGAAGGCAGAATGGAGGAAGGTCCGACAGTCGGAGTTCAAATCCGCAGTCGAGTTCTTCGCCAAGTTCGAGAGACTGGCCCATAAGTGCGGAGAATTCAATGACGAGAAGCAGATGTTTGAAGCCGTGGAGGCGGCAATTAGGCCGACGGTGCGCAAGACGGTTATGCATGGGGACAACAAGTGCCCCACAACCTACGCACAGTGGAAGGCGCGAGTCCTGAGGATCGACGCCAACTACAGATACAACGTGGCGCAGGGCCTCGCTAGTAAGACCTCCCCGAACCAAGGCGGTTTGGGTCGAGGCAATCAAAATCAATCGAAGGGAAGCGGCCCTAGCGGCGACAAGAAGGACGCCACGGGGACTACGTATGGGGGCATGGGTCAGCCGATGGAGATCGATAAGCTCCGGTCCGACAAGCGGTGCTTCAAGTGTGGGAACACCGGATGGAGCCGCGACCATAAATGCCCAACGGATAAGTCCAAGTGGCTTCCCGTCAAGCTCCCCCCTCGCAAGAAGAAGCCCAACGTCGCTCGTCTCCGCCAATTGCTCGCTGAAGCCAAGAAGGAAGAGTTAGGAGAAAGTACGAAAGTCGAAGAGGTGAAGGAGGAGAAGTCGTCAAAAGACGAGCCGGCGTCGAAATAAGCGATTCGACGGCGTCGGCTAAGGACTTAGTTTCATCTGGTGCGCGCTCATGTACTACTAGTCGGACTTATACTACGTATGTAGGTACCCCGTATGATCAATATACCAATTTTTTCGCCGCGTTACCAGTAGAAGAAATTAAGAATGACAAATCGCCAACCGCCCAAGGCATAGGAGGGGATTTCCGCCGTCCTACGCAGTCAGCAATGGACAATGAACCCCTAGGGGCTGGTCCACCTCTGACACCCCCGCCTGACCGAATGGGGAAAGTTCTGGAGAACCCAGCGAGCACCTCAGGTCAGGACAAGATGGACGCCAGACGTGGTGGTCGTCGCCCCGGTAGGGAGAATCGGCCGACGACTCCGACGGACGGGCCTTCCCTTCAGGTTGTTCCTCCCGTCAGTGGCAGAAAAGCAGCTGAGGCTGGGAATCGAGGGGACCACCTACATTTAGTAGTGGCCTCATCCGCAAACGATGCTGACCCCCTCGAGGAGCCAATATGTGTGCGTCTACCTCGAGTTTCCGAGAGTACCACCGGCGTTAGGAATGAGGATAAGTACCGGATTTTGGTGGAGGTTACAACGCCGCGCACAAGCGCCCTTGGCCAGGGCCGAACACAGGGCAGTGAGCCCTCCTCCACCAACTCGTCGGAAGGTGACCAAGTGCCGCCGAGGGGCCTTAACGACCGGCCCGGTGACCAACTGCCACCTCGAGTCAAGAAACCTCAAGTTTTGCTAGAAGAAGTAGAAGACGAAGAGGCCCATCTACGGTCCGACATTCCGACTGGCGCGCCCAAAGGGAAGTCTTCTGTGACCCCTGACCCAGGATCACGACTTGAGGTGCGAAAACCCGTTCCAGATACCTACTACGAACCTTTCGGGCGGCACTGGACCCGGAGGGCGCTGCGACTCGCTACCGACGAGTCGACCGCTTTCGCTACCCTCAACCGATGGGTACACCCTCGACGAAAAGGAGAAGTAATGATCGAGTTGTGGGAGGCGCTCAAGGAACAGCCTGAGACCGCCGCTGAAGCAAGGGACAGATGGGAGTGGATGGAGGATCTTACAAAACCCCCCATGTACATACGAGGGAGGAAAGGACGCAATGTATCAATTACCGTGCAGCTGGAAACCCTGGACACCCGAGAGGTACACTCCGTAAAAGCGCTAGTGGACAGTGGAGCCACCGGTAGCTCCATAGACTGAGCCTGGGCCCGGAATCACGCTCTAAACCTCAAAAAGGCGGCCTGCCCCGTCCCGGTCTATAACGCTGATGGTACCAGGAACAAAGGCGGTGACATCACTGAATATGCCAAAGTACGGCTTCGCATCAGAGACCACGTGGAACAGATCGAACTAGCCGTAGTGGATCTAGGCTCCACCCCCCTCTTCCTCGGACATGATTGGTTACAGAGGCATAACCCGTTGATTGACTGGGACACTGGGGCGGTCACTCTAGCCCACTGCACTTGCCAAAAAATACCTTTCTCTCTCCCGGACACGGATCCTTCCTCCTGATGGGATGAGTACGAGGAAGGGGACACTATCCTGGTGATCGATTTTGAAGAAGCGTTTCACGTGCGAGCCATGGGTACTAAGGCTAATGAACTAGCCGCCCAGGCCAACGCTCGCAAGGAAACGAAATCCTTTGAGGAGATAGTACCGGCTGAATATCGGGACTTCGAGGACGTATTCGCCAAGGAGAATTTCGACGAGTTACCCCCACGAAAACCGTGGGACCATGCTATCGAGTTAATCCCTAACTCGAACACCAACCTAGACTGCAAAGTCTACCCTCTCAATCCCACGGAACAGGAGGAGTTGGATAGGTTTCTGGACGAAAACCTGTCTACCGGACGCATTCAAGCCTCCAAATCCCCGATGGCGTCTCCGTTTTTCTTCGTTAAGAAAAAAGACGGCAAGCTCTGCCCGGTTCAAGACTACCGCAAGCTCAATGAGATGACTATTAAGAATCGATACCCGTTACCACTCATTGGAGAGCTCATGGACCGGCTGAAGAAGGCCAAGTACTTCACCAAGCTAGACGTACGGTGGGGGTACAACAACGTCAGGATAAAACAAGGGGACGAGTGGAAAGCCGCTTTCCGAACCAACCGCGGTCTCTACGAACCATTGGTAATGTTCTTTGGACTCACAAACTCGCCGGCAACCTTTCAATGGATGATGAATGATATCTTCAAAGACCTCATCACCGCAGGGGAAGTGTCGGTCTACCTCGACGACATCCTCATCGCATCAAAAGACAAGAAGGATCATAGGCGCATAGTGCGCGAGGTACTCCGAATTCTTCGCCAGAACAAACTATTCCTCAAGGCTGAAAAGTGCGAATTCGAAGTGGAAGAAATGGAGTACTTAGGGGTGCTCATCAGCGAGGGAAAAATTCGCATGGATCCTGTAAAAATTGCTGGCCTCTTGGACTGGCCTGCTCCATCGAAGAAGCAGGAACTCCAGTCCTTCCTAGGGTTCTGCAACTTTTACCGAAGGTTCATCCGTGACTACAGCAAGCACGTTAAACCCCTCACTGCCCTCACAGGGAAGACGGACTGGAAATGGGGGGAGGTCGAGAAAAGGGCGTTTGAAAAGATCAAGGAGCTGTTCCGTGAGGATGTGGTCCTAACCATCCCGCTTGACGAAGGGAAATTCCGAGTGGAGGCGGACTCCAGTGAGGGGGCAATAGGAGCAGTATTGTCCCAATGGCAAGAAGAGAAGTGGCAACCGGTGGCTTTCCTCTCTAAAGCGCTGTCGGCCACCAAACGCAACTACGAGATCTACGACAAGGAGCTCCTTGCCATCATGATCGCATTAGAAGAGTGGCGACAGTATCTCATGGGCGCTCGAGAAGACTTTGAGATTTGGACGGATCACTCCAATCTTCAATATTTCCGGAAGCCTCAGAAGCTCAACCGACGACAGGCTCGCTGGGTGACCGAACTGGCTGAATACCAGTTCACCCTACATCATAAACCAGGAGCGCAAAATCGTAAAGCCGATTTACTATCGAGACGAGCGGATCACGATCAGGGGAAGGACGACAATCAGAGCGTAACCATCCTGAAGCCGACCCACTTCCGTGCCCTTATCATGCCCACCGTGGAGGATCTGCATGAGAAGATCAAACTAGCCACGCACGATCCATGAAAATGGGATCGAGGCATTTCCGACTCCCTTAACCACGAAAAGGGGGTCTCCCGAGACCAAGAATTGCTATGGTATGACGGTCGCATCTATGTACCCAGAGATCGGCAGCTACGAGGCGAAATCATAGCCCTGCAACATGATCACGCAACCGCAGGACATCCAGGGATAGAAAAGACGAAAGAGCTCGTTCTATGAGACTATTGGTGGCCTCGAATGCGTTCGGAAGTGGAAGCCTATGTAAAAGGGTGTGAAGTCTGCCAATGAACGAAGGTGGATCGTCGCCCCAAGAGGTCACCCCTCCACCCGAACGAGGTCCCGAATCGACCATGGACGCACATCTCGGTGGACATGATCACAAAGCTCCCCGATTCGAAAGGAAACAATTCCATTCTCGTCCTGGTCGATAGGTTCTCTAAAACTATCATCCCCATTGCATGCACCGAGAAGCTGTCGTCCCTAGGCTTCGCCAAAATCTTACGGGACTACATCTATGTACCATACGGTGTGATGCCGGAGAAGGTCATCTCGGACAGGGGAGCCGTTTTTGTATCGAAGTTCATGAAGGAATTCTATGCGCTCATTCAGGTGACGGGGAACCCCTCGACAGCCTATCACCCTCAGACAGACGGCCAAACGGAGCGGGTCAACCAAGAAATAGAAAAGTACCTCAAAATGTTCGTTAGTTATCGACAAGACGATTGGAGCGAGTGGTTACCGCTTGCAGCGTTCACTCACAATAATCGAAAACACTCTGCAACAGGTTTTTCACCGTACAAAGTAGTTTTTGGATGCGACGGACAGGTTATCAAAACTGCCCAGCATCAGGATGCGGTACCCGCGGCATCCAAATTGGTCCAGGGAATTCAAGAGGTACAAGAAAAGGCGAAAGAATCGCTGGAGCGCGTGGCCAAATCCATGAAGAGGAACTACGACAAACACAAGGGAAAAGCAGTAGAATATCAGGCCGGTGACAAAGTCTGGCTGGATTCCACCCACTTGAACCTTCCCCGTCCAACCAAGAAGTTGGGAGATAGACGAGTAGGCCCGTTCACCATTATAGCAAAGAAAGGAGCCTCAGCCTATGAGCTGAAACTCCCGATGAAATGGCGGATCCATAATCGATTCAACGAGTCCCTACTCACTCCTTACCATGCCCCAGAATTCCCAAACCAACCGCGCCCTGAGCGACCACCTCCGGAGCTAATCGATGATGAAGAGGAATACGAGATCGAGGAAATTGTAGAAGAAAGGGACCGTGTCGTTGGCCGTGGACAAACTCGCCGTACCATTACCGAGTACTTGGTAAAATGGAAGGGGTATCCAACGGAGGAAAACTCGTGGGTTAAACGCTCAAACCTGGCCAACGCCGAGGAACTCGTAAACGACTACGAAGCATGCATCCAAAAGATTCTATGGAAAGTGAATAACAAGGGAAAAACCATGGGAAGAGACACTAAAATCCCGCTCAACGATCTGGCAAAGTACCATGATCCAGACACCCCTTGCATCACCGATATCGAGACCGTTTACTCGTCCCAATGCTCGGCCGCGGCACACTCTGAAGAAATTAACGTAGTAGGAGAGGCAGCGGTGTCAGACGCCGGACGAGAATATGGCCCAGTCTCCGTCACGGCATCATTCCAGCGATTAGTAAAGGATATCTCTGAATCCATGGATAGAGCCCTTCAAGAAAGAAATGCCAAATATGTGAGAGATCACCCAGATGAAAATCATGAACCACCTCGACTTCCTCGACCAGAGCCGCACGAAGGCCCCAGATTTGACGATCCACGAGTGCGTGATTCGTACTTAAAACGCCGCAAGATAGAAATTGAAGCGTCATGATGGGAACAACGTCCTTACGTCAATCCCCCCATCCTATTTGACCCTCCGACAGACAATGACTCGGACGTTGGTCTACTTCAACGAGTAACCGAAAACTGGGATGACGACCGCCTTTCTGATGTAGGATCATTCGAATCCATTCCAACGGGGTCCAATAACTCATCTGAGGGGGACGACGAGCCCTCATTATCAACCTCGGACGAGGAAGAATGGGAAGCTGGGGACTCATTCGGGACGAACGAGTCATAGAAACTTATTTATGGTGTAGAAGGGGATTGCCACCGCTCAGTTTTGAGCAATGAACCCTTAGGGACAGGGAGTCCCGACAGACAGCAAGAGGCCTAACCGGCGCAAGGTGGTCCTGGATATCCACAGGTACCAGGATCCAGGTGAAGCTAGGGATGAGGCCGACGGCAGTACTCGAGGCCCAGCGGACCCAATGCTAAACTGTTTTAAAGCAGAAGGGAGACCCTCTTGCTTGCTCATGTGGAAGGAAGGGGACACATTCTCATTCGGGACGAATGAGTCTTAAGGAGGGGGTAATGTTATGGTTTATTCATCTCTTTTCCTTTTTCTTCGTATTACTCAGCCTGATTACTCGTTTGCGATCATGATGGACGCATTCTCACAGTACTATTTTTAGTTTACCAACGTGTATTTAAGTAGAGCCTCAGCTGGTCCAAACCCCAGCTTCGGCTAAGGTTTAATTCACCTAACATCGAACTCCGTTCTTCGTGACTATCTGTCCCATCGACTTTCATCGCCTTTGACTTGCTAGAGTATCATCTACCAAAGTGCGAGTAGCGATCCTAGCACGATCTAAGTCGATAGAGTTAGTGGCTAACACTTGTGTATACAGACATATGTGCCTTCGCTCTCACTGGGGTTGGATTGGCTGTTTAGCTCGTGGATTTTCCGAGGGACTGGCACAGCGGATGCCTCTGACTCGTCCTCACTGATCATGGGCTTGCTCTTCGTCTTCTTCCAGTTCCTCCTACTCTTTTTTTTCTTCGGCTTCTCTCCTGGGAGCTGCACGTCGCCATCCTCGTCATGCGACGGTAACAGTGTCTCTGTCGGTTTCTGCCTCCTGGGTCGAAGTCCGGCTACTGCGGCCAGGTTCTCAGCAGCTGGGTCTTCTTGAGTGTCGTCTCCAAAATCGATCGCCGCTACTACAGAGGTTGGTGAAGATTGCTGCGACGATACTTCAGGTTTGTCCTCCTCACCAATGGGTGCAACGGCGATAGCGTTCTTGTCCTCCTCTTGAGGGGTTTCTGAGGTGGTCTCGATGGAGGAGCCTTGCCCGCCTTTGGGTGGTTTCAATCGAACATCAGCTTCAAACCAGGGCCTCAAATGGTTAGGCTGCACGGCTGCCTGTATTTCTGACCTATACAATTTGAGAAAGAGAATAAGCCTGCTCTCGGCAGACACCGATCCCTCAGAAACCGCCAACAACAAGGACCAAAATCCGTGCTCAACGTTATGGAGTACTGGGGGCTTGTCTCGATCATCAACCAAACTGGAGTACTGAACGGAACACATGCATCAGTCTGGCCCACAAAATCGAAGAAGAGATCCATACCATCAAGCACTGAATGGGCAGGAGGGCTGCATCCCACGACCACTTGAATAGTATGAGCAGTGAAATAGTGGCACAGTTCAACAAAGCGGCCATCGAGTCTTTACTCCTGGGGCCAGACGTGTTCAAACTCGCCTCGACTTGTTCCCAGATATCGTTCATCCCATTTTGAATCGTGAAGCTAGGTCAAGTGGGCCAATCAGCATGAACGGGGCACGAGAACAGTGGACTCACGATCGCAATTTGTTCACATACTCTACTGGGTCACCATGGGTTCGTCGGATCCAATGAATTTGCCATGCTACCCCTTCCATGAGGTGAAGGAGTTTCTGCCAGTAACTCATGTGCCCACTCCGATTCCAAGACCATATAGCTTGCAAATCCACCCAGAGCTGCTGTTGTTCGGTCGAAAGGTTGGTCAAGCTGTTCAGAAGCAGGGGCTTGAGTGTCGCCGTTGTGCTTTCCTGGGCAGTGGTGGCTTGCAACAACACAACCAGCCAATCCGCTAATCGTGCGACCCACTGCGACACGTAATACCGTAAGTCACTGACTGTCTGGCGAAGTGCTTCCCCTACCTGTACGAGTTTGACTGTCGGCTTGAACTGAATTGAATAATCAACCTTAAACTCCCCATGGTCTATGCCCCGACACTGTAAGAGCTCATTGACCAGTCGCCATGTTATGAGTGCTTCAATGAGATCGACCTGCTTTTGTGCCTCTGCATGTTGCAGGTGCATGATGGCTTTCCCATGAGCCTCGGGTAGTCTGGTAATCCCCTTTCGATAATAAGATGGTAGTGCGCAAGCCAGATCCTGGATCAGCCATAAGAACCAGGTTTCCCAACATACTACTTGATCAGTTTCTCACCTGAATTAGAGTCCGAAAGCCAGTCCAGGAAGCTGGAGTGGTCACCGCGACGGCGGCACTTGACCCTTGAGCTGGCACGTCTTGCTCTTTATCCAGGCAGGCAGACAAAGGATGCATTAGGAGACGAGTGCGATTATGCAAGGGCAAAGATTGGAACAGCTTCGACTCTGCAGCCTGTTGCACTGATCCACAATAATCAGTAATCATCCGGGAGTAAGCCATCACAGGCAAAGAGGATTGAGAGGCGCCGACATATGTCAAGACGCCCACCAGGAAGCGACAAGTGTGCGTCTAGCTTCCATATATCGGCTTCGGGTCAACGGCTACGGTCCCTCCCACGTCGCATTGCATTGTAAGACAATAGTTCAATGATGGAGACTTACAGACATGCGGGAGTTCTGACATTGCCAGGTTGCAATTGGTGAGTGAAATTTTTCTACGGTGCTTCCTGAGGCACCTAACAACCACTGATGAGCCTCCAGGCTCTGTACGCTCAGAATTCGTGGATTTTACCAGATATTTAATTCCTCAGCCACCACACAAACCTACTATTTCAATCCCGGCAATATTGCTTAATGCCGCCAATTATCCTTCCCCACTTGTACCCCACATCAATTACGTGCCCCTTTCATTAATTCTGCCAGTCTTCTTTCATTAATTCTGCCAGGCACCTGATTGTCGATCTCACGGATTTAGAATCCCATCTGATTGCCTAGCGCAGCCGCGATTCCGCAGCACAGCCACAATTCCGCAGCTCAAATAGCAATTCCGTGGCATTAGCTCTAATGCCATGACCTTTCCTCAGTCTTTACTAAGGCTGTTATACCACCAAGAGATTGCCGCAAGCATCTACTTCAGTACACTTGCTTCAATGTACTTTGCCGCAGCAACACAGCAGCTCAAAATTCCGGAGATCAGTGGCATTCTTGCTAATCACTTCATCTATATGCGGTAAAGCCATATGGGTGCTGTTACTTTAGAACTCTGGGAGCACACGTTTTGTATCATTTCTTACCAATCTATGTACTACGGACTTACTAAGGACTCACGTCAAGTATTCTAAAATTATTCCGGACTTGTAGTATAAAAGCTAGTATACACCATGGAAAAGTAATAGTTGCTACAAAAGTTACTGGACACTAGCCATCATCCACGTTATCGACCACCGTTATCGCTTGTACTCGCTAGGAGATAGACAATAACAACACAGTCACTCCAAGTTATACTCTCTGTCATGGCTTTTCTTCTAACGGTATTGGTGTACGCTCATATTGCGCCAATACATGGAATTCGGTGTCCACAACTCGCTTTTATCTTTTAATCCACCAGCATCGTTTCACTTTCACCAGCCAGGATCATTTTCATCAGTTTTCACCTTCTACGTCGCCATCGTTTTACCCAGTTCAGTTCAGGATCGTTACGTCCCCGTGTGGACTCAGATTAGGATCGTTATTGCCGCCAGCAGCATCTGTCATGGAATTTCGGTCAACAGCTTCAGTATAGGATCATCAGTCATGGTATTTGGTATCTTGCCATCAGTTTCAGTATAGGATAGTCTCCGTGTAGACTCAGGATTAGTATCAGTTTCATTTTGCCGTCGTTAACCTCAGTATAGTTTCAGTTTCAGTCCAGCCCAGTCCCAGCCATCGTTTTGCCATCACTAGTTCCCCCTCATATCATCGCCAGCTTGTCTTATCTTCGTTTCACTGCCAGTTTCTCGTTTCTCGACTACAGTCTTCGTTTATTGCCGTCACGATATTTGTTATCTTGCCAACGGTATTTCTCTTTGACGGCATTTTCTCTAATTCCGTCAACATCGCCCACGGCTTTTACCAGTTAATTGCCGTCACTTCATTCACGGTTTGCCGGTATTCCCAGTTATACCGGATTCTGTTCCTTCTCGTCTATCGAGACCCTTCCCGGCTTACAGCCAACGTTTTCTAGTACTCGATCGTTAAGGGTACTACTTCGCTGACTGAAAAGTCGCAGTGTATACTTGCGTTCTTGAGGAATTCATCGCACGGAGGTGCACCGAAACACTCGCACAACAACAAAGCCTTTATTGCCCCTACACGCCATTTGCCGTGAACTCCTCTAGAGTTTTGGTTTTTGCCGTTGCCACGGAAGTTTAGGCTCATCACTGCTTTGTGACATTTGTGACCACGCATCCAGGTGGTCACATCATGCCCACATGTGATCGAGAGGAATCAAGGCCTGGGCCATTCCCATGCTTGAAGTGAACAATCGCCTTGCCAGTCTGGGTTGCCTGTCATCTGCTGTATCCGCTTCCTGTCGCCCAATCTCCTCTATGCCAGGTATTAAGCTACTCAATCTGTTGACCAACTCCACCAATGGACCGTCCCTACCTTGTAACTCTGGCTAATACGGTTCCATCTGCATGGAGGAAGCAAACAGATTCATTTTACCGTGTCTGATCAGAAAGCGTGGTTCTTTCCGCCCTCCCCGGCACCCCACAGTGAAGTGTGCAAGCTCAGCGTGCATGCATCTTCCACACCATCACCACTTTTAAGACGCTGCGTGGTCCTTGCCTAGGTCATATCATGGTACCATTGTTATCACCTCCGTGTTCCCACTACAAAGCCTATATAAATATTCAACAAGAAGACCTCGCAGCTGACAGCCAGGGATGTATCCTTTCACGGCAACATGGAATGGTAGTTATTGCCTTGGAGTTCCCACTGCAAAGCCTATCCACCGGAAGCCCATGTCCACCCAAGTCAGTGTTATCACTCTCTTGTCATGCAGCCATTCGATTCCATTGACCTCACAACGCCACCAGCACGTTGCGAGGCGCCACCTCGTCATAGCATATGTCATATCTTGGTATGAATGTTCTCGCCTCGGTATCCCCACCTCAAAGCCTATTCACCAGAAGTCCCAGCAGCTGACTGCCAGGGATGGGGCCTCGCTACCACATATATGGCTCACCTTCTCTCCCTGGGTCCTGCAGATCGGTTCTCAATGTCCACCCCAGTGAGTGATACCACTTGCCCTGCCTCCAGACACCCTTTGATTTTTGGTCATTCAGGCGTTCGGTGCCATAGACCTCAATAAGGTCCAGCCTGCCCGTCTATCTGAGCTAATCATGCAATGCGACCTGGTGGCCATACCAACCTATAACAGCGTTGTCCACTGGAACCTGTGTTTCTATGCACCGTCATCGACGCGTCGGGTCATCGTAGACCTGCAGAAGGTTCAAGTCGACAATGGCTGGAAAGGTTTCATCTGGTAAGCCAGTCCTGTGGAGCCTGACGCCTCTTTGACCTTGTCTTCTTCAGTTGTCAGGGGCGTTATACCGCTCCTAGTCGCAAGGCCCTCATCACTGAGCTGACCCTGCCCCTCCTCAGCACCTCGACGGTGATGTTCGCTGATGTTCTGAATGCCTTCGTGGCCAAGGGTCTCGATACCGGTAGCATGGACACGAGTGGTGTAGGTTGCTGCCGCTGGTGTTTTCAGGCCCTGCTCTGTCTGCAGCATGCCTCGATTCTACACCCATCCTGGAGGCCTCTGGCCGACGCCTATGTCAGCAAAGTGAAGGAGCTCGCCGTGCAGGAGCAGTGCATTGTTGCACCAGAAGATCTCGATGTTGGCGCCTAGATAGTTTAGTTGACATGTGTTGGCATGATTAGCAGTCTCACAAGATGTATATGACCACAATTGTAACAATAGTACCGATGATTTGCGCTCCACACGGTCTGATGGCCTTGATGGGTACCAAGCAAAGGTATGTATATGATTTATGTTACAGGCAGTACGGAGGTATGGTTGTTATGTAGTTATACAACTCGACGTATGGATCACATATGAAAGGTATCAGCGCTCGCCAGATCGCGTCACGTTCTTTACCCCATGCAGCAACGATTTGGTCCCCTAGCATGTTAACAAACTCGAACCATGGTGGATAAAACCCGGCCTCCCCAAAATCTATCAACCATAGTTGCCCATCATCCCCAACCACAAGATTGCACATAGCAAGGTCAACATGTGAGAATACCAGCGCACCAGCTTCCTTTCGTGAAGGCCACGCCAGCGCAACACCACCGGGCTGGGCGGCTTTCTCCTTAGCCGTGTGGAAGAATTGAATGAAGTCGTGTTGGGAGGGAAAGGGGCCCCATTCAACTGTAAAGAGGACCGACGAGATACATGGGAGTGGCTCCCGGCCCTCTCCTAAGGGACCAGGTATGTCACCTCTCGGGTGATGGATGGAGCGAAGCTCGCGAACATATCGACGTAAGGTAACAGCGGTACTGATTTTTTGCCAGATCGACATGGTGTGCCATACAGTCGACAAAGTGCGGCCAGGTATGTAGTCCATAACAAGCACACACAGGTCATCCATGGGGAGCACTTGCCGGATGACTGGGACTGGGATGTTGGTCTGAAGGCAAACAAGTTCCTGGGCCTGCGCTTCTGGCGACCAACCCGTTTCGCTGCAGGTAACCAGCTTGCCGACCACATTGGGGCTGAGTCACACTGCACATTTGTCCCAACTAGATGAGGGTGACCAGTCTTCGTCAGAGACAGACATGCAACGGGCGAGCAGTTGCTCGTCTCTCTCGGCGTCAATATCCACTTCCTGTGAGTAGTCGCTGATCAGATCAGGACAGCAGTTATGTCTAACAAAATACACACTCTCGAGGCAGGCAAGGACCTGCGAGAGGGGAAGAACCAAGACCAAGTATCAGCTACGACAATGGCAGCCCTGTAGACCCAGAGCAGCACCGGGTTGGGACTCGTCTGCGACATCAATGGGTGAGCGTAAAGACCACAACGTAAATAGCAGAGTCTTTTGAACTTTAGCTTAGGTAACAGGACAGATCCATGACCCTCCACTCCATGCTATTGATGGTTGTTTGGAACACACTTTTCCGTAACCCCCACAAGAGCCGGTCAAAGTGAGTATCGCTCTCAAGGGGCCTTCCATGGAGCCAGAGATCGATCAGATCGCTGGGTCTGGCTTTTACTCCCACGGAAGCATTTTGTAGCGACTAGACCTATAGTGTCGTCGTTAGAATGCCCACCTTGACATAGGTCGGTGGGCATCACCGAGATTTGAAGTGTGGAACTGTCGCCCCGCCCAATTCCTTGACTTGCGTTTTGCCTCTACACCATAACCGCCTCCGTGACCATGGCTCATTCAAAGTCCTTTTGCAGGATGGCCTCCTCGGGCCAAGCGTCTTTGGCAGACACGATACGACATGATCCCAAGCTGTTACTCAAGCTTGCCGAGCCGCACAAGCGTAAGTTTGTTTCAGACCCTTTTTTCTTTGGAACATGACCTGAGGCATCCATGATGGCCTTTGTAGTGTTATGGGCGTGGGATGGATTGCGCAGCATGCTCGTCAACGACAACATATTCATCACCTCTCCGAATTGTACTGGCCTGTACTCCCCACCACTTGGTGTGAACCGAGAAATGTGGATGCGGGAAGATTTTAGGTATGGTGTTGACGACCCTCTGTCATGGCCCCAACCTTATTGCCGGACATGCCCTCACCTGGCTTGCATGCGACTGTGCCCTAGGGATGACTCTGATCCCAACGTTCCTTTGTTTGAGCTCCCGTTGCAGGAAGATTTTGAAGAACTGGACCTGTCATTGCTCATTCACAGGCCTGGTTTTTGGCACAGAGAACGTAGATGTGTATTCCAGCAACGTTGTCGGGCAATCCTTGGTGGTTGCGAGGGTATTCCCCATGTAGATGAGGCTGCCAAAGCAGGAGCTAACAGGGCAGATGAACTCCTAGGATATGCAAGGATGTTTCTGGAATGCCTGGACGGTCTGCCCCTCACATTTCACAGGCTGTATTTGTGCATAGCTGAAACGCAACGACTGATACTTGAGGCTGAAGCCATCAAGTTCTTCTTTGGTACCATTCGCCCTTCATCCCTTGCGCCTGTATCGGAGCACGTTCCCAAGGCTGACATGGACTTGGTCGGTTGCATCACGACAGACATCGGTGTGGCACAGCAATTTCACTGGGCAGGAGTGCCAGTGTGGCTCCTGCGAGCCCTCGATACCCTTCCTCACACACGCATCGATGCGGTGGGAAGGCTAAAGACAGCGGAGGGCCATCTTCATATGGGACCTTGTCCCCTTCATCTCCCTTCAGTTTATGTAGGAGGTGCTGGTGACGAGGAAAAATACCTGGCATTCGACAGGTTTACCAGGTCCCACCTCGGGGCACCAAATCTGTTGTTGTGGAGTCCGGGAGAGCTTCGCTCAGAAGCTTCTTGGGTACCAGAGCATGGGAGTGTGCAGTCGTCTCCTGCCCGGGAGGTTTGCCTACCATGTGAGTGTATATCCACTATAAGTGACATGGCTCTCTAACTGACTACATAGACAACCATGTGAGCCGTTCTCGCAAGGGTAACTTGAAGCCCCAGAAGCCCAACAGTTTTGCCCTAATTACTCATGAGCTCTTACCGGGCATCCGCCCAGCATGGAAAGTGGGCCTTAGTTCTGTTGACACAAACAAGGAACATATAAATGTCCCAGCAGCACCATTTGCCTTTCCTCAGGCCGATCTATTTGCCACCATAGCAGATGGGACTAAGCGGATGAGCGCACTCAGTACCTGGCTGCGTCTCCGACCGGGCCTGCTGGCCATGCAAATGCCTTCATACACTTCCGCCAGAATGAGCCACCAGATGTGGAGGGCAATCCTCACCTATGACTGGGTGGGCCAGTCGGACGTGAGGGATAGGATCAGAGGGAAGATTACCGATCGAAGGGAACTAGCATTGAAATTCCTGGGGGGATGTTTGGGAGAAATGTCTGTTGAGGCCCATGGAATCTCAGTGGGAGGCAAATGGCAAGGCACGCCCATCAGAGATGTCTCCAGGGAAGACGTCCATGAGATACACTGGGAGCTAGCCGAGTTGGGGTTCAGACTGGAATTTTTGTCTCTGGATAGGCATTTGAGGGATGTGAATACAGAATCAGCTATACGGAAGCATCTTGTCCATTTAGGCCACTGCTTTCCCCTCAGACGCCATGATCGCTGTTGGGTGGTACACCTATCAGAGGCTCACCACGGTATCAGCGAACCCAGGTGGATGCGTCGGGCTCTGTACTTATGCTCCATGCGTCAGGTTATGAGCAAATGGAGAGGTTGTCCTGCATCCATCTTGTTGGACAAGAGCAGATACACGGAGGAAATGGTGACATCTTTGGAGCAAGACCTTGCCTCTTTTTACTGCGACAGTTTCTACGTAACTTTTGGCCGTGCACCCTGTTTGCCACGTGTGTTGACACACACGTCCACGGAGGGGAACTATCCTGAGCGTGCAATGCCCCTCTCGACAGCTGGGGGCTACTACAAGGATGTCACAGAGTGGGAGGCACCATACTAAGTTCTAGGCCCACATACTTAGGCTCATCCTTCATTTCCAATGATTGTGTTCAGCATGCTAGCATTCGGATTTATGAATATCATGATCAATATTTTGCCAAAGCGGTTACATAATATGATGTGATGTGACCAACGGACTGGTTGTGTGACATGATATAATGCAATATGACTAAATGAGCATAATGATTCGATCATCGTCGAACAACCAGAAGTCCAAGCAAGCCTCAAAATTGGGGAAGAGTGCTGTTGCCTCTCCAGCAAGAAGGCTGCATAATTTCATGTCGAGCTTGAGCCTGATGATATTGAAGCAAGTGCTCGTGCGAAATACTTGAGAAGGCAGTTGGAATTCATCTGGGGCATGCAAGACGAACTACAAGAACCACCGGGCGGAGGACAATCACATATCTGCGAACCTAAAATAAGCGTGATGCATGCACCTTGATCTTCTCCTCAGGTGCTGCAGGCATATATGGCAGACTGGTCACCATCACCAGGAAGCATGGCCCGCGGCGGTCCAAGTCTTGTTCAAAGTATTTCCGCAATTTATCAGTGATGGCTCAGGTGACACATTCATAAAGGGGGAGATGCCCGCCATTGGGCTGTGTCCCATAACCCCAATCACATGGTGTTGAGCAAAAGGCATCTGTCCTGACACATCCATGGTCAAACTGGATAAGGTCTAGAAGGTCCTGAGCTGAGTGGATGCTGCGATCATACATCCTGTGAAGATACAACAAGAGATTCTCCGGTTGGAGTAGCTCTCGGCGGAATAGCGAAGGCTATGATAATCTCTGTTCACCGATGTTACTGGCACAAAGACAGCTGCGGAACTTACCAGGCCTCCAATGTATTTGTCATGACCGAAATTGTAAGAAAATCCCTCCCGCATGGCATTAAATCCATTGCTCTGGTCTGCCATCGGATGGGACAATAGAATGAGCTTCAGCACCAACCTATTTTGGAGTTGTGACTTTTCCGGGTCAGATTTCTTGAAACCGACATCGTAAGGCTGGGGAGAGGATATTTCATGGGTGATTGTGTAGTGTGGTGTAGCGTGTTGGACTTATGGTCAAATGAGGATCACAGAAATGTGAAACCCACAGATACCTCTGATCTCTTTCATGTCGATGAGATGGTTCCAAGGTCAGAGGGTCTGTAAGCTTACGACCGAGCCAAGATTGCATGAAATCTTTGGTAGCAGGATCCAATGCCTTGATGACGGGTCCTGTTAGAAGATCCAACACTTTTGCCAATCCTCCTCATGGAGTCAACAATGCGAGAAAGAGAAACAGAGACACCGGCAGCGGCGGCATGCAGAAGGTAACAGTGCAGAGAGCAAGCAGGAGACCCTGTGCTCTCCACAGACAAGTTTCCATCGCGGTGCAATCTCTCATGCAAAAGGTAGCTGTGAAGTAATTGGAGTTGTTCGGCAAGGAAGTGTATAGATTGGTATTTTCAAGAGCCTTCTTCAATGCCTCCCTGAGGACCATTTTATTGATACCGTCGCCATGGCTCCAGCTCTGGAGTATGATCATCTTCATGCTCCCAAATTTTGCCAGCTCATCCCAATTTTCACAAAGGATGTCGGAGGAAGGAAATTGGGGTGCTAGAGGGCCCTCTATCTTCTGCAGAAACATCTTGTTGTCCTTGTCCCATGCATTCGTTGCATAAAATCTATAGAGTTCGAGCACTGCATCGGCGAGAGATTCGACATTCAGTCCCTTCAGGCACATTGTGTCAGGGAGGAGGGAGATCATGGTCTCCAACAGGTGGGAGGTGTATATGGGTTGACTTTGTGCCTGCTCTGCATCACGAGGTTGTGGCCAAATTTCTCTGGTGTAATAAGGGGGGCAATGGCAGCGGGGGCAGTTGGCTGGACGAGTCAATCGGCGAAAGGGGGTGCATGCCAAGTCGATCGGGTGGCGGTGACCTGGAAGAAGTGGGCCGCTTGTTGGACTGTGTTCAGCTGGGTCACCATCAGGTCAGTCACATCACACTCTAATTGTGACAGGGTCACATACCTGTGGTTCTTCCGCCAGTGAAGTGGCATCATCGGTAAGTTGGGGACAACGAGGGATTCCCGCCGTAATCGTCAGCTTGGGGGCAAGATGATTGGGTGGCAAGCCTCTGCATGCACGTAGGGAGGGCAAGGAGTTCTCATCGAAACTGCCGCCCCGCTGTCACATGACAAACAAGAGATTGTGCATCGCACGCTCTGAGAAGCAGGCATGCATTCCTCCTCTTACCGCATCAGGCATTCCTTGCGGTCCAAAATTGCCCATGTACAAGTTCCTGTTTCGGAGATTGTGGCAGATGGGGCCTCGGGTCGGAGCTGGAAATATTTTCCTGCAAGTTAATATCGCCTGCAGTCAGGTAGTTGTGTGGTCAGACATACCAATCACCAGGGTAAACTGACCGAGCACAGCTGAATGATTTTTGCCACATTTGGGCAGAAACTTGGACTCCAGGCTTCTGTGGTGGATGAAATGGTCAATTGTGGCCTGACCCTCATTAATTTTCTTGTTGACGACGAGAAGAGACAGATCCCCTTTGTGGGACATGAGCTGTAGGAAACACCAGCCCATGTTTTGAAAGCTGAGATTAGCCAGGTCGTCAGTCTTGAGGCCAGGGATCTGGGGCTTCCCAGCTGTTGCATTATGCGTGAGAAGTTTATCGTGAATCGTCCTGTAATTGTCATTAGCATTGGCATAGAAGGTGATGCAAAGATCAAGCTTTTGCATGTGCTCCCGAAACGGTGCGACATCGACATGCTCGAGATGGTATATGTCAGACTGGGGGAGTGGGTATCCGGTTTGAACGCTAGGATCTGCATCCTTGATGGCTTGTTGACGATGCTCCAGACTGAGAAAGGGATAGATGAGGACGTGACATGTAGGTGCTTTGCCATGTCCTCATGCCATTCACATGACGGATGCTTTCTTATGCCCTGTTGTGTTGGATCCAACGAAGGCGGTGTTTCTCGATGACATGGGAAGCGTTCCAAGGAACGCGTTTGAGTTGAAGCCATGGGATAGCAGGCCAGTGACGGACGTTTCTGGTCTGACGAAAGGTTGGGGAAGAGTGACCACCTGAGTATTGGGCCTTGGGGTGTTTTCCTGAAGCAGACCGGCAGTGGTGAGCCTGCAAAGAGGTGATGTAGTGGCTACCGGATTGCATCGTGGGATGGGGGCTTGGATGCTGGTGGATACTGCTGTGGGACCAGCTGCTGATTGTGTGTTAGCAGGATCGGCCTGTGGTGCAGGTTTGGGACGTCGATGGGCTGTTTGAGAATTACGAAAGAGAGCGGACAGTGGGAGTGGCTGAGATTCGCTCTGCATGCTAGGGGGCATTGGGCAGCAGTGCAAGATCTCGCAAGACCTCAGAGGAATAAAAATAAATTCAATTTAATTATATGTTATTTTCTTTTACCAATGTCGAAGATTTTCATAGCGCCCTGCCGGGAAAGTAATGAGATTGTCCGGTCTGGCCGTTGTGACCACTGTGACATGATTCGCTGACTGTACCTTATCGCTGTCTTTTTATGGTAGGTGAGCTACCAAATGGCTGTGCCGACCGAATTTTTTTGGTGTGAGATCGCGTGAGATCGCACGCGGCCCCACGAGATCTCGTGCGACCTCACGAGACCGCACAAGATCTCATAATTTTGTCCAGTAATTCCAAGGGTATTAGCTCGGAGCCTTTGAAGAATGTGAATATCAAAGTTTGGGCCTGGCCGGCCTCGAACTTGAAGTTTCAGTCCGCGTGATCAAATTCGCTCTTCACGGTCTAACAATACCCGTTCTAAAGTGACTAGAGGAACTCGTATAAAATCTGCCATGGTGGACAGTAATAACTTGCACGCCATGGCTACGGCCGAAATCCCCCCTGCATTAATTACTGCTCCATATTATCTCCCACCGCCCGACGGTGCTCGCGCATACAAGAATATCAATGATAGAACTGACCATAACTATATCCGACACAACGTTACCGTTGGAATCGAGAACATTCGCGGCAAAGAGCATCAGTATCTTCTCGACAAGGCCGGTTTCCAGTACTTCCAACACGCATCCAAACACACGGCCTTCGGCTGCGACGACGATGTTATCCAAGAATACTATCCCGAAAGCGAGGAGCTGTACAAGAAACTCACGGGCGCGACGAAGGTCTTCATCTTTGATCATAGTACGTACTTTGCCGTAGTGCGTCAAATTTCCGGAGTAGCAGCTGACTAGACTAGCCATTCGCAGACATCATCCGGGAGACACGGAAGAGTCTCCAATGAAGCGCCAGCCGGTGTTTAATGTCCACATCGACCAAACACCGGCAGCAGCTAGAGCTCGGGTGTTTCGTCATTTACCAGAGAGCGAAGCGCGGGAGCTTGTCAAGCACCGATTCCAGATACTCAATTTGTGGCGTCCGATCGATAACCCAGCATTAGATACGCCGCTTGGATTCATTGATTCCAGCACAGTCGATGAGAAGATTGACTTGTTCCCGATGACGCTCAAGTTTCCTGGAGGGCCTGGGGAGACCTATGCTGTAAAGTGGAATGCGAGACATAAATGGGTCTACTTGAGAGGAATGACCCCCGAGGAGGTAGTGATATTCAAGTGGTACGGTGCTTTACTATTCGTGATTTACTGGATCGACTTATCTTTGAGGTATAGCTTCGACTCGACCAAGGATGAGGCGAAGGTAACATTCAATGCGCACAGTTCGTTCGTGGATCCTAATACGCCAGAGAGATCTCCTTTGCGGCAGTCCATTGAGCTCAGAGCTTTGGTCTTCTATGATGAATAATTAGGGTGGAATATCATGGGTTATAACAAGCACTTACCACGAGGTGCTCTCCTGTTTAGCACCACGAACCTTGCAAAGAAAACGAAGTATGAACTTCATTAGAACCGTGGGAAGAACATCCGGGTCAGCTGGAAGTTGCCGATTGAACCACTTGCAAGGGCAAGTGCGTGAATTTTCTCCGTGCTGGAACGACATGACTTAGTATAGCCTCTCAACTTTTCTGACGTAAACAAACACTTCAATAAAAGTTTACAATCATCGAAGCTCATCCAGCTACAAATCAGCTACGCAAATCCTTGCACAATCCCGTCATACGCCGGCTTTGTGATCAAATTCGCGTCCCACGGCAATGCAGCTCCCTAGAGAAAGGTAAGAATTCAGAAGTAAAGGACAGAAATCCCATGACTCGCCTGTCCAGGGAAGGTGGAAGGAATCCACGAATACTTGTCAGTGTAATCCCAAATAGTCACGCCGATACATTTCTCCACTGTCTCGCACGTCGAGACGACCGTCTTATAGTCAGCCTTTTGTTGAGCGAGAAGTGCATCAGTTTCTGGAAGAGTCATCCGGATATCCAACTCAGTAATCGCAATTTCCACACCCAGGGCAGTGAATTGCTCGAAATTCTCTTTGAGAGTCGTAGGGACCTCTCCGACGATAAGATGCGACTGAATGCCAATACCATCGATAGGGACACCTTGAGCCTTGAGGGACTTGACGAGGTTGACCATGGCGGTGGATTTAGCACCAAGGCCTTCGATGTTGAAGTCGTTGATCTATCGATAGGAGAGTTAGTTGATTGACGACGATTGAGGGTCAATTGAACGCACGTAAAGTTTGGCCTTTGGGTCTGCGGCACGTGCAGCCTTCAGTGCAACTGGGACGAAAGATTCGCCCATGGTGTCGAAGAAAACATCCGAACGCCAAGTTCCGTCGTCGTTGAACGGCTCATTGATGACATCCCAGGAATCTAAATTCCTTCGTTAACGACCGCAAATTTGAGGAGCGAGAAATATGAACACTTACACCTAAACAATGTCGTTTAACATTACCGATCGCCAAAGGAAAGACAACAAAAAACAACGTACACTCTTCCAGCGTAATGTCCTACCAATGTACCACAATGTGTCGCAACGATTTCTGTAAGTGTCGCATTGTCAAACCCACCCGAGGACACCCAACTCGGTAGCTGGTTGTACCACACGCAATTGTGTCCACGGAGAAGCTGACCGTTAGATGATGCAAGGTCTGCTATAACATCACCCTGCGTGAAGGTGAAAACCCCTCTGGAGGGCTCGGTCGCGTCCTGTAAACGGTATATGAACAACAGCAGAAGCGGTGGAAGTTTCAGAACGTGCCCATTTCATACTATTCGCGGGAGTAATCTGTCCGAACATGTTTCTATTACTGAGAATTGCGACGTATGGCTCATCGGTGAGTTCTGGATTGTCAGTCGCAGAGCCAAAGTAGAGCTTCCCAGCTGCAAGGGCGGCAGTATGGAGCGGGGTTGTCAACAACGCCGTTGATACAGAAGTGTTAGCTGCTGCTGTGTCCGCTGTTCAGCATGTTGGCAGGTCCGCTTCGAAAATACATTCAGACTGAATTTACCTTCGCGAGGGTAAGCCCCTGGTCGAGCTTGGACAGGTGCCACGAGGGCCAAGGAAGTTAGGAAAGCAAGTTTGCTCCACATCAGTTGCTAATTGGGGGGTGGGTAGAGGTGGGTTTGGACATTGGCCATGTTAGGGATATATATAACGAAAACTCGCGTCAACTGAGTAAACAATCTCGGATGTATATCGCATTTCTTCGATCCAAACGAAGTATGAGAATAGTATCGGACGACGCAGTGTTATATGCCTGCCACGGCACCTTTATAGCACCCTAGGAAATTTGATGCACAGCTGAGGCGTGGTATCGATATGTGGTTAACCGGAGCTGTATGAGATAGCAACGTTGACTTGGCTTAGGCTGATACTATTGAAGGCCAAGGTTTTAAAATGAAAATAAAGACGGGTTTCGACGATGAGCAATAACTTCAGAAAGGTGACAGAGGGCTGCCATCGAGGAGGATCATATGATTTGTGGGTAGAATTCATCATCGGCATATGCAGAGACCGCAAGAACCGGTACGGTAAACGAACGCCATGGTCTCGCAAGCGCGGAAAAGATACATAGTGAATGACAGGTGTCGAACATTTGAGGACGCGTTCGATGGTCAGGCGCTGAAAAAATTCTTTAAATAATTTCTTCAGACTGTCTTACTCATCGTAGAGCATGACTTTTAGATGACTCACGCAATAATATCCGGGATTGTCCAAGTAAAGCACTGAATAGATGGCGACAATTTGTGGCGTGAGTGTCGAATTTGAATTGGTTCTTCGCAGCTGAGCGCTGGGCGGTGAGGCCTCAGAGGTGTCAAGATTACGTTTGAATCTCAAGCAGGGAGTCATCTAGCCGGAGAAAACATAGAGTTTAGAATTTAGAAAAACTTGCATATGGGGGTGAGTGTTGACTCGGGTGTCGGACCCGGGATCCGCTGCCGGTCGTGTGAAGCACGTGATAACATTTCTCTTTCTGCGACGACCAACTTACGATGCAGAAAGACGCCGATGGTTTTATTACTGGAGGTACGGATAATTTTTTTGGCTTAAATATTCGCTCACTTTTCCCAGTAGCACCGGATGCATCACCAGAGGCTGGACCAGCAGACGAGGCCGCCTCGCCAAAAGGTGATTTATGTCGAGTCAAGCCTGATTTTCTTGGGAATGCTGATCTGAGTGCCAGGTGCAAACAGCGACCTCATAAACTCGACATTTGAGGTTACCGTACGTCCCTATTATATCTATCTACGACCCGTACTTCATCTCTATCCTTAGGTCACTCTCGCCGACCAGCAAGGAGACCCAAATTCGCCACTGTACAGCGCAAAGACTTTCGAAGAACTCGGGCTGTAAGTAAGACTCGAAGAATTCTACAACGTATTTTCATCGTTACCTATGTCCATTTTAGCCACCAAGATCTCCTCAAGGGCCTCTTCCAAATGGGATTCACTAAACCTTCAAAGATCCAAGAACGCGCGCTACCGCTCCTGCTATCCAACCCGTGAGCCCCATTTTCCAAGTATTGTCTTCGTGGGCCAACAGTCGCAGACCAACCAATATGATCGGCCAATCACAGTCTGGAACAGGCAAAACAGCAGCCTTCGTCCTCACCATGCTTTCACGCGTCGATTTCTCCAAAAACCAAACACAAGTAATGCTCAATATCTGCTGTCCTTACTCTGCTAAACGATTCCACTAGGCCTTATGTCTGGCGCCATCCCGCGAGTTAGCGCGTCAAATCATGTCTGTCATTCTTTCCATGGGCAAGTTCACCGCCATCCAGACCGAATACGCCATCAAAGACCATCTACCAAGGGGTGCAACACGTGTCACTGCGCACATCGTCGTTGGCACCGCCGGTACTATGATTGAACTAATTCGGAAGAAGGTTATCGATGTGTCGGGCGTCAAGGTCTTTGTGTTGGATGAAGCCGATAACATGTTGGATCAGGATGGTCTAGGAGATCAGACGCTACGGGTGAAAAAGTGCGTCTACCATCATTTCCTACAGTCTGAGTGTATTAAGATTCTCACTAGTATGCTCCCACGGAGCTCAGCAAATCCGATTCAAATCATCCTTTTCTCAGCGACATTCCCTGATCATGTCCGTAACTTTGCCTCCAAGTTCGCCCCCAATGCCAACAAGATTGAACTGCGGAAAGAAGAGCTCAACGTAGACAACATCAAGCAGTTCTACATGGATTGTCGGGATGAGGAGCACAAATACGATATTCTCGTCAGTCTGTACTCGTTATTGACAGTGGGCCAAAGTATCATCTTCTGCCAAGTGCGTATTGTAGCGTGTCTGTCATAGACTACTTATTGACTTCTCTTCCAGCATCGGCACACGGCAGATCGGATATCAAAGCGGATGACCGCGGAGGGACACAAGGTCGCGTCTCTGCATGGCGCTAAGGATGCCGGGGAACGTGATGCGATTATTGATGGATTCCGTGACGGTAAAGACAAAGCACGTCGTTTTCGTCTTTTTCAAAGTTTATCCTAACCTGGACGTTGATTCAGGTCTTGATCACAACGAACGTCATCGCCCGAGGTATCGATATCTTGCAGGTGAACATGGTCGTCAACTACGACCTGCCTCTCATGGCCGATCGAGGGTCAAACAAGACGCAGGGTGATCTGAGTCCCGATATTGAGACGTATATTCATCGAATCGGTGGGTTTCGTAATCCGCTTCCTATGTAGAGTCGCTAACTTTGTTTAGGTCGAACTGGTCGATTCGGACGCAAGGGTATCTCCATTAATTTTGTGCATGACAAAAAGACGTGGAACCAGATGGAGACAATCGAGAAGGCGATTGGGAAGAAAATAACGAGGATTGAAACGAATGATCTTGAAGTCATGGAGGAGGTAAGAGATACCTCACTGTTTGCGAGCGTTTCTGATGAAATGGCTCTTTTAGAACATGAAGAAGGCACTAAAGTAGTAGATGATGTCCCTTATATTAAAGGCTGTACTGTACCTGTACTTATATTTCTCTTCATGTGCCGAAGGGATATTCCTTTGCACTCTCAATTGCCTGCACAAAAAATTATCTAAATAAATAAGTACAAGAACTTCAAACTCTTTTAACGGCTCAAGCACTCAAGTGTTGGTCCCACAGGTAGAGAAGATGAAAAAACGTCTATTCCTGATTCGTATACATGCAGAGTAAGTAAATTGATTGTAAGCGTGAAGAAACTGATTATATGTGCAGTACAGACAGAGAGAAACCGATAAGCGATGCATGACAATAATAAATTCTACGAAATCCCTGGATTATGACCTTAAAGCCTGAGCGAAAGCAATGGCAACAGTCTGGAAAGGAATAGGGTAAATAAATGCATCTTGGCCATGAAACAAGATACTCACCTCTGAATGGCTCAAAGAGATCAAAATATTTTTGACGCCTTTCGCGGCAGCCTGGGCCTTGGCATCACCATACAGGGAGACAACCGGTGCACCCGTGGCCTTGTCGTTGACGATCTCGATGTCCTTCATTGCCGCAGCAGCACCTTTCGACGGCACGCCCAATGACTTGAACACGGCCTCCTTGCCTACCCAGCGTGCAGCAAAGGAAGATGACGGAGACGGCTGAGCATTGCAATATGCTATCTCAGCGTCGGTGAAGTTGCGGGAGACGAAGGTGGGGTTGTGCGAGGGTACGGATGAGATGAGTTCTGCACAATCATCAGTCAGCCAGCTGCCTATCCATTCAGACCTCCATATTTACATACCTTGATCAACACCGATACCAGCAAAGTCACCCTGAGCGGGTTTTGATTCCAAAAGCTGAGTGACCGCCTTGAGGTTGGAGTCGTCGATAGGAGCCTGGGTGGGCTGCTTCGCAGAGAACGAGTACGAGCCAGTCTGGGGATCGGCTGACGATCGAGCCAAAGAATTGGTGAGAACTTTGTCTTCGAGCTCAGGAGTGTAAGGTGGCTTCTCCTTGATCTTGACGAGATTATTTTTGATCATCATCTCACTCATGACTTTGTAAGTCTCGAGTTGTCTGACGCTGTTGCGCTTTCTGTAAGCTGCGTAGTATGCAGGATCAAGAGCTCCGAAGAGGTAGCGAGGATGAATGACAAGAGCTGTTCCACCAACTTGACCGAAACCGAATGAAGACTGAAGAATTCCGTTAGTGCCAGTCGTGCAAATAAGAGACCTAAGACCATACCATGACCCCTGCGCGCACTCCGTCGGTTTGAATCGACTTCGACGGGAACATGAGGAAGGTACGGTGCATGAAATGGGAATCAATATTGCTATGGAAGAATATTAGAGCACGTTAACCTGAAAGACGTTGCATACGTACTCGCTATTCCTGTTACCCGGGACTATGCCAGTGTTGATTGTGTCAAGAACACCGGACATCTGCCAAGCGGCGGCACCGCCTTTCGCATGCCCAAGAAGACTCTTTTGTGCCATGATGGGAACGGCATTGCCCTCAGTACGACCAAGGTTCTGGAATACCGTGTTCCAAATATGAGTCTCATTCTCTTCCTGTGAAATAGATGAGAAATGCTCATGTTGATAGGAAGTAAAGAAAACATACGTTCGCCTTCGTGCTGGTACCATGGATAGACAGAACACCAACATCATTGGCAGTCAAGCCCCAAACAGCCAAAGCACGACGAAGGGGTGCAATGCTTGGATCATTGCCTTCTAGCATACCATACATGCCAAGTGCATCGGATTCTTGTCGAGAAGCTTCTTTCTCCATGTTTGATACCCGCGTCGCAATGTATTCTTCATCGAGAGGCTGTCCCTGGGCCTTGGACGACTCGACCTCTTCTCGCAGCTGCTCTTGTTCATTGGCAAGCCATTGGGAGATTTGCGAGCGGCGGAACGTAAGTTGACGACGGCGATAGTTGATATCGAGCAGAGGTAGAGGATGCTTTGATGGTACTTCCTTTGCTATAGTGAGAACACCACGCCCCGGAGCAGGAACAGATCGTCCGGCCTTATCGCTAGATAAAATGTTAGACATGAACCCCTTTGATTTAAGATGTGGGGACGTACGTCGAAGTCGAGGTAAAGGCAACAATTCCGCGGATGGGACAACCCAATTCAAGAGCGGTCTTGGCGCTCATGACAATATGGAGACCGGTACCTTGAGCTTCCATGAACTATGGCGGCAATGAGTTGAGGAAAACGAAATCAAACAAAAACTTACACCAGAACGAGTGCTTGTAGCTGGGCGAGACATCTCCGTCGGCTCACGACCCATGGCAAATTCAGTATCGGCATTACTTGTCGCCTTCATGTTCGCAAATTCGTATGACCCTTCTTCACTGACATCATCGTAACCACCAGCAATCATGATCTTGGCCTTTCCAGACAAGATGGTATCCCGAGCAATTTCCATGGACTGGAGAGCAGTGGCACTGAATGCGGACTATAATCAGTATCAGATGTGGACAATATATATATTATACGTACCAAGCACCAACAGGAATCTTAACCGGACCGCTGGACGATACAAGGAGCAAGTTGATCCAACCCGCGGCGGTGTTGATGAATCTGAGATCTGTGAGGACGCTTCTAAGGTCTATGAGGACGAAAAGACATACGTTTCCTGAAGAATATCATTCTGGACTTCCTTCTCGTCGCGACGATCCTTGAACATCTTGCACATGGAATCTTGACCACCCAATCCTGCACCGAAGCAAGTGCCGACATCCGAAGGATGCATGTGCTTGTAGAGCTCGTATGGATCGATGATACCGGACATATTAAATGCTTCGGCAGCACAGACCAACGCCCAAAGCGTAGTGCGGTCTACCTGAGCAATGATATCTTCTGGGATGCCGAAACGGCCAGCATACCAACCGGTCGGAACCTGACCAGCAACGGTTCGGCTGAAGGTGAAAGCCTTGGGAACGAAGACACAGGCGCCCTTCTTGAGCTTGAAGAACCATTGTCCTGATTCACCGGCCCAGATATCGCACTTATCACCATGCTGCAACTTGAACTTCATGGCTTCCGCCTCCGTCACTTCGAGAGCCTCAAGGTCATGAATAAGCTCGACTTCTTGGTTGAAGACCTTCTTCTTCGGATCGTAGCCGCGGAAAAGTTCGGGTTCTACAAAGACATTACATATAGCACGAGGGTTAAATTAAGCACGTACCAATGAGACGAACACCACCATGAGCGAGGACATCCTTCTCGTAACGAGCTTTGATGTCTTTGTCATCGACTGGGTCGCCGGATTTGCTGTCAACCCAGCCAACATAGAGGGATCCATCCTTCAAGCGACCATCGAAATGCTTAATGTAGCCCATCATCCACGCCATCTCGATGGCACCTTCAATCGTAAATTCGCCCCTTGCTTCCATTTCCCAGCGAGTTCGGGCACTACCCCAGGGACCAACTTCAGCCGAACCTGTAATGACAATGACCTTGTCGAGATCAATCATGCCTCGAAGTTTAGAAACATCGCCAAGACTCTCCACTGACTCGAGAGCCGGGAAGTCGAAACTGAAGTTCGCTCGAGGAAGGACATCGACAGTTTGAATGAGACGCTCGGCTTCTGCGCCGTTGATGACCTTGTAATCAGCGGCATTGTCACGAGCAATCGCCCGACGCAGGTCACTCTTCTTATTGAGGTTGGCGCGAATACGTCCAGTGATTTCTGCAAGATCGGGAAGACGGTCCATCCCACCGTTCAAATCAGCCCAGATGGGCTCGACCTGAGTGATGCTGAACAACAGAGGGTGCATAAGGCCAAGAATGTTGAACGCCATCTCTTTCGCTGAAAATGTGCGGACGCCGTATGACTCTAATTCATGGGCAACGATGTTTGTTGGTCCCATGAGACCAGTACCCCGAGTCCATCTAGCAAGAAATTAGCAGTGTCGGAGTGGATTATAATGACAACTTACCCTATGACAGCACCTGCAAGGCACAAATATTCCCCCCAGCTTTCCGACGCCCAACGTTGGAACAGGGTCTCCAAAGAAATCTTGGACTCAGAGTACAGACCGTCGTTACCGAAGAGCCCGTGGTTGGGCGACAGAGGGAGGATAACTTGGGTGGGACGAGTGACGAAGCGACGGCTGGCTTTCTTGTTCTTGACAGCGCCCATGATACGAAGGAGATTCGTTAACATGATGCGATGAGCCAGTTCTGACTTGTCATCAATGCCGTCGATTTCTCTGCCGTTCTCCGGGATACCTGCGAAAGGCAAAATGAAATCAAGGTCGAGGCCGAGATTAGCATAGATGTAGTCGACGAGAGCCTCCACATCTTGTTTTGAGCCCTGGTTGAATGGCACGACAGTGAGGGCAGATCCACGGCTACCACACGAGTGGAAGATTGACTGGTAGTACTCAACGGTGGCACGGTTGTACCGGGATGTCGTGATGACAACATGTGCACCACCTGCTAGAAGACCTTTGACTACCTCCACGCCGATGGAACCTTTGCCGACACCAGTGAGCAGAGCGTTTTTGTCCTTGAAAGTCGTTCCGGCAGTGGCGATCTCATGCAAGATGTCGAGATAAACGCTCGTGAGGTTGCTACTGTACTCCCAGGTCGTACCTACTTTGCGCTTGAGGTGAAGTAAAGGCACTTTATCGGCGGAAACAGACGAGATTCCAGAAACTTGAGGGCGAGTGAACTGAGAGGAAGCACGGCGATTTCGGACACGGGAAGGACGGGGATCAGGTCCCTTACGGAGAGAGCGCACTACACCCTCGTAGAGGGCCTTGATGTGATTCTTTTGTTCCTCGCTAATCTCCGGTTGGGATTTCACGATGGTCCAAAGCTTCAACACGTCATCTTGAACCTTTTGGATGTTAACAGCGCCAGAGACGGTATCGCCGCTCGCCATCTCCTCGACGTAAGCTTCGAGTTTGCGGACGTTCTCCCTAACTACTTCGGAGTAAACGATGTCACCCTTCGAGTTGACTTCGGTGTGAGGGGCGGTGGGGAAGGTAACTATGACAAATGATCAATGAGACCAAAATAAAAGAACCGTAAAGACAGGAACATACCATCCTTATAGACCGGTGGCTGGGACAAGAATTCACGAACATTCTCGATAAGCTGCTGGCCAAATTCTTTAGCCAACTTGTAGGTTTCGCCCTTGCTTGGATCGCATCGATTGATGTTGTACTGCAGGAACGCGAGCAAGTCGGGGTCAGCACGGTTCAGTATAGCAATGCAGCTAGCAGTGATCTCGCGATCGACGGTGGTGAGTCGGCCAAAGATGATGTCATAATACATGAGAAGAGCATCTTGGCGCGCCCAGTTCCAGGAGGAGTCGAAGTGACGGGCCTTGATTGGGTCGAAGGCAGGCTGAATTCCGTCAATATAGGTGTCTCCATGCTCCTTGGCGATACTGTCTAACTTCGCTTGGAGTTCCTCCGAATGAGCCTTCTCTTTGTCGAATGCAATCTCACCGGCACGAGAGTCGCGCTTGAGATACCGCATATACAGCTCGATATGTTGCGCAGCAAACTGCTCCTGATCCGCCTGGAATTTGAGGAACTCTTCGCTGTTGATGGTGGGGCCACCACCACCTCCGCCACCCCCTCCACCTCCAGCACTTGGAGCGGACAGACTGATGCCTGATTTCTGAGCATACACAGCGACCACACCATCCAACCAGACCTTCGCCTCAGGCTCTGAAGCCAGCCGCTTCGGCGGTTCCATCGTAGTTGCCAACAATAAAACGCCATCTGAACGAGACGGACCCAGACCCCATGACTTCGAAAGATGTGCCTTCACAGCGGAAGAATTAAATCCACCAGGCATCTTGCCACCAATCATCCGAGACACCAAACCAGAAGTGTATTTGCCCAACGCTCCTCCGAAGCCGGAGGAAAGTGCAGAGCCAAGCTCCTCCAAAGGAAGTTCTTCTCCCTTTTCCGGCGCCGACGAAAATTCTAGCTGCAGATCACCCAATATTTCATTCTGAAGAGTCGACTTGCCACCGACGAGATCCTTGATAGATTTTGAAAGGGGAACCTCGCTCACTGCCTTCTTGAGTTTCTGGGCAACAATGACATGGAGGATATCAAGAGCCTTGATAGGAGCATCTTCGACAGCAGCAGCAGGTCCACTGGGAGCGGCAACGGGAGCAGGAGCGGGAGCAGCCACGGAAGCAGGCGCGACAGGGGCAGATGAAGCGACCGGTACCGATTCAGTCACCGTTTCCTCTTCAACTTCATCCTCGAAGCTGTAGTATATATCTTTCTGGTTCTTGGATATACAGAAGATAGAACGCGTGTGGGAGACAGCGTCGTCGGATGCTTCATACTTCGCTTTGAAGGTACGGGTGGCCATGCCAGTGAGGGTAGGGGAGGGACCGAGCTCAATGAAACGTTCGAACGAATAGTCGACGAAAAGACGATCCTGGATTTCGATCCAACGGACAGGGGACGCGAATTGGTAGGCCAACAATTCGACCATGAGGACGTACGCCAATTTCGACCGCTGCTCCACGCCTCCCCAATTCTCCTGGTCCCAGTTCTTCAGAACCTTTTCAAGAACAGGAGAAGTGGTCTGGTCGTAAATGATTTGCGCATAGTCCTTCGAAAGTTCAAACGGTTTTGCAATCAGATTGGGAATGTAACGTCCAACTAGCCAATCAGGATTAACATGCAGGGGATTAATCTTCCTCGACAAGTCTAGGGATAATTGGTTAGGATGGTGTACCAACGACCAGATGAAAACACTCACAGGCTCGGAAAGGCATCACGCCAGCCCAAAGATAACGCGAATGGAAGGGAACGTCGATGCCTGGGAGCGGAATGGTGGCAAAGCCTCGCTCGAGAGTGATGTAGCCCTGGGTCTTTTGCTGCTCAAGTGCCTTTTCGTAGGAGGATTTAATGATTTCGCCGAGCATTTCCTTAACTTGGTCCTCAGAGAATTTCTCTGCCAACTATAGTATTTCGCGTCAGATTTTGTATAGAAAACAACGCGAAAAAAACACGTACCTGCTGCACATCGATCTTTTTTATCTTGAGATAGTTGAGAACATTGGTCATTGTTTGCAATGTGACCAACTCTCCCGCACAGACATATTGTTGTCCCTGTGATGAAAGACGCGTCAGACCGATTCACCGTAATGACTGAGTTTAGCATTTACCTCGACATTGTAGTTGACGATCTGCAAGAGCAATCCGGTAATCTTAGAAATGCTATCAACAACTTCGCGCAAGGCGGTGTCATTGAAGGTCTTGGAGATGCGACTAGGGTTGACAGCACACATGGCGTAGTTCGACCGGTTCATGGCGTCACGTTCCACAGCACGCTGCATGGTGATTCCACGATAGAAAACGACATCCACCAAAGATGACACAGGGAATATGTCAGCGATAGCAGCAAGAGCGGCATATTCACCCAAAGAATGGCCGGCGAAAGGACAGTCGCGCTGAATATACCCTTTCCCACGCAAGTCCTCGAACGCAGCCTTCTCCGTCACAACAAGCGCAATCTGGGCGAATTGAGTAGCATAGAGCAGACCGGTTGGATGGTTGAAGGTGTACTTCGGGGTACGGACGTCGATATCTGCAAAAAGGGGGAGTGTCTTGATGGTCCCATCTTTACCTATGGTATCGTACGTCATGTCCATGTATCGCTGTCGGATAGCCTGGCCTTTGATACCACCGAAGTGAATGGTTTTTTGCATGGGGTTCTCCTTGACGATCTCGATGATAGAAAATCCATAAACAGCGCTGAGATGGGCATCGGCAGCATCCCAGACAGCCCTTGCAGCGGCGGAGGTGTTGTACAAGTCCATCCCCATGCCCGGTTCTTGGGATCCTTGGCCAGTGAAGACATAAACAGTGCGGGGCTGGGACACTTCAGCTGTACCATCGAGAACCTTCTCGCCCTGGGAGTTGAAAGTCTCCACTTTCACGACCATGTTGCCGTCACGCATGCCGATATGGCGAAGCTTAACGCTAAGCTCATCACCAGGCAACACCATACCAACGAAGGACACATTGTACCTGCATATGACGTATGAGCAAACGAGCGAAGTAAGATGAAAGAAAACTCACGAATGGACACGCTCAGGATGACCCTGAGCCGCGACACTTTCCACATAACGGCGGGTAGCCGCACTACTCCACAGGCCATGGGTGATCGTGGCGGGCAACGACGCATAACAAGAGAAATAAGGATTAACGTGAATTGGGTTGAAATCTCCGGAAACCATAGAGTAAGGCTCATTGGTCAGAGGTGCGTTGAAAGTTGTATCGCCCTCAGTCATAGTGTAACCATCATTGGGGAGGGTATATATAAGTTCGTCGGCTTTGCCATGACGTTGCACGTAGGCGAGGACGGGATTTCCGTGACAATTTTCTTGTTGGAAATCGATAGACCCGACTTTGATCATCTGCTTGAGGTGGTTGCGAATGAAGATATCTCCAGAAACAGTGAGTTCACGGAACATCGTCCTGTCCTTGAACGAGACGTGAGACTGAAGGCGGAAAATGAGCGACGTTCCGGGCTGGAGGGGCCGAGTCTCGTCGTCCCACTCGAACCACTCCTTCGACTGGAGAACACCAACTTCGGCATCGGAAGTAATCTCGACGACATAATCCGGCTCTTCAGAGGTATCGAAAGTGTTCTCATAGTCAGAGAAGCGGCCACGGTAAAGGAAAGCAGAGACGACTTCGACGACGGGTGTACCGTCTCGCTGAACAGTACCCTTAACCTTGACTGTCTTGCCCTCAGGAGCATTGGTGACGGAGACAATCTGAGCAGTTGCCTGACAAACGTCGCCCACTGTGAGAGGTCGGGCTCCATGGACCATGCGGAAACCGTTTGACAGGTGCACGAGCTTCAAAAGATCGCCGTCGATCGAAGCCGGGAAAATCGACTTCATGATGGCCTATAAACAAACAGTGGTGAATAAGAGAAACTTGTACTGAAAGAAGGAAAGCTTACCTGCCACCCCGTGACAATGGCGAAGTCCATGGGCGCCGTAATGGTGTCCTTGCGAGCAGTCTTGAAGGACTCAGCTTGATTGCCGACGACGGCACAGAATTGCTCAACAGCCGCAGCCTCAATGATCACCTCCGGCCCAGTGAAAACATCGCCTACGTCAAGCTCTGGCAATGAGTTATCATCACCAAACCACAGCTTCCAGTAGAACTCCTTGATGCGAGTGTTCCTTCCCTTCGCAATTTCATGAATAGGCGCAAAGCCCATTGACGGGATGTACCGGAACTGTAAAGAGAGAGGGACCGAGGAATTCTGGCGATCCTCGAATAACTTGATATCGATGAGTTTGGAAGCATCGTCGAACTGGATCTCTACGGCCTTGAACTCTGATTTGTGCTCACCGAAGGAACGAGCAGCCCCATAGATGGAAACGGATGATGAAGAGACGACGACCTTCTGGTTCGCTCGAGGAATGAGAAGACGGCGCATGGGATTGTCAATGTACTCAGATCCTTGAACGATGATGGGAGACATCACAAGTGCTCTCAACCAGCTAAGCTGAGGACCAGCAAGAGTCTCAAACCACACTGAGGCAGAGGGCAAACTAGAACCGAATTCGTAGATACGGCATCCAGGTGCATCCGAGATCTTGACCTTGGGGCAGGCAACGGTTGCTGAGGGACGAGGCGCAAGATAATCGACGACAGGGACTTTGCTTAGGTCGCCACCATATCGAGAATCAAGAACGCGTTGAATCAGAGACGCGTTGATATTGCCGAGCATGTCTTTGATGGGTTCATCCTTGACTTTGGAGTGCTTGACAGCCATGGGACCCTGCAAGATGCACACACGCTGAGGATCTTGATCGAAAACAGCCTCGATATCTTCGGCGGCCCACAAAGAATCCTTGGAAGTCTTATGAGAAAAGTAAAAGACACTACAACATAGAGACATACCTTCTTGAACCAGAATTCGAAGGAAGCATCAAGAACAGGAATGAAAGGAACGGGCTTCTGTCCAGGCCTCTGGGAGATGGCGAGGAAGAATGCCGAATCCTCTGCCGCTAACAACTGTGTCGTACCACCAACGTAAGTCTGGAAGAACGACTGGATGAAAGGCAAAGGATCATCCAAAGACGAGTATGATTGCAACACTGATGGCTTGTTCGATTCGCCATTAACTCCGGCGAAACGCTCCTCGACGCGCCGCAACCAGTCACCGGTAAGGTTCCTCAAGGAAGGATCGACCCAACGCGACTGATGAGAGACGAACATAAGGCGAACCATACGCAGCGACACTTCCTCGTAGGTCATATCACTAAGCGCACGAGCAACCGATCCGTCCTTCTTCCATCCAAACCAAGGCTTGTTGAAGTCCCTGTTCAACTTAGCAATGACCTCGTCATGCCGCTCAAGCAGCCAAGCTGCACGCTTATCCTTTGGCAAGCCAAATACTGTATCATCGAACTCTCTCCATAACTTGACGGCCCTCGTGGCTACTTTATGAATAGGCTCGCCCAACTCTGAACGGACAGTGAGGATACCACCAGTGGGCTTGTCGTACGTGCCTTCCCACGCGTCATCGTCGACACCAGGCGCAGCGACAATGAGATCCTTGACCGAAGGACTCGTGTGAGCCTCTTTGGCCACCATGACACGACTAGCAAACAAACATCCATCGAAGGGCATTGGCTGCATACCAAAGCGCTCTGCAGACCATTGACCAGTTAAGTAGGGCCATACATCATCAGCCGCTCCAAAGCCAGAGCCGGCGACGAGGCTGATGTTGTGGTGTTGACGAATGGCGCGATAAGTCGCAAGAATGGGCTGGTGGAAGTCCTCGTAGGAATGATGACCTCCTGCACGACCTCCAGTCCACTGGAGGATGATAGGGAAGTCAGGATTGGCTGCGGCGATGTTGACAACCTGCCGGATGCCATCGACGGAGCCTGGTTTGAAGGAAACGTGCTTGATACCGGCGTTCCTCAGACTATCGATGATCTCAACGGCCTTCTCGGTGGTGGGGATACCAGCTGCGACACAGAATCCTTCGATAGGAAGGCCCTCCTTTCTCATCTCCTGCCAGAGAGGGAATTGGAAGGTGAACTGTGCAGGATTGATATACAACGCGTTCAAAGTCAAGCCGACACCGTCAGGAATCTTCGTACGAATCTCGGCAACTTTGGCACGGAGAACGGCAGCGTTATAGTGGCCTCCACCAGCCAATTCGATGTGATATCCGGCATCGAGAACAGCGCTGACGAAACCGGCCTTCACGGTCGTTGGCGTCATGCCAGCAACCATGATGGGAGGCTTGCCGAGAAGACGAGAGAACGGCGTATCAAGATGCACAACACCGTCGCTAGATGAAACCATGAGAAAAGCGACTGTATGCGAACCGATTCATACCTTGATTTCACCAATGCAGGAGCCCAGTCCTTAGCCCACCAGTCCTCGTACCTGACTTCAACAGAGTTGTAAAGCTCTGCATCACCTTTGGCGCGGTCACCGACAACAACAACACGAACGCCACGTCCATCAAGATCGCGTGCAGTAAGAGGACCAATCCCGCTGATACCACCGGGGCCAAAATCGATGGCGTGTGTTGCAGTCTCAGGGAAATCAACTGCCTTCGTCCAGTGAATAGGCGCTGTGAAAATCTGGTCACAGAGAGACCGTGTCAAAGAGGTCTTCAGGTTGCGGAGATCAGATCCTGAAAACCTACGTCAGACAATATTCAGGAAAGAAAAAAATGAACGCACCATCCTCCGTGTTATAGACGGGGACCTTGAGATCCTCTACAGTCCACAAGTCCTCTCCAGCCAAGTCCTCGACAAGAACCTTCTCTGTTGCCCCCTTCAAATAGTCACTGTGATAAGGGACGCCAACGGCCAAGAATCTGATGTTGAAGGCAGGCTTGCGCTTGGAGAAGGGAACTTTGCTCTGGTCTGCTCCGGAAGGTGCGCGTATCTTTCTGAGATTGGTGACGAGACCATATAGGGATCGGGCAGGGCCGGTGACAACGAACGCACGAGGTCCATTGTGCAAAGAAACGAAGAGCTTGGAGTTATCGGCAAGATAGGAGTTGGTTTTCTTGATGTGGGGCTCGAGGTCCTTCAATGAAAGACCGGTGACAGACAACATGGGACTAGGAGTTCCTTCCCCGCCTTCGATTGAATCGTTTACGATTTTGGGCTCGACAGAAACAACAGGGAAGGCCTGATGTCCCCGGAGACCGGAGAAGAAGAGCCATTTGAGGGCTTTCTTAGAGTTCTCGAGGAAGGACTCGAGAGTGGTGGAAGCGGCAACGACAACACCAGAAACGATACCCTGGGAATGGCCAGTCGCGCCAGAAATGTGCTTGAGATACTCGCCCGGCGTCAGACCGACCACGTTGCATGCAACAAGGTATTGAACGAGTTGGGTCAACCCAATAAGGGGGAAAGAGATGGGAATCGACGCGAGATAGCCGGTCGATGGACGGGATGAAGAGTCGGAAAGCCACGACGCGACGTCGAGCCCATAGGCGTAAAGCGCGGTAGACGCTTGGGAAAGAGCAAGAGGTTGGAGAACGGTCTGCGAAACAGTTTGGATGAACGGCTCGACAAAGGGCCGGTAGATGTCGAAGAGAGCTTGAAGCTCGTCGAAGTAAACCTCGTTTGTACCTTGACCGCCAAACAAAGCGTAGAGGGAAGCTTTGCCGTCAGCGGCAGCCTTCAGGAGTGCAGACGGAGGTCCTGCAGGAATGTCGGCAACGTCACGAGTGCGAAGAGCAGCAAGTGCTTTGTAGTAAGAGGTGAGGACGACTTTGCGAACCTCAGTATCGTATGCAGACGCGAGAGAATGGATGTCGTGGACTGCGAGGTGCGTGTGTGTGAAGAATTTGAAAACATTGAGCAGCAAAAGGGTGCGTGCTTCGGTATCTTGGTCGAGATGCTCGGCAATATATCCTAAGAAGCGGGCGGTAAGCTCGACGGTTGCCTCCGCCAAATTTTCGACCTGGGCTGTCGTGTCGACAGCGTCTACAAGGGATTGCTCGTGGGCGAATTCATCTCTAAGGACCTCTGCGCAGATCCACTCATCGTGACAAGTGCTGACTGGAATGGAGACCTAGAAAACGAAGAAGAGGTAAGAAAAGGACGCATATATGCAAAGAACATGGAACGCACTCTAATCTGTCCTAGGGATATAATGATAGGACGGGTGGTGATAGACGCAGTACAGTCGTTTGCTGTCTTCGTCATCGTCGTGGTATTGGACGAAGTCCTCTATAGACGAATGAGAAGAAGGAAGAGACTCTATTTAAGAGAACCCACGGCCCCAACCCCCAAGGCCATACCCCAAAAACTTGCCCAAACTTTTTGAAAAATTTTCTCCAAATTGGGGACCCCATTGCCTTTTATGGCTACTGGACCCTGACTCAGGACCTCGTAGATATACTACAGCACTGAGCAACGTTAAATCTTCGACGTCGAGTAGATTACGACGAATGGCGACTTATTATTTCTTACTTCCCTGAGGGACATCAAGGGGGTATTATAAAACGTATGCAAAGCCTAGGTAACGTCGGAAGTCCGAGCGATTGCATGTATTCGAAATACTGGTATGCTACCTTCCCCAATCTTGCTAATACTCAGAGCCCGTCCATTCTGTCGTTGCCTTGGGGCTGAGATAACCTGGTACATCCGTATAGTAATGGGTATTCTGCCCGATGCATTACACTCCCCATGCCGTCAGTCTAAGGACAGTTTACTACCCGCCACTTCGAGCTTCCTGCTCGACCTGGTAAATTTCTTGCACTCCTTCGCGGAAGAAGACCACATTGTATTCAACGAGTCCTCGTCTACTTTCAAAAACGGGTGTCGGCATAATCGCAAGCAGCGCGAGGTGTTCCGTGATCAAGTGGTAAGTGAGCGTTGTCCCCGGAGTTGAAGGATGCAGCAAAGCCGCGGCACTTGGATAAAAAAGATCCTTGGCGCGCCTTTTGGAATTTGACGCTCCAGTACTCGGTGTCGAACGTCCTGGGGACTCTAGATCATCACGATCAGATGGAGATGGCAAGGAAAGCAGTGGCGCTGCAGATGGTAATAACTTCCGATGCCGGGAAGAGCTGGCGGATGTCGACCTAGCAAATGCGGTTAGCACTAATTGAAAGCGCCAAATTCATGCCTACTTATAAAGAGGACCAAAGGAGTTGAGCATTTGTAAGTAGTCACAGCACAGATTGTGAGTAGCCGAGTCAACAGGTGACGCGTCCGTAGCTATGTATAATCGCGAAGTTGAGTCAAACAGGAAAGCTTTTGGGGATTGGGAATTCTATGGGGTATCTATATCAACGGAGGCCTCGCAAGGATGATTGAAAACCCACGGCACAGAATACGTTGAGAAGATCTTCGAGGAACGGCAAAGAGTCGATCAGTTTGTGGAGAACTCTGGAAAAGGCTTCATGTAATGTGTGGTCGTATACCGAAGTGAGGTAGAAATTGAGAGGCATCTGCTCATAATCGGGAGAAATGTCCAAAAGTCGGTCGGTTACACGTTCATTAATCTGCCTAAAGTTTTCTGACCAAATATTGAGTACACAATAAGCAATGCCACGAAGAAAAGGATGCACCAATCTTGTCATCTTCTTGAAGCTTCTCAGCTTTGTGGACAAAGACCTCAATATTGACATTCGGATTTTCATGGTACGCCGCGACAATGAATTCCACGAGTTTCGAAATGGGTTGGTTGTAGAGATCCTGCGGGATACTCAAATTTTTTCTGGACAAAAGCGGAGGCCTGGCGAAGACGTACCCGAATATCAATCACGAAGATAATGGTCAAGAACTGCGACAACGGGGCCCCGAGTGTTTCGACGGTTATGGTCCCTGGGCAGTCCCATATTTCAAGAGGAATGACTGTGCTAGCATGGCGACTCGGTCAACTCTATGGATATGCGGACAATGCCAGTATACGCACTCGTATGTATGTTTGATTATTCTCGTGGTGGGTTCAAGATAAAACGTCTGTTTTTGCGGTAAATTTTCAAACAGGACTTGCTGAATTGACGTCTTGCCGCTCCTGACATAGAGAATCAGGCTTATCACAAATCATACTTCGGCCTTACCTTCGCAGACCGAGCAGCAGAATCTTTGATCTTGCGACCGCATCAGATTTTCTATACGAGCTCGTCGATACTTTTTGCGTCGACGTCGCGGCATACGACGGATACGAAGCCATAGCAAGCAAAGGAGCCAATAGTGACTGTGAAGAACGTCTTGGGAAATTGGTTCCGAACTCCGACCATAAGGCTCTGACGCACGTTGGTGAACAAATTTCAATTTGTACGTTTCCCGTCCCTATTAGCCCGGAGATCATCCTGAACAAGCATTTGTTTACCAGAGAACCTACATCCTTCTGGCTGTATAATGAAGTTTGGCAGGAAAATCAGCGTAAGCCGTCCGGGATCACTGGAACTAAGCTAACCAACCTCCTTTGCAGACTGATCTGTACAATGAATGGCGCCCCTTCTATCTGGACTACAATGGTTTAAAGCGGGAACTTAAGGTCCGTTTCAACAACACATTTGTCGTGAATCACGGACTCTGACGGAATCGCTGAAGGCACGAACTACTGAGCGTGCTTGGAATGAGCAGGATGAAACGGAATTCAGAGCTCGGCTAGAACAAGAACTGGATAAAATTCACGACTTTCAGAAGGAAAAGGTACGTGCTTTTGCTCTGCACACAAACGTTGCAACGCTCCTCTGTCGATTCTGAGAAGCTCTGGCCACCGATCGCGTGGCAATCAACACGCAGCAGTTTGGAACGACATAGGCCCCCTTTCTCCGAGATACTCACAAATTTATAGGCCTCCGAACTTTCACGCCGAATCCGTGACGCCGAGAAAGATGTCAAACGTCTAGTTGAGGATGAGAGTTCAAGCCCTGTCTATCATCAACGCCATGCTACCTCTACGGATGAATCCACCCAACGGACGGACCCCGAGTCCCAACAGCGTGAACCTTACGATGAAGATGGCGGCTCGGATGACGATGACGAAACTGACGAGGAGCTCAGCGACGAGTCTTACGATGCCCTAGAAAACAGGTTCCATGGACTTGAGGAGGAAGTAGCCAACCTCGTCGCAGATGTGCACGATTTAGCTTTGTACACTAAGCTAAATATCACTGGCTTCATGAAAATTCTTAAGGTCTGTTACATGCATCTATACCTTGTGTTCATATCTAACCGTGGTTGCAGAAACATGATGTGTGTCTTCTCATCGAGTTACAAGCGGAACCTTGTCACTCATGCGTCCCTAGAAACAAACATCTCGCTCCTTGAAGACGACATTTATTCAAGATTATCTGGAAAAGCGACCCTTCTATCGATATAACTGGGATGCCCTCATCGTAAAGCTTTCTAAACTCTATGACTTGGTGCGAACACGCGGCCATCCTGTTCAAGGCGATTCAAGTGCGGGTGGGACTCAGAGCGCCTTTGTCAGGCAGACAACAAAGTACTGGGTATAGCTACTGCCGTTTCGTCGAAATCCCGCAGCGTTAACACTACTATTAAGGTCCATCCAGATAATCTAGTCCCGCTGAAATTGGCTATCTTGCGAAATTTACCGGTTCTCGGTATGTAGATTAATATACCTCCAAGGATGGTTATTCAATTTCGCTTAATAGTCTTCAATCCTGACAAGGAATTTGAGCAGAAAGATGCCGGTGCGCTGCTCTGTTTCTCATCACTCTATAATTTACCAATGTTGTTGCGTAGCTATCACCTCTATTTACTTTGACAACGAAGACCTTGAGCTTTATCTGGGTCGTCTTGAAAAGACAGAGGGTGCAGAGGCTATACGGTTGCGATGGTATGGAGACGTCACGACAAAAACTGTACGTGCTTGGTTTCCATTATATTTTATCATTGTTTACGTTCGGGGCAGATTTTTGTAGAGCGGAAAACGCATCGAGAAGATTGGACCGGCGAAAAATCTGTCAAAGCTCGGTTTCCTATAAAGGAGCATTTAGTTAACGCTTTCCTCAAAGGGGAGTATACCATGGACGCTGAATTCCAGCAACTGGTTAAGAAGGGAAAGAAAACGCAGCAGGAGGTTGATGCTATGATTCAACTTGCCGATGAAGTCCAGTATGCTATTCTAACTCGGAAACTTCAGCCTGGTATGTTCAGCCTGATATAACCTATGGTCCGTTTCTGATGTTGACTAGTGATGCGCTCCTTCTATAACCGGACTGCATTCCAACTCCCGGGTGACGCCCGGGTGCGGATCTCCTTGGACACAGAACTTACCTTAGTCAGAGAAGACAACTGGGATGGGCGGGTACGCGCTGGTGATAACTGGCGTCGAACAGATATCGGCATCGATCATCCCTTTGAACAGGTGCCGGAGGATGATAAAGAGCTTTTCAAGTAAGCCTCTATGTTCACATAGGTATAGTCGTACTAATCATCTCGCCTCTCCTCATCCACCAGGTATGGAGTCCTGGAAGTAAAACTCCAAACGCAGTTAGGACAAGAGCCACCTCAATGGGTCACAGATCTGGTTCAATCTCATCTGGTGGAAGCGGTACCGAAATTCAGGTACGAGTGCCGTTATTTTCATCAAATAATGGATTGACTGACTTTGACACTTGCGCAGTAAATTCATTCACGGGTGTGCCACCCTCCTGCCGAATCGGGTGGACCTGGTCCCGTTCTGGTTACCGCAGAGTACGTTTCCTGATGTCTACAGTCTAAAACCTTGCACTAAAGGAGATGCAACAGTGGACACTGACATCTTGAAACCGGATACTGGCTACCTCTCAATCATCGAACGACCCTCTGCTATTTCGTCATCGAAGGGATCCTTTGAACAACGCGATAGTTCACATTCACGAACGCCACCGCATCCCAACTACGCTGAGCCTGTCTCTGAAGGAGAAGAAGACGAGAACATTGACCTTGCTCCTGCTAAAGATGAATATAAGCGCACCGGTCTCAGCGGGGAGGAAGTCACTGCTGCCATAGCTTACCGCGAACAAATGTTGAAGGAAGCACGTGCAAAGGAGCTTGTAAATGGAAAAAAGCCGAGCAAGGCCGCATCTCCCGACGAAGAGACTCTCGAAGCCGACGACGAAGAAGAGGCAGATGAAAGGACAGCTTTCTTGAGGGGAAGGAAAACCCAACAATCCACCCGTAAAGCGAGAGCACTCTCAATCGACCCTTTGGCGCCGTCTTCCGCTTTTGATGAGACATTGAGAACTCGTCTGAAGGGCGAAAGCCAAACTCAGGAACGAGGTCTCGAACCTGTTGACGAAGGGGAAGGTGAAGGAAGGCCTGCAACCGGTACTGATGATCGTTTGCTGGTCCGAGAATGGACTGCACCTGCTGGCAAAAGAATTTCTGTTCCTGTTCGCATCGAGCCCAAGGTTTACTTTGCCACTGAGAGAACATTTTTGGTGAGTATTATAACCAAATATGGATATCAGTATCTTACAGGCGCCGCTTCTCTAGAAATGGCTCAATATGTCCGTATTCATTGGAACCATAGCTACAACGCTACTCAACTTCACCTCACCGGACGATTCCCGTGGTCTCATCAGTGCAGCATTGTTTACCTTCTGTGCCTTGTTGGCGATCGCGTATTCTGCAGGCATCTTCCTGTATCGAGCTCTCAGCCTGAGGCAGAGACGAGCGGAAGGGCTGTACTACGACAAATATGGACCGACGATCTTATGCTTCGTCCTGTTCTCGGCGATGGCATCCAACATTGGTTTACGGGTTTCGGAAATGTTTGGCCAAAATTAAACTCGAGGTGAGGTCAAAGATGTAATACCGTCATGTTACAGCGCGTTTGAAGGACATTCATGGAAAATATTCAACTGAAATGAAATCTCAAGTACTTGATGCACGTACCAAAGGATATCAATAGTATTCTAATCCTACATATAAGCGTGCTTATTCAAAAGCTCCTTTCGGAGTAAGAAGTCGATGAATTCGAAGCGGTACCGTGTATCATGGATAGATGCGCCCGTTGCAAATATGATCCGAGAGAAAACGGAAAGAAAGTAGAAACGTATTGGGAGAGGTGTGCTCCTCATGTTCAAGTTTGCAAGAAGAGTGGACATTCGAGACCCCGCGCTCGCTGCTGTTCTTCCAGGAACTACGCTTCCAGCCGCAAATTGTCGTAAAGTAAACTTAAGTTAGAAATCATGTGGGCGGGATACTCAATTCTATCCCACCTTCATAACAGGATGCTTGGCAATGAGATACATTTAGCCGTCAGCGCCAGCGCCAGCGCCCGCGCCCACCACGCACATGGTATTGGCATGGCAGCAGTAAGTGGCAAATCCTTTCCGAAGTTCGCACAATGCCCTCCGCAAAATTGTCTATAATTTGACAAAAACTGAAGATACTACAACAGACGCGACAGACAGCAGCCCACAGATGGCACAAGGATCGGCGACAAAGACTAAACAAGGGCGGAGAGCAATGTAAATCACATATGCCGATTGACTCGGTATATAGATGGGCGGCAAACACAACCAAACGAAACGGTGGCAGTTGCGCCCATGCACTCTTCTTTTCCTTTTAATCTTCCACCTCGTCCTAAGGCCCCCGTTCTTCTGTAGCCCCCACCGTCTCTCCTCTATAATTCTAACGGTACCACCATGTACCGCTATCTTCGTTCGGCAGTTCTCCATGCCAATTTCCCGCTGCTGCCGGGAAATGCTCATTCTACGGAATCAAGATGTGGGTATCCACCTCTTGGCGCTCTCTTGGTTCTTAACGTGCAGCTAGAACTTATGCGGGCGGTATTTGACATCGACCTCCTCCATTGCACGCGTTCAAGATGTGCAAACTTGACTTCCATTCAGCAATTGTCAACTGTCTTATTCCCGCAGGTTCTGAGCTTTTAATGGTTATATATTACAGCTAACATTTATGATATAGAACAGGTCGGGTTATGGATACAAGATGAAAACTTAATGACTACTATAGCAGGTGAGTGTTAAATTAGTATGAAGGGTATACTTGGATTCATATCAGGAGCAAATTAGGGCACCGTTCGCGGAGGTTTTCTCTCCACTCGCTTGAGCCAACACGTGTATCGCGTTTTTGCCATACGGCTTCCATCACTAATCGCGTTCGCAACAAGTTTCCGATGCTCTCATCCTGTGATTGCAGTCTTGCTTTTAGGAACTCTCTATGTGACGAGTTGTCTGTCATACATCCTGCCAGACACATGGGAAATACCAAAGTTCGATCGATCTCCGAGGGCGCCAATTGATGGAGCAGCTGTGTAATCGTATTAACCGATGCGGCAATTTCGGGCACGGCTGAGGGAGGTGTTAGCAACGGAGGAGGGTGAGAGACCAAGGTGCGTACCTGGATTGTCTTCGTTGATTATGGTATAAAGATATAACACTGCACTTTCTCGAAAGATGTTTCCGACCAAATGCATGACCTCGTCCGGGTAGGATATCACTCCTGCGTCAGACATGGTCGCTTGCATCAGGTTCGGGTGTAACGGTGTTTGTTCGCCAAAATTCGACGGTTCGCGTTGCCGATTTCGCAGCCTTTGTTCTATGTCATCGCCGCGCCGCACAAGTTCACGGAAGCTCAGGGATCCCTTCGCTTGCTCGGATACCTTCCAATGGGCCAGCCCAGATATCTCGGCAAGAGCGAGCATCGCCTCGTCAGGACATCCGGTCAAGTTTTCCATGTGGAGTCCGCGGCATTCGTGCCCCCAAAATCCGTTCTGATCCCCAAGCAGACATCTGTACAGTGCCAGGTGCTTGGGTTGTTTCATCAACGTAAATGATGCAAAGATCTCCATCCACTACAAAGACGAGGTCAGATGTTGCGGACGACAAATGGAAGACATGCATACCATTGTGCATTTCACGATCAATTGACTGGATGTACTCATATTCGCCAAGACAAGCTTGGGGTTATCAGCAGTTGGAAGACCTGTCTGGGAAATCCATTCCAAGGCGACGGCCAGCATGGGAAGCCAGTCAACTGTGCTTCCGGCCATCTGGGAAAAGCATAGCAGGTACAACGCGGCGAGGACATCACTTTCGTCGTGACGTGATTTCGTCTGCTTTCCACTAGCGAGTTGAAAGGCGGCCTCGTCATGGAAATATTGCGCTGTTGAGTGTTCCGGATTGGGATCCGGAGCCTCTAAGCCCTGCGCAACACGCATTCGTGTGAAATGGAGACTTGATAAGGCGCAGACGGCGTTGGTGACTGCTCCCCGGGGTTCTTGTACGATCATCTATTCTTCACATGTCAATCCGCGCTCATATCTTCCTAGTATATGGACTCACAGTATACGTAAGATTCGTGAGCGCGTTGCTGGAAAAAAGAATATTCGTCTTTCTGACATGTTCGAAGAAATACATGACGTGGCTCTCTTGGATGGAGTTTTGGCCGGCAAGTAGAGGGAAACTTTGTATGGGGGATGGGGGGCGGATGTTGAAATCAAATTGGTCGCTACTGTGTGTTGCAACATACAAGCCCATATCGAAGTCTAAGGGTTCACTGTGGACTGACGAAGATTGCGGTGAGTACTGGTACATCGGCGCGCCGAAATCCATGGAATTGACGTTAGAATCACTATAGGATGCGGCCGGGAGTTGGTGAAAGCCGCTTGATGACCCTACGGCCGTGAATCGTTAGCGACGCGCGAGATATGGAGGTTTACTCAAACTCACCGGCCATCCCGGATATTGCACCCATGCGAGATTGATCAAAACGATAATCAAAGGGTCGGAGGTCGGCGTCAAGAGTCAGTGATGATGAGGCCGTGCTCGATGATTTTTCAGATGTCTTGGGAGAGGGTGCCGAAAGGCGATGGAAAGTGGACGGCCGCGACGGTGGGGCGGGTTTGGTTGCTTGTGCTTGTAGCATGGATGTCCGGGGTTGCCCCCGGATGAGACCAGCACGAGTAAGCTTTGCCTTGATATTTGCCTTGTATGCCTCGACGGCCTGCTTATCCTATCAAAATGATAAGTGGAAGTTAGGGAATAATGGCGGATCACTCACGCGCATCCATTCCGGTCGCTTTGGACCCCAGCCTAAACACTCAATGGTTAGACGTACACAAGTGCGACATGAGTCGCCTTCCCGCTGCTCGTCGCATTTCTGACAACCATTAAGATATGGCGGTAAAATCGGTTGGAGTAATATTAACTCACTTTTCGTCGCAGCCGACACGTCCTATTGTCAATTAGGTCAGCGCGTCAAAAAACAGTGTTGTAGCACTTACCAACAACCACCTTTGCTTGCAGAGGGAGTGCGTGGCAAATCAACGGTATTGTAAGTTGGCGTTCCCCTGCTGCTGCTGCTTAAAGAGGGTGATTCGCGATCCTCGGGTGCTGGGGCCATTGATACGGGATAGAGCGATGGTGAGACGTTAGAGGAAGCTGGGGCAGACGACGAAGTTCTGAAAGCTATGGACGTTGTATAGTCCATGCAAAGAAACGGGTGATTTGATCGTCGAGGACGTCCAACAGTCTGACCAAGGCTAGGGCTGAGTTTAAGAAAGTCGGAACAAGAAAGTAAGCGTGACTAATTGATAGGAAAGGGTCCGCAGGGAAGCCGGTTACGCGTGGGCCGTGTTAGAAGGGGCTTGAATATAAGGAGATCGAAGCGGGGGGAACTAGTTGATGCAGTGATGGAGGGTTACCAAGGAGCATAAAATATGCAGACCTGAGACACGAATGACTCTAGGTGATGCTTTTATGTTCTTTTTTGTACCTATGTCGGTCGACTTCCGAGTGGTAGATCATATTTGCAGATTTTGAATTTATATGCAATATGCCAATTTGTTTTAGCATCTCAGCTCAAGCCGAAGGTGAATCTCCTGAATCTTATTTTCCCTGACATTGCGTATACGAGTTACCCCCATCTCCTTGTGCATCGGTACATGTTTTCGAGCTGGCGGTGCTAAAATGTAGCCGATATACAGGGTACGGAAGGAGGCCACATGGGGGGCCCTGAATAATCTCACGTCCTGATATATATCGCGTCTGTTTTTGCCCCGATGTCAAATCAGTGGATGTAAATACCTTTCCTGTGCTTACCACGTTCGGTTGCTGTAAACTCTATCCATTTCAGTATCCTGGTCTTTCGCTCTCCCTCTGCATCGATGCCATCCCTTTAATGGACAGTCACATCTTGGAACCAACTCTTTTATCTAATCCCCCGAACGAACCGCAAATAGCACACAAGGGTCAACAATTCACGAAATTCTCATTTTACAGGGACAAGCAAAGCTTCGCCTTTTATATTGCGTATGCTTCTGCCGAACTTCCTGTGGCTGTGTTTAGTAAGGGACCGAATCCGTGGTCATCGCGAGTCACTAGCGCTTGGCTCCGGCCCCCCAGACGACGATCCGATGTGTTATAATTGCTTGTGGTAATGTTACGATGTAATATTTGTACTATAGAGTGATGCGTTTTACAAGCCGATCGAGGCCAGGTATACATGAGGAACTAGATCTCAGAGCAGAACATATATCAGTAGCAACGCCCAAGAAGGGCTCGGAGTCCGAACCTGGTGAGAACTATAAAGATGGAAAACAAGAAGCCGATTGAAATACCTATCTATACCAGGAGCATTTTTTCATCTTTCAGAATTTGACGCCAAGGAACGGGATCGTGCCGGCTCATTCTACTCCGGATATTCCACACCTTGTCAAGTAGCTGTACAAGTGCGGAACAGTTACCGACACTCCCTTCCTCGGCAAGTTGAGTACGAAGGATGTGGCGGTGTGATTGATTATCTGTGAGGCAGCCACACACGAAGAAAGCAAATACGGTGCTTCGAACGACGGCTGTACGAACTTGGGCAGTGCAGTACCGGTTCATGTCATTGAGTACAGTCAAAGCATCTTGGACAGAAGCTGCTATATCTGCGACATTAGGATAGTCACCAGATACGACTGCACGTAGATAGACACGCGCTGATGTCCGGAAGATTTCAGAAGAACGGTAGCGGGCTTCATCAAAGTGGGTTTGAGTCGTAGAAAATCGAAGAGGTTCGGAGAGGCAGAGTTCAATCGGATGAGATCGTGTGACCAATGAGGGGACGCTCAACAGGCCCTTGCTCATTTGACGCTGTTTCCAATATGCCAGATACGATATTTCTGCCAATGCCCAAACAATACGGCCTTCACATCCCATGACTGTCATCATGGAAAGCTCGGCCGGGACGGATTCGAAGAGGTCGGTAATACCACTCGTCTCAGGAGCGAACAGTTCTCTGATGATGGATAAGAACAAAGGGGGATTTTGAGTTGTCACCGACGCCAGGACATCGAACCAGATGGCCGTTTTCACGAGAAAACGTTCCTTCTCAGTGCACAACATAAGGGCCTCACGGGGAGACATGTAGCGACCAAGGACCGTGCTCGCATATTTGAATGCTACTTCTAGCCACCATTGCCATTCTCCCTTTCCGCCGTCAAAGAGGAATGACGAGATAACAGTCAGAGATGCCATAGCCTCGTCCTCAGTGTACGATGAACCTTTGCTCAAAGCAAGCTTGAGTTCATCGTACTGACGCCTCGGGGTGTTGTCCTGTAACGCGGGTACGGAAGGCACAGCTTGACGTCTTTGGTGTATGAACGCCAAAAGACGGGCTGCACTTCGATAACAATCACCTTCGACCGCGGTGTATATGACTTCAGGCAATCTGATTTTGTCGGCAAGTTGGAATTGCATAGCAACAACAACGTTGAGGTAGTGATTGACGAGTTCATCAGCAGATCCTCCGGGTACCATTAGTCTATGGTAGAATGAGGACATTGAGGAGGCCGGTTCGAGGTATACATCATCGTCAGGCATTGTTAAAAGGAGATTGTAGGAAGCAGCAAGGTTGCTTCGCGTTGAATTCGGACCCGACCCTACGAAAGGTCGTTATTACATGAATATATATTTAATAGTACAAGTTCTTACATCCGGGTAGGCTATTAGGGTAGTGCATTATATCGTACGCCTGGTTATCGTTATCATAAGGAGATTCATGCCGTAGCTGCAACTCCAGAGCTGAGAAAGACGAAGAAGTTTAGTACTGATATATTGAAAGGCAAGGATGTGGCATACCGTCTTCGGTGGTGTATGCTGCGTCAACGTAGGTATTGTTAACGCCGTTCCAAGGTTCATCGCGCATAGCGGAGGTGTTCCTGGAGTACTCGCCTCCAGTCATGGGTAAGTCGACGTTGCGGGCGTCAGGACTTTCGGAGGAAGACATAGAGTCGTCCTCCTGGCGTAGAAGAAGAATTTGGTCTGGGTTGCTGTCCCGACTGTTGGTGCCTGCATGACCTTTAATCATGCCATTCCCCGCGAGGAAACTCTTAATGTCTGCTCGTAGCTTAGTGTGTTGCTCCTGTCATACAACATGAGGACTGCGCCACACAAGGTCGGATGGGGACTTTGCCTGACCTTAAGCCATTCAGGGCGCTTAGGGCCGAACCCCAGGCACTGGAGCTTCAAACGAACACAAGACTTGCAATTGCCTTGTGCGTCACGATCTTCGTCGCATTTCTGGATACGCGCCACGCCACACCGCCACACGGTAATAATGAATCGGTATGATTCCAAGTTGGAAGGAAGAGAGATGAACTGATTAGCGAGAGGATGGCGACAATTGCTGAGAAATGACAAACCTTCCTTCGAATTCTGCAGGTATAACAGCCCGACTTGGCGCGTACAGAGCCTTTGGCTTTGGGCGCTCCGTGTTTCTTGATGCCATTCTTGGCAGCAGGCATGGCATTAAATGAGGAAGAGAGATAATGAGAATACTAAAAGCAAAACGAAAGCAAAACGATAGCGGGATGTACAACGAAGCGTGATGAAGGTATGAGGAAACCGTACGGCGAGCCATGAAGGCACTGTACTTGTATAAGTAGCCCGGACATTAACCGTTTCCTTTGGGACATGATGGTTGATCTTGACCTTGTCACGCGGTCTCGGGGTCCTCTTCCCTTTTTAAGTCTTTTTCGAGTAATCATATTTCGTACCAAAATCAACATTATTGAGGCCTCTTATTCAGTTCTCGTGCCATTCAATCTCCCATCCCATGCAACTGCTGTTTCCTTCCGTAAAACCCTTCTAGGTTGATTTTAACACAGGCCTTCGATCTACTCAGGGTTCTTATTGGGGATCCTTCCTATGAAAAAATCTGGATCTGTGATTACCGCCAATTTGACTGCAATATTATTGTCCTATATTATATTCCTGTAGATCGTAATCAAGGTACTTGAGTACTAGCATAGAACAATACAGTACAGGACTGTTTGACGTTCAAGCTCTGAATCGAGTTAGCCTCGGTTAGCCGTTGAGGTCGGAGCGTGGTTGATTGAGAATCCCCACTCCAACGCTGCCTAGAATGTTGGTTGTAAGGCAGCTGTTTGATGCATTGAATGGTACCAGGCTATTTATTGTACGGTATCCAAAGTATACGCCGCTCCCTACAGGATCCGTGGGAACGCCGGGGGGATTGTCAGAATCAACGAATCAAGATGTCGCTTTCCCAGAGCTAGTGAGAATTTCCTGGGAACAGGAACTTGCTAATGCGATTCCTCCGCGCTTGGCGGCCCTGCATTCCGTCCACATCGTGGAGAGCAAGCGCTAAGATAACACCTTCCCGCATCATAGATTAGATATATATCTCCATTGCAACAAGTAGAAGAAGGGAAAGCATGTCGACAGTCCCAAGCCAAACCGGCAAGCGTAGTATGAACAATTAGGAAACCAACATATGTACGTATGCGACCAAAAATGGGTATTCCGAGTGGAATGGAAGGCAGAGTCCATCTTGATGCCTACGCAGCAAATAAAAATAGCGAGGAAAAAGATGAGGGACTCCGTGGAACAGGGAGGACGGCGAGAGAGCACGGAGACGGGAAAACATTTGCGACTTGTCCAACCACAACTATTTCTGGCTGTCCTCTTCAACTATGACGCCAGGATTTACCCCGGAGCCACTGACGCTCACCCTTCGAACCTTGCCTTTAATACCACCGCTTGAACCAGTTGTAAATCCGGAACTATTGGGGCTTATATCCGCTGTCGATGATGTGACGGTAGGTATCTTCGCAGTCTCACCAGGGACGACACCGGAACCAGATCTGCGAGCAATGAGCGCTCGTATCGCACCTAGCCACTTGATTTCGTCCTCCTCGTTCGGCGCACAAAGAAGTAGTGTTCGTTTGGTCGTTACAACCTTGAAGGTATGATCACTGTGACTATCATCTGGCTCCATCGAGGCTGGTAGGGGAGGTGAGGTCGTGAGCGGTTGTCGATGAGCAGGCAAGTTGTATTCGAGGGCGTCCAGAATCTCCGTCAACTGGAATTGTCGATGCGGTTTTGCATCCTACGAGATGTGAGCTTCCCTCAGCTACTATGTCAAAACATTACTGACCATATGGCTTGTGTAATATACTAGTTTTTCGCCGGAAAGGACGAACCAACGTTTACGCCAATTACGCCGCTTCGACCCACACTTCATGAGGTAGCCAGAAAGAACGCTCTTCGTTAGATCCTTTACTGCGCCAGTTGGCATTTTTGACGGTGAAGACGCGATGCTAGAACGTTGTTGTGAAGATACCGAATAAGTTCTTTGGCCTACAGGAGAGGCATCTTCCGAATCTGAAGACGTTGCGTTTTGAGCGTAGCTGAGATATGATGGAGGAGAAGGTGTTATCATTGGCGGAGAGATGCTGCTGGACCGGTCTTGTGTTTTGGGTATAGGAATAGGACTAGAGACCGAATTTGGAGTCGATGTGGCAAGAAGAGTTTGCCTAGCTTCATCAATGGCGGTGACCCATTCCTGGACATCGCCTGGCGATTTAGCCTGCAGATAGAAAGTTCGCACAGGCGAGACGAGCCCAAATGTGTTTTCGTGTTTCTTTAAGGAGACTTGTGTGCAGGAATGGACATCCGATAATTCCAAAAGGCGAAGTAGTTGGTACTCTGCATTTGTCTTGTAGTATGCCAATTGTGTCGGTCGTAGAACGAACCACCGCTTTTTCCATGTCTACAGAAGCAATGAGGGAGCATACAGCGCAGAAAGCGAACGTCGCTGACCTTTCTTCGCTCGCCCTTCTTCCATAAATAGCCAGCTTTGATGACACTTTCGTCAACGGAATCATGAGTGCCCACCCTACTGGCAGCGGATTTCCAGCCTCCCTCTTCCTCGTCGTCTTCATCCTCCGTATCCTCACCACTGTTAGATCTCTCAGCGATAGCGGAAAGCGGGGCCTGGATAAGAGCCGCGCCGTGAACTGAGCCAGTAACGCCAGTGACCATTCCCGAAGGCAATATTGGATGTACATCTGGGGTCAAAATGGAATCCGAATCTGATTCTGTGCCAGAGACAGCGGCAATGGAAATGCTTTGAGGCTGTCAAGTGGTTAATACGTTGCCCCACACGGATGCAAATCGCAGACCCACTTTAGGACTTTTGGCAGCAGAGTGGACAGAGAGTTTTCGTTGGACTTCCTGCGCTGAAGGAGCCGCAGCAGGTGCAGACATACTGTCGTTGGGTCGACGACGACGACGCGGAGAGGCGTGTTTAGAAAGTGTTACCGAACCTTGACAGCAAAGTCGCAACAAAGCAATAAGATTGACTGTGGCTGTGCGCCTATGTGCCGGCGTCACATATGTGATATACTGTGACATGACCATTTTCAGCATATTTTGTCGGTGAGGCTGCTCGTACCGAACATCCGAAGCAAAGTTCATTATCTTTTCATGTAGACTTACGGAAAGTACGACAATTGGCACCGACATACATCCATATCGACATCTCTCCCGCCACGACGCGCAGGTTACACAAATAGTTCAAAGTAATATTGATTTCCTGTCTACATAGGTCCAAAAGTGGTGTACCAACGGGCATAGTCTTCATGAGAAAGATACTTTGGACTCAAAGGTCAATCATGATTATCATTATCCTGGGTCTGGGCTTTTGACAAGTCGAAAAGTGTTCGACCAAGGGTCACTGCTAAGGGAATTCCCGTCGATCGATAACGACGGAACTGAGTGCCGAATGCCGATAATCTTAACTATTGTCGTTTGCTGGAGCCCCTTATATACAAACCACCATGTCTGAAGCCCAGTTCAAGAAGGCCATAGAGATCGTCCAGAGCCTCCCCAAGGACGGCCCGGTCAAGCCTACCCAGGATGACCAGCTCTTTGTGAGCCGAACAAACCCCTATTACTTCTCTTTTTGATCTGATTTTCGCGATTTGCAGTTCTACTCTTATTATAAGCAAGGTCTGTACCGATAAACCATTCCATGCGTCTACTCCTAACAACATCAAAGGAACTATCGGCGATGTCAATACGGAGCGTCCAGGTATACTCGATTTCGTAGGCAAAGCCAAATGGTGTGTGTGTTGCTTACTTGTGGAGGTTCGAATTCTCATGCTTCGTCCTTTAGGGATGCTTGGAACAAGGTCAAGGGCACTTCTAAAGAGGAAGCTCAGTCCAAATACGTCGAGAAATTGACCGAGGCGCGTTGTCTTCGGGTTCACACGCCGCTGTTTCATTTACCAGTCTGTCACTTTCAGATTCTCAAGAAGACTGGTGACGAGACCTCGAATAAATACCTCGCTGAACTCGAGGCTGCCGCTTGAACTAGGCAAGGTGGAATTGTATAAGGTTTCGTCATGTATATCACCAGTTTCTGAACGACTGAACCATTGCGTGCAAACTGCAAACGTGTACTTGGCTCGAACCATCAGCTGCGTCCCGAGGACGTGACAATTGCACATGCTGTTCCATCGCTTCAATCTTCCGGCGCTTACTCGACGAAACTGATAGGCCAGTCTTAAGCGCTTAGCTATAAGCAGTAGCGCTTCTCCCGTCCTGATGGGAAGGCCCTCGGTCACCCTCACAGCAAGTTTTCATTCACTTGTGACACACTCAGCCAAGGAACGCTCATACTGGCACTAGCCCATCATTTCAATTAAGGTCCATGTAACCTGCCAATTTTGCGTTCATATATCCCTCACCAGTCCTGCTTTTTAATTCAACCACAATCATGAGGCTTCATTCTGCATCCCGCCGCCTCGATGCCGCGTCAGGGACATGCTATGTTACATGTAAAATGCCAAAGACATGGTGGAGATCAGAAAGCCTCGTCCATGTCGCCACGATTGATGGCGCGATGACAATCGATTCCGTACAAGAAGGTTTCCCCAAAGTTGTCTTCCAATTCTCGCGCGTCTGGGAAGTTGGACACACAGAGCCATCTGATGTATCTAGAAATCATATGGTGAAGATCCTTCTATCTGCCAGCGCTAAAGCACTGAAGAACTGGGCGAAGGGTCGGCGGTGGAGGATGCCGGTAAACCTGGGTTCGCGAAGGGCGGATAAACCTGTATTCTTTTGAGCAAGCTTTGATTGATTCCAGGCTCCGGCTGCAGTACAGGGTGGAATACTGCCCGCTCCACCCTAAAAATCATTCTTTCGTGTTATGTCGAAGATTTTCGAGAATTAGATGATCGCTCTCAATTGGGGCCCCTCATAAGCTCGGAGCGCTCGCGGTAGAAGCGAACTATACCCGGCGGGATCTGCAGACAAACATGGCATTGAGCGCCTGTGATGAAATTCGAAATCAGGAACCACGAATCATCGGGGCGACGCGGCGGTTCAAGTTCGTCAGGAGTGGATTCGGGTTACTTCTAATTCTATGATTATAGTGACTTTAATCATCTCAGATTGCATCAGTTAAAAAACAATTACTAGCACATCCTTTTTTTTACAGTTTCTCATACTTATCTCCAAACTCTCAGCACTAGGCAACGGTCAGGATGAAACGTCTGACTTGGAACCGGTGTACAACTCGACAACGGTGACTTGTAGGAGTTGGTGATTCACAGTCCCATTAAGTAGTGTCCGACGTGCGATCAAAAGATCGACTGTCTACTTCACTGATGCTTCCCCCGTAGTTGATGGTGACCACATCATATTACTCCGATATGTTTCGTCGGCCAAATCGGACCTCATAATGACGAACACTATCATTGAATAGGGCTCCAAATAGTTCATGGACCTCAAATTATTATTTTCTAGCCCTGAGGACGTCTCCAACCCGCCTAGCAATGCGGCGGTTTCAAGGAGGATGTTCCTGTGGGACCATCGCTTCTAACCCCCGCCCGAGACCGCCTGGAATCCGCTAATGACGTGTTTACTCTCGTCCCTTTTCACCTGTTAAGCCCAGTAGAACGTAGATATAACAGCTGTTAATTCTGTCAGGTAACGGCTATAATAAGTGCAGAGGACGATAAAACTTACTGCACTCCAATAATTACTGAATAAAGTCGCAGCCGGCTGTCTTAGATAACACGCTATCCAGCATGCTGTGTCATCGTTGTCATCGTATCCACGTGTGCCCGATATCCTGTCATTCTCGAAGCTCCCGATCAACACCCGATGTTCCCGTCCCTTCGCTCGCTGTCCCTCTCGACGGCGGAAGTTTCCACTTCGTTTCTTCGCAAAAAAATACGGAAAAAAGTGGAATAATCACAATCAATTGTTTGTATGCTAATTACTGCACATGCGGTAAAGAATACTTTACTTGTCAAGTCTCCATGACATTCCCACCCAATTCCCACCTGCTCTCAGCCTGCACGAAGCATCTATGATGTTGATCATAGTACCTATGCCTGCTTGTGATGATGGAACAGGGAGCACATGGAGTCTTGAGGGCGACGGCATAGGCAGTGATCCTGTATATATACATGAATGACCGTGACTTGATATTATTACTTTTAAGTATATTCATGGACAGTCCTTCTATCCATTTGTCGGACATAGGCTATGTAGTTGACTATGTTATCAAGCTGGGGATCTGTATGAACTCATGTATATATAGGTCCTAGGAGGAACAGACATCGAAGATGTCTGGTAGTGATAAGTCGAAGTTATATGGGTAAGTCCCTTGGCCTCAGAAGTGATCAGACTTTAATCAGACTTTTAATCATCCACTTGGTATTTTGCCTTGTAATTTGCTCATATTGTAGCTATGCTTGAATACATGCAATCTCAGAAAACCCGAATACTTAAGATGCTTCTCAGAGGATAGAATTGCTCATCGAAGTGGACATCAGTCTACGTCGGTTGGCCCGCAAGTAGCCGGTTCCGGATGCTGACACATCACAGTCGGTCCGACGTCCAATGTTTTGAAGAGCAATGAGCACGTCGAGATAGTGGTGAAAATTAAGGTTTGGTCCGACAAAAGAAGCATTATTTTGACTGTTTTAGTACAGATGGAGCACGAGCTCACCATCGTCCACGACGAGCATAGCGACAGGATGGATAGTCGGTGATCGGGACGACGGGACTCGGGACGGCAGGTGCACGTGTGCGGAATAATCCTGCTGACAAAACATGCCAGGGGACTTGATAATGACGAGCACAACTTTATTCAAAAATTATTCAAGTACCGTAAATATCCCTCTCCCTCGCAGTTGTTATAGTTAACAGCTATTATATCTGTGCTTCAGCGGGCATGACGGGATATCGGGCACACGTGGATACGATGACAACGATGACACAGCATGCTGGATAGCGTGTTATCTAAGACAGCCGGCTGCGACTTTATTCAGTAATTATTGGAGTGCAGTAAGTTTTATCGTCCTCTGCACTTATTATAGCCGTTACCTGACAGAATTAACAGCTGTTATATCTACGTTCTACTGGGCTTAACAGGTGTCCCTTTTGCAACAACCAACTTTTTCATTCAGAACTGGCATGTTGGCCTTTACGAAAAGGTGTGCGGCGGCCTAGTGATCAATCAGAATAACTCAAGCACTATGCAGGAACAATTGGTGGCAATGGTTGCACCTTGTGGTACCCAGGGACGATACGACGTTGGGACTATCGTGCGCATCACATACAAGGTCCAGAATTCTCGGTGATGTACCTTTAAAGCCAATGGAGTGGAGCGGAACTTATTTTTGAGGGCATGATAGCAATGGTGCGGAAGCTGCAAGGACGGGATGTGGTAACTTATTTGTTCCCATCTTGAAGATCGGCAGCTTGTCCTTTGATTGAACGCCATGCGATCCTGTGAGACGTAATGCGGGGTTTTTAGGATGGCTGAATTTTATCTGATATGAATTAAGCTATTTCTTCAGTGCTGTCCTCGATACGATACGTTCGGAGACTACTCGTCATGACAGTGTTTACGAACGCCACAGATGTTTGCGTCGAACCAAAGCGGGAGTGGATCACAGACAGCAGTATCCAGACGACCAGGAGATAAGTTAAAACCGCTGTACTTCCTGCTTATCAAACCCTAGTACCTCTGTACTTGGGACGAATATAGCAGCGCAGCTTGCACAAGGATGACTCGACAACTGACCAGTACTTTGCATTCCAGGTCGATCAAGTGACTGTCGCAGTCTTGGTACTCATATACCCACCATGGTTCTATTGAAAATGGTGTCACGCAGGCGTAAACTCTGAAGAAGGTCAGATGAGACGGAGGGTAGGGACGAGGAACCTATCGGAGGAGAACGTGGTCGCGGACGGTGCCCGGGGACACACCAAGACTTTGGCAAGACGTATTCTGATTATCGGCACCGGACTGGAGCCATCAAAGACCTACGCATTTGGAGGAGCCCGACGAGGTATAGTATATTCTGTTGAGGGATGAGGGGTGGAACAACGCATCAGTTTCAGCGCCCAGTAGGTAGCAAGCCTACCAAAAATTTTGGGACCGCGGAATATCCGATCCAATTCTGTATTTTCTGTCCGCAGCACAAGTAAAGAACAAGGGCTTAAGAATGACAGGGAAAATGCTGTTATCTCCGTTACTCGTCCTCAAAAATTAGTTGCAAGAAGACACGGCGCACATGTGGGTCAGGAAATTTTATCGCCACGCAGAGATAGTCGGCCAATACGAGTATCCATTTGTTCTCTTCTCAGCTGCACAAAGAGGAACCACGCCAACCTGGGTCCATCGGGCACAGCTCGCGAACCCGGTCAGCGGAGGCGAGAAACGACCGTAGGTCTAACTATTGAGTCTAGGAGGACGTCACCATGAATATGTCAATGCTCGTAAGCATAGGTCCATAAGACGTTTATGCCGTCAGGCGTGGTTTTATCAGCAAGTACCAGACTTAGACTTTGTGCCCGACGCCGGGTATCTCGGCGATCCAACATCTCCAACTTGGAATTGTCAGAAACGACAGAACAAGAGCAACGAATGCTTCATAGCCTGTGACGCTTCGATAAGTCTACGCAGTTTCAGGGTGTCATGATACTTCAAGACAGACTGATAGTAGCAAGGACGCAGACGTCATGAAATAGCCCTACTAGCCCACCGCCATGGACAAGGACCCAGGACTTCAAGGACTGACGGCCAGTCGGGGTCCAAGGATAGCCCCGGGTTATCCTGCGTTATTAGGGTTAGCCCGACCGTGTGCACAGCTACCAGGCGATAGAAAGTTCACGTCCGTGCTTCCGCGGGCCCAGGCTGTAAAAATAAGAGCAAAACTGGGAAGGCGAAAGCTTGTCCGGGAATGAGAAAGATCCGTAGTCAGCATGTTTTGATTTCCATCGCGATGTAATGAAACAGCCGCGTTGGACGCGCCAAGGTTTCGGATGGGGGGCCACATTCCAGTAGGATCCATGCTCGCTAGGAGAGATAACTCCATCTTGTTGAGCGAGAGAAACTAGCGCTGCGTTTTAGCAGGTAGCTGGCAATATTGCTAACAGATGATGCGATGGACGAACGAAGCAAGAGAAGTTGCAAATTTCCACGTGGAGTACCGGTCCGATGATGTTCGTTCCCTGCCAGTCGGTCGCATCCGATCCATGACAAGACCGTTTTCAGATCGTTTATTTCTCTTATGAGTACCATGGATGATAGTATGTCTCTCTGTTACTTTTGCCCCGCCAGTGGCAACTAAAGCGTTCAAGATGGGCCGAGGAGTGCGCTTCCGATTTTCATTCTCTAGATCTAAGAAAGGTATCTTGATTATGTGAACTCAGTACAATCAATATTCGCCAGATTTCGTCGAATCCGCCATTCTTCTAGTCACGGCCGAAAGATGTCATTCTTGGTTAGAGGAATCACATAGTGCATCCTAGGTTCATTTGCATGAATCAGTGGCAGCCAGCTTGCGGGTTTGCACACTTCATCGTGTTGCTAAATATTGTCATGCTAAAAGATGATCTTCGGTTGAATAGAACGACAGGTACAAGAACAATTCCTCTTAGAAGTTAGGTAGTTCGTCTGAAACCCGGAACCGAATATGAGAAGTGGCCTGGGTCAAATGTTGAAGGAACTATTGTGACTGCTATGCCTGCCGGTTCTCTCATGGGCTCGCTCTTAGTTACCCAAACAGCCGACCGTTTCGGTCCACAAGAATACTATCATTTTTATCGTTTTAGTATGGGCTATTGGTTCTACTTTGCTTCTGTCGCAAGTTTATCTAGTCCGCCTACAGTTCGTCTCTTTGATACCATTCGTCAGATAGAGGAATGATTCTTGTTGGACGAGTTGTACGATATTTCGGTGGCAGTATACTAATCTACCAGCCGGAAATAGCCGAGCCTCACATCCGGGAACGTCTTGTCTCTTTGCAACGGTGGTCCATGACATGCGGTATCCTCACTCAACACTTCATTCAATTCGGTTTCTCTTACATCGATGAGGTTACTTCTTTCCATATTCCATGGGATCTGTGGATGATTCCTGCCACTATTCTCAGCGTGGGTATGTCTGTATTATCCGAAAACTCCCGACCCACAAAAGGTTAGTGGGATTTCATGCCCCGGTAATAGTACCACGTTGACTATGTCTGTTTTAAGGAAAATTGATGTGTTTCATGTTCTAACAGATCTATACGGTGATGGTAATATCTGGAACGAGCTTGTTGTGTTGGAGTGCGAAGAAATTATGCACGGATCTTCTCTGAAAGAACTGAAGGCGCTAAATCATAACTTTGTCTCCTGAATCTTGGATTGCGTTCGGTGGGCCCTAGCGCTTCAGATGTGGTCATAGCCACAGGAATCCTCGTTGTTTTGTGGGTTTCTGCTTCGTTGGTGAACTCCCTCTGAACCTCAGGACGGATCAGGTACTATATCTCTCAAGGTGCAGCTATCACTGGTCGTCACGGGAAGTTGGGAACATAATTCTGCTGTAGGCGCAGCTACTTCCTTATTGACTACGGGGTGCGATAGGTTTCAACAATGGTCCGCTACTCCCGCCATCAGATACAGCATTGTTGTTTGCAATTTTGCCTTAACAATGGGTCCTGCCTCTCCACTAGTTGGTTTAATTCGTATCCTTCTCTTCGCCTACGATCCCTCACGCACCTTCAAGTTCTCCTTTGCTAAGGCAGTCGACCTCGCCGCCGCCACAAGTTGGATGTTTAATTTTGCTCTCGTGTGGGGAACCCCCCCCCCCCACGGTCAAGCAACATTGCGTGGGAGATATACTTTATCTTTGGAACATTAAATTTCGCTATCTTCCTTCATGTGCTCTTGATGTATCCAGAAGCTGTTGGACGAACACTTGAGGAAATAGAGAAAATATTCCAGCAAGAGCGTAAATTTCTGCGCAGAAAACTAAGAAGAACGTGGGAAAGATGACTAGTAGAGGTAGTAGAAAGAGCAGGGGTTTCCAAGTGAGTTTATCGTGGCATCATCGAGACTCGCTTCCGCCAAGAACTAAACGTATACGCTTCATTTTAGCCATCCGAGGAGCTTTCGGCGGACAACAGGCGCCTTGATGTATGATTTGACTTGAGTCCCTGATGATGATGTTCAAGATCATATTGTATCCTACATCTATGCTTTTCGATGACTCTCGACGTACTTTTCTGTAAACGAGACTTGCCAGAGCCACGACGCTGCCGCATTGTAATGTCTATATTGATTAGGGGTGGAACAGACGAGAACAAGGGACTGGTGAAGCGTAGATTTCGGATCCGTGTCAGAAATGAGTCCTTCCCTCAGGTGACATGCTGTTCAAAGATGCGTAGTGTTCCTAAATGCGTCTGGATCAACCCCGGATTGTTTTCTAACAGCTCGATATGCAATGACAACCGCATCACAATCCTCCGAAATATCAACTTTTTTTGAAGGCCGCAGACAATCCGGAATGCATCGATACCCCTTGCGCGGGAGGCAATGCCGGGATGAATTAGTCCGCGTCTTCCCTGAGATCATGGTTCGTAAACAGGTTATCTGATCCGAGAGTATGTTCTTCATGTCGCACTCATTCTTCGTCCGAGCCGATACCCCACTCCAGTGTGTGAAAGTATGTACTGAAACTTGAACGTTATGTGACTACCAGAATAAATATCTTCCTCCTCCTCTTCCTCTTCCTCTCAGTCTCCCTGGCCCTGCTCAGTCTCTCAGCTATCGACCACCATTCCTGTTATGTCTGCACCTATCGGGAAGTCAAAGCATAGCAACTTTCAAGCGCGAGGGATAGGGCTTTTATTGATTGATTACCTGCCCTAAACCTGACTATATTAGCAATGCAGATAATGCAGCGTCTTTACATAAATTTCCGCTGCGATTAATTAGGTGTGTACCAGCTTAAGCATTGCTCCCTCCTATGGATCAACCTTTGTCTCCCCAAAATTATTGACAGTCATTTATCCAAATATACAAGGCACAGTCATGTTTCTTCTATTAGACATTTATACCACAAGTCCTCGTTGCAACAAAGAAAAAGTTCCTTCCAATGTACATGTGATAGCGGTGGCGATACAGAAAGTATTCGTTGTACAGTAGGTAGGATAAGTCCATCAGCCAGCCAATGTGTGTAGTGGGAAAAGATCCCTTGCGTAAAACAGACAAAAGTCGTAGGCATCAATGGTCGTAAGATCGTAAAAGATATAAAGATAAGATAGCGAGAGAGCAAAGCAAAGTCCGACTGTATAGACAACCGAATCTATATCCAGTAAATCCAGATAGATGTTGGTAAGTATATGTGCGGCATTTTGTACGGGAATCTGGAGCACGTCACCCAAGGTAAAGAAGAAAGCAATCTAGGAATCTCCAGAAGACGTAATACGGTGGTCGGGATTGGCGACGTAGAGACTGGGCCTGGGTACTAAACCATAATCAACCACTTGACTCCGTCTGCCACGCTCTTCTTTTAAGTTGATACCAGGAAGTTCAGCGTCATGGCTCATGCGGCGTTCATACGCCTGAACACGGGCGGCAACGGATTCTCCACGGAGTGGTCGCTTAACGCCCTCACTCTCAGGAGATACGATAGAAGAAGATGCAGGAATCAACGACATTTGTCCCAATGGCGGAGTAAGACTTCGAGAGGGTGTATCGCTGGGACCATGTGCAATGTCCAACGATAAGATGCCCGACGGGGAAGTAACGATGGAATGGTCATCACCAAGATATTCCATGAGGTAACCATCTTCCGAAGCAGGGATTTCAACGCTATGGCTGGTCCCTGTGCTCTCTCGGGTTTGATGGCTAGCTGTTCTCACTCTCTGCGCTACATCCATCGTGCCAACCATTCTTTCAATGAGCTCAGAATCTGCAGTCCGCAACGAAGATGACGATTTTCCATGAGCGCCGTAAACTTTCGAGACCCTGCGGGACCCGGGATGAAGCGACGAAGATCGATTAAATCCTGTGCTGTTGTTGTCTGCCTCCGGCGACGCCGACGTCGCGGAATGGGTGCTTTCTTCAATGGCAACCAATCGCGGCGGCGGGTTCGGGTCTCTAAAGTCCAGCGAAGCTCTCTTTGACGAATCACTATTTCGTCGGTCCAATAAGCTCGTGCGAGAGAAACGTGCCCACCATGAATCACTCCGTCGCATAGGCTGTGTTGGTACGGAAGCAATTATAGTGGATGTTCGCTGGCCTGGAGAGCGGGAAGGGTCGTAAGAGGTACGCGAAGTCACTCCTGATGTACTGTCGAACGGAGATAGATTGTATTCATGAGAATTAGAATTGGTATGAATCGAAGGCGTGCTGGGATCGTTAATGGACAGTCGCGATGTTTCCGTAACCGGGCTGAGGGCGTGGCTAACAGTAGTCACGGGGAGTACAGTCTGTATTGAGAGGGCTGGAAGTTTGAAACGTGCAGGGGGTGGCATCTCAAGATTGTCCTCGACGCTATCCACATCATGATACCTTTCTTGCTCCTCGTGTATAGAATTTGCGAATGGATCAACAAAACTGGTGTTGGTTATTGTGCTGCCGTTGCTCATTTGTCTCCTAGCAATGGGTCTGCTTGGACCGGCACTCGTCAATTCCGGCTCCGCATCCCCCATGAGTGCCTTGTCATCGGAGAAAGGATCGTATTTCTCCTTCCAAGGTGCGCCAAGTGAGCTAGCGGCACTGGGTTCTTGGCTGCGCCTCCGACCTCCACCAAGAATACTTCGGAGTGACCATGAACTTCCTGTGCCTTCCCTCCATCGCTTCTCGTGCCAGAAAGCGAAATCTTGGGTATCTTCATCCGCGAGCATATCTCGTCTCTCTGGATTATGACGCGTACTCATACTGGCCGGCATAACACCCCCTAGACCGATACTCCTTAAAATGGTCCACCCCGCATCGTTACTATGCGGTGTTCTTTCGCCAAAGCCACCGGCAAGAGGAAGATTACGATCATGCTGAGGGCTATCCTCTCCATCCTCGGTGTCGTCGTGAAGAACCATGAATCGTCGACCAGTCAAGGAATACCCTTTTCGACGCCGCACGTAGTAAACAAGGATCACGCAACCAACGATAAGTCCCAGAACTCCGAAGGTAGTCCCAAGGGCGATGGCGGTGGTTCGGTCGCTATCAGCACCGTGTCCTCCGTCAGCTGGAGTGCCACCACTACCGCCACCGCCACCAGTGGGATCGCTGGGACCCGGATCAGGATTAGTTGCGGAGGGATCAGCACTGACAGATCCGCCAGAACTGGGAGAAGTTCCGGTACCGGTCGGATGGGGATCTGACGTCTGACTCGACCCTGGCATCGTTTGTGTGGTTCCTGATGATGACGAAGGAGAGAAATTGGATGCAAAGGATCCAGTCGAAGAGTCGTAGATAATAATATTGGTAGCAAATGGACCGAAACTCCCGTAACCTGACGAACAGTCAGAATGAACTGGTTGCCTCGTAGCGCTGGACTTACCAAATCCAAACATGACTGAGGATCCTATAGGAACAGCGAAATGATCACGACGAGCACCAACCTGCGTCAAAGCATCCACCTCAACCCAATTTAGACTGTCCTGTGATAGATCTAGTATCCAACCGTCACTGTATGTAGTTTGGTAGGAGGCATCGCTACCGCCCTGAATAACAACCTTGTTTCCGTCAATGCAAGTCGAAGCAAATGCCCTTCTTGGATTTGGCAGTATAGTTGTCGATAGGGAAATCAGGTTCCACGACAGTGTGGACTGCGTCGTGTCCAGAGTCCATAGAGTTGAAAACAGTAACAGCGAATCTTGCGACTGGCTATAGCCGCCAAAAACGAGTATCGTGCCATTTGATAGAATTACAGAGGAATGACCCGTAATATCTGAAGGGCCGTCGGTTGAGGGGAGCTGGGTGAATGATTCGCTATCGGGATCGAACACATAGTGGTCTGTTAGGGCGACTCCGGAACCATCTGCCCTCTCTCCGCCAATTATGTATACTTGGCCAGAAATCGACGTGACAGTGGAATGGTGTATCCGTCTCGTCGGCTGCCCCGCCCATGCTAATGCTTCTTGTTCCCACTCAGGCGCCGACCGGACGTATACATCGAGCATCCAGGATGAGTCGGCACGATTTGTCGAGACTGTGGCAGAATTGGTGGCAGGGGCTCCACCAAATAATAGCATGCTCGAAGAATTGAGTCCGGACAGAGTATGCCAAGCTACCGCTGGGCCTTGTGAAGTCAAGGTATCAGAGGAGCTGCTGATCAACTCCCAGGGTGGCGATGTCAGATTGAATGATGAAGATAGTGAGAGATAAAGTAAATCATTGTTAGTTGGTGCTTGTGTATACGAGTATGAATTATACTCGTCTGTCTTCCCGCCATGAACGAAGAGACAGTCATTAAGTACGGCCACGGCCTGGCCCCACCTACGCGTCCAATAAATTAGCAGAAGAGAGGAGAAGAGAAATTTAGCCGACCTCGGAAGAGCGGTATATGCTGCGACCTCATATTCCAGCAATAACGAGAGAATGCAAACGCTCGGCAGTACTAGGCGAAAGTCGAGATTCGACTTCATCTGCCGAAATGAATGGAAGAAGTACAAAGGTAGAACAAGTTACAGCGAAATAGTGGGTAGGGGATGCATGAATCGAAACGACGTGAGTCGCCACGGTATTTGCTAGTTGGGCCGCCGTCGATGGTGGAAGAGCAGTGACAACTTACGTTCCCTGCTTCACGTCAGATTACAATTTCAACTATGCGACGTCTTTCAGATTCAACAGGTACAAATACACCTCTTCTAATCCAGCCCCTTTTTGGTCGCTCGCCGATCAGGGCGAACCACTCAGCGCCGCCGGGTCGATCAGAGTAAATGGTTGAAGGCGCGAATCTACAGAGCAGTTTCCAGCCTCGCTGTGCAAAAAAACCAGACAATTTCATCGTCTGCAGCATTTCACCGCTTTATGTCTCACAATCCCACCCAATGTCCGACAATTGAATTTTTTGAGGCGGCGCTGGCAAGTGCCACTGGCGTCACTGGCACAGCAACAGTAAAACACCCACAATATACGCTTGCTTTCGTCTGACTGAGGTGTGCAGGACGTGTTCCAGAAACGACGGCCCAGAAAAAGAACTAGTCCCCCTTCAAGAATCAGAATTCAATACTCAGTCCTCAGGATTCAGGAAAATGAAGGACATTCCCATTTTGCGATCTTCGAATAGCGTATTCAGCCACACACATGTAGGCCCTTAGAGGCGAGGTACGCATTCAGTATGATCTCTAAGACCCAGGACACACGTAGGAGCGGACTCAATTACACAACGTTGACGTGTAAGATTGAATCGCATCGACCTGGCAAACCCTCTACCTCAAGAAGTTCCAGGGCATGATAATGACACTAACTGGTAAGTACGCATAAACGAATGGGATGATACAAAGAAGCATGGAAGAACGATACGGTCTTGCTGTCACACCCGGCTGCGCGTGCTCGCAGTTATGCTTCGCATTCGAGTAAAGGACCAAAGCTAGGGCTAGAAGGCACGGATTCATGGCGACGTCGTGCAGGTGATTTCCATCCAACAACAAAATACAGCTTCGGTCGATGATGAAACCCCTCGGTGGCATCCCGCCGGCATTTGGTGGGGGGAAGACACTGGCTCATGTGTAGGACATGCACGCTCCACGAGACGAAGAGCTTCCATCCATGATAGAGATCGGGGATTATTCCTAGAAAAGTTTGTTATGACAGATCCACGACATATATGTCCTATTGTGCAAAGTTCAGTGGACAGCCTCGAGCGATTGTGCAGGTTGCCCGGAAACGCGTGTTCTCTGAGCCTCTTTGTTGACCTTCTGGGTCCCTCTAAGAAAAGACGCTTTACATTCAACTGGCACGGAAGGTGACATACCAAACATGTGCAGAGCCTCCGAATAGACTCCGCAGCGAGACGGCATGTGCTGTAACGTAAAGGGAAGAGACTGCTGCGATGCTTAGAAGCCAGTGTGAATTTTAGCCATGTTAGGTCGAGATGGAGCGCCCGCCGAAACTGAAACAAGATCGTATCAAACTTGATAAGGTGCTAATGAGTTACTTACTACATAGATTGATTATGCGTAGAAACAAACAGCGACCAGAGGAGAAGCTCAAGTGTTGGAACTTGATGCGACTAGAGGAACATTGAATTCCTTGTTAATGAAGGACATAAACAGTCGACATTTCCGCAGCAATTCGGAAACGGAGAAACGGCGGAGTGACCAAAAACTGAACCATGAAGACACTGTGCCGCTTCAACTCGGAGCGATCTATCAGACATCACGATAACCCTATACGCATTGAAAGGACGACGATTTGAGGGCGAGAAGCAGTCCAGATATGGTAACTAGGTATATTTCTTCGTTCCGGCTGATAAGTCCAGATCGATGCTCGGGAACGGTGTCTTTTCAGCTCGCTTAGGTCAATAGAAACAGAGATGAACGAATAACCCGGCAGTGGCCAAATGTTTCTCCAATTTGCATAATGAAAGTGATGATAGCCGTTAGTCGGAAGGAGACGTTCGCCCTTGAACCTGAAGTATAGTTAATTCTGAACTTGATCGGGAGATCTTGGTTACTTACTGTTTCATCTCCGGGATGTACCATGAAAATGCTCATTTCAGAATCACAGCCTACACCATATGGTATAGACTCCCGTGTAACCAATCGGAAAGTAAAGGGTATCGGATCGAAGTTGTCGTGCTCGAGTATATAGGACTGAGAGGGGGAAGGACGTCTCCACATCATGTCGCCCCCACTAGTGGAACAGAATCACTACGAAATCCTCGAAATTCCGCCCGAGGCAACAAGGGAAGAGATCAAGAGTGCCTACAAGAAGCAGGTATGATGACTGCTGTTAGTCAGTGGTTTGCCTGTGCTAAACTGAGCTTATAGGCGTTAAAATGGCATCCTGATCGGAACCCGGACGACATTCGCAGGGCGACAGAACGGTTTGTTCAAGTATGTTATTGATGAATGTCTATCTCTGCCCAATGAGTAACTTGTACGCGTAGATAAACCGAGCTTACAGGGCATTGATGCGACGTCCACCGACTTCGCAGCCTTTGCAGACTCAGATTCACAACACAAGCCCTTCGAGGATGACAAGATCAGTGTCTATTGTCACGGATAACACCGCTCCCAGTCACTCCACCGATACGCTTGCCAGTTTCTTCTCTGCTGCGGGGGCGGCCAGTGTAGAGTCCTCCACTACTGCACCGCCAAGTCCACCAGGCAGCTCCCAAAAGTTACCGGAGAAGCGGTCCAACCATCCATATTCCCCGCATCAGACTTCGTCGTCTACAGAGGCAAACGTCGGTAACGAAGAGTGGATCAGCGTAGAGCCCGACCACGCGCCCGCAAGGGCATCCTCAAGGAAATCAAAAGCTCCAAAGTCGCGGGCATTTTATGCTCATGATCGGTACGTTATGCCGCTCTCTCTGAACATGCGCTAAGTGACACACTTGCAGAGCAACAAAGGAGGCTCGGGCCCGCAAGTCGGATTGGAAGGGAATCCCTACCGTCGTACGGCCACAGTTGAATAGACATCAGCCAAATATCTCGGCCACTCACTTGCATCGGCACCCGATATCGTCAATCGGCACAGGGAGCTCCAAGATATGGAGATATTCCTTGGCCCTCACACTAGAGGATTTATTCTTTGGTAAAGAGTGCCGGTTTAGGATTACGAGATCGTATCTCTCTGGTATCAGAGAAACCATCGTGCTCGACGTGCACATTCCGCCTGGCTGTGAGGATGGCACAAGCTTCGTCTTCACGAACGTCGGACACCAACGCAGGGACGGTTCCTTCCAGGATATCGTCTTCGTTGCACAGGAAGTTGCCCACGACGCCTTTGCTCGTGTCGGACAAGATCTCCTCATGAAGGTCCAGGTGCCTTGGTCAGAAAACCTTCAGCGAAAGGATGGGCGTATACATTTCACTGGCCTGGACAACACGACACTATCTGCTCGTATTAGCTATGGGAAGGAGAAAAGGCGACATGGTCAGTACAAGATAAAGGACGGAGGTATGCCGATCCTACTGGACGGGCAGGTAGTCGCAAGGGGAGACCTGATTGTACAGTGCGTTCACATTCCACGCTTATCATTAGTATTTTTACTTATCTTTACTATTAGCTGGGAAATCACGCGTCCCCATCACCGTTCAGGATGGTCTGCAATGAAATCATGGCTAGGAATGTAAATTTTAAGGGAGGGAATGGATATTTTATGCCTCTTACCAGTTATTTATCCGTATGAGTACCAGGCAAAAAATCATATATACATGTATGTAAGATGACGGCCGTGGCGGAGAGCAAAGTTTGAGTTCGGCAATTGGCCGGTTATTATAGTAGTTACCGATTGGATCATGTGCATTAAAATATTTTCCTTCTTCCCTCGATTCTTGACTTTTCACTGGGCTCTCCCGCCAGGCTTTCCCATATTGTAGCTTGTTGTGCCCGCAATGAGTAGTCTTATCTCAGCTGTGACATGGGTGCGACGGGGCGCCTCCGCACGAATACCCTCAAAATACGTTCTGGATGACCAAGAGCTAGAGCGGGTCAGTGGTCTCGCACGGATCGAATTGGAGGACGCTCGTGTAGAGCTACAAAGAGCACACGAAGCAGCAAAATTAATGGGTAGGGGGGCAGAGGGTGTCGAGGCAGATGATCAAGGAGAAGATGACGACGAAGCCAATTGGGTCGAGTGAGTAAATCCCATCTCAGGCTGGGAGATAATGAACCGATTATTGTTGAGGACAGCGAGGACAGCGATGCAATGGATGTAGATGAGACGTCGAATACAGCAAATACGGACAATCTATCTCAATATAAGCTTGACGAATACGACGACGACGTACAAACGGATGGTGCGTTTGTTGCCTTTTCACAGGAAAGGGCGATAACCATTTGATATAGCTATTGGACCATTCAGCAACATAAAAGGTCTCACTTACTACAAGGATAACTCTGAGGATCCTTACATCACACTGAAAGAGGTTCGTTGTTGGTTTTTTTTTTCAGAGGCGCATAATTGTAACTTGTATTTAGGACGATGATGATAATGAACGTGAAGACCTCGAAATCCTCCCTACAGATAATCTACTTGTGGTTGCAAAAACCGAAGACGAAATATCTCAACTAGAGATATACATCTACGAAGAATCGCAAGACAATATTTATGTTCATCACGACCTCATGCTCCCTGCTTTTCCTCTATGCCTCGAGTGGCTTGATTTTCCTCCAGCATCCACTTCCAGTAACAACGACCCAGCCAGCACCGGCTTTGGCAATTACATTGCTGTCGGTACCATGGATCCTGAGATCGAGATATGGTCCTTAGACGTCGTCGAATCCATATATCCAAACACTATGCTCGGCAGACCCGACCTTACAAAAGCTCACGTACCAGTGCCCTCAGGAAGTGGGAAAAAGAAGAAGAAGAAAATGAAGTCGCGGTCCATCGAAAAAGGCTATCATGTCGATGCAGTACTGGGTTTGAGCTGGAATAAGGTTCAACGGAACCTACTTGCCAGTGCCAGCGCAGATAAGACCGTGAAACTCTGGGATCTAAGCCGAGGCCCTTCTATGGATGATACCGATGGTGCGATTCGAAGCTTTGATGTCCACAAGGACAAGGTGCAAGCGGTGCAATGGAACGAGAAAAATCCTAGTGTACTCCTTACGGGGAGCTACGATCGCACTGTCCGGACATTCGATTCACGGTCACCAGATTCTGGCGTTGGTGCTTTCCTTGGGAGCGATGTGGAGGCTCTACGATGGGACCCTTGGGAAGAGGCAGGATTCTACGTAAGTACCCCTTACAAATTATCATGAACATTCATTGACCTAAGCTTAGGTCGCTTTGGAGAATGGGCTGGTACTCAATTACGACGTCCGCAATCTTCCTTCAAATTTAGAAACACCATCACCGGCACGTTTCACTCTTTCGGCACACGATGGGGCCACATCCGCGCTTGACATCAACCCCCATATCCGGGGATGCATAGTGACTGGTGGAGCTGACAAGCTTGTGAAGATATGGAATGTCGATGACTCCAGTGGTAAGATGAATGTGTCGTTAGTGACCTCCAGGGATCTTGGCGTCGTAAGTCTTTGCATCCATAGTCGAGCGTATCCCTGACTAACTTTATATACAGGGCAAGGTCTTTTCCACAACCTTCTCCCCTGATGATCCTCTCACAGTAGCCGCTGGCGGATCCAAAGCTAAACTTCAAGTGTGGGACGTTGGCGCTAATTTCGGCGCTCGAAAGGCATTTGGGACGAAGCTAAAGGAAGCAGGCAAGGTACTAAGAGAGCATGAAGATGGAGGAAATGGTGGTGTAATTGGCGTTGAAAGCGATGAAGAAGACGAAGACAATGATGACTAGCGACTCAATGTCGAATGTTGTATCTCTCGCACGGTGTGGTCATTATGGTATAGATGAATAAATTTATCGTAACGCCAACCCAAGTGTCGCCAATAACAAACAATAACATGCAGTAACCTAGGCGTTATGCTCTATTTGCAAACTTCCTCCGTCTGTAGTGGACACTTCTGGGCTCCTTCGGCATAGGAATCATAGTCTGTTCATTAAAACATTAGTTAGGTTTTTTTTCCTTAGTGGAGACGTACATGATAGTTATTTTCAGGAACAGGACCTGGTAGACGGAACTCAAGTTCACGAATCAACGTGGACAAGATGGTTCCCAGTTGAAGATATGCGAACTAGTGAATGGACAGTAAGAATAAGAATCGCTGCGATCAAAGAATAATATACTTGTTCCCCGATACACCGGTGGCGACCGGCACCGAATGGTTGATAAGGACTTTGGGTCCCCTTGCTTACAGCACCAAAGCCATAATCGTATTTTTCGCCGTTCTCATCAACATACGTTTTGAGGGCCTGGGCTGCGGCACCCTCAGGATCAGCCCACCGGTAGGGATCAAAGGTCATCGCGTCCTTCCAAATCAGGGGATCTGTTTGGCTGACAGCGGGGGATGCCAAAACCCAGTGGCCCTTGGGAACAACATAGACGCCGTCTTTGGAAGGAGCAGATAACGTGGGAGGAACTGGAACGTCATCACGAACGTTGCGCATGATACTGTGAATTGGTGGGTGAAGACGCAGCGTTTCTCTAATCAATGCATCCAAGAGGGGGAGTTCCCGCAGCTCTTCAAACGTCATAGACCGAATCGAACCATCTGGAGTGCCGAAGTGTTTGATCTGCTCTTTGTAAAGCTTTTCACTGAAAGAGTGGTTCAGTGAGCTACGAGTGCAACCAGCTACAACGAGAAACAACCTACGCAAAGTCAGGTTGGTCTGCCAAATGAAGAATCGCCCAAGCGCCAGTGGCCTGACTCGTGTGCTGGCCTGCCATGAGGAGAGCAATGAGCATGTGAGCAACCTCACTGTCGGAAACCGGTTTTCCACTGCGGTATTTCTGTTTGAGGAGGGCACTTATCATATCCGATTCCTACCCAATATCGTGAGAATCAAAATAATTTTGTCGACAAGCGGAACTCACGTCAAGATTCCCAGACTTCCGACGTTCCTCGATAATGTTGACATAGAATTCACTCATCTTTTTGTGAGCACGGTCTCGCCTCCTTGAGTTCTCCATAGGCAAGTTTGGGAAAAGAAAGTTGACAGGAGTGAAGCCTCCATCAAGATCGTTGAACAGCTGGGAAAAGGTTTTGTTCAGGTTGCCTCTGACGTGTTTTCCTTGCAATGTCCGCGAAGCAGTGAGGATGGTAATTTCAGACATCACTTTCGAGACATCGAAGGAACCCCATTCCTCAATATCATTCCCCTGATAGACCCGGAAAGACGTGTCGTTATTGATGAATTCTTCAACCTCGTCTTCAATCATGCCGACGTAAGCGCGTAGGTTGTCAGTCGAGAGACCGACTTTGACGAATTTCTTCTGTTCCATGAACTGATCGTTGGGAATGGCATAAACAACATCATCACCAAAGATAGGGATCGTCAATGCCTGCGAAAGGTGGATCAGAAAAGGCGGAAAACAGTAAAAGGCCACATTACTCCGTAGGCATCTTCCGCGTTGAAGACGATCGATTTACCACCAAGGACGAAATCGTTTCCCTGTGCTCCAAGGGCCACGGTCACACGTCGACCAAAGAGTATGAAGGTAAACACATTGCCGTACTAGCGAGCTGTGAGGTTGGCAGGACTGAAAACTGAAGGCAACGCACTTTCTCTCTACAGGAGAAAAAGAAGTTGAGAGGGTCATTGCCATAGGAGATGGCAGAGCCTATATATGGAAGCCAATGGAAGACAACGGGAGGTTTGGAGGTATCTTGAGGCAGCTGGAAAAGAAATCAACGAGAGCTGGCGGACAAAAGGGGAGCATTGGACGAACAAGTTGTCGAAGAACGTTGAGGACGACGGCGAGAACGGGGATATTTATTAGGGCGAGGAGAATGAAGCGAGAACTTGGAATTTGAGCATTGGCGAGGTACTCGGGCCAGTTATCCTTCAGAACGGCGGAGACATTGGAGAAAACCTCAGCCATGGCAAGTGGTGGTTGCTGGTAAAGCCGTTCTATTTTATTTGCTCCGTGAGATCGTTTTTAAAAAATCGTACGAGATCACATTAGATTAGATTAGATCGAAATGTTCGACTTTTAAGAGTGGTGATGTGTATTATACAAAGCCATACTTTACAAAATATACACTCCTGCCATGCTTAAAATCTATCGCAGCGACATGTGTATCATCGGTCGACATCCAGTCGTAACATGACTGAGCTTCATGGGAACCGTTGCACCAAGTGGTGCATCGTCAATGTTGACCATATCTCCAAGGAATGCCCGCAAACCCAGCGACTCGATTTGTACCACTGTAAGATACTTTTTCGTACTGACATGCGAGAAGGGAACATCCATCACGACTCCCTCCAAGTTCTGCAGGGGATCGGGCCGGTCGGCACGCAGAGCAGGATTTGCTAACCATTGCTGCAGATAATAAACCTGCCCGAGCGCACGATTACGGCCTTCCATGCGCTTGTTGTAACGATCAGCTGTCCAAAAGACTTCTGTGTACTGCATCAATTCCTCGGGGCTGAATAACGGTTTCCTTGTGCCACGTAGGGCATTGACGAGTTGCCAATGTGCTTGCAAGTCAGCCGCACGTCGCAAGGGAGAAGTAACCCGCACGTATCCTTCACCATCTGGACTACCTATTTGGTGGTGTCCACGAGGTTCCAGTGAGTACGATGACTTCGACTCTGCAAGGACATAGGGAAGGGCGGATGTACGCTCGACATAGGCGTTTGGAGTTCTCATGTCAAGAATTTTTTGCAGATCTGTATCCGATGTATGCGTTGGTGCTTGCAGAGTGCGCCGAAGGGCCGGTATATTATGCTCTAAGAAAAATCGCGATGCCACACGACACGCAAGCTTCATTGACTCAGCAACGAGGCTGCGTGCACCCGAATCTGCCCGTTTGGCGTCCTCAACCGAGTAAGCCATGCCAACGAACCCGCGGAAATGCCCAGGATCCATCGTGAGAGAGCGTATCGAGGAAACGTCGTCGAACTGAATATCGGCTTTGCTGCTACTAGTAATGTAGATGTTGTCCCTGAACCGTCGCGCCACACATGCACGCGCAATCTGATCTAACATACGGAGCTCCTCGACGTGTTTATCGGACAAGGAGTGACGAGCTGAAAGAGGGGGTTTGTCACCAAATGGATAAACATTGGAATGAAGAGGATATCCCAGAGCGTCATTGACAGAGTGGTATGTCAAGAGATTGATGTTCTTTACCAAGCCGCCTCGGACCTTGTAGTCGAGTATGTCGCCCTTGAGGTTGACTTTACAACTGAAGGTCAGGACGCGCTGAGACTTCCCGGACTCCAAAAGGTCTCCCAAAGATAACCCAAACTCTTTCGAACCCGTGAAAGCGGCCGGAAGCATTGGGAATGTACGTGTTCCGTAATAGTATGTTTGTCCTCTTCGTAATGCTTGTGCAGCAAAGATGTGTGTCGGCGGAATAAGAGAGGCTGGGTCGGCGATATGGACGTGGAGCCAATAGGCATCGGGTTCCGTAGGTATTCTCTCAACAGATATACCATCATCAAGTTCCTTGGCCGTTGGATCATCGATGACATACACGTTCATGTCACCGAAATCGTGGCGGACGGCCTGGAGGGGATCAGTGCGGTATAGATCTTCAGGACCCAGGACATCCGATGACGGTGCCGTAGTCATCGAGCGAGCCACAATCGCTGCTTCATGCTCTGGGTCTCCTTCGTCCGTCGGGGTGATAGCGGTCATGTCATGCCAGGGAGCAGCCACACCAATGCCAAGAAGGGTTTGATATATAGTATCCTGATCTACCAAGATAACATCAGGGTCCACCTTCTTCAAGATGGCACTCTGCCCCAATATGTAGGGCTCTTTATGGCCCTCGCCTTCTGCACGAAGCGCATCCAAGAGGTACGAAATGATCAGAAGGTCGGTGTGCGTCCATTCATGGTTACCAGGAATCCACGAAGGGGATTCACCGATGGATTCAGCTTGGTGTCGACGGCTTTTCTGTATGACAGGCCTGGCTTTCATCGCAAAAGAGTCGATGGGACTGGCCTTCTGATGAGACCAAGTGGTGATATTTTTTATACGGTTGTAGTGGTTCTTGGGACGGATGCGTATGTTCTGGGTAACGGAATAAGTGGCGGCAGGCGAAAACTTATCCAGGTTGTTCCACACCCAGAGATGGACGGCGAAGATATCAACAAACGTAGGGTTACGTTTGAACATTCTTGTGAGTTCAGATATGTTGGTCAGTCCCCATTTCTCTGGGTTGGAGTTTCGCAGAGTGGGATACAAGGTGGAAAGGGTGGTGAGTACAGGGACTCGAAGGTCGTTGACTAAAGATCCGATATCCTTCAATTGTTTGAGGATCTGTACGCGAGCATGGTGTTCCTTGTTATTGGATGAAAAATCGCTGTGGCCGCTGCGTTGTATCAGGTCCTCAGAGACGACGCCCGGGACAGCAAAGGTAATGTCGTCTGGCTGATGATGCAACATCTCTCCTCTTTCCGTTAGTGACACAGTCACTTCTCGGCGAGCTATTATAGAGCTCGTCAAGACAATGCCAGTTGCAACACAAGAATTCCTGAATCAGGATAAGAAACGGACAAAACGCCAGCCAAGGAATACACACCTTCTGATCTCTACAAAGGTTCCCGGAGTTACCTTGACTGCTGGAACTACCTCGTAATCGGCTAACGCCTCGAATCGATCCATTGGATCAACTGCTTCCATTGCCTGCTTCTCTGTAGAAAACCGAGGGATGTCCTGCTTCACTTTTATGCTGGAAGCTAGACGCATTTCGTCTCCACGTAGTGATTTTGTGTGTTTCCATCCCGAGACTTCACGCTGATCAGATGTTTCAATAAGCCTTTTTGCCAAAGTTTCGACAGAATCGAAATCGACGGGAGGCGATGGCTGTTTGTGGAATTTTTGAGGCTGACGCTGGAATTTCGAACGCTGGACGCCTGCCGGTGTTCTTTGCTGCCTGTCGTTATGTTTGGGTGAGTCGGCTTGAGAATGGACACAGTGGGCGACACGAAGGTCGGATAGAAGGGAACCACGTAACGCAGCACATCGGTGGACGTTGTACATGGACTACCTTCCTTGTCAAGCGCGAATGGCTGGGAGAAAGTTTTTCGGCAACTTCCGTTCTTCGATCAATTTCAAAAACATCTACTTTTCTCCTCCATGTTTAAAAGAGTGGACAGGCGTTTAAAAAGGAAAGCCGAGGACGAGGCCTTGGGAATCGACGGTGAATTCAAGCAAGCGCTTGGTATCCCGGATACCGATTCAGACGAGTCTGATTCAAGCTCGGATTCTTCTGAGGATGAAGCCCAAGCAGAGGAAGTGGAAGTTGAAGACGGTAGCGGGGATGACGATGACGAGGCAGAAGTGAGGACAGTAGCCCAAATCCTCGAAAATCCTCTCTACAATAGCCCCCAAGACATCGACATGACAGCATGTTTCGTTTGTCCAGCAAAACTTTTCAAGGGCCCGTCGATGATCCAAATTCATCTACAGTCTAAAGCATGTATCATTTTCCCAAGCCGTTAGTGTTGCACTCAATAAACATATACAGCATCATATTCGAAGGTTCTCTAAATTCAAACAACGCTCTGCTCTAGCGAGCCCCCAGGACGATGCTAGGGAGCATGTTCCGTCTTCGAAAGATGTCAACGAGTCCTCGGAAGGACTTTCCAATCGTGCAAAGAAAAAGGTGAGGAGGAGGATGCATAGGTCCCTGCATCGATTCATCAATTCTGACAACGTAGTAGAACACAAGGCGTGCATCTCAAGCGGAAAAAAGGGTACGTGGTTGTATTGCTATGTGACACAGAAATTCAAACATCACTGCTGTTGTAGAGACTGAAGCAGGCAGCCTTCCTAGCGCGAAAGACAAAGCGTGAGGCCACGTCACAGAAGACTGAAGGCCTACAAGACCGAACTGCCTCTAAATCTTCGTCACAGAACCCTCCTCCGAAAGGAGGAAAGGTTCCTACCAGGAAGAAGCGACGAACGGAAAAGCCCAAGTCTCTATCACCTTGACGAGCCCCTAGTAGCTAGTACGATCCCCTTCATGGGCTTTGAATACCACATCCTGTTTGGGTGCTTCAACTGGCATGGGACTGTCCGAGCAATGGGTGGCGAGCATACAACAAGTCCCCTTGGGTTGAAGGTAATTGCCACAGGAAAGGAACGTAACGAGCTGTACTGCCGAGAGAATCGGTATCTTACTCGGATTCTATACCAGTGGTACAGGTTGCATACATAGTGTGATATCGTGAATTAGTGGTATGACAATACGACGACCCCAAGGTTCCGATCCTATACCTCACGGCCTCCAGAAGTGTTGATAGGGGGCACTCAACTAGAAACAGGAGTATCTTCTTTGTTTTCCGCAGATTGACTTTGCACTGTAACCTCTTCTGCGAGACGTGATATCTCGGAGAAGGCTGCCTTGAGCAGATCAAGGTCGGCATCCAGGCTCTCTGCCCGACTTTTCATCTAATGGAAGATGAGTAAAGCAAAAAGAATATTTAGGGAGAGTTATCCTCACAGCAGCAATGGTATCACTAGCAGCTATCAACTCGTGGTGGTGGTTGTAAACCAATGACTGGCGTTCGCTGTCAAGTTCCCGTATCTCTGTCAACTGGGTCAATTCAAACGAATGTGACGTATTTCCTTCACATCTCACCTGAAACGAGTTCGTTTTCTTGCTTTAGCAATGCGGGCAGGGTTGATGTGGTAATTAATTGTTCATAATACGCCTTGGCGTCGAACGCAGGCGAATCTATTCATTCATATAAGTCGATCATCACGCAGCCAACATTAATGACGCACCCATATTCATAGGATCATTAGGAACTCCAGGTCGCGCAGGGGGTAGACCAACACCTAGGCCATAATGTTTCCGTAGCAGATCTCGGGCTCGTGTTTTCGGTGGAGACGCCGGTGTTGGGCGTCTCGCACTTAGTAAAGCTCCTGTAGAAGGTGTCTGAGAGCTCAAAGGAGATGGATTGACAGGTGGTGACCCTGGTCGCAAAGGAGAAGGCGGCGGTCTGGGAATGGATGGTCGTTGGGATGACATGGAGTTCGGGCCGAAGTCCGGGGGAGGTGACCAATTAAGTCACGGTCACACAATCGCGAGTCACGTGTAGTGACGCGTCCAAGCGTGTCGTGTGACAAGTGCTCGTGTACTTCTACCACCTCACTCCTCGATGGACTTAGAAAACGACATTGTTGCGGACAGCGAAGGCGAGGACGAATACTTTCCACTGCCATCTCTTGGCTCTCCTGGTACGTACAAACTCTGCCACATCCTGGCCTCACTAAGTGTCGACATCGCCTTACAGCACCCGCAAAGACGATCCAAAGACGGGCTCTCAATGACACCGTTCCAATTTTGGGACTCCACGAGGGAGACTCTTCTCATATTTCAGATTATACAAGCAAACCGTCATCTCACGTTGAAAACATTTCGGTGTTTACTAGTAGACCGCAAACTTCCTCGCACCCAGATACCGAAATCCCGTCAGAGCCGCCGAAGCCGCAGCGTCCTCGACCTCGGCCCATATATAAGATGAAACAAGCGCAGTCGATCAGCGACATCTCCGGAGGCGACTCCTCCTTTGCGGCAAGTGTCTTGAGCATCGCAGATCGCGCCAAGATGCGTTCCCGAGTGCCTAAGCCTTCAGAATCAGGCTCTCTTTCTTCGAAGGGTCCCATTGCTTCTGGAATATCCTTAGGCGTCATCGATATCTCTTCCGACGACGACAGCGACGAGCTGAATTCGCTTCCAAAGAGCAAACCCAAGGCACGTAAAGAAAAGGAAGTCTCTAAACCACAGCAGGTACCACATAACGCTAGCAAATCTCCCCAATATTCCCCTTCGCAACCTATATCTCCGGCAACCAAGAACGCAAATCATCCTTCTTTTCTATTCAATGACGAAGACATGAGAGCCAACTACGATCATCCGTCGATTGCAACCCTCATAGAACCCGACACGAGCCCTAGAGATTCATCTCCCTTACCATCCCGACGGCTGCGTACCATCGAAGATGACGACGTCTACGACCAATTAGACAGTGATATACCTCCTTCTGGGTTCTTCGCGTCTTCTTCACTTGGCCTCGATAAAGCAGCGGAGGATCATTCCCATCAGGGTAACATCCCATCACTGAGTCCTCCCATACCGCCTACGAAAGGCAAGGCTGCAAAGAAGGGAAGAAAGAAGAAAAACGAGGACGAAGAGTCTAAAGAGAAATCGAGGTCAAAGGGGAAAAAAACCAAGGAGCCGGAAGCTGGCGCAGCGGCGAAGAAGACGAAGGGCAAAGGGAAGGAAAAAGAGATTTTCAAGAGCAGCGAATTTGTCGAAGATGATAGCATCCAAGAGCTAGAACCGTTCTCCATTCCCGAAGAGCCTAACATCATGCTTGACCAAGTGGACTCTTCGAGTGGTCCCTCAATGACGGTCGAAGACCCTCCTGTCCGTTCCAAACCAGGAAGAAAGCGCAAGGAGGCGACTAATGATGAAGCCGGCGAAAAAACGGGAAAAACGTCGAGGAAGAAACGGAAGACAGAGGGTGGGGGCAAGACTGGTCAATCCAAGGCCAAAGCGAAGACGGTTATCTTATCTGACGATGAAGATACTCCCGAACAACTAAGTGCCTCCGCAAGGCTTGATCTCGACGACGTGGTTATGGAAGCGGAAGAGCCTGAAAAGCAGACCGCACCTGAAACGGGACCTGCGGGCACTGACGGTGAAACAGCGAAAGAATGTGATAAGGTAAATGGTTGGCTGCTTTGTGTTTTGTCTCAACACTAATCGGCTCGTGCAGGAGAACATACAACCAAAGCCCTCCAGAGTAGAAGCAGAAGAGAAGAGCACCATGCACGATTCAAATACGCCGAGAGTAAAGTCATCTCTCACTTCTCGTTACTCGATTGCTCCTCGCTTCAAATCAACACCTATGAGTGAGCTCATTCGTCGCGTGAACTCCTTACCCAGCTCTCCGTTTCCTGTGGGACGACCTGGACAGTCGATACCCGGGACAGCCTACTCCCCCTACCTCAAATCCAGCAAGTCTACATTATCACGTATTGCCCCGTTACATCCGAACAGACGCACACCGCCGCCACCACTGCCTCCTCCACCGCCCCCGAAGAAGACCAAGAAAGAAAAAGAGAGAGAGGAACAATGGGAAGAAGAACTTATTGAAGAGGTTGGAGGAATGACGGAATGGGTTTCGATGACTGATGTGGAGCGAAGGGAGATGCGACGAATGAGGAGAGAACGCGAGATGGGTGGATGGGAAGATTAGTTGTGTTTTATTCTGTTGCATAATTTACATATTGGGAGGTCGATGACGTAAGCGGACGTGATACTGCGAGTCGCTCAACGTTCGCAGCGATTGCATTCTTCACCATGGCGATACCTCCTCAGTTCATGCGCGCTCTGGACAACTTCAAGGACCAGGCAAAGGACGCAATATGGGCTCTTTCCTCCTGCCTCTGCCAGCAGTCAGCAAAGGTCAAGATAAACGGACGAACGTGTCAGTACCATCGTTGCTCGCAAACTTGAGTTTAGCTTCATTTGCATTGTAGTCAACATAATAAAAGTATTGGGAGAAGGAGGTTTCTCCTTTGTATACTTGGCGCAGGACGAACACAGCGGAGTAAGCATGCAGCTGCACTGGTCGCGAATTTGTGAATGACCGGAAAGTCATACTTAGCGGCAATTCGCCCTCAAGAAAATTCGGTGTCCTACTGGCACAGAAGGCGTAAAGGAAGCTATGCGAGAGGTGGAGGCGTATAGAAGATTCAGGTGGGCGTGAACTGCCAATTGTTCCGACGTTTGATCACCATCATTCACTTGCAGGCATCCAAACATTATACGAATACTGGTCCGTGTTTTCGTCTTGCTCGAATGGTTTTCGTCTTATTTTTTCCTTGCAGGACTCGGCAGTTGTCCAGGATCCTGACGGCGAAGGGAAAATTGTCTACCTGTTCCTACCATTATACAAAGTACGTCTAAACTCCCAATTCGCAAACGTGTCTGGTCCTTATGTCGGATACAGAAAGGCAACCTACAGGACGCTATAAATGCCAACGTCGTTAATGGCACACACTTCCCTGAACAAGAGATGGTGCGTTTATTCAAAGGTACATGCCTGGCTGTGCGAGCTATGCACACGTATCGGGCCCCCGTTGGACCGGCCCCCGTGTCAAGGCAGAATAGCGCGTCACCACAACCCCAAGAAGCTTCTTCTCGTCACTCTGATGATGACGAACGATTTCCGCAAGCGGAGGGAGATGCAGACGGAGGATATTCATACGATTCCACAACGATTCCGCTAGTGACGAAGCATCGCGTCGAAGACCAAGGGGATGTTGTGTTTGACGGCGATGAAGAACTTTCACAAAACACAGCAGCGACAGGTGCGACAGAAGTCGTCCCTTATGCGCATCGTGACTTGAAACCGGGGTGAGACTCGATATACATTCTTATGTTCTCACCATTAACGCCGTCTGAAGCAATGTTATGATTGCTGACGATGGGGTGACACCCGTCTTAATGGACTTTGGGAGCACTGTGAAAGCTAGAATCCACATTGAAAATCGCTCACAGGCTCTCTTCCAACAAGTAAGTGATAGTTCTTTCCTATTCCTCCCTTCACACTAATGCGCGCAACAGGACTTGGCCGTCGAGCAAAGTACCATGGCCTACCGCGCCCCAGAACTTTTCGACGTCAAAACAGACGTGACCTTGGATGAGAAAGTGGACATTTGGGTACGTTTACATGGTCATCTATTTCTAGAGTTGACCGATGCCGTCTTAGTCACTGGGTTGCACCCTATTCGCACTGGCTTACTCTCATTCACCATTTGAGAACACGCAAACTACTGAGCAAGGTGGTTCAATAGCCATGGCAGTCCTGAACGCCCGTTACAATCATCCCCCGTCAGCTTACTCTCAGGGTCTGAAGAATCTTATCGACAGCATGCTGAAAGTGAACCCGAAAGACCGTCCAGATATACACCAGGTTAGTCTGCTTGAGACATTTTTTCCCGTCCTGACCCGTTGTTTGCAGGTTCTAGAACAAACTGGCAAAGTATTACGAACCCTTGCGTAAATTTTTTTGTCGCAGTGCCGTGTTTTCCGCTCCGTTATTTATTTATTCGGATAATTATACGGACTCCAGTAATTGCATTCATTTAGAGATTTTTGACGACAGTGCAGAGGAAGTATAACGCAAGAAGAAGGAATCAAGTCGTTGAAAATCTACGAGTAAACATGGTATGTTATCGGACGCTGAGACCACTCAGACCTAAATCAGACCCTTTCGCAATATTTTTGTCCATGTCTAACTCGTTGAAAGGATCTCTTACGCTACCCGTTCGAGAGCGCCAAAGTTGGGTGTACAAAACCTTAATCTTCTGTAGTTCGGCATCCAGGACAGCCGTTTTACTGGCCAGTGCTAGGAAAGTGGCATGCTGCACTTGAAGCGTGGCTGATATACCTAAAATTACCAATGGGTATTCAGCAGTAAGTTCAATTTATAAGGATGCTTACCGTGAGGGGTATACTGTGACTGATGAGCCATCGACGACAGTTTGCGTTCAATTTGCTAGGGGAAGAAACATCTCAGGGTTGAAAAGGCATGGAGCTAATGTATTGCTTACCTCTATTGTGTTCTTACACCAAGCAAGCCTTTCGGACATTTGCTTCGACAGTCGATTGAAGAACCTAGAATCATGACTCAATTCAATTTCAAGCATGAGGTCACACACTGAACAACTCACTCAAAGGGGAATGAAGCGTGATCTTTCAAATAAGCGCCGTTGGCTTGTGGATTCCTGAAACCATCTATGATGCGCATTGATATAATCGTGTCCTCCACTGCTTGCTCGGCTTTTGCCTTCAAATCCTTGGTATAATGCAGGTCGGAACGTATCGTTGAGACGGTATTCACAAGATCCTATATGGAATGATCGTAAGTTGGATATCCGATGACGAAAGAAAGGACACAGACTTTATGTACTCCGCGAATAAGCTCCTGGCCCTTCGAAGGTTCCTCACCAAGATGCCGCTGCTGAAGATCTTTACTAATTTGTATGCGACCTTGGATGTGGGATCTTCGAAAAAGCGGGTGAGGCCTACTCCACAAGAAAGAGGGACAATTGCTTACTCGATTTGCTCAAATGTACGTTTGATCTCATCTGGTAAATCATTGAATTTGGTGGTTTTTGTGAATAATGGTGGGCCAGAGGCTTGGGCTGGTGCTTGGGTGCCAACGGTCGAACCAAAGCTGTCCATAAACGTCAATAAGTGCTTTGCAAACGGTGTACAAGAAACTGACGAGGTTTGTTGTGGCCTCCCAAATAATGACCCTCCACCACCAAAAGAGGTCACGGTCGGTTGACTCTGAAGAGCGTTCGTCGAAGTATTGCCAAAAAGACCACCAGCCGGTTGCTGCTGCTGTTGCTGTTGCGCTTGATTGTTGCCCCCAAACGCGCTCGTACCAAATGCAGAACTGGTGCTACCACCAAATAGCGATGACCCTTGGGTCTGGTTCTGCTGACCCGTGGACTGCCCAAATATGTTGGTGGCAGGTGCTTGCTGCTGCGACGGCTGACCGAACAATGACGTGGTGCCTGTGGTCGTTGTGGATTGTGACGGTTGACCAAATAGCGACGTAGTGCCTGTAGCGGGCTGCGACGGCTGGCCAAACAGAGAGGTAGTCCCGGTCTTGGCAGGTTGGCCGAATAATGATGTACCAGTTTGATTTTGGTTCTGTTGACCGAACGGAGAAGTGGTGGTCTGCTGCTGTGGCTGCTGCTGCTGAGCAGGCTGGCCGAATAGTGGATTTGTGGTTGTCGTAGCCTGCGGTTGCGATGGTTGGCCAAAAAGTGACGTCGACGCGGCTGGCTGTTGCTGAGATGGTTGTCCGAACAGAGATGTTGTAGGTTGTGAGGGCTGGCCAAACACAGAACTGGTTGCTGGTTGCTGCTGCTGCTGCTGTTGCTGGTTGCTCTGCCCGAATGCGCTGAAAGCATTTGTATTCGTCGTTGTGCTGGGCGTTCCAAAGATTGAGGAGCCACTTGCAGGTTTTCCGAACGCGCTGGACCCAAACGCTGACGTGCTGGAGATCAAAGTCAGTTACTTCTTTGTAAATTTCACGAGAATATACAATACTTTGAAGCAAATGCCATTCTAGCAGTTTCACGAACAGCTACGAACGGTGGTGGATGTCGGTGAACAAAGAAAGGTGACCCTAGATTAGGGTTTGTGTAAAAGACCGCCAGTCCAGCGCCAGTCTGTACAAACGACAATTGCTGGACCGGCAAAAGTGTAGCTTTTTTTTAATACCAACTTCAAGTTCAGATTCCTTATCAGTTCGCTATTCACACTGTATCCAACCTTACCGTTAAGTTGAAGTCGAGGCTAAATGAAGTTACGCTGATCGCGCCAAGTTGGAGTTACCAAATTGACGAGCATCGTCCATGCTAGCAAGATGTTCTCATTAAGCAATAAATCACTGCTTGAACTCTTCGAGCATCCTGACCACTTCTGTCGCACTCTTCCTATCTCGTGCTCTCGTGACCAGACACCCGTCTACGATCTCTCCCACTCTTCCTAAATCGCCCACCCCCGGTTTAGTCTTCCCCGTACAGACATTCGTCAGCACTTCATGTATAATCGCAGCATCCGTCCGTAGATGCGAAAACGGCGGTTTCCCTGAATATATCTTAATTCAGGCCGGGTTAACCAGGAGTCATCAAAATAAGCGGAAGGGATTACCTCAATAACCGTACATCCAAAAGCATACACGTCTCTTGCAGTGATGTATTTGGAATCAAACAGTCGGATGTCCAGTACCTCAGGCGCGAGCCATCGAATAGACCCACTCAGCGCCAGTGCAGAACTCCCAGGAGCTTGCGTCTCCACAGTGAGAGCTAACCCAAAGTCAGCGAGGCAGCACCGGTAGTCGTCAGTTACCAGTATATTCGCCTGCAGACATGTCACTCAACATTCCGCGAGTAGTATTTGAAGTAGAGAACATACCCCGCGGATATCGGCATGCACAATGGGTGGGTCCAACGAATGTAGGTATGCCATGCCGTTCGCCACTTCCTTAATCTACCCATCAAACAGGTCAGAGACGAAGTAGGAAATGAATATATAGCTTCATACCGAAGTCAGTCGATCATGAGTTGGATTCGTAGCTAAGAAGCTCATAATATTCCCATTTTGCATCCAAGGGGAGATGAGGCAGAAGCTTGGTGCAAAAAGCTCTGTGCTCACGCCAAGAAACGGGAGGACATTAGGATGCTTGAGGTTTCTCCATACCAGGGCTTCACGGCAGAAATTCTGGTCATACCCATCAGCAATTTGTTAGGATAAGAAGGCGAAAAACCATACCTTGATAACTCGTGTACGCTCCTCAATCCCATTATCAATGAATATACGCAACACCTTGATGCAAATGAGCATATCACCCATGCGGCCTTTCCAAATGTCCTGAGGCAGCATGAATCTAAAGGTATACGACACCCTAAAAGACTGCACGTACCGCAAAACCACCACCCCATACAGCTGTGCTACCTTCGCTCTTAGCGTCCAAACAAGAGAATGAAGTTGGGAGAATGCCATGCGTCTTCACCAGAGCTAGCATCCACTTCGTGCACCGCCTTCGCCAATATTCTTGATCATTTCCCGTGAGCTCTGTATCCTAAAAAAATATCATCGATACCAGGTTAACTGTATAGGCTAGAAATACACGCACAATCAAGTGTTGGAGATGGTCAATAACGGAACGCGGGTACTGGGAAGAAAAGTGATCTATATCACTCAGTGGCTTCCCGCGATCCCAGAAGACCTGACGAATTTCATCAAACATGGTTGGAGGAACCTGGTAAACAGGTTTGACGGCTGGATCTTCATCCTCCGATATTCGCGAGTTGAGGTCAGAACTTATTTCCTCGTATTCATGTACGGTCATTGTTCCGACAGAGATTTTATGGGAGCGATTGGATTTGGGCATGGGCTTGTGATCCTCCATTGCTATATGCTCCTAAAACACGTCCGGCAGTGATGAAAATAAAGGATACAAGAAGACACAGGTCGTACCAGGAAGTCTCGTTTCATGACGCCGATGTCATCCTGCAACTGTCGCATTCGTTCACGCAAAGCCTTTCGTCTGAAATATCGTTTGATGCCATGGAAGTTTTTATCAACCTGTTTGATATTATCAAGGAGAGCTGTGAGATGGCTGAAGGTTGGATCAGACCTCGCATATGAACATTGCGAAGGAATGAATACCTCTGCAACTCTCGACAGCCTGAGGCGAACAAATCGCTCCCGACATCTTCGTTATCGAGCACTAACAGGACAATCTGCCGCATGATAGGCGAAGTCTTCGTTAATAAGTCAGAGGCGCTGGTGCTGTACTTCGCTGACGTCTGATAGGGATCTAGGTGAGTTTTCAGCTCAGTCCCCGGCAATAATGAACCTACCTCAAGGGCGACCAGCAACGAATATATGACACCCGGAACACCTGATATAGGTTCATCGTCCAAACACTTGGGAAGGGCGTCGAGAAACATTACGTCTGGGGCATAATCAGGCTGCGGACAACATTGCCGCTAATACAAAGGCAAGTCATCCACTAACGGAAGAGTCACGATGCTGTTAACGGCATAGACGCCCCCGTGGACTTGGTGCACCTAGGCTTCCAGATGCCTCGCAAGAAAATATCTTCAGCACTCATCGTCGTTGTCTAGCGCAGCGGCGTCAGACTAACTATCAGATATCAAGAACTGAAATATTTTGATAGACATATCCAAGATAACTCAAGCTCAAGCCTGCAGGTTTCATGAGCGAAATGCAAGCACAGTGATAGCTAAAGGACAGACCTTCAAGGTTTGAAAATAAAGAATGGTCGTCCTGCGCTGCTTTCGCGAAAGAGACTGTCCGACAACGAAGCACTGGTAATATTCCAAGATGTGCTGACTCAAATAAAGCAAAACGCAAAGCAGAGATATCGGTTAAACACTCTGAATTGAGGTGCAGTCTCACTGTCACGGACCATCATTGGCTCAATTACTGTTAGATATGATAGGATAGGATGTGAGTAATTGATAGAGACGTGCTCGCGATTTCAGATTCCCACGCCAGAGACGCGTTGCATCTTGTTCCAATCGACAGTCTGGCAGCTTGAATAACCTGTAGTACGTCAAGCGTCAACGTTTGTATCATTACTTTCCAGGTATTAATCTATCGGCATATCCAAGGTCGCCCTTTACCTAAGACTATCTATTTTTTATTTTAGGTCTAGCCCGAAGGATCTTCATGCTGAACCCGATGCAGGACATCTGTCATGCGAGCCTGATATCAAGTGAACGTTTGAGATACTGCTCTATATATTCGTTCATAATACTCGGAAGTTTCTTGGCACAGGACAAACGAGTTCGCAAATTTATGAAAGGTCATAAGCTTCATTTCGTCACTAGATAAATATGTTACGATTAACAATAACCCTCCAGTGCAATTGATACCTATCAGCATGGATGTGAGGATATATATATATATGATACATTTGACAATGTGAGCATTGGCGAGAACAGTGATAGCAGAATGCATGTGTAATGATCGACACCAAGACTTCGTCTATAAGTAACATACAAGTGAGCGGATTAGAAGCGGAAGGAAATAAAAAAAGAACAAAGGAAGAAAACGCAAAAAGTCATGACTCCAACAACACATCCTCGGAGTAAGGTGGTGGCACTTCACCCAGTCTCTCGCCGTGTACCCGGAATCGGTACAGACAGGTGAACTCGTCTCTTCCCCAGTTGCTCAGTATCCTCAACGCTACAATCCCAAAGTCAACACCTAGATCCTGGATCTCATCCAGAACAGGGAAAGTCTGTACAGGGTTGGGCGCATGGATATTGTAATCGAACGCAGCGATCCGAACGTACATAGGCGACTTTGGAAGAGACTTCGGATATTCCTCTTCTTCAACGGTCTCCCCTCGCTCCAAAGCCTCCGTCCTCAACCGAGCCTTCTCAGCCTTCCATTCATTGACCTTGGCGGTGTTCTCGCTCCCTTCAACCAGACCCCAAACCTCCATTCGCCGAGGAGCACTTCGCATGTCAAAGGCAACTTCTTTGGCGACATGATCAATGGTGATCTCCTTGATATACGCGGGAGCAGCGAGCATCACGCCGAGCTGGCCAGACGAACCCGCGAACGGCCAACAATGTCCATTATGAGACTCATGGTGAAGAGCGGTGATGGGCGGGCGACCAATGGCGTAGCCATTCCCGGTTATCGCGCCAACCACCTGGCTCCGCCATGTCTGCGGTCGTACCTCGAAGGAGGGACTTGTCAATGAAGGTATTATTCGTGCGCCACCAGAGTGAAGAGCAAAATCGGGCTTTGCAAGCGTGTCCTGGTTATGGATCGCCACTGCGGACTCCACCAGTTGTTCGACGAGCTTCGTAACATCCTGTCCATCAGAGGATTTGATCGTCAAACCCTTTTTGCCGGCATTCCACCATGATACGCCGGCAGCCGCGGCTCCAGCTTTAGCAGCCTCCCTGACACTTCCCTCGACCGTCCCTACCCGTTCCTCGAGGGTCTTTATTCTGGCCCGTGCTTCATCATCACTCGCAGGACCTTCCGACTTGGAGGAGCCCTGGGCTTGTATTTGGGCCTGGAGCACCTCTATCTCTTTCTTGACCGCCTGCACTGCTCTGGAAGTGGCGTCGCGGTGCTGAACCTCGGCTTCCAGGACTCTAACGTTCTCCTTTTGCACCCGAGACTCTAGTGAACCCAGACGATGAACCACCTCACTTCTTGAGCGAGCATCATTGTCGACCTTGGCTTTGGTACGCTCACTCTCTAGTGCAAGCCCGGCTAGGGTGGCCTCGATCTGTTGCAAGCGGGAGTTGAGTTCAGCCATATTCGAAGCTGGAATTTCGGGTGGAGTATATGAAGGACCGGAGGGGAATCGTGGGGCATATTTAAGAATTGGCACCTGTAAAATGTACCAGGCACTCATGATAGCCAGACCCACTATTAGGTACCTCATAAAGAGGCCGGAAGAACCCTTTAGTATCCATTGTAATGGAACTAGAAGAGTGGCGCCCATGAAAGTACCGAACACCTGTCCACAAAAGAAGAACGTAGCGACCACAAATCCCCATGACCATGTGGCAAGATTCATAACGCCATGAAAGGTATAGTTGATCAAGGATCCAAGGATTGCCCCAACGGATAGACGGGGAGGATCTCGAGGTTGGTCAGGCTGGCCTTCGTCTCTCTCTGATATTGATCTTAGTCCTTGTTCTGCATTCAGTAGAGCACCTTCGGATATGGGCTGAGCATCTGGAGGTTGTGGGTGGTAGGAAGCAGACCGACGTAATGTCGGAGCTGGCTCTCTTGCTTGAGAGGCTCGTGCGGACTAGACGTCGTCATTGAACAACGTATGCAACGATGACGAAGGGAATGGCGCACCTGTTCTTCCTCTTCCTCTTCTTCACCTTCCTCACTCTCTTCCCCAGCTGTGGCTCCTTTCGATGACTTTGGTTTCTTCTTCCTCCGTTTGGTTTCGCTTATAGTCGGAAGAGTGGTCATACGCCCCGCATCCTTTTTCTTCGTCTTCCGTCTACGGTTGTCATCATCCACAAATTCTTCGTCGGACTCCTCCATATCCGACTGTGTTGGCTTGTATGCTTTGTTATCAGAGGACATACCTCCGCCTCGCCTGAGTACAGTTTTGCGACGCGGCGCGGTCTGCTGCTGATTCTGGAAGTCGCGCTCCTCTGCAGAGTAATCATAACTGTCATTCTTGCCGTTGGCGGAGGGCTGCTCCACTGACGCATCTTCGGGTTCGCGTGAGGGTTGACGGAGGTAGAAGGAAGCGTTAGCCAGTGTTTTTGCGGCGAGTTCTACCAACGGACTCCTGGCGCGAGCTCCAGAATTGTCTTCACCTTCAGAGTCCGGAACCTGCTGCAGGGAAGTAGTCTTGCCGATGGCACGAGGTTGGAGTCTATTTGTTGCATTGTTGAATCGGTTGGGCGGCGCAGCAAGGCGACGCTGACCAGATGCACGCGAGGTTTGTTCATACTCGGCTGAAGTGCCCCGATGATAGGAAGTATTTGGGCGCGATGAAGCCCACGAGTTGTTTGGATTGCCGGCCTGCATATCGTAGGCAGCCTGGGTAAACGCGGTAGCGATATTGACTGAGGTATCCTTGACACTCCACTTCTCTGGACTATGTGGTGGTGATGTGTAGAGCTGGGGACCGCCTGGACGAGTCAGTGCAGGAGCTTCGCCGTCGTCGTGATCGGTTAAAGTCCTGCGCTCACGTGCAGACGTTGGTTTTGGAGGTGATCGGGACCCAAGTAAAGGTGCCCTAAGGATTGAATAAGTTCAGTACCAGCTCGACGCGAAAATGTCACACAAGACGCACCCGTAGGCGTACGATGTAGGAACTAGTCGTTGAGGACTTGGTGGGCGGTTTCCGTTGGAGGCCGGTTTCCCGAGAAATGTACTGTGATCCAGACGTCTGCCTTGACCTAACGGTGTGCCCGCGAATGACATGTACCTGCAGGCAAACACGAAGTATTGAACCCAATTATCTGCAGAATGAAGAAAACGTGGTTGTCGTGGGGCGGCAAGATGAGTGAAGAGTTGATCGTGGTCGTTTACTCAAAAGTCACAGTGTGGCAGATCTCAGCGTGTCGTCTTGTTATCATTTATTTGGTTGAACTCCTTGTATTTTCAAGACAAATACCTTTCGTCACAAGGACAATGGTCCAAGAAGCTGAACAATGCAAACGTCGGACAGATGGCGGCGCCATTAGCAAAGTATACTAAATGTTACATCCCTCAAAATACTACTTCTCATCTATTCATCGGCTTCTCCAGCAATTATGACATCGTCTGGAATGAACTCATCAGAACGTGAAAAATGGTAAGGAGTGAAATTACACACCAATCTTCAATACTGCTCGCACAAGCTAAGGAAAATATGGAAGATGAGTGGAGGGTCAAGATACAGCAAAAATAGTCACCTGAGTTGCCAACAGATATTGCTGCCGTTTTGAGATGAGTGGGTCATACACAAACTGCTCCTTCATGTCTACAAAAACAGTAGCCCCATGTGAGAACAAGAGCACACAATAACGAGAAGTGCACCGACCGTTCTGACCCCGACCGTTACAATCGATCCCAAGTCTGGAGTTACCTTCCTTGATCTGCCGGCTTCGAACGTCTGTCAACGTCTCAATAGGCGACAGACCGCTATTCTCTGCCAGCGCAAGTGGAATAGCATCGAGTGCAGACGCAAACGCGCGCATGGCGTATTGCTCGATTGACGGTATCTATCAAAAGAAGCTGTGGTCAAGTAATGATAAAAGGGTCGTAATACGCACCTCGTCCGCCGCTTTTGATACAGCGATTGCACAGCTTATATCAGCAGCTCCTCCGCCATAAACCACCCGATTATCCACGACAAGGTTTCGGACAACACATAGCGCGTCGTGCAAAGCACGTTTCGCCTCATCAACAATCTATTCATAGATCAGCACAGCAATGCAGACAAGGGCAGATGAGTCTACCATTTTGTTGCTGCCTCGAACAAATATCGTCACCGCTCTAGTGTTTGCGCATTGCTCGATGACGAGCATTTTATCGCGCGTCGTGCCAAACGAGACTTCCCGAACGATACCAGCCTTGCCCAACTTTGCAGCAGTAAGATCCTCGAAACGGGGTACAATGCGACCTTGTGTCGCTATTGCAATGAGCTAGCGGCATTATTAGTACGTTCGTCCACCAAAGCTAAATTTGCGATCCACGGACCTCTATTTCCGGACCCCCAACCCATCTCACAGCAGGCAGCTCATTTTGCATTAGCAAGTGATTGGCTTCGTCATCGAAACCCCACTGGCAGATCACCAAATTGGCGCCCGTGTCTTTCACGCGCTTGACCATGTCCGTGAACTTTTCCTTTTCATACTCTCGAAGCTTCTTATACTCCTCCACGCTGGTGATATCTAGCTTGTGCTTCGTTTTCGGGCGAGGGGGCTCGAAGGGACATGTGAGGATAGCAAGTCGGGCGTCCTTTACTGAATGAGGCATCTGTGGATGGGACATATCTTTGTCGATGAGAACACCCTTGATCAACTGAGTGTCCGCTAGTGAACCTCCGACTTTGCCGTCCACCTTAATGAGGTCGAAAGGAACGTCACGTCGATCGAGGTCCGCCACTTGTAAGACGGCATCCACTGCGATCTGAGCGAATTGTTGGTGTTCTTTCGACACACTACACGAGAAGTGGAATGAGACAGAATGAGGTGCTCAAGGGGAAACTCACATTTTGCTTCCAAGACTGGTCATGGCTGTCTTTAGGAGATTTTCGGTATTCTCTCTCGAATATTCCACTTTGTCAGAGATACGATCAAGTTCCTCGACCGCTACAGCACATGCACGATCGAATCCATCAGCAATTCGGATGGGGTGTATGCCCTTGTCCAAAAGTGCTTCACTTTGCTCTAGTAAAGCACCGGCAAGGACTAAAAATAAAGAGGTATCAACAAGCACATTATACACAGAAGAACTTGAAACGCACCAACAACACCGGTTGTTCCATCGCCGATTTCGTCGTCCTGGCTTTTTGATAACTGGACAAGCAGTTTTGCGATCTGATGTTCCACTTCCATCTGACCCAGAATCGTCGCGCCATCATTTGTGACTGTTATTTCGCCATCTGGTGATATAAGGATCTTGTCCAGCCCTACATTGAAACATTATGGGAGGGAAATGCGAGAAGGTCTAGAAGACAGACCTCTCGGCCCCAAGGAGGTTCGTATAATGTTGGCGACGGTCCGAGCGGCAAGGATATGCGACTAAAGGCCCCGGATAAGGTGAATAGTCTCTGTAAAGAAAAAACTGCATGCCTTGATTGCTTCTACACCATGGGATCGAGTTTTCTTGCCTTGCTCCCGGACAATAATGAAGGGTCGCCCGTACTTTATTAAATGACAGTGAGTACAATAAATGCGCATATAGCCAAGAGCATCACCTCATCAGTAGCATACACAGCTTGCGGTTCAGCCATTTCTTTTGCTGAACGTTGTACGCGTCGAGAGGAAAGAGTGAGCGTGACAGTGACCAACCGTGACCTTACAGCGTTCCTTACCACATCAGGTCGATACAACCTTCATCTTTCACTCCACGACCACTTTTTCGGACATTTTATCAAAACATATCCCATGGAACCAGAAGTCGATAACTGGATCGAGCAGCTCAGCCAATGCAAGCAGTTATCTGAAGCGGACGTCAAAAGGCTCTGTGACAAGGTCCGTTTCACCGCTTTATCCGTCAGCCTCACTCTCAGATGAATCTGATTCTCTGGTAGACAAGAGAGATTTTGATGGACGAGTCGAATGTGCAGCCTGTGAGGTGCCCCGTCACCGTTTGCGGCGATATCCACGGTCAATTTGTGCGTCCTAGATTTCACTTTATGATTCCTTGTTCATAACGGCACCATTCCCTTCTACATCTTCCATTCAGCACGACCTTTCAGAGCTGTTTCGCATCGGTGGAAATTCCCCTGATACCAACTACCTTTTCATGGGCGATTACGTCGACCGAGGATACTACTCTGTTGAAACTGTGACCTTACTCGTCGCAATGAAGCTTCGCTATCGTGACCGGGTGACCATCCTTCGCGGGAATCATGAATCGAGGCAGATCACGCAGGTCTACGGCTTCTATGACGAATGTCTTCGAAAATATGGCAACGCCAATGTTTGGCGGTTTTTCACTGATCTCTTCGACTATCTACCTCTTACTGCTCTCATCGATAACCAAGTACGTTTGCCCTCATTTTTCCTCTCTTGTCTTCCGTCCTCCAGAGCTCGAGTAATTTTTGCACATGTGCATTACAGGCGCTGGGCGGCCAGAGCGTCCGTCGTATGACAGATGGGATCCAGCTAACATATGATTTTGACAGATATTCTGTCTACACGGCGGTCTGTCGCCCTCAATCGATACCCTAGACCATGTTCGTTCCATCGACCGGGTACAAGAAGTACCGCACGAGGGACCGATGTGTGACCTCCTATGGTCAGACCCTGATGACCGCTGTGGCTGGGGAATATCCCCCCGCGGGGCGGGATATACATTCGGGCAGGATATATCAGAGGCATTTAATCATAATAATGGACTGACGCTTGTTGCACGAGCGCATCAATTGGTCATGGAAGGTACGTAGTCCGGCTACAAGTTGATATTTCTGCGGCTCAGCTAGCTATACCTTATAGGCTATAGTTGGGGTCAGGACAGGAATGTGGTGACTATATTTAGTGCACCGAACTACTGTTATAGGTGTGGCAATCAAGCAGCTATTATGGAGATAGACGAAAAATTATCGTACAGCTTGTAAGTTGATGAAGGCTATCTCGTCGTCGCGACGTGCTAACCAGCTGTCTACTTATAGCCTACAGTTCGATCCTGCGCCTAGAGCCGGGGAACCTCTTGTCTCACGACGTGTACCGGATTATTTCCTCGTGAGTATCTTGTTTGATGTAGTTGGTACTATCTATAATAATTTCTACAGTGATATTATATATACTTTCTACGTGTAAACCCATCAATATTGAGGGAGAAGTTTTCATTCAACACATGAACACTGTACAGCAGAATCCTTCTTTCCAAGCATTCATCGTCTTCGGATCTGTCGTTACCTACAAGTTACTCTGATATCGCTATCTGCTGTCTCTCCTCCCGCTCGTTACTTTCTGCATCGTTTATCGTAACGTACGTTGACACGCACATTTTATGATTCTTTTTTCGTTTATTTGCTATGGACAGAAAGCTGTGAAAAAAAGTGTTACAATTAATAGATTCACGGGTCAAGAGTACTTGTATTTGAATAACATTTAGTCCTCTGCTCAAGCCACTCAGGGTTAATGCGTCAAAATACAACAGTGATATTGTTACAACCAGAGACGGTACTTGGGGGCTTGTTTGATAAAGCTACACATTTTTCTTCTTTTACAGTAAAATCCGCAAAATACCCGGTCGTTCATCTTACCCGCTCAAATTTCCTTCGTTTGCTTTCCCCTAACAGCCAAGCATCGGTCATCAGCCATCTTTATGATATGATCGCGGAGGCACTAACGGGTTTCGTGCTACTAGGATCGACCTTCTTGAAGACTTGGGTAGTTTCTTTCTGAACAGTTCGCTTCACAACCTCCTCTGCATGGTCGTCTTGATCCTCGAACCCCTGAGCGCTCGACAAGGGTCCTTCAACTTCGTCCCGGGTATACAAAGCAAAAGTTGGCTCCACTCGTTCTTCCGGTGAGTGACGTGATGTCAAGTACTCAACAGTACGCTTCTGGAGCTCCGCAGGGCTGTAATCAGAATGATCGGCCTAAAGGTAAGGAGACTTAGTTCGCGTGAGGAAAATGTGAACGGTGAAGATGCTGACCTTCACAGAAGCCTCAGAAGCAGTCGCAAGAGCCTCGTTCCATCCAGGCGCATTGTCGATTGGAGTGGATGTCCTGTGCTGCATCTTTGAGAGATTTCGATGTTTCTCTCTCTCGATCATCTAATTGACAGATATTAGACCAAAAATTCTTACAGACACACGAGAGGTCGAACTTCTGGGTCGTTATCATGCATTGTGCTAAAACTCTCTCAGCAAATAGGTTTAAATAATCTACCCGTGTTAAATACCTAGAATATCTGAAACGCGGTTAATGTCTCGCCAAGCAATCGACTTTCTGTCACTCACCGTGCACTCAGCCTCATTAAGACTACATTCGTGCGAGGGAAATGCCTCAGCGCATACTTGCAACTGTGCGACAACATGACGGCAGTAGGCAGAAATAAAGCGATAGTATTGGCTGTCTTGAATTACCCACGTCTTTATCTGAGACTCGTGCCCCCCCTTTGGTCATCGAGGAACGTGAGCGGAGAAACGACGTCATAACATACTTTTGACGAACAAGTTTCATTTTCAGCCAATTCGAAGCGATCAAAGAACTGCAAGGACATCAGAGTTATCCTTATCAGAAGTATTCAGCGAGGTCTGTTGAATGATTTCGCACAATATCGGGGTCATCGTTGCACCGCTTCCGACATACTTGTTCTCGTGTTCGCGTCATATGCTCAGGATGCTAGCCCAGTTCGAAGTTGTCTCAAACGTATGTAGAAAAGTACACATTAGTAGTCATTGATGATGGTCACCAGGACACATTATTAGATACATATACCCTATATGCAGCAGAAAAGATTACAACGCCCGTCGCCAAGATACCTCTTATTTCTTCAGTAGCTTCTCATGCAACTCGGCACCCTTCAATCTCGCTCGCAAATACTCCAGTCTAGCCTCATAACGTCTAGTAACTTCTAGTCTTCTGCGCTGTATCTCTGTCATGTCATCTTCCAAACCCACGGTCTCCGAAGAACGCATGCCGTGAACACCTAGAGGCAAATGTCCCGAACTGCGTGAGAGACTGGTATGGCTGCTGAGGGTCGGACGATTGACCGACAACAAAGATGTGCCCTGTGATGATACAGAAGAAATGGACCCCTTGCGACGGATTGAATTTGGGCTTGACGGTTTCTGGGACAATGATTTGCTTCGTGATATGGAGGCGTTGGACCATACCGATAGAGCATCATTTGATGCCTGGTTTGGAATATGTCCCTCTGGGAGGAGCATTGAGGAAGAAGCGAGCTTGTCTTGATTAAGCCATTCAGTGCTTGCAGGGAGAGCGTTAGCCATAGCATGTCGCTTCTGCCGTTCCGCTGCACTGTTCTCAAGATCATCAAAGGCTTTCAGCACCCGCTGGCGCTCCGTTTCCAATTCCTTGATGAACTGACGGAGGCCCGCGGTGGTGGTTAGCCCTCCGTCCTCGAAAATATCATCGCTGATAGATGTGTCGACCTTTGTTTGTGATGGCGGCGTGATAATACGTTTGGAACGGGTAGGGCTGCGCGGGGGCGAGAAGGTTCCGGGGCTCAAACTAGCCTTGTGCAAAGATATCGGGAAGGATTCGTTGTGGGTGCCAGAAGACGCCGTGCGAATAGACGTCATGTCAACACTTTGTTTTCTGAACAGCATGCGTGGAATGAAGGCCCGCTTGAGGGAATTAGTCGGGTTACTTGACGAAGCTGCTGGGATATCCTTTGCAGGTTTACGGCTGGTAGCACGGTGGAAGAGATCTGCTACACCAAAAGTGACAAAGGCCTTGCTCCGTGTACTAGTAGGTGGAGAAGTTGGTGTAGAAGGAGTAGAAGGAGAAAACGCGACTTGTGCTGAGTGACTTCAAAATTTGGTGGAAAATACAATGGCAGGAAACTCACCACGACCGCGGCCTGCAGGAAAGGTGACATGCTTCTTGCTCGATGAAGAGACCCCAGACGGCGCTGTGGTGCTGCATCTCAGACTTGCAATGACTAGCAGAAAAAAAAGTACTCACATCGACCATGAGTGGCAGCAGGCGATTCCACCGAGATCGATATGTTACGTGAGTATCTCTCAAAAACGTCCTGGCGAAGCAATCTATACTCGTCATCACTGCCGTTATGTTAGCCTGAGATACGATAGCAGTAGCCCATTAGACGCACTCGAGAAGGCCCTCAGAGTTGGCGGATGCAAGCTCGTTGAGCCGCTGGGCGAGCGACATTGTAAAAGTAAACGGCAAAGGTGGTGATAGGAGAATGGTTAGGGGGTACCGATATTTCTATGTTCCTTGCAAAGCGGGTTTGTTTGTCTGATGAGATTCTGCTCCATAAGTAAGAAGGAAGGAAATCAGAAAACAAACGGCCATCTGCTGAAAGTAATGGACCAAGCTGATGACACCCGGTAAGGCAACTCGTATGACAGCCGAACTGACACCACTTCCTTCTTTTACTCCTACCGCCATGTCCAAGTCTGACCTCAATCCAAGGACGACACATTACGAGTTTTTTGGTCCGCCTGGAGCGCTCTTCGTTACTCTCACCGTCCCCATTATCACCTATGCTCTCTACTTTGGCTGCGCTGAAGAATCAGGAGGCTGCCCACCAACCTTGGCTACCATCCCTGATCGCGTAACTCTCGCTGTATCAAGTCCGGAATGGTGGAAAGGTCTCTGGGATACCGAAGCCGCCTGCATCTACATCGCCTGGTACGCGTTTTGTGTCGTCGCGTGGGCCGTGCTGCCAGGTGATCAGATCGAGGGGGTCACTTTACGCACCGGGGAGAAGAAAAAATATAAAATTAATGGTACGACCATTCTATCTCGGAACCAGTTACCTCTAACCTATATTCCCACAGCATTTTCAACTTTCCTGTTGGCACTGGGCATTACGGCCGGCATTATACAGAAGTATGGTCCCGAAGCGTTCACATTTTTCTACGACAAATGGGTCGGCTTCGTCACCGCATCTCTCCTGATGTCTGTTATTCAAGGCATCTACGTATACGCCATGTCTTTCCGCCAAGGCAAACTTTTGGCGTTAGGAGGAAACTCGGGCAACTTTATTTACGACGTACGTCCCTCCAGTCTCTCCATTCTAAGCAAGCCTTGACTACCGTATCCAGTTTTTCATTGGCCGCGAACTCAATCCTTCCATTGGCTCCTTTGACATCAAATCCTTCAACGAGCTCCGCCCCGGACTTATATTATGGACTTTGATTGACATTGGCATGGTGTGCGAACAGGCTGTCCGGAGGGGAGGCTTTGGTCGCGTCACAGATTCCATGTGGCTAGTCCTTCTTTTTCAAGGCTGGTATGTTGTCGATGGCCTATATAATGAGGTGCGTTGCAAGATACACGTGTCAAACGCGTGATGCTTAAGGGCGCGAAGCCCGCCATTTTTACAACTATGGATATCACTACCGACGGTTTTGGTTTTATGCTCTCAGTCGGAGATCTTGCGTGGGTCCCATTCACATACTCTCTGCAAGCAAGATATCTTGCATTCAAGCCGCTTGAACTTGGCCCCTTCTTAACCGCCGCTGTCGTTCTGGTCAACGCGACCGGCTACTACATCTTCCGAACAGCTAATGGTGAGAAGAATGACTTCCGTAATGGAAAGAACCCCAAAAGTACGTTCCTTGCCTCCGACACTCCTCTGTTTTTAACGAACGATGGCGCAGATCTCCAATATTTTACTACTGCCTCCGGTTCTAAATTACTGACTTCCGGATGGTGGGGTCGCTCACGACACCCCAACTATTTGTGAGTGCTGCTGGTTGACCTCTCGAGATACACGTTCTTACTGGTTATAGTGGTGATCTTCTCATGGCTTTGGCCTGGTCGCTGCCTACAGGATTCGAAACACCTATCACATACTTCTATGTCTCTTATTTCACGGTCTTGTTGATCCACCGCCAACTCCGGGACGATGAGAATTGCAAGAAAAAGTGCGTCGGATCCGTTTACTTTTGATTATAAGATTGATCTGGTTTCAGATACGGAGATGACTGGGAAAAATATAAGAAAATGGTTCCTTATCGCATCATACCGTATGTTTACTGAGTGTACGGGTACGCTGAGAGACGTTTAACTTGTTTTGGGGTCCTATCTTCCTTTCAAATAGTGTATAAATATTGCTCTTGACGAACATTTGACGGAGATGTAAAACCTTTATCCTGTAAATACTCACGTAGGCACGAATTGGAGGCTGCCAGCGAATGCTGTCCGAGAACATGGACGTTCTGAGATGATGGAGCTTGCGACGGCAGCGCACAGCCGGCTGAATTGAATGCTTTTCATTGGGGAAGGTGATTCGAATGTTCATCACATGTGATATCCCAAGCCGGCGCGTCATGAATATAAAGTCAATTGTACAGTTTGCGACCGCGTTCTCTACTTCCAATCCACCGCCATCATGGGCAAGCCACTCTCAGGCTCTACCGGCAGCCTCACCGTTCGCGACAACCGTACAGGAAAGACATATGAAATTCCGTATGTCACGTCGGCTACGATGACAATTACTCCAGATTCACCGTTGTGCACAGAATCACCAACAACAGCATCCCAGCGACAGCCTTCAAGGCCATATCTGCTCCCAGAGGCGTGGGAGATAGAGAGGAAGATGAAACCGAGAAAGGATTGCGTGTATCTGACAAGGGATTTTTAAATACTGCGGTTATGCGCAGTCAGATTACCTACATTGATGGAGAGGCGGGCGGTTTGTCTTCTACTCCCATCATCTCCCTTTTCTGTGCTTACTGAGGCCCTCAGTCCTCCGCTACAGGTCCGTGGCATGAATACTTGGCATCTCATAATTCTCACTCTAGCTTTAGAGGATATCCAATTGAAGAATTAGCACTTCATTCGTCCCATCTGGAAACAGGTAAGGGTTTTCGCCGCTATTTCGGCTGAAGTGTCTAACCAAACCTCATCTGCAGCATACCTGTTGATTTATGGCTCACTACCAACTGCCTCCCAGCTCCATGTCTTCGAGAGCGAGGTGATGCACCACGGCGTCGTCCACGCTGACGCCGAACAATTTTTCCGTTCTTTCCGGTAGAATTTTCCTTTTCCCTTGTTCGTGAAGTGCCACAGCTGACAGCTGGTTAGATATGATGCGCACCCGATGGCTATTTTGACGAGTGCTTTAGCCTATCTGGGGTCTTATTACAAGGAGGCAAATCCATCGTTGCGAGGTACGTTCCATCTGTCGTATATGCTTTCATTAACTGACATAGCAAGTTAGGTCAGAATCTGTTTACAAGAGGTTCTAAAGAGTCTCTGGCTGTGATGGACAAACAAATCTATAGGCTGATAGGGAAGGCCACGACGCTTGCTGCGTACGTGTATTCTCCCATATCACTTTTTGTTTTTGAAAATGAACGTGTCATCTAGGATGGCATATCGTGTCCGACAAGGACGTGAGTTTGTGACGCCACCGACTGGTCTGAGCTACACCGGATCGTAAGTACAATGATTTGTGCCTTGAAGGAATTTTTACGCATATATATGTCAAGATTCATGTACCAAATGGACCACCTTGGACAGGAAGACTACGTTCCACACCCCGTCTTGGAAAAAGCACTGGATGTCCTGTTCTTACTTCACGCCGATCATGAGTTAAACGCTTCAGCGACAACGGTCCTGCAGACGGGTAGCTCGCTAGTTGATCCCTACTCTGCCATCGCGTGAGTTAATGGTCTTTCGCTCCACTTTGTATTTTGTTTTACCACGTTTCAAAGTGCTGGATGCGCATCTCTGTAGTAAGTTTGTCTTCCCTTCTCCGATCTGGTGGCGGAAATTGACGCATTCCGATAAAGTGGGCCATTGCATGGTATCCTCGCCACTTTCATGACGCCGTTTCCCAACTCATCATGATCTAGGTGGTGCGAACGAGGCTGTTATCCGTATGCTTATCTCTATTGGAAGGTAGAACATGCCGTTTTGTAACGTTTCCGTTCTGACTGGTATGCACTTGCAGCCCGTCCAATGTCCCGGCGTTCCTGGAGGCCGTAAAGAGACGGGAAAAAGTTCTTTCAGGTTTTGGACACAGGTTCGTTAAGAATTGACTACAATGACCATATTTTGATCTGTGTATTTAGGGTTTATAAAACTGTGCGTCTTGCCCATCCAGCCATATAACAGATTTAGCATGCTCAATCCTCCTTGTGTAGTCTGATCCACGTTCCTTCATCGTGCGCAAAACGGCCGATGAGGTCTTCAAAGTGTGAGTCATTATAGATATATGGAGGGTCTCTATTTGCTGATCCCCTATCGGCATAATTAGAACAGGAAAGGACGAACTACTAGAGACGGCCATGGCACTCCACGAGGCGGCGATGAAGGATGAATACTTTATTAAGAGGAAGCTAGCCCCAAATGTTGATTTCTGGTATGTTTGTCCGATCTACTACTACACGCACGAATTAACGTGAATTACAGGAGGTGCGTAGTGTACGTGATCGGAAGATCAAAAATACTCAACATGTTCGCTGAAGTGGGCTGATTTATCGCGCCATGGGTATGTTCACGGTGCTCCCGGATCATTGTAGATGTTAATTATCGTTACAGGCTTCCCCCTGGATTTTTTCCCCGTGTTGTTTGCTGTGCCACGAGTAGTGGGGTGGCTTGCGCATTGGCGACAGGTGCGCATCTCGCCGATTAGAATCATCCGGGCTTATCCGCGATAATTAGATGATGCTTCAAGAAGGCGGGGTAAAGATTTGGCGACCAAAACAGGTGAGTGCATGTGAGTGCAACATCCGACGAAGCTGACGTCGCCCAGATCTACGTCGGAGCAGCCAAGCGCGCGTATGTGCCTCTTGACGAGCGGGTGCCTGTGGAAGGGCTGAAGGAAACGCCTTCCCCCATTGAACACTCTGGGTAAGTGTCGGCAGTTGATGGTGCCCATAGCGACTTACCTACTCACGTACGTTTGTCAGGATCTCCAAGAGGACCATGCTCGCCTCGTTCAAGGGTCAGAAAGCAAAGCTGTAGGCTGAGCAGGGGCTACTCCTTTTATGATGTGTTTCATTATAACAATGCCAAGGGTTCGTTCCGGATCTGGTGTGATCAGCCCGTCGGAGTTGGAAGCCGTGAGGCTGTTTGGACATATTTGGCTGAACGCCTGCTGGCCTGGAGGTTTCCTTGTCCCTTTCCCTTTATCCTCTTGCCGTCCTCCTCCCCTTTCCTGTTTTATACCGCCACTCTACCCTACATCCTGCGAAGATGTTCTCCACATTCCTTACCCTTGCGCTCGTTCTTGCCCCCGTCTTCAATGGCGTCCTCGCTGATTTTAATGTCTATGCCCCTTCCACGGTCGCTCAGGTTTGTTTATTTTTGTGAAAACACAAGGCGTTTTGGTCGGCTCAGTTTTATGACAGTGTCAAGTACTCAGTTTCTCATGGGACTCCACCGCTTCGCCCATAGACGCCGCACTCGTGAGCCCTCAGGATCCTTGTGGCGACTTTCTGTAGGTATCGGTTCTCCTATGATTTAACAATTTATAAAATGGTCATCTAGTCAGGATTTTGGTTCCAATAACTGGGGTAATTCTTTGAATGTTACAGCCGCTATCCCTGCTGGTACTTCAATTCAGTTGTCCTTGGTCGACAGCAACGACAATGAAGCCTGGAGCGGAGTGGTAAGTTTGCCACTGATAGCATCGTTCTGTCTCTCAACTTTTCATCCTGCAGATTACCGTCACGGAAAGCAGCGACGCTAGCTGCCTCAGTGCTTCGTCCTCGTCCTCGTCCGCTTCCGGTGTCTCCGCATCCGTCTCTTCGACGGCGTCCGGTACTACGTTCGTTATTATTACTGATTTTCTTCTTGCGATGTTTCTGACTGATGAACAGGTTGGTCGTCACCCCCAGTTCCAACGCCAAGGCCTCCTCGACGTCCTCTTCGTCGTCAGCCACTTCCGCTGGACCCTCTGCACCTGTCGGAGCCGTCGGAAGTGGTCCGGGCTCAAATGGCGCGAGTCACCAAGTTGCTGCACCCCTTATGGTCCTCGGAGCGACGTTCACGGCCCTCCTTCTATCCCTATAATGATACCCCGCTGGTTGCCCAAGGCTTCCTTGCACTTCTTTTACCCCTACTATTTTTATCCAAGTAACACTAAGTGCTACTCTTCTTTTACTGTGTTTTTTTCTGGTATCTCTGCAGGGTGTGTGGTATAATGTTGGTTCCGGAGCTCAAATATCTCGAGATGTGATGGTATCGAACTGGTTCACCTATCACGTTTATCTCCTGGTACACCCTCTCCTTTATATACTGTTACAGCCGGTGTTGTGTTCATTCATGTGATAACTGTACATTGTTCAATACTTTTATATGTACAATCGGACTGTGTCCGCCTTTATGTTCCTTGGTTACCATTGTGATCACACAAGATCAGCGCGATATATCGGGTATCCATCCTTGGTTCTGTACTACCATTCGCATGGCTTCATCAACAGAACACTGGCATACAATGTGTGTCGCATCTGACAATCTGTACTCTGCCAACTTATTAGTAAAAGATCCGTGCAGATACCGTTCATCTCGCATAAACATGCCATGATCGCCAAGCGAACCATCGAGGTCGATCCAGAACTACAGCCCCAGGCAGTGAAACGTACACTGTTCGTTGAAGGCAGCATTTTGACTGCGTAAGTCTTCGTATTACTACTGTCATCTCGCCAATCAATATTTTCCAGAAATTTCGAGACTCTGACCGTCCGACTAGCTCGTTTGACGGTCAATGGCTTCTTAGAAAATGTCGATCTTGTCGTTCGTACCCTAGAACAGTTTGGCGAAGACGCTGAGAAACGCCATGTACAATCAAGCCAATATCCTTGAATATGTGGTAGTTAAATGGACAAGTGGTGGGATGTGCTACATTGTGCTACAACTGTCAAGATGATAGTGCAATAGGATACTACAAAGATGTTCCGGTTGCACAAAGTTACTCCTCCTTCGATGCGGCTTCCTCCTCAGCCTTTGCCTTTTTCTTCTTGTTCTTCTTGTTCTCTCGCAAGTTCCGTGAGAGAAGGGCTTTCAGCTCCTCATCTTCGAGTTCTTTCTCTGTTTTGACGAGTTCAGGCTTGTACCAGATGGGTGGGTGGGTGATAAGCGAGGGGCCAGCGGGCAGCAGTGCAATCGTGAAGTGGAAAGCAGCAACAAAGGTATTTGCGGGAGTGTAGCTGATGGAAAATCAGCGGTCAGCAGCTACCTAACGGCGACTTCGGCAAGGACTTACATCACTTCATATGGCTTGACCAAACTGTGTTGCACGGCCTCCTGCAGACCCATTCGGGCACGTTTCTCGTCCTCGAGGACACGGACGTTGAATGGGAAAGCGCCAGCCTTCTTCTGTACCTCTGAGAAGACGGCACGAGACGTCTTCATTTTGAGTTGATACGTGATCGCCGAATCGCGTTGGAAGAGCGTCGTTCGGGACTCTTCGATCCTTGCCTGCAACGACATTAAAGTCACTGTGGCGGAAGGGAATATGCAGATCCACTGACCTTGCCATCTTCACCCGAAGATATGAGAATGTCAATACCATACACTTCACCCTCAGCAAACGTGACAGCCTCAAAGTCTCGCTTCTGAGCTTCACTGGGGTTGAGGATGATGCGCTTCTTGCCGTCAATGAGGTTTTGTTTCTGTTCACAGGACAGCATACCTATAAGGCATCAGAAAACAGGATTAATGTATGGTCAAGAGACCATCAGATACCTTCAACAGGTTTGCAGTTCCATGTCGAGGCGGCACTTGCGACGGCTTCCGTAACTGCCCAGTTTTTGTTACCGACTTTGACAGTCCGCATAGCGATTTCCGCCGCATGCCATGCGGCCTTGATGACGTCCGCCCGGCGTCCAGTAACAGGGTTTTCGGGTGATGCACCAACAACGATTGTCTCAGCACTGATGGAGGCGAAACCGTCGATGTGTGCTCCAACATGGATCTTCACCACGTCGTCTTTAGCCAGGACCTGCTCAGATTGAGGATCCGAGCTGAAAAACAAAAGTAGGACCGCAAAGGACACGTCAGGCCCAAGACGATCTTGCAAGAAGCTAGGGAGAAGAAACTCACGCCAACGGTGAAAAATGAGCAACACAATTGTTGACTGAGATGCAGGTTGGGAAGGCAAGACCTGGAAAAGCATATTCAGCGAGATTTTACAATGTGGTCGCGAGCTTGATACGCACCCTTGGGAACCTTGACGCCCCTGACCGCCTTGTTGTACACGGCTCCAGTGCCCTGCTCAATCAGCTTGTCTCCTTCGATACAGAGATCGATGATTTTAGCTCCTTCAACAGACAGCTCGATGAGCTTCTTCATGACTTGGTGAACGATATCCGCGGCCGTCTGCAGCGAGTGGACATGTTGACTCAGTTTTTTCTTCACTTTTGCGAGTGACATTGACAACGAACCTTGTATTTAGTCAAATCAGCTTCCGCTGTTGAGGGAGCAGCCTTGGTAGCATCAACGGCAACAGCGGGTTTTTCTTCTTCGGCCATTGCGATTTTTTGTGGATTCGTTCAAGGCGTCGAAGAAAAAAAGATGAAGGTCGTGGATGAGCCAATTGAATTTGAACGGTTACCGTATTCGGATGTTGACACCGTCATCGTTCTCACAGTCGATGTACATGCACAATCGTCGGAAAGGGAAGCAGAGAATTGTGTTTGAGTTAGATAATTGACATCTACTTTTATATGCAAAAAATCCTGGATAAATGGTATTGGCAATATTACAGTCTACGCAAGACGCAAATGCCTGGTCTTGGGGTATTACAGTGAGCAAGAGCATGTACTTACAAGTTGGATCCGTATATCCGTCCACAGATAGATACTTTATAGCTGATGATATATAGATAGCAATGCGTTGATGATGTCGAAAACGGAGGCAAAGAGGAATGTCAAAGGAGGCCGTATCAGGCCAATGTTCGATTTTATCGGGGTTTCCATGCCACAAAGCCTTTCAATGCCCTACACAACTCTGGACTTGATAAGGCTTTAGAAGCGTCATCTACTTCCGCAGGCTTGATGTCGACATTGTCTCTCCAGATCCGCCAATCAGGCCGTTCTCCGACAGGTTCTGGCCATGATAGCTCGACGGAAAGACAGTCCCGCATGCCAATGCGATCCATCATATCGCTAAGGGATTGCATCAGGGATCGTTCCAAAGCAATTCCCAAATAGCACCCACTTTTGCCAATTCGCCCACGCACTATCAAAATCTTCCCTGACAGACGCTTGCTGGGTTGTACGGAAAGCTTTCGGAGTCCGCACAACAGGAGGTAGTTCGGGAGCAAGCTGCAAATGCTTGTATTCGTTCCAAATGGCTTCCTTGCATGCCATAATGGTCTGCACGGTTTTAGCAAGATGCATGACTGCCCATGAAGGTACTGAGTCATGAGACGCGATACTTGATCGTAACGAGATATTATCCGTTTCGTTGGATCGCCGGACATTCTTGGTAGACTTGAGGACAAATTGGGAATCCAAGTCAATCCAGCTCGAGGAGTGGCCATTGCTTGCTCCGTTGGTGCCATGTGCGAATGATCGGGAATTGGGAGGGAGGTCGATGGTAAGCGTGGGATGAGTTTGAACGTCCGTAAAGCAAGACGAAAGGTAAAATGGAAGAACCGAAAGGAGCTGCGGTGCTAAAAATCGCCTTGAAAGCATCGCTTCCCAAGCTGCCTTAAGCTTAGAGTGATCTTGAGGGTGACCGGCCAGGTCATGATAATGGTCCGGACTCGGCTCGGATGTGTCCACAAGGGTCGACAACGTGTTGGACATGCGCCTTGTACGGTCGGGGGTTTGTGCAGGATATGGTGTATGCGGCACGGAGGTTGGATGTTCCTTGAGGGTCTCAAGCGTTGATTTTGACTTCAAGCTCAGGCTAGGCTCGGAGCCTTCGTCGGAACTATATTGCCAGGGACTCGTGGACAGAGTGGTCGAGGAACGACTTGAGTAGGCGTCCGGAACGTTGGTATTGATAGACATGCCAAGCCGTGTTCGAGGACGAACAGGTTGGGAGCAAGGAAAAATCAAATCTTCCTCTAATAGCTAAAAAGTCCAGGAAAATCAGTTTTTGCAAACAATCGACCGGATAATGAAACTACGCACTTCTATTGGAGCGCCGGGTTTCATTACGCGTGAGATTTCCTATCAGTATAATTAGGCAAAGATTGGTTGGTGATTATCAATGGTTAGAATCATACCTCCAAGACATACTGCCACTAGAACAAGAATGTTAAGGATGATAATGGGTTTAGTGAAAATGATCGTACCTCATCCTCGGGTACTCCCAGGCCAATGCGCGCCACTCGTACGAAATCAAAATGGTCGGGTGGAAAAGGTAGCCCGTCAAGTCTACCGTCAAGTCAGAACGGTCTAACGCCAACAGAAAAATCCTCACAGATTGCCATGTAGCCACTTGACACGACGAGCCAAATCTTTGTGACTGCTTATCTCGTAAAGCCTCGGTTGTATTTCTTTCAGGTCGAATCCAATGATCGTACTGGACTGCAGAGAGGAATATGATGCCTTCGCCGGGCGCAAAAGTGAGGGGTTGAACTCACTGGCCAGTGCTTAGCAGCTTCTATAGCCCAATAACCGCTCCCACACCCTAGGTCAAGTACGAGAGCAGGGGGTTTGTCGAACTGATGCATAGATATGCTTCTTCTGCAGCAACTGACGAAAAACATATGATCCCATATATCGCTATAAAGCAGGTATCAGATAGACTCTGAAAGAAGAGAAACGCGCCGTACAAGTTCAGCATTTCCATGTTGTAGTTGAGAGGGTAGGGCACGTCGCCGGGTCTGCGCCTGCAGTTACGTTCCTTCAGAAGGAGAGCCTCGACGTCCTTGACGGCAGGAGAGACCGTACTTGAATTCATGGGGGGAAAGGGAAAAAGAACGTTTGAAATGAATGGAAGTATATAACCGAGGCAAATCTCAAGATCTTGCTAAATCTTGTCGCGAAATACAGGTTCGTCCGGTTCAGTCAACCCATGATGGCCGTTGAATTCTGGAAATCCGCCGAAATCGGTCCGGACAAGAACATCTCATTTTGGAAATTATCTGACACGTGCTCCTTCCCGTCGACTGTTACCGTGTTCCTACCTATTCTTTCCGTAAACTATGTCGCTCATTGCCAGGCGCGCCGCCACTGTCGCAAGGCCTGCTGCAGCATTGGCTGCAAAGCTAAGAGCCTACGCTACTGAGGCTGCAAAGGACCCAGAGAGCGATGACGACTACCCCAAGGTTCCCAATGTATCGCGACAATATCTTCCTGCGACAGGCTGGCAGGATCCACTATTGCGGCGCAACTTCGGCGACCCTGTACGTCTTCCTTTTTTCAACTTTTTTTTCTATCTCGTGTTTATTTGCTCTGTAGGTGCACGAACAAGAAGAGCTGTACTCCATGTGGGGTCCAGACATTCCCACTATCGCACCGCATATCGCCCTGCGCCACTTCACCTACGCAGTAATCTCTTTCGTCTCGTTCGGCTTCCTTGTGAAATACGCTCTGACACCAGAGATGCCCGCCATTCGCCGCGAGTACCCGTTTGGTGGTTTAGTGACTGAACTTGGTGGTATGGATGCAAACAAGGTTCGTCATCTAACAGTATACTGCATACAGTTGCTCACCATGATTTTCTTAGGCAAGGGTTGAGGATGAGAGCGACGTGGACTAGGATAGGCACATCTATAAGACACCCACGAACGAGAGACAATCGATGAATTGATATTGCGAATCGACACCAATTCATATTCGGTGACGTTCCCCACTAGCCGACTGAGTTTGGTACCCGAGCAGCGTTTGCTCCTCGCAGATGCCCTATGATCTATTCTATCCTCGTTCTTGGTGAAGTTCTTTCTCACTTACCACGTTCCTGTCACCTACGTACTGCGAAATGGAAAATTACTGAAGTAAACAAGTGGGATAAGGACAATGCTAATGTAGTCAGCGTGCGAAAAACATACTATGTCAGCAGCATGGCGCAGTGGTAGCGCGCGGGGCCCATAACCCCGAGGTCACTTGATCGAAACAAGTTGCTGCTAGGATTCCATTTTTATTTCTGCTTGTATCAAATCGTAAATGATTCGAACGATGAAATTCTAATCATCGATTGCAATAAACATTAGCACTACGTTGACTCTGGTGCACCCTTGTATATAGGTTTTGGTTTAGGGCGGGGCCGAAGTTGTGCAGAGAGAGGTGCTTCGATTGTTATAACGGCTTCGCTGAATTCAGCATCTTCACCAGAAGAAGGTTCCGACATCTTCCTAGTACTGCTAGGTCGACCGCGGCCTCGGCCACGTCCGCGCCGATGCGAAGCAGATTCACGTCCTTTCTTTCCCCTTGCACTACTTTTCGATCTCTTCTTGACTGGCGTATCTTCTTCACTCACGCCCGAATCCGACCCCTCCTCATCAACAGACCCAGAAGAACTGGCCCCAGCTTTTCTCTTCTTCCGAAAATCCGAGACTACTTGCTGTAGACGTTTACTAGCATATGCTTGTCTTCGCCTAGGTGCAAAAGTTCCGCTTCCCGCAGCAACATCAAAAAATCCGTTCAGGTTTCCCTGTCTATTCATTGCTGCGGCCTGTAAGACACGGATGTGAAATCTTATGAATCTGCTATCTAAATGGCCAGCGTACCTGACCACGCTTTCCCATTTTCTGGATGATGGGAACGAGCAAGTCATCAACTTTGCTTTGCGGCCATCCGAGCTCTTCGTGGAGAAATCTGTCAACGACCGTGTTAAAAAGTTTCAATGTATCAGTATAGAAAGAGGTTACCCGCGGAGAGCGTCAAGATCCGGTAGGCCCCATTTGAAAGGCTCATCAGACTCATCAACAACAGGATGATAATACGCGTCCCTCTGAAAATTGAGACTCAGATAATTGGTTTCAAAAAATGATGAAAAGGGCTGACCACAGCAGGGTTGGGCCATTCACTGGGCAGATACAGATCCTTAAATTTCTTCTTCTGTGAAAGAAGAAGCTCAGTCGAGAAAGATAAGTGAACATTCGTCTACTTACAAATCGCTTGCGGAAGGTGGATTTATTATCTTCCTCCCTATCTTTGCCGGTTTGCACTTTGAGCCACCACTCTTTGAATTTATGGAGCCCGCCATCTCCCGGGAATTCCTTCAAGAGTTCCATGGCGACGACAGGGCCAACACCAGGAAGACCATCCACATAATCACTTCCCAATAGATAGGCTAGTCTCACGAGGGTGCCCCGATCGAGACCAAGTTCTCGGGCGAGATCGCTGGTCAGAAAACATTCAACGGTCTTTGACTGATTGAACATATTCTTGAAAACGCGCTGACCGCCGAACAGAAACACGTCTGAGTCGTCAGTAATAATGCCGTCCACCAGCCCCAACGTGACAAGCTCTGCGCACTGAGCTTCCGCCTCCATTGGGGCAGTAATATATGGAATGCCGAAGAGACGCAGCATCATCTACCGTCATTTCATCAGCAAAGCTCACTCTTTTTTTTTTCGAGAAAACGGAAGCTATACATACCATAATTTGGTTGACCATCTGCTGATTGACGTCTTCTGAATCTCGCATGGCGGCTTTACGTTGCTGATCCAAAGACTTTATTTCGGCGTCAATTTCGCGGCGGACATCATTGATATCCCTGCCTTTGACTTGTGAGACGAATCGTGCAAATTCACCCTCTTCCGCATCAGGGTCCATCTCTTGAGCGGCATCCCAATTCTCGATGGGCGAAGATGGACGCGACTTATTCGTATCGTCGGGAGAAGATGAACGAGACGCGTCTGAAAGCGGTTCGAACGTCTCCAATGTAAAGGTGTTGTGCATCATGAGGGTTGAAGGGTTGGGTTCTGGATCGACATATTCTAGGTCTTCGCTGGTGGCATGATCCTCGTTGTCTATGGAAACAAGATTCTCAACCGTATCGGGAACAAAAAGTGGCTGAATTTGAGATTGAGATGGAGGAGAATCTGGGAGCGTTGGGTGTTCAATAGTAACCTCTTCCATATCTGAGTCATCTTCATTCATCGACTGGGTAACGACAGGACTTCCTGCTGATAGTTGCGAAGGAGAGGATGGACGCAGGAGATGATCAGCATGCTCCACGATACCAGAGCGGTCTCTCGTAGCTGCATCGCCCACCATCTCTGTATCATTTTTTTCTGAGGGCCTAGAAGACAAGGGAGGATGTTGCAAGGGCGGTGTTGTTGTAGGCGAAATCTGAGGTTCAGATTGACGAGGTTGCGCGCCGGACATGAGTAGGACAGGTGTCCCAAAGGCTGATGGCTCTTCTACACTAGGGATGGGCGACGCTGCTTTGGCTACGGGCGCAGGGTTGATATGAGATGTAGAAAGTGATGAAGTACCTTCGGGAGATGGGGTGACAATCGGAATCGAATGTGGTCGATATTCTACTTTAGAAGTAGATGCGAAACGGTTGTCACCTATGTCGTCCTCAAATGCATAGATATCTTGCGCCGCAGAAAAGGAAGGCGGTGGCGAGGCGGATACTGCATACCTATCATCAAGGGACCGCTGGATTGCCAAAGCCATTTGTTCATCTTCTGAAGCGCCATCGATGTCAGAATTGTCGCCCTGCTGGAATAGAGGGGCTTGCCGGGACTTTATCGGCGGTTTGCTTTTCACTGAAGACGTCTGAGTGTGGCGGCCGGCTATTGAACTCAAAGCCATTTCCCGCTGGAAGGCTCTCAGATCAGGGTCGGGTTGGGTGCTCCCTGGTCTACAAAATCAGGAACGAAGGATGCCTCGAAAATCAGAGACTTACATAGAAACCTCTTCCATGTCGTCGTCCTCGTCCTCGTCCTCGTCGTGCTCATGATCAAGAACGATTGGTTTCTGTTTGGTTCCATCGTCCCGAATGCCAAGTATCCAGCCGCCCCCTTCCCCCTCGTTTTTGATGAGCATGTATTCCTTATTCCGTTCACTGGCAATGCGAACAGGTATGGAAATATGGGCCTTTCCTATGCTGTCTGTCGTCATGAGAAGTTGTTGGGTCAGAGTGTTCCTTTGCTGCAAATTTTTGATCTGCTGCTTAGAAAAGTCCAAAGGTGTAGGAGCACTCCTTAACATTTGCTGTAATCGCGAATAAGAAGTTTGCCGAGACTTGAGCCGTAGGTCGCCAACGATCTCGTATTGCACCTCCGTGGGAAGCTCACGAAAGGCGGGAGAAGTGACATCGAAATCTTCGGGCCGCATTTCCTCAATGAAGGCGCGCAGTTCTTCCTCAGTAGCCAGGCGGGGATCTGGTTCCACCGAACGCGTAGCCTTGGCCACTCGTTCTTCCAGATCCACTTCCGGGAGCTTGTAGGGATCATGGTCATATATCTTCTTCGTTGGTGAGGTCTGAGCAGAAGCAGGCGCCGGGTTTTTTCTAGGAGAGGACTTAGGCATAGATGGATCAATATCTTCGAGATACACGGTATTGTCATCCAGGGCTACCGAACCTTCAGGAGCCTTTCCTGTAGAGGATCTGTTGACAAGTCAGTGTACCAACACCGAATAAAAACGCGTCAGCGTACCGTGCTCCTTTTACATGATTAAGAGCCTCTCTTCTCATTTGCGCAGCCAAGAGTTTTTCAGCCAATTTGGCATGACTTGCCGCTGCACCACTCTTCTTCTTCCTGCGTTCAGTCTAGGACAATATAACATCTGTCCATAATTTTGCAAATGGGCACACTCACAAGAGTTGCTTTCTTCAACGCCGGTGCACCTCCATCAAAGACGAAAACAGGTTTCATGCCGTAGAAGAGAAGCTTGCATATCCGACGAAGGAAACCGAGGACATGGGCGTTCGTCAAGGCACGTCCGTCCTTGGCTCGCATTGTGGCTTGGAACTGGTAGATCCATATACTTGAATCAATAGCCATCGTCTTGCCTTCCATAGTCTCCAACCTGTACATTATTCAGCACGACGGAATTGAAATATAGATGGACCGCATACATGACTGGCCGCCCAACAGGCGTCAAAAGGTTCCACAGAGACTTGACACCCATTTTGAGGTGAAAACTACCTTGTAATTTTCTGCAATGGTCGCATAGGGCTCGGACCGAAGGACGTCGCGACAAAGAGTCAGATGGTAGTCAATTGGCAAGCCCTTTTCGGGGAAAATGACATGGGCGCACGGTCCGATCCTTCCGGTGCTTTCGTCCCGCCTTTCTCCCTTCAGAACCGCAATCTCGAGAACTCTTCCAAAGACGTAATGGAATTCAATCTTGTATGGTCCGTGGATACTTCGAAAGGAGTAAGCTCGTTGCAAACGGCCACCGAGCAACAGCAGCCACGACAAAACCTTTTCCTAAATTCAAAACATTTCTTACCATGTAAGCTTCGTTTTTCTCACTAGCTAGAGTGGTTTTCTAATAGCATTGCTGCTACAGGACTCGAGGGGATGTCATAGAATTGCTTCTACGCAGCAATGACTGCCACTTTCCGCACGAGGAGCAGCAAGTGCGATCCATCCTCCTCGAGACCCAAAGCCAGCTGGACATGGTCGAGAGGAAGATAGAGGTTCTCCAGGCAGTTCTTGATACTCTTTGCGACCAAAAGACCCTCTTGAAGTCGCGTATCAGGAGGCAAAAAATGGCCCTCGCTCCCATTAGGAAAATCCCCGCAGAACTCATTGCTGAAATTTTCTTGCTCGCCGTCGCTGAAGCTACCGCTATATCTCCCAATGGCCAATCTTATTCTTCGGCTGCCAATACTGTGCCATTGCGGCTGAGCCACGTATGTCGCAGCTGGAGGGAGACCGCACTCTTTTTGCAACCGCTTTGGACACATTTGTACCTATCTTCTGACCAGAAACATGGAAGCGAAATCCTGCAGACGTGGCTGGACCGTTCCGGGCAGCGTGGTTTGTATTTCCATGTAAAACTTACATCCCGGCCTACTCATGACCGGCAGAACCTTGTCCAATCGTTGATTGCCCATTCTCATCGATGGCACACTATGCATTTGTATGCCAACGGCAGAACCTTGGCGTGTTTTGGAGTCATCCGGGGTCATCTTCCTCTCCTCACGGAAGTTAAACTTGCTATATCGAATCCCGAGGATATCGCAGGCAGTGTGACCGATATTTTCGCTGACGCACCTCTCCTCCGTTCCTTCCATATCTCCAGCCAGGAGTTTTGGAGAACTACCCCCATCTTCCAAGTGCCCTGGAATCAGCTCAATGCTTACTCCGTGGATGACGCGGGCATCCATGATTGTATACAGTATCTGAATCAAGCACCCAACCTCGCTGAATGCCGGCTACTTTCTCGCTTCGCTCCTGTTATACCAACTGTTATGGTGGTGCACGAGCATCTTCGCAGTCTCTCACTGTGCGACTACAGACTGTTGAATCACCTCCATGCGTCACAGCTAGAAGAACTGGAGGTGAAGTGGATGTCGCAGGAGATATATCCGCTGTACCAGGCCATCGAAGATTTTGTGGCTCGGTCGTCGAGCAACCTTACCCACTTCACGCTATGCGAGTGGAACAGACAGGAGACAGCCATTCTAGCATCTGAAATTATACCGGTGTTCCAAGTGTTGCCCAACATCATCAGCCTAACACTTCGTAATTTCGTCTGGAACGATGATTTATTTCCCCCATTGACGATATCTTCCAACCAATCAATAATTCTTCCAAAGATGCAAGATCTCCATCTCGATTTGCTATTCTCTCATCTACAACCTCGTACACGATCACGCCCCGAGCGCCTTCTTGACATGATTGAGTCGAGATGCACCGTTCCCAGTGGTGTCGTAAGGCTCAATACAGTGTTCCTGAGACTAAATCAGTCCTTGTTTGATTCTGACTGTTCTGGTTACTCTGACGAAGAACAGCGAAGAATGATCTATCGCATAAACATACTGAAGGAGGTTGGAATGAAGATAGAAATTGTATAGAGATTATCTACGGTGATTACTGTTACGTTTCCGGACGTTTCAGTACCAATGAAAACCATCCAGTATATCGGAAGAATTACCGGCGATATGAATATACTCTAAATACTCTAAATTGTAGGAAGTCTACCGTTTAGTACTTCATGGTATTCAACCCATGATCTAGTGCCCATCCGCGCTGCCAATCCTCCGATCAAAGACCGGGAGCCAATTCCTTCTAAGAAAGCGCGGCTAGAGCATATAATCATTCCCTTCTTGCATCGTGTCAACATAACATTAACACGGCGTTCATTTACGAGAAAACCGAGCTTCTTAGACCGTACGACGGAAACAATGATATAGTCGTCCTCATTTCCTGAGAAATATGAGTTTCGTTTGAGACTGATAACCGTGCACGACGTACCCTGAAAGGAGTCGACATTGTAACATTTATCCTTCCAAGTCAGCATAGCGTCCTTTAGCGCATTCTCGATGGCGGACCTCTGCGCATCGTATGGCGTTATCACCTTGAATGATTTGCCGCGGTCCTGCATTATTTTTGCAATCTTGACCACAGCTTGAATTTCCTTCTCATTCTGAACTCAAGCGTGAATGGGTCAAACCGATTGTTTTAAGGCGAAGACTCACAATCCAACTTTTACTTCTTTCCCCTTCCCGTCCACCCGATACGTTGACAAAACGGCAGCAAGTCTTCGAGGATATATCATGGACCGTTTTGAGTTGTTTGTCATAGACATGTTCGGATATAAAATCCCCGATTTGCCTAGGTATACGATCTGTGACCGTGTGGGCAGTCGTAGCGTATGCGAGCAAGTAAATTCACTCACACTGGGTGTCAAGCATGTGTATTTTCTGATCAAGGTGTTGCTTATCGAAGACACTCTCCAAGTCTGGAATGTCGCTCTGACCATACGGCTGCACTACAAGTTCTGAGATAATGGCAAACTGGGAAAAAGGATGATAAACGTACGCTGTTTGTGGTCTCCAATGAAGACCATCTTTTGCAACGAAGATGCAAACCGGTGTATCACAGGAAAATAGTCACTGACTTCGATCTGACTTGCTTCGTCGAAGATGATTGTTTGGACTGGCACTATCCGAGCAATAGTGGACATCCTGTCGTTGGACAGCATACTGAGGGTGCACAGTATGATGCGCGAATCTAGAAGCAGCCTTTCCATAGCCGCTCTGTCGGGGACGAAATCATCCGAACGGACAAGGTTGGATTCTATCAATCTATACAAGTGCTCATGCCTATAGGAATGTGACCGAGTGAAGAGTTTCAACATTCAAAAAAAAAGTCACTCACCAGTCGAAATGGAAGTCTTTCGAGACGAGAATCTTGAACCCTAAGAATCCAATCGATGCCAGCTTTTCCGCAATGTTCTTGACAGCAACATTGGAATGTGCTACAAGCCATAGTGTCCGGTTCCGGTCAGTGGACGCGATTACACTCGTGACTGCAGCTGCTATGACAGTCGTCTTCCCTGTACCCGGGGGCCCTTGAATGAGGGTGACCCTATCGGCATCACGGTTTGAAAGAATGAGATCGACTGCGCGACGCTGAGAGTTGTTTAGTGGGCCTGGGAAGTTGATGGTAACGTTGCGAGTAAAAGATGGGAGAGTAGCCCAGGATATTTCTGATCGTGGGAACCAGAGTGCTTGGATGAACGGGTGGTCGAGGATGGCAGATGACTGTTGTAGAGCGGCGAGAATTACCATAACTCTAGCCTGCTCAGCTTGAGTCGGTTCTTCTCTACCTATAGTTGTAACTTTGAGGGGAGCCTGGGTTGTTGACAAGTGGCCTTGAATTGCGATTGTTGCAGCACGTCCTTCAACTCTAAGGACACGACCGGGAGTAGTCTTGTGTTTACCATTCCGATCAGTGGACGAGATCTCCATGGTCTGCATGCTTGAGATTAATGGAAGAATGTCTGTAGACTGAAGCACTACGCACCTGCCATGCACCTGATTGTCTGATTCGATTCTTGAATCTAGCAGAAGAAACATTCAGTTTGCCGGACTTATGGCTAAACGCTGCTTCAACTTCATTGCGCATTCTGACAGGCTTCAAATCCGTCAGACGGTGCGCGTGTCGATTAATCTTTGCCAGAACCATTAAGCGCTATGATAACATAATTCAGCATGGTTCATCACATTAACAACGAAGTCCTTACTGCTTGATCGAAGTTCAACGTAGAGATCTTCGGAGCGTCGCTTGCGGTCGCCATGTGGTCAAGCATCGCGGCGCGGCATGCCGACCAGGCTTGCAAAGCAGTGTGCTTATCAAGTGTCTGACTGCTTTCCTCCTGCTGAAATAGAGTCGCGACGTTGTTACGATCGAGCTGGCTGTGATAGCTTTTACCGCCCAAGGCGACGAGAACTGACTCGAAGGACTGTCGGTTAGACTGAAGGTCCAATAGGTCTACACCATTGACAATAGGCAAACTAAGGTCAAGTATGAGCGATAGTGCTACGTTGTCCATGCGAAAGGCGTATTTCGGATAAGAGCTGCGCAGAACAATATATTCTAGCAAGTCTAGGGCGGGGCGCTTTCCTGAAGCACGAAGATTCCCCCCTCCCTTTCTCTGTCTTGGAAAGTCGATGATCATAACGTGGGTCGAAGATGCAAAAGCGACAGTGGAAAGTGCGCATTTGGAGCCATAGACAGGCGCTATTCCCAGATGACCGGTTGTAGCTACAGAAGCCATAAAATCATGTAGTGTCGTTGCTCTCAATGCATTCGCGTTGTGACGAGAGACAATAATTGAAGGATGGGGAATAGTGTAGATGTTCTGTTGGAGGACAAAACCGGGGCGTTGGGCATCCATGCTTGAGGTGGTAGGAAGGAAGGGGAAGGCAGGCAGGCAGCAGTGCTGTTGATCAATTTAAGAACGACATCAGCCATTAGGCGCCATCCGGCGCGGTCATCAAGCGGCGCCTCCTTTGTGACTCGACGACCAGCGCTTGTCTTAGGAAATTCTAGAATTCAAATCGCCGTATTTAGTTTGCATCCTTCTTAGATTGCACGAAGACGGAGCCGCTTGCCTGGATTCGAAACTTCGCCGCCATCGTGGTGTGGGGCAGATCGACGGTCGATGCACGTGATCACCTTTTACTTTCTTGCCGAGGTTTCTATTTTACGACCTTGATTATCGACGCCCATTCACAATGGCTACCCCTCTCGCATTTGGTGTCGGTGCTATCACTGCCGCTCTCGTTGGTCGTCAGCTACTTCGGAGGGTCGGACAAGGAGCAGCAGAGCAGTGGGTCAAAGGAGGGTTCAAAGCCAAGATGGATAGAAAAGAGGCTATTGCCATCCTTGGACTAAAGTGCGTCACAGCGATCCTCTGTTCGACTTTCATTCACGGTTTCTTCTCTAGGGACGGACCCCTGCTGCGTAACAGAGTAAAAGATGCTCACCGTCATATAATGCTCGCCAATCATCCCGACAGAGGCGGCTCTCCTTATCTTGCCAGCAAAATTAATGAGGCAAAAGATTTGCTCGACAAGACGGAAGGCAAACGATGATAGAAAGTTGCGATTTCGCAAGTAGGTTCTCCGGTTCACTCATACATTCCAAAGCTAATTACTTCTCAGGCTATACTTACTTATAACTGTACAAAGGACATGTATCAATACGTTCTCATCACCCAGCTAATATGACAATATCCGCATCCCATTTCACTAAACGGCGTCCACCTGTCAGCATGCAATTTCATTTCGTCTCATCCTCGGTAGTCCACCGTGATTGGGGCATACCGCATACCGTCGTCACAAAAGGCGAACCCACTTTACCACAGAATTCTGCACCGCACACTGTACATACTTACAACATTTTTATTCGATTTTCATGTTGCTGACTAAGCAGCATGCACCTTGCACTGAACTAGCATGAGTACAGATCTACAGCCGTCAAAACTTGGTAACAAAGAACAGTAAGTTTTTTGTTGTTTCTGCCCTTTCACCCCAATATCGATAAATACGTGTAGCTGGGATGACGTTTACAAGACAGAACTAGAAATTTTTGATGAAACAGGCGATGAAGGTGAAATTTGGTATGTCCTCCCTTTAACTGACCATCCCTATTCTCCGATCCGATGCGACAGGTTTGGCGAAGAGAGCGTGGAAAAGATGGTGGATTGGACGGTAGAAAATGTGCCATCTTCGCAGGGTCCATCAATTCTTGAGATCGGTAGTGGTAACGGCACACTTCTTTTTGCTTTACTAGAAGCTGGATACGACGCGACGACTCTCTGCGGTATCGACTATAGTATGGATGCTGTCCAACTTGCACAGAAAATCTCATCGACACGAGATGGCGAGCGTATATCTTTTGACCAGCGCGACTTTCTCTCTGAAGATCCGTCAGTGCTGCCGCATATGGATCAGGAGAACTCGTCCGGTCAATGGGATCTTCTTCTCGATAAGGGAACTTACGATGCCATCGCTCTGGGGCAGCGGGATGAGCTAGGTCGTTCACCTGCGTATCAGTACCCTTCGCGTGCTGCCAGGCTACTAAAAGCAGACGGGTTCTTCCTGATAACATGTAGGTGTATGTTTACGACAGTTCAGCAAGCACTCTCATCTATTCCAAGCATGTAACTTTACTGAAGACGAGCTCAAAGCACACTTCGTAACGCCGGAGACGGGCTTTGTATACCAGTGAGCTCAATTGTATACCTCATCGATAAAATCCAAAACTTAAGACATACTCGCCAGTTCACGAATACAGCATCCCACATTCATGTTCGGTGGTAAAAGTGGAAGTATCTGTTCTAGTGTTGCATTTAAAAAGATGTAGCTATCATAGATTAGGGACAACGTCGACACCAGTGCGCAAAGTGTCCTTGGCCACCTCTATCGCCCACCTAACGAATTTTTCCTCAGCCTCATCGTTGGTTTTATCGTCTTGCGTGATATTCGACAGAAAATAAACCAAACCCATCGCTAGGTTCTGCACTCTTGTCGCTTTAATGAAGACTTCCTCGATTGCAGCTCGATCCCGTGCGGTCAAAAGGGTCTTGGCGTTGGATCCAATCAAGGGAGATGACGTTTGAGTGCTTATGAAAAGCTGAGAAAGCATCTCTCCCATAAACCTTTTTGTCTGAGGCTTCAGAAGCGTAAAGTCAACAGGCTATGGAACGTCTTTCAATCAAGGTTACTGGCAATTGAAAGGGAAAATTTTACCTTCAGAATAGCGAGTGTAACACAATCTTTGGATATCCACCACGCATATGCCTTAGCGACGTTCCGAAGCCGGGTTGATGAAATGGATTTGAGGTCGAAGCTCTTGTGACCACCACTCTCCTTGATGCTCTTTATAACCTCTGCACCGCCAACCTCCTCTTCTCCCAAGTCCCGCAAAAAGTCCCAAAGGCAGAATTGCAGCGTCACCTTGTAGGAATGAGACGAGCGACACAGATGTTGGCAAACCAGAGTATAGTACGGGTTATATGTTTTCTCCTACAGAATTGCGCCCTTAATCAGTGCTCTGCCAAGTGCAGGTTGGAAGAGGTACCGACATTACCACAGCAATGGAGCAGGACTCGTATTATTTCCCGCTGCTGCACCTCGGATAGATTAAGCTGCGACAACCTATCACAAGCGTCGACGTAATCCTAATCGAATTGAATACTGACTTGAAGAGCAAGAAAAGGAACTCACTTCGCTACTCATAAGAACAACAAATATGCTTCGTCGTATGTCAGTATTCATTCCTTGTTTGCGTGCCAGTTTCAAAAGGGCATTGTTTGACGATGCCACCGAAGATGCACCGGAGACTGCTTCTTTCTGCGTCTCCTGACGATCAACCAGAGGATCACCGCCCCACGCGGCGCCGACAAGCCACCATTTCCCTTTGCTCTCGGCAGAGTGAAGATCAGCCAGCGAGACCCTAAGTGGCTCATTCGCAGCAACTACCGCACTTTGAGGAAGACAGAACGCTCGAATAAGAAAAGTACTGACCATGCCGCTTCTTGCTCAGCGCCGAAAGGAACTTCTTCATCCGTTCAACAGCTTCGCCTCCTTGATTTTGGGTCGCTAACTTCTTGACTTTGTTGTTCTTGAGATTGGTGAGAGTCTCAACCATGAAAAGAGTCCGTGAGCTATGGAAAATACTTAGTAACGATATCTGAAATTGACACCGTACAAGTACCTAGGTTTTTCGCCGATCTCGGAGAGCTTTTTCTGGACTATTTCCGTGATACTTTTGAGGGCGGAAGGATCGTCTTGACGAAGCTGTTGTCCAGAACCTGTATGCAGTATTAATGTAAGAAAGTCACGGCATTGATCAAGTTACACACTTCGCAACATCTTCAATAGCAGTTCGACGTTGAACTCTGAGAATTTACTTTCCAGTATACCTCGAATGATATCGAAGATGAGTATGCAAGAAATAACCTGGAAGTTATACAGCTCTGAGAGGAGAACTATAAGGTTCGAACACTCTTTGCCCTTCGTCTCCTCCTCAACTTCTGTTGAAGGATCACTGCCAATAGTCTGGTGATACTTTTCGTATGAAGACACAAGAGTCTGAATGAAATACGCCGCTAATCATGACTATTCAGAAACATTTAACGCACGAAGCAGACGAAGAATATACCGAATTCGATTCCGACAATCTTATGGAGACTTGACACGAATGCAGCGTGTAACACGACATAAGAATCGAGCAGCGAGGAGTGAGACGAGATCCCGTCAATTATAAGGGCCGTTATTGTGGAAGTGACATCTGCAGAAAATGAGCGGGATTGACAGCAGTCGCTATATGTGACTTACCGTGACGCCGGTGTTTTCGGTACTGCTCTTCTACGTCATCCAGAATACTTGACAAGTTCTGCTCGCTCATGCTATGAAATGCTTAAGTACGTCTGTCACATGTACTCGAGTTCGTGACGCACCGGTTGAGTAGACCTTTGAGGTTTCTCTTCAATTTGATGACTTCCTCGGAGTCATTCTCGGAAGTTTGGGCATGTCGTAGATGTGGTGGAATATATCGTGAGACTTGAACAGAAATAAACCTCTGTTTCTTCTTCTAGATGAATAAACTTACCGGTAGGAGTCTCGGCAGCCTGTCCACCATCCTCTCTTGAATCGGATGGGGAACTATTTATTCCATGCCATTCTTCATATTCGTCTTCCTCTCCTGAAACATCTTCAGGTGTGTCTTCAGATTCATCCGGTGATTTCAGTTCCAACTCTTCGTCTGGCGTCTCTTGTGCGTCATCTTCACTGTCGTCTTCTAGATTGACATCTGATTCATCATCATGTTCATCCTAGAGGAGATAGTAAATTTTCAATAACCGTGGCAAACTTAAAGAAGTGACCATACGTCACGGGCGTTCATTCCTATCGTCGATGTGAATTCCAGGAGATCTAGAAACATACTATCAACAACTCTTGAAGGTATACAAAGAGGAGGAAACGCACCGTTAAGACCATCATCTTCACCAGATTTCCTTTTGTCTTTTGTCCCTAGTTTGGACTCCAAGTACGCAATGTAACGGTCCTCCTCCGTCTCCTTGGAAGTACGCGGTTGGACTTTGGCTGTGGGACCACCGGCCAGCTTCTCTAATGGAGTTCTAGGCTTCTTCAAGGGTTTGTTGACCTTTCTCGTAGTAGAACTGGGAGCATCGGTGACAACAGTTTTTGCAGAATTAGGGATTGGCTCGAGTCTAGGTTTCTTGTGCTTGGTGGAGTCATGAAGCTCCTCTTCTGCAGGTCGTTTGGGAGCGCGAGGGCCTCCGGAGAAGTGGGTAGCCTTGTTGTGCTTTTTTGCATAACGTTCTTGTTTCCTGGATTCCTTCCGAGAGAGGGTAGGCTTGGAATGTTTCCTACGGCGCGGCTCGTCGTTTCCTTATAATGAGTTTATTCATTAAGAGTTGTAAGCATAGATTTGACACACCAGATGTGCCATTTATCTGCTCCAGGATGCTGGCTGGTAGTCGTGTCGTATTTTTTGTCCTTGAAGACATTTTGGTGGTCAAACGGTATCCTCGGGCCGCTTTCTTTTTCTTTCCCATGTCACATAGCACGTGATGTGACGCATCGAAGACGCGACGGAGAGGCTAAGGCTTGGACTCATCTCGTGTTGTCATTTGCTTTCTGTTGCTAGATGGCTGTCCCCCGTCAAGTCACTCAATTTATCGAGAAAACATACCCTAGACCCCGTGTTGATCCGGTAACTATCATAGTACGCCTTCGGGCGACCTACTGCGTTAACGCTGATGAGGAAACAAAGGAATGGCTTCAAGCATGCTACAACTGGGTACTCGAAGACAAGCAACTCAGTCCCACGACAGATATGCAACAGATACTGAAACACGTTGAGGAACAGCTTTTGTGCTCCAATTTGCAAGACTCCATGCTCCAAGGAACTGGATTACCCCCCGACATCGCGAATCCCGACACCCAACACACTATCGTTGCTGGACCTGTACTAGTGGAGATTGTGTCAATCACCGACATCGGCGTCAGCGCGTACAACTTGAATAAAATCAGAATCACGCGAGAAGAACGAATAGCTGCCGGGGAACAAGAAGTTGGCGAGGGCGACGTGGAAGTGGAAGGAGAAGGCCCCATACCTGCTTATACGAGGTCTATGCTCCGAATGGAAATTAGCGATGGAACGACAATCCTAAGATCCATGGAATACAGACCTCTTAAAGACGTCACGCTTGGTGAGACGCCTCTGGGATGCAAAGTTAGTTCTTGATAATTTCCGTTCGATAATTAGCTGACATTGTAGTGAAGCTACTATTGACACAATTTCATATGCGCCGAGGCGTCGCCTTATTGGAACCCAAGTGCGTTACAATAAAAGGCCAAATGAATGAAGAGCGTAACGCTTTCCGAGACGCTGATTTTAGGAGAGGACTCATGCTCAGATTGGGGTACGGATCAAATTGTATGATTTGAACATAATTTTCAATGTCCTATCTACAGACATCCAGAACCAGAACCAGAAGCGGACGCTGACATAGAAACGCAAGAGCTACCTGTTCCGCTCCGTTCACCTTTACACGGGGTTAACAGGCCCTGTTCTCCCACTTTGGTAGAACGTAACCGTATGGACGAGCAGCATCCCAGAAGACGTACACCGAATCAGGACAGAAATAACCAATCGGACTCATACCCTTCATCTTCAACAACCGCAGTTAATTCGTCATTCTTCTCAGCTTCCTCCAGTGTCCCAGAAAACAGGGATCTTCACAATAGCTTGCATCTCTCTCCTGTGGGAACATCTCGAACAATCGTCATTGACAGTGATGAAGAAGATAATGCTAGGCCTTCTCGAGGTGTCAATGGCGATGCTAGTTCCGAGTTTGGTGGCGAAGACTTTCCCGTTGACGGTGATGAGCTATGGGCTGCGTTGGATGCTGTCGAGGCAGAGCATGAATTGAAAACCCAGTCCACCCAGAACGCATCTTCATCGAAGGGACGAAGTACATCAACAAGTGATTATACGGATATTATCATGATCTCTGACGACGAAGATGACGATAAGGAGAATTTTCCTGCACCCACAAGGCGCACGCAGCCTCGAACCGCGAACTCTGATACACACGACGTAATCGAACTGTCAGATTAGCATTACTTCTTCAGCGCTTTATCGCGAAGTTGAACCAAGGAATGGGTCTGAAGATCGTTGACTGTAGTTATATAGTATATGGAAGCATTCAACATTGAAAGTTACCAAAGCACATCGATAAAAAGGAATATACTCAGTACAAAGGGCTACGCCACAAGTAGTCCATTGTATCAGCCGAGAATGTTGACTTTGGCTTTCTTCTTCTTCTTCGTGTTCGTGAAGCTCCGCCAACTGTCGACTCGTTGATCTCGGTTATCTACGACGTACAAGTGAACAGGGGTGCACGATGAAACAAAGAGGGGAACATGCCTTCCCATTGCCGGTCCTCCTCAGCCTTGCGCTTCTTGCTGGCTATTTCTTCGTCCTTCTTTCTAGCTTCTAAGCCTTCGTTCGCGAGATTCATCTTGATGGCTCTGGAGATATCCAGTCAGAGACATGGTAGATAGAGCATAGGAGGGGGTAGAAACACACTTTCGCCGCCGCACTTCTTCATCTATGAGCAGCTCCTTTGATTGGGCTCGTATTCGAACTTTGAAGGACGGGTTTAATGACTTGAGATCTGGGTCAGAGTCGGGAGTTGATGTAGGCAAGGACAGGGCTTTGAGAACAAGGATCCGGGCTTGTTTGATGATAGCGTCAAGTTCCTCGCGTTTGGCTTTGTCGGAGAGCTCGGATTCGGCCTGGATACATATAAGCTGCATTATTAAGTGGAGCACGGGAGAAGGTGACCTTTTTGAGGATGTCAAAGGCCTCTGGGGCGCGTTGGTGAGAGCATTTGTCGGGATGTATAACTTCAAAGTGGTTGTCAGCGCCGGTGTTTTGAGTTTGAGCAAGCTCCTAGACGCACATAGAGATAATTGACGGTACCTCTTCTTAATATCATCTGGTGTAGCGGATTCGTCTAAGTCTAGGATATCATATGGACTTGGGCGACGTGAACACGGATAGGCTGAGGAAATGGACACACAACGCACTTTAGTTTGAGAGCTTTGAGGATACGCTCGACCTCGACTTCCCTTTGGAATGCAGATGCCTCGCGAGAGAGCAGTTTCTCGAGTTCTGCGTCGACTGCTGAGGATGACGGAGAGGTGTTGGACGATGAGGACATGGTGGTAATAAGTGATCAGCGTCACCAGAAATTTGTGACTCTCAACAGATCGGTATATTGCTATATTTATGTTTCCTACTATACTGAGATTACACTTGCTTTGCCTCGCTAATTTCTTCAAGGTCGACATAATGGTAGCTCGCGTTGAATGCCCAGACCTGGGGCTGTGAAACGAGTCGTTTCACAGTCAATACAAGGCGATGCTTGCAGGGCTGGTATGACTATAAGATAACTCAGGAAAAGAGACCCATTGGACAACTGAGATGTGCGTAGAAAGTCAATGTAAATACTCTTTAGTGCGTCGACTACAGGGCGTACTCATCCAAACTAGGACGGACAAAATTTGCAGTTGCTTGCTTGTATAGCAGGATGTCCAGGAGGATGAGCAACGCTAATTGGGCAGGACATATCAAAGAGGCCGTGCAGTCGCAACATGACTTTTTGATGCAGTAAGTAAATGAGAAACATTACAAGAAAATATTTGACCAAGTGTCGAAGGAAGCTGGACACCGGGAGGGGCGACGACGGCGGTGCTGCACGTGAAGTAGGGTCAGGGCTATTGAGATAATGATATTTCTCGACTCGCTTCCATCACGGGCAAGCTTGAATATTTGAATGTCGACGCAGTTGGCTCCTTCTCCTTCAACTACCACGACGCCGCGTTGGGACAGCCGGAACACAAGCTTTATTTCTCCTACTCGTCTACAGGAACTCCGTGCCAATACCCCACGACATCACTTCACTTCATCCCCCCAGCAACAGCCGCTGCAGTCTTCTCAGCCAACTTCGCCGCTATCAGCTCCGCCAATGGATGCTGCTCAGCGCCCACAACAACAGGGCCACGGTCGCGCTTCCTCTTTCTTTGCTTCCTTTCGCAAGCAGCAGCAGCAGCAGCATCCTGACGCTCAGCAGAACGGCCCACAAGTCCAGCGCAATCCTTCCTTACTTTCACGAACAAATTCTAATAATCCTATCGGACCACCTCCACCACCACCTCACCACTCGGAAACCGCAGCTTCAGGCGCGCAGCGACCACCGATTGCTCGTTCACCCACACAAGCTAACCCTAACTGGCTCTCAGAACATCCCGAAATTCGTTCCGTTGTCGGCCTGACCATCGCACATGCCCATAAAATCTACTTCTCTGGTCCTCTCATTCGCAAGATTGAGCGTGGCGCCGAAGGTCAGCGGCCGACGAAAGATGAAGGATGGGTCGAAGTCTGGGCGCAGCTAGGCGGCACGACTCTCAGTGTATGGGACATGAAGCAGATCAAAGAGGCCAGCCAGCAGGGCAAAGAGGTGCCGCCTGCCTATGTAAATACAACCGATGCTGTGAGTCCTTGCTCAATATCTTCCATAGCCACTTGCTCATATCTTCCAGTTTGTCACCGTTTTGGGTTCCATTACGGTTCCTGCCACTCCTTCTCAAGCAGCCCAGCGCTACGCAAATGTTCTCACTCTTAACACCGCAGGCTCAAACCTGCTATTATTTTCATGTCCCTCCCCAGAATCACTCATTTCATGGGCCGCTGCCCTTCGTCTCTCCGCTTGGGAGAAATCCCGTCTTGAAGAAATATATACCGCGCACTTGATCAGAATATTCCTCAAAGGTGATCGTTTACGTCTCAGCCTTGCGACATTGACTTATCGTTTACGCTTAGCTCCCGATATGCCGTCAATGCTCAACCGCGGCCGCATGGAAGGTTGGGCACGGATTCGCATATCTGGCCAGACCGATTGGAAACGTGTATGGATAGTCGTTAGCGCAGCGACCGAAGGCGAGCGTACCAGTAATGACGGCAATGGCCCAAGTTCGTCGCCGACACTTGGAGTGGGGACCAAGAAGAAGCGAATGTCCAATTTATTTGGCCGTGAAGCTAGCCCTCAACGTTCAGGTCCATCCAAGGCTTGCTTCACCATGTTTGCGTCTCAGAAAGTCAAAGACAAGAAGAAGGCCTTTCTTACCATGACTGACATTACCCAAGCCTTTGCCGTTTATCCAGAGAGACCTGAACTGATTAGTAGGAGCACTCTGATAAAGGTCGAAGGGCGCATTGGTATGGAAGATACCGCTGGTGGAATGCGGAATCGTGAAGGCTGGGTTCTCGTAATGCCGGAGCTAGAACCTGAAATGAGCCAGGCAACTGAGATGTTGAAATGGGTTGAGGGTAAGTTTGCTATCCTTTCTATATATCAATAAAGCTTCAACGTCTACCGCAGCTTTCCATGACGCGTTCATGCTATATGGACGTCCTCAATCATGGGTGTGGGACCCTCGGAATCCTATATCCTTAATGTTTGCCTATCCTGTTGGACCACAGAAAGATGTACGTTTATCCGTTATCTACCCCGATTCTCTGCCAACGCTGCCGTACAGCTTCTCTTCCTTGACAGGGAACTAGCGGAGACGCTGGACCCTCGAGACGACGCAACTTCTATCGTCCGTTCCCGACTTCTTGGTATTCTCCATGATCGTATGCGGGGCATGGAGCCGCCGGCGCCTCAAAATCATATACAAGCGTCGTCTTTGACTTCTACTGGTCTCGGTAATGGCCCGCAACAGTCCCGAACAGTCTTATCTGGACCTCAGTTGCCACCTCTCAGCTTCGACAACACACAAAATCAGCCTCAAGAACGACATCTACTTACACCCATCACGGAGCAAAGCAGTATTTACACTCATGGGCGACCGATGTCTGTTGACGGGCAGAGTATCTTAGGGCGGCGTCAGTCAGCGAACGTGACTACTGCGACACAGTCACCTGTGCCTGAGGAATCTGGGGCCAAGGAGTCTACTTTCCAGTCTGCCGAAGCTACGCCGCACTCTCCCAGCTCCTTACCAAAGAGTCCGGCCCAACCGTTAGTAGCTGTTCCCGACAAGGATAACGTAACTGGTGGACTGTCTAACCAAGGACCAAACCGTTCAAGCCACGAAATCCAGCAAGCACCCAAAAGGTCATCCTTGGAACCACCTTCGCCTCGAGCGCCAACTTCACCAAAAGTGCAAACGCCCGTTTCGTCGAAACCGCTTCCAAGTTCTCACCCCGTGCCATCTCCGACAACGTCTCCAGCTCCTGGATTGCAAGAGAACACACGTTCATATTCTCCTTCATCAGTACTGACTTCGCCCTACTCTGCTGCCACTCATTCGGCGTTAGGTGCATCTGTTATGACATCCCCATCCGCTCTAACGTCGCCATATTCATTGGAAACGCCCATTTCTCCCTCATCACCAACAGCTGCAAGGCGATCATCCCATCTACCACCAATACCCCAAGGAACTCCTCCGGGAGCAGCAGAAGACAGCATTGGCGGTGAGGCGGGGGCATTATACTTCATGCAGTTTGACAATAAGGGACCATCTCCAGTCACATCCCCACGTCTAGTACCTCCACCTGCAGAAAATGAGAAAGATGAAGATTCGTCGTCGATTGAATCAGAACTCAAGCCTACGAGCGCCACAAGTCGTGTGTCCGTGACATCGAGTCCTGCTACAAGCACGCGGTCACCACATCGTACAGGCACACCGAAAGCTTTCGCGGACCAACCGGCGTCACCCCCAAGGGAACGGCTGAGCCCGATTTCGCGGCAGGCCCTCGGGCGAAAACCATCAGGAGCACGTGCTCAGACCAAAAAAGCGCAACGCGTCTCTTCACCTTCACCACCGCCCGTCCTTGAAGAAGATACCCAGAGTGACGACAGCATGGATCCCGAAATTCGTACGCGAGCTGCAGCTGATATCGGACCTGTTGATGAGGGCAACCTTGATGCGCTGGCAGCCTTGTCATACCTCGACGATGACCAACCACCCCCGCCATCTCACACGACGAAAGGACACGTGGAACCACTTCGGACTCGTCATGGAGAGCAACTACTCCCGACGCCGCCGCAACCAGCGACTGGAGAACCGGCAGCACCCTATAAATCCTCTTTTGCGCCGTCCAAGTCGGCGGCAGAGCGGAAAGCAAAGGTTCAAGCGCAACAGGCAGCGCAGCAAGCCGCAGCGCACCGTCCCGGGAGAGCCAATGGTCGAAAGAAGCCGAGGGGTAATGATGCGTGGGTTGAGAGCAGTGAAGAAGACGAGGAAGAGGAGGAAGAGGAGGAAGAGGAGGAGGATGTCGATTCTGATAAAGAGCCTGCCACGAGACCGCCTTCAGCCCCTGCCTCCACCAGCACCCATACCGCCAAACCGCAGTCTGATTATGGACCTGATCAGTCCCAGTACACTCATTTGCGACCGCCCAGGACGTTGCCTCAAATTCCAGGAAGCCGACCTAAATGTATGCTATTCAAATTTTCACTTTATCACTCCTGCTGATGCTCGCTTTACAGCCGCTGAACCTGAAGAGTTCCCTCAACGTCGGAATGATTCTGAACAGCAACATTCCGAAGCCGCCAGACGTACTCAGTACGACGAAGGCACGCAGATCCGCTCTCAAGCCGATTATCCACAGCTCGGTGCTGCTCGTCAGTCAATGTGGAGTCAAGTTCTCGATCCAGGACGTCCTGCTGTTCTATCCCAGGAACGTGATACATTTGTCCAACTTGAGTCACCTTCGCAGACCATGACGAAAGCCTTCACACCGCAAGGTTTGCTGTCAGCAGGTCTTCAAGACAAACAGGATCGTTCTGCGAAACGTCAGGAAGAACTCGCGCGTGAAAACGGTGCCTCACTCATCAATGTTCCTAACAAGCCTCCGCCACCGCAGACTGGTCTGCTGGGCGCTATTACTGCTCACGAACGAGAACGAAAGCGTGAAGGCGGCGTTGGGGCTGCATTGACAGAACGCGAGCGGGAAAAACGGATGGTGGAGGAGAGACAGCGCAAGTTCGACGAGCAGCAGCGTCAACAGATGGAGATGGGATCGATGTATGGCGGGCAGTTCAATGGGTTCAATCCGATGATGAACCCAATGATGATGGGTATGATGGGTATGAATCCGATGATGACTGGGCAAGGGATGAACCCGATGATGACCGGGCAGGGGATGAATCCAATGATGACTGGGCAGGGGATGAATCCAATGATGACCGGTCAAGCCATGAATCCGATGATGACTGGGCAGGGCATGAACCCAATGATGACAGGTCAGGGCATGAATCCAATGATGTCCGGTTTCCCTGGGATGATGCCCGGTTACAATCCCCAGCAGATGTTCGCTGCACAACAAGCTGCTCAGGCGTACCAACAAGCTATGATGGCGTTCTCTGTCGCTGGTTCGCAAGCTGGAGGTGATGGTGCAGGAGTTCCCCAGCAGCCGCTTAATCCCATGATGACGGGTGGGTTTGACCCTCGCATGTCGATGATGAGTATGCCAATGATGGGGGGACAGGTGCCGTCGTTGGGTATGCAGATGACAGGCATGTCGAGCTTTGATCCGCGATTCACTCCGAATAATGGTCTTCAAGATTCAAGTCTTCAACCACCTAACGCCCTTTCCGGTTCACCAAAACAATATGCTTCGAATGCAAGCTCTCCCGTTGGTCGTGGATCTCCACTTGCTAGGACTGTTGACCCTCCTTTGAATATTGAACTACCTCGCAATTCTTCTCGTCCGACCAGTCCAAAACCTTGATTTCTTTGTCACCGTACACTACTTACGATTGTTATGACCTTCACTTACCTCTACATCTTTATACCATCATGCGCAACAGTTACCTTGTCTTCCGAAGTATTAGTTGTTACTCCTGGTTTCGATTACCCCTACGTTCATTTTATAAATCCAGTATCACGAAATGCACTTTGGACATGTAGGTATATCAGGAATAGAACGGACTTGACCCTCAGTTCGAATTGCCCTTTTGAGACTTTCATTTGTTCTGCCTCATGGCCGATGTTATCAGTCGCCCCTTCTTTCTGCACCTTCACTTCGCTCACTCATCGACGAATAGCAATGGCGACCTCTACACCCAAGAACCAGCCCGTTGAAATCATGCAAAATCTCATTGTCCATCCCAACTACTACGGCCTGAGAATCAAGCAGCTCGTCGTGAAGGAGGCGAACATCACAGGCCCGTTGTTATCGATCTTCAGTGCGAATCGAGCTACAGGGGCGGAAAGGGCGGATCCGCTTGGTATATCGGTCGGGTACGCCAAGGACGGGAAGCTCGCCGCGTTGGCCATCGCCGATGAAGCGCGATGTTGCATCATCGAGTTCAACCCGCGTTCTCCGCCATCCACCAGGCCACAAAAGATGGAACTCTTGCAGAAACACATATTCTGTCGCTCCCTCGGCGAGATCTATGCATTTGACGCTGCCCAGATCGCAATGGTCCTGTGGATGGAGCTCGGTGTTAGAGTCGCGCGCGCCGTCGACATCCAATCCGTCTTCACTGAATCTGACAGATCGTCGGATCGCAAGCCTTTGGTTGCCATTCAGGCCTGTTTCGGGGACTCGGAAGGGTGCAAGTTGAACGAGAAGAACATCGATCGCGCCTTTGATGATCTCACATACAACATCGATGAAATCAACCGTATGCGCGTCGATATCCTAGAAAGGGCGTGGATTTCACGCACGCTTCCATCGCATGAGAATGGAATATCTACTTTTAGTAACGTGAAGTACGTTGACACGAGTGGACTCGATGAACAGGTGAGCAGCGTCACACCAGCTCTTTCATGCTGAGTTAATAAATCTGCCCCTCTTTCTAGTTCCTAAAGACACTGGATGCTCTAGCTCGTGTCTCAGAAGACTCCCGTCGTGTCGGCCACTTGAAGCCCACAACAACCAATCATCAATTCTCTGATGCTCGAAGCCCATTATTGAATGCCGATGGGAAATCTTTCAATGCTCGCGCTTCAGCATACAAGGACCGATTTCGCCCCTCCCAGGTATGTGATATGACACTGTATTTTGATCCTTCCTGATAAACTCCTGTTATAGAATGTAATCACCACAATTGAACTTGAATCAGGTGAGCAGATCCGGCACCATGGACAGACTGGTGTCGTCACTGGGATGTCAACTCAAGTCAACTTTGACACATCTGTTATGAATGGGAACAGAAATATTGTCTCTATCATCAGCACAGGTCGTGAACAGCTGACTGCAGCTGAGGGTAAACGTGATGGTGTTATCAGACGTACCCTACAGGGGAACTTTACCAGCTTCAAGGAAAACCCATGGATCAGTAACATATTACTTTGGGATACCATTAAGAATGACACAGAGCAACTCTCTCCCTCTATTCTTGAATGGCCTGAATGGTGGTTTCCTCCTAGATCAGATATCCAGAAACCAATCATACAGTCATCTGACAGCAACCCTGCCCGTCACTCTCTCAATCGATCTCAGCAACAAGCTCTTGATCATATGCTTTCTTCAGACCCTATCACTCTCATCCAGGGTCCACCTGGGACAGGAAAAACCTCAGTCATAGCTGCATTTGTTCAGTGTGCTTTGGCTGAAGGAAAGACTGGTATCTGGTTGATTGCACAATCTAATGTTGCTGTAAAGAATATTGCTGAGAAACTTTTGAAGGTTGATTTTATGGATTGGAAGCTTCTGGTTTCTGAAGATTTTCGCAATGAATGGTAATTTATACTTTTTTAATATGATATTTGTAGCTCATTAAACATTCATAGGCATGATGATCTTTATGAGAAGATGCTATCACATGTTATTTCTTCCAAAGACTTCAAATTTGTCTCACCACAGAAATTACAAGATACCAGAGTATTTCTCTGCACCTTGAATATGCTTTCACATTTTTTCATAAAAAAGTTTACATTTGTGGTTCCATTCACCTGCATGGTGGTTGATGAAGCTAGTCAGATAAAGGTTGCTGAGTATATCAATATATTTACAGGATTTGATTCTTTACGAAAGATTTCTTTCATTGGAGATGATAAACAGTGTAAGTGTTCTTTCCGATTTTTAATCTGCTTTAAAATATACTTATTCACTTTTAGTACCACCTTTTGGAGCTGAAAGTGTTGATGATCTCAGAAGTATATTTGAGATTGATCATTTACGTGAGAATGCATTTTTACTTGATACTCAATGTATGTTCTCTTTTAATCTTTTGAATCAAATATTCATCTTTTTCTTTAGACCGTATGCCCCCACAGCTGGGAGATTTTATCTCTCAGGCAGTTTATGATAATAAACTGAAGTCAAATCCTTCACATCCAATCAAAGATGATATTATTGCATGTCATTTTGTCAATGTGATAGATGGTCATGAACGACAAGGTACATCTCAGTCTTTCACAGTAAGTTTTTTATTTATCCAAGATTTCAATATTTCTAACTCTATTATAATACAGAATGATGCTGAAGTAGCTGTTGCAATACAGCTTGCCAGTCATCTTCAAGAGCAGCAGATGAATTATAAGATCATTACTCCATATGATGGACAAAGGAATCAAATTCAAAGTCATATGAAGAATGATGGGCTTGATTGGCAAGACAAATGCTTTAATGTTGATTCTTTCCAAGGTTAAAATATTTCATTCAATATGTATGAGCTATTCTAATGTTTATTTTATAGGAAATGAGGAAGACTATATTATAATCTCTCTTGTTCGATCTCATTCAATTGGATTTCTCAAGAGTTTACGACGAACCAATGTGATGCTTACTCGATGCAAGAAAGGAATGTATATTCTTACTAGCTGCTCTTTCATTGATGGTGCTGGAGGAAGTTCCTTAGCTGGAGAGCTAGCTGATCATGTTGGAGAGGAGGCTTGGTTGACTGTAGAGGATGTGATTCAAGGCAGAATTGGATTGAAGTAGTTAAGAATCAATTTTATCAGATGTTATCTCTAGTTTATCACTGGTATTTTAGAAACTTCATATTTTCACTCAAAATTGAAGTCTCTAAAATACCAATGACATACTATAGATTTCATTAAGTCATCTTGGTCTCTACATGACTCAGAAATAAGACAACTATAAATGACTAGCAACATTGTCTGAATGTACATCTAAATGAAAGATATTCTGCATACTTCTAAGAACACTAGCAAGAGTAGATATGAACATTGATGTAGATGTAAGAGGACTGGAAAGTTTAGATTCAATCCCAAACTTTACTGTATCAGGTCCTGCAAGATCTATACCTGGATATGAACAGGTTACCTGCAGATATAGTATGAGCACTTACAGTTTATACCATAACCATCCTCATACATTGCACCAAACCTAATCAAATTTCAGAAAGTATAGAAGCAGAATGATGAAACAACATACCCTGTACCCCGGAAGAGGTGGCCAGCACTGAGCCCACTTGTACTCAACTTCCAGCATGAACTCTTCCCAAACAATGGATCCTTAAAGAGCAGTGCACATTCTTGAAGCTCCGGACATAGCATAAGCTGTAAGCCCATTAGATGACGGTCAATCCCCTTGCCTGTTGCAGCTTCACGTGTTAATCTAGTATGTGTTTTGATAGCTGAATCTAGCGCAGCACGTTGAGATTCTGCCTGCAGGAAACTCAGCTACACCGATAGATGTGTCTACACCATGCGTACCGTTGCTCGAGAGTCAACCATCGCAAGGCAGAACCCACGACTCTCTCGGGTCAGCGTCCTGATAGTTTCCGTTCGTCCCTTTTTGAACATCCGTGTCAGCGCGGTCTCATACGTCGCGGTGAATTGCCCCTGCATCTTGTACCATGTGAGCTGCAGCGCCATCTGTATGAATGCATCAGGAGCCAATTTCGCTGACGTCTCATGAGTATACAAGAAAACATTACAATGAAGAATGAACAAGTACCGACTCCCTTGATCCAGTCCGCCCCGTAATCCGAGAACCAGAAAACGCTATCATCCGAGTTCTCAATGATCTTGTTGGCACGTTCCTTCGCCATAACACACTCTTTCTTGATGAAGTCGTCGGTAACCCAGTCCAGCCGATCCCATCTCTGGCCTCGTGAAGGAAGAGAAGCATCATTCTCGAAATGAGATTCATCGATACCTTGTATAATCCCATATTCGGCGATGATGCTTGGAACTAACGCATCACATGGAGAATGCTCGCCCATCGTACCAGAACGCGCCGCAGGATCAACAATGAGCGTGAAAGCTTTATCAAACCATCTGTTGCCGACGTTGCCTGTCGTTGAACGAATGGTATGAAGGTGAGAATCGAAGGAATATTGTTTTGTTGACGAGGTCGGTGATGGAGGATCTTTGTGAATTTCGTCGTCAAGACTGAGTACCATGAGCGAATTTGAGAGTGTCGTATGAACCACTTTGTTGGACTCGGACAGAGCAAGAAGGTATTGGAGGTTCTAACGTCGGCCATCAGAAGGCGACGCGCACAAGTCAAGAATGAATACGCACACTTGACCATATATCTCGATCGTCTGCACTCAAGACCCCAATCGAGATCGGCTCTTCGCCATCAGCCAGGCGCTGTTCAGCGTCCGAAACAACAGCCTCTAGGTATCTTGCCAGATGACCAACGTCTGTCGAAATGGAAGGCGACTCCATAACAGTGACTTTGTAAAACCATCCATGCACCATAACTACGATGTTATAGGTGGAGCGATCCGTTGGTGGAGGTACGGTTGATAAGATGTCGCAAGAAGGCATCGGTATCCGCGCGACGTTGAACATTTTCGACGTGCTCTCTCTGAGCCAGATACCTAGAACACTTCAGACTCTAAGCATACGACAGACAACCACAAAGCGCACCAGTTCGTGTCGTGTCCGAGTATAACTCCTGCCTGGAATTCCTAAGCAAAAACCGCCGAGCTGGACCAATTCGAAGATACGCACGTTTCAAGTTTGATTTTGAACTCCAGCATTCGATGAAGCAACCAAGCTGCTCTCTTAATCTGCCATCTGGAGAACCCTGTCTTGAAATAACCATCCTGTCGATCCTTCTCTGATACAGGGATGTTCGTGTCGTCCTCGAAAGCGAGCCACCAATTAGAGTTGATGAGCAACGGTGCTCTCCATTCCATATAGGCCTTCTTGATCCAAAAATTGTCGTCCAGCCAGTTATTCGGAGACGCTCTATCAAGTGCTGCAGATAAACTAAGTTTGCGAGTGCATTTTAGGACGAAGAAGACAAACGCACCGAGCAATCTATCCTGGCAGAGTTTTCCTACGCCCGACGCAAATTCATCAGCCCACTGGGCACGAAGTCGACGAGACGCATCGAGAGCGTCGTTGTCCAGTCCTTTCTTGGAGGCTTCTTCTAGCAGAAAAGGCTCCAAGGACGTTAGGTATCTGTCCAGCGTTTTACGGAGATCTGGAACTGGTAAACGCGGCAGGGTGGTGGACATTTTTCTAGAGTATCGTCGGATGTGGATTGTAGACCGTGTAGATAGCATTATTAGGGTCCTCGACGATAAATAAGGATTTCTATGGCGAACGGGAGCGAATCATGACTGTACGACCTTCTTGGTCGGAAAGAAGAGGGACGGAGATCGGCTTGTATCGGCCGAAGCTGTGCAGGCTTACTACCTATCTTTCCCATGGAAACCTTTGTCGAGGACAGCATCGTCGACCATTTTATACGCCATGCTCTCCACATTTGCCCAAGATATGCACAATGCGCCTGCAATATTTCTTCTTCTACCTCTTCGTTTCACTTGCCAATAGCGCTTCAACCCAGACAAAAGGTCCCCCCAAAGCATTTACTCGGCATATAATCGCGATAGGCGACTTGCACGGCGACCTCAAAGCCGCTCAGGACGTTCTCCAACTTGCAGGTGTCACTGATGAATCCAACAACTGGTCCGGAGATGTGGATATCTTAGTTCAAACTGGAGATATCATCGACAGGTACGGGCCTTCCTATCGCCTTTGGCGTGAAATTGAGTCTTGACCTTGATAGAGGTCCCGATGCCACCGAAATATTCCAACTCATGGAAAAGCTCCGTCGTCAGGCAGATTCGCATTCCGGGACTGTGGTTTCGTTGCTGGGTAATCACGAATGGATGAACATCCTGGGAGACTGGAGGTGAACCTTTTTTTGCCTAAGTTGTCGTGTCGCCGTAACCAGACGCGCCCCATAGATACGTGCCATCGAAAGAAATGAATACTGACAAGGTCATCAAAGAGCGACAGCACTTACTCACCAAGGGCTGGCTTGGTCAAGCATGGAAGAATTACTACAAGTCCGCTGTCCGTCTCCCATTGCACCCCTCTGTAGGCGATACTTCTGGTGGCACTAGGTACTCCCCTGTTACCAGCTCTTCTGGTGCCCTCTCCCACTCTGCGATCTCCTTCGTTCATGGTGGACTCTCACCAACGTTTCGCTGCCTTCTCCCGTTCCCAACCCACATAAACAGCCTGTCTGACACGCTCCTGAAACGAGCCTTCAATCAGGATCCACAACCCACACCTTATCCACCGGCGCGCTCTTTTCCTCAGCTCGACGGTTAGTACAGCTTTACATGGAATCCTCCTCCTAGTCATGGTATTAACTACTTATGATCAGGAACTACATCTAATGAGTGTCAGCTCACTGCGGACGATGGTCCTCTTTGGTACCGTGATTGGGCCCTGAACAGCGAAAAGGAGGTGTGCGCTAAAGTCGATGCGGTTCTCAAGAACACTGGAACTCGCAGGATGGTCATGGGACATACGATACAAGAGGTGACTGTTCTCTTTCTGTTCTTTTGTTCTACTATTGAACCCCGCTATTTAGGAAATCACGGCAAGGTGCGACGGAAAGATATTGCTCATTGATACAGGTGAGCGTCAGTATTTGGACGTCGTTCAAATACTGAAGTGAAATTCGAGGTATGTCGAGCGCATATAACGACGGTAAGACAGGTCTACTCTCTGCGCTTTCTATATACTACACACTCAGTCCAATCGGGAGATCTGCCAACCCGAAGACTCAGAGGTGGAAGGAGCACGAGGTTATAAGCGCATTCTATGCAGACGAAGAAGAGATCACTATGATTGATGAAACGAGAGAAGTCGCTGGCGATTTTTCTGTTTCTTGATCAGAGTAGGTGACATACATCGTTTATAAACCGATGTGTATCAGCCCTTTACATCCAAAATTCAAAAATGTTCGATGCAGACGATGCAGAAGGGAGGCAAGCGCACAATACGTGTATCACCACTTCCAAGCATGCTTAGACTTTTTTGGAGTCAATTCAACAAGCTTCACCTCGCGTTCTCTCTCATCTATACCGAACATGGTTCTCAAACCGTCGACCTCCTGTGACTTTTCTTGCATGTGCTCAGTAGCCTCACGGGCGTTGTTTCTGCTAATCTCGAGGGTCTCCGCCTCTGCGTGGAGCTGGGCTTGGGCTATCTCGTACTTGGTGCGTGCCGCAAGGAAGGCAGCTTCGTTCTTCTGGAGTGCGGCAAGGGCTCGAGCATGGGCAGTGTGGGCTTGTGACTCGCGCTGTGGGCAAAATGATGAGTCATTGCTGAAAGGATTGTAATACGCGAGAATACCTTTACGGCGGCTTTCTGTACGTTCTGGAGCTCGGATAACTCCTGAATGGCAACTCCCAAAGCTCGTTTCTCCACCTTTCCTTCTGCTTTGATGATCTTAGACAGACGTTTACTGTCTTTGGCTGAGTTCGATGTGAGTAGGGAATCGTCCGGTGGTCTACAAACGCACCTTCTGTCTTTTGGATTTTGGATAACTGCTTTGCAGATAACGATGCATCGGCTTCGGCAGCTCTGTAATACAAGCTTTCGTCTGGTTCCGCTTTGGCGTTTGGGCCAGTCGTTGCTGCGCCGCCGATAAAGGCAGACCCGGCTATAGGATTTCCATCGGCATTGGTGAACACGCTCCGTTTCGAGACTGAGGCAGTGCGATTTACTGAAGCGCCTCGGTTGAGCGTGTTCTTGGGAACTGACGATGTAGAGGTGCCGATGGACGGTGCATCCTCTGCGTTGCGTAGAATGGGTCCGGTATGAGTAGGCGAGACGTGTTCTGGGGGTAATTCTGCAGCTGGGAGCCATCCTTCTGAACCATTTGGATGAAGTGCCTTGCCGCCTTTGCCTGTAGTGATAGGCTGCTCATCGGCTCCCTCGCCCTGGATGAATTCTTGAGGCGCGGCAGACATATTGAACGGGATGAGCGGGGCGTCAAAATATATGGACGAAGTTTCGCTGGAAGGAGTAGCAGGCATGGTTGGGGTAGTCGACGTAATTACTTATAACGCGTCGATCACTGATGTCATCGCGCGCCAGTTACAATAACCCTAACCTAACTTTCATCGCGACGCAATGTCAGGATTGGGCGTAGTATCGCTCATTCTTGTCCCGTTTACTGGCATACTGGTGCGCTATAGAGCCATCTATCACCCTACAGAAGACGCGAACGAGACACCGACATTCTGGGGTATCGCGAAGAAAGTGTATCAAAAGCAGGTGAGGCTGAGCCACCTCTGATACCTAGCTTGTGTTTCTCATCTCTTGTAGGGTTTAAATGGACTTGGTTCTGGCTTGGGTGAGTACTCTGCTGCCTTCAGAAACTGATTCTTATTCACACACAACAGGGCCTACACTTCTCAGCGTCTTCCTTGCTCGCTTATGGCCTTACCCTCTTCCACCAAAACTCTACATATCGCCATCGCCAGCAACTATTAACTACTCCCTGATATCAGCACTCATGGGAACCCTTTACTACGTCTTTGTTCTTGTCCTGGTGTACAGGTGAGTGCCACAGTTTGCCGCACTCGCAAGGAAGATATTGATTGCTAGATCTATCGCCGCCACGCGTCAACTCGATTTACTCAAGCCCAAAGAGTCCCTCCATTATCTTCTCAGCGATTACGAGCGCAAGAAACCCTGGGCTATCTATCAGATCCCTGGTCTTCTTCCCGCTCTAATCATCAATGTATTTATCAATATTCAAGTCATACGGCCTCTTCACTACTTAATATTTCCTATCAACCTTCCTGAGGATATCAGTATTACCGAAACATGCTTGAGGACGACCTGTATCCTCTTGACCGCTGCTCTAGGAGCCGCAGTACTTACACCTCTGGAAGTTATCGCAACTAGGCTCGCGCTTCAGAGGAGTTACGGCCCTGGGAACTCTGAAGAGACTCGGGACGTTCCGCTGGAAGGGCCTGGAGACGCGAAAGCTTCAGATTCTCTCGCGCCTGACAACGTTATTATCGGGCTGAGGTAGGTCGATGTCAACAATCACTAAAGCGGTGTCCTGACACACCACGGTCCACAGACTACGCGACGAAGACAAGCCCTATTCCAATCTCCTTGATTGTGCTAAAATGATCGTACAAGAGGAAGGATGGCGTGCTTTGTACAGAGGATGGTTCATCACGTTCCTGGGTGTATTATATGTATGACAAGTACGTATCAGGATTTATTTAAGAAACGAAACCGATGCTGCGCATCACTATATTACATCTTTATACAACTTCAATTTTCACTCCCTACAAGATCTTGGCAACCTCAACATCAATATGCTCCGGAGTCGTCGTCGAGGCCCATCGATGAACAACCTTGCCTTCTTTGTTGACAAGGAATTTTTCAAAGTTCCACTGCCTCATCATGAGAAAGATCGCCAGTAAACTAGACACAGAGCACCCACCTTGATCCTGGAAAGGCCCAAAAGACCAGCCTTCTCCTGCTTCAGCCACTTGAACACTTCATTGGTATTGTCGCCATTCACATCCGATTTCTTCATGAGAGGGAAAGTAACGCCGTGGTTCCTGGAGCAGAATTCGCCGATGGCTTCGTCGTCTTTAGGCTCCTGGCCACCAAACTATGAGGAACGTAAGCTATTTGATGGCTCTGTAAACCGATTGGGTACATACCTGATTGCACGGGAAACCGAGGATTACAAAGTCACGGTCCTTGTACTTGTCGTACAGCGCTTGAAGCCCTGCAGGAACATTAGATAACCTTTCTTCTGTGACGACGAAGAAACGCACCTTTGTATTGAGGCGTGAAACCACTGCAAAGCATTTTTTAAAAACGAGAAGAAACATCCAATGTTGGTATGCGTACCAGTTTGACGCCGTATTGACAATAAGGACAGTCTTTCCTTTCAGATCCGCAAAGTCATACGTCTTGTTGCCAGGCAGTGTCGCCTTGAGCGAGTAAAAGCCCGATTCAGTAGACATGGGACGAGCTGTAGAGTAGGCAAAGAGAGATAATGGTGCAAGTTTTGGTAAAAAGCTACGATGAGAGGCAGTAAATAGAGTCGGATGAGACTTGCTGATGAATCCCTCGAGGCGAAGCGTGATCATTTGCATAAGATTGACTGTGAAATTCCGGCCTAAGATAGGCGTCACCAGGAACAGGGACCCTTATGTAAGCCGTGACAGTCACATTACATAAGCCGCAAAATCTGCTGGAAAAAAATTGTTTGTACCTCTGTAGCACCAGGCAGAGCCGTAGATCACCTATAAGATAATATAAATGATGATAGAACATAACTAGATATGGAATCCATACATTGAATGAGTTTTGTGGTGATACAGTAGCTTCCATGTCAGGCGGGAGGAGGCGGGGGACGGGATACCGCCATTGGAATCAAGGGTCCTACCTATTATAGAATATGACATCATAGTCGGGTGGCTGTGCCAGCGCAAAATCCGGAGGTCAGAAAAAGTAAAATGTTGCCAAAGAACTTAGAATAACAAAAGAAGCACTTTTGGGATAAAAAACATTTTTCGTCAATAACTTCATCAATTTTACATGAATTTTTAATCTGATTCCTGGCAAAGGTAGCCACCATCAATACATTCATTTCCCAGGTATCAGATTTTCCATCGCTTTTTTCTGGCGGCGGCATTTGAGGCCCGACGTTTGGTCACAAAGCTGCTTACATAAAGGTCCCTGTTCCTGGTGACGCCTATCTTAGCTGCAATTACCGGCTCTACGTAATCGGCCCGAGCCTGGGTCCCGGCCATCTCGGACTCTCTAATAGGTTATCTGCTCCATGCTCCTGAGCCCCACAGCGAACAGCCCACGGAACCGCCTCCTGCGTCCAGACCCCTTCAGTCTGCTTATATCACCACGAAGCTCCTTCAGAACCCATGTATACCACCTCGGCTTGCGTGAGAGAACAGTATAGAATGCATTACACCCGAGCCTAGAGTATGATTAATGAGTCCCCTGTGGCATTGCGAATAAAGAACCAACTGACCATTCAACCTCGGCCTTGTTCACGGAAATTTGCGCCTCCAGACTTTTGGCCACTTGGGTTCGCGACGTATTTCGGAACGACGCATAGAAGTACGCCATCATCTGCTTCACAGTTCCTGGGCATTCCAATCAGAATGGATCACACAATTGTCAAAGACACACGTACGATAGATCATCTTTCCACGCTTAGATGAATCTATTCCCCACTCATTGATGTATCCGTGCATCTTCATGGCGCTCAGAACAAAGTTCTGATAAATATTCAGATGCACGACACGTTCCGTGTTCAGTTTACGGTCGGAGAAAATCGCGTGGATGCGCCTCTTGACTTGTCTGGATTGAACACTTCAGCTCGTGGATATCATACCATTGACGGGACATACTGGAGCATCTTATACACAAACGCAAAGCCTGGTCGCCGTATCTTGTTGACCGTTAAAGTATTGCGCAAATCTGAATTATCCTCAGCCTTTGAGCCATTCGAAGAATGCTGCCACGACTTACGGACACTGTGATATCGGGTATAATCACAGGACACAGACAAATCTTTCATGTCGATGGCGTAACCGCACCATAGGAAAGCTAGAAATCTTTGAGAAAACACGCATATAGACAGGATGTGCCCACTCACACTGCTGATGAGGATCTGTCACATTCAAAATATGAGGACCATAGTCAAAGTTTGTCATCGTTTTGTCCTTCGAGATGAAGCAGCCATACTCCGGGTGACCTATCTGGCATTTCAAAGAAAGAATGACGACGAGAAAGGATATGTACCTTCGTTCATCATGCTGAGAAATTCCTTGGCTTGCTTCAAGGAAACCGTGATCAGTAAATAATCATCGGTTTGTCTAAGCAATACCTATGAGGACTACGTCAAATGCAGTCACCGATAAAACAAGATAAACATACACTCTTGGGATCCTCCGTAAATTGTTTAAATCTCTTCTCAAGGTCGCCGTAGAAAAAGGCACAGAGAATAGAGGAGAGAACCGAGCCTTGCGGAATCCCAATCACCTGTCGATAGTAATCCTGCCCAATCTATATCAAGTGAGAAGTCATGATATAGTTTCAGGAAGTATTCTGGTCAACCAACCTTGACAATATTTTCCGTGATATGCTGCTCAAGCAAGTCCCATACTTCGTGCCGTTGAGATCTAGGATAAACTACCTACACCTTGATAAATGTCCGTGCTTATAGATGCAAGAAGGTGAAGTTTTACTTGATCAACAAAAATCGTATGGCGCAAGGCCCTCGCGAGCTGTGTGGCATACTCAAGAAAATGTGGACGAGCATCTGAGGAAGTTGTCAGTCCAGGGGACACAATTCGAAGAGCATCACTCACCCTCGGGAAGGGCGTCCTTGGCAAACGTACGTTTGATCTTGCCTGCCGTAGAGGACACCTTGCCGTATCTTTTATGCACATAATTTTCCTGTAGTGCGCTTTGAGATGGATTCTTCGATTAGACGATGAGTCGACTCGCCTCAGAGATCACATTCCGCAAGATCATCAGCAGCTTCGCTTGATCAATGGTATCAAAGCAGGCTTGAACGTCGACTTTGACAAAATATAATTTGGGTCTTCAAGAACGTCAGCAAAGGTAAACGCTAGTGAAGATAATGCTCACAACTCGGTCCCGTATTCTTGCATGAGCTGGTCCTTGAAACCTCTGAGTTTTACATAGACATCATCACTTCCTAATACCGATGCGCCTAGCAAGTGAGGTCGCGTTTTCTGTGTACGTTGAGGCGGTCTTCATCTAGTACAAATAAAGAGCACCAACTCTTTCGTATGTGAGAATCTTGAACGCGACCTGAAGTATCTGGTTGATTGATTGCTCGGAAGAATTAAGGCCTCCCTGCGAGTTGGTCAGCTGGTGCAAACGACCTTGGAGAGCTGCCCACTTACCTCGATGGCGACCTGCTTACGTCTCAAGTTCGCAATGGGCCGAACACCCGTTTCCTTAGGTAGAAGACGAACGAAAGAGTAACCTAGTTTGCGCTGGCGAAGAACTTCTTTAGCTTCAGACTGTTGATCGAAGCTTATAAGCAGTGCCCAATCGAACTCGAGATTGAAAGACTAACTTTCTTCATCTTCTCAAATGTTCCACTTGTCAGACGGTCCAAAAGTGGCTCGCAAAGCACTTTCCAGTCATCCTGACGAAAGTACAGGACTTTATTCTTGAACGCTGAGGACTCCGTTACGAAGAACGTTGTCTGTCCTCGTCAGTCGACGTAAACTTCAACGCGGTGTGACCACTCACCTTCAGTAGCATTAATACAAAGGAGTCGAAGTACCAGTATAAGAAATCTTCCAGCAGTTCCCGCCGTTTAGCAGCGTCAGAGACGCTGACGCGAGTCTGCTTTTCTCCGTTCCCTGGTGGCATCAGCCACTCGCAGTCAGATGTGCTGAAGCCTTGGAGAATGTGATGCAGAGAAAAAGTTTCGAATCGCCGTAATGATATGAACTCTCGTACGTCTGAAAGGGCTCCGGTCAATACAAGAAAAGATTGTGGAACGTTGATCAGTGACCAACATACTACGACATATATGTTTGAAGTTGTTGTCACTGCCCCAGAATCTGGGCGGTATGACTTGCTGCGTAACAAGAAACACATATCGGTACACCTGAGAAGATAGTCAGACGCGATGCACATATATATCACTTTCCCACCTCAAAATGACTACATGAAAATTCTACAAAACGCGGTTTGTTTTCAGCGTGTTTTCTAGCTTGCGTGAGACCAATTGGAAAGATGGAATTCCCAGCTGAATCCAATGAAACCTCCTCTAGCAACGCTTGAGACTGAAGCTGAGAGGTTTCTTCAGACAGCAGCTCCTACGATACCTGTCAGCCGAATCCAGAGCCAAAAGAAAATACTCACTAGTATGATGCTGCTCTCTAGAGGCTTTTCTGACTTTGTAGCAACCTAATTATGGAAGAGTTACACAAAGCCACTGTGATCGACTTATGAAAGCTTGGTACCTTTGACGGGCAAACTTGGTCCTGAAGTAGCTTGTATTTGCACTTTCCGTGTCTCCATATAAGTTTATCGAGTAGAGTCAGTACCTCCTTCAAGCGCTTGGGAGTCTTTGACAGCTGCAATACAATCAATAAAGGTGAAAGATAGACACAAATATCGTACTCGGATTTCAGCTCCTCGATCGGTGAAGGTAGGCGTCATAGCGGAGCCCCATTTTGACGTCTTGAACGTAAAGGCACTTGACGATCCATACTGTCGAGGAAAAATGTATTTTGACAGATGGCGCGCTTTTTCTTGTTGTTGTCGTAGATCGTAGTCATGCACTTCATCACCATTCAGCTGATCGGCAGTGGGGTAACTGGGTGTGAGCCTATTGAGAATGTCTGATACTATTTAGTCCCTCGAAACTTCTGGGTAGCAAAATGACCAACGATTCGGCCGAAATCCGCATAGAATCTGATTTGTATGGGGTACGGTTGCTGGCCTCCCAAAGAATAATCTAGAACGACAAAGTGTAACGTCAGCGGGAGAAGCCCTGTATTCTTATCAGGCGGATATAAATTCGGGATGAATGACACCTACACCACAGTCTTCAACGTAGCGTTGGGGTCATTCCATTGACGCGATCCATTGCTGGAATCTGTTCTTTGCAGCTTAGTTGGCCTTTCATCGAGAGCAGGGAGCTTAGTCAATCGCTTTCCAAGCAACGACGTTCCAGGATCCACGGGCAGCCGATGCGGCGGTAAGTTAATCAGAGGCTCCCCCGTCATTTGGCAAAAACAATTATTGGGTAAGGAAAGAAATATAGCTGTGTCTGTTAGCAGATGCAACATTGCGTCTTCGCCAATCCTATGCGAAGAATCAGTCGGTGGCAAATCCAACGTAATGAGATGAAACTCGCCGTGCTAAAAGCACTCTCCACTCTTCACCCTGCAACGCCGTGACGATAGTGTTTACGCTGCTATTTTCGGCTCCTGGACGTGTCATTCCATGATTTCCACGAGCAACTACTTTGTTATCCTAAGGAAACGCGTAAAAAAAGCAGCACGATACTCGAATAACCCGGTGGACGGACACGGTAGTAGTATCCCAACGTTATGATGTTTGCCGACGATTTTCTCCTGAAGATGACTCTCTGAGCTTGATGTATAGTCTCGAAAGAAAGTTAGTAATGTAACATCATTATGATGGCTGAGTGACACTCACCTCAGTTATATCAGCTCTAGGCATTTCAACCTTCAAGCTTTGACGCGAAAGCGACCGCTGACCTTGCTTTATAGCAACAAAAGACTCTTCTACGAGGTGCTTATATCTCTCAGAGTCATCTGGAACCACCAGAGACCAATCCGGGATTGCGTCGCTATCCAAAACATCGCCAAGGTAGGTGTCCAATGTCTTGATGTCAGGGTAATAGCTTTGGAGTATTGATGAAGGAATTTTTGATGACGTTGCTGTTTCCATGAATTGGAGCTGGAAATCGAAAGCAGGCGTGGATGACCTGAAGTGCTGAACGTGCAATGTAGCTAGCAGTTGGTAAGAAGGCGAGTGGCGAGCCGGTGTCGGCCCGGGCGCTGAGGTTTGCCGTGTTTGATCATTCTGCCTGTCAACCTCGATATCATTTCACACTCTGCATCGATATCTACAAGGACAAAAGAAATTGTAAGTCTATCTCATGAAGATATGCATCTTCATTTATGTAACTATAAATTCTTAACCATTGGTCCTGCGGTGACCATCTTCTCATCTGGGGGCGCTTTGGGCAATGCTCACAGGAACCTCCCAGACACTTATATCTATACTAACCTTTTACTTTCAGTCAGTCATGCCGCTCAGGATTGGATACGGTTCGCATTGATTCTCGCTCTGTATCTTGATTCTTTCTTGAATTGTACCGTGCTTTAGTTCGAGAGCACTTCTCTTCCCCGCTGCTGCAATACGCCCAAGCGGACCAAGATAAGACCTTCACCCTTGTCGAGTGTCCAAGTTAAAACCAAATTATTTCTGGCGTGAACCTCGAAGCTAATTCCATCTGTCTAGGCGGCACGGGACAACTGATCTCACGACTCACCAACGATGAGATTGATGTCGCGATGTGAGTTTATGCCCGAGGCTTATCCTACATCGCTCATATTGATTTCGTATTCAGTGCGCTGACAGACCCGCTTATCTCTGGTATCGCTAACGGATCGAAGGCCTACAAGTTGGTAGGCAGCTATGTCACGACACCCTTGAACTGGTAAGTACCTATCACAATGTGTCGCAAACTCCTCTCCCATGATGTCCTGCTCTAGGGCCGTCATTACAGGAACTGAATCCAAGTACAACTCGATTGCTGATCTCAAAGATACGACGATAGGCATCTCACGGAAAGGAAGGTCAATTTTTGGCCCGGTCCGATTTGTTTCTGGCAGTTCTCTAACACGGCATGCTCAGCGGAAGCCAGACTATGGCGTATGTAATGGCCCTACAACAGGGCTGGCCTTCAGAAAACCTTCAATTCAAGAGTGAGGAACCCGATGTCCTTGCCAATATATCACAAACATCTGATATCAACTCACGCAGTCAACAACGACATCCATGGACTCATCAAATCCGTCAATGATGGATCAACCAGTGCATTCATGTGGGAATGGTTCACCACGAAACCATTCGTTGATGCAAAGGAATGCCGTTTTGTGAGCGCCATTTGTCGGCCATCGGTCACAATACTGACATAAGCTGGCGGCGTAGATTGGTTCGGTGCCGACCCCCTGGCCCTCCTGGCTGATTGCAGCTCGACCGACGACCCCACCTGACGCTCTTCGAGAGTTTTTGACATCGCTGTCCACTTATGTCAAGACTTTTGATTCCCCCGACAGCCGTGCAAGCCGTAACGTGGAATTTATCAAGACTCACTTCGGGTATCCAGAAGAAGATATATTGGCAAGTCCTCTGGCATCTAGACTACATGTACATATACCTATTTTCGGATTTAGGCGTGGTTGAAAACCGTCGGTTATCCCGATGATTGCTTAACAATCGAAACCAAGGTCATCACTGACGCCTTAAGGTCAGTGTTTATGTTTCCATCACGATTTGCAAGGCTAACAGGATATCGACAGTGTCCTTCAAAAGGCCGGAGTAGTCAAAGGAGAGTTTGAGGTCGCGCAATTTGTCGACACCGACGTTGTAACGTTGGTGTAATACATCAGAGTCAGAAATAAAGGAGAAGTTTTCACAATAATATAATTGTATTATGCACTTGTGTAGTTCGTTTGATACATTGAAAATCTTTGAAAGCAGGAAACTGAAAATACATTTGCGACATCAGAACATACAACAAAAAAGACCAAAGCAAGAGGAAAGGAGTGTTTAGGACGAGGTCGCGACGGCAGGGGATACGATACTTTCGATTTCTTCCTCGGGATCTGTTGTCGTCGCCGCCGCCTTTGATTTCGACTTTGGCTCTCGTGTCAAGAAACCTAGAACAATAGCAAGATCAGTTTTCTAGTGGCGCCACCACAACACACCGACCGACCTTTCAACTTTTGCCGCTCGACTTTTGCGCGTGCTTTATCGATCGCATTAAGTCGCGCGATCTCGGCATCAGCCTTGGGACCATCTAAGCAAGGAAGAGAGGTAAACAAGGTTGGGAAGACTTGGTTCAGAACACTAGCCTTCTGGGTTCTTTTTCTTCACGTCTTCCAGAACCTTGATAGCCCTCTCGATATATCCTTGCTCACCTAACGCCTTCCCCTTTCGAAACAGAGCTTTATAATTCTTCTCGTTCTTCGAGAGCGCCTGAGAAGAGCGGTCAACGGTTATACTAAATCATTAAGAAGTACAGACCTTGTCTGCGGTCTCGATTGTACGCTTCCAGTTCTGTTGAGAGAAGTGGCACGCAGACATGTTTCCATAAATCTTGCTTATAATCTCATCGATCTAGAACCAAAATCAGGACGAGCAGGTGGCGATGAATTGAGGACGGTGACCTCGGATAGTTTCTTGTCAGCATTTTCTTCTTCTGCCCGAGAAGGCATGACTGACATGCCAGGAATGGCATTCCTAGAGCGATCCGTCAGTGGAACATGGAAACAAACATCAGAGATTGAACATACTTGTCGAGTCCTTGAAGATACATCAAAGCCTTCATGCTATCAGCGCCACCGTATTCATCTTGAAGATGAGAAAGCAAAGTACCATATAGTATGCAGACAACGCTAAGAGAGAGAAACTGAAGTCAGCAACAGCGCGAATAAGCCACACAGAAGTGCACACCTGCTTTGTAGTCCCCTGTCTTGAAGGCTTGATCACCCGTCTCCTTGTGCTGCTTGCCCGTTTCTAGTTTATCGATAGAAGACATCGTCGGCTATTTTACGTCTTTCACGTTGAGCGCAGTTGTGCTAAAGGTGGAATCGGGTAGTAAGATCAGGCAGGCACTGTGGCGGCAGCGGCGCTTTATTGCGAGTTTACACATGTTTGTTCTCGACGGCATCGGAAAGGTCACTCCCTTGTCCTGACCAACCAAAATGTCGCTGTTCGCAAATGTCCTAGGGTTCTCCCTCTTCGGCCTTGCAGCCAGGCTTGGCCAACTTGGAATTCAGAAACGAAATTTGTTTGATAGTGCGTCAATGTTGCTTTCAATTTGGCATACACGTCTCACAGCGACCAATACAGACATGACGGCCCATGCAGTGTCAATGGGTGCTTGGGGAGCCTTTGGATACCTTGCGTGGCAGTGGGATCAAAAGTCAAGTGGTATCATTGCGCAGAAGAAGCTAGAGCTAGCAGAACGCCGACAGGCTCGACAAGAGCTTGCGGAAGAGTTGGCCGCGGCGCATATACCAAGCGAGGGCGAGCATTGAACAACCAGGCCTAACCTGTACGTCAGTCTTTCCATCTTTCACCTTCAATGTTCGATTCTAATTTTTATTATACAGACTTGGTACCGTTCTGTGAAATAGAATTATTCGCGCAATGTTTGAGATACTGTGTCGATACTAAGTCAAATGAAGTGAACGTGACACCATCACACCAGGCAGGCAGGCTAGTCATTGTTTTCTGGTTCGCTTGTCTCCGCCTGCCACATCAACATCTACTTGACGGATGCCAACGGTCACGACGGCAGTCAACAAGCAGCTAACCTAGTCCCTACTGAAGTGTTCCTCAATTATTATGTCCGTTTCGACGTCTTCAATGTTCAACGTTACGCAAAGGCATAATGAATAATCTTTTCCCCATCAATTATCGCAAAAAATGTTAAAGCGTGCTCTTAACGATATCAGATGATAGCCATAGGAATCGTTGGTATTCTCTAGAGGGCTCGGCTGCAATGGCCTACCGACGATTCCGCAAGCAGTTTAGCCTCCGAATTCATTAAGCCTCGAGGCGGCTTGGATCAAGGAACACCAATAAAAAAAGCACGGCGTTGTCAAAGTAGTGCGCTCCCAAACTTTATCCCGGTTCCGAGCTTAGTAGTTCCGAACAGGTCTGGACGAGACGGCAAACACGCATTCAATATCCGCAGCAGGGAAGCCATCAGTATATTGATTGACCAAGAACAAGAGTGGAACGCGTATGTCAACAAGAAAATCGCGAGCATTGATGTGAAACAAAGATCATTGAAAGAAGTGGATGAATGGAACCAGTGCAATCAGTCGACATCTATATATCTGTAATCGAAAAAGCTAGCGAAAAATAAGTGATAACTAATAATACATACAGCAGACAGAAGAAAAAGCGGGTTCGGAGTTGTCGCAGTAAAATGAAGCATCGGATAACATGCAAGCGCAAATGATAAGGGAATGCTATGAGTGCACGAGTGCAGAACACTAGATATTGTACACGCTCGCAGTGCCTGGCGAGCAATCCAGGAATAGATGGACAAGAGGGAAGGAAGATGACTGAAATGAGGGAATGTATGATCGAGGAATTGATATTTGGTTCAAAGTGCAATGAGCGATGGAAGCGCCATAGACATGGGCTTTTCGGAGTGCCGATAAGAGACTGAAGGAGTGGTGATGACGGCGGTGGCAATGATTTGCGAAGCCAAGATGTTAATATAAGTGTGTTGTTACAACCGTTACAACGGGATTGTGGCGATAGGCCGATAGGCGGCGCACCAACGATCGGGAGAGGAAATAGGAAAAGGTGTCAGCAGGGAGGATCGTTGATTCCGACAGCAATTTTGATCAGAAAGAGATGGAAGACGAGGGAAGATGAGATAAGATGAAACAGTTGAGCAACGAGAGACAAAGATTGATGATGGGAGAAAAGGAGAGTTGAGTTGTTGACCGATAGTAGGATGATAGTTACAAAGTAGTTGCGGGAGAGATGTTTGCAATAATATCGAGGGGAACGTTTTAACTGTATACGGTCAAGGCCGACCAAAGAGCGTGACGGAAGACTGAGAATAACTGTCAGATATACCAGACTGTGAGAAACAGGTATTCATCTCCAACCTTCCAGAAATCTAGAAAACCAAGAATGGATTCCCCGTTCGAACACGAGATTTCATCTCAGTTGAAAAGCACTACCCAGCCCAATTTCGCCATCTTCTTCGACATCTGCGTCATGCCCTTGATCGAAACGGGACACCACACTGTCCTCGGGGACAACAAGACTCCCAAACGATATCCGTCTCGAGGGCGCAAGGCCCAATCGACGTACCCGACGAAGGGTAGGAGTCTTCTTCACCGTGCTGGGACCCATGTACATAGAATCGATTTGCATTTGATGATCGGCCGGAGGGGGAATATGGAGATGAGGAAGCTCGGCGCCAAAAATACTGGGATTTCGCTGGAGACTCATGCGCTGAGCTGGCCGCTGTGACGTTGACTGCCTTCCGATGCCAAGATTGGCATTAGAAGACGACCGGTCACCATCCGTTTTGCCATGGCCAGAATCTTTTCGCTCTCTGCACTTCTTCGTGCCCTTGACCTTAGCTTCGGGGGTGGGGGTAGATGAAGATGGCTGTGAAAGGGGTGGCGATGCTGTAACAATATTCCTGGTCCTCGCTTTCTTCACATGTTTGCTCCTCTTCTTCTCCTCTTCATCAGAAGAAGGATATGAGACTGCATCAGTGGGTGTTTCCATTCCAAGAAGACCGAGGTCATTAGCGACCCTCGCTCGATTACTCTCTTTAAGTTCTTGCGCCGCAGCACCGAAAGACGGGGCACGCTTAATCGACTGTCGTACGGGCGAAGGCGTTGCGGACTGGATGAAAACAGCTTGATCGTTGGCTGAGGCTGAGGGTCCACAAAATGATTCTGATCGACGGACACGCTGGACGCGTGGATCCGCGGCGGAAGCCATGGAAGAAGGCAGCAGCTGATGATATGACAATTTGGCATCGACACTACTCAAGGACTCGTTGGAGGTCATTGACGAAAGAGTAGATCCGGAGCGCCTATGATGTGAGCATGAGGAAGAGAGGGTAGTAAGAGTAGTGAGGGTCGAGGTACTGGGTGTAGATGGACTAAGGAGGGACGGAAGGTGACCAGGACGGGGCGGTGAAGCTGAACGGCGCTGGGAAAGGTGATTTCGCGTCCGCGAATACGGATGATAGGATGTGGTCGGTGAGACAAGGCAATCTGACGTTCGCTGAAGACGGTTGGACAAGCTAGTCACGATAAAATTTAATATAGAGAAGGCAAAAGTAGGGTTAAACAGTGACGCACCGCGTGATATTGTCGTGCTCATCCTGATCTTCGGAGATGGACCCATAGAGAAAGTCCATACTGGATTGCCTATATACGGGACGGCGAGGCTTCTTTCCAACTGCAGGGAGTTCGGATTCCCCACCACGAAAGAAATAATCATCGTTCTCGTCGGTGTATACCTTGGCTTCCTCTTTGGCGCGTGTACGAGCGATCTCAATGAGTTTTACGCGGGTTGCACGAAGGGAAAACGGCCAATCATTGGGTCCCTTAGCTTGGGCGACACCTCGAGCAATCTTATCGAGGAGATTAGAAGGAGGGATAGGGCCATTAAAAGGAGTGACTAGATGTGAAGGAAGAGCATCTAGGGTCTGCAAATACAATGAGCGCGGTATTTGATAACAAAGACAGCCGACGCACCCGTGACAGCAATAAAATATGATCAGGCTTCCATTCAGCAGTCTCTACATCGTCTCCAAAATCCTGATTTGAGCTGTTCCAGCTATCTGAGCTCTTTCTATTGTTTGATTTGATGAACCAGGATGAACAATTCGGTGAGCCGCAAGCCGACGAACGGGGTGTTCTGGGTGTAGAGGAAGCAGAGCCGGTGGAAAGAAGAGATGAACGACGACGAGGGAGCGAGGGCTGGGGCAGGACGATGGCGAGGGGAGAGACGCGATTTTGGCGCCGCGACATGCTGGGGAAAGGACAAGGCCGAAAGGGACGAGGGAACGTGCTCTGATTCCCTGGCTCTGTTTTTAAACTCAGCTTGTCAGCGTTCCTTCCAAAGAAGTTCAAACTCCGCTGCTGATCTAATGTCCGATCTCAGATTTGGCGCTTGACACGCTTCCTCCTCGAGTCACTCGGCTACGAAAACGTGTTGATCATTGTGATCATGTTGATCACTCGCAGCACTCACCCTTGTACCTCGTACCTCTTGTAATATTCCAAATGCCCCCTCGTTTCCCTAGTCATTCCGGGTATCGTCCTTCTGATAGACTCGCTCCTGTGCGACCTTTTTCTGGTCTTTATCTGTTTTCAGATCCCCATCTCAGCGTAATCTCCGTCAACTCTCCGGTAAAATCTTTCCGTCGTGATAGATCTCTACTGCGATGCTTGTGATATCGTGAACGGAATACATACCATCAATTAACGCTTCTTCGCCGCCATATGAACGTATACTCAATCTTATTCGCTGGCAGATGTCCCATCTCAAAGTAGCGATCGCTGCCCTTATATACAGTTTGCGAGCCTCATGATTTTTGTCTCTCTTCTAACAGGTAAGGCAACTGTTTGGAAACCTGTCGGCGTGAACACACCACTCGGGTTTTTAATTTAACAGAATTTCGGATGCGCCTGACTTCTGCTCTCTCACTGCTATACCTTCGGCTTCCACACAGAAGGTATAATCCACTACGAGACCCTGCCCGGTTTCGTTATAATTATTTCTTCGTTCTGGAGCTGGGGAATCGTCTTTTAGCCGTTTCATGGCGATTATACGCTCTTAGTCCTCGCAACTACAGTTGTCAGGGTATATCTCCCTAGATGTTGCAATTATAAGAAATGCTCAAGCATCTGATGAGCGTCCATTCTGCATCATCTTTTAAAGATTTTTCTCTGATCTAAGATCCAACACATATATATATGCAAGGATCCTGACGCCAATCATACTTTGGTGAATCAAGGAGTTGGGATGTAGGTACATATCATATGATTTGCACACAACGTACGGTGATAAGTCGTAATATGTGGCGCCCGCTTGATGATCAAATTTCATTGTACTAGTCTTTCTGACCCTGCGCCCGCGCGATGGCCTCACGGCGATCAGCGCCGCTGCTTGGGGTTAGAACGAAAACATTCTGTGATATTAAACATGCAGGGCATTGGTGCGAACCTTTGTCCAGTACCGGGAGAGACGACCCCGAAATCGAAATCGATCGACCACCTTACAATATTTAGGGTATGCCGTTATGGAGACACCAGGGAACAGGCGACTAACTCGCGCCGGTCAAAAGGCAAGGAAAACGGCCAGAAATATAGATGATATTTTTGACTCAAGATTTTGACTACAGTAAAATGAATCAGCTTCAGCATCAAACGGAATCCCGACTCACTTTACTGAATTCAAAAGCCTTCATCAGAATTGGGCCTGTTATTCACTCATTTTCCCAGGTTATTGTCCGACCCGAAAGAGTCGCTTACCAGGAGTGGAATGTGCTCCACGCTTGCCCCGTGTATCAAGTCGAATGGGTCATTCGATTACTTGAGATTGCCCCATACTGAACATGGCCGTAAATCGAGTGCACGGTACATGTCCCTGGAATTTCCTAGACGTTTAGGAGGACTACCGGCCGAAGAATAAAGACCTTCAACACGTACCGATAATTTAAAATATTCTTCCGGTAGTAGGTACCACTTTTCAGGACCATGGTGAGAAGGATTATATCCACTTCGATAGAATGGATGGCAAGATCTGTTTTGAAAATTAATGGACAGAGAGGAGACGTGGGGTTCGCGGCTAGTCTCAGATACTCCAGCACGGCGAACGTTCCCCTTCCACTTGGAAAGAAGGCTTTGTATTTTCTATGACCCCCCTTAGTGGCACCCTATCAATGAGCCAAGCTTCGCTGATCACTAGCACTGTTCTTGCGAGACTGCAGAGCCCGATAAACCGCGTATAATTGTTCAGCGGATTATGTACGGGTAGAAGCACCCAGTGTGACCGATATGTGAGACCACAAAAGTTCACGTTCATAACCGGAGGTTTATCCATGCGGCAGTAGTCATCTAAGTAATTCAGCGCACAAACGGCACTCCAGAGCAATGCATAGAGGAGGACAGGACAGTCTCACGGAAGCTCATAGCGTAAGCCCAGTATTTTCGGGAACATGTAGCACGTCAATCTTGGCACTGAGGAGGACGGAGGCAATGGTGGATACAAACAAGAGCAATGCGCATGGTTCGTGCGCCGGTCCGGGCTTGGCTTTGATTGGCTGACATCACGCTCACGTGGTAGTTGAAGTTGAGCAACCGCGACGCGATTCTTCTTCATCTCTTCCCCCAACCACAATCTCGGCTTTTGGCATCGTAAGTCTGCAGCATCAGTATCAGTACTTTTGCTATCTCTACGCTATGACTTCCATAGCCTCAGTCACTCGGCAAATCTCGGCTCTCGACATCAACAAGAAGACCACCACAACGAAGCCGACCACACTGTCAAAACAACCAAGCCAAACCAATGTGGCCAAACTATTAACGAAATTTGCGGCGCCGAACCCCTCTACTAACTCTGCGAAACCGAAACCCACGCCCCATTCCGCCTTGCGACATCTGACGACAGAGAAACCAGCGACACCTGACATTGACATTGGGAATTATGATGGAGGATTGGAACTTGAGAACGAAAAAAGAGGCGAGGCAATTTCCGGGGATGCCGCGAGGGAGCTGGCATTGGATTCGAGTGTGGCACGGTGAGTTTTGTAGTCTTATTGAGCAGATTTTTGCTCACTCACTGTTAGGCAATCGCCCACTCGAGAATGGACATTAAACTCCTTCGACATGGGTCGCCCTCTCGGTAAGGGCAAATTCGGCCGTGTCTACATGGTCCGTACCAAAGCCGAACCGCACTACATCATCGCCCTCAAGACCCTCTACAAGTCCGAAATCGTTGCGGGACGGGTCGAGAAGCAGATCCGCCGAGAGATCGAAATTCAACAGAACCTACGGCATCCCAACGTCTTACGTCTCTACGGCTATTTCCACGATGAAAAACGTATATTCTTAATGCTCGAGTTTGCTGGTAAGGGAGAACTCTACCGGCAGCTTAGCAAGCACGGCCGCTTCAGCGAGAAGAGAAGTTCGCGGTACATTGATCAGATGGCGGACGCGTTGATGTATTTGCATAGCAAGCATGTCATCCATCGGGATATCAAGCCTGAAAACTTGCTCTTGGGCTTGAATGGGGAATTGAAGATTGCGGACTTTGGGTGGAGTGTGCATGCTCCAGGAAATCGACGTAAGACAATGTGTGGAACGTTGGACTATCTTCCACCAGAGATGGTTGAGAGCAAGGATCATAACGAACGGGTGGATCATTGGGCATTGGGTGTATTGACCTACGAATTCTTGAACGGTAACCCGCCATTCGAGGACCAGAGTAGCGTGAACAGTGGGTATTTCTTGCACTTTTTCCTTATCTGGTCTAATAGTGCTTTCACAGATACTTATCGACGGATAGCCAACGTCGACCTTCGCTTCCCGCCTGGCATGTCGCCAGACGCACGAGACCTCGTCGCAAGAGTATGTCGACATTTTAGCCTCATTGTGGATACATCTGACGAATATTGAAGCTTCTTCAACATGACCCACAAAAACGCCTCCCTCTGGTGGATGTGCTTCGGCACCCTTGGGTTGTCAAGTATAGACCTAAGGGTAGCACGAGGGGCAGCGGGCTAAGCCAAGATTGATTGAGCATGTTTCATGTACTAATATATTTAGGACATTGTTATTGTGTTGTAATCCCATATCCCAGTGATCAGTCTAACGGTACTGAGTCTGCCAAGTTTACGCGCACATTTGCCAAGACCAGAATTGCGAGCCGCGGAGGCTGATGACAGCTATAGGACTCAAGAATCCACGACAAGGTCCTGGCCCACATGTCTAAGCCAGTGTGACTCCTTTCCGACCTTGGAGCTTGAAACCTTTATAACTGGCGTCCACAAAGAATGTTAGTGCAGGTGGATATTTTTGGTTAGTCAAGACTTTCAAGACTTCCAAGTATATATATATATATATAGATTGAGCACTGGATAGCGACAAGGGTGACAACCATCGGAGATATATTTGAATCACCAGAAAACTAGACAGTAATTTACAGAGAAATTTGCGAAAAAAAGGGCGAGCACACTGAATAGTCAGCCTCTCATGGCCACCTTCCTGGTCAGGGCCCTCAGACGCTCAGCATTCTTCCGCCTTCTCTCCACATCGACATCCACGCTAGTATTAGACCGCATGAGGGCGGCATTGGCCCTGGGCGCCACAGTATAGTTGCCCAATTCACTCTGAGGAATTGTAACAGCATTCTTGCGGACCCGGCCCTTCTCTGACTCTTTAGCGCGTGCCAAGATAGCACCCAATTTCTCTCCACCAAACCTGCCTGCGTTCGGATCTCCATCATCTCGGGCAACAGGAACAATTCTGTCCCTGTAAGAAGCCGACCTCTTAATGATTGGGCGTGACCACGTTGAGACCAGTTCGTTGGCAATACGCGCTATATCAGGGGTCACGCGCTTGCACTTGGTGTAGAAGACGACGATTCTGCCAAGTCCTGACTCTTTGAGAACGGCCGAGTCGATGAATTCCATTTTCCTGAGGATGGGAAAGAACTCGCGTTGTATGTTTAGCGCGGGAAGAGAACGATCTGGGAGTGGTTCTAACCAACGTTTGACGCCTTCCAGAAGATTGTTGTCGATCATAGACTGCGCAAGGGAAGCTCTGTAAAAATGTTAGATCATGGTCTGACGCATAATGATCACATTCCCCACTTTCTCAAAGTCTCCATGGCTTCAGGAAGCAGCCGTAATTTGGCCGTAGCCGGAATTTTGTCATGATTGGAGCGTATGTCTTCGTCAGCTGCGTTATTCATGGCTTCCCGTAACCGGGCGACTTCATCATCAGCAAAGCTGTCGAGAACTTCGTCATTGTTCTTTCGTTTTTTGGGACGCGAAGATTTTTTGGGCTTGAGTATAGCGTCGAACTGCATGTCAAGCCTGATCTTACTGGCTATAAGGAAATTAAGACGACGTGTTAGATGCTATGCAGCATCGACGCACCTTGCTCTGGCGGCAGGTCATTCAAGTCTTCCTCCGTATATGTAGGCTCCTTCTTCTTGGTCCCCCGCTTCCTCTTTGAACCAACCTCTTCCCTAAGGTCGCTAGATTTCTTTTTCTTGATAGTCCTCCGTTTCTTCGGCTTGCCCTGGCGACCATAGTCATCCTCAGAATCAGGGCCAGATGATTCATAATCGTCGCGGCGCTGCTTGCTATGCGATTGATTCTGGAGCTCTGGAGCAGAAGAAGTGAGGATGAGACGCTGAGATGCTATGCCGACAGCCCCACCTTCCTCCTCATCTGAAGACAGCTCCGAGTCAGAACCACCAAAGATATCACGCGCGAGCTTTTCCTTTGTCTGGAAAAGAGTTAGCGTGCAGAATGTAAAGGCATTACGGACACTTACTGCGGCCATGCTGGAAGAGAAAGGTCAGGTTGACTGTTGACCAATGTACGCTTACGTCAGTTGATGACCCTGCTAATTTTGTACGCGGCCTAATTTGGAAGTGAATAAATTGCCGCCTCCTGCCGGTCTCTTTTGAGTCGCTTACCTTGAAACATTCAACGATCTACCCGAAAACGACATGAAGCCCTTTATTTAGCGCCAACTGATTCAGTGCGTCCTTTGCTATTCCCCCGTCGCCCTCTGCTGCTCAATATCCTTCACTGCAGTCAGCCTCCCCTATCTCTTGACCACCACCGCGTAAACAGTTGCAGCTGTCGTCGCCGTGCTCCACGACCACACGGTACCGTTAAAAGACCCTTTGGCTTCCTTGGCACCGTCGTATACGATGGCTCTCGCTTTCAGTGTAGCTCCCATTCAGCCTGTCTCCCATATCGCTGCGCCAGGGTCGGCCTCGAGCTATCCACAGCATCTGCTCCAGCATATGTCCTCGTTTTCAGGCTCTGAATCACCTGTCGCAGCCACGGAACCATTGTCTGGTCGTCTCGAGCCTCCTTTGACCACCACCAGCATATCGACGACGAGTTCCAAGGTCAATCGGCCGCTACCGTCGCTACCCAGGACCAATAGCGTCACCGGGTCAAGCGCAGTCCCTACTACCATGGCGATACCCACTTCCCGCCCTCCAAGGAAGAAGGCTTTAAATTCCCCAGTCTCATACTTCTCTCACTTGGTCTCTGCATTAATGCCCCAACGGAAGGCTGTCTCCTCTGTCACTAGCATTGTTAACCATCCAGGCACATTGTCCCGCCTCTTGTCATTTCTCCCCTGGCCCGACTTTCTCGCTCTTTCTCAAACGTGTCGTTCCTTGCGGGACATTCTTGACAAGGAAGACTTGCGGGATGTCATTCTCTCGAGATATGTCGAAGGCTATGGCACTTGTCTAAGGCTACGATCCGGATCCCGGGAAGGTGTGCAGGAGGTTCCTATCACATTGCATGATCTCGACCTGCTCCGCAAGTAGTCTTTCATTCACAATATTTACTCTGCTAAATTTTATTCTGTAGTGATCTCACAACGCACTCCGCTTCATATATACCCCACTGCTGCGCTTTCGACACTCTCCTCTCGCCGCCTTTCCAATGCCGAAATTTTACGGAATCAGAAACTGGAGAGGCTAACCCACACCCATTCCCGCTTCGTGCTTCTCCTACAGTCGCTCGCGCACAGTTCCTCATTACCTCCACCTTTAGAGTCGGAACCAGAATCTGATCCTATCTTCCCTGAAACTCGTACTCAATCACAGGGTCCTTCGTTTCTACAGCGAGTTTCCTTGGTCGATGGAAGCGGGACGGGATCTGTACGGGAGCTTGTTTTTCCCGCACCTTTATCATGTCCAGATCCGGTCGTCGTGACAGACAGACCGGTTGAAACGCCTGGACGGATCCCTCAGCGCCGTTCGGTTTCGGCCGGCGCTGTGCAGACAGATGGTCATAGACATACGCGGAGTCTAACGAGCACTGCACATTACTTGCATTCGTCGCGGTCCCGTCAAGCCCCGAAATCTACGGGACTTAATGGGGGACAAGCAGGCACCATCAGAAGTCCTGATTCTTCTGCGTCATTACGCTCAATGAAAAGGAAGAACCGGCTTTCCATATTTAGCAGCAGTGCCAACAATCCGCCCCCGCCACCTGCCGATCCCAGAGACCTTAAATATTATTCGACGGGCTGGAGGCGGTCGCTAGCCAACGCTTCATTTGCCCACAAAGCAAAACGTGCTTCGTCTGCACATGACTCCTCCATTTCAGAAGGTTGGTTATTGGACGATGATTTAGGATTTTATCGACCACATCGGAGGTTCGCTTCGTCGAATTTTAGCGGTAGCAATCATTCCTTCAGCAGCACCTCCGGATCAGCTTCAGGATCTGGAGGCTCTCCGCTGTCCCGGAGCGAGAGGCACAGTTCTCCATCACCCCCTTTAACACCTGTTGCGATGCCATCTCCCTCGTCACCCCACGATCTCGTGCTTGCCACGTCGCGCGTCCGTGCTCCCATTTTACGTGTTTATGTCCCGTGCACTGAATTGTCCGACGGTCCAGAGTTCTTGGACAAGGATTATTTCCTCACCCAAACTGGTGGCAGTTCGAGCATTCAGAGATGCGAAGATCAGCTCATAGAGTCTGGTCTATGGGAGCATATGAGCACAGGGGACGTTGTTTGTAATCTGGGATATGTTCCCCCTGCGCCACCGGGAAGTGAAGAAAGTTCCGTAGAAGATCATTCGTCTAGCCGAGAGTTCTCTAGTAGACGCGACCGGTTCGACAGGCTCAAGGAGACTCGCACATGGCTGATATTCAACGGACACTGTCTCGTGCCCTTTTGCCCTCCTGACGATATGTTACCTATTGATGACCCAATTTCCTTGCCTTCGCCTTTTTATTATGATTGTCTCATACCCGCCACTCCTCTTGCAGTTGGTCGTCAACGATCGTCTTTGGCCACTGGCAATATCCGAATGGTCATTGGACGACTCCCACCACCCGGGTTCGAAGAAGTACCGCAGCTACGTCTCATTCATACTCAAACCAGAGTTCGCAGCCCTCATTCTAGGGGAGGCGTTGCTGTCGTGAAGAAATGGGTTTGGATTGCGAAGGTTTGGAGAGGCGGACTTCATTTTGATGCCGTCGGAAAGATGAACGCCAACGGAAGTGATCTCGGCGCGGCTATGGGAATCGGCTGGGAAGGTGAATGGGTCATCGAAGGAGAAGGGACCAAAGAGGGTCGCCAAGCATTATTGGATTGCCTTAATGGCAAGGGACCAAGGCAGAGGGAGTGTGAAATCGTCCGGGAGAAGAGCGGCGGCGGAAGAATCTGGCTCAGGTGCGATAATTTCCGTCTTCCATCTGTCCCGGTTTCTGAATTACGCTTTAGAATGCTCGAATCTTCCTCGGTACAATTGTATACTACGCCCTCGAACTCTGGTTCTATTTCATCCGCTCTTACACAAACAGCTTCCCAGCCCCGTGTATGATTATATCTACTTTTAGATGGTACGATACTCTGGTTGACCTGCTTCACATTTATACATGGGACTTATATCACTGCAATTCATCCTGGACAATTATATCATTACTTGCAGTCATGCGCTTATACTTACATTATTCATTCCATTCATTCGTGCATAATGTACTATACGTGATGTGAAACCTTTGCTACATGTACGCCCGTGATAGTATATTCTTACGTACGTAGGTGTAAGTATCCCCTCGTACTTTTATCGTCATGATGTTACTTATGTTTTCTCGAAAAATAAGATTCCAAAAGTCGATGAGACATTTCATATGACATAATGACGAATTTCGGCCGGCACCGTTTCAAGTTCCGACGGAATTTTTCGGTATCACCTGCAACGTTGCACACTGCTCTTGCTCACCAACCACCACTTCCTTGTGAAACCAACATCTCGAATCTGGCATTCTTTGTATCTAGCATCCCCGCAACGCCTTCACAATTTCGTCAACCCACTCCCCCCACCCCCAATATCCCATCTTCTGTCCTGGCAGAGGATTCATGCTTCGTCCTCCAATCAGTCCTTCCAGACAAAAAAATCTCTTTAACAATTCCTTTCTCGCTTCTGTGAGCATAGTTTTTTTCACCGTCTTGGCTGGAATACTTACCTGACATGGCTTATAGCGCTAAACCCAATCATTGTCCATTATGGCCAGCGTAGTAAACATCCGACGTGATGTCGATGACAAATTCTATCGCTACCGGTATGTGCTTCAGCTCCTTTGCCAGGCGCTCGATAGACTCATCTCAATGTCTTAGAATGCCCCTTCTCAACACAAAGATTGAGGGTAAAGGGAACGGAATTAAGACGGTCATCCCCAATATGGCTGACGTCGCGCGCGCTCTCAGTCGTCCTCCTACCTATACTACCAAATTCTTCGGTTGTGAACTAGGCGCCCAGACCTCCTTTGATGAAAAGAACGACCGGTACATTGTCAATGGCGCCCATGATGCCAATCGTCTCCGGGAGCTCTTGGACGTTTTCATCGAAAAGTTTGTTTTGTGCAAATCGTGCAAGAATCCTGAGACGGAACTCGTCATTCTCAAGGCTGGCCGGTCCGAGGATATCATCCGTGACTGCAAGGCTTGCGGAGAGCGTACCGGTGTCGACATGCGCCACAAGCTGACCACGTTTATCCTCAAGAATCCTCCAGTCAAGGTCAAGAAAGGTAAAAAGAGGACCAACAATGGTGACGCCGCGGGAGGTGTGGGAGGAGGAGGTGATGTTACACCGGAGAATGGCGATGAGGAAGCCAATCTCAACGGCGCCGAGAGTGACGATGAGCTGACGAAGAAGATCAAAGCGGAAGCCAAAGAGCTTAACACCGATACGGCATTAGCCAAGGAGGATTGGTCTGCAGACACCTCTCCCGAAGCCGTGAAGCAGCGCATCAAAGCACTCGAAGGAGGTATGGCGGGGGTAGCCCTAGGAGGAGATGATGAAGGTAGTGATGATGACGCAAACAGCCCCTACGCTATGCTTGGGAAGTGGATCGAGGAGAACAGGGACACGGATGATCCAAAGGCGTTTTCCGTCTCGATTTATAAAAAGGCGGAGGAGTTGGGCATCGAGAAGAAGCATAAGACTATTGTTGTGCTTGTCCAGGCGCTTTTTACGGCGGACGTCCTCTCCGAGATCAAGAAATACACGCCGTTGTTTGCCAAGGTAATTACTTTTTTCAGGTATCCGTTTCACATGCTCATATAGTACGCAGATGGTGACTTCGGAAAAACATCAAAAGTCCTTGCTGGGCGGTATTGAGCGTCTCGTCGGGCTTACCTACCCGAACCTTCTACCCGCTGTCCCCAAGATCCTAATGGCGCTTTATCAAGTTGACGTTCTTGATGAGGAGGTTGTCACCCAATGGGGAACGCACGTCAGTAAAAAGTACGTCGATAAGGAGACCAGTAAGACGGTCAGGAAAGCCAGTGAGCCATTCCTGAAGGTGAGATATTCCCTCATAAAAACTAGAAATCTAATCTCAATTTGTCATAATAGTGGCTTGAGGAAGCTGACGATGATGATGATGACGAATGATGGGTCAATTTTTCCAAGGGTGCTCTATCTTCGTATGGACTTCTCTGTTATTGTTGCATGTATGGTAATTCTTTGATTATGCCAACCCTCTTTTACGCTCTACTGGGATACGGCTCAATGAGGACTCCGTTACTTTATCTGATGGATCTTAAACGTGATTCACAGCCCTTACTATTGTTTATTGTAAAAAGGGGTAGAGGTGCCTCCTTAGACTCTTTGTTTTCTTTCAGCAACTTTGCACCCAGCATCCCCAGGTAAAGTCAGTTCCTGAGCTGCTAAGCGACGCCAGCTAAAAGATCGCAAAGCGCGATACAAAGCACAGTCGTCTGCTACGCTGCGTATCACTGATATCGCTATGGTGAGCCGTTTGCTCTCCGATTTTCGCTCGAGTGACTCATTGGTTGAAAGGCTTCATTAAAGTTATCCAATGAATATGACATCTACGTGGCGCAATTCGGCCATCCTCTTCTCCGTGGGGCCAAGCATTGGTCCATCGTGGTCATGACGGATCCAAACAAGCTGACCGGGATCGCGTATCAGATCAGCGGTGGTACGGAGACGTATGAAGTCAAGCCCCCTGAAGGTGTAGACCTGCTTGACACGCCGACATACATGGGCAGTGTCAAGGTGGGGAAAGTCGCGAGCAATATGGTACATGGCGATAACGGGGTCGTTTCACTCAGTTTCATACTGACGAGGACACCAGTCGTGTTGGGGAACGTGCATTGGAATTGTCAGAACTGGGTTGCGGAGGGTCTCAAGCGGTTGAAGGATGCCCATCATTCGATTGATGATGACTCACTGGAGAGTTTGCAGCGGAGACTTAGTTCGGTCCGAAGAGAAAGCCGAGACTGACTGCTGGATAAAATAAGCCATCTTTAATTTGTTTTTACAAAGTTGGCTACTTACTTATACTTTCGAGGGAATAAAGCGCGTATTTCGTAGGGGTTCAATGTGATCATGCTAATTGTAATGTCTTGTTCTTCTCTATAACCGACCGTCGTTGGACTCATGGCTTGGCGCAGTTTCATGCTTCAAGGTCCCGCAAAGATCCGGTTTATTATAAAAGAGGTACCACACCGTATAATTCAATGCAACACTAGATCGCTTTGTTCTCTTCTCTTTCCATCATATCATCGCTGGAGACGTGAGTACTTGATTTTTTTTTCGACAATCAACATTGTGCCTTACTTGAAATCCTGCTCGGCCTTGTTTTTGTAGACAACCGAAGCAATAACGGACGCCCTTGTAATTCCATGCAAGCCCGTTGTTCCGAGCCAGTCTCTTTACCATCGATATTGTTAGGCATTGCATGGTACGACGTCAGAGACTACAGGTGTATCTGAAATATATAAGGGGAGCTCGGGAAACCGTTCAGGTCAAACGCAAACGCATCCCCCCTCGTCTATATCCTTTTACCAACGGAAATATTTGTGGGTCTTTTCCCTTGAGCCGTATAGTCTAGGCTTGACACTAACACGTTTCTCCTAAGGCGAGAACTTGACTCTTCCGTAACTCATTCTGCAATCCTCATCTGGTACCCTTTTGCCTTGATACCCGTAATTCATATTCTCATTTGGTACAGGCGTTTTCTAGTATGAGTGACCACGACGATCTCTATGTGGCACATTACGGTCATCCCAGTCTTCCTGGTGCTAAGCACTGGGCAATTGTCGTCATGACGAAACCCCAGCAGCTGACTGGAATCGCCTACCAAATCAGTGGTTCTGCTTATACGTACAATGTCAAAGAACCAGAGGACGTCAGCTTGCTCCATTCAAACACCTACTTAGGACGAGTGAAAGTCGGCGCCATACCCAAGGGTTGGCAATATGGGAGCGGGGACAGGACTTTGCATGCCATTTTGACGAGAACTCAAGTCGTCAGAGGAAACTTGCAATGGCACTGTCAGCATTGGGTTGTTGCGGCCCTCGCACGGTTAAAAAAGGCCGGGTATGCAGTTGATGATCTTTCTCTGCAGGATCTACAGCAGAAACTTCTTACTGTCCGGAGAGAAGATCAGTTATAGACTGTCGTACGGGACGAAGGATCGGGTCTATACTTTATATAATATTATATTACATACCTGCACGCTATCTAATACTTAATTGTTGTTCTACTAGCAATAGGACCTCCTATATCGTTTAATGCTTACATTCTGCAGTCAACAACGAGGTTCCGCGGAAGCAAATGTGCGGTTCCTTGTCCATCAGTCGACTGCATAGATCGCCCAGTAATTTATCGGTGAATATACATTTGCCGGTATTAATGCTACGCTGTTCTTTTCACTTCGGCGTCAGCTTTGATTCGGGTCTTTTTGATCGACAGAGGATTTGCTGGAATCTGTCTGACTGTCGATATTCCGAGTCAGGGCCACTCTCGACTTGTTCTCGTTCCAATAGATATTCTAGTTGTCGCCCAGGACCTGATGGATCACAGCCTCTAGGTCTTCTCTAGGCTATATTTTTTCTCTTCTGTTACATCCTAGAAATCTTGCAACCATTCAATTTCAGCTTCGGAAGTGACGCTGACAAGTGCCGTAAGTCGTAGTAGATGCCGGTGGTGAGGCACAGCCACAGACATCGGTTTCTGACCGATCCATCGGGCGACTCATCTCAAAATGGAGGAAGGCTCACTTCCCGAAGGCACACAGCAGGCCGTCACCACATTTCGTGAATCTATAGCTCAATTTTCTTGCAAACTGGAACCCCCGACTAGCCCTGTTCCTGTCCTTCGTCGGTCGTCTCGTCGACCTGTCCCACGGCGATCTTATACTGAGCTCGAAGACACCACACCTAAAGAGCCTCTAGAAAAGAAGCGACTATTCCGTAAACTTGATCATGGTCTGGACCAGAAAAAAGTTTTCCTCAGAAGATCGCCTGCTTCGCCGCCCAAAAAAAAACTGAAACGGGGTCTTGCACCTCCAGAAACTTACGCACACCTTCATCTTCTCCCGGACTATCTTCAGCTGCATCTTGATAGTACGTAGAATCTTTTCTACTCCTTTCATGACCGATCATCTAACCTTACTCGAGTTGTCTTTTGCGGCATCAAGTAGGTTTGAATGACCGGAACGACTTGATGAGAACCTCACAAGTATTCTTTACAGTCCAGGCCAGAAGTCGGCCGAGATTGGGCATCACTTTGGACACCCAACAAATCACTTCTGGACTGGTCTACACGCAGGAGGTTCGTGGGTCTGACCCCTTTTGCGTATAGAGGCTTGAGTCCGTTTGTTAGGATTAACATCCTCAAAGCTACCTCCTACCGAGGACTTCACATTACCCGAACTATATAACATTGGACTAGTAAGATTATGCAATTTCCGCAGGTGAAAAATCTGTACATGATGTGCACTACTAGACGAACCTTGTCGACAGACCAACAGCCGAGGTATGCTAACTTGCTACTATACACGCTGAATACCAATGCCTACTGTCGTCTTCCAGCAAAGCGAGCTGTCAGAAGCCGAAATGCGCACAGCCGTCCCGGCATTCCTAGCGAAGATTGCTCGGTATCGTCCCCGTATTGTCTGCTTCGTTGGATTAAGTATCGCAGGGACGGTACAACATTGTGCAGTCCCAGTGATTAGTAAAATTTCTTCATCGAGTTCATGTACTCATGCTCTATTAGAGGAAGCATAGAACCGCAAAAGTGATGCCGGGTCTAATGTCCTTCAAACTGGTTTACCCGAAACAAGGTCAATCCCTTCTATATCATACTTATTAGTATACGGCCACTGAGCGACAGCATCCACCTTAGCAGAAGACACGAAGAATGTAGATCCTATCTCCGAGACCTTGTTTTTCGCGATGCCCAGCACTTCTGCGAGGGTAACTCAGTACCAGGTACGTGCCTGTTCTTTAGGTCGTTCCTGAAGTATCGGACCATCCCTTTTTCAGGCAAACGAGAAGGTTGAAATTTTCGCTGACTTGAAGAGATGCCTATGCCAAGTCAAAACGTCGAGTTTGGACTGCAGTTCTATGGTTGCAATCGACCCGAAACTGTTTTCCGTTGACAAACTCTAGAACTAGCTTCTGGTTTCTCAATGATTCCGTTGGCAAGTGGTTCAATATCATATTTCAATGGGGTCGCTACTATGTATTAGTATGATCATGATGGGATTCATTGGGATTTCGTTTCAGATAATTTTCGTTTCATGATGTCCGAGAGTTTCTCCGCCACGGCGAATGTTGCCCCGGCCTGGATGGAAGTCAATTGCAAGCTACGACGAAAGTCTAGAAAACTGCGTACAGTGTGACCTGATATGATGGAGGGAAACACCGATGCATCACACACTCTCAGTCCTTTGATGCCATACACACAGAACGACACGTCCACAACACCACCTTCCTTCAAAGGTGCCATACGGCAGGTACTCGTGGGATGATACAATGTCTCCATGCGAGATCGTATCACCCCTTCAATTTCAGCGTCGTTTTTTGTACGCTGCCGGTGATCCAACTCGGCATCCTCGCAATTTTGATCAAGTAGTGCGGCAAGGGGCTCCGTCTGAGAGATCTTGAGGCAAAGCTTGAACCCGCGCACCAACCTCTTGAGGTCCGCTTCGGACTGGAGATATCTAAATTCGAAAGTGAGATGGGAATGCTGCCAGTATCTAAGCAATTTACTTGCCGTGGATCTATGACTGGATCCTCGAACGGACTGGGTGATTTCAACCGTATGCTTCCAATACTTAGCGGTCTGAATGGATTCTAAGTATGGGTACTATGTGAAGCCATGAGAACAAACTTACTGGAGCAATACGGAGTGAAGGGAAAATGTATGCTTGGTGAATGTTTTCATGCCATGATTCTGGTACCCTACAGCCATTGTGAAGATCTCGATGTCTGGACTGCTAGGGCTGGATGTACTATCCTCCAAAGACTCCGAGGCATCAGGGAACACCGATGTATCGTCTGTTCGCACAAAAGCGGCGGCCTCGCCTAACTGAAAAAAGATGAGCCCAATGGTTCATTACGTGTGGAGCTATAGTGGCTTGCATTTGTCGCCATCGGTCCTCGCTTGCGGACCAAATATTGAATAGCAGCAGAGATAAATTTGATTACATCCAAGAGAGTGGAAGGCTTGAGGTATTTTGGGGACGTGTTAGTTTTGTCTCTGAGGTTACAGTCGATCACTGGATGGTCCATAAGGTGAGCGCCAACGCCCTGCAATTCATGCACAACGGGTACATCAAATTTCTTGAGGTCCTCGGACGGACCGATGCCGGATAGCATGAGAATCTGATGCAAGATAAGCTCATGAAAAAAAAACAGAAGATATCATACTCACCTGCGGTGAATGGATAGCTCCGGCCCTAGAAAGAAACAGAGTCAGGGACATTATGTATCGACCAAGTTCTAGGTACGAACGACAAGATGACTTCCTTCCGGGCTCTCGCGCGATACACAGGGCCGTCCCTTTTGTTGGTAAATTCAACGGCATACGCTCGTTTTTCCTCGCCGATCGTTTCGACCAGTATCTTTGTCACTTGCGCGTGAATGGCTACTTTGAGATTAGGCCTAGCCAAGACTTCGGGTGTTAAGTAGGCGGTTTCAGACGTCACTCGTTCTAGTTTATCGTCGACGTAGGTCACTGCAAGGATGTATTCAGCGTTCCTAGGCCGCAATGGGGCCATGCACAAACACGTACTGAGCCGGTTTACACCGGTGGGACTCTCCCCCGTGTTGAAATCTGCGCTAAATGGTATGTACAGACTCTTGCATGCTTCAATAAATGCTTTGCCGTGCTTGGTCAACGCTGGGAAGTATCCGACCCGCACTGGTCCTTTGGTGCCCTTGTTAGACATCTTGACATCAGGGTAGTCCTTATTCTCGGTGTAGGTCTCGAATTTCGTGAAGTAGCTGAGTCGAAAATACAGAAGCAAGCAGGCTTATGAAGACAGAGGGCTACTTACTGCTTGAAATTATCCCATGCCCAAGATTCATCTCCAGTGATGGTAGCCCACTTGTCATAGTCGCCAGGTACACCATATTGAGCCCTATGTATCGTTAGTGAAGTTGTTCGATGACGCTGGAGCACCTACATCTCCGCGTTGATAGCAGAACCTGGAAGCACGATCTTTCGTGTCAGCTTCACTCAGCAACGGTGGAAGATGAACAGGACTGACATCCTCCCAGCATTTTACCTGCACGAAATCAATAGGATACAGATAAACAATGACACTTTAACAAACCTCTGGGCCAGTACTTCTTTTTATTCTGGGCGAACTCTTGAGGTTCGGTGTACAGTTGATACGTGTGTTTGGATGGGAAAAGAAGTGAAAACGCGGACGGAACTACGGAGTAAAGAAGACTCTTGCCGCTGATGTAGTTTGAGCATGATCCCAAGGCGACATACAGAACTATGGACACACCTTCCTCCAGCCTCGAGAAGAAGAACGCGAACAGAATTGTCCTCACTCAAACGAGAGGCCAGGACACAACCGGCATTGCCTAGAGGAAGTAAGCATTGAGGTACTACACCATCGACCTCTGCTCACCTCCTCCCACAATGATGACATCGTACTCATCGTCCGTACTATTCTTGTCATGGCTGTTGCTCTCTTCGCCGACTTTTCGGCCAACCACCGACAGATTAGTGATAAGGGTACTATGGCCAAAGAACATCGAAACTGGGTGAAACTGGGTCGTTGTGTATAGTCGGCTTTATATGCATCGAATTTTTCCACGGAGGATAAGCGCATCAGATTCCGAAGTCTAGATAATATTACAGCCCTGTAAGGGTTTATGATGTACTGTTCCGTGGGTTGATTTACGTGAAGTTCACGTACTAATACATATCAGTCACCGACTGATTGGACTTTGAAGAGTTAGTGAGGCTGCGAGCTTGCAGATGTAAGATCTGAGCCGAACTCGCTTCAGGTGACTAGTTGCGGCAGCGCACGTCGGCGACTTTTCTTTTGAGCTTCGGCGAGTATAAATGGCGAACAACACGGCTAAGATAGAGTGAACATCAAAGCCTTTTCGAGAGCAGACCGCAGAAATAGATGCAAGGCAGCATGATCGTAGTATTACACGACAACAAGTCTCAACCTTTGTCAACATAATTGGAAAATGAATCCGAGTGCCTACGACCAGTGAGTCGATGGTCGTGTCTGCTTTTCGCCATCTACCCAGACATCAACCTTCTCGTCGTAAAAGGCAACGAAGCCAGTGATAGAAGCGCATTCCAGGTTTGCATTGCGATACCACCATACAATGTTCTCTTTTCGATTGTCGGGTGACAGCTGAACATGGTAGTAACTGGCTTCTCCCTATTGTAGAATGGAAATCAGCTTGTATCGAGAGAAGAAAAGATTGAGGGCATACCTTGTAAGGACATGCGGTCTTCAGGTCGGAAGGTACTAATAAATCAAGCCTGCAGTCCGTCTTTGGGATATAGGTACGGACAGGAAGAGATGTCTCGAACAAGAGACGTGGCTTAGTGGTATTAGCAACTTCAACACCATCAATTTCGACACGGACGTGACGGGAAGACTGGAGGACGTCGACACGCTATAGTTTTTGCCATTAGTAGCGTCTTCAGTGCAACAGAGGGTTATATATGCACCTTGTAGGGATCCTTGGGGTGTACGAATATTTGCTCCTCTTCTTCGAACCAAGCATCCATAGCACCAAAGTTGAGTTTGAAGAACCCTGCGCGATCGCCAGAGCTGAAAACTTGCAATGCAGCTGGTGCTTTTCGTGCGCCTACGACGATATCGTACTGAGAGCCGTCGGATGTTGCTTGCTTCCCTTGGAGGTACTTTTCAGGCAGTTCGGCGACATTGAAGTAGTAGAGTGGGTAGAATGGCGAATCCCAACTGCTCTAGAATGTTAACAGTCAAGTCAGACAGCATTAGATAGGTACGCACATCAGTTTGGCGCTCTTGGTATCGACAATGACGACGCCTCCAAATAGGACGCGAATTCGTTTCAAGGAAGATTCGATGCGAACAGTGGACATGGTGTGTTATTGAGAAAATCCATGTCTGTCCTGTGAGACTCTTTTATAGGCGAGAGACTGTCAGTGTTAATAAGCGATGTGGTCATCTGCAAAACGCTGCATAAGCCGATCGAGCGGCTGCCAGCCAAATTCAAATCTACCTCATCCTGTCTATTTTTGTACGTTGCTTATAGACAAAGTGATCATTATACATGTAAAGCACCCAGTGTCAAATATATCACGCTAATAGGTATCAACTGGGTCGTAACATATTAATATAGCGAGGCCATGAAGCTCGTTATCCATTCATAAATCTGCGAACTTGTCTGTAGCCTGCGGAGCAATTGAGCTATGAAAAGCTATGTGGAGCAATCAGCTAACCTCAACAAGTAGTTTTGCAATACCAGGCTCTCGAGATGAATGTCCTGCGTCCGGTACAATGTGAAGATCTATCTCCGGCCAAACCTGGAATGAACAATCTTAGATGACGGAGGTGTTGTATAGCGATGAGCCAACCTTCTTCAAAGCATAAGCCGTTGTCGCCTGTAGAAGATCCCATTAGATATGATGGTGCGATTTAAACCATGATATACCTACCGGACAAACGACATCATATCTTCCTTGGACGACAATAGTCGGTATGTGTCGGCTAATTAATAATTAAGTTGGAAGATTTATGGTGTCAAGGCGGTAAGAATGTTACATCTTATCGATTTCTTGTTTCTCCAGCAATTGCCCATCTCGCATAAAGCCCTAGAGCAAGTGAGAACAGCGCCAACTACAGAACCTCGGGAGCTTACATCGTTGACAAAGTAATGGTTCTCGATTCTAGCGAACGCACTGAGGACACTGTCTTAGAATTGCGCGAAGAAAGATTGGAAAAGGAGGGGGGGCATCATACTTGGCGAAGTCATCGCTTTCAGCGCGAGCTATATAGGAGGGATCGACGTATAATTTAGACGTGGCCATTCTAGAATTGTGAAGATCAGGATAGCAGAACTCGGAACGGTCAACACAAAAGTCACGTACTCCCACTTGGACCAGGCCCGAGCAGCTTTGATTCTTGTTGTGTCATCGACAGAGTTGAGCTGCGCGTGGTAGGCAAGTATCATGTCGTGCCTCTCAGCTTCCGGGATGGGTGCGATGTAGTCATCCCTAATAGCAGAATTATATAGCTACTCAAACAGACGGTGTGGTCACGTACCAGGCCTCCGGGAACAAGTGCGACGCGCCTTCCTGATAGAAGAATTTGAGCTCGCTGGGAATAATGCATTAGTAGGTCAAGCAATAATGCTGCAGTTGACAGAACCTCTTTCTCAGCGTAAAAATACCGCTATAAGAGATCGGGTATCAATGACCACGGACATTAGAATGATGGTTCATACAGACCGTAGAACGAGACTCTTGACTCTGTCGGGGTGGGACTGGGATGAAAGTGGAGTCAGGTGAATACCAGAATACACAGAGGAGCCTTTTCACCTGAGCGTAAGCTAAAGAAAGCGTTGATCCCTGACAGTGCGAATTAGGAAGTAATCACATAGCAAGCGAGAAAGCGTACCCATGAGCCTCCAAAGACATGCCAGATAGAAATTCCCAGACGCTCCCTCAGTTTCTCTATATCTTTGACAAGGTCCCATGTCGTGTTGTCCTCGAGATGGGCACTCCTGCGACGACGGATCAGGAATCATAATATAAGGAACTAACGGGAGACTGACGGCGTCGACTTCCCTGAACCTCGTTGGTCGAGGAGGATGATCTAGACCGTTAACGCGGTTGTTCGAGAGGTGGAAAGCGACAAGGCTGCCCCACCTTGTATTTCTCAGCGTTGAAGAACGACCGATCCTTCTCATCACATCCCCCTCCTGGCCCGCCTGTTTGACTCGTCAGTGTTGTCCATGACTACGGTCTTGTGATGGACGAACCATGGAGGAAGATGACTGCAATGGTAACAAGTGAGAAGAATGTGGATAGTTCAACCACGATATACGCACCTGGGACGCCGTCTTTGTTCCCGCTGAGTTCGTAGCTGCGACAGTTCAAAATCAACAGGCAAGTGGAGGCGCCGTACAGACTTACTGCAAGTCATGAATGTCGGACACCTTGAGTCTCCCTGTCTCGTAGGGCTGAATGTCGGGATACATGGATGTATGCAGTTGGCTCTGTCCAATGTGGGGTCGACCTTGCAGGATCGGATAACGGATCGAGCTAGTTAGGGGTTTTATACCCAAAAGTGCTCTTAACGGAAGAAGCATGGAAAGAAGAATCGTGCCATAAATTTATCATTTTCTGGTATAAATTGATATAAATAACATTCATCCCTCCTCTTTCAAGTATTTTTGTAGGCAGTAAGTGTCCTTTTTAGGCATGATCCCCTTGATGTGAACGCTGACAGCTCGAAGGCGCTTAGGTCGCGTACCTCAAGATTTGCCTTTGACGGCCTTCCGCCATGTCGAAACCCATCCATTTCCCTATCCCCCCGCCTTCCAAGCCTTCAGTCGCCCCGCATGTCCACCCCTTGACGGAAAAGCAGTTGACCATGTACCAAACCGTTTATGATCATTTTGCCATGCCTGACTACAAAATTTCGGGACTTGAAGAGAATGCTGAGCTCATGGAGGAAGAGAAGTTTTGGATGTCACATGAATGTATTTTGAGGTGCGGGTTTCCTTTCTCTTTCATTGCATTCCAATTCATTCTCTCAAAGGTACCTTCGCGCGTCCAAATGGAAGACTGAAGCTGCGATTCATCGAATAGAAGATACTTTAAAATGGAGACGCAGCTATGGTCTCTATACAACTTTGACCTCAGATCGTGTAGAACCAGAAGTGAGGATCTCATTTCCTGTCCTCCACTGGTTGGGACTCATACCACGCCTAGGCTTCAACGGGGAAACAAGTCATCTTTGGCTTCACGGTTGATGGAAAACCTGGCTACTACATGTTTCCCAGTCGGCAAAATACTGAGGAATCTCCACGCCAAATTGAATTCGTCGTATGGATTCTTGAACGCTGTATAGACATGATGCCGTCCGGTGTAGAGTGCGCATCAGTCACGACCTTGCCTTACTCTTCTTACTCTTTTTTTCAGAACCGTTGCCCTCTTTATCAACTTTGCCGACAAAGCCAAGAATCCTTCTTTAGGCACAGCAAGACAATTCCTGAATGTCCTCCAGAACCACTATCCAGAACGTCTTGGCGTGGCGCTCATCATCAATGTTCCATTCTTAGTCAACGCCTTCTTCAAGCTCGTTTCTCCCTTCATTGATCCTATCACGAGAGAAAAGATGAAATTCAACCCCGACGTCGTCAAAGATGGCATCGTCGCCGCAGACAATGTTATGAAAACCCATTGGGGAGGTGATTGCGACTTTGTCTACGAGCATGAGAAGTATTGGCCCGCTATAGACGCTATGTGCAAGGAAAGAAAGAAGAGATTTCTGGAAAAGTGGCGACAATTGGGTGGGACCGTTGGTATAAAGGAGACTGATTACAAGGCGGAGACAGATCCAGTTAACGAGAAGATTTCGGCCACACAAGAAACCGTCGCGGTTGTGGACAATGAGGTACCGGTTGAAGTTGCCTAGTAGCCATACATATAGAAGGGATTTGAGGGTAAGATACATTAGACACATAATAAAGGTGAATAACAACTCAGGGGGCTTCATCCGTCTTCATATGTCCCTTTCCCCAGAAGCTCCGGACCGACGGGATGCAGCGAGCAAGTAACCGCATCGACTCGTCATCGATTCCCGAACCACTGCACCAGATCCCAACATCATGTAAACCCCAGTTGGTGAAGGAACGATTCTTCATGATGTCATCAAACGATTCCTATGAACAAGTCAGTAATGGCACGCAGTGCTCGGGCGTCGGGCTTACTTGGTTATCCCCAATGTATAACTTGAGTGACACCAAACCAGGTAGCTTTTGGGCCATCGCATCGAGAACATCCCCTGTAAAAACGAGCATATTGAGACGCAGTGATCTCAGAGTTCTGTTGGGACCACTGCATGCTAAGGCATCTACAAGTTGGATGGTTTCTTGAGACGAAAGATAATGATCTCGCGAAACAAGGTTGATAAGGCTGCTAGCGGAACGCCGTATCGTGATCAGGAAAGCCTCGAAACCATTACGGAGATGGGTGGGATAGAACTGTAAGTCATTCAATATGGGGAATTCCGGTATTGGGTCCACGGTGGCCAACAACCATTCGCTGAGTGGTTGTTCCAACGATGGGTCCACTGCGGATCCAGCTGGGTGCAGCCACAATTGCAGATCATCGAGTGTGTTTGCGTGCCCTCGAACGAAGCGGGATAGTCCAGAAGGATCTGTTGGGAACGCTTTGTTGAAGGCGGTGCGAATACGGAAGCGATGCAACAGCGGGAAGTGGTCCAAATCAACAAATAACCTTGATACATCCGTGGCTGCCCACGAAGAAAAGTCAAAAGTCTTCAATCGAGGACTCAGTCCATTTATGAACTTTCTGAGAGCCAAAATGGATTCAATCGACTCTCCCGCGTCTGACAGAGGGTACATGGAAGATGTTAGCTGAATTGTCAGCGATTCCAATGATTCTAATGGGGTGCTGGTCTCGACGACGATGCGAAACGCGTTCAAATTCCCTTCAAGGGAAAGGGTGCGAATCTGTTGACCAAGCGTGGACCAAGCGGCATTGAGGAATGGTATCAATTTATAGCCGGATGGAAGTCCCCAAAAGTCGACGGAAAATTCACAGAGATTTATGAATCCGGGGAGAATATCTATGAGGAGTTGGGTGGCACCATCTGCTGAGAGATTCTTACGGCGACTAAATTTCGTGAATCGAAATGTTTGGACGTCGTCGATCAGCTGGCTGCGAGTGTCATGAGAGACGATGCTCAGGTGCAAGACCCGTTTCGCAACCTCTGGATCCCTATATAGACGCGAACATTGTTAACGTAAGAAAAATACACAATCAGTCCACATGCCTCAGTCTTTTCAACAGAGCAACTGTGCTCAGATTCATGCCCTCAATTATGATCTTCGTATATCTGACGTTAAGCGCGATCTCGTAGAAGACACGGTTGACATCGAGTAGATTTCGAAGTTGACGTTCTGGGATGAACTCTGCTATGTAGAGCCATAGTTCTGCAGGCAGCTCGACCATGACAGTGGCTGGGGAGGACTGAGGACAAATCCATGGAAACAGGTACGGAGGGCACCCCTATCACGGCTGTGTCACAATGGCTGTGCAGAAGGCGACCGGCCCGGCGCGACCTTGCAAGTTGCAACTTGTCGGGCGTCAAACTCAACAGTGATGAAATAGCGCTCCTGGTAACCGCATCTCATTCCATGAATCAGTAGTACCTCGATTAACATGGTCCATAGAATCATCGTCGACAGCGGTGACCCAGCCATCTCGTATTCTTACGCTCCTGGAAAGTACTGGATTCCCGGCAATGATTCTTATACCTACGGTACCACATACACGCATGGTACCGCATCAGCTAGCCTCAACTTGACTTTCGAAGGTAATATTCCCTTTTCATTATATTCCTTTTGCTTATCACTTATGCAAGGCACTGAAATACAGGCTTTTGGTCAAGTCGCGGAGCCGCTGTACTGCTCGTATGAAATCGACTCGACTCAAAGTGGTGGCTCGACTGGGGTTTCCAATCCGAGTTACTCTGCTGCAAAAGCAAGCTTAACCTGAATATTGGTTGATTCTGGGCTGACATTCCGCTTTAGACCGGGCTAGAGTGGTTCAATGTGCGAGATTAGCACTTCGCCAGTTACTAACATTGATATGCCTCTCGTGTTAGCTAACTGGTCTATCGTCTGGCTCTCATAATCTCAGTCTGACATTAGTGGGTGCAGATGCTATTCTGGACTATCTCGTTATCACCCCCTCCACTAATATGTCCTTGGATGGTTACACACTTGTTGTCGATGACAATGAAACAGACGTTGTCTTCAGTGGAAACTGGACCGTACAGTCTAGGCAATCTTATGGCTACGGCTTTCCTTTCAACAATACCTTGACAGGTACCGGGGATAACAGCTCCACTGTAGAGTTCAACTTTACGGGTACGGTGTCTGCTCTTACCATTTCGTATCGTATCTAATTCCCTTGGAGGTGTTTCAGTGTCCGTCTATGGTGCTGTTCACTCAGCTGCAGGGGCTTCCTCGTATTCTGTCGACGGCTCACCAGCGACGAATTATACTCCACCCTCAAATCTTACTGATGATAGTTGGTATTTACATCAACAATTCTTCCACGCCGAATTAGAGCAGGGCAACCATACCTTGCTCATTTCTGTTCCCTCACTATCAGGAAGAGAGCGATTCTGGCTGGACTACATCTTATACGGTCCTACAACGTCAACAAATATCACGCATTTCCCCGGTGCGTCCACCATTCCTACGAGCCCGTCGTCCACAGACGAGGAGTCTAGCCTCAATGTCGGCGCTCTTGTGGGTGGATGTATCGGTGGTGTGGTGCTGATTTGTATCATATTTGCGGTTCTTCGGTGTCGTAAGGTACGGGCAAAGAAGGCCGCCTATTCAATCCCAGTTCCATCTTCAAATTACCGGCCTGAATACTACGAAGGGATTGAGAACCAAAGTGAGTTCACGACTAGAGTCCAATCTGAGCACGCAAATAACTATCACAGATTCTCTCATGTTCGATGTCCCTACAGCTGCCGCAATCCGACAAAGAGAAGCAGAAATGTATAATCAATTGTCGACTCACCCCCGTTCTCCCTCGACGACTTCGCCCACGGAAAGCTGGCCACTTGTTAATTATGACCCTCCTCGTGTGACGGATGCGACAGTTCCTGTTCAGACCGAGATCTCCGTTTTGCAGAGGGAAATTGAAAGTCTACGGGCAGAAAATGAGGAGTTGCAGATCATTGGAGCAGCCGACCCTCCTCCCTATACCGAGAGTCCTGCACGACCTTAGCATATACGCAGACGTAGTCATTGTCATTTATTATTGTTAAGTTATATATCCTTGAAATTACTGTTCTTCAGCATCTACACTAGTGTACAAACAACTGGTCCAGAATATTCCCCATTATTCAACTTGAGCTCGGTTAAGTCTTATGCCGTATTCGTTCGGCAACTGCCCCAAAAATGGCACTAAGCTGCTTTCGCCCGTTCTCTGCTGCCACCTCATATACATTACCGTAACGCTTGGACCCTTTTCTGCCAGCCAGCGATGGCCATTGATGCAGTAATGACTGTATCTAATCTGAAGCAAATCAAGAACAATGTTATTGGGAATCCATCCGTCAAGCTGCAGTGTGCCCGGGACGAGGTATTTATTCAAATGTAAGTCACATCTGACTTCTAATATTTCTTTCCAGAACGCTGTGTTGACTTACGTGAAGGCTTGTCGGATGTTTGAATCGCGAGCCTGTAGCAGATGAGCCTCAAGGATCCAAGGACGATATTCGCATCGAGGCTGCCCATATCATAACGTCGATATCTTATGGTCACTCTCCCATCGTCAAACGTGGCTCTCCATTACTGATGAAGTCCATCTTGTAGGTTCTGAAGACGCGCTGGGAAGCTTGTTGAGGGCCGATGTCCATAGAGCATTGCTGTTCGCCATTGCTAAAATTCAGCCAACCGATTCGGCATCCCTCAGAGCTGCGTTCGCGCGCGCATTGAGAGCTATTACTGTGGCTATTGCAGAGACCGTGGGTCCGTCGCAGTGGGGCTTGAGGGCGGACTCCTCCGCTATCAGAAACGAAGCAAAAGTCACTCTAGATTTTTTGTTCCATGTGGGTGCCAGTTTCTTCTCCAGGTGGTGTGAATTAATGGGCTTGGATCTTGAAGATTGATTCTCTGGATGTATATCTACCTCTTCTCGTTGATCCATCCGTTCAGACCAGCACGTCGATAGCTCTACTACTTGGGAGTGCTCTTCGGACAGCAGAACACCGAACAGCAGTCACAGAGTGGCTGCCCATTGCGGACCGCGCGCGAGAGGTCAAAACAAAACGTGGATGGGAAAAGACTTCGACAAATTCGAGCTCCTTGCACCGTCACGGCGGCTGGACCGCTAGGAATCTCAGTTCACTGTTGCTTGCCAGTAAAGATTACAAAGTATGCTCTCAGCATTCATCATTCCAGTTTCGCATCTAAAATGGCCATAGTATCAGGAAAGCCTACTGTTAGCCCTGGCTGCCCTTTGTAAAGATAATGCAACCGTGGCAGTTACTCTAACGAAACCCATCGCTGATAAAGACGGTGAGTGACCTACTTGGCTTACCTAGTTATTACTTAACTCGTTTAGCAATGCTCTCATACATTCTTTCACTATCAAAATCCAGGATTCCCGAGGTTCAGCTGGCAGCTTGCTTATGGTATCGTCGTTAATTCTCCGTGTCCGAGTCAACCACTGACTTAAGAAATTTCCAAGCGCAATACATACCATTCGATCCAGTGCAAGCCATTCCGCTCCTGTGGATGACTACTCTGCGAGAACGATATTAAGCGTCGTCAATCGTATGATTGCCACACCGCCTACGGATACAGTACAGAACCAGTGCAAAGCTTGCTTCATCTTATGTATGCCATTTGATATACGATTCCGCATATTCTTACATCATGTCCTAGATTATCTGGTGACAGATGAAGCAATTCTATGCCACATAGCATGGGAACGTGGATCTCTCAGGCGACTTGCGGCATTAGTTCAGTCTATCACCCCCCAGGATTTGAACGAAAGGGAAGAGGAAGAGCCCGAGAGTGTGTCTGCACTAAGAGAAGTAAGCACCATATGCCTCTTTCTGGTGAAAGCTAACCAAACCGACTCCTTATGAAGGCGGCTCTTACGGCAATAGCAGCCATCTCAATGTTCGACAACGACATTCGTAGATCTTTGACTGATGACTTGAAATTACTCCCAACTATCCATGTCTCCCTATCGCATCGTCATGTGGGAGTTCGGTACGCTGCTTGTCAGTGCATAAGGGCCTTGAGCAGGGCTGTGGCCGTATTACGCACCAATCTCGTAGATAGCGGCCTGGGTATGGTCGTCTTTCAAATATTCAAGAAGGAGGATGAAGATAGAAGGGTACTGTCTGCTGCGCTTTCTGCGGTGTGCAACATCGTCAACGAATTCTCTCCTTTGAGACCGGTATGCTTTCTTTTCATCGTGTGGGGTCCTCGTTACTTAGTAGTCATGATACAGGTTTACCTCGAACAAGGATTACTACCGCGCCTAATACAGCTTTTGGGCTCCGGGGATCCGACATTACGATTGAGTGCACTATGGGCTATCAAAAATTTGCTACGCAAGACGTCGTTAGAAATCAAAAAGGAGGTTATGAACCAAATCGGTTGGTCCCAGCTTTCAAGGTATACCATCTCTTTTGCGCCAGAAAATTTGTCCATAATAATTGGTCATTCTAGATTCCTTACTGATCCGGCAGAGGGTATCCAAGAGCAAGCATTCAACATCGTGCGGAACTTAGCTGAAGATGAAGAAGCCATCGACATGGTCTTTGAAGGTTTGGGCACGCATATTCTACTAGATCGTCTCGTAAAAACCTTGGAGTCTCGCGATGAAGATGTCGTCCTTCAGGTGCGTCTTCTTTGAGTGTGTATAGGAAGGAGGTATCTTATTTTTCTTCAAGGCGGCATCTCTCCTCGCAAATCTTGCCAATGGATCTGAAATCCAGCAGGACCTCATTTTATCTTGTCCCGAAATCCTCTCTTCCCTCAAGGCATGTTTGGCAGAGTCCAAGCCTGAAATTCGTCGGCCGGCAGTCGGGTGTGTCCTTGAGCTCGCGCGGAGAAGCTCCAAGGGACGGAAGGAGATGGTCGAAGCTGGCATTTTGTCGACATTGCGGCGTATTTGCGAGTGGAGTGGTGAGGGACTGACAATGAGCCATGCACATACGAGCAGTGCTATTGAAGAAGAGAAGGACATTATCGAGCATGCACGGTTGGCATTGAATTGGCTAGAGTATGGACCATGATTTCTATCTAGCTCGCGCTTCATCCAGGTAATGAAATTGTCGCGTCCCTGTTTTACTTGTCGGCCTTCAAGCGAGCTCGCCGATTTCCAATTAATAACTTGAGTGCAAGATGATACATATTGAGTGTATGCATTCCTCACGGAGTTCGAGTGCGCATTGTGCCCCGGATAGTGGATCGGAGAAATGAGGTGTCCCCATTAGATAGGCAATAGTTTCCCACAGGGAAAACCGCGTCCCCAAATTTTGCTGGCGGACTTTTGCCGGGGCTGACCCACATTTTGGGCGTTCCTCTTCTCTCATCACCATGGCCTCGCTGGTTCGTCTTCGTGTCTCCCAAAGGATATTCAGAGCGGTACGTTCTCTCCTCGCTATCCTCGACGATGAGCAGCTCAGTTAACTCTGATGTTGTAGCCCTTCGTACGCGCTATCCAGACTTCGGCCGACACCACGACTCTTCACGAAGATGCCTCTACCTCAGGACCATTCATGGTCAAGCTTCATGAAGACTCGTTCCAGGCATTCAACTGCGAGCCTCCTTCACTGGACGTTCAAGTCACCAAGGACGAGCTCATAACGATGTACAGGCAAATGTCGACGATGCGTCGAATGGAACAGGCTGCTGGCGCGTTATACCAGGCAAAACTTATCCGTGGCTTCTGCCATTTAGCTATCGGACAGGTGCGTTGTCTGCATGGAAATTTTCTACCGCTATTGAAGACTGTTTACCAGGAAGCCGTATCTGTCGGTATTCACCACGGTCTCACGCCAGACGACTATGTCATCACTTCTTATCGCTGCCACCCCTTTGCAGTCCTTCGTGGTGGAACTATAAAGGGTGTTATTGGCGAACTTTTGGGGCGAAAGGTTGGAATGTCCCACGGTAAAGGTGGCTCGATGCACATCTTTACTCCTACGTTCTTTGGTGGAAATGGTATTGTCGGTGCCCAAGTCCCCCTCGGAGCCGGTCTTGCATTTGCTCAAAAATACTCTGAACACCCTCGTTGCACCTTCGCTCTCTATGGTGATGGAGCAGCTAACCAAGGTCAGGTGTTCGAAGCTTTCAACATGGTAAGTTTGGTTGTCGGCGTAGTCTCAACGCTAAAATATTATTTTAGGCCAAACTATGGGATCTCCCTTGTGTCTTTGTTTGCGAAAACAACAAGTACGGAATGGGAACATCTGCGGAGCGTAGCTCAGCCAACACCGAATACTTCAAGCGCGGGGATTACATTCCCGGTCTCCAGGTAATACGTGTTTTAATTTCCACGGAACATGATGCCAATTTTCATCTTTCTAGGTTAACGGAATGGATATCGTGGCCGCCAAGCAGGCTGTAGAGTACGCCAGGAAGTGGACTGTTGAAGACAAGAAAGGACCTCTCCTCCTCGAATTCGTCACCTACCGCTATGGTGGACACTCGTAAGTCGACGAATTTTTGTGTAAACCATCAGATCTGATTCACAAACAAACCAGGATGTCTGATCCCGGTACTACTTACCGCACGCGTGAAGAAGTCCAGCGGATGCGAAGTACCAAAGATCCTATTCACGGTCTCCAGAAGTACATCGAGGAGTGGGGTCTTGCCACCGAGCAAGAGCTTAAAGTGAAACATTATTCTGAAGTATCACTTCTCGACCGCTAACCCGTTCCCTAGCAAATCGACAAAGACGCAAAGGCTGAAATTGATGCGGCCGTTGAGGAAGCTAAGGCTTCCCCAGAGCCTGATGCGAAGGAACTTTGGACATCGATCTACTACGCCGGCACTGAGCCACCTTTCATGAGAGGTCGTGAGCGGGAAGAGGTAAGATATCCAACTGTATACGTTGTGTGACGAGGCTGACTCCACGCGTTAGGTCCACCACTACTAGACACCCCCCGACACTGATGTCCTTAGCTCACCTAGATGTTTTCTTACCTTATTTATCTTGACGGATGCGGGCTCCCCTTGTATCATGTCATGTTGTCCGTTATGTTTACTGCTGGATCCTTTCTTAATGCAATCATGTTCCATGAACACGGCATCGAGCCGAGAATTCCTGAAGTAAATTAAGAAAGACATTATACCTCAAAATATTATATGCTCTACGCAAAAAGATCACGGCCAAGTGAAAGGAAGTATAAACATTTCTCTACTTCTTACCTTTCTTCTTGTTCTTGTTCTTTTTGTTCTTCTTTCCACCCTGGTTCTGGCTAATTTCCTCTGGCTCTTCATCTTTTGCCTCCTTTGCCTCCTCATCTTTGTCTGTAGCTCCGGCCTCTGTAAAGGACGTGTTTTCTGCGTCGGTCGCTGACGGTGGACTTGTCGCTGGTGGTATGTCTGTATCCAACTTGAGAGGTGTTTTCGGGGCGGGTGATTTGGACAAGTGGGCTGTAGACTTCTCTTCTGAAGGCGTTGCTTCTATCGGTGCTGCATCCGCCTCAGCAGCACTCGTCTCCACGGCTACTGGGTCTGAGCTAGTTGTTTCTGCTACGGCGGGATGTTCTTCTGTTTCAGCAGGAGCCGGTTCGTTTGCGGCTGGTTCAACCGTTACAGGCTCTACTGGTTCAACCGTTACAGGTTCCACTGGTTCAACCGTCATTGATTCCGCTGGTGCTGGACTGGCTGGTGCTGGAGATTCTAGCTCTGCTGGTGGCTCTGCTGCCGGTGGTTCTGTTGTTGATGCTTCTACGGAGCCCTCGAGCTCCTTGTTCTCTGGTATCGGCGAGGGTGGTTTGGATGGAGTAGCTGACTTGGGGGCGGCCGGAGCGGCAGAAGATGATGCCTCAGGTAATATCTCATCAGCCTTGGTCTCTCCTCTGGGCGACGATGCAGCTGGCGGATCTGTTGACGACGACGCTGAAGCTTCTGCAGGAGGTTCCGTCGTCTCTTGTTTGGGTGATTGTGTAGTAGATAAGGGTGCTAATGGCGATTTCGGTGGCTTTGGCGATGAGGCTACAGATTTTGCTACGATTTGAGGTGACGCCGTTACTGGGGCAGGATCAGGGGGAGTTGCCGTATTGTCTGCTTGAGGAGGAACGTTGGTCTCCGTGTTATGTGAAACGACAGGAGGTGAAGAGGACCCTGCCATCGGTGAACTTGCCTTAGAAGCCCTCTGTGACTTGCTGCCCCCAAAGGCAGACGGAGCAATCCGACTTGCGAGAGCCGCTAACGAGAATGGCTCTGGCTTTGCCGTAGGCTCCACCTTCGGCGTAGCTGCTTTAGGCGTCTTGCTACCGCTTAACGACCTTGAGAGGTCATTGCCGCTTGCAGACGCTTCGGTAGAGAACAGGACGGACGGCTCCTCTGGCTGATTCGATGGTTCGACTTCCTGGGCGTTAGTCGCACCTGTCCAAGGATTGGAATCGTCATTTAGAATCAAAGGTGAGGACAAGGGAGCAATGACAGGTGACATCGGCTTGGATAGAGTCTCAACCGGCGCTGGAGCGGCAGGTTCCGACGACACGGGCGGGGCAGAGTGACTTTCTGCAGCCAGTGGCGTTGCTGCGCCAGACTTTTTGGGACTTGCAGCAACTGAGGCTGCATGAGAGCCTGAGTGTGCACTATCAACCTGGTTGTCGACAGGCGGCAACGAGCCTGGCGCTTCAATTGACACCTCCAACATATTTTGGACCCCGGGAGGGGAATGATGTGCGGACTGTGGGATTTGGGCGTCGGGTAAACTGCCAGGAGGGGCCGGATCTGGCGGGAGTTCGCCTCCTCTGACTGACGGTGTTCCTGTGGAGGAAGCAAGCCTAGACTTCCCACCTTTCATAGAAAGCGGGCTCTTCAGAGGCGACGTGGCTGATCCCCAAACGGATGACAAGGCTTCGGCAAGCGTGGAAGTGCTACGAGTGCTAGAAACTTCTGTCACCACGTCGATGTCTCGGGCCCGTTCTTTGCCTTTGTCCTTTGTCCGCCCACGGGGTTTCTCCCGAACGCTACCATTACTAATACTTCGGGAGGTATCCAGCCCTCGCGAACGTTCGACGTCTCCATTACGGGAAATGGATTGATCGCGAACGACTTCCGGGATTGCTGAATATACAGATTCTCTATTCGAATGGCCTGTATGCGATGAACGGTTGCTCGAAAAGCTGTCCGTGGGCGAACGGCGGGGATCAGGTGTTTGAGTTCTTGATGCTGGAAGGGACCGTTGTCTTTCCGATTGTGCGTCGACAGTCATGTCATCTTCAGGATTAATGTCAGGTTCTTCTTCCTCTGCTCGATGTCCACGCTCGTTGTAAATGATAGATGCAGGTCCACTGAAACAACATGTAAGTGATAATCAAGAAGTCAGAGTTTGATGCTCACTATTTAACCGTCCCCTTGAAAACATAATGAGTATAAGGATAACGGCACAAAATCAATCGCTCACATTATCGACCCACTTAATACGCGCTTTGAACTCCGTGAGACCAAAATGTATCTCAATAGAGAACACAATAGTCCAGTATTCTTTTCCGTCCCTGCCTATCTTCGATTCTACTATGCCACTCAATGGAGACAGATCAGCACGGACGAGACACAGCGTAGAAAAATTATCTTTCCAGAGCTGTTTAACAATTTCGCGCGAAAAAATTAGCGACTAACCTGCATGACGCTGAATCCATTGCGGAATTATGTCTCCTCCTCGGTAACACCAAATCTCAACCTCAAATACTGATAGCATTGAGAGATTCGTGAGTTCCGTGCAGTATTTTCTGGTGAATACTGTCGACTCCTTCACTTTGACACCCTAGCGAGAAGTTGGACATAATTATTCACTTCGATGAGAGACGAACTTACCCTAGCCAAGATGCAATCAAACGCGTCTGGAAGAAGTTTGGGTCCAGAAGGTAATTCAGTAAGCCTGTCTTTGCGCCCAACGTGGTCTGGATCTTCTGCATTGTACGCTCGAAGATATTCAACACCATACATGAACTTCGCTATTCGAGCAGAGACATGATGGTCACAATAGAATCCAATGGCACCATCCGCAACTGCTTTGGACCTAGAAGGACATGAACTGTTATTCCACAGGCACAGCATCGTTAAGACATACGTTTGTGTATCCGGACGACTGACAGCGACCTTCTCCGGGGCAAGCCTTTCTTGGAGTTGTGTGAATAGCCACGAACTTGCGGCATATCCACCAACAAGGAACACAGACTATGTTGTCATCGTCAGCGATGAAATGGAATTGGAGTAGGTTGTATTACCTTGATGAGGCCTTTCGAAGCAACTATCTGAACCTTAATGGCAGCTACAGCAGCTGGGAACCGGAGTCAATTAGTCCTAATAGCCTAAATAGAAACACAATTGACAAACCCTGAATCGACGGTTCAAATAAGGCAGCGACTTCTTCGCTAGAGAACAAAAATCGAAGCTTGACCAAGAACATAATGTTTTTCACATACCCTGTTAGCTTTAGCTGCCCGCTCCGTATTCCAACAGCAAGATCTTTGTCCAGAGGCGAACCAAACGGTATGAACTGAGAACCATTCTTGTCACGAAATAGACGCTTTGTGGTTTCATCGAAGCGCTTTGTGATGTGGTCCAACGAGTCAGGCGTTCCATATTTGGAGTTTTTCAATTTCTCTGGATACGAGTCAGAGTCAGAGGCAGTGAGGTAACAACGAGGCAGACACACCTTTCAAAAACTCCCTGGCACGCCGGCTCACAAAGACGGATCCAGCAAAGATGCCTGTACAGAATTTAGCCACGGAGTCGTTGACGCCGGACATACTGACGTACAATCTGGTGGCGCGATTTCTTCAATCACTAACGGATGCTGCCCAAAAATAGTGTAGGAACTAAGGTCGAAAGTCCCACCCCCGGCATCTGCAACTAAAAAACCAGCCTGTCCAGAGTCCTGGAGAGTAGAATTTGAAAATGCATTACGCCACACAATACGAAATTGCATTTAGACTTACTGAAAGGACATCGGAGGCTAGGCCGTTCAAAACACACGCATGAAGACTCGCTTCACCCTCGGTTACGAACCGGATTCGGGCTCTTCCCTCGTTCGTGTCAGGAATGAGTTGTCCGTGAACAGCAGCGCGACGCATCTTCGTCTGCTGAGCGCCTTCCCAACCATTGGGATGGGAAAGCACAAACTGGATATCGTGTTCGACAGCTTTCCATAATGCAGCACCATTTGCATGTGTGTCTACGATAAACTGCCGGGTGCATTGATAGAGATATGAGAGGAAGTCGCCGAAGACATGGACGGCAGTTTTGCGGTATGGAAGAGGGCCTAAGCGCATCCCATTCATGTTGAGTTTCATTGTTCTTGGCCGCAGACGTAATTTGAATCTGAAGGATGAAATGAACACGCGCCAATAGCCACAATGTTCGAGTCAAGCGCACAATTCTGCCTTTATCCATCCTTCGTCTTCCGCTTGTGATGCAACGGAGCTTGAGTCCGCTTCTGCACCAGCTACCATGACCCTCCCATGTTTATCATAGTACATGACCGACGGTATCTTCGAGTTTCCTGCAACATGTTCTTGTCCGGGAAATCTGGAAGGGAGTTAGAGATAAGACTCGTGTCTGACCTACTGGCGAACCTCGTCACACCATGGATCATGGGAATTTCCCCCGGCTCGAGGATGGCATAGGAGACCTGAGGATAAACGACGGTGAAAAAGGGTCCAAAGGGACATGTATGACGTGCTTACTCCGCTAAAGGTTGTTCCTACATCAATCGCCAAAACCAGGGAGCGGGATGTGCCCGTGTAGGGTTTTCTTGTATCTGCCGAAGACTTCATGGTGACATACAGGTAGATGAGATAGTAGGAGGGAAGATAAGTGTATCGAGAGATAGTGCGGCAAAGTTATGGTGGATTAAGATCGTGGAACAAGATAGAAAGCAACTTCCAACACGCGGCACGAAGGCGGTTGAAGACGCGTTCTTGCCTCGAGGTGATGAGGAGTTTGATGGAATTCCCTGGAACCTCGTTCCGAAACGTTCCAGAAAAATGCAAGTGCAATGAGGCTGTCGCATGGCGGCCGCATTGTCCAGATGTTTGAAAAGTGCCAGCTTTCGGGGGATAAAGCAAGCGAATCCCCTGTCTTCTCTCGGGAGAGTTGCAGGATAACAAAATCACTGATTATCGCATCGCACCGGTGTTTGGCGTTGTCATTTTCGCAACCATGCTGCCCACCGCTAACTTGCATCTCAGAGGGTTGTACGATACAACAGTCGAGTTTTTTGCACTCCGTAGCCCCACTCTTTCCTCACGAGCTGTGTCCTCATCATCCTCTCACGCTGGTAGTGACCCTCAGTCTAGGACCCTGACCCCCGTGCCCGACCCTATTGCGAAATTAACACAAGAGTGCGCATCGTTACGTGAAAGATTAGACGCCGCTGACCGTCGGCAAGGTACATGCACCTGTTTCTCGTCGCCTGGATCAAATATGTCAACTGTGCGTCGGGAATTAGAAGATACGCGGAAAGAGCTTGTACGGGCGAGGTTGGAGGTGTCGAGGCTGGAGACGCGTTGCATGATGCTTGAGAAGTCGCTAAAGGAGACGAGAGATCTACTCCGGGCAAGTAGCCCTGACAAGATCCCGCAGGGACCACAGACAGAGAATAGCCGGAACGATGAGGGCGTTGAGGAGGAGCTGGACGACGTTGATGAGAAGGTCGAGGAGGAGGCTACATCTCTCTCATCAGAGGAACAAAGGGCGCAACTGAAGAGCGAAGAGGTGTATATGACGAGGACGGACAGTTGGTCGGGTGCTCAGCTGCTTCAAGCCGTTCAGGATCTCAATTCTGAGATTCTCCAATTTGCAGCGGCTGCGACAGAGCTGTGTACTTTCGACAAGAAGACATACCCGTCATCATCGAAAGCCACGAATCAGGCTACACAGGATACCGCAACTCGACTGGGTGCTGATCTGGCGCGGATACTGTCGACGAGAGACCATTCGCAGGATCCTATGCTAGTCCAGCTCGCCTTGCAGGGGTGTCTCTCTACTTGTGTAGCACGGGCGCTGCTGCCATTCTGTATGGGGTTCCCGTCGAAACCAGACAGCATATTATCTCAGATATACGCGCATATGTATATGGCCGGTGAGAGCGTATTCCCGAGTATATGCGCCATTTTCTAAAGACAGGAAACTCAGAACCTCAGCCAACGTCGTCCAGATGGAGAGCCTTGACACACCGACATATCCACACGATGTATCCCTATCTTGACGACTACTCCATTAACGAACTTTCCGAGACTATGTTTCGTTGGTCGTCCGACATTCTTTTTATTGCAGGCTGTCCGACCACAGACAGACTGTCTTTGTCGACGCGAGAGGGGCTTCGAACGCGGTTTGGAGATCAGATAAAGCGCATAGCAAAGACAGTTTCAAATTTGGCCCAGGTGACGAGAGAGGAGATAATGTCGACGCGATTCGATATCATTGCTATTGAGAACGAGTCGAATTTTGATCCTAGGAGAATGGTAGACGCTTTCGGCGACTATGGGACGTCCAGAGGCGACATTCTGATAACGACAGAGGTGGGTTTACGCTGTACGACGAGAAAGGATTTGGTTGATTTGAATACGGAGAGGCCCGGGGGAGAGGTTGAGCAGCGGCTGTTACTGCCGCCAAAGGTGGTCCTGGATTCCGTGTTAGACTTCATGGAGCCTAAGTGAAGGGTGAACGTGGCGATGTACGTAGTCTTTTAACGATAATGAAGGGGCTAGACGGCACAGTCCGAGTCCATGACAGCTCAGTGACATAAAGACATAAAGGCAAACGGGATTTACGACTGACAGGCGCAGGAGTACCGAATTTTCTAAGGGTACATGTCACATGATCAAGTCGCGAACGCGAAGATTTCGAATTACTGTCATTACGCGTTGTAGAAAGTAGAAAAGACATGGATACTACAGATACAGGCCTTCCGGCGTCCCCTCATTCTTTCGGTACAATACCTAACAAAACATTGTGAGTTCCTTGCTTCGATAATGAATTCTCGGACTAACCTTCTCCCTTGCCGACGTAAAGTCTGTTTTGGTGACCTGCATCCGGCGTTCTCTCAGAGCAAGTAGACCGGCCTCTGTACATACAGCTTTGATGTCGGCACCAGAAAGATCGTCCTTGGTCATGACAAATTCTTCGAGATCGACATCTGCACTCAAATTCATACGCGCAGTATGTAGCCTAAACATGGTGAATAGATGCGTGCAGAATATAAAAGGAAACCTTACTTGAAGATATGTCGCTTCGTCTTGACATCAGGCAGAGGGAATTCAATCTTCCGGTCAATTCGACCTGGACGAATAAGGGCGGGATCTAGGGTCTCGATCTTATTCGTCGCCATGATCACTTTAACATCTCCTCGGGTATCGAACCCATCCAGCTGGTTGAGCAACTCCAACATGGTACGTTGAATTTCACGTTCTCCTCCCGAAGTCGAGTCGTACCTTGTACAAAATCAGTCTCAAGCACAACAAAGACCGAAAGGACATACCGTTTTGTACCAATGGCGTCGATTTCGTCGATGAAAACAATACTCGGCGCATGCTCTTCTGCTACTCTGAATAATTCACGAACGAGCTTCGGACCGTCTCCCAGATACTTCTGAATAAGTTCAGAACCCACAACACGCAGGAAAGTTGCTGATGTCTGGTTAGCGACAGCTTTAGCCAGAAGTGTCTTTCCTGTTCCTGGAACACCATACAAGATGACGCCCTTGGGTGGTTTGATACCCATTTCTTCGTAGAGTTCGGGATGTGTAAGGGGTAACTCCACAGATTCCTGCGCAAAATGAGTGATGCGAGAATAGAAACGGTGATTCTGCGTACTTTGATTTCTTGGATTTGTGCTTCCAATCCACCAATGTCAGCATAACTTTCCGTCGGCGCTTTGTCGAGTTTCATGATACTGACAAGAGGATCCGCGTCATCCTGTAGAACACCGACAATTGATTGCGTCTTGTGATGGAGGAGGACTTGACAGTTGGGTTCTAAGAGGTCCTTGTCGACGTAGGACATGATGGAGACGTAAAATTCTGGACCTGATGCGGTACTGATAATAGCATGGTCATCGTCGATGATCTCCTCCATTGTGCCGACCGCCATCGGGCTTCCGCGTAGGTCATCCACCTTTGACCTATCCTCCTCGTTCTTCTCCTCTCGTGTAGCCTCAGGTTTTAGTCGCTCCTGGTTCTGTACAAACTCCTCTTCCAGCAGCAAGTAATCCTTGATACGTTCCATCTTCAGCAATTTGAGCCGACATCGAGTTGTAGGGTAAACGGCGGGAAGTTTCGAAGCTGAAGATGGTCCACGCCTTTTCTTCTTCCCAACTCTCGTCGGAAGGGGCGGCTCCCATTTCTTCTTCTGTGGCTGCTGGTCTTTCGCCTTGTCTTTTCCGTCATTTCCTTGGCCTGAAGGTGGTAGACCCGATGGCTGGTTGCCCTAGAACTCGGCGTTAATTGGATTGTTTGTATACGTCGAAAGTCTAAACTAACCATTTCTGTGCGTTATCTGTATGGAAATTGAACAAAAAATAGGGAGGATAGTGAGAGGTAGACGTGTAGGACGCAACACGAATGTAAGAACCAAGGGCGACGCGTCAGTGTCCCGATTCGGATAATGTGTAAGCGTGACAGCATCCACCTGTATATGTGACACATGTCACGACACTAACTTAACGTGTCGTGGCCAACACTCGGAAGCAGGATGAATTCAGCAACGACGCCATTGACGGCGGGCTCCCAGTTCATTCAAGCGGGTACGCAAAGCTTTGAGCTTTTGTTCCCTTTCTTATACCTTTTTCCAGACGAAGACGATGATTTGGACGAGGAAAGCATCCCGGGATTCACCCATCCATCTATGCAGTCACCACAAACATCAGATAAAGGAAAGGGTCGTGCGAGGGAGCCTGACCAGCTGGCGGCGCCTTCGAATAACGGAAGGATCTCTAGTCCCGTTCTTTCTGGGAACATAGGCAGCTCTGCAAATGGAGGTGCGCCTCGGTCAGGAGCGCGCCAGACTATTGGTGGTATCAGAGTTGAAACACGGTATGTCACTCAATCCAATTATGCTATTGCCTTCTCAATGATATTCAGATACTCTGGTGTTGATACTCTTGACGAACCGGTTCTGACCACTATTGTAAGTAGCTGCAAATGTTTCTGCTTCCGCCTGTTCACCGTGCTTTTTTAGGCCCGAGATCTGCTTTCAATATACTCGAAACTTGTGCAAGTGCTGTATCCTCGTCGGGCAACAGGTCGTGAAGTTCTAAGGTGCTTTGAATTATCGTCATACATCGTCTTATTGCTTACATGACACAGGGATTGGGATTTATGGGGCCCGTTACTACTCTGTCTGTTTCTCGGAATAATGCTTAGTGTGAACGTATGTGAAGCTTCTATCTGCGTCATTGTTCAGCATGTTTAATATCTCGTGGCAGGCACCACCCAGCCAGTCATTGGGTATATTTACGAGTGTTATCGTCATATGCTCTCTCGGTGCTCTAGCGGTCACGGTGCAAGCCAAGGTTTGTACGTTTAAGCATCCGAACCTCCGATACTGAACTTTTCTTTGATAGCTCCTTGGCGGTCGAGTGTAAGTTTTCCTAGAATTATATAGTGATTGCCAACAACTAAGTTTCTACAGGTCGTTCTTCCAAGGTCTGTGCGTACTAGGTTATTGCATCGCACCGTTAGATATCGCTGCATTGATTTCGTGCTTCGTACGCATTATTTACATACGCGCACCCATTGCTCTCGTGGCGTGGGCTTGGTGTGTATGGGGTAGGTTTCGTTTCTCCCTCTTCCAAATCTACTCTGAATGTATGCTACTTACAGCGTCTGTCAATTTCCTCGATGGAACAAAAATCGATGCACAACGGATTCTGTTGGCCGTTTACCCCTTGCTGTGAGTAACGTGTTTGCTCTGTTTAAGATATCTTGAAGTGACAATTCTATAGTCTTTTCTACTTCATTCTGGCTTGGATGATTCTTATACAATAAGGCGTGATTATAGTCGCGTGTTTTATTCATTACTCGTCGAACATTGGGGCTTTCATTTAATTGCTGTGTGGTTCCATCTGAAAATATTGAGATCAAACGGCTCCTTTACACTAGAACCAATTTGCTGGGGTCGAACCCTAGAGCTCCAGCTCCATGACCGCGTTGGTTGGCATATACTCTGACACCGTTCCGCTCAAAGTCACAGCACCAGTGGATATGACCAAAAGCCCACATGTGAACGGGTGCACCCCAGCATGGGGACTCGGTAAGCTCGGTGGCAAATGCAGAGTTCGTTGGTCCGCCAGTGTACTTTGGGTCACCAGTTCCCTCAATGGTGGGTGCGTGGTGGGTGAGTACGACAACACGACGGTGAGGTTCGTCGCGACGAATGGCCTCGACAGACTCGCACAACCAGGCCAAGTCGGCCGGGTGAAGGGTATTATAGGACGCTGGGTCAAAGGCATGAATGCGTTTGAAATCAGTGAGACTCCAGGAAAGGATATCGAGGCAGTCTGGATTTAAAGCTGACCAGAGGGTGCAGCCGAGGATAGTGAGGGTCGCTGAGACATCGAAGCGAGTGCGGTCGAGGACGATGAATTTGCCTGACGACGACTGCTGGAAACTGCGTATCCTCTCCATGCTGTCGTTCACGGTAGTGTCGACGCCGTATGGCTCATGGTTCCCACAAACGAAGAATACTGTTTCACGCAGCCAATCAAACAGTCGGTCGTCTCTTGTCCAGCCAATATCTCCTAGCAGAGCAAGGTTGGGGGCGTTGGCGGGGAAGTCATATGCATATAGGCGCTCGACCTCGGGATGAAGGTCACTGAGGATCTGAAGGCGAAACTGAGCCATGGTAGTCAAAAGGCAGATCGAAGCTTGACCAAATACCAGCACGTCCTCTCTTTTTTGTTACTAATGTTTGACTGTCCAATTCGTTGAAATGGAAAATGAAAGCCATGATTTTGTGGTGAACGATATTCTTCTCTATTCTTTTGCACCTTTGACCTTTGGCCCAGGTCCGACGGAAACGCAAACGATACGTTGTGGATCCTTGTCTTGGCTTCTACGTGACTCCAGAGCCGCCGGTCCAGAGGGAACCCATCCCAAACGCGTCGCCGACTCCTCCTGCTCTTCTTGCTAAGGTTGAAGAGCCTATACCCTCGCCAACCACGGAACAACAAGTCTCTATTCACGACTTCTTGACGACGACAATAGCGAAAACCTGGGCAAAGCGATACCGGTTGAAGCGCCGGGCTCGAAATATAGAGTATGCGTCTTCACCCGAGAAGAACCAACGCAGAGGTCCGAAGAAAAGTATTGGGCAGAGATTGCTTCAGGCAGCCGTCGCGACTGGCGTTGAGCCTTCTGATAGCTTCATGCAAGATATGGTGGACGCATCTGCTACCCGTCGACCTCTCCAATTCCAAATTGTCACCGGTGATGGAAAGAACGGCAGTCGTCGTCGATGGAGCCTTGTTGATCCCAAGAAAACTACGCCCTTCCCTCGAGGCACGTCTTTTGCTCCGAAAACGAATCGGCCTGATGCGGATGGTCCCATTAGGGTCAAACCACGACAGCCATTAATGCAATGGCATACTATCAACCACCATTCGCCAACCCAAAAACCTCCGGCACGTAAACCCCACGTCAAACTCTTACAATGTCCTCTATCTTTTATTCCTCTCCATGTTGCGGAGGAATCGTACTCTCGTAACAAAGGCCAGCCTCAGCCAAGGTCAGATTATTGCTTATAGTTGTCGTGCTTATCGGCTAACACGAACATAGACCCACGAAACTACTTCCAGAAGTTGGCCGTGAAACGTTGACATTTGTAGAAGAACCGTTACCTCCTCAGAAACACCTTTCAGTGCAGCCAAGTAGTGACACGCCCTGTGTTAACGAAACCCAGCAAATCGATCCCGAGACTCCTTTGCCCGAAATTCTGTCCTTTCCCGACTTAGCTGACACTCAAGACCCTCGCCCTTCTTCCAGCATATCCTCTCAACCTCTTACGTCTGATGATGCTTCTACTTCTAATAAAGCACCTGCTCTTCCCACAGCAATTGACAATAACGCACAGACGATGCGACCTCTGGCGTCGTTCCTCGAGAGCTTTCTGGAGACTGTACGCACTGCTACACAGATGCAAGAATCTCAAAAACTTTCACGAATTGATGCTTCTGAGCGTGGCTCTCGTCTTCGACCCCGTCCTCGTACAGCAGCTCTGACTCAACAACGATTGGATTTCAACTCTGCAGCTCCTGATGACACCCTTGCTTATGCTAATGATTCTTTTGTACGCGACCATGAACTGGATCTGGAAGGACTCGGAGGTGATGTAGATTTCATGGATGAAGCGCCAGTTACGACAAACTTGGCTGATGTGTTGAGCCTTTCCCAGTATCAAGTTGTGTTGAAGTAGTTACTTGTGCTGAATGAATCATGATAAATGTTCTAAATGTTGATACTTAGTACTGTACATATAGTGTAATGAAATTCAGTTCGCAAGATCAATGATGTAACTTGAACGGCGGAGTTTGAACCAACTCGTTCTTAAACGCTCACTATCATGTCAGATATGAAGGCCTACTTGGCCGAAAAATACATGTCTGGACCGAAAGCGGACGCGATACTATCACGTATTGGCCCCCAAAAGAAGAAGAAACGGAAAGCAAACGAAATGTCGACTACACAGGCAAGCGGATATATCGTTGTCGATAACGATGGAGGCTGGGGCGATGAGGCGAAAGAGGAAGTGGAAGATTTTTCGGAAGCTGTTATTGAGAAGGACAGAGGATTCAAGAAGCGCAAGAAGACGGGAGAAGAAGGCTCAGGTTGGACGACAGTAAATCCAGGCATGACAAGAGAACCGACACCCCCACCACCTGAAGATGAGAAGCCCTTGGTAGTGGAAACAGATACTCTCTTTGTGGGTGGCCTGGTTACTGCTCGACAACTGAAGAAGGTTCTGCCGCAAGTTAATTCGACAACCCAGGTGGAGGAGTCGCTTACTGCCGAGGAAATTGCAAAGGCGCAGGAAACGGTGTACCGCGATGCTACTGGCAGAAAGATCGATACCAAGGCGGCAAGGGCTGAAGCAGCGAGAAAGAAACGGGAGAAGGAGGAGAAGGAGGCACAGAAGATGGAATGGGGTAAAGGGCTGGTGCAGAGAGACGAGGCAGAGAAACGAAAGCAGGAATTAGAAAGGCTTAAAACAAAGAGCTTTGCCCGTCATGTAGACGACGAAGACTTGAACGAAGAGCAAAAGGCCAAGGAACTCTGGAATGACCCTGCTGCTGCATTCCTAACGGTGCGCTGATAACATCTTCTACTTAATGAAAATGTACTGAATTTTACCACAGAAGAAACGCTCAAAGGGACCACAGAAACCGCAATATACAGGTCCTCCACCGCCGCCAAATCGATTCGGGATAAAGCCAGGGTACAGATGGGACGGTGTTGGTGCGTGGCATGTATCTCAATACCTGTACTCTATACTTATTCATATAATAGATCGTGGTAACGGGTTCGAAAAGAAACTGTTCCAAGGCAAGAACGAGGCGAAACGGAGGGGGCAGGAGAGTTACCAGTGGAGCGTAGACGACATGTAAGACGTAAGTACGAGTCAATATCAATGACGCATTGCCATCAGTGCGACCGCGTGATCTCGACAAACGTTCGTCCCCCTCCACAGGGCTGCCGCTGCGACTCGAACCCAGCCAAGCCCCTTCCGTTTGTTTTTCACCGTAGATTCCAGCCTAATAACTTATTATCCGAATGGTCGTCGCGATGGACCGACGCGGCGCTGCAAACGTGCATTCACGTTCCTTGGAATCTGTCGGATAGTGCTGATAGAGAAAGAATTCATCGGCCATCATTACAACGTGGGTAAGTGTTCGGGGCCGCCTTATATATATATAGTGCCACGAACCTGTTTATGCTTGGACTTTGCTCTACCATGCAGGGAAAAGCAGTCGCCCTCCTCCTTGGTGTCAGCGCCCTCACCTATGCCTCAGCTCAGACCTTCACCCGTCTCGGCGCTTGTCCATCTTTAGGTTGTGTCTTTCCCCCAGACCAGGCCAACTTTCTCGCTGGCCAGTATTTTGACATTCGGCTCGAAGTACATGCCCCAGTCAACGGCACAGAGGCATATAATGCAGGCGTCCCAGACGAAAACTTCACCTTTTGCATCCAGAGTGGTGACGGTGGCGATTGCGTAGACGTGACGACGTTCTTCTCCACCGCCGACACTGAGGTGGATACATACAATTTCACGTAAGTTTCAGCCAGTTGAGTATTGATCCGTCAACGAGCCATCCTTGCAGGTATTATGAAGATCTGTTCGCACAAGACGATGATACGCCGTCGGTGGTGAATGTAGCTGCAAAAACCTATCGCGGAGTATGCGTCTCTCTATCAACTTTTTCGCTGCGACCTTATTTTCTACAACCAGCTTGCTCTGCACACTCCCGGATCGTACAAGGCAATACTAAAGTACTACAACGACTGGCAAACCGTTGCCAACTGGTACGTCCGAGAACCAGCTACAGAGAAAGCCGCCAAGAACGTTATCCTCTTTATCGGCGATGGTACGTCCAGACTCTGATCGCTAGCGCGTTCCATGTCAAACAGCATCTAGGCATGACCCAGTCAATGATTACTGCTGCACGTCTGATTGGACACAAGTCCATTAATGGCGTGTATCAGTCCCTCATGCAAATGGATCAGATGGAGGCCCTGGGACAGTGAGTTATCTGTCCTGTCACACGACACCATCTTAAGAATTGCTTCATTCCCAGCCAAATGACACATTCGATCGATTCGTTTATCACTGATTCTGCAAATTCGGCCACCGCGTTGTACTCTGGAAAGAAATCGACTGTGAACGCGCTCAACGTATACGCTGACAGTGTAAGAATCATTTTCACACGATCTATTCTTGTTCTCATGTGATCGCGTTTAGTCCAAGGATCCCTTCGATGACCCTAAATTCGAAACTATTGCAGAGTTGTTCCGTCGACGGACTGGAGGTCCCATTGGGATGGTATCCACAGCTTTCATTACAGATGCCACACCAGGTTAGTGTGTATCGGCTGTTTGTTCCTGCTCCACACTAATGCTTTTATCAGCGGCGCTATGCGCTCATACCCGTGCCCGTACGTACTTTGACTGCTTGCATTGAGATTTCGACACCACTTTCATCACAGGTGATGAATTAGCCGCCATTGCGTATGAGTATCTTTATGGTCCTTCCGCCTACACACCGGACATTTACTGGCCCACGAGCTGCGAAGGTCCTGATGTCATCTTTGGGTAGATATATAGTTGACTCTATCCGCGACCTTTTGACGCCTTTTATTAGTGCTGGTGCCGAGCAGTTCATCCCCGGGGACGGTTCCCCTAACGGAACAGACTTCTACAAGGCTTTCGCGTCCGAAGGATACCAGGTTGTCTACAACAACACAGATCTTCTGGCTGCCGGAAATGATTCCAAGACACTTGGCATCTTCTGCAGTAAGTCTTTGAATTCTTTCTCGTATTTTCCTGTGACTAATCTCCTACCCCAGCTAGCAATCTGTACGTAACATTGTAGTTGCCCTATTGCTGATCTGATGGTTTTTCCATAGGGCTAAATGGATTGATCGTAATGTCAGCAGCGAAATTCATTTCTAGTGTCGAGCGTGTATTAACTCCTGTGCAGGTCTATCCTCAGAACCTCGTCGGACTCGCGAACTCTCCAACTGGCGACGGCACTGATGCCCTCGACCAACCGGGTCTCAAGGAAATGACCCTCAAAGCCATTGATATCCTTCAGGAGCGCTCTAAGGCTAATGATAGTGGTTGGTTCATGATGTCAGTCAACACATTCATATTTTCTATGTATTTCCTGATCTCTGGGTGCCAGGTCCGAGGCAGCAAGCATCGATAAGGTAGGTTTTGAATGCAAGACCTGTATGTAACTCATCGGGACCTCCGGCCATTAGATGATGCATGTTCTGGATTACGATCGCGCTCTTGGAGAACTTTTGGAACTTGACGATACCATCAAGGCAACCATCCAGCGTGAGTCGAAAGTCCGAGTTTCCAGGGAGCTATCATCGACAGATTTCTAAGATCTCAAGGACATTGGTGAATACGAGAACACCCTCATCGTCGTTACCGCTGATCATGGTCATGGCTTTGTACGACATCGTGTTCTTTGTTGAAGTTCCTACTAACATGCGTTTTTCAACAGGACGTGTATGGTTCCGCCGACACCAAATATCTTGCCGCCCAGACCTCGGATCGCAAGAAACGTAGCGCAAGTAAGACGACATACCCTTTCAAGCCTCATTGATCTAACCCCTCTCTTCTCAGTCGGTGTTTACCAGAATTCTGGCCTGAGCGGATACACTGTTGAAGCAGATTCTCTCCCCAACAACGATACCATTGTCTATGGTGCCGAAGGACCCAATTTCCCCGTCAACTGGGCGCCTCGCTACGCATACGTTGTATGTGCCTTTAATCAGCAGTACTTATCTTGTTCTCACCTTAATCCGGATTTGTAGCCCGGTGTGGTTGCATTCCCTGATCAGTGAGTGGTACAATGCTGCTCTTGATCGCCGTCCTAATCTTTGTAACAGCCGCGAGGCGTACGGCATCAACAAGACTGGCCCTCGTCTACCTGCTACTACAGGCGCTGACGGGAGCTACGAAGCTAACCCCTACGATCAGCCTCATGGTATGCCTTTTTTATTGTTTTTCATGTTCATTTGTCTGATTCGCTCAACAACCAGGTTACATCATTAGTAAGTAGCCAGATGTCAGGTAATACAGCAAAGTTCTATGATGCTTATTGTCTGGAACAGATGGAAGTCTTCCCACTGACGAAGCACAGGGTGTTCATTCCCTCACCGGTGAGTACTTGCCTACAGTGCGACTAAGCGGCATCCCAACTCATGTTTGTCTAGATGTTTCCGTCTTCGCTAATGGCCCAGGATCGGAGGCATTCAGAGGAGTCTGTACGTGCTAAACATAACCCGATTCTCGAAGATTCTGATCAAGTCGCCATGCTTCAACAGACAACAGTATTGATATCTTCTTCAAGATTGCAGATGCGCTTGCTCTTGGATGTACCAGCGAAGATTGTTGAAAAATTTCTATTTGTATTTTAACGATGATGTGGTGGTGGGATGTTTATTCTCGTTTTCAACGTGAAACTACGCCATCGCCGCTGAGAGCGGAGCCAATTGTGGATGTGACTACAGATATGATTTTCAATGACATCCCCGTGTGAGATGAAGCGGATTTCAACGCGTTTTTGAGGTCGAGATTGATCATTTCGAAAATCTAGAGAGCATCTAGTTTGTATCTAGCGCCGACATATCAGACCAGTTAACTTGCAGCAGTAGGGTGTAGTCCAATCAATCTAGTTTTTCAGTATTATAGTCCTAGTTTCTTTGACTGAGTACATCTATTTCATAGACTCCTTGGGTTGAAGGGTGCGGGTGAAGAGCAGTCAGGCTACAATGTTTATAGGAGAGGTGGGTTCGCTACCGGAGATTTCAGGGTGTCGGAATAAGATCCACATGGATCTATACCGGGATGTGAATGAATTTTGGTATCGCGAGGCACTCATTCGATCGGTGTCATCCCTGAAGGACTTTATTAGCCGAAGCAGGAGCTCCTTAACAGACTTGAACAGAACGTTTCGATAAGAAATCTGGTTCCTTTTGGAACGAGACCAGAGTCCAAGGACAGGCCAAGGCTATGCTATCACTCAAAACTTCTCTTTCCCTGAACTCGGAGCACCTCCCAACACCGTGAAATGCGGACTTTAATGCAATTAGGCGGTACCGTATGTTTCGCCCTCGACCCAAAAGGGTCTTCCCGAGTCTACCGGAAACGCAAATTCCACTCGATCGTATTCCGAAGGTCTGTATTGCGGGATATAATATACTAGGTGCAACAATTGAACAATAAGTAAAAGAACATGTATACATTACATTACATATAATACAAAGGAGTGACGACCAGGCAACAACAATACAATTAAATCATCTCGACTCATTGGCTAGCCAGGGCATGCCTACTGGCATGCTTCTAGCTGTATCCGCACCAGAAAATGGCCTCCGTTCCAGAGGTGGGACTAACGGAGAGGCGCTAGTGGAAGGGGTGTTGCTCCACTCCAGTAAACCGCTCGACTTTAGAGATGGAAGGTAATTAGAGTGAGAATGTGAATTGGTTGACGGTGACTGAGGGGCAGCGGAGTGGGACGACGACGACGACGGCGCGTACATAGGAATAGGTAGCTCGGCGGAATTATTCCGTTCTGTGAGGGGCAGTAGTGTAGGGTCAATATCGGGATTTGTATGCCGATCAGGTTTTGGTGTTGAATACGTCGTTGAACCGGAGGGGCCCTGGCGCCGTACGAGACCCAAGGTGGAACACACATCTGGAGTGCCCCATCTGTCGCGTATGAGCCTCTCCATCCGAACACCCGTCAGTTCCTCGTAAGCGTCGAGCCAATCTAGGACTTGCTGGTCGTCCGTCATGTTCAAATATTTGATCAAAGGCTAGGGGACCGTTAACTCAGTATCAATGAATATGGAAGGATTGCATGTACCCATATGACAGAACCCTCTGAGCAAGAATTAGATTCACTTCTTATGAATGGTAGGCAAATACGCACGAATGAGGCTATATTTGGCCCTACAACCGAGCATCTCCATGACGGCGTATATGCGATCCGTAATGAAGCTGAAATCCGGGACTTCGATTGGTTGATGATCTTGCTCAGCAAACCTTTGTGTCGCCTATATGAATATCAAGTTGAATCTACGACTCTCGTAGAGATGAACCGGAACTTACTACTAGTAGAGCTAGTGCACAGCTTGCATGGAGTACATGAATGCAAGCAAAGCACCAAGCACCGAAGTTCGAGCTTGTTTCAAACATAGACTTCTGAACTGTCAGACACTGGTTCGTGAATTGAAGATGAGTGGGCAAGGCAGATGCCCATTCCTACGATTGATGTTAAAGCTATCGAGTAAGATAATTTTTGGCAAAAGACTTACGTCCAAAAATTTCCGACACTCCATAAGTATGTCTCGGGTTTGAGGATCTTGCAGCGTGTCCATTGCGGCTTCTATTTTCTGGTAGAGGGTCGCGACCCGGGTCAGATGCCCCATTTCTGAGGCATAGTGTGTACGAACGGAGGGCAAGTATAAATATTCCGGTAAGCTTTGATGGACGACGCCCAGTTCGAAGCTAGTCTCATCGGCAGGTAGGCGAAGTCGAAGTTCGGCTTCGCTAAAGCCCATGACACCACCTCCAATACTGAGGCCCCTGCCACTTGGTGATGATCGTGTCATGCCACCCCCTTCCCATCCATAATACACACCGCGTATGCAATCAACAAAATAAATTATCCAGAATATCCGACGAACACATTCACGCTCAAGACTTTCCGAGACATAAGCCTGAGTTGGCGTGGGCGTGAGAAGAGGATGTTCGGGGGTGTGTACATTGAGGGCTTGGATCAGTTGCAACGTCAGGGTTCGAAATCGTTCTCCTGTGATCCACCCGGAGTGGCTTTTATCTTTGCGCGTAGTGTCAGACATGTAGCCTTTTTGATCTACGACCTCGTAAAAGTAGAGCAGGCATAGAGCTTGAGCAGTTTGAACAGTGGCAGACGCGGTAAGACGACCGCCGGAGTCAAACATCAGGGAGATGGCGGCATCAGCGAACCGCCTGCCTGCGTGTCGTTGCGGTGTCGTTTTAAGCGAGGTCTGCTTAGAAAAGGGAGCGGCAATGGCAGACACAGCGTGCAGGAGATACGGGGGTATCTGGTTGTGTGACAGGGATGAAGTGAAGGTCGGCTTGTGCATTATCGTCATAGCGGGATGACAGTGAGTGAAAAATACTGCAAGGTCAGCTGAGCAATGAAACATGGTTGAACAGCATACGGCGTACGGTTCGTAAGTTCCCTCGTCATCAAGGGGTCCAGGGTCTCTGGAGCTGCCTCGGAATGAGAACGTTTACGACCTGAAGGGCTTGGATACGACTGAGAAGGCTGTGGGAACTGATATTGCTGCGTTGGCTGCGTGTCCGGCTGGCGGGGGGGTGGGACAGGACGACCGCTGGAGTCGGTATAGGTACATGGCTTGCTCGCGAAGTAACTGGCGACATATAAGACAAACGCGGTCCGGTCAAGGGCATCTCTCACCAATTGCTGCAAGGATCTGGGCGAGTCAGTCGGTACCAATGCAATATCCGAAGAATTTACCTGTTCCGTCGCATCTCCTCTTGCTTTTATGGCAGCCGTCGCAGGCCTGTCGGGAAGTCATCGATACGCTGTCGTGCTGTAGAAATATGGACGACGGACCTTTGCAAGCCGCTTTCGTTTTGGCTTGTCCATGAATGTGAAGAAGGTTTAGAAGAGAAGGAGGTCAAGAAGAGAACGGTTGTAGCCGCTTGGCAGCCGCTGTCACACTGCCGCACATCTCGGCTCATTCCGGCGGCTCTCTGAGACACGCACCGCCGGCGATATAAATGCGATTTACGTGTTTGATTCCAACAAAATGACCGCCGCCGGTTCGACTGCGTAGGAATTGCTACGGAATGTTATCGATACAGGAACATTGAGGGCAGATGCGCCGGATAGCGGTAGTATTTTATGAGTTCCGTGTCTGAGTTCCGACTGCCCCTTGCCTTCTTTGCCCAGCCAGTTCTATCTAGCTATGTGAAAATTTGACGTTCAAGAATTGCCTTTGTATCTGGGAAATCTTTATGGAATCCATCGTTCTCTAACTAGGTGGCTTTGATTCAGGTACGTTCTCCTTGTTAGTTCTCGGTACATCACTGGATAATATTCTTTTCCAGGTCCTCTGCTGCACAGGCGCCTTGCTTATCAGATACCTGTCAGGTGATCTGGATTAGATACACGTATATCCGATTATCTAATCAGATGGCCTTTGCCCAGGGATTGTACGTAGGATTTGCATACTAGGAAGCAAATTAGCTTTGCCCTCGTGTAATTTGCCGAGTTTTCTCGCTCTTTAAACGTGGAGACAACTCAGGCCCGTTTGGTCCAAGTATTCGTGGTTTACTCAGCAACTGCGCATCCGAACATACTACCTTCAGCCTCCATATCGGGACGATGCCATTTCTATGGTTCCAATCTCTCCAAGTTTGGTTCTCTGTTTCGTACTGCCATGCTCTCTTCTGAGGCTGCTTTCGAGGGTATCCCACTTATTCCACAGCATAGGCGGAGGCAATGGAAAGCGAATCCTTACTGGTCAGTTGCCTGGCTGTTCTCATGGCTGTCCAATACTGATATCGCCCTTCAGGCTGGTTCCGGTCGTCATGCTCGCATCAATGGCGGTGAGTCATGGCATCTCTCGGTGCATTCGTGTTCTTATCATTGTATCGTAGCGGGGTCTTACTATGGCTCCACGGATTCAAGTATACACCGACATTGCTTGTCGTGCCATTGCAGATCCGTTCCCTAGCTCAGGCGCCCTGGAAAATTCCGTAGACTGCTCGTCATCACCAGCAGCCCAATCCCGTGCGGCGGCGATACAAGCCTGTAGGCTTCTTAGAATACATATTCGCGTTGACTAGCTCTTACTGGTCGACTCTCACAGCGATAACAACAGTTATGAGCGTCCTAAGCGCCACAACCACTGGCCCTTGGAGTCGGCTGGGAGATTCAGTTGGACGAAAGCCAATATTGTTCGCTAACCTTATCGGTGCCATGAGTTTGTGAGTTTCCGTCGACGCTTCTCAGCACGCGTGTTCAGACCTTTCCTTCCAGGGAATTAGTTTTCCTTCTCGTCTCCATGCCCAATACTATCTTTTACAATTATGCCGAACAATTCCTGATGCTGGGATTCATTATTGATGGTTTGGTGGGAGGTCTCTCAGCCTTTAACGGCATTTATCATGCGTAGCGTTTTTTTCCCAGCTTTCCACAAGCTAAAACTAAAGTTTTTCTCAAGGTACATCTCAGATTGCACGGAGCATGGCTCTCGGTACTTCTGGTTCTGGTCCTGTTGTATCTCTGGTCTAATGACGTTATCTTTCAGCTCCAAGATCTTTAGTACCATTCAGGGGCTGGTTTTCATCGGACTAGCTGCCGGGCCGTCGGTAAGAACTCCTTCTGCTCAATCAGCTTCTTATGTTAGACTTTTTTTAATCTTTCTAGTTCGGCGGTATTATAACATCCCTCTTCACGAACAACACTTATGACCTGTTCTATGTCAGCGTCTTTCTCCTTGCGGCGCTTCAATGCTACCTCGTGTTCCTTTGTCCGGAATCTCTTCAGAAAAACAATCAGACTGCAGACGATACGCATATACCCACTCTATCGCAGCTACGCTTGAAGAGACTGTCATTAGCATCGATAAAACCCCACTTAGCAAAACTCATCAAAGCCCTTCTCTCGCCAATATCCATGTTCGCCCCTCGAACCCGTGTAGGACGAGCCTCCAGAGACTACAATCTGACTTTGGTCGGACTCGGCCTATTCCTATACCTGATTTCAATTGTGAGTCATGAAACTTCAAGAATACTAACCGACGCTCTGATCGAACGCATCCTAGGGTATCTATCAAATCAAGTACCTTTATGCTAAGCATGTTTATTCTTGGTCAAGCTCCGAGGTCAGGCGCCCCGACTGTAAAGTACGGTTGCTGACTGATTTCTCTAGTTGGGCTTCTACATGTCACTTCTGTGGATATCGAGGGCCATTAATCTTCTCGTAATAATACCCGGTAAGCGCCACGGCAAATTCCACGAATCATTCGCTAACATGAATCTAATGTTAGTAATTGTTGCCTATTTCAAGCCCAAAGCCGGGTCAGAAGGGTTCTCCATCTATTCTGAGATGCATTTCGACAAGCGTTTGGCTCAGTGTTCCTTTGCGGTTGATGGATTGGCGGATGCTTTGGTGGCGATAACACCGGCATCAGCTCCACTGTTTACAGCACTGTCGTGCTTGAACTCGTTCACGTCGGGCGGTAATCCAGCTGCTCATTCACTCGGGGCGGTATGTCTGCATGCCAGTGGACATAGCTCTGAAGCAGGGGCTTTGTTTGGTGCTATGGCAGTTCTGTCTGCTATCGCCCACACGATATCAGTGAGCACAGTTTATACCACTGCCAAATCTATTCTCATCATTTATAAGCCAACTATCTATGCCGTCACATACGGATCAACGGTGGCGTATTTCCCTAAAGCAATCTTTTGCCTCGCAGCCACAATTCTGGCAACAGTCGTCTTCTTGCTAAGTTTGGTCCGAACCACAGGCGATTTGGCAGCTCCGTATACCATGCTCTCCTCTGAAGACGAGCCCGGGCCTTCGAATAGTGATGGTGATCACCGTACTCTGTCATAATGGGATATCGTGGTGCTTCCTCTGGTGCTGCTTGGATACACATCTCACCCTTCGGTTTCGTTATAAATCTGCCAATTGCAATTCGAATGTTTCCTGTAGCTATTATGTACTTTATATTAGGCCAGGCGTAAAACCTTTCACAGGAACGGCTCCAGAGACTGAGGAAGTATGGTAGCGACGGCGGCACCACTTGTTGGTTCAATAGATTGGAAGTACTAAAAAGACAGATAGGTGGTCAACACACGCCAAGAAACACAGTAGACAGTACTCACGGTTCCCCACCATGGACCTGCTGCCCACCAGGAGGCACCGATCCAGACACCGGACTGCTGCATGGAGCAAAGGGCGCCAAAGACAGCCTGCATGCTGGAGTAGGTTATCGTAAGCGCTCGATTGGTGAAGGCAGGAAGTGAAAACAAACCAGGCAGTGTTAGATCCAGCCCCGATTTCACCCAAGAAGCCCTTGAGGCCTGTCTCTTGCAACCAAGCAGTTGCGGCCTCTAGGCGTTCCGCGCCGATGGTCGAAGAAACACAAGTTGCCGAGGTACCCGACCCATCAGAATCGAGGTATTGGTGCATCTCTGGTCCGAAATGACATCTTCAGAAAACAAAACAAGACGGACTAGAATGACGCAGGGTCAACTAACCAATAGCGGTGTTGTTGGCGGAATCGCTGATTTTGCCGAAATAGTTCGAATTGCCGGAAGTCGTCCATGCTGAATGTTGATTTAATTTAACGATTACCAAAGGATTATTGAATAGGCTCACTCCAGGCTCCAGTCCAAGCTACGCCGAGAATGTTAGTAGCGCCACGGAAAGGAATATAGCCACATACATGTTCCTTCAACAAGAACGAGTTGGGTAGCGCCAGTAGACCTGATACCGTTGATTGCGGCTTGGTTCTAGAATCACAAAGATGGCCTTGAGTTTCAAACCATGCTGATTTTTTGTCTGCATACCATACTGAATGCGACAGAGGCGTCAACATCATGAGGCTCATTCATGATGTCTACAAGCATCATGCTACGTGAGTTGTTGTCAGAATGAAGTAGTAATACGCACTCACCGAAGATAACGTTGTCGTTATCAACCTTTCAAGCGGTAAGTAGGTACACATATGGTGTAATTGCATGCTACTCACGAATTCCTTTGCAAGGTTAGTCCAAACTAGAACGCAGATGTTACACGTAGCTCAGATGAAACTATAAGATGAACTTACATGTCTGGAAGCTGGAATGAACCGAATTAGCTTGAAAGTTGGTGTAGAACCTACTGAAACTCACTTTGAAGTGCTGGTAATGGTGGCTCCGTTGTAAATCAGGTAGTTGTGAGGGTCTAGGGCGATGTGTGCGCCTTTTCCAGTGACATATTCGACAGTCTATGGGTTGTCGAGAGGTAAGTATCACCGATGCGATAGTAAGAAGGGGTGGCGAACTGATTTGATCAAGGCGAGGTAGTCATCATCGAACGCGCCTGTCATTCCGGTTGCAGGAGGAGCAAGCCGCTCCATCAGGAAAGGAAGGCGGAAGAAGTTGAAGCCTTTCTCCACGAAGTACTGAAGCAAAGTCAGCGTAGTCGGCTACAATATCGAAAGACTGACATCGATTGAACTGCGAAGCTACTGTCAGCAAGGCAAGATTAGGGCAACAGTGGACTCAGCGTACCTCTCTGCTGGGAAAATATAGTCGGTTCCCAAAACTCCGGGTATGTTACCAGAGCCGAATTCAGCGCCAGATTCGTTGACACCAAAGAACTCAAACTTGGTCAAGTCTCCGCTACATGTTCCAGCGGAGGAGGTGACTGTAGTATTGGTGGCACGAGCAGACAAGGTGGCTGCATGGCCAGATGAAAAGAGAACGGCGAGAAAAACGAAAGCAGACAAGCACTTCATGGTGAGGACTAAGGTTGGACAGTGCAACCGTTCCCTAGCGATTAAATAGCATCCTCGGCTGAGGATGATGAAATCAGGGAGGAAGCGACCATCCGTCGAAATACCGAAATGTTTCCTGGCCAGCCGTCACACGGAAAGGCCATATCGGAGACACTCTGCAAAAACAGTGGCTTCGGAGACGCGACTGATAATCGTCGATCCGACGGAAAATTGTATCTCGAGCCAGGACATCTACGATCCCGGCCAATTATGCTGCGCGTGCGATTGGACTTCGGAATATTCTGCTTGAGATGACAGGGCGGAGTCAGTTACACGATTCTGGGATAACACAATGTTAGAGCTTGTGTTGCACCGAAGATTTCCCCCAATGTACGTCCTTTTTCGTCATGGTAACATGACACTGAGCCGTCGGGTAGAATTCGGTATACACTCCCCACTGATGGTGATATCGTGCCAAGTTCGGTGGCAATTGTAAAAAGGTGTCAAAAATACAAGTTTATTTTAATATAAATATCCGTTCGCTGAGACGGATGTACGGTACAGTCTTCGGTCTTGGAAAAAGGGATTAGAGCTAGTACTAGACCGACGGGCATCATACTCACCCTCTTTCATCTGACATTGGAACCACCAAGCCCCGTACTAGATCTCATCGCACCCAAGTTCGATGGTCCCTCGCCACGGTCTTCGGGTTCGTAACTTGTTCGCCTTCTCCCGAAAACGCCAGATCCCCGACTATTTTCCCAGTCCCAGAACCGTCTTGTTGGAGGGGGCAGAGGGACGTCTCTTGGACGGCGATTATTAAAGAGGTGAGCACCTAAACCACCCAGAGCCGCTCCAGTCCAAAACCCTGGCCTCCAGCCTTGATCTGTAGAGTTCTTTGTGTAGGGAGGTGGTGGTGTATAATCGTCACCGTAGCTCCCTGGAAACCATCCAGAGGGGCCCCGTCTGTCGCTGGGGTTTTGTGGCCGGCGGTTGGTAGTTGAACGACTAAAACATGATTTCAGAAAACTGTATGCTATCAGGGCAAATACAGTGATCCAGAGAAGGCCGAACACAATCTCGGAAACATCGAGAGCTGGAAACATTACTTTAATGATACCGACAATGTTGCAGATAGTGGTACGCACAACGAAACCAATTTGTCGTGCCACTCTGCAAGTCTGGGTTTCTCAGAGAACTTGGAATCTGAACAAGGCGATATTCTAATCCACAAGATCCTGTAAATCGCTTTAGTTGGGAGACGAATACAGAGCATTCTCTTGCGCACCTTTCAGGACAAAAGGATCCCCTGGCCCTGACCACCCTTCACAAGAAACCTGAGAACACCGTCGCTTATGGTCGAAAGGAGAAGACTGAAATGGCTGAACTTACTTCCACTCTACCGAACCGCAAAGATTCCGGCAAGTCCGCCACACACTTTTGCAGGGTTGTCGTCAGCTATTCGCATGCCAAACAGTAGTCTTAAAGATACCTTCCAGTCAACATCTGTACCGGTTCCTCCTAGATTGGTGCAGCGCACGACGTCGGGCGTGTACAGTTTACACGGTTTCCCCACACACGTAAGCTGCTGTATCGGAGCGGTCCGACGCGATTTCGTCAATTCATCTTTGTAGAATGTCAAAGCGGGGATTGTCGCTAACTGTTGTCGGGACATGAGGGTATGAATTTAAGAAACGCCACTGTGCGCTTATACATACTTCTAATATGGGTGTCGTGGCATCGACGTGTTCCGATCAAACTAGACGCCGGTTCTGTATTTCTAAATTATACAAGTCTACCACAAATATGAAGAACAAATCATGCAGAGCATCCTCCACACAGGCCATGGCTACACCCCCAGCATGAAGCAACACCAACACCAAATGTCCGAAGTATTAAAGACACAATGCTCGTAACGCCCTCACCCAGTACAAAACCACTCGCAATAACAATGAGGCGAATATCTGATCTGTCTTTAGCGAATCGAGTACGATAGACATGGTCGAGAACGCCGCCAATCAGACGCGCTATCGAAAAAGACGGCGTATTCAAGAAACCAATAGCAAAAGCTACCCCGGATGGTATCCACTTGGCGTACCAAAGATACCTCCGAGTAGCATACGTCTTAAATGCTGCTACAGCCCCAAATATGATTGCAAAAGCGAGCATGAATACGCCACTTTGTTCCGGAAGTTTTCCATCACCTACGAGAAATCAGAGCGAGAAAACAATGCAGACATGCTGCTTACGCAAAAGTCGCGCCAGGCTTAACCAAACATGCGCCGTAGGGGCAGGAAACGAAGGTCCTGGTATATCATATGCCCGATTATATAGGGTATAGGCAGTTGTTGTAACCAAAATAGAAAATGCTGATCCAATTAATTGACCGTAGAATTGGGCCCTCGGAGATGCATGGCACAGGTGCCCTGTCTTCAGATCTTGCATGAGGTCGCCAGCCCTTGACGCTTATTAGATATATAATTATGCAACAGGACAAGGTGCTCACTGTTGGGCCCCGGCCTCTGCTACTCCCCCTGCTATGATATTCGCTACAATATTTCCAGGTTGTATCCAAGCAAAGAACAGCTGCGAAATCTTCCCTAGACCGGAAACAGGGTTGATATCCGTTTCTCCGAGAGCGCGCACTCTGTTAGGCATAATTAGCGATGTGCTCGACCAAAAAGAATATTACATACGCGAGAATACTGAGCATTCCTCCGAGAACGAAGCCCAGGAAGGTAGCCCAAGGTTTAATTCCTTCATGACCAAAGACAATCCAGACCAAGAATGTCCCGAGAATGACGCTAATAACCCAGCCTATTACAACCCAACTCTGCGGCACGAGCCTATCGGCTGTCTCGACTTCATTGTCTTCTTTAGAATCTGAATATGAGCCAACTCCGAGATTTGTCCCAATCGCCTCCTTGACATAACCAAAAATGACGGGAAGCAAGGACACAAGACTGTCAGCGCACATAATCGCTAAGGAGATCCACAGAATCCATCCCCGAGCACCGTCCGTCATACTACCGACTGGTCCAGGAGCCCAACCCAGATGCTTCGAAAGAGGCGAGAGAATCCCCCAACCAACGAACATGCCCTGGAATATTTATCAGTTAGTCCTAAAGTATTGAAAGGGTAAAATGTCATACCAAATTCATTGACAAAGTCACGGGATAACCCATTATGATCCCTACAGCTATTGGTCAAGATCCAAAAAATTGTATCTGACGTTCACAAACCTTGACCGACATAGGACAAACTAGGAGTAAAAGTCCATAACCATTCTTTGGCAAGATAGTTTCCAAATAGAGGGATGGAGAAGATAACCGGGAAGAAGTACGCTGAGAGCTGAGTAGGACGTGAGTGAAAAGTGAGAGCAATGTCCAAATTGTGTCTTACTGTCATAGCCCCCGACGAAGCGAAACTCCATAACAACGCTTGCCAACCAGTGCTTTGAACAACTTCTTGCTCATGCGCAACCAGTACACTTTCCTCCTGGTCTATGATCGGACTAGAAGGTTCGGGTATCTCTTCATCATCGATACGCTCATAGCCAGGTCGTCGGTGCAACCCAGTTTCCGGCGGTGGCAACTTATGTAGCACAGATATGAGATGGGCCGTAGCGGTGCCCGATGGAAACGCAAGTTGCTCCTCAATAATCTAGGAAGGAAAGTTATTATCTTGTATTCCTATCAGGCTAGCAACATACCACTTGCTTTCGGATTGGAGGGGACATGAACACCCTAGAAACATTATTCAGTCACGCCTGAAAGAACTCTTGATGGCCATACCCGAAAAATGCAACAGCGAAAGACCAGCCTGCGGCGGCTATCCAGGTAAGATGAATGGGTGGAGATCCATCTCTTTCCTCATCTAGAAGTCCCAAAGCAGGAAGGATGCCAACAAAGCCCGCCTATACTATGATAAGTCTACATGGTCAATGACTGCATGTGGGTCACCCACAGCCAAAGGCATCGTTCCGGTTGCTACAGCAGTGGTTTGCACGACTATTATTTCTTGGGCACTAAGAGGATTGGGCAGCATTCTTGATATGAGGAAGCCAATCAAGGCGGATTGCAGAGACATCCTAAAATAGCTGTCTTAAGCTCTTTCTTTCGGCAATCACAGTATTGACGAACATGCTGATGAAGCCGGTCTGCAGTCCAAAGTATAGATTCGTGAAACACAGTAAGCATCCTATCAGGAGACCCAAAATAACAGCAGTTGGGGTGAACTCTCTCGAAGCCGAGGAATGTAAGCTTGCGAGCGGTTCCCAGCGGTTCCTGGAGCAAATTTAAGCAACGTACGGGTGAAATTCAACGGAAATTACCCACTGAAGCCAGCGAGAGATGTCCATAATGTTGGCGCTGGCGTGGACGGAGGGAAGAAAGGAAAGGAAAGGCCGCTATCTCTTCGGCCGTGCACTCAGTCAGCAATCGCGTCATCCGAAGAACGAGTGTCGCGTGTGATCCACGTGGCACACCGCGTTATGTGAGCATGCTTGTCTGCAGCTTTGGGCCCGAGTCATTTCATCGATTTGCTGGTTCTGCTGTATCGCCCTTTCCATCAACCTCGACGTCCTCCCAGCGCTGCATATTATGTCCGGCCGAAAAATCAGATCTGCGGATGGTCTACTACAAGTCATTCCTCCTCCAGGACACCCTGCGACGTACGGTGCTTCTGGATGTCAGTGGTCGACTCTAAAGCTAACAGTGCGGCCTGTACAGGTTGCCAAAAGAAGGGGAGAAAAATGTGTTGATCACTTCTGCGCTGCCATATTGCAACAACGTTCCGCATTTGGGTGAGAGGCCCCGGACACGGTCGCGTGAACCGCAATTAATTAATCGCCTTGCAGGGAACATTATCGGGAGTACTCTCAGTGCCGACGTTTTCAGCCGGTGAGTTTGCGCTCTATTCATTCTTCTACGAGCTAATTTCTCCCATTAGTTATAACCGTACGTTTTGGCCGTTTTTGCGTATTTTTTAGGCCTTCTTCATGTCCGGACAGGCACTAGAAATAGAACAACGCTGTATATCTGTGGGACTGACGAGTACGGAACTGCTACGGAAACTCAAGCTTTGAAGGAAAATATCACCCCACGAGAGTTATGTGACAAATATCATCTTCTCCACAAAGAGACTTACGAGTGGTTTGACATTGGGTACGCGAGTGTCCTGTTCTTCCATTAGATTCCCGTACCAACTTCCGTTTTAGATTCGACTATTTTGGACGCACTTCGACACCTTGGCATACAGAGTGCGCGAACGCCCTGCTTCATTTATAGTACCGGCTAACCAATCTCGCAGAATATGTCAAACGATATACCGGAATTTGGGAGCAAATGGTTTCTTGGAGAAACAGGATAAAGAGCAGATTTACTGTGAGGGTTGCCCGAAGTGAGTTGCAATGCCGTCATAAAATCTATGGTTCGCTGAGATCTCAGGTTTTTGGCCGATCGTTTTGTAGAAGGCATCTGCCCACATTGTGGCTATGAGGTTTGAAAAGGTTTTCTTGTCGCTATGTCTTGCTCACAGTTGTATCCAGGATGCTCGTGGTGATCAGTGCGATCTTTGCAGCCGGACGCTGGACGCCATTGAATTAATCAAGCCTCGATGCTTGGTCAATAAAGATCATCGTGTAACGACACGAATATCGACTCATAATTACCTTAAATTAGACCAGATACAACCTCGAACAGAGGAATGGATCAAAAAATCTTGGAAAGCAGGGAAATGGTCCTCCAACTCAGTGATCAACGGAGATGGCGAACTCGTTGACGCGCGGGTGAAGGCTGGATTACTCCCTACGCCCGTCACACGAGATCTGAAATGGGGCGTGCCTGTTCCAATTGACTCGGCGGAAGATAAATCTATGGAGGGGAAAGTTCTATGTAGGTCCATCTACATTTTTCATGTCGGCAGTTAATCATAATTTTTCCGTACTCTAGACGTATGGGTAGGGACCCTATTTTTGACCAAAGCGCACATTTTGACATGTTTCTAGTTCGATGCCCCCATAGGATACCCGAGTATCAGTGCCAACTACACACCAGAGTGGGAAAAATGGTGGTTTAACCCGGAGAATGTCCGTTTATATCAATTTATGGGTAAAGATAATGTGTACTTCCACACGGTCTACTTCCCTTCAGTTCAGCTTGGTGATGGAAGGAATTGGACAACCCTACACCACTTGTCAACAACTGGTAAACTATGTCTCTTGTGCCCAGTTGCGTACGAGGTAGGCTGACTTGTTCTCAAGAATATCTGAACTATGAAGGTGGAAAGTTCTCGAAAAGCCGTAATCGTGGCGTGTTTGGACCGGCTGCGAAGGAGACCGGTATACCATCCTCAGTCTGGAGGTATTACCTCTTATCGACAAGACCAGAGACAGCCGATTCTATGTTCTCATGGTCGGATTGTGTAAGTCCTTCTGACGCCCGCGTTTATCAAACGGGTCTCACATGTTCACCATAGATTGCTGCAAACAACAATGTTTTGTTGAACAAGTCTGTATCTCTCCCATACTGCAGCAGCGTATCCTGACCTTAATAAATCTAGCTTCGGTAACTTTGTCAACCGAGTCCTCAAATTCGTGTCGTCACAATACAACAGTGTCATTCCTGAAAGTGGTGACGAACCAGGCCCACTTTCGGTCAACGACGAACACGATGCCGAGTTCATCTCGGATGTGAACGGATTACTAAAGGACTACATCGACGCCATGGAATCCGTGAAACTTCGTCTTGGTCTCCAAACCATTATGCTCATCTCCATCCGTGGCAACAGCTACTTGCAATCCTCAGGCCTTGGTAAGGCTCTGATGACTTCAGATCCCATACGTTGCGCAAAGGTCCTTTCTCGTGCCGTCAACCTTATCTACGTCCTATCCACTCTGGTGTATCCTTACATGCCTGCAACGACTGCCGACATTCTCGAACAGCTCAACGCCCCGGCGAGATCCGTTCCAGACACACTTTCAACCGATATCCTCGCTGGCCATACTATTGGCAAACCCGAGCATCTGTTCAAAAAGATTGACGAGGGTATGGCTGAAAAATTCCGGGCCCGATTCGGGGGGCTGGAGAGCGCCACGAAGGCTGAGGCGTCAAAGCCCGCCGGTAAAAAAGGGAAAAGTAAGGTCCCACCGGTACCCGCTGCGGACATACCAAAGACACCAGAAATGTTGGCCGTGGAAGCAAAGATAACAGAGCAAGGGGATGTCGTTCGTACTTTAAAGAGTAAAACTCCCAAGACGAAGGAGCTGGACGCGGAGATTAAGGCCGAAGTGGATGTATTGAAGAAGTTGAAGGGCGACTTGGCTAAATTGCGGCATCCTTGAAGCTCAATAGATTGTTAGTCTGCCGCCGTCAAGAGAAGTATATTATTAGATGTACAAAGCTCATCGGTGTTGATGTTATTTTCAGATACCAACCCTGTGCTTAGATCTGTAGAATAGCTATACCGGATAAACATGGTTCCATTTGACTTGGCCGAATGTTTGTCTCTAGACACCAGGACTCAAGGCCTCAGGCCGGTAACCACCCGACTAGCACACGTTTGTTGCTGCGACTTCTCGAGGGGCTGCGACAGAATCTATAATGACCGGAATGAAGATGGTCCTGTCGGGCCGTTTCCAGATGTGCTTCTGGAGCTGCCGAAGCATGCTGGGCATAGATAGAGAAATTTCGGTGAAGTATTTAAAGGAAGCCCTACACGTACAGTTTACACTCAAGCTCCCACGATAATGGTCTATGAAGGCAGAACTTTCCGAGGCTCCGCCTCTGGCAAAATCGTCGAGTCTTCTTTCACTAGGGAGGAGCTTTCTCCCAACGACGTTGTCGTCAAGATCACACACAGTGGACTATGCGGAACGGACTTGCATTACCTGAACATAGATATGGTACTTGGCCACGAAGGTTGGTATTCGTATCATATCGAATGGAACAAAAAAACCTTTCTGACTATGATAACGCAGGTGTCGGTGTCGTTCAAGAGGTCGGACCCTCTTGTAAACGGCTGAACGTCGGGGATCGAGTGGGATGGGGGTACATGCATGAGACTTGTGGATTATGCAGAGAATGCCAGACCGATAACGAGGTCTTTTGCCAGGTCAAAAAATGCTTTGGTTCGGCCAATTCCGACCAAGGTTCCCTTGCGGAACTAGGTGTTTGGAAGGAAGATTGGCTCTTCAAACTGCCGGATGCTCTATCATCTGAACAAGCCGCGCCGCTGATGTGTACGTACGTCCTACTTAAGGTGTGATTACGACTAACCGTCTCAATCTTCAGGCGCCGGTTCCACGGTCTTCACGCCCTTGATCAAGTATTGTAAACCCACCGACCGAGTTGGTATTGTCGGCATCGGCGGTTTGGGACACCTTGCCATCCAGTTCGCGGCGAAAATGGGGTGTGACGTTGTTGTCTTCTCTGGCACTAACTCGAAGCGAGAGGAGGCTTTGAGCTTGGGGGCGAACGAATTTTACGCAACCAAAGGTGTTGATAACCTATCACAGATTGGTTTGCCGAAACCTATCAACAGACTAATAATCACAGCGGCTGGAATGGTGGATTATGACTCGTACTTCGAGATCTTGGCCCCGAAAGCCACCGTCATTCCGTTGACTGTTACTGACCCCAAGTACACGATGGGCGTCCCATACACACCTTTCGCCTGGAAGGGTATTGAGGTGGTTGGAACGGTTCTTGCTGGAAGAGTTATGCAGTAAGCTTGACTCATCATCTGAATCGTTCTGGCTGTTCTGAAACGTCTCCAGCAACGATATGCTAGATTTTGCCGCCCGCAACAAGATAATTCCAAGGATTGAAAAATTTCCCATGACTGTTGAGGGGATTACTGAGGCCATAGATCGATTAAACTCGGGCAGTTTGCGCTACCGAGGTGTTATTACGAACCAGTAGATTTTAGAATTTTTGTTACACTGCATGGTCGCATTTGCCTTCTAGAACTTAGACTTAGAAGTATTTGGATAGAATACGTACACATCTGCATAATAGTGAAGCAGCGGCCTTTGCTTATTACGGTATAGACGACCGTTATGAAAAGCCGAGAGAAATGTGATTGAAAGATTCCGTATACGTGGACGCGCGCGACAACCTCATCCCGGAGCGGCCTTGAATCTCCTGCCGCCTTACGCAATACTTAGTAGTTACTAGTTCGAAGGTCTGTCCGATGTCGGTATCTGCTCTTCACATCATTGAAAGACCTTTGGTTGTTTCTTTGGCTCCGGAGCAAAAGAAATACGCCCTTGTTGCCGGTGCTGACAATTCGTCCTTTAACTTTCGAGTTATTCCGATCGTGATCAGCGCTCTAGATCAGCGCTTGGCATGTTCCTCCCACAGACCAGTGATTAGGACTTGACTAGGCCAGTAAATATGTAGAGATGTAAACTATGGACAAACGAAGGCTAAGAGAGGTGCTGAGTTCTAACTGATAGTACTCTATCAAACAGTGACTGGCCCCCGGTTAACTGCATCACTTAATAAACGCATCTCTGTTTAATATATAAATGATAAGCGATATTTGAATTCTGCGCGTTATTATCGCGATTGAATACTCTTTATAGTCGAGGGCCCAGTGATGGAGGAACGAACGAACGTGCAAAACGTGGTCTGATTTCTGTTTTGGATCTGCGTGGGAGATTAATTTCAGGGCTGCCCCAACATTCTACTTACCGGGTCTTGCTCCCGCCACTTCCTTCTACTGTCTGTGGCAGCTGACGACAAGTTGGATGGCCAGCAATCAAGGCCAGCAAACTCTTTACGACAGAGTAGATGTGCATAAATCATGCAAATCATTGGAGACCTTGCTCGGCGTCTTAAGCGACTATTGTGAGGCTGCCGAAGCTGTGGTAATATTGCAGAAGAAGTTGGCAAAGGCTCTCCGTGAAAGCGCTGGATTGAAAAGCACGACCGGCATCGCTGGTTAGTCCGCTCTACTCCCCCTGGTCATTCTGATGGTCGACCTTGACTTCTAGCCAACGCGTTGGGTGCTAGTGCCAACATCTTCGAAGCTCTCTCCGATATCGACGCTAAGTTTGCGAAGATAGCTGACAAGGAATACGAAGGAATCAGTACCGAGGTCAGGAAATGGTTCAAGAAACTTGCCGTACGTGCGCAGCAACTCCCCAAGGAACAGCTTCCCATTTGTCATTTATTACAGAAAGAGGAGAAGGCTCATGACGATAGAATCGCTGTTGCCAATGGCAAGATTAAGCAAGCAGGTAAATTACTTTTCACTTTGTGTGTTCCTTATCCATTCAACAAGGCTTCCTTGACTAGGTCAGGTCTACGAGAAGAAGTCCAAGAAGAGTGCTCGCGACGCCAGTGACGAGCATGCACGTTACATCACTCTTATCAGCGCTCTTGGACCGGAAATATCCCAGGAAAAGTAGTACGTACAAGTTACTCTTATAGCAGTCGTACATTCAAAGTCATTAAATTTAGCAACCACACATTGTTCGTAACGCAACGGCATACATCTACGACATTCAATGTGGCAGCATGTATGTCACGTATAGCTGATGCTGAATGGCTCCGAGCTTGTGAAGGTGTTCGTCGATATGCACCAACCGTGGGGCCCTTGGGTGAATGGAGAGCTCTTTGCGAAGGGGGCTGGGGAGGTCCTATGCCTCCGGACTTGCCTGACCTCGATACCACCGCTCAACAGCAGCCTCAACTACAGCCACCGCCACAACCGCAAACTGTTCGCGAACATATAAATGGCGCGCTCGATGAAGACCGGCCTTCGCCACCGATGTATCGGCAAGCTGAAGCTATTAACTTGAACTCGCAAGAGCCAACAGAAGCCCATCCTGGGATGTGGTCCGCATATGAGAAAGAAAGGGAACAATCATCACCCATACCTTCCCCTACGCAGCCTCAATACCCCCAAACGCCAACAAGTGCTGCACCACAGAAGCAGAACCAGTCAACACCGCCTTCCTCTTTTGACAATCCTATCCGGCCATTTTTGGATCCTAATACAGGGTCCGTGAGATCATTATCTGCATTCCCTGCACCTCCTACCCACTTCCCGCTTCCTCCCGTTAATTCGCAGCGGCAACAGCAGACTTCTCTAGGACAGTCATCTCACTCATCGTCTGCTTCTCATGTCAGCATCCCGACATTGTCCCGACCATCCGACGTCCGCATTCCTGGTGGTGATGAGAGCATCACTGGGGAGACGACATCGACATCACCTGTCTCTGCCCCGCCTTCCCCTCAACAGAAATTCAATGACAAACCTGACATAAGTAATCAGTCAAGTGGAAGCGCGTCAGATAGCCATGACGGCCTTCGACGTCCGACACCTGTACGGTCACTGACGGTGCCAAGTTTAGAAGAATCATCAGGAACTGTAGCGGAGCGTTCGTCTACCTCCTCAAATACCTCCAAACCACCTAATGAGCGCGAATTTGGGTCCGGTTACAAGTCGCCAACCCGAGGAATCGATAGTGTGAAAGGTAAAGATGTAGACAGACATGACACTGCGACAAGTAGTGGTAGTGTGGTAGCTGCGATGCGCAGCCGTTATTCATACGATGTACGTAGTGCATCTTCTCGTCGATCTCATGAAATGTCTGACCGTATTGCTAGTCTGGAGCTTCCTCTCCTCCGCCTAGGGATATCCCTCGGTTACCTATGAGCGTGACCGATCTGGCTACCCGGTATCAACCTAGTGACGGGCCCTCATCCCCAAGAATCAGAGCTTCTTCCCCGCCTATCGCTCGTCCTCTACCTCCTCTGGATTTTTTCTCTCAAGCGCGGCAAGCCGAGGCGTCCTTCCGTGAAAGAAGCCCTCCGGGAGCGTTCCGTGACGCGTCTACGACGCCCACACCCACGTCCATGCCACAACCGAATCTCCAGACTCACACCGCAGCGCATGACGATGCCGTTCGACGTCAGCAACGTCTCGAAGAGCTGGAAATTAAAGAAAAGGAACAGAAACTTCGTGCCAGAGAGCTAGAAATTGAGCTCAAATCTCGGGAGTTGGAGAGACAACGAGATTTTTTGATGAGTAGCTCAACCGCACTTGGCAGAAACCGAGATGGATATATTAGTGAAGATCGTTCACTCAGCGGCCATGGCAGAGATTCCGATAGACAAGCGAGGGATACTTCACTGTCCCGCTCACGAGACGACGTGCGAAATGAGATTCCACGACCGCCACACGCAAACTCTCTCGCACCTCCATCAACACGCACCTTGGGAAGCAGCAGTGAGGAAAACGGGAATTCCGACAGATCGGGACAATCACTCAACCAACTGCACCCGCCTTATTGCACTTGTGACACTTGCAAGAATTCCAGATATGGCGGAACCACAAGTCGCCCTGGAGAGAAAAGCAAAGGCGGTTGGATGCGGAGATTGAGTATGCCGATTGTTGCTGGAAATGCGTTTTTGGATGCTAAACGGCATGGAGGGACAATGAAGAGAGGATTGATGTCGTTGGACGGGAAGAAAAATGCCAGCACGACTATACTTGCTCAGGAGGATGGCCGGTTGACCACTGGAGGTAGGAGAAGCTATGATGCATCTGGGATCAGCAACCGAAGCGTCACGAATCTAGGCAGGAGGTAATATGGTGCATATTTTTGGATACTCTGGAACGGATTTACTTCTGTAACTTATATTTATACGGGCTCCGTACTTATACCGTCTACTTTATTATGCTAATACTTACGGATATCACCAATAGTGTACTGATTTTTGTGTCTTTCTTCTTCATGACGCTTATGTATTGTAACGCATTTACGATCAGCGACGAGATTTGCATCAAGGTACAGGTGGGCGGAGTCTAACGGAACTAATTGAATGTATATTGCTGGTGAGTAACAAATGCATGCGGGTGTTGGTTATGTGCAGGATGACGGAATGCAAGAGTAAGAACAAAGTTAATAAGGTATAGATGCGGCGACGACAAGATTAAAAATGAGGGAGGCAAGGCAGGAATTTGGACGTCGCAACACCATTAGACGCCTTGTGGCGTAGGCTGCTGCATGGGGCCCGTATCTCTCGATTGACCTTGGATGTCCTACACCAAACATCAGCAGAGAGCCTAACAAGAACGAGAAGAACAAGAACCATTCGCTGTTTTTTTATCGGTCTCGGGCGTGCGCCCGGAATACCCGCCTTGGCATTCATGATCGCCTTTGGGGGAATGTTCGAAGTTATAGGCTGCGGCGGGGCAACTTTATTCGAATTCGGATTCGAAACGGAATCATCCCGTTCTCTCTTCTTCCCTCTCGGCACCTGCTGCTGTGCAGCCAGCGAACTTGCACTGACGGGTGGGGCGCTGAGTGGGTGTGGTGTGGCAGTCCGGGGGGTTCCGCCACTAGTTCTTCCATTAAGGCCTGTCACCTGCACTGGGGGGAGATGGGGTTTGGTACTCCCGGGACGAGGCACGGCGCTTACGGGCCGCGGGGTGCCAGAGCGCTGAGCAGCTAGGGAGGCAGGCGTAGAAGGTATAGGTGCTTGAATGGGGGTCGGGGTTGGCTGTGGCGTGTGAGAAGCAGAGGCGTTGGCCTGGGCTTTTGCGAGTCGCCTTAGCTCTTTCTGTACCCGAATGAGTGTGGTCAGTGATACATTGGTCATACAAGAACGTACCCGCTTCTTCCGGTCTTCTCGTGCTTGAGTCGACTCTTGAATCAACGTGCTTGGATTCCACTGCACGGATCAGATCCAGAACATGAGAAATTGAAATGGAACCTACGCCTTTCAGCCCTTCTGCACTGACAGAGAACGCCTCGCGCTGAGTCTTGAGGTCGAAAGGAGTGATCTTTATGCGCTCCTTGCCTGGACCCATGATCACTGACGTGAGGTAGTCATCCTTCTTCATTGAATGTTTGCCTATGCGCCACACGCGATTAGTACACAGTGGCGGCATAAAGGCGTAGTGAACGCACCAGGTGTGCCCTTTATGAGGTGCTTGTAGTTATTCTTCTTCTTCTTTTCTCCCTTGCCACCTGGATCATCGTCATCGGGATCCTGGGGATCCGCCGCGGGAGTTTGTGGAGCGAGCGCGAGAGGACTGTTGACGGCGACTTCCTTGCCCTTCCCTTTGTCAAGATGGCCTCCCGGTGTGAGTGGATGTGATATGGAGGGCGTCGGTGGCGCATTGGCAGCACCCTGGTCATCGGATGATATGAACGGTCGCACATACTTGTCGTAGGCATCGAGGAGGTAGAAATGGGATATGAGATCTTCAGTGCTCGTGAAAAGGGCTGGAGCTGGAGGATATTGCGCTAGAAAACAAAGTGAACGGGTGAGATTGTGGGCGAGAGGTGGAACAAGAGGCGGACCTGGTGGAGGGAGAAAGAGAGGACCAGGGCTAGATATCGACGGCGGCGGCGGTGTCGGGGCGCGAGAAGGGCCAGCGACTGCGTTTTGCATGCTGACCTGGTTGTAGCAGACGACGACAACGGGCAGTAGTGAACGTCGAGGTCAAGTCAATTGCTATCAAGCAAATTGAAACTTGTTTGCACTGTATTAGTCATCACCCTTTCTCGGACCTTTTTGGTGACACAACACTCTTCTCTTACCAACAAGTTCCAAAAATCTTACTGATACTGTACAACGCCCCCAATATCTCCCCCCGTTATGCAGGGTCATGCCTGATGTTTCCAATCTTTTCCAGTTCGCATTGCCATGAATGCATGCGCTGCACATGGTCAACCTTGAGATGCCTCCCATTCTCAGATTCTGACTCGGAAGCCGCCGCGATGCAAGGTTCTGGGCGCCTGTACTCTCCGGGTGAGAGTTCAAGATATAAGTACCTGGTTCGGTACCACCGGTAACTTCTCAAAGGGCTTCCGATGGGTAAGTTGTTGATTCAGGGCTCAGCTGTGGTAGAATTTGCTCGGATACCGTGGTCAACCTAATCTTGGGACCTCAGGTAAATGGAATTTCAAGACGACATAAGCCCTTCTAAATGACATTCGATGAATATTACTATAGTACACTGTAAGTTTGATATCATACAACATATATCCGTCTAAGTAGTAAAGCACACTATTCGCATCCTAATGATGCGAACCAGACCCAGATGGTCCCGGTGTCTGTCCCCCAAACAGATCCTTGCTGGCCCTTGATCGTCCCCGTTCTACTTCCTCATTGCTATCTCTTACCCACCTCATGCTCTTCTTCCCCTTGAACAAATCCACCGGATTTTTCACAAGCATCACCGCCATCAGGGAAAACACCTGCATTCCTCCGGCAATCGTGAATATCGCCTTTGGGTAGGTGGCAACGGTGCCGCTATAGATAAGACCGAATATCATGGGCTGCAATCAACAGGTCAGACACGACCACACGTAAAGGATCAAACTCGATACTCACTCCGAGGATCATTTGCCCAGTTGCTTGTAGCACAGCTAGCGCACCAAACAACTTGCCAATACCTGCACTGCCCTTGGCTTGGTCCTCTGGGACTGTTCCGGTTTCTATGATCGTTCGCGCCTGAGTGATGCACAATGCAAGGCTTTGCACCGCCGGCACAACTCCGGAGCCCATGCTAGTTAATGAGCTGGCCATTACAAACAGTGCTTCGCTGTGTCTCGATGCCGGCGTAGACGATGAAGAAGAAGACACGTGTACTTTGTAAATGGGTGCAGGAGATAGCACTACAAGCACATTGGACACAATGTCGATGATAAACGAAGTTCGCGTCAGGAACAGATCAAAGCGTATTTCCTGAGCGAGATGGGCTTTAGTTGATTTAGGCTTGGTGGCTTTGCCATTGGAAGATTTGGCCGGTGTTTGAGGTTTCGGCTTGAGAACAGAAATAAAGACTACCTTAAGAATCAGCATTGGTACGGCAGGACCAAAAAGATAGTAGCGTACAGGGCAAAAGAAGGAGTAAAAATGCGGCTCGAGCGCCACCCATGAAAGAGATGTAGTAACTGAGTTGCTCGGCACCCCAGCCATATACATGAACGGCGTACAAGTACTTGAGTTGATAAATGCCCTGCATTTCAAAGCGATCAGTAAAGCAGAATTGACCAGTCTGTTATTAAACTAACCGTTGAGAGCATATACCCGAATAACGCTGCTGCCAACATGGTCAAGCTCCAGTCTCGGTGTCTTCTCGTTCCCTCCGCTTCTATGATGGTGACAGGTAGGAAAATCGACAACGGACTCAAGAAATTGCGAATGATGGCAAATCGCTTGGTCTCCGAGACCCCTTCTTCGTCTGAAGATGAGCTGGCGCCTTGGTCATGGCCACCCGAGTCCTGCCCGCTCAAATCCCTGGCCTTGCCCTTGACGGAGTGAGTCATAGCGTGCTCTCTCGCAGCTGCTTCTCTCTTCTCGGCGGATAAGGACTCGGGGAATACAAAGAGCACAAGAAGAAGATTCGCGAGGGAGCATAACACGGCTAGATAGAATACTGCCGTGACTGATTTGGGCTGTCCTGGCAGCGCGCCTATACCGTTTTTGATTATCCAACCTCCAATAGCGGGACCCATACTAAACCCGACGTAGAACACACCCGTGAACCGAGAGAATATGGTCGCACGAGATCCAGAAGACGTGCAATCGGATACATAGGCACTGGTAGCGCTTTGAAGGGTAGACCAACCGCCAAGGAATCCTTCAATGATGGGAGCGATAATTAATAGCTTGTGACCATGTGACGACAAGGGAGAATGCGGGGTCGAGACAAGAATGAACATGAGGTCCCTGAAATATAGATCACTTGTCAGCAAGCGAAGGGAAATTTCATTATGAAGAATACTTGCGTGAAAAATAGACCAGATGTCGCAATGGCTAGGACTTTTGTACGCCCGTGTCTTTCCCCAAAATGACCCCACCAACCTGTAGTGAGTGCTGAGAGAAGGCCCATAGTCGTGATCATAATGGTTTGAAGCCGGGCGGCGGCAGCCTGAACTGCAGGATCAGAAAGACATTGCGGAGAAGGAAGGTCGCGTGGGTCATCGTCTGTGACATTGGTGTTATAGTCGAAATGTGTGACTTGGGTTAGATAGGAAGGAGAGAGATTAGGTCCAAGAGGGTCAACAGATGAAGATATAGATATTAGGTGGTCACTAGAAACGGAGGGTATTTCGACCAGAGTATGGTTGAACGGATGTGGGTGTAGACGAGAACATGCGAGTTGTGTGAAGACTTCAACTCGAGGCGCGGTGGTCATGCCACGAGTCAGTGCCGCCGTGATGGCGAAAGGTACTAGCCTGTAGCATATGCAATGAGTGCCGCCCATATGATATATCATAAGTAAACCAAATCGCACCAGAGCGGCCTTGCTCTATAGAATGGCTTTCTCGGCCGACCAGGACCCAGAAGCGGCTCGTGTTCCGAGCGTCGCTCAGTCACGCTTTCTGAAGAGAGGGCTGAGAGAACTGAATGATGAGCAAGACGAGAACGAGAGGGTGAGAAGGCAGCGAGGTCACTGCCTATGAGGGGGTCGCCAGCAACGGACTCGATGTTGGGCTGCCTCGACATTGTGGAGGTGGCGTGGTGATGGTGAGAGAGAGAGAGAGAGAGTAAGAGATAAAGATGGAACGGGGACTATTTTGCCGCCGGGATAAGCGTGTAAGATTAGTGCACGCGAATAACCAATAAGTACACGCGTTATCAGCAAGCCTTCAAGGCAGCCAGGTAATGATAAAATGCCGTCCCAGTGGCAGGACGTGTCGTTTGTCGTGTCCTGCTCGACAGTGTCGCGTGTCCGTCAAGTTGGAAGAATGTCAAGAGCAATCCCCGAGAGGTCCCGAGCTGTGTCATTGGTGACGAATAAATCGAGAAAAAAAACGAAAAAGGCATCAGCCATCACGCGCACGCATTTAGTAAAGGCGGCACGACGTACATATAGTCAAGTTTCATACATACAGGTGCCACCGTTACAGCATCAGATGCATCACGATTGAGATCTATTGAGACGAGGTACTGGCAATGAATTCTGAGCACTGTGGCCAATCTATACTGCAAAGGCTGCTTCCGCGCCTGTTCCGAGGATGTTCGGGAAACCCGGCCCGGCTCTTATCGAACCAAAAAACAAGTCCAGTGCGTCTCAAGTACAAGTACAACATCAGTATACAAACTATTCAAGACCCATTCCAAAATCCAAGACAGGAGGAACGAAAGGCCCGGATGACAGCTCCTCCGACCTTAGTCAAATAGTCAACGAGTCAAAACCTTGAGGTTGCCGTGCACTTGGCACTCATTCCGAACTCGTTGCTCACTCGGACCGGTTCTTATCATGACTCAATTCGCCGTTACCACGATGCTGATTCACAATAATATCGTTTCATACAGGAGGCTCACTGGGCCAAAAACGACTAAATCATAGAAGAGATCTCTCGAGATGTTGTAGCTTGAGATGATTCAGATTCCAATTCGCCGGTCGCAAACGCGACCGAATGGCGGACATGAACAGAAGCGGGCGTTTTGGGGGAAGTAGCAAGTGTTTCTGTATGAGGAACGAATTGCATCTCGCCAACGTTACTTCCAGTATTGACAGTGAGGGGTTCCAAGGACACGACGGGAGCGTCCCAGTTGGTTTGATGACGAGCAACAATGGCGATTATGATAGTCGGGTACAGACCCTAGTGGTAACGTTGAGAAGTCCCTTCCCAAAAATAGAAAGTAAGGAAACATACGACAACTTGATTTCCTGCAGAGTTGAGCATGGCGGAACCGAAGTAGGCTGAAGCCTGGATTGCGGTGCTGAGTGGAAAATACGTGAAGCTTTTCGATATCTGAGAGTCATAAGACCCGAGTGTATTTTGATGGAAGTCACATAACCCACCCAGAAGCAAAGATAAATGAAGCCTGATTCGACGAACAACATTAGGATTTTCTCCGTCAAAGTCCTTGACCTCCTGACACGCTGTGGAGAATAGGCGCGTGCGAATGACTGTCGAAGGAGCCTGTAGGCACACTATCTTCAACGCGAATACGCAAAGACCTAGCAAACGTACCAAGCCTTGTAAGCAATCAAAGATGTTGCCATCGCATTCGTTCCCAAAGATAGAAAGAATGTTGCAGCCTGCGCATGATTGCACAATCGTGCCTGTTCTCCGTCTATGAGCTTCCAGCCAGTGTGCCCAGTGCATCCAACAAAGAGGAAAAACATGGCTGGGCGATTTCCGTTAATCTCTGAAACCCCCAAGAGAGTGAGTTACGTACCTACTCCAGCCGTTAGAGTGATCAGAGGAGCAACTATAATCTTGATATCGAAAGCCCATAGAGCACCCGCTCGCCACACAACGACGGCATCACCGATCAGAACTACAAAGCCAAACGAAATCAGCCGTTCCGCCACTCATGAAGTATCTGATTAAAATTACACTGAGTAGGTCCAGACATCAGCTGCATCAAACAATTGCCATGGGAGCTCGACTCACTTCAAATGTGTAGATGAAAGTTTGGGCAACTACCCGATTATTTTGCTCGGTGTATATGTAACCCGAAAAGCGCTCGGAAAAGCTGCCTTGGGAGTCGACAAGCACCGCTTGAATAGGACCCAAAACATCGGCGATATCCATTGCCCACAAAGATGTTGACATCAGGAACATCAGTACGATCGTAAAAACCAAGGCGAGTCTGGGGTATGATCTTGCCCTGTCTCTCCGATTTCGACTAAGACAAATGAGTATAGAGAATTCTACGGTAAACGCATGAATTGCTTTACCGTAATAAAGTGCTAAGCACAGAGAACATGAGAATCAAGTACCCGCCTATTGAAGTATCATTAATCAAGCAGGTCCAGGTAAAGAAAGAAAGACCTTGCCATATAGAACACTTTCCAACACGAGCGCAGTCGTGGTTTGATACAATGAATCACTTAACAGATGAACGATAGCAGCATCGGAGGCCGTAGACATGTGGAGGAGACCAAGTGTGCTTGTAGGAAGGCAGCAGCCTTGCTATAAAACATTGAGCCGGAAGGAAGGGAACACCTAAAGGTACGTATTTCCGAGGGCCCCGATCATTCTGCGCGGCGCTCGTAAATGCCATTGTCAAGTACCATTGGTCTCGAATACTTTGGGCCTGCCTGGAAACTAAGCGGAGAGAAGTCTTCGTGAACGTAGCGCGCAGGAGGAACTGAATTGTTGAGAATTAGCTTTAGTAGCAGATGACCTAGAGTGGGAACGCCATGAACAACCGAGAATGGCATCGAAAATGACGAGAAGTGAAAAGCAATTCCGCATCCAGCGGAACGCTCACAAACCAGTGACGGCTTACCTATTCGAAGATGCAAGAAGAGGACCCTACAGTCAGATGACCCGTAGTGGGAAACGCTACGAACAACCGGGAATGACATCTAGCTCAACAAACTGAAGAGAAGTGAAAATTAATTCCGTATTCAACGGAATGCTCAGCTATTCTGCAACATTTCTTACCGAGGCTTACAGTTCGAGCTAGAGGAAACGCCTCCAAGCACCGCTTTGCACAATCGGTTCTTCCTGGGAACCGCTGTTTTGTTTTCCGAGCAGTTATTTTCGATTCAGGTATAGAGAAGGTCGGAGGAGAAAATTGAAGCACAGGAGAATCAGAGAAGGCAGGAGTCAGGCGACGTCAGTGCCGCGACGGCAACCTAGTGCTAGAAGAAACGAGGGGTAAGGCAAGGCCGGTCAAGAAATGAAGAAATTTTACTTGCCAAGCAAACAAAGAATGTGTATCCAATATAGATGCATCTATCAGTAAATAACGAAAAATGGGTATGTTCGTAACCAGTTGGTATACCATTACACGCCATTGTATGGCTTTAATAAGCATTATCAAACCACCCTGCGCGCGCCATTTCATCAGCCAATCCGTCCCAGTTTCGTCGGCGGGCTTTACGCCCCGCAAGCTCAGTCGCAAATCTATGAGGGAATGACCTAAGTAACAAATCGATCCTAAAAAAGAATAACCGACCGTAGACATTCATCTAGTCTCCAGCGACCCTTTTCGTGATCCATATTAGCAGGACGAACGTCTTCCCCGCCCGATGCGGGGGTATACGGAGGACCTGGCATTATCCGCCGACTCAAAGAATATATCATTCCCGCCACAAACGCGTCCTGCGCGCCAACCTCGTCAACGACGTTATCGTCGCTTTCAGGAACTTCTGTTCCTTGGGAGTCGTGGTCGGCATCTTCATTGTCGTCTTCCTCGGTCTGAGTTGTGTCGTATCTGTTACCATGACCTCGAGGCCGCGAACGTGACCTTGCTTGAGGCGTGCCGAGGCCAAGATGGCTCCGAGCATCACTACTTGTATAGTTGCCAGCGGTAAATGCACTAGATGAAGGCGTACGGCTGCGCCCGTCAGCCCAGAAGTCGCTTCCGCTTCTCACAGACAGCACATCGTTCACTTCACTAGAGTTGGCAGTGGTATTGGCCACTGTATCTCTTCTTCGAGGAAGAGGAGGGTGAGAATTGGAAGGGTGTCGAGCTGTTGACCGATCTTCTACCCATCCCGAGCTCTGGAAATATTCTCGGGTAGGTAAAGATAAGACAGCGGCACCTTCAGAGCCCCAATGCGCTACCAGCAATGCATGCGGAGGCGCGATACTCATGAAAGACAGCAGGAATGTTCGGGGCGTTGCGGCATAATGGGGTGAGTTTGCCTGAGCGTAATGCTTGTTAACAAACAGAACATCTGCATGCGGGATCAGCTAGAAGTGCAATATTAGAGCCGCAGAATCGAGATGAAAATAAAAGGCTCGGACTAACGGCTTCTACACCCTGTCTTCCTCTTCTTCCGACATCCACACTAAAGACACAGTGACTCCTCCATTTTCGTTCCCGTGCTAGACCGTCTAGACCAGTGATATTACTCAAAGTCGTTTTCACTGACCTGCCTTCGAAATGAAGCCAGTCAAACGGGGCAGGACTATTAGGATTAAACATGACCGGGGTCCCCGGAGTCCGTGGTGATGATTGGTTTGACATTGAAGCTGGCAAAGGTGACGCCGGTGGATGCATAGGCGACGCTGGAGACTCTGCCGGCGAGAAAAGTATGTAATTCTCTGGAGCCAAGAGAGGACCAAGAATTGAGACGAATTCCTCGTGAGTTATGTCCGGTAGAGGATTGTGGTTCACGATCGTACGCGTGTCATTATCGACTAAGCAATTACGTCCAGCAATTCTGTCCAAAGCTAAAGTCAAGTACGACGTACCGGCATGGAAGACCCAGGCACTGGGAACACCTGAGCCAGGCCAAATCTTGCAAAATCGCGTGCTGACGCCCTCCTTCTCCAGATCCCGAATTATCATGTTTCCTTCATCGTTTCCACCTAGGGGCGCGACGAGAGCCGCTTCGACATTTGAAAACTGGGCTAAAAGGGACAAAAGAGTGCTTGCAGAGCCGCCACGATTCTTTTCAACAGAATGAGCGCGAATTACTGAAGAGGGTGTAGGTTGACACGGTATGGATAACGTATGTGTCACAAAGAGAGTGCCCGACGCGACGATTCGCAACGGCCGTTCTGTAGAGGGGAAAAATTGAGATTCATGGGTATCCCGACGCAGTTTTGCCATGCGAAGGGTGGAAGATAGAAAGGAAAATATGTTTCCAAGGGTCGGATGGGAACAGAATGAAGAAGAGAAGAGCAAGCCGGTCTTCTGTGTTTCAAATTCATTCGCCGATCATTTACAAGCGAGATATTATCCGGAACCGGGTATTATTAGATTCTGTAGAGGTGATACTTTTGCAACGTCTGCTACGACATTTCTACATCGCCGTCATCGTCTTCACTGTCTAGGTCCTCCCATTCGCGTTCCTCTTCCTCTTCATCAAGCGGAGCTGAGGGCTGTATGCCAAGAGCTTCTAGCTGGCTGATTAATGTCTTCACATGATCCAGGAGCGGTATATCAGGGTGTCCTTCATTCACATGGAGCTGAAATGATGGTAAGAGGATACAAAATGTCTGATGGAAGGAGGACATTACCAATTGACACGTTTCTAAGCGATCCCGAGCATCTTTCGCCAATTCTTCCCAAGCCATATCCTTCAACTTGCCGCTAGTCTCCCGTGCTTGCTCGGCCATAAGAAAGTAACACCATCCTTCAAGATACCAGGCTTCAACTTCCTGGTCATCGGACAACATGACACCATGCAAAACAAGCAATGCTGGCGCATATAGCTCCAATTCGAGGAATAGTTTGGCCAATGATATGCGCGTAGCTATAGGCGGAACTCTGGGATCATCTAATTTTTGGATTAGTTAGAGGTACTGAGAAAACAGCAGGACATACCTAAATCCAGGTCCTTCCAAGCTGACCAGGCTTTCTCCAAACATTCTTTGGCCTCTTCTGGGCGCTGTTGCGACATACGCACAGAGGCCAGAGATTGGAGAGCTTCTGAATTTCCAGGATCCGTCTGCAGTGCGGTCGCCAAAAGGCTCTCACAGTTTTTCTCTGCATCGTCTTCAAAACTTAGAGATAGTAAGGTCGCTGTTCCTTAACACAAGGTACTCGAACATACCAGAGATCATACGAAGGATCCATCCATATCTCAACCTGACCGATTAAAGCGCGAACGATATTTGACTTGATTTGGGCCTCGTTGTCTAAATCATCCCCAGTTGCCTTGACCTTGCCTTTCAGCTGGCCCATGAGCGTATCAATGGCCGTTTGATAGTGCTGTAAAGCCAGCTTGGGCTCATCTTCGCAAAGCTGGGCCAAGCAAAGATGGGCAGATGGAGGAGGAGGAACAGTCGAATTTTCTGCAGCCGATATCATAGCAGTAAAGACCTGTCGACGCGACGTTGAGCATCGTCCGGCAAGGCAAGGAAAAGAACGAACCCTTTTCGCAGCATCTATATCTCCTCTTTCAAGTTCTACTACGCCAAGCATTTCTTGTGCTTCTGTGTTTGTTGGCTCGGTCTCTAATATTCGAAGGATAAATCGTCGAGCAAGATCATAGTCGCATTGGGTGACAAGGCTTTGTGCTTTTTCGAGAAGGGAAGAAATCGAAGGTCCTTTCTGAGGAAAGTCTTGAGGCGGTGGGTCAACTGCCTTTGACTTTGCCCTTTTCTTGGCTTTTGTCCGTCCCATGGTCGTTGAAGAGATGATGAAGAAATTTTCCAATTGGGAAGGTGAGGTCGTATTTCGGGCCGGATGCGGCGGAACTGTTCAACAAGAGCTTATTTTTCAAGTCGTGATTCTGGTCGTACAGATAAATTAGGACGAGTTAGAGTATTATATCCTGAATTTTCTCCTTCTACAATAAACATCCTTCGTTGAAAAATCGCTTGAAAGGCGAAAGGAAATAGTGGCCGTCACATGTGTCGAGCTATTGAACTTGCCTCTACACCATCATGTTTGAGTTCGATGCTCGAGCAGCCAGCCCTCAGCCAGCATCTGACGGACTTTTCGTCGAGCGATTCGAGGCCTTTATGGACAAGTCGCTTTCAGATATACAGACTTTTGCAACTCGTGAAAACCGGTCGTTCGAAGAGGTACCCACTTCTTGCAAGGCCTGCTTGTAAGAACTTACCACCAGGGCCAGACCCGACGCAGCTTCGCAGAATGGCATAGCAAATATCTATTCCAGTCGCACGTTTCGTTCTTTCTGGATACCAATGTCTCTCATGAAGAACGTCTGACATGTAGTGCGTTTCTTCAAAATTCTTCGGATGTCTGTTTTTTATTATTTCTTATGGGAAGCAATTTTCTAGTTAGAACGATCCTTTGCGATGTATCTGGACTTCTGGAGACATTGCACAAAATATCTGGCGTTGAATCATTCGTTCTTGCTGTGGATCCACCCGAACCAGGTTTTGAAGGGTTTCTTGGAGGATCTTTGCTCGGCCGTGAATTTTGGAGGAACCTTCGAGGCGGCGGTGATTCGGGCGCTCGAGCATTCCGGTTGCATTGTACAAAGCGCCTGGTATCACAGACCTCAGCTCAAGGCTCCTCTTTGAGCACCGATCCCGAAATCGTTCAACAAAAACCGGCTCTATCCTTGAAAGCGGAGCTGTACGAGAAGATGCGGAATGCTCTTAGGTGTGTGCGCCTTTGCTGTCCTTGATAACAATCTCTGATACTATGCGTGCTCAGGACAGCAAGCGGTATCCGAAATGCTGAAATGAAATGGACGAATCCAGATCGACTCGCCACGTATGGTGTTACCCTTGTGGGTTGGCCATCTACGGTACCGCTAGTTAATCCCTCCAGCCTCAAGGCCAGTCAAAATAAAGAGTTGTTGACCCTTCTTGAAAATGGGACGATGAAATTCGTGAGGATATACGTATCCCGAGAGCAAGATGGAGTGCAACCACCTGCGCCTAGTACGGAGGACGACCCCGATTCGTTTTCGTGGGCTATTCAGTTCGATGATGCTCCTGTGCCGGTAAGGTCGTGTGAGCCTAGTCAATCGACACGTTATTGATTATGCTTCCAAGGTCCTCGATGCAGCTATAGAATCGTCAGATATCGCGAAAAGACAGGAGTGTATGCCTGGACGTTCACGATCTCCAGAAGGACATGATGCGCAGGATGATCCTGGAGGACCGAGAAAACGACCAAAGTTATCAGAACATGCTATGGAACAGGAGTCAAATAATATATCGCACACGTTGCATTCCTTGCCTGCTGTAGATTAGCTATCTACGTAGTAATAAGGAAAAAATGGCTAGTAGAGGCCAGTCACTGAGTAGGCTGATCTGGGCGACATCAAATAAATACCGCGGGCCGAGGGTAATTTAGACTGAGGGCAGATTAAAAGACAGGTCATTCTCTTTCCTTGACCACCATGTTCTCTTCCATCTTTTCGTGAGTTTCGAGTATCGTACTCGCTGTATCTTCTAATATGCACCAGCACCTCGCCACCTATTGACGCCAAGGCGCCCAATTTCCGTCCTGTGTCGGAAGCCTTCAAGGAAGATGAGCTCTTTGGCGAACTGACCCCCAAGGACACAGAATGGACCTGTGCTAGCGGATTCATCACGGAGACACAGGTGTTCTATACGACGACTGAGGACGGCATTTCTCTTATGTGCCAAGTAATTCATTCGTCTGTAGGGTGCGCCTCTGTCCCCTGTATGTTACTGTTCTGCGCTGATGTTGGTTCAGCCTCTGGTACCCGACCATCCAGTTCACTTGCAAATGGCACAATCCCAAGACTGGCGAGACTGTCTGGAAGTCTATCAACGTATCCAACTTTGTTACACCACCTCCAGGCCTCGATAAACGATCCAGCAAGGCTGATCAGTTCTCCATCATCCACAAGGAGGCCCCTGGTACCGACTTCCCAGAATCCTACCTCATCACCGCCAATCTCTCCACTGACCTTCAAATCGGCCTTGAGATCTCTCGCCCTGCTTCCGTTCCCGGTTGGAAGCTAGGAAAGGGCGAGAAAGGCGGTTTCTCCTATTTCGGATCCAATCCTGCCAGCCCCGAAGGATATGTTGTCCATCGATTCTGGCCGCGCTTCCATGCGACTGGTCATTTTATTCACAAGGGGCAGGCTAATGTCATCAAGGGACCGGGAATGTTTGTGCATGCGATCCAAGGGATGCGAGTCGATCTTGTCGCATCCGCGTGGAACTTCGCCAACTTCCAGAGTGATGAGAACGGCGGCGTGTCTGCTATTCAGATGGAGTTTACGACAACCAATGCTTATGGAAAGCGTGGGTCTGGATCGGGGGGTGTTGTAGTTAATGTCGGTTCGCTTGTCGTTGGCGGCAAGCTGGTCTGTGTGACGGGCGAGACCAAGTGGGGGAAGGACGAACCGCCAGCTTCGAACGTCGTGTGCAGGGCTACCCATTCGAAGCATACCTTGGACAAGGACACCGGGTACAAGAAGCCTGGCGAACTTTTGTTTGAATGGGCGGGACCGTCTGTTCTCCCTGGTCAGTCAGGAAGTTATTCGGCAAAACTGTCGGTGGAAGTAGGAGATGTAGAGAACCCCAAGGGGTTGATTGAAAAGGTAGACGTTTTAGCGGAGATACCGTATGTTATCAAAGTGGCAGTGAACTATGTCGCTGGCACGAAGCCTTATATCTACCAGGTGAGGATTTATCTTTCCCTTCTATTGACCGATTCTGATATCCTTTATCAGTGGTTTAACCCTAGCAAGTTGACGATCACTGAGCCTGGATCGGATAAATCGGTTGAAGTTGATGGCATGTTTTACAACGAGGCTACATTCATTTCTTAAATTTTTACATTTGCAATCACACTGGATTGACACGTTCATGTTTTCTCTTTTACTTGCGATTGAAACGAAGATTTTCCCCTGATACGTGGCATACAATATACTTGAATGTAAACTGATATACATCCCATCTCTGCGCAGTAAAAGGCTGTTAAGGTGCCCTGAAGGGACCCTGTCATGACGCGGCTTCGGCATTGCCTGGCAGTTCTGGGAAACGGATATCTAATGCGCTTACGTCATTCTCGAATTTGTTTCAACGTCCACCAATTTCGTGGCCAAATAGATCTTGCTTTTCTTCACCTACAATGAACCATGTTGCGTTTACTCGCCCGACATCCCCCAAAATTTCCGTGTCCACGGCCGCCGCGTTTCCTTTCTGCTCATCGTCTGTCTCGCCTTCTAGCGCCGCTCAGTCCAGCCTCGGCTCTCATCCAGGCTAGCGCCCACCGTCCGCGGATACCGCCACTGGCGATAGCTGCAATGCACGGTTTTCATTCGACTCCACGGCGACAGGGCCTTCCGTTTTATCTACTTGCTTCGGTATTCAAGGTGAGTGTCAGCGTTCACGGCACATATACCCTCTCACCTGGTCCAGTCTAGGCGTCAACGACTCTTGAGATTGCACGAACTGCAGGTCGAATTGTCCTCACTTTTGTTCCTGTTATCCTCCTCAAAAATCACAAATCACGAAAGTACCTAAAGTTTGCTGATATCAAAGGCATTCCAACCTCAGAGGAGAAGAAAACGCAGCTTCTGAAGAGGATACGAAACCGCACCATTCTATTCCATATTTTATTGCTTATCCCAGCGAGCTTGTTCTGGCTCACAATCATTGCTAGCATGGAACGCACTCCGTTAACGGGACGGTACGCAGATGGTTATCCGATATTGCAATTTCTTTTCTAACTTCCCTATTACCAGATGGCGCTTGATCATCTTATCGCCAGAGGAGGAGGATGATATAGCTACCCAGCTAGCAGGTCCTGGTTGGTATAAAGCAGTCGACGATATTCTTGCTCAGGACGGCCCAACACGGTACATACCTCCTAGTGATTGGAGGTACGAATGGATCAGGAACACTCTACGGAGTCTGGAGGGAACGCTCCCCATTCTGATCCAGGAGCGAGAGTTGTGTCCCGACTGGGTGGAACATGGACCTCATAATCAACCGTTACCACCCCCAGCAGAATACCCTTTACGACCCCGACCTCGTGCCTCAGAAACCCTCCGGCGAATGTGTTCAGCGATGTGTGAGCGTACTGCTCCTCCTATACCACATGCTGTTGCCGGTCCGCCTTATTCCCTGTTGGTTGTGGATAAACCGGAGGCTTCTAATGCGTTTTCGTATGGTTTTGGTCCCGACGGCGGCGGGGGTATCGTCGTCTACTCAGGGTTCATTGACGAGATACTTGCGAGATCTCCTTGTGATTCCGTCACGGTCCCTGAACAGCAATCTTGGTGGTCATTGCTCCTTGGCCGCTCCTCTTCCTCTTCACATCCAATTCCCTCTGAGAGACAAAAAACAGAGATGGCAATTCTTCTAGCGCATGAACTCTCTCATCTCATACTCTCGCATCACTTGGAAACGCTATCGTCAGGAACCGTAATCATACCCGGAACATTGTCCATTTTGTCTGATGTCCTGCGCGTATTCATATTTCCCTTTACCATGCTTTTCGGTCCTTTCGTCAACGACGCCCTTGCTCAGTTGGGTAGGGTTGGATCTGGAGAGTTGGTCAAGGTCGGAGATTATTGTACCAGCGTTGCACAGGAGATCGAAGCAGACGTTGTCTCTGCAAGGTAAACTCTTCTTGTCTTCTATGCCAATTTGCGGCCGCTGACATCCTTCAAACAGACTTCTCGCTCATGCTGGCTATGACGTGCGGGAAGCTGTCAGCTTCTGGGAAGAACGTGCCACCTCAGCCACCGAATGCGCCCACGCTGAGTCCATTGATGGCGCAACAACCAAGGCGGACTCGTTGGCTCGACGCATCATGGGCGCTAGTCATCCTATGAATGAGGTGCGCGTGGATCGTTTGAAGTCCGAACTGGTTCGATGGGAGACTGAGCGCCGAGCTGCTTTGCTGAAACGAGAACACGGCGCGCAGGAGAGTAGTATCGTTCTGGCGGCAGCATGATCATTGGGTGGTTGGGGTTCATTGCATATTTCGGACTGATTGCAAGCTCTCATTGATATCTTCACATCATCTTGTTTATTCATTTTCTGTATTTTTATAGTCACAGTTTTACTTGTACTGCAGCTGATATTACAGCCTTTATAACACCTACTACAACACTCGTTTCAATCTCACCCTCCTCTCAAGTATCAACACAAACTTTCACATGTAGACTTGTATTTTACCGCCACTGGTCTCCTGGATTATTCGGAAACTGAGTACCTATCTAATTAGCCGCTCCAAACTATACCAATGCCCTGCTGTCTTCTTAACTCGTTCTTCTCCGTACCGCTGACTCTCTTCCTGTATGCTTCACCGTATAACACCTGATATTCCGCCTCCGTCCTATATCGCAATATGTCATAATGACTGGCCCTAGTCATAGCGACATCCCTTTCTGTATGACTTCTCCCAACGACCACAATCTTGCCTCCAGAAGCCTCGAATGATTTTAATTTTGGTTGCAGTCGCGAGGTCTCCGCTCCATTAAGGTAGACTGTTACCCGTTCTGGCAAAATGCACGCTTCATGGAGAAGATAACGCCTCGCTTGTGCATCTATTCCTCTAGATGGACCGACTATGAAATGGTGGTTCTCTTCCGCCGCCGCGCCGGAGGAGAGGCACGTAGTGTGTATTAAAATGGTCCGTGTCGGACTCGAGCGGTCCGGAGATGAAAACGATTTTTGGCTGGGCTGAGGTGGGTAACTTTGGTGTTTGCATGTCGAGATCGATTCCGGACGTGTGAAAGTGTTTTTTGGGAAAGTATGGATTCGTCACGCATTTCCGGGGAAAATATGGCATTTTGAACAATCGAGGAGTCATAGTAGGTCATGGCAAGGATCTGTGGTTCATTGTCAAACGTCTAGGAGCCGAAATTGGAATCGAAGCAGCGTGCAGCACCGTAATAAAGATTTCGAGAAGTCAGGGCATGCCTGCCTGCCCAAGTCAAGACCTCGTTTCATTCAAAAGTGACAATACAAATGTTCTACGGTTTACAGGATGTGGGTATCTTGATGGTCAAACGGAGCATCTAGGGAGAAATTCATCAACTCCAACCTACGCTTTGGCAATTGCGTTGCATTGCGTCTGCTGGTCGGTACAGGCAGCGACAGTCAAACCGCCTTGGTTTCCGGTAGCGTTCGCCTGGTTAGCACACTGGTTATGTTGAACGTCGCTGAAGTAGTCAAGAATTTATTAGCAGGTTACGTTGTGGGACGAAAATGTGTTCTCACCAAGACCGACCCAATGCGTCCTGGACGGTTTTGAACTCGGAGTTGCCTTCGACTTGGAATTGACCATCACTGGCTGCAGTTACTGCTGGGGCTGTGACCCCGCCGAGGGCACCAGTAAATGTCTGAAGGTTGGCACCGGAGGTGGAAGCAGCTGTACTTGTCGCAGCAGCAGCCGCAGCGGAAGTCTGAAAATCAATGTCAGTTATCTATCAATAATTCTGCCAAGAAATGCACTCACCACGGTCGTTGCGGCGGCGGCTTGGGTGGTAGCCGCCGTAACAGCAGCATTGGTTGTCGCACTATTAGCTACTGTGCTACCAGTGGCCGAACCAGATACGGTGTTTCCTTGATCGTCGACAACGGCAACAGCCGCAAAGTCCTGTCATTCATTCAACTTCCTTTCTATGTGGCAATAAAAGACACAGCTCGACTCACAGTCGTGATACCAAAAACGGCATTGAAGGCGTCGGCTTGACCACCGGTCTCAGCGGGAGCATTGTTGACGGCATTCTCAGCTGTTGCACAAGTAGCCTTTGCAGTTGCATCTGCTCCACAGGAATTGACGAGCTGATCACAGATAAATTGGGTGATGATTCCGATGGCCTGTGCGGATCCATGGTTATATGATTCTACAGTGCTGGCGATAAGTGTAGGCCAGAAGCACAGGATTAGTACTTACGAAGATCAACAGGTTCAAAACTAGTTTCTTTACGGCCATCAAATCCGACGCCAAATTTGATTTGAGGAACTGAACAAGAACCAAAGTTTCCAATGGACGTTGAAGAGGTCGATGTTGACGTTGATGTTGACTGCGATGCAGATGAAGCATCTGTAGCAGCGGCTACGGACGTGGCAGAGGCAGTAGCGGGAGAATCACTTGCACTAGCGGTGCTAGTAGTGTCAGTACTATTTGAGCTGGAGCCCGTCCCTGCGACGATATTCCCCTGGTCATCGACAGCGGCAACGGATGCGAAATCCTGTAGTACAACCTAGCTTTAGTATAACATCACGCAAGTTGGGGGGTGAATATCATACAGTTGTGATACCAAATACGGCATTGAAAGCATCAGCCTGGCCACCAGTCTTAGCGGGAGCATTGTTGACAGCATTCTCAGCTGTCGCACAAGTAGCTTTTGCAGTTGCGTCAGCACCACAGGAGTTAACGAGTGTATCACAAATGAACTGAGCGATGATTCCGATCGCCTGAGCGGAACCGTGATTGTAGGATTCTGAAGACCGTTTCAGAAGGGAATTATTTAGTGGATGGAGGTGAAGCCACGTACGTTTATCAACAGGTTGGAAGCTGGTTTCTTTGCGGTTATCAAATCCTACACCGAATTCAATCTGGGGGACTGAGCAGGAGCCAAAGTCGCCGATAGCAGAACTCGAGGTGGATGTAGGTGTCGCTGTTGCGGAAGTGCCAACGGATACTGTGACGGCGTCAGAGGCTGTGGTTGTAGCGCTGCCAGAGACTGTAACTGTGACCACAGACTAAAAACAACGGTCAGGCGTGTTTTACAGGTGTTAGTGAGCTCACATACGACACACGGAGATACGGCCAAGACGCCAGTGCCAGAGACTTCTGTTGCAGAGTCGGTAGCCGTGGCGGTCTCAGTTGTTTGCGCAGTCTCACTAGCCGTACTTTCGGTTGATGTGCTATTGGTATCACTAGAAGTACTAAGAGTAATGCAGGATATCAGAATGATACTCTTCTCAAAGAACACCGGCAGAGTACCCACTTGGTTCCGTTGGTTCCAAATGGGAAGGTATTGGCCTGTGAGCCCAACTTGACAGTAGCACCGAGGGCAGGGTCAAAGAACAAGTTAGGATCGTTGGCAGGATCCTGAGCTTGTACTAAACCGTTCAGCTGGGAATTCTTGGGTGCAGTTTGACAAAAGACAGAGTTGCGAGGCGTCGGAGGTTGAGTTGAGAAATCCTATGACGCCTAAGATAAATAACGGCAGATATTTGAGAGGGTGAAACTTACCGGAGGGGTATTCTTCTCTGCTTGACGATATTCAATGGCTAATGCTATCATGTTTGCTTGCGTATCTGCATCAAACTGGGCAGCGGCGTCTAGGTCATAAAAATTAGATGCTTCGTTAATCGCGGAAAAAAAAAATCAAATATATATACCGATGATTTGATCGGCCATATCTTGCTGAGAGCACTCTGGCTGAGCGGCCAACAAGGGAGTAATGGCAGCACCAGCCAGTGTGCCGCAAACCTGTCCTGGACAGGCAGCACTGAGTTTGTCTATAACAGCTGGATGCTCTTGTCCAAAACGTCGAGGATGAAGAAAGACAGCCCTATTGTCTCTCTCTAGCCATTTCAGACGGCCAAGAACCTCCCCTGAAGATGCAAGTAAAGTGATTGCCACGAATCCGACCTTTGAGAACATGACTGAATAGCCACAAGTGAAGAACGCTTCTCAGAAGGATTTTAACGAAAGTGTGTGGGCCGGCCGGCGAGAAATGAGAGGGAAGAGCAGGCAAAACAGAGGACACCTGGTCGAAAGAAGGAAAGGATAGAAAGGCCGTCAACGACACAAGTGAAAATCTGAACTGAAAGAAACGAAGGTGGGGTTCACAAGAATAAAGCCCAGACTTATATACCTTTCCCAGAACTAAGTAAGACATCAGTCCTTCGTAATGGTGCCGGTTGCTTAGCCATCTCACAAGATCCCGGAAAACCATGCGACAAATGAATGGATAGAAAACGCGAGGTTTATCCGAAGACGAGCGATTCGCGGAACTGGACCTGGATGATGGTCTCCAGGTTGTTCTGGCGACCGGTCCTGGAAACTGGTTTTGTTCAATCCACCCTTCAGAAGCAACAAAATGTGCGTAACATGCAGGAGAGACTGCCAAAAAGGACAAGGTCTCCATGTCAATAACTATACGAATAGCTATAGCTGCTATGGATGAACGAAGCCTTGGAACTAGATCCATCATGAGTTATGCGGGAAGTCCCTGGGGTGGATGTAACCAGGAGTGGTTTACCGCACAGTCATCAGAACTGATTAGCAGAAGATCTTGATCGAAAGCACGCGTTGAGCGCAAGGTGCACTAGGTTTTCGAACAAGGGGCTGCAAGGGGGAAGGAAAGTCGATAATTAATTGTGCCTTGCGTGCCTGGAGAACGATCAATTTTGGTAACCGTTTCCCAAGTATGTTCTCTTACGCGAGGCCCAGCTAATCCACACATAAAAGAATTTCTTAGGTAGAAATTAATAGCGAATATCATGACTCCTGGTACCAACATATCAATACTGTAGCGTATCTAATTATTGACAGCGAAGGTTCAAGGTGTCTGCCACCAGCGCACCAGTGTCTTCCACTCTTCCTTCCATTCCTCGGCGCTGTTAGTGGGGACAGCCTTAGTATTATTGTCATCCCTTGTGCCAACGAAGTCGAACCGGCCCAAGCCGGAGTGTATGGTGCCTTTCAGTTTCCCACCTGATAGAGGCACAATGCGAGCAACATCAAAGCTGTCTTCGTCACCTGTAATTTCACCTTCACCAGTCTCACGCGCGCGCCACGAGAACGACACAGCTTCGTCAGCTCTCAAGGAGACGGGGCCATTGGATCGAAGAATACCTCGAAAACACCAAAGTCAAACTTCCCCCAAAGCTGAGATGTTTTCTTGGAAGCACAGAGCTTCAAGACCATTTTGTAGCTGGCACCTCGAACTTGTACCGGGTATTCCTTTTCAACCTTTGGGGCTATGATGGCATATTTTTCTGCGACTTGAATGGCTGCATCTTTCTGCAGAGGAACAGTTATTACTTTGTTTTAAGCACGCGCCATCATTCATACCCTGATATGTTTTGGTTTAGCCTTTGAGGAGCTTTGATGGGACGCAGAATCTCGCGTCTCAAGCTGTGAACGAGCCCCTTCCAGCTTGAGAGGCTCCTCCAACCTTTCTGAATCCTCCATGAGATCACGAATAGCATTTGTAAGTTGCTGTTCTAGTAACTCGGCAACTTGCTCAGCAATCTCCTGTATAAGGGAGTAAATGAATAGATGTTCGACGTTAGTACGGGACACGCCGTGCCTACAATATCTCCTCCTCCTCCCGGTCTTCTTCTGAGGTCTTCGTTTTAATCTTGTAACGATCCATTACATCTGTGAGTATGTCCAATACCTCCTCGAGGTCAACCGAGGTGGATAAAGTAGCCGCAACACGGTCATTCGACATCTTGACAACCTCTTCTAGAACTTCTTCAACCGTGATGGTGTCTGGATTGGGTAGCGCGACATCTGGTCCCAAAGCCATAATCTCTTCAAATAGCTCTTGGTTAGGGGCCGGCTTCAACTTCTTGTTTCGAACGAAGCTATCTACGACAGTTTTTTTATTCCCGCACGTCTCGGTAGCCTTATCCTTCTGTTCGAACTTGGCCTTCAAATCAGCTTCGAGTCGTAGGATCCTATCAGGCACTGCGAGAGTGTTGTCCTGATCAAAAGCAGAAAGGAGCAGGCCTTTGGCTGCCTTCTTTACGGTCACAGGCTTCAGACCATAATGGACTAGCTGTGCGCGATAGAAATGTCCGGGACGGTCTTTAAACGGCGGTGGCTGGCGCTTTGCCAGTGTTCCAGATTTAGTATACACTGGCGGAGGATCGACATGCGTCAGTAGTGCATGAAGAGAATCAGAATCTTCGCGATAGTGCCTGATTGAATCTACTTCGACGAATAATCCGTGTCCGTCATAGAAAAACCCGTCGCGTGAAACAGGTGAAGACGATGACTCAGTAGAAAGTGCCGTGTCGGACTCGGAATCTCTACGGCGACGAGGCATACCTGCATGGTTGTTTGAAGAAATGTGCAGGCGCCAGACGTGCACTTTGACGAAGGTGGTAACAAGCCAAGAGTTAGTTGCTTATCTATCAAGCTACTTTAACTTAACCGTTCTACCACGCCACTCGCGTCCATGTCACCACACGTGATAATTCTGTCACGACATCGCTTTTTACAAATATGTGTCAATATTCCTTTTATATTACCTACACTAAGGCTTCTAATTGGACCGACACCCCTCTACTACCCTCTTCTCCTCATGGCTGGCGATTCATTCACCCCCCTCCCCGCCTCCAAGCTGGGGGAGTATACCGTTATTAAAGATATCGCGGAAGGAACCTTTGGAATTGTGAAAAGTACGGCGGTTACTTGGTGCCAGCGGCTTCAAGGCTCATTTTATCCTTTTACAGTGGCTATCCATACAATTACCGGACACCGTGTAGCAATGAAGTACATCTCAAAAAAGGCCATCAATCGCGAGAAGACAAAGACTCGAGTTCGCCGAGAATTTGAGTATATGCGAGCTCTACGGCATCCTCATATCATTAAATTGTACGTCTGGTATACCTTTTTGAATACCTCCCCATCTGATTATCTGCTATTATAGGTATGAAGTCATCTCTACACCAACAGATATCATCTTCGTTCTCGAATATGCAGGTGGCGAGCTATTCAATCATATAGGTTCGCGGCACCTTGTGATCCATGTTTCCATTGTGCTTTACGTATGCTCTAGTCACCCACGGAAAAATGAAAGAATCCGAAGCTCGACGATTCTTTCAGCAGATAATTTCGGGCATCGAATACTCGCATCGTCTCAAGATTGTTCATCGTGACCTCAAGCCTGAAAATGTTCTCTTAGATGATAACCTTAACGTGAAGATCGCCGATTTTGGCTTATCTAGCGTAATCAGCGATGGCGATTTTCTTACCACCAGCTGTGGGTGAGTAAGCGACTAATACTACCCTTTTGTTGCTGAGAATCTTCTCAGGAGTCCAAATTATGCCGCACCGGAAGTCATCCGTGGAGGAATCTACGCTGGTCCAGAAATTGATGTCTGGAGCTCGGGAGTCATCTTATATGTTATGTTGTGCGGGAGATTGCCATTTGAGGACGATAACGTCCAATTATTGTTTAGCAAAATTAGCCGTGAGTATCTGTATCTTTCTGGCTGCGCCCGTTCTGACCTTGTACAGAGGGCATTTACTATATGCCTCCCACACTCTCCCCGAATGCCCAACATCTCATACATGCCATGCTCGCTATCGACCCTGTGAAACGGATAACTATCGCTGAAATATACCGACATCCCTTTTTCACTACCGATCTGCCTCGATATCTATCTCCTTTACCACCGCCCCCTGGACCCGTACTTGGGACGCTCAAATCTCTTGTCTCCCCGCCGATAAAGCCCGTGGACTTTGAAGTTGTTGAGGGTTTTGGCCGGATCGAGCAAGACATCATCGAAGGTCTCGTTGCTCGTATGCAAGGTGTCACCAAAGACGATATACTTGAATGCTTAAGGAGGGATGATGGAGCTCAAGGAAATGCTGTTAAGGTCGCGTATCTATTGCTCAGGGATAAGCAACACCTTGGAAAAGATCGTAAGTGTGATACTCAAGTGTTGTGGTTCTTAACACGAATCTACTGTTTAGTTGCCGAATTCGCTGAAGAGGAGCGTGATGCCCAGGAAGCTGCATTAGATGTAAGTTCTGTTCTTGATATTGATTGTCCACTTGAAACCCTCCTTCAGCCTCGAAATGCGCTCTCCCCCAATGCTTTGTCTCCCAGCGGGGCCGAGACCCAGGAAAATCCCTTCGATGCCGAATTCAGCGGTCAGACGGATGAAGATGATGAAGACGAGTTGTCAGATTCCGATCTTGAATATGAGCAACCGATGTCAGCGTCAACGTCCACCAATTTTGCAGTCCTGAATTCCTCCCTTCCACCAGATCCTTCTGCATCCACGCATCATCTCACCTCCTATGCTTCAGCGAAGCAATCAGCCGGAAAGGAGAGAAAACCACACAAAGCAACGCAATGGCACTTCGGAATCAGGAGTAGGAGTCCCCCAATGGAAATCATGCTCGAGATTTACAAGACTCTGCGAATGCTTGGGATGGAGTGGAAAGAGAAGAAAGACTTAGGTGGTTTGGCTGGGGTGACCGTGCGTCCAGGGGCCAATGGAAGGATAGAGCGGGTCAAGGCTTTAGACGGAGGTGGAAACGTGGATCACAGAGCCGCCTCGTCGGTATATTTCGTTGAGACAAGAGCGCGCACCCAAGATGTTGTCGTGAGTATTCTATATGGTTAATGGTGTCTTGATTCTGATGGAGCGATGACAGGTCTTGATGAACCTTCAGCTGTATATGGTTGATTCGATTAACTATCTCGTCGATTTCCACCATAAGAAGACCTATAAGGCTTCAACAGAACCTAATGCTGGCAGGTTCGATGTAGCCCCATCACTTAAGCGCACTGCCAGTGGCGAGTCGATCAAAGTGGAGAACGGGTTCAAAGAAGATGACGTCGTGTCACCGTATGTGTTCATGGATGTAGCGTGCAGGTTAATCTTAGCTCTGGCGAGAGGCGGGGAATAGTTCGTAAGTTGGCTGAAACGTTTATCAACATACTGGATTAATACGCGAGGCAGAGGGGGGCAAGTTACATTCTGCCTGGAAAGCTTTATTTATACCACTTTTAGTGGATCTGGTAATGTCGACTGGTCGACTAGGGTTGCTTTGTTTAATGCATTGTGTAGCTTTAATAATGTCACGGGTGGAGGGTTTCGCATATACACACAGAAAAGTGAAGTTACTAATGCCCGTGTGTCCAGAACACAAGTTGGGAACGTGTGATTGTTTTTGGTCAGGTAATTTGGGTTTTACGATCCTGATTGCCGCCAGCATGAAAGTCGGAAGACAACAGACATCATATCTTGATGTCCTTGCATGTGTTGTACCTCGTTACCTCTGACAGTCATAAGACGTGCATACAGAAAGTACGGGTCGGCTTTGATCTATCCACGGTACAAATCGGAATCAACTCCCTTTTGTCTGGGCCATTGAATTCTTGACTAACGCATTCATGCCTACGGCTTGTATCGATACTAAAGGCACCGAGTATTCCTTCACGGACAGCGGTCCTGTCGTTGGTTCTTCTGACTACACGACTCTGGTGATATATCATGGAACTCTATTCAATGGAGGTATGGGTAACCAACTGAAAGTAAGGAGGCTCGATTAACGCGCCGAACAGAAAGCTTCCGAAAACTTTTCCCGCTCCTCGATACAACGCTGGAGAATATTCGCCTGATCATAATCAGTCGCCGAAGCTACCGAGGAACCACCAAACACACCGACGCTGAAATAGCAAGCTTGGCCCAGGGGAGCACTGAATTCTTGGAAGTGCTGGCCCAGGACGTAGCCAATTTCCTGATCTGGGTCATCAACAATCTAGACATCCCTAAAGTTGGCGCCGACCGCAAGTCGGGCGGTCTGGCGATCATGGGGTGGTCGGCAGCGACATCCACGACACTGGCTTTGTTGGGACAACCTCAAGCAATACCGAGGGAATCATACGACAAGATTGAACCATATCTTCGCAAGCTTATCATCTATGGTGAGTGCACTTGTCCATAATTCTCAATGACGCTTAAAAAGGTCAGACTCCCCCCTCATGTCCTTTGGCTACGACTTCCCTCCGGAAGCCTACAACCCGTTTATCGACCAAACATCCTTCACATCACCACAGGAGTGGCTCGATCACCTGAATACTTGGCTCAGCGGTTATTATAGCCACCCCGATACTTCATCTCGTGCATTATCCGGATTGGATACCACTAGCAAACGTACTAATCAAACAACCATGGACACGTTGACGGATGGAGAGAAGCAGACCTTCATTGAGGTCACGGCGGCGGCTACTGGAGCTGACCTTGGTGCTACTCCTTACCCTATCATTCATGGTGTCGTGAAGGAGCAGACAAAGCGTGCGTTGTTCGATGCAGAAATCTTTCAGGACGTACTTCCTCTGGTAACCATCGAGTATATCGCATGCTTGAAAACAAACTGGGTGTGTCTCTGGGCATTTTTTGAGACGGAGAGAATATATGAGGAGTTGGTTGCTGAAGGCAAAAAGATCCGACCAGCCCATTTCATCGCGATCAAGGGTGCGAATCACTTCGTACGTCTTGCGCATGCGGTCTGCTATTCTTTGATTTGACCACACCGGGCAGGTCCATTTTGATGCTCCAGAGGAATTCGGGGCAGCTATCGCGGAAGCCCTGACGAAATGAGCATCTAGGGAATGCATTGATAATTACCAGAGCAATTGATGAATCGATGAATCTCTGTTGCCTCAAACGAGTCCCGTCAATTTGTATTCGGATAAGCGAATCCGTAATTGACCGTAATTGCCGTAATTTCCCGAGTACGTCGACAAACGATTTCCAGGTTTTCCTCAACAGGTCCTTGGCTAATGCCTAACGTCACCATTAAGTGATAGGGTATTAACATGGAAAATTTTATGAGGATGTTAATTTCCACTGTGCGATTACTCAATGAGCACAAATTCGATATGACATTTAGTGAGCGTGTGCGTGTGCAAGTGCTTCTTCGTAACCTTCCTCGAGCTGAAGAGCATATACTGAATGCTTCATGAGCGGCACAGGCAAGATGAAGATGACTATACGACTTGCCTGAACCACATTCGACACATCGAGCCAACTTATCCTTCTTCACCTCGAACCAGATGACATCATGAGAGTCAGCGGGTGAACCAGTGCACCCAACGATACGAGCAGCGGCCTGATCAACGTCAGCGAAGAGAGAAAATACGCGACAATGATAAGACATACGGTCGCAGGGACTAAGATGGGGTTGGCCTTGGTTCCAATACGGCTGGAGTCAAGGGGCTCCTGGTCAAAGACGTTGAAGCCTTCGATGTCACCGAGAAGCTGGAGACGCTCCAAACCGGTGGCCTGGTCGTAGCTAGTTGGGACTTCACCAGGCTTTACACCAGGACCGAGGAGTTGGGGTGGGGGGTCACCGTGAGACGACGCGACCTGGGAGGATGCGGTAAAAGTGCGAAGAGCAGATACAGTAGCAGGCTTGAATGCCCAGGTAGCCTGACGGGCAGCAGGACGAGCAATGGCGGCGGCTCTCGACAACATGGCGGGGTCAGTGCAAGCTGTTTGTCACGCTCGTCACGCTGGCGGCGGAGAACTCCGCTGGGCTGGCCGAGAACCCGCCTCGACTGAATTAGTTCATTTTGCGACCCTTATCCACAATCTTAGCGCTTTCTTTCAATTTCTTTCCCTTTAAACTTGTCGGCGACCGAACGAAAATTGGCAGACAGCATCCTCGGGACCCTGTTTATGATGTGTTCCCTTTTTACCGCGCGCGAAGGCTATGTGGGGCAACGCGGCGAACAAGGTGCACCAGGTAACAGTATCACCGAGGTAAAAGGTTAAAGAAACCAAGATAAGTATGACATATTCTGCGCGTATCCCTGTTTCTACTTACTGCGAGCTGTCGTTGTCGTTGGAGAAGAAGCCGACAAAAAAGAAGCCTGCAAAAAGAATTTGCCATCAATTTATCAAATCATTGTCCATTATCCAAAGTCTATTTTTAGTCACGAAGTGGTTCTTTAGAGACTTGCTTGCTTGCCGTCATCTGCCTTTCTCTCCTTCTAACCGCAGTCACTGGTCGGTGCTGGCACTCACTACAGCTGCCATGTATAATCCTCCTAGCAGTCTCGCCTATCCTTCAAATATTTCTCCTCCACCGCCGCTCTTTCTTTCTCAGTCCACCTCCGAAACTAGTATCGCAGAAATGCATACAGACCAGCGCGGCCTCCCGCTTTTCACGCCTTCTGGATCTCAGAGCAGCTTTGTACCTCCGGGCTTTTGGAAGAAACTCTTCAAGGGCTGGAGAGTGATTATCTTTCGCTCCTGTGCGTGTCATTGCTCCCCAACGTATACGACGCGCTTATTCAACCGAACAGGGCTGAATCTTCTTCTATTCCTCATTCCAGTGGCAGTAAGTATGTCATCCTCTCCCTCTGCCATGCCTAAGATATCGTTTTCTCTATAGTACGCCCTCAGCGTTACGATGGAAGAATCGCACAGCCTAGTGTTCGGCTGTAAGTGACCATGCCACTCAGGTTTGCACCTTCGTTGATGGATGATGCTCCACAATAGTTTGTTTGCTCGCCTTGGTTCCTTTGGTTCAGGTAGACATAAATCATTCTACAACACCGCCTTCTTACATTGCTCCAGTTGCACGAACTCTCAACCGCGGAATTGGTCTGCCGTATTGGCGGGTCGAATACTGGCCTGATCAATGCTAGTTTGGTGAGTCATAAATTTAGCTGCAAAATTTAGAATTTAACGCGAATTACAGTCAAACATGTGAGCGCTTCTTTATTTCTATCTTTAGAAACTTATTGATTTGTGCCGAAAGTGTCGAACTTGTCGTTGCAGTACGTCGAGTATCAATTCTAAATTTACCTTTCTTATTCTTGGTTTAGATTATCGCGCTGCGGAAATGCGAACTTCGCGTCCTCCAGTCCACTCGTAAGATCTTCAAATGTCCCGCGTCAGGTAGACTCTGACTGGCATCTCAAGTTGTGGGCTCGATGTTGAGCAAGCTCTGTCTGTGCCCTTTTCAAGTTCGTTGCCCATTGACTCATACATGCGTTTCAGTACTTGTACTAGGGATGTGCTTCTTTGCTGGAGGTTTACGTTTTACCGAACAGGGTTTTGATCCCAGTAAGTTCTCCGGCTGCACAGTCAGCCCTGATTCACCGTTCTATCAACAGCGGCAAATCAGATTCATTCGTCGTTACTGAGCATCAGCGTTGGCGCAGTCCTGCTGCCAGCAGCGTATCACTTTGCGCTCGGCGACGACGACCCCATGCCTGACAGCCAGAAACAGAATATTCTAAGAATGAGCCATGGCGTTAGTACCACTTCTATCAGTGTTTTTCAATTTCTAATTAAGCGTCGTCAGGTTTCCCTTGTCTTAATGTCACGTAAGGACGCCCTGTCGCTTTCCTTTGACTTTGTGTTTGACAACCACTCTAGTCTATACCGCATACCTTCTATTTCAGCTCTGGTCGCATTCCCATTTGTACCGGGATACACACAAGAAGAGTATCAAATTAACTACGAAGGTACCTTCCCCTGCCTCATTCTTTCGGAAACCGCGACAGAAAACCGAGTCCTCGCCATCTCTGTCTGCTTGTGCATCAAAAGATAATCTTCCTCTCGAGTGCCTGAACAGTTATAATAGTGCGTCTACGGCCGTTTTTCTCTCGTGTTTGTTGGTCTTACTCAACCTTACACTTCCCCAGATTTGCCATACCATGGAACCCCCTATGCGACACAATCTGAAGTTACACTTACCAATACTCAACCTCTGGACACCCAACAGGGTTGCTCTGTTCGACTAGTTGGCGCTGGCGTTCCCATGTCCAGGGGCCCAACTACTGATAGTCGTAGCTTCAGTGGGTCCACCTATCATGAGAGTCCCGAAATGGACCAAGACAGCTTCAAAGAAGTCGATTTAAAGGGCGATGAAGACATGAACGGAGCACGTCCAGTATCCCCTGTATCAACTACCGCTTCAGGTCAGCGAGAACCGCAGCTCAGCATTTTTATGACACTTCTTCTACTGTCAATTGTTACCGTGGTGCGCGCGCTTGTGGATTTTCCGTATCCCCTATTTTGACCCCAGTTTGGCAGTGTGTGGCATTCACTGCCGATTGGTTGGTAGAGGCTATGAATGGCATCTCGACGACCATCAGCAAAGAATGGGTTGCCCTTATCCTCCTTCCGGCTGTGAGCTCTCTGGCAGGTTGTAATCGGTGGTTTTATTTTTGTCAACAGCATATTGACCTGTTGATTAGAATGCGCCACCGCCATCAACGTCTCGTACAGGGATCAATTGAATCTCAGCATCTCTGTGGCTGTTGGCTCTACAATTGTCGGTGATTCTATTTGAACAATCAAAAAGTGAAACTGACGCTCTGCACGCTTGCCAATATAGCAAACTGCGCTATTCGTAATTCCGTGAGTTATTCAGCTGGAATGTTTGATATGACGTCTAAGCGCAAAATTTTCGCCTCAGATTCATGGTGACCGTGGCTTGGATAGCCGGCAAACCTTTGGCGCTTCTATTTGACCCTTTCGAGTCACTGGTGCGTATTTTTATAGATTGCCTTGCGTATGGAGACTAAGCTTTTCATAGGTTCTTTATATTTCTGGTTTGTTCTAAGATTTTTTCATATCCTGAACCAGGGTATTGATACCAATGCGTAGTACAGACTATGACGTACGTTGTCAGCGATGGAAAATCTAATTGGCTGGGTACGTTTCCAGAATATTTAAAAACTTTCACGTTTCTGAACCCGACTCGTATTTATAGAGGGTATCATTCTCATAGGTATGGACTCTCCATTATCTGTTTAGAGTGTGAATTGATCCTAGTGCTTCCGTAGGCTTGTACATTATAATCGCGGTCTCTTTCTGGTATTACCCAGGTATGTCAGTGCACCGTCTCTCTTCCAGCCACTGAGCAGGAGGTACAGGCTCTACGCTTCCGAGTTCCTTGGCAGCTTGTCACGCCGATCTTTCCGCTCTGAACTGAAGCGTAAAACCTATATACTATCCATTCTCTTCTATGCAAGTATATATCGAAAAGTTGGACCCTTTGTATCACATTCCTTAGCTTAGAGTAGAAGTAGATTTAGAGTAGAAATATAGCCACAATCGTTTTCTTTGCTCACCCACTGTACTATACCCATTCTATTGTCGATAGCACCCTAACATTGGCTAGGACCGTAATACACATGGATTCACAGACATATATTTAGTATGACGCTATGCCGTGTGTGATATTAAAGGTCAATGGGGGATTTGGAATTATAGGAAGCTCAAATGGGGGGAAACTAGCTGCCATGAGATCCGCAACCATCCTAAGAAGAACGTTGTACTACCACTGGTAAGTTAAATATAACAACTCACCTGCCAAAGACGATAGTACCATTGACGTTCAAGTCTAGAGAGGATTTGTTAGGTGTCATCAGGGATCAACGTGACTGACTTACGAGTATTATCGTCTGGCAACCTGTTCAGTCGATGAGCAGCATCTGGGCCAATGGCTTCACAATATGTTATCGAGGCTTTGTGCAAATCCAGAAGATGGGTTCCTTGTTGCTCGGCGATCAGGATGGTTTCATCGGCCCATGGTTGTAGAGTATCAGCGATGGTGCCATTAGCATTGAAGCTTCTCCTCGTGAGACTAGTGATGAGTATAGGTTCGGCTCCTAAAGCTCGTATCTCTTGGACCATGATGGTCAAGTTCGCCCCCATGGATTCGGGGTCAGCGATCTTCATATCGTTATGCCCAAATTGTATAGTCGCATATGTACGTCGTCCTTTGGCTACCTCCTCTTGGATAGCCGCAACTAAGGTGACTGTTTATTCTGTTGTTTTCTGGCTTCAATACTAGATGGCGTACCAGAAATGTTCCAAAAACCATTAGCGACAAACGTGCCGGTCGTCGCGCCATTATGGGCTGTGTTTATGCAAGGCGTATCAGGTTCCAGCGAGGACGGCGTCGACGTGTTCATGGAACCGCAGAAGCCGTTTCCCCATCCACCGCTGTTTGGTGTGGTCCTACATATTGCTCAGTGTCGCCTATGGAAAGAATATCACCTCAAATTACAGACCCATTGGCAGTGGTACTATCACCGATCAGGATAAACGAAGTTGGCACTGTAGCGCCGTGTACCGGAGACGCTGCAATGTGAACCACAAGGATCAACGCGGCCAGAATCACCCACATAGTTGGACTGGACAGAGGCTTGTTCCTCACAAATCCTTGGTTCTTATAACACGACGAGGGATCACGCGAACGATGCACCGGACCGTCTTCACCTGAAGCCGTCTGGAAGACAGTCATTTGACAAGAGCGAAGATTTCCATAGATTTATCCGAAGACAAGATACATATTACGAGTAGCGATCATCTGGACAGCATGGTGTTAGCGATGTTTCTGCGGCTTAAAGATTCTGTTCACGAACCGAAAGTTGACTGTATTTGAAACTGTTCTGATGGCTACAGAGCTTGCCATCAGTAGAATGCTATTCCATGAGTGTTGTTGTAAGCCAGCCCAGGATTGGCAATTATAGGAAGATTGGGGAGGAAGGAGTTCCTTGTCATAAGATCCGCGACCATCCTATAGATGATCTTAATGAGTAAAAACTATTTCGTGGCCAAGATGAGTGCATCCTACCTTCCGAAGACTATCTTTCCACCCTGGTTCAGGTCTGAGGAGTATCCATTACTATCTTACGACACAGATATATTAGGAGAGGCGACTTACGAACAGTGTCAGCCGCAGTCGGGTTTAATCGATGAGCTGCAGTCGGACCAATCTTTTCACAGTACTCCTTCGAAGCACTGTGCAAATCCAGCAGAGGAGTGAATTACTGCTTAGCAACCGAAGTAGTCTCGTCAGCCCACGGCTGTAAACTATCATTGATGGTTCCGTCGGCATTGAAGTTTCTGACGATCAAGCTTGTGACCAAAATTGGCTCGGCACCTAATGTTCGAACTTCTTTGACCATACTGGTCAGATTAGCACCCATGGACTCGGGAGGCCCGACTCCTGCATCATTATGTCCGAATTGGATGGTGACTAGAGTGTGCCGTCCTTTCGCTACTTCGTCTTTAATGGCATTTACTGTACTGTCAACATGAATCGTGGATAGTCCATAGCACTCAAGACTTGGATACTTACCGGTGATGTTCCACCAACCACCGGCAACGAAACTTCCAGTCGTTGCGCCACCACACGCCGTATTGATGCAAGGCGTATTTGGTTCCAAAGTAGATGGCGTCGAGGTAGTGTTGTCACCGTAGAAGCCATTTCCCCAGCCGGACCTATTAAGAGAGATGAGTCAAGTGAACATGGGCGAAGCATGCTACTAACCCGATTGCTGTGGTGCTGTCACCAACGAGGACAAAGGAGGTTGGAACTAGTGGGCTAGCGAAGACCCTGTTGCATATGTCGCGGGCACTAGACCAGTCAGGAAGGCCAACATCTTTTGTTAGATTGTACTTGACGGACACTACCATCGTCTTTTATACGGAAGTTCGGACCATATATATTCTCGTGGACTGGAGCTGTTTATGTTCAAGTCTCATTCCGAATGCCATGCCGCAATGGAAGTACACATGTACATAGCGAAGTCGTTACAACCTGTAGTCAGTCCAATTATCTGCCGAGCATCAGAACGTTGTGGAAGACAGAGGCTGAACTATACCAAATTTTACCGATACCCAGCTGTATTGAGCGGTACTGGCGCCTACTTGACTTCCATCGACCTTGTCAATGTTGAAGGCCTGAGCTACAAGCAGCTCAACTCTCTTCCATTACAATCGTCACCGCGAACATCTTAGTGTTGGCGCGTGCCTAAGGTAATTTGCGTACCCCCGATGGCCAAAAATGGTACAATGATGTAGTCCTTTTCCGACCTTGTATACGGCTGAAACAGTACCAAGGCATCAAATATAGCGCTCGAGAATTTGGCCTGAACTTTAAGAGACACGAAGGCTGATCTAAATAATCTGCAATTAATAAGACACTATTCCATGCATGCCGCCCTAGGATTGGGGATGATAAGAAGCTCGAACTTCCTGTCGTGAGATTCGCGACCACTTTAAAAAAAAGTATCAGTAAGTATTGGATCCGTTTCGTGGCCATGCATAAGTTACCTTCCAAAGTTCTATTATTCCCTGATCATTTAAATCTGGGGAGCATCCACCCGGTAAATTTCGGTGGAATATATAATGAGGAGCAACTTACGAGTGGTGTCCGTAGGGTGGAGTACTGATTTGAGCGATGGGCTGCACTCAACGCCGGTTTCGTCATAGTACTCCTTCGAAGTAACATGGAAGTCCAGCCGATGAGTCAAATACTGTCTGATAGTTGAAGCAGTTTCATCAGAAGTTCCTCCTAGTTAGGCTAGTGCTGAAAATAGGTTCCAAGCTCAAAGCTCAAAGGCCTTGAACCACGGTGGTCAGGTAAGCTCCCATGGATTCAGGAGGGATTTTCATGTTGTTATGTTCGGATTGAATTGTGACAAGTATGCGCCGCCCTTCGACCAATTCGTTTTAGATGATATTCACTAGAAGTAATAAATATGCCGATTATTTTGCTGTGCACGGAGACATACAGAGATATTCCACCAGCCGCAGGTGACAAAACTTCTCGTTGTTGCACCACGATGCGCCGTGTTGATGCAAGATGCGTTGGATTCCAAAACAGACCGCGTGGTCCTACAGCCGCATAAGTCGTTCTTTCTACCATGCTTTCTGAAAGGAGTTAGCCAAACGAGTGTAGGGATAACAGTCTACCAACATGTATTCTGTGGTACCATTACCGATAATAGTGAATGAGGTTGGCATCAGCGAGCGTGAGTGGGAATACTGTTGCGCAAGTAGTGTCAAGTGTCAATCCAGTCAGAAAGTCAGCATATCGTTCTTTGGCCGCACCCTGTTAGTCGATTGCTGTCTTCGTACAGTCTTCAATGTCCAATAGTAGCCATTCCCTCTATTGGACTCAACTTACTGCCCGGGTCTCACTAGTGAAAGTACGCAGCATCAAATTCTCCGAAAGCAAAAAACGAAGGGCACGCAAATTACAAGTAATACCGATCACCTGCAACATATGATAGCATCAGAGCGTGTTTTTCTTTCAAGACGAGACGGATGGAACTATACCAATTTGCCCCATCCCCGGCTGCATCACCCAGACCTGGCGTCTACTATTCACCTGACTTCCATCGACCGTGTCACTATCGAGGTCTAACCAACCCTCTTCCATTTCATCATCGACAGCACCGCAGACGATCTTGACATCAGGAAATGCGCGCCTAAGCACTGATATTCCTCCACCACGGGCAACCAAGAATGTCACAAAAATGATATGGTCCTGTCGTACCCCATGGTCCAGAAGGATCCGGATAGCCATGAATGCTGCAGCGCCTGTCCCAATCTATGATTCCTAAGCGACTTGAACAGAGTAGAAAGAAGCCATTGCTGCGTACCTGCGCATCTAAAAGAAACACGAAGGTCTCCACAGCCTGTTCGCGTTTGCGGATGTATAGCGGTAGCTTGACTTGTAGCAGGATGGGTTCACCAGTCTTCGAGTCAGACTGCACTAACAAAGATCCGATGGGGACATCGTTAATGACTCTGCGAAATCCTCGCTCGAGAGCGCCTCCCCTTCAACGGGAAAAATGTCGGACCACAAAAGAAAGGGCATTGCGAGGGGGTACTCACGAGCGTTGAATACACACTCCGCATACATACTTCGCATCTAGCATTTGACCGTGAGACAGAGCCCCAACAGGCGTCACTACTGTCTTCGGAGCATGAGGTAGTAGCGACATTGCATATTCGACTAGGAACGTAGACAGACGATCCACGAAGAATATAAAATCTTGGCGGGGAGTGTCTGCAGACCGCAAGATAGTGAAGATGCCTTGGACCTGTAGTGTCGGGCGGAGGACGTTCAGATTAAGATCCTCTATCTGGGTCTCTGGAGTCGACAGGCCAGGGGAATGAAGCCGTCTTGGAATGGCCATCTTTGGACGAAATCGATTCGAGCGCTCCTGCAGTTGTCGTCGAATATGTGTTGTGATCAACTCAATTGCGACGCCGTTGTTTGAGCCGGGGACGATCTATACGAGAAGACGCTAAGTGTCATGAAAAAAATGAACAAATGTTCTATCATACAATGTCGGCATGAGCTGCTGTCGGGCGTACAAAGTTGTCATACGATGGCTTCACATACCTCAAGTACCTACAACGTAATGAAGCAATGTCCGAAAGAAGGAAGGATATTCTTACTGTTCTAATATACCATCTACGCTTCTTCCGCGTTCTTTCATATCTCGTGCTATTCGTCTGGCAAGCATGAGATCGGAATCGCATTGCACGAATACCTATGCCATCAATGTGAGTTAAAGGACGAGACGCTGACTGGCTGTTCCAACTTTCAAATCATATAGCTTGCGTAGTGCAGGGTCATGGAGCGTCATAATGCCTTCCGCTAGATTACTTGATAATAGAGTCGAAAGGAAACACCTAGAGATCTTGAGGACGAACCTATTATAATTGCAGCGCCATATAGATATTTCGTTTCCTCGAGGCGTTGGTGTTCAGCAAAAGAGTAGACAGGGATGTTGGATTGCTTGCAGGCCTTCAAGTCGGCCAAGCACTACGAGAACGCAGCTGTGAATCCTATTCGCTTCGGAACCTCTAAAAGTGAAAAGACTCCGTACAGATGCGAACATTGGCATGTCTATTGCGTCCGGGTGATCAAAATCGAACATGCTGGCGTTGGCGAGAGCAATCTCCTCGGGAGTATGGCGCTTGTAGAAGCTATCCTATCGATACTGTGAAGGGTGTCGACGACCGTCGAAGTGACCACACGTACTTGGGAGACGATAACAATGCTGGGTATGTTGCCAAGAGTACGAACGATTTGTCTGGCGACGTGGGTCTCCAAAAGGTCATCCTATTGCATGACGATGCAGCGAGCAATGCACACCTTTCCGCTGGCAGAACCACCTAGGTAGAGCCCTCAATTCCCTTGTTCACCCAAGCAAAGCTCGACGACGCACCTGCGATACCAATGACAAAAGCATCACACAACTTCCTGCCATCTTCACCATACCTGCAGACATGCATAAACATAGGGCTATCTAGTCAGATAGTAGCTGACCATGGAGGACGGCCATGCGAGACAAGGACGGTATTCTTCTTTGCTTCCAAAGACATGTGTCCCTTCGAGGCTGGATAACGAGCCTCGCCATTAGCAGCAAGATGCTGGAGGTCGTGCGACATGGACCCGATATCAGCGATGAGACTGAGATTCATGATGACCTGTAATTATATAGTGGAGGTACACATGTAATAGATACACGTTTCACACGGTAGCGATCACCTATCATTATGTACAACTATCTTCCAACAGAAAATCTCCAATGACAGTCTTCATTTCTTCTTCCTTGACACGCCGTCTCTTCCAGACCTCATTGCTCTTATCGTGTCCACTATCCCCGTTCGCACCGTCCCATTGAGAATTCATCAAGTGCTGCCCAGTCCATACGGGCAGGTGTACCGAAGTCGTCCCAGACTGCACACCGCCGCGACTGCTTCGACTGGTAAGAGTCGTGTGGCAGGCATAGCAGAGATAAGGTGACAAGAATCGAGAATTCTTAACGACATCGTCTGTCGGTTCAGCAGCATCTAGGGTCCGTATTGACGTACGCGACTTCCAATCTCGTATACCCTGCTGCACGGGCCTGGATTTAAAGCCAAGACATCAGAATACTAGAAGTCTGTAGTTCTCTCAACGTACTGTTCGCAAAAGATACACGCTCGGGTGGTTCCCGCCTTAGGTGCGAGCTTTCCGCAGGTTCGTGCGATGGTCGAAACAGTTGAGGGATAATCTTTTTCAAGGCCAACGATAAAGTCTAGAGGAATGTTAGCACAACCTGCGTTGTACGAAAGGAAGCAGATGTACCTTTCGTCAAACTAGCGATGTCCTGCTTTCCGCCAGGAATCTTTTCTTTCCCGATAACATTCAAATTATGCCACCAACAAAAGAAAGCGCATTCCTTCATGCCTACTTCTCTCAGTGGTCTGATTACACGGACGGACATCTGTGTAAGCGATGGCACGTTCAAAGAAGCCCATTCTTCCTGTGCTTCCTCGCGAACAGTAAATCCCGCGCCCTGCGATATAGCAGAGATAAGGGATACCGAGAGCGACGTCAAAGATGTCCCCAGAAGGAGATGCGATGACCTCGTTGAACGAGCGGTGTACAAAAGCAATATCCGTATCAGCGTCGGTACGGCCCGTGATACCGCAGTCTGTGTCGGGAGACTCGATAGAAAGGTCCGAAGGGATGTAACTGGATCCTCGACAGTCTCTGTAGAAAAAGATGATATGCAGATGTCTGCTCTAGTTTGAGTGAGGAACGAATGCATTATCCTATGCAAAACTAACCTTCGTTCGAGAGGTCGACCTGCAGCTCTGAAGAAGGGGGCCGTCCGCCAACAGACTCCCACCACGAATTATCGAAGGCATTCTCCAAACGCAATGGAATAAAATCGAGTGCACTGTAATTTGTTACAGCTGCACGAATTTGTTCCGTCCTGTCTCTCATCTATGTCACTGTTCGTATGTCGTTCTTTTCTTTAGATAGACATACACTTACCCCAGGGAACGCGCTGCATATTTCGACGTAGCATATACTACCCTTCGGCCATATGGGTGCATTTCGAGGATGATCTTTTCCGCCTTGCTGATTCTCGGTCTTGTTCTCCCCTTGTCGATTCGCAAAATAGGCCTGATGTGCCAGATCCAACAATACCGTCGATCCCAATCCACCTGAAAATGCTAGAAGAAGATTGCCCAATGCCTTCAATGCCTTCCGCCGCGGACCCTGAGGCAGCTCGTTTACGAAAGGTTCTAATGCACGCCGAAATTTGAAGGAGACGAGAGGTGTAAAGCATTCCCTAGATATTCTGTTAGCAGAAATACTGGCATACCAAGCAACATCGCACTTGCAATATACAGCATGCCGGACAACAATATTTCCTCGGTTCGTCTTGCACTTTACACAATCCCTAGACTTGTCGAACTTTGGTCGACCTGCGCATCGTTTGGTTCAGTCAGATCCACGTTGAGTAGACAACTCACGCTCCATGAGTGCATCCGTATCCGTGGCAGGATTTCCGCACGACGACATTGTATAACGATGAAGAAAAGAAATTTAACGAATTGCAAGGCGCGGAATGGTAACGAGTCAAATCGCGTGTGGCTGTGCAACCTTTATCTTGCCGGGTTTCTCAGGGGGTATTTACTTATCTACATACCTCCTGCTCCACAGTAACGATGTCCCATTCCGCTTTTTTCTATGGCACCCTTATGCACCCAAAAATCCTTACCAAGGTCATCAAGAACGACGGCTCTCACTTGAAGATATGCCCTGCAGTTCTCCTGGTTTGAGAATCATCTATCTCACTATCTCAACCTGCCCTCATCGCCCATCTACGACAGGAACATACGCGTCACAAGGTCAAGGTTGGTCGGTGAACCATGATGGTTGCTGGCAATGTCATTCATCGCCTCTCCAGTCAGAAGAATACCCCGGAGTCATACCCTTTTCTCGAGGCCAAGCACTCTTCGGCAGAGAGCTCACCCAAGAAGATAAATGTGTCCGAGGAACCTTGGTACATGGCCTAACCAACATGGATATCCTGCTTCTAGATATTTTTGAAGGAACGGTGAGTCTTCGGTACCCAGCGCGCCCAGAAGCCTTATCTTCCCAGGAATACACGCGGGGGCCCGTTCCCGTCCACCCGCTTGAAGATGCCATCAACCTGTCGGAATACTCTGTCTTGAAAGATGACAAGTATTTGCTCCCTAATCCGCCTGCACCTCTACCACCCGTCGAGGAACTGGCGGAAGCGATACCAGCTGAGACTTATATCTATAAAAACATCGAGAAATTGGACGCAGAGCTTTGGTCATTCGGTGAATTTGTCAGGCTTAATGCATGGAAGTGGTATCAGCCAGAAGAGAGTGAAGTAGACGGCAGGAACAGTAGATATCGTGAAGCAGACGACATCGTTGCTGCAGCGGTAGCGGTGAACGCCTAGGAGGACGTGGGATAGCATTGACAGAAAGTGATAATCGTTGTATGTTTGTATCACTGGCTAGAATCGAAAGTTGACTTGAAAGCGAGTCTTGATATTGTTCTAAAGTCTAGAAGGAGAAACGTAGCCTTGCACATTTTGACAGTTCAACTGATCGGCTATCTCGGCCCGGATCACGTTAGAAAGAAATTTTTTCGTCCTCTGGTTGCCTCCGACCATCATGACGAGTCCATGAACGTTAGCCTCTGCAAGTGAGTACATTCTTATCACTTTCTGCACTAGTGATGGGCCTTCGGGCTAGTCGAAATAGCATGTTAGACTACCAATGCAGTATATGCGCTGTGGATATCTTTTCTTGACTCTGAAGTCTATTCTAGCGACGTTGTCTTTCTTCATTTACTAATTCTGCGTTTCACAGGTGTCCCTGTCTACAAGTCGTTAGAATACAATGAATTATAATAGTACATGTCTATCAGTCTACCTTTCCGTGGCTAAGATACAAAGGGTCAAAGCAAGCATCAAAACGCCGACACGAGTCCATTTACGTTGGCAGCTTGAACTTTTTATTTGCATAGCCACCCGCAATCCTTCCCATGCCTAGCCTCCGTTTAACTCCAGCTTTCAGTGACGATGTGTGCGGGGCGCTTGAAGAAGATGCCGTTGGTGGAGGTGCCTCATGTAACTGAAGCGGCTCGACCATCACTTTCGAAGTCTCCTGGGGCATATGCTTCACACTCGTCTGAGGCGTCGGTGGGTCAAGCATGATTACACTCGGCTCTCCCTTAATTGCAGTCCCAGCCGCAGCTCCCTCAACTTTGACCACAGGCGATAGTGCAGCTACCTTCCGTTTGATTGTTGTCTTGTGGTCGAGTCTTTTCTGAACAGGTTCGGTAAGATCTATGACCGTAGGCTCTGATTTGACGGACTGTATTGCTTTCGAAGGTCGGGGAGGTGAAGACAAAGTCTGGTCGAGAACGTCTGGATCTAGCTCTGTTTTGACGAATGGCAGAGGTGAGTGCTTCGATGACCGAGCTTGATCCGACTTCAAGTCTCGAGAGCTTGAGGCCAAAGGACGGGTCCCATCTGGACGTGACTTTGACTTCTTCATATCAGAACCAGAGGCGATGTATGGTTTGATATCGAAGTTGGAATTCGACAGTGGTTTCCGATCATGAGTAAAGGCTACGGACATGACATCCGGATCCGGTTTCATTCGAGGCTTGACATCGGGGCCAACGGTAAAACGCGAAGAGGGCGGCTTTAGCGGACGCACAATCGGCTTGATATCGATCTGGCTGACTGGTATGAATTTCGCCTCCATCTCATGGGGGGCAGGTTCGAAGGGTTGGCGCCTAGCTGTGATTAATGCCGCTTCGCCATCGAAGTCATGCCCGAAAGGCTGCCGATTTCTGGCTGATTCGTAGCTGAATAGCATGAATTAAGTTCATGTAATTCGGCGGTTCATGACAGACTCACAAATTTTCGACCCTCATCCTGACTTCCTCTTCCGGCGGCTCTGGCCTTCCAAGGACTTGACACAGGGTTGCTCGTTCGTACGCTGGGAAAGTACTTAGTTCATTCAGGGTTAATACGGTCTAAAGTTATAATCATCAGGCCTCTGTTTCCTTGAATGTGTTTAGACAGACCTCGTCTTCTTTGGTAACGTGCTCGACGAAGTAGGAGAGCGTTCTCTCCATAAAATTCCCGGCGATCTTGCGCTTGACCACATTTAAAAGGTAAAGTAACCCTTTAGCCCTTGTGCAAGCGACATAAAGAAGTCGTCTAGATACCATTCAGAGGTGTTTGCTTCGAGATGGAGCTTGAACAGACCTTTCCTCATCAACATCTTCTGATCGATGGAAAGGAAACGTGCCATCTTCGGCTAAGGAGCACATGAGGGCATGTTTCAAGGGACAAGTAACAAGACCTACTGGCCGGAACGATCACAACGGGCCACTCCAAGCCTTTCGCGGCGTGACAAGTCGATATGGATACTTTCTAAAGAGCACAGTCAGAAAGTGGATAAAAAATGTAAACGTAGAAGATGAACATCAAGATTATCCTCCTCATTTTGTTCGTCGCCTTCCGATGAGAGCATGGATGCTTGGAGAAATAGTCGAAGCGGAGTATCCCTATTGAAACGACACTCGGTGCTAGTGCGCAGAATGCGCTAGATATACTCACTGGTCTTCTTCCCCAGGAGGCAGGTGGACATCTGCGAGTATCGAGCCCTGAACATCGCTTGCAAATGTAATCAGCTCTTGGACATTTTCCCATCTTGTTTCCCACTCTGGCTGCGTCTTGTGAAGGTGCTCCTGGTAGGATATAAGCTTTAGTAGCTTGCGAATTAATTCCGCGGGAAGAACACCCTGGTAAATCGGTATCAGCACAGAGTGCATAACACAGAGATGTTACCGTACTTTGTTGGCATCTTCCCGTAAAGAACGCATTGTGGATACGAAGGACGAGAGCTTTCGCTTGACCGCCGGTTTGATATCGGGGACTTTAGCGTCGCATATTCTTTCAACCAACTCTAAGGGAGTTATGACCATTGCGTCCGCTCTGGCGAAAACTTCTGCTAGGGTCTGGGCTCCTGGATTAATATATCTTATGACGGATGTGTGATATGAAGAACCTTTTCGCCAATGCCTCGACTGGGCACATTTACAGCGCGCGCGAATGCTGGTCCAAAACTGGGATTGTCGACAAGTTGCAGATATGACAAGATATCTTTGATCTAAAAAGATAACCTTGTCACAAAAACGCGTAAAATTGCACATCGTATACTGGCCTCCAGTCGTTCGAAGAATCTGTGTCCTCCAAGGATCCGATGAGGGATGCCTTCCTTTTGTAGGGCACTTTCAATGGCTCGAGAAAGAGCATTGAATCTTACTGTATGACTGATAAAATGGTGCCTGCTTTCACCACGTTATTCACTCACAAAGAACCGCGAAGTCGCCCCAGCGAAGTGCTCCTCCCATATGAGCCATCACCCGTTTGATCTCCATGGCGATGAAAGAGGCTTCGTGGTTCTCGTTATTGCACTGACGAAGAATAGGTCTTATGCCGCTGGGATGAGATGAGAGAAGAGTCTTCGGGATGCGCTTTTTGTCTGAATAAAGGCAGGCGTGAAACATCAGCGAAAGACCTTTCGGGATATCGTCGACAGACCTTGTGATACAATAGCCAGGCTGAGTTTAAGGATAGAGGCGGTTGAGCGGTAATTTTGTTCCAAAAAGATCTCCTCCGTGCCAGGAAAATCTAAGAGAATAAACAATCGAAAAAGAATAAGAGGATGAGCTTACGTCGCTGCATTTTCTGTAAATTTTCCACTTCGGCTGCTCGCCAGCCATATACTATCGGACGCGTTAATCAAGTAATCGCATAGTGAGACTTTGGTCGGTACTCACTGGACTGGTCGGGATCACCGACAATAGTTACGCGGCGCGCTATACCAATGGCCCGCATAAGTTCATACTGTGTAAAGTTGGTGTCTTGGCTGTAGAAATTTTTTAATAAGAAACCCAACCACGATGAACTATGAAATGTCAATGACGCACAATTCGTCGATAAGAACGTGTTTACACCAGCTTACAGCCTTCCTATGCCCAGAGAAAAGTCTCAAGCCAACAATCAGCAAGTCGTCAAAATCCAGGCTGTTGTTCTTCTTCAGTGTCTCCTGATATCCACCGTAAAGCTCCGCTATAAGGCGGTCGAGGATGCGGACAGTATCCATTTCGTTGGGATGGACAGGTGGTGTCATAATCAGGACGTCGTCAGCAGAAAGGCCTTTGGCTTTGAACTTTAATATCTTAGATTGTAAATTTCTTGGCTGAATTTCGATGTCCTTGGAAACCATGTAGTCTTTTTGTTCCTTCAGTAAGTTTGATATGATTTTCTTCCTGTGAACAGACTTCAGAGTGAGAAGCTAATGATAAGAAATGCAGCAGACATACCCTTCCTCCGTATCACAAACAGTAAAATTGCCTTTAATTCCAACACGGAGGGCGTGTTTTCGCAGATACAAAGCACACAAAGCATGGAACGTCCCCATTCGAACTTGAGATGTTCTTTCTTTGCCAATGAGTTTGGTGAGCCTTTCACGCATTTCATTCGCAGCTTTCTTGGTGAAGCTAACGGGCAATCAAAATTGAGCAGATACGTTAGAGTTTGGTCATACGTTACTGCGCATATTGATGACGGTGGCAACAAGTGGTGTATTATGAGATGGGCGATTCGCGACGTCAGCACCTAGATACTTATTAATTTATCTTCAATAGCATTGAGGCAAAATATTACCTTGGTCTTTCCACTTCCTGGTCCAGCCAATATCTGAAGAGGAATGTCTGGGTCATGCTGCACAGCTTGAATGTTCAACCCGAAGTTAGTTTGAAGTATTCCATGAACCAGTATATCTCACCTTGAAGCTGGGCTGGATTCAGTGACTGCAAGTAATCGTGTGCCCGTGGGGGCTCCTGAGTTGGAGGCGTAGGCATGCTGGCCATTAGCAGAGAAGACGCGACGACAAAATTCAAATTCAACGCGCGTGGGAATGCGTCGCGTCACATATCACGTGATTATCAAGAAAATACTGTTTTGATCTATTTTGGTTCATCTTATCTGATTAAAGTTATCTCCGCACTCCATCCACGTGCTAACTCCTTAGTATACATTCTCAGTCTGTCGCTCAGTCCTTTCCTTTCCTCCACCGACCATGTCGTCCTTTCGCCTTGTGGCGGCCTACTCCACTGTCGTGGCCTTTATTATCTACATCCTCACCGAAGGCATTCATAACGAAGGCGGTATCGGAGAGCTATCTCTAACTGGTTCAAAGAACAGTGAGCGGCATTTATGTTTCACATCGGTTATGAGATTAATCCATTGGCGAAGAACTCCCAGATTTTAGCCTATACAGGCAATTGGATACGCTAAATGAGCATGATTTTCCAATAGGTACGAGGCGTTTTAAATCACTGGACACCATTAACATGCGTTACAGATGATCCAAGCCGTCGCGTCATCATTGTGGGCGATATACATGGGATGTTCGATAATTTACTGTATGTTTGTTATCTTTGACATCGAGCAATGCTGACCATCCCTTTAGAGCCCTTCTTGACAAGTTATCCTATGAGCCGTCTTCAGATGTCCTCATCAGTGTTGGCGACATTGTCGCCAAGGGGCCGCATTCTGGCTCCACTAAGGTGCTGTCTTACATGGCGTCTAACAATGTCACCGCCGTTCGCGGAAACCATGACCAAAAGGTCATCGAATGGCGTGCTTGGCTAAATTGGATACACTCTCTTCCCGGGGGGAGCCAGTTCCTCCAAGAGACCCAAGATAAATGGGACAAAGCCCAACACCGTGGAGACATTGACATCGAAGATTGGGTAGAGAAACAGACGAAGCTCGACAAGGCTAACAGTGCCTGGTGGAAGAAGATTCCTGATGGCTGGAAGCTCTTCGGTGACCACTTTGAGATTGCTCATACGATGAGCGACAAGGAGTTTGACTACATGGTTTCTCGGCCCCTCAAGTTGCATGTGCCTTCCGCACATGCCTATCTTGCTCATGCTGGCATTCTCGCTTCCGATCCGCACTATAAACCTTCGCATAAAAAGCAGCCACTGGCTCGGGTACCTGTCATACCTCCAGGCGCGAGGCCAAGTTCCAATAAACTTCCTATTCTCAGGCGTCTACAAGAACTTGCTGTTCTCACGAAGATTCCCCAGAATCTGGACCCATGGGTAACCCTTAACATACGAGGAGTCCTCAAGAACCGGGAAGTCACTAGGTATGCGTGTACCCATGGGTATCTGTATATATTTGACGGATTGCTTTACAGAGGCAAAGATGGTACACCTTGGTCTGAGTTGTACAACAAAGATGTAGACATGTGTGAGGGATTCGAGCAGAGCATCCACACTACAAAGAACAGCGAGGTTTTGCCCTGTCATCCGGCAACAGTCATCTATGGACATGCTGCTTCGCGGGGGCTGGATGTCAAGCGATGGTCAATTGGCATAGACTCGGGCTGTGTGGGTATCTCGCTTTAGCTTTTTGATACCAGCCGTTTACGTTCATATAGGTTTACGGGAACCGACTGACGGCGTTGGTCCTCGGCGGTAAGAATAGCCATATCGACTTCATCGACGATGACGACGTGAAGAGAGACACTGACGACGACGACGACGATGATAGACATGTTACGTCTCGCTCCGTCGTTCCTTTTGGCGATCGGGGGAGAGGTGAGATCGTCAGTGTCTCGTGCGAGTGATCAAGTCGTAGTAGATTCATACTTTACCACCGCCAATGCGACTACTCCTACTACTATCAGTTTATTTTTTGCGCATTTCGCATTTTGTAGCCATTACTATACTTAATATTGTGTGTATTTGGTAACATACACCGTTCACATAGCCTTTACTGCGGTCCGAAAGGACTTTACATCGCTCATAGTGGGTCAACAATAGATATTATTTAATACATTCGGTTGCAACTTAGCAGAGGAACATAAGATTGGTGTCCATGGGATGGGAGCTCGACAGCTAGATACATGAAAAGTCGATTAAGCACCTGTGGATAGCGGAAGGTTGATCACACGCACCTGAGGCTTTTGGCTGTATTTCCTCCGAAGAATATCGCGGAGATTATTAAGAAGTTGCTGGTAGCTTTGTTGTGGGTTTTGTCCTAAGTACGTATATGTGAATCAGTCATACACAAAGCATGAAAGGTAACTCACCTAGCGTCCTCATGAAAGCCTGTCATTCGAAGCATGTGAGAATATGGACAAACGTCAGACGGAAAGCCTACTTACGTAGCTCATGGCACCGGTGGCATTCCCAGCCTCCTGTGTATCTGCACTAGTCTGGGAGTCCTTGCAACCACTCCACGAAATCTGTATATTGTTGAGCATACCGTAATGCCACAGAGGATAAGGATACGTACCACATCAGCAGGGCTAGTTCTGGTAGCGCGTGCATACTTTTCTGCTTTTTGACCGCCGCCTGAGGCTGTCTTGACAAGGCCCATGGCGGATTTGAAGACGCCTCCCATGTCGCCCCGCGCGTAAGAGCCTACGGCAGATAGAAGACCTTGGCCAGCCTCAGCGGCCATGTTGGGCTCCTTGATTTTACCTTCAGTCGAGTACTACAATGAAGGGGTTGGTTAAACTGCCAATGCACAACAGTAATGCAACGCACGATGTAAGGAAGATCTGAGCAGTAGAAGCATCATGAATTCAAGCGGAAGGGAAAGAGAGTAAGATTGTATTACCAAGTGCCGACCCCGAATGACAAGACTGGTATGAAAGGATCAGCAAGCGTACAGTCAGTCTGAGAAGCACTCACATCGAAAATGGCTGTAAGGCGGCATCCGGCCGGTAGTGGTTTGACCATTATTTGGTGCATCAGCTATTGCTAGGTAAGATTCGTAGAAATGATAATCGGCAACAGCTCACATCATCAACAATGTGGCCATTTCGTTGATGGTCAACCTAGTAAAGCGTTAACAACGTTGTTAGCGTTGGAAGAACATAAACTTGCTGGATAGATGACTAACACAGGGACATTAGTAACATTAAATATATAACACTACATATATGTTGCTGACCTTCGTCGTAACCATCGGCTTCATCGCCATCCAAGTCCTTAGTTTGACCTCCATGACCAGAATCTATATAGCATGTATACTTGAAGCGGAAATCAAGGTGAAGACAGTTAACTCACAGTGAAAGAAAAGAGAATCATTAGGCTGTGCCCCTGCAACAAGCCACTGCATCGCGTGCAGCTGAAATGCGACGTCAGTCGGAGTAACAGTAAATCAGGACAGGACAGACAATATTTTCCTTAGTAGGGATTTGACGAGGGTTGCGGGAATCGTCGGTTAACATAACGATATCCTCTTGCTTATACCCAAAGGTCCCTGGCAAAACAGGTCAGCAAAGGCATCCAATGCTACCCATGATACATACTAATGAGGAAGCGCTGGATATTCTGTGCATCATTAATACATCCACGAAGTTCTCCGTTCTGTCCGATGTAGTTGATACCGATCTAGATTGCAAGTCAAGAAGGATGTACATCAAATGATGCAAAAATACTGACACACAATGCCTTTTTCTTTCCTGTGCATTGAGAGTACTGGAAGTATGGTTGCTGAACGGGATAGTTGGAACCTTGATACTGCGCCCCATAGTTCTGTTGCTGCATCGGGGGCCTAGGCGGAGGACCACCTTCAAATTGTCAGTCGCGTGAGTTGAATGTGTAAGGAAAAGGCGCGAACTGGGTGGCCCATAACCACTGGGCTGGTGTTGCTGGTGGTTATGATGGTGCTGCCCTGGATATGTTCCTCTGTCTACGGGCGGGGGACCGGGAGGTGCGGAGTAGCTAATGATGACGTCAGATAACCCTCGCCTTGGATACCGCAGGAAGTCTTACGGTTGAGGAGGAGGGCCGGGAGGTGGAGGGCCGCCATATCTGGTGACAAGCGTAGTGAGGTTTGATTTGAGACGGTGGTGAGTGACGCTTACCCAGGAGCGCCCGGGAACCTACAAAGGTGTCAGGCTCTGCACAGATTCAGGAAAAAGGACATACCCTGGAGGAGGAGGTCCCGGTGGTGGTCCATATCTTCATCGTGGAAATTGAGTCTGCAATCAACAGGTATACAGAGCACGTACCCATGAGGAGGTGGTGGTCCTGGAGGAGGTCCGTACGATGGCGCGTAGCTGGGATTATATCCGCCTTGCCTGTGCAAAATCTGTCTGTAAGGCCAAGCTCCTTTACGAATGAAGAAACTCGCGTACGGGCTAGGAAAGCTGAAAGAACCGAATTCGTTCAGTACCGACAACGGTGAGGGGTGAAGGACCTTGCCTTGGAGCGCCTTGGTTGTTCCACATTTCTGGGCAAGAAAGTCAAGTAGCAAGGAGGGCTGTCCTTTATATAAGGCGGTCGGCGTCAACGGAGATGATTATCGTTGTATCGAACACAGCAGCGAGCGGCACAGCACATCATAGCACTGCCACCGCTTCTCCTGCATTGTATTTCAAATTCGCGTTCACTGGTTCATCTTGCAAAATGATGCCAACCATGTAAAGAAAACTGAACTGTGCTAACTCTCGTGACATTGTAACACCGACGGTTTGGACCTGATACACCATTAATGGTCGTTGGCGCTGTATGTATTGCTGATGGTTATCCCCGAAAGCTGCCCTTCAGACAATGGGATGATTACCTTCGTTCCGTGAGCCGAACCTCACGGTTGCAATACCTATTCACTATGTAGTGATCTTTTCCGGGTTGTAACTACCGAGAAATATTCCCACAGAGGCAGAGTCACATTATTATTCTCAGGTACTTCTTTCCCCTGTCTTTCCAACATGCCGGGAGACACGCCATCGTCTTCACGTCGTCGCAAAGCCATATCCAGAACTTCCGGATGGGTGCGTGTTGTATTCCATGTTCTTGATCACTGGATTAATTCGTCATCCAGGCCGGGCTTGTGCGCAATCGCAAAGTATTTTCGATTGCAATCTTTGCCTCTCAGGGAGGACTGTAAGATACCCTTTTCCTCATACCCTTCCTCTTTGACCTCCCTCAATAGGCTCTATGGTTTGTGACCAGCGCGAGCCAATGATATCCAGCTAACGATGGATTTCTGTCAGGATATAACCAAGTGCTGAGTTTTATCGTATAATAACAGCTAAGCTGATATTTTTCAGGGTGTCTTTTCTGGGGTACTTGGGTAAGCTATACCTCCGATTGAAATAGACGAATTCGACTCAACAATATATAGGATGTACACATTCGATCAGCGGTGCGTCGGTTGACGCTTTTGTCGATATGAATATTTGGAATTGTTTCAGGATGCGTTCTGCCATCTCTGATCCAAGGAAGAAAGGCTGGCTGGTCGCTATCCTCGAACTGGGCGCTTGGGTTGGTGTTCTGATGTCAGGTAGGTGAAGAACTGCTCGTTATCACTCAAACGTAATAAGTAATCCTCTAGGTTATTTGGCTGACAAGTTATCCCGCAAGTTTACCATCTTTCTGGGTCAACATTTCTTTTTGCCCCGAGGATATTCCTATATTTATAATTGCCTATTTCTAGCTACTGTCGTCTTTTGTGCAGGGGTTATCATTCAGACGGCTGCTAAAGAATCCTCCTCTATTTACGGTGGTAGGTTTGTAGCTGGTCTTGGCGTTGGTTCTACTAGCATGGCGGTCCCACTCTATAATGCCGAGGTAAACACTGCTTCATGTTGCCTTACTTTGTCATGCTTGACATCAGTGTAGCTCGCGCCTCCAGAGGTGCGGGGTAGCTTAGTAGCGCTTCAACAATTGGCTATCATGTTTGGAGTCATGATCTCCCTCTGGATCGATTATGGGACAAATTACATTGGGGGCACCGGAGAAGGACAGAGTGAAGCAGCGTGGCGAATTCCCCTTGCCCTTCAACTAGTTCCTGCTATCATACTTGGATATGGAATCATCTTCATGCCATTCTCACCTAGGTGGCTGATCAACCAAGGACGAGATGACGACGCCCTTGCCGTGCTTAGCAATCTTCGCGCCCTTCCAAAGGACGATGATCTGGTTCGCATCGAGTTCCTGTAAGTGCTTTGTTAGTATACTGTCATCGTATTGAAAGAGTCTGATTTCCCCTACTCCTTAGCAACATAAAGGCGCAGTACCTGTTCGAGAAAGAGATCTCTGAAGCAAGGTTCCCTCAATATCAAGATCTTTCATTCGTATCCCAATTCAAGTTAGGTTTACATGGTTATTTGAGCCTGATTCTTGATCGGAGTGGGTTCTATTTTTCATGCCCGTATATTAATTCTAAGCCATCACAAGATTTGCTGTGGCGTGTCACTGTCGGCTCACTGTAAGCGATGCTATTAGTGACCATCGATTCTTTTCACAACACGACGCTGCTCTAGAACCATGTTCTTTCAACAATGGACCGGAGTCAACGCTATTTTATATTACGCCCCTAGCGTATTCAAATCTTTAGGTCTAACGGGGAATACTCTATCTCTTCTCGCGACAGGTGTTGTTGGCATCATGTAAGACATGCAGATGTGATTGCTTCACTCCCGCTAACATCGGCTCTAACGCAGTACTTTTTTGGGGACGATTCCAGCTGTCCTGTTCATTGATCAGCTAGGACGGAAGCCCGTCCTTGTCTCCGGCGCTTTTCTTATGGCTACGTGAGTTTAGTAATGTATCGGGGGTGTGCTGTGTAATAAATCCACCGTACCATTCTCTAGATGCCACTTCGTCATTGCCATTTTGACTAGTATATTCCACAACAGCTGGCAGAGGTGCGAGGATTGTTGTACATGACCCACCCATACAGACGTACTCATTATTTCTTGTTTAGCCATACAGGTGGACATATTTAAGCAATCAAACGTAATTACAGACACTCAGTGCTATTCTAGCTGCTGGATGGGTAGCCTGCGCCTTCGTTTGGATTTTCGCCTTGGGTATGTCTGTCATGACCACCGCAGTTTCAAACTTTGCGCTTAACGACGATGGCAGGCTTCAGTTACAGCTGGGGTCCTTGTAGTTGGATCATCATCTCTGAAATATTCCCCCTGAGTGTTCGAAGCAAAGGCGTGTCCATCGCTGTTTCTTCGAATTGGGTATGACAGACGTCTTCGTTGATCACTAGAATTCTGCTGATGAACATTATTTCCTAGATGAATCACTTCATAAGTAGAGAGCGAGCGTAAACTGTTAACCGAGTTCCCATACTTATATAATATTAGTCGGTCAGGTAACGCCATCGATGCTTCAGCACTTAGTAGGATACGGGACTTTCGTCTTCTTTGGAGTGTGTCTCAAAGTTCCGCGACCAGACGACGATGCTGAATCATACTGCAGATCTTCTCCTTCCTAGGAGGCTGCTTCATTATGTTCCTAGTACGTTTCTTCCCTTCCTTTAAGAACCTGTATTGTTGACAGCGCCAACTTAGGTTCCAGAAACGAAGGGAATAAGTTTGGAAGAAACGGAAGTATTGTTCGGTAATGTCACGAATTTGGCCTCAGAGGATCTCCGCCGTATCGAAGACATCCATAAGCGCCTTGGCTTAATTGTTGGAAATATTGACGAGAAGCACGATGAAGAAGCTGGCAAGGTGTCCTATGACGAGAACGCAGGGAAGAACTAGGCGATACTTACGACAGCACTGTTACTTCGTTTTACGTTGCATGATCAAGAACTACGAGTTGCACCATTCACCCTTTCATTCATGTACCTTGGTTGGAATCACGCTCATAACTTCTGACCGGTCTTGAATTGTAAGCACTCGCTTATCTTACGACGTGAGGCAACGTGCCTAGTGGGGTCGTCGGATATCGCTTACTGCAGGGGTCATACGCAAGCCACAATATGATAATTTTCAAAAGGAAACGTGGAAACACTTGGGCATGGTGATTCCAAAGCAGTGATCGTAGAGCCCATGCATGTGTGATTTCGGTACATTTACCGAAAACTCAAGAGCCCGGACCCTTCTTTGATAACATCGACTTAATACATCAAGTCATTCTTGATCGTGGACTAGTAAATAGTTCCTTAATATACGTGCGGGCCACCTGCGCGATGTTAGACGCCTTGAAACTCCCATCGATAATACGTACAGATAGACACGTATTTCTTCGGTTTGCGTCTGACCAGATTCCGGGAACACAATCGACACCTGCATCCGAGCTACTGATATTAAAGGAACGCATTTATAGAGCTTTTACGCGGACGAACGGCGGCGCAGAACCTGGTGGAACCTACAAGCCTCGTGTAATGTAACCACAATGTGCCCCGGTGACTCAGTTCAGATGGAATGGATACTGCTCTTGAGTTCTGTTCATCCGTTGTCGTGCGTTCGGACATATGTGAATAATCCAAGTGGTATCGCTGGACCCTATATTTTAGGAGTGACATCGACATAAATGAATAACACGCATACTTACATCGAGGCATCATAAAATTTCTGCGTTAATAACTAGCTCGTTGGAATGTTGTGGCGGACTGTATATGCATCTAGTATGCGAGTGGCGATTAGGTGTTACCGGTGAAGCGTAAGAAACCTTGAAGATACAAGGTTGCGAGAAATCTTCAGCATCCAGGCCCTGGTTATTTTATTGCAAAGCGACGCGAAAAAAAGTATGTTGTGATGCGCTGTAAAAGCGTAAACAGCATGCCTTGGAATAGGTGGAACAACATACCTTGGATACCGTAAAAAGCGTAATTAATTGTCAGCACAGAATATTCTCTTGTAATACCAAATTCCAGGGCCAGGATATTTAATTCGGCTTGGTAAAAAAAACCCTCATATGTCTCGCTAGGCTGCCGCGACGTTCAAACGTGGATAGCCAGGAGTAGCTATTATAAGCCTCCCTAAATCCAGGCAACGGAACCTTCGGCTGTCATTCAATATGATCTTCCGGCCGCATTCAAGTTCATCACCTACTTTAGCGCCTGGTGATACTTCTTTGTATGGCCCGAGCTGATGACGCTTGAAGTTCCTTTTCTTGTTCAGGCGTGGAGCATTCAACGCGTGGTTATCGTGAGGCGACTCAATAGCAATTTCATCTCGATGATATGTTCCAGAAGGAGAATGAGGAGCAAGAAGCCTGGCTTCGGTCAGCTGCGGATGGAACTTCCCGCGTCGGTCAGGTATCTGCAAGGCTAAAACTTTGTTTAAAGCATCCAAATGTCAGCTCCGGGATGCCATGGTTAGTGAGAAAAACAGACCCGTGTCTCTGAAGGGACCGGTGAGAAGGAAGTGCCCGTGGTCCCTTTTCCTTCCGAAGAAGAAAGAACGAAAGTGAAATCGATTGGCCTCCCCCTGAGCCTCGTCGTCGTGGCCATCATTTATGGGTTCCGGTGGATCGTCGATTGCCCATATTTACCTTTGCTGAAGACAAATTACAATGCCGTACTAACCCTGCATAGATACTTACTGCCGAGTGATACTGTGAATAGATAGGGAAGGCATTCCGCTCACCGGTCCTCTGTGAAGAAAGTATAAGAATACCAACGAATGCCGGATATCCGATTGCGATATAAGCAAGTACGCATACCTGGCACGTACGAGGCAGTCTTGTATCGAAAGCGTTTACTTGAAACACGCATGCATTAGCTGCCCGCCGCACTCACCGCACTTGGAGACAAGATATGCACTCTATGTATTTATTTCCGTAAAACAGATAAGATCTGCAACGAGTTCTACGAGCGAAACTTCGGAGAAAAGTGAAAGGAAGTGGGTATGCTGACCTAAGCGACAATCATACCTTCGGCATCATGTTTCCTTTTCGGTCCATCCGCCACTGATTTCATGGCTATGTCTTTCCCTGCAGTTGCCTCGCTGCTAACACGAGGCACCCGGGTACATTTGGCTCCTCTTAACGCTATTTAAGCCTGCATAGCGACCCGTTGGCGACTGGCTGCTGTCGTTTTGACAGGCATTCTACTGTTGCTTCCCCGACCGTCGCCAGCACACGGCACTGCACTCGAGGTGCACCTAACACGCATTTTGTTCCGGACTTGGCAAGAAGTCCGTCAGGCATCTATAAATCATTAATATTCATCTCGGTCCGTTCTTTCTTGTCCCTGCCTTGGAAGGTCGAACAGCCAGCATACATCCTATCGTTCTTCATGTCGGATTATCGCCAGAGTCGTAGAGGAGGAAGCGGACGTGGCGACGAATTCTCTCCAGTGGATTCGCCTACTCGTATCACCGTACCACCATCTCCCGCAGATCGTCTCAATGCGCCGCGCTACAATTATTACGCCCATTCGTCTGGGACATCCCACTCCTTGTCACAATCTCAATCGCAACAGCAATCCGAAGCGAACGTTATGCGGGGGGAATTCTCCTTCTCGGATGATTCCTCGGTACCATTAGTGGAAGACCAGGGATTGGACGAGCTATGGGGATCGTTGAGACAGAAGAAGGAGACGCAGATGGCGAAGGATAAGTCTAAAGTCAAGTCACTCGAGGAAGTCGAATTCTCCCAGCAAAGTGCCGAACCACCCGAACCACCCCGGCCTCCAATTCACAAGTCAGTGAGGAGAACTAAATCTTTGTACGTCGCTTCTCACTTGCCGCCCTGTCGTTACTGACTTTTGTCACCAATTCAGAACTTCCTTTCGCGAATCGAGTGACGGGAAGATACTCATTGCATTCTTCGACATGCGCGATGTTGCCAAGGAGAACATAAATGTTACTTTCCAAAGCCATCGCCTCATGGTATCGTGGTTCTCTGTCACTGTCAACGAAACGGAAGACGAAGAAGGCCGTGTGGTGATAGAAAAGGTAGAGAAGAATTATCAAAGAACGTTGCCCTTGCCCGAGGGTACGAAGGTCTGTCCTTGCATTATTTTGTTGCATTCATCTTTTAATTGACCCTCTTAGTTCGAAGAAATTAGAGGCACAATGAATGGACGACATTTAGTCTTACGTTTGCCCAATAGCCGCGCCTTCAAGGTTCAGAATGTAACCGAATCGACGGCGGAATTTTAAGTTACCACGCAGCACCACCACGCTCCTTGTACTGCGGGGATCCATATATCAGCCTTACATAGGCATCGTGCCAGCGAGAAGTCTGGAAACAGGTTGCAAGCGAGCGACCTGACCGGCGAGTCGATGGACCGCACTGATAATGGATGGACGTATAAACGGGGCGTGTTTTTTTTTTCTCACCTGGAGTGGAACGTTAAGTAATATGGTGCAAGTGGGTACGTTTTATTTAATGTTAACGACATGGAGGCACGAGTAATTTTCACGAGCTGGTACGCGTACGATTACTTAGCAAGTACATACAATGACTGAATGATATTGACGTCATGTGAACAGTCCGCCTGCCCTAAAGTGCCCGCTTTATATGACTTTGATTGGTACACTACGCTTTTCTTTGTTCGGCCAGGATGGTCGCTCCCCTCGGTAAGTTGTTCCATCTGTTCTTGTACCATGCCTTTCTTACCCTACATCACAGAGTAAGCACCTAAGCAGAAAGTTGTAGCCCAATATCCTCGAGCCGGCGACGTGAATGTGAGCCAGGGGTTTCGGATAGAACTTTGCCAGCGCAAAGGTATGCCAACGTGTTTGCTGTGTGTACAACCTAAAACTTACGTGTTTTTCAGGTAATCCTGAATGGACCAGTTCTGTTGCGAAGCTGGTATGACGATGAAGAGGCTTAACACCCCTAACGGGGTGCAAGTCTGACTGCGGTGAGTTATTACCTCGCTCCTTCAGAAACCGATACTGAACCGTGATTTCAGGGTGATAACACCATCCAGCAAGACGACACTTTGAAAAATCAATTATCCCAGGCCATCCGCAGTGTAGTCTCGTGTATTTTGTTCCCTTACACTTGATGAAAATTCAGCTGTAAAAACAGTTTTCTGGTGTGAGTCGATGCTTGAGAACAATCCCGAGTTCTAGATCTGTCAGTTACTTTTGGTGGTGAGAACGCGTCGCGGGTCCTCATTTGTGTTGACAACGTCAGTCGTAAGTAAGACAAACACCTATCAAAAAGGCATCGACTTATTCTGATGTGCATGCTTTGAACGAAATGCGCTTTTCAATGTATTTATTTATTTAATACGCAAGAATTCCTGCCAACTTGAGAACCCTCTCTGTCTCACGGCGAGGCTCTTTAGGAATACCTGTATCGAGCGGACATGGCTTTCCTTTACGCAGCTTCGGTTGGTGCTCGCGGCTATAAATCGAAGCAAAGGGAACATGGGTCTGAGGTGAGAAAATCAATATCATGACATTTGATAGCAAAGAGAGGAGAATACCGTCCCGCGACAGAGCTTGAAGGCATTGGATCGGGTTTCTTTGTCTTCTTCCGACAGCAACTCAGCAGGCGCCATGCAAATATCTATATTGTACGCGTCAACTCACGTAAGTGAGTCTTCTGAACAGAATACGAGCTCTCTTACATGTACAGACACGACTGCGGTCACCGGAGGGACGGACATTGTAGTGTATCGTCCTGTTTGAAGCATTTCAAGTAAATGGACTACATTGGCCGGGTCGATATCATGCACTTGCCTCGAGTCCCACATTATCAAGTCGCCAGGGCCAGCTTCCACCTTGACCCATTCACAGCCGCGTTCGTAGAACCATTCCTGTTGGGCATCAGTAAAGCCTGGAAGTGACAGTTAGAGGCTGGAAACCTTCGAGGAAATTTTCTCGCGAACATTACTCACCGTACCAATCTACCGGTCCCCAAGTACGAGTCTCATCACGGCCAATTTCGTCAAAGTACTTCCCAACAATCCGGCTACTGTTCCTGAGCACCATGAGACCGCCATCCTCGGGACCGCATTCATTAAGGTTTATGACGCTCTGGCAGCAGTAGAAGCCGACACGTGAGGGTGATTGATCCATGTGTTCCCACTAATGCCTGCGGTGAGCGTAGCAATTAAGGAAGGTACGGGGATCACACACCTTGCCACCGTCCGTGACATCTGTACGATGAGGAAGCATTACAGCGCCAGCATCGAACGACGTGACGAGTTCGTTCGTACCCCAGAGCTTTGCGAAAGCGTCGATAATGCCTTGCTTAGTACGAAGGTCCCATACAAATTGCTCGTGCTCGATTCCATAGCCATGGAACATGCCTCCTCTACAATGCAACAACCAGGACCGATCTCCATGGGAGAGAGTAAGACTGACTTGATGTGGACGGGAAGGTGTTCATTCTTCCAAGTCGATTCATCATTCCTGTCGAATCCAAGACCGAAACTTTCCAGCCAAGAAAAGGCACGATCGCGGTATTCCAGAGCTTTTTCTGGGGTGACGGCGCCTTTAACTACGACATAGCCATGGATAGCAAGTTCGTCCCTCCAGTCGCCAAAATTGGCCTCGTCGAGGAGATTTGCGTACTTGAATGGCGGAAAAACTGGTGCGTTTCCTTTGCGAGTGATAGGAACAGTCATGCAATCCTGAATACTGAACTGAGTGATCAGAGCATCTACTAATGCAAAGTGGAGATATTTAACTTACGAGTGCGTAGGCCGCGGGCAACGATAAGATAGATATACTTAGGTCTGGTGTTCGGATTTGTTCCTCCGCTATCCCATGGCACTCTTCACATGGCCATGCTTTGTCTGGTTGACATGGCTGCTTCTTGTGCTAGCTTCGAGAAGAAGAACTTAACCAGCATGTTGGTGTTGCTTCGGTCACCATGGTATGACTCGTGCAGAACCCCGCTGGTATTGATGGTCCCCTTTTCTACTCGTACCTGCGAAGATTTAATGTATAGCATTCGCGGCAAGGGTATAATCATATAGAAGACTACGAAACCCGCCTGGGAACGCTATAGCTCGGATATCAACGCGATCGATTTGAGCAGTGTGGTAAGTCGTATTGTCCTACTTTGATCGACCTGGCGGTTCAGAATAGAGTTCGAGGTGTTATTGTCTTTATCTCTCCATCTTGGCTATCCAATGAGTACTCGCATATTTTGGGTGTGGGTTTCCCCGACTTTGAAGAGCTAGCGGTGAAAATCAAGGTTGATACATACACGTTCAAGGCAATTGCCATCGTTCGAAGAAAGTGATGATCAGTATGGCCGTGAATATTTGAATGTTGATTGAATAAATTCGTTGAATGCCGATCGGAGATTTGCGGCAATTGCCAATTGGAAATGTCGAGACGCGTTCCAACTTTGTTCCGGCGTTCATTACCTCTTTTTCCTTTTCCTCGTTGAAGATGGTGGGCATATCAGCATCTACCGAAATTTTATTGCTGACGAAGAAATAGTTTGGGTGTCTCAAAAGGAGCATCTTTTCGCAGACCTTCAGGCCTGGACGAAACGTGACTTTACCAACGCGTCGCTTTGCCGGTAGCACTTCCTCAGCGCACTCCATCGACTCGGACCAAACAGAGCGAGCAAAGCCCAAGCCTAAAGCAACGACGCCTCTTCGACGTTCTGCGTCAGCTTCCCTTCCCATTCGTGCTAACCCAACACCAACTCGAAGCGACATCCAAACTGTTTTTACATTGACCACTGCCGAGCGCTACCTTCTACCCAAGTTTCGTGCACATCCTAACCTTATTCATAATGCTCGACCTTTTCATGAATCCTGGTGGTTCCCTCGTTGGGGTCCAAAAGATAGAGAGGGCGAAGTCTTTGTGTTTGCTAACGGCAGTTTCGTCTGCTGGGGGCTTGGCGAGCAGGACGCTCGCATGTTCGCATCCGAAGTAATCCATCGGGTACCAGGTATCGAGGTTGCATCATTGAAAGAGGCAGAAACGGAGGAGCTGGAGTTCGTGACTGATCCAACTGAGTGAGTGTGCATATCTCTTGTGCAGGGTAACTAACTATATTTTTTGCAGGACAACTCGGTTACAGGGTGACTTGATTATACTTGGCCAGACCTCTACTCCTCCAACATCCTCCGACCTTCCGTCAATGGTTTTCCCTAGCGAAAGTGTTCTTAGTCGCTATGCTTTTTCACAAGCTTTGTCCCGTTCAACCGCGCTTTCCGCTTTGGAAGTGTCATTAGACGAGTACCTCTCATCGATGGCCCTACTTCCGCATTCTCTTGAGAAGACTGGGAAGCCAGGACTGGGGAGGGAGGCACTAATCAAAAAATTGGGCCAGCTCATGAAATTCAGGCAAGGTCTGAATTTGAATCGTGAAAATTTCAGTGACGTACCAGACTTTTACTGGACGGAGCCTGAGCTTGAACGTACGTTGATCACAGATACCATGACTGCTTGCGCTGCTGACTTTGATAGATCATTTCAACTCATTGACCGATGCGCTTGAGGTCAAGCAAAGAACAGATTCTGTGAATGACAAAATCACGTACGCAGCAGAGCTCCAATCTGTCCTGCGACAGCTGCTGACTGAGGTACTTGTGACTGCTTCCTCTGTAATTGAGCTAACGATGGTCTAGTCTTCCTCGCACATGCTTGAGCTGGTCATTATCGCGCTCATTGCTGTGGAAGTTGTCATAGTAAGTTGTTCCAGAGTTTTTCCAGCTGTTTGTCACGTTGACCGTATATGAGGCGCTCATTCGCGATGGTCCTGAGCTCTGGCATATGGTCAAAGGGACAGGAAGCGGTGGGAAGAAAAGTGCTGGAGAGACAGATATTTAGATTGAGGCTTGATAGATGTCATTAGTTTTGGATATAAAAGAATCTCAACCCAAAGGGTGAAGTCGGAACCGACGTTGTCACTCTTAGGTTTGTTGGCATGCGAAAGACCTTCGTTGCATTTATTCTTTCCTACACATAGCTTCTACCACGGATTGGGGGCAAACTCATCCGGTTAGTCGTCATATGTTGGTGGCACCGGTCGTCGGGGTCGCTGGGGCACTGCAATGGTGTTGAGAGCACGACCATAGCATAGGAATGAAGACGCACGAGGGTAAGTTATGGGAACTCTTTCCGCAGGCTTGTAGCCAAAGTATTTCTCTCGAATGGAGGGTATGGTGTACGCCATGACTGGACCGCCGATTCCCATTACGAGCGAGTAGAAGATGACAGGCCTCTCATGAGCTTCCCGTTGCTGTTTGAGCAGTCAGAAAAGGTGTACGAAAAACGGCGAGGAAATAAGCGTGCCAGATATCGGTATGTTCGTAGAAATGGACCAGCGACGGTGGCCATCGTTGCGACTTTGGATCAAGCTGGAAATGGGCGGTTTGAATTCGTCACATCGTAAACAAGTACAATCAACATCATCTCTCATCTCTTGTCTTCGCCCAGCATGTCCATGGAGGAAAGCATCAGCTTGGAGGAGACCAACAAGATCCGTATATCTCTTGGTCTCAAGCCTCTGACTGACGACAAGGCTTCAAGTGACGACAAGGAAAAACAGGCAGAAGACAATTATGCGAAACAACGAGAGCGCGAGGCCAAGGATCGCGAAACAAAGTAAATGTCATGGCTTTTTAACTAATTTTCAGTGCTGACGAGACTCTTTTTTGCTTACAGGAAGATTCAGGATAGAATAGCCAAGTGAGTTTTCTTTCCTTAGACTGCCAATATTGTTCCTACTATCCCTGGTGGCCTTCATAGAAACATCGCTTCTGTTGTGTAATTGGTTCGATGCATCGATGCTCATAAATGCGTCTTTCATAGGGTGAGAAATCGACGGGAACTCAATGCTTCCCTCAAAGGCTCGACGCTTGGTGATGCAGATGGCGATACCGACGATACTCTAAAATGGATCAAGAGGAGTAAGAAGAAGGAAAAGGAACTCGCCAAGAAGCGCCAGCAAGAATTAGAGAACTTGGACCAGATGTATCAGGGAGAAGAATACACTGAACGTGAGTATTCCATGTCGTGGTTTATATAACCTGCTTACTAGCCCTTTTGCTGCCCAGGTGATCTCGCTGGCCTTAAAGTTAGCCATGACCTTGACGCCATGGAAGAGGGTGAGGATCGTATACTCACGTTGAAGGATAGTCGAATTTTGGATAATGAAGGTGGGTTTCCCCACTTGTGCTGCCCTTCCGTTTTCCTAATACTTCCGCAGAGGATGAACTCCAGAACGTTGAAATGGCGGAGGCAGAGGCCACTAAGAAGCGTAATGAACTAAAGATAAAGAAGCGTGATTACACAGGATACGACGACGAGGAATTTGTGGGTGGGAAGCAGGGGATGAAACGCTCTATTCTGTCCAAGTACGACGAAGAACTTGAAGGTTCGCAAGAAATGGTCAGTACTCCATCCTTGTCTCTGTGCAAAGACTGACCTTTCCCCAGGGTTTCCGTCTAGGAAGCGCAGTGAAGTCAAAGAAGGCAGCGCAAGAAGAGGAGAAGCATGCAGCGGCAGCGGCAGTTAACAAAGCATTATTGTCCATAGACTACGACAGTAGGTCCCCTACTTTTTGCTGTTGGAATTGTGCCTTACTCTTTGTGTAGAAAATATAGAAACTGGCGACTATCTCAAAGAAGGTGATGTAGGTTTCAAAAAACCGAAGGTACGTGTTATTTTGTTCCTGCGCTACAGCTTCGCTCAATTGGTCTCCTTTAGACAAAGAAGAAACGATCTTCCAGGCGTGCTCCAGCCGAGACTGAACTAGCTGATGCTGACGAGATGGATGTCGATCAGAAGCCTATAATTCCGCGTCCGCGTGACCTTGACATGAATTTTGTCGATGATGACGAGCTTCAGGCTGCATTAGCACGCTCAAGAAGAACGAAACTTCGGAAAGCCACTAAGCTGTCTCCTGAAGAGTTGGCGAAGAAAAGTATGTCAGAAACATAATGTTGTGTGCCTATTTTCTGACATATGTATTAGTCACCGCTCAACGATCAAAGGAGGAGGATGAAGACATGGTTATTGATCGAACGGAAAACCGGGACGATACGAATCCTGAAGCGGCCTCTACGGAAGGTCTAACTTTTGACGATACGTCAGAGTTCGTGCGCTCCGTTGGAAACAATCCTATTGTCGTGAAAAAGGAGCCCAAAGAAATCATACCTGCTACAGCATCATCGAGTCGTCAACAACGGTCTCTATCAAGAGATGTATCTATGGCGCCAGGAGACGAAGCTTTAGAGGAGTTGGAAGCTGGAGAAGTGGCCGTCAAGGATGAGGACGACGACGATTACGATATGGATATGTTGAACGCTATCGAAGATGTCCTGAAAACCACCGAAGCTGAGAGTGCAACCGTGGATGACGGCGTTGGTGGTACTTCATCCGAGCAAACCTTCAATTCCGGCATGGCATCGACTCTGAACATACTGCGGCAACAAGGCATACTTTCTACTCCGAGTGCGGATGCGAAGGAGCGAGAAAGGACACAGCTTCAGCGAGATCTCTGGCTTGCCGATCAGCGTCGTCGGGTTGCTCAGCGGGAGATGGAAAGACTGCAGTCACGCGGAGGTAATCGGGACCAAGCACAGCGAGAGTACGAGAATCGTATTCGGGAACAACAGGAAGCCCGCGAAAACCTGGAGTCATTCAAGAACTACAAACCTGATGTTAACATCGTGTACTATGACGAGTACGGACGTAGTCTCACACCCAAGGAAGCATGGAAAGCGTTGTCTCACAAGTTCCATGGAAAGGGTTCTGGGAAAATGAAGACAGAGAAACGGTTGAAGAAGATTGCAGAAGAACAAAAGAAGGCTGCGATGGCTAGCGGAGACACTCCTTTGAGTATGAATAAGGCCTTTTTGCAGCGCCAAGAGAAGGCAGGTCAGGCTCATTTTGTCCTCTCCGTGGGTAACAGAGGGTGAGTCTTTCGTAAGGATGTGTTGCGACGGTATCTTATGACATTGTAGTGCCGTGCCGCAAGCTGCCGATTTCATCGAGACACAGCCTTTGTCGAAAGGCAAAACGGAGAAGACCAAGAAGAAGAAGGAAAGCAACAAGAATGCCCAAGCCCAAGCCCAAGCCGCAGATTCCGGTTTCATTACCTTACCTGCACCTGCGGTGCAGAACCTGGCAAACGGGGGAGCTTTGGGATCCGGCTTTTCTTCGATTGGTAGTACGGGTTCTCCTACGCCCAAACCAGGTTTCTCTAGGATCGGCTCTGCCGCTGAACCATCTTCGAGGGATGGGACACCTGGAGTCTCCGAGCGTTCGAAGGTTACGTTTGGGTTTGGGACGAAGAGGAAGGCAGATGGTGAAGCTCAGGGCACTCCGCCTTCAAAACGTCGGTAACGATGTTCAGCTAACTAGATGATGTGTCATTGCTACATGCCTGCGTGGCACCTATCTTTAATGTATATGTCTATAGTACATGATGTTGTCGGGTACCGATCATAATGTCGCAATGCTTTTGAGATTAAGGTCTTTAGCAACCATGCAACGATCCTTGTCCAATCCTTGAGCGCTTTGGAAAGATTCAATAAGCGATTCTTGGCCTTCATCAATCCTGAATGACAAAACGATAAACTTGCGATGGTTTTAAGAAAAAGCGAAGAGATACCATTTCACACTGTGCGCATCCCTCTCCAAGATCGTTTTTGCGGTTGCCCATGAAAACCGGACGACCTTCGGGAACCCAAAGACAGGGTCCATACAATTTCGCATCCATTCCTTGGTATTGGGATCTTCAGGATGTACTGAGTGTCAAAGTCTTTCATTTGTCCTCGTGGAAAGAAAGACGTACCAGATGGATATCCGGAACCCATTTCCGCCATGGGCGGCTTGTAGTTAGTCTCTTCGAAAGTCCACGTCTCAATGCAAGCATCCCTGGTGACCTTGGCGCCAACGCTGGCAGCGCCAACTATCTTGTACTTGAAATCTGCTTTTGTTTCTACTATGAAGCGTATTCCGGTAAATCGTTTCGAGAGGAAGTCTTGATAGTCTTTAGTGTTACCCAGAGCGTCGACGTAAACCTATCAATGAGATACGCAAACTGTAGAGCAACCTAGAGTCAACCAACCTCTGCTAGTTGGATTCCTGAGTCGATCACTTCTCGTATGAGAAGAATCGTGGCATCTCTCGATTGTTGGTTCAGATTGGTTGGAGGTCGCTTCAACATGCCACTAGAAATATCTTGGGGGCTAAAAATGTAGAAGGTTGGCTTCGTACGTCAACTTATGAGGAAAGTAACACATACCTGATGACTCTTACAGACCAACCCAGATTGGCAGGATCAGAGGTGAGAGTGTTGAGTAATGAGGATCTGATCTCGGGTGTTAGGGTTTTGGAGTCTGATTTAACATTATAAGTTGCCGGAGGAGGATAATTAATTGTACAGCACCCCTTACCCGCGAAGCCCATTGTCTCCAGGGTATCCTGGTATGAAACTGGACAGTATGCTACTCCATACACAAGAGGGCCCAGCACAGGACCTCTACCTGCTTCATCTACGCCCAGAATGTATGGTCCTGCTGCGGTAGGTGTCGGTGAATGATATGTATAGGACCGAGTTAACGGAACGGAGGGCCCTGGTGCGGAAGGAGGTATTGAATTGGACATGGTGGTAAGATTTCACGCGTTGTTGACGCGATGTTTGAAGCTGTTTGAAGCTTCAATTCCAAACACAGGCAATTAAGTACTAGGACCCTCGGTGCTCGGACCGGGCCGGTGCTCTCTTCCACTAACTGCCACGATCTTACGAATCTACTTGCTGTATCTCAAGATTTTGCGCTGTTCCTCGATTATTTATCATGTATTCTAATAATCACCATTCGCGACCCCATGTATCCATACCTCCAGGCTCCCAGCAGCCAATGAACCCGGCACCACCTTTTTCACCCTATGCATTCGAACTTACTACGCCGGCGGCAGGCCAGCAACATATGTCCAACCCGTGGGACACCTCAGATCAACACATTCCAGGGGCCTTCGAACCGCGTCCCCATTCTATCCTTCGTTCCCAATCTTCCAGTCCTAGCCATGCCAGCACAGTTTATGAAGCACGGGAACCTCCTATTGCTTTCCCAGAACCTCAGTTATTTCGTTCATCGTCTCAAAGAGCTACACTTTCTCCCGGAAATACATCGATGCTCTCGCATCGACATAGCAGAAGTGCTTTGGGCAGTGATGGTCCGCACCTACGACGAGAAGAATCGTACCTATCTTTGGCTTCGTCTTATGATCAGCCGGATGACAGTGACCATTACGAAACCGCGTCTGCTGGCGTATGTGCATGTTCCTGTAACAAATGTTTTCTTCCTGAATATGATTGCAGTCACACGGTGACGCCGATAACGCGACTCAACAACTTTCTAATCTGTCGTACGTGTACTTTAGTATCCGAGGAGTATTATACTTAACTTCTGCGACAGATTGGAACCGGAAGAAGGACTGCGGAAGTTTCAAGCCGGAGAATTACCTGAAATTGATCAAGAATGGTATAAATTAGTCCCTTCAGAGGCCCGAGAAGCTCTCGGAAAAAAAGAGGTACAAAGACAGTCCGTATTATTTGAAGTGTTCAAATCGGAACGCGATTATGTCTCTGACTTAGAGGCTGTACAAGATGTGAGAAGCACCCGATCTGTGTACGTTATGGATAATTAACGGCTTATTCCAGGTTTTCATAACGCCATTGAGGACTGCTTCCCCGCCAATCATTACCGAAAACATCCTACCCCGGTTCATCACCGAAGTTTTCGGGAATTTGAACCAGATTCTTACCCATCACCAACGACTTTTAGCAGCTCTTTTTGCTCGCCAACGCGAGCAGCATCCATTCGTTCTTAGTATTGCTGATATCATACTGGAGACCGCTTTGAACCCTAGTTTCAGGTCTGCGTACGAAATCTATATCAAACACTACCCTATAGCGGAGTCTCGTCACCGACAAGAACTTAAACGAAACCCTTCTTACCAGTCTTTCATCCAATCTGTGTCATCCGACCCGAGAATTCGAAAACGTGATTTGGTCACCTTCCTCTCGCGCTCCGTAACTAGGCTGCCCCGTCTCAGCTTACTCCTTGAACAGATACTGAAACTGACCGAGAAAGATTCCGGACATCCAGACTTGGAAAGTCTGCCAATCAGTTTAGGGATCTTCAGCGATTTCATAAAGAGCACTCAGCCCGGAATAGAGGCGGCAGAGAGTAAGGTCAAATTTTGGTCATTATGCGAAAGTTTGCAGTATCAGAAGGGCGAAACGATCGTAAGGGTCATACTTCATCCTAGCCCTCTGCGCCTAAAATTCTATATAGGACATGGATCTGTATGATGACAGCCGTACACTTGTGTACTCTGGACCTGTTTCACGAAGAGCCCGCTCATCAACGTCCGGGTCTTGGACCGACCTTGTCGTGGCCCTTCTGGACAATTTCTGTAAGTTTATATTTCGCTGTGGTTGATTTCTCTCTAAAAGAGATGCAGTCCTTTTGACCCGCGAAGAGACGAGACCGAATGCCGTTGTTAAACGATATCTCATCTCCCGCGTAAGCTACATGCCTTCAGCGTCTCAGCTGGTTACTAAAATTAAGATAGCCGCTCCCTCTGTCTTTTTTACGTTTAGGATCCTTCTCTGATCCCCCTGAATATCGTAAGGAATACGATAAGGATGGTGGTGTTTTAGGTTTGCGATACCAAAACGTGCCCGTATATCCCTTCACCATATACCACGCCTCAAGTAGGGTCAATCACCGATATACCCTCTATGTTCTGAGTGATTCGATACGTAGAAAGTGGTACAACTATCTTGTTGATGCTCTTGGGGTCAACAAAGCTAGACAGGACGGAAACATGGTATACCTCGTCGTTTCTATCTATTATTTTCACTTATAAAATCATACTAGTACTTCGATGCACAGACGCTCTCCGACTCTTTCTTCCGTGTTACGGGACCGAAATACATCTCGGGAGGGCATTTGACTGGTAAGGTTACCAGCGCAGTGCCATTCGGTTGGTCACTATAAACTGTATCCTATGGTTAGAACTCATCCAGATATCTAGTTAGCGGAGGGCGTAATTTTCTTGCCGTTGGCTGTACATCAGGCATATATGTCTCATTACGCGGAAAGGATGGTTAATAGCATCCTCTCGTGCGCGTCTTGAAACTAACCTCTCGCCCTAGAGTTTCGGAAGGTTCTAGATCATCCTAATCCGACGTCAATAGCTGCCGTCCAGACGTTTGAAAACAAGACCTTCAACAGATTTCTTGTACATCACGATTCAGTCCTAACGTCGTATTCCCTCGACCTTGTTGCACGAGTGGCGCTTGGTCAAGCTCAACAGAAAACCCTGGAAGCTTCACTGGAAAAAGTAGCAGGCCATGACGCCAATGTTCTTTTCTTTCGGCAAGTGCACATCGGCTCACGGGTCTTGAGTAAGCGGTTCACCCTCTCGTTCGTGAAGTGACTCACATACTACTAGTCATATACGCCTCAAAGAAGCTTTTGCAAGTGTCACTCGGCCTTCAAGTACTTGAGGCTGTAGATGTGTCAGAGGCGCCCATGTCTCCAAGACGCAACTCTCCAACAACCGCAAGATCCTTTCGTCCTTTTGGTGATGTTCGTGCTCTGCTTAGGTTTGTATAAGTTTACTAACAGTCTTCTCAGGCTGGTTATGTTCCCAAAGATGCGCACGAGATTACGGCGTTAGTCAAGACTATTGGGGTATGTACTGATGCTGGGATAGTCATCTTGGATCCAACCAAGTGTGTGACATCTAGTCCTCTCGTTTAGCAGCCTTGCTGATTTCATGACCAGCCTAGCACGATCTACAGTGACAGTTGTCCCCAATCTAAGTGACGCAGCAAATAATTCCGTCATGACAACACTGAAATCACGCCTAGAGGATGCTAAGCCACTAGGGCTTGTTCGTTGTGACGCAAACGAGCTTCTGGTCGTCTATGATAGTTGGTGTTCACTCCAATCGAGCTGTCTTTGTCTTGACTCCCCGTTTCAAGGTGTTGGATGCTATATCACAAAACACGGCCAACCCAGCCGTCAGTGTACATATGTCAAGTGGGAAACGCAGGCAACTTCGTTTGCCCATCGTGGCGCTCATTTTCTCCTCTTTTCGCCGGAGTTCATCGAAATCAGGAATATTCTCACTGGCCGTCTTGTGCAGGTTATAGAAGGCGAAAATATTCGCTTCTTGTATTCCGGACCTGCTGTAAGCTCGAATGATACGATTCTAGTTGGGATGCGAGGCGCCAAAAACGATAAAGACGGTGTCAGCGACCGCATAGTGGAGCTGGTGGAAACAAAAGAACTCGGGGCGAACAACCCGCCGGTTACTAACGGCTCACCTGCGATGTGGGCAGAGTGGGATATGCAGTGATTTATGCTACATGATCGTACTATTCGCTACGTTACAACTCAACCTACTAGTCAGATAATCTGTATGTATCTACTCACATGTATCCAGTACATAGACTCTTTTGACTACTTGCAAAATTTTCACTTTAACTGCCTTGTATCATGAAAAGAACCGGGGATTCACAACAGAAAACTCTCATCGACATTGGTCAGAGTGACAGTTGAGAATGTACGACTACTGTGCAATGAAAGTAGTCATACCTTGTAGATTAGAAGCGCCTTGTGACCCATCAAGATAAGACAGTACGAAGACATACAGATGGGATGCTCACTGATTTGAAGACCAGCCGCGCTGGCAGGCCCTGCGATGTCGAGTTTCTGAATCAACTGGGCGTCTCCCGGTGCTTTCAACGAAAGCACATTGAGAGCGGTCACGTTTGGCGTCAGGATGTACATGAAGCTGAGGGTTAAACATTAAGATTTGAGTCATGGAGAGGAAATGATATTTAGGCTCACTCATTGCTACCCATAGAAGCGATATCATTATCTATCGTAGCAGCTCCTTGTCCTTGGTTATATTGCTGTACGGAATACGAGTATCAGCGATGTAGGAACGTGGTGAACTCTGGACTTACTTTAACAACAGTGCCCACAAGATCGTTATCGACATTGATTTCGGTTACCATAGAGGTTCCGATATCAGTCAAAAAGAAGTTCTTTGTATCTTTTAAAGCAAATTGAGTAAATGGGCAACATGATGTCAGAAAAATATGACTTACTTGGACTGAAGCTCGACCAGCATGTCGCGCTTTGGCCATCGATAGCGACAACTGATGACTTGTTGCTTTCATTTGTACCAGAGCTAAAGTCAAAGATGTCGAAGCCAATTCCAGCATCAGTAGCTAAGATCGCGTTCTTTCCCGGGATGATTGTCATCGAGAACCTTTTGTTAGCTCACTCATGACGGCCCATAATACACAGCAGGTGAACATACTGGAGAAGACCCCCTTCTGCAGGGGCGACGGGAGTAAAAGACTCAGATAAAGATCCATCATCAGCAACGTCCCATACGGCGAGAAATCCAGGTGTCGGTGGTACACCTTTGACTGAAGCGATGAGCTGCTTGTTGTCTTCCGAAAAGACTATATGGCTAACAGATCCTGCAGGACCTGTCGCAGGAGTAGTCTGGTTAAGATTGAGCGAGCGATTAGTGCCGGTGACAGGTACCAAGCCATTCTGCTCGCTGACAGAAAAACAACTAGGTGTGGGCGTCAGTTATTCCCAGAGTCAGGAAACCAGAGTATGTTCATTACCTGACGCCATTCACTGCGCCTCCATTGAGAGCACAGACGGTATCGCCAGCACTGTTGATAGCGACCGACACAGGAAACTCCCCGCCACTTCCAACGGGGGAACCGATCATTGAAATATCTGTAGGGTCGGAAGGGTTGATGCTAAACGCAGATATCGTGTTCGAACCAGCCTGTGAGAGAGTTGGATCAATGGTAAAGCTACGTCCGGTTGTAACCTACATTAACTGTCGCAAGGATCTTTCCCGATGCAGAAGCTTTAACTGAGCCTTGACTGAACAAGGCGTCGGGACCGTTTGCACCGGCATCATCTCCATGACTGCCGATACCTCCAGTGCTGACAGCCTGACGCAAGGTCTGGATAAAGTAGGTAATTACTAAATGTTACCTCAGTGGTATGGTCAAATTTTACCAGAGTCCCATCGTTGGACATGTCAGCGGCAACGACGAAATTTCCCGAGGCCTCATTTGTGATGACTGCAGAGTGATATCAACTAAGTAGAAAACAGAGTGGATGGAGGTACTTACAATACGCGGCACCAACCGACTGGGTGTTGGAGGAGTTTCCCATAGAGACTTTTTGGCCGTAGCTTCTACCAGCGGCTCGCAAAGAAACTGGATAGGCATACCCAACAAGGGGCAGGGTTAAAATCAAAGCCGACCGTCCAGCAGCAAATTTCATCTTCGAAAATGAACGAGTGTAGATAAAGACTGGAAACGACACGTCGACTAGGTGCGGCTGTGGAGAAGGAGATTAATGAGAGCTCTGCTCTAAAGGAAAGTCGAAGAAAGATGAAGCGAAGAAAAGGACTTCCTGGGTATATGATTTGCAACCACGACAGTTTATGAAGGCAAAACGACGTCACATGTCGCTCATGGAATTCGGGACGCTGACATACGAGATCAAAGTAATTGTTCAGCGGATTATAAGTCAATCATTAACCAAGGCAACACCCCACTCATAAATGCTACAACAGTTTATATATCTGCACTTCTACCTGTGGGAGAGTAAGAATCAGAGGTAACCTTAACAACTCAAACTGTCTTACAAACAAGGCGCACATTTTTCTAAGGTTCCTCCGCTTCTTCCGTGGTAAAAACCAAGCAAACGCCATCATCTCCCGCGCTGACAACTACAGATCCATCCAAACCAAGAGACGCACCCAAAACTGGGCCTTGGTGGCCCTTGTGCTCTCGAATAAGAGTGCCAGTACGAGCGTCCCACGTCCGTAAAGTCTTATCGGCAGAAGCAGAAACCAGAAGATGGCTCTTAGGGGGCGGCAACGCCAACAGTGATGTGATAGCATCCTACGAAACACATTATGACGATTGTGGCGACGTTGACCAGCCAATAACATACCTCGTGTTCGAGTGTTGTTCGCAATCGCATCGTTGATAGGTCCCAGATACAGATCTTGCCGTCGGTAGCTCCCGTAGCGACGATACCAGGTCCGGTGTTGTTGCCAGTTAGATCTATGAATTGGACGGCCTCGATGCTTTCACCTTCGGTATGACCTCCCAAAGTAGAGACGACTTCACCCTTGCTCAAACTGACCACGCGAACACCTCCTGCGGCACCTCCAACAACGGCGAGTGTTGAAGAGAAGTTGACAGCTAGGGAGGTGATACCATCAAGGTTGAAGCGCGCGTCATCTGCCGACAGTTTGAATATAGGTGTCGATTGCCGGGGATCCCAGTATATCAAAGTTCCGTCTGCACAAGCTGAAACGATTCTTTTGCCTGGAGAAGAGATATCATTATATGATTTTGACGCGTTGCATCACACTGGCTTACCGTCTGGGGTGAATTCCCCACACTGTACAGCCCCTGTATGTCCTGCAAAGACCTGCATTGTGTTCCCAGAAGGCACTGGACCGACATTGTCAATAAATATGCAAAGTAAAGGAAGAAAGCTCACGTTGCCACAACCAGAGGGTAGAATCATTGGAGCCTGCAAGCAACACAGAACCCTTAGGATGCCATCTCAAAAACTGAAGGGTTGCTCAGAAGCAGAAATCAATCATTATCGGAAAACATACCATGACCTCATCAGGTCCTTGAAGCTCTGTCAAAAATTCCCAGGTCCGGTAGTTTTCCTTCCCCACCCTTCTCCATATCCTGACCTTGCCGTCCATGCCTCCAGTTGCGATGAGCTCACCATCCCGACTCCAAGCTGTGCTGGTCACACTGTCGGTATGCCCCGTCAGCTTGACAATCACCTCTCCGTCTGTGATATCCCAGATGTACCCAAAGTCGTCTTCTCCTCCAGATACAGCGAGAGCTTCTGTTGGATGCATGGAAATCGCAAAGACGGATGCTTGGTGATTGGGAAAGGCTTGCACCGAGTTGTCTTCGCCAGAGGAGGATGTCCCAGGCAGGTCGCCGACGACATCGCCGTCTTCTCCGTCATCGTCCTCGTCCATGGGATGGTCGCCATCATCGGGTACCTCTGCAAGAACATCGTCGCTGGTTATGTATTGATCGCCTGTATCGACATCGTCGAGATCAGGATCCTGGTGAATAGTATCGGAGGCCATTATAACAATAGATTGAAAGTCTTGTAATGACGCTTGTTTTTAAAAAGGTTCTTCAGTGAACACTTAGCAAGCGCTGTGCAAATTTCCGAGTGCAAGCTGACTCAAGTGGATGAAGCTGACTGAGCCAGCCCGCTGACGGACCGGAGGAAAAAAGTTTTGATTTTGACATCGATTAGATAACCACGTGGCAAGACAGGGGCCAACATGAGCACCTTCCTCTAAGTCCCAACTTCATCGTAGCTCTCATAGTGGCCAAGGATGAGTCAATCTTGTTTAATTTTAACAATACCATACAGGAAGTCGTACAAAATAACCGTGAGGACCCGCAGCAATAACATCAAGCTGTACCTCTGATGACCAATCAACTGACGTGGAGATATTTCTTGTGGCCGACGGCTCGACCGAAGTTACATTTTCCTTTCCTCTCTCCCATCATGAAGGCGTTCTTTGCACTATTTGCGACGGCTTTTGTAGCCGGAGTACGCGCCTCCAATGTTCTTGAACTAAACCCTGGCAACTTTGACGACGTTGTAGGTGTCGGAAAGCCTGGCCTTGTCGAATTGTATGTCTCGAGCGCTTTCAATGTTGAATGTATCTAACTGGCCTTTTACCACTAGCTTTGCACCCTGGTGGTACGTCAGAAATCTCTTTGGTTGGCTTCTCATGCTGACAGACGTGGAACTATTAGTGGTCACTGCAAGGTACGTGTCTATTCCCACCACTTATTCATTTTGGTACTAAGTCGTGAACTAGAATCTCGCACCTGTATATGAACAAGTCGCGGATGCATTCTCGCATGTCAAAGACAAAGTCTACGTCGCCAAAGTAGATGCTGATGGCGAAGGCAAGCCGTTGGGCCAAAAATATGGTGTCACTGGTTTTCCGAGTAAGTAAAAGGCTGTTTCCTCCGTGCCATTCTAATTATTGGCTACAGCATTGAAATGGTTCAACGCCGATGGTACAGAGGAGGCTTATTCTGGTGGACGCGATCTCGACAGTTTAGCTGCATTGTATGAAATCGTCTCTTGTCTGCTTTGCAATAATTTCTCAAGGAATACACGACAGTATCTCCGAAAAGGCAGGTGTCAAGTCGAGCATCAAGCCGCCTCCCCCGCCATCATACCCCATTTTGGATATTTCAACATTTGATGAAGTCGCTATGGTCAGTGGATGAAGGCGTGTCCAGTCATACATAATACTCAGTTCTTATGAAGGATCCCACTAAAAATGTCCTTGTTGCGTTCACTGTCAGTTCATTTGTGTTTGTTTCCTCTATTATCTTTTTCTCACATACCTATAGGCGCCATGGTGTGGTCACTGCAAAAATATGAAGCCGGCATATGAGAAAGGTGTGGGCGTTCTTCTTGCTATGTTGAATTGACTAAACTTAGGAATTCACCAGTCGCAACGACCTTCCTACCGGAAAGCGATGTGCGCTCTGGACTCTTCTCGAATTTGATCCGTTATTCATGTTTTCTAGTGCATCATCGCTAACGTCGATGGTGATGACAAGAAAAACAGCGACTTGACTAAGAGATATGAAGTCACAAGCTTCCCAACGATCAAGTTTTTCTCCAAGGATAACAAGGAGGGCATAAGCTACGAGGGTGGACGCTCCGAAGTCGATTTCGTCAACTTCCTGAATGAGAAATGCGGCACCCATCGTGCAGTCGGAGGAGGTTTGACAGACAAGGTAAGCGCCGTCTTAATTGTTCGAAGACATGATTGATTCATGTGAACCACAGGCCGGGCGCCTCCCTGACTTTGACGCCCTTGCTAGCAAATTCTTCGCCGCCGCTGAAGATGCAAAGAAGGCAGTTGTCGAAGAAGCGAAGGCACTCCTAGCTTCCAACACGAGCGAATCTGCTCAGTACTATTTCCGGGTTATGGAAAAGCAAGTCAGCGGACCTGCTGGGTACCTTGAGAAAGAGCTTAACCGGTGGGCGCCTTTTTTGTACTTCTTTGCGTTCATCTTCTGATCGAGCATCTACTTCCTCGCACATCCAACGTTATCGTCAATGTGTCGCGTGACCCCACTCTCTCCACCAGGCTAGAGTCGTTGCTAAAGAAACGGAGCCTTTCGCCATCCAAACTCGACGAGATAAAAATCAAGACGAATATTTTGCGCGCCTTTGAGAGCCCAAAGGAGGAGACGATTGGTCGGGAAGAAGCTGAGCTATAGACGCCAGAGCATGTGGACGCTTGTACGATATTTGAACAGGAACACGTTCTTAATTTAAGCCACCCACGCCGAGTGTAGTGTGTCGTCTTGAAGGGTCAACGGAGTAAGCAAAGCAGTGGCAAAGCAATGGCCTCATGTTTGACACGCAGCTTATGACGTGAGCTATCGATCCGACTTTTATCTCTTACATCTTTCGGCACTGTAAATACGCATTCAAGCCCCCAGTCTTCTTCCTTCAAGCCATCTTCTCATTTGCTATCTCTCCCTGAACAGATCGCTTCATATTCAAAACGGGTATCTTCAGTAGTCTGTAAGTCGGCTAATGTGCTTTGATTGAGTCGTCCCTCACGCCTTTGGCCGAAGGATCCCTACCTTTCTGCGCGATAGATCATCATTCCCAATGACCGATAGGTCCAGCATTGCTCCCGACAAGTCTGTTACAAAGCCCCTCAAAGTCTATCGCTTCCGCCCGAACCACCATGAAGCTCAGTGGAAGCATCTCAAACTTCACGGTGAAAGCACCAAGCACATGTCCACTCCAGTCCAGCTCAAATTGGTGACATGGAATCTGGACTTTTCAGCGGATCATGCTGTGGAGCGCTTTAACACGGCTCTAGAGCACCTCCAGTTCGACGTCTTCAAATGTGACGAGGGTCAGTCGCCCGGGCCTTGCTGCATTCTGCTCCAAGAAGTGAGACCCGAGTGCCTGAGAGAACTGTTGAATACTGACTGGGTACGGGACCATTTCGCCGTGACGCCTGTCGACCACACCAAGTGGCCTGGGCCGCATTACCAATACGGCAATGTCACTCTCGTCGAGCGGACTGTCCCCATCCGAGATGCGGAGATCGTATTCTATGGGCGTACCGAGCATGAACGTTCAGCTATTGTGCTGGACCTCCGTATGATCAGTACACGGGGCTTCAAACGGAACTTGAGGGTAGTCAATACTCATTTGGAGTCCATGGCGACGGGGAGGCCTAATAGGCTTCATCAGTTGAAGGAATGTGCCGTGCTGTTGAGGAACTCGTCCACCGGTGGGGTTGTGGCGGGTGACTTGAACGCGTTTGATCAGGATTTTGATGACGCGCTTCTCAGCCTAGAGCTGGCTGACACTGCCGGGGAGCTTGACGACGAGGAGGCATTCACTTGGGGGGAACAGGGAGGAGGTGCAGGCGAATTCCCCAAGTCCCGTATGGACAGAATTTTGTCCTATACGCCAGCTGGGAAGACGAGGTTCGATATCACGCCGCCAGAAAGGATTGGAATGGATTTGAAATGCGGAGAGTTGTGGGTGAGCGACCACTTTGGTCTCCAGGCTATTTTGACAGCCGTACGTTAATTCTCGTTGAATGATGACTTGGTATTGACTGGTACTTGTACATACCGATAAGCCTGAAGGACCGGAAGATATAAATGAAGAAGAAGAGTTAAGACCCGAATCATCTCAGTAGCCTGTAACAAGCCACCCTTTCAGTTGGATAGCGACAGTCGGCCTAGAGCTTGCTATATTTTCTACTAAGAATGTCTCAACATATTTCAAGTTCCTATTAGAAACCGCAGAATCGTAAGGTAGCCCTTTGTCATTCGTCTAGACATACAAATACTAAATTAGTGAGAAAGTATTTGCTGATAAATTATTGTAAATGCAGTCTAAAGAGGAAGCAAAGGAATGAAATAATGATATGGTTAATCATCCAAATGGGCTCGGTACTCAGTACGGAGAATGCCTGGGTTTGCCAGCAAGAAAGAACATCTACTTTTGGCACGCCCATGCAACCGAAAATATATGTACAGCATGCGCATTGGCCTATAATATGGTTAGAACAAAAATACAGCACTGGCGGCAAGAAACACATACATCCTTGACAAAAGCATTGCCGGCCGTATGCATAAATCGAAATGGTATCCTTAGTTAACTTGACGGATGAGCCAGCACCTGAGCAATAGACGGGCCTTGCTTCAAGTTAGCTGCGTACGCAGCAGCGGGGGTAGGAGCAGATGCCGATGGCATCGATGCAGGCAGTTTTGACGTGCGCTTCTGCTCCTTTTCGCGACTCCGAATGATAGCGGCCATAATTGCCGGATCGCGAGAGGATGATGACGGCGCTGATGCCTGCCTGTGTGGTACTGGGACACCCTCGGGGATGACTGACAGTGTTGACGTGGATGGACTCGGCGGTATCAAGGACGATGTCGACGACGTTGATGTCGCCGAGAAAGCGACGGAAGAGACTGATGCTCGCTTATCCAAAGCAGGGACGGAAGGAATGGATGCGTCGGAGCCTGCTGTACTGCCGTTACGTAGAGATGAACGTTGTGAAAGTGTCGGTTTCGCTGGTACCTTACTGTAACGTTTGGGTCGCGGGGTTCGCACTGCAGTTGTTGACTCGCCACCAGACGTCTGATGAGATTCTGCTCCCGAGTCATAGTCGGCGTTAAGATATCGGTACGCGGGATTTTTTGATGCAGATGGCGAAGAGGGACTGAAAGTGCTCTTCTCTGTTTGCAGTGCACTTGTGGATTTAGAAGGAGCCAGAATCATCGGACTTTCCCCAACTGCAGCACCCCGATTGTTCACCAGCCAGGTGAGTCCTTGTATCTCCTTTTCTCGCCGAGCGGCTTCTTTCTCCAAGAGGGCAATCTTCTGTTCAAGGTCAGTCTTCTCCGAAAGATGCGCTTTAGCGGCTTTCAGCAATTGATCTACTTGTTGAGACCGGTCTTTTAAAGCCTGTCGTAATTGTTCCACTGGCGCAGAGTCGATGTCAAGATCATCGTTCTCTTTGTTGGATCTCTCGTCATCCATTCTTCTGTCGGGGGACTCGCGAGGAGATAATGGCACGGAGGACGGAGGGCATGGTATTGGTGGCAAAGAAATTGAGGACAGGGTATGGGCTCTACGCCGACCATTGGCTATGCTTTTCGGGCCTGCTGAGATTGTCGGAGGGGGGACATCAGGGAGAGGGCTGAGAGGGGGGAGTTCAGGAAGGGGAATGGTCGGAGGCTCATGAGGAGATGCTCCCTTGGCTAGGTGGGACGGCCGTTGTTCCTGAGAAGAGTACGGCATAGATCCTAGCATTCGACGCGTCTCAAGTGAAGTACGATGACCGGGCAATGCCGGCATAGAAAGTGTGGAGAGCATCTCTGATTCCTCTCCTGAATGTCTGGAACCGTCTTCGACGCGATATCTACGCGTACTCCGCGTTGATTTCAAAGATACGGCATCATCGGTGTAACTGCGGGTGTCACGCAGCTTTGCCGGTGGGGATTTCGGTAATGGAGGGATTTGTGGCGAAGATAGCCGTGGAGGGGACTTGATTTGAGTATCACTTTGATACGCTCGATCTTCATGCGTCGAAGGCTGTTGGTTGGTAGGGGAGATTCTTTTACGGGGTTGAGTAAAAAGATCGCCGTATTCGCTAAGATTGTCGGGAGTTAGAGACACGGTTATTGTAGGCTGCTTGGGTCTCGGCATCGCCGAACGGCGCTTGTGACTGGCTTCAGAAATTGTAGTATCGATGGATGTGGAGCGAGTACTAGATATTGGAGATAGCAGCGAGTCAGAGGTGTATCCATTGACTGAAGTAGTATGTGAGGATAAACGTGTAGGCTTGGTCGGGGATTTCGGGATAGAATGTGCAATGCGAACCGCAATTTTTGAGCCCAATAGCGAAGGGGCATCAGATGCACTGGTTGAAGCATGGGAATGGGAATGGGATACAGATGAATCCGACGGTAAAGGGTTACTGAGCAAGTTAATAAAGTAGTGCGATGTAATGAAAGGGGAACAACATACATCTCATCTGTCAATGACGTTGGCCGCTGCCCATCATCAGTATTGCGAGATTCAAAGGTACTACGCCCATCTGATAGGGCAGATTTCTTCCTGGCGCGTCCTAGGAATGGGATACGGGAACTCTTGCTCTTATTGGAATGTTCTAGTACGGGATCTCCTTCGTACGCCAGTGAAGATGTCACCGGCTCGTTCGAGGTACGTCGCTGGCTGGTGTGGCTGGCACCATGACTCCGTAAAAAATCTGTAAAGTGCAGTTTGCGGGCATGCGACATGAAAAGGACGAAAAGAGGGTGGAAGTCAGGGTAAAAGGAACGTATCCGTCGGAAGAAAAGAGAGACGCTGTCAACGAAGGAGTCGTCCTCAAAGGATATTGAGTCGAAATACAATTTCACAGGGCAGGCATTACATACGAAAACAAAAAACTAGACCCCTGCTAGAAAAGCGGCAGTGCCATCTGTGACCGTGACACTTACGGCATTCGGTTCGGCTCCCGGCTCCGAAGTCCCCAGGGTGCTTCAGGGTTGCAATCTCGTTCCTTATCTTCAACTTATTGCTGCGTCGACTTGGAAACGCGTCCTAACGCGACACAAGGCGTTTAGATATTGACTTTTGCTCTTGTGATATTGCCGGTGATGCTTGATTCTGGGGGGAACAATTCTAGGCCCTCCCTTCTGGACCATATGGATATGACATTCAAATTCGACATTTCTTCCCAACAAGGAAGTTACAAGGAGCATAGTTCTCATGATGGATTTATTTAACGTCTCGGGCTCTCGGGATTCTTCCGTTCTACAGCTGGGAAACCATGCATCCGGCACGGACGACTTTTCATTCCCAGATCTTAGTCCTCGCACGTCCGTCAGACAATATCTTCTAGTCTTCTGATGCCATCGATGAAACCATTACAGTGGTTGTCGGCTGCAATGTTCCCAGATACGCATGATAGCAGGCAAATTAGGCTGCAGTATAAGTTCTCAGGTCATATTGGCCTTGTGAACTCTTTGGCCCTACTCTTGCTTTCAAACTTGACATGCTTTGGTCTTTGGTCCTCCTTCTGGGCGTTGCCTCGCCCTTTGGTGTCGTCGCTAACCCACTCGCTTCCAAACCCTGGAGCGACCTTGTTGAGAAGCATTCTTGGGCGGAGATTCCTCGCGGATGGGAGCACGTCCGTTCACCCGATCCAGAACACATCCTTGAAATGCGCATCGGCCTCAAGCAGAATAGGATTGATGAGCTGATCGACAGTTTATATCAAATCAGCGACCCAAAACACGATCGGTACGTTACTTGTTTGAGCTCGCAGTGGCGGTAATTTTGTCTGATAATTCGGGCCCGGCAGCTACGGAAAACATCTGTCAAAGGAGGAAGCTGATGCTTTGGTGGCTCCTCATCCCGATTCTGTTGAAGCGGTCGAATCTTGGCTTTCTCATCACGGCCTCAACACTGACGATATCACCTTCCGCTCGGGAGGAGGAGAATGGATCGTCATTCCAATGACTGTTTCTCAGGCGGAGACCATGCTAGGGGCAAAATACGGATTATACCGTCATTCTTCCTCGTCGTCCTACGTTGTCAGGACCTTGGGTTATTCACTACCTCGTGAACTGCATAATCACATAAACGTGATATCCCCTACGACCTATTTCGGAACGATACGCAGCATGAAGGCCACGCATTTCATCCAATCTGACGAAGTGGACTCGATTCTGTCACCAAATGCGGTGCCTCCAAGTAGTTGTGCCTCGCAAATTACACCGTCCTGCTTACAAGTACTTTATAACAGTTAGTCTAGATCAATGACATGCCCTGATTACCCCACATTGATGCCACAACAGCTACGGGTTATGTCCCCCAGGCCACCGACGTCAATGTACTCGGCGTTGCAGGCTATTTGGACGAGTTTGCAAATCGTGCGGATTTGCAGGTGCGTCTTTCGGTCGGTCATCTTTGAAGAATAGGATAGTTATTCCTTCACGTTCTCTCGCTTTAGACCTTCTTTTCCGCTTTCCTACCGGGGGCAGTTGGAACCTCTTTCGAAACCATAACAGTTAACAATGGTGGAGACAACCAAAGCGACCCTGGCGTTGAGGTACGAATCACCTGTGCCGTGATATAATTAATATACTCACCATTTTCCCCGAAGGCGAATCTGGACATCCAATATACCGAGGGGATGTCATTTCCTACTCCAAATATTTACTTCAGGTAAACCTTCCAATTCTTTGCTAATTGCCTCCTTCATGTTCCGTCCAGCACCGGGGGATCTCCGCCCTTCGATCCTGATTCCCAGACTCCTACAAATACGAATGAGCCGTATCTCGATTGGCTGAACTTTGTGCTCGCCCAGGACACGATACCCCAGACTATCTCTACATCCTACGGTGACGATGAACAGACGGTGTGTATTTGTATATATTGTCGACCCATACCCAAATTTTACAGCCACCTGAATACAGGTCCCCAGCGATTACGCAGTTAGCGTGTGCAACTTATTTGCGGAACTTGGCGTTAGAGGCACTACAGCCCTCTTTTCTAGCGGGGACTTTGGGTGCGTGCTGCAATGAGATTGATGTCCATTGACCGTTCAGTTATACATAATACTTATCTAGTGTTGGCGGCGGCGATTGTCTAACCAACGACGGTACTAACACTGTCTTGTTCCAGCCTGCGTTTCCAGCGAGGTGAGGGCGACCGTTACTTCCCATGACCAGAGACTGAATGTTCTTCCTTCCTCAGTTGTCCATTTGGTAAGACCGACACCGACGATACCATCAGAATGGAAGTACTGATGTCGTTCAGTGACTGCTGTTGGCGGCACCATTGGTATCAATCCCGAAGTTGCTGTTGATTTCTCGGGCGGTGGATTTTCGCGACTCTTCCCGACACCAGACTATCAACTCGATGCTGTGAACGGTTTTGTAGAAGGACTGGGTAACAGGTTCTTAGGGCTTTTCAAGTCAGTCGCCGAATCATTTTGTTACCTTGGATACCATAGTCTCATGTTTGGGTAGCCCCGGGGGACGTGCATATCCTGATGTTGCAGCTCAAGGCCAGAACTTCATTGTGGTCATCGGCGGTCGCGCTTTCTTAGTGGGCGGAACCAGCGCAAGTTCACCGGTATGCTAATGTTTCCTGTTCTCATGACTTCTTTAGCTCAGTTTATGGTAGACGACAGCAGGTGTGATCTCGCTACTGAACGACTTCCGTCTGTCAAACGGTCAGAGCTCGCTGGGATTCATTAATCCGTTGATCTACGCCAACCCAGGGGGATTCAATGATATTGTATCTGGAACTAATCCAGGATGCGGTACTCAAGGTACATACTTATTAAAACTCTTGTCTTCACCATGGGTTGTAATCAGTGCCTTCCTAGGTTTTTCCGCTGGAAAAGGTTGGGATCCTGTGAGTCTCGCCTACCTCTTATGCATGCATTACAATGTGCTCAATTCGCTTGTCTACCAGGTGACTGGTCTTGGTACCCCGGACTTTTTGAAACTTCAAGCCATTGTTTCGGCGTGAGTTTGATGGTGGACTTCACATAAATATGGAAAGAGCATATCTTCACCACCTTATGGATCCCTGTTCAGTGGGAAAGGGCATGCTTCGTAAAGTCCGACTGTCAAGGGCGTCAAGACACAAAGTCCGCATTGTGACTTCCACAACGTGCAAGATGAATATATCCTCCCCTGAATGTCCTTATGTCCAAAGGCACTGAATGCGATGGTATCATCTGGAGAAGACTAAAAACAACCAGACTGCGCTGTACCTTACTGTTATCCGTCCTCCCGAGGACCGGGAGAAGCTCAAGCAACATGCACCGGCCGTGCAAGGTGTTAGCTATCTTGCCGCGACAGTTTCAGCGGAGAAGATGCGGGTCATTTGCAAGTGGAACTGTCAGTTTATGAACAGCAAACGCGGGTTCTCATTGGAGTAGCATATGGCCAGTGGGGATTCGTTAACCCTTGGCTTGCGTTAAGGCACTGGATTGCGTTGTTGCATGGCTGGACGATGCCGAGAAAATGACCGATCTCCCCATGGACTGCAGGCGTGTGAACAGACGGGAAAATCAAAGGTATCAGCCAGCCACTTGATGCTTGGGCAGTAATATACGGCTAGTTCAAAGTTGAGTTCCGACTTCTGGTCAAGTAAACCCGCGTCTCTATCCAAGTTAATATCCCAAAGTTTAGTATTCAACAGAGCCTTTCTTTACTGGTAAACGGTGCAACATTCCTAGTGACGGCATGACCTCATGAGACTGATGAGCTTGGGCAGTTTATCCAATGGACACCATCAAATGTGCGGGAATCACTGGTCGCTGTAGAATGTTTCGCGATGAAGAGAAAGTAATGTCGATGCCACAGTGTCCGGAAGCCATATTGTCTTACTCGTCTTACCCAAGCATCTGAGAGCACTTACCGTCACGGCGGTCGAGGCCCCCCACGATGCTGCGCTATCGGCCAGGAGACAGATGAATGAGATGAGACATGAGGCTCTCGACATGATATCTGCGAATGTCATGTTGCACAACTCTGTAGGTAGTAGATGCATGACGCATCGCGTTCAAGGTTTGATAATCGCCGGTAACTAGGCAATTAAGTGGTGCCGGAGTGCCGGCTTTAAGTTCTGGCTTCTGCATTTTAACTCTGCATTTTTTCTCACCATTTTTTCCTCAGAGCAATTATTGAATAAAGCTGATAAATCTCGCTCACATTCCTGAGGTAACCCTGTACAATTAACGTTTGAATATCTTAGATCTAATGCTTTTTTTTTTGTAAGGCAGTGTTCGCTGGACTTCATTCATATTGGAATCCTGATAAATTCATCGTTTCAATGCAATATGCACGGTCACAACCATCTTTGTGAACCAGAATCTTGATATACTTTCCGGCCTCGGGAGGTGTTACTGTGCTTGCATCACATCACTTTAGAGCTGATGGACGCTATCCAATGACATCGCTGCTATGATCCTTAGCAACGTCAAGCTGAGTAGCTTGCCAACAGAACGGTTACGGAAATCATATATGGCGACCGCCCTTCCGTATAGAGAGCATGATCACGATGCATTGGCCGCAGCTTTTTGGGTTCATATCTTTCCCACATTTTCTACGCTCGACCCTCACTTGACAGCAGCAGGGCCTGTGGTCCATTCGTTTCACCCGACTCGCTCTTTCTTCGGGCTCCTTTCAGCTGGTCTCTGAAATGCTCAGCGTCCTTATTTATTGACTAGATGGGATTGCCGTGCCTCTCGTCAGCCTCGATACTGCGCTGTGAATCACTTACTAGGATTCAATACGTCGTTCTCGTAATCCCTTCAGCCGTGGAAATTATTTTTTCGACTTCATTGATTTTCACCAACCGCGGCGCAGGTCGGTGAGTATCAATATAGAATCGGTGTCTATGTCTTCTGAATGATGATATAAATACTTTCAGGCGGCATCTACTGCTTACTGTTGAAGGGTGGTCATATTTGACTTTGGCAATCCTCGATTTGATTTCTCACATATTACCCGCTGCGCGGGATAACCTAAGGACGTTTGAAGTCTTGGATATTGTCGTGGGTGCGTGGGGACGATCCTCTCAGGCCCGACGAGTGATACTGAAACCCTTTCTAGCTGTTGCATCTTCACTTCCAATATTATTCTACACCGCGTTTCTTTTTTTCTTCGCTCGCGCCGAGCTCCTCGAATCCCTTCCGAGCCGCTTTCGAAAAATCGCACAGCCTATGCTATTATTCTTCGTTCCCGTCATAATCACGCTTAATGAACTGGCATCCCTGTTCGGTATAACACATCGTGGTCAGTATTCTTCGCTGTTCAGTGTCCTCCATTAACGTTTCAGTTCCAGTAAACGACTCCGGTAGCATTTTTATCGGCTTCAAGACAGACCGTGATCGTGACCTGTGGACATTCCTCACCAGCATGACGCTTTCACTTTTTACGGTATACCAACTCATCAACTTTTGCCTTGCGTTTTTTCGTCTCGTCAACGCTTTACGCCAGCAAAGAAATCTGGAAACCTCGTCCTCGGATCAGGCTTATTTGTTTAGGGGAATTGGCTGGATTTCTGCAGGCCTGAAGCTCGGTGCTATTGAAACGGTTGTGGGATTTGCGCACACGACCTTTTCTGGCGCTTTGATTCGCCGAATACTGAGATTGTTGGCGAGAGCCTGTTTATGTATTGGCATCGTAAAAGGGTGAGCATCCGTGATGTTCAAAATACTAGGACCCCTCTGACTGTCTCCAGAGTGGATATCGTCGAGAATTTTGCACAGTTCCGAGCTGAATACAGACATTCAGGAAGCAAGAATGAGAAACATGGCGATTCCAATTTCAGGCCTCTCATCTCCAATCCTCGATTGAGTACCTTTCGTCAACTATCCCCATCCGCGACAGAGTTTCATACAACTCCCCGAGGCCCAGGGAGAGGTACAGCGCCTCGGGCTACTTCTGGTCTATCAGGATTGAATGCACTGAATTCTCTCAAGACGGAACCTCTAGCACAGCGTGTCACCATTGACTTTGCCCAAGGTGCCCCGTTATTGCAGATGCGGCCCTTTTCTTCCCTGGATGTTCCCAATCCAGATACGCTTGTCACTTCTCGGCCCGGTGTAGATGGGTCTTCCTCGGAAGATAACTCCATATCTTCATCCAACAATTCGGAGGAGCGCCGCTTCTCCAGCACGGCTCCCCGAGGATCGATTCCTGATGCTGCTCTTTCCGGAACACTGAGTCTAGTGTCAGAATCCAGCACTGATTCGTTAAACGCAGTTCATAAGCTGGCATCCCAATTTCCGGCATTGCCTCCACGTGCAGCCGTCGAACGAAATTCTGTGACTCCGGCCTCAAGAAGAAAGTCCGGTAGAAAAGTCAGTGGTCTCGTTCCTTGGCCAGAGGTAGAAGAAGGTTTTTCTACGCCACGAAGGGTGCCTATCCCTTCTCCGCTGCGTTCACGGAGAAACTATTCCATTCCACTTTCGCTTCAAAGTACGGACTCGGATGGATATACCTTTACCAGTACACCAGGTATAACCATGAGATCGGAACTCTCTACCCAGCAAACGACTCCAGCCACCTCCGTTTATGAGCCTGACAAAGGGAAGACTCAGGATGAGATACACAGAAGACCATTGCCTCGTCCTCGGAATATCCCTAGCCAGTGGCTCGAGTCGTCGACAAGTGGGGTAGAGCGGTATCGACGCCCGAGTGCAGTGTCTTTCGTATCCTCGCCAACAGCGATCCCGTTTCACATGCGACAAGACAGCGACGTCTCCAAGACGTCGAGTCTGTACGACGAGACAGATGCCGTGCCGAGTACCAAAGATCCTTTCGTCGGTCAGACGAACATGAACTTGACGCGGCCATCGTCGTCTGTGCCGAGAATAAAGAATGTTGGGAAGGTGACGAGGAGATACACCCCGACGCCTGTTTGGGGGGAAACAAGAAGCAGCATTTATATCGAACCAATCATGATCCCCCCCAAGGCAGCTGGGTTTTCTAATGTACAGATTATTCAGGGAGACGATGACGAGAGGGACTTTTCCAGTAGGAGCAGTGTGTATAATTCCAAAATGCCATTGTGAGGTCATTTGGTACTACAGTTTGCTATTCGTCTTTTGAAAAGAATGCAAGTAATTGTGCTCGCCAATAGCGGAAGTTGTAAAGCAAAAGGGCTGATCGGAGCGCCGAACGGAAGTGCCGCGGGGTTTGACTTGTGCTCATCATGACGATCCTGACCCACATTTATGTTCAACTTCATTTCCTTACAATACCCGGCGTCGTGGTCATTGCAACTTTCTAATGGCGACTGTGGCGACTGTATCGCCGGCGGATACTCTCCACGATGAGCCAGCCATGGATCCAGAATTGAAGCTGCCTCAGCTGCCGTCTCTTGTTATCATCATCGCTTCGAATGTTTTATTGCAGGTTCGTCCTTGGTCTTTGTGCGTAAGAATCACTCTTACGTGCTTTAGATCTCTTTCTTCATCATCGTGTCGTCGTCCAACGACTATGCGATTCACCTGGGAGGCAATTCTACGTTCTCTGGTGTGGTCATCGGTATACCTACCGTCTTTTCTGCAATTGCTTTAGTACCTTTGTTGAAGTACGATGGAGGTGCGTTAGAAAAGCTTCGTGTCTCTTCCACATATCCTCACTGTCTTATCAGGAGGGTACAGGCTGCCGCTTCACGTTAGCTGTGCAGCATCCATCGTTGGACTGCTATTGTATGCCCTGGCATACCCAGTGGACTACCTCTACCTCATCCTTCTCGGGCGTATCGTCAACGGGATCGGCTTCTCCATGTGGATGTACTGCAAGCGCTACTGCTCAGACCCACGCATCGTCGGGGTCCGCCGTCGGACAACCCTAGCCAGTTGGCTCGTCATGGGCCAAGGAGTGGGCATGACCCTTGGTCCATTCGTCGGTGGACTGCTATACAAGGAGGTCGGATTTTCGAACAAATGGTTCAATGGGTTCACGAGTCCTGCGTGGATAATGGTCGGTATCTGGGTGTTATTCTGGGGAGCGGTGCAGAGGTGGTACAAGGATCCTGTTGACGAGCAGTCCAGAGCTGGAAACAGCTCGGTAGAGCAGGCCGTGGAGGATATTCCGATGACTGTGATGTCTTCAACTGAAAAGACGCCTTCAGAGGCAACGTCTCATCCTTCATTGGCTTCTCGTCACCATCCCGTCCCTGCCTCCGAGTCACCCGTGCCGTCAATCCCCCCTCCAGCTCGCCGACGACTTTCTTCGTCTCAATGGGCCGTCTCCATATGCATGTGCTGGTTTGCAATGACTTGTTTCTTCATCCTTGGAGCCTGGGAAGCCAATATACCGGTGTTTGGTTCGTCCTCAGTCTCGAATCTGCACTGGACACCGTTTTCCTCAGGAAACTACATTGCCCTCGGCGGTCTGACGACATTCCCATTCCTTCTGCTCAATGTTATATATGCTCGCCGTTATCAAGACCGAACTACCCTAGCGCTCGGCTCTGCGCTCGGGATGGTCTCGCTTATAGTCTTCATTGCACTATTAGAGGCAAATGACGACCGTGTTCATGCTGCCGCTGTGGTGGTATGTTGGTGGGCGGTCGCTCTTGGGTTCAACTTGGCAAGTACGGTCACGTTGAGTTTGTTGAGCAAACAGACGCCAGGAGATTGGAATAATTGGACGTCTTTGGCGATTCAGTACAGCAATTACACGGGAAGAGTTACAGGTGCTGTCTGGGGAGGAAGTGGAGTCGCTGTCGGAATGGCAAACTATGTTGGGTTGGAGATTGCGCTAGTTGGTATCGGTGGTGTGCTGTTCACGTCGTTTTGGAAGGATCTCAAGGCAAAAGTTGGTTAAATCAAATGTACGAACCCAGTGGGAATACCATAGCTATACTACAACCTCCAAGAATATCTCCTTGAATATATCATAATTTCCTCGTCCCTTGCTATAGACTGCAAAGGTCACTTTCTTGTACCACCCTTTGAATTCGTCCTCTAAAAGAATATTCTTCATCTCGTTCGCTACAAGAACCGGAGGGCAGTTGTATGCTCCACAGCCCATTGCACCTTGAAGAGCAGCTATGAGATTCTGATGGAAAATACAAGGATAAAACTTACCAAGTACCATGTATTCCTTTCCATTAGACGCTGCCATCCTATACACCAGTCGAATCTTGCCTCTCATATCCTCTAGCACGCTAGGGTCTGCAAAGCGTTGCCCATCTTCCGTGAGCCGAGGGTCGCGAGGCGCCGCTACCGTCAACACCGCGACAACAATACGTTTCCCTGACTCGTGAGGGAATTCAACGAGCTCATGGTCAAGGTCGTCCCTATGGACAACAACGCCGGGAGAGTATACGCCAGCCACAGAACCCGGACCTGTATTAGGCCAGGGATAGTATGATTCGCACAGAGTGTGATAGAGCGTAGATGAATAGCAAAGTGCCTCTTCTTGAGTTCGGCTAAGTGTTATCGCCCATCCTCCCGCTCGATATTCATCACTCGCCAAGCTCAAAACAGCAATCTTGCCCTTTGCATCTTCGCCAAAATTCCGAGCAGCGGCATACGAGTCAGAGTTCACGACGTCTACTTTGCTGGGAGGATGTCCAGGACACTTGTTCGCGTCAAGCGGGGGTAGCTGCTGAGAAATGAAGGTCGACTGAGCGGTCGCGCCGTCGTGCTCGTGCTCCTGAATGAGTGTAGGAGAGCGAGCAATGGTATCGAGAGCCACTGCCTTGCGGAGGGCGAAATCCGACATGCTTTACACAGCCACCAACTTCGTCACTCAACTGGATTCGCCGGCATGGCTGCATACTTCTTCGCCTCGCCGATCGACGTAGACATCAAGCTCAGCGACGAGGAGGCAAGGAAATCCGTCGAGCTACGAGAAGAGAAAGAAAAAGTAACGTCTTGTCCCGTTTACTACGACGGTGACTCTGTTGGTGGACATGCGAGTGGCTGTTTTTCTCGATGCTTTGGATGGGTTTTCTCATGATGAACGTTTCCAGGTCATTGTCCGTGTTCGTGATGGCAAGAAAGTAACCCATGAGGGTATAAAAGTCGAATTTGTGGGCAACATTGGTCATTAGGCGCTGCGAACGACGCGTCCATGTGTGCTGATACTATTCTGTGTAGAGCTGTTCTACGACCGTGGTAACCACCATGAGTTCTTGTCGTTATCGCAGGAGCTCGCCGCGCCCGGGGACTTGAGGCAATCACAAACATTTGACTTCAGTTTCAAGAACGTGGAGAAACAGTATGAGAGTTATCGGGGTATAAACGTGAAACTCCGGTATGGTCCTACTGTTTTGCTACATTCATCATATTAATCACTCTCTAGTTACTTTATACGGGTGACCATATCGCGAAGAATGGCGGACGTGAAACATGAGAAGGAAGTATGGGTCCACTCGTTCAGGATGCCGCCGGATAGCAACAACTCGATACGGATGGAAGTCGGCATAGAAGACTGCCTGCATATCGAGTTTGAGTACAACAAGTCCAAGTATGTCCTCTCCTTTCGTCTTGCTGGTTTCTCAATCGAACTTGCATGGTACAGGTACCATTTGAAGGACGCCATCGTCGGGAAGATATACTTCCTTCTCGTCCGCGTAAAGATCAAACATATGGAACTCTCAATCATTCGGAGGGAGACGACTGGGACACCGCCGAACCAGTATAATGAAAGCGAAACGATAACCAAGTTTGAGATTATGGACGGTGCTCCAGTAAGAGGTGCGTGTGTGTTATAGTTCAAGTGGTGCAGCTCTTCTAAATTAAATGACATTGTCAGGGGAAACTATTCCTATACGGCTATTCTTGGGCGGGTTTGACATCACGCCAACATTCCGTGATGTGAACAAGAAATTCAGTACGCGATATTATCTCAATCTTGTCCTCGTCGACGAGGAAAACCGGCGTTATTTCAAGCAGCAGGTATTGCTCTTTAATACATCATACCACGAATCTCGAATCTGATTGCCTGTCTCCCTCTCTAGGAAATTACGATCTTTAGGATACCTGAGGTCCGTGGTATAAATTTCTTGACGAACCTCTTCAAGCTGATGTTTACTAACAGAATTAGTTGCCGCGCTTTATGTACATCACTGTTATGGATTTTGACTATGGACCTTATGGACTCGTGGATAATTATTTGCTTCGAAAGTCAATTCTGAGCTACGCGTAAACTGGATACCAGACTTGGTTATTCACAGATAAGTACCGGGGTATTAATGGTTTACTGTGACTTTATGGGAAGGTTTGTGCAGTGAAGCACAGTATCTGGTGTAACAGCAACTAATGTCAATGATCCACAGCTGATCAAGGCTTTTGTCGCGTCGAGGGTTCGCGTATCAGTAAGTTGAGAGCTATGAGAGGAGGTGCTGGATAAAGAGAGATAACCGTGCAGATAAAGCCGAATAAAATTTTGTCAAAAGCTGCTGAAGATCAATGTAAAAATCCTTCGTCGCCCATCCCTCTCGTCATTCGTCTAATGTCTGGATTGATACCCATCATACCACCTGGTATTCGACTCGGGAGTCCACCACTCCCCATGCCGCCCATTCCTCCTCCCATGCCGCCGCCCATGCCGCCCATGTTTCCTCCCATATTGCCACCGCCCATTCCACCCATGCCGATATTGCCCATGCTGCCCATGCCGCCACCTCCCATTCCACCGCCGCCGATACCTGTCCCACCCATGCCTCCACCGCCCATCCCGGCGGCGCCAATGCCGCCCATGCCGGTTCCCATGCCGCCACTCATGCCACCACCCATTCCGCCCATGCCGCCCCCAAGTCCGGCACCTATACCTCCACCTCCCATTCCTCCACCACCAATACCGCCGCCCATTCCTCCCATACCAGTCATACCTCCTCCCATACCCCCGCCCATGCCTCCAGTCATTCCCCCACCTATACCCCCGCCCATGCCGCCACCAATACCACCACCCATTCCTCCACCTATGCCACTCATTTGATTTGGATGGCCGAATTCCATGCCCATACCACCCATCCTGATCGGGCCTCCATCATGAGGAAGCCCTCTCCCAGGCCCGCCGGACCCAGCACCATTGAAAAAGTTCTGAGGGCTAGCGTTGAATGGTGCACCTCCTGGGCCTCCAGTGAAAGAATTTGGTGCTGGGCCTCGTACGCTGGGGGATGCGGGGTAAGGATAGTTGACTTGGGCGGGTTGGTGGCGCATTGGATGTGGTGAAGCGTCGCGAGTAGCGGAATGGTGCATATTGGGCATGGGAAAGTCTCTATGGGAGGGCTCGCGATGGGGCGTGTGGGGATGATGAGAAAGTTGGTCTGGGAAACGATGGGGCTGCGAGGTGGGAGTGCTTTCTTGTGGGGTTTCGTCTTCAGGTTTCTTTGTAATTTCGCGAAGAACGGTGTTGTCGTAGTACAGGTCAGAATACTGGTCTACATGGAACCTGGGACGTACAATGAGACCAGTCAAGAAGACGCATATAGTCAGTCAACTCACTGCTGGGTACCAATGTCCCACTGAGGGCCTCGTTCTGCACGAGCAATGATGAGAAGAGAATTCCATTCTGAAGCGTTTTCCTTGTAGTTGAATATGAGACGAATAGCACTGGGCAAGGGAAGAAGAGACAAACGATGGCTTGGTTGAGAGCATTTCCCGAGTCACGGTCTGGGTGTACTTGGTAGGTGTCTGTTTTGATGCCCTGGGTACGAGCCTGGGATTGTATTTCTGCAGCGAGTTTCTTGCCTATCCGTGGTACGTTGTGTCGAGGTACAGTGACGCTAATCGTGCTGACTGGCCTGCCTGGTGCCATGATCGTGGTGGCCACAAGTAAACACGTGAGTTCACTTTCGGTCCGTCTTCCTTTCTTGCACCTCGACGTCAATGTCCCGAAAGTCTGCGATCCCGTCCTTGGAGGCATCTCAGCAAACTCACATTGACGACCTTGTCCAACGAAATCGTTCTCTGGAGCATTCCGCCAAGTTGATTCGCGATGAACTCGACCAGGAAAAGACTCGTTCCAAGCATGCCTTGTCCGAGGTGCATAAACGATGGAAGGCTGACCAAAAGGAGTGGCGCGAAGGCATCGATGTGCTATTGTCCTGCCATAATATTTCTCTCTGGCACAAGATCATCGACCTCCAAACCGAGAGGCTCAACTTTCTCAAAGAGGAAGATGATATAAGGCTAGGGAAGATTGCTCGCCTGCAGCGGGATTTCAAGATTACACAATTCCAGCAGAGTGAGAGTCAACATATCTCTACGCAGGAACGCTTGGCGGCAGAAATACAGGCTTTGCACAGGAAGCAGAACACTCAAAAGGACAAGTGGAAGGCTCATAGTACTGAGCTCCTCTCTCGCATTCAAGATAGGGAAACCAAGCTCGAGGCTGCTACTACGGAGATTGATAGATTGTCGGTGTGGTACCTTGCATTTTTCTATACACTGTTTATATGCTCAAGCGCTATCTACCCACAGGAGGAATTGGCCGCTCAACGTGAAGAGACTGCGCGGCAAAAGAACCTGTACCAATCCACAACACCCCAACTGGATCGTCTACGTCTGCAAATAGAGGGTGCCGAGGCAAAGCAAGCCGAACTACAACGAGAGAACGACGATCTCCGACGTGCCAAACATGAACTGGACCGCCAGCTTGCAAAATGGCAAAATCTCGAGACGAGGGGTGGGGCAGACATGGAGAAGGAAAGAAAGCGACGAATCGAACTCGAGGCTGAAGTTCAGGCTCTTCAGAATCGGTTGGAGAAATCGAAAGAGAAGGAGAAGCACAAGGTTGAAAAGTTGAAGGAGTCTCTGACAGAGTGGCAGGTGTGTAAAACCTCCGTCCGACTTGGTTGGTGGCTGATCATCTTGTAAAGACCCACGCAGAGTCGGAGCAAGAGGTTTTGGAAGATACAAAGCGACGTCTTGAGCAAGCCGAAAAGAAGAACGCAAAACTGATGACAGCGCTAGAGAAAGAACGCGCCAAGACAAAGAGTCTTGCTACAGAGGCAAAGGTATGCATCATCTACTACAATTTTTCCCGAGTACTGATGTTGTTGTGTAGACATCCAAAGCCGCTGTGGTCATCGACGAAGAAGACAGCGAAGGAGAAGAACAAACCAAACCCCCAGGATCTTCGCATACATCCACGCCTGAGCCCCCGCCCAAGCCCAAGCCCAAGCCCCGGCCGAAGTCTAAGGCCAACCCTGCTCCTAAAGTTTCCAAGGTGGAAACCACTGAAGAGAGTGCCGAGGTTGAAGATTTCTTGCTAGGGACGAAGGAAGGCAAAGGCAAAGGCAAAGTTACTGAAAGCAAGACCAAACCCTCCAAGTCTCGATCTAAGTCACCGTCGGACAAGCCCGAGGATAGTGACATTGAGGAAATACCGGCTCCGAAACCTAAAGAAAAGGAGAAAGAGACGACCAAAGGAAAATTGAAACGCAAGGCATCCAGTCCTGACAGTGTCGTTGAAGTGAAGAAGAAGAGAGCTGGCAGTGAGGTGAAGGACATACCCCCCAAGGCCAAACGAGCGAGGTCCGTGACGGCCAGTCGGGCAGACAGCGTTCAGCTTGTCGATGAAGGCACGGTGGAGGCCCCAGTAAAGAAAGCAGCCAGACGAAAGATCAACGTCATCCCATCACCCTTTGCGTTCAACTTTGGTGTTCAGGTGAGTCGACTTTTTCACCTATCATAACCATGCTGATCTTGTGTACAGGAGGGTGCTAGTGGTTTGAACATACCGACAGCTTTATCTCCGGTGAAAGAATCTGAAGTACCGCCCCGTAGTTTTAGTAGCACACTCAGTAAATATACTGGGAGTATCGCACGTCGAGCATAGAACTATTTGTACATTTGCATCTATATGATATTTATTATAATACTGGTAGTACGCGATGAACATGTAGCCACATCATGAAACTCCTCCCTGCGTGGAAGAGATCGCGGTCGGAGCGATTAAGGAGGCAGATATATACTCTGACAATCCACAAAAGTAAATATGAATACCTATCACGCCCCATGGGTCAGCAAAACGCCTACACGGAGCGAGAAGGACATCGTGGTTGTGGGTAATTAGTGAAGAGAAGAAAATAAATTTTGGGTTTTCTTATAGCCTTGAATCGGAGTTGCAAAAGTAATCGGAGTCCGCAAACGTCCCATGGCACGTTCCGATCGAGTACGATGTCCGGATGTTGATCCAGTCAATACATTCTGACCTTACTTATGCACCGCGACGACCATGAACTTCCTTGAGAGTATCAAGCGATGGTTATTCCCCGCCCCGGCCTTGAGTCACATGCGCCTAGGCCCAGACGACAGTCAAGACAACCCTCTAATGGTCGGTCCTCGTGTACACAATAATGCCTTCAGCCCTCGCTGAACCACACCAATCTCTTCCCCAAGATCCAATTCTTCACCTGGAACTCCCACTATCCCGACATGAGCTGGTGGCAACACTTTGAATCCGAAATACCCCGACTATCTGAGCTGGGCTTCACCCAAGTCTGGTTACCGCCGCCCAACAAGGCGGCTTGGAAGGTAATCTCGGATTTGTCTTTAGTTTAGTTTCTGACGCGCGTAGGAGGGAAGGGGTTACGATGCGTATGATTTGGTATAATCACTGGCTCCACATGATGACCGGGATCGGCTGATTCATCCCGCATAGTGGGATTTAGGCGAATTTGATCAAAAAGGGGGTATCCCGACCCGGTGGGGCACCAAGGAAGAGTTTCTACACGCTTGTAAGGTCGCGAGACGGTACAAGATCGACGTTATCATTGATGCCGTGCTTAACGTAAGTAGATGATGCGTTCCATAAAAAGTGCACTGCGCCGCTTACATCGCTTCTAGCATAAACTTGGGGGAGATCGAAAGGAGACGTTTACCGCTGTTCCTGTGAACCCGCAGAATCGTTTAAAGAATGACGGGAAACCGAGGAAAATAGAGGTTTGAGGCGTCGTCGGGCTTTGACTGCAAACTTTTGATCTGATCGTTCTAGGGATGGACGGCCTTTGATTTTCCTGGACGAGGAGGAAAGGTGAATACTCTAACCTCGTTCAAATATATTTCCATGACCTATATTGCTCCAAGTACAGCACATTCCGCTGGAACCAGACTCATTTTTCTGGTTTGTCTACGAGTTCCTTCATGTCTGCTTTTTTAAATCATCTTGTAGGCCTCGATTGGGACGACAGGACACGTACCAAGGGCATCTATCGAATAGAGGGCCACGGCCGCAAAGGATGGTCGAAGAATGTTGATAGAGAGCTGGGGAACTATGACTACCTGCTTGGCATAGATGTAAATTCAGCGCTCATCACCGCGGCACCTGTGCTAACCCTTCGACACGGTAGATTGATCATCGACATCCCGCTGTTCAAGAAGATCTGTTCAACTGGGGTTCTTGGATACTACAGGTTAGCTTGGATTGATTCGCTACGGCAATCCAACTCAAGAGCTTTCATCTACAGACCACGGGAGCTGTCGGCTTTCGTCTTGATGCAATAAAGCACATAGATCAAAGGTTTCTCATCAGTTTCGTAAGTCGTTATAGTACAAGAGAGTGCTTGTATGCTTGAACGGCGTTGAAGATAGAGCGTGCAAGGACCCAATACCCAAGAATGTTAGCGGTCTGTGAGTTTGTTCTGTGCTCACTTCTTCTGCCATTTTTCTCATAGCGGAATTTTATCTAGCTGAATATTGGTCCGGAGAGTATGTAGACCATTACAGATCCCTGTCCAACTCCTGATTTCTCACCAGCGTCAAAGCAATAATGCCGTACATACGAGCGTTCAAAGGGCAGGTGCGCGCACATAGTTCAATCCCTTACGACAAATTGCTTACTGTTACAAAGACTGCATTTTTCGATGTTCCCCTACACATGAATTTCAATCAAGCCAGTCTACACTGGACTAGATACGACCTTAGAACTATCATGAATAACACTATTGCTAAGCTCAAACCTCTGGATGCCGTCACCTTTGTAGATAACCACGAGTGAGTGCGTTTTACTTTCTCATCGGCGCGCGATAGGTAGCTAAGACTTCATAGTACGGTGAGTCCTAAAGTTATGGTGCATGCCCATATAACTGGAAGAATGTATGATCCTAGGTTGAAGGCCAAAGTTTGGAGAGCTGGGTACGTGATTCGCACGTCCTTTACTTGAGTTTCTTTTGATTGTTCTATCAGGTTGGAAACAATTTCAAGATTCAAGCTTATACCATAATCCTTCTGAGAGAAGAGGGCTACCCGTACGTCCTTTTCTTGTCCTTGTAATACCGCCTTCTCAAGGATATCTCAGCTGCGTCTTCTACGGAGATATCTATCCCAACAATGAATGCTTCGACGCAAACACTGCTCGGAATGTCATACGGCTTATTGCCGCCCGGAAGCTATATGCTTATGGTCCCACACATGAATATCCCCACGATAGAACATGCATAGGATTCGTTCGGATGGGTGATTCGACACACCAAGGATGCGCGGTCTTGTTAAGTAACAAAGAAGAGTGAGTACCTTCCTGACCATTGCACCACGTGTCTCATGGAATATCTGCAGGTGCGGAGATTTTATACACAGTGTCAAAATGAACGTTGGTTTGGTAAGTGCTCGAAACGTTGGCGAATCTCGCAGGCCGATTGACATTCGATAGCAAAATGCTGGATCCTACTTCCAAAGCTGGATGTCCGACGGGGGGCGAGTGGATATAGACGCTGAGGGCTGGGGAACATTCACTTGCTTCCCTAACTATGTTCAAGTCTGGGTTAAGGCATGAACGTTCATTGAACGAGGGACTGGTATACGATGGACAACATGGACCCCAACCGAGCTCAACTACTAATACAACAACTACTGGACTGGACCATTACTCATATGCAAAGGAGCGAATATTGAAACAGAGCATAAAAATACAGAAAAATGACGAGAAATAAAGTTCGTGAACGACTTGATCATTTTCATCCCTGGGCTCCTCAGTCAGATCGCTCTTCCTACTTCAGAGTCCGTGCTGTAGACAGTGCGTTCTATCGTTACCATCAGCATGGGTCGGGAACTCGAGAAGCCCTCGTCCTTGTGGTCTCCGTCATCGGAGCGACTCAATGGTCTCTCCTGAAGAGCCAGGCCCCGGTTCATCGTCAAGGTAGCGGCTTCGCCTCCCATGTTGGCCAGATCTTGCGGCTGCTCGTCGCCGTCGAACAGGGCAGCAGTTTCTTCGAGGGTGCGACCTACAGAATGGATTAGTGAGACCGTTGCATGCTGTAGACTGGACGTCTTGCCTTTGGTTTCCACTACGAAGGCCACCACGAACACCAATTCAATGACAAGCCATCCACAATAGACGATGTAATACCACCATCCGATGGCCTCGATCGCCCATGGATTAACACACTGATTGAAAGCGGATGTTAACATGATTGCGATATTCTAACGTTCATCAGTATCCCATCGACAGTGACCGTGACGTAGAAGTACCATGACGGCGAACCCTTTGGCTCGAATTTTATATGGAAGAATTTCCAGGGTATAAGCGACAAGCATTGGGGTATATGCTATGCCGTAAAAGAAATAGAAGAGGAAGATGAGCGGGATGGTAGCTGTGCGATGAAACATTAGCTTCGGTAAAACCTGTGGAAGTATCATAAGTACCCTTTGCGGCAGACGCTTTTTTGAATTCGTTGAAAAGAGCTTCGGTGATAGTCCAACAGCCGAATGCTGTGATAGATCAGCCGTCGTCTAAAAATTGTTGTAATACGACGACTTACCGACTAACATGCCAGAGTTCGAAATGATGAATAGCATGCGTCGACCTACCCAGTCGATAAGAGAAGCGGCAGACAACGCGACGACAAGGTTGAAGACCTATCGCGTAATGATACCGTTAACACGAGTCACGAAAATAGAGAAGTCAAATAGCAAACCTGGAGGCCACCGTTGATTGCGGCCTTTGTCTCAGGCTTCGTAATACCGACTCCTTCAAGAACCAAGTTGATGTAGTATGAGACCAAACCATTGCCACTACAGAAATCGGGGTTAGTAATGCTCCGAAAACGTCAAAACAGCACTTTTCACCTCCACTGAGAGAAGATGGCGATGGCCACAACGAGCATCATCCTCTTTCTGTTACCGGGAGTAGACACTAAGGACAAATAGGAAGTACTTTTATTGATGTCCTCCTCTATTCGAAGGGCATGCCTAATTTGTGCAAGTTCAAACACCACTGAAGCGGTGTCAAAGCGTACACAGTCGAAAGCCAAAACACAAACTTACCGAGAGGGTCACGCTCGTCTCCGCCATTCGCGTGGTACTTGGCGAGAATACGCGCTGCTTTTCCTTCCTGTAATTCTGATGGTCAGGAAGCGATCGTCGACATGGAAAGGAGCGTTGTACGGACGTAACCCTTCGATACCAGATAGCGAGGGCTTTCTGGGGTAAACCTTATCCATGGCTTGCGTCAATTCCAGGATAGACTGAGACGTGTGGTAGAAACACACCATATTAAGCAGACCTGCAACAACGGTGCAACCGCTTGAATGAGCGTGGGGACACGCCACGACCACATGCTTCCTTTGGCATGGATGAAGGACCCGTAGCAAACCTACCATCAAGTGAACAAACTTTATACTGTGGAGCCAGGAACAAGACGTACCCATGCTGAAATTATACTGCCGAAGTACCAACTTGAGTTGTAGAAAGACGTGATCTTCCCTCTCTTTCATACCTCTTGTCAGCGACTTTGTTTGCGCGTATAATAATTGAACATACCTGAGTTGGGTAGGCCAGTTCAAGCAGGAGAAGAGGTGCTGAGTTCGTACAGAATGCCAAACCGCAACCGACTAGGCAGACGTTATCGGCAACCACCAAGTATTTCAACAAGTATACGTACGTAGAACCCTAGCAACGATGAAAACTTTCACAGAGGATGCCGAAAACTGGATTGCAACTCCAGATAGCAAGATAATGGATCCAATGAACAAGGCTGCCCTACGCCCTAAGATATCGGCAGCGAAGGGCGTCAATGGAAGGCACTAGGAGGAAGTATTAGCTTGGCAGCGTCTCGTTGGGAAAATCGCGTACAAGGAAAGCCCCCATATTTTGTGCTGACTGAATGACGCCTAAGAGGAGTCTTTGAGGAATGTGTATAACTTGATGTCATGAAAGATTGACCTAAGGTGACGCCTTCAGGATGCCCGAAGAAATCCTGCCAGTCAGGTAAAATTTGTAGTCCTGTGAACAAAGGCATATTACTTTCTACAAGGCTAGCCTTTTGGCAAGCACATACCATTAATGAGTGACGAGTCTAGTCCATTCACAGACGACGTGAGGAGAGGGAGAAATAGACATAGATTCAGTAGCAGGATACCTGTACATGTCCTTCATTAGCAGTTCTGAGGACGAAGATCATACGAAGCCTACCACGATTGGTCCACCAAGGGCCATGATGTATGAAGTCCACTATGGTCCACTCGGGAACGGAGTGAGGAGCCATGATGAAACCGTAAGAGAGACACTGAAAGAGGCAAAGAGAGAGTGGGAGGAAGAGGCTGCCACCTGTGATTCTCTGGTGCTCTGATATACAGGCGGACCCAATTGACCTCAGCCGATCACAAGTTTTGTCGGCTAGTCAAGTGTTCAAATGCGGGGTGACAGAGGAGCCCGGAGCGCATCTTATTTCCTTCCCTTTACAACAGGTACCATCTGGGTTAATCGCGGCACCGATGAAACGGGAATTGGCGTTTAATGTCGTCCTGTGTACGGGAAGGGGTGAACCTTATTCGTAGGCGAAGAAATTCCGGCTAACCCTTGAGGAATATGACGCAACCGACATACCTTCCAGCCGCTTGGTACTTGGGCTATATTTCTGGAAGACGGAGATTTGTCGCATCCACGATGGGAAAAAACAACAATTTAGATCATTACCAAGGTCACAAGAACTGAAACGTGCAGTGAAGGTACTTTGCGGCCCGTTGACAGAGGAATAGTAAAGCGGGAAGGAGATGTATATGGAAAGGAAAGCCACATACAGGCGAAGTTAATGGTTAAAAAAACAAACAGTCTTTGCGAGACCGACTTCGTAAGCAAGGGTGATCGTGTATTCTGGGCTCTTGTGTCCGGTCCAAGTTCCTTTGTTTCCTCGTCTTGAAGATCGACCTGGTATGTACAACGTTAGAACGATAGCAAGGAAAAATAGGATAAGCGCGTACTTATGTGGATCTGAATATCGAAGCCGCTTCATTGACATTCCATTGTTGGAAGTCAGCGTATGCATTCAAGAAGAATACAGACGCTCCTTGTCTATATATTCGGCAATAGCCGGCGGCACCTTATCGCGCCATGACCCTTTACCAGACTTGATAGCATTCCTGACGGCAGTCGAACTGTAGGCCACAAACTCGTCCGAGATCGCCGCCTGCACGACCTTTTCTCTTGCCCCGACCCGCTCCACCGCCGCCCAGACATCAATCCCGCCTGCTCCCGCCCTTGGCGCATATACGATCCTTGCCCGACTCTCAAAGAAAAACTCTTTCAGCTCAGCAACCATATCCTTCCCCGTGTAGTACCTCTCTGCAAATACCCTTTCTACTGTATCCCAACCCATCACGAAATCCCACGTCGCGCTCGGCATCTCTGCATGCAGTTTTCGTGCTTTGCCTACAAACGTCGGCTCATCAACGACCGCGATATGGAACCCCAGGAGCGCCATCATGCTTTGGCGCAGGGCGATAGTGACGTCCCCAGGCGCGAGTTTCTTGTCGGCATTGGTCGTAGAAAGCATGAGGATCCGAGCGTCATAGTCATTGCCGCAGCGGGCAAGGGCGAGATGGGCGAGTGTCGGTGGGTTGAAGGACGAGTCGAGAATGAGCACCTTGGCGCCATGACGGAGTTTGGGAAGAAGCGACATCATGAATGACGTCATACGGCTCTTTCACTTCTACCACCCTCTCGCATATACACCGTCGCCAACATCCCCGTACCCTGGATTTTCTATGACTGCCTATGACTCTTGATTTATACCATATCAGCCCTTTGACCGGCGAGCTAGAGTCTAGACTATAACTGGTGCGCAATGCGGATACTGCTCTAGGTTTCAACTTCAATCCGGTGGAATATTTGGGTGTCCCAGGTGCCTGGACGCTATTGCTCTTCCATCAAGGCTGTGTTCTCGGTGTCATCTTGAATGGAGTGGCGCGGAATGTTACGGGTAATCCCTATTTCTGTGTGATAGGGTGGTCCGATCATCGTTGCAGTCTTCTTCAAAGTTCCTCGTTTGGGCTTGTGAGAACCCTTAATATCGTCTTGTACGTTATTATCAATTAGACTTGTGGACATTTATATGACGATTCTCACAGGTCCTATAGCGGAAATCCTTTGGGATGTACATCAAATGAGATGAAGCCGATAGATTGGGATTTTGGTTCCGGTCAGTGTAATAATATAAAATACTAGTGAATTAACAATCGAACCTATTTGACTTCTATAGTCTGAAGCAGTACCATCGCTCCGACGAGACTATTCCGTCTAAAGATTCTACATTCCACCTGTCGCCACCATTTGTTCGGTCAGTGGGCTTCAGGTCCCTAACCCCGGCTACAATTGCACCCGTTTCCACTCCGTCGACTTGGTGCAAGCTTCCGGCTAATTCATGTATTCTTCTCAAGTGTCACTTCATCGGGTGTTCAATATCGGGGTAATGATACTCCTGGCCGGGTAAGAAACATACATCGTGCAGCAACTTCGCAAGATCGCCGCCCATCTTTTTATCCAAGGCGAGCAACAAACCTACGTTCACTATCAGTATCCCAACTAGTTATCCCAAAAATCAGGTTTCGATATCATCAGGCGATGTCTGTAATAATCGCTGGGCGGTACTCAAATGAAGCGAGTGGCAAAAATGGATTACATCTGTGGTAAACACGACAAGAGAACTAACTGTGAAATATACAGGGCTATATACTAGGAAATCCTTACTGGAATAAGCAAACACATACGTAAATCCGTATGAGAACTTAAACAGTGACTGATTGTTTGTGCAATGAGAAGCTTGAGATTCCACAAGGCACTCAAGAGCTACCGGTGCAGGGGTGAGGTACGTCAACTGATTCCGTATGCACATGTCTGATCTTATGCTATCATCTGCTCGGCTTCAAACCCATTTGTGAAGAACATAGGAAGCAGAGAGGAGATAAGGTCCTCGGCTCACGGAAAGGGTGACCTCTTAAGAGTAGAGCAGAGAGAACGACTGTGTTGCCCACAGCAACTCATCCATAATGAACTCTTCTCTCCTGCTAGTGTCCTTTACACTTGGCATCTTACTGTTACATCGCCTGTTCCGCCTCTCCATTTGGCGTCGACGTCTACCTCTTCCTCCCGGCCCCAAGGGACTCCCGCTCATCGGGAACCTTTGGGATGTGCCCGCAGAATACCCGTGGCTTACCTATGCCCAATGGGCTACTACCTACGGCGACGTCTTTTATTTGGATACTCCCGGAAATCCGACCGTTGTAATCAACTCTGCTGAAGCGGCTGCGGATCTGTTCGAAAAACGTTCTGGAAATTATTCCGATAGACCAGGTATGCGTTGAGACTACCCCAACGTCTCAGACTTGGTAACACCGTCTAGATTTCACTATGACCAAGTTATCCGGGTGGGGGAATATCATAACTTTCATGAGATATTCGAACTGGTGGAGGTCGGTACAATTATGTTCTCTGTTGATATTGTCTGACCTCTCTTCATAGAAAGCATCGCCGAATGTTTCACGAATACTTCCAGCTTCGTGCCGTTCCTGCGTATTATCCTGTGCAGATGAAAGCGACATCGGTCTTGTTACAACAGCTCCTTCGATCTCCCGATGCATTTTCTCATCACGTCCGCCAGTACGTACCGGCTGCACCTATATTTATAGAAGCTGACTACCTTCTAGCCATGCCGGTTCAATCATCATGAAAACTGTCTATGGATATGATGTCGATCCAAATGGCGATCGATTTGTGGGCATTGTAGATCGAGCTATGGAAAGTATTCGTATCATTGGGAACATAGGAACCTTTCTCGTTGACTACATCCCAGGTTTGAAATACCTTCCGCGTGAGTGTAATCTTGTTAAACTCAGATTGGCATTGACCCCTACTGGTACATGCAGGGTGGTTCCCCGGTACGAATTTTCTGACCTTGGCGGACGCCTGGAGAAAAGATGTCGCGGCCATGGAAGAAGAACCGTTTGAATACGCCTCAAATCCAGTGGTATATCTTCACTTTCATATTGATCGACTTTGGTTGGATTGACTCTATTCAAGGCCAGTGGCGCGGCGCCCTCTTCATTTGTCTCTGTAAATCTAGCAAAGATGAACAGTGTCGATGTGTCTGAGAAGGCGACACATCTTGAAGTCATCCGGAATACAGCTTCGGTAGCCTTCGCCGGTAGGTTGCAATCGGTTTTTTGCTGAGCATATGATCTTACGTCTTGGTTAGCGGGCGCTGACACTGTAGGTTTTCGCCTTGTACATCATTTGGAGTCTTTCTTATTGCCGTCAAGACCGTGTCAGCCGTCCTTTCTGTGATGCTCGCTTTCCTTCTTTACCCTGAAGTACAAGCTAAAGCTCAAGCCGAGATGGATGCTGTGGTCGGTCACACCCGGCTGCCAAATTTCGATGACCGCGAACAGCTACCATATCTTAACGCTGTTGTATTAGAAGCATTGAGATGGAATCCTGTTGTACCGTTGGGTATGCAATTCGATATCCACGATTATTGGAATTCATAGCTTTTGATTCAGGTGCCGCCCATCGTAGTGTGAAAGAAGATATTTATAGAGGTTATTACATCCCTGCAGGTATGGTTTGACTAGTTTTCTTCCCCAGTTTTGCTCATCCCCCTTGTAGGTACGACCGTGGTCGGTAACGTTTGGTAAGTACCAAGTTAATGTAAGTGTATACTATCTAGGCCTCGTACTGACGCTCGATGTGCTAGGGCCATACTGCACGACGAAAAAGACTATCCAAACCCGCTAGTCTTCGATCCCGACCGGTTCATACCTGGAGATGGGAGAGAACCCCAGCCGGAGCCCACAGCCGCGTTTGGTTTCGGTAGACGGTGCGTTTAACATCATTGCCTCCAGCCTTCCTCCTTGCCGATATTTCCTCAGTATTTGTCCTGGCCGTCATCTCGCATTGAACACCGCGTGGATTGCCGTCGCGTCTATAGTGGCAACATTATCGTTTTCCAAGGCCGTGGATTCTGAAGGACGTGTCGTCGAACCGAGCGATAGTTATACAGATGGATTTCTAAGGTAAGTCGTACGTTGCTGTCATCCAATCCTTCGTTTCTGAATTTCAACCATAGCTTTCCCATGCCTTTCAAATGCACAATCAAGGCGCGTTCCGCTCAGGCGAAAGCATTAATAGATTCCGACGAATTGTAACACCTTTGAAATGATCACTTCGAGTCTTGTATTTGTCTGCTTTCCTTTCGCCTTCTGAAGTTTGCTCTTCAAATTTCTTCTTCGAGTTCATGAAACAAACACAGAAATAGCATACCATGCAGCTACAGGATATATGTGAAGTTGGAAACTTATTCACGCCAACTCTGGTTACAGTATGCAGGACTTACTATCAATGAGGTGGTGTTTACTCCTTGAGAAGCATACCCAATAGAAACGAGAGACTGTATATGTCTACAGTGCACTCATCGTGCACAGCTAATTTCGTCGCTGTATTTCAACATATACTGCGTTAATTGATGGCAACATGGCAGTGTTATAGGAGGGAAAAAGAGGTCCGCAAGAACATCTCTTGGACATCGCTTCAGGATAGCATGCATACTGGTTAGTACTCTCCCCTTAGAACGTAGTATACCGCCATGAGAGTTACAAAACGACAATCAGAAATGAGCTTGTAATTGAAGGGAAAGACTCGAAATTTTATATCCTGGAACTTCAACGATCGAAAACGGAAGTCATTCCGGAATTGTTACAATCCACCCAAATCTATCAACTCTTGCGCACCAGCAGAGCGCGCCTTGATAGTGCATTTGAAAGGCGCAGGAAAACTATCCGTAACATCGAATGAGGCTGTACCGATGATATGTCCAACGCGAAAGGACCTACCTCAGAAAACCATCGGTGAAGACATTGCTAGGTTCGATGATACGGCCTTCAGGATCCACAGCCTTCGAGAGTGATAAAGTTGCCGCCATAGAAGCAATAGCGATCCACGCCGTATTCAATGCAAGGTAACGACCCGGACAGATGCTGAGGATATCGGTGAATGGGTCGGATAAGAATTATATCCAAATACACACCGTCTTCCAAACCCAAATGCAGCTGTGGGTTCGGGCTGGAGCTCTTTCCTGTCCTCAGGCATGAACCGGTCCGGATCGAAGACCAACGGATTGGGATAGTCCTTTTCGTCATGGAGTATAGCCCTGCACTGAGTGTCAGTTCTGAGGCTTCAACATCATACGTTGATACTCACCAAGCATTACCAATGATGGTTGCACCTGCGGAGGAAACAAACAGGAATAGATAAGAAAAACGAACCCGATACATACCAGCAGGAATATAATAACCTCTGTAAACATCCTCTTTGATGCTACGATGGGCAACACCTAAATAAAAGGATAGAGAACGGCAAAGACATCCATGCACCTATCGACACTTACCCATTGGAACAACAGGATTCCATCTCAGTGCTTCTGACAAGATAGCTTCAATGTAAGGCAGGTGCGGACGGTCATCAAAATTTGGCAGTCTGGTAGGGCCAACGACAGTGTCCAGCTCAGCTTGAGCCTTGGCTTGAACTTCGGGGTAAAGAAGAAATGCAACCATTGTGGAAAGGACGACTGATACAGTCTTCATAACAATATAAGAGACGTGAAGTGAGGCATACAGATGAAAACATACAGTGTCAGCGCCCGCTAACCAAGACGTAAGATCAGGTGTTCAACAGGCACAAGTTTCGAAACACCCGAAGCAACCTACCGGTGAAGGAGACTGCAGCTGCATTCCGAATAATTTCAAGCCGTGTCGCTCTCTCCGACATGCCGAACCCTTTCATCTTTGTCAGATTTTCGGCAACGAACGAAGATGCTACGAGGCCGTTAGCCTTGGGGCATAAGAACTCAGTGTAACCCAAAACAGAGAATGAGTAAATGAGGATGTACCATTGACTCTGAAGCGTATTCGAAAGGTTTATCTTTCATTTCCTCTACATCCTTTCTCCAGGCACCCGCAAGACTTAAAAAGTTCGCGCCAGGAAATTTTCCTTCGTAAAGTTTTAATGCAGAACTAGCATTAAAATAATCACGCACTCACGCGGAAGATATTTCAAACTCGGGATAAAGTCAACGAGAAAAGTCCCCACGTTCCCGACGATGCGCATACTTTCCAGAGCCCGATCTACCAGTTCCACGAATTCATCTCCATTTGGATGTACATCGTATCCATAGACGGTTTTCATGATAACTGAGCCAGCGTGACTAGAAGGATATAGCAGATCGTGAGCTTTAGAGAGCGTGCGGTCAAAATATGTATAGCTTACTGGCGAACATGGTGAACAAACTCATCAGGAGATTTATGTAACTGTTGTAGCAAGACCGACGTTGCTTTCATCTGCACAGCATAATATGCGGGAACTGCCCGAGGCTGGAAGTATTGGTGAAACATTCGCCGATGCATTCTACGAAGAGAAAGAGAGAAATCAGATAAATCAATCAACTTCATCATGAACTGCAAACCTCCACCAATCAGAATACCTCATGAAAGCCATGTTATGTCCCCATCCTACTAACTTTAACATGGTGAAATCTACACGGCGGCACCGTTACCTGATCCGAGATGTTACAGTATAATACCAGCCATACCTGGTCTATCGGAGTAGTTCCCTGAGCGCTTCTCGAACAGATCTGCCGCTGCCTGGGCAGAGTTAATTACAACGGTCGGACTTCCAGGAGTATCTAAATAAAAGACGTCGCCGTAGGTAGAAGCCCATTGAGTGTAAGTAAGCCATGGATATTCGACGGGCACATCCCAGAGATTTCCTATGAGTGGAAGTCCCTTAGGCCCAGGAGGGAGACGTCGTCGGTTAAGTGAGAGGCGGGTAAGGCGATGTAACAGTAAAACACCGAATACAAGAAGTGCTATCAGGAGAGTCGAAATCATTGCGAGGACTTACAGAAACCAGTCCTCACTTCCCATTTCTTAAAAAGGCACACCTTTCCGTGAATCAACGGCATTGAATCAGGTTTATCTCCCGTGTTTTCCAAAAATATGTCTGGAGAAGAGCAGATGACGGATAAATCGATGTGAACGGGTGTAATGAATGATATGGAGCATCAGTTCGTGGCACTACAAAGAACCAGTGACCCCTCTATAATGTCACCTGTGAGCAAGAGATGATGAACGTTTACATCTGATTAGGAATGGACTCGGAAAGATTGGGCTGCGATGCCGGTAATAAATGTCGCCCTGGGCAAAGGAAATAGCAAACATTACTAATCGATAGAATGCGATTCTGGCGTGTCAGTCCGTCGTACATTACACCCTAGGTGTACACTATACTCGGTTATTATGCGGGTCGGACTTGTCATGAGAAAAGCCTATCCGTGTTATCGTGCTGATCGTATCATGGGAAAAACTTCCGTTCATGCTCCTAATTAGCCTGATTTCGCTTAGTGAACCTCAAGGTTGTTTGGGTCGTGTTTTCCCGACCAAGTTTACGGCGGTCTAAGAGGGTGATGGCAATCACCACAGAACTTTAAAAATCGAAGTCGTTCCAATTTTGCTACAATCCATTCGAATCTATCAACGCTTGCGCTCCAGCCGAGCGCACCTTGATAGTACATTTGAAAGGTATGGGAAAGCTATGCATGAAGTTAGAATGATTCTTAGCATGCCTTATGTGAAAGGACTTGCCTGAGAAAACCGTCCGTAAAGGTATCACTAGGTTCGATGATACAACCTTCAGAATCAATAGCCTTGGTAAACGATAGCGTCGATGCCATAGACGCGATGACAATCCACGCGGAATTCAATGCAAGATAACGACCGGGACATATGCTGAGGAAATATTTGCGCCGAAGCTGAATGGAAGCATATCATACGCACCGTCTTCCAAAACCAAACACGGCTATAGGTTCAGGTTGGGGTTCTTTCCCCTCTTCGGGTATGAACCTGTCGGGATCGAAGATAAGAGGATTGGGATAAACCTTTTCATCGTGAAGTATAGCCCTACATGGAGCGTTAATCTGAGGCTGGGATACTGATATACTGATACTCGCCAAGCGTTACCAACAATGGTTGCGCCTACGGAGGGGATAAATAGGAACAGACAGGGAGAACGCATCTGAGACATACCTGCAGGAATGTAATATCCTTTGTAAACATCCGCATTCAAGCTACGATGAGCAACACCTAAATGAAAACCAATGAACTGCAGGGATATACATGTTCCTATAGATGCATACCCATTGGCACCACAGGATTCCACCTCAGTGCTTCCAACAGAATAGCGTCAATATAAGGTAGCTGCGGACGGTCGTTGAAATTTGGCAGACGGGTGGAACCGACCACGGCGTCTAGTTCAGCTTGAGCCTTGGCTTGAACCTCGGGGTAAAGAAGAAATGCTAGTATGACAGCAAGGACAACCGATACGGTCTTTGCAGCAATAAGAGACTTCATACGAAGCACAAGGTGAAAACTTACAGTATCAGCACCGCCTAACCAAGACATAAGATAAAACGTTCTACAAGAAACACATAGATGCAACCTACCGGCGAAGGCTACCGCAGCTGCATTCCGGATAATTTCAAGCTGTGCCGCCTTCTCCGACATACTGGTCTCTTTCATCTTTGTTAGATTTTCAGAGACGAATGAAGGCGTAGCAGTGCCATTCGCCTTGAGGAAGGAACACAGAGTCAGTGCGACCAAAAACATAAATAAATAAACGAGGACGTGCCATTGATTCTGAAGCGTATGCGAACGGTCCGTTTGCCATCTCTTCGACATCTTTTCTCCAGGTGTCCGCAAGACTCATGAAATTTGCACCAGGAAACCACCCTGCATAGAATTTAAATGCGAGGCTAATAGCTGAGAGAAAGCAGGCTCACGAGGAAGATATTTCATGCTCGGAATGTAGTCAACGAGAAAAGTTCCCACGTTCCCAATAATGCGAACACTTTCCATAGCTCGATCTACCAACTCCACAAATCGATCGCCATTTGGATCGACATCATATCCATAGACGGTTTTCATAATAACAGAACCAGCATGACTAGAAGAATACACCAGACCGTGAGATTTTGAGGGTATGCTGTCGCTATATCACAGCTTACTGGCGAACATGGTGAGCAAACTCATCGGGAGATTTATGCAACTGTTGTAGCAAAACCGATGTCGCTCTCATCTGCACAGGATAATACGCTGGGACTGCCCGAGGCTGAAAGTATTGATGAAACATTCGGCGATGTTTTCTACGAAGAAGAATCAGGCAATATCAACGGAGAACATCGCGAACCACAAACCTCCACCAGTCAGAATATCTCATGAAAGCCATATTGTGCCCCCACCCCGCTAACTTGGTCATGGTGAAATCTGCATGGCGTTATCAGCTGAGACATAGTTGTGATATCGTCCCACTATACCTGGTCTATCAGAATAATTCCCAGAGCGTTTTTCGAACAGATCCGCAGCCGCTTCTGCAGAGTTGATCACGACAGTCGGATTTCCAGGAGTATTCAGATAAAAGACGTCGCCGTAGGCGGCAGCCCATCGAGCGTAAGTAAGCCACGGATACTCTGCGGGCACATGCCAAAGGTTCCCTATGAGCGGGAGTCCCTTGGGGCCGGGAGGGAGAGGTAGACGTCTGTGTTTAAGTGAGAGGCGAGACAAAAGATACACCAATAAGACACCAAATGCTATCAGGAGAGTTGAAACCATTGCGAGTAGTCACCGCAGTTGATTTCTTCCCACTTCTCACTCTTTAAGAAGTCTGCCCTTCCCTGGTTAGAAGACCTGTAATTCTATAAACGACACAGCCTAAGCACCATATGTCCCGAAATCCCTAATTGCAACAAGATGTCGTGACAAAGAAGATGGGGAAGCTATATTATTACCACACGTCGGAACGATAGAGTAAATTATATGCATGATGAAGCATCAGCTGAACACCCAACCCCGTATATACACGGGTGAAGTGGACATCGTGGGTCGTCCGGACTGGTTGCTCTCAGGCTCTCAGATCTCAGTGCCAGCAGCTAGTCGTTGTGGATGATGGGACAAGAGACTCCTGAGATGGCGACTTGAATGAGAAGGAAGTTGAGGGTGAAAACAGGAAGTCCTCAGCAGTGATGGAGACGTAGCCTACAGCAAAGTATTGCCAACCAGAATCCAAGAATGAGGGTTTTGGTTAAACTTTTTAACTCAGCCCGATCGTGTGCAAATTTTTGAATGACGTTATGCAGATGACCTGTTCCCGTGCCAGATACGACTCCGACTCCGACTCGCTCGTGCAACTGGTGGAGGTCAAGAGAAGGATACAACTGTATATCGTATTTTACATGCAATACCCATCTACTCACCAGAAGCACTTCTGGTCAATTTGCCGGGTAGCTCTCGAAAAGTGGGTGAGGACCCCGGGCCGAGAGTCATCTATGTCTGGGAGTTTTTTGCCTTGCTCGTGGACGGAACATTGTCATGAGGTAGAATAGTTTCCAACACGGATATCATGGCCTCGGTGGTTTTTCATATCCCTTCGAAAGGCAGTCAATGTACTCGGAGAGAGTAAAACGCTATTCGTCCAAATGCATCCCGCTGGCGCCAGCTTTGAACATGACCAAAGTGTTACTGGTCCCATGTTCGATTCGACTTTGATTGGATCTTGTACGGCACTGCGGTTCTCGTCGACCATCGGATATCATTCTCCAGATATCTGGTTGTCTATCCTTGCTGTAGTCAAAGCTCTCGCATTTCTCGGCCCGAACAACATGCCTTTCCTAATGAATTCTATGTCGGACGGCCACTGGTAGAGTCCTGAGTCGCACCACAGTGATCCCACTCGGTCTAACGATTCCAAGTAGTTTGCGGCCATTCAACGATACAGTGTTCGAGTCCAGCTGATTCTTTGCAATCCTCTTACATATCACTTTATCGGGCTAACACAACTCACTAACTCCGTCAAGAGCAGTGTCTAGTCGAACTCAAGAAACAACACAAACGGCTTCAAAGACGATCCTTGGGGAACCACTGCCAACAAGTACTGCAAGCATCTTTGCGATTACGATGACGAAAAATGGCGGGAGATCGTTTTCGGCAGCGCAAAACATTTCAATGCGAAGGCCAAGCTCCTAGGGGCCATAGAGTCGAGTGGTAGTGCCAGAATGGATGACTGCGACGACAATATTAGCAAGTCTCCTTAGGTTCTTCTCGTTCCTTCGTTGTATCTTATCGGTACTGACGTTCTTTCCTTATCAGATGCTACCCTTGAAGGAAGATGTTAGTACACATTCGGTTTCTGTATTGATGATGTCGCTGTAGTGCTTGAAAGTTGAAATACAGTTTTTTCCCGACGTGCAAAAGTGGTTATATAATATGAACGTGTGCTAGTAGAATGGGTATGGACTAGGTATGGTGGCTAATGGGGGATTGCGAGAATGCAGGTATGGTGGCTGACATAACAATATAACCGCGGTATGGGGGTAGCCAGGTACGTTATACGCCTATAACGGTGTCTGGTTCTCTGGTGGGTGATGGTAGCTATGGTCTCATCCCTACCAGACTTGTACGAGTTTGCTGATCCGGGCCTGGTTTATTGGAGTAATTCCCTGAAGGCTGAGCGCTTTTCGAACAGATCTGCCGCTGCCTGGGCAGAGTTAATTACAACGGTCGGATTTCCGGGAGTATCCAGATAAAAGACGTCGCCGTAGGTAGAAGCCCATTGAGTGTAAGTAAGCCATGGATATTCGACGGGCACATCCCAGAGATTTCCTATGAGTGGAAGTCCCTTAGGCCCAGGAGGGAGACGTCGTCGGTTAAGTGAGAGGCGGGTAAGGCGATGTAACAGTAAAACACCGAATACAAGAAGTGCTATCAGGAGAGTCGAGATCATTGCGAGGATTTACAGAAACTGATCCTCGCTTCCCATTTCTTAAAAAGGCACACCTTTCCATGAACCAGGGACATAGAATCAGGTTTATCTTGCTGCTTCCCGTGTTTCCAAAAATACGTCTGGAGAAGAGCAGATGACGGATAAATCGATGTGAACGGGTGTAATAAATGATATGGAGCATCAGTTCGTGGCGCTACAAAGAACCAGTGACCCCTCTATAATATCGCCTTAGAGCGAGAGATGATAAACGTCGACATCTGATTAGGAATAGACTCGGAGCTGCGATGCCGGTAATAAATGTGGCCTTGGGCAAATGAGATAGCAAACACTGCTGATCGATAGGATGCGATTCTGGCGTGTCAGTCCATCGTATACTACACCCAGGGTGTACTCAGTTATTATTATGTGGGTCAGACTTATCATGAGAAAGGCCTATTCGTGTTATCAACGTACTGAGCGTGTCATGTGAAAACATCCGTTCATGCTAGTTTCTCCCATCCTGATTGGCCTGATGAATCTTAAGGTTGTTTAGATCGTGGTTTCTCGAGCAAGTTTACGGCGGTCTAAGAGGATGATGACAACCACCACAGAACTTCAAAAATCGAAGTCATTCCAAAATTGCTACAATTCTTTCGAATCTATCAACGCTTGCGCTGCAGCTGAGCGCACCTTTATAGTACATTTGAAAGGTATGGGAAAGCTATGCATGAAGTTAGAATGATTCTTAGCGTACCTTATGTGAAAGGACTTGCCTGAGAAAACCGTCCGTAAAGGTATCACTAGGTTCGATAACCCGACCTTCAGAATCAATAGCCTTGGTAAACGATAGCGTCGATGCCATAGACGCGATGACAATCCATGCAGAATTCAATGCAAGATAACGGCCGGGACATATGCTGAGGAAATATCGGCGCCGAAGCTGAATGGAAGCATATCATACGCACCGTCTTCCAAAACCAAACACGGCTATAGGTTCAGGTTGGGGTTCTTTCCCCTCTTCGGGTATGAACCTGTCGGGGTCGAAGACAAGAGGATTGGGATAAAACTTTTCATCGTGAAGTATAGCCCTACATGGAGCGTTAATCTGAAGATGAGATAGTAATATATTGATGCTTATTACTCACCAAGTGTTACCAACGACGGTTGCGCCTACCGGGGGGGGGGGGGGAATAAATAGGAACGGACAGGAAGAACGCGTCTGAGACATACCTGCAGGAATGTAATATCCTTTGTAAATATCTGCATTCAAGCTACGATGAGCAACACCTAAATGAACTGTAGGGATATACATGGACCTAGTATAGACACATACCCATTGGTACAGTAGGATTCCATCTGAGTGCTTCAAACAGAATAGCGTCAATATAAGGCAGCTGCGGACGGTCGTCAAAGTTTGGCAGACGGGTGGGACCGACCACAGCGTCCAGTTCGGCTTGAGCCTTGGCTTGAACTTCGGGGTAAAGAAGAAATGCAAGCATAGTGGAAAGGATGACCGATACGGTCTTCATAACAATATAAGAGACGTGAAGTGAGGCATACAGATGAAAACATACAGTGTCAGCGCCCGCTAACCAAGACATAAAATAAACATTCTGCAAGAAACACATAGATGCAACCTACCGGCGAAGGCTACCCCCGCTGCATTCCGGACGATTTCAAGTCGTGTCGCTTTCTCCGACATACTGGTCTCTTTCATCTTGGTCAGATTCTCAGAGACGAATGAAGACGTGACAATGCCATTAGCCTTGAGAAGGGAACACAGAATCAGCGCGACCAACAACATAAATAAGTAAACGAGAGCGTACCATTGATTCTGAAGCGTATGCAAACGGTCCGTTTACCATCTCTTCGACATCTTTCCTCCAGGCGTCTGCAAGATTCATGAAATTTGCGCCAGGAAACCACCCTTCATAAAATTTCAGTACGATACTGACAGCTAAGAAAAAGTTGGCTCACGAGGAAGATATTTCATGCTCGGAATGTAGTCAACGAGAAACGTTCCCACATTCCCAATAATGCGAAGACTTTCCATAGCCCGATCCACTAAAACCACAAACCGATCGCCATTTGGATCGACATCGTATCCGTACACGGTTTTCATGATCACTGAACCAGCATGACTGGGAGAATACAGCGGGCCGTGAGATTGTCAGAGTGTACCGTCAGTATATGTACAGCTTACTGGCGACCATGGCGAACAAACTCATCTGGAGATTTAAGCAGCTGTTGTAATAAGACCAACGTCGCTTTCATCTGCACAGGGTAATATGCTGGAACTGCACGAGACTGAAAGTATTGATGAAACATTCGGCGATGTTTTCTATGAAGAGGAATCAGGCAGTATCAACAGAGAACATCGCGAATCGTAAACCTCCACCAGTCAGGAGGCCGAAGTTACGTTGAACCCCCACCCCACTAAATTGATCATGGTGAAATCTGCATGACGTCATCAGCTCTGAGACGTGGTTATAATATCGTCCCACTATACCTGGTCTGTCAGAATAAATCCCAGAGCGTTTTTCGAACAGATCCGCAGCCACTTCTGCGGAGTTGATCACGACGGTCAGATTTCCGGGAGTATCCAAATAGAAGATGTCGCCGTAGGTGGCAGCCCATCGAGCGTAGGTGAGCCATGGGTACTCTGCGGGCACATCCCAAAGGTTCCCTATGAACGGGAGTCCCTTGGGGCCGGGAGGGAGAGGGAGACGTGCGTGTTTAAGTGAGAGGCGAGACAAAAGATACACCAACAAGACACATACAAGAAACGCTATCAGGAGAGAAACCATTGTGATCGGTTATCACAGTTGGTTTCTCCTCTCTTCTTCTCACTCTTTAAGAAGTCCGACCTTTCCTGGGCCGAAAACCTGTAATTCTATAAACGATACACTGCGGTAGGCACCATATCTCCGTGAGGGTTCTAGTTAAACTATCTAACTCAACCTAATCGTGCACAAATTTTTGAATGACGTCATGCAGATGACCTGTTCCCAGACCACGACTGCCAGATACGACTCCGACTCCAACTCGCTCGTGCAACTGGTGGAGGCCAAGAGAAGGATACAACTGTATGGCTTTTACATGAAGCACTTCTCGTCGATTTGCCGGGTAGCTATGGAAAAGCAGTTGAGGTCCCGAGAGTCATCTATGACGGGTCTGGGAGTTTTTTGCCTTGCTCGTGGATGGAACATTGTCAAGACATAGAATAGTTTCCAACACGGATATCATGGTCTCGGTGGCAATATTTTTCATACCTCCTCGAAAGGCAGTCAATGTACTCGGAAAGGGTAAAACGTTATCCGTCCAAATACATTCCGTTGGCGCCAGCTATGAACGTGACCAAAGTGTTACTGGTCTCATGTTCGATTCAACTTTGATTGGATCTTGTACGGCACTGCGGTTCTCGTCGACCATCAGATATCCTTCTCCTGATATGGTTCTCTACCCTTGCTGTAGTCAAAGCTCTCGCATTTCTGCTCGACCAATATGCCCTTCCTAATGAATTCTATGTCGGACGGCCATTAGTAGAGCCCTGAGTTGCGCTATATTGATCTCCCTTCAGTCTAACGATTCCAAGCCTCTTGACGTCACCTTTGCTACCGTTACTGCGGGATAAGGTCCGTATCCTGGTTAGGTGGAAGGAATCAGAATGTTTGCTCATGCTTCTAGTTCGCAGCCATCCAATGATATTGTGTTAGAGTCCAGCTGATTCTTTGCAATCCACTTGCATCTCACTTTATCGGGCCAATACGAAGTAATGGCATCACGATCGTGCTCACGGGCAGTGCAATCATGATGGTCCAACACTCCACATATCATGCTAGAACCGCATCTCATTGTTTCCTAGACCATTCCGAACGGTTTTTCATTAATTTGCTGCGTTCCTTGCACTTTCTTGGTCCTAATCAGGATTGTACATTTTACCACGACCTACTCTGAGACGACGAGCCACCGATTCTTTGTAGGGTAATGTCCACAAATTGATGCTCCATATGCACACGTTCACGTTTGTTTCGTCTCAGGGTTATCCGTCATCTGTTCTTCTCCAGACATCTTTGGAAAACATGGGAGCAGCCATGAGATAAACCCGGTTCCGTGTCCTTGACTCACGGAAAGGTACACCTTTTTAAGGAATGAGAGAGATCAGCTGGGGCAAGTTCTTGCAATGGCCGCAACTCTCCTGCTAGTGTTTCTTGCCTTTGGGGTGCTATGGTTCCATCATCTTATCCGCCTCTCGCTTAAACGTCGACGTCTTCCTCCTGGTCCTAAGGGGCTTCCACTCATAGGGAACCTTTGGGATGTTCCCGCAGAGTACCCGTGGCTCACCTACGCTCGATGGGCTGCCACCTATGGCGACGTCTTTTATTTGGATACTCCCGGAAATCCTACCATTGTAATTAACTCTGCACAAGCAGCGGCGGACCTGTTCGAAAAATGTTCTGGGAATTATTCCGATAGACCTGGTATGGCTGGTCCATATCACACTGACACAGAGCTAGTAACAATCATGCAGATTACACCATGGCCAAGTTATCAGGATGGGGGACTATCATGGGTTTTATGAGATACTCCGACCAGTGGAGGTCGGTACAACCATGATCTCTGTTGATATTATCTAATTTCTCTCTATAGAAAACGTCGCCGAATGTTTCATCAATACTTTCAGCCTCGTGCAGTTCCAGCGTACTATCCTGTGCAGATGAAAGCGACGTTGGTCTTGTTACAACAGCTGCTTAAATCTCCAGATGAGTTCGTTCGCCGTGTTCGCCAGTAAGTTGTACGTATACCGATAGTACGCTCTGAAAAATTCATGGCTTGCTGTATCCTTCTAGTCATGCTGGCTATGTTATTATGAAAACCGTCTATGGATACGATATTGATCCAAGCGGTGATCGATTTGTGGACCTAGTGGACCGGGCTCTAGAAGGTATTCGCCACTCCGGGAATATGGGATATTTTCTCGTCGACTACATCCCGAGTTTGCAATATCTTCCGCGTGAATTGGCTTTTACTTAACCGTCAGACTCATGGTGAGAGCCACTGATACACATACAGGATGGTTTCCTGGTGCAAACTTCATCAACCTTGCGCGCAACTGGAACAAAGAAGTCCAAGACATGAAGCAAGAGCCATACGAATATGCTTTGCAATCACTGGTATGTCCTCGTTTAGTTGCCGAACAATACCGAAGGCGGTCCCATTGACTATGTACCTCACCTGTAAGGCTAAAGGCCTCGCCTCGCCTTCGTTAGTCTCCGAAAATATAAGAAAGGTGAAGCAGTTAGCTGCGCCGGAGAGTGCGGCACACCTTGACGTCATCCGTGATACAGCGGGGGTAGCCTTTGCCGGTAGGTTGTCTTTAGCATTTCCAGCTGAATACCTGATCTCAATGCTCATGTCTTGGTTAGCGGGCGCCGATACTGTACGTTTTCATCGTTTTCAGTCCGTCTTGTTACTCTCATACGCTATAAAGACGGTGTCAACCATTGTTTCTGTGATACTCGCTTTCGTTCTCTACCCCGAGGTACAAGCTAAAGCTCAGGCCGAGCTCGACGCTGTTGTCGGTCCCAATCGCCTGCCGAATTTCGATGACCGTCCACAGCTTCCTTATATTGACGCTGTACTGATGGAAGCACTGAGATGGAATCCTGTCGTGCCAATGGGTCTGCATTTTCAGACCACCAATGTTACCTCAGCTCATAGGTCTCGATTCAGGTATTGACCATCGCAGTAGGCAAGAGGATATCTACAGAGGATATTACATTCCTGCGGGTATGGTTTGATTGCGTTTACTTTGTCGGTTTTTGCTCACTCCCCTTGTAGGCACGACCGTTGTCGGTAACGTTTGGTGAGTATCAGTCTTCGATAGCGGGGTGTAATGTCCGACCCTCATATATATTGATGTACCAGGGCCATACTACACGACGAAAAAGACTATCCCAACCCACTAGTCTTCGATCCCGAACGATTCATGTCCAGCGATGGGAGAGAACCTCAACCGGAACCCACAGCCGCCTTTGGTTTTGGGAGACGGTGCGTTTGACAGATCCATACAATCAAGCCCTTTATTGATATCTACTTCTCAGTATCTGTCCGGGTCGTTATCTCGCATTGAACACAGCGTGGATCGCCATTGCGTCTATGGCCGCGACCTTGTCGTTTTCCAAGGCCGTAGATTCTGAAGGCCATATTATTGAACCTAGTGATACTTATACAAATGGCTTTCTGAGGTAGGTTGTCCGCCGCTGATGTTCGACACTTCATTTCTGAATTTCCTGTAGCTTTCCTGTGCCTTTCAAATGCACGATCAAGGCGCGTTCTGCTCAGGCGCAAGCGCTGATAGACACTGGCGGATTGTAACACTTTCGGAACATGTAATTTTAAACACTACACTTATGAAGGAGAAGTCGAACTTCCATCCTGATGATTCGGTAAGAATGTTGCTGCATCTATACTAAATCGACCCTAGGGTGGGAGATGTCAACGCTTGAGCTACACAAATAAACAATGATGCGGTAAAAAGGCAATGACAGTGCTCAGGAGAACAGATCCTAGTACGGTGAGACAGTTGATGTTATAGAATAACATTAATACCACTAGCAAAATTGAGAGCAATCCATATCATGGAAGAAAGCACGACGACGACGATTAATATTGTTATATGTACAAGGTCAAACTGATTGGATGGCTACTATATGGTCTACAGTGTACCACGCTGACAGAATAAAATGCCTCAAATTAGTTATGAATCCTCCCAACCAGCCGTCCGCAAGGATAAAAGCTGAAAAAAACCGTCCGATGAAACAAGTGCGACCGTGACAGAATTAAATTAATCTAAGCTTTACTGCGACCCGATATCGATATCAAGGGCATCCATGGCCAGACCGAGAGGATCAGTCATAGGCACGTTTCTGTTTGCGATGACAGAATCGATTCCGGGGGATGCGCCGAAGAAGACCTCAGGACTGGTGCACGCAGCGACAGCCCTACGCATGTGTGTCGTCAAGAACGACAAGCCAACTTGATAGGCAGCTAATTGCGAAACTCGACATTAACAAAATGCCTTGTTCAATGAAAGCGACATACAGTTCATCCAACCGAAACCTTCACGTGGCACCATCTTGAAGTCAATGCCCTGATTGCCATACTCCGCATCTACTAGGTGTGATAGCTTGACCGCATCAAACTGTTTTGTCGGAAGGTTAATAACAGTTCATAATTAGAAGGGAACCAACGGACCTTCTCGGGAACAACTCCATTGAAATCAACGAAGGCAGTGGTCATCCTGGCAGATCATGAGTTCAAGTCGACCTGGAATCAAAGTAACATACATATAGAGGAAACGGTAGGCTAGCCGTTGCGCTTCCTCGAGGTATCCATATCGTTCTAGCCCCACCCAAAGCACGATTTGGTGAGGAGGCCTGTGAGTTGGTGTGAGAAACGCGTACTCGAGAGAAGATGGAATTCATACCATGCATAACTACATCACGGGAAACATGCATCAGATCGGCAAGACAATAATATGAGACACAGGGCAACATACGGATAATCCCATTGTCGGTTAGGCCGGTCTAAAGAAATCTTCCCGCGTGACTCTTCGGTTCCTGACACGACACCACCCAGGACCTCGAACTTCTTCAACGAATGGGATCTAGAAGATACAGCGAATAGTAAGTCTTTCCGTTCCCACGAGAACAACGAGAAGACAACGTACACGAGCTTCCGACACTGCTCTTCACTGGCACAGCCAGCCCAAAGGGACCAAAACGCTGTCACACTCTCATACAATATCTGCTTCTCTTTAACCGTATCGTAATCGAAGTAAAGACTCTTCGTTTCGTTCCAGAGGTACTTGTCAATCATCTCCTTCCGGAACGCCGCCCTCTTGAACCACTCATCGCTCTGCTGAGCCCTCCTGCGCGAACTTTCCCTTCTTGGATTTGCATACGCTTCCACCGAAGGAGGGAATGGCGACAAGGGGAAATCCTCCTCCAACTCAAGCTCGTCATCAAACACCTCTCGAATTGCAGTTCCGATGTCAACCTCGTACTTGTACAGCAACGCCTGCAGGTCGATAGTCGCAAGATTCGCACATCGTTTTTCAAACCTATACGTAGTGTCGTGTCCAGATTCGCGAACAGCACGATCATGCAAAAAGTACTCGTCTAACTGAGGCTCCTTCAACGTTCCGTCGTTGTATTTTTCGCTGAACTCCAGGATAGAAAGGCCATGCTTCTCAGCATAGGGCTCGAGGATGTGAGTGAAATGAGACGCTTCTGTCTCGGGAGGTATACCGAGGCCATCTGGGCGGTAGCGCGACAGTCCAGTTTTAGGATCCATGCGGGGCTCCGCAACCCACACAGTGTGATACTCCTTGATGGCTGCTTGAATAGCGCGTTTCAGCCAAGCTCTGTTGCCATCAACGTCAGATTGGTCGAGCTGGTTGTAGATCTGAAGAGCCATGTCGGTAAGGAATGGTGGCTGTGTACGGCAAAGGTAGTAGCTTCGGCTGCCGTTTAGGATCTTGTTGTAATGCCGGATTTCAAAGATGAAATGGTCAACCATGCCCTTCGCCATTGTCACCTGGCCATCGACGAGGAGTCCCAGAGATATGAAGTACGAGTCCCAGTTGTAGAGCTGCAGAAAGGGTAAGTGGCAAAGCTCATACATCATACGACAGAAGGAACCTCGTTGAACCGTGCACCAGGAACGATGAAAGGAATACCTTTCAAGGTTTTTCCGCCCTTGCCATCATCCACTTCGTTCATTGCCAAGGCGAGGATGCCGGGTTTAGAATTTAAGCTTTTGACGAAAGCGGGATCGTCAGGCTTCTCTGGGAGAACCTGTACATCGAGATTCATATGTGGCTTCTCTTTAGCGACCTTGCGGTAATATTCGGCCATGGCGGGTTCGCCGTAGGGAACGTAAATTCGAGGGTTGGATCGACTGGTGCGGTTCTTTGGATCAGCAGTAATAATTTCAAGACCGTCACCATCAATACGCCGCGTTAGGGAGTGCCAGAACGAGTTCTTGATCATACGTGACAGACGGTCAACAGGATTCTCGGTGAGCCTAGCTTCGTCAAGAACGATTCTCTTTCTGTTGTGGTCGCGTGCGAGAGCAAGCTCTTGTAGCAGATTCGACAGCATGTATGTGCCCTTGAAGACACTGAGGAGCGGAACACAAAAAAATGTAACCAAGGACGCACCCGAATATCAAATGTCTTAAAACCATTGCTCGTCGCCGTTCCCAACGCCATCATCTTTGGACCAGCGTCGGTGACACTTATCTGAAAATCTCCGTCCGTATCCTCCTGCTCCAGAACAACTCGAATGGTCTCCTCGACGTCGATTAGGAAGCGCCTAGGTGCGGTGACGGCTTTCTCGTCATGAGACATACGACGCGGTCTCAAGTGCCAGTCCTCCTCAAAGGCCGGCGCTCGCTTAGGCTTGTAGCCATGGATATGAGACTGGAACCAGGTGAATACTTCCTCGAGGACGGCAATGATGCTGAAACCTACGTGACTGTACGTCCGGGAACGAGTGAATGACTCCCCGCCGCCATAATAAGTGGCAGCGTCGACATTGACGGGTCTGCTTGCCTGGTCGTCAATGAAGGACACGCCGGCAGGATGGGTAAGAACGGGTGCCATGAAAGAGAAAGAGAAAAAGATGAGGAGACAATGGATAAAGGGAAAGGAATGAGCGGAAACAATGTGGGGTAAAGGTACACGATGCGTGGGAATTTGTCGTCTAAATTGCTGACAACAATGACCTCGACATCGGACTAGCAACAGGATACATATGGCTCACCTTCTCTACCACTGTCTCTACCGTGGGTGCCGGAGTGACACTGCGATTCTTTCTCTATAAAATCGGATGATTGGTCCTTGAATCTGGCAGCACGTCAGTGAGAGGTACTGAGCGATACACGGAATGCTGAGAATGTTAGCCCTTATAGGCGCTCAAACGGGACCCTGCCAGCTAGCTTGAACGCCGTTCTTCTAAAAGGGCCATCATTTTTTGTACCATTCAGTAATAACAGTAACTCCGTTTATTGATGCATGATGGGCTGTTGCGTCACCACTACAGCACCGGTTCACTTTACTCCGTTCAGGGCACCCCACTACAATCTCTCACGCTTGAAATTTTTATGGGGAAGATTCCTTACCGTATAGTCGACGCAAGGCCACCCTCTCCTGGACGCCCGAGGCTGGGGTATAATAATCCGGGCTTCCTTTCGTAAATGTCTTGCGGATGAACGTAAAGATAAATGTTGCTCACGCTCTGAAGAAGCACAAGCACAGGTTATGTTCACTGCGAACCTGATGGAGCCATCACCTCTGCGTGATTTATTACTTGCAACCGAAGGCAACGGGACATCCTACACATTAAAACATTGAATACTTAACAAATGGCGAAGGCCTCGTTTAAATATCATCGGACGGGCAATTCGCGTATTGCAGAGGTGGTTGTGTATCTAGTTTTGCTGCAAGGATGATAGTACCGTTATCTATGAACATGCATAATCATGGACAGAGATATCGATCGAACCAGAATTCGAGAGAGTTCGACTTGAAAATTTTAGATCATTTTCGATCACCTTCCTCTTCTGATTCTGACTACGTGCTCACCGGCCTTCTCTTTCCTCCACAGCCATGACCAAGGCCAATGAACTCTTTCCAAGTATTGGATCCGCTGCAGATAAGGCCGACTTGCTCCCCGAAAAAGACCAAGAAATCGGCGAATCAAACGCGGACGATACAGAAGATAGGCCTACCCAAGAAATCGAGTCACTCTGCATGAAATGCGGCGAGCAGGTCCTTATCTTACTCTATCCGAGATCATAAATATCTGACTGTTCTCCTAGTAGGGTGTTACCAGGATGCTACTCACGTCAATTCCATTTTTCCGCGAAGTCATCGTTATGTCATTCCGATGTGAGCATTGCGGGGCGACGAATAATGAAATACAGTCTGCAGGCACCATACGTCGTGCGTTCATACCCGGTCTCATCGTGAATACTCTCTGATGAAACGTAGCTGAAGGGACCATCTACACCGCGCGTATACTCTCCCGATCCGACCTTAATAGACAAATTGTTCGCTCCGCAAGTTGCGAGATCGTGATCCCGGAATACGAACTCACACTCCCGCCGTCCGCTCGCGGTCAACTCACGACGGTGGAAGGCCTGATCCGTGATGTTGTAGCTGATCTGAGCATGGACCAACCGCTGCGGCGCATCCAGGATGAAGACAGTTACACGAAAATCCAAGCTCTAATCGACAAATTAAAGGAGATCCTTGGCGATGAGGAAGATGAAGACGAAGAGGTACAGGTTAGAAAGGCAGCGGAAAAAGACCATATCTCTATGCCATCTTTCACGCTCAAGTTGGACGATCCCTCAGGAAACTCATTCATTGAGTTCGTAGACAACATGGCAGACCCCAAGTGGAATATGAGAACATATCCCCGGACATTGAAGCAGAATATAGCGCTGGGACTGGTCGCACCGTCTGAGGAAAATGAGGGAGCTCTCCAGACTGTCAAAGAGGGTGATGAAGAGTTGGGCGGTGGCGAAGCTGGAACCGACGAAGAGATCTTCGTCTTCCATGGGCCATGTTCAAGCTGTGGTCATCCTATTGATACCATGATGAAGAAAGTCAACATACCTTACTTCAAGGTGTGGTACCGCTCTGTTTCATATTCATCTATCTGACGATATCCTAGGACGTTATCATCATGTCCATTAACTGTGATCGTTGTGGATACAGGGACAACGAAGTCAAGTCTGGCTCTGCTATATCAGAAAAGGGCAAACGGATAACACTCAAGGTCGAGGACCGTGAAGACTTGAGCAGGGATATTCTTAAAGTACGGCCTTCTTTCTTCGATGATATTGAAGACTGATGTATTCCCCAGAGTGAAACTAGTGGCATGGAGATTCCAGAAATCGATCTCGTGTTACAACACGGCACCCTTGGAGGTCGTTTCACCACCCTCGAAGGGATCCTCGACCAGGTATACGAGGAGCTATCGGAAAAGGTCCTCAGACTTGGAGACTCTTCGACTATTGGCGAAAGGAAGACATTCGAAGAATTCCTCAAGGGCCTGAAAGAGGTACGTAGATCAAAACACGTTACTACACTTCCGACCTCATTTTTTTTTAGGTGAAGAACGTTGAACGACCGTTCACGCTCATTCTCGACGACCCTTTGGCCAACTCATATGTGCAGAACTTGTATGCCCCCGACCCGGATCCCAACATGACTGTTGAGTTGTATGACCGGACATGGGAGCAAAACGAGGAGCTAGGTCTCAATGACATGAAGGTAGAGAATTACCAGGAAGATGAAGAGAAGCAAAAGCAAAAGCAATCATAACAAAGCGTATAGGTGGCGCTATTACGATTTACGACACAGTATTCAACAATCGAAAGCATGCAAGTACGTGTACAGTTACTAGACAAAGGCTTCTTGTACCAAGTAGAATTACATACCGTAGTGTACTCCCTATTAAATAACGATAAGCGAAGTGACTACACATGAACTGTAAGCCGTGATCATATACCGGCTTCAGCAGGTATACCGAGAGCTGCCAACGCTTCTAGACCAAGCTTAGCCCAGTGAGAGACTAAAGCTTCGTTTTCGAACCACAATTTATCTTTCACGGCTAGGGGAGAAGGGGATGAAGGATCAACGTGCTGATTGTCTGGCGGTTGTGGCGACACAAAAATAGAATTATCTTCCGAGTGACCGTCCAGATCTGGGAGCACAACTGGTTCAAGCCCAGGTGAAGAACATGACAAGTCATGCTCTGTAGTTTGAGACGAGGGCACAAGCGGAGGAGACGATGGGGGTTGTGATGAACTCGATTCCTTCCTTTTCGGTGTTGTGGGAGAACCATCTTCCGGAGTAAGTTGTGACAAACTGGAAGGTTGGTTTGTTTCTACAACCAAATCACGCACTGGGGATTGCGCTCGTAGAAGCGATGAAGAGGGAGAAGTATTATTATGAGCATTTGCTACTGAAGAGTCCTCGGGAGATATTGATGTCGCTTCAACGGTGGGTGAGGAGTAGTCAGGCGTGCCAGAGTCAAAAGAACGAGATTTTTCGCCATCGAGCTCGACGTTGTCACTAATCCGCCTACGTTTTCTTGTCCCTGATTTTTCGACCTCTTCATCGGCTGTTTCCTCCCGCGTTAACATTGGCTTCTCTTCCTCCTCCTCACGCACACCACTCCATAGGCCAGTTTGTCGCATCCATCCAGAAACATTACTCTCCCCCTTTATTGTATCGAGCACGCCGATAACAGCCAACAAGATCTGATCATAGCCGAGGGCCTTCTTTGACTTTTTCCGCTTTTTCTGAGAAACGACAGCTCCAGCATCCTGAATGTCAGAAGGGGGCTTGTCTCTTTCGTGCTGCCGGGTAGAGAGGTCTCGGCCTCGGATTTGGGCGGTGTACTCGGGTACACAGAAATGGTTCCACGGTTGAAGTTGAGCTTTAAGCGGAGAATCGTCGAGAAGGAGGGTAGTGAGGGCGGAGTGTGCGTGTGCGGAAGGGGATGGTTCAGTTATAGGCGCTGGCCAGTCGGTTGAATGAGACGGTCCATCTTCGCTGCTTGATAGTGCAGAAGCTTGTTCATTTTCGTCTGGCAACAGCGAAAGCGCAGCCCATGGCTTGGCGAGGTCCTTGGTTGTCTGCGTTTTCTGGTCTGCAAATACGTTCAGCGAAGTCGATGGAACAAGAAATAAAAAACATACGATATTGTAAACTTGTCAATCCAAGCGTATCTCGAGCCCACACAGCAACCAACTTATCCTTCTCCTCCTTGAAGCACTGATCCACCATATGGTTAACATTGAATGGTTGCGCTGAACTCCAAACCATGGTGTCCAACCATTCTAGCGTCTTGGGATGAAATAGGTACTGCCTGAATGATCCCATGTAAGGACGGGGATGTACGACCCGGGGCTGAGGTTCTGAAGAGCCGTTGGCTCTGTCACGCCGGTATCTGCGTGGACCTTGGGGTCTCCCTTCTCTATATAGCAAAGTGCCATTTAAGTCTAAAATGAGAAGCTTTCGTGAGGAAGAAGGGTCGTCTATAGGCATAGAAGACTGCTGCGAGAGTTCGAGGTATTCAGCAGAAGGCTCGGTAGGTATTGGCGGGGGTGAAGGTGATGGATCTCGGCGCCGTGGAGACCATCGTCGCGCTTCGTAGTATGTCGGTCTTCTCTCAAGGGGATCCGACGTATGATAATCGTCGTATGGCTGGGCTTGCCACTGGTTATTATAGTACCCGTAAGGATTCCAAGCCTGCGGCCATGACTGTCCGTCATTCTGTCCGTATGAAGAATCGTAGTATCGTGAATCGTCATTCCATTGACGAGAAGAGTAGTCGAGGTCGTTTGGATCGACGTGGGCGTAATAATCGTATCCGTGACCTTGAAAAGTCATTCTAGGAGAGGATCTAGCACGAATGACGAGCGTGAAGACGGGACGCTGGAAGTCCCTGCACAATGAGGAGTGACGTGCTAAACGGAGAAGGACAACGTGCGATCGTCGTGCATTCGCCATTCTTTCCCATCAAATATGATGCACCGGGAGTACTTTTTTTCAGCGAACTCCTTGGATTTCAATTTTTTGCTCTGGTTATCATGTCCAGCGACCAAGCCGTTGAAAAGACGTCGAATGAGGTAGAGACGGCTGAGGTAGAAGAGTACACGACGACGCGGAGAGAACTATGGTCGTATTATCTCTATTATGTGGGCAACAACGGGTTGTCGGGATTCAATTTTGGCCCTTCGCAGTTCCAGAATCTTCTTTCTCTAGCAGGCTATGACCCCAAGGACCCACCATTCGTGACGCCGTGCTCGAACAGCTGCGTTTTGCCATATCTTGGTCAAGTTCGTGACAGTGAGCCCACTCCTTCATCAGACTCTGGGTGTACGCTGATCGTGTGTTCCAGTACATTCCATTGTCTTATTGACGAATGGCATCAGCTTTGCTCTTCAAGCCGCCCTTCTTTTGTTCATTGGCGCATGGGCAGACTATGGTCGCTGGAGGTCTCGTCAAATTTCTTGCAAGTCAAATTCCATTTGATGTTGAACCCGCCTATCTCCCTAGACCCAACATCACGATATTCTTTACCCTCTTTGCCGTAGGCGTGTCTTTTGCATGGTTGGGGGTAGACGACCCATCCAAATGGCGCGCCGGTATAGTCTTGTATATCCTGGGATGTACGTCTTCGTCCATCTCTTAGTCCACACGCTCTATGTCTAACGTATCTAAAGTGATAACTTATCAGGTGGGCATGGATACCACAGATTATGGTTTTTTCTTTACTCAGGATTCCTACCTCAAGTGTGCGCTGACATTTTGGACGGCTGCCTTTCCTGGGCTCGCTCAGGACCTTCCTGATGTCAAAAGCTCGTTGAGTGAATTAAACAACGGTCATAAAAGGTCATATCGATTAATGTCTCGCATTCTTGTCCTGACACCGCCATAGTCAACAAGATCATGAAGTTTTGGCCTCGCTGGCAAAAAATCGGATATCCAATATCTCATTTGCTGTATGCTCGGCTGGCGAAATTATAATACTTGCGGTCATGGTGGGGATCCTCAAAGGGTTGCGATCAGACGAAAGCACAGAGAACAACACAAAGGCATTCAGTGTCTTGATTGCGTTTTCAGGAGGGGTTTGGTGTATGTCGTATTTCTCTGTCAGTGGGCTGTCAGCCTGACCAACAGTACTTTGCGCCTTGCCTTGGTTTGTTCTGGAAAAGAGGCGTCCTGGTCTGCAGCTTCCTCCCGGAACTAGTCTTATGATAGTTGGTTTCAAGCAAGCCTACGTCGCGTTTAGGGAATGTATGCGGCTCAAGCAGACCTTCTTATACCTTATCTTTTATTTCCTCATGTACGCCGCTCCCTTCCCTAATCGGTGTCGTTGATTGACCACTTGTTATGCAGGGGGGACGTTCTAAACACCACTGTGTTAGTGGTCCCTTACTCTTGATCCTCGGCTTAAATAAATATTTGACCTCAATACATAGCACTGTCATTGGTACTCTACAGAATAGGTTTGTCCGTGACTCTTTCTAATGTGGATCTCCTGACACACAGGGTATAAAGCGTAGTGGCTTACTCAACTCTTCAGCTGACTTTGCTCCTCATCGTTGGTATTGTGGCGCAGGGCATGGGCATCTAGTATGTCAATATTCTAACAACCGGAGTCGAACTCAACTTAGTTTGTTCAGTCTTTTCTGGCTGGTGCAAAAGCGTTATAGTATTAGCACGAAGGCTGTTAGTAGCTCTTATCTTCTTTATGTTGAGGCCATTGACGAACTATTGATCAGATGCTATTATTCAATGTGTTTTGGATTATCGTCGGTTACAGTGCATCTCTGCTTGAGGTTTCTCCTCACGAACTTGTTAGGTTCTAACGATTTGGGGCCTTATTGGCGTTCATACGGACAAATTTGGATTCAAACACGTTTGGGAAATATGGTTCGCTGCATTCGCTCTCTATCGCTATAATCACCCTTGTAACGAGTTCATAAAGGTTGTATCAAGCTTTCTATGGTCTCTTAGTGTGTCCTTGGTACGCATACAGCCAAACCATGGTTAGCGAAGTTTCACCGCTTCCTCAGATGTAGGGTCTTCGTCCACTTTCAACAAACGTGTAATTTGGCTCATGTAACTGCAGGTTTCTGTTCTTTGCTTTGTTTTCCGTCGTAAGTGCCGTTTGCTTCAACACCGTCAACGCTGTCAATTACTGATCATATATCTTCAACAGGTAGGCAAAACCTCTGCATTCATTGGTCCTCTTGTGTCATCTGCCATCATAATGGCTTCGAATAACAACGACAACATGCCTTTTGCTTTTTTGTTTGCACTGTGAGTGGATATCCTCTCTTCTACCAAGGTCACTTCTTTATAAATTGGTTCAGAGGTGTTTTCAGCACAGTTTTTCTTTGGCTGGTGGACGTTGAGAAAAGTCGCGTTGAATGTGCAGAGTTTGTTCAAGCCGAGGCGAAACACAGAGCATTTGAGTCGGATGTTGCTTCAGATACCGTAGACAACGGAAACGTCGATGAAAAAGTCAATATGTAGGCTTGTATGCTGAACTAGTAGATTCAAGAATGGGGTGTCCGCCACCGACACGGCTTACATGAGCAGAATGCTTCCGGACCAAATCGGAAAGTTTCCGTTCACGGTCCTGAACGCCAACGTTACATATTCTCCGTCTACTATACTCTACATCAAGTACTCCAGGGCTGGAGGTTGCTTGTGCACGGCATGCATCGTGTTGGACTTGCCTCTAGGTCCATGTCGTCGACCGCTGGTCGGGGAGCTGTGCGGGTGTCCAGGAGGGTAAGTCTTCCTCGTTCTTGGTGTCGGACGAACGAGTGCTGTGGTATTGGCTCCGTTGAGTGTCACTTGGACAACAAGGATGGTAGAACAGAGTTGGAGAGCACTTTTTACGTGTCGAACGACCCATATGCTACGTTCCAATGCTCCAAGGCGGCCATGCTGACTTGTGTGGCTATTAGCGTCTTGCGACGGAGGCCTCTGAAGCGTCGACAGTAACACCAAAAAAGAAACCTCGGATTTTCAGGCGGATTTTCTGGACCACGGCAACGCTTACCGGCACCTTTTACGTCGGCAGCACCTTCGTCTCGTTCAACAACCAGACCTATTATAATTTCTTCAACGACCATGTCCCTCTTGGTCAATCCATGCTTGAATATGCTGAAACGCATCATTGGGACACCCTCACAGTCGCAACGGCAATAGAATATACCAAGGACGCCGTCATTTCTGTTCAGCGTTTCGTCACTAACTCAATTAATGGTGCACCTAGCGCCATTGAAAACGCGAAGCATATGGCCGAGCAGAAGGCCGGTGAAGCGCGAGACGCAGCTGTCAAGACTTACGAATCGTCGAAGGAGCGGGCCAAGGCGGTTGCCTCGAACATTAAAACGGATGTACGGAAAGTAGAGGACAAGATCACGGGAAAGCAGGACGTCTTAGAGAAGCATCGAGAGCAACAGATTGCCGACGAACTCCTTGAGCTCGTTCACCAGGCTGAAGACGCGTTGGCAGGCAAGATACCACCTCCTGCTGTCCCTGCTGCTCCTGCCCCTGCCCCTGCCGATACACCGAAAGCCCTTGAAACCCCTCCAGAAAGCCCGCCAGTGATCCCAGCTCCTGAGAAAGTAGCTGATAATGTGTACACGGAACCGTTACCTGTTGGATTCGAACCACCTCCTGGCTTCCAACGTCCCGCACCACCTCCCAAAAAAGAGGCACCTCCTCCCGAACCTCCCGCTGCACTTCCCCTCATCGCGCCATCAATTGCTGATGTATCCGACCCAATCATCAAGCACCTGGCTGGCACCATCGATGACCTGGCTTCGTACCTCAAATCCAACCCTAATGCCGCTTCCCAGATTACCCCCGTACTAGAAGCTGCCAAGGGCGACTTGTCTTCTCTCGTTGACAAGATTGAGACTGTGAAGGACGAAGAACGGGCTGGACTGCAGGCAAAGATGGACGAACAGACCAGGGAATATACTATCAAAATGATTGAACTGGAGATGGAAGCTCAGGATAAGCTTGATAGTCAAGAGGATGAGTTCAGGAAGGCATTCGACCAGCACCAGGTTGAACTGACACGCGCCTACCGGGCGAAATTGGATAATGAGCTCAAGACGCATCTCGAAATTATCAATGAGAGGTGTGAAAACCTTGTCTTGACCTTGAGAACAGAAGCTAACCTGTTTTCGATAGACTCAAGGAAGAAGTCATTGCGCAAGGAATTGAGCTCCAACGTCGGTGGATTCGCGAAATCAAGGTTCGAGTAGAACAAGAACGTGGCGGACGCCTTGCCAAACTCGACGAACTCTCCACGCAACTCAAGCGTTTGGAACGTATTGCTCTGGATAATTCGGTTTATTTAGACGAGAACATCCGGATACACGCTCTTTGGACCGCAGTGCGCACACTGACATCTTCTGCACTCTCATCTCCTGTACGAAAACCATTCCGTGAGGAGCTCCGGATCCTCCGGCATGTTGCTACTGCCCGTGAAGATCCAGTTACCTCTGCTGCCCTTGACGCTCTCGAGTCAACCGAAGTCCCTGACGTTGGTGTTGAGCCATTTGCTGACCTTGCGTCGTGGTTCACGACATCTGTTGCTCCCAAGGTGTCTAATGTTGCATTGGTGCCCGACCAAGATGCTGGATTGCTTTCGCATCTTGCCAGCCACCTTCTGTCGAGCTTCCGGTTCAAGAGGCATGGCTTGGTTTCCGGTGATGACGTCTTGAGTGTTTTGGCGCGGGCGGAGTACTATTTGAACGAAAAGGACCTCGATAGTGCTACACGAGAGTTGAACCAGCTCAAGGGAACTGCCCAGGTTCTGTTGTCTGATTGGTTAGAAGCTGCGCGGAGACGCCTGGAGGTACAACAAGTGTTGGAGGTATGTATAGCTTCTTTTGTTTGGAGTGAATCTGCTGAACCAGATAATTACAGGTGGTACAAACTCAGGCTACGTTAGCATCGTTGTTACTTGTGTAATAACAACACACTAGAAATGGGTAAAAGCAGCGAAACACGAAGCGTTTGGCATTCTTTAAGTGGGGTGAACTGGCTGAAACAGTTATGATGCAGCTGTGCCGTTCATGGCGCATTCGCAGATGACTTGTGCTCGCCTTACGACGGTCTATATACAGAGAGTTAGTTACATCGGGTGTTTCGACTGATACTATTCTAACCTGTAAAGTTTCTGTCGAAGGCCCATCAGGTAATGCTGGAGCCCTTGTGACCTTCACCAAGCCCGGAAATATTGTCGCACCAACTCTGTCTATGTCTCCTCTTTCACTTTTTAGACATCGTTTCACGAGCTCTATCTGCCGTGGATAGAGCGTGCTGCCAAGTTCTGGAACAAAGGCCCGATAAAACGCGTCGCCCGACGTTGTGTTGGATCCATGCAACATCCGAGAAAAGTCGTATGCGGATTCAAGAATAGAGATACCTCCCGCGGCGGGCACGACACCCCCCAAGACCTTCACGAGCTTCGGGACCTGCTCTTCCAGAATACTGAGAGACATGTCGGGAGTACATGATTCAACGGCTGCAGAAAATGTCTGTCGTCGCCAGACACAGGCAACGGTGGGATCACCTGTAAATCATCAATAGCAGTAGTCTTGAAATTAATCAAAGCCATACGAGCAAATAGATGTTCATGAATCCGCGCTAGCTGTATATTGGCGTCGGTCGAGTTGGTCACCATCAGACAATTAATGATGCCTTCAGATATCGTCTCCGACATTGCATGGCGCAGCAGATACTGCACCTGCATGGATGTCCCCCTTATCTGAGCAGCGACATCAGGACCGTTCGGTACATCACTGAGAACAGCGTTGCATATAACCTCGAATGAGGCTGGTGGACTTCGTACGATCTCCGATGCCCATCGATTGATGAGTTTGTCCAATTGCGAGGCTGCATTCTACTGCCGGGTTGGTAAAAAGGTCCACAGACAGGGTCGGGCGTACTTTGATAGAGAAGTCATCGACAGAATTTCCTCCCTTTCCAGCCCGATCGGTATTGGATCCTCCTTCAAGCAATGCTATCCTAGCACGAAGCTGAGCTACTTGTCTCTCCTGCTCTTCTAGTTGAGCCCGTTGTTGTTCTACTTTTTCGTGGGCAATTCGCTGGGTTCCGGTGAGACGGCTATATTTTGGCAAAAGTGGATTTCCGTACAAAATTGGTCAATGCGTATCGGTATTGCTCGCCAGAAACAACATCTTGGGGTACGCCCTGGTACTGAGCTCCATTTTGTTGGTAGGACATGATAGCTAGAGTACAAGATGAACGTTAACTTTGATCATTGTCAGTGATGACAGGGGCACGTACCCGTTACAGCTCTTATGATCTACATCAGTTTTGCGCATTTCACTTAAGAAATCCAATAATCTCTATCTAAAACATAAATTACAACACTAATGGATACAAAGGTATCTAGCCGTCGACGGTCTACGTCTTCTTTTTCTTCGCAGGCCTCTCCTCCACCTTAACCTTGGCTGATGCCGACTTCTTAGACTTAGTCACAGACACCTCCTCATTAGTACGCTTCTGGAGACGACACTTCAGAAACCTTAACAGAAATACGAGAAGGACACGAACCTTGCCCTTCGACGACGTGACCAAATGAGGCATCGTCGTCTCAGCTTCCTTCTCTATCATGCCCAACAGTGTGTTGCATCTCCTCTGCAGCTCTTGAGGTGACCGACTTTTGAAGAACCAATCAAAGCGGAAGAGGGGACTCTCCATGATATCCCTCTTGATCTTATCATACACGTCGTCTGTCTGTAAGCCGTAGTGATGTAACCGAAGTAATAGGTATCGATCTTCTTCCTCGGTATAGACTTTTCCTTTGGTCGTCGGGTAGTTGAGATCCAGCTCATGCATAGGATATTTCACCGATTGTATCTTGTGCTGGAGTAGATAAGTATGCATGTCGCGTTTGTTTCGCTTGGCTTCGCCTTCTACGATGCGCGCTTGAATTCTCGGGTACTCTGTGTAAAGGTCAGCCTGAAGGAAGCATTGACGTATTTCGATGATTACCTGCCAGTGTTTTCCACTTTTTCTGGAAAACCTGGAAGTACTTCTTTACTTCCGCAGCCGTCTTGTCTTGTATATCAGATGCGTATTCTTCCCAATCTGCATCCCTGATGGGTCCGTTGTATTAGGTGCTGCTGAAAACAACGAGTGAAATAGTTACCATCCATAGGTCTCCAAACCCTTCACGAACTGCTGGAAATCGCGTCGACTCCAGTCAGGGAAACCTTGGTCTATGTATGAGTCCTTCAAAGCTATCTCAGCTTCAGTGAGAGGTTCAGCTACAGCATGCTTCGTCAGAGCCTGATTTTCTTGTATAATAGACGACGTACCCGTCTCTATCAGCTGTTGGGCCGCAAACCTCTCTTCCTCTAATTTTTCTGGGGTATCATCGGGGCCAGCCTCACGCAGGGTGGCGGATATACCATTAATCCTCTGTTCATTCGCCGGTATCAATGAGAATTCACCAGAACCATAATGTACGAACCTTGTGCACAGCAAGTTCACGGTCTTGCAGCGCAGCTAGTTGGGGAGGGAAGAACTGAAAGTCTTGGCTGAATTGAAAGGTCAACAGGACTTCGAAAAAGAAAGACCGGACACAAACATTGCAATCTGCTTGGGTGCACGAGGAATCTTGGCAGCTTTTTCTGGTTTAGAGGGTCCAGCGCGTAACGTGTCCTTGAAGTAATTGTCCACGGAGTAGTTGGACTTGCGTTCTCGTTTCGACAGTGACAGAAGACTCATGCCCAGGTTTTTCCGCTGTCATTGTAGCTGGTTAATTCGGTCCGGGCCAGCACCACTTTGAAATACTCACTCCGCTTCTGAAGTCTTCACCCTCCCATTGCTGGACAGACGCTTCTGACTTGAAGTTGCTCAGATCTTCGAAATTAAGGCCTTCGTATCTGCTGTTCAGCTCAACGGTCCTCTCTTCTCCGCGCTGTATAATGGCATCGATGTCTTCATTTATCAGCACCCTGATGATGAATTGAAGCTGAATAAACGCCGAGTCATAAAACATATGAGGCTTACTCATCCGGCGTTGACGTTGAATTGATGATCTTGTCAGCACCGTGAGTGATCATTTCCAACAACTCATCCTTATTAGCAGCTGAGAAATATTTGTTAGGTGAGGATGGAAACCTGAGCTGGAAAACAAACATTTTGTTTGCTGTGTTCGACCTTGCTGGATGACAAGCTGGTCCAAACGCAGTTTTTGTGCTGCGCGTTCCAGCATTCGTTCTTCTACGCTGCCTTCGGTAATTAAACGGAAAACATACACCTGTTTTGTTTGACCAATCCGATGAGCACGATCCATAGCTTGCAGATCTGCCTGAGGATTCCTAAGGGCGTTTTGAGAAGCATGAAAAGTGAGGAAATCATTGAAATCATACCAGTCACTGTCGTACAGAACGACAATATCTGCCGTCGTCAGATTGATACCAAGGCCCCCAGCACGAGTCGTGAGCAAAAAGAGAAACTTGTCACTGTCTGGTTTGTTGTATTCATCGATAGCAGCGATACGATCTTCATGAGCAGTCCCTCCATCAATCCGACAGTAATCTGAAAATGACAGTAAGTATCATTGTCCACAGGGTCTAAGAAGTACGAACTATATTGTCGGAAGTGGCAGTAATCTTCCAGGATGTCGAGGATACGACTCATTTGAGTGAAAATCAGTACCCGCGAGCCTTGAGCTTTCATTGACTTGAGAAGCTTGTCCAGAATGATCATCTTGCCACAATTATCGATCAAGTGCTCATCAGTCGTGTAAGGCGGTCCAGGTTCCTGTGAAGTCTGATCAGCTGTATCCCAAGGCTGTACATGAGACTTACAGCGCCGTCAAATAGGTATGGATGGCATGTTACTTTACGCAGCTTAAAAAAAGAAATAGATGAGAAAGCTAAAGCGAGATGAGCAAAGACGGATGCCTACCTGCATCACCATATTCATGAGCCGAGTTTTCCCCTCCTTCTTACCAGTCAAACCTAGGAGGAAGCTTAGCATACAATACGTGCACAGTGAATCGATACTATTACCATTGACAGCATCTATGTCTTTCTCTAGTACAGACCTATACCATTTTCTCTGCATATCCGTAAGACCGACGTAGATATTGATTTCTTTCTCTGTAAGAAAATCAGGATTTTCGGAAGATAAAAATTAATTTGGAACGCACTCGGAAGGAGACTTTTTTCTACATCAGCTTTCACCCGCCTTAGTAAGAACGGCCGTAAAATCTTATGGAGCGCCTCCACCACCTTTTTGCTTTTTTCCGCTTCTTCGTCTGCCCCAGTAGCATCTTTGTGCAGGAAACTATCCAAGTCGGCATAGTCGACAAAGATTTCCGGGCAAATGAAGTTTAGCAATGCAAACAACTCTTTCAGATTGTTTTGTAATGGCGTCCCTGTTATTAAGAGTCGTCCGCGAGACATGAAAGAGCGCACAATCTGCGACAAAATGGAGTCCACATTTTTGATCCTGTGAGCCTCGTCGATAACAATATACTCGAACGAGAATTTCTTGAAAGCAGATTTCTCGATGAGACAAATCTCATACGAGGTTATGCAGACCTCGAAATCCTGAGGTATTAGACGCTCGGCGATGATGTCCGCGCGTTCTTCCTTTGAACCAGTCAGAACAGCAACATTGAAGTCGGGTGACCACTTTTCAAATTCACGACGCCAATTCTGTAGCGTAGACTTTGGTACGACGATGAGATGGGGTCCAGTGATGCCACAGTAATGTTTGAGGTATGAGAGGAAAGAAATGGTCTGGAGGGTTTTGCCGAGGCCCTGGAACAGAACGTTAGAGATAACGGCGAGTTCGGAAGTAGAACGTACCATTTCGTCCGCAAGAATTCCATTGAGACCATTATGGTGCAACGAGACCATCCAATTAAGACCTTGGAGCTGGTAGGCGCGCATGGTACCCGTTATGACTGTAGAGGGGTTAGCATCCTTCTGAAATCCAGAAGAGGAACATACAGCTTGGAGATTCCTCGAAAACAAAAGGTTGATCATTCCCGTCAACAGCGGCTTCTCCATCTTTCAGCAACTCCTCATCTTCTTCTTTCTCCGACCGACGGTGTCGCGTGTTGTTGTTACTAGAAACCAGGGTATGTGAGAATAAGTGGGTTTGCCACAGTAGGAGGCGTACGCTGCTTTCTTTCGTCCACGTCCTTTCGGTTTCGGCTCTGAATCTAACATAGCAGCATACTCCGGATCGCGAGCTTTCTGAAAATAATTATGAGTAATGCTTCTGAGCAAGAGAGAAGCCACCTACCTTGATATCCACAAAGTGCTTGAATAGATCTGTTTGACCCAGAAGGTAGGAGTACCGTTTTATCGAATCGGCTTGCTAGACAAAGTGACTCAATTACGCAATTATTGGATGGCTGCCAACCATACACACCTTGGCTTTGTCCATTTCCTGGCGCTGGGCCTGTAATTTATCCTCGGCGTCTAGTCTCCGTTGCTTTCTTTCTTCTCTATCGAGGGCGGAACGGCCTCTGCGTTTGGGCACCGGCTCCTTCGAATAACAACATCAATTACAGGCATCGCGTCACCACTGCGTGTCACATACTTCAACGGGATCCGGTTCACTGGCCAGCTCATCTTCCTCAAACTCGCTCTCTCCGCTTAGTCCATGACTAGCCTGTTGCCGGTATTAAAAAATGTACGAAACATGCTATTTTCTGCTGTACCTGGCGAGAAACAATATTGCTGGGAACAACATCACTCAGGATGTCATCGTCTAAGGGTGGCTCCGTGGTGAACGTCTGTCGTTGGGATCAGAATAAAGAACACAGCGCGAGAGAACATTGACGTACACTCATGATGGTCAACGCACTGAAGAGAGAACGATGTCACGCGTGATGTGACAAAGCGCGCCCTGCCACGATTCGGGATGCGGGCCGATTCTCCGCTGTTGTTTAATCCGCAAAACCTGTGCAGTGGTTAGCCTAGCTGTGGCCTATCATGTTCCTTCTTCATTCCCTTCCACGATGGCCGTTTTGAAGACAGAAAAATGCGACTCTCAACCTACAATATTGGTAATTGGTCTTTGATTAAACAACTGTCAGCCTCGCTTATTTCTCCATCTACAGACTGGGCATGAGGATCCGCCCCCGAACTATGAAGAATTGTCTACTCCTACTATAAACAGTCCTACTTCCGTTGAAGGACCTGACGTGGCGCTTTTCAATACTAAAGCGTCAAACTATGTCCACATTCAACGATACTTGAACGGTATCCAAGAAGCTTTCTTCATCGATCCTACTCTCCGCGTTCCCCGGGCGTTACTGCCTTCCTTAAAGGCCGGAGAGACAGATGATACGCGCAGAAATTTAAACCTTGAAGCGACCATGGGTCCCATTGATGTTGACGTGACCATCGTCTACAAGGAACCCCAGTCATCAGAGACGCAAAGGAGGGTCATCCTGGTGGTGAAAAACAACCTGGGGCCGATCAAAATGCGATTAGTCCGTTCACGATGCCCACACTACTATCCCATTAAACTGATTTTTTGAATAGCATGCGGCGGACTCTCCCGATCGGCATCCTTTGTACCTTCGTGTGTGCTCACAAACAGGACCGATGGACATTTCTCTTCCGCGTTCATTCGTCGGGGTAATCACTATAGCTACTGGCCTCGGGCCTGTCGAACTCTCCAAACATCTTTCACAGTTTATCACACCGTTAAGCGATGCCGGAAAGGGTCGGAGGAGGTATTTTATTGGCGATCTCTCGACTTCGCCATTCAACGACGACCCGAAAGAATGGTGCGGGGACGAGGTACTCATCGAGTCCAATCTGGGTCCAGTACATCTGAAACGTGATGACGAATGATGAGGTACTATACAAAGTTCACTTGGTGCGCAGCCGTCCGTTTCTACATTCTGTCTACTCAGCCTCGATGTAGTAGTATATCGATGTATGCCAATGATCTAGACTGCTTCTATTCCATGATCCGTGTAACAGGCACCAGGGTCGACGAAGTCCGAATGCATTAAAACCAGATCCTCAAACTCTCTTTGACCTTGTATGTACAGGCACGGAAGGATCCTGAAAAGGACACACCGTCAATATTCGACCAACCAGTCATGAGTATTCAATCCATGTATTGTGTACAGGTACCACAAGATGTCATCAGCCATTTTAAGGTGTCTAAAACTCACCGCTTGCGTCCCAAATAAGTGCACTCGCAACTCTTTTCAAGAACGTTCCTGTGCTAGCGGGTTGATCCCGAAGCGGTGTCACTACGTCGTTTCGCTGCGTCATTTGGCTTCTGTAGCAGGAATCCCTGTCTATAATAATGGTTCTACTAAATAGAGTCGGTCAGTCCTTGTCCACACGGACGTATATTAATACGCCGCGTCCTTTTGACCCACGTTCTTACCTTCATGGCTACAGATTTCGATCCTCCGAGTTATTCTTCTAACAGTCCGCACATACCAACCGCAGGATATGACTTCGACCTCCCTGCTTATAGTCAGCACAGACCTGGAGACGACGTCTCGACACGCAGCACCCATCATAGATACGAATTATATACCAGCAAGCGGAAAGCATGGGCGACTCTAGTATTGCAAAGCCGTGCAAGATCCGCAGAACATATACCTCTTTTCTGTCAAGGCGACAATATTGTGGGATCCTTGGCTCTGGAAATTGACAAGGAAGATTCGATTAAGATGATCAAAATAACTGTATGCAATTGTTTTTGAAAGAAAGGATGCCCTCATGTAATGTATTGAACAGATGCAGGGTAAACTTCTGACAGGTCTATCTTCGGAATCCTGGGTTTTCTTGGAGGAAACCAAAATCTTGTGGACCAGAGAAATGGGAAATCCACGGGCCTCTTCGCCATCTTCCAACGAAGAATATCATGGAAAACTGATTGGTAAATATGACTGGGAATTCTCTCTCCCAATTCCTCCAGAAGTAGTCACGCCCCCTGGAAGCTCACCATCCATGGCTTCCCAGGATTCTGGCCCTTTCCGTCTCCCACAAACCTTCCTTGAACGGAATATTCGGGCAGGAATACATTATGAGCTATCTGTCTCTATTAAGCGTTCACGCTTCCACTCAAATGCAAGGTCTGTCTATCTCTCGTTCACATAAGTCATTGTTTAAATAAGAATTCAGGATACAAACCCCGTTCAGTTATGTACCTCTAATACGTCCAGATGCGCCATCGCTGCTCCGTCAGCTTGCCTACCAGGAGAGCAGTTCTCTTCCCGGGCCTGATGCAGACCCCGATGGCTGGCAACAGATTTCATGCTTTACTGTGAAGGGCACGGTTTTCAAAGCCCGCGAAGTCCAAGTAGACGGTGTTGTGCGTAAAATTTTACTTCAGATCTATATCATAACCGAGTTTCCTCTGTCAGGTTTCACTAGCCAAGCCGGTATGTTACTACTCTTCGTTTATCAGTTCGGTCTAACAAACGGCGGACAGCTTTGTTACACTAGAGGGACAGTGATACCTTGCAGCATCACTCTTACTTCCGCAGACACTCAAGCTCTACATCTTCTCGCCGTACCGTCTTGTATTCCGATACACCTTCGTAGACATGTTATGATTACAATGACTTCACGTCCAATTCTCCCACCGAACTTCGGCAGCTAGGCACCAGGAATGTTCATAGGCGGTGGAGGATTACCACCGAGGACCTTGGCAGAGGAGTGTGGTGGCCTGTCAGAGAAAATGTGCCAGAACATAGTAAACGGTTGAATGGAGAGATAAAGCTCAGCAAGAATCTCAAGTCCACATGCGTTATCGGTAACTTTATGATTCAAGCGAGGTCTAAAAGTTCTCTGAAGGTAACATTTATCGCTGATATCATTTGTTTCTCTCAGTATGGCGTTTTTGTGCTTCCGTTCAGTGCCACAGGCTTCGTTGCTGAATATCTCGACAAGCCGTTGGCAGATTGTGGCATCGAAATTGCTACTGCATATGCTGGAGGGCCGAGACCGTTGGCCTACGGCCCCCATTCGAATGAAAACGAGATGTCCGTATCAAGGGGGCACTATGCGATCTCACTGAGAGCTCAAACCTTTTGTTGGATTTAGAATTATGCACTTTTGTTTTTCCCAAATGAATCCACTACGTCCGGTCCGAGATAACCGATAGATAAAAATTCCCTGACCACCGCCTTTGGAAGGATTTCTTTTAAGCCTCAAGATGTACGTGAATCAACTGAAATGTTTGCAAAGGATTCGCCAGAATCCAAAGAAGGCCTGCCATTGAAGTTCCATTGTCTCCATTGTTGACCCGCCTCAGGCCATCGATAAGGCGCGCAAAGGCGCGCTCCAGGAAATTACAGATATAGCAAACCTTTGGCAGGAGGTAAATCTCACCATATCCTTATCCACCATCACCTCAACTTCTTTAGGTGCCAGAAATGCTTTCCATGGGCCTCATCGACATGTTCTTCTTTCACTTGAATAAGGAACCTCCCGCTGATTTCTCGCGTGCTACCTATGAAAAAACACCAGACGCCGACAGAGCTTTCATGTCGCTCCTCGGCCTCTCGAAAATTTCGAATTTTCTGCGCGATGGGCATCCCTATGAACAGCAGATGGTAGATGACTGGCCCGGTGCATTCAAATGGAGCGTATACTTGGTCGCTGGACGCGTCCAATCTCCTGAAGCGACGCCACAGTCCAAGCGCTCAACTCTGGATGTGATAACAGCCGCCTGGTATTCAATATCCCGGACTGACCCCGTTCGCAACATCATGGCAGCTACTCCGGGTACCGTCGAGGTCGCTACTCAGCTGTGGATAAACGAGGACTCTAGGAATATGGCAGCATCAACTGCAGGCCTACCTACCGCGTCTGCATGCCTGGACGCGCTTTTATCTGATGGAGTCGGGGATTGCCTTGATCGGGTGGTGAAAGCTGGGGGCGGAAATGCCGACAGCATTGCTCAGTTAGCCGTCTCAAGGCTTAAAACCGCAATTAACAATGCCCAGATGAATCACACAGCTATTGTCATTTATCTCGACCTCATTGGCCACCTTTGTCGAAAGCCTCGTCATCCCCTTCGGCACGCCTTCTTGAACCTCAATATCATCCCGATGTTTACCAAAATTGCATTGAATGCATTGAAGATGCTTAACGAAAGAGCACCTGACATTATGCTCGACGTGATGGTATCGTCTATGTGCTTTATGTTTAACTGTTTGGAATCCACAGATGGTTTTACATGGGTAATACAAGCCGTCAATGCTGGCCTTCTGACCGCTTGGGTTGATTCAAGTCCTTATTTTCATCGACTGCACCCAGAAGACCGAGACACGGTGGTCTCTATCATTAGAGACATAGTGCCTCGATATCTTGTCTATCGTTCAGTTATCAACGCGATCAACGGGTAATGACCGTATAACACCCATATATGGTCTCGAGCTTACCTTTTCCTTCAAGGGCCATGTCAAAACTTGATGACGAGAGTTTTCCCCACAAAAACCGGGTATTTGGTAGTACCGTCAGAGATGTCTGGATCGATTTCCACAAACAGTGCCTGGAGCGCCTGCTCGTGTCCATCCACGCGAAGGCCATCAAGGGGAAAGCAGTCACTTGTGACAACGTGAAGGTGTGGCCGATTCTTGTTGGAATGGAGAATTTACTTGACCTTTAAGATCGGTACAGTGCCAGAAGGTCGATGCTAAGAATAACTTTCAAAAATGCTCAAGCTGTGGAACCACGCTTTATTGTTCGAAGGGGTATCAAAAGGTAGCCTGGAAAGAAGGCGGTCACAAAGACATGTGTAAGATGAAGCAACAAGAGCGCAAAGGTAAATACCTGTTCGGACGCCAACACTTTCTTTAACACAGCACACTCAGAAGGCAAATTGCAATCTATCACCAAAAGCGACGCTGGTAAGCGAGCGACCTGTTCTATTGGCAATCTCATGACACACTTGCAGCTTTCTTTCACGACCTCGCAACGCGCGATGCTCGGCATCATCTTCCTTATCTTCATCGGCTCGCTCGCTCAGAGTATCCGAAAATCAAGGATTCTGGGTTTATCATCTATATCGACTACACCATTCTACCGGCAAAGTTCTCCTTAAAGCCTTTGGCTGACTATGAGCGGAATATGCCTGCATCTCTTGACGGTAGCTCGAACGCCGAAGCACGAAATGAGGCATTTGTAAAACGCGCGAGGGAAAACCCAGGGAAGTTCATGTTGATCCAGAGTCAACTTAGCAATGGCATTGGAGTGCAACTGGTTACTTCAGTTGTCACCGCTGATTTTTGGAACAGTGAAACTTGGGATTTCCCGTTGCATCCTTCCCTTGTTAATAACGACGGCAACTCTCTTGACGACGAAGCCTACGATACAAACGTTGACAGCGTTGACATAATGAAAGCTCGGATGATTCTTAACCAATTTGCTAAATCAGTAACCGGTGGAGAGGAAACGCTTTTCTAACTGATACAGAAGTCAAACGTGTAGTGACTAGGTCGCCATTCTAATGATAGCAGCGTTCACCTGGTAGCTCTATTGTCTTGGACTGAAAAACTTCAGCGTAAGCTGGCGGAGGGAGAGCGATTCTCATACGTACGTCTTATTGTCGTGTGTCTTCGCGGCGTTTCCAACCCTTGATGCTCTCGGTTCGATCCCCTATTGTTGTGGATGAATTCGTATTGTTCTCCAACCAAGGTGGTTCTGCACGTGACTTGAAATGGACGCATTTAGCAAGTTGAAAGCTCCATCCAAAAGCATCTTGTTCCCAAAAAGTTTCGTTGTGCCCGATTTTCTGGACCATCGTCTTTCAGCGGGGCCTTATCCTGTCGACAATTAGCCTTTGTCCCAATCCAGTCACTACCTTGTCATCTGTTAGAATCCCGAAGGTATATATATCATGTGCTACAATTCTGAGCGCCCCCCGCGCTTTTTATGGACGCTACGTCCCCTCCACGATACCGAAGGTACTCTAGGTCAGGTCCGGCACCTGCACCCAGCACCGATCTCCCTCCTTATTCTCGTCATAACACTCCGCCCGGGGGTCGACATACGCCTCGCGAACCGACAGAACATGTCTTCCAGATAATGAGCAACAAAGACAGGGCTTGGGCGACTCTGAAAGTCTTTAGCAGTGCTAAATCTGCCAAGTCGTTACCAACATTCTATGAAAAAGAATCTATAAACGGCATAGTCGAACTTGAAGTCGAGCGAGGAGATTCCATACAGGCTATAAATGCAACAGTACGCGGAGTCTTCTAATTGATATCTGCATATTTACTCAAGAACATTCTTCAAGGTGACGGGTCGAGTTATAACTGGTGCTGGAATGGACGACGTATGTTCTTTTCTAAACGTGACCATTCCAGTCTGGGCAAAGACCGGAAGCAGTCGTTCACCCTCCCCGGCGTTTGAAAACAATAAGCTCTGTGGCCGACATACATTCCCGTTCTCTATTGTTCTTCCTCGGACTGTTTCTTTGACCGTTCGGGAGCCAAAGACCTTTCGTCTACCGGAAACTTTTCTCGAACGCCACACGCCCGCCACTGTACAGTACGATCTTATAGTCACGATATCTCGAAGCAAGATGCGTTCGGATAGCCAGTAAGTCATCACTATTGATTGATGTTATTCTGAGTTTATGTTCCATGGTGATAGTATTAAGACGGCTTTCGGATATGTGCCAAGTTCACGACCAGATACTCCATCCATTCTTCGGCAAGCTTCGTACGCCGAAAACTTACCTCTCATGGGTCCTGATTCTGACCCCGAGGGGTGGAGAACCCATGATCCGGTTGTAATTCGAGGCGTTATGTTCAAAACCCGTCCAGTTCAAGTTGAATGTACGGTACGTACATGTGCGCTTTCTCAATTAACAGATGGCTCATAATTTACCCTCAGATTTCTTTGTCCAAACCTGTAAGCATCACCGTCTCGGCCTTGATATGGCGCTAACACGAATGTCTTTGTGACTTAGCTATCTTATACCCGCGGCAGTGTGATACCCTGTATGATGAAGTTGGAAGGAGCTGACGAGTCTGCTCTGGATGTGCTTTCGGAACCCAGTTCTATAGCTGTGTCCCTTCGAAGACGAGTGAGATATTCCTGTAAGGGATTGTCGAGCAAGCAGAAAGAGCAATTTGAAGATGTCGGTATTGCTGTATGGTGGCCTACCGCCGGCAGCTCCTCCCACCGCCGCTACCTAGAGGGAGAAATCCGACTGGCGAAGGACTTAAAAGCATCTTCAGACGTGGGACACTTCTCCATATCTGTAGGTCTATGCTGTTTTCAAAAGGTGCCAGTGCTGATATAGATACGTTGCTTTACAGTACCATGTTGTTCTTAATCCATTTGACGTAGCTGGATATACACATCTCGAACCTGAGGCACTCATTATGGACTCTGTTAGCATCATGACAATGCATGCCAAAGGTCCCCGCCCCCAAGCTTATGCTCCTCCCGCTTATGACCCCATAACACGCGAAGTGAACGACACCTTCTCAGCCATGCGCCAGATGACCCTCGCTACCCCCGTCATCGGCTAGGCATTATGACCTCCGTTATGATTTCATGGACATGTCGCTGGGCCGACCTAAACATAGTGATGCATGCATTACCATTCCTATCCACACAATCGCTTTTATGTTAAACCATGTACGTTGTAGTCATTCGCATTCTTACATTATTACTACGTGTACGATCTTGTAGCTTTGCAATATGCTTTCCTAGTCCAAACACGTTCTGATTCAGGGATTGATCCTCACGCTATCAAATTCTGACTTTGGGTGCGTTTATTTACACAGGGACAGCGAGCTATGTAGCATGGCCAATTGTGGAAAATCTAAATGCCGGTCAGGGACAATGGCGGAATTCACACGGCAATATTCAGGCATACTCACAGTGCATATATAGATGACCAAGACCATGCTGTCGTAAGTCAGTTGTGAATGGCTCTACGCGTATAAACACAACAACCTTTCTCCAAAAAGAAAACTCTTACTAGCCGCCCCCGTAAAGATCGTAACGCACATTCCATCGTGAGTTACAGCTCAGTGGAATGTGGTTATGTGCGTAGTGACATCAAACTTAGATTGGTGCTCGTTCGACACATGTTCTGATGATGTTCAAGCTTATGCAGAGAAATACTACGTACAGCTGCTAAAGGAGCGCAACTTTCGCAAACTAAAAGGACCAGATTGCAATCAAGTTCACGAATAAGTACACCACCCCCACTCTCGGACGGGATTGAAGCGCCTACTTCATGCAGCAAAGATAGTGCGGCGTATGGAGTAACAGCGTTCCCGTTCCGCTTGTCTCTATCTTCTTTTGAGTCACTTCCTGTCATTCTGAGTCATTTCCACAGTCCGAGGCACCGAGCACGGTCACTTACAACAGAGTTGTGTAATTCTTTGTGGACCCTCGTTTGCACCGCTACCACAACTTGTCAGTTGGTACTGTTCGAAAACTATATGTGAGTGTTATATCTTTCAAGATATAAACGGGCGCGTATTGCCCACTCGTGCGGTACTCGTCGCCTCTCACAAGACCAATACGAGACCTGTGTCCCCAATCCACGTTTCTCCGCGGAGCATGTGGACAAAGTTTATAGCATGTGCTGCACTTACTTCTGTTACGCCGGAAAGTCTAGGAATAGTCCAGGAAGAATAAAACCTACAGAGTCGATGCTGAACTTCCCAGCGCAGCATCTGCCCCACTCAAATTGCAGTCTTGACTATGTCGACTCCCTCTGGTTATAGCCATCAGTCGACGCGGACTGACGCACCCACAGAGCACTCATTTTCACTAGAACGCCACGGCCGAAAGTGGGCGTTCCTGCACATCAAAAATCGGTCAACAACCTCTTCTGCGCCTGTCTTCCATGATAACGCCAGTATTTCTGGTCGAGTTGAAGTAGATTTGGTTATACCTGAAACTTTCAAGGGGATATCCATCGCGGTACGTCATGGCGTTTCTTCCTTCAAGTCTAGTAGTGTCCAGGAATCGACGAGCTTCATAATTAGATCCACGCAGGAACTACGGCGGTCGGTCAAGAAGAGGCTGTTTTCTTGCAGCTGAGTCAGGATTTGTGGTCTCCGCCTAACAAATCATCAACTCAATTGGATGGGAAACATTCCTGGCCGTTTGAACTTACACTACCATCTCAAGTCTCCGTGACGGAGTCGAAAGCGCACGCGGGGACATATTACCTACCCCCAAATTTTTCCGAGCGAGCAAGTCCTGTCTACATCGATTATAAATTCGTTGTGACATTTCGGCGGGGTAGGTTTAAGCCTAATCAAACGTCTGTCAATGTCCCTATCGAAATTGATCTTTGCTGAAACTGATCATAGGCTTTCGCCATACTTTGCTTACGTTCCTTTGCGCTTTGCCCAGCCCCCTTCACCGCTTCGACAGCTGGCTTTGAGGGAAGGTTCGCCGCTACCAAGTCCCAGCATTGATCCCGAGGGCTGGCAGACTTCAGAGCCGATCAAAATATCCGGAGTTTTGTTTAATACCAAAAGGGTCGAAGTACGATGTATAGTGCGTGTTTGATGAAAGGAGCCCAAGAATTCTCATTAAGTGTCCATAGCTGTCCATTGCAAAACCGGTAAGACGGCTTGATCTATAGTGCATGAACTCATTCTCACGGCGGCCATAGCTCAGCTACGCAGTTAGATCACCGATCCCACTTCTAATCACATTTGAATGCAACGACAGACAAGCGCTTGACCTTCTGGCCAATCCGACAGCAACGCGACTATTTCTGGTCCGATCAATTGCGACGGGCCCCAACGCTACGGATGAAGATACTCCAAAGCGTAGCAATAACTTGTTTCTAGAGGGCGTAGGTCAGGCGGTCTTTTGGCCCTCATCGATTCCAGGCTCAACCGAAGGAACGAGGTCTCTGCAAGGGGAACTAAATCTCAAGTCTTCGTTGAAACCCACGTTCGTATTCCCAAGAATTAGTATCAGTGTAAGCATCGTGCCATGTTTACTTCCGTGCCTGACCGTAATTCACAGTACTCGTTGGATTTGCTTCCATTTGAACCACCTGGGTTCAGTCCCTCGACTAAAGAAGGTGCTATATTATTGTCCCAAAGGGTAGAAATTGTCACCAGGCCAGCACCTGGGGTGATAACGCGGTCTTATGCACCGCCAGGTTATGAGGGTCCCGACGGCGGAGACTATAACAGAGCGATTGGATTCTTGGAGAACGGCAATCAGCGCTTTTACCGCCACCATGGGGTTTGACGTACCATCATGACCAGTTACACATAGTCATCTAAGAATCGTCCATGGTCATTAACAATAAGGACTCGAAGTATTCGTCCCCCTTTGGAGTATTCGTTCCCAGTGCTCCTACACCGGCTAGAAGATCACGGTCATTTGTGGGTATTTGCCAAGCAAGTGAATCGTGTCGTCGCTGGGCGACAAAAATGAATGTTGTGTCTTCAAAAGAAGAGCCTAGGCGCTGCCAGGACTGGTCTTGCTCCGAGTCGGGCAGTATGCGCCGTGAGAGCACAGGCTGGAAAGAAAAATATAAACCAAATGCACTCCAAAAGGGTGCCTCCTTCTCTAGACTTCGAATTTTGTACGATATGATAAGGACTGGCGACGAAGAAACCGCAGACGGCGAGGTGAGATGAATGAGCGTTCGTAACAATGGGGCTAGCAGCTCTGGAAAATAGACCTTGAAATTCGTCAGAGTGGATTCAATGTCATGATACAGGGAAATTCAGAATTGGATGTGCGATCTTGTTCTAATGCTGCTTTGATCCCGTTGCATAGCTTCATGGGCAGCGGCAATCAAGTTGGTCGATCCAGATCATTCCGTTCTGTCTGTCCCAGTTAGGGCACGCATAAGCGCTACTGGTTTCTGAAGCCTCCTGCAGACGTCCCACACATCTCGATGGACAGCTGTGGCGCCTAGCCTTCGTGATTGTTAATTGTTTCTAGGGGAAAGGTACACGTTGATAAAAAGGAACGAGGGCATCAGGGGGAGGCGACAAAACCGGTGGCGGAACGCCAAAGCCTTGAGAAAAAACAAGCCGATACTTGAAATATAGTTAGCTTTGTTGTGCACCTGATTGCGGGGGTGACAATCTCAACGTTATTGGGATAAGGTTTAGTAAAGGCGTGGCAGCAATGTGGCTCGAATCATGCGGCAAGTTTTCCGCACGGAGACATCGAAGCAATAGGCCTGCACACGTCTAGGAAACCCATTCCTACGCAAGAGCTTAACGTCAGCGCAGCTTGCGGTAAGATGGGTACATTGCGGCCACGACTACGAGCTTGGTTCTAGTGTCCTGGCATGAACCGACACCCATGAAGTCGCGACATCCAATTCTGAATTTCCCTATTAGCAGGCACTCACCAGATCGCTGCAAATGATGTGGGACAGATTTCGATTAGTGATGAATTCAGATGCAATATCTGAAACATGTTGGATATTTCCCCAAGCTAGTGGACGCACAAAGACGATCCCGTTCAATTCACCGCGTAGATTATCCTCCAGTAGAGGGCAAACCTATTTCTAGTTGAGATGCGGCCAAACTGTATAGGATCCACCCCACCTCAGGCAAATCAGTGGACACGATTATGTCCTCGCCGCTGGTCAGTGAACGGCTTAGGCTGCGGGCAATAATTCCGGTGCCAGAACCCAGCTCTATAATGGTATGTCGCGACGAATCTTGATTTTTGAGGAAAGGAGGTTCGAATTCCCATGTTGATGGGGGATCGACATAGAGTAGTAATGCATAGGCTGCTTCCCTATGCGATCAACGCGTACCCAAGTCAAATCCAATTTATATCAGATGATTAATAGGTTGAACTCTGTACCAGACTCTGCCTGCAATACCGTATCTGGATATCGCCGCACGTTGGGCTGAATGCCCAAAGAGATCCTGGTCGCCTGGCTGCGAGTGCAGACCCAGCAAGTCTACAGAAGGCTTGATGTCGAGGTCGTGAGGAAAGTTGGGATTGACCATGGAAAGTGTTTGTTGTTCCTTGTTTGATCTGAAGGCGACCGGTTGAATCTATGGTAGCATGTGATTCTTGCTTTACTCTGCGCGAACCGGGGAATGTCAACGCCGTAGAACGGTCACCGATTATTTAAACGGTAGCGAAAGTCTGTCCTTCCTTCCTTTACCACTTCCTGGTCCTCCTGATTTGCCCATGTCTGTCCAGTCCAAGCCCGTAAAACTATCGCCCTTTGGCGCTGCACTGGCAGGAGCTCTAGGAGGATGCTTCAGTACAGCGTAAGTCTTATGTTCTATCATCGGGTGCAGCCGCTAACGCACTGCCAGTGTTGTATATCCTCTGGATGTGTAGGTTTTCGTGTTACATCGAGTCTTGACGTCTCTTACTCTTCCCCTACAGGGTCAAGACACGCATTCAGGCTCTACCGAAGGGCAAGTCCAAGGATGACCAGTCGATGATGGGCGTCTTGCTACACATACTCAAGAAAGAGGGGGTACTGGGATTGTACAGAGGTTTCGCCGCAACGATGTTGAATACATTTTCTATGCGTGCGTTCTTCGCCTCTCCTCATCGTTTCCAGCTAACACGCCCACAGAATACGCCTATTTCTTCTTCTACTCTATGGTTCGAACCTCTTATATGAACCGACTTGCGAAAAGGCTTCCCCGGGGATCCAAGGCGCCTCAAATCGGCACCGTCATGGAGTTGGTCCTCGGTGCTATTGCCGGTGCCCTTGCGCAAATCTTCACCATTCCTGTCTCAGTCATTGCAACACGGCAGCAAGTTGGTCGGACAAAGAGGCAAACCCCTACTTCCTCATCGACATATTTGTCATCACCACCCGAAGACGACTCGTTCTTTGGTGTCGCTCGTGAAATTGTCGAAGAGGAAGGCATTGGTGGCCTGTGGCTAGGAATCAAGCCTGGCCTGATCCTCACAGTCAATCCTGCCATCACTTATGGTGCATTTGAACGAGTCAAGAGTATCGTCGTGTTGGCCAAGGGCACGGCCTCCATGTCACCAGGACTATCATTTATTGTCGGTGCGCTCAGCAAAACCCTCGCAACTATCGTATGTTTACTCTCACAGATACCTGATAATCTTCTCATTCAATTCTCCTGCAGGTAACCTACCCTTATATCATGGCCAAGGTCCGGATACAAGCTCGGAGTGCAGATGTTGAGGATGCTGCAGTGAAACACCACGAACTTCCTCATGCTCACGAGTATCACCACAAGCAATACAAACATCCGGGCGCTCTTGACATACTACTACGGGTTTGGCAGAAAGAAGGGTTCGTTGGATGGTATCAGGTATATTATAATTCAAACTTATGCCGGATCCGACACTGACGGATGATGCTAGGGCATGCAAGCGCAAATTATAAAGGCCGTCTTATCCCAGGCCCTTCTTTTCATGTCAAAAGACCAGTTTGAGAAATACACCTTTGTGCTGATGCTTGTGTGGAATCGCATCACGGCGGCTATCTCAGATATTGCATAATTTGTAGACTACTAGACTACTTTATTGTAACATATTGTATAATACATACACTCAGTCCTAGTTGGACTTGGGCGTGGCACAAAATTGATCAGTCGTGACAACCTTTGACATCAACCACCATGTTCTGCAATTGATACGTCATGTCTGCTCTGCCTTCATCGTCTCGCATAAGGACAACGGTCCCTACGACGCCAACAACATCACGAGTTGCGAGCACACATGCAGCCCAAGCCTCGCCACACTATTCCACCACTCGACGGCACTCTCTATATGGCGTAGAAGACAGAGTTATCATCGATCCTGGCTCTCGGATATGGAAAGTAGGCTTCAGTGGAGAGGGCAGGCCTCGAGAAGTTCTTTATGCCGGTGGAAAGTCGGGTGCAGCGCTCTGGGGACTTGAGCGCGCTGTAAATCCAGCAGACAGAGCGGAGGAGAACAAGCTATTATCCATTAACCTTGAACGATGCCTGAGATCTGTTTTCCATGAGTACGTTCGTGTTTGTCTTTTCATTATCTTTATATTGAAGTCGTACAGTTCTCTGTTAACAGATCCAAAAGCGCGAAAGGTCATACTGGTCGAACATCCCCTTCTCCCGCTGTACATCAAAGATATCATTGCTCAGATTTTGTTCGACAATCTTCAGGTTTGATTAAACCTTGCCAAGTATTGAAGTTCGCTGAATATTTCGAGCAGGTTCCTTCAATTTCTTTTGCATCAAGTCATCTTCTTTCCCTCTTCACTGTAGGCCGTATCACAGGATTGGTTATTGACTGTGGACATTTGGAGTCAGTAGCGCTTCCGGTGAGTGGCTTTCTACCGATATATGTGGCCCCTTTCATGAGTCCAAAGTAGATTTTTGCTGCCAGGCCAATGTTCCCCCAACTTCGTTCGACACCATTAGCGGGCGCGCGGTTATCATCGCACTTGCGTGCCCTTATACTCCTCTTCGGAACGTATCTACCTCCGCCCACGACTCTTAGTGCCTCTGTTAACATCCCTGCGTCCAGTCGCGCCACCCGTGTACCCCAAGAAGTACTAACTGATGCCGTTATTGATGAGATAAAAACCCGATGCTGCTTTGTGGGAGAAGCATTAGGGATGGCCGATGAGGGTCGAGAAGCTACGCCTATAGGCGATCTGTCGTCAGATATCGACATTCCCCCCAGCGACACCACAGAATCCGACTTTTCTCTCACCGGGCGAGAAAGCGTGTCGTCACAAGTCGATTCAGATTTTTCTGTCGTGTCCACTCCCCGTGCACCAATGTCGGATGATAGACCACATAGCGGGGAGAATTACTTGCAGGCTCTTGCAGCAATGTACAGACGAACCTCCACCGCTACAGACTTGACGATGCGCGTCGTTCCACCTGTTTCGCAACAGACCGGTACTGGACATGGAACTTTGATGATACCCGGGTGGATTCGTGAGAGGACAGCCGAAGTTCTCTTCGAAGGAGGTGACGTGGACGAAAGTAGCGTCGCAGAAACTATTCTGGATTCCCTTCTAAAGGCAATTTCTTTATTCCACTCCGCTCTCTTTTCAAACTGATCATTTAAATTTATTATAGGTACCCGTTGACCTGCGAAAAACTCTAGCATCGTCTATTCTGGTCGTAGGTGGCACGTCTATGCTCCCAGGGTTCATCCCAAGGCTACACAGTGAAATATTGCGTGCCATTGCTCCGCTACCACCCTCAGCCAGGCAGCCTATTCGACCTAATAAGCCGTTACCGCCTCAGTATGATCGTTATGCAGTTTTGAGACCACTGACCTCGCATTTTGCCATTCTCAATAACCCTTCTCCTCAAACTGCCCAAATGTCGGCAAGAGCGAGATCGAATGCCGGAAAAGCACCCGCGTTCACGCCTGCCACCATGGCCTGGGTTGGCGGTTCGTTGGCTGGTTCGCTCAAGACGGGGGGAGTTGAACTAACCAGGGAACGATGGGATGAAGCTGCTTCGGGCGATAATGACGGTATGAATGTGGATAATTCAGTGTCCGTGGGGCACAGTGTTATTCTTCCGGACTGGACACGAATACCATTATCACAAGGTGCCCCACCGGCGTCTTTAGCAGTTCATGGTGCGACCCATACATCGCCATCTCAAGCACGAGTTGGTGCGTGATATGATGCTGAGATTTGATATTGTACTTCTGTATTAGTGATGAAAGATGTTATTCATCCTAACGAAAGACATTGAGCTCTATGAACTCCGAGAAGATGGTCCACCCAGGAGAACCGAACGGATAAAAGGGTGAAATGTACGTGGAAAACAAGGGAAAATATGATGAAAACGAAGATAAGCGAGTGGTAAGTGCTAAAGTCGAAGATGTAATAAATTTAAAATGAACAACCGTATCATGAATAGTCTTCAAGTACTCGAAGCGTGATTTTACTACTCTTCACGTAGGACATCACCCAACGCCATTCGTCGGGTGTGGATATCAGTTTCATATCCATATCGAAGATTGAGGAAAGAGAGCTCGACCGGCGGGCACCAGTCAGAGCAGAATTATCGTCAGCGACGACGATCGCCAAGACGAAGGAATCAGAGAGCCTGATATTTTCCTGTTTGATGAACTTATCGCGTATACGACATCGAGCATCGTTGAAAGGGACATCACGGGTACCACGGAAGACTACAATGGATCCGTTATAAGCAGCTTTAACAGTGATTGGGGCAGTGGGTGTCATTGGGGTGTCAGTGATCATGCCTGAGAGCGAGGTGCCAGCGCTTGCCGACGTTATTGTAGAGAACATGGAGGCTGTTGGGGAAGGGGGGAGTACGGGCCGCGCAGTCATGGGAATATCTAGCGTGGAGATACTATCATAGTTATCGTCCGCTTCGGAAGGCATAATGAAATCTATAGATTCAAGTGACCGGGCGCCAGAAGAATGGTACCCAATTGGACCATGTGAGCGACTGCCACCGTAGCTGCGGGAAATAAGAGAGTCAGGGCGTTGGAAGGCATCTGATAATTGACGTGAGTATGTGGTGCATTGATGTGGTATGTGATCGTACCACGGAAATAAGTATCGAGCAGATCTCCTTCAGGATCCGACCATACGTCTCCCTCAGATAGGGTTGAGGTAGGCCGAGTACGGCATGGATGCCTTCCGATAGTGGCACTAGAGACAGGGCGGGGCATCGTGGACCGAGGAATGACAGCGTCCGCAGAGCTATCGGTCATGAATGTAGCAAAGCTAGCGACAGATGATCTTGATCTTCGGGACATGTCCTCGGGAGAGGGCGGCATGGTCAGTCCAATACCATCAATGATAGAGGTGCCCGACATCATCGTTTGCCATGATTCCCGGACAGCACGATTTCCTGGGGATACAACAATTAGCCAACGTCAAGCAAAGCTAGTTGAATATCGCACTTGGTTGATCCTCATTGAGATTGAGCTCTTCCATGCCCCGAGTGAAATCCTTTGGTACACCAATGACCTGCACACTACGGCGACTTTTTCGCGCTAAGGCCGACTGGTGTGTCGGAGAGGAAGCAGTAGGGTTCCCTCGATAGCTGGATTTACTGGAGAACTCTCGATCCTCAGGCAAGGCCTCCAAATATGACGAGCCTTGGTCCTGAGAGATCTGAGGATTATGACCAAACGACACAGACGTCTCCTCAGCGATAGAAGGAACGGATCGGAAGGAGCCTGAACTTCTTGACGACGCAGCCGTTATCGTAGAGGCCGAGTCGGATGATACTGAACTTGCCCGCCGCCGCCTTTCGACAATGATTGGAGGGGACAAGGTAGCAACTGAGGTTCTACTGATGGAGGCACCATACGTGAAATTCTGGATGGAAGCGTTAATAGAGGATGTAGACGACTTCTTGGAGATACTGTCCATGGACCGCCGAGAAGATGTGTCAATTGACGGCAATGACGCGTTGGAAAAATAGCCAGAGAGAATGCTATTTGTCTTCGACGATCGCTTCGAACGGGATTGTTTCTCTAACTTCTGAGCGAGATCGTAATCTCTACGCCAAAGACCGAAGAAATCAGTGACAGTTCGCTCACTTCTGAGGTCTAACAGCAGTACAGGAACGTCATCTCTGAAAAGTGCTTCGGCGAACGCCTGGATTTCGGCAAAGCGCTGGTCAATAGTGGCCTGACTTGCACGAAAGACGGTTCCCTTCTTGGTTAACTTGGGGACCAGTTCATGGATATCTTGAGCAACCGAGTGAGGATCGGGGCCTGGTGGTAAAGACTCCCAAGACGACGCCATGTCCTGCTTATAGAAACCATCCCTCTTTACCCCTTTGCCGGCCAAAAGGCGTTGACGCTTTGCCCTTGCTAGGATACGATATTGCTCTTCAACGCAGTCTTGAAACCAGAGCCAGTCCTCCCACCGCCGCCAGATGTCATACTCGGAATTGGACCCGTCGGATGAGATGGAAGAGCGGTCACCACGAGTAATCGGGCAGATGCGCATTCCAAAGCTGTAGCTCCCGCCTACGTCCTATGAGCTGATGAAAGGCGCAGATTTATACAAGCCACCGACCTTGCTTAGCTGGGGTGAGCATTTCTACAGAAAATCGAGTTGGGGGTTGCCGATATACCGCCCTCTTGTAGTTCTGGAAGCGTTTAGGTCAGCTTTTGCGGGTAGAATGGCGCGAAAGAGATATCTACGTCGGTGGGGGATGGTCCGTGCTCATTCCCGACACCACCCTAGGAAATCTATCGTCAGTACGCATTCATGACCAAGAATAGGCTTCCAGCTCACAAAGTGATTTGCGTCGAGCATGTTTGCTGGATATTAATATCTACAGACAAAGAGATGGTTAGCAGGCGAAGAAGTGGCGATAAAAAGATGCTCACATATGTCCCGGTGCGTATTCCAGCTGATAACAACAAGCACAAGGAAGGCTTATCGGTAGTAATAGGTCCCAAAGCGCCAGGTATCGCGAGATTGAAGAAGGCAGGGAAAAGAGAGAGGGAAGAAAGTAGGATTAATTCCTGCAAAAAAACGGGGCGCAACAATGGACCGAGACAAAAGAGCGCGACCGGTGAGTCCCAGACATTTGGGCATATTCCTTATTGTTAGTGACGGAGCGGGACATCCTGCCCTGTCTACCTGGCCTAATTGGTCCGAACCGGTTCATATCTATGATGACTCATATGATGACTTTCCTTTCTTGGACAGTTCCATCCAGCTCCATGTGCTTGGTAGATTTTGACCTCACGGCTTTTGACCATTTTATCGAGAATCTTATCATCCAACGGTAAGCTGGGAACTCTGAATGGTTCCATCATTAAACATAACTTGTCCCACCTCCAAACGCCTCTCTGTTCTTCGCTTACCGTAATTTCAACTCTAACAATAAAAGAGAGAGGTGGCGAGGCCCGAGGGCTCGTATTTTTCCCTCAACGTCACCCGGTGGCCATATTTTCATCGTAATGACCGCGTTAACAACTTTTTTTTTGTTTTCCCGATGTCGTGATTTGTGAAGCAAACACTTTTTTATTTAAGCTTCCACCTGTATTTCAATTTTCAAAGTGCCGGGCCGTGTGCCTGTAATTTCACTTTGCTAGAGCTCTATCTTTACTTATAACTGTGTACTGATTCTTGTTAGCCCCCGACGCGCTCTTTTCGTGTCATTTTCAGCTCTGTTGCATCCAGCAACTGAGAATGCTCCACCTCCTTGCTCTGAACCAGTTCGACGCGCGGAGAATTCTGATCAGCTATGACGCAACAGACTCGTGTTCTTCGCATTCAATTTTCCAAGTAGGTCACAAAGGTCACGGCTGTCTTTCTCATGTCGACTACTGATTCCTTGAGGACCGAGCCCAAGGTCAGTCCTGGTGACTTTCTTTCTCCGTCTGGATGCTTAGTTATTTTTTCCTTCCAATATATCTAGGTCGAGAGCGAGATTTCCTTTGAAGATGATCAGGAATGGCAGGACGAGGGTCCTGGTTCCGCGGCTGAAGAGAAGGCCCCCCCAGTGAAACCAAAGATAGAGGCCCCAGAGTCGCTTTCTCAGTTCGACAGAATGCCCGCAGTGATGCGTAAACGGAAAGCATCTGCTAGCTCCCCCCGTTTTGATTCCCCCGGAAAGAAACACCACACCCATGAGGAAATTCGAAGACAACGACGTCGACGACTAGCTGCTACCGCAGCTGAATATTTTGATGGCCCACTTTGGTTCGAAGGAATGCTGAAAGGCATGTCCTTCGCCTTTTGGTACGCTCTAGATGTCGTCCACCAAGCTGTCCGATTCCTCAGACAACCTCTTTCTTTTCTCGTATTCCTATGGGTGCTAGCCTTCTTGTTTGGGAAGATATCCGGAGTCCTTCAGATGGCCCTTCAGCCGTTCTGTATCATCCCTGGCATATCCCATTCGTCGCTCTGTGTATCTCCCTCGCCTCATGCACGTGCCCCCAAACAAGCCGATTTCTCGGCGCTTGTGGAGGTTCAAAGCGCCACTTTTGAGCAATTGCTAGATGGCTCTGTCGATGGTTCCATGCTCTCTTTAGACCTTAGAAAAGCAGAGATGGCCACGTCAAACCTCGCTGCCCTCGTCCGCGTTAGCCAACTCAAAAGCCGTGAACGACTCAACGACGCGCTGTCGAACTTTATTGGGTCAGCCAAGGAGGCCGCCATAGGACTGCAAAGATTTAGCTCCCATGTACAGTATACCGTGGATCGGTGAGCCAGGTCATGTCACACATGCGTTTCTTTTGTGTCCTGATATGCTTGCCCTCAGCATTATTGCTGTCAATGACTATTCATTGAACACCATCGAAGAAGCGCGCGCTAAAGACGGGAAATATTCTCTCCAGAGCCTCATCCCGTGGTCGTCTCCCACTTCATCGCATGAGATGATCTTGAAGACATTTAGTGAATCCATGGACATACTGTCGCAAATGACGGAGATCCTCATTCTGAAAGCCCAAGTACAGTTGAAGAACCTTGAGGATTTAGAGGGGAATCTCATTGTCATCAACGACATCATCGTCCGAGAGGATTCGGAAATCTCTGCTGACAAGGCAGAGCTCCTCGCCGCATTGTGGACCTACCTCGGAGGAAACAGAAACACGTTGAGGGAGTATGACCACCGATTGGGATTGCTCAAAAACATGAGCGAGTATCGAGAGAAAGCTCTGCGACATGTCTACTCCGAATTGCACAAGCTGCATGAGATGAGTGGAAACATTGAAGTTCTCCGAGAGCATGTCTCTGAACCGGCACTGTTGGGATCTTTCGTCCCACCCGAGGTTCACATCAAGAGCATCAAGAAGGGTTTAGAGAGGCTAGAGACATCTAATCGCCAGGCGAGAGAACGGGAGAGAGATGCTAGAAAACTTCTCGCATAACTTGAGGTAGGATCTGTTTTTTGTTTGTCGTCAAATGCATTGACGATTGTTGTAGAAGAAACTACACATGCAGATAATTAGGCTTAGAGAGGACGTTTCTATGTACATTTACTTGTTGGACATCGTTTTAGTAGTATTCGTTACTGTTGATCGGACAGAATATCTCGCCAACTCGATGGTGTCGACACCCTCTTTCACGGTTGTGCCGTGTCGCAGTAAGCGCCGCTTAGTATCCTCTTTGGCACATCGCACTTAGGGATCTTGGAAGCGACGCGATCGAGATCTTGGACGGCAGTTCCACCCTTTAAGAGATCTTGTCCATGTCAGCCTGCCAGAAGCGCATCGCGTATTCCTTGTAATCATTTGTCACTTCCAGTCTTCCAAAGACATGCGGCGGCAATGTCGTTGTAGTGTCCCCAGATTTTCAGAGATCTTTGAGCCCTCCCCGGCGGCGGCAGCACTTCAACAGGAGACAGATACCGGCCAGAACATAGACTAGAAAGATTGGTTAGTGACCTGAACGTCAATGTGCGATGAAAGGATTGAATAAACTGACGGCATAAGGTCACGGAAGAAGAAAAAGTCGTGCATCCAGCGCGGCTTTACGCGAAGCCTGAAAGCATGCAATTTTTAGGGTTAAGATAGCGGCGCATGAGCATGCAAGTGCTGACCATGGGGTGTGTAAAAGGTACGGGTGAGATCTGATGAGAAGATCGGTCTCAACTGTTGGTGGCGTCCACCAAACCCCAGTGGTATAGATCCAAGTGCCATAGCTAGCATGCGAAGCATGAGAAAAGCCATTGAACATTCCAAAGCAAGTGAGAACCTTGGGTCGGGTCCATTCTCGGTTTGTGAAGTTGAGACATCGTGAACAGGGAAATTAATGAGACCACAGCATTAAGCTTGTGCATGTGCAGGCCTGGCCATGGTCATTGTCTCAGCCGAAGACGACTCGTCCAATATCACTGAACAAGAATTTTCTGGATGAACGTGAATGGCAAACTCATCCAAACGGCCACCTGAAAAATACCGACGAAAAACTGTACTGAGTTATTGGCCTTAAGAACCTGTATTTGCGTTTGTAGTTGCCCTTTTCGTGCATGAAAGTCGATCTATAATTGTAGCCCCGATAGTAAGCATACAGAAAACAAAACAGCAAGATATTTCAAAACAGTTCTCCCTGGCCCTCAACTAGACCTCCAAAATAGCATGTCAAAGCTTTCAGCTTTGAACCCATCCACTCTTCCTCCACCTCGATATATTCCTTTGCTTGCACATCGTCATCCAAGAGCGCCCCAAGTTCTTCCACGTCGGTATTTCTTGGGAGATAATAAGCCACATTGGGCGTCATCTGACGAGTAAGACGAAATAAGTCAACACCGTGGATGGGCTGGATTGATGCCAATGTATACAACGGATATTCTGTTGGTTGATCCTGGAATGCGCCACCAGGTTTTATTGGAGATGGTGTTCCTGCTAGATATGATGGTCCGCCCCACGGGGGACTCAGGAACACGACATCGATGATTCGATGCGCGGATCGTTCCCGAAGAGAAAGGTACGATTTAGCAAAGGAAAGGTAGTCCGAGAGGATGAACTCGATGTTATCTGCGACACCGTAGATCTGTGCGTTATGCCGTGCCAACGCCAGACGTGTGGGAGAGGTATCCAGCGCTATTACTGCCAACATGATGTTAGTAGTATCAATGTATATCACAGCCCACGCCACGCACCTCTCTGGCAAGTTTTTGCAAACGCGATTGCATTTCCTCCTACGCCGCAAAACGCGTCGAGGATGGTATCACATCGACACCGTTCGGCAATCTGATCTGCAATGAGTTCCGGGGTTACACTGTACCAGCCTTCTTCGTCCAACAGACACCCCGGAGGGGTCGAATAGAGGGAGAAAAAACGTGTACGTTGTGAGAAATCTGATGTGATTGATGTCCCTTGGGGTCAGCAATGGATGTAGACCAACGTAAGGGCACACACATTTTTTGAGATGCTCTGGAACCTGGGACAGATCCGTATAGTGTTCGACGAGCCCCGTGGCGTCGTACTTCTCTACCCAATGATGATCAAAGTCATTTTGCAGGGACAGTCTAGGAGTCACAATTGCAGGTCCGCGGTCCGGTTTGAACTTTTTCAGTGGTGGTTCCGCGGTCTCGACCTCTGCGTCACGGTCATTTGAGCTCCCTGAACAAGCTGGAGTCGGAAGGACATTTACTTCGGTAGGGACCTGGTCGAAGGAAGTTTGAAGGAAACGAGAAAGGCCAGTGAAGGGAGCACTGCGTTTACGCGTCTTGCCCATGATGGCAAGAGGGTTACCCTTGTAAACCAGACCCTGGGTTAATGTGATCGCCGAAGTTCGGCATTATCCGATGCCGGAGTCGGCACCAGACAAAACCGGATCCAGCCTACTTAGAAGCAGACCACAACGACGATGCATTAATTCTTCTTTCACCATGTCCGAAATCCCGCAAACCGACGTATCCAGGCCTTCTGCTCTTCCAACCGCCAATCTCTTGCAGAGAGGAAGTACCCTACAAAGTCTTGTCGATCAAAACTCATCCGAATACCTCGATGCTATTGAAGAAGAGTGGAACAAAAAAGTAGATCTGGAAGTAGAAACACTGGTTGACGGGATGGTCGACCTCGTCAGTCTCGCTTCGGTATGTATGTCAACTCTAATACGAAGGGTACATCTGACCTCTTGCAGATAGGAGATAAGGACAAGTTCCGAATGGCCCAGGAAGCCTTTCAAGCCCAGTCTCGAGCAGAATCCATGGTACGCCCATTCATTGCGTGCGATACCCCTTCTGGATTTTAATGCACAAGGGTATAGGTCCGGGCTGCGAATTCATTGCTTTCTATAACCCATTCCATGAAGCTACTGCTTCTTCTATCTGATGAGTCCCGGATTTCGCAGCGACGAGATGCCGAACTTAAAGCAGTCCGAAAGGAAAAGTCCGAAGCGAGGCAGAAGGTAGCCGCGCTGCTTGATGAATTGTTGGCAAGTTCACAGGCATGCGCCGAGAATCGTACGAATTCTTAATGTCATTGTGAGTGCTTTTAGTGTTCTCCGGATACACATCTAACATCATCGGACCTATGCCGTACGAGCAGCTATCCCCCCAGGCTCGTCTTGAGATATCTGGATACCGAGATGTAGCCGGCGTAGTCAATTAGTTGCATCTCCCGCATGAAGGTACCGATTGGAACGTTTCGTATCTATTAGACTCTTCAGCCACGATCGACTGAAATCGATGCGCGAGATCTTTTTCTGGATCGTTTCTGGATCTTTTCTGTGGGATCGAAACACGGCGATCGTGTGATCTCGCACGGGTATGTGCCATCGCGTGGCAAGCCAGGGCGTCGCCGGATATTTCGAAGCGACTCTCATTCCCGCGAACGTTTAGCAGAGAAGAATGCTCTGTTTGGGATTTCGGATGATTTCATCTCGATCTCTGGAAGATCTCCGAGTTTGGCATGTTCTGTGACCAATATTCACCCAGTTGCAGTACAAGTCCCGCTCCATTCATTCTTAGACTATGGTGGGAGTCAGCCATTTTCGTCATTGATGCTGCATTCATGAAAATGCGTTCACGCTAAAAGTCTAGCCTGTAAGGTCGAATCCACGGCCTGCCACGGCGTTTCCGAGGATGTCATGAGGGGAGCAATGTAACTCCTGTCAAAATGTAGCTTCGCGGTTGATAGAAACCTTTGAGGAGCAATAAGTCGCCAATTGCATTGGGCATACCCGATTATCGTGGCGTCTTCATCTCCGCTATATACGCTTCCGTCATAGCAGGATCGGCCATATTAAACCTGTGCTCTTGGCCTCACATCGTAGCAGCAGCGACTGATGCCGCGACGCTGATGCCGGGTAAGAGCTTTCACAAGGAATTCCATGATAGGAAACAGCCAGGCCTGGGAACAGTACTTTACGCTTTGCTCGTATCGGCCTTTCTTTTATCAATTTTGTCGAATAAGCATATCATTCAACACGTCTCAAACGCATCGTCCGTCTTTGCGCCGCAGAGGTCAGGGATGTCCCCCGAGTAGAAATAGAGTTCAGTGGTAGGCGAACTTGTACGCGAGTTGAAGCGTGCCAAATTCCAGGACGAAGGCGGACGGTCCGCTGATGATTATCCCTTCACTCAGTTCAACCTATGTATGTTGAAAGCCTATCCAAATTTAATGCGTGTTCTGCTGAGATCTTACGGAAATGCGTTGGGATCGGCTCGGAGCCGCTGCAAAAGTTATTAAGCCCTTCCGGATTGTCAAGTTTTCCGAATAAAATGTCAGAACAGGCTATACTACGCATACGTATGTTTCGGTCTCCCTGTCAGCTAAGGTACCTCATAAGATGAAATTGACGCCCCCTATATAGCCCGAATCTTTCTAAGAATGAAATTGCCTGAAATTATTGCTCCCGTTGCAACGGAAACGGCATCTTTGCCGATGCAGACAAGTGACAATTCATAACTGTACAGACTGACACCCATCAAGCCCAGTTTGTAGGCGTAGATGCAAACTCGCCCAAGATCGTATACAATGCTAGAAGGTGCAGCTGATACAGTGCCAGTGCCACAAGGCCTGGACCTCGTGGCGTCGCGGAGAGAAGAAAATGAGCAGATAGCAGCAGAACGGCATGTTGTAAGAGGCAGCCCCAGTGGAGCAAATGGAGTAAGCGCACCACAGCGAGATTCGGCAATTGCCAGGACGTCTGTTCCCATCTGACCTAATGTGATCTTGGCCAGGGCCCTTGAAATTACTGGATCTGATCAGGTACATACACGTGAGGGAAAATGCAGAGAGTGCGACAACAGCTTACGGTGGGCCCTAGAGGTGCTACAACACAAATGGAGAGCATCTCAGAGGTAGAATGGCGGGAGGAGGCAGGAAAAGAAGACACCGATTTACCTTTCGCATCTGAGAATAAAAGTCACGAACTCGGTCACGTAAGGGTTGATTAATCGATCTAGATAGGACAGAAGTGGATCAGAGATTGCGTGTATTGGCGTTTCAGCGTCTCCAAAACATGAAAAGAGGGTGAGCAGGGATATCAGACGGAATAAAACATCAATGTAGCACTGGCCAGCTCGTACAAGTCTGATATCCCAGGACTAAGGACTATTTTCGAGTATTTTGAGGTCTAATAAATTTATCTAGAAAATAACAAAAAATAGCGTCATTTCAAACTCCGACCGAGCGAGATCTGACGGGCTGGGGTGACTTGGTCCAGGGCGCATTTCCGTTCGCTCAATTGTTGGCAACTCTCCTTTGCCTTCCACCGTCATCTGCACCAGCGCCCCTTCTTGCCTTTGCCGTCCTTGGTCTCTTGCGAGCTGTAGCGCCTGCAGCCTCGTTTGCTGGCTGTCCGATTCGTCGCCGACGTGGTCGTCCTGTTTGCGGGTCGCCAACGGAAGGAAGTGGTGCTCTTGTGTGGGATACAGGTTCTTGTTCCCTCCTTTCTCTTGCAAAAATACAGGTCTGTTGACTTGTTCTCATTTCAAGATCCGCCGTCATCGGGAGATACATATATCCAGATTCGAAAACTGCATCGAAAGCGCTGCATCACGGCCGCATCTCCTGATCTCAGTCTCTTTTCGAACAGCCGATCCTTGTTAGCCCGCTCATGGCTGCTGCTCACCATGCTGCTCAGGACTCAAGATATTCTCTTCCTCCTCCTCCACCCAACCCGTACAATAACAGGCGCTTGCCTTCACTAAAAGATCTCAATTTTTCTTACCGTTTGCCGCCATTGGCCCAGGACAGTCCCTCTTCTGGACATGTATCAGTAGCTGTCGATCCTTCTGCTCAGTTGCAGGACCATTCTGTGCGTCAGGACCATGCCATACGACAAGAGCATGCAATGCGACCGGAACAACCCATGCGACAAGACCATTCTGTGCGCCAGGACCATCAAGTTCGTCAAGACATTCGTCAGGATCCGTCTCTCCGTCATGTTGAACAATGGCGACGCGCAAATACACATACTTCCATCTCGCCGGCGTCGACTCACCATCCCGAGCCTCAGCAGCAGCATACCCCACCTTTGTCTGCGGGCCACGAACAGCCTGTACATAAAATTATGGATTATTCACACCCATCTTCAAGACATGACCATGGCGGCTATGTTACGCCTGGGATGCCGCTTTCTGGCCAAATGACTCAAGCGCCAGCACCCATGCCGAGCAGTAGTGGAACTGTGCGCGGCGGTGATGATTTGTCTCATCTCCATAGTCACCACAAACGAGCACGTACAAGTAGCTCGTCGTCTGTCGATGTACCTCGCGATGCTCGACCACCACCTCCTGTAAGTCTGCTGTCATGCTTGGAGTACTTGTTATCTGACCGTTCATTGTATGAATAGATGTCGTATTCTCCTGCTCATTATGCACATACGCCTTATATGCATCCTTCACAATCTCACCAGGCGCATCAACAGCCGCCGCACCAGCCGCCGCCGCCGCCTCACCCGTCGCACCAGCAGCATCAGCAACATCCGGCTAGTCCATATCATCCTATGCCGCCTGGCCCGCCGGTTCATCCTAGTCCTTCTCCTCATACTCACAATATGCACCACCATAGTCCGGTGCAACCTCATCCTGGATATGCGTCTTATCAGCAGTCGTACATGCCGCCTTCGCAGCCGCGACCACCAGAAGTTCATCCTCAGCATCCTCATCACATGAACCCGGCCTACCAGTCACCTGTTCATCCTCCACCGCCACCACCTCAAGACCATTGGGAGCAACAGCATTCTCAGCCGCATGCTCACCACCATCCTCCTACGCCTTCTCATCCTATGCATCAACATCACAATCAGCAACCTATACCTGCCCCTGCACCTGTTCCCGCCCCTGCACCTGCTCCAGCACCTGCAGCTGTACCTGCCCCTGCCCCTCCACCGCCAGTCCAGCAGCATCCTCATCAGCACATACATCAGCAGCCTCAGCCCCAGACAATGCATGTTCCGGCTCCTCCTCCACCTGTTCAGCAGCCACAGCCGCAACCTTCTTTTACAAGAACCACGGCCTTGATTCCCACTGATGTTGATACGCGAACGGCTTCTTATCCTCCAAATGGCGCCTCTGCTCGCGACAGCCTAGTTAATGAGGTAAGAGATGCGTCTCCATAACTTTCGCATCATTTCACCCCTTGAAATAGATCATCAAGCATTGTTCGATTTTATATTCATTCGCCAGCCGTTATGGTACGTCCCTAGGAATATTGGTTATCGAGCAGAATCAAACATCTCAAATGTAGCACAAATGCAAGCTAGCATTCCTCATTCTCAACCCTCTCCAGCAGAGTTGGCTGATATGCAACACCGAGCCAACTACGTTGTCCGACTTTTGGAAGATCTTCGGCGACAGATGCAACCCGACAGCGAGCATGTCAGAACTGACAGCCCGGTGACTGTCAGGTCTCCCGATGATCATCGGCAACCTAAGCGGCCATGGGAAGATATGTCTCATGATGGTGCTACGGGCGAAACCGAAGGACCCTACCCTGAGGTGCGCACTGGTCTCTTCAAGGTCGGCGTTAAAGATATTCACGCCACGACCCTGATCTCAATAGGAATATGCTTCGCCGGATCCTCCACCCAAAGCACCGTCTGCGGCTGAACTTGACATGGAGCTAATACGTAGCAAACGTGCGACAAGTACTGCCGGAGGCGGTGGTTCAATTGGTCAGACGAAGAACAAGTACAGGAAGCGAAGCGTGAGTATTTTATATATTCCATCTTCGCTACCGTTTGAAGCTGACTCGTCTTCCGATGCTTGGTCTGGGCAGCGGGCCACTCCTCCAGGAAAATGCCACTCCTGTAATATAAGGGAGACGCCAGAATGGCGCAGAGGGCCTGACGGGGCGAGGACCCTTTGCAATGCATGTGGTCTCCGTACGTATTAATCCCTATGTTCTTTTTTTACTCGGTCGTTGATCTATATACGGGGTTTCAGACTATGCGAAGCTAATGCGGAAGCAAGATAAACAGCACAACGGTGCTGAACCACCCCGTATCGATATGGATACACTTCGTGCTTCTGCACGGGCAGCAGAGCAGGACAAGTCACATTCCCGGTCGGCCAAGCATCAAGCACGGCGAAAAACCGAGCCGGAATCACCTATTGAGAGGCCTTCGACGTCTCAGCAGGCTCAACACCATCAAAGTTCCTTCCAGCTTGTGCCCGTGGCTCCCGCGCAGGAGCAGTCTCCTATCTCTGATGCTAGTCGTCTATCATCACAACCCAGTATTCACCCTCCTCCCCCTCCCCAGACCTCGATGGCTGCTCCTCCCCCACCTTGGGCGACTAACAACCGTTCATACTCATCGGAGCAGATGCAGCCCCAATCTTTTGTGAGAACAGCGCACTCCCACCCCCCTACGCGTTAGGTATTTTGTCGCTTTATCTGTTATAACTCTCAGACGCCTGTTTTCCTATCTGCCCATATCGAATAAACGACCTATATTGCACGTCTAGCTCGTCAATTCCATGTTTGCTACCATCATTACCTTCATTTCTCTGCATCGTTGTTCCATTGGGTTCTGTGCATAATCACTCGTGTTGTTCACCGTGTTCACATTTTTACGAGATCTTATTAATGCTTTAGTGTTAGCATAACATCCTTCTGTCTGTTGAACGTTGAACACTTGTAATGTGTAGTAAGTACATAGTATTTTCATATGCGTATTATTTTTATCCTTGGGGATGCTGCCTTTGCGAAACGTTGGATCTAACTCGGATCTAACATGAATTACTCCAAATATGAATATAGCATCGAGATAGGCAGGGCGCCACCGTTCAATAAGTAGATCTAGTCCTGGCCTGTGATCAATTGGCCGTTCGATAGAGGCTGGAGCTCTCCCCGTGGGGGTTGCGAGGCTTATTTGGAAGATCCGGCAGTGTTACTGAAAGAGTATTAGTGTCGGGCCATTCGTAACTTTCAAGCATGAAGATGTATATTCAAAGGTTTCTAGGCCACACCATTATTTATGACCAAGAGGATTCTAATCCTCCATTCGAGTCACCTATATCCTCTCGGCCCGGAGCGCCGCTGCACAGTGAAAACAATGATCGATCTGATGCTCGTACACAATCGGATCAGATGCAAGATAGATCTGGTTAGTTTCCTCGACATTTCTATGGAAGTATTTACAGGATACAACATACGAACTCTTACTATTACATTAATCGTTGTAGCCTCGTGGTTTCCCAATGATTTTGGAAGGACCATCGACCTTCAACCCCTTTTGTTTCCAAATCTCAAGTTGTCGGTCTTTCGCTACTTTTCCCGTCGTTCGTTCGTATTCTTCGACTGATGTCGGCTTTTCTCCGTGGGGAGTAGCTCGTAGAGCGTGCCTTGTCTCGGGCCAAAAGTCAAATGTTGCGGAATGGGTCACGATCTGGTCAAATGGTAAATCCTTGAATAATCAAGCCGAACACTTAGTTCACCCACCCTGTTATCCCAGAAAACGATAGATCCGGGTTCCCACTTGATTCTGACTTGATGGTCCGGGTTGTCGCTAATCTGGTGGAAGAGGAATGCCAGAATAGCATCTGATTCCGCCTTGGACACGCCTACGATGCGCCTGGTGAAACCTGAGGGAACAGCAATCAAGTTTAACGTGCATCGCAAACATGAGATAAGCTTACCGGGATTGACGTAGACGCTCTTCCACCCTGTTGCCGGATGTACTCGGACGACAGGGTGAACGCTTTCGATTTCCTTCCGACGCACGGGTAACCCTGCTGCACGCGCACCTTCTGCTTGCGCAACGCCGCTATGAACGGCTTCCAAACCTTCTAAATATTTCTGAAACCCGGGGGAGAGCGAGGAGTACAATGCATAGCTTAACACCAATTGAGGTAAGTACAAGGAAATCTCGATTGGTCGATTCATCACTCACCCCGATGAGAACAGGGTATCCCCACCTGGCGAACAATTAGGCAACATTGATAAGGAGAAAAACGCCGAACTCCATACCAAACTCGGGACCAGTGATGACCTTTAATGACGTTGTACTTGGCGGCTGGACCTCATAGCTGACCTATCATAAATGTGATTTTAGCATGTTAAGAGGAAGGACGGAATGGAGGTATCCTGACATCTGAATGCCATAATTCTAGCTTCGAAAATGCGGACGGGTCGGGCCGACGGGATGCGTCGTTGTAGACAACTATTGGAACTTGTTTGGCCAAACCTCATATGAAAGGGAGGCCTCTCCTTACCATGGACTTCTTCCAATCCGTTCTTTGGGATGGGGGTTGTTGCGTGCTTGTGGAGGGGTCCGTAATGACGAGCAATGTCAAGCTGGCCGTAGATGTCAATGTCTTGATCACGAAAGACTGCCAAATCCCGAGGACATCACTATCACCGACATACCCTCATTCACTTTACGTACCTAAAACACCCCTTTCGCCTGCAAGTAGGGCCCTATTGGAGAAACGAGTTAAGGTATTTTTCACCATCTGAGCACTAACAGTAACTCACAATTCATCCTTCTGCGCATCTGATAATTGTCGAAGATCGATTCCCAGAATTTCGGTCCCGATGGCTGGTGTGAGATGTTTAACTTTGTGAGCAGCGCCTAACAAGAGCCTCTTTTCGGGATCTGCAAATTTCCCACGTTCCGTGACTTCGAATTCAGGCAATGGTTCCCAGGAAACATCCGGGAAAGAAGGCTGCAAGGCACCCAGTCAGATCTCTTCATGGATTAGGACTAATGGCGTGGCACCTTGAACTGAGCGAACTTGTAAGAAGTATCACCATCGTCGCTGATAGCGGGAGAGTAGAAGGGATTGAAGAGCTTTTCATTACTCGCAGCCGATTGGCGGGGAGTGATGTCGGCTGCTGCTATAGGGGCCATTGTAAGTGCTGCTAGGGAGCTAAGAAACCTTCCTTTCCACGTAAACCGCCTTATATGCAGTGTTACTACCAGATGTCGTGCTTGTTGAAGATCCGTTGCGCCAGTGGAAACACATATTGCGCAACCTGTCAGATGACTGGCGTCACCTCGCAAAGTAGGATCTCTAGTCTATGGGTCGGTGGGAGTAGAAGAGTTAACCATGCTTTAGATCTGTCAAACCTAGTTGCGCATCGTGCAGATGATTTTTTGGGACAAGAAAAGGAATTTATTCCATTGACCTAGCATACACCGGTGACTATTAGCAATTCAGAAGATGGATGACGACTGCGATGGCAGTTTAGGTGTACAACTTATTTATGTATCAGTGCGCTCAGAGCCTAGATCTGATGTCCACACGCGTCCACTATATGTTATCAGCAACAACCAAAAGGCACATACGAGCGATTCGAACTTACCCACGGGTACCACTCCGGCATATTGTTCGATACGGTGTCCTTCAAATTTGGACGCCGTCGTTCAAGGAAAGCGCGACTAAGCTCCTCTGCATCTCGACTCTTCGAAGTCTCTGCAAGTGTCCTTGACTCGAGCAGGAATGTTTCTTCAACTGTATCTCCTGGATGATGTAGCAAACCTTTCGCGTACGCGATGGACACTTGAGATGTATTGGCGGCTAGTTCCTTGGCAAAGCTCAAGCTTGCCGAGAAAGCCTCCTCTCTGGTGGGTAACACGTCATGATAGAGTCCATGGATGTGGGGAGAATCCGGTTTGACTGTGGCTCCAGTGAGCAGCAAGGCCTTGGCACGGGAGAGACCTATGAGGCGCGGAAGGAGAAGAGAAGACAACACTACAATGGCACAACGACATCAGTATGTGTGTATTCATGCTGACAAAGTGCATAACTTACATTCCGGAGAAACACCTCTTCTGATAAAAGGGAGTGTTATTTTAGCTCCAGACCAGACGAAACGGAAATCAAAAGGAAGCTGTAGAGCAGTAACCCCAGCTCCGGCCTACGCGGATTCGTGAGGATCTGAAGATAGACAGAGAGGTTTGCCTACAGCATGTCCATTCACTGCCGAAATTGTTATTTTGCGACAATTGTAGATCGCCATAGCCACTCTACCCCCGGGATCCCGATAGTCTGTTACAGAACGTCAGTATTATGCGAACAGCGAGCGCTCAAGGCAAGCACCTGATGGCTTTTCGTCGCGAGAAAGACCCTTCCAGCCGCCTGATATATCGGCCTGAGGGTAGACTGGTCAGACAAGGCGGTGACAAGGGGAACGAGGCGTACGCCTGCACAGAATGCCGGAGCGGAGGGATCTGCTGTCAGAATGACCACCCGAACGCGATCATCTTTGTCGACAAGCTCGAAGATGTGGATAATTTCATTCACCAGGCCGAGACTGAAGCTATTTCGCCTACACAGAATGCAAGTAGTAAATCGTGAGTAGGGCAAGAATAGCGTAAGTACTCACTGTGCGGCCCTGTTAATCGTGACCACGACAACTGAGTTGTCCTCCAATCTGACCAATATTTCTTTGAATACAAGGGTGCTATAATCCATGGTTCGAGTACAAAGAAACAGCGAAATTTTGTCGTTAAATACAACTTGTCACCGGCGTCTTTGGCTGTCTTTGGTGGCCGGTTCCGAGGTCATGTATCATGAATGATTTCTGGGTTGCCTGCCTATTTGTTTGACTACTACGCAATGACCTTAAATTTGTCGAAATGGGCCGGCAAGGAGCACGAGTTCATGTTGAATAAATAGCGAAGAGATGAAAAGGAAAGAGGAAAGAAGAAAAATGTCTTATCATGTTTACATAACGCAAAGTCAATGATCCCAACGGTCTTCAACATTTCGAGTGCCAGTAGCTCGTGTTCGCAGCCTGGTCCTCGTTTTGAGCCAACCATTACTGCATGCAAGACCACTGGATATCTGGATGCTGTTGCCAATGACCCTGCAGAGCCGCATCGATATTGGAGCGCACCCTCACGAACAAAGGAAACCCTGGTCGTCGCCGCCAGAGCAGATAACTCTGGGACATGGACACCACATTCAGCCCATTGCAAACAGCCTTGCGAAGCGTCTAGGAGTGTCGGAAGAGCCTGCATCAGACACTTCTCTTGTTCACCGCATATCTCCACACCGTTCCAACCTTCTTTCTCGCATTCAAGGCTGCGAAATGCACGACAACGGCGACGCTAACATTAACGGAAACGGCTCGGAAGGTGAAGACGAAACGGTGTTTAATGCGGAACGGGTGCCTATTTCGGATTTCATGGCTGAACAGTCGCCCTTTGTGCGTTCATTTTTCTCTCTTTCCAAAGGTTTCCTTGACGATGTACCGCGACTCAGACCAGCCAAAATGCAACAAAGACCTTTCACCTTTCTCGTTCTGCCACTCCCACCGTAAACTCTGGTTCGACACTGGTTCAGATGTCGTCAGACCCACCCACCTCGAATGGCATTTCCAATCCTATTGCCATTCAACGAAAGAGGGTATTACATGAAGATTCCGTTCCTCCACGCGGTTCATCGCAAATCCACGCCGACATTTCGCGTGTGACGCTGACATCTGCTATATCGCGAAATGCCAAGCTCAGACGAGGGTCTCAATCGGAGGATATGGATGGTTTGACGGACAAAGTAGATGCTGTGGTCACGAATGAAGTCAATGAGCTGTTTCGGGATACCCTACAAAAAGTCCAAACAGAACTATGCGAACGGCAAGCAACTGCGTCAGACGATGAATCACCTGCGTCGGCATTCTTGAAGGGCCTGCTTCCCTCTTTAATGGAAGAAGCAAAATCGCGTTCACAGTCTCTCGTTCCGTCGGTTCATGCAACAGAACCAGAAAGACCAAAAGATCTTCCTGCTGCTCCCAAAGCCATGCTTACGAGCCCTGGCGTTCGTCTCGTCGAGTCCATGCTGCAAGCAGGGGCTGACTTGACATTACCAGACGAGGAACCAGATAGCATAATGCATGCTACGCGCATGTCGCGTCCATCATCGTCCTATCATCGGAAAAACATTCCCTCTCATACTGTCCGTTCTGACAGCAGAACTACTCGCAGCTCTCAAGATGATGCTTCCTCGTCCAGACATCGCCGGTATACTTCTGAGCATAAAAATCGCTCGTCTCATCATTCAAAATCACCTCGTCGCTCCTTCTCTCCGGCGAACCGAAAAACTAGTCGGTACGATGCTCGTAGCCCTAGTCCCCGTCGCCATCGGTCCCGTTCACCCCGCGCCTCCACTAATAAGAGATCTACTCGTTATGACCGGAGTCGCAGCCCATACCGAGGGCGTCCAGAAAAGAAAACTCATCATAGAGACTACTCTGATCGGTCTCCTCGAAGATACAGTTACAGCGACCGGAATCACAGCGTATCATCTAAGCACGAGTCAACAAGATACGATCGAAGGCGCCAAGATTCCGAATACTCTCGGCGTCCATACCGCGAATCGCTATCGCCAGAACGAGGAGTCCGATCCCACCGTGATTCCCAATGGATACCAGAAGACGAGACCGAACACATGGTGTATGATGAACCAGAACCCATGCACGATCTCCATGACGTTTCTGATGTCCCGGGAGTGTGGGCTTTCCAGGTCTCTCGGGATTTTCCAGACATTTTGGAATATTCTTTCAATGTTAGCGAGGAAATTGCTGCAAAATGGAATCTCATAAGAGAGTGCGTCTTTCCATCTGCATGTTGTTTACAAGTCCATCCTGATGAATGCTTCAACAAAACAGGAACAACTGGGTCATGGCAGAAAGAGAAACAAGAGATGAATTGTTCTTACACCTTATATGTCTCCCTACTGCACTTGCTGCCCCGATGCTTGATTCTCTCTTAACAGAAATATCACAAGAACCAAAAACTCTTACAGATGCTCTTTGGAGCATACAGACAGAATGGCCAGGGCGAGGATCCCTTATCATTGAAATAAATCCTGGAAAACCAACAGGCAAAGTCTTTTTCCCTGGTGATGATCCTGTTCGTGACCCTGCCATGACTTTTCTTGACATTACTGACCCTAAGTCTTGTCAGCGTAACATACACAATCCTCTGGAAATTACTCACACAATTCGGGAAGGTGTGAATACTATTCGTTTTATTCAGCTGGCGGACATGGATAAATCATTCTTCCTTCTTGCCTCTCATCGAGATATTCCTACTCTTGATTTGACAGCACTGGATGAGATTCTGCAATTTCGGACGCCATGACTTACCCATTGTTCATTCCGCATTACTTATCATTATTGCGTTGTGTTTGCTTTATCATATGTATATCAGAGTACCTAGTAGTAATCTGTAGTTATAATTGAGCCTTAGATCAACAGAAGTGGGACAGTGAAGATGCACATACCTCTATCCTGGTAGATCTAAAGGGTAGGGTCTAATGATTAGGAAGTGTATAACAACATCTAAATGCTAAGAGGTAGGCTCGGGGACGAGGAAACCAACCATACACGCGTCGAGCATGAAGTCGACGTTGACCCATGCATGTGTTAGCCCTGGGTACGATACTTAAGGCCAAGAACAACGAAGAACTGAGGAGACGAACCGAAAAGCTTTGTCCCATCTCGTCCAGCAACGCGCATGAGTTCTTTCTCCCCTCCCGGGTGAAACGCAAGATAAGGCGTTATATTATACACCTTTCCATTAAACGCAGACCAGGCATCGTCCCGTGTATTATGTTGTTTCAATACAGATGGCGGGATTCGCATGAGAGTATCGACGCCCTACGAAGCTGCGTGAGTTGTGTTGTACGTCAATGCTGTTGAGCAACCTACTCTCAGATCCTCGCCGGAAGACTTGAGCTTTGCCCAATCAAGCGAGCTATGTCCAGGGGCTAAGGCTACCTTCTCTCTCTTCGCAGACGGTCGCACAGGCGGCTTGGTCGTCGTAGGAGGAACAGCAAGGGAGTTGGACGCTTTCGCGACCCCAGGAGTCCGGACGGCTAGCTGAGATAAAGGCGGTGGAGGCATTAGCGCTGTATCTGAAAGGAACTTTGGAATGCTAGACGATTGGGCTCTCTGGGCGCTGTCCCGGCTGGGGAAAGCTGGTGGAACATCCAAATCTCTCTCAGTCTCAGTAGCATCGCCATCGTCGCCATCGTCAGACAATGAAGGAGAAACTGTGCGAATCTCTGGGGTGGGTAGGGGAGAAAGAGAAGGAGCTGGCTGAGGAGCAAGCCAGCTACGAAGGTAAGCCGCCATCTGTGAGTCAGATCTAGAGTTTCGAATTCGAAATTCCAATATTTATTTATCATTGCGAGCAGAATATAACATATGACTCATAGTTTACGGTAGCTACTTACAGTCAGGCCCGAGGCTCCACAGTTATCTCATCGTCGGGTGATTTTCGTAGTAATTCGCCGTCATCAACATACAGTGAGCGGTGGGCGTCATGAGCAATGAGTTCCTCTACAGACACTGCTCTCTTCCCTCGGAGGAAAATGGTACCTCCCGGAGCGTCCTGCAACGACCGAAGGATGACATCTTTTTCGAACAGGTACTTTATATCTTCGAGGGCGTATCCAGACGTCTCCGGGAGGAACGCATATGACCAGATCGTCATGATGACACAACAAATACCGAAAAGAAGGAAAGTGCCGTATGTGATTTCATTCAGCATGATAGGCGTGAGTTTCGAGATCGTGAAGGAGAAGAGCCAGTTGACACCGATAGCGAGAGACAGTGCAATGGTACGAAGATGATTAGGGGCAACTTCCCCGGCAATCACCCAGGGAAGAGGTCCGAAGCCGATGCAGTAGGCCACAGCATAGAGGTATACAGCCACGATAGAGACGTAGCTCGCGGGAACCACTGTCCCAGAGGTGTGGATGGCGCTATACCCGCCGACCCAAAGCATCGTCACAGCTTGCCCTATTCCGCCGATGATGAGGCATCTCTTTCTTCCTATGCCTTCAACGGCGAAAGCTAATACAGCAGCAACTGCGACAACCTAACAGAAACTGTCAGACATCCAAGTGTATGTATCAAATTAGCCACAAACCTTGACGACGCCATAGATACCTAGCAAAAGCCGTTTGAGCATCTATTCACCAACAACCAGTGCACCTAATACTCGTACCTGTAGCAAAAAGGCCGGAGGTGGTACCCGATATTCCAAGACTTGCGAAGATTTGAGGACTAAAGTAATTGATGGCATTCGTACCTGTCCATTGCTGGAAGAACATGACCAAGGAAGGGATAAAGCACCGCAAGGCGATGGACCGTGACTCCCCCATTAGCACAAACTGACTCAGCAAAGACAGCTTCTGTTTGCCCTCGAAATCGCTCTTAATCTCCTCTAGCGTTTCTTGGACTGTTTCATCATCGACTGATTTCCTTGCGACAAAGGCAAGTGTTCGGGCAGCACGGTCATACTGTTGGCGCTCGACTAGCCATCGCGGTGATTCCGGTTGGAACAGCATGGCTATAGTGAAAAGCACTCCAGGAACCATCCTATAAGGAAACACGTTAAACTGCACGTCTTCGAGTCAGTCCAAAGATAGACGTACTGCACGATGAAAGGCACGCGCCATTGCATCTCTCCATGCGGTATATCCTTCGAAGCGCTATAGTTGACCCAGACTGAAACGCGATAAGGACTTTTGCTCACTGACCACCAGCCGTTCTAGCCACTTACAGCTAAGCATGATCCCAATATTATTCGCGAGCTGGATCATCCCGGTACATCTTCCCCGAATAACTCGTGGAGTGCATTCCGAAATGTATGCCGGAACGAGGGCCGAAACCATTCCAACACCTACGCCACCCACAAATCGGCTAAAGTACAGGACGCGGAGTCCGACTTTTTGAGAACTTCCAAGTCCAACGACGGATTGGATCAAGCTGCCAATGAGATATATGATGCCGGATGCAATCAGACAGGGCTTGCGTCCAAAGCGGCCTGAGAAGTAGCCCATCGCAAGGGCTCCGAAGCTACGACGTCGACATGTATTAGCATAGGGCTGATGGATTTACGTGCACGACTGACAAACATCCACCCTGCAATACAGATACAATATTACCACTCAGGTCCGCTTTGACGGATGCAGATGCTTTGTCTAAGCCGAAATATTCCTGGAAAGAGGCAAGAGAAAGAACACCCCCGATGAGACCACTGTATTGACAGTCAGACTATATTGTTACTATGTGATAGCATGAGGACAACAACTTACATATCCCATCCGTAGAAAATGCTTCCCATAGCTCCCGAGAGAGCCAATACATACGCATTACGATACTGGGAAATCAGCACAAGCTCGTCTTTCAACATTTGAGAGAGGCGACCAAGGGCGGGAAGATGACGAGAAGAGACGCAGGGGGCGACAAGTTACTTAAGCATTTACATGGTTTTATCCATCATATTCGTGCTTCTTGTCAGGTGGATAGAAAAAGGGATAAAATAGGGATGGGGAGCTGAGAAGCAAATGAGAAGAGGTAGAAACCGGCCCGCAGATAGCTGCGGAGAACACCATCATTATCATACCAGTTTTAAGATCAAGGAAGAAATCGAATTGTTTGCATCAATTAGGATACAGTACAGCTATATAGAAAGCGTCGAACATTTGACAGACGAATTGGAGACCTTCGTGGAGGAGTTATATAGGCGAGAAGAAGGCGGAGAAACCGTAATGAAAGTATGTAATAAGTCAAGAGAACGACGAAACAACATTCGAACAGCTTGGAATAAATATTATTATTACAAAGAGGAAAAAGATTCTGGAGAACGAGAACAGCAAAAACAGACAGACAGATAGATCGTGAATAGAAATCGACTTATAGAAATAGAATTGACCGTCCGTCCGCGAATCCCATACCAAACGTCGGCGCGGATATACATAGTCGGCGGATAACTCCTTCGTTAGCGGTCGTTATTTGATCATAAACAAGACCTTTAATAGATATCTGCAAGGTTTGAAGAGATGATGATGCTGGGGGGTACAGATGACTTTGGATGGAGGATGGGGAATGGTGGTTGTGATGTTGTTTGTGCTGATGATACAACTTGTTAGTGTAGTCCGCTTGATTGATACAACATAGCAGGCAGAAGGAGGAACGATGAAGCGAAAGGGACACATGAGGGCCGGTTGGAAACGAGAGACGCGGTCGAGCGTATGGCCAGGATGGCACACACGAGAGTCTATACACCATCAAATGTGGCTAGAAAATAAATATGAGAGAGAAAAGCAGATGCACTTTGCATTAACTCTTCAACAAATCGATTCCTGCACCCAGGCCTCGGTCGTCCGGTCTCTTCATATGACCACTTTGCATTCCCAGACGCATTTGTTCTCCCTCAAACAACTTTCTTCCAACGTCAGCACGCAAGCCGGTTAATCTGTTGTGTTGGGGGTAGCCTCGGGATGGTGAAGGAGACGCATTAATAAAATCATGGAAGTTGAAATCATGGGCTGATCCTGGTCTTGGGCTACCATCAACTGACTTCCGGCGGCCTGATGGACTCGACGGAACGGACGTTTGCGGGGGAAAAGACGGAGGTGGAAGGAGCTGAGAAGGTGTAGACGAACGATTCGTTGATCTATCGATGCTTGGAATGGAATCGCGTCGCCCACCCAAATCGCTTCCAATGCTGGAGATGCTAGACGTAAAGCTGCTTTCTCCACCGCGGGATAGCCCAGACCCTGACCCACGAGGATTGGCCCTGCCCGCATCTTGACTGTTTGGTTCACCGGGAGCGGTGGGAAACAAAACCCGGCCCTTGGCCCGCAACACTCCCGCGCCGCCTCCTAATGTACGATACGCGGCCATGTCCTTGGCGTCCTTATTGGACGGACGCGCAGGCGACGGGGATGTTGCTAGGAACAACATTAGATCCGCAGCTTCATTGTCAGTAGGTGCTGGTCGTGGCGCTGTTTGCTGAGCCGGGGGCGCACTCGACATGGGAGGTGTCTTATCGCGATAGGAACCAACAGAAATGGTAGACGTCGAAGCGAGACTGGAGGATGGAGGTGGACCCGTATTGGGAAAGCCCCGAGCAGAACTCTGAGTATACTGTGAATATGATGGAGTGGACCCGGCGTCTGATCCGTCGAAACTCGAGCGTGGTGAAGACACACTGCCAGATATTGACGGTCGGTGGTGCAGAAGCAGAGAAGTCAGAGTCTGAGCAGCCTTCATATCAACATCGCCGTCTGCGTCAAGGTCACCACGATCCGCATCGCCTCCCGATGTCCTAGCTCGGTGCTTGCCTTTGCTCGATCCAGCTCCGTCAGGGCGATGACTTTTAGAATGTGCACGCGTTCCCTCTGCGATGCTTCGCGCTACCCTGCCGCCCTGTGTCTGAGGGGACGGAGCAGGTCGTATAGGAGGAGCAACGGGTGGATCGTTAGCGTTCAGGATGGTGCGCGCCTGCTGCGTAGGCGGTGGTGCCAAGATAGATGTGAAGAGAGTCGGCCCACCGACTGACTGTCGCGACGTGCTGCTGCTGGGATCCCCTGCATTTGTAGGAGTACCATTGGCACCCAAAAAACTGCCGCGCGACGAGAGCCCGGCTGTCAGCGTGATCGGACCCGAAGTACCCCTTCGAAGAGGACTGCTAGTAGTACTTGCGCCACCCATTCCATGAGTAGCTAGATTGGCGTGGTAGCTGCTGGCCATCGGTGGCTTGCGTCTGGCGGTGTTGCTGCGGGCGAAGGTGGACGAATTGCCTGGAGACTGGCTCTGCGATTCAAAGTCACGTAAAGAGGCATTGGGGGCGTTGTTGGTAGTTTTGTAGGAGGCATAGGATAAGCGTGTTCGCAGTGCACGGGTAACCTGTTCAAGAGACATAGGAGGCGTTAGCATATATACAGAAATTTTAGGACAACGAGAGAGAAAAAACAGAGAAATAGAATGCTGGAGCCAGAAAATGAAGTATGAAGGAGCTCCGACCAGGGGAATGTGCTCATCACAGCAGATCAAACGACGCGTCTGGGAGACGAACAGCAACGAGTACCTACGTTTGAAAGCTCGGCTCTGGCTAGAAATTTCTGAACGGCTTTTTTCTTGTGCTCTCTGTCGAAGGCCTCTGTAGGCAGCGACCCGGTCGACTGGGATCCGGCAGATGCGTGAGGGATATAAGTCATGGGAGGTGATGGCGACGTGGCGGAAGACGAAGGGGTAGCCATAAACGCGCGTCCACTGCGTTACGCAGTGAAAACAAAGGTAAAAGGACGCTCGTCGCTGTGGACGGCAACGAGAAGAGGAGGTCGGACACTGGGCGTGGTGGGCACGAACGATGAGTAAAAGTCGATTCAGAATCGGACCAAACGCGAGTGACGCGCCATATCGGAGCTTGCCGTTTTTACCCAGTTTCACCAATTTTCCGCTGAAGTACAGCCGAAAAGGTTTTCCCTTGGAAACTCCTTTTTATTCATATTTGCCATCCTGCGACGGAGCCGGAGCTTGACTGCGCTACGGTCGTTACGGTCTGCATTTCCTCCCAATACCATTTGGGCAGAAAGCCCACCCTTTCCTCCCCGTTCACAACCTCGTCCACGAGGTTATCAGTCAGCTTCATAATCGTCACACCCTCTTTCGGCACAAACTTCACTCGCCATACGGACGCTTTTTCGGCAACATTTTCTTGGAGAATCTTCTTAAGAAACGTTAATATCTCCTCGCCCCAATTCAAACATATTGATGGTTCCCAGGAACCTGGCTTTCCTCGTACTAGACGGGGTATTTTTGTCGTGTCGAAGGACTGAAGAGTGGTCACCTGGATCATTATTATTAATAAGTGCCTGAGAGCGAAAACCTGGTCATCACCTCTCCAGACGGTGTTCGAAATCCGACAGCGATCTCCTTGACATTATGAAAAACGATGTTCTTGAGCTGAACGCCATAATACGTCTTGGTAACTCACCGGTACCCCGAGGAGAAATGATTGGAAATAAAACTTGAGTAATTTCCTGTCATGCCGTCAGCTCGCTGATGAGATGAAATACGCAAAGAAATGACTCGCTTTTCGAATTTTGCTTCATCATGGGGACCGCGTATCGCTAAAGAAGTCTTGAGTTCTACGAATGAGTCGGTTGTTCCGTTGTATCTGTCTGTGGCATGACGATGAATTCAAGCATGCGAAGCTTGGAGACACAAAAACCTCGAACGCAATCAACCTCGCCTCCAATAATGAGTCGACTATTGCCAAGCTTGGTCCGCACGACGCTACACCATTGCACGTTGGTATCCACGACTCCTCCCCACCCTGGCGGATCTTTAGAACCTGGTTTCGGGGGAAGCCTACGAGGGGTCGCCGATGTTCCGTATGACTCAAAGGCATAGCCAAAATAAGACTGCTTTCGATGTCGGGGTTCCATATTTTCCCTGATGTACTCTGGTTAACGGTCGTATTACTGATAAAGAAGACCACTGACTTTTCACTGAGCTTCTGATTGGATATATGCTCTTCGAAATACATGGTGCCATTGATATACATGACATTTAATTCCCAGCTATCGCGATCCTCGTAAGGAGCCGTTAGAATCCTGGAGAACGATTTAAGACAATACAACGGAGGGGAGACGCGACGCGATTTACCTGGTCATTACCCCGCGCCACGAAATGACGGCTACGTCGTCCAGGGGGACTTTCCCCTGGCTCTTCACCCGGCTAAAGGCTTTCAAGAGGCCGTCAATGCGGCCTTTCTCTTCCGGGCGTCGTATCCAATTCTCATATCCATAAGACAATTGAGCACCAATGGGCGGATCAACAAAGTATCGCAGGGCCAAGTCATTGAACTCTAAAGTCCGAGATGGCGTATACGAGAATGAAATGATTGGCATGGGCTTCTGGAACGGTGTCGGTGGTTTAGCATGAGAAAGAGTGAGATCCGGGTATGAGATAGAGTTGGTATCTTCCAAGTGTCGCGATTTAGTCCCACGAGATATTTCAGGTTCATCGTGTAGTTCTGAGGCCTTTCTTTTTGACATGGAATAGTTCAAGTCGAAGTCGAGATTTCCAAATTAGTCTCGGGTCAAATGCGGAAGATCAATACCGTGACTAGGAATATTTTTCCCACCAGTACTTACCGTCCAAAATTTTATGTGAACCTAATCACAATTGTACAGGTCCAGAGCCGTACCACTCAGGCTAATGCTTTTAGAACCGTCTAACAAACGGTTGATCTTATGGCCGCGATGCTTTCTGTTCGGTCGTTATTTGAGATCCTTAAACTTTCCTTCGCATCGGGTTCGTTCTTATCGCACTAGTACGTTCTCGTTGACTGGCTGGTGCTCGTATCTAATAATTTATATGTCTAGAACTCAGCCTCGCATCAAATTTTTGTCGGTATTATTTGATCAAGTTTTGCCACATCATCCTAAGTTCTTACTTCCCATACGTGTGTATTCAGAAATACTTGCTCACGATACCTTCATTGTCTCGAGGGCTTGCTGTGCTTATCTTCTCAGGTCAATGTGCTATGACCGTGATACCACAGCCGCTATGGCCAGAAGTGCGTTGTCTTCATTGTACCGATGTTAACTCACGTCTCGTCATTTGCATAGAACCATGGTAGGGTCGCGTTTGACATTGATACACACTCATTACTTAAGTATTCATCATCAACTAAAAGTCTTTAGATGCATTCATATCAGGATTCAGACGCGAGCACCTCAAACAAAGACCATTGTTCTCTAGTCGGGTCGTCCTGAAATGGCTATGTCTTTTTCTACCCTGTCCATCCTTTGCCACCTTCATTGTCCTCCAAGTATAAATAAGAGGGCTCCCAAATCCCCCCCATCACTTGTTCCACCACCCACCTACTCTCGTTGACGCCACTCTTTTACTTTTCTCTGCCCACCTCTCCCTTCAATTTCACAACATGTTTTGTACGTCGTGCTTTTACCTCATGTACGCCCTTTCACTAATGCCACTTCTCATTCAGTCAAAAAGAGACCCCTCCCTGCTTCCCAGCTCCCAAAAGGCTGCCCCTCACACCTTCACACCCAATGCAAAGCATGCGGTCATTATAATTCACCGCAGGCTGCCAAAGGCCGGTACACATGCTTGAAGTGTCACCAAGGCACCTATTATGTGGACTCTCTAATTGCCAAGGCGTCTGAGAAAGAAATCCTCAAGCAACACGAAAAAGAACGCGAAGCGAGGCGCAAGGACGAGAGAATACGTCGAGAAGCAGAGGCCCGTGCTGCTGAACGCGCAGCTGCCGCAATAGCAATCCGAAAGCAACATGTGGCGCAGCAGCTCCAGCAAGAGAGGACGGAGAGAGTCGCAGCCAGCCCGACTGCACCCTTGGAACGCCGACCTGCTCAACGGAAGCGCGCTCCTTCTGCTGCCAAGGCTCCCTGGACACCGTCTCAAACCGACCCTCCGCGCTATGCTTCCCAGAGAATGTTCGTGCCAGCGACATATCCACTGAATGGATCTCCTGCACGCCCGCTTCCCCCCTTGCCTGCTTCTAGCTCCGTATGGCTATAACGAAGTTGTAAGCAATCCTGTCTTTTGTTTTGTTAATGCGCACTGATCGTATAAGTAAATTGTACAGGGAATCACTTGCGCTTCTGGACGTGTTCGTTGATATTTCTGCTCTTGCTGGCCGAGTCTGTTTTCTGCTTCCTACTATTTCGCATTGGTTTGCACTGCTTGTACGCACGATCGTCTGGTATCTTAATTATTCACGATTGACTCGTGATTTTCATACATACTGTGTGAATGTTCCGCCTCGTGAATGCAGCCTCAAGTTCATCTCGGCACATAAAACTCATGACTACATGCCGCGAGGTGTAATAGTTTCGCCTTAAGAGCGCACACCTTCCTCATTCTCCGACTTCAACATCACTAAATTTCTGACCTCGCGAATATCCTAGTCAGTACTTGTTGTTTGTAGGTCCAGTGTTGTGCCGAATTTCTGAAATTGGAAGCTGTGTTCTTCTTGTCACTGCAAGCTGGTTATCGCCTCAGACACCGACACTTCGAAAGGTGACCGTGCGTGCAGCGGTTTCGATCGACCATGTCACTTGGAAAACGTCCCTCCACCGCATGTTCGCCGAGTGGTCTGTATAAGTGGAGGACCTCCACACAATGCGCCCAAGTCCTACGTTGATCTCCTTCAAAATGGCCTCTACCTTTTCGTTCCCAGTCATGATGATTAACCACGAAACCCCAGATTTTGATAATCTTCTGGACATGCCTCCTCCGGAAAAACAGCCCCAGTCGCGCGATAAGCGGCAAATAGGAACAATAAAGAACGGTATGAATATGAATGGATTATTAGAGTCGTACACAGGGCTCAAATATCTTTACAGACATTGGACGCACTGGCAAGCTCGCTCCGCGTATTGAACAATGCCACAGAGAAATGAAGAAAGTTACGGGAATGATATCAGACCGCCTGAAGGAGGCAAATACCAAGGCGGCGGACGACCAGCGTCGTATCGAAGAGCTGCAATCGCTTCTCGCAGAAGCTAGAGGTGCTGCGGAACTGTCAAACAGTAGGGCGGGTGCTCAGGAAGACGAGATCAGGGACCTGCGGCGTCAGCTAGAAGACCTTCAGCGAGAGCGCGCCCAGGATTCTGTGACTCAGTTCCACCTCGCCCGAGTTGAACAACAGGCAGATGGTTTAAGGGAGGAGAAAGAGAAGCAGGCTAGGGAGCTAGAAGCACTGCGAGCTGCGTTGGAGGATTCTCGGAAGAAAGAAGTCAGCCGGTCCAGGCAGATTGAAGACGCGCAAAAATTGCACCGCAGGGCGACCCATGACCGCACTCAGGTGCTGGAAATTCTTGAAGCCAGACTCGATGAGGCGAGAAGGGAGGTGCTGGATATCAGGAAGCAGATGGAGGAGCTGTTGCTGGAGACGGAGAGCAGGATTAGCGAGGCAGAGAACAGAGGTCGGCAACTACAGCTCAGAGATCTTCGAGCTCTGTCGCCCAAGGCCATGTGGGCGTTTCTTGGATTCCAGCAGCCGCGCATGTGGTGGATGGGATCAAATTAAGCTGCCAGGCACTGTCGATCGCGAAAGTTATTTATATACGTTACGGTGGTAGTACAATTCTCATTACTTGTCTGTACTTGTTTCACTTTTTCCCGGAATATCTGGTATGCTCGTCATCGTCGGTTATTCGTGATGGTCTAACCGGCCCCACCTTTGTTTAACCTGGGTCGTACCTGGATCCCAGTGGCCGCCCTTGATAGTGGCGGTATTTATTTAAGAAAGACAGCTAGCACCACCGTCGGAACTGTGACAATGACCGATGCTACGACCAAGTCAAAGTATGGGCGGGTTTCCTGGGGCGATATCCTGAGCATGGCAAAGATTCTGGCACCCTTGCGTATGTACAGTCATATGATTCGTCGCAGTCCTTTTCTGATATTAACATATGCAGCCTTCCTGCTCTGTTGGAACTTCCTATTGTCTCCCTTCGTCAAGCACTTGCAGCACAAAACGTGGCTTCGTGTCATCAGTGATTGTTCGGCTCACCAGCTCACCACTTTGAGTTTTGCCCAACTTCAGTATGCACTGGGAGATTCTGCCACCGTGTACAACAAGTTCATCAACCAAGCCCGTTTAACGCCTCTCATCGAGGAACTAGATGGCGGCGTACAACTCGCATGGGTAGGTCCAAAGCGAACGGACCGCGTGGTGCTTTACCTTCATGGTACGTTTGTCTATCTTTGCAAGACGAAATTCACCAACTTACGGTGCCAGGTGGCGGATACACTTCGTTTGCACCCCCATCCGGGCTCACCTTCTTCAGATATATTCAGCTTGAATTAGAGAAGAAGGGCATAGAAGCTGGACTTGCGGTTCTGCTGTACAGTAAGTGAATGTGTATCTGATTGCTTTAATCACATTCATCAACGCCCCCAGGCCTTTTACCGGATGCCAGTTATCCTACCCCACTCCGCGAGATGCGAACAGCAGTAGACTACCTACTCGATTCCGGAGTTGCCCCAAAGAACCTCATCTTTACAAGCGACTCGGCGGGAGGGAACCTTACTCTAGCCTTCTTCTCGCACATTCTGCACCCTCATCCCACCGTTGAACCATTCAGCCTCCCATCAGGTTCTCGCTTCGGTGGCGCTTTCTTCTTATCACCATGGGTATCTTTAGCTGGGGATGACGTTCCCAATTCTTATGACAAAAACGGCCCCGTCGATGTCACCAGTGCGGCTACCCTCCGCGCGTGGGGCCATTATGCTCTTGAGGGTGTACCCGGGACCGAAATCAATTACATGGAGCCCATCAAGACCCCCGACGGATGGTACGAGGGTACGGATCAATTGGTGGATAACGTCTTTATTTCTGTTGGGGAGTTTGAGTGTTTGAGGGATTCTATTCTCACTTTCTACGAGAAAAAGTTCAAGCAATATGCTGGTCGCAGCCAGTTATACGTCCAGAAAGGAGGTGTTCACGTAGATCCCTTCTATGATTTTTTCTTCGTAGCCTCACCCAAAAAGACGGGGGAACTGACGTCGAAAGTCGTTAATTGGTTAGCTGATTCCTTCGAAACCGAATGATAGTCCGCATAATTTATTCAGATCGCGTATTATCCTTATATACGTATACGAGCGAAGATATGCAAACGAGATCCAGCGCCGATGTATTGATAATACAAAATGAGGTATAGAACAATAAATACAATGGTGTTCGTCAGAGTTCGTGCAAGACCATGATAGATGCAATCTACGTGAGGACTCTCTTCAGTCCCTCCTGCTGTGTTGGTGTTAATCTGTCAGGGAATTGAACATCCCACTTGACAATCAAATCGCCTTTGCTCTTTACACTGCCGTCCTTCCGAATCGGCATTCCCTCGCCGGGTAACGTCGTTTCTTGCCCTGGTTTGACGATCCCCCCTGGCACAGATACTTGAAGCTTCCTTCCATCAAGTAACTCCACGACCTTCTTTCCGCCCTCGCCGGTCAAAGCATCTAGGAGCGAAATAGGTACTCGTCTCACGAGGTCATTGCCTTCTCGGGAAAATACCTCGTCTGGCTTCTCCTCGACGACGAACACGAGATCCTGTGGCTCGCCATTCGGCTGCTCATTACCGGCACGAGCGAAGCGGACCTTTGTACCACTCTTCCAGCCTGGATGTATTTGGATGTCATACACCTTTTCTTCTGTCGACCCGTTAAGCAGTCGCCGTCCAACCTTGAGATGCTTGACCGTGCCGGAATAGAGCTCTTTGAGGGAGACGCGAAGAGGGCGAGTTATTTCTGAGGGTGCAGATGACGTCGATGAACGTGCTTGCGTCCGGGGCATGTTTGGCATTCCACTGGAGAAGTTGAACGAGCCAGTCATATCGTCATCCTCGTCGAAGCCCCGTGTCCGTCTTCGGGTACCTCCCATGCCTGGCATACCACCCATGCCGCCTGGCATACCACCCATACCACCCGTGGAACTGCGGCCCGACATGCCGCCGAGGTTGAAGATACCACCACCACCACCGAATATTTGCCTAGAAGGATATTAGCATCACGAAATCAAAGTTGGAAGATTGTAGACTTACTCAAATATCTTATTGGGGTCACTCGGTGCGAAACCAGATCCGCCACTACTCGAGCTAAAACCACCGCCAGGTCCGCTTGTGAACGAGAATGACTGAGCCCCGGGGAATCCACTGAAGTTGAAACCTCCGGGACCAGCCCCTTGCGAACCTCCACCCTTGAGGCCCTCTTCACCGAACTGGTCGTATATAGCCCGTTTGTTTTTGTCACTCAAGACTTCGAAGGCTTCAGAGATCTGCAAATAATAAAAAGAAAGATAAGGTGAGCTGGAATCCGTCACACGACAAGGAGCGAGACTTAACCTGTTTAAATTTTTTTGATGCCTCTTCGGAGCCACCATTACGATCCGGATGCCATTTCAGAGCCTAAAGGATGGTTTTGTTAGTCAAGGCGGAAAAGGAGGGAAAGAAATGATACGACATACCATCTTCTTGTAGGCCTTCTTGATTTCGTTCTCGTCGGCATTCCTGTCAACGCCCAAAAGTTTGTAGTAGTCGACACCCATGGTAAACGTTAGGTTGAAGTATTACAGTTGGAAGTAGGAAGGATGTCTGAATTTATTAGAGACTTGGGCCTACTAGCAAAGTAACGAACATTAGGGAACATACCAGAAAGTTCCTATGACATCATATTCACGTGATCAATTTGCGCAATTTCGGATCCCCGTTGCCGAAGTCCGGACCCGACAAACGTTTCATTCGACGCCGTTGGTAATTATGAGCACACCAAATCCACGGCCACCCAAGAATCCTCTCAATGTCGAACGTCCGGAATCCCTTGTTCGACGGTCGTGGCATGTAATGACAGACATGCTATCGCCTTTTTCTGCATCGGCCCTGGCGACCTTACCCAACGCTCAGCGACCTCAGCGATACACTCGTGCAGATGCCATTCCAGAGACAGAAAATGACGAAGATGGACAGCGACCGACCATTAGAGACTATCATGCTATCAACTCGCTGCCCCCGATGGTCCGAGTACCTAAGAAGATTGCGACCCCGGTCAGGGTGGAAGGGAAGGTCTGGTTCGCGAACGAGAGGAGCAAGTCATTGTCACTATCTCGACTAGCACCGCGCTAATAACGTTCATCTCAGCCTGGGTGTCTTGGTTGAACCTATCGATATTAATTGGAACACTGGCCCTGGCCCTCTTCAATGCTTCCCAAGATGACATAGCGCGCAATTTTGCTTATGCCTACGCTCTAATCAGTGCCGGGGTCCTAGTAAGTGATGTTAGACTGCATCGGAACCGTTTTGGCTTATCACATGAAGGTCTACGCCTATCTGTTGTATCAGCACCGGATTACCATGATTCGGAGAAGAGATCCGGGGCATTTCGGTTAGTCCTGGAATGTCGTAGTCATCCATTTCTGTTCATGATTTTCGTTTCAGACGCAATCATTGGGCCCCTTGTCATCAGCGCTCTCCTTTTCTTCGCTATCTTTGCCAACTTTTTTATCCGAGGTATGTTCACGCGACTGTTATGAACGCATGTCATTGATGCATTTACTCGTGTCAGTCCGTGAACTGTAAGGGCCTTCGTTCATCAGTCATTCATTTAATTGACCATTATTCGCCTTATCCTTCAGTCGCGAAAAGAACGTCCCCATTCCTGGGGCAGGTTTCATATCTACCATCACACAGAATTGGTACCCACTGAGTGCAGGCGATCGCAATAGTTCGCTTTTCTCTTTGCAGCAAGAGTCATGATGTAACTTTCTCGCGCTGTTTTCGCGGGTTTGTGGTATCATAACAATTGTCAATGAAATTCTCGAACCTCGTCGTTCTCTGCTATTGCTTGGTCCACGTAATCTGCCTAGACTTCATTTGACGACGTCCCGCTCCGATGATCCTGATCCCCTGGGCCTCGAGGTACATACATCATCATGAATCTAATATCGCCGCCACAACCAATCAGGGCAGGCAGACAATTTAACTACCGGAGGTTAGATCAATTTCTCGTACTGTGCATGGTGTCTATCTCGTTACGGTATGGTGTAGATTGAGTCACTCGATATTGGCTGTGCTCTTGTGTGCCCGGATCCGAGTCTCTATCCTAGCCAAATGGTGTTATTTTCATTGCATGGACAACGTTTAGGGTCTATGTGGTGGAAACTATAGCGGGTTCATATTCTACGACTGATTAAGATGATTAAGGTATTATGTACGGTAGTACTAATGGTGCAGTATGCCTGCTTTAATGCTATAGGCAAGCCCGGTCAACTGGCCGGTCTGTAGCGACAAAGACCAGGTTGACAATGCGCCGACTATCCACATATGGATCCGACGATTGGGATTCGATTCTGGGTATCAAGGTCAGTTTTATATACACGTCTGAATAAATAGCTTATCACTTACATGACGGTCACCGTTTTATGCCTTTCGAATTCTGAAAGGCGAGATGTCCCCGGTTGGGATTTTTGTATTCCGCTTATAACATAGGCGCCACCGAAGCAGCCATTCTGTGGGGCAAATGAAGTCAGAACCAAGTCATTTCGGTTTAAGCAAGGGAAAACCGACGACGAACACGATTAGTTGGCTCTCTCGGTACATCTAGTGCCTGTTTCCAGTGGACTTGCAGGCCCTTCTTGGATCCTCCACGCATTGCGGTGACAAGTTGGATAATTCCCTCGTACCCCAGCCTCGACCCATTAAGAGTAGCTTCGACGTTGGGTGCAAATGTATTTGAGATCGCGCGCAGCGACTCTTCGAGGGTGGGTGCCTCGAATACGTCGCTGATATGCCGGTAGGACCACTCTGTCAGCGAGGACATTGTCGAGGGCTGAACAAAAGTTTGTGGTTCCATATCGGACGAGGCAGTGAGTTGGGAGGGGGGGAAAAGGGATGGGGAATGGGTCTACCGGGTAGATAGCCCAGGCCACATTTATATCTTTTCTGGGGCCCTGAGAAAGGAAAGTGAAATGAAAATCGCATCTAAGCACTTAACGTCTCAATCGAAAGGCGTTAGTCCGATCCATCTGGACATAAATAATGTCTGATCCGGAGTAGCTTTGCAGCGTCAAGTTGGACCAACGTTGCAACCATGTTTTCGGTCATGCCAAGGTGTCTTACATCGCAACCTGTTCGTGTCATATTGATTCGGCAGCGCCACCCATCGATTAAGGTGGAGGGCTCAGAAGAGCTGCTGACTGGCGCACATGTAGTATTGAGATTCGACTTAGCCAAAGGGGGGTCAACAGAATCGACTACCGCTGATGCCGGCTGGCCAAGGCGATGCTAACATACTCCTGACGTTGTTGCATCCGGTAAAGCTCCATGGGCAGTCTCCAATACGGTGCGATACAAATGATCTGCAGAGTTATGTCACATCAACGATCGGAAGCACTCCGTACATTCTTCATTCTTCAAAAAAATTTGAAGCTCCTCATCGCCGTTAGCTGGACGGGCGTGCGTAGACAGTTGAAGGCTGTCGGTTACGATGGTGCGAATCATGGTGGCGTTAGAGTCAATTAAAACTGGACGGATAATGTCGAGCTTCTTCGCCACAGGACATATTTCAAGCCTTCGGAGATGTATGTGTCCGCTTCCATAGCTTACAATTCCACTGCTAGGGCTATTCAAGGAACGGCAGATTCGAACAGGAAAATTGGCGCACCGGGACCAAACTCGGGCAAAGCGTCGTAGAAACGTCGGGTCCGTTTATTTTTGACATTTATGATTGGCAAGTTGATATTGTCTTGTTTTCTTCCACTTCGCCGCTCGAAGACGAGAAGTATACTTTCGACATCCCGAGCGCCCAGGCGCATAGCGGAATTGAAAAAAACGGAAAAAACTAGTCGACGAGACGGTCGGGACCATTGATAGCCGGACCGTAACGGTAATGTTACAAACCATTGCAACCAGGCTTTCAAAATTCCGCGGGCGCCTGAATTATTTGTAATAAGGCTTGGCTGCAGAATTTTTGGATAACGTTCACCATGTCTTCGTGCTGGCAGGTTAGCTCCTCTACCGCTTCATGCGGATCTGCTACAATGGGTATTCACGTAACCTTTGCCTTCCCGGCTGGTCAGCTGTCCGGTCAGCAGAAAATAGGCTACAAACGTTCTTCTACCCAGTGACCACTCGTACTAGGTTATGGTTCAGTTAAAGAGGGTATATAGAGTCAGTGTGACTCCGCTAACCCCCACCATCACTGCGAAATGACCTTAGAAGGTGGTGATCACGAACGATACGACATAATCTTTGCTGGAGGTGAGCATCATCCCGGCATGTGTAGCTGGAGGTACTCTCCAGTGGATTCGGAGTGGCTCATAATCTAATAATAATAGGCGGTACTGGTGGATGTGTAGCTGCAGGGCGAGTCCTCCATTTGGTTGCTATAATCTTATCCATGGTAATCCCTTCCTGCTTGGCTCATTGACAGACGTCTCGCCGCCGCCGATCCGTCGCTCAAGATACTGGTGACCCTTACGCATTGTTGTACTTTGTGACATGACTCACCTCGTCATGTCAAGGTCCTCGAGGCAGGGCCTCACATTCGGGATGCTCAAGATCATATTCAGCCTGCTCGGTACTTTCGCAACTTGGCCCTCGCGAAAGAAACGTTTACTTTCCATGTTGGAAAGCCCAGCGAGTCTATCGCTGGTCGATCGCCCATTGTCCCTTCGGCTAAATGTGTTGGGGGTGGGTCGGGTGTCAACTGTATGTTTTCCGGCCTATTCTTAAAATACCGTTGGTATTGATACGTGCGTCAGTCGTTATGTATACAAGAGCATCTGCATCGGATTACGATGATTGGGAGAATATTGGGAATCCTGGATGGGGCTCAGATGACTTGATTCCCTTGGCAAGCAGAGTAAGGATGGCTCCATTTGAGGTTTTCGCCGCAGTTTTGACACCAAGCTATTCTCAGGCAGAGAACTATCAATGTGGTACCGGTAACACCCATGGCACGAGTGGACCTATCAGCGTCTCATCCGAAAACCCTGTGGGAGTTTTCGGACAACAATATCTTGCTATTGCAGCTAAATACGATAAAGATCGTGATTTCACTGAGGATCCAAATGATTTCAAGTCGTGCAATGAGTATGGCGTATGTGACACTGTTCTCATATCTTTTACGTCTCACTGATAGTCAAATAGCCATGGCGGAAGTGAGGGCTTCTCGATACGAATTGCATCCACCACTGAAGATTTTCTCAGGTATATCGGTTCGGCATCTGGAAGACGATCTGATACCGCCCACCATTATATCTATAATCAAGAACACAATAGTAACCTGCAGGTGCTAGATAAGAGAAGGGTTATCCGCGTCATATTTGAGTAAGGTTTGATATACCATGAGAATTGCTTCACCACTAAGATTGGAATCCTTAGCAATAAGCGCGCCGTTGGTGTGGAGTATGCGGACGAAGTTGATAATACCGCCGCTGAAATGCCCGATGTTCGGCAAGCCTTCGCGTCGCGTCTGGTAGTTCTTTCAGCGGGAGCCTTTGGCTCACCGTCAATTCTAGAAAGGTACCGTTTTCAAATTGAAACCCCTTTTTTTGTTGCCATCTAATTCATGTAAAACAGATCAGGCATTGGAGCCTCCGAGGTTTTGCAAAGGAATGATATACCTCAACTGGTTGAACTGCCAGGAGTGGGGGAGAACTACAATGGTATATTAACAGTAATGTCCAAACTGACAGCTGATTTATTGTTTCAGACCATAATCTTGTTTTCGTCCCCTACTACGCTGACGAGAGTTCCGATACCCTCGATGATATCTTCCACGGCGACCCAACAGCTATCGCGTGTATGTGCCCTCGATGACCCATCCTGACTCTCTTTGACGAGCACTGAGCTTTAGTTCACGCTGAGCAATGGCGTAAAGATGGGACCGGGTTGATGGCATCCAAGTTGGAATGTTCACTTTCCGTTCCTGACCTATCTGCTGAATCATTCGTTTGGCATAGCGGTATTGACGCTGGGATTAAGATCAGACCTACCGAAAAGGATTTGAAGGTTCTTGGGCCTACCTTCGCCAAACGATGGAACGATTTCTTCTTGAACGCACCGGATAAACCTGTCATGTGGATTGGTCCAGCTTCCGTGTATGTGGAAGACGTCAAACAAGAATGTAAAGCTTACGTGTTATAAGTTACTGTATCACAGATCCCCCTCGGCAGCCTGGGCGCAAGTTTTTCTCTATCGGATACTACACGGTAGGCAAGTTACCGTAATGTCTATTCCCCTTCTAACGATATATACGGAAAGGAATATCCTGCGTCTTTGGGCCGAGTACACATTCAAGCTGGCCTTAATCCGTACGCCCCTCTTGACTTTGAGACTGGCTTCCTCGACGAGTACGTTTCTCTCATCTAGAAAAGTAGATCTCGTCTGATCCAGTCCTTTGCTCAAGTCCCGCCGACTTGGTTGTTCTGAGATGGGCGTATAAGCACGGAAGGGAACTTGCTCGACGCATGGATGCTTATCGCGGCTGTTGTGTACCAGCACATCCTAAATTCCCCAAGGGAAACGAAGCGGCTCTCGAACTCCAAGCTCAAAGTCCAATTGCCGTGTCGGCCCCGGATATCAACTATACGGCAGAAGATGACTTTGCGATTGATGAATACCACCGTCTGAATGGTTAGTAGCCTCATTATCTTGTACTAAATATCCACCGGGGCTAACCTGTACTAATAACGCAAGTTAAAACCGCTTGGCATTCGGTGAGATATATTACACTGAACAAGAGGAGAAAGTCTGATAATGACACAGCTTGGAACTTGTGCAATGAAGCGGCGCAGCGAACGCGGGGTCGTCGACTCGCATCTCAACGTCTATGGTGTGGAGAACCTTAAGGTCGTGGATATGAGCATTGCGCCATCCAACGTCGGCGCGAACACTTACAACACCGCGTTAGTCATCGGAGAGAAAGCAGCATTGATTATCGGAGGAGAGTTAGGGATTAAAGGCATTTAGCGCTACAGATCCCTTAACTTAGGTATTAGGCAGAACTCAGCTGTACTTCGTAATGACAACACGCACTGAGCGGCGAGCGCGTCGTCAAAGTTTATCCTTGTTTTTAGTTTTGACGCGTGACATCACGCGTTTCTTGTCACACCTGCCAACTCTTCCACCACTCTACCATCGTCAAGTTCTCTGTTTCTGTCTAGCCGTCCATTATGTCGCTCTGGGTCGACCAAGTAATTAAATTATTCTAAGTTCTCAACCTTTGCCTAACTCGCCACCAAGTACCGCCCTAGGGCCCTCGATGACCTCCACTATCACCAAGGACTCTCGACCCGCCTAAAGGCCCTCGTACGCATGCCCTCAATGCAGAACTTCCTAATGATTATTCAAACATTGTTTAGGCTTCCTCTGGAGACTTTCCTCACATGTTATTCTACGGTCCATCTGGTGCTGGGAAGAAGACGCGTATAACCTGTACGTTGAGGCAGTTGTTTGGACCTGGAGTAGAGAAGGTCTGTGCTGTGCCATTTCATCCAATTTATGTACTCATACCTTCTTTATAATAGCTCAAAATTGACCAACGTGTGTTCCTAACGCCTTCGAGACGAAAAGTCGAAGTGAACCTCGTTCAAAGCAACTTCCACATCGAAATAACGCCGAGGTATGCTCCGTCGTCTTGGGCAAGGATATATTTTACCGGAAGAATTATTGTGCAGTGAAGCGGGGACCTACGACAGAGTGGTCATTCAAGATTTGCTAAAGGAAATTGCACAGACACAGCAGGTCGATCTAAACGCCAAACAGAGATTCAAAGGTGAGGTGTTTTTTTTTACGCTATCATTGGTCCACTTTCTCACGTGCTTGATATCAGTGGTCATTATCAACGAGGCTGATTCTTTGTCACGCGATGCTCAGGCGGCTCTGCGTCGGACGATGGAAAAATACATGTCGAATATGCGCATAATTCTTTGCGCCAATAGCACGAGTCGTCTCATTGCGCCTATTAAAAGCAGATGCCTTCTTATGCGTGTCGCAGCCCCAAGTCAAGAAGAGGTTTGCTTAGCGATATGGTCTACTTCGACTCCACTGCTTAGCCTTCATCATAGATGCAAACCGTTATGCAATATGTATCAAAACGCGCTGGCTTCGACTTGCCACCAGAAGCAGGCGACAAAATAATCGATGATTCTGGGGGGAATTTGAGGAAGGCTATCCTTGTTTTGGAAGCACTGAAAATGCAGTCGTGCGTATACTTTGTTATTCCGTGGAATCCATGATTTATCAGTGTTTTAGGCCTGACCTTTCAGGACCGTTGGCTATTGCGAAACCGGATTGGGAAACTTATTGTCATAAAGTCGCAGACATGATTATCAGCGAGCAGTCGCCTGCACGTGTGATGGAGGTCAGACAGAAGCTGTATGAGCTATTGAGTCATTGTATTCCTCCCACCGTCATTCTCAAGGTATGTACAGACAGTGAAGGCATGTCCCTTCCTAACGTATCTCCTTCAGACTATTGCAGAACGCGTTGTAGACCGAGTCGATGAAGCTATCAAAGCTGACATTATGCATTGGGCCGCTATATACGTGAGTCTGCAATGGCACTTTACATTCCTGTGCTTGATGCTTGTTACAGGAAGTTCGGATGCGCATAGGCAGCAAAAAGATATATCACTTGGAGGCGTGGGTAGTTAAGGTGATGAGCATATATAAGGTGAGCTGTGGATCCACTCTCTTTGAATACGACCAGCGCTAAAGGCGGACAATTCAGCACTTCTTCTATGACATGGATATGTCAGCTTTTGATTGATTTTTAGGTGTAGGATCGCTGTCGTATATGTATCACCTTGGCGCTGTATTATAATTTATCACAGATGTGCGAAGAGTTCAAACAGTTACCAGTAATATATATGCTGGCGCGTGTTTTGATGTGCAGAAACTATCATAATAGATTACATGCGTACTCGTCTTCTACTGAGGCAAGGAAGTCCAAGAGCTAATACATGTTTTAAGAAGGAAGGGTGACAACCCAGGAGAATGGATACCCACCAATTTATGCCTCTTTTGACCCATCAACCTTCCCGGTTCTGTTTTCAGTCGCTCTTGTATGTGTATTAGCTTGTCATAGAAGTGTTGAATTGCGGAATCGGCAAGCGCTGGATCGTGTGGAGGCGTATGTATAGGTCTATAAAGCCGTAATGTCATGTCAGTGAATGAATGAAAGCGTATCAGAGTATGAAACTGCACCTGTTCACTGAAGCATTGTACGCAGCACATCGCATTACGCCTTTGCGGCAAGGGGATCAGAATGGAGACGAGTCACTGATACCAGCATAGCGGGATGAGCTCACCAAATGCTCCAATGGCGTCCAGTCTATCGGCATCCTGAACACAATGCAATTCGGTACATTCTTCATGCCATCGAGACCATTCTCCCGTTTGTCTTCTCTTTTTCTCAGTGCTCCAGGATACGTTGTTGATTACTTGAGTGATAAGACGCGCTCGACCGTCCGAGATCAGATCGATGTTGGATTTGTGCGTTTCGAAGAATGGCAGAAAGAAAGTGTATGGATCAGCAGCCAGTTCTGCCGAGACATATTTCTTGTCCAGGACGTCGTGAAGAAGAGCGCCTGGCAACCTTGTTGTCAGCGGTGATTAACGTCCTATTGTTGGTGCAAGGCACCTAATTCGACCACCAGTAGATCAGGTTTGACAGGCAAAGTATTGGCTATCGCCAACGCAGTCTTTCTGACCCTTTGTACTGGGAAAAATGTGAGAAAAGGATGCCCCAGGACTAGGACTCGGGATTCCTGACCGTGATAAGCGTCGTGCGATGGGTCATACCGGGCCATCGTGTCGATCATCAGCTTCTCTGCTGCCTCTATGATAGCCTGTTCGTCCTCTGTAGGGTACATGGTGGTAGAAAATCAAGAAACGACCATGGGCAGCCATAGTTGTACGTGACCGATGATTGTCAACAGTCATAACGATCATCGGAGCCGGCGAACTCGTTTCTCCATCTCCACCATGGCTCAACGATCCCTGCTCTTCGCCGTTGTTCTGCTTGTCGTCGCCAGCCTTTATGCGCTCGAAATTAAGGACAATGCTGCTGCGATAGCGAATGATACCATAATTACAGTGAGCTCCTGTGTTACATTTCATCCAAGACGCGTCGGCTTCACTGTGATTAGGTCGACAGCATCCACCACTGTGCCTCTGTCCAGCAGCTGAGTGCCATCAAGATTGCTGCGGAGGCCCAAGAGTCTCCCATCATGCGGAAAATCTTCGCTTGGCTGTTTCCCTTCGGCCCAGCGTGGAATTCGGTCTTGGGAACTTTCTATATCAGTTCGTACGTCCTGCAACTGCGTGGCCGTCAATGGAAGACTCAAAGATTGGACCAGCGTACCAAACTTCATTCTCGCGTTCATACCGGCACGTATAAATGGAAACACCCTCAACACGATGACAGCGTTTGCCGTGAGTACTGACGAATGTGCGTCGAACGAAAGTCTGTCTTATGTCAATACAGACCGGGGGCCTTCTTTCTGATGTATTCTTGCACCTCGTTCCACATTCGTTCATGGGCGAACACCAGGATCCTGGTGTGCATTTTGTAATGGTGGAAGAAAAGCGCAACATTTTAATAGGGTGCGCTTTGCCATTCCTTTCGTTTACGTCGATGCATAACTCGAATAGTCTCGGAATCTTCTCTGGTTTTGCTGCGTTCTTCTTTATGGAAAAGACGTTGCGTGTGTTAGGAGGGGAAGACGATTCTGGACATTCACACTCGCACTCGCATGTCCAACCTTCTGACGATTCCAGTGCGCGCGCTTCAGCCGTTTCGATGTCGTCGGGGTCAAATAATTTGAAATCGAGAGCACCCACATCTGCTTCCGCTGAAGCTAAGGAAAGTTCGCCAGGTCCATCTCACGCTGCTACAGGGCCCTCCAAATTGTCAGCTTACCTCAATCTTTTTGGGGACTTTGTTCACAACATGTAAGTGGCTATCAACTATTCAATTGCTTGGCCTTGTAATAAACAATGTACAGCACAGATGGTTTGGCGTACGTTTGATTGGTTTCGGAGAATTCGTTTGCTTTCTGACCTACCAACATTAATGCTGCAGTATGGCGGCATCTTTCTACGCGTCGCCCCTCATTGGGGCCACCACGACTCTCGCATGCTTTGCGCATGAAATTCCCCACGAAATAGCTGATTATTCAATTCTGATTCGAAGCGGGTTTACCAAGAAGCAAGCAATGCAGTCTCAATTTTTGACCGCTGTTGGGGCTTTTGTGCGTAGATCGCCGCTTTTCCTCCCTTCTGATGCTCATTCACGTTCGTGGCAAATACCTCCACCTCCCCAATCATATCGCACTATGAACGCACGCCGACTCATGTTAATTACTCGTGTCCTTGGACGATAGGTTGGGTATGTGTCAGCTCCAAGCTTTACTACAAATTCAGGTCCTGATCGGCATCTCTGTACGAAATAGTACTTTCATCGGGATTGCGGTTCACAACGCGACGTCTAGTACCGACTCGGCGAGCTTCAAACTCGATCTCGGGGCAGGTGCGAGACAGAACGCGACAGGGCTTCTGGGGACTACCCTGATGATCGCAGATTTGGTTAGGTTGCCCGAGCATGACCGAGGTGCCTCGACTGAATTCGACCCTACTTAGGTCATTCCCTTTGTTGCAGGAGGTTTCCTGTATATTGGCGCTGTTGCTGTATTGCCAACGTGAGCCCTTCGTTATCCTTACGCGTAAAGACAGTTCTTATTATCAAATAGGCTCCTCGCAGAAAGCAAAAGCGGCGCCCAGGCAGTGAGAGAGGTGAGAGAAAGACTTGCCATCAATGCGCGTCCCTATTAACCGAGTCTTCTGCCAGTTCGCGGCGATGTTCGTTGGTGTCGTGTGCATGTTACTGGTCGCGTGAGTGAAATTTTCACTATGCGTTGACAGGAATTTGACGTGCAGCAGCTGGAATGAATAGAGTGTTTTAGAACGCTGTTGAGCCCAGTACTCAACTATAGACTGTGGAATAGACTTGCAATTAATATTGTTGTTAAGGATCTTGCAGGGTCCATTGCATTCCGGTCCGCTTAGCGATGACTCAAGCGTCAAGACCCTTGAACGAGACCATCGCCGTACGTTTCTCCGAAAGGACACATGTGGATTTCAGCCTTTGCGTACAAGTGATTTATACATTTTTGAACTTTGGGTGGTCCTGACACCATTTACTAGGCACTTGATCAGGACGTGGAGCCCTTGACACGCGTACAGACGTTGAACGCAAGCTCTAGCTTCATTTGCCTGCATCTGTTCTCCGTTATGATCGTGTTTGAGGTAACGCATCTTTGCGAACAGATGTCGGCATTTTTTGGCTAGTTTCTGGATTGCTAAATACCTGTTTCCTATCGCCTGGAATCGTCGCTCGGTTTTTACCGGGCGGTGGCGCCCGACAGTGGGTACAGTAGATATTTCATGGGCGTAGTAGGCTAGGAGTCGCAAGCATCACTGAAGATGAGATGACTCATTCCTTCTGACAATCTGATTGATTAAAGTAGGCGCTTGTCTTTGTGAACATTCATTCAACGGATTCGTCGGGAAATTCGGCAAGGTTCAAGTTATGTGAGAATTCATTTTTTTTTTCGGAGCTCGCAACGACTTTGAATTGTCCAGCGATATTCTGCCGATAACCCGAGAGGTGGTACCGGACCGTAGGGTATTCGCTAATAATAGTGGTTCTGGGATGAAAGGAACAATCTGAGAAGAAGCAGAGGGAAGCACCGGAAACGTGTTTTGTTTTGTTTTGCGTATGTTTTGAGTGCAGCCAAGGGGAAGCAAGCACAGCGTTTAACCTGCGGATGAGTTGATAGGCCATCAAAGGCAAGGCAAGACGCCACTCGGCGCGGATGCCGAGACACGTTCGTGAAGAGTTGAATACGTAAACACCAAATAAGCCTCTACTAATTCCAGCTCTTTGACAAGTCCAACTTTTTTCCTCCCTCCTTTCGCCTCCTTTTAACCAGCGACCTCATCGTCGTCCCTCAGCTCTACCCCCAAATTTCCGTGTTTTACGAAGGATTTGGGCCCAGTAACAAAGGATTTAACCTCGACTTACTTATTCTCTTCTTGGTAGGTGCATACAACAACTTTTTCTCGACTTTTCCGTGCTGACGTTCCTTTTCCACAGCTTGCGTGTCGTACCCGTCTTTCTGTTCGTGTCTCTGCCGTCAGCCTTCTTCCATATTCTCAACTCATAGCAGCCGTAGCCTGAGGACGTCATCCAGCTCTCACTCTATTTGGTCGTCTGCCCCGACGCTGACCACGGTTGTCCTTGCTCACGCCCTTCAGCTGATGAAGCCTTGTTGAATCAATATCCAGACACCTTTCTGCCTTAATATTCCTACCTCTTTTTCGCTCTACAACCGTCGCGATGGGCACAAAAGGACGTTCGACACCTCGTATCGTGTGCTGCGCAATACCCATCGCCCGTGCAGCTAGCAAAGTCTTAGTCGTCACAAGTCGCAAGCGGCCTGATAACTGGGTCTGTGAGTGCTATTCGTATTCCGTTTTATTCCGCTGTTTCTCTGCGTTCTCTGTTCCGCTATTTAAATGTCGTCATTGCCAAATGCTGACTCCCTTTTTCTCGGCACCGCCGTATAGTACCGAAGGGTGGCTGGGAGTCTACAGATGTGAAGTTGGAGAATGCTGCGTTGCGGGAAGCCTTGGAAGAAGGTCTCACCCTTTGTCCCTCTATCCGTCACCTCACCTCCTGATTCACCTCCCTCTCTCCTTTTGCCGTGCCCCGCTGGTGTTGTCTGCATCTCCATTAGCTGGTGTACGTGGAACAATAACGCGCTTCGTCATCACAATACCGACGCCGTCTGCAACGTATCACTTTTACGAACTAGACGTCAACACGCTCGACCAAGACTGGCTGGAACGCAACGAACGAAAACGCGAATGGGTGGACTATGCTGAGGCTATCAGAAGATTAGAATGGAAGGCCGAGCTGTCCCAGGGGCTCAAGCTGTCGTCGCTTGCCCCATCGCGGTAACCTCACGACGAATTTCGCGTCTGTATGATGGAAGACGGCGGAATAATCCCAAAAGGTGGAACGCTTTCATGGCAAGGCTCATATTGACTTTCTCCTTGCATTTGATCTCAGTTATATAGAGAAGCATGATACGGCCAGCGCACGAGAGTTTCTTTTTTAAATTACGTCTCCTCATTAACGATACCCACCCATCTATTATCACACACATCTCATCGTAACAGTCCAATCTCATCGTCCGCTTCGCATCGTCACACATCTTGCTGTCCGTATTTCAGTTACACTCGTTCGCAGTTTTTGTCCTGGTATAGATTTTTCAAGCACTATCCTACTATCGGGTTCAAAATTTTCGCAGTACCATACCAAAATTTTAGATGTAGTTTTATTATTATTGCACGGTCGTGGGGAAGCAGTAATGGCGAAGTCGAACTTGCACCGATAACGCACACGGATCATGAAGCGCTCCGAATACGCGCCACATGTAGCTCAGGGTTCACGGAAGATACTTGGCAAGAGAATACCCCGATTTCCACGCGTCCCACACGGAGCTAAGCGCTCACGGCTCTCGAACAGCAAAGTCCTCTTTTGCAGCGATTTTTTTCTCTGAAGGAACATCAGTTGCCGATGGTACCGTTCAAAGCTCTCCAGTATCTCCTGAGCGTCACAGGTTTCGTTGCTGTCGTTTCAGCCGAAAAATACAACTGGTTGGGTAATTTGTCTCCGTACCACAAGGCTCCTGTTCCCCGTGGAGTATCCGAGACGTTGCCAGAAGACTGCACCGTTGTGCAGGTGATGCTGGTGCGTAGCTTCGCCTGTGTAACCCGCGCCACAATCTCATATTCCTCTGCATTCAGTTGGGGCGTCATGGCAGTCGATGGCCTCTGCAGTCGGAACTCGTTTTTATCACGAATCTCACAGATAAACTGGCCGCGTCCACGGAATATATTCAGAATGCTGATCTTCCTGAAAACTTGCAATTCCTGAAGAATGGCTATGTCACGACTCTAGGCCACGACAACCTTACCGCCCCGGGTAGAAAAGAGATGTTCGATCATGGTGTAAAGTACGTACACTTAGTTCCATTCGATCATGTTCTAGCGTCATCCCACGTTCCGTTGCCTCAGTGCTCATCATTTCTCGGTTTTATTTTAGTTTTCGGCTCAAGTACCAACATCTGGAGGCTACCAGCGTACTTGCTGGAGATGAAGACAGGGTAAGGATGTGCAGTATTTATTTGTATTGTGGGACGGGTAAGATGGTAACAACACCCAGGTCGTGGAATCAGCCCAGTGGTTCAGTCAGGGATACTTCGGTCGCGAGTGGGCTGAGCTTGAGTCGAGAGTGTTTTCTACTATCCCTGAGGACGAGGTTACAATTTCCTGGATTACCCCGATGGACACATGTGCTAATTGGGCGTACTCATACGGCGGAGATGTATGTTCGTCCGCATTCGGGGCGTCTTTGACTCATTTAATTAACTTCTAGGCAGTAGAGACATGGGATTCCGTGTATCTGCCTGCGATAACCGAGCGTCTCAACGGCTTGCTCCCTGGTGTCAACCTGACGGATGCTGATACTCACGGTGTACTGTACGCTTGTGCATATGATTACGCAGCACTGCGCGTTTCCCCGTGGTGCGATGTATTCAACCATGATGAACTTGCCAATTTTGAGTGAGCCGACGGTCTTCTACCGTGAACCTTTTTCTCATAACTAATCACTGAGATTAGATACGAATTGGACATCCTCATGAATGGCGCGTTCGGGTATAATCTCCCCGGGAACATGGGCCCCCTTTTGGGCACCATTTTTGTTAACAAGTTGATTGAGCGGTCAGTAGCCAGAATCGGCTACCACGGAGCCTGCCGATTCATTCCTTTCTCTTTACAGGTTCTCCGACTCGACAGGAAATGCATCCGCCGTTTATTTGGAATTCGGTCACGACACAACGATTGACACGGCTTTTGCCGCCTTGGGATTGGCGAAGTAGGACGGCGTTCTATCCAGGCAACAGCGAAACTGACAGCTGATATTCAATGGCAGGGACACTCCCCCGCTCTGTGCGACCGGACCCGTGCCGCCGAACAGAGCCTTTCGTACTTCCACTCAAGTACCGTTCGGTGCGCAGATGGTATGGGAAAAGTTCACATGCACGTCTTCGTAAGCCATTGTTTCAATTAACTTGTCATTGATAAATACAACCTAGCTCCCTTCATTTTCAGGTTCAGCGGACCGCAGATTCGCCTCATTATGAATGACTCTCCATTCCCCTTATCGGCATGCGCTGGGACCGAACAAGATAGGTTGTACGGATCTTGTTCCTTTGATAAGTTCGTGGACTCGAACGCCTTCAGTACATCAGTTTCTTGGGGCGATGCGACATGGAATGCAACTTGCGGCGAAGCAGATCTCTGAATCTCAGTACGCAGGGCAACGGCGAAGAACCCGTCTTTTTCGACAAATGATTATGAGTTTTCATTTTCTTCGGGATCAATCTACGAGTTCTGATTCAGTTGTTATCGAACTACTTAACTTCCACAACATCGACGCGTGACATCACAACCCGTGCTTGTGACGTTAGTCCGAATCGACAGCTCTGATGAATGCCTCAACCGAACGCAACCCACGAATCTGTTCTCATGTTGACTTCTCTGTGCACCGCATTCTGGTATATGATTTCCGTTTTTCCTTTGTTCCTAGTGAGTCTAGAACTATTGACTGCGAAACTGACTCGCACTGTTTGCCCATTCTTGTACTAACCTGTCAGAAAACTTTTCCCAAGGATCTAATGTCAGAAATAATCGCATTACGGCCATCAATCGGTGGTGCGTGGTATTTAGTGGTGTGATCGGTACACTGGTCGCTAGTGCTGGTCGTCTTTTCGCTGGATGTTTCCGGACCCGACCCTCAGTCACGAAAAATTTCGTCCCTTTGCTGCCATGTTGAATATGTTGCATTATTCTGTAAATGGGTAAAAACTTTTGATGCACGCGTTTTGTGCCTACGATCTCGGACTTGAATCTGGAGATCATTTCATATGCCCATTGCAGAATTAGGTGGGATTCTTAATTCGTAGGATGCCGTTTCTATCTGACGCTATACAGTCCATCTACGGAAGCTATGTCACTGTCCTTGGATGGATGACACACCCTCACCTCATGTTCTTTGCATGAGGTTTGAAATGCCAAAATTCACTTAGGCAACTCCACACTCCGCGAAGCTACAAGATTTAGCTAGGGAATCTCTTCCCTCAATATGTCAAGCTTTCGAAATAAGCGCAATCCACTACGCGCTTGAGATCTTATTCAAAAAGTACACCATACGGGCGCAAGGAGACGAGCGAATCGTGCCCTGTATCACTTCGGAAATCATTTCTCACCAACCGCTTCCGGGTGAGTTTTGGATGTCCCGAGAAGGCGACGTGATGCACAGCTTTGATACGACCGGGAAACTACCGTACAATCAATAGGCGATCGAGACGTACCTTGCAATATTTGTGCTCCCGAATGATCGATACGCGTATCTGAGGCAGGCCTGTGGCTTGCGGGGAGACTCACACCCGATTTTTAGTCGTCGCCATTCCGATCAATTTGGCGCCTGGTCCGTTTCGAAACCCATATGTACCGTCGGTTCTCGCCACTTTGGTCCTACGAGTTGTTATGGTACCCGATACGTTTATTCCAAGATGCCAAATTCCGCAACCAGAGAACCGACTTCGTCAACCAGTTCGAGAACAACCCGTTACGCAAAGTCTAGGCGATCTTCTCTTCGGAAACTATGAACCAATGCGTTACGGCTGGTTTGGAAACGGTTTTGCAAACATCCTCGATCAGCTCATCTCGTAGATCATTACATACAGGATCAATGCCTCAACGATGGCATATTCAGGCAACTTTACGCTTCTTGACCCGTCACTCTGGCCTCAGGTGCAACTGAATCTAGGAGTCCCAATTGTATATAAATAGAGGGGAGTCGATCCGTGTTCTCGACTACCCTACTCTCATGCCTTCATACGCCGACAACATTTCTGCTAGTTACGTCGGATTGTCCACTGTTGAGGATCTATCCTACACCCCTTCTGCCGATGAGCAGTCCCGAGACGTTGCACAGATCGCTGCGACTGGTCGCAGGAGCTGGAAGACGTTGAAGGGAAAGGGAGAGGCAGTATGGCCCCCCAATCTGTACGTAACATATATTGCTGATCAAGTCAACGCCCTGACAGTGTACAACAGGGAGGCCGCATTGATTGAAGGTGAACCGTAATTGTACCTATCCGCAGGCGCTGGTACTCATCGTCCCCGCAAAGCCCTCCAGAAATACAAACCAAGCCCCGAACTTCGCTCTTCCAAATCCCCCGGTCGTTTCCCCATGCGCAACCGTTTCATTTCCGACTATATCTTTGATTCCACTGGTAAACGGCGGACGCCCAAGCAGGTGGGAAGTCGGCTACAACAAATGAGGGACACATGCAAAGGCGAAGAAAGTAAGTCCGTGATCACTGGATCATATTTAACGGCAAATAATAGCGATCAATTACTTGTAGTTCTCAACCTTATATGCCGCCCATTCGATAACGATGTGGATTTGGGGACCGGTTCCTCAAATGGAAGTCCCGTTCACACCACTTCGCCACTGCCAGACCTTAGAGGCCAGCAACCTCCCAGCCAGCGACTGAACATCTGGGTAGACATAATTCTCGAGCAACCGTATCCTAGACAACAACCTCTGGTCAACTTTGTCGGAAATCGCAGGGACTCACCTCTTCACATTCGGCTCGCGCCCTTAGCTTCCGCCTCTTCCTATCACGCATCCCTACCTCTTTCCGGATCAGATCCCACCATAAACTTCATGTCGCCGTACCCGGTCAATCAACAGTGCACTTTCTCTGCCTTTGTTGATACATTGAGTCTCCCGATACACTCGGAAGTCGCGCCGATGACCTGTCTAGGTTCTCCCATGGATCGCACAGGCTGGTTATACAGTGCCTCTCTCTCTCCCAAGTTCTGGAAGGTCATTTTCAATGACTCAAGTACGTAGTATATTATTTTCAGACGAAACTGCCCTTTCTGATATATTCTCAGACCCAACGCAATACACCATTGTTCAGAACATCTTCGCTCAAGGCTATCCGGGGCAGTTCAATGGACCACTTCAAAATGACAATGCGATGATTTCCATCTTCTATCAGTTCAGGCGTCCAACTTCTCATGCTTATCATACGTATAGCGACTCATACGTGCGCTTTTATCTCCCTATCTTTTGACAATACATTCACATCTACTACTTGACAGTCTCAACAAGCGGTCAACAGCTCCCGTCAATGGACACAACCATCCATGTCTAATTGGTCTGGATCACCCGAAAGTCCTAGGCAGATGACGAACTGGCGTTCTGACAGTGGCGAAAGCTGGTCGTACTCGCACCACTCGCATCCTAGTTCGACGTCGGCGAATAGCCTCAATTATAATTATCTCTCGTGAGAGAACCACGCCGTAAAATTTGTACATATTGACTTTCTAGTTGCTTCGCTCAGTACGAGCGCCTGTTTTCATGTCTTACGTTATACTTCATGCTCTGAGGAAGAGATAAGACGTTGTCCGTCTTGGTATAGTAATGGATTAATAATAGTACGATTATTTACACGCTCTCGCAGACTACTACTTATCATCTCATTAACATATTGTACATAGGCAGTACACTTCTGTAATAAAGCTTGATGCTATCTATATATACATTGGTGATACGATATATGCTCATGTACTACCGTCAGCGCGGATTTCTCCATCAATTCCCCCACTTTGAGTATGATTCGAGATCTCCATAACGTTGAACTTGTGCAAACTGTAATACTCTTGGGTGATAGCGACGCCAAGAACACTCTATTGACCGGCTCATTCATTTCATATTACTAATCTGCTAAAGATATGCGTACCTTGAACACTTCCACTAGGATGAAGACATCAGGATTTGTTAAATTGACAACATGCTTTACCGGCATGCAGTCAGCGATGCTTTGAATGATGGTAGGACGGGATAGCGACGTATGGTTTCGGATTCGAAGCTCTATCTTGTACTGCATGCTGTAGTTAGTACAGCGGCTGGAAATCTGAGCATCGTACTTACGCTATATTTTCGTTCAGGGTCGCGAGCAAAAAATGGCTCGAATGTAGAGCGACACAGCGCTTGTATCTCCGGTATATTGGTGACACATGATCCTGATACCGGCACGAACCTATGACAGTATCTAATGGAGACGAAGGCGCTGAACACGTGGCACGCTTCGAGAGTAATTGACTAACCTTGTACGCATGAATCCTGTTTTCTGGACATTCCTGATATGTGTCTCGACCAATCGGACAGGATCCACCGGAGGCTTACAGGATATAAAAACCACTAAGATCAGTTTAGTATTCGGAAATATTGGAACACTTCTAAAGGCCGAACCGCAAGGCGTATTTGTTTGACAGTTAGCTGGAGTAAATCAGCGACACTCTACAACCGGGGAGGCACACAGGTTTCTTACCGAATCTCTGTTCGTGTCTGGGTCTTTTCATTGCCGATATCTCATTGGATATTTGTGCTTCCAGACTTAGCGAGGCATCCCCAATATCGTCGTCGTCATCTGAATCGTCGTCTTTTTTCTCGCCTTCGAGTGGCCATAGATCAGACGCTAGCTAAAGGATAATAAGTATTAGAAAGTTAAGTCGGAAAACTTGAACACGCCCACCGAGTCAAATAAATCATACAGTTCGCCGACCGTTTGCTTTTCTTTTCCTTTGACACCTGAGAGTAAACAGTGTCATAAAGGTGGCACTGATTATTTGTTATTATACGTACAGCTCACCCACACCCCAGGTCCATCGATGTGTCTTTTGCTCCAGATTGGAGTCCCATCCTAGATATCTGACTTAGTTGAAGGTCGACGATTGACTTCAGATCATACCGAGCGATATTTCTTCTTCCTTTTGTCCGGGCCTTGGGACTTTCGTTTCGACGACTGGTCGGCCATCGTGATCCGAGTGAAAGGAGAAAAACCGCATTCGGCAAATCACGTTCTGAAAAGGCAACTGTTTGTTCGTACCGAACAACCGTGTCGCGCCCACTGAATCACTCATTTCCTACTTATCTAAACTTTCTCCGAGTCGGCCTCCGATATAAACATTGTCTCCATTCTCGAGAGTACTACACAGCGTGGTACAGAACTCTATACTGTTTGTGCCCTAGTTCTCCGACTCGTGTAGTTCGCCGGGTACTCTATACATTGCTTTCTGGAAACAGAGGAGTTTGACTGGCGCTACTTAGGCGTGACTTTGACCCTGAATCCGGGAACTACAGACTGAGCTGGTTCATAGTCTGTATTGTCTCTTCAGTGTGAATTGCCGTGCAGTGCAGCGCAGCGCAATGTCCAACTTGGCAAGTCTAAGACTCGACACTTGCTCTCTTCCTCCGCTCTTCCCGGCTGTCTATAACAAGCTGTCATATACCTTTAAGACGCGGCGATCTCGATATTAACGCAATCCTTGACCAACTCTACGATGGTTGCACCGTTGTCATGTCACGAAAATCACAATGGACGACTGCGTATTATCTTCTAACACCTAGTTGACACTCGAGGGACCTAACTGTCTGATGCAAATTTATATTGAATACGCCTGAATACACGGGTTTGTGGCATTACAGCCAGACATGGCATTTGGCAGAGTCTCTCAACCGCGACTAACCTAAGATGCCGTGAGTTATTCAGGGTGGACCTTATTCGTGTCTGACAGCTAATATTTTATCCGTAGTTAAGATGCTCCCAGCCTCGAAAGAAATTGAATGTGATTTGTACCCGTCTCTTAGCCCCTCGCTAAATTGATTCGTCTCTTTGCGCCACTGCAGTGTCTATAGAGAGTCTGCGCCACTGTCGGCCTAGATCGAGTGACTGTGATAAATATTGAACTTAGCACTCGGTGATTCGCGATAACTTTTCCGTATGTGTGGCCTTTGACACAGGATCCCTTTAGTACCCGATGGGAGGCCAAATTGTCCCGTCGATCTGACGACACCTAACGTTCCCGGTACGCAACGGTCTGTTATTTGACACTCAGCTACACCTTCACGACATGATTGACTCAAGCCAGTTGGACCTGCGGTGAACACCTTATACGACATCGGAAAGATCCTACAGAACTGCACCCGTAGTGCGTGCCCCAGGTTCCGGGGTGGTGGCGGCATGTGGATCGAAACTTGAAATCTTCCACGCCAGCGTGCAGGAGCCCACGTACTGAATGCGCGTTCACGATCGGACCCAGCGCATTGGAAGGACAGAAGGACTGGGTTCAGTTGTCGAACTATCTTTTAATAACTGTATTCGTATTCTCCTTGGTAAATTCATTTCTATCACCAATGGGTGGCTCCAACATCACAAACTACGTTCAAACGCTTGAGATGAGTCGCAAGGATCATGTTCTAGCGAAGTTGTTTTGTATTGTTCCTCGTCGGCTTCGGGCGCGAAAGTTGTTTTGGATGTGAGAACGGAATGTCTGCTTGTAGTCAGAACACACGGCGACCTAGGTCATCATCGCGACGCTCACGTATGGAAGAATCGTCAAAGCCCAGTTTTTCCCTCTAAGCTCCGTCGCGCGAGCGCCCACTAGTTGTTGCCTGTAGTTTCAAGTCCATTCTCACCGGACAAAAAATAATACGGTGAGGGAGCTCTCACACTGGTCAAACTACTCCATGAGTCATTTTTAAACAGAGTTTTAATGGTACCGTAGACTGAACGGTAGATAATGGAACTTAATAATAATGAAGTATGCCGGGTTCCTTGGAGTACGGTTGCTAGATACAAATAATAGTCTTTGACTGCAATATGGCAAGCTAGTTTGAAACCTCACTTCAGTGTTTATACACACATGACCCATTGAATATGCAAGGCAAATCCCGTAGGTACTTCTGTAGTAGACGAAGGGATCCGCCACAGAACAGCGGTAGAAAAGGGACCATAGTACTATCGAAGGCGACAAATAAGGTCTGTCTTCGCCGATGGTACTGCCATCATATGTTGCAGCACAGCTCACATCGTGCAAATTCACGGGGCGAGCCGCGACTAAATAACGAGACCTCGCAGCGGCATAGTAGTAGGTCCGATGCTATGTATATCGAGCATTCTTTGACCCCGGTTTCCTGGGGTGAGGGACGTTTCTGGAGCTAGACAGACAGATACGGCGCTTGCCAAAGTAGTTCTAAACTGGTACCCAATGGTACTGAAAGCTGCCAACAAGAATCAAGCTCGGGCTGTGGATAGAAAAATTCCGTGTTCGCCGTCAGATGAGCTGCAGGGTAGAGCAGATACCAAAACCAACTTGGTTCGTCGAAGGGAATCAAGGGTATTGGTAGCCAGTTCAGGTCTGCAACTCGTTGAACTATTAATTTCGAGTGCAAGTCCATTTCGGGCGTTGCCGCTCCGTCGGCGCCACGAACAGAATGATTCCCACGGTCCTTGTCCTCTACTATTCACTCGAAATGGCGTCCATGATTCCTGTATTTCTCGTACTAGTCGTCGCTGCTGCGCTTATGACAGCCTCAGCGCTCTTCGTGCCCAAAGGACCAAATCAAATGTATGCGTTACGAGCCCTGTAGCATCGACGAGCACTAACACAATGACACAGCGTTATACGGACAGGTCTGATGCTCGCACTTGCAGCCTGTTATCTTATGTGGATGGTAACCTACATGGCCCAGCTGCATCCCTTGATTGGTGGGCTTGTTACTACTCCTTGGGACCAGCACATTAACGATGTTGTCGTACGTCAGCTCCCGTGGTGTCAGCAGGTTCGGAAGAGTAACCTTTATTTCTGGTGGACTTCTATTGCTTTCTAGTATATACCAGGTGCGTCTTCTTACATCTTCATTATCCACTGGCTCATATATTTGCAGCTTGTATCATTTAATTATTACACGGACTTCTGAACTGCCAGGCGTGATACATGAAAACAAAAATATCAAAATGTATGAGTATCGTCACTTTCATCTCCGTCCCAGCCAGTCGTAGAACCGCTGGAGCCATGCTGAGGTGGTGGCGCCCCCCATGATGTACTTCCCCAACGTCTAGAACCCGAGTCTGTCGCCCAGTGATGAACCTGGGAACCCCATTTCTGATGGTCGTCATCCTCGTCTTGGGTATCGTCTTCCGAGTTGTTCCAAGAAACGTCCCCTTCAGCTCCTGTACTCTCTCCCCATTCCCTATCACTACTGCTGTCGCTATATGATTCCTCGTTTGGTAACCAATCTGGCGGCACAGATTCGAAGCTAGTATCCTCTGCTTCTTCCATCGCGGGCCACAGCATCTTGGGTCGTTTTGAACCACCAATGAGTTCAATATGCCATGAATCTCTATCCCATTTCGATGGCTCTGCATCGTCAGTGCCCTCCCTCTTGAGCACTAGCCCCTCGCATTCCTGAATGGCATTAATCAAGACTTCTGTGAATCCACCACAAGCGACTCCAATGTCCTTGTCATACCAGAGAGTCTCGAACCGCATAAAGCCTTCGCGTCCTTCTTCCATCTTTGCTTTCACCATCTTTCCAATCTCTGCAACAGGAATAGGTTGTCGTGCTTGCGGATGAGCGACGTGTCTGTGTTCGGCAAGTAACTGGTGCGGTTGTCCTTGAGTGCTTTCCACCATCTTCCTGGCTTCATCTACCAAGTGGCTCCTTTCGGCGTCCGCCAATGAAAGTCGCCTAAACTCTGTCACCAGAGTAGCGCCTCCAAGCTCCTCATCTCGTCCCCATTCATCTTTTTCTGTAGCCCGACCCACATCACTAATGTGTGCCTCATAACCCCAGCGTTCGGCTGTTTCCTTGCACCACTCGTGGAACTCCTGTATCGTCCACTCGAACTTGTGATCGTCGTGCCGGAAGATTCGATTTGTACGCCCGGTGGGATCAGGATATCCTTTACGAACCGAGGGTGGGGCATTCGGGGAGGTGAAACGAGCGTTGAACGTGTATGATGGCGTTGTAACGAGGAATATTTTTGGATGGTAGACACCAAGGAGCATAGGCGCGAACATTAGGAAGATATGCGATGGGAGATGTTCAATGCTGGATCGAAGTTAGAAAAAAGGGATATAGCATAAGATATAATATTCTCACACTTCTGAGCTCACAATACACTCTGCTCCTACAAATGATTCATTGATAACTTCCAAACCTCCTTTCCAGATAGACGCTACCAAGGGCTCCCAACGGGTCGAACTGAGGTGCCTATCGCCGGTTTGTGGTGGTGGCGCAGTAGCTTGGATAGCAAAATCGAGGTCTCTCTGTGAGATATCGAGCCCGGCTATGCGTACAGGATGGAGGTTTGGTATTGGATCATGCGGCGAGTTGAAGTTGGGCGTCGCGGTATCGGTCGGGTCTGACGGAGGCAATATTTCTGGCGGTGGCGGGCCAAGCCACGGAGCTGGCTGGCAGAGTGCTGATAGGAGCTGTCCCTCGCCGCATCCTATATCGACGACCTGGGCAAGTTATAGTAAAAAGCAGACTGTGAAAACATCGACTAACATCAGTAACGCTGTCCCTTCTCATCACATCGAGAATCCATATCTTTCGCTGGAGATACAGCGGCGGGTTGAAGGTTACGAAGAGTTCGTGGTCGCGGTCTTCTTCCAGAATTGTGGTGCAGTCATGGTCGGTCATCGTCGTCGCTCGAAAGACTTGATGATGGCAACGACAAGTCGAAGCGGCGGCAATATTTGGCCTTTGTACTAGCCTCGAGGTGACTTCATGGTTTCTGCACCTAGGATGATCGAGAACATGCAGCAGAAATAGTTCCGTAATTATAATACTTATACTAATCCACTCCCGCCCATTCTGATGGTATCCATCAAAACCCTGACAATCTCACTCCAAACAGTCCTCAGAACACCAGCTTCTCTCCCGTTCACAACCTGAAGTCTCTTTCTAACCATATCAGCAGTATTAACTGTACCACCTGCAGCTAACCGTCGCCGCCGCCTAATTCGCAACACCATTGATATCAGTGGGAATACCACTGCAAGAATTAAAAAAGTTGTCAGCTTGGTCGAGTTTAGAATTGGAGCCACGTAGGCTTTTATCAACGCAAAGGTCGTCGGGCTCCGGAGTTCAGTTGACGGTGCAACAGGGTGGGTGATGACACTGGTAGCGGGAGACAATGTACGTCTGATCATGTTGTCGCGTTGAGCTTTCTGCTTGCGGTCGGAGAGTGAGGATGGGGGTCTTTCGGAACGTGTGAGTTTGGCGGTGCCATCTGAAGATACAGAGGTCGTAGATTGAGAAGCTGATGGAAGAGCGGCGATAGAAGTCATTGATTGAGCGACATGAAGACCTTTCGGAGTCGAAGGAACTACTGTATGGGTAGATGTCGTTGAAAGAGAGGAGGAGGAAGACGAAGAAGATGGAGCCGGCGAGAAGCTACGGTCCGACGAAGGAGAGGATGATATACTCGAAGAAGATGAAGCTGGAGGACTAGGAAGAGGGGGTGGGGGTTGCTGTACTGCTTGGGCCTGCGTATAGAGCCGGGCTAACGAGGATTGAAGATACTAATGCTGTGATGAGATGACTATTCAACAAGAAATATGACACGACGTACCTCCCGCGACCTAGGCGACAGCTCACTTTCATAGTCTAAAAACTCTTTGGCATAATCCCATTGCTCCAAGGCAGGCAAAATCTGCAAGCAATATATTGCAAGAATCTTCTTGTACGCATCGTGATGGGTATGGTTCGATGATAAACGACCATGTCGATGAGCGAGCCATTCCTCAATGATGACCCGGCCGACATCGGGGCAGTTCACCTTGAGACTAGCATAGACGAGGGTATTGATCACTGACGGGGGTATATAGACCACGTTTGCTGTCGCAATACTCTTTGACGACCCACTAGCCGGGGTAAATAGGTTAAGCGACCGCTGGTACATCCTCGTCATCAACGCATGCGGCGACTGCAGCATCACCTCCTTCAGATGCTCCGGGACATCCTCGGCTGCAGGTGGCGATGCATAGACGTGAGCCTCGAATGTTATGCGAAATATATCCCAGGTTTTCCGGTGGTCATCGAGTGCGTCGGGGAGGGATAGAGGAGATGGGAGGAGGGTGAAGGCAGAATCAACAAGAGACTGACTGAGGTGATGGTCATGGTTGACGAATGCACGACCTGCACGGTCAATCAGGACGCTCAACGTTGCAGAAGGCGACGAAGAGACTTTGTTGGGTTTGTGCGCAGAATGAAGTGGAGGGCCAGTAATAATTGTTGTGGTCGTCGCGGTTGGCATTAGAAAGGAACCCCGCAGATTACCCCGGTTTATCGAGGGAAAGAGATTACTGAAATTGTAGGATCCTATTCAGGTGCATCACAAAATTTAACAAGCTGTGGTGGTGTAGGGGTTAACATGGAGTCTTCCCATGGCTCCGCGCGGGGTTCGAGTCCCCGTCACAGCATCGATTTTTCCTTTATCATTTTAGTCAACTTTTGAATTGTCAGGAATCTAATATTGTTTCAACGGCCATTATGATTTATCTATTTAGGGATTGCAGCGTTGAGCGCTGAGCCTCAAGGCCTCAAGCCCCCTGCCGAGCTTGCTTCCGCATTCTGATCAGCTGAGCGTGCACGCCTCTTCGGTCTGCGCCTGCAGGTGCTCCTTGACGTCGTTTATCTGGGTCGAGGCCCTAGCCGGCGATATTGCCTTCTATTACGACCGAATAATATCTTGTCCCTTGATAAGTATTGCCAAGTGTTGCCTGGTTCATAACCATGGCATCGACATCGACAGCTCCCCAGGCTGAGGCAAAGCCCAATATCTTTTCGAAACATACCATCGTCCTTGATCATCCGGTTTCCAAAGTCTTCCCCGTCCTCGGAACAGCCAAAAACCAAGAGAAAATCACACGCGCATGTTCATCTTCTTTACCTATAACTGCCTTTAAATTATTGAACAAAGACGTCGTTGCCGTCCCTCGGAACACCCCGCTCTCCGAATTACACGACGCCTGCGACCTGCCTGCAGCACAGGAATTCGAGTCCGAGTCCAAGGGTGCCCGTCAGCTGCCGCGTCAGTCTTTTGCGTTCACCGAGTCGCAGTACCTGTTATGCAAATCGATGTCTTGGAATGTGAGGGTCGAGGCGACGTTGGTGTGGGATGAGGAGGAGATGACGACACTATACGAGAGTAAGATAACTGGAAGAGATGATTATCGTATCTGGAAATTGAGAGAGATGGAAGAAATCGAGGGAGGTACGAAGACCAGAATGACGGAGACCCTGGAGGGAGTTTATCCTGGGTGGAACAGGAAGATGTTTGAAAAGAGAACACGACAAGCACATGCGTACGCCACATTACCTCTTTCCATGTTCGACTGCTGAACACACTGACAGGAATCAGATGGAATTATTTCATACTTTCTTCGATTAATGTATCCTTTTATTTAACGGGAGTAGTGAAGATGCATAGCAAGATTCTATGTCCCTCTAGATCTAGCAGTGTCTGGTCCATTACCATCATCTCCGAACCAGTGTAATGCCTGGCCTACGCCTGTGAAACTCTTTCAGGCGTCCTACATCTATCGCATGACGCTCCTCGTCTCGTAACAGGATAATGACCAGCCTCATTCTCTTCGCCATGTCTTCCTCTTGAGGCAACCAGCGGGACTGCACCATATCTGCCAGCAATCCGTCCGTTGACGACACACACCTCCACAACTTGAGATAATCAAGCTGAGGACACAGGAAAGCGGGGTCACTGGATGACGAGGATGCAGTGAGCGCCCGGACAACATCATCCGTTACGCAATTATCCTTTGCCCTTTCGTTCGTGATGTTCAGCTGCTGCAGCGAAGGACTAGTGAACTTGAGCACATCAAGCAGCTCCTCCGAAGATATTTCCACGTCCCTGACATCAAGCGTCCGTAGCCGGCACTGTGAGCGCACAAGAAATGCATTCACTTCCTCTTGATCCCAGAAATGTGGTGCATTCGCTGGGTTAATGAGGAAAAACTCGTCCAATCTGTTGATCTGGAGGGTGGCCAACGAAGGAAAGACTAATCGAGACAATAGCGTAGTCAGTGCCATGTCGACGGTGAGTTCAAAGGTGTGAAGGTGCGGCAGAACTATAAGAGATTTGTCCACTGCGTGGTCGGCGAAGTCGTCAGGTATTCTGCCGACCAGTTGGACGAAGAAGGTACAGGACTCGATGGCACGGCATCCACTCAGGACATCGAGAAACACGTCCTTTGAAACAGGACGGACTAGATCTAAATGCGTTAGCTGTAATGTATTGACTGTTTGAAGGTAGTCGGAAGGTGGACTGCGACTATGCCAAGTAAGATCGTGAAGACGAGAAGCTTGGAGGATCCGCTTCAAGTCGGGAGTATCGTCCTTGAACCAATACTCGCGCTGCAGATCCAGCTTCTCCAGTGAATCTAGTAATGCATCTTGAGGCAGCTGCTCAAGACCAGACGGCCAACGCCAATCATGATACTCTAGCTTGACACTTGCCCAGCGATGATGAGCAGGGACGAAGGACTTGAGAACGGAGGCAGCGGTGACAGGGTCTTCAATCTCCCTGGCATCCTCCTGCTCCAATTCTGTGATGGAAAAGGATAGCGGCTGGCTCATCGACCTCTGCAGCCAGAGCTCGATAAGAGGCAAGGGCGGTCGGCACCGCTGAACGGTAACCTCGACGGCGATAGAACTCCAGAGCTGGGGGATCGAAAGTGCGAGTCGCCGCCAGCTACTGCAGACCTGGACCAAAAGCAACGGTGCGCTCTTCAATTTTGGGACGACATAAGAATTTGGAAGGCAGAGTTTGAATATTTCCGACAGAACCTCGACTGGAAGACGACGAATAGGCGACAGAGCGTCGCGTTGTGTATCCAGAGAGGCCTGAATACCGTTTTCCTCCTTCTCCAGCCTCTGCACCGTCTGTCTGCAGAGCTCGATCTCGAAATCAAGGTGCTCAAGAAGGTCGGGGTCGGACTCTGCAACCGTTCCCCGTTCGCGACACATCCGATCCCAGCTCGCCTTCACCGCTTGGCTCTCCTTCTGCACTCGCCTCATCTCCGCCTCTTTCTCCTCGATTCCTGCACGTAGAGCAGCCATATGTGGCCCAGATTTTCCCACTATGATTTCCTGCAATGCATCTCTGTCTCGTGTGATCTTCTCGAGCAGAGCCGTGGCTTCGTTGATCTCAGCGTTGAGACTCGCAAGGACGTGTTCTTCATTGTGCAGGAGTTGCCGAATCTCCTCTGCCTGCTCTGGTGTCATGAACGGGTTGTGCCCCAGCAGATTGAGCGCTGCTGGCAGAATTGGCGGGATATTCGGTACGTTCATGATCGTGGTCGAAGATCAAGACATAAATAAATTAGCCACATTTCTTCCAGCTCCATATAAATAATGTACAATGGGAATAAGCGACTTTTTGCATAGATAGTTGCGGTACTTTTCCATCCCTCTGCTTAATTATCTTCTTTCTGCTTCTTTGTAGCGCAGATATCCGAGTGGCACACCTCTTAGCCGGAGACGTCGTACGCCACCGTCGGAACGTCCGCACTAGCTTCCTTAGCTTCCGTCGGAGGAACTACTACTTCGGCAGGCGTAGGAGCCGGAGGAGGAGGAGAGGGTAAAGCCGTCGCTCTCCAGCCACCACGGAAGGATGCTAATGCAGTGATGAGGCAAAGGATATCGACCCAAACCTACAATACCATTAACAAAACAAGACTATCGCCCACTCAGAAATACGTACCTCATTCTTGATGAAACCTTTCTCGGTTGACCTATGCGAGGCTTCAGTAACCAACCTTTTCCATAAAGTAACAACAAAATACCAGTGAAGAGCAAGCGGAAGATTCCCCAAGTTCAGCACCATCTCATTCCAATACGAGTCCCATCGATTCCGTATTTCCATCTTTTCCGACTCAGTGATTCCCGCGCCTTTCGCCTTGCGCAACGTACGTTGTCGCGACAGCAATAGCTTCCGGTCCTCTCTCAAGTGAGCGAACTGAAGAATGATATACGCGGCCCAAAAGCGGCAGGACCACATTCCCATAGGTCCTGGCTTCAGTGTAATGGCTTTTTGAGGAGCAAGAGGAGGAGAGATAGTGGAGGGGATGATATCCCGGGATGTGAGATAACTAAGATGTTCAAGAGGGTAGTAGCCCAACATCGACCACCCTTGTAACCGCTCAATGGTAAGCAAATTACGCGTCGGCTGGGGGTTCCTCTCCAGAGAGATCAGCCACTGGAATATGGGCAACAGGCCTAGGCTTCAATCAGAGCGTGTACGACTGCCAGAAGTGACATTCACTGACCCCAGAATCTCCACAAAGTCCGTGAATCATTGATGATTTTTGCAAATTTGGCTATCTCGACAGCAGCCGAGCTCGTAGGGTCCTTCCTCAGTCCAGCTCGACACTGCAGGCGCGCTCGCAGATTCAAGAGAGGCACCAGTAATTTCAGGGTATATTGTAGCACCTGGAAATAGCTCGACAAAACAGGCCGCAGGCGTAGATGAGATAACAAACCATGAACAATTTACTGCCAATCAAGTAAGTCAGCGCAGTTATAATCGATGGAAATAAATACGCAACTCGCTACCACTCCATGTTCCCAAATACCGCACCAGGTGGTCCAATGTTGCAGAGGGCGGAAACGCGGAGAACGACCCGAGAATCAAATCGTTAATCCTAGAGACCGTGAAGGGCTTGGAAAGCGACATAATGCTTGCAGTTGGTAGGGAGAACAGTGACGGTCCACACGGGTACCCGCATATTTCAGCCAGTCCCGGTTCCGGTCCGAAGTACTCGTGGGAATAACTTACATAACCAATTTTTGTGTATAAAAACCTGCGTTCGTCGTTGCTTGTTCCTTCGAACAAACCTCTGGGGACACAAAAGTTCGGGCTCGGTTTAGCTCTTCCGCCTCCTTGTCCGCGTTCCCGTCCTCTAGATTGAACCAAGGTGTCGAAGATACCGGGGCATTTGTGCATTCTTATACCGTCGCATGAAAAATTTCTTCCGTGGAAGAGGCATCGCTTCGGCTGGCGCTCATGATGCCACGTAGGAATTTTTTAGAGGGTCTTTGATTGCATGAGTGTCCTACATCCTTTTTATTATCATCCTGTAGTTCAATCAGTCCCTTTGTGCAGACGAAGAATATTGTTACAATTCAAATGTCATTTATGTATATACAGATTCAAAAAAAGGAAGATCCAAATATGTGTTGACAGTGAGTATACTAGATGTCGCTAGCGGCAGTGAGGTTGAAAAAAGTAATACCAGTCTAAATACTAGATATATAGTACAACAGGCTCGCACCATCTTCTACTTGGGATCCAACCTTGCAGATAGAAAACCGGGCGGTGGGCCACGACTAGCGCGTTTTGTGGGCGACGGTGGTGGAGAACTAGTAATGACGCTTTTGGTCTTGCATAGCGCAGGAGGTGGGGGGCCTAGAAGACGAGATATAGCCCAGGGAAGTTCGTAACCTGCGTTGCCCACATGTGCAATATACCGAGCAAGTTCTAGATGCAGCGTGGGGTAGTAAGTGGTGGAAGCCTTTCTCGAGATCTGAGGATACAACATCAATATGATGAGAGCGCAAAAATGGATTCTTACAAGTATCATACGCTCCAGGCCGGACAAAAATAGATCAGAATGAAGACGAAACGCTGACAAGTCATGGTCCTTGGGCATCTTGAGGTCAGCTGCACATTGCGCGAGGGCGTTGATTAACCGTAAGTGTGTCGTCTGTAAACCAAGTGTCAGAGGAGGACAATATACAAGCAAGGCACGAACAAAGTAACCCATAGCCTCAAATTCAACACCCCCAGTCATTCCTCCTGGTGCTCTGGGCTTCTCCACACGACCTTCGTCTGTCTCTGACAAAACCCAAATAGTATTGTTAGGATGACAGAATACCCAAAAGTAATCGCGGCAGACATCCGAGAGCTCTTGCAGATAGGATTTGTATATTCTGGACTTGTGGAGAGATTCGATGAACGCGTGTGGTGAAACGGGAGTAGCAGGCGATTCTGTCGGGGGTGGAGCTGGGGTCAACAATAACGCTCTGATCAGGGAGAAAAACGTTTTGTGGGGGGCCGGGAGTGTGATGAGATTGCTAGACGTAGACATTTCAGAGTCGTTGTCCCATACTTCGCGTCGAGTGCAATTAGGCATCGCATTACTGTGAGCAGGTAAAGCGGATGTCGGATACAGTTCAAAAAGAATGAGAATGAGGTCGACAATGAGTTGTCGAGTGGCAACATCGCCGGGCTTCTTATCAGAGTATAACAAGGCCACAAGTTGGACGAACGGGGTTGGGCACGAGCTACGCAAAGCAAAGCATCCTATTGAGGATGTAGAAAGCGCCTTGAAGCATCTAAGCAGCTCGTGCAATAACTGGTCATCGTGTTGCTCCTCCCTACCGCATCTCCGTAAGCAAGCTAATGGGTCACATTCACAATGATACATACCTCCATTCAACTTCTAGAATTTCATTCAAACGCGTCAATAGAGCGGAATAACCACCCATGCGCAGAAATTCTTGTGACCAGCTGAAGGATGCTCAGAAGGGGGATAACGTTGGTAGTAGTTCAATTACCTTGCGGACTCGTTTCGAAGCAGCAGTCGCAGCTTCTTGATCAATTCCACGTCCAGTTCCGTGCTTGAAGTACTTGTCAAGATACTGATGAGCTTATTGGGGGACATGTTTTTTCCAAGGGACGAATATTTGTCTTTTACGGTCTTGCCACCAGTCGTCAAGTCAATTACGGAGCCGGAGGATGGAAGGTTGATCTGGCTCCGAGAAGCTAAGCCACTATAGGACAGGCCTCTGATATGATTGCTGGCCTTTCGGGGCGAAGGGGAGGCGCTTACAGAAGAGGCGTGATGCGCTGAGATCCGTACTGGGGAGGCAAATGGTAATACGGGTGGTCGCAACACGTCATCATCTAGACAAGCTGAAGAAAGTCGAGGAGATCCAAGAGACTCTGTGCTCCTCGTTCGCCGGAGGTTCGTTGAACGCGGAATTGGGGGTAGTTCGTCATCAACTTGGGTTGGTTTGAGGGCTAACACGTGTGATGACTTCAACATGGCAGCCTTGACCGTAGAATCCATGCCTGCAAGCTTGGGACGGAGAGTAGAAGGTATTTGCAAGTCATCCTAGCGGCGAGAAAATTACAAACGGTGTACAGAAAGGATAAAAGGATACTCACCAAAAGTCGATCAAAGGCAAGATTAGTCTCGGGGCCCACCGTTCCCGACGGTTGGACATTCCCTTTGGACTCTGTTTTCTTCTTCTTTTCATAGGGCTGCTGGAATCCTTTGGTTGCAGTAGCTGGACGTGCAATTTTCGTTGCAGTGGCTAGCAGTGGTTGGCCGCCTGGCTGGTTCTCCTTGCCATTTGCTGGGACGTCAGCCAGGGAAGTGACCATCGTAAAGTCTGAAGAGGATATCCTCTTCGCTGGAAGAATGCCTTTGAACATGGCAAAAGTGGAGTACGATGTTGGAAATGTGGCAAACGAAAGGAAGGTTACATAAGGTTGAAGTTGAGCGCGGTCGCGTTTCCCGTAGATCACGTGCTCATATTTTTCCCACGCCCCATTTCAGAAAGATTTCGCCGTTCGGATGTTTGCAAGCCACGTATATGGCAAAGTATTTATGAAGAAGCACTGGGCGACCCTGGGCTAAGAGCAGAATTGTTTTCCGGAAACTACAATTTATATACTCTTTGAATATTTCTGTATGTTCTAGGTTTAATAATGTTCCTTCTTACTTACCCTCGATGGTTGTCATGATCCGTCGTGCGTCACACACACAATTCAGTGGGAATCTAGCCATTGAGAATAGACTGCGTCGTCCGGAATCAATACGCCTCTGTGGGTTACCGTCGATCCGTGACTACAGGCACGAGAGCAAAGTATAATGACATGATTTATCAAGAGCTAGGGGTAGCACCTGGTTCTGCAGCACAAGACCAGTTCGAGATGAAATACGAGCACCTGAGCTTGCGAGGACAGTTATGTAGTACAGGGTCAGGATGGAAACCCCATTTCGGGGTGGCAGTGCCGCGTGCCGTCATATGCAGGGCCTCTTCACCTTCCTCCTTCACGCTACCTTAGTATCCGAAACATCACTCTGCCCACCGCTGACTCCGTGTTATTCTGGCTCTACGGCAGCCAAAGAGTCTTTTTGGGATTTTCAAGAGACGAGCTCGCAGAAATACAACAGCAGTCGTTCAGTCTGATCCACCATCTACATCTTCCGACATGCAGTCTCCACCTTATGTGCCACCGCCCAGAGCTATACTCGATCCCGCCCAGCAGGCACCTACAAAGGCAAATCTAAAGGCCTGGTGGAATCAGTTTAACTTTGTTCAAAAGGTCAAGAAGGAGGCCGAGTCTAAAGGCGAGTCCTTGTCGTTGGACAGCGGCTTCATCTTACCGACCGCAGAAGACTCTGAGCATCCAGTGTTCGGGAAACCGCTCAAGGAGAGTTTGAGGTATGCCAGCGTCCAGATATCGACCGCGAACGCAAATGGAGAACTCTTCGTGTGGGGCTATATCCCAGTTGTCGTGGCGAAATGGTATGTCGTCTTCTCGAACATAGATCCGCTCTTTGACTATTGCCTTTCAGCGGCCTGTATCTCAAAGAAAATGGTTTGATTCCCCTTCACAGGCCTTGAATAGCGCTCACTGCCAAACCAGCCACGGAAGTACCTGGCACATTTCGAGTAAATGGCTCCACCAAGCGGATGAGAGAACTGCAGGCTGAATTTGAGACTCCTCCACGAGTACGGATCATATTCTCGGCAATCTTTCTTCCTTCTCATCTTTCCATCAGTACGGTAAATCCTTGGACTGGAAGCAAGTCTCATACACCTCCCATGATGTCGCAAGTGTCTTCCGGAGATACCTTACCCAAATGCCAGTCCGTCTAATCCTCTCCTTTTTAAAGGTTGCAACTGAATGATTTTGATGATTGAATAGGAAGCTGTTATACCCTACGACATGTATCATGACGTAAGTTTTGCATGCAGAATCTTCCATTCAGTCTCACCTCCTTGTTCATACAGTTCCGAGACGCTTTAGGTGATTATATTCTGTAACCGCCCCATTCCTGTGTCCTCACCGCCTATCAGCAAAGGAGCCTTACAACCAAGACGAAGTCATCGCCACATATAAGAGGCTCATACGGGCCATGCCTCGTGCAAATCAATATCTTCTATTATACGTCCTGGACCTCTTGTCTGTATTTGCACGGAAATCTGACATCAACTTGATGACCGCCACGAGTGAGTGTACACTGTGTATGAGCCTCACGACGGTACTTGATATTTTTTCATCAGATCTTGCTGTAATCTTTCGGCCAGGTTTGATATCTCATCCCCACCACGAGATGTCGCCGAAAGAGCACGCTCTAAGCCAGAAGGTATTAGAGTTCCTAATAGCCCAACAGGATTGGTTCATGCTGGACATACCACCGCCACCCCAAAACACACCTGGATCTCCTATATCTGATTCATCATCTGTTGACGACATCACCGTATTCCCTAGTTCAGACGATGAGCGACAACCAGGTAGTGGGTGGAAGATGGTAGGAAAGAAAGACATTCGTCGAGTAACGCGCCGAAGAACGACCCTCGACCGCAGCGGTACGTTCCCCTGTCCTAGACAATCCAATGATTGAATGTTTTACATCATCTTTTCGCAGCTGCGCCGCATGTCGTTGTAGCCGAAACAGAACTTCCTCCCGTCAATGAAACCCCGACTTCACGACCAGAGGATGGACCAGTGGGTGTGTCTCGGAGTCGAACCATGCCCTCTGGTCGGCGAGTTGCTTCGTCGTCATCTGATGCCCCACGACTTTTGCGAAAACAGAAACGGGTGTCATCTTCTCAGCCCGGTCAGACCAGAGGTGGACAAGATCCAATGCCTACGACGTCGTAGCCCTCTCCTTCTTTCCCCTGCTTTGGCATACCCCTGGCTTCTTTGTACTCGCGTCTGGATTTCACGACCTGTTTTTAGAAAAGGTCCATGGACTTTATTTTTTCTGTGGTTGCTACATGTATTTCCAGATATGGACATTAATCTATTAATATTGACCTATGTATTTATGTTTAGCCTGGCCTTCTTATTGCCCCTTGAAAGGGCCGATGTGACGGTCCAGCGTTACTGGCGACATGCGCAGCTGTACCGAAATGAAATATGAAGCGAAGTTTGTTCCAGCTTCCCACCGTACCCCCATCACTCCCTTGCCTACCTTAGCTTCAACCTTTGAGCACTGTCTGCTGCTGAACTTTTTCTTCCATAATGGCGATGCCTTACACTGACAGTCCACGGCATTCCCACGCTGACCTACAGGATTATTACGATAGCGTACCAGTACGTGCATTCTTGCTGTTCAACAAACGAGACAGCGTAATTAACCAGCCCTGTTTTCCTAGCCACCGCACCGCCTCTCTGGCATGAACACTCCTTCATCTTTTTCTACACAAGATATACCACTCGTTCCTCAAAGTCCCAGTGGACACGCTACACGTTCATATGGCGCCCCTTTGGCGTCACAGCCCAGTGCAATGGATTCAACAACCGACATGACAACCGGTTACAGGGATTATGATCATGGGTATTCCGATCACGATCATATAACGCCAAACGATACTTGGATGGAGAAGGGGACCTCCACCGGTAGCAGCAAGAAGAAATGGGTTGTGAGTACGCCCGCGCACCGAATTCTACCTCGTTTTCACGCAACTTGTCGCTTAGGTTATTGGAGGACTTCTTGGACTTCTAGCCTTGATCGCAGTTGGTGTTGCCCTGGGCGTCACGCTGTCCAAGAAGAGCTCGAGTTCTAGTTCAAGCAGCAGCTCCAAATCTTCGAGCTCCGACCCTAGTAATTTCTCAAAAGATGCCAATCTCAAGCAATCGTTCTATGGTATCGCCTATACCCCTGCTGGTTCGCAGTTACCCGACTGCGGTAACTCGCTTGGTGAGTAGGATTAAAATAGACGGTAGTCGCTGCTTAGACATGATACATCATTAGATGATGTGATTTCGGACATTCAGGTATTTCCAACATTTTCCAAAAATGATGAATATTTTCTGATCTTGTACTAGCTAATGTCCCAGTTGACGACGGTAAAAGAAAAGTCCATTGACTCTTGAACACCCACTAACCGTTTGACCGTTTAGCGTGTCCGTCTTTATGGTGCCGATTGCAACCAATCGGCATTGGTGGTATGTCTATATCTCCATGTGGTTGCAGACTAAGCTGACCTTTCTCTTACGACTTAGCTGGAAGCTATAGAACAGACAAAAGTCAACATGACGGTCTTTCTGGCCAACTATCCCGTTTCAACCGATAACGATACGGCGTACGATCGTCAAAAAGCACTTATCAAGTCGGCGATACAGACTTACGGGACAGACCACATTGGTGGAGTCACCGTTGGTAACGAGTACATTTTGAAGTTCGTGATATCACTTTCTGGATTACGGAGATGGTTGACCGACGTCTCCCACGTTAGTTATCTTAATGCTAATGGTGCCACTGATCCTAATGGCGCTGTTGGAAACAAAGGTATGACGACATGATGCTCGCTTGTGGAGTGTCGATGGGTTGAGATTTTTACAGGCGGTGAATTGCTGATTGCCAATATCAACGATACACGGTCCATGCTAAGCGACCTTGGAGCGGACTTGCCGGTCGGGACTGCTGATGCCGGTAGTTATTTTAATGATCTCGTGTTGGAGCAAGTGGACTACGGCGTGAGTATTTTTCCACATCATCATTGGTCGTGTATATAAATAACCGACTATCTGGGTAGATGGCAAATGTTCATCCATGGTTCGCCAATGTCAGCATCGATCAAGCTGCGGGTTGGACTTGGGAGTTCTTTGAGACCAATGACGTGAACCTGGCGTCCAGTCTAAGCAACACCCCGCAGATGTATGTCGCTGAAACTGGTGCGTAGTTTTCGCCCAAAATATCGTGGGGACAATGTCAAATGATATGTATGTAGGTTGGCCAACGGCGTCTTCTGACACGGCCGACGAATCCAATGGACCCTCAACGGCATCTGTTGCAAACCTTCAGGTAGGAAACATATTTATCCATGTGCTCAGCTTTGATTCACAAACTCTGGTCTTATAGACTTTCCTCGATACATACATCTGCGAAGCAAATACTAATGGAACTAAGTACTTCTTCTTTGAAGTAAGACTCCATTCTTCCTCTGATTCTTTAATACTGATGCGTTTGCTTAAAGTTCTTCGATGAAAAGTGGAAGGTACGCTGAACTCTATAGTGAAGAGCTTTTTTTTCTCATTCTTTCTCCAGGACGAGGAATACGGCGGCGTAGAGGTACTTATGTTTCCCTCGAATTCAATTCACCCTCTGATTACCTTTTGCAGGGTTGGTGGGGCCTATTCAATGCCAAGTAAGCTTCGCAGCTCTATTGTCATTTGTCACAGTGCTCAGACAGCTTCTAGCCGAACGCTGAAAGCTGGAATCACAATACCCGACTGTGTTCTGTCGTAAATATGCTGTCGCTGGGTTTGCTGATTTATTAGGGATCTGACGTTTATTCTAATATAAGTATCTCTGATACCGTATTGTATACATGGACCATTCGAGGATCTGGACTATATTTTCCCCTTTTCGCTTATATGATTCGTTCCCTACTGTATCCGTAGTGTTGTCTATGTCCTCGTCTAGTACCAATGCACTTGGACATGGGGTTATTGGGTACGGAAGGTACCAAGGAATAGTGTTTGTGCTGATTACGATTTCTCAGACTGTAGACTTCCTTCGTTCACTCTCCAGGGTGCCTTGGAACGATAGAAGGGGTTCCCGTTGCACTGCCTCGAGTCTGACCAACGAACTATCGCGTGAATATCAGTTTATTTCAGACGATTCGTCTACGTGGATATGTAGAAGGCAGAACTAGATGATCCCTTTACTTTTGATGATACCCTTCCAGCCCTTGAAAACGTAGGAAGAAAACAGATCGAGTTCCTCCATGGATGTCCTGAAGCTGCTGGAGGTGTCGAACAGGTTGTCTAAGAAACTATACGCGGTCGATGGTGACGTGAATTGATGGAGTTCTAGATACATTATTAGAACTCCCAAGACCGACATAAGGGATGGAACCACCTGAGGCGCCGTATATTCCCGCAATAGAAGCCCTGCGAGCATACCAAGAGAGCTTGGCAGAATGTTACTGGCTGAGCGTCTCCAGGAAGCAGACCGAGACTCACCTGCACGGATGTATCACGCGTTATGTAACAAGATTCGTCTGCAATCCTTGATGCGTGTTTGAGGGCAGGAATAGGATCAAGAAGAGGAACACCAGAGTTTGGAGAAACCAAGAGCGCAAAAGCCTAAGAACAGAGTAAGTCATGCAAAAGCCCGAAATAATAAGTGTACCTCTGGTAGATGCTGCAACACTGGCTCATTATACTGAAGTCTAGCATACAAAACACTTTTCAAAGTGGGCGAAGGGACAGTTCCCATATGCCGTATTCCCTGATCAAGCCAAGCCTGTATAAGGGTCCGTCTTGCGTCGTCCCCGTTTCCGAATAATGCAGACACAGCAGTGTCAGAAAGAGGTTCTGAATGCGCTTCTCCTGGAGGAAGGGAAAGCACTGACTCGGCCAAAGCCACACGAGTGAATCCATGGGTCTTGACCAAGCTGGTAGCCAGCTGAAGTAGCTGTATCCTTTGAAAAAAGAAATCAATAGCAAAAACCTGTAAATTGCGTTTCTTTCTACCTTGACATGACGGGAGGAGGCCGGGAAATGCCGAAGTGATCACGCACGACGTGTTACCTCATTATTTCCTTCCACTTTTCTCTTTCCTCACTTACTTGATTTCCACGCCTAGCGTGTCGTCGCTGATTATCCGGCATGTCTGATTGGGGTACCCATTCTTTCTCGCCAATCATGCCCGGATCTTTGTACTGATTGACTATCAGAGGCATCTGACAGCGATACTCAAGCCAAAGCAGGTCCTCAGGTAAAGGTGCCGCTGGCAAAGAAGCCTACCAAGGGAAAATGGGAGGGAGAAGATGAGGACGATGATGCTCCCGCAGTGTGTTCTCTATCCTTCTATCGACATATACTCTTTGACACTCCTGCAGAGTGACTGGGAAGACTCATCCGAGGAGGAAGAGAAGGTCCCATCGGCACCAGTAGCACCACCAAAGAAGAAGGGTACTCTAAAGGCAAAAATTGCGGAGAAGGAAGCTGCTAAAGCTGCACGTAAAAACGAAGAGGACCCATACGACTCGGACTCCGTGCTGGATCCAAGGGAGAAAGCCCGAAGAGAGAAAGAAATGGAGCTTAATTCCGACCTTAACAATGCCGCTGATTTGTTTGGCGCCGCCGCCCTCGGAGGTAATAGTTGAATCCAAACACTGGAAGACCTCGCTAACACGCTAGGTAGGCACAACCTCCAAGGAATTGGATTCCCTTCTGTCTTTCCAGCCTCGGACGAAGGAAGATTTCATACAGCTTTCATCGCGCATAATAGAGGTCGTCATCAAAAAACACCAGAATAAGCCGTTGTATCCGGCGTTTGTCGAACATTTTGTGCGCGAACTGGCTATGCCTCTCAAGGATGTCGAAGTGCGCAAAGCCGCCAGTGGGTTGACAACCCTTGCCAACGAAAAGCAAAAGGAGCAGAGAGACAAGGCGAGCGGCAAGAAGAAGCCGAAAGCAGCATCTAAGCCAGCTCTCGGAGCTGCAAAGGTTGCAAACAGGTACGTACTGTCTTTTTTTTGCCTTCGTGTTTGAAATCTGACGTTCTTCAGGGTCGACACTAGCATTTATGATGAAGCCTTGGACGATTTTGGCAGCCATGCTGATGATTTCATGTAGACGGCTTACCTTTTGTTTCTATAGTAAGTTTACGTCGTTTTTAATACTGTGTTGTAGAGGGCACTGTTGTAGACTAATTGACGCCCGATCTGGAAGAAAGGGTAGGTATTTAAGATATGCCACATCTGTGTTACCATTCATCTCATTCTTCCTCAGACACAGGCAATACACGTAATTTGTACCAAGAACCAAGAGCTTGGCAGTCTACGTCCCAACGATTCCTCAACATGTGCTCGTTAAGATCGTTACGCGTCGCCGTAGCTGGAAGATGTACAGTGTCGGGTCCTTCTCAGAAGAAATTTTACCTTCTTCGTTTAGAGTGAACGAAAACGAAGTCCTTCCAGTAAGAATGAAGTAGTAAGCCGCCGATATCCGTTCCTTTCCGTGCCAACCTCTAGAGTCTACGTCCCGCAGAGACAACGGAACCGACTTAGCCAAGCCAGTATCTGCATCGAAATCTATTGCATGAGCTCAGAGTAGCTCTTAGTTTCAGTAGCCCACTTCCAACAGAGCGACCACGTGAGGTGGTTTACCAGCATATGCCGATCACTGTACGATCGGAGACTGACTGACTTCATCCAAGACAAGTGCAGCAGCGACACCATCGTCGACTTTACCTTGCTCGAGGACTAAGCGCAGACGCAATGCACACACTCATTTTCCCTTCTGTTGGGGTGCAACTGCTCAGCTGCTTGGTTTTTTTCTTCGGTATGAATGACAGTTAGTTTTCACCTTCCCATGCTAAGATGAAGTATAGGCGTAGCAACTCTCACCCACTGCTTGTCACGAAGGACTCTTACCGAAGACCTGACAACGTGGAAAATTGTCGTCCGGATTCCGTGGCCCCGCCTGTGTATTTTGCTCATTTTCTTGGATTCGTGGCTATTTCTCTTTTCCAGTGCGTATCCTTTAGTATATCTACTTCCTGTGTCTCATGCGTGTAGGTGGTGTCCTCACGTTTGGTGTTGGCCTGGAAACGCATCCAACGATTTGTGCCGTGGCAATATATATCTGCGTATTCTTTTATTCTACTTCAAAGCTCCTTGTTTACTGTTTCCTCAGTAGGTCTTCTTTTTCCATCGATCATCGCATATCTCATTCTAGCTGTCAGTCGAGAAAGTACATGTTGTCTGGTCGCCTTCAGGGGGTGCACGCCGTTTGCAATCGAAAGTCTATATTCTCTGCGCTATCACAGTGGGACTGTATACTGTTGCTATTGCCGTGATGATCATTGGTGAAGCACTGCTCTCCAGTCCGTGCAACATAGTTGACTGATATCTCGATTTTAAAGGGAGAGTCACTTTCTTGAGAGAACACGATCAGGTCTGTATCATAGGTTTGAAGCCTTTCTCTTCAATATTTTTGTTGGCGTATGATTTGTGAGGCCCTTTCTTATTACTATGATGGAACAAACTAACGTGGCCTAGATACATTACTGTTTTCCTTACGACACTGTTTCTGTGGCCTATCCTTCGATCGAGTGTGGCGAATCCCCGCATCAAAATGGTTGCGATCAGAACGTTAATGTGAGGTCTTTTCTAACTGAGTTCTCCCTCTTCTTCACGAATACTAGTGCCGCCGTGGTCGCTCTTGCGACATCTATTGTGATGTTTCAGTCCTTTGAAGAGACGATGCCGCTGAAACTTGATGCAGGTCAACATGGCAGCACTGACCTCTTTTCGCGGACATGAACTAGGATGGGTATGTCTCTGTAGCTGTGGAGCGGATGTAAGTCAAACATGATCATACATTTGAATCTGCCTCTCACTAGGAAACAGGTCATTTTCAATGCAGTAGCTCTCTTCTGGGTGACCAGCGGTTCTCTTAGTAAAATCAGCGGGTCCTCTCAAAGCCCAACCAGAGGAGCTGATCCCAGACGGCCGGCGGAGATGCGCGCCAGGGCTTCCTCTGTCGTCGTCGTCGGTCCCAACTCGCCCATCAAGTCCTCCTTTTCACAGAAGACGACTTTCGACGAGCGCCGACCCAGCGTCTCTGTTGACCTCCCTTCAGCCCCGGCTTCAATTATGTCCTTCAATACAACATCTTCGCCTGCTTTCGATGAACCTTATTTTTCTCGATCCTTTCAGCTGCCATCACCTCCTTTCAGGACCGCGACAGGATCTATGCCAACGACCTCGTCCGAGATTCCTGAGTGCCATGAACTACAGGTATGCGTTCCCGACGTTGCCATGTTATGTATCTAAGAACCGAGTTAGGTCACTATGTCAACTGAATACGAAGCGGATGCGGATTATGTTAGATAGATATAGGTTCTACAAATGGAATTTTATTATAGGGTACATCCATTATTCCACTTTCCTCTGTGATTGTTGTTTTTTTCTTCCTCAAATAGTATCATCGTATACTTCAAGAGCTGGCGCATGAAGCTAATTTTTACACGTAATTCACACGATGACCGACCTTTTACATTCTTTCCTCCCGGGTTCAGGTACTAGATGAGGGTGTGTCTATTGCTGCAGCCACATTTTTTCATAGAAACGGCTACACCAGAGAACACGTCCACGGCAAAATATATATTAGTGTCTCTAAATACCTTTGACTCCCAGTTCCTCCGCTATGATTATTGCTGCTTTTTCTCCGATGATTAGTGCAGAATTGTATGTGTTGGCTCCGACATTGGAGGGCGCTATACTCATATCTGCGACCTTAAGGTTCTGCACACCATAGACGTTAAGACGTGAATCGACAACCCCGCCTTGGCTACGCAGTTTCATCGCGCACGTCCCGAGCTGTATTGACGGTCAGACTTTCCTTTTCGCACTAGTGTGAGGAAAATTACCGAGTGCCAAGTAGTCGCAACTAATATTTTGGATCGCGTTAGTGACAGCAGATACGATGAAGGAAGAACTCACCCTTGAGACGATGGTAGTCATCTATCGCAGCGTCATCTTCCTCCGTATAGTTGATATCGGGGGCGGATATAACAGCAGGACCTTGGGCTTGGAGTCCTGTGGCAGCCTCACTCCCTTTGGGAAATAGAGGGTGCCCCGCAGCAACATAGCCTCGATAAGAGCTCATGCGTCGAGCGAATTCCCGACTGTGCTTATAAGCCCACCTCAGAACAGCCAAGTCGGCGGGGCTTATGCGAAGCACCAAATTAGAAACAGCGAGGTCTCGATAACAAAAAGAATATACTCGTCAAGGAAACCGGTCTCCAAATTGAGAGGGGCATACGGATTGAGGCCACCTTGTATGTGAACTCTGCCCAACGACGCGGGATACTCCTTTGAATGTGTTTGTATAATCAAGGCACATATAGATATCGCAAGATAGACCCACCGTATAGTATAGCATAGAGAAATACTTGCGCCCAAGTTCTCGTGGAGGATCGAGGCCAACATAACTTACAGAGTATTATCAGGTTTAAGATTCTGCCTTGAGTACGAGCACCGCCCTTACCCGGATAACGGACCAATCCACATGACAGGTTTGTCGGGAGCGTTCAAAAAGAAGTCGTTCCATCGTTTGGTGAAGGTAGGTCCGAGAATCTTCAAATCCTTTTCATTCGGCCGATGTTTGATACCGGCGTCAATGCCACTATGAACAGATGTGTGAGGTGTCCATACTTAACCAGGAAAAATAGTTCTCAACTTGGTCGCGAATAATCCCGTCCCATCCTTGCGCCATTGTTCAGCATGGACTTTAAGAACTCAGCCTTTGTCAACAACTTGACCGAAAGTACTTACACGCAACTGCTGTCGGGTCACCCTCGAATATCACGTCAAGAGTGTCGGATGCTTCATCCGCATGATAAGGAATAAACAAAAGATTATGGTCTGCGGAGTGAATCAGTGGTCACTTTGAACTTCCTATTTGTCAAATAAGATACCGTTGTAGTTCTCCCCCACGCCAGGCAAATCAACAATCTGGGGTATATCGTTCCTCTGCAAGATTTCAGCTGCCCCGATTCCTGACCTACGTAGTGTGAATTCAATTTGGGTTGACACAGTGCTTAAATATAAGAAATACCTTTCCAGAATCGCCGGAGAACCGAACGCCCCAGCGGATAGTACGATGAGACGTGATGCAAATGCTTTCTGAACGTTTTCTCCGGGAACGATAGCAGCAGATTCAACGTCATCAGTGTACTCCACGCCAATGGCACGTTTATCGCTGTCAACATAAATCAATGGTCAAGGGATCGTTATGTTGGATCCCTCTTACTCGAAAATTACTCGGACAACTCTTTTTCTGTCTAGCACCTTCAGATTACCGTTGCGTTCTTGATTATAAATGAAATGATGGGCGGTATCGGATCGTGTTCCAGAGACCGAATCGATGTACCTGAGAAACCTCGATCTGTCAGTAATGGTCAATTGACTTGCGAACAAATCAATCCTGACTTCGGCCAAGGCTACTGAAATCAGTCAAAGCCAGTTAGAAATAACACTGGCACGTACACCGTATTGATTGCAGGTCTTAAAATTGTTGGGATCATCCGTGAAATCACGGCCCCCATCATACTTGGAAGCCACATCAAGGTATTGTTCTCCAAAGCTTCCGACAACGTTTTTGACTGAGATTGCAATAGGACCATTTGTACCATGATTCGGGTTGGAGCCGCATTGATAAGTTTCTACCTTGGGATAGGTCTGGCTTCAAAGCTGCATCAGTAAGATGACGAGAGTCCTCTTACCTTGTTCGCTAGTGGGACCAAATCCTTTGAGCCCCATCCAGGGTTTCCGAATTTTTCCCAATCATCATAATCCGATGCAGAAGCTCTAGTATACATGACGACTTGCGCCAATATCGGCGTCAATTTAGCGAATATATCAGCGCAGAACACCCACAGTTAACATTCGATCCTCCACCCACACATTTAGCAGAGGTAACGATGGGGGATCGGCCGGCAAGGGATTTGCTAGGGTTTCCGACATGGGACGTGAAGACTCCGCCTGGAGAAACTAGATTGCCGAAGTAGCGAGCCGGCTGGACGTGTTTTTCAAGCCCACGAACATGTGGCCCTGCTTCGAGGATCTGAGAGTGAAAAAGTGAGCGACGCCAAAAACAATACAACAAAGGAGAAGAGCCACCAGAATCTTGAGCGATGGATCGGCGGCAGCAAGGCGTCTTGTCAAAGGAGAAGACGTCTAAGAAAAATTGCACCAAATCAAGCAAATTGTCGCTCACCCAGCAGTTACACATCCACTAGTTCCACCTATCAACATTTTGAGCGCTCTCATCTGCTGCCGGACGGTATATGAAACATACCTCCAGCAAAAATGATGTCGTATTCTTCATGTTGACCGGGTGATTGGGACATCTTACAGCGGGTAGGGTATTGTGGGATCGATAGAGATCCTAACTCTCCTTATACATCTTCCCTGTACCTAAACGGGGCAAATCACTTGGTACGCGAGCAGTCTGAAGCAAGTGACCGGGCAGAAGACTTGTTGACCTTGTGTTAGCCAAACCGACATTACGTGAAATAGGCATTGGCAGATCCGCATATCATGGAACCCTCCGAAATGAAGATGTAGTTGCTACCTGGAGCACTACAGTGGGGCAAGCTTCAAATACTGGAAAGGACATGATCAGATAACGTGAGCGCAGACACGATCTCGGTTCCGGGGTTCCGGCTATCAAAAGCTTCCGGAATCATCAACTGACCTTTTCCGTGGTCAGGTCTTCAAGCTCGGCGTCATTGCAAAAATGATTCCAGCTACATGACGGGGCTATCCTTCCTATTCTCTTCTCATTGAGGAGCACTAGCCGGTAAGCGGATCCACTCGGTTTTCCGAACACCTAATGTCATCGTGGTATAAAAAGTGGTCCTCAGATGACCTCTCGCAGGGAAAAACTCAAATCCCTTGGATCAAGGGTAGCCTCTCTCTTCCTCAGGCTGGTCTCTTACATTCTTCGGCTCGCCTCGTGACTCGTCGCACCTCCCTTACTAGGACATCTAAATAGTGAATCACAACTTGAACTAGGCGCCCAGTAATCAGTATGCTCCCGAAGATTCCCGTTCCCACCGGATTATCCATCCATCGTCCGGGATCATTATGCATAGTTCTTATCGGCGTAGTGGCAGACCTCAGTCCCCTAGCGGTAACATTTCCTACCCGGGGACGGAGGTATGAAGAACTAGGCTAAGCTGGACTTTAGGCTTCTGATTGATGCATGTTTGATCAAGTCCTACTGTTCCGAAAGAGTTGTTCATTCAAATACTCAAGGCCCAGGGACCGGAAGTGTATTGAAACTGCACATTTCGCCAGCTACCTTACTCGGTCTTACGATACTAGGTCTAAAACCTAGTCCCGAGGCTCGCTGTTATCAGTGGCAATACTTCAAAAACTTTCCTTTCTATTGACGGGAAAATACATCATTCTTCGGGCGGAAGTTGAACATTTTTCAGTTCCCACGAACGCATGGTACCCACATATATTTTTGACACCACGAACAGTTACGATTGCTTATCGAAGCCTGGGGTACTCTTCCGCGAGGCGTCTGTGATGCACTAATGGTCTTGGCAAAATGAACAACCTCATCTCCGTCTTCCTCCTGTGATGCACTTGCTTAGTAGCAGATACTCTGTCTATACGGCGGCAGTGCTTATCCTCTCTTTAACCAGTTTTTTGCTCTTCAGCAGTACTCAATTTCATCCATTTATCAGGTCTGCACGCGAGCACACTTGCGCTTCGACAACTCCTGCAGTGGGTCTCAAAATCATTCCGAAACACCATAATATCGCAATAGCCTCGACATTCGGATTTCATCATGACGTTTATATGGCATTAGCGTGGACTATTGGACGTGTATTGGAACGAAGCACAGCAGGAGGAAGTCTTCAAGTGTATGCGCCCTCACCATTCAAATTCGACTTTCAAACTGTGGTCGATGATCTGGAACTCTACCACGGCATGATACACAACCCTGATAATCTAATACCTGACCTACGGAACATGAGAAAAGAGACAATGTACGATGTGGTTATACTGGGAACGTGCGAGATAGGTTCAGATTTGTTCTTCCCCTATGAAATTCCTGATTAACATTTTTATTACGTAGAGTACGTGATACCTCCAGCCGAGTGCCAATCTTGTGAACCGATATGCTAACACTGGATAGTTTGAGAGGCGGTCTGAACGATGAACTACTTGCGGCTTGGGAAGAAAGGGATGAGCATCACAAATTTCAACTCGTTTGCATCGTTCACGACGTTACGGTCGGTCTCTCATTTTTATCAAAAAGTTAAACTCAGTCATCATAGGACACGACATGGCAACCAGCTATTACCGAATGGAGTCGGCGTCAAGCTATCCGTTTCCTGCCCATTTCTGAGCAGTATGTAGTTTCTTCCATGCAAATACGATCAAGCGCGTACCTAATGACTTTCTAGTGTTGCGAATGGATTCAGGCAATTGTTTGAAGTATTGGCAGATAGCGGCGACGAAGACATCCGATCTGCAGGATACGAATATCTACCAATCGACGTTCACATTCCAGTCCTCGATCTGGGAGATGCACCAGACCGCCTGTTTCGAACTTTATCGAATGTGGTGATTCAAGGCAGTTTTACCAGGAGTAGGCGAGACTATGACAACATATTTGAAGATCTTTTAGAATCCTTGGCAGGTAAGTACTGCCATTCGGTGCCGAGCACGTAGCAAGATAGCTCACCTTGATCCTAGACGATCCTACCGCGTGGGGATACCTTCCATTACGAGATGCAGGCGCTTCATATGAGCCAGATCCTAGTCTACGCTCGCCACCGTTCCGCTTATTTCTCCTCGGTTCTGGGTGGTTAGAAATCCCTGATGAGCTGAAGAACATCGTGACCATGCATGTGGATCTGAATTACACAGGTGATGATTCAATTGGCATTGTGATATTGTTAGGCTTACAGTCATAATGTTGAAGATTTCTACACACTCATGAAAGGAATGGACGTCTGCTTGCCCGCGTTTGCTGACAATGGATACTATCAGTACCAAGCAAGTTCAACATTTGTCATGGCTGTTGAGTGTAACGTAAGTTCTTCTGCTTATTGTTGATGCATACAAACTGGAAGAAGGCATAGGTTCCATTACTAGCTACTGATCGCATGAAGAAGTCATACGCGTACGTGAATGATGATAGAGTTGTAATAACTCGGCCTGCGGCGATGGGGGAAATAGCTGCTGTCAAAGCTCTTCGTCAAGGATCAGCACAGGACTTCCTAGAACAATCAAATTACAATGCTCCTATCAGGGATTCTGTGCATCGTATGATGCGAAGAGGTTGGGTTAGAAACAGGGAAGAAGTTGGGGCATTCAAGCAATCTCTCTGGGAACGAAACGAGGGAGTTGTGGAACGTCTGTTAGGGGATTTGTGAGGTTAATGGTATTTAACCTAGGTTTTTATGACTATTGAATTGCCCCATGCTTAAACCTCATTGCCCGCTGCATTTGAGCCATCCTTCATGACACCTAAGTCGGGAGTCGGTAAGCGCCGGACCGGGGCCCGGATAGTTTGTTTACGGTTGCTTGGATATGAGGGCGACACAGCTGCAGCGTCTTGTCCAGACGCATCATCTAATCTTTGAACCATACAACCTGGTAGGCGATAGAACGAGATGACCGACCTCGTCGATTCTATGCTGGATCTCATGCGACGGCTTCCACCAACTCGAACTGAAGAAAATGTCAACGCCCTAATTGGTATCTGTCCTGACTATGCCGACGATTTGCTGGGCAGCGTAGATCAACCTCTGCAGCTCAAGACGGATCGTTCAGCAGGACGAGAATATCTCGCCTGTGACTATAATAGAGATGGAGAGAGTCATAGGTTAGCGCCGTGCAACCATCATCCTTGTCTACATTAAACGGCTGTTCCAGATCGCCTTGGTCAAACGAGTATGATCCCCCTCTAGAAGATGGCACTGTACCTACACCAAAGCTTCGTAAATTGGAGATATCTGCGAACGAAGCGTTTGATACGTACCGAGAGATGTACGTGTGTATTTGTGCCTGGATGGTGATGATGATGAATGCTTTCAATGCAGGTATTATGAAGGCGGCATTTCGTCAGTATATTTGTGGGATCTGGATGATGGAGGGTTCGCCGGAGTGGTATTGTTGAAAAAAGGTCTGTCTATCTTCGTCTGTAACTCGACGCTCCTGACGTGAATCTGGATACGTAGTTATGACGCCTGCCTCTCCGCATGAACCGTCTGGAAGTTGGGACTCTATTCATGTATTTGAAGCGGCAGAACGCGGACGGCAAGCTCACTATAAATTAACATCTACCATCATGCTACAGCTTGTCACCCGCAATGGGTCCGATGCAGAAGACGCGCAGAAGAAGGATGACAAGGCTACTGATGGTTGGAAGCGCGACGGTGAAGTGAATCTTAGCGGAAGTATGACGCGCCAAGTACGTTCGCCTGCTTCGTAAACAAAGCCATGTTGACTTCTTCCGACGCAGACTGAGCAAGATATGGCTCTGCACGACCCATCATCTCATATCACAAACACAGGGAGAATGATTGAAGATATGGAGATAAAAATGCGCAATCTGCTTCAAGAGGTAAGTCATCTCGTTGGCATGTCCAACGAGTAGCATTCACGGATCGTGACAGGTGTACTTTGGGAAAACACGGGACATTGTATATGATCTGAGAAGCGTCGACGACTTGGAGAAAGCAAGAAAGCAACGGGAATTACAGAAAGAGCTCGTCGGGTTCATCAAACGGTGATGTACTGAGGTTCGCAGTGCCTACTTTAATGAAATCGCAAACACTGCCGTACAAGGCCCTCGGGCGCGATATGATAGCAACTCGTTTATGTGCACGGTATGCCGCTACGAAGATTTCCACTTTGAAATGCCAATTTTCGCTTAGTTTTTTTATCGCTGTAGCTGAGCATCGGCAATAGGGTTAGCATGGATAGTGATCTACAGGGGCGCGATTCAACCGAGAGTTCGAAAAGCCGGTGTAGAAAATGACGTACACTTGTTAATTTGATTTCATCCAGAGGTCGGTTTTTGTTGTTGACCGGTCCTCGTTCCATCGCGTCCAATGCAGTGTCCGAACCATCAATCACTTTTCCAAATATCGTGTACTTGCCATCAAGATGGGCTTGCTTCGAGTAAGTTATAAAAAATTGCGACTTATTTGTGTCTGGACCGGAATTGGCCATGGCTACCACGCCGCGAGCATTAAACTGGAGTAAACATCAGTCCAATCGAACGTATATATCATCACGAGGCCTACCTTGAGAGTAGACCTGATCTCGTCGGAAAATGGTTTCCCCCAGATGCTCTGGCCGTCCTTCCCAGTGCCGGCGGGGTCACCAGTCTGGATCATGAAGCCTTTGATGTTGCGATGGAATATACATCCATCATAGTAGTTCGAAGCGCAGAGAGCGAGAAAGTTCTACATGTCATGAGGCGGTGAGAATCTGAAACGGCTGTGCAATAATTTCAAACCAACTTCTGCTGTTTTAGGCACGGCTTCACAGAATATTTCGATCTGGTGGACAGTGAGGTTAGAAGTAGTAAGTTGTATGAAGATTACATTACCTTCAATTCCCCGTGTGTGGTGTGCAGTGTAACGGACTAGAAGAGATGGTGAGCGAACGAAATGATAGATAGTAATGAAAGAGCTACCATCGCGGTAACGGTGATAGATGGGATGCAACCTCATGGAACCTGTGTGAAGCGTGACATGTCACGGAAACTTTTGATGGATGATCGAGTTTACCGAAACAAGCAACGCCCTCAGGTAGGCGCCGCAACCTTTTCCCTCTGCCTCCACCATCTTCGCCATGAAGACCCCTTCTCTCTACAGCCAGGACGATCCAATCACAGAAGCGTTACGACCGCCTCCAACAGAAACGGAGGCCGAGCGCTTCGCTCGTTTGCAAGCGGAAGCGGAAGCAAAACGGATTTCAGAACAGATTGACGAGGATCTTAGGCTAGAGAGGGAAACCCTGAAGAGGAAGAAAACTGATGTCAAGGTTCGCATCGATGGAAACTCTCAACTGAGATGCATATACTCACTTATTGACGCGCATATAGCTACTCTTGCTTGGCCAGGCAGAGAGCGGAAAGTCAACACTGCAGAAACAATTCCAACTCATGTACAAGCCAAACTCTCTTGACCAGGAAAGATATTCATGGCGAACAGTCATCTATTTCAATGTCGTTCACTCTATCAAACATATCTTGAACACTCTGGAGGCATGGGACGACTCGCTCGAGGACGAAATGGACATCGACGGACCTTATAGTCACGGCAGGTCTACACCCACCGTGCACAGTTCCAGGTCACATCACTTCTACGACCCTCTTACCTCGAAAACCACTATTGCTAATATCCGTCGGCGGCTTTCTCCTCTGGTCGCTTCTGACATCCAACTTGCAGACCGCCTGAGCGGCGGCATCACCGTATCTGGATCTGGCAAGGGTGGTGTTTACGTCCGTAGTGGATGGCAGGCGCGGACCATCGAGAATGCCCTAGGGAGGATCCGTCCAAGACCCTCCGTTGATGGTGATGGCAAAAAAGGTCGGGACAGTACCTCCGCCGACATTGTACAAGATGCACTGGTTCAAGATGTTGGGCGGATGTTGGACGCAGCCAAGGACGACATCAAGGAGCTTTGGAATCATCCGACGGTTAGAGGCCTTATTAGCAAGCGACGTCTAAAGTTAGATGAGTGGTCGGAATTGTGCGTATGTCCTTCCATTACATATCGGCACATCCTTATTTCGGCGCCCGCACAGCTTTCTTCGACATATCAGCCGTGTAGCGGCCTCGAACTACGTGCCCACGACCGGTAAGTCATTTGTCGATTCTGCCTGTACCGCATATACTCAGTTTACTTGAACAGATGATATACTACACGCCCGAATACAGACCATGGGTGTTGCAGAACATATTTTCGATGTTACTATTCATGGGAAGGCTGTCACTTGGCATTTATATGATGTCGGTGGTGCTCGTGGGCAACGACACTCATGGATTCCCTACTTCGATGATGCCAATGCTATCATCTTCGTGGCTCCAGTAAGCGCTTTCGATCAGGTGAGTTTCAATTGCTGTTCTTTGAGGTACTTTCCCTGTATCTTTAGCTTTGTCGTCGCCATCATGAGATCTCCTTTGTTCTGATGCCATTTACTTTTTGCAGTATCTCGAAGAAGATCCGAGAACAAACCGAATTGATGACTCATTGCAACTATTCACTCAAATCTGCTCGAACCGTTTATTGAAGAACGTCCACCTTGTCCTTTTTCTCAGTCGGTGTTTCTTTGGATCCTGAGTTGCTGAGCTTATACGACGTATTTCTAGACAAGACTGATTTGCTCAAGAATAAGATAGATTCTGGTCTACGAGTTCAGAAATAGTGAGTTGAGTCCTGCCATTGAGCGCTAATGGTCTAACTACCGAACTAGCATCACTTCCTTTGGCGAACGGACGAACGATTACGAGACCGTTGTCCAGTATTTCCGTGCTCATTTTCTGCAGGTTCATAGACGAAATAATGAGAATCGTCGTGTGTTGTATACCCACTTTACCAGTGTCGTGGTAAGACCGCTTCTTACTCGTTGTATTTATTCAGACCTGATTCGTTGCATTTAGGACACAAAGGCTACGCAGCGGATTATAGGCAACGGTGAGTTTCCTCTTCCCTGTCGCTGGCTGGCTAGCTGACATTGTCCCCAAGTGCGCGACTCTATCTTCCGAGGATATCTCCAGGACGCCGCGCTCGTATAGTCTCAGCCCAGTTGTCATCTCCTGCCGCACTGAGTCAAGCTCGACATTGTGGTAACGGTCAGCCGTGTCGGCCTTTTAGAACTGAACGGTGCATTTCATACTCTACTCGCTCTTTTTCACTTGTTATCGTACTGCTCCTCACTGTTCGTGGTGCTCCTCGAACTGTATTCATCGCGTAATAATTGTCTACTCCTCCCGTCATTATTGTTTTTATATTTTTGGTCACTACGCGTGTATGTCTACCTGAAACCCATCATTATGTATACTCCAGCTTTCCGCATCGCTTTTTTGTACGCACCCGCAGCTGTAATCCCCAATTATTATCATTATGACACGTAATCCCAAAAGTATCCCCAACAAACCAACCGTGCCGTGGACCACTTGTTTGCCCGGGTCCTTGATAAGGTGATGGATCTAGCCGTGGAATGCATCTGCCATGCGTTGCGGTGATGCAAATGATTGGAACTTGGGGGGTATTTGTTTTTAATCCATGAGGAAAATTTAGCGGCGCGATGTACGCGGGATGTACGTATCTTCGCGACCAGTCAAGCAAGCAGTATCTCCAACGGCGTGCACCGACACGTCAATTGAGATATTTCATTGGATTTGTTTCATCAGCGGGTCCGCTAACATCGGTAGAAAGTTGGTACATATGTCAGACAGTCGGACCGATGCTTGAAAGCTTCAAGCGAGATAAAGGGTAGCCATCAAGCCACTGTACGATAGGCACGGCTATCGTAAAGGCAAAGCTTGATGTGCTGTAGTAGATGGTCGACGGCCCAGCGATGTACCTACTATTACTTACGAGCCAGTCCGTTGGATCGTCTGCTTTCTTACGTTCGGCAAATCGTTGTGAACGAAAAATTCTAAGCTGTAAAAAGTTCTTCATACATCGAACCTGAGGGTCCAATTGTTATTTAACTACAAGTGTATCCATATAAGTAATAGGTCCACATCCTGGCTTGCTAGTCCGTATACAGTCGCGGCTATTAGACGGAACATATCTGAGATTTGATAGCCAGGATTTTCGTAAGAAAAAGTGTTGTAAAGAATCTGGTCTTAGTCTGCGGTGTTACTGAGGAGACCAAAGCAGCAAAAAATTGAGAAAGGGTTTCTGGACGATCTACTTACTACGTAGCCAGGATAGTACTTCTTCTCCGCGCATAGACCGCGGGATATGCAGCCAAACGGACGATCGCGCCCATCTGTACTTAGGCGTAAATTATTCCAAGTTTATTCAATTGCAATCCGCTACTCTGTCAGATTTGCCGCCGCGGCCTAGTCCCCTTCTCGATGGCAGCTTGGGATATACATAATACAAACAAAGGGACATCCAGGACTAACAAACACTACGAGCGGGAGTAGCGCCATTTGAGCTAAGCGCGTACATAATTATTCGGAGGTGGACAATCCATCAAGCATCTGGATATACGGCGGCCTAATGTCGTCCTGCCAACGGTATTTGTGCCATTAGCGCGTCTTCGCAACACCATCGGGTGCATCGCGAACGGAAGACACGGACGCTCAGAACCATGGTATTGATCAAGAAGTGACAGATGCCAAAACCTCCGCTTTTTTATATTGTTCAAAAATTCGAGTAAGATTCTACCGTATCACAGTGATGATGATGGTGATGCGCACTTTTAAAGGTGGCAACCATGTTGGAGATCTTCACTGACTCATTGCCGCCGGCCAGGGGAAGACGAAGGTTTCGATGTCGGAGTTCCAAACCGATTCTTCACCCTCGACAGCCACGACATATTCTCGCCGTTTACTTGATTTGCGTTTTACAATACGACCGGATATCAGATACAATACCAGGTTTGACCAAATCTTTCAGATTCCCGAGCTAGTTTAGACCGCAGTGTTCCCATCAAATAGCCCGACGGACCTGTCTCTGAATCGAGCCCTTTTCGTATAATACTCGAGCATTAAGTGATTGTTCCAAGTTTTTACAATCCGCCCGAATTTATCACCGCTTGGGCCTCAGCTGAGCGCGCCTTGATCGTGCATTTAAAAGGCGCGGGAAAGCTATAGGGAGCAATCAAGACACCGTTGCACATCTAGGGCAGAAAGACCTACCTCAGGAGGCCATCTGTAAAGGTAGCGCTAGGTTCAATAACGCTGCCTTCAGAATCTACGGCCTTGGAAAATGACAACGTCGATGCCATTGACGCGATGGCGATCCATGCGCGAAATAACGGCCAGGACATATCCTGAGGAAATATCAATAGATTCAACACAGAAGCTGGACATCACACGCACCGTCTTCTAAAACCAAAAGCGGCTGTAGGGTTAGGTTGAAGTTGTTTCCCGTCCCCGGGCATAAATCGGTCGGGATCGAAAACCATTGGGTTGGGATAGTCTCTCTCATCATGCAGTATGGCCCTACATTGAGCGTCAAGATGGGGCGACTCGAGATAATCTAACATTTATATTTACCAAGTATTACAATGACAGTCGCGCCTACAGAGGGGATGAGCGTAAACTTCAACCAAATGCACTGGGTACATACCCGCAGGGATGTAGTAACCTCTGTAAACATCATCTTTGAGACTACGATGAGCAACACCTAGATCGAAAGCCATGAACTGATGTAACATCCATGCCTGAAAATGCATACCCAGTGGAAGAACAGGATTCCATCTCAGCGCTTCCAACAGAATGGCTTCGATATAGGGCAGCTGTAGCCGGTCTTCGAAATTTGGGAGTCTAGTGTATCCAACAACAGCATCTAGCTCGGCTTGGACCTTCGTTTGTATCTCCGGATGAAGAAGAAAAACAAGTATTGTGGAAAGGACGACCGACAGAATCTGTGTAATGATAAGAGACTTGAAACGATGCACAAGGGAAAATCCCTACAGTTTCAGTGCCCGCTAACCAAGACATAAGATCAAACGTTCAGCGAAGTCACACCAAACATAATGTACCAGAAAAGGCTACCGCAGCTGTATTTCGGATGACTTCAATGTTGTTGGAATCCTCGGTGTGGTAGACTCCTGGCTGGTAAGGCCAGTTGATATGAACTTATTATTCTCTGGCTCCTACAGAGCCTGTATTTATACTACTTCGCGATGTAATCTAGAATGTACTACACTGTTCTACTAGTCTCGTGCTTACTCAGCTACTCTCGGCATGATGCCGGATTGCTCCTTCTAGAACTTTCCGGCAAAATCCCAACAAATGTATTTCTCATCCTTCGACACGTTGATCTGTTTCACCTTTGCTAGATTCTCGGAGACAAATGAAGATGACGCAAGGCCGGTAGCCTTTGGGGCGAGGTAATGTATAGTCAATGTGACCGGTATGTTATTGAGTATGTGAGGAAGGAAGGAAGTTGAGGACATATCAGTGCCTCCGAAGTGTATTCAAATGGTCTGTTTTTCATGTCCTCGACATCCTTTCTCCAGGTGTCCGCAAGACCCAGGAAGCTTGCACCAGGAAACCATCCTTCGGATGCCTTCAATGTGAGCCTGACAGTTACAGAAGTACAAACTCACGTGGAAAGTATTTTAAACAGGAGATGTAATCAACAATAAAGGTCCCCATGTTCCCAGTAACGCGAACACTTTCTTGCGCACGATCCGCCAACTCTACAAATTTATCGTCATCTGCGTTAACATCATATCCATAGACGGTTTTCATGATGACTGAACCGGAATAACTAGAAGGATACAGCAGACCATAAACCTTCAAGAACATGCTGAAGCTGGTATACTTACTGGCGAACATGGTGAAAAAAAACATCTGTTGTAGCAAGACCGATGTCGCTTTCATTTGCGCAGGATAGTATTCGGGAACAGCACGCAGCTGAAAGTATTGGTGAAACATCCGCCTATGCATTCTAGAAAGAGAAATCAGTCAGTATCCAACAACAAACATGGTGGAAGGGTGAACCTCCATTGTTCAGAGTATCTCATAAAACCCAGGTTGAAATCCCATCCTGCCAACTGTATCATAGTGAAATCTGCATAGCATTGACGACTATAAGATGCCATAGTATCCACCAACCATACCTGGTCTATCGGAGTAATTCCCGGAACGCTTTTCCAGTAGATTCACTGCTGCCTGGGCGGAGTTGATTACAACGGTTGGATTTCCGGGAATATCCAAGTACAAAACGTCGCCGTAGGTGGCTGTCCATTGAGCATAGGTGACCCATGGGTACTCCACCGGGGCATTCCAGAGGCTACCTACGAGCGGAAAACCCCTGGGACCAGGAGGAAGAGGTACACGTCGACGGTTACGTGAAAGGTAGAACCAGCAACATAACAAAAAGATGCCAAACGAGAGAGACACTGGTAGGAGAGAAGGGTCCATTGCCAAAATGACGAAGCTGACTAAGCTGACTCGCCTCTCCGGTGCTCCCATCTTTTAAGAGTACGCTTTTCACTGGGCCAAAGACATGGAATCCTTATCTCCTCGGTACTCCCTGTCTTCTCTAAAAATGGGTTCAAAGGAGAGCAGGTGATAGATAAGCATGAGAACAAACAGGTATGAACATGTATGCAATGGGATGCTGCCTCACATAAATAAAGGTGTCGAAGTCTGATCAGGAGAGACGATATAAGCCGATTCACCAAAATTGACTAAAAAGATGTCCTGGTTTACTGCAGAGTGTGGTAGACGCAATGAGAACCATAGCTGGTACCAAGTGTATTGCAGCCACAGGCACCATATCGGAAGAAAATTGGAATGAGGTTGCCACATGTTGACCCGCTATAGAATGTTGAACGCCCGTTAAAGTGTCATGGGAGAGAGCGCCCAGTAACAGTTCAGCATCAGCTGGTTTCATCTCGCGTTCAGAACCTCGAAAATATTCGCAGAAAGTACACGGTTACAAGCAATCTGTTTCCTCGTCGACCGAATCCTGATCGGAGACCTTGAAAGTGGAGAATAGGTCGTCATGTTAGTACATATCGATGTCGGATGCATTGCGTTATCCAACATGTCTTCTTTACCTTAGTCCTCAGTCCCAGCTCCTGGCATATCTTTGCTCGTAGTTGAAAGACCGTAAGTACCCTTTATCCCAAATGAGCTTCGACCATCTATTACTAAGCTTTGAAAGACGTACTTTGCCCTAATGTTCATAATTTTTCACTCTTCATCAAAGGAAATCAGCTGCCAGCTGTGACCCTATCTTGGCGGAATCTTTCTTCATGATTGTGGAATGCGACACGCAGAAGGCATAATGACAGACACTGATAATAATAGTGGGCAAACAACTACAGGCGCTGTTGCCGATGACGGTGCGAAGTAGCTTTCCGGATGCCTCGGCCCGGGCAACCTCTGAATCTCAAAAACCCTTCCACATGGGAGTTCCACTCTCAACCAACTTGCATTACTCGAAGCAAGTTACTGTTCCAAAACTATTACAACTGTTTTAGACCTGCCGTTGCTTTGCTTGAATGCGTCTTAATTGGCACGGAAAGTTATGAGTAGAGATAATTCAGCGGGTGCCCCGAATTCTACAATCCACCCGAATTTATCACCGCCTGGGCCTCAGCTGAGCGCGCCTTGATCGTACATTTAAAAGGCACTGGAGAGCTATAGATGGCAATCAAAAGACGCCGTAGTACATCGCGTGAAAAGATCTACCTCTGAAAGGCATCTCTAAAGGTAGCGCTAGGTTCAACAACGCGACCCTCAGAATCTACGGCCTTGGAAAACGACAACGTCGATGCCATTGACGCGATAGTGATCCATGCGGTATCCAATGCGAAATAACGGCCAGGACATATACTGAGGAAAGGTTAACATGGGAGCTGGACGAAGTCCATTACGCGCACCGTCTTCCAAAACCAAACGCGGCTGCGGGGTACGGTTGAAGTTTTTTCCCGTCCCTGGGTATGAATCGGTCGGGATCGAAAACCATTGGGTTGGGATAGTCTTTTTCGTCGTGGAGTATAGCCCTACATCGAGCGTCAAGATGGGGCTAGGAGATAATCTAGACATTGATATTTACCAAGCGTTAGCAATGACAGTCGCGCCTGCAGAGAGGATGAGCATAAACTTCAATAAAATGTACTTGGTGCATACCCGCAGGGATATAATATCCTTTGTAAATATCCTCCTTCACACTACGATGGGCAATACCTAAATCAAAAGCCATGAAATAGTGTAATATTGGTGTATCTGGAACCGTATACCCATCGGAGTAACAGGATTCCATCTCAGCGCTTCCAACAGGATAGCTTCGATATAGGGCAGCTGGGGTCTGTCGTCGAAGTTCGGCAACCGGGTAGAACCAACCACTGCGTCCAGCTCGGCTTGGGCTTTCACTTGTACCTCCGGGTAAAGAAGGAATGCGAGTATTATGGAAAGTAGAGTTGCCACCGTCTTAATAACGATAAGTAACTTGGATGATGCACAAAGGCAAAGACCTACAGTGTCGGCACCCGCTAGGCAAGACATAAGATTAGATGTTCAGCAAAAAAAACATTGATAGCAATGTACCAGCAAAGGCTACTGCAGCTGTATTCCTGATTACTTCGACGTGTGTCTCATCCTCCGACACGATTATCTGTTTCATCTTTTCTAGATTTTCGGAGACGAATGAAGACGACGCAGGGCCGTTAGCCTTGTAATACATAGTCAATGTGACTGGTATCAATCAATGAGGATGTGAGGACATACCACTGACTCCGAAGCGTATTCAAATGGTCTGTTTTTCATGTCCTCGACATCCTTTCTCCAGGCCTCCGCAAGACCTAAGAAGCTTGTACCGGGTAACCATCCTTCGGATGCCTTCAGTCTGAGTCTGACAATTAACGAAGCATAAACTCACGGGGAAGGTATTTCAATTTAGGGAAGTAGTCAACAAGAAAAGACCCTACGTTCCCAGTGACCCGAGCGCTTTCCGCTGCCCGATCCATCAACTCCACAAATTTATCACCATTTGCGTCTACATCATAGCCGTAAACGAGTTTCACGATGATTGAACCGGCATGACTAGGAAACCGTGAGCTTTGAAGAACTGCTGTTGGTATATATACAGCTTACTGGCGAACATGGAGAGCAAATGGGTCCGGAGATTTAAGCAGCTGTTGCAGCAAGACCGCAGACGATCTCATTTGCACAGGATAATATGCAGGAATTGCACGGGGCTGGAAGTATTGGTGAAATATGCGCCGATGCATTCTATGAGGAAGGAAGGAAATTGTAAAGTTAGAGGATAGAACAGAGAACATGGTTATGCTAACCTCCACCAGTCAGAATATCTCATAAAACCCATGTCTATCCCCCATCCCACTAAGTGTATCATGGTGAAATCTGCGTTACATTGCAAGCTCTAGCCTCTGAGATATTATTGTAAGTAGTCTTAACCAGCCGCACCTGGTCTATCCGAATAATTCCCGGATCGTTTTTCGAGTAGATCCTCCGCTGCTTGGGCAGAGTTGAGTACAACGGTCGGATTTCCAGGAGTATCTAGATAGAGGACGTCGCCGTAGATAGAGGTCCATTGAGCATAGGTGATCCATGGGTACTCTGAAGGCACGTCCCAGAGGTTCCCTATGAGCGGAAGTCCTTTGGGGCCGGGAGGGAAAGTTGCACGCCGACGGTTACGCAAGAGATAGAACAAGTAGCAGAACAGTAAGATACCGGATGTAAGGGACGCTAGCAAGAGAGAGTAGCCCATCGCAACAGAGTCCAAGACTTGGGTGGGAAGCTCCCGTCTTCTAAATAGGATAGCGCACCTTTCACAGAGCCGAAGACTTATCTCCACTCTCCGTCTTCTTGATGAATAGGCTTAAAGTGGAGCTGATGAAAGATAAGCATGAGAACATGAACGGGTGCGAATTGGGCGTCGCCTGACAGATACAAAGACGTCGAAGTCTGATAAGAAATATACTTGGTCACGATACTGGCTGCCCCCAATCGTATCTTAGTCACAGGGTATGTTGAAAAATGTAGGAGTGCCATTGCCACATCTTCTCCCGCATAGGAGTTTCCTAGTGACGGTACGGCACCAGCTGGCCTCATCCCGCATTCAGAACTCGAATATTTGCAGACAGTAAACTTGGAAACGATTCGTCGGCCAAATTCTGATCGGGGAGCTTGGAAAGGCGAGAACAGGCTGCGATGTGAGCATATATCGATGCCGTCTACATGTGCTCCATACTCCAGTCATCGGTCGAGCTCCTTATAATTGTTCAAAGGCGATACCCTTTGACTCAAGTGAGTCTCACTCGTCTATCTTAAGCTTTGATAGGCGTACCTGTGCCCCAATGCTCACATTTTTCACTCGCTGAAGGACGTCAGCTATCAGCAGTACCTTGGCAAAATTTCTCTTCACGATCCTGGAAGCGACGCACGGAGGACATGTCCACAGATGCTCGACTACAGACTACTGTTGGCCGATGAGGGTGTGAAAGAGCTTTCTGAGATGACTTGACCCGAAAATATGCAAAGAATCGATAGACTGGATGTTAGACTATTCTCGTTACCATATTCAACGAAATATTACTACGAAGAAACAAGACAAAAGTAGGCCGTGAGAAGTACCTTCCTATACAAGTGATTACTTATTATGCGACAATGACGCGATATCATTTCTGATTCAAGCTCCCATTCTCAATGTGCTGCTCTCTCTTCGCCATTGACCACCACGATGAGCTCGTCTTCATCACTATCAACAATCAATGAACTGCTCGCCGGAAGCGTTGCAGGTGCTGCCCAAGTCATCGTCGGTCAGCCCCTCGACACCGTCAAGACGCGTGCACAGATAGCTCCCAGTTCAGTTCCATCTTACATTTGCGGCAAGGATCACTCATGATGAAGTGAATGAACAGAAGCGATGTTTGTGCGTATCTGTCCTCTGAGACGACGCGCAAAATCTTACAGATACCCTGCAGAAAGGGCCCATGGATATTCTCATACAGACTGTACGAAAGGAGGGCTTTTTCGCGCTCTACAAAGGCCAGCAGAGAGCATAGCCAATTGTTTCTTTATCTAACATGTCTCTAGGTATGGCTAGTCCTCTGTTCGGTATCGCTGGAGTCAATTCGCTTCTATTCGCCTCTTACGGCGTATCGCGTCGGATAATCTCACCCTATCCTCAACTAAGTCTACCTCAGATTGCTCTGGCAGGGAGTATGGCTGGAGCTGCTAATGCCATATTAGCAAGTCCAGGTATGCATTGGCTACATCTGCCTCAAATCTGCTAACATATCGTAGTGGAAATGTTCAAGGTTCTCATGCAGGGCCAGTATGGTAGCACAACTGACAGGCGCTTAAGAAGAGTTGTCAGTGACCAGTGGTCGCAATGGGGTTTCAGGAAGGGTATCATGCGTGGTTACTGGATAACCGTGGCTCGAGAGATACCGGCATACGCTGGGTTCGTTTGGTCTCTGGTTATCTCTAGACAATTTATTAACTTCGGTTTAGATTCTACACTGGTACCTTTCTTGTTAACTCACTTGCTGCCTCCTCATCTTCGTTTTCCTAGCGTATGAATTTTCGAAGAGGAAATTTACATCCGCTTACGGTAGAGATTTACCTGTATGGGCATTGCTGGCCAGTGGGTCAACCGGAGGCGTAAGTGAGGTTATCTTTGTCCTTGTAGCCTCACGTTTAGACATTGTAGATCTCTTATTGGCTGGCTTGTTACCCACTCGGTAGGTGCAAGTCAGATCAGATCGAAATTTACGTTCATTCACAATTAGATGTCATCAAATCCCGTGTACAACTGAGGCCTACGCCGCCGTCAGGGACACCAGTACAGTATATTGCGCATGAGGGTAGAGCCATACTTGCGGAGTCTGGCCTGTAAGAACCATCTGTCGCTATCGTGGTTGTCAGTTCTTCATTTGTACTGGAATATTACAGCCCTGGTTTATTCCGTGGACTCACGCCCTCCAGTAAGGTTATAGTTGTATTGACATGTGCTCATCTTCTGACATTGCTTGCGTCTCAGTACTGAGAAGGTAGAAGGTATCTGTCTTTTCTATGGATGCAAAACCTCAAAGATCGTCTTCTTTCTCCAGCATTCCGGCGGCAGCGGCTACCTTTGCTGCATTCGAATTGACCAGAGGTATTAGCCGGCTATTCACACCGACTTTACATACTCTCACTGATCATAACCCAGAATATCTAACCGAATTGACAGGCGTCTGAAGGAATATCAAGAGATGAGTAGAATGTTTACAGAAACGTCGATCATCAGATATGGTTGCGCTTAGTTTACCATCCAGACGTGATTAATACAATCTGCAGGGTGATAGTAAAAGATTGGATTGTATACTTTTGCACTAGTAAATTTTCAATGGAATGCGGGGAACGTAAGATGGTGGGCCGTGAAGTTTTGCATCAGACTTCTGTTATTGTAGGGTTCTGCGCGGCCACAGATGAATTGCACGACAGGTTCCAGGATTACAGATTCGTTAGACAACTCATGAATTGACAGTTTGTATAAGAACGGCACAGTTTCGGTGCTTTCCGCGATCTTTGCTGCCAGCACCTGCGCCTTGACTATATCTGATGAAGTATTCATCGGCGTTTGCATCATCGCGGCAACGAACTTACGTTCAATATGCGCTTGCTTTCCTTCATCCGACAGGAGAAAAACCGTCGTACCAAACAAATCGGATCCCGGGGATTCGAACACATACCAGTATTGCATCCGCTCATCTAAGTTCTTTGCCAATGAGGGTGAGGGCGTTCTAAGGTACAAGCAAATATACAAGAGTTCATTGTAAGACTGAACAGGCACGCTTACAACCAAGTTCCTGACCACGTCGAGCTCGGTCTCGTCCTCGAAAGACATCTCAAGCCATCCCGGACCTTCTCCACGCCATTCTCTACCTCACTTGCGAGCATGTTGATCCGGACTAACCAAGGAGCTTCTTTCAACGAGGCTTCCGGATTGGCAGCGAGTGCCTCTGTGATCTTCCGGCACCGGTGTGCATCATCAATCCGTTCTTCAGCGAACGCGTCAAAAATGACCCAAGTCAGGTTGGAAGTGCTATATTGAGGGAACTCGGCTTCGACGAGATCGTAACCCATGCTTAGAAAGTCGGTGAGCCCCCCTCGTCTTTTATAGCTTTGGATTCAAGAGAGACAAGAAGATTACAACCGACTAGATCGAGGGCTGTTAGAGACGTAAAACCTGATAAATTGACACCTTACCCATAGCTTTGATGTTATCAAGAAAGATAAAGAAGGAAGTGCATGGATGTGATGAAAGCGATACTTGTTATATGATGTGTTGACCGTAGCTTATGTCGAGATATAAATGTTCTCCGTTTTGCCTGGTTGGACATTGTTGCAAACCATTCGTCCATGCGCCTCTGTGAACATCTTGGTTGTCATTAGTCCCGATAAATAATGTCCCTGCACGACACAGCGCTCAGAAACGTGATGACACCAAACAGGGTTTAACTTACTCGCCTTTCTATCTTACACACATAACTGTATCCGCCGCCTGCCAAGTCCCGTCCTCACATCGTCGTATTTCCACTGTTCTCCTTCTTCCATGTTTCGTAGCACTCCAGGGTCACAGTTGCCATGAATCCCGGGATACACTGCTCTGTTCCGACCCAATATTGCATCGAACTCTGTATCTCTTCCGGTGCACCCTCGCCTTGAGCTACGAGTTGCATGTTCACACCACTGGCGCCTTTTTCGGGCGAGAAAACGAAACTTGCGTTTAAATCGTATAGCGACGTGACCCTGACTTGACCATTTGGGTAGAAGGCTAGCTTCACGCCCAGAATTGACGCGATGGCCTCTCGGAACTCGGCAGACTTTGACTGGAATATCTACGCAATTGTTAGACGAAAAGAAAACCACAATAGAACACAAAGTGGCGTACTTGTTGCAATCTCAGAAGCCTCTTCTCCTTCCGTTCCACGAGCTCCTCCAAATCTGCCTTTTCTTTACTAACAAGCTCCCAGCTCTCTCTGGGAACCAGTTCTTCCCCAGGTTGTGCAGAGGTCGCCACGCCTCTACTGCCGCTTTCTTCTAGCTCCTTTAATCGCTTGATAAGCGCCTCATTCTCTCCCTTCAATCGATCCATTGCACTTTGCCGTAAATCCACCCAATCTTGTAGTGGATTCTCTTTCAGTTGCAGAATTCGCACTCCTGGAGGAACGTGTCGTCCACCAGCGACCTCCCCTCCGAGGTCAAATAGCTGTTGCTCGAGCTCGTCGATCTTGTTAAGGTGGTTCTTGTTTTCCTCCTTGTATTGAGCGAGAGCTACATGGGGAATCAATATGTGCTTGTTAGATATGAGGTACAGAAGCACCTTCTTGAATTTGAAGTCTCTGCGTCTTCTCCGCCTGGAGTAGATCCGTTCCTACAACAGAGCCACGAGACGCTGTGAGGGCTTCCAACTCTAGGGTTAATTTGTCATTGACGCCCTTATACTCCTCAAGGAGAGCTTCGGCGTGCTGTAACCGCTGCATCTGGGCTTCATCGATGGTCGCAGGGCCTTCTTTCATAGTCTCCTCCGCCGTGAAACTAGCCTGATATAACGTGAGGCTGGCTGCAGACTTTGAAAGGAAGTGAACCTCACCACCATCGCTTTTGAGAAGTCGACCTCCCTCTCAGCCAACTCCACTCGCCTTCGTTCCCGTTCAAGATTCTCCTTTAGGCCGCTCGCATCTGCTTCCAGAACCTTGATACGCTCTTTTAACTCTCCCTCACTTTCCCGTACTTCGTCAAGCTCAGCCTCCCTCGCTCTTAACAATGCATTTGTAGCGCCACTCTCTTCCAGTAGTTTAGCGTGAGTTAAACGAAGTTCCGACAAACTTTGAGTGACACTGATAGGCGTTCGTGAGGGTGACTGAGCCTCCACGTCCAGTGACTTGTTTGCCCTAAGGAGCACGATGAGGAAGGAGTTGAGAAACATATGAAGACATACCACTCTTGTCTTTCCTGTCTTCCCGCTTCCACTTGGGCCTCCAACTCCACGACTTGACGTCGCAGGTCATCCATACCCCGCAGCTTTCGCTCCAAACCACGCTTCTCCTCCTTCAAGACTTCGATGCTTTGACTCCGCGCCTTCAAAACGCGTAACTCTGCATTTTCAGACTCTAATTGACGAAGATAAGTGGCCTGCCGACGCAATTCTTCTCGAATAATTGTCATGTCTTCATTATCCTCCCGTCGTGGCGGTTCTTCTAAATTATTGATTGATTCCTGCAGGTCATGCATGGAACGCAAACGGTCTTCTGCAAGCTCCTTTGTCTGCGTGAGTTCTTCCTCTAGAAGCTGAACTTGTCGTGTCAAAGTAGCGATCTTGGATTCTTGGGTAGCGCTTGTCTGCGAAGTTGACCTTGACAGTGTAGAATGGGAGTCATGAAGATCTTCATATTCCTCTCGTAGTGCCGTTAAATTTTCTCTTAAAGAGCGCAATTCAGCGTCGGTTTTTTTCTATGCCTGATTAGAATGAACACGACATTGACCTGCAAAATATACCTTTTCTTCTTCCCTCTCTGCCCTTTCACGTTCCTTCTCCTCGCGCTCCTCTGTTTCCCTGTCAGAAAACCACCTGCGGTCCCTTTCAAGTCTCTCCACCGTCAAGTCCCGCTCCCTCAGCTTGGTCTCGAGCTCCGTCTTTGTAGTCTGAAGAGTAGCGAGCTGTCTTTCGAGAGATGCATGTGCCATAGTGGAAGAGAAAGCTTGGGAGCGCTGTTGACGGCGAGCCGTGGAAAGGCGAGGGTCTTTGAAAGAGGTAAGCCTGAAATTCGGAAGAGAGTGCTGGGCTCGACGAACCTCGCTCTAGTTCTGCGGTCAGCGAGTCCCGCTTTGCAGCAGTCGACCTTGAGAAAAGAGGAATTTGGGAGGAGCTATCTCTACTCATCGTTGTCAATGTTAACCAGAAAGGGCGATTGGGTGGCGGTACGATACAGATGCTCACTTCCACGTGGGGCGCGATTCGTGAATCATAATTTCTTGTCTATTTTTCTTCTCATGTTGCACTCAACGAAGTATAGCGTATTATGTACCACTAATGTGGCCAGTAAAGCTCTACTTTACCATCTTATGACTGTTCACTCGTTCACGGAGCCCATGAAAGCAAAGAGTCGATTTTTGTTTGATTGCACCTCTAGTCTCTCCCTGTCATCCTCTTTTCCGGCATGGAAAGTGTTCTCTTTCATTTTTCCTTTCGTTGTCGAGGAAAGACGGCGTAGAATGAGCGGCTAGATAAAGCAATGATCCACGATCACGTCACCGCTTTGCTCTAAGGCATCACTCCAGCTTGTCTGCCTCGACGATGGCCTCCACGGCGCCCAGTGTTCTCCTCCTAGCCTCTCTTCCCGACCTGTCGACGCCTCATTTTCTCTCACCTGTTATCATCGCTGCCGCAACCAGCGCCCAGAAGCGACTCACCATCGCTCTGTATTCTCCTCTCTTTACCGCGCCTAGCGATGACGTTACAGAGCCACCCTTCTCATACACCGAGCGATGGGATGATGTTCAACGGCTTTTGACCTTCACGTACGTTCAGGCAACCAAGGTCGCCCAGGAGCTGAACAAAGTGCTGTTGGAAGTCGATATATTGCTCAAGGGGGTAAACGAGGGCATACCGGAATTTGCAGTGGAGACAGATGTAGTATTTCGGGTGCAGGGAGGTATGTATGTTATTCCTTTAGCTTGGCATCCTATTCGCTTACTCGGCGAACAGATGCACTCGCGCCGCTGTTATCATCGCCTGTACCACAACATTATGTTGCTCCTGACACGGAGGCCGAGCTCCATCATCAGCCATTACCACCCGCAACGCAGAATGTGTCCTATCCACCTATGTACCCTGTTACCGCACTTGGTGGCACCTTTGATCACCTGCACGCAGGGCACAAGATCCTATTGAGCATGGGGGCATGGATATCCAGCGAGAAACTCATCGTGGGTGTCACAGGTGACGAATTGCTCAAGAATAAAGCATATAAACACGTCTTGGAAGACATACAAACGCGTAAAGACCGTGTCCGGAAGTTCCTGACCCTCTTTAAGCCTGGTCTTGTTTACGACATCGTTGTCATCAGCGATGTGTATGGTCCAACCGGCTGGGATCCAAATATACAAGCGTTGGTAGTCAGTGCCGAGACAATGAGCGGTGCGAAAGCTAGTAAGTGCCCTACTCTTGGAGTCAGATGTAGCTGATCCATGTCTAGTCACCTCTCATCGTGCAAGCCAATCTCTTCCCGCACTGGAGATCTTCGTTATCGATGTTATCTCCCCGACATCATCCATGCTTGATCACGAAGATCACGAACTCTTGAAACAGACCAAGATGAGCAGTACATTCATTCGAGAGTGGATTTCCAAGCAAGTAAATGGTGATGATTAATATAAGCGACGGGACAAAGAAGAACACAAGGACTGGTATGTACGAAAGGTGTATGGATAGCGGTAATAGAAACAATGCTACGAAGCATGCAATCACTGCGGCGTACGAAGGAAAACGGGTCCAAGTTCTGAAGGCCTCGAGCTTGTTGATATGGCAGAAGCCGCTAATATCGGTTCATCGAGGATTCTAGTTCCGAAATGTCTCTGGCATCTGGGATTAGCTGACGCTCCCCGTGGTTTGAATACCCTCGGCTACTGCGCATTTTTGTCTCGAGCATGCAGTGTTCTATTTACCGCGACTGACAGAAAGGTGCTTACCACCGCTTTAGTTCCCTACAAAATCGGCATTTTGCGCGGATCAGATTCACCACTGAACGGTACTTGGCCAGATCGCGTCGATAGATGGTGCCATGTGAAATGATTCCCCGCAAAGATTTGTGGGGTTTACCGGTTTTAGGTAGCGGAACCGACGATAAAAACGTGTTTCGAGCCATACATTTATTCGATGCCTCGTATCTGCGTGCAGACAGCGAGAAAGTTTCCTCAGCGGCACGACGATGTCGCGACGCGCCGCGGTGAATTTATATTTAGAGACCCCGGGTGGATGACGTCATGTGAATTCGGGCACGTGTGTGCCGGACTCTCGGCGATTTGCCAAGTTACTACTAGTAGGACGACCCACTGACACGGACCATCAGAGCAGTCTTTGCCCCCGACTTCCATCTTCCTTCTACACTATCTTCACCGTCTCTTGCAATGGCGAGAGGCCTGCCGCTGCTGACATCGTCGACGCCGACTAACATCGCGTCCGCGGACGTCTGGATTGGGCATGTGTGGGTGCAAGTGCCAAAAGCTTCATTACTGTCTCTGACCCAGTCTCAGCCAATTGCGTGACCTTGTCGTGTGTCCAAAGGACCGTGGCGTTCTCAACTATGTAAAGCAAAATGCTATCGTTGAACAGAACATGATTGTCCCGGATTCGGTGCGTAATTGCCTTCAACGCCGCCAACCTTGTCATTCATGCTCTTCAAGGTGCCACGCAATCTAGTACAGCTTCCGTTCACACCGAATACTCTCACTTCTATGCAAATTCCAAACACCAATGAAGTTCTCCTGGCTGCCGGTGGTCAAGAGGCCGAGATACATTTCTCCACATACAAACCTTCCTCTTCCTCACATCGTCGAGCCAAGCTGCAATGGCATTTCGAGGACAGGCTCTATGGATCTATTAACAACTCCGTATTTCTAACTTCCTTAAGCATGACTCAGTCTCATGAAAGCAGTATCGAACCCCGCGTCGCAATCAGCAACAACGACGGGACCGTTAGGTTCTTCGATGTTCCTATCCGGACACGGTATCGCACCAAGTTGCAAGAAGTTGGCTGTCTTCGACTCAGTGTTCCTATCAACCACTGTGCGCTTCGATATATCCCTGCCGTGCAGATTCCAATTGATATTTGGTAATCTAGCGTCTATATCGCCTGATGGAAGAACGCTTCTCTCTGTCGGAGACACATCCAAGGTCTTTTTGCACCGACTGACGGGTGGATCACGGATCAACATACAGCCAATCGCAACCCTTCCCCTTCCTCCGCCCGAGGCCTCGCCGCTCCCATATGCATCAACCGCATTGGTCGCATCATTCTCAACCTCCTTTTCTTCAGATGGCACCAAGTATGCTGTAGCATCTCAAGAGGGTGTTGTCGCAGTCTGGGATGTTCGAAGCACTAAACCGCTAAAGACGTTCTACACCGACAAAAATCGCGTACCACTGGGCTGTGGGGGAGCAACTGGCTGGCTGTCAGACGACCCGTGGGAGTGGACACGCGGCAGCTGTAAAGCGCCCGGATGGAGCGTTCGGAACGTCAAGTTTGGACATGGGGGAAGGAATGGGCAGGGTAAAGAGCTCATGACGTTCACCGAGGTGCGTTTCACAGACACATTGTGACAAAGCTCTGATCTCCACATTTTCCAGCACACTTCACTACTCCACGTTGTTGATGCCCGTACATTTGAGACGGAAGAAATAATTCATGTCCCTGGTTTTCCATCACCAGCAGTTCAATCATCTTCACGTCCTCATGATGCGAATCGCCCCCGCCAACGATCGCCACGAATGCAACCAGTTTCCCGCCCTGCAAGGAGTCTCACACCACCTGTCGCGAGCTACGAAGTTTTCGAACCGCCACCACCGCCGTCCTCTTTCATGTTCATGGCACTTGAAGATACATTCCGCATCCCATCCATGTCCCCTTCGACGTCGCAGTCGCGTAGACGATCACGACGCCCGACATCCACAGACTTGAATTCGGCTCTGGAAGCTGTGGATAACAATGAAGAAGACGATCTTGTTGTCATACCGCCGTTGGGCGATAGGCAAGTAGAGAACGATGTCCAAACGCTTTTGGGTCGACACGGGATACGTTCAAGACATACTAGCGAGGATTCACGAGATCCTGTGGATTTCTATTATGGAGCCGGGAATGATAATCAGGGTGGAGATGATGACATGGAAGTAGATGAGTTGGAGTCTGACTGTATCCCATCTCATACTCCTTCACGCTCCTCCTCACCCTCGCCGTCTGTCCACATTAGTGCGCCATCTCGATATCCTTCGTTTTCTCCTGTAGATACACCAAGAACGATCTCATCCCGACAGCGACGTGCGCACAATGAAAGGCCCCCGGTAACACCCACTCAGGACGAGGATAACCACTTGGATATTGCCGGAACGTGTTTTGACCCTTCTGGTGCTTATATCTACGTTGCCACGACAGAAAGCGTAGCGGAGTGGAGCGTAAATGGAGCTGAGAAGAGGTGGTGGCTGGATAATGATTGTTGGGCGTGAAATCTTACGGGCTGTTAGTACGAATTGCTCTTGTACTCACGTTATGTATGGTCGTTCTGTAGTTCTGGTTTTTCGCATGTTTGTACAATTACTTATGTACCACTAACATCATGGAAACGGATATCATGTAACACATCAATCAATGTTTTTAAATCTTTACGGTACCGAATCTAAATGCCCGGCTTTCTTCTTTCAGAAATGCCCATGTCAGCTCCTGCTTCCATCCCCTTTCTTTCCAGTCGTTTAGACTCTTGGGGAATTCGTCTATCTTCCCGGGAACGGAACTATCGTGAGCAATCAGGAATAAAACATCGGGATGTGCATCTAGCTTGAGCAGTTTCTCAATTGTGGTGGTGGCGGTCTCGGGGTCAGCATACACCGATAATCCCGAGGGTACGCCTAACATAGGACTGGTGCGTGATAAGAGATCAAATTGCGCATCCGAAGATGACGAGAACTGTTTTGGGCAAACGGATAATTTGGCAGAGTCGATGACGTGTCCGGGACAAGGGCAGCGGGCATGGAGGGTCGCAGTCGGCCTGAGTTGACCTGGATGATGGCAGCAGTCGCCTCCGAGCAGGATGAATGTTGTCGAAGTTACTCGTGCAAGACCGGATATATGGCCCGGATGGTGCTGCAGATGATGTCAGTTCCGGTGAAAATCATCCAAATATTCGATGATACGAACCCCGGGTGTGTCTAAAATATAGAAGCTACCGTCACCAAAGTAGTCCACGGCAGCTAGGTCGGCAATGCGAAGGGTGGTATCCTCAAAGGAGATCTCTGTAACTTTGCGGCCCCTGTTAATGAGATGAGATATCTTGATTGATTCACGTAATGGTGATATGCAACGCACGCAAGATCACTTTCCACGAGCGTCGCGTCTGGGAATTCGGGATATGTTCGTAAGTCAGTCCCTTGACCAACAAGAAGCTCCGTCGTTGGGGGGAAAGTCGCCATATCACCTGATGACCGAAGACATAAGTATAAGGCACGATCGCATTATTAGCCAACCTACCGGTATGATCTAAATGGGAGTGACTACATTAAATCGTGATTAGCGAGTCCTGCCTTGACTGCGAAAATAAAGTGGATGCCGCTTACCTCCAAATGACAGCTTTAATGGTTTCAAGGTCAACACCACCAGCGGTTAGTTTTCCAGCGACATCACCATCCACGACTAAGGAATACGGGCCCATCGAGTCCCAAATCTCCAACAGCCCCTGTACAGCTGGAGAGAGGTTTTCCTGGTCTTTACGAATCCCGAGATCGAACATGACTCTCCCTCTAACAGGGTGTTCAATCAGGAAGGTGTATATGGGGCCGTAAGCGCCTTCGAAACCATCGAGGACAGGCTGTAAGAAAAAAGAAGCGGGAGAGAGCGTCGCGTCAGTACCAACATTAATGGCTTTAACCGTTACGACTGAGTCAGAGGATGGGAAGCACACGTCGAAAGGGGGGATCATGGTTGCCTCTATCTAGGCGCTTGGATCCATCCCCTGTCTTAAATAAAGTCTGCAGACGCGTGAGCCTTGGGTTTCCAACGAATATACTATATTCGTACCTTGATATTGTGATTAGGGACAGGACTACTTCCGAATCGGAGTGAATTGTGACTAGCTTATTGTGACAATCATCTGCACCTCCCACGAATCCCTTGATATATATATCAAACCCAATTAGTGTGGAACATATGTGACATGGTCGGGAGCAGCAGGGCCAACCTAAAGGCTAATTCACAATGCAGGGACAGACCGTGAAACAGGAACGATACTTGCATATTCATTGAGGACTGCAGACTGTGCGTCTCTCAAGAGCTCTGTCGAGTTTCCGGGTCGTAGCAAATGGTATGATCGGTGAGGTCGCTCGTTCGTTGGGACCGGCGGAGCTCTTTAGCGAGTCAGCCGATCTTTTCGTTCGGGCCGGAGATCTATTGTCGATCGTGTCACGTGGGAGACGCGTCTGGTTCTATCAGACTCGCTGTCAGCATCGTGGCATAAGGCCTAGACGCGTCTGATCAGTGATTTAGCAGAAAACCTTCAGGATACTAAGCACGCCCTTGATCGAACTCGGTGGTAGTAGGTCCCAGTGGGTCCATGCTTCAATGCTGAAAAGTAGTTGGTTTCCACAGAGAGTAGTCCACAACTCTTCGAGAATACATGAGCTGTCCTCTTCGTCTTATTGATCAAAGAGGCATTGCAAATTTGGGTGAAACCCGCAGCTTCGGAGTCGGCTTTTATTGTTGTCATTTTCTCTGAGCACTGCCGTCGAAATTTTCATCGCGCTCTCAAATGACGGAGATGACGTGGATGGACTGTGACTAGTTCTTTTTGAAAAGAAAATTGTCATTTTAGTCGCCGTTCTCGGGAAAGTGTTGGACTTTACCGTGTTAGGACTCGGATGGTTCCATGATGGTAGCCAGGAAATTGCACGAGGTTCTCTCAAATGGAGTAAGGAAATAAACTCTGGTATCATGCTGGTACAGAGTCTGCGAGGCGTATTGAAGTCCGGCGGTCGTCCTTCATTTCCTCCGGCTATACGAATGGGATTAACCAGTGAGATGAAGGGATAACGTCGTGAAGATACCCCTGAAAGGAAAGGAAAATGAATAGGTTCCGTTAACCAGGTGGTGCGTGTAAGATGAAGCGCTCGGTGCCGAATGACGTACGCGGCAGACGGTAGCAAACGCTCTGCAAAGGAGGCTTGATAGAGCTCGATTGTTGCATTGTACCTAAGCACTTGGCTTAAGATAGGAAATGTTCTCCGGTGGCAGATTCAGAATTGCTTATGAAATCATGATGACTAAGAACTTTTATCTGATAAGATAACTATTGCGCAATCAAGCATCGAGTCTGACGGAGACTTTCGCGTGCATCTTCTCTCATCCTACCGTCATCTTGTTCGCGTCGAACGGCTGAACCCGGAATATCGAGATAATCTTTTGAGGCTTTGTCGGGCCACTGACCCTCCAACGCGAAATGTGGACTCACACTTCCCGTGTGACGATATTCGCTTCTAGGGTCCAGGCTCCTTCTGTTTTTTTGCCGAAAGCGAGACTTTGCCTCCGGAGGTCTTCACTAGGAAAGTCAAATTCGCTGGGCATCGCCTGTGTCTATTGTCCGACTTCCCAATGGCGGTCTCTTCAGCACCAGGCCGATGTCCAGCCTACGCCAACTCCGAAAAGCGCAACTTCCAAACCGGTACCCAGCTCCCATAGTGAAGTGACGGTAGCGGAGCAGCGCAAAAGCGATTGGAATATAGTGAAGCGGTTGATGGAGAATGTGTGGCCCAAAAATGACTGGAAAACACGGGCCACAGTCGTTCTAGGCTTTGGGCTGCTGATTTCAGGCAAGGTACGTGCATGTTACATATCTGCATGTCTTGTATCCTGGAAAGTTCCTAGCTACTTAACGTGCAAGTCCCCTTGATATTCAAGAGCGTCGTGGATTCCCTGAATGTAGACATCACGGCGCCAGCCGCAGTCTGGACAGTAGCAGGTTCCCTGATTCTTGGCTGTACGTCTCGGCCTCCTTTGTCTAGGTTGCTTCCGATATTTCCTTCAGATGGTGCCGCACGAATAGGAGCTACAGTTTTTGGAGAATCGCTAAACGCTGTTTTTGCCAATATCGGTCAGCGAGCTATTCGTAAGGTGGCCCGCGAAACATTTGGACAGCTATTGAACATGAATCTTCAATTTCACCTGTCTCGTCAAACTGGTGGTCTGACACGGGCTATTGATCGTGGTACGAAGTGAGTCCGTACATTCTTTCTTCGAAGAACATATTATAATTGATTGACTGCAGAGGGATTGCATTTATATTACAAGCAGTACTCTTTCGGATTATTCCTACAGCATTGGAAATATCTCTCGTGTGCGGTATTTTGGTGAGCATTGCTTGTGCATGCGTCGAGTCTACGGAGGCTGATGCTAGAGTAGACTTACAAGTTCAGCTGGGACTTTGCAGCGATCACATTAGCAACTTTAGCCGCATATACATGGTTTACTGTTCGAACAACCTCTTGGCGGTAAGAATTTATTACACATGTAAATATGGATGTCTCTCAATTAACACGAAGAACGCGCTTCCGGCGAGAGGCTAATAAAGCTGACAACGCTGCCGCCACGTCTGCTGTTGATTCTCTAATCAACTTTGAGGCTGTCAAGGTTTCTGATTTCCACCAACAGCACGAACATCTGCTCACTTATTCAGGACAGCATTTTAACAACGAACAATACGAAATCTCGCAGTACGATCGACATTTGAAAGACTACGAGAAATTGTCGACTAAGATCACCACTTCGTTGGCTTTCTTGAATTCTGGACAGAACGTCATCTTCTCCAGCGCTCTTACGATGACCATGTTTATGGCTGCTCAAGGAGTTATAAATGGTGAGTCCAAAAGGGCACGAATTTCAAGCTTATCCATCGTTAACGCTCAGGGACAATGACGGTGGGAGACCTGGTCATGGTAAACCAGCTCATATTCCAACTGTCTTTCCCGCTCAACTTCTTGGGGTCTATCTATCGCGAGATGCGACAAAACCTTTTGGACATGGAAATTCTTTTCAAGCTTCGCGAACAAAATCCGCCGCTTGAGGTTGGTAGTCATACTCTCCCATACTTTTACATTTCTTGATGTCTTCACATACACAGGATGTACCTGGTGCTCTGCCCCTAGACTTTCGAGGGGGTGCCATCCGCTTTGAGAATGTGAACTTTGGTTACCATCCTGATCGGCCTATATTCAGGAATTTGTCTTTCACTATCCCCCCAGGCAAGAAAGTTGCCATAGTAGGACCATCAGGTTGCGGAAAGTCGACGGTCTTCCGACTTCTTTTCCGTTTCTATGATCCCGATTCAGGTCGCATCTTCATTGATGATCAAAACATCCATGATATCCAGATGGAAAGCCTCCGACAGAGTATTGGTGTCGTCCCTCAAGATACGCCTTTGTTCCACGCGGACATCATGCACAATGTAAGATACGGACGATTGAGCGCAACTGATGACGAGGTGATAGAAGCTACAAAAAGAGCCAGTGTTTATGACACGATTATGCGACTGCCGGATGCTTTGAAGACCAAAGTCGGGGAACGCGGGCTGATGATCAGTGGTGGAGAGAAGCAGCGGCTGGCTGTTGCTCGCGTTTTGCTGAAAGATCCGCCGATTCTCTTCTTCGATGAAGCAGTACGCTGGTTTATACCTGCTTTACGGCGTTACTGATACCTCTCTAGACTTCTGCTTTGGATGCTCATACAGAACATGAATTAATGAAAAGCATCAACGATACGCTGCTGACGAAGACACGAACTAGTATTTTCATTGCACATCGGCTGCGCACCGTTGTTGAAGCGGGTACGTCTTTTCTTGCTACCTTTTCTATGCGGTGGACTGATCGTAGTATAGACTTGATCATTGTTCTCAAGAACGGAGAAGTTGCTGAACAAGGCACCCACGAGGAGCTTCTACGCAAACGTGGGTTATACTACAGCATGTGGATGCAGCAAGCGGCAGCTTTAGACTTGAAAAAGGACGAAGAGTCGTCGTCCTCGTCCTCGACTTGAAAGTCTTGTATGACTATCACTACTGTAAGCGTTGATTAGACTTACACATCGCTATAATCACTTGCGCATCAGATACCGCTCACTAAATTATCTTACGTTACTAGTGTACAACGAATGGATACAGATAAAGGAATTCAAACTCAGTACATTGGTGGTGGGGCCCGTCTCAAGGGAGAATTCAAAGGCAATTTGTCATATTGGCAACCTTCTAGCAGATAGCCGCGCTTATCGAGGCCTTCAGACCAGCTGATTTTGGCTGGTGGATGAGGCTGCTGATCCAAATAGCTCTGCAGACTAGCAGCTGACACCACAATATCCGACAGCCGCGTCAGCTCATCCTTCAGAGCCAGAATGGCTGTGTCGTTAGGTTGTAGTTCCAGGGCCAAATTGACATCTGAGTAGGGTTGCTGGGCATTGACTCGGACCGGTTGTTAACGCCTACCTTCAAGCCCTTCTCTGAAATTTCCCAGATGACAACGTGCCTTTGCTCTGCGTAGTGTGCTTTTGCACGCCCGACAGGGGTTGTTAAATACCCGATAGTGGTGTGCTGTTCCGCGATAGAAAATCTGTTGGAAGTTGACCTGAACTTGCTACCCGAAATTGTAGTATAAATTCAACCTGTTCTCTTTTAATGCACAGGCGGCCAGATTGTTCATTGCGTCCGGACACGGGAATATTCGCACTGATATCATGTACAGCCCAAAGGCTTTCTCTGATTCGCCATTCCTAAGTGCTTCATTCCCCTGTCTATCTATGAGAATCGTTTCTTACGAAAGGGAAGCTGAACTCGCCTTCTCTTTCGCGTTAATGTGGCAGTCAGCCACATATCGAATTCATCGAGGTTCTCATCTTCCATAATCCACTGTCTTTTCTCCCAGGCAATTCTTTCGTAGGTATTGTATGGGATATCGTTGACGGAACCACATGAATTCTCGCAGAATACTGCGAGCTTTTCGAAAAAAATCTTCCACTCTGGCGTGAGCTCTTGAGGAATGCGCAGAAAGCTCCGGGGGGCAGGGGGATTGTCCATCATGTCACTCTTGAAGAAGTCCAGGAACGCCGCCATATTTGTGGGGTCAGGCACAGACATTGCTACGGTTGTAGGGGAGAAAACACAACGGAGAGATGAGTGTTCCAGAAAAGTATTCTAAGTTAGTATTCGCGAAGCTCTAGAGATAGGGCGTGCCGAAGCAAATTGCTATGACTAGCCTTGGGGTAACGCTCGAAATTCAAGCCCTGACAGTTAACATACAGCGACCTGGTTAGCTTGGATATTTGAATCTTCGAATGCTGGAGGAATCACTGGATTAAAAAACAATCTATCTCAAATGATAAGTAGTTGGTTATGAATTTACAGTTTCTATTCCACGAATGTCATCCATACAAGCTCCGAAAAGGTTTGTTGCATGCTGCTCAGACATGCTACATCCACTTGAACGATTTAAAAGAGCAAGAGACCCTCGGAGAAAATACTGTGAGCGTATTCCTCATTTTTTGGCTAGCCGAGAGCGATAGACAGGATGAGAAACACCCTCGGATAAGGTTCGGCATGTATTCGGAGTTCCAATTTCTGTAACCGAAACCCCGCCCCGAGTCCCAGACTGAAGGCTTACTCGGTGTTCCTTATTGGGACCGCATACCGGTTTTCCAAACTCTGAACTTGATACCCAATTGATTCGCTGTCTGTGCTCTGTCCAAGCCCAACGGGATGAACAATTAATGCATTTTTCTAAGCAGTTTTTGAATGACGGACCGAAATTAGCATAAACCTGCTACGCGACTTTGTTCCGTTCGAAATCGTCCATGCTACAAAGTCTTCCTTTTTTCAGAACTGGTACAGACCTAGCGATAATTGTGTGCATAGCTCTATAGGACGAAGTGACCAGATGATTGAAAATAAAACTCTATAGCTTCACATTACGCCACAGACAATATGTCTAGTAAAATTCCTATATATCGTGTAAAATGAGAATACCACGCCGTCATATTAATATCATTACTATAAAACAAAGGTGAAATGCGGATTCTTATCGCCAAGATGGGGTTCGTTTGGCACGCCCGCAGCCACCGCCTCAGCCTTCTTCTTGTTAGCTTCCCGAAGATAGAACATCTATCGCAACAGTAAGCTGTTGTCATCACAAAGGCAAAGAACATACCACAAATGTCGTTACCATCATGCTGAACGCCGTAAGCGCAATGGAAATGTAATATGAACGATGGTAATAAGGTTGCAGACGGGTGTCGAATATTTGACCTATGCAAGCACCGGCCGAACTGTTTTAAGTCAGCAGGTGAAGATACCACATACTCAAGCTGTAGACACTCACTTGCCGACAAACTGCATAAGGCCAACACCGGCTGCTCGCTTATAATGAGGACCAAAATTATTTTGCGTCTAGTAGGAAAGAAATCAGAAAATGTTAGGTTGAGCGACGCCGAAACCAACCCATCCAACGTTGAGTGCAGTTGGTGTATAAAGACCCAATGCAACAACGTAGACGCCGAAGTAACGTGCTCCAACAGGCTTCGCTGTCGCCAGAATGATATAGCCAATGATCTGGATGAAGAAGTTTCCAATGATAAATGGTCCACGAAGGAGGAGGCGGTCAGAGAATTGGGCTTGGATCATGAATGATAGCGCAGCAACAACATAGACGGGGACAGTGAGAAGCTGCGCATGGTAAGAAGAGTATCCCATGCCGTTGATAAGGACTGGCCTGAAGATGGGCGTTAGCTGAAGAGGTATGAGTAGATTATCCAGGGAACAAACACTTACATGAATGTAGAAATGGCATAAAGTGTGACATCAGCACCGAATTGGATTACACCGCTAGCCCAAGTCCTCCAATCTTTGAAAGCAAGAAGAACCACTTGTATATCAAACTTCTCGTCTGGGTCGTAATGCGTCATGTTCGTTTCGTACCGAACAGCACACATGTCCTTCTCGCCCTTGTTCAAAAACCATGCCTGGTCAATACGATTTGGGATCCAAAAGAAGGCAACGGGAGCAAGAGCGACAGTGAAGAGGCCTTCAACAATGTATAGCCATTGCCACCCAGCCAAGGAATCTGTGGATATGTGCGTTAAACCGTACGCTAGAAGTCCACCTGCACATTTGAAGCATTTAGGTTCGAAAATCAGAGGATTTTGGTTCACTGACCGAAACCTCCTGAGAGTGCGGAACACAGGAAAATGTAGGAAAGTCGTCTTCCTAACTCTTCACGACGGTAGGTCATCGTAAGGTAAGTCGCGATACAAGGGAAAACACCTATTTTCAAGAGCGTAAGTGGAGAAACATAGACCAAGAATAACTTGCGCACCGGCCTCAGACCAACCAAGGAGCACCCGAATGGCTACCAGCGGACCATATGCGCCGGAAAATGGTGTAGCAATAGTAAGCGCCCCGAAAATTAGAGTAGAGACCGAAAGAACGATCTTAGGAGTGAGAAGCTTGAGCAAAATAGCATCTGCGCGAATGAATGGGCATTAAATGTCGCTTCAACAGACAGACGACGCACAAACGGGTTCAAAGATGACATAAGTTCTGTTAATTTAATAGCATCAGATGGAAGATGTTGAACTAGAACGTTAGGCACGAACGCGTACTAGGGGGAAAAATTCAATACAAAAGTTTAAATTTAGAAGGAATCAAACGTACAACCACTGAAACGGCCGCTCCGTACTGGTTACCGACAAGGTGTAGGTCTGTCGCCATCCCCGCAACTTTGGCATTACCGATGCTAGGAGCACGATTTAATCTGTGCAAGAGGATAGGAAGTGAACAAATACCAACTTTCCACGGTCAAGGAAACACGCAAAATACAAGACACCGAACATGGGTATCAAGAATGAGTCGATCTACTGAGGGTTAAATTACAAAAACCCCGCTGAAGAACATATTCTCTCACCTTCCTCAGCAGTCTAGTTTCCTCTTGTGGGTTGAGGGGGGACGTCTCTGCACCCCCATGTTCAACTGAAGCAACAGCTACGTGGGCTGCCTTTTCAGAAAGCTTCTCGTCGCTGGAAGATTTCTGCACGGCAAAAAATGAGTTTAATCCATTCAAACGAAGGAAAGGGGAGACCCACGATGCTCATCTTCGCGTTACGGGCACAGAGGTGACCGTTGTATCTAAAGCGACGGGTGTATTATAGGAACAGTATGGGTGAATGATAAGCGCTGCTCTGTTTGGAAGACCGCCGCGCCATCACCCTATATTCCTGACATCCACCGAGCCAACAGATAAAGGTCATAGCTGTAGAAAGCAGTTATCCGTTCCGCCGCGAGAATTCCGAGCAACCAGCCTCCCAAGGTCGATATATTTCGTTATCTCGGAATTGATGCGTATCGCAGCTGAGAACAATACCATTCTCCTTCGGGGAATATATTTCAAAGTCCACTGCCGCGCCCGACTCATCCTTCACCCAGCTTCAATTGGCACAACTCTGGGCCCATAGGCTCCCACATGCCCTTTTTTCTGACGAAGAGAGATGCAGCGTAATGAGTTTACTTTCAATGGAATGAACGGATCTTATCTAACATAGTATTTTGATCTCCGATGCCAACGAGCGCGCCGTAGAGGCCGATATTACAGCAGAGAAAGACGTGCTTTATGTTATATCACGGGTATTTATTACATATGATTCTATTGAGAACTTCAATTGGTGTCTGTCGTCTCCCTCATTTGTGAAAGACTCCCGTTTGCTCTTGTCGGAGGTGCAACACGGTTGAAAGCTCCATACAGCTGACTTGCCTCCTCGTCCTCGGATCCAGGAACACCATATCCACCTCCACCGGCAGTTTCTTTACGATATAGATAAGTAAAAATCAGAAGTAAAACACAGCAGAATCCTCTTACCGATACGAATCCTATCCCCAGGCTTCATTGGACACTCATTCTTTCCTCCAAGGGCAATGGTTGTGACTGACCCATCAGCTTCCCTCCTTAACCAGAAGTTTTGCCCAGTCTGCCCGGGTGATCCGCCACGCATTCCGTAAGGCGCGATGGACCGCCGCTCAGATAGAATGGCGACGTCTAGTTCACGGGTGAATTCAATCTCGCGCACGCATCCATCACCGCCCGAGTGTCGACCGAAACCTCCTGACCCTGTACGAATACTGAATTCGCGTACAATGACGGGGTATTTACGTTCAATGTTTTCCGGATCACCAATACAAGTGTCTAGGATTATATTAGATATTGACCGCCTTTTAAACAAGGGATACTCACTCGTCATATGAACATGAACACTGCATATCAATCAATGAGAGTCAGGACCCCATGCTTAGCCAAAAAAACACATACCCGCTTTGTCCCTCCTAAGTTGAACCCGCCCCGGAACCCCCTGCAATAGTCTAAGATAAAAACCGTCAGTCAGAGATTTTTTTCCGTGAGGATATGTACCTCATAATAGCCAAAGCCTTTCGTCTCGGTCCCGTATCCGAACGTAAGACTAAGTAATTCGTCTCAGTCAGTGAAACACTCTTGAAAACTGCTGAGTTTCTCTCACTTGTTACAGGAACCTTGGGAAGCGCCACAAGCTTCGAAAGCTTTCAACACTACATCGGTTATACTACAGGACTTAGTAAAGACTTATAGCCAGTGGATGATATGACATACCGCTGTGACGTCTCAACGTTACCCGCCACCGTTGCAGCGCCTGGTCCGGGAGAAAGGATTGAATGGGGTGGGACAATTACTTTGATTGGGGCCAAGCATCCATGATTTAGTGGGATAGCGGTAGGAATCAGGGAGCGAAGCACATAGATGATGGCGCTGTATACGATAGCCGTTGGTGCATTCAGATTCGAATATCTGAAAAATATATAAGATAGAGTCAACAGATGCCAAGGAGCTAGAGACGCACGACTGCGGGCTTGTTCCCGTAAAATCAAACACGGCTTCACCCAATTGGGCATCGATGTCAATCTTAAGCTGCAATTGCTCTCCGCTATCCATGTAATCGATAGCTTGCAACGACTTCCCGCCAAATTTGGTGTCCACGAAACGCAACAGGTCACGCACAGCAGACTCTGCAGTCTTTTGGATTGCAAACATGTAGAACTACGGAAGCGATATGAGTTAGTGCTCGAGGTTTTAATTGAATGGGCATACCTGCACAACTTGCAATGAAAACTCGTCGACCAGAGCCCGGATTAACGTAGCGCCACGGTGATTGGCCGAGATCTGGGCCTTCATGTCTGAGATGTTCTACAGGAAAGCACGTCAGAACTGTGGAAAACACTAGGCTACGCAAAGCGTACATCTTTCAACGTTCGCGTTCCAGAGCAGCCAGGGAACTTGGAAGGCTGGTTGTACATAATATCAACAACGCCCTCCTCGTCGAACACTCCCTGTTTCACTAGCTTAAAACTCAAGATCTGCGCTCCTTCTTGCCAGATCGTCTTGGAGAAGGGAGGCATTGAGCCGGCACGGATGCCGCCTAAGCTTCATTAATGACAGGAAGAAATGAGACGAAGCAAGCATACCAATATCGGCATGATGTGCACGCGAGGCTGTCCAGAAGATGATTTCCCCGTTGTGGAACGCAGGGGTCATTACGGTAATATCAGGTAGATGGGAACCTCCTGCATCTTTATGATGCAATTCCAGTTAGTGACAATTGGCAAGGTAGCATTTCGGTATACCTGGATGGTTTGAGACTAGAACGTCGCCGTCTTGGAGCTGTCCTTTGTGCAACTCGGCTTGGAAGCGAACGGCCGCACTCATGGCACCGAGATGACCTGAACACCACCTTATTAGAAGGTACGTGGAGAAGCGAGAGGCACGCACAAGGTATATGAGGCGCGTTTGCTACGAGTAAGCCGTCAGGTGAAAAGAGAGCACAAGAACTGTCGACATGAATAAGTAATTCTGGTGGAAATTAGGAACAGGAGAGGGCCTACAAATCTAAACGCTCCTTGATGTTAGTCGAGATGGAAGTCTGCTTAAGAATCGTCCCCATCTGTACCCGTAATTAATGAGGACTGTTACGACAGAAGTAAATCATTACCTGTTCTGCAATACCCATAAATCTATGCCCGAACACGGATAACTGGATAGGATCGATTTGGTTGATATCTAAAACCAGCTTGGGCGCAGGCAGTCCTGCACGGTCAATGATGATGTGCTTCGAAGTAGCTGTCGCCAAGTATCCAGGTTCAATAACAATTGTCTGAGTCGCATCGAAGATGATTGCTGGAGCCTATGAATTGTTTGTTCAGATCTACCAATGAGAGCATTTAGAAGTCTCACTGGAATTTGGTCGCCGGGAGATAGTTCCTCCAGCGGCACAACGGCAGTGTCTGCCCATCCCAGCCCATCGAAATACACCTTCTTTCTCTGGCATCTCTCGAGCAGTCCCTTCGCCTCCATTAGTGTAGACTTCGCTAACTCGGCATATGGACTCTCCTGTTCGGTTCCATCGCTCTTAGCGACAGCCCTCACACGCACATCGTCAACATGCACGCTTCGATTTTGTAGTGTGAATCCAAAGAGTTGTTCGTGCTGCCGGACGAAGCTACCGACAAAATCCCCGTCTGCCGGCTCGCGTACCATCAGGGACGTGCTTGTTCCTTGGAAGCGGCAGTTGTACATGAGCTCAGTAGATATTTGTGCAGACGGAAAGCCTTGAGTAATAAGGGATGACCGAGCACGGTTGATGAGCGTATCTGCTCGTACGCGGAGCGAGGCATACACAGCGGAGTTGTCTGTGTCAGTGCGCGAGTCGAGAACATCAGAGGCGGGTTCTTGTTCTTCGACAACCACATCTGCCAATGCCATACCATAGGCAGAGAGAATAGAGGAAAAGCGAGCGACGAGGATACGAGTGATGCCGAGGATGGAAGCAATGGCAGTGCCATGTTGTCCTCCTGCACCACCGAATATGACGAGGTTATGACTAGCACTTTCGAAGCCTCGGGCTTCAGTCAGCCTAGATAGAATTAGGAATGATTAGTGATAAAAGATAAACTATACAGATAAAAAAACATACGTTCGAATAGGTCTACTCATGGCTTCGTTTGCCACACGGAGGAAACCAGAAGCAACTTCTTCGGGAGTCATTTTGATTCCTTTCTCAGTGCTTATCCTGGCAGTCAATTCCTCAAAATGTCGACGAGTAATATCCATGTCTAAGGCTTCATCTTCATTGGGTCCAAATATCTTGGGGCTGGAGAAAATTAGTCTCCTGACGGTAGGGCATAATTGTGACAGCATACAAATGTTCGGGGAGAAGCCTGCCTAGAAGCAGATTAGCGTCGGTGACGGCTAATGGACCACCTTTGCGGTAACATGCGGGGCCAGGATGGGCCCCAGCACTCTGAAAGCGAATCAATCATCAGTTCGATACTGCAGACACTCGGCGGATGGTACCAACCTCCGGGCCAACGACAAACATTCCATTCTCCCAAAACAAGCGAGAACCACCGCCTGCGGCGACAGTGTTGATGTCGAGTTGCGGAGCTTGGATGATAACCTCTGCCGTAGCTGTTTCAAAGACGTGCTCGAGATGACCATTATATCGCGAAACATCGGTGGAGGTGCCGCCCATGTCCACTGATACCAGCGGGGTACCATCATTTGCATCGTAGCATGTCTTGGAATACCCGATGACACCTCCAGCAGGGCCAGAAAGTACAGCACGAAGGCCTGAGAAGTTTCTCCAGCTACAAAGACCGCCGTCACTCTGCATGAACAAGAGTTTGTTTCCAAGCGTATCAAGCCCGCCCTCAAAACCCTCGGCGAATGTCTCAATGTATGCCCGAGTTACAGGAGAGAGATACGCGTCTGCAATAGCCGAGTTGGCTCGCGACACGATCTTGATCATTGGCTGGAGTTCAGAGGACACGGAAACGGCAAAGCCCATCTTCCTTGCGATACCGGAGACGAGATTCTCATGTTCGGGATAGACATAGGAATGAAGGAGGGCAACAGCGATGGACCGGAAGCCCTCATCCCAGAGTGACTGTAGTTGGGTCTTGATAATGTCCGGGTCAGGCTTCTTGAGAACACGGATAAAGTCGCCTGTAAGTCCTCGTACGATGGACGTATCGGAGCTGCCTTCGAAAAGGGCCGGAGATGACTCTGGGTCCTCGGTAGAGGTGGCAATAGTAATGCGCTCGGCAATTTCAATGACCTTGTCATAGAGCGACGAAAGCTTCTTGGCTGACAGGTCAAAGATATTGGGTCGGGCTGTAGCGGACTTAGAGGACAGAATTCAACACACCTAACTGAAAATACTCACCTTGCTGTCCAATACGCAGGACGTCCTTGTGCCCCTCAGTTGTCAGAAGTGCACATCGAGCACCTTTCCGCTCTAGCAAGGCATTGGTCGCGACAGTCGTACCCATACGAATGCTCTCAACCCGGTCCAGCTTCAATTTCGAGCCCTTGGGTATGCTTTGACCGGACGTTAGCTCTAGAACCAGTCGGATACCTTCCGCTGGCGCATCGGGGTAGTTGTGAGGATCCACAGAGAGGAGCTGGTGACCAGTAAGTGGGAGAATAGACCGCGACGACGACAACGAACCTTTAGCACGATATCAGGTCTCCCCGTTTGCGCACAGTACACGTCTGTGAACGTTCCTCCACGGTCTGATAACGGTAAGACAGCGTCATCTCTGCAGTAATCAACGTACCGATAGCAATTCTTACAAGTTCCGACGACATGGTTAGCTCAAGACAGTATACGTCCGAAGGTTAATTTGGTTCCGTGACAGAGCTATATGAGAGACGGATATCCATTCCTGGCAGATTCCGAAATCCATTCAGATAGGTGATAAAGGTGAACCAACTCGCAATTCGATACCGGCGGCAAGTCCGGCTCGGGCGGAATATGCCAGGAATTCTTTCCTTGACAATTCCTATCCCTTTGCTGGCACTTAATCGAGGGGTCATAGATATGGCATCAGCTGAGAAAATTACCAATAATTCATTGCATCTATCACGACATGCTGCCTCGGCGAACACTAGGCTACTGAACACCCCGAAGCGATGCTCACTAAAATCCGAACATCCATCCTGTATACCAGCTATATATCATCACGAGAAGTAATTCGAATGTTAAGATGCATTTGGGTCCCCTTTTCCCGCTGACCTTCGAGCGTAGGAGTCATCACAAAGCAGGCTTCCCGTCGAATGCTGCCACCTTTGTCCGTCAAGGAAAACTCGAAGTTATTCAAAAGCTCAACGACAAATGCCGATAGCTCGAGTACCCTATCAGTCTTCAGATCATACACAATACCGACACGAACAAAAATTCACATACGCGAATCTCCAGCCGATACACGCTCGTCCACCGCCTGAGAAAGTAAATCTAGAGAGTGATTAGATGTTGCCGGAATACGTGACGGGTGGAGAAGCCTACAGATTGGCGTACATGCCAAGGGATATAGTTGATTTGACATTATCACACAACCAGCGATCAGGATTGAAGACATTTGAGTCCTCTCCGAATATGTCCGTATTCCTAGGAGGTCACGAATATACGTGAGTACGATAGTTCACATGGAGCTGAGCAGGGATCAAGTACCTGTTATATGCAGCAATTGAAGCAATGATCTGGAGACCTTTTGGAATTGGCACTTCATGCATGACTTTCCCATCTTTGCTGGTTATCGGCTTCAGCAGCGGCAATACGTCATTCTTTTCAGCTACTCTGAAAACGTTGTACGACACTGGATGGAACCGAAGGCTCTCCTGAATAAGACAGGATGAGCTTTGACCTACCCCAAAGCGACACAGATACTTACCTTCACGACAGCAGTTAAATACGGCATATTATCGAAATCTGTGGCCGTGAATGATCCGCCACGAGAAAGAACCAGAGATTCCATGGCCCGAATCTCTTCTCGAAGTTTAGACTGTATTTCTGGGTGCTTTGCAAGTTCCAACAATGCCCACGACAAAGAATTTGACGTTGTTTCGTGGCCTGCCATGATGATTGTGCTGCAAGGGGTTGAGCTGGGAGTTACACACTATAAACCTTTAATAACTCACATCATCTGCGCGAGCAATTCTCGCTCCGAAAGCTTTGTGTCTGGGTTCTGGGATGCGTTGGCCTTAACTAATTCAAGTTACTACGGCGCTTTCGACGGTGCAAACAGACTCGACGCACCTAACAGACTCATGATGTCTTTGTTAGATTTACCGTCAATCAGGGCGTCATACTTCTCTTTGACTAACTGCTTCGAAACTGCGCCGGTTAATCGATTTAATTTATGAGCGTGAGCCAAACGTGATATTGGCAAAGACTTGGTAATGAATCTCGAAAGCCAAAAAGGAAGCAAATCCATGATGCTCAATGAGATAACGGCTTTGTTTGTTGGAAGGCCGAACGTATCGAAGCTGAAAAATCAGGATTAGACTTGGCATTGACTCTCGCAATCTATCATGGCGTACACGATATTCGATACAATCTTGGTCAGGGTGTTGTCAGAGTCGTCAAGAGCTCCGAAGTCATAGTCGAAAGCAGCTGAGCACCAAATATCAGCATCACAAGATTGACATTTAGAAATTGGAAACCTTGTCCTATAATGTCTAGCGTTGCACGAGAGGTCCATGAAGGGACATCCACAGTACCCGACAGACCATCGTTTCCCGAAATGATGTCTCTCCATTTGGCAGCCATCTGAAGGACGCATTAGACCGTTGCAGCAACAGATTGAATTGGCAGTCACCTTCCCAGCGTGAGCGAAAAATATTGGTACGAAAGCCTTGATTTCTGGAGTCCCGAAACCAGGCATCATAACCCTCCTCTGCCGCCTGTGAACGTCACCTACTCGATTAAGTCATGGCTCGTGCAGAGTACAAAAGACCGTCGCATACCGTCGACGCTCACGAGTCCGGGACCGAATATCGTTTGAGATACAGCAAGACGCCCAGACGTCTTGGTAAAGCCATATCCAGGGGACTGATAGATGTGCTGCAACGCTTTAGGGTCCGAAATGAGCAGCCGATCTTCCTACATATCGTGTTGCGTCACATTTGCTTTACAGTTAAGAGCGTCGAGAGCAAGAGGCGTACACCGAAGGGTGCCTTGATCCGGACGACATCGCCAAACTCTTCCTGCCACTTGAAGTCAATCTAACACATATGGCATAAGTATCTCAGTAAAGAGAGAGCGAATGGATAACAGACATCGCCAGCTTGCCCTTCCAACATTTCCGGGAAGTTGCCTGGGTATGACAGTGTCTCAACGGCACCCATAGGCGATATTCGGATAAATATTGCACCTACCGTACAAGATCGAATTTGGCGGAGGCCCAGGAATGTTGGCGATTGAAATCCGGGTCCATCTCTTGTATAACAGATGTACAGCGACCGAGAAGATAAAGACCCAAAGTGCAGTAAGCAGGATCATAGTGAAGGTAGGTTGCGAATGAATCGAGCCAAAATTTGTACGTTACTATGGCCGGCGACCAGAAAAAGGCGTGATTATGGTCAGGGTTGATGAGAGGATGGCAGCCGATAATATTAATAATATAAATTTATAGCCCCTGCCTTGAACGTAGAAGAGTAGCGTGTCTGTGATGAGCCTTTTCAAGTTTGGAGGCCAAGCCAGCGCCGAGAATTGGATGAACCCGTCCAGAAAAATAAGTTGAGTCGATATTCCAGCATGATAACGGCCAAAAATCGGAGGTTCTAGATACTATATGCAGCTAGTTCAGCGGTTACGAGTTCAGAATTACTTAGGAAAACAAAGAATTCGACAAGTTACAGACCGAAGTCTTCGGAAGCTAGCTGTCAATCGGCAACCTGAAGTTCAGGCGTGTGCCGAATTTGCCAACTATCACACGCCACTCTTGGCATGGCTCGCCCGGTTGTTCCATATTGGGACCTTGTGCCGGCAACAACACCAACACCATATCGCAGCCCACCAGCGCCCGTAGATGCTAGATAAGTGGCATAGTGTCCGCCACCGAAACGAGATATCGATAGACACGGTCGAAACGATTGGCTAGAAGATTACAGCCTAGGATTAAAAAAATCACTTCTCGAAACTTTAACGAGCCTTGCCACACTGTGGTATTGCGCCCCTCTCTACGGGAGAAATCTGACAAAATATCTCACGCTGTAACTATCACTGAGCCCCTTCTGAATCCCGTGCTGAATTCAGACTTGCCACCTCCATTTGAACTTTGTCATGCTCATCGGCTTTTTTTGCTATGTAATCGCTTACACTGCGGTCACGCATGTCTTCATCATCTTTTAGCGACGGGGCCGAAGAGTTCTTCCATTCGCTTCTCTAGTATCACTCGCACCACAGTGACTGGACGTCTTCGTGTCATTCTCTAGCGATGGGGCCGCCATTTATTATTGGGGTCCATTCCTTGTCTTTCCCTACAGGTTCGCCTCTGAAGCTCTAATCCGGCACTTTCTCTCTGAATAGCTATGTATCGTCGTCTGCTCGAAGACGTCCCTGACAAATGACGAAGTATATTCACAATATCGGAGGCAACTCGGTCAAATTGTCTCGGTCAGACACGGACTTGAAACCCACTTGCCTCCTAAGCGTCTAATATACCTTTCTAGTTACATCTTGTCTGTAGCTTTGCAGTTTGGCGCGATCTTCGCTCAGGTGAGAGTTCGTCTCTATTTTGGAGGTTCATGTCTTCACCTTGAATACCGTAGATAGTACCAGCTTTCCAAATGTACCAAGTGTATACATGCAAGCAGCATTTTCACACCACGTATTGCTGCGACTGTTGGTCAGAATGCCTTTACCCGCCTGACTTGTTAAGCCCGCCTTGAACCTCTGAACAGCTGCAAGACTGATCTTCATAATTTGTTGCTTCTTGAAAGGTTAGCCCGGGCATCGCAGAACGAAGATTCGGTTAGATTCTGATGCTACAGTGTTGACTTTTAGTTCTGTGTTTGTGCAATCGATCATTCATTTGGGGAGTCTTGGCTATATGTCAGATGCACTCGTGATTCCTAACTGCCCATAGGACATCTTCGAAGTGTTTGTAGCCACTTTGAACGGCCCGCTTCAAGCTATAAAATGAGATGGCTCTTTCCGCTTAGTTGATCAGCTATTATGCTTCACATGTATTCAATTCCTTTAGTAACGTCCCTGGCGTTCGTGATATTCTTGTTCTATCGTCGCTTGCGCAACTCTTTTGGTCTAGGATCACTCCCGTTTCCTCCTGGTCCAAAGGGGCTTCCCCTCATCAGAAATCTTTGGGATATTCCTACTGAACATCAATGGCTTACCTACTCTCGATGGTCGGCTACATATGGCGACGTCTTATTCTTAAACTCTCCCGGTAACAAAACAATCGTCCTCAACTCGTCTCAGGCGGCCACAGAGCTACTCGAAAAGCGTTCCGGAAATTACTCAGATAGACCGGGTACGCCTCGGATATGCGATCCAGTTTTTATCCCAGACTTACTGCATCCCAGATCTCAACATGATGAACCTGACAGGATGGAACTTCAGCTTAGCTTTTATGAGGTATTCAGATAGGTGGGGGTTGGTGTTTTCGCAAAACTGCTCTCAGCCTCGATCTGATTTCTCTAGGACACATCGGAGGATGTTTCATCAATACTTCCAACCTCGCGCAATTCTAGCTTATTATCCAGTGCAAACCAAAGCTACCCTAGTCTTGTTGCAGCAGCTACTCAAGTCTCCGGATGAATGCTTTCATCATGTTCGTCAGTGAGTTTAACATTTCGGGCATCATTCGTTTTAGAATTTTGTTCAACTATCTCTAAGCCATGCAGGTTCGATTATCATGAAGACCGTATATGGCTACGATGTTGAACCTAACGGTGACCGATTTGTGCACTTGGCGGATCAAGCTTTGACAAGCATTCGTGTCGCCGGAGCTGAAGGAACTTTTCTCGTTGACTATCTTCCCATTTTGAAATACATACCTGGTATGTTCGCTTTTTGCGGTACAAAGTCGCGTCTCACGAAACACAATTATGCAGACTGGTTCCCTGGGGCGAAATTCAAGAAACTTGCGCAGACGTGGAGCAAGGATGTTGAGGACATGAAGGAGGAGCCTTTCAAATATGCTTCGGAGTCACTTGTAAGTATCGACTGGTGCGGATTTGAGTTGGTATTTAGCTCTCACGTATTCAAGGCTAATGGCATTGCATCACCTTCGTTTGTCTCTGAGAACCTTAAAAGGTTGAAAGAGACTCGACCCTCCGACTATGAGGCGCAAACGGAAATCATCAAGAACGCGGCTGGGGTGGCTTTCGGTGGTGAGTTTTCGCCTTTATTCTTTGTCAACGATTTGACAATGTCTGTCCTCGTCGTTAGCGGGTGCCGATACTGTAAGCCTTGGAGATCACTCGTCAGCGCTATCCTTCTGATACTGACATGTTGTAGACAGTTTCGACTGTTCTTTCAGCAATTTTGGCCTTTGTACTCTATCCCGAAGTTCTGGTGAAAGCTCAAGCGGAGTTGGATGCTGTAGTAGGCCAGTCGCGGCTGCCCAACTTCGATGATCGTCCCCAGCTTCCCTACATCGAAGCTGTTCTTTATGAAGCACTAAGATGGAATCCTGTTGTTCCCCTCAGTGAGCCCTTCGATCAACGAAATGCAGGTGCCGCTGAGTTTTTTTGTACAGGTATTCCCCATCGGAGCGTGAAAGATGATGTATACAAAGGTTATTACATTCCTGCAGGTGCGTTGCAGGTTCATAATGTATTGGGATAACCTCGGTATTTATTAGGTGCGACTATCATTGCGAACACCTGGTAAGTCTTTCCGTGAACAATTGTCTGGGAACCTGAGAAATCTAATCGAATTCCAGGGCGATCCTCCACAACGAGAAAGACTACCCAGGTACCCTGAAATTCAATCCTGAACGCTTCATTAAACAGGAGGGTAAGGAACTACCCCCTGATCCAATGGCTGCTTTCGGCTATGGAAGACGGTTCGTATTGTTGAGTCCAAACACCTTTGATGCTAGTTTCATGCGCCGAACCCCATAGCATCTGCCCTGGTCGTTATCTCGCGCTGAATACCGCCTGGATTGCTATTGCCTACATTGCATCAACATTGTCCGTTACAAAGGCTGCGGGCTCGGATGGCCAGCTCATCGAACCTAGTGACACATTTTCTGGCGGCTTTCTGAGGTGCATCATTGTGATTTTGATCCTTCTTATACCTGACCTGATTTGCTTAGCCTTCCTTTGTCATTTAAGTGCTCATTCAAAGCGCGCTCCGCGCAAGCGCAGGAATTGATAGACTCTGAGTTCGGGATAGCAATGGGAGGAAATTAGACACGATTGCGTGACTTGTAACAACATGTAGTACTTGAGGGCCACTACTTGAGATAATTTCGAATATTAAGGACTATTTGAAATTGCTGCCATGCCTAGTGATTCGATGACATCACTCAGCCTCTCCTTTTCCCTTCATGGCTGACGAAGGCGCTTTCGACATAATCATCCTTGGAACCGGTCTCGTGGAGTCCATTGCAGCCGCGTGAGTCTGAATTCCAAGTGTCTTTTATCTTTTCTCCTTATTTCCTAGCGCGCTCTCCAAAGCCGGGTTTAAAGTCGCGCATATCGACAACAATCCTTATTACGGTGCAGACGAGGCCAGCCTTTCATTGGAAGAATTCATCGAATGGACCGACAAGGACCATGAGTTGTTCTCTGCGTTCTCCGGCACACATACCAAACTACCACATGCACGTCAATATTCCATCTCTCTCTCACCTTCTGTGATACCGTCAGTCGGGCCTCTCATATCTTCCCTCGTAGCTTCCGGAGTGTCTAGATATGGGGGGTTTCAGCTTGTTGAGCGTGTAGGCATATACGATGCTTCTTCAGGAACCGTAAAAGGTGTTCCAGGCAGCAAAGAGGACGTGTTCAAGAACAAGGATATCAGTCTGGTGGATAAACGGCGCCTGATGCGATTTCTCATGTTTGCCTCGGGAGAGTTTGAAGGAAAGCCTGAGCTCGAGGGAAGGGAGGAGATGGCGTTTGGCGAATTTCTGAAGACGGCGTTCATGCTCAACGACGAGACAGTAGCAGCGATTCTGTATGCATTAGCTTTCTGCTTCACTGCCCAAGGTGTGTCTTCTTAATAGATATCAAGCTACGTCTTCTATATGATCTCGCGGTACAGATCCCACTCTATACATCCTGCGCCGACTCCGCCGCTATCTTTGTTCGACCGGACGTTATGGATCCTCGCCTTTCCTTGTAGGCCATTACGGCAGCTCAGGTGAAATCGCTCAAGGCTTTTGTAGGACAGCTGCAGTGGCTGGAGGCGTCTACATTTTAAGCCGCACCATGTCTTCCATCACCTACTCAGACTCCCGATATACTGTTACGCTCAATGATTTCCCTGAGCCACTCACATGCCGCGTCCTGATTTCATCTGCGACTCATCTTCCATCAAATCTTGCTCTACATCAGAAACGCGTTGCGGTTTCTTCGCTAGAATCGATATCTGGCTACTGTATGGCACGATGCGTAGCCATCATTGACCAACCACTTTCATTCGGTACCAAAGTGCGTTCAACGGACGAAGACACTGAGGAACCCCCCCTTGACACCGGGATACTCGTTTTTCCACCGAATTCTCTTACATCGTCATCAGCGGCCGCAATAGCCTTTGTCGTCGGCCAAGGGTCACTGTCTACCCCCAAAGACAGATGGATCCTCTATCTATCGATGCCTATCCATCTTTCCGAAATACATTTATTATCTCCAGAAATCATCCTCACGCCGTATATGACCGCTGCTCTCAAGACGTCCCCGTCTCCTACTCCTCCTGTACCATTATTTACCTCTTTTTACCTCCAGAATCCACCATCTGCTGAGAATTCAGGGTCCAAGTCTGATTTGGGAACTTGCTTGGTATCCCCGCAACTTCCAATCGTCCCGCTTCCCGACACTCCAGATCTTGCCGTGGAATACGCAGAGGCTGTTTTCCGGGAGGCAATTAAAGCTCTTCGACCAGATGAAGAAGCAGACTTTTGGCCGCCGTTAGAAGAGGTTGATGCAGAGGAGGAATCTTTTTAAACATTGGGATATTGAAGTTTTACTCACGTATTGATTGTGATATCTGCATGTTGCAAAGCTGAAGCAAATCATCTTCCTGACACTTTCATGCCAAAGGACGGCCACACTAGACTCCTTGACGATTCCGTGACAATTCAATTCCAGTTCTATTCCGAGATATGGCGAAGGAAGTTACTCCGACCTTCTGAATCGGCCGAACCTAATGAATACTTTATCTTCCTTCGGAGAACGTTGTTACTCACATCCTTATTCATGTCTTCGCACATCATTGCCCTGCTGGGCCCCGGGGCGATGGGATCCGCAATGGCGCTTCGGCTTTTTAGCTCTGGAGCCGGGCCTATCATGACGAACCTCGATGGCAGATCGGAGGCAGCAGTTAAACGTGCAAAGGCGTCTGGGATGATTCATGCCTCGTATTCTGAAATCATCGCCAAGTGCACGATCATATACAGCGTCGTTCCACCAAAAGAAGCAGGACACGTCGCGGAGCAGATACTCAACGCGTATAAAGAGTTGGCGGAGGTGGATCGCCAGGATATCATTTTTGCCGACTGTAATGCGGTCAATCCGGACACGATCAAGCAAATGGCACAACTCTTCACTGGGACGAAGATTAGATTCCTTGATGGCGTCATTATTGGATTCCCTCCTTCCGACACCAATAATCCGGGAATATATGTTTCTGCACATTCAGATGATTTGTCTGCGTTGGATGTGTTCACAGGGATTTCGACGAAGTTTGGATTGTATGTTATCCCTCTCAAGGGTGAGGGCGCGGGTATTGGTGATGCCAGCGCTTTGAAAATGTCACATGCAGTGAGTGATTCGTCTTGTGGATTGGATCCTATCCTGAGTCATATCGAGGCTATCGTCAAAGGAACGATTGGAATATGTGCGATGTCTATTCTCGGTGAGATTCGGCACGAACGAAGCTGGCACAAGAGGACTAATTAAGATATAGCCGCACAAGCAAGCTCGCCGGCTACCGCACGAGGCCTTCTGCATGCCATGAGCATATCTCAACCCGCCTTTCTTGACATCATCGTCCGTCTAATTCCACAGATGATACCCAAGGCCTATCGTATGGCGTTTGAGATGGAGGAGGTCTCGGGTTTCGTGGGCGGTGAAGCGAGCAAAACATTCGAGGGAATCGCAAAACTTTTCGAAAGAGTAGCAGAAGCACATACCACGGAAAAGAGAGGAGATGACGGCGATGTGGATGCCCTTCTCCGGTTTGTAGACCAGTCCAAGAAGACTCTGGGTAGCTTATAATACGGCACTGGGTAAAGAGAAGCGGCGATCCGGTCCGAACTGTGTACATTTGTTTGACTCGCAAGGCCTCAAGAGAAAAATCAAAGCAATTCATTTCGATCCTCGGCCACGCCATGCTCGCCTTGCAATGGGCAGCCGTCACTCGCGTTTTACCTCTAGCTAGATCCCGACTCGCTCGCCCTGCGTCTACCTCTGCATTTGATACCGCCATTCACAATTTTGGCGCCGATCTCAGACAGAGACAACCGACTTTCTCTATCCCTACCAATGGAATACAAATACTCTCGCAACCGAGCGAGTTTTACGCGTTGATTCTGGTGCTTATCCATATTGAATCCTTTTTAATGAAGACCGACCTCTGCATTTTCTAGGATATGATTCAACGCGCTCAAAATCGAATATTTCTATCCTCACTCTATATAGGCTCTGGTCAAACAGAATTGGTACGTGATTAGCTATCGTCGCTTGGTTATATTGACTAAATGCTCAGATTGCCTCGCTTTCTTCAGCTTTACAACGAAAGCCGGCTCTTCAGTTGCATTTACAGTTGGACCTGAATCGCTCGACGCGACCTGGATCTGCATCTACAGCAAGATTGCTTCTCCCCCTTTTGCGCGCGTTTCCTCAGCGGGTTCATGTGCACCTTTTCCGAAGCCCAAGCCTTCGCGGACTACTAGCGAAGGTGGTGCCTCCACGGTTTAATGAAGGATGGGGGACATGGCATGCCAAGATATACGGTGCTGACGATGACGTTCTGATTAGCGGGTGAGCGAATATGCTACTTCTGAGAATGTATGTAGTTGACCAATTTTCAGTGCGAATCTCAATGAATCGTACTTCTCCAACCGCCAAGACCGCTACATCTATTTTTCTAAGCAGAAGCAACTTGCCAATTATTGCTTCCAATTCTTGAAAGTAGTATCAACATGTGCATACATGCTGTCTCCAGCTGAAGATATGAATCCTTCGGATAGCACACCTTATTCATATCGACAAGAAGATTACATTGTGCATTGGCCGGACCCTGATACACACCCACACAATTTCAATGAGAAACTGCACAAGGCCTTGTCTACCTTCCAGGAAAGTCACCGCCAGTCGTCATCCTTCAGCTCGTCTCCCGGTGATGTTACCCTGTTCCCGATAGTGCAAGGCGGCCAATTCGGCATACGAGAGGAAGAGACTGCCATAGAACTCTTGTTCAAGCACCTTCGGAGTATCTCACAGGTTTCACATCCATTCATGGACCTCACCAGCGGATATTTCAACTTGTATCGTCCTTATCAAAATCTCTTACTCACTTCACCGGGCGTTGACGTTCGTGTTCTTGCAGCCAGTCCTAAGGTTTGCTTCTAACTCTTGTGCTGGAGATATCAGCGATTCATTCGATTACTTAGGCCAATGGTTTTTATGGGTCGAAGGGTATATCTAGTCGTATTCCTGAGGGATATACCATTCTGGAACGACGCTTTATTCAAGCTGTGGACCGTGCAGGAAGATCTTGGCAGGAAGGTGCCAGTACCGGCATCCAATTGAACGAGTGGGAGAAAGAGGGCTGGACGTATCACGCAAAAGGTAGGTGAAAACCATTGTCGTCACAAGAAGGCCCTGACCGAAGGCAAAACCAGGACTTTGGCTTTCGCCCACAGCCGCGACAAATCCAATACTCACCCTCTTTGGGTCAACAAACCTCAATGCGCGCTCGGCACATATCGACACGGAGTTATCATTCTTGATGTTACTGCAGCCGCCAAATGAATCCGAAGGCTATGACGCTGCTGCTGATTCAACGATGTCGTTAGGGTGTCAGTTGGCTGATGAAATACGGACTATACGCAGTCACGCGTATGAGTGGAGCGGATATCAGAGAGCTATTCGACCTGGTACGAGGACGATGTTGAGGATTGTAGAAGATATGCTGTGAAACTGTTATCAAATATCTCGTCGAGGTATATCCCCAACTCACTCAAAAGCCTAGGCATTAATAATGCGGTCTACTAAAAGTCCGAAATCTTTCCATGTTAGTCAGCTAATTATCAATACCTGGCGTCGAATCTGAATTCCCGAACTCTCCGGATCACTTATTGTCCATAAAGAAGGACGTAGGATTTTTGCCGCCAATGCAAGGCTTATGGTTCAATTACTGGATCTCCCTCAAGAAACCATTTCCCTCATCGCTAATGAAGTCCGCGATAATCCCTCTTTGCTCAGTGCCTCGCTGGCTGGTAGCCACACTCTGACGGTCATCATACGTCCTTTCTTATGGCGACACGTTTACATTACATGTAAAATGTCTCCAGTGGGGCATGAAGATGATTCGCAAGCCACCCGGATCATAGCTCTCGGTGCAGATCCTCGGCGAGCACCTGCCGCTCGAGCTTTGAACATAAAACTGCAAGGATACTTTGACTATTCACTTGGGATATTCAAAGCATTGGAAGAATGCCTTCCAAATTTCACCAATGTTACTCATATGTCAATCGATTGTTGCGAATCCCACGAAATGACTTCATGCGGCCAACCGGGCTATTTCGTTCGACGAGTACTCATATTAATCCCATCGCTCATCAGTCTTATTGTCAAAGGCTGCTATGCCGATGAAGTCGACTTCGGGGACCTAAGCGATGACGAGGACACTAAAGACGAAGAAGCTTTCCCTGTCATTGCACCCCAACTTCGTCATCTCTGCCTCAAATACTGCGGTTGCCGAATGGCTAGGATATGGTACAATATTCCTCATCTAGAGGTTTTGGAAATGGAAGCTGGTGATGGAAGGGCTTGGTACGCGAATGAAATGAAGAGGGGAGACACTGATGGCATGAGACAGGAGTTGAAAGTCGTATTCTAGACGTAACGGGACCGATGGAATTGGAGCATGCACAGCATCTCACCCGGTTGATGTTGCGCAGCTCTGCTGATACTGACAGTGTTGTTCTAGACGAAAACATTTTTGGGGGTGCAACCGGACATCTCGAACACATACGAACCGGCATCTGGAACGATTTAGAGAACACTGTCTATTTTTTTGAAGTGCGTTTGTCTATACTGACGTCAACGTCGAAGTCACTGAACCTGCAGTAGACCAATGCATTACACAACCTCACGGAGCTCGTTTTGGACCTTAAGTATAACCCGGAACTGTTTGGAAGACTCCTTGCTTCAGCAGGAATAGCGTCGTGTCCTCTCCAGCGACTCTACATTGGTACATCTAGACCATGGGACAGGAAAGAGGACTTCGAGACAGCTTTTCCAAGAGCTGGAAATGCCGACGAGCGTTTACCAATAATCTTTCGTTCATTCAGTGCTTTGCAAGAACTCTACCTGCCATGTGATGGAATCAGTTTTGGGCAATTGGTAATGCATCCTTTTGTTCCTCCGGCACCGTAATGCTGAATGCTGTGATAGGATGTCCTTCCTCTTCTGCTCGGAGAGCTTCCGCAACTTAACCATTTATATTTGGGTCATTCAGGTGATAAAGATCAACCCCAATGCAAATTCGAAGACGCCGCGAGAGCATACTCTTCTGTTATCGGAACTACTCGCTCAATATCTTGGACTGGAAAAAGAACAATACAGGTGGAGAGACACCCCGACTATTCAGTTAAGTGCCTCAAGGCAGGAGAGTATAGATGCCCGCGTTGGATCCATTCTCATGGAATTGGCGAATGGTGGGAAACCGGCATGGTAAAAAGGTGAGATACTCGTTCCAGACTACGGGGTGGAGCTCAATTCAGGTTGCATTCCAGGAACCAACTCACTGGTGTTTAAAGATGTCCTGCCCAAATTGCGCATTTCCGTGGGCGTTACTGCCTGAACATTCAGCCTCTTCAGAAGTGGCGCATAGGGACTAATCACGCGTCTGACGGGACCCATCATATTCTTACTACTGCCTTCAGTCATGGTCCTGTTTTGTGTTAGTCCTTTTTAAACGGCTCACCCAAAGTGCTTCGCAAGGCACGCCTTAGCTTGAACTCGTGTCTCCAATACAATCGACTGTATGGACTTATAAGGCTGTCGCCTTCACTGCGCCTCTTGACTCCAAAATAGGCGTAAGTATCACAGGTTGTTGATAAGCGCCCATGATGGTTCATCATGACATGCCTAACTCGGATGAGAAGTTCCTATGGCTGCTTCCAGATTCATTTTGATAATCACAGGAATGGTGTAAAGCGGTTTCGGGGTATGTGGGGGACATGATTTTAGCGGCAGCCGACTAAACACACGTTCTTTCCACCACCAGAAGCCACCCTCTCCTTGTACTTGAGCACATTGAAAACTTCACTGATGACGCCAGACACGATCTATCAGGATCAAACCGACCCCGTCGACGAGATACTTGATTCATTCTATTTTAGCATTGAGGAGGAAGAGGCAGGAATAAACGATGATGATGAGCAGTATGAGTATGCAGCAAACTCCGTCCACTGTTCTCTTAATTTCGGCTGACATTCTGATGCCGACAGAACTGCTTCATCTGTCTCTAGTACTCAGAGCGAAGGTCTATCAGAACTCGAATCAGAATCAGACGAGGAAGCGGGTGCATTTTATGCCCTATACGGCGGAGGGTCGAGCGTTTCGTCCTCTATCTCATCTTTATCGTCTATGTCGGCGCCGAGAGAACGAGTCGACCTTTCCTCTGAGAGCATAGAGGCCGCCGGTATATTCGACAATTCCCGAGACGACGACGTTCTCCCATTGGATACATACCGTCCGACGAACGACTCTTCCCTCATTTTTGGACATGAAGATATTCCTCAAGTGATCTCTGCTTCGTCAAATACGTGTGATGAAGGAGTTCTAAGTGACGACCATTTACCCCCGAAGTTTAGCAGCCGATTGTCAACCGAGACTATTCATGGTGTAAGGTAGCTAAGCGGTTGCCAAGTTAGAGACAGCTTTCTCATGATCAATCCCATTTAGACGTTCGATGCCAGTGAAGGAGGCAGTGGCATAACCTTCCGGAGTACAGATATTACCTCGGTACCATATCAGACTTGTACGGGGCGTAACGTTTGACAGTGCTGGCGCTGCATACATTGGCTAATTAGGGAAAGGAGTACCCTTGTTACTTTCTTTTCCTTTCAGAGTTGTACCTTTTAACGCGGAAAAGTACTTCAGTTGCTATTGTGCATCCATTTGGCTTCGTTTTTATCGGCTTATCGACGACTACGCTCGAAATTTAAAGATCTCTGTCTTGTCCTACTTCTCCCGTGTCTCTTGTATCCCTAACCAACAAGTATCCTTTACGAAAGCTATGTTCGCCCAATAGCGAGAGGTACAGCGCTCGAGATGAGCGTCCGACTGGTCACTGGTAGGTGATAGGCCGCATTGTAACCGCCCTGAAACCTGGTCCACGGACTGTCATTGATTACTCTCCGCTCTTTATGGAATGTCTCACTGTTCTTTAGGCAGAGGCCTTGACGCCGTGACTCCAGGCAAGATACTTAGGCTTAGTGCTCATCAATGACATCTGCGATGCTCGGTATGATTCTCAGCATTAGCACAACGAGTTCACAACTTCTGCCTGCCGCATCTATAATATGCGTCTGTACGCTATAGCAAGCTGTAATTCAAGACATTCTGCTTTCTACCTCGTCTGGTCCCTATACTTTACTTCTCCAGTGTTCTGAATCTGGTTACACTCTGTCAGGTTGAAGTGGTCCCAAGATATGACACTTGCTCTGCGTGTGGTTTACCAGACTCACGGGCTCCATCAAACGCCGACTGTCGACTGAATTGTTTCCGTGTTTGGCTTGATACTCGCGTGCTCCTGCTCTTAGTCCTGTCCGGGTATGTCCTCTCAATGGCATTCTCTCATATTCGAGCCGCATGCACCGCTGTTTCGAGTCTAGACAACAAACAGGAGAAGACGCTGTTTGAAGCGTGGCTTATTGCACGCAGTCTCACCAGGCTTTAGAGAATAAACAAGAGAGACGTAAACCCCTCCAGGAGTGTCTGCGGCTAGACTATCGTCCTCTTGGTGTCCTGGTTACATACCACTCGGATTCAACTGGTTGTGGGTGAACAAGTGGTTATACTCACGTTTCCATGCCGTTGGCAGCCGTGGGAGATCAGAGCTTGATGTATTTACGGGGCCCCCGAGAGTGTGCGACTAGTATACGATGGCATTAATTATTTTTGGATCTCCTTTTCTAAAGTCGGTATCTTGTGGAGGAATATTTGAGCCAAAGTATGGAGGCATTTCAAAGGATGCCAAGGTGATTAACAAGTATAAAGGGTATAGTAGAGTAGTGCCACCAAAACTGATGATATATAAATGCAGAGATGATTGGAAGTATTAGGCTGAAGACTGAAAAGGGGTTCATAATGATAGCGAGGTGATTTTTGAGAAAACACGGTTTATGCCCGCTGCGGGATTATGTTTCAACAATGAGTAGTTAGAGAAGTAGAAATTTTGTTGCTTACCGACGATGGGACTACAGGGTGCTGACATAGATCTACTTGGGCAAGGATGCATGGCGAGCTCTTGGTTGGTTTCGTATCGGCCGTCACAGAAGTTGCACTCAAAACGCCTAGAACGGAGGTGTGAGCACGACACTAATGAAAACAATCACTTCAACATACCGCTCATCGACGATGTCATGTAAATGAAGGTGGCACGCTAAGCCCTTGACATTCGTCACTGTGTCCCGGCAGCCAGGTCGGGGACAGACAAGGGGGTCTTCTGGGGAAAGTTGGCAGCGAAGCATTTCTGCGAAAGCTTCCGCCTTCTGTAATGATACACCCTTGAGTATTTTGCAATGTCCTGGAAATAGTAGAGAGATGACTTACGAAGTCAGTGAGAGCATCTGAACAGGTTTGTCTCAACCTGATTTTTGGGACTACATCCGAAATGTCTTGGCCGACATAATCAAGAGAGCAGTACTCCGAATCGTCGACCAGTGTGTCGTCCTCTGAGCTATCAATCGATAGCGAATAGTCGACGCGGGGAGGGATGACAATTGACAGACTCTTCTTGCGATATGAAGATGCGATCCGCTGGGCAGGAGTGAAGGATTCCGGCTGCTCCGTAGTCTCAGGATTAACTTCAGGGGAGATGGCATGGAGGAGGAGGTGCGACGGAGAAGGGGTGAAATTCCATGTACTCTGATGGTCATCCGAGTTACGCAGGCAGGCCAGAATATTTGGGAAAGAATCAGGAAAGTAGGTGGCATAGCGTTTCTTCGCCGGGTCGTAAGGCTGCGGTAAGACCTCGTCCTCAACATCATCCTTGAGGCTGTCCACAACAGAGTAGAGAGAGCTCATTGAGAAGGTTTGCTCGATATATGAAGGGAAGAGACCAGTCCTGAAAAAACGACGAATCAAACTGCCGAGTTTATATACCTTGGTGGGTGCCAGTATACACAGAGCACGCGCATGGCCACATTGTCCGTAAACCAAAGCCACACTTAGGCTTCATCCGATCGGTCAAGGTTCAGACGCCATCCATTTGATGGCAAAAACAATGCGAAGGTCCACAAAGTCAACAAAGTCTGAAATTCCATTGTAACCTGGATGCAGGGACGCAGTACTGGTGGCACAAGCCAAAGTTGGAATTGGCCACGTGAGCGCGTTTACCGGACCCGGGTATACGCCATTTGTCTCGTGGTGCCATCATCATGACTTCGCTGTGTAGGCTCGCCACGCGCGCTGTCTCCAAAAAGATAATCTTGCCTTCTCTTTATCTGGAGCGAGCCAGATCCATTACTACCGCCCCTGCATATCCAGGCCATATCCCCCTCACTTGGTTCGAGAATGCCTTTTTGCTCGTGGGTGCTGGGCTCATGACGCTGGCTGACTCGCGTCGTGGTGGTGAGCATTGAGGATGATATTCTTGACTATATTTCCAGTTACCTTGTCACTAGACTTGGTCGCGGTAGTTGGAGAAACGTCTGCTGGTCCATCTCTTCGTCGTCTGCGTGACATCATGCTTGAGAGCCCCGAGGGGAGAAGGGTCCTCAAGCAGCGACCACGTATCAACACAACGACTTTGGATATGAACAAGTTGGCTCAGCTTCCCGAAGGAACTTTTGGTCGCGCATATACTACTTGGTTAGAACGTTGTCGAGTGACACCTGATACAAGGGCTCCAGTACGTCGGCTTGCTGTAGGCTCATCATTGCATTACTGAAATTCCTTAGGTTCACTACATTGACGATCCTGAATTGGCATATGTGATGCAGCGATACCGCGAATGTCATGATTTTTATCATTGCATCTGCAATATGCCTGTCAATGTGGAGTCTGAGCTCGCCATCAAGTACTTCGAATTTGCCAATCTTGGCCTTCCTATGGCTGGTTTCTCTGCAGCGCTCTACCCTTGGCGCTTGAATAGCACGAAACGGCACAAGGTATTATCGGAGTATGCCCCTTGGGCTCTGAAGTGCGGCAGTAGCGCAAGGAGTCTCATCACTGTCTTCTGGGAGGAACGCTGGGAACAAAACGTTGAGGACATGAAAAAGGAGTTTGGAATCTGGGACGGTCCTCCTGCGAAGTGGCCCAAGCCGTTGAAAGGGACGAGTGAGAAGTAAGCACTGACGGAGGAGAAATCGGTATCCTAGATGTGTAGTCGAGTCCAACTTGGTCCATCATTTTATTTCAAGTTTACCATGAAAACTATGGAGTCGTCAGTCATTACGAGCCTTTCTTCCTATCCACCTCGTATCCGCAATACTGGTGAGTAATTCACTGGCTTATCGAGCAGCTCGAAATAAGGCTTTTACGTTTCTAGTATGCGATTTGCCCAAGTGAATTATTGCGGGCGTTCCTTGACTGCAGATCTATTTGTTGCGCCGTGCTGACAGTGTGGAACAAGCAGTAGGCGGAATGCACCCGGTGTTTGCTCTCTGGATGATTGGAAATGCGTTAGCAGTGCTATCCACGCTGATGGCAATGCGACATGTGCGCAGCTCTGGTATCCAACGTTTTTCTTACTTGCTCTGGACATTGATGCTGCCGACTCTTTTCAATTTGGGGCTGGACTGGCCACCCGCTCCGATGCCCCAGGGAGATGTAAGGAGTACCGACATCTCAAAACAAAGGCCTAAAGACTGCTTCTGGGGGTTGCGTCAAATCCACTGATCGTCTGCGCTCCTGCTATCATTGCTCTGAGTTTAGGCTTTTTCGAGTATTCCTGATTAGCCAATTTCTAGCTTAATTGACGATAGCTTTAACCAAAGCACTAATCGATGCCAAATACACAAGGTTTAGCAGAATTGAAGGCACGATTTCCCATTACAGAACTGTTCCCTTGTAACCTCATCGTTTGCTCATCGTAAAGGATGGGAGACGTCGAGAATCGAGCGTCGTCTGGCCTCGAAGTTTGAAGTCATGAAGGCATTCATCAAGGTGCTTTGATCGTGTCAGAATCGTTAACGAAATTTCTCCCCCTAGAGTGATGATGATGGTTGCGTATGGAATATTCTCCCTTGTAAATATTTCTTGGGGAAGTCATGTGTCGCAGAACACATCTCCCTGTCACAAGAACGTTGCGGTTATTACTTGTAAGGGAGCGGCACAGGCGATCGGAGCTGAGGTATAGGGGCATACGTGTTTTCTGCCCTGCCTTCGGTATCACACCCGGACCTTGCAACAGGGATATTGGAGTATCGTTTGAAATTTCTGGATGATATGCTAGATTTCACCGTCTTGCAAAGCCTCAAAAGAGATACAGAAAGAAGGAAAAGGTTATATCGATTACTCTATGACAAGACGTTGCTCCGCGAGTAGTGAACATTAAGTATAGAAAGTAGAAGATTTGCCGTATTTGTGCAAAGCGTTGTCCTTACATTCATCTCCACAAAAGTAGTCATAATAAGTTTGAGGCTCCATCCCGCACATGATACAAAGCGACTCTTGGGGGAACGTGGGTGTGCCTCTGTGGGTAGATGGGGTTAAGATCGTGACCTTAGAAATACTCTATCTTGAAAGCACGTACATGACGGTAGGGCTGTTCAGTGACTCGAGCTCTGGGTCTTCATCTTGGCCACGACTTGAGAAAGTATAGTTGACAGAGTGTGAGATGACGGTGGGGCTGGGCGGTAGTTGAGATATAGCTGCAACAAAAGACGACGACGGCGAAGTACCGTTCGTCTGGCCCGGGGCGGTAGGGCCTGTCTGCGATCCCGGGGCAAGCATACTGGCCAATTGGGATGCAATCTGGTTAACATCGACGGGCTGACCATTTCCACCTGAAACTAACGCTTGGAGCTGAGGGATCTGCTGGATTATAGTGCCTAAAGCTGCGCTGTCGAGCGAGATCATGATAAGGAGTGACGCTACATACGCGCAAGATCAGCCACATCGATGACTTGACCACTCTGCAGCGTCACGGGCAAGCTGATAGGTGCTGTCTTGATAGGCGGAGTCGGATTCCCCTTCGTCGAAGACCCGGTAGTTGCTCCACCGGTTGTGTTGCAAGCCTTGGGAGTCGTCTGCGTCACGGCGGCAGCGGAAGTTGCGCATTTCTTTCCACAAAATTCGTGATTAGCGAACTTGGGCTTCTGGTGGCAGTACTAATACCCCATAGTTAGCAAATAACATGGAAGACCGACTGAAAAGCACCTACGTTGCATAAATTGGAATTCGCGGCTTGCTTTGCTTCTTTGGCGCAGGTCTTTCCGCAATATTCGAAGTTGTTGAACTTTGGTTTACGATGGCAGTACTGTCGTCCTATCAGAAATGCGATTCAATGCGAAAGTGAGACGAGGATTCACCGAACAAAGTTGTTGGGGGTTCGGAGCGGGTTGTACAGAGGCCATAGTGATAGGAAATGGTTATGGACTATGCACTCAAATCCCATCGTACTTATGGCTCCGGCCGCATTTTTCCAGTGAGGAACATGTCATGAAACGATGTATTTACACGATGAACGATCGGAAACGGATCATGTTAAGCCACTGGGAAATCATTCGCCCTGTCGAATACGCTCTCTGATCCTCATGAGAGCCTTACCAAGCTCGTTTCGACCACGCCCGTCAAGCCCCACGCCCCAAAAGGCATCTTTGGGTGAGTCCTGCGGTTAACCGGACCATCAGCATGCGGTAACAAGGTAAAAAAACGAGGAAGACACACCTCGACAAGCTCTGCATCTCCTGTCGCAAGGATTTCACGCTTTAGATCATTGTGCTGCGTGAACTTGAGGTAAAGAGCAACTTCCATCTGATTCCATGAGCCGAATTGTGACATCCAGAAATATGCGACCTCACCTTGCTGATGTTCACTGCCTTCCAGTCAGGGCGAACTTCCGGCTGAAATCGTCGAGCCTCAGAGAACGCCACGCTCGGTCTTTCGGAGCATGTTCTAATGTGCTTTGCGAGACTGGGACGATGTTCGAACTGTCGCACCGTCAGTTATGGCGGCGCTTGAAAGAGTGACTGTCCTACCTTGAAAGATTGGAAAAGGTGCTCGCTTGTAGGGTACCTTTCGCCATTGTAGACGACAGGATGGGCCGAAAAATTGGTGAAAAAATAGAAAGGCTTGTCCTTGTCATAGAAGAGAATACGATTGGTAGTAGGGGAAGTTACTCCAAAACGACTCTGTCTAAACGAATTGGCAGGAACGCTGTACCGAGTGTTCTGTGGACTGGGATTGGTCTTTCCTTGCGTATTACATCCAGGAGTGTAAGACACAGGTCTCTGGCCAGCTGGAATGTAAGCCTGAGAGTTCCGTGGGGGCAGGGGCGTGGTGGTTATCTGAAGAGCTGGCTGATTTTTGTGTGCCACTGGCTCATCATATGTGGTCGCGTAGATAATTGTATGACGCTGGATAGCGTAGGACATGATGGACAGTAAATGTGAAAAAATTCTGAAAGAAAAAAGAGAACTGGAGGTGAGGGTCGAAGAGCACGCTAAGAACACGAGGACAACGCCTTATCGTCGCCTTTTTAAGCCTGGAAACATGCCGTTGAACGTAACAAATGCAGAAAATCACTAAATACAACTCGTTTTGATGTCGGAGCAAGGTCAGGTCATGGTGTGTGGCAACTGGCGCACAAGCCCAAAGAGGAAACAGAAGGCGTGGGAGACTTTGCCTGGTTTTATTCTTTCTTCTGTTCCTCAATGAACAAGTTCTTGTGTTTCATGTATATTCCTTACGACTGGCTCATGTAGCGAATATTTGATCGCAGGTAGATCTCGCTGCAGCTGAACGGTTGACGGATATGGCGACAACGCTTTTCCGAGGCGTTCGGTGAGCATGCACCCAGGCCGTATCACAGAGGGTAAAATAGCGGCTTCACTGGCTGTCGAGGATGGCCCAAGCGTTACTCATGCATCGTACTACCTCATATTCTTCCATTCTACCCGTGAGCTCGTCATCCGCGAAGGATTCTTGGCATTGCCTTGATAGCTCGATGTACTCAAAACGAAAGGACTCAAGCCCGATTTTGCCGCTAACGCCGGCAGATCTGGACTTCCTTCCAAGTGAGGCATAACTGCTAATATTTTGTTGCTGTATCTGACAAGTTGCTCAGTACAACAACAATTCATGAGATCTTGGAAGCATCCCAACAAGCCAAAACCCGAGGTCTGTGCCATTTTTCGTATACTTTCATCCGAGCAGAGTCTCGAAAAGTACTCCTCGTACAAGTAGGCCGGGTCACTCGTCTACCTTCAATGTCATTCTGACCATTTTACAGGCTCAAAGTAGAGAAAAAACGTGGCCTCGCCAACGTTGAAGAGCTTCTCTTCCATGGCACATCTCGCAGCTGTCGTCTCGGAGAAACTAAGAGCAATGTCAAATTGTGCTCAATTCCTGAATGCTACCTGTGTTGCATCATACGCGAATCTTTCCACATTGACAAGTCAGGTTCGTCTTTTCGTCGTTACAGCGTAATCCCCTTTTAACACACTTCTCTAGGGACTAGCCATTCGTTTCAGAGGTTTGGTAAAGGCATATACACAACATCATGTTCCTCCAGTATGTCCATGCCCGTGTTCTGTTTGTATGGTCACAAACGTGTACAGAGGCCGATAGCTATTTCCGCGATGCTTCCGAGGGTTCCCCGTTTCGCTTGGTGTTAGTCAACCGGGTAGTCGTCGGCAAGCCACGCCGTGTACATCATAATCGACATCGATCTCTGTCTCCAGCAAGCTATGATTCCGTGCGTTGGTCAGCTTCTTTTTCCATATCTGCCCCTGATCATTTCTAGTTGATTGGAGTACCCGGCGAGGACCTAAATCACGAGGAGACCGTAGTGTACGCAAATGAAGCAATCAGACCTGCGTATCTGGTTGTCTATGCTTATTCTGGATCTCTCAAGAAAACAAGGGTAGCGAATTTTATATCGAAGATTTTTAGGACCCCGTTGTTTGACGCATGACGGTGAAGGGAGCTTGCGTTGTGCCGATGGGTGGGTCCATCAACTCGCTGCCACTCAATATTTACCAATTGCTTAAATTATGAATGATGAATTATGGATATGGCCTCTGTCTATCTAGATACAAGTTCCGAATACTATGCCGTGGTGTTACTTGTCGTACATGAGGACATATCGTGGGATGATAGCGTCGGGGGTAGGAACGAATAATGACTCGTCCTCGGGAATCTGCTCACCGTTAGTGTGTCACCAGTATACGTTTCATCCTCTTACCTCGGTACTAGAATCTACGATCGCGTCACTCAAGATTGTTACCCGATACTGGGATGAAGTGCAGGAAGTGGCAAAACGATCAGCGTATACCGCAAACTTGTGGGAATATATTCCCTCTCCGAATCTGATGCGAGATTTTTAGCAGTTTCGTTGGTATGTTATTCCAAAGCTCACCTCCCGTTATTGACAGGTTCGCCAAATTCGAAGGCATTGAAAGACGACTTGATGATACTACAGATACCGCATGATTTGTATTGACAAACCTCGGGCGACTTCTCTCCCAGATCACAGATGCATTGTGCGCTATGAAATGTGCGCACTTCTTTGGGCTTGTTGACACGTTTCCTGGGCTGACTGTTAATTTCCGTTCGGGTTCTTTAGGAAATGCCGTCTCACTTGAAATCCTTATACGACTCGTTTTCCTCAGCCGTGGATCTGACCTTGTAAATCTTGCGCAGAGTAGGTGACTTGGCACCCGATGGATCCCAATATCTGATGAAGTGTTTACTGACTAAACGGCAGGGAAAGTCAGCACCATCTGTATAACGCTATGGTAATATACTAACCTTCTCTGGCTTCTCCAGAAATGCGACTCAATTCTTTAAAGCGAGACGATGCAGATTCCAAGGTGATCGTGGGGGATGACAGCTGTTGCTTGCAAGCATTACAGAACCCGTCAGCAGTCACCTTGGGGTAGGCGCGACAGACTTTGCAAGACGCTATTTGTCGCTTCCGAACACCTTCCCTGTGATACCGATTTAATACCGAGCTACATCAGCTCTAGCTCACTTACATGGCATGTTCAGTGGAACAAAAGTCAGCGTGTGCAGCTCTGCCGGTTTGTTGACATCCGACCAATAGACACGCGTTCAATTTGCGTCCCTCTTGTGCTTCAGCACACGTACGACCGCAGTATTCATGCATATGGCCATTCTCCACGAAGACGGGTCGTTGCTGGCACCTCTGAAAGCATGTAAGTGACTTTCTCGAGTAATAACAGATCTTGTCAATGAGAACCTTGCAGAGCGGTCTAGTTGGCGTTTGGGGAGTCATAGCAAGAGAAAACGAAGGTCCGAGATAGCGAGTGTTTCGATTTCGCGAAGGATGCATTGCCGAAGGGAGATTTATGACAAGATGCAAGTGGAACTTGACTATCGCTATATACTGTCAGAACGGATCTAACTAGGGCTCTCAAAGCGCAACGGGACCGCGTGTTCGTTTCATGAAACTCGCGCTTCAACCGCGTTTCTCTAAACGACGGATGTATCCCACGACTCTACCAACAGGCAAAATGATATCGGTGGCATATATGTGGTGATCTTCCTCAGAGAATCTCACTAGCTTCGCAATGTCTCAACTAGCAGCAGCGCTCCCTTACAACCCATCTTATGGTCTTTTTGGCATGGCCATGGGACAGCATACGACTCTGACATCAAGTCTGTGTGAGGTGCGTAGATTCCGCATTACATTTTGGCAAGTGTTGACCATCTATAGGGGTGTCATAAGAAACCCAAGCGCGCTCACTATGATTATTGTTCCAAGACCTGCGGCGTTCGCGACTTATGCGAGGTAAATGCCACATTCTTATCTGAATTTTTTTTGCCATGTCTAATCACTTCACTATCAGTATTGTCACAAGCGCCGAAAATTCGTCGACGGAGCCAGGAAGCACCAGTATTGTGGAAGAAGTTGCGCCGATTCCGCAATGGCAACAGCGAGCTTGGGCAACGTGTCGAATTCAACGGCGCCATCGTCGACTAATGCTACTAATCAGACGCATTCGAAGTATGTTAAATTTCGATTGAAAATCATGCGGTCTAAATATACCTCCAGGCCCAAGACTGACTGTCTTCGATGTCACAAGGCCCCGAAGCTGAGCGACTCGCCGTTCTGTGGCCAAGCATGCGAAGATGCGGTAGGGTGGAATGCGCCTACTATTATAGACGTCCCTCATGACCATTTGATGTTCAAGAATGGTGAGCAAAAACCTACATGTTCTGCGACTTACCACCTATCGCGTATATAGTCCAGCATCAATTCCAATTGGGTTGGCGACATAATACTCGCTGTCCTCCGGTCAGAAAGATATACAAGATCATTTTGAAAGCAGATATATCTCAGAAGTACCAGCAATATCGGTGGGGATATTCATTCTACGTATTTTTTTTGGTTTGATACACTTACGAATTTCTATCCTGTCACAGTGATGACGTCGAAAAGGCGGGAAATTTCAAGAGCGATCCCAATCTGACAGCCGGCAATGAGAAACGCCGCTGGCATGGTACTAGGAAGGACTGCAGTCTCGGAGACCCCAACTCGAAACAAGGCACCGCCTTATGCAACGCGCCGTCGTGTAGTTTGTGTAGTATCATCCGCGAATCTTTCAACATCAATCAATGGGGGAAGAATACGGGCTGGGGGAGGTGGGTGAACATTCAAACTGAAGGTAGTGACGTTAAATTTCTTTTACATCTGACGTAGATTCGGAAAGGGAATTTATACCTCGGCCACATCATCAAAGTACGCGTAGATCACATTCTGTTCACTGTAACACTGACAAGTTGGCTGCTCTCTGCAGGGCGAACGATTACATCCATAACAATGGACCCTCTGATTACCGTGCCGTGTTGCTCAACAATATCGTGGTGGGAAAGGGACGCAAGCTGCGACAAGACGATCCCACCCTTACGCAGGCGCCTGCGGGCTTCGACTCTGTATGCTTATCTCAATTCTTGTGGACGATAAGGACTGAGATCCATATTTCAGGTTCTTGGGGAGCGAGGAGGTAGTCTCAACCACGATGAATTGGTCGTCTACAAAGGTGAAGCGATCAAGCCTTCTTACATGGTTGTTTATGACGGCTAGAGTAATCGAGTGATCTATGCACATTTTGGCCAACGTCCATATCATGTCGTATATTACTATTTTAATGGAATTTGCATATGAAAGATGCTCGTGAAGAAGAAACAAATCAAAAATATATATAGAAATCAGAGTAGTTCATTGAGGTGTGTGAATACGATGGCCGTTGCGCGCAGAGGACCATATCAGGAATGTTAAAACGGCGAGAGAACCGGAAAAGGTGACACTTCATATCGATGACATGAACATGGTAAATGAAATAGCATCAACGATGTCACTCACATTTCGAGCACGGCAAGAGCTAAGAACAATGTAGTGTGAGAACGGTACCACGTTTGAAGGATGAGGACCTACCAAAAAGCGTCCGTAACTGTCCACAGTAGACGATCGAAAGACAATTGCCTTTAGTTATCAAGGAAGGAAGAGCTCCATTGACTACGACAGCGCCGGCAATCCAAAGCATCCACGTTATTAACAGCCAGAGTCCTTGGGATCCTACGGAGGAGACGGGATGGGACCGGTGTGCGGGATGCAAGAAGATATGGGTCAACAGCCCTGCGGTTAAGCATGTCCAGCACGCGGAAGATCTGACTGCATCAGCACTAGAGACCATCGAATATGGTGAAAAGAGTTACAATAGAATGATAGCTCCGGTACGTGTGAGCATATTTGGGTAGTTTCCGTGTATGCGGTACTGTACCAATAACCAAGAAGACGTAGCGGCCTAATAGTAAAGTTGCAGAACCCGGTACATGAGAAATAAAACTGGCAAATACCTCAGCTAGAGCCGTGATGACCATGAAGGCATAGACAACTAAAGAAATTGTCAGGTCAAGTAAGTGCAGATTGAGAACATCGGCTAACACGGGGCAAAGGACTGTATTTTTTGACCGGAAGGCTTGTTGGTGGGGATGGGTGATTTCTGGGAGTTATGAAAACTCCAAATCAAGGACAACATATAAAGTAGGAACAATATGGCGGTGATACAGGCAACTATGCTCGTTGCTGTTACAGATGTGTGAGGGGGCGGCTCCGAGCGGGGCAGGGACCAGTGAATAGTTGCCATCGTCGGGTGGGAATCAAGGTAGCATCAGACGCCGTGCTCAATAAAAGGAAGAAAAAGTTCGCATGCTTGATGCATGTTATACACAGCATATACGGCCAGTTTACGCATGGCAATTCCCAAATTGCGTTCAAAAGGCGCTGATGAAGTGAGTATGTTCCAAGGAGGTGCGCGGTCTGTACGCAGCGGATATCGGTCCGGCGCAGTATCCGTGAGACATTATTTCCTATCACAGATTCCAAGTGCCTACGCGGCAGTTGTCGGTCTGATGTCAGCCATTACAGGTGCTTCCATCACTGAGTTCGATGCTGCCAGTCGCGTTGCTCTCCCTTCTCGCGTTGTCGGTATCTGGTGGAAACGTATCATGGGCTCCAGTCTCTAGCAATTCTCTCTCTGTATGTCAGCACGTACTTCGTGAGAGGACCGGAACTTACATTCACCTAGGCCCTTGCAGTCGTCCGTCCGCCAGGTAGGGCTATCGAGTGTTCTTTGGTATCATCTTGCCAACCTGTGCTCGTTAGACAAGTGTCCTCCCTGCTTCAACTGTCTACTACCTGCATTTAACTGCGGTCAATATGGCAACTGTGACCCATATGACGGGCAGTGTAAATGTCCAGCAGGATGGGGAGGCATTGACTGCCTGATTCCTCGTACGTACTCGGTGCCATATTGCCATTGTCCATGTGAAGAACATTAGCTAGAATGCGACTCGTTGGCCGACGGCGAGTATCGCAGACTACGCGAGGACGGCAAGTCATGCGAGTGCAAAGATGGTTGGGGAGGAATCAATTGCAATGGTATGTTGAGGTTACCATGTATTCCTTTTCACTCTGACGATCACCACAGTTTGTAAGACTGACCAAGCTTGTGTCGGGTTTCCTCTCGCAGGGGAACCATCAAGTGCGTTCGATGAAGAAGCGACCAACATGACGTGCTATACAGGCGGAGAGACTGTATTCAACAACCATCAGATGTGCGATGTAACTAGTATGTGTTACTTGCGCCTCGGTCCTTTACTTCCTGACCATGTCTTCAGACCGAAAGATCATTGACCAGTTGCCTGGGCGGCCTCCTCAAGTGACTTTCAGCTGTGATAAGCCGTCGGCAACTTGTTCTTTCCAGTTTTGGACGGCCCAAGTGGAATCATTCTACTGTTCTTTGGACCATTGTTCCTCTGAGAGTCAACCTGGCTACGATGTCAACGCGACTGTCTACGCGTGCGAAAACATCAAATGTAGCTGTGTTCCCGGTCGTTTCATTTGCGGAGAGGACGGAAGTATTGGTAGGTGTATGTGTCATCAATATTTATATTACATTTAATCTCCACAACCAGATATCAGCGACTTTTTGACCGAGTCCATCAAGGGACCAGCATCGTTCAGCTGCAAGACACGCGAGGGCTGTAAATTTGAAGAACCAGCCATGAATGATCTAATTCTGAGTGTGTTCGGTGACCCTTATATCACACTTCAGTGTGAAGGAGGTGAATGCCTTCACTATTCCCAGGTGCCTGGCTATGTAGTACGTGACGACAACTACTATTCAACTTCCTCGTATTCAATTGTTCATAGCGTCCCCCGAAACCTGACAATACGCGCTGGGTAGCTCTCAGTGCTGCGGGTGCCGGTATGATCGTCGTGCTAACCTCTGCAATTCTGTGGTACGCAGGCCGAGCCGGAACCGGGGAATTTGGTCAAATACGTCTTCCAGACAATGAAGCATCTAAGTTGATGGCCGAGCATGTTCCCGCTTCCTTGCACTTTTCGTCGCTCCAGTACAGTATTGGATCCCGTATCATCCTTGATGATATCACGGGTTCCGTAAGACCTGGTCAAGTCATGGCTATCATGGGCGCTTCTGGTGCAGGAAAATCAACTTTGCTTGATATCCTTGCCCGTAAGAACAAACGGGGATCAGTGGGGGGTGTCACACTTGTGAATGGCAGGAAGGTGGCTGATGCCGAATTCAAGAGTGTAACCGGTTTTGTGGACCAAGAAGATACGCTCATGAGCACACTGACAGTGTATGAGACGGTGCTATACAGCGCCTTGTTGCGATTACCCAGAGATATGAGTTTCGAGGCCAAGAAGTTTAGAACACTAGAGACCTTGAACGAGCTTGGGATTCTCAAGATAAAAGACATGAGAATCGGTGATAGCGGTGAGTGTATTAGAATTTTTATAGTTTCTCGTTGATTGAACTACTTGGAAGGTCGGCGATCTATCTCTGGAGGCGAGAAAAGGCGGGTTTCAATTGCTTGTGAATTGGTTACGAGCCCTTCGATTCTATTTTTGGACGAACCGACTAGTGGTAAGTACTTGTTATTGTCTTCTGTTCGCAATCAGTGACGCGCGATTCTCTACAGGTTTGGACGCCTTCAATGCCTTCAATGTTATAGACAGCCTGGTCTCACTTGCCAAGGACTATAACCGCACTGTCGTATTTACGATCCATCAACCTCGCAGCAATATCGTGGCTCTTTTCGATCAGCTGGTCGTTCTTGCTATGGGAAAACTGGTTTACTCGGGCGAGTTCTCCAAATGCCAAGATTATTTCGCCGGCATTGGACGTCCTTGTCCACCTGGTTTCAACATAGCCGACTTCCTCAGTTTGTGTTTCCGTTCGCGCCGCCCAGTGTGATCTTAATTTTTAGTCCATTAGTCGACTTGACAATGCATGCAAGCATGACTAGCACTCCAAGAAGTGACTCGCCGTCAATAGAACCCAGCTCGCCGACAGAAGATACGAGCAACTTGGGAGATGAGGAACGCGGTCTAAGGCGTCAAACCGTGCCGTTATCTGTCCGTTCTCACCCCTCTTCCTCTACCAATTCTCCGCCAGGGGATGAGACTGAGCTACAGACTCGCCCAAACTCTATCAGTTCCTCTACAGGTGCCTACATCAAGCGCAAGACCTCTCAGCTCTTTGAAGCCGTCTCTGGAACACCTAGACCGGGCAATGAACCGCTAGCTCCCAAACTTCTTGCCCTCGTGGACGCGTATGCTCAGAGCAGCATTGCCGCCGATATCAAGGCAGAGATTGATCAGGTCCATCAGGGCGCAGAGAATGGAAACAGCTCGAATGGCAGTGGGGACGAGCTTCCTGATGTCGTGTTCGAGACTTCCCTACTCAGAGGTCGGAAACGTGCGAGTTGGGGTACTCAGTTTAGGATCTTGAGCGGCCGTGCATTTAAAAACTTGTACCGGGATCCCGCTCTTCTGGCTTCCCATTACTTGGCTTCGATTGCTTTAGCTCGTGAGTGCAGCTACGCCATACTGCGCCGCTCCCCAAATCTCTGACTGAATGCAATCCCAGTGATCTGTGGCTTGTTCTTCCATAATGTCACGTAAGTCTCGATGAATCTTTATGGTCTCATCTTTACTCATTTCCCCTTAGGAATGATATTGCAGGATTCCAAAATAGACTGGGTCGGCACCCTGCATTTTTCTGGGCAGTCATCAAGTACTGATTTGTGGCAATAGGGCTGTTCTTTTTCACATTGTCCCTTTTTGGGTTCTCCTGTCTGTCAAGTTTGGGGTTATTCGCTAACGAGCGGATTTTGTTTATGCGGGAAAGGTTGGTCTACGCTAAGCTAAGTAACCGGACAACCGCCTCATTTACATCTCCAGGTCAAATGGATATTACTCGACATTTACCTATTTCTCTTCTAAGGCACGTTAGTGTTCATCAAACGTCGGAACCGTCACATAACATTTGCTGAACAGGTGTTGTTCGACATTCTGCCCTTACGTGTGGTCCCTCCCCTTATGTTCGGTGGGATTGTCTACGGACTTGCCGGACTGGTCCCGACTGTTGCCGGCTTTTGGAAGTTCATGCTTACTTTGGTGTTGTTTAATCTTACCACGGCCAGCGTTGTGCTTTTGCTCTCGATTGCCTATTCGAATACCAGTGTTGCTAGCCTAGTCGGCACGCTAGTGATGTTATTCAAGTACGTCGCTCCCAAGTATGGGTATCCCGAGATGTTCACAGGATTTAATTCTATAGCTTACTGTTCGCGGGTCTCTTGATCAGTAGGGAGCACATCATCCCCGCTTTGGAATTCTTATACTACATCTCATTCTTCCACGCTGCCTTCGAAGCGCTCGCTGTCAACGAGTTGCGTTACCTATCATTGAAGGAAGTCAAGGTAGGTTCTCTACCTGTGGTAAAGAATGTGATGATGATCAATTTTATCCAGTACGGAGTGGAGTTGGATGTTCCTGCTTCAATGATTCTATCCGTCTTTGGCCTGAAAGCTCAGGCGTTCTGGTGGCCTAACATCGCACTTCTCGGTATCTTCTTCGCTTTCTTCACTGTAGCAAGTTACATCACGCTTCATATCTTCGTTAAAGAGAAGCGGTAGCTTTTATCCACACCATAGTATGTACATGAATATGTATTTTCGCCTACACACATACATGATATGATATTCCATCTGTCAACTATTGGTATTGCCGAATGGAAGGAGAGAACGGACCATTTCAACATTCTGTCCCCTGTTTTCTCGCGCTGTAGCGTCGTCGGAATGTTGCGGCGAGGATGTTGATGCCATCTAGGACGAAGAAAACCTTCAAATACTCGTAAATTCTGCCCGGGGGTACGATAGCCCTTGGAGGTGTTGATGCGATGACACAACCCTAACCAAAAATGCCTGCTTTCCAAATCATCAGTGCATCAGAATGACCTAGGAACAGAGTTTTGACTTTACGAACATGAGGCACATTGCAGGTGCTGTTGCTTCTTCACATACATGGATCGAATAAAAATTTCATTAAGAACCAGGACAACCCATCCGAAGAAGCCTTCGGAGAACAGGGTATTTACCTGGCCGTGATTCCAAGTTTAGACATGAAGAGAAAGTGGCGAGATGCCGGGGTCCTTGTCGAAGAGATCTGTCAGTCACAATAATCTGGGCCTCAAGATCTCAACAAGAAGTCGGAACCCGCTAGGCATCAGCTGAGTCATTCTGATGAGCCACCGTGGTCCTAACGGGATGCAGGTTATACGAAACTGAGGTGTATTTTATCCTTTGTCGTGCTCGGGAGGCAGCGCGCTGGGTCTGGGGTAGGGCGGTCGAGGATGGGCTAGCCTGACATCATGTGGGGCACCACAGCCATGAAGGTCCGGGGAACATAACAAATGAAGCATGCGGGACAGGAGCAGCTATTTCATGCCAAGTCGAGTCTTGACTCGATCCAACGAGGACAGAGAGATGGCCAATCAAATATGTCGTGTATTCCCAAGTACCGGCCGCTGCGACCTGGAGGAGCAGTCTGGGCTGCCCTGTGGAGCGCTACCATAATGATGCTAGGTCGCACAGAAGAGGTACGGAGCTTGGGGCCTGCCGGTCAAGGTTCCCTATAATGGGGACTGAGCAACCTAATGAAGGCCAGAAAATCGAATTAAAGAGGTTTTCTAGATGATTCTGGCCGTCAAACATGCTTCACCAACCACATCGAGGAGGGCGCAGGAAAGTTGATGCCAGTCGAGTCGGTGAAGATCATCATGTGCTGACCCCCAGCCAGATAATCCAATCATCAGCATTAAATGAACTCGTGTGAGCATCCAGCTAGAGATTCATCTTTTTGTCTCCTTTGAGTGTGAGAGCACGATGCATAAAACCTAGTCCAAATTATACTGGGAAAAAAAAATCGACAGAGTGGGGTAAACCGTATTTGGACCGTAACGATACTTACGTGTGGCTGCAGCCTGCTTTTAGCAAAAAAATCCGAAGCATTCACTCCTTAGACATCGAACCAATCATATTCATGGATGGGGAATCCGTTCAACAGGGCTCACATAGCCTTTTTTACTGATGTTCGGGGAGGATAATTGAATTTGGACGTCCCTACATCGCCTGAGAAATTTTATATGCAACATTACGAAATGGGTGACTATTTTGGGTAGTTGTCGTTTTTCGGTGCTACGACCATCGAATCCGCCGTGATGAGCAGCGTGAACGTGGTAAGAATGAATCCTTCTTGCTGTGGTGGTAGCCGTTCATCAGATGTGTCTTATGGTAGACTGATCCGCCGGTTAACGGAACGCGTACAGGCCCTGTTGACAGCACTAGCCATCGTGATAATTTCCAAGTAAAGGCTCTCCCTGCAGACTTTTACGTTCCTTTTCTTTCCCTTGCGGCAAAGAATCGGAATCCAAGCCCCAGTCAGTCAATCGGTCTTCGATGATTCCTAGGCCAACCAGGTACCGATACAATTTTGTCCAGTTCGGAGCCTGCTGCCCTTGGAAGCGACTCCAGGCATCATATCGCTTCTGGCCGGCAAACCCAACGCGGCCACCTTCCCATTCACGTCGCTAAGTTTCACAGCTCGATCGCCTATTGACCCCAGTCGGGATGTCCCGGTGAATCTGAGCCAGGCTGAGCTTGCCAAGGGTCTGCAATACGGCGAAACTGCTGGGATACCGCAGCTGCGAGACTGGCTCATCGGCTTGCAAGAACACAATCATGGCCGGCGACAAGGTGAAGGGTGGCGACTCAGTGTAGGTTCTGGATCGCAAGACTTGATCTACAAAGTAAGTGTTGACATCTGTACCTACGCTGGTACTCGATTGTTTTGTGATGCGATGTATAGTATACTTACACCTATTTTAACAGGCTGTCACAGCAATGATCAATCCTGGAGATCCTATTCTAGTCGAGTCCCCAGTTTACGCGTGCGTCTCCGTCTCAGGCATGGACCTGACCGAGTCTTTTCATTAATTTCTTCCGTCTTGCTGTAGCGGTGTGATTCCCATGTTCCAGAGTCTTCACTGTGATCAGATTGGTATGTTCTCCCGCGACATTGTTTTAATATGTATCCGCTTCCTAGATCATTGATTCGCATGGTTGCGTTAGAGGTGGAAACGGATTCGCATGGGATACTCGCCAGTTCACTTCGCTCGATTCTGGACGGCTGGCCAGCCAACAAACCGAAACCAAGAGTCCTGTACACGGTTCCTGTACGTACACGTATCGCATCTTAGCGTTTAGTGGTTTACGGAGTTTCTGATGGCGCAGTACGGATGTAATCCCACCGGGATGACCGCTACTTTAGAACGGCGCAAGGAAGTTCTGCAGCTTGCTCGAGAGCACAACTTTATCATTCTAGAAGGCAAGTACTGCTATGCATGGTGCACCACATATGCGTACCCGCCTGCTTACACCTGCGCAGATGATCCTTACTACTACCTATATTTTGGCGAGGCCCCAAGATATCCGTCCTACTTTTCCCTGGAGCTCGAAGAACCCGAAGTTGGTAGAGTGCTCCGCTTTGACAGTCTTTCCAAGATCCTATCGGCTGGCATCCGCATTGGGTTTGCTTCCGGCCCCGAGCCACTCCTCGACGCCATGGATCGACATGTACGTCTTTATTGTACCGGCCTAGATCCCCGGAAATTTTCATTTACTAGAATCTTATTGGCTTTTTTGATGATTGTCGGTGGCACCCGTCAATCATTCTTTTTCTAGACGTCAACTTCAAATCTCCAGCCATCTTCCCTGACTCAGGTCATAACTTTTGCGTTGCTTGATTCCTGGGGTTACGATGGTTTCAAGGCCCACACCGACCTTGTTTCTTCATTCTACCGGGAGAAACGGGACATATTTGAACGAGCTTTGAAGACGCATCTCTCGGATTTAGTCGAATGGGATTCGCCCGAAGCGGGGTTGTTCTTCTGGTACGTTTTGCTATAGGAAGATTGGATGCGAGGGTCTCATGCGTTTGTAGGTTCAAGTTACGCCTTGGCGTGTCGGAGCATGAAGAAGGCGATTCAGAAAGCGTGATTCGTACGAACGCATTCGAAAGAGGTGTTATCGCGCTCCCGGGAACTGTCTTCCTACCTAATGGCAGGAAGACGGCATACGTACGCGCGTCTTTCAGCGCAGTCGGAGAAGAGGATGCAGAAGAGGGTATTAAAAGGCTTCGAGACGCTATCTTAGATGCGAGAGCGAAATCCGTCAAGACCGAATGAATAGGATTGCATCCGACATGAACGCAGATTGCTTTTTTCGATAAACCCTTTGGTGAATCTTTTGAACGGTTCCGGTCTCGAAGTTAGCAGGGGTTAGCTGGTCCTGTATTCCGAATTATAAGATCACTTGCCTGCTTATTAATGTATTGCTCATCATCCTAGTCAGCGATCACGTGGGTTGTATTTGAATGTATAAAGTACTGAACAGGCGGTGCAATCACAGACATTTTTCTCAGCAGCACAACATTACAACCGTAAGTTAGGCGGTACCTGCTTCGAACAATGGTAGGGTAACCCTATCATTAGAATCAATATGGCACACCAGATCATGGAATGCGTCCCCGTCGACTCATGCTTCCTGGTCAAATGCGAAAAGTGTGGGAAGACTACATGGGCTGTGAGTATCTGCTACCTTCTTCTTCTGTTTCCCATCAGAGCCGCATCAGAGTATGAATAGAGTGGCTCCGAGAAGCACTGGATTGGATAGGATATCGATGCCTGGCCCATTATTTCCATCGGAGATCCCAGGATCGCATTGTCCTTACGTGCTTCTTCCTTCATTCGCATTGGCCTCCTAAGTTAACCGGCGGTTACTAACATTTTACCTACAGGGATGCGGCAAGCATGTCGAATCAGTGAGTAGATGAAGACCCCCTTTTTTATCGGCGATTCCGAGTGCGTCCCTGCGATGTTTAGATCGGAGGGCATTATGGCATCGTTCCTCGCGGGAATCAGAGATGCTGGCAAATTAAATAATTCGAGGTGGTATACTGATCGGATATGTATGTTTACAGGTGATGAAAGATGTCAAGGAAGAAGATAAATGTACGTGTGCGAGGGGGACTGCTGCGTAGCACGGGGGAAGCGGCAGGGGGGCAATTGCCTGGAAATAGTGTGACGGGATACGAATTACTCGTAGTGGAATAAACTGGAAAGGAAGATTTGAATCAATGCATCAATTCATCCATTTCAAATTCGAAATAGATTTCCTGTTGTCCATTTTTGGAAGCGGTATCCGGGGTCATTCTAATGAATATGTTATTTCTTCTACACTTCTCCTTGACCGTGAACCACCATCTACTCCCTTTCATGCTGCTCTCTGACCCACCACAATCATGGTTGAGAGCACCCTTCCTGGTGGTTCTGTCGATACCCGCGTATTCGACCCTCCTGCAGTCATCACCACCGACCATGTCGAGTACGACAAATACACGGTTAATGAATACGACCTAGGTCCCAAGGTTGGCCAGGGAAAGAACGGAGTCGTATATCAGGCTCGCAGCTCCTTGAACCCAAACAGAATACTGGTACGGTCGTTTTCTCTACCTTTCACACCCATTTGAACTCGTTGCGGACAGGCTATCAAGGTCGTGCGTCGCGATTCTCCTCAAGCCAAAAGGAACAGGAAATACGAGCAGCTACGGCGTTCCCACATTCCTCGACATACAGATCCCACGCTTGGAGATGCTATTCACTCAGCAGAAGGCAAAATTCTCAAAGAAATAGCTATTATGAAGAAACTTCGCCATCCACATGTTGTTAGACTATTTGAGGTGCTGGACGACCGGGTCATTGGCAAGATATTCATGGGTACGTCTCTTTCGCCCATCCTCTGTGTATGCAGGCTGCTTTGTAGTGTACGGCGTCCCCCGAGACTGCCGTTGCCCCGCATACCGAGGTTTATGCGCCCCCATGGTTGTATTCTCTCATCTAACCCCCAATTTCAGTGATGGAATACTGCGCAGGTGGGGAAGTTGAATGGACCAACGAAGGCAACCCTGTCTCTACGGTGGAGCAGACTCGTCGCATCATACGGGACGCTATACTTGGCTTGGACTACCGTGAGTACTACCGCATACCTAATTCGTCGTCAGCCAACTTCTTCCGTTTCTAGTTCACGCCCAGGGTATCATCCATCGGGATATCAAGCCAGCTAATTTGTTGTGGACCGCACACCGTCAGCATGTCAAGATTGCCGATTTTGGTACCTCGCAGTTCTCCTATGCACTACGGCTTTCCCATGCCGGACCTTCCGCCCAGGATGATCTCGAGGACCCCATTCTTCTTACAGATACCAACCTAGCTATCAGAGCTGGGACGCCGATGTTCATGGCGCCCGAGGTTGTTTACGATTCCGTCTGCATAGATCAGAACCCTCCCCCTCCACCTCAGCCTATTACCAATGCCATTGACGTCTGGGCCCTTGGGGTCACACTCTATTGCCTGCTCTTTGGCAAGGTACCCTTTGCCCCCAAGGAAGGTGGCGCTGGCAGTGAATGGAAAGTGTATCGGCGGATATATTATGACGACTGGGAGGCCGAAGAGTACATGGGTTATGATCGCATCCCTACTGGCGGACGCTATCCCACTGACGAACACTCGGAGGGTGGAATCGTTATGCATCTTCTCGACCATTTCCTTGCTAAGGACGTGAAGCTCCGTATTACTCTCAGCGAAGTCCGAGTACGCCCCATTTCCTTTCATCATGCCTTCTCCATTAACCATACATTGACGCAGTGCAGTCCCTGGTTTCTTCATGACCTTCCCAACCCCGACACATGGCTCCAAGAGACGTCACAAAAAATCATCGTCTCTCCGGAGGAAGAGCGCAAGGCGATCTCTATGATTCACTTCAGATGGCGGGCACGAATTCAGCGTGGGATGACCAAAATCACGAAGCGTATTCGTGCTGCTACACCAGACTTGACGAGCACACTTACACCTAGCCATAACGATAGACATGGCAAAGGCAGCAATGGCAGCGCTTCTATGGTACGACATCGCAGCATTACTAGGCATTTTGGCTCAGGACGAGACAAGGGGAAGGGAAAAGCAACAGACATGTCTTCTTCACCTACCCTCTTTTCTTCCAACGCTGCTCGCAAAAAAGTGAAGTCGCGATCGATGTCTACCGATCGGTCTGGGTTGCGAGCTCGTGGGTCCACCAGCATCAGCCGACATTCCTCTATCAGGTCTCGAAGCGACCATGATTCAACAACCATTACCTCCACAAGCGCATCTAGATTCACTTTTACACTCCCAGCATTTCTCAAAAGGTCTAGCCGAAACAGTACACCAAAGTCCCTTTCCCCCGACGATAGCGACAGCAACCAAACTCGGTCGCTGAAATTCTTCGGCCCTCCCCGACCCCACGCTACGCGCACTGCTCGCGCCAGTGCAGAAGCTCTGCGCTACCATCATCCATCTGCAGATGCTAGCGACATCCTGACTGCAGATCGGCGTGTTTCCAGCTGGGGAGACCATCCAATTGAATTTCGGAACGATAGTTTCGATATTGAATGGAATGACGAACAGAGCGAGGCGGTCAATCGATATGATTCATCTTTCAATTCCCTCATATTCGGCCGTTCATCTGACTCCCCGGATAGTGATGATCGCGGAGTCGGGTCATCCAATTTGTTCCAGTCCACATCGCGAGTGATCGACGCGAGACCGCCGCGAAACACTTCATTTGATTTTGAGGACGATGACTCGAGCTCGTTTGGAGACCACGGGAACCATTCGTCTTTTTACGGTTGCGACGTAAATGGCGAAGAAGAGGACGAAGAAGATGCTGGAATTGTATTTTCTCCCGGTCGAAAGCGTGTACCAGATCATCAGGGTTGATACCTGCTAGAGATTTGGTCGCCTTTCTCTTTTTGTACGCCCATCTTTTCGATCTTCGTTGTTTTCCGGCACTTGTCTGTACCCCAATATTGATGTCCCCCGTTCATGCTCGCTTGCTCGTGATACCTCTGTACTTCTTTGCCAGTCATCCCCCCCCCCCCCCCCCTCCGTCATTTATATACTTGCCCATAGACACCCCATTTCTTGATACTTTTCATTCGGACTGTTGACATTAGAGTAGTGATAGCTTAGCTCCTTTAGACGACATGTAAGTGTCCACACTGTACATCAGATTACATTTCCGTTACAACACATCAGTACGCTAAGCATTTTGGGTTAATAAGGAAAAGCAATAAAGAGAGTAAGTGGAGTGGTATCTTAAGACAGCAGCAGATATAGAAATGAGTGTGTGAATCACGAATCCAGCCAAAAGAAGAATGCCCAAACAATTAGTACAAGCGAATAAAAAAAGCATTACGTTCATTATATTCATGTCGGCCAGCCTCTGGCCATTCGCGCAGCGCCGCCACCTACACGACCCAAGAAGTTCCATACGGCTGCAGTGCCATCAGGAGAAAAACCTTCTCCGGCCGCCTGCATCGTGTTAAAGCTGTTCCAAGCAGTGCGATCATAGTAGGTCGGGCCGCCAGGAATTGAATAATGAGGAACCATGTACGGGCCAAGAGCGAGAAGGACTAATGCCGAGGCACCAAACACCATAGCAGCCTGGGTGACCACACCGTTCGGAAGAGGCGGAGAACCATCGCGAACCACATACATAATGTTGTAGAAACGATTTCTCCGACGTTTAGTATCCTTTGGTGGGCGAGAGCTCTCGGTTATGTCCGAATTTTCAATGACGGTGTCTATAACCGAGCACTTGCACCCGACCGCCGCCTTGACCATGTCCCAGGCGTCGACAACCTCTTTTGAAACACCACCTGGTACTCCTACCAGAGGCGTCTCGGCACCAGGGTGTAATTTCTTCATGGTATCGGAAGCGATGCCCCGATCGTGTTCCTCGTGCTGGTCGTACGCGGGTGGCTGGTCAGAGGGAATTTCAAGGGATCGTTGATGGGGCTTGGGCGTGGGAGGAATAATAGTTGATGAGGAAGAAGCCATCGCTTCATCGGGTGAAGGCGACCGCGAGGTCTCATCAATCCCCGCGAAATCTGTTTGTATATCTATGTCCATGGTGACCTTTGGTGAAATTGTAGGTTTGGAAGGTGGCGCAGGGGAGTCATCAGTTTGAGTACTAAGAGAAGCTTTGACGATGATGGGTTCCGGGTCTGTCTGTGTCGCTATTACCGATATAAAGGCACTAGCATCGTATTGAACAGCAGTGTCGGAATATTCTTTGTATTCCTCCACAGTTGTGGTTTCAACCATATTCGCCCGACTTGAAACCTTCTACCCACGACCAATCAATAGAGTGTAACGAGGGAAGAAGCACAACAATGAGGCGTACCCGTTTCTTCCTTGTTATAATTGTCTGGATCACATCTTCGCCGTCGCTATCGTTTACGACCGTGGCTTCCGCGTTATCACCTTCGTCTTCGACATCCTCCTCTTCGTCTTCTAGCCCCCAACCACCTTTGATCTTACTTGCCAACTCGGCACCCAGACTCTTGCTCATGGTATTGGCCGCGCTAGAATTCCCGCTGGACCCACCCATAACACTGGAAGCACTGTTTCTCATCTCATCCATATCAAACCTCATGCGATCAATCGTCTCCTTCAGCAAAAGATTCTCCTGCTTCTGCTCATCTAACTGAGCTTGGACTTGCTGTGCCAGTTCCAGTTCACCCTCGAGGCTGGAGATTCGAGCTTCGTAAGCTTCGTGCTCTTTTGTCCACTTCATAGCCTCCATTTCATGTAAAGAGCCAGTTTCCTTGAGATTTCGGATCGCCTCTTCCCGCTGGCGCAGGTCATGACGGTACTTCTCGGAGGCGCCTGACAAACTACTATGAGGATCTGATAGAGGGAGGATATCTGTAGCACTCACTGCATTGTTCAGCGTACTGTTTCTGTAAATTAGCATAAGATGAGCGGGAAGATTCCAGGGACTTTGAAAGTTTCGCGATTTCGTTCTCCAGCGCTGAGATCTGGTTCATGTATGTTCGCTGTAAAATATAAATATACAAAGGATTAAGCATTCGGCAGTGAAAGACATACCTCCTTGGACCTCAGATCCTTCTCATCACGCTTAGAGGCATTCAGCTCACTACGCAATTCGTCGATTTTCGTAGACAACTCGTCCACTTCAGAATCATGTTCCGATATTCTCTTTTGCAAGGCTTTGTCTGCCTCAGCCAACCTCCTCATCAACTCTGCAATCTGCTTCTGCATGGCGTCTACACGCTCAAAAGGCTCTAGAGAGGCGGTCGAACTCGTGGTTTGGCGCTCCATTACCAAACCCAATTCAGAATCATCTTCCTCAGAGTCCGACGATGAACGTGGCATGGGTAATGACGATATGGATGTGATGAACGAGTCATCCATGCGCTGTCCTCTATAGTCGTATACCGACGAGGTATCGTGTATGTTGTCATCATCGTCCCGATAGGAGCTGCTAAAGGACTGTGGGTTGGAATTGGCACGTGAATGGGGCCTAGAGGGAGGTGATCCGACAAGTGGGAAATTGCTCCGAGCTGGAGACATGTTTGCGGAGGGAGAGGTAGGATTTGACGGGGTCCTGTTCCGTGAGAATGTCTGCCTAAAAGCACTTGGGCTGTTCTGCGACAGAGTCAATTGACATGGTGGCGCGTTACTTTTTGATGTGAACTCACTTCTGAATCGCTACGACTGCCAGCGTCACTTTTTCGTCGATGTGGTGCGGGTGGACGTTTAGTCCAACTCGATGGTGCATTATTACTTAAGGGAGTCGAGCGCTGGCGCCGCTGCGTGTCAAATACTGACTGCGTTTTTGGCGTCAGTGGTCCACGAGATGGAGGTCTGCTTTGAGAATCACTACTTGACGACCGAGAATGATCTCCTTCGCCTTCTATCCGGTCTTGAGGGCGCCCCCGACCTTCCGACGAGTCTGCCACATCGCTTGTCGAAGGTGACAGAGGAGAAGTAAGGTGCTTGGATTTGTCCCTGTACAGCTGAAGTAAAAGCGGCGGCGTCACTTGCAAACCAGGGTTGTCTTTGAGAACGTCATTGAGCTGTGCTATTTCTGTGCTGTCCATAAGCTCGAAGCCATTGTAAACATCCGATAATGACTTGAGAACGTCGACAAGAGAGTCAGCTGGTATTGCAGATTCACCAGCATTGGTGGAGGTGACGAGTGGATGGTGGTTGAAGATGTCCTGTAATGTCGCCTCAATATCGGCGAGCGACCGTCGACGTTCGTCGTATGCCTACCAAATTGTTAGTAGGTCACCTAATAAATTGAAGAAGGTCATACCATGGTGGTTAGGGTAGAGAATGGTGAGAGGTCGCGTCGAGGAGAAGTCAGTCGTAAATTCTTGCCACGGACCCAATTTCAAAGTTGAAACAATGTAGATTGCAAGTGTTTGGCTGTATTGATGGTGACCAAATCAGCATGCGTCAGCATATTGCCACCCGATTTGATGCGTGTCTTCAACTTTGAACGTAGCCTGCACAAAGCCTGCAAGCGCAAAAGAAAGATAGCAGGAATCTAACGTTACTCGAAGCGGACTAAAGATTGTATTATTCAAATATCTGAAATATGTTGCTTCAGTAGTAGACTGTAGAGCCTAGGGCGAGCCGGGGTTGAGCCAGGGTCTGTTCGGAATAACGGTCCGAATAACATGTGGGCCCGAATCACACGGTCCCGCCCTAGAGGCGCTCACTTCAAATATGTTTGCAAAATAAGTCTGAAAACGAGTAGATACTTGGATTCTAATTGCTGGCCAATGTAGAATCTTGTCTGATAGAATACAGTAAGAACTTACCAAGTTCGAGATGGAACATCCGGGCCGGATTCTGATTCGGCATATCGGCAACAGACGGCAAGCGAGCTTATGTTCCTTCGTTCCATTCAACACATCACTTGCCGAACAGGACTGCTGCATTTTGCACATTATAGCCACATGGTGTCGTCCGTATCTCCAGAGCGAAAGGCAGAACTACTAGAATCTCTGGCAGAGATTCGGTCTCGCGTTGCATCGGCCTCTCCCGCTACACCAACCTTACTCGTTGCCGTATCAAAGTACAAGCCAGTATCGGATATCCAGGCGTGCTTGGAGGATGGACAGCTCGATTTTGGAGAAAATTATGTTCAGGAGCTGGTCGAGAAAGCTAAAGAGGTGAGGCGCACCAACGACTGGCTCGGTAACTGTTGTGACTCGAGTATTGTTTCATAAAGTTGCCTCTCGAAATTCGCTGGCACTTCATAGGTGCTCTCCAAAGTAATAAGGCTAAAGCTCTGGCTGGTATGTTCTCTGAGGTTCTTTTGGTCTCTTATTTGACTAAAGTAGTGCCTAGCGATCCCTAATCTCTACGCGATCCAAACTCTCACATCAGAAAAAGCCGCGAGCGCATTAAACAAGGCGCTACCTTCAGATCGTACGGCCCCACTTAACGTGCTTATCCAAGTCAACACTTCCGGAGAAGAAGCCAAGTCTGGCCTGGCGCCATTATCGGAAAGCAAACCTTCGGGAGAACTAATCCAGCTCGCCAAGTTCATCATCAACCAATGCCCCCGACTGCGATTACAAGGGTTAATGACGATAGGCGCATTGGAGCAGTCCCTAAATTCCGGTGATGACAACGCCGACTTTGAAAGGCTGAAGGAGACACGAAACCTCTTACACAGATTCCTGCTGACTGAGTTTCAGGAAACAGGGAAGGGAAAGTGGGGTACCGTGACGGGCGATGGACGATTGCTCTTGAGTATGGGCATGTCGAATGACTTTGAGGCTGCGATAAAGGCTGGAGGTGACATTGTTAGAGTTGGCACTGGGATTTTTGGGTCTAGAAAGACCAAAGCTGAGATGGCGCCATGAACAGTCACTGGTAAATGACCTTTAACGATGTTAATCATTTCTCTCCATAATCCACAACATCGTCGTTTTCGACATGGTAACAATGTCCCATGGGCGTATCAACAGTTCTTTTCGTTCAGAAAGGATGCTGCGATCAAGACGCCAGCGATCGAATCCTTGCACCTCCTCCACTACTTTCCATTGTTTTGGTACTGCCTCCGTTGGTTCCATTATTAAGTGGGTAATAGACCGAGACAGAGTCAAATCTTGCAGGGTCAGGTTTTCTGTTTTATTGTACGTCCAGGGTTTGTCCTTCACAACACTCAAATAAGGAGGCGAATGTTCCTGCAGGAACAGGGAAGCCCCAGTTTGAGCAGCAAGGTTTGATATGTGAACATGAGGGGGGACTGTTTTACACAATGAGCAAGATGCATTTCCTACAATCTCAAACACGTACCACGAAGGTGCTGGTATCTTCGGTTGAACAATGAAAGAGCTTCACCTCCGGGGTAGTTTGCCACGGAGGCGGACGTGTGCGCAAAGGTAATTACTAGATTCATAAGAATGAGCCCGAAGGTTCCAACGTAGAGTAACCTCCCAGAAAGTCTGTTCTTGCCACGGCCCACCCTGTACGGCAAAGATGAGGTAAAAGACCACACCTCTCCAGAGAGGGCTTACATCCACTTTGCCGCTCTTGCTGCGGCCACGTTGAAGGTAGGCACAACGTAGATGATGAATCGCCATTCCTTGTGACCTAATCCACTGATGAGAGCTACAAACATGATAGAAGGCAGTAAGAGAGAGCGAATGCGATGGTCGATGCAAAACCCTAGTAGTGCGAGTTGCGCAGCGGAGAGCAATAGCCGCGGAAGATATCTCGTGAAGTATGTCACAGGGGGTTCAATCTATGGTCCGTGAGACGCGTCAAAACTTCGAATAGAACATATACGCACACCCCAATCCGCGCTCTTGCCTTGATAAACGTTAAAATATATCCCAAAAAACTCTGGCCATAAGTATTTCATCTTCCAGAAATAAGAATCAACCAAGACGGTCAACGTTATTGAAGTCAGTGCCGAAAGGACACCAATCTTGACAAGCCTAGTGAAGGTTATGCAACGAAGGTAGAGGAATTGCAAAGACAGAGGTCCAAGTAGCAAGAGAACCTCAGCGCGAAAGACGACTGCCGTGAAGGTCAGGAGAGCAAGAATGGTGGTGACTCGAGCACGAGATGGTGATATAGCAGCGGGAGGTCCATCAATAACCAAATACGTTGCCAGGTTCACTGTGCATTTCAGTCGACTTGCTCGCCGTTTAACAAAAATAATATCGCACCTGGAAACAGGGCTAGCATGTTTGGTAACGTTCGTCCCATCCAAAATGGTAGATGGAACTGTGACACCGTGAATAGGGTGAAGAAAAGCCCTGTGAGACGACCGAAACGTCGCGAAACGCCACGTTGGATACAGCAGAGTCCGACGCTATTGAGACTGGCAAGGACGAGTCGAACTAGGCATGGTCTGAGATTTAAAGAATACAATATATAGCAGGCTATATCACCTATTATTTGGAGGTCAAACTTTGAAGAAATGAAACCCAGTCGTTCAGCAATATAGATCACTATTTTCGACGCCCATGCTAGCAACACGCTACCAATGAACGTTCTAGGTACCGCCCCAGGAAATACAAAATGGTCATACTTGGATGGTTAAGCATAGCACCAAGATGAAGGATATTCCCGGCGCACTTTAGGGAGCGAATCTCGACCAACGCCGTACATGAGCACGTCATGAGTAGCATGAAGGTTGAAGCTTTCTTCGACTTTGGTGTAGGGTGCTAGAAGGACATGGGCCCATGCTGTGATAAAAATGAGGGCATCGAGAGCAATACTCATTGGGACCAGGCGGGAGACAATAACAGTAAGGAGGTGGAAAAGAAGAAAGCGACGCCTTCCGTTTTAGGTCGAGTCAAGCTCTTGTCTTTCTACCACCATCATGGACGAGACTACCACCGAGGAAAAGAAACATTTCGACGCCGAAAATGCTGAAGACGATGACTCGCAGCCTGACCCCGATGAGCAGCTAATGCTCGACCAGGGAAACGGCCGCGTTTGGCTGGTCAAGGTGCCTTTTCCTTGCTTAACCGTCCGGGTTCGCGTCCACTCACTGGAACAGATACCCAAATCTCTCATGGAACGCTGGGCGGCTGTGAATGACGAAGATGTGCATTTAGCAACCATTCGTGTATACAGCGAGGCTACAGGACAAGGCGGAAAGTCACCACGTATCGTTCTTTTCTTACCTCCTGCTCCCGACTCTGCTCCCAACCCTAAACGCCCCCATTTCGATACCAAACCGATTAATGATGATGGCAGAAAATACGCTCCTGAAACCTCGACAAGTGAACCGGACTGTTACGAACTAGACATGATTAATGACTCGGTAGAGAACCAGATGGTGGTGGCAGAGCGACCTAAAGACGCTGCCTTCAATCTATCTGGCAAAAATACAGGCCCCGCTAACTCTCGTGCGCGCACCACCATTCTTACCGGCAGAGTCAAACACGAATGCAGCTTACGTCCTGGCTACAACGAGAGCTATCGCAAGCAGATGCGAGAACGTCACAAGAAGTACAACACTCCAGTCAGACAGATCAAGATGATAGAAGACAATATTGCCAGAGGTGGTATCAACAGGCTCAGCAGTGGTGTTACATTGGGGCAATCTACGTTCTCCGACCTTGTGGTGCGACGCGCTCTCTTACTTTGGTCGACTCTGAAATTCACTGACCGCTCTCTTGCAGAAAGCAAAGTCGAAGAGCAAAGGAAAGGGTGCAGAGCGGATGGCTCGTATGCCGAGGAACCAACTGCTGGATCTCATCTTTCAGCTCTTCCGAGATACTCCTCGGTGGAACATCAGGGATTTACGCACCAAGACCCAGCAGCCCACCGCCTTCCTCAAAGAAACGTTGCTCGAGGTTGCTTCTTTGCACAAAAGCGGAGAGCATACTGGACATTATGAGCTGAAAGACATCTACAAGGAGGAAGGAGTATGTACTTTATCCAAACATCATCTGGTTCTTCACTGACCTTTCACTCGCAGATCAAAGCTGAGAATATTCCTTTACCTGTGGGAAATGCCATGAAGATGGAGGAAGACGATGATGATGAAGGCGATGAAGACGATGATGACGACATGGAAGAGGTGTCATGAGGCACCTTCGTTGTGTAACATACTTTCACATTATTGTACTTCTGCATATAATTTATGACATTTTGTTGAACTATCCTCATTCAGGTACCTGCCGCTTGTAATTTATTTAGGATGAGTAGGTGACGCAGAAATTTTCCAGTCATTTTTGGGGATTACAAGTTTTAGTTATAACTCTCGTCCTTCACTGCCCATTATCGAGCCAACGTAATGCCTATAGAAGAATGCTCTTTCAGCAGACAGGAAAGAACGAATTTCTCAGCTTTTATTCCCGCCGGCAATATCGCTAGCTTTGAAGCCCGGGGATTGCCGTCACAATCAATGCGGAGTTAATTCCCCAACTTTCTAGTGTTGCCCCTTTCTCCGTCTTAGCTTGCAAGGCTTTTGCCTCTCTGTATCTGTATCCTTTCCTTATATTCTCGCTGTATCATGAAAGAACGGGCTCCTAGTACGACAACGGCCAAGAAGAGACGTCTACGAGGTGCCTGCGACTTATGTAAACAAAAGAAGAGTACGTGATTGCTACTTATTTTGTTCTCTTCGAAGTATGCTCATATCCAACAGTACGATGTGGGGTTCACAAAACTCAAGCACTTTAACAGTCTGCTAATTTTTCAACCGTTCTTTAGGTGACAGTGCCAAGATGCCTGGAAATATCTGCTCCAGCTGTATAGCCTATAATGAAGAATGTACTCATATTTCCTCGAATACGAAGAAGGTGAGTAGTAAATTTCTCCAGGCAATTGGTCTGTCTAATACGTCTGTAATATTAGGATGTTAAACCCCGGAGCGCTTATAAGTGAGCTGACGAGGACGCGTCGAAACCGGGTGCTAATTTCGTTTGACCTTCGCCTAGTTTTGTCAACTATGCTAGTCCACCCTTTGATCAGCTGGGGGAAGGTTCTAATGTCAATAGCTTTCAAGTGCGTATACATACACATCATCCGCCCTCACTCTTATCAGCTTTCAGATTTCTGCCGGTAGCTCTGTTTTGAAGGCGCAAATTAATGACATTCTAACCGACTCATATGTGGCGCCATCGGATCCCTCAATTGCTAAACAGCTGCTGGTAGATTTGGCGACCTCTGTCCATGCATTGGAATCTGAACTAGCCGTCTGCCGGCAAGTGCTGGCTCGCGAAGTGTCTGTACCTGTTTCAGTCTCGAACATATCATCTCCTATACCTGTCACAGCTGTCGCTGATGAGGATGCGACTACGGTGGTCGAGGATAAAACAGATGTATACCTGACCGATTCTTTAAAACGACTGACTATTGGACAGTCCCGCCATCGGCATTATGGCAAATCGAGCGCCCTTATGCTGATGAAAAGGGCCGTTGAAATAAAGAAAGAATTCACTGGTACTTCTGAAGGGTTGTCCTTTGAAGCCAAGCGTCCAGAGTTTTGGAATGATCAACCGGTAGGTCCCAGTAAACGTTGATTCCTTCAACTGCTTCTGAAGTTGTTTCCAGTGGCAAAAATCTCTACATGAAGATGAACACCAGCCGCTGCTCGTGTTTCCAGATGATGACCTTCTACAGGACCTCATCGATCTCTATTACGAAGAGTGTGATATGATAGTGCATCTTATCTACCGACCGAAGTTCGAGAAAAACGTCGCTCAAGGATTACACCTTTATGACAGGCGTTTTGGAAGCGTGGTTTTGTTGGTCTGTGCCATAGCAGCACCTTATTCCAACGATCCTCGGGTTTTTCTTGATCCTGCTCAGGAACATTCCGCCGGATGGCAATGGTACCAACAAGTTCGACCTATACCAAGCTCTTTCGTGGCACCGTCGTCAATATATGACCTACAAATATATTCCGTCAGTGAAGATAGTAGCCTTCTCTTCTAAACATTGACGAGATTCTATAGCTCATGGTCCTCTACGCTAACACATCTACCACCCCCGAATTAAGCTGGGTGCTACCTGGCCTTGGAATCCGCATGGCACAAAGCGTAGCCGCCCATCGCCGCAAGCCAGATAAGTCAGAATGGACAGTGGAGGACGAAGAGTGGAAAAGAGCATTCTGGGCTATTTTTTGTGTGGATGTCTTCAGCTGCGTCACAACAGGAAGGCCGCTTGCGACGACGTCGGACGAGTAAGCATGCAGCGACAACATCAATGCTCTAAGCTAATCGTTATCCTTGAGCTATGACCTTGATATGCCTATAGAATGCGATGACGAATATTGGGAGCATCCGAATCCAAGCCGAGCCTTTAAGCAACCTGCTGGGAAGCTTTCGACTGTTACGTTCTGGGTCAAATATTTGGAGTTATTGGAAATTTTTGCTTTTATGCACCGTACCATTGTACGTTTACTGGATCATTATCTCCATCACAAAGGTGCTTACACATCACCAGTATGCCGTTAAACGGTCTGCGATATCAAAGGAAATGCGGGGCCCTGAATGGGACAGTCGGGTGGTCGTCACCATTGATTCTGCCTTGAACAAGTGGGTTGATTCGGTACCTGATCACCGTATGTCGTAATTCTTGTTCTCGACTAACGCTCATTCGCTCATTTCTTAGTGAGGTGGAATCCCCACAATCCCGATCCGAGATTCTTCAAACAGTCAACACTGTTGTATTCCGTCTACTATTGGGTCCAAATACAAGTTCATAGGCCATTTATATCTACCGTTAGTCAGCCCTCGCCGATATCGTTTCCTTCCCTTGCCATATGTGCGAACGCGGCACGATCTTGCTGTCATGTCCTTGATACATACCAGCAAAGGGGGTTCCGACCACTTACTGTCGCAGAGGTATGTGTCAATTGTCTTGTACAAGTGTGTACTGTAATATAATGATGGATATCAGATATCCCTCTTTTACTCAGCTATCATACTCCTGATTAATGTTTGGCGAGGGCGCAAGTATGGGAGCTCAGCGTCGCTGGATAGAGACATTGATGACATCCGTAAATGTATCAATATCCTACAAGTGCACGAGAAAAGGTGGTGTCTGTCTCTCCAAAAATCGCGGTCTTGCTCTAATCCAAGCTGCTTTAGGTGGCAAATCGCTGGGCGTTACAAGTATGCAGGTCAACCACATCTTACAGCAACAATAGCTAATACTACTTCAGTGACATGTTGCGTGGCCTGCTCGCGGACCTAGACTCTATCCCAGTGACACATGTTCCATCACTGAAGCGTACCCGAGAAGGGGAGGAAGTTTCGTCTACTCCTCTCACACTCTCACCACTACCTGTGTTGGAGTGGGCACATCCTTCTACGGAGTCCCTTCCACCGGACCCAGAAATAGATGCTATTAACTCCCAACAGCTCTTCAACCTCCCTCTGTATACCGATGAACTGGGGCGACCTTCTCTAGCTACTGATTATTTAGGGAAAGGTGTGGACGGGAATGATTACGCGGAATGGTTCCAACAGCATTTCCCGGGTGACACCTTCCTTTCGACGGGGTACTCGAATGAGATGTCGTGGTCCGCTGCGGACCATCCTGGCCGTCTATCTGGCGGCTTTCTGTCCAGTTTTATGGGAGAATATAGTACGTTCTAACTCAGAGTGGCGAAAGGGTCCCGTTAATACAGCTCCAAATAGACGCACACTTTGAGATACCCCAACAGCAAGCGGGAAACAGCCCGGCTTCAATTGACCAAGAGATGGCAAAATGGTTTAGTCAGAATTAGGAAACAGTGCGTATTTCTCGGAGCCAACTATGTACACCTCTTTACTACCTTTATAGATATAGAGTCATCCCCACATTGCCTAGTTATAAGTTAAAGATATTATGTTTTGGATAATCAGTGTTGCGGAATGTGGCTCGGGCGTCCCTTTCCATAGTTATCGACTGCGCCCTGTGAAAGGCGTTTTCGCTCTCTTTGGCTATTCGATTGCAGCTGTGTCGCCTCGCGGAACCAAATTACAGATTACCGAACTGCCGATAGCTGACATCATAACACATTCCCTCCCCCCTGTGGAGGCCCTCCTTCATATCTAAAGGAAGGAATATACTAGTGAAATCTCCGCATGTTAATTCATGTTCTGTTAGCTCGAAAAGCAGGGGCCGGACATGCCGCGACTTCAAGCTTGACCTTATGACCTGGGCTATTTTGGGACGCGCCATCCAGAGTATAGATGCGGTGTCCCCTCCCCGGTGCACTGAAACTCGCGCTATGTCTCAGACCCTTTCTGACGGTCATCCAGCAATTTATAGCCGTTCGTGACCTCAGCTAGGTGCATATATAGTTTGGTCAAGGTCCCGTCGTTCCTTCTTACACCTCTAGGCAAAGGACATGTTGTTGAGCCTGATATACGCCTTTGCTCTATTTTCTGCTGTCTTTTCCTCGCCGACGTCGTTGTTGTTCAGCCCGACTTCCGCTAAGCGAAGCGATCTCTCGTATGAGCCGCCTGCTGCTCGCGGGCTGACGAACGCGGTGCGCCTGGCCCGAGGGTATCCTCTGAAGGCCCCAGTGAGGCGTTCTGATACCGCCAGTATTACTTACTTCTGTTGTGCTTTATCGGTGACTAAATTATTGTTTTCAGGGAGAGGCGTCCCATCCAGTGTTCCATCAGGATCGTACAATCCAAGTCGGCCGTGAGTAATCGCAGCAAATCAATGGCGTCGTGCTCATAGTTTATGAAGGGCTCGAGGATATCTGCAGTTCACTACTAGTGGCGGTCAGAGTGCTGGATTCATTGGTACTCAGACGAATCAAAATGGCGACTTCCTGTTGGCTACCGGCAATAGCGACAAGCTTTTGGTTGAAATCGATTTAATGAAGGCCAAGTCTGGTCCCACTACCATAACCACTGTCGTATGTCTTTTCTTTTCTGAAACGAGAGCATCTACTTATAATCAAGCGCAGAATGGCGGTACAAGTGTATCTTATGTCGCCGGTATCGTAGGATCGACAAGTGCATCCAACAACCTTTCTCAGGGCAGCTTCAGGTCTGTTGCAATAATTCTTTTCGCATCCTTTATCCTCATTCCTCTTGTCACTAGCTATTTCTACTTTGGAGGAAGCAGCGATCAATCGGGCGCTTACCTTGAAACCTCCATTGTGCGTTGTTTTCCATTCAATTCCTGTCATAACTGACGACATATCCGGTGTCTAGTTTGCTTACAGCGCTACGGATAATAGCATCACAGTTCAGTGGGCTAATTCAGACGGGTCCACCGCGGAAACATTCATTGGTCTCACATCGCAAGGTGAATAAAAATACATCTCTTGACGCCAATTTTTATTGAGATCCAATTAATAGGTGCATTTGGAACTGGTGATCGTAATGCATGTGAGCAAGAGTTTGGAACGGTTACTTGGGTGGTAAGTGCCTTTCAGCCGTACAAGAACTCCAACCGACTGATCATTGGCAGACGCTTTCCTTTGTTCCTCAATAATTATGATCTTACGATATATGTTACGGACGCTTAATATTTAGCGAACTACATGTAGTACGGACAACGAACTCTGTACTAACGAACTAACAGACTTTGATTTTTGTATTCGGCCGAATGCTCCGATCATGCTTGTAAGATGGAGTGACGTAATAAACAGCTCTTGCACCCAAACGACGAACCTGTCTAATCGCATTCGAGGCAAAGTCGCAACGTTTCCTTCTCCCGCAGCGGTAGCAACAACCTACAGTCATTCACTCGGATCCCTTTCGATGGCTCTTTCTACCGCACTGTACGTGCACGAGGCTTGGTGGAAGGCTATGCAACAGCTTATCATTTAAGCGCTAGGACAGCATGGGGTCCGGGGAATGAATGAGGATATGGTTCTGCCGTTACTTTTTCTCATTTGCGGCTCCAAGGACCTCTTTTTTCCATGCCTGTGATTGTGGCTCAGAGACACATTTCTGATGTCGAGACGACAGCCAGACGCGCGTCTATTAATCACAGCATCCGGGGAATGCCACGAAAAACGAGGCATTCGAGATGGCCGTGTTCCTCTGACGGTTCCGGGAGGAGGAGTCATTAATAACTTCCTGCACTATTTGGCTAGGCCTTCTTCGATCCGGAAGGTCATTCCTCCTCCCCTGGTTTTTTTTTGCGTGGAATTTCTATGGCAGACGCACAGCCTTGCCTTGCACAAGTACGTCCTTCAACAGCATACACAGCCCTTGCACACAATATATTAACAGTCCATAATTTGACTGTTCAGCCATCCCTCTACTCCTGCATCCTGGTCAATCGCATACCTTTGCCTCCGTCGTGTCACTCAGATCACTTGCATTTCTATCACCATGGCAAGCATGACCACTGAGGAACTTAACTGCGTGATCTTCGTACAGGATACAGAGGGACATCCCCGTCAGCTGGACGACGACGATAACGTCGCCCCGCTGAAGATAGATCAGCGCGATCCTCCCTCCTCATACGCTGGTACTTCGTACTCTCTTGCCTCAACAAGTGTTGCTGACCATCCTGGGTTGTTTAGATGGGCCGTTTTCTCCTCTGAGCCCCACGTCGCCTTATGGATATCCTGTCAGTGAGGAACAGTTCCGTTATACCCTGGGGGGCGGGGAAAATATACCCTTTTCACGTTCCAGGCGATCCTCAGAAACAGCTCTTCCTGCACCCTTCCCTCCTTCGTACACCAGAGATCGGTCCGCGTCTGTTCACGGCCATCGCAGACATGTCAGCTCTCCTAACAGCCCACTTGCTGTCAGCGGGAGCGGTCCTTTATACAACGACTTCCTTTCTGCACCCCCACTTCACCAAAGACAGTCGCAACCTTCCTTACAAGTGATCACCGACATACCATTTGGTTTTCACACCCCCCCTCCATGCTCTGCATCTCCTGGATTAACCCCCGCAAGCTCTGTCTCTTCACCATTCGAGTCTCCCGAAGAGTTTCGTCCCCAATCTTCCGGTGGTTATTCCGATCACAGCGATTTCGCACCGCCACACAAGTCCAATGGTGTCGACGATCCTTATCAGTCCTCAACCTCTCTTCTATTACAATCGGATCCTCCGCGCGGGCGCACATTATGGCGATTTGATGATGACTATCTAACGCCTGGACCCGATTCACGCTCCCTAAGTTTGGTTAGTATGCCAAACATAAACATCGACAGTGACTTCTTCGGTCTGAGGTCTCCAAGTGTGGCTCCTAGTACGCACTCGGATGGCGGACTCGATTTGGCGAGCCTTGAGCTTAACCCTGGCGTAGGTACTTCGGACATCTTTGGTGACATCCCAGAGCAGCAGTCTAGTCATTCTGTAACAGATACCTCACTACCCCCAACGCCGTATCGAGAGCAGGTTGCGTCTGACGCTGTGGCACGGGCCAGTCAAAGTCGTCGGACTAACGCAGCGAATTATGTTTGTGAGCAATGTCATCAGACCTTCACAGCCAAACATAACCTTCGAAGTAATTCCTCATCCGTTTTTGTTTGGTTCCTCCGCTAACTTGGTCGCGTAGATCATTACAACTCTCACTACGGAGTCCGTAATTTCCGCTGTGAAGTCCCCCATTGCAACAAATCGTTCGGAACGAGTCACGTTCGTCGCCGCCATATGGTCAAGTGCCATTCTGAAAGCACTGAGACTAAAAGGCGTAAATTGCGTAAACGGTATGTCGTTCCTTCTAGTTATTTTTTGTTGACTAAGACGTCTCTGGTAGCGTTTCATGACTTTTCGCTTTCCCCTTTGTCTTTCGTTGTCGTTGCTAGACCGCATCCAACTGTGCTGTATCCTAATATCGTTCTGTTCTGTTTTTGCTTGATGTGCTGTGCTAGATTTCTGTGGCGTCCTGCGTCATATACAACAATATCGTCGAGTCGCATTATTAGTTCTGTAGCTGATCTATCTTGTATTATTTCTCGTGTTTGCTTCTCATCCATGTCCTTACGTCATGATCCTATGTACGAGCGTTCTGTGTCTCTGCACACCTCTGCACAGGTTGTATCCGTTGTATCCGGAGCTCCCAGAATCCTTCCAGAAAAATGTGACCCTGACACTTACATCAAGTCCCACAGTCTGAGTGATGAACCTTCTTCTCCGCACACCGGCATTGTGCCTCTCGCGGTCGCTCAAATCCTGTGTTCAATGTTCCTGGAGGCTTTCGTTACCTATAATGGGGGGAATTCTGTAGAGCCTCATAGTTTTGGCGTCTTACTATTGATCCAAGCTCCGTCCAGGTTGCAATGTGGGCTACCGAATAACTTCTATCGGGGCGCTTCATGATTGCTAGGTGCGGGTGATTACACTTAATTCAATGGTGTGCTCTGAGCACAGCGTTAAAGGTGTTGCCTTACGCCATGAGCAGCAGCTCCCTGGTTCTAGAATCACAGCCGGCTCAGCTGTTAGGACGAACTTCTTGGTGGACTTACTACCACTGCCATCCTGCTGTTGATTCTATTTGAGGAGGGACGCTCAGCTATAAAAGCAGTGAGGACTCGGAGCCCTGGTATCTTCACATCCTGCCCGCCCCGTCCCCATCTTATAGCACTAATGAGTTCTCAGAACGAGAGCGGTTTCGGAGACATGTTTCAACGTTCATTTGAAGAGTTTGTTTTACCTCAAGTGCGCTATGTTAAAGTATTGAACGCATCGCTTCAGGACTAAAATTACGTTTTCTTTTGATCAACCTCAAGAAACCTTCGACAACAACTACCACGATGGTACGTCAAGAGAAACAGGTTTTCCCCTTCTTATCCACCGTTGCTAAACCTTTCCGCAATTTCAGGAATGTACCTGGGTCAAAGTAGGTCACTTTTATCGAGGTCCTGATACTAGTTTGAGGTTCTTGACGCGTCTTGTCAGCTTTTGACAATGCTGGCTTTGGTAGCGGCGACTCGGGTTATTCTTCTTTGTTTAGTTCCCCTGAAATGGGGAGACTTGACCTTCCGAGTACGTTTGGCACATCTTCCTGTCACTGGATCGAGCATTAATTTTCAGCTTTACAGCTTTCAATGATTACGACGCCAATAGTATCAAGAGCTATGAGTTATCTCCTACGTTGTCGCGGTCACCTACAGGAACCTTCCTTGAGCTTCCCCCAGCCCGTTACGGAGGCAGAAGAAAGTCAGATTCGTTCGCAGAAAATCCGTTTCCCTCTCCGAGCGATCTTCGACGACGCCTCTCCGCTCCCTCTCTCAGCAATGGTCACGGCCAGCGGCAGATCTCAGATATCTCGCACGGCGTTGGGAGGATGTCTTTGGGAATCGATACGACTGGTATCTTCGAAGCATCGAAGCGAGGTCTCACGTCAGCGTTTTCCACCGACTCTCTTTCGCCGTCGTATGGTGTTAGTACTGCATCCTTGATTCCAATACAGACACAGCTGCCCGATAATCTCCCTTTCTGGCCGACCCCGACGCCTTCCCCCATCTCTCCTTGTTCTCCTCTCCCGCCGGTAGATGATACGTTAGGGAAGGATCGCCTCAAGAAAAGTAACTCGCGGTCGCGAAAAGCGAAGGCAGCTAGCCTGCGGCGAAGGAAGGTACAGGGACCTGGAGAGTTTGTATGCGATGTTTGTGGTGATGATTTCACCACGATGCATAGGCTTCAAGGTGGGCGGCAACGTCATTCAGATGATCCTACCGACTAAGTTGATGCTTTACAGGACACAAGGAGTCGGAGCATGAAGGAGTCATATTCCGATGTGAGGCGTGTAGTGTCGAACTGCGCCACCGAACATCCTACAATCGCCATGTCAAGAAAACTTGTCTTGTACTGAATCCTCGCGACACGAAAAAGTGACAACGGATTCAATTGAACTTACACCATTTACATTCATTATTTAACAGTGTTACATTATGACATACACTCGGGCCTAATTAATAGTCTTAAGTTTCCATACATCATTACAACCTTAGGTACCCGTCAATACGCTCGGAATGTAGTTTTGCATACCAACGGGCCTTTAATGATTCACTCTGAACACAGCGTTAGCCAACAGACTCGATCGATGATCGGCGAGCGTCGGTTTTTTTTACAAATTTTCAACGATCAATGCCATAATTGTGCCCCGGTGCCCCCCCTCCCCCAATGGCCCTTAAAGTTATGAGCACTAGCAGAGGATCTCGGACACCTCGTGGAATGTTAGGAAGATGTTCTTTGAAAATCGAGACAGCGAAGTGAGAGTAGCCAATCATCAGTAGTAATAAGTTCGTTGAAACGGCCAAGGCGGCCCGTAGTGACTCCAACATTTACTACCATGACGTACAACTTCGCCGCCTCATTGTTGTTCCAAACTCCGTATGTCATATGTGCGAACTCTTGACCGAATAGCGATGTTGGAATCAGTAGGCGCTTCACACTATTCAGCCTTCCAGCTTACTGGCACAGCGTATCTGCCCATAGCGCCTCTCACAGCAGGGGCTGTTGAGAAATTTTCTCCAGCGAATTCCTTTCACTGCCTTGCTGCTGTCGCAATGCTTTCCCTATACTATAAAGTCCCTCTGTGGCACTCGAAAGGCAGCAGCCCTCCCTTATCGCTGCCATGGACGATCATATCCCAGTTTACCTCAACGTCTCTAACCCCCCGCAAGCTTTGTAGGCTTTCCGCTCCATCTACGTGAATCAAAGTTGATCGTCATCCTCCAGAACGAATCCACATGGCGATGGCGAAGACAGTTACACCTTCAGTGTTGTCTTTGAGGACACGGAACCTTGTACGTTACTAATATATTCGTATTCTATGTCTCCTTACTCATCCTTTTCAGTCCCCTGCCTTGGCCAAAGTTGGTCTTCTCTTTGGCCGATAGTATGGTGCTGTTGACTGACATATTCATCAGCTTTTACTACTGGAGATGGCAACTTCAGCTCCAACCCATCTTCCACATACAGTTCCCCAGGATATGTTGGACTTGGCGATAGTACGATCAGCATGTTTTTCTGATATTTTATTCAGCATTGATTTTTCCTGTACCAGGTTTTGATGCCATCGGAGACGACCAGTGGTCTCCTTTGTCACCACATCCTACAGAACTATGGGCCCCAGACGCAGCACGCCACCTTGTTGTCCCCCACTCTATTCCAAGGCGATATTCAGAATCGGGAGAAAGCTCGGCTTCTTCGCTCGGGTCTTCAACTGATATGTTCCCTGGGCTACGACGGCACGCTTCTGCGTCCTCGCTTGGTATTCGCCGGAATGATCAACCGATCTCGGAAATGTTGTCGAACGTCAAGACTCTGTCTTTGGAAGATAACCCACCCCACCACGGTCCTGCGTCGTCGCCTGTGGCTGCTTCCTCGCCGTATGGTGGTAATACAGCCTTCTTAATTCCAATACAGACACCGGCAAATGATGGTCTGCCTTTTCGGTCACCTGCGTCATCTGCGCCATCTTCCCCCATCTCTCCCAGTTCTTCGCTTGCGCCGCCAGATGGTAGGGCAGGGATGGGCAACGTAAGTCCGCGTAGAACACGCTCGACAAAAAGTATCCAGGCCAGCTTGAGTCGGAGGAAGGGTCCCGGGAAGTTTGTGTGCAATAATTGTGGGGACGATTTTACTACGAAACATAGGCTCAACGGTGAATAAATAGTATTGACCTTTTTGATGCTATTTCACTAACTTATTTTCAAGGACACGTAGCTTCGAAGCACGAAGGCATAAAAATGACATGCCCGTCGTGCGATGCAGTCCTGAGTCACGTAACGTCCTATGACCGCCATCTCAAGCAGACGTGCCCTGTTCTTCACCCTCGCGGTCTTCGAAACAAGTAGTATATTCGTGAATCTTCTAAGTCGCTCGGTGTCGTTGTGTCTTATACCCTCTTATACCCCATGCAATAGCGCCACATTTTCCCCGCTTGTATCGTTACCCACCGTGTGTATTGTAGATGGATCTGCTGTACTTAATAGAGTTTTCTTCCAAGTCGCCGACTTCAAAATCGGCAGTCTTGTCCGATCACTCATGTGTAGCCGAATTCCAATTTGTCCTGGCCGAGAATCGCGAACTCTGCGTTCTACACCCATGAAGAGAGCCTTGCCTTTTTGAATCGAATAAGCGCCAGAGCAGTGCTCATGTCCCTGCACGCGATTTATGCAAGGCGCTTTTGTTCATCAGATTATTTTACCCGGCTTCCATTCCGGTCTTCTTGGTCCTAGTGTCAATAACCACGACCTGCCATTCGACATCAACCTGCTTCAAAACGAATTACCTACTGTAATCCCACCCTCTCAAAACAGCTCCAACCCTTCTTAGATGAGATTACCGACATGTCATCTATGTTTCACACCTCGCCTCCATCTTCTGAATCCCTCGCAAGCTTCCATCCGTGACTCTTGAGCCCGATGACGGCGTCATCTCACTGCCACACGAGTCCAATGGTGTCGACAATCTTCATCAGTCCTCAACTTCTACTCTATTACATTCAGATCCTCCGCGCGGGCGCACATTATGGCGATTCGATGATGACTATCTAACGCCAGGACCCAATTTCCGCTCCCTAAGTTTGAGCGACATCGACAATGACGTCTTCGGTCTGATGAGGTCTCCAAGTGTTGCTCCTAGTACGCACTCGGATTGCGGAATCGATTTGGCTCGTCTTGATCTTAACCCTGACGTCGTTACTTCGGGCGTCTTTAGTGACATTCCGGAGCAGCAGTCTAGTCATCCTGCAAAAGATGCTTTACTGCCCCCAATGCCGTATCGAGAGCAGGTTGCATCTGACGCTGTGGCATGAGCCAGTCGTCGGATCAATGCAGCTCATTATGTTTGCACTTAATGCAATCAGACCTTCACAGCCAAACACAACCTCAGAAGTGCTAGTGATTCCTCGTCTGTTTTTGTTTGGTTCCTCCACTAACTTGGTCGTAGATCACCTCAATTCTCATTACGGAGTCCGTAATTTCCGTTGCGAAGTCCCCAACTGCGGTAAATCGTTTGGAACGAGTCATGTTCGTCGTCGCCATATGATCAAATGCCATTCTGAAAGCACCGAGACTAAAAAGCGTAAATTGCGTCAACGGTATGTCGTTCCCTCTAGTTATCTTTTGTTGACTAAGTCGTCTCTGGTAGCATTTCATGACTTTCCGCTTCCCCCTTCGTCTTTTGTTTTGTCGTTGCTTGAAAGCGTCTAAACTGTGTTGTATCCATTTAGTTTCCTTCCGTTTGTGTTCGCTGTGCGGTGTCAGATTTGTTGTGGTGTTGCCTCATCCGCAACAATATTCATCGAGACTTGAGTCGCATTATACATTTTGTATAATGGCGTTTTGTTCGCTTGTTATTCCCTACATCATGTTTCTATATGTGAGCGCTCTGTGCCTCAAAAAAGTCTGACGCATGCCTGTGTACAGGTTGTACCCGGAGCTGCCACCAGGCATGTATGATTGGTTCGTCCTTCTCTGGGTCATCGATCAGAATAGAACCATTACGGATCCATCGATGACTGAGCCTGTTACCACTGACGCATCTCTATCATCATCCTCTTCCTCTCCCGCACTCCCGCATTATGCTTTTCACGTTTAACGTTCCCGGAGGCTTTCGTTACCTTACAGCGTCGGCGTCTTCATAGCTGAGCTGGCAAGCACCGGTACCATCCGGGTTATGCGATGTGGTCAGCCGAATACCCGAGTCGCTTCGTGACTGGTGGTTGTAGGTAACCACACTTGAACAAATGATTTCTTCTGAGCATAGCTTTGACGAGTCCCCGTTTGTATGACCAGCAGGCCGATTCCAGAGTCACAGACAGGTCAGCTGCTGAATGAGTTTCTTGGTGGAATTGTCATTGCCCTCTTGTTAATTCTATTCGAGGAGGGGCTCCCGGAAACGTATAAAGCAGTACAGACCCAGATTCTTAAGTTTGTCTACTCGCCCCATTCCAATCTTCCATCGCTTCAGGACTGGAATTACGTTTTCCATTGATCAACCTCAGGAAGTTTTCGCCAGCGATCCTTTCTCTTACTTCAATGGTATGTCAACCACAGAGAAGCCGCAGTATTCTCCCTTCTTACCATTGTTCCTAGACCTTTCTACCACTTCGGGAATATTCCTGGGTCAAAGTATGTCACCCATATTTCGTTCCTGGTAGTCTTGGGATTCTATTGATGCGTCTAGCGACTCGGCCTTTCTGTATCAAGCTGCCCTAGCATCGGAGGTCTTGGTGTCAGTACGTCTGGCGCATCTTTCTGACACTGGGCCCAGCGTTGTTTTTCAGTGACACCGGTAGTATTAGCAACTGTAGTGAATCGTTTCCTGTGTTGCTACCCCCAGTCACACTTGTTCGCAGCAAATCCGATTTTCGATTTTCTAAGTGATCTTCAAGACAATACCCTCTTCCCCCTCCGTCATGAGCATTGACAGCAGATCTCAGACAGCTCGCAGAATGTTAGGAAAATGTCATTGGAAATCGAGACGACTAATATCTTTGAGGCATCGAAGTGTAGTTTCCATGTCTCCAATTTCACGTGGTTCATCGTCGTATGATAGTCCAACGACCTTAATTCCAGTACAGACGCAGGTGTCCGATGACTCCGGTGACCTTCTTTTTGGCCGACCCGGACACCTATTCTCCACTTTTTCTAGATTCAAGCCAGCTTGAGTCGGAGGAAGGGTCTCGGGAAATTTGTGTGCAATATTTGTCAGAATAATTTTACTATGAAACATAGGCTCAACGGTGAATGGATAGTATTGACCTTTTGATGCTAATTCACTAACTTGTTTTCAAGGACACACAGCTTCGAAGCACGAAGGCATGAAAATGACGTGCAACGCAGTCCCGAGTCGTGACGTCCTATGACCGCCATTTAAAGCAGAGTTCTTCACCCTCGTCTTCGAAGCAAGTAGTATTCATGAATTTTTAGAAGTCGCCCGGTGTCTTTCTTATACCCCAATTATCGTACGCAATAGCGCCACATTGTCTCCGCTTGTATCGTTACCTACCGTGTGTATTGTCGATGGATTTGCTGTACTTAATAGAGTTCGCTTCCAAGTCGCCGACTTCAAAATTGGCAGTCTTATCTGATCACTCATGTGTAGCCGAATTCCAATTGTCCTGGCCGAGAATCGCAAACTCTGCGTTCTACACCCATGAAGAGAGCCTTGCCTTTTTGAATCGAATAAGCGCCAAATGCAGTGCTCATGTACCTGCACGCGATTAACGCAAGGCGCCTTTGTTCATCAGATGCCCTCAACCGGAAGCCGCAATTTGCTCGAGTCATATCTTTACCCGGCTTCCATTCCGGTCCTCTTCGTCCTATAAATTCGCCTTGATAAATTTCGACCTCCATCTCTCAAATTCTTAACAATGAACTTTACCTACCCAGAAATCCGCATCTACGACTCTGAGGGACGAGGTGCATTCGACGACTCATCTCCCCTCGAAAGGTGAGTACACCGATTGTGCCACCGTTAGCGCCAAGGCGCTGATATTCCGATAGCCTACAAGGTCTTCCTGAAATATCACCAGACATTTGGGACCAAGGAATCATGAGAGGATTTGATCTTGAACCTAGTCTGTGGGGTTTCGTTGAATCTTGTCACGCCACTCACAGGATCGCGCCAGATCCTTCTCAGTACCTCACCAGCCCGGCTGGCGACGAAGGGATGCTTTTGGGTGACGGTAAGTGAATTCATAATTTAAAATGGAATATCATCGTAATATTTTGTTTTCCAACGCAGGTACCAGCCCTTATGGACTCGGATACAACTACTACTTAACACCTTCGAATTCACTTTCGCCCGCGTCCCCAAGCATTCCTCTTCACACCCCAGAGGATATGCAATATCCCTTGCCGCAATATTCTCCGGTTCAGTTCAATCAAGGAAGCGCCTTACTCAGACAGTCTTTCCAGTCTCTTCATATTTCGGCGGACTATTCACAGCCCTCATCTCCGACCTCCTCCACCATCCAACCGACTACCAGCAACTTCCCAAATACTTTTCCTACGGACTACGATAGTCTCTGCTTGCTGTCACCTATCTCCATAACCGAAAGTGTGGCGCTCAGTCCCAGCCCTACCACTAGCGTATTTAGTCTTCCCGACGAAGAACAACTTGATACTGGAAGAGGGCAGAACCCTCTGGCTGGGAAGCGATGTCCCCTTCCTGCGAACGCAAAACGCAATCTTCGAAGTCCCCCGGAGCGTTCCGCTGTGGCGCAACATCGTAAGAAGATCAATACGGCCAAGAAGGAACACGTGGCCAACGGCAGCGAGGCTAAGCGTATACGCGAACGAAAGTACAAGTGCCACCATGAAGGATGCACGAAGACTTACACAGCTTCCCACAATTACAAGGGTGCCGTCCTGTTTCGTCATACTTCATTTTGCATGATTTAACCTGTCATCACAGATCATTTGAGGCAGCACGAAGGGAGGAGACTATTGTGCCCTCACAGAGACTCGGGCTGCCGTGAGGATTACGCGCAGGAAGTGTCTCTGTGTCGCCATCACAGCAACTCTCACAAGGACTGCACAGAGCGCCACCGTCGCGCCGATTATGTATGGGCAAGCAAAGAAGAGTGCCTATAAATTGTACTTTAAAGGTACCTCAAACCTACTATACGCCTCTTTAATACCCACCTATTCGCAGTACTAGTTATACCAGCAAATTTGTTTTCTTTTTGTTTGCTCTCCAAATGTAGCCCTACCTTGCTTTGTCAATTGATGTTCAAAAATCCCATCATTCATCATTCTGATTCTGACATTTAAGACCACATCTTCAAAAAAAGTAACGGCTGCACTCGAAGGTGCTTTACATCATTCATTGATCGACCTAGGGCTATGTCTAGACGCGCGTCAGATCTTCATATTCTGCGGAAGGAGGTGGGGTATGGCAGTGCGGTGGAGCTCCTCCTCCCCCGGAAAGACTACCGATAGTCGGGCACCCCATCCTAGGCTTAATTATATCGAAGCACATCAGTCCTCCTTTTCCGAGGCGTTTGCAAAACAAGTCACCAGGAGAGGGCTTCCGGCCCGATGATCCGGACCGGAAATGCTCACCTGCTCATCAGGAATGCCTTTATGCCGTAGAAAAAGACATTATATTGCGTACCCAACTGCGTAGCAGCCTTGCGTTCATTCCACTATGTCATCCGTAAAGATGTTCCCCACAATCAAAGCCGTCCGAACTTTCGTCGTAGGAGGTGTAGGTTCCGGAGGTGACTACCACAATGTCGCCCGTGGACATTGGTTCGTAGAGTCCATTCTCCAGGAAACTTGAGCTGATAAACATGTATAATGCAGGCTTATTGATAATCCGATTGCCACGCCCATGTCCAAGTACGAGGAGTATCGTAGCTCTCGTATAACCTGGGGTATCAATGTCCTCGGCTCGTTCTGCGTCGAAATTGAGGCCAGTGACGGCACAACTGGTTTTGCCACAGGGTTCGGCGGACCGCCTGCTTGCTGGATCGTCTCGCAACACCTCGAACGTTTCCTTATTGGCGCGGACCCAAGAAACACGAACCGCCTCTGGGACCAGATGTTCCGCTCGACAATGTTTTATGGGCGAAAGGGGCTGCCCATTGCTGTCATATCCGTCATCGACCTGGCTATATGGGACTTGCTCGGAAAGATTCGCGGGGAGCCTGTATACAAGATGATTGGCGGTTCAATCAAAGACGAGTTATCGTTTTACATCACTGGTCCGGAGCCGACGGCTGCGAAGGCAATGGGTTTCTGGGGTTCGAAGGTTCCCTTGCCGTATGGTCCTGATGAGGGGCATGCGGGACTGAAGAAGAACATCGAGTTTTTGAGGAAACATAGAGAGAGCGTCGGACCTGATTATCCTATCATGGTCGACTGTTGGATGGCGCTGAACGTCCAGTACACCATTGAGCTGGCGACAGCATGCTTGGATCTGAACATCAACTGGTGGGAGGAGGTCTTACATCCCGATGATTTTGATGGTTTTGCACGGTTGAAATCTGCGCTTCCACAGCTTAAGTTTACCACCGGAGAGGTACGCACCGTTGCGTTGCTGTTGTCCCTTTGCTGATCTTGAAATGTCAGCATGAATACACCAAGTACGGGTTCCGCAAGCTTATCGAAGGCCGTAACATCGACATTCTCCAGCCTGACGTTATGTGGGTTGGAGGAATGACTGAGTTGGTCAAGATCGCAGCTCAGGCGGCAGCGTATGACATCCCTGTTGTGCCTCATGCCAGTGGTCCCTACAGCTATCATTTTGTCGTCTCGCAACCGAACTGCCCATTCCAGGAATACTTGGCAAACTCGCCTGATGGGAAATCAGTGCAACCAGTGTTCGGCGATCTGTTCTTGAACGAGCCTGTGCCGCAAGGAGGAAAGCTGCAGGTGTCGGTGCTGGATAAGCCTGGATTTGGATTAGAATTGAATCCCAAAGCGCAGCTGTTGCCAGCGAATAGCATCCTGTTCCCGTCTCCCGGTAAAGAGATCACTGCTACCCTTGAGAAGGAGAAAGAGAATTGAATAGGTCGCCGCTTGTAACAGTATCGATGTATATGACGTAGAGATTCGGAATGCCCAAGGAAAATCTTGTCAGGACTTGGTTGGATTGGCAATCAGACAAATTAGTTGAATTATAGCATCTCCCGAGTTGGTCCGACTTCAGTCCGTACTACGGCGTGCTTCGTTTTGAGGCATTAAGACGAGCGCCGTGAGCGTAAAAAGCGACAGAAGGGACTGAAAACGTCGTCGTCAGTCGCAGCGGCCGTGGAAGTCGCAAAAGGTAGTCGGCAACGATTGCCTGCAAATCCGGCAAGGAGCCACAAACAAACTGACGTTAGAAGGGGAAACTCGGAATCTGAATTCTTGCTACTCCCATATACCTTCAATACCCAGTCGTTCTCGCCAACCACGTCAAATTCATCATTCATATCATCGGAAGAGTGAATAATTCTGGTCCAGGAAGATCCTACGATGGCAATTCACCCAGTTCCTGGACCGGCGTATGCTATCTTAGCAGCGGCCAATGGTAGCAATCCTCAACTGGCTTCCTACAGCATCGCTCAAGCCGTTTCGTCACTTTCATCAACGGCGAATAACCTCCAGGTGTCGTCGCTACCAGTGTCGAACGGTTTCCGGGCGAACACGGTCCACAACACTGCATTCAAGGCTCCGGCTCACAAACATGCACATCACCTCCATTCTATACCGCCTCGGGAAAAGAGTACAAGGACGCTCATTATTGATCATATGCTATGGGTTCACGGTGCGCTAATATGCCAAATGTTCGACGAATTTTATTCATATTCTATGTAGGACGAACACGGTTTGCTCAGGCCCGAGCAGAACTAGGCATGACGGATCGCACCGGCGGACCTCGATCCCAAAATTATATCCATCGTCGACGCCCAGAAAACTTTGAAGAGGAAGAGGTGGTGGGCAGCGATGGCGAAGATGTCGTTATGCTCAAGACTAGAGCTGCTGGTCGTCACCATGATCCTCTCAGCGATGCCGAAGAAGAACGGCTGCGCAACCAGGATCTGTCTCTTGCTCGAAGCCTTCGCCTACGGGCAGAGGACCTCGAGAAGATCGTTCTGTCCATGCTTGAGCAGCCGCCTCCGGTTTTGCCCATACCAGACGAAGACATCCTCACACCGCCAACATCACCGCAAATCCATCCATCCAACCAGCGTACAGGCTCCCATCCTCATACCTTGCCCAATGGCGTCCGTCTTCGTCTAGCCCTTGGTGTCATGATCAATGACCTCTTTGCCAGACATGCTCCGCCACCGCCCTTCCGTCATCAACGTTCCCAGCAACCAAACTCGCCAGCTGTGAGTCATACACCTTCCGATATCTCATCGGTCGACCCTACCTACCTTCCTACACCGTCACATTTGCCACCTGCCCTGACTGCCGTATCTTCTGTTTCTGCGTACTCGCCACTCGTTCCAGGGTACAACCAGCACAACTATCCTGTAAGTCATCCGAATTATGTCCTTATATGCGCTCGCTCACCTGCATTTATCTAGCCCAAGACCCCCATAAAACCAGCAGGCCGTGTCCACGCTTTATATCTGGAAGGCGCAGATCCCAGTACAGCCAATTCGCCGCCGGCATTCCGGTGTCCTAGACATCTCCATACAGGTTGCGAAATATGTGTTGGAGCCAAATCCTCTGTGCGAGTTGCCAGTGGACGTGGTCGCTCAAATTCCACTGCTGCGCCCGGTGTAGGTGACCGGCCGACAAGGATGGGTCTCGCGCCTACGTGGAAAGGCACAACAGCCGGTATGAGCCCTGACGGAGGTGGAATAACAGGATGGAAAGACGGCAGCGGTATCGGGTCTGGGCTCGCGAGAACAGCAGCAGGGGGAAGCGTTTTGAGGCGTAACAACCAGGCAGACGAAGTCATGGGGTTAGGAATCGGTACAGGTTCAGGGAACACCAAATTGTCTGCTTTGATTCCCAGGTTCTTGAGGCTGTCCGCTTTAGCAGCAGTAGAGTTGGGACGGGAGAAGAGAGAAGAGGCTGGCTTCGAATCGCCACGATCAAAGGATGGAGATGGGGGTGGTTACATATCCGCAGGGGAACGTAGCCATGAAAATGGGAGGATGTATGGAGAATTATCTCCTTTACCATCACCTGCTCATACGTCGACTGTTCGGGCTATTGCTGAGGCCCAAAATCGGTTATATGGCGTAGCTCTTCGCCCGTCGAGACAATGGTACATGCTTCTCGCTGGCTTACTGACTAGGGCGGTGTTAGAGGGGTACTTGACGGATGGTTGGAGAGGTTCTCATGCCGTGGAGTGTTTGTTGACTGTCGGGCTTGGTATCATTGAGCCTGTGCCTGGCAGAGAGGCAGAGCCTGATCAAGCATGGAAGGAATTTGACCCGGACGAAATGCCGAGCTTGTCCGAGGCGGCGCGGGTGCTCTTTCCTGGACTTCGGCAGGGCGCGCCGTTGAGGAAAGGTGCGGAGGAACAAGAATTTGAGATGGAAATGGATGAACGGCTACGAAGAGTAAGTGATCTTTATTGACAACAATCTACCCTGCACTCACCATCTTCTCCGTAGTTCTATGATATCCCTGCGTCGACCCCAGACTTGTCAACACACATGGAAGATCTTGCATGGCAATATCCTGCGGAACCAGTTGAACGTGCGGCGGTCAGGTTCTGCGAAGCTATTGCCAAATGGCGAGGCAAACCAGAGTTAGAGACTGTGAGTATATATTCCGTCAATCGGAGCATTGATCCACTTATCATGACACGTTAGTACAAGAAGAAATCCTCGGCATCAAGTAACGGCTCGTCTTCGGCTATGACAATCGAGTCGCTTGTGCATTCCAATCCGGTCAGTCCGCCGACGAGTAGGGACCCACTTCGACTCCCGCCGAGATTCCGCACAAACGCACCGGCTAATGACCGGCAGCCAAATATTGAGACGTACTTTATCCCGACGCAGTACTCGACGAGCGGAGACAACAACGCGTGGGGGTGGAATAAGCGGCCACGGTCACCTGAGGATGATCGCACTCGCATGTCCAAGAGAGTTCACGTATGAGCTCGACAAACTTGGGCGTGATGTATCATTATTGCTGTTCGTACGCTAGGTGTTATTATTTGTAGCTTTTGGGATCAGTTCGCTGTTTATCGTTTTTTTGTTGTGCAGTCGTCGTGGACTTTAGTATACGTCAAGTCGTCCAACACTTGTATTTCTAGGCATTATAATTGAATATCTCCAGCTCAATATACGTTCTATCAAGATGACTAGTAGAAACTTGGTAATAGGGAAGGAAAATTCTATCCATCATACGGCTCTAACGACAAGAGATCTGACCAGGGCACGTCGCTTCTAGCCGACCCGAAGCCGTTTGCGTGAGAAACTACTTTGCCTTCTTCCAGTATCTCAATACAATTGCCTTCCGAGAACGATACCAGATCCGACCATGAGACCTCCCCAGTCGATTGAAGAGCCAGCGCTGCTAAGACGTTGTCGAGAGACTTGTACGTAGGGAATCCTGTGACGAAGGTGCTAACGGAAGAAACCATGGCAGAATCTTGATTAGTGTAGGCGAGCTCTGAGGTGTCTGAGGTTTTGGCGAATTCCAAACCCTGAGTAGATTCGCTTTGGGATGGTGGTACTGGTGTCGAAGGCACAGAGCTGGAACACATGCTGAATGAATCTTCTGTCTCCTCCAGAATAGCGTCCTCGTCGATGACAACAGACTTGATAGTATCCCAAGCAGACCGCCTATCAAAGATAGCTCTTACGTCTTCTTCTTCTGCGCATTCTTCGATCGCCCGGCGAACTCGCGCCACTACGTTCGTATCATCACCATCGTCGTAGTCGGAAAACCTTTTGTAATCTCCAGTCGTGGCGGGCTTCTTGAACCAAACCGTAGAGCTTCGTTTCCTTTGATGTATACGGGGTTCCGGAGGAGAGAAATAGGATAAAGAATAGCTCCTGCGTCGTAGCGCGTCGCTACTTTTGGTGCTATCTAGAGTGTCACGATGTTTGACGAAATGAGAAATGTGTGGTTCGCATTCGGTGGTGCTGGATGGGCGCGAGACATTGGTGCTAACTTTGGAGTTGGCGCAGGATATGTCCATGACGGACTGGCAACGGTCTTGTTGCGAATCTGCACAAAATAAGAGCTCGCCCTAGCAAAAAAATTTAAAATAAGCGAACATGTAGTCGGCTGGAGATCTTGGAGTCCCCGTTCGAGGTCGTTGAGGCTCATGCCAGAGTCATAGAGAAACGGTGTGTCGTTTGAGCGAGTTAGACGTGACGGTCGTGTTACAGTAGATATGTAGAAGAACAGACGTTGGATGTAGGCATAGAGGTGGAGAATAGCAGAAGTAATGAGCTGTATTGGAGACTGCATAGATGATGGTGGTAAAGGACAAGAAGCAATTCTGGTTAACAACCGCCGGTAAGATAATACCACGTTATACGATCGGCGATCATCGTGAGGTCGCTATTCGAAAATTTCCAGGCTTTCCATTTCCCGTTCAACACCGTTCCGGGTCTATCAGTGCCTGCGCCTGGGTAGAACGCGCCTTGAACACACATTTGAAAGGCAAGGGGAAGCTGAAACCATCGTGTTACTTTCTACTATACAGCATTGAAAAATATCGGGTATACCTCAAAGATTCACCAGTGAACGTGTCGCTAGGTTCAATGACGTGCCCATCAGAGTCCACGGCCTTTGAAAGGGACAGTGTGGATGCAATAGACGCGATGGCAATCCAGGCGGTATTCGAAGCTAGATGTCGTCCAGGACATATGCTGTGAATGTTGTTACCAAGCAAGCTTCGAACTCGAACAATGACACGAACCGTCTTCCAAAACCAAACGCAATCGTCGAGTCGGGGGGCAATTGTTGGCCGTCCTTTTTCATGAAACGGTCAGGGTTAAACACCAAAGGGTTCGGATACTCTTTCTCGTCATGGAGGATCGCCCTACAACAACGTCGTGACATTATAAACGACCATCCCATGCACGAACTGACCAAGTATTTCCAATGACCGTCGCGCCTAAGAACTAATTCAGAGAAACTCAAGACTTTCCAAGCAGAACACACCGCCAGGAATGAAATAGCCCTTGTATATGTCGTCTTTCATGCTACGGTGGGCAACACCTAAATGAATGGTGAGCTCTGAAAACCATAGCCATCAACGTGAAGAACCATCACCCATGGGTACAACAGGATTCCATCTTAGCGCCTCTGTTAGAATAGCGTCGATATATGGCAGTCGTGGGCGATCATCAAAGTTTGGCAATCGGCACTGGCCCACCACATCATCCAGCTCTGCTTGGGCTTTGGCCAGGACCTCTGGATAAAGCACGAATGCAAGGATTGCAGAAAGAACTGTTGAAACCGTCTGTGCGACCAGCTGTATTAAGCTGATCAAACCAATTGATAACTAACAAATCTTACAGTGTCGGCACCCGCTGATCATCACGAAATAAGCTAAGTTTTCCCTTAAAACCCAAAGAACGTACCACCAAAAGCCACCCCAGACGCATTCTTGAGGACTTCCAGGTACGTCTCTGATTCGGAGGCTCCGTTTTGTTTCATGTTCTTGAGATTTTCAGAGACAAATGATGGCGACGCAGTACCCTTGGCCTTTGACGAAACGAGGAGCAATGAGCCTTATGGTTCAGTTTCGACCAGCTTTAATGAATACTTACGACTGATTCCGCCGTATATCTAAAAGGCTCCTCTCTCATGTCTTCAACGTTCTTCCTCCATCTTCGCGCAAGCTTCTTGAATTTGGCGCCAGGAAACCAATCTTCGGTAGGCAGTATTAAGAAACGAGCCACGTTTCAGCAGAAAGACATGCCCTACCAGGTATATTTTTAAGTATGGGAAGGAGGTCGACGAGAAATACCCCGTAAGTCAAACTGAGGCGAATGCTGGTCATAGCCTGATCTACCAGATTCACGAAAGGATCATCATCTGGTTCGACATCGTAGCCATAAACGGTTTTCATGATAATTGAGCCCGCGTGACTAGGGATGAATAAGATTTTCGTTAACAAAGATGCCGAATTCGACCTACTGACGAACATGCTGGAAGAAATTGTCGGAAGACTGTAGCAATTGTCGTAGCAAGACCGACGTAGCCTTCAATTGTACTGGATAATAAGATGGAAGAGCACGAGGCTGAAAATATTGATGGAACACCCTCCGATGCAATCTAAGGAGGAAATTACTATCAAGCCCCAGTGCGAAGAAGAGCACTTACCTCCACCAGTCCGAATATCGCATAAAAGCGAAGCTGAAATTCCATCCCGCCAGGAACAGCATATGCATATCTGAAAGATGAAAAATTAGAATCTAGGGTAAATCTTAAGTATAATCCATTCAGACCAGGTCTATCCGAGTAGTTTCCAGAGCGCTTTTCCAGGAGTTCCGTGGTTGCTTGTGCTGAGTTGAGGACAATAGTTGGACTGCCAGGAGTATCCAGATATATGACGTCGCCATAGGAAGCCGACCATTTAGCATAAGTGAGCCACGGATACTCAGCGGGAATATCCCAAAGATTTCCTATGAGGGGAAGGCCCTTCGGTCCCGGAGGCAAAGGCAGAGAACCTCGATTGTGGTGGGGGCGGAAGCGACGGTGGAGCAAGATCACTACAAACGCGAGAAATACGAGCAAGGAAATCGTATACATGTGGATGAGGACACGTAGTAGCCGATAAGGGAAAAGAATTATGTCTCCCTTCTTATAGCAACACGGATGGGACGTAGTAGCCAGGAACGTGGGGTGGCGAACTCCTGGAGATACTCAGGAAGCTCAAGTGCATCCGACATGGTGAGATCTCCGTCGATATATGCACGGGACTGTCCAAACGCAGAAAGATCCAATTGGTGGGTCTTGGGAGTGGCTGGGGTTCGAAGGTGGCCTATCAATTGTGAGGTATTAGAACAATCCTTCAGCATGTCTTGGAAATTTGACGAACCAGCAGATATTTCCATTAGTGTGAATGATCTGAAAGCACGGAAGACTTGGCGGGTCACTATTTCCATTTCTGAAGTGTAGGACATGACTGCATCAAAGATCACCCAATCGACCAGAAGGGTTGAAAAGTTCTGATACCCTTGAGCTCTTCGGACAAGTGTTCTCGCGACGAAAGATGACAAGGAAGGGCGTTTAAACAGTTGGAACTATACCAGGAAGGTAACTAGTTGCGTATGTTCCTGTCAATATTCACAGTGAACACAATCGGATGGACACTTACGGAGACCCAAAAAATTCAGTGAAGCTCCGCATGGTATACCCAGTTCCAAATGGCGCTAACGGATTCATCAGGACATCGGACAGAAGAGTACTTTCGACGTGAGACAGCCGAGGCGTAATATCCGAGGGACTGTTCCTCGCAACACGCGTCCAGTTCGCCCTGAGCAAGGGCTTGTACTTGTAGTGGTGGAACTTTCGGAGCTCCGCAACAGTGGGTCTAACAAGTAGCAATCGTCTGATTGTACAGATAAATATAGAACAAACTTACCGGTGGGCGTACATTCTTTCAAGTGGGACATTAAGAAGGGAATTACTGACAATTGTACTTAGTAGAATCGTTGGTGCGATTCATCTGTGACGACTTACCAGAATTCTTTCCAATAGTAGAGTCGAGTGTAGCTAGTAGATCCATCCACCTTACTGGGTGCATCGATAGATCCTGCGGCGTATCACATTGAACTCCCGGGAGCTTTGTGGTACTTTTTGTATACCCTTCTCTATATGCCGCTAGAAGAAAGGCGACATCGGCAGAGAGATGAAGAACTCGTCCCTGTGACGGAGATGGGATTGCTTCAGTGATTAGACACACTTACGGCGAAGATTAGAACGGTATGACCAGCACCGGCCCATATAAAGGGACCCACAGGTCCGTCTGGTCACTGCTCCTAGTTCAACATGGTTTGCCCAAGGCTGTTATCGAGCCAACTGAGCGATATCGAGTTCCTGAAAAAGCTGGTACGAGTTTGAAAGGCTATTTTCACGTTCGCCAAGTGGGCACATTCTATTCTCAACAATCCCAAGCTTCCCGTATATATATGTACAAGTTCTGAGCTTTTGGTCGTGGGCTCGGCTTGGGCGTAGATTAGCGGGTAGTGAGGATAGGATATTGTAGTGCAGTTATTGATGTCCCTGCGTCTAGTGTGCCTCAGGTACCAGATGAATGAAGCCAGGTAGGTTGGGGCATACACGTAGAGATGAGATGCGGCGCCAGTGCAACATCCCGCATGCCGATTTGGGAGCCTAAGAAGAGCCAAGAAGCTGAGAGTGCTGAGATGCCTTAAACTATTTCCTGAAAAGCTGAGCACAGTAAACAGACTCTGTAGTCCATTAAACGTAAGTTACAGATGCTTGAATTGATTTATTTGTTCGCCTTGGCCGAGCTAAGAACCCCGGGACGTCCGAATACAACGTCGGCGATATCATCGTAGCATTTGTTCCGCTGGGTGTAGTGAGAGGACAAATCCCTGTACTTGTACAAGTTAAAGAAGTAGAAAGAAGTAGCGCAACGTAGTGCGGTGATCAACTTCGGCAAATTATTTGCGGTTCCGAATCCAGGGCATGAAGATTCTGTACGATACACATCCCTTTCTCATGGTACTCGATGATAAGTGTTAGCAACCATTGTGGGGTAGAAAAATTGAATGTTTCCCAAGCGCCAAATCTGGTCCGTATACGTACATGCATAAAATCAAGACAAGAAATATTAGATGCAAAACACGGAAAACGAGGTAAGAGAGTAGGATGATATAAAGCGACCACAGAAATAACGTATTAAAGGACAGAGGGCTAACTCTACCACCTTCATCCAGATGAACTATCAGCACCAGCACGAATAGGTCTGAAAAAGATATGATAGGTATATGGAAACCTTTTATATGCAACGATGGGAGGTGATGATTGTGTGTATGAGCGTGAAAAATGCAATCTGGGGGATGTTTGGGTATGGTAAATGATGAGAAAACAAGACAGGGTGATGTAATGGAGCTTGGTCCAGTATCCTCCTACTGAATGCGACGGCGTTACTGTCCTAGTCCAACTCCGGCCTATCCTATGCTGGGAATAAATCGTCTATAGTCGTATCATTCATCTCCCGCAACATAACAACTCGTCCACTACCGGCCAGCATACGGATCAAAGGCGGCTTGAGGCCCTGGAGACGTCCTCCCATACATCGGTGCGGGAGATTTGGTACGCAACGCTGCTGATGGACCTGGACTAGCACGACCTGCAGGCGTAGGAGATGCTCGACCAGTATCACCATAGGCCAACCCAGGCCCTGGACTCATCCTGCCAGCACCAGTCATCTGCGTCATGGGAATGGCCTCGCCTTGTGACCATTCAGCGCCAGAGGGTGCATCATTGAATGTATTTGGCACGGGCCCACGATATGGGTCATAGTATGCATTGCTGGCATTTGGATCATCACGGTATGGGATGGGCTGGTTGGGATTCAAGTGAGGGAGAGGAGGCACGGCATAGGGATCATGAGCCAGGTCTGGTGTAGAGAAGTTGTTGGTTGAGGTGGAAGGGGCACGAGACAAGGAAACCTCAGACCCAGTGTCGAAGCCAGCTCGACCAGTGCTGTGAACAGGGAGAGGGTGGACATCGCCACCGTCGGAACCGTGAGCATTAAGCTCTGGCCATTTGATAGCTTCGCCTGAACAGACTGTGAATTTAACGAATGGATGGAAGAAATGGTAGGCTTACCATCGTCAAAGTCGGAGAATCGTTTTCTCGTCAACTTCCATACAATGAAACCAATGATGCCCAAGAGCGCAACCCCACCAGCGACAGACAGACCAATAATTGTGCCAGTGCTAACCCCAGAGCTGCCACTAGAACTAGAGCTGCTCGTGCTGCTGCTGGACGCACTACTGGATGTGGCCGACCCAGTCTCACTACTTCTTGTGTTCGTGTTAGTAATTGTTACTGTGACTGGTTGACCAGCATCGTTGGTGGAAACAGACTCGGTTGTCTGTATCTGGGGAGTCTGAGAAGTCTGGGCGTTGTTTTGAGAGGTGGTTTGCTGGTTGTTCGTAGTGGTCTGGGTGTTATTGTTATCGGTGGGGCTGGTATTTCCCGATGTGGTGGTCGCTGTCTGCTGTTGGTTGGTTGTCGACGTGGTGGTCTGCTGCTGCTGGGTCGTTGTTGTCTGTTCCTGCGTCGTCGTGGTCTGTTGGGCAGTGGTAGTAGCAGCGGTAGTTGTTTGCTGCTCTTGGGTCGTCGTGGTCTGCTGTCCTCCCGTCGTTGTTGTACCAGTTGCCGCTGTTGTCGCTGCTTCTGTGCCCTGACCACTACTGGCTGCCTGGCGAGGCAAATGTGGTCGCTCCCAAGCGCTAGAGGCCTGGGCCAGCGCAATGGCCAGGAGACACGAGAGAAGAAGCGAACGGGACGGCTTCATTGGGAATTAGGATAGGCGAATATACTTGGCGTCTAGTATAGGGTAAAACAAGAAAATTTGGAGGGGGAAAAAGGAATACAGTGGCGCTGGACGAGGTCGCTGGTGAGAACGTTGAAGATAGCGAAACGACAATGTCACAAATGTCACACACGTAGTTGACACGCTGCATAGCCTTCGCGCAGCAACAGCGATCTTCTGCACTGCAACGGATGATACAGAAGCCTAACATATCATCGCTTTCTATACTACGCATGACGCTTATCCGTCATCGACATGGAGTTCGACTGCGTACAATAACTGGCTATTTTTCCGAATAAAGTTCTCGAGTCTATGGAATATTGCTTGCAGATGTACAGCCAGTGCTTAACATCCGAGTCGGAGTCTCAGTTGGCTGCTCCGGGTTGCGTTTGACTGTCTACACAACCATCATAACTCATCTATCGGACGCCCCTTTTGCCGACACGCTTGCTATGCATCTCAGTATTCTTCGAATTTTCTTGCGCATGGGACTTTTTGTAAACTTTTCTTTCTGGACAAGCACTGAGCACTTGAGCTCCGGCGAGGAAACCCGAACATCGCAACCGTCAGCTTTTTGAAGGGTCAGCGGGACTGCTACTGCTACTTCCTGATCTCTAATGCAGGGTCTCTGGCATCAAATGATTAAACATTGGACCTTGCAGTTCTGGTCTTCCAGTTCACCAAAGTATCCGCCTTCCCTCTGGAGCCAACTTGGCGGAAAGTAAACAATTATGAATACATTTCTAGCCTTATCCACGCAAACCAGAAATCTATCTTCATAAGGTGGAAAGGATTTCGAGGTGCGTTGCCCTCCTTGTGATTGATGTCAGGTGCCGAGTCTAAGCCGTATGTCATTTCAGCAGGTTTTGGGCAGAGTATCCCCGCTGAAGTGTGCATTGTAGGTAGTACCTCCGTCGCGTTTGTGTATGCCTCTCGCGTTATAAATATTCCCTCTTGCAGAATCCTACAAGACTTTACGATTAGCGCACCCAAGTTGTCCTTGTCACCAGGGCCTCAGGCTGTTTCACGACATGCAATGCCTCTCTTGTGTTCCTGTGCAGTGGATCGGTCCAGCGAACGCAATTACAAGTCATCAAATCCATACATTTCATGTGGTAAATTGTCTCACAGATTCTGCTATTTCAAGTTTTACTGATACCGCAACAAGTGTATAGACTCAATCTACAAGAATGCGCATTCAATGTTCTACTGTCGACGCATTAGTAGAAAATTACTACTACGATGCTTCAATTTCAACTACCATCTACCCACAAAGGTGAGCAGGTTCCGTGGGTCGCAAGTACCAAGGAGCGCCTTTTGGTGAAATTCAAGTTAGAAACGAAATGTTGGTTTTCTTTGAGGTCGAATCCACTGCTAATAAACAAACATACAAGCACCCACTTGGCATCCAGGATAGAGAATAAATAGACGTATGTGCGGTGGCACGTGCTGACGGTCCATGTTGACTTGTGGGTCCATGCTGACCTGTCATTTCTTTCTTTCGATGGAAAAACATTCATATGATGTCGAAGTTGGATCAGAAATCGCCAATTCGCTGGCAAGGACACTAAAAGATTCCCAGCGACAGTTAAAGCAGTCTGAGGTGGGATACAACCTTGGTTGAATGAACATGTTGTTGACTTGGAAGTCTAGGTAAATGCGAAAGAATTAGAAAAATCCAACAAGATCTTGACGGAGAACATCGAGAAACTCAAGCAGGAGAATAGTAGATTGACTTATGAGCTTGCTGGAGCTCGAGACTCCAAGACTGCCGTAAAGGCTGAACAAGCGGTAAGTAACGCTAAGCATTTCCCCGGAAAGCAGTTACTTAATTCACACAAGAAATCATCCTAAAGCGTGAGGAAGTCGAAAATGATGTTGAAACGGCAGATGTCCAAGGTAATCAGATGGAATAATTGACGACCCAGTACGAAGATATCAAGGAAAAATATCAGAAGGAAAAGACAAAGCGACGTCAGGTTCGCCAGGTACGCGACTTGCTCTGGCAATGGCAGTAGTACTGAAAGTCTACGGTCGTAGCGATGTGATGCGTTGACGGCGCAGTTGGCTGAGACCACTGGTGAGGGAGCAGCATTGAAGAAACGGATTGGCGAGCTCGAGGAAGTATTGGAGAAGCTCAAAAAGGATTTCGAATCAAGAAAGGTGCGCCTCTTTGTTTCACCACTGTCTACTGACTAAGTGGCTTTTAAGGCTATTTCTTTACGTGTAGGCCGCCTATACGTCTACGATGTACATGCGTTTCTTTCACATCTCAAGTTCAGAACAAGCGCAAGATGTTGATGGATGCAATAGGGCAACGCCCCTTTGAAAGACCACAAGTTCAAGTAGGTCCAGTCGCGAAACACAGCTTCAATATCGCCACCTTCCGCAAGTTTTTAAGCTCTGTGTGTTGTCCCTTGATTAGGTGTTTACGTCCCACTAACGCTAGATCATCCTTTCCGCACACCAGAAACCCAAACTACAAACGTCAGTTCCGGGATATAGGCCATAGCGTGTGTCAGTAGCTAATTTCAATTAATTAGCGTTGCTTCGGCCGACAGGTCGATCTTTCTTGAGTATTCGGACCCATTCTTGTGGTCTGGGAAGCCCGGTGGACATGCCTTATTATTTGCGCCATGTCATAAACTCCAACTTAACGAAGTTGAGACAAAATGGATTGCACATCCAATGAAAGAGATGTACGGGACCACCAAAGAGTTATTCGCTCTCAATCATAATACCGCTTATTACGAGGGGACATACAGGTGCTTACCTCTGAGCCACGAGATGATTCCCGGAGGCTGCACGGATCTCTCTGGATTGGTATGCGTTTTGCTGAGTTATAAAACCCAAAAATATTCAACACTAAAAACTGGTTTTATCAAGGATCTGGAGGCACTCGCCCGCGCCACGATTTCTGACAATAGAGCATCGTATAAACTGTATCAAGATCACTTCCAGGCAGTTATGGATCTTTGGAAATCCAACATTCTCAAAGCAGAATGCATTGGCCTGCAATATGTTGGCTTCAATGAAGGGCTATATAACGCGCTTGTGCCTATGGGTCGGAAATTGAGCGACGGAGGTTTCGAAAGCACAAGTTCTAGAGTAGACGCCCGGGGGAAACCATATGCTAGACGCAGATCGATAATCGGGCATGACGACGATAGAATGACCGAGTATTCCGGGAACTATGAGCATCGAGCTAAAAGGCGAAGAGAGTGACAGTATGGTTCCGTACATAATGAGGGCGCCTAGCGGCATGGTCGGTCCTTCCCGCTCCTGTCATGATTTCTAGTAGCATATGTATCATATTCCGAGATGAGGTAGAAAAAACGCTACAGAAAATGGAGAAAAACGTCGAGAGAGAAGAGTCATGTACGCGTGGTATAAATAGTCTGAAAGTCGTGATTACGGTACTTATGTACATCGAAGGAATCAAGGAGGCGCGTACATGATGCATACAAAAGCCGGCAATTTGTGTCCTGCAGTACGTATGCACAGATGTAAGTACACCTAGGGCATATAGGTAAATAAGTACACGGTTTCCAAGCACAGAACGGATTGTACATGGACGGTACTCGCCCTTTTCAAAAGCGTGATATCGACAGCAACGATAGGATAGTAATACAATCAAGGAAAGTGATGGGGCCAGGAATTATGAAGGATAATAAGTGCCATCGTCCCACGATTCTGCGTAGGAACGTGAGAACAGGAATTACATACAGCACAAAAAGAACACACCTTCGGTTATACTTCTCCACGCCAAATAGAGAACACCTATGCACGCAGTCTCAAGGAGCGTAGCAATGAAGCTGCCGTCGACCTTGGAATTACTCCCGCTACAAATTACTCTCCCCAACAAAAACCATGCAAGCTGGGAAAGCACGAAAAGGACTGCGGCAAGGACGTAGAACCACATGGGACGTGTCTCGTTGAGGACGGCAAGTACAATGTACGCCATCAAGGCAAAGAAGATGACAGCGCACGCTCCGGGCCATATGGTTGTGAAGATAAATAGAGGTATAGAATGCAAGTCTGCCGCCGGGTCGGAGGGTTTTAGGGCGTTGGAGAATCCGAGGGCGACATCGAGGGATATATAGAGGGTAGCGACAAAAAATGCCAGTGTGAGAATGCTGAAGGGCATGATGGACGCCATAGTGCCGTCCTCGACGACCTGCGTCGCGACGATGGCGTTGGCAAGGAGGGCAGCGAAAAGAGCAGCAACGAGACCTGCATGGATGGCTGTGAGTACGACCAGCGCGGTCGTGCCCTGCTCCAGCAGGGAGCCTTGGGTCAATATTGAGAAGGGTAAAGTGAGAAAATAGAGGAAGAGCAGGAAACGGAGCTCGACCCTGCCGACTGCGGCTTTGCGTCGGTTGGTGAGGAAGATGAGGAGACCGACGAAGACCATGCTGAGCGCGCAGACGACGATTTCTGCAATGTTGCTGATGCTGCCGTCCGTTCCTACCCTCGGAATACCGCACACTGGATTGACCCCGACAGCATCATCGTTGCCCTGGTTCTGTAGGGTATCCGGAGAATTGTCGAGCAGGAAACGATAGAAAAGGTTGCACCATGGGTAAGACGGGGTATGGTGGCACAGAGGCGCAAAGTCGCCAAAGCGGGTCATTGAGGAGGGAGGCGGGCGAGATGAAGGTGATAAGGTGAGAGTCTTTTTCGTTGACCGTCGCGTGGTGACCGGCTTCGGCCCGATCCACCATATGATCCGCCGGCCGCCCACTGCCACATCCTAAGCCTTGCGACCACCTCGTGCAGGAGAAACGTCCTACTTTTGCCGCCTTACTTTCTCTTCCGTCTTTACGTGGTGCTCTTCACTGGATTTCTGTTTGCTCAGCGCTAGGTCCCAACGGCTTACAATGCCGCCTTACCAACATTTGTCCACATGTTCTGTCATTTTTTGGCGTTAGACGTCTCATTACTTTGAACGGATTTTAGCTTTCTTAGCCGTACATACGCCTTTCGGACAAGCAAGTGGACTTTATATATCGTCAGATGACAATTCCATCTATAGTGCATACAATGGCCTTGTATTAGCAGTCAATAGTATTCCAACTTGCTTCTATGTCGGCGTCCAGTAGCCACGGCCATCCGTAGATACTATTCCGCAAAAAAACCGCTTATCAGGGCGCCCGGAGCCTAAAGAAGCCAACAATAACGCCCTTGTCCACACAGCTTCTCGGTTTATTTCTACACATCATGATATCTTTTCCGCAGCCTCCTTGCAAACACGATATGCCCACTTGAGCATCCTGATACTCATAGATTCGTGCACCGTCATGCACTGCTTCAATATGATGTCACAAACTCAAAATTTGTGAGAATAGCTTTTCGCTTTTCGGAAACCCTCTCGTAGGTAGCGAATCATAGAATACGAAATTGACCGTGCCGGACATTAAGTGTAGTACTAGATGCGTAGACTTCGTCTTAGATGAAAGGTGGTAGGGTTGAAAACTCGGAAAGGAACATGACCATTCTATTAAATATATTTATAGGCTGATACTTCGCATGCATTAATGGGGTAGTGGTAACCTGGGTCGTTGCCATCGACCCGCCGGGGGTTCGATTCCCCCTTAATGCAAAGGTTTCTTTTTCTTGTTTTTGTGCGCGACATTCAAGTTCTCACTTTTGATTTCCCATTCTTGTTGCCCGAATGACCGAATTCCTGTCTAATCCACCAACTCAAGTTAGAACTCCAATGTTGGCATTGTGCAAATGACTTGTTTTTGACTTCCAAAATAATCCTCCCTCAGTTTCTATGTATTCGTTCACGAGGATTCCTACTGCACTAGATTTATCAACCAGTTTCAGTTTTCCACTGCCTCGTCTCGGAGACTCGGACATGCCCGAGCTTCAAAGATCTCAGGTCTGGGCCCATCCTTGTAGATCATTTAACCACAGTTTAGTGTCATTTTCTCTGTCGACTCGTATCGCCCGGCTTTTCAGGAATCGGACGAGTCTCTCGTCCGATATCACTATGCCGGATCCACTGGGTTGACATAGGCACCGAGACTCGTTCTGTCGCCCGAGAAGAAAAAAAATTTAGAGCAACCGGTATATCCGGGCACACCATCTTCGAAATTCTCAGATGTGCTTCTGTCAGTGATGAATTGATTAGCCGTCCCCATCAACGTTTGCACCCCTTACCGGGCTCGTCATTCGGGTGTCTGTCTCACCGGAATCAACTGGAGTCAAGCTTGGTTTCGCTCGTACTCGTAGCTTACTAGTCTGTAATGAATATCGGGCGGTGTAAGTCGGATTCGGAGATGTTCCTTCAATATCGGCTGAATGACTTCGCAGGGACGGTCTCAAGCCCTGATTTGCGCTTCGATAATGAGTTAGTATGTTATCTCTGAGCACAGCATCGATTTAGATATGGGGACCCTGGGTATTAACCTCTGTCAGCCTTTCGCGTTACCGTAGGCGTTCGTCGCGTCTTTCCCACTTCATTTGTTCCGAATCACGCGTCCTATAGTTGCGACGTTCTACCTTGTGGTTCAGCTTCATTTCTATGAATCGTCTGTCCGTGGATACCATACTCAATTGACGACGCCTCATTGGGCGCCGGCCCCGCATTCTCAGGAACTGCCTACATCGTAGTTTGAAAGTCACTTGGATACTCACTATCATTGTTCGGATGAAGAGCTAATATCATCGAATCCAAGCAACGCTAATAATAACCAAATCGTTGTAATTGGCGCATGGCGGCGCGTACATTTCATTTAGGAACCGTATGCATGTTTATTCTGCGTGCCTGTCATTTTGACATCTTTTCTGGACTCCGAGTGGAGTCGGGTGCGCTTTTCAATGATACTCTCTAGAATGGTACCTTGGGTTGGCAGAATACAAGCCTGGAGGGTTCCTAATAACTATCTTTTCATTAATGTCGACGTTGCAGATGAAGACCCAGAAGGGCCAGTCATAGGTCATAGTCCAGGTCTTCTGAACATAGTAATAAGTACTGTTATGTTTATTTCGGCTTTTACGGGTTACGGGGAGCTATAAGGTTCAGATCCATGAGCATTGCGCATCTGTATCCTCAAGAATGTCGTAATGATTTCGATATCGACTGGTGATTCGGCACCGTTGAAATCGCGATCGGAAGGAAGATGTCGTATAGTTTTTTTTTTCGTGTTATCCATTCCTCACAACCGCAGGAACATACGCAGAAGAAAATTGTTCGATTTATCCGAGTCCGAGACGGGTATTTGTACGCTTTGTAGTAACCGTTTACATAACTGAATTGGGAAGACGAGACGCAGGGAGGGCGGAGAGGTCTCGGTACGCAGAGGAGCCGCGTCTGTTCCTCCGTAATCATCACGAGGCAGAGGCGTAGGGGCGTAGATCCCTGACGGAATGGGCGAGGAACGTCTGGACATACCGACATATGCATATGGACTCTTTAACGTATAGTTGGGTAATCACATACAAAGGCTCAAGGACACGCCGCAGCCAGATCAGTTTGAGATCAGTGTTTACCTGACACGGTATTTGTGCTCAAAAAAAGGGCTCTTAGGAGATAATCAGAGTCTCCAGTTAGATTGAAACGATGGATGATCCATTGTTCAAAGCGGCATGGACATTGTACGAGGCGAAATGACCCTGATGAAATTGTACGCGAGCTGGTCGAGACCGTGAAACAATCAAATATTGTAGATACAAGGTTTTCAAGGTGATGAGTTAGATTTGGGAATAACGACACGTTGATCTTGTAGTGTGTACGTGGAAGGTGAAGGAAGGCTACTTGGTACTACGCTGAATGTGGGTATATTCGACATGTACTCAAGTAACGAACAGTAGGAAAAAGAGAGATTCGGTTCCTTGACAACAAAACGGCGGACTCGATCATGATCGGGGGAGCGCAACAAACAGGGAAATTGTAGGAGTTGATTCTGGGAGAGGAACGGGTGTCTGATGCTTGGTAGGCAAGGGGTATCCTTGGTATGCGCTACAGCATCAATTCAGCAATAGCGGGCAATAGATATACGATACAAGGGTGACTGAGACAGGAATTTGAGTAGAATATTTCAATCATTAATTACTTGCAATTTATATGAGCGGCAAACGCCCATTCCTTGCGGGGATAAGAAGCCGTGTGAGAGTGATGGATGATGAATGTGATACGTGAGCAAGTACTGGTGATAAGAGTGAAAAAAAAGGACGATGAGCTGGCGAAGGATACGGGTACCTAGAAGAGAGGAAGCCAGGACGGAGAGGAAAGCAATGCAGCCACGTTCTTTCGGGGTGATGGTGAAGCAGAAATAAACCGGAAGGAAGGGGGATGCCGGGATGCCGGGCAAACTCCGACACAGCATAAACACAGCCCGACACAGACACTCCCATCTCTCTCGAACGCTTTGTTATTATAAATTCAATATGGACCCCCGTGTAATGTCTCCCTACTTGACCGGTCTGTCCACCGACGAGCTCGACATCCACGACATCGACTTTATCCCGCCGTCACCACCACCGCCCGCCGACCTCGATTTTAACGCCATCGACTTCAGCGGCGACCTCTTCCCTCATACTCCATCGTATCAAGGGTCTCCGTATTCCCTTCATTCAGAGCTCTCCGACGAACCGCCCACCGAGTACAATCCTGCAGACTTTGACCCTTCTCCTTCAGGCTCTTTGCTCATGATCAACGACTACCCAGCCTATTTCGACGCCCCAACGCCATCCGAGCACTCCCATAGCCAGTCGCCTCACCTTCCCCCGGCCAACCTCGACGTCGCGCAGAGCTTCGAGAACATGAGTTTCCACAGTCCTGGCTGGGGTAACGCGCCGCTACCTGAAAGCGGGAGTAGCGGAAAACCTCCCAGTCCACCGAGGCTGCTCATGCCGGAGGATCAAACATTTGGTGTTCCCCCACCGACGATAAATGCGCCAGATGGCGATGGTTCGGGAGGCGGACCGCATTTGCGGATAGTGCCTGCGACGCCGGTGAGTGGCGGGAATGCCGCACAGACAAACATGGGCGATTACGGTTAGTTCTTTCTCTCCGCGGCTTAATTCTTAGCTAATTCTTATTAGGCCATGCTCAACGCCCAAACCAGTCATATACTCCTCCTCCTCCCCAGCCTTCCCCGTCTCTGCTCCCTCCCCAGTCCCAATCCCAGGCCCCGTCCCAGCAGCCCTATTCTTTCCCCCCCAGACCCCCAGGCTCCCCTCAGCATTTTCTTCATCCTACCCCAGGTCGGTCACGCTCCAAATCCGATTCTTCCCCCGTCCATCCTACGTGGGATACTCTAGGTCTTGGCGGCATGGGTCTCGGTCTTTCAGGCGTCCCGTCCTACGCCAATCCTCCGGACGAGGCGGTAGACACTTCCCAGTTCCTCAACGGTTTCCTGTCTCCGTCAGATGATGGTAACGTTGTGTCACTCAGACGGAGCAAAAGCGACATCGGCAATCAGCCTGTAAGAGGTCATGTAAGGGGCAGCAGGAGTGAAGATATGCATGGCGGAGGTCTTCTAGCCCCCCCTGGCTCAGAATTTGGTCATTATCTCAGCGTCGGGTCTGGTATGAACATGAATATGGGCAGCGGAAGTCTAATGGCTGGCATGGGTATGGGCGGAATGGAATCTCATCGGGGCCGACATGTACGCCGTGCCTCGAGTGGCTCTCGCAGCGAGCGAGGTGCCAGCATCTACGACGGTCCCTCTGCTTCATCAAACCGTGGCAGCCCGTATCCATCTCCCAATGTGTCACCACGGGGACGATACACTGATCTCCAAGATCCGAGTGTCATGGCTAGCGTACCTACGGTGAATGTCGGCGGTCAAACATTCCCCTTGGTGGTCAGTAAGCAGAACGTAACAACTGGTAGGACCGCCAAGGCTAGTCATAACCGGCGGAAACAAGATGCAACGTTTATATGTCCAGTTCCCGGGTGCGGAAGTACATTTACAAGAAGCTTCAATCTCAAGGGTGAGTTATTCATTGTTATCAATGAAACACCCGCTCATCTCAGTTTAGGCCATATACGCTCTCATAACGAAGAAAAACCATTTGTCTGTCCATGGCCCGGATGCGGTAAAGGCTTCGCACGACAACATGATTGCAAGAGGCATGAGCAGCTGCATTCCAACTATCGACCTTTCTCATGCGAGCCCTGTGGAAAGATGTTTGCCAGGATGGATGCTCTCAACCGACATCTAAGGAGCGAAGGAGGAGCAGAGTGTGCTAGAGCCCTAGAAGGTCGGGGACCGGAGGGCGGGACAGGGTCCACACCGCCTGTAGCAAACACCAACGGTGGGGAGACCCTCAAAGTCGAAGCGGACTGGGATGGTGGAGCTGGACTTGCTTTAGCCGTATAGCAGGACAAGGAGTTTTCTGTTTCTTCTCTTTCGCTTTCGTTCTCTTCTACGGATTCTTGATACCTATTTATTGACTTTTTCTGCCTACTTGTGTAGATTACTTACGTGCTGGTCTGGCTTTGCTTTTTGTATTGAATATCTGAACTCGAATCATGAAGATATTACATCTCACAACAGGCTTCGATAGAAGATGCCCTAATGTTCAGGCTGCAACTATGAACTCAAAAATTTGCACAATGCATCCTGTCACTTGTGTTGTAAGTTGTAAATTCAAGAATCAAGATTCAAGTAACAAGTTGAGAAGTAATAAGAACGCAAAAAAAAAATCATGGATGAATGTCAAGAGATGAGAAACTGCATTAAGAGGGAATCGAACCCCCGGCGGGTCGATGGCAACGACCCAGGTTACCACTACCCCATTAATGCATTATAGTTTAGTGGTAATTAATATAGATGTATTTCAGCATACATAATAGTCGTGCCGATACCTTTTTTTTTCTGACAACGGAAGGAAAGTGTATAATTAAGAGTGTACAGGATTTATTTGTAGGTTTAAAGCAAGTGGAACATTGCAATCTACTTGCACATTGAGTGACTGCCAATAATCACCCACAGATCAAACTCGTGAAGTTTTGTAACTCCATCCAATATCGACTCCGATATCGTGTTTTAAAGATGTAAGGAAAAGCCACGGAGTCTTGTTACTGATGAAATTTCCAGGCAGAAGATTGTGTACGCAAAAGGAGAAAGGTTGAATCTATGTCCTCACGAAGACTATTACAACAATCTATCATATCCCCCTACTATAGGTCTCTAGGTAAACCCCGCGGTTCGATGCAACTGAGGCGACGCTGATAGGAACTCGCTTCTAGATAAATTACTTGGTGATCATGGCTCCGGTGAGTAACCCTTCAACATAACATAAACATCAAATCACGCAATTTACGATCGAGCTTCACGACTTATATCTTTGATCCAGGAAAGAAGTACCGATCGAGATTACGCCGTCAGAATGTAAAGCGTAGAAAACAGTTTTGAACAAGGAAAACACTACAATAAAATAAACGTTACAAATCAATTTGTCTGGGCTCCAACAGCCTAACATATTCCAGTCAGCATAGGAAAGCAGCGGGTGATCATCACAAAACTTACAAGACGTTTCAAATGCTCCATGAATACCTGCAAACTGACATCGTCCGTGAAGATCGCTTGACCAGCACCTGCTCCTGAAGCTTGTCCGTACATAGATTGCGACATGTGTGTCGTAGAAGGGTTAAGCTTGGATAACAAGAACCGTGCTTGACTGCCTCCTTGGTCGCAGACGATGTAACGCGGTATAGGGAAACGATCAACCAGGAGTTCCTTTGAAAGAACAGTTCGTTACGCTTTAGTCAATCAAGAACGAGTATCACAAACCTGGGCATCCTGAACCGGTTGTTCTAGTAACTCCCTGAAATTCTCGTAACCCTCTTGATCTTGATATCCCTGTTTTCGCCATTGTGCAACAAGCTCCCCGTGGAATATGAGGATATGGAAGAAGGTGTCTAGTAGAAGGACAACGTCGTGCTTGATCGACACGCTGTCCAGAAGAACGGGTTGCGGCGGTGTGTCGAAGGTGTAAGACATCAAGGTAGGCTGTATCATGATGAGAGAATTATTGACGTCCTCTTCGTTTAGAATATGTCTGCCAAGGGATGTCAGCAAAACATATGCATCAGATGGTAAGCATACCTGTAAAACGCTGATTCGTCAGGACTGTTGTTGAACACCTGCAGGAACTGACTTCTCCGCAGATGGAACATGAACTGGGGGTAGATGCTGAAGTTGTCAGTCAAGCGGAAGCTTGTTGGGTCCTCCTTCCTGTAATCTGCGAATTTTTGGCAGAGACGGATAAGCATTCGATCAAGCCAGCGCAAAACATCGGGTGAATCGTCTATCTCGGCTTTGAAGACGGCGATCCTTGCCATGAGAACAGCGGCGGCTTCTTGATCGAAAGCTGCTGCTATGCTTGGGGATCCGGCTTCAGCAAAGTTGCGTGCAATAGTGGTAACACGCAATCTCTGGGTGCCGGATGCATGTTGGTAGTGAGTAACAAACTGGATCAAGCCCCTGGATCCAGGCTGCAATGGTTGGCCGGCGGGAGTGACGACTTCAAAGTAGACCGCAGTCGACGTATGGGGGTTGAGGGTGTTGATCCTCCACGCTGAAGTTTGGCCAATGCCTATCTCAGTCTCTCCGACGCAAGCGGACTTCTTCCCAGCAGAGATTGCATGACCAATAAGTCCAGAAACTTTCAGTTCTTTCGTCGTCTATGATGAATGAGATCAATGACTTGTTTGAAAATGAACATTATTATTTCACACCTGAACGTCGAAAGTCGCGTTGAAGCCCATCTGAAGATTGCCCTGATCATCCTTGTTGAAGATACGCAGGAAACTTTGCTTGAATATGGAGGTTGCGAAGCCATCTGATAGAACGATAACACCATTGGTTGAATTGGGTAGGGATTTCATCTCCAGAAGTCCGACTTGGTCGAGACAACCCGCAAAGAGGTCAACGGCATGACCGTTGTTGGATACGCGTTTGGCAAGGCCTTCGTAGAACTACACAGCGAATGAGAATCGGTTTGCATTAGACGAATTAGTGCTTACTTTGGTGGCCCTCTTGAAGTGCTTCACGCTATCACGGTCAATGTCATGATGCGATCGAATAGGCTCTTTCAGCTCATTGCTGACCACCATGCCAGGTCCTTCCGTGCATGGTCCACCGGCGAACAGCATGATACGGGCACCCGTGTTAGGGTATGTGGTCTGAGCACAATATCAAGTCTCATTCAATATTGAAACTATAGATAGGAACATACCTCCAACAGACCGACAGCGACACTCAGAGCAACACCGGTACACCTCAATGCACGTTTATCATTTGCAACGGGCCAAGGGTCGCGTGTCAAGGACTCCAATATACCGGTCAGCTGGAACTCGCACTCCTCTACGGGAAGTAAGAATCGTGAAGCTCCAAAAGATTGCGGGGGCATGGGCTGTCCAGGACGAGGAGCGGCGCGGTTCTGCGAGCTAAGACCGAGCATATCCTGGATTTGCTTAGGCTGGTATTCTTTGCCTCCCCGGAAGACGAAGGATTTGCTGCATTCGGAGTAACCGATCTCGTGGACTTGCGTCTAGGAGACATCATTATAAGGAACGCAAACAAGTTAAGACTATGACATAACGTACCATGGTACCATATGTTATCAGACCGACAAGCGCGTAGGGCGGGATCAAGCTAAGACTGACGACGAGGGCATCACGGAGGGCCTTAAGGTCTTCCTCATCAAGGCAGGTATCGACGACGAAAAGGAAAATGGGGCGCTGGGTCATCCTGGCGAGGGTGTACTCTATGGTAGTGTATTTTGGTAGGAGTTCAGGGGGGAGGTTGGTATTGGAGATATCTTTGTAGTGAGGAGGAAAAGCATTGCGCGATAGACAAAAGGGACAGATCCAGAGTTTTCCTCGAATATCTATTGAGCTACAGACATGATATTAAGGAAAGGGTGAGAATGTCAACGACAAGCCACGTACCAATATGGGTTGAGAATAGCTCGACAGGGAGCTTTACAGGCGACAGGCTCGTAGACCACAGGCGGCAAATCTTCGCGAATTTTGAGGGGTGTATAGAGCGCAGAGATGGGAACGACCGTTCGTGTAGCCTCTATACGCGACGATGGCCACACATTCCACGACAGTCGCACACCTATACCTGTATCAGCAACTCGAATTTGAGATTTGACGACAAGCGAACCATCGCGCTCCTCTATGTCTTCGACGTTGAGCATTTTATTGAGACTCGCCCGGATTAAAAATGAGGTTTCGCAGGCACGGGGACGAAAAAATGAGAAGAAAGATGTTCAGGATGAAGCGCTGTTGCAAGAGACACGTAGAAGCAAATATTGACCAAACAAACAGGCGGGTGGCTGTGCTACCAAGCGGAGCAGAAGGGAGATAAGATGCATGTATCAAAATTCTATGTGCTACTACAGAAGCAAGCTGCTATTTTCGTTCAACGTCTACACTATCTAACTCGTCACCTTTCGAGATCTCTTCCCAGTTTAGTCGCTGTCGGAGCCACAGCGCAAGGTAACTAAGTGACAGAAGCACTGGAACTTCAACCAGTGGTCCCAATCTAAGAAGACAGGAATCAGCGTCGATCCTGTTCATAAATGCAAGGGCTTACGTGGCAGCGAGCACTTCGGGCGACTCGGGTCCAAACGAGGCAATCCCGACAGCGATAGCAAGCTCAAACTGGTAAAAAGATTACTGTCTGGTCAACTACGCAATAACTGGCTTACATTATTGGAGCCAGCGGTGAAAGATTGGGTTACCGCTTTTTCATAGCCCCCAAAAGCCGAGCGGCGGCGAGACAGAGCCCAGAAGGCAAAGAACGTCGCTGTCCATACGATGGAAAAGTAAAGAATCAACCTGTGCATGACATTAGATCAATAAACAACGAGGAGCAGTGCAAAAGACTTACGGGACACAAATCCGGAAAACTGTGCCTATGTTGTCCACAATTCTTTTCCCTTGATTTGCGAAGAGCACAATGATGGTGTACAATAGCCCGAGAGGAGCTAAGAGGCCGAAATACTTGAAGAATTTGCTTATCCCCGAAGGCTTCAGCGTTGACAGGACGATAATTCGAGTTATCAACCCCGCAGCTAGAGGTATACCAAGATACTTGAAAAGGATATATGTTATTTTAAGCGCAATGTAATAGGTCGAGAAACTCTCACAATACCAACGGCACGGGAGGCACCTGAGTAATCTAGATTGAGTGAATGATCACTGGATCTCCCGCCCAAGTAGTTGAGGAATAGGACTGCATAGGGAGAGAAAAGTACGACCTGCTACCAGTCAGATAATATCCGCTGCCATGAGCTTGGTGGGACTGACCTGTAGGAGCGAGTTAAAAACAACTAGGATGGCACAATAGTTGTTGTCCCCGCAGCTGATGGTGTTCCAGATTAAAACCATAGCTAGAAGACGAGATATGGGTCAAGATATACGCTCTCCGTGTGAAAATGACAAACCAATGCAACGAGCTGGGAGAACATTGGTGAAAAAGAGCCGGTCGATTGGTGAGTTTGCTTACCGACACCAACCAATAGTACCCCCTTGCGCTCCCGCTCCATGCTCTGCTCAGGAAGAGTCATCCACGCCACGGCGAGCATGATGAAGGGGGCGATGATCCAATTCAGAACAAAAGATATGGCAAGATGAAGCCAAATATTTCCTAGGAACAGATGTTTAAAAGATCTTGTCAGGAAAAAAAATTTGACCGCACGTTTTCGGAATAAATCTGGAAGCCGCTCCCATTGGACTTTGGCAAGAGCAGGCCAGATCATGATGAGTAGTCCAATGAGAATAGCTAGATGAAGGACCTATCTTAGCATGCGACCAAGAGGATTATATAAAAACAGACGTACGAATAGAAACGCCATCCCACGTAGCTCCTTGCTTGAATGTTTTCTTTACGCCTTCTTCCTGTGGAACAATAAGAGTTGATTCCCATACGTGGAGGAAGCGAGTAGATGTACTGCATAAACACCGATTATGACTCCAAGAATGATGGCGAGGAGAACGAGCGGTGCCAAGAGCCTGTCTATCCAGCTCAAAGACTTCCAAAGGTCTACCGTTACTGTAATGAGTCAAACTGTCGAGTATATGAGGAAAAGTGACATACGAGAAAAGCTGTAAGTTTCCTTCCCGTCGCCAACAGCTTGGTTCGACGGGCAGGATGTAATATTGTCTTGATGGGAAGTATTTGAGTCCATCTTATGATGCAGATTGCCTCGGAACGTCTTCGAAATTTATAGGGCGTGATAGTCATTCTGAGAGGTCAGTCAAGTCTTTTGATTGGTCCGATCGTTAATCAGTGAGAGCCAAGTGAGACGTCGGATCCTCGTCAGCAGCACCGCCACCCATCACAGGGTTCTCCCAACACCATGACCGGTGATGCGACCTCATCTCGAGCTGCACGAGTCAGGGAGAACCAAAGAAGATCACGACAGCGCAAGCGCGACTATGTTGCCTCACTTGAAAGGCGGTTGGAAATATTTGAAAAAGAAGGAGTCAAGGTAAGTAAAGAATCTTTTTGTTCTTTTTTGTTTGATTGAATTTCTCTTTACAGGCAAATGTCGGACTTCAGAAGGTGGCAAGGGCCGTCTCAGCAGAGAATCGAATGTTGCGAAAGCTATTGAATGAACGGAGCGGCTTGTCTGAGGCCGACATTCAGCAGTATCTCCGCGAAGGCTCGGTGAGCAATACTGAGGCTTCACCATCTCCGCCTGCTTGCTCTCCATGCAGCTGCGTCTGTACACCTTCTACGAATTCCAAGCGCTCGGAGTGGTCCGCAGCGGCGGCAGCGTCAAATGCTTCCACTTCTGTAACAGACATTGTGCCATCGTCTGTGAACCTTCGTTCTCCATCTGATCCCTTCAATTTGTCGCTCAACCTTCTGAACGATATTGTTGGTCTTGAGTCTGATCCAAGTCCTTCGAATGCATTTAACTTCACTCTTCCTGCAACATCAATGTCACCGTCTCGACCTATTCCTTGCAGATTTGCCCAGATGGTCGACGATCCGGACGGCGTCCTGAACTTCCTTTTCGACTCTTCCTCATTCGCAGCGCCCGTGTCATCTTTTACTGATTGTGACGTTGCATATCGTCTAATTAGGACACTGAACCAGCGGCGCAAGATGAAGATGGACATGGTTGATATTGTTCTCCGTTGGCTTTGGTCGGGATTTAGGGCTGCGACAAGTGGTCCTTCGTGTTGCGTTGTCGATGATGAAGTACTCTACTCTACTGTCGTTAACTTGGTTACCGAGTAGAAATTTATGTAATCAAAGTACATAATAATTGAGGTGACTGCACTGCCACTATTTACGATCTTTGTCGCGTCCATGTCGTCGTCATTTGAGCAGCTCTTCGGATCCGCTGTGCTCAATGTCGTCGTTCCTGATACCTCAGTCGAATACCCACCCTCAGCGTCGCCGGATGACTGGCTCTCTCGGTTGAAATCCCCAAGTTCTGAGAGAAAACTGGCATTCTTTGGTGCGCTTGTCTCTCATTATTCCTCCGTCCTTCTCCAACCAACGCAACAGATGAACAGATGAATTCCTACTTGACGGTCAGGCTGTCCCATCTCACTAGTTTTCCAGCTCTCGATACCCAGAACCCACCGCAAGAGCTACTTATGTTCCTCGCACATCTGCAGATATCATTAGAGGCCGCATACATCTCCTCAGTACCAATTCCCGACCCTTCGAACTCAGTCAGACTATCAGCTCCTCCTCGACTATCAAAGATGGGTCCGAGGCACCATCCTTCGATATTTCCTCCAAGTACCCCGAATCCAACACCAGCTGTTGCAGAGAATGACCGCAGATACCTCAACTCGGAAAAGACAACCTTGCTAACGAGCATATGGGGACAGGGCGCCGCTGATGATTCCTTGGATGCATTTTCACTGCTGTGGTCTGAGGCTGAGAGGGCTTGGATGGCCGTGTATCGTCTGTCCTTCACTATTGGTGCGTGCCCGACCAAATGAGGCCGCATATATCTCATTTTTCCATAGCCTTCATACGTCTTACATACGCAGATCCTCTGTTATGTCTTACGGTCTCGACAACGCTTCGAGAAAAGCCATTGGCGCTAAGCCAGCCCAAGAATCCTCTCACTCTGTATCTCTCTTCTCTTGACAACTTCATCGTGGATCCCACTACCCCTACCACTGCAACAACGCCAGTAACAGATCGAGGGCATAGGCTAGGAGGTTTCGAGGAGGTTAATATGCTAGAGGGTCTTACAGCCGGTTCGTAGTAGCGTTTCATAGCTTTCTGCCACCACCTGAACATCTGTAAGGCCCCACTTTCTCTGTATTAGGTGTATCCCTACCAACATCTCGCCTTGGCTCTGATTCTCGTCAAAAATTGTTTTGCTTGCCACCAATTTCTCCCGTAACGCCTACTGTCCCTACACCCTCACCGCTGACGGCTACTCGTACTGCCCATCCGACACTGCGCAAGTCCTTCCGTAAGACCCTGAACACAGTGTCTGGGTTTCGTGTACGTATGAGGACCGTATTCGTGCCTGCAGTCTTACTCCCCGAAGTGGACGTTGATCAGGATGAAGAGCGAGAGCGTCGTGAAGCAGGGAATGAGGAGCGAACAGTTGTGCTGTGTCTCGAGGTGGAGAACACGGGAGAAACAGATCTTGACGTCGGATTCAGCATTGAAAAGGTCGACGTTAAGGTTGGTGGTGAAGGTGCTAAAGCTGTTTTGATTGGATGGGATGACGGACAAAACAAAGGAGATGCCGTCTTTCCCCTTTCAATCGCTTCACGAGAGCAGTATAACCTGCTGTATGCCGTGTCTTTCCTACGTTCCCCAGAAGAAGTTCTAGCACTCACCTCTCTTTCGGTGGATGCATATGGTAAGGGCGAGCACAGTGACGCTCAACTGCAGAGATCGGTGACAATCAATATCTTCGGAACGCCTTACATGCGCGATTCACAAGGTAAACACCACCCGACCAACACATTTGTATCAAGGTGGAATTGTGTTTTGGATCTTTCCACGCAAAAGAATCGAGCTGTAGCAGAGCCTGGCTTGAAGAATACTGAAGTGCTACCTGAGCCACCTTCGCCGTTCCCTGTGACGATGTCAAGTACCACGCCGCGAAGAGGATCGTTAGGCACACCGTATAGACCATCTACACCTCCGCTCGCTCTGGCCGATGTTACATCTAAGCGACATACTTTACCATACGGTGGCCTGACTAGTAGCCGTCTAGCAACCAGGTTATCCTCGCCTTCGCCTACCCCATCGCAGTCCAGCCGTTCCTCCACTCCCAACCTTGTACCGCCTCGATCATCTTCGTACTCGCCTCTCCCGCCATCTATGCTGCAGATTCCTCGCTCTCCTACGACATATGAACCTCCCCCACCTCCCCCACCAGACACCAAGCCGCGACCGCCGACAACTCCGGCGTATCCTGCTTTCCCTCAGAGCCCCGCTCTCCCACTGACGCCTGTATCTCAGGCGCCGTTAGCGTCTCAGGCACATATAGGACCCAGTGTGGATATTCCGAGGGAGAGAGGGGCAGGTATTGTACCTCCCACGCCTGGTCCCATAGTCTACCCAGGTGAGGATCAGGGAGGGGGAGAACTGCAGCACAGTCAGGAGTCAATTGTTGTCTCTGTCGGCTTGCTATCGGTCAGTGACGATGAAGGAGAGGATGAGGAGGATCGGAGGATTTATCCTATGGGAAAATTCACACTGGATATATTCGTGTATAACAGGTCGCGATGGACTAGGAGGTTTGAAGTTAGTTGTCCAGATCGCAGGAACAGGCGACGCAAGGGCGACAAAGGCAACTCGACCTCTATATCGGGAGTCTTGCCATTGGAAAATAGAGTTCGTATTGGGTGAGGAGCTTTCATTCTTGTGTAACGATGGGGATTTGATTTCTTCGATTATCAGCCCTCTTCTTCCGACAGCTTGTCAGTCTGTACGAATGAAGTTTTTGGCGTTAGCCCCAGGCGTACATACAATCGAGATTTTGACCTTGACGGATACAGAATCCGGATTTTCGACAGACCTAAAGCACGTTCCTTTCTTAACGACGTTATACTTGTCATTACACTAACTTTTCCCTGCAGGTCTGTCACCGACATCGTTGTCCATGAGCGTAGCTAAAGTGGCGAATCGAGTTGTACGTAATGCTCGCCAATGTATTACCCCATAATGGCAGATATCTACGACTCTGATTTTTGATATTCAAAAGAGACTAATGTTGGCTGGCATATGTCAATATTCGTTGCGCGTTTTGAAGACGTTTGATCGCCGTTGTTTGAACACCCCTCGTCTTTCTGAACACGTTTTTATGTTGGTAGGTCGCCATTTCTTGTCATCTAATGCTAGAAAGTTTTTGAAATCCTGTACGTACAGATTTCTGAAGTTCGTTACCGCTCCGGTTTGGAGACATCTCTGGACTTGTCGCGTTTTGGTTGGTCCGAAGTCTAATCGTGAACTTTTACCCAGAGTATTCTATTTATCATTAAGAATGTTCAATTTTCCCACGGAAAATGGCGAAGTTATTGAGAGAGAGGAACTTCATTTGTTGTTTTCACTCATGCGGAACTTCGTACACTGCGGAAGGATTTCCTGGATTCCTCTGGACATGCTTCATCATCCAGCTACGCATTACACCCATCTGTAGACGTTGTTGTTGTCAGCGTGCTGTCACGACTTAGCCGGCGGTAGATTCAGGACTCCTGGTCCTCAGCGCATGATCTAACAGGCCACACCTTATTCAATTGGATTTTGACCTGTTGCGAGAGCTAGAGAATGTCGGCAGTGCCCTTCTACTGCAACAGCGTCATTCATGCGCATGAAGTATTAATTTTCAAACCTGGGGAGTTGTGAAAAAGACGCCTGTCTTTATGCACCAGGCTTTGGAGTGATCATGCGCAGCAAATGAAAAGAAACCCTTGTTAGCGCAATCTGGGTGCTAAAGTTTTCTATGTAATGCGTCCGCCTGAGGCAGGATGCTGACCTCGAATCAGCAGTTCTATTGATGACGGGAATTATCCAAACCGACGAGAAGGGAACTTAGCACAACCTTATTGACTTCTAGTCGATCTACAGATAAGAACGGCGATACTTGGCCTAAGCAAACGTCAGTATGTAACATCGTGCGAGATATATTTCGTAAATAAGGCATTACATAGCATTGCAAAACGAGTAAGATAGACGTGTCGTTAGGTAGAATACAGCAGATAGTTGTAATTACAGTGCTCTAATGGTCCAATGATGATATATGCATACAAAAAAAGAATAATGCAGTTAGTGTTTGAAAAATACCACCTCATCGATGTCTTCGTCGTCAATGATCGGCGACTTTACGCCTCTGCGAGCCGTGTTGGCTTCCTTGATGCTTTCCAAGCTTTTGTACCTCTCCAACCGTTTCTCCTCGTTTGACGGCATTCCGTCAACAGACTGCCGCTTACGTTCGACTGACCAACGAACACTCGCTCGAAGCTCCCCCATGGTTTCACGGCGTGTGCGATCCTTTGCTTTTACAGCTACCGGGGGGGCAACTAGGGACAGACTACGAGTGACAGGAAGCCCGGCGGCCTCTAGGACATCGGCTACAGGAGCGTGCCCTTCCCTCGTTTGCATCCGATGTGCCCAGGTGCAGGTCATCCTGAAAAATCCAATTTGAATTTGAGTAAAGTGGATTGAAAGTGAAGAGAACTTACCCAGGACCAAGCACAAATTCACCTCCAAGCTGAGCACTCTGACCGCCCTTTTCCCACATGGGCATGCCGACCTTCAAGGCCCTGAACACAACCATGGCCATTCCTCCCAAAGCGCCTCTCTTCACATAGCTGTCAACCTTTTCCCTGCGAGCTCTGGTCTTTGATAGTGAACTTGTATTGGCAATTGTGCCCATACCCAGAGCGCGATACACCTCCAGTTCAGGATCAACGTACATCTGGAATCGCAGGCCGAATATTTGCCGATACTTGTCAATCAAGGCATGGGAGCCGTTACTGATGATTACTATATCGGCGTTGCGGGGTGCAAGTGAGGCGAGAGAATGCATGTAATCCTGGCAGAGTGGACACCAAAAGTGTCTAATGAAGATCACTATGACGCGTTTGCGCGCGAAGACGGTGCCGAAAGGGACGCGCAAACCTGAAGAGGCAACGAGTGGCTTTTCTGCGGCTCGAGCGAGCTGAGTGGGGGTTGGTGGGAGCCATTCAGTGGAAGCAGGGAAGGCAAAATTGAGTGGCAAAGAAGAAGTATGGCTGTGGCAGGACGAGTGCTGTGCTGCAGACGGAGCCGGGGTATCGACGAGCGATCGGAGAGAAGGCGTCGAAATGCCGCGAATGCATGGCGACGCCACAGGAGACTCGGACGATGGCGTGGGAATGTTTGTGTACGACGACGAGTGCGATTGAGTACTCGATGGTGGCGGTGGGTAATAGGCACTGGGTGACGATACTATAGCCTTTCGTACTTCATTCTGCCGTGACTCTGGCTGGGAAACATAGCCTTGTCGCGGTCGAGGCTTGAGCAGCTTGTTTGAATCCAGGGACGCGCGCTTGGAAATCGAGGGAAAAGGTCGTTTGGCATCGCTGGACACAGGCATGGGCGATGATATCGACGCGATGGAGACTTTACGCCGACGTGAGTCGGTGCCTAACGAGGCTCGTCAAGCTAGTCTTTTTGGGCATAAACAGTTTGGCGATTTTACTCCGCGAAGAGGCGGCACTGGGGCAGCCTGAAACAGTTCCGTCGTGGCCGGCGTCCGTCATATGGAACGATTCGTGAACAAGGCTGGGTGAGGGGCTCATGGGTGGAACTTGAGGTGTAGATAGCGACCGCCGTCGGTAGTGGCTGCTGCCGCTTCGCGCTACGGGTTTGAAGGCTGGCTGCACATCGTCTTTGTTGGTGGTGGGCCCTGGGCTGGACGACGGACGGGAAACACGATAGGAATACGAGGCCTGCTCCCTGGTGACGTTCTCCTTGGGTCCAAAAAGAGTGCTGGACCGAGAACGGAGCACGGTGAGCGAGGCAAACGGGTCTGCTGGATCAGGCGGTGGGTATCGCTCCATCATGTCGATGCTGGGCACCGGCTTCCTCTTGATCCTGGGCGCCTTTGGGGGCACTGTCGAGATGGTGGAGGGAAGAACAAGAGCCATGACAACGTCGAGCAGCACGGCGGCTGGAATGCTGGGATAGAAATGTCAAAGACTTTTATAATTTGAAGACGAGTGGAAATAAAGGGTACCAGCTATCAGAACGGTATCAAAGACCTTCAAAGGCAGCCGGGACGCGATCCAGAACGCGTGGCAAACGTGAGGCAAACGAATGAAACGAGTGAAATCGGTGAAAAAGAAGTAAAAGTACAACGCAGCACCATTCCCACGTGCTTGATCCCCCTTGGCCTTCATTTGTGCAAGTTTAGACCGCCACATGATGGCTTGAATTACAAGATTATCGCGATATTACAAGTACGGTAAGATCCTATAACAAATTATGCCCTAGGTATTCATAGTCTAACCGTCTATATCATCTATGTCGGGGGATCGCAGCTTCCAGATGACGGTTCTCCAACCCCAGGTTCAAATATCAACTGTAGGACACCATGCAGTTAGTCCTTCGCTTTTTGCCGATTGAATGAGATTCACGTACCCGAAGAGTCTGTATCGTCGTGTATATGGCAGCAAGCATACCAAACACCATCATTGCGATATCTTTAAGCTTCGCACTACGTGTATGTGCACACGCTTTGTAGTGAAGCATGGCAGGATACACGTAACACAACGGCACACTAAGATCCTCAATCAGCAAGACACCCACAAGACGATAGAGAAATCCGTACCAGGCAAAACATCCAACGAACGCAACAAATTTGTCCAAGTCCGCCGCACCGATATAACTTATAAGTGTCGTGACAATGACCACCAGAAAACGGAAAAAGTTCTTCAGCCACTTGACTTTCACATCGATCTTTCCACTGCGGACAAACAAGCCGTTCTCCATAATTCGGACCGCAGGGAACAGCTGCAGAGGCACTGAGAGCATGATGGCGACCGAGTAAAGAAATTGAACCTGAATTGGCACATCTTTAGAAGACGGAACACACGGTCATAGAAAAGGGTACATACAGCTTGAACCATTGGGCTCGAAGTGTCCAAATTCACCAGAACGACAGTTTTGATATCAGAGCCGAATGTCAAATACGCTAGCACACCAGCTCCACCGAAGAGAACTATTTATTTTGTTAGACATACGACGCACATCGCTCAAATAAGCGCTTACCAACTAGACCAACCATCACACCAGATATGACAGCAGGAAACTTGTGCGGCTCCCTCATAGCATCGGTAATGGGTATCACCTGTAACAGGGTAAGCAATTATTCAAGAAGCGATATTGAAGACGTACAAGTCCAATACCCTCAAACGAAAACACTGCTGTTCCCACAAACAACGGAAAGTCCTTCGGATTGAACAACGCAACATCGGCAACGCCTCTGTTGGCTATTATTTTAAACTCGCTTCCAAAGATATAGATCAAGCCGGCAAGGATGAAAACATCAGCGATGAGTGCGGTCGTGCTCAGCTTGGCAAGATCTCTGATAAGAACCAAGGGTAGGAAGAACACAAGCTGCATAAGAAGAAAGTATTGCACTCCAACCAACTTGGCACAGTGCGTAACGCCCATGACAAATGACTGCATGTTCTCTGCGACGAAGATCATGTATGCGCCGCAAAAACCCATTTGTGACACGACGATAGACCCAAGGATGAGCTGCCGCATCCAGTTTCCATACAGGGCCCCACCAATATCTATCGTTACCACGGTCATTAGAAGATTACCTGCGATAACACAGAAGAACGCACCTCCGAAACTACCCGAGACCACAAATTTAGTATGTACCAGAAGAATGAACGAGTATAACGATATCGCCGCAATGAAGAGAAACAGAAATGCCGAGAACAGTATGCCTCCATTGTAGAACGCACGCCCCAGGAATAGAACGCCCGTTCCAATGAAGGCTTTGAGAAGCATAAGAACAGCTTGGCTGACTGTTGCATTTCCATGCGGGCCTATAGACGACGCCGCGCGTCGTGAACGGGACCTCGACCTCACTAGGCTCGTCTTCCCACTCAAGAGGGGTGCTGTCTCATCGATGACACCTTCAATTGCCATTTGAGCTGCGCTCTCGAGGTCGGATTCCTGTTCTTCCTCATCCTCCTCTAGGTCTTCTCCAGCCTGGGTAACAGTTAACATCAGGAAACGCCTACGAATATCCAACGCCACTTACGAAATGCCCGAACAAGAACAGGAAATCTATAAAGTTGTTGAGAACTTGAGGTTCCTCTGCACCTTCCTCGTTGGCCCGCAGTAGAACATAGTTCCTCCTAAAACCTCCAGGTTCATGGATGTGCTCAAACGCAGGATCAGGCATGGAACTGGAGGCTACTGCGACTGATGCAGCTCGTAATCTCTTTTTCTGGTTGGACTGCCATTTGTAAATATCGTGGCTAGAGTAGACACGGTTTAGTCAGGCAGCATATGGCAGGACGAGATAGAAGACCACTCACGTTACATCAGCACCCGGAACGTCATAGTGGACTGGGAACGGTTCGGTAGTTTCGTGGGGATGGTGTGTTGACGAGGATGACGAGGCCTGAGGGTCCTCGTTGTTTCGTTGCCGCTCCTCTTTTGAGACCAAATGTCGCCGAAGTACCTTGATTTTCTCTTCCTCTGGAAGATCATCCACATCCGGTGGCAAAGGCGTGGCGTTTCCTTCTGACGGCGATGGTGTCCCTGTACGTCCTCGTAAGGCAGCAATACCGGCTATACCAGCCTGAGGTCCTGGACCGCTGCCAGCGACGCTCGGTAGAGAAGCGTTGCTAGTGGGAGTCGGAGATGCGGTTCTCACTGGAATGTTTCGTGGTGGAATAGCAAGAGAATTTGGCGGAGGGGTTCCGGTGTACTGAGCACGCAGAGCTCGCATATCGGGGGTTCCCAGGGGTGTCGAGGTACCAGTCAAGGAGCCAGAGGCACCACTTTGGCCATCCTGGGGCTGAATGGGCCGGCCACGTATGCTGAGTGGTTTTGTAGGAGTCGACATGGTGGTCGAGCAAGAAATTGTATGTAAAATGCGCTCGAACCGATCGCTATTCAGTTGTCGGCATTTTCGGCTACAGACGTTCCGAAAAACGTTGTCCACACTGCCAAACAAGGCAGGTAAAATCAAAAAATCAGATAAATACAAGAAAATCGTAGAAATAGCATGCAGACCTCATTTATGGGTGTCATTCAGTGGGAAGATGCGAATTTAATGATTCATGAGTGCCGCAGTGTGTCGTAAAAATAATACTTGAAATAAGAGCATCTGGCTGATGCAGGACTAGCGAGCGCCGCCAGGTTTACATGTTCAGGCTGTCTCGCACCGAACAGCCGGTCACACCTTCGTTCTTGCCATCATCGTCGTTCAAGAGACAGGAGACAGCTTTGAAGCTTGAAGAACGATTCTGCATTCAGTCAAGCAGGCCGCCGCCGTAATTTTGCTACAAGTTTGGACGTCGACAGCTCCCGGCCTCCTGGAACATAACGCCATAGTCCGCGCGCGCCATTTCACTGCGACCAAGACACCTGCAGCTGGGTATCCTGCCTTTATTTCGTCGGTTTCCGTGGTTAGGAATAGGCTAGTAGGGGTTCGGGTGTTTTAGACTAGGAAACTTCGGAGAGGGCACGGTAGCTGGTATGCTAAATACACATCTTCGAGGGAAGTTATCCACTTTCATTTCGGAATAACTTATTACTGTTTACAAGGGAAGAAACATCTCCACAGCCCCCCACACCATCTTAATGCTCCGCTGCTGCCTCCCACTGTTACCGCTAGCACAGACCCCGCTCATAATGTCCTATCATTGATCTATTGGCCTCATACCTGTTACCTTGTCTCTATACATCTCGTACATCCTCGACGAATTTATTTATGATACATTATGCTCACGAATGAAGGCACTATACAGTTTTCACGATTTTCTTGCATTTTTATATTTTTTTAATTTTACTTGCCTTGTTTGGCAACGTGGACAAGGTTTTTCGGAACGTCTGTACCCCGGTCCGTACTACTCGGCCTTTCTTGGTCCGCAAGGCTGATGAACAGCGACTGATAAGCACAGGAAATGGAGCGGGCGCCATTGACCGTGCCCCATTGGATTATGGAATGAAGATACAAGTATGACAGTAAGGTATCGCTCTACACGACTGAATAAAGGAACGTTCCATCGCAGATACAAATGGCGAAAACAGGACGAAAAAATAGTGAAACTAACTCTAACTCCTCAGTCTTGGCGGGACAGAGATAAGGATTGCACGTTAGACGCAAGAACACTAGAAGAGTGACTCCGACGTTCGGCAGTGCCAAAGCAAGAATACCGTCTTCCTTCGATGTCTTCGAGATCCATACCATGTCTTCGTTCGCGGTGAGGCGGCTCGATATCTTCTGGATAAGGTTGAGGTTGTTTTTTAGTACGAGTAGACCGCTTGAAGCCAGCCAATGACTTCCAAAGGCGAGTCGTGACAAACTTCCTGCGAACTTTTTTAGTCCAACGCCGCCAAGTCTTCACTTCTTCATGAGAAAATCGACTTGAAATCCGGATTTGTAAGACTCCTAGCTCGTCGACGATCGGTTGGCACTCGCACAGATCAAGTGTGAGCTCACAGCCATCACAAAAGAAGGTAGGTTCAGCATGGCCCACAGGGATCGAATTAACTGAAAGAGCGGCATTATCACACAAGGGAAGAGGTGGTGGGGAGAAGACGGGTGAGTTTGGCATTACTGGAGTAGGGAACGTCAGCATGAGCGATGGGATTGGCGGATAACCACTTGGCAAGTCGGATTGATCGTCTAGACAGTGGTTCAGCGATAACAGTTTGACTTGTAGAGAATTCGTACCAAGGGCTTGGCATGAGATAGACTTGAGGGTAAATGACGGTTGAAGTACTGATCCGATCTCTTCTTCCTATCATGCAAGGTGAATGAAACCAGACCGGGTGCTGTGGGCAGAGTTCGAACCTTCTCGTCGTCAGCAAGGACGGATATTACGTTCTCAAATACTGGTGTGTCTTCTAAGATAGGCGACAAATCGATTTCAAAAGATTCGGATATGCGGCTTTGCGAGTGGGAACGATGCACTTGCGGCAATTGAGTCGGAGCTGGTTTTCGATGGTCCAATGACGGAGATAGTTCAAGGAGATTCACTGGCGTTGACTCTTTCATTGACATGATCCTTCTGGTGCTTCTCCGAAGATGTCTCGATTCACTCGATGCGATTTTCGATGGGATAATTGGTAGATCTCTATCATCCGGGACCTAAACAGCGTTAGGTCTAGCTTGGAGGAATATTGAATGTTTACCTGAACAGAAGTCCACGGCATACACAGTGAAGAGAAGGCCATAAAGAATAATGGAATGCTAACCTGAGATAATCCCCGGCGACTGAGATGCCGCTTCAGTTTGCGCTGGAATATGCCTTCGTCTGAGCATTTAAGCACTTAGTGAGCGGACGGTGTACCTTTACACTTCCAAATGAGTCTCCAGAATGCCTCCTGGAATGTTGATAAAAGTGATCTTTTGAGTATATTCTGGGGAAAGAGTACTTGTAGAGTATAAACTCATTCATCCCATGTCCTGGCAGGTCACCTACCTCGGATGCGGGACGGGAAGGAAGTTTCTGCGCCAATGATCAGGCGACAACGTCGTGATACGGATATGAAACTTTTCACGCACACTTTTGCGCTTGCGGAGGATATGCGGAGGCATCTGTGACTGTTAGATGAATGTGCACGAAGTATTAATATGTCTCGAACCTCTAGCGTGGGTCCCTGCGAATCGGGTGAGAAGGTTATCCCCGAAGACAAAGCACACGCACAAATATGTCATTATCTTCGACATAAGGTAGGTCCTAAAGCATGTCAGTGCTGGCAAGATGTTGATACCCAACGCGCGCAATACCAAAGTGGGAGCCGCCTGAATCATATTAAGCTCAGAATCAACGGAGCACTTCTGTGAGCCAGGTTAAACCGCGTAGAAACAGAATAGAGTGCGACAGAGTGCACCGGAGTAGTGTAAGGACAATGGCAGCTACAGCAGCATGTCGTTGCTCGCCTCGATTTCTTTGATACTGTTGACCTTGGCGTATCTGTAGCAGAGTTCCGTCGGTGTCTCGCTATTTTCGCTGGGGTATACGGTGAAGTTGGGCGAGTGAGTGTTTGACCAGCATCATAGTCTTGTGCGGAATCCCATGAAATCTTGCTAGGATCTACAAATCATTCAGCCCAGAGCAACGCTCATCGTAACACGAGCAAGTACGTGTACTGAGAGTGTGTCTTCGAGAATTTCTAATATGCCGTATCGGGTCGTGGTGTGAAGGTGGTATCTCGAATGGCTATTTGACGGGTTTAGCCTTGAACACATCGATCTCGGACGAAAGGGTGTCATACAGGTCTGGGTAAGATCAAGGAATACAGAAACTGAAGGCGGGCACCTAGCATCTCGACTAGAGGGACGGAGGAAGGTTTCACGAACGAAGAGGTGGATGTTTGCGTACAAAGGAGAGATTCACGTGGTTGGAATTTTATCACAGGATCGCGTTGTAGGCGCTTGTTTGTATTTTGTTCTTGACACTCACGACTTAATTTGTCGGTGCTGCCTGAAGCTGGAAAGAATTGAAAATATCTCGCTTAGGCAGCTTAAATAAAAGAAATTTGATGTACCATTCTGAGAATCTTCAAGGTCCTTTCCCAACCGTCTTTACCTGCACGAGTGGAAGTCCGCCGTAAAACATCAAGCAGATGAAAGGCGAGAAATCGCATAATTAAAGAACGATTAGTGTGTCAAGATCAGTTTGGACGTGGATACTTTTGATACGTTATAGATGATGATACTAGTGTTCGTTACCAAAGACTGTTTCGAGGCGACAACTAGCTAACCAGCGGTAAAGGTCGGCGCATCATGCATTATGGCTATGCAACGAGACCCAGGGATGTCGTGAATGCGTGTGAGAGAGAACAACGAATATACCGTGTAATCCGGCACAACTAGGTCGAAGATATCCGGCTGAATGCATATCAGAATGACGGCGTGTGTTACACGAGCGTTATACTAGTGCGAATAATGCGGAGCAATATGCGAGTCATGGTGCTTGTCATTTGCACCGAAATATCAGTACCCAAAGACTCAGAGACAGTGAATCATGATTATTCCGGACATTGCCGCTAGAGTGCCTTAGCCCTGGTATTTCCTTCGCACAGCAATTAGAGCCGCAGACAATTTGACAGAATGCCAACCAACTGGTTTGTATCGGTGACTATAGCATCAACATCAACAGTAGAGTCAGAAGAGGTCAGGCTCCGAATTTATATCTGACTCCGCGCTTTCGATCATTATCTGACAAATAAAAGGATAAAAATTCTTTACCCTCCTCCAAGATCAGCAAGATCTCCCTTTGCCCTCTTCCTACAAATTTCGACAACTCTCACCACATTTCCAAGTCTCTTCTTCCATGGCTACCCGTACGGCAAACCTTTTGCTCAAATCGTTGCATCTGACATAATCTCTCGCCGCTTCGTCCAGGTATCCAGTTCGAAAATAACAGCGACATTGGTGTCTTCTCCAAGTTGACAAACAGCTACTGCCTTGCCGCCATCCAAGGTAGCACAAACTTCTACTCAGCGTTTGAAAGCGAACTCGGAGATGTCATTCCTATCGTGCACACGAGTATTGGCGGGACGCGCATAATAGGACGGTTGACGGCCGGTGTGTTGTACTCACATATGTCGCTGGTACAGCTCTCACAGGCCTTCTCTGCAGGAAATCGTCACGGTCTTCTGGTTCCATCCTCCACCACTGACCAGGAGCTCCAACATCTGCGCAACTCCCTCCCAGACGCCGTCGCCGTCCAGCGGGTTGAAGAACGACTTTCTGCCCTTGGAAATGTCATCGCATGTAACGATTATGTCGCCCTCGTTCATCCAGATGTCGATCGGGAAACAGAAGAGATCATAGCAGATGTCCTCAAGGTCGAGGTGTTCAGGCAGACGGTCGCCGACAACGTTTTGGTGGGGAGCTACTGTGCGATTACGAACCAGGGCGGTCTGGTACACCCCAAAACGAGTATACAAGACCAAGACGAACTGAGTAGTCTATTGCAAGTTCCGTTGGTGGTACGTCCATCGATGTCGATTTGGTACACTATAGAACCCTCTACTAGGCTGGAACAGTAAATCGCGGTTCCGATGTTATCGGTGCAGGTCTCGTCGTGAACGATTGGTGTGCATTCACAGGTCTAGAGACGACCGCGACGGAGATCAGTGTCATAGAAGCCGCTTTCAGTACGTCGGAGTGCCCTCTTTTTCTCTTACCCCTGCTCACGATCTGGTCGCAGAGCTACAAGGACAGGACTCCGCCGCCGTTATAGGAGAGATGCGCGATTCTCTTATTGACAATTGGGCATGAACAGGAAAGCAAAATGGTTGGAAGCAGTCATCATCTGTAGAGCTAATATCTTGTCGAGCAAAATTTACCCTAGTCATGTCAATCTGTATCCCTAGACCAGTCTATCCATCCGACGTCAAAAAATCAGTCCAGCGAACGCCGACTCAACAGGTTCGTGATTTCCCTATGCCCAGAGAGCCATTCTGCGAAGATAATCTCGACCTTGCTCTCCCGAACTTCGATGAGGTAGTTGGCGAACACGATTAACATCCCGTACCGGTACCTTCAAACAGATTAAGCATCAGATCGCAATGATCGCACTGGGAAGGGAAACTTACAGGTAGTTAACGGTCACATTGCGCAATTTGCGCTCCTTCAAACTGCCTTTCTCGCATGCGTCAACCTTCAGCTTATAGCTATGCAAATGGTCAGTTGTAGGCTTTGCCAGAGGAAAAGTGTACGTACTCGTAGATCGTCTTTCGTAGATTTTGAACATCTTGCATCTGGTCGATCGCTCTATCCGCTAAACGTTTAGCCACCTTGCCGTGTGATAAGACACCGACGAGCTGAAGAATTGTCTTGTACTCTCCTGTGAAGCGGTATTCACTGTCAGGGCAACGCACTGATAGCTAAGGTCTTCCTACCTCGCCTGTAGACCTCTTCCTCCGAATAGCCATCCATTGAATCGAAAACCCCAGCAGCCTCGTCATGGGATAAGATATCGTTCGCTTGGCTGTTCCAGTTCATTATCGTAGATATCAAGCACGCAGTCACCATCCCCGTAGTCGTTCGTCCTCGCCCCATCTGGCAATTGAAGATGAAATCACCGGCCTTTGACAGCCCCGATTTGACGCGTTCCAAGAGCAACGACAGCGCATCCGGTAGGGGAGCTTGTTCGTCGGTCTAGAGAAACCTCAACAAAGCATCGAACACACAAATTATATCCTTACGATTGCTATTCGACCGTAGTCAAGCTAACAGGATAGAGTCAGAGTGTAATTCTTGCACAAATAATATGGTTCACCTTGAAGCCTTCTGCTGTCATAAGGTCGAATACATCGCGAGGGGTCAAAATATCTTTCTCCTCCACCTCCTCCCATAATGGTATAATGGAGAAGACACCAGGTCTCTCTTCCACTTCATCGTGCAACAATATACGTCCCTTACCTATCCTCAGCTCGCGCAAGACGTCTTTCTTGAAGCTCTGTTCCATAGCTTCGACCATAGCTGTGGTTACACCTGTCGCTCTGAGCACCGAATGAGAATGGGACTGCATGAGAGTACATAATTGACTCACTCTACGTTCTCGAGAGGTTTGTCTACAAGACGGAGAACATGGGGCCTCCCCGCAACATAAATTACAGGTTCCTACAAAAAATGTGAGCGCCAAGGAGTGGATATCAGAGGTCACGAACCTCTCGCAGAGATGTCCAATAAACCATATTCTGCCCACCGAACCCAGCGTCTACACGTTTGAGTGCTCGCCTTAAACCATCTACTGTCGGCATACCGCTGTAATCAGTTAGTACTTTAATGTTTATCGTGACAATTGAACCACTGCTTACCTCCCACACACCATTTTCCCGTCAGGGGCAATGGATGCTTGGTCTTGTTCTACCGTCGGAGTGGATTCGCCAGAAGAGGAGAGTAAGAGCGTCAGTGGAATTCTACGGAAATTGGGTGATCCTTCGATGCGTCTTTGATACCCTTTTAAATCGCAGCACAAATTCTTTATGAGAAAAGGGCTTACTCTGGGAGCGTCATCTTCTGTAAATTTGAGAAGAAATCACTCTTCAATATGGTTGATGCTGAAAGAATGCTACCGGAGCGATTGGTGACGACTTGATGGACCTCATCAGGATGTGCGACACCCTGAGTGAGGTTTGACTGCTCCAGAGGCTTGAGGGCATTTATACCGTCAGCAAGCAGCTCCTTCTCGAACGTCTTGATGACTGTAAGGGGTACGAAATTCCATGATATCCCGCCATTGAAGCAAAACACGCACCTGGTCGGTTTTTCACAAAAGTCTCCACACTTTCAAAGTTGTCCATGGTGTCCGGCTCTGTAGATTGCAGATAGGCCTGGAACACAATCAGATCGAAATACCGCCTCAAGTTATGCAAAGCTAGAGAAATATAGATATCAGCATATACGCTCAGCAATTCTCCTACTGAAACTCACCCTTCTGAGTATGCAACTTTTTCTGTTTCTCGTCCGTCGCTTGTTCGGCTCTGATGCGATTCTCTTCAATAGACTCTCTAAGGTTGTAGAATACATCGCATTGGTCTATGGCGTCGTCTACGATGTTCTTGACATCTAAACCTTTTCTGAACACTCGCAGAAGGTCTAACAAAACAAAGTTAAATCGGAATAGGAATGAAATGACAGGGACCTACTATTGATGACCTGGTAGGACTGGCGTCGCTTGGATGACGACAAAGTATGTTCTATCGGTGACATGGTAGACATTGAGATGGTACGTTGGAGTCTAAAGTGAGGTGTTTGAGGGGTACGACACGAATCCAGCCACTGTCGGATGAGCAAGAGGATAATCGAGGCCAATGTGCTCCGTCCCCGGCCTAGTTGGCAGTTAACGACAATGGGCGTGTCCCTCGATGAACGCAACACGACATCGATCATCTCGCTAAGGTCAGAAAAATCAGGCGGCCGCTCTGCGGTGATGGGGATGCGATCGTAAACGAGTTCAATCCCTTGCGTCGACTTTCGGCTGGTCATGACATCTTTGAGAACAACTACATTATCACCTTCGACCTCTTCCCAAATCGGCACGACGGTACCATCAGCCGTCTCAGAGTGGAGGAGCACACTGTTGAAATTGTCAGTGATCGGCATCAGAGCAGGACGTTGTCAGTAGGTTACCGTCCCCCAAATGCTTGTCCTTCTGAGACGACATCATCTCGTAGGCGCTGCTCAAGGACCTCCAGCCGAGAAGCGGAAATGCCGCCGTAGTCTAACAGTCCCGTTCAAGGATTCTCATTAAGTGTAATAATATGAGTGTCTTACCTTTCATGTTTCGTAACGAGAACCCTTCCCTGCGAAGACAGTAGGGTGCTCCGTTGATATAGATAATAGGCTCTTCCCTCAGTGTGATCCAGATAACTCTTTGTGCAGACGGATGAGCATCCTTGATTCGGCCCACAACTTCGTCAATCGCCTCGATAGTTGGTTGCCCCAAAGCATAGACATTTGTTCCCGGCACTCGCCTGAAGTTGATGGCCCCACGGACACCATCATCAACGCTATGCCCCTGACTGAACCACTGGTCGGACTTTAACAATGTGCTGGCTTGAGATTTAGTACAGCAAATCGGCTGAGGGGGAAATGAGTTACCTTTCGCGTAGAATGATACCGCTACGATGCTGTGATTGCACACTTCAACAGAGAGAATTTTCGATGTGGTTTTAGAACTACCTTTATGACGTGTGTCGAGAATTCATCTCCTAGAATTTGGCCTCCTGCTATGGCCACGTCGTTATTCCTTCCGGGGACCAGAGCTCTGCCCTCAGAGCCAGACTTGGATAGCGAAGACAAATCGTTCACAGGTGCAAACACATTCAATCTTGTCCCAAATGACTTGCGCAAGAACATGACTTGACTTCTTGCTGTCAGCATGAGCCTATTAGCCTTATACTAGCACAACTTACTTCCAAATCTCTATTCGAGCCTGTAGATATAGGTGAACAATTAGAATCACGGGAAGGGATTTCTCTGAGCATACCTTCAGCCAGTCCGAGAAACTCTCACTAAAATCTTCCGAACTATCAACGTAACTCGCAAACGCTATAATAAAGAAGCTGGAAAGATAGTATGTTTCGATGAGATGTACCGAAATTTGGACGAGAAAAAAACATACTATTTCTCCAGCGCGCGCCTGGACTTCTCAATCAACACTTCTCCCTTCTCACCTTCCATGCTGATAAGAGAGTACTTGATACGATGTATAAGGATGTCTTCACGTAAGTTTGTAACATGATCCGCTAGTTACCAATCAGCCACAAGGAGACATAGTATTCCTGCGGGCACGTACCAGCATCGATGATGCGGTCGACCAATTTCTTTGCCTGAAGGCCCTGGTCTAAACAACCCAATAGGCTGAGGATGATGCCGTAGTTACCCATGTGAGCCCTCCGTAGGTTTTCCAGGAGAGTTGGCTGAGTGATAAGAAGTTCAATAGCAGACTGAGAGTTCTTGTCCTGCAAGACTAAGTTGAACGGAGTTCGATCAGTGACCCTGATCGGAAGGCGATTTTGCAAAGCACCTACTGTGCTGAAGGAGGTATGTGAGCCTTAAAAGAGATTTACTGAGTTCCTGTTGGGTGTTGGCCTGTTCCATAGACTGTAGAAGTCGGCTCTCGGTGTCCTGATAAGTTTGAACATGAATGACAATCTAGATGGAAGGAGCATCAACGTCGACGAACCAGATGAGGGGGCTAAAAAGAGTTTAGTTGCAGTTTTTTCGAAGAAGCTGGAGACCCACTGAATTTGTGCCGCTGGTGCTTTGGAAACCTTTCGCAGGATATGGATCCGGCAAGCCCTTAGATATGAGTTGTTTACGTCGGACGATGGACGCTGCAACCATAGCGAACGTCGTTCGTACTGCGCCCATACCACAAGAGAACACTAAAGATGTGCGCAAAGGATCAGTTTGCTTAATGACGCGTAGATAGGCGTCCAGATAATTATCCTGCGTGTTCCGCGATTAGTGTTCTGCCTTCGGACAAATAAGCCTTTGGGACTTGCCTCTATAGGACGATCGGGGGAAATGGGTATTCGGTGATACTACTGTGCGTGAGCTTTGTAGCAAACATAGAGAAGTACGGACTAACATCAACATTCCAACCACTCTCTTTCATAAAATTCCAGAGTTCGCGCGAGGTCTTGACATTATTGGTGTCAACAGCTGTCCACGTCGGCAATATAGCGCCTTCTCCGCTATCGGTAGCCATTTCATTGTGAGTTAGTAGGAGGCCACCAAACCTGCTGGCTTCATGTAATATGTCATTCTTCAATCTGAGCTCGATGGCCTCGAGATTTTCAGCACGATCAGAGAGGGAGAGTGTCCTTTTGGGCTCAGATGCATCTCGCAAAACAAAAGGTCTTCCAGATATGTATACTAGAGAAACTGATAAGCCGCTGAGGAGTCAAAGCAAGTTAATGTTACCAATGGGCTCTTCTCTGGTGGAAAACCAGACGACATGAGAAGGATCTGAGGTGTTTGGCGTGCATCTAAGAACAGAAAGAATAGCCCTAAGACCCTGGGTTCGTGGCTGGGCGACTCCGAAGACGTTGAGATTGCCAATACGAGGCGCACGAAAGTTGGGTGCACCGTGGACATTCAAATCCAAGTCGAGAGCGCGACCTACTTGTGTCAAGGACTTGTCAGGTAGCAGAAATGCAAAGCATACCTGACGGATAATGATCTGTCTTTAGGATGAAGCCCCGAGACAATACGCTTCCGTTTCTTGTCTTGACTACAGATGGTTCCGACTGGTACAGACTGCCCATTAGATCCAGAGAAGTGCTGTTATCTTGCTGAGTACGCGTGTTACCGCTGTTGTTTCTCTGATGACCAAGGACAGAAGAAGGCCGCATCTGCAAGGGCTCCGACCTTTGGGGTATTGGAGGTGCCGAAGAAGGGCGTTGGTGGCGAAAGTCGTCGAGCGGTGCCTTTAATAGAGGCACCCGCCTGCTGCCCATGGTGGAATTAGAGTTGCCCTTGATACGCGTAAGGGAAGAAAACTAAAAACAGAGCAGACAGCAAAGTCCGAAAGAAAGAGTTGCTGATCAGCCACCTCACGTTCTGTCACCACCGCGTATGCACAGCCACCGCCACATGTATGTCACGAAAATCGTGACGTCATCCTCTCTGTTCATTCTGTTCATCCTTATGGCGTCCGGGACGTTTGTTTACTACTGCTCAGGCCACGGTACGCGTTTTACACTTTCTATGTCCTTTTAGTGCTTATTCTGTGTAGGATACGGCCATGCAACCCGAGTATCGGCGTTTGCTTGTCATTTACTAAGCCTTCCGGAGGAAGCCAAACCAACAATATACATCGTTTCCTCAGCACCAAAGCACGTCTTCTCCGAGAGCATCGCAGTCGGGGCACATTACCGCTATGCCGAAATTGATCCTGTCATCGTTCAACCCTTGGCGTGAGTGTAGTTATCCTTCCAGCCTTGGCAGTGGTTGTCATGATGCCTCCAGATATCGCGTCGACCGTCAAAAAAGCGTGCAAGTATTGAAGCAATTTCTCAGCAACAAAAAGGCTCTATTGGATGACGAAGTCCGTTGGTTGATCCGTGTCAATGCGCGATGTGTCCTAAGCGACGCCGCTTTTCTCGGATGGTAAGAGTTGCGTTGCCTCGTGTTCTTTGCTAATGCTCCACATAGTTTGGCCGCGAAAACAGCTGGCGTGCCTTCCATTCTCATTACAAACTTTTCTTTCGACTCGGTGTACAGCTATCTCGCTACGACATTCACTGACCAGATCCCTACGCTACAGCCCAATCAATTCCACCTTGATGCCTTTATCCCCGATATACCTGTCCCAGAGGCCGATCTCATGCCGTTGGTCGAGCAGATTCACTCCGGCTATCGCTGTGCAGACCTTCTTCTAGAACTTCCTGGGAATATACCCATACCATCATTTTCTCTAGAGCCATCTCTACCTGCCTCTTCTTGGGTCAACGCTCAAGACAATAGATTCTATACAAACATTGTGAAGAAGCTATCTCAGTCATATATCTCACAGGACCTTTACCCGAGCGTTCCCTTCCCTCCTTCAACGCGGCTCGCCGGAAAGCGTATACCTCGTATGGTCAAATCCGCCCCTCTTCTTGTGCGGCCGCCATCACCGTATGTGTATACACGTGAAGGACGATCGCATCTACTGTCCTCCATCGGAGTACCATCCGAATTGCATGATCCGGAAGCTACTAAGGTATTGATTGTGTCTTTTGGCGGTCAGGTTTTCCGAACCCCTAGTAGATCTGGCAGCAGATCCCCCAGCAGACTTCACAGCCGAAAGCCAAGCGCCGCTGACCTGCCTAAACCAATTCAAGGACTTGGCATTTCCTCAGTCAATCTGCCACCATCTTACCCTGGGGGCAACGATCCTCTGCAGTTGAATACCGTTTCTATCGATTCTCCATCACACGATGGATCTATTAGAGAATTTGGGTCCATCGCTTCCCCTCGCCTAGCTACCTCTTCCCATATCTGGATTCCTGGTGCACCACCTGCTTCAAAAATATCTGGCTCTCCATGTTTGTCTCGAACTCCCTCTACTGGTTTTCCATCCTTCAACACTATACCACCAACACCCGCTCAAGAATTTGCGGAGTTTGTTGCCGAGGATGAAATTGAATCTTGGTTGCTCCCTGACTCCTCTTGGATTGCTATTGTGTGTGGCGTCACCAAAGATCAGTGGGAGTCACAAGGCGATTCGGAACTCCCTGAGGGTTTCTATGTGGCGCCACGGGACGTATACATGCCGGATCTTACAGCAGTAGCAGACGTTCTCCTCGGCAAACTCGTAAGTCCTCCAATTTTAAGTTGCGCAGTCAAAATAATTGAGTCACTACAGGGTTATGGAACTGTCTCGGAATGCGTCGACTCGGCCACACCGTTCGTCTATGGTATGTTCCCTTTAACTCGATATGGCAGATTCTCTCAAAGAATCTCAAGTGTCGAGGCCTCTGTTTATTGAAGAGCACGGACTTCGCCTGCTACTTGACAATGAAGGGGTCGGTGTAGAACTCTCTAGAGACTCTTATGAAGCTGGTGAATGGGCTCATGCTGTTCAAGATGCATTTCTTAAAGGTCAAGCTGCCAAGATCAAGAAACGGGAGGAAATGGCGGCTGGAGTAGGTATTAATACGCGCGCTGCGCAAGGAAAGAAAATGGCGGCATCAGTCGTGGAGTGGGTGAATGATTGTTGGAGAATTTAAAACTAGATTGGTTCTCCGTATCCATAGATTTGTGATTTTTGACTTGCAATGTGATATTTATGTTCTTGTGTCGGACCGGAGGTGCCGAAGTGCCTTGCCTAGCTTTTTTCCCAACACATCCGGAGTGTTCACTGATGCCTTGTTAACTGAGGGTCTATTGCCACAATTATGCTATGCCAATCTCGAAGAATATTTGGGACCAGTTTTTCCCGTCGCTTTCCCGTTTTCACCCATGCAAATACACATTTCTTCCGCTGTGTATCAACGGGTCCACCGGTCACAAAAATCGAAAAGATAGTCCTCGACCACATTAAAGTGTGTTGAAATATGCTTTTCATAGAGTTTCCAATACTCACAGACACAAGGCGGTTGGGCCGATGCCTTTTGGAAGTTATATGAATTTGTGTCTGTCCCATCCAACGGAAGGATACTACATGAATCCCGCCAATGCTGTGTTCGGGAAACGAGGAGACTTTATTACTAGTCCTGAAATCAGTCAGGTTTTCGGAGAGGTGCGAGGCCTGATTTACTCTCTAGAATGCTCGTGGGTGACGAGCCAGCAGCACCGAACATGAAGCTCGTGGCCATCTGGCTCTTGTCGCAGTGGCAGAATGCAGGTGCCCCACCTTCAATACGCCTGGTTGAGCTTGGACCGGGAAGGGGAACCCTGATGGCTGATATTCTCCGGGTATTTTGCATACCTTTTGCACAACCGCGACCAATTGACGGGTTTTTAGGTGGTCCAGCAGTTTGCAAAAAACGCGTTGAAACGGGTTCATCTTGTCGAGACAAGTCCTTCCATGCGGGCACTTCAAAACGACAATCTTCTCCCGTTCTCGCAAAATGGTGGCTGGGACCTAGCTTGGAACGAATCGGTAGACGAAATCAAACCTTCATCCGGTGACTATACTATGCTCGTAGCTCACGAGTTTTTTGATGCATTGCCAGTCAGTATGCTTGAAGTGAGTAATTCCTTACGCCATAAGATCAATTCTAAGAAAGTTTTTACAGCGAGGAAAGCAAGGGTGGCATGAAATAATGGTCGATTCTATACATCCAAAGCCTGACTCTACAGAAGAGCCCGCTTATCCACGATTGCGTCGCGTCCTATCCCCAAGCCCCACGGCTGCTTCCACTCTTCTCGGAAGATCATCGCTACGCTTCGACCAATTGCCCGAAGGTTCTCGCTTAGAGGTCTCAGCAGCGTCATTTAGAATTGCCAGGGAAGTAGGGGAGCTTCTCTCTTCTGGCGGTTGCGCTTTGGTAGTTGATTATGGCGGCGATTCACCGTTTGGGGATTCCTTCCGCGTACGTTTTGCATGCTAGTTTCTGTACAGGGATCCTCATACCACTTGTAGGCGTTCAAAGGTCACCAAATAGTAGATGTATTTGACCGGCCAGGCGAATGTGATCTAACCGCCAACGTGGATTTTGGTTACATCAAGGAAGCGATAGGCGATCTTGGTAAGTATTCTCTCTCTCCATTTGCGACGATCCTCGAACTCATCGAGCCCTCAGTTCCCACCTACGGCCCCCTGCCTCAGTCGCAATTTCTGATATCGATGGGGTTAGAAGCGCGCGTCAATATGTTGATCCGCTCTGCCAAGACAGAAGAGCGAGCGGAGGATATCAAGAAAGCTGCACAGCGTCTTGTAGATGAGGCGGGAATGGGAAAGGAATACAAGGTGCTGGGTATCAGTAGTTCGCGTAGTGAGCATGATGTATGGCCGTTTGTTCAATAGATGTGGTCATGTCGAATTGCGCCTCGTAGGGGATAAGGAGCGCGAACTACGTCGGCGCTGTCGCTGGCTGCCTTCGTTTACATCACAGTCGCGGTGGCGCTTTCGCCTAGGTTGTCTGTCTTCTGCTACGTCGTCGCTTCGCCGTTGCGACTTGTCCTCTGAATTCTCTATTTTCTCTGTTCTCTCCTTCCTCCGTTTCCACATCATCTTGTCCAAACACTTCTTACACAGAACGGCCTTTACCAATGCAGATTTTGTCTCTCCGTGCTCCGAGTACGTGAATGGGAGCTCTAATGTCGTCAGGGAAGGCTTGTGGCCGCTACCAGGGCTATGGTGCACACATCGTGTGTTGCCACATGTTGTCTCCCCTGCACCAGATAGCACCTCTTCTTCAGTTCTCCATCGCAAGGCAAACTGTTTATCGTAATTCTCAACTTCTGCAGATACTTCACAGAAAGAGGACGTACATTTCCAGACTTGTAATGCTTCAGATCGCATACAGCAAACTCTCGATATAGACTTGAGTAGTATTTCGATGCCAGCTTGTCCTCCCATGATGAATCCTTCTCATCATCCTCATCTTCGCGAAGAAATCTGTGAACAAAAATGAATGACTTGAAACACCCGCAGATGGGCAAATATACTTGTGCGACGCCTTGAGAATCTCGAACTCTGTTGGCCCTTGCGTTGGCGTCAATGTCTTCGAAGGTCCTCCGTAGTGCCCCAATGCCATGATACAAGAGAATGAACACTGACAGGTGGTTGACTCACACCCGGCGGTGACCCCCTGACCCTTCACACGAATCACCGGAAAATGCCGAGGCACCTTCAAGTCTCAAGATCGCCCCCCCAGTCTGACTCGAGTCTGACAGCTGTAAGAGGTGTAGCTTAGCTACAGCTGGCACCTTCGTACGGTATTTACTTCGCCGACGCAAATTCATCCAACGCCTTCCGATAAACGGTATGATTCCTACAGTTTATAGTTTCGTCACACGTGAGTCTGATTCTATGATGGCGTCCTTTGCAGGTACAAGGGCCGAAGAACGACGCCAAAAAACAATAGAAATGCTTCTGATGAAGTTCGATAGCTATAATGGTTCCGTCTGCCAAGAACGAAAAGAGACCTAACTATATCCTACCTGGGCCCTCCGCAAGACCCCCCGGACGTTCGTTTCTTTAAAATAACACTGTGTGACCGAGAACGTCGCGCTCTATGATCCGGTAATCAAAAGCTTTTTAAGTGCCAATAGTATCAAGGGAGTTCGCACTATTGGGTATCATCAGGTTATCAGACGTAGAGAACTACAGTCCGTCCAGAATGAGTCTGCTTCCTCAAGCGTCGTACGACCATAGTTAGGGGCCAGGTCATGGGTATGTGCTAGTCGTAGAGGTTGGCGATCCGGGAAGTTGTTTCAGTAAGAATGAATCAAGGCTCTGAGACGAGCAGAAGATCGATGCGTCAGACCCTGACTCACCTTGTGAACGATGGTGTTGGAGTTCACGGGAGATAAGACTTGCCCCTCTAAGGTTTGAATCACACATCAAATGGCAGAGATGAAAGACAAGGGAGGTGCCATCCTAGTGTGAATAGATATTATTCTAGATAGACCGAAGACGCCCGGAAAGTTTGATCTATTGATGCGAGTTCCTCAACAGAAGACCCACCCGCGATGGACGATCCAAAACAAGGGCTTGATCTTTCCAACGATAGAACCCTACGGTGGTCAGTGCCTAATCATCGGTCCCAAGACGTCGTCAGAGACCTGGCAGCACAGTGTCAGAATATGTATCCGTGAGAAGAGCAGTGGAGGATAGAAATCTGGTAGTCGAGCTTCTCGACCGTGTAACAGGATTGCATGATGAGAACATTTGGGGCACATCCAAACATTATACACGGTGGCAATTATTGCAACTAGAATAGCCATGAAGGCAATGGGAATATCGAGCAAGAAGCGACGTTTCTCCGCTGCTTACTAGCATGAAGAGAATGGGAACTCGGAGCCAAAGTATCCGAGAATACGACGGGGATCAGGATATACTGGCTCAAAGATCTGGGCTGATGCACAAACTCCTTGAATTACGGGTCCGGGTCGCAGCAGCCTCGTTGGGCGCTCTACCAGAAGCTGACATAGAGAGGGGCGCATAAACATTTTGTTCTTCCAGAACTTCAGCCTACTTCAGGATATCCGAGAGAGCGAATCCAGGCAAGCAGATAGGCAGGACTTGCCGGTCTAAATACACCCCCGGGGGAATTTATTGTCGGAAGACTGGGCGCATCCATGTCAAAACATCAAGACAAAGTACTTGCATTCTGTTGACCGCCCGACTCTAGACGTACTGTGAGCGTCGGCTCCGCACAAATACGTATAATTGTTGCTCCGCGCCTGCGGCGCGTAGACCGTCATGCTCTATGGGCCCAGTGAAACCAGATAGGCATACCGGTACCGCGTGATTCGCTCACAGGTTTCGCCATAATGAAGGGATCTAGTAGATGATTGCCGACCATCACATGCACAATTATGCTGAGCCAGTAAAATCACCGTCGTCCACATTATCACAGTCAGTGCCCTCGTATCGCCGACCAACATTGTTAACGACGCCCAAATCGAATACCGGACTGCGTAAAATGGAGCGACACGAGTTTGTTTTTAAAATTGAATCGGCCATTGATCATCTTCTCTCATGGCTATCAGATGCGCAACTCGACGAAAAAAGCGGTCCCGAGACTAGATTCATAGGCGGAGGCATGATATTTGTGAACGGCGTTTCAACATTGAATTATTGGGATTCCGGGGCACGAGACGTGTAGCATATCAGTAGATTCGACCTAGCGTTCCCGAAGAGCGTGCGCCACCTAAATGTCGCAAAGAAGGGCTATGCAACGACAGAACAGCAGGTCACTTTGTGGATATTCAACGCATTCAAAGCTTTGAAAATGATATTGGATGCTCGGGAGAAGCGCGCCAAATTCGGGAGTCGGAGTGCAGCGGAGCTTGAAAAATAGCTCCGCATGGTGCACGTCACCCGAATCGCCGCCATTTTGTGGGTACACCGATTCGTATGGACTATGGCGCATTTGTCGACGGCCGTCTCCAAGTTCTCTCGTTCTAATGTATACCCTTACATTGCTTGGACCGAAAAGTTGCCATCGGCGTCGAGATTTGATAAATACCTCGGTCATGGCGTGCGTGTGTTAACGTTAACGTATTACTATTAGGTATATCCATCTTTTTTTCTGGTCATCATGACGAAGGACGGTTGCGAGGGAGGCTCCATTGTGATCGATTCTCTCGCTTATTTTCCAAGTTACTCCGGCATGGGGACAGCATGGAAACCGTCCCGGTGCGTCACGGTGTTCTAGGTCAACTTTGGCTACATTTGCTTACCTTTTTTCTCATACAATGAATCAGTGCATGTACCCTGACATGGTAGTATTTTTATGAGTAATGCTCTTCTTCGCCTCGTGTTGCGGAAATGAAGCTGCTATGACTCATTGCATGTCACTTTGTGGATGGCTTCGTCGTTGATTGAAGATGCGTTATATCTGAGCGCCCTTCGAATGCAAGCGCTCAGATGAACGGGATACACAAGTGAATCGGTAATTCGGGGACTTTGTTGCTGTCCGAGGCTAAGCTTGTCGAAAACGAAACTACCCTCAAAAACCGAAATGAAAAACGGGTGCTTTTCAGTTCTTGTGTGGTGGCGTCGACGGTAAACGATCTATAGGCTATCGGTATTCCATCAATCCTACGCTGCGTCTGTCTGGACACGCCAGGCGCTCACTGTCAGGGCACCTGGTTTGTATCTGACATTCGGAATGACCAGCTTTGTATCTCCTTCCGGCGCTTTTCGCTCTGTGGGCTATTGAATGCGCCAGTCGGAGTTCCTGTTCCTGCTTAACGCGCTATAAGCATTATTGAAGGTCGATTGCCGTGTGAGGCTTTGACTGATCTGTCCAACAGTTTGACGGAGGAACGCCCCGTTCAATGGCCGTGTTCCTAAATTCCTTGGCTTCGCTGTATTGTGTGAACATCGCAGTTGTGATCTTTCCATAGGACTTTGAATAGAGTCCAGAAGGCACGAAAACAAATGCTCGAGTCTGTGTGATGGTTCCTCTTATAAATTTTATTGTCCGTGGTTTCGGATTCCTCCCAACCTGGGTTGCGATCTTTTCACAAGGGCTAGGCTGTGAGCATCTCAGCGAGGATCGTTTGCACATCACGTCAAGTTTTCGATTAAACAGAATGACTCTTGTACCGCGTAAATGTTCCCATGAGCTTTGCACTGGCCAGGCTTGCTTCGTATGGGAAAACCAGGGATCTGGGTATGGACTCTTGCGTCTCGCGAAGGGGCTATTCAGACGAATGTTGTTTACCTTCCGGGATGGTAATCCATAGAGGATTGCTTGGAGAAGGTACTTCCCAGCCCCTCGAGGTTCGGACCTCTCTGTCAAAGATATATTGTAGCTTAATCGGATTCACTAGATTGATTGCATTGTGACCTTGTGCTTCGACTCCCACAGGTTTCAGTGGCGAGCTTCGAAGCGGCTGGCAGAACCGGTGTTTCAGCAGATGGAAAGGTCAAGAGTTCAGCTAACTCAGATCATGTGGTACGGGTCAAACAGCTGTGAGATGTGTGAAACCAAAGGTCCGGCTTCTGATGCGAGGCTGAGCATTATTGCAATGCTGGTACGAAATCATGTGAGTCACAATTCAGTATGAAATCCGTATTGAAATTAGGAGGATTAGCCGAGGATTTCCAGATATGGAAGCCGATCGGGATGCCGTGAAATTACCCCAGGATCGGGACTAAAGGATCACGCGAGATCCAACCCGGAGATTCGCTCGTCTCCTGGAACCAAATTCCTTCAAAATGTCCAAACATATAAGATGTACTCCTTCCCCTGCATCATTCTCTTTTCTTCCTCTCCCTCGTCGAGCTCGTTGTCGCTAACGGTAACCAGCAGATCGTCCTCGACATCAACGACAGCGACCACGTCACGACTTGGACTTGGCAGCGACACTACCACCTGATCAGTCCAAACATTCTGACACCCCCGTGGAACCACTCGCCTTTTCTAGGCGGCATATATCCATCTTGTTTTTCTTCCTTTTGCTTCCTTCATGTCGACTCTCCTTCCACCAAAATTACCCTTCGTTGATGTCCTACCGTCTAGTGCCTCAGTGCCGGAGCGCAGCACGCGACCGAGGACGACATCGCTGCGAGGCATGTCCTTGAAGGCACGAAAGACGTTCATCTTACCTGTCATTAGCTTTCTGGGAAGAAGGGGTAGTGGACCGAAGAGTGCAGACAGTACGCAGAGCCCCGCTTTTAATACGAGGCAGAAGGAGCCTGCTCCGTGTGAGAAAGTGTCCGGAGAAATTGACTCACCCGTCGTCGCGAGGTAAGTTTTTCTGCAAATATGTGTAATACCCGCCTTATTTTAATGCTCCTCTCGCTTCAGTCTGTCAGAAAAGCTACCTGCAAGGCGGACTACTGGCGCTGAACGCCACAAGACGAAGTAAGTTGGTCAAGATCCATATGGTGTTTTTTTCCTTTTTTTTTCTGACCGTTTCCACAGCTCCCCGACGCCACAGCTACAAGCGTCTAAATCGAAAACCTTATTACGAACTATATCGACCACGTTTCGCAAGGTTTCGCCGACAATTCCCAGCTCACCAAATCCTCCATTCTCCCAATACAACAGGGATGCAGCGCTGCGTGAACGTGGACTTCTACCTCCCCTTCCTTTGAGCTTGCAAGAGCAGGAACAGGATCGACGCATCCCTAGTCTTGAACTGAAAGGCGCTACCGATGATGATCAGCCCAGTGCTGCGCATCGGATCAAAGAAGAGTGGGAGGCCAAGAATCGCGCGAATGAAGCAGAGCAGCGCGAACGCTTCGCTCACTTCAAGTTTGGTGGTTTAACGTCGCCAAGCGCACCAGACTTGACTCAGCCTCAGATCTTGGAGGTTGTCATTGAGATGGATTCTCCTGCTCCTTCCCCTACTACTGCGACGTCATCACACGAGAAGAGCTTAAAACCGCCTGCGTTGCATCTTCACCCCTCTACTCCCTGCGTTCACTCACATGATATCCCCTCGGAACCGGAACCGGATCCAGCGTTCGTCCCGCTACCCCCTTCGCCTCTTACGTCCGTACCAGAAGCAGCTGACGTTGATCCGGCTCTCATACCTATACCCCCCTCTCCTATTTCGAAAGGCGTAGTGTTACCTGCTTTGTCTATTGGACCGGCATCAGAACCGGCCGCTTCAAGTTCAATACCAACCGACAAGATCGAATCCCAGAAGCAGCTTTGTCCTCCCTCGCCAACCTTTTTGAGTGCGGCCACGCCTCCTGCGTCTCCTACTATGTCCGCCGGGCATAGTACAGAAGAAGGATCGCTTGCACCGCCGTCGCGCAAGCGTTCACATACTGTTCTTTCCCATGAATCCTCGGATGAATCTTCCATTGCAACTCCTTCCATCGATGCCACTTCACAGGTGCTTACTATCGTTACAACGAGCTCAGAATCTCATGCGAGTAAGCGGAGGTCTGCAGGGAAAGGTTGGGCCAATGATTTTCCGTCGCACGACATTCCCGTGATCGTAGAAAGCCCGAAGGAGGAAGTCTCCCCTTCCTTTTCAAATAACGGGAAATCCTCCGATTCTCCTGTGGAACCGGAAAGTTCTTCGCTCCGGCGGGGACAGACTGCCCCTTCTCCGACAGAGTCTCGAATTAAGGGACAACGTCGACGGTCGCTCAACCTTTTCAAGAAACTCGACAAGGCTCCGGGTTCTCGATCTTTAACGACGATTCGCCGGTCGGTAGTAGGAACTCTGGGAAGGAAGGAAAAAACCGACCTTCCTCCGTCACCTACCATTCCCTCGCCTCTCCCTTCGCCGCCTCCTGTTGAACGTCGTGGCCTACGTGCAGTGCGGTCTTTGGGTTTCAACCGACAACTTTCGATAGTGACTGGTGCAGAAGCTCCTACTTTAAGCCCTCGGCAACCTCTGAGTCCAACGATACATAACCCTGGTAGCATACTCCTCGGAACGTGTGAAATCGAGGACGAAGAGAGCAGACGGGTGACAGAACTCGCTTTTCTTGGATAATTATCAACATTCATTTATCGTTTTACTCATCTTCGCGCTACCTTCTTCAGCATCATGACACTAATGACCATTCATTTATACCATCATTTGCATCGTTTGTACAGCTACTCTTCGTTCTCGTTTGCTTTTTCGCATTTATTGTCATTGGGTTCATGTCGTTCTGTCTGTCGTCGACATACTTTGTTAGTATCTCATGTGTTTTTACTTTAATCAGAGACCTTTTTGGCGACTAATCCCACCTCTTTATTTCACTTGATATTTTTGACTATGACACTACATCAAGTCCAACACGGTACGTGGAAAATACAGGTGCGATTCTCGCCCTGAGTGATCATTACTTTTACCTTGCTGATTTGTTCTAGGACGCTCTGCTACCGCAACTCGAACCTGACGATTCCAGCGGGCGTCCGCAATGTACTTGTCCAACTGTAGGGCTATCATCCGTTCCCATATGCAAGGGACTATCACGATCACGTCGAGTGAAATTTTCTCTGAGCAAGACGTCGAACGCGACCCTCACCTTAATTCTTTCCCATGCCGAGGCGATCAGCGATGTTTCCGGCCGACGCGATTCTGAATTGTAGATCAACTTTCAAGTGCCTTAATCGCTGATAGGGCAACGCTCCGGGATACAGCTTCGAGGGGCATCCGTGTTTCCTGTCTCGTCAATAATGTCAGGGACTCAGGACGCAAGGCCCAAGGTTCCGGACCTTATCTCGCCCAGCAAGGGACGGCGCTTCTACATATTTACTGTCACAACTTGAACAGACTCTCAGACCAGCATCGAGGTCGATGTCGCGTCCAGTCGCGTCGAATAAAGTAAGACCCTTTAGTACAGTCCATCACCTTCTCCGGTCATTTAAGTGAAGCAGGGTCGCATTGTATCTACGATCACATACGATCGCTATGCTATTAATATTGAGCATGAAACTCGCCTATTTTTACCTCAGGGAACTATACTCTACTTGGTATGTACTCTCCCTCCTCTTAAAAATTCTTTGTGCTCAGTCACTGAATCATACCCAGAGACTTCGGGCTCCTATACCTATAGCCTGGCCCGGAGATGCTGTGTTATCAACGAGCTGCGCAACATTCATGCGCCTCGACATACAAAGGGTTCAGGGCTGACTGTGCACGATAACAGCCTTGGCGCTGATTTTTATCATTACTGGACTATATAAAGTCTCGACATCGACGTCGTCATACCCCTAAACGCCTTTCTACTACGCTTACGAACCGCTGCAACACACTATCATGACAGAAGCCCTCGAAAAATATTTGACGCTCTCAGATGGAAGGAGATTAGCTTACGCAGACATTGGAGATCCAACGAGCTCCCTTGTTATTGTCATGTACCACGGGATATTTGGTGTTGGAAGAGCGACTCGCCTTTCCCCGGCCTTGCGAGAACTAGGCATTCATTTTGTTTCGCCCACTCTTCCTGGGTGGGGTACCTCTGACATCCGCCCTAAGGACCTACCATATCCTGTCTGTTTAACATCCGACTTCACCGCTTTAATCAATCACCTTCACCCTAACGATGAGAATCTCAGGATATACATCAGTGGAGGCTCGTTCGGGACTGTCCCTGCACAGATTCTTTACGGGGCATCCTTCGACACCTTTCCACTTGGGCGAAAGATAGCCGGGTGTCTGCTCCTGGCACCATTTTCTCCTTTCAAATGGGACAAGACGTATACGAAAGGAATGACGTGGCAGAATTACTTCTCAGTCGGACCCCCTTCACAGCTGTTACCTTTCAGAATCGTTCCCCGAATGCTAGCGGCGGCGATATCGTCTCAGATGAGCACGGTCGAGAAAACTGAAGTTCTCATCAGGAAAGTCCTGTTTGACAAAGCGGATGAAACGGAGCGCGCGGCCTTTGCGAAGTGGAGGGAACAGAATGGTCTTGCCGAGGGTCAACTCGAAAGGGAGTCTGCAGAGAATGCGATGTGTAGTATAGCAACAACCCGAGAAGGTTTCTTGGAGACGTCGGATGACCTTCATTGCGACTGGGGTTTCTGTCCTAATCAGCTGGATGAAGAGCACTCGAAGCGGCCTTTGCTGATTGTCGCGTCGACGACTGATGAACTGGGTCCCGAGATGGCGGAGTGGCTTGCCAGAAATTACGCTAACGCCAAACTCGAATGGGTTCAAGGTGGACATATAGCTGCGTTGTATGAGGTGGATGGCATCTGGAAGCGTTTTATTGAGGAGGTGGAGGGATCCAATGTTGCCAATTCTGAACGTTAGCAGCGCCATCCATGATAATAATATTTCTTTTTTCTGCTGTAATGTTCATTTCGTCGTTAGGTCACGGTTTTTGATTTTTCCTACAAACACTTCTCCCGCGCCTGACAAGTATGTTGATTATATGTAGTACATAATAACCCTCTTCTTCACCAAATTTTCATTGGATGTCTCAACTCAGTCAAGCAGCTAAGCTCAAGGAAGAAGGGAATGCGTTATTTGTCAAGAAAAACTACGCTTCTGCCATTGTCAAGTACACTAAAGCCATCGCACTCGACGACAAAAACGCAGTTCTCTACGCAAATCGCTCTGCTTGCCACCATTCATTGAAAAGGTGAGGCGACATGGATAGAAAATGTACCATACGATCCATGAAATATTGAACACTAGGCACTTGGATTCTCTTGGAGATGCCCGGATCGTGCGTCAGGTTCCATCCAAGCGTTGACAAAGACTGACTTCACTTTTGTTGATATAGGCAACAGAGTTAGACCCAGCGTATTCGAAGGCATGGGGAAGGTTGGCAAGCGCCTACAGCATGAGCCTTGCCAACAGGAATCATGTGTCCTTGTACGCTTATCAGCTAATTGCCAGATTGTCGGGCAGCAACAAGACAGTGTGAATGCGTATCAGAGGGCCCTAGATACCTTACCGAAGGACAATCTTACACCAGCAGAAATCAAGCAGAAATCGCAGTACGAGGATGGACTGAAGAAGGCTCAGGAGCTTTTAAATACGCCTCGCCGACCGATGGAGAGCAATCCTTTGGCTCTTAAAGTGGATGCAACACTGAAGGTCATGCCGTGGGACGCAGCCAATGACATTGTTCCAGAGCTAGCGGCACAGAATCTATCTGATAGCAGTGTATGTCCATTGGTATTTTCGAACAGTAGCGAGAAATGACGGGCTTCGACTCATGTAGGCTTGGGGCATCCATTCTGCGTACTCGGTAAGATTTTATTTTCGCATGAGAAAGTTGCATCCTTATTGGAATTTTGTACGGGCAGGAATACAAAGAAGGAGTCGATACCATGAAGAATACCAGACGCGCCGTCCAACGCGATGGAAAGATGATGGTCATGGTTGATAGCGGAGTAAGTCGCCGGTACAGTCGATTATCCATTGCGACTAGAATTGACGTCTCTCAAAGGCGTTGAAATGCCTCACAAACGCTATCATTCAGGATGAGAGAGTTTTTCATATGGACAGTTCCAACTGGCTGCAAAAATTTGAAGACCAAGGTAAGATTTATGCATACTAAATGATCAACAAACTCACTTTGCGACGTTTAGTGAAGTTGGAAGTGTCATTTCATCAGCCTTGGGTAAATGTTGGACCCGATGTCATTATGAGAGAAGCACCTTTGCGTCTACAGAATGGAGGGAGTTGGAACAGACTCAGACCAAGTCTTGCTATTACCATTAGGTTAGACTTCATCCGTATGGGCCGAGTCTTCAGTGATTGACCTGTTCTATTAGACTATGGATTATGCGTGGGTCTCTGGGGGAAAAACTCAAGCACGATTGCGCCATGAAGGTAGAGTACCTCAGCCGTACTCTGGAAATATTGGAATGGGGCCGCAAAACTTGGAGTCGAGTTCCCAAGGCAAACCGTGGTGCCATTTTCGAGGAGACTTTTATTCATGGGGTTCGAAATATGTATCTCTCCGCACTTATGGAGGTACGTCGACTCTTGGTAACGCTACACGCCTTTTTGTTGATCCGAATACCCTAGCGTTTTCAGCAAAGCCCATCTAATGAGATTCTCGAAAAGTTATATGAAGAAGCAGAACTGCTAATCAAGAATGTTGATAACGACACCACCACTTTCTCGCATCCACCACCCGTCATGTGGTCGTTCTTTAGGAACTGCTCGGGCAACGCCAATGCGTACGTTATTTGGTGTCATCATTCGTCGTTCTGTTTCAATTCGATAATCATTTTACTAGATCAAAGGGATTCTATCATAGCGCTCTGGCGCGTATTGAACCAGACGATGAAAAACAGCATTTTCAACTCGCTGGTGAATTCTGTGTCAAAGCCGCAGACGGATATGCAACCGACGATGAAAAACACACGTGTACGTCTGACTTGACTGTCAATAGTTGCTCCACTCATTCCATGATCTAGGGTACTTGCATTGCGCACTGATGTATATGGAAGCAGTCGGAGCACCTACTCCGGACTCGTTGGACATCCTTTTGCGCATTCGTGAATCCCTTCCTAAGATGCAGAGAATATGGGGTCGTAATCCTGCTCGGAATCCAGAGCGCGCATCACTTTATGCAAAGGACTTAGAACTTGAAGCGAAGTTATTGCAGAAGGTCTAGGTGGCGCATGCGAAAACCACTTACGTCGTATATTTCAAAAGCAAAAGTACAATCTACCGTTGTTGTGGTGCCCCCAATTCAGGCTTGTCTGACCAGAGCATGATACTACTATCACAGTATAGGGATTCGGTTTTATGGTATTGCCAGTATGCAAGATTGTAAATGATAGTTAATAGCTATTATATATGACATGCTGTATTAGGTTCCAGTTTGGTGATGCTATGCGTAGCAATTATCGTATTAGATACATCTAGATGAGGAGTCTTGGTGCTTGAATTAATCACGAGCTGTAGCCGTAATAGCAAGGGGGTAGTCGAAGAGAGTTGTACGCATATTCAGTACACCGTCCAGAAACTTCTGTTGGTCAAATGATTTCGGAAGTTCCATGTCATATGCCAGCACGAGTTTAGCCACCGTGAGATGAAGTTCTTGTGTGGCGAAGATCTTGCCAAGGCAGCTGAACGCACCTGTGGAAGCTACGTATGAGAATGCTATTTCCTCAAAGTAGAACGCGACAGACCGTAGGAGAAGCACAGCATCGCGTTTTTCTTCGTGATTGTCTCCGGACCAAGACCCTCAGGTTGCCACCTTTCTGGCAAGAATTCCATAGGTAAGGGGTAGAAATTCTCTGGGCTGGTTTGTTGGGTATAAGGCGGAACAGACTGCAGACATCTTCAGATGCAGAGTGACATAAATAAAGGGAGGAACCTACTACAATGATGTCTTCGGGTATAAATTCACCGTCAATCATAGACCCACCCTCTCCGACAATACGGGGGAGGCCGCCAAATGGAGTACCAAGGCGAAGACCCTCCCAGACGACACCGTTGAGGTAGGGGAGTTCTTGGAGGCCTTTTGGATCATCGATTTCATCGATGCTGTGGAAGTGAGCATCGAGTTCATCACGAAGTTTCTTATAGACAGCACGGTCGCGGAGAAGGTAGAAGAGAAGGATCGTAAGTGTTCCACCTGTGGTGTCAGACCCTAGCAGAAGGAAGCATCAGGATATGGATTCTTACGACATTCTATGTACGTACCGGCGGCAATAGCGAACGCAGAATCGATGTTGAGGTCTTCATCACCAAGGCGCTCACCACCCTTCTCACCTAGCTGGAATACAGTGTATGAGAATCAGTGTCATAAGCCCAATAACATATCGTACCAGGTACGACGCAATATCGTCGCCAGTCACGTGCTTCCTAACGTCCATAAGCTTTGTGGCGGTCTTCTCCAGGACATGGAATTCCTCCGAAGCGGGCAAGTTCCATGCAATGTCGAAGATGGAAGGTGCTTCACCAAGTCTGTATGGGAACGATTAGGGTATATTCGAAAAAAAAAACACGTGGAGTGGGCTCACACTTCGAAAACGACTGTGGCGTTCTGGGCGTTCTCAGAGACATTCTCCGGGTCACCATTAGCCATCAGCTCCTGGACCGTTTTGTAGCCATACTATTTAGGTATATCAGACCAATAGCACTTACGACGTCACTGGTTGCACCAAAGGTCATCTCAGCCTAGGATATTGTTAGTAAAAGAAACTGCACTAGCAGAGTTATTTCCTTACCATCAAATCATATGCCCAATGACGGATGATCTCAGACATGTCAATCACACCATCAGCACCACGACGTTTGTCCATGACCTTAATCATTTGCTTTGTGCGCTTATCAACGACGGCAAGAAGCTTGACAAGTCTAAAAAAGTTCGAATCACTATGGAGAAAAAAAATAAAGGCAAGAAGAGAACATACGACTTGGCGCTAAAGGCACCGGCCCAAGCTTTCCGGCGGATGTTGTGAATATCTCTTTCGGGGGTGAAGAATAGACCTCCGACTGGAGCACGTCCAGGACGGTACGCCATACTCTTATCCATGCTCTGGGCAGTCGTGTAGATGGGGTGTACGGCTTCGACGGACGCGATAGAAAGCGTGTTGGGACCTGACCACTATTACTCTCCGCGGATGGAGGAAATACAATGAAACACACCAGTTCGAACAAATTTGCCATACATCTCATGAAGCCCCTTGATAAGCGTGTAACGATGACCGGTGGACACCATATGCATGGCCTTCAACGACGTGATCTTGTTGAGGAAGGGGCCAGGGAAGCGCCAAAGCGGATGTAGGGGCGACAGACGGTAAGCAACGGCAATGACGATCATGGTCCCCAAGAACGACGCGAGTCCACTAGTTGCTATCCCTAAGGATTGGCTGGCACTAAGTCCTTTGAAGATACCTGTGCCAAAAACCGATGCCCAGGCTAAAGCACAAACAACAACTGCGGTGTCTCCGCGGTACTCATGACGATTGAGATACAAGGTGGTTGCCTGGCGGTGAGAGTACAGTTAGATACAAAACACACGAATACCTGGCCAGAACGTACTGCTCCGATTGCTGCAGCAGCACTGGAGACACCAGCAATATCAAATGAAGGAGTCAATCCTTGTAAGGGAGACGAAGACATGGTGAGGTGGTAGTCGAGTGAAGGAAGGGGCTTGCAGAACCCTTTGCAGAACGGCCTCAAAAAGAGAGATATGACGCCGACTCGGGAGCAGCGTAGATCCAAAACGGATATGGGGCGCAACATACTACGGAATGTAATGCGTTCCGCATTAGACGGCCTCCGGCAATCTGGCTAGAAGCAGCAAGGGCAGCGGCAGAGTTGGAAATTGATTGGCACTTTCTTCGCGTTATGATCTACGGCAGCGCTATATATACCAATTAAAACTTTAGGAGTACAGCGTTTAACAAATAAATCACTCACTATCAGCCCTGAAAATCGGATGGGCAGGTAAATTGGCATAGCCGCCGCTGTAGCTCCTGGCCATGTCATAGTGACGTTCGAATTCTTGCCAAGCGCCCTGGGAACCAGGCTCGGTTCTGAAAAGTTCATAGCCCATCTTACGTTGCTGAAAAGACTATAGAAGCAAGACCTTTGTGCTCGCTTCAATACAGGCACGGTGTAGATCTTGCTATACGAAATATGTCCACAAATCCGTAGACAAGTCAATGATTACGACGGACGTCGCCCCCGAATCTCTTGTATTGCCTGTTGTCAGAAATACATTGCTATCTGACCGCGAGAAAACTCATGAGGGCCCTTGTTATTGCCCGTTAAGAATTTGATACCCGGCAAGAGATATTCATATTCAGAGTCGTAAATGGGCATTCAAATGACAGAACTATGAAGTAAATTCCGTCACACGATGGGTTAATTTAACGTGTATACTCACTGCTGCCATGCTTCCCGTCTGAGATAAGAGCTTTTCATCGGTATTGTCATGTCCGTTGGCCGTTCTACGCCCATTGTGGCAAAGTGAATTATACGAATCCAGACAGAGGTTTCCAATTGATGTCTAGACAGAGCGCCACTAAGAGGCGTCCTCGCGACAAGTCCAGCACTAGAGAAGGGCTAGAGATGGTGGAAGAGAAGGGAGGAAGACGCCGCCCAAAACGGAATCTCCAGTTTAGGGCAGGTCAAATGGCATGACCGTCATATCCGAGTCGACATTCAGATCTGAACCGATGAAGGACCGAAATATTTCAAGCAAAAACAGGCGATACTTGGAACTGGGCACAGGGTATCCTCACCCCCCTCCGTCCAAGGTTTCACCAACTCGACTACGATTCGAGTGAGCCAGCTGCAGTTCAATGTATAGGATACTAACCGAACACGTCAAGATAGTCATGACTCTGTCTTCTGAAACGTCTCAAAGTGTCCAAAACAAACCGGCTATTTGCCGATTAAAATAAATACGTACCAACATCCCAACATCTCTCTTACTTACATACAATGTCCCCAACTGCTACCCAACTCAAAGACGAGGGAAACAAACTGTTTTCCCAAAGGAACTTTTCAGGTGCTATCCTAAAGTACGCTGAAGCAATCGTGGCAGATGAAAATAATGCTGTCTTGTACGCGAATCGAGCGGCGTGCTATTTGAATACAAAAGAGTGGGTGACTCTTTCGACGCGTAGAGTGAAACCAAGGGGAAACTGAATAACGTTGTTCAGATATCTCAACGCGGTCAGCGATGCCAAACAAGTGAGCACTTGAGTTCATTGTCGCGACGCGTTCATGATGTAGGATCCATCTTTTCCCCTCTAGGCCATCACCATCGACCCAAAATATGCAAAAGCCTATGCTCGGCTTGCGACTGCTCATGACGTGCGCAGGTCTTGTTCAGTCTTTTCTTCTTCACTGACGTCCTGAGACAGATGCTTTCGGAGTATTGGCAAAGCGTTGAAGATTGGCAAAAAGCGCTAGACGCCCTTCCCACAGAGAATCCAACCGACGCTGAAATCAAGCAGCGTGAGCAGTACCAGGCTGGTCTCAAAACTTCCCAGGCTGCTTTGGAAAAGTTAATGGCTCAACCGGATCGACACTTTGCGTTGCCAGCGCGTGAAACCTCTCAACTTCCTTGGGTCGCCGCGGAGGCACTCCTCCCACGGTTGGCTGTAGAAGGAAACTATAATAGCAGTGTCAGTTCGTCTTTATCTTAAAAAACTGTACCTGACTCATCCAGGCTTGGATCATTTGTACTGCTGCAAAGGTTTGTAAGCAACCCCTTCGATATGAATGGCCTCCCCATGTATAGTGCAGGAATTTATCGATGGTGTTAACAAGATGAAGACCACGACGAAAGTTGGCGCAGCCTTAGTGGGACACTTGGGTGTGCGTGTTTCTTCTTCAAGTCGTGCATACTAACATAACTCATATTTCAGGTCATTGCTTCTATCAGTAATGCCGTCCTCGCAGATAATAGAGCATTTCATATTTCAGACCCCCGGTTTGTATCCATGTATAACCTGCAAGGTAAACGCCACCTTCTCTCTGATCGCTAGTTCAATTGCTTCATCTTCCTTTGTAGTACAACATGAAGCGACAAATCACGGAGCATGGACTGATGCAGGACCCGCTCAGATTAAAAAAGAAGTGCATGCGCGGTTGCAGACAGGTGGATGGAACAGTGTCCGTCCTGCAATCAGCGTCTCAATCCGGTAAACGACTTTTAGATGGAACCTGAGTTCACGCTAACTACTTTTCACGTAGCTGCCTGATTATGAGAGCATTCTTGGAAGGCAGCCTTAGAGGTCTTCATAATCTCGAGCTAGAATTCCTAACCACCGTTCTTGAGATCTTAGAATGGGGTCGTGAGGTCTTCCGTGATGTTCCCAGGTATGCTTCTTGCCGTCATCAATGGAGCACTGGGTTTCGAATTGGTTTAGGGAGGAACGCGGCACAGTGTTTGATCTGACCTTTGTGCGCGGGGTTCGGAACATGCATCTTCACGCACTAATGGAGGTGCGTCTACTAAAGTATACCTAGTATTCATGTTCGCTTATTCCACTGTTGCACCGTTAGACGTACGCTACAAACCCTTCTGGTAACGAACAATACCTGGAAGAACTGTTGAAACGAGCCAATGATCTCATACGCGAAGTTGATGAAAATCCGCCTCCTGAATCACTGCGAACTACCAATCCAGGATTCAAGCTTGCATACTATGATTATTGTAAAGGACATGCCCTCGCGTAACACTTTCGTTTGTTTGTTTGCCCCGTTCCCTAACGTCTCTACAGGATGAAAGGATTCTATTACAATAAAGTCGGAAACTCCCTCGCTTCCAAGGATAGGAGCAAAGGAATTCAAGCGTATAGCGCCGCTGGGCACGCCTATCTTGCCGCGGCGGAATGCTTCCCACCTGACGACGAGTGCTACAGCTGTAAGGCTAACTAATTTCGAAGAGCACCATAACCGCTAATCTTGCTTTTATGACAGGGTTCTTGCATTGCGCCATTCAGGCTATGTGGGGATGCGGTACTCCCGTTTGTGTTCAACTGGAAGCGATGGAGAAGCTGCGGAAATCGCTCCCTGAGATGAAAAAAATCTGGTCATGCTCTCAGATGAGTAAGGGCGGGACCATTGAGCTTTGCGAAAGCATGATAAAGACGGAGACGAGCCTCCGAGATATGGTTGCTAAAGGAGAGGTATCATTGGATGATTGCGTTAGTCCTCAGGAACTCTAGAACGAGGCATACACCAAAAAAAGGTTGTTCATCAATCTATAATTGTATAATAACATTTTGTCTAGTAGTTTAGTGTACATGCACGCGTTTTGTGCTTTTCTTGTATATATATGTACGTATTCATGATCATGATATAGTTTCCGACATTGACCGTTGAACAGCGTGAGTTTTACAAACCAAAAGAGACTGCCTCTATAAAAGGCAGCTTAGATATCATTGTGCAAAGCGAGGAGATATCTACAACTCAATGGCTAGAACTGAATTCTTCTATAGGAAAAATTGGGTTACAAGAAAATGTCGTTAGAAGGGATCCTGCCTGCCCTGCATCATGTCTCTCCTAGACTCCCAGAGAATGGCGAGCAACATGCGCGGGAAGGACTCACGCTACCATTCAATAGTAACATATGAAGGTAAGTAAGCAGTAGAGAAAAAAGGCTGTATCAAAAAGCAGCCGGGAAACCCTCATATCATCCTGCGGCCTAAAGTACCTGAGCGCCTCACTCGGCGGAAGTAAGTGGCAGTTTCCAAGCAGGTATCTTTAGTCGACCCACACCCGTCCCAGTCAGGGTTAGGTTGCGACGCCGCGATACATTTGTTGTAAGCTGGGATATTATCATTAGAGGGTATCAATATGAGAGCGGAGCAGCGTACTATTCATGCATTCGTTAGCGTTGGTGGTGCTAGTAGACGTGGTGGCGCTTGCGGCAGACGCCGAGGTGGACGTAGCAACGCCGGACGTTTTAACGGTGGAAGGGGTGACAGAGGTAGATGTTGCAACGGTGGATGGTTCGGCAGCGGAAGTGGCGGTGGCGGTGGTAGCGCCGGAGGTGGAAGAGGCCACGACAATTGACGATACGCTGGTAGATACGACTACGCTGTTCACGGTGGTGGCGGAAGCTTCCACAGAGGTGGTAGATGTTGATGCTTCATCCTCCGAGCTCGCGGAGCTGTTAACAGGAACGGCAATGATGGAGGTGGTACTGACAGTAGCGTCCGCTGAGGTTGCCGTAGCACTCTCGGATACGGACGCTGCTGAAGTCGAGCCCGACGAATCGCTAGATCCTCCTACAGTAAAATCAACACAATCTTCGTACGTCTGATCAACGCTCTCGGAGTACCAGCTGGATGAAGTTTTGTTGATTACTTGATCAGCGGCGATTTTGAAAAATAAAGTTTTATACTTACTACCACTGGATGACACAATCTCCAGCCGTCGCACACTGATCGCCAAGATCACTAGGAATCATGATGTCCCAGGCCTCGTCGTCCGCCGTCACGCCGCTTTGATTGCTGGCATAATCGTCCCAAGAGTAGAGGGCATCACCAATGATGGTATTGGTTGCGGTTGCAACTGTGCGTTAGCCGGACATCAATTCCTGTAGGCAATAAGAAGCAAGTTATCTACCTATGGAGACATTGGCAATCTAGAGCCGGATCAGAAGGGAAGGGATGAGAGGCGTGGCTAACGATTGAGACGATGCACTTACGCCTGTGTGTGGCGCCCTAATTTCTGCGGTCATCGAGACGGTCTGGCCAGCGGTATAGCTCTGGACGTTCGCCTCATTATCGGCGAACTGATATCCTTTGCATAACCAAAGATTGCAAGTCGATGAATCGACTGAGCTGGTTTGCAACTCCTGTTGGATGTTTCCATACGGATCAGATGTTTCTGTGGAAAGTAGTTGCGAACCGCAAGCCGCTGAGAATGCAGAGCCAATGGTGTCACTACGGGGTGATGGACTGGTAAGTTTGCCATGTCCAAGGGCCTGGCCTGCGAAGAGGAGGGCAACAGAAATGGAGATCCAGGTTGCGGAAAGCATGGCTAGAACTCGGAGGAAGTACGAAGATGGATTTGAATGACAAGTCACAGACGTGCAGTGATTCGAAAAGAGTGAACAAAAGGAAGGTTGGAGAGAACGTGGAGAGGGAATAGGGAGAAACTGTAGGATGAATCCTGGAGTTGCGAGTCATTTTGTACTCCCTAGGTCCACAAAGTCATCGTCAAGGTACGCTCGCTGTGCGGGAGCCATAGGGCGCCGGAGAAATTTGGGAGACGCATTCATTCTTGAGTGTTCTTTGGAAATTTAATTCCCGTCTTTGACCACGCAACGAGATGGTGCCATAGTAACATTTGTGATATCGCGCCAACGGCGCCTTCCTTTCGCAACCCCACTATACGTTTGTGGCCTTGTCAAGCACAGACTAGTGACGTAAAGAACAGAGATGGTTGAAAGCAAAAATTTCCTGATTTTTTGTTTGCCCTAGTCCAAGAGTTGTGGTAAAGCTCACAAGCGAAGTAGTCAGTGATAGCGCAAGGTTACTAGATGCCGTTATTTGCCGCAGTTGAAGACCAAAAGGGACGATTCCACGTGGCTTCCAATCTGTTGATACGACGCGCGTCGCCGATTTAAACTCGGATCCCGTCCTGTTTCCTAGGCCCAATTTGTGCGCTACGTATATTCACCGATGCTTCCGTGACGACTTCTGGACGTGCTGGCCCTGGCTTTTTCTTTCCGATCTCAGGGCCAACCTGCCTTGGACCTGAGTTTATTAACACTTTGATGATGAGACTTGGCCTAAGCGCTGAAACTTCTCATACGGACCGGAGACTCGTCCAACGATACATCTCGGTTTGCTTCAAGCAAAATGCTATCCCCAATGTTTTGCCTATCTTGCTTCGCGTTGCTACTAAGCGAAGTGCTGTAATGATGACGACGGTATGTCAGACTTGATCACGACTCTTATCAGCCGTAATTAGAGTCAATTGAACTCTCCAAAAATACCCTCGACAATATAAGATGGAAACTATTGCAACTTACCTGGGTTTAATGACGGACCTCTCTCCAATTCAAACCTCAGCCGAGGTGATCTGGAGAACACACCGGGACAGTTCCATCGGAGTTATCTCCCATTGATCAGGGCTCTGCAGTACGTAGCTACGTCGGATCGCTAACTGGATGTTTGGGTCTATTCTAGTCTCCGGACATACTCGTAATGGCTTTTGGAATGGCTATGCATACCAATTCGAGTGCTTTCCTTGGCTGCTTTCTCCGTGAGCTCCCATTGGCTAGATCTATAGATTTAGCTCGCACTTTTCCATGGCGTTTCCATACGTTCTCCTCATGTTTTGAGCAGAAAGAATCATTCAATCGGCGAGAAATCTTGTACATGATTGTTCGACCTGCGTGCACCCACGGTTCATCACTGCGCTGACTGGTAATGGTGTTCTACTACTGCATTTGGGTCTTTCTTGTTAAAACGAATCGCTTCATGGCACCGGTTCCACGATGGCGAACAAATGGAAGCGTAAGCAACTGAATACACTAGTACACGTGATTGACACTGGTGGGAAGCTAGCTTTTCATTCGATGAGGCGACCCCAACGAATCGTCCTGTGATGAGTTTATACACGTATGATGGGCTGAAATGCGGCCTTCAGTGCGATAACCTGAGTCCTGTTTCACGGTAAGAGCATGCTGTGGATACTACAGATCTCAGATGGCAGATAAGGAAGAGCTTGCAGAGATGCACTGTGCGAGTGCCAAGTTCAAGAAGAAGTAAGAAGTCAGCAGCTGAAACTCTCTGTCCAGACCAGTCTACCGATTCGGATTGTTCGATGCAGACAGCGGCAAAGGAGAAGAAAAGAAAAAAAGTTGGTGAACTACAAAAGTAAGACATTATAAGAAGAGCCGCTGAGTTATACAGCGGCGAATGACCAAGATATCCGGTTTGGGCGCCGAAGTTTCTGAATTCGTGTTACCCCGCATCACATGAACTTTACCCCGCATTTAAGCTTTATTCAGTTGCTCCCTACTGTCGGCCAAGTCCACTGATCTAGAACCGGGTAATGTCCATTACGAAGCCGTCGCACGGCTGTCGTAAGAAAATCCTCAGCTTTCGAGGGTTTCCTGGGAAGCTAGATGGTGATTGATCTGCCGGACCTCGCAGGGGGCCTCGACTCCATAGCCAGGAAAGCAGAAATCCCGCTGAGGGGCCAGGGTCGAGAACTGAGCGATGAGCCAAAGGAGTGGTGCTTGTAAAAATAGGAAGCGCCAAGCACGTGATGAATGAAATCGGGGATCTGCCTAAATGAATACAAAAGGTCGTCTGACTCCATCGCGTCTTACTTACTTCCCACCACCACCTTCTCTCTCCTGTCTCTTACCTTTACTGCTCAGCAATGTCCTCAAACTCTCGTCCTACTGATTCCACAATGCACTCAGACCCAATCCCAATCATGTCCCGTCGGGGCCGTTCAGCTTCGGTGTCTTCCTCGTCGTCTGGCTCGTCCATCTCGCCTACCGAATTACCGACTCCAATTTCCACTTCTACGAGCCCAGTCCGTATTGGGCCAGTGTCACCTGGAAGCTCCCCAATACTCTCGTATTTCTTCTCTCAATCCCCTACTAAAGCGCCGCCCGGTTCGGCTTCCACGTACCCATTCAGAAAGTTCGGACCTCCCCCGGTTTTCGAAGGTCTGTTCAGGCATTTGCCGGTCCTTGTATCCACTAATCTTGTGACTGCAGAAGACGAAGAAAAGGAGATACCCGTCGCAGAACATGCTCGACGGGCAAGCACAGCTGTAGCAGGTCGTTTTGCGCAGCCGCCGCAGCTTGGCATGCCTGAACCTCACGCAGAGCGTGGAACAGGTCTCTTACGAAGGCTCTCGATGAGTAGCACTTTCGCCAAGGTCGGTTCTCTCCGTTAGAATATAATCATTAGCTAACCATTTGATAATGTAGCCCTCAGACATGAGGTCTCGGTCACCGCCCAATGCACCGCCCAACTCCGCTGTTAGCCCCACTGAGGGCAAACAGCTTCCATTCGTTCGAGACAGTCGGCCTCGACGCTCCGCCACCATTAGTGTGGATGCCAAGCCACGCAGGGCTCCGTCACCTATGGGCGAACGTATCCTGAAAGGTCATTTCGATGGCTTCAACTAATCTATCCCTCCAACGCTCCCTTCGCTGCTTTCGTCGCTGGATTTCACCACGCTCTTTCACCACCGTCGCTTATGTTGGCATTCTCTCCACAGCATGATACCCGCAATCGCTGTGGGTTGTACTACTCTAAAGCATCGACAGTCCATTGACAACTGGAACATTCTGTATGCATGGGCTTAAATGCGTTGTAAGCACCATAGTAATCATCAGTGTATAATATCCCCGGTCATCCCTTTCGTCGTCGTCGTCTTGGTCCCTCCCTCTCTCCCCTATTTCCATTTCCATAATCCACGAAATGCACCCGACGGTAAAAGACCATAATCTGGGCCATTTTGCCACATCCCTTTTCGCATCTCTCTTCGTCGATTTTGTGTCGCGCTTTGCTTTTTAAGTGGTTGTATTTCTGTGTAATATGTCAGTGAAATCGTCTATCTGGCCTTTTCTGCATGGCTCACTTTCCACCTGCAGCCATATCTTGGAACTTTGACCGTCAGTCTGTAAAATTCAAACCAGTTCATAATCCCAATCCATTTTTGTAATACTAGTTTGTCTCCCTTCCAATCTTTTTGTTCCTTTCTCTGTTCTCGCAAATCAGAAAAAAAGCAGGTCAAATTAGATGAACTATAGAGAACGTTGCATGTACTAGACTTCAACTTGGTCGCCCCACAATTGGCATCGGCCGTTTCGAGAATATAATTTTCCTTTTGACGATAGCAATTGCACGCCAACTGATAGTACCTCCGTTGTTGTCTTCATCACACACCATAGCATCATCCTCACTGTTCTGAGCAGACGATGACTTTTGTATTACGGCAATGGCTTTGGGAAGAGTAACGATCTTCCCTTCGAGGTGGTGGTGTCCAATGCGCAAAGTAGACTTTTTCTGCTGAAATTGTGAGAGAAGGACGTTATTCACTTAGGTAGCGCGTACCATAGCCTCGTCAATTGATAATTTCCCGACCAACTTTCCATTGCGCTCGCTTTCATGATTGCTCTCAACATCCAGCGCGCCCTGCAACTCAATCAAGACAATTTCGTCATGAGACACCTTCGCAAAGGCAGGTGGCAATTTCTGATTAGACGCAGAGGGAATAGAAATGTCAATCGGTATCAGCATCGTGGTGGAGAGATCTTTGCAGTCCGGACGCGTTGGTGACGCGTTGTTTGGCCCATGATGGCAAATAACTCAACACCGCCACAACGATTTCACCAAGTACTGTGGCGCAAGGAGATAAGTAACTACAATAAGGTATTAATCAAGGTTCCAGGCGTATATAAAGTACAACATGCTGATCTATATCTCATCTCCATCATGGCAGGTTCTAGGGCTCGACAACTTGCCTCTACTAGCCAAAGTTTCCATATTCCCAGCTATAACATTCCTGACACACATGTGAATTCAGTAGAGTTACGAAGCATGCTATTGCACATGCTTACCACGCAGTCCTCTTCTGGAACAGCTTCAGGAACTTGTCGTCCTACATCAACGCTGGGAGGCCATGGATCTGTAAGAACCTTCTCAATCACGGTGACAATACCATGTGTTCGTATATCGACGGCCCATGAAAGGTTCGAGACTGTATCATAGACAATAGATTCGCCCAGATGGCATCTAGATGATGGTCGGACTCAGAAGGGCACCTTCGAAGAAAACGACTAACCGAGACTCCATGGCGTATCCACCCAGGGCACAAGATGAAAGAATGCCGTTGCATGTCCCCATTGCAATAGGATCGGCTGTGTGGTAAACGTGGGTAATGTGCTGCGTGGAAGGCTAGGCACGAATAAAGCAACTTGGTCTTATTCTGGTGGAGAGGGTAGCAAAGCGACGTACCGGTGATGGGAGATGAAGTCGAGACGCGGCCATTTTCTCTCCTGGTGCTTCAAATGTGATAACTGGGGCGCCGAAAGTGGCACCGACCAGACTCGCTAGAGCCCCACCCAAAGAATGTCCGATGATCCATATGTTGGAATCGGGGTACATGTACGACAGGTTATTGTACAGATTCTAGGCGACGGGATGAGGTGAGTTTATGCTGTGTATTTGAGACGTACTATCCCAACGGGGTAGAAGAGGCTTTCTTCTATGAGTGCCTCCTCGACGCAGTCTTGATCACACTTCCATCCCCCACGATAGCATCCGCAAACGGTAGTCCACGTCCAGTCGATCCTAGCGCAGCAACAGCTGAAGAGTAGGTTGTCATTTAGTTTATCCTTCTTTACAGTCGGACCTCCTCCATCAAAAACACCCGCAGAGGTTCCCTTGATGGATAGTACAACGGTCTCGTTATCAGGCGTCGCAAAGACATGACCTCTGAACCCGTCGTCATCGGGTTCCCAACCAAATGGATAAGACTGCGGAGGGTGTTAGTTCTTATCTAAGGGAGATTGCGAGGATACCTACGACTGTCCAGTTTGCGCCTAGATCGTACCATGAGCCCTCGTCGGGTACGACGTAAGCGTTGTTGGCCATTTTAGCCAACACAAGCAGGGTTTCTCGGTCTTCGATATCCGGCGCGAGGACCTGATCTTCTTCCCATTCTAGGCTTTCACTCTGTCCAAACTTCATTGAACGCACGCGAGCTTGAGAAAATGCATCAAAGCTGGGAGGCCTGAAGGCCTTGACCTTTCGTGTTGTTAGATTATATGAGTTGTCACTATAAGAGTGCAGAGACTCGGTATCAGTATTTGATGATATGTCGGCAAAAACGACTCGAGCTGAAGACGAGACTGCATGGACGTGGCGAAGCTGGAACTGTAGGGGCTGCGGTGGGGCTAGTGGAACCTTGCTATTGGTGAGAACGTTGAGAAACGAGACGAGGAAGCTCGCCAGGGATGTTGGTAACATGGAAGCATAACACGGCAGACTATGGAATCGATAGGGTCGACAGCGATGACGATGGAGGACCCAAGCCAACCCTAGTTGTCACGGGCCGCCGGCTGACTCCGGCCTTTAGGCCGGCCCTATAAGTCCGACTGCGACTTGGTCCTCTACTTATGACCTTTGGCCTTAACACAGCGCCAGCGCTTACCGGTACCTCCTACGTCTGATTCGCCTGTTTCTCAAAAGCCCCCCAATTTCCTCTCCATTCATCGCATCCTTTATCCAGCTCAGTCTGGACTTTGAGTCACCAAAGCAACTGATAAGTAAATTCACTGCATTTCTTACGAATAAAAATCCCGTCGAGCTAGATTGAACCAAATCAAGTCGCCTTAGTGATGCTGAGTGGGTCCCTTCACTTCTCTTGTCTCCGCCGCTTTTTTTGTAAGGCCGGATTCTTTGTGCCTACCAAAACTGACCTAGCTAGTCATCGCATCCCCCTTTTTCAATATGTTCTAGTCTTTTGACCAGCAAAGTGTACCGCAACGCTCGTAAGTGCGACACTCTAGACTATAACTAGCGAGGTATGTGCACTGTGTTCCGAATTGCTCCGTATCATTTGAATAGATGTCAATGTGAAAGCAGTAACGTAGGTTCAGACATTCAAATATCCTCCCAGTAGCCCAGACACGAGGCAGCTGCCTGGTAGACTACAATTCACAATGTAGTAGTCTCATCATCCTCGTGAGGGTCCTTCCAGGTCCTTGCTTTACCGTCTTGTCCGACATCAATGGCACTTAGGTCACTTGTGTTGTAAAAAGTGCGGCCATGGGTGTACAAGAAGGTAATTGAAGTTGGCAGATTGGGATGGTTTGGTCACTGCAAAGTCGGTATGAACAGAGTAGTCGGGTTTGGTGGTACCAGAGAGACGCAGAGACGAATCGACATGGAGTATGTACCTTGGCCTTCTACTTGGTAAACGGGGAGAGGAACTTGAGTCTGATTAAGCTGGTTTCCTCAGATTGATAAAGGTATCTTAGGTTTTTGCTAACAGGCTTGTAGCTCCTCAAGCTCAAGTCTTACCCTGCCAGTCCCTACTAGTGCTTCTCGCAATATTTTAGTAATCGCCCCTATTTTGCCGCGCTAGTCACAGATCACGTGTATGTTCACGCTGTGTGACAGAAACGCCTTGTATTGTCTTAACCTCATGCCTCCACGAAAATCAGACGTTATTGAGCCAAAGACACCCACACGTCGCTCAAAGCGAGGACAGCCTCTCGCTACCATTGCGACTCCGGGGCTCTTCGACCTTTCTTGGTGTGGTAGCCCAGCCCACGTTCACCCACTCAACCCCGAATTGGATCTCAGACTCGAAGATCGCGAAGAATGGGAGAAACTCGACGAAGTGGAAAGGCAAGAGAAGACGACGATGTTTTACGATGCTTTTCAACGAAAGAAACCAACGGTTGCCAAGAAGACATACGGAAGGAAAAAGTCATCAGCGAAGCAGGCTGTCGAGAACACTGAGACGTTCCGGGTGGGGGACACGGTTCTCGTTTCCAATGGGAACAGTCGATATCCTAGTGTTGCGGTCATAATTGCATTATGGGAAACCGATCTGAAAGAGGCAGGTGATGAGCCACCGTCAAAGACCATGTACGTCCGGGTACATTGGTTTTTGAGGCCCAAAGAGCTGCCTAGTGTACGCGCCAAACGGGAAGCTTTCGAGGTGCGCATTCATCGTTGCACTGCTGCTGTTTAACTGACGTTCTACTTGCAGAATGAGATATATTACACACTCTCGGAAAATGTGATCCTTGATACACCTGAAGCTATAATACGGCATTGCGTTGTTCACGACATTTTTACGAAGAGGGAAGACAGCGGTCAGTTCTATTTGCCCTGTGTCTCCGTACCTGCTGACTGTGTCACAGACGATAGTGACGAGGAAGGCTCAGGCCCTGCACAGCAAGAGTTTGTCTGTCGATTCGCAGTGCATTCTCGCCTAGGGCTATATTATACCTTTCCTTGGAAAAATCACCATGAAATGGCAATGGCTTCTATGAACCGCGGAACAAGAGACCAGCGGGCGTCCGGCGAATTTTGGAGAGTCTTGGTGGATGCATTTCCAAGTAAGCCGAAGCCGAAGCCGCGTGGAAAAAAACGAGAAGACATAGATTTAGGAGCGGACGAGTCTAGCGACAGTCATTCTGACGATGCCTACATAGAATCGTCGGACAATGCTGACGATGACGATGAACTTCCAGTGGCAGAGGCAGCAGAAAGCGAAGAGGAAATATTAGACGAAGAGGAATATGACGAACCCAAGACACCAAGTAGGAAACGGAAACGGGTTACTGCAGCAGCGACACCTCGAAAACGCTCAACACGAGCCATTGCTCAACCTACGCCTCATTCGAAAGTCGCTCTAGCTCGAAGAGCACAATCGTCGCCCAAGAAACGTCAAAAGTTCACGAGACTTCCGCAGGCCTCCTACGTTGCCGACAACTTCATCAACACCCTACCAAAGGACCCATGGTTGCGCGCGATGCATGCTCTACATGTAGGCAGTCGTCCAGATGCATTGCCGTGCAGGGACGATGAATACCAACACGTCCTTCGCAGCGTTAGGGACCTCTTGGAGGAAGGTAGCGGTGGATGTATTTGTGAGTTATCTTTTTACGAGGCGATCCTCGTTCATAACAGTCATTCAGATATATCGGGCGTCCCTGGTACAGGAAAGACAGCCACAGTACATGCCGTTATTCGCGAGCTGAAAAGGTTAGCAGAAGCTAGTGTACGTTCTCATTTACCATTATCGACGGTGTATTTGACAATCTAACAGGAGACGAATCCATTTACTTATGTCGAGATCAATGGACTTCGGATTCCCGAACCAAACGCTGCTTATAACGTGCTATGGGAAGGCATTTCTGGACATGATGTTAAGAAAGACGGACATCTGCAAATCAGTGCTAAAGAAAGTCTCAAAGCGTTGACAAATTACTTTGGTAGTGGGCGTACCAAAGGGCCTGGAGGACATGCATGGTAAGTTATCACTTCATCTGACCACATCCAAGTCTAACGGCATGGGGCATCTTGCAGCGTCGTTTTGATGGACGAACTAGATCAACTCGTCACAGCAAGGCAGGATGTCGTTTACAACTTCTTCAACTGGCCTACCATCGCTGGAAGCCAGCTTGTCGTCATCGCTGTTGCAAATACTATGGATCTTCCAGAACGAGTAATGACTGGGAGAGTCAGGAGTCGATTGGGTGAGTACCTATGCTTTTTCTCAGTTCGACAGTTATTCATTAGAACGAAGGGATGGTCCGTATCAACTTCACCCCGTACAAGGTCACACAGTTGACCGAGATTGTCAATGCAAGGTTAGAAAGTGCGAAGAAAAGTCTTGGGGATGAATCCCAAGATGTCATCAATAAGGATGGCATCAAATTCGCAGCCATGAAAGTGAGCGCAATTAGTGGCGATGCTCGGAGGGTACTGGATATTTGTCGGTACGTGATTTAATTGTCTAAAGAAAAGGCGCCTCTGACAATATGCCTTAGGCGTTCGGTAGAAGTCGTTCGTCCGGAAAAGAAAGTGGCGTCTTTACCTACGGTCAAGGAGGTGATCAGTGTTATGCAGAACAGCCCAACGGCTGCATACCTACGGGAATGCAGTTTCCACGAACGTTTGATGCTTGCGGCGCTGGTGAAATGTGTCAAACGGGAGGGGGTGGAAGAAATCAAATGGGGTGAAGTGAGTAATGTATGTTTGTGTTCAGTGTAATCGAATCTGATGTAGTAGCAGGTTCAACACCAACACCTGATCTACATGAACGTGCTCACTTCTGAGTCCGACTCGACGCGAAAGCCTACAACACGCGAACTCAATATTGTGCTGGAATCACTGATAGCGTCTCGGGCCATGCTTATAGAAGATGGTGTTGCTGCGTCGAGGAAGGCGGAGGGAGACAGGAAAGTCATCCTGAATCTGGAACAGAGCGAAGTGGAGAGGGTACTTAGTGAAGTTGGAGGTTCGAGATGGAAGAATGTACTAAGTGTATGATCTTGATTCTTTTTATGAACGCGTGATACCTTTTCGCATCTGTAACCTTACTTGTAAAACATCGGCACCACACTTTTGTATCATGGTTTTTCTAATAGATCTGCAACTTTCTCGCTCACCCTCACCTCCGTCATACTTTCAAATAATGCCGATTTCATTTGGTCATTTGAGTCTGCCTCTGCAACGACCTCCGGGATTAACTGTCAGTTGTCCCTTCGCTATGGGTATGACGATATTACCGGGAGAAAAGAGAACGTATGCAATCTGTCGACAGCAGGATTATAATAAAGACAGACGAGGGGAAGTCCCTGGCTGCTGCCGAAAATGTCGAAAAGTTAAAAGATGTCGTAAGGTATCGTACCATGGTGAAACGGAGGATAATCAAGACCAAAAAAGATATCCTAACAAATAATTGACCACCTCATCGCGACGATACGGATTCAATAACTACCATGCAAGTTCCCAACATACCAGCTATCTGAAGGGAGGAACTCTGACAGACGCTTTTTAGCATGTTCTTGGACCAACTTGTCTGAAGCCCTTGCGTACAACTCTGCGCCGTAGCTCCCTGTCACTCTGCCCTGCGCACGAAAAGCAGCCCAAGCTACATTCCTCGCCAAATGCGAAACCTGGCGGTTGGGTTCCGCGTCCATTATAACAAAATACTTGACTGGAAACTTTTTGAAGTGGAAGAACCATCCTGCACTTTTGGGACGATCCAATGCCGTCAAGTAACCAACAATTCCTGGGGGCACACTTCCAAGCCCTTCGAATCCTTTGACAACCTTTCTCTCTCCCGTACCGTATAGGACGTCAGTCGCGCTTCGCGTAACGGACCACTCTCCTTGGACCCTTGGAGCGGAATCACCTATCCGTGCTTCGAACATCCTACTTCTCATTTGGGCAGATACAGTCCCAAATGTCTCAACCTCCCTGCCCGGAGCAGTCTCTGAGCGCGTTACCACATAAAACATGTCCGGTCTACAGCGGAGCTCTTTCAGAAAGGCATCGACGAAGTCATCGGGCTCATTGCGAACCGCTCCAAACATGTACGACCGAGATTCCACACAGACCCACGTCCTGTAGCCAGGTCGCGAAGCTGGTTTTGTACTCGGAAGTGGTCCAGGAGGAAGGTTCCCCATTCCCGTACTGACCATGTCAGTGATGAGGACGCCGCAGAAACTCATATGATTTCTGATACCTCGCAGATCATACGAATGTTTCGTGCAGAAAGATGGAGATTCAAGTAATCCAAGAGCAGCGAAGGAAAGGAATGCATGGAGATCGTCAAAACTATTGCATAGACGAACAAAACGGTTTTCAATATTTTTCGTCGGTTCGCCCTTGAAGGAGTTCAAGATGACCTGCCAATCTGGGTTCAATACCGGGCTCTCATAAGGTATGTAGAGGCCGCACGTACCCACCAAGCTTCGTCAGTTGTTGTCCCTTTGTGAGAGCGGTTGTATATCCATCCGCCAACTATTTTGAAACGGTTGCCTGACAATGAACATAGTGAGATACTCCATGCACTGAAACCACAGCTGGTAGTTACAAACGTACCGAGATCTCCTAAATTAGCAGTATTGCTTCCCGGCCTTACTGCTAATGCGAGGGCCTCTATCACCGAGTCCTTCCACCACAGTAGACCAAACTCCAACCGTTTGCTAAAGACAATCATGAATCTAATCAAATCGTCGAGGTCGAAATCATCATCCATGAAAAGGTCTTTGAAAGAGACTTTGTCGAGGGTCTTTAGGTACAAAGTAGGTTCGTGGAAAAGGATTCGACGAGCGTACTGCTGCGTGGCATATTTGAATATTTCCATAGACCGCAGTTCATGAGCAGTTTCCTTCAATACCTCCCCTGTCGTTTTGTGGTAAAACGATTTCATGAAGGCTTCAGGCTCCAGTAATATTTCCAGGCAGTAGAGGATTTTGTCTCTGACCCTGCGAGAATTATTACGTGTCAGGAAATACCAGTAGTTAAGTAGACGCCATGCCTTCGTAGTTTCAAATCGATCAAATCATCCTCTTGAAGAGTATCATTGCCTTGCTCCCCGCCTGCCTTTTCGCCGATAGAGCGATCGTAATACTCTGCGATCGCCTTGGGGGAGACATCAATCGCTGATTCTGATTCGAGACCGTCCAAGGGAAGGGCTTGAAACTCCTCCATCTCTTCCCGTCCTGTATCGTTCTTCATATGAAGAGTCAGCGCACGAGCTTCTAAGGCATCGCGAATTTCAACGGCCTCGGACATCTTCTTTGCAAGTAAATTGAGTCGTATCTTATGGCCACTGTCGACTACATTGACGGATCTTTATCGCATGCACTCTGAGACAGAAAATCACATACTTTTCAAAAAGAGTCTTCGGTGGTGAACTTCTCGACCAAGTTTTTCCTGCCTGATAGCGCTGACGTACTTTTTCATCAAGCGCGCCTTCTCTAATGTGTCGTGGATGCTGTCGTATGACAAGATCTCTTCCTTGGTGGGGATCAATGCCTCACCAAGCGTCTTGTCTACAAACTGGGCGGCTTGCTTGTATTTCTTCGTCAGCTTTATGTATTGTTTATGGTGCATCTGGCAGCGTTCGACCGGGTTTCCATGGGTTCGCGGCTTAGGGCACTTAGTCTCCTCATCTTCCAGCAGTGTTGTACAAGTCAGAGGAGGCACCTGCGCTTTCTTGGTCTTAGGTGCCATCGTGGTAGGTCACAGGAGCAATAAGCGCTCGTTGGACTTCGACCGCAAGTATGAATTACGTGGGAAGCTTCTATTCTGGGAGCAAAATGCACATTGCGATAAGGGTCCAAATGGCTGCTGACCTCAATGAAAGGTCCAGTTTCTAATGATTCCGTTGCCAACTGCGCGACTAGGATCCTTGTGCGCAGTCGTCAGATTTAAAAGCAGTAGACAGTCACATTACTTAAAACAGACCAGAAAACAAGGTATCGCATGCTGAAAGCTTGGGGCATATAAATCAGAATAGAATTTAAACAAGCTGCAAAAGACGGAGGACGTACCTTGGCAACGAGCATATGTAGTCATCAGTGCTCGTGATCCTCTCAGCGTCTAGATATACATCGCCACCTCAGGAACTAGGAGAAACTAGGAGAAGTTCAGGCTATTCAAATAGGTGGGGTCTGACTCTGAGGGAGGGATGTTGTCGTACCTCCTTGCTACTCCCTACTCAACGTTGAAATCAGGGCGTGCCGGATACCTAATCACGTATTCTATGTGGATGCTACTAGACGTAGATTGGTGCTCCGTCCCTCCACCAATACAGACGTTAAGACCGCCATTACTGGTACACGATTTTTTTCGGTATCAAGAGTGTGACTTTCCAGAGGGATGCTAGAATAGGACGTCCGAGGTGAAGTGCTTGACTCGTGTTCACTCACTGGGTTTACGACGAAAAGAAGTCACTATTCAATTGAAAGAGATATGATTTCATCTTGAAAGTCTTCCCACCGCAAGAAGCTATCCCTCTGCTTTACGCACCTATTCGATACGTCCCCTCAACCAGCTCAGAAGACCCTTAGTACCTTCACGTTCCCAAACCCTCCTTGCAGGGACACGGAACCTAGGAAGGATCAGTTCAGACAGGAAGCCAAAGCTAGGGTGTGTAGACTGACAGGTTACCGTCAACCAAGAACACATCCAACGGCAACAATCCCAGCTCAGGTGGAAGCTTCCCAATTTCATTATCTCTCAAATCCAGCTCATCCAACTTCCATCCCGGAACGTCTCGATGGCCCTTGAATAGCTCTGCAATACCCTGCAAGCCATCAAGCGTAGTAATCTTGTTGCCCCGTAAGTTAAGACGTTTCAGTCCCTTCCGTTGTGATGTACATAGAATGAGGGAAGATAATGCGTCCGTTGTCAGACAAGAGCTCGAGATGGCATTATATGAAAGATTGAGCGTTTGTAGACTCGGAAATAGTCTCGTGAGAAGCGGTAAAAGCGACTCGTTTGTGTACTTGGGAGTGGTAGTGCCAGAGGACGAAGAGTCCGATAGAGACACAGGTACTTGATCAGCGAGACTGCATCCTTCCAGGTTCAGTTCTTCAAGATGTGGTAAGAAAGGCCCGTCCTGAATGGGTAAGCTAAAGGAACGGTCCATTCGACGATTCACTAGGACGAGTACTCTCAGGTTCTCGGCGAAGGCTTCTGTCATAATGGAGGCTAGGGGAAGGGTCGGTGTTGGTATAGCGATTTCGGCCGCTGAAAGCGATGAAGAGGATGACGGATGGAATGCAAGGGAAAAAGCTCGCGAATGCGCAGACTTTGGAGGTGGCGCGGATGGAGGCAGAGTGAGAGTCTGGGTGGGTTCGGAATAACATTGTGAAGTCGCCAGGGAAAAGGTAGATTGTCCCGAAGACGGTTTGCTTGAAGGGATACCATGTCCTAGGCTAGATCCTCGATCTCTCTGAGCAGCGGCAGCCCGAGCCCGACGCTTTCCTCCTTCCGTCAGAAGACCCTGCTCGGCCTCAATTTCCCATGCCTCTTTTACCACTGGTGCTAGCCGCTTAGACGCAGATAGAGGTGCGGGCTCTGATACTAGAACTGCTGCAGCTGCCTGCGCTCGAGCGCGACGTTTGCCACCTTCTGTAAGCAAACCTTGCTCTGCTTCTATTTCCCAACCCTCCTTCACAATCTCCGCCTTCTCAGTTGTTGAAGTTTTGAACTCCGTTTCCTCGCTTGGCTCAGCATTTCTGACGAACCTGGATTTCGCCCTTCTCTCCGCTTCTAGCTCCCATTGTTCTCGGATGATCTTCTTGCCGACTAGTACGCGAATTGTCCCTTCGCAGGGCTCTTCCGTCGTTAAATCGTACGAGATATCCTGTTTGAGGCCTTTCAGAGCCACTTTAATGGCATCCTTTGTCACCGCTGTTTCTCCAACATCTAGGAGGTGAAGCCGGGGAAATATTGGTCCACTGGAGAAATCAGAAGGAAATGCATCATCGTTAATTTCTGCGTGCTCAAGTCTGAGTTCTTTCAAGCCGGATAATGTCCCCAGCTTTTGAAGAAGCTGGCGAGTCGCGGAGCTATTAATGCCAAGTGGGTTTGATGAGATATCAAGTTTGGTCAATGCTATGGGTATATTAGGAATATCCATGGAGTCTGAGGCAAGTTTGTTGTGGGACACATCAAGGACGATGAGGCGGGGTAAGGGTGTTACGGACCGATTCACAGCAGGTGCGAAGGGATCAGTGCTTGTGTATTCGATTCGAGAGTTTCCATCGGAGAAGGGAGCATTGAAATGAAGAGATGTCAGCTGGTTGTGAGCGAGATTTAACGTGGTCAGTTCCGGGAGCGAGAAGATAGTGGGTGGCAAAGTTGAGAGAGCATTGTGGGACAAGTCTAGAGTCGTCAGGGAAGACAGGTCTCCGAGTGTGTCTGGCAAAGAGAGGAGCTTGTTCTTGTGCAACTACAAGGTGCGTCATTAGAGACCATCGTACAAGAGGCAATCAACGCACATCGACGACTTTCAGAGACCCGAACATAGATATTTCATGTTGTATTTCTTCAATTGCGTTGTTGCCGGCTTTGAGAACCCTCAAGTCCTGACCTTCGAACCACGCAGGAGAATCATATTTTCCACCGCGTCTTGGAACCGAGGACGACTCGGATGCAAACGGCGGCTCATTGGGGACCGACTTGAGAGGTTCGGGCGTGACGCGAAGGTGTATCTCGAATAGAATGGAAGGAATGCACGGCAACGAGCGCGTTGCAAGATTTAGAGAACCTTGCAATAATCGCCTTGAGAGTTCAGGAAGACATAGGAATGAATACAATCTTGTTACCTGTACTCCTTGCACGTTCTATGGTCTCCTTGACAGACAGCCGACCTAGCAAATCCTCTTCTGGAGCGACATTCGACGCTATGGGGTTTGCATCTTCAAGAGAGCCTAGATTACTCGAGCCAGCGATGCCCTTCGCCTTCTTAGCTTCTGCTCGTTTCAGCGCAATCGCCTCTCTGATGCTCAGTGGCGGCGGCGGCGGTTGCTGCGGCTGCGGTACATCTTCTTGTGCCTTGGGTTTGGAAGGTGTCGTCGAGCGCGTTGTGGACTTTGGACGGGTTCTAATTGGCGGTGTGCTATTTTTGACGGGGGTGCTGATACGGGATTTCGTAGGAGTAGAAGGCTGCGGCTTGGGAATACGAGAAGAGGGTATCGGCACGCGAGACATCGTTTTCGAAATGGTCAAGAGCAAGTCGTAATTCGGAAATTCAATGTGTTTGCAGGCCATTGCCAAATAACATAACGGCCCGCTTTGCCGGCATCATTGTTCACAGTCCACGAAAGCTGGTCAAAGGTCATCATTTACGAACAAGCCGGTGCTACATACAGCCGGAATAGAATAACCAACGGAAGCCACAAACAAAATGTGCAGGCTCGGAAAAAATTTTACAGTAAAGTAAGAAACGAATACGAAGAAAAGAAGTAATGTCCTTAATCAAAGCGTTAGTGTCGTTATATTGCGTATCTCAGCATGTCCACGAAGCCTGGAATTATATTATTAGCTGTTTTCAAGACGGCAATCGCTGCGAGGCTTACGTCGGGGGTTCCGGGGGAGCCTACGCTCTGGTACGGCTGCTCACCCAGGCATTCCGCAAGCGTTACGAGTCTATACCCAGCGGCCTGGAGTCGGTCAATGACGTAGGGTAGAACTTGATGGCTAATGTGGCGTGAACTCGATGTCAATATATCACGCTGCAAGTATTACTTACACAGTAGTTTCTGGAAGTAATAGTAAAATCAGCAGGGTTACATATACTAGGAGATAATATGATGTACCGATGGTCTCATGGTTCAGCGGTAACAAGGTACTCGGGTGCTGAGCGATTGTCTGATCGTATCGAGCCTTGCTCTCGGCGACGGAAGCACCTACAGAGTCACCCGAGCTGAAATCAATGGTTCTCAGCACCACCAAATGTTTGGACAGGATACATGGACTCACTCGAAGTCCCAGATGACCAGTTTCTGGCCTCGGATATAGGAAGCACTCCTGACTAGATCATTATAGTTGCCGTACGCTTTGAAAATCAAAAGACCGCATGTGACTAAAAAGTACTCCGAGATGAAGATGTATCAACACACGTGGACGCATGAACGCCGGGACGACGCCAAGTATCCTTTGTAATGCCTCTGCAAAAAGGGGATACTAAGCCAAAATAATTTCAAAGAATAATGAAAACCTCACGTTCTACGCGCCACATTTCATCGTGAACTACAAGAAAATGTGCGTGAGAAATACTTTAGTTATACAAAGAAAGCGCGTACTTTGGTCCCAAGACAACGTCGTCAGGTCACTGTGGCTCCAAGTGTGGGAAGCGACCTGGTGCCCGTTATCATACGCGTATTTGACCCGCTTTTGTTCGTCCGCGTCATAGATGCAAGCATCTGTAGATCACGTAGGTTGACTGCGGAAAATCCCTGAATCACCGACTCACAATTGTTCCCGTCTACATGCAATCATTAGTATAAGTACAAAAATGGTTGATCATTGCGTACTGAAGAAGAAGGTCCCTTTGGCGCCCTTGGCTACGAGTGCCTTGCTGACATCGTATCTAGAGTAGAATTAATTTCCTGTCCGCGTTATTCGTCACGGGAAGTCTTTACAGGTAGACCCAAGGGCCGTCATCCTGCCAAACGGTTAGCCACCACGAAGGAGTGGTACCGAGGACACAAACGCACAAAAGTCAATGCTACGGTGTTGGGCACCGTACAGCTGTAGACCACCTGAGCCTCTTGTCGTTTGGACTGAGGTCCAGGAGCGGCAGCCGCAAGCGCGACAGTGAATGCAGAAAAGAGTACAGAAGCTAACATGTTGGAAGGGGGGGTCCTGTTAGAGTAGGAAAGACCAGACCTAGCGTATTTTATATAGGCGTTTTTCAGGCAACATCTTGTGCCGCCCGGACATATGGCTTTGAGATCCTGCGTGAACGCCGCATTCTCTTCTCTCGGAAAATGGGGGAGTCTACTCTCAACTGAAAGGCACTAATTGAATTGAATCCATCCCGTGTCCTAAAGACTTGGATTGGTAGAACGGAAGATTGATTGAATACCTCAAATTACCTACCTGCTGCAGGTTTCGCAGCAAGATGAGAACCCAAGGGCATGAATGACCGTTCTGGCAGTCTGAGCCCCACCAGACGTCATCCAGCGCGAACTCTGTACCCTCAGAGAGCACATGACGTGCAGGTGCAGATCTTGAGGGAAGTTTTGGCCGCTACGTGCCTGTAAGAAAGACTTTTGGAGGGAAAAGTAATGAACCCAGAGTCAGCTGTGGCTTTTGGGCGCCCTAACACACCGCGTCTAGCACGTTCTCGGGGCCCAGTGATAGCCATCAGTCGGTTCTTGACAAGCGTCAATGCTCGTTGTTTGCCTAGTTTTGACACATCGCAAGTTGTTCATAGCAATACGTGGAAGCGACTGATAACCTTGCTTCATCTCCCGGATGGACTCAGCAGAAGCAAATTAGCAGAAGCAAATCGAGGAGCGGTTGCGAGCCTGCGCCTCCGAGCAAAGTCGCGACAGGAGCACGTGGGCTGCCAAGAGGAAGGTATGTCACGGATCAAAACAACTCCTGGTCTTCAAATCCCAGCGATGTAAAGCAAATGACGATCCTGGTCCGGACCTTGGCCCAGGTACTAACCTCCGGACTAAGCTGGAGCGAACCAAGGAGATCTTCGTGTAAGGATTCGGAATATCATGAGAGGTGTGCGCAACTGCAAGTAGCAAGACAGGGGTACATCACGGATCAACTGTTAACTTCACCGTCACGCGTCGACAGATTTACTTAATCCTGGTTTATTTCGGGGTTGGACAATAATATGACCACAGCAATGAACAAAAGTGTAACGAATAAGGTCATTGTAACTAAAATGCCGCGGCGAACGGTGCCGACAGCGTAAGAAAGAGTCCAGAAACAGAATAGTCAGAATTATGACATGGTCCGTGATTCAATGGAAATAACGAAGCTGTTTAACAGCCCCAGGATCCCTGGATGGGAGAAATATATTCAGCGGTTGTTTCAGGGGGGGGACATGTGTAGGGGTCGAATGAATGAGAACTTACATCATCCACTCCTGCATTGCCGACACTCTGGTACGGCGCTTCGCCCAGGCACTCAGCGAGTGTTACGAGGGAGTATCCGGCAGCTTGCAGTCTGTCGATGGCATATGGAAGCACATCATAACTGTTATTCGGGCATCGATGAGTACTCCCCATTTTTCATGTCGGGATGGGATCAACTTACGCGGTTGTTTCTATGGTTTGCGTGATGTTCTCATCAGATCCCAATCGTAGAAAAAGTTAGGCATGAGACTTACCATACGTCTCATGATTCAAAGCCAGAAGCGTGCTGGGGTGCTGACTGATAGTACTGTCATAAGTACTTTCACTTTCCTGGACAGAAGCGCCAACAGAATCCCCAGAACTAGGAGAGCTTGTGAGCCACAAAATTACGTGACTACAAGACATACGTACTCGAAATCCCAGAGGACAACCTTTTGCCCTCTTATGTAGGAGGCCTGCAAAACCAGATCGTTATAATTACCGTACGCTGCAGAAAATATCAGTGTCCTGTTTTGAAATTTGCAAGAGACACGAACGGGGCCTCATGAAAGCGGGAACAACGCCGACGATTCTCTGGAGAGCTTCTGCACACGCGAGGACGACATCAACTTCCTGAACACCGAAACGAAAATAGACTGACGTTCGACGCGCCACATCTCATCATGGACTTGATATCAACTTCAATTAGACGACAGGCGTGCAAGAATAAACCAGGCGACAAACTTTGATCCCAGGTCAGCGTAGTTAAGTCGGAGTGACTCCAAGTGTGTGAGGCAACTTGGTGGCCGGCGTTATACACGTATTTGACGCGGTCCATCTCAGCTTGGTCGTAAATGCATTCGTCTATCAGACTCGTCAGCTGTGAGCGCTGGGGATAAAAGAAATACCCGCAATTATTTCCGTCTACAAATAAGGCCATGAGCAACATGAAAGAGGTCAACGTGAGAGATACGCACTGTAAAAGAATGTGCCTTTGACGCCTTTCGAGGTGAGGGCGTCACTAACGACCTGTCTACAAAGGAGTGTTTGAGCATCATTGAGAGACCGCGAATAAAACGTTCATACGCGTAAATCCAAGGACCATCGTCCTGAAAAAAGTTAATAGGGCGAATGGAACACGTAGTATAATACCTACAAAGGTAAGTGCAACCGTGTTCGGTTGAGTGCAGCTGGAGACCACCTGTGCAAGCTGGCGCTTCGACTGAGGAGCAGCAGTCGCGAACGCTGTCAAGCTAAGGGTGATGAAGACAGAGGCCAACATGGTGAATACAGGAAGGACGGTGACAAAGGGAAGTGGGGCAAAAAAGCAAAGGAGTGAGGGTAAAAGAGCGACTTTATAAACCGTACAAGCGAGTATCGGATGGAACCAGATGACGGAAAGAGGTCAAGATGGGCGGGTGTGTTTTACCGGGTTTGACGATAATATTTTGATGACATCCCAGCTGACAATCAATGAAAATAGACCACTTCCTGGCTAGCCCCGCAAGGAACAAAAGATCTTCAGACAAAAATACCCGTTGATCTTGCGAGTTGTCCATCAAGATGCACGATCCATCAGGCTTGCATCAAGACTGCATGCTTGTGGTCGAAAGTCGCGTTGATTCCTCACTCATAGTGGACACAGCGCTCTATTTCAAAGGGGCTTGCCAAGATATTGTTGTACCATCAAGGGCTAGAGTGAAACACACAAAGTGGTTTAAATGCGGGATGCAGAAGCCGACAGGCACATTGAAAACGCAGGGTCACCAGATTCATAGAAGGGCAAAAGGGGGGCGAAGATCAATACTTTTCAGTCCAGGAAGGGCCAGAAATCCGAAGTCAACAGACCAGCCGGGAGTCGTACATGTACTGAACGCAGTAAACAGTGGCGTAATAGAAAGAACAGGAATACTTACGCAGTTCCGGAACTTGCCATAGGTGCCCCATTTTCGTCCCGAGGTTCCCGAAGCTTCCCGGTGACTGCTTACCTGAAACGCTCACAGGGGGGAGACCCGTTTCAAGTACCACGACGCATCCCACGATCAGGAGAACAACAGAGAGTAAATATTAATCACATATCACTATACAGAATCTAAGAATAGTAGTCGCTACAGTTATGTTCATTTTTATATTTACTTCCATTCCAACCGAGAAAATACGCCCTTCGTCCAACCACTATCTTGGACCTGGTACATTTGTGTTCCCGTGCGGATTGTGCATCTCACTAACATTAGTCAGATAAGTACCCCAATCATCCAATCTAAGAAATGGAAGAAAATGCATCAGAAACAGAAGAAACAAGAAATGAATAAACTGAACATACTCAAACCCGCTAGGCGCGTTGGACCACATCGTAATGGTATCATTATCCAACAACTCGTGCGGTCGACTATCCATAATCTGCGGCGGTGGCTGCCGTATATGCGAGCTATCTGCAATAGGCATCATTTCATTCATGTCACTGTTCCTTCCGTACTCGTAATGTGTGGATGTGTATCCGGGAGGCGGCACCTGCTCGTAAAAAGGCTGGCTCATGAACGAGAAATCGCTCTGCACACCACTACCATCTGATGATACTTGTCCATGCGATGATCCTGCATACCACCCATGGGAATCGGGTGCCTGCACTTGGTTCGAAAAACTGACTTGGCCATGGAGAGGAATTCGTCCAAGCTCGTCACTGTATATTGGCAGGGCAAAGAGTTGTTGCGACGAAGAAGACGCTGCTGGACCCAGTAGCGGCGAAGATAGTGCGGTGGAGGACTCTGAAGAATGGGATTTCGAGGATTTTCGAGGCGTAGACTCCTTATTCGAAATCCGTCGACTTCCGACAATAGCACGAGTCGCTGGGACATCTGTAATGCCGCTTGAGGGGCTTCCATCGGCTGGGGTCACAGACTGAGAACGGGGGCTATCAGAGTCACGTTCCCGTTTGTTCGTTGGAGTGGGGCTTGCTTTGGGTAAGGGTAAATCCCCGACAGAAGCCAGCTCGTATAGGATATCCCTTTAGAAGACAGATGAGCGCTGCGGATACTCGTGAAACTGCTTAGCTCACCATAAGCGGCCTGCGAAATGCCATCTGTTGCCGCGGCAGCTTCAGCATTACTGAAAGATCGAATGGAGGAACGATACGTACGACGATTCCATACTCCGAAGGACTTTCATGCACTTGTGTACGTCACCCATCTCCCGGTTAGGGTCAATAGAAAGGCCGGATCGTTTCCCGCCCCATATGTTGAAGAGGAGAACAATGCCGGCCGTGAAGACTGGAATCTAAACAAAAAACAAATATCAGGTGAGCCAGAAGCAGAGACCAGAGTTCTGCTCACGCCGACGCCAGGGATCTTGCCACCTTTACGACTTTGAATGTCAACAACGTGTGAGCACGAACGTGCAGCATTTGTGCAAATAGCAAGAGAAGGGAATAACAGAGGTGACGGATTGCGAGGGGTAGGAATAAAGGGTCTATGTATGAGTATTTGCAAGTGATAGTAGGCGATATACAGGTAAGCGGATTGGTTAAAGAACACAGGATTGTCACGATTGGGATCCCATCGCACTATCAACGAAGGTAAGAAGAGGAATCCTAACAAGTAAATGCAGCTCGCACAATGGTCTGGTATCGAGTCAACCCATTTGTTGAGTGCAGAATCTAGCTCTGCAACAATGTGTTGCTCCCACTGTTGGCCAACAAAGCCGAGTAGAATTTTAGATTTATTGATCGAATACTGCACCAAGCGATTAGCTTGATAGACCGTGAACAGGCTCCATGGAGTTTAACTCACGATAGTGCGGAGGCAAAACGAGAGTAGCTGGTTGAGTTTCAAGAACGAATTAAAGAACGCGACAGATGATGGTTTTCCGGGAGGCTGTTTGAAGGCTTGCTCGGGATCTGGGTGTTCCCAGTACTCATCATCGCACTCGGCAGGAAAATCAATGTCGATACTAGATAAAACAATTAGACTCGATCAAAAAATGATACCCCACAAACGCACTCTTCATCTTGTATTGCACATGGACGGCCGAGAGCTGAGCTGCTAATTCGGTCCATACATACGAGACCCCTTTACACCGACGTCAGGAACGGTCAGAATCATGTCAAACAAGTGCTTTTACCAGAAGGCTCGTTTCCACAATTCGTCCTCCACGGAGTTAGGACTAAAGTTCCGTCTTCGTCGGTGTGCTCCAACGTCTTGCGCTAGCCGGATACCGATACCTACCATTGTCCAGGACGCCTGAGGTGCTGATGAGCCTTGCAGGAACTCCGTAAAGAGCTACGAGACAATGTGAGCACTTTACGGCATTGTATTACTCGTGTGTAGATACTCACACAGTAGAACTGAAGATCATACAGGGAGGGCGGAGATAGGAGCGACTTGCGCACAAGCTGCACTTGGTCAAACCATTTCCATCCACTGGAATGCCTTGATTCTTCTCCATCGAGCAGGACGCGCATGTCGTTCGAATATCGCGAAGCCACTGCGCATACAAGTAGTAAGACGGCACCAAACATCTCATCCTTCCTGTGCAGATTCTCCCTGATTGAGCGTTCGAAGGTAGGCCGATGAAGCAGAGGCAGGAATATGTTGACATTTGCGAAATATAATTCCACCAAAGACGAAAGCAAGTCATCTTCTGGGAACGAATACGATGGAAACCTCCCGTCGAGAATATTGCCGGCGCTTTCCCAAGGACGAGTTGTCCAGAATTCTGATCTCCTTGAGCCAAGAGGGTCCCTCTGTATATGACCAGTATAGCCATGTTTTAAATCCATCGCCGTCTTGATCAACTGAGCACCGCTAGACTTGCCAAAAAATCGGTAACCTCCAGAATCCGCTTCAAGTTTTTGCTGCAAATTGTCCGCCAGCGTAAGATGGTCAAAATCGTCCTCGAGCAACTTGTCCTCGATTTCGTTGTACGCTCGGATAGCAGAAGTGGCAATATCACGAGGATGGCAGGCACCTCCTTTGGGCCGCATAAGCTCTGGAATGTTACCAGAGTCGAGCGAAGTCGGTAACTTTTCGATGGACCAGGTTTCGCGGTCAAACCCACCTCCAAGTTCTTTTGTGAAATCCGCCTCAGGCATGAGCTAGATAACAGTAAATAAAATGATGTGGACGCGATTCTCACGACACGCACTCTATGCAGCAGCTTGTCCATCTTCTCCAGCCGGTTCTCCAGGCTCTCGACATAACTGCCAAACTATGAGTCCACTGAAATGACGAGCAAGTGATGACGGACCCTTTGGGAGGACCTCGTTTCTGCAGCCGTCGTCAGCCAACATGAAGAGCAGTGGCATTGCATGTGAACCTGCCTTGGCTGCCTCTACATAGGTGCAATCGAAATTGTACGCGATACAGTTGGAGCATCGGTTGTCGGGCATTTGCACGCCATCACCTAGGATAAAGTTAGCTGACAGTCGATCCCCGTTGAATGTATTCCCTTACATCGAACTGTAAAGAAGACACAGTCAGCAGGAAGCCGGCGGCCCTATAAAGGCTGATAACGCACTCTTCTTCCGTCTGCAGATGTCACAGGCCCGCTGGACGCGCCGTTTCTTGGAACTGGGATTCTGGTCATGGTCGTTATATTCGTCTTCGTTGGACGACATGGTGGTATGGATAGAAACCGAATTGAAGAGAAGATCTAGAATAGAAACGATTTTCAGCTGCCTGACTCGGTGCCGTGGAACCACATCATCGAGCGGCTTACTAGGACAGCTAGGGGTGCTAATAGTAATACAAGATTCGGACTCGGACTGACAATCAGCAGCTCTGACCACAGCCCCCGCACTCCGCCGGTGCTGCGGGCCACTAAGTATTCCACGTCTTTCATTTCTTCATTTTCGGCAATAGAAGGCTGTAGAATCGTCAAGAAAAAGATGGAATGTTGCTTCGAGAGATCATACGGCAGTTGTTCCGACGACGGACATACCCCGTAGCCGTGTCTTGGCGACAAGGTGCGGCTTTCTCGCAGCTCAACCACAGCAAATCCACTCATTCATTATTTTGACATTCAAGTATCAGCTAGCACGATGCATAATAGTATCATGACTGAACAGCCCACGGTACTCATCCCGGTCAGTGCGGAAAACATCATATGCATTACGAACTCGACAATCTCTGTGAAACAGAACCTTAGAAGCTCTTGCCAAGGAGCCAATGATAGTTAAAGACAAGCAGTTTCAATGGTTTCCATCACTCGCGCGACATACGGAAACTACAAACCTACGTTGAAATCGCATCACCAAGAAATTGACTTAAGAGGGAACCAATGGCTAGCAATAGACTTACTATACCCAAGTTGTCGATGCATCTCCAAGCACATGAGTAAGCGAAGTTAACTGTTATGTTCCATTACTATGTACTACGCCGATTGAGTAATTGTACAGTACATCAAATGTTACCGAAAGCATTTCAACACTATTATACAGACACAATGAAAAAGGTACAAAGCAGTAGGACGAGAAAAGTAGAATACTAGTCGCCAATATAGCCGACGAATGCTAGGATTATCATTAATGAGGAAGGTGTCCACCCTGAGAGAAGAGAAAACAAATGACAGGGAAAATAGGGATATAAAGTATAAACCCAGGACCACACTTTCAGCAAAGATACAATCAACAACGAACAATGCGACATATCCATCATCACGGGCTAAAGATATTAATCCCATTGCGTAGGATGATATTCTGCAGCCCAACTCTTGTTCCGTGTCAGATGCACCCGTTGAAGTTCCCTCCGCACCGCTTCCCGCTCAGCATCAGCGCCACCAGACCGCCGTCCGTCGGTCCGCTTCGTCAGATGGACGACGGGATTAATCGTTGCGATAGGTTCACGATCAGGCAGTGACGGACTACTCTTTCTCCGGGGACCCAGTACACTTTGCTTATGGATATATCGCGACCACAAAAGGTTCTGCCGAACGCTCTCAGACATCTCCGTCCTGAGCATGTTCTGTCTCGTCGTCCGTGGCGTCGAAGGTATAGCAGCGACGGGTAAATTGTATGGGAATCCCAGCGGTGCGTATTCAGCGTATTCAGCAACAGTGGGAAGGTCTTTCGCGGGTGTTGGTATAGGCGGTGGCGAAGGCACAGGTTGGATAGATGGCTCGCTCCTGTTCCCTTTGACTCCTGGAAGTGCAGATCCTCCTCGACTACTTCCAAAAATGGCTCTCAGGCGCTCTTCGGCAACACTGTTCGAAACGATCAGTGGATTGCCGTCCTCCCCATCGGAATCATCCTCCATCTCCTCGTCCTCCGGCCGTCCTTTGCGCCGGTATCCACTATTCCCCGATGGAGAAGTTCGATCTGTGCCCACAGGGTTTGTCTTGACCTCTCCTTTCTCCCGCACGCTTCCGACAGTGATCTGTGCAGATACGGGTAACGCCACTGCACTATGGCTCGGCTGTAGTCCTGCATCTTTTCCTATGTGTCTGTTCCCAGAGCCAAGTTCGGCACTAGATTCCACACGGCGGTATTGACTGTGAGGTAAACGTGCAGGATCCGGATTCATAAGTTGACTAAGGAGGCCAGAATTGGTCCGATTAAGATTGGTATAGCTGCCCTTGGGGACCTTGACGAACATATCGCGCTGCCGTGCCGCTTCTAATACTGCATCTTGCAGCTTAGCAGCGTCCGGAGGCGGCGGTTGTTGTCGACGAGGGTTTCGGGGCTTCGTAGTGGTATTGGAAGGTGGATGTCGGGTATTTTGGGGGGGTTGTACATTACGACGAGGCGATATACGCTCGGGTTCACTCTGAGCGACGTTGAAAATAGATCAAAGTATCACAAATGAGATCGCTCACAATAACGGCCTCAACTTCAGCGCTATCGTCATCACAAGACGTCCATCCATCCTCGCCAGAGTCGGTTTCTTCGTCAGATTCGTCGACGATGACGATGGGACGCCCTCCTCCAATCTGCTGCTGCTGAGAGTTTGCCTTCTCCTTACCCTTCGCACTTGGTGGCTTGGGAGGACTTTGTTTCTTAACAGGCGCTTGAGGTAAAGTTTCGCGTGAAGCCTTGCGTGACGGACGTTGTACTCCGGTGTCTTCCTTGAGGCTCGTCGATGGACTGTTCCTCAGAGGCGTAAAGGCGCCCTTCAATCGTTGCATCTGCATACGAGCAGTCGCTTTCTCCTTGACCATGGCCTGGAGATCAGTCCCCGACTTTGTAAGCTGTCGTCGACCGTGATCTTTCCTTTTGCCCTTTGAGGTACTTGGTTTCGGAGGACTGAGAGCACGACTGAGTCCAAAGTATGTCCGTGTAAGTTCCGGCTGTGAACCGCTAGCTGGAAGGAAAGGGTCGGACGACGCATCCTCATTGAAGTCGAAGATCTCGGTGTCGACGGCAGGCTGTCGAGGTAAGGTTTCCATGGAAGCTCGGCGACGAAGCTCACGTTCTCGCTCAGCTTGCCTAACACGCTCCCTCTCTTTGGCTAGTTCGCGAGCCTTCATTCTCTCCAGCTCTCGCGCTGCTTCTTTCTCTCGTTGCAGCTCTTTCGCCTCTTCTTCCTGTCGTCTCCGCTCGGCCTCTCGTTCCCTTTCTCTCGCTTGCAGTTTCGTCCGCTCCTCCTGCTCCAACCTCAGTTTTCTCTGACCTTCCAACTCGGCTTTCTCGCGAGCCAAACGTTCCCTCTCTTCTCTGTCCACGCGCTCCTTCTCCTTACTCTGACTCAGGGAACTAACTCGTCCATTCGGCCAGTGACCGATGCCGTGATGATGACGGGCCCCGTGTACGAAAAACTTTGAGTTCTTCTTGGGTTGGATTCGACGCCTGACGCCTGACGATGATCTTGATTGGACATCACCTGGTTCGGGCTCGTCGCTGAAATCGGTATGACTGCTGCTGCTCTCACTGCTGGAGCGGCCATCACTTGATAAGGACCGTGGACGATGGGCAGATTCTGTCGGCAGCTCTGACGTCGCGGATGCTGATGGCGAGCTGGATGAGCCTGACCCAGATGCCGGCGGAGAATCTGAAGTGCCAGATGCAGAAGACGGAGAACCGGTGCCAACATAGAACATGCGCTCAGACGGTTTGAGGGACGCGGCAGAAGCGGTGGGTGCAGGTGGGTACAGAGACATGGATTGAGTCTGGCGAGATGTAGAGGAGGCTGGAGGTAGACGAGAGGAGACAGGAGGTCTTGACGAAGAAGAGAGAGCAGGGGGCGCCTGGGGAGGACTATTAGGTAATGGCAAATTTGATATGGTAGACGGCAATACTGGAGTTGCTGGTGGCGTAGGATGAGGTGTAGGGTTGGGAGTCGGGTTAACCACGACAACACGTGGGAACGATGTAGCACTGGGAGAGGGGGTCTGAAGAGAAGAAATTGCCGGACGGCGGGAAGCGGGTGAAGTTGGCGCGACCGATCCTTCGGCTTGAAGGGCATCGCACACCGGGATGATGGATATTATCACCGTGTCCGCCGACGGCGTAGGTAATGACGACCGTACAGTATTGGCTTCGAGCCCTTCCTTGTTGCTACTGGGCTTGCATTGGTTTCCGTTAATTTCGCAGCTGGTAATGGGCTGGCTCATCCCAATGTCTTCAATCAGCTTGCCGATGCGCATTCGGTCATTGGGCGTCTTGACGACTCTCTCACCCGCTAAGAGATGAAGGTCCAGTTAGCAAAACTACTAGCATACATGGAGTTAGAACTCACCCTGCGGGTGGGAATTAAACGGTGAACATCTGGTGGCATCTGTGGTTGGCGATGCGGGCGTGAGTGGGCGGTAAGTCTGCATCTCAGCCATTTCCCGGTGCCATAGTCGCCAAGATATGTTTTCAAGACGCCTGCCGTCATGCAGAGAGCTTTTGCACTTTGTAAACACTGGGGCGTTGAGACAAGTCAGCCCATCAACGAGCCCTGACGATAACACGAAAACTCACGGAACCAAAGACTTGTTAGGGCTTCATCGCCGTCGAGATCTCTGAGCACGTCGGTAGTGACGGCGAGAACTGGGTTAGGGAGCGCGAGAAGCATAGGGTAGGGGACGGCTCGCTCTGCCCTGGAGATGGTGGTCGACAGCGAGCAACTTGGGTTTGAGGCCGCCAAAAAAGAGATTCACGGGCCGGAGATCTCCCAGCAATGCCAGCATTGGTTCCGATCACGTGCCATATATTTCCGAAGTGTCCGTTGCACCCGTGACTGGGCTTGGACTGATCGGTATCTTCCGCAGGCGCGCCGCACGGGTCCCTCCGTTTCGACAGACGGTCATTGGAGGGTCACAAGGCAATTACAGCAACAGGTGCACTATAATTCGGGATAACGCCTGCAAGGCCCACATCAGGGGCAAAGCCTGCTACGTTGACCCCCCTTGAAACCTCGTTTTTTATATAATTATGATAGTTTATAATAAACCAAACTTATGTATAATTGATTGATCCTGTGAGGTTTGCTGGCTATAATTCCTGCAGGAGAGATTGAATCAAGGCCCAAGGGTTATTCAAATCTTGGCTTGCGGAAAAAAAACGAGGTCATAATCAATAATAGTTAGCATTCAAAAAATAGTAGTATGAATGAGAGAGTACTACCCCTTGAAATGATTCACTCAGCGGTGGTGGCTTCTGCTGCTGAGAGAAAAAGACTCGCTCGGTGGCGGCATTCTGCCGCCACCAGCTCGCATTTTCTCTCAGAGTCAGAATCCTTGGCAAGATCGGCCGAACAACGCCGCAGAAAGCGTGATAGTAACAGAGGGTCACATGTAAACAGTGACAAGCGGTGACTGTGCCACCCCGAAACTCTGACTTAAACGGAAATTTTGAAGCGTTGGGCCGTGAATTTCTTCTACAAATAGAAATTTTTATGACATCGGACTTCGGGTTAAACTCAAAACTCGGCTACCACCATCCCTCTATAAGACCTACTACTAACGTAGCAGGAATATTCAAGACAAATTCTCAACAAGGCTCGACAGACCCGAATATTCTTCCTGAATTATCTTGGAACTGTCCTGGATGTATTGTTCCAGATTCAAGTCTACAATTATTCTTCTATGGTTGCATGTCTCTGAATGGATCGTTTCTGTGAGACGCCCGTCTTGTTCCATATATGATTACCTTTGATGTTGTTCTCTGTGGCGTCCCATGATTCCCCCATTACACCGTCTTACGCACCTGTTACAGGCTGTTACATGTCGTAGAACCGCTCGCTGATCGGATCTCTTCTCAGCACCGAGGCAATGCGGGGAAGCGCTCACTTGTGCCCTACATGCTGTAGCCCGGGGAAACGATGCGGGGTAAATAAGCCTATTCGACATTTTTTCTGGAGAAATACTATAAAGGCAACCAATGGTCCCAAGCTAAGGATAGGATATCCATCGTTGGCCCACTTTTTTTTCTTCACGACTCATTGCCGCCACCCACCCGTGAGAGCTGGTCATTTGACCGACAACATGAATGATTAATATCGCACCGGCCAGTCAGCCGACCATGTTATATGCACGTCGCACTAAGAGGGCCAACAACGGGTCATACGATTATGCCTGCTGTTCTTATAAAAGCCTACTTATTGCTACCATTACTGAATAGGACAAGGACCGCCCGGGTGTTTAAATTGAGCCTTGAGGTCAATGCCGCAGATCAATGAAAACCGAGCTTTTACCCCTTCCTTGCTAGGGCTCTGCCGCCATCCGCGGTTCCTCGGTGACGGTACCCAATAGATACCGGATGGTGCGATATTTCATACATAATAACTCACCTTCTTCCGTTAGCTTCATTGTTCGTGATAATCTCAAGACCATATGAAACCGACATGAATCGACAGACAGGTCGACATTCCGAGTGGACAATTACCTAGGATTCCGATCCCAAGCTGGACCTGTATCACCGTATATCAGCGCTCTCGCCGTAACCTCAGGCAATCACCAAGCAAATCACACCACACGTTACTTCGTTCTGTCAAGCCGGCATGATTTTACGGCTGATAGGTACCCGGCAGCAACCGTATAGGCGTGTATAAGCGTGTATAGCAGAGCGCAGTTATGAATCACCCTAATATATAACACAAGGAAAAACTGTCTCCTAACGTGCTCTATGTTCTCGAGCGGTGAATTGCGTCGTCAAGGCAGATGCTCGCCACGACTGGTCGGTCCAAAATCGTATTATCCCAGCATTTTTCCCTATCTTGCCATGATAAATTTATAGGGATGCAAACTACGGCAATTATTTAATAGATCGATAGAACCATGCTGCTCTATCTCCACCCCCATGCAACCTATTAACCCCATATTAATCAGAACTTCGTCCTGATACATCTAAAAAAATGCCTCGCAAAATACAAATACCATCGCGGAACCAAATTTTGGCCGTACGGCTCATCCTGTTTATCCTTGATCATACACCTGCCGCCAGCCGCGCCACGCTTTACACTGCTCTCATCGTCGGCCCGTATTCGTCCTTGTCCGACTTAGCAGATGACAAAATGAGTCGGAACCGGGGAGCCATTGACACCTTCACTACATCCTGTCTCCTGCAATTCGCTTTCTGGAGCCAACTTGCATTGCCATGGATTCAAGCATGACTGCATCTGCATTTTTAGATCTCGTCTCGGAGGTATAGGTGCATCCGTACCTTCACTCCGTAGTTTTCTTTTAGTTTCACGTGGCTTTAATTAGGAATTTAACGAGGCGAAGAAACACAGAACCTACCGAACGTCTATACGCCGCTCTCTCTTCGAATTTCGAGGTCTTCAGTTCGACTCCAGTGGTGCCTAAATGGCGCAATTGACTCGTCGAAGCATCAAATAGTAAATCGGCCTTGACTTTTGTTTCACGACCCTGCAAAGGTAATGGCCGACTCCTACGCACCGGACCGACAACACCTGGGGCCTGTTTCTTACGTTGGCCGAATCGTTGACGAACATGTGCGTGAATGACGACATGGGCGCTATGAAGTCGTATTCTGGGGTTGGCGGCAGTGGAGACATGAATTCGACGCACAAACAGGAGATTTCGAACGATCCCTCGTTACATATAACGAGCCAGACGAAAATGATAGCAAAGACCAAGGCTCATAATCAACACCTTCGGAATGGTCAATTTCTTGAAGTGAAGTATAGGACCCCAAGAGCTCCTCATCAGGGAGGAAGGAGTCAAGAGTGATAGCGGTTGGAGGACTCGGTGACGTCGGTGGGACTGTATGTGGATAGCTGTCCTGTATATGTGATGATACGGGACCAGAACGGAGGATTGAGCAACCAGCCGCTGAGTAGCTTAGGAGCCAGAACTACTCCTCGACGTGTTCAATGAGTTTGTGAAGATCTGGCCTGGTGTTGGTTACAGCAAACGTAATTAGTGGTCCTAGTCAGAAAGTGACCATAGTGTAAGAAGAAAGAAAAAAGTACGAAGACTGGTCGGGAATCATCGAGTTCGTCTGTATTTGCGAATTCCTTGCAATCTGCATCCATTAGTGGGTAATAAAAACCATGCAAAGATGATCGATGAATAGTCAAGCGACGAGAAGGGTCTACTAGAACAGCTATTAGCGTGCCTCGGTAGCGCCGATCGTGGAGTCAGAATACATACCCGAATTCGCCAGGCCAACTCATTGCAATTTAACGAAAAATCTCTTGAAAAAGATGAGAAAATCAGAAGACGACAAGAACAGAGAGGCGGACGATGTAACGTTGACCAACGCAGTGAAATATGGCACTGTTTGACGGTCGAGCTTGCAAAATGGAACATTCTAGTGCAATTCATCAACGACCTTTGCTGGTCGGCGTTGTTGCAGACTACAGAATCTCAGAATCATAATGAGATATCTTCATTACTCACAGAAGTTGATAGACGTACGATGATCCCTTCTATGATCCAAATCCTCACCTACCGAAGGTCGGACAAATCGATCGTAGCGAAATGTTTGAGCGGCGTGCTGAGCGTATGGATACAAATGTTGGCCATGATCAATAAGACATGAAGAGTGATTGTCTAGGAAAATATCAGAAACAAACAGGCCATATACATGATCACATAGATACTACGTACTGGTGAACGGTGCCACACAAGACTAGCGTGACCCGCGAAGACTTGCCTGGAGTACCCGAGGAAATTGCGAACGGTGAAGTCCTGATTGGCCATACGTATGAGGAGGGCCCTATATACTGGTTTAGAATACAGCTTCCGCACGGTGGAAAAGGCTCCGTTCATTCAGGTTCCTTTAAGACTCGTGACCACTGGATGACATGTCTCAGGCTTCGACCTGACAAGAACGATCTTACAACAGATGATCGTGACTGAGCAATTAAAGATCAGATTTCACAACTGTGGCGGGTGAATGCCTTTCAGAAGCAAAGACAGTAGTGATACAGGCCAGACAGGGATTCGGAACCTTGGGAAGCCTTCGAATTGCAAATGGGAATACGGAACATGGTAACGGACCGGTGCGGGCCGCGATTGATGCACAATTTCAACTTTGCTTGAAACCTTCTTTTCAGTCTTTGAAGCCCGGACGTGGACAGCTCGTGAGCGTCTCGTGAGTCTTAAGCTTCTTGGCCCGCTTCAGCTCCGGTTACATACAGGACACATGGGCAACCGGTGTTTTGGGGAGTTCGCGTAGTTCGTTTAATTTTCGGCAATAAGAACGGTGAGTAATAATATCATATATCATTCAAGAATCGCTTAAACGCCAATCCCAGAAAGTGCCATGGTTACATCGTCTGTATCAATATTTCCGCCTCAGACGCATGTCTCAAAGACCGCCTTCACGTAGTCAGCCATCAGACGATGGGTAACGGTAGATGGATACCTATGGCGGAACATGTGAGCTAAGTTCTGTTCATAAATGAAATCCTTCTTACTGTGGGATGTAATAGAAAGTGGTGTCGGGATCGCTGCATTGGCCTACAGTTGTGGTCTCGTTGACGGTACAGGCGCCTGAGCTCTGGTACCCAAATGCCTCGTACCCTGGATCCGAACCGAGGATCGCAGTCCAGAGATTCTCGAAGTTGATAAAGCCAACATTCACATCCGTGAATAACTTGGTCAAACTACCGAGGCCGTCGAAGAGGTCTTGTTTAAAGATCTCGCCTTCATCTGTCACGTTGCCCCGGCCATAATTGTCGACGACCAAGATATTTTTGGCATACAATGGGGAGTCGGCAAGCTTAATCAACTCATAGAGGATATTGCCGGCCGTGGTCGGGAAGCTTGAGGCTAAGGCACTTGTTAGAAGATGTCATTGAACAGCCGCGAATATGCGGACATACCATCAGCAAGAAGGAAGTCCCTGAAAAATGTTGGTTGGTAAGGTACGGTTCATTCGTTGTTATGCGTTAATTGACTCACTCCATACCGTGGAAGATGATGAACAGTGTGGTATCGCTATCGGGCTTGCCTGTAGAGGAGATAACTAGGTTTCCTGTTAGAACATTGCCAAGTGAGTACTCATATCCGAGGACAAGACAAACCCCCGACCTTGATACAGGAAGTCTCTCTCATCCAGAGCTGACTTAAAACTGGGATATTGCGTATCATCGACTACTGATTTTGTAACCTGGGGTCCGTGAACATAAGTCGCGTATACAAATACGGAATGCAAGGCCTACCGCGTAATCCTTGATTGTTGCATTGATGTCCGAGGCCAGATACTCTACCCAGACAGGACCATTGGACATTCTTCCACCAGCCTTGGGGTCCAGAGAGTCTTCTTGTACGGCTTCGTCGAGCGTTGTGCCATCTTGCTTGCCGCCGTCGGTGTATCCGTCCTGGGATGTACAATAGCCATGGTAAGCGTGGAACCATTGAACAGGAAGATGGTCGTGACCTACCCCAAAAGCAACGATCGTAGAATATGAACTCAGCGAGCCAAGCCCGGAATTGAGGTCGCCCACTGTGCCATACAGAGTTCCACAAGAAGGTGAAATGACCAGTTCGACGCTGGCCACAAGAGAAGCCGAAAGTAGAAGGGCGAAGCTCGAGTATATCATTGTACGAATTAACGGTTACAGTGAGGAATCTCGGTACTTCCTTTATATCTTGCGCATAAGCACGCCCTAATTTTCTGTCCCAAGATACCCGCACCCTGGAGGACTTTTCTTGGAATATCATGAAGAATTATCGTAGTTACATCTCTTCGGGCCCGGAAAGCAGCGGATGCAAAGAATAATAATGCGGGCATTGCCACAAGGTCCTGTCGATCAGCTGTACTCAATATCCGAAGAGCTCGTGGCTGGCCAATTAGCCCTGACACCAAGCATGTCGTTTATAGGGCTTTTCTATTCGTTCACCGCCCGGACCACTTGCTCGGCGTCGACACCTGACAACCTGCCCCCCTTCCATACCCCGAGAGAGCTAAGTACTGCGCCTAAATTTTGTCACCCCTCCATCCCACATGATCTGTATGTATCAGCTCCGAGTTATATGATTTTTTATACCAACAACCCATTAAATATTATCTCAAGAGCTTACTCCAAGTAAAGGTTATTCGGTTTCAAGGACAATGCTCTGTTCATCAACTCATGCACGCTGGGAATAGACTGTTTACCGTTGACAACTGAGCAAAAGTTTCCTCACTCACCAAGTTTCGGCCTTTGCCTTTCCGCGTAAGGAGTGGCGAAAGTGGGCAACCGGTTGCTTTGCAGGCGGAAGATTCCTGCCCCAGACAGGCACGGCCAGAAAAAGCAATCAAAATGCCACGCCATCTCGCACAAATGAAAAGGTCCGTTCTGACACGGATCTGGCTGAGGCTTTTCAGCGAAGGGGCCCAGGGTGCACACACGCGCGGTAGACTTCATATGCAAAATGTTTCCCATCTCTCGGACAGTGACTCTTCTCTCTGTGAGCAGCGAAGCTACGGTACACGCTCTCAAATGGCCCATTTCTATCAAAGACGAGAGAACCCATCCGGCTCGCTGTATCATCGATTGCATTCAGTACCCACAGTACCTGTCGCGGTGCTATTCCGCAGCACGTTGCCAATATCGTCATCATCGCCACCATTGTCATGAGGAAACGAAAAGCTTTCCGATGATAATTCCGAGGTATAGTAGTTCACCATGCACGTAATAATCCTATTACCCGTGTTTGTGTTTTTCTAGCGTCTCCTTGACTTGGCATCTTACATCTTCGAAATTGGCGAAATAAGCCTTTGTTTAAAATGGAAGGATCGCGCCGAGTCAACGTCGGTTTAGTTGTGATCCTCCAATACATCGAAGGACCCCTGATTTGCGACCGCGTGACAAGATATAAGGCACCTTGCAAGAATTACAAGCAGGACCTTGAATTGGAATCGAGGCACAAGGCTTCGGATTCAGGGGAACATAGCGACAGGAAACTGCGTGTCGTTGAAGGCAAGTTGAAGGTGTTCTCAGCTAGAGCTGCAAGTAACACATAGCGGCGCTCGGCACATTTTACGGGGATTCACCCAGAGTGAAGGGTCCTGGGCCTTGGAGAGGATAAATTTCCTCGTTGTAGTCGACGGTGATGATCAGTACTTATGTCTAGCTCCACGAAAAATGGGAGAATATTGGACCATGACGTCACGCGTCAGCAACCACGTGCTTTATGGCCGGGGGTGCCTCAGGCTCAAGCTGACCAAACTGATTCGGAAATGCTTGGCGATGCCCTCCACTCATCACCATCTCCCGCGTTTTCATCTACATCTTCGACACTCAAAGAAAACCGAGTTCACGATGTCTCAGCAATCATCAAGCCAGTCTCTAAGCCACGTACCAGTTGTGCCGGATACGAGCGTGCCTCTGGTATTACAGCAAGGCACCACAATGCTGAAGGTATCGGTAAAGAAAGAGAAAAGAGCACTGTTTCGTATAGATCCGGATGAAGGTCAAATCTGCTATGAATCGAGGAAAAGTGGTGTCAGTACGTCTTGTCCTTTGGACTCCTGCTACGACCTTGTCATCGTTGCGTTCAGTTCCCATTGAATCGATCAAGGAGATTCGTTCAGGTTCAGAGTCTCGATACTACCGCTCGCAGTTCAAGTTATCTCAAGCGATGGAAGATCGATGGATAACTATTATCTACATTCTTGATGGCAGCTATAAGACCGTCCACATCGTTGCCGACACCACTGAGATTTTCAACGATTGGCTTACAACTCTCAAGAAGCTCCATACGATCAGGCAGGGTTTGATGACCGGCTTGGGAAACATCGACGTGCGAGATACAGTGTGGGAGAAACAGTATTGGAAAGGAGCAGATCACCAGGGCGATCAGCGACTCGAATTTGCAGAAATCGAGGGCTTGTGCAAGAGGTTGAATGCAAACTCACCTCAGGCGGAACTGAGAAAGCTATTCGATGTATGTGTCTATCCACTGCGAGCTGGCCATTTGATTTACAGCCATCCACAGGAGGCCGACATTCTGAAGAATGGTTATCTAGATTTTGATGCTTTCAAGCGATTCATCAAATTGCTCAAGAGACGGCCCGACATCGAAACGATCTACAATGACTTAGGAAAACTAGATTTACCCAGATTCACAACGTTTCTTCAGGAATTCCAAAAGGTAAATAACATCCTTTCAACTTGACCCTCGTTGACGTCTTCCTTGTCCAGTCTGCAGCCGACGCTTCAGTTATATTTTCCAGATATTCACCCAACTCTGAAGTCATGAGCTTGGACGCCTTCATATCTTTCCTCTTTTCTAATGACAATAGTCCGTTCTCCGAGCTCAATAATCCCGTTTGGCAAGATATGACGCATCCGATGCCGGAATATTTCATATCTTCCTCCCACAATACTTACCTCGTCGGACATCAGCTTGTCGGAGTCAGCACAATTGAAGGATACATCCGCGCACTTCTGCACAGCTGTCGCAGCGTTGAGTGTGCGTGTCGCTTCTTCTACTTCGTATATGAGGCCTTAACGCCCTCCTAGTGGACATTTACGATGGTGAAGATGGCGAGCCAGTGGTTTATCATGGCAAAACCTTCACCTCTGAAGTGACTGTACGGGCTGTATGCGAGGCTATTGCGAAGTATGCCTTCGTCTCATCACCCTACGCCATCATTATATCTGCCGAAGTTCACTGTGGAATTCAGCAACAGAACAAGATCGTGGAAATTATGACAGCTATTTTTGGTGATTCAATAATACAGGCGCCAGTAGAGGGAAGGCCACCCGTGGATCAACTACCAAGCCCGGAAGATTTGAAAGGGAAGATTTTGTTAAAGGTAAGATATCGCTCTTATGCAACAGTTCACCAATTAACCATTTCTAGGCCAAGAATCTTTATCTTGCTGCGGAAATAGCCGCCGAACAAGCCCGAAAAACAGAGGAAGCTCGTGCTGCAGCTGAAGCCGAGGAATCCTGGTCATCCTCATCCTCATCGTCCGGCACGGACTCTAGTGTGCTTAGCAGCCTTAAATCTCGCTGGCGGCGCGTCAAAAAGTCCCAGCCAAAGAATAAGCCATTAATGTCCCTTAAACTCGTTTCTTTGCTTGTGTACACCGTCGGTGTCAAATGCAGGGGCCTGTCGGCAACGGAGACATATGCGCCTGAGCACATATTTTCTCTCTCTGAGTCACGGGCAAATAAAACTGATCCCAGAGCCCTAGTGCGCCATACGCAAGGGCATATGGTAAGAATATACCCGAAAGGAACGAGGGTGAACTCGACAAACTATGAACCAGTAAGGTACTGGGCTGTAGGTGCGCAGCTGGTGGCTATAAACTGGCAGACCTTCGGTAGGCCTACTTACTGTCCTTCATTCTTTTGATACAGTGATATTCATTCGTGTCGATCAGATTCAGGGTACATGATCAATCAAGCCATGTTCCAACGAAATGGGCGGTGCGGCTACGTACTCAAGCCAGAGGCTTTGAGACCTGGAGGTGAATCGTTGTTGGAGAAAAAGACGAAGTACTTATTTGAAGTCAAGGCATGACACTCTCCCCCTCATCAAGTCGCCTGCTCACCGAGTTGATATCCTAGATCGTATCGGCCCAACAACTCCCGCTTCCAAAAAACAGTTCTGGACAAGAGGTCGTCGAAAAATCAGTAATTGATCCATATGTAGAGGTCTCGTTGCACGTGCCTGATTGGACGCATTCGCCCTTTGACGAAACGAGCGAGGCACCCGAGGCAGGCAAAACTCAGGATAAGAAAATCTCGGCTCGGACGGGCGTGGTAAAGAACAACGGTTTTAATCCGGTATGGAATCATGACCTATCCTTGTCATTCGACTGCATCGGGGGCGAAGGCATGCTCGATTTGATATTTGTGCACCTCGCTGTGCGCGATGATGGGGAAGACGAGAAGGCGGTTGCGAGGTATTGTGTTCCGCTGAAGGGACTTGGGCGAGGATGGAGGCATCTACCGTTACACGACGAGCAGTTGTCGCAGTTTTTGTTTTCGACGCTTTTCGTCAAGATAGGATTGAAAAAGGTGTAAGGACATTATTTGGAAGACATTGAAAAGGGACTATGTACTATATACAACCTGTACTGGATGCCCTTGTATTTTAAATCAGCAATCTAAGTGACATTCGCGAGGCGTTATTCAAGCATGGCTACCACAAGTTCGAAAGGTTACAGATAAGACGTCAGAATATTGACAGAGTTAGGGTTAGCTCATAGGCCGAGAGTAGGCAGCAATTTAGAAGGAATAATAGTCAGCCTATGCTGTCAGAAATTACGGTAAAGCTAAGTAGATGCGACCAAGCAAATGCAGACTAGGTCCAGCTATCTGACAAAAGGTGGCGTTGTGATTGGCAGACACGGGTCGGGCCTCGACAACTAGTATGACGGCCGCCGCTGCTTCTAAGAATCATTCTTGCAATTGAAGAGGTAAGCCGAGTTGACGATTTCAAACACTGATAGGGTAGAAATTGGGAGGACGTTCAAGCGGAACTCGGACACGAGGACAGGGTGGTTCTTATCAGCAGAAATGCACATGCAAGATGATGGACTTGGAGAAGAACAGATGCTCTTCTGCTGGCTCTTCGCGAAGCAGCATAGAGACGGACCGGGACCACAGGCTAGATCAGGTCGAAGGCGTTAAAACAGAGACGACACCCAAATATATACAGAATTCTTTCTTTCTTTCCTTCCTTCATGCATGTCATGCGCTACAGATGGATCCAGAACGAACGCTAGGGTCAGTCGGTGCCGGTGATTAAGGGCATGCAGGAAACTGCAGGAAAGCATGTATTGTCCTTGCATGACCTGAGGATCTGATGGGGAAACCTGATTTAGCGCCAGAAAGGTGTCGTATCGCCCTTCGATACAAGCTCGTAGTTTTCTGAACAGAAATAAGCAGACAATAAAATATTTTCCAGCAACAATACAAATGAGAAAGTGACATGCAAATTTGAAATGTACAAAATAAAGTGATTAGGGGCTATTGTCAAACAACGCCACGCTCAAGCCACGCTTCTTGCTCCATGATGATTGCATCTTGGCCTCCCATACCCACTATCGACTCCCACGTACGCCTTTCTTTCCTTCCTTCCTTCCTTCCTTCTCGCTGATTCTGCCGATAAGGGGCTCTAGTGACGAGCGCTGATGAACACTTCAGATTGAGAGGATTTGCTGTGAACAGTGCTGTGAGTAAGTACTCGCGAACGATGAGCTCTATTACTTATCCAATGGTGGTCTACAGACGTATCTACCCTTGCGATTCCTTATATCTCATCACTCGTTTCGCTGCATGGCGCCTAATTCGCTATCCGCTGGTAGGATGCACCAGCACGTCCCCCTCGACCCAGATTCACTCTACGTCTGCACCGTGCAACTCGCTACAGGCGCCTTTCATTGGGCCATCATCATCACTGATGCCAATTCCAGAGCAGTTCGTCATCACTGGTACCAAGTCTCCGGTCGGCCGTACGCGGAAACGTACGGCTCTCAGACAGTAACGCCAGCCACGCGCACAGGGAACAGCGCAGTATTGGGCTACTACAAGTTGGAGGGATACGTGCCGTGTCGTGACTTTATCGACATTTGCCGTAGTGTCTTCACGAGCTACGCCACAGTTGATGAGAATCGCGCGCATAACATGACTTGTCGGACTTGGATCCTGCAGGTGCTGATGGGTCTGTACGACAAAGGAAGCTTTCCTGGGCGCAAAGAGAATCGATCCGAGTTTATTAGTTTGGTGGAAACGAAGATCAAGACCATGAGCACCCAGGCCGATAATAACTTCCTAACCCTTTTCTATCAGTCTCTTGTCCATCAATACCACCCTCCCGTTCTGTCATTATAACGAGTACGTTACGCCGATTCTCGATTTACCATCTATTAGGAAATAAATTTGCATCACAATGGATATGTGATCAGACCGGTAGACAGTTCGTACACTGCTTCCACCGCTTCATCAAAACGCATCCGTTCCTTTTTCCATAAGGCCCACCATTCGAATGTAATGCCGTGCATGTATACGTTGCGGAACATATGCAATTGCCAATGGCGGGGTAGCCATCCCGAATCCTCCCAATCAACGATGCCACTTAGTCGGCCGTCCAGCACCAATATGTTTTGGAGCCGCAAATCAGTATGTACCCAACACACCGGGTCATTTGCGAGATGCTCGAGAGTGGAAGGTGCCGTATCCGCGATAAAATGGTTCAGATCTTTGAAGTTCATGAGAGCATAACAATGAAGCGTCGAAGGAAATGTGTTGCTGAGGTTGGAATGGAGAGTCATGGGGTTGGGAAGCCCATGACCACTAGCGCTACGCATGACTTGCCCTTTGCAGTTGTCTGGTTGCTCAATCTGCCATAGTCGATGCAAGAAATCTAGGACTTCCTTGGCCACCACTTCTAATTGGTCAGATGGTAAGGAACGGTCCAACAAATTATGCCCCGGCAGCTTGGTCATGATGGTGTATGTGGAATCTCCCAACACGAAGGAATCGAGGAGCCGGGGTATTGGCAAGTCAGAGCAGGTTGTATTCAAGAATCGTAGGGCGTCCGCCTCGGTGCTGACCGTCCGTGGCGTCTCTTTCATGACAATGGGAATACCAAAACGAAAGAGGCGAACTCTGTGAGAGTCATTGGAACGCTCGGTCGTAAAAAGGTAGTAAAAGGTGAACTTGACAGTGGGAATGACCCTGTGCGTAAACCACGAATAGATGGTCGCCGCGAAGAATGGCAGTGACCAGACGTGCGACGATGATGCCTACAGGACGAGTCAGCGAATGCCCTTGAGGACCATGAGCGTAAAATAAAACCTTATCGTTGTTGCTTCCTTCCATTTCACGTCCGAGTGCCCCCTGGAAGATAAAAGCTAATACAGTCGTCTGAGAGAAGGAAGACAGAGGCGCAGCGAAAGCAATTACTCACAGTAGAACAGTGGGAGGCAGCAGCAGTAGCTCACCACATCTAGGTTGCAGTACAAGTTGGCAACAATCAATGAGCCGGAGTGTATCGTGGATAGAGGACATGATGTTGGCGGAATTTGAAAATAGAGTGGGAAGGCGCAGCCAAGCATTGTCACCAAGCTTGATTACGACCAAGTCCACTTTAATTTTGTTACTCGTGTCATCCGACCATACTCATCTACGACTGCATTTCTCTGCTTGGACCACCGTTGAAGGTGTTCATGCAGAGGAATACCAGCGTGAGGTTACGACACTGGTCACCTGTTGGATCCGGAAGCAAACAAACTGTACTAGGGTCCCTTGATTTGAGCCCTTCCATGCGTCTCAGGTCCCGGTGTCGTACTAGACGTTTGCAATTTACTGAAAGGACAACAATTTTGCTTTCCTGCTAGAATCATTGCACGCGTTGACCGAAAATATTATGGAATTGAAGGGGCTGACAGCGAAGCTGAATCAGAGGTTATTACTAACGGTGTCTAGCTTTGCGGCGACGGTAGTTAACCCGACCAGGAAACGTTCACGGTGTCGGTGTACTTCTACGGTCCTCTTGTTGTCATTTTCTCTTTCAAGAACAGACCCATGACTAGGTGTATTGCAAGCGAACGACATCGATATCGTGCCACCCCCTAGACCAATGTCGCGGTCACTATCGTACCCGATATTATCATCGACGATGGTGCGGATGCAGAAGATAAGGAGATCGATGCTATTAAGCTTAGCACCCCCATATACCACGTTTGAACAGGTTATATATCAATCGTTTCCAACGGAATAGACTATCTTGAAGATAAAAGATTGCACCGTCATGCCTTGGCTGGAAGTAGTAGGAAGGACATCGAAATAGTGGAAGATCCAGGCCAAGTTTTGACTTAACAGTATAAACATTCCACGAAGCCTCTGGAAGTAATAATATCAAACTCTGTAGAAATAGGGTGGTGGTGGTGTTACCGGTGCCAGGTCCCAATAAGGAACGGCCGGGTCCACAGCCCCGGTCTTGTTTACCAGACTGCAACTTCACGTGATGGTGTTCTTTCTTTTTCCTGTACGTACCTCGCATTGGCAATGCCCCGCCATGACAACTTTTCGGTGTGGATAACTATTGAAGGCGTCGAGATAGAAGAATACCAGGTAGAGTAAGATGGAAACAAGGTTACCTGTTGGATTGCATCTGAAGAAAACAAGGTGTGTCAATTGCCACTGCCTCTTTCTTGTTTCTCAGCTTCGCCTTCCAGACCTTCGAGATACATTACAAACTTCATGACGCCGCAATTCCTCTCAGAGTAACCCCTCGCATTGATGGTGCGACGTATTCCTTCAAGGACGTTCGTAGAGACCCGCATGTGAAGGACAAGTTCTCAGGCGTGAGGGTCTCAGAGACAACAAGGCGACCCTATAAATTCTCGCCTATCTCGCTTACAGGTGGACTTGCTTTGCTTGTTCCGTGATGTTATCCATTAACCGTGGTTCTTAGATAACGATGACGCCCTCAATCAGTCTATGCAGAATGTGGGCGACATCGAGGTGGAAATTAGCCGAGTTGAACTGCATCGTATGCAGCATACACACAGACGTCACCGATATAAGGACGTACCAGAGGCTGTGGAATATAATGAAAAGACCAAGAAGGGAATAGATCACCAGATTGAGTACATGCGACCCTATCACTTCACTACATATACTAATGTACGCATAGTTTCGGGGACCCAATTATCACTCACCGGGCCACCGGGACCCACAGTCATCGCAGTGTATGCATTGGGGATCCATTAGTCGTATTCTGCTTCAAGTATCGACCTTTGAGTGCGTTCTCTACAACATGTCCTCATCACAGTCTAGTTAACGTCTCCACAACTAGGTGTGCTTCGCGCTCTTGACATCGCACCTTTGCCTCCAGGACCTGCTCAGAATACGACAGAAACTACCGTCATCGACCTCACCTTCGATGGGGATGAATCAGAGACGGACAGCAAAGAACTAGAAGCTCTGAAGGTCAATTTTTTCACTTGAACTCATTGCTAGTACTCATTACAACGGGATCCCTAGGCAAGGATACAGGTTATTGAACGGAAACGGAAACGGCGAGACTGCGCTTCAGGGAACAGGAAGAAGATCAAACTCGAGCCTGTGAAGACGGAGGACTTTGCTGGACAATCTATCGATTTGACATGATGGCTATGCCTATTTATACGCTTTCATCTTATTGGTAAGTCAACCCCTTGCTATGGCGGAAACCATTGCTGAAACCATCTATCTAGTATTTCGGTTAATGGCAGGGCAATGAACTCGTTAAATATGATATGGAGCTTCTTATTCTATCCAGGAACACCAGTAAATCGGTATTGAATATCATGCTGTAATTGTCGAAGCTTCCAGTCCTAATCTCCTTCAGCTATGCAACTTCTGCAAGACATCCCGCGAAGTCATCAACAATTTGGCAAATAATTGTGTTGATCTTCAATATTGAATATGAATACACCCTGGCGAAATGTCTGTAATGCAGTACACAGGTTATGTTCCACCTTCACCCTACATATGCCTGTCTTATGCGAACCATATTCTTGAAGTCTGCCACACTTGACGCTGTCCTTTGTGTCTCATCAATGAATGGTTTAATATCCTTTTCTTCCATAAGGCGCACTCCACGTCTTGACTTCATAAGCCCCAAAACCCGTCGAAGCTGCCAACCGCAGCTGCCATAGGGGCAGGTCGACCCTCAGAAATCATGGCCTCCAGGAAATCGTCCAAATCGTAAATCGTCGAATGGAGAGGCCAGCCGAGAAGCGTTCGTATGAAAATCCTCGCTAGCATGAGCAGCATTTTTCTCTTCGCTCGCACTCTCCAACACCGTCCTGGCTACCCTCTGGGAGGCAGGGTCATCGGCATAATCTTCGCCAGCGGCGGCATCATGCAGATTGCGTATTTTCAGGAAACCATAGAATTCTTCATATTGCGAGTATCGAGACTCGCACATTTTCAACACGAAGCACCAGCCTTCTCCTTCAAGTGCACTCAACGATTCTTGAGGGAAAGTGGAAACGTAACGTTCGCTCCACTGTCGAGTTACCGGACGGACGGCGGAACTGAAAGCTACTCGGAGGAAGAAGTAACACAACGAAGGATTGGAGATGGTGAACTTTGGCATTGCTGCATATGAGATCAGGGCGTCAGTCAGACCCTGAACAATTTTGGGAGGATTGAGAAACGGAAGAGATGCTACGGGTATACCGTCACTCCACGATGTATAACTGATGGATGAGAATGCATTAGGATAGGATGATGCCTCGTCGGCATTGCTTTCTGCCTGGTTCAAGAGGAACGGGTGGATGAGATCCTGCATATGATAGAACAACTTAGGTTCGGTGACGATCAGTTCCTTTAGCTCTTCGTTGCGGACGGAGGTATTCAGCAGTACGAGACGAACCAAGGTTGGACGCGCTGTCAATACTTTTCGGATGGTGTCTCCCGTGATGTTAGCGTTCCCAGACAGGTTCAAGGTTCGGATGGTGATACTTGCATCAGATAGAATTGATAGAAGCTGATCTGTGTTCACAGAGAAATTCTTGAGATCAACTTCGTGCTCGCTCCGAGACTCTTGCGCTATGACCTGCGCCAAAAGAGACAGGCCTGTATCAGGGAAGGGATTCTGCCTGAGCAAGGCCGCCTTGATCATTGAACTTTTCTCAGCCATCCATACGATGCTGTCTAGACTGGAGGTGTCTCCTGTGGCTAAGCCTTGCTCGACAGTGGTTCCTAGAGCGAGATCGAAAAGTGAGGGAACCGAACTCTCTGAGGTGCTGCAGGACGGGCAGTTCTCGATAATTGGTGGCTCGAATGTGCCAGGAGTTTTGTATACAGTGGGCCATGCCTCAGTGAGCATATCGAGGGTAACCATGTCTACTCCGTCAAGTGCATTAATGGCGCCCCTGATGAGTTTCTGGAAGAGATATAGCTCAGTCACTCGAGTCAACAGTATTTCTCGACACAGATAAGTACCTCATCTTCATTGTCCTCTGTTCTCGCATAATATTCTCGAGCATACTGAGCGGCGGAAAGTATTCGTGACTCTAAGTTTCACGAAACAATACGCAGGCTTTGATGGATTTGTGACATCGATAACAGTGATGCCTTCGTTATTGTCTATGAATCCAGAATTCGCCAACACGTTTCAATTCGTACAAAATAGTATGACCTACCTCCATCTCCGCTGAGCATGTTAGCTGGTAGCAACGATCCTTGAAACGATGACCGATGGAAATAGGAATCAAATGGGTCATTGATGTCCACATTCCACGCTGACCCTATCAAGAATGAAATATAACTGCAGGGGACTCTTGGTATACGGGGTGCATCCTGGGACTCCCACCTCCCACATTGGCCCTGGAGTCGTCGGAGTTCGTCAACTACAATTTCGGCATTGTCCCTCTGCTCCAAGAGGGTCAAGAATCGACGCGCAGCAAGGAGAGGAAGGATACCATAGCACCATTGGTGGTGCCATGCAGCGACGCAACGGTAGTAGGCCTTGGTTTCGCCGTATGGGACGACCTTGGCGATCGCGAAGGTTTGCGATCGTTGGCCCATCGATAGGTGTCAAAGTGCTTCAAAGCAGTAGAAATAAGGAAGGAAGTAGATTTTATTAGTCGTCGGTGCTCCTGAACAGAAACAAGGTAAACGGTCTCGAATTTTAAAAAAACCGTTCGAACCTCACACGAAGAAGGCAACCAACTTCGGCCGCCCATGGCAACCAGTCCGAGCCGGTTGACCATCTCGGTTGCAGCCCGCCTGGATCTTTTCTCCTCACTTGACGACCTCACGACTGGCAATAAAGAATGTTGATGCCGCAATCTATGACTTCCAGATACAATACTATGCTACGGTACTGATACCTATGGCATCATCCCTTATGTCCGCAGACCCGACTTCCGAAACAATTAATGCATGTGCCTGGGCAGAACGCGCCTTGAAAACACATTTGAAAGGTAATGGATGGCTAAATTTGTCCGGTCGTATCAGACATCATTGAACAAAACAAAAACAAAAAAAAACAGGAAATACCTCAGGAAGTCACTGGTGAAGGTGTTGATAGGTTCGACGATGCGACCGTTGTCACCCACAGCCTTTGAAATGGATAGCGTAGATAGAATAGACGCGATAGCAATCCAGGAGGTATTGGAGGCAAAGTATCGACCGGCACAGATCCTACGCAAGTCATCGCCACGAAAGATATACAATTAACATGAAGCGAACCGTCTTCCGAAGCCAAATGCAGCCGTAGGATCAGGAGGAAGCTTTTTGCCTTCCCTTTTAATAAAACGTTCAGGGTCAAACACCAGAGGGTTTGGATAGTCTTTCTCATCGTGAAGGATCGCCCTGCAATCAAGTCAGTTTTTAGTGGTGGATGTTCTGACATTTACCAAACATTCGCAATAACGGTTGCGCCTGAGAAACAACTCAAGCTCAAGGTAGTTCAAGTTGTGAAGAAGGCAGAGCTCACCTCCTGGAATGTAATAGCCTTTGTACACGTCGTCTTTCACGCTACGATGAGCCAAACCTAAGGTTTCGGTGGGTCAATATAACCAATAACGTTATCGGGAGCAGTTACCCAGAGGAAAAACAGGGTTCCATCTTAGCGCTTCAGATAGAGTGGCGTTAATGTAGGGAAGCTTATGACGATCATCAAAGTGTGGTAGTCGGGATTGGCCCACAATGGCATCCAGTTCCGCTTGCGCCTTAACTTGAACTTCTGGGTAAAGCAGAATCGCCAGAATCACGGAAAGGATAGTAGAAACTGTCTATAGGCTCAATCCGTTAGACGATAGAAACTGAAGGATTATTATGAAGACCTACAGTGTCGGCCCCCTCTAGTGTTCCAGGAGAGAAAGTCACTTTATATAGTTACCGATGAAAACGTCAAACGAACCAGCAAAGGCCATCGCGGCAACGTTTTTGATAACTTCGACGTCGGCCCCGTTCTGTTTCACCTTCTCGAGATTCTGAGAAACAAATGAAAGAGCTAGAGTACTGTTTCTGACCTTTACAGTGATACGGAGTAGGGTATGAGGATCAATCTTCGAGGGACAGAGTCATCACTTACAGGTGATTCTGATACATATCTGAAAGGCTCCTCTATCATGGCTTGAACATCTTTCCTCCACATGGCGCAAGATTCTTAAATCTAGCTCCAGGAAACCACTCTTGATGAATTCGCTGTCTAAATATGTCGTCTGATAGCGCAAGTTCACTTACTGGGGAGAACTTTCAGAACGGGAAAGTAATCAACAAGAAAGGTCCCTTCGGTGCCGCTGATATGAGCACTGATCACACCCTGATCTGCCAACTGCACAAACCGATCTTCATCTGGTTCAACGTCGTAATCGTAAACAGTCTTCATAATAATTGAACCAGCGTAGCTGAGGAGTAACTTGTATTGAGATGATGCAGGTTGTAATACAATGAGGAAACTTACTGACGGATATGATGAGATACGCCATCTTCAGAGTCCAGTAGCTGGCGTAATAATACAAAAGTAGCTTTCATCTGCACTGGATAGAAGGACGGGAGTGTGCGGGCTTGAAAATATTGATGGAACATTCGTCGATGCACTCTCCGTAACGATGACATTCATTCTTTTGCAGCAGCCTTCAGAACACGGCAACTGACCTCCACCTATCAGAATACCGCATGATAGATAAAGCAAAGTCCCATCCCGACAACCGCAGCATCTGCATATCTATGAAAGAAACGTCAGAACCTAGGATAACCAGTATGATCCTCTCGAACCTGGTCTATCAGAGTAGAGTGCGGAACGCTTTTCAAGCAACTCAGTGGCTACTTGGGCTGAGTTGAGGATAATGGTCGGATTGCCAGGAGTATTCAAATACAAGACGTCTCCATATGTCGCGGTCCATTGAGCGTAGGTGATCCATGGGTATTCGGCTGGAATATCACAAAGATTTCCTATGAAGGGAAGACCCTTAGGACCAGGAGGAAAAGGGAGAGATCTAGCAGGGGTGCGCCAGCGACGGTACAAGATCACCACGAACACGAGAGACCAACAGAGGAACCATATACATCAAGAGAATAAGATGCGTAGACAAGTCGGTAGCCCATCTTATAGGGAGCAACGGGTCGTGAAAAGTCCGGAACGTCCACCAGTTAGAAGATATTTCAGATTATATACCGAGGATGATAAGCAAGCACAAGTTCACGGCGTACGCAAAAGTCGTGAGTGTGAGGATCGGGGGTTTCCTCGGATCCTGGTCGGGCTAAGTGCGTCCACGTGGAACAGACAGTCAGAATGGATGAATCGTGACGGCGTGCACAATATATCGAGTCCTTTACTGGCTCCATAATTAAGAAACTAGTGAATACGCTGAGGAATGCTATCACGTAATTGAAAGGCTCTGGGGTCTAGGGCATCCACCTCCACTCGTGAGCAAGCTTCTTGAGCTTCCGATTACGAGTCGGATTCCGGTTAAATTGAATAATATACAAGCCATCCGCTGGGTTCAGTGAATACGGTGCTTTGAAGAATCGGGCCGCGATCGATCCTTGATGAATTCTGTTGAGTTGGGGCGGATGTCATGAATGGAAGGAGAGACCTAACCGAGGAAGGGTCAACAATCGTGGCACAAGCCTTCGATCTTGGTATACTGTCTTGTCATTAGCTATACTGAATGGTTGCCCCGAGGCCGTTAGACTGCATGAGAGTATATTACTTGCAATAACCACATTCAGGGGCCTTGGTGTGTTTTCATAGCATGTAATGCCATGAAGTGAGCATGCCAGTAACGGAAGTAATTTATTTGCTAGGGCCTGTTCAGCGGTGGTGAGGATGATATTTCGACCAACCCACCTCGGTAGCTAGAAAGCCTCTGTGAGGACATTCCCCGGTTGAGTGGTCAGATTTCAGCTAATGTATCAAGAATCGTGTTAAGTGCTTCGTAGTGATCCCGGATTGACGTTCGCTTGTGCGACTTTGAACCGCGTCAATACGTATTCACGATGAATGAATAAGCCGAGCCCTGGTATCTATTTATCTGGCCTTCGAGTTGTTATAACTGCTGTCATTATTCTTTTCGCCTGATAGAAATCACAACACCTCTGGTACTTTTTAAGACTGTAATACTCCGCACCGCCCTAGCGCCAAGTGATGGAGCTAATGGACATCGTCACAAAACGGTCTCGTGGTTGATGTCATGCTTCTCCTGCGACTACTGACCTTTGAGCACACGCAACATACAAAAAGGATAAATAACTCACGACGTGGCGTGCACTCGTAAGATCCCAACGCTGCGCATCCGTTTCAATACGTCTGCCTCGATTGCTGATCTATCTCCTATATCAAAAGATACATCCACATCTACCTTCCGTAGACTGGAATGAGTGAGAAAAACCTTCTCCAAATCAGACCATGGCATAGCCACGAGATCATCCGCTGAATGAATACGAAAACTTAAAGACACGTCTTCAAGCACGTTCGACGTGATAGTTGAAAGAAGACAAGGCAGAACCGGTCTCATGATACAATCTCCATTACACGTGAGGTCGATATTCTCGAGGTGAAGAGTGCGGAGGTCGGTTTGACAGGACAAATGAAGCGCCGTGGAGATATCTGCTATTTATATGTACGTATTAGCTTGGCATAACAACAATTTAGCACCTGTACATACCAGCTGGGATCGGTTTATTCTGGTGCCGTGAGAATGACAGCAGAAAGTGGCGAAGGTTTGAACCCAAGGTATCAAGGGCGCGACGGACGTAAGGCAGGTCATCGAACGTGATGTTCCGCAACCGAATTGTGTGAATGTCCAGCGAACGTGCGGCGCCAAGACATGCTAGGAACACCGGTATACCTTCATCTGAGTTAAGCTCCACGGTCTTCAGTCCGGGGGGTATGTGGAGCTGTTCCGCTGACTGCACGGCGTGCTCTATGTACTTGGAGAACCGAAGATGCGCAGAAAAATGCCTGAGGATAGGGAAACTGGATAATATCTGTACGACTGTGTGCAGGTCGTGAGTGATGAGAGAATCGAGCTCAAGCTGCTCGAGATGAGCAAACTGTCCAAGCAGTGAAATAATGTGGTTCTGATCTGGAATTGGGTATGTTGTCCAGTCGACGTTGGCCAGTCTGATGACGCGCACATTTGAGACACGAGTGAGACTATTAAATTTTAGCACCCGGTCGAATGGTATGTTCACCATTGAGGGACGTGTAGCATTGCTGTCAAATTCGATCCGTGAGATATACGGCGCGAAAGTGCAATCTGGCGCTTCGAGCAGGCGAAAAAACTCTGCAGCCCGCCAAGGCCAGAGCTGGACAGTGGCAAAGCCGTTGATCCGACTGCGAGCAAGCCACCGGGAACAGACGAGTGCACACGTGCTCAACGAGGCAGGCTCGTCGTGCAGAAGGTCGATGATAAAATCAGTGAGCTCTGGTGGAAGCATGGGCAGGAAATGGTGAGGAGGAAAGCGAGCTCCAGTATTTATATGGAGTGTATATATTTATTACTGCTGCAGCGCCCCCCACATGACCCCAAGTATTACGCATTGAATCTGGTTCAGACGGCGGGTAGGCCCCAATCCAGGGCAACCGACGAAAATGGAGAATTTCCAGACTCAGTGCCAGACAGAAACGGAATGAGTATATTGTACCCCTTCATCATTGCAAGAGGGGGGACATCCAGCATTGAAGAATACTCCTGCGAAGCCTAGTAAACTGAAAGGATATTTAGTAGCAGAAAGGAAGTGGCACGTGGTATTTCAATTACCAACTCAGTCTTGTACCATCATCATGGCTTCCAACAGCAACGAAACAGAAACGCAGACAGTCACCGTCGTCGCGCCAAAGACTCAGAAAAAGGCGAAAAAGTTGACGAAACCAGCGCGTAAGCAGGTCAAGCCGGGCGAAGTGGAGAAGAAAGAGACGCCTCAGACGGGGAAAGAATACAGTTCGTTGAGTTGTTCTTATTTCTCTGCCTTCGTGCTCACTGTCTTCTCAAAGACATCTGGTACAATAAATGGGCTGGAGGCGACCGTGAGGATAGCTACTCCAAGTGCGCAATATCTTACTGCAGTTTCGTCAGCTACTTACCCTTTTTCCTGTAGCAAAGTAAAATCCCAAACAAGATGCAACATCAAGAAAGACTCGGGCCTGACTCGTGCCAACCTAACTGGAATGAAGTACTGCTGTCTCTTCTTCGCCCGTGGCTGTTGTCCTTATGGTTGGGAATGCGAATACTTGCACTGTCTCCCCGATCCAGAGGACGCGCTGCCTGACAGCTCAAAAGACTGTTTCGCGCGCGACAAGTTCGCAGACTACCGTGATGACATGGGTGGTGTTGGTAGCTTCAACAGGATGAATCGTACTCTCTACGTTGGACGGATCAAGGAGACAGGCAATGGCCTTGAGACGGAGGAAGTCGTTCGGAGGCACTTCAAGGAGTTTGGTCAGATAGAGCATGGTCAGTAGCCTTTTTTCACCAGCTTCGTCTCATATTTAACTATTCTACAGATGATTCTGAGACAGGGTGGGCAGTCAAGGTACTGCAGTACCGAAGTGTCGCCTTCGTCACCTACGTGTCTGAGCTGCACGCGCAGTTTGCCAAAGAAGCAATGGCGTGCCAATCTCTAGACAACGACGAGATTCTCAATGTTCGATGGGCTACCGAGGATCCTAATCCAACCTCCAAGGTTTTGGAGAAGAGACGCCTGGAGACGATGGGTCAAGAGGTCATACGCTCCAAAATGGACCCCCGTATTGTCGATGCTATGAGGACAATCAGAGCATTGGAAGATGGTGATGCGCTTGACGAAGAGGGAAATGTAGTGCAGGAAGATGGAGAGGACAGTGAAGAACCTGAAAGCAAGCGTCGGCGGCTAGATGTTGAAGCCCCTTCACCGTCACCTCCTCCGCCGGAGGCGCCGTCAAAACCAGTTGGGCTACTGAGCGCCGATGTTATGGAAGGTCTTAAATATTTCGCAGAGATTCGGCAGCAGAATGGCGCATCTTTTGTGAAATCTAGCAGTGCCCCAACAGCGCCAATTGGATTAAACCTTGCCGGCTACGGGAGCGATGACGAGGACTAGATGCATTGTATATCCTTATCTACGTTAATAGCATGTGTAACTTCAGTCTTGACCTCCCCCGCTACCCTCAGCGCCGCCCTCTCGAATGCCTTGAAGTGCGTATTCATGGCCCTCCTCTGCAGCGTCTACCTCTGCTTTCTCTTTCAAATACTTTTCAAACTCCCAATCTTCAGAGCCATCTTCATCTTCATCTTCGAACCATTCAGGGTTGTATTGGAACTAGATGTACAGTGAGCATAGCATTACAATGTCAAGGTGACTGAATCTTACCAGGTCTCTACCACTCATGCCGATGTTCTTTCCTGCGGCATGTTGAGCATCTTTCGCTTTGCGCAAAGCTTCTTCTTCTGCCTCTTTTTTGTCCATACGGGTCTTTTTCCAGTGGGCAAACGTTTCAGGCGTTACTGGCGTAAGATTAGGGCCCAGTTTGTGACGCTTGATTGTCGTGAATTATCAAATCCCCCTCTCACATTAATAAAACATACCTCAACTTCAAGGAATTCTTCGATACTGATGGTATTGGCTTTCGCGGCGGCTTCCAGAGCCTTCCTTTGAGATTTAAGGACGAAGCCTGGCGGTAGGGCGTGTCGATACATGCAGTTTTCACCATTTGGACATTCCCAGAACCAGCCAAATCTGTGAATGATTAAAAGACGCCGAATGACAGTGTGATTCTCGTACATACTTTTCCGTTTCAATGGCTTGAATAAAATGTTTGCAGACAATCTGCAGAATATTAGTGCTGCAGCATGGGATGATACGCTACATACATCTGTAGTTGTGCGAGGCTTTCCTGATTTCGAGAGCACGACACTACGGAGTTTTTCTTCGTCCCACGTATCCATCGTATCTGTAGCACGAGTCAGTCATAATTACCTGCTGTGCGTAGAGCTTACCTTTGAGTTTCTCCTCCCTCGAATCCTCGTACAAATTCTTCTTCTCCACCTTCCGGCCCACATTGACGTCGTGGCTAAACTTGCACTTGCTCCCCTTCTCACAAGTCCCAGACTTGAAGAACGCACACAGCACCGTCTTGGGGTCGACACCAAGCGGCACTTTCTGGGTCTGCACCGGCTTAAAGAGTGCCGCCTCCTCCTTTTTGCGTTTCTCTTCTTCCAACTTTGCCTTCTCCCGTAAAGCCTTTTCCTTTTCCTTCTCGAGCGTAGCACGAGATTTGCCGGTAACGGCTGCTTGGGCTTGGATTTGGGCTACCTGTTGTTTGACCTTGGCTGATTTATTTTTCTGACGGGCTGGGTAAGCCAAAAGAGTGCACAAAGAGACGGAGAAAGCGAACGTTTTTCATTCCAAAGGTCTGGACGTCTTAGACGATTAGCACGGTACATCAGGGTATCGACGGTCGATTCACCTTGTCCTCCTTGACCTTGTTGGAAGATCCGCTTGCCTTTGCATTTTTCGGTGGCATCGTGGAAGAGAGTCGAGGCCGCTGCTGACGACAAGGGTGGATGAAGAAGCCAAGTGAGCTTTCGGCGCTCTCCGATTGCGCTGACTTGATTTGTGCATCACTTGCACTTGCACGGCGATTACAATGTTGCAATTCGACGATTTCTTTGCCTGGATTGAAGTCGACGGCGACCACTTGCCTTAATATGCTGTTGAATATTCCCGGGAGAAAAAGCAGGTGAAGTGCTGGATACCTTCACAGACGTTTAAACAAGGTTCATCTCTGACCGGTACCAACGATATTGTTCACCGTCTGTCTCAGGCTTTTTCTGTCCATTGGCGACATAGGAATCGCAGATTTGTTACTTCTGGTAGAGTCCACATTGATGGATCTTTCGCTGGTAGTCGACTGCTGGAGGCACCTGGTCGTCCTTTATACCGGCCTTCCGATGTGGTTTCAATGAACTCCACACGGACTTCAGCGACAACAGTTCGACCACTCTTATTTTCTTCTATAGAACTGACCGGTATGATGACTAGCCGTCGTTTCTTGATTCCGTGAATTCTCATGAAATCTTACCGAGACGACGACGAGATGCGAGCAGCAGAGTCTGTACAGGACTTGGGCGAAATCAAGCTTAAGATATGGCAAGTTAGCTGTTTGTATGCAATCAGAAGACCAAAGCCAATCCAGGCCTTCAACCCCGTCAACAAAATCCACGAACGGTCCAAGAAAGTTGTTCCTCACTCTGTACAGTAAGCCTGACCCATTTTCTCTTTGAAACGCATGTAGAATATAGTAGATTGGGTGCAGAGGTGCCGCGATCAAGCCTGTAGAGACAATGCAGACGGCCAAAGTTTGTGAACAAGTCACTTTCATATTCTATTATAGACCCCTAGGTGAGCTTGCGATCTTTACAATAGCATGTTTTAATCTTAAACGCCTGTTTCCAGACATACTACAAGCAAATGGGATGGCACCAGCTACGATTAAATGCCCTATATCACCATCGCCGCCTCCCAAACCTGAGCCCGAACAGTCAGAAGACGACGACGAGAAGATCGCTGCTTTGAAGGTTCGACAGTCGTTCATATTTTTGTTCCTTTGTTTATATCAACAACCACGTAGGAGCAAATTCGTCAAATCAGGGAACGCAAGAAAAGCAAAGCTAAAGTCGAAGTCAAAAGAGAATTCAAACAGGAAGGTTCCTATTTGAATGGGGAGGTTATTGATTTGACTGGTATTACTAGTCCTTCCTTGCTTCATTTCTCATGCTCACTGAATAATAAAGAGGACTGATAAAACAATTTGCACAGAATGGCAATGTGACATAGTTTTCGGTATATGGCATGTTAAATTCAAGGCTTCGACATTTGCTCGGTCGGCGGATTCCTGCGCTTTTGTGAGGATACTCTTGGCGCTTTAGAGTCAGTCAGTTCGGCTGCCAGTATATAGTTGCCATTTTGGGAAATCCAACACCAACTATCGTGTTTTTCTGCGCATATCTGGCAGCCGCACTGACTCATACTGCGAGACTTGAAACAGTTCTACAATTCGAGTCATCTAAACTACCCACCCATTTTTTTGTGGAATGTGCATGAGGCTTCACTGGTTTCGGGCAACCGACTACGTCGGCCCCGTCAACTCGTTAGAGGGGGGATAGAATGTATGTGTTGTGTTTTGCGTTCATGGAGTTAAGTTCAAACAAGGACCGAAAATGAAGGAGACGCCCGGGGAGTTGCATTTGTGCATGACTATCGCGTCAGGCCACGTCCACGAGGACGTCATCGAGTCTCACACTACCCACTAAAACCCCGGTTGGTATCATACCTACCCATTTTTTTGTTTCATGCTGCGCAGCTCGTTCTTGACTTGGCTGGACAGAATTCAATAACACGCCATGTCGTGCGATACTGATAAACGGAGCCGCCTGTCTAACCGCAGCGACATGGCTACGGCGCAACTCGTCTGACTGAAGGCGCCAGCGCGTCTTTCTCCGGGCCGTTCCGCAGCACCTTTCAATGATCTTTGTAGCTCTTTAGCGCAGCCGGAGTGGTGAGTAACCATTTTGGTGCGTTTCAAAGTGTTCTCAATGTGTATAAAACCAAAGATGTCTACGCCTTGAAGTACCACCAATTTCTTCGCTGCTTCGTCAAAATGGATGATGATATCGCTGCTCTTGTTGGTCTTTCATCATACTTTTCTTCCTGTTCATTGGTGATAAAGGTCATATCATTAGGTTATCGACAATGGTTCCGGCATGTGCAAGGCTGGGTGTGAGTTTTTTGTATCATCATTATGTTCTCAACTTTGAACTCGCTCTTTCAGTCGCAGGTATGATCTACTTTCAGATCTAAGTTTCTTCGTGCCGACGCTTCCTGATGTCATTCTAGGCGACGACGCGCCTCGTGCCGTTTTCGCGTCAGTTGAACACGCTCCTGCTACGAATTCTTAACGAACGTCCTTTCTAGATCTATCGTCGGTCGTCCCCGTCTGCAGAATGTCATGGTTGGGATGGGCAACAAGGATGCGTACGTAGGGTAAGTGTCCTCATCAGTTGCTGATGAATGTAACTGGAACAAATTTACTAGCGATGAAGCCCAAGCCAAGCGAGGTATCTTGACCTTGAAGTATCCCATCGAGCATGGCATTGTCACCAACTGGGACGATATGGAAAAGATCTGGCACCACACGTTCTTCAACGAGCTCCGCGTCGCCCCCGAGGAACACCCTGTGCTTCTGACAGAGGCGCCCAGGAATCCTAAAGCCAACAGGGAGAAGATGACCCAGCTCATGTTTGAGACTTTCAACGTACCAGCGTTCTACGTCTCTATCCAGGCGGTCCTCTCCCTTTACGCTACGGGCCGTACCACCGGCATCGTCATGGACTCGGGCGACGGCGTCTCCCATACTGTCCCGATCTACGAGGGCTTCTCTCTTCCCCACGCTATCCTTCGTTTGGATCTGGCCGGTCGGGACATTACTGATCAGCTGGTCAAGAATTTGGGAGAGCGAGGGTACAGCCTAGGTAACAGCTCTGCCGAACGCGAAATCGTTCGCGACATTAAGGAGAAGCTCTGTTACGTTGCTCTCGATTTTGACCAGGAGCTGGATACGTCAATGAGGTCTTCGGCGCTCGAGAAGGACTATGAATTGCCGGACGGCCAGGTTATTACCATCGGTAATGAAAGGTTCGTCTCCTATTGGTTGCAGACTTTTGTGCTTAATCCATTCAAAAAAAGATTCCGTGCACCTGAGGCGTTATTCAACCCTTCCATGCTTGGAATGGAGGCTGCTGGTATCCACGAGACTATGTGAGCGGATTGATCAGAGCACCAGATTTGGAATATATACTAATGATCTGCTCTAGGTACAATTCCATCTACAAGTGCGATTTGGACATCCGCCGTGAGCTGTACAATAATATGGTCCTCTCTGGAGGCACTACCATGTTTCCTGGTTTGCCTGATCGCATGCAGAAGGAGATGACTGCTTTGGCTCCGACTAGTGTCAAGGCATGCCGCCGCCCGCTGTGTTCCTCTTTACCTGCTGTTAACCTGTCTCTCTATTCCAGGTTAAAGTTGTTGCCTCTCCTGAGAGGAAATACTCCGTCTGGATTGGCGGCTCTATCTTGGGGTCGCTTAGTACGTTTCAGAACATGTGGATCTCCAAACAGGAGTACGACGAAAGTGGACCTAGCATTGTCCATCGCAGTGAGCTTCCTGCCTGAACTGGTCAAGCTGCTTAGCATCTTACGCATCCGATTTCCAGAGTGCTTCTAAACCCCTCGACCTGACTAACGGGCTTCCTATATGTAGTTAAGTATACTTCAGCGTGTTCATGCAATATTGTTTGCCGTTATGTTCTGAGAAGATGAACCTAGTAGTTGGCTCTGTATTTATGTCACAGACTACGGAACAATGAATAGTTATGCGGCAGGGTTTTACATGAGCGGCAGGTATCCGGTGATAGAAAACAAGTGAAAGCGATCGATAGCGATGTGGAAATAAGGATTAATAGAATAAAATACGGAGAAACGATGTGCTGATAGGTATTCGATAATCAAGGCTAAACCGCCTAAACAGTCAAGTCGAAGTATACGTTTGAGAGCCCGAAAGGTTTGTTGTACTCGTCTTTGATCTCGGGTGAAGCGTCTTCTTGCGAACCAGACGCCCTGTCGTTATCGTTCTGCTTTGTTAACCATGGTATATATGTGTGCGCGGGCGATGAGTTGATAGAGCACACCTGTGGAGTCTTGGGGAGCACAACATCCTCCTCGTCAAGCTTTATGACATCCCTCGATGCGTATACATCATCTGGACCTGTCAGGTCGATGATACCGTCGTCATGCTTCACCACCTTATTCGCTCGCATCTATGAAGATCTTAGTGACTTGATGGTCTGAAAATGGGAGATAACGAACATAGAGAAATTCAATTTCTGCATCATCCACGACGATGACGTCTTTGACTTCCGGTTTGCTCGTGTCTTGAGCTGGTTGGACAGGTTGAGGCCGCGGGGCGATGTCCTCTGCTTGCAACACATCTAATTGGCACAGTCTGGTCCAGTTCGAGGTATATGCACTGTACCAACGTACCAAGGGGTCGATACTTGAAGCAGAAGGTAACGATGGGATTACCTTTGGGCTTTGTGAAACTAAATGGTTTGCGCTGGCTCCGACTGATGCTTTCAACACGTCTTGGAGACCCGAGACTGGACTGATCTGTCATGCGAAGCGTAGAAGTTGCAAGGAGGCGTCGCACCTAGCCTCATGGTCAATTCCCTTCTTATTATGCTCGTGATACACACGGCGAGTCAAATCAACCCCTTGACTTATATTGTTCAAAGGAGGGCGGTGATTGCGGTTCCGGCGCCGCTCAACGCGATAGAGTGTTACCTCGATTTCGCCAAGACTAGGGGGAGCGGCGACATCGAGATACGCATCGTCGTCTGGATAGAAGTCAGCCAAGGGCGAGTTGCCGAAGCAATGTACTCGCCCGTAAGATTGAGTTTTGTGAACATGAATGGCCTCTTGGAGCTGTCTGAATCCCTGACACCGCCAAGGAAGACTTCGTTTCTCCGCGGAGAGTCAATGTACCTGGGTGGGTAAGTAGTGCCATCGATAGACGGGTTGCCCCGCGTAGGCGACGAAACGACAGAGTCTTTCCAGTGAAGGCGAAAAGTCTACAACAATGCAGCATTGGAAGCTGTAGAGAAATGGTGTATATGCACCTTATTGGCTTCCGACGCGATCCAGCAAGTCACCCTGGCGCCGTCGACGGTCACTCCATATTCCTCTGCTTCAACACCATCGATAGATACCCAGGCAGAGAATTCGCTAAAGGAGAGCATGTATTGCGTAGGCAGTATATGTATGTTGGAAGAAGAGAACTTTGCAGTAACACGTCAAAACAACTGTTGCTGTTGGCATGCCATGTTATAGGTTCGGACAATCAGAGACGGGGCTTGGAACGAACCTACATGCCATGGCACGTCGATACTATTCGATAGGTCGGATGCGACATTCGGTCCCTACAGCTTGGAATATGCTAAAAATTCATGCTGGAGACCGGTGCGACGCGACGCGAGCAGACGCGAAATAGTTGAAGACAAAAAGGCTCTATATACACAGCCACATGGACCTTAAAACACGACGACCTTATTCCAAACACTCAATCCAATGCTGTCCAGCCACCCTTCTCGAAAGCGATGATCTCGTCCCAACCAGGCGGGTATTTGCTACTACGTCGTCAACCGAACCAAGGAATACCTGATATCTCAGAGTCTCCAGCTGTCGAACGAACATGGTCAGTCCCGGACAACATGATGTTCGGCGGGCTTGAACTGAAGATATTTCCCCTGGGGCTACAAAGTATGAAACTCGACGAAAAGCTGGTGACCCGAGCAAAGCCTTCCAGTTTTCAAGCTTGCGCAGATCCACGAACAAATTAAAATGTCGATCTATGCAGCAGAAGAACCCTCCCTCGCAATGCTATTTAGCTTGGATACTTCTCAAAAGCGTCCCAGAGGAGAGGTCAGAAACTTCCGTAGTGCGAACCATAGTTTGATGAAATTAGATTTGAAGCTTCTCGGACCGCGGAGAATGCAGTTCGACTCTCTTGCCGCCTCTGGTTTTTGCTCGCAATTCGGAACGAGACAGCCACATACAGAGAGCCTGAAGATCAAGCCCGATCGACCGTCACTGTGGCGTCGCGTTTGTACCAACTTGCTGCCTGTCGCCACCTGCGCGTTTTTGCACATTGACTCCCATGCCACCCTGGATCTCTAGTCTTCACAACCCTGAAACAGGACATACTGCTAAGGAATCGCGAATAATGGCTCAAATGTGAAAGTTGATTCCTTGTAATTCCAAAAGGCTACGAACGGCACCAAAAAAGGGTGGTATCAAGTCGGTCCGTTACTCACTTGTTTGTTAATTAACCAACGGTCGACAGTTACTCTTACATTCGCCGTGCACGCGATTAATAGGCTATACAGCTCGTATCTAACTAGCTGCCGTACTCTACTCAATTCTTCTTGGGGCGGCTTCTGGTCTCGGTGAACCCCATGAAGAGTGTCCTTCGTCGCTTCTGGAATACATATTTCGCCTAGCATGCGTCTTCCGTCAGGTATACGGAAACGAAACGCACCCTTTAACATGCTGTTTCAGCAAGCTCGATTTGCGCCATGTGTTCACTTCGTAGTCTATAAAATCGGCCTTTCTTGATCGCACCTCACTCCCAAACGGTCGAAATGGTCGAACAACTGTCACCTTACGATCTGGTGGTGCGGGATACCATTAACTGTGTCTCCTTAGAGGATGAAAATGAGTCCTCCAATATTCCATCGCACTCCACCTCTACTGTTTTGCATTCGTACTCAAATGAGAGGCTCGTTTCTGGCTCTGGCTCTCCAGCTGACTCCTCACAGCGGCTTCGCCATATCACGGTATCCTACACGTCGACTCCACTTGCTGAGTTTCAGTTTTCAGAAACTCCTCCACAGCAATTGTCCACGTTGTCGCGCAATAGACGCGCACCATCCCCTTCCAGCTCCCCACCCATGACTATCACATCTTCATCCACCAAGCACACACTTGACGTACACCTTCCACCTGACATCCAGCCAGAGATGGTGACTATATCTGCCCAAAAAGGTGATAAGCTGAAAGTAGTCGCTGATGCATGGCATATGGAAAGCAACTGTAAGTTCGTTTCACAGTCGTCTCAGGCTCATCTTACGATTCAAATTACAAGGTCCCTACGAGTGGTTGATTACTTTCCCACCACTTGACATTGACATGTCAACGGTTCACGCCAAGTTCGGTGGTGACGGCCTCCTTAGTATCGATGTTTGCAGAATTCGCAAGTATTCGTAAATGCTAGTTAAGGTATGTCACATAGTATCCCTCCCTTGCATCACTTTTTGACTTCTTCGGCTGCTCACAGAGACGTCCGGACTCGTAGGCTCTGTTGCGTGCTCTCATGCACACAGTTGACTTGTATAGTGTCTTAAAAAGTAGAATTTGGACAATTCGAATGGACGCGTTGTACATGTATATCTCTGGCTTTCTTCTAGTGTCATGCCATCATAACAACTTACTCTTTATATCCTGGATGAATGACACAAAAATCAACGCTCAGCAATGGCTCAAAAGAGCTGAACCATGGACCGTCAGTAGCGATGACAAAACTTAGGAGAAATCAGTCGTAGAAATCAGAGGAGATTGTTAGCTGTGAAATTTTGAAGCAACAGAGCGCATGTAGACTTCAGAGCACAGAGTGGCGATCAAACGGTAGGCGCTTCATCCAGGCACTATGCTTTGAAGCAGGACGATAGGAAACCATTCCTTACCTTTCGGATTGCTTTCGGATCCTTGAACGACGCACGCGCGAAAAGGCACCACGGCACGTGTCGGGGATGTTGGTCAACATGAGCACACAAGTGCCATTACACGCTAAGTTCTCTAATTTTACAACTACCACCGTCGTTCTGTGATTCAGTTCAAGTAGAACGATACCATCTCCCCACGCTCTCTCATAAGCAGGCATGGATAACCTCGAGGAGGCAGGCCCTACAGGACGTACTGTCGACATCGAACTCGGGAGCGGTCAAGAGGTCATCACTATTGATTTGGAGGACTTGGACCCGAATCCCAAGGATGTACTGGATTTATTGAATGAGGGACATCCAGGTGTATGGGTTTGGACGAAACTCGCCGCGGAATATTGGAGAAAAGGGTATCTGGAGGCGGCCGAGTTGATTGCGACCACAGCAATACAAGGTACGCCTTTGGTGCTGAGGGCTTGAGAGAACTTGTTAACCCTTGTATAGTCGTGACATCTGATGGATTTCCCGCTTCCCTTCCGCCCATATATGCCCTGCTTGCCAATATTCAGGTGGCCAACGCTCGAACAGCACCAAAAATTGTGCTGCACAATGCCGGTGAGTGTGTGCATCTTGTTATCGTTTTCCACAGACCCATAGCGTGGCTGTCAGAACAGGATATATTAGCCAGTGCGAAAACGAAGGATGATTTTCACCGTGAAGCAGCTCACCTGTTGAACAAGGGTGACCGGGCAAGTCATGCAGAAGGAGGGTCTATGATCAGCGGAACACTTGCATTCTTGACTCGAGGTATGAATTCTGCTTGTGCAGTGCATGCCTGTAACTTACGTCCTCTAGGTATCCAGCAGTTAGCTACCCGCTCTATGGATGATGCCATGCGTTCGTTCGAAGGCGTTTTAATGGAGAAACCGACGAATGTCGTTGCCCTGCTCGGAAAGGTGAGATTACTGCTATCTTATGTTTACAATAACTGACGTCAACAGGCCCGAATTTTGTATGCTCGTAGAAATTATCCTCTGGCGTTGCAAACATTCCAACAAGTCCTACGAATGAATCCCCGTTGCCAACCGGATCCTCGCATTGGTATAGGTCTATGTTTTTGGGCCTTAGACGACAAGGCGAAGGCGAAAACTGCGTGGCAAAGAAGTTTGGAAGTGGTGGGTAGTTTCCTTTTGTATTTGCTACCGTTTAACTAACCTTCAGAAGAATCCTTCGGAATGGGCGGCCCAACTTCTTCTAGGTTTAGAGTCGATTAATGCGAGCAAGAGCGATCATCCCTCTGAATCAACACGCGTTCATTTGTTCACTACGGGGACAAAATACATCGAGAAAGCCTTTCAGCAGTCTAGTCGAAACAGTGCAGCAGCGGCCAATGCCCTATGCGAGTTCTTCCTTCAGAAAGGCGACGTTACGAGGGTACGTCCACAAAACGGCCAACGCCATGCCTATCTCACATAACATGACAGAGCCTGAAGCTTGCTGAACGTACAATTCAGTTCGCCGACACGTTAACAGTTCTGACAGAGGGTTACATACGGGCTGGTCGTGTTGCTCATGCCCAGGGATCTCTTACCCAAGCTCACAAGCATTATTCAGTCGCCCTTGAAGGACAGCCCAAAAATATACTGGCAAGTATAGGATTGGCACAGATACAGATCAGTAACGGTTCGTGGGCATCATCCCTTTTTGTTTTACATATTGAATTTCACGTAGATGAACTGGCGGCGGCTATCCACACTCTCGATACTCTTATCCAACGTCCCAACCCTCAGGATTCTCTGGAGGCCACACTCATATTGGCGTCTTTGCGCGCTTATCCTCGACCAGGTGTCTCGAGCTCAGATCTTGCTCAGGAGAAAGCGCGCGCTCGGGAACTGTTCGAACGCGTCAGCAAACGACTCGAAATCGACGGAACAAAAGCAAATGGACAGGTTCGACCCAAGGTCTCTCCCATCATCAGCGAAGACATGGACATGTACGTTGAGATTGCAAAGCTATGGCAAGACGAGAACTTGGATAAAACTGTCGTCGCGTTGGGAGAGGCGTTGAAGATCAGCAGCTCGTCGGCCAGCGTAGGCCAAGTCGATGTTCAGCTGTTGAACAACCTCGGTGTCCTGCGTCACCTTACGGGACAATTACCAGATGCGAGGACATTATACGAGAATGCCCTTATCAAAGCGGCCGGCCTCGGTCCTGATGTTGGCGAGGGTATGTCAACATCGATCTTGTATAACCTTGCCCGGGTCTACGAGGACCAGGGAGAAGATGAATTGGCAAAGGATGCCTATGAAAAGTTGCTTTCACGACATCCGGAGTATGTTGACGGTAAATTTCCTCTTTAGCTTCTGTTTCAGTTATCAGCTTGACATGCTTCCTCAGCCAAAATACGGCGCGCTCAAATGCTCACTAATTTGCGTCGCAACACTGACGCACATGACCTTCTGAAACAGGCGCTAGCCTCGCAGAACAAAGACCTCAATGTCCGCGCATTCTATACCTATTTCCTGATTCAAAGCGGTTTGCCTAAGCTCGCGAAAGATTTCGTGTTCACAACTCTGAAGGATCACGACAAACACGATGTCTACTCCCTTTGTGCGGCTGGCTGGATTATGTATCAGCAATCTCGGGAAAGTCGAGATGCTACATCCAAAGGTACTGAGGATAGGCGCCGTGGATTCCAGCGTTCTGCCGAATTCTATGAAAAAGCTTTGTCGCTGGATCCGCTTTGCGCATTTGCAGCTCAGGGTCTGGCTATCGTCACGGCAGAAGATGCTCTCGGCACTTTGAGCGGCGGACAACCTTCGTCGAATACGGATGAAGCTCTGAAACGACTGCACAACTCCCGTGAAGCTCTAGACGTGTTTGGAAAGGTTCGAGAGTCACTGAACGATGGTAGCGTGTACTTCAACATGGGGCATTGCTATTATTCTCGTGATGAATATGACCGAGCGATTGAAAGTGTAAGTTTTGTTGTTATCTACGGGGCAACGAGCTTATATTATCGGATCTAGTATGAAACAGCTTCTACACGCTTCTACCACGATCAAAACGTATCGGTGCTTCTGTGTCTCTGTCGTTCGTGGTATGCCAAGGCAACAAAAGATCAATCGTATAAGGCGATGACCACAGCACTACATTATGCTCAAAAGGTAAGTATTCTACCGTCGTATCTCTTTATCGCTTGCTAAGATGCTCATATAGGCCTTGCACATACAACCTAATGACAAAGCCATTCTTTACAACATCGCTATGATTCAACAGAAGTCAGCTGAGATGCTCTTCACCATTGATCCCTCAAAACGGACATTGAAAGACTTGCGCCACGTAATTAACCAGGCAGCACATGCTCAGAAGTGAATTTATATGTTGGCCATACATTGTCATTCTTACACTTGTTCACAGGATCTTTGCCTCTCTTGCTTCGGACAAATCAGAAAATGTCCCATACAGTCGCGATATTGCTGATCAAAGACGGAAGTACGGTGACAGCATGCTTCGGAAAGGTGATGATCATCTAGCCAGCCAGAAGCAATATGAAGATCGTGCACAAGCTAAATTGTTTGATGCACGGCAGAGACGGCAGGAGGAAAGAGATCGGATGGAAGCCCAACAGGTTGTTTCCTCGTTTTTCATCATACTTATTACTGACTGCGAGTAGCGCGAGAGGGCCGAGCGAGAACGTTTAGCAGCAGAAGAGCTGGCGAACAAAAGGCGAATCGCACGTGAGCAAGCTCAAGCCTGGTCCAGGGACTTGGTACGTATGGACAGCGATGACGAAAAGGAGAAGCGGCCAAAGAAATCCAGAAAGGCGAGGGGCGAGGGGGCTGCAGGTAGTGGCGATGAAGCAGAGCCTAAGAAAAAGCGGAGAGGAAAACTAAAGAAAACCAACGACCAGGCTAATGGAGATGGAGACGGAGATGAACCCATGGCTACGTTCAGTGACGATGAGGATGTAGAGAAACCCAAGAAGCGGCCAGTGAAGAAACGAGTCGTGAGAGATGACGACGATGAGGAGACGGCCGGTGGTCCTCGGAAAAAACAGTTGTATGTTTCTCCTTTTTTTCCCTATCAATTCGAAAGACTTATACTTCTCTTATAGTAAGAGTAAGGAGATGCTTTCAGATACTGACGACGAGGAGATGGATGTGTCATGATGCTACCTATGTTTATTTTTGTTGTTTGTACATTGCGCCTATATCTGTATTATCTAACTTCCTGTCCTCGGTACTGTTGCGAAGTCTTCTTACTTGCCTTCAGAAGTTTAAGTGAGGGATCAAAGAAATACCGTCATTCTATCGTAGTTCCGTAGTCAGTATAGCCTGTGCAGAGTACATGAGGTTTACCATCCCTCACTTTTTCCGTGGAGTCGAACAGGGGTGCCTGATGTCTATATTACGCAACTACAGTTGTGGACAATCAAAGACGACAATTTCATTTCCGGCTAAACCAGATTTTCTGAGGCAAAAATAAGTTCGGATTCAGAAAGCCAGAGGCTGAAAACGTCCAAAAAACACCATCCGAAGTTTTTCCCATGACATTTTTGCGGCGCCAAAATTTTGGACCAAAAAAATCGAATTGTGTGTACCTCTTTTGGCCTCGCCGGCAGACGTAATTCAGTCATTCAACTCTATCGGCAACATTCACGGCTGGAAACCACCTGGCGCTGATTCTGCTGCCTTTCAAACAACCCTGTACACTCAGCCAATGACAAATTGAATCTCCGAAGATCACATTTACTCGGCAAGCATCTTCCGTGAGGCAGCAATATTAATTACATCAGTCCTGTGCCCGGGCCCTTCACTTGAACACTGCTGAGTGTCACAGGTCGCTCAGGTAGCACTTATATTGATGGATAACAGAAGATCTGGATTGCTTTGGAGTACATCTCTAGATAAATGTTATTAAGAGTTTGTGACTTCTGGTTGCTAAGTTCTTCCTCGCTTTCAGTCCCTCAGATCTGGGCCAGACAGATGTCTGGTCCTTCAATTCTCAGGCATCAACTCGGCAGCATGATTTCCGAGCCCAGTTATATTATGATCCACCTATTTTGAAGCCTTGAAGGCTTGCCCCTGCCTTTCATGATGGCTGGTTTGTGGATGAATGGCTCGATAAAATCCAGTGATCTTGACGCCATCGGACATGGATTTTGAAAAGGAGTCGATTGTGCTATCTCCGAAGTTTTTCCCATGACTTTTTGGGGGTACGCCAAATTTTTGGGATAATTTTTGGTCAAAACTCACGTTCTGCAAAATCGGCTTGTGCAAATATCTTTATTAAGTCTATATCTTCACTTTTATGCAAAAAACCGGCCGTTTACCTGACCAGGGTCCTTCTAAAAATAGGTCAGATTTTTTGTTGTCTTTGATTGTCCACAACTGTACAAAGGGCATGGGTCCTCCTTGACTCCCTACTGTGATGACCCTGTAGATGCAGCTGTTCATTGTCAGCAACTATAGAACACATTCTCTTCCAATAACTCCTGTAGGGCCCATGCAGGGGCAAAGCCTGCTACGTCTGATTGTATTTTAATAAGGTCGGCTAGCGGCAAGACCCGCTACCTTGACATCGGATGATTATTCCGATTGGATTTGTTGGACACACGAATCCTACTCTCTTTTTCTTTTTCCTTTTTTAAAAATTTAAAAATTTGATTTTGTGCTAGACGAGTTATATTTGAGTACGGCTCTTTGATCATCTAACGATGCCACCTTTAATAGTATGTATGGTTAGCGCGCTTCCAATTTACATCTGCATTCTCACATGTATAATATGATTATCTACCGGATCTTAGCTGTGTTAGTTCCTTTACTGCCTTTTGGTGTGCAGCATCAATCTCTAGCACAAATACCAACAACGCCTTGTCTTTCTTCAACAGCTCATTTAACTGCTTATGCAGTTCCCGCATGTTGCCGATGGCACAATGAAGATCAGCCATCACCCTTGCTAAGTGTCTCTTGCACGTATCAATGTCCCAATCTTTGATTTTCTCCACCAGCTTGTCATATTTGTTGTGATCTGGATGACCATGAGGTCCCGCAGGGCTTATATTGGTCTTTTCGCAGTCAAAAAAGCTGTTCATGAATGTCGGAAATGTATTTTTTGAGGGGTCATCTGTGGATGGGGTTGGTGATCTTGAATCGTGTATGGTCAAGGGTCTGTTGGCAGGTATAGAGAGCATAGGACGAGTGATTATGGATTCGTTTTCTATCATCTCATTGTCATATCTTTCGTTCAGAAGGATGGGGGGCATGGTTGCAGGGGGCGATTCATCTGGCCTCGTTTGTAGGATTTCTGAGGACGGCGTTGGTGTTTCGGGGTTTAACGAAGATGATGATGATGGGTGAGGAGCAACTGTGACTATGGGTGTCAACTGTGCTATCCGCTTAGCCACGCTCGAGTTCCAAAAAGGGGTGACTTTGGTAGGATGCGACAACTTCGATGTACTCGATCTCGTTGCCGGGGATTTCAGTAAGTCCATCTTCTGCAGGTTTAGCGTGGGTCTAGGCTGCGGCGGCATGCTTAAATTTTCAGCAGGCTGTTCCAGCGTTTCATCCTGTTGTGAGTCGACCTCGTCGTCTTCATCCACATCTAAATCCATTTTGACGTGCCTTCGTGCGGTCGAGGGGGACTCGGAGTTGCGTTTTCGTTTTCGTCCCCTTTTCATACCACTGCCACTAAACATGCAGTGTTTGGCTTGCAGATGGCACTCCCAACATTTTGAACGGTCCTCTGAGTTTGGCCATTGACAGGGGAGTTTATGACCGCAAGTTTTGCACTGAGAAAAGTGGACATTAGTTATTTAATGTTTCATTCGAACGTCTAACACTCACAGGCGTGTCTGCTTCTGTAGGAATCAAGTCCCAGGTGGAAATGTCAACCTTTGATACTTTGGTCTTTGATAACGTGCGAGAGTTGCTGTGGTGTATGTTCAAGAAAATCAGTTGGCACCAGAGTTCAAGTCCGAGTTTTGATATAACCTCGTCCTTGTTAGCTGGGCCCAAGTCGATGGCTAAGTCCCATAATTGGGTAAGCCATTCAACAGACGGCTCCTCTGGCGGGGTAGTATAAGACAAAAACTGCGGGTGTTTTATCAGCTCGGTTGTTTTTGATCACTTGTCGACTCACTTTCTTCCATAAATCATCTATCTGCATCTTCTTTTCATTTTAGGAGGGCCAAAACATAGCGATCCCTACAAAATGGACAAACAATTTAATTTCAAGGAAAAGATGATGGCGTGGAACTTACAGTGCTCGATGGCGTTCCCTGCAGCTCTCGTGGCTTTGGTAATAGTTTCGGCATTGAAGCGTGAGTATGAATGCCCTGAAAATAAAATAAAATAAAAGATTTAGCCATAACATGGGGCTAAAATGGTATTCCCGCACTAATGTAGAAGGAATCGCAGACGTTGTTGCATGTCCTTTTACTGCCCTGGGTCTGGGTTTGGTACTTCGTACATCCTTCGCGCTTCCTGTCGGTGTGTCTGCTGCTGACAATTTCTTTTCTGCATTGGGTTTAGTACTCTGAACAGTTTGCGTGACTGTGTCGGCACCGACGGCTTGAATTTGCGCTGGTTCGGAGGGTAACCCATCCCAAAGAGCACGTCCTTTTATCACTCGGGCTGCTTGTAAAGCCTGTAAAGCCTCTATGACCATGTTCTTGATACGACATCTAGGTCAATGGTCATATCAAAGCATTAAAGACTTACCTGAGCAGCATTAACCAGATCCCACTGTGCCGACGATCCATCTGATTCCAATTCCATCCTTTTCTTAACGTAGTCTTTGATGGCGTTGTTGATCTTGTTAATATCGTCGGGCTTCGTGTTATCCTTGTGCAAACCTCATATCCTGAGTTCATTCTGCCCCACTATAACAAAGGGTTGGAGTATCATCGTATCTTCAGCGGGATCAGCAAGAGTAGTCATGGTGGTTGGTAATGAACAAGTAAAATTCAAAAACTTCTGCCACTGCATGATTACATCGATTACATCATCAAAGGTAAATAATAGTATTGCTATGACTTAGAATCGACGACCCACGCTGTCGCTGCTACCCTGAATCCAAAAGGAATTACTGAATGTCTAATGATTGTGATCAGATATGAGATACTCGAAGCCAGATCTGCTTACTGGAAAAATGACTGAAAATCAATGCCATCCATTAAGAGAATGTCGCCCTTGTATAAACTCAAGCTCAGTATTCGTCAGGAATATCACAACGCTCACATGCTGCAGATTTACGGTTAGAATGGGACGTGTTAGAGGTTTTCTGGGAGAAGGCCTTTTTTGGAATTTCATGAGGGCATCTGATCCTAGAGATAACCCGGCTACAAATGGATACACCCCCTTTTCGTCGTCACTGTGAAACTGAGCACTATAATAAACCATAAGCGTCACGAGAATAAATGGCCACGGAAATATCACCGCCATAGATTGGCCCTTCAAATAAGCCATGCTATTCTTACATATCAGCCCAGAAATGCAACATGCCCAAGTTTATCCCACCTCATTATCTCGTTGAAATCCAGGACATTATCAAAGATGGCGTTCAAAGACTCCAGCATATGCTTCTTTGCATCGTGTATAACCATCGGAGTTTCTTCCCACAGAACTGTTGAGCCATCACTCCCTGTGTACTGAAAATAAGTACTCTCGGCAAGCATTCACTATCACTCGATCTTCATTGATTTTTATACTTACGCGGTAGCTCGCTCCCACTGATGAAGACCGTTAAGCGTTCAAGTATCATGTATTTAAGTCATCTCGTAATGCTCACCGTTATAGGAGAAATAGTTGGTGAACATGGTGCCATGGCCTAAAGAAACACGTAAACTATACGTTTAACTTCCACTGGAGATACTGACACCTATGCTGATGAAGACGTCAGTATTTGTTCACATATCCCCCTTACTGGAATACTTACAGATCGTAAGGGCGTTCGCTTGAATGTCAAGGATTGATTTGTTTCGGAAGATATGTATTCATCGAGCAATCTACTTGCCTCCTCCATGGCATCCTGAGATGGTCACAGCCAGAAAATACACGCACTAAGAAAGAGGAAGGTTAATGTGGGTACAACACTGACATGCACATCAAGGCTTAACTCGTAGCTTTCCAAATGGAAAATGTTCAATCCACGTAAACGACGGTTCAGATTAAAGGTGTGTTCATACATGTTGATCACTAGTCAATTTTCGTCAGAACTCTGTAGATACGAGTATATAACAATTTACCTTTATCATCACGTACCTCGTATCCTACTTGTCCACCAGGGCGTATCTCGATATTTAACGAAGGTTTGATAGTTACACTGTTACCACAACTATCGCAGATTAACCTTGACCATAAGTAGCTGGATGCACATTAGTCGTGTTATGATACAGATTATATAGGATTAGCCTACCAACAAGTTATCCTGCCACACTTTGCACAATGAAACCCAGCAGGCTTTTTTGACGATGTAAGGACTGAATTGTTTGTCGGAGATTTGCATGGACCATACAAGCAACTCATCAAGAAGGAGTCGTCGTATGATAGGATAGTTGGTAACGTGAACTTCCAGAAGCAAGGGCAATCGGAATTTAGGCAGATGGGTCCCTTAGAATACATGAGCATGCTTTCAGTTTTACATGTGGCGCACGTATAACACGACGGAGCAGGCCATTTCATGTTCGGGACAGTATCTTTTATCCACCAAGGAACATTGTCCTGGGTTACAGTCAGTTATATTAACTGCAGGCATAGAAAAGTTATTCTACCGACCACCAATTTTAACATGATCTTGATTCTAATCTGGCCATTGTCCATCTCATCTACATGCATTTAAGCTGTCAGCTCGCAACAAAGTGAATACGTTATGCAATCCTCAGCTTACGCCATAGACAACAAACAGTATATGATGCTAGAAGACAGAATCCTATTCCATCAGATTTGAGATTGTAAGGGAAAAAAGGGTAGTCATTTTTGATGAACATGGAGATCAGCGTTTGGTCTAGAATTGCCATTTTTAGAGGTTCTTGATAGTTCCGTTTTGACGTGGTTGAATTTCTGGGAATGAAGTCCAGTCAACCTCCTCTCAAAAAATCACAACACAGGTTACCCGTGAGTTACAATTAACCTCCCACCAAAAAAAAAATTGTCTCTTCTGCATGGTCAAAGAGCATCAGGATGTGTTGTATGCAAAAGGATATTGAGCTCACAGCGCAATTTTGCCAGTGAGTAGGATTCCCTTCACTGATTTCTCCTGCATGTATATGCCTGAATGGTACGACTTGAAAACCGAGATCGTTTTGCATAACTCTTGCCGAGAACATGCCCAGGTTAGTGGTAAGCGAGGGAGTGGTATCAGCATAATGCGGACTTTGAGGTAGACGTCGATGCCCAAGTTCAACTAAGATTCGGGCCAAAAATTTCATGCAATCACGTGCTTTGCAGGTAATAGCTCGGCCGAGAACTTGATCTCATCATCATTTCCTATTAATCCTATCCACGATGCGAGAGCAAGATCATCCACTGGGCTGGGTCGTCGGACCACCAGAACTTCAGATCCATGTGTTCAGGCCGGATGTCAGCGAGTCTAGAGCTCTTTTTATAGATCGGAAGGCTCGAGAACTGGTTGCTGCTGTGAAGCGGTCAGGAGAGGATGTTGAACAGGCACAAGTGAGTACCGGTTTTGTTTTCAAGGCAGTGAGTGCATACTCATGGCCCTCAGAAATATTTTCAATCAATCTTGAATCTAGTAAATGGCAATTACATGGTTTTATGCGGCACGGAATATCTTGGAAATACGTTCCATGTCAGCGTTTTAAATACAGTCAGTATTCTACTTCGATTCCCCCAAAATGCAGTCACTCACTATAGCTCAGTTCTATCAGCTTTCTCTGAAAATCTACGACGACGTACCTCCCAACTTCAACCAATTCTGGACCGACTATTTACGTCCGCTGGCAAAGGCAGCATCACCATCTGAGTTACAGACCATGAAGATAGAATGCCTGCCATTTTTATGGGCAGCGATGATCGCCGAGGCTATGGGTGTCACTTTGTGACTGGAAGGCACGAAGGTCAGGATGGCTGATGTACAAGGTTGGTCACTTCTGCCAAGTTATCGATACATGAAGGTGCGTGATTCGATAATCATGATATCTCCTCGTGTGCCAATGTTCCATAGTGCGAACTTTGTCAAGAACGAGATTTGGATTGTATGAGCATGGGTGCTGAAGGGGAAGAAAAATGTCGCAAGTGTTGTATCGATGGATTGGCATGCAAGTCCCACATGTCTGCATTTACAGACTTTGGACCACTGACTGTCATATATGCGCTCGTGGGAATTGAAACGTTGTCCAAGCTTAACCGTGGTGTAAAGGACATTTTAATGCAGATGGCAGTCATCCAAGACGAGCTGGCTGCTCGGAGGTTTCGCGATTAGCACATGTAAACTCTGGACTCTGTTTTATTGAATGTGACATTTTTGTTTATATTATCAGTTTGATTTTATTGTATTGCCGCAGGTCGCGAAGCTTTTCGTAGAGGATATCATGGTCAACCAGCTGTCAGATACCAACTTTTATAGAATCTGGAAGGATTCTTATACTGACAAGAATACCGGTTCGCCCGATCATTAATGGTCAGCCTAGAGATTGTTGATAGTGATATAAACACTAATATCAAGGATGGTTTGGTGATATCATATGGTAACTCGGCGAGTTCTTTGGTTTCTAGTCTTGAGCTTTATAATAATCATGCCAAGATATGACATACGCGATGACGAGGCAGCGCCTCGCAATGTGCTGGTGGCGTCGTTAGGTCAATGGAACCAAATGGCTGCATGACAAGAGAGTGAGGGAGTCTGCTGGCTGCGGGAGTGATAACACTGACTTGGGTGGACATGGGCTTCTGGTGGATAGGCTTTGCGGTGGGAACTCCGAGGCAATAACTACTGTTCCATGTCACCGCGAAAGGATACATCCCTAGCTGTCAGCTGCGAGGTCTTGTTGTTGAATATTTATATAGGCTTTGTAGTGGGAACATGGAGGCGATAACAATGGTACCATGATATGACCGAGGCAAGGACCATGCAGCGTCTCAAAAGTGGTGATGGTGTGGAAGACACATGCACGCTGAGCTTGCACACTTCATTCTGGGGTGCCAGGGAGGGCGGAAAGAACCACACTTTCTGATTAGACATGGTAAAATGAATGTGGTTGCTTCCTCCACATGGATGGAACCGTATTAGCCGGAGTTACAGGGTAGGGACGGTCCGTTGGTGGAGTTGGTGAACAGATTGAGCAGCTTAATACTTGGCGTAGAGGAGATTGGGTGACAGGAAGCGGATACAGCTGACGAGATGCGACCCAGACTGGCAAGGCGATTGTTCGCTTCAAGCGTGGGAACATAGATGTTTGATATAATGGCAGGGGTAAAGCCATCAAAAGGCTCGAGTATGCTTGATTGCAGAGCTTTAAGGGTGCTGTTGAATAGGTGTTGGAATGAGGCGCCTGCTTTAAGGCCCAAGATGAGGGATGTGCTACAATATCTAACGATATTAAATGCTGAAGCAGGCCTGCGAGATGTTTTTATATATAAAATGTATTTACTTGTGTAATATCGTGTTGAGACGCTGTAGGTATCGAAGTTGTAAGTCCTGTAGACTAGTCAGCTGTATCTTGTGCTGTAATAAGACATTATGTAGATGTGCAATGTGATCCAACTGATTACTTATCGCCTTGTCTACAAGCTCTCTCAATACACCAGTCTCCTCTTTGCATTGTTCAAGCTCATAATACTGCAACGCCGCCTGTTCGGCTTGGAGAAAGTCGTCCTTGGCAGGATTGTCCGCAGCAGTGTTCATAGCAGGGTCTAAGTCCGAAACCTGTGTTCGTAACACTGATGACAGAGGTTCGTCAAGAGCAGGATTGCTCTGTTGAGTGATGCCAGGCGACGTCGATGTTTGTCCTGGAACATCGTTGATGAGCGGTGACTTGGGAGGCAGCGGAGAGTCTTGCTGGATGGGTGTATGTGACCGTTTTCGTTTACGGTTCCATTCTACAAATGAACAGGCTTTCATGGTAAGAAGGCACTCTCTACAGGATGTATGTTCTCCTGAGACAGGATATTGACAACATACACTGTCGCCACAATTATTGCACTACAACTTATTAGAGACTTGATGAACGACAAATAATGACTCACAGCATTCGTTAATCTCATGGGAAAGAGATCCCATGTAGATATATCGATATCCATCACCCTGGTCCCGACCAGAAATCGATTTTCATGATGCTGTACATTCAAAAATACGAGTCGAGCCCACGAGAGACTGCCCATAGTATCCTTGGCCTTTTGCTTCACGTCGTCTCCTAAGGTCATGATTGAATCCCTCAGTTCCACCAGCCAGGTTTCGTCGGTATATTTGGGCTCCGACATCAGGATGGAGAACTATTGATGTGCTGCGTGAGGGACCGTCAAATGCCGTGGTAAAGTTCGCACCTTTTGCCAGTTTGCCATGTCCACAGGAGACACGTCTACATGATTTGGCACCATCGTCGGTGCTTCATCTTTATGGCTGTTGAGGAGCAGAGTTTTTTTGGGTGCCTTACCCAAGAGAGGCCAATCAGTCTAATTCCGACGGGTCTTGAAAACAGGGAAAAAAGGAAGACTCACGATCATAACCAGACCGCCCCGCACTTCCTCTTGAACTTTGTTCGACTGTTCTTGAGTTTCTTCTAGACGCATTGAGGTGTTGGCTGACACGGTGCTTTCATTGGACATGGGCTTGGTCTGAGATATCATGCTAGCATGGTGGAAAGTCGTCTTTGCCGGAGTCCTCGGAACTTTGATTGCACGTGATCATTGGTTCCATGCCTGACCGTTCTTTCTCCGACTCGCTTGTCCCTTCAGTCTATCATGCAAATGAAAGAGTACCCTCCAGGGTACGTTGTCAGGCCACCAGAGCTGCAGATACACCTTTTCACACCCATGACATCTCGAACCCATGCGACATCAATCAACAAGAAGGCTCGCAGCTTTCTCAAAGCTCTGCAGGAAAATACCGAATATACGGCTTTGAAGGTGATGTGAACAAAGTGATATACATCGAACGATACTCATGACACTACAAAACATCCCAGGAGGATCTTTGTTCATGTCTATGTACCATGCAAGGAGGCTATATTATACTTAAAGGGTCGAAGTACGTGGAAGAGCAGGATGACGAGAGGTCAGAGGACATCATGTTCTTGGTGCGGCTTGCCTTTTTTTGTTTTGTTGACGTATGTCTTTGCGAATGATAGTCCTAGTATTATCATCTATGCGCTGTTTACAACAATAAGACCCCGCCGGATTTTGTGGATTTCTGGTCTAACTACCTCCTCCCCATCGTCTCGCGTGCAACCAAAGCTGAACTCAATCAGATGCAGGAAGACAATGCAGGAAATATATGGGAGTCTATGGTGGCAGCAAGCATGGGAGAACTCTCCCTCTTTACAGAAAAAAAGATCAGGCGGGCTACCATGAGCCATTGGTTGATGTTCGCTGAAGTTCGGACGATACTTGTGAGTGATTCTTTTCCACCATCACATAAAGCCGACTGATACAGTTTAAGTGCCAATGCTGCTATGACACGCGCGAAGACTGTTTGGTGACCAGGGACCATCAACGACACATTTGTCGACGCTGTGCTATCCTTGGCTGTACGTGCGTCCCAGCGTCATGTAATCTCGTGGCAATCAAAGACGATCTGGCATATGTTATCACAAACCTGCAGATGCTGCAGCACGGCGAGAAGGTGATTAGTGAATTGATGGACAGTATAACTTCCTTGCAGGGAAAGACGTTAGAGCACATGGAACATGTCCTATAACAGTATCCCCTCAAGATATACTACTCTATATCCCACAGACATCTCCTATACCATCCTCATCTAATCCAGCGGAGTGAGATAGCCCTGTTTCAATACTTCAACAAGGAATCCTGAATTATGACAACCTGGCATACCTGGTAAGAATCTCTTCGACGTCCTCCATATCAATCGAAGTCATGTCACTGACAACAGTGGGACTGACAAGTTTCATCACCAGCACGTTGCCTTTAATTGCCCTTTCTCGATACAATGATTGCAGCAATTGATTCTCCGCCCACATATGACTCCGTTGGAATTTCATGTAGTACAGGACATACGCGTAGGCACCCTTGAGATTTTGCATGAAGGGAGGCAGTGGGATAATGTGTCGACCATCTTCGCATTTGCGGATACCCCCAAGGAACGGCGTATTATCCATCCAAAGGTGAACATCCAAATTGTTAACGGATCATGTAATCCTGTCCCTGACAGATCCGAGAAGCAGTATGGGTACGAGCATCATCTTGGAGCATTTTGCCCCATAAAAATAACCTATCCAGTGCAGAGCCTACACATACAACAGGTCAATAGAATAAAGCAGACTTGCAGCAATTTTACTGACAGCAAGGTTGATGATCATTTTCTGGTCAAGAACTTTCTCATCGGTATATCCACGCATGGGAAGAGGCATACTTTGAGATGTTGCCATCTTTTCATCGTAAAGCCATCCTTTTTATACTGTTATAAGCGGAATAACTCTCACCCACATCTGCAGGGTGACTTTCAGATTTTATGATTCGTCAGAATAAATAAAGACCTCGCATATGCCACAAGCTTGCCTCTTAATGCCAAACTGCCACTGCTGCTCTGTAACCCCGGTTGCGCAGCACTTATGCACAGTCCCACATATTCAATATCGAAATGGTTTTCTAGATGTTCCAGGTAAGATATCCTTTTAGCTAAGGATAGACATTCACAGTCGATTGTAGGAGCATCACAAATGATACTTGAGTCCTTCGTATCTTCAATCGAAGGTGATACCCATTTCTGTCCGCCTTACTCTTCTATCACTGGATCGCGAGTGGTCCCGAGGTGCTGCGCCCATCAAAAAGGTACCGCTACTCCTACCTATAGAACTCAATACATTCTCATCGATAGTAATAGCCGCAAAAGAGGGTCGATCATCGATTCTGGCTGTGGGAACATGGGAAAGTTCACTGATGTTCTTTGATACATCTCGCAAGCTCGGTCGGGGGTATGAAGGTTAGTTAATTATGTAGGCATCTTGTTTGCACTCAATCACATGTAAACTTCAGAGTCTTATTTAGGGACCATTGAAATGGACCCTGGTATCATTTTCGACATGAAATGGAACACCATGGACACGTTGCTTGCTGTTGCCTCTGGTGACTACCAATGTTCCATTCAAATCCTCGATCCAGAAGTCTGTGCAACCTGAGACGTTTTGCTGGGACATTCGTGTCCAGCGAAATCCGTGGCATGGGATCCTCAAAATTCGTCCTTGTTAGCCAGTGGAGGACGCGATGGTACTATCCGTTTGTGGGACTTGCGTTCAAGGGAATATAGGTGGCAAAATGACTCTCTATGTTCCGTGTTGAATGTTGTTGCTGCTCACGAGGACTTGGAACCTGTACAGACTGGTTGTACACAACATTTATCCAAACCATCCAGGAGGAATGTTTCTATGAGGGTTTACAATAACTTTTCACCTTACCATCTTATGAGTGACAACTCATCCAACAGGTCCAAGGCACATCATTCGCTCGGACCCTGTCGAAAGACTGTCACTACGGTGATTTTCGACTCCTTTTCTGTTAGCCACTAACTCTTATCGACTTAGATCAACTCCAGATCGCCACTCGCACTTCGGTGGACGATACAAGAGGGGTCAAAGTAGATGGAAGAGAGCCAGTCGCGAACTTAGATAGTCACGAAACAAGGAGCTGTGAGTTAGGTAGATTAAACCTTAGCCGAAGCTGGGGTTTAGGCCAGCTGAGGCTCTACTTAAATACACGTTCTGTGAGCTAAAAATAGTACTGTGAGAGTGTCCGATAGGAATCGCATCATAGGATAAGCGTGAACATGTAAGAAAAGAAAAAGAAAAGAAAAGAAAAGAATAAATCGTAACATTACCCCCTCTCTAAGACTCGTTCGTCCTGAATGAGCTATCGCCCTCCCCATCGGAATCGGATGCGGAGGTGCTGTAGAAGGAGAGTGCGCTATCGTCTTCTTCGTCCTCACTGTCAAAGTCCCAGTCTTCATATACGCGTTTTAGGTTGCTGAGGTCTGACTCGCTTTCCGACTTGTCTTCCGACCCTTCTGACTCTATCGCGTCGTTGGACATGCTCTTCAAGCGATCAATTTCTGAGTGTTGCGAAGAGGAGTAGGACCTTTGTTGGCCGTCCGAGTGTCTGGGATTGGTGCATTCGGAGGAGTATACGGTTTCGATATCCGTGACGCAAGGGGTTTCTGGTTCATGGTATGTGGTCCCAGCGTTTCGGGGTATCTTACTGTCTATTCCGACCGTTTGCCCGTATTTATTAACTTCCCATTGAATCCTCTGAAGGCGAGCCTCGTACTCATCTACCAATTCTTCAGCGTTAGCCATGTCGGAACGTTTGACCCAGGAGTTCTCCTCTCTTGGGTATCCCTTCCATTTTACGAGGTATTCTGTTATGGTGCGACGGGTTCGTCCGTGCCCTATAACTTTATCTTGTTGCTCCATGATTTCCTCAATCTCGTACTCTTCTTCATCGTCTATTAATTCTGGAGGTGGCCATTCGGGGCATGGTTGATTTGGGAAAGCAGGAGCCACGTAAGGCGTCAGGAGTGATTCATTGAAACGGTTATGAATCCTCCATCTGACGGGTAGTTTTAGTTCATAAGCCGAGGCCCCCTTCTTAGCGATGATGATGAAGGGGCCAACACGACGGTCCCCAAGCTTCTTGGTAGGACGAGGGAGGTTTAGGTTGGTTGTGTCTAACCAAACCTTGTCCCCCGGCTGATACTCCGCTGCCTGGCCCTTGTGTTTGTCGTAAGCCTTCTTCATTGACTCTGCCGCCTTTTCCAAGGAGGCCTTCGTCTCCTTCTGCGCTTTCTCCATCTCTGCTACTAGTTTTGCCGCTGCTGGAACTACCGTTGGTTTTCGCGAGGCGGTGATAACCTGCCCATCTCTTCCAAACACCACTTTATACGGGGAGTATCCAGTGGACGAGTGCTGGCAATTGTTGTGGGTGAAGGCTGCCAAAGGTAACCACTCGCTCCAATCGTCCTGTCGGTCGTTGACGAACATTTTCAGGTACTTTTCAATTTCCTGATTGACCCTCTCTGTCTGTCCATCCGTCTGTGGGTGGTACGTGGTTGAGGGATTCCCTTCGACGTGAATGAGAGTATAAAACTCCTTCATAAACTTGGAGATGAACACCGAGCCGTGATCCGAAATGACCTTCTCGGGCATTACCCCGTAGGGCACGTAGATATAATCCCTTAAGATTTTAGCGAATCCCAAGGAGGTGAGCTCTTCAGTACATGCAAGAGGGATAATTGTCTTGGAAAATCAGTCGACAATAACTAGGATGGAATTGAATCCTTTAGAGTTCGGCAGTTTGGTGATCATATCCACCGAGATGTGAGTCCACAGGCGATCTGGAACCTCATTGGGGTGGAGGGGAGCTCTTTTTGGACGATGATCGACCTTGGTTCGTTGGCAAGTGTCGCATCCTTTGATATAGGCCTCTATGTCTTGGCGCATTCTGGGCCACCAGTAATCTCGAAGTACCAGTTCTTTGGTCTTCTCGATACCCGGGTGGCCAGCTGTGATATGATCGTGCTTGAAGGCAATAATCTGCCCCCGCAGTTCGCGGTGTAGGGGTACATAAATGCGTCCGTCGTACCAGAGCATTCCTTGGTCACGGGAGATTCCTTTCTCGTGATTCAGGGAATCGGAAATCCCTCTATCCCAATGTCTAGGATCGTGCATTGCGACTTTGATCCTTTCATGTAGCTCCTCTGCAGTAGGCATGATTAGTGCTCTGAAATGCTCGGCTTTTAGAATTACGACGTCCCGATTATCCTCCTTTCCCTGATTGTGGTCCGCCCTCCGCGACAAGAGGTCTGCCTTGCGGTTTTGAGCGCCGGGCTTATGGTGCAGAGTGAACTGGTATTCTGCCAGTTCAGTTACCCACCGCGCCTGCCGCCGATTAAGCTTCTGGGGCTTCCGGAAGTACTGGAGATTGGAGTGATCAGTCCAAATCTCGAAGTTCTCCCTTGCTCCCATTAGGTATTGTCGCCATTTGTCAAGGGCAATCATGATCGCCAGGAGTTCCTTATCGTAAATTTCATAGTTGCGCTCCGTTACCGATAGGGCTTTGGAAAGAAACGCGACCGGTCGCCACTTGTCGTCTTGCCATTGGGATAATACGGCTCCTATCGCTCCCTCGCTGGAATCGGCTTCTATGCGGAATCGCCCCTCATCCAGGGGAATAGCGAGCACTACATCTTCGCGGAATAATTCTTTTAGCTTGTCGAATGCCTTCTGTTGGGCCTCTCCCCACTGCCACTCCTGCTTTCCAGTGAGGGCGGTCAGTGGTTTAATGTGCTTGCTGTAATCCCAGATGAAGCATCGGTAAAAGTTGCAGAACCCTAGAAAAGACTGTAGTTCTTGCTTCCTACGGGGAATCGGCCAGTCTAGGAGTCCTGCAATCTTCACCGGGTCCATGCGAATTTTTCCTTCACTGATGATCACCCCTAGGTACTCCGTCTCTTCCACTTCAAACTCACACTTCTCCACCTTGAGGAAGAGTCGGTTCTCGCGAAGGATCTGGAGTACCTTTCACACAATACGTCGATGCTCCGTTTTGGTCTTGGAGGCAATGAGAATGTCGTCTAAGTATACAGATACTTCTCCCGCTGCTATGAGGTCCTTAAAGATGTCGTTCATCATCCATTGGAACGTTGCGGGAGAGTTGGTGAGCCCGAAGAACATCACCAATGGTTCGTAGAGGCCCTGATTGGTTCTGAATGCGGCCTTCCATTCATCCCCTTGTTTGATCCGTACGTTGTTGTACCCCCACCGAACGTCCAACTTAGTGAAGTACTTGGCTCTTTTCAGTCGGTCCATCAGTTCCCCTATAAGCGGCAACGGATAACGATTCTTGATAGTCATTTCGTTTAGCTTGCGGTAGTCTTGTACTGGGCGAAGTTTCCCATCTTTCTTCTTTACGAAGAAGAAGGGGGAGGCCATAGGGGATTTCGACACCTGAATACGTCCGGTGGACAGGTTCTCGTCAAGGAACTTGTCTAGTTCCTCTTGTTCGGTAGGGTTGAGCGGGTAGACTTTACAGTCTAAGTTAGCATTGGCGTTAGGGGTGAGTTCGATGGCGTGGTCCCAGGGTTTACGCGGGGGCAGCTCATCGAAACTCTCCTTATCGAAGACGTCTTTAAACTCGCGATACTCCTCCGGCACGATTTCTTCAAAGGACTTGGTGGCTTTCTTGGCATTAGCCTGGGCCGCTAATTCATTGGCTTTAGTCCCCATAGCCCGTACATGAAAGGCTTCTTCGAAATCAATGACCAAAATGGTATCTCCTTCCTCGTATTCCTCCCATCGTGACGTCGGGTCGGTGTCGGGAAGGGAGAACGGGATCTTCTGACACGTGCATCGGGCCAAGGTAACGGCCCCGGTGTCCCAATCTATCAGGGGGTTGTGGCGTTGGAGCCAATCATGTCCTAGAAATAGAGGTGTAGAGCCTAGATCGACTACGGCTAGTTCGATCCACTCCACGTGGTCTCCAATGTGCAGCCGTACCTCGGCATACTCCGTGATATCTCCGCCTTTATTCCGGGTGCCGTCGGCATTGTACACTGGAACGGGTCGCGCCGCTTTCTTCAGATTGAGGTTATGGGTTCGAGCCCAGGCGCTGTCTATGGAGCTTCCCGTAGCGCCACTATCTACTAGTGCGCTCACGGCGTGGGTTTCCCTCATGTCCAGAGTTTCTAACTGTACTTTTATTGATACGTTTTGTCCCTTCCTACCTCGTATATACATCGGGGGCTTCTGCAAATCTTCCATCCATTGCCACTTTTCCCTTGCTTGTGCCGCTGTCTCTGTCTGCTCCTCCAGCTGATAGCATAGCTTGTCCGTCACCTCTCCATGTCGTTGGGGGTGTACCCATCCGTTAAGAACGGCGCGGGCGGCCGCGTCCCCTTGGGCGATACGCAACGCCCGACGAGTCCATAAGATGCCATGCGGTTCGTAATACATCTCCGCGATAACCTTCTTGTCGGTGGGGGTCGCTGTGAGTGACACCGCGGGAGTTGTCACGCTCCTGGGGGTCACGACCGGTATGTCGGACCGTAAGTGGGCTTCTTCATCTTCCACTTCTTCCAACGTTACCTGGGGGTTCTTTCCTCGAAGTGGCATTTGGTCACCAGGACGAGAAAGGTCCCGAGGCGGCACTTGGGCACCTTTGGTAATCGAGGCGGTGGAGGAGGGCTCGCTGCCCTGTGTTTGGCCCTGGCCACAGGCGCTTGTGCGCGGCGTTGTAACCTCCACCGTGGATCCGTACTTACTGCTCTTCCTGGACCCGGCGGTACTTCGGGTAACCCTTCGCGGAGGCACACATGTTGGCTCCCTCGAAAGGTCCTCACTGTTTGCCGGCGTAAAGGCTACTGGGTGAGGGTGGTCATCCGAGTTCATCGCCTCAGCTGCTTTTCCGACGCCTCCCACTGGAACAGACGCCCCCACACACGAGGACGCAGGCCCAACGGGCTGGGTTGTCAGCCTTTCTCCCTCTCCGGGGTGACCTCCCCACGTCTGGGGTGCAGTCGAGACTCGACCTAGGGGGCTCCGCCCTCGAGGGGCTTTCCCTGTACGGTGAGCTGGGGGTTCCTGAGCTCGGACGGCCCCTAGGGGTTCAGTACTGAGCGCAGGCTGCGCGGAGTGGTGGAAATCCCCTCCTACGCCGTTGGCGTTGTGCGATTCTTCATCCTTAGTTTCTTCGACCGGTAATGCAGTGAAAAAGTTGGTATATTGTTCATACGGAGTACCTACATACGTAGTATAAGTCTGGCTAGAAATACATGAGTGTGTACCAGTAGAAACTAAGTCCTTTGCCGACGTCGTCGAATCGCTTATTTTGACGCCGGCTCGTCTTTTGACGACTTATTGTCCTTGACCTCCTCGATCTTTGTCTCCTTTCCGTTCTCTTCTTTCTCTGCTTCAGCAAGTAGTTGGCGGAGTCGTTGTGCGGGGATCTTCTTGTGAGGTGGGAGTTTGACAGGTAGCCACTTCGCTTTGTCGGTGGGGCATTTATGTTCTCGGCTCCACCCCGTATTCCCACACTTGAAGCACTGCTTGTCGCTTCGAAGCTTGTTGATTTCCATCGGCTGTCCGGCACCACCATATGTAGTCCCCATGGCATCCTTCTTATCACCACTGGACCCTTGGCCGCCGCTCTTCTGCGATGATTGATTGCCTCGACCCGAACTTCCTTGGTTCGAGGAGGACTTATTGCCCAAACCTTGGGCGACTCCGTATCGATAATTTGCGTCGATGCGCAACACTTGTGCCTTCCACTCGGCATAGGTTGTGGGGCGCTCATTGTCCCCATGCATAACCGTGTTGTGTACCATAGGTCGTATCGCCACCTCCACGGCCTCGAACATCTGCTTTTCGTCACCAAATTCTTCGCACTTGTGAGCCAGCCGTTCGAACTTCGCGAAGAACTCGACAGCTGACTTGAAGTCCGATTGACGGACCTTCTTCCACTCGGCTTTCCATATGGTCAATTCTGCTACTTCGCGGAACTGTACCGTGATGTCATGGGAGAACTCCGCCCATGTGGGGAATCTCCAATGCCCCTGTGGGTCTCGGTAGCGATAGTATTGGTCGACCCACCACTGCTGGGCCTCTCCGCGAAGGTAGCCTTGCGCGAATGTAATGCGATAGGGATTTTGTCCCTGGTCGTTCATGGTGTAGTACATTGGGAACACCTGGAAGTACACCTCGCAGTGGTGTAAAAACCTGGTAATGTCCGAGGACACCCCCGTGAAGTACTCTGGCTGGGTGATCAACTTGGGCTTTACGTCGTTCCACGGGTTATTGACCGCCCCGGGCGCGAGTTGCCACGGCGGGATTGGGTCCGGTGGCGATGGTACATGTGGGGGAGCAGGCGGCTTCGGAGGTCGCGAGAGTGACCATAAGTGTCGGTTTTCTCCAGGCGGAGGGTACCCCCCAAAGTCCCGTCCAGGCGGTATTACCGGCGGCATTGGGGGTACCGTAGAGCCCTTCCCTTTATCAGGGTGCGAGGGGCCTGCCCCAGGGTCGTCCATGTCGCCGTCGTCTTCCCCGGCGCCTGCAAAGAAGCCCGGACCGAAGAAATCCTCCGTCTCCAACGGGTTCGGCATGGGTTGTGGTTGTCGATACGGTTCGCACCCTTGCCGCGGATCTTCGGGGTGGACCTGACTCCACACATCGGCTGCTCGATGCCAGGTCTCCACCTCTAGGATGTTCTTCATGAGATATACATCGCCCATTCTGCGAGCGTGTCGATAGTCTTCCCCCGCCTCCGTGAACAACCACTGCGGGTCCTTCTCCATGTTCTCCATCATTATTTCATATAGGCCGTGCCATGGTAGGAGGTCGAAGATAGCGGGCCTCGGGTTAGGTCCGTTAAGAAGGACCTGCTTTACCGCCGCCATCACCGTCGGTTCAAGGGTGCGGTTGGGCGGACGACTCAGCATCCTTACCCTCCTCCCTCTCTCTGGCGAGGCGGTCGATCTCTCGGTTCCTTCTCCACCTTCCGATATCTGAGTCCTCGTCGGTGATCTCGCTCTGGTAGGCATTCCAGGCCCTGGTTCGGGCCTCCAGATCTGTGCCAGCTCTTCTTGCTGCTCCTGTGTATCGGACGGCAGCGGCTCGTATTCGGTTTTCAACCTCGGCATCGGTGGCGTCGGGCTCGAGGGGTAGGTCCCACCAGCCTCTGGGTCCTTGGAGGGCGTCCTCTTCTGCTCGACGGATGCGTGCGTCATGCGCTCGGCCTCTGTCCATTCTGGCCTGGACTTCTGGGCGCTCCCGGGCAGCTCTAGAGAGTCCGAGGGACTCGACGTACGTGTGATAGAGGAGAGGCCACGGACGCTGAGAGGCGGGGGACGGGTGTGGCGAAGGCTCTTGACGGGACCGACGGCTCCCAATTGGAGACTCCAGCGAGACGCTCGGAAACGGTAACTGTTCCAAGTTCTTCGGAGTCGTACTCTGGGAACTCGCCCCAAAGCTCCCCATTTGTTGGCTCGTGCGAGGGGACAGGGGGAGCGACCGTTGAGGCCTCGGCCCTCTCAGGGACTGGGTCGGGCTCTGATCCTTCCGCGTCTCTGGCCAAAGGAGTCTCTTGCCGGTCGTCGGCGTAGACCCAACTGGTGTGGGGGTACCAGGCGACTGGCTCCCCTCTATCGGTTGGCCAGGGGCCTGAAACAAGGTGTGGGCTAGCTGTACTGGTGGTAGCTGCGGAGGCTCCGAGGCTAAGCTCCCCAGAGTCCTCGTCGAAATCGTCTCGGGCTTTTCCCTTCTCGTATCGTCTTTTTTCTGATCCCCACTCTGCATCTGTCCACCGGTTTTGGGAGCGTCCGCTCCAGTTATCTCCGGTATAGGTTGCATCTTCCTCCTCGTTCGGATAGAGGTCACCGAGGAGGGCTTCGAGTCGGACTCTTTCGAAGTCGGTGAGCTCGTCGCCTTCGAACTCGGTGTCAGAGCCTTCTTCGCCCGGCTCCAGATGCCTGGTGCCTTGTCTTCGGCCTCTGTCAGCACTTGACTTGCCCTCGACTGGAGACTGGTCGAAGAGGCCTGGTACGGGCGAGTCTCCTCTGTCGAGGAGTACCCCCCGGGTATCTGTGATGTCGACTGATTCGTCGGACTCGGCGGTGGCGCTTCTGTAGGAGTCTGTGCTCGACTCTGAGGTTCGTGAGCTGGATCGCGACGATCTGTAAAGGGATCCTCCAGGTCCCCTGGGTGTGATGGGTCGGCCATCGTGAAGAGTTTGTTGAGACGCTGCGGGAATGAAGATCACCGGCGGCGGGTATGCTGGAGTCGCTGGAACGTAATGGAAGGGTAACTGCGCTCGTACTCGCCTCTGCTGGCAGCAGCACCGTTGGAGGTAATACAAGGAGGTGAACAATAAAAAGGTGATGAAAAGCGTGGAGATTATGGGAATGGCGTCGGATAAGGGCATCCGTCCGCAGGCTTATTTTCGTTGATAGCCGGCAGTAAGGATTGACCATACGACGGTCAATGCAAGGAGTGTAAGAGCTGTGAGGGTCACAATAATCAGGTTGAGGTCGGTCTCGTAGTCGGGACCGGTCATCAATATGTTATCGTCGTCGAAGGATGGGTCAGTCAACGCTAGCAGTGTGACCGCTAGCAATGAAGCTAACTTTAGGGATAGATTAAAAAGGTTCGTGGTGCCTCAAACAAGGGGGAAGTATCCGCCGTACAAAGCTGCTAGCAGTCCAGCTAGGAGGGGTGCGGCGATACAGACTCATATGAGGGCCAAGGTAAGGAACACAGTTACTAAAACTGCGAAGATGGGGTCGTTGATGATGTAGGGGACGATCCAGGTGATGACGGCAGCTTGGAGCAGTAGGTCGAAGGGTATTACCCAGAGGGCCACTGCGACAAGGAAGTGTATCGGGTGAATCTTGATAAATCGTTGGTGAGGGTTCGCTTGTTACGGCCAGCAGTATTACCACTTGGTATCGCAAAAAGGAATAGGCAGAACAACAGTATAACCGTTGGTTCAAGTGGGGAGTTATTTCTTCAAAAGGTTGGGCAGCGTTCGTTCTCGGACGTAGCGCTGAGCAACGTAGGTCAAGCTTCGGCTAAATGTTAGCCACTAACTCTTATCGACTTAGATCAACTCCAGATCGCCACTCGCACTTCGGTGGACGATACAAGAGGGGTCAAAGTAGATGGAAGAGAGCCAGTCGCGAACTTAGATAGTCACGAAACAAGGAGCTGTGAGTTAGGTAGATTAAACCTTAGCCGAAGCTGGGGTTTAGGCCAGCTGAGGCTCTACTTAAATACACGTTCTGTGAGCTAAAAATAGTACTGTGAGAGTGTCCGATAGGAATCGCATCATAGGATAAGCGTGAACATGTAAGAAAAGAAAAAGAAAAGAAAAGAAAAGAATAAATCGTAACATTTTCACCCTATCACCTCATTAGCAGCGGTTCTTTCAATGGGTCAGTCCACCATTCATTACCATACACCAATTCTCACGAGCCTCTTCTTAAGTATTCTACATAGCTGGGATCTTAGATTCCTATCCGCGATGAACTTAAAAAATGCCAACGTCAGAGTTCAGCCTCTCTTTAGATCTTGCCACGATCCTACCATTGCAGGAAAGAGTACTAGGCCTCGTGGTATTGTCTCTATCTCTCAAGGGAATATGGCTACAGCACCGGTATTCTTCGCTCTCGCCATGAATTCCGAGATTCAGCTTTATTCTCGAACAGGGTTAGAGCCTTTGGGTAATCTGTATCGGCACCCTAACATGACAGCGAATTCGTTTGATATCGGTCTATCCTCATCTCCATGTGGTCGTTGGGTGGCAGCTAGCTCTTCACAATCAGAAGCTCGAGTGTATCTCTTTGATGTCGAGAATACTACTAGAGCATGGGAAACAAGGCACATCAGAGTACAACTATGGGCACCCTTCCAACGCTACAGGAAGCTTGATTGGAGTGGGACGTCGCTAGCTATCTGTAGTACAGCAGGACTTGTGTTGGTATGGTATCCTGACATTGAAGTATATCGCAACTGTCAGGAAGCTCCAGTACACGCTTCCACCAGATGGTCTTGGTATTCTGCCGAGTAAACATGTATCTATTCCGAATGTCCGCATTGAACCTGACTGAATATACGTCAATCTAAAGACTTCCTATGGTGAACCAAAATAGCGGATAGTCGTTTTTCCTCTTCCTTTGAACTATAACACACTAACCCCCCTCGAACAAGTTTTGATTTCAAGATCTCCCATACCACCGACACCATAGAATGGGATCAATCGCAGCTCAGCAGTTTCTTCAAGCAGAAGAACTGGTTCTTTTGACTATGCATCACTGCGACATCATTATGCTTGTTTCCTGGTCTCATATTGCCACATCCTTTCACCGTATCGTGCAAGGCGTCATACATACCCACATTACCTGTCTCTTGACCGACGTTATTCCCTCAGAACATCTCCTCGGTTTCTTCTGCATGCTGGATAAAACGGAAAGCTTGATTGCTGGCTCATCTGCACTCTCCGTTTTGACTCCCCATTGTTACTGGAAACTGGCAGATGTGAATATTATCATCTCCCGTGAACAAATTGGGAGGTGGAAAAATTTTTTCTCCCTTCTCCGCTACAGCATTCATGTCATCGGAAGAAAAGATTCCATCGTCCACAAATGTTACCCAGTGAAGCAGAAGGGTGTGGTGTCTTCTGTCATGATCTTCTCATCATCAAGTAATGTGAGTACAGCTGTATGTATTATTTGTGTTAGCTCAGTCTTTATTCCTGCAGCACGAAGTCATCGTCCTTGAGAGCGTCGATCATTCACCATTCAGGCCACTCTTACATTCTCAAGCGACATCACAGATGAATGCATTATCAAGCAGTCATATATACTGTTTATACCCCTCCCTCACTGTCAACAAGGCTTCATTCAAGGCATACGTCGGAGATCCTACATGCAGATCACTGACTGCCGTCGCGGATCTACTACCATCCCGTAAAACGCGACTTCAAGAACAAGGCCTCACTCTTTATTATAATGGGGAAGGCTACCCATATCCATGCGGAGGAGCGTGTGTAGAAAAAGAGCGGTCATTGGTGGGATATAGGGGAGTGGGGATTTTTCAGTGGGGAGGGTATCTTAAATCACAGGCTTCAGAGAAGGAATTATTACCAAGCAGCATATGTGAATTTGTGTGGAGGTTAGGGAATTCATGCAGTAACAGTAGATGCTCGTTATAATATTCTACATATCTTCTACCAGATCAGCCACAGAGGATAAGATAAAAATTTGATGACTAGGCGTAAAGAATTTGAAGACGATCTCCCTAAATGCAATGAGAAAACATTTTAATATGAACCATACAAAGACTTACTTCATGATTAGTTTATGAAACACATCATTCATAATCATCGGATTAACATCACTGACTACCTCATCATCATCATTTTTGACAACGAGCACGTTTCCGCGTAGCTTGATAATCCCTCGAGACATCTGTCATAGAAGGTTGTTCGGTTGACTGTTGCCGGGAAACATGAATGGGAGGTGGAATACAGTATACGAGTCTTCCAACACGTCATCTATTTCAACAACAAAATATGTAGTCTGGGAAGATCGGACACTGCCAATGCGAAGGTACTCCGGGATCCAAAACGGAATATCACAATCTTGCACGGATCTAGGTATCCCATCCCTCACCGATCGGAGTAGCGGTAAAGGTACTAGCTGGGGTGTACTGCAATCCATGCCGTACAAGACAGCTCGATGCAAAGCCCAACCCTATCCCCGCTGTAAATATGTGAACAACATATACACTCGAAACTTACATTAGCAATCACTTGCAATGATTTTACTGACACTTGTGCTTCGCTGGTGTTCATAGTGATGACGGACAGTTTATGGTTAATTCAGCAGTTGAAGTTCATTTATTCACTCGTATCTCGTGATCATGAGTACGTTCTTCCCTCTTTGGCATTGTGACTGTGGCATGTCAAACTGAACTCAAACAGAGCATATCCACATGATAAGATAGCCATAACAACGATATAAAACAGCGTGACACTCTTGGGGTTTTACAGGTCAAGGATCCTAGGAAACTTCAAGCTGCCGATCAGAATACCAGGGAGAAATCTGAGCATTCTAGGAACAGGTCGACGGGAAAGGTGATGATGATGAGAAGGATTAAAGTAAATGTGCCCACAATGACTGAAATATCTGACTTAATAACCATCGTGTAACAGCAATTGACACGTCTCTTCCTCTACGTCACAGGCCTACTTTACTTCTTTTTTTTTTTTTTTTTTTTCCCGACAGGCACCTGAAAGTGCGATACATTCGAGACTCAGCCCCTACCCTCAACATCTGAAAGTCAGACGTACATGGAGATACCAAAAAACTGATTCTATAAAACGTGTGTCTATGTATACATGAACTCTAAAGAAAAAGAATGGAATCGTATGCAGTCAGGATTACTACACTGCGGACTCAGTTGCCATGAATACGCCCATGCCTGGTCTTCCCCATCCTCCCAGCTCGCTTCCTCACCGGAAACTCATCAGTTTTGGTATAGATCCCATTTTAAAATATGTTGAAATCCACACACATTCCGATGGAGTGCAGGGCACCGGTTGCCACAAGGGCTTCCTTGAAAGTGCCCATTGCTGTAATGAAATGTAATACCGTAACGCTCCAACGCCATGATGTAGTGAGGGTTCACCTCCCACGGGCTACGAGCTATGGCCTGAGATTCTGACATGAAGGTGGGATAGAAACAAACAATTGAGGAGCCTGTAAAACAATTCATATCCAACGTCGACATTTCAGAAAAGACTACACCCAAAGGTGATGGGCGTTCACAGAAGAACAAGCGTAGGGGCAACTTATTGTGTTAAAGTATTAGCTATAGCATCACATCATAATCGAAACCTACTCACAAGATTTCCCATAGCCCAGTCTTCATACGTGACAGTTTCCGTGGTACTGAAACTTAATTGATGGGACTCCAAACCCCCTCGGGGTCGACAGTTATTGTCTTTTAAGTATTCCGTCCAAGCGGTACTGAAAAAAATAAAATATAATAAAGTAAAAACAAATCAATTATTTAGCAAGAGAAATAGACGAGAAGAAAGCTGACCATTTTTCATGTGGGACTGATATGCAAAGTCGAGGAGGCATAGGCCAATCTTGATTATACCGAAGAACGGAGGTGATAAACCCCCCAAAAAGAATGGATTTGAAGGTGTTCAAAGCAAGAATAAAGTTTCTGATTTCTGATCGCGAGATATACCGAGAAAGACCTGACCGAATGCGAATCCTGATCGCTTCATGGACGTATTGTTGAAAGCAACGTGCGCTTTCCCTGAGAGTGACAAGGGATGGAAAATCACAATAATGGAAGATGATCACCATTACCGGTCATATGTATGCGATGCAGTATCCCGATGACCATTCAGCACCTCTCTGAGCAGCAGGAACAGCGTTGCTGACGGTTTCCGAACTATGGCCAGCCAACGATTGACAGAAACAGGTTTCTTCGTTAAGGCTTGTCCCCTCATGAGTTAGCGGTGAGGGTGGTGCGAGTATAGGCTTGAAGGCTGAGCCGGTGTTTTCGAGTACTTGAATCATAGTGGTGATATATCTGTTACTGAAGTCAGCTTTGTTGGACAAGGGTGGAATATGCCATTGTTACCTATGAACTCCAGCCTGTACAAACGATAAAATACCTTCATTGATATCAATCAGACGCTCCGCCAATGTGGTATGTGCTACCACCATTAGACTTCCTTGCCAAGAAACTCTGGGCCAGAGTTTTGCAATGGTGTTGTTGTGAGCATACGTATCGATTCTGGTAATGAGACGATAGAAGCTCAAAGATATGTCGTCACTGAGATAAAAGGTGTGTCGGAAATCCGGGAGGAAAAGAGGATGCCTTTCCATAATTTCCCAGCCAAGGAATGGGATGTCTAAGTCGTCGATAGTGCGAATATTGGGGACATAGTTGACTTTTGAAACTTTCATAGTGAGATTTCCGAGGTAATCCACCGGAAGAAATAACGTGATGACACTATTCTGAAACCAGATAAGCACTCAGAAAAATTGAATATGTAGACCAATATACCATGTCTTTTGATTTTTGTTCATGTTCCGTGCGAAGAAGTGGTGCATCAGAACTCTTGATTCAGTCTGATCCTGAAGAGAGGTTTTGGCGTCTTATGTATCAACAGTGTAGAGCGGTGACCAAACCAACATTATTCTTCGGATAAATTGACCCGTAGCTCGACATGCACCCCAGAATATAGGAACAACTTACACACGTAAATGATTGTGGACCATAGCAACTCAAGAAAAGGTGACAAGGCATGCAGTAGGATTCATAAGAAATGATACATGGATAAAACAAGAAAGTCGGAATTCTCAGAAGCCACCAGAATATCATCTGGTTGAATTACGTTTATAGCCACCGCGAGGTCTGTGACTAATGACAGTCCCCTACAAATTATTTTATCATGTTTTATTTGCAGAGTGATCCTCGGCACAGACACGAGTAGGATATACATAAATGTATTGAACACAGAGAACATGCATAAATCAAAACAACGTTCCAGCCTGAATTTACTGTGAGATTGTAACTGCCAAGATTAGATGGCCATCACTATCCTCGAAGACCATTCTAACATCTATCTCAATGTTAATTAACAGTGGCAAAATGACACTTCGACCCATTTTGATTGGAGTGCATCGGTTAGCCGTCCGTAGTACAGGTATTTATTAAGGTACCAGGTTTTAGAAGTTTCGTCGCTTTGATGGTGCTGATTTCATCTATGCTTTTCATCCTCGAAAGGGATTCAATACATTATGAAGCACGAATCAGATGCCACTGCACACTGTCAATTTTCTTTAGGTAGTCGCTGCATGTATTCCTCACATGAAGTTGAGCACAGATGCCTCTAGAGGAGGAATGAATGACATACCTCAGTACGTGTGGCGTTACCATCACTGGACACAATGGTTGAGCCTTCGTAGAAACCTGCCTCCGACTTACCGCATACCTCAACCAATGATGCTGCGTCATATGTACACATGTCTGATTGACAAAGCTGCTGCAGGAAACGCCCTACGTAAGTTGGGTCCAGAAGGTGAGTGGAACGATTTGCTGCCGGCGAGATTTGGACATGTTAATCCCTGCGTATTGTCGGATTAAGTTTTGCTGGTACAGAAACCCAATCCTGACGTGATATTGAAGACGTACATTTGTTCTACAACTTCCCGAAACTCCACAACCCACCATGGAACAACCATCCGCTACCAAGCAATGGCTGATGACTGAGGAACTCGTCCATGCAGCCATGTCCATTGCCAATATCACCGAATTAGCACGCTGGGCGTCAGTCAGCACTCGTATCTGCTCCATTGTGAAAGGGATTCTTCAGACACGCATGAAGAAACAAATTGATAAATTTATCCCTCATTCCGACCTCCTCGCCTTCTTTGTCCTGCTCGACAAAACGGATAGTGCAGTCGGAGGTTCGGTTGCTCTGGCAGTCCTGACACCCAAATGCAACTGGGAGCCAAGGGATTTGAACATCGTGGTGCCCCAGCATGCTGCCGACCGCTGGACAGATTTTTTCGGTTATCACGGGTATGACGGCGGAGAAATCTGCCTGCACGAGTATGGCACACGCGAGCATCCCAGATATCCCATCCTACATACTGTTGTAGCAAAGACAGTGTTTCTCTTTACGCACCCAATGCTGAAGGTGCGAATTCTAGGCTAACGTATCGTGATATACACTGACAAGACTACCTTTACAGCAAGATATCGTTATCATTGTCAGCAATAGCGACACATGCATGACCCCCATTATCAGAGCACAGACTACAAGCCAGATGAATGCTATCACTAGCAGCCATGTCTACTGTCTCTACCCATCTCTAACCGCTCAAAAGATCGCGTTACGCGGTTACTACCCCCATCCTTCCGACAAATATTTTCTGACTGCCCTCCTTACCAACCATCACGACCAACTCAAAAAGCAAGCCCTGACATACTATGAATCCAGTGCTGGTACAGGACAAAAATGTGGCCTTGCATGTGCCGATATAGAGCGTACTCTTCACGGATGGAGGGGCGTCGGAGTAATTCAGTGGGGGGGGTATATGGACTCCAAGCGATCGGAAACATCCCTTCTACCATCCAACACCTTGCACGTTGCATGGCAGCTGGGAGAATGGTGTGATAATGTCTTGTGTGACATGGCTAGATCTATCGTAGTACCGTCCATTCCTCCAGTTTTGTAACCAGTTCAACATCGCTCAAAGATAGCCACTTCTCCCAAATTTCACCAAAAATAAAATAAAACTCTGCCGTGAATTCACAAACAAGATTCTAAGATATGTAGTCACTGGGCTGTAACGTTCTTTCCAACTGACACCCACGAACCACCTTTCTAAGTAGACCAAGGAGTTGCTCCGGAGTTCTGGAAATTCCGTCAACAGGACAATTCCGAAACCGAAATTCTATCACTCACAAATTTCTTAGCGATGATGATCCCAGATGACGCATCATTGAGTTCGTTTTTCCTTCCACAAAACAAACTGAAGTCTCGGGGCAACGAAGATGTCGTAGGATCTGATACCTGAACATGAATGCTGTTTCGGGTTCAGCGAGTCCCCACGAGTTGGCAAACACCAGGTCAATTTTTGGGGAGCGAGGCAGTGGCTGCAATGTATGCAATGGCAGAATCCAACAAAATCTATCCCCAACCCGACGCTGGAACCTAAACTCTGGCCTATTCAGCGCTTCATCCCGGCCAATGAACGAAAAGCCTCTGTCGGAATATTTTTGCAGGGCAGCGCTGTCTGTGGGTTTAGTGGGAGTATTGTGATACGCAACTCCGTCAATGAAGGTCGCATGCAGGTATAATGAAATCGCATGCACGTAAGTGATCACGTTCATAACACATGCTAACACAGAATAAGTTAATGTTATTAACAATAACAGAAGATCACACACTGCTGTGAAAGCCGAGAATGCCCTGAAAAGCAGTGTACACTGTTGTAACCACGTCTATCTTCAAACCACCAGCTCTTTTGTACGACAACACCGCGAATATCGCTGGACCAGAGTAGGTCCACCCCTTTCACCTGTTAAGCGGGTTCCTACTGTTGAAATCCTTGTCTAAGCAGTCCTTAATGGAGGCGTATGATTCCCCATCGATCTCTTTGTAGATGTATCCAATTCCTGTCAGGAATTGGTTGATCTCGAATAGATAATGATGATTAACGTAGAGATCCAAGTTGGAATTTTCGTAGCGAGAACGAGCGAAGAACTGTAGGGCGGTCGACCCCGATATGAGCATTCCAGTTGCAGCCTGTAAACTACGAAACTGAAAGTACTCGCTCTGCGTAAAGAATGGAGACAAGAATAACTCTATTCTATAAGAGCACCTGGTAAAGCTTGCAACAGCATCGCGACCTTCATGACAGGAAATGGATAGTCTATACAGATCTCCTGGAGATAGACAGCTCAGTAGATGATCACTGGTAGGACCTAATCTGAATACAGCGTTGACTTCAACTGATACAATAACATTCGCCAGATACTCACAACAGGCTTGCGCACACCATTTGTGTCTAGCAGTTACTGCGAACCAAAGAGTCAGTGTACAAGACAGAGCGAGAAACTAGACCGATTCTATCCAACGTAAAGTCAGGATCGGGACGTCGATATTCCTCGACAGGGCATCCTTCCTCCGAACATTTCATAAGAAGAAGCCTCACGAATAATAAGCGACGTCAACCGGTTGCCTTCCTCCCCTCCCCCAAAACCTTATAAGATGCCTGGCCTCGCTGTAGAAGCATTACCATCATGCAACAGTTTGCATGCAACCTCTATGATCTTGATGGCGAGCGTGTCCTCACCCATGTCGTCTCATCTCTGCACATTGTACGGCCCATTCAAGACAACGAGTTTACATTCCGAGATGCCTATATCAACAAGAACAGCGTTGTTATTTTCGGACGCATGGAACCTAACACGTCTGTCGCTCTACATTTATTGGTGAGTGCCTTTTACGTTTTATAAGCCACACCCACTGCATCAAACTCATTTCACCTCAGCGCCCCGACTACAAGGCCCACGGCTGGTTCCGTCTGACGTGGCCTATGGAATGTGGATTTGGTGCAGCCCGTATTTTGTATGACACCCAAATACAAGTTTTGAAAGAATTTGTCGCCCGAGATGCAAAGGTACGTATCGGAATATCCGACACAAGATATCGCCCTCTCACACCAGATCTCACAGGATACCCAGAAAACCTTAAGCTGGATTGCAGGAGAGACGGAGAAAGATGTACTGATGTACATCGATTTGGAGAGAGTCGTGCGTCATACTTGTACTATCATTACTTTCAAATACTCAGATACTTTATGACAGAATGTCTATGCCCCATGGGAGGAGGCCAGCGGTATTGGTTTACTTCCTTCTGACAGCGTCAACATGCAAGATAAACTGCTTCGCCAAGCCACACACCATCCAGTCCAAATCACGGCGATGTTGCAGCATATCCCCGACTTCTTGTCAGGTATAGAGGTGTGTAAAAAAGTTTCTGTTCATTACTTATCAACAATAAGCTGACGTTCGTAGGCATTTATCGTCAAGGCAAATAGGGTGGACATTATTCCGGTAGCATAGTTACAGATTTACCCATATTAACGTGTGTAACCAAATAAATATATCATTGTTAAACATGCGCACAAGTTTATCGGAGTTTCTTAATACCGACAACAAGGCTTCATTGAACAATGGTATGTGCTCGTTTACACTATGCGAGTTCTTCCCATGATATGTTTAAGTTAAAGAACAGGCAACAATGAGCTCTTGGTTTTTAAAATTGACCAGCACTCGGAATTAGTGCAATCGGCCCCGAACATACCACAGAACTTTCCTGCCAATTCCGATACAAGTTTACCTCATGGAAGGAAGAGTAACGTGAACACAGGCAACGATCACTGTTAGAACAATATACCAAGATTAACAACACGATGAGAAGTATCTACAATACACCAACATCACTGTCATCTTCATCCGACGGCTGTCCCTCGTCCTCATCATCCTGAGTGAAGTCGTAATCCACCACATGCGTGACTCCCAACGCACTCTCATCCATCATGCTCTCGTGCCACTTTGGATCTAGATCCTTCGTCCAGTCAGCAGAAACCCAGTCCACGAGAGCAACAACACTCTGAACATTAAATCCGATGCGCATCCCATGCTTCAATTTGAATTTGGATATAGTGAAAATTATGACAGCGGTCGAGTACTGGGCAATCTCACCACCACGCAACTTCGGAAGAAGGAAATAATCCTTCAGCCTGAAGTTTGCACAGCCATCAAAAGCAGGTACTAGAAATTGAGATGAATGAATAAAACACCAACGTAAATGGAGTCGTGTTCCACGGAACAGAATATACTTACCATTACTTTTCCAGCTTCTTACATCCAGACCATGGTCACCTTTACGAGGGAAACACTTAGAAGACTTGTAGTCCACGATTCCTGAGATATGTCAACACCACAAACCAAAGGAAAGACGATGCATTACCTTTTTTATAAGTGGAAAAGCACAAACCACCGTCCTTCATGGGTACCGCAAGAATGTCTACATTGGCAACTTCCGCAATAAACGCGGCGATTTGGGGCCAAAACCGTTCGATGATATGAATACTGATGGTTTTGGTGTCATCATCGAGTGTAAGGTTACTCTGAAGGATGCGTCCAGTCACATAGAAAGTTGCCGTATGGGAATCAGATTCAGTGGTACCAATATGCCAACTCTTGTTTTTAGAATTACGTCCAACGACGTTAAGCTGAAAGTCTTTGGGATTGGAAGTAAAGATATTGCTGAGCGTGGGATAGGATGGCATCAGGATGTAGGAGCTCAAAATCCGTCTGTGTGGCGAGAGTTAGATTCCATGCATGATCCAATGATAGGCACTCACTTGATTTTGCTCAGAGTGGCGGCACAATGTGTTTTCATAGGAACGGTGCCAACCGCCACCTTCTCGCCAGTGTCGACATCTACCCCGTAGTAACTGACTCCGGGAAGGGCTGTCACTTCGACAGGCAACTGCACACCCGTGACGGCAAAATCGACAACCTCCTTGCTTGGTAAAGCTGACGGTTTCATTGGCGTAGTCTTCGGGTTCGAGTTCGGTGTGGTCTTCGAATTCGACTCCACCCTAGAAGACATGTATGAGAACAAGAAAATAAAGCAAGACGAAGAAAAGGAAAGAAAATGTTCACTTATCTCCGTTCTTACTAGGTCTGAGACATCGGAGAGTGTGCTTATTCTTGAAAGGCTGACGTGGACAAAAGAAATGTACTTACTTTTGGTCGGTGTCCTGTTCATCACCCAGGCTGTTCGCAAACCCAATCAGTTTAAATCAAAAGACAAGGTCGCTTGGGATAACATACATTTTCGGCTTTTTCGACTGTCCTCCATTCTCTGGCTCTTCGAGAGTCCTCTTCGCCACAGAGCGAAGTTCCCTTGGATCTTGAGAATGATGCACCATCTAAGGATGAAGAATGTATTTCTATGACTGTATGGTCAATCTGTCCAGTTTTAATAGACGGAAGAAAAGAATTCTGATGGAAAATCCAGCTTCCAACATAAATCCAAAGCCTCATCAGCACTCCAGTTTCACACAGTCTATAAAAAGAGAAGCAGCAGATTTTGAGGCTCTGTAACATGCCTCTCAAACTAGCAGTCGCCGACTGTGATATTTTGAACAAAGTACTTCCCGAGTGCAAGGGTAAGAATTTACCATGACGGATGGCTTGTGTTCACCCCCAGACTCTAGATGCCATCAGAAAAGCTCAAGTCCTAGCGCAGAGAAACGAAGAAACCCAAAACATACAGCTGTCTCGCTTCGTCAACGTCGTTGATATCGAGAGATCATTCAGCGTGGAATCCTTCAATCGCAATGATCGGAAATACCTCATGTGGAAGGATGATGGGGAGGAGGTGGTATTGCATTTTCAGGGTATCGTATCCCAGGTGTGCGTAACACCGTACATGCCAGATACACCCGGTTGATCATACACAGATCCAATCACTCCTCCGTCTCTCTTAGAGGTGCTTATGAACACAATCTCAACCAGGTTACGACCAGCAAATATCCGACAGTTCATCCAAGTTGTTTCTGATGACGCAGACGGGGTATTCGAACAAGCCCGGGCAGCTGAAAAGGCGTTACAAAAATTTATGTGGCAGTACAGAGGAAATCCCGAATGGCTTATCTTGCACGACAGTATCTTTGGAGGAATCCATGCTCTGATGGCGGATAGCAAATTATTAACAGCACCTTCCCAGCCTGTTGGTACAACTGTTCCGATTACAGCTGACATGGAGGAGAGAGGAGCTCTAACTCGCATATGCATGGATTCGAAACACAGATATACCGATGACAACGCTGTCCAGTTTTTGGAATGGCAGTTCCTGGACAATAAAACCATGACGTGAGCTTTTGACTGTCAAGTTGGATATTTCACTGACACCTTGTTCATAGATTATTACCTCGAGAAAGCGGTTGCGTGCTATGACCCGGACACTTAGTGGACGTTGGAGTATCCTTCCGCCTCCTGTTTGGCAAGCGAGGTGACGCGCGATTTGTATGCAAGCTGGACAGCGTAACAATTGTGGACCGCAGCCAGGCAGATGTATGTCAAAGTGTTCATCTCCACTTCAATGTTCTCATCGGCAACTGCATCAGAAAATGGATGAAATGAAACGTGCTGATCATTCCACCGCTCATCAAAGTGGTCCAAAGAGAAGGAAGATTGTGACAGAAACGATCGACACGGAGATGTTGTTTACGGAAAATCAAACTTAGATGCACGTGATTATCTAGCTCTTCTTGTGACGCTTGTTTGGTACCTTGATAGCTCTATCAAAGGCCTCTCTTGTTCGTTTACAGACATAGGACCCATTTTTATTCTATGAAAACCCTTCTGCATTACTGCTGGCTCGCAGAGTAGCATGCCATCTTTCAGTGTCCTCTTGTAGCTTTTCCAGCCTGCGAGTGCTGATGTCCATAGTGGAACTCTCACTCAACTCAACTCCAGTCATCAGGGAAGTCCAAAGAACAGGTCCACTGTCACCCAAAGACTTTAAAAACTGACTCGCAGCCACTTTCTCTTCGTCAGTGCCATGAACTAACTTAGTCTGCTCACAAAAGACTCTGAGGCATGTGTTTTCAACACGTAGATCCTCTGAAGGTCTGACCTGTATCTTCTTCTTTGGGAACCAGCGAACAACTAGCAAGCCTTTGAGTGATTTTACACGAGATGCCATCACATAAGGAGCTTCAGTACCGGTACAGGACTCGAAATCGATGATAGCATGGCTTAATGTTTGACCTTGAGATTTATGAGCAGTCATCGCAAATGCCGGGCTCACAGGAATCTGGGTGCGTCTTATCATACATTTCTTTCTCATGTACTGATCTGTGAATGTCAAGTCGACATCATCTTGAAGGGCAACAGCCTGACTGACACTGAGACCAGGTAAAGGCTCAGAATTCATATCGCTGACACAAACCACACACAAAACAGCATGCCTCAAGCCTTGGTCGTCTACCCAATATCGGATTTTTTCCAGGATACCAGAAGTGCCGTTCACAACACTGCCATCGACATCATAGTTGTGTGCAAACATGACTGGCATGCCAATGATGAGAGGAATTCTTCCTAGACGATGCTGTGTTTGTCCTGAATTCATGGCCCATAGACGATTCTGTAAGTTGACATCCGTAATCCTCTCACCGCGATGCTTATCAACAGAATAATACCAGTGCAACGGTCTCCCTGTACTCTGAGCAAAAGAAACCGCAGCCTCCTCATTAATGGCATCTTTAATCGCGTTTTCGTATACGATAACCGGTGCGTTTTTCCATTCAGTTGCAGACCAATCCAGTTTAACAGAAGATACGGTCCTTCCTAATAAGGCTTCATAATCACTGTCAGTGCATTTTCCGACGCGTAGATGACCAAGAAGTTCCACAAATGTTTCATTATCTCTCCCAGACTGACGCATAATCTCATGAAGCAACACCATGGTATCTACAGAATTCCATAATATTTTGCCGATTATATTTATCTGCTGCAACTGACCACTCGTTCGCGTGTTCATTTTTGCATACAGCCTGGTCTGGCCGACAGGGGGCAATTGAGCAAAGTCTCCCACGAATATAATGTTAATCCCACCAAACGGCTTATCATTTTCTTTCACCACCTGCAACACTATTACGATTTCGCGCTTTATCTTATCTTATCGAACTCATCGTAATCCTGCTATGCTAACTTTCCGACTCTGATCGCATTATACCATGTTGGTACCGTGTGCTTACCGCACCGTTACAGACTCTTGTAGTATATTTAGAACAGTCCAAACTGTATTTAAGTAGCTCGACTGCAGGTCTTACACCTCAGTCTCGAACTAAAGTTTATTCACCCGATAACTTAGTCTGAACTCACTCTCGCTCACTAAGCGATAGCTCCCTGCACATAAACCTGCGAGCAACATAAGGCGCCTGACCGAAGTGCGAGTCACACCTAGTTGTTTGATCTTGTTTGTGTAATCGGTCGCTAACAATTAGTTCGAGACTTTCTTGCTCTTCATCAACGACCCCGTTGTTGAACAGTAACAAATGAACCCTATCGAACAAACTATCACCGACTTCATCAGACTACAAGGCCTGTGCGCCCTAGTCTATCTCGCGTTCCTATATGGATACGAATACCGACGAAACCAGGAGCCAGCCTCCGAAGAAACTATCCCCGTCGAAGCCCCCAACGAGGAGGCTAGACGACCGAACACACCCCCTCCCGAATACGTCGATGACAGGGACAGGGGAGACCTTACCTTCATCCAGTTCATCTACATCGCTGACGAGTCCGACTCAGACTCCGACATGGAAGGATGGCCCACACAAAGAGGCCCAATCATTGAAGACGAAGAAGAGCCAGGACTCTACGAGCAAGGGGTGGACCAGCGTGTTCTCTCTCCCATTACCGAAGAGGAAAGCGAAGGGGAAAGCTCGGGAAGCGATCCCTGGAACGCTCCCTCCCCCACATCAACCGAGAACTCCGCCGCCAACCCTGGGTATGATTCAGATGGGCAGCGCCTCTATCAGAGAGGACTTAGATACCGTCTGGGAGAAAGAAGAGCGGCTGAAGATGGAACTGGAAGCAGTTCAGATGAGGAAGGCAGCTATTCAGAAGAGGACAGTGACAGCAACGAGCTCCCGGGACCACGAAACCATTGGTCCCCTCCAAGGCTCGACTCCAGAGGCGAGACGTGGGGCTACTACTATGCCCAAAGCGATTCCTCAGATGACGAAGGGCAGTACCTCCACCTCGTCACCCACCCTAACACCCCAATCATCATCAACGATAGGGCTGGGGAAGCCACTACCGAGCTCGACCAATGTGAGCCCACGTACGACGCCGATGCCAGCTGCGATATATGCAGACAAATACAGGACTACGCCGACGCCTGGCTCATGTACGAAGGCATCGAACCCCCTTCCTCAGTCATCCCCTACGCCATCTACCCACTTGCCCCAGAACACCCCCTTGCAGCCCCCGTCCCCTTCATTGCACCCTGGGTATGGGACAGACCCCGCCGACCTGACTTCGACCTTGTCGTTCTCAGGGTCAACGAGTGGGCATGAATCATTCGCAACTGGAACCGAATCGTCACAGGAAGCGAAGAGCCTTTCGAGCGAGTCCGACCAATCGGACTTAGAAGAAGGAGAAATTTATGAGAACCCTGGAATCGGGCAGCCCTCGATCTGGAGCGGCTACACTGGGCAGGAGAGTACGGAGACGAGGACGTCATCCCGGAATTCGTGGAAGGATCTAGCTCGGGAGCCTACTGAGGCCGAGCTCGAGAACATGACATACTTAGAAATGCTTCACTGGACAGAAAAGAAGCTGCCACGAGAGATCTCGTGGAATGGATCGCCTCAAGGAAGGCATTACTGGAAGAACAAGCAGAACCCCGTCGGTGGCCAAGTGCTATACTGGGAAACCATATTCCATACCAATATTTTGTGGAGCCAGGTACACCCCGACGACTACACTGATCCAGGAGAACGGTACCAGGTACCAGAACCATCGGAAACATCCCATGGAAGCACGGTAGACTTAAGTCACCTATCGATTTTACAACGAACTGGGTATGTGGACCCCAGCCGACTATTCGCCGCCGCAGGCACACCAGGAAACGGAGGAGCAGCAGCGGCACCTGTACCTGCAGCCCCCGCAGCACCCGCAGCACCCACGGGACCATTGTCCCCGCATCACAACCCGGCCCTGAGGTCACTTCCACAACCCGCGGCAATCCCCATACCCGCAGACCCAGTACAACCACCAAACACACCGCCTCCATTCCTAGTCGGAACCGCGAACCCCAATCCATGGGCACTAGTAAAGCCACAACTAGCCGACCCCCCAGAAAAGTTCGCAGGAGCATCCAACGATGTAGACAGGTTTTTCAATCAGTGCGAAGACTACTTCACGGTATTTCCCCAGTTGTTCACAATGAACGCGCATGGACAAAGCCCGAGCAGGGTCGTGTTCTGCACATTCCGATTCACAGACAAAGCACTGCATTGGTGGAATCACGCCAGGGACAAGTACTATGACCCCGTCTGCGATCACCTGAGGTACCCAGCCTATCATGTATTCAAGCAAATCGTCGAAGACCAATTCCGAACCGACGCGGAGGTAGAACTCAAGCTACAGGAGTTCAAACGCCTCCGCCAAAACACGTACAAATCGGCGAAAGAATTCTTCCACGACTTCGAACGACTAGCCAAGGAATCCGGCAAACGCCACAACGAGGAATACATGATCGAAATCCTCAAACCGGCAATCCGGAAGAATGTGAAGACGGCGATACATGCCACGGGCACCGCACTACCTCGCACATATGCAGAATGGAAGTTCAGGGTGGAACAAATGGACTATAACTACCGCGTTGGACTAGCTGAAGATGCGGGAAGGAGCCAAGGGAATCAGGGGCAGCAGAACAAGGGAACGGGAAAAGCCGGAAGTTCCGGGAATTCCCAGGGTGATAAGAAGATGGGCACTGGCACCACGTACGGGGGTCAGGGACAACCTATGGAAATAGACCACCTCCGAAAGGAAGGGCGATGTTTCCGCTGCAGTCACAAAGGGCACCGAAAACAGGACAACAAATGCCCCAAGGACCAAAGCACTTGGCTCATCAAACACCAGCCCAAGTTCTCGTGCGCTGAGATTCGAACAATGTACCAGCAAGTACTGAAGGCCGAAGAAGAGGAAGCGTCTACATCGAAAGTCGAGGAGGTAAAAGACGAGCCGGCGGCGTAAGCAACAAACGCACGTCGGCTAAGGACTTAATTTCATTTAGTGGTGCGTCATCAGAACCCGCAGGCCGGACTAATCTACCGCATGTAGTATCTCGAGGCAATGGCACAATTTTCACGCATTCACAAAATGAAATTACTCAGTCGCATAAAAGAAGGAACGGTGTACAGGGGATTACCACCGTGCTCGAAGAAGAACCCCATTCAAGATCCTTGGCCACCGGTGCAAAAGCACAAGCGGCTAACGCTGCGCAAGGCAGCGGGACACTTGGGATCAACCTCACTCCGTCGAGGGCAGGTGACGGCACAGGGAACAGAGGAAGAGCGGCCGAGCCCAAGGCGAGCAGTGAAGAACCCCACTCGGGGGCGGAATGTACGTGCCAGCCACGAGTGACCGACTGCCCTCATCGAGGAACGGAGCCGCAAGAGGGAACGCAAATCCCCAGCAACAAAACCGCTGCCCCGCAAAGAACAGTCCAGACGAACGGGGACCCCATCCTTTCCGAATCCAAGTATACGGTGCGTCTTCCATCCTCATCGCTAACACATAATGGCACCGAGGGCTCGTGTTCCTCGGTGGGCGGGTCGGTGGGACCATTATGTGCTTCTCCCCCTATGACCAATAAAAATACCGTTTCTCTTGAGGAAGTGCCCGATGAAGAAGACGACTACAGTTACCAACAAAGCCTCAAAAATCAGCCAAAAGGGGAAGACCCGGTGGTTCACACCGAGGAGTACCCAGAAGATTATGAAGTAACCGAGTTGGAAAACGAATATTACAACGACAAATGGGACCAAGGATGGATGAAACCCCACAGCGCTGAGTGGGTACGAAGGAAAATGCATCAAGAAAAAACCATGGACGGGCGACTCGCTACCCTACGCATGTGGGTTCACCCCAGATGCCTGATTGAGGTAGATGAAGACCTGGTCTTAGACCTTATAGGGTCAACTCAGGAAACCTACCGACAACGAGAAATGTGCCTGCAAAACATGCAGGACCTCTGCGTTCCGCCCCAGTACATACAAGGAGGGAAAGAAAGAAGTGTCAACATCAAGGTACAACTAGAAGCCTTAGACATGGGACGGGAATACGCCACCAATGCCCTTGTTGACAGCGGCTGTACCGGAAGCTGCATCAACAAATCCTTTGTACACGAGCACCAACTCAATATGGTAAAACTAGCCAAGGCGCAAGCAGTCTACAATGCAGACGGAAGTCGCAACAAAGGAGGAGATATAACCGAAGTAGTGGAACTCTGAATGACCATCGGAGATCACCACGAAAAGGTAGACCTCGCCGTCGTCAACTTAGGAAATGTAAACATGTTCCTAGGCCACGACTGGCTCAAGCGACACAACCCGATCATTGACTGGAAAACCGGAGCCGTGTCTCTAGCACAATGCTCGTGCCGTAAAATCCCTTTCTTGTTACCAGACGAAGACCCGGAGCAAAACTGGGGGACGGAGGTGGAGGAAGGAGATACCATCCTAATCATCGACTTCGAGGAAGCATTCCATGTTCGAGCCATGGGAAGTAAAGCCAACGAGCTGGCAGCCAAAGCCAATCAAGCCAAGGAAGCAAAAACGTTCGAAGAGATGGTCCCCGAAGCATACCAGGACTTTCAGGACATATTTGCGAAAGAAAACTTTGACGAACTGCCACCCCGCAAACCATGGGACCACGCAATCGAATTGGTACCCAATGCAAATGCCAGTCTAGACTGCAAAGTCTACCCCCTCAACCCCAATGAACAAGAAGAGTTAGACAAGTTCCTAGACGAGAACTTGGAATCGGGAAGAATCCATCCATCCAAATCCCCGATGGCCTCTCCATTTTTCTTTGTCAAAAAGAAGGATGGAAAGCTTCGCCCTGTACAAGATTATCGCAAGCTGAATGAGATGACCATCAAAAACTGATACCTGCTCCCGCTCATCGGCGAGCTGATGGATCAACTCAAAGATGCCAAGTACTTCACCAAGCTGGATGTGAGGTGGGGATACAATAACGTACGAATAAAAGATGGAGACGAGTGGAAGGCGGCTTTCCGCACCAATCGAGGACTGTTTGAACCAATGGTGATGTTCTTTGGACTCACCAACTCCCCGGCCACCTTCCAATGGATGATGAACGACTTGTTTAAGGAGCAGATTGCACGAGGAGACGTCACTGTGTACCTAGACGACATCCTCATCTGCACCAAAGACAAGGACAGACATCAAGCCATTGTACGAGAAGTATTGGCCATTCTTCGTGCCAACAACCTATTCCTAAAAGCGGAAAAATGTGAATTTGAGGTACTAGAAACCGAGTACCTCGGAGTAATCATTAGTCAAGGATTGATCCGCATGGACCCCGTGAAGGTCAAAGGAATCACGGAGTGGCCGCAACCGACGAAGAAAGGGGAACTACAATCTTTCCTGGGCTTTACCAACTTTTACCGAAGGTTCATCCGAGATTATAGCAAACACGTACGACCTCTAACCCAACTCACGGGGAAGACCGAGTGGACATGGGGAGCAGCCCAGAAACACGCATTCGAAGAAATCAAAAGGAAGCTAGCAGAAGAGGTAGTACTGGCGATACCCACCAGAACTGGAAAGTATCGCGTGGAGGCAGATGCAAGCGAAGGAGCGGTAGGGGCAGTCCTATCCCAGGAACAGGAAGGAAAATGAAGACCGGTAGCGTTCCTGTCCAAGGCCCTAACCGTCACGGAACGAAATTATGAGATATACGACAAGGAACTCCTAGCCATCATGCTGGCACTGGAAGATTGGAGGCACTACCTTATGGGGGCCCATCAAGACTTTGAGATCTGGACGGATCACCAGAACCTCCAATACTTCCGAAAGCCACAAAAGCTCAACCGTCGCCAGGCTAGATGGGTAACCGAACTCGCTGAATATCAGTTCACCCTCCATCACAAACCAGGTACCGCCAACAAGAAAGCGGACCTGTTATCTTGTAGAGCAGACCACGACCAAGGAGGAGACAACAATCGAGAGGTAATAGTGCTCAAACCCGAACACTTTCGTGCCCTCATCATGCCAGGAGTGGAAGAGATACACAAGAAGATCCGAACGGCACTAAGAGATGTTTCCAAATGGGACAAAGGGATAGAAGCGTCCCTACATCACCCTCGCGGCGTAACTCAGGAGGACGGACTAATGTACTACGACGCCCGCCTCTACGTACCCCGTGATGCCAAGTTACGAGGAGAACTGATTGTGTACCACCACGATCACATCACTGCAGGACATCCCGGGATTGAAAAAACCAAGGAACTCGTACAAAGAGAGTACTGGTGGCCCAAGCTCAAAGCCAATGTGGAAAGATACGTCAAAGGATGCGAAGCATGCCAGCGAACCAAGACCAACACCCAGAGGAAGCGGGCCCCTCTACATCCTCATGCCGTACCCACCAGACCATGGGAACACATCACCATAGACATGATAGGCGAGTTACCAGATTCCAATGGGTACAACGCCATACTAGTGATTGTGGACCGATTTTCAAAAGAAGTCATCCCAGTACCATGCTCCACCGAGCTGACCTCCACCGGGTGGGCCAGAATTCTCCGAGATCACGTATGGGCAAAACATGGCATGCCGCAGAAGATAATATCTGATCGCGGCCCACAATTCGTATCCAAGTTCATGAAGGAGCTGTATGAAATGTTGAACATTCAGGGGAACCCCTCTACCGCATATCATCCCCAGACCGACGGACAGACGGAGAGAGCCAACCAGGAGATCGAAAAATATCTCCGAATCTTCATCAACCATAGGCAAAACGATTGGAGCGAATGGTTGCCACTCGCCGCGTTTCAACACAACAACCGAAAGCATTCGGCCACCGGGTACTCCCCTTTCGAGATAAACCACGGACAGAAACCTCATCTCGCACCCCTTACAATCAAAGAGGGAACCAACCCGGCGGCCCGAGACTTCGTTGCGGACATACAAAAAATACATGAGCAAACAGCCCTAGCCCTGGAGAAAGCAGCAGAAGCAATGAAACGGCAGTACGACAAACACCAGAAGCCGGCCAGGGAATACCAACCAGGCGACAAAGTCTGGTTAGATTCCACCAACTTACACCTCCCCCGTCCCATGAAGAAACTCGGAGACAAACGCGTAGGACCTTTTGAAATTGTATCCAAAAAGGGGATTTCTGCCTACGAGCTAAAATTACCCCCCGCTTGGAAAATTCACAATCGGTTCAACGAGACACTTCTTACTCCGTATCATCCACTGGAATTTCCAAACCAAGAACAACCTACAGCACCACCGCCGGATCTGATAGACGGACAAGAACAATACGAAGTAGAAGAAATAGTAGACCGCCGAGAACGTACAACAGGAAAAGGCAGGCGAAAACGCACAAGGACCGAGTACCTCATCAAGTGGAAAGGATATCCACGGGAGGAAAACTCCTGGGTAAATGAAAAGGAACTCGACAACGCCAGGGAGGTGATAGAAGACTACAAACAAGTCTCCTTCATCACACCGCCCCCAGCGGATTGGTGGGAGGACAAGGACGAATCCGACTCTTGGTCAGAAACCGAGTCCATAACCGAGTCGGAAGTCGATCATCCCCTGGTACAAGCAATACAAGAGTACCTGATCAAACCAAATCCCGAGACACTAGTAGGCGCCTACCTACCAAAGTCAAGCCGTATCGCAGTCGGGACGACTGCCTTAACAGGGGGGTAATATTACGATTTCGCGCTTTATCTTATCTTATCGAACTCATCGTAATCCTGCTATGCTAACTTTCCGACTCTGATCGCATTATACCATGTTGGTACCGTGTGCTTACCGCACCGTTACAGACTCTTGTAGTATATTTAGAACAGTCCAAACTGTATTTAAGTAGCTCGACTGCAGGTCTTACACCTCAGTCTTGAACTAAAGTTTATTCACCCGATAACTTAGTCTGAACTCACTCTCGCTCACTAAGCGATAGCTCCCTGCACATAAACCTGCGAGCAACATAAGGCGCCTGACCGAAGTGCGAGTCACACCTAGTTGTTTGATCTTGTTTGTGTAATCGGTCGCTAACAAACACCTCACAAATATCATGCAACAATTTGCAGCCTATCATCGAAACTTCATCAACAAACAAATAATCGACACCTTGCCACATGGTTATCAAGTCAGTGGTCGTCTTTGTTGGCCTTCCCCTCCAGGGATGCTGGGAGAGCATTAGTAGTGCGTGCAATGTCGATCCTGATATATTTTTAGCTGCAACACCAGTGAATGACGACAACCTGAAACATCTCTCTTGCTGGCGACGAGCAAAAAAATCAGTCAAGGCTTTGATCACAGTGGATTTACCTGTACCACCAGGTCCACCCAAAAACATGTGCAGCTGATCTGGGCGATTCTGCAAACTATGCTCAGCTACAATAAAGAAAGCCCACCTCTGTTCTTTATTCAGATTATATTCCGACGTGATGCTTTCCAAATCAACATCATGGTCTGGATTACACGCTTCAACATCCTGTCTCATTTCAGTGCCCGCGAGTGGAACAGACTCGTAATCATCGGTGTCTCTCATATCCTGACCATCCGAAATATCTGCGCCTAAATCTGACTCACCGATACCTCGCCCGGAATCTCCATTGCCTTGTCTGTCAACTTCCATGGCTAATTGGTTTTTATGACGCCAATCAGAGCGACGCTGCTCATACGTCTTTTCCCAAATCCGCTCCTCGGGCGGTTGTATACTGGTCACTAACTCGCAGGCGTCAGACGGAAATTCTGCACTCTCATGATGTTCAGTTGACTGGCTAGGCAAAGAAAATAGCCCCGCATTAGCAAGGGCGTTCAAGCACTGATTAACCCCTTGTTCACGATGCTCTACTCTCTGAGTCCTTTTAGTATCAATGGTATCCAAATGGTCAAGGATATCTGTCTGTATATCTCCTTCTCCACTAAAGTCATCGTCAATTTCCTGTCGACGCGCATGGACCGAATCTGTATTTAGAGCAGCTTTTCGCCTCCGCTCCTCAAAATGATCATTCCGACTATCTCTACATTCATGCAACATCTGCATATTATCCATCTGATCATTCCACCAAGGATGTTCTTCACAAAACAATGAAAAAACCTCTGACCAACTTAACCCAGATACTCGTAGGTCTTTCCCGTGTTTCCACGGCTTGAAAAAAATTAACATCAACCTACAGTACCTTTGATACATGCTTGACCTGTCTCTCCTAGGAAGACTTCCTCCCCATGGAATGGGGACCAATTTTTTACTCTCTGGTAAAAGAACTTGGGTATGTGTTTGAAGCTCTTTGTGTGGCCATTCAAAGGGCACATGTACGACATCTTCAATATTATCGTCTCCTTCATCGTCGACACAGTCATCGTCTTCATGATCATTACGGCTCTTTCGTTTTAAACTGGCCTTCATAACCTTCCACACTCGAGACACGTACTCCCATACAGACATGTGACCTAACTCCGATCCTCTGTGTATATAATCCTCAACCAATGACGATCTAGCTACCAAGGAACCACTGCGATTTTCAGAAATATAAACATCCTCATTTTCATCCAGAACAAACAAGCCATCAACATCCTCCTCGTCGGGTCCAATACCATTCTGCTCGTCGGCACCACTCACATCCTCAACAGCATTTTCTGTTGCACCACTCCTCGCAGTATCGTCATCTAACAGGGAGTCACCCCCTTCACAAGCAACACCCTCACCACTTCCCATCCTTGCTTTGGTATTGCATTCAGGAGACAGATCCATGGTATCAACTGCCTTCTCGAAATTAGCCCAGTAAACATTGCGAAACAAATGGCTGGTGTAATGATCCTGGAATCCGGAAAGATACATGGCAACCTCTTGTCCTGACAACTCCTGCTTTGATATCATGGAGTATGCGCACCTTTGCAGCAAACACTTCGCTCGGATAGTCACACTATCCTCGTTCAGATCGAATTGTCCCGGCTTCTTTACTGATAACTCTAAAGCTGCGTAAGCCACATTAGCCTTCAATCTAGACTTCGTAATATAATCTGTGATATAGTATAGCACAGCTTTCGTGGATGCACCTGACCCTATGAATTTTATATCCATGTTACATCGAATACTCCTAATCATCGTCTCATTGAAATTGTTGACCCACCCATCAAGCCGTTGCAGGTGAATTTCTCCGGTTTCACGATTGACGATTGTTTCTGGATGTCGCTTGTCCTCGCCAAGTTCAAAATGACACTCCAGAGACGTCCCCTTACAATACTTATAGCATGTATTGGAATGTTTGTGCAACTGAGACTTCACTACCAGGTTTCGAAAATCTTGTTGAATTGTATGATCACGCATATCCGACAGAACTGAATTCTGGATGCCTCGGACAGAACTCAGGTGATACTTTGACGAAGGTACCTTAACTCTGACTGGCGGGGGATCCGGTATGCATGTAGAAATGGTATCGTCCAAAAATTCCACAAGTCTCTTCCTAAACTCATTTTCATCGTCTTTCATTACACAATCCCTGATTTTATTGGGATTCAAACCACCTTCAACCCATACGAGCATGTGGCAGTGAAGAGTACCTCTGCCTTGGGCTTCAACACATCCATAATAAGCTTGTACCACACCAAGCGCACCACCCTCCAGATCTACATTGTCGGGATCATAACCCAAAACAGTCTTGATAAAGGTCTTCATATAAATATCAAAAAATTTCGCTGCTATAAACGGATTCTTAGACACCAACAAACTCTGTTGCCTGTATCCAGACATCTGAGACGGTAGTATGTTATCCACATCGATCTCATCACCCGCAAGGAAACGAACCACTGGGTTGAACACATCCACAGGATTTATAGTGATATAGAAACTAGGCATGCCCTTTTCAAACATCAAACCACGGATTTCATTTCTCATCCCAGATTTCGAAGAAGAAGAGGCTGCAACATGAGAAGTCACTGCTCTCACTTCATTCATAAGGGTGAGCACTCGTTTCTCTTCTGGAGAATACGAACTCTTATAATCACCACAGGAAATACATTCGAGCACAATATGAACCGCTTCCGGTGACACATCTGCAAAACGAGATGCCACAGATGGAAATGCCTTACGTTTAACCTTTAACCCTGTATGCAAAAGCATTGCTCGGCATTGGAGCATGTTAAACACGGAAAAAAGAAACGAATGATGTTCCTGAAACCGTCTATCTTGAAGACGGAAAAGATGCTTCACTCCCCTCTCAAAAGAAACAACCTGAGTACGACCCCTGTCCTCCAAACCACCGACGCCATATGTGTAAGCCACTAACTCTATCGACTTAGATCGTGTTAGGGTCGCTACTCGCACTTTGGTAGACGACGCTCTAACAGGCCAAAGGCGATGAAAGTCGATGGGACAAGTAGTCACGAAGAACGGAGTTCAAGTTAGGTAGAATAAACCTTAGCCGAAGCTGGGGTTCAGACCAGCTGAGGCTCTACTTAAATACACGTGAGTATTCTAAAAATACTACTGCGCAGTCAGTCCGTGATGATCGTGCACCGCGTAATCCGGCTGACTAAAGAAAAAGAAAAGAAAAGAAAAGAAAAAAGAAAAAGGAAAAGAATAACCGTAACATTACCCCCTCCTTAAGACTCATTCGTCCCGAATGAGAATATGTCTCCTTCCTTCCACACAAGCGAGTTGAGGGGCTCCCTTCTGCTTTAAAACAGGATCGATTGGGCCTCCGCTACACCTGAAAAGAGTCACTCCGTGTGTTCGGCTTCCGACCCGCTCTCCCCCTGGACTCTGGCATCCGTTAGAGAACCAGAGCCACCTTGCGCCGGTTAGGCCTCAACTGTCTGTTGGGATCCGCGATCCCTAAGGGTTCAATGCTCGTAATTGAGCGGTGGAAATCCCCTTCTACACCGTGAGCGTCGTTACGCTTAATTTTCGTTCGTGGAGAGTGAATTATTGGAACAGGCGTCGTCACTGGAAGCCGAATGGTTTGATTCCGAATAGAAAGACCAGGTATCATCGTCGGTGTCTTCCTCGTCGTTGGTATCTGAATCCCAATTTTCTCGTATGCGTCCTAGGTTCTTTAGATTTACCTCCTCTTCTTCGTCTGGACGGTCATCGGAGAAATGAATAATGTCGACGACCTCGGAAGAGGCATGGGAATTCTGTTGAGTATCGGAATGTTTTGGATTCGTACACTCGGACGAGTAAACCGTTTCAATATCAGTGACACACGGGGTGTCCGGGTCATGGTATTTGACTGGCAGATTACGAGGGATTTTGTCATCGAACCCAATAGTCTTCCCGTTCTCGTTTACTGTCCACACGATTTTCTGGATTCGTGCTTCATAGTCGTTGACAAGTTTCTCGGCATTAGCCATGTCGGACCGCTTTACCCAGGAGTTTTCCTCCATCGGGTATCCTTTCCATTTTACCAAGTACTCGGTAATGGTACGGCGGGTGCGTCCTCGGCCAACGACGCGGTCTCTCTCTCCCACGATTTCTTCTATCTCGTATTCTTCTTCATCGTCAATGAGTTCTGGGGGTGGCCGTTCCGGACGTGGTTGATTGGGAAATTCTGGAGCGTGGTACGGGGTGAGTAACGACTCGTTAAATCGGTTATGGATACGCCATTTAGCGGGGAGTTTCAGCTCGTATGCTGACGCTCCTTTCATGGCCACGATTGTGAATGGTCCTACTCGCCTGTCCCCTAGCTTCTTCGTTGGACGAGGAAGGTTTAGGTTGGTGGCGTCCAGCCACACCTTGTCGCCGATTTGGTATTGTATTGACTCCCCTTTTCGCTTGTCATAAGCTTTTTTCATCAAGGCGGCGGCTCGTTCAAGGGACTCCCTTGCCTTCTCTTGTATCTCCTTGATGCCTTGGACCAACTTGGAGGCGGCTGGAACCGTGTCTGGGCGTTGAACGGTTTTGATTACTTGTCCGTCGCACCCAAAGACTACTTTATACGGGGAGAAGCCCGTGGCGGAGTGCTGCCGATTGTTGTGAGTGAAGGCCACGAGCGGTAGCCACTCGCTCCAGTCGTCCTGGTGATAGCTGACGAACATCTTCAGATACTTCTCAATTTCCTGATTAACTCTTTCGGTTTGTCCGTCGGTCTGCGGGTGGTAGGCGGTCGAGGGGTTCCCTTCAACCTGAACGAGAGCGTAAAACTCCTTCATGAATTTGGATACAAATACGGCTCCTCTGTCGGAGATGACTTTTTCGGGCATCACCCCGTACGGTACGTAAATGTAGTCTCGCAGGATCTTGGCGAACCCAAGGGATGATAACTCCTCGGTGCACGCTATGGGAATGATGGTTTTAGAAAACCTGTCGACGAGGACGAGGATTGAATTGTTGCCTTTGGAGTCCGGGAGCTTAGTGATCATGTCGACCGAAATATGTGTCCATGGTCGGTCCGGGACCTCGTTCGGGTGAAGTGGTGCTTTCTTGGGGCGACGATCTGCCTTCGTCCGTTGACAGACTTCGCATCCTTTCACATATGCCTCCACTTCAGAGCGCATTCTGGGCCACCAATAGTCTCGAAGAATGAGCTCCTTTGTCTTTTCTATCCCTGGGTGTCTGGCGTTTGCGTGATCATGCCGTAGGGCAATGACTTCACCTCGGAGTCGTCTGTCTCGGGGTACATAAATGCGCCCGTCGTACCACAGTAACCCCTGTTCTCGAGAAATTCCTTTCTCATGATTAAGGGAATCCGAGATCCCCCGATCCCATTTACGAAGATCATGAGTAGCGAGTTTGATCTTCTCATGTAATTCCTCTGCTGTAGGCATAACGAGGGCTCAGAAGTGAGCCGGCTTGAGGACTATAATATCCTCGTTGTCCTGCTTCCCTTGGTCATGGTCCGCTCGTCTAGAAAGTAGGTCCGCTTTGCGATTCTGCACTCCTGGTTTATGGTGCAGGGTAAACTGATACTCGGCCAGCTCAGTTACCCATCGGGCTTGTCGTCGGTTGAGTTTCTGAGGTTTACGGAAGTACTGGAGATTGGAGTGGTCCGTCCAAATCTCGAAGTCTTCCCGAGCGCCCATTAGGTATTGTCGCCACTCTTCCAGCGCGAGCATAATAGCGAGGAGCTCTTTGTCGTAGATCTCGTAATTACGCTCCGTGACGGACAGTGCCTTGGATAGAAATGCGACTGGTCGCCACTTCTCCTCTTGCCACTGGGACAGTACGGCTCCTATGGCTCCTTCGCTGGAGTCCGCCTCCACTCTAAACCTTCCCTCGTCGAGGGGAATGGCCAACACCACATCCTCGCGGAAAAGTTCTTTGAGGTTCTTGAACGCCTCTTGTTGGGCCCTACCCCACTTCCACTCCACCTTTCCCGTGAGTGTAGTAAGGGGCTTGACGTGTTTACTGTAGTCGTGAATAAACCGTCGATAAAAGTTACAAAAGCCCAGAAACGACTGGAGCTCCTGTTTTTTGGCGGGCACCGGCCAATCTAGTAACCCGGAGATTTTAACCGGGTCCATACGAATCCTCCCTTCGCTAATGAGAACGCCCAAGTACTCTGTCTCCTCTACCTCGAATTCGCACTTCTCCGCCTTGAGGAATAGTTTGTTCTGGCGAAGAATCCGTAGCACTTCCCGTACGATACGTCGGTGCTCCTTCTTGGTCTTCGACGCAATGAGTATGTCGTCGAGATAGACTGATACCTCCCCGGCGGTAATGAGATCCTTAAAAATGTCATTCATCATCCACTGGAAAGTAGCGGGGGAGTTAGTGAGACCGAAGAACATTACAAGGGGTTCGTAGAGGCCCCGATTGGTTCGAAAAGCGGCCTTCCATTCGTCCCCTTGCTTTATCCTGACGTTATTGTACCCCCACCGTACGTCCAGCTTGGTGAAATATTTGGCTTGCTTCAGCCGATCCATCAATTCCCCGATAAGAGGCAACGGGTACCTATTCTTGATAGTCATCTCGTTGAGTTTTCGATAGTCCTGGACTGGGCGCAGCTTACCGTCCTTCTTTTTGACGAAGAAGAATGGCGATGCCATGGGGGATTTGGATGGTTGGATACGCCCGGTAGATAGGTTCTCATCAAGGAACTTATCTAACTCCTCCTGCTCTACGGGATTAAGAGGATAGACTTTACAGTCCAAGTTGGCGTTGGCGTTAGGGATCAGTTCAATAGCATGATCCCACGGCTTTCGCGGCGGTAACTCGTCGAAGTTTTCCTTAGCGAATACATCCTCAAACTCCCTATACTCCTCGGGTACTATTTCTTCGAAAGACTTGGTGGTTTTGCGAGCATTGGCCTGGGCGGCTAGTTCATTGGCTTTAGTCCCCATGGCCCGTACGTGGAATGCTTCTTCGAAGTCGATTACTAAAATAGTGTCCCCTTCTTCGTACTCTTCCCATCGGGATGTTGGGTCCGTATCAGGGAGTGAAAAGGGGATTTTTCGACAGGCGCAGCGGGCTAGAGTAACAGCCCCGGTATCCCAGTCTATCAACGGGTTGTGCCTTTGTAGCCAGTCGTGCCCGAGGAAGAGAGGAGTGGATCCTAAGTCCACTACGGCTAGTTCGATTCGTTCCACGTGGTCCCCTATGCGAAGCCGCACTTCGGCATATTCGGTGATGTCACCGCCCTTGTTTCGGGTGCCATCCGCATTATAGACGGGAACTGGTCGGGCCGCCTTTTTGAGATTAAGGGCGTGATTTTGAGCCCAGGTACGATCTATAGAGCTGCCCGTGGCTCCGCTGTCCACTAGCGCTTTTACGGAGTGTGCGTCTCGGGTATCTAACGTCTCCAATTGCACGGTAATTGATACATTGCGCCCTTTCCTCCCTCGTATGTACATGGGCGGCTTGGTGAGATCCCTCAACCATTCCCACCTGTCCCTGGCTTCCGTAGCAGTCTCGGGTTGCTCTTTAAGTTCTTCCCACAACTCCGCCGACACTTCCCCTACGCGTCGGGGGTGTATCCATCAGTTTAGGATGGCATACGCGGCCGCCTCGTTGGTGGCGAGTCGCAGCGCTCTTCGGGTCCAGTGCGGCCCGAAGGGTTCGTAGTACATGTCGCGAACGGGAGTCCGCTTCGCTGGTGATGACTTCGGATCTGGGAGTCTGGGGGACTTTCTTGTCGGTAGTCGGACCGGAATGTCGGACCGCAGGTGAGCTTCTTCGTCCTCTACTTCTTCCAATAAGACCGATGGGGTCTTCCCTCGAAGTGGCATTTGGTCACCGGGACGAGAAAGGTCCCGAGGCGGCACTTGGGCGCCCTTGGTAGTCAAGGTGGTGGAGGAGGGCTCTCTGCCCTGTGTTCGGCCCTGGCCATGGGCGCTTGTGCGCGGCGTTGTAACCTCCACGGTTGTCCTAGACTTACTGCTCTCCTCAGACCCGGCGGTACTTCGGGTAGCCCTTCGCGAGCGCACACATATCGGCTCTCCCTCGGGGTCCGCACCGTTTGCCGCAGCATTGTCCTTGGCTACTAAGTGCGGGTGGTCCCTCGGGTTCACAGCCTCAGCTGCTTTCTCGACGTCTCCCGCTAGAACAGACGGCCCCACAAACGAGGACGCAGGCCCAGCGGGCTGGGCTGTCGGCCTTTCTCCCACTCCGGGGTGACCTCCCTTCGTCAAGGGTGCAGTCAGGACTCGACCTAGGGGGCTCTGCCCTCGAGGGGCTTTCCCTGTGCGGTGAGCCGGGGGTTCCTGAGCTCGGACGGCCCCTAGGGGTTCAGTACTGAGCGCAGACTGCGCGGAGTGGCGGAAATCCCCTCCTACGCCGTTGGGGTTTTGCGATTCCTCATCCTTAGTTTCTTCGATTGGTAACGCGGCAAAAAAGTTCGTGTATTGTTCATATGGAGTACCTACATACGTAGTATAAGTCCGACTAGAGTTACAAGAGTGCGCACCAGTAGAAACTAAGTCCTTAGCCGACGCCGTCAAATCGCTTATTTCGACGCCGGCTCGTCTTTTGACGACTTCTCCTTGTCGCCCTTGACCTCTTCAACCTTTGTAGTGGGGGCCAATTCTTCCTTCTCAGCGTCTGCGAGTAATTGGCGAAGGCGGGCGACGTTGGGCTTCTTGCGAGGGGGAAGTTTGACGGGGAGCCACTTCGATTTGTCCTCGGGACATTTATGCTTTGGGCTCCACCCCGTGTTCCCACACTTGAAGCACCGCTTGTCGGACCGCAGCTTGTCGATCTCCATTGGCTGCCCGACGCCCCCATACGTGGTTCCTGTGGCGTCCTTCTTATCGCCACCGGAGCCGCTTCCCTTTGATTGGTTGCCTCGACCCGAACCACCTTGGTTCGGGGAGGTCTTACTGGCGAGGCCTTGGGCCACGTCGTACCTATAGTTGGCGTCGATCCTTAGGACTCGCGCCTTCCACTGTGCGTAGGTGGTGGGACGTTCGTTGTCCCCATGCATCACCGTCTTGCGCACTGTCTGCCTTATCGCCGCTTCGACCGCTTCGAACATCTGCTTCTCGTCTCCGAACTCACCGCACTTGTGGGCCAGCCTCTCGAACTTCGCGAAGAACTCGACTGCGCTCTTGAAGTCCGATTGGCGGACCTTCTTCCATTCCGCCTTCCAGATGGCGACTTCCGCTACTTCTCGGAATTCTTGCGTGATGTCGCGAGAGAATTCCACCCAAGTGGGGAATCTCCAATGCCCCTGGTCGTCCCAATAGCGATAGTACTGGTCGCCCCACCATTGCTTTGCCCTTTCTCGTAGGTACCCTTGCGTGAACGTGATGCGGTAGGGGTTTTGTCCTTGGTCGTTCATGGTGAAATGCAACGGGAAAACTTGAAAATACATTTCACAGTGGTGGAGGAATCGATTGATGTCCTCCGACTCCCCTGTGAAGTATTCGGGCTGAGTGATCAGCTTGGGTTTGACGTCACTCCAGGGGTTATTATCTTTTCCTGCCGCCAGAGCCCACGGTGGTATGGGGTCCGGGGGTGACGGCATAGGAGGCGGTACCGGGGGGTTCGGTGGTCGCGGAAGCGACCGTAGACGATAATTGTCCCCAGGCGGGGGATAGTCGCCTGGGTATATGGGTTTCCGTGGCGGTTGCATCGGTGGTCGTGGCGGAACGGTGGACTGTTTCCCCTTGTCCGAGGGCCCAGCTCCTGGGTCGTCCATGTCGTCGTCGTCGTCAGGACCGGCCCCAGCCCAAAACTCTTCGGTTTCGAGCGGATTGGGCATTGGTTGGGGGCGACGATAAGGCTCGCACCCCCGCTGAGGCATGTCCGGGTTCATCATGTTCCAGATGATGGCAGCCCGATGCCATGTTTCTACTTCGAGTATATTTTTCATGAGGTAGACGTCCCCCATGCTTTTCGCGGCTTGATAGTCGACCCCCGCGTCAGTGAATAGCCACTGGGGGTCCTTTTCCATGTGTTCCATGATTATCTCATATAGTCCGTGCCAGGGGAGAATGTTAAATATGTCCGGTCGTGGCGTCGGACCCCGTAGCATGACCTGAGTCACTGCTGCCATCACCGTCGGTTCGAGGGCCTGGTTGGGCGGACGACTCGGCATCCTTGGCCTCCTGCCTCTCTCGGGCGAGTCGGTCAATTTCTCTATTCCGCCTCCACCTCCCGATGTCGGAGTCCTCATTGGAGATCTCCTCCTGATAGACTCTCCAAGCTCGGGCTCTGGCCTCGAGGTCGGTTCCCGCCCTTCGGGCATATCCTGTGTAGCGGATGGCGGCGGCCCGGATTCGGTTGTCCACCTCGGCGGGGGTGGCGTCGGGCTCGAGGGGGAGGTCCCAGAAGCCATTGGGCCCGTAGAGGGCGTCCTCCTCGGCGCGTCGGATGCGTGCATCGTGCACTCGGCCTCGGTCCATTCTGGCCTGGATTTCTGGGGACTCCCAGGCATCTCGAGGGAGTCGGAGGGACTCGACGTACATGTGATAGAGGAGCGGCCACGGACGCTGTGATGGAGGGACGGGATCGGCGAAGGCTCGCGACGCGACAGACGGTTCCCAGTTGCTGACTCCGGCGAGTCGCTCGGCAGAGGTAACTGCTCCAAGTTCCTCGGAGTCATAATTTGGGAACTCGCCCCAAAGCTCCCCATCCGTCGGCTCGTGCGAGGGGACGGGGGAAGGGAGTACTGGGGCCTCGGACCCCTCAGAGATCGGGTCGGGCTCTCCCCTGGTCGACTCTCCGGCCACAGGAGCCTCTTCCCCGTCGTCGGCGTAGACCCAACTGGTGTCGGGGTACCAGGCGACCGGGGGTCCTCTATCGGTTGGCCAGGCCCTTGGAACAGGCTGTGGCTGAGCTGGACGGGTGGTAGCCGCGGAGGCTCCAAGGCCAAGCTCTCCGGGATCGTCGTAGAAGTCGTCTCGGCGACTCCTGTTGCGCGCCATTCTTGCGCGATCTCTTGCATTGTCGGCCGCGATCCTCCTGTCGCGGACCTCCTCCCATGTTCCTTTGTGTCCCCACCCTGAGTGGGTTCTCCCACTCGAAGAGCCTCCAGTATCGGTGGCATCTTCCTCCTCACTCGAGTAGAGGTCGTTGAGGAGGTCGTCGAGTCGGGTCCTTTCCCACTCGGTGAGCTCGTCCCCTTCGAACTCGGTGTCAGGGCTTTCTTCGCCCTCGACCAGATTCCTGGTGCCTTGTCCTCTGCTTCCATCGTCGCCAGACTCACCTTGGACTGGAGACTTGTCGAAGAGACCTGGTAAGGGCGAGTCTCCTCTGTCGAGGAATACCCCCCAGGTATCGGTGATGTCGACGGAGTCTGCTGGTGCGCTGGAAGCGCTTCTGTAGGAGTCGGTGCTCGACTCTGAGGATCGCGAGCTGGGTCGCGACGATGTGTATAGGGACTCTCCAGGTCCCCCGGAGGCGTTGGACTCGACATCTCCTATCGTCTGTTGGGAGGCCGAGGGTATGTCGATTACCGGTGGTGGGTACGCCGGTGCGCTGGGAATATAGTGGAACGGAAGTTGCGCGCGGACTCGTCTCCGCTGGCAGCAACGGTGAAGCTGGTACAAAGTAATGGAGCAGAAAAAGAGTATGAAAGTCGCGAAGACGGCGAGAATGGATTCGGACCAGGGCATCCGTCAGTGAATCGATCCTTGGCGTAAGTCGACGATTGACCATGCAAGCTGGTATACAGCGAGGATGGTGAGGACAATGAGAAGAGCGATAATCAAGCTAAGGTCGGACTCGTAGTTGGATCCGCTCATTAACTGGACTTCGCAGGTTTCGTCGGAGGGAGAGCTCGTCACTATCAACAATGCGATTGTCAATAGGGACGCGAGCTGGAGGGCGAGGATGAAGGGTTTAATGTTTTTAGAAATGGCGTAGAAATCCGACCCAGAGTAGCAGGAGGAATCCTGCAAACACTGGAGATGGGACGTATACGCAGGCGAGGAACACTCGGAGGATGGTTACGACAACCAATCCTAGAGGGTCGTTCAAGAGGAATTGCAGCACGGAAAGTGCCACAACGGTGAAGAGAATGAAAGGAAATATGTTGGGCAACGACACGTCGTTGGGCAACTAAAGACGAGCTTCGGCTAAATGTAAGCCACTAACTCTATCGACTTAGATCGTGTTAGGGTCGCTACTCGCACTTTGGTAGACGACGCTCTAACAGGCCAAAGGCGATGAAAGTCGATGGGACAAGTAGTCACGAAGAACGGAGTTCAAGTTAGGTAGAATAAACCTTAGCCGAAGCTGGGGTTCAGACCAGCTGAGGCTCTACTTAAATACACGTGAGTATTCTAAAAATACTACTGCGCAGTCAGTCCGTGATGATCGTGCACCGCGTAATCCGGCTGACTAAAGAAAAAGAAAAGAAAAGAAAAGAAAAAAGAAAAAGGAAAAGAATAACCGTAACAATATGGAAATAAAGTCGGATACATCTTTGGGAGCAAAGTCGGATTGTTGAACTCGTTACTCGGATCTGGATCATGCGGAAAACGAACATACCCGAGGCCATTCTTCTTTACGTGATTCCACGCAGCAAGTTTCAGGTCAGCATACGACGCGTCACCATCCATGTCAGAAATAACGACGTTCTGAAAAGGGACTTTGTCTACAGGAATGGCTTGCGTATCGGGCGCTTCATTTTCTTCAGGATGCTGGTTGTCATATCGAGACGTCGAATCCAAAGTAGCTTTTGTTGGTATAATATGCTGGATGTGTATAGGCAATACGGGATCTTCATCCAATCGTTCCAATACCTCCTCGTTCAAATGAATGTCTTTATACAAAGGATTATTAGCACGCAACCAATTCAATGCTCGACGAACACGACCACCATTCACCCAAAGAGGCTTAGCTTTATCTCGCAGCCATTCCTTGGACGGAAGCTTAGAACCAACGAAAATTACACACAAGGGTGAAGTAATCTCTTCAACACTCGGGGGCAGCATCTCAGCAATATTACCAGGCCTCTGTGGATACACGATCATATGCCCCTCAACACCACGCTGATAAACCGTACCTTTAGAATCAGTCTCTCCCTCGTCTTTTAACTGAACCACGAGACATTTTGTACAACACAGAGCCACCATGGACTCTTCTATAACAGTAAATGAAGATAATTCATCCGGGATTGGACCATAATAATTCATATTCGCCGTTGACAAGGGCGGCATTTTACCTTTCTTGAGACTAGTCTTACAAGACTTACACAACAAAAGCTTAGGCGGTTCTGCAGTCGCATCATCCACGATGCCATCCGGATGCAATAACGCACCACCCCACGATTTGTGCCCTTCAAATCTCGGAATATCATCAATCGGTCGACACGGTCTAAGAAGCTCTAGATTGATGTTGCTAAAAGCAACAAGTTGTTTACTAGTACAAAAATGTTCTTCGCCACAGGATGCACAAGTAAATCGAGCCAACGCTTGAGAACTAGTTTGTTCTTGGAACAGACGAATGATCCTCTCCTTGAGATCTCGAGGAGGAATGTGAGGCCAGGTATCCCTGATTTCTAACAGCTTCTCATTCCTTTCCCGTTCCAATCGCTGCTTAGCTTTATCCCGAAACGCACGACGTTGTTCGTTCACGAAGTCGTTACTGTGCCTGTCCTCCCACGTTCCGACCACACTATGCAACGCAACATCCTTCCCCTTCTCAATCCGACAGATGTGTCTCTGTAACTCCAATCTAAGCTGCCCCACTGATGACTTGTGTTCAAACGGAAGCCTTAGGATGGAGAGAATACACCGCAATAAATGCAAGCTCCCTTTCTTCTGCAGTGCGCATAAAAGTTGAGTCTGATAAGATATATCAGGGTAAGAAGGCGACTCGTGAGCTGTGGATGTTACGGGCTCGACAGGTGTGTGGGTACACAAACCTGACAAAAGATGCTCTAATATCAGCTGCGTTAGCACATCAACCCACGCCTTCGCATCAAACGCAAGTCCGTGAGATTTACATAGAGAAGCCAAAACAGATCGTTTAGCAGAGTCCAAGGATAACATTAAGGTGACTATACTCTCGGAAACAGAAGTCTGACGTCAGTATAGAAGTCGACGTAAATGACCTTCCAAATTCAAACAAACGGATACACTGTCAAAAATACCCGACAAAAGCTGTAAAGTCGGAAGACTACCGATCTCATTGTCGACAGAATGCGACATAACAATATCCACAACATCAATAACAAAAGCGTGCGGGGATGAATAATGCTGAGCCAATGCTACACAGGCGGGATAAGACTCGGCACGATGCTGAAGCAGACAGGCACCGGTCAATATGTGTGATGCATAGACCAAACGACACTCTTCCATCGAAAGTCCTTCACAATCCAACCCATGAGAATCAAGAATCTCATGAAACACACTCTGAGAAGACACAAATAGATGTGGTATGTGCTGCGACAAACCAAACAGAAGATCTCGCAGAAACGCCAGATGCGGTCTCTCCTCATACGGAAGGTTTAGACTGCGTGAAAAATCGGTAGCATAATCATTTTCATCTTTGGCATCGAAGGGCAGTGGATCAGACTCAACAGGAGCTATCGTAGCTGGGTTCCGCGGTGGAAAAGAACATCGTACATTGTCGGAATCGGGACAACGAGACATAGAATGAGACGAGGAATAAAAAGAGGCTGATGTCATCAACAATACAGCAACACCTAGAGCAAAACAAAAACTCACCAGGCAAATTTATTACATCATCCAAAAATAGTCCCCCAGAAAGAACGATATCTTTATCAGGATCATCTATCCACGAATCAGAAGACAAAACACGCGTTCCCAGGAGAATTGTAGTCACCATGCAGGAAACAACAAGGCCCTCGAAACCACATCAGTAAACGAAAGCGAAATAGAGGGAAGATTTACCCATCGGATGCAAACCCGAAGGATTCAATTCACAAAGAAAGGTGAACCAGTCAGACCCAAGACAGATGTCTTCAGGAAGATCTTCGGCCACAAAGAAATCGATGAAAGATACACCACAATTACAGCCACTTTCATAGGCAGCGACAAGAAACCGATGACGAGTGCTCGGCGATATGCCCCGGGAATGGAGCAAGCGAGTAGACACGTAAGAAGAAGACGTTCGACGAAAGCGAGTCGAATGGACAACAAAACCATCCATGTTAACACTGAACATCACGAAAGACAGAAAACAAAAAAAAACATCCTTTTTTTTTCCGACACTACCCCAGCATCACAAGTAACACGAGTCACAGTAAACAAAGTGACAAACAAAGAAACTGCCACACCGAGAATCTGACTTTAACAGAAATTTATGTGTGGCGCGCCGTTCAAATTTACCACACATAGAAAGTCCGATGACATTCGGCTCGGGGAGCTGTCAAAAACTCGGCTACCATCCATCCCCTATAAGACCTTCTACTAACGTAGCAGGAATACTTTAAATTTCATCGGTGTGCGGTAGACCATGTATAATCAAGGACATACTGGAGTGACATCGAGCGTTGACTCGCATTCAGTACATGCAAACGAGGAGGAGGGGCGCAGTAACACCGTAGGGTCAACAATGGCTATTCGCAACCCTATCCTTCGCTGGTTAACGACATTGGGCTCCGGTATTATTCTTGACATTCGCGCCCGAGCACCCCATTTCGCCAGCGACTGGACCGATGCTTGGAATTATCGAGTTATTCCGGCCACAGCGTTGATATTCTTCGCCAAGTGCGTATCCAGTGTAGTCTGCCGATTGTAGAACGTTGACGGCGGTGTAGTGTTCTTCCCGGAATTGCTTTCTCTCTAGATCTTATAGAAACCACTGGACAGTATGGCGTCGCCGAAGTTCTCATCTCGTCCTTCATGGCCGCATTCATTTTTTCCGTTTTCGGTGCTCAACCCCTCACGATTGCAGGCGTCACCGGCCCCATCACGGTGTTCAACAAGACGATTTATGACATTATAGAAAGACAGGCCGATGCTCCGGTATACCTTCATTTTATAGGATGGGTTTACCTTTGGGCAGCTATCATCCATTGGGTCACCGCGATTCTCAACTGTACGTCACTAGTCGACCTCCATAAACCTTGCTCCCAACGCTGAATAGGGTGTAATTTCCTCAAATACGTTACTCTCTTTTCCTGCGATACTTTTGGCTTTTATGTCTCCTGGGTGTACCTCCAATATGGCATACAAGTCATCACGAGGCAGTTCAAGGATAGCACCTCATCCTCTGTGCAAGGGACTTTCGTCTCCATCATCCTTGCTCTACTTATGCTCGTGGTGTCTTTCTTATTCCAAATGCTCTCCGATACGACATTATTCCATCGCCATGTTCGCCGTTTCTTAGCAGACTATGGCATGCCTATCTCCTTGGTTGCAACTTCTGCCATGGCGTACTGGGGGAGGTTCAATGCTGCTAATCCGTTGACCCTGCCCATCAATGGCGCGTTCGAAGCCGCCGGTGGGCGAGAGTGGCTCGTAGCGTTCTGGCAGCTGGAAGGAAAATGGGTGGGCATCGCACTTCCATTCGGAATCGTGCTGTGGATCTTGTTCTTTTTTGACCATAATGTTTCGGTGCGACATCTCTCATAATTTACCTTGCCTGCATGACACCAATGTTCATTAGTCTCTCATGGCGCAAGGTTCCGAGTTTCCCCTCCGCAAGCCTCCCGGTTTCCATTACGATTTTTTCTTGCTGGGAGTAACGACGTTCATCGCTGGACTCATTGGTGTTCCAGCTCCGAATGGGTTGATTCCTCAAGCTCCCATTCATACGACGTCGCTGATAGTAATGGGTCGGCCGGTCAAGAAGGCTGATGAGGAAGAGCCCTACAACGAGAAGAGTCGAGCATTGTCTAATGCAGTCGAAGTGCCTGTCGCCGTTGTGGAGCAGCGAGTGTCCAACCTTGCTCAGGGCGCCCTGTGTCTCGTTCTGCTCACAGGCCCGTTCCTTCACATACTGAACCTGATTCCTCGAGGAGTTCTTGCTGGACTCTTGTGAGCATTCGACTTGACCGTGATGATCCATCTAATATGTGTAGCTGGTTCATGGGTGCAGATGCCCTTCGTGGAAATGGGATTACACAGAAAATCCTGTACTTCTTCCGGGACAAGACTTTGACTCCTCAAGACGAACCTTTGCGTAAAGTCAGAAAGTCGCGCATCCTCATGTTTGTTGCTATCCAACTTGGTGGTTTTGGGGCAACGTTTGCGATTACTCAAACGATAGGTAAGCTCTGGTCCATCTTTGTTTCTTCTCCGGTGCTAATGCCCCTCAGCTGCCATCGGATTTCCGGTGATTATCTTGCTGCTCATTCCTTTGCGCACGCTGGTCATCCCACGATTACCCTTTACAAGTGAAGAGCTAGCCATTTTGGATGGGCCAACGGCGTCTCCGTTCGTGAGTCTTTTGTAGCTCTTAGGCCCTCATCTTGTTTTAATCATGGTACAGACAATGGAGTCTGTTGGGGGTTCGCTATGAATGGTGATCATAGAAGAACATTTACTTGGGCGTCTGCAATACATCTTGCTCACCTACTCTTACTATTTAGAGCTCATTGTACAACGCAGGTAGACTATCACTATTAGAAGCTTGTGTCTCAAGTTCAGCGCCTTGTCCAATTCAGGGGAACATCCATCGATCGACATTCAGAGTATCCACTTTTCACTGAGCTTCAATTTTCAACATTCCTACTGTGACGGTTTCTTCTCGATGTGGATATTCACAACATTATGATTCATATCTCATTACCTTTCATGGCGAGATGGCCGAGCGGTTAAGGCGTGTGACTCAAGAAAATCTAAAGCGGGCTGACCGCCGGGTTGTCTTACCCTGATTAGGGTTTCTCATCATCGTATGATGGCAGGGGTTCGAGTCCCCTTCTCGTCACTCTTTTTTGGCGTCTTCCTGGTGACTCGAGTCTTAAGAAAACCTGAAGCGGGTTTCCTGCCGGGTTAACTTACCCTGACTAGGGTTTCGAGTCCCCATCTCGTCAAGCCTTTCTTTTGTTTTTCCCTTCCGTCTCCCGGATCCCCTTCCCCAAGAGTCAGGACCCAGACCTGTACCGGTTAAGGTTGCGCACGAAACCTCCAGGTAAGTTACGGTTAAAAACAGTAACGGCTTCTTATCGACCTTTCTGCGAAGGATGTTTTGATACGGTATTTTACTGTTACTTACTTACCATGCAGAAAAGGGCACATATGCAGTGCCGAATTCAATGTTTTGTTGAACTTGCCATCACATAGCGACCGGTATGTAACCTGGGTATACTATGAAAACTTAGGTTTCGTGCATAACTACTAACCCTAGTATCGATAAAGCTAGCTAGTACTAGCCACCACGTATACGCAACGCCTGACTTAATACTACAGTGGTGTCCAAGCTGGCTTTGTATAATGTAGGGACCACGGTACGATAATCCTCCAACTTGACTCATGTTCCCTAAGTTCTCTTGGGAGATTTTCAACATACTCTAAATCGTGGCAAGTCTAATCTCTGGATTGGATGGTACCTAGATTGTACAATCAATTAATGCACACCTTGTTGTTTCTTACTACGTCCCGACAATCTGCAGTTCTCTATGGGGATCTCAGGTCCCAGTCTTATCATTTTGAGAGGGCAATACCATTTGGAAGTGGTTAGACAGCACGGTGAGTCGCGCTCGGATATCTCACCGCTAGCACATAACGTCGACTTTCGTCTGTAGTCTGTGAAAAAACCGATATAACTTTACATCTTAATGTCAGACTTGAAAAGCTCAAGAAAACTTGATTAATTGCAAGAATTATATATTAAGCGCTCCGATTTCATTACAAGTGTACTTGTAGCCAAGCAGATCCAAGTCATCCAAACTGAAAGATGCCTTCAAGTTCTGTCTACATGCACGCAAGTGGCACAGCACAAAGTCAGGTTAACCTCGTGTGCGTTCCCTTGAGAAAGGTCCATTTTCTTTCCTTTTCATTGAAACGCCTGACAGCAAAAGGGAATACGCGGTTTGAATTCAAAGAGACAACAAGATATACGAAATGTCCTATAACATTCTCATTGCATCTCACACTTAGAACTGAACGTTCCAGCAAGAAGTGTCGTAGTACTTCTCGCCACTCTTATCATCATCACAATCGTCCTCCCAAGTCGAAATGTCGATGATTTCCTCAAAGAGTGCACAGATGAACTCCTCTGCGGCTTCCTCGAGTGAGAAGGCTAGCAATGCATCAGAAAACGTTAAAAAGCATATGTCATTTATCGTACCTTGGCAAGAGCTGCATTTCTCGTGAGCCAAGCAAATATTCTTACAGTCTGATTCAAAATAAGCGAATGGAAAAAAAATGAAAGTGGTGTGCTCACCGAGCTCAAAGGTATCCTTGGAAACGTATCCAGTAGTGACGGGGGTGTACTTGCCCGACTTCCATCCACTCCAGTCACTCTTGTTCTCAAAGACTGGCTCCCAAGTAGACTCAGTGTCAGGCCATTGTTGGGGGCACTTGAATCCGCACTGGGACTATTCAAAATCAGCCAGAATTCGCTCCAAAGTAAGGTTAGGAAGAGGCGTACATCCGTCAAACATGGGCAGTCCTTTTTGACGTCCGAAGGACATGGTTTGCCGCTCCCGAGTCAAGTCCATGTGGGCTTCCAGGGAGTGTTATCCCCGCCGTCGTCCCTTCCCTTATGGTGGTGTCCCTTGACGTGCTTGTCTCCCTTGTGTTCGTCTTTGTGTTCGCCCTTGTGTTCAGCCTTGACGGCGCCGGAGAGCACCGGGGCGACGAGCACAGCGAGAGGAATGAGAGCAGCGAGTGAGAAACGCATGGTGATGGAAAGCCAAATAGGTAGCAGACGAAGATACTGAGTTGGTCTGGAGGAATTCTGGCATTTATGTAGACTCTTATCCTTCAGCGCGAGTAAGCGTTCAGCAGAGATTTACGGTCATGGGTGTCCATCGGCAGCCTTTGACTTAGAACTGCGGTGTCAGAGCTGCGCGACGTAGATGAGGAGGTTGCAGTAAAAGACACTTCACGCATTCTAGTCGCACTATAAGAGGCTTACGGGTCAACGTCCATATGGTGAAGTAAAAAGTCGGTAGATTCGCCACCATTCTCATCTAATAGTATAGCGCAGCTTGAGTTGATATGCCCTTGTTCGAAGGAGAACAGCCCAAAGTTCAAATCACGACGGTGGATTCAACGTCGAATTTTACAATCGTTAGCGGCAGAGTCAAGTTTCAGTCTGAGCACGTAAGATAGGGCCCAGGGAGATGAAAGCTGACATACGTCCGGACGATATGGTTTCTGGCCATGAAATGATTAGTGACTTGAAGTCGTTGAAGAGAAAAAGTCAGACCGGCAACTACTCGGCAAGCGGAAACTTGATCGGCAAAAGCCGTGATGAAAACTCGAAGTTCGACAGTTTCGTCGTCTCAAGCAAGTCTCTAGTGGGGGGTGGAACGTCTTTCCATGTAATCATCCATTCTCTCGCTTCTTCTGAGACCAATTTCAGTCGTTCTTCATCTTGCTTCCCTCCTTTGAGACAGACGTCGCTGGCTGCATCGTATCTGGTTATCATCACAACTCGAGACAGGTTTACAGGTCTTGGAGTTACGCATGGCCGCTCAGTATAAGCAAGATTTATAGGTAATCCGATGCCCTTCACTACGAAAATGCTTCTCTGCACCGCTCTTCTGCTGCTTTTGTCATTCTGGACTGCGTGTAACTAGTTCCAAGCTTAATCAACAGCTCTGGCAGCTCCTCAGCAATAGGCCATATCAAACTATGTGGATCTCGTTGTCTTACCTATCATGGTTCTAACGTGGATCTATGAGGTAGCGGACAATGGCTGACGAATCTGTTCGACACTGAATTCTGCTATCAATAGGTCAATATATTGACTGTTGTTATGTAGGTGGGATGCGTGATTAGTCTGTCTCACTGAATCCTCGTGACGACCCTACGCTGCCAACGAGGGGTCACAGTTATCAGAGGAGTAGCGGCATCTACAGCTGACGGAGAAACAATCCGGATGATACGGATGAAAGTATGCTCTTTCTGGGACAGGTACACTCATTGATAACAAAAACCTTCTGGACATGCCATGCCGCTATACCATGAGTCGATGATCCGGTCTAGCGAGGTAATTTTCCGTCTACTTTGCGTCCACCCAATTCGTTCAATTGAAGCAAATCGGAAAGACGGTCCGGCACAAGAGTGATCAACTGATCACCCCGTCCTAGCGAAAATGCACCCGGTTTCCTTTGTTGCTAGCTTTGCTCCGACGTCCATGGCTGAATTTACGCCTCTTCTGTTGACTTTGCCCTCGTTCACCCCTTCGCTTGCAGTTGAGGTACGGTTTCGTCCAATAATTATCTAAGTACGATCACTAACTCGCCCTGGAATAGGTTCTGCCTCACGGTTTGACCATTCATCGTTTCATCATACAAGCTGACGGTCGAGTGAGTTCTCTCTAAGGTTTCCCTAGGCATGGCTCGACCTTTTCGTATCAGACTCACGACATCGTGGTAGGCCCAGAGGCACCTGAAGACCACACCACGCAGAAGTATACTAACACGATCATTGGTCGTTACGCGAACCGCGTGCCTACAGGAACACATAAACTGCAGCGGAATGGATACGAAGGTGTTCTTGTCGCTCAGGCAAACGGTCTGTCTCCTTCGTTACTGCTGCGGTTCCCGATTTACCAACTATCTGCCACAGAAAGTGCCAGGGTATCGCTGCACGGCGGTCCGATCGGATTCGATTCACTCCCATGGACACTCCTTTCTGCAGATATGCCGCCTACACTCTTCTCCAAGGCGGAACTCGGACATTTTTCGGGGGAAGAGAATAACTCACATGCTGTATTCCGTCTAGTATCTCCGGACCGCGATCAAGGCTATCCAGGCGAGCTTACTGTTGAGGTTTTGATTGCCCTCCTTGCTCCATCGGAGTCTCAGGTGGCGGAGGCGGGCAAGGAACTCAATTTAGGGAGCCTAGTGTACGTGTACAGAGCAAAGGTGAACAAGGACGTGACTCCAGTCAACTTGACGCAGGTGAGTGACTTTAATGCGGCGGGGATTATATCCTCAAGAAGCGTAGCACTGGGGATTCAATCTCGATGCTAGCATGAAAGAGCGACCGGGATCTGACGTCAAGAATCATTATTTGACCTTGAAGGTACGCGCGTTTTGCGCATAGGTTGTAACGACGTTTTGAGGAATATGATGCTACAGGCCGACCGGATCGTCCACCGAGATTCGGATAGTCTTCACAGTGGGAACTATATTTCAGTCGCATCAGCACCTGAGCACAATCACTCCGGAAAGAAGATTGGCGACAAGTATCCCGAACCGGGTTATGGTGGGCATATGCTGCTGCAGCTGTAGTTTTCTTGAATCTGATCGGATACCAGATGACTTCTATGTCTTTGAATCTCGACCCATCGATGTTCCCAAGCGCGTACCAATCTCAACGTTCTCGGATGATTTTGACCTCGTCAAGGGCATCATTACACCTTCCAACGTTCATTCCCCTGTTGCCCTACTTTCGTCTGAAATCTCCGGATTGAGCTTGGCGTTTGATACCAATCGTGCGTATTTCATTACCATCTCATCAATGTAAGGCTTTATGTAGTGTGCGTTACAGAATCTGGGGTAATGTTTTATACCAACATCGGTGCAGCTCCGGAAAGAGATGCCAGGAAGAAGATACATGGAGGGTCTGGACTTAAAGGCGATGGCCTAGCTCCCGGAAGTGCGTTATTACCTCCGCTCCAAGTTGTCTCCCATTAAACGATGTATCCAGCTGCGGCATTCCTCGAATTCCACGACGTCCTGAGTGCATTCCTAGAACCTTCGAACAAAGATGGAGAGGATGGCCTACTAACCCAGGATGAGTTGTATAATAACTACGTCCGTTGCGACGTGCGGTTCAAGGCGCCGGCGAAATGAAAATGAATATGTAACACAGATGTATTGTACCTACAAGCTTGGATGTAACCTTTGAAAAATACCTGAAATGACGACCTTCGTGATTATCGCCCTGATCTTTTTCATTACCACGACGTCCACCTGGTACCGGACCGCAACGGCATGAAAATTACCGCTTCGCAGACTTATCTCTGCACCCCAGTCTGCTTTTCTCGAGGGCCGATAAATGGCATGGAGATCACATGGCGACGTTGAAAACGGAACTTGGGTGCCATAAATCAGCATCCGCAATCTAGTACACCCATCGATGGCCGCCCTCGAACCAATCCCAGTCTTCACCCAGTTGAACGACCTATACGGCAATCTAGGAACGACGATAGACCATGCTGCCCAGTGGAATAATCTAGCAGAAGAGTTCCAGAAGAGATTTGGCAGGAAACCGGCATACATTGCCAGAGCACCAGGCAGGGTCAAGTGCGTATTGTTACTATTCTTGTATCTTTTGCGGATAGTAACACTCTTCTAGCTTGATAGGTGCTTGATGTCAGTATCAAAGGTAGACCATTTAGTGACCGTTGCTGCTAGGCGAACATATCGATTATTGTCTCTTTGGTGTCCTTCCAGCAGCGATCGAGCAGGATATCCTCATTGCATGTGCCCCCAAGACTCATGCAGATCCGGGCTATGTCGTAGCAGATAATTTACAAGAGAAGTATACTAAGCAGTCCTTCAAGCCGTTGTCTAAACGCAAGGACAGTGTGTCGAGCATCTCGAGTATAGACGACGAGGATGTTCATGCAGAAGAGTGGCATTTGGAGATCAATACGACAGAACTGAGGTGGGAGAGTTACGTGAAGGCGGGATATTATGTATGACATTGTCTTTGCAAGTCCGAGTGTGAACTGATATTTTGAATACAGGGCGTCCTCAATAACTACTTTACTCCATCCCAAAAGGGAGATTCCGACTCTGCTTATCCTGTTCCTGTCGATCTTCTAGTCACTGGAACCGTTCCTGCAGGATCAGGACTTTCATCGAGCGCAGCTATGGTTGTTGCCTCCACCTTGGCTTTTTTGGCTGTCAATGGAAAGGTCTGACTTTGTACACGATCAATAACCGCTCTTCTGATCGCGATTTAAGCTGGATGCCAACATCGCAAAGGACGGTACAAACAAAATCAGCAAAGGTGATTTGGTGAAACTGGCGGTAGCCAATGAGAAGCGCGTCGGTAGGTCTTTGTTTCATTGTTTCACTCGGGGCCTATCTTGATTTATGCGACGTAGGCGTGAACAGTGGAGGGTATACACGCACAACCTTGATTCTCTCGATAGGTTCTAATTGATATTCCAGGATGGATCAGGCGGCGTCGGTAATCTGCACTCCCTCCTCCGCTCTCTATATAAGTTTCTTCCCTACCCTGTTCGCATCTCCGGTCCCTTTACCTTCGGGCGCCGTCTTTGTCTGTGCAAATTCTATGGTCGTGTCGGACAAGGCCCTTGGCGCAAAGAAAGGTTATAACCTCCGCGTGGTTGAGACACTTGTAGGGGCCCGTGTCCTGGCTCGACAGTTGGGTCTACCTCTAGGCGAAGGAGAGAGGATCACGTTACGCGAAGTCGCCGGACGGCTTGTGGGTGAAGCGGCAGACCAGGAAATGAGTATCGAAAAATTGAGTGAGGTGTTAGAGAGGATGGATATGGAAGTAGATGGATTGAAGCCAGTAGGCCGCGATGAAGCTGAAGAGCTTGGTGTTACGATGGAAGAGATGATTCGTATGTCTGGGCTGTCGGAGGAAGAGTTTCATGAAACATACTTGTCTTGGGTTACAGGTATGTGACACCGATAATACTGGTATCCTGATTGACATCTTTCCTTCTCTAGTGGAAGCAACGCACTTCCAGCTGTACAAACGAGCTAAGCACGTCTTCTCTGAAGCGTTGCGCGTGCTCAAATTCCGCCAAGTATGTCTCGATGCTGCGTCTTCACCACCGGAAACTGTCATGCAGACATTGGGGGACTTGATGAACGAGTCTCAAACGAGCTGCCGGGATTTGTATGAATGTTCATGTCCTGAACTTGACGAATTAACCCGATTGGCCCGAGAGGCGGGTGCAGTAGCTAGTCGCTTGACTGGTATGCGCAACCTGCTGGATACATCTTTTGGGAGTCTCACATCATTGATTAGGTGCTGGATGGGGCGGATGCACTGTTTCGCTCGTTCCCGAAGGACAAGTTGATGCGTTCATCCAAAAAGTTAGGAATACCTACCCGCCTTATCAAGCCTTGGAAGGCGAGAAACTGAAAGAAGTCATCTTCGCTACCAAACCAAGTAGTGGTGCATGTGGTATGTTAACTATCCTGTGTCCTGCTGCAATTAACAATTTCTTTTTTCAGTTTACAAGTTTGATGACTAGTCCTAGCCTCAGCGTTATAAATTATGTGTGCAATGGATGCGCTTATCGTTTCCTTGCACTATGCTAGTCGTGATAAAACAGTTTTCGATTGCCGCAGATTGGTGGTGGAAGACAAGAAATAATGGAGTCGAGCAGCAACTAGGTACTACCTGCCAGACCGTTTCTTTCATCGATTCTATACTTTATTCACTGCATTCGATGCATGAGAAGTTCTGTGTCGCTTTTATATGCCTTGACGACGTGTAGCGACATACAAACTCTGCGACGGAGGGATGGCGTGCTCGGGTTTGACGGGTTCTGCTGGTGTTTCTACACCATTTTCCAGAACTCCAACGCGTAACATGGAAAGCAACTGTAGAAGGATTAACAATAATTCAACGACAAGTTGAAGGATCGGCATACATTATGCGCTGCGTTTGAATGGTTGTAGACGCCACCGAAGAAGGCGGGGGTCATGTCTTTGCCTGCACTTTGATTCAGAATGTCCGAACCCCCGGGATGCTCTTTTATGAAAGAAGAGACGTCGTGGATGAAACCAGCAATCAGAATGAGGGGACAATTCTTTGATTCTTTTTGGACTAAAGATTTTGGGGTCAATGAGATAAGAAGGAAACCGATCGTACAGACATACACGTATCCCAGGTGATAACTGGAAGCTTTTCGGTCGGCGTAGGCCAGGTGATTTCTTCCTGGACGCGTTTGAGGTCCTTCAGCTTCATTGTCAATTGACCCTTTGCGATCTCGTTGCCAGAGAATGTGCGGAGATGACTAGCGAACCCAAGGACTTTACAAGCCGCTATGAACCATTTGGTAGGGTCGAACTGATACCACTGAATGGCATTGCGATAGTCCATGGGGAACTGGTGATGAAAGTTGTGATATCCCTCACCCATCGTCACGATGGCTGTGATGAAATGGTCTCTAGGAGTCAACCTGTCGTCGAAGGGGGCTGTTCCTAGGTAATGGGCAACAGAATTCAATGCAAAGGTACTCTGTAAAATGGGGATTGGTGAATTCCCAAATAACTGCAACTGGAAGAGAGACTGACATGGTGAGCGAAGGTCATGCGGAGCATCGTCGCGAAGCAGAAACCGCCTATCCAATCGCCCCAAAAATATCCAGGTACCACAGTAGGTACGATGATAGCCCAGATTGGGAGAAGGAAGAAATACCACGAATGTTGGAGCTGGAGGAGCCTGTCTTTCTTTAGATCAGAAGAGTCTGCGGCGCCGGAATGCAGGTCGGTGACGAAAACCATCCAGCCGAGATGGTTCCACCAGAATCCACGGTTAGCGTTATACGGGTCCTTGTCGGTGTCGGTATAGCGATGGTGGGAGCGGTGGGAACGAGCCCAGAAGAGGGCTGATCCCTGGGCCGCGCTTGTACCGGCCGCGAGCAAAAACAGCTGCAAGGGAATAGACGCATTGTAGGACCTATGGGACCACAAACGATGATAGCCTAAAAATAGTCAGCCATCAGTACCTAAGTATGGGACGGGGCAACGAACCGGCTGTAACACCTAGAAGAAGCAAAACAGGCGTGATTAGAGGAGAACCAGCAGACTTGAGTGCGCGAGAGCATACCTAACATGGAGAACACATAGTACAGAGCCGAGAATGCCGCCGTCGCACGAGACGATGGAGCGTAGAAGAATCCTGCTAGTCCCAACAGTGGTGTAAGGATGAAAACCCAAACGTTGAACCATCGGACGCCTTTAATGGGCGGAAAGTTGTCAAATATAGTGACCCTCATTCTGAACGAAGTCCCCTGTTGGACCGTCAAGGTAAAGCGTTCGGCGAAGTGTTCTGAAGGAGACTTGTGCTGAGAACGGTGAGGCTCTCAGTTGTTGGAACTATCTCTCCTTTCGTTTGTGTCCTTTTATCCTCAGATTACCCCAAAGTTTGTGCTGATGAGCCTCCGGGAAACCCGCGTGGCAACCCTTTGAGGAAGCACCCATAAACGATTGAATGGCGAAGCACGCACCAACCCTTCTTGCGGGTCGACCGCAGAGTTGATGGTCAAAGTGTGTTTGATAACAGACTGAATGACAGCGTGTCCAAAATCGGTATTTGAAACCGGATACCACTCCCGAGACCTGAGGCCTGAGCGCTCAGCTTTCGCAGGGACAGATGTGTGTGTGCGTAGTATCGAGTGTTAAGGCCAGGAGCCCGAAGGCCAGCGACTCTGGTCCATTATGGGATATTGGTTATTTACCTCCGGCGGAGGCGGATACATACGATTCTTATAATCGTATTTCTGACACCGCTACCGGGTCCATCCGCGCTTTAGCTTCTTTACAAGAAGCATGAATTTGGTATGTCATCATCAAAATTACCAGTTCGCGTTCATGACTCGGCTGCAAGAACCCGAGCATTCCCGTAAGTCGTCACCCTGACCGCACTCAGAGTATTGAACAATCATTTCGTGATCTAGAACTGGCTGATGTTAATAAAAGGATAGAAATTTGGAAGTTATATTTGGATGCATAGCATCGGCCATGGCCTGCAGGGAAACATAAAAGTATTCTTACGATTAAGACAACAATCGTCCAGCTTTGAATACGGGTCTTACTTGCTTAAAATAACTCGTTATACCAAAACCTACGACCTTCGAGTTCCTGTCGATAGCATAATTATCGTTCTCACTGGAAAACGTGCAGGCGATATTGGCGTAAAACAAATATAAGAGACCTGAATCGGAGGTATGAATGAATGGGTTGTCCAATTTCCGGCGTGATATAGCGTAAGAACCAGGGCGAAGTCCCACTCCGCAGGGACCTGAACAATACAATGATATGGCCGACTGACAAGACCTTGAGTCCTCCACACGATGATAGCAGGGCTGCCATGCTCTAGAGCAGACGGTGTTGATGTGTTCTGAACTGAAAGCACTGCAACATGAATACAACATTCTTTAATCATGCTCCAATACAGGTTACTCGACAACGTGCTCCTAAGAATAGTGCAGTTAAAAGGGGGAAATAACGTTACCATATACCCCAGGTGATAAAGCAAACGTTCCGCCGAACTGATATTATAGCGCTGTCGGCACTTGATTTATAGGTGTAGGATTTTCGTGGCGCTGTCTGGGCACTCAAGGTACGTGAATTGTCGCTTTGAATACGGGAAAACGCCGTTTCGAGAAAAGGTTGCGTAGACGAACTCTGTGATAAATTTGTCAAATAAATTGGGGTTACTAGCAAACGTTCATAGAACCGCGGGAAATGTGGGGTTATGTAGCGGATAGATGTTTGGTAGGCGGCGCGACGCATCAGAGATACTGTTCCGAATATACGGGTGAGCCTTGGAGTTCGTCTACTATCTGTGTGTCGAAGAATCGCATTTCAGCTACTGTTATGGCAAGTGCATTAGGCGGTGACAGTCAAGGAGTTTCGCATTTTGGCACTAGACCCTGGCAACGTCAAATTCTTGGAATCCCATATCGCTCCCAATGGTGACCCTTAGTGAGTGGAGTCACCTATTAAGCGGTGGATCAAGTGCCAAAGTCCAGCACGTAAAAGATTAATAGCGTCGGCGCCTTGTGCACATCAGAAGGCATCACCCCAGGTTGATGCAGCCTCGCAACAGATAAGACTGAATGATGTTATCAGCAGTCGCATAGTACTAGACATTCACCTTTGGACATATGTACTGCAATCTTTAGATGAACTTCTGCAACCGCGAATGGTTACCATTGGTGGTAAAAACGAACCGTTCTTGAATATCGGAGCACCGGACCGAGAGTATTGTGGCTTATTGACATCTATTTCCCTTTGAGGTTCCTGAGATACCGCCCGTCGTTGAATCCTCGTAACATCGCTCGCGTTCGCCGTCAAGACTAGCGGTTCAAGCCACATCAAGTGAGTGTTCCGTCGAAACTATGCACCTTTATGTATGCCATCCAGGCTTTTTGAAAAATTCCCGTCGAGGAATGATGCTGGATGCGCTCTTGAACTTTTGGATGACGCTAATACATACCCTTTTTCAGCCGGCCCTCTCGTTTTAACGGTGCGCACCTTTTCAACCGGAGGAAGACTATGTTGCCTGATAGTAATCGTGATATAGCCTTCACTCGACAAATATGATTATTTCCAAGGAGAACCGCCGAAAGATCTATGAGAACCTCTTCAAAGGTGCGTTGACTTTCAAGTCAATGCCATCGAGATTTACGATCCTTTCTTCTAGAGGGTGTCCTTGTTGCTAAGAAGGACTACAATGCTGCGTCCCACGAGGAGCTCAAGGACGTTCCCAACTTGCAAGTAATCAAGGCGCTTCAAAGCCTTACCTCGCAAGGCTACGTTAAGACCCGTTTCTCGTGGCAATGGTACTACTATACCCTCACACCCGAAGGTGTTGAGCATCTCCGAGAATGGTATGAAGTCTTCTTGGTGTGTCAAATACTTTTTTTCTCAACCACGTCTAGGCTGCACCTTCCCGCTGAAATCGTCCCCGCCACTCACAAAAAGGCCGCCAGGCCACCCCGCCCTGCAACTGTTCGTCCAGGAGGAGGAGAGTACCGTGCGCCTCGCGGTGACCGTGATGACTACCGCAAAAAGGAGAGTGCTGGAGGTGATTTCAGGCCCTCATTCGTCGGCGGCGTTGGTCGTGGAGCTCCCAGGGAGTAAAGGGCGGATCTGTGGTCGTATCTCTTCCTTATTACATGCAATGCACCTTTGACCATCTATGTTCTTCTGGCTGTCTCTAAGGTATCGCGGGCCACCTATGTAGAATGCCAGAAGTCTTGAGACTCGAAATACCAGGAACTACGTCTTGCTGTCTTGCCAATGAGGGAGAACCCGGTTTTATTTGCCGGTGCCCCAACGAAACCTCTAGGGTATTCAGACTACCAAAAATACAGAAATGTATGAGTTTGGCGCTACAGGCAATGTCCCAGCATAAGTGATGTACTGGGGGTCTATGAATTGGAAGTACGATGGAGGCATAACGCGAAAAGAAAGTTCGAAGTGTACAATTTCATTCTGATACAATTTATATCTACAGTTAAACTATGCGTACACTTTCTCCTTGAAACCCGGAAGGATGGTGGCCGTTCGGTATTCGATGTTGTCTTGGTATCCTTTTGTCCTCTGCCATGTTTGTTTAGCAAAGGTCCATTCTGATAAAATGGTTGCTCCAGTTAATAACTGGAAGGCGTGTTGGGGTGCATAACTAACCTTCCATCGTTGGCACCTTGTTGCCACTAGCCTCGAACTGGTTCTGGGTATACCCTTCGCGTTGCAGAACAGGGGATTCCTTGATGGTGGATAGCTTAACGTCGTTGTGAGGCCTTCAAAGACACCATAAGCATTTGAAGAGATGGAACTAGTGGATAATTGCACCTGGAGAAGTACAACAGACCGAGACGGTCAACATGTTGCTGGTCTTTAGGTGGGACAGTCACTCTAAAAAACACGTCGGTTAGGGACTCAGGAAAATAGAGGAAGAAATATACCGATGGATCGTGCTCTTGACGTATCCTCCAGTCAAGAACGTCAACGCATCACAGGCATTGACAGTCAACGTGGCGTCTTGAGGCTTCACCCATTTCCACTCGTTTGTCGAGTGGTAACGGATCTGAAGTGCTGCAACTGGTTGACGGAACAAGAGCGTGAAACTACCAAGGTCTAAGCAAACGTAAGTATACATCGTAACGAAGGCCGATTAATATTTACCGGTATGGCCAACCGACCAGGTTTTCACCTTCTTGTTTTCTTCTTCTGTGTACTTCGAATACTTCATGTATCTCAGGTGGTCCTACGTATTTTTTTGAGTACCATGATTGACGCACAAATCGTTTCAGAAAGGAGCCGTACCTCGCTCTTAACCTCGTATTGGTGGATTTTGGTGAAGTAATCCTCAGGGAGTTCCAATGCAGTCGCCAAAAGCACATACAGAGGGTCCAAGACCTCAGTGTGTAACGACTGAAAGAATGTGTAAGTTTATATACCAAGCACAAAAATTTCGCTCTAACCCTCGCAAACTCTTCAACTTCCTCGATATGATCCGCCACAACGGGTGGGTGTACTTGGGGGAAGAAGCCATTAAATTCTGCCAAGGAAAGACCTCAGGATAGGACAACCAATATGAATGAATGAAATCGTACTAGGAATATTGTAAATCTCCGTGTGGTCCTTCAATCCAGTTTCAGGGTCAATGCTATAGGTGGGACATCAGGCCGAACTTTTTAGCGTCGAACAAGGTAAGACAAACATCCTGCGACCCGCCGGTACGTAACCGTTGAATTGACCCTTATCTGTGAATCTGTGAAACGACGGGTATTAGCACGGCATCCCTTGGAGTATTATAGTCTAACCTAATCCCGCGGGTGTATATTGTGATTTCTCCTCCAATGGGAGCTCATAAAAGCGTTTGCCAAGTGCAAACTGCCTGTTCACGCGCTCTTGAGAGATCCCGAAGTTCTTGACATAGAAGAACCCCTTCTCGCGTATAGCGTCAATGAGGGTCTTCGCAAGCTCCGCGCGGCCCTCGGGAGTGTTATACAAGCTCAAGTCGACAGTGACAAGCTCTGCCCAATCCAAGTTTTCCTGTTATAGCTTCATTAGAAAAAATTGTTCGACAAAAGGGCGGTCGTCAAACCTTCGTCTCGGGGACATATTGAAAAGATCCGAGCTGAGGTGTGGCAACTGGCATCGCGAGATAAGTGTGGTGCGCAGAAAATAAAGACACGTTTTTATATCTAACAAGACCCGCGAGTTTCCGGTAAATTCAACTGTATGAGTGCATATCAGTGAGGTGACTCAGCTGGACAATCACCTCATCGCGAACCGACATGATGTTATATGCCTATGTGTCAGATGATGGGCGATACCAATCCTATCGGAATCTCAGAACCGAAATTGCCCATGGCCAACGTCGTTGAAATATCCATTGCTATATTCGCATCCTCTCGAAACATTGGAATTAAAATTTAAGCCCAATACGAACGGTCTACACTTGCATAACCATGAACGGCAATCCTTTCATTCTTCGTCGGTCTCCTTCTCCACTTTTGAAGTCACTGAATTCGAACGTCCAACGTCGCTGACGCTACCATCCTTCAGCTCCTTACGAGCTCGTTTAGCGTCGCGGTTCTGGAAGTACAGCGTCGCCAATGCCGCGCAAACTATATAAAACCGCATAAGAATCACGAAAAGGGGATTGTCGTGTCTCGAAACTCACTCATGCCGAAATTAATGCAAGCGGTTGCTACATTGCCCTTAAAGACGCTACCACGATATTAAATAACAACATGGAAAGTCTAGACACTTGCACATACCGAGGTTGCTCTACTTGCGGGAATATCAATCTATATAGGTGTCAGATACACGAGAGGAACTGAAAAGACAGGAATCACATCGGGAGCCAAGCCTGGAGCGTTTTTAGTTAGCATAAATGATAAAATCTAAAGCTGCGCACCTGAACTGTATATGCAAAGGTGTTACAGCACGCGACAACGAATGATCTCTCTTCAGAAAGCCTTGAGTATATTTATGATCAGATTGGTCCCGAAAACCTACTTTCATTATCATTACTGGTAAGCTCGTTGGCCCAGGCAAGTATGAGACCAGACAATCCACCGCAGACAGAAGTCTAAAAAGTATCCAACAAGGATTCTTCTGGGTGGTAGGGCAACGTACCATGTAATAGAATGCCCAACGCCTGGCGACATGAGTGTAGAGAGGTGTCGCTGCGAGCACGATACAGACTATAATGTTCCATGTCTATGGCACAGCGTGAGGATCGTACACATTTAAATAATGCGATTGTTTACCCCAGCAAAAAGCATCGGAGGCCATCGCTTCTCAATAGCGTCAGACCACCATGCATAAACCAAAGCTAAGGTTTGCGTTCAAACAGGTTGATGTTCGACGATTTTTAAGGAACATACTCGTGATGACTTGCACTACATTGATGCCAAGAGGATAACAGTTTATTTGACCGACGGTATATTTCGTATGAGTTTTGGTGTTGAAGCTTTTGAACCAGAAGATCATAGAATTTGTAGGGCCGTTGCCATTGTTGAACTAGATCGAGATCAGTGAAATCAAAAAGGGAGGTGACACTACTGACAAGGACGTAGACTATAAGTCGATCAATTCAGCTGCTCGAAAAATACCGGGGGGGATTGCTCACGAGGCACGAGTGTGTACAGGTGCCAGGTCTTAAAAAAGCCTAGGACCTGGAGGGAACCTTAGGAGAGAACTCCGGTGACGCAAAAATGAGCTTACTTTCGCCTTAGTAAACTTAGTGGGAGGCTTCCTTCCAATTTCGTCCATGCGCTTTCGAGCTAAAAGTAGTTGGTGTTCGGTGTAAAATATGGATGGCTTCGTATTGTGCGGAAGATCTTCACAAAGTATTGGAGGATGAAAATATACTTGTGAAAGGTCTTGATAACATACCGGGCATTATCAAGTATCCAAGCAATGCGATGGGAATCGTGATGATGCCATCAATGATAAAAAGCCCTACTAGATTGAGTCTCATTGACATGTCAGAAACCTGTAGACTCACATTTCCAGCCCTCAAGACCATGAACTCCGTTCAAGCCGTTGTAGGCCGCCTGCGACAGACGAGTAAGATTATAAATGACACCTCCGTTGAATACTATACCGTACCGTCTGTAAGAAGCCACTAAACATGGGTCCAATCGCACTGGCGGTCTAGTAAGGCGTGAGACCACCGGATTCACTCCATTTCGAAAAGGTTCATACGTGGAAGATGCAAGCACGTTTGGCCAATTCCTCGGGTCTGTACCAGCTCCCAATGACGTACTGTATGGCAGGATAGAAGGTCGACTCGGCCAAACCTTGCTGGAGCTTAGTCATCGGATTTGAAAAGTGAGTCCATATCCTCCTCACCGACGAAAAACCGTAAAGCACATATTTGGGAAAAATTCTTGGATGTTGACAGAAGCATAGTGAGGACACTCCAGATAATCTCCATGGTGGGAATCTGACAAGAGACTATGGATTTTCCTAGTACGGTAGGTGAAGGACACGCACCCATATCGAAGGCCTGATCCTAGTTATTAGGAGACTGTGATTTACATTAAACTCGTCTGACGGTAAGCAATAACAATCTGACACGCACTTGGAAGGAATCTGTCCAATGACATATCCGCAAGTCCAAGCTGTCGTTATATAGTTGTATTCATTCCCGTACCTAGATATAGTTAGAAACCGAGTTGTTTGACGTGTGAGAGAGACTAAACAGATTCAAACTGTAGAGGTATGAGATATCGGCGCTTTAACAACGGAACAAGGAACATACTCTTCTTTCATTCCGGAGACGTACTTCGACGAAAAGACAGGTAAATTTCTGCAAGTGTACAAGCAATAAAAGCGAACACACGGCATTCTGATGCACGCATCAGGATAACTGACTAGCATGAATCCGCGAGATACGTACCGTGACATTTTGTTGATCTAGATACGTGCTGACGCAGGAAGTAAGAATATGAAGGCGAGTTGTACATGATGACTTATTTGCTGAAATACGACAATGCTGCGTAGGTTAGCAAGCAAGCGTCAAGTTTCCCAAGAAACTTTCGTTCTTCTGGCGACTTGTCCCAGGTATCCCTATAGATCGTCAGATCAACGTGTATACACATTAAGGAACACCATAGCTCACCAGATGTAGCTGCGAAGAGGTCGTTTCTTGGCACTAAGCAATTCCGGAGCCATGATGATCATAATTCAGAGCAGCATTCCTCGGACGTTAATTATATACGTCAGACTCCCTTAACCAACCCTTATCGATTCAAGGTCCCCAATCATATGGACGTAATATGGCAATTAAGGTGTAAGTGCGTGTCTCTCTGGCAAATCTGCGCTGTTTGAAAAATAAATCATATTATTGGAGCTGCGCGCAACGTACCTCTCGTTCTAGATACGAGAGATGCAACGCGAGAAACTGAAAAGAGGGACGGCATCCGGCTGGTTGCTGTCTAGCCAATCTCTGCTATCTTCCCGCGGGCTGGAAGATGGGTATAAGGCGGAATGTGCAACAAAACGCGATGATGGCACAAGAAGACGTGCCCAGGAGAGTAAGAATTCGTCATCTTGTCAATACATGATGGAATTCAGAGAAGAAGACCTCTTGTTGACGAGTGTGTACTGAAAGTTTTCGATCGCCGCGGGCCGCGGCATTACTTTACAAATTCATGTTCCTTTCAACAAACGACGTGTCTTGTTAAATGATGGTATCTGCAAAGCAGTGGGTACTAGATAAAAACAAGTCCATGTAGCAAGAAGTATGAGATAGTCCGTCTAATACAATGATTGTTCAGCAGGCCCACGAAGCCTTGTGGCAGCCGAGAGTTAGTAGTCAACTGAGGAGATCTAGGTCAAACACGCACATCTTTTGTACCAGCCTTTCCAACGCTTAAATATGGGGGAAGGCCAAGACATTCAGCAACCGTTACGAGTTTGTAGCCTGCACCTTGTAAAACCTCAATGGCGTGGGGGAGAACGGTGGAACTATAAATGCGTCGATACCAGCTGCATTATGGTGATAATAATCACTTACCCAGTAGATTCTAGATTATCAAGGTCGACAAGATCAACGCAGTGAGATAAGATTCGCCAGTGGAAGCCCAACCACTGACCGACAGTTTCATGATTCAGAGTCAAGATAGTATTAGGACGTGAAGCCACAAAGCCGTCATATTGTGAATTGCTTTGGGTAGCAGCTTCTCCAGCAGAATCCCCGGAACTAGGGGCGTCAGGAAAAACTCGTACTGGAAAGAGGGAAGGCGGACGTACTCGAAATCCCAAATAATTACACTTTGATTGTGTGCAGCAGCGACCTCCACCACATCATTGTTGTAACTGCCGAATGGAGGTCTCATAAATGCGATCTTGACTCCGAGTATTGACTCCAAGGCCTCTGCAATAGCATTGAGATGGCAATCTGTTATCACTTCACGGGCAACATACTATCGACGCCGGTGAATTCACTGTCAACTATCAGTATCGAGTAGTCAGAAATCTACTCGACGTTATGACGTTGAGCCACATACTTTCGTCGCGGGACAGCGTAGCTAGATCTTTATGAGCCCATGTGTGCCTGTATTCAAAGTTAACTAAGACTATATTCGGAGAGTAGATCATGACCCACGAAGCAATCTGATGACCCTTTGAGTATGCGTTTGTAATTGCTTGCACCTGAGCGTCCCCGTATATACAACCATCTGCAAGGTATGTGCATGAGCGCTGGTAATACCATCCGCCATTCATGCAAGACTCACAGTTGTTTCCATTAACGAAGAACGTGCCCTTGGCCCTCTTTGCATCAAGGGTATCGACAATTTGTTGCCTAAGGACCACGAGTAAACGGTGCGGTCTTACATTGGAGATCAGATGTGACGTACGAATAGATATAAGGCCCATCATCCTAAGCAGCGTAGTCAGTCATTTGCATCTAGTGTGATGTAAAGTTATACATACGAATGTAAGGGCAGCCGTTTTCGGAACTGTACAAGAGGTGATTACGCCACCGGACTGTCGTTTCGTGGGGTGCGAGAGAACTGTAGCAGCCAATGCGATAGTAAGGAAAGTGGAAGACAACATCTCGATATGGAGAATGAGTATAGGCGCACAAAGGAAAGGATGGATACAAGCATAAAAGAAGGGAGTCTCGCTTTTTATATATCATTACTGCAAGCACACCGGTTTCTGCTGGACGCTAATGAGCTCAGACAGACAAGGCGGTGATCACGCTTAGGCGAAACCATAGGGCGTACAGCCAGATGTCCTTGCCAAGGTCGACTCAATTGTTTCAAATTCCGAAGGGGCCGTCAATAGGGGCGCTCAGAGTGGAATGTCTGATTATGAGACTATTCAACTTGCCATAAGGATGATTATGGTTCCGTAATCGTGGGAGATGAATCCCATAGAACTCTAACCATCCTGGTTTCTTGGCGATTCCGTTTCAAAATCGAGAATCGTTACCAGTCTGACCCCCCTAGTGACTTGTTGAACCAAGAACAAGACATGTCTTTGACCAAAGAGCCAGGTGGTTGACAGTAACAAGTGGGACCAGAATGTAAATCCAGGAAAGTCGGTGTCGTCTCTTGGCCAAATTGCTATCACGTAGCCAGAGTACACTAGTCCTAATCGACCTGTGAAATGCTAGTACCGTGGACAGCCACGTTTCAGGTAAAACCTGAATAAGAACGTATTGAAAACGAATGTCTGCGGGAGGGGACCGGAATGATCCCAGTATGGATTCCTGCGTGCCAATGGAACTAAGGTTGAAAGGACCCAGAGGCGTATGAAAATAAGATACACATTTTCAAAAAAACCAGAAGATGCCTATAAGAGGTAGCCAGCCGTACCAGATGTAGCAAGAGGTAGCAGGTGTTATCTGGATGTCGTGGGAAGAATTTTGGGAAACAATGAAAATTACGGAGGCAGTGCAACTGACCGTTTTTGTACATGAACATCGACCAGGTAACTTTTAATGAGCGACTGCAGCTCTTGCACCTCCTGCAATTCTCTGATCATTACTATTCTTCCGATTTCGCTGCAGATGAAGACACAAAAGAAACGTTACGCGCTCTTGACGTGATCGCGAGCTGCATCGCCACTGGCTCCGAAGGCGAATCATTCGCCGCGTCCCTCGATCCAACCACCATTCCACCTACCATTATTCTGTCTAAAACGGGCGCCATTACAGAAGAAGACAGGAAATTTGTCTTGTCGTTCCTTGACGCGTTTACCAGTACCGACACACTTGATTTTCGCCAGGTGTTCCCCATTCTTTTTTCCCGTTGTTTTACAAGCATGAAAACACGCATGGAAAATCTCTATGAAGCAGCACGTCGGTATCTTATGCATCACGCTACACTACTTGATTCGTACCAGCCACTGTCCTTCAAGGAGGAGTTGCCTCATTTTCACCTTCTCCACCCAGATCATGAGGACCGTGAATTTGTGGCCACTTTTCGTATGCTCTTCAATGACATCGAGAAAGTCGCGTCTTGTCCCTTTCACCGTGACTCTCCGACGCTGTCTCAATATAATTATACTCGGCTTCATGTCTTGAGCGTTGTCATCGCCTCCTCGCGCTTCATATCGATCCAGACTGACCGCGTATTCTCGGAGAAAACCAAAGCTGCAGATGGGCTGAGGAGGTGTTTGGAGAGGATCAAGCAGTATGTCGGTGGCGTGAATACGCTGATTCGTCGAAGTAGACAAGTCTTCCCCGATGGTAATATACCAGTCAGATGGGTTTGGAGTCCCAGTGCGGCTTCTGTCAATATGGCTGCGACGCCATGGATAGCCCTGGAACGTTTGGGGATTACTTTCGACGTAGGGAGGCAGCAAAATATCATTGCTCAGCTTCCTTCGTTTGAACTTGATTGGCAAACCGCTTGCCGCCCACGTATGCATGCAAAAATTGCTCTCCTCAGGTATTTTCATGAGCGGAGTCTGATGCCGCTAGGCCGATGCATCATCGGCTGTAGTGAGGAATGCTGTTGGTGCTGCGACCAATGGATGAGCCGATATAATTCGCTCTATACGACGCAATATATCGCGAGTGGCGCATCAGTTAAAATTGGCGTAGATTGGGAGATGTCTGGCCTGGTGTCAGTTGACTTTTTTTTTCATGAGGAGCTGGGCTCTTCCATCAAGGACCATAAACTAATCACAACCCGACGTCGTAAACGGAGCTCAACGACGCCGCCGCCGGGAATGAAAAACACTTTGCAAAAGATCGAGGAAAGCCAGGAAGACGGTGGTTAGGTGCGGTGATGCTGTAGATTAATATTATGTACAAACTGGGTCAATACAGAACTACTATTCAGCGCGGCGAGGACAGTAATACGAGTCGCCCGTGAATGCAACGACCTCTGACCATAATTAATGAAGACGCGAAGAGACTACAAGGACTCTATGTATACAGACAGAAAGTATGAAGACAAACGGCAGAGAAGTTCAAGCGACAGATTTTGGTGATGATACAAGTACAGATGCTAAATACAGCGCCAAGAGAACCCGCCACGAAACCGTAAAGAGACAAGGAATGGATCATGATGAGAGGGACGATGAGCCGGACGTGTTCAGTGAAGGTATTTTTCATTCAGCCGATGAACCTCCCTGGTGAGATATGGCCAGGATAGTGCCCTGGAAAGCTCTTCCTTCAACTTGTTCCCGTCGTCACTCGCGCGTTGCTTAGCAAGCTTCACCTCCCATCCGCACAGGTTGTACAACAATCTCATGTTCGGTTGGATCAGTACGGATAAACGTCGGGACCGCACGATGAGGTATGCTTCAACCAGAGATATTCGAAGGTGCTTCATCACAAAGGCGATCTGTCGGACAAAGTGTTACTCAACCGACAATCGAAGGCATGATCTGCAACACTTACGGTTACGGTGGCACTCCGGGAGACACCGACACGACAATGTACTAGCACTTTACCACCTTCTTTCCTAGCAGTATCAATCCACTGGCATATGGGTTCCAACTGCGGCTCGAGGGTGTCTATCCCGTCGTCACATACACCTTGAATGTCCAAGACCTTGATGCGCCCCGCACGTTCTTCGATCCACAGAGAACCGTGCTTTCCGAAACCTTTTCCTGGTACAAAATGCCCCGGAACCTGAGAGGGCGAATTTATAAAGTGCGTGGTTAAAGGATAACCATTCTCAGGATCAAAAACATGTTCGCCATCGGGATGATGCACATGGGGAGGCGGAATCAGGGCGCATTCGCCAACAGAGACGACATGGGTTATACCGAGCGCATGAAGCATATAAACATTCGAGGCATGGTTCCTGGCACCAGCATTAGCAAATACTGTCACCGGAAAAAAGCGCAGATACTTACAGATTTCCCAAATACAAGAAAGGCAGCACTCTACTAGGAAAGCTTCCGTCAAATCTTGGGTCATCAAACCAAGTCTGGTGATCCCAACCCAGCAGTGAGGAGGCAGGCAATGTGCTGGCCCGGGGGCGCCGTCCCGGACCAGGCTTGACATTTGAATCGTGGATATCGAGATCATTGGGTACACTAGCAGAGACAGCACCACGTTGCGACGGAACAACCGTCGGAGATGGTGCATCGCGTTGATCGGTAACTCCCCATCCGGCGATATATGGATTCATACCAACGCCCACATGGCCCTCACTAATGGATAGGTGTTCGCGGTGATTAGAGAAGTATTTCATCCCACGCACACCCCGATCCCGTTCTTTGCCACGCTCCTCCATTTCCCATCTTCTTAAGATTCCTAGGTCTGCTCCATAGACGAAGAAGCTCCGTTCCTTGGAGACTTGAAGCTCCAAATATGCTTCAGGGAGCGACAGGTTCTTTAGTGATATGAGCAAGCATAGAGCGAGGACAGATGATTCGGTATATCCATCAGATGAATAGATGAGGATCTTTAGAGGCCGAGAGGGATGATGCAGGGGAGTCGAGCCATTATGTGCTGTTGATGGTGGAGGTGATGTGAACGATCTAATGCGGACATTGTTGGAAACAGAGGTGGTGGCGAGAGCTGGTGGATGGAGCAGAGGAAATGACGGTGCAGATGACAACAAGGACCAACGCCTGCCATCGGCTTCTCTCGTCCCGGGTTTCTTGCCCTTATCCTTGGTTGCTCCGTCCTTCGGCGAAACAGGTGTGAGCCATTTGTCAAGGAACCGGACCAGTGCTTTCATAGAAGCGGTATTAGAAGGCGACGATGGAAATGGAAGGTGAATTATGGAATTGGCATGCGGGGGAGGACGAGGAGGAATTTCGGAATCGTCATCTATGGAGGCATTACGCTCAAGAAGTACCTTCTGTCGCCAGCGCGCTTCCAACCCATGAAGTTTGTCTTCGGCCGCTCGTATATGTGCAGGGCTGGGGAATGGGGCAAGATCATGACATTCAATGCAAATGTCGTATCCCGGTGGATTGGTGCGATGGCGCGCCTTGTCTTCACTGACACCGAATCCATAGTCGACGTCGTATTCATCCCCGTCACCACCTCCAATGGGTGTCGGCACATCATTGGAATTTCCAAGAAACACTTGCCCAAATAACCTCGCTGGATGAACCTCAACGGAAGCCTTAGCTTTATCTTGGTCGTCATGGTGTTCTGGTATAGAGTCGGCGCGCGAACGAGGGCCAATCCGTAGTATCTCGCTTGCTGTTGTAAGGTCTCGCATTTCTTCTTTCTCACGGACAGCGAAGTTGATAGTGTTGGGTTGCAAAGGAGAAGATTCGGACGGGCATTCTTCAAACCATCGACGCTGACTATCGCATCTTCGAACAAGATGCGTCAGCGCCGAGTTCGGGTTCGTAAAATCCTCAACTGTGGCGTCAAGAAGAAAGACATTGTAGTCTAAGAGGCGGTTTGCAGGAGATTCATTGGAGTCTTGACCGCGTCTCGTTTTCTGATCGAATCGAAGGTTCCCCACTCTCTCCGCCTTTTTACGGGCGATGGCAGACCTAAATCGTTCCGCTAACCTTTTGGCGTTCTCCGAGTTCTTTGCACCACCGGGAATTGGCGAATAGATCACAACATCAGACAGAGTGGCTAAGATTGGCTACACGAACGATTCGATCAGCACCCAAACTCCGGAGAAGAGAGGGTCACGTACAACTTGAATGCCGAAGTTCCTCAAAGAGATGCCTTCTGGAACGCAAAGCGGTTGGAACTGCCACTCTTCGGTACTTGATTCTGACAGGACGGGCGCGATAAGCTCCGCAGGTCGAAAAGTCGAAGTCAGGACAGGAGGCGCCGCCCTGCGTCCATGACTTCGGTGGGGTGATGGCCTTGTGACCAACTATCAATATAAAAGCATAACCGACAAGAGCGAACTAGAACATACAAATCTGATATGGGAGAATCGGGAGGCGACTTGAGAGGAGGCGGAGGTTTCATGACCACGGGATGCATATGCTGGGGCTGACTTTTATCCTCCTTCTTATCTGGAACGTCAATGCCAACAATCTCCATTACTTCGTCCTCAGCATGCACAGCAACGCCGTCCATTCCGTTGGACATCTCCACGTCTATGTCGATATCTAAATCCATATCATCAAGCTCGTCTGACGATGTATCAAGGTCGTCGTTGTCCTCATCCGTGTCCTCATCCGCCGACATGCAAAGCCCGTCCAAGTCGTCCTCGCAGACGACGGTCATGAGACCACGGTATCTTGGCACTTCGCCAATGGACGAGAAGAACATGTTCTGAGCAGCATTAGAGCCTTCAAGGCCGTGTAGAAAGGGGAAAAGGACATTGTCTGGGGCATGAGACACGAGATGGTTGTGGTGAAGCTCGACGAGCTGCTCAGGGGTCAAGAGGGGGATGGGAGAGGAGCAAGTGACCGGCGCAGGCACGGTTGGGAGACTCATGAGGAAAGACTTTGAGTAATCCAGACCATGAACTGCCGTCATCGAGGAAAGGCGGTCGTCGTCGTGGGGAGCGATGAGGAAGAAGGTGTAGCCAACAGGCCAGACAGCTTGTCGTCGCCGTTGTCGTTGAAGGATAAATTAGATTCAACAGCCAGACGTGAGAAAAGAAGCACAAGTGAATTTCATCACCATCAAATTGTGTATGTCAGCAGGCTTACTTATATCAGCTCCTGATACGTATGTCTCGATCGATCATTTTATTCCCCACCCAATACCTTCTGTTCAATATGGATCTGCTAAAATAGGCTGGTATCCTCAAAGGTCTCAGATCAATCTCCCACTCTTTACCGCGCAAGCCACCTCTTTTTCCATCAATTCATCCTGCCTCTCTCACGCATCATCTGGCATCACCTCGAGGCCTGTCCATAAATACATCCGTTCAACGTTACCGTAATTGGCGTCACCTGTATCTGGCTAATGATACTCATCTCGTACACAACTTTAGAGATCTATATTTTACGACATGTGGGTTTGATGCTAACATACTAGTAAATAGTTGAAGTGGTGTAATGCTAGTCATTGACTCGGGCCCTTCTCCGTTATTGCATCGGCCATTTCAAGGGCACAAGATAAGAAAAGATCATATGATATTTGTGACGATCGTACGAGCGGATACTGATCGCGGAGTCCCCTGAGAGGGCCCCGCATATGTCATGAGAACTCGGAGCACAACTGACCTGGTAACTATTTAATTCTTGGGAGTCCCCATCAAGCTTATAACATCCTGCGTACTTTTATGCCCTTTCCGCTATTACTAAAACAGCGGGAATACTTGGCGAATCTAGATGCGATTCATCTCTTCATCTTTCAAATACCAGCTTAACAAGTTCGCCTAATGATGTGACATCGACTGTGCAGGTGTCCAGATTTACGGTCGAGTCTTCGTGATGACCACACATCCTAGCTAGAACCCTTTCCTATGGCAACATTGCGAGTCCATCAGAACATATGTAGTGAAGGTCGACTGTGGAATGTCAAGATGACATTTCCCTGGACACTTGTATACAAAACAAATATTATCCTTGCATCAAAAGGCGACTGCTTGTCCACTAGCGCCTATATTCAACGTAGACAGTGAAGAAGTAAGTAGGCTGCATGCGCACCTGCCTACAGATAACCCATCCATTTCATACTTATCTATGACATACTTGGACGGCCATGTACGGAGACTTGCAAAAGACACCCACTGTAATTTATGATCGAGGCACACTAGTCCCAAAAAGGAGCAGTATTGTTTGTTCGTGTTAGTCACCAGCCAGCTGTACAGTTTCTCGGCAAAACCCTAAATCTGGCCCCAGCGAGGGTTCTCCAAAATTATCGGCAACGACATCAAGCCCTCAAGACTCAAGACATGGCCTCGAGACCCACTGTCAACGTGCGCTCTCCATCCGGAGGTCTGTTGCGCTTTCGCTGTCGTCGTGGATTGTAGCGCTGAATATCATTTTCAGAGGCCTCTACCTCCCTTCCCCTCCCTGCCGTTTTGACCGCCCCAATCAGGCTCGATGTCGTCGCTCAGGTGCACAGTGAGTAATAGCATTAACTATACGAAAGCTGTTTTCTGATCCAGTTGACTTCAGAGAGTATCGCCAAGAACAAAAGGCAGGCATACGCCGTTAGCGAAAAGGCTGGTCACCAAACTAGTGCAGAGTCTTGGGGTACTGGACGAGCTGTAGCTCGTATTCCTCGTGTTGGTGGTGGAGGAACCCACCGCTCTGGACAAGTGTGTTACACCTTTTTTCTGTATCTTTTCCAGCAGATTTACCGTCGTTTCAGGCTGCTTTCGGTAACATGTGCCGTGGGGGTCGTATGTTTGCGCCCACCAAGACTTGGCGCAAGTGGCACGTCAAGGTGAACCAGAACCAACGCCGCTTTGCCGTTGTTTCCGCCTTGGCTGCCTCTGCTCTTCCCTCCCTTGTTCTCGCTCGTGGTCACCGTATCGAAGAGATTGAGGAAGTTCCCCTCGTCGTTTCGTCTGCTGCCGAGTCGTTCAAGAAGACCAAGGAGGCCGTCGCCCTTCTCAAGTCCCTCCATGCCTACCGTGACGTGGTCAAGGTCTCCAACTCGCGCAAACTTCGAGCTGGTAAGGGAAAGATGAGGAATCGCAGACACCGCCAACGCCGTGGTCCTCTCGTTGTCTACAACGAAGACAATGGCATTGTCAAGGCCTTCCGCAATCTCCCCGGTGTCGAACTTGTCAATGTCAGGCGCCTAAACCTCCTCCAACTGGCTCCCGGTGGTCATCTCGGCCGTTTCGTTATCTGGACTGAGGGTGCATTCGGCCTCCTCGACGAAGTTTTCGGAACCTTTGACAAGGCTTCCGTATTCAAAAAGGATTACTTGTCAGTTAATATCTATATCAAGACCTTCATATTCTCATTGTGTTATTATAGCCTCCCCACCGCCAAGATTACCAACCCCGACGTTACCCGTTTGATCAACAGCGACGAGATCCAATCTATTGTTCGACCCGCCGGCCAGAAGGTCCAGAAACGCCCCTGGACTCAGAAGAAGAACCCTCTCGTCAACAAGGCTGTACTCTTCCGTCTGAACCCTTATGCCAAGTCTCTTCGCAGACAGGAGCTTCGTAAGTCGCACCTTTCATATCTACGCTAATCCTTATTCACTTATGTGTTCTCTTCCAGTTAAGCAGGAACGCCTGAAGAAGAAGGGAGTCAAGAAGACCAAAGGTACTGCCGCTGGCGAGGCTTTCCTCACCACCCTACAGGCTCCTTAGATAGTTACTGGGGTAGTCTGATTCGTGGTCACTGTTCGACGGTATATGCAGCTTGCTATAAGCCCCTCATTATGTATTATGCACCATGCTATGAGATACTTGTCGTAACACTTGTGGAACGGAAGCCTTGCCTACTAAAATGTCCAAGTACAATGGTATAAAAGTTCAAGTATGATCTCTAACTGCCGTAGGACCTATGGTATTATCTCCCTCAACTGACTGTCAATTATCTACTCTTCCCTTGTCTTTCGACGGGTTACTTGGCATAGATTCATAGGCGTTCGATTCTGAATGGTCCGAGTCAGCTTTCTTGATGTTCCCATTCTTTCCTTTATGCGAATGGTTGGGGTCTCCGCATGAGTGGCCCTCGTCAGAATCGCTCTCGTCTGACGATGAATCTTCATCCGATGACTCGTCGAACCGTCTCGGTTTGTGGTATATGCAACAGACTGGATACAGATCAGACACACGAATGATGAAAGGGAGCGACATGGACGTACTCTTGCTCTTCTTCTTCCCACAGCCTTCATTATCAACTACATCCTCGCTCCAAGCAACCCTAGGTTTGCGACGTGCACCCCGGAGGCGGAGGGAGCCAACGGCGGGGGTGCTCGAGGAGCTTTCGACGGGCGGCGCATTGGTAATGGTAACAGTCCGTGACCCGTCATTTGGTGAAGCAGTGGAAGATCGCGTTTGTGTTCTGGACGACATGGATCAAAACTCTACTTGTGGTGGTCGATGTTTTAGTCAACCGCAAGGTGTACTGACGGTGCTGACTAAGCGAACTTTATATGCCGCCGGCAGAACAACAAAAATTTTCAGCCTCGTTTTGGTCTCGCTACCAATCTTGTCGAGTAAACTTCACCGCAACATGGTACGATTGCCTCTAATCGTGGACTTATCATGACACCTATCAGATCTATGCGACTCTGTGAATCGTGATTTGAAATGGAACTAATAAGACAACAGTACAGTGAATGCGAAAGCGAAACGATGACTGGGGGTATACATGCAAACGAGGCCGAAATGAGAATAAATAAACAACAAGGCCCATGAGTAGGATAGCCGCCCGCGTCATGATGATAATACAAGGCAAATGCGTCGATGGGCACATGTGACATGAAAAGGCGCTGTGGTGAATCTAGACGCCGAAAACGAAACGAAACGAAAGCTGCGGAAGAGAATGCTCGTGGTTCAACCATAATACACCCTGCATCATTGATGAATTTCGCATCAAGACAGCAGCAGAAAGAAAGCTCACCCTCGGGATGTTGTTGATATCGGCTGGAAATCTGTCCTGCCCGACTCGACGAAATGGTTAACCGTGTCTAACCAGTCCCCTCGCGTATCCCAAGATATTTTCGAAGGAGGGTCGACTTCGACAGGCATCACTTGACTGACACCGCCGCATTGGATGATGACCACAAGACAGCCAATACCCCCGCCGTGACGACAGCGGTCTTCTCGTCGCTGGATATCGGATATCACGAGGGGGTCGCGGATATACGACCGTGGGACGATGTGAGCGTTGGAAACGGAGAACCTAGCATCAAAAGTGAGCAATCAGCCTTGGTCCGACAGGACGGAGAAGATAAGGATGACTTACCGACGATGTGACTCACTGTGGCTCCGGGGGGAAAGTTCGAGTAGGAGGCAGCTTTGTCGGATATTAGATGGAAGTCGCTTTAGCTGAAGCGCTTGGAACCCAGCCCATCCTAGCAAAGCACTGTGGGCGGAAGTGAACTTCCTTAGATTACGGGCAATGTTTTCGTCGCCATATGCGGCAGCAGCCTGCTTCGTGGAAGATATTTGACCGGCGGTATGCTGACATATGGGTTTGTGGGTAGGCCAATGGATCTTCTGGCATTCCGGAGACTAGAGAAAGACGTTCAGAAGGATGATCATGTTCCGATATTAACTGAAGACATACGCAGTATTGTGTTACGAGCTAAAGCGCAAACGATAAGGTCAGCAGGAAACATACGGAGAATAGATAGACGACATACGCAGCCTCCGCACAGCCGAAACTTAGGACCAGCAGGGGACTCGACAGCACGACACTGGTCACACATACGATAGCCGCGGGCCTTTTGATGGTGGGTAGGAGGGGTGTTGTAGTTGGCAGCAGCGGGCTGAGAGTAATGAGGCATGGCTAAGAAGGCGACTGGTACGACTGAGTATGTGACTCACTGAAAACCATCGCTACCGTTGGAGATTATATAGGCAGAGGGGAAACTCGTGTCCAAGTTGGGAGGATAGCTGGAGGGGTAATAGATCGAGGTGGAGAACAAAAAAGTAACCAAAAGGGTGGCCGGGGCTGAAATTCTTTTTGTTGTTTGAGACATTGGAGATACGCGCTGATACAGACCGGTAAGTGCAAATGCTTCCAGAATGCTAAGACAATACAGCCCCTTCGAAGCATCACGACATACCACAAAGACAAAAAACAATCATTTTTCTCACTTGCCTCTTTCGGCCTCTGACACAATAAACGCGCTTTACCAAATTGTCTGCTCGACACTCCAACAATTAGCCTCAATTAGCCTACAATCCAAGCACAATTGGCGTAGACGTATTCGACTTTCTTTCACATTACCCCAATTAAACCCGCTCAAAGCAATCGACCAACTTGGATGTCCCTGCGAATCGTTCCGTTGGCGACCTCATTGTCTTCACCCCCTGGTGTGGTCCGATGCGTCATTAAATACGCCCGGTCGGTCTTGATCTACTCACGACGAGTTCTACCGTTGGATCCGCTTCCTGTTCTCCCAGATGCCTCATGGTTGCTCCCTGAACACGTGGGATGTTTAAAAACATTCCTTTGTTAACATCTTCCCTTTCTTCTGCTCCCCGTATTCATCTCTAATTGACCTGGTCACCTTTACTTTCTTTGACTCCCTTTCAGATGGTTACCTCGTTCCGTTTAACTATCACGATTACCTGCCGTGTGTGCCAGGCTGTCGGACGAACTTAGGGCCTCCAAGATAGTTCCATCGGACCATCGATCATCCAGTATACATTCGCGTTTTTTAAACTACCCCATTGGATTCGGATACGATCCAGTGCATCAGGTTCTCACCTTCCTCTCGCTGGCCTGAGAAACTCTGTCTTCGGTGTACCTAGACACGCACTGTCGTCAGTCGAGAGCTTGGTCGTAGACTCGCCAGCTCTTCTAGGCGATATTGCGTCTGAACCGGCCTCGTTTTACGTGTACGCCTATCTTTCCGATAGTATCTACTCACGGAGCATGTTACTTATCTCTCTCGGAACGCTGGCTGAAACCATCTCGCGCGAAGCTCACCAGCTGCCGCTGCCTCCTTCATTCATCATCAATCCCTTCAGTCTGTCCCTTTGTCCTATTTCTGACTTATCGTCAGATGATGGTGTAAACGCCTCGTTGCTGGTCTCTGCGAGATTGGCGGAGTGATTGCTTGCTGAGAAAACGAGGCCCAAGGATACCATTACCTTGAAGCGCCAGTTACAGGGACTCTAATTGATTGGTCGGAGTTTCTTAGGGAATGCTGTTTCAAATGCTGTGTGGAATCAAATAGCGGTGGATCATCTGCCATTGTAACCTTGAGAATATCCTTTTGTGGGTCCGATGTGTGGTGTGGGTGTGTTGCGGTCTGTGCCTCAGCGCTAAGGGTACTTCCTGGTACGTTAAAATTGAACAGCAGGCTCCAAGTTTTTTGACCGGCCATTCGCTCAAGTGACTTCGTGCACTGGTTTCTCCACTACCTTACGAAAGGGTGCCCTTCGGCTTTGAATCATTGCTCCGCTTACTAACTTAGTGGAGATCAACCAGTCGGAACTCAGCGGAACCGGACTACGAAAGTTTAAATGATCAACGGGTTCGGAACTCTTCTCTTCGTCTATATCTTACAATCTGACTTTTTTTTTGGCTTAGGCATCAATCTTTGTACTCTACCTTCGCCGGGAAATTGTTGGATGCAGTATCGGGGCGCATGGACATCGGCAGAAGGATTGACGAAGTTGGTAAGTCAGCTTATCTTGCAGAGCCGCCAACTGTACAGCCTGCTATCTTTGCGCTTGATATCATCCTTTCAGTCTGGATGATGTATGATTTCTGATGACACTCAACGACGTTCCTCGCCGACCAGTTCTAGGAGATCAAGATTCTCCGGGCATCATATCCTCGAATTGGAAGTTTGAAAGTGAGATAGCATTGTAGGTACCATTTATGCTATGAGTGCTGTAAAAAACTTCATGTGCTATAAAATCCTTCCATTCTTACTTCCAGTAAAGGGACGTAGTTCGAGAATCCACATACGACGATACTCATACTCCCACCCTTGTTCTGGTTTGGCATCTGCCCCAAATTTGCCATTCCATGATGCATCTATAGAGAAGCTGTACAAAAATTCAATGTACCCATTGTTCTGTCACGCCAACATAGGCTTAATTTCGCTTAGACAAAGCACCACTACCGACGCATCAATTCTCGCCACAATAAGTGAACTTCAAATTCGCTGTTACGTTAGGAGGTCCAAAGGTCTAAGATGGAGAACAATGAAAGAATGTGAAGGGCCTGATGAAATAACTCCTCCGCCGCCGCGAAGGTAGGCCATCGATGACAATTCTATGGTGTGGCCAAATTTGATACGAGAATGCGATTAGCGCTTTGTAGGTGGGTAAGTACCTTTATCCTCGTGCCTTTTCCTTGCATTGTGCAAACTGCATCACAGCCACCTGTCGGATATTAACGGGCCTTTTTGATTAGGTTACGGTCGCTCTTATCGAGAATCTCGGTTTCCCATCTAATGACCTGCTCTTGTCTTGCAAACGTTTCTAGCTTTCGTTAACTTGATATTTGCCTGAGAAATACGGACGCGGCGATAATCTGCATAATACACACTCAGTCTAGACCGATGGTCCGAAATGATATCACGCGACACCTGCGGCAAGGCGTATTATAAACCCCCTTTTTGTAAATTTCCGTTTCGTCCCTCTTAGGCTCTTTGGCATTTGCCTACTTCGTCAGACTCGGAGAGCAAGAAGGACATTACTGTAGGTTTTCTTTCCTCTTGAAATGTTACTCAGAGTGATCTTTCGATTTTTCTAAGAGCGAGTAAACCGGCAGAGAAATCACGTCTTTTATCACCAATCCCCTCCTAGTAACTCAACTACTCCCATCCGTAGCTCATCGATAATCGCACCATGGACCATCTCCCCCCAGACCACTTCCTTTCTCTTCCTCGCCCTGACATATTAATTGGATCACCGGGTGGTGTTGTTGATACCACCACACTTGCCGCCCATGATTTCGACGTAGATAATCGGACCGGTTTTATGCCCCCTCAACCTCCTTTGGAGCGTCTTCCGGGGCAGTGGGAACCCTGGGAGGCGATATTTCAGGAAGCGCAAGAATCCGAGCTTCAATTGGGGGACAAGCCAGGACTCACGGATGCTCAAAAAAGCGTCTCGGAAACCTGGCGGTCCCGAGTCCGTAATGCAAGTTGCTTACTTATTTTACCACAGCCCCATAATGACTTGTCATTAAGCTTCCCTTGCTTCCGATTGATGATCTGAAGTCGTCCGAAGTTATGCTCCGACGCGGTCGACATGTCCTAGCTTGGATCATGCATTTCTATATCCACTCGCTTCCCCTAAATGCATCCATCGTAATACCTAGACCCGTCACGATACCCCTCCTGAAAATTTCTGCGCAGCTTCAGCTTCCACCCGTTCTCACATACTCCGATGATGTCCTATACAACTGGGACCTCAAAACTCCTTCCGAGTCCCCGGTCCCGGCTTTGGATAATCTTCGCAGTCAAAGTCTTTTCACTAATACAAATGACGAGCAAGAGTTTTACCTCACCTCTGCTCGCATGGAATTGCGTAGTGTAGAAGCGCTCGAGCTAATGCGAGCTACTATGGATGAAGCTTTCGTAGGCGACGACATCGCTATGCGGCGTATTACCGGATTTTTGCACCGCCTATCGACAGTCATTGACGAGCTTAAAGCACTTCTCCTTTCTGTTCGTGACGGCTGCAATCCAGAAGTGTTTTATCACGACATTCGTCCGTGGTTCAGAGGCGCTGATTCAGATCCTCAAAAGCGTGAGTGGATCTTTGAGGGTCTGGACGAGCTAGATATAGCCTATCCTTCCGAGCTCTCCGGCCCTAGTGCAGGCCAGAGTGCGCTCGTCCACGCTCTGGATATTTTCCTCGGTGTGGATCGCTATTCCCATTCATCAGACATAACTGGCGGAGGATCTGACGTGTCAGCAAAAAAGGCGTTCCTCAGTCGGATGCAATCATACATGCCGCGCCATCATCGGCACTTCTTGAATCATCTTTCCAATAACCCGCGGCCACTGAGAGATATCGTGATGGGTGGAAGGGACCAGAAGCTACTGGCAGCATATAATGAGGCTGTTGGGTCATTGAAGACTTTCCGGGACGCTCACATAATTATCGTAACGCTGTACATCATCGGCCCCGCAGGTCGCGCTAGAAGCCAACAAGAAAGCGAGACACCGTTGAAGGGAACCGGAGGCACCGAACTTGCGAAATTCCTTAAAGACGTGAGGGACAGTACAGCAGGAGCTCTGTTGAACGTTGAAACACCGTAGGCCATAGGCGTGTAGCGAAATACTGTATGTGTACAGCTTACCAGGGAGAAGAAAGAAGCAGAAGAAACATGTATTTGAACTGTTATGCCGAATCTGATGACGAGGTGACAGTACCGAGATAAGTACAAGGCTACAGTGTCTTGTCTGAATACACTTCAAACGCAGCGGCGGAATGTAGAGAGACTATAGCACGGCGAAGGCTAAGAAAATGAGCATTAGTTTTCGACGCCAAATGCAGCTTGACTGACCCTAATTGTTCATCGTAGTACTCTCGAAGTGCTCGATAGTGCTGCAAACGGTTACGCTTATGGACAAGAGCAAGCAGCATGACCGTGACAACTAGGACTATTATGGGATTTATAAAAGGACCCATGGAAATTGTCAAGACACCCACCTCCGATGATACAGACGGCCGTTAGAGAATATTGCCAAGACTGTATTTTCAAGGGAGCCTCAGGCGGGTCGGCACAGAATCCTCGATCACAGTTTCTCTATTAAGATATAATAAGTGTTCCACCTATACCTACATGACATACCGACGTGCATTCTTCCTGCGCTTGACAAGGATACCGAAGAGCCCTAGCAGCTTCGCAGACCATGCTGACTTGACCGCAGTAGTAATCAGGAGCCATGCAGTTGTCTCTGATTATCGTGTTGGTATATTGTTGCCCATTGAAGCTGTCTTGATAAGTAGTGTTCTCCGCGATGCAGGGCTGTCCGAGGGTCCTATTAGTGTACCTTCAAAACATCAGTAATAATCGATTGAACATTAGTCGACGAACATGCATATTGACTTCAAACAGAGAGAACCATACAAATCAGATGTAGGGTCTGTCGAAGTACCTGGTGGTGCGCACTGCTCGTCCCTGTTCAGCTGGCACGCGCCTCCAACAGTAGCTAGTGGCCAGCATCCGCTTCCTTCGTCAGGACAAAAAGTTCCTGCAGGGCACAGAGGCGGAAGCGCATCTTTTTCAGAGTATCCAAAGGGAAATTCGTCACGTCGACAGAGTCTAGGAAGGCATGTTCCGTTTTGTGCTGCCGAGCAGTAGGTCATGTAGGAGCATTCCGAGATGAACTTGAGAGAGACTGGATCCACATGATCGCGAGAGCTTGAGCAATTGGAACCAGATCCGAGAACACTGCCAGCCAAGAAAAGGCGAGAAAACAGGAAAGCGAAATGAGCGAAGTACGACACCATGGCGGAAAGAAGCAAGTCGCGACCGCACAGCCACCATGGCCTCTCTTTCATCAACCATTCACCCATTGTACGGCTTTCACCCTATCGTCACCACCAGCTTCCATGGCATCACCGTAGAGCCTTCGTGCTCCCTTTATCTTTTGCTCACCCTTCCACCTCTCGTTTTTGTGGATCCTTATGAGCTCGCCAACTACAAGGACTCTTACACATTTCGCCATGCAGGCCCGTCCAACCTGGAACTTCCTGTCTCTGCTATTGGGCCAAGCAACTCACACGTACTCATGAATGTATCGCGCCAAGCCATAACGAAAGGTGCGGTCCAAATACCGCTGCACCTGCGATACGGCGAAGTCACCGTGTCCATGGATGAATTCCAGGCGGTGGATATTTCTAAGCCAGAAGGATACGTGATTTGTGGTGCGTGTATAGTGTCGAAACCATGTCCATGTCCTAAACTTCCTTCAGAGGGTTGCACTGATTCCGATGCTGAATTGCATATACCTAAGGAATTCACAGCGTTGTTTCATCAGTCGAATATATCACGTCTCTCGCCGTCACCTTCATCAAAGACTGTCTTTTGCTACCAAGTGCCAGTTGGTAGAGCTGGAGACGTTTCTCAGGTCGAGCTAGGTATCGCAGTTACCATTCTGTTGTGCTTTGCCTACCTCGTTTATACGTTGTACAAATCTGCTATTCGGTTGGACGACCAAAAACACCCAAAGTCTTCATAAATCATCATCCCAAATTCGCTGTATGTTATGATCTCATGAACAGGATGTGAACAAAAACAAATAATCTATTGCAGCTACGTATGAATGTAGGACAGTAATCCGGTATAGTTCTCCAGAGTCATCAACTACTACTCCGAATATCCGATCATTACTCGCCATCCATTCGTTGATTAGGCGAACGGAGGACATAGCTATAGGCGCATCACCAGAACCAAACTAGCGTGGAGGCGTAAAAGCACTGTTTGGGCAGAAAGTGGCCAGAAGCGAAACCAAACAAGGGTGATGAAGTAGGTAATAAAAAATGAAGCTAAGGGTAGATTTATTTGACGAATAGGTCGGTTGTCGTCGTGGTTCAAGACAAACCATGGTGGCGAAATTTTCTTTATGAAGGATGCGCTATTTGTGCAAAGGCTTCTGGAGATAACAATGCGCACGGACCTTTTACTTGATTTCACTGGCACCTTCATTAAATCTGCGTTTCTTTAGCGACAAAAAGGCACTACTGCGGTGGCAATCTCTGCATATTCCATCCAGTTATTATCCATTAAAAGGCGTCGTCTTCGGCAGTATACAGAGTAGGACATGTTGTCACTGGCCTGAAACTCGATAATCAGGGTCCCCCCAAGTGAAGCCGAAATAAAACCATTTCCTTCTGCACCCCGCGGCGAACACCTTCGGATTCCCGACTGTACTTCTTTCCCATGAGGCGGCAGCTCTCCTCCGTGAGAGATCTCTTGTCATAGTCTTGGGGGGTCCCCAATAATCACTTCCGGATTGTTCCAACGTAAAGTCACGAGAACTCTTTAGGAGCTGAAAAATCCATGTGGGTCAAATGAAGAGGTCGGGTAAGACCCGGCCGTCTCACATTTGAAACGTTATAAAACTCATTTCTGCTTCGAAATAACCGTTCTGCGGCCATGAACACTGCTTTGATTCGCTTGGAGGACTTTGATATATCTCCTGACATTGGCTTTCTTGGCAGTCAGCCCCATCTTCATCTCACAGGTGAATGGAAAACATGGGAAGACCTACTGGGAGATGCCATGGAACAAAAGCTCGTTCTGGGCGAGAATCCTGCTTGTTCTGAGGCAACGTTAGCTGAATCTGCTCGTTGGCGCGCGCGCGTTTGTGAGGTATGAGATATCTCTTTGCTTTTCAGCATCCGTATTTTATCCTACTTCACTTTCGATAGGCGCCTCTGTTGTCAGCTACCGCGCTCGACGATTCAGTTCCAGCTCTCAAACGTGCCCACCATGTACTATCGTTCATTCTACACTTTTATGTACACACCTTACCCCACGAAAGTGCCATCTATATACCTCCCTCGTTGTCTGTCCCATTGGCGTACGTCTCTGACGTCCTTAATATACCCCCGGTGATCACATACTCTGATCTGGTCTTATACAACTGGACGACGGATCCTTCCACTGGCAACACCTACTTTCCTTCCGCATTTTCTGGCAAGGCTGACGAGCAAGCCTTTTACCGGGCGTCAGTCATCATTGAATTGCGGGGTGCCGAAGCACTTGACCTCATTCGCCAAATTTCAGACAATATTCTCATCGGCGCCGACGCCCAAATCACCAAGTTACTAACACGCATATCTGTTCTTATTAACGACTTTAAGAAGGTACTCCTCGACCTGCGGAAAGACTGCGATCCCGAAGCGTACTACCAGGAGGTGCGGCCCTGGTTGCGGGGCGAGGATTCGCTGCCTAATCGGAAGTGGACGTTCCAAGGATTGACAGGTGATTCCGGCGAGGCATTCAAGGAGCTTTCAGGCCCAAGTGCGGGCCAGAGTACGCTTATTCATGCACTGGATATATTCTTGGGGATAAATAACCATCTTGCGAATGGAACTCCATCGCTTTTTGGGAGGATGCAACGTTACATGCCCCGGGAGCATCGACTGTTCCTGTCTCATCTATCGTCCGCCCCTCGGTCTCTGAGAGATTTTATCACAGAGTCAAATCATCGAGAGTTGACGGATGCGTACAATAACGCAGTCTTGGCGTTGAAAGCATTTCGGGATACACACTTGATCATCGCGACACTGTATATCGTTGTTCCAGCCAATAGGGCAAGGGAGAGAGCTTCGATGGATATCGAATACGTTGGAACGGGTGGCACTGGGTTGGTATCATTTCTGAAAGGAATCAGAGACCGTACGAAGGAGAGTGTGCTGCCTACTGAACAAGGATCGTAGTATGTGACTTTATTCGTTCAGAGGATACGTACTCAACACTGTCTTTGTCAGATCATCTCATCAACTTTCTTGCATTTCCATATTGACGTGTTATTTACATGGAGCATCTATTGGCGTTGGGAGATGTACGACTTAGCAACAATGTCGCGTCGCCCTCTTTCATGGTATGAAACCGATGTGGTCCTTGAGTACCTCTTACAAACAAATGCTAGTTGATATTCTTCTCTCTTCCGCGGTCAGTTTCACCCGGGCCAATGCCTTGTTTTTTGCCTGAAAATCCGCTCGCCGAGTCAAGGACCACGAACTTGTAACGCTCTATATTTGAAGCATCATGGGGCCAGTTATGACCATTCTAAGGCAAGAGGAGTGGGTGTATTATGTGACCAATAAGCAGAGACAGAATTGAAGTCTTGATGTAAACCAAAGAAATAATAGAATGCGAAGCAATGCTGAGATCAAGCGATCACCGCTGGGATAAGGACAGGACGCAACTTTAACGCGTCCTCGGCCCGACGGCCCCACGTGCATTGCTTATGTAAGACATTTTCAGAAATTTTATGCCGGGGACATTCTGGTAATTTCCTTCACCTTCCTTTTCTTTCGTCTCGTTTACTTGAGATTGAAACTCTCACCTCTTCCTTTCCTCCAGTTCTCTTTCTCTCTACCACTAAAAGCTCTTGTTGAAAGGTGCGTTGGTGTCTTTACCAACTGAAACCGTCTGGCAAGTTTGCTGACGAATGGTTCTTGTTCTTTTCACCTTAATTCTTCTCGCGACAATGGTATGTGGTATGCTCTTCTGTATGCTGGTGTCTATCTCCGCCTTCCTATGCTTTGTGCCGCATACCCATGGTTCATTCTTCCCTCCTTACACCGGCATACCTCCCGACAATTTCCATTCAACATCACATCCAGATGCACCGTCTCTCTTCCACCGCCCGTCTTTCTGCACGAAAAATCAGCGGTGTTCGATACGCGCACAAAGAGATTAAATTCAGTAACGAAGGGCGCGCGGCAATACTCAATGGTGTCAACATCCTCGCCAACGCTGTTAGCGTAACCTTAGGACCCAAGGGTGCGTCTAAACTCGTAACCTTGCCGAGACAAACTTTTGATGCAGGTTGGTTGCAGGCCGTAATGTGATAATTGAGCAGAGCTTCGGCGGCCCAAAGATCACAAAGGGTGAGTGATGGCCACGACTAAAGATATACCTACGGTGTGCTGATACGGTCATTAGATGGTGTTACAGTCGCTAAGGCCGTCACACTAAAGGACAAGTTTGAGAACCTAGGTGCTAGGTAAGTGTTCTGAGCATACGTAGGGATGTGATAAGTTAACGCTTACGCTTTGCAGACTTGTTCAGGATGTCGCACAAAAGACAAATGAGATTGCTGGTGATGGAACAACAACCGCTACCGTACTCGCGCGCGCTATCTACGCTGAGGGTGTCAAGAATGTTGCTGCTGGCTGCAACCCAATGGACCTTCGCCGGGGTTCGCAGGCAGCAGTGGAAAAGGTCGTCGCCTTCCTTGGAGACAAGACGAAGACGATCACAACGAGTGAAGAAATCTCTCAGGTCGCAACGATCAGTGCAAACGGCGACGTTCATGTCGGGAGCCTGATTGCGCAGGCGATGGAAAAGGTCGGCAAGGAGGGTGTCATCACAGTCAAGGAGGGCAAGACGATTGAGGATGAGATTGAGATCACGGAGGGCATGCGCTTCGACCGGGGATTCATCAGTCCGTATTTCATCACGGACGTAAAGGGCCAGAAATGTGAGATGGAGAAACCATTGATCTTGCTCAGCGAGGGCAAGATCAGCGTGCTTGCTGATATCCTGCCGTCTCTGGAGATTGCCGCTCGGGACAGACGGCCATTGGTTATTATCGCTGAGGATGTCGATGGCGAGGCATTGGCAGCTTGTATCCTCAACAAGCTACGTGGTCAATTGCAAGTCGTCGCAGTCAAGGCGCCTGGCTTTGGGGACAACCGCAAGAACATCCTCGGCGATCTGGCGGTTCTTACTGGCGGCACCGTGTTCAGTAATGAAGTTGACATTAAGCTCGAGAATGTCTCACGGGAGATGCTTGGCAGCTCCGGTAGCTTGACTGTAACGAAGGAGGACACAATCGTCCTCAACGGTGAAGGCGAGGGTCGGGCCATCCAGGCGCGGTGCGAGCAGATCCGAGGATTGATTGATGACAAGGGTACGAGCGACTATGATCGTACACGTCTGCAGGAGCGTCTCGCCAAGTTGAGCGGCGGTGTCGCCGTCATTAAGGTCGGTGGCAGTAGCGAGGTCGAAGTTGGAGAGAAGAAGGACCGGTACGATGACGCTCTTAACGCGACTCGTGCTGCCGTTGAAGAGGGTATCCTTCCTGGTGGTGGTATTGCACTCCTCAAGGCCTCGCAGATCCTAGACGGCGTTGCGACTTCCAACTTTGACCAAGAGCTAGGTGTCAACATCATAAAACGCGCCCTCGCTGGACCAGCACGCACAATTTTGTCGAACGCTGGCGAGGAGGCAAGTGTGATCGTCGGTAATGTGCTAGAGCGGTATGCGAGCGAAGACAAGTTTAGCTGGGGATACGACGCGAGCAAGGGCGAGTATGTTGACATGGTCAAGAGCGGCATTGTCGACCCGCTCAAGGTTGTACGCACAGCGCTGGTTGATGCATCCGGTGTTGCTAGCTTGCTGACGACTAGCGAGTGTTCTATCGTCGAGGCAGAAGTTGAGGAGAAGGGCGGCGCACCGATGGGCGGAATGGGCGGAATGGGCGGCATGGGCGGAATGGGGGGTTTCTAGGCCCTTAAAAATATTACTAATATTGTATTTCACCCCACTCAATTTAATCTCATCACATGACTTTACGGCCCTGAATTTCGTTATACGTCACGTCACACTCCCGACAACTTTTGACGACCACGAAAAACGAACGCGATGCCCGCCCCAACGTCGTCTCCCGGCTTGCTATCACCAATTCCAGCCCTATACTTGTACCCTCTGAATGATTCGTTTGTACCGAAGCATATATCACTACAGTCGAGGGTGAAGATTGGACGTCAGACGAATGCAAAGACGACACCTGGAGAGAGGAATGGCTATTTTGACAGCAAGGTCTTAAGTCGACAGCATGCCGAAGTGTGGGAGGATAATGGCAAGGTACGTATACTACCGTCGACCACCTATGCAGCTACTGAGTTAGTGGCAGATATTCATCAAAGATGTCAAAAGTTCTAACGGGACCTTCATTAACGGCGAACGACTGAGCCCTGAAGGTGTGGAGAGCGAGAATTTCGAGTTGAAGAGTGACGATATCGTCGAGTTTGGAATCGATATTGTCGGCGAGGATAACAAAACAATCGTGCATCACAAAGTAGCTGCCCGAGTCGTGTGCGTGTATACGGAGCAGGATGCAATGGTTGCTGCACGGTCAGAGCAGGCATCACATTCATTAGGGCCCCCCCCAGTATCCTCATTTAACACACCTGCACCCCCCGGACCTGTAGCAGGACGGCGACCGGGCGGGCTACAAGCCATGGGAATGGGTGGAATGGGTGGGAGTATGCGCCCACCCGGGAAGAGTGGTCTGACTTTCGAGCATATTTTGAGCAGATTGCAGGGGGAACTCCAGAAGAGCCGGGAAACTGGGGCGGAGCTAGGGGCACTAACGGGCGCTATGGGGGACATCGGCGAGGTGTTGGGTGGCGGGGCGGGAAGTGCAATGCCGGTGAACGGTGCTCTACCTCCGGTCCGGCCTCCCGTGCAGGTGGTCGAGGAGCGTGCAGAAGAGAAGGAGAAGGAGAAAGAGAAGAAACGGGAAGATGAAGGTGCAGCGGTCATGGGTGAGGTCCAGAAGCAACTGGCTGATACCCAGCACGCTTTGGATGTCCATGTGGAGAAGGTCAGGGAACTAGAAGAAAAACTGAAAGAGCAGGAAAATATGTGGCGAGAGATTCGTAGTATGATTGTCGATGGCATGAACAAGCGAAACGAGGTAATTCTCACGACTTGGTTCTATATGTTTTTTCTAATGTTCTTAGGTCGACGACGATGAAGATGATACACAAAGTGTCACTACGGTTACGGAGAGAGAACTTGAGACGGTCGAAGAGGTTGACGAGCGTGAAGAAGATGAGCCACCGCAGGAGCGAGTTCGCCCCAAGACGCCGGAACCAGGAATGATGGACACGACGAATACAAGACATGACTGGTCTTCCGTTATTGACGAGCTCAGCCTCAAAGTAGGACGGTTAACTGACCAGCTAGCTGGGACACTCGAAAGCGCGGGCGTACTACGGGCCCAGCATGAAGCCGCACAAGACGTTATTCGTGGTCTTGAGAAGAAGGTTGAACGATTGGAGGGTCTGCTCACCGAGCGGGACAACGAGCGGGAGGAGCGGGAGCGCGAACGTGCTGGTCGATGGGAGGATATAATACGTCGAGTAGAGGAGATCGAGCGGCGGCAGAAGGAGGAGAAGAAACCAGAGGCAGAAGTTGTCAAGGTCTTCCAGGGTGACGGGCCTCCGAGTCCTCGAAGTCTTAGCAGTGACTCTGATGGACAGGACGGTGGGGGCAGCGGGAGACCAAGAAGGCGGGGGCGACGGGGGCGAAGCTTGAGTGCCCCGCCGCCAAACGACACGGAAGTGGATGAGGACGGATACGTAAAGGTGGAGGATCAGCCAAAAAAACAGAAATTCAAAGAGACCAAGGGCAGGCAGGAGATGTTGACTGCCTTTGGTGTGCTTGTGGTTGGGCTTGCGGTCGCTGGCGTGGTTTGGAAAGTCAAGGAGTAGCCGCTTACTGGGAACACTTTCACTTCTGGTATTTATTATTTATGTTTATGCACGTTACGGCTACCATACCTTTAATCTTTCACTTTGACGACTTTGCCTTCGAGTTCCAGCAATCAGCGGTACGCGGCGTTGAAGATGCAGTACTGTATCCCAGAAAGCTGTAACATTTATGGCACACATGTCAGCTGCAACCACAGAAGGAATCGAGGTACGTGCGCCGGTTTGCCTGAGAGCATTCATGCTAATGAGAATGATAGCATTTTTTTTCAGAGGCGTTGGTGACATCACTTTCTTTTTGCAGTCGTGCTATCATCGTAATCATGGCCGATTCCGACTCTTTCACCAATCCCCTTCACCCTCCAAAAATATAAAAGATTACTCGCTCACTATGCATGGAAGAGACTCTTATGCTGCCCTTCTCCAGAAGACAAAGAGCACGCCCTTAACATTCCCTCATCTGCTCGCCAGTCATCCTCAAGCCTTTCTGATATGGAACGACAAGCACAGGGTATTCCTGGCTCTAGACTCCAAAACGAATCTAAACTAGAAAAGATTGGCTTCGAGGCTAGAGCTGTCATCCATTCTATCCGAACCATACCAGATATGCTTCGAGAGATTTTTATGCACTGTGTTGACAACCATGGCTGTTGTGTTTTTCAGCAGGGTGTGTTTCGACGGCACAGGTCCGAAGGGCTGCCGGTGGATGTTCTCCCACACCTACCAGCATTGAAGGAGCATGGCGCTGGAAACCAGAGAACCTTGGCTAGCCGTTAGGGCTATTCTCCACTTTCATAGCGGCGCTGTGAGTTAGAATGTGCTCCGCCTCTACCCGGAACGTCACCATAATCTTTCGACCTACATATAGGGCAGAGATCTTTTCGTCACCTGGTACCAATTCTCTCCTCTCCTCTTATTCTCGCTTGTACCCGTATTCAGTATCTCATGGCGGTCGGTCGTCCCCTTCACATTCTTTGGAATAGACTTTACTACGTTCAGAGGATCCTTTGATCCAACGCAATTCTTGCGACGGAATGCGGCAAATCATTTATCCACAAGTCACCTGAACTCGATAAAGCTGCGGTGAAAGTTTTCGCGACGGATATTGAGTACTTCTCTTAAAGGAGGTTCGCAATGGTTTGCGCAGCGCACTTTCAGTTACTGCCCCTCTCGTAGACATCTTTATTTCGGTATTCGACACGACAAATAACGACCTCCAGATGTTGTCTCTGCAGCATATGCCCCATTTACGACGCCTGTATTCCAAGACTGGCCGGGAATGCCAAGTGATAGGTACCATTACGCTTGCGGTGCTAGCTCTGCAAATGCTCCAGTTGCTATCTTCGCGGCACACATCAACTCGAATTCCTCACCACGATTCCAAACATGCTCACATTTATAACAGTAAATTATCCAGAGAATCTCAATAAAAGTGCGCACCTGTCCTAGAATTCCTACGTGGATTAAATATTCATCACCTGGTATTTGCAGGACATTCCCCAGGTATATTTCTACTAAATTTGATTTTGAAGATGTCCTCCGAATCAACATAACACTTTCTTTCATACTTGCAGAATATCAATCTACGCATTGGCACGTACGACGATAATGGTATAGTAACTACCATCGGGTCCTGTCTCCCTCATGCCGTTCCCAGGAGGAGTACCAGTCCAGTCTAGCTAGCTGACAACTGGGCACCTGTGGCCAGATATATACACCTCCGGCAAATCTACTACAACGTTACCGTGCTATAGGTTGGAATGTTTCAACTTCACTGCTTGAAGGTTAGTAGATGATATCGATGGAGATTGTTGACTTCGGATTGCTCTAATCCTGTTTCAGATTTTAAACGACGTGCATTTATCCAGAGTTCCAGTAAACGGTTCAATCGAAAGGAACAATGAGAATAGCTAGCCGCACCTTGTTTGATTGAAATTGTATGCTAGTACCAGTTGAGACATGTAGATGGACGTCACGACGGAATTCTCGTCATAGTTGGCAAGCACCTATGAATATCAATAAACCGTCCAAGCCTTATTTGGAATACTGGATAACTTTCCATAACGATTTGGAGTTCCAAATGGACTTTCAGATATACATTAAAATTATTTAGAACCCACATATCGTAGATTTTCAAACCATAACACCATTATCCTTGACCTCGTAGATTCTGAGATAAACAGTTCTTGGCCTGATCTCAATCTGTTCCACTTTTGGATTCGAGCAAAGGGGATCACTAAATGAATTGTTATTGGCCAGCAGACAGGACAAAACCGGAGAAACTGACAGGAAAGTGACCTGAGGGCTGAATTGGTGAGCATCCTCAACATTTTCGCAGTCCAGCAGTGTGTTGGGAGGGCGGAAAAGTATAAGTTAAGTTAAATTATTGCCAGCTAATTAAGGAGCGCATCGTTGTGTCTGATCGGAATTGAAAGGAAATTGAAATAAAGCATCCAAAAGAAGAAAAGCTGGCATTTGGAACAGGTTTAGATGACGGTTTGAAGCTGGAAGAGGGGTCCGAGGCCTCATCCAGATGGGTGGTTTGGAAGTGGGTTGAACAATCCTGAAATTTTTGAAACAGCTTACCAATCGCGCCGGCATGTCGGCAAGTCACACTCTAGAATGAAATCTGAATTTGGAACCCGTTCTAAATGTTATGGAAAGTCATCCACTGTACATATAAGCAGCATAGGACGGGTTTAAAAGTTTACCAGTGAACTTCGGAAGTCTCCTTCACGATCGATGATCGATCCTCCAAGATGTTGGCATCATTTTGATTTGTGCTACAATCCGACTTGTTACCTTGCTGGTAAGCAAGGTCTACCCGACCCGAAACTTCCCACCCATGTTTTCTCCCGAAATCTGCCAATTTCAAACTGATGTTTGTTTCTCTTTGTTCCTTTGGCCAGGTTCCTCCCCCCCTTGTCGTACTCAAAACCTGCCAATTTCCAATTCATATTTGTTTCTGTTTATCCCTTCGGTCAAGTTGCTCCCAGTCTTAAATGCTCGAAATCTGCCAATGTAAAATACTTTACCGTCTCGGCTGGGTGATCATGATTGCCACCTGCTGGTATGATGAAAACGTTATTATATGTGGGCTTTATTTTAGTCATCTATGTACCTTACATAACTGTCAGCCATTTCTACCTAATGTCGTGAATTCTATTCTTCTGTATCGTTCTTCAAGCTACAAGAATGACTACCATACGAATGCTCCTTCCTCATATCTCTTCCTTGTCATCTCAGTTAATTCATCCAATCGGACATCTTCCGCTTGAAGTGCAATAGATGGGCAGTTCGTGAATAGAGAATCTTCTCCCCGCCTCAACAACCTTATAGTTCCTCTTCCCCGACTCCTTGATAAAGCGACATAAGCGTTGAACGGATCCAGCTTCCCTGATGGTGGTCGGCCTAAATCCACTACTACATATTCAATCGTCTGGCCCTGACATTTGTGATGTGTAAAGGCATATGCTGCTGTTAGGGCAAACTGTCGATGATGAATCCTAACACTCCTTCCTTGATTGATCTCCACCGAAAAGGACCCCTCGTTTGCGACAAGAGGAATTAATCCTTTCCCTAGCCCAGGAAAGCAGTATTCTTCGGAAGGGTTGTCCGGTCTGAATATGATGAGCGCTGGAGGGTACTGCAGCTGTATCTCCGTGCTCAGTAGCTGGTCCTTCGTGAGACGTTCCCTATTATCCAGAACAATGTCCTCGATCACTCCATGGGTACCATTTGCTATGTCTGCCTCCGTTGCAATGTTCATCATCACCATCACCTTCATACCAATTGCTATATCCAATTTGTCTGCCAGCCGAGCCGTGTTTTGAGTTCTCATACCCGCAACAGCTACCCTTTCCTCCATGGTTAATGTTCCCCGATCACGTCCACAGGCATCTTCTGCCGGACACTTGTAAAGTCTTTGTCCTGAAATACGGCAGTGACGCTTGATAGCACGCTTGTTCCATTCCTCCCGAGGTCCATGTCTAGATGTGACAAGAATTGCATCCACCCATGGTTTGACAGAAAAATCCACTGTATCCGGCCTTAAGACTAGGTTGTCCAGTTCTTTCAAATCGTCCATAGTACAAGCACCAGTCCTCAGACGATTTAGCAGACAGTTCCACCCTTCATCTTGTGCACGGTTCTGCTTGACCAACGTGATAACGGTGGTGAACATATCGTACAGGGCTTTGCCAATACTTGCACGATCACTAGTGCAGCGTGGGTCATACAGAGCGGTGTTGCTCACAGGCAGAAATTGATGAAAATCCCTGAATAGAATGACACACATTCCACCGAAAGGCCTTTCTCCATGACCACCTTCTCTTGCTCGATACCTTGAGAGAAGCTGAGACACAATGGCGAGCATCTCTTTCGTGAGCATCAAACACTCATCGATTTCAAGATACTCTTTGCCTCCAATGTTCCGTTCCCTTTTCGTGACAATCTCCTTGCTACTTCGCATATACCAGTCATCGTTCTTTCCTGGGTTGACAGGAATTCCCCCAAATGAATGTAATGTCTGACCACCAATGAGACTCGCAGCAACCCCGAATGTGGCCATTTTGGCTAACTTGTCTCCTGCATGGTAGTAGTCGAATGTTTCGGATATTGCGTTGATTAGAACGGTTTTTCCAGTCCCACCTTGTCCCTGGACTTGCATATATAGGGGACGAGGATTTCGCCCTCCCAACAATGCCTTTAGGTGATTTTCGATGATATTGTGAGCTCTCCTTTGTTCCGCGTTCAACTTGGCTAAGAGAGGGCATGATTTGTGAGGAAGTTCCTTGGGAATGTCTCGACTACCTCCAGGTTCTGAAGGTCCTGCCATAGGGAGAGTCATAAAGCGCTGATCTGTGAGGCTACTTCCCTGCTCTTTCTCTCTGTTCCTTGTAATGGCTTTGAGCTGCTTGTTCCACTCCCAGAACTGAACAATATCCTCAGCATCAGCCACATTTGCCACTGCCGCAAGAGCAGTGTAGATGACTTCATCTCGAAACACTCCAGCCATCTCCGCAACATCCATGGCTGCCACCCCAAACTCAAACTCCCTGGCTGGATATCTGAGAGTCTCTGCAATTGCGATATCAACTTCTGTGAAAGGCTGTTGTTCCCAAGCTTCCTGCATTGGCAAATCTGCGTTCGAATCCCCTGCTTCATGCTCTAGTCTCTCCTGGTCTTCCAACGTCAGCATCCCACCAGCTAGAGTAGTAGGCTTGGCAATGTGAGCTTGATCCGAAGCTTCGTGAAAGTACTGGATGTTGTCCAAGATGTTGAGCTCCTTCCCACCCAAATTCGCAACCATGACTTCAAACACCTGTGCGAATGTCCCAAATCCTGCTTTTAGGTCCCTCATGGATCGCCAAGGTTTCAATAAAGCCAGCATTGAAGCGCAGTAGAATTCGTAATGATCAGGCCGGTCCTGCCTTGGAAACCAAGTGCCTACAAACTGAATCAATGTTTCATGCCCTTGTTTCATGCCCTTGTGATCTCACCACCCTACAGCGGTTTCCGTGACCAGTGTCGGGTTTGTATGGAACTCGGGTACTCCTTGCTGTACCTCCACTGCCATCGACCTTTGCCTTTGGCAGGTCTCCATCATATGTCTCCGTGAAAAATTCCATGAAAGTCATGTCCTCCAGAGCTTCACCTCGATCAGAGTACTCTCTTAGCTGATCCCTCAACTTTACCTCTCCCACCACAACTTCAAGCGTCAATGCGATTTCCCCGCTGTTTTCTTCGACTGAGGTCCCATTGGTGTCCCGTACGACTTCCTGGGTATAAGATCTAAACAATTAGTAACTTTGTAGATAACAAAGCGCAAATGGACAAACTTTTTAGGCCTCAAGTCCGGATACGCATCAAGTATTGCAGCAGTTACAGGGTCCCAATATACTGTAACATAATGGTGGGATACAAATCGGTCCCCCCAACCCATTAAAAGAGAAATGGCTTCGCAAGCCCCGAACTCTTGCTCTTTGTTCATAGAATGTGCGAACTTCTGAACCAACTTTTTACCCAAGTCTCTGCACGCCAGAACATTGTCGTTCATCTTCATTTCGTAGGCCAGAGTTCAGGCAAGCACAGCAGAGGTGTTCCAAGTAGCCGCCTGCTTTTTCGTTGCATAGTTTGTGATATACCAAGTGATATCCTTCGTATCCACTGAGTTGGTAATGATCTTGATGTCTTGGTTGCTTCGAACACATTGCAAGAGCTCTGGACTCCATGCGACCATTTTCACAGACAAACACTTTGGACCCCATTCACCTGTAGGCAGTACCCATGCATCGGTCGATAGTGCAAATGGAGCTTGTCTCTTGCAGATGATTCGATTGTTACGTGCTTTCAAGCACATGCCCATTTTGCATTGGTGGTGCTGAACGGTCCGTGCTACTGATATTTGATCTGCGGCTTGTACGGCTTGATAGTCAGGAAGCCCAGGATGTGGAGGTCTTGAGTAAGAAACCTCACGTATCTTTGGCATACTCTCTATAGCCTGACTTGAAGCACCTCCCAGATCTGCTGTTATGTTTGCTCGGATGAACGCTTTCACCTTATCCCTAAACTTCTCGGATTGCAGTGCTGCTCCCATCCGCTTTGCCAATGGTGCACCTTTTAACCACAAGAGCATGTGCAGGTGAAGGGTACCTCTTCCTTGAGCTTCCACTGTTCCGATGTACGCATTGACCACTCCGAAGATCCCTTCCTTCCTGGATATCAAAGATCGAGTCCCAGAGACACCCTGTATCCCAAACAGCTCCTCCAGAATGACTCTGATGACTAAGTGAAAGTACTGAGTCGCTGCAAATGGATCGGCTCCCATGTTTTGCCCTCTCCTTTCCGAATTTGGTCCAGCAGTGGAAACAAACTTGTCCAAGTCAATTTTCTCCCCAGCTAACACCTGAGCGATAGGATCATGAGTATCGGATGGATTGATTGTGATCCACAAACTGGGTGGATTGAAAGTCAAGTTTGTGCTCCATATCTTCGAACGAAGTCCCTTCCTGGATTCATCTGTACCTGGAACCCGAGCTCGAACAGTGGAGAGCTGCTTTCGCAAAGCCTGGATGCCAGGATGACTGAAAGGCACATGTCGAGTCTCTTCTTCACTTGCTTTTCGTAAAACATCGGGTGTGAGAGTCATGATGGCTGCACGATTGTGGTGGAAGCTGGACCTTTTGATTTGGAGACAAGCAGATCTGCATATGCTATGCTTGTGTATAACGCCATAGATCTGGAAAAGGAAGTGATAGTCCCTTCGAAATCTCTTATCAGCATATTGTAGTGCCCATCTAGAATGAACCTCATAGGGAACATTGACAGGTCTTTCGACTTTGAATCCTCCGCATCCGTAGGGAAATAACCAAGGAAAACACCCCAGCAAATGGTTAGGGTTTGATGGTCCCCCATCTGTACGCTGACCAGTGTGTTCATTGACTCTAGCGTACTCATTGACAAAGGCGCTGCCTCGTCTGATGAAGTACTTGTCCTCTGGTCCTAAATGACTGTTTTCTCCAACATCGGCCAGGTTGGTCAGAGCATGAGTCATGATATCAGTGTCCGTTATATTGTCACCGTTCACATCAATCATCCCATTCGCTTGGAGGAAAAATACATCTACATAGGACTATAAGCAAGATAATAACAAGACCGTGTTTCTCTGAACTTACCAGGCTCTGTATCAGGCTCCCTTTCCATGTCATTGTCAATGCGGATGATGTCTGGCCTGTGGGCTGTGGTTTATGTTAGCTTACCGCTCCTGTAACCTACATAGGAAACCAAGTTTTTACCTATGCTCTCTACTTGATCCTGCTCTGGAACATAGCTGTCCTGCTCGCCGGCCAATCCAACCATGTCATGCGAAGTCCTAGCTGTAGACAAGATTTCCTCTGGAACCCCATCAACAGGAAGCTGGCTCAGCGTCTCTTCGGAAATGATAATGTCCTTGTAGAGAGGATTGTTCCGCTTCAGCCACAGCAAAGCTTCATGTACCTGACTCCTTTGCACATGAAACATCCGTGGAAGCTGCCTCTGCTTTATACCACTTGGCGTAATGAAAGTGATCCCGATTACTGTGGCCAATACACGAGCTTGCGGAGGCAAAACCGTAGATGAAACCAGTCCAGCAATGTGATCGGTATTCAAAGGATGGGTGGAGACATTTCCTTTAAGCCCATAGTACAGAGAGTCCTCCTTTGCCCACAGTTCTGCATTCTCCGCCTTTGGATACAATTTCACCAGATAGGAGCAGGGAAGATGTCTTGCAACCAAAATTCTTTCTGGCAATGTTAAAATCACCAGCTCCCTAGGGATTTTCCTGATCCACAGGTTGTTGGCAAGCGAAAAAGCAGGTAGCCTATTCTTTTCCAAGTTCTTGAGACATTCTCTGCAAACATGTCCTTCTCCGTTGTTTATCCCATCTTTGTAGAGCAGAACGCCTTCGAATAGAACTTGATGCGGATGGGCATGCCTCAGTTTGAGTATAGACTTATTTGGTATTTGGTCGACTGACATCACCTCCAGATCTTTGGTGAACAGCAGTCGGGCACAAACCATGCAGACACCTTGACAAAGGCTAGCGTTGGAGGTACGAGTGATATAGTTCTCCACACACATAGCGCAAATCTCAGACCCAACGGTGTTGAAGAACGGGCCACTAATGAGGTCGTCAACCAGTGTGCCATCAGATCCTGCAGTCACACCATCAGAACGGTTCCAATACAAGTCTGTACTGGAAGGTTCATCTTCGGTATCAACCCTTCGCCGCTTTCCAACTGCTCCTACAACGTCCTTTCGCTTCCTTTTCCTCCCCTTTCCTGACTCCTGATTAGCCTCCTGGCGAATGGCATGTTGAACTTTGAGTGACTGCGTTGTGACAAATTCTAAAAGCGGTCCTCTAAGGTGTTTGGCAGAACGAGGCAGCTCAACAACCCTCTGTACAATGGTGATAAGCTCAGGAACGGTAAAAAACTTAAGCTCATTCTCCACAGGGACACCATCGGCGAACGATATATGTAGATGCTTAGGCATGGAGTGGGGAACGATTGAAGAAGGAGGCTGATTTTATTCGTCCCAGTCGACTATGTATTATATATGGAGTAGGAAGCTAGTGACCCGCATTTAGAAAAGGTAAATTGAAATGACCGAAACTAGAATATGGTTCCGTATCCAAAGACATCAGCAGGTTCCTGAGTGCCCAAATTAGACAAAAGTAGAGCACAATGCAGAGAAAGACATACGCTGCAGTACGCATGGCATTGGAATAGTTTCTAATATTCAGACCACCTGACGTCCTACTCGCATCCGTTCCAAGATGCATTCGTGTGGGATGGGGGTAAGAAGTTTCTGATGCCCTGGTGTCAGTTGGCACGGAGACGTCGGCCTTGATAAGTAATATGGCGGTGCAGTATGGGGTCTCCTTGCTTGACACTGTCTCATAGGCTAAACCGTGGAGGGTGACACCACGAGTTAAGTGAATTTGCGCCCATTCGACAAGGACATGGCTGAGTGCTGTAACAGGGTGGTCGTATCCAGGTAAGAGGAAGGTAGTCAATACGACTACATGAGTGACCTGTTGGAGGCCCTCATGAATGAAGATCGGAGTGTTGGTGTAAGCAATTGACCCTGGTCTCAGGTATGGCTCCAACCAATCGAAAGGGAACATGGTTCTAGCCTCGTACCAAGCTTCAAACCAAGGTACAGCAGCAGAAATATGGATGAGGTATTCGATATCGGAACTTTTTGCGTGGTATGTGACAAAGTCCTAGGAAAGCATGGTTAGACAGCGGGCGACACCTTTGATGAAGATACTTACACTCAAATAGACGACGAGTGAGACCTTCATTTTGAACACGGACTTGGCATCCTCCGCTATCTCAACCACATGAGCCAGAAATGAGATCACGCTCAAAGGAACGGAGCCGGTGCGTATGTGGACAATAGAACCTAGTTCGGGAAAGGTGCAATACGCTGCCCCCAAAAGTCAGTGCTTGGTACACGCAGTCACATTGATAGTACGTACCCGATTTTTGGAATGGGTGCAAGGCTACAATCTCGGTGATTGGCCGAGGATGAGGCTTTGGCACAAAAATCGGTGGTTCATTGTGATTGTACACCGTAACTTCGTTCGAAGCCATACTGACAACTGAGCGCAGCGAACACAGAAGGGGATGAACATAGTGATATAGGAAGGCATAACTTTTCCTCCGTATTTACATCTGTAGACAGATCTAGATGAAGGAGTCCCTCGATTCCATGGAAGCTTTTTTCGCCAGATACGAGACTGCCATTTAGGGAACACGCAGTCTGCAACATGACCCCAATATTCAGTACGATTGAGGAACGTCGCACACTCTAAATTTGCCACAAATTTTGATAAATTTAGATGTATTAAAAAAGTGCCAATGAAATAGCAATTTAGAGGGCGCCAAGCTCATAACATTGAGCATATTAAGTCGGACAAAAACAGCGACCTCATCATCCTTCTCTACCCAGTGTGAACCCAGCTGAAGCCTTAGGAATATGAACTTTGAATGGTCTATCAGTCTGAACAAGTGTGCATCGAATTCACGGATGGCCGAACTGTACTTCCACCTCCCCGTCTTGTCCGCCCAAGATTTGACGTGAAACCCGATTGTCACGATCTCCAATTGTCTTGCAGGGAACGTGGCCAGTGAGGAGGTTAAAGGAACCAATTCCGTATCGCGGCATTGAATATTCAACTCTGTCAAACGATGACAACTTTGAAAATCAAGAATACTCGCGGTCCAAAGCGGATTTTCACAACAACCTAGTCCTGAAATCAAATTTGATTATGAAGCTCATGAGAAATCTTACACACCTGCTTGGATCATTTTGAAGCGCTTGATATCAGAGTACCATTGATCCAGAAAGCCTTGAACAATGACCGTGTCCATGTCCAACTCTGCACGCACATAGAGATTCCTAACTTTGCTAGCGGTACTAAGCCAGGAGTATAAGGAGTATCCGAAATGGGGAGGAATGTCCTGGAAATCGATGTATAACGTTTGCAGTATAAGGTCTTCCGCGTCTCTGCTTGGTCCCACAGTCGCTCTTGTCCTCCCACCACTGATCGAGAGAGAACCCCAGGGTGTCAACAAACCCAGGAGAGCCTCCTGCGTCATCGAACAGTCCAAAAGGACAACCTCCTGAACCGTGGTGTTCAGAAGTGAGATAGGGCCGGAAAGACATGTGTCCCAGAAAATAATGGTTTGCACGTTGGCAAGAAGACCAATAACTGGTCCAAGAGTCGACGGATCAGCGTTTTCGTGCTGCCACTGGATAGTCACTGGCAAGGCACGCGAATCATGATGAGCAGGCGATTGGAAGTGAGTAATGACAGAAGGCAGGTCGATTACAGTAACCTCAGTGATGTGCCAATCAAAGTTCATGGAAGTGAAGCGTTGCAGATTCTGGCTACCAAAAAGGGTCTTTGAAATGCGCATCGTAGAGTCGTCGCCCTATTTATTGAGGTGGGAGACGCGTCCAATAATTTGCGTGGATGTCAGGGAATAGCTCCGGCAGATGCCTGAAGCATTCCATCGTAATCTGTACACCCAAATGGACTAGGACCTTGAATCATCTACTTATCTACAGAGTCAATTCAAATGCTGGCCAAGGAACATAATGTAACCTACCGGGTAGCTGAAACAGCAGTAAATTGGCAGGCGGTGTCCATGAGTCTCTAATCTTGATCTTGAGCCTTACGTTGCGATGAGCTTGGTTGCAGCATCCGTGGAGGGAAATATTGCACCATTAGTTCTATGTCGAACACAGAAGATAGCAACAGATCCATGTAGAACACGGATGAACGTTGGAGCCTGAACAAAACCGTGGCGATGCCATATTCATGTTGTGGTTTATTTGTCATCTTTTGATTATCACTTACGTCGGCAGTTTTCGGCCGATATGCTCCGACATGAAAGTAGTACCAGGTTCGAGCTGTAGTTATTTATTAGTACTTCGTCCACTCTACCTACTTCCACTTGTATGTACATGGAAAAAACCTCCCTAATTTGCAGAAAACAAAAAAAAAACTTGATACTGTCAATCACTGTGTCAACTGTGATCACTTGCAACGGAATCCCAGGGCAGGAATTCCATCTGGTTCATCACAGACGCCTGCACGGTGCCTAGGTTGATGGTGATAGACCCATTTGCTTTTAAAATCAGTCTAATATTCTTATATGGAATCCATGCAAGATGTCGATATTTTGGCATCTTTAAAATTAGAGCGTCTTCGTTTCTTTTTTAGTTGTGAAATACATCTATAGGGAACCAATTCCAATTGTGCAATAATTCTCTCCCACAGCATATATTACATATTGGTCAGACATATTCCTGGTACATGTGACAATCTGTTGCAGCTGTCCATTCTACTGACAACATGCCACCCTTGATCGAGCACGCAAGAAAGCCTTCCACCCAGTCCTTAACAAGTCGGAGCTGTCGTTCGCCTTCCAACCGAATATGTAATACCAACTTTGTAGAGGCCAACTTAGAAATAGAGATGTCGAAGGCACGAAATCCTATATCCTCATTGTTCAGATAGCCACGCCATAATGCGCCCCTGATACAGTACACATGGAATTCCATACGCTTCACCGATGAACGAACTCCGCTTAGCGTGGCAGCAACGCCCTGAATATTGACATGAAAGCAGTGAACAATGAGGTCTGCAAGCATAGCACATTTGCTGAGCAACAGCGGTTGGACCCACGATGAGTTCAGGTCATATTCATCGAAGGCTAGACAAATGGATATCAATAAACGGAGAATCATGCCGTGAAGAAACGCACCCTCTTGCCATATACTCAGAGACCTGAGAGTATTCACATTCTGCTCAATGATTCTGTTCACATACAGAACTATGTCCAGTGTAAAGACGACTTCGAAAGTGACCAAGGACCGCGCTCGCTCAAGGAGCAACACGAGCTCGTTTAGAGGTGACTGTATAATGGGGTAATACCGGGGAGTGCTCCACTGGAAGTTGGATAGATCCAGACTTAGCCCCCTTAATCTTGCAAGTGGTAGAGGTGATGTGGGACTGTCGCTCTCCCCATGGCGATGGAGACCTGCATAGCTTGTCAAGGACCATTCCTCAATACAACTGTTACCCAGGATGAGTCGTAATGCAAGCCTCGAAAAGTCGCACTGGTCCATGGTCACGATCTTGATACGGCCAAGCAATGCAGGTGCACCATCCTCCACCTCCATTGACATGGAACGAAACTTCAACTTGACCACAGAACCCAAAGTATCCAGTAACATGCGCAAGACACCGTATTCGAATACGACGTTTTGGAAGGAGAGTGTGGTGGCTTTGCGAACGATATTGGGATGTCTCCTGCAAAATCCGGCCACGTCCAAAGGAGGATGCGATGGGTTGATATGGATGGTCCGATATGTCCAAGGACGGCAGGCTTGCTGTAGTGTCCTGCAGGAGAGGGAGAGTGACAAAAGGGTCTCTAGATCGCTTCCTCCGACGGTGTCTGCGATCTTGAGAAGAACATCTTCACACAATGTTGACGATGTCATTGAGAAGAGGAACGAGGCCATTTCCAATATATGAGCATAGGTCGTGAAGTCCAAAAGAGGAACGCCAAATATTGGTCCATCGTCATTACAATGATATAGTACAGATAGGTACAGAAATTGATTGTACAAGCATCTAAATCCAACTGGAGAGAAAACACGACTAAAGAAACTGCAAGATGACTGTATCTAGGGAACTTCGTGATTGAGTACATGCTTTTCAACGAAACACTTTGAAAGAGCCTCCAGACCTTGTGACATTTTAGTCGCGGCATGCCATAACCTGATGCTGCGCCTCCACTCTGTCTGGTTTTGACACCTTCCTTTGGGATGTCCATCGCGGTACCATTTGACTCGTCGAAGGTACCAATGTTCCGCATCCGCACTCCAAAAGCCAAGATCCAAACCCGAGTTCTTGAAACTGCCTTCTTTGGGAAACCACGACACATCTTGGGTCATACTGATACACTTCGATGAATGGTTGTAGACTTTGTAGGTGCCGCATATGATATCTATCTGGTCCTCTCGGAGTTCTTCTGCCCAGATGGGTGAGCTATTTCTTCGAGACCTGTCCTGCAGAACGTGGGTAGAACCTTCCTCAAAGACACCTTCGCCTGGCCCTGACAGCACGAAGCTGGAGCTCTCTACATGGTCCATCGCGATACGCCAAATCAGTCCACCGTGCATTAACGCAGCCCTAGCGACAGAGGGATTCGCCAACAAGATAGCTCTCTTCCATACATAGTATGCGTAGTCAGATATGTCTGTTCTGAACCCTAGCGGTCTGTAAGGAATAGGTTCAGCATAGTGTTTTTTTGGTCAGGTGTTGGAAAGGGAAGCATCGTCCGAGGTAGCACCCATTGTAAAGGCAATCCCATGGGAGCAGAGCTCTTCAACCAAGTCATCCAACGTCGCCACATTATTCAACCGAAGGCAATGCAAGACGTCAGTAGCCCGATGAACAACGAGCTTGTACAATGGTTGCTCCTTGGTTGCCACTCTGATAGCATAACCGTCGATTTCACCATCAGATGATTTCACGGCCTCCACCTCCAAAAAAGATCTGTATCTTGGCAAATAGTGGCTTGTACCTGAGCACAGATCCCACCAACCTTCAGGAAGACGAGGACTTGCCACCAAGCTTTCACCGTGTGTTTGTTCAATGTGCCACTGTAATCCACTTGACAGAAGAATGAGGTCCGAGTCTGATGCAGCAGCGTTCGGATCCTGAGGCGTGTTAAAAGAACCTAGGCCTTTGCAACATTTGTCTCGCTTGGCCTTGTCTATAGAAGTCGTGGAGGTTGATGATGTGGCTGAGGACGGGAGAATGATGCCATAACGGTAATGAAGAACGGCCTCTAAGGTCCAAGATACTATTTCCTTCGTATTACGATTTCGCGCATTATCTTATCTTATCGACTCTCTCGTAATCTCGCTATGCTAACTCTCCGGACTTGATCGCATTCTACCATGAGGATTCAGTATGTTCACCGTACCGTTGCAGACACTTGTAGTATATTTAGCACGATCCAAACTGTATTTAAGTAGCTCGACTGCAGGTCCTAAACCTCAGTCTCGAACTAAAGTTTATTCACCCGATAACTTAGTCTGAACTCACTCTCGCTCAACTAAGCGATAGCTCCCTTAACGCAAACCTGCGGACAACACAAAGCGCCTGACCGAAGTGCGAGTCACGCTTAGTTGTTTGATCTTGTTTGTGAAATCGGTCGCTAACAATTAGTTCGAGACTTTCTTACTCTTCATCAACAACCACATTGACGAACAGTAACGAATGAACCCCATTGAACAATACCTCACCGACCTCTTTGGACTACAAGGCTTCATTGCCATAGCCTACCTCGCATTCCTATATGGATACGAGCACAGACGAAACGAGGAGCCAGTCTCCGAAGAAACTCTCCCCGTCGAAGCCCCCAACCCAGAGGCTAGACGACCGCACACACCCCCTCCCAACTACATTGACGACCGACCAGAACCCATCATCCACTTCATTTTCATCACAGACGACGAGTGGATCACAGAAGACTCCAGCACAAGCGAGTCCAGTGAGTCCGACTCCGAGGTGGAAGGATGGCCCGCACAAAGAGGCCCAGTCGTTGAAGAAGAAGAAGAGCGAGGAATCTACGAGCAAGGGGTGGACCAGCGTATTCTCTCTCCCATTACCGAGGAAGAAGGCGAAGGGGAAAGCGAAGGAAGTAATCCCTGGGACGCCCCCTCCCCCACCTCAACCGAAAACTCAGCTGCCAACCCTGGATATGATTCATACGGCCAGCGCCTCTATCAGCGAGGGCTTAGATACCATCTGGGAGAAGGAAGAGAGGCTGAAGATGGAACTGGAAGCAGTTCAAATGAAGAAGGCAGCGATACAGAGGAAGACAGTGACAGCGACGAGCTCCCAGGGCCGCGCAACAACTGGTCCCCTCCACGACTCGATTCAAGGGGAGAAACGTGGGGCTACCACTACGCCCGCAGCGACTCATCAGACGATGAAGGCAGCTACCTCAACCTCGTCACCCGCCCGAACACCCCAATCATCCTCAACGATCGGCAAGGGGAGGCAACTGTCGAGCTCGACAACTGCGGACCCACATACGACGCAGACGCCAGCTGCGATATATGCAGACAGCTGCAGGACTACGCCGACGCGTGGCTCATGTATGAAGGAATCGAGGCCCCTGCCTCCGTTGTCCCCTACGCCATCTACCCCCTTGCGCCCGAACACCCCCATGCGGCCCCCATCCCCTTCATTGCACCCTGGGTATGGGACAGACCCCGGAGACCAGACTTCGATCAAGTCATACTCAGGGTCAATGAGTGGGCAAGAATCATTCGAAACTGGAACCGTATCGTCACGGGAAGCACAGAGCCTTTCGAGCGAGTCCGACCTATCGGACTTAGAAGAAGGAGAAATTTACGAGAACCCTGGAATAGGGCGGACTTCGATCTACAGCAGCAGCATCGGGTCGGAGAATACGGAGAAGAAGACATCATACCAGAGTTCGTGGAAGGATCTAGCTCGGGAACCTACTGAGGCCGAGTTAGAAAATATGACTTATTTGGAGATGTTGCGATGGACTGAAAGAAAGTTACCACGGGAGCTGTCCTGGAACAGTTCGCTGCAAGGAAGGTACTTTCAAAAGGAAAAAGATTCGCAGATTGGGGCCCAGGTGATCTACCGAGAAACCGTGTTCCACACAAACATTCTATGGAACCAAGTACACCCGGACGATTACACGGACCCTGGGGAACGATACCAGGTGCCCGTCCCATCAGAAACAAGTGGAAGTACGGTGGACTTAAGTCACCTATCAATTCTCAGAAGGACAGGGTACGTCGACCCTAGCCGGCTATTTGCTGCCGCAGGGACCCCAGGAAGCGCGGGCGCAGCCGCAACCGCAGCTGCAGCAGCAGCTGTCCCAATGGCACCAGCCCCGGCACCGCAAGGGCCCATGTCTCCACATCACAATCCCGCTTTACGATCGTTACCACGCCCGGCAACAATCCCTATCCCCGCAGAACCCGTCCAACCACCAAACACGCCCCCTCCTTTCATTGTCGGAGTAGCGAATACGAACCCGTGGGGGCAGGTAAAGCCACAATTAGCAGACCCCCCCGAGAAATTCAAAGGAGAATCCAGCGACGTGGACCGATTCTTAAATCAGTGCGAGGACTACTTCAACGTATTCCCTCAGCAATTTACCATGAACGCGCACGGACAAAGCCCGAACCGGGTAGTGTTTTGCACGTTCCGACTCACGGACAAGGCCCTACACTGGTGGAATCACGCCCGGGACGAGTATTACGACGAGACATGCGGATACCTGCGGTATCCCGCATGGCATGTGTTCAGACAGATCATTGAAGACCAGTTCCGAACCGATGCGGAAGTAGAACTCAAGCTACAAGAGTTCAAGCGTATCCGCCAAAACACGTACAAATCGGCAAAGGAATTCTTCCGCGACTTCGAGCGACTAGCAAAAGAGTCCGGAAAGCGTCACAACGAGGAATACATGATTGAAATACTCAAACCGGCAATCCGCAAAAACGTAAAAACCGCCATACACGCCACGGGCACTGCGCTGCCCTGCACGTATGCCGAATGGAAGTTCCGAGTAGAGCAGATGGACTATAACTACCGTGTGGGGTTAGCCGAAGACGCGGGCAGGAATCAAGGGACGCAGGGACAACAAAACAAGGGAACGGGAAAAGCCAGAAGCCCCAGGAATTCCCAGGGTGACAAGAAGACGGGAACAGGCACCACGTATGGGGGCCAAGGGCAGCCTATGGAGATAGATTGTCTCCGCAAGGAAGGCCGATGTTTCCGCTGCGGTCACAAGGGTCATAGGAAGCAAGACAACAAGTGTCTGAAAGACGAAAGCACTTGGCTCGTCAAGCATCAGCCCAAGTTTTCACGTGCCCAAATTCGTGCCATGTACCAACAAGTATTGAAGGATGAAGAAGGAGAAGCCTCCACGTCGAAAATCGAGGAGGTAAAAGACGAGCCGGCGGCGTAAGCGACAAACGCGCGTCGGCAAAGGACACAATTTCATTTAGTGGTGCGTCACAGAACCCCGCCGGTCGGACTAATGTACCGCATGTAGTACCTCGAGGCAATGACAAACTTTTCACAACATCACAAAATGAAATTACCAAGTCGCATATAAGGAAGAACGGTGTACAGGGGATTTCCACCGTGCTCGAAGAAGAACCCCATTCAAGATCCTTGGCCACCGGTGCAAAAGCACAAGCGGCGCATGCTGCGCAAGGCGGCGGGACACCCGGGATCAAGGTCAACATCGCTCCGTGGCGGGTAGGTATCGGCGCAGAAAACGGAGGAAGAGCGGCTGAGCCAGTAGTGGATGATGGCGCCTCCAGGCGGGAGAGGAACGATGCAGGGCCTCGCCCGAAGGCGGAACGTACGCACCTGCCCTATGCGGCCAACTACCCCGACATGATGGAGCCGCAAGAGGGAACGCGAATCCCCATCAAGAAAACCGCTGCCCCGCAAACAACAGTCAAGACGCCCGGGGACATCATTCACCCCCCTCCAATCACGGTGCGTCTCCCCTCGTCATCACTAACACATAATGGCACTGGGGGCTCGTGTTCCCCGGTGGGCGGGTCGGTGGGACCATTATGTGCCTCTCCAATTTGTAATAAAAAGAATGTTTCCATCGAAGAAGTGCCCGATGAGGAAGACGAATACAGCTATCAACAAAGCCTCAAAAAGAAAGGGGAAGACCCGGTGATTTACACCGAGGAGTACCCGGAGGACTACGAAGTCTCAGACTTAGAAGAGGAGTACTATGACGATAAATGGGACAGAGGATGGCTTAAACCACACAGCGCCGAATGGGTAAGGAGAAAGATGAGACAAGAGAAAACCATGGACGGAAGACTCGCCACTCTTCGAATGTGGGTACACCCCAGACGTCTCATAGAGGTAGATGAAGATCTCGTCATAGATCTTCTCAGATCCTTGAAAGAAACGTATCGCCAACGGGAGCAGTGCCTGCAAAACATGCAGGACCTGCGCGTTCCCCCACAGTACATAAGAGGAGGCAGAGGGAGGAGCGTAAACATCCATGTCCAACTCGAAACCCTAGACACCGGACAGGTACGAGCAGTAGACGCTCTAGTAGACAGCGGATGCACCGGAAGCTGCATAAACCGAACGTTCGTACAGGAAAACGGCATGAACACTGTGCAGTTACCCAAGGCACAAGCGGTGTATAATGCGGATGGAAGCAGAAACAAGGGAGGAGATATTACCGAGGTGGTAGAACTACGAATGACGATAGGGGATCACCATGAAAAAATCGACTTAGCCGTCGTGGACCTAGGGAACGTATCGCTATTTCTAGGGCACGACTGGCTCAAAAGACATAACCCTATCATCGATTGGAAAATGGGAGCGGTAACATTGGCCCGATGCTCCTGCCGCGAAATACCCTTCCTTCTCCCTGACGAAGATCCAGAACAGCAATGGGGAACCGAAGTAGAAGAAGGAGACACCATTCTCGTTATAGACTTCCAAGAAGCCCTCCATGTTCGGGCTATGGGGAGCAAAGCAAACGAGCTAGCCGCCAAAGCCCACCAAGCCAAGGAAGCAAAAACGTTTGAAGAAATAGTACCGGAACCATACCGGGAATTCAAAGATGTTTTTGCGAAAGAAAACTTTGACGAGCTACCACCGCGTAAGCCGTGGGACCACGCAATCGAACTGGTACCCAACGCGAATGCTAGCCTAGACTGTAAGGTCTACCCTTTAAACCCGGCCGAACAGGATGAACTTGATAAGTTCCTGGACGAAAACTTGGAGTCAGGAAGGATCAGACCCTCCAAGTCTCCCATGGCCTCACCCTTCTTTTTCGTCAAGAAAAAAGACGGTAAACTACGACCAGTACAGGATTACCGAAAGTTGAACGAGATGACCATTAAAAACCGTTACCCTCTCCCGCTCATAGGAGAATTAATGGATCAACTCAAGGACGCCAAGTACTTTACAAAATTAGACGTCCGGTGGGGATACAACAACGTACGAATCAAGGGAGGAGACGAATGGAAGGCGGCCTTCTGAACAAATAGGGGGTTATTCGAACCCATGGTGATGTTCTTCGGACTCACCAATTCCCCGGCTACATTTCAATGGATGATGAACGATTTGTTCAAAGAACAGATCGCAAGAGGAGATGTCACCGTATACTTGGATGACATCCTGATCTGTACCAAGGACGAGGACAGGCATCGCGAGGTTGTTCGGGAGGTCCTATCTATCCTCCGGACAAACAATTTATTCCTCAAAGCGGAGAAATGCGAATTCGAGGTATTAGAAACCGAATACCTCGGAGTGATCATTAGTCAAGGATCGATCCGCATGGACCCCGTCAAAGTCAAAGGAATCACGGAATGGCCCCAACCGACCAAGAAGCGAGAACTACAATCGTTCCTGGGTTTCACCAACTTTTACCGAAGGTTCATACGTGACTATAGCAAACACGTACGACCATTAACCCAGCTCACGGGCAAGGCAGAATGGACATGGGGAACATCGCAGGAAAACGCGTTTCGAGAAATCAAGAGGAAACTAGCAGAAGAAGTGGTATTAGCCATACCAAATCGGACAGGAAAATATCGCGTGGAAGCAGACGCAAGTGAAGGAGCAATAGGGGCGGTTTTATCTCAGGAACAGGAAGGAAAATGGAGACCTGTAGCATTCTTGTCCAAAGCCCTCACGGTAACGGAGCGAAACTACGAAATATACGACAAAGAACTTTTGGCAATCATGCTCGCCCTGGAGGACTGGAGACATTACCTCATGGGGGCGTACCAAGACTTCGAAATCTGGACAGACCATCAAAACCTCCAGTACTTTCGGAAGCCCCAAAAGCTCAATCGTCGACAAGCCCGATGGGTAACGGAGCTCGCCGAATACCACTTCACTCTACATCACAAACCAGGGACAGCGAACAAAAAGGCAGACTTGTTATCCCGAAGGGCGGACCACGACCAAGGAAACAATGACAACACCGAAGTAGTGGTCCTAAAACCAGAAATGTTCCGAGCCCTCATCATGCCCAGCGAAGAGGAGGTTCACAAAAAGATACGAACCGCTTTGCGTGATGTGACCAGATGGGACAAGGGGATAGAAGCGTCTCTTCATCATCCCAGAGGAATCACCCAACGAGAAGGCCTAATGCATTATGACGGACGATTATACGTTCCCCGAGATGCCCAGTTACGGGGAGAACTTATAGCCATTCGTCATGATCACATTACGGCGGGACACCTGGGGATTGAAAAGACCAAGGAGCTAGTCCAACGGGATTATTGGTGGCCAAAGCTGAAGCAGGATGTGGAAAAGTACGTAAGGGGATGTGAGGCTTGCCAACGGACAAAGACGAGCACCCAGAGGAAGCGAGCACCCTTACACCCCCATGCCGTACCTTCCCGACCATGGGAGCACATTACGGTCGACATGATAGGCGAATTACCCGATTCGAATGGGTACAATGCCATCCTCATGATAGTCGACCGTTTCTCCAAAGAAGTAATCCCAGTACCATGCTCCACCGAATTAACCTCAGCGGGGTGGGCCAAGATTCTCAGAGACCATGTGTGGGCCAAGCACGGGATGCCGCAAAAAGTAATCTCGGACAGGGGACCTCAATTCGTATCCAAATTCATGAAAGAGCTATATGACATGTTGCATATCCAAGGGAATCCGTCCACGGCCTATCACCCGCAGACCGATGGACAAACGGAACGGGCCAACCAAGAGATTGAAAAATATCTTCGGATATTCATCAATCACAGACAAAATGACTGGAGCGAATGGCTGCCGCTTGCGGCCTTCCAACATAACAACCGGAAACATTCCGCCACCGGCTATTCCCCGTTCGAAATCAACCATGGACAAAAACCACATCTCGCCCCGCTCACGATCAAGGAAGGAACCAATCCGGCTGCCAGGGAGTTCGTGGCGGACATACAAAAGGTACATGAACAGACAACTAAGGCACTGGAAAAGGCGGCCGAAACCATGAAACGACAATACGATAAACACCAACGAGCGGCAATAGAGTACCAACCAGGAGACAAAGTATGGTTAGACTCTACAAACCTATCCCTTCCTCGACCAATGAAGAAACTAGGGGACAAACGCGTAGGGCCCTTCGAAGTGATTTCCAAACATGGCGCGTCTGCATATAAACTACGACTCCCTCCTGCGTGGAAAATCCATGACCGTTTCAATGAGAACCTCCTTACTCCATATCGTCCGCCGGAGTTCCCAATCCAAATACAGCCTTTACCTCCTCCACCGGACCTTATAGACGGACAAGAACAGTATGAAGTGGAAGAAATTGTAGACAGAAGAGAAAGAGCAAGAGGAAGAGGACGAAGGCGCGGTACCGGAATCGAATACCTCGTCAAATGGAAAGGGTATCCAAGGGAGGAGAACTCTTGGGTAGACGAACAGGACCTAGACAACGCCAGAGACGCAATTGAAGACTTCGAACAAGTCTCGTTTATCACCCGACCCCCAGCAGAATGGTGGGAAGATGGAGACGAATCAGACTCTTGGTCCGAACATGAGTCCGTAACAGAGTCAGAAGTCGACCACCCATTGGTACAGGCAATTCAAGAATACCTGATAAAACCAAAAACACCATCCCTCGTAGGAGCCTACCTTCCAAAACCAAGTTGTACTGCAGTCGGGACGACTGCCTTAACAGGGGGGTAATATTACGATTTCGCGCATTATCTTATCTTATCGACTCTCTCGTAATCTCGCTATGCTAACTCTCCGGACTTGATCGCATTCTACCATGAGGATTCAGTATGTTCACCGTACCGTTGCAGACACTTGTAGTATATTTAGCACGATCCAAACTGTATTTAAGTAGCTCGACTGCAGGTCCTAAACCTCAGTCTCGAACTAAAGTTTATTCACCCGATAACTTAGTCTGAACTCACTCTCGCTCAACTAAGCGATAGCTCCCTTAACGCAAACCTGCGGACAACACAAAGCGCCTGACCGAAGTGCGAGTCACGCTTAGTTGTTTGATCTTGTTTGTGAAATTGGTCGCTAACACTTCGGTTTGAGTTCATTCACCAGTGTGCCGTACATCTTAGCATGCACTACTTCCCACTCTCGGGCACTTCGCTTGCGGAACAGGTCCGGCACTGGTTCTACAAGAGCCGGTCCTACAGAGGTGCTTGGTCCATCATCCCAATCTTCATCTTCCTCGAACAACTGCTCCGCACTCTGCTCTGCGTCTGGATCAAAGGCATAGTTTAGGTCCCATTCCTTCCAAAACGAGGAATATCGTCGCTGAGATGGGGCGTAATCATCCCAAATGTCTGGAACATCGCGATGAGGAACATGCTGTCGCACCAGATAATCTTTGCCTTCCACGGCGTCCCAGACAAAGATGTTTGCACTGCGAGCTGGACAATGCTGCTTCGCCGCATCAAGTTCTCTTGCCTTGCGACTCTGCCTTTCTCTCACAGATTCATGCTCCTTCTTCTGAGCCACGGCCTCGTCACGCCGACGAAAGAACTCCTGCCATGTTTCCCCCAGACACTGATGAGTGGCCACGTTTGATCTTGAATCTGCTACTCGGGGCTCTAGTTGACTATTCTGAGCCTTTGACTGCGGAATGGCAGCGTCATCATTTGGCTGGGGATCCTCTTGTACAGAAATCTTTTTGGGTAGTTGCGCATTATCTTTTTGTATCCATCGCAGTGTAAACCTCTCCCCAGGCAGTCTCTGCCTCCATTTGCCCTTGTCCAACTCGAAGATAGTTGCTGGTAGAGCAGGTGGAGCTGTAATACGATCGACTGTGCGGGAAGGAGGGAGGTGAAAATAATAATCTTGCAATTGTTCAGGTTGGCCAGCCCGATAAGGATCTTTCCATGGTCCCCAGTGTATCCAAACAGGTATCTTGAAGGCGTAGTAGGCTCGAAGAAAATAACCGAAGTTGCAGTTACGGGGATCTATGAAAATTCCGACACGTCTGCAGGCGGATTCTTTCCCTTCCTGATAACCCACATCGTATTGAACTAACCATGAATCCCGGATCATATCAACCCACTTGCCGCCAACCTCTCTTGTTAATACGGCGGACCAATTCTGGAATCGACGGTACCCATCGTTCTCCAAAGCCAAAGCCAGAAGATATGATATCTCGGCAGCCATTAAAATGAAGGCATCTCGGGAATGAATGGCAGAGTACACCATGGCTTTCTGACTGGACTTAGCATGGTGGTATCCATATTTCCAAGGCAAAGGAAACTGCAAATAGTCCAGATTTCGATTACCAACATCTGATTCCAAGATCTGCCTCAGCCTTTCCAAAAGAGCCTCCAAATTCCGCCAAGATTCGATTACTTTGGCACTCAAAGACCACAATCCACGACCCGAGGGCTGAACAGGGAAAGAACTGATTGTATAGTTGAGGCACTTGAATAGCTCGCACTCAAAAACATCGGCTCACCATACAGGCAAGAAACCTTGGTAAGGCATAGTGTTTGAGGCCCAATGCCGGGCTATGTAAATTTCAGGATCTGCTGGCCACCTGAGTGCGGGTTCTTCGAACGGAGGGGTCGAAGAAGGAATGGGAGGAATGGTATCCGAATTCGAGCATGCATACAGATCTCCGTGGTTGTCCTGAATTGTCGTAATTATGGGACATCCAACTATACCAAGATGCGTTAAACACGGAACATTATGGCCTGAATTGTCAGGACACTTACACATCATCAAAGACACCTTGTGAGTGTATCCAGGAAACCCAATCTGATAAGTACCAACGAGCCGTTAAAGCAATGGTCGAGGATTTGAGTAGCTACACTCAATGGAGTAGCAGCAACAATGAGATAAAACCCAAGAGTAACTCAGGTGATGACGCGAACAAGACCTAAGTATAACTCAGGTGAAGTGGGAGTAGTTGCGTGCCGTCGTCGCTGCAGGCAGGTCATTGCAGCTCTTGACGGGTTTGTGCGATCAGCCAGATTTGGAGTCCGCCCTCGGAGTTTGAATACATTCTGATTGCGGCACTAAGTAGCATTATTGGCTTAAGTCACTCCCATGCGTCATCGCTGTCGCAGCCTCATCTTCATCATACGAGGATTATCTCAATGCTATACATCTTCGTTATACGGGGATTCAAATATTTCTAGTCCAATTTCTTTGCACATGTCACCAGGCTGAATCTCTCCTCGCCCAACCTCGCCAGTCTGTAACACAACGCTCTCACCCAATCGCCGTACTGCTTCTCATCCTTGTACCACTTCCCTTCCCAGACGAAGTGGGTATCAAAAACGAGGTGTATTTTGATCGCACACGCTTCCACTTTCGATCCAATACGATGCAACACCAGATCCAGAGCATGAAACGTCTCCGTCACTTCCTCTACCATCACCAGACATGCAAATCGACGAATATACACAGATATCCACAGTCGTTGTAACAAAACACAGTCTGCCCTTACTGTATTGAGTGTAAGAATCAGCGCGTCGAGATTGATGTCGTGGGAGCCCAAGTTGATGGTTCACAGAACGCTACACTCAGAGAGGTCGAAAGGCAATATCCAAGGATCGATCTCTGAATGACTGTAAGCATGGCTTGGCCAACAATTGTATCAACTGACTTACTCATCACTGCTACCCTTAGTTTCAGGAGCGATCTCGCATTCGTGAGGATCAAAGCCTGCACTGCACCAATAGTATCGTCTTCAGCTGTGACCTTCAAGATCAACCTCTCCAAAGCTACAAGGGGGGTCACCCACGCTCGTAGTAGAGCCAGCTGGTACGATGGCACATTCAACAAATCGAGCGCCAAAACTCGTATTCCCTGAACCATCACCGGCTCCTCAGGCAGCTTCAGCACTATGCTACTACCGCGTCTAGGACTAGTGACCCAATCTCCTATAATACTCAACGCCTTCACATTCTGCGACGACGTCAGGAGCCTTGACATCCCCTTGTGCATAATGTAGCTGTCCCTGAAATAGAGATTACGGAGGAATGGGGACAAAGTGGCCAGTGCGAATATGTCTGTGTCGCTGCCATCAACGATCAATGTATGGACCCTCGTCAGGTTGCTCAGCAGCCTTCTGAGTCTGGTGACACTGACATTAGGATTGGCACGGTAGAAAAGCACTCGAGGAAAGCGAGAAGTATGGGGACTGTCGTGAAAAAATTTGAGGGCATGTGACAGACTGTGCCAGATTTGTCTCGACGATGGATGTCCGGAAGCGTAGTCGTGAATGAAGAGTTTGTAGAACATCTCTTTTTGCATGGTGCGTACAAATGCCTTACAGACCAGAGTGCAAGTCAGAGATGTCGCCAAATTGCCTTTGCACGCCAATCCGATGATGATGTCAATCAGCTCCTGGGAGATCGGCATAGTTATTCAAGGCAAATGGGCCGTATATGACCTCTTATTATACAAAGCCTGCTAGTTGGTCACCCTAGCCCGTATCTCCTTTAGGCAACTCAGCCGCGGAAGTGCTTGTTTTGCCGAACATCCATTTTCAATTGTGCTCTCAGTTCAAAAGGGTATAAAGTGGAACCGTTGACAGTCGTGCGTGTCCTGTGTGCCGGCAATGGATGACCTCGCTCCTGAGCTGAAGGACAGGATAGTCTGGTTTGCATCTAGCAACCACGCTGACGTTTCAGCACTGTCTCTCATCAATCATTCTTTCTTGCATCCTTCTAGACGCCATGGTCATCGAACTCTGCGCATCAAAGACAGTGTCATCCCACTGGGTCCATACGACATTTACACTCCTGGTCGACAGGCATACTTGGCCAAGTGTAATCGGCGAACTCCCAGATCACTCGCTCGCGCCCTGCAAGAGGACTTTCCTCAAGTCGGAGAGTATGTTCATCGCATCATCTTTGATACGACGTACTTCCAGACTGCGGACGTGCTCGCGATGTATGACCTCATTGATGAGCTCCCTCGACTGAGCGAGGTTGTTCTCGAAAACACCGACCTTAGTTTTTTTACGACATCGCTGTGTACACTTCTCAGCGCTGTGGATGGAATATCAACGCTGGTACTGAGATCGTGCTGTGTTGATACCAAATCCTTGAATATTCTGATGAACAGTGCATTGATCATCCTCTTAGCAGAATGCATCCTCACGTACCATGATTTAGCGTTGGACCTGCGGGTTCTTGGTCTCTCGTGCTGCAACGAATACAACATCGTCATGGCAGACTTGAAACCTGAAACGTTAGGCGCCATTTCCAAACTGCAGAGTTTGACTATTGGTGCAAGGACAGTGGGATGGGAAGGAGAGGCTCTTGCCTATGAATGGTTCGGAGGGCTGCAGTTTCAAACCTTGCGATTCCTGACGCTTCATGTTCATCACGAGGTCGACGCAGACGTTGTTGAGATATTGCTGCTTAACTGTGGTTGTATCACAGAGCTTGCAGTCCAGTTATCTAGTGAGTGGACATTTATTTCTTCTGGCAAGTTTCTATGCATTAATGAACACTGCTAGCCTTTCAGACATTGAGGCATTCTACTGGAAGACACAAGCTGAACCTTTCCCGACTTATCAACTTAACCAGTCTTGCTGTGACAGTCGAGGGTCAGGATGCTTTTAACTTCTTTCTGCATTCTCTAGGCACGCTTCCTCGGCCTTCTTTGCTTGCTGTCGACTTGGTGTTGGTGTATAGTCCTAAAGACTGGCCCAAACCAATGTCGGAGAGCGCCAAAAGCATGGACAACACGCTGTGCAAGCTAATTGATTCGGGTCGGTTTGAAAGGATGATTGTGGGATTCTGCCGCAATCATAGCGGCCGACATGTAGAAACATTAGCCAGAGACTTCATTAACAATGGTCTGCGGGAGCTGAAGGCTAAAGTGGGGGGGAGACTTCTTACTGAACAAAACCGTCCGTAGTACCGAATTCCAATAGCATCAAAATTTTTTTGTGCAAATCATTGTGAATTATGGATCGGTTCTCATCAACGTCTCCTTCGCCGCATACTGCCATGGCTATGTCCCTATGTTTTCTGTATATAAGAGGACGTGGAGCTTCGGGTCTTCAACGACCACGCTTCATGGATAACCTTGCCCCCGAAACCATCGAGCATATCCTATCTTATGCAAAGCCAAGGGACTTGAGAAGTTGCGCCCTTGCCGGACGTCGCTTTCTTGCTCCTTCGCGTAAAGGCCTCTTCTACTGTCTTCATGTCATGGAAACACTTCCCAACCATTCTCTCATATGCTGCACTACCTACACCCGCCCCTCACCTATCGAGGCCGCTCGCGATCTTCAACGTCACTATCCTAACATCAGATACTACATACGTGAATTGACATTCTCCGGAGCGACCCTGTCTGAGAAAGACATTTACGGACTGCTAAAATTGCTAATGCAACTTCCCCTACTCAGATTGTTGACGTTGAGATCGATACGGTTGGTGGATCGTGGAAAACTCCTGGACAATCTGTCCAAGGCACTGCGAAAAGTGGAGTCTCTGAACTTGATGTCATGCGATATACATGCACCGGCCCTGAACGGTATTCTCCAACATGAGATCTCTTCACTCAACCAATGATTACCCATTACTAATGCCAAAAAATGCAGATATGCACGCTTTGGTTCGCTTTTCCGTTGACAGCGAAGGCCATCTGTGGCGCATGGAGGATAACATGCACCTATGCACTGACAATGCCATTTCTCGACTTACCCACTTATATTTGGAGACGCCCTCTTTTCCATTTGAATGTGAGGCAACGAAGCTGGACTGGCTGAAACGGATCACCTTTCCCGAGCTCCAGGTCCTACAAATCAGCATAAGCTATGATTTTTGGTTGGACGATGTACAGCTCCTGTTAGAACGTGCATTTGAGGTAAACCATTTAATACTCAATGTGTGTCGTGAGTGCTCTCTTATTTCTATAACTATGCCTACATTGACACCGCCCTCTCAGCTTATCATTGCATCGAAAACAGATGCGCAGAACATGCTAGTGACCACAGCAGATGTCTCCTCTCTTTGGCCAATCTTGGTCGTCTGCAGTCCTTGTCAATTATCACAGGAATACGCGCACTGAAAATGGTAGAGCGTACTCTTGGTACTCTTTCCAAGGTACCATTGTGGATGCTCAGCCTTGAGTTTGCGTATTTTACCAAGAGATGGTCACAAGGATGGGTAGAAGAACTTCGAGGCGTGGATGAGGCCATCATTAGTGCCATAGACCTGGAGAGGCTAGACTGCATGAAGGTGTTCAGTCATATGCACGACGGATCGGAGGAGTCGTTCTTGTGTGCACCCTCGGTAATGGCTACTCAAGTGGGTCTTCCGAGGACTAAAGCCCTTCTCAGCCAGAAAATTGTTTACTCCATGTAGTTTCCATATGGGCTTGTATTACAAATTTTAACTACGATTAGATATGACCAAATGTTATCTGAAAGCTCGGCTCATAATCTTAATGGCTTACTTACTCCATTTAGACAACCAAGTTTCCGTAATATAACCTCTCACCCTTCAGTCTGCATAAAGTTCCCATCCATGTCCTTGCCACAGAGTCCACTCGAAGTCTTGGAATATATTCTACTTCTCGCCATCAGTCACAATGGCTGTGAAGGTCAATTACCTTTTATGGGAGAAAGCTTGGTTATTGACGCATTATTAGGTGGGAATGTGCACTGCACCAGTTGTGCGAAATCTTTTTCGCTCGTCTGCCGATCGTTTGTTGTTACGATTTATTCTTTTCTTTTTCCTTTTTCTCGTAATCATGCTTATGATACTATGCGATTCTGATCGGACATTCCCACAGTACTATTATTAGGATACCCAATGTGTATTTAAGTAGAGCCTAAGCTGGACTGAACTCCAGCTTCAGCTAAGGTTTAATCTACCTAACTCAAAGCTCCCTGTTTCGTGACTATCTAAGTTCACGACTGGCTCTCTTCCTTCTACTTTGACCCCTCTTGTATCATCCACCGAAGTGCGAGTGGCGATCTGGAGTTGATCTAAGTCGATAAGAGTTAGTGGCTAACATTTAGCCGAAGCTCGACCTCTGTTGCCCAGCGCTACGTCCGAGAACGAACGCTGCCCAACCTTTCAAAGAAGTACCCCCACTTGAACCAACGGTTATACTGTTGTTCTGCCCATTCCTTTTTACGATACCAAGCGGTAATACTGCTGGCCGTAACAAGCGAACTCTTACCGACGAATTATCAAGATTCATCCGATACACTTCCTTGTCGCAGTGGCCCTCTGGGTAATACCCTTTGACCTACTGCTCCAAGCCGCCGTCATCGCCTGGATTGTTCCCTACATCATTAACGACCCCATCTTCGCAGTTTTAACAACTGTGTTCCTTACCTTGGCCCTCATACGAGTTTGTATCGCCGCACCCCTCCTAGCTGGACTGCTAGTAGCCCTGTACGGCAGATACTTCCCTCTTGTCTGAGACACCACGAATCTCTTTAGCCTGTCCCTAAAGTTAGCCTCAGTACTAGTGGTCACACTGCTAGCATTGACTGACCCATCCTTCGACGACGATAACATATTGATGACCGGTCCCGACTACGAGACCGACCTCAACCTGATTATCGCGACCCTCGCTGCCCTCACTATCCTTGCCCTGACCATCGTATGGTCACTCCTTACCGCCGGCTATCACGGAAAATAAGCCCACAGACGGATGCCCTTATCCGACGCCATTCCTGTCATCTCCGCGTTTTTTATAACCTTTTTCTTGTTCACCTCCTTGTACTACATCCACCGGTGCTGCCGCCAACAGAGGCGTGTACGAGCCCAGCTCCCATTTCACTACGTTCCGGCGACACCAGCATACCCGCCACCGATAATCTTTATACCCATGGCCTCACAGCAAACCCTTCACGATGGCCGACCCATCACACCCAGAGGACCTGGAAGGTCCCTCTACACATCATCGCGATCCAGCTCGGGATCCTCAGAGCCGAGCACCGACTCCTACAGAAGCGCTACCGCCGAGTCAGACGACTCCGTCGACATCACCGATACCCGGGGGGTACTCCTCGACCGAGGAGACTCGCCCCTACCAGGCCTCTTCGACATCTCTCCAGTCGAGGGCGAGTCAAGTGCCGACGGAGCCCGAAGACAAGACACCAGGCATCTGGTCATGGGCGAAGAAAGCCCTGACACCGAGTTCGAAGGTGATGAGCTCACCGACCTCGAAAGGATCCGACTCGAAACCCTCCTCAGCGAGCTCTATCCGAACGAGGAGGAGGATGCAGCCCATACCGGAGACGGTTGGAGCGGGCGCTCCCAAACCAAGTGGACCGATGCAGACTGGGGAAGTGAGCAGAAGAGATACGGAAAAGGAAAGGCCCGAGACGACCTCTGCGATGATTCTGGAGAGCTTGGCCTCGGAGCCTCCGCAGCTACCTCCCGTGCAGCTGATGCACACCTTATTCCAGAGTCCTGGCCAGTCGATAGGGGACTGCCAGTCGCCTGGTACCCCAGCACCAGTTGGATCTATGCCGACCCCGGGGAAGAAGTTGTTGTGGCCAGAGACTCGCCCAGGTCAGAGTCTGACTCAGTCATTGACGGGTCCGAGACCGCGACGCTCCCTCCCACCATCTCTGCGCACGAGCCGACGGATAGGGAGCTTTGGAGCGAGTACCCCGACTACGACCCAGAGGAACTTGGAACAGTTACCGTTTCCGAGCGACTCGCCGGAGTCTCCAACTGGGAGCCGTCGGTTGCCGCGCAAGCCTTTGCCGACCCCGTCCCTCTCGCTCAGCGTCTGTGGCCGCTCCTTTATCACACGTACGTCGAGTCCCTCGGACTCCCTCGAGCTGCCCGGGAATCCCCAGAAGTCCAGGCCAGAATGGACCGAGGAAGAGCGCACGACGCACGCATTCGTCGAGCAGAAGAGGATGCCCTCCAAGGACCCGGAGGCTGGTGGGACCTCCCCCTCGAACCTGACGCCACCGATGCCGAGGTTGAGAACCGGATACGAGCAGCCACCGTCAGATACACAGGAGCTGCAAGACGAGCCGGAACCGACCTGGAGGCAAGAACCAGGGCTTGGAACTCCTACCAGTCGGAAATCACCGACGAGGATTCAGACATCGGGAGGTGGAGATGAAACCGAGAGATCGACCGCCTCGCCAGAGAGAGGGAGGCGGCAAAGGATGCCAAGCCGCCCGCCAAATCAGGCTCTCGAACCAGTGGTGATGGCAGCAGTAAGGACGGTCCTGCTTAGAGGACCCAGTCCACACCCTGACATCTTTAATTTACTCCCGTGGCACGGACTGTACAAGATCATGATGGAAGACATGGAGAAGGACCCGCAGTGGCTATTCACCAAGGCGGGAGAGGACTACCGAAGTGCGAAGACTATGGGGGACGTATACCTGATGAAGAACATCCTGGAGGTAGAAACGTGGCACCGGGCAGCGATCGTATGGAATCTCATGAACCCTGAGATTCCTCAACCCCCCTGTGAGGCCTACCGACGACCTCAACCGATGCCTCACCCCGTTGATACGACGGGGTTCTTCCTGGAAGGCTTCTTCGGCGGAGCAGCGGGGGACGACGACGACTACGCGGACCCAGGGGTGGGCCCCTCTCACCCCGACAAGGGAAAGGGATCCACAGTACCACCGGTACCCCCTGCCAAGCCACCGCCGCGCCCGAACTTCGGAGACTACCCTCCCCCGGGCGACAATCGGCACTTGCGGTCCCTGTCGCGACCGCCCAAGCCACCCATACCGCCTGTACCACCTCCGCCTCCTGACCCAATCGATCCCTGGGTCTTAGCGCCCGGCGCCGCCAATAATCCGTGGAACGACGTGAAGCCAAAGTTGATCACGCAGCCCAAATACTTCACCAGGGTGTCCTCCGACATCACTCGGTTCCTTCACCATTGCGAAGTATACTTCCAGGTGTTCCCAATGTATTACACCATGAACGATGAAGGGCAGAACCCCTACCGAATCACCTTCGCGCAGGGGTATCTACGTGGGGAAGCCCAACAATGGTGGGTGGATCAATACTACCGATACCGGGACCCGCAAGGCCATTGGAGATTCCCCACATGGGCAGAATTCTCCCATGACCTCACCGCCCAATTCCGGGAAGTAGCGGAGTTGACCATATGGAAGGCAGAATGGAAGAAGGTCCGGCAGTCGGACTTCAAGTCAGCAATCGAGTTCTTCGCGAAGTTCGAACGATTAGCCCACAAGTGCGAGGAGTTCGGAGACGAGAAGCAGATGTTCGAGGCGGTAGAAGCCGCGATACGACCGACGGTGCGAAATACGGTTATGCATGGGGACAATGAGCGCCCCACAACCTACGCAGAATGGAAGGCCCGCGTCTTGAGGATAGACGCGAACTATCGATATGGAGTAGCCCAAGGATTGGGCAGTAAGTCCTCCTCGAACCAGGGAGGTTCGGGTCGAGGCCATCAATTGTCACAGAAGGGTGGAGCGTCGAGTTCGGGTGGCGATAAGAAGGACGCCACGGGGACGACCTATGGAGGAGCCGGGCAGCCGATGGAGATCGACAAGTTGCGAAGCGACAAGCGATGCTTCAAATGCGGCAATACCGGGTGGAGCCGAGACCATAAATGTCCAACGGACAAATCGAAATGGCTCCCCGTCAAACTTCCACCCCGCAAAAAACCCAACGTCCAATGCCTACGACAATTACTCGCAGAAGCAGAGAAGGAGGAAAACGGCAAGGACACGAAGGTCGAAGAGGTGAAGGAGGAGAGGTCGTCAAAAGACGAGCCGGCGTCGAAATAAGCGATTCGACGACGTCGGCCAAGGACTTAGTTTCATTGGGTGCGCGCTCTTGTACTATTAGCCGGACTTATACTACGTATGTAGGTACCCCGTACGAGCAATATACCAACTTTTTCGCTGCACTACCAATCGAAGGAACTAAGGAAGATGAATCGCAACAGCTCGATGGCATAGGAGGGGATTCCTGCCGCTCCATGCAGCCAGCATCCAGCACTGAACCCCTAGGGGCTGTCCGAGCTCAGGAACCCCCGCTTGACCGCACAGGGAAAGCCCCTCGAGGGCAGAGCCCCCTAGGTCGAAGTCCGACCGAACCCTTGACGAAGGAAGGTCACCCTGGAGTGGGAGAAAGGTCGACAACCCAGCCCGTTGGGCCTGCGACTTCGCCTGTGGAGCCGTCTGTTCCAGCGGGAAGCGCCGGAAAAGCAGCTGAGGCTGTGAACCCGAGGGACCACCTGCCCTTAGTAGCCAAGGACAATGCTGCGGCAAACGGTGCAGACCCCGGAGGGGAGCCAACATGTGTGTGTCCGCGAAGGGTTACCCGAAGTACCGCCGGGTCCAGGAAGAGCCGTAAGCACGGAACGACGGTGGAGGTTACAACGCCGCGCACAAGTACCCTTGGCCAGGGTCGAACACAGGGCAGCGAGCCCTCCTCCACCAATTCGACGGAAGGCGCCCAAGTGCCGCTGAGGGGCCCTTTTCGGCCCGGTGACCAAATGCCGCCTCGAAGCAAGACAACCTCCGTTTCGTTGGAAGAAGTTGAGGACGAAGAAGCCCACCTGCGGTCCGACATCCCGGTCGTGGCCCCTAAACGGACACCCCCGCCTGCGCCCTCACTCACCACGACACCTAACGACAGGAAAGCAATCACGGAAATGTACTACGAGCCCCACGGCATTTTATGGACCCGCAGAGCGCTACGTATCACCCGGGGAGACGCGGCAGCTTGCGCCGTACTTAACGGGTGGGTGCACCCGCGATGAAGAGGGGAAGTCGACAACCGTTTATGTCGTCAGTTGGAGGAGCAAATGGAAACAGCCGCCCAAGCTCAGGAGAGGTGGCAGTGGATGGAGGATCTTCAGAAACCACCAATGTATATACGAGGAAGGAAGGGGCATAATGTTTCAATAAAAGTACAATTGGAGACCTTAGACACAAGGGAGATCCACGAAGTCAGCGCCCTGGTGGACAGCGGGGCCACGGGCAGTTCAATTGATAAAGCCTGGGCCCGATCACATGACCTCAATCTCAAAAAGGCCGCTCGACCCATGCCCGTCTACAATGCCGACGGCACTAGGAATAAGGGGGGCGACATCACGGAATACACCGAAGTAAGGTTACGCATCGGGGATCACGTGGAACAGATCGAATTAGCCGTGGTCGATCTAGGCTCTACCCCGCTGTTCCTTGGGCATGACTGGTTACAACGCCATAATCCCCTGATCGACTGGGACACCGGAGCCGTTACCTTGGCCCGATGCACCTGTCGAAAAATCCCGTTCTCTTTACCAGACACGGACCCCTCTGCCCGTTGGGACGAATACGAAGAGGGGGACACCATCCTCGTAATAGACTTCGAAGAAGCCTTTCAGGTACGAGCCATGGGCACTAAGGCCAACGAATTAGCAGCTCAGGCTAACGCCAAAAAGACGACCAAGTCGTTCGAGGAAATAGTACCGGAAGAGTACCGCGACTTTAAGGACATCTTCGATAAGGAAAACTTGACGAACTTCCCCCGTGTAAACCCTGGGACCATGCCATCGAGCTCATCCCTAATGCCAATGCTAACCTAGACTGTAAGGTCTACCCCCTCAATCCAACCGAACAAGAGGAACTGGACAAATTCCTCGACGAAAACCTATCCACCAGCCGCATTCAAGCCTCCAAGTCCCCGATGGCCTCCCCGTTTTTCTTCGTTAAAAAGAAGGACGGGAAGCTACGACCAGTCCAAGATTATCGAAAGCTTAACGAGATGACCATCAAGAATCGTTATCTGTTACCGCTTATCGGAGAACTGATGGACCGGCTAAAGAAAGCCAAATACTTCACCAAGTTGGATGTACGATGGGGATACAACAACGTACGGATCAAGAAGGGGGACGAATGGAAGGCAGCCTTTCGAACCAACCGGGGGTTATACGAGCCCCTAGTAATGTTCTTTGGACTCACTAACTCTCCGGCCACTTTTCAATGGATGATGAACGACATCTTCAAGGATCTCATAGCGGCGGGAGAGGTGTCGGTGTACTTGGATGACATCTTAATCGCGTCCAAAACCAAGTCGGATCACAAACGAATCGTACGCAAGGTACTCCAAATCTTGCGCGAAAACCACTTGTTCCTCAAAGCGGAAAAATGTGAATTCGAAGTAGAAGAGACGGAGTACCTGGGAGTGATCATTAGCGAGGGGAGATTGCGTATGGACCCCGTAAAAATCGCGGGACTACTCGAGTGGCCAGTCCCCTGAAAAAAGCAAGAGTTGCAGTCCTTCCTAGGATTTTGTAACTTCTATCGACGATTTGTCCGGGACTATAGCAAGCATGTGAGACCCCTGACCGCCCTCACCGGGAAGCAGGAGTGGAAGTGGGGAGCAGCTCAACAAGATGCGTTCAACAAACTCAAAGTGCTGTTTCAAGAAGACATAGTGCTGGCCATTCCCCTCGACGAGGGGAAATTCCGCGTAGAAGCAGACTCCAGCGAAGGAGCAATAGGGGCGGTACTATCACAGTGGCAGAACGAGAAGTGGCGTCTGGTGGCCTTCCTCTCTAAGGCCTTATCCATCACCAAACGCAACTACGAAATCTATGACAAGGAGCTCCTCGCCATTATGATTGCACTGGAAGAGTGGCGTCAGTACCTTATGGGAGCCAGGGAGGATTTCGAGATCTGGACGGATCATTCCAATCTCCAATACTTCTGCAAGCCTCAGAAACTCAATCGACGACAAGCGCGATGGGTAACAGAGTTGGCGGAGTACCAGTTCACATTGCACCATAAACCGGGGGCCCAGAACCACAAGGCGGATCTCCTGTCCAGGAGGGCGGATCACGACCAAGGCAAGGAAGACAATCGGGACGTGATAGTCCTCAAGGCAGAACACTTCAGGGCCCTGATCATGCCCACTGCCGAGGAGTTACATGAACAGATTAGGGTAGCAACGCATGATCCCCGAAGGTGGGATAGGGGGATTTCAGACTCGCTTAATCATGAAAAGGGAATCTCGCATGACCAGGGCCTCTTATGGTATGATGGACGCATCTACGTGCCAATAGACCGTGATTTACAAGGACGGATTCTTGCCCTCAAACACGATCATGTTACAGCCGGGCACCCAGGGATCGACAAGACCAAGGAACTGATACTTCGGGACTACTGGTGGCCGCGCATGCGCCGAGATGTGGAAGCCTACGTGAAGGGCTGCGACGTCTGCCAGCGGACCAAGGCAGACCATCGCCCGAAGAAGGCCCCTCTTCACCCCAACGAAGTCCTGGTGCGACCCTGGACCCACATCTCCGTCGACATGATCACCAAGCTCCCAAACTCCAAAGGGTTCGACACCATCCTTGTCATTGTAGATCGATTCTCCAAAGCCATTATTCCTATTGCCTGCACCGAAGAACTAACTTCCCTTGGTTTCACCAAGATCCTTAGGGATTACGTTTACGTACCCTATGGGGTGATGCCGGAGAAGGTCATTTCCGACAGGGGCTCGGTATTCGTTTCAAAATTCATGAAAGAATTTTATCAACTCCTACAGATTCAAGGAAACCCTTCCACGGCCTACCACCCGCAGACGGACGGACAGACCGAGAGGGTCAATCAGGAGATTGAAAAGTACTTAAAGATGTTCGTCAACGACAGACAAGATGACTGGAGCGAGTGGCTGCCATTAGCGGCTTTCACACACAATAACCGACAGCACTCGGCGACGGGGTACTCCCCTTACAAAGTTATATTCGGCAGGGACGGGGAGGTCATAAAAAGGGCTCAGAAGACAACCATGGTCCCGGCGGCAGGGAAACTAGCAGCGGAGATAGAAAAAGCGCAGGAGGAAGCCAAAAGGTCGTTGGAAAAGGCGGCAGAATCCATGAAGCGGTCCTACGATAAACACAAAGGCATCGCAGCGGAATACAAGCCAGGAGACAAGGTATGGTTAGACACGACCAACCTAAACCTCCCTCGCCCCACCAAGAAGCTTGGGGACCATCGAGTCGGACCCTTTGTTATTATCGCCAAAAAGGAGGCCTCGGCTTATGAGCTAAAACTACCCGTCCGATGGAGGATTCACAACCGATTTAACGAGTCACTCCTAACGCCTTACGTCGTCCCTGCATTCCCAAATCAACCGCATCCCGAACGACCACCCCCGGAGTTGATTGATGACGAAGAAGAATATGAGATCGAAGAAATTGTCGAACAACGAGACAAAGTTATAGGTCAAGGCCGAACTCGTCGGACCATAACTGAGTATCTCGTCAAATGGAAGGGATACCCGAGGGAGGAGAACTCCTGGGTAAAGCGCTCAAACATGGCTAACGCAGAACAACTGGTCAACGAATACGAGGCTCGTATCCAAAGGATTCAGTGGAGGGTTAACAAACACGGAAAAACGGTCGGAAAGGATACCAAGGTACCCGATGACGCCGTAGTACCTTTCCACGAACCCGACACACCCTGCCTCACTGAAGTGGAAACCGTCTACTCCTCTCAATGCTTGGCCCTGAGACACTCCAAGGAAGAGATCGACGTGATCGGGGAGGTGGCTGCCTCAGATGCGGGACAGAACAACGGACCTGTATCGACCATGTCGTCCTTTCAGAGACTTGTGGTGGACATCTCTGAATCGATGGATCGGGCCTTGCAGGAAAGGAACGCAAAATGGTTAAGGGACAACAAAGTCCCTGAAGACAAATGCTGGAAGTACACCCCACCGAAAACTGACCCACGTTTCGATAACCCCAGAGTTCATGACTCCTACCTGCGACGACGTGCCCAAGAAATTAAAGACTCGCGGCGGGAGAACAGACCCTACAAAAACCCTCCAATCATGCTCGACCCCCCTTCTGACGACGAGACCGACGTTCATAATCTTCAAAAGGTCATGGAGAATTGGGACTTTGATAGTGAGGATGATGCCAACGATGATGAGAGCGTCATATCCTTCTACAGTCAATCACAACAAAGCGGAGAGGAGACTGAGGACTCATTCGGGATGAACGAGTCTTAGAGAGGGGGTAATGTTACGATTTATTCTTTTCTTTTTCCTTTTTCTCGTAATCATGCTTATGATACTATGCGATTCTGATCGGACATTCCCACAGTACTATTATTAGGATACCCAACATGTATTTAAGTAGAGCCTAAGCTGGACTGAACTCCAGCTTCGGCTAAGGTTTAATCTACCTAACTCAAAGCTCCCTGTTTCGTGACTATCTAAGTTCGCAACTGGCTCTCTTCCTTCTACTTTGACCCCTCTTGTATCGTCCACCGAAGTGCGAGTGGCGATCTGGAGTTGATCTAAGTCGATAAGAGTTAGTGGCTAACATTTGTTCGTGTCGTCAGGCCGAAGATATGGTCCCATCTTCGCATTCGTTGCGGTAGTCATAGTCTGGAATCTAATCTCCACCTCCCGAAGTATGACGCTGAAGATGCTCTCGACTTTCTCACATTGCCGACTCAGGATCACCTGCTTTCCTATGTTCGGTCGCTCACTGTCATTTCCCCTTCCTTTCCTCCGCCAGATCCATTCGAGTGCAGCGCCCGGGACCGTGTACCCGAACTCATGGCCGTGTTTCTACATTTAGAGCGCGTGGCTTTATATGATGTCGTCCTTGATACTCTCCCTATGTATCACCGGAGATGCAATCGAGTCAAATTCCTGGAGATGATGTTCTGCAGTTCGTCCTTCTTCAGCATGAACGCCTTCATCAGCCATTTCTGTGATCTTGACGTCCTACGTATTTCTTGGCCTGGCATGCCTATCGGGCCTCGAACCTTTTTTGAAACGAGAAGAGTGACCGGTCACCCGCCTTTGCCACGACCCATCTCTGACCGACAAAAAGCACTCAAAGGGACACTACCATCATTCAAAAAAGTGTACATCAGGAATGCCACGGGCTCCAACACGTTTGAGTGGTTCAACAACCAAGCTGCATGGTATGATCCTACTGCTGTATGTTCGTTGCAGTACCATGCAGAAGTTGCGAATGTGACAGGCCTTGATGCCTTCTTGGAGCTCTGCAGTAACTCGCTCAACAAAGTGGTGATCCGAACCATGGGTCAGTAGTTTCCCATCATCCCCTCATTTATAGTCTGTTGTTTAGCTCATACATGTTGCAGAGACCATCAGGCCATACGTATTTCCCAGGATGGCCAATTTATCTACCCTCAGTCTGACCACAGACATCACCAACATGGAGCAGACCTACCACAGCCTTCAGTCTCTTTCAAGCCGGTCGTCTATCTATACACTGACGATCACCGTCCGCGGATGTGAATTTCAACCCAGAGTTCCCAGGGTTTTCGAGTTCATACCTGCCCTTTTAGCCAGAGTCTGCCCATGCCTGCAAGACTTCGCCTTGGTTTATGAAGCCGGGGCCTACAACCAGCTCGACTTCGCCAGGCTTACCTGGATTGTTTCCACCTTGATGCGAAACACACCTGTCATTTTGTTCATGCAACATCGTCAGTGTGTTCGACGTAGGAAATCATTCTCTGACCTGGCGTGACCATACCAAGACTTGGTGAAGGAAAATGCGAACCTTGTCTTCAATCAATTTAATTCGGAAGCAGGAGAGACGACGGTCACTGGATTGTAAGATGCTTTATTACTATCTCTAGTGCGCCCAACTAACATTTGTAATGTAGAGATCAAGGATCTGAAGATCGATTGGTGAACACAGCACTGGGATTTCAGACGTTCTACGATATGTGGACCTGTGTCAGTTTATAAAGTAATAAAAAATTTATAGTCAGTCGGGAGAATATCCGCCATCAATCCACAGCCAACTTGGATTCCTCGAAGTATGACCATCTGAGAAGATCATTCAGGATTGCTGCCATCAAATCAGGGTGCATTCACTAATCTAGTATAACGACGAGTTTGGACACTCAAATTGCCAGTTCCTGCGTATCCCCTCAGGGTCCGATACATTCTGACAGAGATGAGCGAAGCGAAGAACCCTCCGTGGTCAGGGAACGACACCACGTGGTAACTCGTTGCAAATTTTATCAATATTTCAAACCCCGAAGTCAGGACTGCCATATCTATTGCGACATGTCCCATCTTTCTCTCCCATCTTTCTCACCGGAGTGGCAGACTCTCTGACTGGAGTGGGTTTCAGCGGTGTTCAACATCGCTTATACTGGAATCCCTTGAGTAGACACGGACATTGCGCGAGGGAGCTGTTGAGGCATCGCCTACTCTACTGCAAGCCGCAGCTTTGTTATACATAGCTTTAGTACTAGATACATCGCATATGGAGTGAACACGATGGCCACTTTATTGACTCTACCAGATGAAATCCTCGGAATCATCATAGAATGTGTCTTGGAAGGCGTAGAGCCGAGCAACAAAGCCTGGATGGCTGCGCACCTCCAGCTCGTCTGCGAAAGACTGAGGCCTGTATTCGAACCTGTGGCATGGCGGACATTGGTTGTATACTGTGGAAGACCAGGAAGATCTAGAACCGATCCATGGGAGTACGTCAGGCACAATAGCACCGACGCTCTGACAAGCTTTCGCAAATACAGGGAGGGTTCGCTCTTCGCGTGTGTCAAATTGCTCAAAATCGTCTGTCCAGACCGTCTCCCAAAGTATGCGACTCATTACCCTGATTCCGACCAAGTGTATGAGCCCATTTCATCCCTACCTTCTCTGAAGAACATCATTCTAGTCGATGTTACACTCGATGCGCTCCCAATACCAGAACACCACTGCATTGTTCCTCGCCCCCTCCTGTCGTTGCACCTCAAATTTTGTCGCACCACGATTAACGGCTTGAATACGCTTTTCCAAAAGTTCACTGAGGTGTCAGAGGTGACTGTGTGTGCAACGGGTGTGCCAATGACAGCTGTGGCAGTACTTCCATCAAAAGCTGGAATGATCTTGAAGGGAGACGTTTTGTGGCCGCAAACCATTGAACGGGTTCCTGTAGCTGGGGGGAGTGCACCGAGGACCACAATCCACAAATTTACAGCATGCTGCACTCAATTCAGCAACATCTTTGATTGGCTGAACAGTGAGGATTCGTGGTACGATCACAGTGGTATCAAGAATCTGAGGGTTGATGGGGAGGTAATGCAAAATGACTCGGTGGGGCTGGACAAATTTTTACAGGGATACGGACGTGATCTGACGACGCTAGCCTACCAAACACGATGTGAGTGTGGCAAACGTGGTGTCATCTCCATGCTAACATCAAAATCTTTACAGATTGCCGTACCGTCGTGAAATTGCCTCGCTTGGATCTTTTATGCCATCTGTCCCTCAGGTGCGACATAATGAGGCTATCTAAAGTCTGTCAGTCAGTAAGGACTCTGTCTCAGGAAGGCAATTGTATCCTGGAAACATTGGCCATCTCCTTCGATGCCGACGCTTTTGGCGAGAACGGAACACTGCCGTTTGGTCTGCAGGATTTGGTCGGTCCCATACGCACATGGTGAGACTCTTTACGACTCCTGACATTCACTTACAGCCTTACGAACTATCAGTCCATCTACCACGCAAAACTGCACTGGATCACTCGTTTGATTTTCGGAAGCTTTCCATTAGCAATTCAGTGCAGGCTTCAGACAAGTCATCACGCCGAAATGTCTGAATGCTTAGACAATGCACCTGACTCGGTAAAAACCCGGGACCTCTTGTCGTTCGGACACCTGTCGACCGAGATCAGAGATATAGTCCAAAGTGATGGATCAATTACAAGAGTCGACAGACAAATTGAAATATTGCAACATCTGGGTATCATGTCATACATAACACTGTACGTCCCATTTTGAACGTGTTGGTTTCAGATTTGACTTTTCAATAGGGACCGCCATTCAGAAGAGAAATTGCATAGAGCCTTCGGCTTTTAGTATTAGAGTGGGTATAGATAAAATCATGGAAAAACATTGGTAGTACATGATCTGTAATCAGCTTCTGATATCGAAGAATAGACGAAGATACAGGTGTACACTCCTGATTGCAATTACGTGCCATGCTCTGAGAAGAGACTTAGATGGCTGTCTACATCGAACTTTAAGTTTTTTTTCGCCTTTTTCGCCGCCTTCATTGTGGTGATATTCAGCTCAGAAGATTGAAACATGGTGGCTTGATTGAACCAAACACAAGAACCACGGTCTTCATCTGCTGCCCACAAAGATTCCGCGGTATCTGGAGTAGGACGTGCACCATCCTTTGTGGTAACAATGTGGTTGTCCAGATCTGGGATGACATTATCATGACTGCAATATTAGGCAGAGAAAGACCGTACGTTGGATGTCAATGTTAAAATGGTAAAACAGAGATGATGGATACACAAGAAACACGCCAGGTGGTAGCTGAAAGATAATGGGCCCAGCTTCCCATATGACAAGCCAGCAGAATTGTCGATGGTCAAATTTTCCTGGCGCACAATTTCCATTTGAAATCAAGCCAGGTTAAAAAGACTGGATACACACCGTAGATAAATATAACACACACACCAATTGCCAAGTTCACCTTGTCAACATGAGGCCAACATTGCACTCGACATACTCCTTGCCCGCGACGAGAGTGGTTGAGGCAAAAGTTGAAGAAAATTCCAAACTTTGCTTCGACTTTGACCTTCCATTTCTTGTATTTCTGAGCCATGTAGCGCACACAGTTGCTGAATCATCGGAATATACCGGGAAACTCGAGTCGTACCATTGAACAAGCACCTTCTCTGTTCACAGAAAGAGCATGAAGATCTCAAACAATGTGGAGAAGGTAAGTACGTATGTTGCTAGGGAAAAGGGTGTACCTTTGGCAAAAAATTCCTCTATCAAGGCTGAGTTGCAAACATGCCATGGAGATAATTTAGGCACCTAAAATTAGTTCAGCGAGCACAATATCAGAACTAGGATAAGAAACCCAGCCTTCTTATTTTGTCGATCATGGCCAGCTATGCAGAAGAAATGATTGCCATGAACATTGGTCATGGTATCAGCTTCCGTGAATGGGCTGCAGCATTGTACAAAGACATTGGCAGCTGCTATGAAACGTTCCATGTCTACCCAGGGGTAGATGGTAGACCGGTAGATGACAAGTCTGCCTTCCCGGTCCAGTATTCGGGTTGGTCGCTGCTCACTGATAAGAGTGAATGAACAAAATCTGAAAACAGAAAATTACCACTCACTTGTCAGCAAATGGAATGCGGACAGCGTCTGTTAGCAAGCTGGCAAGGCCCGCTGGCCATTGGGTTTTGATTTGCGTAGCAAGTTCGCCATTAAAAGGCCTTCCTGCCCAGCCTGTGGAAGAAAACGACAGATTGCGTATAGAAAATGATGTTCCAGTGGCAGCATAAGTCTTGACACCACGTTGTAGAAGGTGTTCATGTCGCCGAGTCCAGTTACGAATTTTATTGCGCGTGCGCTTCTTATCCTTACCCGCTAGTCCTGACAACTCAGAAGCGTCTTTGGCCCAATCATGTTTTTTGCCAGGTTCCCCGAAGCTGATTCTGATTCTGAGATAAGTCGTGTTTCGAACAAATAAGCAAGAGGGACACACATGTGGTGTGTATATGGGTTATTGTCAGAGACAGCTTCACGAGGTGGACCAGTAGTGATAACGTTAGAAGGTGGGTCGATGTCTAAGAAGTACTGGTTGCTAGTTATGGGCGAGGCGTAGTCATCTTCTTCGGAGGAAGATAGCGGAGTTAATGGACCATAGAATAAGTCGGAGTAGGCATTTTCGAAGCCAGTGTTGATCTCCGTGTTGCTTTCAGAAAGTTCTGTCAGAGGGGAGGATTCTCTGTCCACAGCGTCCGCCATGATTGTGTCATCAGCATTGTGAATACGACAAGTAAGGTTTTGGTGAGAAACATTGGCTGTGCCAACATCGTTTTCGTCATCGGATTGGTCGCTCTCTTCAGGTCCTGAAAGGAGGCCTGGATCGATGTTGTAAGCCTCGGAATCGGTGGAAGTCGTTCGAAGGTAAACCAGACTCTCTATATTACAGGGAATGCGCAGATTATCACCAACAGAAAGATGTCTGTTGTGGCGCGGATCTGTAAACCTAAAGACGTGCTGTTCGTTGCATCGAATTCCAAAATAAAGGAGGGTCGCCTACATAGTGTCCACAGCATATTTAATATTCTCTGGAAGCATCGTAGATAAGACTCAAGAGGACGGCGCTAGTCAGTTCACGTCTTGGGGGTTATGAGAAAAAAGCACCAGTGTATATATGTCACTGATATTATACAAATCAGTCCGTCTCATGATTAAATGGTGTGGACCGCACATAAGACGATAGAGGGATGTACTGAGGTAAGTTGTTCTGGCGGTGTGGGGCGAAGAACCCTTGTAATATCATGACAGCGCGAAGAGGACTACACAATGTGCAGTAGGCCGAAGCGAAGTGATGATTATATTGGGCGCTTGTAGGCGACCAAGTGTCTGGTAGATATGAAGCGTCGGATATGGATAGCACCACATGGTGCACAATTAAACGTGGCACTCATGACCTACCGAGGGGGACCGCGGACCTTAGCGGTATGGACGATTCCTAATTACTCGTCACTTGCAATTTGAGACGTGCTATTTTGACCAGGGCCAATGGGAATGCCGCGATGCCGCGGCATGGCAAATGAAATGAAATTAATCAGGAGCTATAAGGAACTGAAGGATAAGGATAATAATGCAGTCGTTGCGCTGGGATTTCAGCGCTTTGTCGAGGCATGAACAGAGACGCCAGTATCCGAAGCCGTTTAATGGCAGGTAGCTCATCCCGCCCCTCTTTCCCTGGTTCCCTTGAACTTCTTTGCATCACGGGGACACAACGCAAGGAGATCAACAGATATTTGGACACGATTGACATGGGCTTTCGCCAAGACGTCCCGCTGGTAGTTGAAGATGCCGGAGAAATCAGTCATTCTAATAACCTCGCTCCGGACCGTGCGTACCCGTAACACCATTATACAGATTACGAACTTATCAAGAATATATAACAGTGCCTAATGACTACGAGTGTCCCTGCTGCAGCCTACTGATGTGGATTCCCATGAGGTATGCATGCCTACAGCACTAGACCAGAGCCACGTTACTCATGTATACCCCTCAGTCCCGGGTGTGGACACAATTTTTGTCTGAAGTGCATCATCCGGCATATTCTCAAGGTGCGTACTAATAATGAAGGAGCGCTGCCGAGCGGGTGTCCAATGTGCAGTTGGAAAATTCGTAGTCCCCCGGGCATTAATCTGTTTGCGAAGGAGGCTATCAGGGAGTGGGCTAAGGCGAACGGAGTAGTTCCAGAGATGTCTAAAGACGTAAAGTTGAATGGCATCGAAGCTGTTAGAATGGTGGCGATGTTTTTCAAAACGGAAGTTGAGAACTGATGTCATGCCAGGGTGTAACGCGTAAACCCCAGGACCGTTTCAATATTTTAGTCTCCGAACGAATGATAACACATGTGATGAGCGTGTCTCGCTTGCGCACTTTCGTTTACTTCTCATTGGTTCACTTGCTTCGTCTGCTTCCCATCCATGTCCACTAGCGGCGGATGGACTGAGGGTATGTACAGTGTCAAAGGACCCGCTCCGACAAGTGCTTCGTCCCTCCCTCCCTCCCTCCCTCATGAAATCTCGCTTGTCACTTCCATCGCGGCTTCTCATAAGTAGCTATCCAAGAATCCACCAGTGGTATTGGGGTATTGGTATTGCCTCGAAAGGTTTTGAAGGAGGCATGGTACGGTATTTACTGGTTTGCTTTGTGAATCCACTAATAGTTCTGTCAGGACATGAATACGCCATAATCTGCACATTCACGCCCACCAGTGTCTCTTGCTCTGTCCACTGGCTCATCCGTGTCATACATGGATTTTCTGGCGTTATACCTATTCATCTGTGTTCTACATGGATGCCGGCTGTCTGTCGGTGGTACCTTGCAGGTGTTTTGGCTAAGGTCAACTCAGTTTGGCATTGCATGCTTACTCTTCGCGAGCTACGTACTTGCATACAGTGGGGTTATAGGATCTTGTGGTTGAAAGAGCTCTTCATTGAAGAGATTGGTGATGTCCCATGTCAACTGCCAGCGACGATGTCTTTTTATGATTTCTCGTCATGCTCATCTGTGTTGAACACGGATTTTTTGTTGCGATGTGTTTTGGAGGCGTCTTCATCGAAGGAGCTCTTCTTGAAGGGTTCATACAGTGGTGTTACAGGATGTCTGGGGGATTATCATTGAAAGAACTCTTCCTTGAAGAGATCGGTGTCGTCCAATGTCAGCTGTCAAGGACGGTGTTTTTGTACGATTCCTCATCATGCTCGCCTGTGTTATACGTGGATATTTTGTTGCAATATGTTTTGGAGGCATCTTCATCGAAGGACCTCTTCTTGAAGAGTTCGGTGCTGTCTTGAGTCAGCTGTCGACGAGGATGACTTCCGAACATGTTTTATTCGCTCAAGGCTGGTGTGTCCTGCTCTTTTCTAGTTGCTGGGAAAAGCCAAGAGGCGCCAATGCAGCCTTCTTTGAAGCTGTGGTGCTGTGATGTCAGCTGTCAATGAGGAGAGGTCTCATTGGTGCCACGGGACACTGTGGAACTGCAGCTCGCAGCTGAAGACATTCAATTCGGCATAACGAAGTACTATATTTGTATTGAAAACACAAGGTAGTTTATGACTGCTGGAAATCAGGTGCATCCCATGCGACTGGAAGGTATGTTAAGTTTCGTTTGCTTGAGTCATAACAAAGCACTCACCAGAGACAATTAAAAACATCAGTGATCAATATACGGTCTCGGAAGAACGCACGGACTGCAGCGGTATCAGGAGTCATCGAGACTGGAGTATGGAAACATGGTTCCGCATGCAATGCCGGGTGTTCTTCTGCCCTCTCCTTCGCCTTTTTATACACGTTTTGGTACCCTCTATCAAATAAGAGAATGGCAAACGCTCCAAAACCGTTGATCTCATAAGCTACGGACACCACCTTCCCACCTTCCTGCTGGCAGTCCTTCATCTTGCCGAGCATCGAAAAAGCTAATGCCAATGAAGAGTTGTAGTCCGAACGGTCGGGTATGAAGATGCATGTTGCAAAAGCCGCCCGATCGATACTGAAGGTCATGACCTGTTCTGGTCGCAGGTACAAGGTCAATACACTATTATTGGCATATATCTCCTCCTCCTCCTGGTCCCAGTGATCTTGAATGGACATGTTTTCAGGCTGCTGGAACATCACATCAAGCACTGACTATGGCCGAAAATTGAAGGTACTTCCCAAGATCGCAGAGATAAGCACATGCATGAGGACAAGGGGCTTGTCCATCCCGATGGCGGCGTTCAAAATATTGACTAGAACCGGGCGCATTTCCAGCGTACTGTTAGCGACCGATTACACAAACAAGATCAAACAACTAAGCGTGACTCGCACTTCGGTCAGGCGCTTTATGTTGCTCGCAGGTTTGCATGCAGGGAGCTATCGCTTAGCGATTCGAGAGTGAGTTCAGACTAAGTTATCGGGTGAATAAACTTTAGTTCAAGACTGAGGTTTAAGACCTGCAGTCGAGCTACTTAAATACAGTTTTGGGTCGTTCTAAGTATAGTACAAGAGTCTGTAATGGTGCAGTAAACACACGGTACTGGCATGTAAGAATGCGATCAGAGTCGGAGGATTAGCATATAAGTATTACGAGGAGTCGGATAAGATAAGATACGATGTGAAATCGTAATATTACCCCCCTGTTAAGGCAGTCGTCCCGACTGCGATCTGCTTGGGCAAATGTGCTCCAAGTAAGGACGGTGCCTTTGGTTTTACCAGGTATTCTTGTATTGCCTGTACCAAGGGGTGATCGATTTCGGATTCCGTTACCGACTCTGTTTCTGACCAGCTGTCGGAGTCGTCATTGTTCTCCCACCAATCTGCCGGTGGTCTGGTGATGAAGGAGACTTGTTCAAAGTCTTCAATGGCCTCCCTGGCATTGTCGAGTTCTTGTTCATCTACCCATGTATTTTCCTCCCTTGGATAACCTTTCCACTTGATAAGGTATTCGGTTTTTGTGTGACGCTTGCGTCCTCGCCCTACTGTCCGTTCCCGTCGGTCTACTATTTCCTCGACCTCATATTGTTCTTGTCCATCTATGAGGTCTGGTGGAGGTGCCATGGGCTGTATTTGGGTTGGGAACTCCGGGGAATGGTACGGGGTGAGCAGGTTTTCATTAAACCGATTGTGAATTTTCCAAGTGAGGGGTAACTTCAACTCGTACGTGGAGGGCCCCTTCTTTGAGAGTATTTCAAAGGGTCCTACTTGCTTGTCTCTGAGTTTCTTCATTGGTCGTGGGAGATGAAGATTGGTAGAGTCCAGCCAAACTTTGTCGCCTGGTTGATACTCTACGGCAGGGGATTGGTGTTTGTCGTATTGGTGTTTCATTGCTTCTGCCGCTTTCTCCAGCGCCTTTGCCGTTTGCTCATGTATCTTTTGAATGTCCGCTACAAATTCTCGAGCGGCTGGATTGGTTCCCTCTTTGATGCTGAGAGGTGCGAGATGGGGTTTTTGGCCATGATTGATCTCAAACGGGGAATATCCGGTAGCAGAGTGTTTTCGGTTATTGTGTTGGAACGCTGCCAGAGGTAGCCAATCGCTCCAGTCGTTTTGTCTGTGGTTTATGAAGATTCGGAGGTACTTCTCAATTTCTTGATTCGCCCTCTCGGTTTGTCCGTCAGTTTGTGGATGATACGCGGTGGACGGATTTCCCTGAATCTGCAGCATTTCATATAGTTCCTTCATGAACTTGGATACAAATTGGGGCCCTCGGTCAGAGATGATCTTTTGCGGCATGCCGTGTTTTGCCCACACGTGGTCACGGAGTATCTGGGCCCATCCTGCAGACGTCAGGTCCGTGGAGCAGGGGACTGGGATTACTTCTTTTGAAAAGCGATCCACGATCATGAGTATAGCATTGTAACCGTTGGAGTCTGGTAGTTCGCCGATCATGTCCACCGTGATGTGCTCCCATGGTCGAGATGGTACGGCGTGTGGATGCAGGGGCGCCTTCTTCCTCTGGGTGTTGGTCTTTGTTCGCTGGCACGCTTCACATCCCTTGACGTACTTTTCTACATCCTGTTTGAGTTTTGGCCACCAATATTCTCTTTGTACGAGCTCTTTGGTTTTTTCAATCCCTGGATGTCCCGCCGTGATGTGATCGTGGCGATAAGCGATAAGTTCCCCTCATAACTTGGTGTCACAGGGTACATATAGTCGTCCGTCGTAGTACATTAACCCGTCCTTTTGGGTTATCCCTCGGGGATGATGAAGGGAGGCTTCTATCCCTTTATCCCACCTGGTTGCATCTCGTAAGGCCGTCCTGATCTTCTTGTGTACCTCCTCCTCCCCTGGCATTATAAGGGCTCGAAAATGTTCCGGTTTGAGCACTACCACCTCTTGGTTATCGTCTCCCCCTTGATCATGGTCCGCCCGGCGAGATAGAAGATCGGCCTTCTTGTTGGCGGTGCCCGGTTTGTGATGAAGGGTAAAGTGATATTTGGCTAGCTCAGTTACCCATCGCGCTTGTCTGCGGTTGAGCTTTTGGGGTTTACGAAAGTATTGCAGGTTTTGATGATCCGTCCAGATTTCGAAATCCTGCTGGGCACCCATGAGATAGTGTCTCCAGTTGTCAAGGGCCAACATGATGGCCAATAGCTCCTTGTCGTATATTTCATAATTGCGTTCCGTGACTGTTAGGGCCTTTGACAAGAACGCTACTGGTCTCCACTTCCCTTCTTGTTCTTGGGACAAGACTGCTCCTATAGCTCCTTCGCTTGCATCTGCTTCCACGCGATATTTTCCTGTTTGGGTAGGTATTGCCAGTACCACTTCTTCGGCCAGTTTTCTTTTTATCTCCTTGAAGGCATTCTCTTGTGCTGCTCCCCATGTCCACTCCGTCTTTCCCATGAGTTGAGTTAGCGGTCGTACGTGCTTGCTATAATCCCGGATGAATCTTCGGTAAAAATTGGTGAACCCTAAGAACGACTGTAACTCCCGTTTCTTGGTGGGTTGGGGCCATTCCGTGATTCCTTTGACCTTTACGGGATCCATGCGAATGGATCCTTGACTGATGATTACCCCGAGGTATTCGGTTTCCAACACCTCGAATTCGCATTTCTCCGCTTTAAGGAAAAGATTGTTTGCGCGAAGGATGGCCAGTACCTCTCGGACGACAGTCTGATGCTTGTCTTTGTCCTTGGTGCAAATCAGGATGTCATCTAGGTACACGGTGACATCCCCGTGAGCAATTTGCTCTTTGAACAAGTCGTTCATCATCCATTGAAAGGTGGCTGGCGAGTTGGTTAACCCGAAGAACATCACCATTGGTTCGAAGAGGCCCCGGTTGGTGCAGAAGGCCACCTTCCACTCGTCTCCCTGCTTGATTCGTACGTTATTGTACCCCCACCGCACATCCAGTTTGGTGAAATACTTTGCATCCTTGAGCTGGTCCATAAGCTCCCCGATTAGCGGAAGCGGGTATCGATTTTTGATTGTCATTTCGTTCAGCTTTCGGTAATCTTGGACAGGGCGTAGTTTTCCGTCTTTCTTTTTGACGAAAAAGAACGGGGATGCCATAGGGGATTTGGATGGTCAAATTCTTCCAGATTCTAGATTCTCGTCTAGGAATCGATCTAACTCCTCCTGCTCCGTTGGGTTTAACGGGTATACCTTGCAATCGAGGCTTGCGTTTGCATTTGGGATGAGTTCGATTGCATGGTCCCATGGTTTGCATGGTGGTAGTTCGTCAAAGTTTTCCTTGGCAAATACGTCGTGAAAGTCCCTGTAGGCTTCTGGGACTATTTCCTCGAACGTCTTCGCTTTCTTTTCCTGGTTTGCTTTGGCGGCTAACTCATTGGCCTTGCTTCCCATGGCCCGAACATGGAATGCTTCTTCGAAGTCCACGATTAGGATGGTATCCCCTTCTTCTACTTCTGCTCCCCATGCTTGCTCCGGATCTTCATCTGGTAATGTGAATGGTATTTTGCGGCATGCGCATCGTGCTAGGGTTACAGCTCCCGTCTTCCAGTCAATGATTGGATTGTGTCGCTTGAGCCAATCATGGCCCAGAAACATGGATATGTTTCCTAGGTCTATGACGGCGAGGTCAATCTTCTCATGGTGATCTCCTATTGTCATTCGGAGTTCCACGACTTTGGTTATGTCTCCCCCTCTATTCCGACTTCCGTCCGCATTGTACACTGCTTGAGCTTTGGCCAGTTTCACCGTATTGAGTTGATGCTCCTGTACGAAGGTTCGATTTATGCAACTCCCAGTGCATCCGCTGTCTACGAGAGCGCTAGTGGCGTATTCGCGTCCCGTGTCTAGGGCTTCGAGCTGTACCCTGATGTTGACGCTCCTTCCCTTCCCTCCTCATATGTATTGCGGTGGTATGCGTAAATCTTGCATATTTTGTAGACATAGTTCTCGTTGTCTATAGGTTTCTTGTGGGGAGCCTATGAGGTCGAGTACCAGGTCTTCGTCTACTTCGATTAGACATCGGGGATGTACCCACATGTGTAGGGTGGCGAGTTGTCCATCCATGGTTTTCTCTTGCCGCATCTTTCTTCGTACCCATTCAGCGCTGTGCGGCTTCATCCATCCTTGGTCCCACTTGTCATGATAATATTCGGGCTCTAGGTCGACTACTTCGTAATCTTCCGGGTACTCCGCTGCGTGTTCCACAGGGTCTTCCCCAATTGGCGGTACCTTGATGCTTTGTTGGTAACTGTAATCGTTTTCCTCATCCGGTACTTCTTCAACACGAACGGTTTTTTTATTAACAATAGGAGATGCACATAATGGTCCCACCAACCCGCCCACCGGGGAACACGAGCCCTCGGTGCCATTATGTGTTAGTGATGACGATGGAAGACGCACCGTATACTTGGATTCGGAAAGGAAGGGGTCCCCGTTCGTCTGGACTGTTCTTTGCGGGGCGGCAGTTTTGTTGTTGGGGATTCACGTTCCCTCTTGCGGCTCCGTTCCACGATGAGGGCAGCCGGTCACTCGTGGCTGGCGCATACATTCCGCCCCCGAGTGGGGTTCTTCACTTCTCACCTTGGGCTCGGCCGCTCTTCCTCTGTTCCCCGCACCGTCGTCTGCCCTCAACGGAGTGAGGTTGATCCCGGGTATCCCGCCGCCTTTCACCGTGTCAACGGTTTGTGCTTTCGCACCGGTGGCCAAGGAGCTTGAGTGGGGTTCTTCTTCGAGCACGGTGGAAATCCCCTGTACACCGTTCTTCCTTTTATGCGACTGAGTAATTTCATTTTGTGAATGTGTGAAAGTTGTGTCATTGCCTCGAGATACTACATGCGGTAGATTAGTCCGACCTGCGGGTTTTGATGACGCACCACTAAATGAAATTAAGTCCTTAGCCGACGCGCGTTTGTCACTTACGCCGCCGGCTCGTCTTTTACCTCCTCGACTTTTGACGTAGATGCTTCCTCTTCTTCGTCCTTTAGTACTTGCTGATACATTGTTCGGATCTCCGCACGCGAGAACTTGGGTTGGTGCTTGACGAGCCAAGTGCTTTGGTCCTTTGGGCATTTGTTGTCCTGTTTTCGGTGCCCCTTGTGACTGCAGTGGAAACATCGCCCTTCCTTTCGAAGGCGGTCTATTTCCATGGGTTGTCCCTGGCCCCCGTACGTGGTGCCAGTGCCCGTCTTCTTGTCACCTTGGGAATTCCCGGAGCTTCCGGCTTTTCCCGTTCCCTTGTTCTGCTGCCCCTGATTCCCTTGGCCTCTTCCTGCGTCCTCTGCTAGTCCGACGCGGTAGTTGTAGTCCATTTGTTCCACCCGGAACTTCCACTCGGCATAGGTGCAGGGTAGCGCGGTGCCGGTTGCATGTATCGCCGTTTTCACGTTTTTCCGGATTGCCAGTTTGAGGATTTCAATCATGTATTCCTCGTTGTGACGCTTCCCGGATTCTTTTGCTAGTCGTTCGAAGTCCCGGAAGAATTCCTTCGCCGATTTGTACGTGTTTTGGCATAGGCGTTTGAACTCTTGTAATTTGAGTTCTACTTCCACGTCGGTTCGGAACTGGTCTTCGACGGTTTGCTTGAATACGTAGTATGCTGGATATCGCAGGTGACCACATGTGGGGTCATCGTATTTGTCCCTTTCGTGGTTCCACCAATGTAAGGCTTTTCCCATGAATCGGAACGTGCAGAACACGACCCTGTTCGGGCTTTGTCCATGTGCGTTCATAGTGAATTGTTGTGGGAACACCGTGAAATAGTCTTCACATTGGTTAAAAAACCTATCCACGTCACTGGATTCTCCGCTGAACTTTTCCGGGGGATCGGCTAGCTGGGGTTTTACTAGTCCCCATGGGTTGGTGCTTGCCGTTCCGACCAGGAAAGGGGGGGGCGTAGTTGGTGGTTGTACAGGGTCGGCGGGAATAGGGATTGCCGCAGGTCGTGGGAGTGACCTCAGGGCCGGGTTATGATGCGGGGACAGTGGTCCCGTGGGTGCTGCGGGTGCTGGCGCCGCAGGTACTGGTACTGCTGCTGCTCCGCTTCCTGGGGTTCCTGCTGCCGCAAATAGTCGACTTGGGTCCACGTACCCGGTCCTTCGAAGGATGCTTAGATGACTAAGGTCCACGGTGCTTCCGTCTGAGGTTTCTGATGGTTCAGGTACTGGGTACCGTTCACCGGGTTCTGTGTAGTCTTCTGGGTGTACTTGGTTCCATAGAAGGCTGGTGTGGAAGATCGTCTCCCGATACAATACTTGGCTTCCCACCGCTGTGTTCCTCTGTGTTTGGAAGTATCTGCCTTGCGGCGATCCGTTCCACGATAGTTCTCGTGGTAACTTCTTTTCGGTCCAGTGGAGCATTTCTAAATATGTCATATTTTCGAGCTTGGCCTCAGTAGGCTCCCGAGCTAGATCCTTCCACGAATTCTGGGATGATGTCCTCGTCTCCATATTCTCCTGCTTGGTGTAACCGCTCCAGATCGACGGCTGCACGGTTCCAGGGTTCTCGTAAATTTCTCCTTCTTCTAAGTCCGATTGGTCAGACTCGCTCAAAAGGCTCTTCGCTTCCTGTGACGATTCGGTTCCAATTTCTGATGATTCTGGCCCACTCGTTGACCCTAAGAATGACCTGTTCGAAGTCTGGCCTTCGGGGTCTATCCCATACCCAGGGTGCGATGAATGGGACTGGGGCTGCGAGGGGGTGTTCGGCTGCAAGGGGGTAGATTGCGTAGGGGACGACTGAGGAAGGGGGTTCGATTCCTTCGTACATGAGCCAGGCATCGGCGTAGTCCTGTACTTGTCTGCATATATTGCAGCTGGCGTCGGCGTCATACATGGGCTCACACTGGTCGAGCTCGGTAGTGGCTTCCCCGGCCCTATCGTTGATGATGATTGGGGTGTTAGGGCGGGTGACGAGGTTAAGGTATTGCCCCTCGTCGTCCGAGGAATCGCTTCGGGCGTAGTAGTAGCCCCACATTTCGCCTCTGGAGTCGAGCCTTGGAGGGGACCAGTTGTTCTGGGGTCCTGGGAGCTCATTGTTGCTACTGTCCTCCTCTGTACCACTGCTTTCTTCATCTGAACTGCTTCCAGTTCCATTTTCAGCCGTTCTTCTTTCTCCCAGATGGTGTCTAAGCCCTCTTTGATAGAGGCGCTGTCCGTCTGAATCATATCCAGGGTTGGCGGCCGAGTTTTCTGTGGAAGTGGGGGAAGGGGCGTCCCAGGGGTTACTTCCCAGGCTTTCCCCTTCGCTTTCCTCTTCGGTAATGGGAGAGAGAACACGCTGGTCCACCCCTTGCTCGTAGAGTCCTGGCTCTTCTTCTTCTTCAACGACTGGGCCTCTTTGTGCAGGCCATCCTTCCATTTCGGAGTCGGACTCGTCTGAGTCGGAGTCTTCTGTAATCCACTCGTCGTCAGTGATAAAGATGAAGTGGATGACGGGTTCGACTCTGTCGTCGACGTAGTCGGGAGGGGGTGTGTCCGGTCGTCTAGTTTCCGGGTTGGGGGCTTCGACGGCGACAGTTTCGGGGGAGGCTGGCTCCTGGGTTCTTCGGTATTCGTATCCATATAGGAATGCAAGATAGACCAAGGCGCACAGGCCCTGAAGTCCAATGAAGTCGGAGATGGTTTGTTCGATGGGGTTCATTCGTTACTGTTCAACAACGTGGCTGTTGCTGAAGAGCAAGAAAGTCTCGAACTAATTGTTAGCGACCGATTACACAAACAAGATCAAACAACTAAGCGTGACTCGCACTTCGGTCAGGCGCTTTATGTTGCTCGCAGGTTTGCATGCAGGGAGCTATCGCTTAGCGATTCGAGAGTGAGTTCAGACTAAGTTATCGGGTGAATAAACTTTAGTTCAAGACTGAGGTTTAAGACCTGCAGTCGAGCTACTTAAATACAGTTTTGGGTCATTCTAAGTATAGTACAAGAGTCTGTAACGGTGCGGTAAACACACGGTACTGGCATGTAAGAATGCGATCAGAGTCGGAGGATTAGCATATAAGTATTACGAGGAGTCGGATAAGATAAGATACGACGTGAAATCATAATACGTACGTGTCACGGTGATCTGTAAACTCCCATCATCATCATCGACCGCTGGATATATACGCAACAGTGCTTGAGTATCTGGCATACAATATAAGAGCGGGAGACCGAACACGAATAATCAGAATGAAAACGAAGGCTGAAGATGCATTCAGGACGGAAAGCAGGGGGTGTCGGAGCTATGGTGCCCATGACTGATGGGCAGGTGTCGAATGTTGGGCCATATATATAGGGATCTTTCGGAAAGAAACCACAGCGTTAAAAAGGCGGGAACGGGTTAGACGATATCATCATAATGGCCTGCCCCTCTGGAACTTCCACCCCCTTTCTCTCAGAGAAAACATATCATTCGCTTGCGGTCCTTGACTCTGTGAATGGTAAGTCTGGATTTGTTCCTACACCATCCTCACAATCTCAGATTATTGACAGCTACGCATCAGATGCAAGGACAACAAGGGAATTGCAGACCTGTCAGTAACAAGCAGGCCCTCCTTTACATAGCAGCATATAGTGCCAAGTACGTGTCTTGGTCTGGCGCCCTTGATATTTCGGCTAACAAACCATACAGAAAGGCTGCCCTCAAACAAAAAGACTCAACCATGTTCATATCCAAGGAAGGAAGTGCTCCGTCTCCAGAAGGGATGAGCAGTCCACCTGCCGGGGATGTGTCAGGGCAGAAACGAGTCTGGAATAGGACGGCTTAGATAAAATTACATGTTCCCGTTCTCTAAGTTTGGAGAAATGTGGATAATGGCAAATAAATGAAATGGAGATGGAGATGTCGTGCCCCACGACTCTGGAATTCTGGTCTTCCCATCAGATTGGCTCGTACAAACAAATAAGTGGACCAGAATCACCAATTGTGAATAGGGTCCATTTGGGGAGTTGTAAGTGCAAGAATTGCGAGTATGTTTCGCGACCTAGAAACATGCTAATTGGGGATACTATCAGGGAAGGGCGGTTAGAACTTACTCAGTTCCATTGACATGTTGGAGGGCATTTCGACTTGAGCGTTGAACGTCGACATCCCACTGCCCAGGTGAAATACCATGGCACTTTACCGCGTTTGGGCGGGATAACACAAAGGCTGGTGATGATCGGGCTGAACGCACATTTACTCCATACGGATTTATCCCCATGGAGAGCCTGCTACTCTTTTTCCTTTATGGATTGGTCCCCATAAGGTATGCAGGCACAGTTTGGAGTGTGTTCTCCATATGGACTAATCCCCATATAGTATAGAAGAACTGGTTTCTCGACTTCAATTTTTTCCGAGATGGACAAGGAGAAATTGAGATATAAAAGCAGGGAGAAAAGCGAGGAAGTCAACTGCATAGATCATCTTGCTTTACTCCACCATGGCTCCATTCCAATCTGCTACCCACCGTCGCCGCCTTTTTAACTATTGAGAGTACGTCGCCGGCAACTACTTTTCTGAGGCCTTCGGGTGGAAGAGTTATTCTGGGAATGGCCACATACTTACCCCAGTGCATGCATCAGAGAGTGACTCTCCTGAGGCGGTTGCAGAAGCTTCGCTCATTGTTGTTGGCGAGATACTGCCGTCTCGTTTCTGGGTAGACAAAGTCGGTGGTTGGAAAAAGGAGTTTGGTGCCCTGAGGGGAGCTAAGTTCTCCCTGGCTCTAGGCGAACCTCAGGACCCTGCATTTGCCACAGATTGGGCGAATGCTGTCGGCAGGTTGAATAGCACTATTTCGCAGTTATCTGGACCCGGATCTAAATCGGAAAACGTGCGAAGCTGCATTCAGACGGAGAATCATTCCACTCAAATACGCTTCTCTGCTCCTGTTTTCGAACCTTTGGTACGTCTAAGATAGATTTGTGTTAATGTGCAGTGTTTTTGACTCTGTTTAACGTACAGGAGCCTGGAACAACTGTCCTGGACAGCCTTATTCAGAGATGGAGCGTGGACCCAGAGCACCAGGAAGCTTTGAACGCCTTGAAGACTGGTTTTCGAGTCACACCACTCAGGGTGTTTGATATTGACGACAATCCGGTCAGAGCTGAGAACATGGTGGGTCTACTCAAAGGTATATCCACCATTCACTTAGTGTAAATGACGAGACTGAGGGAATATACCTCAGGTGCACTCGCAGAAGTTCACTTCTCGATCCGCCATTGGAATATTCAAAGGGCAGGCCAAGTACCTCAACAGTCTTTTTCTTGCACTATCAACCAGATTTGCGTGCTGAAAAGAGCACCACCTCCTCCACCTAGTCCGTACAAAGGATCTTCACGTCCATATCGCCCAGTTCCTATCCAGCCAGGACCAGCACCTTTACTTCCTGCGGCAGAATTACCGGTAAACGCAGCAGCATCTGCGAGCGTTGAGGTTGATCCGCTTTCACCAATCCCCAATCGCTGCGACAACCTGAGTACGGAAGCGGAGCCTCGTACACCGACGCCTACATCCACCAGTCGGAGGGCAATGGGTTTTGGGACGAGGCTGAACTTTATACAGCTGCCCACTCCGCCGACAGACACTACACCTCCTGGCGTTGGAGTTTCTGCTAGCCACGTTCTTGGTAATCACAACATATCCCCAACACGGTCTCAGCCTCAGCACACTCGACCTATCCCTGTCGATAGTCCAGGCCAGGAAAACATACCCATTCCTATGGTTACAGCCCCTAGCACTGGCACTAGCGATAGCGCCGTCTTTGCAGACCCGAGGAGAAGGGCTATGACATTGGAACAGATTGGTGCGAGGACGGGACGCGGGGATCTTTTCACGCGGGATTTCGACCTTAGCGTGCCCATTCGGCCCCAGGGCGTTCAACTAGAGGAGGAAACATCGGGTGCACCGAATGCGATTGCAGGCGCTGACGGGAATGACTTACCAGAAGTGGTGTTGGGAGGGGAGTCAGCTACGAGGACTGCCAGTACAAATACTAAGGTGGGAGTAATGGATGTCTTAGAGAATACGGATGAAGCTCTAGCTACTGGTTCGCATCCGCCTTCTCCAGAAGTCCCACTTCAGGAGGCGACAGTTCCTCTTCATCCTGTTGTTGCGTTGGCCAATGCGACTTCGGAAGGGGGAAACGGTCAGAACGGCTTAATAACTATCCGATTGCCAGCCAAGAAGCAGCCTCAGGGGGTAACAAAGGAAGGAGGGCCGAGGAGTGCGGCCAAGCGAAAAGCAGACTCAGATGCAGATGGCTGGCCAGTGATGAGGCAAAGGACTGCTGCCACCTAGGTTCATTTGAAGTGTTCTATGCCTTGTATACATCAAATCTAAGAGCTTGCTTCTGTTCATTGAAAAATAACGCCAAAATTGTGTTGAACGTACTAGATGCAAAAACAATACAAGCTGCAGAGGGAGTGGTTCTATTGCCACAAACAAGTGTAAGTACCGTAATCTATTTTAAATGACATGACAACCTTGCTCATATTTTTCTAGAATTATATTCTTCAATGGCCATTATCCTTGCACCGTGCCAGTGACACCAGCGGCAAGTCGCCGGTGGGAAGGCACGGGATCATGCCGAGATTACAATGCTGGCGGGAAGATAAATGATATCAGGAAGCTGGTGGCAGGCCACACGGTTATCTCGGCGTCGTGTGGAGAGGAGGGCTGCCATCCATCGCTGTCCCGTATGTTCCAGTCCCCACTTTCATGCCCTGGTCAGTCACGGACAACCAACAATCAGTTCTCGACAGGCCGAGAGAATTGTCATCCGGTATAGACATCGTCTACAGGAGTCAACGTGTTCAGGTGAAAGTCACTACAGTGATCGGCGGAATCGAGGTGAGTCTGTGGAGAAGTCCAGTGTCCGAACGCAAGCAGTGCAAAGACGACTTACTGTTAATACAGTTACAAGTCAAAAAGAAAAATTGAGCTGAAAATCGTCGATTTGACACGTAATCGAACACTGAAAACAACTCAGTTCCACCGAAAATGAAGAGATAAAGGATCCGGGACTTATCACGCGAGATATCAGCTTCTTCAACTATAACACGTCTGCAATCAATCTTGAAATCCTTGAAGAGTCGACCGTGAGCCCGAAAACGCTAGAAATCCCGGCCATGGTGGTGGCTCACAGTGAAGGAAGAGACTTCGCTTTGACTCTCATGCCCGGACCGAGACCGGCCCAGGAGAGCCAACATGCAAAGTCGGTCACCCATCTCCTCAGGCGCGTGCATACTGACGACCGTGCTCTATGACGCGCAACACACGCATCAAGATTCTCCAGGGATGGACGAGATATGGAAAAACACGGTCAGGAGTCGACATCGAAGGGAAGAAGATGCTGATATTCGTCTCGGTCGACCGTCCGCCTTGACGCCCGATAGTTGCCAGGCCTTGTCCACCTCACAACGGGTTCGACACGCGCATCTTCAAGTATGCATTATTCCTTGCTCACCACAAGCACCTCCCGTCTCCGTAGAATTGTCACTGTCCCGAGCGCACCCACTGGTCCTGAAGATTGGCCTCGACTGTCACCCACCCACGATGGCGATTTTTGCGTGACTGCGACGTTGGATATCTGGGGAACTGGGTACGGATGTGGAGTGTGGAGAGCAATATCGACAGCGTCGGGGATTGATGCGATGTTGTGATGCGAATGTCCACAGGCTAGTTTGCGCATGTGCGGGAATACGGTATTGATGTTCAGCATCATCGCAGAGGAAGTTATGATAAGGTCACCGGTGCAAAGAGTGAGAAGGCTCGAATGTATGTCATGAAAATGATTATTTTTTTTTTCAATTCATGTATTCGGAAAGCGTGCGTCAATACAGAGTGTTTAATCGAGGCATTTGTCCACGTTTGTGTTTGTACGCATTGTTTTGCTCTTGATTCTGTACTACCACCATCAAGGGAATTCACACGTACTCTGTTCTGGCCTCTGCTATCCTAGGCTCTACAACCGCCAAAACTTGGGTTAGGTTACACTGAGTGACCAATTATTTCTTATTTTCACCTTGCTTACCGTTCTCAGATGATAATTAACGTGTATATCTCTGATGGAGCGGAACCGTCGTTCGAACGAGGTTTGGTCGATGAGGCCCAAAACCTATTCAAGGCCTTAGAAGAAACCATGGGCGATGTAGATGGGAGCTCCTCTTCCTATCGCGTTGATTGTGTCGTATGGTATGTGCATCTTTCGAAAACTGTAACATTTCTCACCTTGAACAGCAATCTAATCGTCGATGATTATCTGCGCAACGTAGCAAGGATGTTTTCCACCGGTGGTCGCTTGCTTGGTACTTTGTACTATTCGGCGGATCGCAGAATCTCAGAATACATCGCGGAAAGAAGAGTTAACTATATGAGTAGCAGGTCCCACCGTCCCCGCTGCTACCTGGGCAAGTTGTAGGTCATCATGTTGTTGCTTAATGGCATATATTCTAACGCCAATAGAACCAGCGGCTAAATTCCTTAATTATCACATGTACACCCAGGCTTAACGTACTTTGTGTTTTCTTGCTGTTTTTCTTGTTGTCACACTCGCACATAGAATATATCGCAATATTTGTCGTATTCCCTACATCTCGCTCGTACATAGAATATATCACAATATTTGAAGTATTTCATACATATACGTTTTCTTGCCGTCTTGCTAGTACATACAATATAACCCTCCATATCTTGCAATATCATTGAAAGGTTATAGAATCTAAAACTATAAAGGCACTACGACTTGGGCAAAGACCAGCAAGGTCGTACACGCCTCGGCACGTGGCGGGCCCTTGTTGCGAATGAATGCGAAATGACGTTTTTGATCAGTTCGATGATGGGTCAAGGGGGCCGCAATCAATTTTGATTATACTAAGTCGCTCCTCTCTCCCTCTTCGACGCATAGAAGATTGCGCTACGAAGATCGCCAGAAACCTGACTATTCAGGATTTCCCTACTGTGTCACAGAAATTTGCCTCACCAGTTAAGTTCGAGCCCCTCGGCTCACTAATCGCTCCGAAATATGAACCTGTGAACTTCTGCCCGGTCTGATATGCGGTACCAAGCAGAGTGTGACAGCCAGTCAACTTGAATGATGCCTCACGAAATACCATGTGAGGCGTTCAGCATTTTTGGATTAGAGAGAGCTTTGTAAAAAAAACTGGGGTAACGACAAGTTAATCTCCGCTCGGAAGGTCGGTAGGGCAAGAACGCCGAATCTTTTATGAAGGCTGATATACCGATAGATCAGCTGAAAGACTCAGTCACATTGGCGAAGTAAAAACAAACGTATTCTAAGACCCACCAAATCAGAATTTCTAGCAGCTACTCATTAAGGAGCAAAGTGAACATGCTATTGACTGTAATGGCGATCAGACTGACGAGAAACAGGGTGAAGTCCAAACCCGACGTCGTTGCTATTATTAACACGACTACTACCTGCGGCCAAAGTTTGAAGTTTGGAAACACAGATATTCGAAAGAGTCGCCTGGAATCCATCGAATAGTCTCTTCATCACATAATACTGACATCAGTGCGATGAGCACCCTTGTAAATGTGCGACAGGCAGCAAATATGGAACATAATTGGCCTGACGAAAATGATATACATTGACCCGCAACATGCGTCTGCTATATGTATGGGACCTCGCTTAGGCCTATGGCTCAGGCCACAACTCCGTAGTCGTCTATTGAAGTTGATAGCGACGCAGCGAGAATCTCTCCGTGTTAGTAAGGGGGCTATGATCAGTTGACATCGAAGGATCGCAATATACGAGAGATAACGATGCATCATCTAGGAGGGCGACAGGGATATTCCAGCGACAACCACTCAAGCAAACACAGAGTCAGAATGTGCGCCAAGTTATCGGAATGAAGCTGATACTCGAGTCTGTTCCAGTGTGCGAATCGACGCGCAGATGCGGCGATACACGACCGTGATCCTCACTGTTGATCTTGAAGACCAGGGTTCACAAATTGGCTTTTAAAGACATCGTTGGTGACCGTGTCAAAGTGGGAAGGACGGCGAACTGTGCGTGTGAGAGAGTAAGAGGAAGAAAAACAGACTGTCTGACCCCGTCGTGTCTGCCGTGAAAGTTACGTGAAGAGTTTGGGCTGACTTTAAGTGTAGGTTCAGCGGCAGCCGACATCAAAGAAACCTAGCCGTAAGGCGGTCAAGACCCAAGGCACCACTCTTTGAGCGACAGAAGGCCCGGGTCATCAACGATCTACAAGGAGAAAGGAATCAGATGGCGGGAAAAATAATCATACGAGTAAGAGCGGCTGACCAGTAGATCTTTGAGCGAGAGCGTCTTTTCAGACAGACGGGGACACGACACCGATTTCGTTTTCAGGTCAGATGAACCTCCGTTGCTGTCCGATTTGGAAGAGAAATTTTTACAAATGTACAATGAGTCCATGAACAACACCGATGGACCCGGGTCATTTTACATGACATCGAAGCGGGCTTTTGAAGGTGGGGAATAATTTTTTTGCAAACGACATCGACTGAGGCCCCGGGCTGAGATAGACGAGTCTCGTCTCGTCTGGTAGGAGCTTCAAGGGTCGGGGGCGGGAAGACCGTGCTAAGCGGAGGATCCCCAGGTCATTAGCGTGTAAAAGTGATCGAGGCCATTTCTTTCATGTACTTCAGATCGCAGTATAGTAGAGCCTTACGCATGGAAAAGTTTACGTCAAAAGCTTTGAGTGAAATAGTACCGCCACTAGAGACCTGGAGAGCTCATTGGTCGCCGAGTCGCATACCTTCATTTCTTATCTGGGCGCCATCGACGTGGGAGTGAATGTGGGTCTGCGCCGCGAGGCAGCATTCCAGAATCCATTTACGGGCCGAATCTTACTATTGAAAGGTCAATACTCAGCGGCGAACCAGTAAGAAGGCAGGACGCAGGTCCTCGAGGACCTTCCTCAGGTCCAGGTCAAGTTACCCGTTACTGATACGGCCTCCTCCTCCGTTGAGCTGAAAAGGAAGTCTTGATGACAAGCTAAGGGCTAAGTTTAATTCTTGCGCATCCCATTGTCGTGTTGGTAACCTGTATGATTCCTTGTTTGTCATCAAAAAACCTCAGGGACAATGAAGTTCGTTGCTCTCATTACCTCCGTCGGGCATCCGTGTCGGCTATTACGAGCCATCCGAAGTCTGTGCTGTCCTCGGTGTTAGAGCCAGATTTCTGCGCAATGGTAGCGAAAGGTAAGAATTCCACCAGATAATAAAAATTTGCTATGCCGGGAGGAATGTTCTTGGCTCCTGATGTCTTCGAATTGAGTCTGACAGCAATAACGAGGCTGTCGGCGATTTCCTGGGTTCCTCTTGGACATAAACCAGCTGTAGTCAACTTCATCTTTTCCCCTTGATGCGGTTCCTTGGCGCATCGTCCTTTACAAGGGTACGTCGGTTGATATCTTCACCCTTGGCGATCTATCCATAACCAATGATGCGCTCGTCGGGCAACCCGTTTCGTTGCGACGATCGGATGGAAGTGAACGCCTGCATTCAGAGTGATTTGCCGCTTTGGTGGAATACTTGGGTGCCTTCGAATTCGATCCAGAAAGGTGGTTGACAGACATGAAGCCTAGGAACTGATGTGAATGCCAACATGAATGCGTGTTTGCAATCGGGTTTCTCCCATGAATTCGTGGTTTCTATCATGTGCCAGTGAAAGAAGATATGGTCGGTTGCTGCTTGGTTGTTGGCTGGCGACTTCTGGCGTGTTCGGGTTGATGCGAGATTGTGTTCGGGTGCTGTGAAGCATGATAATTATAACATGCTCCGTAGTCAGGTCTCACACTGAACGACACCTCGATATCCACGCCGCGCAATCACATCTGATGCGGTGCGTTTGATGCACATGGGACTTGCACATCGGGTCCAGACGGTGGGACATCGAGCAGCAGAGATATTGGCCTTGTACGTACAACAATTGTCACACTAGAAACACAAGAAACACAGCACAAACACAGTTAGACAAACAGCATGTAACAGAGAAGAAGAAAAAACAGAAATAAGAGTAGAGGAAGAGAGAGGAGAAGAATAGTTCATCAGCCTCTGGCTTCGGCTGCATCTACAGCTTCAAGCAGATCATCTACGACACTCTCTTCAGGCTCCCCAGGCTCTGCAGCGACAGCGTCCTCGCTCTTCGCTCGATCCTTATCTGTCTTATCTGATTTGTCAAGCCCCACAGTTCGAACCTGTGTCTCTCGCATGTCGATATCACCATCGGCATCGATCTCATCGACCTCGCCGTCAGCGTCGGCATCGGCATCACTCTCCTTGCCGGAGCCGTTTGAGTGAGAAGGAGTAATGCGGCGTACAGAAGGCGTATCACGCTCGACTGCGATGGGAGGCAAGGAGGGAACGATGATAGTGTCGGAGCGGTGCACGCTGGAAGGAGACGCGCGATGGGTGGTTGGAGAGTGGTGAACAGATGAAGAGGAAGAGGAAGAAGGTCGCGGCATGGGATTGGAAGGGTGTGAAGGCGATGGTGAAGGGTGCAGTTGAGGCTGGGGAAGGTTATTTCGCGCGAGTTGAGGGTTGAGGGTTTGGGAAGCTCCAAGGGTGCCTCGTCGTTCAAAACGTTTCATTTTTTTGCGACATCTAGTGTGGTGATAGTTAATGAAAATGGTATGCGCTGTTGGCTAGAAAGGACATACCGGTCACATACGGTTCCAGGGCCCATTGGCCCCGGACCCCATTTCTCGACACACTTGTCTTCTTTGTAGCGGCCTGGCTGACCGCAGCTGCGACATATTCTCTGACCTTGCTCATTGGTTGGTGGATAGATCTTCTGTTCGATGCCTACAGTGATAGAAGGATGCGCTGAGAGAGAGGCTGGATGAGAAGAAAGATGCGAGGAATGGGTGAGAGATGGTTGTTGAGTTTCAAGGACCTGACTGCCAGGATTGTACTTGCCCTTCTTAGTAGGTGCGCCAGTGACGACTGGAGCAAAGACATGTGTCTGATACTGTTGTTGCGGGAGAACACCATCGGGAACGAGCTTTCCGGTGCCGGCGCCATTTCGGCGAGGCGGTGGGTGCGTGTACATGGCGCCTTCGTCGCGGTCAGCAGCCTGCAAGATCATCTCATCGATGGATGAATGCGATGATGAGCGAGAGTGAGACCGGTGCGGACGCTAACGGAAGGAGTCAGGCATAGAGCGGGACATCCCGGAAGACGCTCACAGATTCATGACGGCTCTTCTTTGCAGCATGTCCGCCCATTTCCATGCTGTCTGACCTAGGTCGGACTCGACCGACGCCCGGCGTCTGCTGGCCCTTGCGAAGCATATGAGTGCCTACAGGCGGCAACATGCCCTGGCTGGAGTAGACCTTATCTTCACCGCCAGCGATATCACCGATAGAGGGTACAGGGATGACAGGAAGCTCGCGAATGAGAGCGCCGCCACCAACGCCCTTGCTGACGATGTCGACACTCCTGTCTAGGGCGACTCGCGCGTCCTTGCTGTGGGCGTCGAGGACGGAGAGGTAATCCCGTAGCTGGAACCAAAGATCGGTAATCGCTACTCTTCGTGCCATCTCCTCATCTCTGAGACATTCTGCGCTATATGCACGTTGTTCGAGGGCCCGTATCTTGTCGTGAAGATCCTGCGATGAGCCATTGGGGGAGGCAGCGTCAAAGGCCTCTGCAAGACTTTTCCAGTGATCTGCGCGTCGTTTTTCCTCTGCAAGTGAGTGGCGCAAAGCCTCGATTTCTTTGTAGCTTTCTGTCAAAAGGCCTGCTATCTGGCTGCGAGAGGAAGGCTGAGCATCTGTACGGTCGCGGTCGCGGTCACGGGCAACGATATGATTGGTAGAAGGAAGGGAGGGAGGCGGAGGAGGGGACATTGGGGCGAAAAAGACGGGGCGCGGAAACCGGGGCGCATGGTCTTTATAGGCGCCATCCGCCTTCGCGTCGTTAAAAAGTCGGCCCGTCGTCACATGGCCGACCGGGACCCCGGATACCCCAACCCGCCTCCGACTTCTTCGACCCCATCCATCAGAACACCCTGCCTCGAGGCGTTCGCATGTACTCTCTTGCCTGATCCATCGAATTCAACTGATTTCACTTGATCAGTTCGTTACTTTCTCCGGCTCCTGCTCCGTCTTGCGCTTGCTTTACCCCGACAAAGCAGTTCGTCCTCATTGGCCACCGTTCTCACCGGCCCGCCTCCGAGATGTCTTAGCCAAAATGTCTCATTCATCCCTTGGTCTCCCCCCCTTGAGCTTGAGATCCCAATATTCGATGCCGACAATGACATCAGAATTTGGCGTTGCATTTGACTTTATCCTCCATCCAATTCAGGTCCCGCTGAAGCCGAGCAGTACGCGAATCATATAAGTAGGCTGGACCCTCATGCCCCAACGCCGATCCCGGTCAACTATCTCATTGTTAAATGGTAAATCCTGATCAACCTGAGCAGTTCCACGTACCACGCCAAATTCAAACTTAGGGGACGCCTTCGTATTCAAGGTACGCGCAGTTTAGCTTGTTCCATGATCGTGAATTTCTCTGAATAAATGAAATAAGGCTCCGCACGGCGCGTCGAGGTCGGGGGGGAATATGTAGAGCTGATTCGACACGACCCCAAGTTCAAGTGGCGTGTACGGAACTCTGTACAGTTAGTTATCAGACAACTTATACAGGACTGCGACCATGTCAATCCAACTAGGGCCTGGGCGCACAGAATGGGCGGGCCGTCCGATGGGCGTTCCGGTGCTTGCCAGAGGCTTGGTGAACAAATAATAATGCGTCATCGATCGAGATTCGTACTTTAACCAATTACAGCTTCCTTTGACTATTAATTGTGATTCTACGTGAATCGACTCCGGGTGAGGTGCGAGTTTTCTGGTGATAATCACAAGTCGGACGCTAATCTTGGCTTGCAGAAGAACTATCTTCTTTCATTTTACTTTTGTTTCATCGAGTATTTTAAAGACTCGAACAGGAAGAGTATTTTGCCTCTGATCAATGTCCCTGGGAGCGAGTCCGACAACAGTCCGGCGGCAATTAAGGAAGGTTGGCCTCTGATTAGGTTGCGGTCGAGGATGTGCTCTCGCTGTGGACTTTTAGAGACCCTAGCGGTGTACGTGTATTTCACACCAGCTGGGGTCGCGACTTGTCGTCTGTCATCGCGGATTTTAAAGACCTCGGATGGACGTGGTCTATGGAAGCTCATCGTACATTAATTCCAAGCCACCCTGATGCTTCCATATCAACGACCAGCACTGGAGGGCCAAACGAACTCATAGTGGATAATCACACTCATTTGGCTCTACCCATCTCTCCCTTGCAATCGCGCTTCGCTTCAAATTGAAATACCCCAGCCATTACCTCCAGCTGGACGCCGCATCACTTCTATGATATCCCTAATCCCGCCTTTGACAAAGGATCTTCCATTTGCAGATATTCGTGCGCCGAGATATCGATAGTACTCATGGTTCCCCGGTCCCCGCGTTTACATGTCCTACGAGCGTCCAATCCGCGACAGATTACCGCTCCTCGCTTGGGACCGCACTAGATGTGAATAGCAGTACCTGCAGGCTATGGTTAAAACGCGGCGCGGCAGCGTGAAATGGAAGGCCCTCGCTATTGTTGTTGGTTCCCACCTACCTATCTTCCTTCAACAACCATCAAATGTGGCCTTAAACTTCTTCATGACGCTGTTAACGAGATACTGAGTGAGGGTCGCATTGTGGATAAACGTGTTGCTAAATGTGACATAAACTTCGAGTTCACAAGACTACTACTCTCACTCAGCCGTAGATTCCGTATGGCCGCTGTATTGCAGATGATTCGGCCTTTCATCTTTCGTACCTTAATTCTAGCGGGAAGATGAGCCTATGCCGGAGCAGAAGGGTCGTGTTTTTCTATAGCACTACTGAATCACTAGTCTAGAATGGTGCGGCTCCGCTTTAAGTTGGAGACCAGGTGCTGTAATAACTGCGCAGAATGAAGACCCCACGATCAAGCATGTTCGCAGTCCAAAAGTGGTATGAACGGCGGGAATTTGCGCCATGATAGGAAAGACACGGGACCGCCGGCGCAGTCGACGGGACACCGCCTGTTAACTAGCAGGAAAATGCTGACGCTGTGCTGCTCATGTAAGGATGGCGCCGGCGGAATGTCGGGTGCATTCTCCCTCTTTTAAGGCTATGGCGCCACCCAGGGACAGCAAATGACGAGTCCCATCGATAACAACCTTGCGCCGTGATTTAGGAAACGACGTGGCGCCTACAAAAGTACAAAACACACGTCCGACACGTCGGTCAGGAGTGTCGATATTGCCGTGATCACCAATAACGAGGGGGGTACGAACATGGCAGTGTCAGAAGTCCCCAAAGGTGGCCGCTAATGGAAACAAACACCCATGTGCATGCGCGCGACGCACTGATGGGGATATCCCCCCACCGTGAGCGGGTGAGTCCGCTACCCATGACGAGAAAAGCATCAACGTGAGGCTGGAAAGAAGGTGGGTACTTGGCGACTTTGAGAAACGGATCTGGCACGGGACGGTGGCACCCCAAAGCCGTTAAATTCACAAGCCTCCCGGACCCGACCTGTGTCGCGAGAAAGGCAAAAAGTGAACCACGGGAGGAACAACACAAGGAACAAAATAAGTACGGGCCAAGCTCGGAAGCGGATTTTGTTATCGTTAGTGATCCATCTTCTTCTATGATATCATATCCTGAAGGCTGATTGGTCCAGGAAGGTAAGGCGCATACCTGACCGGGCGCTGTACCTTCAAATGACGTGAAGGTGGAGCATTGGTCTTTGCGGGAGAGAATGAAAACAGGTATGATAACATCCCGTGGGTGATAGGTGGGTGACACTGACGTTAGCCCTCACGTTAATCGTAGGGGGAACGAGCTCTTCGCATCATGACGCATGAGCTGGGGCGCCAGACGTACGGGGGTTACCATTCACCCGCCCGGACGCTTTACAGCGAACGGACGAACCAGACCCGATCTGGCGAAAAAAGCTTGTCGTGAGAAGGGTCGTTCGATTTCGTAGCATTGTGAAGAGATAAAAGATCCTCTTGGTTTTCGCTTCGAGCAGTAAACTTGATGGTATGATTAACTAGAAAGTAGGATGAGGTGCAACAAATCCTACCGGACAATCATCTATAAGTGAAGGAGATAGAAATATCAAGCTCGACAGCTCAGTAATCAGGCTGGACAGCCTCCAGCCTCGATAGCGCCATCCCGGCCTATCCGCCCTGCCCGTCACATGAGCGCTCAAAATTATCCCAGGACCCCGAAGAGCGTTTAATTGCCAAGACTGATCTCTACGGTCCTTTCCCCTGACGTCGGGGTCTTCAAAGATCAGAATGCCTCGTGTAGAGCGCCCGCCCATCTGAACTTGAACTTCAATCTGATAAGTAGCTTGGAAGCTTCCCAGCGAGGAGGCCGAATAAGAGACGGCATTAAACGCATGGTAATCACGTTCACTGCCGTCGCCATTCTATTCAGCTTGATAGGACTATTTTCATTTTGGACACCCAATGTCTTGGTCAGTCGGAGTGCAAAGTTGGCGCACGGGAACAGCGTTTCTATTAGACGTTATTTCGAGAGACGGAACAACGTACTAATGTGATAATATGTCGTCCAAGTGGCAGTGGGGTCGGCGGATCGGGAGTAGAAGGAAACAGTTTGCCGTGCTTCAGGCGGAGGCGTGCGATTCTTCTAGGATCAATTCCAGTTGTCCATCAACGTCGATTACTGAAGAGGAAAGAGCTGGCACTGTGCAAATACGATCCGGAAGCTGGAGCGAGAAGGCGACTATGGACAGGGTAAATGACGGTCCCGCGTCTAGATGGGCGTCGCAAAGCCGCTAGTCAAAGCTCGACGTAGTGAGGGCAGTTGTCACGGCCCTATCTAAAAATCCCGACTACATGATCCTCTTCGGTCAGTGAACTGAAATACGGACAAGTAGCTCAAAAGCCTCATTACGTGACGGAGCGTCGACAAAGATCCCAGTAAAAAGGAAGGCTAACATCCGGAAATGAAGAGGCCTGTTCTCCAGGCCGCCGACACTGGCGGTTCGAGCTATTATGATTGGTAAGTACGACTTTTTAGAAAAGAAAAGGTTTACTCGCCGCGAACTTGACGAATGCAGCGAATTCGACCGTTTTACCAATGGCTCCGAGGGAGACAGGTCGACGTCGTGAAAGTAGCACAAGTGGAGACAAATGGGCGTTTGGGACACGTCGTACTGTGACGTGGAAAGGCGGAAAGGCGCGTTTACTGAAACGGCGGAGGCCAGCTTTCGGCCGTATGTCCCGAATTTGTTCTTCAGAATATTCAGAATATATATCTCTACGGCTCCGGTGCTTCGATTCTTCACCTATAAATGAGACCCGGTACCGCAGGATTGCCACTTGAAATCCATCTCCTTCCCACAATTACATCCACTCAAAGTTTTTCCAAGCTGACCCTCTGTGGGTTACTGCGGACCGGCTGTCGTATGTCTTTTGGAATTCGCCAGCCTGTTTATTGTTTTTCTACTGCTCCGTCTGCCACGGAATGTAGTCGACGTCTTGAAAGCTTGAACAGCGGCCAACTCTGCAGAGGAATGGAAGTGCAAATCATTTTCAAACGCTGCTACTGGCGTCGGATGTTCCCGTCATTCTGTTGCATAGGCGCTTTGTCCAGGACTTGTCACCCTCGAACGGCGGTCGCCCGTCTCCGATGCTTAACCGCAAGGGTGATACTTACAAGTGACGCCGCAGCGCGTGTACTACACCGACTGTCGAAGCATGCTGCGCCGCTTTCGGGAGATTCCAGTTGCTGAGACAGGGTCCGTCTTGTTGCTATACAGCATAGTATCCCCTTTACTTCACCTTCTGTTAAGCTTCGAGATTAGGAGTTCTACCGAGTCGGTGGGTACAGTCAGTTTACCATTGTCCCTTACCTCAGCCCCCGTAAGTGTTTCGAACCCTTTGGATCGTCGACATTTCCCGCGCGTACGGTTGAGATCCCATCAACGACTTTAAAAAATTTCCAGAGTTCATGTCCGAAACTGGTGAGCTCGGCGATGGATATACTATTGAGTTGATGATGTGGTAGAAAAGTATAAGATAAGTATGCTCGTGGGGGACTTGCTATTGTGTTCCTCGTGGTGCAAGGATTTGCGGGGATGCGACTTGATATATGAAGGTCTCGAACCTTGTGCCGGCAGAGAATACCTGGGTACCCAATCTAAGGAGTCTGGAATCCTGTATTGTCAATAGTCAAGAGTTTGATACTCTGTTCTCTTCGGTCAAGCGTCAACTTGTGACTGACTCAAAGTCTCTTTCAGCCCCACCGTGACCAGGAACATTCAAATTGATGATGGAAAAGGGTTTCTTCTATAGACCAATTTGACGTAGAGGTACCTCAATACGTACCTGGATTCTGAGGAGCGTTATGTAACGGTCATGGATCATCGCTACTACACAATACCACACTACCACTGTAGTTTCTTGTAGTCCATGGAGGTGGGCTGATAACCGGTCGGCTATGGTGATAGAGCGCCTTGAAAGCGCCTCTGGTTACAAGGCAAGTAACCGAATTCGATAAAGTCCTAGAAACCGTAAAAAAAAATCGAGATACTCTTGTGAAACGAGGATTGTATATGGGGTAAATTGGACGACCAGGTTTAGGGTACTAAGCTTGCGAAATTTGGTGCGAGTGGCATGGGCTAAATTAAATGTGGAGTGTGACCGTGACTTGGTCACCCTTTAAGTCTGCGGTGGTCAATCATGTCGAAGAAAATGGCGCTGGAAGCCCTGCTGCTCGAGTCGTTTCCGGTGCCGCCTTCATTCATCCCACCGACGCCGTCGACGTCGACGAGCTTTAATAACCCACCGCCATCCCGTCCGCCGGCGACGCCGCTACCGCCTGTGCCAGGTCCCTCTCGCTTCTCTTTTCAAGAGACCCAACGCATTCTTGGTGCCCGTGATGACTCCCTTGCCAGCATTTCCATGCAAGACCTTCCTTCAGATGATGACGACGACCTCAACGCGATAACTACCTCTCGTATTCTCCCTAGCCCCCGGTTGTCAAAGAGAACGTCGGCCCACTCTTTCAAGAACACTACGCCAACCCGTAGCACCAAGCCTCTATCACAGTCTATCGCTGCTATTTCAACCAGCGATCCCGCTAGAGCTACCTCACCAGACATTACGACCATCATTTCTCGTACGCCAAAACCAAGGCGGAGCGCATCCACCACTTTCTCTCTTCGTTCCAATTCCACCTCCAGAGCTCCGTCATCGACCTCTACAAGTAGAAGGACCTCTTCGCCAATAGGGCTGCCATACGACCGATCCAGTAGAGCGACGACCTGGGAGGAGACAGACTTCATTGACGATTATGGAGAGTTGGAACGACAGCTTGACGGCGAAGGTACTGATTCCGATTCCAGCTTGGACTTGCATACCCCACTACCGTGAGTCGAGTGCCCGGTCTTCGGTCCTTCTATCTGAGCTTTTTAATAGCCATCTCATGGTCAAGCACGGCCTGCTCTCACCCAACTCGACACTCTTGCCTCGTGCCCAGTCCATGAATTCGGTTGATTCACTATTGATGAGTGAAGATGGCGTCATGATGGATCCGCGAGCGAGCATGGTTAGCGTTGGTCAGTTCGCGAATCATGATTGCTGGCTTGTGCCTGACAGTAGCTGTCATTTCACCTAGATACGACCAAGTCTTCGATTTTGAAAGATAATCGGGATACTCCCCAACGCAGAGTTCGACACAGAGACGGTAGGCTGTTGAGGGGTGGTATCGGTTTGACTACAGGCCTAGGCTGGAGCGATAGGTACTTGTCTGGTTTACGCTTCCATTGCTGTCATTTTGACTTTTTCCTGTATTAGCGAAGACGAAGACGCGCCCTCGGAACTGACAAGGAGAATATCGTCGTTGAACTTGTCATCCCGTCGTCCATCTTCGACACTCTCTGAGAAGAACCTGCGTACAGTCAGATCTTCGACTACCAGCCTAAGTTGGCAGTCTACGATGTCATCGGGAACGGTGGCCAGATCTTCGTCGACAAGTTCCTACTACCCCCCGCCCTCCTCTTTCGGCGTGTCGCTTCCAAGGTCTCGCGGCTCGTCCACGTCAACCTCCTCATGCAACCCACCGCCGGTTTCATTACGAGGTTTCGATAAGGCATTTCGAGGGGGGCTCATGAAGGAAGATGAACTTTACTCGCCTACGAAAAGCACAACTAGTTCGAGCCCGCCGTCAATAAAATCGACTTTCATTGACCGCGATAAATCGCTGCCGTCTCTTCCTAACCCCAGAACTGGCTCAATACGGCGACCTGCAAAGACAGTGACGGTAACGCCCCTACCTGCGAAGGGAGGAGGAGAAGGAACACGGAAGAGGACGCAGAGCCTGTTTAACGGTGCGCCAAAGGCTCTGCAGTTGCCCAGAGCTGTAGTCGGACGAGATCGACCTGCGGTTCCCGTCCCGCGCGTCATGGGTGGATCGTTGAACGGCAAGCCAAAACCGAGAACAGGGACGGGGATGGTGTATAGGTCAAGCGGTATTGCCCTCTAACGCCTTTATATTTCATTTCGCTATACCGGGGTCGGTTTGATTGTGATCCCATCCATCATTTTAGTCTCTTTCTCTATTTGTATTTTTTCGTCATAGGTATGTATTGTCGCTTGTTATATCTAACCAACCACGTATACCTCCTACACTTGGATTCCTCGCATTTTTATATCCTTCTCGTTCACTCTACTACCACAGTTTTTGTCCCCTGCGATCACATTCTTTTTGTACGTATAAGCCTATATCTATACGGAACCTGTAATACTTTCATCTTCAAGTCAATATATAGACGAATGGGCTTACTAGAGAGCACTTGGTGTGGCGATTGATGGAGTATCACTTACAATTGGTGGCGCTTGCATCACTGTCCGCCGTTTGTCGTTTCAGGATGAATGACGAGCCTGCGACTCAATCATCTAACCGCACTTTACATCCCTTACCATTCCCCGATATCTATCTTTGGCAGTAAAGTCCTGCCGACCTTCGCAAGTTCTTCCAGACCGGTGTGCTATCTAGGGTTTGTCCAAGCATGAGAAAGTCGTATTATTACACAGGGAATAAGTTAGTGGTATATGGGTAGTCCTTATCGCGAGTCGGGAAAGAATTTCAGTACCGCCCAAATCACACCCACCGACAACCCAATAATCAACAAGACGACACCACCCAAATACATGAAGAGCTCCCATGGTAACCCCTCCGGCGCTTGGGGTGCTTGTACAGTTAACCCGGCGCGTATATCTTCCATTCGCTTCTTCCTAGATAGCTCCTTCTCTAACTTACTCTCCAACTGGACAATTCGTGACCTGGCATCCTCAGGATCCAGCTGATGAGATGCCCCACCGTTGGAGTAACTGATTTGAACGAAAGAGGGATAATGATGTTCACACCACTGCTCAATCTAAAGAAAGGGTGTTAGGGAAAACCATAGACGAGGGGGATTATGATGTACCTTTCCGCATGCCACAGATATCCTCAAGAAATTGGGATCTTGGGGTACTGCCTTCGTGTGAATTTTACGGCAATAATCCCGGAACATATAAGCCACTTCTCGTGGATTTGTAGACCGCATGATGAGCTACGCCGGAGTCAAATATGTCAAGAGCTGAAGACATTCGGGACGACTTACAGAAGCAGCCTCCGCCTTACGAATCTTGATGTTTCGTTGGAACATTTCCGCGTTCATGAAGCATAGCTCGAGGGTCGCGATAGCCATGGTAGCAGGTATGGCGCAGAAGTTGAATACCGTCTGATTTCGCAACACTCGAAGGTAGTCGAGCGCGTCAACCAGGTGACGCATCGCGTCTAGGATCATGGCACTCTGAGCCCACTGTGCGCGTTCCTTCGTTGATCGATCCAAGGCGTACATCTCGTACATCTCGTTGAATCCATACTGGCCCCAAATCTCCTTGGGCCAGAAGAACCGTTTTTCCTCAACATCTTCGCGATAATCACGAATGATGTTGGTTTTTTGGAGGAGGAGACCCATAGAGTTTGACATCTCGAGCTGAGACACGAGCCAGGGTGCTTCCTTCTCTGAGGCAGAAAAGATACGAGACAGTCCTTCGCCCACGAGACCCGCGACGTAATGGCAATAAAGATCATACTCCTCCGTCGTCTCAAGGTAAATTTTTCCCGTCGTAGCAGCCTTGTGTGCGTAATCTGCCATACCGTTTTCCATCTTCTCGGTTATATCGACTATAACAGCCTTGTACCTATGGGGAGTCGGAAAAATAGTGGAAAAACGAAAGACCATGGAGCTCACGCTGGCAGTAACAAATTCACCTCCTCCACAACACAGTCATATTCAACTAGCAACTGACGATCCTTCTCCTTGGGTCCACATCCATCATATTTCCAACCAGGCGTAATAGTATGCTTGTGGAACGACCTTAACATAGGTTGTTTGACATCGTCAGGGATAGTCATGTCGTCCTCAATAGTGTCGAGACCGCGCAGTACAAGATAGAACATACATATCTGAAGTGTAGAAATCAGTGAAAAGGCGGTATACTGTAATTGGCAGAATACTTACTGTTCTCGCCAAGTCACCGTCAAGTTCCTTGACGACCGCTGAAAAACTTCTACTTGTCTGATCCAAAAACTGCCAACACCTGCGCATGTTTTCTCTGTCCCATCCACTTGTTGCGTGCTCCTTCACATGGGTGATATCTCTCTTCTGTTCGTGATACAACTTGAATTGTAGGAGTATCCGGAACTCTGTAGGATGTGTGAGAAGCAAAGCAAGCCACGTCGCAATACCCATGGTAGTGAGTCGAGTAAGGCGGAAGGAAAATGGATCAATAAAAGAGAAGCGTACGATGTGGAAGGATAAGGAAAGGGGCAAGGCAAAGGATTTTTTTCCAAAGGATGGTACGATTGAAATTTCGCCTCGCGGACCGCCGAACCGGACGCGTCGCCTGGTCAGGAACACTGCCACGCACCACAATGATATTCCAAGCAAGTGACATCACTTCTTCTCAGCTCTACCAATGTTCATTCTTCCATTTACAAAATAAAATACAAACACGAAAGCAAGACTATTATGCAAGACCTAATTTATCAACTACTTGTGTCCATAAAATTTCATCAGTGGTCATACTAATGGCCCCTAAACCCAACATCGTCGAGTAAACCTGAATCTTGCATAAACGAACTCCATCGTTCGTCAAGTCGCGAATCCCGCGCCGCTAAACCCAAATCGGCTAGTGCAGGGTTGCCTGGTTGGACGCTGGGTTGGGAATTGGAACCAAAAGGCGGCTGATACATCTGTGGGAACTGCGAGGGTGGATTGTACTGGGTACTTCGGTAAGAAGACGGATATCCATATCCAGGATCGGACGGAGCTGGACGACTCCGGTCGTATGAATAGGAATACTGAAGGCTGCGGTCAGCTGCAGGGATATACCCTGTTTCCCGCGGAGGACGCTGGGTGCTCTGCCTAGACCAAACCTGAGTTCCAGACATCGATGGTACTGAGGTAAGCTGAGCACCATCGCCTACATTCGAGAACTGAGAGAAAGGTGCACTAGGCTCAAAATCCCTCGTTGACTTCGTCGGTCTCTTGGCAGAAACGAACCGAGTGTGCCCTGCGAATATAGACAGCTCGTCATCCGCGTCTTCTTGCTTGATATTCCACAAAAGACCGTCTTTATCAACAGAAAGGGGCATGGGTTCATTTTGGGCCGCAGCCAGGGCATGTCGTGCCTTTTCACTAAGCTTAACGAGGATAGGCTGGGATAATCTAATCAGAAATATCCTCCCAAATCATCATATTGACTCACGAGTGCTTTTGCAGCTCGCCTGCTATGTGTAGCCGCCTTCGAGAAGAGGATGCAGGCTTGTTCAAGCTCCGTCATGGCAGAAGAAGCCAGGGGGGACCTGGGGCCTCTGGTCACCACGGTACCGAAAACCACCTAGGCAACGAGAATTCAATGGTCATGGGTATGGAGAGAGGTAACTTGGTACATACAGCCGCTGAGAAAGCGAAAGTCCACATGGTCCAGAACCTTGCGCATGAATTTGGCCACATGGTGAATTGTTCACGAACGGATTTAAGTATCGTCGCTGAGGAGCGATAGGCTGCCAAAAAAGATGGAGCGTAGGTACTTTTAAGAGGATTGACAGGCTGCTCAATAATAGCCTGGGCGAAAAAACTTCGATGAATATACATTAGAACTTTGAACACGGTCAGCTTCGTCCTTGTATGCAATCAAACTAACACACCCGTTTCACGTATATGATCGAGGACGCAGCGTTGAAATGATGCCCCAAGATCGTTTTTCTCTGCCATTCCTGTTGGCAATGGAAATTCGCGCACTTTCCGATCGAGTTCCATTATAGTATTATAGCTGGGAGCCTCGGCAGTTAATGTCCGTGCGGTTACTTCCGCAACACACTCGGACGCGAAACGGAATTGCCAGATTTCAACTTGCGACGCAGGTTATCAGATAAACCCAAGGGTATACGAAGCCACTTACATTCCCAGCCAGGCGAACCACCATCTTTTTGATCATCATATTGGGGAAAACTACAGTCGATGTATGCGAGAGAAAATGACGGCGGTCTTCCCGTGTTGAGGCTCTGCAGAGAGAGAATAAGAGCTGTGTGATAGTCTCGGATTGTTGCCTACCTGCCATACGTCTGCGACGAAGAGATCCCAAAATAATATTCGGCGACGTTGGACCATCTTCGCTGGCAAACCCCAGCGCTCACTATCTCGATCTAAGAAGTTGTAAAGATTGATCAATTTCGTAGCTGGGAAGTGTATGACTACACGCACGTAACCCAATCTAAGAAGAAGTTCAGCACAGAATCGTGAAAAAAAGCGCTCAGGACCGACCGTTTGAGATAGATGAGCAGCCAGAGTAATGAGAGACCAGGTCATCTCCATATTTGGTTCGCTAGTGGTATCACTCCCACTCATAGCATTATAAATGCTCATAAGGTGTAGACACTGGATAGTGACAATAGAAGGCTTTTCTAACACCGGCTGTAGGGAGATAGCCGCCCGCGAGATTTGATGGTAATGCTCAGCGTGAGCAGTTGAGGGTTCGTTTTCCACGAGTGCACCAATGGCAAAGACCATAAAGATAAGAGATAAATCATGCGGGCCACCGAACTCTTCAGAAGATTGCTTGCGATATATCGCAGGTAGCATGTCGTCAATGAGCTGCTGACGGGTAACACCTCGGAATATCCAGGCCACCTGCTCAAAATACGTTTCTCCGAGAGACTGAGCGCGTTCCCAAGGAGGTAGATGGGTACGAATCATATCTTGAACGTCTTCGGATCGACCCATCGGAGTAAAAGGGAAAGACTGCGAGAAAAGAGAGAAATCGGTCGAGTGGCCAGAATTGGTAGGGCTGACTGAGGCATGCTTCGAGCCGGGGCTGGGGGCGCTACTGCTCGGAGAGATTTGTGACGAGGCTATCAAAAGACTCTATGCTCGAGTGAGATATCAACGACAATGGTGAGAAGGTAAACTGCTCACCTCACACCCTCCCGTGGGCCCAAAGAACCGTGATATTCCGTGGTCAGAGATAGACAGTGTTCCGAACGCGTCAATGACATCTGCGGGTGGTTGTGCCGTAGCATCATCTGAGGCACCGTTCTCTTCTGCTGTATGTTCTTCATTGAAGATGAGCTCGTCTTGTAAGAGTGGGTGCCGGTCGGTTGAATGCTGCGAATGTAGCGACGAAAGGGCATCCTCTAACTGTCGTATTCTGCCGCTTAGCTTGGCGATTCTGCGATGGAGGTGCTCCGTAGCTGCAAGAACAAAACGTGTGCCCTGCCCAGTTGCCAGACTACCTATACAAAACTGAGCGTTGGAGGTAACTATGGCGGCTGCAGTGGCTCACCATTAGGGCATAGCGCGGCGCAGCCCCTCCGCTACGAAGAAAATGAGCGACAATTGGCATAATAACGAGGACGAGTGAGCATACCTGACAAGACTGACAGGGGATTTGCTTGTCGCATTTTATCTTGAGCCTGCCTACAGTAAGAATTAGACTCAAGTGCGATGATCGCAATAAAGGCTGGAATCCGTACGACACTCGGCACACGAGACCTGATAATTATCTGTGAGATAGACGGAAAATAGTCGAGATAAAGGACGTACCTCTCCTATAAGATGCGGTAGCACGGTGAGTACTGCGATACGACGGAGTCGCCCTGAGACACACCTCGGTTCCGTTTCTGCTCTAGCTCCCGTGCGTGGGTACCGTCGAATTTGAACTCGTCAACTTCTCGGCGACTGGCGCGTCGTTTTAGTTTCGTTTTCTCGGCGGGCATTCTTTGAGGACAGGAGGAGGAAGCAAAGTGCACCTACCCTATGGCTTCTTTATTTCACACTTGTATGGGAAAATAATAACACAAAAGGAGCCAAATGTATATAAGGGCCCCGAATTCCGTTCTCAGTAACTTTGTTGACATCCAGTCCTCATACGTCTTTCCATCACTCAATCCTATCTTTCGTACATCTCTTCGCATCGTTCATGTATAACTATTGATTCTTTTTCTCCAAAATCATGACAATATTTCTCCTATAACAGGTTCCCATTTTCTTGATGAACACCTCAACACATGCTGCGGAGACACTTTTTGACGTCTTTCGGCAGTTACACCGCCTTCCTGTTCCCCGTCGTCTTTCTCCGTGCTGTCCAGAGGCGTTCAAAACCTTCATTTTGACGGCTCCGCCCCATGTGCGCTCCCTGTCAAAGCCGTTCACCAGTTGGTTTGACTCCGTAACCAACCTACAGGTCCATACTTCCTTGTTGATCCTTTCCACAGGGCGTGATTTAGCTGCGGATAACGTAACTGTTTTCCGTCCGGTTCTGATCCCTCAGCAACTGACCCAATGGCATTCGCCAAAGCTTCACATGTTGCAAGCCTATTTCCACTATTAGCCAGGGGGTTGAGAAGATTGCTGTCTTGACGACAATCGAATTTGCGTTCATACCGTCGTTTTTCGTATCATTGACGACGTCCGCCCCAATAATTATGAGCGTTTCACTTTCGGAAGACGGGTATGGTCTCACCGAATTTTCTTGGCCCGGGCATGACTAGGGTTGCTGTATGCCCAAATGACCTTCCTTCGAAATGCTTTGTCGTATACAGCCCCGTATGACAAAGACCCCGGAGATTGGCTTATATTGGAGGAAGACAAAGTCTGACCCTGTTGTTGCAATGGAGTATGTAAACGACGGTCTCATAGCGCCTCTGATCCAAAACGACAAGGTCACGGCCTCACAAAAGACACCGCTGATGACAGGTAAAGGTATTCTGGGAGCTCATAACACTGACGTGTATCCTAAGATATGAACCATGATATGATGGCTGTCCGGGAGGGTGGGCCGAAAACATAAACGCCTTCTTCGAGCTAGGATGGCATCGCTTGGAGCACCCAAATACTTGGTCAGAAAAGCCATCGTACATGTGGCGATCAGTTCAAAATTTGAGTTTCCTCAGAATGGCTCAGAGCTCGGGTCAGTGGCGTAAGAATTGGGGATTCGATTGGCGGTCGCAGATATCCGTGCCCCCCCTGGTGCTCAAGGCTTCTCTGCAGGGTGGGTCAGGCACGGAAACACTTCGCGCTCGTGGTAATAATACGCACATTTCTGTATGTCATCGTCGATCCAATGGATTGGTATCGAGATAGGAATGAAGCTAAATATAAGTCAGCACGGAGGTTCGGGATACCCTCGGATATAGGAAGGATCCACCAGGTGATTGCCATCTTTCAGGAAGATACTGGTCAAAGATGGCAAACGACGACATGGAGGGTATAGTGGGGCGCAATGTGGCCACGGCCAATGAACCAAATCCTCCGATGGCGTGTTCTGACCTCACGGAAACAAAGCTGACGTAGATCAAGAGAAGAGAGACGAATTTCATAGAGAATCCAAGTATAGGGTCGCTGAACAAAGGATACACGTCTGCATGGCGCCATCGGGCACGGCACATTGCTTAACCATTCACCAAACGAGTAATCAGAAATGCATATGTAGAATGAAAAATGTATCGCTCAGCTCAGCATTAATAAAGACCAAATTCTGGCATGACTTCCATCATGCATCAATTTTGAATCAATTCTAGAATTAGGTGCAACGTGTCAAAATAGAATCGCTTTATTCGAGGGACTATCCGTTAACAAGAGCGAGTGCCAATGGATGTTTTTTGAAGGTGTTGGTTTTCACCGAACTTGAAGGGCAAGTTCAAATCGATCATTGTGGTTAGACGGCAGGCAGGAGTCGTGACGTGACATTTCGTGACTCACATAATTCTTTCCTGTACTACTTTATGGCCCAAGCGGTACCGCGTTTTCTCGTTTAGTCCTGTGTTCGTAGCTTCGTCTACGCTGTTATACGATACTCATAAAGAGCATATATTCACCTTATTAATTATATATACTTAAATGGTCTGTGAATCTCTTTTTTCAGTTCTGTATACACTGACATCTTTCATTCCGTCCAGCCTACTTGCACCGATTGCGGAGGAACTGTTATCGAGTACGATGCAGCTGCAGGAAATGGATTCTGTGTTGCCTGTGGGACTGTTGTCGAGGAGAACACCATCGTCAATGAGGTCGTCTTCGGGGAAACCAGCTCGGGAGCGGCCATGGTGCAGGGTTCATTTGTCGGATTGGGTTCAAGTAAGCACTCCTATCTATTATAACAGGGTTTGATTAAATGTGACCATGTAGCTCACGCCAGGATGAGTGGTCCGTATGGCAATAGGGGAAATTCCGAGAGCAGGGAACAAACAATCGCCAACGGTATGGTTTCATTTCAACTTTCTGGTTCTTCCATTGCTCAACTTCCTTAGCTAGCAAGAAAATACAGAGTATTGCGAATGTCTTACGGCTATCAGAGAGCGTCTGTCTAGCCGCGACTAGAATGTACACGCTTGCTGTGGAGCACAAGTTCACCAAAGGTCGCAAAAGCATGAACGTCGTTGCTGTGTGTCTGTACGTCGCGTGTCGACAGAAGGAGACGCGGAATTACATGCTCATTGACTTCTCCGATCTACTGCAAGTACGTGCTTCGTATGATGTTGCCGTGTGTGACATTGACAGTACATCTAGGTCAATGTATTTGAACTCGGTCATACATATCTCCAATTGGTGCAGACATTGAATCTTCGACTTCCTCTTGTCGATCCATCTCATTACATATCCCGCTTCTCTGCATTGCTCGAATTTGGCGATGAAACTCACAAAGTCGCCACTGACGCCGTACGGCTCGTGCAACGGTTCGACCGTGATTGGATGACTCGTGGACGGCGGCCCGCTGGTATCTGCGGTGCGGCCCTGCTACTGGCTGCCAGAATGAACAACTTCCGGCGAAGTATGGAAGAGATCGTCCAAGTCGTAAAGATTGCCGACACAACATTGAAGAAACGCTTGGACGAATTCAAGAACACACCGAGCGGTGAGCTGACTGTCGGTGACTTTCGGAGCGTGTGGCTGGACGAGGAAGTTGATCCACCCGCTTTTACGAAGGGACGGGAAAAAGAAGAGGAGGAGCGATTGATCAGAGAGGGCGACGAAGAAGCTCTCGAGAAATTGAGAAAGAAGAAAGGTAGACGAAAAGGGAAAAGAAAAAGAGAAGAAAGCGATGAAGAAGTAATGCCTGATATGTCTGAGCAGGTTGCCAAAGGTTTTGATTCGTCCCTCTTGAACGAAGGCATTCTCTCTGGAACAACTGTAGGCCCAACGCCTCTCTTCTACCCTGCTCCTGATGATGTTCCCATTGATCCTGCGTTTCTGGATACATCTTCGATACCTACGCCTACGGCCATCGACGAGACAGTATCAACTGCGGTGGCAGAGGAGGTGTCGGCATACCTTCAGAACCCTCAAGGGGCCATGTTAAGCGGGGCTCTGGATGAGGCAGAGCAGAGACGGTTAGCAGGTATCAGTGTTGTCGACGAGCTTACGGGACTTGACGAAGAAGAGCTCGATCGGTTCCTGCTAAGCGAAGAGGAGGTAAAGATTAAAGAACGCGTATGGGTGGAGTTAAACAGAGATTATCTGGAAGCATTGGCAGGTGAGTCTTCGGCTGTCGTTATCTTGTCTATTATGCTGAACGGATGTTTCAGCTAAAGGCGATCAGTCAAATACCACTACCAGAAGCAAGAAGGTGGGTTGTACCCCGTGGTGGGAGGAATGTTTTCATCCATCGCGGTGCTTATGAAATCTTCATCACTTTTTTACAGCGCCGAAAAACGAAGCCTCGGGACTCAACCACCGCTCATGGGGCAACAACTGCTGAGAGCGTGAAGAACATGATCAAGAAGAATCCTAAATATAGCAAGCGTATCAATTACGATGCTTTAAAGGATTTGTTCGTGGACGGTGGGGCTGTCCCGACATTAGACGAAAAAGACGAAGCCAATTTGTACACCATGGACGACAAGAGTGATGGAGAAGGTGGCGGGGCGCTTCTGGTCATTGAAGAAGATTCGGCACCTCCTCAGCCGCCGCCTGAGGATGACAAGGATGACGACAAAGAAGGTGAGGACGCCGCAGCTGACGACATTGGTTGGGACGACGTCTACGAGCAAGAAGTCTAAGATAACATGTACAACGGACATCAAGTTCACTTGTATAATTAGCTTGCTTTGATGTATTCGTAGATTATTCTGCTCGCACACTTGTAATGAAGGGGAATCAGGGAAACCAATATGCATTATACTGTATTTTATCACTGAAATAGCAGGGGGAAGAAATTATTCTTCCTTCTTGGATCCGACACGCTTCTCAGCCTCAGTAATGGCGGCGTTGTCAGTTTGAGGGCCGGTAGCTAAACGTAATGATTGAGCACAAACAAGGTTTGGAAATTTGACACTTACCTCCGAAAAACCCTGGAGGCGATTTGAAGGGGCGCTTCAAGTCACCCTCGGCTGGCTTGCCAAAGATATGGATAGCGACGAGCTTGGCATCATACAAATTTTTAAGACCCATGAGGGACTGAATGAAAAGCGGCTGTGTGAACTTCATGTAGCCATGCAGGAAACCCATCATCGCAATACCCATGTACACCGACCGCAGCTATGGAGGGTGGTGAGTCCCAGAAGTCAGATTTGTAGGTGTAATTACCAGCTTGGACGTCTCAACAAGATCATAGTCCCGCACGGTCGTCGTCACTAATTTCCCTTCTTCTCCAGACTAAACGGGATGAGACGCGCGTCTCTTGACTTTGATGAAGACACATACCATCGGGGTCGAGGGCTCCACTGTTATCTCTGTTTCAGAAACCCAAAAAAACAACGAAGATAACGGAGTGTGCTCACCGTACTTAAGGACAGTCTGGTCATTCTTCCGCTTAACCTGCATCACCAAAAGCTCAGTGGAATTGCTGGGCACGCAGCGTACAACACACCGTCATGGAAATATAGTAGTATATGCCCAAGATGATAAACTGGGTCACAAGGTATCCAATCCGTGCGTAGTTGAGTACATCCGGATCGTCAAAGGGGATTTTTCGGGCCACTGGACAAGAGATAACCGGGTTTGATCTAGGGAAGCAGAAGGCAATAGAAGTAAAGAAATACCTTGCATGGCCCCGAGGGATATAACGAGATTCTGTATGCCAGCATTCATTATGGACCACGAAGAGAGAGAAAAGAGGGGCGACGACGGCAGCGGTGATGACGGTCTACCAGAAAGCGTACGTGGAGTTGTCGTTTATTTGCATTTTTTCCCAAACGCGGAAATGATGTCATCAAAGACGAGGACGTTCCTTTTGCGCTTGAGCCTCTTGAACTCGTACAGCTTCCTCCATGTCCGAACTTCCTCAGCTCCTCCTCGCCTCACTCAATCCAGCCACCAGAAAGCAGGCTGAACAAAGTCTCGACGCGTTCAGCGCTCAGCAGGGATTTCTTTCCCATCTTCTCCGCCTAGTTCTCGACCAGTCGCAAGAACGCGCCGTCAGGTTATCGGGGAGCGTATATCTCAAGAACATCGCGAAATTGAAGTGGGAGGAAGTAAGTATCCTGAATTTTTTCTCTGATTCGTGTTTTGATCCGTCTTCTTTGCAGGATGTTCAGCCACTTGCAGAGCAGGACAAAACTGTCTTGAGGTCCGAGTTGGTGCCAGCCATGCTCGCCCTGTCTAACCCAACAGACAAAGCAATACGCGCCCAAGTTGCCGAATCCGTATCGCTCATAGCAGAACTGGATTTTCCGGGAAAATGGCCAGATCTCATTGATGTGCGTCTCTCTTCAGGCTCATGCTGTCGCGTATTGATCGCGTACATACAGCAACTGGTGTCATCATTATCTGCGACGGATTATAACGTAAATGTTGGCGTTTTACAAACAGCGCATTCGATCTTCAACCAGTGGCGCGCCCATGTCCGCTCCGATCAACTCTTCACCGAGATAAACTTTGTATTTTCAAAATTCATGGATCCATTCCTCCAGCTATTCCGGCAGACTGCAACCCTCCTTCTCTCAAATCCCAGCCCGAATCCAGCTTTGACAACTCCCACTTCCAACTACATGACATTAGCACAAAGCATGGTGCTGCTCATTGAGATCTTCCACGACTTCACCTGTCAAGATCTGCCGCCAGCCATAGAAGATACCCATGCTGAATTCTTTGGAACAACACAAGGCTGGTTCCACAATTTTATGCCTTGGAATCCACAAGAGCTCAGGGGAGACGTAAGTCAGTTTCAATGGGGCGATTCACATACTTACTGTTTGCTCGTATATGATCAGTCAGACGACCCTACTCCGTCGCTTCCTTCGCAGATAAAAACCAGAATCCTAGAGATTGCAGAGGCAAGTATTTTCGTCAATCATACGCTGACGCTAGCTCATTGAGTTTTCCAGCTCTTCCTCAAACTCTACCCTGAACAACTTCAACAATCCGGAGCCGTGCAGACTTTGGTGCAAGACGTGTGGAGTTTAGTGGGATCGAATCAGCTACCAAACATAAGCGATGACCAGGTAGGTTCTTTCCATGTTTTTTATTGATTGATGTTGACTGGAAATTACATTAGCTGGTTTCTCAAGCGCTCCGGTTCATCTCAACTGCTATACGATCGGGTCACTACCAGTCTCTTTTCTCCTCGCCGAACATTGTTTCCTCCCTAGTGGAAGGAGTAGTTGTTCCCAACACTTCTCTTCGCGAGCACGATGTTGAACAATTTGAGGATGACCCTCTGGAGTACATCCGTCTTGACCTCTCGCTTTCCTCTGCTGGAACCGATCTTGCCACGAGGCGTCATTCAGCGGCCGATGTGCTGCAAGCCCTGGTATCCAGCGGGTACGAGACGGCCACCACTGAAATTGTCGGAAAATGGATAGAGACAGGTCTGAAACAGTATGAAGCTAACAAGACTGAAAATTGGAGAGCCAAGGATAGCGCTATCTATCTACTAACGGCTGTTGCAACGAAGGGGTCCACGACTCAACAAGGTGTAACATCGACGAACACACTTGTCGACGTGATCAAGTTCTTTTCTGAACACGTTTTCCAAGACTTGGAAGCATCTGCGGGCTCTGTCCACCCTATTCTGCAAGTTGATGCCATTCGATTCCTCTACACTTTCCGAAATCAGGTAGGCCTCATATTATTCTGATACGTACATGTTCTTGAAGGATTTTTTTTGCAGTTAACGAAGCCTCAACTGATGTCTGTATTGCCACTTCTCATACGCCACCTTGGGTCAGCCAACTATGTTTGCTGTACTTACGCCGCGATCACTATCGACCGGATTCTTTTCATCAAGCAGGGTGGTCAGCTACTGTACGTCCGGTTTATGTCGTATCATACGAATACTGACAATGGCCACCTGCAAAGATTTACTCAAACCGACATCCATGACTTTGCTGCTGATCTTCTCAATGCTCTACTGACAAAAATCGAATCCGCCGGAACACCTGAGAAGGTGGCGGAAAATGACCACTTAATGAAATGTGGATTGTTCCTTTGATCGTTGCTTGTAGTTACTGACGTGTCGTTGCCGAAGGTGTTATGCGGGTAATATTCACAGCTCGTGATGGTCTGACACCTGGATATGAACAGACGCTTGCTCGTCTTGTTGCCATTTTGGGGGTCATCTCTAAGAACCCTAGCAACCCTAAATTTGACCAGTACATCTTTGAAAGCATATCCGGATTGATCAGGTCTACTTTTTTCTTCTTCTCGGCTTGGCTTGCACCATCTGACACCTCGTTAGGTTTATAGCTCCGGCAACTCCGACCAACTTAACAACTTTTGAACAAGCGCTATTTGGTCCCTTTACAATTATCCTGCAACAGGACATCGACCGTGCGTGAAAATATACTTCTTTGACTTTGCGATCTTAATTGCTTCAGTACAGAGTACATTCCTTATGTCTTCCAGCTTCTCGCTCAAATGCTTGACATGCATTCAAAGGAGGTGCCCACGGAATATCGAAGCTTACTCCCTTTCCTGCTCATGCCTGCTATTTGGCAACAGAAAGGCAGTGTTCCGGGACTTGTCAAGCTGCTGAGTGCATACCTCTCGCACGACAGTGCTCAAATGGTTGCGAATAGACAGATTGCAACAGTGCTTGGTGTGATTCAACAACGTCTGATACCCTCGAAACAGAATGACGGTTGGGGTTTCGAACTCTTGCGAGCAGTCGTGCGATACGTTGATGGGTAGATACTTGTTCACTTGTACCCCTTGCCCGATTACTGACAAAATTTAATAGGGCCAGCCTTCAACCGTTCTTCAGAGACGTTATCATGACAATACTCAAGCGAATGCAAGCGACCAAAACGGACAAGTTTATCTACCTCTTCGCCCAATTCCTACTTTTCTCCTTCGCGATCGAAGTTCCGGGCGGTTTAAACTGTGACTTCATCATCAGCACCATTGAGAGCATTCAGGCCAACTTGTGGTCACAGATCCTCATCAACTTCATTCTTCCGGAGGCCTCTAGAATTCCTATCAAGGACCGAAAAGTCGCTGTAGTTGGACTTACTCGCTTGCTTACGGGCACGCAGTATATGTTGGTTGAACCAAGCATTCGGACGTGGTCCCCGCTATTCACTGTCTTGGTCAAGCAATTCAACGAGCCACAGTATCTTGAAGGTCCGAAGGATGATACTGCCGTAGGTTTGACAGAGATTGATTATGAGGAGGCGACGGCGGGCTACCAGGCCGCTTTTTCGCGTCTCGCTGCGTCGGAATCGGCGCCCGAGGACCCTGTTGCATATGTGAAGAATCCCAAGCAATACCTTGCTGAGCGTCTGATGGCTATGGATAGGCAGAAAATGGGGGTGCTTGTGTCTTCTGGAGACCGGGAGGTTGTTAAGCCGTTTTTGCAGAGTATGGGTTTATAGAAAGGTTAGCTGTGGCATTTAAATGTGAATTGGTTGAGGGGCGAAGTAATATCATGTGTATGCACCAATCAGAGTCTATTAACTAACCAACAGGTACATATAATTGTGTTCTCGGTGCAGGAAAAACCATCCCAGTTTTGAGTAAGAAAACGCAACAACCTGTGTTCATGATGTACCTCCATAGCATCACACTCGAATGCTTTGTCGTTTCATTGATGTCTAAGCGGGAAGATGTATCATCTGATAACAGGTCGCGATTTATGAACCACGATAAAAGTGTATTGAGAAATATGATGACAAGTGGAAGCAAGAATCTGTGGCAAAAAAAAATTGTTAGCGACGGTAGGAGCAAAAGGTACACCATGAAAATAATCAGAATGGATCTAGCGCAGCCGAGCTGCGAACAAGATAAGCCGGACATAAATCAAACAACTTTCCAAGGACCTGAATGAAGCCCTTCAAAGAGTCATATGGCCCCGGCGGTACTTCATCACTAGGAGGAAGGCGGGAATGGTCGAGTACATACCATTTGAATCAGAGAAAACTTTGCGCTGAGAGAAAAGGGCCCATTGCAGTCCGAAATGCGGGCTAATAGTCGAGAGTCCTCCATCCTAGGCCTACAAGCGCCGACGACGGCCACGTTCATTACTAGTCCTAGATAGACCTCTGACGGAGAAAAGCACATCTCCGCTCCGCGGATTTAAGGCAACAGTGCTAAGCATCTTCAAACTTGGTTGCTACCATCACCATTGACTTGCAGCATGTTGCCAGAAAGAACGGACGCTCTACAGAGGTGGAAGAGAAGGAGAACTTGTTGGAGTAAAGGAAGAGTTGATTTTTCCCACGAGACGCGCCTCTCATGCTTACCGCCATGTTACCTCGGACCACCCCTTGCAATTTCTTGGAACAATGTGACGGCGGCTTGCAGAAAATGCTGCCGCTAATCATTGCTTTTCGTTTAAGCGACGACAGCTTACCCCGAGCCTTGTAACCTGGGGCAACTTTATAAGGCGTCGACATGCTCTTGTCTCTATTCCGACCACCACCATGCCTTCTGCAGTTAACAAACCTGCTCCTGGAGTCTCTTTCTTCTCTCCTCACCAGGAAACCCCATCTGGTACGGCCTTATCCAATGACAAACCAATTCCCAGTCTCTTCCAACCTCTCACTATCCGCGGAGTTACTTTCCAGAACAGAATCTTCGTATGTAATGTCATTCTTATCCAGATCTGCTTGCTGATGACTGTTTGAAGCTGTCCCCAATGTGCCAGTACTCTGCTGTTGATGGGCATATCACACCCTGGCACATAGCCCATTGTACGCCCATTGCCTGATGTCCGCCCGATTAGCACTTAGTTACGTCGCAGATGGCGGTATCATCACCCGTGGACCAGGCCTCTCTATTATTGAAGCCACTGCGATCCTCGCCAACGGACGTACCTGCCCAGAAGATCTGGGTATCTGGTCTGACGAGCACGTTCGCACCCTCATTCCTCTTGTCGAGCTCGCCCACTCTCAGTCTCAGAAGATCGGTATTCAGCTCGCCCACGGAGGTCGGAAATCATCCACTGTCGCTCCTTGGCTTTCCGGTCAGGCTCTGGCTGAGGAGAACGTGGGCGGATGGCCCAAAGACGTAGTTGCTCCGTCACCTATTCCTTGGGCAGCGGATTATGCTACTCCCAAGGAACTGTCCAAAGATGATATCAAAGATCTACTCCGAGCATACAGAGACAGTGCACTGAGGACTGTGAAAGCTGGTTTTGATGTTGTTGAAATCCACGCAGCCCATGGATACCTCTTACACGAGTTTTTAAGCCCAGTGAGCAACCAACGTACAGACGAGTACGGAGGATCTTGGGAAAACCGTGTCAAGCTGATTCTTGAGGTTGTCGACGCAGTCAGGGAAGTTATTCCCCAGAATATGCCTCTGTTTTTCAGGTAGCACGCTGACTATTTTCATATGAAATGTAACTGACGCGCTTGCAGGATATCTGGCTCTGAGGGACTAGAATACCTCGATATCCCATCCTGGCGCTCTGAAGATACTGTCCGTCTCGCACCCTTACTCAAAGAGCATGGCATCGACTTACTTGATATATCGTCTGGCGGGAATTCATCGAAGCAGCGCATCAAAGGCGCTCCGGCGTACCAAACTCCCCTTGCTCACGCCGTGAAGCAGGCAAACGTCCCGGGGCTTATTGTCAGCACCGTTGGGAGCATCACCGACGCTACGCTAGCTCAGAGTATATTAGACGAGGGCAGGGCAGATGTCATACTTGTTGGCAAGGGGTTCCAAAAGAACCCAGGTTTGGTATGGGCCTGGGCAGATGAGCTTGGGGTTGACATTGCCATTGCGAATCAGATCTACTGGGGATTTTATGGGAGGAGAAAGCCTAGAAACGTATCAAGCGCTTGATTTTTTTGGATACTTCTAGACAGAGTGAATTCCACTACAAGAATTTGAACATTGATCTGTGACGCGTTTGCCACGCGACCCTTTTTGATGTGGACCTTCAGGACAACTCAACTGCTTTTGAGGTGTGCTGCTCTTCGCTCAACTCCTTCACTTGCTCGTCATTATTCTGCGCCTTTACGATGTCGAATACCACGCCAACACTTTGACCAGCGACGATACAACTCGAATTCACCTACCCAGTCATTTTCCGATCCCACCCGCCCTGACCTCTTTTACCACCTCAGCTACCCAAATTCCGGCTCGCCACCTATATTTGCTGTATCATTTTTGCCTCATGCACCACCAACACCTGATTCGCCCACAATTATTGGCTGGCTACCCGCGCAGGGAGCTGGGGAAGAAGCAGGGCTCAATGATTTCACTGAGAATCGTACGCCTCGATCTTTTTACTCTGTTTACTAGAGGTTAAATGATTGCGTAGAAAAATTCCGGGACGTGCTGCATCAGGCTATACAGGACGGTCTACGTGAAGGTGTAGACGAGGTGCAGCAGAATGGTGCGACTCAGCTACAGAACGGATGGATGCACATACATGGTATGTACTTCAAGGTCTGAATGTCCCGCCTTCTTCGTTTTCTCACAAAGTCCATTCCTAAGACGAACGGAATATCCCGCCATTAGGACGCATCGGCGACCCAGATGACATTCTTGCCTCGGTTCTCGTCGAGAACGGGAAAGTATGTCATGTCCAAGATCCCATTGTAACGCGTTCCGACTGATATTTTTGTAGATACTGGCCAATACATACCAGCCCATGCCAGCCTATCGGTTCTGCACATCCCACGGTGTCATCCAATTAACACCTGGCTTGAGTCAAAAGCTTAGGACTCTCCTCGAACAGCTTAGCGCGTAGATAACGCGTACCGTAACCAGTGCTGCGCGAGGTCCAAAAGGATACAGACAAGTGATTGCCAAGTTATAAATGGTGTTCATTCGGTGCTCCCTAGTTGGTGCAGTCTCTGGTCATTTACAGCTGGTAACCCAATCCGGCCATGCTTGAGTGTTAGTCACGCTTCGGAAACTGCGCTAAGGATCCTTTTCAAGAGATATTACCTTCTCCCACCCGTTTTCAATCCGGAAGGAATACCGTGTCTTGCCGGACGGGTTCTTCTAAGCTATTTACGCGTATCGTCAGCTTCTTTGATCAGACCCCAAAGCAATTGGTGTCTCTGCGCATCTTTTACAACCACCATCTACCGTCTGTCAATCCTCAGTATCTCTATGAGACTTCTCAGGTGTTGCAAAGTGATTTGCAGCTGTGCGCGGAGGACAACACATCTCCGGTTTCTGCGTACCCCCGCTGATGGAGTTGAACGCAATTTTGCACGATCCATTGGATATGTGTTACGTTTTCGATGCCCTGGCTGCTTCTCGCTTGAACCTCGTCACCCTTTTACTTCCATTACTGATACATTCATTGACAGTCGAACAGCCTTCGATCAGGCCTCCAAGATGTTATCTACACACGGTCCTCCACCGGTACTTAGTACTTTAAAGTAATGCCGCGACGTGAATTGATTATGCTTCAACGGAAATTATGCGATCGTCTTCAGATTCGGATTCTGTGAGTTCTGGTAAAGGTCCCTCGAATGCCTTCCGAAAAAGCCCTTCTCTTCTAATATCCTCCACCAATGAATGGTCAAATCCCACGCATTCTAACCGAATGATTTCTAGACCTTCATCTCCACGAACTAGAGCGTCAATGACATCTCTAGTTTTTAGATTCTGAACGTTCTTCGGCATTGTCTTCAGCCGATCCATCTCGTTCTTGACATTGGAGTCATTGATGGATTGCCCGTCCTTTCGCAAGCTGACCCTCGCTTTCACAGAAAGGTACTCATCAGATTTCTGGACTAGAATCTTTTGAGCCCAGTCTTGTTTCACCTAAAAATGGGCGTTAACGATACCGATTAGATAGAAAATCGAAAACGCATGACCAACCTCTTCGGCCTGGTCCATGAACACCTGCCCCGTTACCTTACCACAGAGGACGTCCTTATACTCACCATAGTAAGTCCACAGTGCTTGAGTTCCTTCTTTGACGAAGAGTGCGACGGTCTGACCCACAACATGATGTCGCACCGAAAACAATAATCCATGTGCTCCCGGCTGGGAAGGTAACGCTGGATTATATCTTTTCTGAGGCAAGACAACCATCCGCCCGCTGAGAGATGAAGTTTGACTAGGCTTGAGATATCCCAAGAATGCTCGGGATGCCACACTGTACTTCTCCAGTAAAAGGCGGCGAGTAACGATGCAGCGTGCATGAGGTGGAGGATCAACGGTGAATAACGGTATGCTGGAGATGAGCGAGGTGACGAGTGCTTGGGGCGGAATAAAAGTGGATTTATCTTTCTACATTGCCTGGTGTCAATGCAATGGAACCAGAATTTACAGAAACAATAAGTGTTTACCTTATTCTTGGGTAAAATATGTTTTTCAGCGGTAGGAGAGTGCCTTCTTTTGGTAGATCTACTTGAAGGGATTGAAATCTTAAAGGCTTCAGTTTTGGAATTTTATACCCGCGACATTGTACTTACCGTACGTTTCAGCTTACATCTTTGACCAAACAAGTCACCATTGGATACATCTCTCGAAGAAGTGGAACACCGAGGGGACGCTGGTATCTCCACATATAGCCTGCGACGGATAGACGGTTTCACTTCGACGGGAGAGCTGTGCGCAGAAGGTGGCTAAGATGATATTCATCAGAAAAGATTATTCATGGTTTTATAATGATTTCGACAATGCAGACTGACCTGTGATGGCGGAGGTGTCCTCGGAAGAGAAGACACGGGCACTATCAGAGGCTGCGGTTTAGTCTGGCTTTCATTAGATTATGCCCCAATAAGTTGACAGTCAACAAACCTGCAGAGCTGATGAGATGGCTTTGAATGTCGTGCGTGATGTGATTGCAGGAGAATGCAGCACAATTTCATTGTCCTTGTCTTGCTTAACGAGGACGTTGGAACCGTCCGCGTGGATTGCGGCATTCAAGTCGTTTGGCACGTTTCCCTTCACCAAAAGATGGGCAGGATTTACATGGTATAACAGAAAAAAACTCACTACACCAGCATCTTCATGATACCGCCTCAGTTGCCTCCTAAGGTCTTGGATTTCGCACCGAGCACTTTCTTCCCGTGTCTGCGCCTCTACCAACTCTATTCTCACATCATTATACTTTTCTCTGTACCTATCACGCTCTTCCAAAATATCAGCTAATTCGCGCTGAGATCTTGCATACTTTTGCTCCAGTTTACCTAAATGCCATTTCAGTGCGGAAGTGGTAGAAAAGACAATCGGAGCACCGGCCCGTCGATCCGTGACATCGCGGTCGACCGACGCGTCATCAACTTTCTTGGTAAGTTCCATCGACAACAATGGAGGCACCCTCGACGTCTTCTGGCAGCATGGACCAGCGGCGGAAGGATGCATTGCAGAGCTATCGTGAGGTAGCTGCTTTATCTTGCTCTTGAAGATTCTACTGAAAATTCCTTCGGTCAGAAAATGCGACACCACGAATCGAGTAGCGAGAATCTGAAAACTCGTGAGGCTCAAGTATCTTCGCAGCGTGTATGGTGGCTGATGTATATCAGTCCGTTTTTCGCTCAAGGACTTGGAGAAGGAATACGAGAAGACTGAGGACGACATCAAAGCCGTACAATCTGTAGGGCAAATAATTGGCGAGGTCATGAAGCAATTGGATGATGACCGGTGTAAGCCAAGTCTACATGGGCCCGTTATCTATGCTCACCATCTCTGTGCCATCTTCCAGTCATAGTGAAGGCCTCATCAGGTCCTCGTTACGTCGTTTCGTACCGCCCAGCCTTACCCGCCGCCAAACTCAAAAACGGCACCCGTGTATCTCTTGACATGACAACTCTGACTATAATGCGTATCCTACCCCGTGAAGTCGATCCTCTTGTGTACAAGATGAGTCTGGAGGACCCTGGTGGAGCCTCGTTTGCCGGCATCGGTGGCTTGGGGGAACAGGTCCGTGAATTGCGTGAGGTAAGGAATCTTATTTTGTCGCGCTCTTTTTCTGAGCTCACGCGTCACAGATAATCGAGCTTCCCCTTCTGAATCCCGAACTCTTCCAACGTGTCGGAATCAAACCCCCGAAAGGTGTCCTACTCTATGGTCCTCCCGGGACTGGCAAGACTCTTCTGGCACGTGCCGTCGCAGCTACCCTACAAACGAACTTCCTCAAAGTCGTCTCATCTGCTATAGTAGACAAGTACATCGGTGAGAGTGCCCGAGTTGTACGAGAAATGTTTGGGTATGCACGAGACCACGAGCCTTGCGTTATTTTCATGGACGAGATCGATGCTATCGGTGGAAGACGGTTCTCCGAAGGTACAAGTGCAGACAGGGAGATTCAGAGGACTCTTATGGAAGTGAGTTTCCGTATCACTTGCATGCTATTAATATGTCTGATAAATTAATAGCTGCTAAATCAAATGGATGGCTTCGATTCCTTAGGACAGACGAAGCTCATCATGGCTACGAATCGACCGGATACATTGGATCCTGCCCTCCTTCGTCCAGGTCGTTTAGATAGGAAGATTGAAGTGCCGTTACCCAATGAGCAGGCAAGACTTGAAATTCTCAAAATCCATGCCGCCCCCGTAAACAAGGGCGGTGAGATCGACTACGAGGCTATCGTCAAGGTACGTTCGGGTGCCACACTGAGGTCTGCTATTAATACCAACCTTAACCAGCTGACGGATGGATTCAATGGTGCAGATTTGCGCAATGTTGTTACGGAGGCGGGGATGTTTGCCATAAGGGATGACAGGTAGGCTTTCAGTTTCCTTGTTTCTACAATTTTGATTATAATGCTTACTCTTTCTTAGAGAATTCGTGAATCAAGAGGACTTGACGAAAGCAGCAAGGAAAGTAAGCGACGCGAAGAAGCACGAAAGTTAGTTCTTCCGTTTTCTTTTAGGACATATTTACTAATTTATGGATTTCACAGCCAAATTGGAGTATTCTGCGTAGATTCTTCCTATCGTCTGTCCCATGTTCCTCGCATCCATCAGTACATTATTTTGCGAGTGTGACTACATGTAACGTCGACCTTTTTACCCACTTGATGGCTATACATTATGATTGACGCAAGCCGGGAACATGGTCGACTCCATTCCCTCCATTCTAAGTCCTTCTCAGACACCGTCACAGTGGAAATTACGGTATTCAAGGTCCATCAACGAAGCGAAAGCATAGTGCGCGTGGATGATATTGACCATATCCATCAGAACGAACAGAACGAAGGCACTTATGTGTGTACAGTTGCGGGAAAATGAATCTTGCGACGAACTTGTGCGGGAATATAGCGATGGTAAGTAAATACAATGTCATGGAACCACGTCAAGCGAACTGTGATTCCACTTCGATTTCGATTGGTGAGCTTCACTCCTTTGTCCCTAGCAATCAAACAGGTGGCGGTCCAATGAGATGCAAAACAACGCGGAACTCGCATCGACGCGGCGAAGTTCGCAATTACGGTTATATGCCAAGAACTCCTGGTTTGCGCTCTCAGGGACACGAGGCAAAAAGGCCGTCGAAAGCAGAAAGAATACGCTTCAGACAACTTATCTATTACATCTCAGGGGATAGCTTCGGCCACGATTTGGGGTGACGGACATCCCCGCAGAACGCTGGAGCCATACCGTTGGCAAGATACTTTGAACCATCATACTTCTCAGCCAAGGGACGACTCAATTGAAGAAATGATACCTGTTTTCAACCCCGCACGATGGTGCCACTGTTTTCTGGAAAACTCACCTCCCCCTTTCTCACTCTTAGACGGCGTCAAACGGCCATCTATCTTGTTCCGCTCTTCGAGGAATAGGCTGGTGATGATGATGAGTTGGGATTACTTAGTAAGGTTTAGTAGTGGCGCTGGTAATGAGTGAGATATGGACTTGGGATATCTAAAATTACACCGGAAGAGACGAATTTGTACCGAAGATAGCCACCGCCCACCCCAATAGTCCCATAGAGGAACTTTCTGATGCAGACGTTATTTTCCAGCCGTAGAAGGTATGCGCTGACTACCGGGGGAGCATTAGACCAAAAACGATGCTGTCCCGTACCAAAGCTCGCCGTGAGACATGGTATATTTCCTTGGCGTGTGGCGCTGTATAGTAGCAAGGGAAAAGAGATTTGTGCTAGTATTCCTGCCGTTCAAGGGTTCATTTTATACTCGGATAGTACCTTAACCAAGACCCGAAAGTCAGCTGTATTTATACCCGTGAGCGTCAAACTTGATTGGTGAGATAGAAAAGCGAATATCATCCTGGCCAATATCGTCAACTTGTTGATCGAATCTTAGATAGTTAGCCAGACAGAAAGACGGGGTACAGTGCCAGGGCAGCCATTGTCTGGTTACCCAGACTCGCTGTTTTAGTTGTTCCAATATTCCCGGATTAACCATATGGATATGTGCTATTGCAGCGCAGTCCAAGGCTTCTGGTAATGCATTGAATGGGGACTGTCGAGTAGACTTATAACATCGGCCTTGGAGGCTCACCGTCACACATTGGAGTTTTGTGTCTGTGGGTCGCTTGGGTCGTTGGGTCGGGTTGGCCCTTACGAAGTCACGGCAGTTCGCAAATTTTAATGTAGCCCTGATAACTATGACATGTAATGCATAAACAGATTCACTGTAGGTAGCATTAAACCATCAAAACTGCCGCGACAGCCATCCAAAATTATATCGAGTCACCGCAGTTCCCAGCCATATATTACGGTTTCGATGAGCTCCGTGTACTAAGGAAGCTCGACGTCCCTTCCTTATCATGATGAAGAACTTCCCGGGAAAGATCCTAATGGCTCTTGCAATACTTATAAGGCTGATTTTTCATGAAAGTCGTTGCCGATCAAGTATTCCAGTTGACGATCATGCGTCATGATCGGTGGAGCCATAACACGACGTCATACATATACCTGAAGCCAGCTTTCCTTCACACTTCGCACGCAGAAATTCGAAGTCCCACCACCTGTCTAACATATCTCAGGTCGCAAAATCCATCCGCAAATTTGAATCATCCGGAATAACTACTTATATATACCTCTCAAAATATATTCAGAAGTTCACTTCTATCCCCTCTTGACACCCGTGCCGATACCCATCCCAACACGAACAAGAGTTTCGAGGGCGGCCCGACCGTTGATTAACAGATCTTCGTCCCACTCCACCGCACCCTTTTCAAACAGTATAACAATGGTTGATCCACCTAGGGGGGATAAGAAGTGGTCCAGTGACCGGCTAAAGATAACAGCTTACCAAAAGCAAAATACCCAAACTCTTGGCCTCGCTGAACATAATCACCTTCGTTCACAGTCGTCGCGATAGTCCCAACCATCATAGCACCAACACAAACAGCCATCACGCGGCCGAAGTGAGGACTATCGATAGGAACAATCTTACGCGCATTCTCTCCGTAAACATCCAGAGCCGTTCTGATCGCTTGCGGCTGGTAGAAACACAGTGAGCGCCCGTAACCCATAGGAGATGTCGTTTTTCGCTTACATTGACTGTATAATACTCGCCGGCAATATACTTCATGGGTCCAATCTTACCTTCTACAGGTGAGTGGAATCGGTGATAGTCTTGAGGCGCTAGTCGGAAGATGGCTAAAGCACCACCATTGTATCGCTCTGCTTGATCCTTATACGCGTCGCCTAGCAGTCGGGAAACAGTGAATTCACGACCTTTGATCCACAGGCGAGTCGCTTCGCTGACGGTTTCAAACGCCATCAAACGACAGTCAGCTGCACTGACAAGCCGATAAGGATCTTTGGGCTTCTCGATAGGCCTCGCAGAAGGTTTTAATTTCCTTCAAAAAGTCGTTGTAACTGACTGTATTGTGTAGGACAGAGAAAAATACCTATAGAAGAATTCGTTGAAGGATTCTTGAGAAACGATTAGGCACGCGATCAATCATTAGAGAGAGGCCAACGTACTGAATGAACCCAGGGGATCTAGAATCTCATCCACCTTGAGTCCGTGGAATTCAATGAAGGTAGGAATGTCGCGGGCAGATTCAGGCGCATCATACTTAATTCCTTGTTTGATTGACAAGGATTTTAATAGACGCCGGGCTGTTTGCAGAGACATCAAGGTTAGTTCGAACTGAGTGAAACAACACTTACCTCCGTTGCCTTCCATTCGACCTTTAGCCCCCTGACGTTCGTATGAGCATCACATACTATCAGGATCCGAGCTAAACCCACCTTGTATAACAATCGAATACCTAGCCTTACGTATACCTGCATCTTCTCCTCTTCTAACTGACCCGTCATCCTGTTTTGAACGATAATATTGGCGGAGTTCTGCAACCTTTGAGTAATGCATGGATATGGTGAGGAGATACTTACAGCACCAAGCTTGTAGTCGCCGCTCGAAATCTTGCCGATGATCTTCGTATACCATTTCCGCTGAGCTTGACTGGCAGTAACGAAGTTGCCTACAACAATGCGGTCAACCTTGTTCCAGTCCTGGCTTGCACAGACGGCAAGGTGGGTAATGATGTCAACTTCCGCCTTCGAATTGAGCCTGGGTCGATGGCACAGTGGACAGTTCTTGACATTGATAACACGTTCGAACGATTCATCGGAGCCTGAGGAGCTAGCAGCGGACAATGCAGACCCAGTCTTTGGTTTGCATTTCGTCCCTCTTCTGAACTTGGACCTCTTCTTCGCCGGGACGGCCTCCGATTCGGGGGTGCCGGAGCCGGAAGACTCATCCTCCGGTTCAGAAGATGAATAAGAGCCCTGCCTAGCCATTCCGCCGATAGGGTCGGCGATTTCACCCATAGGCGTCCCCGAAGCAGCATGCGCAAGAGGCTGCTGTGCAGGCTCAGTTGTGTATGGCCCTGAAGCACTTGGTTGTGCCTTCATTTCCGTGCCACTAACCACATCGTTGGTTTCCGGACCCACGGAGATGCTCATTGGTGGCCCAGAAAAGTCAAGATGGTCCAGTGGTAGTTCATTACCTTCCCTGTCCGATATCATGATCATGGGCGTCGCACTAACGCTACTGTCAAGAAGGGCGTCATCGGCGTCTAACCTCTTCTTTTCACTATCAGGTCGACCTAATTCCGCTTCCAAACATTGGATGGCTTCGGCGATGGTTAATTCGTCCGTATGAGAATTTTTGTTGAAACGCGTCCAAAACGAGTTGACGGTCAAGCGGGTGAGGGTCGAACCAAGAGAATCGAGCATGGAAGTTATCTCAATGTGAGATAGCGTTTCTGTATCATCAGTGTCGTATTGCTTAAGGAACTGTCGCCAGAAACGTTGACGAAGAGCGGCATATGGCTGATACATAGCGCTATCGTCCAAAACCCCTTAGTCATGAACGTAAGACAAAGGGGATCACATACCGAACAGAGATAACTGGGGCATGCTTAGACTCCCAGGGCATATCTTTGCCGGTTGTCAAAGGCAGCTTGAAGTCCGACATTGCTTGATCTTCATCAGTGAAAGGGTACAGCCCAGTCTCTTCGTCGGCCTGAGGTGCGTTATCCAACAATTCCTTGAGGTCAAAACTGGCGTCTCCGATGTGATCATTCGACGAAAGTTTGTCCCAATCTAAGATGGTGAGCTGGACTTTAAAAGCCGTCTCATATCGCCGGACATGGAAGAGCAGCTTCTCGTCCCAAACAGGGCTGAGCGAATGACGAATAACACGAGTCCGGAAAACTTTCTTGCCAAATGAAATGACGACAAAGGGATCCATATCCCATCCTGTACGTGTCACTGTGAAAGTGGAATCACATCGGATCAGTGCTTTCCGATGCATACGTGGTTCTACTTACTGTTTTTCAATTTTGGCAGATCTTCGGCTGACTTGATCTCCAACATAACGATTCCGACGATATCATTTGGCCCGCTGAAGCTATACGGTTGCTTCTTCCGTTTCATACGTCCACCAGCACCTTCGTTACCGCTGCCACTGCTTGTGCCCGGTGTGCTGCTAGAACCTGTGCCCCAGTGTTTCTTGAAGCGCTTCTTCTTCTCTTTTTCCAAACCTGAACCTGGTGTACCTGGGGGCGTCCCTGTATCAGAAGTCTCACTGGTAGGGTTTGAAGTCGACGTCGACCGTCGTGAAAACTTCATTCTCATAAAGCTGGGAGAAGGTGTCCCAATTTTTGGTGAAGGAAGCCTCTTGTTTGGGGGAGACGCGACTGGTGTAGCTGGTGTCAAATTGAGCTGAGGAGGGGAAGCACGAAATTCAGCTTCCTGTGATGCAGGGGTATTGGTAGGGGTAAGAGGCGAAGTGAGACCAGTGGAGAAGCTAGTCGCTGGGGTTGAGGACGCGGTGTTGACTGTGGGGGTTAGGACGGTATCGTTGTCGTCTAGAGCATCGGCAAACTCCTCATCGTCAGAAGAGTCAGAGTCAGAATCCGATGAGATACCGCCGTCATCTTCGTAGTCAGCCACTCCGGCGTGAGAGCGCACAGTGCCAACACCTTCCGTCTGCAGAGTTATATAAATGAAGTACATACTTCGGCGAGCTTCCGAGACTTACTGGTGGTGCAGATACCAAAGAAGGCCGAGATCGTCTGATGAGTTCTGAGAAGATCTCATCGAACTCAAGAAGATTCTGTGTCTTGGGCGGCGAGACGAAGCCCAGTTTAACTTGCACAGACCCGGCGGCTTTTATTCCATCTCTTGTCGAAACAAGGTTTAATGAGAATGGCTGAGTGTTTGTGGCTTTGGGACGCGTTTCTGATAAGAAAACAATTGACGTACAGTGTTACCTGGCTCATCAAAGCCATACGGCCTGTCATCTGTGAACCAATCCTCCAGGGGCAAAGCGACCTCGCCCATGTAGTCCTTCTTCATCAGCATATCCTTATCCCAGGCGACCATCTCTAAGACACCCAGCCTGTCGGCCAGGGAGAGATAGATGGGAAAGTCAAATGTCGCATCCTTGGGCGCATAGATTGGCTGAAGTGTCTTCTTCGCCACGGGAGTCTGGAATCGCGAATTCAACATAGACACAACGATGAATCTACCGGCGCATGTTATGAGTTCCTATCGCACAGCAACCGAAATGAAGGTATGTATATACGTACGGATCGCTTGCTCCGTTTCTATCCTTGGCCAACATGCCCTTGCAACCGAGAATCTGCAGCCTCAGGATCACTATGGGGTCCTCTCCTGTGATAGGCGAAAGCGTATTTCGCCCGCTCCCGCGGCCGCCACCGACGAGAGTACCAGCACCGCGCACAGGGAAGCGTGCAGCGCTCTTGAGCGCGCGCCTGAACTTCATTGCCTTGGGAGCCATTTCGTGTCGTGCGATAGCGAGTGTTGGAAAGAGAGTGAGAATTGGACTGCAGTAGAGTTACGTGAGACGCGCCCAACTGCAGAATCGTTACAGTTAAATGTACGATGCTAGACAAAGACGTACTCGGCCGCAAGACAAAGGACGACAAAGGAGTACTTTCAGTGGCAGTGATTGGTAGGAAGGCTCGAGAAGCACTGGAACAATATGGGCGGCTCCGCACAGCGCAGGGTATTCGATCACGTCACCCCACATGTGTCTCATCGGCCGGCACCACAGCAAATTACGTTCGTAAATCCAGCCCGTGCCGAGGAGGATTATCCAGGTTACAACTGCCAACTATGCCAAGTAGAAAAATCTGATTAACACTGTCCTACGCGACGAGAAACGCTAGTGGTCCATGTGTAGAATACGGCCAAGTAAACAAAGTGAATCGATGACAGATAAACGAGTGACTATGGTCTGAAAGTCATGAGGCAACAAATGTCTTTGTCATAAGAAAGGGCGAGCGTGCAAAACTCATGAAAGGTAGAGAGCAGACAGAATAATGGACAACAGTGCAATGCCTGAAATTGTTACCTGAGTAGCACCATTGCCAGTCGACGCTGCTCCAGCACCTGACGCGGTGCCGGTAGCTGTACCGCTGCCGCCAGATCCACCGGTCGAAGCTCCTCTCGATGTCGAGCCCGAGGTACTAGCAGAATTCGATGCGCTACTGGTTATAGTTGGTCCGTCGGTGTATAAGGCTGTGCTTGCGAAGGAGACACAGTTGCTGGATGCGGGTATCCTTGCGGTGTAGGGAATGGAGGTGATGGCGCCAAGGGATTCGGCAGGCTGAGTATAGGTCATGACAACACCACCCGAGGTATAGACACCAGGAGGATCCTGGTTGTCACCCTGGCAAGCCTCGAAGACGCCTTCTTGAGCGTTGTTAGGCGCATTGTATGCACAGCCGATACGGTCGTAGATGTGTTGACAAAGGTCAGCTGGGTTGGGTCCAGAAGGATCGCAGACCTTGAAACAAAACGCGTTGCCACCCATGAAGCTAGTAACGTTTCAGTAAGAAAATCACAGCAGCTTCAGGAAATGCGCACTTGTGCCATTCAATAGCTTGGGTGTATGTGTTGTTATCAGCGCTCCAGCCCGTAGAGTACACCAGACCACCCATAGGGTTTCCACGCTGAAAATAATTATTAGCATCAAGAGATTTTGTGAAGAATGAAGGGACCTACAAGATCAGCACCATGAGGATCAAGTTCACCTCCGAAATCGCCATCTTGAAGGTTGATTTTTGTCTGGTCAATGAAACCGACAACCTGAAGATATCCAGGAGTCTTCATGAACTGAACGCCCTTCAAAGTACCCTCCGGCATCAAACGTGTCCCACGGCCCTTTTTGGTACACCACGCCACTTCCTCGCCTTCAGTGTCGGCGATAGTGCTGTTGGGCTGGGAGGGAGCCCACAGGCAGAAGTCTTCATATGACGCTTTAACAAAGGAAAAAGGAAAGAGGGAAGAGATATTACCATCAAGAGCGTTCAAAAAAGAAGTTTGGCAAAGCGAGTTTTGGTTTTCCGTGGTCGAGTTGCACAAATTGTAGCCAAACTGCGTTCCTCGAATCAGGCCTTCGTCGGTATCAACTTTATAGGGCTATGATTTGCACTCAAAATCAAAAAGGCAGGCCATCAAATGCGCAGCGTACTATTTCAGAAGGGTAAGCGTAATGCTTCGATGCCAGGGGCGTTGCTGGAAAAGTCCCAGTAGCAGCTTGGGCCTGAACGGAAGAGGCCGAAAGCGCAGCGACTGCGAAAGAAAGAACGACGGCGGCCATGCCAAAAAGAAAATTGCCTCGAAGGGAAAAAGTAAATGCGAGTGAGAAATATAGGACCCGAAGGGGCGGGCGTTACTGCGTATGTCGTTGCGCAGTCGAGTTGAAATACTGACATCAAGCGGACTTTGAATTCCACGTGCTGCGCACAGACCACCTCGACTGTCAGGCGCGTGATCAACTTGAAACATTTGATAATCATCCAAGATGGCGCGCCATTTATTATTTAACGCGTCTCAGATTTCCTTGACCTCGTACCACTATCATCTCTTCAGCTGTCTTAACATTGCGTCAGTTATGCCGAAAGCTATCAAAGGTATTATTTTATGTCTTTCTTGACCAACGGATTATTCACATTCCCTTAGATTCCTCCGCCAAAGCCGCCTCCAAGGCCTCCAAGACTAAAAATGGTGTGTATATGCGCCTTTCACATCTCTTCAGAGCCGCCAAGCTGATTTAAGGGTGTATTGATCTGGATAGAATTTCGTCAAGCGAATTGTAGTAATGAATGAGGATAATGGCACAATCATTGAAAAAATTCAGAATGAGAGACATCCCACAGCGCGTCGAAGTCGCATCGCTACCTGTATCTGCAAGAGGTAACCGCGCTTTCAGCGCATTCCCGTTTTGGATGCTATATCTATTTAGGAAGGTGCGTGGTCAGCAAAAATGAACCCGCCAAACCGACGCTACACCAACGCCAAGGTAGTCAAGGAAGGAAAGTAGCCACGCGAACCTACCAAATACCAACAGTTCGTGTCGGTCCAAATGAAGCTTTGGAAAGCACAGAATCCTGATAGATCCGCCGCGGAGGCGATGAAGGAGGTTCGTTCTTAAGTATCTTCGCGTCCAAACCCGGTTATATGTGCATACATCTAGGTTGCTGTGCTGTGGAGAGAGTCCCTGAGAATCCCAACCGAGGCAAGGCACCAAGGCCGAAGAAGAAAAAGGCTGCTAACCCTGGTTCGTCATCTGAGCCTTCGTCGACGTCGCAACCTCGTTCATCAGACAAGGAGGGCGCCCCCAGTAGCGACTTTTGATATTCGTCTACATGACGCTCTTTGCTTCTGGACCCTACTGCACGCTGTGTTTCTTGCTCCGTAAACTCACGACATTGCCTTTGTGCTGGATTCTGGTCTGCTGCGTTGGACTTTTTAGCTCTTTCTTATCGTTGTCTGCTTCATGCTTTGGTTGGAAGTCTCACGAACATTGTCTGTGTTTGTGTGGTCAATTATCCTATTACTCATGTCCGAAGCTGAACTTCAATGAAGTAGTATTCGTCGTTATTCCATATTTCTCGGGCTGAGCGTTGGCGTTGAGCCTGTAAGGGTCTCTTCTTTCGGATTCCGTCTCTAGCGGCCGATGGTGCAATATTTCTCGGTATCAATATATTGCTAGGTCGGACGTTTTATACCTTCCACTATATTGACACCTTTATGATCGTGTAATAGGAATATATAACTCTGATATCCACAGTTCCAGAAGGAAGCGCATTCGTTACAAATGATCCTTGAAATGTGGCTAGACATGCTAGCGTCGAAGAGTAGAAGGTGTAAATGTCAAAAATTGGTATCAATCTCTCAGTCGTAATGCTCCAAATTTGTCGGGTTTAAAGAAATTTGTTTACACAAGTCTAATTGGTACGGGTTTCTCGTCACTCGGGTCTCCCTCTGCTTCTCACGCTTTTCTACAGGCGTCGGCCGCTCCTCAGCGCGTAATTCCCATATCTATGATGTGCGGTTTCAGCCTCCCCACGGGAGCCTCCCCCCGGGAGTCTCAGCCGTCTCACCAGTGAGTGCGAGCCACAGTACTACTGAGGTACAGCGGAAGCTAACGGGCATCTAGCTTCCTCGCCGTGTCTCATTCCAATGGACTATATCTACCTGGCAGAATCGGCGAGAATCCTTATCGCTCTCGTTGACCTGCCAGGTACGTTTTCTCTTTCTTTCGTAGTGAACCTTAGCTTACCATACGCTCTCGTTGACCTGACAGAGCTTTCCGTGTGTTCTCGCACTACTGAATAAACCCTGTCTATTCCATCGTCTACTAAAGACTCACCTCTAAGACTCCCTAAACGTACTATCTGGCTATGTCCTCTGGTTCTAATGGATCTTCGCAGGCCTCTAATAACACGCCTGCCTCTGGAGGCTCGACTCAGCAGTCAGCCACTACTGGAGGAACCAGACGTGCCCCCAGTCGTGAAGGATGGTAACTTGGTGTTACGGTTATTCTTTTCTTTTCCTTTTCTTTTTCTTTTCCTTACGTATTCACGCTTACTCTATGCTGCGATTTCGATCGGACGTTGCTGCGGCACTATCTTTAGCCTACGTAACGTGTATTTAAGTAGAGCCTCAGCTGGTCTAAACCCCAGCTTCGGCTAAGGTTTATTCTACCTAACTTGAACTCCGTCCTTCGTGACTATCTGTCCCATCGACTTCAGTCGCCTTTGGCTTGTTGAGCGTGGTCTACCGAAGTGCGAGTAGCCACCTTAGCACGATCTAAGTCGATCAGAGTTAGTGGCTTACATTTAGCCGAAGCTCGTTCTACGTTGCTCAGCGTCACTTCCGAGAAAGAGCGCTGCCCAACTTCTTTCCGAGAAAATACCCCGCTTGACCAGAGAGGTCATCGCTTACGCTCGTGTGGACAACCCGGTGCTTGTCAACGTACAGCGAGTGGACCAACGGAAAAGCACTCACCGTCACCATTCATCCGATACACTACATCGTTGCACTAGCCTTGTGGCTAATACCCCCTCGGCTACTCCTCCTGTTGCTAGTAACCCGGTTGATTGTTGAATCCATCTTCTACGACGACCTACTCCTCGCAGTCTTTCTGACTGTATACTTAACCTTTCTCCTAATCGCGCTCGGAATACCGGCAGTGTTGCTAGCAAGCTTGCTGGCCGCCCTGTACTCGCTATATCCCCGCCTCGTTTAGGAACCACGTATCCCAACACGAAACCTTTCGTACTCGCCCTCCAGCTTGCATCGCTATTGACAATCATCTTGTTGATAGTAACAAGCTCCCCTGATTCCAACGAGTGTGAGATCCTGTTAATGAACGGCTCAAACTACGAGACCGACCTTAGCCTGATCATCGCGCTCCTCATCGTTCTCACCATCCTTGCGGTATACCAGCTTGCATGGTCAATCGTCGACCTACGTCAAGGATAGACATCTATACTGATGCCCTGGTCCGACGCCATTCCTGCAATCTTCGTAATTTTTATCGCCTTTTTCTTGTCCATTTCTTTGTATTACACACTTCGCTGCTGCCGACAACAGAGAAGGGTTCGACCTCAGCTTCCCTTCCACTACGTGCCCAGCGTACCCGCATACCCCCCGCAGGTGATAGATATCCCCGCGGCTTCACAGCAAACACTACCCGTCCCAGAAACTCCACGGCTAGAGCTACACTCTCTCTATGGAGAGTCCCTCTACGGATCGTCGCGACCCAGCTCGCGATCCTCAGAGTCGAGCACCGACTCCTACAGAAGCGCTACCGACGAGTCAACCGACTCCGTCGACATCACCGATACCCGGCGCGTACTCCACGACAGAGGAGACTCGCCCCTACCAGGCCTCTTCGACCAGTCTCCAGTCCAAGGCGAGTCTGGCGACGACAGAAGCCGAGGACAAGGCACCAGGCATCTGGTCACGGGCGAAGAAAGCCCTGACACCGAGTTCGAAGGGGATGAGCTCACCGAGTGGGAAAGAACCCGCCTCGACGACCTCCTCGACGACCTCTACCCGAATACGGAGGAGGATGCAACCTATACCGGAGACAACTGGTCCGGAAGGTCATCCACAAAGTGGGTTGAAGCCCAGTGGGGAGATTCCGACCTCGGAGCCGAGCGCAGAAGATTTATTCAGAGGCAGAAAGATGACTTCGACAGCGATTCCGGAGAGCTTGGCCTCGGAGCCTCCGCGGCTTCCACCAGTACAGCTCACCCACAGTCTCTTCCAAGGGCCTGGCCAACCAATAGAGGACCCCCTGTCGCCTGGTACCCCGACACCAGTTGGGTCTACGCCGACGACGGGGAAGAGGCTCCTGTGGCCAGAATCGAGACCGGAAGAGAGCCCGACCCGATCCCTGAAGGGTCCGAGGCACCAACGCTCCCTACCCCCGTCCCCTCGATCGAGCCGACGAGTGGGGAGCTTTGGAGCGAGTTCCCAGATCTCGACGCCGAGGAACTTGGGATAGTTACCGCCGCCGAGCGCCTCGCCGGAGTCTCCGACTGGGAACCGTCAGTCGCGTCGAGAGCCTTCGCCGACCCAGTCCCTCTCTCACAGCGTCCGTGGCCGCTCCTCTATCACACGTACGTCGAGTCCCTCCGACTCCGAGGAGATGCCCGGGAGTCCCCAGAGGTCCAGGCCAGAATGGACCGAGGACGAGCGCACGATGCACGCATCCGACGCGCCGAGGAGGACGCCCTCTATGGGCCCAATGGCTTCTGGGATTTACCCGTCGAGCCCGACGCCACTCCCGCCGAAATCGACAACCGAATACGAGCCGCTGCCGTTCGCTATACCGGATACGCCAGGAGGGCAGGCGCCGACCTCGAGGCTAGAGCCCGAGCATGGAGAGTCTATCAAGAGGAGATCACCAACGAGGACTCAGACATCGGAAGGTGGAGGCGGAACAAGGAGCTTGACCGCATCGCCCGAGAGAGGAAGGAAGCAGAGGATGCCGCCTCGACCCCCAAACCAGGCTCTAGAGCCGACGGTAATGGCGGCGGTGAGGCAGGTCCTTCTTCAGGGCCCAGTGCCTAGACCAGGCGTATTCGAACTATTACCATGGCACGGACTATATGAAATCATGATGGAAGACATGGAGAAAGACCCGCAGTGGCTCTTCTCCGAAGCAGGGCAGGATTACCGTCACGCCAAGGGCATGGGTGACGTGTACCTAATGAAAAATATCCTCGAAGTAGAAACCTGGCACCGGGCGGCTGTCGTCTGGAACCTGGTAAACCCCACTGCCCCGCAGCGAGGGTGTGAGCC